ATTTCTTTACCGTACGCCCGTTTCAGAGGTCCAAAGCACCCAACATCGAGAGGCTGGAGCTTATGCGACGAGTGAGCAGGCATACAGAGCGTTACGATATTCTGTTCCTTGCAGTAGAGCTCGAAATCGACTGAATGGTGGCTCTCGTGGCCGTCGAGGATAAGGAGGCGGTAGGTACCCTTCGTACGACTCTTCGTATGGAAATCGAAGTGTTTTACCCATTCTAGGCCTCTCTCGTTCGTCGTCCAACCGTTTTCTGAAAGCGCGATTACCCAGTCGGGCGGTAGGGGCTATTCGCGGTCCAGGAGTCGAGGTGGACCTTCCCGGCGAAGATGATATACGGCGGGATTAAATAGCCGTACGACGCGATGCCCTGGATTACTGTAACCCATTCCTGATTCCCTTGTTGTACGGCTCTTGGCCTCCCGCGTCGATCGGAGGTCGTAACGACGGTTTCGGCGGAGATTTTACCTATCGCGAAGCCCGTTTCGTCGAAGTTATAGATATCGTCATCGTGGATCCCGTATTTCGCGATTATGTTTTGTACGAGCTCAAACCACGCGCGATACGCGTCCGGATCCTCGCAGAGGACCCTCTGGTAGTCGATTCTTCGATTTAAACGCGTACGGAGCTCAGGTCGTCGTCGTACGAAGTTTGAGGCCCAGTTCGTTCCGACGCGTGGCGCGTCGCGTACGCGGAGGAGTCGATCCGCCATTTCTCGAACACCACTAAGCCGCGGCGGAAACGATCGCGAATCTAGGTCGATTACGTATTGTACGATACTGTCCTCTTCGTACGAGGTCAATTTCTGGTTACGTGGTCGGGTATCGCCTTTCGCAGAGCGGCCGTGGTATCGTTGTTGTAGTGTTGTACGTGATACCTTATATATCGATGCAGCCTTTCGTACGCTTAATTTAGGGTCTGATTGAAGCGCATTTAGCGCGAGAATGATCTCTGATTCAATTGATTGTCGTGGCATACTTGTTCGTGGAGAAATTAAGGAAAGAAGAGGAGTAATTGAGAATTGCAGGAATATGACCCGGTCGCTTGTGTGACCCGCTTGCTTGTGGATTACGTTAACCCTCTAATACTGCATATTAGCATTAGGAACATGATTCAGTAAACACTAATGTCCACTCTCTGCCACGAGCTCCCCGAAAAGAACATATTGGAATGCAACGAATGACTCAAGCAACTGTCCATATGAGACGGCGCCCCAGGCTTGTCAAAGGCGTGATTGATGGCTGGCAAATCAGCTTATCGCGGTCGCAGCAGAGCAAGCCCTTGTGCGCCGAACTCGGGACGATGGTCACACTGCCAGCGGGCCATTGGGCTTGGGCTGTACATCACGGGCACAAGCACCCTGCACGTGACGGCTTCCCTGAAGAGTGGCATGGCCCTTGGATCCCGCCATGTCCAAGCAAATACTGATAAAAGAAAGAAAATAGGCAATAGTAAGGTCTCGTGGTATTCGGAGAGGATGCTGTGGGACCTGGGCAGGCAGTGGAGAGCGCAATCTTTCTCCAGATCGGAAAACCCCGTCGGCGACCTACGGCAGTGCATGCGGGAGTCAGCAAGGGTCGTCATTGGCTTGAGGAGAACACATGCTCAGAATTCTAACGTCGGACATTCTGTTCCTCTGCTGTCGTGAGACTCCAACACGACACCGCGCCGCACCTGGGGTTCTGGAGCGGACCGGCCCTTAGCCCCATGGATCACCCGTCTCAAGATGTCTTGTTCTCCCACACAGGACGCAGGAGAGACTAGAAGGGGGATTTGTGTCCGGTGATCTGAGTTTACGTGGGGGGCGGGGGCAGACCGTTGCGTTTAGGGGGAGAAAATCAGGGAGAGGCTGTGTAGTGTCTTGTTTAACCAACGATCCTCAAGTGCTGATGACCCACCAGGAGCAGGGCAAAATAAGGCAAGGCCTGTGAATGTCGTACCATTGCGACATGGCTTCCTGATGCGTCGACAAGCGCAACCTTTGGCCTGGGTATATTCGAACAATTGCCCGCAGACTAGCTTCTGGGACGTACAGGAACGGGTCAACTCGGGCATTTAGTCATCGTCGTTCTGACAGACACTTATCGCTATAAGCAATTTGATAAAGCATGAAAACAGCATCTCCAGCAAGCTCGTATGAACCCCCCCAGTGCTCGGTGAGCATTACTGGACAAGGCAATGAAGCGATCTCCTGCTTGTTATACGTAGTACATGGAAATCTCTGCGCAAGTTCAAGAGCCACGAGCCTCGCCGTGTTATGGACTCTACAGCTGCCCCTGTAATCACCTTTTATAACAGGAGAAGGGCCGTATTATGCGCGGCAACGGGCAAGCTTTGCTGTGGGCACCGGGCCGGTGGTACCAACCCACAACAGGCTGCTCTGGCCGCGGGTGAGCGGAGAAATGGGGCGAAATGCATGAGACTGCAGGAGCGCAGAAGACCCAGCATACGCAGTCTGACGAACATTTTTGGGACGATCTATGCGGCCAGATTATTACCCAGAACATGGCTCCGCGCAATGCATCCTTGGAATTGTTGCTTTCCCCCTGAAATCACCGATTATGTTGATCGCTCGGCCGGAGCATGTGTAAGTTGTTAGCCGAGCAGCCTGAGCGGCAGTTCCCGAAAGCTGCCGCTGGCTCCGGCAACAAGAAGCACGTGGCACTTGCGTGAGGTAGACGAAGTTTCGCCGAGACACGAGCTTTCTTCGAATACAGGCCTGCAACACTCCTTGCGTAACAGGTGGAGGGAGCACCCACGTGGAAACGAACCTTAGACAGGACGAAAACAGTCCCAACGCCATCTGTCAGACCGTTGGACTGGCGCGTGGCTGAGATGGGGAAAGGGCACAACGGGGTGGGGGTTCAGGGGCCGTGCGTGTCGTCGCACGATGATGGAGACGCTTGGGGAGCCGCCCTGGACTAGCCTGGTCCTCAATTATCTTCATTCCATCATTCTGCAGGTTTTCAATACTCTTGGTGTCCCGTGGCCGTGTTGCGGACCGTGATTTCTGACGATCTTTGGTACAGGTCATACAGGGACTATATTCTGCAGTGCTATGAATGCTGCCTGAGGTCCACCAGCACGACGCAGACCGCGCGGTGTCCTCCGCATAGCAAGCAATCTCGCCGCGAGCCAGGGGGGCAATCAGTCGTGCCCCACAACAAGGCAGGGTCGAAGACAGCAGAGACGAGGCACAGTCGCAGAGAAGGCGGGCCCGGGTTAGTACCGAAGGGGCAGCTTGTGCCCCGGCCGGCCCCCGCCTTGGATCCCTGAGGTACAACCCTGCACAAGACCTGCCCACGAGCCGTGGCGCAAGGCGGCTGGGCTCATCCGCAATCTTGCACGTTCAGGGAGTCGGAAGCGTGGTAGGCTTGAATCCATGAGGGTTCAGCGCCGATCACGACCCGTGCGGAAGACTTGGCCGGCAGTTTTACGGTTTCTCGTTGCCGTCGAGCATTTCCCGGCCTGGGCCAGGGATGGCTGGATGTGCCGCACGAGCACCCACAAAGTCGCATTGCAGTCTGCGGGGATCGCCCGGCCGTGTGTTATCACACTCTCTGCAGCATGTTGGGCGATGTTACCGTGCTGTGTCTGGATTCTCAAGCAGCCGGGCCAGGCGCCGCGCGTGGCGTTGTAGGGATAGGCCGTCACTCTCGGCACGAACCTACAGTGGAGTGGATGCTGGGTACGACATTGGGGCTGGCTGGCTTGCATGTCTGTAGCTGGACCCCGGCCGCCCCTCCCGAAGGCAGAGAGAGACTGGACAGGCCTCGCCATATCAGTAGTGCGAACGAGGCGTCAGGGATAATTGCATGCCTGCATGTGCATTGGAGCGATCCGTTTCACGTTTCGGCTGTTCCCCGTTGGGCCCGTGGCTGACAAGCTGGGCACATTAACTAGCTCCCCTCCCCAAGCTGTTTTCTCCAGGTTGCCAATACATCAGTACGGCACGTCTCTAGGGCTCTGACTTCAGACAATCCTGTGAAGGGGAAGGGAAGCCTCGCTCCATGCTCGACTGACGCCTTTGACGCCGGAGGAGGATCAGACAACTCAATCGTGGAATCCAGTGGGAATCAACGGCGACATCTTCCAAAGCGAGAGCTGTACACAACCGTCGCCACAATGGCTGAGATTCCGGACCGCGGCCCGCAGCTCAGGGCTGTCAACATCTTCTTTGTGACCATCACCTTGGTGGCCATGTCACTTCGCTGCTATGTTCGAATCGGCATGGTCAAGGCCTTTGGGGTCGACGACTACCTCATGGTCCTGGCAACGGTATGTCCCCCCCCCCCCCCCCCCCGGGCGAAGACGCGCCAGGATGGATGGGTCTGACAGGAATCCGCTATGCAGGTGTTTTTCTGCCTATATACCGGCTTTTCAACGGCTGGTGTCACCTATGGTACAGGCAGACATCGATCAGATCTCCCCGTCGAGGATTATGAGACGGCAATGAGAGTGAGCATTTCTGCAAAGATCTAGGAACGAGCTGCGGGGACGCTTTGCTGATTATCTACGCAGTGTTGGTGGTTCTGTTATCTGTTCTACGCCTTGACCATGATCATCTCCAAGATCTCCATCGGCTGCTTCCTCATACGCCTTATCACCAAGAGGCTGCAGAAGTGGATCGTGTACGGCGCCATGGGCGTCTCGGCGCTCGCCGGTATCACGTTCTTCGTCGTCACCATCTTTCAGTGCTCACCCGTGTCGTATTTCTGGTTTGAGAGACAAGTCGGCACCTGCATCCCTCCCGATGTCATCATCGGCCTGGCCATCTTGTACAGCGTCTTCAGCTGTATCTCTGACCTCACCTTCGCCATCCTGCCCGGTTTCCTCGTATGGAGCTTGAAGATGAAGCTGAGGACCAAGCTCGCACTCGTCCCTCTGCTTGCCATGGGTTGCATGTAAGTCTCCTGCTTTCTCTGCGGCAAACTGATCCTGCAGGGGCTCTGTAGCTAAACCGTCTCGTTCAAACAGTGCCAGTTGTGCCGTCATTGCGCGTTTCCCCTATCTTTTCCAGATCCGATCGCCAGACTTCCTTTGTAAGTTTAATTCTCCTGGAGCTCGCAATAGCCCTAGGATTCGAGCTGACCGAATGTACGATTTCAGGGGCTACCCTCGACGTTGCCATCTGGTCCACGGTTGAGCAAGGCTTGACCATCACCGCCGCAAGTCTCGCCACAATCCGACCTCTGATGAAGAGCATCGGCTACCGCCTGGGCCTGACCAATAAGTCGACGACCGGCCCGTCCGGCTACTATGGCGCGACTTCTGGACGGTACGGCAACAACAGCCACGTCCGCAAGGGAAGCACCCTCGGAGCACTGGCCATCAACGACGGCTTCAAGCTCTCTTCATCGGCTGTGCGCAGCCCCCTCAAGAGCCCGCACAGCCCCTGGAACGACAAGCAGCCCCAACCTTTCGCGTCCCAGCGCGAACGGAACGCCGACGACAGTGATGTGAGCGGCGTAGGTGCTCCAGAGACTCACGACGGCGTGCGGTACGTTATTCAGGGGGCCCCGTCGCCGAGCAGCGCCAACATGAAGGGAATGAAGAAGAAGAGCTCGAATGCGAACTTCGGCGTAGTCAACACGAGCGAAGAGCAACTGCACCGGCCTTCAACGTCACATGAAGTCTAGCTGCCGGCCTAGCATGGCGATTTTGTTTCCTTTATAGCATCTACACACGGAATGATTCTTCATGATACACCAATGTCCCCAGCGAAGCAATCTAGCAAGAGACGAACTTCAGAGCAAGACACGCCAGAAAATGGACATGTTTGGACCCCAAGTCCATTGGGAAGGACGTGGAGTCGTGGAACTGATATACTATACCCGTCCAAGCAGACACCTTCTCTAAACTTAATGAGCGAGTAAACCTTAATATTCAGAGAGATGCGCGGGCCTGGTGAAGTCGCCTCCGGACAACGAGCAACCTGGTACGAGTCTCGGTGGCCCTGTCGTTGTGCTTTGTGCCAAGCCTTCCCCGCAAATGGCGTCCTCCATGCCTGCACACGCACTGCAACAGTGATCAGGGCCGGCAATTGGCTCGCTTGCACCAGTTGCCTGAGAGAACAAGATGTGATGCTACAATACGAACTTTGCGGCTTCAGCAATCAATGACTGGGCAAATTGCCATGTGCACAGAGGTTGACTGGACTCGCGGCTTGCCTGACGACCAGGGACCCAGACCATCGCAACCTTCCAAGTAGTGGTTCTTATGATGCTTCTCCTCACCACAATGGCCAGCACAACTTTGTGCAAGCAGGGGGTTCACACCCAATTATGAACGGATGGACCGTGCGCGCGGCGGGGAGTCGGGCAAGTGCCGCGTCGGCACCACCATCAGCCCAGCACCGTCATTTTCTCCGGAGAGCGCGATACGCGACGGCCCAGGTAATGTCAATGCGCAGTCGGCCCAATCCTCCCCCGGTCTTTTCCCAACAACAATATCAGACATCGGTATCGCCAGCACCAATAAAATCTCTGCTTCTTTTCGCTTTCTTCATGTGATAACCGGAGTCTCATCTCGTCCAGTTCGTCACCGCTCCTGCGTAGTGGGAAGCAATTCTCGGCTGCCTATTTTCCCCTTTCGGCCCCCAACGCTGAATGGGGATAATCCCCGAGGTAGCGGAGAACAAAAGAAGAGAAAAGCAAGAAGTGAGGTCCGGACTGGCGGGCCTTTACGCAACGCGTCGTGAATATTCGCCTGACTTATATGGTAGGCTTCGGTCAGGACTAGGTAGTAGTCCCCGAATGCTAGTGCACGACCATGCAGGACTCCAGAGCTGTTTAGCTCCAACGGGGGTGGGATGGTTCCTGAAAGCTTATTGTTGCGTTGGAAGAACGAGCTTTGGCCACTCAACAATGGCGCGGTGGTAGTCGGCGACTAAGCGCCTCAACTGAGCGCTGTTCCCCGCCACCACTTTCTGCATCCGGTACTGTGGCTTGCGGGAACCTCGGAACCTGCAGTGCTGGTTGGGGTGGATGGCGCGGAGCGAGACCCGAAGCGAGAGTGGCTGTCCTCCCACTACTGCAGGGGCACACACACACGCGCACGCGCGCGCCCATACACACATTCTATAGTACAAAGGTACATGTGTGCGCGAGCGCCGAAGCGAGCTCGGGAGCCAAGAGGGCTCCTGGGTCTTACCTGAGTTTTGATAAGACTTGCAGCAAGGATCGATACGGTGAGGTTGTATTGATACAATGTTGCTGGTTGGCTCACCGTCTTCGAGAAGGCGCAAGTCCCTGCTTTGCTGTGAATGCCTTGTCGGTGATCAGACGCGCACGCATTGTTGACATTTCCTGGCTCGGCTTGAGCCGAATCAAGAAGCTCGCATAGCTCACGGCTTGCATCCGTGCCTGAGACCGCTGCGCCTTCCACCGCCAGACGATCGCGCTGCTCAGCATGCCGAGCATGCTCACAGGGAGTCGGGGTGGTCTCTCCGCTCTAATCCACGTCTCTCCATGATACTCAGGCAGGCTCTAACACCACCTGCTACACCAAACCTTCAACTGAGAGCTTCTGGACCTTTCCCCTTCGCTAGGAAGCTGGGTTGCCGGGTTGTTTCCCACGCGCGGACCGCAAGTGCCCGTTGACAAGCCGGCGGGGTTAGTGGGAACAGCGGACAGGCAGGGCCGCCGCTGGTGAGAAGCGAGAGGCTCATGGGAGGTGGCGTCAGGGGCCTAGGCGAGGCAGGCAGGGCAGACAGTCTCCACAGCGAATGCCTCCCAACTTGTGGAGTAGACTTTGCCCCTGCATTTTCCCGTGGCAGTCGTTGCCGCGTTCGGTCGTGGTAATGTCTTTCCGCAGGGAAGCATAGTGGAGAGAAGGGGCGAAAAGTCCACAAGGGTCCAGGGGGGGCCATCGAGACGGTAGGCCGCAGCAGAGCAGCATGGCAGTGGACTTGATCAATATCCCGACAAGCAGCTCTTCATTTGCAGCAGGCCACGTGGAGGGTCGTGCAGCATCGTTGAGCACGACAACAACGGTGACGATCTTGCCCTCGGACGTCCCAAATTGTGACCTGAGACCCCTTTGACAGCGCGTTCGGGAAAGCTTGTTCCCCATAGATCAGGCGGATCGTGGCCTGCCCGCTCGCTAGACTTCATTAGCCTCCAAAAAGCTGGCTTCAAGGAGACATTCCGCGATTTCCATAGGTCCATCTACCCCGGCCACGAACGCGAGTCGATTCCGGTTTTCGCTGAGCAGTCGCTTTTAGTGTCGACAGGCTTCTGTCAATAGCTCATTCTTAGCCCCAGGGAAGGGGAAATAGCTCTGCAGATGCTCTTCCTCTATCTCTGCTTGGCTACTCTGCTCGGGTCCACCAGATTAGCCAGCGCAAACCACAAGCATCATTTGCGATGGGCGGAACTTCAAGGTGACATCGTCATCACGATGCGGTCGTAGCATGAACAGCATGAGGCCAGTTTCGCTCGCCTGTCATTTGACGCCAAGAGCAGGGCTATTGTTCCAGAGAGAGTGCTGTGTCTGAAGTCGTGGCCTCGTCCGTCACAAGCTTCCACGATGTTGAGAGCATCAGATGTCAGAAGAGGTTACATGCGAGCTCCGGCGACAGGGGACCACACCACGTCTCTCGAGGCGCAGTTCTGGCCATGTGCGCCGGGGAGGCATTGTGTGGAACCGCAGGACCATGCCACCATGCCACCACCATGCCTGCCGCTGTGGTTCACCTAGCCCTTCTGGATGAACAAAGCGGGCCTTGCCGTGGAGATCGGCGCGGCAATATCATCTCAAGTATTGTGAAGTGCGCGGGTCTGCCATGTGCCGTATCAGAGCCTCCAGGGGTTTCGGCAAGGCATGACAGCAACTCCACAACGGCGAACCGGGGTCCAGGGGCGAAAACGACTCCACTGGTGCGGAAGTTGCACCGCCTGTGCTCCGGTGCTGTCAATGCTAGCACCTGGGCCGCTGGCAATGGCCAGACTTGGAGTGCTGGCCCGTGGAACTTTCTGATGGATATTGTTGGGCGACAGCTGAATGGTCGCTTGGCTTGACAAATCAGTCGCAGCTATTGTTGGATATCGAAAGACTAAGGGCGACCACGTCCGGGGCCTCCAGGGATGCACCCGAGGAAGGCATGGGTGCGTGTAGATGGAGTCATGGAAACCCATTCCGCGCATGCGTGCTGCGATTCTCTCCGCGAGCTATAAGATTATCGCAGTCCCTCCATTGCAGCCTTCCTGTGCTTCTGCTCGCCACGCTTCGACGCTACTGTCGTGCATCCAGTCACTCCTTTCACTACATCCAACTGCTAACCCACGCTCCTTTCATCGTATGTAGGGCCTCCGGCAGCCTCTCGTCCTACTCCGCGCATTCTCGGCTGGTATGCTAACCTGTGGCACAGCATCAAAATGTTCTTCAACCGCCTGGTCGGCTTTGCCGCCACGGCCGTCTCTGTCGCCAGTGCCGTCGACTTGACTGGCTACGAGTATGTCGTTGTCGGCTCCGGTGCCGGCGGTGGCCCCGTTGCTGCCCGCCTTGCCATGGCCGGCCACAAGACTCTGCTGCTTGAGGCCGGTGACGACCAGGGCGCCAACGTCAACTACACCGTTCCCGCCTACTCTGCCCGGTCCTCCGAGGACGAGGCTCTCGCGTGGAACTTCTTCGTCCGCCACTACAAGGACGACGTCCGCCAAGCTCGCGACTTCAAGACCAGCTACCAGACCCCTGATGGCAGCATCTACACCGGCCTCAACCCGCCAGCTGGCTCGACCATGCTCGGCACGTTGTACCCCCGTACCGGCTCTCTCGGCGGCTGCACCGCTCACAACGCCCTTATTGCCGTGTACCCCCACCGCTCCGACTTTGAGTACATCCGTGAGCTGACCGGCGACGACTCGTGGGCTGCCGACAACATGCGCACCTACTTCACCAAGCTCGAGAAGAACCAGTACCTCCTGCCGGGTGTCGAGGGGCAGGGTTACAACGGCTGGCTCGAGACCGAGACCGCTCCCCTCTCCATCCCGCTGGGCGACCCCTCGCTCCTCAGCGTCCTCACTGGCGGTGCCTTTGCCCTTGGCAACCTGACCCAGAACATCTTCAACCTCGCCACCCTGCTCGCCGGCAACGCCAATGCCGACAGTGTCGAGCGCGACACCAAGCCCGGCTTCTTCCAGATTCCTCTCTCCACCAACGACGGCCACCGCACCGGCTCCCGCGAGTTCGTTCTGGCGGTTGCCAACGCGGTCAACGACGATGGCTCCAAGATGTTCCCCCTCGACCTCAAGATGAACACCCACGTCACCAAGGTCACCTTCGACCAGACCGTCACCCCTCCTCGTGCCAACGGTGTTGAGTTCCTTGAGGGCCAGTACCTCTACCGTGCCAGCCCCCGCTCCAAGAACGCCGGCACCGGTGTTGCTGGTACTGCCACTGCCTCCCGCGAGGTCATCGTCGCCGGTGGTGTCTACAACTCTCCCCAGCTCCTCAAGCTGAGCGGTGTCGGCCCTGCTGCTGAGCTGCAGTCCTTTGGCATTCCTGTCATCTCCGACCTGCCCGGCGTCGGTACCAACCTCCAGGACCACTACGAGATCAGCGTCCAGGCCCGCAAGGACAGCAACTTCACTGCTCTCGACGGCTGCACCTTTGGTCAGAGTGGCGACACCGTCGGCGCCGGTGAGGATGCTTGCCTCGACCGCTGGAACAAGCCTATTCTCGGCGACCGTGGCATCTACTCGTCTTCTGGTCTCGCCGCCACCATGTTCTACAAGTCGTCCACCTCGCCCGACAACTGGGACATCTTTGCCTTTGGCGGCCCGGTCAACTTCCGCGGCTACTTCCCTGGCTATGCCGTCAACGCCACCCGCGAGCACGACATCTTCACCTGGGCCATCCTCAAGGCTCACCCCCGCAACCAAGCCGGCGGCGTCACTCTCCGCTCCGCCGACCCTCTTGATGTCCCGGACATTCACTTCAACTACTACGACACTGGCTCCAGCGCCGCCGACTCGGACGCTGACCTGACTGCCATGACCGAGGCCGTCAAGCTTACCCGCGACGCCTTCAAGCGCCAGCTCGTGCCCACCACCGAGGTCCTGCCTGGCAGCGACGTCGTCTCGGACGAGGATATCAAGACTTACATCAAGGACGCCACCTGGGGCCACCACGCCTCGTCCACCTGCCCCATCGGTGCCGACAGCGACCCCATGGCCGTGCTCGACTCGAGCTTCCGCGTCCGCGGCGTCGCTGGCCTCCGTGTCGTCGACGCCTCCGTCTACCCTCGCATCCCCGGTACATTCACTGCCGTCTCGACCTACATGGTCGGCGAGAAGGCTGCTGATGTTATCCTCTCCCAGCTCGAGTAAAAAGCATCAGCTCTCATATTTCGGTTGAAAGAGAAGGAAGCAAAAAGATCAAGCGGGAGATGGGAAAAGTCTCCGCCTCTAGATACCCATGCTATTACGCTCAGTCTGTCAAACGTGTACGTATATGACCTCATAGTCTAGCAATGATAATTTCGTCATGTTCACTACTAGTGTCTGTTATCAGTGATAGCGACGTGCCAGGCACTAATCAACAAAAGCCTACACGTCAATTTGTGGCAAGTGCAGTATTTCTTGCATTGTCTGCGCGAACTAATTCCAGTTTCCCCAGCGCTGTACCGTGCTATGCTGGCATATGCAAGGTAATAGCGAGCAAAGTCGCAGTATCACCAATTACCTTCATTGCCCCGGTCTTGATGAAGATTTTGAGTCATCAAGATACAGATTATGCATCATTGTACTTCAAATTATTCGCTTGTTTGCACATTTTGAGCGGCTAGCACTACATTGCTCTCCTGGCACTGTGGACGAGGTCAACAGCATGTGATCGACAGGCTAAAGTGTCGTTCCACACTGACTATTGTAACGCAATGGCCAGGTCTAACGGCACAAAAGTATTGGGCACTTCACTCACGTGGCGGAAGGGCCTATGACTCGTGTCCGCAGACTTTTTCCTCTTTTTTCTTTCTTTTTTTCTTATGGTTTTCCTCTGCAGCTGCAGCTGCCACGTAAGTTGCCATTGTCCACCGTGTTGAGAGTAACAGCTTTACTTCGGAATTACTTTTTGACACCTTTGTCTTTTGTCAACCGAATATTGCTTTGTTTTTATTTTCTATGGTGGCACAGTAAATCCTTTGAACCACGGCAGACGTCACCCCACAATGACCTTGATCACATGCGCTCCCGGGATTTTGAAGTGACATTCCGTTTGTCAGTCTGTTCTGACCATCAGGGACGAGGATGCGCGGGGATCGTCTGACGGCATCCCAGATCTTGTTCATCCGTGCTGACCTTGTGCAAGTTATCTCCGCACGTGCTCTTTCAGGTCGTGGCTCAATACAGCAAGACATAAAGACCCTGTCACTGCCGGTTGGAAGCATTGGCCAACCACATCCCGTGATAACAGCGACGTTGCCATGCAAAGCTTAATTACATTTTCGGTCTTGAAACAGGGATTCATTGGTCAAAAAGGACACGACGGTGCCGAGGGCTATTGGTTTTGAAAACTGCGCAGCTCTAGAACAGAGCTGTCAAATCTCAAAGCTGCGATGGTTTAATTCTGTCATATCTGATCACCATCCCTTCTTTTCTTGAACGCTGGGCGGCATTAGGGCTGGGGTCGACTGTCATAGGCACATGGATGCCCTGCTTATCGGCCTCTCTGGCTGCCTCCAAAGCACGAGTCAGCTCCCTTGTCGTGGCTCAGGGTAAGGATGCATGCATCGCAGATCCCCCTCCCCAAAAGACAAGGAACGGGGGAAAGGCCGGCGGCTCAGGTCGGTGTACCGTCTGCGGACAAGATCGTCCAGAGGGCAAGTCGTGGCGACGAACCAGGAGAGACAGTGCGTATCAGCAATCAACGCCAGGGGAGGCGCAGCCCAAGGAGCGAAGGGGTCGTCACCAGCACACGTGGGGGAAGACAGGCTCAAACCGAGCTGCGCTAGGTAGACACGCAGATGAGCGAACTCAATCTCGCTAACAAGGTCTAGGAGCCCGCTTGCTCGGATCCAACGCCGGTGCAGCAGCCGCAAGCGGGGCAATTAACGAGGCAAGCGCAGCGTCGATATTGCGCAAGGGCCAAGAACGCGGAAAATGGCGTATTAAAAAAAACACCAGAATCTGATACAAGAAAAAGGCGGCAAGCGTCAGCTAACTAACGGGTGGCGCACGCTGTGCTCTCCCCTTTCATTTTGACTTGACGTGCAGGGATTAGAGCTCGGCGACCATTAGAGGTGGAGTCAGTCAGATGGCATGTTGAAGGAAGGGCCTGGTTGTTGTAGAGATTTGCCGAGCAAAGTCGAACGAAGGATCAATAAGCACTACTTTTTTTTTTTTCCGGTTTCCCAATTTTTGCTTTTTCTTCCCTCGTAACGTCCATCCTTTGGACTAATCTGATGGCATCATGGTCTGTGCTGCTGCTATTGGCATGGTTGTTCTTTCGCCGCCGCTTGCCGCAAGGGGCGAATGTTGTCAGGGGTTGTGGGTGGTTTGACGGCCGGCCAGCCGGTAACGAATCAATGATCATGACCTCTTCCTGCCTTTCGGTTGCCGGGAATACGCCGATCTTGGTCATTGGCGTCGACAGTCCCCCGACACTGCTGCTGCTGCTGCCAACTCTGGCATTACCTACGCTTATTCAGAAAGCACAGGCCAGGGACATGGACATGGGGGTTCACACCAACTAGTAAGGGTCAAGGGCTGGGGTCATCTTTTTCTTTGGCTGACGCGTAACGCCAAGTGGCGACTGCCGAGCCTCTGCATTCTTCCCTGCAGGAATCATCCCAGTTGCCTCTGGACAAGGGTGAGGAGGGGAGGTGATTTGCCGGAGCATGTGCCGGTGGTTGCTGGAGTCGCGCCGTGGGACACGCTCGTGGCCTGGGCTCTGTCATTTGGTTGCGTTTCAGGAAATGCTGTCGTCACGTGCTGAATTGCTGACCGCATTCTGTCGTCACTGGGTATTCGTATGTCCTCGTTTTCATGGCCAGCTCGGGACACTATTCCGATGCCGGTTTGCATTCAATATACGCACGCACCTCATGCACAATTTCCATGCATGACCCAGGACACAGGCAGCAATCTTTGAATGACATGCTCGTCGCTGACACGGGTCCCGTCGTAAAAGGGATCCGCTGTGGATTTGGAATGGGTACTCGAGCCTCTGGTGCCCCATCCATCCACGGTGAGGTAATAGCCGTATGATGGTGGAGAAGGCGTGTCCACCCCAACCAACTGGCTGGGAGGCAACAGAAGGACCGAGACACGGACAATTTGCCCGAGAGCACTCCCTCTCTCTCCTGATGCGTGCATACATGCGCGCTGTTCTCCCGCGGAGGGCAACCTGACCCGAATGTGAGTCCCACGTGCCGCGCTCAGGAACACACAGTCATTTCCATGTAGTATTGCAAGCCAAGCGAGTATACTCTGGGCTTTGCCTGGCCAAGAGCCCTGGTGCCCGCCGCGAGACGAGGTGGTTGTCTGGTCCTCGACAGACTGACAGGCCACCAACGTATGCGGAGTCGTCGTGTGCTCGTCCCACAAACATGTGGCATGGAGTCACCCAGCACACTGCGACGTGCCAAAGTCGAGCTCCGATGCAATGCAACATTTCCAGAACCCCCCTTTATTGTCCCTCACCGCTTGCCGCATCATCTCTCATCGTAGTGTGTCGCCCCCTGGCTGGACCTCCTTTGGGAACCCAGTTCTCGTATCCCTGATCTCCACGCGGACAACGTCCAGCTGTCTCAGCTGTCACACGAGTATATTGTGGACTTCATTGTGGACAGACAGATGAGCCTACGCTTGCGTAGCTCGCCTGGCCAAACCACCAAAAACGACGATTTCCCCACCCACATCTGGGTGCTTCTCTCCGGGCTCTTCTGTCAATGCGTAGCGGAGTTCCAGTGTCGGTTCAGTCAGCAGCGATGCATCACTTACCAAGCTGCTTTCTGTGCCGCCCGCCCCGCATGCCCCGTCAAAACGGCGCCTGTGTCAATATTCGTCTCGAGATGATTTCCTGATACAGCATCTTTTGCCGCATTGGCGTGGCCCAGTCCGCCGCACAGACTGGTTCGAGCCCTAAAGAAACGGACCCCGAAAGTGAGGCTGAGAGTTCTCGACAGGTGCCCGCGATGCGGGTGCATAAGGGACTACCATTGAGCTGTACAGGCATCGAGAGGCATATCCGGCCCTGTTTTTGGAGGTTGCGACTCGTGGCACCTGAACCATCCTTCCATCCGATCGCCTTCTTTACACGTTCCATGTCCCGCCCCCCTGTCACCCAGATCGTAGTTTGCCCTCCTGCCGAGAAAAACTTCGGCGGGGCGGAGAATGTGCGGCGAGGGCGGCGGCGGCCAGGAAGGCCAGCCGGAAGCCTGGTCCCCATTCGGGCACAACACCCCAGTCAATAGTCCTGTTAGCGTGTTCGAGAGCCCTGCAGGGAAATGTTGAAAGAAGCAGGACCGGCAAGCGAGGGCGTCGGCCAACTCCACAAGTGCCCCAAGCACCCCAAGCAGCCGTGTTTACGCGGCCGTGCGTCCCACAGCGGGGTGAGGGAGAGACGACTAGGCTAGAACGCTTCAAGGAAACAGCGCCGAAACCAAGGCTGGTGGTGATCGCAATGAAGCTGCCGAGCTCCACCACCATCAGCAGGGCAGGCCAAGAGTCTGGGAAAAAGGGACCCTGGAGGTCGAGCATGGAGGCGCACCTGCTCGAGTAATTGGCAATAAGACGGTCGACAAAGGGCCAAACAATGCTTCCGCCAAGCTGGCATGCGTGAGGTGCACGGAGGCGGCGACAGAGGCGCACCGCTTGCTCCTTTTAGCTTCCGGTCGACGCAATCATGACGGCGACGGCGCGTGAAGCTGTCTTCCAATCTGCAGCACGACCTCCGGTCGAGCCGGCGGCAGGCAGATGGCGTCTCCCAGCCAGTGCTAAGGGAAACCCCTGCCTCGAGGAACCGGGCCTGAAGCGCACATCTCGCCGCACAAGCATGCGTGCAGGGTTACATCTGCCCAGGCTATTGCACTGATCTGCGTCAGACTCTAAGGCGGCGGTACCCTTGACATGGCTCTCTGTCTTCTTTCGGAGGGCTTTGCTGCTGCTGGCCAGCCCCCAGCCCACAGTCCTAAAGAGAATCCCTGGAGACGTCCTGTCATCTTGGGAGATGGGACTGGTTCGTGCATGCGAGTATGCTGTGAGACACAGGGGTTGACGGAATACGCCGAGGTTGGTTCGTGGGCGCGGCATCACTGCCGGGCGGACGCTCGCCACGTGCGTTGCACGGCATGCATTAGATCCAAGTAGCGTGGCGTCAAAAGTTTAATAGGCTTGCCCCTAGAACGTGGGCGGTATTAGTTGTTTTGCAGGGTACACGCACTACCGAGGGCACACACTGCCAGAATACGCGCGCTCCAGTCCCAGCCCAAGGTGGTTCTCAGGGTCTCTGGAGACTGTGCTCATATTAGCGTCAACGGTGATGGTGGCAACTTGTCAGACCCAGTATTGACAGCAGTAGTGCAGGAACGGAGCCCCTTTCGCGTAACGGCCAGCCCGCACCGGACGTCACCCAAGTCTGCGGCACAGCCCGCGCGCGGGCAGCCCTGCCTGCCTTGACCCGGCGGAGCAAACTTCCTTTATGTATCTGAGAGGTCCCGCCGTGGTTCTCTCCGCGGGTCCTTCTTCTCCGCTTGGCTCCCGTCCGTTGGTGTCGTTCGTCTTTTTCGCCATCTGATTGTGCTCTTCACCTTTGACCATTACGCTCCTTTGTGAAGACACACGAACCCCACGACCAAAGTTTTGCTCTCGGCCAGCAACGCAAATCGGACCCGCCAACCCTCGACGACGCCGCTGCCATGGCCGTCGAAAACCGCGGGCCGCAGCTCCTAGGAGTCAACTTGCTCTTCCTGACGCTAGCCGTGATCGCAACATCGCTACGCTGCTATGTGCGTTTCGTGATGGTCAAGGCCTTTGGCCTTGATGACTGGCTGATGGTTGCTGCCACCGTAAGTCTCCTTCCGAACGCCCAGGACCGGCAGTAGAACCATCATCATTGACATCGGCTCTGCTTCGTTTCACCGACGTACAGGTCAGCTTCATCATCTACATTTCAATGTCAGTGACCGGCGAGACCCACGGCACGGGTCAGCACCACGCCGCACTCGAGCCGGAGCAGGTCACGACGGCCATCAGCTACTGGTTCGTGTGCCAGCTGTTCTACGCCCTCACCATGATCGTCTCCAAGGTGTCCATCGGCTACTTCCTCGTCCGCGTGACCGTCCGCCGGCTGCACGCGTGGATCATCTGGGCCGCCGTGGCCATCAGCATCGTCGCCGGCATCACCTTTTTCTTTGTCGTCCTCTTCCAGTGCCACCCGATCAGCGAGTACTGGATGCGCTACGGCCGCGGCCAGGTCGGCCCCGTCGACAACGGCTCGGGCACGTGCCTCAACGTCGAGATCATCATCGCCCTCGCGTACCTGTACTCGGCCTGCAGCATCGTCGCCGACTTCACCCTCGCCCTGCTCCCGGCCTGGATCATCTCGAGTTTGAAGATGGACCGCAAGTCCAAGATCCTCCTCATCCCGCTCGTCGGCATGGGCACAATGTAAGCGCCCCCCCTCTTCTCACGCAAGCAGAAATACACGTTCAGCTTTAAGGACTAGCAAAGAAGCTAACACATGATGTTTCCAACCTCAACAGTGCCAGTGCCGGTCTCGTCGTGCGTTCGCCATACCTGCTGACCTTTAGAGACCCCGACTTCCTCTGTATGTTTATCTTCCCAATCATCTGATAGTTTCCGCAGCAGATGTGAACAGTGATAACTAACCTCCTCCATTACAGACGCCACAGTAGACATTGCCATCTGGTCCACCGTCGAGCAGGGCCTCGCCATCACGGCCGGCAGCCTGGCCACCACGCGACCTCTACTCCGCATGCTAGGCCAGAAGCTCGGCCTGGCGACCTCGCACCGCAAGACGGACGACGGGCTGGGGTACTCGTCCGGTGCCGGCGGCGCCGGCGCTAACCGCTCCGGCGCGAGCGCGCTGGGCGGCGTGCCCCACAAGCACGGCAACAAGTCCCAGGTCGAGTCGTACGTCATGTCGTCGAGCAACCGCACCACCCGCAAAGACGGGACCTCGTGGGACGGGCTGGACAGCGACCCGGAGGACGGCATGATCTTGCATGAGCAACAGCAACACCACCACCGTGGCAACGGCAACGGCGGCGGCGCGATGGGCGGCAGGAACGGCGCGTTTTCGTCGGCCGTGCCCTCGTCGTCACATGGGGTCTCTGGTGCTGGTGCTGTTTCTGGCGGCGCTGGCGGTGGCGGCAACGGTGGAAGCAAGAAGGGCCACAAGTCTGGCATGCGCACGCGCACAATGAGCGGGAGCGACAGCCAGGAGGAGCTGCAGTCGTCTGGCTTGAGCAGCGACAACGTCGTGGTCACCCGGAGCTTCCTCATTACTGATGAGAGGGTGTAACCAGAAGAAAGAAAACGGCAGGTTTTCAATGCGGGTGAATAAAATAAAACGGGGTTCCTTAATAATGCATATATATACACGGCTTCCAGCACATACCACCGGTTGTTTGTTTTCTAGTCAGTCGTTTAGCAAGCTTTGGTTGATTTTCAAAAATGGGAAAACGAACTTTGGAAACCGCCATAAAATATGCGACTTGGCTCATTGTCCAAGGTCACTCACTCCATTAGGCCAACAAGGCTGTGTCACTACCAAGGTCGCTGATCGCAACTACAAGGGAAATACTATGTCCGCGCAAAAAGCCAATACTCCGACTGGAAGGCTTCTACCTCACAGATCCTCAATCTCAATCTTGACAAGCAGAGAGCAGGTCGTCTCATGACCCTTGAGGTCCAACATACGGATGAAACTCCACCCAGGCACGGCATACAACAGCCGAATGGCGGCGACCGCGAAGATGGGGTTCGTGGCAAAAGAGACGTCGCTCTTGATCAGGATCCTGAGGAACACGAGCTCTTTGCCGGCGTCGCCGTCGTCGTACTCCCACTCGAGAGTCTCATTCCAGATCGGGTCCGTGACGGGGGGATTCTCGTCATCCTTGTGCAGCAGCTTCAGCCGGTGCTGCTTGTACGCAGACGTCTTGCGCTTGGGTGGGCTGTCGCCCTTGATGTCCGACGGGTGGATCAAGGTGCACGTCACGTACGGCCGGATCTCGTCTGCCTCGTCCGCATGGCCTGGCGGGACGGGCACGTCGGTCGCGCCCGCCACCAGAACACGCAGCTTCTTCATCCGCTTGGTTGCTTCGCCGCCGACTGGGGCGTACCCCGCGCGCAAGGCCGCCGGCTTGAGCAAGTACCCATCGGTGCCGCTGAAGAGAGCCTCGTTGAGCTGCATGCTCGCCCCGAATGTCTGCCAGTTCATGGCGCAGATTTGTGCACCCACGCCCCAGAACGGGGTGGGCTTGAGGTTCTTGGACGATATCCGCGTCCCCTTGGGGAATACCCTCATGAGGTGCTTGGCGTTGTGCCTGGCAATCTTTTCGCTCGCGGCCGGAAGGTGGCTGGCAAGTCCGGTCTCGGAGACGTTGATGAGGTGGTGGTGTGGCCCGTCCTTGAGGATCTCCTCGTACCACGAATTGTCCCGTGGCTTGACGGACTGCGCGTACACGCCGAGCTCTGCGAGCTCTGGGATGATGATTGTCGACGGCGCCGCCTGCTTCTTCTGCTTGTAGTTCTTGCGCGCCACCCGTTCTTCCTCGTCGTCGGATGATGACGAGGACGAATCGTCGTCGCTGCTGCTGCTGTCATCCACTTCGCCCGGGAAGTGGTATTCGACAATGACGACGACTTTGGAGCCAAGCTGGTCGAGAGACACATGGTCTCCGGTGCCTTCCTGCTCGCGGTGGCCCTGCTCGCGTACCGGCTTGCTGAGTAGGCGGTCGCCCAGGACCTCACTCATGATCTGCGCCAGGCGAAGTTGCCCATGAGGGCCGCAGTGGTTCTCGAGCGAGATGACGATGGGCGCAGCACGGTAGCCGCGCGCGGAGGCTGGCTCGGCGGCCTCGCGGTCGACGACGTCCCTGATGGTCTCGCAGACGGCACGAAAGGGGATGTGGGAGACGAGGGTGTAGCCGTGGGTGACCTTTGGCTCGTCGGTATTGTCATCGTCGTCCCAGGCGTCGACCTCGACACAACGGGAGCCCGTGTTGAGCGCCGTCTCGTAGGCAGTGGCGGAAGACTTGCCGTGCAGCTGGTGGCCCATGAGATAGGTGTTGTGGCTGGACGAGATGAAGTACTCGGGCAGCGGGTGCGACCTGTCTGTGAGCTCGGGAGGGACGATGGCGTGTGGCCTCTCGAGCAGAGAGCGAAGGGCCGGCGAGAGGCTGGTCTGGCCAGGCTGGGCATCTGCTTCGCTCAGCACGTTCTGCTTGACGAGAAAGGCTCTGAGGGCGCTGCTGACGCGGAGCTGTGTGTCTGTGACGTTGCTGTGGCGGGCTCCGTGGCCGCCTCCAGCGACGGTCGAGTCGTCAATGGCCTCGCCCACATCGTCGTCGTCGCCACGGCGCTTTGAGAGGGGGTTGAGCCTGGCGAGGCGCGCTGTGATTGCGTCGGCCATGGTTTTTCGATGGTGAGAATGTTCGGTTGTTGAAGTGCGACGACAGGGAACGCGGTTACTTTACAATAAAGGCGACGACCCAATGACGGAGCTGAGGCTGACCACGACGCTGTCGTAAGCAGGCGATGCGATTCCTGTTTGGCACAGCTTGGCGGGGAGGGAAGCGGGGCAGCGGCGTGCTAAGTGCCAGCCGCACCGCACCGCGCGCGTGCCTGGGGATGCACGGCTATTGCGTGCCGGTTGCCATGCCTGCTTCCATCTCTTCGCCAACGTCGCCGGTCGCTTTGGCCAAGGGGGAAGGCGGGGTTTCTAGACATCTGCAGATCGTGGCTGGGCTGATCTTGTCCTATTGGATATGACCTGTGCTCGTCCGTGGTTGATGGCCGTCTTGTTCAAGTAAATCTCAGTGTTGGGGTGTTTGGGCTTGTCAGAAACAGACCATCGGGGGGGACCGGCCATGAGTTAGCCGAATCGATCCAAGAATATATTGACAATGCCTTTGTGGAAGCAACCATAGCAGGTGCTCGGGCAACACGCAACAGGTAGCAAAGCGTTTGCACATATCGTTCGATGACGTCATCGCCACGACTATAGTCCACCCTCAACGCCGAGAGTCGACCTTCACAAAGCAACAACAAGCGTTGAGCTGCGCGTTTCACGGCACCGCCTGAGAGCGAGACTGCAATGATGTTTCGCACGAATATTTCGCCCACAAAATGTAGCTCAGCCCTCTAACGCCTTCATTCGGACTGAGTGCGTGGTACAAATTTATAACGCCAGTCCCACGCGCGACAGGTCTAGTCCGAGTGGTGACCCCTCCATAACCGCAGCTCTCGAGCTGTATAGCTCATCATTACATCATGACTCCGTATACTCGTTCCATGACAGCTACGGGCCGTGGATACTGTATCCAAACAATAACCCGTCGCACTGGTGTAGAAGCTATATAAACGAAACTCGTGGTCCGGACACGCTGCATGCTGCCCCTACTTGGTTCAACACACATATCGCGAACCCAGCAATCAACCCAAACCAACCCCCCCTAACAACGCCAAATAATCATGTCTGCCCACAACTCCTCCGCGACCGGCTCCAAGAATGCCACCGGCATGGCCAGCTCGACCACAACCCCCGCAAACGCCGGGATCGGCGAGGACGCGCCAAAGGCGTTCGATGAGCAAGGAGCCATTGGCAAGCAGTTCACAGGTACGGATTGTGGCCTACCCGCGGATGCAGCGCAGAGCTGCAGAGATAGACTATCGATTGCTAACCTTTTGTGTGTGTGCGCAACAGAGAAAGGAGCGCTCGGCGGCACGGCCCAGGCGATTGGCGGCCCGCTGGCCAAGGACGGCGCCATCGGCAAGCAGTTCACCACCGACGGGGCGATCGGCGGCTCTGTACAGGACACGCTGGGCGGGACAAAGAAGAAGAGCAATTAAGAGCATACCAGCAGTGTACTTTCCACATGAAGTAGCCGAATAGCTACCAGAAATCAGCAGATCCCGAATCGTGGGCCACACTTTGCTCTTGCGCTGCCAAGATCCCGTTTGTGAATCGGTGTGGCGGACTGTGTCGCCTGCGCACCCGTGATTTGGCAGATGAGGATTGAACTCCGCTGGCGTAATCAGTACACGCATATTCCAAGTTGTTTTTGTGCTCCATGCGATCAACCAGTTCACTTACCGCGCGACGCCAGGCACCATAGACGACTCACAACCCCACCCGTTCAAGAGGAATAATGCTACTGGAAAAGTATACCGGGCCAAGGCATATGCCGACCGTACGTACGTATGTGTCTAAGCCCTGGTCGTCAGGAGCGAGCCGTTTGGACAGAATTTGTTACAGGTTCGCCAGTAGGCCCATCACTCCGAAGCCCGAATCAAGGAATGAAGTCTTCTTGCTTGATCCTGCAATGCTGTATTGTCTCCAAGCCAATTTTGGAGGGGGACGATTGCTTAGGTGCCGACCAGCCACAGGTGCTCTTATCTCCCAGATGGACGTATCTGTGAGGACAGAGAAAGAGGAAAGCACTTCTTGCCGTCTTGTTGCCGTGCATGCTTTGAAGGACTTCAAGGATGGTTTTTAGATCTGTTTACTTTCCACAAGCCTGCGATGAAGACACCGGCAATCATGTAAGAACAACCGGCAAACAATTGAGCATATAGATATGCCCTTGGAGACGAGAGCCCGCGTAAGACCAAAGCGATCGGCTCCCCACCTGAAAGAATAATTCATGTCAGTAGACCTTTTCGTAATCCTGAAAAGTCAGCAGTCCCGGTGACTTACAAGCTGATGGAATCACTGTGGTAGCCCAGGCCAAGGACAATAAGGACTGGGTTTCCTTGAGGCCGGCAATCTCTACCGCCAGCGGTCCAATGGTCTGCGAGTGTCAACTTAGCTTGCGTGGATATATGGGGGAAGTATTTTCGCCCGTAAGCACAAAGCTGGCACATATACTGAGCTCTTACCATCCAGAACACCCCAAGTATTGCCCCACAAAGTATGGCGAAGACCAGAGTCAGGGCAAATGATCTGGCAGGTATCCACAACGCAAAGCAGATGACTCCGCATGCGAAAGTGAGCGAGGCGGCTGTCCCGATCCGCGAGAAACGGTCGCTCACGATGCCGATGATCGGCCGGCCCAGAGCAGTCCCGACGTTGAGGAATCCGATTATGCTCGTCGCCTGTGACTCGGACAGCCCGATAGCGAGGCCGAAATCGGACAGGGAGAAGAGCAAAGTGACGTATCCAAACATGCTGGCAAAGGTCCAGCAGAGGAGCAATATGACTTCTGTGCGACAGAGCAGCACCACGTCGAAGGCGGCCTGAGTGGGCCTGACGTGCTGGTTCCGGTCTCTGAGCACAAGAGTCGCGATGAGCGTGGCGGTGAAGGCGACGAGGCCGGTTATGCGAAGCGTCCAGTCGATGCCCACGTTGCGGATGGCAGCTGCCGTTCCCCAGGTGAATGCAGCTCCTCCAACGCCCGAGCCAGCAGAGCTGATGCCGTTGGCCACGCTCCTCCTCCTTGAGAACCACTGCGACAGGACGGCCGTGCTCGGCACTACCAGAGAGCCGATGCCGATGCCGACCAGGGCACCCTGTGTCAGATAGAGGTGCCAGACCCGCGTGGAAAGAGAAGCGAGGCCGTAGCCAAGAGATTGCAGAAAGCAGCCTGGGATCATGACGGCGTGGATGCCAAACCTGCGAACGAGATGCGTGACGAGCGGGGCGACGAGCATGGCGCAGCTGAAGTTGAGTCCGCCGACGAAGCCAAACTCCAGCGGTTGGGACCCATGGAATCTATCCGCCGACATATACTCTGAGAGGTAAACTCCGAATGACTTTCGAGGATGTCAGCGTTGTTTGCGTCTCGGCTGCCGAATGAGCTGCGCGACCTACTGAGGTAATGCCCCAGGTGAAACCGTTGAGGATGAAACATGCACTGACGATGACCCAGCCATATCCCCCGTCGGGCGGGGGCGCAGTGATCGCGTGGGTGGGAGGCTGGGTGATCGTAGTTGTCGTAGTCGTGCCTCCTGTGTTGTCCATCGATAGCCGTCACAACTCAACAGAAGGTCCATCAATGGGCCTTGCTGGTGCCTGTAGTGACGTTGCGAAGTCCTACGGCACTGTCGCCAATTATACCAGGTCACTCAAGGTCTCGACAGTGCTCAGGCACAGCCATTGCCGCAGTGGAGGCTGTTCTTTGATTGGGCAGACCCCAACGGTGACATATCACAGAATTGCCTAATGCAGACTGGTGCGAAAAGGGCGGCATAATCCACAAGGAAACACGCCGCCAGTGGCAAGAGTCAGTGTTGTGATGACTGGTTTACAGACAGCTGCAGTACCTGGTCCGACATTTGACCTTGAAGGCTGGGTTCTGGCACAATTCACTCGTTTTCACGCTCTGGCTTTTGGTCAGATTGTACTGCACTGTGGCACATCTAACGGTCAGATGCCATCGGTGTCAGAGGGTTACCGACCCACAACTTTTGGCGGCTGGAATCAGATGACGTACGCGGGGGCACAGTCATTCTCTCCATCCTGCAATGATACTGGATGGCGCGGCCTGATTGCGGATCACAACACCTCCATATGCTTTGCCCGACACGGCACACAGCCTTCCATCACCAATTCTCGCTCTAGATACGCGGACCGCGTCAAGTCGCGGCCCGAGGAAATGGGCATCCGCCCTCAGAAGCTCTCGGAGCACGGCGCTGTCCTCAGGTGGTCGTCGAAGCCCCCCGCCGACCGGGCTAGCCGTGTTCGCGAGAACCAGCGCCGGTGCCGGCAGAGGGCCAAGGACCGCGTGGCCGACCTTGAGTCGAGGCTCGCATCGACGCAACAACAACTGCAGCAAGCTCTGATCAAGATCGAGCAACTCACGACTGAGCTGGACCGTGCCCGCGGTCGGGGCGCTGACGGCGCGCCAGCGGGTGTAGACGACAGGGCGGAAGCACCGGGCTGCCTGGGGGGAGCAGAAACCATGAACTACTCTGCACATCGCAGTCTCGAACCGGAAATGGGCGTGGACCTGCCATCTCAGCAAGCGCCGCCACGAGGCCGCCCATCCTCGAGCTCGCTGGGTCCCTGTAAAACAGGCCCTCGACGAGACGATACACCTACGACGCAGCATGAAGCAACAAGTGTCAGACCACGACCACGATCCATCTCTCCAATGGACTTTGCCAGCGCCATTAAGCTGGGAGCAAGCCCCGAATGCCATTACTACCCTATGCTCAAGGAGGGAGAATCGACGATGTCCTGCGGAGACGCGTACAAGATCATCCTAGAGCAAAACTACAGCGGCCTGGATGAGAGAGCAATGCTGAAGTGGCTAAGACCTGGGTTTCGGGGGCCTGGCGCGAGTGACGAGGGATGTCGTGTACAGAGCAGCATCCTGTTTGCCTGTCTGGACCGCCTCAACCCTTTGTGACTGCTCGTTTCCGCAAGCACGCCATCTATGGCCTGCCGTTAGCTGTAATCCCAGCACGTCTGACTTGGTCCATGAAGTTCCTGTCGCACCTCACTAGATCATCTCGATCCCGCTGAGCCTTGTAGTGTGAGTTGCAGCATGTCGATGCGGTATTTCCAAATCCAGACTTGCAGTACCAATATCTGTATGATCCTCAGGAGACGGCTGCATAGTGCGCCTTGTTAAGCATTGATGGGCACGTGAGCCCAGGCACGTGCGTTCATTCGCCTTCTTATTACGGCATTACTGTTTTTCAAGCTTGCCATTCGTCCCGGATGTTGCGCAGATTCCCCTGATTTGATGTCCACGTTACAGCGCCAACTCAGAGGAAGTCGTTTCTCCAAAGTGGCTCACAAAGACGATATGCCCGGTACTGGTTGTTTTCCCAGTTCTTGCGTCCCCCAATCCTTTTCCAGCGCTACTTCGGCAGCTGCGCCCAGGGTTGGCAGACGCAGATAGTGGAAGCACCTCTACGCAGCCCGGTCTAGGCGGTCAGGCTGCTAGATCTCCGTCACTGCTATGTTCCTGCGCTCGGCTTTGGCATGCTCCTGCTCAGGCGATCATAACTCTGTACCAAGCCAGTCAAACGAGTCCATGAGCTCAAAGTTGAAGTCGAGCCCGTTTGGGAACTCAAACTCAATCTGGTTCGCCATGGACGATGCATCCACACTGCCGGCGCCGTTCAGGGTCTGATCCAGCACCATCTGAATGACCGTTTTGCAGTCGTTGCACAGCGCCGCGTTCGGTGCGGCGGGATCCACCCAGTCGAGGAACCCAACCAGCAGAGATAGCTTCTGTATGATGGACGAGCGCGTGATCTGCGGATCCTCCGAATGGCGGCCGTTTGGCAGAGTCGGCTTCTGCAGCTCTTTGCAGAGTATGCCTCCGGCCGGCGCGCCGTACGCCATGAGCTGAACGGTCCGATGCGTCAGGTCTATCATTGAACGCGGGACTTTTTGTGAAAGGACATTGTTACGTACCATCCACTGGAAGTTTGTCTTCATGACCGCGAACCTCTCAAAGTTGGTCCAGAGCGCCAGCGTATTAGACACCATTCGAAAACTCGTGAGCAGCAGATGATTGGACGAGTCGTAGCCTCTCTTGAGCATCAGCCGGCCCAGGAAGAAGTCGTTCTGCAGCGCCTCCGAGCTTATCATGAGCTTTGTGAAGACTACCGCTGTGGGGATTTCGGGGTTGCTGATCTCCTCGGGCCGGTAGGCCACACAGGCTGGAAATTCGGCTATCGCCGCCGCTTGTCGGCGTGAGATGTCGCTAGAGATCAGTCAGCTATGAGAGAGCAAAACTCGGGCGATGCGCAGGCACTCACAGAAGCGTGATTAGCGTTGATTCCGGGTCGCCATTACTCCCAAGAGCAATGGCAAGGATGTTGTCTCGGAATTCCTTGATCATGCCCCGTGCTCGAAAGCAAGTAGACCCTGACAGTGTACCCTTTTTGCTCCAGCCTCGTTCGTCCAGATTGTTCGCAGCCACGAACTCCAGGCGACTCTGTGGCCCAAAGAGATCATCGCTTTCCAAATCCAACGGCAGAGGAGTCGTCATGAATCCCTTCGATAGGAGTGGTGGCCGGCCGGTGAAAGAGGAGATGCTGCATGCTCGTATGTGTTTTAGATCGGGACGAAAAGAATGGCTGCATGGTCAAAACGATTTGAAGGAAACGGCCACACGCACGTCTTGTCGGTGTCATACACCATTCCGGAAACCGTCCTTTTCAGCTCGGAAGCGAATGTAGGCACGTATGACTGAGTCAGAATCTCCGAGTGATAGCCCAAGAAGGTCAAGCATGCTACTGTCTGCGCATGACATTTGCTTGTCCTCAGACCTTGACAGATACGGCGTTAGCGGAGTGGCTCATGATGTTGCACTGTGATCTCCATTGTATCGAAGGAAGACCACGATCATGCGCGCACTTACTTGCATCGCCGGACGTCATGCTTTCCAGTATGGTCCAGCGATGATGTAGATTCAAAACGAGCAGGTTCCCCTCTGAGAACTCGTCACACAACTCTAAACAGCTGTTCGTGTGTTTGCGCCAATCCTCTTCGTCATTCGAATGCGGCTTCCGCTCCGCCGGGCGGCCCTTCCGCGTGAGCTCCCAGAAGGTCAACAGAAGACCTAGTGAATCAAATGGATTAGCATATAGTTATTTGAATATTGCGGAGACTTTGCTGCGAGCTGCTGCCAAATACCTATGGATTCCCAGCGCAGATTGGGGCCGCTGAACTGGGCGATCCAGTGCCTTCCCTCCAGGTCATCGTTGACACGCCGTGCCGTGCTGATACAGATCATGCGAGCCATCCGTCTAAGGTCCTCATCGTTGCGATGCGTACCCAAATAAGCGCCAAAGATGTTTGCATCGTACAAAGCCTCGACTATGACCATGGCAATCCGATAAATCCAATCATGCATGAGGAAGTACTCCTTGCCGACGATGGCGACGTCCTCGACAACTGGAATACGGCGGAGAACAGCGACACCCCGCGCAATCGAGGCCTCAGATATCTCAGGCTCAACTCTGGGTGCTTCAGCGTTGCTCTGTGCCCAAGCTGCGGGTTCTTGGGTAAGGAGGCTCTCTCTTGCCTCGTCTATGACGGTGGTGTAGCTTGCATAGCCGAGGTAGCCTGAAGGCCTAGGGTTGGCGCCTGAGCTACTGCCAGGAGTGCCGCCGGCTTTTTGAGAGTCGTTCGGGAGTGAGTGTCTCGGCGACGATGCTGAGCTCCGGGGTTGCGCTGTCTCGAATGCGGTTATCGAGTGGGCCGAGATTGTGTAGGTGCAACGAGCCTCCCCATTCTTGCGGATGCATCGTTGACAGACTGGCTGGCCGTGATCGCATGCTACCTGTTCGCATGTTAGAGTTGCTGTGACTTTAGCTGAAAGCGACGAGGGGCAGGCTGACAGACCTTTCGGCGACGGCACGGATCGCAGGCCTGCAGTCGACCGTTGAGCCGGCGTAGCTTATGCCGGGTCGAACTGGACATGACTCGACTGCGCAGACTTTTCGCATCTGGAAACAGATCTTGATCCAGGTGCAAATCACAACTGGTAATGAGAAGAGAAGAGAAGTCAATGCTGTTGGGGCGTCGCGGTACAAGCGGCTTCGGCCTCGGCCTCGGCACCGCTTATAGACTAGCGTACAATTATGAAATGGCGCCCCTGATACTTCACATCATCGACGCGATTGTGGCAGCTTGGCGGATCTAATGCCTAGCGATGCAGGACCACATAAATCAACAAGAAGGTAACGGGAATAAAATCTACACTATTTCCCCTTCACCATCACAGGTGGCGAGGTACAAGACCTGCTATTGTGTGGTAAGTAGCAACGGAAGTGGGCGCTTTGTTGCATAACTAGGTTCTCGTGAATGTTGACTATGGAGTTATGCACGAGATCATGCAGGACATCAGACCTGATAAATCTTCATAGTACACTTTCTCAAAGCATGATCTAGCATATCTGTGCGGGTACAGAAGCGAGTCGCGATGTCCATTGCTCAATCAGCCGAGCATGGGCCATGGTTAACGTTATGCATGTGCCCATAACGGGCCAGAACAGCCGAACGACAGGACGGTTTCTCAAATTCCGCCCGCTTCGCGCACCAACTTCAACCTCAACATCCTCACATCCAATGCCTCGGCTCTTCCGTCCTCTCCCATTTCAAACACCCAGTCGTCCAGCGTCGTTGCACCATACGTCGGTGCGCCGAGAGACGTCCATTGCATCAGGCCAGGATCCTGAACCTCCTTCATGTCTCCTGTAGCATTGAAGAAGCTGGCCCGGAAGCCTAGGCGTGATATAAATGTCCCACTGCCAGCGCTTCTCTTGCGTACCGTCTTCAAGAGGGTTGGAAAGAGGCGGGCGGATTCTCCGGCACCGTATATCTGGAGGAAAGGGCTAGATGGGCCGATGACCTCGACACCTCGCGAGATCAGACTCTTCACCATGAGCCCAGGCGTATCCTTGTCTACATGTACTGTGACAGAGCTGTTGGAGGCTTTGTCCGTGAAAGTCGCCGCGAAGTTGTCCCGCGCCTCTCGGCGGGCCTGCTCCTCAGCCATCGGGAGAAACACCCGGCCTACCGCGTTCATCAGGGTCTCTCTGACGGCAGCAGAGTTGGACTCGGTTGGCCCAGCAGACAGTACGACAGCTCCCATCTCATGCTCAGGCGCAAGGATCAATGCCGCACGGTAGCCACCAATGTCACCCTGCTTCGTGTATAGCTGTGACAGACGCTGACCGAGCATGAGATGCCGGATCTCCCACGGCGCACCAACTGCTGACCCGAGAACGCCGGTCTGGCTCATCGGCTTCAACCACCTGCGCGTCTGCGCGGGTGTCAACGTCTTCGACCCAAGAATGGCGCGTCCAGCTTTGACCATGTCGGCAGTTGAGCAGTATATGGAACCGGACGGGCTGGAAGGTCCCAGGTCCCAGTCCCAGCCGACGGCCGACTCGTCGCCGGGAATGACTCCCCCGGAGCTTGGCTTGGATGCAAAGCTGCTTGAGGTCATGTTGAGAGCAGAGAAGATGTTTGTGGTGATTGCTTCGCCTGCGGTCCTGCCGGTGATGGCTTCTTGGGCGTATCCGAGCAGAGTGTAGGCGACATTGGTGTACGCAGGAGAGTGACCACTGGGGAAAATGGGATGCTGTTTGAGAAGTTGCGAGATCATTTCTGCGCATGTCAGCCCACAGCGCTGGAATATATGAAGTGATGTCGCCTTACCGCTACGGCTGCACGGTCGCAGCACCCCTGTGACGCCACACACGGGGATCTCGCTAGCTTCAAGGGGTGGTAGTCCAAGTGCCTCGCCCTGTTGAGGAAGCAGTCCAGCTGAAAAGTCGGTCTGAGAGGCTGTCAAGAGGTCAGCCCTGCGCTTTGACTTCATGACAAGTACTTACGATCACGTGGAATGCCAGCCAGGTGGCTCGCAAGTTGCCCAAGCGTGACCTCGGCCCAGCGAACGTTGTCAATGTCGTCGTACACTGTCCCCGACTCTAAAGTGTCCGACAATGCAGCTAGCTCAGGAACATATTTCGTGATAGGGTCACTGAAGTGCTCATCCCCCACCTCCATGAGAAACGTCCATACGCTGAAAACCTTGGACACGCTCGCGATCCGGAACACCGAGTCCCTGTCGACTTGGGAGACACCGACATTGTAGTCTGGTGTAAAGTATATTTCGTACAGAGGCTCTTCTTCGCTAGTCGAGAAGACGGCCACGGTCCATGCGGTCTCGTTGGCTTGGATAACTGGTGCGCCCGCGATCGACTTTTCGAACTTGTGCACTGCTGTTTTCAGCGTGTCACTTCCATGGAGAGAAGACGGCGCTGGGAATGCTGGACCAGCTAGGCCAGCTCCAGGAGGCACTGTGCTTTGCTCTGAGAGATTGCAAAGGGCGCCGAGAAGAGCTGTGGCCCGCTTCATGGTTCCAGTTGGCTTTGTCCGGATGATCGAAAGAGCGTAGAGACGAGAGTGAATGGGTGATTTAAGAAAATTGGTAGAATGAATGAATGCTTTGGTCAGGCGAAGATTAATGTTGCTTGCGTCTGGAGGAGTACTCTTATATGCTAGAGATCAATAAAATTGCGCAGGGTGTAGACATTGCCATGGTGTCGTCTCGTCCATGCCCACCCCCTCGCACTGGACCCACATTGCGGATGGTTAGGCCATTCATCACAGCCCCAAATATTCAGCCCAGGCCGTCTGTGTTGAGAAGGCAAATATTTGGCGTTTGTCGCTGTTGCCTGTTCGACAGCTGCAGGTCTTAAGACTCTCACAATACAGGCATGAGCCCGTTCGTGGGGCGGATGTTGCTTGCATTGGCTCAATGTTGTACTGATCCTGACTGGCATTTATTCAGCGTTCGTAATAACCGAGCTTGATATCCAATCCAACTTCTCTGCCACAGCGCTTCCCTCGAGATATACGAGGTGTATCCGCCGCCGAAAGACCAGGTTGCCCTGCTCATCAAGATGCTCAAACACCTCATCTTCCACGTATGAATCTCTGATCCTGCTCCGATCATCAGGAAGCTCCGCGTCGGTCATTGGCAGCCCTTCATCCACCAAGATGCCGTGCTCATGCTCCACTATGCACTTTCCGATCGCATACATGGTTTCTGCATCCCAGAGTGACTCCCTGACATTGGCCAAATCTCGGAGCACCTTGAGAGCCTCCAGTCGTGTAGCCAGATGGCGGCACTTGATGACCGCAAAATGCAACAGCGGCGCTGTGCCCATGCTGAAAGTGAACTTCGTCGTTGATGCCTGTTGATGAATTATTTTGGCCAGCCTCACAATTTCCGCGAATTCTGCATGGAACCAGTCGCTGGCTGTTTCCTCTCGGTGGGGAGCAATGCTTGTCCATACCCAGCCGACTAAAAACCTCATGCGCAGCAATGACCGTGCAGTGTCTGCTGCAGCTGTGTCAACCGGCAATGCCTCGAACGCGATCTTCCAAACCATGAGGTCCCTCAGTACTGCCTGTTGCATGTTCCAAACATCGGGCGGGATGATCAAGTCGTCGGCGCCTAATCGGTACGCGTCCAGAGATCGTACCAAGCCGATTGCCTGGGCCAGAAGCTTGTCCATTGCAGTGGCAGCAGCTGCTAGACTCTCGAAGCGAGATTCTTGCGGCCTCGACGATAGGGACGGGAACTCTCCAGACGAGAAGAAATGCGGGAAGATGCTGAGGTGCTGAAGCACATCAGCAGCCGCACTGTCTGGGGCTCGACACGTCCTGGCGAGGAGAATCCCATGCCGACAGTGTGTAATCGCAGCTGCTGTGTTGCCACGCAGAAACTCGATGCAGATGAAGAGTACCGACGCAACGAGAACCGCGAACTCTTGCGGCTTGCTTGTTGCCACGAGTCGCAAGGCGTGGTTGTAATGCCTCAGCACCTCTTCTTCGCACAACGAGTCCTTCCAGCTTGGCTCGAACCCTTCGTAGAGCAAGCTGATGGCGTGGATCCCGTGCATCACCGCCGCCTCATTCATAGCCAGCTGCATTACCGGGTTTGTCCAGAAGCCATTACCCAATGAGCCATCGAGTACTGGGGCCACAACGGAGCGAAAGTAGTCCAGGCTGCGGGCCTCTTGCTGAGGTAGTCCGGGGCCAGGGACTGCTAAGAGGGGCGGTTTGGCTTGCAACAGGTGTTGCCAGGAGTACGAGCCGATTGGCGGGCTGAGATATGTGCAAGACCGGCCTCCGACGTGGCACCGGTTGCAGACCGGGCGTGCTTCATCGCATTTGACCTTTCTTCTTCTGAGGGCCTGTCAGCCAACATCTCCGCCAGAACATTAAGACTGAGAGGTACTCACTTGCAGGTGACGCATCCTGTTCGCCTTTTCTCTGAGCCTTGTCGTGCCATGGGTCTTGCCACTCATGTTCTTACCGTGCCAGAGCATGTGGGAGAGCTAAGGTGCCTGGCCTTGTTGATGGAGCAATCGCCGCGGAGTCGACTGCTCTTGGATTGACTGACGCAGGGGCCACTGGAGCGGCGAATTCGTCGGTGGGGCAAATGCGAACCCCATGCCTACAAATCGTGTGTTCACATGGGTGCCTGCCAGGCCACTGTGCGAGCAGGAGGCGCAGCGGCGTACCTGTGTCAAAGGAACCGAAGAGCACGAACAGTTTGATAGTCACGACCGCGTTCGCACACATTGTGTGGACTGACGGCAGCGGAGTTTCACATGCACGATTTAATCATTATTTACCACATTTGCTTCCCCATTTTCCCTGGTTCCAGTGATTCATGGAAACCTTGATTCTTGTGGGTCAACTATGAAATCCTCCAGTCACTATACTCTAGCAAGGTGTGACGCCTGAATTCCTCTTCTGATACTGAAAGCCCGTGACGCAGCCATCCGCTCTGCCCACTGCTCTCAACAGTTCTGCACCTTGTAGGCGTAGAAGTTGTTGACAGACACCTTCGTCCAGTCGCTGCATGTGGAAGCGACCGCACTCCCGCTGCATGCGCTATTCGACCACAGGTACAGGCAGCAGTCCTCGCTGGGATCGCGGTCCCAGTGGAACATGGTGTTCTCTGGGTGGAACGATTTGCGGCAAGGTGTGTTAGTCGATCCGAAGGGGGCTTTGCGGGCGTTGGTAGGGCCGTGCTCGTATTGCCAGGCCATAGTGGCGGGGATCAAAGCGAGGAGGACGGCGGTGATCTGCATCTTGGCAGTGGAGACGAGGCCTTTTGTATAGAAGGAGAGCGAGCTGGCGGAGATGTGAGTTAGGATAATATGGCAATGTGGCTGTACTGCTGGTCAAAGACTTACATTGAGCTGGGTAGTTTGGTTGCAGAAGCCCTTGATTGTTGGATCTCATAATGGCATTGTAACGTCCACATCAAGGCTTTATATACTTGCAAGAAGCATTGTTCAATCGTTCAATTTGCCTATAGTGAGAAGTCCTTGAACATTCGGCCCCCAGGCTCCTCATCAGCTGAAATGTGCCAAGAACGACCTGCACTAACGACAATCAGGGGCCGCAGCCAATACTCAGTCGGCACTCGGACGCCACAAATACTACATTCCCGAAAGGATCAAGCGGAATCCATTGTTGCTACATTGGCCCAGGACCTGCACGCTTTTAGGTGTAAGACGGACAAATACTTGCTCTGATCTCTTGGCGATCTTGTCTCGGTTAAAGCTACTTGCACTGTTTATGTCAAAGACCACCCGCAAGACAACTGACAAGGAATTAGATTGGCTTCTGCAAGTGAGCCTGAATGGCACATTACTCCATCACCCAGCAGGTCTGATGATGTCCTGGCTTCGAGGAGTAGCTGTTTGGTACAACGCGATTGAGGGTGCATGGTCGCAGGGAACGTGCTGCGTGTATGCTACGCGTGAAACTTGCCGAGACGAAATCCATCAGCTTCTATGTTTTTATCCTTATGACGGCACGGCGACCCCGAGACGGGGAAGAGCAACAACTTCGGTAAGCTGTTCAGCAATTTGCGAGGATTAAAAACGACCCTGGAAGGCATCCAGGATGCCCGGGGCAGGCAGCCCCAGTTCTAGAACTTGCGATATGATAGTGTCCAGATACAGTAGCTAGCGAAAGTGCATTCCGTGTCGATCCTGACTGGGACGCACACATGCTCTTTCGGAAGGCAGCACTCGATTCTCTTCAATGGGCCTGTTCCCACATCACAGCGGTAATTGTCCGTGTTGTGAAACAAGATGCCATCGCCATTCCACAGAGAGGACTTGACTATATGTTGAAAAATGAATGCAGTATCAAGTATAGCGTCTTGACGAAGTATTTCTGGTTGTCTGCAATTGAGTTTGAGAGCTTCCCCCCCGTCTGCGTACTGCTTCCAACCGTCATGCCGAGCTGGGCTCGGAGTCCGAAACGTGATCCGAGTAGAAAGGGGCTACAAAGAGGCTTTGGACACCTCAATTAGCTTGAGATACCTTGCTTCCAAACAAATCCTATGAGCAGCTGATTATGACTGACCCCGCCGTTTCTTTTGTCAACGAGCAGCATAAGACAGCATCAAGATGGTGGAGGGTTGTTTTGCCATTTCATTGGAGCTTGATGTGTGGGGTAGCGGGGTTGTGTTGCTATTTTTAGCAACACACTATGCCGTGCGCCTGCAAATTTCACTGCATTTGTAGCTTGGTTCGCGGGTCCTGGAGATACAAGCCAGGGACCTGTGCTGGGGTTCTGGGGGCGTGTTGCAAGATGACGAGCGGGTCTCGGAAAGAATCAGCCGGAGAGCTCGAGTGGCAATGTCGAGGCACGTTGTGGCTGTGAACATTACAAGCCTCTAGCGGGCTTTCCTTGGTGTCCCAGACTGTGGCTCGACACCGCAGGCAATATTGCTTGTCGCTTACTCACCCAGGTTTTTACGCTGAGCCGCTATGCATGCGCACTCATCAGATTTCAACATCATCTGGCTCGATATGCTCGACCATGGCAAGTGGGGTATCGCTTAATGCACCACAGTACCGTTTGCATCATTCGTACCGAGCATTGAAAGGACTACAAAGTCAGGGATTCGCCCTGCGATCCTGAAGCCCACCAAAGTCAGCGTGGAAGAAATCCGTGCCAAGGAGCTCTCCAGGACAGCTTGAGCACGTAGAATCGAACTGGGAACATGGGTCGGAGTCCTGATGGCTCGCTCGGCGCGCAAGGCTGTCGTGGCACTTCTCCCGTCGGAAAGTAGACGTCACTGCTAACATTGCAGCGGCAAGTCTGAGGCGAGTCAGTCTGCCCAAATGACCATGCGAAAGCTGAGGAACCCTGGGAAAGTCTCCTTTTCCGCCCGGGTCTTGGTCTGATGGCTGCGCCAGGTCCTGTTGAGCATGCCTGATTGGGTGCCTGTCGTCATTTCTCGTATTCCAGATCAATCGCCCGCCCATGCCGAACACGGGGACGCCATGTGGAGACGAGCGGCCATGCCAGATCTGGGGTCTCCCGCCTCGCCCTACTGTTGTCTCTCGCATTTCGCAACGATGATCACGTAACGTTGCTCACAGAGTCTGCTCCACGAGCCGGCGGCAACGTAATTAGCTTTCCTCATGCCTGTAGCTGATTGGGGCGCGTGGCTCACTCCCGCCAGCCTGCCCGGCTTGTCAAGTAGTAGTGGCAGTCTTGTTTTGTTTCGGGGCGTTCAGTGTTGTGGACGCAGGCCACTAGTTCTAGCCGAACCTCTCAGGGCAGCATCATAATTCATCCCGACAAAACTGCCACCAAGATCAAGTGCCCATCCATGGGCAGTGATGCCTTGGAAGTGATAGGTCACGCAATTATCTCAATCAGCTATGGGGAAATGCTCGTTTGTATCAGTTCTCATTACTGATTCCTCTGCTGCGATGCGGTTTCCCTGCCAGGCATGTGTAAGGGAGGTCAGTCGCGCGCCGCAATACGAATGATCCACAATGCTTCGTGAAATCAGAGGACCCAAAAGTCCCCCCATGCAAGAAACAACAATGTGCCTCAAGGGCTCGTCTTTCTAGGCGGCGTCAAGTTCGTTCCGTGTGCCTGGTGGAGCTTGGCAGGGAGCCGACTCCGCAAACACGGAGGTCGACCAGTTCTCTACCCGTACTTTTGCTGAGTGATCGTCATTGTTCCCCCCTTCCCGAAGCGTGTGGATCCTGCATCGTCATTATCTGAACTGCTGCGTTCTCTGAATCCCACTTGTATATAAACACCAAAATCCAAGCAGCAACTCTAGTCTCGGCTCATACATCTCACCAACAATACCACTTCTTCAAAGCATAACCAACGATATCAGCTTAAAACGACCACCCCAAACCCATACCCGCAACCATGAAGTTCTTCACTCTCGCCTTCGCCGCCACCGCCTCTGCCGCAGCTGTCAAGCGCTGCGGCGGATCGGCCGGATCAGCCCCCGTTTTCGACGTGACAGAGTTCACAGCCGGCTGCACTCCTCACTCCGTTTTGTGCCACTACTCCTTCAAGGTCGTCCGGCACAACGCGGGCGAGACCACCCCCGTCTCGTGCAGCGCCACCCAGCCCGCGTTCGGCAGCAACCAGCTGCCCAGCGTCAGCGAAGGCACCTGCGAGAACTCTTCGCGCACCTTCAAGATCGTGCGCTCCGAGGGACCGGCCATTGCGCTCTTCGTCTCGCAGCCCGTCTCGCCCAGCACAAACATTACCGGCGTCCACCAGATCAACCCCGACGAGCTCGCCTACACCAACCAGCAGGTTCCGACAGGCGTGGTTCAGACGTACATTGGCAGCCCCAACTTTCCCCTCAATGCTCCGGAGGTTTGAGCTTGACATCGGCCTTAGGTGCGATGAGCATGATAGTTGCTTTGCATATACGTTAGGATTTAAGCGCTTCTAGGCTGTTAGCAAGTCAACAACATACCAAGGAAGACCTTGTTAGAACTGGGTCAGTAAACGCATATGTACGTGGAAGCAAGTGCATTCATTCAAACGGAAGTTCATGTATGGTGTAGTAACATTTGTGCCATGTTTCTGTGAAGCTCACCCTCGAAATCACTACACGTGCTCATTTCTTCATATGCGTACAGACCTTCGGCACGGGCCGTGTTTTTTGCATCTCGTTTATGCTTGAAGGATATTTGCCCGAGACTTCGGTCGTATCTATGTCATTGTGCTCGAATTTATACAGATTCAATGTAAAGAAGAGCAGAAGTGGCTCGCGGACCTTTGTAATCACTTATTCATGGGTTGAAAGTCATCCTCGCTCAAGGCTGCACATGAGCATACGCCCAGTGATAAAAGTCCTGCATGGTAAACCGCTTGACGGCACTGCAAGCGAAAAGTTGCCGGGGCCCTGACCGGACCGTGGGCTTCTTTATCTCGATACGCATCTCCCACCGGGCGAAGCTTCCCCCGTCCGTCTGGAAAATCACGTGGTCCTCGAGCACCCGGTACGGCAGCGACCGGCGCACAAAGCCGAATTTTGCCCACTTGGGAATGGGATAGAGCTCCTGACAGTGCACATCGGCGACCAGGTTGCCCGGAGCACTCGGGTTGAAGTACAGCACGTCCTGGGCAGAGCTGAAGAACCCTTGCGCGCCAACGTAGGGCAAGATGCTCTCCGGGCTGGACTGAATAAACCTGACGGCGCGCCATGCCACAATCTCCTGTGCGTCGCCGAACTTGTGCGGCCCGAGATAGGGCGATGTCCGGTCGTTCCTGGCGAAATCGGATTGCACTAACTTGAAGCGACCGTCGGCGCTGTCAAACCTGAATCGACTTACAGGCTATATGACCGTGGAAGCAACGAGGAAACCGGTGCACGCGTCCTCTGGAACTCTAGGGCTAACTGCTATTCAACTGTGGAAGCATGGAAGGTCTATCAAGCATCTCGTACATCTTCCTAGCCCTTTTTTGATGCGATATACGAAACTACAAACCTCCCATCCGATGATCCCACCTCCACGTCTTCGGAGCTGGATCTGTTACTGGAGTACCATGGAATTTGGTCGAACCCCTCTTCTTCCTCCAGCCGCGATAGTGAAGCCGCCGTCAGCTTCCACGGCGAAGACGTTGAGACAGTTGCGACTCTGTCGAGGTTGGCACCCGAACGTCTTCGGTCACTGCTCAATTTGCCTTTCTCCAAACTGCTAGTATGAGCCCATGACTCAGTCCCAAGTCGCTGCAAATTGGCTTTTGTCAGAGAACTGGGTCGAAGGGGCACCGCATAAAAATCTCGAAAGTAAAAGGGCTTTTGGACAATTGGGTTGCTGCCCGCTCCGTGTGTGTTCTCTCGACCCCTGCTCTTCTCAGTTTCTCTTCCTTTGGGCTGTCTCTTTTTCATCGCCTCACGCTTGCCCTCTTTGACAAATATTGCGCGCGAATCGCTGGCGCTCTCGGGGTAGTTCACAATCTTGGACTCTGCTGACCAGTCAGATGTCCAAGAGTCATCTTCTTTGGTGTCCTTCTCATCATCGCCGTAACCGCTGTGTATGTGATATATGCCATCAGGCTCGCTATCTTTCTCTTTAACTGCGGTTTCTGACGCCAAGTCGCTGTCTGAAAGGTTGATAGTATAGCGACGGAGGACAGAGCCAACACCGCTATTACCCCGGACATGATGCGCTTCAGGGCGCTGTCTGGATTTAGTCCTGGTGGCTCGTTCGTATGAGTAGCTCGGCTCCTCGTAGCGCACATTTGAAGCTGGAAGATGGTCATGTTCTTGATAAGAGCCCAAAGCGGGTCGGCGTGCAAGTCCGGCGGGACCGTGACCGCTGCGAAGAGTGTCCTCTAGTAGCAAAGTATCCTCTACCACCCTTACAAGTGGCGAAAGGTGGTACTCCGGCTCACTTGCGAGCATCAAATCGTGGAAAGCTCGCTGAAGGACCTTAAATTTGGGGCAGTCGCTCCCATGCCACGGTACTCTGCACCGCTGGCAAAATACGCCGCGCGCTATACCACAGGGAACGCAGACCGCCTTGGGATCCATTGCGAAAGAACTCTTGTTTTTCAACATTGAGAGGCGAACGGTACCATGGAGCCCTGTCGGGCAGTTCCAAAGATTCCACTGCGTTAGTCGAAACTGATATTCGAGCTCGGCCAGTCCTGGCCCGAGGAGGATCCGCTTATAACAAGTCCAGTTGATGTGAGTCAAGCAGCACCCGATGGATGCGGTCCAGGGGCTCAATAGACGTCCCAGGAGTTGGAGGAATAGACAAGCGTGACAGATGTGATGCCCACAGCCGAGCGGCTCCGTGATGATGTAAGTGAGCGTCCTCTGACATATCCCGCAGCTCCGTTGCAGCTGCAATGGGGGGTACTCCGAATGTTCCAAAGGCGTCTTCGCAGTAGCAATCACCTCAACGGCCAGGTCCGAGCTCGTTGGACACGACGGTGTTACGGGGCAGTCTGGCTCGTAAGTCGTGGTGTTGTCTAACCTAAGTACTGGATCTTCAGATCGTGCAATCAGCATAGTGCCCGTTTCTGTGGCCTGTTGCCGGACATCCAGTTGTGTTTCGTTGTTCTTGGCTGCATGGTCCTTCGCAGTTTGAGATTCCGCAATTCCTGGTCCCAACGTCTCTTGCCCAGAAGTCTTCAGAATGGTTCTGGAATCGACTGGGAGGTTAGGCAGCTCCCCAATGCTTCCCTCATCTATTCCGTCCTCAATATAAGGCGCGCAATAGTTCCGGTGGCGTATGGTCGGTGCCTCGGCAGACCCATTTCCTGCGTCCTGGTTTGTCGCTGTAGGTATGGTTGGTTCCCGTACCGGCTCGCTTGGACGACTTCTATGCGCACCCACGCCGCTGTCTTTGTCGCGGACGTGCTGTGTCAACCATGCACTATTCTGTGTTGATAGCGCAGACGGCCGTTCCTCCGGTTGTGGCGACATGAGACCTAGAATGAATTCGCAGCCTTGTTTGGACAAGCCTATCGCCTCCAGCCGCGCCATGGGGAAGTCGAAGGTCCCTGCTGCATACCGAGCCAGTTCTCCGAGGTCCTCAAAAGCTAGACGAAAAGTGCAAAGCTTATATATCATGGCCCCCAATGACCAGATATCCACCGTGAACGTGTAGGAAGCGTTTCCCCCGTGCTGGCAAAAGCCAAAAATCTCGGGCGCGGCATAGCCGGTAGTGCCTCGATGCATCGTGTGCAGGGTCGTGACCTCCGCTTGTCGCCTCTTGCTCGTTCCGAAATCTGCGATCTTGACAAACCAGTCGGGCCCGGGATTGACGACCATGACGTTCTGTGGGGCCGATCACAATATCCGTCAGTCATAACACGTTGGGACGATCGCAAGCAGACAAGACGACCTACGCTCGGTTTCAAATCCCTGTGCACGAACTGATTGCCGTGCATAAAGACAAGACCTTCTACTATCTGGGCTGTGATCTGCTGCGCCTCTGTTTCTGGAAGAGGGGCGCGTGTTGTTATGGAGGTCACCGGGCTTCCAATATTCCATGATGATACAGATCGAGCTGTCCTTTTCGTACCATCCACTGGCAGTGACGAAGCAGTGCGAGTACTACGTTGTGTGAATGATCCCGGATTAGTCTCCATGGTAGATGCTGTCTCTGCAAGAAGATATGATGCTGGACGAGAGGAACCATGACTGACGTTCGGATGTGAGAACTTAAAGATCGCTTCCAGCTCTCGCCAGTAGTCCAGCTCCTCGCCATAGTTAACACACTTGCTAATCTCCTTGACGGCTCTGACTCTGCTGCTCCCATCGTCCTCGCTGCAACTCTCGAGGTAGACCGTGCCATAAGCCCCTTGGCCCAGTCGGCGGGATCTCTTCCATTGTTCTTCTTTGCGGACTCGACGCTGGCGCGCAGACCGCCCGGCTTCGTATCGCACGTGCCTCGTCGTGTGCTCGTCTATGGATTCGGTCTCGACCAGGGCGTCGCGCACGATGTCGGGGAAGTCCTCGAACCTGGGCATCGTTGCACAAGAGACATCTGTTGATAGGCTCGGAGGCGCATCACGGACGCCAAGAGCCTCTGAACGGGCGAGATCGCTTGACGGTGACTAGTCAGCGGATGACGGCGCGACGAGAGCCCACGAACAAAAGGTTAGGAGAAAAGGTGCAGGTCAGGCAGGCGGGGTGGCCGACACCCGAGCAGCAAGCATTCGATCGAGTGCACCATTCTGACTCAGCCACGCAGCCTTGCAATAACCAGTGACCGGGGGTTGCAGCTGTCTTGCTGCGAGGGGGCTGTGCTGAGTGCACAGCGGAGACCTTCGCAGTTATTGCCCTGTCATGACGGCAAGGGGATGAATGCTCGCAGGGCTGAATAGAAGAAAACGGTTAGACAGGATAGCCAGGCTCAGAAGATGCGGCGGAGTGCTCAGAGTAGAAAGTGCTGGGCTTCCCACCGCATTTCATCCTTGCTAGGCGGGCTGGCCACGACAGGAGTGGCCAGCGTAAGAGTCCGGCGACCACCAAACAACTTGTGCAGGTAATGCCTCTTTATTTATCACCTGGACATGCGGCAATTCCCCAGCAAATGAGGACACTCCATCACTGGTTCCAGTGGCCAAACATCCACTCGATGTCCGCGTCGGGCAACGTAATCGCCGCGAGCCCGTCGAGCGTATGAAAGCCACCCATGTGAATGTCCCCGAGTGCCGGCTCCTCGTACACGTCGCCGCCGCCATCCGGAGCGACCATCGGCCCTGACTCCGCTTGATCCTGCGGTTCGTCTTCCCCATTGCCTTCTGTAGCAGCAGACGGCAACATGTCCTCGTCCTCACCAGTGGAGGTCTCAAGAACAGACAGCCAGCCATCAAAGTCGAACCGAGGCTTCAGGTGCACGTCCCGCGCCGCGCGGTCGCCGGGGCTTATCTGCCGCACGTAGTTCATGATCCCGTCCTTGATCTCCTGCACTCTCATGGTGGTTGGCGTGAAGTGGCCGCTTCTGCCAGACCAGGAGCGTTTGGTCAGGAAGTTGAGCTTGTAGTAGAGGGAGACCTGGCGAATCTGAGATGGGGAAAGAAATCAGTTAGAAGTGGACGTGGAGGAAAGCAAAATCTGTGTGCATCGGAAGAAGTCGTACCCAGTGAACAGCCAGGCTCCAGCGCTGGCCAAGGTCATTGAGCCCCTCCATATCCTGTTTCAGATATTCCCGGGCGGACTTGTGCGCCATGACGGGCTGCGCAGCTTCCCAATCGAACAGTGAGAGCTGGACGTGGATGCTGGCTGCGGCCAGAAGCCCAAACCCAGGCGTGGGATATGCGGATGCTGACAGGTCTCGTGACCGCATGAGCTGATACAAGTCCGAGATGGCATTGGCACTCTCGATCATGGCGAGGGCCGAGCGGCGCCAAAATTCCGCCGCGACCGCATTGTCATGGAAATGTAGTGGTGGTCCATCGCAAGGCCCTGTTACTTGCTTGTAAGCACAAAACCATGGATGCTTTGTCCAGAAGTGGGACTGGCAATAATACCTTGAAGAGGGTCGTATCCCTTCTTGGGCGTGAAAGGCAAGTACTCCCTGTGCAAAAATAGCCTGGCTTGATAGTACACCATCCACATCATGGCCCATGGCCGTCCTTGGCCGATTGCGATCACTGCAGATGTGTTCTGGCGTGTATGTTTGAGGTGCCGCGGCACGGAGGCTGCCCATCGGTTGAGAGAAGAATCGAGGACGGTGAAGGGCATATCTGGAAGCCAGGGGCATCTCGCATCGACATGCCTGCCTCCACGCCCGTTCCAGCTGACTACTTTGGACAAAATGTCGATAACACGTATTGTATGCGTTGTGATGGAGTCCATTGCGTGAGAGTGGTCGCATCTTGGCTCTAACCCTGGCAAGGGGCATCTGAGCTTGCAGGTATGAACTTGACGTCCGAAGATGAAATCCTCCTCGCTCTGCGGGAACTGTGTCGTGATGTCTTCTAGGACAAACGTGACGAGCCTTTCACGGCCGTTCGCAAGCAGTCTCTCGAGATTGAAGCAGCACCAGAATGTCCGACGCCTGCACTCATCCACCGTGGCGGAGCGGGAAACTCTCGACTGCCCCCAGTCCATGAGGCCAAGGTCGGTGTCCTGCTTGTGGAGCTGCAGCAGCTGGGCGAGCTTTGCAGCGTGCGCGAGCCGTAGCCAGCCACGGTGCTCGGCACCTTCACCAACTTCGTAGACGCACAAGATCAGGCAGGACTGGATGACCACCAGCGAGGGTTCCTCATAGCAGAGGCTGAGTTCTCTGCGGGCGGCGTCTTCGTAATATTCAGTCAGATTCCTCGAGGCGATCTCTCCCTGCGCCGAACTCTGGATTGATCTGGCGTGCGAAACTGTAGTTTAAGCAACCTGTGTCTCTCAGGCAGCGGGAAGCATGGTTGGACTAACCTCGAAGCAAGAACAATGATGCACAGGAGCAGTGGCAAGGGGAAATCGTCTCCAGCATCATCGTCAATGAGCTGCTGAGGCGGGAAGAGGTTTAGAAGCGTAGTAGCGTAGTGTGTTCGGAAATGGGCAATGGCCGCGCGCCGCAGATCCCTCGGAGGTTTGGCACGCCTACAGACGGCATTTCAGTTCCCTTCGCACGCGGACTTTGGTAAGGAGTGTGTAACAAACATACCCATGCGGAATCGTGGTGTTGTTGCTGCCACCCGCGCCGTGAACATCGACAGGCGTTCCGTCCGAGGCCGTCCCCAGCTCCGGGCGGGGGAGGTTGCCTGGGTACACGCATTCCTGGCCCCGGTTAATGCAGGCCGAGCAGGCAGGCCACTGGCCGGAGCATCTGATTTTGCGGCGTCTTTGACGAGAATGGTGTTCAGTGTATTGTCATTACATGGGGCTGAGGATAGGTAACATGTACCTGCAGTGGGAGCAGGCCAGGGCCGTCCTGGCGGTCTTGCGTCGTTTGGGTGTGTCTGGCCCGTGGAGCGCGTTCTGGAGGGCCGCTCCATCCCCAATAGACTCCCCGGATTTGGACATGTCGATCCGCGCAGGCTGCCGGGATTGGATCCGGCTCAGAGAAGATGTCGCCTGGTCGACGTCGGGACCCGTGGGCGGAGAGTGCTCATCTTGAGCGGGAGGCCGGGCGGAAAAGCCCCGGGGCAGAAGAAGAGGACGCGGGATTTCCGTTACGAGCCCACCGATAAGGGAGATGGCTCGCGTCTGCGGTGATTGGTCCGTGATGCTCCAGTGGGGAAAGAAGTACGGATGTTCCGTGGTCAGGTACGGACAAGCCGGGGGGCCGCAAGGCTTGGCCCGTATAAAGCCGACATGAGGGAAATGCACGCCTGCAAAGCCGGCCTTGTGCTCCCTGGATATCTGCAGCCCTCCATCACTCTATCTTATCTTTGTATCTTGCCTTTTTGGTGCGCGCCCAGACTCAACCATGGCTTCTGTACTAGTCCAAAATGTTGCCGCCCCTGCGGCCGACTCGCTGCCCGCCGACGCGAGCCCATCAAAGGTGACCCTTGACGGTGCCATCAAGTGGGCAAAGGCAGCATATACACAGCGCCTCCCAGCCTCAAAATCTCAGTATGAGTCCGCAACAAGGTTCTTGCCCGGCGGCAACACCAGATCCGTGTTGTTCAACGACCCCTTTCCCATCTTTATGAAGCGCGGTCAGGGCAACCGGCTGTGGGATCTGGACGGTCACGAGTACGCAGTTTCCCCCTCATACCTTTCGCAAATCAGATTTTAACGCAAATATTAGATATGTCGACTTTGTTGGAGAGCTGACGGCTGGCTTGTACGGACACTCCAATCCAATCCTCAAGGAGACCATTGCCTCGACGTATGAGAACGTGGGGATCAGTTTTGGTGCATCCACCACCCAGGAGGTGGCGCTGGCTCAATTGATCTGCGAGAGGTTTCCAAGCATTGAGCAGCTTCGTTTCTGCAACTCGGGCACAGAGGCAAACCTTTATGCATTGAGCATCGCGAGAGTGGTCACTGGAAAGAACAAAATCCTCGCCTTCAAGGGCGGATACCACGGTGGCGTACTCAGTTTCGGTCATGGGATCGCGAAGAACACAGTCGACCGCGACGACTGGGTGCTTGGCACGTACAACGACGTCGAGGAGGTCACAAAGTTGATCGCGTCAACTCCCGGCCTTGCGGCTGTCATTGTGGAGGCGATGCAAGGTGCTGGAGGTTGCATCCCGGCCACCGTCGAGTTCCTCGAGGCTATTCAAGCCACCGCGAAAAAGGTGCGGCCTCCCAGTGATTTCTGAGATTGACATAGCGTTTTTGAAGACTGACAGTTGTGCAGTGCGGCGTCTTGGTCATTCTTGACGAGGTCATGACGTCCCGTCTCCATCCACATGGCCTCCAGGGCAAGTACTCCCTGGACCCAGATCTTACGACGCTCGGGAAGTACATCGGTGGTGGATTGGCCTTTGGTGCCTTTGGAGGCAAGAGCGAGCATCTCGCAGTGTACGACCCGAGGCGTGCCTCCAGCGTGGCGCACTCTGGTACATTCAACAACAACACGCTCGCCATGTCCTGCGGTGCCGTTGGACTCTCGCAGATTTACACGCCAGACGTCTCGCAGCAGCACAATGAACTTGGTGACTACTTCCGCACCAGCCTCCAAACTGTGGCGGAGGGAACCAAGATGGTCGTGACAGGGATCGGAGCAGTTCTCACCATTCACTTCCTCGAGAACGGTCTCGCGCCTGTGCGGGAGGCTGACCTCGACGAGCAGACTGTTTCTGGGCTCAAGACGTTGTTTTGGCACTGGTGCTTGAGTCGAAGTTTCTGGATCACGGAGCGCGGAATGCTGAGCATTATTCTGGGGACAACCAGAGAGGAGCTCGACGGCTTCGTGGAAACCGCTAGGTTATTTGTCGCAGAGTACAGGCACCTGCTGGCGATATAATGCTAGCGGAAAGATAGCTGAACTTTAAAGCATTAGAGTAGGACAAGGTTCTGGATGAACGGGTCGTGGTCTGACACGCGACCTGGTAATCCGACGGTCATACCCGTGTAATATTCCCAAACTCCGATACTATTCGTCGTCGGGCCATCGGAAAGAATGGAGATACGCCTTTCAGAGTCTGTGATAGCCCTTCCATTTGGCCGTGTGACAGGATCCGAGGTGATAGTGCTGCCCCGAGGAATGACAGCACGAACAAGTACCAAGAGCGTGCTTGGATGCTGCTGGGCAGAAGACAATAGTTAGCCACAAGACCCACGCTGATCCCTGATTGTTGTTTCGAAACACACCTTCCATCAAAGATTTGATCACGTTGTCCCTGCGAGCCTGTTTATCAAACAGGCCCAAGTCAGACCTATCCAGGTAGCCCTCCGTAGTCTTCGCCTTCGAGACCAGCACATGGGAAAGCGTTTCCAGCAGCTGATAAAGCATTGTTCCCCGTGGTATTTGAACGGCTGGAGCCGAGATAGGGGTGACAACATGCTCCTCGACAATTAGCGATTGAAAAGGAACCCACAGCTGAATGTACTTAGCCAAGGTGGTGCCGCGTGAGTACTCCTGCCAACCAGGCTGTTGATCATTGGCCAAGGCTTTGCTCGCGAACTTCCATAACTTGATCTGAACAGTTTTGTTCCCGCCGAAGATGAAGTTGCCGTTATCGTCCATCATGTCATTGGTTATGAATGCGGTGCCCATATCGCCTTTCTTCATGTCGATCGCGAGTTGTTGGTTCCTCTTCACTGACTCATAGAGCGTGTTGTTGCTGTGGCCCACAAGCTTTCTGTTTAAACGGGCAGCCGTTCGTGCATCGATGTCTTCTTTGCCCTTGAAAGTCCACCAGCCCAGTCAGCCAGCTTTATTTCCCGTCATGGCATGAGAAAGAGGTACGACGGCTTGGATGGGGGTCGTAAGGGGTGCTTGCGTCGCACCCGATGTGGTCGCTATGGGAGTCTGCAGCGTTACTTCGAGTGCGTTGAAGGGCACGAGATCAGAGCTCGAAGGCGAGAACTCTCGACGAGGGTCGATAGGTTTGTTGGTATGGAAAAGCTGCGCGGGAACAGAAAGGACTGCGACTTGGGCCGGAGTGGTGGTGTGGACGGGGGATGCGAAGCATCATCCTGGGAACAACCAAAGAGGAGCTCGATGGGTTTGTGGGAATGGCTAGGCTATTCTTCACAAGTACATGCGTGCTATTATAACGTTGACTGGGACCTGAACAGTAATCATTGCATAGTGAATAATTGCTGATGTGGTGGTGATGTGATTGTGAAGTCCTAAGTTTCCTCCGGGGACTGGTGCGTGCCATTACAGATTTTCATACATTTCCAAGCACTTCGGCAAGCGCGTGCGACGTCTACATAACACACTTGAGCAGAACGCGAAAGTTTGTGCATCTGATTATAGACTCGTTTCTGTGAATCCAGCTCTAGGAGTTTTTGATTCTGTCCACACCCCAACCTGGAGCTGGACTCTTTCTTTCTGTCCGCAAACCAATATCGGATCAATCCCAATAGTAGGCCTGACCAACAGGGCTGCATCTTTACGGTGATACATCTGGACCCGCACGGCCAATACCCATGGATTGAAGCACGGAAGAGCCGTGCGACGTGTTGCCGCCTATCACTGGAAATGCCGTTATCATGGCCTGATAAGCTGACGGAATTGCCGAAGATAGGGGTCCCACTAGTCATTGACTTTAGTAAGACCGGCTGCCCAAATCGGGTCATGGAGCCCGCCCCACCGACCCGTCCCCGCGTGCATCCGGGCCCACTCCAGCTCCACGGTGTCGGGATCGGACCCGCCCGGGGCGATAACGAGTCAGGGGATCATGGTCGGGTTCTTGATGATAATGCATTCCGATAACGCTGTGTATTAGTGCACTTGTGTATTAAAAGCATTGGAGCATCCCCGGCCGTTCCTCGTATCCCATTCTCGGGCTCTCCACCGCAGTTGCGTCCGCGTGAAAACCTCCGCGTGAAAACACCAAAGTCTCCATCGCGAATCACCCAGAGATCGACATGGGCTCCCCAACAGAGAAGCAGGATGCTGCTATTGCCGACAAGCTCGATGTTGACGACGGCGAACTTGCCGAAGTCGCCGAGCTCGACGAGGCGGAGCAGTTCCTCCGGCAGAACAATATCAGCAACGACTATGTTCACGAGCTCGTTAATGATGAGGCTGCCTGTAAAGCACTCGTCCGCAAGGTCGACCTCGTCGTTCTTCCGCTCCTGGCAGTGACTTACCTCTGTCAGTACGTCGACAAACAGGCGTTATCTTACGCCGCCGTGTTCGACCTGTTCACCGACGCGAACATCAACCAAACCCAGTACAGCTGGTTTGCCAGCATTTTTTACATTGCATACGGTCTATTCGAATACCCAATTTTAGCATTGGCACAACGTACACGCATGGCCAAGGTCGTCTCTGGCTGTGTTGTGGCCTGGGGCTCAGTGTTGATGCTGACTGCCGCTTGCACGAATTTTGGTGGTCTTCTGGCCTGCCGGTTCCTTCTCGGTGTCTTCGAGGCGGCTATTACACCCTGCTTCATGATGATTGTGGGCATGTGGGTATGTATCTTCCCCTTCTCGGTTGCGTGCGGGCTTATTTGATTGTGAGCGTATTTAAGAACACAGAGCCATCGCTCTAACACCATCCTAGTACACGCGAAAAGAGCAGCCATTCAGAGCTGGGGTCTTCTATTGTTTTAACGGATTTGGCTCAATGGTTGGCGGCATCCTCACGTACGGCATCGGTCAGATCAAGTCGTTCCCAGTTTGGAAGGCCATCTTCCTCCTCTGTGGCGGTCTCACGGTCGTTTGGGGTATTGTGCTGTTCATATTCCTCCCGGACAACATCATCACAGCAAAGCGCTTCACTATCGAAGAAAAAGCTACACTGATCGGACGCGGAAGGCTTGGCCGGACTGGTATCCTCAGCCACAAGATTAAATGGGATCAGATCCGGGAAGCTTTATTGGATCCGCAGGTCTGGCTTCTTACACTCTTTATGCTTCTGAACGAAGTAATCAACGGTGGCATCTCCAACTTTGGCAAGCTCATCATCAAGGGCCTCGTCAAAGATCCGCTGCAGACGACTGCACTCGGAATCCCCCAGGGTGCATTTCAAGTGGTTTTCATCTTAAGCGGCACCTACATCGCCTCTAGGTTCAAGAACGCCCGGACTATTGTCATGATGCTCTACATGATCCCAACGATCATCGGTGTTTGCCTCGTGTGGAAGCTGGACCGCGTCAATAACAAAGTTGGCGTCCTCATTGGATACTACATCTGTGGCAGCTTCGTGTCTGCGCTCGTTGTGGCTCTCCAGATGCCAGCCTCCAACCTGGGTGGTTACACGAAGCGCGTGACTGGTACAGCCATCGTCTTCGCAGCCTACTGCATTGGCAACATCATCGGCCCGCACGCCTTCCTTGAGTCGGAGTCACCACTGTATCCCACGGGCTGCAAGGTCGTCCTGAGCTGCGCCGCCGGCCAGGCGGTCGTGGCCCTCTGCCTCCGGCTATTGCTCATCCGCAGGAACAAGCAGAGGGATGCGGCTGCCACTGCTGCGGGCGAGGATCCCGCGGCTTCAGCTGTAGATGAGGCTGCCTCCGATCTTACGGATCTCCAGGTAAGCAAGACAACACCGCCTCTAACAAGTTGAATTGTGACTGACAATACGTGCCTCTTTAGAATCCCAAGTTCCGCTATGTCCTTTAACTGATAATCCTAACATAATTCGCTCGGGAGTCGTTCTGGTCATCAACTAGCCTATACAATGCATTACTTTTCTCGGATGTTGAGGTGTTCTTATGCACCACCTGCGGCTCAATGAGTCTGGGAAACCTCTGAGTGATGAAATAGCGTAGACCAATGGCTGAACGCAGTGCCGGCCACACTCTGACCCTCTGACCCTCTGGCCCTCTGACTCTCTGAGTATACTTGTCTGTTTCAAGCACGTTATATTTGTGGCACACGCTTAGTTCCTACCTTCTGTTTGTGGTTAATCACCTCATATCGGCGCCAAGAACCTATCTGAGCTAGTCCGGCGGCCTGCCCCGCCTGGCATGAACGGCAGGGTTGGGGAGACGTCACAATGTCTCAGATTCCGCAAGATCAAGTGCGACACGGGATATATCTGCCAATGATTAATACCTAGACTGTCTAAGATGAACACTGACAAGAGACATCATGTGATCGACGGAAAAGAATGGTCTGGTTGACAGGGAGACAGAAAAGAGGGCGAACGCCGGCTATATAATAAGGCGTTGCACCCTGAGGACGCGGGCTGCCGGCTTGAGAGCCGATACATCCGCAGACGTTCGAGCCGAAGAACACAACTCATTCCCAACCATTGCCAAAATGACAATTAAAATCAAGGTCAGCACGCTTCTAGCACTGTTTGGACTGATAGTACCATCCTTCAGTGCTCCTATTCCCGTTGTAAGTGACGAAGCGCGTTGCCGGTGCCGGGGTTAACGTCTACTTGACGAGCGCGAGGATTGTAACTAACCTCATCGACTCGCAGGCCGAACGTGAGACCGCACCACGGCAGATTCCCGGTACTATCGAGCTTCCAATTGACGTGAACCTGGGCACCATTACGCTTGGTGGAGGAGTTACCATCGACCTTCCGGGCTTTGATTAGGCACACAGCAGAAGCGGACAGTCTCCAAGGTGAGCCGGAGGGTATTAGGTTAGAGAGATGTCAATATGTCCAGTCAATTTCACGTAGGCAAGAACGTGCTTGTGCTCAATCACAGTCGCCAACTTGAATATCAATTTGTGCATTTAGTGGTGCCGGAAGGAGGCTTGCGCACGAAATTGGAGGCTTGCGTGGATGTAGTAGGAGGACAATTGTAGACAATTGTAGACAGACACGGGAGCAGAGTGTAGCTGGATCTCACCAACCCTTTCCAAGCTTTGTACTTCCCGGTCTCAATATATGCGAAGCTGCTCGTCAAATATTCACGTTTTCGAGTGACAACGGTCCGCATCTGCAACCTGCACAGGGCAGGAGTTGATCCGCCTCCATGTCGACCCCGGTCGACAAGGGTTGATGTAAGCACGCTAGACTGCATGAGGACATTTACGACGTGCATGTGTAGGAGCAGGGGGTCTCCATGTCTACCTTCACATCTCCATGACCTTTGCTCCCGAGAAGCATTTTTCTGCCTTGAGTCGTCCACTTCCCTGACATTCTCACGTTTAGACATCAACCACGTCCAGAACAGCAGAGTTAACAACGTGCTTGCTTCGCTAGACTCTACCTTGCAAGATCACTCGCCATCAGCCAGGATGCCCCCCACAGCAATCCGTCCCACCGCAGGTGCCCGTCAGCAAGGAGGCCCGCTCGAGCGGGCGTATCACGCAAAGTCCCGAGCAGGCTGTTTCACCTGCAAGAAGCGCCACGTCCGCTGTGATGAAGCCCGTCCGTGCTGCTCGGCATGTCAGCGTCTCATGCTGCGCTGCGCGTATCCCCAAGTCCGTTCGGCCAAGAACGCTGCCACTGTGCAGCAGCAGGTGATGCAGAGAATACTTCTTCCCAGACAGAGCCACTCAAGACTACCACCAGTCAGCGCCCGAGTCACCCAGTTCGCCCTACCGAAGCACCTGTCTACTGCAGAAGACAGTGCCAGGGCAGTTGTCTATGCAGCCTTCAGTGTGCTCGACCCCGTCGGGATGACCAAGAGCGACTTTTTTGCGCACATACTCGCCCAGCAGAGCCTGCACAAGGAGTGCTACCGGTACGTGTGTCTGACGATCAAGGATCTGAGCAGCTCGCACAACTCAGCCCTGCGGGATTTTGGGTTCCGGTCCTTACAGCAGCCCGAGCATTTCCTTAACGGCCCTTGGGGAAAAGACACACACTTCATCTCAGCCGTCGGCAACTATTCTCGTGCCCTGGCCTCATTCCGGGACGCTTTGCCAGGGATGACGCCGATGGACATCACATACGCGACCATGTGCTTTGCCGTACTGGAGATGCTGCAGGGGAACCTTGCCTCGCGCAACGCCATTATGGCGGCCGGCGTCATCCTACTGCGGCCGCACGTCGTGGCTCCTTCGACTCCAGGCGCAGACGGAGCGACGCGATACGGTATCCATCCACGCTACGTAGATAGCCGGAACGTTTGTAACACCGAAGCGATCTGCACACGCTTCGCTACGACAAACATCCTGGGCGGGCTGAGCGTGGCTCCGAATCTCGACCTTCTTGACACATCAGAGCCCCTCGTACCTGTGTTCCACCTGCCCCGAACTTTCTCGACACCGGCGGGACCAGAGGAGTCTTACAGCAGCCTCCGCCAGAAATGGAACGCTTTCCACGGCACACTCGAGTCGTGGCAGCTCAGTCGATATTGGGCTATTGCGGTTGGTGGCCGCCTCGATGCGGTTCGGCATCTTGCCGATCAGGCCCGGCTCAACCACCACATGGCCATCTGGCGACGAGGGCTTCAGCAACGTATAGAAATGAAGAGGAGGAGGTTTCGTAGTGCAGACGAGGATGAGCTTGGCGTTTTGTCCGTGCTGCGGGCGTACCTGCACTGCCACCAGATCGCTACAGCCACCACAGAAAGCATTCCCATGCCGGATACCGCGCATCTATGGACAGCCACAACAAGAACATCGGGTGACGGCGACGAGGATATGTCTTTACATTCAAAAGACGGGCCCGACGAGGAAATTGACGTCACGAGCCTGGCCCAGCTGGCTCGTCTGCTGGCGCGCGACGTGGATGGTTTCCAGGTTCTCAACTTCAACGACATGTTTCTCGACACCGTCATCCTGCCCATCATCTCGCGACAGGCGATACAATATGCGCAAGATGGCCAGATCACGATGGCGCTCGAAAAAAGAGAATGTCCTTACTCCTTCAAAACGGTCAATGGTGACGGCCAAGCGGCAACGACTGCTTCTGCCGGACCCCGGGCAGGAGGAGCCTTTGCAGACGTTTCGATCGACGAAATAGAGCTGCAGCGGCTCAGCTTGAGGCAGTCCTCAAGTCACATCGAGCGGGATGACAGGTATCTGGCTGGCAAGCAGCTCGCGATGCTTGACGTTCAAGCCTCCATTATGAGGAGGACTTTCGAGGAACAGGAAGAGGTACAGTTGGGGCTAGTGCCTCAAGGAGACGTCAAAACCTCATCATTCATGGATAGCAGTCGACACCCGGCGTTTTATGACGGAGTTGGGACAAGTGCTGGCAGTACCAGCAGCCGCAGCAGTGCCGACAGCATTCGGACTTTTTCCTCGGCGTCCAGCACCAGCGATGACGAAGACGACGAGTCCCTGTCCGCGCCTCATCGCCATCCTGCGTCATCCTCGGCTTTTACATCGTCCCAGACTCCTAACACATCCCGCTCTACCCGTGGATCTACCCCACCGCCACTGCGAGGATTCCTGCCGTCACAGTTCGTGCAGCACAAAAAAGGGCTCGGCTGGTCCGCCCCGGAACAACCTGACCGCTTCGCCCCACAGAGCGGCGACTTCAGTTTCATGCCGCTACGCATGCGTAAGGAATTCACGCTCGCGTGCGTCGATATGCAGCTCGCGACGGCGTCAGCGGCGCTCAGAGACGGGGTTCACTACGCGCAAGTAGTCTCATAGGCGTCTTACGGAGGCGTACCACGGAATAAGAAGGCAAGGGGATCCTTGTCATGTGCTAATCTGGTCGCCTTGCCATGAAGCGGAGCAATGCAAGTGATTGTCAATGACATCCACGCCAGATACAAAGTGGGAAAACAAGTGAGAATACATGAATAATATGCTCCCACTCAACAACTGCCTCGCAAAGTTGATCACGAGGGGTCAGATCATAGTGTTGGGAGCTAAGGATACCGTCCAACTATCTCAAAAGTCCTCAAGCTTGTACACCTCATATACGGGCACTTCGTATGGATGTGTCCTGAAATGCGATGATGCCATTGCCGTCAGTCTTGGTCCCAAGAGATGGAGTCCATCGGAATCAGGTGGGACGCAGACTTACTGCTTCAGCGCCCGAACCACGTCCCTCATCGTCTCCTCGCCAGTGACGACAGTCTCTATCCGGGCCTCGGCCACCTCCTCAAGCCTGCCAGGTTGTCCGATATAGGGCGTCGAGGCCTCGCCGGGGCGGAACTGGTTTGTACCGAGAGTCTCGAAGCAGACCTCGGAGTAGTTTGGGAATTGACCAGCGCCGGCAGCAAGGACGGCGGTCTTACAGGCCGCTGAGTCTGCGACGGGGACGAAGAAGACGAGCTTGTACCGCCGGCTCGGGGCTGCTGTGGAAGTGTTTGAGGCCATGAGGGAAACTCTGTGTGATGCCGGTGAGTACCATAGGACCAACCAACTAACTGGCTGGGGTAGTTGTCGGTGTCGCCTCTTATGGAAGAGTTACCCAAACATGGTTGCTTGTCAGGGCAATCAAAGGGCGTGGTGCAGGGCGCAAGGAAGGGCGCGGTGCCAAGCCCCGAAACCCCACTCTTAGCTCGCAACCAGCCTTGGAAAGTGGCCTGATAAAGATCAGGGGGAACAACGCCCTTAAATAGCCCCTTGCCCTCCCAGCTGACCGCTGATTCTTTTTCTCCTTCTTCTCCCTCAAAGCATTGTCTCTGCAGACTCAAGAGAAGGAAAGCACCGCCCAGAACAGGACTACGCGCAGCACAGGGAATTTGCTCGGATTACTGCAGCACTACATAGCACAGACTTAGACCATAGCCAAGCCAAAATACATTTCCTGAGATACCTGCACTAAAGCAGGCTACTCAAGTGAAGAAAAGACACGCAAAGCCCACATCCCAAAACCAGAGAGGACAAGCAAGATGGCAGCCGTCCCGGACAACACCGACAACATCACCCAGCTGGGCGACATCAAGGCACGTCTCAAGGCATCTTACGACGTCATCGCCCCGGCTTACAACGGCTGGACCATCCCCAACTCGGCTCAACGCCTCGAGTACCTAGACAAGCTGCTCGCGCTGTTGCCCCAGCTTGCCACCAAGACCGACACGGACAACAAAGACCCAAACAACAACAGCAGCGATGTCGGTGCAGCCGCGGACGCCGTCAAGATCCTGGAGCTAGGCTGCGGCTGCGGCGTGCCAATCACGCAGAAGCTCCTTGGCCTCGGAACCAACGTGCAGGTCCTGGCCGACGACATCTCGAGCACCCAGATCCAGCTCGCCAAGGAGGCCCTCCTGGCGGACGCTTCCGCTAGCGGCCGCATCCAATTCTACGAAGGCGACATGGCATCCCTGGACATTGCGCCGGCCTCGCTCGACGCGGTCCTCGGGCTATACAGCATCTTCCACCTCCCGCGCGCCGAGCAGCCGTACATGCTGGCCAAAATTGCGGCCTGGCTGAAGCCCGGCGGCTACTTTCTGGGAAACTTTGCCGGCGAGGACGCCGAGGCCGTGGTCTTTGACAAGTGGCTCCACGACGACGGGTGGATGTTCTACAGCGGCTGGGGCGAGCAGGGCACCCTCGACATGGTGCGCAAGGCTGGCTTCGAGGTCGTCGTGGGCGAGGTCCGCGAGGATGTTGTCAAGGCAGAGTTTTTGTGGGTCATTGCCCGCAAGCTGTGAATTCCTGGGCCAGCGGTGTCGACTTGACAGCAAATTGCTGTGTTGCAGGCAAACCGGCTATATCCAACCATTGAGGTTATTAAGGGGGGACACGGAGAGGAGACTGATGTGGTTTACGTGAGGTTTCTTGGTCAAATTCATCACAACTAGCTAGCAGCCTGGCCTTCCGTGGCTCAATACCAGCTTGTGGGTGTACCATGCGAGCATTCTTGATGCAACTGCCTGTCGAGTGAACGCGACCGAGTTTCGAGAACATGGAGTAACTGTGGCCGAGTCCCGAGAACTTGAAAGTCCAAGTTACGCAATCCAGAACCAGACTCTCTCAAGAAAGTTCCTCGGCTTAACCTCCGGCCACGTCCCTTCCAGCGCGTCAACCTCTGCCTTGCCACTCCACAGATCCATCTCGCTGGCCTTGACAAACCTCGTCCCCTTGGTAAACTTGTAGCCCAGGAACAGCGCCGCGAATATCGGGATGTTCACGTACGGCGGGACAAACGTCTTGGCGCTGAACTTACCCGGGAAGAACGCATCGAACCCGTTGGTCAGGGCCACCAGCAAGCAGAAGCAAATCGCGAACCACGCCAGGTACGGCTGCAGCGGCGACTTCCAGGGGATATCCGCGTCCCTCGAGATGCCGTTGTACCGCAGGCCCGCGTGGAAGCGCAGATACACGATGCACGTCGCGGCCCAGACGATCAGCGTCGACACGGCAGACACGTTGGAGAACCAGAAGAAGACGTCCTGCCCGGAGTTGCTGACGTTCATGTACGCGAGCAGGCCCAGCAGGGAGGTCGCGCCGACGCAGGCCAGGGGAACGCCGAACTTTTCGTAGCGCAGCACGCGCGGCGTCTTGCCGTCCAGCGCGGCCGAGTAGAGCACGCGCGTGGACGCGTAGAAGAATGAGTTGCCCGCGGACCAGGCCGACGACAGGACCACGGCGTTGATGATGGACGGCAGCGTGGAGATGCCGGCGTTCTTGATGGCGATGACGAAAGGAGATGCTGCGGCCCCGGGGGCTGATGTGGTGATCGCGTTGAGCAGGCCTGGGTCGGCGGAGGAGACGCACAGAGTGACGAGGAAGATGGCGAGCACGTAGAAGATTGTGATGCGCCAGAAGACGCGGCGCACTGCGCGCGGGATGTTGCGCCGCGGGTTCTCGGTCTCTCCCGAGGCGATGACGACCATCTCGGAGCCCCCATACGCAAAGGTGGCTTGTGTGAAGACCTTCCAGAATGCGAGGAAGCGTCCAGTCGGGCCCGAGACGAGGTACTCATTCATCGGCCCGGGACTCACCCAGTACCGAAATCCAATTCGATCGCCGCTCGGAGAGCCGCCAAGGGTGATTATGAACATGAGAAGTATCAACCCGATGATGGTGGTGAGCTTGATTGCCCCAAAGACAAATTCGGCTTCGCCGTACACGCGCACGGGCAGGCAGTTGACGAGAACCATGGGCCATAGAAAGAGGGAGATGAGAGCCGAGCGTGGCATCACGTCCGTGGACCAGAAGTCGACGATGACGCAGGCGACCGTTACCTCGATGGGGACCCCGATGGCTAGTTGGTACCAGTAATTCCATCCGAGGGCGAAACCGAGTGCCTCGTCTACATAGCGGGTTGCGTACACGGGGACGGCTCCCGGCAGGGGTAAGTAGGTTGCCATCTCACCAAGGCTGTTGATGACGCAGTACAGATTGAAGCCGGTGATGGCGTAAGCCAGGACTGTCGATAACGGCCCGGCGAGGGAGATCATTTGCCCGCTGCCAACAAATAGACCCGTGCCGATGGCACCTGAGAGTGCAAGGAACTGAACATGACGAGACTTGAGCTTGCGATCAAGCGTGCCATTGTGTCGGATCTCGTGGGACTGTTTGAGGTTACCGGCCAGGTCGTCGTCTTGATCAGCCGTAGCTGCATGAAGGTCTTGTTTCTCGGCCGTCTCGATGTCTGCTGCCATGGTGGTGATAATCTGTGGTGAAAATGGGAGGATGGCGAGTCATCTAGCAATTTGACGTGACAGAATCTGCGATCCCGGAAGCATTTATATGGCTTTCGCTGTGCCTCAGTGAGAAGGACGGACAGTCGAAATCAAGAAATGATCGTCGTCGGCGATGCGGGGTCACGGTATCGCTGGTCGCCCAACTCGTTGTCACGTAGCATTTGCGCAGATCGCGGGGACTGTTATTGATTGCAGGTGCGGAGCTTACCGTGCCGGCGCGCGTAACCAGTAGCGGGACCGAGTTTCGGCATTACAGTCTCGCAAGGCGCTTGTTACCGAATGATATTCGATTGCTGCTCTCTATAGGGCTCAGCATGGCTGCCGAGAGTGCTAAACATGGTCGACATCGGAGATCAAGGGAATGGGTGCGGACGTTGGTGTCTGGAGGTTGTGCCGAATCTGCCGATCCAACAGCTGATTGTAACATGCCCTTGCATCGTTGCTAACTTCATGAGTTAGCGCTGCGTCATCCAAGGGCAAATCAAGTAAGCATTCCCATCTATTAGAAACAGACAGAGGCCTGCAGGACGAGAATCGCAAGATGAGAAGAAGCAGGTCAAGCGGCAAGCCCGTGTGCGTGATCAACCTCTTATGGGGACCTGGCTCTTATGCTACTCCTTGCGATGATAACCTGAATACATAATCTCGACATTAGATCCTGGCCTGGTAAGTCTAGATGGGGTCGAAAGATCAAGTGCCAAAAGATGTCGGACGTGGTGTGCGGATATTACTACGGCGAGACGGCTACCTGGTCCAGCACAACCTCGGATTTTAGGCGAAGCCCACGCCTTCCTGCTCAGCGTCCCCACCGCTTTCAGTCGTGCAACTTGACCTTGACATAAGTTCTCGCCGCGATCAGTGTCCTTATTCCTTTTAACCTCAGTATTACACATTCATGATGTCGGAGTCTTCCAAGTTGTGGCCGCCCAACCCCGCCGCCCTCGCCGCCATCCGTTTCTTGCCCTCGGGCGATATCTCCGACCCGGAGCCGCTCGAGTTTCGTCAGTTCACAGCCCACCAATCCCAGCTCGGCCATACCATGCCATCGTGGAGTATAATGTGCTGACCGGTCATCCAGAATTCAATGAAATGGAGTCGGTGCCGTCCGATGACGGTAAGTTCAACATCACCACGTCCTCACATACCTCTCACCTGTAAACACTGCTAACATAGCAACACGGAAATAGAAGATGCATTCCCGTCACCGATGATGCGGGACATGACAAAGGCACGGGAGGAAATCTACGGCAGCGATGTAACAAACTCTATTACACCCATCATTTCATCATACTCAGTATCTCCTGGAAGATTGCCAGACAACATGCTAACGGTTGTTGCTTGAAAAGTCAGGATTGTCAAAGACTAAGGAGCCGGTCGAGAAGCCTCTCCCGCCAGCAGCGACCGGTAAGTGCTCGGACTGCGGTTATATCACCTACAACAAGCATCCAGCCAGAAGCTTATCGGAGCACAGGGACGATGGGATGTGCCCATCCAATGTAAGTCGATCAGATGCCTCATTCCGAGCGATGTTCCTGTCCCATTCTTCTCCTGTCACTATCATATTGATCAAAAGCCTCCGTGTCTAGCCAAGAGAGTTCAAGTGTTCCCCTTGCGGTGTCGTATTTCTAACCCGGACACTTCTACGTTCACATGAACGAAAGTGCCCTGGCCCGCCCCCTGCTGCTACTCCTGCCGACTCTGCAGGTGCAGCGGCGTCATCCAGGATGATAGCAATCTGGACGGCCTTGAGACTTGGCTGCGGAAGCACGCGCAGGATCGGGAGGATGACGAGGTTTTGGTGCTCGGGGACGACGGCGAGACAGTCTGTTGGAAGGCCTTGTGTTTGCAATGAACTGGCTTAGGGCGGTATGGAATAGCGGCCGAAGCCAGTTGGCACAAAGGCTGCAACAAGTCTACGCCATTCCAGAGTGCAGCCTCTGGTGATCTGCTGGTGTAGCCTTCAAGTGATCCGCTTGCAGTGTCATGGTCTGAGCTGGTGTACTCGAGACAGAATAATAGCATGCATGTTGAGCTTCTATCTTTACTCTATACACTCTCTATGTTCACGACGGCACAGCCGTCCCTTGCGTTCAATATGTCACCTTTGGCGCATAGCCATATGAAGCTAGCACTCTAATGCGGGCCAGAATCAAAGCTTCCCCGCCTCCGAGGGCTTCTTCCTCGCCGCCAAGTTCCTCTCGGCTCCCAGGACCAACGTGACGTGATTACTCAACGCTATCAGACTGCCCGCCTGATCCAGCACGACAACCTGGATATCAAACCTGCCGTTGTGCACCTCGACCGTCGTGGCCCGGACGTACAGCCATTCTGTTCCGTCCGGTATCCTGCGCTTGATGTCCAAATTCAACAGGACCGTCGGGTACCACCGAGGCGCCATCTTCTCCTCCTGGCTCATGTGGGGCGACTCGCGAAACGCGAGCGGGAACATGTCAACCACGTACCCGATCGCCTCCTGGACAAAGGGCACCGTGGGGCTCCCCTGGCCACCCGGGCGGAAGCGGACCCACTGGTCGGCGAACCCGGCGAACCCGGCGTCCTGGACGACGTTGGGCTTGACGAAGACGAGGTGCTGCATGCCCTTGCGGAACTTGGTGATGGCCGCTTCGCGCTGGGTGTGCCAGTGTGCGTCTCTGCCGGACGCGTCGATGGCTGAGAAGTCGATTGGTTTTGGCGCCGGAAGGAGCCCGCAGTGTGGTTCCGTGGGGATGGAGAGGCCGGCCTCCTTGGAAAAGTTCATGTGCGTGACGTAGCCCTGGACCTCGTCGCGGCCGTCTTGCGAGAGGGTGGCGTGGACGACCGAGATGCCGCTGCCGAGCTTGACGTCGGCGACGGTGACGACGCCGGCGCCGGCGTGGGTGCGGCGCAGGAACTGCAGCTGCATCGACATGGTGTCGGGCTGGCCGAGGCGGGCGAGGGTCGTGGCAAAGTGCTTGTTGACGGCCGAGATGATGGTCGAGGTCACGTAGCCGCCGTTGGGCACAGAGCCAATGCACCACTCGGCGTCGAGGCTGACGCTGTACGTGTGCGACGAGAGCGGCGTCGCCTCGACAGAGCGCTGGAACGCCATGACTGTCTGCTGTCCGGGGTGGTTCTGGCAGGAAATGTGCCAAAGATGGCGATATCGTCAACAATGCGATTCAAGTGAGACTTTGGACCTCGGCGCTCCCCAAGAAGTGGGCCCGGGTGCCAACACCTCGGCAGGTTGCTTACGTCATCCGCAGCCTCTCGTTGTCAAGAGAAGCTTCCTATGGTAACGTTAGTTGGTCTCGGATCCTGCCGGCCGGGTTCCCGGACCCACTTCGGTCCGGAACCCGGCACTGTGGGCGGCAACACTCATGATACATTATTCGCCTGAATAGGAAAACAAGTCCTGACCTCAGGTCATTGTGCAAGACGCGGCTCGGACCACGCTGACATCAGGCCAGTGGGGTATCCTACCAGCTCTTGGAAACCCATTTCGAAGGCTCCAAACCCGTGCCAAATTGGCTGGCATCGAGCGACATCTGGAGGCCATGGAGGCTGGAGGTGGGCCGCCGTATTGCTGGATTTTGGTAGATCCTTACGTTGCTACTATGGAGAATTGGCCGCGAGTGCCAAACTTGAGAGAATGCTCATTACTTGGAGATGATTGCATGTTCATTTCTTCGGCTATCTCTTTCGCCAGAACCCATTCGTGCAATTCGACATGCAGTAGCATTTTGCATCCCCGATCGTGATTGAGAGTTCGCAGAAATTTGGGACTTGAACCATCACTTTAGAGTTAACACTTTGGTTTTATTCCACCACTCGATGATCTGCCTTGGCAAAGTTTCACCTCTTGAGACCGCTGTTGTCCTACGCCATCGTCAACCTTGTGGTTTGATTCTACCTCCGTCAAGGGAAACAGGAGATCAAAAGCCCTGACGCTACGTCCTGTTACCGACTTTGTTGATACCTTTCGTCTCATCCGTGCTCAAAGACTAGGACCCTCGGCATCCCTTGGAAGGGCTGTGACACTGTTCCCGTGATGTACCACTATGTAGGCAAGCCTGTCGTCTACAGGGATGCATATTTGGCATTAGTGCCTTCCTCTATCGTGCCTCCCGAATAGCATATTTTGTTGTAACATGAAATTAAATCGCGGACTGTGCAGATTGAACAGCAAAAACTCCTTTTTTGCGCTGGAAATCTCAGTCTACCGGGACGATTCCGAGTCGTGTTGTTTCGCAGTCGATGCTGCAGATGATGCCGGGCCTTCTGCCGGCGTCGACCGCGTCAAAGCAATGTCGCCATCGTCAATCTCCTTCCACGTCCCTCGGCTCACTGAGCTTGTTGGCTTTGCCCACTTCCGGCGGGCACGGTAGTAGTCGTCCCCAAGAGGCTCAACCGTCCCTCCGCTCTTGATTGGCATGTCGAACATTGTCTTGAAGATTCGGGGCATCGACGGTACGCAGAAGATGAGGAAGCCGCAGGTCATTTCGGCGCAAGCCCAGAAGAGCAAGGGCCCAATGAAGTACATTTTGTCGGATTCGTTCGCGTAGGTGATGGTTCTCTCGAGGCGCAAGCATGCCGATATTGAGCCACTAAAAGGGTAGGATATGTTGATGTCAGTCGACAGGCTCCCAATCGCTGAAGCAGGATGCATGTTTAACGGGACAAGGATCATAGTGAATCACTTACGCAATACCGATACCAAAGATTAGAGAGATACCGGCCTTCCGCTTCCACCCCGTCTGCAGCTTCCAGATCAATCGCTGCGGTAGCAAGACCATGGCAATATCGGTGACCACCTGGACGGAGGCTGAAGCCAGCATGACTCTGGGCAAGCTGTAGCACTTGCTAGGCACGTAGAACTCCCAAATGGCATTGTGTGGGACACACTGCATGTTCAGGAGGATGATGCACATCAATCCCCAAACGCACTGGAGTACGCTGAGTGCCATGCAGCCCCACCAAAAGGGGCTCTTGATGCGATTACCAGTGACGAAGATCCTGCACCAGTCGAGCAAGATGGCTGTCTTGATCAGTGGCAGGACAGCAGAGTAGCAGCATCCGTATATGAGAATCAGCTGGAGACCAGAGCGCAGCCGTGTCAGTTTCCCGTCATGCGACTTCAGCAACAATGAAATGCTCTGGCCGACTCACATATCCGGGTCTAATCATGTCCCCCAAGTGAAGGTCCCAGGTATGGACGTAGTACCCGGGAGTCTTGATCAGTTCGTAGGCGGCATAAGCAGTTCCCCAATACGATCCCTGAAGATATTGTCAGACAATGGCTTCTGGGCGGATTCTAACAAGACGACTTACGTATCCCAGGAGCATCAAGCCTACCAGAAATCGAGTTAGCCACCGAGTCCTCAACTGCGTAGAAGCAAGGCAAAGCCTTTAGAAGTTGTGGCCGTACCATCTTCGACACGAAATTGTCGTTCTAGGCCAATGCGAGCGTATAATCGGATAGCGACACAGACACTCAGTATGATAGACAGTGCCGTTGTGATGCCATATGCAAGCCCATTCTGGTTCGGAGGTGAGTCGAATTGCGGATCGATCCCAGGCGGAGGCGCGAGCGCTGGGCTGCCGAGCAGCGCCGCGAGCGATGGCGGATCTAGTTCAGCCATTTGTCTTGTCGGTTTTAGCGGTTGATGGCCAAAACATCGTCGAGCAAAACGGCAATGGTCATTCCAAGGAAAGCCTCGGGGCGCTGCCGGTCTGACGTCGAGGCTGTTGATTCAAAGGAGAAAGCCCGGCCAGGGTTGCACGTGCGCGGCATGCGCGTCAAAGTTGTACCTGAGAGCATGCCGGTACGCAATATGCTTCATTTGGCTCGGGCAAATATCGCGTCTCTCAGGGATAACGTGGTCGAAACGACGAGCCACGGGGTCTGCGAGAGCCAAAGGCCATCGTTCCTACCGGCAATGTTCGGCCGGCACCGTAGCAAGCATCCTGCTCCTGGGACCCTTCATTGTGGCAAGGATCCCTCTATCTTTTCCTCATGGCACCAGCGCTTCCCAGACCGTTTTTACGGCGATCAGCAAGGATGTCAGGTAGGTGCCCTTGTTGTGGCCAACAAGAGGGTCCACGCCGCACGGAATGAAAGCCGGTAAATTTACCGCTGAGCCGTCACATCTAAGCAAGAGCCTGACTCGCGCGTGTCAGAAGTGTAGGGGTCTCCTGGTCCACCTTGATAATGACCACAGCCTGTTCCGGTCTTGGTTCCACCATAAGTGCCCAATTTGCCCACATTTCCCTCGGGAGCGGCCACTAGGGTTGGTCCCGCGATGCAGCATCCCCCTACTCTTGGGAAAGCTGTGCCGCTCGTAAAGTAAACAGAGAATTCTCGCGGGAGACAGGCCCGGCAGGGTAAATCAGCATATCTCGGTTCCTGAACAGAAGGGATCTTCGGGCATGGCCCAGGGGCTGTGCCCGACTGGAGCTTGCGAAGCAGATCTATGTCCTCAAAGAGCTTCTATCATGTCCTGAGCCAGGCTCGCAATGGTATCCAAAGTTTATCCTGTGGGCAAAGATGAATTGTCGGAAGAAGGGTCTAGGGCAATGAATGATGCTCCGACCCATCGGCACCCCTTACAGCGTCGTAAGTTGTCCCATCGGCTGCACGGCACCATCATCATCCATGCACACAACCCTGTCCCGCCCCAGGGTCTTTTTTGGAGGAACAATTGTAGCTGAGAACCCGACACGTCTTGGCAGATAGTGTGGCCCGCTTCCGACCGAATCATGGTGTAGAGTGTGCAGATCTGAAGTGCGCTCCAGCTCATCGAACACATATGTTGCATGCCCGTGTCGGGCAGCTGTCCTGCTTTCAACCATCTGACATTACGCCCACAACCTGTAGAACTGTGCCTGCCTGACTTTTATTCTCTGGCAGACTATTGGCCTCTTGTTCCATCAAGATGGCAATTGCAGGTACGCAACCTTCCTATTGGCCTGCTCCAGTGATCTAGCTGCTATGTCTCAAAACTCTGGTCTGCATGAGCCCGACGCACAGGCGGCTTATGCAACGTGGCAGACAATAAGCCGGCACCCGTGACCTCGACGGCACGGGGTGATCTGCGCAAGGCCTTCAAGGCACAGCCATTGCCTGTCGTCGCGCCGGACGCACTGGCTGCAACGGCCGGCATCGACGCAACCAGTGCCGCGCAATCGGTGTTGGACAAGCTCAGCAGTGCAATTTCGACTGCTGACGCTCCAGCGCTCGAGGGCTTGTTCCTGGCCCCTGGCGAGGGCGATGCGTACTGGAAGGACCAGCTCGCACTGACGTACCACTTGCGTACCTTTCACGGGCCCCATGCCATTGTCAGTAGTCTGCTCGAGCTCGCATCTGTCAGAGGCGTGACGGAGAGTTTCAAGCCTAGCGGTGACGGTCTCCTTCTCCCTGTCGGGCCAACTTTGGTAAGATTGTCTCTGGTTGCTTATCCTTTTCTCATGGTATGACTGACACGGGCGGAAGGCGTTTATCGATTACCGCTTTAAATTTACCACGGCGTCGCCTTCCACGAGCGCGAGTGGGAGGTTAATGCTGATCCCAGTCAAGTCTGGCGAAGCGCTGACTTGGAAGATCTGGGTGCTCAGCACCTGGCTCGAAGCCCTGACGGGCCATCCCGAGGACACAAACTTGTTGCAAATCCCCAAGAAGGACCATGAGGGCCAGTCGTCCATCAACACAGACGTCTTCATCATCGGCGGCGGGAATGCGTGAGTCACCAAGCTCGAATATGGAAGAATCGGTAATGCTGACCCAAATGTAAGTGCGGCCACGCTCTCCGCACGCCTGAAGGCGCTCGGGGTTAGCAGCCTCATGGCAGAACGGAACGACGTCGTCGGTGCAAATTGGGATCGCCGCCATGACAACCTGAGGTTCCACGCCCCAACATCCTTCTGCACAATGCCCTACCTCGGTCAGTTCGCAAACAACCCTCCCTGTCAGCAACCGCGAATTCAGTGCTGACATTAAAGACTTTTAGCCTACCCCAAGGAGTTTCAGAGCCCTTATCTCCTTAGCAAGGCCGACCTTGCGGCCCACCTGCGGCGTTATGTCGAGGACCTCAACCTCGACGTAATCACGTCGGCTAGGGTCTCGCACACCGAGTACAATCAAGTTACCAAAGAATGGACGGTTGCATTTTCCACGCCGGGCAGGGAAAAGAAGGCCACAGCCAAACACCTCGTCCTTGCCACCGGCGTAGGGTCGCAGGTGCCCTACATGCCCGTCATTGCGGACCGCGAGCTGTACAAGGGCCAGTCTCTGCACGCGAACGAGTTCAGGAACGGCGATAAGCTCAAGGAACAAGGTGTCAAGGTCAGTCACTCAGTCTTGTCCGCGCTGACCGCTTGTACCAAAGAAAATGACTAATCTTACCTTACCTAGACTGTTCTTGTAGTCGGCTCCGCGAACACGGCCTTCGACGTGGCCGAGCTCCTCCACGAGGCCGGCTGTTTCCAGACAACCATGAACGTGCGGTCGCCTACCTACATCTGCCCGATCGAGCAGGTGACGGACCCGCGCTCGCTGGGCGCTTTCGACGCGGGCGTCGAGGCCGGCGATGACAACTTCCAGACCATCCCATCCGTCGTTGACGCGCAGCTGGGCAAGGGACTGTTCGCCTTTCTCACTTCTCAAGACGTTGACCGGTATAAGCCCCTTGCCGCAGCGGGGTTCCCCGTCGTGGACGGCCTGCACCCGGACGCCTCGCTCATGCACAACCTCGTGGAGCGGGCGGGCGGGCACTACATGGACCACGGTGGCACCAAGTTGATTGTAGACGGGCATGTCAAGGTCACGGCTGGGGTTGAGCCCGTGGCGTACACGAGCACGGGAGTCAAGTTCTCCGACGGCAGCACGATGGATGTGGATGCCATCATCTGGTGTACGGGCTACAGTGACACCAATGTCCAGGAAGTCGCGCTGGAGATCCTGGGCGGTGGTAGCACGACCAATGGCACTTCTGCTGGTGGCAGCGGTGACGTGCTCGGCCCTGCCGAGATCGCGGCCCGTGTCGAGCCGACTTGGGCTGTCGATTTGGAAGGCGAGATCAGAGGTTTGTGGAAGAGGCACGCGCAGCTCGACGACAACTTCTGGATTACGGGCGGGTACACATCATTGCACCGCTGGCACTCGCGTACCCTGGCGCTGCAGATCAAGGCGGCGCTTGAGGGTATCCTCCCGCCTGCGTACAGAAAGGTACCTGAGGCATAATATTCGGGTGGGCGGAGATCAAGAAGAATAAAGCCAGAATCTAGCAATGAACATCAGCTGTACAAAATGTTAGTGGCATAAGGCTATCCAGCCTGGGTTTTCCCTGGATCGACTTGGTTTTATGCTGATTCCTCTTGGAAAGCGCCTCATCCTTGTGTTCGACACCGCATGACCACGTACCACATTTGGTAGAGCGAAGTCACCACGAGAGCCAAGCCTGCATCCGCGAACTAGTTTGAGAAAGTTGGATCAGAATCCGAGACGAGTTTGACCTACAACTTAGTTGGTCGAGTACGTGGTGTGTTGTCGAAATATAAAACGTGCAGCTCTATCTTCATCATGCCCACCACGATTGGATTCCGAGGTTCTCGCATACTACCCGTTACGCAGAGCCTGATGCCAACAATTCCAGCGTCGCCATTCCCCTCCAAAGACAAGCTCCCAAGCATCTACACCTCATAAGGCGACCTCACCGCGCTCCATTCATCCGGATCCTTCTCTCCGCCCGTGCCCAAACGAAACCCCTTCTGCTCCTCACAGTAGCCGTCCCACCACTTTGCAAAGGCCTGCTTGCTGTACAGCTCCCTCAGCGCCTGGCCGCCTCTCTCCCCAAAGAGGTCGAGGATGTGGTCGCAGTACATCCACACGCCCTCGAGGTGGTGCGGCAGTAAAGCCTTGCGGTCCTGCCGCGCCACGATGACGGACCCGACGTGCGACTGCCACTCGGGCGGCGCGAAGCCAATCCCCCCGTCGATGTTAATATACGTGGCGATCTGGTTGTCCAAGTCTACCTGCCGATTTGATACTGTGCCTAGACGGTGGAAGACGAGGGGGATCTTGATTGTGTCGGGCACTGGCGGGACGGGGTTGTCGAAGACAGGGTGGGTTGTTGGGATGGTAGTGGCAGACCAGGGCGGTGCGCTGACTTGGTCCTTCTTGCAGCACAGAATCACCGCCTGGGCGTCGGACGAAGAAGATGCGGTGGTGGAGCTAGTGCTTCTTGGGCTTGTCTTCGTGTTCGACGCCGAGGCGGCGACTGGAGGTGTCGGCCGGACTGGAGCCGGAGGAGCCGGGGCATCGTCCTCCGACTCCATGTCGATGCTGTCCCATTTGGAATAGTCTATGGGCATGATTCTTAGGCTGACAGCTGTGTCTGTGACAATGAAGATTAGGTGAAAGAAAGAGACAGACGTACTAGCACGGGGGAAAGCAGGAGAGGGGTTCTCGTCAACCTTGATGGGCTTTATTTGCTTTTCTTACCCCGCGCATTCAGCTTGCGTGGCTGGTGCCCGTCGACAAGGAGTCAAAGTCAAACTGTGAGGGCCCGCCCAATGATGATAGGCCTGTGATAACTGCATTGCGAAACTCTTCTCAGTCTCACGCGAAACCCAGCAAGTTGAGGCTGAGTCTGTTGCATGCTCGAGAGTCTGGATGCCGGCATTGGGAATGATAAGCCACACAAACTCTACTCCAGAATTGGATGTCGATGGTCACAACATCGGGACTGTCTGGCAGTAATATTCTATCTACGAGACACACGCTTCTGCATCCGAAACCGTCCGGATATTGAAGCTTATCGAAACATCAGATTGGGCATTCCTCTGCACCAAGCATATGCCGTTATATTTATGTTGATTGTGGAGTATGTCAGGTACAAAGCGAAAAGATGGCCATGTTTGCGCGTTCAAGGTGTTGCAAAGTAGTCATTGACCTCTCTGCTTCGACCAGGCAAGAGAAGCACAATCCATTACCTAACATGACGAAGACCAAGGCCAGGGCAGGAGCAAAATCATTCCGAATGAGAAATGACATACACTCCTTACCTACAGCATCGAAGGATCATAGTTAGGTCGTGAGCTCATGCTCACCTGCGCAAGCATTATTCCGTCCGTCAATTTACTTTGTGATAGAGCGGAGTGAAAGAGGACTTGGTTATTTCGGTCAACGAGCGCAGTGCGAAACCTTCAAGTCATATCGCCTCTCTACTGGTCGAAACCTGCTCGGAGAACCTAGAATGGCGACTCGTTCGGCCGAGTAGTCGGGGTTTTGTATGACAAACGCAGCCCACGGTCCCGCTTATCTTCGTCTTCTGTTAAGCCACCCCTGAGGTCACTCAGGTAGCGCCCAAACTTGCCATTGACTCTCAACACATGATTGAGATGCGAATAGCTCAACGCCTTCTCCTTGAACTGCGCAAGCTGCCGCACCGTGGTCATGGCGTTTCTGATCTCGCGACCATTCATGTCGACTTTCGCCAGCTCATACAGATGATCCATTATACCGTCGTAATCGATGGTCGGATCGAGAATCTTGACACGGTTGATGAAGTTGCGCCAAATCTTGCGCCTCTGGGTTATCCCCAAGTTCTCATAATGTAAGGAGAGTTGGATTCGTGACTTGAAGGCCTCTTCGAACGTGCCCACCCGGTTGGATGTCAGGTTCAAAATGCCGTCGTGGTACTCGAGCTCGCGCAAAAACACGGAGACGAGCGCATTGCGGTTCAAATCCTTCATATCGCGCTCCTCGAGGAACACGTCTGCCTCGTCGAGGAGAACGACTATAATGCACTTAGTTCATAAAAGCCCACTTTGCGATGTAGCTTTGGGACGTCAACTTACCGCAATCCCACTTCTTCCCAAGGTAGAAAGACGACTGCAGTTTTCTTTCAACCACACCTGCCACGGCCCCCACGTCTCCGCACGTTACCCTAAGCAAGGGCTTCTCTGCAAACTCGGCAACTCCCTCTGCCGTAAACGTCTTGCCAGTACCAGGCCCACCGTGGAGGAGGATGATAAGGCCATTGCCCTTGCCTGCGATCAGGTCGGTAGACTGCTCAGTAGTGAGTTGCTTCATGACAAGGGCCTGGACAAGCTCTTTGGTTTCGTCATCGACCACCAGATCGGCGAATGCTTGCTTCTGCCAGACGACAGGGGACATGTTGTCTACATATAGATCTTCTGAGGTGCGAAAGAAATGATGGTTAGCCCAATGATCGACAAATTATGAACGTAGGAAAAGCCAAGGTCGGTTCGACCAGGGGTTGCGTCTGGCTGGCATTGGTAAGTCTCACCCCACGACTTGCGGACCAAGTTGAACCCGGGAATCATGTTTGGGAAGACCAGAAGACCCACACCCTCTGGTGGGTTGTCGCTTTGCATTGCTTTCCACGAAACGTCGGAGCGTAAACGCATTTTGCTAATGTCGGATTTTGGATGTAACTTTTTGTACGTGGTGACGTCGACCATGAAACGATCGGCGAGCTTTGTAATGTCAGCTTGACAAGTATATCTCAGGTATCTGGGCGGACTTACAGCATTGAGCTCACCATCCCCTCTTTGCCTGTAGCTGATGTATCTTCTGTGTCGGAGGCTCCAAAACATGCGACCCCTCTTTTCCAGCCTCTCTTTGACATCTGCTGGGGCGTATTTGAGCGGGATGACTGACAGCTCTTCTATTGGGAGGAGTTCGCCCGAATACGTTGCCTTCACACCCACTTCCAAGTCATGGTGACGTGCCTGGAAGCGGCCGTCAAATACCCAATTCCAGACTGGCACAGACCACTCGAACCATCTTTTCCTCTCTCCTTGCTTCGGATCCCAATTGTCAGACGGCTTTCCTCGACGATTATCCCACTGGTCGTAGTGGAAGTCGCTGAGCCGCTCCTGGCGCGACGCCTCGGTCTCCTTAGCCCAGTCAAGCGCGACATAGGCCTGTGTCAGGGGCCCGGTCTTCTGGATTAACACATCCCCTGGGCGAATAAGGTAGCCAAAGAGATTGTTCGAGACGCGCCCGCTCCTAGCCTGCGCTCGTGCTGACTCGTGCTCGAACCCATGACTTGCCTCTATGCAGTTCGCGAGCTGCGTGATGAGGTATTGGCTGACTGGGTCCAAGTCGGGGAGTATGTCTGGCAAATACCGTGCGCTATGAAACATGAACAGATAGGGCGCCCTGATTTGTTGGCGTGGGTTGAATCCAGGAAACAGCTCCTTGAATCTGGGCACATTTTCTACAAAGTCCTCGACGGCCTCGATCATGGATTCTGAGACCAGCGAGAGCAGCTGGTACAAGGGTTCAGGCTTGCGAAAAGTGCCATCTCGGCCTTCGATTCTGGATCGATCTGCTGGCGGCCTAGAGTCGTATCGATTGAGTATGGTGAAGGCAATATCTGGATGCTGGTCAAGGTAGTCTTCGTAGTTCCGTATCGGATTGCTGAAAACCAGGTGTGTGGAACCATCGCCCGGTTCCCAGTGAGGCTCGTTGAGGAAGTGTGTCCGCCCGTCGTGGTAGAATGTTTTGTAAGTGCTCGCCGGCTTGGCAGGGTTGGATTGAAACTCGCTTGTTCCTTCCTGCTTCTGACGCATTTCCTCGTTCTCCCGCCGCAGCCTCTCCAGCTCTTCTCGGAGGGCCGCATTCTCACTGCGCGAATCGTCAGTTCCATTGGGAGGGAGCAGTAGAAGCGGCTTCTGTTTCAACACTGGCGCCTCTGGCGGAGTTGGCGCAGGGTCCCTGGGGCTGGGTCTTGTGTGCCGCTCGCGGTATGAGCCTCGCCCACTTCTCTCTTCCCGAAATCTTGGGTGAGTCTCGGAATGATGAGACGCGCGATGCTGAAACGTATGTTCGTCGTCCTCGGAAAATCTGTCGCCCGAGGGCTCCTCGTTGCCGTCGCTATCTCTGGAAGATGCAGAAGTACTGGGGTCTTCCCAGTCCTCCTCGTAATCACTAAAGTGGTCGTTGAAGGTGGCGAGACGGCCCCAATGGCGTGATTTTCTTTGTTCCCGAGACGGTGGCGGCGACGGAACCTTGTTCAACCTTGAGCCAGATGCACCACGAACGAAGATTGGGAAGCCATGCCCAAATTGACACATACCTGCCTTGAAGCTGGATCAATGACTGTAAGCTGATCGACATCAAGATTGTTCCCTGAGGTCTCATCTCTAGATATGGCGAAGTCTTCCGTCACTCGTGATCGCGGCATGGCGGGTGGTTGTCGGGATTTTCTGTGGGACATCCCGGTGATCATCGGAGGTGGTCAAAGATGGTGATGTATGAAGAGCTTTGTGCTCGGCCAAGCTGGGAGGGAGCCAGGAGATTTTGGAGTTGCGGCCTTCACGCAAGGCTGGGAGAGGCCCGCATTTTGTCATGCGCGAATACCACTGTGACCAGGGGGGCCCGAGGGCGCCGTGAACCAGTCAATGCCTGTAGAGAGTAGGAGATGGTGTCAGTATGCATGCACTCCGCCCGATTGGGGGCGCAGTCCCGGAACCCGTGCTGGCGGGCTGAGCACGCAACAAGGCTGCGTCGGGGCAGATTAGCAGGCGGCTCGGCTCAAAAATCCCAGCTGGATGCCTGCGACGTTAAAAAAACAGACTCGTTCTTTTTGGTTCTTGCAACACCAGTGCACTTTGTAACATATTCTTAAATCACCACGGAAAGCAATCATGGAGTCTGCAACACAGTGGTACCTGGACAAAGATGGCGACCCGTGAGTCCACCATATATCTGAAGGACATATTGGATTGATGACTTTTTCTGATAATCGACATGGGTTCTTAAAGTCATGCCTTCTTGGCGAGGGACGCTTTTCAGGCTGCGCTGGCTATTTTCACCCAAGAAATGACCAACGATACCCTCAAAAGGGACTTCATCAACAACTCGGCAGGCCTCGAAGACGTCCAACGTCTTGTCCGACAAGCGCAATCGGACTACGAGAACAAGCCAAAGAATCGAAAAGTCCAAAAATGGTTACACAAGATCGGTCTGCGGATACAGTTCTACGGCAATGTTCTGGACATTTTTATTCAGCACAACCCTGAATATGTCGCGCTAGCCTGGGGAGCCTTCCGACTACTCTTTACCGTCAGTTTCTCACCAGAATTCTCAATGCGACCGTAAGACAATGCTGACACTTTCAAGGTGGTTCTCAATAATGCAAAGCTACTTGCCACCCTGTCCAAAGCTCTTTGTCAGATCGCCGACTCTCTGCCTCGTGTGGAACTTGCTACCATCCTGTATCCAACGCCTAGAATGAAAGAGGCTGTGGTCCAGCTCTACGCTCACATTATAAACTTTCTTATCAGGTCCAAGTCCTGGTACGACGAGAGTAAGCTGCAACGCATGGTTAATGCCATCACACGGCCAGCAGAGCTCCGATACGACGACATAATTCAAGATATTGAACGATGTAAGGCGGTCATCGATTGCCTTTCTACGGCTGGCGCGAGAGCGGAGCAGCGGGACATGCACCTGAAAATACAGGAGCTCGGCGCCAGCCAGGCAAAAGTTGAAGGCGTCGTGAATGAGATCAGACGGATGTGTATAGGTAAGGCTTCCGGCGCAAGTATGCGTATTCATGTCCATTGTTAGACACTAACCTCCTGACGCCACACAGAAACCCAAACCCTGAACACGAACGCCTTTCTGGATACGAACCAGAGGCTTACCGACCTTCAATTAAACAGCATCATGACCAGCCTGTCCAGAGGATCACCTCAGTACGACCCTCTGAAGACACTTAGCCTTTGCCAAGACTATCAGACGAAGATCCAGGCCCGAACGCGTGCTCGCATAACGCCCATTTCCATCGTCGCCAGGCACCCTAAATTCCGAGCCTGGCAATCCGGGCAGGACTCGGCTCTTCTCATGATCAAAGGCGACTCTCGATCGCAAGACTTTGTGCTGACAGCGACCACACAAGCGGTCAGAGCGCTGCGCGAGCACCAGATTCCGGTCGTGTGGGTTCTCAAGCCACCTCCACGCACGGCCGGCAAAGGTGGCGGCCGGGGCAGCCGGGATGATTCAGGGATGAGCACCGTGGAGCTACTTCGGAACCTGGTCTACCAGATTCTTCGAATCAACCTCGCGCTGCATACAGAGAAGTCTCTCTCCCTCGCATGCTCGCGCTTCGACGCCGCAGAAACACCGGCGCAGTGGTTCGATCTCCTCGCATCCATTACAACAGCGCTGCCTGCACTATACATCGTCATCAATATCGAGGCAATCAACACACGTTATATTCACAGCAACAATGGCTTCTCGTGGTTGGCCTCCTTCTTGGGACTACTGGGTTGCCTCGAAGAGAGACAAAACGCGCCAGCTTTACCGCCAACTCGACCAGGTCCTCAAGTAGCAACAAACCTAAAGGTTCTGCTGGTAAGTCATGGTTCAGCAACGGTGCAAGAGCAAGGTAACCTTGCGGCCTTCAATCAGTTCGTATTGGGTACAAGGCAACTCGGTAGCGGTAGGCTATAGTCTCGGAGTCTTTTGACTGATGATCGAAGTTGCGTGCCCCTTGTAAACCCAATCGTATGCTACAGAAATCATCGATGTATATTGAAAGTGCCTTTCGCCTTACGCCGGGCTCTTGATGTCTGAACTGTCGAGGAACGGTCGCATCATGAGCTAAACTCAGAACTGGGGTGTTTGGTTGTGCTGCCTTATGATACCACCTAGCCTGGCAACAACTGAATAACAGCAGAAACCTCCGTGTTCTCAACAGGATATTCCCGACCTAGTGCGACCATAAATTCTCAGTCTGCTCAAGTCTTTCGATAACGAGCGATAGCTCATTCCAAATAATCCCAGTTAGTCTTAAGCACGGGCAGTACGACAAAGCGGCAGTTGTGTTGGGGGTATAATTCATCTCGCATATGCAGCGAACCGCTCAGCCCAGGTCAGGGACCACACGGGGCGGGCCGTGCGGAAGGTCGGGACAGCTCACGCGACATGCAATCTCCCCATTCGGCGCGAGGAAGTGCTACGATGCGGCCGCATTACTGTATGAAGGATCACGCCAAGTCAATACTAGAGTGCTACCTGCGAGCACTGCAGGCTTTTGTATTACGATAGTCCTTCGAGGTCTGAGATATGAGCCTTGTTGCATATGCTGGTGAGATCAGGCGGAACCTTTCTTGCGTGCGGGGACTGTGAGTCCTTCTCGGGTGTTGGTCCCCAGCTGTCAGTATGCAGACCACTTGATCTGCCATTAATGTGTTTTCGCCTGAAAGCTGTACGTAATATGCCTAAAATACTCGGCTGGGCAGAGGCTTTATTGGAGTTGTGTCTCCATCTGGCGCCTCCGATTGAACACGTAGGACTTAGCTCCAAGGACTTTCCACCGTGCGGACTGCATATCTGAATTCATGCTAAGGACAAGACTCTGGCAATCAGATAGTTCGACGACCCAGATGGGAAAGACGGACTGTAAGAGGACCTATAGATGTTCCCGAGAAAGCTCTCTGCTTTTGTGTATAACGAGACCGCAGAATCCAGCCATAAGAAATATATTCCTCGGCAGCATTACAGCTTCACTTGCTACAATACACTCTTATTACCAACTTTCCAAACCACTGTCTTACTTCTCCGAGTTACTCTCGTCCCTAATCAAAATGAAGTCCTCTACCATCCTCTAGAGCCTCTTCGTCCTCGCCTTCTCTGGCTTCGCCGCGGCCAACCCCCTCGACCAGTGCGGAGCCGCATACGTTAATAACGTCGATATCGCGAGCCTCCCCGAGGGCGTCGACCCCACCGATATCCGCAGTGTGTCGAACACCCGCTCGGAGAGGCGCGCTCGGCGATCGAGAAGGCCGCCGCATGCCCGGCCATCAGCTCCTACGGCTGCTACGAAGGCGACTGCTGGAAGCAGTGCGGAGATGCTGGAAGCAACCAGTGGGTAAGTCAACAGAGGGATAAGAACTTTGTAATCTTGACCGTGGGGGAAGAGAAAGAGACTGGCGCTGACGAGTCGCGATATTGTTTCTCAGTGCTGGACTGCCGCCAATAGCGGCCATGGCGCCTGGTTCCGGTGCAGCGCGAGCTCGCAGTGCAACACTGGAATGTCGTGTGGTGTCGGCACGGACTGCGGGAGCTGCGGCTGCGGCTGCTAGATCATTGTCGAGTTCTTCACGGATTAGGGAGACGACTCCTGACTCATCCCAGCCTGCACGGCCGGAACAGAGAATCAGCGCAGCCTTTCCTGCTTGTGTCTTCATGTCTGTCCTTTACTACAACCCTATATCTTCACCCCTTGGAACTGTCCATCGTATATAGCACCAGAAATAAAACAGCCGAGACTCTTGGTATCATAAGCAAGCCTTCAGTGAGATAAGGGACTTGTAAGGATCGCAACAAGTTAGGTCAAGTAGTAGAGAAGGGTGGCGCAAGAAATCGTATTGGCACAAGACTAATTCTCGAGGAGGGAAAGTCACCTTGCTTTTCTCCTCGCGATCTGGCATCGAAGTGGTGCCGTATCGATAGCGCTACAGCACCAGTCCTGGCTGGGGCACTGGCACGGCACCGTGAGGCGTGCACGGTCCAGAAGCACAGTCAAGTTGGTGCCGGACCGCGGTCGCACCACCAGTCCCGACACGGCCTTACACGAGCTCGGTATCGATAAGGGCGTAACGGACCTAATAGTATCTATACTACAGATCGGCACGATCCTAGCGACCAAGTAGGAGAAGTATTTTATCGTAGCGGACGAGGACGGGAATATACCGCAGATTATTATCGATACGGCCAAGCAGGGAGGCGTAGAGCTGGAGATAATCGGGCAGGCTGAAGACGACGACGACGAGGATACAGAGGAGGAGCCGCTGGTTGATAATCCAGAGGAGATGTCCGAATAGAGCAGGCCATGGCTAATTCGTGCTTTGGATAGACTCACGGCAGAGGTTCGAGGGCTTATCATAAATTGCTAGTGGTAGATCTGGTGCGGTCTTCATCAGATGGTTTGAGCGGTACATGCATTTACCACACGCACATTATACACAAATATAGAGAAGGCTCTCACGACATATATTATATATTCTTATGAAAGCAGGGTGCTCTATCCGCCAACTACTTGCAAGGACCAGCGATACTCTATTGGCGGACTGCTGATATACAAAATAACAAGATATTGACGGGGCGTGTAATTACTGATTCGTGCCATGACCGTTGCCTCGAATCCGCAGACAGGGCGATCCATTCTGTAACTACACGACGGGTAGACACAAGACCTTTAGATGTCATATTTTCCACAGTCTAAGGCAGCAGGTTAAGGATAAGAATGGCCTTTCACTGCTACTCCAGCTCTTTCTCCCATAGATAATAGGAAGCCGCCCACGCCATACTGACATACCCATGTGAGATGAGTGCGGTCTCGCGTGCCTTAGATCAACAATCTTTTGGACCTGTCCACCTCCGGACATCATTTGATATCACCCATGCACTGACCCACGGCTGCTCAAAAAGTCGCCTTGAGCTCCTGCGCCATGCCGCCCGACAGGACGGTGCGCTGCTTCTGGATCTCGTGCGGCATCTCGTACATCTGGTACTTCTGGAGGTACCAGGACTTGGCGTCGGAGCCTTCGCCGTTGCTATCCTCGAACTCGGCCGAGTCGTTGGCGCGCAGGAAGTACGATATCGAGTAGCGGTCCTCGCGCTGCACGCCGCCCTCTCCCACGGGCAGCACGCGGTGCAGCGCCGACTTGAACCGCCGGCCCGACAGGAAGCGCAGTGTGTCGCCGACGTTGACGACGATCCGGCCCGCGCGCGGCTCCACGTACTCCCACGCGCCCCGGCTCGGCGCGAAGGCCTGCAGCCCCCACTGCGGCGCCCACAGGATCGTCAGCGTCCCGATGTCCGTGTGCATGTTCTGCCCGACCTGCTGCGGGTCGCTGGTGGCGCCTCGGTCTTGTTGTTGCTGCGGGTAGTGCAGCATGTAGAGCGTCGACTTGGAGCGGCAGTCGTCGCGGTGGTGCATCTCGAGGCGCGCCTCGCCTCGCAGGCCCAGCCCGTCGGACAGGCAGTCTAGGAGAAGCTTGGAGATGAAGTGGCACGATGCCGTCACATGGTCGAACAGCGCGAGATGTTCGCGGACGACGGGCGCGAGCGCCCAGCGGCCGGCCAGCTCGTGCTTGCCGATCTGGAAGGGAAGGTTCATGTGGCAGCGTTGGTCAGCACGGCACGTACCCTATGGGCAGCGTGTTTCAGAGGTATGGGTTGGCGTATTACCTTGAGAGCTTCGAAGCCGTCCCTGCGGGACTCGATGGCACCAGATTGGTTGCCGACTGCCTTGAACCTGTGCCCCAATCACAAGTGTCAGGGGTTCATGTTACCAAGTGACAAGAGAGGTGACACGCTGCGCATACCCGTGTGCAAGAGAGACCGTAGGAGTCCGCAGCTTGACTTCCTGGGGCAGGGCGAACCACTCCCGGGTGATCTCGTCGACGCGGAAGAGGTCGGCCCAGAAGTTGGCGGCGCTCGGGTTCTGCAGGTCGATGTAGAAGAAGCCGTCCCGCTCGCAGGCGTGCACGAGCTTAGCTACCTCCTCGAGGTCCTTGTCGAAGAGGCGGGCAAAGTCTATCGTCAGCAGGTCCGCCTTGGGGACGTCCTTGTACAGCGTTGCGGTGGCTTCGGAAGACATGATGGTGCTGCTGCTGTCGTTTTGGTGTGCAACGGAAGTGCGTATTCTCCACTTGTCTTGATGCTGCTCACGAACGGGAATGGATATCTTCAGAACGGGACGCGTCCAAGTGTCGTTCTTTATCCCCAGGTCCAGTCAGGTAGTCCTCTATGCGTTCTGCGTCCTCGGGATGCCATCCCTGGCACGCGGTGAGAGACGGGTGTTCGCGGAGGTCACCACGGAGCATGTTTGTCAGATGCATGTGCAAGGATGGTCCTCCGGCAAGCTGCCGAGTAGTCGGAGAAGATCGGCCGCTTGTGGTCCGTCATGCAGCCCTGGCAGGCTGGAGAAAGTCGGCGGATCTCTCGGGGCTGGCATCACGGCACGGCCCCGCATGCATTGCCTGTTACCCATGTCGGCATTGGCTCTGCGTCTTGTGACAAGCACATGGAATGCTGCATTGAGGGGCATCAGTACTGGGAGTTGTCCTGACCAAGAGAATACTGCTGTGTGTGGCAACAAAGTTCCGTGGCCACACTGACTGAATGACAGAATCTCTCATGTGGCTGCGCACTGTATTTCTCTAACATTGGAAGGAGACTAGAGATACGTGAGAAAAGCACAGGTCGGAATGGCAGACTTCTTTCATCAGCTGTGTTTCGATGAAGTTGCAGACGCAAGACAAGCACAGTCTTTGAGATGACTCGACACCCGTTGTTCAATGGAAGTATCACGGTACTCTTGTCTTCAAGGGTCGTAGAAAATAAACTCGTTTCAAATCAAGATTGCATTCGATCTCAGATAGCAGCACTTTTCCACATTAAGAAACTCATCACATTGGTCCGAGCATCTAACATCTAAGATAGTTGATCTAAATGGCCACGCCCAGATCACGTTCCATGCCGCCTGTCGCAATGGAGTTGCTGCGCTGCTCCTCGGTGCTCTGGTTGAAGCTCGCGTACTTGCTGAGGAACCACTCGCCGGCCGTGATCTGACTGCCGTCCATGCCCGTGAGCACGACGTCGTCGCCGGCGCGGAGGAAGTAGGCTGTCGAGTAGCGATCCTGCGCCATGCGACCGTCGGCCCCGGGCGGCAGCACGCGGTGCATGGCCGAGCGGAAACGGCGCCCGGAGATGAAGCGCAGCGTGTCGGCCACGTTAATGATGGCGTGGCCGGGCTTCGCGTCGACATACTCCCAACGGCCAGTGACAGGCGAGAGCACCTGCAAGCCAGGCTGCTCCGTGACGAGCAGAGTGAAAGACCCGACGTCGGTGTGCGCGTTGTGGCCGCGGCCGCTCTGGTCACCAGGCAGCGCTGAGGTGGTGGGATGATGGAGGAAGAACATGGTGGACTTGGATGGGAGATCATCCGGATGGTACGCTTCATAACGCTCGTTTCCCTGCAGGCCAGTCGCATCAGACAGCCGCGTGAGCAGAGTCATCAGGACGTAGTGAGCCGAGAGCTGGTACTTCTCAAAGATGCTCAGGTTGTTCCGCACGATTTCTGGAAGATGCTCGCGGTTAAGCATGCCTGTCCGGCTGATCTGCGATTCGTGTTATTCGTATCGCTTCCTTGAAAAGTGGCGAGGAATGTAGAACACTTGGATGCTTGGGTTGCTACTCACTCGCAGAGCTTCAAAACCGTCGCGGGTGTTCTCTGTCACACCCGACTGTACGCCAGGTGGCTTGTAGCTGTTCCAGGGCAATATCATAACGAGTCAGCCACTTCGGGTTGCGCCCCGGACACACTACGTAGGGGTCCTTGTCCTTACCCATGCGCATCAGAGATGGTCTCCGTGGCCATTTTCTTGTCGAGAGGCTGCTTGAACCACTCCTTCATGAGCGCTCCGGCAGCTTGCAGGCTCGTAAGCATGTCACCCGAGTCCCAGCCGCTGAGATCCAGGTAGAAGAAGCCGTCGCGCTCACAAGCTTCGACGAGTGTTGCGAGAGTCCCCGCCTGGCCCTCAATTACCGAAGAGAACTTCAGGGTATGGAGGTGGGCTTTCTCGGGAGCTTGGGGTGTTGCCATATTGATGGTTGTGGAGCAGGAGTGGCTGTGTAGAAAGGAGAAGGAAATGTCTTTTCGACAATTTCGCTCAGCGTGCTGTCGAGTTGCTATATTTTCAGAGCCCCAGGGTTATCGCAGCAGTGAGTTGCACGACTTTTGTACTCGGCAACCCTGAAGCTGTTATTCTGGACCTGGCATTATGTCCATATCTCAAGTATGCTAGCGCGTCGTGTCACGCCGAAACCCGTAGCTCCTTGACTCCATGATGCAAGAAGACCTCCGTTATTGTCACCGATTCTGTTGGGAAAAGCCTGTAGGCCTTGATGAATTCGACAGTGCCAATGCGTCGGAGCTACGACAGGCCAAGTCGTACTCGTTTCCGAGAGTCGCAAGAGTTCGGACCCGGAAGAGTTCGGCCTCTGATGGCCGGTGGAAGGCTGATTCCCGCTCTATACAGCAGTCTCGGCATTGCCTTGGCATGAAGCGCGTCACACTCAACAATAATGTGGACTATCTTACCAGGTGCAGCCGCCTTACAGGCTGAGTCTGCAACCTGGACATAAAGCTTGGGCAATCTTTTGTGAAGCACGAAGGGCAACGTCTCTTCGAAGGACCATCGGATTATCCCGGCTACAATTATTCCATTCTCCATCTGCTTGAGCCATCATGGTCGACCTCCCAGAACCCTTCGCCTCGATTCCCCGCGCGCAGCTACTATGGCCGCATCCATCCCCGCTGCATCTGATGCAGCATTTGACCGAGCACATACACGCTACGACCTCGCGCAGCAGCAGCACACGCTTCTGGGTCAAGCGCGAGGACTGCTCTTCCGGGCTGGGCCTTGGCGGCAACAAGATCCGCAAGCTCGAGTACATCGTCCCCGAGGCGCTGCAGCTCGGCGCCACAACTCTTGTCACAACGGGCGGCGTACAGAGCAACCACATGCGGCAGGTCGTAGCCGTGGGCAATAGCCTTGGGATGGAGACCGTGCTTGTCCCACAGGGACCAGTGCTTCCGACCAATGGTGTCAGTAGACGCCACGGAGGGGAGACCGTGAGCGGAGAAGAAGATGACGACGAAAATAGGGCGCCTTTTCACCAGCTGGGCAATGTGCAGGTCAGCCGCATCCTGGGTGCCAAGATGGTCTCACAGCAGCAACCCGGCGCCTCGATGGAGCAGGTCGCCGCCAAGATCAAGGCCGGCGGCGGCGTGCCGTACATCATCTCGCCTGGAGCCTCGGCGCATATGTATGGCGGGCTCGGATTTGCGCGGTGGGCCTTCGAGGTGATCGAGCAGGAGGCGGAGCTCGGTGTATTCTTCGATACTATCGTCGTGCCCGTGGCGTCAGGTGGCACTGTCGCAGGCATGATCGCCGGTTTTAAGGCTGCCGACAGTGGCCACAGGCCACGTAGGATTATCGGCATCGACACGTACAACAAGCCTGCGGGCGAGCTGGAGGGCAAGATCCTGGAGATTGCACAGCGGACGGCAGGCACTATCGGGCTCAGCGCAGACGTGGTCACCGCGGAGGATGTAGTTCTCGACACGAGGTACAACACCGGCACGCACACGGGCTGGGATGAGAAAGCTGAAGCCGGCGTACGCGTACTGGGGAAGACGGAAGGAATCGTGGCAGACCCGATCTACTCGGGCCGCGCCATGGGGGCGATCCTGGACATGGCAGCAAGAGCCGAACTTGACGGCAGCAGCAACGTCTTGTTTGTACATACAGGGGGCCAGGCTGCCCTTGGGGCTTTCCCAAAGGTTGCATCCGTCATGTAATTCATCACGCCAAGACGGGGAATGTTTAGGCTCAAGCCTGGTCCACGCCGATATGAACACGACTGTCCACCACATTGGCCGCGACGTCCTGAGTTGCTCGAGACTGATACCAGCAATTTGCTGGGGTTGTCGCAGAGGCAGTCAGCCACCCAGGATGACCCGAGCAGGGGCCATCATAGCCTCTGACAGGGCGACAACTGCCAGGACAGGACCTTCAGTGTAGGTGCCAAGAATTTGTGAAGCATATGATTCTGTGTCCTGAAGATCACTGCCCAGGTGCCTGAAGAGCTTGACCCGCCACCTTGAATTGCCAAGCGTGGCGGCGCAAGTGCCTAGGAGGTGCGGGACAAGCCGCTGCGCGGCCATCCCAACAATATCCTACGCACTGTGCCCTTGTTCGTGGGCGTAGCGAGGCCCAATGAGGTGGTCTTTTTCCGGCCTTCAGATCCGGGGCTGAGGGCCCGGGATTAAACCAGGTGTGCCAGGATCTTGCGCCGTGGGGTTCACGACGGAAAGTGTGTGCATCGTCGATGGCAAGCTGTTCCGCACTATGATTCGATGAAGCCACTACGCGTCAGTTACGTGTGAAATAGAATGAGTGACAAGGAGTCAATGTGCCGAGAGATGGAACTGTGAATGCCAAGTTTGGCCACGCGTACGGCAGATTGCCCCTGCACAGAGTGCCACTTTGGGAACGGCCCAACCTGGGGTCAAAAGCTCCGCGGAGCATGCTTGGAGCTTAGACGAAATTCGGCGGACATTGCGGCTACACGGCAATTGTCCCTCAGTCTAGGACTTTAACGACTTGGCCTGCCTTTTCCGTGAATGCAAGGGGCCAGCAGATCGAAGGAGTTGCTGCAGAACTCTTCGCTCCTGGCTCACAGTAGCCCTGCGGGACGGGCCGCAATTGGAGCGGTCCCACGGAGTCCCTGTCTCGGCTGCACGTCCTGGCTGCCGCGACAAGAACATGGTTCTTGGCCTGCGGGCAAGCCTGGGCAGCGCGACTCTAGGAGACCTTGTCCGCAGCCCGAACAACGTGTGATCCTGTGTGGTGACGAGTGTGGCTTTGTGTGGACCATGCCAAACGAACTTTGGGGGAGGATTGCCCTTCTCTTTGTCACCGGATTCCTCGCATCCAGGCGTCAAGTGTGCTGTAGGTGTGATGAGGTGCTCGGCAGGCAAGTTCTCGACATTCAGCTGCTAATGTCACATTGCTGTTTGGCGCAGCATCTCGGGATAGATGCTGCACATGATACTTAAGGCTTGGTGGCCTGGCTAATCACATCCTCCCTTCAGCCGCCTATGGCGTGTGCTGCGAACATCGTCGCAATGAGGACCGTATCTGAAGACTCCAATGACGGCACATCGCAGCCGGCAAAGCGCCTGGCATGTGAGCGGTGCCGTAGCCAGAAGCTACGCTGCATTCGCCGTGGCTTGGGCGACTCGGCCTGCGCGAGATGCACCCAGGCACAAGCTGGGTGCGTAGTCCGACGGCGCAAAGCCCCTGGGCGCCCAGCTGGATACAAGGACAATGCGAGCACGCCGCAGCAGACAGCTGTCGAGAGTCCAGGTATGGTGCTGGCTGTGCAGCATGATGGCTTTCATAGCTCCAGCGACTTGTCGTTCTTTGGTGGCAGTCCGCTCGACCTAATCCTCGACCCTGCCAGCATTGCCAACAGTGACCAGATCAACGACTTCAGCGCCATCGGGCTCCCCAGTGACTACACCACCACTTCCGCTCTCACAGATTCATTTTTCGCCGACTCTTCGGCAACAACCAATTCTTCTCCCAGCTGGCCCTCGATAACCGCAACGCTGGCCAAGTCGCAGTTACCGCCGGCTCGATCATCACCCAGTGAGCGCAGAACGTCCTCTTCCTGCGAGCCAGGTCTGCAGCTGTCCAAGCTTCATCAAAACCTGACGAGCCACCTGGCGCAGTTACGCTCGACACCCTGGGACATACTCGCCACCTTGCGCCTCGAATGTAGCCCATGTCTCTCGTGCCACCAGCCTACGACAGATTCTTTCCTCGGGTCCGCCTTCGATCCTCTTGCAAGCACGTTCCAACTCATGTCCGAGTTCGAGCATCACATCACCACCGATAGCGCCGCCGCTGCCGCCGCGGGCCACTACGGGCCGCAGATGACGCTTTCGTATGCGCTGATTGCGGTTTCGTGCTACATCCAGCTGGTGCTCATCTACGACCATGTCCTGTCCCACCTGGCCGAGCAGTGCGCCGACAACCGCATCGTGCGCGACTTCATCCTGCAGTCCGCGGCCCCGCTGTCGCTGAGCGGCCAGGCGCTGCCGCCGAGCAGGAATCTCCTGGGACGGTCCCTGGTGCGCCTGCTCGAGAGCAGGATCGGGAGCATCGAGGCCGTGCTCGGGCTGCCGGACGAGTTTCGCGTGTCGAGGGCCGACGAGAGAGGAAGCTGGAGTACTATGATCAGTGATTCCACTTTGGGCGAAGACGTGGGCGGTGACGCAAGCGTGGACGACGGGAGAGAGCGTAAGGGCCTCGTAGGGAAGTCACTGCTTGGTGTGCTTCAGGCGTCCTTGCTCACGAGTGAGTCTGGTGCAGGGGGTCCGGCCATTGTGGAAAACCTCAGAACGCGAATGACGTATCTGGAAAAGCTGGCTTGATGCCTGTCCTGGGTTGTAAGAATGAAAAAGGTGCATTTTGGTGCTTTCTCTGGCCTTGATCGTGAACGACCTACCGGTTACGACTGCCAAGTGACTTTGTGTTCTCTCATTCACGGGTATCGGATCGATCTACGCTCACAGCTGTCGGCACTTCAACCAGTGTTAGCGACAAGCAATCTACATGGCAATGAAATAAGGTCTCATTCGATGCGCAATGCAGTCTACGGATATATGCGCAACACAACCGAAAACCGAGGGCAACTCCATCACAGTGTCTAGAATGCGAGAACGGAAGGGCCATGCGGGATGGCTCAGTTTTGGACAAGTTCCCTTGTGACACATTGCTCATCAACTCTGCCATTGCTGCGGAGAAGAGCACCCACGGGTTATGCCGACGATATCAACCACCGACGGACAAAGTCCAAGCATGAACGCGACACGGTAATACCCGTGCCGCCGTTCCGAGACGCCAAGCTTGCCTTCGGTGCCAAGCGCCTTGGCCCAGCAGCGGCGCTTGGGGCCGGGGGCTTATTCCCGGAGCTTTTCGTGTGGCTTCGGCGGGGTGCCTCATCTCACGGGGGCTACTGTTCCGCTCTAGCTGCGGTCTATTGCACAATGTATGCCTGCTCTCAGCAAGTCAGAGCCGGATAATTGACTCCTCGCTGAAAGTCGGCAAACTCTGAAGCTGTTTGCAACTCCGATGCTCGCCACCCCTCGTTTCACGCTGCTCACTTGGGCCCCTGACGCTTCAAGCATGTAGACACCAACTGCAAGATCGTAATTCGGGAGACTAGATCGGAGGTGGGACCTGGATGGGGATTTAGCACAAGCGACCAGTTTTCAGCATCGACTGTGGCCCAATTTTCCTTGAGCAAATGGAACAAGGGAGCTGTGTCTCGACCGCTTTTGGGCGCACAGCATAGTCTAGCTCTGCGATCCGGCGATCCCTTGGTGCACTCGCACATGTGGACAGCGCAGGAGAACGCAGACGGCTTACAAATGCTCAGATGCTGCTCAGCACGATCAACGCACTCGAGCTTTGTTGTTGGCAATGCCATCCCTGCAACGTATCCACCCCCCTCCCCCGGCGGCCGCCCAGCAATTATCGCAGTCACGCTCTTATAGAGTCGAGGCTCCTCGCTGGCATTGTGTTTTCTTTCTGGCTGCCAGAGATTATCGTTAGTTATCAAGCAACTGGAGCCTGCAGCATACCAGCTCTGCTCGATCATGTCGGACTCCGACACGATCATAGCGGCTAACAGCTCATCGGCTGCACCGAAGACGCAGCTTGTCCACCAGGACGGTGCCGATAACGTCGCCAAGAGCAACAGCGGCGACACCGACGACAGCGGCAACGCTGCCACTTGGCAGACAGCCTTTGCAACACTGCCACCTCCTCCTGACGGCGGCTTCCGGGCCTGGGCCCAGGTCCTCGTCGCCCACCTCGGCTCCTTCAATGGCTGGGGCTACATGACCTCGTTCGGGCTCTTCCAGTCGTACTACACCGACACTCTACTACCAGGGACCGCCGCGTCGTCCATCAGCTGGATCGGCTCGCTCCAGATCTTCCTCGCCTTCGCTATCGGCAGCGTGTCCGGCCGTGCTCTCGACGCGGGCTACCTGCGACAGTGCGTTATCGTGGGTAGCGCCCTGCAGGTCCTGGCTATTATGATGGCGTCTATGTCGCAGACGTACTGGCAGCTACTGCTGACGCAGGGCCTCTGTAAGGGTATTGGCGACGGCCTCATCTTCTGCCCAACAGTCGCCAATGTACCCACATACTTCTCCCGAACGGCGGCTGGCGGGCCCTGGCGATGGGTATCGCGGCTATCGGGACCTCGACCGGTGGTATAGTGTTCCCGCTCATCGCGCAGCGGCTGATGCCGAGTATCGGCTACGGCTGGACCGTTAGAGTAATGGGGTTTATCGTGCTCTTCAATGCCGCTGTGATGCTGGCGCTCGTGAAGTCCAGATTCGATCGTTCGGCAAAGACAAGCGATGACGCGGAGGCAGGCGCAGAACACGGAAGGCTCAGAAGGGTCAAGGAACGCTTTAGTGGCTTCTTCGAGTGGTCCGCCTTCCACGAGCCGCCGTACGCGCTGTTCTGCGCGGGCATGTTCTCCGTGTGGCTCGCGCTTTACTTTGCCTTCTACTACGTGAGTCCCCTCGCCCCCCGTTGATCCGAGAAAGACGCCCAGACCTAACCTCTCCATTCTCCAACAACAGGTCAGCCAGTACGGCAAGACCTACATCGGTGTCGACACATCGACCTCGCTGACCCTGCTCCTCGCTATGAACGCCGTCGGCGCGCCAAGCCGCGTGCTCTTCGGCCTGCTGTCCGACAAGCTACTGGGCCCGATCCGCGCGCTGATCCTCGGCGTCCTCTGCACGGGCGTCATGTTCTACAGCTGGATCGCCGTCGCGGACCTGACCGCGCTCTTCGTCTTCTGCTGCCTATACGGGTCCTTCGCGGCGGGCGTCCAGGCTCTGTTCCCGGCGACCTGCGCGGGCCTGACGCGCGACGTCCGCAGGATCGGCAGCCGGACTGGCATGGCATTTGCGGTCGTCTCCGTCGCCACGCTCACGGGGCCGCCGCTGGGCGGCGCGCTCGTGCAGGCTCGCGAGGCGCAGGGCGGCGGATACCTGTATGCACAAATCTTCGGGGGTAGTGTGCTCCTGGTCGGGGCCGGGTTGCTGGTGCTATCCGGCTGGCGCCGGCAGAAGGAGGCTAGGGGCAGGGCCGGGGAAAACTGAGCGTGGTTGCAGTTCCCTGGAGATGCATAAGCAAGATCAACAACAAGCATAGCTATGTCTGGTAGAGACCGGAATCAAAAGCAGCTCAAAAGTAGGCATGAAAGAGAATGGCTGCTACAAGCCCGGGCTGTGATTCACTCTCGCGCTTGTCAAAAGTCTCAATGTAAAAGTGCCATCCGGGTGTCTTCATGTTGTACGGTATTATCGTCTACATGACAATGATGAACAGAACCGCTACTATGCTTGACCTCCAACGCTGCCAAAAACGCAATAGTACTTCTGCGGCCAAGTCCCTATCACACCACGACTGCAACCATGGGGAAATACACATAGCTCTTGTCCGTCTGGCTGAACACCTCGCTCCACGAACTCCCCTGCCGCGCGGCATTCTACAGGGTCCGGCGGGAGTTGGCGTCGGTGAAGGTGATCTGGCCCGTCTTGAAGTCGCCGTTGTCGATGACGATCCGGCCCAGCAGCTTGCTATAGCTCGCGCCCAGCGCGCCGGCGGCCCTGAGCACGCGGCCGCCACCGGCGCCGGCGTCGATCCAGAGCGGCTGGTTCGAGGCTCTATAAATCGTATGCCGTATTTCTTGATCTACGAGGATACCTCGCAGCCCGGCCACCCAACGCCCGCATGGGGGTCAGGTATTGTATCAACGCCTGAAGTATCACCTCGATCATGTGATATGCCTAGGGGTAGATTAATACCTGCTGTCCCCAGCTCGTGGCCTTCTCCGCAACAGTGATAGCTTCCTCCCATTCCTCTAGTGAAAAACCCCTGTCAACAATCTCATGCCCAGCATCCTTGCCCAGCTTGATAACCCCGGTCTCGATCATCATGACCAGAGAGACCAGCTCCGCGCGAGTATACATGTGCTGTCCCTTGATGGTGACGTTGCGAGCCATCAGGCTCATGTAGTTGACCTTTACGTCGAACATCATGCCCAGGAGAACGGCACGGCCGAACGGGCGGAGAGCGGCGAGAGACACCGTCAGGTGATGAGGCGAAGCCGTGGCGGAGGGTGGCGAGACGTCAATGTAGGCATCCGCGCCCCCCGGGGCCAGCGCCTGGATGGCCGCAACATCCTTCTTTTCGTCGCCGGAAAGTTCAAGGGCGGCGATGCGGGGGTGGCGACTCGTGAGCGGCTCCAGCTTGGACGCCGATCGCGAGAGCGCGATGACCTTGCAGCCGATCTGGGCGGCAATCTCGGCGACGGCACCGGAAAAGTGACCAGTGGCCGGTGCCACGATGACGGTCCCCCCGGCGCGGAGATCCGCAGCGCGGACGCCACCGTAGGCAACGGAAAGGCGCTGGATGTAGTTGAGATCTCCAAAAGAGTAACCCAGCTCCTTGACCAAAAGCTTCTCGTTGAGGGGGATCGCGTTCTCCAATGGGACCATGGCCATATCTCTCCATAGGCCACCCAGCTGCTTGAACAGCTTGGCCTGTCCTGGGTCGCCAAAGCCGTCATGAAGGCCGGTCAGAACTCGGGTGCCCTCCGGGTCGTCTCGGGCGAGGTAAAAGCCATTGAGATACACGAGCTGGCCCGGCTTGATCGCTACGGCATCGGGTCCAACAGCGACAACACGCCCAACGCCGCTGTCCCCCGGGTTGTACGGGACGGGCAGAGAGAGGGGGCTTTTCCCAGAGAAACCGGCACGGTTGTGTGGCCGGACGGAAGTGCTCAGGACGCGGACCAGGACCGACCCGACAGATGTAGTCTTTGGAGTTGGGGTCTTTTCCAAAATGAGCGGCTCGTTGAAAGCGGGGAGAACGAGCGCAGTGGTAGTTTCGGGGATGGTAAGGCCTGACATTGTGAAAGATGGTGATGATGTAGGTGTGTAGGCGGGATCATGTACCTGCTGATGATAGGTTGCTAAGGATAGGCGGATTACCGAGACATGCAAGCAGCCTCTTTATACTGAGCTTTCGGATTTCGAAAAAGTCCCGTTGACATGGTCAATACCCAAAACAGCTCACTCACCTGCCTCATTGTGTTCCCGTGCCCGTATGGAGTGCACCGGTGAGCTGGTCGGACGTGTCCATTGCCTGTTTAGGCAATGAGTAGATCCGCCATGTCCGAGGCTTTGCGGACTCCACTCAACTCCGCCACCCACATTCAGTCGTGGGTGAAGCGGGGTTTAATTACGGCATTGGCTTGTGGTTTCAACATTCTGGACCTACTACCCATTGGCATTGTAAGGCAACCTCCTGCTAGTCCAGTCCCAACTTTAGGCCTCAAACATTTGTTATTCCCTTGGATCTTTCTTACTGCTAAATACATCTCAATCCACTCAATGATATATAGTATGATCAGGCTTACTCCACAACCCCAACTACATGGCCGCCCGACGCACCAGGGAACCACAACTAAAAGAGCCAATAAGGGTTGAAATCCTTTAAAGAAGATTGGGAGGAGGGCTTAGATCAACAGCATCATGACCTTCAGCAATAATATGCAGGTTGAAGAAAGAAAACTCCCTGCCAGGCTGTTCAGATAGGTCTTGTTTCCTGGACGATGCTATTTTCCTGAGCCATACAGCTATTCTAAAGCATCTCATAGTTGAGACAAAGATCGACCGAGTCCTGTAGCTCTGTTAGCAATATCCTTTGTAGCTGACTGAGCTGCGAAACTGACCCAGTCGATTTCCGCACCGTTGTCCCAGTCAATGAGGCCGCCTTCGAAAGAAATGTCCAATTCTGCAGTTACACCTTCGCCGCTGGAAGCTTGCTGCAGCGCCACATGCTCTGTTTCTGTTGCGGCAGCGACGGACGAGCTTGAAATAGGGTATGGGACTTGACATCGTTCTTGGCTGGCCGTTTGAGCCTTTGCTGCAATGAGCCGGAGCAGTCTCGTGCTTTCGCGGGCATGCGTAGATGTGACTGATCTCTTGGACCACAGATGCGTGGCGGTGCGAAGCAGGTTGATGATGGAAGCTTTTTCATCTGGCCTTTGAAAAAGGATTCAGTATTCCAACCATCAACGAGCCTTACGGGTTGTCTTCACTTACGGCAGGTTTGAACAGTCAAAGAACTCGAGGGGTGCCACTATCGTCGTCATCAGGAAGTCATTCATCGACAAGCCCGAGGCGACGGGCTGATCGTCGTATAGCCTTCCACCTTTCTGCATTTCACAATCGACCTCGACATAGACCCCGACAGATCGCACAGCCAGCCTCCGGCAGACATTGAGCGCCACCTGACACTCGGGGTCCTTCAATGCCATCAGGTCGAGGAACGGGCGGTACAGGAGGACGGTTCCCATGATGTAGATGAGTTCGAGCATGATGCGTTGCATGACAGTGTGGTTCGGGTCCGTGAAAGAGGTTTCTTTAATGGGGCGAATGCGTAAGCAAGGCGGTATGGATGCGTACCACGTCTCCAGTTCGGCCTCGAGAGTCATGGCGTCCGAGTAGGTACACGGCTTGAGACCCAGAGCATGGCGAATAATGCGTCGCAGTATTGGCAGGAGATGAGAGATACAGACACAGGGAAGCATGGGTTGAGCTTCTCCTATCGGTCGAGCCGTCAAGTAGTCGACATGTTCGTCAAAGTCATCGTCGGTGACATTTGTCGGATGACGGGTAGAAAATGTGTCCTCGTGAATAAGCGGTGGCAGCCCCTGCTCGAGGGAGTAGAGCACATCGTAGTATTGGATTACATACCACACCCGGCGTCTCATCTCTGCCTCGAAAGGTGTCACAGTCGGCATAAGTTTCTCTCCCTCTCGATGATAGCATCGCCATTGTGCCAAGCGGAGAGCCAATGCTTGCAGTTGAGACAAGTCTACGTCTTCGTTGCTTCTTTGGATAGAGCGCGCGTGGATATGCACAACCAAGGCTTCAACTGAGAACTCTGCAGCTTTCTGGTACTGGCCTGCGACGAGACACCGTGCTGACATGGTGACGTAGACCGAAGGGTGATGCGGATCAGAGGTAGATGCAACCTTTGCACCGAGGACGACAGCCCCGATGGCCATAACTGAGAAGAGGATGCTGACCCACAAGAGGTCCGCGGCGGCGGGTTCACTCCAGAAAGCCTCATATTGCCTTCTGAATTGATGCGTGTGGATAAAAGGAACGGTCATATGCTTGGCGTTGAAGTAGGCAGTTACTGTTCTGTCGGCAACTTGGCGGGACGGCAAGGCTGCCATGATATCTCTCAGGGTAGCTTTCCTAAAGGATGAGAATACCAGGTCCGGAGCACGTGGTTCGTCCATGGTAGTAGTCAGGGCTCTAGAGCAGCCGTCGTCTTCCAATGTGTCCTGAATACGTTTGATACTCTCCATCAATTGACGGCAAGGAATCTCCACCTGGTTGCCGGGTTGGATCGGCTGGGCTTGGGCTTGGGTTTGCCCAGATTGGTTGAGAAGACCTTGAAGCACATGTTGCATCTGCCTCAGCTCGATTCTGATTCGGTTCTGATTGTCGCCACCAATGGAAGAGGATACGAGGTGCTGCTTCGGGGCAGGCTCGTAGCGACACGAGTTCTCGTGGCCTCGTTTCTGGCATGTGCCACAAGGCTGCTGCCTATCGCATTTCAACTTCCGTGCCCGACAGGTGGAGCAAGACACGGTTGGCCGATGACGGACGATCCGATGGGGCCGGGCCACTCGAAATGTGGTGATGCAGTGCGAGATATCTTGGTTCGTCATATCAAGTAAGGTACGTAGCGGTTCGAGCGCTTTGCTTCCAATCGACCTGATGAAGCATCAGAGATGGGGAGGACGGGTCAAGGCAAGGCGTTGATGGAAGTATCTCTACGACAATGAACTGCCTTGATGTCGCAACATGGGATGAATAAAGGAGGTTGCTCCTCCTTGGCGCCATACGCCGCATAAGACCCACAATGATCAATCTCATTCCATTGTTTTTCCGAGGCCTTGCTTTATCTGCCCCTCCAATCAACCCTTGTATGACGACTCGGGCAAGGACAGGGGCAGGTCATGCACGCGGGATAACGCACTTCAGGGTTCTCATGCGTATGTAACCATTTCTCCTATGTCAGTATATTGACAGTCGAGGAAGATCACGGTGATCCAGGATCAGATATTGGCAAACACGCCGAAGGAGAAAGTTATATAGAGGCAGAAGGATTCCACAGTCAGACAAGTCATTGCCTTTGAACTCCAGTGACCAATCTAAGCATCATTCTCACCCGTCATTTGTATTAGTAATTTAAATTAATTAACAGCATTATGTTTTCCCAGAGACACAACAAACTGAAAAGAGAGAGCGATAGCTTGAGCGTCAGCAGTATCGTACAGGCTTTGCCTACCTGGCGGAACAGCAACTTAATGTCCGCGTGGCCAGGACGATTGACCTTGTAAGGCTGGATCCTGACAAGGCGATGCTCAGGCTTGTGGGCGGGGAAATTATTTGGTACGACTGAGGTTAGCTTGGGATTATGTTGGACGGCTGAGTAGACTCTCACCACGCCAAGGTATATTCACGGAATAGAAAGACGCGTGGCCCCGCCTCGGCGTGAACATGCCGCTGCGAGCCCACAGAAAGAGAATTACTCGGTCGTTTAATGCTATCCCGGTTTCTGGGGTCACAAGCCATCGCCAGAAGCATGCACTGTCAAAGTACAACATTGGAAAGCTCCCGCGCCATTTCCCTCTTGCGCCACTAATGCTGGAACAACATGCACTCGCCGAGAAGGTAGCGCGCAATGAGCACAGGGCCGGGGCAGCACCAACGGCACCAAGTCCCGTGCTATCTACCCGCCACCCGCCATTCCGGGGTTTCCTTTACTCCAAATTTGACATGTTGACGATCTTGATACCGTCGAAAAGAACGGATTACATAGGGAGATACGGAGCAACCGCAGAGCCATGCTGTAATGATGTGTCTTGAAAAGGTACGTATGATCAACGTCCATCGGGCTGTACAGGATGCGCAAGGCATGCCCTCCCTCGCACCACGCACCACGACAGGATCGCGCAGACACCGTACAGCACAGGATACAAGATACAAGAACCTTCCTCTGCCATGTTGGATCCACCAAGGACGATGATGATAGGTCGCGACTGCTTCACTTTGACTTGAAAAGAATGAGGAGAAAGCCACTCCACCCCAACCGACGAAAGTCTGGGGGTTTCACACAACACAACACACGTGTACCCTCTTGCATGTTTCAAGTTTTCTTTTGCAACGGACCTGCCCCCCTTGCACATGCATATGCACATACACACTTACAGAGAAGGCGACGGCATTGGACGAATGGGATATGGGGCTGCATGTACGGTGCCAGAGGGATATCACATGGCCCTCCCAGGCTTCAGCTTCCGATATGCACAGATACCCTGCCGGACCTACTCTACTCTGGGTAGGTAGGTACATACGAACCGTGCGGCTGCATCAGTCGACATTGTGGAGGAGGAGTGCGAGGTCCGATGACTTGCGGAGGTCTGTGGACATGGGGGATGGACGACCAACAGCTTCTGGTAGTGGTGTCCGTCATCATCATCACGGAGGCCTCCCTCCACCACCACAGGCAGGACCATCTGCAAGACGCGTCTGGGGACTGATCTGATCTCGGGACGATGGGAAAGACGCGTCGCAGGACAGCTGTGTCGTTGAAAATCAGTTGGCCCACAGACGTCAGTCTGCCGTGGGGCCATGCATGTTTGTTCTAGCTCGGCCGACGGGAGACATGGGGTCGGTCATCCATGGGAGAAAAGACGCATCGAAGACTACCTATGTACGGGTCTAGTGAAAACTAGCATGCGGGAATATGCAGATATGACTCTTCTCCCAAGCAGGGCCAGGTAGGATGAGTCACAGACACATGTCGTTGTCGTCGATCGTGGAGCTTGCAGGGGGCCGGCCAGCGTCCCGGGAGGCTGGGGCGGGGGCGAGCAGGCCAGAGCAAAAGAAGGTGAGCAGCTGTGCCTCGAGGATGGGAGGAAACCTGAAACGTAGCGCAGGGTCTTCTGCCATGCATGCATGCCTGCACGGGAACAAAGAGTCTGGAGAGATGGACACGAATCAGCAAGCCCAGCGTCCCACCGCATCGTTGAGGCTGTCGTTGACTCACAGCCAGCACAGTCGCCCTAGCGTGGAGGCTACCACCTTGGCGTGCAAGTTGCCTGGTCTTGAAACGAAACGTGCCTGTCCAATCAGCGCCCGCAGCCGGGGTTGTTTCAACAAACAGCGCGAGGGCGACAGCCAATCGTCCTGCGCCGCGACTCCAGCCCGCCTTGCGCGCTGCCGATTGGCTGCTGGCCCCAGCGTGCCCCAGGCCATCTCGCTCACCGCGCCCAGCCAACCACGGCGCGTCGTCATCGCCCAATCAGAGCGACTCCCACGCACTCCTCCCATCGCGGCTGTGCTCGTTTCCAAATCCGCGCGCTTACAAGATCATGCTTCTCTCCTGGTGGGTGGTGTTGTGGCTGGAGACTGGCCAAGTTCGGAGCGGCAGTTGCCTGCGCCCGTCGGAGTATCAGCTCCCATCCCCCACCATCTGTCCCGGCTCGTTGTGGCACGTCCAGACCAGACTCCAGTTTTCCACACGCAGCTTAGGAGAACTCGATCTTGGGGACTGAAGAGGAAGTGCAGGGTATAAACTCGCATACCGAGGCTATGCCAGAGGGGCATCACCTGTCCAGTCCCCTGGCGGCTGCTGAGGGCCGGCATGTCTGCACCCGGCCAGGCGGTCCTTGGTCCAGACTCGCATCATAACTCGTGTCCCGGCGGCCGGCCGGGTGACGTAGGACACACGGGGGTACTAAGACGAGAAGCTGACACCTGGTGACCCGGTCACGGCCCGTCGCAGGCGCCGTTGGGGTTTCACGCTTGGGGGGCCTTTCTGGCCGCGGGCTGCGTAATTTAATGAGGGCTGTAGCCGCCCAACGGCGACAATTTCGCCAGCAGCCGGCCCCCGCGCTTAGCCCGCCCTTCCACGCGGGGCACAACGTCAGCGCGCGCTCGGCTGCCGAGGCCAAGTGCAACCTCAGGGCATGCTGTTTAATCTCCGTAGGCGCCCGCCTATGCGGCCAGTCTCGCTGAAGAAATCTCGAGTCGACAAGAATAGCACAGGCGACCCTTCTGGAAGCGCGGCTAATGCCAGAGTCGGCGGCCTCTCCTGCTGGATGGCAGCCGCCGGCCTCAGTAGCCGATGTTACGTATGCTCAGGCTGGCGCGGGACGGGGCACAGGACCGGCCGGCATCTTGTGTTGCCGGAGGGCAGATTGGCGGCCCGGTCGAGACGATCTGTGCTGCCTGGAGGGAGGAGGTCCAGGCCAAGGCCAAAGACGGGCGGTTTCCTGAAGTGTGGCTTGCCATGGCAACACACGCGAGGCATCTTCTGTGGGCTGCGTCGGCGTCGAGAGCTGGAGATTTTCGACGCGTCCGAGCAGTGGACAAGACGCGTCTCGGGAGCGATGCCATCGCCATGACGAGCGTCCGCGGGCGTGGGCGTGGAGCGCGAAGGAGGAAGGGCGGACAAGGAGGCTAATGCAGCATGATGGGGCAGGTGCGTGGATGCATGCAGCCAGCGGTGCAGCGGTGTCCACTGGGGTGAGTCACTCGTGCGTGGAACCATGGAAGCACCCTGTCGCTGGGAGGGTTCAAGGGTGCGGGGGCAGGGCCCGTGGGAAGACAGGTTGAGTTGAGGAGACCAGTTGATGGTGCTGCCCGGCCCGGTGCTTGTCTCGAGGGCTTTTCTGAATGTGAAGGCCACGGCCGACAAAAGTCGAGAAGAGCGAGGGCGAGCGGCTCAGGGTCCTGAGGAAGGCGCCCACTCAAGCGGCAGGAACAAGGGACAGTCGAGGGCAGACCCCAGCCTGCTGCTGCCATAGGCTGGAGGCCGGGCTGGGGACAGACAGTCTGGGCAGGGACGAGCTTACTGTCTCATGGGCGTGGCGATGTATGATAGTTCACAGTACGGACAGCTGGGATCAGACACTGGCAGGGGCTGCTGTAGCCGCAGAGCCCCGCAAAACAGGCCCCACCATCCATTGGGCAGGGCCCGCTCTATTTTGGTGCGCGGCAGAGAAGCCAGTCCAGAATTGTCAACGCCCGACTTACACGTCGCTCCTCGTCCTGCAATGGATGCTCTGCAAGGCCACGACACGCCCGCCGCGGCACACGCCAGACCACGACGGGCCTGACCGCGATCAGCCAGATGCTTGCATGTTCGTCGGCCCACGATCCATGCCATGCCATACCATGTCCGTCCCGTGGCCGTGGCCCCGCCGGCCTGCAGGGCGCCTCACCATCACCCATCGTCAACCACCCGTTGCCCTCGACCATAAGAGAGCCGCCCTTCGCCTGCTCTCTTCGTCCTGTTCTGGCCTCTCCTCCCCAGTTCAGCCTTTCTCTCTTGTCCACCGCCTGCCTTTCGCCTTTGTCTTTCCTGCTTGCTTGCTTGCTTGCTCGCTCTCGCCCCAGGCCTCGTCCGGAACAAGGCCGCCTGTGCAACAACAACATCATCATCCCAGCGCCAACCAACCAGGGAGCCGGTCCTCCTTGTTCGACGCCTAATTACCACCCGCCCACATCACAAACCTCGACATGGCGTCCTTGACAGCAGACATGTCGGCCTTTGACTTTGTCTTCCCCTCGTGCGAGCCCTCCACTCCGCCAAGCTTCTCCTTCGACCCGTCCTACTTCGAGATGCCCGTCCACGGCTACGACAGCAACACTGCCATCGACTTCCACAGCAACAGCAGCAACAACAACAACATGATGATGATGTCAATGATGGTCAACCACAACACCAACAACACTGCCAGCTCTCGCGGACATTCTCGGTCCGGCTCCCACGCCTCCTTCTGCTCCTCCACCCTCGAGTCGTCGCCATCCGACTCGCCCAGCACCCGCGCCAGCACCCCGGCCACCCGCTGCTCCACGCCGCCTGTCCGCCACCATGGCCCTGTCCTTCTCCCCAAGATCCGCTCCCAGGATCAGAGCCTTGACCAGTCCCCTCCTAAGCGCGCCAGGACGTCCCCTGCCTCTGTCCAGAAGCCTCGCCGCCGCCAGCCCGCGTTCCGGCCCTCGCATGCCCGCAGCTATACCAACCCAGAGACCATCAACAACTATGCCGCCGGCGCCTTCTTCACTGCGCCCCAGGACGCCTCGCTCTCTCAGTCACTGCTCTGCTCTCCTGTCGTGTTTGCTCAAGACAGCTCTCTCAACGACTTCCAGACCTCGCGCCGGGCGTCCACCATCAGCCTCGATGGCGCTGCCCTCGACAAGTTTGGCTTCCCCACATACCGCCAGATGCCCTCATACGTCGCCTCTGCCATGTCCCATCCGCAGATGGACCAGTTCTCGTTCAACTTTGCGCACCGTGCCCCCTCTCCTCTGAGCATGCCCTCGGTCACCCCGGAGCCTGCTGCCTCGACCACCCTCATGGACTTCCTGACCACCCCCAACCCCACGCCCACCCTGGTGCGCTCTTTGTCCTACTCCCCCAGAGACCCCAACACCAAGCACTTCTGGTGGGATGTGCGCCAGGTCCGCCCGTGGTCCTCCTTCAAGCTGGACACCATCCTCTCCCTGCCGGGTGCCTCGGCGCTCCTGAACTGCCCCGTGCCTGAGCCCCTGCTACCCCAACCCGCTGCTGGGACGAGGCACCCAGAGACTGAGTCTGCCCTTCACAACATCTATGCGTCGTACTACGTCCCCAAGCTCAACTCTGCCCTTGCCGTGTCCTCCCAGCGCGCCATGCAGTTCTCGTCCACGTCCTCCAAGTCCGGCAACGCCAGCGAGCAAGTCTTCGTCGCCAACATCCCCGGCGAGGCCTCTACCGCTGCCGCCATCTTCGGTGGCAAGCCCACCGCCCGCGTCGTTGGCATCGCCAAGAGCTTCGACCGCTTCAACACGGGCATGCGCGTGGAGGGAAACATCAAGCGTGTCGAGTACCTTCGCGGCCTGGCCCACATCCACCACGTCATGCGCGAGCACGGTACCCGCTACGGCTTCATCCTCACCGAGATTGAGCTCGTCATTGTCCGCAACGGTGCCGAGAAGACTCCTCACTTTGGCTATCTCGAGGTCGCCAGCGTCCAGTTGACTGCTGCCCAAGGTGACGAGGAAGAGGCCCCCCTCACGGCATGCCTCGCTCTCTGGGGTCTGTGCCGCATGGCTGGCGACGAGCCCTCTGCCGCCGAGCACATTCACTGGAAGGCCGAGATTGGCGCTCCGGCCGAGGGCACGCGGCGCAAGGCCCTGCCCCGGGACGACTGGATGCCTCAGCCACAGCTGGCCGAGAAGCGCGAGGCCAAGCGTGCCCGCGGCTGGGTCATGCCTGAAGACGCTGTTGGCCGCAAGGAGCTCGGCAAGCGTGGTGTGCGGTACGGCGCATGCTGAAAAAAGGTCTCTTCGAATGGTGAAAAAAAACAAGAGCCAATGCAGGATCGTGGCACGGTGATGCGAGCTGGTTCTCCGTCACCTGTGCGCGACTGCTTTAATGACAAGACATGCGCCATGACCTTACGACGAAGACAAAAATGACGAGGACCTGTAACGATGCACGCTTTAACGAGAAAAAAAGAAAACGAAACAATTAGGACAAGCCAGGAAAGGCAGGCGGGCGACATTTTACTTCTTTTTAGACTTCTTCACGAGTTCAGGCTTGACAACATCATATATCATCATGGACTGCCTTCTGCAGGGCTACCCATGCTTTTTTCCAGTAATATATATTCTTTGCTCAAAATTCATGTCTTCTTTGAATCCTACTGCTGGCGCCTATGTGTGCGTGCGTGTGTACGCAGTTCTCCCCAGCGTCAAGTCGTCTGGAAGCATTAGATGCCTCTCGGCCTTCCTTGCCTTGCAGGTACTGCACCAGTACCATGTTCTGGCTACGTAGCAATCCTTGTGCACCAAGTCCCCTAGCAAGTAGACGGGACAGAATTGATAACTTGAGCGATGCCTTGATTGACTGCTCTGGGTGACGCGGTAGGTGCTCGTCTCCCCGCTTACCACTGTAGCCAGTTGAGTCAGAAACACCACCACCATGCCCAGGCCCGCCCAAACCCTCCTTCGTGCATGGCTGCTTCAGCTGTCGCCGCGTCACCCCTTGCCGCTCATGAATGAGTATCTAGTCAGTGACCAGCATTTAGTGAGATGTTGTAGCCTCTATATGGCCAAGTTGTATCCTTTATTAATCCCTTCTATCAATCTACTTGCCCGTGTCTCCTGCCCGTGTCCACAGAAAACAGTCCGTCTAAACGCCCGACCATGAACACGCTTACACTTGATTGATCGCAAATATGCTACAAGAGACGAGAAGGAAATAAGTAAATGTCGTCATTGGGTTTTCTTTTTTTTTTTTTTTTGCACGCATCTTCGCTGCGACTCAGGTCCGTGGCGGTGGGACTTCGTAATGGTACAGCGAGCTCGCTGGCTGGGGGGCAGTTGACGGTTCGCGCGTGACTGCTACGGCTACTGGTGCTGGTGCTGCTGCTGCTGCTGCTGCTGCCGCCGTCACATCGGTGGGCTGCTCTTGTTGGACGCCCTGCTGATGATGAGCCGGCGGTGGTAGTTGGTGGAATGTGTCGCTGTTGCTGTTTTGGATAGGCTGTAATGCTTCCGTATTTGTGTATGTGTAGTCTATGTACGCGCCAGCTTCAGCTCCTGGCGGCGGGTCGTATGCTTGCGTAGTAGCCGCAGAATAAGGAGTGTTGACGGCGGGCACATGTCCTGAAACGAGGGCACCGCCGCTGCCGCCACCGCGCGCAGGCGAGATGTAGTACATTGCGCCGGCAAGCGTGCTCGGGTCGACGGGCATGTGCGGCCAGTCCACGAGGAACGAGGCGCATGTGACGAGGAGCATGAGACCCAGGACCGCGCAAGACAGGTACACGCACGCCGTGTGCGTCTCAGAGGTTTGGACCACCCGATAGGGCACGTTGCTAAGCAGTGCGGGGAGGAACTCGGCCAGCAGCGCGACGGCGGCGACCGAGGCAAGGAACCAGTCATGTGTGCCCTGCCAGAAGCTCAGAGAACGGCCGAGTCCGCTAAACTGGTTGGTCGACAGATTCATGTTGACGGCTTCGCTGGCGCGGGTAGGGTTGGAATTGAGGATCCGGTAGGGGGTCATGAAGGCGACACCTGAGGGAGAGGCAGTGGTTAGAATGGATATTTGTGGAATAGTTTGAGGCCAATAGGACTGGTTGGCGAAAGCGGGACTTACAGTAAAAGTAGGATGACCAGAACAGAGTGATAATCATGCCAATCGTCACGACCAGGATCCGCACGCCGACTGTCTCACTACTCATCCACCTTCCCAGAGTCGTGCGCGGCCCTAGAGCCCAGTATGTGATAATGAGCGTGAGCATGCCAAGGAGCACGAGCAGGATAATGACCCGGCCCCATAGTGTGAGGGCGAAGAACGGTATGGCTTTCCGGCTCCTACCTCCGCCAGCTACGGTCATCTGGCTACCGGAAGGGCCGAGATCCAGGATAACCCCGTGCCTCGCGTCCTCCACAGGCACGATTGCGTACTTGAGCAGTTCGCCGTCTTGTCGATGTTCCAGAGCATAGCTGAACCCCCCCAGCATCTTCTGCGCCTTCTCGTTCTTGACCACCCCCTCGCTGTCTTCAAGGTGCTTCAGACGAGCAAGCACGGCCTGGAAATCCTGGTTTCCTGACAACCCGGCCATGGCAGTCAAGCTCCACGGGCTGTCATTCAACCCAGTGCGATGGAAGCGCCACAACAAGACCATGAGGACCAGGAGGAGGACTCCCATCACACCCAAGATGCCCACCACTGCCCGTGACCACGACGGGAACACTCCGAGAGTGAGACCGCAGTTCTGGGCATTGCCCTTGCCTGGGTGGCACTCCGGACCATGTAGGATAAGCCGGACTGTCTCGGCGCTCATGGGCACGAGAACGGCACTAAGTACAACCAATGACCCAGTGACTGCTAGCAGGATCTCTCCAGAGAGGAAGTGCTGGAACCTGGTGATAAAAGTCCATAACCCCGTAGTCTCCCAGCAGATCGAGTGTTTGGCTGAAGCACCAGAGCGCGCAGTAGCCAGGATATGGAATGGATGGTAGAGCTTCGCCACGTGGTCGAGGATGCGGATCGGTAGGGTCAGGAGTGTCGCAAGCAGTGTCGGGATGATAAGGCCTGTGGCGTACTCTGCGCCAGTGATGCTGAACACCTGCAGTTCCAGCTTCGGACCCGGTGGGGTGGTTGGTTTTGGCAAAGGGCTGGTCTGAACGAAACCCTTCGGGAAGGAAGCGGTTGCAAGGACCGTTGCTGTTTGAGTTGGCCTACCCTGACTGTCGGTCCTTGTAGTCGCGGACAATGTCATTGTTTGAGTGATCACCGATGTAGCGGTTGGCATACCGTTGGCATCTGTCAGTGTGCTGGTTGTGGTGACGAGATAGAACGTGGCTGTGCTGGATGGGTGGCCTTCGCTATCGGTGAAAGTTGTCGTCTGAGGGCCATTCAACACCAAGAATGTCTCCGTGGCCGTAGCTGATCCCTGAGCATTGGTCAGGGTTGTGGTGACGGGAGTGGCCCACACAAGGGCGGAAGTGGTGAGGGTAGGCTGCCCCTGTGAGTTAGTCATTGTCGTAGCTACCATGATCAGTGTGCTCTCGAGCTCGTCTTCAGATAGAAGAGAAAAGGGTTTTGGAGTCGTGGTGACCACTGTATTTCCGTTGCTGTCAGTTGTTGTGATGACCACGACGTCATCCTTGGGTCGTGTTTTCGTGACGATGGTAGGCTGCAATGTAGTAACAGAGTTCCCCTGCGCGTCCGTGGTGGTTACCGGAACAAGAGATGTGGTCGTCACCACATTGTCGTCGTCAGGCACGACGAAAGCAGTGAACACGTTCACCACGACTTCCCCGTTGTCGGCAGTCGATGTATGCTTCATGGTCGTGCCGAAGCCATTTGGCAACATCTGCACTGATGTCGTGGTAACAGCCGGGAGGACTTCGGTGGTTGAAAAGGTACTGCCTTCAGTGGTGACGGCAAATGTCGTTGTCGATGGGGGCACCACCAGGATCGCGATCTGATCCTCTTGTGTGATTGTGCGCCAGACAGTCTCTGTGACAGTCGCTGGCCGTGCAATGTGTTGGGTGACTGTGAAGACGCCGCCATCAACACAGGCCCGTCGCTGATAGTACGGGACGTCGACACCGGGGACTGGGGTGGGCTTTTCGCGTTTCAGTGGTTGTCCAGCTTTCACTATGACGTCGTACGTCACCGTCGTTGTCGCTATCACAAGGTCTGACTCTTCAGTTTCCGTGACTGTGCGGTAGTAGCAAGTACTGGTAGGCTCTGGCGGGTCGACGGGGCCGGGAGGAGTGACAATCGGATCAGCCCCGCCATCCAGTGTAATGGTCACGGTGTTCTGGCCAATCGTAATGTATGGTTGCGTTGCAGTACCAGTTCCAGTTCCCGAACTGGGGAAACTTGGAATGCTGATGGTGATTGTGACATCGCAGCTTATTGAAGAGTGCGAGCTGGATGTCTTGGAGCTCGCGGAGGAGGGCCGAGGGGATGCTGCAGTCGCGGTGGCGTTGCCACCGACAGTGACGGTGACAACCGGAACAGTCGTTGTCTTGGTCACGGGTTCGTCTTCATTCCCAAAGACTGTTTCAAAGCATGTCAGCAGCTCCGGATTCGATGAGGTGTAGTTGCCGCCGAAGCTGGAAGTTGTCACGCTGGGTGTCGTCATGGACGAGATTGTGGAGGAAGTCATGGACACATCACCCGTGACATCCGATGTGGACTTGGTTGAGACTGATGTGGAGGTTTCTGATGCTGAAGAGGTTGTCCTCCTGGATGACGAGGTCACGGAGCTGTCTACAGTTGTGGTGGCAACTGCTGCCTCGGAGAGGTCGGTCCCGGACAGACTACTCGCTGTGATTAGAACGCTGCTATCATTGGGGACCGAGGAGAGTTCGGTGCCATCTGGCGTGGCCTCGTCCAAGACTGGTGCGAAGCTGAAGGTACTCAAACTCGACTGGTCCGGCGCCGTGGTGACTTCAGCATCTACGGAATCGTTGCTGGTGGCCCTCACAACAACCAAGCGGTTTCCTTCCCCACGGACCTGGACGACCTCTATGAAAGTCCCTCCAGGGCCTTTATTCCTTGGGCGCAGATCCCCTGCGTCCTCGTGGGTGCCTTGTGAAGCCGCTCCACCGGTGCCATCGGGTAGAGTATGGACCGCGAGCTCTGACAGTGCTAGGAATGCGCAAACGACAAAGAGAATCAAGGCCAGGAACCAGAGCTGGAAGACACAGGGCTTGTAGTTTGGTGGGCGCTGCGACGATGCTGCGTGGAAGCCCCCGGGCTCCTTGTAGGTGGCGTCCCAATCCTCGTAGTTTGCTCCATGATAAGCGGTGTTTGAACCTGGAGGAGCTGCTCGGCCAAGGTCGTCTGGCCCATAGTAGTGATTGTAGCTTCCTCCGTTGCTTGGGCTCGCAGGATCGTAGAGGGGCTCCCGCGGGGTCTCGTTGTCGTGCTCGTCAATTGGTGAAAGGGCGGTGCCGACTTGGCCAGCATTGGAGTTCTGGTGCGGCACCTGTTGGATCGTTGGCGGATTTAGAGAGCGCTGAGTGTGGTCTCGAGCATCGGCGTCGTAGACCAGCGGCGCCGAGTGGCTATCGAGAGAGCCTCTCGAGGTGCTGGCGTCCGCATCCTGCTGCGGCAGGGCCGAGAAGCCGGAATCGTTTGCCGACTGCATCCTCCACGCAAGGACCCCTGGTATCTTTTTATCTGCCAGCAATGAAGTCGATCATCTGTCGTCGTGGAGTCAGGCTGGTCTCCAGTTCAGTCGTGGTTTCTCATGTCATTGTCTTTGCTCGATGTTGGCACCCGTCCGTCCTGCAAAATGGCAGCAAGTCTGTGATGGAGGGTGTTCATGACTTCACAGCGCCGCCACATTCGTGTATTTGAACGAAACCCGCCACGGCCCTCTTGCCGTGCTACAGGACATGGATGCAGCTTACACGGGCTTTCGGGGCTGTCTTGGCAGCACCCACAGGGCTGACCCGAGAGGGCAGTGCTACTGCTTTGCAGCCGGCCAGACCTGAAAGCCTCAACAAGGCAACCTTGCACGACCCCGGCAGATCCATGCACCAGCAGCAACCCTGCCTGCCTGCCGCCGGAGCCACGTCGATGCTGACAAGCGGTCGGGGGCCTTCTTGGCGGATGCAGGGAAACCTGCATATCCAAGATTGCGGCGGGGGCCGGGGGCTGCAGGTGTGAGCCAATGAAGCGCCGGGGCCTGGCGCGCTGGAGGGCTAGCGACTGGTTGTCGAGTACGGCGGTCTGGTCCCAATGGCAGGATGACTTGGCCAGCCGCAGTACTAAGGGCGTCGCCCGTCGGTTTTGTCGGTTCTAGGCTAGCCCGCTGGCGACGATTGGGGGGCCTCCTGGTGATCAGTCTGGCTGGTTGGTCGTAACGCTGCCCGCCTGCAACACCAGAGATGCGGCTCAGAAGCATCAGGCACAGGCCATGACATCGTGGCCGTCAGGTCCTTGGAGTCGTCAACATCGTATTGGGGAGTGCAGGACTCCAGCAGCCATTGCGCCGCCCCATGCGCTTGAAGCCTCGGCTGCAGAGGAGGGTTGAGAGGCCTCGTCTTGCACTGGCGGTTACGGGTACCGTAAGCGGGCTGGGCAGCGGTCATCGCGTGTTGTGGCGTGCACCCGACGCAGGGGGCGGGGCATCGGGATTGCGACAAAAAGGACGAGACGCAGCGAGAGGATGCCGAATGCCCGTGTGGTCGGAAGTTCGAGAGAGGACAGACAACTCTGCCAGATAGGCCTCGCAAGACGCAGTGACTGAATTTAGCTGAATGTGTGGTGGCGTTGTTGTCGCTGGGAAGGCACGGGTCGTGACAAAAATGAGGTGCCGCGGGGCTTCCCGCAGGCCGCAGACGTGCAGACAATGAAGACAGCAGCACCGGACTCCAGCCCATCCCTCGCAGATAATCATGAAGCAGGGTCACAAGGTTGTTTGTGAATGACAGAGCACCGGGCGAGGCAAGAGAAATACAGTGGTCTGCTCCTTTGCAGCCCCAAAACGGGTATGACGCTGCAACTCGACCGAAATCTACGATTGTCAACATGTTCAGGCTGCAGGTTGGGGCATCAAATACTGATAGGTTGTTAAGAGCGCCACTTTCCATCAACATTATCAGTTGCTCTAGAAGGTGCTATCGTCTAGTGGTTAGGACATCACGTTGTGGTTGTACACACGTACCGCTAACATTCACTATCACGCATTTCATTGCCGTGAAAACGCCGGTTCGATTCCGGCTAGCGCCAGCAATTGGAGATTTCCCTTTTTTGTTTGTCCTTCCTACATTTACATAGATTGTCTGTCTGTCTTTTCGTTCGATCGAGTCACTGACTGACTTCATTCACCCTTTTTTTGTCTTCTTTATTCCTCTTATTCACCTCCCGTTATGTCACTCGCTCGCTTGGCTCTTTATTCTCTGTATGAATGGCTGAATGGGTTCCTTAGCTTTTGATCATTTTCTTTCTTTTCGATACCTCGTCCAGGCAGTGTAAGTGACACAATTGCCTCACGATGGATGGTGAAGGTACTTACTTACTTCATTCACTGACACAATACTCGCGCGACGTGACCGAGCATGACCCCATGCAGGCTGGACTTGAAGTCTTGGAGCGTGGAAATCCCAGTGCACATCGCGAATCGGCTAATATGCGCGCAGGCTATCGGAGACAAACATGATCGTCGTCACGGATGCATCACTGTTGGGCAAAGTCTGGTGGAAACCTCGTAGTGTACACTCTGTCTAACTAACATTGGCTGGACTACTCGGGAGGTGTTGTACGGCTTATGCAGTAAATCGCACGACAAATTATGACCACGGACGCAGAGGCTTGACTCGATCTCCTCTCTCCTCGCATCTTAAATTCACAGACAACAACTACATCCTAGATGCCGCCCTTGGTGCTAGCATCGAATGGGAGGAACGTCGACGGGTCGCCCGCGGCGTCCTGATCCTGCTTGATGTTGTTGTTGAACTTCTTGGTCTCGGCGGCAATGTCGGCGGCGACGTCCTCGCCCTGGGCCTCCTTGATGGACAGCAGCAGCAGCGTGGCCTTGAGCTTGAGCACCTTGTTCTTGATCTTGCCGGCCTGCAGGGCGGCGGCCTCGGCGCCGCTGGCCGCCGCGATGGCCGGGTTGAACGCGCCCTTCTCGGCCTGGTTGCAGATCTTGTTGACGCTGTTGAGGAAGTCCTTGTCGTCCTCGCTCGCGTTGGCCAGGTCGTTGAGGTTGAGCGACGCGAAGACGGCCTCGGCCTCGGCCTCGGCGTTGCCCGCGGTGCCGCCCGAGATGGAGATCTCGTTGTACGTCTTTTGCTGGAACTGCTGCCGCCGGCTGAGCGAGGAGGAGCCGATCTTGGAAGGGTCGATGGCAGCGCCGAGGACGCTAGTTGCGGCCAGGACGGTGGCGAGGAAAGTGGCGCGGAAGTACATGATGGATGGAGGATTTTCTTTTTGGTCTGTAGTAGAAGATAGGCACGGAGAGAGTGTACGGGTTCGGACCAGCGAATGAGCTCGGGACAAGAAAAGAAGATGGACAGCACAGCTGCCTCTGGTGATATTTACAGATGAAAAGTGGTTGGTGGAAGCGGGCTGGAGAGGCAAGAGCAAGAACTCAAGTTACATCAAGGAGGCTCTGTTCTTTATATACATGGGCTTGGGCGATAGTAAACCGCGCAGCTGGGCGGCTGGACGTGCAGGGTGGAGATGCAAGTGGTCCCGTCAAGGTGCCATCGAAACAGGAGGTTGCGGGAAACGCCTGATGTCTGAGATCGTCTGAAGCTCTCCCCAGTCCGGCGGGGGTCGTGACAGGCCGCAAGTACCCGCAGTGCTGTTTCAGCTGGCACCAACATTCGTTGAGCTGTCATTGTTGGCCATTGCTGCGAAAAAGGCAGGGCTTCTTCATTCCCAGGCCACGAGAAGTGGTTTGCCTTCAATGTTGAGCTCGATTGTTCAAGGAAAGGGGACGGTCCCTCTACTCTCCAGGGCTGTGGTGCTGTGCAGCATTTCCCTCCTGAACGCAACACAGCCCTAGCCATATGACCCATGGACTGACGACGCCCCTGGAGACAAGGGTCCTAGCACCGCAGTTTCACGCCCCCTTGAGGCAGTTTCGCAGCTTGACAGTTCCACCAACCCACTCAGGCCCCTTGCCGAGAGAGGCTGCAACATCGACTGACTGCGATCGACTTAAGGTTATCTCAGATGCAGATTGAGATTACTGGCTCTCGTCTCATGCCGTCCGTAGACAACCTCGCGGGATGCTACCATGGCTTGCTGTCTGCTCCATGCCTTGAGGTAGCAATGTCAATAGTTTCCTTCTCTACTCTTTCGAGAATACACGGCTGCTTGATTTGTTCACAGTTTCCACGAAGAAATTAGATACTATGATGTTACCCTCAAGTTCTCATGCTAGTCGACTGGCGTTTGCATTTCTGTACAGGGTGCACCCCACTATCTTGTGTAACACAGTCCCGCTAGCCATGATCACCTCGCAGGACAATCAAAGACAACCGGCATCAGCGCGCCGCAAAAGACGAGCCACAACATGCGGGCTTCCCAGCAAGTGTTCGGCCAAAGAATGAAAAACACAAAATCGCAGAAACGGCAAAAAAGGAGGTTACTCAATGCGCTCTATCGCGACAAAGACAGGACTCGAACCTGCGCGACCGAAGCCATCAGCTTACGTGAGCTCAACTGCTTGTTAAGGCAGAGGAGCGTTTTCGAGGCTGACCCATTAACCACTCTGGCACTTTGCCACCAATCAAGGTGATCGTTGAAGAATCCGGTCCGTATTGACTCTTATATCAACATTGTTCAAGTAATACCTGCGTGTGAGCGTAGTGTAGTGTAGATGCAGCTTCTCAGAGTCACTCCCTTATCTCTGTGGACATTCCAGTAAGCCTCTTAGGGATGGGGACTGTGATTTCTATGAAAGAATGGATTGTTAAAGGTAAAATCATAGTTTGAAGAGATGGGTTATATGTTTGGCCGACCAAGTTCTCGTGTGGTTGGGACAATTCTTCATAGGGATGTGATTTTCATGACCTCAAATATTCCAATTCTTTTTAAAAAGAAAAAATATTGCAGCGCAAAGAGGGTCGCACAAGCGCGCGTAGCAAGATCTAATGGCTGTAGACAGCACGGAATATGGCAGCGAGATGTATGAAATTGTATAGTACTTCGCATAGTCGAGCCTCGAGCATCGTGCCTCATTCCATGCTCCCCGTCGGGATGCTGGCGATTACACTGGGCTAGCTTGTGCAGGGGGGGCGGCTGCTGTCGATCGCTAGACAGGCACCAGCAGGCCTGCAGTGCAGTTTCGTGCAGCGCAGCGCAGTGCAGGGCAAGCAGTTGAATCTATGGGCGGGGCCGCTGGAGCCGGGAGATTGACGCACGCTAGCCGAAACTTGCCCTGCGACATCATCGGTGCTACCGTGGCACCCGCTGTGCGCCTGCGAGCTGCTTATCGGCAGTTGAGCCCTCGTCTGACCTTCAACCACCGCCAGGCTGCCCCTTTCGACATTGTTCCCAGCATCGCCACAGTCCTTCGCAGCGTCACGTCAACCCGACCTCGACCTCCCACCTTGCGACATCGATCAGACCGCCCTCAGGCCAGCGCGGCAGTCCACCCAGTGCGATCTGCGAGATCCGCCAGCTGTCGTCATCCAGCTGCTCCCCCAAGATCACAAGCATCGTCACCCTCCCCGCAAGCGACACTCTGCAAAACATCGAAACGAGTCAACTCGCCGGCCCCCATTGGGCCTTCGACATGCCCATACCTCCTCTTCCTGCCCGGCGACATTGCGACCAACGGCGTGAATGCTTCCCCTGAACCCATTCCTCGCCGCCTTCTTCAAGCCGGGCAACTCGCTGGCATCCCAGTGCACCCCCGTCCACCATCACATCCTTCTCGTCCCGACCACAGAGTTCTTCCTCACCTCCCGCGAGACCGAGAGCGGCCTGTCCCTCGCAGACTTTGTCGCTTCCGAGGACTTCCAAGGCAGCCATGTCCTACGCGTGCCTAGTCCCTCGTCGGCCGCGGGAGGAGGAAAAGACTCGGTAGGCAACCTGCGCGAGATCCGCGGCAAGGCGCGACAGTACAACACGATCAATGGCCGCAGCGTCGTCATCAAGGATGCTGCCATATTCACAAACAAAGGTAGGATATCTGCCCTCCTGGTCGCCTGCTGCTTAGTGCGCCCTCGCAAAAGTGCTGCTGACTGACTGACTGACTCGTCACAGGTTTCCGGACACTCGCGCAAACGCAGCTACTAGGCGACGCAATATGGTACGGCGACACCATCGAACCGCGACAATGGCTGATATACTACATCTCACGACCCCTGGTCGGCACGTGGGACGAGATCCCCATCGAGCCTGCAGTCTACAAGGACGGAATGGCCAAGCGCAAGCAGGACGAGCTTCGACGCAGGACGGCGGTAGACCATGGCGAGCCAAGCGCCCCGCGCAAGAAGGACATCAAGAGCTTCCACGAGCTTCTCAACAACTTTCCATTAATAGCACGGCAGATGCAACCAGGACTGGAGAAGCTATTTGCAGAGTTCAGGACGGCCTTTGAGAAGCCCCTGCCGCCGCCGCCATCTGCCATCAACATTCCTGACCCGACCCCTGATGGCCCCATCACTGCCGCCATGCGCAAGGCTCGCTCGAATAGCGCCTCCGCGACCAGAAGACCCACGTTCACTGAGCAGGAGAGGGAATCGGTCGTCGAGAACTTCTTCGCTGAGGACAGCGAGGATGTCATGCGGGTTGCGCTCGAGACCGCTGTCACGAGCGCCATCGACATCTTTCAGGGTGTGGACAAGCAGCAGCTCTCGATGCTGGGTGCCACGACGGAGCTGACCGGCCCGATCGTGGAGAGGTTGATTGAGCGTTACATCACGGAGAGCCTGCACCATCTCATCTGGGCCCGCCTGGCTGCGTTGCTACGATCCGAGGACCTCGAGCTCGAGAGCAAGTTGCGGCAGATGCAACACATTGACATCTCGCAATTGGGCCTCTTTATTGAAGGTGGCGTGCGCGACAAGAGAATTCTCACGGCGCGCATTGAGGCTGCCGTTGACGATTTCCGCCGGATGTCCAACGCCACGTCTCCCCAAGAACTGATGGAGTTCCTGCTCTCCACCCTCAAGCTCGTCACGAAACTCACAGAGCAGCCTCGACCTGATCTGGCCGGGCAGCCCTCAGAAAAGCCCATCGTGACAATCAATGCCGACACTCTCGTCTGCCTCCTGCTTTACGTCGTCATTCGTGCAGGAGTCAAGAACTTGCAGGCCCGTCTTCTGTACATGAGGCACTTCATATTCATCGACGACGTAGAAAGCGGCGAGATGGGTTATGCTCTCAGCACCTTCGAAGCTGTGTTGTCGTACTTGGCCCGGGACTCAAGCAGCTTACGCAAGGCCAGCCGACGCAACAAGGCACTGTGGGACGCCAGTGCAAAGGGAGATGTAGATGAGCTCAGACGCATTATGGACCCAGACTCAGATACGTCACCAGAGGACGATGACGAGAACGGCTTGGAACGTACCAAGTCGACATCGTCAAGCCACGCAGCATCAATCAGTTGGAGCTTTGTGAATGGCTCTTCGCGTCGATCGTCCATGTCTGTACCTTGGTCCCGCGATGCCCAATCCCAGACGACTGGCCTCTACTCTCAGGGCTCCGGCCTCAGTCATGTCTTTCCCTTCCAGAGCAGCGCCGCCGACGACGAACATCCATTCATATCGTACAAGAGACCCAAAAAAGTTTCAATGGACGTGCGCAGCATGTCAAGCGGATCCGAGTTCTCTTATCATTCCCGAACAGGGAGTTTCGCAACCACTGGCTCGGGTCTTGAAGGCGACACGTCCATAGAGCGCCTTTGTCAGACGCAAGATTCGTCCGGCGAATCAGTCTTGATGATGGCCGTCCAGCATGGGCAACCAGCAACACTCAAGTACTTTCTCTCCTTGGAGGAGTATTTCCCTGCCAAGGCCATCATGGAAGATGCGAACAACCAAGGGACGACTTTGCTGAGTGCTGCGGTACAACTTGGCCACTTGGAGCTCATTGATGGCATTCTCGACATTGTGCTGGCGTCCTCTAGTGACGAGGAGACTAGTGCCTACCTGCATCAACAAGATATCTGGGAGCGCAGCGTAGGACACTACCTCTTCCAAGCACCCAGCCTGATACCACGCATCGGACACCTTCTCAATTGGAGGCAGAAGGACAAGAATGGCCAGACGCCGCTTTTCGCCCTCTGCCGCTCGTACGACCACAACAACTATGTTGCAATGGTGCTCGCGGGTGTCCAAGCTGCCACCAGAGCTCAAGGCGACCGGCAACCACTCCACTTGGACGATCATGTTGACGCCAAAGGCAACACATTGTTGCATATTGTCAACGACCATGTCCTGGCGCTCGAGATCCTTCGCTACGGAGATGCCGATCCCAACGCTACAAACGAGAAGAAGTTTACACCACTGATGCTAGCCAGCAAGTACGGCCGCTTCGAAATGGTGAGGGTGCTATATTCCGACCCGCGCGTAGACGTTGCCGCGAGGGAGCTGCGCGGACTCACGGCTGTAGAGCTTGCCAAGGATGACGACGTTCGCAACAAGATCGACGATCTGACGTTGTTTGTGATGCCACCCGGTGAGGATGGTCGCATCACTGGTGTCGTGCGCTCATTCTTTGTGGAAGACGCAACAATCCGCCTCGTTCTGAAGTCTGGTGCGCCGGCTGACAGCATGAACTACACGGTGACCACCTGCCGAAGGTCCCTTGCCGACTTTGAACGACTCATGAATCTTCTGACCATTGAGAACCCCGCTTCGTGGATGCCGAGCATCTCGATGCAGCGTTCGCCGTTCCAGATCCCGTCAAAACCGTCAAGGGCGGTCCTGAAGGATGTCCAGCTCCGCACAAACGCGTTCCTGCGCATCCTACTACAGCACCCGACCTTCGCTACTCACGAGATGTTGTGGGAGTTCTTTCTCGTGCCGGAGCTGCAGGTCGAACAGGTGGAGCAGAGAAGTCGACTGAAGGCGATTGCACGGGCGGAGAAGGTGCGGGATGAGCTCGAGCCGCTTGAAGATATGAGAGAGGTTGAGCAGTTTGTCGAGCATGCCAGGGATATGGTGCGAAGCGTGAATTACTCGACCAAGAGCGTGGCGCGCCGGGCCAACGCAATTGGGGTCGTTGCAAACGGTACGTTTTATGTTGTTGGTTCTGTCGTTGATGGCCCAACGTACTGACATGGCGCGGATAGATCTCTCCGACGCTGCCGCCTTGGTGAACCGGCAAGTTGCTGCGCTCGAGTTCCTGCCGGCGACTCACAAGACTGCTTTCAAGAGCTATCTTGGCGCTGTCGCCCTCCCTGCGCAGACACCAATCGCGACTTTCCACGCAAACTTCCTGGCACTGCAGACCACCATCCAAGCGATGATCGGTGCTCTGCTGCGGCCGCCGCAGCTGGTCAGCCAGATACAGGCGCAGCGCAAACACATCGACCGTACATATAGCTCGCTGTCCCGCTCGACACGCTGGCCGCTGGGGCTGATGGATGATTCGCGCGCGCGCCACGACAAGGAGAAGGAGGAGTCCATCCGCAAAGCCAGGGAGGAGATTGACGGGCTCGGGCGCGAGCTCCGGTACAGCCAGCAGGTTGTCGCGAGCGAGCTTGCCGGGTGGCAGGTACTGCACGAGCAGATGGGGCGCGCCGCGATCAGGGAATATGCCCGGAACATGCTCGTCCTCGAACGGCAGAGGCTTGGTTCCCTGCAGCGGACGATGCGCCGGCTCAAGGAGGACATGGCTGCTGCTGCTGCTGCTGCCACGCCTGGAAAGCGGCACGGACAACAACACGGCGTCGCTGATGCGCAGAGCTCCGGTCACGACTTCTTGGGCCATGAAGATCCTCGCCAGGTGGGAGGGATACGGTCTAGCGATGCTGTCGTGGAGAGTGAGACTCCTCCGGCCGGCGGCGGCGGTGGTGAGGCTGTGAACACGAATGGCGAGAGCTCGGGGGCGAATGTACCCGAGCCGGCACTTGGGGAGAGTGGAGGAGACGCGACAGGCATTCCCGGTGCACTCGGTGGATCGCCACTCAACAACAATGTTGGGGAATGATTCGAAGCCATCTTTTAGTCATGGGATCTTTTTTCTGGAGAGCAACAAAAAGACAAGGAATAGACTTATGATAGACACACTTTTAATGGCGAAAACCCCCTTTTTTGATCTTCGGCACTTATTGGTAAACCTGTCAACGCCTGAACCAACCCTATCTCGTCTCTCTCTCGTGATGCAATGACCGTGAGGCTGATTGTGAGTGAGGTAAGACGGTTTTATTTCGGCTTCAGTCCGCTACTGTGCACACTTGATTGCTAAGCTATATCGTTTCGAATGAATGGAAACTCCAAATGCTATGCATCTACTCGACTTATGTCCATCTGAACCATGTATACAACGCAGGAGACTGACGAATGACTGAAAGGAAGAGAAGGAAGGAAAAGGAGGATGCCAAGCAAGGGACAAAGTAGAAACTATTACACCCCCCTTCCCTTCCTTCCTGGTACAACAGGACCACGATCCAGGTTCGCTATGCACAAAAATCATCATTTTAGAGAGAGAGAGAGAGAGAAAAGAGGATGGAGAAGGAAGGGAGGAAGGAAGGGAAGAGCAAGAGTTTGAGCCGAGGTGATCAAGTCAAGCCATCTCATCCATCTCAGAGGTAAGGCCGGATCTGCGCGAGCGACCACTCGTAAAACTCCTCGGCCGTGCCCGAGCCTCCCTGGGACACTGGGGTCGCGGCCTTGGCGAGCGGTGGTGAGGTCTGCCAGAGTCGGCCCCATGGTGCGACTATGTTTTGTGTGTGTTGTCAGTGCATGACCTTTTTTTTTAAACTAGGGTCTAGGCGACTGGGCTGTGGATGAGAGGGGGGGGAAAGGGGGGAAGATGGGACACTGTCGTGAAAAGGTGGGGGGAAGAAATAAGAGAGCAAGAACCCACCGAAACCACCCGAAGTCTTGTCATTGACCTCGGGCGAGAAGCCGGCAAAGAGTGTCGTGTACGCGCCGTTGACGACAGGGTAGAAGAACAAGGTGCGCAGCAGCCAGTGGAACGCGGCCCCCTGGGTGCGCCACAGGTCCGAGTCGAGGTTGCCCGGGTTCAGCGAGACGGCAAGGATGGACGACGACGATGACGACGGCGACGAAGATGGACTGCTGTGGCGCCGCGCGTACTCGGCCGCGTGCAGGTAGTTGCCCAGCTTGCTGGCCGCGTAGCTGGGGAACGTGGGGATGGCGTGGGGGTCCTGGGCGAACTTGCGGACGGTGCTCATGTACTTGGCCGGGTGGCTGGCCTCGGCGGCCGAGGAGGAGGTGAAGACGACGCGGACGCTGCTGCTGGATGACTTGGAGGAGGACTTGGAAGCGGAGGCAGCGGCGGCGGTTCGCTCGAGGACCGGGGTCAGACACTCGGTCAGGGCGAGGGTGCCGAGGCAGTTGACGCCGAGCTGGAGCTCGTAGCCCTGCTTTGTGGTGGAGCCGTGCTCGGGGAAGCCGACGCCGGCGTTGTTGAAGAGCACCTGCAGCGAGTCCTCCTTGGCGAGGAAGGCGTCGGCCGTGGTGCGGATCGTCGTCAGGTCGGCCAGGTCGAGGTGGATGTACTCGAGCGTGCCTGCGGAGCCGGGCACGTTGCGGCGAATGTCGTCGATGGCGGCAAGAGTCTTGTCGCGCGAGCGGGCGAGCATGTAGACGCGGGCGTTGCGGGCGTAGAGGATCTGCGAGAGCTCCTTGCCGATGCCCGTGTTGGCACCAGTCACGATGACGACCTTTAGGCGAAGGAAAGAGTGAGTGAGTTTGGAGATGTTGCGGTGGACCAGGTTACTAAGAGGCACCGACCTTGTCTGTGAGATCAGGGACATCCTTTTCTGTGTAGTGAGGCTTGCCTGGGAAGGCTTGTTTGACAGTCTGTATCAAGCTTGACAAGGACATTGCGACGGGTGGTGATGTTGTGTGGCGTTGGGCAGGGAGAGAGCTGCAGATGTTGATTGAGAATGAACGGGCTCGCTCCAGGCTAAAAGACTTGGGACTCGATGTCTGTGAGAAGACAAGTGGACGTTGGTAATTAATGAATGCCGTGCCCGCTCGTAGTAATACTTGGTGGACAAATGGCCGTATGAGTAATCGCGTGATGTCCGTAGGCCTTGATTGAGGCTGGATTGAGGTGGGGATGGTCCAGAAGCTGCGGAGCTGTGTTGAGTGGGAAATGAGATGTCATCCCATTGAGAGAATGCCCGTCACTTTTATACATTTGCTCGCATCGATTAAGACTCTCCTGTGGAGGGTTGGCGATGACGATGTTGACCACGGGCGACCTGGCCGTGCCTGGGGGACCCGCCCACACTAACGTGCTTAAAGTACCCAATCAACAGCGGCGCTTATCCACTGAATAAGCTCTCTTGCCTGCTGTTCCGAGTGCGAGGCCCTGTCCCCCGAGTGCGGGGCCGTTCCGCCGTCCCGGAGGCACCAACGCAACGTCACCCCCGGCGACCTCGATCCGCCTCTCGTCGTCGGCGTCCTCGTTGCGAATGCGGTAAAGAAGGCACAGTCTTCTCCATCGGCCTGCCCGAGGTCCCCGCGCCACACATATCCCTCGCCTGCGAGGGGAGGGAGGGGCGCCTATCACATGTCGGCCACTCTCACAGCTTTTGGTGCTTTCTCTTCAACCGTGTTTGTTGGTGACTGAATTGACTGCTTTCTAAAAAGAAATTCTAGGACGCGACAAAAAGTGAGCGACAGACGAAAGAATGTAAAACTGCAAAACACCTCCCACGGCCAGCCCCGTTCCCAGCCCCAAGCCGGTCTAATCATCTCAATCCCTGCCATCCAAGTCCCTTTCCCATCTCTCCCTCCCTCTCTCTCTCTCTATCTCTCTCTCTCCGGACGATTGCCCTTGACTACAACAAGACTTCAACAATTGATGCCAGCGTCGACAAGGATTCCCCCCCCAATATATGCGCCAGAACTCTACTGCGGGCCGCACTTCTTGACGCACTCCTCCAGCCGGATCATGACGCCCTTGGGGATCACCGCCCGGATGGCGTCAAAGTCCTTGCCGCCAATGGTCGTCTGCCCGCCGAGCGACGCCGCCAGGATGTCGTCGCCGTAGGCAAAGAACTGCTCGGCGATGGCCGTGGCGCCAAAATCCTCGTCCCCGGTGAACGCCGCGACCGCGGTCACGTTGTTGCACGTCGGGTTGACCTGCGTGTGGAACGCGCCCTGCGGGAAGTGCGTCATCTGGCCCGCGCTCAGCTCCGTCTGGATCACGCGCGGGGCGCCGGTGGCCGGGTCGACCACGCCGGCCTCGGTCACCATCGAGGTCATGAGCGAGCCCTCGGTCACGATGAAGAGCTCCGACGAGCGCGGGTGGAGGTGGACAAAGGCCATGCTGCAGCCTGTTTTGGTTCAGAGTGGGGTGGTTAGCGGCGTTGCGCGGTAAGTAAATAGCAAGTGACGAGCGCATGATCGCGAGATTCCGATCATGACAAAAGAGTCACTTACCAGGGAAGGTGGCGTAGGCAAGACCACCGCCGCTGCCGACGAGAGCGGGAAAGGTCTCGCGGTTGGCAAGCGGGGCAGGGCTGGTCTTGAAGTCGAATACCCAGTCCTTGTCCTCGGGCAGGAGCGCATATCGCTCGATGGCGCTGTCAATCGTGATGGATTGTCAGTGTACAATTCTTCGAAGGCAGATCCCACAATCTACAGTTTTGTTCTTACGAGTTGGCGAGGCGAAGCTTGGTCGTCAAGCTGGCCTCGTCGGCGGCGGGAGTGTCGCGCTTCTGAGGAGCCGCAGTGGCGAGACTGCAGAAAGCCAGAATGGCAGAAGCAGAGGCGAGGTTGATCTTGGCAAACATGTTTAGGGTTGGGTTTCGTGCGGTGAGAAGCTGACGATGAAAGTGCCTGTGGTTGGAAGGAGAAGTGTCTGTGGGTGAAATGTGGTTGTTGGTGCTGGTGATGCTCTTTCAACCTCCCCTAAGAGCATGATCTGGCATCCTTATATAGTAAATCTCATCACCGCGATATCCTTTCGTCGCCGTCACTGCGTTGAAGCTATTCCAAATGTCTCTTGCTGTACGCTGTACATTCCAAATCGTCGACGGGCTGTGCAAGTCACTAATCTCCACAGCCTGTCAGCCCGTCCCATGCACGCCGGCAAGAGCCGCAAAAGACCCCGGTCAGCACCCTGCCGTGATCCAATCATCGTGGACATTACGGCGTGGAAATATTCTGGAATGCCGTGTGGCTGCAATATAGCCATTAGCCTGCCAGTCGCATACACTTGCGTTGTGGAGTGATCCTGGTATTGACTGCCTGATTGATTCGTTCCGATGTTGCGGGGTCGGTGACAGAATAAGTCGGACGCTCACACAGCTCCCTGGTAGTGTAGTGCACGGAGTTCTTTTGCCAACCGCCTATGCTGTCGCCTGGAGCTCTCCCCACTGCAACTGCGGCAGCAATGCGTGTTGCTTAGTGTCGTCCGAATTAAGTCATCGCTTCCATTCAAGGCTCCAGCGCTTATTCACGTGTAGACCTTGGGAGGAAGGTCGTGATGTTGATCTGCAGTCAGGTGCCACAATCACCACGTTCCAAGGTCGTCAAGGCCCCAGACTGTGCAACAAACCCGAAGAGCATAGCAGCCGGAACTTCTCATCAACAATCGTCCAATGATCTGGAATTGGGCAAGTGCACGGCACCTGCACTGGCCGCGCCCACAGAGCAAATGCTTGGAGACGATCGTATATATTCTCGTCACTGCAGCCTCTTTGTGTTGAGTTCCTGCGCCGCGCTCAGGTACGTCAACCGTGCTCAGGTAACGACGAAAGGTCAATTTCGACGCAGATCATCTTGCATTGTTGAGTATTTGTGTTTCTATGGAGGCTGTGCCAGAATCCCCCCGACGGTGAGTCCCGAACTGTGGGGACCTGGTCGATGCTAGCCTGTGAGCCGCAGCACTCGCGCTGACGCGCCAAGGCTCGTTGTAGCTATTTGTCATGCTGCATACTCGGTGACAAGGGGCTACAGCAATATGTCCTCATGTCTCACGCTGCATTGGGCTTACGAGTCCATAAAAAATGTCCCCTGCAAGGCGTATACTCAGCGCCCTTTGATGGATATTACCCGGGCACAATTTGACTGCGACTCTAAATGCTGATTCGCGTTACGGCCAATGAACAGCCATTAGGCCAGCTCAATAGTACTTAAGGTACTCACAGGCACCGGTCTTTCGCCCTCCAGCATTTCATGATTTTCCGACTAAGATTGCGACACCATGCACAGCCAAACTGCGCGTCGACGAACAGACGATTGTGATGGTCCGGACCAAAGTAGTTTTGCTATCCCATCATGCGATGGAAGCTTTCTGCCGCATCGGGTTGCTCACACAGCAAATCAAGCTTTCGCTGGCGTCGGATATCTGAGACTTGCCCCGGATTCCATGTTCTTCTCCCACGGCAAGACAAAGATGAGCATTCGCCAATCAAGTGGCAGAGCTAGAGACATTAGTTCAGCTGTGTCGAGAACAAGGTTCCAGAAGAAGAGGCGTGAAGGGACCAGGGAAATTCTCGGCAGTCTCTTCTTCCACGTGCGGCCTATCTTCGAACCTCCGGATGGCAACCACGAGATTCTGCGTTTGGCATGTCTCACTGAACTGACCCCGCATTCCCACAACCTCGTCAACGACGTGGACGTTTGAGTTCGCGCTGAACCCTTCATCACGTTTTCGCTTCTTCAAGCTCAGTTCTTGCTTAGGCACGGGACAGCTTCCCGCACTTGGAGGAAAGAGTATGTCGCAAGAGTGTGACTGCAATGTATTTGAACCCTACCTCGCACACGTACTCCGAGCAAACGGGCTGAGGTCCACCCTCATGATCTCGATTGTCGTCGCTCAATCTTCACTAATCTAATCTGGTTGTGGATCCCTAGCCGGGAAGGGCATGCTAACGTGCGGGTGGCTGAAGGGACGGCACGCTGAAGCTTAACATGAGCTGAACGTGCCACCTTCCCATAACCGGCTGAACCTGAAAGGCAAGAGCTCGTGTACTGATTGAAGGGCAGTCTCGGCGGAATTAGGGCCCGCAAGTCCTACGCTTACTTGTCAGAGACTGGTTCATTGGAAGTGCAGGATTGGCTGCCAGGGGATATGAGTATCGAGATGGAGCAAGACCATCCATCCGCGCGTGCGCGGCCGCCAGCTGCAGCTCACCCGCTTGACTTTGTCTTCAGAATAGGCTATCAATATTTTAAGCGCATGCTCGATGATGGACTGGAGTTCAGCAAGCGACAACACCACCACAAGCCTTGTCTCACTTGCCATGCCAAGGTCGCTTTAGGACGAGATACGTAGAAACCGTGCGGCTCGGCTCCCCTCTTCAGCTGATAGGACAAAGTTCAAGTGGTGTGTACAAGGCACCCGGCTATGGCTCGATTCATCTTCCAATGACCCATATGTAGGACATAGTCTTTATTGAATCGTCTCCATTGGAACGCCACCAGGCTCGCTCCCATCTGTTCGATGCGAGGAGCCGTGCTGATTGGCTGACCGCTTCTGAGGTAAGCCCAATTCATGTCCCACAACTCCCGGCCTGATGCGGCACATCAGAATTCGGAGACTCGGTCAGCTCCGACCTGGCACACCTGAGTTCCGCTATGGGAAATAGTAGTCCTTGGAGGCTGACTGTGACTGTCTGCCTGCGATGTCAGCCGCGTGAAAGTGCAGAGGGCGCATTTCGCTATATATGAGTGCCCTGCGTTCTCTCTCTTTGCACAGCGGTTGTCTTTTATTTCTGCTCGCTTCGATGTCCTACCCGGCCTGGGTGACTTTTACAAAAACAAAGCAACTGTTCCACCTTTCTCTGGTGCCCAAGATTCACCATGAAGCTCGTTGAGCGCTTCTGGGCAACCGTGACTTACGTCATCAGTTTCTTGACCTTCTCACCTTTCGGGTCCGATGGAATCACTCAGCATCCTCTGCAGCCTGGCTCCCACTTCGGGGGCGAACTGCCTGCCGTCTTTGAGCCTGACCATCCCAAGTTCCGTCCTCCAGGAGGCCATCCAGGTGCTAAGTTCACGTGTGATTATCGAAACATGAAGGATTGGTACCCTTGCTCGACCCCGATGAATCGGGGATGTTGGCTGCGGCACCCCAACGGGAGCGAATTCAATATCCATACGGACTACGAGAATCAGGCTCCTATCGGAATTGACCGTTACTACACGCTGGATGTCCATGACAGTTGGTTGAATCCGGATGGCTTGAACTCAACTCAATCGAAATTGTTCAACAACACATACCCTGGCCCATGGATCCAGGCCTGCTGGGGAGACGTAAGCCAGGCTCTCTCGCGCACTCTGACATACCCATTCAAGCGCTAATCCGAGTTTGCTTCATGCGTTGTAGAGGGTTCATATCAACGTGACCAACCACATGAAGCATAATGGCACCAGCATTCATTGGCACGGCATTCGCCAGCTGAACAGCATGCAAATGGATGGCGTCAACGGTGTCACGCAGTGCCCAATTGCCCCTGGAGACCACTTCGTCTACAGTTTCAACACGACACAATACGGCAGCTCGTGGTATCATAGCCACTACTCTGTGCAATACGCGGATGGCTTGCAGGGCCCCCTGGTGGGTTTTGAAGCTTGATGGCTTGCAGACGCAAAGAAAGCTGACCGCCTTTGACAGACAATCCACGGTCCGACTTCTGCCGACTTTGACGAGCCAAAAGATCCCCTCATCGTGTCCGACTGGGGTATGTTCCCCAGTGCGAAACTAATTCCCGTGCAGACCAGCTGACCAGTCACAGGTCACAATAGCGCCTTTGACGCCATATATCAGGGCCTCAAGGCACCCAGTATCCTCCTCAACGGTGTTGGCAATGTGACTCGATTCAACAACTCCATCCAGGCCCAGCTGCCGATTCCAAAGACTTATGAGCTGCACTTTGAGCAACAACCCTATCAGCACTCGAAGAAGTACCTGCTGCGAATCATCAATACTTCTTTTGACTCAACTTTTGTGATCTCGATCGACAACCACTGGCTGCAGATTGTGAGCGCAGATTTCGTCCCCATTGTGCCTTACTACAACACCTCCCTTCTCGTCGGCATTGGCCAACGATACAATGTCATCGTGGAGGCTAGGCCCGAGGCCGGGCCCGCGAATCCGCTGCCGAAAGACAAGAACTTCTGGATCCGTACATGGGTGCCAGACGGCTGCTCAGTCGATCAAGGCGCCCCGGGCTACGAGAAGAACGGGATCCTGAGATATGACCCGTCAAGCACAGCGGCTCCCCAGTCTCAACAGTGGCCCAACATTGCGCTGGTCTGCTCCGACGAGGACGCCGCATCGCTCAAGCCTATCCTGCCATGGCAAGTCGGGTCTAGCGCGAATGGCGACGATGGCCAGCGCTTTGCAGTCACCCTCAACCGGACGGGCGGGACACCCATCTTTCCTCTGGCGAGGTTTGCCTTTGACATGACCGCAGACTTTCGGCCCCTGCAAATCAACTACAGCGATCCCATCTTCCTGCACCTTAATGACTTCAGCGGGAACTGGCCTGTGCAGTGGGCGGTCATTCCCGAGAACTACACCAGCGACGACTGGGTTTACCTCGCGTTGACGGGCAACAATGCCAGCACAACGTTTGGCACTCATCCGGTAAGTTCGAACCAACCTGCCGGGTACTTCCATTGCCATGTGTTCCCCCCAGAGGGGCATCGGAGCGTGTGTCTTGCTGACAGCCTGCCCTCTCTTGCGCCCCCTTGTAGATTCACCTCCACGGCCACGACTTTGCCATCCTCCAGCAAGCCGAGAACCAGAGGTACCCAGACGACCCTTCCAAGCTGCAGCTCAATCTCCAGAACCCGGCCCGGCGCGACGTCGTCCTGCTGCCCACAAACGGCTTCATCGTCATCGCCTTCAAGTCGGACAACCCGGGCAACTGGCTGCTGCACTGCCACATCGCCTTCCACGCGTCCGAGGGCCTGGCGTTCCAGATCCTCGAGCGCCAGGCCGACGCCAACGCCCTCTGGCCGCACGGCGACTCCCCGGCGCTGGCCGAGGCCGAGCGCGTGTGCGGCAACTGGGACAAGTGGTACGGCAACTGCCAGAACTGGTGGCCGGGTTACAACGCGAGCAGCAACTCGTATCCTAGCTGCACGGCGCAGGATGCGCCGCTCCATGTGTTCCAGGATGACTCGGGCATTTGAAGAGTTCCAACCCCCTCCCCCCCCCTCTCCTCCCCCCCCCTGAGGCTATCTCAACGGGGATTGTACCAAGAGTGAGCGCCTCAGCTTTACAGCATTGGGCCGCTAGTGGTTGATATGGGGAAGAAGACGCTAGGTCATGTCGAGTTTACTTTCTTCTGGCTATCGATTACTGGATAACCCTCAAATTTCTCCTGCTCATGACTCGTTATCAACTATTTTAAAACCTCGCCGAATCCTTCGAATCACGGATTCTGCGTTCCCGGCCAACTCTATTCGTGGTTTCTCTTGATAGAAGATTCCACTATATGAATACTTTCAGCAAGAAGAAACGAATGCACAACGTCCTTTCCACCGGGGGGAAAAGCCTATCCTCACTCACACAATGGACGATACAGTGTCACTGGGGTTCGAAAACTGACGTGCACGCTGTAGTTATTGTGAGACAAGCCCGCTTTCTTTTACGTAATCAGAGCCCGAATGGTCTAGTCGTATGATACCTGCTTTGGGTATTTCTAAATGCAGGTGGTCCCGGGTTCAAATCCCGGTTCGGGCCGTCACTGAGAAAGTGGTTATACGTTTTTGCCCCCCTCCTTGGGGCGAGTCGTAAAACCACCTGGCCTTAGAAGATTCTTTTTTTGTTAGGTCATCAAGCCTTCATGAGAACAATGCCTGAACACTTGTGACGAGGAGTCTGTGTATGATTTGCATGAGCGGCTTCGTGAGACGTTTGGCGATCCAATCAGACCTTTTGCTGAACACTGTTGTTGGCGAAAAGTGACAGTGGTCTTCCCTGAGCCAGAGTGATATTTTGTCGCTTGTATAATAGCAACAGGTCTGGAAACCAGATCCTTGGACATGCTGTACTCCGAGATGTTGTTTGCAAAAAATGTGATCAGGAGGACGAACAATTCATCTGACTTAATGCAGCGAGACGATCGCCGTGTCTTCTTGTATTTGTACATTTTACTACATGCTGCCGGCTTGACACATATGGTCCATGGCATCATATGAACCCTCAACGAGGCCTTGCCAATGTTTTTAGACGATTCCTTCCCTACCGGCCCACAGCGCGTTGAGAAATCCAGCCCTTCCAACCTCTGTATTCTAAGAAACCCCATTAACCCAATCTCCTAGGGTTCTGACTCCTGGTACCACCAAACTTGATGCGAGTGTCGTCCGAGACACGGACAATCTTGTCGCGGAACAGCCGCCCCTCGGAGCCGAGCAGGATCTTGATGGCGGCCTCGCGGCCCTGGCCGAAGCTGCGGAGGACAATCTCGAGCTGGTGGATGTTGCGGTGCCAGTTGCCCTGGTGGAGCTTGTCCATGACGTGGGCGACGAGCTGGTAGGCGGCGTCGTAGCCGCCGCGCTTGGACTTCTTGAAGCCCAGGTTGCCCGTGCTGAGGCTGATGATGGCGTCGCGGTTGGGCTTGGTGACGGTGACGTGCGTGTTGTGCTTGTGCGAGTAGATGTGGAAGTGGAAGGGCTCTGTGATGGGGCCCCATTCCGGGTTCCAGCCCGAGCTGCCCAGGATCGAGTCTTCGGAGGACTGTGATGCCGACGAAGAGGGGGCCCGGTTGAGCGCCCTGGCCATTGTGTCGCTGGCGAGCGAGTTGTTGCTCGTGGTCGTCGCGCTGAGGATCGACTGCAGCTCAGACATGCCTGAGCTTGAGGACGGGGTGGTCGAGGCTGCTGGGGAGCCTGGCCTCGGTGGCCTTATGGAATCGGCATTGCGACGTAGGCATGTTTGAGAGAAAGGGCGGACAGACTGGCGGGCGAACGTTCGCGGGAGGCTCGAAAAGGTGGCCGAAGTAGCGGCAAATAGCCGCGCTGATGGTTGTGTCATATCGGGGGCATCCGGACCCGTGCTGATGGGTGCCAGGAGATGTGCGCTGGGCTCGTACTTGACGACGTCGTCTCGCTGTCTATCTGCCGAAAAATTGGGCTCGACCTCGAGCATGGCAGCCCGCGTACCATTCTGGGGCCGGCCCTCCACCTGTCTTACCTAATCCACGGTGCAGATGTGCAAGCACAGTCTCTCAAACAGTGCCCTTAGACGCATATGGACTGTGGCGCACTGTCCGCTCAGCCGTGAACGGCCGGGCGGATCTCGTGCCGCGCCTGCGATTTTTTTCTGGGGCCGGCCACCGCCGAAGCCTTGAGTCGTTTGCGAAAACCGCCTCCGCCGCTTCTGCTCGTGGCCTCCTCCCGCCATCCCCATCACCGGCCTTCGTCGCCGCCCCAGCAGAACCCCCCTCGACTCCCGCCCACGTACCTGTCCCCGCCCTTGGTTTCTTTCCGCAGGATCAAGGGATCTGGCCGACACCAACCTGCCATCATGGCTTCGTTACGGCAGGCTTCGCGCAGCTCGGCTGCGTCCTCTTTGGCGTTGTCGAGAGCCGCCACACCTACCTGTCGACTAGCCGGTCGGCCGTATGCCTCGATACGGCTGCTCTCGGGTGCCTCTCTGTCTTCTCCCTCCAGACGCTCGACATCCTCCGCCCGCTTGGACGATGCCTCCATCACTTCGCTGCGCTCAGCGTTTCTGCCCGAGTCGATAGCGCTGGTCCATTCCCGCCCGTTCAGCCAGTCGACAAGACTAGACGCCAAGGTCGGCAAGCCCAAAGATCTCAACTTCAACGCGTCCACCGACCGGCCGAACGTCCCGCCTCGGCCGTTTGTCGAGGAGGAACCCTACACGGAGCCCGTGAAGCCCGAGCAGGAAAGTGCGGACAAGCCTGAGGCGCCCAAGAAGGAGGCTTCAGAGGAGAAGCCCGAGGAGCACGAGCAGGAGAAGAAGGAAGGCGAAGAGCAGGAGAAGACTTCCGAAGAGGGAGAGCAGAAGGAGAAGAAGGAGGACCTCCCGCCACCGCCACCGCACGGAGACAAGACTCCCTGGCAGGTCTTCATGGAGACCATGCAGACCGAGTTCAAGGCCTCAAAGGAGTGGAACGAGTCGACCAAGCAGCTCTCAGACTCCGGCCACCAGTTCATGGAGAGCGAGCGTGTCCGCAAGCTCCGCGAAGGCTACACCACGACCACTGGCGCTGTCACCGACACCGCGGGCAAGGTCCTCAAGACCTCTGCCTCCGCTATTGGCAAGGGCGCCGAGTGGACGTGGGACACATCGGTCATGAAGGGAATCCGCAAGGGCGCCAACGTGACTGGTGAAGCTCTCGACAAGGCCACTAAGCCTATCCGCGAGACCGAGGCGTTCAAGAACGTCAAGGAAGTCATCGACGATGGAAGCAGCTCAAGATATGGCGGCTGGGTAGAGAAAGAGGAGCGGAAGAAGGCCAGGGAAGCTCGCGAGAGGCAGCGCGCTCTCCAGAACGGTGGTAGCAACGAGCCTATGGTTGAGGATCCAAAGTGAGTAGAGGTCGTCTCGCTGGTTGCTCGACACTACCATTTGCTGAGTTGTGTACTAACTTTTCCCGTCAACCAGTGCCGGTACGAATGTGACTCTACACAAGGACGCCGCGTGGAAAGAAGCATGGAGAGACTTCCGGGACCAGAGCAAGGTCATGCAAGGCTTCTCGACCATGAAGAACGTGTACAACGAGTCTGAGAACCCGCTCATCTCGACCGCGCGCAGCATAACGGACAAGTTTGCCAGCTTCTTTGCCGAGAACGAGACCGCCCTCGTCATCAAGAAGTTCCGCGAGGTCGACCCACGCTTCCAGCTGGAGCCTTTCCTGCAGGAGCTTCGTGAGTGGATTTTGCCAGAGGTCCTGGACGCTTACGTCAAGGGCGATGCCGAGACGCTGAAGCTGTGGCTTTCTGCTGCGCAGTACTCAGTGTACGAGGCTTTGACCAAGCAGTACCTGCAGGCAGGCATGAAGTCTGATGGACGCATCCTCGATATTCGGCACGTTGATATTCTCAAGGCCCGCATGCTGGAGCCTGGTGACATTCCCGTCTTTATCATCACCTGCCGGACGCAGGAAGTCCACGTCTACCGGAACGCCAAGACAAACGAGCTTGCCGCTGGCATGGAGGACAAGGTGCAGCTGGTGACATATGTCATTGGCATTACGCGCACGCCCGAAGATGTCAACAACCCCGACACGAGAGGCTGGAGACTGATTGAGATGCAGAAGGCCGGCCGCGACTACATCTGAGCCCAGCCAGCCACCAAGTCGCGTGGTGCATGCCCCGTCACAGCATGAACCCGCAATGATACCCCTCTCCACGTCGCTGGAGCTTCCGATCACTTCCTCCGTGTTGTAATATTGTACCATCATATAAAAAGAACGCTCTCCAGTCAATGAGAGCGCAGATCACTTTGAGATCGGATGAGGGCTTCCGCGACCTACACCACTCGACCGAGTGTTTATCATTTCTTGCCCAGGCGTTGCATATTCAGGGAGGATGCATCAGGCATGACGCGAGCATACTGTGTTATAGGTGTATGATAGAAACCGAAAAGCTTGTGCTGCATCATGTTGGGTTAGAAGGGAGCTGTCGCTCCAGCAATGTTCGCTTTGTATAGTTGCAGAATGACCATGTCATGATCTACGATCTTCCAAGCTGGGAATGTGCTCGATTGAAATCCGTCTGAGTGACTCCTGAAGCCAGGATCCAACATGTACAGGGTGCCGAATGTGAATGGCCCCTGCGTGTTACAAGAGCGAAGTGAAGCCATATCTCAATGACTGTTGCCTTCGACTTCGGCCGTGACACAATCTCACGCTCGAGCCAGACCCTGGTCGGGCTCGGGACTGCTGTGAATGTGACTGTTGTTGTGATTTTGACGGCAGTCGTGCGGCTGAACCGTTAGGCTGACTGTGCACGCTTTGTCTTGGGAGCGTTCCTGTAGGCCTTTTCACACTTCGCAGTGTTCTGAGGCAGTGCGGCAGTGCGGGAGGGAGTGCGGCAGGCAGTGCAGCACATGAGGGGTGGCCTGAGTCATCCGGTCACCCGGGGCTGCTCACTAGGAAGCGGCGCTAGCCTGGCTGGCAACCAGCTACTTCCAACGCGTCACCACAGGCCACCATAAAGATTATATATCGGCAGTCACAATCAGACAGACCTCTTGCCTTCGCTCTTTTGATAACAAGAAATGAACTTAAGAGCATTTGCAAGACATCCTGACACGCTGTTGCGCACACTTCCACACAACTTGCCGTGCATCACGGGCACCCATCATAGCTCGATCACACAATCACCAACATCAACAATTATATCCATTGCATCCTCAGTCAGGACACAACAGGCATATACGCACACCTCTAGTAATCAAACATCTCCAATGCCTGCCAAGAGAAGCAACAACCATAGAGGCGCGGCACCGCCCAGAGCCAAAGCCAAGAAGATCAAGACTGCCCCCACAACCACCACCACAACAGATGAAGGAACATCCAAAAACCCGGACAAAGGCATCGTCTACTTTTGGAAACCAACCCACCCGCAGACCGGCTACCTCTCGCAGTGGTACTGGCTGCCGTTCTACGACGATCAGGAATCGCCCCGCAAAGTGTACAAGACGGCAGAGCACTACATGATGCACCACAAAGCCCTGCTCTTTGGGGATCCCGAAATCGCCGCCGAGATTCTCGAGGCCAACGACCCGAAGCTCGTCAAGCGTCTAGGCCGGGCTGTGCGCGGGTTCGATGACAAGACCTGGAACGAGAACCGGGAGAAGATCGTCACGCGAGGCAGCTACTGCAAGTTCTCGTTTCCTATCACAGGCGACCAGGAAACTGAGGCTGGACGGAAAGACGACGATGGCGGCGAAGATGTAGCAGTCAAGGACAAAGAGGCGACCGCGGACAATAACCAGGAAGCACCCACCGAGAGCCAAAGCACTGAACCACGAGAGTGGGAACTGGGCAATGCCGAGGACGCGTTACTCATCAAGGCTGCGTCGTTTCGAGATGTTCTCTTGCAGACGGGCAACAAGGAGCTCGTCGAGGCGAGTCCCATGGACAGGATCTGGGGCGTAGGCTTTGGTGCCGCTAATGCCGGCGCCAATCGTGGAAGATGGGGCTTGAATCTGCTGGGGAAGTGTTTGATGAAGGCGCGAGAACAGTTTCTCGAGGAGGGAAAGAATGTCAATTGAAAAGCGCAAACTGTGCTGGAGCTTCAACAAGAGAGCAGACATTGAAGGGCTTTACCCTTATGTTCGGCCGAGTATAAATATACGCAAGAAGGAATGAATGAATGAATGTATTTCCTTAGTTTGGGACGCAACTATTCGAATGCTTCGAGAACAACTGTGAGGTCCCGTCACAGGCAACCAAACAGACTATCAGCATACAAGCAGCCCGTGCCTTGTGCAAGGCGTATTGCGTGATACGATCGATGTGCATCATGTTGGTATGGACCTCCGCTGCAGCACACTCGGATGTGCTGTTCTTGCCTAAATGGTGCGCCACTGTCCCAGCCTCGGCAACGAGTTAAAGATTCACAAGATTAACCCTTGGCCACCGATCAAAAAGACCACTTGCCGCTGGTCAATTGAAATCAATTTGTTACGTAGTACGCCTAGGGGCAATGTGACCAGCCCGTTGGCTGTAGTGGCTGGCGCATTGCGGACATCACCTCCGCAACTCGATAGCCTTAGCTGTAGCGCGAACCTATCCGCCGCTAAGAATGTCTGAATTCCATCGAATCAGGTGCTATCGTCTAGTGGTTAGGACATCACGTTGTGGTTGTACACACGTACCGCTAACATTCACTATCACGCATTTCATTGCCGTGAAAACGCCGGTTCGATTCCGGCTAGCGCCAGCTTGTATGAGCTTTCGACTTTACCTTTTTGTGTTTTTTTGCGGTGTCTATCTACTACGTGCAAGGTCTGGGAGAAGGACCTTGTTTGTCTGTCTTCTTTTTGGCCTTCTTGCTTGCTAACGATTGTTTGTTTCTATGGTCAGTTCATTGGCGTGATCCATACACCACTTCCTTCCCCATTTGGATTAATGCGTAGGATCCATACATACATAGTATTACATTTTGCTGCTCCCGCCTGCCTTTGTTTGTTTGACCCTTTCTGCACGATTGCAGGGTTGACAAGTGCACATGCTTGGACGTCGTGATATCCAAGACAAAGGAGGAAGGCATGCACACGTAGTAAGTGGCTATCTCGCTTCGCTCGCCTGGCTGTTGCAACCACGAATGCTGCTTGTGATCCAAGATAACTATATCTCTGCAATGGGGTCAACAATAATATCGGTGCTATTCCTAGCTCACTTTTTGAAAGTCTCCAAGGTTCCAAACTCATCCCAGGTTTTTTGGGGCCGTGGCGATGCGTCAAAGTTTGGCTGGGATAATCTTCAGAATAGCCATGCTTAGTGCACTTTTGATGTCTTTGGACCCGCCCTCGCTATATACTGGCGTGAAGATCAAGCAAAACCGTTGAGCCTTCTGCAGCAGCGGTTTGTTGGGTCTTACAGAGGTACTGAACGCCGGGCTGTTAAGGGGGAGGTGTACTATGGGATGAAGCCTCACCCTGTTAGACAACACCACATGGTCATCCACAGGCGGACGCCAGTCTACTTCTGGACACTACAGGCCGGACGACTCTGCCGACGATCAGCCCAGAAAGCTCTTTGGAATAAGGGTTATTGTCGGGATTTTGAATTCAAACCATTTATCTGAGCTATTGGACATGCTTCAGCCTAGACGTGTACCTCTACTTCCACTTTGGCAGCGTTAGACTGTCCAGAGAGTCAAGGACTGGTTCTTGACACCGGAGTCAATTCCTCTGGCTGTCACTGTGGTGGTTCTTTGAATCCAAAATGTGATCTATCATGTCATACATCATATCGTGGAGTAGAATATTCGTGGTTTTCGTTGCAGTCAGCCACTACTTTATTTCACGTTGGATGCGCTCTTCAGTCGCAATCCTTATAAATCTACCGCGTGACAAGACGACATACAGATGCCCTTTGCTTGGTCGTCGGGCAAACCCAGATCTCGGTGCATGTCACGTGGTCGAGGTGCTGCACAAATGTATGCGACATGGCGAGGGTGGCCACTACTTTTGATGGGCCAGTCATTTGTGGTGGCATGAGAGTACTTGGGTTTAGTCGGGCAAGACGCCCTCTGAGCGACGCAATGTGGAGTCAACTCGACGATTGTTGATGGCGATTGCCTCGCTCGAGCAGAAATCGGGTTTCCTTGTCCTATTCGTAGGAAAGGACGATGCCAGCGCAACGACGCCAGTTATCTCCACCGGCCGCCCGGGGGCCCGCCACGCATAACTTGAGTCGCACACTGGCAATTGTTCCGGACAACTGCCGAACAAGGATATAAGCAGTATAACATTAGATCGGAAAACAGATCCCTGCGGAAATGGTTATTATTAGCTGTGAGGTCTTGCGGGAAGCCCCGCTCGTATTCAACTGCCGGTCAGCGATGCATGGATAGCGTCAGCAGAAGGTCCTTCGAGGTCTCACCCGCAATTTATTCACCGCATATAGTGGATGCGACGCCTACTTGGCGCACTCGTCGTAGCGGGATCCAGTCACACTTCTGCTCAAGGGACACGTCGGTAGCACGGACCCTGGGCGCTAGACCCCACAAGAACCACTTTGGCATAGGCAAACCCACTACCGGCAAGGCCGCCGTTGACAACGTCATGGCAGTCCTGGCCGCTTTAGGGACAGAGCTGGTTACCGGCAAGCTGTATGACCGTTTCCATTTTCGACAGCCTTTGATGAGACATTAATTTCACGCTTAACCTAGATAAGAAAGGCTACTTGATACGGCCTTACAAATACTTGAAAAGCTTCGTAGTCCTGTTTGAGAGCAACGATATTAAGACGCAGTGAGTCCGATACACCTGGCAACCTCGTTCCGCTGGTGTAGACAATATAATCGCAAGCATACCTAGCTTTTGGGGCGCACTTCACTTTTTTTGTAGTCTCCCCCCAGGCTACAGGGGCGTATGGCTGGTGCGTCGAGTTTTGTACCTGGGTCAAATCAAGCTGCCGCAAGTATTTGACGGGTTTTGTTTGGACGCGCTCCAGCGTATCCCTCCACAACTCGGTGATTCCGTTTCAAATGCTCGCATCACTGAGTCAATGTCACGGATAACTCCGTATCCCGACCTTGATCTAATTGACCCAATTTTCTAGGCTACTCGGTAGGGTCTCAGATGGCGTCAGCATAGAAATCCGCGCACGTGCGACTTCTCACAGAGGCCTGATTCAGCAAGATGACAATTCGTCGCCTGCATGGGCGTGAGTTAAGCACAATACATGGTTTATTGCCACAAGGGGCTCAAAGTATATATAAGGCATTCCAACATGCTGGAAAACTCAGTGTCTATTTGCACCATCGACAACGATCAGCTCTTTTACGATACTCGACGACTACATCACTCTCGCATTCAAAATGAAGGCCTCTCTAGCAACTAGCCTCGCAGCCCTTGTCGGCATTGCATCTGCCTTCCAGGGCCAGGTCGATTATCGAGTGTCCACGGGCAGCGAAGGCAACAACCCGCAGCTTCACATCAGGGACTACAACACCGGCTCTACTTATTACAGCGGCGCCCTTTACCTGAACCCAGACGAGTGGCGCAACACTTAGTACGTGGCTAACCCGATATTCTCGTTGTTCCACATTCAGGCACCTCCATTGTGTTATTGCTAATGCACTGGTTCGTTTTCAGTATGACCGGCTCCGGCGGTTACAACTTCCCAGCACGTGCCAAGAAAACTTCTACCAACTGCATCCACGTGGACTTCCAGGGGGCACTTGATGCTGGCTGGTACTATTGCTGTGGTGGAGTGCCGTGTGACCTGAGGCCGCACTGAACGGAACGCCCGGCGGGTTCGGCTTACTCACGCCACTGGAGCGGGTGACGTCTCACTTGATGTTGGTCAGCAGCTGCACGTCGTTTTCGACAATGGAATCGTGCGTCTTCTTGTGGAGACAATCTACGAGAATTAAGGAGAGGGCTTTGCACTGTAAATAAAGGGTTAGACATCGAGAAGAGAGAAGCAACGCTGGCGGGATAGAATAGTATATAAGCAGCTGATCATGCCAATCATGACCGGAACGATGCACGACAGGGGGTTTAATTTGCTCTAATTGTAGGAAGGTCATCTAGTGAAGCATGGATGGCTACGATTGTTACCTTAGGTACTGAAACTTTGCTTCAGTATGGGCACAGCTCACGCGACCACAGCCGTGTGGAGACCAGGCTGCTCGGCGGACAGCTTAGATGCCACCACTTTATCAATCTCATAGTGGTACATCCAGCCAGCCTTCCTTTCACTAGCCCTTGTCACTCTCTCCTCGATCTCCTTGTCAACGCCCAGCTTCTCTGATACGAGTGTTGTGTTTACTGCAGCAAAGTCATCCAAGACCTGGTACAGGTTCCGATAGTGCGGCGTTCTAATCTCGTCGTACAGTTTCAGTGCACTCTCCAAGCTGGCGTCGTTTCTCCACGCAAAGTCCACACACTGTGTCAGGGCGTAAACATCTTCCAGTGCGAACGCAGCACCAGCACCAAATGCCCCCGAGAGGGGATGTGAGGCATCGCCAATCAGAGCCAAGGTGCCGAAGGCGACGACGCTGTCAAGACGGGGACCCGAGAATAGCGCGAATTCCTGGGTGATGTTGTCTCCAGATGCTTCTGCGGCGAGCTTGATGACCTCGCGCACGGGCTGGCAGAACTCGTCATACTCGGCGGCAAGCCCGGAGAAGTCGAATGGTCTTCCCCAGCTCACGATCTCCGTCCGTGGACCACCGTCGTCCGCCGTTTGTAATGGACGACGAATGCGTGCAGTCACTTCGAAATCGTCTGTGCCGAGAGGGCAGGTGAAGACGTATTTCCCACCCGTATTTTGCCAGAACACGGGACATTTCGGCATCTCAGGGATGGTTTGAAATACAGTTGACTTGCGGATGATGGTGCGATATGCTGACTGACCATTATATCGTATATGGTGCTCGGGGAAGGCGAAGGACCTCACCAACTGATAGACAAAGAGCTTCTTATCAGCTGACACGAGCTCTCTACACTTTCTACACTTGCGCAACCAGAAGGGAAGGGAGGACAAGGACTAGTGTGGTGGGGGAGGAAGTGCATTCCCTTACCGATCTAATACCATCTGCCCCTACCAGTAAATCGATTTCGTCGGCAGACCCATCTGCAAACTGAAGGCGGATTCTCTTGCTGTCTGGCAGTCTCGATATCTCCGTCAGTTTCATGCCAACTTTGACTCGCGACTTGTCAACCTCCTGCAGAAGTGCGGCTTGCAGTTTCGCCCGCACCATCCGGCAGCTTCTCTGGTTCACAGGCACGTCAGCAGCATGACTGCTCTGCTCGAGGAGTACTCCTGTTTTTCCGTTCCTGCCCAAGCGAGAAGATACATCGCGTTAGACATCAATAATAACATCTTGTCCATTGAACAGAATATTACAAACCACTATATTACTTACCTGGTCTGCCCACTAATCCCGTCCGGCGCCCTAAAAAAGTCGACGGGGTCGATGTTCTTCGCTGCTCCAAGGATCTCGAGAAGTCTCCAGGTATTTTGCTGTACACTGATACCACCGCCCGTCTCGCTGATCTGGGGCTTCTTCTCGTACAGAGTCCAGTTAACGTACGGTAGCTTGTTGAAGGCGATTGCAGCCCCTAAGCCGCTCGGCCCTCCGCCGATGATTGCAACTTTCAGCCGAGAGGGTTCGGGAGGCGAAGTGATTGGTGCCATTGCGTAGGGAAGGCAGGAAGTCCAGTTAATGAGTTCCAAGACAACGATGAAGCGGCCTCGCGAGCCTTGAATCAGGAAAGGCGCTGGTCGGTGCACAGCTTGAGATTCGTTGCGTGTGAGTCTGGTCGGAGCTCCAAGCGATTTCCCTCATCACCTAGGGCTGATGAAGCTAACGATTGCGCAATCGGTGCTCGGTAATCGACCACTCACTTGTTCCCCTCCATGGCGCAATTCTCCCTGCATATTGTCACATTCCCATCAGCTGGCTCCACTTTCGTAGCACGAGGTCGTTCGATACCACGGGCAAAAAACTCGGGTGGTCGGGGCCTGAAGATCTCGAGGCTCAGGAATTGGTTATGGGCAACTAAGCTCTTGACCGCATAATAATAACGACTCGGGCTACGCCGTTAGCTTAAGGCCGTGGGAAGGCATTATTGGAAGGTATGTAATACTACCCTCGTCCTCGTCCTAGTATCCCCCTATTTAAGAGGTTTAATTGCACTTAACTACTATTACCCCGTATAGATATACTTAGGCTCTGCCTTCGCTCTAGCCGAGTTATACGAAAGCTCATATGTTATAATAAGAGTTCTTGCCAAAAGGCTCATTGGAATCGGTCCCTTCCTATTTTACTAATTCGTGTACCTGGAATCTAGTAGAGGAAGTGCAGCTTGAAGCACTTGAGATAGTTTGACTTAACCCTCTAATGGAGCTGAGAAAGTACCCAGAGTGCTAAGGAAGAGCCAAAATGCAAAGACAAGTCTAGAAAGTGACTAGGCCTAGACACCCGACCGAAGGAGAAAACCAATTCCCGATAATCGTAGAGGTATCGCACAACACATAGACATTGGCAAGTATCCAGGACCACCACGGCGCACCTGCTCACCTCAGTGAAAAGTGGCCTCGACGGCCATGACCGGGATTCGTGTCGCGGCGGATGTGGTGGATTCCGTTCAGAACAGTCAGCAAAGACGTAGTCCGCACCTTTCTGGTCAGCTGTGCTGGCGCCCAGTTCAATTTCCACGCTGGTTCTAAACAGGATTGTTCAGCTCCTCTCTCGCGTGTGGCGTGCCCCATTTTGGGTCTAGCCCACCGTCTCGCTGGTTGTGCATTGTCCTCTTTCGAGCCGCAGCACAGGGGTCCACGGAGCCTCGATGCTTGATTTGAGAAAAAGCCGGAGCGGAGTGCCCAGAAACGCCCTGGTCGTCTGCATTTACCAAGCTCGATCGGGAAATAAGTCAGGCACGATCGCTCTAGTTCACCCCGCCCTAGGGGCATTAGCGAAGAAGGCGTGGCGCCAATCGGACGTGGCACTGCGCGGCCGTCAGACTAGTTCAGGTTCGCATAGATCTAGATTCAAGCGGGAAGGGGGATTCAGGATGGCTCAAACAAATATCTGCCGGCCCTGCCCTTGATGCTGGCGACAATCGCTCCGGGGAAGTACCTCAACCTTTAGTCGTTCTTTACAACATTTCTTCCGCATCGCAACCATGCGCGTTGCAGTCAGTCTGGGTCTGTCGGCCTTGGGCCTTGCGGGCTCCGCTGCAGGATCTTGTGTCAGGAAGAGCTCGTCTGTACAGTATTACCCTGTCATGTCAACAAGCGCCGTGTCTTCCTCGATACTCTCCTCACCAACGGCATCGTCGGCGTCGGACATCTCACCTGTTGTGTCCTCTGCGACAGCCACTATTTCAACCACGGAAAGCTCTTCTTCAACCACGTCAAGCTCAGTCATTGAGTCTAGCCCGACATCGAGCATTCCGTTCTGCAGCTCAGTGAGCTCTTACTTTGCAGCAGACGGTTTGGCGGCGGCCACGTCTTTCTGCTCTTCGTTTTTGAATGTGCCAGTGCAGACGGCGACAGTCACTGCGACGACGTATGCGGCGTGAGTCAGCGCGAGCGCAGGACTGGTCGGGAATTTGGCTAACCAAGTGGCAGGACAACCACCGAGACACTCACTGTTATATCTGGGACGACCACCCTGACGTCCACTACTGCCATGGAACCTGAGCCGGCCACCACCACAGCCACCGAATATGTGACTTCCATCAGCAGAGTGACGACCACTGCGACTGTCTCGAGCCCGACCATCATCTCCATCACGTCCTGCGCAGAACCACCAACGACCACCGTCTTCAAGCGGCTGCTCGTCACCTCTCTGCCAGGAGCCCTGGACGACTACATGCAAGGAGACGAGCTCTCGTCGGCGTGCAGCTGTCTGAGTATTCCAGTATCTACGACGACTGTCACGGTGACGACCGCTTTGACCGCTCAAGCCACATTTACCACAACGGTCAGTTTGTAACCCGGCACTGCCTCGATCTCAGGCCACCGCACTTGTTTGCTTACTGCTTTGTCTCACAGATGCCCGTCAGCGAGACTGCGGTGACAACAACCACACCATCGCCGACCCGGACAAACACCATTACAAACACGCTCACCGTCACCCTCGTGAGCGTGGTCACGAGCACCAGCACAGTGTACACGTCGACCTCATACACCCTCGCTGTGCCGACATTCCGCATTACCGCACACTACGTCCCCGACGCCGACGGCAGCATCCCGCGGTCCGACCAGTCCATCTACGTCAACTACGACCGCGTGCCGCAGCTCTATGGCCTGCGAGTAAACCCCGACGATCTTGCTTACCAGTACCGCTTGAGCAGTCCGGGCGAGACGGACTCGCTTGGCCGGCCCGTGACCGCGGGCACCTTGATCACCGACATCGGCGGCGCCCCCAAGTACGGGTATTCGAGCAATAACGGCCTCCGCACGTATCCGTACTTCGGGGACACTGTCAGCTACTACACGCCCCTGACGTGCTCGCTCATCTTTGCGGACCCGGCCGCGGGGTTCGACGGCACGTGTCCGCTCCAGTGTCAAGGGTGGGCCGGATCCGTGAGCTTCGCGGCGGCGCGGTACGTTGGCGGCATGTACGCCTGGAACTTGGCGACTTCTGGTAACGCAAAGGCTAACGGATACATTTTTATCCCTCACGCCGTCGGCTCTGCCTGAAACAAGTCACGGTCTTGCGCGCAGACCATTGGTTGATCGGTCGATCAGGTCCTTGTATGCATCATTGTTGGTAGAAATCAATCATTCTTTCTTGACGTGTGCCTGCCCTGCAATTTGCGGTGCCGTGCTCGAGGCCCGTCGCAATGTCGGACAGATTCACACATGTAAGTCAACGAGGCCAAAGAGTATCTAAAATTGGAGGGCAGAATCGCCATGGAGATCGGCTATCTGCGTATACAGAAACGACCTTATGACCACTGTCCACGAAGCATTCTACCATGGTGCAGATGCTAACGAAAGGGCAGTTTTCTTACTTAATGCCAAGGCCAGCAAAGCCTCGGCTCAGAGGCTGGCGCTTACAGTGTGTCAGACGCAGAATGACGTGCCGATCTTAGCTGATAATCAGCATTGGCCCAACAGGCCGCAGCTTACGACATTGGTGTTCAACCCAGTGGAGCCCTGCTCCGTCTATGGTTTTGTTGTTCGCTCCTCCAAGGACGAATTGAAAGGCTACTTTTCACTTGCATGAGGTCATGTCAATGCTTGGCCCGACACAAAAGCGGCAATAAACACATGCTAGGACATGGGCACAATGCGCTTGTCAGCCGGGTTTGAGAGAGCGGATCAGTCGCGGGGCTCATCCACCATGCATAGCCTATCCCACCTATATTGAGACGAGCAGAGCCACAACGCGCGGCGCTCGGTCCCTGACAGCACGAGGTGGTGAGTGGCTGTGCTGCGCCCGGACGAGGCGTTGTCTGAGTTGGCATTTTGCTGATCGTGGCAGGCTGCGTTATCTTTATAAGGAAACTTGCCATCTCGGTGCATAGTCCATTGATCTCACGGCTTACCATTATCGCCAGTCCACAATACCGTTCAATTAAAACACATCACCTCACCATGGCCCTGCAGACAACTCCTCTCACGCCCACAAGTTCCGCAACCTTATCCTCGGTCGTGGCATCAACCACACCTGCCTTCCAGGGTGTCCCGACCGTCATCACGCTCGACACCGACGACGTCATCACGGGAAACGCGGCCTTCGTCTCGTGTTACACGCTGCTGATCAACCCGGAGAGCATCTACTTCATCCACGACCATGGATACATGGGCAGCAACAACGTCGGCAGCAACGGCGTGCAGATCTACATGGAAAGCATCACTGTTCATGGCGGGCAGTTCCCCACGGACGCGAGCGAGACGCCGGGGCCGACGTGCACTCATACTTCCAGCAGTGGGACCGTCAGCGCTAGCACGAGCAGCACGACGTCGGCGGTCCCGACACAGACACAGCCAGGCGCGGGAACAAGAATAGGTGATGGTGTTTTCTCTGCGAAGCGGGCGGCACTCGCTGCTTTGGGGATTGCGGCTGCTGCTGCGTGGATGTAGATATATTTTTATATTCCTATTAGCTAGCTCTACTTTCGTAAGTCCTGTTATGCCTTCCGAGGTTGACTCGGGAAACTTCTCCCATAGTGCTCGCAGGTGCCCTGTCGCGCACATAATCAAAACTTTACTATTGCCATCCCATCCCTCGCGAAAGAGCACATTCACACGGCTTACATTAGAGATCTCCTGGAGGCGATGTTCCGTCGAAAGCTTCGAAACGGTCGTGCTTTGTGCCAGCACACGCCACTACATGCGGCCTGATGCAGCGACTTGCTGAAATACAGCCTCGCGGCACTCTGCACTAGGCTAGTCATAACTACCTGTCGAAGGGAATCTGTTCTTTGTTAAGACTAACGAATTGTCGCGCTAATATAGCAAAGTGCTGCTGTTGCGGCTAGGGCAGGGTACTGCGGGCAAGGGGATTGAACATTAACACAAGTACGGTTCGGAGTGTATTTCTAGCAATTGAAAGCCTTGTTACTTCGTATAGTAAGTTAAAGGTAGAACTTAAGTATGCCTATACGCGGTAATAGTAGTTAAGTGTAATTTACCTCTTAAATAGGGGGATATTAGGATGAGGATAAGGGTAGTAATATATACCTTCCAATAATGCCTTTCTACCGCCTTAAGCTAATAGTATAGCTAGAATATTATTATTATACGGTTAAGAGGTTAATTGCCTATAATCCATTCATTAGCCTCGATATCTTTAGACCCCAACTACTCGAGATATTTGCCCAAAGTATCGAATAACATCGTGCTACAGTACGTATCTCTGGTTCGCGGGGTACATGTCCCGGATTGGGCACAGCCACCAGATAACGGCCAGCGCCAAGGCAGCAAGGCAGCAAGGCAGCAAGGCAGCAAGGCATACAGGAGACAGCCTGTCGGCCTCTGCTCGAGCGGGGAAAGACGCGAGGCACAGCCTCAATCCCGCTTCCCTTTCTTTTTGGGCACTGATGCAATTCTTCCTGAATCTTTGCCACAGCTCGCTAGAATGACGATCCGAAGCATTGGCGGGACATTTATCAACGGTACTTACCGAAATGTCCTCCACGAAACCGGGTTACAAATATCCCACGCAGCTCGAAGAGCGAGGAGAGATCCGTCTGATCTCTGTCACTCGCCAGCCAGGTCAACCGATTCAGTGCGCTTTCGTCCATGCTCAGCTTTCTCGGGGGGCCACAGCACTGAAGAGGGCGAAGTCGGTGCTGAGGAAAAGTGGTGCTGTGATCTGCCCTATTTCGCAATTTCCTACAATTGGGGTACCGACTCGAGAGGGGAGATCATTGAGGTTGATGGAGGTCGGTTCGCTGTTACTACGAATCTCTTTCGCCTACTACAAGACATTTGTCTCAAGAGACCCGGCGACTTATTTTGGGCCGATGCAATATGTATCGATCAGAGTAATCATGCCGAGAAGAGCCACCAAGTCCAGCAGATGCCGCATATATACGAAGCTGCCGAGCAGGTCTGCATATATCTTGCTGAAGTTCATCTGATGGATGCCGACTATTGTCGAAGCGATGCGGTGCGCGCTCTTACGAGAGCACAAGAAAATTTTGATCGGATCACACGAGGGCAATACTGGCCCGTCGACAGCCCGATATGGAAATCAGCCTGGGATAGTAGTTGGGCCGGTCGCGAGTTCAACTTACAGTACAACACGACGGAACAGACAACAGCTATGAAGACACTCTTTTCGCATCCCTGGTTCTCACGAGCGTCGATTATACAGGAGGTAGCTAAAGCTCGATCTGCTACTATCTACTGCTATGGCTACCACATATCAAGGAGGGTGTTTGCCCTTATGCCGTCAATAATACCCATTATACCTGGCGCGCACTATCAGGCGATACTCGATATTATGCCGGGACCGACCCGCACATCGTGGTGGATAAAGGACCGAACTCTACGCAAGCTACTATACAAATTCCGCGAGTCACAAGCACGTTTCACCCACGACAAGATCTATGCACTCCTCGGGATCTGCACTGACTCCGAAGCTAGAATGATTCTGGAGCCGGATTACAGTAAGGGAGAAGAGCAAGTCGCTCAAGATGCAGCCGCTATGCTGTATCGGGTGCCCAGATATCTCTTAGCCGGGATACCGCTCAATAGTCCTTATATTTTCGAAGCCCCAGAACCCGACACGCTGAAACAACGTTCCAAACTCAGGCGTCCTACGGAAAAGGATGAAGGAAAGTGGCATGAAAATGCTTCCGACTTTGTACCTCTGGCGTACGTCATACACGCTGCTGCGGGTCCTCGCAAGCCTGGTCTGAATGATTTCCATTTTGGTGGCCACAGTCTTGGAGCGGATCGCGCTCTTCTCCAGCACAAAGCAGAACAGTTATTTTCTCAAGTCAAAAGACTGAACCACACCTCCCGATTCGCCTATGCAAGAGTGCCACCGCAAGGTCTCAGCCTAGATGCTGCGATTCCCAACACCAATGAGCTTGCTGCTGCTGCTGCTTGCAGGTGTGCTTGGATGACTAAACCGAGGGATGCGGGCAAAGCAGTGGCGGGGGAGGAAGTCGCTCTGGACGGAGAGTCGTTTTCAACAGCTCGCATACGGCTCGCTCTGTCGCTCAAGATGGGACTAGGCGCCTACAGCATTCTACGGCTTATGCTGAGGCCCTTTGTGCTGGAGCTCGAGGCTTCCGAAACCAGTCTCCTGGCCAAGATACTCCGTCATAGCAGCTTCCCGGACGCCGTTCTACTCTTGCTAAGAGGTCGGGATCTTGTTCATGCCATCCCATCCAGCCGCGTTCTTGTGCGAGCGCTAAGTGGTAACCAGCAATACGGACCTCGGATTCTCCACGGCATCCTGCGCGACATTCTCGACAATACGAAAACCCCCAGAAATATGAAGACTCTGCAACAGGCTTCACCGGCACGGTACTCAAGCATCCTTTCCGACAATTTGCCATTCTGGGATCAATCTAACAGATTTTGTCTCGGATTTCGAGCTCATCAATATCTATATACACTTTGGACCCGTGGATGAAGTGAAAAGCTGTTTAAATGCTCTCCCCGAAGCTTACAATAAGCAAATTCTCATCACAGGACCTATCCTGCAGTTGCTTACATCTAGCAAATCCGCTCCATCAATTTCTCTTGCGCTTACAAGGTTGTCAGAGTGTCTCGAGTACTCATTTTCTCTGTCAGGCCTGATCGCACTGATCCTTTCGTGCAACGGAGATGAGCTGCGTGCTCTCATACGCGCAAAAACGAAGACAGCTGACATCTGCAGGTTCTTGCTCCTGCCAAGCCTCAGATCATATGCCGCAAGTAGGTTTGATGAAAGGGGGGCAGCTGAGCTCATCTTGGAAATGGAGTTGGAGCTGGAGGCTGCAAATGTACCTCTCCCAACCACTGAAAATGCTCCTCCAAAGCGTGGGGAAGAAAGGGTCGATGACATACAAGATGACGAGAACCATTTGCAACGGTTTGCGTATCTAATACAGACGTCTGGCTTTCGTCAGAACAGAATCGCACCAACGGGTCCAGGGTGGTCACCACTGACCAGAGCCGCAGCAATGGGAGATGTGGAAGCTGCTGAACGACTGATTAGCGACGGAGCGCAAGTCAACAAAGCTGACAACTACGGCTTCTCCCCTTTGGTGTGGGCTCAGTGGCTTGCTCGAGGGGACATGATCCATTTACTACTCGAAAGCGGGGCTCGCAGGAAGTTTCAAGAACGCACGGCGAGTCGGTACAGTTTCGCTTTGGCCCAGTTGTGGACATTACCGAAGATTGCCAAGATCAGGACAGATGGAGCAGACGCCATACCTCCGAGCCATCTGCGGCTATTTGACAGGCTCGTCTCGGCCATCATTACGACTCGGCCTTGGTATACTTGATATCTCCCGTGCGTCACCGGACGGGAGTTTGGCCAGGGAGTGACAGAGGAGATCATCTCAAGGCCAGACATTGCGATGCAAACTGTGTTTCTCGTAGTTCATTCTGTCGCTAGTGGTAGAACACAGTCCCATCGCTTCTTGTACGCGTTGCATCATGAAAGAAGCGGCTTTTCACTGCGTTTTAGAACCTCCCTCCTTCTTTACCATGAGCTCGTATTCTCGTTTAGATCCACGTGCCCTCCTCATCGCGACACACCTCCTTCACCCTATGCTTGCAGACGGAAGACCGGTCTAGGGATCCAGATCAGACCGCGGGAAGTCAAGTGATTTTCCCAGACGAGGATGTCGCGAACGACGACGGACGAGAGGCCCTGCAAGCGCCCCTGGTATGGAACTCCCTCGAACAGCATATTGTAGGATCGCAACCTATACTGGTTGTGATCGTTGACAGTTGGGTTTACGACCGTTTCATCGAAGCAGCCACCGTGGTTGCGCTGGTAATGGATGCGTTCAAGCGTCTACCAAGGTTGCGCTGGCCAGGAAGCGCACCCCACGCCAGTACTGCAGCCGTTGCGACCGGATAAAGTTCTCCGGGAAAGGTCCGCATTTGATACATTCTCTTCCCTGCGTGATCATCCCTGACAATAGGCGCCTTCCATAGCTACAGGAACTGACTTGCAACGCGAGTCATGCGTGCGGAACATCCCGCAGTCATATTCGACGCGCTTTCGCATCAAGATCATTTTGAGCTTCCTAAAGAGGGTAGCGTTGGTGCTTGGACGTAATCTTCGGTGGTAGAACACGCAAGGAAGTGCCAATCTGCGGTTTAGCCTGTATCCCCCACCCACTCACGCTAGGGGGAGTGGCTCTGCGGAGATTTTCAAAAGGCACCCTTTCGGGGACTTAGGTGACCACTCTGCTATATCGATTCTTGCTTTGGACACTTGGTGTCATTGCAGATCGTCTCCGGTAGTGGGGTCGTCATTGCCGGCATGGTTTCGGCCCCCAAGACGTGACAAGGACAAGGAGTCGGCGGAGCCACACTATGAGGATCCGCGGTGGCGTGGAAGATGGGGATCTGGCACCATGGGAAGCAATCAGGCTATGAGCAAAAGAGTCTGGACAGTAGGGGATTCGATCGGGTCAGTGCCGTGCTTTTCAATGACCTCAAAAGATCTAGCAATACGCCGCACGGCGTACTTAGGGCTTCCAGCACCCTATGCAGGACTTGTAGGGTATATCATAGATCTATGCGGCCTTACATGCACTTAACTTAGGGTTTAAATGAAGCCAATCTAGCGCGAGAAGAATATCGCCTTCATTTAATTACCGTGGTATAATGGTTAGCGGAGGAATGGGTGATTGAAGATAGCCTATACGGAAAGACTAGAAAAGTAGGCGGGCACCCGTGTGGGCGAGTCACCCGTAGGTTACGGCTAATAAATCTCATTTGCTACTTATGGTATTTTTCTGCATTCCATCCCATCTTTCGAAATTTCTCGTATCCAAATCGAAAAGGTCTAACAACCTCCCAACCATCTGGTCGAGAATATCGTCAATGGACGACGGCCGCGTATAAAACCCTATAACAGGCGGCGCGACGATTGCCCCTGCCCTCGTGACCTCCATCATGTTCCTCAAATGGATCTCACTAAACGGCGTCTCTCTTAGAGATAAGACCAGTCTCCTCCGCTCTTTTAAACAAACATCCGCCGCCCTCGTGACCAAGTCATCACAGATACCCGCATTGATCGCAGCGAGAGTCTTGACTGAACATGGAACGACAATCATGCCGTCCACGCGATACGAGCCGCTCGAAATGGGCGCGGCCAGGTCGTGGGAGCTGTGGGTATGGTCGGCAAGAGCTTTTACCGCGGCAGGCGTGTAATCCGTTTCCCACTTTATCGTCTCGGCGGCCCACTTGCTAATGATGAGGTGCGTTTCCACGTTGAGCCGGCGAAGGGTCTGGAGAACGTGGATACCGATTTGCGCGCCTGTCGCGCCTGTCAAGGCAACGATGATCTTTTTGCGAGGAGCTGCGTCGTTCATTGTGTTGGTATCTTGATAAATGGTACTGCTCCCAGAGTGTCTAGGAATTATATCCATGAACTGGTAGATGGCAATTTATTGGCAAAAGTGTTTCAGTTTAAGGTGCTTATAATGTGGTCGGCGATGATCGACTGGTTTCTCGTCTTTTGATTCTAACCGGAGTCTCACTTGATATAGATTTGGATATTTATCGGATCTCGATGTAGATCTATTCGGCATATTCGGATAGCTCGGAAGCGGCAGATGGACCGATGCCGACATCTCTGAAGTTCTCTAACTGATGAAGTCTCCACAATGACGGCTTCCGGCACCGACGCAAGGACCAGGCCGTGGGCTCGGAGATTCCGGAGCAGCCTCTGCCTCGGCGAGTTCGGGAATCTACGTCCTCGCGACCACCCAATCGTCCATCGTACATCGTGCCGATGTTCGATTTCAAAAGGACGCGTGATATAAATGCGGCCTGGCCATCCTGGACGAGCCACATCAAACCTGCAGCTCACCACCAGCTACAACCCAACACCCCTTCACTCTTAAGCAGTGTACATACTCGAGCACTTAGTCCCCAACACTCAACTTTCAAAAGAAATGTCACCATCAAACCCCCAAGACCTCCCCCATCTGAACTTCCGCTCGTTTGTCGAAGCCCTTAGATCTGACGGCGACCTCGTTGAAATCAACGATGAATGTGACCCGAACCTCGAAGTTGGCGCTATAATCCGTAAGGTATCCGAGACAGACGAACGAGCACCTCTCTTCAATAAGCTCAAGGGACAAGATGCAGACGGCTTCTGGCGTATCCTCGGTGCGCCAAACTCTCTGCGGTCCGACCCGTCTCAGCGCTTCGGAAGGATGGCACGGCATCTTGGTCTCCCTGTCACGTCGACCATGAAGGAAATTCTCGAAAAGATGGTTGCCGCCAAGAGCGCGACCCCGATCCCCCCCCTTGTCATTGACTCCGGACTCTGCAAGGAGATTCGCCTAACTCCGGAGCAGTTTGACCTCACTAAGTTACCTGCGCCGATGCTGCACCAGTCTGACGGCGGGAAGTACATCCAGACCTACGGTATGTACGTTGTGCAGTCCCCCGACGGAACGTGGACAAACTGGTCTATCGCCCGCGCCATGGTACACGACAGGAACCACCTCGTGACGGTTACCTTTGCGCCGCAGCACATCTGGCAGATTCACCAGATGTGGAAGAAGGAGGGCAAGGATATGCCATGGGCATTAGTCTTTGGCGTGCCACCGGCTGCCATCATGGCTGCGGGCATGCCTCTGCCGGACGGCCTGTCCGAAGCGGAGTACATTGGGTCACTGGTCGGGGTGCCGTTGGAGCTTGTGAAGTGTGATACCAACGGGCTGTATGTCCCTGCCAACTCGGAGATTGTGTTTGAGGGTGTTTGCTCTATTACAGAGACGGTTTCTGAGGGTCCTTTTGGAGAGATGCACGGGTATGTGGACTATGCGAGATTTGTTTGTGAGATGGTCTAGAGACACTGACGGTACTTGCAGATATGTCTTTCCTGGCCCTACCAATGCGCACCAACAACCTAAATACAGGGTCGACCTCATCACACACCGAAGAGACGCTATTCTTCCTGTTTCAAACTGCGGTCGGTTGACTGACGAGACGGTGGGCCACTATTGATTTCATCCTTAACAGCGGTGGAAAACTGACGCGAAGCAGCAAACTATGATCGGACCCCTGGCCTCCGCTGAGATTAGCTTCCTCCTCAAGTCCAAGGGACTACCCATCAAGGAGGTCTTTTCCCCCTTCGAGTCGCAGGTCACATGGGCCGCTCTACAGGTGGACACGGAGAAACTCCGCGCCATGAAGACAAACGCCAAGGACTTTTGCCGTTCCATCGGTGATGTCGTCTTCAACAACAAGGTAGGCGGCGCGTTCCACCGTCTCGTGATTGTGGGCGACGACATCGACGTGTACGACTTCAAGGACGTCATCTGGGCCTTTTGCACGCGCTGCCGCCCGGGTATGGATGAATACCACTTTGAGGACGTTCCAGGCTTCCCGTTAATTCCGTTTATGTCGCACGGCAACGGTGATAGTCTCAGGGGTGGAAAGGTTGTCTCCGATTGTCTAATGCCGGTAGAGTACACCACTGGTCGTAACTGGGAAGCTGCGAGCTTCAAGGAGTCGTTCCCAGTCGATGTCCAGGAGAAGGTGCTGCAACGTTGGGAATCGCTTGGATTCACCTCGAAGTCGTGAAACTTGGTGGAAGAAGGAGTTTAGAGAATGACCAAATACAATGACTACTCAGAGCCTATCACACAATTTCGAATGTCACATAAGATTGGGTAGGAAGGGGTTGTCTCCGCTAAAGTCTTGATTCGACATGATGTAGTCGAAAGCGCTGAGCGGGGACATATCGAAGTCAATCGGAAACTCCCAGTCCGTGTCGCCCATACCCCAAAAGCTAGCTTGTCAACATCCGTCTGTCTTGAGGGTTTGTTTGTGATGTCGGCTTACTTGGTCTGTTCTGCTGCCCCCAACGCACTCTCTTGGGCTGTTGTAGGTCGTCGACTGAAAGCCGCAGGATGACTAGGAAGTGGGATGTCTTGGTTATTGTTCTCCAGCGTTGAGTCTTGTGGGAGTACATCACGCTCCGTCAACGCTTTAAGAGTCTTGAGTGCCTTCAAAGCTTTCTGGAGAGCGGCCGGAAGCCGGCCATTGGAGCCAGATTCTGTGAGCAAGCCGGTTTCCCCTTCTCCATCTGATAGGCTCCCAATAAGCTCGTCTTGAAGGGTCCTGGTCTCAGCAAGATACCTAGTCTCTCGCATCAAGCTTAAAAGAAGAACTGACGTTAGACCATTATGAATAAAAGCCCAAGACCTCCTTGCATATCCTGCGATTGACCTCAACCGCACATAGGCCCGGGCACTGCGCTTGAGAGATTCTCGAAGGTGCTCGAGGATACGCGACCTGTCACTTTCGCTCAGCGCCGCGAATCCACTACTTGATACAACCGGTCGGCAAAGACTGGTGACGAGGAAATGTCGATGTAGTTCGAAAGCATAGTGTTCTTGCATCTGCGGTATCGTAGCGCTTCTCTTGGCATCGATCAAGTGGGGCGAAAGGGAAGCTTCTATGGATTCGATGTCGTCGAGTGCTGAGATTGGCTGCGGTAACGACTGAGATTGAAACGGGAGATGGCGGAGCATGACGTGGACAAGCCAGCCGATGGCTTGGAGGTATGATAGACCCGAACCTCGGACGGATTCTGACAGTTGGGGCAGATCGCCCTCAAAGTCCAGCTCATACGAGGTTGGTGGGCGACCTAAAGTGAGGGCGAGTAGGGAGTCTTGTCTGACAATGGCCAATCTGAACAATGGTTAATAGTTGTTCTTTCTAAGAAATCGGCGAGGTAAAACACCTCAGGTACTTTGCCTCCTCATCCAGTGGTAAAGAAGCTGATGAACGGATCGTCTTCCTGTGAAGACCGAGGCATTGGGCAAGGCGGATGGTTGTGCCCCCGAGGACCCAAGCTGCCTGGGGCTTCATATCGTTTTGAAGCACGTGACCTAAGAGAAGTAGTGTCTGGATGGCCTCTTTGGAAGGGTTCCCGAGATAATTTGTTGACCGCAGTAGATCCAATGCGTGCTTTGCTGTGAAAGTTCAGCACCCGTTCGAGGTGATGGCGATAATGAAGTGATGCGAAACATACTGTGTCGTTGAGATACTTGGATGCGATTTTGCAAGTCCATCTCGGAGAATTGAGCTCCGGCTGCCAAGATGGCGTGAAGCAGAGACAGCAACCTGGGGTCCTCGAGAGACTCGGGACAGGGGTTCGGGCTGGTCCTTGCATTAATCAGCCGACAAACCCTTTCCTCGATAGCATCCAGATTGTAAGTTATGACTTGAAAAGGGTGCACCTGATGGCGGAATAGTTCAAAGAGCCTGACGATTTCCTCATCACTTGGTAGAGACTGATAAGAAGACACCGACGTGTGTGTTTCTCCGCCGACTCCGAGGAGAGGTAAAATGCCAGTGTCGAAAGCCCTTTGTCGAGCTGGATCATCTCTCGACGGAACAGAGCGCCATCCGACCGCGTCTACTGCCAAGTTGTCTGCTAGAAATAGTCGGTTATCACCTTGGCGCGCAGTGGATGTATTTTTAGGCGATGGCAACGCGATAGGAGTTGCTGCTTTGTGGGCAATCGGACTAGGAATGTGATTCTCCATCTGTTGATCAAGATGAGCAAGATTTGTCGCATCCACGTGCTCGACTTCCATCCTTCTATTTGGAGACCGGCTAGGAACGGGCGTTCGCCTTGTGGACTGTCGCGTGGAACTCTCATATTCGCATAGATCTGGATGCCCCCGCTTGTCGCAGGTCGAACACGGCACCCCCTTATCACATTTGACTTTTCGTTCTCGACACGGAATGCACGACCTGGGATTGCCGCGGACGCCATTGCGATTCTGTTGGCGCGATTTGAGAAGCTCCCTGAGGGCTGCGCGGTCGCGGTTCGGAGTGTTCGGAGCGTTCGGAGATGGACGCAGTGACGAATCCATCGAAAGTCACAAGTTGGCGGTATTGGAGTTTGTGGAAGACGTGATGACAAGACTGCTTCCAGGGCACCAAGATCAGATACCCAGATCTAGAACAAACGTCGGATATCGGGATTCTCAACCGCCATCAGAGCGAGGTGGTTGCTAACGGGGCGTTGAAATCCTGTTGACTGCTCTACGGTGCTACACCAGCACGCGACCGGCCTAGAGCGGGCCTAATGTCACCCCGACCACTTTGGCAGCCAGCCGCCAGCACCTGCCACTACTACCAGTGTTCGCCCACTATTACCAGCGCGCATCACTTTGGCCAGTGCCCGCATGCCAGCGCCCACACGAAGAAGCTCCAAACCCAGATTCCACGGAATGGCTCGCTGTCCTCTACTTATGATGATAACCGGGCTTTCAGGCTCCCCATAATTGTCACGTTCCTAATGCTACATCACCGCATATTTGGACCCCCTCGGCTAACTGGTTCAAACTAGGGCACCTGCATCCACGGATAAAGAGTATAGTTTTGGCTTGCTCAGAAACAGTAGCTGGCTAGCTGTGTATTCCGTGATGGCTTCTATGCTTCTGGAATCTGGAGCGATAGAGAAAGATCGCTAGGTACCTTTTCGTCAGCAGAACAACACTGAATAAAACTTAGTCTCCCAAGCCGAAGTTGTAGTCCAAGTAGATCTAGTACCAACCATAATCTCATGCTAGTTTTAACACGGCATCATTGCGTCTGAAGCCTCTGATCTGCCGATAGCTAGACTCCAGAAATGGCTCCAAACCCTAAGGTAATGGATTATGTCGGTGATGCACCACAGTCAGCGCATGCCCATGGGACATCCGGCTCCTGCATCAACCAACTCATACTAGATATAGCTACTTCATTCGTGAATAGGAGAGTCTTGTTTGGCAGGGAGACATGTGCTAGGTTTTTCGTCCGCCCCGCCCCCCCCCCCCCCCCCATGAAGAGAGACCTAGGAGACACGGGAAGATGACCAGGACTTTCTGGTATGCGGATTTAAGCTGAAAAATCATGGTTTTGCAGAGAGTGAATAGTCATGATGTATACAATCACACGAAGCTTTCTAACGATACTCCTAGATGGCGTGCTAGGCAGATGTTTTCCTTGAACCTGGGGCAAAGCGATGGGCTTCACGGCCGACTTTCTGCTTTATCATTATAATGGCATTAGGGGCTACCGGTTCAATGACATCTCCAAATGCCTGGTTTACCTGGTCCAGCTGAACGACAATAGTGGTCTAGGCTAGTGGGAGGTAAAGCAATCCACGGACGAAATTATGTACAGTATACTTATGCTCGACAAGTTTTAGCATAATCACCCCAGTATAATTTGGCGAAAGCATGCACGCGTGCCCAAGTGATGACCAGCTCCGAGACCGGTCGCTTAATCAGCAATGCCTTTGTCAGCGGCGGCCAAGCTCAGGCCGCTCAGGCGGGCTCAGTCGCGATGTGGGCATAGCTCAGGTGGTACTCAGGCGTGTGGGCGAGATAGTCATTTGGCACGATTGAGATTAGCTTGCGACTCAGATGGCAGTCGTCAACCCGACAGTCGTCAACCCGACAGTCGTCAACCCGGCAGTCTCCCGAGGGGCTCAAAAGTGGATAACAACGTGGTGCTTGTGGTGCCTGTGGTTAATATCGGTGCGACCAAAGGCCAGACTCCTGGTCATATTAGCTTCGTACACTTGGGCTGTCGGCCGCCATTCTGCCGGATACGAGCGGACGTCCGTCCGCACTTGAAATGGTTTCAAGGACCCTTCCGAGCCCTTTCTGACCGTGTCCCTACCTGCGCTAGGCAAATCCAAAGGGTATCCGGAGCCAGCAAGCCCACCGCCATGTGCCAATCAAGTATCTGACGTGACTTCAACTAGTCCTATCTCAGGGCGTGATCCAATGCGTCAACCTGTCTATAATAGTGCCATGAGGACAATTGCGATCGTGCCAACGATCTGCGGTGCAATCTTGCGTTGGAAGTGGGTATCGTGAGGAAAGTACTCCGCGCTCCGCCTTTTCCACATGGCATTGGGACAATATTCGGACTGACGCCAGTCACGCAAATCACGGCATGCACATGTTTCTTTCCTTTTTCATCTCGAATAACACCTGTCTACCGGAGACTGCGCATTACAGCAAGGCTCTTGTGCCTCTCATCACTCTTGCAACGACAATCTTGCATCCCAATCAGAGATAACACGATGTCGGCGAGCCTGGGCTGGGTAAGCAACCCGGTGGAGACTCGAGAGCCTCTGCTTGAGAGTGTCTTCTGGCCTTTGGTTGTCGTGAGCAGCTTCCCGCTGGGCCTACGCCTATGGATCCGGTGGACGCACAACAGGTGGCAGGCTGACGATTACTGTCTGATATTGGCGTGGGTAGGCAAGCCACCAAGCACACGCAAATGAGATATTTGACGAGGACAGTGGAAGCTTACTCTGCATCGCAGATATGCCTCTTGGCATTTGTTGTTGTTACACAATTCGCCATTTCCTTGGGCTTCGGAAAACACGCGTTAGACGGTAGGCCAAGAAGGTCCCATCCACTTCCATGGCTGCACCCTTTCTCACACCTCCTTCAGTCCCCTTCAAGAGCCTCAACACGCTCGCGATCATTGGTGCAGCTGGCTTGACCATATCGATCCTCGGCATGTTGGCGGCCAAGATTTCGTTCGCCGTCACGCTGCTTCACCTCACCAAGGACCTGTGGAAATGGGCCAACTGGCTCATCTGGTTCATGATCAGCACCCTGATCATCACTGCGATCCCTGCAGCCGTGCTGCCCTGGGTGCAATGCACACCACTGGCCAAGACGTTCGTCGACTTTCTACAGGGAAAGTGCATCAATAAGGCACATTCCGTCAGATTTGCTATGTTCCAGGCGCGTAAGTCTTGCTCTATGTGCTGGGGTCTAACACCGGTCTCGAATCCTGCAGGAACGTGTTTGCTGACAAGCGTGTTGGCCACAGTCTACTCAGCCTCTGCTGACTTTCTGTTCGCCTTGCTCCCCTGGAAAATCCTCTGGGGCCTGCAAATGCGTCCAGTGGAGAAGTTTGGTGTCGGTATCGCAATGAGTCTGGGATGCGTATAAGCTCTGAACCACATCCCAGGAACAAGCCCCTAGTTCCAATGGACTGATCACCACGACCGCATAGCGCAGGAGTTATGTCCATAATGCGCGCCACAACAGTAGATAAGTTGTCGGTCCAGGTCCTGTCATGTAGGCGCTCACAATCCCGCTGATAGTTGCAAGGGCGAACAAAGTACTGACAGGATTACTATTCCATGTATAGACGACGGTCCATTAGCTGTCACATGGGCTGACGTCGAACTTTCCACGACCATTATCGTCGCGTGCATTCCTGTGTTGCGCAAAATGATCCGCGATGAAGTGTCTACTCGGACACGCAGCGGCAACACCACGGGCGGCTCCCGAGTCGCTGCTGGGACCAACAGAGCATCATTTCATGGAGGTACTGGTCTCGCCTCTTCATCACGGAGAAACAGCTTCCACATGTCACGGCTTGGAAACAAGGCCGACGCCACAGGGGTGGGCACCAAGGGCAACAACAACTTGACCAAATGGTACACCGTCTACGAGCGTGACGATGACCAGCAGAGCGACAGGAGCATAATCTTGCGCAGCAGCAAGATGGCTGTCGCGGTGGAGAAAGGACCTCGCGAAAAGCAGGACCACGGCCTGAGCTGGAGAGATAGCTTAGGGGATGATCGCTCCGAGCCGACAACACCGGATGCCCTATATCTTCAGGGACAGCCTCTGCGATAGAGACACAACAAGGAAGTCATGTTCATGCTGCGACGCCCTACTTTCCTACACTTCTCCAACCGCCCCATGCTTAGACTTTACACCATTCATCACGACAAATCCGGCATTTCGATACCCCAAGGCGCATGGCACGGTTGTTATTGCAATCATGGAGAAGGAAATTGGCCAGTAACCACACGTCCTGGGGACGCGATGAAGATTGATTGATTTTCCGGTCCGTTCCGGCATTACTAGACGACTCAACCACTTTGGCGGCTTCTTAGTGCTGCGAGACGCCTCATATATTGTGGGGGCAAGCTCAATAAATCAGACCAGCCCTAACCTGACTAGACGTACATGTAGTCGCCTTGCCATGCATGACATGACACGAGTAACGGGGCGTTAGCACGGTTTCCACAACAGAAGGACCCGACTACCTGGACGACGGGACCAGTAAGCCCTCCCGCACGCCCCGTGTGCCTGAGCCCTCGAGACCCTCAGTCTCGTTTGGCTCCGATTGGGACCAGCCTATGCGGCGAGAGAGCGCCGTGTGGCGGCACCAGGGGCACCGGCGTGCGGAGCGCTTTAGTAGAATCGCCATTTCGAGGCTAGGAGTCGACTAGTACACACATAGGGCCCACGGACACGGACTCGTGGCAAGGCGCACTACTGATAGCCCAGCACACGTAGGTAGGATCCCTTCGAAAAGCCATCCGTTGTTACGCCGATTACCACATCGGAGACCTGACCACCTTCGAAATCCTGTATCAAGGAGTGGCCTGTCATGCTGTCACGCTTGCAGAAGAACCACTGTCCAGATCTTGGCGATCTTCCCAAGGGTCCAAGCAATGGCCCCTGAATAGCCCCAACGCAAGGCGGGCGATCCTGAGGAGCCTAGTTCCTGCCTTGGCGTGACGAGGGTCGGTTGACGATGAGGTGCCCAGCCACGCCCGCTTGGCCATGATAGGCCATCTTGAGTAGTTCATGAATCTGACGGCCCTGCCTGAGAGCAACAACTTCTTTCGATTTATGGGCACTCTACCACGAGAACCCCCTGGGCCTACTGTATTCGTGGGGGATCTCTGGTCGCCAGTCAGTGCCAGCACACATCTTTGGGTCTGTCGGGTTGCACGCTCTGCCATTAACCCATCCCCCTTCACTGTCATCCATACACATGCGCCAGTCGGCTTGATGAGATCGTAATCCCTGCCCAAACCGCCTAGCTTGCTGTCAAAGCGCGGGGCCGTCGGTTGTGGCGTCCTCGATCCTCCTCTCGTCTGCCCTGTGGAGACAGGAACGACGGATGGCACTTGTGGTCTGCCGATGTGTCTAGTTCCACGACCGCAGTAAATTTCCCTCTTTGCTAGTCCTCTGTGCTCGAGCCACGGTTGAAAGTGGAGTTATTAGTACAAAGATCTTCGCTCGATCTCGGCTTCCCGAATCGTCTCTGCCAAGAACTTCTCCACACACTCTATATGATCAGAGCATCTGCCACATGGTGGTCTTTCTTTCCGCACCGGAAGACCGATTCCTATCTCCATTCGATCCCACTGATTCCCCATCTTCCAAGGAAAAAGGTCCGGCAGTCCTCAGAAGGTGTTGGAAAACAACTCTCGCTCATTCGGTTTTGCGAATATTGGGCCCTCATCCTGGCGCCTACCACGCTGGGATAGATTGGATCTTCTGTGACACGCGCGCTGCAAGTGTGTGGGGGAGAACTGCTTGTGTTCTAAGCACTCGGGCTGTCGATCGCGTCCACTAGAACTGGTATAAGTCCTAGGTGTCCTTCTAGAAAGGCCAAGCGGCGGGTTTCCACTTACCTCCCCGTTTGTTCTCTCGTCGTTCAGCAAGCCTCCATTCTTGTCACTTTGAGCTTCAACTTTCTGAAGTTCTGGTTGGCGTCCATTCCTTGACAGAACTTCACTGCTCTGTATCCTTCTGCTACACGTCTTTCTCCCACGGATCCTCCGTACACACCACCATGAGGGCCTCAACACTACTCACCGGTGCCGCGGCGCTCTTGTCCACAACGCCAGTTCTGGGCTTCCCAAGCATGTTGCCCGACCTGAGCCCCGAGGGCATGGCCGGATTCCAGGCTCTTGCCGACAGGATCACAGCCGAACACAAGGTCCGCGAGGCCGGGCAACCCCTAGCTGATCGTGCCGAGCTCTTCATGGGCACTCAGGTCGAGACGACCGGCGAGCACGAATACGTGAGTTGTTTGTTCTTCCAGGCTGCCTGGGTTGGAGCCCATTAAGATGCCAAGGACTTCAAACTGACCATGTGCCCTTTGCAGCGACCTCCTGGTGAGGGTGACCTCCGCGGCCCATGCCCGGGTCTCAACATTCTCGCCAACTACGGCTACATCAACCGCAACGGTTATGACACCACCGTCAACATCATTCTCGCCTCGAACAAAGGTTCGTCATGCACACATAGACTGTATGTCTAGGAACACACTCTGACCCCCGAAACCCGTGCACAGTCTTTGGCATGGGTATTGACCTGGCCACTGCCATCGCGGGCTACTGCGCCGTTGTTGCGGGTGACATCCTCACCCTGTCCATCGGAGGTCCGCCCCCGCAGAGCCTCGTCAACGGCCTCGTCGGCAAGAGGGAGAAGGCGCGCAGCCTGCTGAGCGGCCTTGGCCTGACGGGCGACAACGGCATCCTCGGCAGCCTCCTGGGCGATGGCCTGCTCGGCAAGCCCAAGGGCCTCGACTGGTCGCACTACCGGTTCGAGTCTGACGTCTCGCCCACGCGCAACGACGTCTGGTACGACAACGACCCGGCGTCCATCCACATTGAGCGCTTCACCTCGCTGTACAACCGCGGTCTGACCAAGCCTGGCAAGGGCGGCATCGACCTGACCGTCTTGACCCCCCATCGCCAGGAGTGGACGCGCCACTCGATCGCCAACAACCCGTACTACTGGAACGGCCCCTTCACCGGCCTCGCCGTGGTGACGGCCACTCACATCTTCACCTACCGCTTCCACGCCAACTACACCACGGGAAGCCTCGACGGCTACCTCGACGGCGAGGCCCTCAAGCTGTGGGAAGGTGTCAGTGGCGAGCCGGGCAACTTCAAGTTCACCTACGGCAGCGAGCGCATCCCCCCCAACGTAAGCAGCAACACCCTCTCAAACATGATTTCTCTTACCGCCTTACCACCTTACATACGTAGGAAACACCAAAAGCTAACGCAAAAGCACCCTCAAACAGTGGTACCGCCGCCCCGCCGGCTTCGACTACGGCCTCAAGGAGTTCTCCGTCGACGCGCTCTGGACGCTCGAGCAGGTCCCCGACCTGGCCGCGTTCGGCGGCAACACGGGAAAAGTCAACAGCTTCGTGGACGTCAACGTCACTGACGTGACGGGCGGCGTGCTCACCGCGACGAGCCTGCTCGAGGGCAACAACATGCTGTGCTTCGCTTTCGCCACTCTGCACGAGTTCATCCCGGACCTGACGAGGGGGCTGGTCAAGAACACCCTCCAGGCCGTAAACCAGATCACCGACGCGCTGGCCCCGGTCTTTGCGGCGCTCGACTGCCCCCAGCTGAGCAAGCTGGATGCTAGCTACTATGACCAGTTCCCTTCTCGCCGCAGTGCCATCTAGGAATGGGATTTTGAGGGGGAAAGGGGGGGGGTTGTTTTGGTTCCGACGTCTGTTCTCTCTCTCGCCCATTGACACGTGACGGACGGACGGACGGACGGACTGTGGGAGAGTGAAGAAGATTGGGGCCGTTCGCTCCTGGATTTCTGCTGTGTGTGGCCTTGACGGTATATTCGAGGCTTTGTGGCCAAGCGGCGGGGGCAAGGCTTCTTGCTTCGGCGGGCATGCCCAGTGAGGGTCACTGGTGCTGATGCTGATATTGTGTTATCATCTTTTCCTTCCTCTTGAGAAATCACAGATATCCACATACACACAAAAACCACTTTTACCATTATACGCCATTTAATCACTACATGTCGATTGATCCCTGCGATGCTATGAATAAGCTGCGTTTCGCCGTGGGTGGGCACGATCGAGTGCAGTTAGTGCAGTTGCTGAGCCAGTATGGGTTTTGCTGGGCAAAACGTAGAGCACAGCCACAAGCCTCGGGTCTTTCGCTGGTCACTGGATCTTCGCCAGTCGACTAATGAAGACCGTACCGTGTGCAAAATCATGCATTGGCGCGATGGACAGATCGCACCAGGCTGCACCATCATTACTGAATGGTCAGAAAAAAAAGTATCTGTGCTGGGCGCTACTCCTCATACTTGCCATCGAGTTTGAGAAACTCCATGGAGAAGGGCCTTTGAAGATGGTGGTGACAAGAAGCCTGTTTGGGGAATGCTTTGAACGATGGTGTCTCTGGACCGGAATGTGTCTGGTACTGGCTGTTATTTCAGTTCGCCGGCGAACCATGCAGAGACCGTGAGTGGTGGCGAAGCCAAATTCGTAGGCTTAAGCGTTTGTCTTGATATGCAGCATGTCTAAGGCACGGTCGTGGGGGCAAAGGATGGTTCTTAGCAAGAATGCATGGTAGATATATTGGAGCCCAAGTGGTTGGAGATATATATATGTCATGACCATCGAACTCCAAACTCCTTAAAAGTCAGGACACCTTGCAACGCCGAGCCAGCACAGCAAAAAAACAAAATCAAAGCCTGACACAAAGACAACAAAACGGAATCAGCTTCCTCCCCATCGCTTTTGCACGAAAAGCACTAGGTTCGACATCGTTCAGACGAACAAGTTCCAGCTCCTGACTGGTCGGACAGCTCTGGCAGGCGGGCGAGGCAGGCTACTTCTATGAAGCAGCTTTCGCAACACCTGGCGCAGCGCTAGTCACCTGGGGGCTCGCTCCGCGGCGGGAATGGCCCTCCCGCTTGTATCCCGCTGGGGACCAGCCGGCCCCTTGCCCTTCTTGGCCGCGGATGACTGCCGTCGCCGGCCATCCTCACCTGAGTCGTCTTCGTCCTCATCGCCGGTGCTCTGGTCCAAAATGTGCGCATCGCTATTCTGCCGCAACATGCTCGTCCGTTCGTGGTCCCGGTATCCCTCGTCGTCGTCGTCCTCGATCAGCTCGCCGTCCGCATTGTCGTAATCGGGCGGCTCGATCCAGTCACGTGGCACGACACACGGGAGCGCCACGCCGATGGAGGCAGCACGGTTGAGCCAGCCCGGGCCCGGCCGGCCGGTGAGCTTCTGACATAGATGGCTTGTAAAGTGGTTGCAGTTTTTGGAAAGGAGATTATATTGCGTCCCGAGGAACTCGTTGCTGGCTGCGCGTATGATGACGTCGATTTCCGCGGTCGTGGCGAATGTGAAGCCGTGAAGGAGCTCGAGCTTGAATGTGCCTCCTGGAGGCGTTGTCTTTGGGGGCGTCCAGTACACGCCGGTGGTGTTACGACGGTCGTGGCCACCATACGCGTACTCCTTTCCATTGATGACGACACCAGAGTGGAGAAGAGAAGAGCCGATGGTCCAAAGGACGGAGCTCAAGCGGCCAGGCGGCAGGAGGTCGTAAACATTGATGACGACCTCGGTCCGGCTAAGGGAGAGGGTGCTGCGGTGGGAGGAGCGGGAATTCCGTGTCGAGGACGCCCGTTGCGGCTTTGGACGTGGCATGGTTGGTGGCGACTTGGCGTTGAAGAGGGTGCGGCGCGGGTTGGCAGTCGTCGGAGAGGATGGGAGCGCGACGCCGGCGTGATGCCGTGGGCTGAGATTGACGAGCGAAGCTCAATGGATCGGGATGAAATGGCGGTTGAGGAAGACGATTGGGAGGTTGGGCGCGCATGCAGTGGCGAAAGTGAAGGACCCTTTGTGGATGGGGACGGAGCTCAGGTGGGCGGTGGTATGTCGATGGGGAGGATGCGGGGAGAGCTGCCTGCCTGAGGACTGGTAAGGATGTGTCGAGATAGGGCCAGACCGGGGTCGAGGCGCTGGCGCAGCTGACTGGACGGGGCGAGGCACCGCTAGAGCACACCCGTAAACAGCAGGAGGACCCTGAGCTGGACGCGGCGTGTGACGGATGCCTTTTACGGACAAGACGTCAGCTTTTGGGCAAAGCCTGCCTGTCGTCTGCCGTCACACGCCGGTTCCGATCTGGAACAAAGACATCCATGGCTTGGCCTGCTGGTTTGCTGGCGTTCTTGTGTGAGCTCGGGAGGCCCCAGGCACCGGTCTTTGTTGTCTATCCATCGAGTTGAAACATAACAATGGATGTCGTCCAGTCCTGCCGTGCCACTGCGACAAGAGCCTCTCGACTGACTGCAACACCAGGATCTGGCTGAAACAGTGAGCCCACTTTGCACTTCCCACCAGACGGGCTGTCTGTCTCCAGTACCTAATTCGGGGCGTGGGGGCAGCTGCTGCGGGCCTCTGTCGCGTCAATCAAGAAGGCGGCCACCGATGGCAGCCAGGCATGGCGAGGGACCTTGGAGCTTGTGCTGATTCCAGGGCATCGTGAACAGAGGACGAGGACCCTTGCGCAGGCACAAGACGCGAGTGCTCAAGTGGTCTCTGCGCCAGCCAATCACCAAAACCCTCGTGCATCAGCCCGCCAGCTTTTTTCTTTCTCTCTCTCCTTCTTCTCCTCGCGCATCGCGCGTCGTCCGGCGAGCTCTCCTCTGCTCACCAGTACCATCCATCCCACAGGACCGTGGCCTGCTTGCCAGCCAGGCCTTTTGGATGCGCGGCCTGTTTGCCCAGGCCTAGACGGTTGTCCTCGTCGTCGCGTGCCTGGAACACGGCCCACGACCTGCTGCCGCCGCGAGGAGCACAGCACCACAACGACCAGCGTCGAGCTGAGCTGAGCTGCGACCACTCGTGACACAGTGGTTTGCCGTTGCCAGCTCCGAGGTCTGTACTCTAGCTGTGTGCCCGGTGGTGCACCAGCCAGTCCAGTCCGGTCCCTGGCCTCCAAAGAGGCGCTCTGTGTGGTGAAAATCCTGCAGTGCCCCGGCTGGGAGTCGACACACGGCGGAACCCACCTGCACATGGCTCCTCCCTTGTCTGCCCAACCAGCAGCGCCGCTCCTGGTTGCCCTGGCTGTGTCTGCGGCCTCGACACCCCGCCTTTTTTCTCGCCGTGCAGCTAGCTCTGCCTTTTCACATCCCTTCTCCCCTCCCTCCTCCTCCCGCGTCTTCGTCCTCTCCCTCCCCAGCGCCCGCCGCCACTACGCAAACCGCTCAAAGCCCAAGATGCCCCCCAAGAAGGTCAAGGAGGAGGAGAAGGTCCTCCTCGGCCGCCCCGGCAACAACCTCAAGAGTGGTATCGTCGGTCTTGCCAACGTCGGCAAGTCCACCCTCTTCCAGGCCATCACAAAATGCACCCTCGGCAACCCAGCCGTAAGTCTTCCTCGACCATCGACCCGCTTCACCAATCTTCCCTCCGGCCGCTCCTGGCTTGCTGGCATTGGGCTTGTGGCATGACGTCTGTTCGTGCTTTGCGGCCTCGAAGAAAAACCTTTTTTTTCCTCCCGCGCTGCCTCGACCCCACGGAACCGTCTACCCCACCATTGTCATCATCGCCAACAATGCGACAATGGCCCACGTAGACAAAGCTCCTGCATGGCAACGAACATGTCGTCGCTGACCTTGTCGCTCCGTCCCATCACAGAACTTCCCCTATGCCACAATCGACCCGGAAGAGTCCCGTGTCATCGTCCCTGACGAGCGTTTCGACTGGCTCTGCGAAAAGTACAAGCCCAAGTCGCGCGTACCTGCCCACCTGACCATCTACGATATCGCTGGTCTCACAAGAGGTGCCTCTACCGGCGCTGGTCTCGGCAACGCCTTCTTGTCTCACATCCGTGCCGTCGACGCCATCTTCCAGGTCGTCCGGTGCTTCGACGATGCCGAGATCATCCACGTCGAGGGTGATGTCAACCCCACCCGCGATCTCGACATCATTGCCGAGGAGCTGCGGTTAAAGGACATTGAGTTCACCGAGAAGGCCCTCGAGAACTCCAAGAAGAAGACCCGTCTCGGCGGTCAAAGCTTGGAGCTCAAGAAGGCCAAGGAGGACGAGGCCATCATTGTCAAGGTCCTCGAGTGGCTGCAGGACGGCAAGGATGTCCGCAAGGGCAACTGGTCTCCCAAGGAGGTAAGGAAACAAGCAATTTCCCCATCTTCCATTATTCTTTCGTACACCCAAGGAGGACCTCCACACCTCTATATGATGATAAAGGGCCATAGCGCCTGAATTCAAACCCAGCTCTTCGAATGCCTCACAAACAACGCAGAGGACATCCTGAGATAAGAAACGCAATCTGATTCCAAACATACGACACATTTTGAAATTCACTTGAACGCTCCAATTGGAATTGGTTGCTAACGAGCAGTACAATAGGTCGAGGTCATCAACACCCTGTTCCTCCTCTCCGCCAAGCCCGTCGTCTACATGGTCAACATGTCGGAGAAGGACTACATTCGCAAGAAGAACAAGCATCTGGCCAAGATCTCCGAGTGGATGAAGGAGCACGCCGCTGGCGACCCCATCCTGCCCATCTCGGTCGCTTTCGAGGAGCGCCTGACGCAGTTCGCCACCGAGGAGGAGGCCGCCGAGGAGTGCAAGAAGCTGGGCATCGAGTCGGCCCTGCCCAAGGCCATCACCACCATGCGCAAGGCCCTCCACCTTGGGAGCTTCTTCACCAGCGGTACCGACGAGGTCAGGCAATGGACCATCCGCAATGGCACCAAGGCTCCTCAGGCCGCTGGTGTGATCCACACCGACTTCGAGAAGACCTTCATCCAGGCAATTGTCTACAACTTTGCCATGCTCAAGGAGCTGGGTGACGAGGCCGAGGTCAAGGCCAAGGGCAAGGTCATGACCAAGGGCAAGGAGTATGTCGTTGAAGATGGTGATATCCTGGTCATCAAGGCCGGTGCCGCCAAGGGTTAAATTCTGGTCTTTTCCGCAGGGATCTGCCAGAGTTGGGTTGCTTTTTTGATTGACGTGAACATGAAGAACAAAAAGTTCCTGAGACATGATAACCCCTTCTTCACATTTAGATAGTTTCATACAATCACCCAAATAGATGGTGAGAATGGAACCATTTGTCAAATCACACAACATTGTACAATGCTTCGTTATTCTAGGTGACTCTGAAGGGCTTGGTTGGCAAGAGCTGCGGTCCTCTGGATTTGCCGCCATCGACCAGTGAGTAGCTCCTTGGCCGAGGCTGCGTCGGGGTCGACCACGATGACACGTAAAGACTCGAGCCTTTCCTGGGCGACGACCTGCATGGCCTGCACCGTCTTTCTCACCCAGAGCACGACATCCCTGTCATCGGGACACGGCACCCATGCTACTGATGTGCCGAAAGTGGCCATCTCTGCTGTTAATTTCTGCTCGAGAACGATCCGTAATGCGATTTGCAGCATTGGCGACAGCATGACTTGGACAGCCGCGCCAGTCGTGTCGACTGACAACGTGCAGCCGTCAATTGGGTTCGCAGTCTCGTCGGCTCGATCACTGTTGGCGTCATCGTCTCTGTCGATGTTGATGCTTCGGTGGGCCTGCACAATCTGAGTCTGCTGGTCCGCTGTCAGGAGGGGTGAGATGACCTCGGCCAGTGATATGCTGTCGTAAGGATTACCCCCGTTATGCTCTTGCGAGATTGACGACGAGGTAAAGAAGAACCCGTATTCTGCGAGCAAGATGTCGTTCGAGTGCTCGCCGTAGGAGATGCAAACTTCCTCGCCCGCCACGATGTCTTTGGTTGCCGTGAACGTGTAGCCGTCGGTGGAGAAGCTGACGGCGACGGGAGCTTTTCGTGGTTTGTTGATGGTGCCCGGAGAAGGTGTGTGGTTGAAGAGATCTGCCAGTGGTATGAGGGCCAGCCGCTCGTCGTAAGGATACCGCCTTGTCGAGTCGACGAGGTTGTAGAAGGTGCGGGAGTTGATGAGGAGCCAGGCATGGACGAACTGGTCCTTGGTACTGGTTGCACTCACGGCCAGGAACGGATAGGTCGTATTCGTAGAGGTGAGCAGGTCACGCAGGGCGGTCCAGTCGTCGTGTATTTTGTTTCTCTGTGTTTCTATGATGGTTGCCACCGTCTGCGGCACCAGTGCTTGGAGAAGTGGTGGCCAGAGCTGCGGGAACCCTTCTTTGAACAACTCCATCGACGGAGCACAGCGAGCCCAGACGGTCGAGTCGAAACCTGGACTCTCATCTGATGGTGGGGTATCATGCCTCCCGTTCAGGAGCAGCGCCGCTGCCAACAGGCCGTGAAGTGAAAGCCGTGGACTGGTGCTGTCCCTTGCCGCCTGGGCAAGCCGCTGGCGGAGCGAGGTGGGAACCGTGTCCAGGCAGTGGATAGCTGTGGTGGGCACATCGAGGACAATGTCGCCTTTCTGATTTGGTCCAAGACGCCATCAGAGACCAGTACTCCTGGACGGATCATGAGGTCTTCCAGTCTGCGAGGAAGGGAGCCGTACCTTGAGGTCGCGAGAGGCCACGACACCGATGCCTCGACCGGGCAGTGGCTGTGGGGCAATGCCATCGAGTTGGACGCCCGTGGATTTTGCCCAATCGAGCAGGTTCTGGAGTGCCGTCATGGTTTCTGATGCGGTCGGGAGCTGAGGCTTTGCGGAAGGAAAGCTGAAGGGGCATCCTGCGTGCCCGGATGACATGGCATGGCATGGCCTGGCTGTGCGGCGCGTCGTTCCGAGGTCGGCCGCCGCTGGTTCCGCAGCCAATCACTTTGGTCAGAGAGCCAGGCATGGTGGGTGAGGGCATCACGGGGGTCGCATGTTTGCTTCTGATGGGAGGGACAGTCAAAGGCTCAGGTGGCCCGCATTGGGAACGGAGGATGCCCAGGTGATTCCAGGTGCATTCGGTGCAAAATGAGTCTGGTACTATGTACTGCCGGTCCAGTCTGCCACAACCTGGAGCCGCGGCCAGGCAGGAGCGGCACAAAACCCGTGCTTGCCTCGTGCCACTACGGCACCACCAGCCGCATCGCAAACGCAACAGTTGACCACCACCACCGGGAGAACTGCTGCATTTCGGTTGCTCAGGCATGAATTCAAAAGTCGCCAGTCCTCTCACCTGCCGGGCGAGGCCTTCTACCTCGGCGGCATGGTGGGCAATCGCGGCCCCTCCCCTCCCCGAGCATCCTAGTTCACGTCGCGCGTAGCAAACATTTGTGCATATACAAAGGCGCTCGGCTCCCCCTTCCACTTTGCGCAGCTTTGCACGCGTCGGACAGTCTTTCACTTCTAACCTGCGCTAGAACCGACCACAGGTGAGTACGTCAGGACGATGGACTGGCCAGGCATGTCTTTGGTGTCGCTCAGAAGGATAGACAGGTCATTACCTCACCGCTTCAGAGCGTACATGCGGATCGGGCACAGCTTTGCGTAGCCCTTCATGTCGACACCCTTCTGAAGCTCCGTCTTGACCAGCCGAAGGCCCGCCCGCTTAAAGATGTCCCGGAACTTGCTATCCGTCCTGGCATTCCATTCGCTCGTCAGTATATCAACCATGGGTCCCGGACCAGACAGACTGCCAAACTGACCGCATTACGCTGCTGTCCTCAGCATCGTAGAGATCCTCGTCGCTGGTGCTGATGTTCTCCTTGAGCACAATGTGGCCAACGTCGGCCTGCAATACCGCTTTGCATCGGACAAGGAAGGCGACGAGTTGCTCGTCGTCCAAGTACCCGACACACCACTGGATCCAGATGAGGTCGTACACCTCGTCATCTTCGGGCTGCCACTGTTCGAGGCCGACAGTGAAGACGTTGCGCACCCCCTTCTTGGCTGCAAGCTCTGTCGTGAACTTTGCGACAGGCTCAATCACATCGACGTGATCAGCAAGTGGCAGGAGTAGCCCTTCTGTGACTCTTCCTATGCTATGTCACAGCGAGACGCGTCAGCATCAGACGAGCGACTGAGTTTCTGGTTCAGAAGGGTGTTCGCCATACCCTGCACCGCCCTCGAGGGCATTGGTCACGCGCCTTCGGCCAGCCTGAAGCCCGACTCCCAGCTTGGCAAGGAACGCACGGGAGCCCTGGAGCTCTATAGTCGAGATGTGGGCATAGCCGCCCAGCATGCTGTCGACGTCGGACGCCGCAGCCGACCAGTACTGGTAGTCATCGCCAATCTTTTTCTGTTCGCCCGGCCCGCCAGCGGTTGCCGCCCCAGTCGTGTTTGGCGGCATGTTCGTGTATGTACAGGTCTTTCGCCAGGTGGAAGGCAAGGTGCTGTCCTCCCTAAGTGCAGTCAAGCAGGCGCCAATTACGGATTGAACACGAGGTTGGCAGGGTGGATGATCTATGAGCAGCAGCCGAGTTTGTGACGCGCCATTGTCCACACAGACTGCCCCACCAATGGGACAAAAGAGGCAGGCCCACGAGTCGCTCAGAACCACAACTCTTGACTACGAGCGGAGTTCTGAGCTCACAATATCTGAGCAAGAGCCGCCCAAAGCCGGCGTGTGTCCGCAACTCTAAAATTCTGGGGTTCTTCCAATCTCTTTCTGTATGCGATCAAGCTGTCTAGCAAGCGGATTACTTTCAGTGCGAGAGCATGCTTATGCTGCCATTTCAACGACACGATATTGAGCAGGACTGTGCTTGCCATGTAGCATCTCAAACTCAACACCTGGTAGATACCCCACAACAGGCGCAACAATCCCTGCTACTATCTCCACAGGCTCAATTGATTTTCATGGTGCGGGCAGCGCGACTGCGACGTCACCTCCTGTTGGAAGAATCCCGACCAACTACTGCAGGCTGCCGGTCAAGAACGTCACTTGATGCTTTTCGAAGGGTACTCTCTTCCACATCCTGGCGGGTTGTCTCGTCAATGCCAAACATGAAGTGAGCTTCATGTTCTAGAGCGTCGGCCAGCTTTGCCCCCAATCCCGACTCATGTGTCTAGTTGCTGCTCGAAATAGCAGAATATGAACTTGTCTGCATTTTAGTCGCAGTCGCAAGGGTGAAGACGAGAAGAGTGAACGTCCGGTAGTATCGCAATACCGTTTCTGAATCTCCTTGGAGTTTATAGGACACTTTGACTTATCCCATGACCGGAAATCGGTCCTGCCGATACACAGGTTTTTCCCGTGGCACTTTCTGGAATTCTAGACGAAGACGATGTTGACTGCTCACTTCGATCTCGGCTCGGCGACTGGGGATTTCTGGTACGTTGAGCTGAGACCACCAGTCAGTGTGCGTTTCAGCACATTCTCTTATGACGTGAAAGCTCGATGATTGAGTGAGGTCAATCCTCATAAAATATTTTTCGGGTAGACGCGGCTTGTACTTCTAGCAGCACGGAGGTTTGTACTGGCGCAGATGGGCTGTTTGACTTCATGTCGTCCTCGTCCCTCGTTCGTGTATGTATGTACTACCAAATCACTTCCCATCATGCATACCATCAGACTTTAGGCTCAACGTGGATTCGTGGTAGTCGTTAAACTTGGAAGAGAAGGACAACTACTTTGGCGCCTGACTGCAGGCATTCATTCATCCCCCCGCGTTTCGACCACATTCTCTCACTACGAGACTTTTCGAAACAGCCCTCCGAACCAACAAGTGACGCCCACCCATTTCCTGCTGCGCAGCCCAAGCCTCTCAACCATGGTCTCGTCCACAGCTATCTCTGTGATCCCTGGCGTAGTAGTAGTAACTCTTCCCGCTCCCGGTCCGCCTTCCCGGCGATCCCCGTCCCCGTCCCCGTCAACAATGACCTCGAGCCCCCACTTGGCCGCCTCCTTGACCACGTCCTCGACGGTATGCGCATAGCTCGTGGGGCGGATCTTCTCTCCGGTCGCGGTGTCGACGAAACCGGCCTGGCTGATCCCGCCCATGTGACTGTGCATGTTTGTCAAGAGGAGCACGCCGCCCGGCCGGAGCAGGCGGGACGCGCAGGAGAAGTAGGTCGACAGGGGGATGTGCTCGATCACAAGCGTCGAGATTATGCCGTCTGCTGGGGAGAGTTGCTGCTGCCCTTGCTGCTGCTGCCGTGCTGTTGTTCTTCCTCCTGTTGTCGTTGTTGTTGTTGTTGTTGCTGCTGGTGAGGTAGAGGAGCCGGCTGATTCTGCTTCTGCCTCGGCGATAATGTCGTACAGCGCAAAAGTAATCGTCTTATCTGCGACGGATGCCTTCATCGTCATTGTCGTGGCCTCGGCTGCTGCTGCTGCCGCAACCTCCTTACGCCCCTTCTTCTCCTGGGAGTCGTCCGTGTTGTCAATGTAGTTGTCGTTGGTCTTTCCTCCAGGCACCTGCGCTTCTGTTGCCCCTTGGCCGCGAACTGCCCCAAGCAGCCGCGCCTTTGCGACCTCGAGCATCCCGGGACTCGCGTCGAGCGCGACAATATCCGTGACGACGACATTGCCCCTTCGAGCCTCACTGGTCTTTCTACTACCTGTGCCTGTGCCTGTGCCTGTACCTGTGCCATCATCACCACCACCAGGAGGTCCAGAGGCCAGCAGGAGCGCCGTGTTTCGCCCCGTCCCACATCCAAGATCGACGACTCTCAACCCTCTGCGTTCCTCTTTCTTCTCCCCGTCTGAGCCATCATCATTCCCATCTTCATCACCGGCGTCGTCGTCATACTCCTGGTCCTGGTCCCGGTCCTGGTCCCGATCCTGGCCTAGAGCCCCCAAAAAGCGGCCAAACAACCCACCCTCCTGCATCTCCCCGTCGTCAATCCTCTGCAGGAAGTTGCCGTCCGTGTCGTACACCGCCGCCCAGCGATCATACGCCTCGCTCGTCGGGAGGTAGCGGACCGCGGAGAAGGTCGGGTCTCCGGGTCCTGGTTTCGCCGCGGCCGGAGTCAACGCCATCTTTCTGTCCAGAAGCTTCTTTCGAGCTTTTTTTGTTTTGTCTTTCTTTTCTTCGACCTGTTGAGTTGGGAGGAAGGTCCTGGCTTTTTTCGGTGTACTGCGGAGGGGAAAAAGAAATAACTCTTGTAAAGCCGATGTGCCCACCGCCCTTGTGTGACTTTGCGCTCTCGAACTAATTCGTGCCTCGAAATGCTACCCTTCCCTTTTTCGCCTAAGGTCGTCAAACCCCCAGATAGCGAAGCTTGAGTAAGATGGCAAATGGGGAAGGCGGCGCAGTAGAAGAGAGGGTGCAGGGGAGGGGGGATGATAAGATGAGTGTTAAAGTTGTAAAGCAGAGGTATCTCCTCGAGAACCGACAATTTACAAGAGTCCTGGACTGTACAAATTGACTGACCGTCAGTTGCAACCCACCGGATGAGGCATCAATCGCAGTGTCGAGAATACAGCTTCGGGGAAGACAATATTTATGCAGCGCCGTGGCTTTGGCGAAACCCCCCTGTGGCGTATTGAGACAGCTGCGGGAGCTGCAACTTGTGACTCATTTGCCGATGTGGTTTTCGGAGTAGTCAAGTCGCAGGGCGCCGCCGAGACCACGGTTGTTGACCTGACCTAACCCCTCATGAAGACCCACCAATCCACGCTAAATCATCGAATAGACTACTCAGGCCAATGTCACAACGCAGCAGAACGACTCGATGTGGAACAGAAGCGTTTCAGTATTTCTTAATAAAGCTCGCTAATCATATCAATCGATTTTTGTATGTTGAACCGTCGTTCACCGTTGGCCGTCGTGCCAAGCATTTACGTCTTGACATCAGGCTCGTCACGACCGACGTACTCCTTGAACTTGAGCAGATCCACGGCAAACTTGATCTCCTCCTTGAGGAAGTCTTGGGCATCAAGACCAGTGTTGTCCTTGCTGTACTGCTCAATGTAGAGGCGAATGGTGGCGCCAGATGAGCCAGTTCCAGAAAGTCTGACGACAATGCGGCTGCCGCTCGAGAAGCGGGCGTAGAGGCCCTGGTTCGAAGAGACGGAGCCGTCCAGATCGGTGTAGGAGAAGTTGCCGGCATCGGTAACGGTCCGATCGCCAATCTTGCTGCCGATGAAGTTGGGGTCGGCGACAAAGTCCTTGAGCGTGCCCACGACCTTGTTGGCGCCGTCTGAGTCGACGTTCTCGTAGTCGTATCTCGTAAAGTACACGCGTCCGTACGTCTTCCAGAAGTCCTCCTGGATCTGCTTGATGCTGGGCGTGGTGTCCGGGTGAGCCTCGCCCAGGCCGGCAATGATGTTCAGCCAGGCGACGACGGCCCACAGACCGTCCTTCTCGCGGACGTGGTTGCTGCCAGTGCCGAAACTCTCCTCACCGCAGATGCTCAGCTTGTCGGCGTCGAACAGGGCGCAAAAGAACTTCCAGCCAGTGGGGACCTCATAGCAGTTGAGACCCTGCGCCTTGGCAACAAGGTCGACTGCGCCAGAGGTGGGCATGCTGCGGGCAAGACCGTAGACACCCTGCTTCTTGAAGTATGGAATAAGGTTGGCGTGGTGAGCAATGATGGCCAAGCTGTCACCGGGCGAGACAAAGGCACCAGCACCATAGATCATGTTGCGATCACCATCTCCATCAGAGGCGGCACCGAAGGGGATCGAGTTCTTGTCAACAACCTCGACGAGAGAGTGGGCATAGGTCAAGTTGGGATCAGGGTGACCGCCGTTGAAGTCGGGAGCCGGGATGCAGTTCTGGGTCGAATTGGCCAGGCCGAGCTCCTTCTCGAAGATTGCCTTGCCATAGGGGCCAGTGACGCCGTGGAGGCCGTCAAAGAGGACCTTGAAGTCGGGGTGGTTCTTGAAGAACTTCTTGATGAGGTCAAAATCGAAGATGTCCTTGAGCATCTCCATGTAGTCGGCCACACTGTCGATGATCTCAACCTCGAGGTCGCCGTAGGTCTGGGTGCCGACGGTCGAGAGGTCGACATCGGGAATGTCGGCGATCTTGTAGGAGGTCAAGGTCTTGGAGGCCTCGTAGATCTTGTTGGTGACGCTCTCGGGAGCGGGACCGCCGTTGGCGAGGTTGTACTTGATGCCAAAGTCCTCGTTGGGGCCTGTTGAATGCCAAGGGCGAGCATTGCATTAGTATTGGTGTCTCGTGGTAGGCGGAATGGTCTGCTGGTACAAAGGCTCACCTCCGGGGTTGTGGCTGGCGGTCAGGAGGATACCACCGGTGGCCTTGCGCTTGCGGATGACATGGCTGGCGGCGGGCGTGGAGAGGATGCCATCCTTGCCGATGAGGAGCTTCTTGACACCGTAGGCGGCTCCAATCTTGGCAATGAGCTGGCAGACCTCTGGGTTCCAGTAGCGGCCGTCACCTCCAATGACCAGGAAGGAGTCCTTGACGCCCTCTGGGATGGAGAGGAGGATGCTGGTGACGAAGGACTCGCTGTAGTGGGGCTGCTGGAAGACCTTGACCTTCTTGCGGAGGCCGGAGGTGCCAGGCTTCTGGTCCGTGAAGGACTTGAACTCGACTGTCTTGACGCTCATGATGGACCGCGGTGTTGTGGATGTGAGGGTTGGAAAAGGGAGGAGAGCGAGAGATGCCACAAGAGCGGAGAGGAGTGGGAGTGGAGCGGAATGGCGGAGGCTCAAGTCAATAAGTATGGTCTCCTGGGGGGACAGCTCTGGTGGGGACCGCACGACGCCACTCGCCCCAACGACATGAAATGGACGGGACGCCCGACCTGAAAAAGCACGAGCTGCGGTCGGAGCGACAGGCCTGTACTATCACTACGTATCTAGTCTCGTTGCCCTGGCCTGGGTGCAACGGCCTGGCCCCGTGTCGATCCCATTGGGCTGTGGCCGCCGCGTTTATTGTCGCTGTTGTGCATCGAGCACTCTTGCCTCACGAGACGGCGATCCCCCGTCGCTCCACCCCAGCTCTCTTGGAAGCTGTCCGGCGCCAGGGCGGGACTCTACAGCCAAGTCTGGCCCAGAAAGCTGAATTGAATCCGACCCAAGCTCGACCGCCTCCCGGGCGCAAGCTGATGTGAGCTTGAATTGGTCGGCGCCAATCTGCATCGTCTGACGGCGCTCGGGTTCTGCGCCCCGCCATCGCCATCAGCATCGCGGGTTTCTTGAGCTTCTCGGCATCCCCCACCACCACTCTGCAGAGTGACCTCATCCTGAGTAGTGGGGTGTGGCCCTCTGCTGTCTGTCCATGGATGCCCGCCGCGGATCTCCAGAGCTCCCCTGATGGTCCAGGCGGTGGCAATACTCCGGCCAAAGAATCCAGGACAAAGTGCACGTCAATCCGCCCGCCCAGCTTTCTAGGCCAACGCCCTCCCAGCTGCTATTCGTGACCGGCCGGAAGGCTGATGCTGATGCTCGTCCTGCTCAGCATGGCACAGCTCCTGCTCACGTCAGGGCGGGGTAGCTTTTGGTCATGATAGCCGCACGGCCCACTCCGCACGCACGGGATAACTTAGCGCGGAGAGCTGGCAGCATGGGATTTTCTAGTCTGCCAGCCTCGATATTGCAACGCAGCACCAGACTTTGACGCCGAAATCTGGTCAGCTCAATGTCTGGAAAGACCACATCAAAATCACGCGCTCTCTCGTCAACAAGGCTGCAGACTGCAGCCCATGAGCAAGCAACACAGCCGCACCCAGTTTAGAGCACGATGCCGCCATTGACCATGCCGACAGAATAAGCCATGCATCATATGGCATTCAGAGTTCCAGCCTTCGAGCAGGGATTGCCTTGCTGCAAACCAGGGTCGTCCAAGTTCGGCTCGTCACCAGGCCAGGGTCCTTCTCAACAACCAGCGATATGTGAAAGTCAACATCGTCGTTGCGCACTGGATTTGTTTATTGCTGTGTTTTGTTTCTAGCCTGGAATATGTTCTCCATGTAGTATCGCGCCTCCTCGATGCTTTCCAGGATGTCGGCTTTGGCCTGGTGCAGGCCCTTCTTCATGGGCGCCTGGTCAAGCACTCCCGGCGGACCCCAGCGTCTCGCGGCCTCCTTGATCGCGCTCACGTCGAGCAGCCGGTGGTGCAAGTGGTCGACAATCTTCTTGTACGGCTCCTTGCGCAGGAACGCCCGGTCTGCATGGACGCTGTTGCCTGCCAGCAGCGCGCCGGGTCGCGGTACATACTTTTTGATATACGCGAGCAGCTCGTCCGCCGCCTGTTCGGGCGTCACCGTCGACGCCACGACGGCGGCAGTCAGACCGCTCTCTGCATGTGTCCGTGTGCACCAGTCGTCCATCATGTCCATGCGCTCCTGCGTCTGGTGTATGACCGTGCCCCAGCCCTCTGGGTCAAGAACCTCCAGCTGCCCGGTCGTGATGATGCAGAAAATCTCAATGATCTCATCGTGGTCTGGATCCAGCCCAGTCATCTGCCAGTAAGTCAGTAACAAGTCAGGTGGTTTCCCCACGACTCGCCGTAAGCTTTGCGGACCGAGACATGGCCGAGCAGCGGCGGGGTGGCACTCCTCACCTCGCAATCAATCCATATCAGGGGTCCATTGCTGGTGGCCATGCTGTGCTAGTGGGAGCTTGTGGTGCTGTGTGAGGCTGTGATGGTTTCCAAGTGCCAAACCAATCGATCCAGGAAGCTTCGTGGTGAGTTGCTGGTGGGTTTCGACAGCCTCCCTCCCGAGATGTGTTTGGCTCGCAGTGAAAGCCCTGCCTCTGCGCCTAGCGACTCGAGGAAAGAACGCCCCTGGCGCTAACGCAGGCCTCCGGACCCACACCTTTGCGCTCTTGCTCAGAGTTCGCGGCTCCTCAAGTGCCGGCCGCGCCCCTTCATACTTCTCGTCAAATGTCTTGCAAATTTACCATTTCCCTCCTCTCGTGACCATCAATTGCCGGTGTGGCGGCCCGTCCGCTGACCTCATTGTCTCAAGGCGTCGTCGTCAGAACTCTTTTCGCCTGCATCAACTGGTAGGGCGGCCTCCTCCAGATTTTAGACTTCCGTCGGCGAACTACCGCTTAACCTTCAACTGGGACCTGAAACCACGCCCGCTCTATTCTCGCATGAGACACCGTGGTGCAGGAACCCGTTTCCGGCAAACCCTGTGTCGTCATTGGGGTGGACCCTCGACGCCTTCTTCAACGCCTCTTGAGCCATACTCAAATATGGCCAGACAGCCAGGCCATTGTCAGTCACGTCAAGGGATGGTTTGGAAACGCGGGTCCGTTGCAATGTGACAACAAGAGACGCCATGCCGCACATTGCGAACCACACCAAGGGGCTGCCCGGCGAGATATTGGTGAGGATATTCGACTGCTTCACAACACACGTCGAGCTCGAAGAGCGACTGCATCAGGCCTCCGAGGTCGACTCGACCCCAGACTACAAGACGCTCAGCCACATTACCAAAGCATCAAGACAATTCAGCCGACTAGCACAACCTGCGCTATACCAACTACTCGTCTTACACGAAAGAGCATCATGTGCTTTGTTATTTCGGACCTTGTTGAGCCGGCCCAAGATTGGACATCTTGTCAGAGGCCTCTCCATACATGTCTATGACGACGAATTCGACCCAGAAACGGACACAGTGCTCCGCAGCCATCTCAAGGCGTTTCGTGGGAAGCAACCCGGCGTCCGTACTCCTCTACCGGTCCCTGAGTCTGCGGATGCACAACTCGCCATGTTTCTCGCGTTTCTGCCGCAGGTCGAAACCCTGGATGTGATGCTGGACGACAAACAGGGGTTGTCATCCGACTTCCTGACTATCCTCCCATACTGGAGGGGAGTTGTTGAGCAGTATCTGGACCTAAGATCTGGGGCCGGTACCAAGATACCCCTCCAAAGTGCAATTCACAGTCATTTCCCAGCGCTTCGTCAAGTACGCCTCAGGCATTGGAGACTGCTCAACAAAACACCACGGCTACAATATGCAGCGGAGCTGCTTAGTCTGCCCACGCTGGAGTCGCTACACTGCCACTGGACAAATTTGAGTCTGATACCAGAGCAAATCAGTCAGTTCGCACCAGAGGCAAGCCCGTTGGCTCTCAAGGACATATTCCTAGAGAACTCGAGTATTGATGCCACCAGCCTCGAATGCATCCTGTCCAAGTGCGCAAACATCAGATCTTTGACGATATCCTGGGGAGAAGAGCAGGTCAGCGACTTCAAGCTTAACTACCGGCAGCTTGGCACCATCCTTCGCAAACACTGTGGCACTTTGGAGACATTGGTACTCAACCCCACAAAGTCGAGGCCTCTGCACGAAGCGGGCGATGACGCCTGCATCGGGCCACTACGCGCGCTGTCTAAACTCAGGCAGCTCGCCATCGACAGCAATGCTCTACTTGGGCACAGTCAGTATCTGGGAACCAACGACCAGACATTACAGGACATGCTCCCGGCGTCTCTGGAAGCGCTGCACCTTAGCTTCCCCATTGGGGCGGTCAAGACTGGGGAGAAGGCTCTCTACCAGCTCCTAACCAGCGCCGGCATGAGCTTGCCTAGCCTGCGGCAAGCTTCCGTGGACGATCGAAACGTCAGGTTCCGGAAGGATTTTGAGGCGCTTGGATGGGCGCGAACCGGCCTGCGAGAAGTTGGCAGCGAGATGCCTTACCACAGCGGCTGCTTCTACCCGATGCTGTTGAGGGATCGTGCTCCTGAGGCCACCGCAGCGAGCCACGGAGCCTGAATCCGCTCGTCTGCCTGCCAGCCAGCATTTGCCAGCATCGCATCATGATACTAGACATTACGTACAAATAAGCATAAGCATGTGTACAAATATAGCAGCATATAGGGACGATGCAGGGAACACAGAACCACTGTCGTCAAGCACATGTATATTACTAGCAGAGGGTGTTACCAGTGGAGCTGGGTAACAAACAAGTGGCCTAGACCGCTCCTCCACCACCGTGGACAATGTATATATACCAGAAAGGATGACTCCAAAACACACTCAAGTGTACAAGTTTGCATTTTCCGACGTTCGTAACCCATGACGAAATGGCAAGTCCCCCCTCAAATTTCCAAACCCAGCTGTTGCCCTGCCGCAAGCAAAGGCTTTTACATGCAAGTGAAGAAGTCGCCGAGCTTCTCAATCACGACGGCCTGCTTGTCCGCGGGGGCGGTGGTCTTGTCGCTGGCGTCGGCGACGCTGACGGAGACGAAGCAGCCCGTGGGGTTGAGGACGACCTCGGTCTCGGTGGGCAGGCTGGTGTCGCCTCCGCAGTGGGGCGCGTCCGGGCCGGAGAAGCCAAACGGGTTGATGCGGGTGAGGACGAACTTGAAGTCGTCGACCTTGCTGCACCGCGAGGACGACACCTTGGGGAAGTTGGTGGAGAGGAAGACACCCTCGGGCAGGTAGGGGGTTCCCGAGGCGATGACGGCGTTGGTGAGCTTTGTCGCGAGCTGGGCGTAGAGCGTGCTCTCCAGGGGCACCGGGCTGACGTCCCAGCGGTTGTGGGTCGCGGTGAGGCCCGAGAAGGCCAGGGCCGGGACGCCGTGGTTCTTGACGGACTCGGCGGCGGCGCCGATGGTGCCCGAGAAGGGCACCTGGAGCCAGAGGTTGGAGCCGATATTGGGCCCCGTGACGACGAGGTCTGGTACCGCACCGGGACCCCAGACCTGGGGGGCAAAAGTGTCGAAGCCGAACTTGAGCGAGGTGACGGGGAACGAGTTGACCCAGTTGAGCCTGGGGTCGGTGGCGTTGGAGCCGACGGGCCCGCTGTTGGCGGCGCAGCTGTCGAACTGGCACGGCTCCGTGCGGGGCTCCGGCTCGGCGTCGCGGGACGAGGTGCCGGACTGGTTCTCGGCCGGGCCCGAGACGAGGGCGTCGTGGCCGGCGGCCAGGAGCGACGAGTGCATCTCGCGCAGGTACGACTCGGCCCAGCCGTCGTCGTTGGTCTGGAGGATGCGGACGCCCTGGGCGGCGGCGCTGCTGGCAGCGAGGGCCGCGGGGAGGAGGACAGTGGCAGGACGCATGGTGGTGATGGTGCTGAAGAGCGAAGAGAGGTGACGGTGGTGGTGGGAGGTCGAGGCGGACCGGACGGCGAAGAAGACCTGGACAAGGAAGAGAAGCGAAGCTGCAGCTAGGATATAATACACAACGACGGGTCGACGTGGACGGAGCTGGCCGTCGTCTGAAGAGAAGAAGCGAAGGTGGTGGTGGTGACGGTGCGAAGGACAGAGGACGGGATCTGGAGGAGAGGCATGGCGATCTTGGACGAGCGCAGGTTTGGTTTTAAGACGGCCCGAGGCAGCCATGGCTTGGGCCACCAGGCAATCTGCCGTGCGGTCACTGAGTAGCATTGAACATTTGAGGTGGTAGCGATGGAGATGAGGCAAAGAGGTGGATTGTTTGGTGGGAGTCGAGGTCTGGGCAGGGGCGATGTCGGGGTCATGCATAAAACAGGCTGGCCAACCAGAGGCGGCGGATGGTTGTCCCAGAGGCCTCGTTCTGGCAATCCAGCGGCTCCCGCACAGGGGGTCCCGCGCCAGCCAGTCAATGCATTGGTTGTCAGTCCGTGGAGCTCAAGACTGTGGGCAGTGCAAAACACTGCTTGATTAATTATGCTGGATGTGGCCCCCGAAAGGCAGACTGCAAAAGATTGAATGACTCGAACATATCTCATGTTGCTGGTCAGCCTCGCGACGCGGGCGAGCAGAGAGAACCGGACGCTTTGTAGGGGCGATCCAGCGGTATATTCTGCTCCCAGCCTCGCCTGGGTCATTAGCTGTCGCAAGAGATCGCGAGACGTGGTTGGTGTAGGCGGGAGCAGAGCAGACATCTTTTGAGTTTGATGCATCTGAGTTCAGCTTTCAGCCCGTACACAATCTCTCTCGCGGTTGGGGACTGTGCAACCCTCCTTGGATGGCGACGCTAATGTACGTTGCGTACTTAAAGTAGACACGATGCCCTATTTCCAGGCCTGGGCCACGATCTACACCAGCGAGTGAGCGTCTGCGTTGTGGTTTCCAGAATGCATAGCCTTTGTTGGAACTCTATATGCTGTGCCCTGTGCAGTGCAAGGTAACTCTGAAGACGGCCATGAAACAGAGCGTACCATCGTCACCCGCCTGGTGGAGAAAGTGACGATCCCCCTGTTCCACGGAGACGTCACTTGTTGCTGCGCACAGATGAATTGTGGCATCGCTGTAGAAGCCGCATGTGGCACTCGCTGCAGAAGCCCAATGCGGCATCACCTGGATGATATCATCATGGATGAAGAGTTATGAACCAGGGGCGCCCGCGTGTTTCCAATGTGGACCATGTGCCGTTGATGGGACTATTATTTCTGCCTGTCCAGGTCAGGTCAACGACAACCACAATTGCACGAACGCCAGCGCGGCTCGTATTGTCGGGACATTAGTGTTTGCGCCCTCGGGCCCATTGGCCGAACCTCTTCTATTCCGAGTCGCCTAGCAGCCCGTACAGTAGGTGGCCATCGGTTTGCTATGCTTCCGCTCGGGACAGGCGGCTGCCCCCCACCCACCGGTCAGTCAGTCAGTCAGTCAAACCCGGGTGGCAGCTAGCTAAGCAATGTCGACATGCGCCACCCCAGGAGCTCAGACAAGCCACACGACATGCCCATCTTGGCTGTGCCAGACAGTCTCTCGGTGATGCCCGTCACATCACAAGGGGCCCTGCCCTGGCGGGGCGAGGCTGGCTGGCTGGTCACGGCACCCTGTCAGCTCCGTCGGTGGTGAGGTGAGGTGACAGGTGTGCCCGGGTGCTGGGATCCGGCTTGCTGACGGCGCCACAGCTTGGCGGGTGGTGATCTGCCCAGGCCGGGGCCACGCGGCTGTCAGACGTGCCGGGTACTACAGAGTCTGCTGCTTCGTGTAGGCAGGCAGGCAGGCAGGCAGGCACGTGTAGTGTCGGACCGTTGCACCGGCCGTCCGTCCCAACGTGCGGCTGCGGGCTGGACAACAACCTTTGGAAAGTCAAACGGGCGCCTCCAAGGCACGAGTCAATCTGAGGCGGCGCCCAGGACGGCAGGGACAAGAGAACAAAGAAGCCGCTGTGTCAGCCAAGACCCCAGGAGCTGGCCGGGGGCATGCGCAGCCCGTCCCAGCCAGCGCCCCCGCTTGCGCAATGGCGTTGCCCAGGGTCGAGCTTGGGTGCAACCTAAATCGGGCACCCACGATAGCTTGTGACCTGATGCAGCGAGAAGAGGGGACCATCGGGGGGGTACTGCCCTAACAGCAACACCCTGGCAAGCTCCTCCGCGGGTCTAGGACCAGACTGGAGGTGCGCATGTCGTCGCCCGCCGCCAAAAGTCTGGAATAGCTCGCTCGCTCTGCTCTTCCAGGGCTGGTGCTGACGCCGCTTCCAAGCCTGCCCAGCTCCCGCTCAAAGGGGCCGCAACGCCCTCCTCCCACCGGTCCAGCCTTGGCGCCTGCTTGCTCATCTCATCTCGCCAGCCGCGCCTGTCAGCTTTGGTGTCCTCTTTCTTTCTTTCCTTCTCCAACAATCCTCTCCTCCCGCGCCTCTCGACCCGGCTCTCAAAAAGAACCACTACATTTCCACACGAGTCGCTTCGTCATCGCCCACCACGTACTAGTACCTTCCACCTATCCGGCACACCAGCGCTCACCAGCAACCAGAAACGCCTTTGTGCTTGGACCCCGGGCACTACCCGCACCGCCCAACATGGTTCTGCGCAAGAAGGAGGTCTACACGGTCATCACGCCGATTCCAGGCTTCATCCCCAGGCAGCTCGCCCTCGACATCCTCCACAGCCACAAGGAGGTCATTACCCTCAACCCCCTCGTCCTCGATGTAAAGCAGATCGAGGCCCCGCGCAATGCCGAGTCGGACGAGTACTTTTCCAACTGGTACGAAATCACCGAGCGCATCCAGGTCGTCCCCGGCATGGGCAAGCTCGGCGGCGGCAAGATCAAGTTCAACGGCTGCTTCCACGACATGCCCTGGGGTGTCCAGAGCCACATATATGCGCCCATGGGCATCGACATGCGCAACAAGTACCGCATCGGCGGCAACCAGCCGGGTTTCGAGCCCCCGGAGCAGCAGGAGATGGGCCTCGGCGCGCCAAAGGACGGCCTCTACCTGCGCGAGGACATCGAGTTCAAGTGCAACATCACCCTCGTCAGCGTCGTCAAGGCCCAGATGAAGGCCGCCAGCAAGGACATGATTGCCCGTATGATCAAAAAGGCCGAGCTCCTGGACGCCGGCGTCCTCAAGGCCATGATTGAGAACGGCAAGATCAAGACGCTGACGGCAGCCGAGTCGGCCAACGTCCATGGCGGCCTTACGCAGCAGAACACGGGGACTCTGTCGCGCCAGCACACCGGATCCATGCAGTCGCACTCGCCGCAGCTTTCCCCTTGCAATCCGAACCAGCCGCCCATGTCACCGGGCTTGCAGTACCAGATCCCGCGGCCCATGTCGATGCAGCCGCCGCCGCCGCGCAATGACAATTCTCCCCTGCCAGGATACCCCGCGCACTGGCAGCAGCAGCAACAACAACAGCAGCAGCAATATCAGCAGCAGCAGCAGCATTACTACAACCAGGGCCCCGACCCAACCAAGACCAACCAGTTTGTGTCTGAGCTGCCGGCGCCTCTGGGACGCCCAGAGCCATCGCCACAGACGTTTGCGTTCGAGATGGCTGGCGATTTCTATTACCAGCAGCCGCAGCAGTCGCCCTCGTTCCAGGCGTCACAACAAAACCGGCCGCATTCACCGTACGCGCAGTCCTCTCAGGGCCACCCGAGCCCGTCGGCTCAGAGCTCGCGGCCGACCTCTTACACGCAGTCCGAAGGCAACGGCATGAACTCGCCGCCGGCCGACTCAAAGGGCTTCTCGAATGAGCTGCCAACGCACCGGGAAGGGCCGGAGGACTACAGAAGCTCTCAGCAGCCCCAGTCTTATAACCCTTCAAGGTACAGTACCGTGGCACGATGAAGAAGGGTCGTGTTCGCCGGCCGTGGGCCAGATGGCCGGATCGGGATTCGTGAGAGTGACGTAATTGTGAGGGAAGTTCTTTTGATACACTGGCGTTGCGGGCGTTGACTAGCACTGGCGCAATGTCGCAACGGCTAGTACAGGAACACAGGGATTGATACCAGTAACGTTTTTTTTTCCTTTGGCTTTGAAAATACCACACTGTTTGATACAATTCGAGTCCGCTTCGCTTTTGACCATGTGTTTTTTCTTCTCCCGACATGACATGATGTAACGTCCTGGGTCCCACTGTCTCACCTTTTCGTCCCTACCTGCAGCGAGCCTGGGGGGGAAGAGGGGAGGGTGGGTCTCACAGGCCCTTGGGCTCCTGCTCATGGGCCAAAGGTACGAACTGACGGGCCCGCCGCCGCCGCCCTGGCGGGGGGGGAACTGTTTGAGCCGTCGAGCCACGAGGATTGACAGGTCACACACGGCCTGCTTGAACAGCAAGGAGTTCATGGGGACGGCGGGGGCGAGGGTTCATTGGGACTTTTAGTTTTCTTTTTCTTTTCTTTCGGTTTCACCCACCTCGAGAGAGGCCATGGCCTGGGCCCATCAACTGCACCGCAGCCATAGATAGTATGTCGCTTCCTTTTCCCGTCTCCAGGTTGCCCCCGTAAACATGCTCCTCCCTGGCTGGGCTGGCCCGCTGAAATTCCTCGGGCCGACGACGCGCGACCTAGTAGCACAGCACCAGCACCAGCACCAGCACAGTGAGCATCCGCAATGCGGATGGCTCTGGGACACAATGAAGTAATCTTTGTAATTTTTGCGCTCTTGTAGGGTTGTGTGCACTTTTGCCTATTGCTGTTTGCCGCTGCCGTTGTGCCCTTTTGCCCCTCTCGTTTTTCGGCATGGGGACGGACGGGTTAGTTCTGTGACTTAAAAAGCCAAGGTTTTGTGGGGACTGTCATGGAATCCATCTGGGGTTGGGCTTTCCTGAATCAAGGCTGTGCAACGCGGGGCCCATCCGAACCCGCTTTCCCTCATGTTATGCGTACATGGATTCCCAAGGGGCTAGAGTCATCCTGCGTAGACGGCGGTGGAATTCCCATGCCTGTCATGCTCCCAGGGTCTGGATTTGCCAAAAAAAAAAAAAAAAAAAAAAAAAAAAAAGCCCTACATGGGACATGGACATCCCCCTCCCCCCTTCCGCCCAAGAAAAAAAAAATCTATATGCGTGTGGACGGACTGGACCGAGAAACAAAGCATGTGTTTGCGTAAGCGAGAACGCCAGCGGATCAAAGATGTGTACATTGTTACAAAAGCCCAGCCGCAGCTGCTTGGTCACGAGGTAACTACGTAGCTACACAATATACACGATCAGTAGACTAGCGATGCAGAGGAGGAGAAAACATCACAAAGCTCACGTTTATCGTCACGGTAACATGTGGGTGGGATCTGCTCTCGTGAACGCGGCAGCATCGGTGCTTTCAATCGACTTCGACCCGACCTTTTTCACATCGGAGAGCAATAAGCAAGTAAGGTGAGAAGGATAGGACGAGAATGATAGCCTGGAGAAAAATAGAGGCGTTTGGAGGCGTAAAATACCCGAGAAGCTGGGGATCTAGCAAGTCAGTACAGAGCAGTACAGACAAGGAGGCAGGGGCGATCTGGGTCATCTTCACTTCCTCTTTTCACTTCTCGACAGGCCTGCTCATATCTAGCACCAGGGTGAGTATCTCGTGTACATACGTCCAATTTGAGCCTACAACTTGACAGTAATTGATGAAACAAAAGCCAGAGATACCACATCGTGGTGACAATGAAAAGAACCCAATTGTACCTCGGTATTATCACAGCGAACACCCTTTGATTACACCCCTTGTATATAACCTCGTGCCTAGAGGTAAATTCGATACTGAGGCTAGCTAAGAAGGAGAGAGGATATATGACGCATGCGCACTGTGAGACCGGGATATCAAATGAAGTGAAAAAAGAAGTGGCCAATTTCCGATGGTACAAGCTGAAGCATAAATGAAGCATGAAGCACAATATCCAGAAACTACAAATCAAGTGCGGAGTGAGCACAGCTGCGTCATAAATATCGTAAGAAGCTCGTGAGAATTCGTAAGGGTCGTCGTAGCGTCGTGGTAAAGGTTTTGGAAGCGTCCTAGTTTTGGGCTGGGAGATCTGGATTCGTGAAAAGGCGCAATAAGGGAGATCGTGAGATGGCGAGAATGCACTAGCCGCCTCATCATTCCATACCGCGCCATAATGATGGAGTTGGGAAATCGGCGTGAGAGGACAAGACGACGCTGACCTCTCATCCGTTCTGAAGTAGTGCGCGCAAGGCCGCATTCTACATTACCGGCGGCTCGCCGTCCTCGGATGACTCGGTAGCGCTCTGGTCCATGAGCGCAGAAAACATATCCTTGAACCGAAGCGCGGCTTCTTCATGGACAAAGTGGATCTCAAATGCCTCCGAAGAGCCAGGCAGCCTGCCGCCGCCGAGACTCTTGGCACCAGGTCTTGCGGTTCTTGCTCGCTGGTATATGTCGCTGAAGACGTAGGGCTCGATGTTGCGGACCAAGACGCGCTTGCGGGACTTGCGGCCAACCCAGGTCCCAGATGGCGAAGGGGATACTACAGGGCGCAGGGACAGGAAGTTTTAGCCGGATTTGCACCATAATTGACGCCGATGCATTGTAAGTCCACAAAGACAGACTTCTTGAGAAAGCAAGTGTTGATGAAGCAACGAGGGTGGAGGCAGAAGGGGCCGCGCTACGTACCAAAGGCTGTCCACACGGGCCAATCCTTGAATTCGCCGTCCCATACAGATACGTGCAGGCGTAGCCCACGGGTCTCGCAGTCCCGTAGTACAGTGAGACAGTGGTGGAAGTTGCCTTCGAGAATTTGCCTGAGTGTAATGATCACACGTTAGCAACATTATCAACAACATACAGGCCACCTGTTTGCGGCTGAGTATGCGGCACCACGAGTCATGATCATGTCCGCCTTGACTGAAGATGGCTGAGTACTCACGCCTGGAATAGCTTCCGTTCGCCCTTAAGGATACCGCAGGGGTCTGTGTTAAGAGTCTGAGGGCTCTGGGCTTTGAGGGCAACAAAGGTGTTGTAGAAGAGAACCATTTCTGCTTGCCGTGTCAGTATACGGTACCTTGAGTTCATGTGCTGCGGTGTGCAACAAGCGAGAACCATAGAGGTCCCGAAACGGATTGTCCGGCGACAAGCACTCACCCTCCCACGTAATGAAACACAGATCCGCCCACGCTTTGATCCGACTGTTGGTGTAGTCCCACTTCGTCAGGCACAGCGTTGATGGCCGAATGCGCTTGATGCATAGCTCGTGCGCTCCGAGAATGTCGACCCACGAAAGTCCATTCTCGAGCGTGCGCATGAACAGCCAAGGGGTGCTGTCGGTCGTTGTGAGATAGAAGATGATGCAAACCCTGTCGTTGTCAAATGGTCTGAACAGGCATTGAATAGTGGTTAGTAGTGGCCACGTCAAACGGAGAGTGTTGGGCGCTCGTCGGGTCCGGAGAGGGGAAGCTTGGCGTACCTTTTGACGAGAACCTGGGCATCCGCAGGCACTTCAAAGTGGCCGAGCTGCTTGTTGTCTCCATAACCTCTTGAGGTAGAGCTGTCGGGCAATGTCAGCACCTGCCGATTTTAGTGGAGTGCAGGAGATGATGCTTACCTTATCCCTTTGTTGAACTCTCGCCGGCTCGGTAGTGGCTGCGTAAAGATTGACTCCGCCCAATGACCGACCTGGCACAGTATTAGCCGCCGGGGAAAATCAATGAGTGTTTGAAATTTGCAGGGCAACAACGTACGACTGGTTCCTCAAGATATGTCATGGCAAGCTCCCTCCGCACAAGTTGGTTACTTGGTGCCGGGGGTTCTAATCAATGCAATGTCAGTTCTGGGGGAGGGATCGAGGAAGTGACACGACGCCAAGGGCTCAGGCATACCGATATTCCGGGCCTTCCTCAATTCCAGTATCTGCCGACGCAGTGTATCGAGGTTGTTGAGGTCGAAGTTCTGTGATCTAGATGTCCCAAACCCGTTAGCACGAACGTAGCCGAGACACTAATCAAAAATACATCCGCAAGAAGCTGAACCCATACCTCACTACCAAATCCCGCAGGAGCCTCAAGAAAGCGGTGTAGAGAATAAAACGGCCTGGAAGGGTAAGCCCGGGCATCTCATTGCTCAAGACATGGTACATCCTGCGACACCGGACGTCCTTGGTACGGGACGTGTCGTCGTAGTGGCTCGTTATGTCCCTCAGCGTACGGGACAGGCAGGGCAGCAAGACGCCGAGGTACTCGATGACGATGCGGGAGCGGGAGATGTGGATCTGGCACTTGTCGGCGACGTCCCGGAGGAGGCCGCTCACGGCGTAGATGCTCTCGACCACATTGGTCAGGTAGGACGACGCGTTTCCGGGGAGGCTGTTGCGGAGGCCGGTGAGCAGGCCCGCAACAATGGTGGCTCGCTCGGCCTCGTGGCTGCAACCATTGAGGAGTTGGGTGGTCTGGTCCATGAAAGGCGGCATGGTGGCAGCTGGCTGGTGCAAGTAGCACCGTCCGGCTAGCGTATGGCGTCGGGGCTCGAAGACCGCGAGAGAGAGAGAGAGAGAAAGAAAATAGATCGACCCGATCAAGAGGACCTATTGGCCCGTCATGACCAGTGAACAAAGCGGTGGGTGTTGTTGGAAGCCGGCCACGACTCCCTCGATAGACCCGATATATCGTCCAGAGGAGGTGGCTCACTCCAGGCTAGCCCAAAGTCTGGGGTAAAGATCGTGGGGGAGAAGAACCGTCAAGAGAGGGAAAGACGAGGCGGCCCGGGGGTGGCCACGGGGGCGACTGGTTCAAGTAGAGTTGGGCTGGCCCGGTTGGGCTGGGCGGACATGCAGATGGACGAGACGCCTGGAGAGGCACGTTCGGTGCGGCGCAAGAGGGGCCGGAAGTGGTCCGCAGGCGGCCGGCCAATGGGGCCTGGTGGAGCACGAGGGGCCGGCGACAAGTCTCACTACAGATGCTGCTCGGGTACACGATCCAAAGACGCTGTCGTGGTGCTCGAGTGATGGGTCGACCAAGTGTTGTGTCGTGAGGCGGCGGGCGTTGGCCTGACCAGGCTTCCAATTTGTCCAAGCCGTGACCGGGAAGCCGGAGCGGGCGATGTGAGCAAGCCAGGCAAGAGCGATGGGGAGCACACGAGCGACGAGCGACAGAGGTCACGGAGGAGGAGGAGGAGGAGGCATGGCTATCAGGTTATACCGCCTGCCCTCCTCCATGCATGCAGCCACCGCACGCACTTTTACAGCGCGAGGGAGAAAAAAAAAGTGTTGTTGACTGGTGATTGGAGAGATGACAAATTTGGCAGAGCGGAGGAGGGGACGAGTAAACACCTGGGCGAGTCGGGGCGGCGGGCTTACGGTGCAGGAGCTCAACACCACTCGCACAAATCGCCGTCGCCGCCCCCGCGCCGCTCACTCACATGGGCCACGCACCAGCACATGCACCGTCTCTTGAATTACACGACCATCGCACAATACTGCACGGGCAGAGGCAAGTACGTTCTATCCCGTGGCAGCCGGCAATGGACCGCAGAGAGAAAGAGAGGACGGCGTGGGACAGTCACAGAGATACCTGGATGCAACACGACATACACAACCCACCACCGCCGCAGAGCGAACAAAATCGTCCCTCGCCCACCATCCATCCCCTTGGCAAACCTTGACAACAACGAGTAAGAGGCGCAGCCTCAGAGATACTGCCCCGGCAACTATAGGTCGGGCCAGGTTGCATGGCAGCCGCTGCTGCTGCTGCTGCTCCTCGCTCGCTCGCTCCGCACCTGGCATGGCTCCATAGACACGGTTATGCTGCACGTACGTGGAGGCGCACGACTTGACACGCAGCACTTGCACCATCTCGTGCAAAAGCCGTGCATAATCTGGCTGCAGCTCGCCCCCCTCTTTCTGACGGGCGCGGGGCAAAGATTGAATTGAATGAATCCAATGGCGCCACAAGCAATCGACGTCGACCAAGCCGCTGCCACTGCCTGTGAGCCGAGTGAGCGAGCAGTGCTCCCTCGGTCTCTTTGTTTTGAGTGTGTGCGGTGCGAACAACGTAATAGTTGACGTCCCATCGGCACCGGAGATTTCGAGCCACACAACCCATCCCCGGCCCCGGCCATTTGAGCACAGTAACGCTAACAGCCACACTTGCACGCTCGACTTCAATCTCCACCCACTCACTCACCCGGTCACTCACTCAGCATGCAGTACAGCCAGTAGCTGGGGTCGGGGCTTGTTTCCGGCCAGCATTCGTTGCTTCAAGCTGAGCGCACCAAGAGCTGGCCTTACATGCATGCTATTTTGGCACCTCAGATGGGCGCACCCCTGCATCTCTCGGCTCCCTCGGAAGACCCATATGGAGATATAAAAGCTGGCCGAGATCCAAGTGCCGTGAGCACGTTACAGGCGTGAGGCAGGCGCGGTCGTGACTAGTTGGCGATGCATGGTCGCACACCTCTCCTGAACTGTATGCAGTGAGCTTGATTAAGCTGGCGCAGATGCTGGAGTGCACTGTTCGACAATGATGTGAGCTGCCCACATCTGGTTGCGCTCCGAAACCACCAAGCTTAGCGTAGATAACAATAATGTTTGGTTGGTTGGTTGGTTGGTTGGTGATCGCACGGCCATTGTTGGATTGTCGCTCGGTGGCGACGGAGGCCAGGCCCGCCTGGCAGTGGTGCACTTTCCCGGCACCGTCCGGCCTCAATCACACACGACCGGGTGGTGGTGGAGCTTTGACATCATGTTGGGGGTCGCCCCGGCGCCGGGTTCCTGGGCCCTCTCATGCCGGCAATCCGTCCACGGGATGGATGGTGTGGGCGACTCACCGTGGACCTAGGACTCCAGCACTCGAGGGAGGATTGGAATGTCGATGCCTCAGGCAGGCCTGCCGAGCTCCACGCTGGGCCAGCCTCGCAACCTTGGAAGCCGTCATCTGCCCATGCCCAGGTGGCCAGACGGGTATGTTGCAGTGGTCACAAACACCTCCAGCGCATTCACCAGCACAGATCAGCACAACCTCCATTGAGGTGGCAGGTCTCGGAATGTTCATGTCAAAAAGTTGTCTTTGCTCGTCGCCGAGTGTTCCTCGTCGACACCTCCCGACCAGTTACTTTACTTTACAGTCGTAGAATCGTGGCTACCCGAGGCCGTAGCCCAATTCCCTTGCAATGAATACGCGCAGTTCATAAAAAGCAAAAACACATCCCTGTGCTTCAACACCGACCGATACCGTAATTACACGCGAAGAAAGAATACCCAGCCGTCCGCCGTGGTGCGACGCTCCCAGAGCAGATGACCACACACCGTCATCGCATCATCAGGCGTTGCATCCCCGCAGACAGGCGGACTAGACATCCCAGAAGGGTATCCAGTCCAGACAAGACAGCACCCGCCGTTTGGTGGGACACAGCTTAGTCAGAGTCGGCCTGGTAGGCGGCCTTCTCGTCCTCGTAGCGCTTCTTGTCGGCAGCAGCCTTGGCCTCGTAAGGGGTGCGCTGCTTGTCGTTGAGGGCCTTCCACCGCTCACCCAGGATCTTGCCGACCTGGCCGAACGAGATGCCGGGGTTCTCCTCACGGACGTTCTCGCGCTGCTCGTTGGCGAAGAACATGTAGGCGGAGAGACCACGCTTGGGGGCGTTGGGGTCTGTAGTGTCTTGTCAGTCACAGCCCGAATGGATCGCGGAGCCGATGCATGAGAACTTACCCTTCTTGCTGCGCTTCTGCTTCACCTTCTCGCCGGCCTTACCGCGCTTGGTGACTTCCTTAGGCATGATGAAGGACTGGAGAGGTAGACATGTTAGTAACGGGCGACTGATGACAGAGATGATTTGAGGTGCGAAATGTGTTGGTGGTGCAGGCCAGCCAAAACTGGTGGTGCAAGCACTGCCGAGACCCTGAACCGTCGCGACGCGTCGGCGCGTGCAGGGACAATTTGAGGCTCGGCAGCTGGTGAGGGGCTAGTGGGCTGGCTGTGACGGAGGAGAGAGGCGCTGGGCGGTCGCAAACACGATTGCAGCCGCCAACGCGTCAATTGCGCGAGTTGAAGCTTTGGGGAAGCTGTAGGAGGCCATGATACATACCTGAGGGGATTTCTGAAGAAATCAAGATGTGTGGTGGATGAAGTTGAAGCTGTGATGCAGGATGCGCGTGTCAGTAGGGCTGCGCAATGGGTGGACGGCGCCGTGTAAGTGCGGTGGTGAAGGGCGAAGGCTGGAGACGACCACTCTCGTGAGAAGCCAGGACGACTCTTGCGAGGTGCCAATCGACGGGAAAACGAGCTGCGACGATGCAAGCAAGTCGAAAGCCGACGATTGAGTGGTTGCGCGTGCAGGCGGGCGTGGCCGTGAGGGTGACTTGTGAAGGGGCTGGGGCGCGGTGCGCGGGCGAGGTACTCACAGTTGTGCAGCGGTGCGCTGGCAGTGAGGATGTGTTTGCGTGTGAGGGAGGGATTTTGGTGGGAGAATTGTATGGGAGAGAAGTGAGGGAAATTTGTATGGGGGGAGAGTAGGCTGCCCGCCTTTTTACTGCAGGCGGGTGATTGTGTGGTGCACGCGCAGGCACCGCGCGCTGGGCTGGGCTGGGCTGGGTGTGTGTCTGGGTGCAAGTGAGTGCGCCTGCCCGCCGCCTGTGCTTGGGGGGGTGCGCCAGGCATGAGCAGGAGTGTGTGTGTGTCTGGTGCGTGTGTGTGTGTGTACCTCTGTTTGGGTGTGCCTGCCTCTTGCTGGCCTGGGCTAGCCCGGGCGGGCGCTTCCTCCTCCTGTCCCCTGGGGGACAGGCTGGCGTGCACCTTGCTTTGCGCAGCCAGGAAGGAGCGACTGCCCACTTGGGCGGGAAGGAGGAGCTGGCCCGCCGGGCGTGTTGACGCACGCAGCCAGCCAGCCAGCCAGCCAGGCAGACCAAGGCGAGGGACGGCCAGGTGAGGGGGGGGCGCGAGCAGGGCCTGGGCAGATTGGAGTGGCATGGGCGTGAGTGATTTTGGCTCGCCCCTGCCCGGGCTGCAGCAACCGCCCGTAACCAAGGGCGGCGGCCGACGAGGGCTCCCGAACCAGAGAGCACTGTGGGCACCAAAGTACTGCAGCGGCCGTCTGGGCGTACTGGGCACCAAGGCTTACAGCCGCTTCGACTCGGTAGAGGTACCTGCCCTCTAGGCGCCAGCTGCGGGTGGGGAGAGGTACCCCACCTCTCTAGTCCAGTTGGGCTTGGAGGAGCTTGGTGAGCAGCTGGCAGCCGGCTGCCCGTAGCCTCCTCTCTGCCACCCGCAACAAGCAGTGACTACTACTCCAGAGTCCTCGCTCAATGAGTGTACCAGCTGCGAGCGCTGCTGTACCGTCGCATCCTCCAAGCCACCACCACTCCACGATGAATGCGCACCGTGCCATTGCGCGCCAGACAACCTTGGAACATCGGCTATGCCAATTTCCAACCCCTCGTCTGCTACCTGCTCGACCCAGTCCGGATCAAAATCAGCAGTAGTGTCAGACGTGACCCTCTCAGACTAGCCAGCCGGCCCTCCTCCCTCGACGACGCGCTCTGTCCCATCGTGGTCACCTCCTCGTTGCTCCGCGCGATCGCGGTACAAGAAGCCTACCGGCCGTGTTCGTAAACAGCACGTGCACTACAAGGCTTGCTGTCTTGCATTGCCAATACACGAGTCGACAGATGCTCGCAACTACCATCTACAGGTTGAATGAAGCCGTCGGACCCATGATGCTCCCTTTCCTGCCCAGGTGATGCACGAGGCTCGCTCAGCCCGGGTACCTGTGGGCGGAGAAGATCTGCCGCCGACACAAGCTGGAGCTCACCCTTGCCTAGCGTGCGCATGCGTCGCAATGGCTCGAGCTGGCTGGCCTGCATGTTTTGCTTTTATTGTGGGTGCGCGCAGCGGGCACCTGGCACGTAGCTGATTGCCCGCCCACCTCGTTTTGCTGGTAGTTTGGCCCTCCCCTCTCACACTCTCTGTGCAGGTTTCCCACCGTTCCCACGCATGCTCTGCGAGAGCGTGGTGTCAGCCCGGCTGCTGCCAGCGCGATGCTCGCCTTGTCGGCCCTCATCCCATCAGAGCATCCTGGCTTGGTTCGTCCGTGTCCGATGAAGCAGCGCTGCCAATCACAGCACTGGCTGCGCGCATCTCTTCCGCAGCAGCCAATTCTTGCCTGAAAGCTACAAACGCGACGTGGTTGTGATCTGTATAAGTCGACTGGACCCCGAGCAAGTTTGATATGTCATCTAGATGTGCGAGGAAAGGTCTACCATAATCGAGAGCATGCCGGCTTTCATTATGCAGACCTCGATGTCAGGCCGAACGGCGTTGGCAACAACTTCCTCGTGCCCACTGCTACGCGACCATGACAGCGGCGCGAAGCTTGAGGTATCGATGGTACAATGAAGACCGGCACGCAAGCAAGACTGTCTCATATTACGCAACGAAGCATCACTACGTTCCACAAAGTGACGTCTCTGTCCGAACGACAGTCTAGTTGGCAACTGCTGCGGGGCCAGTGCTGCCACGCTCGTCCTGTTAGGCAGCTGGATGTGTTCCCGGTGCTTGAGGAGCTTGGAAGTAAGCTCGAAGACCAGAGGCTATCCCCAACCATCGCTACCAGTGGACCCTCCCGGATCATGTGGGTTGATGCGATTTCGCGGTCGACCCCAGGACCCTCCCTCAATTCATCAGTTCGTGTCTGATTGTGTTCGAGAAGGAACCGAAACGGGACTAGCGCCCTTCGAGCCTGTCGCATCACTGATTCTACACTCTCAGTGCTGAGCATGCCCTCGCAAGCAGATCAGAAGAAACCCAGCAGGCTCCCGATCCAGCCTAGCTGCCGCCGCTTTGCAGGATCACAACCCCACAGCTTGGGCGCCTCAGGGCTTCTGCTGGAAAGTCACAGCGTCATCCTTGATGTTCCCAAGCTGCTAGCGGATTTGAGGATCCAGGTTCATCTCGCTCGTGCTTGTCCTGGCCTGACCTCAATAATGGGTCGTGCCTAGACCTGAAGAATGGCCAGATAATGCCTGTTGGGCATCATGGGCCCGTCCCCCACGCGGTCGACCTGCAGGCCGCGCTAAGCCTTACCAGAGATGTGATGTGATGCAGGTACAATGATCCATGTCGCAGCAGATGATAGGCATAGAAGACGCTCACATGAAGATTGGCATGGCTGCCACGAGGCCACGTGGGGTGATGACATTGGTCTCACTTCAGGAGCTCTGTGTATTCAGGCGGATCGTGGCTGGTGGACAATAAGGGACCGCCATTCTATCTCTGAGCTGCGTGTGCCTTCCTCCCTGACTCTTTTCAATCATCCTCCTCGGCATCAAGAACGATGCTCCTCAACTCCGGATCCCTCGCCCAGTCCACGCCGCTGCCCGCCACGATCGCACTCGCCGTGCCCTTGGCGACGCGGAACCGCTGCCTGCTGGCTTTCATCCGGACCTCGAGCTCCGCAATCTCGGCGGCCTGGGCCGGGTCCGTGACTGGCTGGGACTTGTTCTTGGCCGCCTCGGCCGCGAGCTCGAGGACCTGTGCGGCCAGGGTCACGTTCTCGCGCGAGACGGTGGCAAACTGGATCTCCACTGCGGTCGCAGAGTCAAGGATCTCGCGAAGGGTGGTTGACTGCTTGGCGAAGGCTGTGGAGGTTTTGTCTCGTGCTGTGAGAACCGGGGCTAGATCTCTGTTGTTGATGTTAAAGGTAGGCCCTAGATGTCAGCCGCCATATCAAGTCATTGTTGTTGTGTGCACGTGTGGCTTGACCGAAGCCGGGAAAGCGGACATGGAAGCACGGGCGCTGTTCAGGATACTACGAGAATAAAACACACCTCTCTATGGGGGACGCGTTGACGCCATGGTGGACGGCCTGGAGGACCGGGTTGACCGACAGCACGCTGTCCACGATCTGGTTACGCAGGACATAGCGGGCGCGCGAGTCGGCCAGGGCTTGCTGCGCAGCCTCGATGTCGTCCGCTGTGGCAGGGTTTCGGGCGGCTTTGCAAAAGGAAGGAACAACAAAGGTCAGAGGGCTGCCCTGCGGTTATGTTTTGAGAACGCGGCACGCGCTTGACTTACACGGTGACGGTTCGTACTCGTGCAGAGCCCGCGTGAGGGCAAGCTCCTGCTCGAGCTGGCGCAGCTGGTGGTACAGCTCGAGGATGCGCTGCTCGTCGTCGGAGAGGGGCAGCTGGCCCTTGCCGCCCTCGTGCTTTGGTTGTTGCTGCACGCTTGCCATGTCGCTAGCGGCAGTGTCCATGGCTGCTCGGCACTATTGGGGCAAATAGAAACTCGGGTCAGGGAGCTAGAAAGAGGTGCTGGCTACATGGTTGATCCGGCGTCGGGACTGGGCCGATTCGAGCTCTGGTGATGCTCATGGATGATGTCGTCTTGCACACCATATGTCGTGGGCCGGCGAGTGGACAGTGTGTGTGCAGCCTCTCTTGACGCGCCGAGCGCGTCTGGTGGAGATATGCGGAGTTAAAGTGGTTGCCTGAGAATGCCTGTTGACAGCCTGATGGGTGACAAAGCAGGGCATTCACGGAGAGAGGCGACAGCAGGTCGTCGGGCGCGTTGCAGCGTCGCTTTGCGCGAGAGGGCATCGAGGGACAGTGCAGGTTGCAGTGATCCGAGTAAATACAGCGCTTCAAAGAGGTCGTGCCTGGTCGTCAACGCTTGCCTTATCAGTGGCATCGTCATGTGGCATCGTCACATTGTATCCCGACACTGGGGGCATGTGCGGGCCGGGAGTAGCGGTGGAGCCAACCGAGCAGCAGCGGGCGACGGTGATTGGGCTGCGGCGTGCTTGTCCTTGTGACGCATGCACGCTGCTGCCCAGATGGGGCTCGGGGGTGCCCCTGGGGCCGTCTTAGTGACCCGGCAAGCATCATCGGCGACTCTCTAGCGCACCGGCCTTCTCGCCCGTCAATCTGCCACAAGTCAACCTCGCCGTCGCTGCCTTGCAACACGCGACACACTGAGTACAGAGTCCTGTCTCCATTGGCAGCCTCGCCTGGTCCGTCACCGGCGCTCGACAGTCGACGACGCAGCTGACCACGAGCGAGCCGGCCCCTCCGCGTCCACAGGCTGTCACTCTGGGTCTCGATATCTCGCCTCTAGGCACGACGACGGCTCGCTTACACCTTTAATCAATATACACTGTCCATGTCCTGACCGACCAGTACAATCAGTCCGCGCTCTGGCCGTGCCACGGCCACGTCTACAATCCGAGTCTTCCTGTCTCTCGACCGTCTCGATCGCTCGGTCGGCAGTAAATCCATTATTTCGACGCGCTTTTGACGGGCATGGCCAGCCATAGGCATCATGGCTTCGCAGACGCAGGTGTTGATTGCCCCAACGGGTCAGCGCCTGCAGACAGATCTCTCAGAAGTCACCTCGTAAGCAGATCGCCGTTCCCATGCAAAGAGTATCCCGGCCATCATGTTCTGATAAAGATCCATATTCCAGCCTCGATGACTTCAAAGCATGGGTATCCAGCCAAAGCGGCATTCCTGTTCACAACATTGTAGCCCTCAACACCCAAGGCAAGACGATCAAACTCCAGACGATTAAGTCGGAGGTGAGGACCCAGACAAGTTCAGATGCACTTGCAAACCCGTGCTGACCAACCTCATAGACAGAAGTATTCATTTACGATATCCGCGCCACCCAGGTGACATCCCCTGGGGCCTCAACAGCCCTGACCTCCGAATTCCCGTTACCAAAAAAATACGTCCCGACGGCACCCCCGAACGCTATCAACGATACACACTCGCTTTCGTCATGGCAAGCCCTGTTCAAGTCGCGGCGCGATTGGGCGCTAGTCGTGGTTGGAGACTGCACGGCTATGCTCAGTGCTATCAACGATCGCCACAGTGAGATGGATGTCATGCTCAGGTGTCTGGATGCGGCTGTTGCGAACCTCGATACCGCCCTCAAGCCCATCGAGCCCAAGTTTGTCGAGCTCAAGAAGTGGGCGACCCCGACCCAGCAGGACTACGAAATGCTCACAAACAACTGGGAGTCATATCTCGAGCTTGCGCGCAGCATCGACATCTCTCCAGCCATGATGCGCTATATGACTGGTCGCGATCTGCGCAAAGCACGTCAGGCGACTCTAGAAGACCTCGTTGATCCCGAGACGTCACGCAAGGCTGGCAAGCTTGCCGCCACCTCCCTGCGAAAGTTCAACAGCAAGATAGCGGACCTCGAGAAGAACGCCGACAAGATGTTCAAGAGCTGTGACGAGCTGTTCCAGAGCTTTGACAAGCTTCTCAATCGGTCGGTGATGAAGCAGGCTGGGAATTGCAAGGAGCTTCTCAGCGACATCGAGGCGGTGGCCAACAAGGTGGACACGGACTATCAAGCTACACTGCAGTATAGTAGCCAGTCGCGTGATCTGTCACAAGCCTCCAAGACTGCACAGAATCACACACGACAGCTCCTGCCTAGTCTGCAGAAACGTGCTACTGAGATGGACGATCTCCTGCAATACATCACCGAGTCTCGCAACAGCATCGCGGCCGAGTCCTTGATGTTCATGCGCACTATTTCCGAGATTACAAGCCTGCACTCAACGGTCAAGAATCAGATGAACGTCCTCAACCAGGGCGAAGAGGAGATGACGACCTTTGACTACCTGCGCCTAATTCAACAGCTACCCTTCATGTACGCCTCGTTCGTGGCAGAAGCGGTCCGCCGCCGCGAGTGGGGCGACAAGGTCAAAACCGACTCGTCGACACTTGTCAATGAAATGGCACTGTTCCAAGATGAAGAGTTGAAACGGCGGCGCAAGTGGCAGAAGATGGTGGGCAGCACATACGGGCCTGACAAGGCCGAAAACAACGTGCTAGGTCTCGAAGTCAACCTGCTAGGCGAGGAGGATGTGTGGCCGAGCATGTCCCGTCAAGACCTTGAGGATTTCTTGTCCACGATCCAGCGCCACAAGGCGGACCCTTCTGTGATCGAGGACGTCACCAAGCTCATCGAGGAGCTGCGGACACCAACGAAACAACAATCGAAACGACTCAAGGCCTTCAAGAACGGAAGCATGCATGAAGCAGCGCTAGGAAGAAGTGGCCTATTGATTCGTGGGGACGACGAGCTGCTCCGAAGTCTGCAAGACGACAAAACCAAGCTGGAAGGCAAGCTCAAGACTGCAGAGAGTCGCGTTCGGAGGTTGGAAGATCTGTTGCACAGACAGAGTCAAGCATCTCGGCCCTCGATAGGGAACTTGTTCCAGTCACACGACAGGGATTCCTCCAGCTCGATCAAGTCGCCTCGACCCCAAGAGGACAGACGGCGATCATCAATCGATGGTGCAGAAGCGCTCTTCCAACGTATCGCGAAGCTTGAAGCGGATCTCAATGCCGAAAGGGAGAGGGCCGCGAATTTGGAGAAGGATGCCAATGAACGCGCAGAAATCCTGCAGCGAGACATGGACCATGCAAACCTTATGAAGGTAGATCTTCTAGGCAATATGGAAGCCCAGAAGAAAGAATTTGTGGAGGAGCGCAAGTCGCTCGAGGATGAGATCAAGCAGCTCAAAGCCCGGATCGAAGAGACCGAGGACGAGATCGAACATTACGGCGAGTCTCGCGAGAACGAGAAGCTGACATTCAACGAACGCTTCCATGCATTAACGCTAGATGTGGAGCGACTGAATCGCGAGAAGAGGGATGAGGCTCTCAAGACCCAAGGCCAGGTCGACTTCTTGCGGAACGAAGCGCGCGTTGAAAGGGAGCGGAATGTCTCCCTGGAGAGGCAACTCCAGGAAGCACGAGATGCCATCAGAGCCTTGACCAAGCGCTGCCAGACGGCGGACGAGAGCACCGAGGCTCACACGCAGTCTCTTAGGGATCTTCACAGCCAGCTGGCTCCTCGCACGCCTGCCCCGGCAGATATTGCTGACCTAATAGAGTCCGTCGTCAGCAAATCTAATGACGTGCTCGTCAAGGTGCAAGCGCTAGAACAGGATCTCTCGCTCATGAAGGCTGATCTGGACATGGCACAAGGACAGGTCAAGGACACCAAGTCCGAACTGTCCACAACACGCGAAAAGCTTACGCAAACCGAGCTGGACTTTGTGCATCTCCGAGAGAGCATGGATGAGGAGAAGGCGCGCTGCGTGACCCTGGAGGCAGAAGTCAAGGAAACCCGCGATCAGCTTAACAGTCTTAGGACAAGGATGACCGAGGGAGAGACTGGTTCCGAGACCTTGCGAAAGCAGCTGAGCGACGAGGAACAAAAGGTTGCAGACTTGAACGAGCAGCTGGCATCCCGCCAGTCTCAGCTTGGGAGCCTCGACGAAGAAGTTCGCATGTATCAAGAAAGGCTCCAGTCGTCGGAATCTCGACTTTCTGCTCTCGGCACTCGCCACGACGAGCGCAGTCTTCGCAGCAAAGAGCTGACGCAACGGCTCTACACGCAGAATGAGCGACTGACACGTTTGTTGGAGCGTCTCAGCTTCTCGGTGTCACGCAAAGACGGCACGATGGTGATCCAGAAGATCCCCAGAGCTGAAAGAACACCCCAAAATCCAAACGACTCTTCGGACCCTAACAGCTCCACCATCCGCCAGTCGATGTCTCTGGCCAATAACCCTATGGCCGATAGTGCAGATCTCAAGCTTTTATACTGGATGAACGCCGAGAATGCGCAGATAGAAAGCGATCAGTACCAGGCTTACATGAGTGGGCCAGGCTCTTTCGATATCGACGCCTTTTCCGATGCAGTATACCGCCGCATCAAAGAGGTCGAGCACACGGCACGGAAGATGACACGCGAAGCTCGCGCCTATCGCGAGCGTGCACACAATCTGGCCAAAGACGCGCACGACAAAATCGCATTTCGGCACTTCAAGGAGGGCGACCTTGCTCTCTTCTTGCCCACACGAAATCAAACCACTGGCGCATGGGCTGCCTTCAACGTGGGATGCCCGCATTTCTTCCTACGCGAGCAAGAAAGCCATCGCCTGCGCAGCCGCGAGTGGCTTGTGGCTCGGATCACCAGGGTGCAGGAGCGTGTTGTCGATCTGTCAAAAAGCCTGCAGTCAACGGGGGCCAACGCGTCCGAGGCAGAGACAGACTCGCTAAACACAACTGATGACTTTGACAACCCCTTTGATCTGTCTGATGGACTTCGCTGGTGGCTGATTGACGCGCAAGAAGACAAGCCGGGGGCTCCATCTACCCCGGGCCTCGGCAAGTCTACGGTTGCCGCCAATACCGTTGCAGCGGTGGCAGACATGCAAGGCAGCCGCGGGGCCAAGAGCAAGTCGAAGCTGGGACGACCATCTGGGATTGAGGATCTGAGTAAGACTCTGAGCAAGAGCCTGGACAGTCGGCGCAGCAGCACGGGCTCAAAGAAGGCGATCCCCTTCGCGGTCGGCGCGAACGCCGCCACCAAAGGCAGTGCACTGGCCAGCGAGACAAACAGTCTTCGCGCAGCACCTGCCGAGTCACCTCTTTCCGGGACAAGCCCTGGAGCTGCTTCGCGGCATCGAGACGAGGCAGACGCTACCGGCACTGGGGCGGGACGCGAGTTGGCCTCGGCCGTGGAAGAGAATCGGGGGTCCGGAAAGATGACGGCAGGAGCAGCTGCCACTGAGGCAGTGGCAGGAAGCAGAGGAAATGACAATGAGGTGCGGCAAAGTCACGAAGAGATTGACACTCTTCTAGGTCCTTAGTTTCCTCTGGAGTTTCATGGCTTTTGCGTGTGCTCTGGGAAAAGGAGACGAACCATGAATGAGAGGCCCCTGGCTGATGCTTTGTACTCTAGGTGAAGCATCGGGCCGACCGATCTGTAAGCCCAGCAAAGGTCAGAGCCGGGCCGTCGACGTCACCAAGCAAGGCGACAGAGCGGCCGCAGCGACGGTTGGAGCGAGATCTCAGCGTGGTGAGCGAGGCCTCTGTCGAGAGCCCGAGCAAGAAGAGTATCGTGTGGGACTCTTTGTGGAACCTGGATATCAGTTATCCTTCGAAGTGATTGGGGAAGCACTGGACCGCGGTAATAGTTGGCGGACTGCGCCGTTGGCAAGGGACAGGGCGGCGGAGCATAGCATTGGCGCACCAGGCGTTCTGAACGTCAAAAAATTCTCACATTAGCATGAATGCATACAGCTATATATATTTCTGTATTTGCACTGAACGGAGATTCTGGCCGTCCCATTATTGCTGGCGTCTGTGTATGGTTGTGAAGGCTCAACCCAATCCGACCATAGCGGGGATCTCGTCCTCCACATTTTATGATTGGCCAATGTACATCAAGGTGTGGGGCTTGGCCACCAAGCATGCAACCCCTGCAGAGCCGGGCTGTAGCTGGCAGAAAATTGAAGGGACGCAATTGAAGCTCCGTCTGGTCTCTCGAGCGGCCGACGACGACACACTGGCAACGACAACCTTGTCCGACCTCGACAACTATCACAACCACACACGCACAATGGCGACACCGCGGATGACGGCCCGGGCGCCGGCTTGCCTGAGCTGCCTGCGCAGAGTCACGCTGCAGCAGGCATCGACCTCGACGACAACGGCGACGATGCCAGCAGTGATGACGATGGTGATGCGTGGGAGTGTGGCGACACAGCAGCAGCAGCAGCGCGGCAAGGCGACAAAGGCCGAGCTGGAAGACCTCCAGGGCATCCCGGTGCGCCTGCTCGAGGACATTGTCGGGTTTGGCAAGAAGGGTGAGTCTGCTGCACCCTCCCATCAAGTCCTTGGTGCATATTGAAAGTCTGGCTGGCTGGCTGGCTGACCCAACACCACAAACACAACCGACAGACACCATCATGCGCGTCAAGGCCGGCCGGATGCGCAACTACTGGTTCCCCCGCGGCCGCGCAGAGTACATGACCAAGCAGCGCTTCCGCGAGATGGGCCTCACCGAGGCCGCCATTGGCGTGCGCGACCGCACCTTTGGCCAGCCCCGCAGCGTGCTCGCCGCTATGGAGAGCAGCAGCCGCGATGCCAATGTCGCCGCCGTCGAGGCCATGGAGGCCGACGCCGTGGCGGCGAGGAAGAAGAAGCAGGCTCTGACGATGCCGGTACTGTCCTACCTTTGCTCCCTTGTGACCTGGATCCCGAAACATTATTTGCTGACTTTTTTATCTTCTCCTTCTCTCCTCCTCCCCAGCCCGAGCAAGTCCACGACCTTCTCAAGGCCCTCCTCCCACCGGTCCTCACGTTCGAGCGCAAGCCCATCGCCGTGCCGACACCCACGAGCCCCGCCGCGGCCGCCGAGCAGGCAGCCTCCTTGCGCCGCTCGCCCCTGATCGCCTCCAACGCGGTGCTCTCCGAGGAGGACGAAAAAGCCGCGGCCCAGGCCACCGCGCCTACCCCGCCGCCGGGCCCCATCGCCATCTTCGGGTCCGTCTCGACGCAGGACATCCTCGCCCGGGCTGCCGAGATCCTGGCTGCTGCTGCTGCTGCTACCGCGACGGACGGCGATCTCGGCGGCGGCTCCCGAGTCGCAGCTGCCACGCTCGGCGACGTGCACGGCGTCGCGATCCGCGGGCTCGAAGAGGGAGAGGACCGGATCAAGAGGATCGGCGTCTTCGAGGTGGAGATTGTCGTGGCCAAGGGCCTCGAGCCGATCGTGCGGGAGGTTGATGTCGTGCCGGAGCCTCTGCCGGTGGCTTAGACCCAAAGTGTTTTGAGAGGGTTGCTGTTGTTGTTGGTGGCATGTGCTTCTTTGCGAGCAGGCACCCAGAATGTTGGTGGTCAGCATCGGATGGGATACCCATGCTTGGCTTTCCCTCGTAAGGGGGTTGTCTTAGGAGAACATGACCCCGACAACTCTAGAACCACGGCCTACTTCAGAAGGTTCCAACCGCGCAGGATGGACGATACCGGGGGAAGGCGCAGATGATGTACGAATAGCACGTCTGGGCACCGCACAGCACGAATAGTGGAGGAGGAGAAGACGTCACGACGATGAGCGGGGTGCCTCGTGTACAAAAAAGTCTTGAGAGAACGATCCATCAAGCAAATATGCCAAATCCAAACCTGTAGAAATAGAAGCAAAGATGTATAAAATGTTGAGACTCTCATCTAGTGTGGGACTACAATGATATACCTGTCCCCGGATCATTTTCATGAACTGAATGAGTCCCGCCGTTCTTGCTGGTCAGTACCAGGATCCATGGCGCGGAGGAGCGCACGTTGTGATTACCAACGTATGTATGCCCGGAGGAACCACAGGATGTAGCCAATCAAGTACTTTGGAGAATAAATTCGGTTCAGGATAAATGCGAGGCATCTTCTAGTCTGTCGTGACGTGGTAGTGTACGCAGAGTGTGTTCCATTTACGCAGAACGCAGACATGAGCATTCCTCTCCTTCCCCTACCTGATTTTCACTTTGGAAGTTTCCTTTTTGTACTTCTGCCACTGACTCTGAGATCGGCTTGCCAAATTGAATCGGCTAGCTCATCTTGACTCAATGCGGCACGATTCGGCACAATTTCTTTTGATTTTCTTTCTAATTCTTTTTGTCTCGCAAGTCCTTCTCGCCTCTCCCCCTCCCCTTTTTTTTTTTTTTTTTTTTTTCAAATTAGCTTTCCACTTCCCACATGGAAAGATGCCTTACTTTGTTATATATATCGCCGCATCATGAATGTTTACACCAAACGTGATCAGTTGTCTTCCGGCTAGAGATACCCGTGTAGGTTTTCCCGGTCCATGTAAATACTGTACTGTGCCAAAACGAGAGGCTTTTCCATCGCAGTGGCGGGTAACAGCTGTACTGTGAGATCCTGATGTAAAAGCCACTTCGCCCATTTCTCTTACAGGCCTTCCTAGCCGCCGATGACACCCGAGGCCTCGACTCTTACTACAACAAGCGAACCCCTAGGAACGGGTTGCCCTAGATGGTGAGCTTCACTTTCAGCAGACCCGGTGCCTCCTACTAGATGGCACACAAGCAGTATGATATAAACAGTCACCTCGTTCGGAACACCCGGAACGCTTAGGTTTGAGAAATGATCGCCAGCCGACGAGTAATTTAGAGTCGGGAGTCGTGACGTATGGTCTGGAGCGCGAAGATTCGGTCGAAAGGAATAGAAGTTGAAATGTATTGAACAGGCCAGAAACCCGATGTGCTCAAAGGGCAAGACCCATGATCGCCAGAAGTGGATATCAATGTCCACGGTCCGCCCATGCGAGCAACGATGGCAAGCTACTTTGAAGTGATTCTACAGTTCTGAGATGCGGGAGATTCTATCATGAAAAGTTTTCATTACTCCTTCATTCCAAAAATTACAACAACAGTGTTGTGATCAAAGAACCTTTAGAGCTGTGTCAGGCCAGCCTTAAGAAGCAGCGTGCTCGTTGAGCACAGTCATGGTTATCTCCCAAGGTAATGTGACTACGGTAGGAGGGTTGGCTCGGACAGGTGAGAAATTCCAGACTAGGTAGTAGAAGAACATTATTTCTGGCGGGGGAAGGGACGCTTTCAGATATTCATAGCAGCGTATAAACATAGCAGATGTCCCTCGCATGTTGGAAGTAGTCAAACTTGGGAACCCAGCTGAAGAGCGAGGACTCAGAATACCTACGGCGAGAGGGCCTCCATTGCGCAGCTGGCTCATGCAGGAAAAGCTTCAGGAGACCATCGGAGGGGGGTGAAAAGCAGCAGTACCTGGCGTGAGCGGAACTCCCATACCCGGAGACGGGCTATGACCACCAATCTTGCGACTAGGACGTAGCATGTAGTTCGCAGCTGTACACATTTACGTCCTGCGTGCTCGGGGATTGTATTCTTGAGACTAACAGATGCTTTTGCTGCTGTTGGCAGTGGTAGGAATGGACATGTGAGCCCGTGCTAGTAGGCGTGAGGCAGAAGACTTTGATTGGGGCCAGGGAAGATATTGGATACTGTATTATCTCTAACAGAGAGATTGCTGTAAATGTGCTATACTTCGGGTACGAGACAAGACAAGAATGGCTCCAAACTGGGTTTGAGATGGCGGAATTGCACGAATCTGGAGAAGACCAGGGCTGCAGAAGCTTCAACGGCTCGGCAGGACCTGTGCTGAGAACGCACGGGTTTCCCCTGGTTGTCAGTCCACTTCCAGCCCGAGCTTTGGGCTGAACGAAGTCTCTCGCGACCTCACCTGATATCATCGCAAAGCACCGCCAGATTGGTCCATTGTCGTCCTGTCTTACACACCACTACCCATGCACCCCGCGTTGTGCTTGCTCGGCTTCTTCCTGCGGGGTACGGAAACTTGTCCGATGCCAAGCACTGTCTGTGGGAGCCCTTGCGTGTGTGTCCAGCTCGTCACATCAGAGTGTGGCGATAAACCCGCAAGCATCCGCGCAGCTGGACAGAATCTTGAGGTGTCCGCCAAGGACAAGACCCTACTGAGAACTGCGCCCGTGTAGGGTTTTGTTTGTCACATTGACATCCCTGCCTCCTTTCTCAGCGCACAGGCAAGCAAAGTCGTGTCTCAGACGAGCAGATCGAAAGAAAGATTTGCTGACTTCGCCAGCCGATCATACCTACACACCCAGCGGGACAGGCGGCGACATTTGGAGACAAACCCCCCAGTATTCCCCAAGGGATAAAACTCGCCGTCGCCAATGAACATTTTGGAATGACAACCACACACTAAAAGCACACTAAAGTAGGTCATGCATTTCCACCCCAGAGCTAAAATACGGACTGCGCGGAACGGGATTCCGCGGGGTCCTCGTCCGTGCGTCATTGTAGGACAGACGCTATGTACTTTTTTTTGCCCTCAAACGCAGCTAAGGCTTGCCCGCAAGATGCAAAGCGCCGGCATTTACTCGCCTGGCGTAAGCGATGGGGGTGCGTAGTGTTGTAACCACTAGCCGAGCCGGTGAAGCTACGATGAGTGCTCGCGTAGGTACGGGCGCCGACGGAGGGATGCTGCCTCCATACAAAATTTTGAGCCTGCCATGACCTTGTTGGGCCCAGATCTTGGGGGCGTTGGACCGACCACGCGAGCAACTCTCCTCAGACTTGGGAAGGGAAGATCAGCCCAAGCCACTTTGCCCAGGTCCTGACCAAGCCACTAGGGTCCGTCACAAGTACGAGTCTACGTGTCTTGGCCGGAGCGATTAGGATTCAACGACCTACGGGAACACTCGGGGCTGGCCATTTCTTGAGCTGCTGCTGCTGCCTCGATTCTTGGCTGTGTTTTCGCGCTCCATCGCACGATTGTCTCCACTGCGTCGCGCCCTCGCCTTTATCATGCTCTCTGCCCTCTCAAACGCGACCCGCTCGCCTGCTGCTTCGATCCGGGGCAGAAAACGGGGGCAGGTCCCGGGGGGGGAGCGGCCCCATCCCTAAAGACCCCTGAGCTGGCAAGCCCCCTGGGCCTGCGGGCTGGTGGGACCATGCCACGCAACGCAACACAAAATCACAGATCGATCGTCGTCCCTCCGTCACCGCCGGGTGGTCAAGCTCAAGCTCCGATTTTGTCACGATGGTGATTGTCCTACTGTAGAACAATGCTTGGAATCATAGCAGCAGCAGCAGCAGCAGCACCAGCGGCACATCTGCAAACACCAGCAGCTCTCTGACATTATCCCCATATTCGGACGTCTATTCCTGGGAACGTTTTGACCCTGCGCCGCCGCCACGCAAAGACCGATATGGGAATAAACACGCCGTTCTTTCGGTGTGTGTGCGCCTGTGACGGAGAGCAGCTTTCTGGTCCCCATCCACGCTGCGACCTGCCTTTCTGCCAGGGGCCCCCGGCGCGCTGTACTGTGCCGCAAACTCCAGCCCAACATCGCTTTTGCGGGGTGCCCCGTTGTGGCGCGCGCCGCGCACTTCATCCGCCTGGGGTAGGTGAGCAGAAAGACCAAACAACAAGCCATGCTCACTGGAAGCCCTCAAGGTGTGCGGCCCGGGTCAGACGAGTCTGTTTCTACTCCATACCACCGTGAGAAAATCCAGGCCAACCTGGCGAGGCTACATTTCCAGTCCGTGTCCCGGGCCATGTCTTTCATGCAAGCAACGTTCTCAGCAGAATGGGGTTTTCGTCCTGTGTAAATCTCTCTTCTCTCGTCTCTCTCCTTATCTCTCTCTCTCTCTGTGCACGCACGGAAAAGCAAACGATCTGCTGCAGACAATGTCCAAACCTACCCGCATGCAAACCCACACACACCCACACACAACCACCCAACTTCTCTTGCCGATGCCCTTGCCTTTCCCCTCCCCCATCCCCTCTAGCAATCAACGCACACACGCAGCCATTCAGGACTCCCATGCAATCATCGAACCCTTCTCGAACTCCCCTCAAAATCGCCTTGGCCCTAGCCTGTGCTGCGCCTTTCCATTCGCCGCTCGTTACGACTCCGCATGCCTGGATCATTGAATCATTACCACGTCTCCCCGCCCGTCTGCATTACTCGAGAGGTCAGGTCGCATTGGGACATGCGGAACAGAAACAGAACCATATGAGGAACAGAACAAGTGGAGGATGATAGAGGAAGAGGCTCCCGGGATATTTTCTAGACCTAATATCACACACACACACACACACACACACACACACACACACACACACACACACACACACACCTCTCTCTAGATTAGGCCAAAGCCCCTCATCTGTTCAGACCCTTAATGATTCAAGGCTTGATGACCACCACCCTTTTGGAGCCACCACCACCACCACCATGAGAAGGCGTTGGAGGGGTAGCTCGATTTGCAAGCAAGCCAACACGCCAGCGTTCGAAGCTAGACAACATCAATCATTCCGCCCGGGCTTCTTTGCCGTTCTGGGGCCAACTGCCGCCGCACGCGGAGGTGGGCCAGATCTTGCTTAGCGCAGCTTTCATCTCCGTCACCCCCAACTTTTTCGATGATGCACCGCACGCGAAGCTTGCCACGCCAAAGAGGGAGTTACCGAGAATTAGTCGTCCTACACAGTCACCTAGGATTGACAGACCGTCATTGGACTGATGTCGTTTCATTCATTAACATAGCTATGTGGTCCGTGTAGGCCAGCGAACATGCCAAAATGACACTGGCTTTTGCCGGCCGCAAACACCCTTTTCATGCCAGTAACCCCAAAAATTCACAAACTCCAGATCTGATGCCCTTTTTAGTCCCAACGCCTCCGAGAAATTGACCCGTCCCAGCCAGTAAGGCCTTCCCTCATTATCCTCGTGCTCCAGACTCCCGTCTGCTTTACCCAACCCTCCGCTCAGCTGTACAAGTCCTGCTTCATCACGTAGACCTTGCCCTCGCCTGAACCCCAGTTCGAAGCCCGCAGAGCTAGACAGCCTGAACCATCAACCCACCATGACGCCTGGCAATCAGAGTCAAAGCCGTGGCCGGGCCCGTCGCGAGACTGGATAAATGGTATCCGGAGCCTGCTCATGGTCCCCTTGGGCGTGTTGATCATCATAAACTCGCGATATTGCTTCTGGAAGAGCTCCATGACCTTGACGTTGGCCGCATCGATGTTGGTGAAGACGCCGTGCAGCCGGTAGCCCATGTTGATGCGGTCGTACCCTTGCTCGCGGCTGTGCATGACCACGTATGCTGGTTGTGTCTCCATGCCGTGCGCAGAGATTCCCGACGAGGATGTGTTTGAAGCCTGCGACTCTGGTGTCATGGGCTGCGAGACCTTGCGGCCGCTCTCGAGCTTGCGCAACATCGCGTGGGGAAAGTATTCATAGCAAGCTCCGGTGCGGTCGAGAAAATCCGAGTAAGGCCCGTCTATTATCTCGGGGATGTTGTGCTCGGTGTTGCGAAGGCCAAAGATCTTTGCTGGGGACACCGTGGCCGGCTGCTGTTGTGGTGGTGTCCTCGGGGCCACGGCGCGGAGGATGGGTCTCTCAGGGCCGACGAGGCCGTTTCGTTGGAGCAAAGTAGGATCTTCGGGTGTCCAGTTGGGATAGACGGCCTTCAGCAAGGCAGTGACGGCATCGTCTTCTGGAGTTGACCGGGACCGCTTGGTTGGACGTTGAGCAGCATACTCGGCTGGTATGGCGTCTGCAGGCCGTTTTGTGGTGGTATACGCTGTCGACATGGTGTTGGATATTTGTAAGCCTGGAGGAAGGTGGTGGTGGTGTCTGATAGTGCCGTGCAGGTGTTTGTGTGTTGTTCAACTTTGTGCCTCCGCGAGGTGTCCCTTCCAAGTCGCCACTTTGTGTTCTGTCGTTCTTCTGAGGATGGCTGGGATTCTTAGGACAGACATGCTGAAGGGCGATGACGAGGTATTTGAACAGTTTGCAACATGCAGTGGCCCCTTTGTGGTGGTGCCATCACTACCCACCAGGTGGACCAGCAGGCCCTGGCTCTCCCGGCGCATCGCATCCACAGGAGCATGAGAGGCCGGCAGCCGCGGGCATTGCTACCCCAGAGGGTTTCCCCAAAGCGGGGGGCCCTCCACATGAGGCGCTAGGAACTGGGGCAGGCCGCGGGTCGCGATGCAATTCCGCAGTGGGTAGTATGTACTGGAGAGAGGTGTGTGGAGCCCGGCCTGGGGCGGACATGGGCTCGGCTGTCTGGGGTCGCCAGTGGCCTGTCTTGGCTGCTGTCGAGTCTGTGTCGTCGATTAAGGGGGGTGTCTGTCTGTTCCACGGTGTGTGGGCGGGAGTGCTCTCTGGGGCGTCGAGCACAGAACCAGCCACCACATGGTCTGTTGCCCGTCCCACGAGGTGGTTTCCCAAAGAGGCAAAGGGAGATGCTCTTTCTGCCATGCCACAGCGCAGTCTGTCCACTGTAAGCCTGGCTCCAGCGCTGTGGGAGGCGTGCTGATCACCGCTGAAGGACGCACAGGCGTGATTGTGGTTGACGACGCCACGGTGACCAGATGCAGGATGACGTTTGTGAGGCCAGAACTCGCTCAACGGCCGCGATATTGTGCCCAGGCCTGCTCTCTCAATGATGTAGTGGAGCGTTCTGAAGAGGCCTGTGGCAGATACACGACGGGTGAGTTTGTGAGACGCTGAGTAGCGTAAGTACGTACGCACGTACACTAAATACTTTACGCTGCCTTAGGCAGCAGCTGGGCAGTGGTTGTGACCTGCCCGTCAAGCGAGGCAGGAGCGTTTAGCAGGAGCATGCATTCTACCGAAGCTTCCACCACAGCTGCCTCATGCAAAGGCCACCCACAAGCCAATCTTGACGTCCTCGACAAGCGACAAGGCTTCGCATCGCACCAGCCCGAGTCCAGCCCAGCCAGGCCCCGACAACCAGCATTCCCCGCAGCCCCAAGAGTGGCCCCTGATGGCACCAGCCTGGCATGTGCTCCGTCCGCTCATCGACAACCCTCGATTCGAGCAAGGATGACTCGTGAGTCCTCTGCAATAGCTCCTCCAGAGCTGGTTCAATCGACCTCCATCCGGCCTGGCTGACGAAACGAGAGGACTCTCCAGGTACCATCACAGCCTTTTGCCATGCTTTGTCTTGCCCAGCACATCAAGTCCACCGACACGCTCGAAGCGCTGTTCAATCCCCCAGCAAAACATGCCACCCTCCCTGTTCTGTTCGATGGCGCCAGCTCGCGCCAAGCCGCTTCGAGCTCCCATGACCGCCACGGCCAAGCCTGTCCTGCAAGCCTCACCACACAACGGGCCCTAAACCAGGCGACCTCGGCGACTTCCCCAGATCATGCCTCGGACTGGTCTACTGCGTAGTATGCAAGCACCCCACATCCCAGCTGCCATCGTCCCTATTTCCCGGCATCTTTGGATGGCTCGCTAGCATAGATTCCTTGTTCGACAGATTCCATATGGGACTGCTTGGTTCTCGACATCTGAAGTGGGCATCGAAGCGTGCATCTTCGATACCAAACCTGTCCTTGGTCGGACCTATCTGCCATCCGCCCCATTGCGGCCACACACCACCCCCTTACTGTCCATCATTCGACACAGTCTCGAGTAACTCACCATGCTAAGGCTTCTCCACGTGAGAAACCCTGGCCCATAGGTCAGAGCGCCGGTCCGATGAGCGTATGGTGATGTCTCGACCGCAAAGGCAGCCTCCCACACAGGAGATCTTCTGACATGTGTCACCAATGTTTATGCCTGTCACGCATAGGCTGCTCTGCTGAACCATGAACCCGACCTCTCACATTGAGCTGCACAAGTGTACACCTTACCAAGTCCTTCAAGGCTGGCCTCGTCCAGAACACGGCGAGCCAATATTAACAGACCTGCTATAGGCAACGTACAGGGCTGGGGGTAAGCAAGCGGCGATCTGAAATCCTAATCGGTGACTTTGACCGTTTCTGGTGGGTGCTGCCAGCCCACGGCCCGGCCGTTACATGTTGTTACTATGATGCAGGTCACTTTCAGGGGACCTGGAAGTGTTTCTCAGCTGCTGCCAAGCTTTCTGATCTGCCTGACTGCCACACTTACATGTGAGGCCAGCATAAATGAGTTAAATTCCTCCGCAGGCGGACAGTACAGGGGATCAAGTCAGGCACTCTTCTGATACCTACTTACTCTGAGTCAATCAAGCGTATCCGCTATATTAGGGAGTACATCTTAGGTTCTGAGTTATCCAGCTTGGGGCCTGGTAGATTATCTGCCACGCATGATGACCCGTTGGACCCCTGTAGGGGCTCTCTGGCGATCTGCTTATGCTGATTTTGATATTTACATGCGGCTGCCAGCTGCCTGAAATGGAATGGCCAATAGATGACGAGATAGTGACTCGTTTCCTTACTGCTTTTTTGACTACTTCATACTGCCACACTGCATGCCCCTTCCAGAAGAGTACTGTGGTTGACGTCGACAATATGCTCGCACCCCAATAACCCAACCGGAACACACGCAGAACATGCTGCTCGGGGTTTTTCATTAAAAGTGATCCTCCAGAGTCAGAGTCCCCGTCTTGGTAATCAGGTACTCGTTGATGGCAACGTCCTTGCCCGATTCCTTGCCGAAGCCGGACTCCTTGATGCCGCCGAACGGCGACTCGGCGGCCGACGAGTTGCCCGTGTTCAAACCGATCATGCCGGCCTCACTGTTTGGTCGGAAAAGCCAAGGTTAGTCGTGACGAAGCAAGCTAGAGGGTGCGGGGGAAGATGAATCGGGAGTTTCTTCTTGGTTAACGTGGTTGGGGGAAAGTGCGAGGGGTAAGGAGGATTGGCCTGTTGAATGTGATGGGGCTTTGATGGTTCATAGGCGATGTAGAAAGGAAATAGGGACGTAGAGAAAAAGGGGGGAAAAACCCCAAAATCGAACCGAAAGAAGAGCAAAAAGAACTAAACTTGAAGCCCAAGAAACGTACAGGTTCTCAAAGAGCCGCCACATGCGGTCGACGTTCTTGGTGAAGGCGTAGGATGCAAGGCCCATCTGTGTTCCCAAAGTGTTGGGGGATATCGTTAGCCAATCTGTGGACATTGGTGTCATGACACGTGGGGAAAATATCCGATCTTCACTCCACAGTCCCCTCCCCCGCAGGTCGGCCAGCGGACGTCCGGGACGAAGCTCAAAGCGTACGAGAAGACGGAGGAAACGCGGTGACCACATCTGCCCAAACAGGGCGGGAATCACGACTTGAGACACACACAGAACGAGGAGGAGGAAGAGGAAGGGGACAATTCCGGGGGGGGGGACTCACGCTTGTGTCATTCGCCCACTGCACGGCCTCCTCCTCGCGATCAAACGGGAACAGCGCCAACAGCGGCGCAAACGTCTCCTCCTTGGCGACGCGCATCTCCGGCGCGCAGTCGCCAATGACGGTCGGCTCGAAGAAGTAACCCTCATTCAGGTCGACGCGCTGCCCGCCCGTGAGCAGCTTGCCCCCGTGCTCCTTGGCGTCGGCGACCTGCTCGGCGATCTTGTCGAGCCCCTGCGGCACCGTGACGGGGCCCATGGTCGTGGCCGGGTCGGTGCCGTGGCCCAGCTTGAGCGCCCGGGCTTTTGCCGTGACCATGGCCGACACCTTGTCGTACGCGCCGCGCTGGATGTACACCCTGTTGGCGGTGATGCAGGCCTGGCCGGCGTGGCGGAATTTGAGGGCCATGAGGGCTGTTTTTGTAAATTTTCGTGCGAGGTCAGTTTTGGTAGGTAGGCACGTGGTAGGTTGCTTTTGCTGTTGTGGTCGTGCTATGGCTTTTGAGGGAAAAGGGGAGGGGGGAGGGTGACGGAGAGCCCAGGAATGCATCTGGTATCGACTGGAACTGCTTGACTCACCTTCAACAGCCTGGTCGAGATTTGCGTCATCGAATATGATGAAAGGGCAGTTGCCACCCAGCTCGAGAGTGAGCTTCTTCAAGGTGTCGGCGCACTGCGCAGCCAGGAGCTTGCCGACCCGAGTCTATTTTCCACCCAAAAGGCCAGAGTCAGCTCGAGGAGAAGCGACAACAAAGGGGGTTCGAGATAACAAAAATAAAATAAAAATCCCAGAAAGAACCTACCGAGCCAGTAAAAGTGACCTTCTTGACCGTGGGATGCCTGCAGAGCGCCTCGGACAGGGAAGGCGTGTTGGCCAGCGTGGTGGGGAGCACGTTGAACACGCCCTTGGGATACCCAGCCTTCTCTGCGAGATATGCCAGCGACAGCGCCGTGAGCGGGGTCTCGGGGGACGGCTTGGCGATCATGGTGCAGCCCGCGGCGAAGGCGGCCGAGGCCTTGCGCAGGATCATGGCGATGGGGAAGTTCCACGGCACGAGGGCGGCGACGACGCCCAGGGGCTGCTTGATGGTGAAGACGCGGCGGCCCGGGACGGAGCCCTGGAAGACGGAGCCGTGGGCCCGCTCGGCCTCGCCGACGAACCACCACGTGAAGCCCGCCGCGTAGTCGATCTCGCCCTTGGACTCGGCGAGGGGCTTGCCCGTCTCGTGCGTCAGGATGGCCGCCAGGTCGTCCTTGTTCTCCTTGATGAGGGCGTCCCAGCGCGAGAGCAGCTGCGCGCGGGCCCGGGGCGTCGTCTTGCGGAAGTCCTCGAACGCGGTGTAGGCGGCCTGCACGGCACCGTCGACGTCTTCCTTGGCCTGCGCGTGGGGAGGACGGGAGAGAGCCGGGGTCTGTCAGCATGGTTGTGCCTTTTGAAGTATGGGCCGTATGGGAAGATATAGAATTACGGCGAAATAGAAAATACGCACGCACCATGTCAGGGACAGACGCCCATGCCTTGTTGTTTCCAGGATCTGTTGTTCGTGGCATCAGCATAGATGTCCGGAAAGGCTTCGAGGCTGACCAGAGTCGTTACCAATGACATCGAACCGCTTGCCCGACTTGGCCTCGACCCATTGGCCGTTGACATAGGCCTTGTCGCGGAAGAGATCTGGATTCTTGAGCTTGAGCTAGGAGGAGGTTAGAAAGTACACCAGAAAGCACTCTCGTCCGGGTAGGGGGGTACTTGCGATATCGGGGGCACCCATGATGGCGGCTGTTTTGGAGAGGGGAGGCTCTGTTGTTTGTCGTATAGTGTTTTGGTGGCAGTCTCTGCGTGCTTTGGCGTTGTCGAGGCCGCTGGAGAGATCGGGTTCATCCGCAGAAAAGAAAATAAGACAGGAATGTGGGATTGGCGCCGGCTGAAGCATAAAGGTATGAGGCGAGCGGCCCTGGCGCCGAGGTCGGTTCCCCACACTGCCTGTACTTTGCTCGCGCATGCCCCGCACCGCCGCCGCCCGCCGTCGGCTCCGACCTGCGAACGGCCTGCAGTCGCAGGGCTGGCCGGCGGTCCCCACTTGGCCTGACTCGCCCGGTGCCGCTGTCAACTACCGGCTGTAAGCGCTGGTGCACAACTTCGCGCATGGCCTGGGCGATAAGGACCGGCAGATGAAGTCGGTACGAGTGCCTACGATAGCAGTGGTCCGTCGGTGATAGACTTGACTCCTGACAAGTTGACCTTGGTCTGCACTGAATTCCGGCACTCAACATTGAGCCCCCCCAAGCCAATATGGCCCAGGGCAACAACAAGGGTTTCACAGAGGCAAACAAGTGGTCACTCTGGATGTGACACTGGAAATCATCTTGTTGGAATCAACGCTAGCCTGTTACAAGTTATACAAACTTCCTTCTTTATGGCATGAAGCCCGCTGATGTGTACAGCTGATGGAGAGGATGCTGCTGGTCGAGCTGGTGATAGACTCCAGGCATGGGCAGGGACGGATGCATCTGCGGCGCCGGCACCGTCGTGACCACCGGCATCACACCCGAGCTCATCCCACCCGACGGCAGCCCACTCGGCGGCGCCCGTTTCGGCTGCTGCTGCTGCTGCTGCTGCGGTGTTGCTTGTGGTATCTGTATTGGTGGTCGGTGCGGGTCGTGGCACTTGATGTACCCGCCCGCTTCCATGACCTCGCGATGCCGCTGCGGCATCGACGCCACCCACTCGTTGATCCGGCTTTGAGGCACCTTGTCCCACGCCTCCTTGACCGCCTCCCGCAGCGTCTCCTCGTCCCAGACAATGTGCCCCTTCAGGTGCTCCCGCAGCTCGCGCCAGGCGTCCTCGATGGGCGACAGGTCCGGGCTGCGCGTGCTGCTCGCGTGGCACCTGAGCTTGTACACCTCGGCCCACTGCTTGACGACCGACTGGTTGAGCACGTGCTTGCGCGCGACGTCCTCCTCGAGCACAAACTTGTCGCCCCGGCGGATCCACTTCTTGACGTTCTTGGTCAGAATGTCGTCCATGTACGCGTTCTGCGTGATTGCCTGCGAGATGGCCCCGACGCTCGTGAACCATACCAGCTCGCTCTTGAAGTCGTGCCCGATCGCGGCCCACACGTGCAGCCTCGGCGTCGGTTTCTTGCCGCTTCGGCCGACTGCTGCGCCGTCGCCGGTCGACTCTGAAGAAGTAGCAGCAGAAGCAGCAGCAGCAGCGGCGGCGGCAGCAGTGGCATCAGCCTCGACGCAGTCTGGACACTCCTGCTCCCCATCTCGGTGCGTCATCTTGTCGGCTCCTTCCCCGCCAAACGTAAAGTGAGCCTCGTCCGCCCAGCGCACGTCCCGCCAGGCCTCGGGCGTCGGCCGCGCCGCGAGGGCGTCCTTGGAGACGTTGTACCGCGCCTCGGCGTAGTCCTTCTGCGTCCAGCCGCGCTCGCACCGCGTGCACTTGCGCCAGTCCTTCTGCCCGACGAGCCGGGCAATGGTGCGCTTGTGGCCCGTGAAGGTCTCGATGCCCGCGAGCGGCACCAGCTCGTCGTACGGCAGGCGCCTGACCTCGTGCCCGCCCTCGTACATGAGCCTCTCGATGCGGGCGCAGTCGTCGGCCGACAGGAGCGACTTGCGCCCGCGGTTCTCGACGGGCGGGCCCTGGTCCCCCGACCGCGCCTCGCGCTCGGCCTCGCTGATGAAGCGCCGCGCCGTGGACTCGGGGATGCCCGCGTGCCGGGCCAGGGCGCGCTGCGACACGGGCAGGTCGAGGTCCTTGATCAGGCGCAGCGCGTAGAGGAACGTCTCCTTGGTCTGGGCGGTGTGGTGCGGCTTCTTGGTGCCCTTTGTTCGTTCTGGCGGCATCCTGATGGTGCGATGTTGGGGGCGAGACGCTCCCCGTTGAAAAAGTGTCTTTCTTTGTGTGGCTGTGGTGATTTAATATGTCCTCGCGCTCAGGCAGACCTGGCACGGGTGATATGTGGTCGGGACGGATGATGCGTCATTTATTCTCGCTGCCGTGGCCAATTGGCGGAGTCGTGGCTCGCTTACAGTGCCTAGCAAGCATGGCTCAGCGCGTGCGCTGCATATACACTGTACGATGCACTGTATGTAGCATCATTTTTTGGCGGCATCGACCGAGCGTGACAAAAGGCTGCACAGCTCCACTCTCACTGTTTCGACAACTTACACCTCGCCAGCAGCCTTCAACATCGACGCCCATTGACGACACAGACCTGAAGCCTACCGGAAATTATGGCCGATTTACTCTTCTTATACGGTGTTTCAAGCCATTCACGGCCTGGTTTGTCTTCACTTCTCGGAAACGATGGCGAGTCGGCTGGGCCTTGACACATCTCGGTGGTTGCACTTCGGACTGAGGCACGGTGTGGTTGCAGGCAAGCTCTTTACAGTTGATATCTAAAGACGGCGACTTCTGTTGGGCGCTGGCAGAAATTCTGTCCCGTGTAGCAAAAACAGTCTATGAACTTCGGATTCCCTTCAAGACCAAGAGGACCAAAACATCCCGCCCCAAGTCATCTACAGCTTCGGCCCGTCCGTGGTCAAAGCAATGAACAATGCCTCGCAGCTGGCCAGCACTGGGCCCTCCAGCCCACCGTGCACCGTCGAACGGATCTCGCCCTCGACCCAACACTTGCGCCCCTCCGCCCGGGCAATCCTGGCCGTGACCAGCAGCACCGCAGAGGTGCCCACCGGCCGATGATACCGGGTGTTGAGGTAACCGGTCATGTAGCCGGAGTTGGAGAACATGGGCACACCCCGGATCCTGTTGAGCATCGGCACGTAGCCCATGACCTCGTCAAAAATTGTCGCCACAATGCCGCCGTGCACGACACCCGGCCACCCGGATATCGCGTCGCCGACACTGACGAACGCATGCAGCGTGTCCATCCTCTCCGGCTCGATATCCTGCAACTGCTGCTGCTGCTCCTCCTCTTCACCGGCCACCCCTTCCACGCTTTCTTGATGACTCGCCGACAGCGCCACCGCGGATCCTTCGCCCGTCGTGGGCGGCAGCTCCCTTTGCTCGCCCGAGACGGCGCCGTCGCCGACGACGGTGACCAGGCTCTGCGGGAACAGCCGGGGCTGGGACTCGTCCCAGAAGAGGATGAACTGCTCGACAGTGTCGGGCGTGTTCAGGGTGCGCGAGAAGAGGTCGTTGGTGCCCATGCGGGCCAACTTGAAGCCGTCGACGTCGTCGGCGTTGACGGGGGGCGCCCAGATGCGTATGGACGGCTCGGCCAGCATGGAAGCGCAGACGGGCTCCCGCGCGATTAGCTTGGCCACGTCTGGGTGCTGCCGGACGCGCTGCTCGGCGGGCGTGTACTTGGGTGGCGATGCACCGCCATGCTGTGGTGGTGGTGTGGTGGTGGTGTTGGCCATCGTTCTGGGTGTTTTGGTGTCCCAGCTCCAGATGGACGGTGCTGCAACGGCTGCTAGCTGTGAACTGGTAATGGTCGTTGGACAACCTCACACCGCACGCATTCGAGTTTGTGCAGGGTGGCAATCTACTTGTCGCCAATGGAAATGTAAGGAGAGACGGTCTCCCAATTCGGAACTGAGGTATGCATATGCACAGGACTGGGTTGCGACGTGGGATCCTCGAGTTCAGGGTGTTTGCGAGTGACTTTGGCCGCCCGGCTATCTACGCTAAGGGGACGTGCCGAGGCAGTCGCAAATCAGACCCCCCTGGAAGGCGCGAGGTGGCGTGCGCCCTGGCAGCAGCCACGTGGGGCATCAAACCATGGCAGTCGTCAACTACCGTCCGCCCGTCCCGGCCCCTCGAGCACCCGTCTTGATCATCTGTCACTTACAGGTCTAGCTGGGGCTGCCTTTGCTTATTACCATGCTGTGCTGGTGAGTGGCGGACTTGCACATTGGGATGCGGACTGCCACCCTAATGGCCTCCAGTTGGGTGGGCTCATGGCTGGCATCCGAACAGTGGTGAGGATTTCCCAGCCATGCGAGCTTCAACACCAAACACTTTGGAGGCTGGAACATAGAGCGAAGCCTGGCAGGTAAAACACCTTGTTCCCGCTGGCCCAATGTTTCCAGGTCAGCTTCAATGTCATGTTGGGCAAGACGGAGGGGTCGGTCGGCGAGGGCTGCCCCTTCCTGCGGATGCGGGGCCGGCGTGGGCCGGAGCCGGCCCCCCGCGATCGGACCGACCACTGTCGAGCTGCAGCTCAGACTGTCAGCCTGCATGAGCACGACCTCCGTCTTGTTTCTCTGAGATCTACAACAGCAAAGACAGACCGATGGAATCCAGCCTTATCTCAGGCTTCAACTTCCCTGATCTCTTGCTCCCTGCTACCGCGACCTGACAACACCCAACTCGAGCCAGACACCCGCCATGCCACCATTCACAGTCCTTTCAGACACAGACGTGCAGTCCATCCTGCACGGTCTCACACCTGCAGAAGCCCAGTCGCTTGCCACGGTTCTCGAAGACGCCTTCATCGAGTACTCGTGCCATGGCGACGCGCAGCATCAACCGCATCGCAGTGTCACGACGCGGCCCATCGCCGCCCACCCTGATGAGTCTACAACCTCCCCCAGCACCAGCACCACCACCAGCAGCGCGACGAGCCTATTCATGCCCGCCACGACACCGCGACATCTGGGCGTCAAGATCGTGGGCATCGCCGCCACCGCCTCGGAAAGCAGCAGCAGTAGCGCCAAAAGCACCCAGAGAGACGACAGCACGCAACAGCAGACCAAGAAACCGCCCCCTCCGGGCCTGAAGAGCATCCTCACCCTCTGCACCGCCACCGGCCAGCCCCTGGGCGTGCTCAACGCCGCAGAACTCACGGGCTTCCGCACCGCGCTCGGGTCCATGCTGCTGTACCGCCTGCGCCGGAACACGCAGAAAGTAGTGGTGTTTGGCGCCGGCAAGCAGGCAGAGTGGCATATCCGCCTTGCTGTGCTGCTCCGAGGCGCAGATATCCAGGAGATTGTGATTGTGAACGGGAACAAGGACAGGGCGAAGGGTTTGGTTGATAAGTTGACCGGTGGCGGGGGAAAGTGGCCAGAGGGGATCGCGCTCAGGGTATTCCGCCCCAACAGTGATGGTAGCGGCGGCGATGGGGGCGACGGGCTGGAGGATCTCGTGGTCGATGCGGATGTCCTGTTCTTCACGACCCCGTCCAAGACCCCGCTGTTCCCTGCCAGATACCTGCTCTCCGACCGCGCCCGGCAAAAGACACGGTACTTTGGCGCCATCGGGTCCTACCAGCTCGACATGGCCGAGATCGACCCGGAGCTCATCGCCGCGGTCGGGGGGGAGCAAGGTCTGGATGCGCCGTTCGCGTCGCAGGTGTGGCAAGGGCAGATTGTGGTGGATAGCCGCGAGGCATGCGTGCACGAGGCGGGCGAGTTTGTCAAGTCTGGCCTGAGTCCGGAGAAGTGGCTTGATGTCGGCCAGGTCGTTACGAACCTGAGAGCTGGTGGGGGGTTTGGAGACCACCAGGCGATGAGCACGTGGCTTGAAGATGGGTTTGTGATTTACAAGAGTGTCGGTGTTGGGATCATGGATGTCGCGATTGGGAGTGAGCTACTGGGGCTGGCACAGAAGAAGGTCGTCGGGACGACTATCGAGAGTTTCTAGGTGTCACATAGCTCCCTGAGGGTGCCTCTCTGTGCCATGTAGTATGCTAGAAAATTCATGAAATGGTATGTTTTGTGGTGGTTGCCAGTCTTTTTACCCCAAAACAGGAGCCCCTCTGCATATGATTCCAGCTGAGCGAAATGTCCAATTATCTCCCCCTCACGGTGGTCTATCGACAGAATCAATCTATTGTCATCGACTCCAACTTGTCTCCATGACCCCATGATAACGACTATTCTCGAAACGGCAGGTCTTCCAATGGACCGAAGCACCAAGGATGAATGGCGATCCTGGCGAAGCGCTCCAATGGTGCGCCTATCTGCGTGCGACCCGACCCCAGTCCTGGCCCCACGGTAGCAGTGATGTGACGGGTAATCCGCTATCAGGACTTGGCCCGCCAGAGATACGCTTTGGTTGCAGCTCATATAACCACCTGGAGCATATCTGCCTACATTAGCAACATGTGATGCGATGCTTCCTTTCCAGGGACCACCAGTGTGATTCAACATATACGGACGCTGTGCGGATTCAGCAATGAAATTGTCCAGCCCTTCACCATAAGCACAGGCGAGGACACTGCATACTCAGTATCTCCCGACGCACACGTGCAGTGCCACCAATGATGCTGCGCCAGACACTTCAGAAAGTTGTGACTTTGGCGTCGCTGGTTGGAGTCTGGGGCCAGGACGACCTGGGCTTGGGCAATGGCTTCCTCACCCTGAACACGACCAACTTCAGCGCCCGCATAGTCCGCAATGCCCAGGTTCTGGCCTCCCTCAAGCCGGCAGGCGAAGAGTTTGACTTTCTTCCGGCCGACTACCTGTCACGGCGGGCGCGCAATGGCCAATATCACTGGGGAGACATTACCTTTCGACACCGCCAGGCTGGCACTTCGGATGCCTGGATCAACGGCGACACTGCCGTATCACGTCAACCTGTCACGGTTGTGAGCAGTACTAGCAGCATTGACGAGGATGGCAACAAAACCAATGCTACGGTGCTCGCAGCAGCAGATCTGTCAGCTACGCTCCCGAGCACTATGCCCTTGTCCATCACGCGCGAGTGGCTCGAGGTGGACGGCGACCTCGCCCTGCGCTTCACCCTCCGCAACCCGGCGGACAGTAACAACAACAACGCGGCCATAGAAATTGGCAGCCTCGGCTTCCCCGCCGAGTTCAACAGCATTTTCACCGACCGCCACGCGGCCGACATGCAGCGCCTGTGCTCCCTGTCGGACCCGTACATTGGCATGCACGCGGGCCATATCCGCGTGAGCCCGATCCGCGGCTCCGGAAGCGCCCTGGTCGTCACGCCGCTCGCGGGGACTGACACGCCCATGGAGGCGTACCGCAACCTGTACGAGGCGTGGTACGCCGACACGGGCTACGGCAGCCAGACGTTCGAGGGCTTCTACGAGTGGCAGGTGCTCAGCAAAGCGTGGGCCGAGAACGAGTGGGCGGCTAATGGGGCAAAGCCGTGGAACGAGCCCTCGAGTCGGGTTCTCGAGGCCGGGGCCTCGCTTACTTTCGGGCTGCGCTTCTCGGTGGTCAAAGATGGCGTCAGGGGTTTTGATGCGGCGCTGAAAGAAGTGGGAGTGCCGGTCGCGCAGGGCGTCCCGGGGTACATCGTCCCACAGGGCGAGCCGGCCGAGTTGCTGCTCCAGTACTCGGCGGGCGAAGTGACGAGTATCGTCTCTACACCCCCCGGTGCCCTGGACACGGCGCGCACATCCGACGGCGGCCGATACACGGTCACGCCATCAGCCAGCGCATGGGGCCGCGCGCGGCTGACGGTGGCTTACGCAGACGGCAAGACGCAGACGGTGCACTACTACATCACCAAGCCCGGGACGCAGGCCCTCGCGGACATGGGCAGGTTCCTCACCACGGAGCAGTACTTCACCGACACGTCAGACCCGTTCGGCCGCGCCCCCTCGGTCATCACGTACGACTACGAGGCCCGCTCGCTCGTCCTGCAAGACAGCCGGGCGTGGGTGGCCGGGCTGAGCGACGAGGGCGGCGCGGGGGCCTTTGTCGCGGCGTTCATGAAGCAGGCCGTCCTGCCCGACGCCGACGAGGTCGGCAAGCTCGAGGCCTTTATCGACCAGGTCATCTGGAACAAGACGCTGCAGCTGGCGGACTACGCGGTGCGCAAGAGCACGTTCTACTACGACCCGGCCACGGGGTACCCGTACGACAAGAGCCTGGACTGGACGTCCTGGACGTCGTGGGACAGAACCGCCGCGTACGCCACCGACCGCGCGTACGACTACGTCCACGTCGCGGCCGCGTACTGGGCCATGTACCGCGTCGCCAGGGCGTATCCGGACCTGACCCCCTCTCACGGCTGGGAGTGGTACCTCGAGCACGCGCACGGGACGGTCATGCGCGCCATGGAGTGGGACGTCGGTTACAACCGTGTCGGGCTCATGGGGGAGACTGTGTTTGGAGAGATCCTGACGGACCTGCGCCGCGAGGGCGGCGAGGAGTGGTCTGGCCAGGCGGATGGGCTGGAGGAGGCGATGAGGTCTCGAGCGGTGCAGTGGGATGGCGAGGAGGTGCCGTATGGCAGCGAGATGGCGTGGGACTCGACGGGCCAGGAGGGCGTGTATTACTGGGCCAAGTAAGTGGCTGCTGCGTGTCCTTCGTGGCAACAAGGATCATGGCAAGGAAATACGTGTCTGACCGAATAACAGGCACTTCAACTTGGCCAACACCGTGGACAAGACTATCAACAGCGTGCTCGGATTCATGCCCACAGTTCCGCACTGGGGTTGGAACGGCAACGCCAGGAGATACTGGGACAACTAGTAAGCCAACATACCGTGACTGGGAGGTTCTCTCGCCGGAGATCGCAATGATGCTAGCATATGCTAACCCTTTGCGCCAGCTACGGAGGCAAACTGAGGCGCCTCGAGCGGCAGATCCACCACTACGGCTCTGGCCTCAACGCACAGGTCCTGCTGGGCGCCTTCCGTAGCAACCCGCAGGATTCGTACCTCCTCAGAGTAGGATACGGTGGAATCAGCGGTCCGATGTCGAACATCAATGCGGAAGGGTTCGCGGCTGCCAGCTTCCACTCGTGGCCGGATACGCTCAAATGGGACGGAATTGTGAGTAACTCTGTCCACTATGATAACCAAATCCTCTGCTTCGGGAAGAGACATCAATGCCTTTCGACTCAATGCAGTATCGTTGCCACTCCGGACATGTATTAACGTTGTGAACAGAGCGGCGACTACGGCCCTGGCTTCCTCGGCCTCGCGCTGAACACGGGCACATACATCGCCCAAGACCCTTCTCTCGGCCTGGTCGCGTACGGAGGTACGTTGTCCGTCTCCAACGGCACGGCCACCGTCCGCACGACGGACCCGACCCGCCGCAAGGTCTTCGTCGGCCCGCTTGGTCTCTTGGTGTACACGGACGCGGGCATCATCAGCGAGGTGTCGTACCGCGTCGCGGATGCAGCCGTCTCGGGCGTCACGGTTAGGTTGTCCCAGCTTCCTGGCGTGCCTGTGGCCAAGGCCGCGAATGTGTGGGTGGAGCAGACTGCCGGGGCTGGGGAGTATCAAGTGAGCTTGGGTTCTGGAGTTGCGGTGAGCAGAGGCGGTTGGAGGGTTGAGCTGGATGGGACAGAGACTGTCGATGTACATGTTGTGCCGGCGTAATCTTGGCCATAATTGTCTTGGTCGAATGCCGGATAGCCACGCGAGTTGGCTTAGGGTGGAAGGGCGACTCAATTGAACTTAAGGAACTATAAGCCCTGCAAAATTGCATTTGTGTTGATTTCGCTGCAGCAGGTCGAACAGTTCCGTTTCTTAAACAGAAACCGTCGTGCAGGAGCAGCCCGGAACGAGACCACTAAGAAGCGGCAACACAAAAGATCTCATCTGCACACTTCGAGGAGACATCAGGACAATAAACTCAACTCATTGTCGGCAAGCTCAAGCGGGGCAAAACTTTTGCAAAAGAATGATCGATGGCGGGCTCGATCCGCCGACCTTCAGTGTTCGCATCGTGAGATGTTAGACTGACGTGATAACCAACTACACCAATCGACCGTGTGATGAATCCAGTTGATTTGTTGAATGCACAGTGCCCTATAATAATTCATATAGTCATATTTACTCATCCCTAGCCTGAATACGTATTGCAAGTAATGTCTTGATCTCATATCGTACCAGGCCACGTCCGCTTTACCTCTCGCCGGATGCGAAGGGGCCCCCACCAACCACGCTAAAGTGCCCCTCGATCCAGTTCGGCTTGATTTTCAGCAACTTGAACTTCCACAGCCCATCGGTGCTGTCTTTGATCAGGTCGCCACTGTACAAGGTCCCGGACATGAGGTGCTTGTTGTGATTCATAAGGTACGGGATGTTGGCGGACTCGGGTGCCAGGTCAAAACCCTTGCTGCCCACAAAGTGCTGGGCCATGACGGTGGCGGTAATACTAGCCGACTGCTGCTCACCATCGCCGCCGCTGGGCGTGGTAAAGGTGACGCGCGTGTTGCCCACAAGATGGGTGGTGTCGAGGGTGAAGATGAGGGCGTTGCCGTCCTTGGCAATCTGGTCGCGGCCAGTCATGACCTGGCCATTCAAGGATAGGACAGCATCGGTGGTGAAGGCTGTGTCGCAAAGAGATTGATCGTTGGTATCCCACGCCAGGCAGGCCCGGTAGAGGGCGTCGATGACGGCCTCGCGGTCGGGCAGGGGCGGGTTGAGTACGGCGGGGAGGGAGCTGAAAGCGGTGGCCATTGTGCAAGTTTGCAGAAACAAGAAGTATAGTGTGCGAGGAGTTGGTGATTGCTTTCGAACTGGATGAGATTTCTCCCACCGGACGGTGCCCTTTATATACACGATTTCCGAGGTTGAAGCCTGGGATCCCTTGAGCTGGCCAGTCCATTCCATTGGAACTCACCAGTACAAACGAATCTTCCTGGCTGCCCCGGGGATAAAAGAGCTCAACCCGTCGAGATTAGTTGCCGTATGTGGCCTCTCCAGCCAATCAGCAGTCGATGTAGCCGGTTTGTGGCAAGTGGATCCTGGCGGACCCGAGCGCGGGTTAGCGCGTTCGGAAAACGGGGGCGCCCGGAGACGAGGCGAGGCAACTCTTCTCTTGACAACCGCCTTGCCCCTGGACTGGACCCGGCCGTCATGCTCCGTCACCTCGTCATCTTCAGCCCCCCAACCGACCTGGGCATCCAGGTGGCCGTCCTCTTTGTCCCTTGCTGGCCAGCCACACTATGGTCGCTCCAGTCGAGCCTGTACCTGACAGGCTATCTGCCAAGCGCCGGTCCCGCTTTGGCTGTCGCAACTGCAAGCTGAGGAGGATCAAGGTCGGTCTTCTTATCCCCGAGCTTTCGGTTTCTCCTTCAGGGTAGTCCGGCCACTGACAGGCCTGACAGTGCGATGAGAACAAACCCCAATGCAGGCGATGCGTCTTGTTCCGTGTCCGCTGCAACTTCGACACACGTGTTGGTGACCTTCAGCCAGTCCACGCAGTCTCCGACGAGCACATCGGCAGCCAGCGTAGGAGCGTCGCGACGCCCAGAGCGCCAATCTCAAGCTGTGTCTGGGCCTCTGATGACTATGGCTACTCTTATCAGCTCAACACCCGATGTCAACACTATCTCACGCGTTATTTTGGCTGGAGTCTCGCCGCTCCAAACAACCCCATCGTCTCCAAGCTGAACGCTAGGCTTCTGGCCCTTTCCTTCAAGGTACGGAGCCCAAGATCATTGCACCCGTGCACGCGAGCACCAGTATCCTTGAAATGAAGGCTCAGATCACTAGTAGCTAGCATGGTTCTTGCTGACAGTCTTTCCCGCAAAGCATCCCCATTTGATGCACGCCTGCCTTGCCGTTGCGCTTGCCTTCGACCGGAACCTCGATCTGCATTCTTCTTTGCACCGCCGGGAGGCAATGTCGGAGGAATGTTTCCACCGCTCCCGCAGCACCTCGCTGTTTATTCAATGTCTCCAGCAGCCGGTCAAGGCCGGCGACAAAGACGCGATATGGGGCACGGCAGCCTCGCTCGCACTCCTAGCCTTCTCTGCGCCAGCAGGAACATGGCTGGCGAGTGAAGAGTCGTGGCCGCTGAGTGCACGATCTTCACCTTCAACTGCGGCACATCCCTCTTGGCCGCCATCGCCTTCGGCCGCGGGGTCATCATCACCTTCCTCAGATTCCGAACGCAACCATGAAGTCCGAAATCCAGACCAGCCGTCAGAGCTGCAGTGGCTCCTCGTCAAAGAAGGTAAAATGTCCCTCTGGCCCATCGCGAACCCCATCCGGCCGGAGAGCATCTTCAGCATCATGAACCCCGTCTACGAGGTAATGTTTGAACCACTCCCGACTTCCGGGGCCGAGGGCATACATCCGGCGCTCGCGGCAGTCTGCGGTCTCGACCCCGGCAACAGTGGCGGTGAGGGAACAAGCATGACCACACAGCCGTTCTTCCATCCATGCCACGCAGTCTGCCGCCTTCTCACCTTTCCCGATGTGGATGTGACCATTGGGCACACAGAGGTGTTTATGAACACGATTAGAGGTGATTTCCGGTCCTTGTTGCTCGCCAAGGATACCCGCGCTCTGCTGCTTCTGTACCTGTGGTATCGCAAGGCCAGACGATCCTTGTGGTTTGTTAATGTGCGGGCCAAGGTGGAGGAACCCGCAATTTGTACTTATATAAGGCGGTTCCATGCTGGGAGCGATGTGGTCGAGTTCCTGCCTGGGGGGAAGTATGCGGACGAGGAGTGCCTTGTCCTTGCTGCTGTTGCGGGGAGGAGGGGATCTGAACGAGTCCGAGGTAGAAGATGATAGGCAAGCGATCAATTAGGTTACCTCTGTAGCATTGGAGAAAGACCTTATCAACTCGAATGTGCGCTAGACTAGGAGAATGTATCCAGCCTATGATTGCAGAACTGGACACGAAGAATCGCTGCCCCTTGGCAAGAGTACCAGCCCTAAATGAACGCACAAAGTCCCAGGAGATTTCATAAATGTCACAATCAAGGAAGGAGGAACTTTAGCTGCTCATGACGAAACTGGTATGTTTAATGCAATATTGGCGCTTGTGCAAATGCGCGATCGAGCGCTGAGCAGACTTCATATGGCTGCAAGTTTGTCAGGCTCCGCGACAGAAATTTGGAATCAAAGCTGACAACGGGCCGTGTAAGATGTAGCCACTAGTTCCAACGGCTCTACAACAACACCATATTCGCTGCGACGGCGAAGGACCTCGCTGCACCGCTGTCGTACGCCCCAAGTGTGAGAGCCATCCTCACCATGTCGCTGCGATTGCGACCTGATGTTGCCGTGTGCAGACAATATATCGCAGGCGACGGCGCTTAAATACCTACTTGGGGGCTGACTGGACCCTGCATGGCGTAGGCTCTGCTCGCTGCCGTGACCTGCCGACGCTGGAGGCGGGACCACCCGCGCGTTCTGCCAGGGACGGTTGAGTTGCATCGGCTGCAGCAAAGTAAGCCGCATGCTGATAGGGTGCCGACTCCGGGTCTGACGCGACGTTACAATTTGGAACCTTCCACCGCCAGAGCAGCCTTGCAGGAGGACCACACTCGGCAGCTGACAACTAAGCACCGAAGCCGTACGTAGAAAACCGAAGTCATATACGGAAGTACTTTGCTATTTGGCGTCAAGGGCGGCGCTTCTTGGCATCTCGACCCACTGACGTGGGTGTTGTTGGCGGGGCAGGGACAACGCGCATGCAGAAAACCTCACTCGGCGAATAAGAGGAGGATACCAGCATGCCTTCGTCAACAATCTCTAGACAAATGCCTCTCTGGTTCGAGTCTTGGCTGACTATGCAGCACGGGTCTGGTGACGGCTTCCAAATTGCGTCCGACATCAGTCCACGACAGTTGCGGGTCACTGGTCAGCCGCGCCCGGAGGATTCTGCCACCTAGGCAGCAAGACAGGCAGTAGCTCAAGATATTTGTGTTTCTTCAAGACGGACTGATACGTCCTGGGAACTCCTGAGGACTACAAGTATCAGCCTGCTTTCCACAGATTATTCTGATCCGTCCTTGTTCTCATCACAAGCTCTAGCACACCAGCCTAAACCGGAAGAACTCTCTACTCCACCTTTCCAAGAACTTCACGACCTCAACATTTCAAGATGCTCTTTACCAAGTCCGCCATCCTGGCCTGCCTCGCAGCTACGGCCAGCGCCGTCGAATTGCGTTTCTACGTTGATGGCAGGCAGGGCTGCCAAGGTTCCTACACGTTTTGCCCTAACCTTCCAACCGGCCAATGTTGCACCACCCCCAATGTGCAAGACGTCAACACGGCGCTTGGCTGGTATCGACTACGGCCTAGCACGGGGATTCGGGGTGTGGGCTACTTCCAGGAGCGCTGCGGGGGCGACGAAGCTGGGTCTGGCACTAGCAACGGCCAGTCTAGCATGTGCTATCCCACTCCCCAGTATAGGTCAGGCAAGTTCAGCACGCTCAGCGGCGCCCGCGAGACCACCGAGGACGCTGTCCACGAGGAGCAAGGTATCGAGGGTTCTTGCCGGAAGCCAGGCGGCATTGTATATGAAGACGGCACTGAGTTTGACCTCACTGGGCTGAGCGACGAGCAAAACGATGAAATGGTACGTCTATATTCTAAGCATTTTCTGAATCCCACGACACCCCTATTTGTGGTACTAGAATTATGAGATAACTAACTCGACTTTTGCCACTGTAGTAAGCTGAAATAACGCCAAGTCTTTTCCTTGTTGCTTCGCTTGGGAAGCTATACGTAATTATTACCGCCCGTCGTGATACCTTGACTGACACTCGGTCCTCTTTCCTAGCGTGACTGCCTTTTTGACCGGTGGCACTGCCGACGAGATCGAAACACACTTCCACCGCCTCCGCATCTGAACAGCTCGATCAAGTATTCCAGTCTGTTCCCCTGTCGGTTTCTTACGACTCGCTGGCAAGATAGGACAGAGCACCAGCTGGACAAGATTCACCTGGTCGACATCGTCTGTGCGAGGAGCACGCATGTTTATCTCCTTGGAACAATTCTGGTCGTCCTTATCCTTCGCAAACAATGGCGCACACGCAGCTCGGTGAACAAGGTCGAGGGCATGCTTGGGGGTGGGATGGGTTCACATAGTGATCGAGACGTTGGCTGTCCATTGTCCTCCGATATTATTTCTACCTAGGTAGTCATTGTCAAAAATCATAAACGACTAGCCTTCAGATTTATCACGCTGGTCATGTCTTGTCTCTTTTACTGATCCTTTTCAGCCGTCATCCCGAAACCTTGGGAAGGTAGCCGGGCACAAGCCGTCGCACCTGCAATTGCTGATGGTGGCGACAGGCTGAAATTTCCACGAGTATTGGTGGAGATAACCTCAGCGACCAACTGGGGTCGTTGACAGGCAAATCTTCCCTAGCCCTAACACTCGCCATCGCATTACTCATCTGACGGGTGCAATCCCTTTGATCTAGACAAACTACCTGGGTAGGGACAATGCCAGGCTTATCTCTAAAACGTAATCTATAAGTGAGTGAGCTACGCGAGTAAGCAAGCTAACTTCCAGGTACTTGCACGACAACATATGACAATTCATATAAGGGATTTCAGCCATAATACCTTAAACTAATTGGTAATACCTCTACGAAGAGATATTCCTTTGGTGTGATTAAGTAACTAGGTTGAGTACACTACCTAAAATAGTACTTAGAGTAACATAAGGCCACGGATATTGCTGGTGACTATCTCTACAGAACCGTCCCTCGCATCTGTGCGAACCCCTCCAACACGTGCGCGTGTCTAAGGCGGTGCGACGCCCACCTTGTTCTTTCCAACCTCCAGACGTAGAATATGTCGCAACAGAGTCTTTGAACCCTTTTTCAGGCTACTGGCACCTCTCGGACAGTCATCAGGTTCGCAGCATTTTATCTTGCAGCTGTCCCGCAATGAGCAGTCCTCGACAGGCAAGGTGTGATATTTTACCACTGAGGCAAAATGGAACATGCTTACTTGGCAGCGGGCTTGTTTGACGATTATTTACATCGCGATACAAGGTATTTTGGGCAAAGATCCTTGCCACAGAACTTTAGTATGTCGTATGCACGAGTACGTCCGTTTGGGGGCTGACAGGCAGTGCAGAAGGCTAGCATGATCTTCCGTGATGCTTTGTGGACCATCATGACTGGACATAATTGGTCGTGGTTACCGCGCCAAGGGTATGGCTGTGGCTTTTCCGTGTGCCCAGGGGGTTATCGTCCCCAACCCCCCTTGTGGTGACCCTGGTTGTTAATTGCAGCCTGGATGAAACCCCTCCCTTTGAGCCACCTGACCAGAAAAGGGTTCTTCTTCCCTCTTGCGCTCACAACACCAAGACACTGCCAAACATCCACCCACTCCACGATACAGAACAACACGCTTTGGGGGGTGACATCCGCATCGAGAGGTGAAGCCAAGAAAATGGGCCACGAAATCAACCAATCAGGCGATTTGAGCGCAATCCTGCCTCCACTCGAGGACTACACCAGGCAGATCCGACTCCTCAAGGTTGACCCCGCAGCCTTCGGACAGGCTATACGCTGTACTACCGTCATCCACGAACTCGACAAAGCGCCCAGCTTCAATGCGATATCCTATACTTGGGGTCCTGAGTATCCACAGCGCGATATCTTTATCGACGGACTGCGATTTGCGGTTCGAGAGAATTGCCACTATGCTATACAGCAAGCACGCAGCTACCAAGGATCATCGTTAATCTGGGTTGACTCGGTATGCATCGATCAAGGCAATCTGCACGAGAAGAGCGCACAGGTGGCTATCATGGGCGAAATATATGCGTGCGCAGCAACTGTGCTTGCGTGTATCGGAGAGAGTGACCTGCACAGCGAACTCGTCACCAGCATATTTGATGGAAGCGTGGATCTCGCCGCGGCCGAAGCTTCAAGCAAAGTTGACAAGGAATTACAATTTCGACTACAACGCCAGGCGCGCAACTACCTTCAGCCCAATGGTCGTGATGTGGCAACTGGGTTTATTGAATTCTGCAGGAGGCCGTACTTCCATCGCCTATGGATTGTGCAAGAGCTATTCCTAGGACGACATCGAGCGGTGCTCCTCTGTGGCCAGGAGACAATGTCTTGGTATCACCTCATGCTCTGTGTGGCAGCAATACACCACCGCGATAACCCCCAGACGAGGAGTCTTGTGCGACTCAGGGATATGATACACGACTCACATGTCCGGTACAAGTTGCCTAATCTGCTCGAGAATTCCGCCGATCTGCTTTGCGCGGACCCGCGAGATCGCATATACGGTGTGCTGCAGCTGGTCGACTGGGCGGGCACTGGTCGGTCTCGGCCTGTTCCAGATTACAGTCTCTCTAGCATCCAGATTGCGCTCAATCTGCTGGATGGTGGCCACTTCAATAGCATCCGGGAGGTCAAATATCTGTCAAACGCGCTGGCCATAACCGAGGCGGACATCGTGAACACGAAACACGAGCTGCTGGCGGGTCTACACAAAGTCCAGCAATGGGACGCCAAGGTGCACGATATATCCCTGATTCAGCTACGCGACGACGGGCAACTTTACGCTGAACACGGCAGGGGCGACTCCGCAATGGCAGGGAAACCAATGCCGAGCGAAACAGATATCGGTGACTTCTTTGATGGCGAAAAGACCATCGAGATTCTCGGCCCGACTGGCACAGTGGCCGTTGTTTGTGCAGCAGCGAGGCCCGGTGATCTTCTTGTCGAGACGGCATATTTTGACGCAGTCCTCAGGCCTTGTGACCAGCTGGACTTATACCGGGTCATTGGCAAGGCAGTGGTGGTGCCAAAACAGTCCGGCACCAAGGTCAGTTTGGCCTGTTCTTGTAGGAGCTTACACGAACATAGCCACTCGGCTATCAAGGCCGACGAATTGCGTTCCATAATCCATCTGCGTTTCGAAACCAGCGTGCGAAACGCGCTTCTTGAAGCTATATCCAGAGAGACATCAAGGACGAAACGCTACAAAGAGCATAGGCTCGAGGCCAAATCGATGTCGCTGGTACAAATGAAGCACTTGGACATCTTGAAGCGAGGCTCTGTGGTGCGGGATGTGAATATTACCAGGTTTACGAAATCTTTCAGACAAGGTTGGTGGCTTCCTCTGCCAGCACCGGCTTGTAAGGACCATCGCATGAGTATGACAACTTACAAGGAGGCGGCAAAGCGAGGTCCGCTCTACTTCTGCGCTGTTTCTGGTGGTGGAAGGACAGTCGAGGTATTCGTTCCTGGTCGAGAACGATTTGACAATACTCCTTGATTCGGAGCAAGACAACTCTCAATCTATCCTGCGGGCGGGCAATGAGGGCGAAAACACAGAGACCAAATGTGTTGTACCTGCTTGCAAATGCGTAGGAGATGGCACACGACCTCATTGCTGAACTCTGCAAATACTCCGAACGTTCAGCCTGTTGAGGAACGGAAGAACCAGATATTGGCATCTTGACAGGATAAGTTAGGCACAAAGTGAGCGGGTATGATTATGCGCCGGGATACGTGCGAGCTTGATCGCACTTGCACAGATATCCCATCCACTCGACGGCCTGCCCTCCATATGCGATCCAATCATAGACCTGGTCAACTTGCGGAGGGCAGCAAAGAGGCGCTCCAATGACTAACCAGAATTGGGAATGCTCGCGTGCCATTGCCATCTGCCGTGCAAAGCGGAGCCGCTGTGGGGTGCGTCAACTCAAGCTTTTGCCAAGTCTCCGATCCTCTTCGGTCGATCTGCCTCCCTACGACGGCCTTGCTTGGCGGACTTTTTCATAGGCTAATCTAAAGGGAGACCCTGGAGGGGCCTCCGCAATGTCGGATTGATATATCGCAGGGGCAAGGGTCTTTTCAATTATCCTCTTCCACAAAGGCTGATACGCTGGGCCCAGTGGTCATTTCCCCTCAATACACCACGTCAGCTGTCATGCTGTTTCACGTGGACAGTCATAGTCGTACGCGTCAGCTCCCCGCAAAATGGTCTAAAAGAAGCTCGCGGAGAAGAAGCTTCCGCATCGCAGCTGGTGGCTCAATCACGGCGGAATCGTGCGTCGTTATACTGGAGAGTCAGACTCACGACGTGGTATATGTAAAGTCGGTTCTCCCGAGCTGTCGAGGGCAATAATCTCATCACCACTGGCCCAGCTCCTATCTTCCCCGACATTTAGTATCATACCACTCAATCATGCCGTCCTTTTTCAGCCAACTGACTGCCGGCATCGTTGCCACGGCCGCGGTTGCAAGTGCTTCTACCTGCGACATCTACGCCTCAGGCGGAACACCCTGCGTAGCCGCCCACTCCACTACGCGCGCCCTCTTCTCATCCTACAATGGTAACCTCTACCAAGTGAAGCGCTCCAGCGATGGCAAAACTGCCAACATCGGCCCTAAGTCCGCAGGTGGCGTCGCCAACGGCGCCGCGCAGGACTCCTTCTGCAGCGGCACGACCTGCCTCATCACTATCATCTACGACCAAACCAGCAACGCCAACCACCTCACCCAAGCCCCCCCTGGGGGCGCAGGCGCGGGACCTGGTGCGGGAGGCTACGACAACCTCTCCAATGCCGCGCAGGCGCCTACTACCCTCGGTGGACAAAAGGCGTACGGCGTGTACATTGCGCCTGGAGGCGGATACCGCAACAACAACGCCAAGGGCACGGCAAAGGGGGATGCCGCCCAGGGCTTGTACGCGGTTCTGGACGGAACTCATTACAATGGGGGGTGCTGCTTCGACTATGGCAACGCTGAGACGAGCAGTGACGACACCGGTGCGGGTCACATGGAAGCAATCTACTTCGGCAACATCCGTGTCTGGGGCTCCGGAAGCGGCACTGGTCCCTGGATCATGGCCGATCTGGAGAACGGCCTGTTCTCGGGGTACAACCCCAAGCAGAACGCCGCGGACCCGACCATCAACTATCGCTACGTGACTGCTATGCTCAAGGGCGGAGCAAACAAGTGGGCCATCAAGGGTGGCAACGCCGCCGGTGGTGCTGTGAGTCAATTCTACAGTGGCCAGCGACCTGCTGGGTACAACCCGATGAAGAAGGAGGGCGCCATTATCCTCGGCATCGGCGGCGATAACTCGCATGGTGCTCAGGGTACCTTCTATGAGGGTGTCATGACGAGCGGATACCCGAGCGATGCTACCGAGAGTGCTGTGCAGGCTAACATCGTTGCGGCAAAGTACGGTGCTTGAGCATACTGGGCTTCGTGGAGTCAGTGCGGCTCGGTACTTTGAAGGACTGGATTAGTGCCTTTGGCAGTGTTGAATGTTTGGACACGGCCAGATTCGTTGCTTGCGTGTGGGCCGACGCCCTAGCCAGGTCATCATGTGGCCTAGACTTCGTCCTGTACCATTCTTTCGGGATTTCTTACAACTATAGCAGAAGGTCAATTGAGTAACTTAGGGCCTGCCAGGCCGCTTACCATTTTAGGATTTCAGTGGTATTCAGATTTGTCTGCAACTCCCACAGTCGAGCATATAGCGAAATCACTGGTCTTATGCGGGATTTGACCTGTCTATCCCGATGGCGGTGGCAAGAATGGTGTTCGTGGCCGCAGCGACCAATTATCAGCAGCGGCCTCGGGAAGGCAAGAGGCACAATTTTGCTATATGCATCTCTTCATGGGGGCGTGGACGATCTCCTACTCGGCCTGCATTGTCTTTGATTAACCGAGGATGGCCCTGGGACGTGCAGGCCGCGTACCTCGTCAGCATGGCGGTGCGGCAGACTGAGGGGCCGTACCTTGACATTCCGCTTGAAAAACAGTATTTCTAGTCAGGCGGGGAGTGGAGCGAGGATTACGAGGTGTTTATAGTGCAGCTAAGGCCAAAGGTGCCTAGGATGGTTGGTGCGGAGAAAATGGTTATGATGCCCGCGGTAAGGTAGCCAGTTTCCCATGATCGCATGACTAAGCTTGGGTGTCTACATGAAAAGAGAGCCAGCATTATCAAACTAAAGTGCCTGACGTCGTTCAGAGTTGCAACTTCATTGCCATGTATGCGATATATTCAAGCCGTGTGAAGGAGCAGTGCGATCATTCCATTTCTCGCTTGAACCAAAGCTTATTGAATCAAGCCAACCTCCCACAATCTAGACCAAACAAATGCTTGTGCTCCCATAGCCTGGATATGTAGTACGTATGCAGTGCGGTGCCTATTACAGACAGGTCTGCTCAGTGGCAACGCATGTACTCATCGCCGCATGGGGTGTAGTAGACAAGACATCTTCCACAGCCGACCGCGACGCAATCAGTTGCGTCATCGCAGGCATAAGCTTGGCAAGCGCGTTTGAAGAGGTCTCTGTCGCGTCGGTTACTCATTGCAGCGTGCGGGGCAGGGTCGTTTCTTGGACACTCAAGTTGACGCTCAAACATCGGGGGCCATTAGCTTTGGAAGAATCGGTAGGAGGAAATGCCAGAGGCACGTACCTCTTCCAACCGACTATCTGTGGGTTCCAATGGCGCAGAGTGCACTGTGAGAATCACAGTAGCCATCGCCAGGGTTGTAAGAATGTTGGACCGCATGGTGGTTTTCGGAATGTTGCGTTTGAAGAATTAAGAAGAGTGTAATGATTGAAGAATTGGTGTGGGTTCTCTGGGAATGCTACAGTTTGATACACGGGTGAACATCACTACTCTATATTCAGAGGTTTGATTAGCTCCCGGGCCATTTTTCAGTTTGAGCACACACAATATACACAACCTTCGTTTGGATACCCAGCACTAAACAAGGATACTAGTTGGTGCATGAAAGAGGAAACACAGTGATTGGACGACAGCCGTTTCGTGACGCGGGCATACGCTAACCCCCTTAGACACGAAGAGATAACAGTCTGCTTCGGCTTGCAGGATCTTACAGGTCATGGGTTGAGAGCACTGTCGTCTGAAGATGGATCCAGTGGTTGGATCTAGTGGAACTGCAGACAGGGGTTGACCGCCCCCGGACATAACATTTTGCTTTGACCCTCCACAGAAGTCTTCAAAGGTGATGAGGTGAAAGCATTGGCGAATGTACTTCCAACGGGATGCCAAGCAAGGAGGCTAGGCTGGTCTTCGCGGCAAATGCATGGAGCCGAAGCGCTTACCTCGCAAGCGACCGCATCTAAGTCCCTTCGGCCGCCTAGCTTTGACAGAGGCTCGGTTTCGTCCAGAACTACCCAAGACGCCTCGCCTCTCTGTGATCCTTGATGATCAGGCGAAGCCAAACTGAACATTGCGCTGTCAACTTTGGCATTGATTGTATTCAGCTAAGCTGACAACTAGACTTGAACGGCACGGTGAAATAGCCATACGAAGAGATGCAGTTGTAGCCCATTGGGCGAACTGATAAGCATGCTTGTAGCTGAACGAAGGATTCGAGGAATCCACACACTACAAGTCTTGGCCCCTCGCTCCTTCTCTCACTGGCATTTTGCAGCTCCTAGCATGAGCACCTAGTACTCTTCCTTGAACGAACACCACGATTCAAGGAGCAGGTCGCATTCAGAATGGGTCTGAGCGGCTCATGGTGTTGTTGGATGCTGCGAGGTTGTGTCACGCTGACGCAAGAGTTATTCAGAATCGACAAAAGTGCTCCTTGATCGGCAGTCTTACAAGGATCTCATCGTGCGATCATGCTGGATGATGAAGTGCTCAAATAAGCCCAGAGAGCTTTAGGGGCAGGTCGGAACGAAGACTCCGAGAAGTACCCTTCGTAGGGGTTTGCCACCGTTCCTTCAGGCGAAGAAAGTGGAGCCCTATCCAGAAACCTGTGGCATTGACTGCATGTATATGGTGCGTGCCCTCTATTCGTTGTTACATCATGCTTTAGGAATTTTCTTATCTATAAATGGCAGGAGGGGTTTACCTCGCTTTTTGCAGACTTGTGGTTCTTATTGGGAAAGCTGCAACAAATTTTCATGTCAATGACTGGAGCTGGCAGCTCCGCGATATGTCCCAGAATTCCCACATGAATATACTAAAATTGGATTATCGCAAACATAGGACACTAACGTGTGCTCCAGAACAGCGATATACCACCTGGAAGATCCCCAGCCTGCAAGGGGTTAACAACTTTTGGGTGAGACCATCAAGGCTATTAAGTCCGATCTGAGAGGCATCTTCGCATTAGATCGCAATGGCGTGCCCCGCTCCATAAATGGCGAACAGTATGTTATCGATGCCCCTGGCCTCGGCTCAGCACAGATCAGGGAGTACTATGGTCGTGCCCTACCAAAGTAGATGCCCACGCGGCCAGTTGGTGCTGACGGACGTAATCTCTTAAAACGGAACATGTTGCGCCCACCTGCGAATGAGATGCCTCCGACACCAACGGCGAGAGACAGGGAGAAAACTCTTCGGCATAATGAGGAGTTACTTCAACGTGGCCATAACTTGTGGCAATCCTATCGCCGCTGGAGAAAATGATGTCAAGTCATTTGTTGGCTGAACCCTGATTTCTGCCACTCGTCAAGAGATCATGGACTGGAAAGGTGTGACGTTGTCATGGTTTCTTCTACCATTTACGGTTCAATGTACCCCATATCTGTCTAATTTTGCATGAGTTCTGTGCTCCTCGTTCTCCTGATGGATTTCTCGAGCCATACGAAGTTGCCTCTGACACCTTCAGCCTCGGATTTCTTGACCGCTGTATATGAAGTCTTACAAGCATTTGCAATTCATTCCAGGTCCGTACCAGCGAATGGATTGCTTGTCCATGAGCCGGTGAGTTGCTCCACGCCAACCAGCCGCTTCTCTTTACACCGTGGCAAGATCTCCTCCCCGAATGCTTGCAGATCAGCTTTCCACTTGCCGAAGACCCCACCGAGCGCATCAGGACCCGCGTGCATGAACATGGCCATCGACGACGATATCACCTGCGTAAAGGCGATCTTGTTTAGGCCCTTCAAAGTGCACAGATGTTCGTCAAGTGATCCCCACAAGGATGCTCCAGTGGGCGGATGTGCGGAAAGTGTGCAGGTTGACGGGCCGCAGTTTATATACAAATGGCTGAGCGTAGGAGGTGCCGTGGACAGAGTCTCCATGAGATCGGCGAGCGTTGGCTCTTGTGTCGGATACTGGGATATATTGACGCTGAGGTTTTTGAGTTTGCTGCAGTTGCTAATGTCGAAACGGACGCCTGTGGAGGTGATCAGCTGGCCAAGTATACCCCCAAAGATCCACCATTGGTGGCAGTTTCTCGGGCCATGCGCATGAAGCACAATCGCCAGGATTAATCTTACCTGGAGCATTGATGCCAACAGCAAGGGATTTTAGCGTCGCACTGACATCCTGAATCAACTCCGACAGTAAATCCGGCTGTTGGCACACGGCGATGAGAGTACAAAGGCTCTGAAGAGACGACGGCGACGTGTGCATATGTGGCAAAATATGCGACCACGCGCCTGTGCCATCAGCGAAAACAACAAGATGTCTGAGCTTTGGCAGGAACACTGCTGTCGACAGCGGGGCACTCTCGATCTGTGCGTTCTCGCCGTCCTCTCCGCTCCCCACGTTATCGATCTTTATCACGCCCAAGCCCAAAAACGTGAGATGGGGATTGTCCAGGATAAAGGGCGCGACTTCCGTAATATCCGGCAGAATGAGATTTTGCACGACCAAGCGATCAAATACAATCCCGCCATTGTTCCTCGAGAGTAACTTGCCGCGCAGCTCCGGGTTCAAGCGTTGCAGATTGAGGTTGCCGATGGTCAGCATGCCGATATGCTCAAAGTAGTCGAGTACCAGCATCAATCCGTCCTCCCAGCGCGCAATGTCCGCCTTGTCTTCGTCTGTGAGCTGGTTGGTGTCGTAGAGATAGCCCTCGTCGATCAGCAGAGAACCGACATGGCGGGGGATTGTGGGCTTGCAGGTGCCCTTGTTGCGCAGGATCGAGCAAAGCTGGCCTGGCACCTCGCCCTCAAAGTCGAGTGATATTCTCCGCCATGAGATGTCTCGGCTCGGGGCGAGCCAGGCTCTGCAGACGAGCGCGGCGTTTCCGAGAGACGGGTAGTCGGCGTTCTGTAGGCATTGGTGGATCAGCTCCGTCGGTAGATCCTGGATTGGCATAGTGAAGGCAACTCCGGTGCGCACCGAGTCCAGCGAAAGAATGTTGATTCAAATATATCCCAGGAAGAGAACAACAGAGACACGCTTCAAAAGACGACGAAGGTTCCAAGGTCGAGATGTTGTGGACAAGAGAGAGGTTGGTGAGGTGTGCTAAATATAGCAGCCCTGGCGGCTTAGCGGATAGTCCGAGCAGCTCACCACCTCCGCTATTATACTCCACTTGATTGGGGCTTAGCATTTGTGCAAGGCGAGGCGGCAGTCCAAGCATTGACGCACTCGGCCCCTACATTGACACATGCGCTCCAGGTAGACATTCGGGCCGCAGCGATGTCGACAACCGTCGCCCCTGCAGCGTTCGGTGAAAGCTACATCATTGAGCCAGCCAGCACCGCAAAACACACTCACACCATCATTCTTCTGCATGGGCGTGGCAGCGACGGCGAGGAGTTCGCCGGCGAGTTCTTCGATTCACTGGCAAACGACGACGAGCAAGTCAACACGGCCACGGCAAATGCTTTCTTTCCAAACTTCCGTTGGGTCTTTCCCTCGTCTCCGTCACAATGGGACAGCACCTTCAAGGAGTACATGTCTGCCTGGTTCGAAGCACCATCGCTCGCGGACCTGCCGCTTGGTTACAACATCCAGGCTCAAGGCATTCGCGGTGCCGTCGCACGAGTTCAGAACGTCCTCGATGACGAGATCGCGCGTCTCGGCGGTCAATCTGAGAAATTGTTCCTCGGCGGCATCAGTCAAGGGGGCGCTATTGCCATGATCACACTGCTCGCAAGACGGACCAAGAAGCAGCCACATGACAGTTCAGGATCAGACAGACTTGCCGGCCTCATCGTTGCGAGTACTTGGCTTCCGGTTGCCGCCGACATCGACGAGTATTGGGCAGCAGACGCTTCCGCCAAGGACATCGTGGCTAGTAGCAGTGATCGAGGAAACACTATTACCGCCACACCTGTCTTCTTTGGTCATGGTGTCGACGATGCCTATGTCGACATTCAACTCGGTAGAGAAGCATGTCGCACGTTCAGCACAATTGGCTTCGAAAACATCGAGTGGAAGGAATATTCGGGCGCTGAGCAGGAAGGGCATTGGTTGCAGGTGCCGAATGAAGTCAATGATATTGCTACCTTTGTACGCAAGCACATGTGTTGATTAGGAGGTATGATGCGACCCCAGGGCGCGGCTAGCTACTATTCCAGTGCGGGGAGTGGTAACGAAGCATCATGTCAAACGCAACGGTCAGCGACTCGAATCCTGTCTCAAAAGTCATGTCACGGATGCTTGAATACTTCGACATGCTGCCCAACAAGATCAAAAGGGGTTTCAGTGGTAACGGAGTACACTTCACTATGTGTTTTCTGGTTGCCAGATACTACTGAGCCAGTCACCATTTGCCGGCCACCACGCCTCTACCAACAAGTCGTCCGCCAAATCACTCTCATGCTGATGGTCCTGTTGCATTGCCTGTAGCCTAGGCGACATCATCATCAAGCGTTGAAATGATGCTGCTGGCTCTCCTCCGCGTGGGGTCCCGGTGTTCCCGTGGGCGTTCATCGCGCTGCCAGCATCCGGATTCTCATCATCTTCAGACACGAGTCTGGTTAGTCTAAAATGCTCGGGAAAAGAAACACCAGAAACGAAGGCCATTTTCAACTAAAGGCCCTGAAGGATTCGAAGGATAGGGACTCACCCGACGACTCGCGCGTGCTCTGGTCGTATGCGGCCCGCAAGATCCGCAGACATTTTCCGGCAAACGAATTGCCACGTTGCTCGCAAAGCACCATGCATTCGAGCGCCATGCTCCAGCAGCGGCGGATCGCGTCCATCATATCGCGCTGGATGGAACGCAGATAGCTCGAGCATAGGACGGCCAGGATGACTGTGCTCGCGGTGAAGAGATCTGCCGTTTGTAGAGAGACGTGAGTATAAGTATAAGAAAACGAATCAATAGACCTCGCCTCCGGTGTGCACGAGCAGAGTGAGCGCATATTTTCAAAAATAGAAAACAAAAAACTCAAGGTTCGGCGACGATAATCAGGGAACAGGCAGGAAGAGACGTACGTAACAAGAAATACCACCAGTGAAGTGAACGACCGCTTGTAGCCATGCACCGCTTGTGCAGCAGGACCACAAGCTCTTGGGCAGCCGAGGAACATGTGCGTGCACATTCAATAGCCACCGCGCGCTGGAAATTGGTCATGGTGATCTGCTGTTGCTCTTGCTGTTGCTGATCACCTGTGGCCGAGTGCTGGGTGCGCGAAACCCGTGCGTCCTTCGTAAGGTCCACCATTATTGGGCGGAAGAGGAGGATGCGGAGCTGTAGATATCTGTTGAAGGGCATCACAGCATTGGTCAGTTGACAAATAATCAATTTCACCTCGTTGTGCTCGAGCTGCCTATGCGCTTGAGGTTCAGACTCTCGGGAGCCACAGACACACCTTGCATGTAAATAGGATGGTGCTCGATGGTCGATGCCCATGCCGGAAAGGTCGGCGTCAATGTCGTAGCGCAATATTTGCGGCAGTTGCGATTTCCAGATGTTTAACGAAGCGTCGATTTCGAGCAAGTTGTTGTACATCTGTGCATCGAGGTTGCTGAGCGTGCCTGGCTGTGGGCATCGCGGTCTTTCATGGAGCAGCCTTAGTGAGGACTGTTATTAGCCGGGGCTTATCGTGTCGTCAACTTCCCCATCCAGTCACATCGACTTACTTGAGAACGTCCATCAAGATCTCCGATAACTTGAGTGACTCGTTAAAATACACCTGCTCCGAGGTGTGAACAACCGGGAGCGGCTGATCTCCGGCCGAGTAAGGCGCCATGGACAATGCCGAGTCGTCTACAATGTCCGGGAACGGCACGCCCGATGACCATACCACCATCGGGGGCCGGCCATAGGTCAGCCCGAGCAGCCGGTCGGTATGCACGCAATACCACCACGTGCGGCGGCGCTCCTGGCGGCTCGTCTGGCTCTCATGCTCGGCATCCAGGTGGATCCCAATGGCTTGTGCGGTGCGGATGGCCACGCCCAACACGATCCAGCACTTGTTGACCATGCGGGTCGTCTGCAGGTAGTGCGCGGACAATGCATAGACCTGCACCGACATGAACGACGCGTGGTCCAGGCTGGCGGCGGCGATGAGTGCCTGGGACTGCTCAAAAAACTTCTCGCTGCGGCCTCGGTCCACGTCCACGTGATGGAGGTCGTGCCTGGGAAACATGGCGCCAAGGGTCAAGACAATGTACAACAGAGCGTAGAACTCTCGGACCAGGTGGATGTCCTCGTGGCTTCGAGCGCCAGGGGAGCTAACAAGGTGGCCGTCTTGCATCCATATCCGATGGTATCTATGAATGAGCCATTAGTGACGTACCAGAGAAGATAGAATTTGGGATTGATCGTTCTCGCTTGCACAAAACGACACTCGACATACCGCTCCATAAAGGTTGGTCGGTGCAAGACCGGGTTAAATGGTTGCACATGGTTCCAGAAGTTCTCCACGCACGAATCTGCCACGGAACGGGCAGGTAAGCTAATGTCGGCTAGGAAGGCTTCAAGTTTGGCCCTCTGTGTGGCCTCATCTGTGGCTTTAGAGCCATAAGACCTGATCGACGACCTTTCGGCACCGTCAACTAGGCTCCCGCGGCGCCCGAAGGAACGCCGGCCACGAAATCTAGATCGCACATCGTCGAGGAACGCTGCTGCAGACGATGTCCCGAGATATACGGATCCAGCGCTTGTTCCGGGTTCGGCGGCCCGAGTGCCCATCATGTTCTCGTCTTGGTGGTCTGAGGCAAAGTCTGGGGCTCGTCGTCCGTCTTGTGACAGGCTACCGGACAAGCTGGTTTGGCCTGTCGATATCGAAGTGGAGGGTCCGACAGGGGTTGGTGCCATCGGATAAGCAGCGGCTGCAACAACAGGCACACACGAGGTCACAGCTTGCGCAGTGGGGAATCCGGCGGTGTCAGGCGTCCGCAGAGCCGCGGCCGACTCCGTGTTCATCCCATTGCCGGTCCCGATAGCATGGTGCTGAGACATGACCGGGTTCGTGGCCGAGTCGGCTCCGTGCCTGCCGGCGGAGGACATGGTCAGGACTGTCTGTTCGAGGTCCTTGACGCGGCTCTCGAGCGTCTTGACGTAGTTTGACGCTGTAGTGGCCAGCTCGTCAGCGCCGCCTGGGTCAATGTACAGGCACTCGTGCGGGCCGCGGCCCTTGCGCTGGCACGAGGCACAGACGGGCCGGCCGCCATCGCAGCGGATCTTGCGGTCACGGCAGATCTGGCAGGCAAGGCGAATCTTCTGCCGCTTTGTAGGTCGCGAGCTGTTGCTCCCGCGGCGCTGCGCGTGGTCAACGCCAGGATCGGCTTGGTCGGCCATGATAGCACTGCAGCTGGCTGGCGGGGCGACTTCCAGCCTCAACCCACGTTCTCGGGGACGGGTCGTGGGTAGTTCCGCATAGATGCGGGGGACCAGCCGGCTTGCGTGTTGTGTTCTGGGGACGGAGGGGCACTGTTACATACATACTCCAGGGCCTTGGGTCGTCGGGTCGTTCCGACATTGCACCACTGCGGAGGCTGAAGGTGCAAAGTTGGAGAAAAGGTGGGGAGAGTGCGGGGTTGTCCCGGCGCCGTTGGTCTGGGGGTTTCGGTTTGTCAACTCGGCTGGACTACTTCCTGGTGTCTGTCTGTCAATGCTTTGCGGACAACAGCAAGCAAGAGTGTATTGCAGACGGTGGTGCACTCTGCAGCAACCTTCGTATGTGACGAGGGATCCTCATCATTTCCTTGAGCCGTGGCATCGCACCATTCTTGGACACTGCCACCTGTGTTCATCAGCTGGGACGCAATCCCTGGTCTTTCGAAAGCTGTCATAAAGCCATCCTAGGGTGTCATGGAACTACTTGCCGCAACCGGAGAGTTGGCATAACCCTTCGCCAAGGCGTCAAGCTCAAGTCGCCTCGAGGTGTGGCATACCCGGTGCTTGGGACGCTTGCCAGGTGCGTGCGACTCAGCACGGTGTCCACAGAACTCGGGTGGTTCCGCCTGGTCCCCGAGCGTTTCCCCAAGGCCAGTCTCCAGCCCCGAGAACAGGCGATATTCTTCGCGACAGTAGACGACAGAAAGTGTACTCGTATATGCATGCGAGCTCTTTGCAACTTGGTGACGTTTCCCACTTTATGGTGCAGGACATCCTTCGCAGCGGTAAGTACCACACTCCCAAGTTGTACACTTAACCTCAGTCATGGCGCCGCAAGCACAAACTCGCAGGCCCAACTTCCTCGTCATCCTCGTCGATGACCTCGCGTGGTCTGACACGGGCTGCTTCGGCGGCGAGATCTCGACCCCGCACATTGACGCACTCGCCCAGACGGGCCTGCGCTTTACAGACTTCCATGCCTCGGCTCTGTGCGCGCCCACGCGGTCGATGCTGCTCACCGGCACCGACCACCACCTCACGGGGCTAGGCCAGCTGCCAGAGTTCATCGCCCGTTCGCCGTCACACTCGGGAAAGCCGGGCCACGAGGGCTATCTCAATGACCACGTCGTTGCCTTTCCCGAGCTGCTGCGCGATGCAGGCTACTTCACGACCATGAGTGGCAAGTGGCACCTGGGGCTCGACAAGGAGCATAGCCCTTTGGTCAAGGGTGGCTTCGAGCGCTCCTTTGCCATGCTGCGCGGCTGCTGCAACCACTACGCCTACGAGCCCGAGGTCGCCAACAAGGCCGACGTCCCAGCCTTCTTTTCGACCAACACGGCCGCCTACCACCGCGAGGACGAGCACATCGTCACAAAACTCCCCAAAGACTTTTACTCGTCCGATTTCTATGCCGACAAGCTCCTCGAGTACCTGACCGGCAACCAGGAGTCGGACCCCGACAGACCGTTCTTCGCCTATCTGCCCTTTACCGCCGCGCACTGGCCGATCCAGGCGCCGCGGGAAAACATGGAGCACTATCGGGGCCGGTACGACGCGGGGCCCCTCGCGCTGCGCAAGGAGCGCATCGAGCGGCAGAAGAAGATGGGGCTGATCCCGGAGAACGTGGTGCCGCACCCCGTCGTGGCTCCCGAGGTGCCCGCGTGGGACGACATGACGGACGATGCGCGCGCGCGGTCGTGCCGCACCATGGAGGCATACGCGGGCATGGTAGAGCGCATGGACGAAAACGTCGGCAAGGTCGTCGAGTACCTCAAGAGGTCTGGGCAGTATGAGGACACGTACATTTTCTTCCTGAGCGACAATGGTATGTCCAATCTTTGGTGCTCTTCCATCTCTCCTTCCCCGGCTTCAAGGAGCCAAAATCGGACCTCTCTTTTCACTTGTTCTGGGTCCATAACGATCCACTAACCACTCTTATTGTCATGTTCAGGGGCCGAAGGCGCGGCCATTGAAGCCGGCCCCACGATGCAGGGCAATACCCTTGCGCACATGCAGAAGTACTACGACAATTCCCTCGACAACATTGGTCGCGCAAATTCGTACTGCTGGTACGGACCTCTGTGGTCGCAGGCCGGCACGGCCCCGTGTCGCCTGCACAAGTGGTTCAGCACCGAGGGCGGGATCCGCGTGCCGTTCATCCTGTCCAAGCCTGGACTGCCCCGCAAGCAGGAGGCCGGTCAGATCGAATCCGCCTTTGGCACCGTCATGGACCTCGCGCCGACAATCCTGGACCTTGCTGGCGTTCCTGCACAGAACGGCGGCGTGTTCAAGGGGAGGCAGGTGTACCCCGTCAAGGGTGTTTCGTGGAAGCACTGGCTCGCGAGCACAGATGGTGGGAAAGAGCTGAAGGTGGATGAAGACATGATCCACCCCCCGGATTACGAGGTAGGCTGGGAGCTCATGGGTTGCGCAGCGTTCCGCAAGGGCTACTGGAAGGTGAACTGGGTGCCGCCGCCCAAGGGGCCCGGAAAATGGCAACTGTACGACCTGTCTCAGGATCAGGGAGAGACCAAGGACCTGGCAGAGGAGATGCCGCACAAGCTTGAGGAGCTGGTCGGCTTATGGGATCGGTATGCCAAGGATGTCGGCGTGGTCGGGCTCAAGAACGAGCTGCAGGATTATCGCGCCCTTACGGCGGAGGAAATCTCGGCAGATACCACATGGCTGCGGTTCATGAATGCGCACGAGGAGCCTGTAGGAGCAGCTGCGTGACGCGCAGTTCCCACGGCGTATTCCTTTGAAAGTCAGGATGTCGACTTGCTTCACTGAAGGACAAAGAGAACAGAACAACCTTGTCATGGGTAAAGCTATCAATTTCACGTGATGTTTCGTATGCTTCTTGAATCAAAGACGGTCCCGTGCAAGCTGTTTTGTCCCAACTTTACCCAAGTGCTTGCTCTAAAGATCGTGAATGATGCTGGAGCTTCCCAGAGGGTGGGAAACACGAAATGTCTGTCGACGCCACCACACTACCATCAGAGAGTCGGCGACTCCGGGGGGCTCCAGCCTGCGAACGCGAAGTCGAATCACGGAGACCTTGAATTTGAACATGCACGGCGGAATTCCAGAGATAATGGAGACTTGTAGTGACTTTTTTGTTTTGAGAGGTGACTAGGCATTTGGGCTCGGACAAACCTTGAGGCCAGCATCGTACAGCCCTGTCTCCTGGACATATCTGCCCCAGTCCTCGAGCAGACCAAAAAGCACGTGCGAGTGCTCATTTGCCAGATTATTAGTCTCGCCCAGGTCTGAACTCAGATCGTACAGCTCCCACTCGTCCGGCCCCATTGGTGCCGGCACGAACACAGCTTTCCAGTTCCCTCTCCGCACAGCCCGCCGCCCAAAGAGCTCCCAGCCCGTGAAACTGTCTTCGTCCGAATGTACCGCCTCGGTGGTGCCCTGGAGATATGGAACCCAGGACGCCCCACGCATAGGCACGACATCCCTGCCACGGAACTTTCCAGAGCCGGGGTGTTCTATGCCAGCGAGGTCGAGCATTGTAGGTAGAATATCCATGCATGTTGTGAACTGGTGCGAAACCTGCGCAGAACCGGAACTGCTCGTGGCCCTTTGCAGCCTAGGATATCGCACAATGCACGGACACCGGATTCCGCCTTCGAAAGTGTACGTCTTAAACCCCTTTGACGGGGCAGTCGCGGCTGCCGCCCACCTTGCTCCATACCATACGAAGCTGTCCGCGTTGCCGATATTCGCCAGCGAGTTGTCGTAGTACTTCTCCACAACCTTTTCGAGCGGTGTCGCCCCAATTATGGGCAGGGCCTCGAGGAATTTGCCCTCGGCGCCGTTGTCCGACATGAAGAGCACAAACGTGTTGTCCAGCTCCCCAAGCTTCTCGAGATGCTCAATCACTCTGCCGAGATTGCTGTCGAGAAGATCTACCATGGCCGCGTACGTCTCCATGCGCCGTGCCGAGAGGGTCTTGTCTGCCTCAGTCTTGTCCGGCCACTCCGTCTTTTCGTATCCCATCATGGGAGCCGGAACGACGTCGGCGGGTACGAGCCCGCGCTCAACCAGGCCCTTGATGCGAGCATCGCGAAGAGCCTCGGGTCCTTGATTGTAACGGCCGTTGTATTTCTCGATGCTGGCGCGCGGAGCCTGCAACGGCCAGTGCGGCGCAGTATACGCGAGGTACGCAAAGAATGGCTTGTCTTTGGTTGTCGGGTCGTTCTTATGCTCCGACAGCTGCTCAATCATCTTGTCGGAGAAGACTTCAGTCGAGTAAAAGTCCTTGGGCAGATCCTTCTTGCGGTCCAGCATCTCGCCGTTCTCCATCCACAGCCCGTCGCTCTTGACGGCCGGCATCTGAAAGGCGCCGTCGTCGAGCTGCGGTTCATTGTTGAAGTGGTTGCCACATCCGGCAAGGTACGTGAAGTCCTTGGCGAAGCCACGTGCGGATGGAGAGAGTTCCTTCTTGAGACCGAGGTGCCTTGTGACTGAATATTAGTGAGGCCAAGCAAACAAGATACAAACAATTTGGGTACGGATGGGGAGGGCGTCAGTGATCTTCCAGGATGCAGGTCGCGACTAACCACTTTCCCGATATCATTGTGTGGTAGCCAGCATCTTGCAGGATCTCTGCCGCACATGCGACACGGAAGTTGAGGTATCCCTCATACCCCGGTTTCCCTTTGTATTCTGGTCGCCGTGCCATGAACTCGGCCATCTGGCCTAGGCCAGCGATATGGTTGCTGTGGAAGACAGGTGTAAGCCAATGACACTGGCGGGACGCCGCTGGGGGTGTCACAGATGCAGCTACATACTCTGTACCCGAGAGCAGCATGGCCCTCGTGGGTGAACATGCTGGCGCAGTGTGGAAGCCAGTGAGGACGAGACCTTCACTTGCGAGCCTGTCGAGACACGGAGTTTCTATCTCGGAGCCGTACGGTCCAGTGTCGCTGAAGCCGAGGTCGTCGGCCACGACGATGAGAAAGTTGGGCTGCCTTGTCATGGTGATTATGCGTTGGTTTGGCTCAAAGACTTGCGCAGCCGAGATATCCTGTCCATGGAGGATGAATGAAAGACAAAGTCTGGTCCAGGCGTGGGCAATGTGTGCCAAGAGAAACACTTGATCAGACACCTACCTCCCTGATTGTGGCTCAAGAGCAGCACGTCCCCCGCATTCCCCCATCTTCGGAGCCACCCGAGCACAATCCCGTCAACTCGGGAGCCGTTCCGCTAGTGGAGGACGACAATCTGCCCAGTGGGTAATTTTGGGTGGAGAGCAAGCAGCTTCAGCCACTCAGAGGCTGCGAATGGCAAGCACATCAACGTCTTGGCCAATGGCGACATTTCTCGGGTCATTCCGAGGGGGGCCTATATCTTGGTTCTTGGCCTTGCACCCTCCAGCCGCCTTTGGCCTAAGAAATCGCCGTAGCACACCAGCGCGCCGGTTACGACTCAGTGCACCACGCGTTGACAGGAAATCCGGGGTGCAGCCGCTCTCCCCCCGCATCCCCAGCCTTCCCCATACTTCCCAGTCGGTGAACGTGGGTGTGCTCCTGCCACAAGGTTATATGTAACCGACAGGGAACCAGAAAAGGGCACGAGTCAACCTCCCGACCATAGCATGTCTGAGCGGGATTTCGCAGCTGCACGTTCCCGGTCAGACTCACGCTTCCCAGCACAGGCACGGCTCTACTTGCACAAAGTCGCCCATCATGTTGACCTTTCTACGCGACCACAACTATAAGCTCAGCGAGCATGTCACATCGAACCTGGCTCTGGCCATCGTGACTATGATGTCAAGCATCTTCGCCTACGGCTTTGAGACGTCAGTTCTCTCCACCATCCAAGCCATGGATGGTAAGTCCGTCTGTCTCTTGGCTTTCCATCTAGACACACTAAGAGCGCACATGGAAGCGAGCGCTGACCCAGGCATGGCTCCATGTAGCATACGAAGAGCAGTTCGGCGAGTGGAACCCCAAGAAGCAAGTCTGGGAGTTCACCCCCAGTCGGCTTGCCTATCTCAACTCGTTTCCACTCATCACGTACGCCCTGGGTGTTTTCTTGGCATCCTTTGTAGGCGAGAGATACGGCCGTAAGACGGTCTTCATCTCCATGAACTCTATCTGCCTGGTCGGCGTCATTGTCGCGTATACAGGTCGCAACTACACTGAAGCTCTTGTCGGTCGCTTGGTTATCAACATACATGTTGGCATGGAGGCCTGGCTCGTGCCCATGTGGACTGCCGAAATCGTTCCCAGCGCCATTCGTGGTTCCAGTAAGTCAATCTTTATCCCCATCCCGGAAGTGCGATGAGCCCACTAACCCCCCGTGCCCCAAAGTGGTTGGCATGTACGCTTTCAGTCACGTCCTCGCCGCCTTCATCGCCTCTGTCATCACCGACAGAACTAGCAAGATCGAGGGCCAGGACAGCTGGTTGATCCCAGTCGCTTGCATGTTCATCTTTCCTTCGACCGCACTTGTCTTCTCCTGGCTCATTCCCGAGTCCCCACGCTGGCTCATCCGGAAGGGCAAGTTTGATAAAGCCGTCGACAACATCTACTACATCCGGAGTGCTACCAAGGACTATGCCGCAGAGGAAGAAGCGCGTTTGGTCCAGGAAGCTCTGAACGACACGCCCACAAAGGGCAAATGGAGAGAACTCTTTCAGGGTACCAATAACGTGAGTCCTGACCATTGAGGCTTTTACGGCAATCTATTTACCCTGATTAACCCTCTTTATGCTTCTTTTGTCACAGCGCCGCACGTGGACTGGTATTCTGGCTTCTGTCGCTACACAAATCACTGGCCAGGCATTTGCCTCGAACTACGGCACCATCTTTCTCAAGATGCTCAACGTCATGGACCCTTTCACCGGTACCATGATCAAGCGTGCCGGTCTTCTTTTGGGAACCATTTTCGTTATCACGATGGTCGATCGCATTGGCCGACGCAACACGTCGATCATCTTCGGTAGTCTGACTGCCTCGTGCCTCCTCATCATGGGCGCTTTGGGCACCGTCACTCCGTCCAATGTCGGCCTGCAGAAGGGTGTCCTGGCTATGTCAATCATCTTCCCATGCACCTATATGATCGGCTTTGGTTCAACGTAAGGCGGCTTCTCATACTTCCTACGAGACAATTTATTCCTTCCTAGCGCCTACACTTCCGGGGGAAAACAATGCTAACCTGTCCTGAAACGGATGACAGCATGCAAGTCGTCAAGTCAGAGATCCCGCACACCACGTTGCGTGACAAGTCCGGGCTCGTATTCTGGACACTCGCCAACCTCTCCAACTTCCTCGTCACCTTCACCCTGCCGTACCTGCTTTCGGCGCCGTACGCCAACCTCGGCGCCCGCGTGGGGCTCATCTACGGCAGCATCTCGGTGGCCACGGTCGTGCTCATCTTCCTCTTCGTTCCGGAGATGAAGAACCGCTCGCTCGAAGAGGTCAACGAGATGTTTGAGGCTAAAGTTCCGGCCTGGAGAGCCAAAGGTATGTTATATCCCCCGTCTTTCTTGCCTTCTGTTGGAGCATTGCTTTCTCGGCAGACTTTGCGAAGCTAACATTCTCCGTTTGAATCACGGCAGATTTTGTCGCCACCGGCACGAACGCCGCGGCAATTCGAAGACTCGAGAATCACGAGCGGGGGTCTGTTGATGACAAGTTAGGTGGATCAGCTGTCGTTGTGCACTCAGAGGAAGCTAGGAAGTAGGAAAGCTGTCCTTGACACCCTTGTACATTCTCCGAGGCTTGAGAACCGACCTGCAAGCGCCACGGTTACGCACGTGCAGGAACAAGTAATATACAAATGTATACGGTACTGTAGGACCGATAAAGCTTTCCCACATATAATGCAGAGGTCTCTCGGCAAAACGAAACGTGTGGCGGTCAGAAACACCGGCCAGTGACAGTGTGAGTTCGAGTTTGATACATGTCATAGCCACTGGGATGTGATGTATCTGCAGAATATGCTTGACCAGGACGATGCCCTCATTCAACATAATGCCGGTACTTCCGACCACCGTACGCGGTAGCAGTAAAATCTTTGTTCTCGATGCGTAAGCCACAACATTGCCACTCAAATCACTTCATATCATTTTTGCAGGGCATGCGAAACAGGCTCAAGTGTTAAGCCTCAAATCGAATAGCTGTAGTATCTTCAAGCTTGATGCCGTATGGCCGCAGGGCCAGGCCCAAGTCTCTGAGATTATCGACTGTCGCCCACAGTCCGGCACAACAGACGAAGGCTGTATTCGCGAAATGGATTGACCCATAGTCCTCACCCTGCAGTCATATATGGAGATGTTGTCTCGCGAAACCCGGACTCGGGCGAGCTTTTACCCATCGACATTGACGGCATCGTCAAGCCCCTGCGGGCAAACCCGTCCGCGAATCAGACACAGCTCGGCCTCGTGAATTTTGACAGTCACGTATTCCTGAAATAAACGGCGCCAAACGGCGCCTTACGGTAGGGAGATGTTGCCGGGCTGTGCTGGCTCGCTGTGATTCATCCCATAACAGCAGTGCTGCTACGGCACCGCTCGTGCCTGCGATGCTGGCGATGCCGCGCTCGAAGAGCATCTAGTGGCTGTCTGCGGGTACCGCCATATTCATGGGACGTCGCCCGCCTGGGCTGCCGACGAGGTTGTACACGATGGCTTCACGTCATTCGCACCCAGCTATCTCACACCAGAAAACATTGCGAGTCAGCCAGAGCTATCATATCCGCCTTCTCCCAAGTTTGACTGGAGTGTTGCCGGCCACGCTTGAATCAGCTCATGTGACCCCGAAGGTTCGTTATGAATTTCTTTGCCTGTGGTCGTGTCCCAAAGTACGTCTCTCAGATCACCTTATTCATAGTTGGGAATGGCCGGTTGAGCGGGCTGATACTCAGTGGGATTCTGCCAAAAGTTTTGATCTCTTTGTACATCTCCATTATGGTATGGCTACACAATCATTCTAAGTTTATGCCATGACCGCTGTGGCTGTTATACTGCGATCGAAATCCTCTTCAGACGGCACGCTACAGGGCGCTTCAAAAGCAAGCATCAACGGTCGCGTCAAACTCTGTCGGGCCAATGTAGTGGGCGGTCTGAACCGAACCACCATCGACGACCTCGATTTCGTCGGGAGTGATCTGGTGGCAGTAGGTGATGTTGGACCGTGAGTTCAGTGGGTACCAGACGCCGAAGCGGTATCCGCCATCTTGAGTGCTGACGATGCCCCAGGTGTAGGCCGCGTTGTCCGCGCACTTTCCGTCGCCGACGGCGGGCAGTGTGCCACTACCGATGTAGGTACCGTTGCAGTGGCTTGGCGGAAGAGAGGGATCGGGCTTGACAGTGAACTGGTAGTTGCAAAAGGCCGAGTGGGGGATACATGAGGCTGAGAACGAGCCGATCTGCTTGCTGGGCGCCTGCCTGTGCTCAAGAGTGGCAGCAGAAGCAGCAGTGGCGAGAGAGAGGGTAGTGAAGAATTTCATGTTGGTGGCTGGCTGTATTGCGTGATCTTGGGTTTTGGCGTTGTGGACGGGACACGCGGGATGGTCTCAAAGATGTGTGAATAGCTCTGTGTAGATATTTGGCTTAAGTGGTCGTATCGTGATGAGCAGAATCTACAACTTGGTGGGACAGGGCACCTGTTTATATACGTCGAGAACGGCACCAATCTCCTGCATCAGGCCGGTTTGCCGTTGCCCCTGAGGTCATGATCCTGGCCCGGAATGCAACGGCGGGGATAGACACACTGGAGCCGGCATACGAAGATCCCATGCTGCCCGTGAACCAGGAGCGTGGCGCGGAGCGGCACGCAAGGCACGGCGACAAGTGCCGGCATTGCAATATCGGAGGCTTCATGCGGTTGTGGGGAAGACCAGGGTGAGTGCCGATCATCTCGTGTTGATGCGGGCGCCAGCAACAGAAAAGAGGCAAAACAAAAAAAAGGACAAGGGACTACGGTGACGTCACAGGAAGAAGCCTGCCAAGGTAGGGGTCCATCCACGATGGGCCGCGCCGAACCCTAGACGATGCATGTACCGAGGCTAGCGAATCTGGGAGGTCGCAATTAGTCACGTCATGCACGACTGCACGGGTCAACATCTCATCATCTTAACGCAGAGGTGGCCGAATGTCCGTTAACTACTTGAGCAATCTTCCTCTCTGGTCTTTTCAAGGAGCAATGCTTACACAGAGCAGTCCTTGGGGCTTCAGACGATTGCATATCGCCTTGTTATACATGGTAGCTTTGTTGTCCTGTTACCTCAGGCTGCGTCCCCGGCAGCCCTGGACCTTGTGAGGTCAATGTCGTGGGTGATAGGCGTGCATCAGATGAAACGTTGCTCGGAAACAGCCGTATTTTCCGCAGAAGTTATGGTAGCAGTTGAGGGGGCTGTTCGCACCGAAAATACCACCACAAGTCTATGCAGGTAGTGCTGTGGCTCTCCGAGTTGCACACCTCTGAGTATCGACTATTTCGACCTGTTTTGACATTCGAGCCATGTCTGAGCATGGAAATTGTCCACATGTCAAGAATATGGAGCTACGTATCGTAAGTTGGCATATGCTGGCAAGTTTTTCTGTGCAGATCGGAGTGTGGAGCTTTTGAAAGGGAGTCGGACTCATCTCAAGCGCAACGCAAAACATACGCCCATAGAGATGTATGGGTGCTCTGTCGCCATAACGCCGGCTGTCGCTGCTTCGGACGCAAAAATCTACTAACGCAATGCGGCAAGAGATTGTGAGTGATACGACCGACGAGAAGGGCTGCTCGCCCGAGCAAATACATACGCTGCAGGGGCGGTATCGCCAGGTATGCAAGACCCTGGCAGCCTCCAGCTTGGCGGGCAAGAGTATTCGGCCCCTCTGGGGGAGGTGGTGCCAGCAGCACGCGATGCCGGAGCTCGCGTCGAGATAAGGCAGGTTTGACTGCCCAGGTGACCGCCGACGTGTTGATGCATGCGTGGCGGCTGTTTCCTGGGGCTCAGGTGTCTATCTGCTCAGCCCTGCTTCTAGGGCGCTTCTAGGGGGCTTAGAAGCCTCTCTCCCGGGAGCCCTGTCTTCAGCTCCAACCACAGGGTCCAGACCTGCCATTGTCATTGGCTTGTTTACTGGCTGCCTGCACACTTAGCGGGGCATGCTTCGATTACCGCTTTCGGGGTCGGTCACGGAATAGCAACTTCGCGGCATTTGATGGACGACTGACTCCTCCTGCTTCGGGGCTTGGCACAGAAATGCAGAACCACGGCGGTGCATATAATACGCAAGGCGAGCCTGGCCTCGGCCGCGGCACTGATCGGATTTCATAGACATTAGACACCCCCATCCGCATAGTTCAGGCACAATAGTTGACGACGAAACAGATTCGCAGCCTCTGTGTCTGGAACTTAAAAACACACACACCACACACACACACACACACAGAGAGAGAGAGAGAGAGAGAGAGAGAGAGAAAGTTTGGTGCACATTAAGCATGTGCTTCGGCGTAAGTGACCCTTTCTTGTCCATCTGGATTACCCAATCTCCGCTTGCTCTTCTCTGCCCAAGTATCGGAGCTGTGCTAACACTCTCATGCATCTACAGAGCAGACCACAATACCAACAAGGCGGCGACGGTCCGAGGCCGATGCAGCAGCCAGGCTATGTCGACTGGAAAGGTCGCTGGTATCCTAGCGAGAAGGATTACAAAAAAGCCAAGAGACGCCGTAGGCGTAGATATGCGGCCCTCAGCGCAGGTGGTGTGACAAGTTTTGCGGGCGGGGGGTGTTGAAGAGAAACAGGGGGCAGCATATGTATATATTCTAATAGAAAGCACTTGCGTCCTGATATTGACCACATCATATACATCTCTAGGCGATGCATATGGCGAAAACAGCAGGAGCGCAGGAGCCGTCACGAGATTGGAATTCAGTAGTTTGGCTACAACTCAACAGCAAGATTCTGGGTTCTTGGCTGGTGTTTACTCGTACAAATTTGCAGCGTGAAGCATTCTATGGTGAACCTTTCCCGCCAAGTGCAAACTCGCGACATACCGGACAAAGATGGACGGTGATCTTGAAGCTGCCAGCAGAGGTCCGTGCCATTCTCAGATAACCTGGCAAGCTTTTGACGACTGCTTAGAGCGTGTCATGATAAATTTGTTTCGGTTATCGAGCAGAATCTGTGTATGCCTACCGTTTGCTCGGACAAAGGTGACATCCCATATAATGGGCCAACACAAGTTGTTCCATTTTGAAGAGGGAAAAGGAAGCGAACACTTCGAAACCCTGGAATTGCTTGAGGCTTCTTTCAGCTGGAGCCCTAAGCATACCCCTACCACAACTACCTCGGCTAGAGTTTGTCCTGGATCAAAGTTTCCGGGGCTACCTACATCTCCCCCGAGTGATTACCTATTTCTCTCCTCAGCCCCTGCGGTGAGTTGCACTCCTGAAGCTTCACGGACGGTTAGGAAGGACACATTATCGCCCTGAACCAGACAGACACTGTGCGGTGGGAACCCGAAACACGGGAAGCACTTACTCAACACAGTTATCTAAGCTTGAGACATCATTGCTCGCGTTCGTTTGCGACCAGCGGCCATGCATACTGGTCGACGCGCCAGGACAGCCAACCAACAGCATATGCTGCAAGCCAAGTGCTCGGGCGCCTGGACCATGTAACCTCAAGCCCAACATTGTCAGCCTGCGACCAGCGTCATTGGACAAGAGAGCTGTGGGAGGCCAACCAACTCCATTACGCGGCCTATTCTGTAGCCTGTTGGCCGTCGTGCAACCTCCCGGCAGGACAAACATTGGTACGCGCAGGTCATCATGACTCTAAGCGCGAAGGTATACTTTAAAGACACGAGACTGTCCGTCACCCTCGGGAGAACCGTATCATTTCGCCTGCCACCCGTCTTTTCCCGGAAACCGCACACCCCCGATGGATGTCAAAGATGTCTCCGACGAGCACTGGCTCGGCCCCTTTCTGCAGCAATGGGAGCAAAGCGCAGGGCAAGCACGGCAGAGCAAAGGACAGCTAGTACGCGAGCACCCACCTCCGTTTCAGCTGGTGGCACGGTTCATGATGAAGCTGCGCATGGCCGCAGAACGCGGCCAAACGCCAGCATCAGGTGCCATGGCGACCTCGCAGCTTCCCCCACCCTATCCTCCCTGCGTACGCCCTCTCAACGAGCTGGAGCCCATGGCCATTGCTGACATGAGGCTTGAAACTCACCACCGCGGCGAGAGAGTGACTCTTCGCGCTCTCACCCCGCCAGACCGCATGACTGCCGTCATGGCAGTGGTGGAGGATGAGTGGGGGACGGCCGTGTTGCTTCAGTCCTACTACCAGGCAGACGAAGCGGTCGTCCCCGCCGATAAGGTCATGCAGCAAGGCGACATATTCATTCTCAAAGAGCCTTTCTTCAAGATGGCGACGGACGGTTCCTACTCATTGCGGGTTGATCACCTGGGCGACCTTATTCGATTGGCCGACGACGACCAGCGCGTTCCGTCACAGTGGACCAAGCGTCAGTCTACCTCCCTCCAGAGGTCCAGCAAGGACATTCGGCTTCAAGGCAATGCAGCAGTACAGGCAATGAAGTGGGCAGAGGCACATCGCCTGTAAGACTTTTCGCAGTACCAATGAGTTGCATGGTTTATCAATCTCTAAGTAGACTCCAACTGACCATACTCGTTTCATAGCTACACATCTGCCATCAAGGCTGCCGCAACACCGGAAGATGAGCAGCTGGCTCATCTCAATCGCTCATTAGCCCACTTGAGGCTCGGCCAACCAGCAAAGGCTCTCATGGACGCCGAGCAAGCGGAGAATCTCGAGTGTCCGACAGAAAAGTGTCTTTTCCGCACGGCACGGGCCTTGTATGAGCTCCAAGACTACGCCAAGTCCCTGGAGATCTTGGAGAGGCTTGTGGCCCTGTACCCAGACAGCACAGGTGCAAAACCCGAGATTCAGCGAGTCAAGATCCGCTTGCGCGAGCAGCAAACTGGTGCCTACTCATTCCGGCAGATGTACAAGCAGGCAAAAGCAACGCCTCCGCTGATTGACTGCGCGACCTTCCATGCACCCGTCGAGATTCGCTCGTCGCCGGGGAGGGGTAACGGCCTCTTCACCACGATCCCAGTCTCTGCCGGGCAGTTGCTGGTCTGTGAGAAGGCATTTGGATACAGCTATGCTGGCAAGGATCGACCCGGGACTATGAGCCTGTTGATCAACCTGTCGACGAAAAAAGCCGTCATGGGTGGACAGGTCAATCTCCTCACACAGGTTATTCAGAAGATGTTCAATGATCCTCGGGCACGGGATCTGTGCCACGAGCTGCACCACGGCAGCTTTGACATTCCCCAAGCAGCAGAAGTTGATGGTAACCCTGTTGTTGACTCGTAAGTCATCTCAATTTATGGCATCAAAGGCATATTCTAACCGCTTCAAAAGCTTCTTGGTCGCCCAGATCCTGTCCCTCAATGCCTTTGGCGCGCCGAGGACGTCCCGTGACTCGCTCGCCCAGAGGTCTACTGGAGGCAAGGACAACAAAGTCGCTCAAGAGGGCAAGTTCGACATCTCTGGCATTTGGTTGCTAGCCTCGCGCATCAACCACTCGTGCGTCGGCAACTGTCGCCGCTCGTTCATCGGGGACATGCAGATTATCCGCGCGACCAGAGACCTCGATGCCGGTACCGAGCTCCTGTTCGGCTACCGCGCACCGCAGCCTCTGGAGTCGTACGCCGATGTCCAGAAGGGGCTCAGCTCATGGGGTTTCACGTGTGGCTGCGAGCTCTGCCTCACCAGGAAAAGCACCACAAACGAGGCGCTCGCCCGCCGCAAGACCCTGACCAAGAAGCTGGCAGGCGTCCTCAATGGCTACCAGAACACAAACATCGCCGCGGCGCAGCGAATACTTCTGCAGATGGAGGAGACTTACCCGCCGTCGGCCAACGCACCAGGCGCCATCCGGTTGGAGCTGTGGGACCCGTACTTTGCCGTGGGCGCTGCTCTGCTATCTGAAGGCAAACCTGCGGTATGTATCAAGATGATACTCAAGGGCTTGGAGACCTTGGGTTTTGTGGTCACCGCCACCGCCCCGTCGGCGGTCAAGAAGGCCGTGCTCGAGGTCACACGATGGGGGTACATGGTTGATATGGTGCCATGGGCATTTCTACAGCTCTTTGGGGCTTACGAGCGATTAGCTCCCGAAGTGTGCGTTACTGCCAGATCATACGCTGGCACCGCTTATCGCATCATCGTGGGAGAGGATGAGACTCTGACCGAGCAATTTCCGCAGCTGGGGTGACGTCAGTCTTCTCACGGAAAATGAAACCCAAGCACGTAGAAGTTGCCCATCGGGAAGCCCCTCATCTTATCCATCGAAAGACACATCCCTCTCATTTCGATGCCCCGTCCGTGTCCGATTCGACTCCAGAGTGAACCCCTATTATACTTGTGGGAAATTGATTTTTCCATCATGTCTAATCATTGATTGTTGTGCATCCTCGAGGCGAACAAGTTCGCAAGCAACCTTGATGAGTTTGTGAACTGATCTGATCCTGAGGCCATGTCTGAGCTGATCTGAGGTACACACAACTTGGCCTCGATCCTTCCGTAGCCAGTGTACAACTTTTGCCAAGTCATGGGGGTGGTTGAGCTTGGGCCAGGCTTGGCGTGGGAGGGCACGAATGTGCTCTGACAGGATGCTGGTAGCCCCGGCGGCGGCCTCTCAATTCACCAGAGACGCGCTGGTTGTGCTTGCTCACTCCCCATCCTGTGGCATTTTCAGGTATGACGGGCGTCGTTCGTTCAACCCAGCCCACACATCGGTTTCAAAACCCCACATTTCTGTCCTCCGATTTAAGTCTTCGCAGCACCTGACTGACAAATCACGATCCGCAGCGGTGGTCTGCAATCCTCCAAGTCTCCCCTGGCCTGCGGGTACTGGATAGAGGGTTTTCTACCATGGAGCGCCGTGGCTGAGTCCGAAATTGTCAAAATCAAAAATGGACCCCCGAAAATGGCGCGCATTGCTACTAGAGGCGTGCGGAGCGTCAAGACGCGAAGAGAACTTGCGGTTCGAAGTCTTCGGGACAGGACATCGATTCTTCAACGGCAAAACAGATTCTGGGTCCCCAAACCCCCCCGAGAAAAGACTACAGAGAACAGACAACAACCGGTGGTTTTCCGAAGTCGTCAAGATACATCAGTCGCAACGCAATGCCGACGCTACAGCGAGCGAAGTCGGAAGTGCCATTGACAACCTCTCCATGCCAGGTTTGTCAGACGGATCCAGCTCTCGGTTCAGCGCTGGAACACTTTCGGAAGGTGGTAATGCTATCAAGTGGACAGCGCCAACCGGAATGATCGACAACACAGCACTCGCATTCTGCGGTTATCGGCCTCCTATTATGACAGACCATGATCTACTCCTTGGGGACTTGAAACGGGTTTTCGACAAGCCATGCCACGTTGGGCCGGACGGGAGCATGGAGTTGCCTCTGGGCGAGGCAGATTTTCCCCCTGGTGCGTAATGCAGTCACGATATTCGGGCACTGCTCGACCGATTCGCGTTGACGTTTGGAACTATTCCTACCACCAGTCCCTACGACCAGAAAGGGCGGGTGACAGTTCCGAACCCGCAGGACGGATGCGACGATGATCCAGTGGCAGCAAGTAGGGGCGTTAGCGAAGGAGAGACCCAGTCTGCTCGCTCCTTAGACCTGACCTCTGATCATCCGCCCGGGCAGGCGCACTGGGATAGAACCAGGTCTTCGTCATCGAGCCATCTGCCGTCGAGAGGAGAAATGTCGACTCCACCGAACGATTCAGCCTCTTCGTCTGATTACGAATGGTCTACAGATGCACACGACTCGATTGGGGGAGACCTCTGGATGAGTCCCGTAGCAATACGCCCATACGAGTATCAGACCTATCTGCAACATTTTGAAGCAGTAATGGAGACTGCACTAGAACGGTTTGCACTATGGATCTGCCACAGGCAGCGAGTCAACATGGTGAACGACAAGACAACTACCGGACAAAGCAAACCAGGGTCCAGCCAGAATGCGACGGGCATATCGCAAATATTCCCCCAGAAGCGACCAAGAAGAATTTCTGGAACTGGCAACGACGACGACTCCGCTGACGACGAGGAAAGAGATGACTCCCGAGGAAAGAAAAAGGTCAAGACAGGGGAAGTTGATGAGACAGCCCGTAACTTCGCTTGTCCATTCTACAGAATGGATTACACTAAGCACCACAAATGTCTCTCTCTCACACTTCGACGAATCAGAGACGTCAAACAGCATCTTGTGCGCAGGCACTTGCAACCTCTCTTCTGCTTCACCTGTGGTCAAGCATTCGCAACACAGGATTTGCAAGCAGCACATATTGTGGAGCGAACTTGCAATCGTCCCTCAAATTTCAGACCTCCCGAAGGCGTCACCAAGGACCAGAGGGACCAACTTTCGTCCAAGGTCAAGACAAGCATTTCGGCCTCCGAGCAGTGGTTCTCTGTTTGGGACATCATCTTCCCCACAAAACCACGACCAGCTTCGCCCTATATAAACGAAGCGTTTGTTGAGCCAATCGCGGAATTCCGACGCTTCTGGGACAAGCGTGGCCAGAGCATTATTCAGGAAAGAATGTCCGAGGAAGAAGGGAGGATGCGAGTATTTGCCTTCAACTACGGCCGCGAATTGATGACGATGTTCACTGAGCAACTCAGTGCACGAGAAGGTTCACTTGCTGAGCACGGATGCGCTCCGGCAGGAGATGCTACATCTTCCCACTACGCACAGGATGCGGTTCCCTCGCTGCCAGATCTCACCTCTGAGCCAAGCGCTGAATCAGCCAACGAAACAATCGCCACGTCGCGCTACCAGGGCTCAGGATCTGCTCCAAGAGGCCCTAGAGAGCAATACTTGTACCAAGATGGACTTGGTGAGGTCGTTGTTCAAGACCCTGCAGCTTCTTCATCATCTGGAATAGAGTTGAAGCCGACGACGACCTCCGCGATGTGTCCACCACAACAGCCGCTTAGTCACACTGATGACACTGGGGTTTCTGACCTGCTACCAGGTCATGCTGATGAAATGGTGCAGCTTTGGGCTCGCCTTGAAGAAGGTCGCGAGTTCAATATGGCTATGACAGCGCTTGATACAATGCTCCTCGAGGCCCTGGTAGATCACGAGCCTAGCACAATAGCCGACCCTTACGACAGATGAACAACAGGTGGCTATGTTTACTTTTCCGGCTGGAGCTGACGGACGGCTCCATACCTTCAAGCTAAGCGTTTCACGTTACTTTGACGTCTTATGGCAGGTATTCAGAGGCGGTGGATCTGGATCGGAATTAAGGATATATAGGGTTATAGCTCATTAAATAGTATGCTAGTGCTACTATTATATTAAAGCTAGTGGGAAGAAAGTCTGGGTAATCAGATACAACAGGCCGATAAACCCTGACATGATACAAGACCTCAGAACAGAGCTAGAAGCCCATCTGGTCCACTTCAAACTCAAAAGACCAGTCTCGTCTTGCCATCGCGCTTCACATACATCCAAATCCAATTTCAGTGCCCATCCTCCTTCTTCATCTGTAGACACAAACTGCCCCACGGGGCCATCATGGTGTACCAACGCCCACACCAACACCGAGGGCAGGGTCAACATCAACGTCGCAATCGGGGGTGAGGTGCAGGAGCCCCAGGACGAGGCCAACAACGAGGTCCACGACGGTCTTGAGCAGGCCGCCGACGAGGCCGCCGATGATTGGCGACCTGGCCTTGAGCTGCTTCACGGCGGCCGTGAGGTTTGCTTGCTGGGCAGTGATCTTTGAGCAGTGGAGAGGTTAGTCGCGGGTGCGTGGCGTCTGGTGGTGCTCGGAAAAGGATCTATGTCTTGCCGATCGAGTATGGTTGCGAGGGATGACTTACGTGGTCCAGAGCGTCGCAAAGGTCACCCTCGTCCTCAGGAGGGATTCCGCCATTGCCAAAAAGCGGGAGGATGTTGTTCAAGCCGCTGAGAAGGCCGGTGACCGTGGTAAGGCTGCCAAGGATACCCTGGTCAAGGCATGAGCAAAAGTGGTCCAGCGGTGGTGAGGCCAGGTGGAAGATAAAGTAGTGAACTTACAGGAAGACTGCCGGCAAGACCAAGAGGGTTGTTTCCCGCGCCTGAAGTCAGGCCAGTGGCAGTCTCGATCGCATCGCCAACTGCGCCGAGAGCGTCGAGGAGCTGGGTGACGAGAGGAATTTGAATGAGCTGGGCTTGAGAGGTGGTCACCAGGGCGGCGATAGCAATGGCCTTGATCCGCATGTTGAAAAATGGGGAGCGCACAGATTACAATAGTCCTCGGGGTGACTCAAGTCCAGCACGGATGGCCAAAAGCTGTGAGGATGGATAGGAGAACGTGAGGGTGTTATCTGGCACTAATGACAACTGCTCCCTTGCAGGATGCCCCAGAACTGTCAGGAATGTGGCGGGGAAAACCAAGCCATTTATACACGAAGCAGTTCGGGCTTTTGCACTCTTGTCCCTGCACGCCGGCTGGTTGGCTTTGTTTCTTGCCATGATAGTGCTTCCTCGCTTTCTCTATACTATCACGGCAAAGTCCGAGCCTCCGGAGGGTCTGGCTTGATGGATGACCCATCATGCTTCCTTAGCGCTAGGCAACCTGCAGCCTAATGTGGCTATAGACTTTCCCTATCATCGAAGATTCACAAGCAAGTGCCGAGTCTCGGGCTCCTGTAAGCGCCCGAGGCCACCTTGGCAGCTGCGGCCCGAGATCCTTAAAATGCGGGGCACAAGACAAGAGCGGGCTGAGAACTCTACGACCACTGGCGCGTTTCTTTCGCTGGAGCTGAATGGATTATGGGCTCGGGGCCTCGGCTGTTTCATATCGATACGCGTCTTTCATTTCGATTCTCATTGTACCGTGAGTAGACAGCTCCGTATCTTGGAGGTCTATGCTATGGGCATTACTGTCTTGTACAAACGGCAACCCCGTTGCACCATTTGCCACATCTCCATCCAAGATGGTGGGCTCGAAGACCCCGATGGTATAGCAGGTGTCATCTGACTTGCGTAAAGATGATGCCAGAGCACCATGTGGCCATCTGTCTCGGAGCTTTTTTCTCCTGCCTGTCTAGACCTTGTGAAATCGATGGTGTCGATCTCCTTGCAGGTTATGTGGAGGAGTTCATGCAGGTGTGATAGAAAATGCGGGTCTCTTTGAGCTGCCTAGAAAGATCCTCTGAAGTCTTTGAGGGAAGCGAAGTTGCGGGTGGTCAGTGTAGTGAGGCTGACACAAGACCTGGCTCCTTATGCTGATATGACGCTGGCTCGCCTGTCATGTCTTGCCAAGGAAGCATCTTTGGGGACCTTTGGACTTTTTGGGCTCTGGAGTTCTGGGAGCCTTGTCTGGGAAGCAATTCTCCATGATAGATGACTGGGTTGGCCCCCTCATGCCTGGGTGGTGGCTTCTCCTCTTGTGCCATGACGACAGACACACAGACAGGAGGAGCTACTTGATGCCCTTATAACTGAGACTATGGTGTGTGACGTGTCTAGGGGTCAGTAAGCGGTCGATTTCTCGCGGCTATCGAAGCAGCCCACTTCAACTTTGGTTACACCAAGCGCCTAAATGTGGCGTTTGGAAGCCATGGGGATAGTGGATGAGGCTTCGCATTGTTTCTGTCACTATTTTCGAGATGGCGTGACATCTTGGTTCTTCAACATCATGCGTGCGGGATACGATTTTGACTTGCGGGTTTACCCGCCGCGTGTGCCCTAGCTTCCACCGTAGCTAATGGAGTGTTTCCAACTCGCTGATCGGCAATGATCTGGCGCGTGAGCCACGCCGCTTTTCCTCGTCAGGAGAGACTGGGAGAGCGGGGTTGAAAGCAACAGAGACATGGAAGCGTCGCCCGCAATGTCTCTGATGGCCCGTCTGTCTCACATCGCCTTGCCAGTGGGAAAGTGTGGGTCGTACGTCGGTGAGGGAGGAGATTAAAAGAAAAACATCCAGCATGACCAGAGCTACGAGGTGCTGTAACAAAAGTTCTGTTCAATGTCGGGTCCCAACCACCTTTCTGAGAGACTAGGCATCTCGGTTAATCTTGTTACCGTAATAATCTGCTCGGCCGGCTTGAGGGCCAGAGTGAATCAGGGTGATTCTAGCACGGGAGCATGGCAGACAACATCGCGCCTACCTGAACATGATGACTCGGTGAATTATTGAATAGGAAAAGGATAACGACAAGAGGACGACGATCACTAGCACAGGACTTCTGCACGATTCAGTCCAGATGGGGCGAGCTTGTGAACACTTGTCTCACTTTTCGGCTGCGGCACGGCAACTAAGAATCAAATCCCCAAACGGAACTTTCCGGAGATAAGTTTGTTGGCCATATGCCCATCAAAAGATTCTGCATAATTCAGTGCATCCTGCATAATGTGGCTGTTGGCCAGTGACTCTAGATTCAGTGCTGCGACATGACGAGAGGAACAGGCCGTTATGCAAAGTCGGATGGAAATTGGGTGTTTGTCGGGGCTAGTGAGATAGTAACGTCGTCCGCCCAAGCAAATCTTATACATGAACGGACAATTCGAGCTCAAGCTGGGGAGCTCCTTGTTGACTTTTTCGTTCTACCAGCAACCGAGAAGCAGACCGCTGCACTGCCTTCGCTGTCTTGAGCATGTACCCAAGCCTCGTCAGATGCCTTTTGTCATGACGAAATAGATCCAGGGGTGATAACAGGACGCGTCGTCCACGGGGTCCAGAATCATCGGGAGGTATTTCTCCTGCCATTCGTCTTGCAGGACATCGCTGAAGTCCGTGGATCTCAGTCTTATGTGATGCGCCTTGCAGTATTCCCAATACGCCGGATACCAACCGGACTGCTCCCAGTCGATCACGGCAGCGACCTTTGGGTTCGCCCCATGAGAGAGGATAATATTTACCGCCACCAAGTCCGCATGGGTGAAGACGATGGGGCTCGGCGGGCTGATTGCGATATTGCAAGCTTCTTGGAAGGATTGCACGGCATTGATGCCTTTGAAAGGGCCGGTGAGCTCAGGGCGGTGCTCCAGGAAAATGTCGTTGAGCGGTCGTTCGCCAATGCTGCCTTAAAAGGTGCGATCCGCGGTGTCAGTCTTGTCCCCAGAGCTGCGTGGCAGAATGAGGTGTTCATTTACCGATGAAGGGCTCCTCGCCATCTTGGGTCAGGCCCCGCCACGCGCTAACCATCGTCTTCAATTCCGAGCAGACAGATCGCCGCTCCGTGTCGCTCATGCCTGGCCATTTGTCCTGTAGTGGCTGGCCGTCGATCAGTTGCATGTATATAAATCCCTGGCCTTGATCTTCGGTCCAAGCAAAGACTTCTGGGACAGGTACTATGCCGCTTAGCCGTTCTGCTAGCATCCTCTGCGTATACGCTTCCGCAATTCTGACGTTTGCTCCGTATTTGACAAACAGCCCCAAAGACGGGAATATGACGGGCGGCGGCCGAACAAAGTACGAGGCGCGCAGGTGGCCCGATGCGACGTTGGCGGCTCGGATGCTTGCTGGCGACGGGAGAGTGCTCGCTCTCCGCTCCTTGAAGAAGCTGGAATCGGGGAAGACTTCCATGTGCCCCGGTGAAACATGGGTGACCGCGTATGTTGCGTGGCACGCTGCTGACGGTTCGCTGCCTGACAACGAAAAGCCGGCGGAGAGGAGAAGGTCCAAAACTCTGGAAGGGCGCCGGAGCATCAAAATGTCGTGGTGAGCGAGTTGAGACCCCACTCCCAGGCTCCAACTCCCAGGCTCCAGCCCGTGGTTAGCCAGATGGACAGCCGCGCGCTTAGCCGCGTCACTCTTTGTTGGTCACATTGCAATGACAGTTTCAATTGATACGTCCCGGCATGGTCGCCGACATGTTGGCAGCCTGCATTGGTCGGCATATAGATGTTGGAGCACGGGGTGTCGACCAACATGGCCTGTTGACTTTTTAACTTGAACAAAGCCGCAAGGATACTGACTACATTACTCCACCAGAATGCCCACAAGGATGTGGTCTTGACGGATATATATTTTGGCTCATCTGAAGCTCCCTGATCCTCTTCTCGCATCATCTGCTGCCTACTCTTGCGTGCCCAGCATGTCGTCCAACGCTCCCCCGCCGCCACCCCTCCCCCCGCCCATCAATCGGCAGCACGCGACTCTGTCGGAGGTCTTGCCACCAGTCGTGAATCCCCAGGGGCCACCAGGAGCCCTTTTGCTCGAACTAATCATATACAACGGCTCCCCTTTCAAAGACCACTGGGCATACCGAGTTGTCTCTGCAAGGGATCCCGATATCGGCGTGGTCATCCACGCCACGGGCGACGTGGCAAACGGCTTCAAGTTCGAGATCAAGCGGCACCACGACATGAAACACAGTTCCAGGGAGCCCACGAGGATCCCGCTTCAGTGGGTTCCAGCCGAGTTTCTGGACGAGAAGGCCATGTTCAATGACGGGGTTCCCAAAATGGACACCAATCCTGTTTGCCCCCTGGAGCACAGCCTGTACAAGGTGAAGCCCCCTGGCAAAAGCCTGAACGTGGCAAATGACAATGTGAGTTGGCGAAATCGAGTCTTTTGTGGATATGCATGGGCGGTTTTCAGGTATCTGCTGATTCCAGTCCTAGCAGGCCGGACCTCCCGGGAGAAGAATCGTTCAGCGAAACTGTCAGACGTGGATCATAGAGTCAGCCGACGGTCTGGTAAATGATAAGATCTTGAGCCAGGAGGTAGCAGACTATCTTCGCGCTATCGAACAGTAGCTTCTCAGCCAGCCACACTGAGTCATTGAAGACCTCTGAGCGCTAGATCAAGACACAGATGAACTGCCGCTTGTCGTTATGAATAGTCACTGTTTGTACCTGCAAGGTCATTTATATAACATCTCCATGGCAGGGTTCGTGTTGAGCTTGAGATGCCAAGAAAAGTTTATGTGTATCAATGCCATCTTGCATTCCAGTGAAGTCAACGTAAGGTTTTTGGTCAAATCAGGTTACTCTGTCACCAGCGCTCGCAAACATACACCTCTGCCCCCTACTCAGGCACTCAAAAACAGCCCAAACAACGTCGACAGTACAAAACTCGCAGCATTGCTCACGATCATCTGATCGACAATCGTCGGGTCCCCATCCAGCCGCGGCGCTCCGCCTTCGAGTCCCCGATTGGCCGCCACGATCCTCATCAGCGTCGCCGCCAGCACGTACTCCTTGAACAGCGGGTCGAGCCCCGCGGCGACGTATGCCGACACCTTGCCCCGCGAGGCGGCGATTTTCCCTTCCGTGGCCTCGAGCCACATGAGCTTCACGTCGCTGGCGTCGTCAGACCTCTTGCCCGTCTTGCTCCCCGGGTGGGGTGTCACGGTGGTGAACTCGCGCAGGACGTGCCGGTGCCACCAGCAGGCCCATTTCCCGTCCGGCGGCTTCCTGACGAACTGCCGGCCGCCAAAGGTGAAGCGCATGGCGCCTCCGTAGCCGGGACGGTCGGGGATCTCGGTCACTATCGAGCTTGCGGCGCGGCGGCGTTGGAGCGCAGCAGCAGCAGCAGCAGCAGCGGCGGCGGCAGCATCGTCGCCGCTGTTGTCTATATTCTCGGCTGGATAGCTGTGCGGAATAGGCAAGCCGTAGATCATGGTCGGAAAAGCGGCCGTCATCCACATCCCGCTCATGTTGGGGTCCGGGTAGTGGTCGTGGTTGTGGACGTGGTGGAACGCGGGAATCGGGTAGTCGGCTGCTCGGTAGACAAAGGCCTCGCGGATCTGGGGTACTTTGCCGTGAGGCGCGACCCACGTCTCCAGGATGAGCAGGGTCTGGGAGGTGCGGCTTTCTGTGACAGTGGCTACGACGAGCTCCATATGCAGGTAGGCAGAGACTTCTGTGGTGCGCATGAGCTTGTATTCCCTGGGGGGAAGGCCAGTCGGCAGTTGTGCTGAATAGCTTGGCAGGCCCGTGGCGTAGGGATTGCTAACTTGTTGCTGGTAAGCCATTAGAATCATGGCAGAGATGAACGAGTAGCTAAATCAGGCGACACGCAAGGTAGGCAACGTGGATGAGGACGCGCTTGGAGGCAACTTACGTTGGTCAACGCCAGGGCTTCGTGATGTACCACACCATTGAGCAAATCCGCCACATCCACTTCCTCAGAGTATCCGCGCAAAGTCAGGTCAGCTGAGGGATGCATGATGACCATCTCCGGCGCAGGTCGACCCCCTCTGGCCCAGGGCTGGATGTACATGATGCGTTCGTCGTGCAGCCGTCGACGACGGTCGGAATATGCCTTGTAGAGCTTCGCGCAGCCGTGTGCCAAGCCCTTGGTCCCGCTCTTGGTGTAAGCGGCATAGTCCTGGGACGCTTTTTGATGGAGATCCAGAGCTTCCAACCATTGTCCGTTTTGCTCAGCTTGGTAAGCGCTCTTGCTTAGCGGAAGGAGTACGTCGGTCAGCTTCCTCGCCTGTGGAGATTGGTTCGTCGCCATGCTTCTGGAGGGTGCAGGGATGCTACATAAGCTTTCATGGCATGAATCGATATCTCTTCTTGGTTGAGGGGTCTGTAGGTCTTGGCACCATTATATAGATGGTTGTTGTCTCCAAAGGGAACAGCCAGGGGTTTCAGAGCATGAGCCAGGACATCGGGTCATCAATCAGCCCGAAGCCAGGTGCACGCATCTGTTTCGTCTCATTTGGCATGTATCTGCACACAACCTGTGTAGATAGATCACTTCACCTCCTGAATCTTTTCGAATTCCGTATGACCTCTCGTGACCGCGATTCAAGAAAGACATGCCTACATAAGGGCGAGATCGCTCATGGCATCATAGCACCAGAACCCACGGCAATTACTTCGCGCTGCTGCAACCACCGTCTCCATGGTTGAAGCTGCGATGTCGAGTGCCGCGTGGGCAAACACAGCCCACGTTGTCGCCGGGTCCTTCTCAATGCGCAGTGTCAAGTCAGAAATTAGGGCATCCTAATCTTGAGTCCCTTTTCACACAACATCTTTCAAACTGTTTCATTGTTTTGAGGTGATAGAATATAAAGTATGTACAATTTTTAAACCCCTCCACGTCCTTAAACATTGCCATGATGCAGAGAACACTCTCACATGTCGCTGCCTACACTCGTCACTTTCCTACACCGCCAAGGGGCTGACACTTTGATCAGCTGGATCATGACAAGACAGTATTCCAGACAGCTCTCAGAAAGGAGCGCAGTGCTCCTCGGTGCTGCCACACTGGCCCCACTGGGAGCAGCAGTCCTCGGGCGCATCGCAAGGGTTGAGGTCCTTGAACGACTGTCCGTTCTGGGGGTACTCGGTGCCCGGCACGGTCGGGCCGCAGATGGCGTTGGGGTTGGGCGCGGGGAGCGGCGGCTTGCCGTCGCTGAGACAGACGCGCTGCCCGACGAGGAGGTAGCTGCAGCCCTTCCAGCCCCAGCTCTTGCCCTCGTTGAAGCGCTCGAGGTCGGAGACGCTGATGCCGGAGTTGCCGGCGATGAGGGCGCAGTAGTCGCCGCTCTGCAGCTCGTAGGACGCGCAGGTGCCGTCCGGGTTGGGCTTGGGGCGGGTGTCCGGGAGGGACCCCGAGGAGCAGCACACGATCTGGCCGGGGACGAGGGTCGAGCACAGGTTCGGGGTGAACGAGTTGTACTGGGTGAAGTCGTTGCCGCTGATGCCGCAGCGCGCGGCGAGCGTGCCGCAGCTGTCGCCCGACTGGACCTTTGTGGTGCGGCAGTCGGCACGGGGAGCGACGGCAGCTGCGGCCGTGCCGGCGAGGAGGAGGATGGCGGAGGAGAGCATCTTGGCTGGGATTTAGTCCTCGAGGCTGGCGGTGGACAATGGGGTTTGTGGGCTGCTGCTGTGGTGCGTGTTGAGATGTGCTGAAATGGTCTGCAAGTTTCGCAAAATGCCGGCACTTTATATGTTTGCTGTCCGCCAGCTGGTAGTTCTAATCTGAGGTACCGGCAACCGTCTCGTAAACACCACGTATACTCCTTCGCAAGGCACAGCAGCTGATGTTGCAATCGACATGTAACGCTGGAGCTAGCTCCACGATCCCAAGGCACGGTAGCATTTACTCTGGTCAGATCTGGGTGGCTGGGTTCGCCCTCGGCCAATCAGACCCCAAGCGCGCTCTCCATTTTCGCTAAAAAGGGCAACACTTCTCGTCGGAGCGGCCCGCCCAGGCTCTGTGCAGAGCTCAACTCCTTAGACGTAACAGGCGGGCTATAGGATCCTGTCAGCGGCAATGAGACCCAGACCCACGGACGGGCTCACGTTAGCTGCCGTTGTTCTGCTATTTGTCAGGAGGTTTCGTCTGGCTGGTCAGCTGCAGGTCGGGTATGCAGGCCAGCGAAGATCCCGTGCACCCCGGCAGAACCTGGTCGTCAGAGAAGTGCCCCCCGGTATGAGGGAACGTTACTCGCCAATCCAAAGCACCACAGGGAAGTACTTGCGACTGTCAACCAGGATGCACACTGTGGCAGAATTCCTTGGTCCTTGCTTGCCGGGAAACTGGAATTACCGCCATTAACGGGTGTGGTTTTGATTTGTGTCGGAATACGTCGGATCAAATGCTCTGAGCGGATATAGGGACGTTGCCTGGGTGATCATGAATGAAGGAAGAGTAGGACTTTCCCGCAAGGTTGTAAACGCCAGAACTCGTACAATCTACCCTCTGCTGTGTTCCAGACTGCCCAATCGCAAGAGCACCCCGCGACAACAAACCACAAAGACATCTCACGTGCTGGAGAATATCGTGACAGGAATTGAGGTATCATCAGAAAATACAAGAGAATAAATCAAGCAATGCCGATTGCAGCCCTAGTTGCTGAAAGGCTGGTACAAGCGAAATTGACCACAACCCCCCAAGTCCTGACCTATCATTGTTGCACTGAAGCCTCGTACGAAGGCGGCGCATTATCTCTAGCAGGGAAAATGGAGAGGTATGGTGGCAGTGGTGCGATGAATGGCTGTTCACTTTCTGGTCGAGGAGGAGGGGGTGCTGTCACCTGCTGGGGGCGAGATTGAGGTGCATTATATGCGGACATCCGCATAAGCCTTGCTGAACGACGATCAGGTTCAGGTTCAGGTTCAGGATAGTCTTTTTTTCCATGAGAAGAACAGGCCAATGCATCTTGCCTGTGCAGTTCCCGTGCTGTGGGCTGCGAGATGGTGTGGGTGAGGCCTCGTAGAGGGTTGTCAAAGCCATCAGAGAGGACGTGCGCATTTGTGTAATTTTCGCCACGGCGTTGCAATGGCCGCGAGTAATTGCGCGGTATGTGAGGTGCACTTGATGGTGCTCGTGCTGCTGACTTTGTCTGGGACTTTGCTTCGAGCAAAACCGGGATGAGGCTGACGAGGCCGCCACGGGGGACGTGGTCATGCCCGCCTGCTCGCCCAACGCGTGATGACATGTACATGCAGTAGTCGTGGCTTGTCCAGTGCCCGTCGCCGCCGCTGTCAGCAAGGTGGTCTAAGGGGCTGTGACGGCGAATCTCGACGTGGTGGTTGTTTTGGATGTTGGTGTGCTTGTCTGGCGGTTGTTGTCCACAATTGCCAGATTCGCCCAGTGGCGGGATGCGATCGATGAGGCTCTCAGGCCTGCGTTGTTGGGTTCGTTCTCTCATGCTGCCCGGTTTGTCGCAGTAGAAGGCATGGCCCTGCGCTATAACTATTTGAACAAGAGTCGGGGTCAAGGGATTACGAAGTCATATGGCACCCACTCAGTGATGAAGTTCTGGAGAGGATGGGACTGATCGCTGGTTGCCATTTGAACAGTGTGTCGCTATTCAGGAGACAGCGATGGAGAAGGGGCATACTTATGATGGGAAATGTGATTGTGTGTCATGTCGTTTCTCTGGTCTGCTGGCATTGCGATACAGTCCATGTGCTGCACATCGGCCAATTCTCCCGAGATGCCCTGGATGCAGCGGCCAAAAGTCGCCGTGCTGAGGGGGATTATGCCTGATTGCGGCGCAATGTCAGCAACAGTGGCTGACGCGGCCCTGCAGTGTGCGGGGGAAAGGGGCCTGAGGTACCATGAGGTTCACCTTGGAAGGACTGGAATCTGATGGACGAAAGCAAAGAGACACTACTTGGATGTGCCTGCATCGCAAACCCCGGCGAAACACTTGCGTGAGGCAACTTGTCGAAAGCCATGCCATTTCCCACTTGCAGGTCTCGTGTGGGCAATCGGCGGGGCAGCGATGCGATGCGATGCGATGCACGTCAAAACGGCAGCGCGTCTGCCATGGTGGAGCCTGGAAGCACCAGAATGCGGCTGCCTGCAGGCACGACCGAGGCTGTCTGACAACGACATGAGATTGCACCCAGCCAGAGGCAATGGGTTGCCTGACTCGTCAATCTCCCGTTGTCGCCAGCCACAGGCTGCTCAGTCACTGCGGCCCTTGCCGTTGCGTCGCCGGTGCTTTTGCCGCTCCGGCTCGTCCGACCCAGGTCGAGGTGAGACCCCCCAGATAGACAGACAGATGGTGGCGTCCATGGCGCCTTCCCTCTGGCTCTTTTCGCGGCTATTTCCAATTGGCCTCCTTCCTCTTCGGCTCTTTCCCCTCATTCTTAGCCTGTCGTCGTTCTCCTCCTCCTCTGTCAGCGAGCACCATTCTCACCCGTCTCTCGGGACAGGACCATTGCTCTCTCTCTCTCTCGCTCGTCTGCGAACTGCTGGGTAACAGGACCCCCTCACGCGAGGTCCTCCACTGACCGACCCATTGCTTTGGGCCCGAGTTGCGCGTCATCGTCATCTGCACCGCCATGCATCCCCACAACGAGGCCACCGCTGCCCGTCCCACTCTGTCCCCAAGAGCTCCACCTCTAGCCTAGCCTGTCCGACTCGCTCCCTCGCCGCCGTCCGTCGTCGCCGCGGCCGCTTCTTTTGTTCGTTGTCCTCGCTATCGCATCGTTCTCTCTTTGCGCCAGCCGACCGCCGCGCCCACGCTCCTTGTCACTCCCTCCCCCTCCGCACCCGGTGCCATCCCGCCCGGCGACCCGAGACAATGCCCGACAAGCCGCTGACCGTCGCGACCTACGCCGCCGGCGCCTCTCTCGCCGCCATCACCCTCATCTACGTCTTCGGCCCGACCTATCTCATCGACAGCGAGTCCAACTCGGCATCCACTCGCAAAAAGGGCGTCGTTGGCCTCGCCAACCCAGCCAACGACTGCTTCATCAACTCCGTCCTCCAGGCCCTCGCCGGGCTCACCGACCTCCGCGTCTACCTCATCCGCGAGACTCACCGCAGAAACATTGACGAGCCATGGGTATACGAGCAGCTCGTGCCCGACCCCAACCGCAAAAACACACCCGACTGGAAGATCGAGGGCCTGCAGTCTGGACTGGTCACCAAAGGCCTCAAGGAGATCATTGACGCCCTCAACGAACGGCCCATCTACAAGAAGACAATATCGGCGCTCGGCTTCGTGCGCGTTCTCGAGACCGCCTTCCGCCAGCGCATCAGCCGCCAGCAGCAGGACGCCCAAGAGTTCCTTCAAGTAGTAGCCGAGCGACTATGCGACGAGTATCACGCTGGCCAACGAGCAAGGCGTGCTGCCAAAGCGAAAGGCGGCTTGCCAAGTACTGCCAACGGCACAGCTGTCCCCGTGGATAGTGCGGCTGTCGAGCAGCGGCTGGCTGGGTTGGGCTTGCAAGATGTTGCGCAGGATCGGTCCGAGTCTGACGAGCTAAGGGAGGCTGATACCCCACGACAGCTGGGTCAAGAGACGGGTAGCCACGGTGGGGATGAAGAGGAAGAGGAGGGATTCCCCATGGAGGGGAAATATGAGAGCCAGATCGAGTGCCAAAAGTGCGGCTTCAAGCCACGGCCGACACAGAGCACATTCTGCACATTGACACTTAATGTGCCACAAGTCAACTCGGCGACACTCAACTCTTGCATCGACGGCTTTTTCAAGACGGAGTATGTCGACGATTTCAAGTGTGAGAAGTGCCGCCTGGTGCATGCCAAGGAGCTGTTCGAGGCCGAACTGGCACGCTCCACCGACGAAGGGTTTATCAAGACGACGCGCGAGTCGATTACCAAGCTGCAGCATGCCATCGAGATCGACCCGGAGATGCCGCTTGACGTGGAGCTTCCCGACACCCGTTATGCGCCAAAGTGCAGAATCGCGCGGCATATGCAATTGACGAGGTTTCCAAAGGTCCTCGCGATACATCTTTCCAGGTCAATCTACGATGCCAGCCATACCTCCATGAAGAACTCGGCCAAAGTGGTATTCCCGGAACAGCTGCCGATGGGAGGACTGCTGTCAAGGAAAAACTACAAGCTGCTGGGAACAGTGACACACAAAGGCAGCCACCACAGCGGGCACTACGAGTCGTTCCGGCGTCAAAACCAAACTCTCCCTTTCGCCACGGCCAACGCGTTCCGCCCTTCGGGGATTTTCACCAAGTCTGCAGCGCCCAGTCCTGCAGCCACCCCGCAGATCCGCGCCGTCCAGCCATCTGGTCATCCCAGTCCTGCGGCGTCAACCCCAGATTTGAGCTATTCTGCAATGCGCAATGGCTTGCACGGGGCCCCGGATTCACCAACGGTGAACAGGGAATCAACTGATACAAACATCCCACGCTCGGCTCCCAGTATGGGAAATGGCCTCCCTGGCTCGAATGCTTCTCCCCCTGGGAAGGAGCGCGACCCAGACGCCATCAGTCTCAGGTCCGTTGCCGCGTCAGCCAAGTCGACCGTCTCGAGACTCTCCAACTCGGTCAGACACAGCCGGTCGAATAGCCCCGCCGGCCTGGGACGGAAGGAATCGCCGTCCCTCCTCAACGGCACCACAGCAGCTCCCTCGGCTAACAACGATTCGGACAAGGCTACAGCTGGGTCGGTAGTTTCCAAGTCTCTTGGGCGGAAACGCAAGCACGGCGATCGGTGGTGGCGCATCAGCGACGAGAAGATCAAGGAAGCCAAGACGAACGATGTTCTGGGGATGCAGCGGGAGGTCTACCTCTTGTTCTACGAGCTCGAACGAGAAGGAGCGCCGGAGTCCTAGGATGGCTCACGCTCCGATCTGAGCTCGCGAGAGGATCGTCGAGTACGTGACATACTAGCGATCAGTGGAGATGGCGCACATGATGACAGCGCCTCGTCATTCATGCAAGGCAAGACGCCTGAGTTGCGAGCACTGTCTCGACGAGCAGCTCGCGGCTTGCGTCGCTGGTGGAAGCGTGGCATGAGGGCGGTAGTCAAATACCTTATCAACTCGTGGAATGAGTTCATGGGCTATCACGATGTTGATGGGCGTTTTGGCGGGGCGAGGTCTACCGGGAGCAGGAGACCCACGCGGTCTCAGGCCAGTGGACTTTTTGAACCGGGGGTGCTCAGCAGTGCTGAGATTGTCTTCAGACAGGCCTGGCATTGACAGCATAGGGGAACATGACAAGTGGGACAGGGTCGGCCGCATATATATACACGATGGACATCCTTTTGCCAGCACCATGACGCGGGGCTGCTGCATTTCCACATGGTTAGGCGTTTCTTCTCCTTTCCATTTGCGTTCAATCACAAGACATAGCATCATCAGTAGCGAAAAAGGGATCAAAACAGGTTAGCCGCTGGCTAGCCGATTGCGCACAGCGAATGGAACATTTACTACAACTCATTGCCCGTACGTCAGTTCTCACGTGATGGTATTCGTCGCCTGGGAGTTCACGTCACAGAGCAGTCAGAGTCTCTACGGCAGCCTCAGCAGGTGCCTCAGCCAGATGCCCCCAAGACGCCGCTCTCGTCTTGAGGCCGTTCGCGGTGCCTGCCTGCCCTGCTTCCGTTGTTCACACTGCCCCCGGAAAATCATCGCGGGCTAGGGGGGCTTGACCCACCTTTGTCGTCTGCCCTAATTACCCCAGATCCAGATCGAGGAATGCGGCACGGCTTCCTGTCGGGGCGCCGCGCTTGGTGATTGGTGGGACTCGAGGGATGCCCAGGAGTGGTTCCAGCCCTCTTGTCGGATTCCCGAGGTCCAGCGGCGCTGGGGTTGCTTGTTCCGACCGATTGTCTGGGGAAGTGTTTGTGGCCATTGTCATGACAATAGGACTTGCTGCCGCGGGAAAAGGTCATGCCCGTAGCGGCAGCCATGGTATGAGCCTGCACAATGCGAACACAGGTGTGCTCGAGTAAAATCTCGCAAAAGCGCTTGATCATACAAACCAGGCAATTTTTGAATCCTCGCCGGGCTTGTTTGTGGTTGCTGTCTGGCCGCGGTAGTTGCATCGAGAGGCACCTCGAGAGCTCCGTGAGTTTCCGTGCTCCGTCCGGGCCGGCGACAAGTGGGGATTTGGGGAAGGGGGGCAGGGCCACAGCCGGCCGCCGCGGCGATTGCAGTGCTGCGGCCCTGCTGCTTGCTCCGCACTTTCCCGATCGAACGGGCAGGTCGGCACTTCTAGGGAAAGGGGATTATGGCTTCCAGGAGCTGCCTGCGTGGCAGCTGGGCCGTGGGTTTCCGAAATTCAGACGTGGATGCATGGATTTGTACGGAAGTGCGAGTACGATACCGTAGGACTTGGCCGGCGCGGGTAGGGTGGGTTGAGTGATAATGGGGGGAGCTGGCTGTGCTTTTTTGATGATACCGCGGATAAGTCTTGCGATGATACCGCAGCTGGGACTGTCGCCGTGCTCTGCCAAGAGTGAGGGAAGCTGATTTGCCAGACATTGGTGGAAATAAATCGTGTTCAGAGTCTCAATGGGGATGTGCCCGGCAGCGTGTAATGGCAGTCTCGCCTGGAGGGCACTGAAACTTTAGGAGGATACATCTTGGGGCTGCTGCAGATGCGGCTCGCTGGGCAAGTAAGCTGGACACGCCTTGGCTGTCAATATTGCGACTGCGTGGATTGCGACGACGACGTGCTGTCGTTCACCCGCGTGTCACATAACTGACGATATGATGAACGAGCCTTGCCTTCTCTGGAGGCGAATCGATGTCATTGATTTCGCGCCATGGTGTGGCCGTAGCAAAGCTGGGGACGGGGATGAGGGCATTCGCGGGTGGTGGGGAAGATGGGCTGGACGGCAATGGAGACGAAGAATGCAATTGTGCCCGGGGCTTCTCCCCCCTGGGGGATAGAAGTTTCGAGGCCACCTGTTCAAGCTTCCATTGTAGCTGTAGCCATCAGCTAAAAGCTGGAGTCTAGAGCGTCCGTGGACGGGCAGGAGAAGGAGTGTCTTGGCCGGGTTGAAACAAGTCGGCCGTGGTTGGCTGGTTTGGCCGCCCGGGCTGCGTGAGCGGAAGCCCCGCCAGGCAGGAACGGCTTCGAGCTTCTTTGGATCGTGGCTGCTTCCTCGCCGGAATAAAGCTCATCTCGAGCTCTGGCCGCGCTTCTCGACCTTTTCTTCCTCCTTTCTCCTTCATCCCATCCCATTCTCTATCCCAACCTCGCCAGCAGGCACCGTAAGTCCCAGTCTCCTTGTCTCTATCTACAAACGCAATGGCACTCGAGTCGTGCCACCTGCAGATGACCTCATCCTTGCCCTGCACCCGCACCAACGTCACTCTGCCGGCCCCTCCACGCGATGATCATGTCGCGGTGGATGCTGCAGACTCTTTCCCACCCACGCACCGCCCAGCCAAGCCGCGTCCGAGACACGGCAACAGTGGGCTTTTGTTGAGCTAGCAGGCCGCCCACATCCCCAGCCGTGGATATCGCTCACCGTGAGCCGCTCTCCCAATCGGCCCTGCTGGCCAAAGGCCCGACCGTCCAAGTCTCGCCCAACCCCACCTCCCGCCCACTCTGACCTCAACGCCCCCACCGCCCGCCAGCACGCTTCGAGCTGCCCCTCTCCGGCCTTCTTGGTTGGCGTCATGCGGCGGCCAATTGGCCTGCTCGGGGCCTTCCACGCGCTCTGCGCTTCGCTCCTCAGCTCCGGTCGGCCAGGAGATGCCCCTCCATTGCTCGCCAATTGTCTCGCTTTTTTATCGTCGCGGTCCCAGCCATTTTCTACCGCTTTCTCTCTCTCTTCCTCCTTCATCCTCACAGCTGACTCCTTCCCAAAACAGACTCCTAGAATCCCAATTGACGCGGTATTCTTAGCTTCAGCACCCCTACCTCGCAACCACACAACCACCAGCTTCACAACTTCCGCAAACATGGCCACTGCCAAGCTCTCCCGCAAGACCGGCGTCATCGTCGGTGACGACGTCCTCGCCCTCTTCGAGTACGCTCGCGAGAAGAAGTTCGCCATCCCCGCCATCAACGTCACCTCCTCCTCGACCGTTGTTGCTTCTCTCGAGGCCGCCCGCGATGCCAAGTCGCCCATCATCCTCCAGATGTCCCAGGGTGGTGCCGCCTACTTTGCTGGCAAGGGTGTCCCCAACGGCAGCGACCAGGCTGCTTCCATCGCCGGTTCCATCGCCGCCGCCCAGTACATCCGTGCCATTGCTCCCACCTACGGCATCCCCGTTGTCCTTCACACCGACCACTGCGCCAAGAAGCTCCTCCCTTGGCTCGACGGCATGCTCGATGCCGATGAGGACTACTTCAAGAAGCACGGCGAGCCCCTCTTCTCCTCCCACATGATCGATCTGTCCGAGGAGCCTGTCGAGTGGAACATTGAGACCACCGCCAAGTACCTCAAGCGTGCTGCCCCCATGAAGCAGTGGCTCGAGATGGAGATCGGCATCACCGGCGGTGAGGAGGATGGTGTCAACAACGAGGATGTTGACAACAACTCCCTCTACACCCAGCCCGAGGACATCTGGAACATCTTCAACACCCTCTCCCCCATCTCCCCCTACTTCAGCATTGCTGCCGGCTTCGGCAACGTCCACGGCGTCTACAAGCCTGGCAACGTCAAGCTCCACCCCGAGCTCCTCGGCAAGCACCAGGCCTACGTCCGTGAGCAGCTCAAGACCAACGACGAGAAGCCCGTCTTCTTCGTCTTCCACGGCGGCTCCGGCTCCTCCAAGCAGGAGTACCTCGACGCCATCTCGTACGGTGTTGTCAAGGTCAACTTGGACACCGACCTGCAGTTCGCCTACTGCGCCGGTATCCGCGACTACATGGTCAACAAGAAGGACTACCTCATGACCTCTGTCGGCAACCCCGACGGCGCCGACAAGCCCAACAAGAAGTTCTTCGACCCTCGCGTCTGGGTCCGCGAGGGCGAGAAGACCATGTCCAAGCGTGTCGCCGAGGCTTTGGTCGACTTCAACACTGCCAACCAGCTGTAAATTTGTTTTGGGGCGAATGGGTTAAAAGAAAATACTGCCGGCCCCCACGATAATGATGTCGGACCGGCCTGTTCAATGATACCACACGAATAATGAAGAAGAAAAAAAGCATTGAAATCGTCTGTGTCCTGTGCTCGGCGTGAGCGTCTGTTGTGATTACGTGCGTCAATCTCAGCACGTCAGGCTGAAGTGGGGGGCCATTGTGAAAGCTTTGTGTCATAGTGGGGGCTCATGAGATGACCCATTTGGGGGTGATTTACTCGAGTGCTTTAGTAAGTATCTACTTGGACGTCGTGAGGATCAACAAGCGTATGCCTGTCGCTAGACCAAGGGAAAACCGCCAGCTGCGCCATCGACTAAGTCGGGCTGTTCAAAAGCTGGGCAGCATTGACTGCCTTACATCAGGCATGTTCGTGGTGCGTTGTCGTTGTGCAAGCGCCATTCCAGCAGGAGTTCTCAAGACTTGTTTGATCCGACGATGAGGGCTTGTAATCACAATGAAGCATACATAACACAAGCATCGAAAGTCGCAATGTGGCTTCAATCGAGTTTATTCAATCGCTGGCAATCTGGAACGAGACTTGAGGCTTGAGGCATGCCTTGCACGATCCGCATCAGGCTGAATGAACGCCAGTGATGTGCTATTAAGGAGCATTGTTGCCCCTGTCGTCGATCTGCCTGATCGGCGCCTGGCGGAAACGTCGTAAGTAGCGTAGGCAGGTTTGTTTCATAGAATGTGCGCGGGCGAGTCACTTGCCGCCACCATTGAGCATGACTTGTGCGTTCACGAGGGACTACCTTGTTCCACACCAAGGCTCCCTCAATGGCAAGTTGCACCCATTCATAGGTAACACACCGCTGTCGGAGAATGTCAATAGCTGCCCGGACGATTGATATTGCTGCAGTGAGCCATTGAAGGTCGGGGGCATTGTTCTCGCTGTCCCAGGCATCCATTGTCCTCGCTCCTAGGGCATGTTTCATCTCGTATAAAGTCCAGCTGCTCCCCCAACCTCAAAGCTCAGATCTCTTTCCCCAACACACATTTATCACAACTTCCCACATTTGTCATTATATATTTCTTCGCAATCACTCCACTCCGTCTAGTTTCATGACAAACAACACTCTCCCACCTTCAAATCATTATGTACAAACCTTTCCTCTGGCTCTCTTCAACCTCAATACCAGCATTGTTCAATATCACATCGTCCTCACTTCTGCACTTTCCCTCTACTATAAAGGTAGGCATATCCCATTTCAAACCGTCTATCACTTCGAACTCAGTGCTGACCGAAGTGCTTTTCTTGACTTCAGTCATGGCCGCTTCTCTTTCCACAGCACCTCCCACTCATTCAAGTAGCCCTTCATTCTCAGCCATCGACATATCTCACGTTCGACTGCTCACTCCTCCCAATCACCATATATATCACGGCCACACGTTGCCGGAGCCGCTTTCTCTCTTCCATACATATCCTCTTCCTTTAAGAGTTTGACACAGCTGGACCCAAGTTATGAGCCCGGAGATCCAGCTGTGAATCCGGTTTGGAGAGCCATATAGTCCGCCAGCCTGTAAGTCTCCGTTGCTCCAGGGAATCAGCTTCACTTCTTGCCTAGCCTTCATCAGGGAGAAGCCACCTAGCTTGCCGTAGACATGGGCTGGCCCGACAGGAGACGCCTTTGTGGAGCTTGGCCCGACGGGGAAAGCATTTTTGGCTATGTGCTCAATAGACAAGGGCACATATGACAGGGTCAAAGGCATCCTGGGCACAAACACTGAGCCCTGGGAGTATGCCGGGATCAAGTCGGGCGACAAGCGGTCGCAAATCAATAAGGACACCAAGTATGTCTTTGTCCAAGTCCAGCACCGCATGCATGGACGAGCTGCGATTCGGCACACCGCCAAGGCGAACACCTCACGATCCCTTAGCCACATGGTTGGCTTCGACCCAACCGGCATCTACCCGGTATATGTCTCACAGAACGGCGAGCCCGAGGAAATCAACAACTGCGTCACGAATCTTCGCGCGCATACCAAGATCCCCAACGCCGAGGTTGCCTTTATCCCGGTCGTTCCCCTCAACGGACATGGGGCATTCAGAGATGTGAGGCGGCACCTCTCAAGGGGCGGAATTTTCAGCAGGATGATCAAGACCCGCGAACCCGGCGCGGATTACGCGACCGAGCAGAGGGAAGAGCGGCGTGCGGCCTCGGAATCGGGAGGCCCTTTCACTCTTCCTTGGGGCTACCGCTGGGCTCTGCCTACGCTCATGGAGATAGGCGCCATCCACTATGCCAAAGAATCCGATGACGAACCGGACTTCCCCTTCGATGAGCTGCCCGCTTTTCCGCCCTTCCGGCCAACGCCTCGCTTTTTGGGCCTGGTCGAAGCGGTCCGAGAGCACTTGCACCAGGATTTTCTGACCAAGCCCCAGATCGCTCTCTCCATCGCGCGCGCATACAAAGGTCCCAAACGCCGAGGTTGCATTCATCCCAGTCGTTCGCCTCAACCGACAGACATCAATGCAAGCTGTCAAGGCTCCCTCAAAGCACACCGGCTCCAAGTACGCTCCAAGCAACAGGACCGTCCCTCCAGACCGAGCTGGGTCTGGCGTTCGCTGGACCGAGAGACCTTTCAGGTACGAGGTCCAGGTTTACTGGCGTTGCGGCCAACCACAAAGCTTTCGGGTGAGCGCGTCACCCTGGAAGCTCGCAGTGACGCGGAGCTGGTCAAGAGCCTGGCACTCAGGCATGATTTCGGCCGGCCCTCAGGCGAGCATCCAGTCGGTCTCAGACGCTTCGCGAGGACCGACGCTCGCGAGCCATGCCCGGATGCGCTCTTCCAAAATCTCGAGGTCACGGCAGCCAGCGAGTCGGAAGATGATGGCCTGTTCGATAAGCAGCTCATGCAGTCCGCCGAGGCCTCGCTCGCTCGGCTGGAGCTGCTCAGCTCGCGTTGCCTGTGGGTGGAACCTCTACGACAGATCGTGCGCAAGGATCTAATGGCTGGCATCGCCGAGATTCGCCGTGCTGGCAAGGGCCAGGTGCTGCCAGACAATATACCTTCGCAAGCTGAGATTGCCTCAAAGCGTGAGGCAGAGGATCAGTACCAGAAGTGGTTGGACATGTACATCGCTCTGCTAACAGAGGCGCTGAAGCTACGATCGGAAGCTCGCAGGTCCCTGGAGCTTCCTTTTGTGGACGAGAGCTCGACCTTTGCTCTGCCCCGGTCAACGCGTCCGGACAACTTCAAACTAGTCGCTTTGTTTGAAGTTATCCCAGCGGAGCCAAACCCCATGTGCCTCCGCAAGATGGCTGTGCGTTCCGTGACATCGCCGGAGGGCAAAGACATTGTCACGGTCCATCTCTTCTCTGCATTGGATGGTACCAGCTACAATGTGTTCTTTGGAGGATGTCGTGGCTGGCCGTCTTGGGCCTCCCAAGAGGGCTGGGCAGCTTCTGGGTGACCAACGCCCCGTCAAACTACGCAGCTTCTGGGTGACCAACGCCCCGTCAAACTACCTCGTGCCGACTGGTCCAATGCCTCTACGGACTTCCTCGTGTCTGTCCCTATGGATGATAAGGCGTGGGTTATAGATACCAGTGTCTCGATACAGGGTCCTTTGATATTGGTGCAGTATCCTGCGATACTATTCCTACTGGGTAGCGAGGCTGGGTCAAGCAAGACGGTGCGGGACGACATTTCTTTGCAGGGCGAGTTTTCCCGGCCACAGTGGAACATGGTCGTCCACACTCACTGGTTATCGCTCAACCACCTGAAAAGCCAAGGCCGCATCACCGACGAGGAGATCAAATGGATGGTCGACTCCAATGGTGTACCAATCGCCCCACCAACCTTTGTCCCTCGGCCCCAGCCTGAGGAAGGTGGTGTGCCAGTCTCGACCGACGCCATGGGCGCCGAAGTCAAGATTGGAGAGCACACAATGCAACACTCTGGTGTGGCTCTCGGCATCGTTGCAATTGGCAAAGCCCACTTGGACCTGCAGCCAAACCATGACACAGATGGGGCCAGCTACTGCGTTGGCAGAAGGGCGGTAGACTGGAGCTCGGGTCGATAATTTCATGCCGATAAGCTGGGGTCGAATAGCCTTGAACTAGAGCTAGGGTCGAGAAGCTTTCGACGACCCCAGCTCGAGAAGTTGTCGATGGCGGGCTGGGGTCGAGAGCCTTTCGACGACCCCAGCTCGAGAGCCTTTCGACGACCCCAGCTCGAGAACTTGAGAGACTAGGGCTGGGGTTGAGAAGTTTTCGACGGCGAGCTAGTGTCGAGGAGACGTCCCTGGCATCTGGGGTTGCGACGCCTGCGTTTGAGAGGTTCAGAGGTTCAGAGGTTCAGAGGTTCAGAGGTTCAGAGGCTCAGAGGCTCAGAGGCTCAGAGGTGTAGAGGTTCTTATTACAGTGTAATTGCACAATTCTTATCAGTGCAGCACCCCAGGTGTCTTGCTTATGATTCGTATCCTATTTAGAATGTTAACATGCCTCCAATTTAGTGCTCCCAGCCGGTACAATGCCGGGGCTGCTCTGCATTATGGTATGAGGTACCAAAAAGAGGAAGGTGCTTAACGCCTATCTCAGGGGACAGCAGCTCGCCAGACCGAATCAATAAACCCAAATAATAGCTCATTTCACTCTGCAACAGTCTGAAGCATAAGCCCATTCAAAAGCATCGACAAGCACACACAATCCATCCTCAATCACGTCCTACAGCATAGCTGACCATTGCCATACAGTAGTCATCAGCAGATAAGCACATCCCTAAACGCAAAGTCCTCCCGCAACAACAAAGATCCGTCCATGACACCGTGGGCGTAACAGACGCCCACCAGGCGGAACATGCCCTCCCGGCGAGCACTCTTTCGGAGCACGACCGGCAACCTACATCCCGAAACGATCCAGATCTCGTCCATAGGCTCCGAGAGTGGGGGGACATTGGCAAATGATCCCTCGCGCGTGATGGCGGCCTTGATACCGAAGATGCAGGGCGAGAACGCGTGGCTGAAGAAGCTCTTGAACGCATGCATGGTTACTTCATCCGAGACGGCGATGCGCCCATCGGCAGTCAGGACCTTGTCGTGACCGTAGGCCGACTGCAAGATGCCCGCGAGCACAGTCTTCCAGCCTGGGAAACCGTCAAACTGGCCCTTGCGTGACACAAGGACCACGAACAACCCGAGCACAAGCACGCCCATGTCCCGCGTGTGTGACGGAATCCACGTGTCGGCCGCCATGGTTGTGACCATGGCCTCTATGCACTCCCTATCCACGACGTTGGGCAGCTTGAGCGCTGTCACCCTCGCCGAGAACATCTCAAACGCGCTGCAGATGTAGTCGCACACACGCTCCTCATGCTTCATCTTGTGGTCAGTCTGCCTCGCTACGCCGAGCAGGTCATCGGCCTTGTATCCCTGGACGCAGATCACATCGGGCCAGTCCGGCACCGACCTCGCGACGAACACGCTGTCTGGCCCGGCAGCCATGCTGGCATTGTGCATCGAAGTCTGCTCAGAATGCGCGTCGCAGTCCAGGCGGAACTGTGCAAAGCTCTGCATCCAGCTCGGTCGATCTTTGTCAGTGTCCGTGCTCGTCTGCGTCTGCGTGACCAGCCCGGCACGCATCAACGTCTCGCGCCCATCGGGCTGCTGCTGGATCAGGAACTTGCCAATTTTGAGCTCCAGCTCGGCATCCGCCGTCGTGTAGTCGGGCGCGAGCTCCGGGTGCGCGGCGACGTCGAGATCCGTCGCGATGCTCAGCAGCGCGCAGTACCGGTCGCGCTCGAGCGTGCACCGGCACAGGCGGTACCACTGGAGCAGGTCGACCCAGCGGGCCTCGCGCATCCTCGCCATGGCCGTGGACAGGGTCAGGCTCGCGAGAAACTCGGCGACTCCTCCTGCTCCTCCTCCTTGGGGGTTTGTGTCGTCGCTCTGCAGCCCGCGGAAGCCGCGCTGGTGCGCCATTGTGTAGAAGATTTGCCAGCCGACGTGCGTGAGCAGCTCCCCGGACGCACAGAGGTCCAAGAACTGGCTGCCTCGCAGAGCGGTGTTGTCGTAGAAGATCGCGAGGGCGAACAGGTGACGCCAGTCTAGCGTGGTTGTGCCGAGATAGAAGACGACGTGGCGCGCGAGGACGAATTCTTGCATATGTCACCCTTCCGCGGTTCTAAGGTGTTGATAGTGGGGTCATTTGAGGCCCGAATCTGATGTATCCTAAACCACCGATAACGGTTTAGTTACGGAAAGCAATCCGCTAACGGTCGTGCATAGTTTGAGGTGCCTTTATCCGTTTGCAATGAGTCATTGTAGGGATCAGTCCCTCAACTAATCCCTCCGTAGCTCGACGCGCTGGTTGCACACCCCTACTACCACTCAGGCTCTGGTGTGGTGTGGTGAGATTGGGTAGCTCAACCTGGGACATGACTGCGTAGTTGCCAGTTGTCGCATAGCTGTACTAGACATTTGTTACTACAGTTACGAGTGAAATCTGCTTCCGCTTTTGTATTAATGTTTTAATATCTGGGGTCTCGCTTTAGGGCCCCTTTGGTGCTTATACCGTGCTGTTCCTACGGCCTAAAGTACTGTATAATACTCTACCTTTCGTTAGTATAGCTTACCTAAGTGGTACACCGGTTTATGTAGGTCTGTCGGTGGCGAGAGATAATGGAAGGCGCTAGAATAGTTAAACCGAGTATAAGATCGCGTAGCCGCCCGTACCCTTCTAGTAGTACGCTATGAAAATGTAAGAACGGAGCCCTATAACCGCTCGACCAATAGACCAAAAGATCTAGCAGTACGCCGCACGGCGTACTTAGGGCTTCCAGTACCTTATATAGGACCGTTGAGGCCTCTGGCCTTACACACGCGTTAAGGAAATCAGCAATTTCGTCAGCAAGAACCCGGATCACCCATTCCTCAAAGACAAGAAGCCGCATGTCGTCCAGCGATTCCAAGAAATCGCTAGACTTGACTACATTAACGGCGAACTCACCGAACAAGAACATCCTACTCAACGCACCTATCCCCGGCGTTGGGACAGCGATAGCGAGGCCCTCAAAACAGCCTGGATGCAAGCACGAAACAGCACCCGGACAAGAGGACGACAATATCGACAAGGACGACGTTGACAGCGCCATCAGCGCGGGGACCCCTAGAGACCCCGAAAACATCGACACCAGGGTCGGTTCAAACGTTACCCCTGACGATGGATGAAGGGTCACCAAGCCGAGGGACCTCAGACGCCGGAGGAAATGATGGCGCCAGCCCTTCAGACCAAGCAAGACAAGCGTCACAGTGGACAGGAAATCAGCCAGCATCTAGTACCTCTATAGACAAGTTAGCGTCGGCACTGGAAGGGCTGACAGCTATCCTGCAACTAATGAACGCCGCCACCAACACGACCGCCGCCGCACCAGGCCTAGCTAGCGAAGTTAGCGCTAAGCCTCCCCAACTAGTGTGGAAAGTAGCCGACGTTGGATACCTCTGGCCTGACGCAGATAACGACAAGGCAAACGGACAGCCCCTATTCCACGACAGCAAGGGCCAGGTTTACTACACTGACGCTAATCTTTGGATCGACCGGGTCCAAGAATGGGCGGATACACCAGAAAAGACGTTAGCTATTGCGGCTGGAGCGCACACCCTGCTGAGAGGTGAAGCCTTCAGCTGGTGGCAGTTGCAGTTATCCGACGAAGACAAGAAATCGGTACGAAACAACTACCAGAGGTTACTTGACAAAGTAAAGGCCAGGTTTGGCATCAAACTGGACGAGGCTGGCCAATGGTTGGATAGCCATCCCTACACTCTTAGTGACAACCATAAGGATACCCCTATCCGAAAATGGGCTATGGATGTCTTTCGGTACGCTAGAGAATGGGGTGATCGAACGGATCTATAGCAACTGATGCGACTATGGCAAATGCTGCATCCTCGACTGCAAGGGATGCTGGATATGCCGACATAGGGAACAACAAAATCGTCATTCTTAGAGACTCTGCACCAGAAACAGCAAGCCATTTATCGCGAAGGAAAGGGCAAAACAGCAACCCACCATAACGCTAGATTTGACGAACCGTAACATCTGGTGCCCCGACCGAGTCGAACGAATTGCCCCTCATTCCCCGCGCGCGCCCTATAGGCTATATCCTTAGCTGCATTTCTAGGGGTGGGGTCTACGAGAAAGATACCGGGTTCGAATCCCGGCCGGGTTCGATTCTCGGAGCAGGCGACTAATCCTTAGAATAGTTTCTACGCGAAGGCACGCGCTCTTTCTCTTCCTTTCTAAAGGGGGGGGGGGGGAGATGTTAGGGTTTATATACCCTAATAGACGACTAGGTACCTAACCGATAGGTACCGTAGACTTTTGCCTCCGTGGTCTAGCGGCTTCTTCGAACCGTAACAGATATATATGTGACGGCCAACCAACAGGGGATGTTTGTTACGGGCAAGGAAGAGCCCAAACAACTAGGCCACAGGATCGGGCCAAGGACAAGGGCGGATCATGTGGCAGCACCGTCACAGGTTTCTTATGTAAGCACGATAAGGGACGATAAGGAAGGTACGTACCGGTCATGCATATCTGCATGACCGACACCACGCCAAGAAAGATGGTCATCAATATATGCATGACCATCCGGACCAGATTCGTGACCCGGCCGCGACCATCGGGGTCAGGGTCATAACCACGATGAAGGACAAAGGGTATATAGAAGGAGGATCTCCTAGATACACAGTCACTACCTTTGTACTTCAGCGATCAATCTAAGTATCAGTTTCACCCACACTTGAACTAGTCACTCAATTGCCGAGACTGGTATCTCTTCCAAGAGACACGAACGACAACCCAAAGAGAGAACGACAGCAGAGTGTTAGTTGATCTTGCGCAGGCTTTACCTATCTGCAGAACAGCAACCCCAGCGCCCTGCCAGACGGTTGACCCCGGAGGCAGGATCGTGACAATATATAACTACTAATACGGTACCCGGTTCGGACCTTATCGGTTCCCTTATCGTTACTAACATAAGAGACTTATAACGGCACTGCTATATGATCCGCCCTTGTTCCTAGCCTGATCCTATGGCCTAGTTGTTTATACTCCTTCCCGCGCCTAAACAAACGTCCCCTATTGGTTGGCCGTTACAATTAGTTGGCCGTTACACTACGCTACTCCATCGCGTCCGCACCGGCCTCGAGAGACCGTACGATAAGCTCGAGAAGCTTACTAGGGAGTAATAGTAGGGCATAAGCCATGTATAGGTAGAGAGTGCCGAAAGTCAGACGCAAAGACGTCTACGAGGGAAAGCGTCGTGATGTTGGTAATGATAATTTGTTACAGGTCCAATAACCGCCGCTGCGCCACCAACCTCCCAACATTTTCCAATCGGTTACCAATTTATGGAGCTACAGACGAGGGATGCATGGTTCGAGGATCTTGGTCTTGTTGTCTGTTTTTCGGCTTGTCTAAGTCTCTAGCTACGCTCTATTGTTCGGTACAGAGGAAGGGAGTCTGTTCCGGCGAGATGGTGGATTCCCACAAAAGGACCTGGTCCGACGCCCACTGTTTCCAGCGTCGAGACCAACCCGATGGATCTCGTGACCGACAATCCATGAACCTAGGCCGACAATCCATCAACCTAGAAGCCTAGGCCAGGTTTCTTGACTTCTATGCCTTGCTCTTCTCTTGGCCGACCCTTGCGGCATGCTCCAATCCCTCAACAACTTCCTGGACCTCAGATAGGAACGGTGAGTGAGAGCCCTTGGTATGGAATGAGGCTGCAACAGGGCCTAACAACGTCGCCATCTGCTGCTGTACCGGTAGCGGCAGGGCTTTGTCGCCGTCACAGAAGAAGTACATGCAATCTATCTCGTGCCACGGCTCGTATGTGACAGGATCCGTGAAAACAGGGGCCGATTGGTGCTTGAGCTTGGCGATTGCCTGCTTCTGCAACTCAGGCTCGACATCATGATAGAAGACGACCTCAGGAGTGTCTGGGTAGACATAGTTGCCCTAAAGACACAAAAGTCCGTGTCAGTGTCTTGTTCAGATGCAAGAGTCATAGTCGGGGGAACAATTCCGCTGCTCACTTCAAATCTCATCCAGGGGAGGAACTGGCCACCCAACATCTCCTTGATCGTCTTGCCATTTGGCGTCACGAAAGCGGCCAGGTATACAAACATAATGACGCCGCCCATCTTTCCCTGCTTTGCGCGCTGCCTATAACCCAGACCCTCTACAGCATTTGCGCCGACGAGGCCGCCATATGAGTGCACGACGAGCACGACCTCCTTGCCCTGGTCAGCCAGCGCTTCGACAGCACTGCGGACAGCGGCGGCGTCGTCCGCAAGGCCCTTGGTCGGGGGCTCGGCGCCCACAGTTGGGTAGTTCACGGACTCGGTGGCCCAGCCACGCTGCTGCAGTGCATGTCGGACGATGTCGAAGCAATCCGGGGTGTGCCACGCGCCCGGCGCGAACACGATAGTCGGCTTGGATGAGGTTGAGGCCATGTTGTGAGCGACTGTGGGTGTCTGTCTGCCTGGGAAAGGAGCTGAGGCTTCGTGCTAGGTACTGAACGTCGCAGCACTATTATATATCACTGAGTCTGTGCGAAAAGGGCGTCCCGGACAGGACCCGGGAGGGGCCCGAGGGAAATTAGCGGCCTATCTTTTACTCTTTTACGATACTGGCCTGGTCTCGTACGAGTCATGGCGGCCACGATGGGACCTACTATGGTATACCGTCGCGGTGCTATTGAGCTACCGGCAAGGATTGCGGCAATTGTCCGCCAAGGGGTTCAAGCGTGTGGGCCCTGGTGCAGGGCCCCAGGCGTTTTTTTTGCTGGCTCACTGGCTCCGCCGTTATCTCCACTTGGTGGTGACCCTGTACGGAGGTGCGTCTCAAAAGTCTTGGTCCAGGCACTAGTACAGGGGTCCCTGCAGGTCGTAGTCGCCAGCTGGCAGCTCACCCCCACCTCACATTGCTCTCAACCACTATTACCAGTACCTTCAAAACGACCTTAACGGCGCCCTGTTAGTAGGTACAGCATCTCGTCGCCGGCGAGGGCACTATTAGAAGTGAAGCTATCGTCACTAACGTTTTCCCAGCCTTTAGGGTCAAACTGCGGCGTGGGTGAAGGTCGCTGTCGTTGCCGTTGCCGCTGTAAAACCACATCCCAAAAATCACCATTACCCTCAGGTCGAATCCGTCGTCCTTCGCGGTACTCGTTACCGCCTTCAAGCCTTATTACCTCTTGAATATGGAACGGGATTCGTTCAATCCAAGCCTGTATTTTGGCCTGCGGTAAGTCCTTCCAGCATTGATTCCACGCCCTCGTCGCTTCACTCTTTGACGTCGGCGCGCCCGACTTCGTCGTCTGGCGCTTCATATGGAACCAACAGGGCTCTATAGGATTGAGATCCGGCGAGTTACCTGGCCACATCAACTGGGCAATCCCTTGAAGACTGTAAGTCCTTCCCTGCGTATGATGACGATGTGCTGGAGCGCCGTCTTCTTGAACCAAAGTACCAGGTCTGTCGGCCATACATTCCTTCGCGAATGGGATTAACTTTGGTAGTATAATCTCCTTATTGTATCGCCACCAGTCGATCCCAGAACCCTGGCGACGTAACAGCTTACCATTCTTAATAGTGAACTGCCATTCTGGCTTCTTCCCAGCACGATTCCGAACACCTTAACGTCGCATCCCAGTCGTTAACTCCCACTCCTGCTTCAGGAGAGGCTCAAGCTGCTGATTCCAGGCCGCGATCTCCGCCTCGGCGGCCTTCTTCTGAGCCTTCGCTTCTGCCTGCCAGACGTGGCAGGGCCCCTTCTTGTCGTAAGAAAAACACCCCCAGAACATAAACTCTAAGTAGCCCTTCTAGCGTTCCCTGATACATGAACGAGTTATTCTTTCTAACGGCTGCCTCCATATACGATAGCCTCCTCGTCGATGACCTAGAACTACCGCCGTTTCGTCGCTGAATATCACATTCTTCTAGTCGTTAAGAGTCCAATCTGCGTGCTGCTGGTAGAACTCAAGCCGCGCCTTCCGCATCGCCGGCGATAGCCCCGGCTTCCTCGTCGGCTTCGTTTTTCGAAAATTCGACTTGTGCAGAATCCGCAGAACCGTCTGCGGGCTTACGTTGAAGCCCTCTGCTCAGAGTTCGTCAGATATAAATCGTACTGTCTTCTCTCGGCCGTAACGGTCAAGTCGTACTTTATCGACAATACGCTAGGTAAGTTCGGAAGTCTGCTTTTTGGGCCTCCCAGCCTTCGGTATATCGGCGACGAACTCATCCTTCATCAGCAGCGGCCTCGCCGTCAGATCGAAGCCGCGGTCGCAGGCACGGCGGTAAAGGTTTGTCACGGTTTTCGTCGGGATGCCAGTGATCGCAGAAGTCGCAGAAGAGCTCTTGCCGTCGGCTTTGAGGTAAACGCAGACCGCGCGGATCGCCAGATCGTAATACTTCCGGCCTACCATACTTTCTACCACCTATCCATGGAGGTCAAGTGATCTCGACGTGCCTCTGCTATCCGTCTCCTCCATTATTGCTCCAGAATGTCAATTACTGCTGCTTTTTGAAGCCTCAAATCGCGTCGAAACAACGAGCTGACGCGTCGTACAGGGGCATTCACTGGTTATCTTATTTGAGTTGGACTCTACAGCAAAAACACATGCCAGCTGACACGGCTGGCACGCTAATACAGCAGGGGACCCCTGTGGACCAGGACTTTTGAGACGCACCTCCGTAGACAGGGCGGGCGCTCCAGGGCCCATGGTATTGTAGCACCTTGATTAAAAATCCGTGAGAGGCAATTCTGGACGACGATCTCCTGTGCGTTTCTTTCGTTAATAAAGTCTCCTAACCACTTCCCGGATCTTAGCCCACAGTTTCCCACCTCAAATGCTGTAGTTGTTATCTTCGCCCAGATTTTTTGCTGAACTGTTGGCGTCAATTTTGTTCCTCCCAAGTCTATGCTCTGCGTCTGAGGCCTGCACGCGCAGATATGGAGCAGTCCATGAGCCCCGAAGACCTGAAGGCGGATATTGGCTCTTCCCTGCAGGGTACCACTACGGCGCTGCTCGCGCTGGCTACCCTTTTCTCCGGGTTGAGGTTTTGGGCGCGGTATGCCGTGAGGGCGTCATTTGGCAGCGACGATTGGATGGTGGTCGGGGCATTGGTACGTTGGTCTCGACACTGGCAGCGATACAAGCTGGCTTACGGACAGGCGTGCTAACGAATTGGATGCGAAGGTTTCGGTGTTTGTTACGGGTGCCATAAACTACGCTAGTAAGGGCTCGACACTTCCGGTCGTGTCTGTCGGAGAATGGACTTGACAGCTGACTTCTAAGTGATCTCATATGGCCTCGGTCGCCACGCTGGGACATTGTCACAGGACGACCTGGTCTCGTTCTTCAAGCTGCTCCTCGCCTTTGAGTGCGTATATGTCACGGCCGTGATGATGGTGAAGCTCGCAGTGCTGGCGATGTATCTGCGTATCTTCCCATCCCACGGCTTCAGAACCGGGGCGGCTATGATTGCCAGCATCGTCGTCGCATGGTGGATCGCAATCGTTGCAGTCTGCATCTGGCAGTGCAATCCCATTAAGAAGGCTTGGCTGCCGTGGATTGAGGGCACTTGCATCAACCTGAAGGCCTCCTTCATCGGCAACGCCATTCCGAACATCCTCACCGACGTGGCTATCCTCGCCATGCCAGTCGGACAAGTCTGGAAGCTGCAGGTTACTCTCGCGCAGAAGGCATCGTTGCTCTTCATTTTTTTGTTGGGAGGCTTGTGAGTCCATTTCCAGGCGACACGCTCCTACCTTCTGGTGTGACGACACGCTGACTTTGGCTCACAGTGTCCTGTTCGCCTCCATCTACAGATTCACGACGATCATGCAATTTGATATCTTGGACACCACCTTCACCCTCGCAACGGCATGCACGTGGTGCGTGGTCGAGGTTTCCTGTGCCGTCATCAGCGCCTGCCTGCCGACGCTTCGGCCGCTCATGTCCAAGATCTCGTCCCAGTTCGGCAGTCTGACAGGCAGAAGCCGGCCAAGCGAGAATAACTCAAGCCGTGTCACAGAGCTGGTCACCATTGGCGGAACCGGTGGCCAGCGCAGCCAGCGCGGCAAGCTTGACCAATTCCAACGCATCGAGCACGACCCGTACGGTATCTCGACCGTCGTAACACGATCCCAGTCTGCCGAGAAGGTCAACAACAGCGACAAATCTTCTGCTGAGAGCATGCCGAAGTTGGGAAACGGCATCCGAGTTGCCATCACTCACGGGGTGCATCGGACAGCACGAACTGAGACGGGATCTAGCCACAGTCAGGGCTCAAACTATCCCCTCTCGGGCCATAATGTGCTCTGAGACATGGCCAAAGTCATTCCTGTAATTATCATATGTACATGCTGGTTTCCAGGGTCCATGTTGGGCGAATTCGATGCCCTGGACGTGGAGAGTTTTTAGTAACCAGCGCTTCTGCCTGGTCAAACAAGTCAAACTATCTAGCTAGGAAATATCTATCTTAATATATGTAATATCCTCGTATGGTGATCCGGATCACCGTGATCCAGATTGCATTCCTGGGATCGCGCTTTTATTCCTATTGGTCCATCGGTCCGACTATTGTTCCGTGCGATGGCTGTCTTCATGGGCTCTCGTCTTCTGTCGGGCCGCTCGACCTCACAGCCTTGTTTCGTCGTCGTAACAATCCACGGTAATTTTAAGTGAGTCTGTTTTGTCGGTTTAGCACTAATGTAGCACCGTACCCTATCGAGGCGGTTAAGATTGCACATAATAGCATTTACCGCTCGGCGTTGGCCGCTTTCTGTCGTTAGCGCGAGTCATGGTCTTTAGCCGTTTATTTCAAGGTGCCGACGGCTAGGCCGTTCTGCAGACCTCCAGCAGGGCTAAATATCGCCTTGTCCTGGTTGGATTGGCTGTGTGGTGCCTGACCCATAGTTTTCCCATGCATGCTCCTTTATTTAGCAGGATCAGTTCGGCTGAGGATTCATGGCTCGGAGTTTGGGCAAGATTGGTGTGACGGAGCGTCCATGAGGCTGGGGATAAACGACTCTAAGCGGGCGAAGGGCTCCGCCGATATTCCCTGGATGGTAGCAAACAGCAACGTCGGGAATGACAATATGCCGGGAAAGGACTGTGAGGGATATATGGGGTTTCGGGATAAGGGTGAGTTTTCTTTTTCTTTTCTTTTTTTTTCCGGGACTGTGTGTCTGCTGCTGGTGCCCTCTTATCAAGATGTGTCTTATTGTTCGCGTGGAAGGAAATAACATCGGGCTCGCAAAAGGGAATATGGTTTGATTTATTTCAAGCTTGTTGTACTGACTCTCGACCAGTACTCTCCCTAGACGACAGCGAAAAGTTCAACAGGTCCAGAATGTACGAAGCCGCTTTCCTGGGCAGCCCCGGCGGTAGCGACGGCACCTCATACTACGACCGGTACGGCGCCGGCACGTTCCCTGTCATCATAGTCTGGGGCCACAGCGACACCGCGACGGAACAGCAGCAGCTGCCTGACGACCATGTCACGTTCGCTTGTGTCAAGGTCGACACTGTGGCGCCCGGCGTGCCGATGCCCAAGGCGTCAGTGTCTGCCGGGCGAAGGCTCGGATTTGATGGTGGTAGTGTCGGTTTTCTGGCCGGTGTGGTGACCGCTGGGGTTTTGGGCGCTACTACTTTGTTGTTCTAAGGACATGGACGATGGGCTGCCTGCTTTGAACGCTCGTTTGCGAGGAACTACAGGTTGAAGCGAGCAGGTCCTGTCTGTGCCGCCGTTTTCGGCTGGTGTTGGCCACTGCTTCGGGCGGCCCGAACAGAGTGGCTAGTACTCGTGTTCCAGATACAACTAAAGAGAATACCATTCTCTTAGATGTATGCTCCTTCATGATTTCAAAGCCCAGCCATACTATCTGTCGAGGCAGCTATGATGAATAATGAACAGGCGGCCAGCACCAATTCCAACTTGCAAAGTCAGCGCCTATTGTTCAACTGATTGTCATTGAACCACCGAAGTACTACTCTTTCCACCCATATGCCGTCAAGTGGCATCCAGGCTGCACTAGGTATCGACTATAACCACGCAGCAAGACAACATGCCCAACAACCACACGCGCTCACACGATTTCCCGGGTCGCTGCCACGTAATAGAGGATAGGCAGCAGAAGCAGGGCCGAGCGCCAAAAATCTGCAAAGCAACGATGAGCGGGAGGGCGGGCCCCAATGGCAGGGCCGTAGACCGTGACGGACAGGCCGCAGGAGTTGGCAAGGATGGAAGTATGCCGCACGGTGCTGCTGCAGACGCAGATTCGACTTGGATTCTCGACGAGAGGATGCTGTTGCTGGCACGGGATTACACACGGAGCAGCGGATGAAACCGGCAACAGTGTGACACGCAGGGCCATGGGTAAGCTGGGCAGCGATCAACAGGTTAAGTTTGGCCTGACCGGAGCATACCGACAACCAACATGACGCTAACCCTTTCCTGGCCGCTCGGAACCTCTGCAATGGAATCAATGGCTCCTTTCGAACCATGTCGCAGCGCGTTGGAGAAGTCCCACCAATGAATTGGAGAGAGAGCCTGGAGATATCAGGCTCTTAATTTATGTACCCGGCTGAGTACTGTGACGATGCTGTGCTCGGCCAAAATCAAAAGTTTGCAAGTATAAGACCTCGGAAAGTCCTTGGTGGCAATGGAACTCACTAGATCTCTGATATCCAGCTTCGCTCCTTGGAACACATCGTCACGCACCTCGAAACCAAAATGGTCAAAATGTTGTGTGCTGCTGTCCTTGTCTCTGCGTTGCTCTTCTCCGCCGCAACTGCCCAACAGTCTGTATGGGGTCAATGTATGTGCAATACCTCTGCTGCTCTTCTAGCATCACTATTTTATCTGACATTACGCGTGCTAGGTGGCGGCATAGGCTGGACGGGGCCCACGGTCTGCGCCAGTGGCTCGTGCTGCACGTATCTGAATGCCTATCACTATCAATGCCTCCCAGGAACCTGTTCAGGTCTCAGCTCTAGCTCTGCACAAGCGAGCAGCACGAGCAGACCAATATCTACCTCCATGGTATCCTCGTCCATTCGCACCAGCAGCCGCAGAGCAACAGGTACAAGCAGCTCAGCCTCAAAGACGTCGACGTCTACTGCCGTCAGCTCCTTCACCAATCCCATCATCTATCAAGACCTGCCGGACAACGATGTCTTCTATGGCCCGGATGGATACTTTTACCTCTCTGCATCCAACTTTCACTTCTCACCTGGCGCTCCCATCTACCGCTCGCAAGATCTCCAGAACTGGGAAGCCGTCGGCCATTCGATTCCCACACTAGACTTCGGTGACAACTACTCACTGATCGGCAGCCAAGCCTACCGCAGGGGCACCTGGGCATCATCGATGCGCTACCGCAAGAGCAACAAGACCTGGTACTGGATCGGCTGCATCGACTTCTGGAACTCGTTTATATACACCGCGCCATCGCCATCGGGACCATGGACCAGGAGCGCCAGTCTCTGGGAGCGATGCTACTACGACTGCGGCCTCTTCATTGACGACGACGACACCATGTACGTCGTGCACGGAAGCAACAATGTCAACGTCACACAGCTGGCCCCGTCGGGGCTGAGCGAGGTCAAGACGACGGTCATGGCCTCCAACCCGCCAGGCTTCGACGGCATGGAGGGCAATCGCATGTACAAGCGCAATGGGGTCTATTACATCCTCAACGACAGTGGTAGCGCCCAGATCACATGGATTTGGCGGTCCGACTCGCCCACGGGGCCCTGGACATCCAAGGTCCTACAGCAATACAGTGGCGGGCCCCTGGGCGGTGGTGGCACGCCACACCAGGGCAGTCTGGTGCAGACTCCGCTGGGAGACTGGTACTTTGTGTCGTTCACCTGGGACTTCCCTCTCGGTCGGGTCCCCGTCATTGCTCCCGTCACCTGGGGCAGCGACGGCTGGCCGGTCCTGGGTCTGGTGTCGGGCAAATGGAACCAGACGTACCCCAACCCCCTCGAGCAGGTCCCCACGGCACCGTGGACCGGGACTGACACGTTCACCGGCACGGCTCTCAGCCCGCGCTGGGAGTGGAACCATAACCCGGACACGACCAAGTTCACGGTTCTTGGCAATGGTGGTGTCACGCTGTCAGCAGCCACAGTCACCGACGACCTGTACCGTGCGCGCAACACGCTGACGCACCGTCTGCAGGGCGGCGCGCCGGTGGCCACCATCCAGCTTGACACGAGCAATCTTGGGGACGGCGACCGCGCCGGCCTCGCCTGCTTCCGCGACTTGACCGCGTACATCGGCGTGGCCCGCAAGGGCAGCTCTTACTCCGTGGTGGTGCGCCACAACATGACCCTGTCCAGTGCAGACTGGACCACCACCAGCATCGGCGCGGACGTGGCCTCTGCTCCCGTCCCCAGGGGCCGCATCTGGCTCCGCGGGCTGGCTGACGCACTCGGCAACAGCACGAAGCAGGTCAGATTCTCTTACAGCCTTGATGGGAGGACCTTCTCGCCCTTGAGCGGGGCGTATCCACTCAACACCGACTGGGCCCTGTTTATGGGGTACCGCTGGGGCATTTTCAATCTCGCCACCAAGGCGCTTGGCGGCAGCGTCAAACTCATCTCGTTTACCCAGGTATGATCTGAGGCGCGCTCAACGGGTAGGGGTTGACAGAGTACGGCCTGAGATGGTAGTCGGTCGAGGCGTGGAGCAAGGGATGCGCTCTTGTCTCTCAACTGTGATTAGCTCATTCAGTCCGTCTATACGTAGAAAACTTGGTACCCTCTTAGAGTAACGTAATCCACAAGCGACCCGCCCACACAAGCGACCCGCCCACCCTCTACGCACTCGTATGATAATATATAAGTCAAATTAACCATAACGCCTTAAATCAATTGAAACTATGAGGAATCCTCTTCTTCAGAGGCAGATACAACTTTCTGACACGTACGAGCATTATGGCCAGGCTCGCCGCAGACGCCACATCGTCGCGCGCGCGTTTCGGGCCTCCTCGTACGACCACTATTCTGACTCGTTTCCGCCATTAACTGCTGCGTCGCATCGATTTGAGCCTTCAAATCCTTTGCCTGATCAATCGTGAGGGACCCTCCTTTCTGTAGCTGCTTTCTTTTCGTACGACGACGGCGGCTGAGGCGGTCGTTTGCATCTCGAAGTTCGGCGATATCATGGCGCATAAGGTCCTGCTCGTGTGCCATCATCGCCATCCCTTTATGAAGCTGCTTAAGGCTTACGACTATAGACGACGGTGAGCTATTCTGGTGTCGTACGATGCGATTTTTGAGATACTCCGTCTGCGATTCGGCCTCAATCGGGTTATTCGGCGTCTTTGAGACCCAGGGGGGTGGTAGTCCAGCAGAACCTGGTGGTGTCGGCGTACGAAGCTTTATATCTAGCTGTGAAATTACATAGTCCGGGTCGTACGGTACTAGGCCTGTCGCTCTAAAGCCTGCCTGGATGTTTGATTTGGTCATTGCAGTGTCGTACGCCTTATAAAAGGCTGGGAGGAAGTCCTCCTTTGAAACGTGGGTTACGTGCGCCCGCATTAGACCTTCGATTTCTTTACCGTACGCCCGTTTCAGAGGTCCAAAACACCCAACATCGAGAGGCTGGAGCTTATGCGACGAATGAGCAGGCATACAGAGGGTAACAATATTCTGTTCTTTGCAGTAGAGCTCGAAATCGACGGAATGGTGGCTCTCGTGGCCGTCGAGGATAAGGAGGCGGTAGGCACCCTTCGTACGACTCTTTGTATGGAAATCGAAGTGTTTTACCCATTCTAGGCCTCTCTCGTTCGTCGTCCAACCGTTTTCAGAAAGCGCGATTACCCAGTCGGGCGGTAGGGGGCTATTCGCGGTCCAGGAGTCGAGGTGGACCTTCCCGGCGAAGATGATATATGGCGGGATTGAATAGCCGTACGACGCGATACCCTGGATTACTGTAACCCATTCCTGATTCCCTTGTTGTACGGCTCTTGGCCTCCCGCGTCGATCGGAGGTTGTAACAACAGTTTCGGCGGAGATTTTGCCCATCGCGAAGCCCGTTTCGTCGAAGTTGTAGATATCGTCATCGTGGATCCCGTATTTCGCGACTATATTTCGTACGAGCTTAAACCACGCGTGATACGCGTCCGGATCCTCGCAGAGGACCCTCTGGTAGTCGATTCTTCGATTTAAACGCGTACGGAGCTCAGGTCGTCGTCGTACGAAGTTTGAGGCCCAGTTCGTTCCGACGCGTAGCGCGTCGCGTACGCGGAGGAGTCGATCCGCCATTTCTCGAACACCACTAAGCCGCGGCGGAAACGATCGCGAATCTAGGTCGATTACGTATTGTACGATACTGTCCTCTTCGTACGAGGTCAATTTCTGGTTACGTGGTCGGGTATCGCCTTTCGCAGAGCGGCCGTGGTATCGTTGTTGTAGTGTTGTACGTGATACCTTATATATCGATGCAGCCTTTCGTACGCTTAATTTAGGGTCTGATTGAAGCGCATTTAGCGCGAGAATGATCTCTGATTCAATTGATTGTCGTGGCATACTTGTTCGTGGAGAAATTAAGGAAAGAAGAGGAGTAATTGAGAATTGCAGGAATATGACCCGGTCGCTTGTGTGACCCGCTTGCTTGTGGATTACGTTATAGTAAATGTGAAATAAAAGGAGGATAAGGGGGAAGGGAATATAGGGAGGTAAATAGTATAGATTATAGATTTCCTAGCCTAACCTATAAACTTAGTAGAAGTTGGATAACTAGTCAAGGTGTAATAGTAGCTCAGAAGATAAGAAACGGGATCCGGGCTCGTCGTTAAGCCATGTCCGGGCGTCGGATTAAGTGGGCCTCACAAAACGGAACGGAAGATCACGCTAGCGTTTCCAACGGTAGTCGGACTGGTTTGAGCGCCTGTGTGCTTCTTGGACGATCCATAACCTCGTAAACCACGGCCGGTCAAAGAGCGCAAGCACCTTGGCCCATATCTCATCACCCGCCGCGGGCAGCTCCCGGCCTGCCCAGCTCATGTCGACATGGCTGGCCGGGATCCCGAGAAACATCGCCGTCTCGTGCGGGCTCAGCCGCCTTCCAAAGATAGCTGGGTGGCCTCCCGCGCAGACCGCAGTGCGCCAATACCCGTCGATGAAGCGGCCGAGTTGCTCACTGTCGGCAGGCGATGGGGCCTCGCCACCTAGGTCCGCGACAACTCTGCTGGCACTGCGGTAGATCCTAGCCATGAGACCAACCTGCTGTTCCTTCTCCCGCGTGTCGTTCTGGTTGATGCAGATGCCGTCGGCCCAGACCAGGCGTTGCCGGTCAGAATATCGCAACCGGACTAGGAAGCCGTGGAGCGATGCCGTCATGGGCAGTAGAGCACCCCCGCCGCTCGACGAGATGAGGTTGTGTGGTTTTGCGTCGCTGCCCCAAACGTATGAAAGCGCCTCGAATGAGCGACACGCGCCATTGCTGCTGCTCGTCGAATCGGATTCGTACTCGTGGAGGAAGACTTCAATGAGCTCGCCGGCTAGAGCGTCGTCAGCTCGGCCTGGCAGCAACTCGATGAGTCGGATGTAGCCCGGCTTGAGTGTCTGATATTGGTAGACGGGCATGGTGGTCACTTTATCCTGGATGTGAGCAACAACCTCGTCTTCAGTGATAGGCTAGCTGTCTGGGTCTGAGGAAAGAAGGGCATGTTGCAAGTGTGCGACGATAGTTCCTAGCCCAGAAGATGTCTCAAAGACTTTTCAGCCTCACAGCCTCTCTGCCTTGCGGGGTGCCCTGCCAAGCCCTATGTCTCTGACAAGTGGCTTATGCGTAATCGTCCGCTCGGCTGTACGTCCACGAAGGATCTTCTGAACTTGGCATGAATACACCACATTATTCTAATTCAAATGTTCACCACTGTGTGGGACCTCTGCCAATGTATGATGCAATCGAGCTCGTGCTTTAGAGCATGCGACATCGCCATGTCTGCAGACCGCTTCCGTCTACTCACATGGACGTGACATGCTTGCATTCCCTTCGAAACAAGGTTCACGCCCTGGATCTTGTCTGATTGTTTGCAATGGCAAGTCCCCTTTACAAAGTGTGGTATTGTGGACACCCAGGGCTGAGCAGCATGAGATGAACCTTGACTATAGGATATATGATAAGGGAACGGAAGTCGCTGAATCAGTTTTGCAAGAGTTTCAGTACGCAACTCAAAGTCAACTGATAAGGCCCGTTATTTGGATAGCTCACAGCATCAGCATGACACAGACCAAGTCAACCAAAAATGCTGTAAGCCTCAAAAGGGTTCGTTTGTGCAAGATGATATAAAGTATATACACAAAATAGAGCAGATTTGGGCTCAAAGCAACTCGGCACCGAGTCACAAGTACTGGCAGACTCCGCTTTCTCTTTCAACCCTCTTCTCAACCATGCCACCATCTTCATCGTGTCGTCATTGTTGTCCCCATACGTACACCTGCACAATATCCTCCAGTCCCACCAAAAATGCTCACGTCAGCAATCAACAACACCAAGCAGCCCCTGAACACCACGCTCGCTTGCAACTTTTCCACAATGCTTTCAACACAACCAATTCGATCCGGACAACGTCCCAGAGGGTACTTGCGTGCTACAAGAGTTCCCTAGTGTCGTGTGCGACGCGCTTATTTACCGGCGCGGTAGGTGTTCCACATGGAAGCCATGCGGGTTGCCTGGCCAGCGCTGAACTCAGTGTAGCAAGCATCGTCGGAGTAGTCCATGTAGTTGTGGATGGGATCGACGCCAGCCTGGTTGGGGCACGAATCGCGGCCGACGGGGCAGCCGGAGGAGGGAGAGGACTGGGCCGGGGTGTCAGCGACGGAGTCGCCGGTGCCGGTGCAGCCGCCCTGGAAGGTATGGAAGAGACCGAACCAGTGGCCGACCTCGTGGGTGACGGTTTGACCGAGGTCGAAGCCGGTGGAAGTGCCACCGGGGACGGTGCTGTACAGGATGCTGCAGCCGTCCTGGATGTAGGCGGTGCTTCCGGAACTGACGGTGGTGGGGAAATAGCAGTAACCGAGGGTGCCGCCGCCGAGGTTCTGCTGGAAGTAGAGGTTGAGGGCCGAGTAAGTACCCTTGCGAAGAGCGCGCTTCATGGCAATCTCATCGCCGTCGCGGGCCCAGGCGGAGTTGACAGTGCGGTCGGTGCCACGGAGGTTGAAGTGGATGCCGTAGGGGGCATAGGCGTTGTTCATGACGACGAGCTGCTGGGCGAGCTGGCTGTCAGGAACATTACCTTGGCTGAGGGAGCTGCCGGCCGAGACGACGTGGAAGTACACGTCGACCTCGATGGTGGCTTGGATGGACATGCTACCGCTGGCGGCCATCTCGGCTTCGGCAACGGCCATGCTCGAGGCGGCGGCCAAGAGCTCCTCGGAGGGCTCAGGAGCACCACAGCCGAAGCGACCAGTTAGAGGGCCGGCAAAGGCACCAGTGGCCGAAAGGACGGCGGCAGCAATGGACAACTTGACCATTTTGACGGTTGTGGGTGGTGCTGAGGAGATGCTAAGGAGGTGATCTCAGTGAATGAGACAATGGGGAGGCTGACCACGAGGAAGTGACTGAAAGACTCGGATGAGGTGAGGATAGAAGAGACAACTCGGCCAAAGCAGGAGGTCGGCCGAGACTCTTATAGAAAGCCGCAACGGGCGTCGATCACGGGTAGATCATGGAGGCCATCAATCCCGCTAGAGCCTCAACCACTCGCTACCGATCCCACTCTCGTCCGCCACTAGCTGATAGTCGCCTCACGATGGACCGGGGTATGACTGCCAGCACTTGGACCTTGACATGTGCCGCTCATGTGGGGTTCTTGGTATCGGAAACAATCAGAGGCATCACGAGGTGACCAGTGACTTTTGCTCAGGGCCAGCCGCTGCCAAGCCGCCACCAAGCATTACCTACCTATTCAGGCAAAAGCCATTCCCCAGCATTGACAGGAGGCTGAGAAGGAATATGCACAGATCGCCATGGATAAGATACAGGTGCAGGCGATCAGGCACCTGGACCATGCTGCGCCAAGTTCAGCTTCGAGGCAACTCAAAGGCTGTCTGGACGGCCAAGGCTCGAGCGTGACGCCATTGGAGGTCTGCCGGTAGTCGGAACAGCACAACCACAAGGGTCCACCATGCGGAGATTGGCGGCTATGCTGGTCCCGGTGTCACGCCGCCAAGTCCTAACTGCCGGATGGGGAAGGTTGCTGGGTGCCTGAAGTGCCGGGTACATTTCAGGGCAGTCTTCGAAGGGTGGGCTGCTGCAGTAAGCCTGGCAGCAACTAGTGAGCAGCTGTTGGCGGCGGGCCTTGCTCGAGGATGTAGGCCCAGGCTATACTAAAGTCTATAAGCCGTTTGTTGTTTATGCCGCTAGTCACAAAATCCAGTATCCCTGCTCCCAAGTACCCCACGTACGTTGCGGTGGCCACTTTCGATAAGCTGATGGTTACCATTGGTCGCGGCCCGACTGATCATTAATTTGTTGTGATATGATGACCGAGCCGACATTCGCAGACGGGGCAAATGTTCTCTGCATTCACAAATGCCGCCAGCTCATGCCTCGGTCGACGTGCCGCACACGAAAAACACAAGCATAAGTCAAAGCTGCAAGGTTGTCAGCTTGGCAGTCGTTGTCGATCATCGTGGCGCGCCATTGCTGGCCCGTTCCTAGCCCAGCTTGTCTGTCAAAGGAAACAATCACCTGCTGCTTTGGGGCAAGATGGGCAGCAAAGTTCTCGTATTGAAGCTGGCAGTTCGAGAACATCAAGGCTTACACAGACCCGTATTCAACAGACTTCACTCACGCAACGCAGCACGCCCACACTTGCACCTGTCATCCCTCGCGTAGTCTGGAAGCAGCCTGAAGCTGCAACATAGCTCGTGTGCCTGATTGACGCTCTGGGCCAGCCCACCATCATCAGCCGGAAACACCACCTGCCTAGTACGAACACCCCAGCCCAGGGGTCGCATGCCATGTGGAGACGCACGCTCGCATGTAACCCATGGCCTGGTTATCAGCGCGAATACTTAAAGGCTCGCCTTGGCGCTCCTCTCTTCCCCATCCGCCAAGAACTCTTGGTATCTGATTGCCTCGTACCTTTCCACCTGTGCTCGCCCACCCATACGCGCTCTTCGATTGCCCGGAGCCCTGCGACGAGATACGACCCCGGCTCTTTGCGGACCCTTGCTTATCCAAAGCACCACGCCATACTATACCGCCAGCTTTCGCCTGCTGCATTCGACGTTCTGGCGTCTTGATTCGCGTCGCCTGAGGAGGGCCTGGTCAGCCCAGCCGGCACACCTGGGACCCACGCCAAGCGTTTGCCCTTGGCGGCGCGGAATATTGCAGGACACGAGCAGAGCACAAGCATAAGCACAATCAATGCCACCAGGGGCCCCCGCAACAGCGGCAACAGCAACAGCGCCACCAGAGGCTTGATTGCCGCTCGCTCGTTACTCGAGTCAGTCACGACGTCAAGATACCCCGGCGCGCAAGAATGGCATTCCTCCTCGGCGATTGCGGAATAGCCCTGCGAATGTGTTTCTCCGCAGCTCCATGGAGGTCTGCTTGGCGTGCGAAGATGTTTTGGGAGTCGGTGTAGTGGCGCTGTGCCTCGTAAGGGCAATGGACCAAGCTATCGACAGCCATTTAGCATCACAAACCTGGGCCGCTAGCTTTCTTCTGCAGTCGGTGATGCTCGAAAGACGACAAAAACAGACTCTTCACATTGCCATTGGCCTGAAGGGACGAGAGCTCTATTCCCTGGCAGTCATGCGACACAATCGATATTTCGGGCGTTTCCCCAGCTGCATTGACAATCCGTCGAAGTCTCGCCTAGGTACGTCGTATTGCTAACTAATAGAAGTTTGAAATAGAGGAGAAATCCTTTTGGAGACTCAAAAGCACATAAAACAACCAACGCGCAGGAACGTCACTCTCTCACGACGAATCCATCCGCAAAATAACCCGCAAATCATCCGGGACAACAATCTCCTCCTCGACAGGGTACAAGCCTCGCTCTGCCAGCTCCTCGTCCATGATGCCGGGCTCTCCGTCCAGCACCTGTTTCAACTCTCGCGCCGTGTCCGTCACGTCCGTGATGTCGACGATCCACTCGCTTATCCAGCGCGCCGCCACCCCGGCCGGGATCCCGATCTGGATGCTGCGGTAGTCCAGCTTCTCAAGGCGCGCGTCGCGCTCGGGATCCCACTGGACTTTGACTTTTTCCGACTTGGGCTTGTCTGTACCAGTGATCTTCGTAGCCGCTGCATCCGCGCCACTCGCGCCCGACGGGGAGGCATCTGAACCTGCGGAGGGTGCTGACGTTCCGGGCGGAGACCGCGGAGCATGCGTGGTCAGCTCCGCCATCCTCAGCAGGGTCCAGAGGTCGCCCTTGCGCATGCGCAGCGCGAGGATGCGCGCCTGGTTCGCGTCCTTGTACGAGTACCCAGCGCGGTACATCATCCAGCACCAGCTCGGCTTGATCCAGGTCATCCGCGTCAGCTTGAACAGCGGCGAGGCGTCGAGCCTCTGCGCGGCGCACGCGGCGGTGGCGATGGCAGCGTTGTAAGCCTGGTATATCGTGATAAGATCGTCATTGTCGTCGCTGCCGGACGCTGGACTTTCGGTCGTGTGGTTTGTCTTGGCTGGTCGGCAAGCTGCGCGGATCTGCCGAAATGGCTTGGTGGGTGCCATTGTGCTCGTGATCTTTGTACCCTGGCCGACTGGCCTATGTTTTGCCGTGTAAGTATCGCCTTGTAAGAAGAAAATAGTCGGCGAGAAACTCGATACTGTTCCATCTCGATATATACCACGAGCCTTTCGTGTACAAAATAGCGGGGGTGCGCTTGTTGCTGCCGGTTGACTCATTCCGGGCACTAGTTTGCTCAGCCTCGCTGTGCAGCCAGCATAGGCCTGGTCTCAAGGCTGATCAACAGGCGTTTCCAGAACCCAAGCCAAGGGAAAGTCAAAAGCTCCACGCCAACCGGCCTAGCCTGCTTCTTTTGCAACTTTGTTGGTCATTTCAAGCGGCAGGGCGAAGCCAGCTCGCCACAGGGATTGTGACGCAATTGATGCTTAGGCTGCTCTGGCGGGACACTATTCTGAAATCTGCACAGCACAGTAACAGGGGAATTTGGGTAGTGACTTGTATAAACGTTTTGAGTAGATCTTTCGATCTGAACTTGGATGGACGTAAGCAGATTTCGCACAAATGGAGAAGGATTCAAGAGCCTCACTCGAGACACCGCACATCAATTTGAGTGGCACACTGTTGAGAGCTCCATTTTGGCACGTTATCTCCATTCCACCGTTGACTAAAGTTCTGGTGATACTTCATAAACAGCTGGCAATGCTTTCAGGACAGCTGCCACTGAGTTCGTGGGGGTGTACTGCCTTGGACACTGATTGCAGTTCCCAACACACTTCACAGACCTGGCTGAGACCTGGTTGGCCTCCTGCAGGTCCACGTGAGGCGGCATATTTTAGGCCAAACCAACAATTGCAAAGACGCCTGCTGGTCCCAAATCCAAACATAAATAAGAGTGGCAATGCGGAGTCTGAACGTCTTCCACATTGATCTTCATCTTGTCATGTCAGATTGATTGTCTTCCGTGGAGTTTCAATAACCTGAAGAATAAACACGACTCGCTTCCATCACAAAGACTGTAGATGCACCATGGCACGCCGACGCTCTAGCAAGAAGTCCAACTACAATTACCGACCAATCTATACCTTCCCCGAGCTCCACGAACGGGTCTGCTCAGCCGTCGAAGATGACGACGTGGAGCCTCACTGGGTCGACAGAGACGACGACAACGCACGCGACCACGAGAACGAGTACTCGACCAATGTGATGGGCACATTCCGCTGCGAGAACGGCTCCTGCAGCAACGACAGCTGGGGCAGCAAAAAGGTCGCCATTGTCATTCGCGGGTACGAGGATGACGGGTACAACGCCGAGGTGTTCAACCAGCGCTGCAAGGCGTGCAATCAGCTCGGTGTACTCACGCTGCACGAGAATTCGTATGTCGAGCGAGTGGCGTACCGCGTCAAGAAGTGGGCGGGGGTCACGGTTGAGCAGCCTCACTATGGTCAGCCTGGCGAGGGACCACCACATGAGCGAGACTTGTGTGAGGGTTGCAAGGCAGGATATTGTTTGAGTGGTGGTGTGGATGATCTGTCTTTTGCCCAGATGTCTCTGGGCCGCCGTCATTCATGAAAACGATAGTCGATATAGTTATCAACAGACTTGATCTCATTGAAGTCGGGGAATTCGGGCGGGGTAGGAATTATGAACAAATTGCTTTAGTAAAGTAGACGAAAGCACTGTCCTGACCCTGCTAATTGCGACATCAACTGAGCTTGACATCGATGCGGCTTAGCAAGACTACGTGATTGTGATATTGCATTTGCAGAGATGCAGAAAGTGTACGTCTGCATCAAATGATCCTGCCTCATTTACCAATGTACGTGACCTGACTGGTGTATTGGTTCAGCATGGCAGACGACTCTGAGTTCGCTGCATGCTGAAATTCCTCCGTGCCTTTGTGATATCTGGCGAGCTCATCGTCACCTTTCATCGTTGGACGCTGCATGGTGCAGTCCTGCCGTGTAAGCTCATCATTCCCATTTGGCGCAATCAAAACAGGAACGCCCGTCCACCTCGCTATTCTCCAATGCTTGGGAACGTCGGAAGTGCCCTCGATCGTGTAGCGTAGAAGGTGCAGCTTCTCATCAGCCTGCCGCGCCACCTTGGTGCGCGAGTTCTCGTACCGGTGTCGCAGGTCGCTGAGCCAGTCGAGGATCTCGACGAACCAGAAGCTGGTCAAGACGAGCAGAACCGAGACCCCAATGATGATGATGACTCCCACCATGCTAAAGTTCTGGATATGGGCGGCATCATCGATAAGCTGGTTGTTGCACTGTGACTGCAGAGTCGCAATCATGTCGTGGGTGAAGCCCCGGCGGGTTATCAGCTCGTCGACGTCGTCGAACGGGGAGAGGACCTTGAGGACGTCGAGATTGCTGCTCTTGCGCACGTACTCGTCGGTAGTGGCTTGGTAGTCAGCCAAGGCTGTTTCAAACCAGCCAGCAACTTCCAAGTGCCACTGGTTGTCATCAAGGCCGGACGACTGGACATTGAAGCGTGCTTTGCTGTTTGCGAATAGAGCTTTGGCATTCAACAGCCGTCAGTCATTAGGCTTACACTGTTACTTTTTCCAGGTGTCGGCGAGCTTACCTGCAGTATTCATGCCGACAACGCTATCCATGATGCTGATGGAGGACCGTGGGTCAAAGGAGATTCTTGCCGCTGTAGCCCGCTGCGCAGCATTGAGGCCCAGCGCTTTCTTTTGGTCAGTTGCGTCCCTTGCCCAGGCGGCAGCACCGCCCCATTCTGTGCAGCCAGCGCTCGCATCCGATGCCTTGCACCACCGGTATTGCTCTGCGCATACCAGCGTGTTGACCCACACGTTGCCCTCGTAATAACCTCCGCCACTCGGAAGATCAGCCCTAAACAAGAGATCCTTCACGGGGGTCGGGTATCTGACGCCGTTCTGGCTGAGGAAGATGATTCCTTGGTCCGCATCGGTTCTGGCAATGCCCTCAACCGGATGCCACAAGCCCTCGTCAGTAGACCCGGCTAGTCCATAAGTGACGCTGTTGATCAGAAGATTGTTGTCAGCTTTTATACACCTTGGTCTGGCGTAAAGGCGGCTGCTGGCGCCCTGCTTACTCTATCTGATACCCCATGGTTTGGTTCCAGTGGCCAATTGGGAATCTGTATGTGGGAGCGGTGCTATTGGGAAGCCCGGTTGGTCCAAGCCGAAAAGAAATGTATCTCTCGCTTGCCGTGACAAAGTACTCATTCTCGACTACAGAGCATGTCGCTTTGTGCTGCAAAGCAATGCGGTCGGAGGGAGGCGCATTGATCCCAAGATGGAGATGAGAATCGAGCCTCTCGGATGTCAGACTGATAGTCGCGTTGGATTCGTTGAGGCAGTATGTGCTGTTAGGCAGCGCGCATGGCACGTTGGTCTCGAGCTTGTATTCGAGCTTTGGTTTCATGAAGATGGACTTGAGAGGGGCGGTTCGGGTAGCGTCTCGCATGGACAGGGCGTAGGCGCGTGCTTCGACTGTATCGTTGGTCCATTTCTCCGTCAAGAGGTCGTGAAATTCATCTTGATCGGCCGGGTCGCCAATTGCTTGGTCGTTTGGGCGGTTGACCACGAACCCACAGCGGTCGGGCTTGGCTCTGACGATGGCCCGGTCTGTTGCCTCGTTCGCGACCATCGAGGTCAGCAGCGAGGCGGCGAAAAATGCTCCCCATATCAGAACGCCCGGCAGTGCGACCATCAAGGTCCGCCGCCCGCGTTTATAGCCGGGTGTGTGCCTCCAGGCTATAAACAGCGATATGGCATCCAGAGCAGAACGGAAGCCGCTGGGCGAGTTGCGCAGCGAGACCTGCTGTTGAAGGCCGAAGATATCGGTTGTGGGTCCTCCTCGGGCCATATGGGCGTGGATCAGAAGGGATATGATATTCCACGCCGACGCACCCGCAATCGTCAAAATGGTCGAAAGGAAAGAAGTGATGTAGAATCCGTGCTCGTTGGGAACTGTAATGACCCAGCCCCAGGGCCCCATGGATGAGTGGTCGTACCACAGACTCCATCTTGAAATGTCCGCCATCTCTGTTTAAAGAGGCGTCGTAGCAACTGGTTTTCTGAGCACAGAACCCGCAGGTATGATTGTGAGCTGTTCAATGAGCGCCATGCGGCTGCACTGGTTTCTCGGAGCTTTATATCAGTAGGCACGCTGACACTCACTACAGACTTATCTCCGCGAGGTCAGCAGTGCATCGGTATTCCAGTGGCAGTGCAAATATTGTCTCCAGGGGTGTGCAAACCCAGCTGGAGACATCGAAGGTATACCCGTGGCGATTTTGTGCTGACATGGCAGCCAAACCGCGATGCAATAGTAGACACCTGACCTGGCAGCCCGGGGGCGCCTGCACATAGGGCTATAATTATCCAATGCTCGCAAAAGCCATACCCAGCTTGGCAGGTATGTGGGCAAGGCGGCCCACAGTAAGCGTCGTCTGGCTTGCCCATTCGCCAGCCCTATCATGTTGAGGTTGGGATTGTGACATTGCCAAGAGATCCTAGGATCAACTTGGTGGGGGCCATTTGAGGCTGTAGCTCACAGCCACGCCCAGAAGATTACCAGGCTTTCAAGAGAACGACACTATACCGGATCTCTGGCCATTATAGGCCGGCGACCTGGCCCGATGCCGCCCCGAACATAATTAGACCCCCTGCATGAAGGGAGGCTCTTCTGTCCCGACACCACATCCGGAGCGGTCGTGTCGATGCACGTGGAGGACAAGGGTTATGCTGACTGCGAACTGGCCCTGACGTATCCGGAAAGGGTCCTTGGGGGCCAAGGATTGCACCCTTTGTCTGTCTACCAGGACAGTTGATGACCATTGCGTGTCACCTTGAGTGTGATTTGTTCCCAGCTTCTCCATTCCCAGAGACTTCGCTTCATCCATTATTCTAGCCATCCAGCAGGAAGCAGGATGAGCTTGACGCTCCTAAGGTGGTAATGAATCGATCGAGGATGATAGATGTGACGCCGAGTCTGGTGTGGGCGAAGGCATATTTATCCATCGCCACTTTCAACGCCTTAAAAGGTCTCTTGGCTCCGCTCGAGCCTTACCTGTCGTGTCACGCTGGTGCAGGCGGGGACTTCATGGACCCTGTTGTTGCATAATCCGCACACGGATCAAATTTGCAGGTGTGCCGTCCCAGTTCCGTAGCGGCTTGACTTCCGGCCTTCTTGGTGCTGTGGAGCACCGCTTTCATGGGAAGTAAACTGTCATTGCCAGTGATCCTTGGGTGAAGAATAAGTGATTGTTTCGTGCGAGAGTCTATAGCATGCAATCGCAGCTCTTGCTCCTCATCACAGCAACCATGAACAGCACGACCAGTTGCGAGCCAATCCAGGTAAACTGCTTCAGACAGTCTCCTCTGACCTCGTGTTTATATGATGCACCTGCCCACAAACCGCCAGATTTCCGCTCGTTGCCAACCTATTCGCATCATCCTCAACACCAGCGAACAGCGGGCCACCTTCCGAACGTCACCAACATACACATCACCAAGATGCCAGTCTTTCACTCTCCCTTCCTTTATCCATTGCCGGACAACGTGACTCTCTCCATGGCTTCGCCTGCAAATTCCCATGCCGAGCTCGTAACGCAGGACTTTTCAGCTGCCACAGTCAGTCGCGATTTCCTGACCACCCGCGCCCCCACAACCACATCAAGAACACCTCCTTTGTTCACCGGAACCAGCTCTTCGCTTTCGTCACCAACCGGAACACCTTCTGCGGCCGCGGAATTGACATCCTTCCACGGCGCGACAGTCGACCACACCACAACAAGACTGGCACAGCCGCCTCTGCCCGTCTCTACAATCTCTACTTCGCCAGTTTCCCACGATACCAGCGACAGCGCAATCGCAGACTTCAAGCCCGGCGGAAACCAGTTCTGGATCATCATCGGCATCCTCATCGTGGGCGTCATCGTGCTCTCCGCGTGCGTCTTGGCGCTGTCGATCTGCCGCCGCCGCCAGTGGAAGCGCGACCACGATGTCCGCGATCTCGTCGAGGCCGGGGCTGACTGCACCGAACCAGGCTCCACCGAGCACAACGCCTCGGAGCAGAACAGCTCTGCCGGGGCTTCTTCCGCTCGCGGGCATGCTTCATCCTGCTGGGCACGCCTTGGCGGAATAGTTGCTTGCATTCTGACTTGCCGCGCTGATAAAGGCAAGGAGTCAGCACAGCCTGAGCAAGAGAAGCGTTGTCTGTCTTGCGGGAGATTGCTTGAGGAGGGAGCCCAGAACGGGGAGGGATTTCCTGCCAGCAACGACACAGGTAACCGCCATCCCGCTGACGGCGAAACAATCGTCAGCACCAGAGACGCCAGTGAACAGTCATCCTGGCGTCTGGCAGTGTGTCAGGCATGCGTGGTGAAGCACAGCGGGATCACGGACCGGCTTAGATGTGGTAACTGAGTCTTAATCGGCGAGAAAAGCCGATGAGCAACGTTCGTTTATGAGTGTTGGTCGCTGTTATGGGTTGGTGCTGCAATCGCAAGTCCTCAGGATGGGCAGTCCAACGATTGAGACAGCGCCTGGAGTGCTAAGAATACGGGACCGCCAGGAGAACTTCGAGGGTTTTGGTATTGTCGTGAAAGAGAGATCGCTCACAGGGAAAGAATTGGAGTGTACCGAAGAGTTTTCGTTGGGCACGAATGAAGCTGTTAGAGGACAAACCCCCATGCCTTCCTTGTTTGAGCTCATTCAATACAAGTTGATCAACACAACTGTGGCTTGGGCCTTCGGCAAGGGGAATATCATCCTGTTTGCTCACGGTCAACATAGCGGGAGGCGCAAAACAGAACGACTGTCACACAGCACTCGTCCATCAATGAGTTATTTCGACAGCAGGGCATGAGTCTTCTCTCACTTCCCACACTGGAAGACCTTGTGCTCAGATCTATACTCGCTGTCAGAGTGAAATCTACATGCTGGTAGTCGCCTATTCCCCAGCCAAACGTAAGACAATCTCGACAACCTTTTGATTCGGCCCAGGCCAGTGCTTCTTGCCCCATGCGTACCACATCCCGATCGCGCCGATCATCACAGCACCGAAGACGGGACCTGAGTAGTTCATGGTGGTGGCTGTGACAGGGACAGTTGTGGGGAAAGGCAGCCAAATCATGGTGTACAGAGTGTGCACGAGGGAGTATACATTGAGAGGTAGCCCCCAGCGACCGAGGTTCCACTGCCCGACCTGGAATCCAGTAGTCAGGCGGGCATACAGAACAATGCTCAGAATGATGGCGTAGCTGAAATAGATTGCCAGCGTGGCGAGCGAGGTGATGGCACCGAGAGCGACGTATGTCTCCGTGCCCAGGTTGAGAAAATTGAGCACGACGACAATGGCGCAGGTAAGGAGGACAGCCCGTAGAGGAACGCGGGTCTTGGCGTCGACATGGCCAAAGTAGCTCGGCACTGAACATTTTGAGATCGATCATTAGCCACGGAAGTGCAAATTCTGGTGGCCTGTATATCCGTTGACTTACACCCGCCATCTCTAGCCCACGCCCAGGTCAGTCGCGACGCGGATGAGTAGACCGTCATGCCAGCGCACATCAGTGCAATGGAGACGCCAGTACCGATAACGGTGGCAACCGTTACTGAGCCTGTAGAGGTTACGATGAGGTAGATAAATGGGCTGGACGATGAAAGCATGTCCTCAACAGGAGGCATACATGCCTGGAACACCAATTCTGTTAGCGACCGGCTAAGACAGAGTCAGAGCTTGCGTTGAAAACTTACCAAGAATGTCACTACCGCGATGAGACCAGTAACTCCGTTTGTGGCAATAGCCCAAACCATTGCCTTGGGCACAACACGCTTCGCATCCTTTGTCTCTTCACCCATGTGGATGATACCTTCAAAGCCTATGGTTTATTAGTACTTAGCTCAGAGTGGTGAGTCCGCCTACAAGCACAGCCAACGTACTAATGAATGTCCAGAGGTGTGTCAGCATGCCGACGTTCCAGCTGACGAAGCTGTTCTCGTATCCAGACGCGGAGCTCATTGTGAGAAAGAACTCTGGGCCGTTCCGCGGCGACAGCATCCAGAGCGCAGCGACCGTGATGATGAAGAAGCAAATGTTGAGGATGCCCGCAACCAGCTCGATCCAAGGCACACTACGGAACCCCCACAAGTTGATGGCAGTGTAGAGGCCGAGTGTCGCGATGATGATGAGACATGTGCGCCACCCAGTAGCCTCATACTCCGGGTTGTTGATCTGGATTACGCCATGGAGAAGGACAGTGTTCGAGTTCAGGCACGTTGCGAGGAAGAAGACATAGCCAAGCCAGGTTGCCCAGCCCTGCATCCATGTCACAAACATCTTCGTGTTCGGAGTCGCCAAGTAGTATGTCCAGTAATACTGCGCACCAGCAATGGGCAGGATTGATGCAAGTTCGGCAAGGCAAGCTGCCTGAGTAAGGGCGCCGATAACTACAATCAGGTAGTTGAAGAGGAATGCGACTGGACCACCGTTCAGTAGGCCATAGTACATGGAACTAGAATGCGGCCGAAATGTCAATAGGCGACTTGCAAGCACTAATGGCACTGGTATACGCGGGCGTCTCGCAAGACAACTCACCTTCCCATGGCAATCCAGGTCACAAGGTACATAAGCGAGAAGGCGTAGAGCTGGGGCAGTGTGAATAGCTTCCTTGTTCGTGTCTGCTTTTCGAGCACTGACGCATCGTCACGAGGGGACGACGACACCCCATGCGCCGCCACGACCGTCACACTCCCCATTTCGATCTCATCGCCAGCCATCGCGACGCCGAGGATGAGGGAGAGCTGGCTACTCCTCGGATATCTGTGAGGAAAGAGGGACTGCGTTGTGGTAGGCTCTTTGTTTTTGTCGTAGGAGGAGAGAACAGGTGAAGTAGACGAGGAACTAACCGGCAACGTCAATTGTACCAGATACAGTTCATCTATAGGAGGATCGCCTACGCCGTACAGTAGGCGTATATGCAGGGTGTGTTACACGCAGGCCATAGCCGAGTCAGGCAGCAATGCAGCACTTCGGAGCTTGCAGTTGGGTCGAGGGGTTGGGGCTTCCCAATTCGTTATACTTCGATTGCATAGTGCTGATCCTTGTATCCAAGACCCTGAAGACTGGTTCTGTCGGACCGGCATTTGCCTAGGCAAAACACCACTGGTTGTCGCGTGTGTATCAGCCCCTTTCTCAAGCAGTGAAGGCTTATCTCTTGCTAGTCGCTGACTGTGGCGGGATCGTGCAGCCTCTAGGTAGAGAAACCCGGGTCCAGCGCTACGTTAGGGTCGCACGGATATTGGTGGCGGCCACATGCCTTGGTCGTTGTGGTTTGATTGATTTCTCCCAGGAACACCTGTGTGCCAGACGTTTGAAAGCATGGACCCTTGCCTTGGCTTCCTTGCGCTCCAGCATATAAACTTCAAGCACCCACGGGGGGCTGAGAAGGAGTGGAGGGCTGGCGTTGGTGTACAGGGTTTCCTTTCGATGGTCTTGGTCCGGGGATGGCCGTGATTGGAACAGAAGTGGTTCGACTAATTGGAGAGGCACCATGGAACAACAAGGGCATCCCTGACTGGTAAGGCCAAGCCGGGGATCCGCTCCGGCCGAGATCAAGGGGCAACATCCCGCAGAGAATAAGGTTTGACCGGTGCCTAGGGGTCCCCGGCACAAAGGCTCCTTATCGTGATGGCTTGCCAGGCAGATGGGATCTCAGCCGAACGGCCGGTGAGCCGGAATGGCCTTAGTATATGGCGATCGTCTCTTTTGACCAGTATCTTAGCTGAATACGAGACACGGGTGAAGGACTCCAGCGAAATGAGTTTTATGGGCCGTTATTTGGGTTCATTGGTTTATTCCGACGAGCTGTTGTCCCCTGAGATAGGGTCAAGCGCCTCCCTCCTTTTTGGCAGCTCACACCATAATGCAGAGCAGCCCTAGCGTTGTACCGGCTGAGAAAGCTAAAATTGGAGGCGTGTCAACATTCCAAACAGGATACGACTCATGAGCAAGCCACCTGGAGTGCTGCACTAATAAGAATAATTCGAACCCTATTGCAGCGTCCTCTTTTGCAACTACCAGCATATCCCACTGCATGGACAGCAGCCGGAGCTCCTGCATGCAGTGGTTCATATAAGCGGCGCCAGCCATTTGCAGGCGCGGCCCAGCCTACCGCACCTCGCAGATCATTTCTTTCGTCCTCCATGGCAGGCTCTATCCTTGGCCCACTTCCACATTGTTTTCCATACAATGGGGCCTCGGAGCACCACGAGTCCCTTCTTTGGACTGAACGAGTCTGACCATTCGGGAGTCCTGGCTACAGTCGTGGTCGTGAGCCAAGTGATAACTCTCTTGACGCTCTCGTTCCGACTGTTATGGTCGAGGCATTTGCAGACATTGAGGAACTACGACCACGCTCTCTGGGCTGCATTCGTGCTGTTACTTGTGCAAAGTGGGCTCACCATCTTTGTCGCCAAGCTGGGACTGGGTAAACACACTTCAACGATTGAGCATGGTGTTCTCGATCAGATCCGCAAGGTATGTCCCTACAAGCCTACCATATGATCACTGCATGCTGAGAGGTGTTGCGTTTCAGGTTCAGTATGCGATATGGCTCGTCAGCATCTTGGTGGTCCTAGCCACCAAGACCTGCATCTGTCTTTTCATCCAGACGATCAACACTTTCGCAGGCGTCAAGACTGCCAACACTGTTCTTCAAGGTCTCATTGGGGTGTTCTTTCTGTCGACTTTCCTGGCCACGGCTTTCCGTTGTCCGTTGCCAGACCCATGGTTCGCGTCATCAAAAGCGACATGCTCTGCAGCTGCGCCGATCTATTTGTATACAATGGCGACGAGCATCATCACCGACGTGCTCGCTACCACGTTAGCAGTAACAATGATTGTGAGGGTCCAGACAGGCGTGCAAACCAAGGCAGTCGTCATCGCTCTCTTTGGTTCCCGCATCATGTAAGTGCCGTCCGGGAAAGTAAGCCCGCTCCAATTCAAGATGACAATTGCGCTGACGATTTAATTGCTACGTACTTAGATGCCCGTTTACCACAATCCCCACGCTCTCGTACGGTTCCTCACATATCTACAACGGCGACGAAACTGATTTCACCTGGGACGCGCTCTCCCCGCTACTGTGGCTGACCGTCACCTGCCACCTCTCCGTTATCACCGCATGCGTCCCGACACTAAAGAAACTCTTCGACAGCCTTCTTGGCAACACCCTGTCCATCACGATTGATGCCCCGTACCAGCTCGAGCGCATCGATGGCAGGACCGGCTTTAACATCACCGAGCGCGACGAAATAACAGGCTCGGGCCGGGCCGGTGGAAGTTCTTCGGCTCGCGGCAGATATGGCCTGAAATACAGTAAGAACAGCCGGTCGCAGAGCAGCAGGGGCAGTGGGTTTGGTTGGAAGGGGGTGCCGGGCGTGCCCACGAAGAGTAGCATCGACCGGCCCAGTTTCTTTGGCGGTAGTCTTCGGCTAGGCGTCACTTCAACGACCGTGACGTCACCTCATCAGGCAACGGAAAGCCATGCGGGCGGTGGGTTCGAAAGTGTTTCAAGGCTCGGTGACAGGAGAGGTGGCAACAGCGATAGCGCTGTGAAGGAACAGAGTGAGAGTGTGAAGGGTCTGACGGAGGGGGTCATCATGGTTCGTCAAGAGGTCGATGTTCAACATGACCACGGTGCGGATCACGATTCATGGTCTTTACGGGACAGCCGATGACTTAGATTTACGCCTACCAACTTCTTGACCTGCCTTTCTTCTCGTCGTTCATACTCGAAATCCAACCTTGAGCATTTGATCATTGTGTCATCAACTGAGTTGACGAGCTTTGATCGATAAGCCCTTTCCAGAAGCGAAGCTCGAGAGGCTTGGCTTGCACTCGATCGAGATGGTGTTACGATATTGTTTTTCTCGCGGATCGGGATGTTTGTGCCATCTCCGATACAATAGAGCGTGCAGGTCTGGGACTTTGCAGTAGGACTAGTTAAGCCAACAGCCTCGCGGTCTCTGGCTGTAAATTAGCAGCACCCAATGCAGTCTAGAATTTGCGCTGCGTGCAAGAATCATTGCTCCTGGGGAACGATCGCGTAGGTCCCAGCCCGTACGACGGGTGGGCGATGCGACAGCTTTTCTCTGCATCTTGTTGGCTCGAACCCGTGTACGTAGGAATAAGAGTTGTGAAGCCATTCCGGGGGTTGGTACAGGAGCAGCACTGCATACCTTGAGAGCGCGATCCCAGTCACCCTCGCAACAATCTGTACGTGAGGTGAGTGCTCCTGCAATGACGCGGATCAGTCGACCAGACTATCTTATGAGCTCGACTTGTGGCAGGCAGAGTCTGAGGTTGTTCTCCTGCATGTGACTTAGATTTGCGGCCCTTCGTGGGGTCATTTGAGCAAGGTATTCAGAATGCTTTCCTTATTATCGTCAAATAGGTGGTCACATTGAGCCAATGACTTGATGCATCAAGGTTATCCGACGAGTCACAGCGCCACCTATTCGAATACGTATTCAACCACCCCAAAACAGTCACCTCAACTTCAGCAAGCAGCAGGTTTGCAACAGCAATCTCTGACATTGAGTTCGTGTCCGACGAGAAGTTTGAGGTCATCAAGAAGTCGTCTACGACAGTGACAGTAGGGAAGGTGGGTCATGATGCGACCCCACTCCTCCACGAATGGATGAGTCAATAACAAACATGGCCGGGTGAATCACGAAGCCGAAGAGATTTAGGTAGTTTGGCGTTAGTTGTTGTTCAACAGCCGAGAGCTATGATAGATGGTGAAATGCCAATGTCGTTTCATTTCGAAGTCTTTCACTGGCTATGCACAGAACCCTCGACTCAATGTGTGCTATTCAAAGGGGTCATTCCTATTTGCAGTATCGGCCTATAGTCCAAGTTAAGCACTTTCCAGTCGTCATTGTGGAATATGCTCTGAAACCCAATCCAGACAAGCAAGGTCATCAATCAGCGGTCGGGGTTTAGGAAACGTGATGCAGGACGCTATATGGGACACCTCAACTGTTTGATGTTTACTTGTCTCTTGGTTTTTTTTTTTTTTTGTTTCTGCAAACAGCTTTTGGTAGCGTGTAGGTTGACAAACTTGTTGGCTGAAGTCTGGCGCTGACTGCATCCAGCCATGATCGCGGAAGTGCTTGAAGTCCTGTCTACCTCACCTTCTGGATCCCTCCGATGGCTGTGCATATTGGTCTCGAGTCTCAAAGCGGAATGACTATCCACATTTCCCAGTTGAAGGGTGGAGGTGCAACCTCAAGGGTCTGGCCACGGCTGAGGACAGGGATGTTCCAGCCGATGGGAACACGACGACGACGCTAATGCATGCCCTTTCAGCTCCCAATGCTGGCTGACCTTGCCGTGTGGTATTCAGCTTTCAGCCATCATTGTCTCAAACTAACACGTCATTTCACAACCTCTCATCTTCTCATATTTCGTCTCTTCATGGCCGTGGTCTACTCGTTCGTTTCCACCTGCTGCGAAGGGTCGTGGACAGGCATGACCATCATCCCCCTGACAGCATGTCATTTCTCGCCATCTGGATAGCGCTAGTCCGCAACAGAGCCATATGGTACTGGAAGCGTATCACCAGCCTCGTCAGGACGCCGCTGCATTTGCTACTGTCGCCTCGGTACACCTACGAATCCGTGCAGAAGGAGGATGGCACGCAGATCCGGCTCCTCCACCTCTCTCCGGGACTGGGGCCGCTCCGCATGGCGCTCAAGCGGGTGCAGCTCCACGATCCCCAGCAGGCTCGGTACGAGGCCATCTCGTACGCGTGGGGCGACTCGACCCTCACCGAGAGCGTCTACTGCGACGACAGGCGCCTCAACATCCCGGCCAGCCTGTACGTCGCGCTGCGCCAGCTGCGCCCTGCCGACCCGGGCGCGGCGCCGCGGGTGCTGTGGGCGGACGCGATATGCATCAACCAGCGCGACACGGACGAGAAGAACCACCAGGTCGCGCTGATGGACCAGATCTATGCCAAGCCGACAGGTGTGCTCATCTGGCTGGGCGCGGACACCGAAGGGCTGGAGAATGTGGCCTCTGCGATTGAGCAGATGCGCAGCCTCCTGCCTGCCGAGACGTATGACGCCGAGGAGCTTGTCGAGATATCGCAGAACTACTACTCGGAAATGGCGGTAGGTTTTTGGAGATCCTGTCTCCCTGTGTCTCTCACGCTAGTGCTCTGTGTGTGTGTGTGTGTGTGTATATGTGTACTGACTTTGTCGTTTCAGAACCTGCGGACGGAGGGCAAGATCGAACAGCATTTCCACACCAACGACTGGGCCACCATCAACAAGCTACTCACCCGCCCATGGTTTGATCGCAAGTGGATCATCCAAGAGGTCCTCATGGCTCCAGAGGATGTGCCGCGGACCCTCATCAGCGGTGACCTCGAGCTGCCGTGGGAGAGCCTCGCGTCGCTGGGTTACTCGATGGCGGCGTACGGGATGACTGTGTCAGCATCGGGGATGTCATGCCGTAAGTGTTGTTCCCATTGCCCTCATCTCGCCGTGTGGTGCTTGTGTATCAGCACCATGCCCCAGGAAACATAATCATGTATTATACAGCTGACACCCCCCTGAAACAGTCTATGGCTACCCACTCACGATCGGCACATTCTACGCCGACAACGCCCGCCCCCTGCGGTCGTTATTCAACGCGCAGATCATCAAGGTGATCAAGCGCTATCTCGAGTCCGGCACGCTGCTCGACTGCATCATCGCAACGGGCCTGTTCGCCAGCACCGACCCGCGGGACCAGGTCTACGCGCTGCTGAGCCTGGGCTCGCACAACGCCTCCTTCAGGGCAGACTACCACCTCAAGCCGGCCCAGGTGTGCCTGCAGTTCGCCCGCTCCACGCTCGTCGAGGACCAGAACCTGAAGTGCCTCGGCATCGCGCCGCACCGCAACGTCACGCTGCCCGGGGTCACGGTGCCGGACAAGCGGCTCCCGGGCCTGCCGTCCTGGGTCCCGGACCTGACCATGCCCGTCCACGACGACCCCCTCGCGAGCTACAGCATCCGCGCCCCGCTCTTCCGCGCCGGCGGCGACCCGCGCCAGCCTGTCCACGGGTACCGCGTCCGGGTCTCGGACGACGGCAAGGTGCTGCATCTCCGAGGCCGGATCGTGGCACGGATCGACGACTTCGCCACGAGCCTGACTCGTATGCCGTTCCCGACGGACGAGGACGTCGCGCCGAAGCAAGGGTTCGTGCAGCGCGTGAGGATGAGATACAGGAACTGGTTCTGGCAGTGCCAGGCGCTCGCGTTCCCGGTTCCCCCAGAGTCGCCAGACGGTCCTCCTCAAGACGCTTCATCCTCTGTGCCGGCACCGCCAGCGCTTCAGCAGGACGCAGAAGAACAACCAAAACCGCCCACCTGGATCCCCCTGACCCCAGCCCAGAGCCGCCAGCAAGCCCACTACCGCAGCCAGCCCCAGTCAGCCAAGCGCTCCTTCGCGCTGGCCCTGCTCTGCGGGAGCGTGGGGATGCGCGACCCCGTGCCCCTGGCCGTGCTCGACACCTTCATCGAGTACATGGACTTCCTGACCGACCTGTTCACCGCGCCCAGCACGTACGTCTGGCGCACGGAGCAGCCGGAGCTGCGCGAGCGCCTGGTCAGGCATGGCGGGCTGATCGAGGCGGCGCTGAACGGGCTGAGCATGGGGCGCAAGTTTTGCGTCGCCACGATGATGGTTCCCCCCGGCGGCGGCGGCGGCGGCGCTGAGGCCGGGGCTAGTGGGGATGGGAAGTCGGAGGGGAACTTGTCGTTGTCGTTGACGTCTTCGTCTTCGTCGACGAAGACGTCGTCGTGGACGGGTGACGAAAGCAGAGAAGGCGGGCGGCAGGAGGGAGAGGAGGAGGAGGAGGTTGCCACGGCGGACAGCGCGAGAAGCGGGATTAGGACGAGGACGAGTATGAGGAAATGGGGCATGGTCCGGATCGGCGCGGAGAAGGGCGACGTCGTTTGCGTCGTGTCGGGTGCCGAGGTGCCGTACGTCCTCAGGCCCGTGGCGGCAGTTGATGATACGGGCGAGCACAGAGAGTCCCGGAAACCGCAGAGGTACACGCTGGTTGGGGACAGCTACCTGGCGGACATGATGCACGGGGAGGTGCTCGAGGACAGTCGGTTCGAAGAGGTCGAGATAGATCTAGTGTAGGTACTCTAGCCTTCCCTCAAGTACGATAAACCATACGCAGCGGGCTGTGCACGAAATCAGACATGATAGCGCTTGAGTTCACTAGGTCACGTCATGCTTCACTGAGTAGCATTACAGTCTGTTTCTTACATATATATATATATATAACTAAAAGTGGTATCAAACAATGCCGTCCATACTGGCATGTATATGCTCAATGACATCCCTCGCTTGCTCCGTACGTATTGATACACAATCTGCAGATGTAGCCAACTCGCTCACTCCTCGATCCCATTCACCACCCTCAGCGCCCTCCGCGGTCCAAGCACAACGCTGAAGAAACTCGGCTCCCGGCCGTCCATGAAGCCGTCCTCGGACGCGCCGCTCGCTGTGCTCCGGGTGGCAGTCGACTTGTTCCTGTTGATGCCTCCCCCACCACCACCACCATTAGTCGCGCCACCAGCATTGACACCACCATAGGCACCAGGGTCATATCCCAGCGCGCCTGTCCCCCACGGATTCCGCTCCATGCTAGGCCGTGGCATGCCGCTGCCGGCAGCGGCAAAGGCGGCAGCCCCCGCGGAGCCGGGCCCAGGTAACGGAGGAGGTGCGGCACCACTGCCTGCGGCGCTGCCAATCACTCCCGGCACATTGACGCCACTGCCGTTGGCACTGCCGCTGTGCCGGCCGGCACTGCTGCTGCCCCCCGCTGCGCCGCCGGGTCCACCGCTCCCGCTGACTCCCGTCATGCCGGACCCGGGACTCACGTCCGCCCCGCTGCCGTCGAGCATCCACTTCGGCTCGCCGAGCGTCTGCTGGCCGACCCAGGCAAACTTCTCGCCGCTGTCCTCGGCACTGCTGGATCCGCGTCGGTGGTGGCGACGGAGCTTCTCGCGCATCAAGCCGCCCATGCCGCCGCCTACGGCTCCGGTCTCGGGACCAAGCAGGTGGTCCTCGTCGTTGTTGTAGCTGTTGGCAACAGCCATGTGGCGCTTGTACGCATCCACTTGGCGCCGGTACAGCCAGGCACAGAAGCCGAGATAGAGGGCTGCAGCACCGAGGAGACCAGCGATGACGCCGGCCGCGATGAGGCCCCCGTTGGGTCCGCCTGGTGCTTCATGGCTGGTGCTGCTGCCGCTGCCGCTACCGCCGCCGCTGCCCGCTCCACCGGTGGCGCCTGGGGAGCCGTTCGTGACAGTGGCTGTCTGACCTGGCGCAGTGATCGTGAATACGGGTGCTTGCCCTGTGGCGAAAGGCCCAGCAGTGGGTGTGCCAACGGCCGGCGCCGTGACTGTCGCGCCGCCCTCGGATGAACCGCCGATCACGGACTGGACGATGCCAGGAACTTGATAACCAAAAGAGCCAGCGAGTACTCCATTGTCAGAATGGGCATCCGATGCGTGATCGCCGGCAGTGAATGAGCTGGCCCACTCGAGCCTGGACGCGTCAAAGTTGTAGATGCCAGGACTGTCGCAGGAGCTGGTGTCCCCAGTGAAGCCGCCCCAGACGACCAGCTGCCCGTCTCGCGGAGCGCACATGTGCCCTGACCTTCCAAGTGGCTGTCCTCCGCCAGGAAGGTCGACCTTGATCCATGTGAACGACGGAATCGTGAGAATCCACATGTCCTGGTACTGGGTCTGCTGGCCATATGGGAGCAGGTTCTGGCCCCCATACATGTAGATGTTGAAGCTGCTCGCATCGGGTGCGGAGAAGACAACGGCGCAGGGGTTGACACGCACGCGCGGGGCCTCTCCGTGTGTCTCCTGGAGGTACCATTCGCTCGTCTTGATGTCGTAGACATCGATGGTCGACATTGACGCAAATGCATCCTGCGTCTCTCCCTCAGTGACAACACCACCTCCGAGTCCGAGGAGAATTCCCATGGGGCCCCAGCCAGGCACATAGACCAATGCACCGTCGGCTCGTTCGGTGAAGCCGGCGTCGTCTTGTATGCCGCCAAGTGTAATATTCCGATAGGCGCCACCGTCCGGGGCGCCAGCCGCGTGCAGAGCGTCGACGCCATTGTTTGCGTACCCAGGATGCGTGAACTCGAGAAGGCTCTTTAGATATGTCCGGTTTGCCGTCCACCCTGGTGTCGTGTACATGTCAAGGTGGCCGCCAAAGTACCAACTGACCCCAAGTTCGGGCACCGAGATCCCCGCTCCCTCGGAAGCACCTTGAATGCTGATCCCCGCCTGCTCAGAGTAGTTACCCGCCGAAGTTTTCGGGTCTTGGAACTGTTTCCAGCTCGCCGATGCAATGTCGTACTGCCAGAGGGACATGGGCTGCGGAGTCGTAGGTGGGCTGTCGGAGTATTGTCCACCATACAAGAACAAGCGCTTGTAGTCATTCCAGAGGTATCCCAAGGATACAGCTGGAGGGCCTGAAGGCTGAGGCAGGCCTTTTAAGGGTGGGGAACTGACGTCCCACGATTTTGTCAGGTCGAGTGTGAGAAGATCATTGTCTAAGAAGGTCAACCTGTTCAGTAGTCGTCCTTAAGTTTCTGTCTGCTGGCAGGTCTTAACACTCACTCCATTGATTCTCGGTTTGGCCGCCCTCCGTTTTGCTGCGGCCGCCATAGTAATAAAACGTGCCGTTGAGAAGGGCCCCTTTTATCGTTTTAGCATTGTTGGCGATGCTATACAATATCGGACAGAACCACGGAAACATACCTTGACCAGACCACCGTGCGCACACATCAGTTGGGCTGTTTTGTCTGTTGTCCAGGATGGGCTGGCTCGGATTGTTCAACGCCCTCGCATCCGCACCACCCATTTCCATCGTCTGGCGACCATTATTGTACCGCGCAGCAGGCAGCACCAGCGCGATCAAGAGGGCAATCATGGCGACCTTGGAGACACCTGACATGGCAGTGGCAGGCGGGGCGCTCGCAGCGGACTTTATCCGAGGACGTTTTGCCATTGCGAGCCGAGCCAGCCAGGCTATTCTTCCCTTGGACGAGGAATCGTCGGAATCTTCAGATCGTTCGGACGAGTGCTTCTCCCTGGGATTTGTCGTCACTGGCGAAGTTGGTGTCGAGGACGATAGGCCTGTGAGGCCGCCGAACTCCTGCTCGTTGCGTCCGTCGCAGTTGCTTTGTCGATCTTTAGCAACGTCGTCGCCTCGATTGCCAGCCTGGTGGTCTTCTGTGTTCAGATACAGCCCTTCTTCCCGAAATATTGACCGCCGTCCCTTGCGTATTTTGCTGCTCATGGGGGGTGCTGCTGAGCCCTCGCGGATGCGGTCTGATGTATTGTGGGAGTTGAATCGGGGTCGGTTCACTTGTACTCTGGGTTCCCAAGTGTGGGATACATTATGTGGACGGTCGAAAGACATGCTCAAAGTTTGGTCAGATATGCAGGCCGGCGGGAGGTGTGCCACAATATAAGGATTCGAGCCAGTTCTGCAGGTCTAGCAGCGTATGGAGCTGACATGCGATTCGCCACATGGGGTGCTGCGGGAACACGAGACCTTGCAGCAGGAAGGTTTACCCACCAGAATCGGAGAGAAAGATAAGAAGGATCGCGGGAATGGGAGATTGGGGAGTGAGGCCTGCAAGATAACGCGCTGCGAAGAGGATGAGGTCACTCCACAGCTTTTCTACGGAACGCCGTTGTCAAGCGAAGGCAGGGGCGTGGCGTCAGTGTGTATCGGAGGCAAAGGGCCGGCCTTGTCATCCAGCACCCACGCTATAATACTCCTTGACTGCTGCTGTTCTAGATCCGAGTGCTGACCCTGCCGGGCGAGCGTGGCCTGTCGCCTTCGTGGCACCAGCACTTTGACTGGTCATTCCTCAGAGAAACAAGGTCTGTTGGCGCAACCCTATGGGAAGCAAGGGTCCGGTATGGCGCTGATTGGGTGGCCGGGGCACATCATCGATGCTATGGGGAAGGGCGCTACAAGCAGATCAAGCTTGTAATTAGTGGGTGTGATGAGCCAGACCAGGTTGCGGGTGCTGGTCGTTGCTACATCGAGACCTCCAGGCCGGTGTGCTGGTTCTCCGATAGGCCCTCGTTAGCAGGGGCATGTCGCTATGACGACACCAGGTTGAGCTATCCAGTTCCAGCAGAGCCTAGCTGGCGCTGGAAAGCTGCGCAAGCAAACACAGCACACCGCCGACCGCATCGCCTGCCAGATCCTGCGCGAGCTTGCGTGCCTCGTTTGTAGCTCGTCTCAGGCTGTTTCGAGCCATCCCAAAGGGCTGGAGGAGGTGACTTGTCTTGTCCCACCCCGGGCCCCTTTAGGCCACTTTCGGTGGGCACTCTTGGCAAGGTCACAGCCCGTCTCGAGCGATGTGACTTGATTGCATCATCGACTGGGACCCTTAAGGTATTGGTCTGGTCTTCTGTAAGCGAGAGAGCCATCGGCGCGTCGAACGTCGTCTCAAAGGATGGCCTTCCCGTGTCTCACACAAACCAGAGCTCCATCAGTCTGGACTGCGCCGGTCGCCATCATGTACATAGCCCCTATTGCACCACTGTGCTGGAAGAGCTAGATATTGAGCCAATGCCACAACGACGCAACCACAGAAGAGTGTTAAGTCTGAGAAGTTTAAAACCTAAAGTGCCGCCACAACTGCTCGTCCACCAAGAAATCCGGATTCTGGGGCCCCAGATTGTGGCGACAGGGGCTGTGGCTGCAGGGGGTCGCGTCATTGAGACACGCAGCTTTGTCGCTAGTGAGACGACAACATTGCTTGCTGTCCCTTATTCCAGAGGTCCAGGTTGATAAGTTGTATGCACACACATTTAAGACTCGGCAATGCGATGAAAGGCCGAAGGCTCTCTTTGGGGAAGCCGGGGCGTCCTCATCGCCTGTGCCGCGGTGTATCCGCCAATCAAATCGGCATGCTTCTTGTCGTCGCCCATTTGAGTCGTTCAATCAAGTCAACAGTGTCATTTCACATACTTTTCTCTCACGCAATGGGAATTCATTCTTGCTTCTGCTGATGTTGATTTGTAAATGTGCCGCGATTCCCTCCAGTTCAAAGAGATGTCCGACGCCGTGCCTATGCTTGAGTTTCGTAAGGGTGCCATGAAGACAAATATACAGGATTCTGGAGCATCCTTTGGAGTCATGCGAGGCTGGCGTATCTGTTGGGTCGACCCAACGGCAGCGTTGAAGTCTCTCGGTGCAAGCCATCTGCAGTTCCGAAGTGCAGGTGTTCACTTATGGTGGTCAGGAACCGCTCAACCCAGGACACCTCGTCGGCATTGCCAGCTTGCTTAAGGCGGTCGACAGCATCGAGTGCCAGACAGATGACACGCTGCCGCTTGAAGTCGTGTGCACGTGTGCCTTCATTGCTGAAGGCGAGGGTGGGGTTCTGATGCATGTAACTGAGGGCGGCCTCGGAACGAGGACTGGTCGGATGATGCAGGTCTAGATGCGCAAGATCCAAGTCGCGCTTCCATGGGCGGCCTGATTCGACAAAGTCTTCGAATATGGTCGTGGTGGGTGCCACTCGCTTCCACGCTTCAACGGTAGCCTGCCAAGAGAGCACAGCCCAGCTATTCCTCAGGTTTGCCTGTGCGATGCGGCTTTGGTTGGATAGGATCTCATGCGCTGCGAGATAGTTGGTCAAGCCCGGATCGATGCTGCGTGCAGAATCGTTTGCGGGTGGTCTGTTCTCGTTCATCATGGCGCTGAAAAGTCGTGAGAGCGGGTGGTGGCTCATCTTGGCCGACACGTCCTCCGAGTCAAGGTGGGTAAATGACGGGCTGGCAATCCGCGCGAGCCATTCCCACGCAACGTGCTCGAGGCCCTCCGCAAACAGGAAACGGATCAGCACCGACACAAAGCCTGGCTTGGCTAGAAACCGCATGTTGGCTTCTTGGTTGGTGGCCCGCAACCACTGGAGCACACGCAGACCTGCGCCGGTGTTTGCCATATTGTAGGTGGGATCGCTGGACTCTTCAAGTGCTTTCAGGATCGTCACGAGAAACCCAAACGCTCGGTGGTTGTTCATGAGGCCCTTCGCAACGGCCGCATCGAAGATATACAGCTGATTGGGTATGGTTGTCGTCTCAGTCCTGCTGGCCACAACATTGTCGTGGGCGGGCTGTGCAAACAGCGGATTGGCGAGGATGGAGCGCAAATGCTGGTCGGTAGGCCGTGCTCCGGCGTGCGCAGAAGCCTTCGTGGGCGCGGCATCGGGGCTGCGCTGGTTCGAGCTTGCAGATGTGGTATGGTTGGAGTCTGGGGACTGCCACGGGTGCTCCAGGTCTAGGTTCTTGCGAAATGATGTCGTGATTGTGTCCAGAAGCTGCTGTGACTGCCGCTTGCTCAGAGGCAAAGGCTGGTGGATTGAGGGCAGGAGCGTCCGCTTCACTCCGTGAAGCGATGGCGTCCGGACGACCATGTTCCTCCAGCTCCTGGCTCCTGATTAGGGCGAGCTGAAGCCAAACGGAGCGCCTGGTGTAGTGGTTGGACAGTGGACTCGTGGTGGCAGGGTCGTGATGTGTACGATGCGGCTGCTGGTTATGGCCGGCGCATCGTGAACTGCCTGGTGATCAGGTCATCCTCATCGTTCGCACGCACTCGCCTGGGCGGGGGCGGGTAGCTGGGCTGAGCCAATCAAGTGGTTTTCGGAGGAACCAACCCTGCTGTGGCTCAGGCATGCCCCGCTTTAGCCACATTCTCTTGTCCAATGCTCTCGATCATGCAAGTGTCTGATCTGGACCAATCTGGGAGCTGGCTCAAAGCAAGGTTCAGAATTCCTTGGTGACGCGAGCGTGAGCACAACGCGCGTGATTTGTAGCTTGCGGCCTTGGGCCTCATCGGGTCAAGCTACCAGCACGGTAGGCATGTGCACATATCCGTGGTGCTCTCACCACTACGCGACCTGATTGAGCCTTGGCTATTCGCAGAAGGCCGGTGGTGCTGGCACATACAAGGACAAACGCATCCCGGACGCTGCGTGTTGAGGACGTGCAGATGGAGGCCAGTCCGCCTGTGCGGCCTGGTCCCCCATCCGAGTAACGGGAGAATGGAGGTGCGCCATGCGAATATCACAACAGAGGGCGGCTAGAGGCGTCCGGCCTGCTCCCGTCTCTCATGCCTAGTATCTGCGTGCTTGCTGCGTGCGTGTGAACAGTGCGGTTTGCTGGCTGTGGCGCCAGGGAGACGTCATTGTCACGAGACAGCGACCTACATGGATCCACCTCAGTCTTTGCGAGATGTGAGCGATGGTTGCTCTCTTTGCGCATCAGACTGGTTCCCATGGTGCTGCAAGCCGCGAAAAACAGCGTCCGTCAGCCCAGCATCGATGCAACATCACGCGACAGAGCGTGCAATGCAGCTCCCATGCTTGTCGTGAGATGCTGGCTCGACCACAGGAGAAGTGCCGTAGTGTGGGGTCGAATGTCGATAGGCTGAGGCTCTGGCCTGGCAGTCGCAGGCAAGCTAAGCGCAAAGGGGCCAGGGACGTGGAAAAGCAAGCAGGGGTAAGGGGTGGTGGCCAGGCACAAGGCGAGGCAACGACCAAGGCGACTGATTGACTGTCCTCGCGTGGTGCCTGGGCAATCAAGAGATCGCTGGCCAACACTGGCCAATTGGGCATCGTCCTTGCTGGCTGCGTGCAATTGAGCTCGTTGTGACATTGTAGCTTGTCCAGGTCGACCTGGGGGGGGAGAGAATTGATGCTCCTCCTGCATGTCCTGCTGACGCAGGGAGCTCCCCAGGCTGCGCTGGGGGCAGAAGAGGTCGAGCCGCCAAAAGGAACCTTGGAAGTACGTGCGGGTGGCCTGGCCAGCAAGTGCCAGCCAGCTCCAGCACCCGGGGCTCCAGCTGTGCCAGCCAGCCAACCACTTGCACCCGCCCGCACAAACACAGCCGCATCCGCATGGACACCACCCAGCTCCCAGGGCCCAGCCTGTCACTTGCCTGTCAAGTGTCGCTTCACTCGCTGCAGCCCAAACTTTCCTCCTCTCTCCTCCCACACCACAACTCCTCCATCCCACCATCCGACGCTTTCCTCCTCCGTCCCTCGCGGCCTGGCACGCACCTTTCCGAGCACCTTCTCCGTCCCTCCTCTCGAGGCCCGTCCCACGCGGCGACCAGCGGGCTCTGACTCGATCGCCGATTTGACTCTCGCGATCACAAGCCCTTCACCCGAAGGGTCATCGCTCATCTCTCCTCCTTCTCCTCGCCTACGGCACCCTCCACACACACATCACAATAATCCCAGCCATGTCTACCGAAGTAGCAAGATCTTCTGCGTCGTCCTCTCGCGGCAGAGGCGGCGGCCGTGGCGGCAGAGGTGGCTTCGGCGGGCGCAGCGCGAACCCCAGACGGCCCAATGGCGAAAAGTCTGCCGATGCTTTTGACGACGACGACGATGTCAGCCAGCTGCGCAAGCAGTACGGATCCAAGCTCGACACCATCAAGGAGCTCTTCCCAGACTGGTCGGATGCCGACATCCTTTACGCGCTGCAAGAGACCGATGGCGATATCGAGCTAGCTGCGACACGTATCAGCGAGGGTGAGTTGCTGCCATCAATCAGTCATTGCCGGCGTCGAAGAAATGCGACATTTCAGCGAGCGTGTCCAATGCTGCGGAGGTGCTCTGACTGAGCTCGTCATCCATTGACTTCACACCATCCCTGCTGGCCACCTTTTCTTTTCCCAAGCTTGCGCTTCGTACTGACCTAACATTGTCTGACCCAGGTTCCATCTCTCAGTGGGGTGAGGTATCCAAGCCTAAGAAGTCGAGCGCCAAAGCAAAGGACTCTGCTGCCCACGCCACCGCGAACGATAACTCCGGCAGCAGACCTGCGCGTGGTGGAAGAGTTGACAGTGGACGGGGTGGGCGTGGGCGCGGCGCTGGCGCTGAGCGTGCTCGTGGCGCAGGCAGAGGCCGTGCTGGTTCGCAGGCCGTAACTGCCAATGGTCATCAGCCCAAGGAGCAGTTGTCTGTCCCCACCGATGAGGCCTGGGACACTGCTGCGACCTCCGCTGCGGAGTCCACCGGGACTGATTCGTGGGCAAACGCGGCAGCTGGTGCTTCAGCCGCGCCCAAGGCTGCGACCTCGACGGCTAGCACGGCGACCAAACAGACCAAGGCTCCTGCTGCAAACGTCGCTCCCGAAGTCGCTGCCCCAAAGCCCGCTGCCCCTGCTGTCAAGACTTGGGCCAGCATGCTGCGTCAACCTACAGCCCCCAAGCCCGCCCCCAAGCCAAAGGAGACCCCTGCTGCTCCTCAACCTACCGAACCTACCACTACACTCCCCCCCACCGAAGCGCCCGCCCCGGAACCCGTTGCCGAACCAACAGCCGAACCCGAACCTGTCCCTGAGCAGGCAGAGGTCGCTGAGGAGCCAAAGGTTGTCGAGCCCGAAGTTGCCCTGCCGCCTCCGGAAGACACCTTGACCAAGGTCAATCTTGAGCTTTTGCCCGACGAATCGAAGCCATTGGCCACCGCAACTGTTGCCAGCACCACAGCGGACTCTTGGGACCCTCGACAGCAGGCCCAGACGAGCGCCGTCGCCACGCCTCTGTCCGCATCGCAAGCACAACATCAAGCTGCCCGGCCTGCCGCCAGTGGTTTCGCCGCTTCAGCTCTCAAAGCGACTGATCGCCCCGCGCAGCGCATGCCGAGCTATCAGCGCCGTCTTCTGGAGCAGGAAGAAGCTGTCCGCATGCCCGGCAACCGTGAGGTAGACCGCACCGCCGTCCAGTTTGGAGCTTTCAACATTGGAGAGTCCGAGGAGGATATTGATGGAGACCGTGAAGAGCCTGAGACGAGAACTCAGCCACCGCAAGAGTCCCCATCGGCGCCTCGTGCTGCCTTGCCACCAGTGGCGCAACCTACTCCCGGGGCCGACTCTTTTGCCTCGGCCCAGAAGGCTCCCGGCGTTGCAGTTGGTACGTATACATATGCTGCATGGCAACCGTTATAGAGCTTGCAGGCTAACTTGGCCATAGCGACCCCGATTACAGCCCCAACTGGCCCTGTTGGATCCGCCTCCCAGAGTATGTATTCCGATCACCCCTCTTCCCACAGTACACATGCTCATGATGCAACAGCGCCTCAAGCGCCTGGCGCCAGCCAGCAGTTCAGACAGCAATTCCAACAGACGACTGCTCAGGAACCCGCGGGCTTCCAACAAAAGCCCTACGACAGCTTCGCCCAGCAGAACCCTGTCACCACATCTGCCGGATTCGACAGCTTCCCCGCCGCGACGACTCAGGCACCTGGACCCCAGGGTGCTTTCGGCTCTGCTCCTGGCGATTACTCCTCATACTACAATGCTGAGCAATCTGGACGCAATGCCTACAATAACTACTATGCCCAGCATTATGGCCAGCAGGGCGGGAGCCAGCACGAGGGGCACGGCTCTCACCGCGGCTTTGGGGCTTACGGCGCGAGCCAGGCCGACAACATCAGCCAGTACCCGCAGAGCGGCACCCAGCCGTCGCGCTTCGGCGCCGCGGCTGCTTCGAGCGACTCCCAGAACAGTGGGCACAATACCCCGAACCCGACAACACAGAGCCAGCACCAGTCTGGCAGCCAAAACAGCCAGCCTCAGTCCAACATCCACCAGCAGCCCCATGGCAACCACTACGGCCAGCACCCCTACTACACCAGCCCCTACTATGCTCAGTATATGAACCAGGCATATGGCGGCTATGGCCAGGGTTACGGCGGCGCTCCGTACAGCAAGGGTGGCGGCTACGGCCAGCCCCATCAGTACGGTATGAGCCCTCAGGGTCCTTACGACCACAGCAGCTCCCCAGCGACGAGCGGATTTGGTGGGCAGTCCTCGGTCAGTGGCCGTGACAGTGGCCTTGGTTCGAGCGTCGACAACTACGGCCGTGGCGGCTCAAGCCAGGCCGGTGGTCAGGGTGGCTTTGGTGGCAGCAGTTTTGGTGGCAGCCACGACACGTTCGGACGCGGAGCTGGCTATCCTCAATCCGGACAAGGCTTCGCCGCTCCCAACGCTGGGGCCACGGGCGCAGCATCTGGAGCTGACGACTTGAAGCCGTACGGTGTTGAGTCGAAGGCGGGCGCTGGTCCAAGCCCTTCGCTCTCTGGTGCCGCACGCCCTGGCTCTGCAACCAACACGCCCGGCGCTCCCGGCCTCCCTCCGGTGCAATCCAGCCAGCAGGGTGCCGGTGGCTACGGTGGCTACCCTGGGCATGGCCAGCAGAGCCACGGCCTGCATGGCGGCCAGACCGGCAACAGCGCGTACGGCCTCGGCGGCTCTGGCGGTCAAGGTCAGGGAAACAACCCCTATGGCGGCGGCTATGGTGGCTCCCAGGGCTTTGGCAACTACTACGGCGGTCGCCAGCAGCACCAGGGTGGCTGGGGTGGCAACTACCACTAATACTTTTGAAGCATGCGCCAGCACAGATCCGCGTACGGTTCTGGCATGCTTGTAATGATGGTTGCGAGGACATGAGCTTCCGAGGCATATGGGATGCTCGCAATCCATGAGGAAACAGAAACGAGGGAGGGGGGGCGTATTGTTGTAACACAACTAGTGACATTCACTCTTTGACGGCGTACTTGCAAATAACCCCACACAACATTTTGAGCATGGGCTTTGGGAAGACGGTTTTTTCGGGAAGCAGAGTCAGGGCCGGATGTCCTGTGTTGTACGATTTGACTAACTGCGTACCTTTTCTGCGTCCGCTTGGGTCAAGCGAGAAAGAAAGCACCGGCAACGAGAATGACGAGGGGCGGCTGCATTGAAGCCTTTACAGAATACTGAACGAACATTGAGAACGAAAGAAAAGTTCATTTGTTTCCCCACTGGTTCGGCATCTGCTGAGTGAATGCATTTATTGATGCTTGGGAATGGTGCTGCGCCATACTTGGCTAGATGAGGGAGATGGGGCTTGCTGGTCATGTTGTTTTTTCTTTTGCATTGTGAGCCTCGCAACCTTGTTTAACACATTGAGCTGGGCTTGAGACCACTATGGCGCATGTATCTCTATTTTCTAGGGACCTTGACTCTAACCGACGATCCGGGCTGGAGGGTACGTATCAAGCTTCGATGATCCGGTCGACAGTGTAACCGACCCAAGTACCTGGCAAGCAAAACAAGGCACCTCTGCCGATCGAAAGCAAGCTCCAAGTCAACGACAAAGAAAGTGCTGTGCTTTTTGGGAGCATGATTAGCTTCGAGGCAGGGTTTCCTCTTTTGGCGCAGTGCCGGCTCGAGTGGATCTTGATGTACTGCGTAAGTGGTTGAGTGCAGCTGACGCGCGCGCGCCCTGCCGGTGGCATCTCGCAGTGGGGTTTTGGTGGGGAAAAGTGGCCGAATGGGCTTTCAGGCGTGGGGCAGGCCGCTCTTTCTCAGGGTCCTTCCCACCCACACCTTAATCAACGTCGAGGGTGGTGCCGTCAGCCCTAGCTGGTATAAAAAGACCAGTGCGAGCCATTCATAAGTTTCCAGCTTTTCAGGACCTTCATGTGTCATTGTTTCCGGTGACTTGTCCCCCAAGAGAGAGAGAGAGAGAGAAAGGGTTGGCGAAATAACTCACCATATGCTGCTCCACAACCGGCTGTCTTATCTCGTACCACGTCGCTTACACAACTCTTTAGCTGGACCTGCTCGTATCTTCTGGCCGAGTTCCCAGGGGTCAGTGGTGGTGTTGGGTAGTGCTGGTGTTGTCGATATCGCCGACATCGGGCGAGGCAACGACCACAGTGGCGGACGGAGCCACAGGTTGAACAGTAGGAACTTTCAGAGTTTCAGCACTGCCAGGGTTTCACGACTGGTACACTCGACGACAACTCGCCAGATTAGGAGTGCTCAGTCACCGGCACGGGGGTCGGCATTGGCGATACATAAGACGCCGAGCAACTCTGGTGTCACAAGACAACTCCCAAGAACCAGGAGCATCACAGCGACGACAACGACAAGAACAATATCCGGCACAATGGCGGACCCAACGACTCCCCCAACAGAGCTCAAGGGCTCGCCACCGCAGCAGGCACAAAAACACTTCACCATCGTCGCCCTGGAGACCACCATGGTGCCCGTCCCGCACCCGCTGCTCCCGCCCGAGCTGGGCTACACCTACACGCTGCACACGTACCCGGTGACGGCCACGCGCGCCGACGCCGCGGCCCGCATCCGCGACGCCGACATCATCATCCTCTCGGTGCAGCCGATCCCGCGGGCCCTGCTGGACCCGGCTGTGTCGCCCAGGCTCAAGCACATTGCCGTCGTGGCCTCGGGGACGGACCAGGTCGACAAGGAGGCGTGCCGCGAGCGCGGGATCGTGGTGAGCAACACGCCGCACTGCAACACCACGAGCGTCGCGGAGCACGTCGTCGCGAGCTACTTCTCGCTCCGGCGCAGCCTGGGGCTCGTGTACGGGTTCACGCAGCGCGGCGGGTGGGGTGGCCCCGGGATGATGGGCAAGAGCTCGCGGGTCATGAATCAGGGTGTTCTGCATCGTCGTGGTGGTGGTGGTGGTGATGGTGGTGGCTCCGCCGCGAGAGGATGGGAGGGCGATGATGGGGACGTCATGCTGCCGCCGCGCACATGCGAGGCCGAAGTCCTGGGCATCATCGGGTACGGCGGCGTGGGCAAGAAGGTTGAAATGCTGGCCAAGGCATTGGGGATGAAGGTCCTGATCTCGGGGAGGAAGGGCGGCGGCGACGATACAGCCGCAGCAGCAACCACCACCACCACCTCTCCTCCTCCTCATACTCCAGGCCAGCAGCCAGAGCGGACCCCCTTCACGACCTTGCTGCGCACGGCGTCAGTGGTGGTCCTCTGCTGCCCGCGCTCCCCCGAGACCATCAACCTCATCTCGGCGCCCGAGCTCGCCCTCATGCCCCCTCACGCGCTGCTCATCAACGTCTCGCGGGGAGGCGTGGTCGACGAGCCCGCCCTGCTCGAGGCCCTGCAGGCCAAACGCATCGCGGGCGCCGCGACCGACGTCTTCCTCACGGAGCCGGCCACCCCGGACAACAGCGTGCTGCTGCTGGGTGAGGACAAGACCCGGGATTTGAATCTGCTCACGACGCCCCACGTCGCGTGGTACGCGGAGGAGACGATCAAGGCGTACAATAGGGCGCTGCAGGATAATCTGCGGGGGTGGCTGGGGAAGGAGGGGAGGCCCAAGTACCCTGTCGTCTGGTATGGGAAAGACTCGGCGGAGCAGGAGTGAGCTGAGCTTGGGGTTAGGCAAGAGAGAGAGGAAGCATAGCGACTTCTGACTGGAAAGGGCAGGCGATGGAGAACAGAAGGCTAGCGGGAAACGTCAGCATTCAAGTACCTAGCATGCATGATTCGTGTGTTGTGGTAGAGCCACGGCCTCAACAGTGGTTTACAAAGGCTTCGGAAGACACAAAGAACCATCCGGGCACACAAGACAAGGGGTGCTAAAAATAGAGTTGGCGCCAAGAATTGCCCGATGCAAGGTACAATAACCTTCTCGGGTTTTAGACAATATGGCCATGATCATCGTATCTATTGTTTCTCTTTTATTTTATTTTATTTCGTTCTTGGCTCTTCCTTTGTTCTTGCCCTATCTCGACACGCCTTAAGCGGTGATGCGGGTCTGGACCTTCTCAAGGGTGCCGCAGACCTTGGCGAACTCGGGGAGGGCGGCGAGCGCATCGAGGTACTTGGCGACGGTGGGGACCTCGTCGCGCATGGCGTCGTCGATGAGGAACTTTGACGCGAAGGCGAGGGGGCCAAAGACCATGATGTCGGCCAGGGTGACGGTGCTGCCGACGAGGTACTGCTGGGAGCCGCCGAGGGCGACCTCGAGGCGCTTGAGGGCGCGGAGCATGCCGTTGGCGCTCGTGTCATAGGCGGCCTGGTCAAAGGGGCGGAACTTGTACAGAGTCATCATGGCGGCGCCCAGGGCGTTGTTGGTGAGCTCGGCGTCGGCAAAGGCGACCCACTGCGCAATCAGGGCCTGCGTCTTGACGTCGGCGGTGCCGAGCAGCTGGGCGGCCTTGGGGCCCGAGGCGGCGACGTACTGCGCGATGGCGGCGCCCTCGGACAGGCAGAAGCCGTCGGCACCCTCAAAGGCGGGGACCTTGCCGAGCGGGAACTTGGCGAGGAACTCTGGGGTGGTGTTGGTCTTGCGCATCTCAAAGTCCGGGGCGAGGACGACCTCGAGGCCGTTGAACTCGCCAGCAATCTGGGCCTGTTGGGGTGGGCAGACGGACCGGGGTCAGTACATGTGATAATTATGGCTCGCCTACAGTGAGCTGCCGCTGGGGGGCCGATGAGGTACGGGAGAGGAGACGACTCACCCGCTGGACGCGGAAGTTGCCAGGGTAGGAGTAGATAGTGCCGAAGGGGGCCATTGTGTCGGTTTGGGGTGTTGCTGGATGTGGTAGGAAGTGCTGGGAACTGAGGAATAGGAAGAGGAGGAGAAGACGCAATCGTCAGGGAGGAATGGCGGCATATGAGGACGGCGAGGCCATTGGAGCGGAGCAGCAGCCCACTCGATATCTGGGGGGCGTGTTCGTTATGCGACCTACCCCGGCCTGGCCCGTCCAGACTGGAAACACCTGGAAGCGGCCGCGACTCGTTGCATGTCACCGACTATTCGACCGCGATTCCTCGAGGCGATGGTTCCGCGGTGGGGGAGGCGGGGCCGGAGGGGTTCCTGTCGTTCGGCCAGGGCCCTGACCAGAGCCCGACGACCCGACCTCGCTAGCGGCGGGCCACTCAGGGGCCGGTCGGAGAGAGCACAGGCATGGGCTTGGTTGGCTGGCAGGCCGAGCCTGTGGAGCGCGAGCTCGTCTGGAGTCGCAAGGCATTTGTCAGCGTCGTCAACGTCTTGGAGTTGTATCGTATTCAAGACCAGCGGTGTCGTGACGTTGGTCATCGTAGCAACACGACAACGGCCCGTCGTGGCAGGGGTCCGTTCCGGAGGGAACTGCATGGAAGCCATCCCGCCGACAGGCAAGGTTGCTATTGGTTCCACCACTTGTCGAGCAGAGACAGTGCCGGCCGCCAACTCATTAGAGTTCTGACGCGCTGGCGTGATGCCAAGCTGGGCTTCGGGTAAGCTTGATGCTATGCATTCTGATATCTGACCAATCCGCCGCGAGGCAACTGTATCGATATAAGCATGAAGGAAGCCATCCATCCACGTGTCTACTTGGCAGAGGGCAACAGACTAGCTCTACTTTGCTGGTCTCCATGCGCGAGAATGTGTTAGAGTGTTTATACACTCCCAATCAATAGTCCCTATCTTCCCCGCAAAGCCAAACCCTGGAGGTCGTCCTCCGATCAAGGGAATTGCCATCTGAGGACTGGGCATCTTCCATTTACTCTCTAGGCCAGGAAAAACATCGCCTCAAGAGTAATACAGCCAGCATCAATGTCAAGTGACTGACACTCCCTTTCTCAGTCGTAGTCGCCGACGAGTATCAAGGAAATCTTGAGGTATTCAAAAGCCATCGTGCATTCAGGGTGGGGCTCGGCTTTCCAGGTGGCTGGCGTGCGGCTCTTCCGGTGATGCAGCACGCGTCTGCGACTTCAACAACACAACGAGTATCGAGGCTGGAGCTTTGAAGAGGTCCCGAGAGGCCTTGCTAGAGTAGGCAATTCGCTGCGATGAGAAACGATGGAAGCGTGGAATCCAAGCTGCCAGGAGAAGGCCCGGGGAGACCTGTCACTCTGCTCGGCAGGACCCACTCTTGCCCGCTCCTTCCCTCCCACGCGGAGTCTGCCAGCCTTCCTGCTCCACGAAGCCATCAACATCGACCGCCAGCATCTCAGCCTCGCGAGCCGCCCTTTGCGCGCTACATCTGGGAATCAGCATTCGACGTCAGTGGCGTCTCTCCCTTCTCGCCAGCCATGCGTCTTCCAATGCCAAGTCCAGGCTTTGGCTTCATCTCCACAATTCGACCTGTCACTTGATCCTCGCGAGGGTCTAGGTGCCACCACGGCAGCCAAAGCCATTCGACTTTAGGTCAACCCAAATAACAACCACGCGACGAGGCACTCACTCAGCTTTACACACATTGGGCAGACAAGCCACGCATTACCAGCGAGCAGAAGGCAACCGTCGTCTCGCAACTCGTAAAGGGGCCCCCGACTGTGGTGAGCCGCCAGCATCTGGACATCAGAGGCAGTGATGCAACAATGTCTTACAACAGCCAAGCACGAAGGCGCGTGACTTGAGCCAGGATCCTGCAGCAGGAAAGGACTTGCATTTTCTACACGATCCCGCCTGTGCCGCATGACAAGTCGATGGCGGCTGTTCAGCTCCGGCGCACTTACGTACCACTGACGCACACGATCTGAACGTCCCTGGCCGCCTTTGCAGCCGTGGAATGCTTGCTCTGCCTGGTCGAACCCGAAGAGTGCCAGGCCAAGCTCGACCTCTGCGGCAATGCGGGCGGAGGTGACGAAATGTGGTTGAGCTAGCGCGGGATGTGCTGCAGCCATGGCCGCGTTGGGCGCTAGGGCTGCCAGAGCTACGGCACTGATGTCACGATCCACAGCACGACATCGTGATCACGTCCATTCACCATCATCCAAAATTTGAGCCAGCCATGCTGCTTCGCGGCAGCGCGGGGCTTCTTCCCGCGATTTCTGGGCGATGAACGCCAGTCTCAGCTGCCAGTCCCACGATCCCCGTCCCCACCGCGGTCCACGGAGGAGTTGGTTCGACTGCAAACTTGTCCCTGGATGGCAGTCAATGGCGTCACCTCCTGACCTACTATATATCAGCTGTCTTCCCACACGCCAAGTGCCTCTCCCTGCACAGCCCTAGATCTTTGACAAGCCACCATTTTCGAACTCTGTGATACCCATTGGATCAACTCATCTACAGCTGTGTGGCCATAGTAGTATACCTTCCACAGCTGTCAGACATATCAACATGTCGGCCACGCCCGGCAACGATTTACCGGGTGCTTTCCCTGCAGACACCACAACCGATACTCATGACGGACATCAACGCAACAAATTACACAAGCGGAACGACCCTCGCGGCTGGGCTGACAATGACAGCACCCCTCGCACCGGCACTGGCTCTGGCATTGCAGGCTCTCACGCTCGTGATTCCTCGCTAAACGTCCCGGGTGAGAACTATACACTGGGCTCAAGCATTGACGACAAACCTTCACCAGCCTCGGAGCAGCGCAGCAGATTTGACACGCCTGACCGCATTCACAACCAGGGTCAGCCTACCTCGACTGAAGAGGTCGGAAATCCCACCGAGGACTCTGTCACCACTGTTAAGCGCGACGAATCATCCAATGAAGGCGGCTTGGCCTCAGGCGATGGCACCGCTTCCACAATTGGGTCAGATAATAGAGCATCAGCTGGTCATGATGAGACACCGACCAATGACGATCACAACGTTGTCCGCGGGGGCATCAGTAACAAGTCCAACGCGGACAATTCAGAACCATACTGGGGTGACATTCCTCGTGGCGCCGGTACGTACAATACTGTAGTCGGTCATGGCAGTGCCGAAGACTCTGTCGAGGGTCACCCACCTCACCGCGAATTCCCACTCTCTACCGGCACACACGGCCACAACACCCATGACACCGTTACGGGAACCTCAGCTGGTGACACGGCGACCCATAACTCTGCGTTGACTTCTGGATCTCCAACAGCTGGACAAGGGACATACAACACCGTTGTTGGGCACGGCAGCCGCGAGGATCCTGCCAAGCAGAGCACGGTTCCGGGTTCTGCAGCGGCAACTGCATCCGATCGTGAGCCCAAGGACAGTCATCACAAGGAAATCGCAGCTGGTGCAGGGGCGGCCGGAATCGCGGGCTATGCCGCCAACAAACATACCTCCAAGGAAGGCGAGACTGTTGACTCGTCCAAGAGACGCTCTCACGAGGACAAAGAGCACGAGCACGGTGGCCCCTTCCATCATGAGCACAAGCATGAGTCTTCCAAGCATGAGAAAAGTTCGCACGAGAAGGATCATAAGCCCGAAAAGACTAAGAGCGATAGCGATAAGAAGTTCTTTGGCGTTTTCGGGCGAAGTAAAAAGGACAGTGACGACAGGGAGCACTCGACAGCGACCACGGCAGCTACCCGCGAGGCCCAAGAGACATCGACGACAAACCCTACCACATCTGGCCTGCGCAAGGAGAACGAAAGCCATCTAGGTAGGGATGCTACCCTGGCGGGAGCTGGACTAGCTGGTGCTGGGTATGCGGGCCACAAGCATGCCACAAAAGACGATGAGCACGACGGCAAGCAGCACGGCCAGGACACTTTGCGTCGGAAGGAATCTCCAAAGGACAAGTCTGGCTCAAAATTGCATGGCATTTTCCATCGGAATAACAAAGACAAGGAGACCTCTTCCAAGCGCACGACTTCCACCACCCCGCCAGACGCAGCCCATTACTACAACGACAAGCAGCCAGCACATGTCGTTTCGGAGCTGGAGCGTCGCGGCAAGGCCAACCCTGGGGAGAGCGTCCCCTACGGCGAATCTACTGCAGGTGCTACGACCTTGCAGCAGAGTGGCACTAGTCAGCCAGGTCGTTCCGGTGCCCATGACACTCTTGGTTACGCAGGTATGGGGGCTGCTGCTGCCGCTATTCCTGCAACAGCGCACGCCAGCCACAAGCAACACGAGCAGTACGGCAATTCTCCCACGTCTCAGCCTTCATCTGGTCATGGCAGCTCGCAGCACAATACCTTGGCATCAGGGCCGGCAGGCGTCAGTGCTGCGTCCCACAGTAGTACTCAACCCACATCCAGTGAATACAGTGGGCAAGATACTCGCTTGTCGTCCGGAGCAGCTCCCGGTCTAGGTGCTACGACCCACAGTACCAGCGCCCGCGACACCACCGCAGCAGGTCGTGGTGATCAGTATGACCACCTCTCTTCTGGCACCCCGTCTGGAATTAGCGCCGGGGTATATGATTCCAGCACGGCTCGGTCTCAGCCGGCTTCTGGAGCGCGGGGCGATCAGTATCAACATCTCTCTTCTGGCACCCCGTCAGGAGTCAGCACCGGGGGACATGACACCAACACGGCTCGCTCTCAACCGGCCTCTGGGGCACGTGGTGATCAGTATGACCATCTTGCCTCTGGCACCCCGTCAGGAGTTAGTGCTGGTTCCTACACCCACACCACTCACTCGCAGCGGGCCTCGAGTGCGCGTGGCAACCAATATGATCACCTGGCTTCTGGCACTCCTTCCGGCGTCAGTGCTGGTGCACCTACGAGTGCTGCCGGCACCTCTAGCAGCGCTTTTGCAGCTGAGAAGCAACCTGGTCAAGACAGGAATAACCTCGCATATGCCGGAGCAGGTGCTGCGGGCGCTGGCGCTGCGGCGTACGGTGCTCATAAGGTGCACGAGCATCACAGCAGCAAAACCCAGCCGTCCACTGCGTCCAGTCTAAGCCCGAACTCCTCCGCGCAGCGTCCATCTGGTGCAGGGGATCGGCACACCTCTGTGGCCAGCAACTCCCCTCCCGGACTTGGTGCCGGTGCACCTCACTCTGTGTATGGACCTCCCAAGGATCAAGAACACCGTCTGCATGGGCTTGATGATTCAGGTGCAAATTCTCGTGCTTCTGCCCTTTCTCGTTCCTCCCAGGACTCAAGCAAGGGAGGCCAGTACAATGTACTATCGTCTGGAACTCCATCCGGCATCAACATCGGCAAGACAACGTCCCACTCCCACCCACAGCAGGACAACACGCAGCGATCCACGGCTGTTCACGATCCTCTGACCAGCTCTTCCCAGAGCACTAACCCGAGCAGGATGGCTCAGGCCGGCGCTGCTGCCGCTTTCGCAGGTGCAGGCGCCGCTGGGTATGCTACCACCCGTGACAAGGATCGTTCAACCTCCTCAGCCCCGACGACTACCACCACGAGCACGGCCACTGGAGGCAGATCATACGACGATGTCATTGCTCGTGCTCCCGAACGTCAAGCTGCCAGTGGAACCGGCGGCAACGATGTTCACGGTCGCAACATCATGTCCGGGAATGAGCGCAAGATTGATACATCGACAGACCCGAACGCGGGCTCGGCTGCATACGACAACAAGCCTTCTGGCCCTGGACAGCCTTCGGGTGCAGGCAGTGTCTTCACTGGTGCGGCCGTTGGCCCTGGTATCGCCCGGCATTTGGGCAATAATAACACAACTAGTGGTGGGAGTGGATTGAGCAAGCCTGTCATGCACACGTGCACCGAGTGCGGCAAGCAGAATGACATCTCGAAGTACTTTTCATCAGACAAGGAGGTTGCGCGTCACTGATACGAGTCTTTCCACCTCCAAACGGATCGAGGCTGAAATAGTTGAGCCATGCATTTAATACATGCTGCGGCAAGTATGCGAGTACCGAGCCGCGCATCATGCTTTCAAGGAAACAGCTTGACTCTTCATTCACCTTTAATCGTTCTTCTTACTCAGCTCAAGAAGAACACGGCCGTCGTGCGAAATGAAGTTACTGTAGCTCGGATACGAACACGAAGTAATGATTTCTGCAATTGGCTCACAAGCACTGGCCGTTCTCCTTGCTTGGTCCTATGTGAAAGGCTTAAACTGAGCTGATCAGCTAGTGATGCTTCGCCCAGGGAATCGTGCAAGGACGTTTTGTATGGAGTACCAAACTGCTTCTAATACGTACAAGGTTTTGTGATGCTGGTCAATGTCATGGACGTCGTCAGCTCTAACAGGGTTAACGGAACAGCGCAATTCCAGCACACACCCGCACGGCAGAGACTTCGACAACCGACATTAGGTACAAATCAGTAGTTTTGAAATAAAAGCCCGAGGTCCAGGTGGGTTGTATCAATGAGTTCACTGGGCATTTGTCCCCGGTGTTTGTGTAGGCGTGTGGGGGGCCAGTACAATAAGCCTGCCGACCAATTCTCATTGCGACTCGCTATCACTGTCTAGAACGCTATCATTGTCCAGAACGTACACGCACGCCGGCTTGAACAGAAGACGAAGAATACAAATGGTAGCAGAACAATATGTACAACGCCGGGAGGAGAGAGAGAGTCTGCCCCGGCAAATGGTGACAGCCAAATCCCCTCCAACGCCCTGCCGCAACCGTTTGTGCGGAAACCATACAAATTCGTTACAAAGAGTTCTCAGCCTCATAGCATCTCATCGGCATCCATCTTCTCGTTGTCGCCCTGATAATCATATCCGTCCTCGTCGCCGCCAGCGGAAGCTGCGGCGTGCCACGCGGCATATTTGCCCTTGTACGCCGGTGGCTCGACCCACTTGGGGATGAGGCCGTGCTTGCGCAGGCGGCGCCGATGGCGCTTACGTTCCCAGACACCCATATATCTCTGGTCCTGCTGGGAGAAGTCGGTGTTGGTTATCCAGTCCGACACATCGGCCAACGTATCGCCGAGGTCTTCGCCGAGCTTCCACACGATCGATCTGCCCTGCCCGCCGGTGGTCCATTCGTCGAGCATGAACGGCATCGTGTAGGGGAAGTAGGGTTCGTTGGGCGACCACTCGCATGGGGTGTCTGGTGTGCACGCGTATTGGGGGCCAGCAAATGCTCGGCTGAAAAGACCCTCAAGGAGGAGCCAAGCTCCAACAAGAAGCATCCAGAACCCAAGCTTGGTGGGGCGGAAAGAGCCATGATGGAACAGCCGTGGCACAGACACGACGACCCGATCGGAGGTGACAGGCGCCACTGGGATCGCGGAGATGTCTTTGGGAGGCGAAGACTCGGTCTTGATGCGCACCGGAGCTGCGTGCGCCGCTGCCTTCTCACTGTGCGCAACCTTATCTTCAAGCCGTGCAATGCCCTGTTTTGAGTCACGAATACCAAGCAAGACCCGCTCGAGCTGTTCAAGCTCGCGATCCCGGTCGCTCGAGTCCCACACCACCGACTTGTCCTCAACCTTGAGCAGAGTACTGTTGACTTCTTGCTCAAGCTCGTCTTCGTCGCACTCGGTCTTTTCCAAGACTCCGTCAAATTCGTCAAGCGTGGAATCTTCAATCTGCTGCTCCTTCATGATGGCGCGCAAATCATCCTTAACTGAGACCTTCTTCGCCGAATTGATAGGGGGCGGGCGGGAGTGGGATCGTGACCGAGCGCGCCTCATCGACGGCATGGAGGAAGATCTGCGCTGTACTCCAGCCGGAATCCTGGCGTCGCGTGGGCTACTTTTGTTGAGTGGGCTTTTGGTGCCGCTTGTGCTCTTCAACGAGAAGAGCCTCCACGACCCACGGCCCTGGTGAGATTTTCTCGCGCCATTCGTTCGGATCGTGGCAGGAGTATCGACGTACGCGCCCGTGATGCGAGGCGTCGGCATCGTGAGCGGATCGACCCGTGCGGCTCTAGGTGTGTCCTCCTCGGCAGGTTCTGACGGGCTTCGCGACGCGGCTCGCGCTGACTCTCTCTCTGAGTTGTTATCTAGAGGTGCGAAGAGCGACATTTCCGCTTCGATTCGATCGGTTGGGTCAGTCTCGGAGTGGACAGCACTCGAGCGCTTGTCGTGGATGGAGTCGCTGGACTGGACACGCCTAATGCCGGCAAATCCACCGGTCGGCCGATCCTTAAAGGCCTTACCGTCTCGGATCTGCGCCTTTGCCTCTTCGAAAGCAATGTTGGGTCTGGCCTGCTCAGGCTCCTCCTTCACGGCCGCGGCATCCGCTTCCTTGTCTTCTTCGGCGTCTTCTTCTTTGACCGGCGATTTGATCTGGACGCCGCTGAGGGCCGCTGTGGCATTGAAGGATCCTCTGCGAGGTGGAGTCGTACTCGTAGCCCGAGACAGACGCCGAAGGAGCTCTTGGGAGGTCCGACGGTGTATTGAACGCTCCTGAATGCGGTGCTTAAGCGCCAGGTCCTCGTCGTTTGTCACCACCGGCTGCTCGCGCTTGACTTGCTCGTCATCGTTGCTTGCCATCGCATCAATGCCTCTCTTGGGTCGGATTGGCCACGTTGGGTCTTCCAATTCGTCCCTCATTGACCGCCGCATCATCTCCGGCGAAGCCGAGCGCGCCTCTGAGTTTCTGGCGCGTATCTCGTCGAGCTTGCTGTTAGCAAGAGCGCGAGGCGATGCGTTCTGGCGTTCCCGTGCTCGGATGTCGTCTAATTTCGTCGTTGGTCGTTCGGACATGCTCATGCCTGCAATCTCGGCTTCTCGGTCGCGGATGCGGTCAAGCCTGTCGTTACTGCGGCGGAAGTCTGAGGCGCCATTGGGGGTAAAGTCGCTTCCTTGCAGGGCGTATGCAGGCATCGAGCTTCGTCCGCGGGCATTCGTGATTCTGGGACTGTCTGATATTTGAAGATCTCCGGCAGTGAATTCTGCTTCCAGATTCCAGTTCAGACTCTTCTCTGGAGACCAGCTCGCAGTCTGTCGAGCAGGGGTGGGTCGGTCTCCGTCAAAGTCGGGGTCGTCTTCGATGCTGGGAAGAGGTTCATCGCGCCGATCTTGGGACCATTGTGCCGAGCCACGGTTTCTATCAGCAGTTGGCGTCGTGGATCTCGCGTTTTCCCTCGCGTCCATATCATACTCTGGGTCTTCAATGATCTTGTGAGTACCATTAGTTTGTATCTCAGCAGGCTGTATCGCTTGGCCGGGGGACAGGCCGGTTGCCAAGCTGGCAGAGGCACGCCTCGCAAGCTGATGCCTGGGGTCGAACTCCTGCAATCGCTTGGTCAGGTCGCGGCCGTCCTTGTTGCTAGCCAGAAATGCATCGGTGTTGATGGTGATTGGCGAGCCGTCCTTGAGCCGGAGGGTGCGGGGGGCAGGACTGGGCGAGCCCTGAAAGCGGCCACCGTTGTATTCTGCATTCGCGCGCTGGAAGGCCTCGATGAGGTCGATGGTGTCGTCGAGGAGTGGCGAGTTGACGACCTCCTGCTGCTGTGCCAGTTGGAAAGCCTCTGCGAGCCCGATGGGTTGTCGCATGGAGGGAGAGCGGTCTGCGTGGAGGGCGTTGTGGATGCGGGCGGAGGCGCTGGTGACGGGCGTCGTCGTCTTGGAGCGGGCGAGCCGGGGGCTGTCGCGCGGAGTCTCTGGGACGACGCCGCGGAAAGAGGTGATGCTGCTGTTGCTCCGGTGGAGGCGGGGATGTTTAGATTCGGAGAGGGTGCTCTGGGTGCGGCGGTGGCTGGCGAAGGTGTGTGTCGCGAAGCTGGGGCGCTGGCGGTCGGCCGAGTCTGGCAGCTGGGGGTCTGGGGATGTCGAAGTCGAGTTGGAGGTGGAGTTTGAGGCGGCCGAGGGGGCGCGGACGTTCTCCTTTGCGCTCTCGCGGGTACACTCGCGGCCCTCGTGGCGCAGGGGGGTGGCCTTCTTGGGGCCGGTGGTGCGCTGCGAGTTCTTGCGGGCGAGCTCGTTTGGTTTGGCGGCGGCGAGGACGCCAGGGCCAGCCGGCGACTTTGGCGACGAGAGGTGGTGGTCGCGGTCCATGCTGGGCGGCTACGCGCGGCAGGCGCCCGCCGTCCAGTCCAGTCTTGAGGCAGTGGCTACCTATATCGCGGTCGGTGGCCCCTTCCTTGGGTCAATATCCTGCCTCGACTGCTGCTCCTGCAGTGCGCGGCTGGGCGTGGAGCATGCGGCAGGCGATGCGCTCTGGGAGATGCTGGCGTGGCAGGGTGTTGTTGCTCGCTGTTGTTATCTTCGTGAGTCGTCGTAAGCCGTCGTCAGGGGATTGTCGCACAGCGTTGCCCGGGCGTGTCGCGTATGCAATGCGCGCGCTCGCGGTCGCAATCGCAACGCCAGCAGGGGGAAAAAAGGACGAGAGAGAGAGAGAGAGCAGAGAGCGGCGGGCAAGAAAGGACTGGCTGGCTGGGCGGAGGCTGGGGAGGATGAGAAAAAAAAGCGACAGGGCATGTCGAATCGCGACACCGCCGGGTGCGTTCGAGGCAGCGGGCGGATGGCAGATCAATCCATGCCCGGCCCAGCCATTTCGGGGGTGACAGCTCCTCCTCTCCACCACAGCCGCCCGCGCCGGTGGGGCCGCGCATGCACGAGTGTGCTGGCACCGCGAACCACAGCCGGACAACCTGTGCGCTGCCCAAAGAGACGGTGAGCGCCTCCTGACTTTTGCCCACCTCCTCGCCTTGGCTGACACCCTCGCTCCTGTGCGCGGGCCACCATGGCCAAGGCCAATGCGACCGTCGAGTCCCATTTCGTACTTGACATCTTCCGTCGAAAAGAAAATGAAATCCGAATGCCTGGCCTTGCAGTCCATCACCCCTCTCGTGATAGCCTCGCTGCTTTACCAAGCGACGAGCTTTGACCATGGGCGGCGTGTCCCGCTCCTCATCATGGAATATCACTACGCTTGTTGCTCGGACCGAAGTTCAATGACAGTCAATACCCCGCCATGCACAGACAACGGGCCTCTGCGCCGTGATCCTCTCTTTGTCATTCTCGACTGGCCCGGAGTTGTGCGACTGGAGGTGGCCAACAACGTTCTTACACTAGAAGCAGGTAAAGGTAATTGGAGAGACGGGATGCTTCCAGCGGAAAACCACCGGCCGGTGCGGACCACCACGTGGTGGGGCCTCTCACTCCATCACCTCACAAAAGTACATGATTGTGGTTTCAGCTGCCCTGCAGCCACGGACGGCACATTGCAAAATCACATGAGTCAACAAGTAGCCGCGGCCTATATCTCTCATCGTCTCCTCTCCTGCTCATCATCATGCACTCAGGCCTTATGTTTCATTGTCCAAGTTGCTGCGCACCCCGGTGCATCTATCGTTAATACAACCTGGTGTGTGAGAGCGAGCCTTTTGGCTGTGCAATCTTCAGTTCAGACGCCGGGCATCCCGCTCCAATGCCGGTTATATCTCAACACTCCAAACTGAGTGGCTGGCACATTCTCGTTGAAACTAGATTTAAGCTTTAGGCTTCTGATCAACCTCCGGTCCATTTGCCCACGCTCAACGCATTACTTGTTCCTGCAGCCAACAACAATCATGGCCTCCTCGTCGCATATTGTGCGGCCAGTAGGCACCACGTAGGCGTGGTCACGAATTCTCACACCTCATATAATCGCAACTAATTTGTATTGGCAGTGCTCTTTGGAACACGGCACGTCACAGTTTGGGACTCTATCGCTGTGTGATCAACACTTCACGGTACATCATACCGCATCCGCCAAGCACGAGCCTCGAGCTGCAGATGGCAGTGCAGAATGCCCTGGCAATTGTGGTCAAAAAGCACGGCATACTGCGTGTTGGCATTGTCGGCGAGCATTCAAAGATGCCGTCCTTTGTGCATATACCCCGCCTGGAACTTGACCATATGATACAATGGGTTGAGAACAATATTTCCCCTGAGGGAGACGAGGAAAGTCCGACGTCGATCAATCATCTGTTGCGGCTGCTGGAACGACAGCATGACCAGCTCTGGCAACAGCTTGATATACAGCCCGGATGGAAGCTTCTAGTCCAGGAGAACAGACGGAAAAACGTTCCAGTTTCCCTGGACATCTCATTATGTTTCCACCATGCATATATGGATGGCAAGAGCAGCTACATTTTCCATCAAGACCTTCTTGAAGCGCTGAACGAGCTCCCTGCCCCACAGGAAGCTGTGGCTCGATTCCCGGTTGTTCTCGAGTTCCCGAGTGCACCGGTGCTCCCAGAAGTCGCCGAGACGCTGATCCCGTTCAAGACATCGTTCTGGTTTATCATCAGAACAGTGTGGGAAGAAATCATTCGAGATGCATTGTGTCCGACATGGGTACGGGGAGCGCCACCCCCAGATACGATACCCTGGACAGGGAGTCTGATGAAACCAGACAACCACAAGGCGCACCTGCGCTACGTCCGGATATCAGAGGACGGCCTCAAGACGATACTCAGCGCCTGCCGGGAAAGGAGGGTCACGTTGACTGCGTTGCTGTATGCTCTCGTCGCTGCGTCGCTGTCTGCTCACCTCCCGGCTGCAGAGGCACCCTGTTTCACTGGCAGCTGTCCGATTTCGCTGAGCAGATATGCCAAGCCACCTTTTGACCCTCAGACGACGCTGCACTGCCTGGTCACGTCGTGCGCGCATACGCTCGAGCCGCGATTGATCGCTGCCCTCAGGAGATCGATGCGCCGACCAGCCTCGGATGGCGAAGATGCTGATGGCATCATGTGGGAGATCTCGAGCGCCTTTTCACAAGTGCTTCGGGACAAGGTGGCCCAGCTTCCGCAAGACGACATTGTGGCACTCACGTCGTGGATACCCGACTGGCACCAGTTCTTCACTGCCAAGTTTGGCAAGAAGCGAGACGATACTTTTGAGATAAGCAACCTGGGGAGCATGGGCGCGGAGGCGGCGGGGCATTCAGGTGGTGGGGGGAGAACGGGTGCAACTCTGGGAGATGACCGTGGACGCTGGTATATTGATCGCGCAATCTTCTCTCAGGGCGCCATGCCTGTTGGCTCGGCCTTTGCCTTGAACGTCGCGGGTATCGAGGGCCAAGGCGTCACCATCACGGTGAACTGGCAGGAGGCCGCCGTCGAGGCGGGTCTGATGGACAAGGTTGTGGAGGACCTGCAGAGATGGGTCGATCAGTTCCCCAAGACGGGACGGTTCATCGATGCGCTAGAGTCGTGATGTACATGCAGATTAGGCACAGCCAGAGGGATCTATTTATGTCTGAGCAAAAGGCATTCCAGTCGGTTGAGGAGCTGTTTCAAGTGACGCCAGTACACACAGCATTGGCATGTGCAGTGGACAAGCGCGTGTCTGACTCTGCTGGCAATGTGGTGAGCCAAGCACAAACAAGGTGGGTGGCGTATTGACTGGTTCCTCGCCACGAGTCGTGGCTTGACACCTCTGACTATGAGTCTCTTTTGTCTTTGGATCTCTGCATCATGAACAGACGCGCTTTTGTGGCCCGAGGAGGTTCCATAGTACAATTGAACTGAAGACGACAAGATTGTTGGTCGACTTTTGAACACACAACACACATTCTCGCCTCGCCCTGTCAACGAAGAGAGCAGAGGATGCGTGCGGAAGTACGTCAGAGCCACAGCAGAGGCACAGCACAAAATTGGGGGTACGTAACCTCGATCCGATCTGGCCACCTCAATTTCCCTCGCTCAGGTGTCCGTCCCGTATTCCTTAAAGTGTGGGCCACGCAGGAAGGGATCAGCTATGGAGCTGGGTGTGATGCGTGGCCCTTGCGCGTGTTACGAAACGCCCGCCGACCCAACGGGGACAGTGCGTTGATTGGCCAGCCTGTGCGAACCAACACGGTGTGGCTGCCGCTTGCACTTTCCCTCACCTGTGAGGCCATCTGGGCACATGGGGTGGAGCCTCACACAGTGTCACGGTGGGGGGTGGCGGGCGCTGTACCTGCATTGGCCTTGCCTTGTTGTTTTTCCTCCCCTGACTGGGTGGATGGTGTGGCGCCCCTGCGTGGGAGAAGCACGGATCGGCATAGGCGCGTGTTGGCCTTACCGTCTCAATCGCACTGTCACCCACGCCCGAAGTCCATACTGCCAACACAGTCTTTCTCTGATTGTTCCTACTGTCCTGCTGCAGGGTCAGGCGGGCGTGGTGTGGATGGTGCTGCGCCTTCTTCTGTAGGCTCCTTCCTCTCCTCTTCTCGATCTTCAACTTCCCAACTTCATCATCATCGTCCTTTCGTTCGGCTGCTCACTTCGTCAGAGTCTGCCTGTTCTTTCCTCATTTTCGCTCCTTGCAACACGCTCTTTTGGCTGTCTCACACACATTGCCACACCATTCGTTGACTGAACACAACCACACCTTTGTAATCAAGACAGTTATCCTCCTCACCTAGGCCCTACGCCATTCCCACACAGCAAACCACCCAGCACAACTTCTAGACCAGCAGCCTATTCGCCGCCATCATGCGTGCCTCCGCCGTTACCCTCGCCGCCGGCCTCTTCGCCGCGAGCGCCGTCTCCGCCGAGAACTACCTTGGCTTCAACTCGGGCGCTACCCTCCCAGACAACTCTGCCAAGTTCGAGAAGGACTTCGAGGCCGAGTTCCGCACTGCCCAGAACCTCGTCAACGCCCCCGGCACCTTCAACGCCGTCCGCCTCTACACCAACATCCAGGCTTACTCAGAGGGTGCCCCCATCGAGGCCTTCCAGGCCGCCATGAAGACCAACACCAAGATCCTCCTCGGTGTCTGGGCCTCTGGTGTCCAGAACATCGACAAGGAGCTCGCCGCCCTCAAGACTGCCGTCAACACCTACGGCAAGAAGTTCACCGACCTCGTCATCGGTATCTCCATCGGTAGCGAGGATCTCTACCGCATCAGCCAGACTGGCCTGATCAACGACCCTGAGGGTGTCGGTGCTGGCCCGGACGTCATTGTCAAGTTCATTGGCGACTTCAAGAAGGCCTTTGCCAACACTGCCCTCAGCAGCATCCCTGTCGGCCACGTCGACACCTGGGACGTCTGGGCCAACGGCACCAACAAGCCCGTCATTGATGCCGTCGACTTCCTCGGCTTCGACACCTACCCTTACTACGAGAACGGCAAGGGCAACAGCATTGACAACGCCCCCAACTTGTTCGACCGTGCCTACAAGGCCACCGAGGCCGCGGCCGGCGGCAAGCCCATCTGGGTCACCGAGACTGGCTGGCCCGCCACTGGCCCCAACTGGGACCTGGCCGTCCCCAGCGTTCCCAACGCCAAGCAGTACTGGGACGAGATTGGCTGCGCCAAGCTCTTCAACAAGGTTCCCACCTTCTGGTACAACCTCCGCGACTCGAACCCGGCCAACAAGATGCAGTTTGCTATCACCAAGAACCTCTCCACGACCCCTCTGTTCGACCTCACCTGCCCCAAGGTTGTCCCCAGCTCCACCAGCTCTGCCGCTACCCCTTCGCAGACCAGCTCTGGCGCGACCTCCCCCTCTGGCTCCGGCAGCAACAGCAACACCGGCTCTGGCTCGGGCTCTAGCTCGGGCACTCCCACTGGCGGCAGCAACACTGGCTCTGGCTCCGCCACCCAGGGCTCGGGCACTCCTATCCCCACTGGTGCTGCTGCCGGTGTCGGCCGCATCTCTGGTGCCGTCTACGGCGCCCTGGCCGTTGTTGCTGGTGGCTTCGCCCTCCTCTAAACGAGGGACGAGCTATCGGTAGAGGCGTCGAGTGATCCCGAGTTCTGTATATAGACTGGAGCCGTTGTCGAGATAGAATGCGTCTCCTGGTCCCTTAGCGTCTGCTTCCTGGCGGGTATATGCCACGTGTTTGCACAATAGAATTGTATTTACTCCTGCATCTCTTAAAGTGGATGATCTCGTACCTGTTCTTGAACATGATGAAGTGTTCATGTTGTGCTGGTTTGTTCACCCCTTCACGTTGTCAATCCCAAGAACTCGTTACTGTTGACTTTAATTTAAACTTCTCGCGCCCAGCCCTAGTAGCCCGACTCGCAGCTGCAAGTAGTCAAGTAGAGCTTCATGGCTGGACAGCGCATGGATTGGTCCTAGTCCTAGAGGGGAAACCAAACAGTGCTTGAAATATCCGAAACGAAAAAAAAAAAAAAAAAAAGAAAAGAAAAGAGAAGATGATCACAACAACAATGATACCTCGAGTTAGGGGGCCCAAACTTAAAACAAGATTACTTGTTGTCGCACCTGGAAATCGGACGAGGTGTGTGACGGCCGACATTATTGTTTAATAATAATAATAATAATAAAAACCCCCAACAACCCCCAAAAGCTTTCTTCACAAATGGGAAAAGACAGGCAAAATCATGCTTGTAGTGGCCATGGACAACGACGGACCGCCCCGCCCAGTGTTTGAGAGGTCCGGCCGTTTTTACATGCACATGTGTGCACATATATTTTTGACTGCCTTATTTGTATGCACCGAGTCCGTTTTATATCCTCCCGCCCTGGGAACCAGACGCTGGTTTGGGGTGGCCTTGGAGCAAGTAACTATTTGTTTCATGGATTCATTACGTGATCGCATTCATTCTTCATCCTTGGTTAATTTCGATTCAGCCAAAGGTCACACGTCGTCAAGTCTGGGAAACAATATCGCTTTGTGTATATCTTTATCATTATATCCAGAGTCTATATGGTTGCTCATTCATGTCGTCATTAACCATAACCTGCCAGCTTCTCGCAAAATCGGCAGCTCTTATACACAGGTTCTTTAATGTGGCATGCCTTGTCCTGATTCAGCATGAGGAGGTGATGCCAACGGCACCGTGCTCCGTCGCCGCTCATGCAGATCCTGTGCCGGGGCCGTCGCTACGCCCTCTGTTTGGCCGTGTGGGGGAGAAGGAGACGGCATAGCACCGTGTTGGCTGTATGTGCTGATGCGATTGCTTCGTTCACGATGTTCGTGGTCGTCGTACAGATCCACGGGGTACAAGTTGATGGTCGAGGCCCTGTGGGTAGCCGCGGCGTGATCGTCGTGGTGGCCGTCCCTGGTCGGATCATACGGGCTCACGGGCACCTCTCCTCCAGCGCTATATGGTTCGCCGAATGTCGACTTCCGTGGGGTGCTGTCAGGACTGTGTTGTGGGGACGGCGCCATCAGCCCTGGGCTGCGGAAATCGTCGTAGGCTGATACTCCGCTAATGTTGCGTTGGTGGCCGGGCCGTGCACTCGCTGCTGACCGGATGTGGTGAAGTGGAACATGTTCAGCGACAGTTCCCTCATGGTGGTCGTAATGCCCGTCGCTCTGCGGCTTCTCGACATTAAGGTATTCCTTGCTCGCTGAATAGTGGCCCAGCCCAAACTTGGTTGGATGGGGCAAATGGGTCATGACCAGGATTAGGAAGTATACCAGTGTGATGACGGGCAACATCCACGCACTGCCCATGAACCGGTCGATGAAGTCTTCGTTGAGCACGAGAAGACCCGTAAGGGACAGGCCTACGCCGCAGAATAAGCAGACACCCGTCCGGAAGATGTTGAATGGGGTCCACCCCTTGCGCTTGGACATGCTGTGCATGATGCTGAGGAAGACCATGACAACTCCCGCGCAGGCAAAGGCATATATGAACTAAAACAGCGATGTCAGTCTGCGGGTGGTCCGCGAGGAAAGGGCAATGAGCACCTACAATGAGAACAAATCTCTGAGAGATGGCCATTGTGCTCTGGGATTCGATGTTTTCTATGCTTGTAGAACCCTCTAGCCTATTCTCGGGCGCCTCTATGCCAAAGGCATAGAATATGGAGTTCGTGAGAGTAGATAAGAGCTCGACCATGTGATTCAGAAACTGTTCATACTGATCTTGGTCCGGGTTGTCTGCGGCATAGAACGAGTCTCCAAGACCCCGGAGCTCCTCGAAGATGTCCGACAGATCGGAATAAGTCTCAATTTGTTCGGCGGGCGGGTACTTTTTGAGCCACTTGTATACCACATCCTCGAAAGCCTTCACGACGTTGTCCGCGGTGGCATCCTCAACCGTATCTATCGAGTTCACCAGGCTCGTCGTGGCTTTGTCGACGTCCTCTAAAACCCGAAACCAAATGACGAACTGACTGGCGCCTTCAAGAAGCAGCACCAGAGAGATGTGGAAAGGCAGGTGGAGTGAGGCCCACCATATCTGGTGTGCCTCGTACATAGGTTGGCCTTGTTCCTCGTGCATCCAGTCAAAGTAGAGCTGAAAGATGATGTACAAGAGTGCGGCTGAGGCGGTCATGATGCCAATCAGTTGTGGTGCTACACGGGTTCGAGATTAGCATCAGGCTGAAAAATGACGGCACAGGTTGCGCTTACTCCACATGGCAGTGTCGCCTTTGAGATATGTGTCCTTGACGATAAGCGTTACGTTCTTGGCCACGATGATGCAGCCTGGATTGCATGTTAGCCCGGAGCTCTCGGGAGCGAGACGGCATGTGCATGATACTGACCTTCTCCGATAATAATCAGAGTGAGAAGGTTGAGCCGCTCCCCAAAGTGGGAACCCACAAAGGTGAGCACTCTCGACAGCTGTGAGAACCCCAAGTGTGCTGCCATTTCCACGACACCAGCCACATACCACACGACGTAGACGCGGCTGTTCTTGGAGGGGTCAAAGCGGAAGGCGATGCCAAAATAGACGGCGCCGGCAGCAAAGTTGAGGAACGCTGTGACCAACAGAGGCTTTGTGCCCTCGGCGAACTTCCTCACTTGGTATGCGAGCACCGAGTGCTGGATGCACAGGGTTAATCTCGAGGCGGCGAGGAAGAAGGACATGGCCTGGAAGATGGACTTGATCTGATTGTCTGGGTTGAAGCTGGTGCCAATCATGGCGAAGCCGACCATGACACCGAGATGGATGGCCTTGCAGACACGCTCAAAGACACAGTCGGCATTGAAGCGGACGTCGTAGATGGTGACGTTGAGCCATGTTGTCCATAGGAGGCTGTTGACGACGTCAGTGCATTTTCCACGAGGCTGCCGAATAAGAGCGGGAGTGGCCTACACAATGAAGCCAATGTAGGAGGCCAACTGCGGCGCGAGAGCAATCTCGTGTACCTATCAGGTGTCAATTTAGGCTGAGATGGCCGTGTGACGGGGCCGCGGAGGCATTTCACTTACGCTGGTGAAGACATTGAGATTGGCCACGAACCAGAGGTCGTAAAAGAGCTGCGGATCTGGTCAGAGTCATGGAGGGGCTAGAGGAGACGATACGTGACGCGGCAAGGCACGAACCTCAAAGTTGGCGGCAGCGTGGTTCTATAAGCAGGGTTAGATCAATGTAGCCCAGGAAGCTTTACGATTGATTGTCTATGACAAGACAGTGAGAGGGAGACTGTCTGGACGACTTGCCTTGGCAAAGAGAGCCGTCGACTCTCCAATTGGGCTCTGAATTTCTGCATGATGGTGATGGTGGCCATGGCTGCCGTGTTTTAGATCGTGAGAGACGGCCGAGGGCGAAGGGGTGTGGCCATGGGCATGCGGTGGTGTGGTGTTGGTGGTGGCGGCGTGCTTTGGGGGTTTGATGACCCTGCTGGCGAGGAGGGGCAGCCGCTGGCCGGCGTAGGCAAGAGCGTCCACAGCAAAGACGGCCATGATTGTTGAGTCGCCGCGTCAACAGCACACGCACGGGTTTGCTTTGTGGTGGTCGAGAAGGACAGGCCAGCTCGACAAGCCCACAGACGACGCGGGCGGGCGCCGGCTGGGTTTTGTCTGGCCGCCCGTGGTCGGACTGCTCACACGAACCCAAGATGGCGGAGAGGGCCTGTGCCTGCCTGCCTGCCTGCCTGCCTGGCCGTGTGTGCCTGTGTGTGCCCAGCCGGTGCAGCCACGGCGAGCTGGCGGCGCAGCACGCACCAGGGCTGGGTCCTCAAGTTGGGCTGAGTGGCCGGCACACCCTGGCTGTCAAGCCCGCATGCCACTAGGGGGGCCTAGCCCAGCCGCCCTGGCTCTCAAAGGCTGAACTCTGAAGCTTATTCTCTGCATCTTGGTCTAGGATTTGGCCCGTCAGGCCCCCGAGTGACGAGGCATGACCCGACGCGCAACGTGACAACGTGGAACCTTGAGTCTGTTCCTCAACGATACCCACGAGGCGAGGCGTAACTGCCGCATATTTGACGACTTCGATCGAAGTCGGATCATGGCGCCATCGCATCGCAGGAAAACACGCGAGGGGCCCCCGGACCTGCCAAGAGAGCACACGGAGCCGAAGGTTGACACTGGCAATGCCCCATGGAAATGACGTTCTCCCCACAGCAATGTCACCAGGACCCGTGCTGGCAGGGGCTCGAACAGTGCGGCCCTCGCGCTTAGGCGCTCCACCTCCGGACGGCCCCCTAAATATAGTCCTAGATCGGCACACTTGCTTGCTAAGAACGTGCGCTAGGGTCAGCACCATCACTTCCTGGCAAGTCCCCCTCCCGCGGGTGTTGTTCTGGGTTGGCCTGCTTCGATCTAGGTATTGCCTAAGGGACGGCCACCGGGGGCGCAGCCTTGACAACTGCCTCGCACAACTGTTGGATCATCGTTGACATTCTCATCCCATTGGCCAAAGCGCCTATCAGTCACTTTGCATTCATCTTGGCCCCCACAGCGCCTCTCTGGCATGGTCCAGGGGTGCCTTGCAGGCCAAGCTTTCGCCCAGCCGGCCATAGCTCCAGCATTCGTATCTCCATCTGCAGACAATTTCCTCGTCGTCCTCGATCTGAGTCAACAGCCTCGTGCTCCCCGGTACTGTGTTTCCGCGTGGGAAGATGCAATGTCCAGGCCATCTCCTAGTCCGTAGCACATCAGGTGTAAAGGTACACCATGGACAGCAAGGGATGCAGCTCCAGGCCTCAGCCGCACAGCCACAAGCCGCCAGGGAACAAGGCTCCGTCGGCGTCGCGATACGTTCTACTCCCCGCTGATCGATCGACAAGGCAGCCTTGCGAAGTCAGCCTAGACTGTCCTGTGTGTGTGTGTGTGTGTGTGTGGTCGTGCTGCGGCAAGCTCGCCAGGAACAGAGGATTTGTTTTCGACCCCGCCCGCCCTGTCAGCACTACACTGTTCCAGTATGCTCAGTGGCTAGAGGCGGGCTTTTGCGGGTCAAACCGTTAGTGCTGACGTGGTGGTGCAGGACCCCTCCTGCCTGTTGTGCCCTGCATTCGCATTCCTTCCCAATCCTCCCGCCGCCCAGCACTGAACACAAAACATCGATCGGCGTTCAACCCAAAAAGGCGAATTAGATTAGCCCATTATCTTTGAACCACTGGATAGTCTCGTTGCCACCTTCAATCGCGTCGCGCTCGGCACGCAGTATCTCATCCAGCGCTCGTGGAGGCGGGCGTTCCCATTTGTCCCGGTAGACCTTCTCCCTGACCACTGCGAACTCCGGATCAATCAACTCTGGGTTGTCGCGGAACCTGTACAGAATCGGCAGTGGAGATCGGAGATCTGTATCAGTGCGCCCTTCCGCTGGCATCGTGGTCTCGAAGGAGCCTCCTTGTGCCGGCCCGAGAATAAAATTAAACAGGCGGCGCTCCTGATTCCCAGATAATCGAAAGATCTTGTGCGTGCGGTCTGGCCGCGCAGAGTTGTAGTACACTCCTCCTTTCTGCTCTGGAAATCTCTGGTCAAGTCGGCCCTCCCCGCCAATAACCGAGCCGCCGCGTGGCTGTGTCTCTTCATCATCGTGCTGATGGTCAAACAGCACCACGCCTCCCAGGATCCTGTCCTCAGCCCAGTACCCGACCATGTCGGCAACGCCTGCCGGGTACTGCTTGTGCGCGACGAACATCGGATGCGTGAAGAGCGTTGGCCAGGGCTCTCGAGGTGGGAACATGGGATCCTTGACAGGTCGTCTCCAATTCACGATATCGTCCACTGTAAGAGGAGCAGGTGTTTTGCCAGTGTCTTCGTCAGCCACCGGCTGCTCGCTGTCGTCGTAGAGCTTCATGTCGCGCCGGAATAGGCCGGCTGTGATGTTGTGGACTGCTTCGGCAACCAGCTCGAGCAGCGCCAGAGCATAGGCCCTGTCTCCAGGCGCCGAGGTCCGGAATCTTTCCATAGACTGACGGTCGTAAGGCCAAGTGCGTATGTAGTCAGCGTTTTCCACCCTTCGATAAATCTGCTTTGGGCAAGCAGACTAGGCTACTGTATCCATGCCATGGGCACATGCATCTCTTGTTTTGTCGAGGATAGACTTACCTCGTTCTTCAACCTCGGCAAAACCCCATCCTCAGCCAGGCCAAATCTAGCAACAATCTCTCTCGCCGCCACCCTCGCCTTCCCCGAGATCGCCGTGTGCCGATGCAGCGGATGTTCCGGGTATATGCGGTGCTGGTACCGGTCCAGCGCGACGTCGATCGTGGGCAGGCCATCCAGGATCTGCGCGAGAGTGTCGTGGGCCAGTCCTGTGCTTAGGACGCGCTGGACTGCGCGGTGCAGTGCTGCATTGTGTGCGGGACTGAGACTGGTAGTTGATGCCTCGCTTTTGTTGTTGTCGTTGGGATTGTTGCTGAAGGTAGTGATGCTCGTCGTGCTGACTTCATATGGACCCGTCGGGCGTCCTTTCAGTGTTTCTGACATTGCTGCAGGGCGGGAATATTGATGCTTTCGGTCCATGCATCAGTCCCGAACTGTGCTTCCTCGATGCCTGGATATTATCCAAACACGATATATGCGCTGATTCCTGGCGGCCTCACGGGGACTAGCGAGAAGACACAGCAGAAAAAGTGTCATCAGAAGTTCGAAGACGTAGAGGGTTGAGCTCAAGCAGAACAGAATCGAGCTGGTCAATGTTCGGGGATTTGTTGGTTGGCAGCAAACAAGAAATCCACTCTAAGCGCGCGGCAGCAGCACTGCCACGCTCGGTACGATTGCTCTTCAGACGTCTACAGAAACATACTATCTCCTGCACAGCATTCCTACAGCAAAAAAGTGCCAAATATCGATCTTTATTTCGCCCTCACCCTCTTGATGACGACCTTGTCCCCTTCCAACTCCCACCCAACGCCATCATTGGCCGCTAAACTAGCCCACTTGGATCCGGCACACTTCTCCAGATACCCCAGATCTACACTGAGATATGTCTTGCCGAAACACTTGAGCGAGTGCCTCCTCATACCGTCCTCGGCATACTCGAGCAGCCTAGCCCGGTGCCCATCGACATGTCCCCTGAGGCGATTGAACTCGATGTAATTGTCGTGCGCCAGCGCGTCCAGCACGGCGTCGATCTTGGTGTCGCGGAACTTGTACCGGCTCCTCACAGCATACGCCTCGGCGAGGTTTCCCCGACGACACGCCGTGTCGAGGATGAGATACCCGACCACCTCGTGCGTCTCGACCGTCGTCATGTTGTGGACCGGGTGGATCCGCTTGAGCAGGTGCAGCATGGCTGCGTGGTAGGACTCTGGGTGCTTGGCGAGAATGGCGAGCCGGATGCAGAAGAGGTACGCCTGGATTGAGAAGTTGTCGACGCGCTTGGACGCGAGAATTCCCTCGCGGAGCTTGCGCAGGGCGGAGAGCACATCTGATAATGATTTGGCATGCTCCTCGGAGTTTATTGAGCTGGCACTGGGCACCGCTGAAGCTGCTGTCGTTGCTGTTGCTGCCGACAGTCGGGCTGGAATATTGTTGTCTGCAATGGTCGCATGTCTACTCGCAGCCATGCCCTTGACTTTGCTTGGTTCTTTTGCAGTTGTCGCCGTTCCGTCCTGGTGTGCTGGTGCTGTAGGAATCTCTGACTGATTCAAAACCCCAGAAGTCATCGATAAAGAAGCGAAACGGCGGAGTAGCTCGTCGCGCTCCCCTGCATCTGAGCAAAAGGCCATGTAGCGCTCGACAATTTTTGTGTAGTACCGCTCCTGGGTCTTGAAGTCGAGCAGGCGGTTGTCGCCTTTGGATGGCAGACCTAGAGCTTCAAGAGGGTCTAGCTCAACCGGCTTGAGCCGGCTCCATGGCGCTGAAGGAGTCCTCCCTCGTCCTCGTGATGAGCCTGGCGGCGGTCCTGGCCGGTGATGTGATGGTTGCTGGTGTTGGTGGTGGTCGCGGGACCCAGAGCTGCTGCCAGCACTGCTGCCACCTCGGCGCCAAGGCTCGCTTCCCCTGCCGCTGCCGCCTCCGCCTCTTCCACGCATCTTTGTGTCTAATGGGATGCTCTGGGCGGCCAGATGTCCATCCTGATGCAAGAATGGAGCAGGGACGCCTGTGGTCGCAGCATGAAAGTGTTGATGTTGACACAATGAGGCGCCTGTTTCGTGGTGGGGACATGTCCATGGTGGGGAATCCCTGTTTGGCCGGCTCGCGAAGGGGTCCTTCCTCCTGTCAAGACTACGGACCTAGGGATGGAATGACGACCTGCAACTGCTATTATCGATGACTTGTCAATATCGCCGCAGCACGCCGATGTGCCTGTAAGAACCGCTGCGCATGGTTGAATTTGACGTTCTGATGGACCCGTTCTCATTATATGGAGGGTTTGTTTTCATTTTCGGCTCATCACACTCTCCGGTTGCCTTTGAATGATGAATGGACCTCTACACAATTCCATGTACTGTACGACGTGGCCTCACACAATCTATTGGCAGGAAATTTCCAAGTCAGATATTATGGCCAGCCGTGCCTCATTAGGATTCTGGCGAGCTTCATTGTGTTTTGTTCAGGCGTTGACCACGCACATGAATCTTGAAATTCGTCGATCCCCATGGCGCCGCTAATCGATAGAGCCTGTCTGAGACCCGAGCACGATACAACTCATGCATCAGAGCTCGTGTCTTCGTGATTATCGAATCTACTGTCTTTGCATGATCTCGCATCCAAGTCACAGTCATGACCCAAGTTACAGGCTAGATGAGGTGACGAAGACCTGGGCTTAGTCATGTAAAGGAGACCCGTCAGAGCGATCTCTGGGTGGGCCCCTTTAGTGGGACCCACTTTTTAGCCCAGTGTCGAACGAGGACACGCCGCAACTGCGCTACAGCGAGCGTGTTCAATCGGCGAGCTCCACGCGACGGCCTCAATCCAACCTTGCTGCCCCTGTCCTCGACCAAGTTACCCAAGCACCACCGAACCCGCCTCGACTCGATCCAGCACGCTCCTTTACTTCCATTCGCTTCTTGTCGCTGCCGCCTCGCCTCGACTGTTTCGATATCATCCATTCGGCGTTCCCGATTTCCCTCTATTCCAGCAACCTTGCCCACCGACACAATGGCCCCCGCCAAGGCCCTTAGCAAGGACAAGTACTCGGTCATCCTGCCGACCTTCAACGAGCGCAAGAACCTGCCCATCATCACCTGGCTACTCAACCGCACCTTCACAGAGAAGTACGCCCGCCATTGACACCTCCAACCGCGGTAACCGTCGCAGTCTTCGAGAGAGCGCACACGCTGACCTTTGCCCCCTCCCCCTGAACTCGCAGCAACCTCGACTGGGAGCTCATCATTGTCGACGATGGCTCACCCGACGGCACCCAGATCGTCGCCGAGCAGCTCGTGAAGGCATACAGCCCCCACGTCATCCTCAAGACACGCACGGGCAAGCTGGGCCTGGGCACGGCGTACGTGCACGGGCTCAACTTTGTGTCGGGCAACTTTGTCATCATCATGGACGCCGACTTCAGCCACCACCCCAAGTTCATCCCGCAGATGATTGCCAAGCAGAAGGAGGGCAACTACGACATTGTCACGGGCACGCGGTACGCGGGCAACGGCGGCGTCTACGGCTGGGACCTGAAGCGCAAGTTTGTCAGCCGCGGCGCCAACCTGTTTGCCGACACGGTGCTGCGCCCCGGGGTGAGCGACCTCACGGGCAGCTTCCGCCTGTACAAGCGCGCGGTGCTGCAGAAGGTCATTGAGAGCACCGAGAGCAAGGGCTACACGTTCCAGATGGAGATGATGGTGCGCGCCAAGGGCATGGGCTGCACGGTCGCCGAGGTGCCCATCAGCTTTGTCGACCGCGTCTACGGCGAGTCGAAGCTCGGCGGTGACGAGATTGTCGAGTATGCCAAGGGCGTGCTCAACTTGTGGCTGAAGGTGTAAGAGAGCCTGAAAGGCGGCAATGGCACATTGATTGGGGAAAGCGCGAGAAGATAAAGATATCAGCAAATGGTAATTAATGAAATTGAGGGTCAGCGAAGTATCCAAAGTGCTCGATAGTGAAGGTTTCTCCCCACAAGCCTTCGTCTGTCGCGAGATAAAGTTGCATACACCCGGATACAGCCCAATTTTGTGGGGTTGCATTTATTGCGTCAAGACAGAGGTCGACGACTGCAGGTTCGCTCTTGATGCCTGCCACGTGAGATTCAGTTCTCAGCACTGAATGCGAGAAAGGCTGCGAGGCTGGCAACTGAGTGTTCTGGTGCTGAGTTGACAAGTAGCCGCAGGTGGTTGCAGGTGAAGGCCTCCTCGCAGATCAATGCTAGGCATTCCAGCAAGGACATTGGCTCATCCAAGACCACGCTCGTGCTGTCTTTGTATTGCCCAGATTGTGCAAAACAGTGTTTGGCAGAGCATTGCGGACTGCAAAGGGCGGTGATATGCTCGGAGACAAACCCACCTTCCCCGGCCGGGCGGTTCGGCACGGTGATTATTGTACGAGAGAGTGGAACTGGTTTACAACTTCAGTCGTTCGGTCCCTGCGCTAGCACACCCTAGTTGTCTGCATTTACTTGTTGAGCTTCGATGAGCTAATCTGACACGCAAACACACGCTGAAGAGACGTAGATGAAGAGTGGCAGGGCCGCCGGGTAATCGATGCCGCCGCCGTGGGGAACCTCGGCCGGGTTGGAATGGAGCGATTGGGGTTGGGGTAAAAGCTGGGGGGTGGTTGCGCTTTCCCCACAGTGGATTCTGAAAGGGCCCCCATCATATCTGACCCGAGGCTTCTCTCGGCGCGCCTGCATGCGTACTTTATAATTGCTTGGCCTGTTCCTTTTGTGATTACCCCGCGGATGTTGACTTTCCTGCTGCTCATACACCCAGATGTCGAGCAAGACATTGGACCCTAACGCAGAAGACGACGACAACTTTACAACTGCCCACTACAACCACCAAACACCCCTTGATAGCCTACACAGACAAACCAGGCAGACCACCATGGCGGACCGCGTCTCACAGATTGCCGGCCAGCTCAACTACCCCAAGGGTATGCTGGCCGGGCAGGTTGCCATCATCACCGGTTCCGGCCAGGGCATTGGCGCCGAGGCGGCCCGCCTCTTTGCCAACGAGGGCGCAAAGGTGGTCGTGGCCGACGTGGATGCCAGTACGTTTTTCCTGTCCTTGCAACCTTGCAGCATCACATCGCTCCCGCCAGATAATTAGACACACTAACCACGGCCAACCCTCTCTTCACCGCAACAGAGAAAGCCCAAGACGTCACCGACGCCATCAACAAGTCCGGCGGCTCCGCGATCGCGGTGGCCGGCGACGTGCTCGACGACAACTACATCAAGAAGCTGATCAAGGAGGCCGCGGCGTTTGGCAACGGCAAGATCCACATCCTCGTCAACAACGCGGGCTACACGTGGGACGGCGTGATCCACAAGATGACGGACAAGCAGTGGCACACGATTGTCGACCTGCACGGCACGGCCCCCTTCAAGCTGGTGCGCGAGGCGGCGCCCTACTTCCGCGTCAAGGACGGCGAGCCGCGCAGCATCGTCAACATCTCGTCGACGTCGGGCGTGCACGGCAACGCCGGGCAGATCAACTACGCGCTGGCCAAGGCGGGCGTGACGGGCATGACCAAGACCATCGCCAAGGAATGGGGGCCCGCGTTCGGCGTGCGCGCAAACACGGTCGCCTTTGGCCACATCCAGACCCGCCTCACCCAGGCCAAGGAGAAGGGCGCCTTTGTCACGGGGCCTGACGGCACAAAGATCGACCTCGGCATCCCAGAGGCCACCAAGAAGGCCGTCCCCGCCGAGCTGCAGCACGCAGACATTGCCCTCCGCAGGCCTGGCACCGCCAGCGAGGCGGCCTCGGCTGTCCTGGGCGTCTGCAGCCCGCTCTTCTCGTATGTGACGGGGCAGACCATCATGGTCACGGGCGGACGCAACATGTAAGATTTGCGCAAGGTTAAGGGGGTTGTGTACATACATGCTGCGGAGTATAGCGAACATCTGGTTTGACGTTGGCCAATTCCGTGATACGTGAAAAGGTGCAGGGTGAACCCACAGATATGCATTCGAGGGATTGCCGTCGTTGGTTTTCTCGTCTTCGTCAAAAGTGCTATGCCCGAATTGGTTCCGGCAAGCTCCGTAGTGGGATAATGTGAGAGTGACCTGACGGGATCGAATCATTGTGACCTTGTAGGATTTGGCTCATCCAGATTGCGCCGACTTACAACACTGATCGCCATCAGACATCCTGGCCTTCTCGAAGCCCAAAGCGGTAGGCAGACAATCGAGGCTTTCAAGACATCATCCTCAGTGGTCTGGGAAAGGGTTCATTCCGCCCTAAGCAATCAGCTCTCATCTTGCAGGTTCAAAAACCCCCGCACCATCACAAAGGGACCCCTGGAGACTCAGCCGCACAACTCGAACTAACCTTAAAACCTTGTGTGCGCTTACTGAGATCCCCCCCGATGACCCCTTACAGAAAGTCGGCCCGGTGCCCTTTTTCCCGCTCATGCCCAGTTTGTTCCCATTCGTTCCTTCCCTTTTTCTTGATTTGCCATGCGGTATTAGCCCACCACACACAAAAAACCACGATGAATTGCAACGAGCTGCAGGAGCAGGCACGGCCGTCGCGGTATCTGGTCAAGCGGCCCAAGGCACTGCAGTGGTTCCACAATGGCCGGCTGTACAAGGCCAGCGACGAGGAGCGGCAGGCCGGGCGGTTCGAGCTGTTCCTCGACCTTCTCTGTAAGTCAGAAACCCCAAAAGTCTCCTCCGTGACGACGACTACGCATCCATCATGAGAGAGAGAGAGTTATGAGCGTATTGCCATTACCTTTGTGGACTGTATCACTCACCTATGCTCCTTCCCCTCCCACCTCTCCGGTATTAGACGTCGCCATTGTCGCCAACTTTAGCGAAGAGCTCGCCGAGCACCCGGACGGAGCCCACCTGGCCAAGTACATACTCATCTTTGCGCCGGCATGGCACATCTGGGCGGACCTGCGGGAGATTATGAACTCGTACTACACCGACGACCTGGCCCAGCGGCTCGTGATCCTGTGGGTCATGGCGCTGCTGGTGCTGTACGCCAACAACGCGCCCGTGATCGGCAGCGGCGCAGACGCCGCGGAGAGCCTGGCGGCCATCCAGACGGCCGCGGGGGCGTACGTGGCGGCGCGGTTCACGGCGGCGGCCGTGTTCCTGGTGAGCTCGTTTGCGAGCTACCAGCACCGGGTGCAGGCGCGCATCATGGCCGGGTTCATGCTGGGCGGGATGCTGCTGACGATCCCGCTGTTCCTGCCCGGGGTCGACCTCGCCACGGGCAAGGCGCCCGTCGCGGCGGTCCTCATCGTCTACCAGGAGGCCACGTGGGCGCTGACCCTGAGCCCCTGGATCAAGAGGCGGCTGCGCCTCACGTACAGCACCGCCGTCGACATTGCCCACGAGATTGACCGGCTCGCCGCCTTCTTCATCATCATCCTCGGCGAGTTTGTCTACTCGGTCATCGTGGGCAACCCGGCGGGCGTCGGGCTCACCTCGGGCTACGCAAAGGCCGTCTGCGTCCTCGTCGTCGCCTTCTGCCTCAACTGGCTCTACGTCTCGGGCGACGGCAGCCTCGCCGCCACGCACCCGATCCGCAGGTCCGCGTGGACCGCGTTCGGCTTCTTCCTCCTCCACCTGCCCCTCTCCGCGAGCTTCCTCATCGGCGGGCACGTCGCGGCCATCGGTGTCGGCGAGGAGGTGTACGAGATGGGCCAGGAGTGGCTGCTGTGCGGAGGGCTGGCGACGGGCCTGGCCTGCCTGTGGGTGTACGCGATGCTGTACAGCAGTCATGACGATGCCGACCACCATGACGGGCGCAATGGAAATGGTGTCGGTGATGACCACGGCGGCGGGGCGACGACGGGGAGGCACAACCTGCATGATGTCGGGTGCAAGCTCCTGCTCCCCAAGACGCTCCGCATCGGGATGAGGCTCGTCGGCGCCATCCTCCTCGTCTTCCTCCCGCTCATGACCCGCAAGCAGACCGGCGGCAGTGCCCACGACGGCGAGCAGCACGGAAGGCTGCGGCAGAGATATGCTTACCCAGGCAGCAGTCATGCCGAGGCGTCGTCGTCGTCGTCGTCGTCGGCGGCAACACCAGGGGAGGAAGGGCATCACGGGGGAGACGAACCGGCCGTCGACGCGAGGACCTTCCTGGCCATCGTCACGGCCATTGTCGTCTTCATCACGCTGTGGGAGATGATTGGCGGCCTGACGCGGGACTTTGCCGTGTTTGAGAAGTGGGACAAGGAGGCGAGGAATCCGCCCGTGGAGAACGGGTCTGACGAGCCCGGGCTGGTTGAGGATGGGCACAGTGATGAGTGATGATGAGTGGGAGGACCTAGCACGTGACCGCTGAACGAGGAGGCATATCGATACTGTAGAGACTGGGGCGGGGTTTCGTGACTTTGACCCAAGTGTGGCTGTTGTTGCAATCCTATCAGCCCTTCATCATTTTCATGTTGATCTGTAGCCTTGCCAGAGTTGGTCATCCTTATCATGTTGGAAAATCCTTGTAGATTTGACGGGCTCTTGTCTATTCAAACTGTTACTTCTTTTGGCTCCTCTTCTCTCCACCTTCTTGGGTATTCTCGCAAAAGTTTAAGGACCAAAAAAAACAGAAGCAAAACACACACCGAACTGTTTCCATTCCCCTGTGTCCACCTCGTTCTCGTATGAGTCGACACTCTTTGCACGTCTTCGGCAGCTTTTACTTCCGCCCCTCACCCTTCTCCCTCGAACTGGCCCTGCTCATGCTCGTGTCCCTCCTCGTCAGCGTCCTCCAGCTCTTGAGGGAGCTGAAGCTCATCGTGCGACCGAACCGACGACCTCCCTCGTCACTGCCCTGTGAGAAGGCGCCGCGGCTGACAGGCTTGTCCTCGAACAGGCGGAAGCTGCGCTTGATCGCCTTCCACCCCTCCATGCCCAGCACGAACACGACCAGGCCGCCGAAAGCGAGAGCCCACTCCCAGGTGATGGTCTCGTGCTTGAAGACGGTCCTGTTGAGGCCGGGAATCGACACGACGGGGAACACGCTGAGGAAGCCAATCACGACGGCCCAGAAGAGGAAGCGGTTGTCGTACACGTCCTTGAAGACGGGGAATCTGGACTCGTCGTCCGGGTTCAGCCGGAACAGCGAGCGGCGGATGTCCTTGAACTCCCAGGCCGACACGAGGATGGTCCAGGTGAGCAGCGCGAAGACGGCCGCGCGGGCGCGGAACACGGGCTCGCACACGCCCGACTCGTGCCACCCGATGTTGCAGTTCTGGCCCAGCTCCCCGCCGTTGACCCCGTAGACGACAATCACAAACGTCATGAGCGTCAGCACGCCCATGATGGTGCCGTACACGAGCATGTCGATGAGGACCTGGTTCGTGAAGACGCCGCGCTTCTTGTCCTGCGGGGGCTTGCGCATCACGTACGCCGCGGCCTTTTCCTTGCCGAGACCAAAGGCTGGGAAGGACGAGGTGACGAGGTTGATCCAGAGGATTTGCAAGGGGGAGATGGGGAACACGGAGAGATCGTCCTGGTCCTTGAACGCCAGGCCGCAGATGAGAAGGATCACCTCGCCCACGTTGGAGGTGAGCAGGTGCAGGATGAACTTCTGGATGTTGTCAAACATTCTGCGCCCTTCACGGATGGCGGCCACAATCGAGTTGAACTTGTCGTCTGTCAGCACAATCTTGGACGCCGACTTGGCCACATCAGAACCCGACCCCATGGCAATGCCAACGTCTGCACGGGACAAGGAGGGGGCGTCGTTGACACCATCGCCAGTCATGGCCATGAAGGCGTCGCGGCGGCGGAGCGCCTCGATCATGCGTGTCTTTGTGTCGGGAGCACAGCGCGCCAGGACTAGCGGGAGTTCGGGCAGCGCATCAATCTCAGCGTCGGTTAGCTTGTCGAAATCCGCAGCCTTCATGACGAGGGCCTTCGCAACCTCCTGACTCAGGATACCCATGTTGTGCGGGATGATGCCGACTTCCTTGGCGATGGCTTCAGCGGTGGCCGGGTGGTCGCCAGTAAGCATGTGCACCCGGATGCCGGCGCTCGAGCATTCTGCGATGGCTGGCGTAGTCTCTTTGCGAGGAGGGTCGTAGATGCCCGCGAGACCGAGAAGGGTGAGGTCCTGCTCGACACGGGCACGTAGTTCCTCCTCGGCCTTGGAGTCGTTGCCGGAAACCTCGTTCCAGATGCCGTCCCACTTGCGCGAGGCGATGGCGAGCACGCGCTGGCCCTGGCGGGCAAAGACGTCCATCTGGTCGAGGATGCGCTGCTTGTACTCGTCCGTCATGGGCTGGGCGTGCTCACCAGTGCCGACTGTTGTGCAGAGATCCAGCACGCGCTCGACGGCGCCCTTGGTGAAGACCATACTGTGCTCGAGCTCCGGCCCGTTGTAGATGACCGACATGCGCTTGATGCTGCTGTCAAAGGGGAACTCGGCGACCTGCTTCCATCCTTCGCCCTCGACCACCTTCTTGCCGCGCTCGAAGCGGTGGGTAAAGACCTGCAGCGCAATCTCGGTCGGCTCGCCCGTGACTTTCCATTGGGGCTGATCGGGAGGAGCGTCGGCCTCGTGGCGGACAGTGGCGAGGTTGCAGAGTGCCGCGGACAGGAGGAAGTCGCTGAGCTCCGGGTTCAGAGTGGCCTCCGGGTCGTTCTCGTGGTTCTTCGGGGGCTCGGGCTTCGCCGGGTTGAGCTTCTCGTCGGGCACGTCAAACTTGAGTGCGGCAGCGCTGCGCTCCTGGTCAAAGTCGCGTGTCTGCGCGGGCTCCTCATCACTGGCTGATGGCTCGGGCGTGTTCTCGGAAACAGTTACACGCCCCGCGGTTGGGTTGCTGGGGTGCTTCGAGTCGACAACTGTGTAGATGACGTTGGACGGCACCCAGACCTTGCGCACAATCATGGCGCCTTGCGTGAGTGTGCCGGTCTTGTCGGAGCAGATGTTGGTGACACCGCCGAGTGCCTCGAGAGCCGACAGGTCGCGAACCACGACATTGGACTTGCGCATGACGGTCACGGCAACAACCATGGTAATGGTGAGAACACTGGGGGATGATCAGTATGACGTTTATGGGACAGTTTCAAGGGGATTGCAGACTTACGCAACAAGCGACTCGGGGATGATGGCGATGCCGGTGCTGATGGCATAGATGACGACCTCGTGGGGGATGTAGAACTTGTTGACGGAGAAGACAATGACGGCCAGGATCAGCGCGCAGCCAAACAACGTGTAGGCCAGCTTGGACAGCTTGCGCTGCAGCGGCGTGCCTTCAGTCAGGCCGAGGAACTTGCCAATGAAGTCGTACGCCCGCCTTGTGCCGCCTACAAGGGGCGCACGCTTGCCGTACTTCTTGTAGTTCATGGACCGGCCAGGCTTGCGCGTCTTCTTCTGAGTCGAGGCCGCAATCTTGCCGACCTCGGTCTGCATGCCCGTGGCGATGACAATGCCACGGCCGCGGCCCTTGCGGACGGTTGTGGTGCCGTATGCCACGTTGATGCGGTCGCCAATGCCGAGCTCTTCGTTGTCGAGAATCTCGGTCTGCTTGTCCACGGGGATTGACTCGCCCGTCAGAGACTGCTCGTCGGCGGCAAAGTTCATGGCTTCGAACATGCGGATGTCGGCAGGGATCGTGTCGCCCATCTTGAGGATGACAATGTCACCAGGGACGACCTCGGCACTGTGGAGTGTCTGGAGTTAGAGCAGGGAATTTGAGGGGAAGCTCGCGTCGAGTGGTAGGAGACGTACTTGGGAATGACCTGGGTCTTGCCGTCGCGGAGGACGTTCGCGCTAGGGGCGGAGAGCATCTTGAGCGCATCCATCTTCTTCTCGGCGCCATATTCCTGGTAGAAGCCGATCGAGACGTTGACTATGATGACTGCAGCCAAGACGCCGCCTTCAATCCAATCTCTGATCACGAAACTCAGAATGAGGGCAAAGAAGAGGACCTAAAGAGCGAGCCGGGATTAGCATTGACTTGCTGGGCTCTGTCTGGGCCGGTCGTGCCTTTTGTGACGGGGTATACATACCAGGACCATGGCATTGACAAGCTGCTTGATGAAGATCTTGTACCAAGGAATGGCACCGCCCACGTCAAGCTCATTCTTGGGGTATTTTTGCTGGAGCTGCGCAACTTGCGCAGAGGTCAGGCCCCTGTCCAGGTCCGTCTCCACTGCCTTGACGACATCTTCGACGGAGAGGAGGAAAGGCAGCCTGGGAAACTCGGCGGCCATCTTGCCGGATATTGGGGGTGGCTTAAGGGTGCGAAGGCCGTAGCGCTGCGAAAGCGGACGGCATAAGTTGTGATGTGTTGGATGTCCTGGACGGACAGTAACTTGGACAAAAGTTGTTGTAGTTGTTGACTTTTTAGCAAGGTTCGTTATCAGAGCAAGGTTCAGGGCCGCTCGTTGCTGTCGTCGATCTTTGTTCCAAGGTTAAGCTTCTGGTCGAAGCTCTTGGGTTTGTCTGGCACGGAAGAGAGTTGACCCGTAAGATACTCGTGGGGGATAAGCCCGATTTATATAACCGAGGGCAGGCTCGCCAGGTCACGACGAGGAACTCTGGAGGATGCAAGGAAGATGCAAGGCCACGAGTGCCAAGAGGTTCCAAGACCCGTGGTTGTGTCATTAGTGCCGTGGGGGAGAGTGCCTGCTCTCTTCCTTGCAACTGCACGCTGCGAGTACATACGATAAGCCACGAGACGTGCCCACTCAGCAACGCTTAGGAGGGGCAGGCACAGTCGAGGAGGAGCCGCAGCAGCAGCATCCATGACCACACATTCCCGGTGGCCGGGTCCCCTGTGCCGAGAGGACATGACCATTGGCTACTGGGTGCGGACGCAAGTAAACAAGGCCGCGATCAGACCATGTGCAACTCGGCAGCTCGTCGGCCGCGAGATTGGCCTTTGGCCGACGGTGGTGGGGACGGGGAGGTCCTGGAGGCAAAAGGCTTGAGTCGGCCCAGAGGGGCGAGAGCGGCTCGGTGTGCGAGAGCATCTGACGTGCTGTTGGGAACGGCGCGGTGCTGGGCGGAGGGCTTGGCTCTGGCATGGCGGGCGGCTTGGCTTCCACGGCGCAGGCCACGATAGGTGCGTGCTGGTGCCATCCATGGATGTCACAGCACTCAGATGCGGCGGCCGGGTGGCGATGCCGGGGGGGGGGGGCCGCTTCTCCAGGTGTCCACCCCCGGCCGCCGCGTGCCCGGCGAGTCCGGGCCTCTTCATGGCTGCTCTTCCGGCACAGTCAGTGCCCTACACTGAGTGACTTATTACAGGTCGCACGGTGACTCGGCCCTGACACTAGGCAACGGGGCAAGACACGGAATTATGCTGATACAGTGACAGAAAAGACGCTCGGCAGCCGTCGCAAACGCGGGCAGAGACATCCAAGGCGACAGGCCGGAGCCTGAGGCCGGAGGAGAGTTTGCAGAGGCCTTGGCAGCTTGGCATGGGCGCCTGAGGCAACAACCTGCGTCCAGTCGACTGCGATTGTGGTGCAAGACCATGGCTTGGCAGGCGAGCACGTGACGCGGTGCTCAGCGCAGACGCTTGGCGGGCAGGTGGGGCCGGCTATCACGGCAACGGGCAGCGCGGCGGAGCACCTCGGGGCCTGCCCTCTGTCCGTCCGCTGGCCCAGCGCTGCGGCTTGGCGGTTCTCGGCTGTGTGGACCAGGGTCGTGTTTGCGCGTGCAACACCAGGGGCGAATGGAAACAACCAGTCCTGCCCAGCAGAAGCTGCAAGAAGGCCATGGAATTCACTGGAGAGTGGGTGCAGTCGTGGAGACAAGACGCTGGACTGACACCATCGTCATTGCGTCAGACCAGGTCTGTCGTCGATCCTCGACCCTCTGCAAATGCCCCTGTCGTGTCTCCGCATCGCCGCATGCACTCAATTCCGCGAGCGGGGAGATGCATCGAAGTCCTTTGGAAGCCTCACAGCTGGAGCAGTTGCCGATATCTACTTGGCCCCGAACTATCTCTGTACGATAAAAGGAGAAAGAAGGAGTGTTATGGCACCAGTCATGGGCATGAGTTTGCGCAGCGCAGGCCCGGCGGGTGGCACGTCTGAACACACCTGATCCATTGCTTCCATGCAGCAGATGTTTCCCATTTGCTTTTCCTCAGTCCTAAGCTGCTGCTGAGTGAACAGTCGAGTTCAGGCCAGTCCGCGGCCGGTGTTCGAAGCCAGCCTGACTATCTGTAAATCGTGGTCACGACCCTGCGATACTACTAGGATGTGGTGCTGACGACAGCATCTGCCTTCAAAGGGCTCGGCCGCTTGGGAAGTGTCGGAATACTTGCCCATCAACCAGTTCCAGGAGAAACTGTTTTTATTCCAGGCAGATTATCCGCAGGAAGCTTTTGATAGTACGTATACAGAATTGACCGTCGCAGACACCAGAGACATCCAATTCAGAAGCCAATGCGTGTGCCTGAAGCCTGGCACAGGGTGTGGAAGCTGGCTGCCATCACGAAGAATCCAGTATCATGAACGGCTCGAGAGTTCAGTCAGTTCCCATCCCAGCCGTCTTTGCAGGGGTGTCCAGGAATTCAAGAGGCCATCGAAGCCCTCAGACTTGCCTCCTGTGTATGTGAATGGCCATTACCTCTTCAGGTACATGGCACGCATTTTTGATTTAGAGATTAGAGTTGGCCCAGGGCCTGCTTCAACGTTACGGGGCGGCGGGGCCAATCAGGCCCCCCGTCGCTCTTCCCCGCATGCTGTTTCTGTGGGTTCGCAGCCGCATCCGAGCCGCTGTTTGTGTGTGGGACGCGCAAGCCGGCCGGCCCGTCACAGAGAGTGCCTCGCCTCCAGCTCGTGCTGCTTGTGAAGCGAGGGTGGCAAGACCTTGGGAGGCATTTGACAGTCATTTGAATGTCTGGGCTTAGGTAAGCCGGCAGGTTGGCCAGACCGTGCCTCGCCCACGCTCCCACCCCGTTTGCGCCATCTGATTCGCTCAGGCACGTCAGCCAGCCAGCCTCCACTGGCAGCTGCGACCTTGGAAGCTTCGCCAACCTCATCTGCCTCCCATCTCTCCCGTCGTGGTCGCTCCCAAACTTCTCCAAAACATACTCCATCAACTCGCATCGTGATCGCCTCACCCAGCACAACTCACATCTCCGCCATTGACTCCTGCGCCGTCTCCCTCGCGCCGTCACCACCCTCACCACCCCGCTCCACCCTTTGCGACGACAGCCATTTCCTAGTTCTCACCACCAAATTACGTCATCAGCCATGGCCGACACCACCTCCACCAACGACGTCAAGCCCAGTATGTCCTGCCAGCATCACCTGCTACACTGCTTTCCTACTTCCCCCTTCTTCTGCGGTCGTGGCGCAACTCGAATATTCTTGGAAGGAACTCAGTCCTTCCACCCGCCTTAACGTGTGTCGCGGCCGTCCAATCGTAGCGCTTGTCGCATGTTCAAGGATTCTGACCAATCAGGCTTGCTAACGATTTGGCTGTAACCTTGTAGACACACCTCCCTCGACAGCCGCTGCCGACGGTGCCCCAAAGCCCACGGGCGACAGTCTGTCGCAGACTTCCTCTGGCCTGCCTCCCATCACCAAGGAAGCCATGTCTACTACCGGAGCACCTCTGGTGCCGGCGAACCCCATCACGCAGACCAAGGTCCCCACTCCCCCGCCTGAGCCGGCAAATGACCCCGTCCCGTCTTCGAACGACAAACCGGCCGAGGCGCCCGCCTCTATGAATGAGCTCAAAGACAAACTCGACGCAGCTGATGCTCTAGGCAAACAGCCAGAGAAGCCTGCCGAGTCTGGCGCCCTAACCGACCAGGACACGTCGGCCGAACAGGACACGTCGGCCGAACAGGCCAAAACCGTAGCTGCCCAGGCACCCCCCAAGCCGGTCACAGTGCAGGAAGTCGCGGATGAGGCAGCAAGCGCGATTGTCATGGACAAGGCTCCCGAGCCAATCGAGGGCACTGGGTCGCTTCCCGTCGCTACTGAGGAGCCGGCCCAGCCAGCGGAGGCTTCGAACACGGTGCCGGAGTCCTCGGACCTCGCCAAGCCGGAAGTTGAGACAGGTGATAAGCGCAAAGCTGACGAGAGCGAAGTCGTGAATGGAGCTGCTGATAGCAATGATGACAAAGTGCAAGACGAGCCGGCTGAGAAAAAGTTCAAGACTAACGGCGGAGCAGCCCCTGTTGCTCCGAAAAAGGTCGGCCGCCCAAAGAAGGACAAGACCGCCGAGAAGAAAGCACCTGCTCCCATTGGCAAAACTGCCCGGCGAACCCGAAGCCAAGGTGCCATTGCTGGCGAGAGCCTCTGAGATGACCCACCACTGCCACGATTGAAAACTCTGAGAGAGTATGAAGGTTTCTTGTATGCTGGACGCGGGGCAGATGCCTGGAAAGGGCGGCCTCCCTGCTTTTATTTGGTTTCTACAAAATGGCGTACAGGATGGTTTGGCTGCTCAAAAGTGTGCAAGCCACCGCGATGTAACATCTTGAGGCAGGCTTGACAGGCATTGGAGCATTTGCCCATGTTTACATGATCTGCTTTTCCACATTTCTTTAGCTTGCGATGAGGGATCGCACTCCACAAAAGCTTCTGATATGATCCTTTTTGTATCTAAACTCGCAAGCTACTGGAGCTAAAAGAAAAACACCAACGATAAAGGTTACTAAGAAAACACTTGCCTACTGGGACCAGCTGACCTTCTTGTCAACGCGAGATGTATCCTTAATAATGATGGCCAGCCTTTGGGGTGCCTTCCATGCCACCTTGTGATGAATTTCGGGATGATAACGTAGATAAGCACCAGCTAGTCCTTTCGTGCTTGTTCAAGGGTACATTCTCAATAGTGTTACCCGAATGAGCACGTCCGGGGTCCCAGGCTATGGCTACTACCTACCATTTGAGCAGATACTAAATGGAAAGAAGGTAATAGAGTACTTTAGTGATACATTCTTCGTTTCACACATCATTGTCTCATCAGAATGGTCTAGTGCTCTTTGTTAGTTTCAATTCGTAAAAATCTGAGCATCAAGGGCAAATCCCCGGGGCCCATACTGAAATGATCTGAGGCCCGGTGTGCCTCCCTGTACTTTCCCTGTGTTGCTCCCTGCTGGGCTTCGCCGGGACGCAGAGTTACTGAACAGTTTTTGCACACTGCCCTGGATTAGCAGTCAGGGATGAATAGATTATGTGATATATATTTCTCTAGAACTGCCGGCAGAGTACGACCTTTTATTCAGACTGTGGCTACGATGTGATGTTGTGTTGCTTGCTTGCTCAAGCTCAATAAGAGAGGATTCGACGTCCTTTCAGGCCTCAGAAAAAGATGTCATGACAACTAGCATCAGCTAAGGAGCGGTCATACTATGCCGCTGTCCTCTGGTATCAGTCGCTTTTGCTACTGCTCCTCGAGAATAAGTTATCGCGGCCCTGTTGGACAGATGGGGTCGATAAATCTTGTGAGGCTGAAACGGATCCCCTTTCAAAATGAATCAGACTCGCAGCGTTCAATCAGACTGGGAAGCACGGTGGCATGTGGTGGTTCAAACAACCATAAGGACCATTGAGCTGTGCGAGAGCGGTTTAACACGTTGGAGTCGCTGAGAGCTCTTTTCTTTTATTCCTTTTTTTTTTCGTTTCTTATTCATGTATCAATCACTCCTTCAAACATGCCAACCCACCCACACATATACAGAGTTCCCGGGATTACCGATAACCCTGCACTGCATGTATTGTTTCTGGCGGCATAGCTATCTGTAACAGAAGAAGCAAAAGCGTCATTCAGCGATAGATTTGAGTGCCTTCCCTTTGGCTCCCTTCTACCCCCAGAACTGGAAGTCTCAGTACATCATCTGTGCGGTCAATCTGCTCACGCACTCGCAACGTGGACGCGAAAGACCGCAACTTTTCGGCATTGGCGAATCCTGGGGGTCCTTTACACACAGAAAACCATTCCCTGTTCGCGTCTCGTGGGGGAACAAAGAACGAAGCGATGCGAATGGCCATGGGACATTGCCCACGCACAAAGTGAGTTCTGGTTGCTAAGAAGTCCGCATCGCGAACGACGACCACTAATCTTCCTGGGGTTGTCTACAAGGCGTTCGTATCATTGTTGTCATCGTACGAGTTGCGGCAACCTTTCACTTAAATCATATCCAGAAACCGTCGTAAGGCTCTGTTTCAACGGGTGTTTTGTATATTCGCCAATCCCCAAAGGGGGGGGGGGGGTCTCTTGGGTTTCTCGTTTCTGATTTCTTCCCCTCTTGAGTCTTTGCAGGTGAATCCGTAGAAGTCCCTGTGCTCAGGAAACTGAGCGCCTTTTTTGCTATGGTAGGGATCTGGGCTGGCGACGGATGCCTTGGAATGCCGTATATATGATTCATCAGACCCCTTCATACTAGAGACACGTCCCGCGGCACATATGGTATCATGGCGGTATCGTGAGAAGGAAATACACATGTTTGCTGAAGCGGCCGAGGTGGGTTTCTCGTCGCCATAATTCGGATGGTGGGACAGGCACTTATCTCAAACGGCCGCAGACGGGTTTCAAGGACGGGGAGAAAATTCGATCTTGAGGGATGTAATAGGTACTCTACACGTGCGCATGCATTGGCAGAGAACTGAAGAAACAGTTTCATCATGGTAAATGGGAAAGACAATACCAGCTTGATTCAACGGTGTTATTAAAAGTATTGCGAGTTTCGTGATCACGACGCTGCTTATTGTGGTCTGTTCCTTTGGACCTGGGCTTGACAGTTTGATGACCAAAAGTATCATGTATCATGCAGTCTACCACCCAAATCCATCTCATCCGACTGCCTCGAGTGGAAAGATGCAGGGTCGCGACACAGGCGCACCTCTAGCGCTTCGCAGCTCCGTTCTTAATAGTCACTGCACTCAAAACGCCATCACTTGAAGAATGCAGGGCAAGATTGCGCAGGCGATCATAATCACGAACCCATTTCCTTTCGTCTCAAGGCACGACCTCACGGCTTGGTCCGCCAGTGGCATTGCACGGCGTCCCATGAAGCTGCGGGTTGTATGCACCCCCAGTCCAGCAACGCAGGCACCTGAACATGCAGCATGACCGCATTGCAGGCATGACGTCGGGTTGGCCCCAGTAGCCTGCCGCGGCTGCACGAGTGTGGATCAGCACACAAACCCCTACAAAGCCTGCCGACTGACTGGCTATGGTTTGTCTCGTCTGAAGCAGCAACACCCGAGGAGTTGGACCACGTGAGGGCTGTCTTCGGAGGGTCAACCTGAGAGACTCGGGGGCTAGGCTTTGATTATTGGGCACACACGGACTACACTCATAGCTCTGTCCCTCGTTGAGGCTGTTCAGCCGACTTTTCAGACGCCACGTGGGCGGGTACGTACTGACGTGGTATCGTTTTCTTGCGCTGTTCGTATCCTGCCTGAAGATCGACATGCAAGCCACTTTCCAGGTAAGAGGGCCGCCCCAGTGTTGTCCGCCGAGTGCATTGAGAGACGAGGAACATGCTTCAAGCGGGGGAGGGTGGACGAATTTGGCCATTGCAACTGGCTGGAAATGCCTGCAAAAAACCGGAGCCTCCCCCGGCGACGATGACGACGAGCAAAAGCCCGGATTGCAAGCCTCGATCGGGTCGGTCCCACAAGCGCCCTCACTTTTTTTTCTTGCTTGGGCGTGTACGTGCCGGCGCTAGGAAGGGTGATGATCCCGAGCACCCCGCAAGACCCCTTCTGCCTCGAGATCCGCAGTGGATGATGGGTGTGTCGACTATGCGAGGGAGCCCATGGGCCAGCAATAATATGATATGGTGGTAAGCAGAAAAGACGGGCCGGTTGAGAGGCCTCTTTTTGCATGCCGGGGCGTGTGGGGGGCGTGAACGATTGGTGGGCATGACGAGGCTGGGGGAAACGAGCCCTGCTCAAGAAGACGGTAGGGAAGCCCTCGAAGCGCGGATCGCCGTTGAGCTGGGCTGAGGTGGTGGTGTTGCTTGCGTGGAATGGTGGTGGATGGCCGGCGTGGTGGGATTGTGGATGGTGGAGCGGCAAGTGGAGTTCGTATTCATGCCCTCCCCGTCCAGGGCTCATCATGCACTGGGTCGGCCATGCCTTGGGGAGTGGGGCCATTCGCAGGTAAAAAATAGCCAGTGGCAGAGACAGTTCGCGCTGCCGCGCCCCCGACGTTTCCTCAGCCCGCCTGGGCACGTTACATGGTGGCCCGGCCGAAATCGAGGGTCCTGTCCTGCGCCAGCTGTCCTGACAAAGACAGGCACAGGGTCGTGTTGCACGCACAGGTCATGTCACGTCAGGCTGAGGGTCCAGCTCCAGCCAGGGTCGGCCATGTGCCCCTGGATCGACTTGTTGACACGCACGACTCGCTCGTTCGTTCGCCAACCCAAACTTTGGGCTCCTTAGAGTTTTGCTGCCGGCCCATGCCGTTGCCGCCACGCATACGAAAACTCTTTGCGCGGGCTACACTAGAAAGCAGCCTAGCCCGAGGGGAAACACTCGTTCCATGTTTCACAAGGCGGCCAGCAGCCACGGGCTACCTAGGCTTGTGGCGCTCTGCGGTACGAGCACTACAGCGAGCCACTCACGCCCTGCCTGCCCCTGGACCACAAGCCACCATTCCCCAGGCTGCTCTCCATCTCTGCCGGTTGACGTACTTGGGAGCCCGACAATACCCTAGAATGGCCCCGATAAGCTTGTACATACACGTTTCACGGCCATCACGCAGCACAATGTTTGTGCCGAGCAAGCAGAGGTTGGCCGTTCGGGTGATGATGGCTGGGCGATGGTCGTCCTACTGCGAGGGTATGAGCACGGCGCAGCATCAGATGCTTGGAAGCCACATGCGACCGCGTGATCAAGACTCGATCCAGCGTGACAGTCCTGTAAGCCACCCGCTGCGAGAAAAAAGAACTGGGTGAGGTTCAAAAGTCTTCGCCGGCCGGGGCACGCCAAGCTTCTGGACTTTTGGGTGGGTGGCCCATTGTTTGGTGGAGCTGCGAATGGGAGGGCGTGAGCAGTCGTCATTCCTGCTTGGCCCTTGCTCCATCCTCGATGCCCCGGCCCGGGCTGCTGCTCTGCCCGTCCAGAGACTGCGAGGGACTCGGGTCTCTACTCTCTCTCTCTCTGCCCTTGACATCCATTACCTTGCATTCTGCCATCGACTTGTCCTTACGACCCGCCTCGACTGTTTGCATCCTACACACTCGCTTGTCCATCTTCCTCCGCCTCCCGACCCATCGCCATCACTCCGTCTCTGGAGACGCTAGGCTTGCCATTAGCCGTGCCTTGCAGCTACTTCTTATCGATCTAGATCGTCTGCCGATCGTTTTCTCGTGTCCAGCACTTTTCGTCATCCAGTCAACCAGACACCTCTTTACGCACCGCTGGCGGGACTGCCCCCATCCGAGACAACTGCATCTTTCGCACACCCAAAGACATTTGTGGCTTGTTGAACATCTCGCGTCATTCAAAGTGCCACTCCCTACACCAAATGTTTTGATCGGTCCGGCAGAAAGCCTCCATCCTCGAACCATCCTCGAATACTCTCAGCCCTTGGATCCGATAGCATCTGATCACAGATCACACGCCAGACTCGTGCATCCGCCGCAATGGACGGTGCTACCTGGCGACACGCTCGCGCCCTCGTGGCCCGAGAGGACGCTGGCTTGGAGCTCCTGGACCTCCTGAGTAACCCTTTCAAGTCACAGATCACTGGTGATTCCGTCTGGTACGCGCTGGGCACGTCGGTCGGTATCAGCGCCTCCATCGCCATTGCATTCTCGCTTCTTCGCCCTCACAACTCGGTCGTCTACGCCCCAAAGCTCAAGCATGCCGACGAGAAACATGCACCACCCCCAATCGGCAAAGGATACCTGGCTTGGGTCAAGCCGCTATGGAGCACTACCGAGAAGGAGACGGTGGCCTACGCCGGCATGGACGCTGCCATCTTCCTGCGCTTCACACGCATGCTTCGCAACCTGTTCTTGGTACTCGCACTCGTGGGCTGTGCCATCCTCCTGCCTGTCTATTACTCGATGAACAGTGGCAACTCCAACCAGAACTGGATCGTGAGGCTCACTCCGGCACAGGTCTGGAACCAGCCTATCTGGGCTACAATCGTGCTCGCTTATGCGTGTAACCTGATTATCTGCGGCTTCTTGTGGTACAACTATAGAAAGGTGTTGCAGCTCAGACGCCACTACTACGCCAGCGAGGAGTATCAAAACAGCTTGCACGCCAGGACTCTAATGGTTTGTGGTTGACCCTGCTCAAAGCCTCGTACAAAACTGCAGTATAGCTCATGTTGTTTCTTTAGATGACCGACATCCCCAAGAACTACGGGTCCGACGAGGGCATCGCTCGGCTGATCGACCAGGTTGCTCCTCACTCGTCTTTCTCCCGTACTGCGATGGCTCGCAACGTCAAACATCTTCCCGGGTTGATCAGCCAGCACGATTCGACTGTAAGGAAACTGGAGAAGGTCCTTGCGCATTACCTGAAGGACCCGAAGAACCTCCCCGCGAGCCGGCCCATGTGCTATCCATCCAAGAAAGATCCGTCCTACGGCACATATCCTAGAGGACAAAAAGTAGACGCGATCGAGTATCTGACCCAGCGCATCAGAGAGCTTGAGGAAGAGGTCAAGGGAGCCCGTGCTGCCATCGACAAGCGCAACGTGCTCAACTATGGTTTCGCCAGTTACGATGACATCGAGGAAGCACACAACATTGCGTACGTTTGCCGCAAGAAGAAACCGCACGGCGCGACAATCACCCTTGCACCCAGGCCCAACGACATTATCTGGGACAACATGCCCATCTCTCCGGCGACTCGCAGGTGGCGGAGATTCATCATCAATCTCTGGATCACCGTGCTCACTTTCCTGTGGATCGGCCCCAATGCCATGATCGCCGTGTTCCTCGTCAACTTGAACAACCTCGGTCTGGTCTGGTCCGACTTCCAGACCTCGCTGGCTGCCAACCCCCAATTCTGGGCCGTCGTCCAGGGTGTTCTCTCCCCTGCCGTTACTTCACTCGTATATCTCGTCCTGCCAATCATCTTCCGCCGTTTGTCCATCAGAGCGGGTGACCGAACAAAGAGCGGACGCGAGCGCCATGTCGTCGGCAAGCTCTATGCCTTCTTCGTTTTCAACAACCTGATCGTTTTCTCGCTCTTCAGCTGCTTGTGGAACTTTGTTTCCTCCGTCGTCAAAGACACCACAAAGGGCAGTGATGCGTGGCAAGCGATCCTAAAGGCGGACCTGTCGGGAGCCCTTCTTACTTCGCTCTGCGTTATCTCGTCATTCTGGATCAACTGGCTGTTGCAGAGAAACCTTGGTGCTGCCATTGACTTGGCACAATTGTGGACTTTGGTGTATAGCTCGTTCATGCGCAAGTTTTCCAGCCCGACTCCACGAGAGATGATCGAGTTGACGGCACCGCCTCCATTCGACTACGCCAGTTACTACAACTACTTCCTCTTCTACGCGACTGTCGCCTTCGCATTCTCGAGTATTCAGCCGCTCGTTCTCCCTGCCGCGGCCCTGTACTTCGCCATCGATGTGTGGTTGAAGAAGTATCTGCTCCTCTACATCTTCGTCACCAAGACAGAGTCTGGCGGCATGTTCTGGCGTGTCTTGTACAACCGCCTCTGCTTTGCCGTCATTTTGTCGAACTTGGTCGTCTACCTCGTGACTTGGGAGCGTGGTGACGGCACGAGGATGCAGTTCTACTCCTCCCTTCCACTGCCACTCATCATGATCATTTTCAAGATCTACTGCGCCAAGACATTTGATACTGAGCTGCACTACTGCTCTTCGCGCAGCGCACGCAAGAATCCCGAGGGCGGCTTGGCACAGAAGGATCCGCTGAGATCCCAGAACTTCCTTGCCAAGCGCTTTGGCCACCCGGCTCTGTACAAGCCTTTGATCACCCCGATGGTGCACGCCCGGGCGCAGAACATTCTCGCGGCTGTATACAAAGGCCGCCTTACTGACGGGCGTGAGGCCTATACCGGAGATACCATGTCCACTTCGGGCTACTCGGATGCCTATGTCCTCGACTCCATGCAGGCCGGCAAGCCCGGCAAAGGCGCAGCCATGCCCGGTTTCGAGATTGTACCCGAGTCTCGTATGGACTTTGAGTACTATAAGAACAGGCCAGAGTTTGCAGCTGAGCATGGCGGTGGCGATTTCTACGGGCGATCCGAAGATGTGTACCGCCCTGGCACGCCAGGCAGCACGTGGGCGGGCAGTGATGGGGGCTCACGGCCTAGCAGCCCTGGTTTCATGCCGGCGGTGCCAAGAACTGCCAGCCCTGCACCAGTAGGCAGGTCCTACTCTCCCGCACCGGATTCCGGTACTGCCTATCCTGGTGGCTATTCACGACCTCTGGGTAGTCCATATCAAGCATACACACCTCCACCACCCGAGGTCGCTCGGTCACGAAGCCCGTTCTACGCAAGCCCGAACGAGAGCGGCACCAACCTGGTCATGCAGGCTGCGCCGATGCCTTCGGCCACCCCTGCCCATGACCGCAGTCAAGATCGTTTAGGCGGTCGCGCTCCAGGCACCGCCGGCATGCTCGGCGGCGGCCCTAGAGGGTATGGAGGTCTCCCACAGCACGAGGATGACACCCCTGATCACGACCCTACCCAGTATGATTATTTCCGCGGCCAGAGGACGCGTGGAAACAACTCTGGGGCGTGGTAAGGATCGTTTTTGTCGGGGTTGACGGCCGCATACTGTGCGCTGTAGCGGTCTTGCTCGTCTGGTTATACATTGGTCAGGCACCGCGGGAGCCAAGTGCTGGCACCGCCTGGTTGCGCATTTTGGAAAGAAGGGTCTCTAGGTCTTGTAATGGAGTAACGCATGATAGACTAGACATTCCCCCCAGAGTGGCGGGTCTCGATAGAGTTATATATATCTTTGTAATGTCCTTTGGCCCTCTAATCTACCATGCATGAAGCATCAATGTCATAAGCCAGTCATTGACCGATGCGGGTTGTGCTGCCAACATACGTATGAAGCCAATACAGTGCACAACACGGTCTGCAGCGGGCTTTAAGACGGTGAGGCGCGACGAGACTTGATCGTGCAGGTCCGGCGAATTGTAGGAAGGCACAAACCTTGGACGGCTCGAGGCTTCAAACAACATCAATTGATCTCGAGCTGGTCACTGTGCTCGTTTTGCAAGACCGGTCTAGCGTCGAAGCGGACCGGCAAACTCACAGCCACACTCCTGACTTACACCACACGCTCACGCCTGCATCATCGGGCATCCTAGTGGCGCGTGAGTCACTGCCGATTTCACCCATTATTGACGAATCCCACAGTCTCCAATGGCATCGCCAACTTACTTGCCTCTTTCTTCATATTGTCATCGACGGACGAGCTGGGACATCAAGTCTAAACTACGAAGGCGCATCTGATTATGGACTTTCGAGCCCGCGCAATCTCGTAGTTACCGGTCATCACCACCAACACCAAATCAGCAACTGCATTTGCGACACTCTGCGTGAGAATACCCTCAATTGGTTTCTGAAATTCTTTCAGTTCTCGAATACTCTCGGGGAAACAGCGAACCAAGCTCTGTTACAAGCACAGTCACGGAGTGATCTCCCCAAACAAAAACAATCACAAAGCCTTCGCATACCGCGTATCTCAAAACACCCCTCGAGCGCTGTAAAAAGCTACATTATATATCTACACGCCTCTGCGAGAAAATGGGCGGCTCGGTCTTCAACAAGCTGCCCAACCCGCTGCACACGCCGCGCATGCCGGCACAAGTATACGAGCACGTCCGGAGGACATGCCACGCACGGCTGCGGGAGCTCTTCGTCGCCGTCGCCTCGCCGATCGAGGGGCCCGGGAAAACCGACTTCGGCGACGTGGACATCGCGCTCGCCTGGCCGCGGGCGGAGCTGTTCCCGAGCCAAGACGCGCTGAGGGTGAGGGCCAGGTATCTCGGCGCTGGCGCCGTCACGCAGAAGCAAGGGAGAGGGGACTGGCTCGGTGCCGCGGCGGCTGCGATTGGCGCGGAGAGGGTCCAAGGTGTCAACGGGAGCAGGAGCGAGATCCACGCTGCCGTCCCGTGGCCGGACGAGTTTGCCCATCTCGTTCCAGACTTGCCCTCTGCCGAAGATGCTGCTGCTGGCAGCGACGACGAGGATGAGCGGGACGGCAGCAAGACCCGCGCCGCCCGGCCTACAAGGGCGAACCTGGCGTCGGCGAACAAGCCGCTGCAGCAGCAAACAACGACAACAACACCAAAACCAACAAGGGCATACATCCAAGTAGACATCCACATCTTCCCGGACATGCAGGCGCTGCAGTGGAGCCTCTTCAAGCACGCCCACGGCGACCTCTGGGGCATCCTCGGCTCTACGGTCCGGCCCTACGGCCTGACTGCCGACGAGGCCGGCTTGTACCTCCGGGTCCCAGAGATTGAGAAGCATGACCACAAGAAGGCCAAGGTGTGGCTGACCTCTGAGCCTGCCACCGTTCTCGCGTTCCTGGGCATCCCTGGCAGCGGCGATGGAGATTTCGAGATATGGTCACGGCAGTTTCAGACAAAGGAGGAGCTCTTCGAATATGTGGCTGGCAGCCGCCTTTTCCGAGGCGTGTCAGGTCACACTGTCGTGCCAAACACCGACCTTTCTATAGAAGACGACACGGGAAGAGTAACAAGAAGTCTGGATGTGGGCGAAGGAAGTGCACGCGATGCTCGATCACCAACCAACGATGATGACACAACGCGGGCACCACCACAGACTGGCGCCAGCGAATACGTCGAGGAGAGCACAAAATCCCTCCGCTCCCGGGAGAGGCGGCGGATGAAGTATAGGCCTCTGTTTGCGGAGTTCATGGACAGGTACTTCCCTGAGCACCACCACTACTCGCTGCTCTACGATGACGCCGGCTCGCCTGCACATTCCTGCGACCAGACCAGGGCTGGCCACCCAAATTCTTCTCCGGACTCGGAACGAGAACAGGAGTCAAGAGGAGTCTCGGCCACAGGACAAGGCGCAACAGAGATCAGACCGAGCAGCAGCAGCGGCAGCGGCAGCAGCTGGCCACATACACGAGAGTCTATCCGCGAAGAGGCGTTTGCTTGGTTTGGCCCACTCGTGCGGCACACATATGACCAACGGCTACGGGCCTGGATGATCGAGAGGCAGCGCATCCGGATCAAGAAGGATGTTATCAAGGCTATTGTGCCGCCCCCGCTAGCCGCTCAGGCACAGCACACAGCCAATTCGTCATCAGTGGCAGCTGCACCATCCCAACCACCGCTACCACGGGGCGAGGGTACACAGCAAGATTCCCCTGCCGATGGAGGGGGACCGGGACAGGCAGCGGCGGCGGCGGAGGCGCAACCAGAGTTCCTAGACCCGTCTTTCCGAGGACAGATCGTCTCGGCCCTCAGCAAGATTGTCCTCGATGCGGACTACAGTCTGGGCATAGTGCCCGCTGCACCCCTCCGGGACGAACATACTAGGCTTTATCAGGAGGACGAGATCAAAACTTTTGTGACGAACCGATGGAGGGACGTTGCGCAACTGCTTCAGGGGAAGAACTTCGTCGCTGCTGAACAGCGGAGAAAAGCGGTGGGGAAGGTGATCTCCTGACCGAAAAAACATTGTCCTCAGGGACACGGGATCCTCTGAATGACAACAGTCCTCCTTGACCCCTTGCAGGCTCAGAACCATGTCCACAGAATCATTAAAATGCACAGCCAGAATTCGTGATACCAAGCTGCCTTCAATTTCACCCCAGTTGTACTTAGATCAGGGTGTCCTGCATAACCACGCAAGCAAAGCATTCTCATCATAGCCCGCCTAGAGCTTGAAGTCTGCATTCGTCTTCTCCCAGCCCTGACGCGCCGCCCCGAAGCCTCCCCCACTGCCCATCGCAGTTGTGTTGCTGCTCCTCGACGCGAGGCGCTCCGCGAGCTGGAGCTTCAGTGACTTTGCCCTGTCGGTGCACAGCTCGTACATTGTGCTCAGGTTGAAGAGGAGCGTGTGCGAGGAGTAGTTGCCTTGGGAGACCAGAGACTCGAGGATTTGCCGGCCCTACCAAGGAAGAGAGGGTTAGTACCATAGTTGCTCTGGCATTTAACATGACAACTGCCTCGCCGTGTTGAGCACGGGGACAGCGTCACGCCGCCCATGGGTTGTTGGGGATGGTGCTGAGCACCTGAGAGGAGGACCGCAGTGACATAAGGACTTACCTCCTCCATGCGGCCAACGTAGAGCAGGCATACGGCCAGGTTGACACCAATCATCTCGTCGCTCGCGCCGCTGTTGCCACCGTTCGTCTCGCCTGCTGCTTCGCGACTATCGTTGTCAAGGTCCTGCTTGAGCTCTGTCCATGCTTGGAGGGCGTGGTCGTATTCCCCGTCTGCCATGTCGGCCAGCGCCTCGAGGACTCGTTCTGCAACACTAGCTTCCCCCTTGCCTATCCCAGCGGCACTTGGCACAATGCATCGCCGAGCCTGCTCGACGTCACCAATGTGCAACCACAGTAGGGCCTTGCTCATGGCCAACCTCTGCGCTCCTCTGCCTGCGCCGTCCTTCAAGGTCTTCAAGTGCTCCGCCGCACCCAGCAAGTCCTCCTGCTCGACTAGCGCGCCAGCAACCTTGACTCCGAGATTAGCGAGTCGTTCCCGCCACAGCTCCGCGGCCGAGTGGTCCCGCGCCTTTACAGCCTTGCCGATCTCGAGCCGCGCATCCCGCGCGAGCTCGTAGTAGCTGACCACGGCCCTCCGCGGGTCGCCGAACCCGAGCGTCTGCAGTCGCACGGCGAGCAGGCGCAGCTCCCATGGGACCAGGTGCGCCCCTGTCAGCGGGTCGAGATAGAAGGCCGAGTTGAGGTCCTCGAGGGCTTTTGCTTCCTGCGCCGCCAGGGCCACCGCATCAATCAGACACAGGCACGAGAGCCGCGTGTATAGCAGGCTGAAGACGCGGGCGTGGTCGGTTGGCTCGACGGGTGGGTGTGCCGCGGCCTGCGTTATCGACACGGGGCTGCTCGTTAGTGCCTGGACTGCTGCTATCGCGGCTGCGCGGAAGTGGCCCTGTGCGAGGAGGTCTGGGATTGGTGTTTCTGGGGCGGGCTGCCGTGATGGTGTGCGGAAGGGCGCGGGGATGGAGAGCGGCGAGATTTGGTGGTAGATTTCTGGCTTGAGGAGGAAGGAGAAGTCCTTGGACGTCAACGGCGCAGAGTCCATGACTGGGGTGCCTGTTCCTGCTGCGGCGGCGGATGCGGCGGCCGCTGACGCTGATGGCACCGGGGATCGAGCGGGCGAGCGTGGTTGTCTCGATCCCGGCCTGGGACTTCCTTGGGCAGGTGATGTCAGACCCGAGCCTTGCGGTGATAGTGGACTGGGAAAGTGGTTAGTGTGGACATTCATAATATCCGATCGATAATTTTGTACTCCTGGCCATGGGGTAGGTATTTGACAACGTACTCATCTGAGTCAAGCGGCCCCTTCGTCAAGGTACGCGGTCTAATGGCTGGATGGCTTCCGTGTTAGAGGCCAGGCTGGAGAAAGCAAGATAAACAACATGCAAGCGAAATAGAGCCCGAGCCATCGAATTGGGTAAGGTCACGCAGAAGCAGGGCTGGAAAGTTCACTGGAATGCTTTGCTCATCCATGATGACTGCTTTGGATGTCGCCTGGGCGTGACATGGGAGCGCGGTTGAGAATGGTTGACCACTCCTGGCATGGGAGAACGATTAAGCTGGTGCTGGGGCACTCACGTCTTGCGCCGGAGCGTGTCCTCGATAGTCCGCTTGGACTCGATAGCCGCTGAGAACGATCCATGTTGGAACGCTGGCTCGGTCAGTTGTTTGAGTCCTACCTCAATCAAAGGCCTCTTGTAGGTTAACAGGTTGAGATGTCCGGCTCCTTGGCGTTGGTTGAGGTGAGCTGTGACTAACCCGTCTCCACTCCGTGGGGACCTTTATGGAAGGCAAGTCACAGTAGCTCTCACTGTGTAGCGCACTGCCCTCTTTCCACACTCTACACTCTGGATCACGGGTTCACGACACTCACAAACACCAGTTCCTTTGCAATTTATGGACTTCTACTCCGTCGCTTAGTTGCGCACCAGGAGGCAAAGCCATTGCACAGATACTCTAAGCTTGTATCCGCCGCATGTGCCCAATCAACACTCCGGGCTTGACATGAAGCTAACTTCACTGTGTGGGTTTGTCTAGGTCACTTCTGCATCGTGGCGGTGTCCGTCGTGTCGTCGCCAGCATTGCAACAATGTCACAGCTTGACAGCCCAAGAAACTTCAATCTAGCACAATTCCACGATTGCAATGCCCAATGTCTATTCGTTTATTCTATATCCTCCCGCTTCGACCATGCTCCTTGCGAGAAATGCGCATCAAACGCCCTACACAACCTCAAGTATACAACTTACACGACAGATCTGGCCGAACGTTTCGTCGAAGCGACCGTCTTCCCTAGCCCCATTCTGCACAGACTACAACACAATACGTTATAAGCGCTTGCTGAAGTCATCAAGGTGTCTTCACCGATCTCGACAGCGGGGATAGCTCAGTTGGGAGAGCGTCAGACTGAAGCCACCACTTCGGTTCTATCAATATCATCTGAAGGTCGTGCGTTCGATCCGCACTCACCGCATGCTGGAGCCGGTCAGGCACGGTCCTGATCGTTTATTTTTGCCGTTTTGGAGTGTTTTGCGCGGATGGGGAGTGCTCATGGTGAATCTGTGTGTGGGGATTCTCGAGAAAACGACCTGGTGGCGGTCCAGACATCATCGGGCTCGGCGGAGACGACAATCGCAGGCGTGCTTGGTCTGTCGTCGGATACAACAGCAGCGTCGGCGACATCGTTTGAGGAATTCTTCAGGGTGTTGCGAATGTGGCTCGAGTACTCGAGAACTGGCACCTCCAGAGTGTTGCTGCGTTTCTTCGTGCCTCGCTCGTCGGACAGTCGTCGCACGCGCTCATCCATGTCAGAGCTTGGGCGCGGAGCTTTATCAGTCGGCAGCGTGCTGGACCGCGCTTTACTCTGCACCGGCCCTCTCGATGCCGCGCGTGCTGCTGTTGCCGCCAGAGGCCGAACGTCATCGATCGATGCAGGCCTCGACGCGCCAAGGGTCAGCTCTGGAATGGCGCCAGATGCAAAAGCCGAGTTGAAACTGCTCGCTCGTGACCGCTGCGGCCTGAGCTCGGGCGTCAAGCTGCCGTCCAGCTCGCGCTGTGGATTGTAGGCTTCGCGTATGTTTCCGAGCCTCGAGTTGCGTTCTGCCTCGCCAGGAATCTCTGGGAAGTCGACCGCTTTCCCTTGCTTGAAGTCGGAATCGTCAAACCTGTCGTGCGCGGCAGTGCCGAGGTAGTTTGCCATGGAGTTGAAGACCTCTGCAACCCGACGTCGACTTGCCGCGTCAATCGTCCGCGTCCTCTTCAGCGTGACTTTGTCTCCTCCTTCAGTGTCCTCGGCAGTGCTGGCCCTGTGCAGCATGCTGTCCTCATGCAGCGCCGGAGTCATCACCCCGAGGCCGAAACCTTCTCGCATGCCTTGATGGCGGCTGCCGCTACTATGCGTGCTCGACCCATCGAAGATGCTCGGCGACCTGTAAAGAGGTGGCTGGTTGGGTGTATGGTGGGCGCAATTGCAACAGCATTCCTTTCTGTCCGCGCCATTCTCCTCAACAGCCACAGCGTCCGCATCCGCAACGACCAGGTGGTACAGAGACCCTATTATCGCCAAGACTGTGCCGGCCAGTGGCGCCCATTGGCCTGCTCGTGGTCAGCAACATGGGGACCGCAGCGGGCTGGGTTCAAGCACTTACCGACACTCTGGATCAATTCTACCTCCCACCCCATCTGCTCACTAAAGAAGTTCAACTCGCCGATGATGAGGATGGCCACGACGGCCGCCCCGAAGAGCAGGATTTCCAACACGCTCAAGAAGCTTGCGACCACTGCGTTGATGTGGAGCATTCCTCCTACGGTGGCACCGTTTGTCCCTTCGATCTGCTGCTGCAGGTCTCCCGTGCCGAAACGCGACCTCCAGTTGAGCTCGAGGATCTTCAGCCACGTCGAGATGAGATAAAGTATTGCTGGTATGCAGCAAGCTGCCGCCGAGAGAGTAGCGGCGTTGAACGTGAGCGCCGATGGAGCCGGGATCACGTAGATCTCGCTCGTGGCGCTCCGCCTCATGGGTGATTTTGGACCTCCGTCTCCATCGACGCAATAATCGAGGCCGCATGACGTCTGGCCATACTCGAATGGGCCGTCTCCGAGGACGCAGGGCACCGGGTCGGAGCGATAGAATTCCACAGTCAGACTGAGCAGGCCTGCAGCAATCGTAAGCAAGACTCGCCTGGGTGTCAAATTCGTCATCGGCGGGCGTATCGACAATACTCACCCGCGAGGACAATACCAGTCCACAAGAAGATGATGTTGCGGCCAGGATCATAGAAGTAGGTGCGTGAGAGCCGCGTAGTCACGGGGACGGCCAGAATGCCAATCGAGCATAATTGGAAGGCCCCGTATATGTCGAGATCGACAGCACCTTCAGGGCGTCAACAACTGTCAGCCAGAGATACCATGGTCATTGCACAGTGGCTACGGTCTCTAAGCCTACCATCCACGTGCAGTGCCGCAAGAGTGATACCATGCAGCGCGGCCACTGCCGGAAAGATCAGCGCAGCAGCAAGACATGCATTACGAAGCCATTCCGACTTTCGAGCCAGCACGCAAGCTGCCACCAGAATGTAGTATCTTTGACAAAGCGGGCCATGTCAGCTAGACATGCTTTTTGGATAGAGGCAGTCCAGCGGCCAGAACTCACAATATACGTGATCCGACGCCGTATTGACCAGATAGCGGCCAGGCGCAGATTACTGATATCTCCTGTTGACCGTCGGAGAGGACCGCCCGCGCATTGGCAGGTTGAAACAGAGGGCTCGCGTCAGATAGGGCGGGCATGTCGTCGCATGGCAGGCGAACGCATATGACATCTGCGTCAGAGCGAGGTGGCGAGCCGCATGAGACACACGAAAGGGATGGGAACCTTTGTATGAGGGAAAATTACGATGGAAGAGATACGCAAAGAGGGCAAGCAGAACTTGAGGCGAACCAAGTGAGACGTGTTGCTGCTCAAAGGCAGTCGTGGAAATTTTGTCAGCACGCCGGTGCTTTGGGGAAGTGCTCGTGTGACTGCAGCTGGTGCAGCCTCTAAAGGAATGGCGTACTGGCTAGACAGATCATATTTCTGGCAGCATAGCTTCAGGAGGTATGGAGGGACAACACAGAGCCAAGCTTCACCACAATCACACTACAGATGCGGCTGACCCAAGGAAGTACTCAGTGACGTTGAAATGTTGCGCCCTATCTAAATCCGTCGGTGCGGGGAGGGGAGGGCGGCTGTGTGGCTGGCTTCCGTTGCCCGAGTCTGACATGCCAAGGCGGGCAGGCAGCGACGGTGCCCCTAGTTGGTGATGCTCGGTCAGCGCAAGCAGTAGCAGCGCGACGAACCGCCACTGAAATCGCGCAGACCCCGACCGGCGCAGGCACCCGAGACGTATACAGCACTGGGCGGCCGTATTGGCGTATACACTGGTCATATGACCTCCCAAGGGCGGCATTCGGTGACTGCAACTGGCGATGCCTCCTGACTCTGGGCTCTGTGTCTGACCCCAAGATGGGAGTTCCCTAGTCTATGTTGCGCGATGCGGGTCCTGGCGCTAAACCCTATCGTTCTGTTCCGCGATCGAGCCGATACCCCATCTCGGATAAACGCGGCTGGTGCGTGGATGTATGATCACAAGAAGCACATTCCGGCAAGTTTGATGGCTTCAACGATCAACACTTCTTTGGCCATGTAGACGTCAGGCATTTTGGATGAGACCCTCGTCCGGCTGCGCATACAGAGCCCATACTGCGTTGTTGTTTGCAGGGGTGTGTAATAGCAGTGTGGGCGACTTTCTTATTGGTTAGGGATTCAGGCTGCAGAGATCGTCGAGTGTTGAGTGGAAGCTTGGGTGTGTTGCACAGAGTCAAGTCAGCCCTTGGTTGACGGGAATGTCTTACAGGGCACAGGGCGGCGGTGCACGTCGAATCTGAACGGAGCTGTTTGAGCCGGCCACCGTCTCTGCCCAACCAAGTGCCAAAACTGGATGGTTTGCGCAGTTGGTGGCTGGCGGTCCTGGTGGACGGAGCTAGCAGACCCTGTCCTGTTCGCTAGACAGCCATGCCTGCATACACAGCCACCACATGGGACCTTCATTGCTTCGAGAAAGATCTGGGTAGTTTTGGCGTGGGGCACTGCAAGAGCTGATCATCCCCTCGATAGCATGCTTCCTCGTGGTCCAGCACTGGTTGCTGTCTCGACACGGCTGTGGTGAAAAGTTCTGTCGTCTTGATCTGTGCTTGCGCAGGGGTCCTGTGTCATTTCGTGTCAGGGGTTGAGCCAGTTACTGATGATGATGACGATGGTGGTGTTGTTGTTCAGAGTACTCCGTACTCTCTGGACCCTTTTGCTCTGGCGTTGAGATGGAAGGCTCCGGGGCGCAGGCCGCGTGGAAAGGGCGGCGGCAGCTCCACCACGACGTAATCCCGCGCTGTGGAGACTTCAGGAAGGGACGAGCCCTGGCTCTTGGGCGGGAATCTTGGCAATTGGGCAGGCAGGAGCAACCTTCCAATGGCCCTTGCGGTGTCGTGCACATGCTGCTGCTAGCCTGTCTTGGCTACTGTCCGCGGCGGCGGGGCCGTCCTGCTGCTCGTCCTCACGACCCTCAGACTGCCACCCCGAACAATCCAACGAGCGACCCTACCATTCGCCAACCTCGGGGTTCTCAAGTTTTTTTTCTTCTTCTTCCTCCTCCCTGTAATTATCATACCGCTCGCGACATGGCAGAGCCCGTTATATAGTGGCTAGCGAAATCTGTGTGACTGCCTCGCGCGCTCCTGCGCTGCTCATGTCTTTTCCCCCGGCTTGGGCCTTCGATGAGCTGCTCTGACCGCAGTACTTGCTCACTGTGCTGATCCGAACCAGAACCACGCCATGGCCAACGACAACACAAGCACCGCCAGCACCGCTGGTGGCGTGAGCAACATCCAGGAATGGCGTTCCATCGTCACACTCGTCGTCTTTGTCGTCACCAGTACGTATGCCGGCTTCTTCTCGTCTCACAGCTCATGTTCAGAGAAGCACATGATAAGCACATACTGACCGGTGCCCAGACATCATTGTGCTTGCACCATTTCATATTCCTATTCCTGTCCCCAGGTCATTCAACGATGCAATTCGGCAATTCTTTGTCAAGGCGCGAGTGATCCCGCCAAGGCGCGAGGCGCCCGATCAGGAGTCAACAAAGCCGCACAAGGTTGTCTACTGGAACATCCCAATCAACCTCATCACAGCCCCTCTGGTCGCGGACTTGTTTCTTCTGGCAATCAGCGCAATAGGCCGACAAGAGGTCGTCGACGGAACTTACGGCAAAGATTCGATCTACCCATACGACATCATGATCTTCTTCATCTCGCTTGCTTATATCGCCATTTCCATCGATGCCTCCGGCCTCATTAGATATCTTGCCTTCAAGGTGCTCCAGAAAGGCGGCAAAGTCGGCCCATGGCTTTTCTTCTACCTCTACACCTTCTTCTTTGCGCTTGGCAGCTTCATCGGCAACGATCCCATCATCTTGTCCGGCACGGCTTTCCTCGCTTACATGACCAGGGTCTCACGTAATATTGTGCACCCCAGAGCCTGGATCTTCACCCAGTTTGCCGTGGCAAATATTGCCTCGGCAATCCTGGTCTCATCTAACCCAACAAACCTCGTGTTGGCGGGTGCTTTTGGCATCAAATTCATCGTCTACACAGCGAACATGATTGTACCCGTAGTGGTCACGGCTATCGTCCTTTTTCCTTTTCTTCTCTACGTCATATTCGCGGATGAAGGTCTCATTCCTTCCTCAATCCAGATGCACGAGCTGTCCGAGGAAGCAAAGGCGAAGAAACCCGTCAACCCCAACATCCCACACGGCCGCGGCATTGAAGAGGACGACGACGGAATGACCAACGATGACGAGGCAAAGCAGTTGTCGCTGGAGGAGGTAATGAACCCATTTCTGGATAAACATGGTGCTGCCTTTGGTGCCGTGATCATGGCCGCGACCTTGATTACAGTCCTTGTGGTCAACGCGGCGCAAATCCATGGTGGCCATATACAGGTCTATCTCATCACCCTGCCAGCTGCGGTTGTCATGCTTTGCTGGGATCTGACGCTTGGCTGGCTCAATCGCAAGGAGACCCGGAAGATTTCGCAACGCGGCCGCGAGGAGATCGAGCACAAGCGCGCAGAGCGTGAAGCCAGAGAAGCCGCGCTGCAGATAGCACCACCCCCAACATCGTCCCAGCAGACCAGTACTGAAGAACTTCGGATCCCACCACCCGGAGATACCGCCATCTCCCAATCAGAAGGCACTGAGGCATTGTCCACGCCATCTGAGAAGGATGTTTTGGCTGCGGCCAATCTGCGTGAGGGGTCTTCGAACACCGAGGCCGAGGCAGAAGCTGAGGCCGCGAAGGAAGGCCAGACACAATCATCTTTGCCGAATCCAGAGAAACCCACTGCCGTCATGGGGGATACAACACCCAATGAACTTTCGGGGCCCTCCTCAGAGGATGCGAAGCGTGACGTGAGAACGCCCTCTAACACAAGCGAGAAGGCATCTCTGGTCTCGAAAGTGGAGGACGGGCTGTCGTGGGCCAGGGAAACATTCCCGACGGTGATGGCAGTCATGTCGCATCTCCCGTTTGCACTGATCCCTTTCGCATTTTGCATGTTTGTTATGGTGCAAGGTCTGGTCACCAAGGGCTGGATCGAGGTCTTTGCATACGGCTGGGACCATTGGGTTGAGAAGACGGGAACGATCGGTAGCATTGGGGGCATGGGTTTCCTGGGTGTGATCCTAAGCAATGTAAGTTTCTCGTTCGGCAGCTGCCCTCTTCCATGCCATCATCAGACACTGACGGTGGCTAGTTCTCTGGCACAAACATTGGCACCACCATTCTGCTGTGCCGTGTAATTCAGGGCTGGGAGAAGCTGCATGGGGATGGTCTCAATCCCATAAGCGACCGCACGTTCTGGGGCGCGGTCTACAGTATGGCTCTAGGCGTCAACTACGGAGCCTTTAGCATTGCCTTTAGTGCATCGCTGGCTGGACTGCTCTGGCGCGACATCCTGGCGCGCAAGCACATCCATGTGCGCAGCCTTGATTTCGCCCGGGTCAACTTGCCGATCATTGCAATCTCCATGATTGTGGGCTGCACAGTACTTGTTGGCGAAATCTACATAATCAGGACGGACAACCCGTACAGTAAAGGGACCTGAGGCGGCAACTTTTTTGACAAACTCTTGTATAAAGCACAATTAGAAGAACATAGCCAGCCAACTTGGTAGAACATTCAATTAATATTCTACGCTGAATTTCACATCCTTCTACACCCTTTTTAAAATGCGAGTTGTATTGTCTTTTGCAGGCTGCGTGGTAATGAGACATGAGAAGCATGGGCCGTACCGAGCAGAGATGCGCCACTACCCGGCAGCCAAAGAGATCTACTTGGCGTATGGTGTCGAGATGCAGCTGGAGGGGTGTTGCAACATGCGATGTGGGGCCTCCACACAGACAGCCTTGGCACTGCGAAAACGGGTCCCAAACTTTTGGATCTGCCAAACAACGACCAACGACCCTCGACGAGGGTTTGATCACCGACACAGCAGCCGCCTTCGCGCACAACGACTAATTCCAGAGGCACACAACCTCGCATCGCCGCCCAGCACCTCCGGAAGACGGGCGCAACAATACGAAGCACAAAACGAAAGACTAGGGCTCTCGGTGCAAGTCGTCCCCAGCCGTCGCCTCCACGATCCGCAGTTCGCGACCCGTCCGTTGAATTCTTTTTGTGTGAAATAAGCCAGGCAGAAAACGGGAGACGGTGACACCTTGAGCTCTCAAGCACGGAGCACTCACCCGGCGATACAGACCCAGCGTTCCAACACCTGAGCGGACTGGACAAGTTTCGCGCACTGCAGAGCCCACACCCGCCAGACCAGAGCAGCCCCTCGGGCACCGAACGCATCACACACAACCACAGCCATGGCGCCCTCCTCCTCCACAAGGTCCCTGATCGGGCTCTTCTCCCGCCTCAGCGTCCGCACAACAACGATGTCGAAGACGACGACACCTTCCACGACTGCTGCTGCCGCCGCCGCCGCCGCCACCATCACACAGCAGCAACAGCAACGATGCCTCTCCACGACCCCGGCCCTCCACGCCGGCGGCGGCGGCGGCAAAAAGTCGTCGTCGTCCAAGAAGAAGAAGCGCGGCGCGGTCGAGAAGGACCAGCGCATCCTGAACCTCAGGGCGTCGATGCCCCGCGTCGTCCCTTCGCCCCTGCGGTTCGGCCGCAACCGCTATCTGCGCCACTGGACGATCCACCGCGCCTGGCTGCTGTTCCAGCGGCAGCAGCGCGAGGCCAAGGAGAAGGAGCTTGGGAGGTACGTTTTCTTTTTTTCCCTTCTTTTCCCCCACACTGTGGAAATCTTTGTTTTTCTTTGTCTTGGTGGTGATCTCTTTTCCCCCCTCCTCGCAGCAAGTACTGACTATCGAGCTCAACCGGCAACATATACAGGATGTACCAGTCCATGCAAAACGCCTGCGAGGAGCTCCGCAAGACCAGCGGGCCCGGCCTGCGCGACGAGGGCTACCTGTACCGCGTGGCCATGGGCAAGCAGGGCATCTTTGGCAAGTCGTCGGTCCCGATCGAGTACGCGCGCCTCCAGACCGAGACGCCTGCGCGCGAGCCGTGGAATCACGACTGGAAGCGGTAAAGAGATCGGGAGGGCGCTTAGCAGTTGAGTCGGGTAATCTCCGAAGCGCGACTCCTCCGACGGGACTGTTCAATCGCGCGCGGAGGGGGTGGGGGGGGGGGGGGGTTTGTCATGTTTCCAAATGTTTTTTCCGCTTGAATCGCGGGTACAGTCCCCTGATCGGAAACCACCTCAAAAGAAAGAGCAAGGAGAGGACAAGCACCCCTTCGCGAGGCTGCCGGGCAGTCACATTGACTAAGGGCAGGTGTGTCACTACGGCATGGAGGTCATGTCATGCCCAAGTCAGGCAGACGGTTCATCTCGACAACGTTGGAGAACATTGGGTTCGCGACTTGACCGATCCTTCTATTTTCCGATTTGAGAAACTGTTGCAGGGCAGAAGGAGGCTTTGTGGCTGCACCTCTTGTAATTTGTGTACCATCCTCATGTATCAATACAGATTAGATTCAAGCCTGTCCGCCTCTCCGAGCATGGTACTTCAGGCAATCCAGGTCCACGTAATTACCACTGGCGGTTTTGACAATGTGTAATTGCTACGCTGATGCAAACATAAAGTAACAGCCTCTCTTCGCGACTTGCGCGCAATTCGCGACAGGACGTGCGGTACTGCTACATGAATCCAATGCCTGCCGCTCGTATTAATGCTTTTGGTTCAGATTGTCTAGAGCCTCCCCTTGCCTGCCAAGACTTGTACTCAGAAAACAAGGCAAACACCAAGTCCTTATTTCAAGACTAAGAAACAGCCAATGTGTCTCGCCAGGATGCTCCTGCACGCCCTGGCCTTGGGTGGAAACCCGCAACTGCAGAAGACGTCCTTTTAGCGATCTTCTGCCCGAGATATTATGAGGATTCTGAACCCCCCGAATAACAGGCTGGCGCCATGATATGTGATGTGGATACCAGCTAACAATGCAGTCTGCTGCCATGGCGATGCTGCGTGCCAGCGCATATCCGACCACACGATGCTTGAAATGCAGTGTCGAGATCCCAGTCGTGTTGACGTCAGACGAAACGGTCGTAGTGAAGCTTCCGCCTTTGAGCCATCGGGGAGACGGCTGGTCTCGAGTGGCGGGTAATGGTTTCGCAGGCTTCGTTCTCTTCGAGAACAATGCGAAATGGCAGGCACCTGTTTATAAGATGACGCAGCAGCCTGCACTCTCGCCTTTCTCAAATGTCAGTAGTGCAGCCCGCGTGGCAGCTTCAAAGACATCGTCAACGCCCTCGCCGCTCAGACTGCTGCATTCAAGGTACTTGCGAGCACCGATCTCTGTTGCGGCGGCTGACCCTTGGCGATCTGTGACAAACTTGAGGCTCTTCTTCCGCATTTCCTCTATCGCTACCGGGTCATCACGAAGATCCTTCTTCAAGCCGACTAGGATAATGGGAACGCCGGGGCATCTCTCGTTGGCCTCTTCTATCCACTGTTGTGCATAACTGGTTAGTCAGTTCCCATGGATGGTCTCGTCATGCAAATGCTGGGCTACCAGCAGAGCACCGGAGAATCCCGTGCCACAGTAGCGTAAAACGCCATCGAAATGTGGACTAACCTTGTGCTTGACATTGTCCAGCGAATCTGGGGAATCCACCGAGAATCCGATGAGAATAACGTGAGCTTTGGCATAAGCCAATGGCCGCAGCCGCTCATAGTCTTCCTGCCCCGCAGTATCCCACAGCGCCAGCTGTACCGACTTGCCATCGACTCTGCAATCTGTTACGTAGTTTTCGAACACAGTGGGAACCTGAGGTACTATAAGTCAGTTGTGATCCTGAATCAGAGGCGTTCAATCATGTCTGTGCCTGTATGGGTTGACGCATATAGCTCGGGGTAGGGCATGATTCTTACATAGTGCTGTAAAGATTTTGTTAGAAATGAGTTGCTTTATACGTGAAAGGGAAGGGGGGGGGGGGGGTTTAGCACGTACTGTTGGAAAATAACCAAGTGTAAACACACTCAACAGTGATGTCTTTCCGCAGGCTCCGTCACCAATGATGACAAGCTTCCTATTTCGTACATCCGAATGTCAGTCTGATTGTAGGCTTTCCCCGTGCCGTTCGCCATCGTCGTGGTGAATCTCTGAATAGATTATAGACCAGGCTACGAAGTCCTTTTCTTGCCGGCGGGCTCCGCGGTTCTGCTGGCGCAATGCCATGGAGCGGGTACCGCGATCGTGGTTTGTGACGACGGGAGCTCGCTGCAGCTACGGAACGGACCCCTGTCCCGTATGGGGACGGCTGTTCGCGTCCCGCTTGCCCGGCTTGTTTGGTGTTGTAGTGAGAGACAAAGCGCGAAAGCCTACCTGCGAATAACATTCTGAGGGCTTGAGTTCGCCATGGCTGATGTCTGTTGTGCCTTTATCGGCTCCGCCCTGCAATAGCAGTTGTTGACTCTCGTTCGATAGTATCGCGGGACTTGGGGGACAACGCAACGACGCGCGGATGAGGCGACGGTCCTCACGAAGCGATGTGAAGGGTGGCGATGCGAAGGAAGCCCAGCGAGACTCGTGTCTCGATTGGTGGAGCGAGATTCGCGACGGGTAATTATTGCAGTGTGGTAGTCGGTAGGGCGATGCTGGACGAGCCTCGGGCACCGAGAATGGGCTCAGCACGAAATGCTGGTCGAGAAATGAGGAGTTGTCGATCCGAATCCCGGTGGTGGATGGGTAAGGTCTCGAGATCAACGGGGCGGTACGCGGTGATTCCGGGGTCCCGCTTCACAACAGTGATGGCGTCGGTAGTGGCTGGGCTGGCGCGGCAAGGTCGGCTGCTGGGCGCGAGTACGAGGCCGGGCTAGCTTCGTGGGAGGACGTCACAGATAGCTGGGAAGAGGATAAGACTCGCTTGATTGAAGATGAGCGAGATGGGATTGTGGGATTGCTGGCGAGCAGACACAAGCCTGGGCAAAGGGAAATACGAGGAAAGAGAAACAGGAGGCGGAAGGGTGTGGGCAGACTGTCGTCGACGGACTCGACTGATTGGGATTGGGATGGGCAGCGTCTTAAAGCAGGGCCGGGGTGGCACTGGATCAGAGGCCTGCCCTTGTCCTGCTCAGGTTGCGTGTGCCTCAGGCATGCAGGAGAGGAGGGCAGTCTCGTCCTAGCGTGAGCCAGGCCAAAGTTATGGCGGCGGCACTTACCACGCCCTGAGCTGGCTATGCCATGAGACCATCGCTCTGCTTCAGCCATCACGAACTCTCCAGCACAAGCCATGCTCGGCGGCGCCGTCCGTCCGCACCTCCTCAGGCCTGGGCCTCTGCCTTCACACCGCCCCAAGCCATGCGGAGCGGCTGCCACGAGAGGCGCTGCATCGCCCAGCTGAGGGTCTGACCGGCCCTCCTGCCGAACCACTGTCAAAGAGAAACTGCACGATCACCGGGAGAAACCTGCAATGCTGCGCATCCAGCCCAGCCAGCAGTAGTAACCCAAGCACAACGGAGGCGAACCGGTCAGGGGTCTTGCTTCCAGGCCGCCATGAGTTGGCCACAAGCATGCCTTTCTTCGTGCCTCGTGCTGACTGCAGATTGGCACATTTTCCTACCTCGAACGAAAGCTCCGGACGGGCACCACGTAGGCTTTTTGCCGCCGGGCCGGAGTTCGTGTGTCGTCGTACCACTGGGTTTCTGTGATGGCTGCTACGGGTCCTGGTGTGCGAGCGACGCTGCAACATGCCCAGAAGGATCCAACCGCGTGGATGGTGGTGGTTTCTTGCGCTTCCCGTCACTGCACCAAGTGGGGAGGGACCAGGAGGGCACCATGGCCGCCTGTGTCGCCAGGCCACGAGTCCAGCGTCGCAAGCCTCGCCGTCAGCAAGTGCAAGCTCCAAGTTCAAGGTTTCGAGGGCTCGGCTCTACTTTTGAGCCTCACTAGCGCCCATGATTCCCTGCATGCCAGCAGATTCACTTTTTTAGATTTGAAAGGCCGCCATACACCTCATGTGGCGTGGACTTGGGCCAGCAAGGCTATGTGGTTTCACTGAATGCATTTTGCCGCAACCGCGTGGTCCCTGCAGATTTGCACATTCACGAAGTGCCTCCGGCCCCCAATCGTGCGCCTGCTGGCAGTTGCAACAATAGGACGCCAAATCGTGTCTGTATTTTTGCGCGGACGACAGCCACCTCACACAGTGTTTCTCTGTTGCCACAAAGTCAGCCGCTTTGCCCCGACTGTCCCCAAACTTGCAAGATCGTTCAATTTGCCGTTCGAGTGCTCTCCATCGAGCGTCCCTAACTTTCGCGCCCTATTGTACGTATTGCGGACGCCCCATATCTGTCTCCGTAACAACTTTGTAGGACGGGCCAATCCTAGATGTCAGAGTGAAGATGGGCACTCTCATGGAGCAAACCACCGCCGTCTTTCGTCTCGTCATGCTGCAGCTACGGCCGGGCGCACCACGAAAATACCGTGAAATTTGTTGAAGCGGAGAAGATGAAGCCGCGCAAACCTGTCGAACGCAATTGACTTTTTTTGCTTCGATCTCGTAAGCATACGTAGCCAGGACAAGATGCGCAAGCCAGCCTGGTCGGCCCATGCAAAACATGTCGCCAATCGGAGGAGGCGGCTGTGCATGCTGTCCACCCGCCCGTGCAGGCCAGGGTCTCACGATTTGCTCAGCCAGCCCTGGACCGGCCAACGACTAGCACGGAGAGGCTGTAGGCATCCGGCCCTTTGCTCTGGACGGCTACGGATTGCCAGACCGCGTGGAACGGACTATGGATGAAGCCGGAGCTGTTCGCATGCCAGTGGAGTTCGTCCACCGATGCAACACAGAAACCATCTGAGCTACACGGCTGCATCATGGTAGATTCGAGACTGGGCCTAGTTCTCCATGGTGAAATTGTGGATGTACATAGATGGATCGCTCAGATCGCAAGGGGAATAATGCTCTAGTAATGCCCGAGTACTTGGTCACCTAGCAATTTTCAGTGCAGAGGAGGAGGGTTACCGAAACGATAGAGCAGGTGGTGGTTCGGACCAGGATATGCGGCTGCGATACTGGACGTGTCGAAGTGAGCAAGCAAGAAGACCTACGGGACATGACTTCGACAAGCTATGACGGGCATGCATGGCCACCGACGACTCTGTCGCGCTGTAGGTAGGCTAGCGGGGCCTCAGGAATCTCAGAATGCAGGTGCATGAGAAGCTCCACAGACAATGACAGCTCGCTCTCTGAATCCTTCTCTTGGTCATCCCCATTCGCATATGTACATAATGGAGGTCAGGACGGGAATGCATGGGACAAAGGAGTACTTCTGCAGGTGCGATTCACTTGCGAATGTGGCTGCTTGGAAAGATGCCTGGCCAGGTCTCCAGAGGTACCGGTGCCAGTCAAGCGCAACCCATTTTGTGGGTGCCCCATCCGAACCTGGCCAGGCTTGTGGTTGTGGAAAGCGATCGGCTCTCTATCACGCCTGCCGGCAGCTGGGAGGGCCTGAGTGGCGGACAGACGGCTACACTGCAACACCAACGCCAATTGCTTCCTTGTGACCCAGCAGTATCCACGATAACTCCCAGACGGTGGCCACTCGCGCCAGCAATATCCAGCACAGGCATTCGCTCCACGACCGACCTTCTAGCGCCCATACTGCGACGTGCCCCGCGCTCTCTCGTCACGTCACACGCCATCTCAACTCGCCGCCGCCGCAGCTGCCAGCTCGATTGAGCCTGTCGTCAGAGAGGGGCACGCCACCTCAAGCCCACGACACGTCGTGCCAGTACGTACGTCCACTTGCTCAAGCGCTTCCGGCTTGCGCTTCAGCCTCCTCGCTCTCGTTTCGGCACCGTCAGAAATTCCAGCCTTGCTTGAAACGTGCTGTGCACAGTAATCTGTGGCTTGCGAGCCAGCTGCTGCATGCCAAGCCCACCTACCGCTGGCAGGCGAAGCGCTCGAGCGAGCTGCCTTCCACGAATTGCTTCGACGATACGCCGTGTTCTCTGCCGGGCTATGTACTGACAGTGTCGTTACTGTAGCGCGACAGAGTAGCGAAAGGCACCTTCGGGCTCCCGCACAAGTGCTCGCCAATCGAGCCATCCCCACCAGGTGGCACAACCATATTGCATGCCCGCTCAACACAAGGCGTATGCTCCTATGACTCAGCCACGACCAACAACATAAGCGCTCGCTCGGGATGCCGACTGTCAACAGGCCAGCGCCCGCTCAAGGGCCCGCGAAGGCCACCTCTAAGTACTCAAACAAGGACGGCACAAAGTACATCTCTGTCCCGAAAGCTACAGCTTCGACCGCAGCCGCCCAGCCCTCACCTACGACAACAACATCTTCGTCCAGGGACGCCGACTCATCTGCCCGTCCCGATGCACTCGACGACGCACCGGCACCTACGGTTAATCGCAAGAAGCAGAAACGACGGGCAAAGGCAGCTGCGAAAGCAGCTGCGGAGCAAGCTGGCAGCACGACGGGTGGTGCGATCCCGCCAACAAACCAAGCGAACGGATCGTCAAGACATGATGAAACTCCAGGCGCTCGACCCTCTGCAAACGGCCAGCAGATGTCTAATGCTTCGCAGCCCACAATCGCCAGCGATCAATGGGGGGACGAGACAGAGAGTGAGGACGACTCTCGTCCTTATGGCCAGGACACACAATCGGCTGGGCTCAACGCGAAATCGAAGAAGTCACGGAAGAAAAAGAAGAACAAGAGTGCCGAACAGCCGCGAGAACCATCCCCGGCACCAATATCGTCTGGCATATCACGGGAGAAGATATGGAATACGTCTGGCCCTGAGGAGCGGGAGCGAATAAAGCAGTTCTGGCTGGGCTTGGGCGAAGACGAGCGGAAGTCTCTCGTCAAGGTTGAGAAAGACGCGGTGCTCAAAAAGATGAAAGAGCAGCAGAAACATACGTGTAGCTGCTCTGTCTGCGGCCGAAAGCGCACGGCGATCGAAGAGGAACTCGAAGGACTATACGATGCGTACTATGAAGAGCTCGAGTCTTTCGCGAACCAGCCACACAATCATACCAACGGGCCATCAATGTTTGGGGGACCAAAACGTTTTGGACCGCTGACAGGTTTGCATCCTCCGGGAGCTCTGCCGACGAGATATTCGAATCACCACCCGTCACGAGGCCGTATTGTGGAACATGTCGATAACGATGAGGAGGATGAGGAAGATGACGAGGACGAGGTATACAGTGAGGAAGAGGAGGACGATCTCGACGATGAAGACGACGAGGACGAGCCCGAAGAAATCCCACGCAACGCCTACCAAAATGAGTTCTTCACCTTTGGTCAAAGTCTAACTGTAAAGGGTACGCACACCACCAGTTCCTGCCACTGCCAATGCGCAACTCCACAGACATGCCCTAAACGCGAGAGAATAACATTTCTAGGCGGTATCCTCACGGTAGCCGACGACCTCCTGAAAAACGATGGCAAAAAGTTTATCGAAATGATGGAGCAACTGGCTGAGCGGAGGATGGCACGAGAAGAAGACGCCAAGGACCATTACGGAGGTTATGGTCATGGAGTCAATGGGAGCAATCTGCCGCCACCTCACAACCATCCACCACCTGACGAGGAAGAGTACGATGAAGACGAGGAAGAGCCCGACGACGATTATGCCAGTCAAGACTATGACGACGAGGATGAGGAAGAGGTATACACAAATTGTGGAGACAGCCGATGAATTTTTGCTAGGACTAATGCTTGGACAGGACACAATGACGGAAGAACAGCGTATGGAGGAGGGACGGCGGATGTTTCAGATCTTCGCCGCGCGCATGTTCGAGCAGAGAGTCTTGACTGCATATCGTGAGAAGGTTGCGAAGGAACGCCAGGAGAAGCTTCTCGAAGAACTCGCGGCGGAAGACCTCAGAGAGAGCCAGAAGGCCGCCAAGAAGGCCAAGGATGCCCAGAAACGCAAGGACAAGGCAGCCCAAAAGAAACAAGCCCAACTCGAGGAGAAAGCTCGCAAAGAGGCAGCGAAAGCTGCTGAAGATGCCGCTCGACGAGCTGAGGAGGCGGAGAGGATCGAAGAGGCCAAGCGTAAAGCTGAGGACAAGAGGAAGAAGAAAGAAGCACAGAAGAAGGCAGAAGAAGAAGACCGCCTGAGGAAGGAGGCCGAGCGCCAACGGCGAGCTATCGAACAAAAAGAGCGACAAGCGGAACAGGAACGAAAAGCCCGCGAAGCCAAGGAACGCGAGAAGCAAGCCAAGGAGGAAAGGCAGCGCAAGGAGCAGGAGGCCAGGGAGCAGAAGGAGCGCGAGACTCGCGAACGCCGCGAGAAGCACGAAAGGGACAAGCGTGAGAAGGAGCAAAGAGCTGCACAAGCCAAAGCAGAGCGTGACGCCAAAGAGAAGCAGAAGCAGGAGGATAAGGCCTCCCTCAAGACCTCTGGCTCAACTGCTCCCGCTGGGCCCGCTCAAGTTGCGAAGAAGCAGCTGCCTGTCTCGGTACCCGCAATACCGCACCATCCTTCTGCTACGATCGTGTCACCACAGATCCCCGTCGCTACTCCGGTACTGCCAAAAGCGCCAACCCCAGCAAAGCCGCGAACCACTTCTCAGGAAGTACCAAGCTCCAGCTTTCAGACGTCTCAGACTGGACTGGGTCAAGGCTTGACTTCTTCCCCATCGCTCCCATCATCGAACATGTCGACCCCGGGGCCGAGCGGCCCTTCGCGAAAGACACCACCCTCCGGATCCGGCCTCGGCAGCCACCCGTCGCAGCAACGGACTATGACGCCTCTAGGAATCACAAGTCCGCCTGGACTCCCTCAGTCTCCATATAACATGGGCATGCCGCCTGCGGGGATGCAATTTCCACCTGGTATTCCTCCTCTTGGCCCAGGTTTTGGCCAAGCCATCTACCCTCCGATACCTGGGGCTTTCCGGCCCGGAGGTCTCCCTCCGCCTGGGTTGGGAGGACAACTAGGTGGCCGGCCATTCCCGATGCCCCAGGCACCTCCAGGCTTCCATCAGGTCGACCCCCTGGGAGGCATCCACTCGGCCTTTGGGCCCCTAGATGGACTTGGCCAGCCGCAGGCATCCCCTCATTCGCGGCAGGCATCGTTGTCGTTTGATTCTGGTGTACATGATGCCAATATCTCTACTCCCGTCCAACCCATCGCACGCCCTGCGCCAATTGGACGGCCAAGCGTGAGCAGCGGGCCTCGACGTCCAGATGCCGACCCGGAGGACTTGAGTAACCACCTTGGCAGTAGTGCATTGCTTGATGACGACTTCGACGAGCCATTCCAGCCAGGTTCTCTGAAGCGGGGAACGGCAGCTCCTGGCACCAGGCAGCCCTTTGTCGGCGGCCCTTTCATGGACTCGGTGTTCGGCACATCGCCATTGACTGGCGGATGGAACGGCCCACTCAATAATGCCTTCTCACCACCGCCAGGCTTCGGAAGCACTGCATGGCCGCCCAGTGGGCCGGCTTTTGGAGGGCCTCCGCCGGGTATTCGTCCAGCGCAGCCTCGCTCGATCACCATTCGGCAGATTCTGGTACAGTCGTGCAAAGACCTGCAGAACCATGCAGCGGACAGCCACGGCTGGATCGACCTGTCAGCCATCAAGGGCCACGTAGACTCGATTGCTGCTGAGCCTGTGACGGAGGCCGAACTGCTTGACATGTGCGAGACAGAAGGCAATGCGCAAAATGGCGGCGGCACTTTCGACATCAAGCACGGAGACAATAGCAAAGTCAGCATCAAGTACGATCCGGACATGCCTACGGGGCCAAGCCCGTTTGCTCGCAACATTGGCGCACCTGGCGAAATTGGCAGCCCCATCGTTGGACACGCTACTACCTTCGGCTCGCGGTTCTAGGAGACTGCCGGGTTTGAAAAGCCCAGAGTGAGGTCCACTTCGAAAAGCTCAGCGGCTTCTGCAGCTACCAAGACTGGACGATTTGACTCTTCTACCTGGTTCAACCGAGGTCGTTCCTCCACTGCAGCGAAAGATCCGTTCTTTGCGCGCTTCGGCATCGGCACTGACCTGGCCCAAGCTGGTGATGAGAAACCTTGCTGAAGGCCGCGCTTACTGGTATCATTATTGTTGCGATTGTTTGGGCACTGCCTTTGTATTCGTGGCTGAGAATCACGGGTTTCTTGCCGTCTCGTACTCAGGAGTTCCCGAAGCGTGTGGCCCGGGGGCTATCCTGGCCCAGGAAGGGAGAGGAGGTATGGGCGTTCAAAGACACGCAACCTCAGACTCAAAGCGGGCGGAGAGGACGGAGACTGGGCGGTGTCAGCAGGGATGAGGTGTTCTCGCGATTCGTTGCTGGGTGAGCATGCAGACGGTCACGAGCCTACATCTTTTGTCCCTGATCCGGCACCCGACCTGGCCTTGGGTTCACAGATTCGAGCGATTGTGAGATAGAGAGAGAGAGAGAGAGAGAGAGAGCAGAGGCATGATCACCATATTGGCTCGTGCGTGTGTCTTATGTCGTTCTATAGTCCTTGAGAACTACAATGTGACTATTTCGCGACAATGCGCTTGAACACGGCGGTTTCACGTCATCGGAGAGCTTGAAGTTTATGAGTGCCCGGCCAACCCACGTAGGGGAACTATCGCGCAAGTCGCCAAACATGAATTGTTCCATCAAAACCTACCTGCGAGAACCGGCCTAACCCCAAAACCATATCCCGTAAGTCGAGATGGTTCATGCGGCTGTTCCATGGCATCCATTTCAACTGTAGTGCAAAGTAATGCGGTAATTACTGAAAACGCAAATCCATCTATCACCGAAACAAGCCCAGCCCAGCACCAGCCATGTGAGACAGAGAAGTCCCCCGCCTCCCCGTCCCAGCACGGCCACTTCTCTGGTCAGCACCGCGCGATGTCGTGTTTGGGTGGTGGCCGATGGTGGTGCTTATCGGTACACGATAGATCGCTCTCCTGCCACGCCCGACGAGCGCGGCCACCAGCAAGTACGTCCCTGACTCGAGGCCATCACCATCACCCTCATCATCGTCATCAGATCCATTTGGGTCGTCCTCAATCTCGCCCGGTCTGAGTGCGTGTCCTGCAACGCTGTCCCTTTCCGCAAGCTGCGCCGTGAATTCATCGTCGTAGCCCAAGTCGCCGAGCTGTGCGAGCTCGGTGACCTTGAGCTCATCTCCCGCTGTGGCTGGGACATCTATAGAGAATACGAGGAGCTTGTGACTTGCGATTGCTGTGCCAATGCAGTAGAACTTGCGATCGTCAAAGGACATGATGAGTCGACGGATCCGATAGCGTGATATCTCCCGTTGTATCTCATAAACCTGAGGGGGCGGTCCGGTGGTCAACGATGTCAAGGCTCGAGCAAGAGTTGGTGGATTTCCGGAATGACTGCTTTGATCACTGGGCCTCCGATCGGACAAAGACGGAGGAACAAGTCCCTGGGCTCCCCCTCCCTGTGGACGCGGTCGTTGATTGTCGGGATTGGGAGTTCCGTGCGGCGAAGGCCCAATCTCGGTCATCTGTTGGACGAGGAGCCTCTTCTCGCGACTGACGATTGCAACTGCCCGGGGCCGGTGGAAAACAGCAAACGTGGTGAACAATGTGACTGTGTTACTAGTATCGAGGCCCTGAATTCCCACGACAGTCAGAAGTGCATAAACTCAATCACTGGGCGCATGGTGACAGAACAAACCTGGGCCTCGATGTTGAGGGTATCGTAGGTCTCTGTTTGCAGAGATAGGCACACGATGGAGACGCGGTGTTCTTGCGTGCGGTAAGTCAACTCGGGTTGGACAACCATGTAGATGTCCTGGTTTGAAGACGGAACAAGCTCCGTGATGTCGGACGCAGGCCAGCTGACACTTATAATGCGCCAAGGAGGCACTGTCGGCTCCGGAAGTTGGGCCGATGCTCTGTACGTCAAAGGTCAACACCACGATGCTACGGAGACTGTTGCTGTTGGATCAATGGGGCCTTACCTTCCGCGCGAATATCTACGCAGGTCGGAGATCCGCGCATGAAATATTGCCCCAGGGCTGCGGTCGTCGGTCCAGTGGCGCAAGGAGCAAACCACTCTCTGGGCATCCTGTGTGATGGCCACTTTTTGGATCTCTGGTACTTCTGGTAAAGACAGTCGCACCCAGCGCTCAAGACTGACATCAACCGAAGTCCCCCCTTCGAGATCGAAAATGTAGCACTACAACGCCCATCAGCACGAGCCGCACCTGTAAAACAGAGACATCTCATCCGGGCTAGAATCAATCCGGGCCACAAAAGCTCACCTGGAAGTTGGCCCCGCTGGTCGACGCTATCAGCCAATTTTCTGCCAGGCTGACACTGCTCCAGAGGTACTGCTGTGACTGGAGCGTGTATTCGGCGGACGGGGTGACAGAGTCTTCGTTTGCGGGTGAAAGAGACTGTGATGTGAAGAGCGAGATCTTCAGGTCGGTCCAGTATGCGATAAGAGTTCCGTCAGGGGAAATCGCACAACCCTTGTAATTCTCAAGTTTCTCCTGGCGCCATCCATGGGCCCTCTGCGATAGGTGTGTTGTCTTCCTAGAATTGCCGAATGGTCAGATCCTGCTTTGCGTCAAATGGAAAGTGGATGCGTCTCACTTGGAACTTCGTAGTCTTGTCGTCATTCCTCTCAATTGAGCCTTCATTGTGTTTGTTTCGTGGCTATTCCTGGCAGTAGAATTCTCTTCTGAACGGTTCATGAGCCTGTATGTGTATCTGAGGATGGCCACAATATCTCTGGCGGATCTACGATCTCGGGGGTCCACTCTGAAAACTGCCGTCTCGAGCTGCTTCAATGCGTAGCTGACGCCCTGTGACTCTTGCAAGCTTCTCAGTTTTGCCGACTTGATCAGCTTGTGATGCCATTTATCGACCTCGGGGTGCACCTGGTTTGCTCTGAACCCGGTGTTTGCAATGAAGAAACGGTCATAGCCATTCGCCTGTGAGTGTTTCATGCGTGCTCTTTGATACGAAACGATACCTTCGTGGCCACCATCCAGATACGTGAAAAGCACGCTTAGCACGCATCCTAGCGACCAAACGTCGCTCGACGTGTTCATGTTTGGGTTTGCAGACAGCGACTCAGGTGCGAGGTAAGTACCTTCGCCACGGCGATTCACCGTGCCATCTGTCGACGGCTCCCGGTTTGGTCTCATTCGTCGCACGAACCAGCTGTTGAAGTCTTTTTCTTCTTCCCGGTGCTGGCCTGTGCGATGCCGGAATTTAATCCGCGCCATCCCAAAGTCACTCAGCTTCCAAACATAGCGGCCATTTTCGAAGAAGATGAGGATATTATCCGGTTTCAGATCCATGTGGTAACAGACCAGCTCCTCAAGATCAGGAGTCTGGATATCATTATGCAAGAAGCTGAGCCCTTCGGCAAGTCCAACGGCAGAGAGGATGAATTTGGATTTCGCCTCGATTGAGGTTGGTTGTGTCTTGTGAAGATCCATCATATACGCTCTCAGATCGCAGATGGCCAATGGCATGAACAGGCTGTACGTGGAGTGTGCAATGTTGAGACTGCCGAAGTTCTCTAGGATATTCTCGGGCTTGCGCGAGTAAGATCCGAGAATCTGGTCCATGATGTCTCTCTCATCCTCGGCTCGGAACTCGGACGAGACCAGATAGTCCTTGCGAGCAAGTTCTAGTGGCTCAGTGTTGTACCGTGCGCTAGTCTGTGATGATGGGTCATAAAAATGGCCACTGGCGATGCGAACCTTGAAGACTTTTCCAAATGAGCCTTCAGCGACAGGCTGCTCGAGGAGATAAGGCAGTCGTTGTCGTTCTGGGTGATCAACAAGGACCTCGGCCCTACGCTGTAACACAATAGCACAGAATGTGGCTTGGGTGCTATAGAACTGGTAGGCGTGGAACTCATTTGCGAAAAGGAAGCTTAGCTGCGGTCTCGTTGCTGGAAGGCTGGCCAGGTGTTCATTCGTTTGGTGTCCTGGAAAAGTGACGGGCCATTCCTCTACGGCGACCAGTTGCAAGACGAATCGCTTTGCGGCCTCCAATGGATTTGTGGCGAAGATCAGTATGGCCAAGAACTCATAGAGCTTGCGGGACTGGATCCTCTGGATGAATGTCGCCTCATCGATGCCCAGTTCATCATCGTCCAGACTGCGGAACCAAAGGGCAAGGTTGCTCCGATGTAGAACAGCAGCAGCTGTTCCGTTTGGCGCAAATTGGTGCCGGACATCATCTGCTCGCTCTAGCCTGCGGAAGAGCTGGGTGTTGATGTCTGTGCATATCTTGGTGTAGGCATTCTGAGCCATGTCTGCCTGGCTCGCTGTTGCATTCCTTGCTAGAAGTTTGATAAGGACATTTGTGCCGGCGATGGAGTAGCCGTGCACCTAGCCAAGTTGGACAGTGGAAGGCCAGGCTGCAGAACGGAGTCGTGAGGCATTGAAGTTGGTCTTTGAGGTGGTGTTCATTGGGCGGGGATCAGCTTTGAGGCGGAGCAGACCACACAGGCGCCTCCGAGCGACCAGGCCCGCGAGGCTGACTATGTGTAACCTGCTGGCAAGCCTTGGAGCGGCAAGAACACCCTGGCAGGTAGGCTAGAGACCCTGTTTAGGCACTTGCATGACCGCATGCTTCACCGAAGCCACAGCCCACCTCCATGCTTGGGACCTCTACTCGTTTGCGGCCCGGAAGCCAGCAACGTATTGGCCGTTCAATGTCCTGCTTGGTTCAAAACACGACCGAGTGCAAGGCTGAGATCTGGAGGATGCTTTTGACAATTTGCTCTAACAAGATCGCTGCGACTGTGCAGCAGCAGAACTACATCATGACTTTTGAGAAGACTGGCAACTTTGCAAGACGATATTTACTACACCTCGCTAAACTACAATCATATTGGCAACTTCTCCCGATTTTCACCATGCGGCTCACCTCTAAGAGAAAAACGTCTCTTGAGATGCTTCCAATCTCGTAGGTGGACTGTCGGGGCCAGCTTGCTGAATATCCGACCATCGTGCTTCAGTAGCCAGTAGTATGATAAGAAAGTGACGCCAGTCAAGCCAAATGTAGCAAGAACAAATATCCATATCATCGACGATCCGATGAGACTACCGCTGTCATTGTCGTAGTCGAAAAAATTCATTCCGAAGAACGAGGCCACAAAAGAGGCCGGCAGGTACAACAACGTGAGCATGGTGATGAAGACCGCCGACTTGTTCAGCTGCAGCATCGTGCCGTTTTGCTCCTTGGCGACAACCTGATCGCGGAACGATAGGGTATCTGAGAGAAGTTTTGCCGTCGATTGTATCCGGTGCTGGAGATAGAGTGCATTCCGAGAGTTGGCATGACAATGTCTGCGCAGATTTTTAAAGCCTGCTGAAATTTGGCTGTTGTGGGTGTGAGAGCTGGTGGTGCCAAGTACACAGTCGAGCTCGTCCAAGATCTCGGCGCCATGGGCGAGCATGGCTGGCATCTGCAAGAACCGATTGTGCAGACTGATCAGGACGCTCAGCTGATCATACCCAAATCGCAGAGGCTGATCGATATAAGTCGAAAACGTGGTGCCAGACTAAGACTTCGTCAGTACGCGATAATTCGCCCGAAACGCCAGTGCGCGACTTACAATGGGCAAGAAGACCTGCTCCTCAGAGGCAATGTACTTCCTCCAGTTGGGGTAGTACGTTGAGAAAAGCAACTGATGCATCCAAAATGCCGAGGCCTGTGAGGCCTCCGACTTCGACGCCAGGTATCTCTCTGCCTGTTCTTGCAATGCCGAATGCGGTGTTGGACTGAACAAAACAAACAAGTGCTGCGAGGTCTGTCTATCGTAGGAGTGACAGACTCCACTCTGCCGAATGGCCCACTTGCTGTCGGTCTGCTTGAATTCCGGGTAGCGCACCGTGTACGTGAGTTCTGAGTACAACCTGTCAGTGCTTGTGGGATCGTTTCTTGAGGTTGTTCAATATTACCCGTCCGAGATCCATCTGTGTTATGCGAGATGGGTAACGAATATGCCTCCTCTGTTGCCTGGTTCCTGTTGTAGAAGCAGGACGGCAGATCAAGGAATGCCGGGCCGAGTCGGTGCTCCAGAGCGATGCGTTGTAGCATCAACTGCGTAATCTGCAGCGGTCTCCAGGAGTTACGCTGGCATATGAAGCTGTGACGAAAAGTTTGATGTGAGCAAAATAGTAGAATGACGTAGTGCCTCAACACCTGGCAATACTGACATGATGCGACATTTGTAAGCGGAATGCTCAGGCTGTTCAAAGTAGTGACTGAGGTCCTCGAGGTTATGAAGCTCGCGTGACCGCAGCAGCCCAGGCCTTGATGCATCGTCATGGACTATGTCGATGATCTTGATGGGTTCGAGGACCTGCTGGACAAAGCATTTACTGGTCATGGTAGTCGTAGGATGTGCTGCAAGATAAGGCGCCAGCTGGTGTAGCAGACAGAAGCAGCCCCAGGACCAAGCCAAGGGGTGGTTGTTGCAGCTGGGGGCGCCCATGGACGTGTCTTATGAGGGCCAGGCCCGCGGGGCGACACTCCTGTGGGAAGGTGGCAGTGCCGCCGGGACGGGGGCTCTGCCCAAAGTCCTGAAGGCGTGGCTGGCGGCGTGCCCGACCCTGGTCAGAAGCGGCTGAGTGCTGGTGTGTGACAGCCTTCTGCCCGTCAGTCTGCCCAACGCTCGGTCCCCTGACCTGTTTGCTGTTGAATCTGCCTGGAACCTGTCTTTGCCGCTGCGGCACAGGCCACGCGACGCAGGTGGTCAAGCGACTGATTGTCTACTCGTCTCTAACGTTGCTGTTTGGTTGTGTTAGCTCTCGTTTGCAAGCATGACAAGGCGAGGAGAAGGCTCGGGCGTTGCCTTACTCGATGTCGTCCTGCGAGGCTTTTTGTTAGTCACGAAAATGCAGCATGCACTCGCGTCATCCACCAACTCACATCGGACACTTTTCGTGGAGCGGAGAAGCACCACTGGTCGTCCTTCATCTGCAGTCCAATGCCGGTTAGCTTCTTGTTTGACCAGGGACTTGTCGCTGGGCACTGCATCGGAGCACTTGCCTCGATGGAGAATTGAGTGTGGCCGGGGAAGAGCTGCTCAAGGAGGCGCTGAAGCCTTGCCCGCTTGAGATAACGAGCTGTCGTGTTCTGGGTTACAAGCTCTGTGGCTGGAGGGTTGGAACTGGCGAACGAGTTCTGGCGAGCCATGGCGTCACGTTGTTTGAGCTGGTTGGATATGCTTTGATTTGATTGCTGCGATGCGGATCGGGTCTGTCTGTCTGTTCAACTCTGTTCAGATGGTCTGCCGTGGGGGAGGTGGCGGCTCTTAAGAGACCAGAGGATGGAAGCCTGCCACACCGGATGTGTGGCCTCCCAGGCCGACAGGCGCTTCACGTGTTTGGGGACTGTAGGGGTCCAGCCCTATTGGGACAGCCTAGAGACGCAAAGACAGCCTCTGTCCGCGGGCGACATGTTGAGTCAGCGATCAGGAGACCGGCCCCAGCAGCAACCTCGTCACTGCTCGTCCCGACCAAGCTCGAACAATGCAATGGAGAGCACGGTTGTGCTAAACGCGACAGTGGCAGCTTGCCATCATGTGGATCCAGGTTACTAGTGTACTTACAGTCGTGAGCGTCTGGTCCCTCAGTTAGCGCTCCAAGCGGGCGGGAAGGACCCGCCGCGGAAGCCACGACCGAGGTCCCTGGTTGCCCTGTGGAGCACGGATGTACTACTGTAGTCAGGCCCTGTAGCCCGATCGAGGATGGGCAGTGCCCTCTGGTCATCCGTGGATCTCAACTCTCAGATGGTGTCGGCCAGATCGGGACCAGCACTACCACCCAACTGATCTATTCCAGCGTCCCAAGGCTGCCTCGAACTGTTTCCGCCCAGACTTGTACTCGCCACTCTCCTGCTCGGCTCACCGAGTCCTGTTTGGCATGAGATGCACAGGCTGCCGCTAATGCCTCGTACCTAACCAAATGAACCACACGGAAGCTGCCTCAATACGCCCCCAAGCCAGCGCCCGAGCCGTCGAGACGCTATGACGTCGCCTGGTACAGACGACCCCACGATCCGAGGCCCGCTGTCACCGTTGGCAGGCTCGGCAGAGTGCCAGGAAGCTGCCCTATTTATCCGTCTCACGCACTGCTCAGCTTGATGCTGGCTTCATCCAATCTTCGGGCGGCACAAGTTGGGGGCCGTACCAGGGTGCCGACCAGGGCACGGGACGGACTGCCGCTGGGTGGCTATGCACTACGCAGAAGATAGACAAACCACCCCCTGTCCATGCACACGAGGGCCGCGCTCAGCTGAAGGCGACAGCTCGCCTCCTCTGGGCCAGTCCTGTAGTCGATGCCTTTGAACAGTCTGCGGAGCTGCTCATGAACGGGCACATCTTGAACCACCCAGCTACTTGGACGCTCGACGTTTGACGCTTGACATGAACACCCATCTTGGTCTTGTGGCTAGCAATTTGGCCCGCGGCTCGATCCTTCCCCGCGTTGCAGCATGGAACAACACGACGACCATCATGACTTTGGCTGGATGCCTGACTGGCTCCCGCGCTTCCAGTTGGCTTCCGACACCGGCTCGACACGCTCTGTCCATGCTGAAGAGCTAGCATTAGAGCCACGGCGCCCATCTGGGCAGTCAGACCAACCCGAGCAAGGTCTGGACAGGACCCAAAGCCAGCAGGCCTCTTCCTTGTCACCCAGTAGTGCAGACCCGGCGCGTGTTCCCACCAGTTCACGCGACACGGTCAATAATGAGTTCCTGCTTCCCGGCCCGTCCGGGAGCTTCTTGTCTCCAAGCTCTGCAAATTCAACCCACACGCCGAGCACTTTAGTAGAAGGCGATCTTGGAGTTTTGGGCTCAGCGACTGCTTCGGGAAACGTCAAGACTGTCGTCATATTCCCGAGTCCAGACAGGACGGTAAAGCGGGAGCTTCGCGGAAGTCACCTCTTCGTAAGTGGATCGACAATTTAAAGCTCCAATATGATAGTTGGCTTCTCAACTAAACGTTTGAACAGATGATCACAATCAACGCAACCCTTGGGACAGGCCTCTACTGGAAAGGTGGCCAGATCCTGCAGCTCGGGGGTCCTCTAGTTGTACTGCTGTCCTTTCTTTTGATTGGGATCTTGGCATGGGCTGTCATGCAATGCATCACCGAGATGCTATGCATATGGCCCGTTCCTGGTGCGCTTTCTTTGTATGTCAGTGAGTTCGTCGATGTCGAACTTGGCATAGCTGTAGGCATCACGTATTGGTGAGTTCTCTTGAATCCGTCCGCCCACATATCTCGGGCGGAAGCATCATGTGGCAATGATCACTCACATGGTTCGTACAGGTTCACCTACTCGGTCTCCTTTGCGGCTATCATCGTGACCGCAGCTGCCGAGGTACACCTCTGGAGCTTTGGAGACAAGGTCATCGACGGCACCGCAATTTTTCTGTTGGTGCCTGTCGTCTTAACCGTCCTCAACGCGCTGGATATCAAGGTGAAACATAAATTTCGGCAGTACTCAGTTAGCCTCTACTGACCGACGGACATGAATTATCCAGACATATGGGTGGGTCGAACTGGTAACAGGGTCCCTCAAAGTGGTCTTCCTGGGAATCATGATCGTCTTCCTGCTCGCAATCAGCGGCTCGGGTAAGTCAGGACATGCTGGAACTCCTGAATATTACTAATTGGCCACAGTAAGCTCATCGCCTGGCGCAAGAGCCGATTGTAGGTCACCATGTCGCCTGTCGCAATTTTGTCCCGCAGCTTATGGAACTGTTAGATTGGGACGACCCATTCGACACTTATGACAAGAACGCGGTGTCTGACTGGTTTAGTGCGTTTCTGTAAGTAGCCAATTCCGTCTGCAGGTACAAAGCGGATAATCTTATCAACTTCAGGCTCTCCATGTCCATTGTTGCATTCTCGTATGTCGGCATCGAGATTGTCGCCGCGTCTGCCCTGGAGGTTCGATGGCCCAAACACATTGACCGAATCTCGTCCGGTTTGTCGCGACAGTCTGCATCGGCTTCCCTGATCGGGACCACCGTTCGTTGGTCATCCATTTGGATACCTGTGTTGGTTTGTTTCGCCTACACGTTGTGCGGAGTGCTGATCAGCTTCAACATTCGACGAGATGATTGTTCCCTGCCCAGATTCAGTTGGGCACAAGACCCTACCTGCCAAGAGACTTCCCCAGCGTCCCAAAGCAGCAGTGCCTTTGTCGCCATCGCAGCAAAGTCTGGCATACCACATCTTGCCAACGTTTTCAACGCATTCCTTGTCTTCACAGCCGTTACATGTGCCATGACCAACCTGTATGTCGCTTCGAGGAGCATGTTTGGTTTGGCGACTCGCTTGGACCGGGGCCCTGGTCAACCGCTTGTGGTGAGGATTGTGGCGTGGTTCGGCAAGACGAATCGGCAAAAGGTTCCAATGCGTGCCATGATATTTTCTTCCATGGCATTTATCTGGGTTCCATTCCTCAATATGAAAGGCGACGATGATGCCACATCCGCAATAACCATCGTAAGTGACAAGCACTCTGACACCTGAGGCGCGAGGACTAATCGATGGCTATGGCGTGTGAGCTAGTTCGTTGAAGTGTTGGGAAGCATGGGGACAGCTGGTGTCTTCATCGTCTGGGCCTGTGAGTGCCTGGCTTTCTTGCGGTTTTACTATTGGTATGTTCTGATCTTTCCTGATACTACCGTAAGAGGACTTTGGCAGCTCTTTGAGATCATTATCCATGTCCGACTTGCATGAGCGGCAGCATTTCCCGTTCGCGGTGGGCTCAAGTTTCTAATCGTCTCACAGCATCAAACGCCATCATGGCGCTCTCGAGCTAGCCAGGGTCTCTCAGGTGAGACGATGGAACTATGAGGACAACGATTACCCGTATCGTAGCCATGGGCAGCCCTTCACAGCATACATGGGCCTAGCAGGATGTCTTGCCCTGCTCGTTGTTTGTAACATGGCGTACTTCTGGAAGCAGCCAAAATTCCACGTCGAGCCGTTTCTGTCGAATTATCTTATTGTGGGTACCTTCCTTCTGAGTTTCATCCTTTTATGGTCACAGAAACATGTCTTGTCAGGGAATGAGTCCCGAGCATTTGCTAATTATTCATGCAGATCTTTGTTTTTCTCCTCATTTGGATCGCTCTGAAGCTATTCCGCGGCGCCCGGTGGGCCCTTGTGGATTTATCCGATTCTAAGCGCGTTGTGCAGAAGTTGAAGAATCTCCATGATCTTCGCCAGGGTGCCATGTAAGGAGTCAAGAAGAGGGTGGCTGCCGCAGAACACTCGCCAGAATGGCGTAAATAAACATTTGGATTTAATGCTCATTCATGCATGATCTGCGTATATACGTGAGCTTTTCGGTTGTGTTTGTTCCTGGATGATCATGGGTCTTGGCCGTAGATGGCAGCGGATCATCTCCCAGCAGTCTTGCAGGAAAGCTTGCTGAACCGTGCTTTCGGAGTCCCCCGGTATGGAACCGCATACATGTCTGCCGATGCAATATGCTTATGCCCCAGCCCACTCTTCCTTATTGAGACTATTGGTACAACAAGCAAGACCGTTCTTGCAAGACTCATCTCGCGCCTCTGCCGCACCTCAATCCGTCGCTAGCCTCCACAGGCCGTCGCCCAGGAAGTGCGCCTCCTCCACCACGGGACCTTTTCCCTTTTCCTTGACGTCCCTCGTGCCCGCGACCAGCAGTCCCACCGCACAGGCCTCGGTCTTGCCCTCGGCCCGGATGACCACGGGCTCCCCCTTCTCCAGCTCCCTCGACCACCGCTCCTCCTCGTCCAGCTTGTCCTCCAGTCCGGGGCCCGTGCCCGGTGGCGGGCCGTCGTCACGGGGTAACCGGCCCCCGGCGCTGGTCAGGCCTGGCGCCATGAGGGTGGCGCCGCTGAGCACGAACCGGATGGCCCCCCGGTCGATGCGTATGCTCGGGAAGGCCTGGGGAAATCGGTGGACGAGCTTCAGGTGAGGCAGAAGCGTGTTGGTGTCCTGCTGCCAGAACAAGGGCTGGCCGTCCATGACGTACAGGGTGCACCGGTCGACCGAGGGCAGCTTCATCGACTCGAGGGACCCCTTTTTCGGCATGATCTCGTCAATGTGCTGCTCGAGCAGCGGGTAGCTCGTCAGCAGCGAGGTTCGGAGGGACCGCTGGACCGAGGATTTTAGTTTCTGCTTGGGGGCGGCTTGGAGGCTAAGGGGTGAAGCGTTCATGTTAGCTTTGCTGGCTCGTTTGGTGTGACTGTGGTTTTTTCTTCATCGTTCTTTTGATTGCGAGATGTTGGGGTTCAGCGGGCGCAGGCGGCGCAATCGTGGGGCTCCAACTTGGGACCGGCAACATCTTTGCTTCCATTGAGGAATTTTGGGATGAAGCTTGCTTGCTGGTCGCGACGGGTGGATGTAAATCGGGGAGAGGACGGAGGCAGGGAAGCCAGACTGACTCTTTTTTGAACATGATGGGCGACTTTTCCTTTTTTTTTTGAGGTTTTGGAGGGTGATCACAGTGCCGGGCTTTGTTGGCAATGCTCCGTATGAAAATGTCCCTAGTCGTGCTTGTTGGCCTTCGTGTGCGCGTATGAAACGTGTTTGTCGTCGGCGGCGAACGGATTGAGACGCGTCGTGGTACCAAGGACCTGAGCTTTTGGCGGGGTTGACTTGCTGCTGCTGCTGCCGCTGCTGCGATGGCCTGGAGAAGGGGTTTTGGAGGGGTAGTTCTCCGTTATCCGGCTTATCAGGGGCCCGGTTGTGCTGATCGATAAAGAGCGAGTGCCGTGAGGGAGGTGGGGCGCGACCTTTCCGCCCCCCTTACTCTTACTCTAACTCTAGCGGGGCGGAGCAAGGAGTGACGGGTCGGGCGGGAGCTTTAGAGGTGGGGGGATCTGCTGGAGAAGCCTACAACACTAAGTAGAGTACGTAGGCTCAATCATGGGGCATCTGGTCGCGGAACAATCACCATGGCAGATAGCTCACGTCCTGCTGTGTTCCATTGATCTTGCTTTGCAAATGGCGAAATTTATTGGAAGTACTATCGCTTTACTACCTGGAGAGCTCTCTTGGAGCCGCTCCAATTTTGAAAAGTCATCAAACAGCGAAATTCCTACTCTTCCTCGTCGTCTAGCCGTGGTAGACGTGGCTGACGGTGCCATCCTCCTTGACGTGCACGTTTAGGCGGTCGGGCCGGAAGTCCCTGGTCGCCATGGCGCCGGGTGTGAGGACGCGGCAGTTCTCGGGGAGGTCCTTCTTGCAAAAGTTCTAGAGAAGCACGAGGGCGTGGGTGCTGGTCAGCTCCTCTGTCCGGGAAGCTCTAGATAGAGTAGGCACAGGACGGAGGGAGGGGGGATGAGAAACGTACAGTCTCGCTATGGCCGTCGTCGTTGACGGTCTTGCCGACGAGCTTGGTGGTCCACTCCTGGTTCCGGTCTTCCGAGCTCGAGGAGGCGAGGTCTGGCACGACGAGAGGCATCTTGAGTAAGGGCGAGGTACTGAGTATGCTTGGGTGTCTGAGGATGGTGTTTGCGGATGGGTTGGGACAGCTCGCAGGTGGTCGTTTCATGAAAGGATATCTGTGTGAGCAGCCAGTGGGCTAGACACACACGCGTGTACGCGGGAGCAGAGGATGATCTTATATGTGAAAAACAGGAATGTGGTCCAGCCGAAAGCCAAAGGGAAGGGTATCCTTGATGACGTAGCCTTTACCGGAGAGACAGTCAAAAGTGAGTGGGCGGCCTCGGTGGCAGGCGCGTGCAGAGGGGAGCGCCAGCGACGGGCTCCTGCCAAATCGGGCACAGTGCTGCTCCAGTCCGCCCCAGGCAGCCACTGCAACGCTCGCAGTGCCATCGTCGTGAGCCTGCCTGATACCACCTTCTATGGTTGGTTCAGGCGAGCAACACAGCAAGGTTCAGAGTGCAGCTCATCTTTACTACTTTTGTTTGAGATGCAAGGGACATCTGTTGATGACTTCAAGACCTCTCTGGGCCCATTCATGTTCAGCTGAGCAGGTGTGCATGCCCTGTGGAGGGCAAGCCATGTCTGTCATGCCCCACTAGTCTCAAACAGACATGCATATAAGTACTCGAGCTTACCTTAAGGTATGTGTGCACGCTCAAGCAACCTTGTCATCCAGAACGCAATATAGGTCTCAGGGCGGCGCTGGTGAAAGAGCAGGGTATGTCCCATGAGTAGCTGATGTGGAAGCAGGACAATGTTTGCTAACATGGATCATGTGACATCCATACTATGCTCAAACCGGTGCGATTGCCTACAGATATGAACTGGAGCACAGGGCTGTCCATTCACATCCCTCTTCCGAGGTCTCTCGAAGACGGGCAAAGCAGACATGGTCACGCCGGTGCAGCCCCAGCAATTGTGGAACAGGAATACTAATTGTGTCTTACTCAACCACGACCACGGTCACGCTAAACGCCGTTGCAGTATTTGATATACCTCGCATGTGGTCCGGGCATGCACTATGACTGCAGGAGGATCCAGGCGGCACTTTCATCGTCTTTACCTTCTCCCATGCCTGCTTGAGTAGAGTTCAATGTGTGTCTTGGACTCGAGATCGGACGTTTTTCCACGCCAGTCATGCCTATGAAGCCACCTCGCCGCTGGTTGTGCAAAAGTGCAGTGCGGAAAGCCCGTGTCTCTGTTCTGTGAGGACTAGCACGTGTTATGAATAGACACCTTACCGCCATGGTCAACAGCCTTGCGGTCAAGTTCCTAATGGAGAATGGCATGAATTACGCCGCTCTTGTCGCGAAAAGAGGAAGGTTATGACGCCACGCAGACCTTTTATTTTGAAATGATAATGCAGGTTTATCTTGTTCCGTTCGCTAGTGTCATCACTAGTTGGATGGCGAAGGGGGTCAGATCAGTCGTTTGGTTATCTAGTCGGCGGAATGGCTCGGATGAAGAGCTCGCATATAAGTCAGGCCTGGGGGCTATTGTCGGTGCTATCTGAAGGTTTAGAAGCTAGTTTACAATTGTAGGCCATTGAACAGCCACCCTCGAGACAACACTGAGAAAGGGCATCAAGTCTTGAACTTCAAGCTTGAATCACCCAGGCCTGACATTCATGCTGCCCCTTTAACATCCGCCAGGCTGGGAACAACCCTACTGATCTTCTCCAGAGGGTACCTCATTGGTGTTGCCGCTAGTGAACGGAACAAAGCCCTGCGCCAAGAGGTAAACCCCTGTTTGTCTTATCAGGTTCGTTCCAGTACACCACCATTCGCAGTTTTGCAATGATCTCATATTGGAAAAGCACCAAATTCTCGTAACTCAAGGTGTGTTCTGGCATATGATCTACCGGCATTCGTACTTGGCGCTGTATAGGATTTCAGCTTAACACGGCCAGGCTGGCGCATGCAGCTCGAGTGTTTTAGCAATGATCACAAAGCAAGGATATCTCATAACAACTATAAAGATGCCCACCACCCACAGGTCGTCGGACTTTCACATGCTTAGCAGGGAACCCCTACTCGTCAGCGTCCGAGACTGACCCTAGAAGGTGTTGTCAAACTGTCCAATGTCCTGTCTTATCCGTTATCAACTAACTTTGACCGACTAGTGAGATATTGCGACTAATGACGCTGGTGACTGTCCCCGTCCAGACTTTGAAGTCGGTTCTGGGTACTCGCGAGGGCTAGCCCCGTTCCTGTTCCCAGAGATATTCTTGGACCGACGTTATCAAATGTGACGAGGTATGATGGGGACATCATTCTGTGTGAGTTCACCATCAGGGTCGTGTCGGCGAGTCGGCCATTCAGGGTACATACCAGAATCCAGGTGGCTATATCAACTGGGGATGCACACTTTCCCATTTGCGCAAGTGGGCCACAGAGACCCAGTGATTTTGGCGTTGGTCTAAATATGGCGCGGGTGAGCCGTCAGCCCCCTGACTTGGCTTCTGACACGGCAGATTTTGTGTGGCACCCGGCCCTGGACCATGCCACAATAATAGGATGCTTCTAGGAGTGGGTGAAGACGAGCCTTCGTCTGCATGGCCTAGGAAGAACGACCAGACAAAAAGTCGACCGACGCCCTGGAAATCCTCCGCGATCCTAGGAGACACGCCTGGCGCGCATCCCTCCCTCCATCTGATGGGCAGGGGGGGCCTGTGGGACAGACTGGAGCAACGTCGCTGTCTAGTGCAGGACCCTGGACCCAGAGTTTCACGAAGCTGAGGCGCCTGCAGAGGCACAGCAATGCCCCTATGCGAGCCGTCCAAAGCAGCCTAGCGCAGGGCCCCGGCCGCGCGGGCTCCTTCCAGCAGCCACTCACTCCCCTCCCAGCGCCGCCCGTCCGTCTCGCAGACTTTCAGCCCAGCCCGGCTGAATCTCACTCCTCCTCAGCCCTCATCCTCACTGCCGCTGGTGTCGTCCTCTTCCTCCCTCGTGAGTGGCCCTGGTCCTGCTGCGGACATCTCGTGTTTCTTCCCTCTTCTCCGCCCCCTTCTTCTCCATCAGCCTCCTCGCGCAGGCCAGGCCTTTTCCACGACGTCTAAAACCTCACCGACCCCACGATCGCCAGCCCCCTTTTCCTCTGGCCGGCCAATCGCCCTCCACCTCTTCTCCAGCAACCAGCGACTCCCCTCCTTCTTCGACACCCGACCGCAATCCAACCGCCCACCATGTACCAACTTGGCCGGACCGCGCTTTCTTTCGGGCTTCTCGCCCTTTTCTCTGTCGCCAACGCGTCCCCCGATCGCGCAGAGTGTCTCTTGGCTCGCAGCGACGAGCTCGCCGCCATGGCCGCCTGTGGTGATGCTGCCAAGCTCAGCCTCTGCCTCGCCAGCGTCCCTAAGGATGCCACCGTCAGCGTAGTCACACAGTGCTTCTTCGACGCTGGCTGCTCTACCGAGGACACGGCCATTGGGGCCGGTCTCGTGCTCAAGCAGTGCGAGCAGGGTCTTGAGGGCGCCGAGCTCCGTATCCGAGGATTGGAGAGCATGCCCTGTACGTTTTTCAAGGCGGACCAGTCACCTTGGTCACCCTTTCCCGCAGGACAATTCCACAAACTAACCAAATCTACAGACATCACCGACGCACCCGTGCTTGCCGCCCGTGCCGACTCCAACTTCGTCCCCTCAATCCAGTGCAGCACCGACACGACAATTACCATCACGACCTGCACCAGCGTCGTCAATGGCGCCCAGACGAGCCGGACCTGCTTCCCCACCCCGATGGTCACCCAGGTCTGCGACTCGGCCAATGTCTGCATGAAGGACCAGAAGGGTATCGACATTTGCATGGTCCGCCGCAACATGCCCACCACCGACGGCCTCGTCATCACCATCTTCCTGCTCGTCGTCTTCGTCACCGGCTGCGGCACCATGATCTTCCTGTGCTGCAAGGACTCGCGCGAGCAGAAGCGCATCCGGGCCCAGCACGAGGCCGCCCAGATTGCTAAGAGCAACAAGATGGCCGCCGCCGCTTCGGCTCCTCCCCCCGCCGCTCCCGCTGCCCATGGCCAGGACCCGTTCACGGATCCCAGCGCACAGCACTAGGCGCGCTGTCGAGGACCCAGGGCTCCCCCGTTCACTGCACGAAGAAAGTACCCGCGGACCACTATGCACTTCTGAGAAGTCTGGGAGATTGCCTCGCGTTCTGCGGAGGATGAAATGCCGTTTCCACAGAGGTTGGGGACGGAGATCCATGAAAACTAGAAAAGGGACTGCAATGTTTGTAATTGGACGGGATAAGTCTCAACATGCTTGCAAATGTAGTGGCCTCGAGCCGATCGGACCGGAGTTGTTCTGAAAATTTTCAGCGGTTTTAAGGGTCTTTCAATGGAAACCTGCATGTGCTGCAGAAGTTGTTGCACACAACTCGCATCGCCCTGCAAACAGTTCGTCCCGAGTGCCACAGCAGATGGACTGTTGCAGGGAGGGACCATGGGCTAATATGAGATCAGATGAAGATCTGCCGTTCACGGTGTGGAGGACCCAGTGGGCCACCCCCGTCTGCAGATACCAAAATGGGAACACAAAGAATGAGCAAAGAGGCTCTTGATTCCGAATCACTGGCATTAGAAATGCAGTACACTGTTTTCCTGTCTACGCCCCCAAACGCCAACGCTTCTTTTTCAATTGCTGCAAATTACAACCCAGAATCCTTGCCCAAAGTCGAGGCGGTTGCCTGCATGGAACACCCCCAAAAGTCAAGTCAAAGCAAATAATCCGCACGGCGGCTGCGACCCACAGCCTGCGATCGACAACTAGGCATATGGGAGGGAGTTGGGGATAAACAGCGGGGTCAAGAGCTCAAAAGGTCCCGAACACTCATCCCCCTGCCCGCATTGCTCTGGCTGAATGTGCCCCGGCGGTCAGCGTTGAGCATCAGCAGAGCTGCAGTCGCTTCGTGGTCCTCTTGCTGGGGCATCAACGCGGGGCTTGTGAGGGCCGAGTGCGATATGGAGCCGATACTCGCGGCGTAGTCGTGGCCCTGCCCATGAAACATTGGAGATGTCACGCTGGAAGACACGCTGTAGTGGCGGCGATCGGCCGTCGAGACCGACGAGTACGACTGCTGCCTCTGAAGAACGTCCTGAGCTAGCAGCGCCGGTGAGATAGACGGGCGCTGGGACTGGAGCCCGCTGTCGTGCTGAAGGATCGTCGGTGGTGACCGGCTGTGGGTTGCGGTGACAGGAGTGGAAGCTGCACCAGTCATTTCCACATCTTCTTGGGCATCGACATCGCCGGTGTCCTCTTCCTCCTCCTCGTCGTACTGGTCCCTGTCCTGTGGTGCTGATGGTCTGAAGTCTGCTGGGGTTGGGAGCGAGGCTTGGGCATCACACTGAGACTTGAGGGTTGCAACGCAGTCTTCAAGATATCGTACATATTCTATCGAAGCCTGTAGACAGCAGTTTAGTGTCTGTGCATGGATATCATGTCGTGTAGGAAACTGACCTGGAGGATGGCAAGCTTGTGCATGTCGCCGGTGCAAGCAGGGATGAGGCCCTTGAGTACGGCAAACTCCTCGTTCATCTTGGACCTTCTCCGTCGCTCAATCAAGCTGTGCGCAGTCTTCCTCGCGATTTTCCGTCCGGCGGCGCTCGTGGAGGAGGGTTGCTTCTTTTTGGACCCGGCATCAGGCGCATTCTTGGATGTTGTGTTCGCACTGGCTTTCGCCTTGGCTGACGATGTCGACTCTGCGGGCTCGGTTTGAGTCTGTGGCTTCATCTGGATGATCTTGCGGGACCTCGTGGGTGGCGGAGGTAGAGCGAAGGACTCCTTCTGCTGTTGTGCTGCTGACGATCTTCGTCTGGCCTTGACAGCCTCGCTCGGCTGGACGGGATATGTCGCCTTGGGAGAGACTGAAGAGGACGATGTCTGATCTGCAGGACGAGAGCCGTTGCTACTACCGGCAATTGCTGATGGGGGGAGTTCGAAGGCCATCTGAAGTTGAGAGAGATCCGTGGCGTTGCCCTGGCCTTTGATCTCGGACGACGAGCTCGGTGTCAAGGGGAGGGATGGGCGCGGCATCATAACGGTGCCTAGTTGACGTGTTCCTTTGGATAGTGTTCTAGTTAAGAGGTTGTCGGATGGTTCTGGTCGTTGTTTTGCCCGACTCTGCGTCCCCGGGCGGACTGGTGAATGGTTGAGGTGCTAGTCACGCGAGCATTGACCTTGAGATTCAAGGCGAGGACTGGGATACTACCACGGTTGATACGTGTTGGTGACGAGAGGATGGTCGTGTCGGTGACGACAACAAAGAAGCCCTTGGTACAAGCAGCGGAGAAGGCTTGGAAGCGTTAGAAAGAGGGCCGAGTGATTTTCAAGAAACAGTGTCGAGGTGCGACAGAGGCGATGTGGAGGAGGCTCTGGGCATTGCGACTGAGGCATGAGGGCCAAGCCGGCGGGTGGGGGATGACTGGCTCGCAGAGGCACAATACAGCGCAGCGCAGGGGGCCTTCATCATGGCTGCCAGTTGCGCCTCGCTCACGACGAGGAGGACCTGGAGGGCGCTGATGGCGAGGTCGAGGCACGCGAGCAAGTCGAGCACAGGCATTGGCCTGTCGTTGACGAAGAGGGCCAAGGTCCAATCAGAGAGGCGGATCCGACAACGTGGGCGGACGGAGACGGAAGCCGCAACTCAGTAAAGCGGGGCGTGGGGCCCCTGGCGCAGCCGCCAAGGGGGCAGATCGTGCCTTCCTCAGAACTGCACATGTCAAGCCACTAGGCAGGCCTGGAGCGGCTCGTGGGACCAGCCTATCGCCTCTCCTCATTGGCTGGCGGCGCCTTCACTGCCCTCGTGCTCTACTTCGTCATTCTAACAAGCTCCTTTGCCTCGCCCGGGGTACGACTTTGGAGCTCAGTATCCGCTCGCAACTCGAGTCCGGGGATGCTTACCAACTCTCGCTCTTGGACTTCTGTGTCCACTCAAAGCCTTTGCTACGCTGCATGACTCTTCCTTGGGGCCAATGAACATTGGCAGGACCCTAGAAACAGCACTCGCCTCAAGAGTTCAGGACACCTCTGCCTTGAGGCAGGCTCGCACAGACAGAACTCGAAAAGCGCCAATCACCCCATGGCATATCAGATCGAAACCGCGCGATCTGTCTCACGCTCGAGATATCTCTATAGTGGTGTGAGGGCACTGGCGCAGACCGGTCTGGCTTGTGTCCACCAGCTGTCGAGATACTGAGCACGTGCTCGATTGCCATGGTCGAACGAGGCCCTGATACAAAGGGCCCCACTAGTCCGTTTCCCTTTCACGAACAGCACGTGTCAGGGGTTATGCTATCTTGAAGGTCTCATGGCTGGACAACAGATTACTAGCTAAGCCCACCCCAAGGTACTATCTCGAAGGTACACTGCAGCTCTGACCCGTTTCGGTGCCTCAAAAAGAGCTGCCATGTTCGCTGGACGGATGGATTAGGCCAGCTGAAGGGTTTTGCATAGTCTGCCTGATCACCAAAGCTCGCACAATCCTTACCACCAAGAAATATGCGGGCTATACTCTCAGATCTCGCAGTGGCACAATGTCTGTTCGTTCCAGCACCACTGACGGAATTTGCATGATGAAAGTCCGTGCTTTGCCTCCATATAGGCAGCTTAGTGAAGATGACCTGTGTGGACCTTCCTAGCGACGGCGTCGTTGGTTGCCGTCGCCGCAGAAGACGACGACGAGGACGGCGATGAGAGCCGCCTTCTCGCGACCTGTGGCAGTGTGGCCGAGGAACATCTGGATGCAGTCCTTCTTGTCGGCCGGGGAGCTGCGGGCGCGCACATTGTCGCTGAGGATGCTGAGCTCGGACACCAGATATTGGATAGCTCCCTCGTCGTCGCCGGAAACCATGTATACCGAGACGCCACGCTTCTGCAAGGGCCTGGCAACACAAACAACCTCCTGCTGGCTCGGTCGTCACATAGCTCCTGAGCCCTACGAGACGCACCCTTTTCATGACTAGAACATGCATCCGAGACCTTGCCTGCTTACGACATCAGCTGATTCCTGGGTACCTACTCAGCGGATCGTCTGCGAACAACAGTCGTGATAGCTTATTCACAGCGCTTGCAAAAAGGGGCCTGCCTCGCCGAATGTGCTACCTGCACAAGGGGCACTGTTCGCGTACGTGCAGTAGAAATCCATGTGACTTTCAAAAGCATCATCGAGGCGCAAGATGTTGAGAATCTGAAACTGTTAGGTCCTGTCATTACCAAAACCACGTTGCCTCTTTCTTTGGCCATGTGTTGCACCTCGTTGCAGAACAAGGCAATATAACGACCATCGTCAAAGGGCATTATTATTCTGCGGCGAGTGTTGGAGTTCCCGAGCTAAGACCGAGGCGCCGCAGTGGTGTTCAGCGGCTTGACGAGGATACGAGCTGACAGAGGTTGATACTGATTCTCCAAGCCACCACCATGAGAACTCTGACAACCTTGACGGATAAAGCGTCATATCCTTTTGCCCCGTATCAGAAGCACCGTCTCCATTAAAAGCAGATGTCAAAGGAAGGGCGCTCGGTCGTCTTGGGACTCGATATAAATGCAGCTCAAAAATCATCACTAGTTGTCGTTGTGTAGCACTGGAACAAACCATAACAGCAGCAACACGCCAAGCTCCGCAAACGATGACAACTCGACCGAGCCTCGACAGCAACAATGCAGCCCTTCGCAGCCCTTTTCGTCGCCGCGGCGCTGGTCAACAGCTGTACCGCCGGCTCCATCAGCTTAGGCCACGGCGGCGGCAGCAATCTTGCTTGGATCGGCGGCCAGGACCCGTGCAAAAAGGCCGTCAAGCTGAACACCGCCAGCGGCTGCGGCGCGGTCACCCAGTTTCGAGACGACGCATCCCACCTCTACTTCCAGTTGCGCAACTGCGGCAGCGGCGACATCGAGGTGTGGACCTGGCTGGGGTTCCCGAATCCGCCTCCGGGCGACCCCAAGCTGCTGTCGACATGTAGGAAGCGCAGCCCGCTGCATTTCTGCAGCCCACCTAATATTTTGGAGCCTTACTCGTTCCGCATAACTCAGGACTGGGAATGCTTCTACTAGGGCAGGGACAATCCTTTTAACTTTTTGTGGGCGGCCCTTCGGGAGTGGAACGGTTGGGATTACAGTGTCTTGGGTAGACAAAGAATGATTCAACATCAAACTCTATTACAACCCCCATGCCGACCGATCGGTCTGGGCCGGCCTGGGACTGTAACACCGGTGGACGAGTTGGGCACAGGGCGGATACGCTCCTACAGGCGACGTGGCCCATCATAACCTGCGCGGCTGGCCCATTCAGGTTCTCGACTCAAATCCGTGGGACAACTTATATTTACATTCATTCCGATTCAATTTGCACTTGCTGAAGGACGGCTCAAAATATGTATGCGAAGAGTGATTAGTTTGTCCTCAGCCAGTCTCTTTAGAAAGGTATTCTGCAAGTCGGATAACCATGACCCGTCCATCTTCATCCTTCAAGGTCAACAGAAAGTTGAGAGTACCAAGAACTCGTGGTTTAAAGCTCCGAGCCATATTACCCTTCGGGGAGCTGCCCGGAACCGCAGAATAGCAAGTCTTTCCGCAATTCCCAAATACATATCCTATATCCAAATTGACTCGACGCCAAAACCTCACAGCGCGAGCTTAGATACCGCACGCAGATATAACGACGACCTCGCCCGTAGTATACCACATCTTCATCAACCAAGCTGACCCCCGACTTCCCATCTTCCGCTACTATAACTTTCCGGGCTTCTTCAGGCCCTCGGCGGCTTCTCTGAAGAAGCAGGGACTCTGTCGCCTATAGACTTAGCGACTCGCCACGCGTAGACGCAGCTGAGGTATGCGACCACTTCTTTCTCGTACGGCCTGAGCTAGCCGTCGCACTATAGTTCTGCAACATGGCGAGACATGCGACCGTTTTCATTACCGTATGTCCCATGAATTGGCAAGAATTATATTAGAGATAATAAGTTTGTCGTTGGTTGAAAATGTGCCAGTGGTGGAATGGCATGTTGACGTATGCACCGTGAATGAGAGCACGAAGGAAAAGAGCGGAGGTCTAGAAAGGTTGGAGCTAAATGTATTTGTCCAAAGATGTCGCCCGAAAATGCTCAGCCAGGAGGTTGCATAGTTTATTGCCAAGCCAATCGCGGTGACATCGGTTTTCTCTGCGGCCGTATTGCACGCGCAGTGGCCTGAAATAGTATACTTCCGTCGAAGCTGCTCTCAGAATGCACAAATGGCAGGAGGAAGAGACGAAAGAGAAGGGAAGGGAGTCCTCCTTGAACAGCGTTGTAGGTCGCTGCCCCTCCAAGATTCCACTTAGTATTCAGCATAGGATCAGCTTCTCGTCAAGTATGCTGGCGCCCTGAGACATACAAGAAAGGCTTCAAGAAATTTCTCCCGTGCAGAGCTTTAAGATTTAGGTCACGTTTTTGCCCCAAGGCCGCCAGACAGAACCGGTCGTGTGAAAAGGCATTGGCGGGCTGTGCCTCACTTATAGGCATATCAAGTTACCTGGTCTGGTATGCTGCTGTAGCCACAAAACTCTGTCGTCGGGGACAAGAATTCCGGAAACGACTCATGTGCCGAGTGAGGTGCGAACGACAGGGATATCCTCCGGCATTATAGCGCCATCCGCGAGAAGCAGTTTCTCCGAGGCAGTGTCTTGTGCGGCCATCGCCTGCCACAGAGCATCTTTCCCGTCAAGGTCAACCGCCGTGGCACTTGCACCTTTGCCCAAGTGCACCTTTGCCCAAGAGCAAATCAATTATCTCAGGATGGCCACCTTCGCATGCAAGCATGAGGGCCGTCCGCCCTTGACCATCAGAGGCGTCGATTGCTGCCCCGTAGCGGACCAGTAACTCCACGAGGGCAACATGGCCGTGTGTGGTGGCAAGGTGGAGAGCGGTCCGCCCGCCATTCCTGATACTTATATCTGCGCCCGCCTCAAGGAGTAACCGTGTAACCGCTGGGTATCCCCACCCCCAGGAAACTTCAAGGAGAGCAGTGGTCTCCTCGCTGATCATGTCGACGTCGGCGCCTGCGTCAAGGAGCAGCCGCACAACTACTTCGTGTCCCTGCGAGGAAGCTGCGAGAAGAGCAGTGCTCCCCCAGGCACTGACCACGTTGACTCCGGCCCCTTTCCCGAGGAGTAATCGCACAATCGTGTCGTGGCCGTTTAACGACGCTGCCCAGAAAGCATTATGGCGGTGCTCCTGGGTGCTGTTCTCCATCAATAGTAACATTATATCAAGCTGCCCACCAGACGCAGCTGCATAGACAGCATTTTCTGTCGGGGTCCTCACTCGGTCCACGTCGGCGCCATTATCCAGAAGCAGCCGCACTGTCGCGGCGTGACCGCTGATGGAAGCTGCCAAGAGCGGGCTGGTGCTAGAGTTCTCCTCTCGGACGTTCACATCCGCCCCGTAGTCGATCAAGAGCTGCACTACCTTGTCCCGCCCATAATAACAAGCTGCCTTGAGAGCACTGCCGTACGGTCCGTTTCGCTCATTTATATCGGCGCCGTGGTCCAAGAGAAGCCGCACCACGGCATAGTGTCCTAGGCTGCACGCATACTGAAAGGCACTTGGCTGGCCTGGTCCGTTTACATGAGCTCCATTTTCGAGTAGTAGTCGGACTATAGTGTCATGGCCCTCGTAAGAAGCTGCATGGAGGGCATTGTCAAACCGTCCGTCACCATCGGCATTAATATCGGCATCGCGCTGAAGCAGAAGCCGCACAATGTTTTCATGCCCCCCACAGGAAGCCGCTTGAAGAGAAGTGCCATAATATCCGCCGAGCGCGTTGACATGTGCTCCACTGTCGAGTAGCAGGCGCACTGTGTCTTCGTGGCCCTCAAACGAAGCTGCTTGGAGAGCATTACCGTAAACTCCGCCTTGAGCGTTCACTTCGAACCCCTTGCCCAGAAGTTTCTGGACGGTATGAACAAACCCTTTGTGAGCTGCGTAATACAGAGCAGACACTGAGACTTGCCAAACGTCTGGATCAATCCAGCTTTTGTCAGGACGGAACAACCCGCATCCCAAAGGGAAGGCCAGCTTGTCACACAAATACTCTTCCACTACCGGACAGGTTGCCTTGTCTGCCCTTTCGACTATTGCCGCATTGGTCGCCCAGTGCTGCGCTGCATATTGGGCCAGAGGAAACTTTTCCCGAACCTCTTTTGGATCAGGGGTACGAGGCAACTCCATCAGGTATGAAAGACAGACTTCTACGATGGCCGCCCTGGCGACAACTGCGGCAAAGTCTGCAGCAATATACTGGTCGAGTCGGTCTGATTGGAAGTACTCCTGCACGGAGAAGTGCGCCAGTTGTATCTCAATGACTTCTGCCCCGCTTGTCTCGTCTTTCTGCTTCACCAGAACTACGAGACTGGAGCAATATCGGACTACTTCCTGAGGATGCGGCATCCGATCGCCGGGGCTGAATCGTGGTCGGCGCGATGGGTCCACCTCGACCACATCAACAGCCTCCTCCAACCTAAGAGGACGATCCGAGTAGACAAGGAACTGTAGAAGCCGTTTCGCATATGCCATGTTCTCCGGTCGGAGTTGGATATCTTGCAGTATTCTCGCATAAGTCTCGTCGAGAGATCGGGGAAGATTTGCCAGTGCACTGTGCACAGATCGAGGATTGAGGCAATTCTTCAATGTGTCAAACTGGCAAGCCACCCAGCGGAACCTGTTAAGTCAGCATTCCTTGAACACGACGACCATTTTTTTGAGCCGCGGACACGCTGACTTACATTCCGTTGGCTTTCTCGACCAATGCTGCCTCAATCTGCTCTTGGATGTCGCGCCGAGTCTGCCATCGGGGCAGGCTCCTCGTTTGCGCCTTTATATAAGAGGCAATGTCGTCTGAGACAAGATTAGTCCGCAGCGAGATGATATCACTAGATCTTGCCCAGCTCTCGACGGCTTCTTGAATGTCCTGCTCGGGCCGACTCGTCACTACGACATGCGTGTTCAAGCTGGCATCGAGAAGACCTTGGATCCAGGCAAGAAGCCCACCTGCAAAGCTGTCATCACGCTTAGGACACTCATCCAGCGCGTCAAGCACCAGCCAGGTCTCGCCAGCCTGCTCTAGTGTTTTCCGGAATGCCCCGAGCAGCGACATGTTGTCTGGTTGATCACACCCACGGCCACAGGATGAGTAAAGAGCGTTCACGTCCGCCCGCCGATCTGACCCTCTGCTATAGAGCTGGCACAGAAGTGAACGGACTGCTGCCTCCACTGACTGTTTCGCAGAGTCATTGAAATCAAAGTAGAAGTAGAGCACGTTCCGACCGGTGCCACTGTGCTGCTGCAAATTGGCCACAATAGACGAGCTTAGTATGGTTTTGCCGCAGCCCGGAATGCCATTCAGCCAGAGGAAGGAGTTGCGCTCCTGCTTCCACCTCGTATATGACTCGTGCTCGAGAAACCATTGGCCTGTTCCTTGCTGGTGCTGGTCTCGCGCTTTGTTCAGATTGGTGGACGGGTCTGGCGGGTTCAACCAGTGTCGGATCTTCTCAAGTTGATCGCTGGAGCGCAGATTTTGGGTGGTAGACTGAGTGTGCCTCGCTATGGCATGCGTGGCTTCGACTGTTTTCTGGAGTTTATTGACTGAGACGCTGTCCGAATCAGCATGATGATGATATATGATGGACCTGGGCGGATGATGACTGAAGTCATCACGACTGACCGTTATCTACAATGTCCTTCATCCGTACAGAGTCCTCCACCTCGTCGGCCGGTACCTTCAAAAGGACGGCCTTGCAGTACGCTGCTGCAGCGCCTGCCGCATAGCCGCGCCACCCGTCCTGCTTGTGCGTGTCGGCGTAATCGCTGATGCCGCGTACCACCAGACACGGCAGCTCGTCCACGATCCCGGCCGCCTCCATCTCGAAACATATGGCGCTTTCATATCCCCGACGAAGCCGCGCACGGTCTTCGGGGTTCTTGACCACACCACCTCCCGACAAGATGAGGCCCCGGTGCGTGATGGGCTGATCTGGCGACGAGCGGGGTGGGCGCTGTACAATCTTCTTGTCGGCAGAAGCCAGGCAGGCACTGCAGCCGGAGCCCCTGCGCACATGGGAGAATGTGTCGTCGAACAGGACATCCTCACTATCCCGCGGCCGCCGGAACATTTCCTTCTGCTTGCCAAGGTGCCGCAGTATCCTCCTCATGGGGAACTTGTCGCGCAGCTCATCGCCTTCGAGGGCGCGGATCGCGCTCGCCAGGATCCGAGGCGGTTTGTTCAACGCGCCGATCCGTCGGAAGGCGTCGCCCTGCTCGTACTTTCCCAGGTCGTACTGGATCACGCCCGGGTGGTCTTCGCGGGGCACGCCAATCGCAACGTCGCCGAGGCGGATGTCGATCTTGCCGCCTGGTATCCCCGCGCCGATCCCCACCATCAAGGCGAGGCGGACATTGACGAAATGCTGGGCCACGTGCGCAGCGCAGTGCGCCGCGTTGACCGGGCCGATCTCGACCGGCTCCGCGATGACGAGCTTGTGCTCGCCAATCCTGCCATATGTGTATACATAGCTCTGCCTGCCGCTGACTCTGCAGGCCAACTCCTCGTCCAGCGTGTACCTGACAGCCGTGGACTCCTCTACGAGAGCGCAAAAGACGGCTACCGTAACGTCGGCTGGGGAGATTGACCGCAGCTCTTCCTCTTCAGAGTCTTCGGAACTCATCTCGCGGACCGTGGTTACCGGGTAGATTCATAGCAGAATAGTGATCTTCCTCCTGAGAAAAGGGGCAACTCAGCGGTAGCCGGAGAGGGGCCATGATCTTTATTATGGGAGGGGCAACTGGACGAAAAGCGGAGTGGGCATGCTGCAGCTGATGATATGCAGGTCAGAGACTCGGGGTACCAGGGTCTTGATTCGGAAGTATGGGCAGCCTTGCAGCCTATATTGACAAGGGAGATCCAAGTCGCGGATAGAAAGCCCCGGAGCTAGGGCTGGCACAGTCAGCCGTATAGCGCCCTCGAGTGGAGCGCTTGCGGCAGAATGATCAGAACAAGGCAGAATCTCACTCGATAACGAGTTGCGGGTGAGGATTTTGCAACCCACAAGCGAGCCTTATCATCCTCGACACCTGATACTGGGAATCTCTTGGCAGCCAAGGGCTGCCTTTGTGCTGCTGATGTTGCATGGAACTGGCGCCGGACAATGCTTGTGACATGGACGGGCACTGCTGGACGGCGCGGCTGGGATGTAAGAAGTAGGCGATAGACTATATGCCCGTTGTAGAAATATGGCTTGAAGCCGAGAGGTTGAGAGTTTGGATGAGACCTTGCAGGGTGGGGGCACATACACTTTCATGGCCGCACGAGTTGCGAGCCACGCACGGTCAATTGAGAGAACTTTGCAGGACGTCCTGCAGAGTGATCGGCTCTTGCATACCATTGTAGTCTATCACTTCTGCATAAAGGCCGTGGAAAGTGGTTGAGCAGGGTCGAGGACACATTTGGGAGCTACCCCCTACAGGCTGGCAAATATCATGATCCGAGCTTTTCGCAACTCCTTAGGTCTCCACATCAAATGCCGCATGAACATGTTCTTGGACATCCAGGGGCTCGTGAATAGCGAATGCAAGCAATTCTTGTTTGTGCTTCGGCGATATCTTGGCCAGACGCCTAGTAGTCTGCCACGCCTTTTTGCCCATGGACGCAGGGGTAGAGCCATGCGCTCTTTCAAGACGCCGTCAGCAATAACACCGGGTCAGTCTCTACCGGCCGCCCGCTAGTGCGCTCCCAATAAGACAAAGTACCCATGACATCCCCTTGAGGATCAGCCATTACCCAGGCTCGGAAATACGGACTGACCTCGACCCCTTGAGGCGCCACAAGTTGCCGAAATATGACGGGGCCAGCTGCCCCATGATAAAAGCAGTCTGGCGTTGATCCCTGGTGGTCAATTTTGTCGACATCGTGGCCGCTGCATGAACGGTGTTGGTCGGCTACTTCATACTTGTGGCAGACCTGTCCCAGCAGTGCCAGGATGCGCCTGTCGCGCAGGTGCGCAAGGTCTGGCGACGGGCAGATTTTCATTGTTGCTGGGAGCGTCGACCACACGGGCGGCTGTGCGCGGAAGGCGGTGACGAGTTCGTCGAGGTTGTTGGCGACGCGCTGGCTGCGGCGTGTGACCAGGGCCATGCCGGTCTCGTTGTATATGCCCGTGTACTTGAGCCGTTGGTATTCGAGGTAGCTCCATTGTTGCCTAGGCTGGGTGTGCAGGGCTACAAGTTAGCTCGTAGGTTGAATGTGTGGCGCATGGCTGTGAACAACATACATAATCTGTTAATGGGCGGTCACATTTATACCACATCGAGTCGCATATATTTTTGCAGCAGCTCCCCCAGAGGTCTCGTATATCGCGGATCCATGGGTAGATTTCGGACTGCGTGTCCCATGATCGCCGCTTGCGCATATCTTTCAGAACCAGAATCAGATCGTCCATGTTGTCGTGGATCAGGAGCTCTTCCTCGATGAAGCTCCTTGCGAAGTTCTCATCTTCCGGCCCGCCAGTGAGAGTGATGTTAGCGGTGTTGTTCTCACTATCAATGTACCGATTTGGCGCGATGAGCTCGAATAAAAGCTGAGCCTTGACTTCTCGGACGGTGTGGATCATGGGCTAGAAGGAACTGACTGTCAGTGTGAGACAACTCCCTTGTGCTAGTGCGCCACGCAATCACCATGGCTATTGCGAAAGGCTCATGGGAGCATGCCCAGTGATTCGACTCACCCTGAGGGGAAAATACAGCCTCTCACAATCCCACTCGTCCGTCAACGGGGACCAGTTTGGATGCCGTAGTTTCTTGCGGCAGGTGTCGTAATCAGCAACGTCCTGGTCAGCCCTGTCGATCCAGCCGGGCAGGTAGTGGCTGAGCGACCACATGTACATCCGCGGGGGTACCGGGGCGACCCCTGGGCCCGCTGTCTCAATACTTTCGCGTGGGCAAATCCATGTTTCTGCTGGAGCAGTTGTGTGAGGAGGATGAGGCCGAGGCCGATCGTGATGAGAGTCTTGAGAGAGCGCCCATGACCGCGGCAGAGGCTCATCGTCGCGGTGATGGATTGGGGGGGGGGGCGGACACTGTTTGCAGGCCAAGCTGGACGGATGTTGACTGATGTTTATCTCGTACCGAGACCACGTCGGCCACGCCACGTTGTGCGTCCATTTGGACGACAGAGTGTCCTCAGCATTGAAGCTGTGGTCCCCAGCCAGTAGTAAGGGGGATGATCGTGTCCAAGTATAGAGATGTCCGAACGTAGTTAGCCGTGCTCGTGTAGCACGCTTGGCGCTGGCAGTATGGCAGGGCCCAGGCAGCAGCCCTGGAGGGCGCTGACTAAGGCAACCGTCGCGCGAGTCATGGCTCGCCTGACGTAATCGCCATCCGCTGGCTCCAGCATACGCATGCTGCAACTTGCACGCCATCATCGCATGGCATTTCACAGCGCATCGCACAAATCAGCCTTATGCTCGCCCCTATTCCCACGTGGGTTTTCCCGTTCCTCGCCAGGCTCACATACCATAGACGGCGGAATCAAACAAGCTCCATGCATCCCACACCGGAAAGCCCTCCCTGCACGCGCAGATCCGCGGTCCGGCCCGGAGGTTGTTAGTCGGGTCTCCCGATATCATGTGGTCCGTGACAGCTTCTATGGGCCAGCCGCGCGCCGGCTTGGAGATGGGCATCTTCATGGGCTTCTGGCTGCATGATCTGGTGCACAGCGGCTCTGCCGGATCGTCACTGGTTTCTGGGTGATGCAGGGCGCGCGTGTGTCCAACGTCATGGTGGTGTGGCCGCAGTCGGGCAGATTGGCTCGTGATAGCACAGTCTGTGCTTGCTAGGCGAAGCAGAAGGTGTGCCTCTTGGAAAATGCGGACGACGGCATATAAAGTCTCAACGCACCTCCAAAATGCTGGACCTGGTCGATGTGAGTAAAACACCACAGACCGGAATACAACGACAAAAAAACACCAGCGTACTTGTATCACTCGGAGCCCTGGTCTGAACTCTTCCGTGTCCGCATCCACGACAGTAATCCCCTTCCGTAGCACTACGCAGTGTAGCACTATCAATATGGTCACCTTCACGGCATACAAGGGCCATAAGTCTGGCAAGATCCAGAAATCCACCATCACCAAGCCCGACAAGCTCGAGGGCGACCAGGTCCTTGTCAAGATCACAGCCTCCGGTGTCTGCTACACTGACATCCACTTCGTGAGCAGATCTCCTCCTCTTCCGCTCCAGACATTGCAATCCAAATTGCTCACAACCCACTCAAACAGAAAACCTCAGACATGGTTCTGGGCCACGAAGGCATAGGCGTCGTGGAGAAAGTCGGACCGACCTGCAAGGTCCTCAAGCCCGGCCAGCGCGTCGGCTGGGGCTACACGCACGACTCGTGCGGCCATTGTCAGCCTTGCCTTCGAGGCGACGAGATCTACTGCCCGCAGCGCGCCATGTACGCCGAGGCGGATCTCGACCAGGGCAGCTTTGCATCCCACGCCATCTGGCGCAAGGCCTTCCTCTTCGAGATCCCCGACGCCCTGAGCGACGAGCAGGCCGCGCCCTTGCAGTGCGGCGGCGCGACCGTCTTCAACGCCCTGCGGGCATACAACACCCAGGCGACCGAGACCGTCGGCGTCATGGGCGTCGGCGGGCTAGGGCACCTGGCCATCAAGTTCGCCTCCAAGATGGGCTGCCGCGTGGTCGTCCTGTCGGGCACCGAGTCCAAGAGGGCCGAGGCCATGCAGCTCGGCGCGAGCGAGTTCGTCGCGACAAAGGGCAAGAAGCAGCTCAAGGTCTTGCAGCCCCTGGACAGGCTGCTGGTGACGACTTCGGCGCAGCCCAACTGGGAGCAGATCATGCCCATCATGGCGCCGTGCGCCTCCATCCACCCGCTGTCCATCGCCGACGGCAACTTTGAGGTCCCCTACATGCCCCTCCTGACCAAGGGCATGACGATCCAGGGCTCTGTCGTCGCGCCGCGCCACGTCCACAAGGACATGCTCGAGTTTGCCGCGCTGCATGATGTGAAACCCGTCACCCAGACGTTCCCCCTGACGGAGAAGGGTGTCGCGGAGGCGATGGACAAGCTGGAGAAGGGCGAGCTCCACTTTAGGGCGGTGCTGATTGCTCAGAAGTAGATTCCATAGGGAGTAGGAATGATGGAGAAGAAGCGCAGAGCAAGTAGTGTGACACAGCTGGTGCTATGGTACCAAGGGTAGCCCTACAAAGTGGACGGAAGGACTTCAAAGCATGAGCTTGGTGACACGCTGAAGCAGGCAATGGAGCAGGCAATGGGAGCGATGGGTTTATACCTATGATGATGCTGGGGCATCTATGTACGCTTCCTGCTTTCTATCGGACTGTCCATAAGCCATACATTTACCTCACGTTCCCCCGATTCGACTTCGTCGCCCGCCAAGACGTTTTGCATGTGCGCGCCTAACTCTGGCAATCTTGCTGCTGATGAAAGCACCCCCAAATAATTGTTTGCCAGCAGCGTCACATGCACGTGACTTTAGGTATTATACTACCATAAAACCGTCGGCACATTAGAGAAGGAAAAAAGATAAAGACAAACAGACAAACATTACAAACAGAGCCTTCCCATTGCGGGTGGCCACTCGATTTATTGGAGCAGCACGACGCACACACCTTTGGACAAGTCCGACCGGGGGCCCTGCACCACACGGAAACTGAGAAGAGATAAGTGACATAGGTTCATTGACGGTCTTTTTCCATGCACCACGCCGTGTAGATGCGTCTTGAAGTCAGTGGCTGCCGAGGGGTGACAGTTTCGTGCCATTGCCAGCCAGGGATAGCTTTGGTCCAAGCGCATAGGCTTGTCGCTACTACTCACTGCAGATGATGTCGGTGTCCGTTGGTGGTGAATTTGTCAAGGCGAGTCCCATCTTTGTATCGTGCATAGGTGCCCTGGGTCTACACCGTTGACCATACCGTCTATAGGTTGGAATAATTAGACGTAGAGCACCATACTGGAGGCCCACAGTAGTGACTGGCGGTCACAGTGACCGAAGCTGCATGTCCCTGCCAGACGAACAGATACTCCGAAACAAGCTTCGGGGGAGATTCTGTCAGGCCGAAAAGCGCCACAATGCCGAGAGACCTGCGCCGCGGTTGTTGAAACTAGGCTCCTGGCAGCCAGTGCGTGAAGTGAGGGATTCTATTGTGGAATGTGTGGGTAACAGACGTTTGGGTTCGTTGAGCCGTCTTTTATAGTTGTCTCATCTGCAAGACCATGGCGAGACCTGTCAAAAAGGGACAAAGCATATTCCTCTTGTTTGGTATTACGCAGCATCCTTGGTGAGGACTACATGTTCTGTGGAATGGCGTTTGGATTGTATCTGCCGATCAAGAATGCGTGCAGAATCGTGTTGTGGTCCCCACGGTGTCGTGGTGTCTTTCCTCGGTGAGCTCGCCGACAGTCGTTTGGTGTCGGTCTCCTCAGCCGCGCCGTCTTCGCGCTGTTCTTGGTCCTCCTACTTGTGATAATTGCCATTCCGTTCTGGCCTACAAACGCTTTGTTCTTTCGATACAGTGCTTGCCTTTATACACGCTTTTGCTATGCACCACAGCGGGGCTTGTGAAGTTGTGGAAAGTTGAGACGTCCCAAGATCACAACGATCATGGCTCGATGGCGTGGGCTTGCTATGGTATACAGTCTGGGCGGGCATGGTGCTGTCTCGTGCTCGACTACGCCCAGAAGTCATGTGAGCGTTTGCGGAGGACTTCGTAGAGCCACTGTGTTTGATGAGAGCATGCACTAGATTGCGGACGTCTGGGCTGGACACCGAACATGCGGGGAGTCGAGCGGGATATCTTATATTGACTTGGTGATTTAAAATCGCGTGTACGACTCGCTGGCAGAAGCGCCGTCCTTGGATGAAAGACGTCGTCTCGAGGTGACAAAGGCTTCGATCGACAGCGTTCAGTTGAGGGTTCTGGTTGTCGTAGCTTTGCGCGAGCTGGAGCAGGCTGCCATCATGAGGTAGGGGTGCCATACTGTCAGGAATGGGTTGATATTTGAGCGGAAATAATGGTGTATGCGTGTGATGAAGTTGACGTGAGTGTGCCCAGCCGTCTGCACGGCGCCCATTTGAGCTGCAGCGGTCCTTGAGGCAGACTCGCTCCGGGCCACGCTCGAGCCAACACTTTGCTCACAAGTCTACATCTGCAAACACAACGTCTGAACAACCACACCGCTATTGGGCCGACGGCCGTGGGTTCTGGACCCTGTGACCCTTTATCCGCAGATCATAGATCCGATAGACTGATTCTCGACTCACCTCCGCAAGCAAGCACTCGAAGAGTCCTGTCCGCACCCGCAGAGCCACGCAGCCGTTTCCACCATGCCGTGCAACCGCGAAGCACCATCAATCTTGCGATCGAACACTCCGAGCTTCAGCGACGTAGCCCAGGGACATTTGAGGTCGAAACCTCCGAGCACCAGCAAGTCCAGGGACACTTGGGATGGTCTTTGTCGAGTTCCCCAGAAGCTAAGGCCACAACACACCAAGAGAGGGCATGTTTCGCCCGAGCGAGCGAGGGAGCTGGCAATCTGTATCATACTTTAGCCGCTCCCGAAGCTGATCGCGCCGATCTGAGGCAGTACCAAGCACATGGCCACTGGAATACGCTTTCATTGCTACATAATCAGGAGCGCGCTCGGGCCGCTAGGCAGTTGATTGAGCTGTACCAATTGACAACAAATAAGACCCTTCGGTCATCACTTGAACGAAAGCAAATCGAATGAGGCGGTATGATTATTCATACCGACCGGCTGGTCCTGTCGAAGGTATCCAACACGAAGAGATAGGGAGGAAAATGCTGTTGTTGCAGCGAGCGACACTGTGTAAACCACAAAGCCCATTGAGTCAGTCAGCCTCGACGCATCATGGGGCTCTGATAGTCGAGAAATAGTCGAGAATGGAATGCTTTTGACCTGGATCGCATTGGAATCTGACTACCTGCCACTTCCGGATAGCTATAGTTGTGGTCAGGCGATGTTTCATGTACGAGAACACAAGATCAAGTTTACGGCAATGTGAACTAAGTCATTGACATTCTTGGAATGCACCTTCATATCTTAGCAAGGGCTGTGTAGACATGCAGTAGCTGAATCGAGGCATTTTGAAATAGCGAGACACGCAAGCTTGACCACGCACGACGAGCCCGTAACTTCGAACCATGTTGAAATCCACGGACATCCTGAGGTAAGTCCCTTACGCCCGGAAAGTGGCCGGCAAGTGCCATCTGGCTGCCAGTGACGATCGTCGCGTGCCGCTGCCAGCCACTGACGCCTTCTTGCCGTAGCAACGCCGCCACGAGCTCGCTTAGGGGACACCACAAGTTGACATGGACGCGTCCATTTGGCATTCGGTCCGCGTCAACACGAGGGCCACTCAAAGGGAGGACGCGTGTGAAGGGTCATGTTGGTATCGTGAGACTGTATTGTGCCAATCATTCGACAGAGGCGGACCTTCGACTCATTGATCCGCATATCGGACCGCTTTGCGTGCTACTCTTACCGACGAGGGAATCTCAATACTTGGTCGTAGCAGCAGGATTCATCACATACTGATGGTCTGTTTCTTGTCCTTCTCGCACTGCATAGACTCCATAGATTGTCGTCCGGAGCACGTGTCCGCCGCTTTCCAGCTGAAGTGCCCAGTCATCATGGGTGCCACTTGTCCTCAGCAAAGGCAGTTGCGGAGGCTAGACAAAAGCAAAGGACAGAATCCTGGGCACACTATTCTACGTGATCCAGTACATCTTCAAGAATGCGTTCGGGCTTTGCAAGTGATACATCAACAGTCGACCGAGTCTCATGTCAGGCATATAGCTGGGCAAGAGTTCTCGCACCTCCTCCAGACGGGACAGGCTAGCCTCTGGCGGTCATAGACAGTCGGCCCTGGTCCACTGCAAAGCATTCTTGAATCAGTCCAGCACACTGTTCTGCTTGGAACGAGGTTGCCACGGTGAGCGAGGTCTGGAGGGCCCACACCACTACGCTCTGCCCAACCCGGCGAGCGCTGAGCACTCACTCGCCGTGTGATTGTGTTAAATTCTGCCCGGATCACCGAACAACCAGACTTCTTATTCGCCCTGGGCCCTGCCAGCCTCTTCTGCTCTCCCTTCTGCTGTACAATCACTCCGCAGCACCTGGTACGTATAAAGCAGTACCCACATCGGGTCCAGCCACCCCTCCCTCCTCATCACATCACAACAACAGACACGTTCATACAGTCTTTGTTTCTGGATCCTTTCCACACGAGAAGCTTCACAGAAATCCCTTCAAGCATCTCAAGCGATCGGTATCGTTACACCGTTCTTGTTCTCGCACTCGCAAGTCAGCACGACCTCATCACCATCATCTGCCCGCATCCGCGTAACCACGCCCAAGGATTGTTTACACCATTGTGACAAGCCACGGACTTCATTGACAAGTATCAAAGCGAACTCAACGTCGCTTTCCATCCTTGTCGACCACAAGATCGTCGCCACTGCCCCCGAACGGCTCGTGTAACCAGGCACAGATTCACATCTATCAAGCAGTGAGTTGCCTTATTCTCTCGTGTTAAGCAATGTTCTTTCCTTCCCAAGAAGCCTGGCATCGTTCTCAATCTCCTTAGACGGGCGGGTTTGTTGGTATTGGCTGTATTTCCTCATCTGGTTGTGACTATGTGTCACTCCACATGCAACAACACAGCCATCCACCCCATTCACGAGATCATTTTTCACGTCCGCTTGTCTACTCTGGCAATGCTGTAGCCTATATTTCTGCATTCCCAGCGCTTTTGGGATCATTTTCTGCTGCCTCACATTTCCCTCACTCGACCTTTGGTGGTGTGAAGAATTCTCAAACGATTACCCCTCCTTTGTAACACGGTGCACCTCACATCGTGAGATTCTCCCACACGATCAGCTCTGGTGCTGAGAACACTTGGATCAAACGTGACCACACCCGCAGAGTGCGACACGTCCTAACTTTTGTACTCAGCAGACTCAACAGACTGCATTCAACATGCCTATCCCTACTTCTGGCGTTCCCAAGCCGGCCGAGACTCCTGCTCTCGAAGACCCTTTTGTGGACACTGAGCCCGCCAATCCTGGCCGCCCCGAAGTCCGCATGAACGGCAACAGCCTTTTGATGCTGGTGATCACTCCCAACACTCGTATCACGGTCCCTGGCACCAATGGCGAGACCGCTTCGACTATCCGCATGCAGGAGTATTGCCAGAATGCCTCTCGTGGCCTTGGAAGCTTTTCGCTTCCCCGAGGCTCTATCATCAATGTCCTTGATGAGACTACGGGTTCGTATGCGAACATCCGACCCAGTGAGTTTAACCTAGCTCTCTACCCATCGAGAGACCTTTAACCACTCCCCTAGTTGCTGCTATAGAATGTACTGATACTAACCACGTATAGCAGCTGTGGCTCAGCGTCTTCTCACTACCCACGCTGTTCCCGGTGCCAACGGTCCTGGCGCAATCGAGGTAAGTCCGGCTGCGTTTCATTATCCTCCCTGGCTCGACAAATCCCTGGTATGTTGTCTATGCTCACACTTCGTCACCGCCCAGATCTCTGCGGTGGACATGGCCGCCATCAAGGCTGCCAGTGTCGATGCTCCCGCGAATCCGCTGTACTTCGAGGACTTCGTTGCCTTGAACGGCCAGTTCTTCGCCGGCTACACTCTGCCATCTGACAAGGTTGTCAACACTGCGTAAGTGATTGTCATTGAGAACAATTGAGCCTGCTTCCCAATTTCCCTTCCGTCAGATGGTTTTGTCACAAGTCCGACATCGTCCCCTAAGCTGCATACTGATCATGAAATCTTCCCTCCAGCAACCTCCAGAGCATCGTCATTGACGGAACAGCCGTGGTGTTCCACATCGTCGTGGCTTTCACCTACTTTCCGCACATCCTGGATGCATCCTTCGCATCCCAGCTGGCTGGAGAGTATGATGCCACCACTGTGGCTATCCTTCTTCTCGGCTTCTACCACAACGACCACAAGCACTCCCTTGCTGCTGATGTAGTTGACAAGGCCCAGCTTCGCAAGTTGTACAAGTTCTGGCTCGAGCTGAACCCTCAGCTTGAGATGACTCTTGTTGATGCCGTCTGGGATTCTTTCGACGAGGTCGTCTTCTCGGCTTGAGTGCAAACAAGAAGTATGCCCCCATCGTCTTCATTGGAAATGCATAACAACCATGCTAGACACCGAGGCTTCACCCTTGGACTGCTAGGATATAGCCTTGACTCTCGGTGCAATCCTGCTGTTCGCATGACGTTTGGAGTATCACACAGCATACATCTTGGGGTCGTCCTTGGGCGTGTTTTCTGAGATTCTGTACTACTATTGTTGTATCATCACCGCTGCCATCCCGTCCCTGGTCTACCGCATAGCATCGACGACGACCAGGTCATTTGATTTCGGACTAGGAAGCATGGCATTTTTGTAGGTTGAGGCTTGACTGTCAAACGAATCTTGATCTGTCGATCGAGATCTCACTCACAGACTTCAGCATATTCATGTACACACACTCCTGTTGGAACATCTTGACAGAAATTTTCTATTTGGGGCCCTTTTGAGACAATGTGTCTCAACAGCTTACAGTCAGAACACTGCCCGTTTCCCCATCTTCGATGGAAAACCTGAGCGGCAGCAGCTTCTGACTGACAAGACAAATGGGCACTGACAAAAAAAAGGGGGTTTTGCATGGTAGATTAGTTGTGTTGTTTCCTTCTTTTCTCGGAGGGGGGCCCTTGGCTTCTATCATGATATGGCGCAAATGGGTTTCATCCTATCGGCGTGATCACGAGTCTCACGAGAGCCTTTGGACAAGGACCACTAGAGAGCATTAGACAGAACCGCAAATCTAACTACCTTCAAACCACATAGGATGTGTATTTTTCACTCAGTCCACGCGTGAATGCGTCTTGCCACATAGCGCGCCGTCCACGCATGTCTTTCGCGCTTTCATTCGTAGCCGATCAAAAGGTCTGGAAAGACTGCTCAGATGACCTGGGTTGGCGTTCGGGACCTCACTGTCGACATGCGCCGCTGTTCATCGCAGACTTTTGCGAACATCTGCCACCCCAACAGCAACATCAAGGAAAACCGCCAACACCACCCGCGAGGCGACACAGCGGACCACAAGAGAATGGAGCGTGCCGTACCTCCCCGCCATGCATGAGCGGCATGTTCTAAAAGTACCGGTTCCTACGCCAGGCGAGCATGTGCGGGCCATACCAGTCGAGTCAAGCGATGAGCAAACACGTCCGCAGAAGCACTCTTCAGCCGTCCCAGCAAGGCCAGTCTCGCCCGCGTCGTCAGTAACCTATATATCCATGGAAGACATGAATGGCACATGCAAAGATGGCTCAGACCCGCAGCACCACCAACCAACCCACCGACCTATACATCTCGCACCCCACGACAATCAAAGACATTGCAGTTCCGTAGCCCAGCGGCCTGTCACCACTGGCCCGACGCGCACAAGTCCATCAGGCATGCCCGACTGGTGAGAATCAGACGATCCAGGTTGATTCCCACGAGCCGTTGGGTAACACAGCTCAATTAACATCAGGAGGCCCAACGAGGGTTCACAGTCCGAGTCTAAGCCAAATGGACAGAAAAGAGCAGCAAAACCGACCATACGAGGCGCGCAAGGATCTTCTTAGCCCGGCGGCAGCCAGTCGATGATTTGATATACAACAGTATGAATAGATAGGGCAAACCCGCGTGCGAGGGGAACTCAGGTAAGGAGCGCGGCTTTGCTTAATCTCCGGACGACGTGGAGGGTATTTATCCTGGATGAGATGTCCATCGACAAAGCATGAGGCCGGGTTCCCCTGCAGGCAGGAGGAGGCAAGCAACTGCAGTGAGGAAGCGGTTTTGATGGGCACGCCCCGACATGACATGCAGCGGAAGACTGCCGAACGGGCCCCCCCGGCCACAGAAGCGCAAGAAATGCTCCGTTGAGCCGTGCCGGAGATCAAGCAGCTGGATCAAGCACCTCTATACCATACCTCCAGGTCCCCAAAACGGTCGGTGTCTTTCGCATGAACTGAGAGATAACTGCTTGGGCATCGCCACATATTGTGAGCTTGTCTACAGCAAGTTCATCGCAGGGTCACTACCGGCTATAGCGGTGGAGCAGCAACAGCCGACCACACTCATAATATTGACCCTTCGCAGGACATGGTCTCCAGCGGCTTCTGGGCATGACATCGTGAGGCGCTGCAGTGACGAGAGAGGTCCTTGCAGCGGGAGCCATGCCATTATATCCCACCAGCGGATAGCTGGGCTTGGTTGCCAAGGTCCGAGACCTCTGCTATAACTTGACTGTTTCGAGGCCATGAAATTACACACGCCTCGAAATATTGACTAAGACGCAATCACCAAGGCCCTATCTATCCGCCCGAACCGCTTGCTCAGGGCAGACCTCATGCTCGGGCAAAATGGATATACACCAAAGTCCATTGTGCAAACGCCTCGGGACCTTCGAGTCCTCCAGTGACCACCGTGGGACGAGTGCGGCCTATCATCCGTACCTTCAAGCAAGTCAAGGACGCACAGGTAGCGGACAGGCGCAGCCATGGCGTTTGTCCTTGGCCCAGGGTGGTCATGACTAGAAACAAGTCTAGCTATTCGTCAGTCAACTGCTCGGTGTCTCAACGGACCAGCTCACCGACGTGCATGGCCCTGAATATCGGCATGGAGGCATGGCAACGTTGTGTGGAGAGCTTTTGACTAGCAAACTCTGTGGTGTCCTGGAATGTGCCTGCATGATGAGTCTATGTGCTAGTCCGAGCCGCGTCTTTCCGCATGTTCGCGTTTGTGGTGTTCCTTCATTGGTACTGGGGATTATTCGCTCTCTGCGCCGTCATCCAACGCCTCGTCCTGCTCGTCCTCTGGCTCCCTCTCTTCTAGAGCATCGTGCATTTCTTGCTCGTCATCATCGTCATCATCCTCGTCTTCCTCCGCGGCATCCTCCTCCTCCTCCTCCTCCTCCTCCTCGTCATCCTCGTCATCGTCCTCTCCCTTGTCGGGCTCCGACTCTGCGTCTGTGGCGTCGTGGAACTCCTCAGTGGCATCCTGATCGACGTCCATCTGCGAGTCGTCGGGACCATTGGGCTTGTGCTTCTTGGATCGGGGTACGCCAGAGGTATCTGCATCAGCCGCGGCAGACACGGTCGAAGCATCCGGGTCCTGCGAGTCCCCGGTACCCGTGCCAGAAGTGCCGGCCTTCTTGGCTGCCAGTTTTTGCCGGTACGTGTTGCGCTTGCTGGTCTGCGTCTCATTGAATTCTGGCCAAACCGCCACATTAATTATCCCGCCTTCCGATCGCGTGACTGAAGATGAGAATAACAAAAAACTTACTTGCGTATTCTGCCTCTAACCGCTCCCGGAAAAAGCCAAACTCGGTGTCCTCCAGCGCGGCAAACACGTCCGCAGGCATGATCGTCTTCTTCCCATTGCCAATGGTATGGTCGTTGGCACTTGATATCATACAGTCAGCACCTTTGTTTCTTTCTCTCTTTCGACGATGCCAGAGATGATCCGGGGGACGGGGCCACGTACGCGTCGGCAAGGTAGTTGATGAAAATGGTTGCACTTTTGCTCATCGCGAGGATCGCATTGGCTTGTATTTGCGTGTTGGAAGGGAGCACGCCTTTCGATAACCGCGTAATGATGGATTTCGGGAGGGCGAGATCCTGCTTGTGTGGTTAGCCATTCATCCCCTTGGACGTCGCCGGACCCCTCGCCGTCCGGCTCGCAACACTGCGCAATTGCAGGCGCGCGCGCGCGCACACACACACACACACACACCTCGACTGTCACCGCACCGCTTTCTCTTGAGGCGCTCTTCTCCTTGTCTGCGGGCGCATCGGTGCGACTCTCGGTATTCGATTCCGATGCGGCAGGCTGCTGGGCCTGCTTCTTGTGGCTCGTGGTCGTCGCTTTCGAATTCGCGGCAACAAAACTGCCGTTGGGTGTCGCCGGCGCTGGTTCGTCAATCAGGGCAAACGTCGCCGTTGACACATCACTGCGCCGCGCGGCGTCACTCTTCCGGGGAGGCATGGTGGATGACGGGCGAAAATGCTAATCTGAGGCGGGAATGTGCGTTCGGACGGGCCACGGGTCCTCAGTTGCTGTCTTGTGCCGCGGGGTATGGGATCGGTTCTTTGTGCGCGCAGCCGTGGGTGTTGGTGCTACCGGGACATGATCCGCAAGGTGTCTGCCGCAGAAGCGAGGTGTCTTGTTGAGCAGTGCTGTCTCTTGCTCGAAAACCGCGGGTTTGGAGTCGACGGCGAAGCTGCGCTGGCCGAATTGCGATGCATCGACGTTGGACAGCCCCACAGTCGCGTCCACGGGCGCTTTGACGCGTAAATTGGTTCCTGCGAATTGGTGAGGTTCGCTTACCTAAGCGAGCTACTCTGCTCAGTGTCGATAAGTTGAAGGAGATTTTTCCGAGGCTGGCTCAAAAAAAGCATTGTCCATTACCTGTTACACTGATGGTGTGCAGCCAGCCATCGTGCTTCAAAGTCCTGCCCAGAATCAATAGGCACCGCTCATGTCGGCTCGACTATTGTGTTGGTGCTTTAGAGCTAATGACAAGATGCGGCCAGTCCATGGTCATCGAGCTTGACAGCTTTCCGCACGATTTCCACAGCAGACTTCAGGGATTAGCTGCATGCCAATCGATGGAAATTGTCAAATCATGATTGAAGCCGCTGAGACTGCTCAAGTTATTCTAGCAGCTTGTATATCCTTCGCATGCCACAATTGTGTTGGAGGTGATGGGGACGGACGTTTCTTTGATGCCGACCCACCGGGCATGCACGCACGCATCGTCGCTATGACTGCCGGGTGCACCAAACCTCGCGAGCAAGACATAAGCCGCCCCTTGCCAGACAAGCAGGGCACGTGGCGTTTGAGATGGACGGCAAATTTCATTGCAGGATCTGCATAATGACCTCCTCCATCTGCACATCCATCTAAGGGGTTGGTCCGTGGCCATGAGTCGGTGTTGCAGATGGAGTTGTACATATTTATTCAGGGTCGCAGCGTGCCTGGATATTCAATCAAGATCTGACAAGAGGCATATTATGAACGGCGGCAGTCATAGCACAGATCATATGGCCCAGACAGGACGAGAAGGGGGATGCGACACTGCAGGTAATCTGCCAGATGGCAGGTTGCAATGCACTGTCCGTCCGTAAACAATCCTGTCCCACGCCTGATCGGCCGGTGCTCCATCCCGCAATGACGAGACGAGAGCCACTTATCATCGGCCCAGGCAGGGTGGGCCAGCAACCCGAAACACGCCAGCGCTCAACGGCAAAGAGTGGGGCACAGGCCCGCCCCATCCATGTGTCGTCCTGTCTCTCCTTTCCTCCACAAACACGCTCCGCTTCCAGGATTCCTTGCCGCACGCCTGCCTGCCTTCAGCTCTTTATCAATGTCTCGAATATGTACAATCGCCCCCTTTCCCCCCAGTGCCATCTCGCACGAGCTCAACCAGTCGACATCAGAAGGAATGCAGGCCGCCGGTCCCTAACTTCTCTCTGACCGCCCGCGCGCCCCCTGTTGATCAAAAAACATCCCGGGCACATCCACCGCAGAGCTCAGGGAGAACCTGTGGAAGTCTCCCCATACCTAGTCGTCATCGTCCAAAATTACCTCTCTGCACCCCTGTGCCTGGTTTTCTCATTTTTTGTTTCGCGCGCGCGATCCCACGCTGGCTGTCTGCTGCTCAAAAAGGTGTGTGTCGGTCCACTCACCTTCCTCCCTGGCCCTGGCTCGACTTCCACTTCTGTCCACTCCACACGAACCGGTCTTCCGAGGAACTTTTCTTCTTCACCTTGCCCAGGTGTACCTTCCCAGACAGGGTACGGCAATCGAGAGTCAGCCCACCCTCATTTCGTCGTCCTCCTCTTCCTCATCGACACACACTCTCTCGGGCTGCCTCTCTACCATAGGTAGACACAGACCCCAAATCGCCTTGAGCCCCGACCCTCTCTCCACACCCTTCCTTACAATGAATGGAATGACTCGGGGGCCCGCCCACACTCGCGGCACTTACAGTAGTAGTACATGCCCCCTTGGGATGCCGTTCCTTGGCTGACTTTGGACCTCCGGACGGAAAGAACCTTGGTCCGTCGTCCCTGCCCAGAATTGTGCTCCAACGTACTCCGTAATGTGTTGTGTTGTGTTGTATAATCTATTTGCGAGTTCAAGCTCCGTCCGAGAGAGTGGCCCAGAACCCCCCACAAAGATTCCTCCCCCAAATACCAGCCGACTCCCCCCGATCCCGGCTCCTGGCTCTTTGTAAGCACACCAAGAGGAGAGACACACAGTAGATCCGGGAAACTACGCCGAGAGTCCTGTCCAGACCAAGCAATATGTCATCAATGAACAAGAAACTTCCGCGCTTCGGAGAGAAGTTTATCGCGGGAGGGGGGCTCCCCCTCAAGCTCCGGAGATTCCTGTTTTATGTGTGCCAAGAGGCACTTGCAAACTCTCTCAATGGGTAGCTTCCTAAGGGGAGGTACAAGCCTCGTGTGTGATCATCGCGTGCAGGGCGGCAAGCCACCGTCGCACGAAGATATAGCGCCGAGCATCCCAATCACATGCAATGGCGCATTCCCGCAGCAGGCAATTGTAGAGAGAACGTTAGTGGCGAGGGCATCTGGGGTGAGGCGGGATCAGGTTTCAGAAGGAGGCAATATGACTCTTGTTGCACGGCGGACAGCCTGGGAGAAAGGATCATAGGACAATATCATTTGGGGAGGTGCTCGAGCAACTATCATTGTGTTTAGTCGTATTGTAGTGGTACTTTTCATAACTATATGTACTGCTCTGTCTTTGTCCTGCCCCCCACTGAAGCGTTTCATTGCAGGGAATGATCATTAAACGTTTCCCCACAAACTCTGTATCATGACGGTGTCATCTCTAGTCCGTCCCGCCGTCCTAAGAGGTCATGGCCACAGCGGAAACCATTCCATGGTGTGTGGCTGCCATGGCCGTTTGGGGTAAGGAAAAGAGTGTGAGAAGAGACGTCGTGATTGTGACAAGCTCCTAACATCTTCGATAATAAGGGGGGACTGGGAATGGGAAAGATGAAGGAAAAGGAGAGAAGTTCCTTCGGGGGTATATCCATCAATTGTGAGAAAACAGAAAAGAGCAAAGCCGGACGTGGTCCATGGCTTCTGCGCAAATGGCCTAGCTGGCGAGACCTGGAGCGGAAAGAGAATAGACGCCGTGATCCCTATGTGTGCAAGTGCTATGCTTGAAAGATGAATGAGATGGTGCAATGTCGACTTGCTAAATAACGCAGGCAGTCTGCCCGAAAAAAAGATGAAAGTGGTTGTAAAAGAGGAAGCAAGTGCTCTTGAAGCTATTCTTGCAGTATGAAAATCGAAGAGATGAGAAGAGCTTTCTGCTGCCCTAACTGTGTCGGCAAAGGGGGAGCTATTTAGCCAATGGCGCGCCCAATGTCTTCCTTCCGACCTCTTGAAGGCGGAGGGGGCGGAGATAGTGCAGAGAAGTGAGCACACTCGCTTGACGACAGGACGGGTGGCACTGAGGACGTCGAGTATATTCTGGAGTGTCCCTTGCGTGAGCCATCACTAGACTGGCGGGGCAGATCCAGACTCTTTCCGTGGTCTGGGGAGTTCTTGAGGCTGTTGGTCCTAGAGCCCCGGCCACGTTGGTCCAGTGAGGCTCTGCTACTGGTTTGTCGTTTGGAGAGCTTGGAGGGCTGGCGTTTAAGGGTATCGACGAAAGGCTCGTCGCCGGGGACTGTCTCGTCCGTAAGACCAGACCGCGCATTCGGCGCACGAGCAAGCACAGCCGTGCCAGGAAATTGTGGGAGGTCAATGCTGATCTTCTTGTTGAGCAGCGGCACAGGCGAGGTCAAATCAAAGGACGGGCGTGCGCTCGTGGTGTACTGGATGACACTGGGTGATTTGAAAGAAGTTGTCGACGGCGTTGGTGTGTGATGCGGCGGCATGCTTGGCCGCAGGGCCTCTTTTTCACTATGCGGGCCGATTTTCCATGTTGCTATCTCGTCGTCACCGATTGGAGTGATGCCGCGGTTGAACAGTGTCCCACGCCTTCTTCTCCTGATGCAGAGGAAAGCGGTCAGGCCAGCGACAATGACGACAGTTCCCGGAATCACCGTGCTGAGGATGATGATCAGGTTCTGATCCATTGAAATTTGTACGCCCGACATGTTGGCTGATTCTAGATCCAATCAAGGACCTTCTAGTCGCGGGTGTGAGGTTAATGGCACCAAGTGGCCATGAAATATCCCAAGAATGATCTCGGAATCTCGCCGGTTTGAGGTTGGCCGGTGTGACCTGCACGGCTAGACTGCAACGTGTACCGCGATGGGGGCGCTAGTTGTCGTAGTCGTCGTTGTCGTCGTCACAGACAAAGACGTAGGTAGACCGGGGACGGTCCAGCCGCGATCGAGTGCTTGACGGGGTAGGTGGATGGCGGTTGGAGTAAAGGTCTATGGGACATTATCTGCTGAACGAGAACAGGAAGGGTCCCGGACCTAGGCGTCTGATGGTCAGAGATGACCTTGAAGGGCCGTCGAGGAGGTGACCAGAGGTGACTAGACGAACCGGGAACAGGATGGGCGGCACCCATGGCTAACATATAAGAGCGGGCAGGACCATTGCTCCCGGCAGCTGGGAGCTCGGAGCGGGCCCTTTCTTTGGCTGCTGACGGCACGCGGCCATGATGGATCGAGCGAAGCCAAGACGACGACAGGGGCCAGGATGCAGAGGGGCAGGCCCCTGCCAGCTTGTGGCAGCCTTGACAACGTGCAGGGCGACACTTGGCCGTGCGTGGTCGCATTCTCGCATGGGCCCAGGCGGGACGACCCACCCCCCTCGTGGGCTGCTGAAGGGTTCCTGGCGGTGCCTGGCGCTGGCCGCATGCTCCTGTGACTCGAGGAGACAGGGTCGTGCCAGAAAGTTCCGGGTCGGCAGCACTGGTGCAGAGACAAGACTTGGAAACCTGGCATTGAGTGGAGCCACGTCTGGGCGACCGATCGCGATGCTGACGATGCACGCACTATGCACGTACTTTTAGTGTATGTGAGGAGCTACGGCGAAACAAACGAGCCACAGGCGAGGCGACCGTTGGATGGCGGAGGCAGGCCGCACGACGGCGTCGTTTCGAGATGTGGCAGTGGGTGCACGCAGCGACTTATGGTCCAGGGACGCAAGCGCTGCTACTGGCTGGCGGCCGGCGAATGGGAAGGAGCAGCTGAGGACTCCTCGCCAAACAGCCACCTCCTGCAATTCCTGCAACTGTAGCAGCACCCAGGCTCGGCTGTCAGCCATGAGCAGACAGCTGCCATTTGGGCATCGACACATCACAGAAAGTCCTACATAAGGTACTAGGTAGGGTTTGAGGATGCGGCCCTGGCTGCGTGGCGTGGCTGACGGATGGCTGTGACAGGCACAGGACAGCTCTATTCGCAAGCAGGCACGCCACGTTGTGTTCACACTGCCTGCAGCCGCGATCGCCCGGTTCGTGCGCTGCGCTGCGCTGCGCTGTTCTGCCCAGGCACTGGACGGGGTACCTTACCCTCTGCCCGTCTCGTCCCAGCTCCGACATTGGCCAAATCTGCACATCTGCACATCTGCTGCGGCCTCTGACGCCCACAGCTGCGGCCCTGCCAGCGCCGCCTCGGGCCCAATCGCACCACACCCTCGGCCATGGTCTTGCCCGCCCAAAGGGTGAGGTCCTCCGTCCAAGCCTGCGAGCTGCAACCCTCCTGGGCCCGAGTCGCCCCTCGAGACCGGTTCTGCGGCTCCTGGGCTGTCGAGAGCGAAATTCAATAGCCAGACCTGGTGGCGGCGGCGGCAGCAGCAGCAGCAGCAGTAGTGTGCTTCTCAACGCAGGGAGGTTCCCTGGAGCGCGACACCGCAAGTTTGTGCTGTCGAACACCTCTGGCAGCAGTCCCAACCTCATCATGCGTGCAGCTCGAGATAAAGTCGTGGTCCTCCACCATTGGTCTCCTGTTCCGACACATTCTGCCGGCCGGCGGGCTGACGGAGGGTCTTGGGTTGCCCAAAGTGGGGAAGGAGAGTGATCGAAGCCCCGGATCCAGTTGCTGTGCCTCATGATTATTGATAATTATGGCATGCTTCCTGCCCACGAACTCCTTGTCTGCAGACGAGGTGGGCGAGCTGGTGCTGTCTCATGTTCTTGCCATCCTGCCCCCTCCTGCAATCGCCGCCATGGTGGATTCGTGCCCTTATCCCACAATATCTGTCCCGGGACTACCACAGCCGGCCATCTCAGTAAGTTCCTAGATAAGCATGATCCCGGCTCCGGGATCTATCTATCTGCAAATAGCGTACAGATGCCTGCTTGAAATGAGCAACCCAAAACCGGAACACCCTTGGACCACGACACAATGGGCGCTAAAACCAAGTCAATTCGTGGGGGGAGGGCATTGCTACCAAGAACTCATGCGGTGCGACATGCGAGGTAAATCTGGCATGCGGAACTTGCCCAGAGGTTGGTTGGATCTGCTCAAAGAACGATACCACCCCCCGCCGCCTGCCACCGAATTCATCTTGCCAGCAGCTCCGTCTGCGCTGCAACCCCTGGAGTGGGTGGTGTTCTTCCAGTACGACGCCACGGCTCGAAATGGGTTGGAAGAATCCCACAATTGCTTCCGTCCTTGGTTGCCCACATGACCTCGGACCCTAGTTTAGTGGCCGCCCGGTTCCTGGGTCTAGCGCCCTCATAATGCACGCCATCTGCCAAGTCCATCAAAAACCCCTCCCAGCTTCTGCTGCCCCTCGGTTATCCGGTTTTCGTGATCGGTCGAATATCCCGTTCCTGCATTGGCCGCTCCCTGGCCATATTTCACAGGAGAACGTCACTGCCACGACTATACAAACATTCCGGAGATTCATTGTTCGGCTCTCCAAGGGCATAGCGAGTGGCTTTTGAGCTTGGCGGGCAGTGTTCCCAACCCCGCAGGAGAGCAACAGCGCACGAGCGGGCTCTGTGCTGAATCTGTAATAGCATCCCTGGTGTCAGGCTGCGATCAGCCAATACGTGCAAGCCTTTTAACATCGCACCACTCCCAGGCCCCTTCTTCAATCTGCAATGCCAGGCAAATAGTGTTGGACAATGGCCCACAAAGGCGACAGATCCCGTCCGTGGGGCGGTGAATCGGTACAAACCAGATTTCGACAGTGGATGATGCTTGCATTAGTGCTGCTGCGACTGAGCCGCAAAATCTACATGCCGACCTCAGGAGCTCGGCAGACTTTTGCAGCCGGTCTGGGATCGAATCAGCGCATTGTGATTTGAGCTTCGAGGTCAGTTACTTGAGAATCGGTCGTCGCAGATCCGCATGCGTGGAGCAGCACAAGTGGGGAGATGTTGGTTTTGCCTGGAACCCCAGGCGCAAGCCTTCTCAGCCTGGAACAAGTTGACGAGGGCAGGGGTCTGCTGGTCAATGATGATTCCAAAGGGAGCCACACCATGATTGGGCGAATGTGTGTGTATGCGTGTGTGTGCATCTGTCTAGTGACTGACTGACTGATTGACTGAATCATGGTCATGAGGAGAGTGTCCCATGGGCACGGCTCCAGTATTTTTTCAGGTTGTCACAGCCTCACGATCCACCGCACGATCGCCTCAGCCTAATCAATCTGAGGAGCAGCGTGCCTGCGACCAAGCCTCGCGAGGTCTAGTGATATGCAGCTACTGCAAGCTGCATATGGCCCTGGGAGCAAATCGCAGCTGCGAGGATGGATATCTCGCCGCGTGGGTGGGCACCAGCCGGGGGGGCAAAGACACATGAGCAAACACAATGATCGACGTACGTTCCCATGGGCGGGAGCATGTCGAGGAGGAGCATCGCCATGGCCAGGACTTTGTCAAAGCGTCATAGCGCGCTGTCACCGACTTTGCCCGTGACCTCCTCCCCGACATGGAGGATGAGGAGGAGGAGAGGAATGAGGATCAACAAGCTTGCTCGCTGGCTCCCGCCATTCCCGTCTTCCCGTTTCGGTCGTGGGTACTCCCGCCAGGTGCTAGCGCGGCCTTTTTGGTGAGGGGCTTGAGAGCAGCAGCAGCAGCCATGACCAAGAACGTCGGTCGAGCCCAGCTGCTTCTGAAAGGCGCTCTGGAGGCTCCAAAGGCTGGCGAGGCTTGCAGGCCAGCCAGCCAGCATATGCCTGCCTGACAGCCGTCTCGGCCGGGCCCGGGGACAAGCATTTACCATGGCCAGATGTAAACGCGCTCACCGCCGCATGCACAGAGTGCCTGCCTCAGCGCGCCGGCGCGGGCGTCGCTTCTTGTGTGCAGCGGCCATCCATGCGAGTCAAGTTGAGACGACAGCCACAGCAAGCGAGGCGGGCAGAGAGGAGCAGCAGCATGGGGGGAGCTGGGTGCGGACTTTGCCTGTTCTTGGACGATCCGGCCGACGCTAAGCAGCGTGTTCTGCCAGGAACCAGGAACCAGGGGCACGCACAACCAGCCACTCAACTCCACCGTTTGCAAGAGTCGTCGTGACCGGGAAACCAAAAGGCATCTTCACCGCCAGTTTCATTTTCTCCACGCAAGCTGCTGCGCATTTCCATACGTGGTGCATGCATGCGTGCAGTAGTCGCGTCCCCACTCTCTGCCGGACCGCGCCATCGTCCCTGCTGCGGGGGAGGCTGAATCAATATTCGTTGTTTGACCAGTGGCCTTGCTTGCTTGCAGTCACTGTCCGGGTGGGCGGAAACTGGAACCATGTCTCAAGCCTCGTGGCTGGGCGATCGCGGCAGACTTTGCTTCCACATGGAAAGCCCAACCCTGCGTGCAGGCGATGCGTGTATGTGATGGTACGCAATAGTTCATAGGCAGGCCGGGCACACTCGAGACGCCGAGCCGCATTCTCTCTCTCTCTGGCGGGCATCAAGCAAGACTTGCAGACTGCGGCCATTCTCACAGCACGCAACGGTCAGTCAATCAGTCAGTCAGTCAGTCAGCGCTGCCGGTGTCTCCACAAAAGGATGACAGCCGATACTCGCAGGACTTTTGTCCAACTTTAGAAAAGTCGTCGAGTCAGCAACCCCGTGTCTCAACGGTTCTTTGTGCTCACCCCGGGTCTCACCTGTCAACCAACCCTTCCGAAGCACAATCGAAAAAGAGAACGCTTACAAATGATTTGGTTGGCAAAGCCAGACCACAAACACGCGCACACTCACACCCACGCGGGCACACCCTGTCGCAAAAGAGTATTGTCCCGGTCAGGCAGGAAGGGACCACGGAAGCTGGCGTGCCTGCTGTGCGGCTGGATGAGGCAATGGGAGGGGGAAACATGCACATGCACACAATATATGCACGCTCGGACCTAAACAAGGGGCATGCGTCTTGGCAGCGCCGCTGCGTCTACGCTGTGTCCATACATACAAGCGCCGCCGTACGTGCTGGCCTGCGTGACTCGGTATCGCACGGGCATTTTTCTCTGCTGCTTGCGTGCTGATGATGAGTGACAAGGTTTGGGCTGGACATGATGATATGCACTGCGACGGTGGCGTTGCGGGCTGCCGCTCTATCAATAGCCGCCTGTTTGTCGCTCCCGTTCGAGGCGTTTGACCCGAACAACGTAAGTGGGTGTCGGCGGGCAACTTCTCGCTGCTGCTGTGTTGCGGACCGTTTCTGGCAACAACCACTTACACAGCCGGACTGGAGCATGACCCAGTGTTGCCTGCTCACCAAGTCGATATCCTGTTCGGCCGCGGATGGAAGATGCCCCCAGCCCAGACTTTCCTGACACGCACACATCCACGCCCACACACACATGACTGTCTATCTGGCACGTATCTGCGTCTTCGCTGCTGCCGCTGCCGCCGTGGCCGACAACGTGTGCCTCTTTTTCCTTATCATCTCCACTATCGTCCTGCAGATTCCCCGCCTTCCTCCCTCCCCCCTCTCTTCCTGCAACACGTTGTGCGCCAGGATGCGTTGGTTGTTGGTCGGTTCGTCAAGCTCTTGTTTCCAGCTCCGTTTTTATTTTCCCTTGGTTTTTTCCCCCGCATCCGCGCCCAGCCCAGTCACAAACGAGCGCGCACGCGTGTGTGTGGGTGTGGGGGTGGTGGTAAGTCCAAAAGTGTCATTGGGGTTGAGAGATATCTTGAGACACGCACTGATGGGGCCGGTTTCCGGGATCTTTGTGGGGGTGGGAAGGGTGTGTGTAATCGGGCAACTCAAGAGCACCATTGATTCGCGATGTGATGATGATGACCGGAGGCAGTGGAGTTCGGACCGCCGCAGACGGGCCCTCATGAGCAGGAGAAAATAAACCGTGAGAGCGTCCTTGTGAACGGTCAGCAACGCCAGGTGTGTGTCTGGAAAAGTCGACGATCCACAGCGTCAGCCACTGCCGGGCAGTTTCGCTTTCGCTTACTCTCTCTGTCTTTCTCCTCTCCTCTCCTCTTTGAGTCCCTATCAGTGCCGGCTGGCATGGGGCCATGAGGCAGACAGCCTCCCCCCCCCCCTGCTTCAGCTCTTTGCAAACCGGAACAGGAAACTCGAAGAGGGCCTTGCCCAGGATCTGATTCCGTGACCCGAGCAACCAGCATTCGGCCGAGTCATTGAACTCAGTGTTGGTTTGCTCTCCCCATGTTCTCTGTCTCGCCTTGGGACCCTCCCTCCTCCAAGCGTTGTTGCCCTCGCTTTGCAACCTGAAGCGCTCTCTCTCTCTCTCTCTCTCTCTCTCGGCGTGCTTCGGGACCTCCACCCCGAGGTCTGCACATACGGGGTGGAAGCCAAGCCCCAAAGCTTTTCCCCGCGTTGTTGTTGTTGCTGCTGCTGTTTGAAGTCGGAACACCCGTGGATATTGGTTGTGAATGGGTCATTGACATTGATGAGACACAGTCACGGAAAGCCTTCGGAGGGAGCTTGTTTCCGGGCATGGTTCCATACGCAGACCGGGGAGAAGGTTCCATGTGTAAATCGTTTGACTAACTCCATTCTCTATTCCTCTGTAACCATCAGGCGTAGCAGGGGCATTTTTTCACGCACCAATCTGTCCCTGTGTGCTCCTGTCAGTTTTGCTACCAGGGGCTCTGTGTGTGTGAGAGAGAGAGAGAGAGTGAGAGAGAGAGAGACAGTCGACACCAAGCTCCGGAGAAAGACGCAGTAGAGCTTTGCTGGTCGTGAATGTGCATGTCTTTTCTGTGAGAGCGCGCGAGTCAAGTCACCGCCAACGGATGTTTCGAACATCACTAATGCAGCAGAGGACCAAGGCAGCTGCATCTCGATGTTGGGGTTGGGGCGTGCGAAAACAAATCCATGTGAGAGACTGGAGACGCATTCCGCAGACACCAACAACGGCAGGGGGGACATTCCCATTCGTGAGACCGAGGGCTGGTCGAGAGTAAATGGCAAAAGCGCAACAAAAAGATTAATCGACGCTGCCCTCACAGACAGGCAAAGTGAATTATCATGGGATGTATTCGTTAACTGGCACTGGCCTTGGGCACCTTCTCGACATCCTGATGTCTGCTGTCGACCATGTATTCCACCAAAGCATGGCAACTTGTGCAAGCATAAGAAGCACAGAGTAGGCGTGTAAGCAGTCTATTCTTGCAAACAAGAAAGCCTGTTACCGAGGAACGAGCCCTCTTGTTTCCAGTCCCCCGCGTACATCACCCAAAGTTTCACGCTTGAGCGCAGCAAGAACCCCCCCGAATACATCTCCCGAGTCCTAGCCGAGTCTGGCGAAAGAAAGCGCACCGAGCTAGTTCTCAACCGGAAGTGCCCGCCAGTCAAAACAATCCCCCAACCCGAGTCAGGCACGCCGAAACGAAGGCAACGTATAAAACAAGCACGTCTGATATCTTGACAGGTGTGACGTGACACATGCACCACACCTTACCACACCCACTCACATTCCCATGCCCAGACTTTGAAGTGTCGAATGGTTTGCGTCAGGTGGACCACCAGGAACTTCTGACCAGTCAAATAAGAAGGGAAAAAAAAGAAGGGAACAAAGAAGACACGCTGATAAGGTTTCTACCTGACGTATCTGCCGAGACGTCGGAGAATATACAACTGCCGACGGCAGCGACGACGAGCCAAGCGGCGGTGGCCATCTCACTCCTTGTTCCTGGCACCGCCCGTCAGCGATGAAATCCATGTTCCAGGCTGAAGGAGAATAGGGCGTGGGCAGCGCTAACGAGGTGCGGGAAGGTGTGTTGGTTTACTTGAAACACCTTAACCAAACATCTTAACCAACCACACACACACACACACACACACACACCACTGCACAAAAACGTAACACCACAAGCGTCGGGGGATAAGCCCGAAAATGGGAATCCAGTCCCGGCCGGCGAAGAACGGCCCGTTTTTGATCTGCACTTCGGTTTAGCTGTCAGTGACATGACTCCGGAATGTGCCTCAAAGCGTGGACGTGCTGACTCGGGTCTGCGCATGTCGGATTGGCTCGTGCTCGCTGGCGGGAGGACTGCTGAGAGTTTGGAGATGTAGTGGCACGAAATACCGGCAAGTGCCAGCACAGACTTGACAGTCGGCGAGAACTGTTGTCAGGCTGACATCCTGTCGAGATATACCCACGCGAGCGAACGAGAGATGAAGTCAAGAATGTATATTCGCAAGGTGTTCATGATGTCTAGCTATGTGATGCAAAACATGCTGTACAAGTATGCTGCCAGTTCCAACACAAATCATCTCTGGACGCCTTTTCCTTGATGCGTGAATCCCGTGATCCCGTGTCTTCGTAAGTCATACCCAAATCTATTTTGCCGGTTCCCATGCGTAATTCCCAGAGTCTGCCACGTGCCCCTAGTTGTTTGTTGGTCTACTAGCACAAGTCGTCCTCGTCCTCATCGTCCCATCCGAGTCGTGCGTATATCGACTTCGGCTTCTCTGTAACCACCGCATCGTTGACCACGGTGGCTGGCGCCTGCTTCGCGAAGATATCCGCGGATCGCTTGACAGGAGTGACACTGACAAAGTGCGGCATTGATGGTGTAGGTGCCGACCGCTTCACGGGCGTCTCCATCAAGCCCGCGCTCGGTGACGAAGGCATCGAGATGCCGCTGTCTCTGTGCGATAAACCGGCCCTGTAGCCAGCTTGCAGAAATCGAGGTTGTGCAATCTTCCGCGACATTACAGGGGAGGAGGCAAGGACACAACCTTCGTCGTTCGCTCCTGCGAGAAGGTCTGTCTCCGATCTTGTAGCTATTGGCTTTGCCGGGGTGGCTTCCACCTGTTCCGACCGCCTTGCCGTGGCTGGCCGAGGCCGAACACTGCCACGATCGTCTAGGCCAACAGACCGACGTTGCTTTCTCGGTGCTGAAGAAGGGACCATGGATGCCGAAGATGGGCCATCATATGCATCGACATCTTCGGAAATGGCCCCAAACGCCGGCTGACTGAAAGCATCGCGCCCAAGCACATCCTTGAAGCGCGAGGTTGTCGGTGTCGCCTTGACTACGCTCTGCATCCGAGGATGCATCTGAGGTTTCCTGGATTCTGTGCGGTTGTCAGCACAGTGCCAAGTCGACTGCAAGAGAGCGCAACTTACTCTTCAGCTGAGACAGCGTAGTGGTGGCTCGTCTCTCAGCGTCCTCCTCCATAGCCTGGCCGACGACTTCGCGATTTGGTCTCCTTAGTGCCGAAATGGCACTCTTGAGCTCAGCCTTTACCTGTGCGTCCTTCTTCACGCGATCCTCTCCCAGCTTTCGCTTCACGCCCTGAGCACCATTGGCACTCGGGCTTTGTGCAGTATCTTTCTCCGTGGCTGTGGGAATATTTGCAACCGGGGCTGGTTCGCTAGCCTCTCTCTTCATGGCTGGCAAGAGGGGCGTTGAGGCAGATCTCATCAGGGCGATCATTCCGCTGGGACCCCGCGACATGCTTCTGCGGTGGTTTAATGACTCTCTGGACAAGACATTCTCTAGACTGGACTTGTGGCTGGAAGACCCTGAGCGCTTGCTCGTCGTCTCTGGCTTGGCCTTGGCCTTGGAAGCACTAACATCGCGCCGCCTGGCTTTCGAACGAGGCTTTGGAGGAGAGATCATGACAGGCCCGCCTAGCTTCCTGTTGATAGAATCACATTGTTCGGGAAGACGTGCAGAAAAGCTGTCACATGGTTAGTCTTCATACGGGGTTGACTTGGCTGGAGTGCTCGTACAATGGGACAATGATGTCAACACAGAAGTCCTTTAAGGGGTCTGCCGTCGGCCGCAGACTGTCTTGATCTTCAGGATTCCGTTGGCTGTCAGTGCCATCCACCATGTTGACATCGTCGAGCGCGGTAGAGTGCCAAATCGTGAGTCGATCGGCATGCACGTCCAGGAGGAATGGGAGATTATGCCGGTTCCGCTTTTTCTTCTGTGGCTGGGATGCATCTTCGTGGAGGACAGCATCGTCACCAGGGAGCGACGGCTGCTGCGAGTCAGCACCATTATCGGAAGTGCATAATGGCTGCAAAGAAAGAATCTCGAGGATGAGGATCATCTGAAGTTGTGTTTCTCGGGATCTCAGATATGAGATTTCCCAACGTGCTTCTTGAGGCGACTGCCTCGTGGTGTCCTCATCGTCTTTTGGTTTCGGTCGACGGGTAGACCACCATTTGCGAACATGCTCTTCGTCGTCTGGGTATAGACCGTCCTTGTTCAGCTTCATCTTCTTTGCTCGCCTTTTCTTAGCCTTTGCGGCCTTGTTCTCTTCGTCAGAGTCCTGGGCGATTAGTTTGCATTTCGCGATTATCTCCGGGACGATTTCACGGTACTTCTTGTCGATCTGCACCGTTGTCATAATCAGAGTCTTGAGATATTCGACCAGGTCAACCATTTCAAGATCGCCATCACAGTCTAGATGGAAGGCAGCACGGGCACGGGACAACGGTCCTTTTGCAAAGTATGCCAGTGATCCCTGATATTCGGGTGAGCATATATCCTCAACAAACAAATGGCATCCTCACATACCCTGGAATGATAGAGTGTCTCTTGATACTGCCTCCGTATACTGTCAAAGATAGTGTCGGCGTCAGGTCGAGCAAGGTCTTCGAGAGCACTGTTCGCGTGATGTACATCCTCGGTGGTGCCTTCGCTTGTGCCGACTGGTGGTGGCTGGGCGTCTTGTGCTACGCTAAGCGGCGAGGGAGCTGTGGAAAGGAGTCCTGAGACTTCGTGCTCGATTGGAACCTGGAGATCAGACGCGTCGCCAGCCGATGGTCCCTCCAGGCTTAATGGCGGGGGCTTCTTGACAAGCGACTGGATTGCCTCGATAGCCAGTCTTCTCTTTTTGCTTTCGTGGTGGGAGCTTATTGTTGTGGTGGGCAGAGCTCGTGGTTCTTCAGTCTTGGACGAACTACGCTTTCTCAAGACTGCAGCAGCGACGAGCGACGCATCCCGGCTGAGCAGGCCAAGATCCACCCCATTGCTGAGTTTGCACAAGCTATATAAGCCGGTTTCCTGGCGCTCGAGTGCGTAGACTGTCTTGTCGTAGTCCAGCCTGGCAACCAAGATTTTCGGCTCTGCACCCATGCGGGCCTCAAGCTCGAGGACCTTGACCTGGGCATCGTAGAAGCGAGAGAACTCGAAGGAGCCCGAAGGGGCGGCCAGGTCCAGGAAGGACAATTGAAGAAGGCGCCGTGGAAGCAGCATCAGGGGTTGCAAGCTTCGAGGCTTCACCGAGAGCGTTGTTGGGTGAGGCTTGACGACTACGGGAGCCCTAAGAAGGTGCTCCATTGCAAAGGCATCGTAACCGCCGGGTGAGGACTTTGGCGAGGCGGCATGCTTGTGGTTGAGGCGGTGGTCGGACGAGGGAAGAAGGGCGGCTCGTGAGGAAGGACGCGACCCGTCAGTGGCCGCGAGCCTCGTCGACATGGGCAGGCAGGGAGGGCTCTTCAGGCACCCATTGGTGTGATAGAGCTGCAGGAAGCCGTCGGTAGGCGTACGAGAGGGCGAATATCTCTGGCGGGACTTTGCAGACGGGCAGGCAGTCGGTGATCGCAGGTCGAGGTGTCTGCTATGTAGCTCGCACAACCAGGGACGTTGTCAAGCATGTGTCAGTGCACTTGTCAGTGCACTAACAGTCAAGTGGCCTAGCTCCGACGGAGAAGACGCGCCAGGGCGCGCTTGCGGTGCTGGAGCGGGCGGCGGGATTGGCCCGACGCGTCCAGGTTCTGGAGCCGTTCCACTTTGATCTTAATGGTCGAATTGGTCTCCGTCATGCATGCAAGCAATTGCTGCACATCCTTCCAATTGCCAGAGCACGGAACAAGGAGACGTCACTGTGAAATCAGGCCTGTTGCAGCCAGCTACCAGCACATACTACCATGTAAGGCAAGGACTGTCGCGATCTCGATCGAGCCTCGGCAGGTGGTGCGGGCGTGCACACCTTCTTGTCTCAAGTTTGATAGGCACCTAGTCACATGGCGCCCGTGATACTCGAGCCGACCCCAGCACACGGCTTGGACGTTGCACAATGCTGTTGCCGGAGCCATCTCTCCAGCCAGGACGGGCAGTGTCTTTGTCCGTGGGCTGCAGTATGCAGTGAGTGGTATTGACAGCATGCATCGCCAGGATGACTTGGTCCCTCGTCCCCCCCGCACGGGTCCATCGCGTGGCCCTTAGTGACAGTCCTTGGGGATGAATGCAGGACAATGATGACAGTATTTCGTCCGATGTGCTCGCCATGCTCGAGTGACACGCGACGCCTCGTCTCGAGTGACGGGCGGAGAGGGCTTCACGGTGCTTCTACATGTGTCCAGCTGCGTCTTGGCCTGCCCGCCTGCCTTGATCCAAGGTGAGTCCAATTAAGCAGTGGCCCGCCCCACCTGAACCGGGCGCCGGGCAGCCACCAGTGCAGTGGGCCTTGGCCGGGCATGCCAGATCCCTGCAAGTCCACCACCACCACCACTGCCAATCTCGGCTCGAGCCTGTTGCTGCTCCTGCCCAGCTCCTCCGGTCCAACGACAACGACAGCCACCACCACCACCACATCCTCTTCCACCACCGTAACCGCTGGCCCTCTGCGGCAAGGCCTCGAGAGCTGCCCGACATTCTGTTCTTGCCGCCGAAACCACCCTCTGCCTACTCCTCGCGGCTCAAAGTCCTGTACCGCCACGTTCTATACAGCTCAAGGTCTACTCGATTCCAAGATCGCGACATCACGCCTCTCGACTTCCGATCTCCTCTGCGGCCCTCGTCAGCTCCATGACTACATAACAGACGACCGACACTTTCCGCTGCTGCGCCAGCAGCTTCGCAACCCGTACAAACATGTCTGACGAGTCGTCCCCTCGCGCCGTCCGCTTCTCACACGGGGAGGCCGACATGGTGCAGGACAAGCTCAAGAATGCGCGGCCCACTGTAGCCACAAACGATTCAGACGCCTCGGCTTCCTCTGAGGACTACGGCCATGATCCTCACGAGCTTGAGCGCCAGGACGAGCTCGGTGATCTCGCCCCGTACGGCGATGGGAGTCTCGCCTCGTCCATGGCCTCCCTCGCCCCCAACTCAGTGGCCAACACAGGCGGCCGCCAGCGCGCGCAAACACCATCAGACAGCGTTTCCGCCGGCGTCAACGGCACCAAAGGACGACCACTGGTCACTCGCACGCCCTCAGGTACATACGCTCCACAACGTGTACCCCGCTCCCAGCCCTCCTTCATCAGCACCAGCACAAGATCTGGCTCGAGGCCTCGCCGGAGCGACCCGGCCGACAAGTTCCGCGACCAGGAACCAGCATACTTGCGCATGATCCGTCAGGATCAACGGCCAAACGGCTACTTCGACCCTACGACCCCAAGCGTCGACTATTCCGACGAGGAATCAGAAGGAGAGACTCCGTCGTCGGACGTATTTGACGATAGGTTCAACGATGAAACGACTTTGTTCCAGAACATGATCGACGATACGCAGCCTACTGAAGAAGACATTCGTGATGCTGGCAACAGAGAGCGTTTGGAATGGCACGGCATGCTCGCAGCAGTATTGACGGGAGACGTTGTGCGGCAGGAGAAAAAGCGTCTCATCGGCTCATCGGATCAACAAGGTGGCAAGAATGCCCACAAGGCCGAGTTGTGGCTGGGTGTCCGCGCGAAGCTTACGGGTCGTACCTTGGCGCTACAAAGACGCATCGTCGAGGAGGGTCGAGCCAACCTCGACCGCACCATCGATGAGATAATTCGCTTCGAGGTACAAGGCGAAAGCGAAGCGGGGAAACCCCCCATTGAGCAGATCCGAGATGTCGTGTCCAAGATCGAAAAGCTTGAGAGCATGTATCCATCTTGGCAGGCGCTAGGCAGTGTCCACAAGACAGCCACCTCGCAGTCCTTCCAAGAAGCCTACGATGCGGTCATGTCCTGGTATAACACCAACGAACTCATCAACGCCGAACTGGATATCCTCAAGAAGTGGGTGGGTAATGATGATCTCGACTTCCAGCAGACGAAACAAAGGTCGCCGAGCACCAACGGGTTGAGCGATGAGACTTCCTTCATTGACCGATTGCTCAAGGAGGATGGGCTCAAATCACTCCACGATGACGACGAATCAGCACAAAGGGAAATAGCCATCAAGACCAAGTCCCTGATTCGGAAAAGTATGCTTTCCGTCATCTCCACCACAATAGCCAAGGCCAAGGAGACCTTGATTATGAACTCGGCTGCTTTCCTGAAACGGCATCTCCCGCCGTACATCGAGGAGATCCTGACACTGATCAGCTTCCCTTCGCGACTCATCGAGGAGGTTATTCGTGTTCGGCTGGCATACGCGAGAAAGATGAAGGAGACCACCCAACAGAATCTCATTTTACAAGACCAGATGATCGGCCAATTCCAGCTATTACTGAAGCTCGCCATCAGAATCAAGCAAGAATACCTTGCCGTGTCGCTTCCTCAACCAGGCTGGCAGCTGCCGCCCGTTATTGACGACTCTTTCGATCAAGTGGTCTTGGAGGCCCTTCGTTACTACTTCAAAATGCTGAACTGGAAACTCAGCCGCAACAAGAACACATTCAAGGAGGCAGAAGTTCTGTTCCAGGAATGGGACTTTGCGAACGAGATTGGTCGTCACCTTCAAGGTGGTGATATTGAGGTCGCCGAACAGTTTAGCAACCTCACATACAAGGCCCTGAACCGCCTCAGCCAGACTTTTGAGCGGGAGCTGCAGCGAAAACCAAAGGAGAGTGCTACGGATATGAGCAAGCGGTACATGCAGGTTCTGGACTCTGTTCGTGTCAGGCAACGAATGCTTCAACGGTTTTCCAGGATGTTGAACGATCACTACGAAAACGCCACCGACCTCAGCATCGCACTTGATGCCGAAAATCTCAGTCACTTTTATGAGCGACTTTTTGCTAATGGCCATTTCCTCGTCGACGAGATTGACGGCATCCAGATTGTCGCATCGCCAAGCTTGATTGGACGCGACGAAGAGATCCCAGGCATCCTCCGGAACTGCTTCCACGAGCAGATCTCGGATGACCCGACCGATCCTTACATCCTCATTCTTCGACCAGAAATGCAACTTCACTGGTTTGGTAACAGACGTGAGCAGCCACTCGACATTGGTACCATTGACCTCAAGCTCGGACAGATGCGTCTGATTGCCGATGGCACACAACATCGAGTTGCGAGCGCCCGCAAAGCGTTATTAGACAGCTTGGAGATGCACCTTGATCTGATTGTTGAGGTGCGATCCAACTTGCACAAAGTCAATACCCGGCTTATGGAGCTGCGGAAGGTCGCGTTCAAGCTGTCCAATACGTTCATGGACAGTGTTGGCGTCATCCGGATGCAAACACAAGGATTGGAGTGCCAAGATCTCATCCAGACATGCTTCGTCTTCGCGACCGAGTTTGGTCAACGATCGCATCTATATATGGACAGCAATCGGCGACAAATGAACAACATGAAGCTCATCAAGCTCGGACTGGAATGGGTCAGCTTCATTTGCGATGACTGTCGCGTCTCGGATCGTAAGTCGTTCCGCTGGGCGGTTCCTGCCTTGGAATTCACCATGACGATGACCCGTGGTCGCCACGTCCTGGGCTTGGGCGACGATGAGTATGCTCAGCTGCGTGCCAAAGTGTCTGGCTGCATGTCTTTGCTCATCTCTCACTTCGATATCCTCGGCGCGAAGTCAAATCAAGCGGCGCAGTCAGAGCGAGAACGAATTGAGGCGCTGGTAGGACAATTCAAGCGCTTCGACCAGAATCGTTTGCTCGATGACAACGAGGCCGCCAAGTACATTAGCGAGCAACGTCTGAACAGAATAGAGGAGCTCGACGAGCTTCAGAGGCAGACTATTGCCGAGAGACAAGGACTCGGCCGTGTCCTGGAGGTGTCTAATGAAGTCGACAGGTCACTCGCGTATCTGTCCTCCTCTGCCACGAACGTCACGATGCGGTGGCAGCAAGGCCATTTTGTTGGTGGCGGCACATTTGGCAACGTCTATGCGGCCATGAACCTGGACACGGGCCATCTCATGGCTGTCAAGGAGATTCGACTTCAAGACCCAAAATTGATTCCACAGATCGCTACTCAGATCAAGGATGAGATGGGAGTGCTGGAAGTTCTGGATCACCCAAATGTGGTCTCATATTACGGCATCGAGGTCCACCGCGACCGGGTCTACATCTTCATGGAGTTCTGCTCGGGTGGCTCACTGGCCAATCTGTTGGAGCACGGGCGTATCGAGGATGAGCAAGTTATCATGGTTTATGCATTGCAACTTCTTGAAGGTCTTGCCTACCTTCATGAAAGTGGCATTGCTCATCGCGATATCAAGCCAGAAAGTAAGTAGTGGCGAATTCGGGCGACCTTCTGAACAGTAAATACTAACCTCGGGCTGCAGACGTCCTCCTCGACCACAATGGTGTCATCAAGTACGTCGACTTTGGCGCCGCCAAGGTCATCGCCAGGCAAGGCAAAACGCTTGTGCATGGTGGCTCACAGCCGAATCGTTCCATGACTGGTACTCCGATGTATATGTCCCCAGAGGTCATCACGGGAGAGAACCCAGGTCGAGCTGGCGCAGTTGACGTATGGTCCCTCGGCTGCGTCATTCTCGAGATGGCCACTGGTCGGCGGCCTTGGTCAAACCTAGACAACGAGTGGGCCATTATGTATAACATTGCACAAGGCAACCCGCCACAGCTGCCCAGCACGGATCAGCTCAGCGAGCAGGGTATCGACTTCCTCGACCGATGCTTCACCAGAGACCCTAAGCACAGAGCTAGCGCCGTCGAGCTGCTCCAGCACGAGTGGATCATGGCCATCCGCAGTCAAGTCGTCGAGCCGTCAACCCCAAGTGATAGCACTGGCAGCTCGCAGAGCACGCCTCACCCCAACACTCCGGGCCCAAGAAACGGACTCGGGCAAGACGGCTTTTACTAGGAGTCTTCGCCGTCAGCAAATATACTCGAGGCCTGCATCGAAGAGGCGGCTGAGGCGCAAGGGAGCAATGAGAGTGCATCGGAAGACTCGACCTCTACTTTGTACGATATCTCCTCATCGGAGTCTGGGGATCGCTCAAGCCCATGCGCACGGCTTGAAGATTCGGCACCACCATTACCCACGTCGACCATTCTCGCCGCTCAGGAATCCGCGAGGCGGGCTGAGGTAAGGGAGTTTTGTGCGTTCCGGAGGAGAATGAGGAGTCAGACAGATCCCGTAACACCTTCGAGGGCGTTACTCGCACGGCACAACGCCGACTTTGGCCCACCGTCTTCAACAACAGTCTAGCTACGTCGAAATGCAGTGCGGAGCTCCTTCGTGGCGGGCTACGCTGTGAAATCCTCCACGAAGACTCGCTTAGACTTTCTTAACTCCTCTGCAGATGTTTGCAATGGGTTCGAGCCCGGAGTTGAAGCACGCAGGATTCTTGTCTATGGGACAAGACTATGCCTAAGTCGGTCGCCGAGAAGCGTTGCATGTATGACCAGGGTCTTTGCAAGCATGAACGGAGGCGCCAATCCAGACAAGACCACAGACCTAGAAGACATGGCATGTATGAGTTTGGGGAAAGCGCGGCAAGCGATGAAACAGTGTTCTTTTTTTTCATGGAGTTTGGGTTTCACAGCCCGGCGCAATCATTGAGTTGGGAGAAGACACAGTCAACGTACACGAATAACGACTGCTGGATGGAATGCGAGCATATGTAGCATAGTAATGTTATTTGATGGAGATGCTGAGAACAATACATCACGAACAATACCCCGCAGATTTGGCATTTATCCTGTTTGACCAAGCAACTTTGTAGTCCAACGCGAGTGCATGTGCCGTAACGTAAGAGACTCCCATGTCAGTAGAGAGATTCTGTAACAATGTTCAACCACAGATCGTACATACCGAGGACGAAATCAAGAGAGAGTAACGATGGGCAACAAGGTCAAATCAACACAAGAGCATACATAGTAGCTGTACGCGACATCATGCTCACCAGCGAAACTGACCATCCAAATCCATAAGTTCATATCTTTTCTATTATCTCTAAGCTGGTACATCTTCTTGATCCTGTACACATCATAACTCTTTTTAACCCACGCGGACGAGCTCCATCTTGGCGCCCCTCTTGCCCGTGGCCTCGTCCTTGACGTCCTGGATCCGCACGACGACCTTCTGGAACAGCTCGACGCGCAGGTCGCGGCTGCCACTCGTGGTGAGGACATAGTTCTCGGCGTCGAACTCGCTGTCCGGCTCGGACGCGCCCGCGGCCTCGGCCGGGGCGAGGTCGCGCAGGCGGATCAGGCCCTCGATGCCGAACCTCGGGACGAGCACGACGAAGCCGTTAGAGAAGATCTTCATGACGAAGCCTTCCTCCTCGGCGACGCGGCCCTTGAGCGCCTGCCCGACGTAGTACGCGATGCTGGCGCGCCCGGCGAGCTGCGCGTTGCGGTGGCGCACGTTGATGTTCTTGCACACGGCCTCGAGCTTGCCCCGTGAGCGCACCGCCGGGTGCATCGGCTCGTACTCGATGGCCGCCGCGAGCTGTCGGTGCGCAACGAGGTCGGCATATCGCCGGATCGGGCTTGTGAAATGTGTATAGATCTCAGAGGCGAGGCCGTAGTGCCGGAACTCTGGGTATGATTGGGTGCCGGCAGAGAAGTACTCGGCGCTCATCATGCACCTGGTCGCCATGATGCGGATCAGAGTGTTGAAGAAGGGCTCCTTGGGGTCTACGCAGCTGTCGAGAGAGTCGGCTAGGGCCTTTGACGAGTCGACACGCAGCTCGAGTCCGCGCTTGACCTTGAGCTGGTTGGCGAGCTCGTCAAAGTTGGTCTTGGGCGGCGCCGCGTGTCGGCGGAGGATGGCCGTCTGCGGGAACGCCTCATAGATCTTGCCCGCCACGCTGATGTTGGCGAGCAGCATGAACTCCTCAACCAACGAGTTGGTGTCGAGAAGCTGCTTTGTCTTGACGTCGATGGGATCTGAGGTCTCAGACTCCATCTGCACCTTGACCTCGGGCGAGGACAAGCTCAAGGCACCTGCGTCCATGCGCTTCTGCTTGAGCTTCTTGGACAGCATGAGCAATGTCCTCATGCCCTGGGTCAAGTCGTCCTGCTGTGAGTCGTCGTCGATGCGCAGCTGTGCCTGCTCGTAACTGAACGCTTCTCGTGACTTGATGACAGACTTGGTGAATCTGACGTTGATGATGTCGGCGTTCTGATTGACTTCCCATATGACAGAGAACGCAAAGCGCTCGACATACGGCTTCAAGGAGCACAGATTCGTGCCAAGCAGCATAGGCAGCATGTCGATGCGCTTGTCAACGAGGTAGACGGTTGTACCACGAATGCTTGCTTCTGTGTCCATCGCATTTCCAGGCTTGACGAAATGTGATACATCCGCAATGTGGACGCCCACTTCGTAGTTGCCGTTCGGGAGAGGCCTTGCGTGTAGCGCATCATCGATATCCTGGCAACCGATCGGGTCGATACTGCAAATGAGCAGGCCCCGTAAGTCCTCGCGATCCCGCCAGCCGGGATCCTCGGTACTCTCTGGGACTTTCCAATCGTGGCCTTCCTTGGGCAGGCAGTCCAAGACTGTCTTGGGGAACGGCCGGTATTGAACGTCGTACTCCAACAGTAACGCCTCAGTCTCAGCAGCCTTGGTCTCCATCTCTCCCAACGACCGGACGAAGTGGCCCACAGGATGCCGCGACTCACGGTCCCAGGAGTCAATGGTGACCAGGATGCGCTTGCCAAGCAGCTCGCCGACCTGCCGCGTGCGCAGTCTGATCTTGGGGATCTTCTTGTCCATGGGAATCAGGAACACGGAGTCCTGCTTGCGGCCCTGTTTCGATGACTGGCTGACGGAAGACTGGTCAATGTGTCCAACATACTGGCGCCAATTCCGCTTGATCACACCCACCACCTTGGCTGTTGGTTGCGGTCGTCCCTCCGTCGTCAAGCCCTGAGTCTTCTTGACCTCTTCTTGCAGCGCGCGTCTCTCTTTCTCGGTGACTGTGTCGCCGCCTTCGTCGTTGTCTGCGTTTTCGTTCTTGGTAATGTTCTCCTCCTCAATGATCTTCGAGGACGGCTCCTTCCACTGATCTTGCGGCAAGACCTCGACGACCACGACATCACCGTCCACAGCCCGGTTGATGTTGTCACGACCGAGGATGAGAAGCGCCTTTGTGAACGCGGGCACCTTGATGGAGCCCTCGAGATAGTTGTAGGGCGACACGTTGAAGATGCCCTGGTGCAGCATGCCGCTCTTGACACCCGTCATCATCTTCGACATGCTGTAGTACTCTGGGTACAGGAACTCTGAGATCCGTTTGTCCCGGGCAGCGCCGCGTTCCTGTGACTCGGCGATCATGTCCAGTAGGCGATCGGCATCCTCCAGACCAGAGACGTAATCCCGCAGGGTTGTTGCTGGTACCTTTTCCGCTTTGGCCTTGTCGATGTTGCCCCTGTCGTCCGTCAACATGACCACCGAGGGCAGCTTCTTGTGCTTGGTCTGCGCGAGGTGCTCATTGTACCACTTGACAGCCTGCCGCACAGCTCTGTCGTTGCGGTCGTTGATGCTCTCGCTCTCCCCGCGCTTGACAAACGTCTCTGCGCGAAACTCATTGAAGAATACATAGAACCGCTTGTCCTCGCTCTTGGTCAGGCCGATGAGCCGGTTGTACAGCGGCAGTGACCTGTTCCGGAGCTCCTCGAGGACTGTCTGAAGGATGATGACATCGTAGAATGCGGCACTCTGCTCAAAGAGATCCATGGCATTGAGCAGCGCGTTTGTGTCTGGTACGAGATAGTGACCATTGGGAAAAGCTTTGGTGCCTGCCGGCTTTTCTGATAGCACAAACGGTGTCCCTGTGATGGTACTTGTTAGAACTCTGATATCGAAACGGTTCCGCATGAGATGTGCAGATACTCACGTTCACCGCCGGCATTAACGGGAGCTATGGCCAGACACCTTGAGCACAGCTGCGAAGAGCAGGGGATGTCTTGGCGGAGGTATACCTCACGAACAATCTTCTGGACCTTGCCGCTCTTGGTCGACCGGACGTAGACCTTGCTCGAGAGCATGGAGCTCGCATTGTCGGGCCCGACCGAGCGTTTCAAGCTCGTCATCTTGGACAGAACGCTGGACGCAGTTTACTGTGATATTTCAGGCTGTCCCTCAGACCGGCTTCAGGGCCTTTCTGCAAAATGTCTGAACTGATTGTCTGTCGCCACGTCGATTTGAAGGATATCCCACACCAGCTTGCTTGCAGTCATCGATAAGATCTATCTTGAGCAAGTTGGAATCTCCACTGAGAAAAACTGTGGCGGGGCCATGACATGTGCACCCAGACTCCACTGCACCGGCGCAGAGTGGACCCTGTCAATGTGGCGCGCGGCTGGATGCACCGCCACACAAGAATGAACTCCCACCTTCTACCCATCTCTCTGCTGCACACTTACGACACTAAAGCACATGCTACCCGTCAGCCGTCGGACCCTGTGCAGGATGTAAGTCACCCGTTTACAAGCAGAGGCCGATTAAGTCCGTGGTTGCATCCAAAGCTGGCGGGCATGCACAACAGCCGCTCAGCCTGCTTCCGGTCAAGCCGGCACGTTTGACAAGACTGACTGGGCCAAAATTGTCGGTGACTGTCCGGGCCAGAACTGAACCATTCCAACTCGTATCCCGTGGAATTCGCTTTTCCATGCAAAACTCTCCGTGCTTGGCTTTTCCAACCACGAGAACCAAGGTGATCCAGCCACTGTGGATGACGTGTGGCCTCATTCCAGGGCATCCGGCTTCCCATCTTATTCAATACCCCCCCGTATGCCTTATGCCTCCCTGGGCTGGGCTGGGCTGGGCTGGGCCGGCCGGCGCTTGTATCGATGAGACATATCTCCATGCAGAGAGACAAGACAATGGACCAAACCCATGGCCCGCGCGCTTTCACACTCGCACGCCCTACTCACGGAAGTATGGCCGTGCGTCCAAGCGAGCCCGCGACAAAAGTCGGCCTCTCTTGTCTCAGTTGTGTATTGTGTCGAGCGGTGAAGAGAACTTTTTGAGTCACCCCCTCTGACGCTTGCTCAGATGTGATCACATCTCCGGACTCGCGGTGTTCAGGCTGGTAGGCCTAGTACTATAGTAGTTCGCACATCTAGCCGTGTCAGGCCTGAACGCGTGATACAATCTTGTCCTCGCGGAAACGGCACAGCTCGTGTATATCTATCCGCTTAACTTTTGTGCACGTCTGCTAGCAGGCTGAACGCCTTCTCCTCCCCGCCCACGCCAACGAAGTTTCACGGTGCCCTCGCTCTTGGGATCCCAAACATTTTCTCAATCCGCAGAGAGTGACCTTCACGGGGGCTCAGTCGACGACGCCCTTATCTGAATCCACAGCTTGCCAAGCCACACTTACGCGCGGATACGTGCAGTCGAGGCTACCCGTCGCATCACAAGTCATGTGGACAACTGCAAGGATGCTGATCTGTCTGCTCATGGCTGCAGTCCCACCCGTCCTCGCCTTCTGGGTAGTGGCCCAGACCTTGGTTGGATCCTGGCCTTTCAGATGAGCAGTTGACCTTGCTTGTGTACATGCGGAGAATAATCTCACTTCCACTTTCGTGTCGAGTATAATGGAGGAGGTCTGTACATCAGCACGGGCGGAGCTTTCCCCGAGGATGGCGATGATTGCACCAACGAAGCTGGCTTTCAAATTTAGAGCTCTTCTCACATGCCGCTCTATGCTGGATCCCCAAAGGCTGCCATGAGCAACGGTACGTCGTAGTAAGTACCATGATCGTCAAGGCCGCACTCAGATATGAAAGAACTTGGGGCGGTCGAGTGGGTCAGACAACCAAGCGGGCTCGATTTCTCTCTTTCTCCGCCGCCATGAGGGTAACCCGGGGCGTACACAGACGTCGCTTTTCGTTGTAAACATCACGGTTTCTTGCTCACCATCACCGGCTCTCACCCATGTCAGTGTCTCGGCTGGGTGCTTTGCCGTATTGCCACATACCTACACTCCACTTCTTTCCTGTCCACTCGGCTGTTCCCCCAGGCGTGGACCAGAACCTATCGATTTATGGCGGAAAACGCGAGCCTGGCGTGCGGGCCGACGTCACAGCGGACGCTGGACCTGAAGCCGGACGGTCGTCAAGTCACATCGGGATTTGAACCAAAGGGGATCACGAGATGTGCTAGGCTCCTCTCTGTCGTGTAAGTCAGGCGGGCAATCGACAACTCTGCCGCCCTTGCCTCCTGGAATCCGCATCGCCACGCCATTTCCCCCATGAATACGTCCAGACGGGTGTGTTCCTATCTAGTCGAAACACCATGCTTGATAGGCTTTCTGTCGACAGGTCCCAGCTCGTGAGGTCACCCCATTTCATCGTGGTGATAAAGCCGTCCCCGGAATATTCCTCCCACCACCGCGACTGGTGTTGGCGGGGTTGGACTATTGTTCCATAAAGCCAGTCGAGTGGGTCCTGATTGTTATCATGGCCTCGTGATGTGCATTCCCCGCGCACCATGATATGCTCCCGCGCGCTAGACGAGGCGGCCGGGCATGGCCCAGCCCCATCACGGTGGGTGCATTCCGCGTGAGTTTCCTAAAGCCTGCCCAAAGGTATGATGACCTCGATGGATGGGCCTAGAGCATGACAATGTTGTCGCAAATTATGATATCTAGTTGCCTTACTTCGTACAGCGGAGCCGGCACGTAATCCAGGTTCTCGACATGGGGGTATTGGGGCATGAATGCTGCTCCCATTGCGAAACGTGAACGCGACCGACCCCTCGTTCCCTAGCCTGATCAGGACAACCCAGCGCCCTGTCTAAGTTTGGTCCTCAGCTTGGATCGCCGAGCGGCTATGCCGGCGGCTAAAGGGAACTTTGTCGACCATACTTTTCGCCGTGCCATCGCGATTCGGGAAGCTGGGCAGATCATGAAAGCGCCAGAAGAAGTGGTGGGATGCTGAGTACGGCCCCCACCAGCAGCGTGTCGTTACTATGGGATGAGGCAGCAGGCGGGTTGGTCCTCAACCTTGCAGGATGCCATTCATGATTGAGGCGCAGAGGCTGTCCACGATACCCCAAACTGTCTCAGTCGAGTGCCACGTGCTGTGATTAGAGATGTTTGCTTCACATTACTCGATGCTTTTCTGGGGCAGGATATGATGTTGGACATGGGCAGCTGCGGCAGATCGGCGGTGACTGTCCGGGGTCCCCTTGATGCCACTGCGGCGCAGCAAATTTGAGTGGCACCTTCAAGGCGAGCTTGCGCAGGCGCGTTAATCGCAGCGTGGCAGTTTGTCAAAGCTGTGTCCCGAATCAAGCTAGCCACCGCTCCAATGTGAGCGCACGTTGTCGTCTGATGAAAGGATACTTTAGCTAGTGGTTGCGAAATGGCACTGAAGCCGCTCGACGGACCTGCACCCCAGAGACGTCAACAAATGCCCGGTTACTGAATACAAGGACAGGATTGGAGCTATGCAACGAGCATGCAAGAGCGGGAAACAAGGGGTCTCCCGCAGACGGTGGTGGTGGCGTGGAGGTTGCGGGCAGATGCTTGGGTCCAAGAGGATCTGACGATCATGGAGTGCACTCCATGGAAGATCGAGGATGCCAGTCGCAGGGCTAGGCGCCTGTGAAACTGCCGGAGAGGAGGGTCAACAAGCTTAAGTGCATCATCCCAGCATATTCAACGCAAGCAGAGGTGAACCAACACAACAAGACTGTTCTGTCCACCGGCAGGTGTGGCGATACACGGAGTCGTGGCGTTTCCAAGTCGGCTAGAGGACAAGCAAGCACGCCGGTCCTTTAGTAGCCACAACAGGCTGGCGCTTGTTGGAACCGTCCACGGCTTCTGGGCAAAGCGATTCTGTGCTGTGTGCTGCTGGGGCTTATTGACCAGGCCAGGCAGGCGAAGGCTCCAAACCCCCCCCCGCCGCCAGCCCGATGCTCAGATAGATTGCGACGCGCCATGGGCCAAGAGCGCGACGTGACAGCGCCCAAGAGACTGTGCTGTGTGTAGGCGTCTGGAGAGAGGCGCCCAAGCGCGGCTTGTGCGGATGAGCTGCTGCAGAGGAGTGGGTATGAAGATGCGACCGCGGGCCATGATGTGCAGATGGAGGCTGTCCTGTGGGCGGACAGGGAGCGCATCAGAGAGTCAGCGGGACGCTTTCTTCATCGTAGCCAATGAGGGTCGTCCTGGCTGCCTTCCTTGTCTCGAATCCTGGTGGTCGTGCAAGGCATCCTCACCCCATTTCATTCACGCATGCGCGATCCTGGCCGTGGTGCCCACACCATCTCGAGCTTCAGGCAGGCAGACGAGAGCAAGCTCCACGAGGCCGCATTTCCCCAAGAAGCCCTGCCACCATGGTGCAAGCGTGCGACAGGGAACATTCACTCCGAGTCGATCACGCGTATGTTCACTGGGAGGCCACCCATGCTGCTTTCCCTCGACGCCCAAGTTCGTGAGCTCAAGCGTAAGGAGATGCACGCTCATTTCTCGACCGTTTGGAGTGACCTCGCTCCTCAGAGAAGGGCCATGCTTTCTCGTCTCTGGCTCTTCTGTAAAGGGCTACGTCGACCACCACACACTGCCACGAAGCGTGCCAGCACACTTTCCTGTTGATTGCCCACGGTGACAAGCGACCGTGGCGATGGTATCGTTGAACCTCCAGGGTTTTGTTGCATAATTTGAGGCACGGCCGCTCATCCAGTCTGCGAAGGCAGCTTATAAAGAAGCCGCATCGCGTACTTGGACCGGTTGCAGAGCAAATCGCGAACGGATACTACACCGAAAGGGTGCAACGCCGTGAGCACAAGACGCGGTCGCTGCGCGTGAAATTCGGTCACTGCGATGAAGAGCTTGTCGTCCAGCACCAACCAATGACGAGTTCCACAGCCACTTCTTGCGCCCCGGGCTGTTCATCGAATCGCGGTTGTCTCCTCACAATATGTGACGCACAATGATGCACTCACCCCAAGATTCAGCTCTTGTCGTTCGCATCGGCCGTGGCGAAGCGGGGAAGCCTCGTCAGCACATGCTGTCGCGAAAATGCTTATGCTTGACAACAGATGAACGACAAAGGCAGTTTCTGGTAGCGCGTGCCCCGGCTTCTTTGTGTGCTCGCAATCGCAGTTTCGCTTCCACCAAGCAGAGTGGTCTACTTTATGCAAAGGCATGGTTGGTCATGCGGTGCTGGATCTCGTACCCCACCGCTGATGAGCCGGTTCCTGCTCCTCGTTGGTGATGAAGATGACTGTGTTGTCCCTTTGCCAAGTGCCCGACGAAGCCGTGGCTCCCAACATATCCAAGCAGCGCACCCGTCCATCCCGGGGTGGCTCGCCCCTGGAAGTCTACTCGTACTCGGATTGGTGGGACCCCGACAGCCACGACCTGCAGCTCGACGCATTCGCTCTTGAAGCAGCGCTTGGCTCTTTCGCATATGCGTGGTGAGACTAGAGCTGACTTGTTGTCAAATTTCGCGCGGCTTCTCCGTGTTCAAAACTGGGGCATCTTCAGTTTGAATGCAGTGGAATAAGCCGGCTTACATGTGAGGGAAACGGGCCTTTGGTGACCTCAAGGCAAGACGGTCGTGGCTCATGACAGACCACAGTGCCAGAGACCAAGGGCGTCCCGATAATTGCACAATAGAATGAGCAATGATAGTACAATGGTAGGTATGTCTTCCCCTGGGATGCCAAAACACAACTCGAGCTCTTGGCTACCTTGGGTATATCTCGTGATTCTGGTTCGAGCTCCAGTGCCAAGAGGCTACCGCGCCGAGGTTGACCTGCTAACTCCGCGGGGCCGTGCTGGGTAAAAGCTGTCAGTGCAGTCGTGGGAGGACTTGTGCGCAGCAGTTGATAATGCAGAGCCATGTGTCTTTTCTGTGTGTCGTCGTTGTCGTCGCCAGGGACGCATGCACAGGCGCAAGAGGCGCATCGGCCGACGTGCTTGGGGCTAACCTTGGGTGTCAGCGATGCAAGCGAGTGGACATTTGCTCGAAAAGAGACCGGGGAGTGGCCGTTGCGTGATGCTCCAGGAAGGCGCCTGTGTCAGAGTGTTTGGGACTGCTTGCCGGTGCCTTGGAAGCTTGGAAGTTGCACGCGTCCCCCGAGGGTCCAGACGGTCGTTCAGCACTTCACCCGAGCCTCACAGTGCACACGTACGGGGTCGCTTGCAATGGCAACCACAACCCTGGTTCGCTATGCTTGCACGCACACCGGCCCTGTTAGATTGAGCCGGCTGACAGCTCCGGAGCGGCGATAGTCTTTTCAGGCAAGTCGCCATTTTCATCCTCGGAACCCAATGCACCCCGACTGCACATGCAGAGTCAAATCGCTGTTAGTGCCAGGCCCGCTCCAGAGAGCTGGGCGGATCAGCACTCACATCTGAGATCCAGCTTCAAACGCCACGAAATGAGCACGAAAGAGCATGCCGCTGGCGGCCAAGCCAGAACTCAGCACGGCCTCGGAAGCCCGGTGCTCAAGGGGCTCTGGCATACCTGGCATGCCTGATGACGAGCGGGAAACGACCTTGTCACTGGCCTCATGGAGCTTACTCATACCTGCGCAGCGCTTTGGACACCCCGCCCTGCTAAACTACTGCCACAAGCACTGACAAGTAGAACACGGGACGGATGCTTGAGCAGCCTGGGTTGTGACGTCGCTGAGCAGAAGAAGCCTTGTGGCAACGACGAGAACAGGAGCTGCCGGCGCGAATCGGGAGGCACTGTGTCCGTCTCATGTCATGATCGTATTGGCTTATTGGCTTACAGCTGCGCTCTCGTCCCATTGGGAGTGAGTAATGGTGGCAGGATCGCCACCATGGCACACCCTCGGTAGTTGAGCTGCGATTGACAACAACCATCAGATACCCTTGTCTGCCACCCCAGCGATCTTAACTCAAGCCAAGTTTTGTGCCATCGCCATGGCCAGAAACTGAGCTAGTACATGCGACAGCTCTGCTTTATTTGTATACTGCAGGTTGAAATCACAACCACATATTCATCCCGTCTACATGACTCCCCCAAGATGACCAGTCGCTCAAGTAGGCACGCCCTCAAGGTCACGCAGCAGATTTACGGTGCTGATGGAAATGGACCGAGCGTGCTCGATGGTCCAGCGTGTCGGCTGTTATTTCGCAGTGTATTCCACCTCCAATCTTCGGCCACGAGAAAGTGTCCAGCACGACCCCGCCGCTCGTCATATAGGCCAAGCTTGCATCTTAGCTCCCACGACTGCTTGATGCAACTGGTTCCATATGTGAACAATCAGCAACGACGGCAAAGCCATCGCCCAGGTTACCCGCTGCCAAAGTCGCGTTTATGCTGTCGGTCATTGTGCAGCACTCTGTCTGGTTCTAAAACAGTCTCGCGAGATATGGCAGGGCAGGCACAGCGGTCTTGTCAGAAGCCCAGTCGAGCCCCGCTCCTCCCTTGCAAGCACCCTGCAACGCCACCTCTCCTCACCCTGGCTTGGCAAGCCGCTTGTTTCCCACACGCCCCCTCCTTGGTCAGACCGATGTGCAAGAAGAGCTCTTGTCAAGAGCTTCAACGCCGTACGTGGGAGGGCGACAGTTGCCTTCCGAATTACGATCAGACAAGGGCCGCGCGATGTTGCTCTGGGGCCTTCGGCGGTCACTGCCGAATGCTTTTGGGGTGTCGATCTGTCCCTATCCCAACCACGTGTGCTGCGACGATCAACAACTTTCCAGTCAATCCTGCCAGGCGAGGGGCTCTGGGCGTGGGGACGACCCGACCGAAGAATATCGCAAATAGCACATGGGGAGCCACTGGTATGTGGATAAAGTGGCGTCTAGCAAGCCCACATTGCGCGCGAGAGAAAGCGCGGAGCCTGCACGCCATGCTGATCACTCCTCAGAAGGCCGTTGCCCTAAAAAGGAAAGCTGGCCTGACTCTTCATGTCAGGCTCGCGTGACGCATCGTGAAAGGCGGCGTCGATGGCAGCATTGGTTTTGTGTGTGTAAGCAGTCGAGGACAGACTCAGCGTCACAAGAACTCCCAACAACAACCGTGCAAGCGATGCTGCAAAATTCTCGCTCCCATTTTGACAACCAACAGAACCCTCCGACCCATTACTCTTTACGGCCTTGTGCGCCTGTCTCGGATCCGTTCATACCGAGGAGTGCCCTGAAGAAATTCATTTAACTAACCGAGCTCCAGCTGGGCTGGACTGGACTGGACTGTGTTTGAAGGGCAAATGATTTGATGTGACAAAAACGTCCTGAACATGCCAATACGCAGTGCCTTGTAGTCTTCACTAGATCCCAAATCTGCCTCATGCGAGGCGAGCGACACTGACAGCAGCCCTCCCTGTTGGCCTGCTGCCAATGGATTCGCGGTGATAACAAAACTTTGGTGACGCCTGGTACTCGACTCAATATAGCAGACAACAGAGCCGCGATGCCGCGAGCCCAGTCACGCCATACTCGGATGGCGCCAGTGCACGCGCACGCATGGACACTTTGACAGAAGGCGCCATTCTGACAAGACTGGGCCACCACCCACTCCGCTGCCCGCCCTTGCGCCTTCCCGCTCCCACCCCCTCAGTTGAGTTGCGTCAGTCCTGCCGAGCTGGATTCCTCAGGCAGCCGACGCCTGTCCAATGACATGGAACCCCTACACCCACGCTCGGGGTGCGGCTGGTCGCTGCCTGCCTGCCTGTCTGCCTGCCTGCCTGCCTGCCGCATGAGCACACCAAGCATCATAGTCCAGTCCTGCTCCCATCGCGGCCCTCCAGCACGAGCACCACCACACCATCTACCCCAGCTTCAGTGCCCGCTCACGACTGGGGCCAGACATCGGCTACAACCGCGTCTGTTCGATCCTCATCGTTCCCGCCCGCCCGTCGTCTTGCCAAGCACCACATCCTCAACGACGAGAAGCTGGCCCTTCGGCTGCTGGCTAGCTGATAATATCGCTCATTTGTTTACCCAACCAGCTCTGCTTTGTCCAAACTCGGTCCTCAAGTCCGTTTGGCCCCATGTGCTCCATGAGCGACCGCCACAGGCGTGTCGCAACTTTCACCAAGCGCAACGGCCCGCTGTGGTCTGCTGCCTCCTCGCCAGGCTGGACAGCCGGCACACCCACTGTCGAAGCGCCCTCCACAGTCTTGCGCTCTCAAGTCAAGGTACCGCCGTCTCCCACTCGACGTGAACCGCGTTGGGACAGTGCCGAATCCAAAGTTCCAGCCGTGCCGTCGCATTAAACGGTCCTTTGTGTCCTCTGATACGCCCGCGCGAGCCTCAAACCCGACTTCAACCCGGTCAGATGGGTCCCGCAGGCGAACTGATTACGCTAGCTCAGCAACTGGGCTCCATGTCGCATCGAGTCTCCACTCTGCCGCCTCCGCCACATCCCTACCTGGCCTCTTTTAGACCATATCCCAGCTCGCACAGCTCGGAGGCGTATTGAGGAGCGCAAGGATCCGTCATCGCAAAGAGGGAGGACGTGCAAGGGCATGCGATCATTCAAGGTGCAAACCTGCCCTGCCATGGTCGAGCACTCTCACACCCGCCAGCGCCGACACATATACACGCCCCCCCTCCTTCCACGCCCTCTGCCACCCAGAGTTCGTCCCGGGCCATCCATTCATTTGTCGCGAGGAGGCAACAACGCTACTCTCGCCCACTCCTCCCTAATACAACCAACCTATTGTCCCGCTGAGGCCAAACACACCCTCACCCCACCAGCACCACCCCTCGCCTGCCTCGACCTACTACTCATCAGAGCTCCAGCTCGAGGTTTTCCTCAAGCATCTGTCTAGACGCATCAGTGACTTGACTGCATATCCTCCGCCAGCCTCGCTGGCCACCCGCGCAACGCTGTCGCAACTCCCTTCTCTTTAAGCCAACCTCGAACCGTAGTGGTCGCCTCCTTGCTGTTCGTGTAAGGCACGCGCCGCTTCACCCCAATCCCACACTCCTGATCCAACGATATCGAGACACGTCGTGCTGCAGGCGTCACCTACCTTGCGCGCGCGCTCTTCCTCTCTGTCGCGGCTCGCCCGTCCGCCATTCTCCTCGGCGCGCAAGCTCGTCGCTCGTCGCGCGGATGTATACCACGCAGACTAACGGCGCTGAGGGTGCGACAATCAATCCAGCCACTCTCAATCCAGGTATGTCACAGCTATCATCATTTCTTCTCCCTTCCCCGTCGCGAAAGTGTTCGCGTAGACTTTCAACCTCAGTTCAGCATCATTTCGAGATCGCTATGGACATGCACGAGCGTGCTCGTTGTCGCGACTGGGAATGCTGTCTGAGTTGCGCGTGCGATGGTGGGGACTAAGGTTCCTCCACCACGCTTGTTCGCTGCCATGGCAAGCGGCATGCTATAGAGTGTCGTCGTCACTGCTACACCTCCAAGCCCTCTGTCACCATGACACCTTCTTGGTCGTGATTGCTTCATGAAATCACCGGCCTTTCGATCGGAAACATCAGCCCGGCAACTGCCTCAGTCCATCCTTCACACATCCGCGCGCTCCACTTGCTGTGACTAACTCAGGGGACCCATATCTTGCAGAACTGTTGAACCAGAATTCTCGAGGACTCAAGCGCAGCCGGTCGCCAGACAACCTTCAGGGCACGCAAACAATCGCCAACCCAGGGGATGACGGTATGGTCTCGCCATTTCTTTTGATGCTCATTCACGCGCATGCACACTTTTGGATACTGTTTTCACTGTGCAAGCACAGCACGTACTACCCTGCGCAGTCGCTTGGAACAGGCAGCTAACCTCCCGTCGCGTCGTGTCCATTTCAGATCCTTCTCATCAGAGAAAGCGCAACCGGCCTATGAAACCAGCAAGAACCTCAGGTGGTTTGACCGACTTGCATCTGGCACAGCAACACGCGACACCCATTCCTCCACCTCCAATGGCGCAGCCTCCGCACGGGCAGCAGACCCTGCCACCACCGCATACTCCTCAATCACAGAATGCGCCTCTTCCGGGGCAATCAGCAAGCTACTCTGCGCCGCAGACATCTCCTCCTCCAAAGACGACACCGACCAAGAGTACGTTGAAGGCTCTGCCAACCGTGCGCGATCACACTACCGACCAGCTTGGACCTGGTGGCGATGAGTACATTCCACGAGAGACAGACGAGCAGGGCGAGAAAAAGGTGCTGCTCAATGGGCAGTTGACAGGCGGACGGGAGTATCGATGTCGGACCTTTCTCGTGCCGAACCGCGGCGACAAGCTTTTCATGCTGGCTACAGAATGTGCTCGAGTGCTCGGCTATCGCGACTCATACCTTCTGTTCAACAAGAACCGATCGCTTTTCAAAATCATCGCCAACCAGGTTGAGAAGGATGACCTGGTTTCTCAGGAGATCTTGCCGTTCTCATACAGGTCGAGACAGATTGCCATTGTGACCGCGCGATCCATGTTCCGACAGTTTGGAAGCCGGGTCATCGTGAATGGGCGGCGCGTGCGGGACGACTACTGGGAACAGAAAGCCAGGAAGCAGGGGTTCACCGAGGCCGACCTCGCTGGCGAGAAACGACCAGGTGCGGCTAAGGCTCGAGAAGCTGCGGCCGAGGCCAACAATGCTGCGGCGTCTTTCGCTGGCGGACCAAGTGGTGAAATCATCTACACCAACAATCCGGCTTTTGGGGGTGCGCCAGCGCCTCAACCCTTCCAAACAGGTATGCTAGGATTGCCATCTGGACCCGCGACAAGAATGCCCGTAATAACCACAGGACCAGATTTGAACGATACAAGGACAAGAGACTACAGCAACTTCATCAAGAGTGGCCCACGGCAAGAAATCACAGGACATCCCTATCAGGATCAGACCAGACCTACTCCTCTCGGCGATATCCACCAGCAAGCACATCACACAGCTGAATTCAACCGTGGTCTGAATCAGCAGCGGGAGATGAGAGGAGACTATCTGCAGAACCTTTGGCGGCGTCCTCACGAGCAGCCTGCATCTTCGCAACCTGTAGGTCCATCGGACACGCAACTTCCGGCCACTCGTCCTGGGCAATCTCCGCATGCGTCGAGCGCCAGCATCCAGCCGCCTGGCATCGTCCCGAACCAGAGTCCTCAGATGATGATGACGGCGGCCCCTTACAGCCAGCCTCTGCACTCTCAGCAGTCGCTTGGGCAAGGCCAGATGAGGTCTATGCCGCAGCCAACGGCACAGAAGCAGTCCAGGCCCGGCGCTCTGCAACCAGGAAGTGGCACAAGCTTATCTCAGGGCTCGCCAGCGTACAATTATGGCTCGTCGAGTCAGATGTGGGGTCCGCAGACACCACAAGCGCCACAGCACTACTCGGGATACGGTGGCCAGACACAGGCTTCTCATCCTCAACAGTCTCCTGCTCCGCAACTTCGCCATCCCGGAAGCTCTGGACAGATCCAACCCGGCGCCGTCCAATACCCTGGCATGCCAGGAATGGGCCAGTCTTACCCACAGCACGGACAGGGCATGTATCCTGCAGACCAGACCACGCCGAGGCAGTTCATGCCTCAAAACACTGCTGGCAGTCCTGCAGTCACCCAGGGATGGCCAAACCCTCAGACATCCGCAGGCGGAAACTGGTGGGCCGCCAACCAGCAGCAATAAATCGTTGCTGACTTTCGTGGTGTCTTGTCTTCTAAGATACCACACCACCCTTGACCTCTTTTCATCTGGATCTTTTTGATTTCGTCTCGTTGTCCGCTTGGCTTTCTGCGGATCCCAGCTGTCTCGAGCGACCTCTTTTCCTGTTCATCGAAGAGCATTTTGAGATACCCGCGTCGACAGCATTGGAGGAGTTCCGGCGGCACTTTATCGGTACTGGTCAAATTGGTCCCTTCTTGGATCGTTCAATCAGTGGGGGCTCATACTTCGGATGTCCGAGCCGTCTCGGCCTAAGTTTCGCCAGGTTGACTGATGAGGCAGAGGCTCATTCCGCTCGACTTGGTTCTGCGAACCACGTGATCTGAAGTGCCCCGTCCACTGCGGTCCACTTGGTCCTCTTCGGCTTCTTCAGTTTGTGTTCAATTCTCGTGTCGGCTGGCATTGTGTCGATACCCTTATGTAGCAATCACGGGGTTATATTTGGAATCAGGGCACTTGGAACTTTTTCGCCTTGGCCCTCAGTTGGCTATATTTGTTCTTGCGCGCAAATCTTGATTTTGACGGGCGGGTAGGAAACGAGTTTGCATATCCAACTTGCTCATCTTTGCTTCCTTCTTTTCCCTCCTTCCTTCGGACGTACGCACAATGAGGCTTTTTCTTTTATGAAACACGGCATATTTCTGGGACGGATGATCTGGGTAAACGAAGGGCTGCGCGAATTGGCTTTTGATATGGTTCCTCTTGTCTCTTTCCTTGTCCATCTCCGCTCTTGGTAGTGTGGCTTGTATCGTTCTGTTACTTGTTCAAAGCTCTTGTTCTTGACAGTACCAGCTTGTTCTGGAATGAACAGCATGAATCGTCCTACCGTTTGTGAGCTATGGTTGATGTGTGTGATGGCTGCTTTTGTGTCTGTCTCATCCTCTTCATTTTCTTCTCCTTTCTTTTTCATCCTCCTCCTCCACCTTCGCCTCCTTCCATGTTCGTCCTGTCCACAACCCATCGTCTCCGAGAATGTAGAAAAGACTCCAGTGGTCTCTGCCCGCCATCGTGGCCTCTTTTTTTTTTTTCCCCTTTCCACAACAGTTTCGAGACTTCGGCCCGTTCCCCGTCCCCTGATCGAAACACTGCGAAGCGCCGGCCGAGGGGTGGGCGAGTTGGAGTGAACACATATCGAAGGAAACAAGACACGCACACAGAACGGCAGACGGACGGACGGAGAGACGGATGGGGCAGGGAGACTCCGTATGTCTTCAGGTTAAGCAACTCCCTCTCCATGTTGCTTGCTTGCTTGCTAGCGTTTCTGTCCTTCTTCCTCCTCTTCCTCCTCCTCTTTATTGCGGTCCAGCCCAGCCTAGGTCCAGCCTGCCTTTATATGTACGTAATGTTTGTATGTCGACGTCGGTTCAGGAGCGCGTAGGTATGAAGGAATCAGGAGGAGAGGTAATGAAAGACGTCGCGGCACTCCTGGGGGAGGGGGCAGATGGCGCTTCTTGTGGTATAGAAATGACAGCGTGAAGCACCGTGGTCTTGTCGAACCACTGTGCTGCTCTTGGACTTGTATTTCCGGGTTCCCTTTCGTCTATTCCACCTTCTCGAGTATGCTGGCCTGCATCACTGTCACCAGTAGCATGAGATTCACGCGTGTCGCGGTTTGCATACGTACTTAAGTAGCTATATATATCTGGGGCGCGTAACCACGCGACGTTATTATTAAGTATGGCTCAATTATTCGTGGATTCTCTTCTGACTGGTTGTTTCCCAGAATCTGAAATGATTAAACAAGGGTATCATTTGTTGTTTCTTTCCTCCCTTTCCCGGTTTTTTTGCTCCAGTATCCCCTTTGTCCGTGATGTTTCCCCTCCCGTCCGTCCCGAGCCCGAGTTCGTCATATTAAACGCAAGGAGATTAAACAAGATGGTGTGCGCCTGCATTGCCGTGGCGTTTATTCACGGCCGGCATATACATGGGATGGGCCAGAAGACCTTCATACATAAACGATAGGAAAAGAGAAGATTGCTTTGCATTTGCATTTGCAATGGCTGGAAGCTGGAATGGACCGCTTAAAAGAGAGTTCGCATGCTCAATGCCGACCAAGAGAAGCCCAGAGTGGGCTTGTGAGAGAAAATGTTTGAAATGGAGAGAACGGCTCGATTGTACAATGGCGTGTGGCAATGCCGAACCACATGCTACCGGTCGTGGATGCTGTAGTCATTTGGCGTCATGTTCTGGATGAAGTGGATATGAGATCGGGAGAGATCCGGTGATGATCTTGACGAGGTGACGGACTCATTGGCGTCCCAGTCAAACTGTGTGGCACCATGTGTCTGGGCAGCCAGGGAAGTCTGCCCCACCATCGACATGTTTGGATACAGAGGCGTCGCGGGTAAGCTGCTCCCGCTCAGATCGACATAGCTGGGCATTTCTCTCGTGTGCAGGTCCGGGAAACCTGACTGGAAGAAAGGAGTCAAGAGAGGCTGGTCCACGAGATCGGAATTTGACGCAAAGTTTTGCAGAGGGAAGTGTGCGGCAGAATGCATGATGAGACCTGGTGTGCCTGGGGGCGTCTTGATGTTTGCTCTGAAGTCGCCGGGGAGACCCATAGGAGTGTTTGAGTCCATGAGAAAAGCATCGTCATCCACAGTCGTGTTCACCGCTGGCTCTGCAGCTGGTTGCATGCCCAACACAGCAGGCGTCATGGGTGTCGTCGGTGCGGCGGAGAATGGAGACGTCAAGGGCCCGACTGACGATGCCGGCGACCGAGTGTGGTACTGCAAAAGAGCCTCAGAGTTGCGGCCAAAGAACATTGGGGATCGTGGAGTCGCGGTCGACTTCTGGATGCGGCCGGGCATGTTTCCAGTGGCAGAGACGATACGGCGCATGGCAGTCGCAGGGCTCGACGGATCCAAGCGCCTGGATCCGTCCAAGACTGTCTTTGGTGTAGTGCCAGGACCCAGCGCCCGGCTCTTCAGTGACGCAGTCTGTAGAGCAACAGGGCGAGGGATTTTCCGCCTAGAAGCAAGGTTGGCCGGCGGAGGAGGGGACTTGAAGGAGTCCAACGCATCAGCCCCAAAAGAGCGTGGCATGATGAGCTCTCCATGAGCAGGCGAGGCCATCGAAGTCGAGTAGCTGCGCGTCTGCAGCCGGTTGTACTGGGCACGCAGTGCAGCTTCGCTAACAGTGTCATCTTCCTCGGGGGAAGGCAGCCCGTGGTTCGGGGTCACGGCACTGTCCTTCATTTGTTGTAGGGTCGTCCCCGTGTTCATAAACGCCGGATAGTTGGCGGTGGAGCTGGAGGCGAAGTTTGGCGACGAGATACTCTCGGGAGAGAACGAGGACATCTGAACGTGAGCAGCTTGCATGTCTAGGGCTGGCAAGGACTGAAATGGAGCGCGGCTCCCTTCCAATGCCATCTCGTTGTGCGAGCTGAAGTCCTTGGCGTAGTCATCCGCTGCAGCACCGTCTGCGGAACCCTCTTCCTCCACAGGCTCAAAATCTGGGAACAGCGCCGTCGAAGGGTTCATCCTCTGCGGGACAGGCTCTGCAAAGTAACTTGGCCGGGCGCCTGCGGTGGCGTTTTCGTCGTGGGAGAGCGGTGTCGACGATGAGCTCAGATCCTTCTCGGCCATTCTCCGTGCCTCGTACTCCTCCTGCCTCTTCTCCTGCTTGGCCTTGGCACGCCGGTTTTGAAACCAGTTCTATGTACATGATTAGTGCGGGAACTCTCCAACATCGATGTTGTCCAGCTCATTGTGGTCCCTCATCAGAGCCTACTCACATTTATACGTGGACGCTCCAAGCCAAGCTCGTCGGCGAGTTGTGCCTTGACGGAACTCGACGGCTTGGGGTTCTCCTGGAATATTTTCTCGAGCTTGTCGACTTCCTCCTTGGACAGCCGGGGTTTCGATTCGGACTTGCTGTCACCAACGGCGCTGTGCTCCGACATAAGCTGGCTGCGTTGGTCCTGGAACGGGTACAGATATTGGAGCCCAAAGCCGGGGTGGCCCGAAAACTGTGTTTCGGAATACTGGTAGCCGGTTCCCGGGTTACCAGGAAAGTTGAATATGGGCCCGAAGCCCGAGGGTGTGCCGTATTGCATATTCATTATGCCTAGAGCTCCTGCACCGTGGGAGCGCGACGCAGCGTGGGGAGAAGTGATGTCGTCTTTGTGGTCTTGGGAACCAGATTCGGCGAGCCAAAACAAATGAAACCAATCGTCGAAGTAAATTTTGTTCTATTGCTTCCCTTGTAGGTTGGGAACCAATGGATGACTCTTCGATGCTGAAGTGAACGAATGTGTTGGCGTGGCAAAGCGGATAAGAGGTATAACCCAAGGGCGTGTCGAGTTGGTCGTTTTGACTGTTGGTTGCCAGTACTAGGCGCTGGTATAAAAAGAGTGACTAAAGGCAATGCTATGGAGTAGAATAGCACTCTATGTCAAGCGATCTACTATGAACGAGTGTGTACGAGACGAATCTCGCGGCGGAGCTGGCGGACAGAGCACGACGAAAGAGAGGCAGGAGCCAAGATGGAGCAGAATCGGAAGAGACGGGCGTGGTATAAGAGGGCTAATGTCGGCGGGAAGGCGTGGATCGACTGGAGGCGAGGCGAGGGGCGGTTGCACCTGCAAGGACAAGCTGATATGGGGACGGGTGAGACAGCCGGGAGGTTGCCTATGTCTCGCACCAAGTTTGTGACTGCTGAGAAGCCTGGCACTGTCGACTCGAGCAGCTTCAAGATGGAACAGGAAAACAGTCAGGGAGCACAAGGAGAGAGTCAGGCCGGAAGGGAGAAGGGGTGGAGCATATTAGAGTAGAGAAGTACTCGGGTCGCCCCGTCCGCCAGTCGCGGGCGCCCAGCAGCGATCAGTCCGTGGTGCCGTGGGCATCCCGCCGCGCCGCGCCCACGGCGAGGGACGACGAGCATCCCTCTGGTGGTGGGCAATGTCTGTGTGTCCGTGTGTGTGTGGCCGCACGTCGTCTGCCACTACCGCCGACTGGCGTGGCGGGCCCGGCTGGCTCCAAGGGGGGCTAGCAAGCACAGGGGACTTGTGCCTGGGCCGTCCGTCTCTCTCGGTGCGCCCCCATTGTCTTCGCCTGGTGTGCCGCTAACCTGCGCCCGTCATCCCTACCGCTCACCCTGAGCTGGCGCCTTGTCAGTGGGCACGCAGGCAGGCTGCGCACGCCCGCCCGGTCGGGGCCCCGGGACTCTGGTCGGTACTTCCGCGGTACTGCATCGTGAGATTGCGTCGTCGACTCAGCCCTTGCTCATCGCGGCGGACATGCAGCCTGGCTGGCTGGCAGACAGGCCCGCCCGCCCGCCCGCTGCCCGCCCCAGGCGTGCCAGGCTCTTTCTGCTACACCCTGTCCTGTCCTGTCCTGTCCTGTACAACCCTTGTGTCGCCCTCGTGTCTCCGCTCGAGGCTCCTCTCAGCTCAGGCGCAGGGAGGCCCCCTTGTCCCTGTTTCTCCAGAGCAGAGCAGGTACGGTAGCACTGCGTCGAACACCCCAGTCGCCCAGCAGTGGCTTCCCGACGTCGCACTCCAGCTGTCAAGCTGTCAAGGCGTCACATACATCCCTGGGCCTGTTTGCGATTGGCCTCGCGCTACCGGCATATGCTTTGATTCAGCTCACAGCCTCTCAGGACGAGACTGTTTTTGAATTCACCTCCAGCCTGTGCGACCGTCCCTAGGCGAAGTGCGTCAACTCTCGTCGCTGTTGAGCAAGGCAGAGACTTTTGGCTTCACGACTCCTGCAAGTTGCAAGTGTCCCCGGCGGCTGGTTGGACAAAGACAGGGCTGCGAGGCCAGGCAATGCACGCAGGATCCAGTCTTGGAGATATGACCGGCCACTGCAACGGTCTCCTGCTCAATGGTTCCCTGGCCTAGCTGCGCCAGGCAATGCGACTCCATGAGAGTACGGTTGACTTGTGCCACAAATCTTTGTGAGGATCCCTCCGATGTTTGGGACAGGGGTGCGGGACGATAGGCGTGGACCGGCGCTCGTGAGGCCTCGCAGCCAGAGCTTGTTTGTGCACGGCAAGGTCTCTTGTCTGTCCGTTCCCTTCCGAGCTGAGCCAACTGTCTCAAGGTCCAAGCTACACTCTTCTTGGCGAGCGGAAGCAGATCGCTGTCCAAGGGCATCTCTTGACGGGTACCTTACGTCTTTTGACGTATGCATTTCCAAAGTTTCTGGCGCGCGCTGGGAAATTGACGCCGAGCCACAAACAGTGGAGTTGTACAGCGTCCGCCTGGACAAGTAGCGCACTTCTTCTTGGAGAAGGGCACCAGTGCACAGTGCCTGTTCGGTGTTGGTCGTTGCAAGTTGAAAACAGTAAAAGTGGCCGTTGGCTAGTTGTATGCAGGAAGGCTCTGGTGGCACACGCCTACCAAGCAAGAACAGCACTAGACGGCGGAAGACTGCACTTGCGCCCGGGGTCTCCCAGGTGGTTGTATCGTGGGAATCGGTCGACCTACGACCGTCCCAAGTCTATGTCATGGTCCGTTGGAAATGCCTTGAAGCGTTGGCGGATAGAGACTTTCTGTCGCAGGCCACCACGAATGAGACAAACGCCAGCCAAACCCAGACTGTAGTCCACATGGGAGGGCCATGGGCTCTTCTGAGCAGTGTTGACCACATGTGCTTTGTGCTGTGCCTCTCTACACAATTTTAGGAGCACGTATCCAGGCTTGCACGTTTATATCCGCTTCCACTTCGTATCTCATATCAAGTATGATCTTTTCTCGAGCAGCGTGCCGCTCCGAACAGTCATTGACCAGCCAGATTGTACTATGGACTGGCGGAATGTCAAGCTCCATAAAAGGGCCATGGATCTGGTGCAAAGGAGTCTGGGGCAGGTGTACTGGGATGCCTTTGTTTTTAGGTTTACCTGTGGAGTGTCAGGTGCTATGTAATCGTACAGTAGCTAAGGCTTCTCCAGTGGTGTTTGATGTCCCACTTCAATGCCTCTCGTGGTACGGAGCACACAGACCCAGTTTGGGAATGCCAAGGACTGCCAGAGGCGCTGCAACAGCCTCCAGGATATGGTAAAAGTCGCATTGGGTCCTAGCGATGAAGGTTAATTGTTCGAGGGAGCACTTCAGTGGCGTCAGAAGCGCCAGCCAAGTGAGCGCCGGGCCTGGTCATCTGCATGAGATGGAGGCAAGTTGTGCCTTTGTGGACTAGTCAAAGATGCTGTCATGACCCCTCTGGGAGGTGGCTCTGCCAATGGGCGACATGTGATGAGCGTCTGTCTGGGCAGTTGCCGAGGGCACCAAGATGGAGGTGTAGTTGACGGTGGGACGCCGGCAAGAGGGTGTTCCGGGCCATGCCATGCCCACGACCGACACGCACAGTCTTGCCCATGACGCTGTGGGCTGCAGGTCAGAGAATCCCAGCAAGGCGACGATCGCCAGGGTGCTGGGGTGGGAAGGGATAGCCATCCACTGCCGAGTCCGGCCCAGCTGGAGAGCGCTGTTTCCCCAAAGGGGTCGGGACCCTTGCTGGTGGTTGATGACGATCATGAGTGGACCTTGGAGAGCTGCTCGCACGCGTCGAATGAAGGAGCCAAGGTTGCAGATCGAGGGCGAGGTCAGGAGCCGTACAACTCCCTACCGGTGGAGGCAGGCGAGTGCAGCACACGGGCGGCATCTGTTGGCCATCGGGCACCTGTCGGGCCAGGCCAGGGTCGAAGTTGTCGAGAGACACGGCTCACGCCTCCCGGACATCAGCCAGGGCTTGCCACCAGCCGCCTCTAGATCCGACCTGGGCCAGTCTTGTCGTGCTTGGCTGCCTCTGGCGCGCGCCTGGGACGCTTGAGACGTGGACGAGAGCGACGCTCGAGGCTGGAGGACATGCGAAGCCGCCGCCTTGCAGGCAGGCATTCGCGCGCCGGACACGATTGGTTCCGAGTGGCAATGCTACCCACCGTGGCATCCCGCTGCACAAGCTTAAATGCAGAGACAATGGCGAGGTGGCGGTCATTGTTTTGTGCGACAGTGCGAGCCGGGACAGCCCTGGAGATTGTGCTCGCCTTGAGGCGGCGGTGCCTACCCCAGACGGCCCAAGGTACGTACCAGGGTGCCTGCCAATCTGCTTATCTTGCTTGCACCCGTGGACCTCGTCGCGCCTCTGGATCACCACCAATCCCTCGCCCACCGGCCACCGGCCAGTCAAGGGTGCTTGGCTGGCTGGCTGGCACCAGGACCAGACCCGGCGTGTCTCAGCAACACAACCCGTGGACCGACCGCAACTGCACGTCCCGGCGTTGCATGTTGGGACCGCTGCCGCCACCTCGACTCCGAAGCCTCGCTCGCAAAGGGCCAGCATGGCTGCATGCAACCCGACCCTCCATGCACGAAACTGGGCGTCCTGTGTCTCCCGAGTGGCCCGTTTCGTGGGCGGCACGACACACCACTTCCACTTGGGTGACCTCTGCTTCTTCTTTGGGCAATACGCTGCGTCGGCGCCTCCTCAAGTCGGCCATGTTGTGGATGCCCATTTGGGCTTGCAGGTCTAGCTCGGCGGCCAAGCAGAGCACCGTGGCGCGCCGCCTTCCTCGTCGTCCACTTCGCCATCCGTCCTCGACCGGCGCGGCAGCCCAGAATGGTCAAGCCTGGCCCGCTTGGTCCAACCCTCATCGACGTTCCTCGACAGATGGGCGGCACGTGTGCCAACGCCCTCGGGGCAGTGCTGACCATCCAGTCTCGTCTTGATGTGCACAGCATGCTGACTTTTGGCTTAACGGCACCAGCAATGACACGACGACGCAATTGCGAGCAGAGACAATGTTTTGCGCGATGTTCGGGTTCCGCGTGCGCGATAAGCTAGAATGCCGGATAAGATCTGTCCCTGGGGAGGAGGGGGGTCCCTACGGTCATCGTCATCCCATCTTTCGCTGCGAGACTGTGGTTCTGGCTCCGCAGTCTTGGCTTTTTGCCCGCAAAACACATTCTTTCCAACCTAGAGCCCAGGGCAGATCGGGATTCGCCGATGACCTTTGGGTCCTTCCATTGGTCCCCGTTGTCCGCCTGCAGGTGCTCCAACTCGTCATTTCCCCATGCCTCCGCTACTGTATGGCGCAAAGCTTCCAAGCGTTCCACCTCGTACCCGCGGGCAACGTACCCAGTTGGCAACAACCCCAGCAATGGCGATTCCCTCGCGTGGTGCCCGGCAAAGAATTGACGAGCAGCCTGCCAGGATAGGTCGATGTTCGACTGAGCTGGCTACGGCGCGTCCGCTCCGAGTCACCCTTGGCACGCCACGTGGATCTGGCCCCTGACCCCCTGTAGCTGAGAGGAGATCGGTGCTTGCAAATCCCTGCGAGCCCGACATCCCCCCTGGCGGACAGCCAGGGTACAGGACTCCGTAGTGCAAGATGAGGGAGGGACCATCCAGAGAATTCTCTAATCGCTGAAAGGAACTTAATTATGGATATGGAAATCCGACCGGCTTCCATGATGTCCAGAAGTCTAATCGCCCTGCGGGCAGGGTCTGCGGATCCGAGAGCATTTGCCAAATTCGATGATATTATGGCGATTGTCAGCACGCTGCACATCGGGGCCGCGCGTGGTAGAACTCGGTCTTTATCGTCTGGAGTCCGCCGAGCGATTGGCGAATGACCAGCCGGGGCTGAAGCGGGCAAGTCCTTTGAGGTGAAGGTCTGTGCATGGCTACATTGAGCGGGAACTCGTCCTTCATCGTCTTGTGTGCGCTCCATACCGCGTACGACATCGAGAGTTTCAGGGCCGGCGATAGGACGTAATCACAACATGCGGCTGCCATGGCACCCTGAGCTCCTGGGGTGAAGGTGGTGTAGTATGATAAAAGGTGTGTTATTACTCCGGAAAACGTGGGCAGCAGTGACTGACAGCTGGATGTTACCATGCTCGTTGTCCCCTCCCCCCTTCTCCCCTTGGCGCGGATGCTCTGTCAGCTGGGTGGCACGGAGTGTTGGCATTGCCGCCTGTAGCACAGCCCAATCCAGCACGCGCACCTCCTGGATCTGATCCCATGGGATGTAATGTGCAGATGCAAGTGTACGCCGAGTCAGGCTGGCTGCCATCGCACGCCCCAACCCGGTCCCGAACAGAGTCGCAAAGCCAAGCTTTTCCCGCACGCAGGCACATTCACGACTACGGTGTTTGAGGCGCCGCAATCTCAGTAAACAGCCAGTCATGGACCACAGACCACTCTGCCGGGCTTCTAGGCGAGCGCCTCGTGAGGGTCCGCAACGGGCGCCTAAGCAATTGCCAGCCTAGAGGGCCCCTTTGCACATCCACCGGGCTTGCCTGGCGGCACGCGTCCACCTGCCTCTGAGAAATGGCTAGCAAGAGATCGTGGTCCACCGTGCGGGTGCGTTGATGCGAATCTGCTTGTGAGCGATGGGCGGCCCCCTTTTTCCCTTCTCTTTGAAGGCCAGGCGTGCTCTGCCGTTGTTGTTGTTGTTGTTGTTGCCGCCATCGTGCCATTGTAGATGGGTTGACGAGGGTCACGACTCTCCCTTCTCTTGCTCCCCTGCCGACGGCCCCCACCCATGGGCTCAGGCCTGGACGACGACCTGAAGGCCCATGGCCAGGCCTAGGGCAGGGATACGGGAAACAAACCTGTCGAAGGGGTGTACTCGCTTTGGGCCAAGCGTCCTCCCTTGACTGCCCTTTCGGTCCTGGCACTAGGCCTGAATCTGCCTGGGGATGCGACTCGCTCGCTGGATGCTGCATTTGCTGGGAGCCACGTCCGGCTCCCCACTGTCAACTCGTCATTCCGCCTGACACTGCGACGCCAGCGTCGTACCGCCGGCGGACAGCCCTCACGTCCACGCTCGCTCCGGGGTCGAGCCGCTTCTTAATAGGCTGCGGCCACTCTGATATAGCCTCGCGTATCTATTCTGGGCTCCTTTAAAGTCACTTTCCCGTGTCGTCCCCTGTCGGTCTGGATCGTTCCGACGATTACCGCGTAGACATCAGGACCGCGACAACGGTGGAATGTGTTACAGTGGAGGCGGTGACCTCGTTTACCAGGCATCCTCGGACTACCAAGCTCTGTGCACATGACATGGTCAAGATTCGCGAACAGAAAAATCTTCATCGTGGGGATCAGGATGAGGAACTTTTGGGGGTAGCATGGCACAGCAAGGTGTCTGCTGCCAGGGGCAAACCTGCCATATCGTGGACACTCGTCAGGGACAAGGACAACAGCAGTCGGCAAAGCTTCGTGGTGGAGTGTTTCTTCCAGGGAGCCCATGGCCGAATCCCCAGACGAGGCCCGACAAGAATCCCGTATACCCGCAGTGCCGGCGAGGTGCGAGCATGTGAGCGCGCAGAGGGTCGATCGCCGCAAGCCTCTCGTACCCAGCACAACAAAGACCGCGCACGAAGCACGCTCCCCCAGTGATCCACGGGCAAGACATGGCTGCAGCCAGTACGCTAGGTGACGGTACCGTTCGCATGCCTCCTCCTCGGTGGGTACGCTGCACAAAGGAAAAGGAAAGCAAGGGACGGCCAGCTGCGAACTGACCTGCTCGTCCCACAGCGTCACCTGGTACAAACCCTTGCCCCGTGTTGTTGCTTGAGGAGAATGCCCTGTCAGAAAATGCATACTTTTGCTTCTTTTGCCGGTCTACACGAGCCGTGCCTATATCACCCTCAGAGTTTCGTGTCTGGGTGCTGGCGGTTACGATGCAATCAACGGTAATGGTGGTGGTGGTGGTGGTGGTGATGATGGTGGAAATCATGGCCGCCGCAGCCACCACTCTTTTTTACAGGGTCTATCCATGTGTTGCTGTGCACCGCTCGCTCTTCTGCTTGGCTGAATCCCGCCGGCATAATTAGCATGAAGCGTGGGGCTTGGGGTCACATATGTGATGATCGACGGGCGGGCCGAGCGTCGATCTCTTTGCTTTTTTTTGCTCTTTCGTTTCTTTGTCCTTGGCTTCCTCTTTCTCTCTCTCTCCGGTCTGTCTCTGTCCGTGTCTCTCTGTTCGTTCACCTTGCCCTGACTGGCCTGGGATTTGCCCTGTTGGGCCTGCATGTGTGTTTCCCGTTTTGGCTCTCGGGCTGGCAGATGTTGCGTGAACCCCGTTCGGTTGCCAGAACGTGATCTCCTGCGTTCTCGGCGCTTGAACTCCTCTTCCTTTCTTTTTTTTTCCCACCGTCTTTTTCCACTTCGTTTCTGATGCCTTCGTTTTCTTTGGCCCTGGTTTGTAATGTGAATGGGTCTTGGTGGGCATTATTCATGCAAGATACGCCTCACTCGTTGAGCACGACACCTTGGCGGCGGCACTGGCACTGGGATATTGATTGGCTGATGCGACCCGACCGTGGCCGTGAAGAATATGAGATATCAACGGCGGCCAAACGAGGGAGGCACGGGCTTATGGTCAACTCTCGTCGTGCCCAGGGGGTCGGGGGGGGGCCTAGACGGTTGGCCTCAGGTCGAGACCCAACGGCATCGCAGACAAATACCGTTGCTCCTAGTGTATCTAGTGCTCTCCCTCCCTGTGTGAGGGCCTTCCCCCGAGAGACCAACGGGTCCCTCTTTCTTTGCGTAGACCACGTGTTCTAGAATGTCCGTGCTTGCCGGCGTCCCGGGCGTGCCGTGTCGAGGAGCAAGAGAAAAGCCAGTCTCTGTGTTGCGACTGGCTGACGAGCAACAAACCCCTTTCCCGCCTTGCCCTCTTCCAGGCTCGCTTGCGGCTTTGTTTACTTGCCCGAGAAGATGCCGCTCCGAGTAGATATGTGACATGTTTGTCAGGGCTGAAGGGCTTTCCCGGAGCGGAGCGGAAACGAGGCTGTTTTTTTGTTGCATCTGGCCCGTGATGGCACGATTTCGCCCCAATGACGCGATCTTCTTTCTCTACTTTGTCCCCTTTTGGGTGTTTTTTTTTCTCCTCCCCCCAGCAAGCCGTACTATACAAAAAACGGGGCACCCTCGGTGATGGGGATATGCCCTTGGTTTCTTTCAGCTGTCGGGCCGCTTGCTCGGGGACTCCCCCCCTGTGCTCGCCGCAGGTTGAAACAGCCACATTCCTCATACAAGCCCGTTCTTTTTTCTCCCTCTATAATGGACGGCGCCACATGGCAGCGAATCATCATGGTGAGGCCGCCGACGTCACTGTAGGTGGTGTGGGGGGAGTGTCTATTCTACATTCCATCAATCACGCTACTTGACCCCTTTGTGTGTGCGTGTGTGTGCTTACGCGCGGTGTATGCCCGGGAATGAAGGTGCCGCGTGGAAATCAACGGGTCCCCTGTGAGTTTCGTGTGTATCAAGACGAGACTTTGTCCACGTTTCTTTGCGGGTCTGTTAGGCGGACGTTTCTCCGGGAGGGCGCGGGAAACGGTGGTGAAAAAGGGGAAGCAGAATGACTGACTGACTCGTTTACCCAGTGGTGCTCCCTTAGTGAAACCATGGGAGTTTTGTTTCTTTAGGATACTGTGACTGATAGTTTATGGATTTTCAGCTCCGTTGGTTGTCCCCCTTTTTTGGTGTTTGTTGCCAGTGAGATAAAAGTGGACAATGCAAATGCTGGTTGTGGAGTGAAGGAATATGCGTGGTCTGCCTATCCAGATTGTCAGCTTGATGAATGTACGGGTTTTGAGTCATTGACATTTGCATATCATTCCAGTCCCCTGTACGTATAACAAATAAAACCGAAGCATTATAATGCTTATAATCTTACGCGGCTCTGACGGAAGGTCACGGCGTATTGCGAATTATTTGCCCACATGTTGTGTCTATTACCTACGTGAATTAACCAGAATAATCTAGGCGTACTGTGTCTCCATTTTAGCGACCACTGGTGCACTCCAGACTACCGCTAGGGTGACTCCAAATCTCTCACTCGCAATGGCAACCGCCGATCTGCGAGTGTCAGGCTGGCCAGGAAAATACACAACCGATCATCAAAGTTGCCATCCGCAGCACGAATGCACATTGCTATTTGCCAATCGTTTGAGTTTTTCCTGTTCACCGGAACGTGCTTCCAAGTCGAATTGGTAATCACCAATGATAATCATTGGGGACTTTTGAAGTCTAGATGACGGTTTTTTTTTTACCTTGACGTGAATGCCCATCACATTACGATGACCCGGAAACTTTGTAAGCTTTTTTTATTATTATCGATTTCCTAATAGAGATGTGCTCCTCCCAAACGTGTGCACGATGGACACTCACCCAGACTTTTGCTGTAAATGCAACATATCTCTTCCGCTACAACGATCTGCACATCAGGGGGGTTGCCTCGAAAAGTAGGCTCCTTCACTCGAAAGCCATCCGCATAATGGCCCGTTTCGGCCAGCGCAACGGTCTTTCCTCCACTAGAGCAACGCAGCTCGCCCATTCCAGAAGAAACCTGTCATTCGTGAGCTACCTAATCCCAGCAAGTGTGTTGTTGAGCCAGTATCCACTGCCAAAAGCAGTCAAATCTTCACCGGCTACCTGCAGCCAGTCGCTGCGTTGTCTCCTCCTCTACTGCAAGGAGAAAAGGCTTCCTATTTGCTGATTAGATGACGACCACTACCGAGACGCCCCGTCGATCATGGGCCGGTGAGTCCGGATCTGTAAGCCACGGGGGTGGTGCTGAGGGCGCGTGAGCAAGCAGCCTCGACGATCACCAATCAGGCTTCCCCAGGTGATCCGGAGCAACACTGCCCCAGTAGTAGTCGTCTGGTGGACTTCATTGGTACCTAGGCTGTACAACCGGTCGGTCACACAAAGGTGGTGTCCCTCCACCCCTCCCAAAAGCGCCTGCAGCCAAGCGCAGGTGTCACAAAGTGGCGTACCACTCTCGCATGGGCTCAGGTGAGCGTAACCCGGACATCAAGAGGGAGGGGGGGGGGGGCGCCGGTACAAACCGTGAGTCATGACGAATTATACCAAACCCCGTACAAAATGCCCCGACACGTCGCTAGGAGGCTAGGTTGTTGTTATTGCGTGATGTTGCGTCCGTGGGGACCGAGTGCTGGACCCCTTTCCCAACCCCGCGATAGATACGGGCTTCTTGAGCCACGCAGACAGGGTCCAAGCATGGTCAGGTGAGATTTCATCGATCATGGGAGATCACACATGCGGTGGCTCGGCCGCGGCCGTGCAGAGAGAGAGAGAGAGAAGCGCAGACGCTTCCCCGGCGCGTGCGTATGTGCCCAATGCCACGTCTGGAGTAGTGGTGACCCGCCGTGTCGGTAATCAGGCAGTATCCGGTGTGAGAATGATCATCAGGGATCTTTTGACAGGATGACGTGCTTTACGTGCCGAGCAGAGATACCATGCCTGGATCTCCATATGTCAGTCAAGTATTGCCTGTCAAATCAGGCAGTGGTTGGGTGCCAGCTGGCCAGGCCAGGCAAGCCATGATCAGCCCCTTAGCAGACACATGACAGCATTCGCCAGCAGTCGTTCAGGGGGAAAAGGAGGAGGATCACCATCAGGGGTGGAGGCTCTGGCCAGCACTGCCCGGACCCCCAATCGTGTAAACAAGCCCGGTCGTGTCACTCGAAGCCGCCAACAGCACAGTACTGTCATATCTCCTTATCCGGGACGCAATTAACTGCCCGGTTGCCAGCGCGCGGATAATTATAAAAACAAAGTATCAATAAACTTTGATGCGCACGGAACCCGCGCAAAATAGTCTAGTGGCGCCGTTGACGGCAGTTGAGTTGACAACAGTAGTTTACCAGCGGCCCGATCTTAGTACAGGTTACAGGTGATAGTTGCCGTGTGTCCAAGACCGGTAGCCCCCCGCTCGAGGAGTGTTTCCCCGGATGCGTTCTAGTGTCCAGACCTACGGAGCAAATGGGCGGGCATTTCAGGCCGTCCGTCTGGTTTCGGGCAATGCTGATGATGGTCGAGCCCGGCTCTTTTCGTGACATGTTGCACAGATGCAGGAACCCTGCATGGCGTCGGCCAGTCGCGCGTGCCAACAAGTCGGCTGTCAGCCGGGTTCATTTGCTGCGGACTCCATGTCATGCCAGCCAGCCCCCCTGCTTGCGATCTGCCGCGCTCCGCATTCAGGTGAAGCAAGCAACGAGGCACGCCAAACCGTGCGGCTCATTGGGCGCTTGTGGTAATTGTCGCCAAGCTTTCATCAACAGCAGTGTCCAGCTGACGGTCCCAGCCCGACATGGGTTGCAACTGGGGTCGCGCAGATGCGAGCAACCCATAGCGTGGACGATCATCATTTCCAAATCGTCGAATGCTGGGAACGGACAAAGCTTAGACCAACGGTGGCCTGCCGACAGCCGACATTTTGCGTCCGGTCATAGGGTAGGGCTGCCTGCAACAATCACACCACCACGGTAGATCTGCCGATCCGGGGCCATCTACACGGTCCGCAAGGCTATTGGGCACAAGCGACTACATAGAAACGAGCATTATTGCAAGCTTGAAGCAATATTGGCCCTGCTTCCCGAAGCAGCCAAATCCGACAATGACGGCTCATTTACGTTGTTTTGTCATATTCCTGATGTAAACCGTGCAGATAGTGTCCTTGCGGGCCGCACTGACAGGTACAGCTTCTGTGGCCGATTCGTGTGTCATCTCTCGCTGCGAGGAATCGGGACGTCTCAACATTGTTGTGCCAGGATGATCTATGTGACAAAGATTGGCCGCGGAAGAGTCTCATCTAGCATTCTATTCGGCGATCTAAGTGCAAGCGGCTAAACTCGCGGTTTCCCTCGGAGTGCGAGGCACGGTATGCCGCCTTGGAAACGGGCAGACCTCTTTCGTCCAGAACTCGGCAGAATTAATCTCCCAGCACGAAATAGTTGAACCAATCTATACGCTGCTTTCAATAAGCCGCTCTTAATCAGCTGCTCAATAGAAGAAGACCTTGCGCGGAGACCATAGCCTGGTTGAGACCATAGCTTGGTTCGGTGGTTGGATCTCGGTCTTCAGCGGCCTTTGAGCATTCGAGTACATTGTTGTGTGTGACTGCCACTGTCCTAGATGACGTGAAGACAGGGCCGCGCCGTCGTCATCGTGACTCTGAGCACGGCTGCAAGAAAGTGACAACGAAGCTGTGCCAACTAAGTTAGAGATGTGCACTGGTGTAACCTGACGTAGCCAGCGCATTCGAAATCTGCAGCGTGACTGCGCCGGGTAAGGACTCAACAAACGTGACGCTGCGAAGATCCTGCACGATCCAGTCAGGGCCGGCGGCAACAACCTGCTCAAGTGTATGGCTTGTGACGACGCCGATGACCTTGCAGCCAGCAGCTTTGCCCGACGCGATGCCAGCGGGGCTGTCCTCGAGAACAAGGACTTCGCCACTGACAGCTTTATCGAGGCCCAGCCGCGAAAGACCCAGCTCGTAGCAAGCAGGGTCGGGCTTGCCATTCTCAACAGACTCGGCAGTGACGAGGTGTTCCGGATGAGGCAGCTCGAGTCTATCGAGCCAGCCTGTAACAAGAGGGACAGTCCCGGATGTGACAATGGCCCATGGAGCTTGAGCCGCGATGAGCTCGTCCAAAAGGGCACGAGCACCAGGAATCTCCACGGCATCTTCGCCGTGCAGTTTTGGTAGAAGGCCCTCCATGTGGCGAACATCTGGACAAGAGAAGCACAATGTTATTGACCATTTTCGTATGCAGGAATGAGAATGACCAACCAAAGTGGTCGTTGGCAATCGCGGCCACTGCCTACGAGATGGACCTACATTCCCAGTTTGCCTTTTCCGGGGCAAGGACTTTGAGCATGTCTATACTCCGACGGCCGTGGGACGTCTCGAGGATGACAACAGGATCCACACCGATCTCATTGCCGACTCTGCAGCTGCAAATTAGCCTTCTTGCCACAAATGTAATGACCTTGGTCACAACAGTTTTGGGGGACGTTTTGCTAATGCCTTACGTATGCCAGTGCTTCTCGACTGCTGCCGTTGAGTCGATGATGGTGCCATCCATGTCAAAAAGAAGGCCCTTGAAGGTGATGTTCTGTGGTGGTGCTGTGTACGACATCGTGAATGTGGCGATAATTTGAATGGCCTGCTTCAACTGGTTCCTGTGTGGAGATGATGAGGGAAATCGGGGATCTAGACTGATGCTGTGAAGGGATTCTATTATGCTCTTGCGTTCAGCCGGCTGTACATATGTGAAAGATCTGGTGAGCGAGAAGTTGTCGGTGAGCTTGGTGTAAAGCTCCGGTGTCGTTGGAAGGACGGGCGGAGTATACCAATACGGTAGCCCCGAAAAGGAAGCCGCCCAGTGTGCTTGGAAGACATCGTGGCCAGCACCACTTGGCAGCTTAATAAGTGCACCACATCATTGGCAACGCTGGTGGGTCGCAGGCGCGGCGGATTGCGAGTTTCGCCGTGCTGACCCCCAGCAATGCCACCAGCTCGATGCCACAGAGCAGTCTGGAGTCAAAAGAGCGTCTACGGCGAGAAGGCAGGCGGTGAGAGTGGGGTGGAGTCCCAGGCTGCAGCTGTAGCGCCTGTGATTGGGCGGAGAGGCCCGGCAGAAATGGCAGATTCCAAAATTTCTGGGCTTTCTGCAGGGCTCTCTGGGACTTTTTTTTGGTGCTGCAATAAGGTGGCGGACCGCACCTCGAGGCCGCGAACACCAGCAATCCTCACGACATTGTCCTCAACACAGCCATCACATTCGCCATAGGCTGAGTTGCAACAATGCCGAACCACATCTCAAAGCCCAAGAGTATGCAGACCTGCAATCGCCCCCTCAAGAGTACCAAGAACCACCAGCTAACCTGTCTCGCCATCCACAGAGCCCAAGTCGAAGCGGACGCCCACCCGTCTCCGGCACAAGATTGAAAAGGCCTCGGCCTCGAAACAGCGCAAGGCGAGAAAGGAAGCCAAGAAGAATCCTCAGTGGAAGTCGAAGCTCAAGAAGGACCCCGGCATCCCCAACCTTTTCCCATACAAAGAGAAGATTCTCCACGAGATCGAAGAGGGTCGCCGGCGGAAACAGGAAGAGCAGCAGCGGCGGAGAGAGGCTCTCAAGGCTGGCAAAACCGGTGGCGCCGCCACTACTGAGGAAGATGATGCTGTTCTCGAGGATGGAGCCGAGTTGGAGGACTTTGAGGGTGACGACAACATGATGGACGAGGACGATGTCGACGAGTCCAACCCCATGGCTGCCCTCATTGCGAGTGCCAAGAAGGCCGCAAAAAAGTACGACCGCGAGCTGCAGAGCGGCGACGAGGATGACGAGATGGACGACTCCGAGGACGAATCCGAAGACGACGAGGACGACGAAGAGGGCGTCAGCCTGCCCAACGCTGGCTCTTCGAGGAAAGCATACGACAAGGTGTTCAAGCAGGTCGTGGACCAAGCCGATGTCGTGCTCTACGTCGTGGATGCTCGTGATCCGGAAAGCACCAGGTCGCGCGAGGTCGAGCGCATGGTCATGGCCGCAGCCAGCGGTGGCAAGCGGCTCATGCTCATCCTCAACAAGGTCGACCTCGTGCCCCCTAAGGTGCTCAAGGACTGGCTCGTCTACCTGCGCAGGTACTTCCCGACACTGCCTCTTCGGGCTTCTGGCTCTGCGCCCAATGCTCAGACCTTCAACCACAAGGATCTGACCGTCCAGAGCACATCTTCCGCGCTTTTCAAGTCTCTCAAGTCCTTTGCCGCCTCGAAACAGCTCAAGCGCGCCATCTCCGTCGGCGTCATCGGCTATCCCAACGTCGGAAAGTCGTCAGTCATCAACGCCCTGCTCGCGCGTCTCGGCAGCCGCGGCGCTTCTGCATGCCCGGCTGGCGCCGAGGCCGGTGTCACGACCAGCATCCGCGCCGTCAAGATCGACAAGCAGCTCACCCTCCTCGACTCCCCCGGCATTGTGTTCCCCTCGGCGCCCGAGGGCGGCCTCGTGGCCAGGAAGAACGTCATCGAGGCGCACGCGCACCTCGTGCTGCTCAACGCCGTGCCGCCCAAGGAGATCGACGACCCGGTCCCTGCCGTCACGCTCCTGCTCAAGAGACTCTCCGCCTCGCCCGAGCTGATCCAGAAGCTCATGGACGTCTACGACCTGCCCCCGCTGCTGTCCACCAGCAACGGCGATGCCACGACAGACTTCCTCGTCCAGGTCGCTCGGAAACGCGGCCGCCTGAGCCGTGGCGGCGTGCCCAACATCCACGCTGCCGCCATGACTGTGGTCACGGACTGGCGCGACGGCCGCATCCAAGGATGGGTTGACGCCCCGATCCTCCCCGTCGCCGTGGAAGGTGCCGCGCCGCCCAAGGAGGGTGAGGCCCTGCCGGACCAGAAGCAGATCGTGACGGAGTGGGCCAAGGAGTTCAAGCTCGAGGGCTTGTGGGGAGACGACAGTGCCACTGCGGATGAGATGGAGCAATAGAGAAAACAAATCGGCCGCATAGCTGCGGCGATTAGTTTACACTTGTCGTTTATCATCACGGCGTTCAGGTTGTGGGGCTTTTTTAACAAAAATTTACGATTGCGAAGCCGCATTGGCATGATTCTCTTGCGCAGATGTCTTGAAAAAAAAAACCCAGGATATGTGGTGATCAAAGATGCAATGTCTGCCGCTAATGGCTCTAGGTGCTACACGCCGCGTGGATGTGATTGTGATTGATGAACAACTGGCCCTCGACAGGATCTTCATGTCGAGCCGTGACTGGAACTAGTCCAGAGCCTCGACGATCGTCGTCGGCAGGTCCCTGACATCAACGTGCTCATTCGTAGCCAAATCCACAACCCTCACAGCCTCAACGCTCACGATGCCGGACCTAAGCGCGAGAAACTTGAGCTCGACTGAATGGCAAGCACCTGCCGCCAGAGGCCCCACGCGGACATCACCGCTCAGACACGCGACGTCTGCGCTGTCGACGATACTGCTGCGCTGCATGGCATGCACGATATTGTCGTCCATCACAGCATCCGCTACAGAACGATCGCGTTGTGCGGCGGCCTTTCCGTGCGGTTGACCTATGCTGCTGAAGCTACCGAATGGACGCGACATGGACGGTGGCCGGGTCACGCGTGCTTCGTTGCGTCTTCTACGGGGAATGACGACCAGCGCCAGCTTCCGCATGCTCGTTGCTGATGAAGAGCGGTTGACTATGAATATGTTCCACGCAAACTCGCTCCCAATGCTAATCTTGAGATCCGTGGGAGGTGCGGTAAAGGTCATTGTGATGCCGAGTTCAGGCACCGACTTCTCAACTCTCGTCGTGGAGGCCTCGAGCGACGGAAGAGCATCGGGTCGCGCGACGGACGGTGCGATCAGCGAAGTCATGCTGTCACCCCCGATGGAAAGTTGGCCTGGCCGATGAGATCGCTGCATAGGCTGCATCGTGGCGCCATATCCTGGGTTCAAGGGTAGTGTGAAGTCGACAGCTGCCCTCCATGCCATCTTGAGCTCGGGCTCGCATTGTCCTGGCTCCACAAGTGCTGTGGCAGTAATGGTGATGTCCATGTCCCTTGTCGGGTTCTTAGCCACTGTTAGGTCATCGGCGGGAGCGACTCTATACAGAAATACAACATGATCGTGGGCGACACACGATAGGGGGAGTCTCAGGTCCGCATGGTCTGTGAGGTTTTCTACCGTGCCATCCGCCAATTCGAGGGTGATGCTGTTGAGGATGACCTCGCAGTCGAAGAAGGGTGTGAAGTCTACCTCAAGGATGGCGATGACTGTGGTAGTTGTCGGTTTGGCATTGGGCCGAGAGAAGCGGACGCGTGAGTGGCATACCGGGAAGATTTTAGTCGTCAGCTTGGACAAAGACTTGATTGGTCTCAGGTGATCTTGCGCATGCTGTGTCACCGGAGCCACCCGTGACACACGCAGTGCAGACAAGCGAGGCTTGACACCGTTGAGCGACGGATCTGTACCGATAGCCCCAAGCAGATTCAGCGAGGAGGGAACACCACTGGTCAAATACCCATCGCTGGAGGCATCAACCACCGATGAGGTAGTAGACATGAGACTGGCATTGGCGGTGATGATCACGGCGGGCTTTTGTAGTCGCATCCTTGGGCGCGCCAGGAAGACCGGGAGTTTCCAAACAACGCATGTACAACCGGCGGCTTCGTTGCGCCCGACAGAGCTGACAATCTGTGGGCTCTCTGAGCCGTTGAGCGTGCCAGAGAAGATGACCTCTGACGACGCGGCCGAGTCCTTGTCGAGCCCGCTATTGTTGACCACCTGCGCTTCGACTGCTATGCTCAGCCCGCGCAGAATGGCTTGCAGTGACTCGTTGTCGCCATGTGTAGTCTTGAGAACCAAGTAAAGTTGCACATTTTCATCTGATATCTGAGATGAGCACATGTGAGATGTAGGAGCTTGCTGAAGCACGCGGCTCTAGATTCGGCTTACCAAAGAATAAGGACTCGCGGCAGTCTACACCAGCGAAGGGTTCCGCATCTGATGGGTCGAACGCGGTTTCGAGGTCGAGAGCAGAATCCAGAGGGACGAAATACGTGAGACTAGAGCACTCGACAAAGTCTAGTGGCATGTCTGTGCCGTCGTCCAGCATTGGCACTGCCATGACGGAGCAATGCAGAAGCGTCCTCAGCGTATGGCCGGCCCTTGACTTGACTATGGCAACTACTTTGGAAGCACCCTACCAATGCCTAGACGTAAATCAACAACGGCGCATGGCTGCTGGGTGCAGGATTGGCAGTCGATGATTTTGCAGGGCAACTGCAAACGTGCCAGAAGCAGGTCTGCCGCGTGAGTTTCCGTGGTATAGAGTCGCCGCTCTGGAGTTGGTGCAGCTTGGCGAGTAGTGTTTGTTTCGTGGTTGCATGCTGTTCATTTCGCGGGTGTCGATCTCGAGCCCGGCAGGGTCCCCAGTAGACCCACTTATCGCAGTGGCTGAAAATCGGCTGGCGCCTTGCACTCAAATTTAGCCTCCCAAGGGCAACCACCACACCACATGTGCAGGCAGCTCGCAACCTCAGACAGACATTGCTAGCCGTTGCGCGCCTGCCTCTGCACGCCTCACTCGGTCGCCTTTACGCTCTGCCTTGCCACTGGCCGGCTCGACAAAGCAAGCATCTGCTATCTGTTCAAGTTCATCATGAACGGCGCGCCAGGCCCGTTCGGGCAGCCAAATCCATGGCAGGAACACAAGACGCCCGAGGGGCGCGTCTACTACTACAACTCGCTGACAAAGGTCACTCAATGGACCAAGCCAGAGGATATGATGACTCCCGCCGAGGTACGTCCCTCTCAGATACCGGCCAGCAAAGCCCTGGCTCATTGCGTATCGTCAATGCTTACCATACCCGTCTCTTTCGCAGCGCGCCCTTGCCAGCCAGCCATGGAAAGAATACACGGCCGAAGGTGGCAGAAAGTATTGGTACAACACAGAGACCAAGCAGAGTTCCTGGGAGATGCCTGAAGCGTACAGAGTGGCCTCTGGGCAGGATTCCATGTCTGGGTAAGTGCAATTTACAGTGTCCCAGCATGGCAAATACTAACATGATCCAGTCCTCAGAATGGCTACAACAATTCAGGTTATGACCAGCGACATGGGGGCCGAGAACGCGACCGTGACCGAGACCGAGACCGAGATTACAACCGCGACCGAGACTACAGAGATCATCGTGACCGTGACCGTGGACGCGACAGAGATAGGGATCGGGACTATCGCGACGGGCATCACGATTCGCGCCACATGGGCTTCGCAGCGGACCCCCGGCATCCTGCTTTTGTCCCAGCGAGCAATGAGCCAGAGTTTGCATCCCCCGAAGAAGCCGAGGCTGCCTTTGTCAAGCTCTTGAAACGCAGCGGAGTGCAGCCAGACTGGACTTGGGAACAGACAATGCGTGCCACGATCAGGGACCCTCACTTCCGCGCCATCAAGGATCCTAAGGACAGGAAGGCTGCTTTTGAGCAATACTGCCAGGACATTGTCGTGCAGGACAAGGAGAAGGCAAAGGAGCGCCTTGCCAAACTCCGGACAGACTTTGCTACAATGCTCCGCAGCCATCCTGAGATCAAACACTATACGCGCTGGAAGACGGCTCGTCCCATGATCGAAGGGGAAACTATCTTTCGGTCAACCAACAACGAGGACGAGCGGCGTCAGCTTTTCGAGGACTACATCGTTGAGCTTCGAAAGCAGCATGTAGAGCAACAGGCAAGCATGCGTAAGAGCGCTATGGACGGTCTGATCGAGCTCTTGCCAAAGCTCAACCTGGAGCCGTACACTCGTTGGTCCGAGGCTCACAGCATGCTCAAGTCAAGCGGGCCCTTCCAGAATGACGAGAAGTATAAGACTTTGACCGACTTTGATATCCTCACTGCTTTTCAGAACCACATCAAGTTTCTGGAGCGCAACTTCAACGACGCTCGCCAGACTGAGAAGAATAAGAAGCTTCGGGTCGAACGGAAGCGCCGCGACGCGTTCGTGAAGTTGTTACAGGAGCTACGTCGAGCAGGAAAGATCAAAGCTGGCACGAAATGGAGCCAGATTATTCCCTTGATTCAAGATGACGAACGTTTCATCAATGCCTGCGGCCAGGCTGGGTCAATGCCAGTGCACCTTTTCTGGGACATGGTCGAAGAAGAAGAGCGAGCTCTCAGGGGCACCAGGAATGACGTCCTGGACGTTATGGATGTATGTTTGGTGGTGCTGCCACTCCTCTATCACATGTACAGAAAACGCTAACTCACACATGCAGGACCGGCGTTTCGACTTCACACCGAAGACTACTTTCGAAGAGTTTGTATCAGTTCTCAAGGATGATCGTCGGACTGCTAACGTGGATCATGAGGTCATGTCACTGCTCTATGAGAGGGTAAGTTGAATATCTGGTCCCGCTACCACAGCACGTTTCGCTAACAAGCAGTGTAGCTCCAAGAGAAGAAGACCAAACGCGCTTCTGAGGAGGACCGACTTGCTGAGCGTCAGCAACGGAGGGCCATTGATGACCTGCGCTCTTTCGTGAAACACCTTGAGCCACCCATCCTGTCCGATGATACCTGGGAGAAGGTGCGTCCCCGCCTTGTGCGTGCTCCGGAGTTCCAGGCCGTCACTTCGGAAGAGGCTCGCCGCGGTGCGTTTGAGAAGGTTCTCCGACGTGTCAAAGAACGTGAGGAGGAAGATAGAGAACGACAGAAGCGGCGAGAACGCTCGCCTGATCGCGGGTCTTACCGCGAAAGAGAGCGCGAACGCGACCGTGGTGATCGTTCGCATCGCAGCGATCGGGGACGTCCTTCGCGCCATAGTCGGAGTCCCGAGCCTGATGCGTATGAGGCGGACCGACGCAAGGCGATTGCCGAAAGAGAAAAGAACTATCGTAAGTCCAGCATGGCCGAAAGTCTGGTCTCCGAAAAGCGTGCTTCCGAGCCTCACCGCGATCGTGATCGGGAGCGGGACCGCGAAAGGGACCGCAGCGGTCGTGACAGAGATCGCGAGCGCGACAGAGATAGGGACAGGGAACGCGAGAGAGACCGCGATCGGGAGAGAGAGCGTGATCGTGACCGAGAACGGGACCGTGATCGTGATCGGGAACGTGAGCGTGAGCGCGACCGAGACTACTACCCTCGATCCCGTCGGGACGAGCCTCCAAGCCACTATGACCGCGAACGGCGAGACCGCGAGGAAGAGCGTGAGAGGCTTTACCGCCGCCGTGTCGAAAAGGCTCCCGTGGAAGAGCTGCCGTATGGGGATGAGCGTCCGACCTCTGCTCGACGACGACGGCCAGAGGACGACGACGGCACCGAACGTCGGGAATCCAGAGACTCCAAGGTATGTCTGACCGAACTTTACCAACGGAGTATATGACGAAATGCTAATGCGTTCTTGCAGAGGATCAAGAGAGAACAAACCCCGCGTGAGCGTTCCCCCAAGGCCCAGAAACCCACGTCTCCACTTGCTGTCCAGCCCGTGTCCAAGAAAGAAGATGACGCTGGCATGCACTCCGGCAGCGAGGAGGGCGAAATCGAGGAGGATTAGAGATCTCCTGCGAAACTGCCCAGCAATGCCTACGTATCAAGCTGTGAACGGCGCCGCATCGGAAACCACAGGCCAGCAGCTCGACTTCCGCGCGAGGACTTCTTCTGAAGGACGGCATACACCAGAGACTGAGGTGTGTCTTCACGGCTGCGATTTGGTCGTTCTCGCCAGAAACAAGTACCTGTACGTGTATCTTTGGCAAGATTTTCGTCAGAAAGCTTGATGACGGCATTACCGACATAGTTTTCGAGTACGCTTTTCACTTCACGGCTTGCACGATATAACGTCGCATATGATGGCCATGCCACAAAGTCTCGAGACGGGAGTACCAGCACAATATTCCTCATTCCCTGCACTGGAGATGGGCAGAATGGGGCGGACTGACACTGCACTGACAGACTGTACTCCTCTGCCTACCCACGTCTATTGTAGATTGCATGCACATCTCTCTACGCCGGCCCTTCTTGTCAAAACTTCTTTCGTGCACAACTCCTACGCTACTGACCTTTTGCCGGAGCGTGATGAGAAAGGATTATCTAGTAAGATATCTCTTGACCCTCATGCAAACTGCTCACGTTATCGACTGTTACCTTTAGATAGAACTTGTAAACTACTTGAAATTCATCAGTGTTGTTTGGCTTTCTGTGTTCAGCTGTGCAAAGTGACAATTGTTGCCCTTGCCGCGACTTTCCGAAGTCAGTCTTTACTTGCAATTAAATCACTCTGTGGTCATGTTGCACCACTTCATCTATCAAAATATCTTCAGTGTTTCTCGTGCTATATTCACTATATACGCCGACCATATTCGATGGTCGGACGCGACGGTAGTCATCCGCTTGATCCATCAGCCCCTCAATCTACAGAAGTCGGGATTGGTTCCCATTCTGCTTGCTCAGCCTTGACTCGGAACTTCAAGTGCCCCAGAAGACTAGTGCAAGACACGCTACCGACTCCTTTGTAGGACCAGGCTGACAGGGGATAGACTACCGTCGCCGGTGTCAGTCAGCAGAGGTTTCGCTGTCCTCGCCAGCTTGGATGCCTCCATCCATACCGGAACTCCCGTGGCCACAGCTGGTGCCGCTGTTGTCGCCTCTAATTCCAGCCCGATTTTGTACGCCTAGAACGCCGTGACCTGATGATGATGCTTGCCGCTGCGGGGTATGTTGGAAATGATTCTTCTTATTGCGGCCATGCTTCTCGTGGCCGTTGTACTTCGGGACGCCCTTTTCAGGCGTCATTCTCTTCCAAGAAGAACTATACAGGCTGTCAGCACGCGGACTTTTGATAGTGAATGTCAATGCTCAGTCGACTTACGTAGTTGCCACCAAGCTTCTGTTCCTGGTCCAGCTGACTGTTGGCCTTGTTGATACGAGGGCGGTAGTTGGTCGGGTCGCGGCGGAAGGTGACATCGAGGTTCTTCAAGAAAGTGTTGCAGCCAGTCAAGAGGGACTCAGGCTTGTTGGCGTGCGAGTTGATACCAGGCTGGCCGTCGAAGACGATGACGCGGTCGGCCAGGTAAGTGGCCATAATGAAGTCGTGCTCGACGATGAAAGCAGTCTTCTTGGCGTGCATGATGAAACGCTTGATGACGCGCGCAGCAATGATACGCTGCTCAGAATCCAGGTAGGCAGACGGCTCGTCAATCAGGTAGATATCGGCAGGCATGCCGAGAGCCATGACGATAGCAACACGTTGCAATTCACCACCGGACAGGTTCTTGACTTCCTGGTCAATGAAGTCGTCGAGCTTGAGGGGCTTGACAACATCGGTCTGGAACTGAGGAGACAGGAGGGCCTGCTTGATCCTCTTGAAGAAAAGTTGACGAACGGTGCCCTCAAACTTGGGGGTGATGGTCTGTGGCTTCATGCTGACGCGCATCTCGGGGACCTTGTTGGTGTTGTCGGGCTTGAGAGCACCAGCCAGCAGCCTACAGAACGTGGTCTTGCCAGTACCATTCTCTCCCATCATGACAATGATCTCGGAATCAGTGAAGTCACCAGAATCAATGTTGAGCTTGAAGTTGCCAAGAGCCTTCTCCATCTTGGGATATTTGAAGTTGCGTCCCTTGTCGGCTTGGAACTCGTCGGCACCCTCAGAGATGCGGAATGTCAGGGACTCCTCCCGGAAACGCAGGTTTTCGGTAGGGATATGACCATCAAGGAAGATGTTGATGCCTTCGCGGACCGAGTATGGAAGAGTGACCACACCATACACGGCAGGCTTACCGTAGAGGACGCAGATGTAGTCAGACAGGTAGTCGAGTACGGACAGATCGTGCTCGACGACAATGACGTAGTTGTCTGATGCCAGAAGCGAACGGATCATGCGAGCGGCAGAAAGACGTTGCTTGACATCGAGGTAGGAGGACGGCTCGTCGAACATGTAGACGTCGGCTTTCTGGACACAAACGGTACCGATGGCGAAACGCTGCAGCTCTCCACCAGAAAGCTTGTCGACGTCGCGGTCCATGAGATGGCGGAGCTCGAGCACGTCAAGAACTTGATCCATGTTGTCCATTGCAGATCTGTGGTTCAGAAGGAACTTGACCGTCTTGTCCGGAGTTCTGACGGCACGGGGAAGCTGGTCGACGTATTGCGGCTTGACGACAGCCTTGAGGTCATCTTCCAGCAGCTTCGTGAAGTAGTCTAGAGGGACGAATTAGTCGTTCGGGGCTCGTCCAAGTGATGTTGGGGTACAAATGACGGCCACATCAAGCTAGAACATACTCTGCAATTCAGAACCTCTGAAGTACTTGATCACATCCTCCCAGTCGGGCGGGTTGTCGTATCTGCCGAGGTTGGGCTTGAGCTTGCCACTGAGAATCTTGAGCGCGGTACTCTTGCCAATACCGTTGGTTCCAACAAGACCGAGGACCTGCCCAGGTCTTGGCATAGGCAGACGGTGAAGCTTGAAGCTGTTGGCTGAGTAGCGGTGCGTGACCTGGGTTTCGAGGTTGGTCGGCAGGTTGATGATGGTGATGGCGTCGAAAGGACATTTTTTCGGGCAGATACCACAACCAATGCAGAGACTCTCGGAGATGAAGGCGATCTTGGAGTCGGGCGAGACTTCGATACAGAGTTTGCCGGAACGAACAACGGGGCAGGACCTAAGGGCAGCATGTGTTAGTGCTTTGGTCACGCCACGATAGAGCCTCCCAGTTGAAAACATACTTCTTGCACTCCTGACGGCACTTCTTGGGTTTGCACTGCGTTCATGGGAAGACATCAGTTCCTGTCGTTGGGATATAGGCAAATGTCGCAGCGATCGTGGATGGCGGGGTTTTGGTGGTGGGGTCGAGATTCACACACCTTGTCATCGTTGACAATGGCAATACTGGAATGAACATGTTAGTCGTCTTGACCAAACGGTACTGGCGTGCTGCGCTCGTTTCTTTGTAGAGAACGATGTCCCACTGCGAGAACGGGTCCAGCAACGCGAGGCAGGGCTAGGAACACACCGAGTGAGTTTGGACGCCATGGCGAAATTGTTGGCGATGCGCGACGAGGTATACGGGTCGACGGCGTGCTCGAGCGAGGAACGGATGAGCCTTTGTGCCGATGGGCTCGCTGAGGGTTGTGGATGCTCCGGACTGGCAGCAGGGAAGTTGCAGGACAGGCGAGCGGCGGGGAGAGAAGAAGACAACTAGAGGACCGGAGGAAGCAGCCCCTGCCAAACAACAGCCAAGAGTGACGTGGTAGCGCGATGCCGATGAATTTTGTGCGTCGATGTGGGCTTGCCTGTTGTTGCGATGGTGGGGCGGCGCAGGCAGTTTCATGGCGGGGCACGGCGTATCGATCGCTAATGCGCGAATGGCCGGGTGCTCATAGGCCAGACGCCAGCAGGGGATGTCTTGTTATTGCTCTTCTAAAGGTGCAGCCACTCTTTGATACTAGAGTATGCAGATAAAATCACTTCAAAAGCGACTATGGTTGCCTTGTGCTAGTTAACCAGCAGCACGTACGCCCGCTCCTTACAATGGTCATGAGCTCTGCTCCAGGGAGATGGTTAACAGGAAACTCAGCCTGATCACCGGAGCCTTTGGCAGGCCATGCACGTCCTATGCCCGGGGAATCATGAGTCGTGGGCAACAGAAAGGACGAGTCGCCATCTTTTGGCATTCTTGTTTCCAACCTTGGTCCACGAAACTCCCGGGAAACCACTGACATGCTTCCCCGAGTACTCATGGGAGTGGCCTGTAGATATTGCTTGTTTGCACGCGGAAAAAACTGTCCCGTTGTTTTGATAACTGCCTCTCCCGGTCAGTTTGTCTTGAACTAGTCTGTCGGGACAAGAGAACCGAAACGCCGCAGTGCGCTCTGCTCATGATCATCCATCATCCATGGGACATCGGCCCTTGATTGGAGGCTGACCAGTTTGGCTCCCGTACCAGCCTCAAATATCGTCAGCACCAGCCTCAATCGAGGTCCGTGCGCAAGGTGCTGGCCCACGGTCGGATGAGGCTTGACCGCCGACCCACCGCTGCCATCCATGCCAGGCCAGGCCAAACACCTGCGCGGTTCGCCCGACCTCAGTGCTGCACACGCGCCAGTGCAGCGCTGGCGCCAACCAAACTGGACCTTGGACTGCAGGCAGGGCCCCCACTCTGGCGCTGGCTTTGACCTGCTGCTCTCTTTTCCTGATCGACTCTCCATTCATTTTCAGGCCTTCCACACAACACCATAGTCCAGGGTATGCCACCCTGCCATCCCGACCTCCATCCTTTTCCAGCCTCGACTGGCTTCCTGCTTGGCCCATTCTCGCAGTCTGGAGCATCGAGCTGGATGATTTGTAAGTGCTTCTGCTTGACTTCCCCTTCTGCTGCAGACGTTGTCGCCTCTCAACTGTCTGCGCCACCTCCGGCCACGCGAGCTGGTGTACCTCGCAAGCCCCGACTCCATCCATCAACCTCACTTATATGGTCTTGATATATCGCCATATACGCGGTCCAATCGGCTCTGAAACCTCATTTCCCGATGAGATCGTCGTGCTCGATACGTACAACGCGTCCAGCTAGTCAGCCGAGGACATCAGGCCAAGGCCAAGTCCAACACCTCCTCGATATCGTGATTCCATCATCCTCCAGCCTTGTACCTATCACCCAGCATCTCTAAATGCGCCGAATCAATTGCTTCCTCGAATCTGATCGCCTCCACTCAATCGATACCGCCACTGTGGTCGCCTTGCCGAGCACTCTCTGATGCACTCAGCGTGTCTGACCTGCGCACAAATGACCCAGCAGCTAACCTCATCGTCTTGCGTGCTCCTGTAGAAACCTCCTTCGAGGAGAACCACAATGTCGAGTTCCCCCGAGCCCGCCTTCGCCAACGGGCATACGTCGCCGACAACACAGACCACGAACAAGATAGAACTCGACGATCGTGCCAGCGTTAGTGACCTCTCGGATGCCAATGACGCGCCGTCGGTAGCTCGGCGGGCGATCCCCTCGCAGTCATCGTCCTCGGATCACGATGCTTCGGACCCTGATGCCCATGCCGATGAGGTTGCCGACGAAACAAGTGATGAGGATATCAACGCTTCCGACGATGGCGACTTCGATGCAGAGGAAGACGTCGCTGGCTCCCAAAGCGATGCTCCTAGAGATGCCGCGTCGTCCTCGAGCAGCTCACACCGTGCTGCCAAGCGCAAAGCCGAACTGGCCGAAGATGAGCATATGAGAGAGAACCCTGAACTCTATGGCCTGCGAAGAAGCGTACGTTGTGGTGACATCTTGCGTCGCTAGTGTTCGATAACTAATGTTTTCCTTGTGTAAAGTCCCGCCCAACAAAGCAGCCTCGCATAGTGAGTTCTCAGTCTCTTCGGTACTGCACCTTCCCTTGCACTGACACGATGGCCAGATCGATTCGGACGATTCCAACGAGGAATCCGACTCGGATGTTGTCCCTACGAACCGACGGACCAAGAAGCTTCGTGTCGAAAAGACTTCACAACAATGTACGTGGCCTCCCTGCTCTGGTGCTTCCCGCCCGATTACTTACCATGCAAGCAGCTTCCAAACGCGGAACACCAATCCGACAAGTGCAGACCGCGGATTCCGATTCCGACACGTACGGCGGCGCGCGAGCTCGGACATTCCAGAACAAGGCCCGTCGGCAGCAGGCTGCAGCCTCCTCATCCTCGGTCTATGCAGAGAAGCGGTGGTCCAATCGTCGCGCGACGCAGCAAATACAAAGCTATCAAGAAAGCGACGAGGATGATGGTTCCGAGCTCACTCCTCAACACTGGGCTGGCGATGAAGTGGCCAACGACATACCGTACATTGAGAAGGTGGTCGGGTATCGTGTCAGGGATGATGGTGAGCTGACCATCGATGCCACCAAAGACGACTTTGAGTTCAACATCAAGTGGCATGGCAAATCTCACTTGCATAACACCTGGGACTCATTCGACACCTTGCGAGGTTACCGTGGCATGCGCAAGCTGGAGAACTACTTCAAGCGGGTGGTCGAATACGAAATCGACCTGAAATTCGCTGGCGATGATATACCACCCGAGACCCGTGAGCAGTACATGCTGGACAAGGAACGCGATCTCGACGCCTTAGCAGACTATACCAAGGTCGAGCGAGTCGTCGCCCAGCGAAGTGGTGAGATGGGCAGAGAGTACTTTGTCAAGTGGAAAGGCTTGACGTACGACTGCTGCACCTGGGAGCTGGCCTCGGTTATCCAGGGTGATGCCCAGGATAAGATCGACCAATTCTTGGATCGCCAATCGCGTTCCTGGATCTCGGACAAATACGAGTCGAACCCTGCTACACGGACCAAATTTCTGAAGCTCGAATCACAACCAGCTTACATCAAGGGCGGTGAGCTGAGGGGCTTCCAGCTTACTGGGCTGAACTTCTTATCACTGAACTGGTGCCGTGGCAACAATGTCATCCTGGCTGACGAGATGGGTCTTGGCAAAACTGTGCAGTCCGTCTCATTCTTAAGCTGGTTACGCAATGAGCGAAAGCAGGAAGGTCCATTCCTCGTCGTCGCGCCGCTCAGTGTCATCCCAGCATGGTGCGACACGTTCAACCTGTGGGCTCCCGACCTCAACTATGTTGTCTACCTGGGTAATGGTGAAGCCCGAAGCACGATTCGGGAGCATGAGCTCACAGTCAATGGCAATCCCAAGAAACCCAAGTTCAATGTGCTTGTCACTTCGTACGAGTACATTCTCACTGATGCGGACTACCTGAGGACGCTGAAATGGCAAGCACTCGCAGTTGACGAAGCTCATCGGCTCAAAAACAAAGACTCCAAGCTCTACACAGAGCTGATGAGTTTCGGTGCGCCAGCTAAGGTCCTCATCACCGGCACGCCTATTCAGAACAATCTAGCAGAGCTTTCTGCTCTTCTGGATTTCTTGAACCCTGGCAAGGTTGTTATTGACGAAGATCTCGAGACACTCGCATCCACAGACGCGCAAGCGCGGCTTCAAGATTTGCATGCCGACATCGCACCTTATATTCTGCGGCGAACCAAGGAGACCGTGGAGACCGATCTTCCACCCAAGACGGAGAAGATTATCCGCGTCGAGCTGTCCGATGTACAACTTGAGTATTACAAGAACATCCTCACGCGCAACTATGCCGCACTGAATGAAGGCAACAACGGCCAGAAGCAGTCGCTCCTCAACATTGTTATGGAGTTGAAGAAAGTCAGCAATCATCCATACATGTTTCCTGGCGTCGAAGAGAAGGTTCTCAAGGGTAATACCCGTCGCGAAGATCAGATCAAAGGACTCATCGCCAGCAGTGGAAAGATGATGTTGCTCGATCAGTTACTTGCCAAGCTCAAGAAAGATAACCATCGCGTGCTGATCTTCAGTCAGATGGTCAGGGTGCTTGACATTCTGGGCGATTATCTTCGACTGCGTGGCTACCAGTTCCAAAGGCTAGACGGAACAATTGGTGCCGGACCTCGACGATTGGCAATCAATCATTTCAATGCGGAGGACAGCAGTGATTTCTGCTTTCTGTTGTCTACTCGCGCTGGAGGCCTTGGAATCAACTTGATGACGGCTGACACAGTCATCATCTTTGACTCGGACTGGAACCCTCAAGCGGACTTGCAGGCCATGGCTCGAGCCCACAGAATAGGTCAGAAGAAACCTGTCACGGTCTATCGACTTGTTTCCAAGGAGACTATCGAGGAAGAAGTTCTCGAACGCGCCAGAAACAAGCTGCTACTCGAGTACTTGGCCATTCAAGCCGGTGTCACTGATGACGGCAAAGCCTTCAAGGAAGAGTTCCGGAAGAAGGGTGTGAAGGTCGACGAAGCCAAGTCGGCTGATGATATTCAGCTCATCCTCAAGATGCGTTCCCAGAAGATGTTTGAACAATCCGGCAATCAAGAAAGATTGGAACAGCTTGATATCGACTCGATTCTGGAGAATGCCGAGGTTACCAAGACCAAGGTCGAAGACAAGATGAACCTCAGCACTGGTGGAATCGATTGGGACAATTTCATGCAGTACACCGACGTCAAGGTGGACGATCTCGCCCTGGATTGGGACGACATTATTCCGGCAGAACAATTGGCTGAGATCAAGGCTGAAGAAGAGAAGAAGAAGCAAGATGACTATCTTGCTAGAGAGCTCGAGGCGAGCGCTCCACGGAGAGCCGCTCTCAAGAGCTCAAGGTCGTATGCCGAATCCGAGCGAGCCGAGCGCATCGCTAAGAAACGTGAGCGCGAGCAGCTGAAACAGGAGAAGCTTGAGGAACAGCGCGCAATGTTGTCAGACCCCAAGCGGCCTCTCAATGAGAAAGAGACGCGTAACCTCATTCGCGCGTTCATGCGATACGGATACATTGAAGATCGTCCCGATGAACTGTTGCGCGACGCACGTCTCAGCGACCGCGACCGGGATTTCATCGCCAAAACATTGCAGGAGATCATTGACGGTGCCCAAGAAGCCACGGACCGAAATCGAGATGAGCTTCGTGCGCAGGAACAGCAGTCGCAAAAGAAGTTGACCAAGAAAGACATCAAGGCGGTCATGTTTGACTATGGTGAAGTCAAGAAGATCAACGCCGAGACAATCCTTGAGCGGCCCCCTCAACTTCGACTTCTCCACAAGATCCTTGGCGAGCAAGCCGATCCTCGTGCTTTCCGACTTCTGGAGGCCACCAAAGGGGCACACTACAGCTGTGAATGGGGCCCCAAGGAGGACTCTATGCTCCTGGCTGGCATCGATCGATATGGCTTCGGCGCCTGGACACAGATCCGGGACGACCGCGAGTTTGGCCTGTACGAGAAGTTCTTCCTTGAAGAGCACCGAATCGAAAAGAAGCAGGAAAGGGAACAGGGTGAGACTAAGGGAGCCAAAGCCCCTGGTGCTGTGCATCTTGTTCGCCGTTCCGACTATCTTCTGTCGGTTCTCAGTGCCGTATACTCGGACAACGAAAACGCTTTCAAGGCGCTGGAAAATCATCATCGCAACAATAAGAAGGCAGCGTTGACAAATGGCCATCGGCGGTCCGAGAAGACCGGTTCCGTCTCGGCATCTCCCGCACCTCGAGAGAACAAGAAGCTTGACTCCCGTCGGGACCGCGACAGGGACCACGACCGCTACAGAGGCGAACACCACCGCTCCCGTAGTAGCCTTGGCGAGTCCAGCACTCCACGCCCAGAGTCGAAGCGGAAACACAGTGGTGAGGTCGATGATCGCCGGCATAAACACCGCCGCATGGAGGAGCATCGTCGTCACGATGACCATCGGGAGCGCGACCATCGCCGGACGGAAGAGTCCAGCAAGAATGCTGAGGAGGAGGATGACAACCGCAATGCACCACTCATCCAGGCTCTGATGCAGCCCATCTGGAGTCATGTAGAGAAGGTCGAGGCCTGCACGAAAACTAATATTCCGGTCGCCAAAGCGCGCGCCAAAGTCCTCAAGTCTGAGATTACTGCTATCGGCGATTTCATTGAGGGCTTGCACAAGTCCTCTGGTCTGTCTCCTGATCAGCTTGGGGAGCTCAAGCCGAAGCTTTGGTAAGTTTGGCCAACATGCCTAATTGTTTCACGTCTTGTTCTAACATTACGGTCCCAGGCGGTTTATCTCCAAACGGATCCCGGCCTCAGACAAGCCTGCTCCTGGAAAAGAGGCAGATCCAAAGGCTGCAGCGCAAGCGCAGGGCATGACCGGCCCCAGACTTTCCGCTTTGTACGAGCAGCTGAAACAAGCTGCCAACAAGCCCAGTGACAGTTCCAGGCCGCCTGTCCCGGCCTCGACCATCAATGGTTCGTCGCGTGGATTGGCCTCCAGACCGTCGCACTAGACAGCACAAAAGCGACACGGCCCAGTTTCACGCTGAACTAGCATTTGTTGATACTATGTATCTTTGAACCGGCGGAATCATATTTGCATTGTAGGGCGTTCCGGATTTTGCATTTGTAGACTGGGAGACAGCGCCGTTGTCTTCCCGATTGACGGTCACGCGCACGCATATCACACATAGCCCAGCGAAAAGAGGTGCAGTATGGCGTTCACGATATACCTGGTAATGGTGTCCTTGTACTAAAAATAAAAGCCCCTGGTCGCTGCTAAGACGAGGCGCAAGCACCAAAGATATTGGGGGCAGGGCGTGTCAAGACTGCGTGTATTGGAACACAGGGGGGCAAACATGTGATTTCCCTCCAATGAAGTATTTTAGCGAAGCATATGCACCACGCGTACGACGGGCTATCGATTTGCCCTTGTCGCGACGAAAGCACAGATACAGAATCAATTTGACTTTTTCTCCCAGACACGAAATGAGATGCGAAAACACGTTGCGCCTTGATCAAAAGTGCTGCTCCATGTCTCTCCGCTGGCCCTTCACGGGCCCACGGCAGGACAATCAGACATCATCACTGGTTTCATGCTCTCGTGTTTTGACGTGATGCCTTGAAGCAGGTCTGTTCGCCGGTGTGCTCCTTTGGGATGCAGCGAGGTTGAGCCGACTCTTGGAATGGGTGATGTGCGAGCACGTGACCTCGGTTGTCTGCCTACATCATCACCCCTATGGCAGAGACCGCCCGCAGTTGAACACCAAGCAGAGAACAGCGAGATGAAGCACATGGTGGTTTACGAGGGACTGTGAGCAGTCAACCATGCACATCTGAAGGAGAAGTTCTTTTTGACAGTAATGTAGTCCAGTACTCGAGACTACTGGTGCAGTTGGCCCGCCTAACGGTCTCTGCAACGTAAGATAATTTCGCGTGTGGACTTCCTTCATGTCCAACCGCGGGGTCTGCTCCGATTCTTCGTGGTGTATTCGGTCACCGATGCATTCTTGCCTTGGTCCCCAGCCCATTCAGCTATGTACATGGTGTATAAATATATAGACATTTTCGCCCATAGTGATTATAAAGTGATACCAGAACTCCACGCCATGATCATATAGCCTGCAACGCCTAGCATGCAAAGTAATCCTTCTACTATCAAGTGAAATGCCCTCGATTGGGGCACCTCTTGTAAACGCGGTTGATATCACATCTGAATCAAATGCTCCATGCCGCGCGGAACTGATTTTGGCGACACAGCGTCAGGCAGGGTATTGCCCTTTTGCGGGGGAGTTGTTGGTTGCTGCATGTTCGATGTGCTGCTGGGAATGTATGGTGTTTCCTCTAGGTATTTCCCGGGTTGAACATCTCGAGTAATGAGAGGCGCGCGTAGCTGGAAATCCACTTTCATATCTGAAAGAGCAGCCTTGAGGCCACCGGGCGTCTCGCCTTGGATAGATTTTGCCTGCAGCTTGGTATTGGCCGTGGCAGTAACCTTCGTAGCCCTGAAAGCGTCCGTGACAGTGGCACGTGGCTTCTTGTCCACCTTTTTCGTATTCTGCTTTGACTTTTTCCGCTTGAGCTCTGTGGCCGATGGTGTGGATACCTTCGACCTGGCAGTCGGAGTTCCAAATAGCAGTTGGCTTTGCTTTGGCTTTGCCGCCGCAGCTGGAGTGGCGCCGAGTTTGGGCTTTGCCATGGGAAGGGCTGTGCGAGGCTGGACCTTGGGACTAGCTGTTGGCGTGAGGATCCCCTTGATATCTTCCGCATATTTGGACATAGACTCTAGCTCTGCAGCGCGTAACTGGGGAGATTCAGCCTTGACGCTGGCACTCTCTTCAGGCGTGCTCCTCCTAATCTCGACGTTGAATTTGCCGTTGCGTAGGCTGTTCTCCATGGTCTCAGTGTCGACCACGGTCAATTTCTCGTCAACTGTTTGGTCCCAGCGCGGAAGCCCAGCAAGCGAGGCGACATCGTCACTCTTGCCCCGAACCACCAGATCCCAGCAGCCCTTGAGCTCTCCGCTGCTTGGTTCGGCATCCAGGTTAATCCAGACAGTGAGACCGTCTCTCCGCTTTCTGGCAACACCGCACATGTCTTTGACCATGTTCTTCACGCCTGGAATCTTGAGACTGGTGCCGACGACGATGACTGCATCAGGGCGTGCCCGGAGATCGGCGCGCACAACATTGGCAATGGCTTGCTCATCGGGGTTGTGTTCATTGTAGAGGACCATGCGTGGCCTCATCTTGCCTATGCCATGACTACGCTTGCCGGCATGTGATGTTCGCACCAAGTCGAGAGTCTCACACGTGCCGCAGAGTGGAGCTTCTGGGCCGTTGAAGATGGATGCATCAAAATTTGTTACCTCGCTGCATTTCGAGCAGACCATTTTGCCGAGTCCTCCATGGAGCTGGACGGTCTTCTTCCACGGCCCTTTCTCATTGAGCGGCACTGTCGTCTCGAGGGGCTCGAGCTTCGTGTCGAGGCAGTCAATGTTCTGGGTGTAGAGCCGCAGCAGCCGTCCTTCATGCGCAAGCGAGGCAAGCATGTGGTGAAACTCGCTGGACTCTGCCGACTCCGTAAGTGCGGCGAGTTCGCGGACCATTGTATGGAAATGCGTGGTGCTCTCATCACTCTTGTACACTGACGCATCAAAAAGCTGCGCGCCCGATGCTTTGAGCTTGTGTTGGTTCTTGAGGCTGGCGAAGAGTCCTCGAGAGGAGCGGAAGTCGGGGACTGGGGTTGCAAGTCAGCACATGTCATTGTATGGCGTGAGCAAGAGAGCAACTTACTGCCCGAAGAAACAGAGATGCCTGCCCCGGCAATGACGACAATCTTCTTCTTGTGCTTCAACGCATCGGTCAGATCCGCTATGGAAGCGGACAGCTCTTCTTTGTCTGTGTTGGCGGCTGCATCCTCGAGGTTGATGTAACGTGTTGTGCGATCACGTTTTGTGTTGAGCTTGCGACGCTTCGCAGGGCGAGCTCCGTTGGGGTTGACCATGATGGAGAGATCCTCGACGTCGGACGACTTGGATGGGGAGGCAGTTCCTGAGCACAGGGTCGACGACGGCGGTGACGGTATGCCTCGTATGTCGTACGCAAGTGAGGTGCGCGGCGATACTGACGGCGTGCGCGAAAGGACTGATAGTTCTGACAGCGGTGAGGAAGGCAGCTCAGGGAGGTCGGGCGAGGCCGACGAAGAGCTAGAGGCGTCGAGGTCCATCGCGAGAGACAGCGGCCTGCACCGGGCAGGCACGTTGCAGCAACCAAGCGCGACCGTGTGGTGAGGGCGTCTGAGAGGAAGGAGGCCAGTGGGACGCGTCGCAGAAGCTAGAACAAAGCCGTCGGGCACGAGCGGAACATGGCCAAGGAGCGAGGTGCAATCAGGCTGGTGCGTGCAAAGCTACGTATGGTTGCAGTCCGGGCAAGACGCGTCGTTTGGGTGCGTCGCAGTTGTTGGTGATGCGGCGTGACGCAGTGGTGAGATGGTGGTTGGAGGCGGCTCACGTCGAGCAACTTTGGGCTGACCGGGTCGCTGGATGTGCTGAGAGGGCGGAGCTTGCGCAGAGCGTGGGAGGACTTGAGAGTCTGGGAAAGAGGTTGGCTTTGAGTCGCTGATGACAGGGAGAGCCTGGGGACCTGTCGTTGACTTGACGGAGATGGAAGGAGAGTGGGGACGATGCAGAGGACAATAAAACTCTGGGCGACCAAGCCAGCTTCTTAGCGCAAGCCGCCGAGGAGGAGATGAAGACGTGGGCGGTCGTCGGGGTGGCGCCGTCGCAGAGGCTGACGAGCGAGAATATACCCAGCGGAACGCACTTTAGGTACGACAGCAGAGAGCCGGTGATTGTAGCGGCTGCGACGGGGTCTGGCCGCGGAAACAGAGGGCAAGAAGAGAGTTCACAGATGGCCAGATGATTACGGGTGGGAAGCAAGGAGACGCGCCATGGCTGCAGCAGTAACAGCAGCAGCAGCAGCAATGAATGACATAGGAGCAGAGCCAAGCAACAGTCTGGAGAGCAGAGTGGAGATGTCGAGAGCGGCGGCGGAAGAAGGAGGGGGGCATCACGACACGGCCGTCATGCCCAGCGGCCATGGGAGCAGGGGCCAGGGGCAGGCGGCCCAAACATTCACGACAACAAGAACCGCTGGGGGTTGGATTCAATCCAATGGTGGTGGTGGTGGCAGCCCGTTAGTGAGTTAGGGGCCGCCAAGTACCCGGCCATGAGCTGACAGCCGACAGAGGAAGAGGTGGCCTGGTCGAGGCGCGGGGTGCTGGAATCTGCTCTTGGGTACCTTGCTTGTGGCAATTCATCGAGGCCTCTTTCTCCAAGAAGAAACCTTCGTAGAGGCTTGGAAGTGCCGGCCGGAAAGAGGATCGAACGCAGGAGGCAGCTTTGAGCAGCTTGGCTGGGGAAAGAGTGGATGCATGCAAGTGTGTTGCTCGGCCGTTGCCCGCCAGCCCTGGCCTGTCCACGGCCCTGTGGGGGCCCGTTCCGATGTCGAGACTTCGGGCCCATCCCTCCGGCGCCACACCTGCCGCCGCCTCTCCAGCCACATCCACACCGTCCAAGTGCCACGCCCTGCGCCTTGCCCTGCCAGCGCCTGCGAAGCGCCTGAACCATCAAGGCTCGGGTGAGTGCAGCAGTTGGTCGCACAGCTCATGTCGACTGGAGGCGCCACAGCCCGCCATCACTGCTTGCCACGGTTTGCTTTGCCTTGCTTTGCTTTGTAGGACGGACAGAGCCCTCCTGTGCTCAGCACCAGATATCCCTTTCATGATCCCAACAACTTTCACGCTTAGCGTTGTGTAGTGGACCAGGCGTGTGCGCTGCTTTATCCGACCTTGACCTCCAATAAGCCACCACTCACATCCACGCCTCCAGCATTGTCACAAGCCTTTTCCAATCGGCTCCCTTGTTCCCCTACCAGATTTCCACTTCTCCTTCCGTCTTCAGGTCATAATCTTCGTGGTTTGACCCAGAAGGCTGTCCCCAGCGTAACGGGGGAGTCTGGGCTGAGGCCCAATGACGACCAACGAGATGCCCCTTATCCTGGACAACCCCATGGACGAGGCTGCCATGCAGGTCGATCTCGACGATGTCGACGACCTTTTTGGAGATGGCGTCCCCCTCGCATTGCCTCCCCGTCCACCAAGCAAGCGTCTGCACCAAAGACTCGACGAGCTTCGGAGGAGTGGATGTTGCCAGTAAGTGCCGGCTGATCATTCTTCAGAATCCAGACGCTGACATCGGATCACGACCTCCAGAGGTGTCGCTTGGTCAAAGACCGGCACGATAGCGTCCATCTCTCCAGGTGGGCACAGCCTCGAGCTCAGGTACCTATGCGCAGACCCAAAGACGGCGCAATGGGGACTCAGCGACGCGACACACTTCACGCCAAGCACGAGTTTCCCTGGAGGCCCTATCGTTCACCTGACCTGGAGCCCGACCAACACGTCGTCTGAGCTCGCCGTCATCGATTCTGTGGGGAGGACCTCCATTTTCAACTTTGCCACGAATCTGAATAGGCCGTCACGGGTTCGAGGCTGGGACACTGACCCTGTGGATGACTTGCACATGGTGGTGGGCTCGTATTGGCTCAATCTCATGCCAACACATGCCTCCAAGGTACGTCTCCCTTGAAGGCCCCGGTTCTTTCTTCATGGGCACATATTGACCACAACTAAAGGTTCATCCACTGTACAGCCCAGCTGTCAAGGTCGGCGACAAGTACAAGTATGAGCCGTCATTTGTCCCAATCAGTGGCCCGTACCATCCGAATCCTTCACGTTCGGCACTCATCACTGTCACCACTCGAGGATTACTCAAAATGTTCTGGTACCAGGCAAACGGCAAGTTGGAGGAGACAAAGATTGACCTTGAAAGTGTGAACTCCGCCGACGACCTCATCACCCACGCGTCTATCTGTTCTGACATGAAGAGTGAGTGTGTCTTGGTCATGTATCGTGGTCCGAGTCCGAGCTTTTCATTGACGCTATTTCCTAGGAGCTGTCCTCTTTGTCTCCTTGATGACGCAGTCTAAGCAGCTTCGCGTTGTCCAAGTCAAGATTCTCTGGGACGGGCAGAGATCAGAAGGCCAACAGACCCAACAGCAACCCAATCGCCCGCTAAATCCCAGCTTGTCCGTGAAACATCTTGCTGTTACCACATGGCTGAGTGGGGAGCAGGACTCTCATCTAGGCTCTGCCATGCCCAAGGTGTCACTTCTCGAGTTTCTGCCAACTTCGCCCAATCAGGCGACTAAGAAAATGGCAGCACCTGTGATCGTTGCCGTCCGCTCGTTTGTGCCGACGTTGAGCTCGCCTTACAACCAGGAGATCCAAAGCTCGATCGACGTATGGGAGCTCCAGCCAGATTCTCAGCAGACTGTGCATCCGGCTTTTGAAAAACTTGGGACACGGAGGAGTAGTGTTGGACAGCCTAATCAGGTCAGTTCCCGCACGCCTACTTCCACCACCGAATGTGATGCTGATACATGACAACCAGGACCCGCTGTGCTTGAGAAAGCTGGACTCAATCATTGTCGATAAAGTTGTTGTCGGCATCACGCAAGTCCCGCTGGGTAGAGCCATTTGCTTCGCATACAGCGATGGCACAATTGAATACCGGGATCGATTCACATTACAACCAATGTACAACGAAGTCAACCTAGACCGCATCACATCAATGCTTGAAGTTGGTTTCACCCAGGAAGGAGAATCGAGTTGTGAGTACTCCTGGCTGAAGTCGTGGCTCTCTGCGTATTGAAGCTCACACAAACCAGGCCTGCAAAGCGCCTTGTCGCCCACGAGCCTGTCTGTGATCCAAATCAATGAAGCGGGCAAGCTGCACTGGCACAGTCTGCGGTACGGACAGGACACTTCGTCACCCTTGACTGCAGGTAAGACTCTTCGAACGTTTTCTCACCATTGTGCCCGACACTGACGAAGCATGACGAACCAGGCCAGCTATCGTCGGTCGTTGCAGCGATGACCATGGCGACTGCACAATCAGCGTATGCGCAGATCAACATTGATGACCTCCTTTCTATTGCCAGACACTTCAAACAACAAGATGGTAAGCACAATTACATACGCATGTACACCCAGAGGGGGGAAGACGCCACCGAGAAGCCTATCTCAAATCATGAATTCTCATGCTAAGCACGCTGTAGGATTCTCCTCGCAATGGATGACCGAAATGGTGCATCTTTCCAAGATTATTGTTGATTATGCGGAGGAGGTGCCGCACGACCATCTTTTCAGAAACAACCAGCTGCAGCTCTTCTTCAGCATTCTCAATCACGTGGGATGGAATGGGACGACACAACAGCGGGACTTCCAGAGCAAGCTATCCACAATAGCCCTAAATCTTCGCAACATTGTGATCCTGATCACGATAGCCAACAACAACACACATTCGGGAAGAGGTCCTACGCCGATGGACGACACCGGTAGGTGCCCCTTTCTGCTTCAGCCATGAAACATCACTAATGACGTGTGCACAGAGGTCGTCAGCGCCCTGGCTGGCTGTTGCAAGTGGTCTATAGACCTTCTGTCCTGGCTATGTGACTCGCTTTTCTGTCTACTGGACGACACGAAGTTCATGGCTCTGCTTCAAGCAAGTCCACCGCAATTCTCACAACTTACAGACTACCTCCACCAGAACAACGACGTGGCGTTACACATGATCATGTGCTCTTCGATCCGGGGCCTGCTCAATGCAGTCTGCCGCAGAATCAATCTTCTGGACAACCTTTCCGTCATGGCGCTCAAATACTACGAGAGCCGCGCTGGCAAGGATGAGCCAGCAGCCACGCCAGGAGCACCTACAGGTGCCAAGGGCGGCTCGTATGGATCACCTCTGCACATGGCCTACCAGCGAATACAACGACATACGTCCTCCGCCATGATCAAGATTAGTGACTTTGATGCTCTCCTCACGACGTTTGGCACCGCGATTCGCACAGTGTACAAGGCTTCTTCCGAACATATGAACAAACAGCAGCAACAACAGAACACTAGCAATGGGGCGTCTGGGAACAGTAACCCCAAGGACGACGCTGGCGCGCGCGCGCGTGCCACCTGCGAACTGACGCTGCTCCTGGGGGGCCCCCCGCCTCCGTCGTTCCAGGACATCCTGTGCAAGCTCTTCAAGCAGGACCTCACCAACCTGCGCAGCCAGACCGACGCGGCGAGACTCTTCTTTGCAGACTATAGTCTTCTTGAGATCGACGACGAGCCCAAGGCGTTGGAGCGCAAGAGGGCACGCGGCGCGCATGTCGACATGTTCAAGCGCGTAGAAATCGTCAAGGGCGTCCACGGTGGTAGTGCGAGCCGACGGGCTGGGAGCCTGGGCGGCGACCACGAGAGCGGGGCTCAGCAGGCGCCGGCGCAGTGGCGAATGTGTGTACGCTGTGCGAGCGTCATGGAGGACTTTGGGCCTGTGCATAACCGGCCAAATCTGGCGTTTGTGCTGAGCCAGCAGCGGAACTGCTCCTGTGGAGGACGGATGGTGCTCCTGCCGCTGACCAGTGGAGATGGGAACAGGGGGAAGTGACTGACGTTTGACAGGACCGGGGTCACTTGTTGAAGAGATCGCAAAGTTTCAGCGCCGAGTGTTTTGGGTGCTCTGCATAGACGCTGCGGCAGAGTGTTCCGATGTAGTACAGCCTTGTGTGCCACAAAAAGTAGTGCGTAGATATCCACAGTAACCGCCGATAATTGTGAGCATGGACTATTTCCACCTCTGCTACAATCCAGTCTCAGATGTTTTGAGCCATCACAGAAAGGCGAAACGCAATAGTACAACAGTCAACACGTCCGGGCTCAGGGCGGCACCTCACACATGTACCGGACCGGCCCGCTCATGCCGGCTGCCAGAGAGCATGCAACCGCCGGGGACGGGGGAAGGCGTGCTCGGGTGGGGCCATTTCCCACCGTGTTCGGCTCGACTCTGCTCGAGAATGGGTAATAACCGCCACCACCACCTCTCCTCCTCCTCCTCCTCATTGTTCGAGTTTAGAGATTCCAACGTAAATTACACTTGTGTACTAGGTCGTCACGACGCTGGAAAGTCGCCTTCCTTAGAGCCTGACCACTGGTTAGAGCACGATATCGTTATCTCTCGCACCACAGCAGGCTGCGAGACGACTCGCGATATCTATATCGTTGCCGTCAAAGCAAACGGCCGCGATATACGAGCAAACCAGAGAGAGGATCGTGGCGTCCGTTACTACAAACGACACCAAAACCACAAGCCGGATTTCCCACAAAGAAAAAAAAAAACCCAGTCAAAATGTCACAACCACCGCCCTCCTCCACTTCTGCTTCGTCATCCTCGGCACCACCAAAGCCCACGGTCCTGCTGGTAGGCGACATGCGCCAGGCCGGCGACCACTGGTCCTCGCTGGCCAGCAAGTACAACCTGCTGAGCTACCACACGCCCGGCGCCAACACGCGGGCCGAGTTCCTGCGGCGCCTGCGGGAGGACCCGTCCTGGCAGGCCATCGTGGGCTGCTACCGGTCCAACCACAGCACGTCGGTCACGGGGCCCTTTGACGCCGAGCTGGTCGCCCTCCTGCCAAAGGGCTGGAGGTTCATCGCCCACCTCGGCGCGGGTTATGACAACATTGACGTCCGGGCGTGCACGGCGCGGGGCATCGCCGTGTCCAATACCCCCGGCGCCGTGGACGATGCGACTGCCGACGCGGGGATTTTTCTCATGCTCGGCGCCCTGCGGCGCGCGGGGCCCGCGATCGCGGCGATCAAGGCGGGCACGTGGCGCGGTGGCGGTGGTGCGGGCGGTGGTGCGGTAGCAGTCAAGGGTCACGGCCCGAAGGGGAAAGTCCTGGGGATCCTGGGCATGGGCGGGATCGGGCGAGCCATGGCATGCCGGGCTGTCGGGTTCGGGATGGACGTCGTGTATCACAACCGCAACCGGGTCTCGGATGGGCTCGAGTACCTGGGCGCCACGACGGACGGGCACAGTGGGCAGACCAAGGAGCACCGGGCGCGGTACGTGAGCTTTGACGAGCTGCTCGCGAGCGCGGACGTGCTGTCGCTCAACCTCGCGCTCAACGAGTCGACCAGGGGCATCATCTCGGCGGCCGAGCTGGCCAGGCTGAAGAAGGGAGCAGTGGTGGTCAACACGGCGCGCGGGGCGCTTATCGACGAGTCGGCCCTCGTGGACGCGCTCGAGTCGGGCCGGGTCTCGGCCGTCGGGCTCGACGTGTTTGAGAAGGAGCCCGTCGTGCACCCGGGCCTTTTGGCCAGCGATCGCGCGTTCCTGCTGCCCCACGTGGGGACCATGACCTGGGAGACGGAGCTGGAGATGGAGATGCTGACCATCAGGAACCTCGAGGCCGCCGTGGACACGGGCAAGTTGCTGACCCTCGTGGGCGAGCAGAAGGGGCTGGGCTGGGCAGAGGGGGAGGGGGAGGGGGAGGGCAAGGCGTGATTTATCCTGTTTCAGAGATATATAGAGAGAGAGAGAGAGAGCGCTCCTGCGTTGCATTCATTGTCATATACCATTCTAGATCAATGAGCGCCTGCCGAACTGGTTCAGCGGGGTGCTTTTTCCTGGTACAATCCCACAAAGTGATTTGCAGCACGTCTGCTGTCTGCATTTTCGGACAGTTTACCAACACCCAGGACCAGGTTGGTCTGATATGGACAGAGCGCCATGGTGCTCAAGTAGGCCCGCGCTCGGTCCCGAAAGTCCCCAGGAATTATTGGGGCCATCATGGATATGCTCAATTGAACAGAAGGTACTTGACTTGAGTAGGCCTGGCTCGAATGGCGTCAGGGTTGCTAATTAGCTGACCAGCTCTAAACGCCGGACTGCTACCGCCGGTGCCGTGTGCGCAACAACACCATCTTCGATGGTCCTCGCGCGGCTGGCGTGTGGTAAATGTGGAGGAACCATCCAGCTGGCGGCGTCGCAGCGCAAGTGCGGAGAAACCTGATTCATCTAGTGCTTACCCGCGAATCAGTCATCGACACATTGTAGCAGGCATGGCGCCAACCCTTGAAAATGGCAAACACGAGAAGCAGATGCATATTGACGAGTGCCTGCGCGGACCCCCAGGACCCTGCATGCATGCATCGGATGCTTTGGTGGGGGTTTAGAAAGCGGAGGGTAAAGGAATGGATGCGTGGCTTACAGTAGATACTGCCGACCGCGCGTCTTGATAAGGCGGCTTCGGTGTCAGGAACGGGGACGACCCTGCAGCCAACCTCAGCGCTGACCAAGCAGGGTTTGAGGCGGACGAGCCCCTTTGAGCTGGTCTGGCATGCCTGGGATGGGATGGTAGCATCGGGCACGTCTCTCTCCCAGCGTCAAACGCGCACCCACACCGCCGGGGTCCGGTGCGACGGGGCCGGCACCGGCGCGGTGTGGAGCCCCTGGGGAGCCGGCCATCCAATCCCATGGCTGGAAGCCCGCCGGGGCCCGGCTGCCAAAAATGCGCACGCTTAGGCATGGTTACGTCACCGGCCCAGATTCGTACGGCCAACGGTCAGCAACACCTAAAGCCGAAGGGGTGCAGAAGCGCGAAGGGCCGAGCGAAGGGGAGGTTCGCAATGGCGCACCACCCGCCCTGGACGCGCACACAGTTTGGTCAGCAGTAATAGGCTCGCGTCTATCTTTTTTTTGGTCTTTCTTTCCGGTCCCTCATCCTGCAGGCCAGGATAGAGAGTGATGATGTGGCTGGATCTGCGCAGGGGGGTCTAGGGATAGGGTTTTGGTAGTTTCTAGTCTGCTCCGTACTCGCCATTTGCGGCAGACGCCTGCCATGACCCTTACAATTGTTGGCTTCCACAAGACAATGGGACCCGACCTGTGTCTAGCTTCATTTCCTATAATACCCCATTGATGTCCACTCCTCCTCAGCACTAGCCATTCTCACATCAGAAAAGCGTCATCAGTGGATTCCTACAGGCACACAGACATCCAGACATCATCAGTAGCAACAAATTCCACATCAGAACTCTCCTGAAGTCCTAGACATGGCAGCCAACAGCGACTCGACGGCCGTGGAGCCAGACAGCAGTGACGATGCCGCCCGCCGAGACGTAGAGAGCCAGTACCGTCGCCACTCGGTCTCGTCTGCCTCGTCTTCCGTGTCGTCATCGACATCGGGCGACCTCGAGCGGACACTGTCCGGCTGCGACTGCAGCGAGGAGAAGGACCACGCCCGCCACGATGGCCACCGCCCGTGCGGGCTCGAGATGCGGCCGTCGCACACGCGCTCGGTCCGGCCGGGCGGCTGCGCAACCGGCACGGACGCGGCCTCTTGCGGCGGGTTCGACGGCCGGCCCCCGACGCTGGGGAGGACTCTGTCCCGGCGCGACACGGCGCTCTCCCGGATCCGGTCCCGGCCCGCCGTCGCCCCCTTCACGCACCCGCTGGCGCACCAGAAAACCACCGAGGCCGAGCTCGTCGAGTTTGAGGGGCCCCAGGACCCCTACCACCCGCTCAACTGGCCGACGGACAAGAAGGTCATCACGACCATGCTCTACGGCCTCGTCACCATGTCGGCGACGTCGGCGTCGTCGGCGTACTCGGCCGGCACGGCGCAGATCGCCGCAGAGTTCGGCGTCGGGCAGCAGGTCGCCATCCTCGGCACCACGCTGTTCCTGCTCGGCTTCGGCCTGGGCCCGCTGCTGTGGGCGCCGCTGTCCGAGGTCTACGGCCGGCGACTCGCGGTGCTCACGCCCATGTTCGCCGCCATGTGCTTCTCGTTTGGCTCCGCGACGGCCAAGGACTACCAGACGCTCATGCTGACGCGCTTCTTCTGCGCCTTCTTCGGCTCGGCCCCCGTCAGCAACACGGGCGGCGTCATGGGCGACCTCTACAGCCCGGCGTACCGGGGGTTCGCCATGGCCGGCTACGCCATGGCCGTCGTCGGCGGGCCCACCGTCGGCCCCATCGTCTCCGCCGCCGTCGTCGCCCACCCGGCGCTCGGCTGGCGCTGGACCGAGTACATCTCGGGCATCCTCCAGGGCGCCACCTTGCTCATGGCCGTCATCTTTGTCGACGAGACGTACCCGTCCAAGCTCCTCGTCGACAAGGCCTCGCGCCTGCGCCACGAGACGGGCAACTGGGCCCTGCACGCAAAGTTTGAGGAGTGGGACGTCTCCATCGTCGAGCTCTCGAGGAAATTCCTCCTGCGGCCCGTCCAGCTGCTCACGACGCCCATCTGCTTCCTCGTCGCCCTGTACGCCAGCTTCTGCTACGGCATCCTGTACATGCAGCTCGGCGCGGTGCCCATCATCTTCCACCAGGGGCGCGGGTGGTCCACGGTGTCGAGCTCGCTCCCCTTCCTCGCCATCTTCACGGGCTCCTTCCTCGGCGCCGGCATCAACTCGCTCAACCAGGTCGTCTACAACAAGTCGTACCGCGCCGCGGGCAACCGCGCCGTGCCCGAGAAGCGCCTCCCGCCCATGATGCTCGGCAGCGTACTCTTCGCCGTGGGCCAGTTCATCACGGGCTGGACGGGTCCCAAGCTAGAAATACACTGGATCGTGCCCGTCATCGGCCTCGTCCTCACGGGCGTGGGGTTCAACACCATCTTCCAGGCCGCCCTCAACTACCTCGTCGACACGTTTCAGATGTACGCCGCCAGCGCCATCGCCGCAAACACCTTCTTGCGCAGCTGCTTCGCCGCGGCTTTCCCCTTGATCGTGGGGCCCCTGTACAGCAACATCGGCGTGGGCCCCGGTGCCAGCATCTTTGCCGGGTTCGCGGCCCTGCTCATCCCCGTGCCGTTTGTGTTTTACGTGTTTGGCAGGAGCATCAGGGCCAAGAGCAAGTGGAGCAAGGCCAGCGTGTGGTGAATGATGATGATAATGATGATGCACAGGACAGAAAACGGGGCCGAGTGCAGGAGTTGGGAGGGGAAGATTGGGATGCATTGATTTTGATTTTCAAACAAGAAGGAGTTAGATTTGCATAAATACCCAGACCATATAGTAGAGTAATACAGCCATGATGCACTTTGCAACACAAGTTACCAAAGGAAACCGTTGTGTTCACGAAAACTTAGGCCAAAGGCGAACAGCAGCTGCCCGTGCATGATCCCCCTCCCTCCACGGAGTATGCCCTCAGGCCCTCCTCTCCAGTCGCGCACTTCGCTCGCTCAATCCGGCACGGCTTAGTGTGGCCGCTTGTGCCTCGGTATCGACCCCGGGCTGTTCTTGACGATACATTGACGACATCCCGGGTGCAGTGTGCAGAGTTTCGATGGGACTTAAACTTACCTCTGCCAACGCAGGCCCATGGGTCACGCGAGACGGGTCGGAAAATAACGACATGGTTTCAGATTGAACTGTTCTGATTTTGTAGTTGTACAGCTACTAATACTATATATAGAAACATTATGGAGAACAAGCCGTGGTCTGGAATAAACCGGGCTCAGAATAAGTATGTGGAAGAATTTTAAAAATCCAAAGACTTCGTGGCTCAATGCTGCCTGCCGACAGTGTCGCCAATGGAGTGAGGGAAGACGAACTCTTCGTCAACGACCCCAGGATGCGCCTTCTGAAATGCCCTTTCAAACCCAAGCCAAATCCAAAAACTCCAGCGCCAAAAACATTATGCAATAGTGAAGGCTGCGGTGCCCTCTGCTGTATATGGGTCAGCCATGTCAAGCTCGCCTGATGAGGTTTCCCTTCATGCCTGAAGAGTCTTGAACTTCTCCTCAAACGCCTTGACCTTCTCCTCCTGGAGGAGCTTCTCCAGGCGTCGGGTGTCTCTAACTGCGGCCTCGCGCTCCTCCTGCAGCTGGAGGACTTGAATCTGCGCCTCTTGCATGCGACCAACCACCTCCTGCATCTCTGCATCCGCATCCGTCAGCGAGTTCTCGAGCTCCGCGATACGTGCGCGCAGGTTGTCGACCTGCACGTCATCCTTGAGGCTGACTGCCTCGCCGGACGTCGTCATGCTCAGGCGAGGGTTCCTGGTGCCCTTGCTGAACAACGGAGACCTGGGCGACTTGGGGCCCGCCGATTGGCGGGTCTCGCGCATGCGACGGAGCTGAGCGCCATGGCTGTCTTTGAGCTCCTGCAGCTCTTCTTCGTGGCGAGCAAGTCTCTCTTCAGACATGGCTTGGCAAGCCTCCAGCTTGTCCTCAAGGTAGCGCATGCGTGCTTGCATTGTTGTGATGCGCTCGCGGTTCGCCTTGTGCTCGGTCTCTCCGCGCGCAACCGTCTCGGCAATGCGCTCACGAAGGACGTTGTTAGTCGCAAGCTGCTGGCGGACCTGAATGGCGAGCTCCTCAACACGCCGAGCAGACTCGCTCAGCTCATCAGCCAGCGCCTTCTCCGACTCGATGTACTCGCGTTCTTTGTCCTTGATAGCGTTGAGCTGTGCTTGGTAAGCCGCAGAATCCTGCAGAGCAATGTTGCGCTCCGAAACGACAGAGGCCAGCGACGTCTCGAGCCTTTCCAAGGCCAGCTTCGTCTTCTCGTCGGCATTCGAGCCGTCTTCGAGGGCTTTGATTCGCTCAAGAGAGGCGGTGTATGCCTGCTGCAGCTCGCGATACGTAGCTGTCAGCGACTCGGAGGTGACCGGAACCAGTGGGGTGTCGCTGCCACTGCTGGCACGGGCAAGAGCCTCGGGAATCAAAATGTCCTTCTCGTCAAGCAGGCTGCGTAGCGAGGCAATCTCCTGTTGAGCTCGGTCCAAGTCCATCTTAAGGCCAACGAGACCTTTTTCGATCTGCCACTTCTGCTCAATGGCCTCTTCTGAGCGCCGGCGGAGCACAGCAATCTCCGACTTCAACCGGGAAACCTCGTCCTGGAAGCCCGCCTTCTGGGGCGACGAGCTGAGAAACCGATCACGTTCCTGCTCGAGGTTGCGGATCTTCTTGGCGTTTTCACGGTTCTGAAACTCTTGGCGGTCAAGAAGAGCCTTGAGTGCGCGATGAAGAGCATCACGCTGTTCCTCCACGTCCTTGAGGCGCTCGGATAGCTGATCGCGGGACTCGTTCGACCGAACCGTCTTGGACCTGGATAATCCGCCAACTCCTAATATGGAAGAGGGTCGAGCCCTAAGGCCGCCAGTGATGGAGTTTGAGCGCGACAGCTGTGGCGAAGTGGTGCCGCCTTCTTCCGTTATGCTCTGCATCGACTTGGAGTGCTTGAGAGTGGTATTCTCCTGCTTGAGTATTTGGAGCTCCTGCTGCATCTTGGTCGTCTCATATGTCATCTTCTCAATGTCGGCGGCCTGGCTCTCGAGTCCCTCAACACGTGCTCGCAAATTGGGCACAATCTCGTCGCGCAGGTTGTCACGCTCATTAGACGTGTTTTGCAGCTCACCCCTCAGCGCGGCTAGCAGGTCTTCAAAGTTATCCTTCACCTTGCGTTCCTCGGACAACTTACGTCGGAGGGTCTCGCAGGTGGACTCGAGCTCTTTGACGCGGTCCCCCACATCGAGGTTGTTCATCTGCGCAAGGTCAATCTGTGAGGCCTTCTCTGACAGCACCCGGATCTGCTTGTCGAGCTCAGACCGTCGCGATCGCTCATCTTGAAGCTTGTCGGTGAGTTCGAGCCTGATCTGGGCTTTTTCTTGGTCGGCGCGTCGCTGTATCTTTTCAACTTCTTCTCGAGACTGGTCGTACTCGCTGGACTTGGCGGAGCTGTAACCAGAGTCGGAGAAGTAATCACTTGTTCTCTTGCTGGCTAATGTGGTTGGGTTGTCTCTCTCGGCTTGTAACCTGTCTACGAGGTCTTCGAGGTCCATCTCGCGTCGAATGGACGCCGCCAATTCGACCGAGATGGCCTTTAGTTCGTCCTCCATCTCTTCGAGTTGGGCCGCCGCCGATGAGCCGACTGGCGGCGTGGCAAGGTACGACTCGCAGTATTCGCGAGAGCCTGAGGAGCCGTGGAGTGCCTTTGGTGTTTCGAGAAGTCCACTGGTGTTCCTCGAAGAATCATCGGAGAGGCTGGTCGTCTTTGAAAAGTTGAATGGCGACGGAAGTGGAGAGAATGTCTTCTCTGATGGTTCGGCAGCAGACGTCGCGGGGGAACCCCAGCCGAAGAATGTGCCAAACTTTGAAGACGCGGGCGACTTTGGTAACGGTTTGTCCGTGTTTGGCGGGCTCAGAGTGTTGTTGGGTGGTGACTGTGGGCCTTCGTCCTCATCTGACTTGAGGACAAGATGTGGTGGTGTGGATTTCTTGTTGACATGTAATGACATAGTCTCTTGACGTTCTGGCAGTGGGGTGGATCCGTAGGAGGAGTCACTTGCGTATCCGTCGAGTATGTTGTCTCCTGGTGACTCGTCGTCTTTCCGGTCATCCACGTGGTCGTCTTCGTCCTCACCCTCACTGAGCAGATGAGTATATCCTGGCGAGTCGTCCTGCTCCAGGGATGCCGCTGACAGGCCTGTCTGCGACCTGGTATGGCTGGCTAAAGACGGCTGGCGGGCGGTGCCGTCGTCAGTCGGGAGCCTGGTCGCTCGACTGTCGGCGACACTGGCAACCGGTGTGGACGAAACGGCGTTGGAGCCTTGCGTGTCAGAGGCAAGGCTATAAGAGGACGCCATAGGGTTAGCAAACATTACACGTCTCGCTTGCCTCGGGGTGGGGAGTCCGGTCTCCCTAGCAGCGACAAAAGTTTGGATTGTGAAGCAATGAAACACTTGACTCACCCTTTGTCGTCCTGTGCCGCGATGACGTGGGGGGACTGCTCAGGAGGATTCGATATTCCCAGGCCGGCGACGGTGTCAATCGAGGCGGACTCTGGAAATTCATAAACCGTCGGGCTGTCGACGGAGAAGGAGCGGGAGAAGCGGGCAGCCGGCACGGAGGAGGAAGAGTTCCGTGACGAAGCAAGATAGCTGCCGGAGGAGTAGCGGGTAGCAATGGGCGAGGCCGTCGAGGAGACAGGCTTACGACGGATGACGGTGCTGGGCGGCCTAGTGGGAGTGGTTGGCCTGGTGGTGTTGTCCAGGACAAGCTTGCCAATGGTTCGCGAGGGGTGCTGGCCGGGGACGGAGTCGTGTGACGGACTATCGGCAGTGTGCTGAGGAGGACTGTGCTGCTGCTGGTGGTGATGAGGAGGAGGGGCGGCAGCGACATGAGATGAAGCACGAAAAGTCTCATCGAGGGAGCCCTCGCGGGTCGAGGGCCCCGGCCCAGGAGCCGGCGGCGGAGCGTGCCCAGACATCGGGACGGGGACGGGACTACGGTGGAAGAGTGCGTGTGATTGTGCGCGCGCCCACAACTCGCAGCAGCCAACTCGCACGAGGGAAGCCGGTGGCAGACAGACTGGCAGTACGAGGTCTGGGAGTGAGTGACCTTGGAGAGACACGACAGGAGACGGAAGAAAGTCACGAGGGAAGGGCCGCTGGCGATGGAGAGCAGCCCCTGGTGGAGTGCGATGCGGCTATCACTGCTCAGGAGGCGCCAGGGTGGGCCCCTTGGCAGGCCCTGGCCCGTGGGGCGTTCCTGGCAGGCGGCGCCCAGACGGGCTAGCGCAGCCTGCTCCCCTGCGCCTTCCCTGCCCGCGCCGCCTCCTCAGTGGCTGCCACGCCGCCGGCCCCTGCCCATGGTTGCGCTCTGCAATTTCGCTGGCCGCCGCCTCCGAGAGCACCTCCCCGGCTCTCCACGAACGACCGTTGGCGCTCAGGGCCACCCTCTGGCCCATCCTCGCGCCCCGTCGAATTACCACCGTCCATCCCCTGCCCGCCTGACGCTCCGTGCGCCCTCCATCAGCTCCGCCAGGTCTAGTGGCCCCCAATCACACGGCGCGCCCATCGTCATTCCTGGTCGGCAATCAGGGACCGACCAGGGACCACGGCCAGTGCTCATTAAGCTCATCAACCGCGAGTCCGACGCATCAGGGAGCAAGAGGCTCGGTGTTTGGCCTGGTGGAAGCCTTTGACTGCGTGGTGAAACCTGCCTACACTATCTAAATGGACGATAACGGCCGGGCGTCAACCAGGCCCTGTCCTATTAGTTATTGCATGAGACAGAATCATGATATGGTGAACCTTGGAGGCGAGGGAGGCACGCCGAGATCAGGGGTCTTTTACCGCGAGTGATTTCTCGGGCTGCTTACAGGCCTGCTTGTTTTCTGTAGCATTGCCCGCTGCCGGTAATTTCAGGAGGCGATCCCTGGAGTGTGGTGATCGACAGCTAGCAACAATCAGCTGAGGACCCTCTGGCTGTAACGTTGTCTCCCGACCATCCGTTTCTGCGTCCCCCAAGTGGAAGCTCGCTATCTTGCACAAGACGGCGAGGGTCGCGTGGTCTGATGGCGTCCTCGGTAGCATGAAGAGAAAGAGTACATCGAGTGACTTGTCTTGCAACACCCAGCTTGTACACTGATGGTATCAGCCACTATCAAGATTGGCAAGACGATCACGAGGCATTGCTCGACGCCCCCCATAGCCTCTATCACAGATACACAGATCTGGCATCGCACTCCGGACTTGGCGCGTTCGTGGCGTCGGCCGAATAGCTCAGGAGAAGCCTTGTGCATTCTTGTGCTGGAGGACCCCTTTGCAAAACTACCGATTAACTATGCCCGCGCCCCTTTGCAGCGACGTGCAGGGCTTGAGGAATATGGGACGCACGCCATTTGATTCCAATCTTGGGCGCCAGGGCGGCGGCATTCAGCTTGTGGATGCAGCGTGCTAGAATTCTGCTTTCGGCGCAGCTCAGCAACGGAGTGCCATTGCTCATTTCGCCAGTGCGTCTGTCCTGTCCAATGACACCGCCAGCCAGGTCTGAACAATGTGCCTGATCGTGACGACTTCAACCTGGCAAGGTCAGCAAGACACACACATGCGATGTCAACACAGTCATTGGCTACCAGAGTCTCGGACAGAATCAATGAATGGGGTAACACTGAGCGCTTGACTCTGCCAAGCAATCGTCGGCAATGTGCATGTCTCGCAAAACCGCCTGGTCCTGCAGGGCGGAGGATTACAATCGCCCTGCGAAGCATGCGGCAACTTTAAATTGCATTGCCTCAGTAGCCGCCTTGCCCGACTCGGATTGGACCACCTGTCAGCTAGGTACCTCAATTCAAGAAAAGGGCTCCCTGAATTGATCTCCAGGGGAGAAAAATCGACGCTTGCGCTTAGCGCCCGCGCTATCGAAGAGCCGGCGCTACGCAGGGACACCTTTTGGGATGGGATGGGGCACGACTTGCTAAGTGGGCAGCAAGGAGGTCGGGGGTGCAGCGCGCGAAGACACGCGTCTCTGTCGCGCGCTGTCGGCGTTGAAACGATTCTGTAATTTATGATAGAGGCGGAGCAGCGCTTATCCAATTGCTCCAGGGCTGCCAACGGGATCAGCGAGAAAGTATCGCCAGACTTATGTAAGCGTAAGCAGACCAACGCAGCCGCACACGCACGCGCCTCACTACACTTACGTACACTAGTTTCTCGTGGCTGTGCTAAGGCCGTGGCTAAATCCCTCTGGGGCAGCTTCGCAGACTGTTTCATCGGGACACAGCGAAACACATCATCAGGAATTTGCGGATGCTGACCCGCAAGCTACTTGATTTCTGAATTGCCTGTGGCAGTATTCGAACCTCCCCACCGGGTTTCTTCCCTGGCTAGCATGAACATCAAGCAAAGGGAGAGCGGCTTCCAAGGGAATCGAAGCCGGCGATTGTGTCATTGGTTTTCATGGCAGAACTCACACTCGGCATGATCTGGCATGTACGGAACATTATCGCGGCCTCGAGACTGGAATTGCTCCTGCGGATTAACGTCCGGGCATATAGAGTGGTATTCTACCACAAGCAGGGAGGGATTCAAGAAACATGAAACGAAACAGCCCCGGCGCGCGGGGCGTGGCCCAGTTTCATCTCATCTTTTTTCTTACACTGCCGGAAATGTGAGGCAACCTCGATTGACGTCGATTCGCTACAGGTTTGAGATTCTGCACGTCAGACCAGCAGCAGAAACTCGTGCCGTGCAGCAGACCCCAGACCGACAACTTCCCGGACAAGACCAGGGCATCGCGACTAGACCCCGCATCCTGGTCTTCTTCGTTGCTACTGTCGTTACTGCTGCTGTTGCTGTTGCTGATGCTGCGGGGCCCAGCCACCCCAGGAAACGAAACAGGTCCTTGCACGTTTCAGGATGTCCAACGAACGCTGACATCCGCGCGAGATCAGGGCTTTCGAGTTTCAGAATATCTCACTCGCTTCCCTGACAGGAGCGCGTTACACTGGCTGCCATGACAGCCACGTGGTTTGACGTTCGTGCAGAATTCTCTGCTTCTTCTGGCCTGCGCATCGTTTCTTCCAAAACGGAAACCTCTTCGCAGTGGAAGTGTCACGGCAGCAGCACTCGACGCTCACCAGGATCCGATGGGTTCGTCGAGGCTGTCGATTGGCACACTATTTAAGTGGCACGATTGCTCTCGTACGACAGCGGCTTAACCACGGACGGTGTCGTGCAATTGAACGAGGCATTATATGGCCCGTGCTGATGGTTATTGAACCTTGATTTGACTACGTGCAGGGCCAGCCGTGGAGGCGGTACTGGATTTGAGCCGCGAATGCCTCGATTGCCCGCTTTTCACTCCTTTTCACAGAGCCTGGCGACGACCATTGTTTGCCTCGTGGCTCCTGGGCCGCGGATCTTTTGCGTGAGTGTATCTCGGGAGTGTTTCAATGGTTATATGCCTCTTAGCAACCATGAACTTGGTGCCGCTCTTGCAGGGGGGTAGATGTCTGGGTGTATCATACAATCGGGCGCAGTGGTCAGAGGGTGTTGTCCATATTGTCTGATGCTATTTCATTGCGCATTTTTGGCTCTGAGAATTGTGTGGCCGCGTGGTTCAGCTCTTACACGCTCAGAAGCTTCGCGGCACTGGTGTGATGTTTCCTACGAGCAGAGTCTGTTTGTTAGCAGATCATATTACAGGCCCGCAATATCTGTGTGGCATCGAGTAAGCGACGTACAATACATGCCAGCTGACGTAGATCAAGTTGATAGAGCTGGGAATTCTGTGATGCTGACGGCCAGAGCTCTCAAGTCTGAGGTGCGCCTCTCCATTGTTTCACTGCTGCAGAAACACGGCATCAGGTAATTATGATCGTGCTATGGTCATTCACCATGAGACATGAGACATGTTGAGATGACCATGGATTTAGTCTTCGTAATGAATTATATGCAGCAGCGTTTCAAACATCAGAGTCTGTTCTGCTCTCGTCGTGGCGGCGTTGGTCGTGGGTACCAGCATGCTCACAATAGGTAAGGATGCTTTTGTTTTCTTGGGAGTCTGAGCAGATCGATCATAGGGCATTTGATCCATGGCAGCACTCCTTTTGTGGAGTTTTTTCTGGTTTCTGCTCATTTTCTTGTGGACAGTGGTCTTGAAAGAACACAATTCCTTGAAAGCTGTCTGGCTTTTTTTCCTCTCCCTTGTGCAGTGGCCTATTCTTAGGCCACGTGGTATTGCATCACAGACAACCCGCGGATAATTTGGCCAAGAATGACCGCTCAAGATCGCGGCGACCTCAAGTAATACTGAAAAGCAGGAACATGCGCTGATATCATGCGGGTTTGTCCCCCTTCGTCCAACCGCAGGCTACCCATCCAGGCCGTGGGGGCTGCGTGTGCAGTACCTATTTCCACGCGACGAGGTCTCACATTGTGCGGCGGCCGGCTGTTTCTCCGGTTGCTATGTACAACGGAAAAGTCCTGAGCCACGATCGGCCATTGTGCCATGTCTCAGTGGGCTTAACAGAAATAGAGCCTCCTAAGCTCCGACGCTAGGGGGTATTGTGAAGGATGGCGCCAGCGCCGGACAGCCATTTGAGACACCTGGAGAAGATGGAGGGACAAGTGCCCATGTCCAAAGGAAAATATTAATCCCCGGAGAACGCATTGGCATTCCAGCATGTCGCTATGACAAACTTTTGTCAGCGAACAGGACTCCGCACGGTGGTGGGTGATTATTCCCTTTTGCCATTTCTCTTTCTCCGCCTTTTCTTTTTATTTAAATCATAGGCTCAACGCCTGAGCCATCACGAATCGACCGCGCAGGAAGGGACTCGATCGCAGCTGTACCATTAAGCAGCCGTGATGCCAACAGCACCACGAAACTACAGAAAATGGGTCGCTCGTGAGAAATCACGCTCGTCATTTATTGGACGTGTAATGAGCTGCCTGGGCTAGGAAATCGAACCGTCACAGCCAACGAGACAATATCGTGAAGTCAGACTACCTTCGGCCCCCGAAACAGACATAATTAGCTTTCCTGTGCATACGGATGTCGTATCATATGTATTTTAGCTTCTGAGCCAGCAGGTTTAACGATCCGTCAATTCCTGAACAAGAGTCTTGTTCAGGATTATGGTTCCTTCTTCTGGTTATATCATCACCACATCACAGAGGAATGGATTTTCCTCGGAACGTCCAGAGCTCAATGTACGCCATGCTTGTGTGCCTGGCTTCACACAAAGAAGTATGCGAGCAGCGTCCAGACTCCGTAAGTCACCCCCTATTTACAACACGAAAGAACACCACCGAAGTCCCGTTTCTCGCTCACTTGACTCCCAACAACTTTCGACTAGTGTGAATTACCCCACGCCAAACTTACCAGCAATATTCAATATTATATATACCAAGTACTCCAATCAATCACAGGTAGCATCTAGTGTCATTGGACTACACTGCCCCTATTTGGAGCTTTTGCCTCAATACGTGTGCTCATGATCGTAATAGAACGAGACCGTTGCATATGGTGTTAGACTTCGCACCGCTTGCGAACAAAGGCATTCGAAGACAGAAAGCCTCAGTCACGAGACAAAATGAGCATTTATTTCTGATGAATGCTGAAAGGGCAGGTCTCGGTTGTGTGAGTGCTATTGCATAGGCCAAGTTATCGGTAGGTACTCGAACTTCAGCGCGTCCAATGTGAGAAGTTGCAAGCATGGCGTGGCAGATTGAGCAGTTGTCAGGCGTATAAATGCAAGAGTGGATGGCAGCATCTGGATGATTGGGAGGCTGATTGCCTTAAGTCGTCCTCAAGGGAAACGACCGGCGTGCTCGCATCATACCAGTGTCACAAGGATTGAAGGACTCAGGTAGTCGAGGTCGCAAGATGGACATATAACTAGAACGAGGAACCATGCAGACTGACAACGGGAGGGCTTCGTGGACACACGCTGCAATCTCCAAAAGGCCCGTCAACCATTTTCGGATCATTGCCGAGGGACTTGATGCACAACTGCGACAAACCTACCCGTGCAACTGAGATTAATAGTACACCTCCAAAGATCTGCTGTGCAAAGGGTCTGCCAAGTGTCTGTGGCCCGCCGTAGGAGGTCTTGGCTGACGGTCGAGGTGTCGTCCGGCCCTATTCCTTCGGCCCAACTCGCGGAAGAACCACTCTTTATGGGATGCACGGATCCCCGTGACCACGAAACGCAGGCTGGCCACTGAAGATGCCTCCGGGAGGTGCTGCTTGCAATATTCCAAGCATGGTGATTTGGGAGCTGGTCAAGGCACGGAAGAGGCATCTGCACCCGGTTATTTGTCGTGGTCGGTGCAGATATTGCAGCATGGTCTTGCCAAATGGGCATAGGTAACCCACCGGAATGTCTCCAGATGTGGTGCTTATTGCTTTTCAGCCCCAGAATCTCCATCTTTTCTGGAGTCAACGGGCCGATTCTGCAAGAGGTTCCAGGAACAACACCTCCACAAGCAGGACCAGACACTTGTCTGCACTCCAGACGCCCCCAATGCACTTGCGCGAGGAAACGGCGGAGTGCAGTGAAATCCGGGCATCTGCGGGATGGAATGCGGGTGCTCCTCAAAAACAATTATGGGGAGCTCATTTGCGGGAGCTGAGACGGGGCTCGATTATGCCCACCCAATCGCAGCCGCCTGACAGAGGGACAGCAGTGCCCTCACCATGACGTCTTTTGTTGTTTGAGGAACGTTGGAAGGGCTCGCCCGCTGTTTGGTCGTGTCGTTGCAGATTGCGCGAGTCGTGAGCGGTCCAGGGGTCTGCGTTTGAAGCCTCACCGAAGGGCAGCTGAGGCTGGAGATCGGATACCCGTCTTTGACGTCGCCGCTGACGACACTGGCAGGGGCCCTGAGCAAAGGTGTGGAGCAGATGGAAAGACTGAAAGTGTGTCGACCTCTCCTCAGCCACAAGGAAGCCGCCAAGCCTCAATTCGGAGGCGCCAGCACGATTCGACGACAGCTGCATCGGTGCCGTAAGGACAAGACAGGACAGGACAGGAAGAAGGTTGGCGGCATTGGAGATGTGCTTGCCCGGAAAAGCGTGCCGCGTTGGCGTGGACAGTCCAAGCGAGCCGGTGGTGCAGCACGCGACACGGTGCACTGAGCGTCAAGACAGCGCTCTTGGCGGCAGGGTTGGCGGCTCTGGGCAGGCGCGTTCAAGCAGAGCCGGACCGCAAACATGACGGCTGCCAAGGCGTCCAGGGCCGGGGCCGGGGCTCTTCCGCATCGATCCACTGCCCGCGCTCCGGCAGTCGAGCGGTCGGTCGAGGACAATGGCGATGCCAATGGTTGGGGATGGCCGTTCTTCCACACGGGGATCATCAGTCCTGCGTGGGTGGCTTGGTGTTCCTGCAATGGAGGCCCATCTGGGGCAGGCACGACCCCAGTGCCCTCCAGCGGAAGGCCCGACTGCCTCCAGACGCACTCCACGCCCGGGCATCCTCATAAAGGGCCCACGGACAAAATGGAAACACTCTGGAACACTGAGCCGTCTTGTCTTCTCCACACTCCGTCCATAACCCCCACAAACATTCTTGAACTCGGGGCAGGGTCCGCTCTTAAACATATATATATATAACTGTCCACCCCGTTCTCCCGGTTGAGACCAAGCTCGGTCTCGTCCCAGCCCTCGCCCTCTCCACGTTCTACTCACTTCATACGATATTGTCGACACAGTAGTCGGCACTCCTTCGTCACCATGGGGCTCGGCAAGATGTAAGCTTCCCGTTGTGCTGTGAACCCCCAGGACTTACTCGTGAACACAACTGACACCCTTCCCACAGATCCATCCGCGTCAACGGCGCCGACTGCGGCGCCGAGGCGATCCTCCTCGGAGCCATGACCTCCATCGGCGGCTTCCTTTTCGGTTACGACACGGGTCAGATCTCTGGCATGCTGCTCTTCACCGACTTCGTCAACCGCTTTGCCCAGCAACAACCCGACGGCTCAATGAGCTGGGACCCTATTATCAAGTCCCTCCTCGTCTCACTGATGAGCATTGGTACCCTCATTGGTGCGCTCTCTGGCGCTTACACCGCGGACTGGTGGGGACGCCGCAAGAGCCTGACCTTTGGTGTCATCATCTTCATCATCGGCAACACCATCCAAATCACCGCCATGAACTCGTGGATCCATATGATGATGGGCCGCTTCGTTGCCGGTCTAGGTGTTGGCAACCTCTCGGTCGGTGTGCCAATGTTCCAGTCTGAGTGTTCCCCTCGCGAGATCCGCGGTGCTGTTGTCGCCTCCTACCAGCTCATGATCACCATCGGCATCCTGATCGCCAACATCATCAACTACGGTGTTCGTGAAATCCAAGATGACAGTGCTTCTTGGCGCATCGTCATCGGTCTTGGTATCGCCTTCTCTCTGCCTCTGGGCTTGGGTATCCTTTTCGTACCGGAATCTCCCCGCTTCCTGGCTGGCCGCGGCGACTGGGACGGCGCTCGATCCTCCATGGCCCGCCTTCGTGGCCTGAAGAATGATCCACACCATGCCCTCGTCGAGAACGACTTTCAGGAGATGTACGCCATCGTCGAGAAGGAATCCCGTGCCGGCGTCGGGTCTTGGCTCGAGTGCTTCACGGGCAGACCGTCAAACATTCCCAAGCTGCGCTACCGCACGCTGCTCGGCTTTGCCATCCACTTCCTCCAGCAGTGGACTGGTGTCAACTATTTCTTCTACTATGGCGCCACCATTTTCGAGTCTGCTGGTATCGAAGACCCCATTCTCACCCAGCTGATTCTCGGTGCCGTCAACGTGGCCATGACCTTCCCCGGCCTGTACATTGTTGAAAAGTTTGGTCGCCGCTGGCCTCTGTTCCTGGGAGCCCTGTGGCAGACTGCCTGGCTGGCAGTGTTTGCTGCAGTCGGTACCGCTGTTCCACCTGACACGAGCGCCACCACCGGTATTGTTATGATTGTCTCTGCCTGCATGTTCATCGCGTCTTTTGCCATGTGAGTTCCTGTTCTTCTTCTGACAACTAAAGTAAAATGCTGACAACCTCTAGGACCTGGGGACCTTTCGCCTGGGTCGTGATTGGTGAAACATTCCCTCTTCGCACGCGTGCGAAGCAGGCGTCACTCGCCACGGCTGGAAACTGGCTCGGAAATTGTAAGTGTAACCCGTCTGCCTCGACATCGTGATCCGTTGAATGCTAACCCGCCCACACAGTCATGCTCAGCTTCCTCACTCCTCTGGCCGACAGTGGCATCAGCTACGCGTACGGCTTCGTGTTTGTTGGTACAAATCTCACTGCAGCTCTGCTCGTATGGTTCTTTCTATACGAGTCTGTCGGCCTCAGTCTCGAGCACGTCGACATGATGTACAGCGACCCCAAGATCGGCCCGATGAGCTCGAGCAAGTGGGTTCCTGAAGGCTGGACCTCGCGCAAAGAGAAACGCCGCGATTCGTTCAACAATGGCTCCCCCAATGGCCGTGCCAGCGACTCGACAGCATTTGACGCTGAGGCGAATTCGCAGGCCGTGGAGAAGAATCAGCAAGAGAGCCCCTCGGCGCTGTTCCGCGAGAATGCCTAGGCGAATGCAATGTATGCGATGAAACACGATCGATTTACCATGGGTATATACTTCTAGGAGCAGTGCTCTTCTTGTATACTAGCTTTGCATCAGCGAAATGCTATTCTTGGATACCACATTTTTCTTGCGCTTTGTCTCATCAACCTCTGACTGTAGTGATAAGAAAGAATAGGACGTTAAAAATGTGTCTTGACCACCAATTCTCTCGAGTTACATCTATCCTATTTCTCATTCCTTGTTGATGAGCGATCATCAAATAAATGCCCATGAGCTAGGTCAAACTTGTCTGCGTCCCGCTTACTGCGTCTCGGGTTTGCCCGTTCGCTCTCGGAATTCCATCTCGCTTCGAGTTGGCTGTTTCCTTCATGTGCACGTCAATGACCAAAACACCACAGCCAAGGAGGTGAATGCCATTGCCTGCTGCGCTTTAGAGAGAAGAGCTGTCAGGACCTCGCGCTGGTTGGCTCATTGTTCCTCTCGGTCTCTTCAGCTACTGATTCTTCACTTCTGGAATGCACCCACTTGGTCTTGAACAAAGCCGGGGCAAAGTGCTTTTCACACAATATGTTTTGCTGTGCGGCTCGACGTGGCTCACTAGTTCATAGCATGCTTTTTGCGTCTTTCCAGCATCTTAATGGACTGGTGGTCTTCACCAGCAAGGCTCCGCCGCCAGTCTTCCAAGTCTGAAACATTGATCAATGCGAATTTTGGAATAGTGACCATCACAGCCTTGGGCGGTTGATCATTGAGTGCAAGTTGGCTGGCGAGCATGGGACATGGCGTTTTACAACTAAATCCACGTGGGAGGAACAAGCCAGACTGGGCCAAGTGCCGCTTTAGACCCTTGCGCAGGCATCGAAATCAGAAAGGTAAGCACACAAAATCGATGTCGTTGGCAGGACCTGCTAGGGTAGGATCCCAAACCGCTCTGATCGGAGCGCACTGGCCTAGTCGTCTGTTGATATACCGGTTCGTAGTCCATAGGGGCCACAGCTCCATGTGACGGCGGCCCGTCGGAGGTCGGGGGTGACGTCAAACGTAGCGCCGTGCGGGTTCCGCGACGTCCATGGGCAGAAGCGTACGCTGCGGAAAAGCGCGGAGCGCGTGACGAAAACCAATACACCAAATCAGTTCTTGGCCGACCTCATCAGTTTTCTAGTTTCGGCATACATAGTCCACGTGGGAAGGGCTGAGGAGACTTGGTCGACCGAGAGCCGCAGTTGCTAATGATTGCCACATATGGTGAGCCTGGAGCATTGCTGGACATGTTGGGTTCTGGTCAGGTGCGATTTGCTCCTGGATCGTTCTGTGCGGCAGCGCTAGCGGCAGACCCGGAGTGGATGCTCCTGAATCGGCGGCCGTGGGGTTTCGTGGCGTTGAGAGAATGAGTTTTCATGAAGGCTTGGCTATGTCACAGCACAGCCTTTGCGTGGAGGTCGACGACGACGACCCTGGCAAGCGAGGTGATGTTCGAAGGCCAGGGTTGTCAGAGATCGATCAGCCAGTCCCTTGGTGGGTGGTGTGGAGAGCGCTGAGCCTTTGAGGCCCCATGTATGAACTCATAGATTGAGTGCCTGCATGTCAGCCTCGCTTGCTGGCCAGATGGAGCCAATGAGATGCTAATGCAGTGGATGAAATCAGGACACTTGCATACACACATGCACTATTGAGCAGGGAAACGACTACTTGTCGCTGTGTCATGGTTGTGACCATGGTCCCAGGGAATTGATCCATGGTGTCGGAACGTGCGCTGGCAGAAGATCCTGGAAGACCAGGCCAGCCCATATCACAGCGAAGAGGAAAATAGTTTTCGTCGTGGTTGGGTCAAAGAATGGAAATAACTCGCGGGGATTTTGTGACCAGGTCGGATCTGTCGGGTCATTAGAAGGCGTCAACACCACCACCATGGCCATCCGTGTCAGCGGACCACGTGCGACGGTTTGCCTAGTGCAGGCGACCACGCAAGCAGGGCTAGCGCAGTAGTAGCTGCCGGACAGCTTTCGCCGCCCTCTGGGCATCTGGGAAATACCTCTGATCTTGGGAATGCCGCCGAGTCTTCCTGTCTGCACAGCAGTCAACCAGCCAAGCCCGGCAATACCGGCTGGTTCAGGATTGTGGACATCTTGGCTGGCCGACAGCGATGCAGAGACTCAAAGCCTGCTTGGCAGGGTGGCGGGCTCGCGGCCAGATGGAAACCACTTGGGTGGTATCGGCAAAAACCATGGGCCTGACTGCCGAGCAATGCAGGACCGAAGAGTCATTACTCCTCCAGAACAGTCGAGCAGCTCGGACGACAGTTTTGGCTTTGGTAGATTGAGCATCACGACTCGCCAGCTCTTGGCGTGTACAGTGGTGATGATGATTTAGTCAGTAGTTGTGGTGGGATACGAAGTTGCTGGCTCGCGGACAAGAAAGTCAAAATACCATTCCTGCAGGTGACGGTGTGGGCACTGTCGCGGGAAGTTTCAAAGCGATCGCAGATCGGCCGGGATCTGTCTCTTTCCACTTTGGCTGCCGCATCTGCACGCGCTCCTGCAGCCCGGGGGACAGCAGTTTCGGGGCGAGGGTCGCTTGCGTCAGCCAACCCGTGCAAGAGGGACGAGATGAAGCGCGGTGGAAGCGTCGTCAGCAGATCTGGTGGGCCACGATGATGAGATGCGGCAGATGGAGATGGATGGTGCGGCTCAAACCGCCTGGGCTGGCCCTTGGGGACCTGCCTGTCAGTCGGCAGGAGCGGCAGCGGGAGACGGGCGCATGGGGGATCGAGGCCGACGTTGTGTCATCCACGCAGCCGTGCTTTCCGTGCTGGGGCGCCGCAAGCCAGGCCAGTTTGGAGGCACTGGTTGGGCCTGGCGTGGCCCAGCTGGAGCGGGCCTGCAGCAGGGCTGGCGGGGCATGACGTCCATGGGCCACCGCCAGGGTCTGGTCACAGGCTGGGTTTTGGCAGGGACCCGCCTGTGCATCACCACACTGGCAGCCCCCCGTTCCGGCAGTCGTCATGGAGTCGCGAGTCACAGACCGCTCGACGTAACAACTCGCGGCCACCGGAGCTCCATGGCACTCAGGTGATACAAGAAGGCGCCGCCCTCCATTGCGTTGCAGGCTCCGGTCCTGCCAGACGTTTTGGATGCAGAAGACATCTCTTCGCCCCAAGCTCGTATCTGCTTGGCCGCCATCGGACTGTTTCTGTGCCTGTGTATTGTGTGTATCAAGACATTCCCATTCCAGGACCACACCCCCCCGAAAAAAAAACAACGAGCTCAGCAACGACCGGGAGAACATTCCTACAACTGGAACATCTGTACCTGCACCATTTTTTCGTCTACCACTTTTGACCAACCATAGCACCGAGTAAAAGTGTGTCCCACAAACCAGCGACACATCCTCGCTCGGCGCACTTACACGGAACCAACCGCATCTTACACAATACCAGCGACGGCATCTTCAAGCACGACCGGAAACCCAGGCCTCTTTGTTCGCCGATAAAGATCCAAGTCAGGCCATTCTCAAGCCACAAAACAACAGACCAATTGGACCTCTGGACACTCCAAAAGAAATGGATGACGGCTTCGGCAAAACCCTCGTCGTCGGCCTCGTCGTTGGCATCATCTGCGTCGTCGTCATCGGCGGTCTGATCCTCTGGTTCGCGCTGGGTTGGCACCGGCTGATCGGCGTCAAGCCCCGCGACACCTCGGCCGAGCAGTGGGACGTCGAATCCGCCAGCAAGGCCCCCTTGTGGAGGAAGAGCTTCAGCAGCAGGAGCAGCTTCTTCAGCAGCAGAACAAACACCAACAGTGCTCCCGGTGGGACGGCTGTCAACGAAAAGCAACACAAGTGGCCGAGCCCCACGGGGTCACGGACGAGCAGTGGGGATACCGTCGTGGCGCCTTCGCCGACCAGGCCGGCTGATTCCGATCCTAAGATGGCAAAGGCTGTACTGCGGTGATGGCGGCAGGCCCTACCGCGCTTCAAACCCTGACGTAATTCTTATTCGGGGGGACCTCTAAACTTTTTCGTGTTTTCCTTCAACTGCGGGTTTCACTTAGGCGTTTCGGGAGCAAGATATCCATATTCACCACCAACTTACACGCATCACGACCCCAACGTCACGACCATACCACGCCGCCACCACGGCTGGAACTCTTTCCCTTGCACTATCGCCTAGACACTCTACGCACATATCCTTACGCGACATACGGCCAGATGATATCTCTCGACACTCCTTACAAAATACCCGGGTTGGAGTTTGGGCGGGCTTTCATCGCTTGCATGCATTTACTGGCATCACTTCCGCAGCGTTGCTTTCGGTCTGCATGGTCCCTGGTTCTCTAGTCATTCTCCTTGGGATGGTATCCTGTTCATAGAAGCGGATGCATGAATACGTACATATAGTTTCAGAAGTATACAATTAACAAGAGAGACTACCAAGCACACCATGATCACCTATGCATAATGGCTAAACCCCGTTCCCATCCCCTAAACAGTGACCTTCTTGGCGCGCAATTCAGACTCAAATATTGTACGCCCAGTCTAAGCTGGAATCTGAATCGAACCCGGCCTGTAGCCCATGTTCATGAAAGAGCACCAAGAAACCGGAGAAGGAAAGCAGATCCACCTCACTCTCGGACGCGGACGCGGCCGCTTCTTGCAGATACTGCGCAACCATCATGATTCCACACTGGCCTTACAGTCTTTTTACAGCGATGTGACCTGGTCGTGGACAAGTTGCATCTGTACTTTTAAGGTTTTTTTTTTTGTTAATTTTTTTTTTTAGTATGAATAATAATATGAAATTTCCCCAAGAGTCACGGAAGGAAGTTGGCCAAAACGTGCGTCTGATGCCCATGACCTGCGAGAAAACAAATTTCCCATTCACGCACAAAAAAGCCTGAAACCAAATCGTTATTTTTTTTTTCTTTTTTTAAAAAAAAACAAAAAAACAAAGAAGGAAAAAGCTGCTTGCTTGAAACCTGGGCGTCCTGGCCATGGGAGTTATGAGCATGAACCCAAGCACGGCGAGAAACGAGGCGGTAAGAGTTGAAGGCGTGGGAGTAGACAAGAGCACACCTTGCCGACCTCTTCGAGTTTACCGTTGGTAAGAAATTCATCTTGAAGGTCTTGTGGCTCTCCGCAAGGAAAAACACCTAGACGGGTTACATTCATCGGAAGACGGACACTGGTAGGAGAAGCATGCTATTCCTTGAAGAACATACTAAGAGCTCAGTGTCAGAGCTCGCTGATACTACTTGGAGCACGCGGCACGGCCCACGCGGGCTCTTCAGCAACAATCTTGCACGTCCTGAAGTACATACTTCCGGCTGTAAGTGGCTGTGCCAACTGGCTGTAAGTCCGAAATGTGCGAGGAGGAACTACGCTACACTAAGCAGGTGTGTGCGCCGAGTGTGGGGGAGAGCTTTGCATGATCTACGCCGCGCCGATAAGCATTACTGCGCCGACACTGCTAGCATATGATCACGCAACCAAGTAAGATGGGCTCGGAAGTGAGGATCACCGCGCGAATGAGAAGACTCCTTCCTGTTTTATACAATCAAGAAGTTAAAGCTCGCTTGGCGTTCTGGGGCGACTTGACTGCGCAGAAATGCTTGAGCAAGCTGTTTGGCTTGTGGGAGATTTGTCGTTCAAGGATGTCGGAGGGCTTCGGACCTGGCTGAAGGGACCAGACTGTTGATTATCTTTGACCTTGTCATGATGCAATGATTCAATCTGGAGTGCCGCACCTCGATATGGCGGTCTATTGGCTGTGCAACAGATGTGGTGAAACATCGAAAAGTCGCTGCTGGCAGGCATATCCAAGTCCTAAGCGAGGCAGAACGACATTTTGGCATGTACTGAATACAGGCTGACGACCCCAAAGATGAGGTGATCGAGAGGTCGATTCGCCGCATGGCGTAAATGTCCCACAAAATGTGCATTCCATAGAAGATCCCTGGCGGGTTTGCTCTACTGTACCACATATTGATGGTGATTCGAGATCAAGCGGATCAATGTACTCTGGAGTGGAGGCACGTTAAGGCGGCTTGGGGAAAAAGTTCGCTCACTATATTAAAAAAAACGGGGATATTTTCTGTAGGTGAGCCAACTTTTATGCAACCCGACTCGCGGGTGGCTCGGCACGAAGCAACAAGATGCGTGAGAGTGGGAAGTGTTGGAAACCGCCCGCAAAAGCCCCGGTTAACATGAAACGAGAGGCTAATGAAGATGTACCGATCTCGGCACGCGAATAGCAACCCATTGATGGACGATAGGGTGGCAAGCAGCGGGTGGCTTGCTGCAATGCAACGGTGATGCAGGGGCCAGCCAATCAAACCCGCACCCGCCGCATAGACAGCGCCAGATCAGTGAGGCCACTCAGGCACAGCCTTCGCAGGATTGGCGGCAATCTTGGGAACCCTCCTTGCCCTTGGGGAAGACCCCTGGCGTCGCGGCGCCTGCGAAGGGTTTCCTGAGTGTATGGGGAGAACACCCGACTGGATGGCCGCGTTTGATCAAGGCGCACATCGTCTCTTCGTCGTTGTCAATGCTGGCCTTGCAGAGAGGCAAATGCCGCCACCATTGGCCGAAGAGAAGCACCCTTCATCTCTGAGTTGGCAGCAGCCACGTAGGAGCCCGACTGTATGGAGTCTTTTGCGCGTCTCCGCTTCGGAAACAGGCACTCGACAGACCGACACGTGCCAATCCCACCTGCTGTGTCGTGCGTCTGCAAGGCAAAGGGTGCACGCAGAAACGAGCTCGGGAGGTGAGCGACCGAGCAAAGGCATCCCTGTCCCAAGCCTCATGTTTCGATTTGGCTGATGTTTTGCGAGTGGAGTCCGCCTGGTCTCGGGGCCCCATTGAAAAAAGCACAGCGTGCGCGTCGCAGCCACTTGTTGTACAGGGACGATAGGATGAGGATCAGCCAAAGATGGGCCTATGACGAGTCACGGCAGTGCCGGCCGGGTGGTTGTCGTGGGAGTGGAACTGCGCATGACAAGTCCGGACAGTGTCTACAGATGTCGCAAGTTGGAAGCCCGGTGTTGATAGTGCTCCTTTTTGCGAGCAAGCAGGTGCCGTTCTTTGGTGACGAGGGCGGCTGTGCGCATGATGGCCTTGTAGGAAAGACATGTCAGTTCTAAGAAAAGGAGCAGAGGGCAAACAAGCACTCACCTCGCCTCCCGTTTGCTAGTCTACGTAGTCTATGGAGTGTACACAGTGTATCGTTACCCTTAGGAGTGGCGATAAGGCCCCGCCGCGCACTGTCCAGCCCATGGAAGGAACAGGCCGAGCATCAACTGGGAATAGCTCTTGCGACAAAGCCTTATTGTGCCTCAGCGCCAGCAACCCCATCGCCACGGTGGTGGTCCCCGCTTACGATCTTCTTGATGTTTCTGCGCATACCTGCAGCCAACCGGTAAAACTGGACAGCCATGCGACTCCAGCAGAATTTCCAAGTTTGTCCTCGCCGCAAGCATGGCAGTCCGGCAGGTGCAATTGGCCAACCCCTTGCTGCGCGCTAGAACCCCTGGCCCTTGTCAACGTCGATCGCTCATGGGCACCCGTCCATGATCGCCGGCAGACTAACAACCAAGCGCCGCTCGCCATGGCCAACACACGTTATAAGAATCTGCCGTGCTCCGGTCGGCCTGGAGATTGGCTTCAGATGGCATCAACCACTGCAGCTTGATTCTTCGCCTTTCTTAGTCTTCAACCCTCATTCCTTGGCATAGACCTTCGCTTGTTCTCAGTTCCAACTCGTATTCCTTCCTTGAGACACTCTTTTCAACCAAAAACGCTCTCTTCACGCAAGCAACACCGTATACATTTTTATCGACCTCGATAACATGGTTGGATTCAAGACTTTGGTTATCCTGGCCGCTGGCCTCCTCCCTGCCGCCACGGCCTTCCCCAAACCGTACTTCAAGGCCATCCGTGCGGACCACGATGTTATTGCTGGCCAGTACATCGTGACCCTGAACAAGGACCTCGATGACGTTGCTGTCGCCAACCACTTCTCCTTCGCCGCAGCCATTCACGCCCGCAGCGGCAGTGGAACCTGGGGCATCCGTAAGCAGTGGCGTCTTCTCAACTTCGCCGGCTACAGCGGCCACTTTGACGATGCCACCGTCGAGCAGATCCGGGCAGACCCGTCCGTGTTTGCCGTTGAGCCCAACCGGGTCAGGCACCTGATGGCTGTTGAGACTCAGAAGAACGCCCCATGGGGTCTCGCGTCCATCTCCAACTCTGGCAGCGCCAACAGCACTAGCTATCTCTACGAGGACGCCGCCGGCGAGGGTCAGTTCGCCTACATTGTGGACACTGGCATTCTCGACACACACGAGGAGTTCGAGGGCGAGCGTGGTGTCAAGGGCTACAACGCCGTCGATGACGTCCCCTTTGAGGATGTTGATGGGCACGGCACCCACGTTGCCGGCACCATCTGCGGCAAGACGTACGGTGTTGCCAAGAAGGCCACCTGCGTTTCCGTCAAAGTCTTCAACGGCGGCAGCTCCACCACCGAGACTGTCATGGAGGGCTATAACTGGGCCGTCCAGGACATCAAGAAGCAGGGCCGCGAGGCCAACGCCGTTATCAGCATGTCCCTTGGTGGTGGTCGCTCTGATGCTGAGAACCGCATCGTCGAGCAGGCCTTTAACGAGGGCATCCTGACTATCGTCGCTGCCGGCAATGACGGAGCTGATGCCTCCGAATACTCGCCTGCCTCCGCCCCCAACGCTGTCACCGTCGGTGCCGCGGACATCAGCAACACCCGCGCCTACTTCTCCAACTTTGGCGACGTTGTCGACATCTTCGCACCCGGCGTCGGCATCAAGAGCGCCTGGATCGAGAGCGACACTTCTTCCGAGGTCCTTGACGGCACCTCCATGGCCACTCCCCACATCTCCGGTCTCGTGCTGTACCTTAAGTCTGTCTTTGCTGGCGAGCTTGACAGCCCTGGCGCCGCGACCAAGAAGCTCCTTTCGCTGGCGGTTCCTGGCATCAAGAACCCGAAGGGCGCCGACGTCCGTGCCTACAACGGCGTTAAGGCTTAAATGGTCGCAGGTGTTGCTTTATTCCATATCTGACCATTTTTCATGACATTGTACCGGCCTGGCATGGCGCCGTGCAAATTTTCGCAAGTGTATATACACATTTTTCTATGGATCGTGGACACATAAATGCCCTAGTGGCCAATCATGACTTGCTTCATTTTCGCAGCTCTTGCAATAACTCGCCCGGGGACAAGTGAATCAAGAGGACAAAAGTCGTCTGAAGGTCGGGCCGCTAACGTGACAACTTTCTTGAGAGACTACGCTTGCTCGGCCGGTGCATTAGCATCCCGCACTATCGGAACATTTCTGATTCGCTCACACTGAACAATGCCAATCCGCTTTCAAGTCATGCACCAAGCAATTTGTGAAACGGCGGATTCTCAGACCACGCATATAGCCATGAGCTTGGCATTCTGCCCATGAGAACGAGGCAGGTGTGACACCCGAGCGTTACAAATGACGTGGATCGTCTGATGTAGGATAGGGCCCTCGGCGGTCACATGCGTCACTCACATGACTTATGTAAGAATGCGTTATGACAACTTGGGCATCTGAGTAATATAAGCTTTTGCCTCTTGCTTGTCATGATTCTTCATTTCGGCCGAGGATTTGAAATAGCGTGAGCAGAGACGTTGTCCTGGCAAGAAGAAAGTCAAATCGGCCGTGTACGTGGTAAATCGCCTGAGGTTCAACTACACGGCTCGCTCGATCCCGAACTCGGATAAATGCCAATGTGTGCTTGTACCGCCAGACACTGTAATGGAAGGAGGACATCTATGCATGGTGTCGCTAATGATAGTTGACGCTTGCCGTCGCAAAAAGCACCTAAACCGTAGAGTGAATTGCCAGATGCTGACGACGACGGAAAGCTACAGGACCTCCTCGTCGAGTGCTTGTTCCGTAACAACATCGCCCTTGCCATCAAAGTACTTTTCCAGCACTGCAGCGAAGACGTTGTCGTTGTTGCTGTCGGACTCGTTGCTGATTGAGGCTCTTCGTCCCGGGCCGGCATTGTCGTCGGCATCTTCCAATCTCTGACTTGCACCACCCTCGCCATCACCATAACCGTCATTCTCACCAGCAGCCCTTGCAAACAAAGTCATGCAGCTCAACAACTTGTCCCGATCCGTCTCGCCACCCATCAACTCCTCGACGTCTTCAACTTCTGAATCCAGCACGACGCGCGTAATCTCGCGCAGCCGGGCGCCCAGCACCTCGTGGGCCAGATACGCGCGCGCCTCGGCGAGGGACCGTATCCCGTACAACCTGCTCATCTCGGAGAGCCCTCCACCACCACCACCACCAACGAAACCGAACCGAGATGGCGGCCGGGCGAGCGGCATCTGGGGGAACACGTACCAAACCCAGTGCGACGTCTTCCTGCCCCGGCGCAGCTGCCGCAGGGCCGCCGCGTACGTGCCCAGCCAGGGGCTCGCGGTCTCCGGGTCGAGCTGGTCCTGCGCGGCGAGGAAGCGGTGCAGGTTGTACCGGTCTTCCTTCTTGCTGCTGGTCTCTGCCTGTGTGGCGTCGTTGTCTTGGTCCGTGGCATTACTGGTGGTGCTGATGGGGCGGCGTCTTGTGCTTGCCTGCTTGTCTTTCCCTGTGCGCTGAATCGAGGCGTTGGAATCTCCCCGGCGCTGCTGTTGTTGCGAGTATGGATGCGCGGCCGTCGAGTCCGCTGGCGTCGCCTTTGGGCGGAAATAAGAATCGATGGTCCTCCGCGGCCCAGCCATGTTGTTGTGCCCCAATCTTGGTGTTGTTGTTATTGTCGTTGGTCTCTTGCCGCCGAGCGCCAATAGCGCAACCGACAACGACGACCGGGAAATAGAGCTCCCTTCTTCCCTACAACCGCCGATGGGGCGTGAGACCGGCAAGAACCGCAGCAGAAACGACAGAATGCTCCCCGAACTCTGCGCACGCAGCATCGCCTACCGTCGCGGGAGGGGATGACGGAGACGTTCAATCCCCCGCCTTCTGGGTGGTTACAGGGGATATCACAGTTCTTTTGAGGCTGCGGAATAACAATTCTCTGGCCTGTCAGCAATCCCCAGGTTGTCCTGTAATTCCCTTGCTCCCCCGGGCGCCAGCTTTGCCAGGGCCGTTTTTTTTGTGTGTTGAAGATGCAGGCCTGCGAGATACTGGAGACGAACAACAAAGCAACAATCTTTGACTGGCTGGCCGGAGCTGAAGCGATGACGGCAGCGTTGCTTGCTTGCTTGATATCACGACGACGTCAACTGGCGCGCGATCCTGGAGCTGTTGTCGTTGCTGGACCCCACTTGCTGCTGCTGCTGCTGCTGCTGCTGCTGCCGCCTCCCCTACCAACAACAGTGGAACAGTTTGGAGTCCTGTTGCGGTGGTCGTACCGTTTCGCTATGGGGAAGCCGTTTGCCCCAACTCAGCGAAGAGAATTCGCCGATTGCGCAGCACTTTTTGCGTGCTCTCTGAAATTGATTTGCCGAGCCAAGCCAAGCCAAAAAAGAAAAAAGGAAAAAGACAAAAAGTTCAAACCTCTTGAAAAAGGGGTGTCGCAATTTAGAGGTGCTGTGCCTTGGACTCTCACGGGGAATGAAATTATAGTCTAAAATCAAAGTCGGAACTGGCAGCTTGTGGAGGTTGCTAAGGCATCTTCCCATGTGCAGCCGACCCCCCACACACTCAACCACAACTGAACACGCCTAGGAACAATTGCTCCTGTAATCTTGCCCCCCCAGATTAATTGAGCCAGCGCCAACTTCATTCGACTCATCATTACAGCCGACGGTGTTTGGGCCTCATTAGCGCAGCTGGTAGCCGTATCTCGTTGCAGCTGGCACCATAGAGCTGATTGCCAACCTTTACATTACTCACAACTTTGCACAAGATGCATGCGCACAAGACACTAAAACGAATCCAAACTTCAAGAGATTCTCTTTTTTATCTTTTCCCTCAAACGCCCTATAAATGGAACCAGAGCATAAATGGTACCAGGGGGAATCCAGTTACACGGCAGGTATAGCCTAAATGTGTGTGGTTGAATGAAATCTAAATGGAGTACAATAACACAACCAAAATCAACAACAGCGTCCCAGCCACAGCTGCTGCTGCCTCTCACATGGCGTGAGGGCTATACGAGGTGTCCGTATTCTCAGTTGACGACAACTTCGAGCGACTCCGGTTCGTCAGCTCGATGTTGTTGCCCCTCTGCGCCGACATCATGCGTTCTTCCTCATCCCCTGGCGTGTCCCAGTCCTTTTTGTTTGTCGCATAAGTGTACGATCCTACACCGGCCCAGAATGCCTTGTCATGGCTACGGGGTCCCCAAGCCCAACCGGCTCCAGAGCGCAGCGGAAGGTGGTAGTAGCGGAAAGCAAACCATGCGGTGATTGTGCCGATGATGAAGCCGAAAAGAATATCGAAACCGTGGTGGCGGAAGTCAAACCACCGAGAGCTGGCAATGAAGATGGCAGTGAAGAATGGCAGGACCGCAACGACGAGCAGGTACAGCGGTGGTGCCGCGGCTTGCCGGCGGACTGCAGTGATTTGGGTGTGGTGCGTCTCGAGCTGCTGGGCCATGTTGGGGTCGTCGGGATATGAGAACTCGTCGCCTGCCTGTGCGACTCCAGCTGCGCTGCTCGAGGCTGTGTTGGCTCTGCTTGCTCCACGCATGCGCGAAGGGAAGGCAGTAGCCGAGGCGGACGTGGCATTGCTGGCTGCCGCTTCTGGCAGCACAAAAGGGATCGTCAGGGCGAACTTGCTGGCCAGGAACAGCGAGAGGTAGATCAGGCCGGCAGCGGCAGAGCTCGAGTGGCCGGAAGGATAGCTGCGGAAGCCGTCGTCGAGGATGTGCTTGTCCGAATTGGTGCAGATGGTAGCCTTGACAAGCTGGCCATGGTAGCCGTCGGTCGGCGGGTTGTTGTAGCCAGCAAGATGATCCGCCCAGTTGGCAATGTCGGCTTGGCATCGGACGAGGAGATCAGGACGGGGCTTGCCAAAAAGGTTCTTCATGCCCTGAGTAATGATCCACGCGCAGATGAGGGAGAGCGCGAGACCGAGCCAGCCAGTGTGCAGCTCCCACAGCTTGCGTTTCCAGACGAGCTTCTTCGGGGTACCCTCAGGCACTGTCGAGCCAGGGACGAAGATGAGGGCGACGATGAGTATTATGATGACCGGAAACACCGAGTTGCACATCATGAGCCAGAACGAGTTGACAGTTTCTTTCTGAGTGAACGGGAAGCTGTGCGGTAGTGGGAAGCCCGAAAGGTCAGCTTGGTGCTTGCGAGGAGCGGACTCACCCCCAGTGCCCAGGAGTTCAGCAGGGGAAGGAGGACGTACGAAATGTTTGGATCTTGCAGGCTGAATGGCCGCTTGTTGGGAGTGACATCGCCCAGGATGAGGCCGACGACGCCTACAGCGACAAGGATGATCCAGTCGAAGACATAGGAGAGGATCTGGATGACGGTGATCTTGTTGCTGCTGCGGCTGGCGGGCCGTGTCGAGCTGGCAGACTTCATTGTGGCCGCCGAGTGCTGTCTGCTGGAGGCACTTAGGGAGAAAGGGTGGAGGAGGTTCTGGCGGTCTTCTGGGAAGGGCGGCGTGGGCATCGCTTGGCTTAAAGCAGGACGTTGGACGGCAGGTTGTCGAAACTCTCCGTTCGCAAGAGAGACCGACGGGCGGGGCGGGGGGGGGGGGAAACGAGGCAGCAGCAGCAGCAGCAGAGCGAGCGTCAATGGGAAGAGTAAGAGACAGGAGCAGGCCTTTTGGTTTTAGTGTTGAGCTCCAAGGATCGAGGATGCCCGGTTGCTCAAGTGCCTCGTTCGGCCAGCAGGAGGCGCTAGCACCAGCCCTGGAGAGCTTAAAGACCCTGCTCCACTGAGCAGCAGTGCTGACGCGTGTGCAGGTCTCGGCAAAGTACCCTTGGGTGCAACCCCGGGGCCCAACTTTGTGTTTCACGCAGCCAGCCAAGGGGGGCGGTACTTGTAGGTGTCTTGGGTGCGCGCTGGGAGATCCCTGGATTGCAGTCTCAAGGGCGTTAGAGGGCGTGGCGTGGTCCAATCCGGGGCCGTGCCCAGAGACTGCGCCTCCTCTGCGGGCGAGTCTAGCGCTTGGCGCCTGGTGGCCCTTCCCCAGCAAAGAAACGGAAATGGCTCGCGTGGCCACCTTTTCCGACCCTCACTTTCCGCCCACTCTTGTGACCTATTTGTGTTCTTGCGCCGCCGCACTCTTCGCCTTGCCCACATCGCAGCCGCCGTCAGAATCCTCAATTGCCCGATCTGGCTACGCCAGCTTCTGCGCTCCCCGCGGTTCCCCTCCGCCTCCGCACTGCTCCGCCTGCGCTGTCGTCAGCTGTGGTGCTGAGCTGACGACTGCGAGGCTCTGCGCCTCTGTGTGCGTAGGCCAGCTACGCTTCGCTGTGAGACTGCCCTGCGAATGGGTTGCTGCGCATGCCGCTCTCGGAGTGCGTATGGTGATCCCCCGACGCTAAGCAGGCGTAGGGTGGCGGGGCCAGCACAACCATAAAACTTGACATGGAGCCAAATTGGACGGACGCAGAGGTCAATACCACCTCGTCGTGGCGGCGGCGATTGCCATGGCCTTGGAGGGCAGACTGTTGGCATCTTGGCAGCACTTGGTAGCATTGGGCGGGCGGTCTTTGCCTACGGAAAACTGGCATGGTTGCAGGTGCCCGACAATAGTAAGAGTTGGCGTTTGGACGAAAATCCAGGATCCTTGGCGCAGATCTCATGCATCGGCACTTGTGTCTTGAAATGACCGGCCCACGACTGGGCGGGAAACATGACGACATTGCAAAACACTTACTTGTAGGTGGCTCCGGCTGAGTGTCAATTGATCACTTGAATCGCGACCATCGGCGCAATGTTCAATACTGCAGGCGCACTTGCGCATGTCCATGTTCGACAAAGAAGGCTGCCCGTCCAGTCAGAAGTCGCTATTCAGCACCAGGGACTACTATGATAGAAGATGATGGTGAACTCGCCGGAAAGCCGCCAATACCAGCTACAAGGCGGGCCACCACACCAACGCAGGCATCTGAATGGCTCGCGAAATGATTGTGGCTGTCTCGCAAGACATTTGGGTTGATACGGCGGCAGTTCTTATAATATCCGCCAGGATGGCGATTCACCGGCCGATATTCTACAGCCGCGCGTTTGTTCCGCCGCTCTTATTCCGCAGCCGAAGGCACTGGGATGAAATCTGACCATTGGCTCGTCTGCAGGGCCAGGTGCATGTCGTCGTTGGCATTGTGTGCTGCGTGATGGCTGGTGTTTCCAGCTCCCGAGGGAGCGCACAGCCCGCAGAGGCTGCGCACTCGTAACGACTGGCGAATCGACCGTGGCTGACCTTGTGCGCGGCTGGACATGAGGCAGCTCAGCCAGGTCAGCCACTCCAGTGTGCAGAAACATCTTTGACAGCTTGCTCAGCCCGCTCGCCCTCCGCTCTTCGTTTTGCTCTCGAAGGCTTCCGGAAAACTCAGCCCTCTTATCGACTATCGACTGGCCTGTGTCGTGCACATCCGCTCCCAGCCGGCTCACGATTCCGAGATGTCTCAGGAGGAAAACGCTAGACAGGCCGGCTATCCCCACAGCATTGTGGCTGCCGTCGAGCTTGACGCTATGACGAGCCACCGTTGCCGCAGGCTCACCACTCCACGTTTCAGTCGATGGTCCCTGGCTCGCCAGATCGACACCTACATTATCAGCTCATGATGGCGTGCCTCCTTTGGATTAAATCGGCAGGGGAAATCGACGCTGATGCAACCATGCCTGCACAGGCTAGAGAAGAAGGTCTCCTCCTCCGCATGTGCCGTCCGTCAGGCTCAGGACGTTGGGCATAGGCAGAATGCTTGGCCTGAATGGCCTGAACAGATCACACGCCGCATGGTATGATATTCATAGTCCATTCTTGCCTGGGCAGCTGCCACTCTATTGCTCCCCTTGTACGACGCGGGAAAGCAGCCAGAACAGCATTGCATCCTTTGGCAGAGTCCCCATCGGCATGCGTGATCCACTCCAATCAAGTCAAGGCCCGCAAGACAGGCTCGCCACTGGGCCGTGGACACCTGCAGCAGGTCATCTCGTATTCTCTGTATGCGTTGTCGACACATCTGGCCTGCACGGCTCTCGCCGCACTGCCGCCAGGGAGCAATTCTTAGTGCCATTCACCACCCACTCACCTTGAGGCAGTCAACCAGGCCATTTTCGCTCTGTGCTCGCGTGCACCTGGTCTTCATAAGCACAAGGCCCAATGGTTGAATTATTGTTTCTACACCGACGTGAAGTCTTCAGGGATGGAACGCATCCTCGACAGCATTCTCCCGACAAGCGAAAGCCATGGGGGGCAAATGCAGCTGGGTATCGGGCTTCTGCGACTGTCGAAGGCTGAGAGCACCAGTCCTCAGCCCCTCCCTCGTATACGAGCGAACGTGCTTGCCATGCGGCGTGCCGGCAACTAAGTTAGCTCATGCTTTTAAGGTGGGCGGGAGTGGCTCAGGGGTAGGCAAGGTCCGATCCTAGTCAGGGCCCTTGCAATCTCGACTCGACCTCCGCGCTCACCTGAGCAGCCTCCATCAGGAGTGCGCCAGTATGATGTCGACATACGATCCGCCAACCTAGCCGCATGAAATGGTGCAATGCTGTGTTCAAAAGGATTGACAATGGTCACAAGAACGACTTGCGAGTCTTGGGAGATGCATTGAGTGTATGTAAGGGGTTTTTCGAGTGTCCTGAGAAGATTCATCGTTTCAGCTGACATGATCCTTTTGTGAGTCTCTTTTTTTTCTTCTTCCCCTCTACTTCCTTTTCTAGCGATTGGCACAACATGTTCTGCCCCAGAAATCGTGCAGGACCTCACCCATGCGGACGCCTGCCTTCTCCACATACGAGGAAATGCACAGCACCAGCCCTGCAGCCCACCTTTGACAAAGAAGCAAGCAGCAATGACATGGATTTGGAGTCATTTTGGGTACAAGACCGGCTGAAGAACAGCAAGATGGCAGACTGGTGACACCCTCTGGCCGTCGTTTGGCTTCCATCCTCTTGCTGTCGGCTCTTACCCGAACCTGCGGCTTATTCCCCTTCTCGGCGGCTGCAAGCTCCCGAGGCGCAGTCTGCTTCTTTGTCTGCTTCTTACGCATTGAAGGACGGGCCCGGTCCCAATTGGACGGAGATTGACCGCAACAGGCACAGGAGCTGAATGCCGCAGTTGCAGCTATATCACGGCTGTATCGAACATGGATCCCCAGGCGGACCCGCCCACCCTTCGGCGCCGCCAGCCAAGACGAAGCCAGTGTTCGAGGGCTTCGAGACCTGCGCGCGCTCGTCCATTGTCGAGACACACTTGCACGCTGCTGGTGCTGCACCATCCCTGCTCAGGCGAGCCACGTCCCTCGCCCAGCATGGGCCCTTGACCCTGTCCCGATCTACCGCCGTTGCTTCATGCCGTGCCATGCCATGCCACCGCCGCGCCTCAAGACCCGGGTCGAGCTGGTGGGCTGCATTTCTTGTTTGTTGTTTAAAAAGAACGGCCTCGCTCCTGGCCAGCTCGAAATGGCTTCTTGGCTTTTCCTTCTGCTCTTCAGCCAGGCTTACTCGCTGTACTGTCCTCGCCACGGGTTCTTGCCCCGAGTTACTTTCGTTCACGTCACGGCACAACACATTCGCTAAACGACCTCGACAGCAAACATGCATATCAACAACTTAATGTCTTTGTTCCTGGCGAGCAGCCTCACAGCTGTCTCTGCCAAGGCCCTGCCCCCGCTCCTCTCCAACCGGGCCGTGTCTCCTGACAACACCTGTGGCAACACTGGCGCCGGAGCCAACAAGGGATACACCTGTCCATCCGGAGGAGACTTCCGCTGCTGCTCTCAGTACGGCTGGTGTGGTGCTTCGACGGACCACTGCGGTACGGGCTGCCAGGCCGGGTTTGGTAGTTGCGGAACCTCCACCGGCGGTGGTGGCGGCAGCGGTGGCGGCGTCTCGCCGGATAACACCTGTGGCAACACCGGTGCCGGTGCCAACAAGGGCTATACCTGCCCTACTGGCCAGTACAAGTGCTGCAGCCAGTACGGATACTGCGGCGACAGCACCGACCACTGCGGCACGGGCTGCCAGTCTGCGTTCGGGACTTGCGGAACGGGCAGCGGAGGAGGTGGCGGCGGCGGCGGCGGTAGCACTGACGGCCGGTGCGGTGCCAACTTTGGCAACAAGAAGTGTGCTGCCAACGAGTGCTGCTCTATCGAGGGCTACTGCGGAACCTCGGACGAGCACTGCATGGCCCCGGACTGCCAGTTCGCCTTTGGCCCGGCCTGCGATGCCAACCTGGTCCCCAAGGGCACCAACACGTCGACCCTCGCCCGCCCTACACTCGGCAGTGTTTCTGTCGGCGGCGAGGGCATCTACCCGTGTGTCAACAAGGGCCAGGTTGCTCTGACCTTTGACGACGGCCCTGGTGACTTTACTTCCGGCATGCTCGACGTCCTCAAGAAGTACAATGCCAAGGCGACCTTCTTCATCACCGGCGTCAACAACAACAAGGGCCAGATCGACGACCCGAACACACCCTGGCCCGCCATCATCAAGTAAGCAACGACATCACACCACCACCCCCCCCCCCCCCCCATTGCCTGACACCCCCAAAAAGTTTCCTGCATGGCTGACAATATATCCCCCTCCCAGGCGCATGAACACCGACGGCCACCAGCTCGCCTCGCACACCTGGTCGCACGCGGACCTGAGCGCCATCACCTCGGCCCAGCGCAAGAACGAGATGTGGAAGCTCGAGATGGCCCTGCGCAACATTGTCGGCTTCGTCCCGACCTACATGCGCCCTCCTTACTCGTCCTGCACCGCCGAGAGCGGCTGCCAGGCCGACATGGCCGCCCTCAAGTACCACGTCACCTACTTTGACCTCGACACGGCCGACTACCTCAACACCTCGCCCGCCCTGATCCAGAACGCAAAGAACAACTTTGACAACTTCTTCAAGAACAAGGTCCCCGCGTCCAGCAACGCCCTCGCCATCGCCCACGACATCCACCAGCAGACCGCCCAGAACCTGACCGAGTACATGCTGCTCGGCCTGCAGAGGCGCGGGTACCAGGCCGTCACGGTGGGCACGTGCCTTGGCGACCCCAAGGCCAACTGGTACCGCCAGGCTTAAGGGAGAGGTTTGGATCCTATAGTGTACACATACCATCACATGCGGTTGCTTTTTGGGTATACTGAGCGCCGGTGAAATGACAGAAAAGTTAGTGTGCTGCAGGAAAGAAAATAATATTGTAATGTCGTTGTACGCATGAATGGAAATGGATGATTAGTTATCGTATATTCAACACCATCGATTGCCAACCTGGGTCGTATTTGCCACGCTGAAGCGCCAGGAGGCCAGATGGGGAATGTGTCATATCAAGGCCAGGCTCAAAGGCAACCTAGCGTTGGAGGTGCAGTCGGCCCGCCTTAGCTTGGGTACATGCTGTGCATGTGTTATCACCAACAGTCGGTGCATATGTCGAAGGCGAAACACAAGGAGAGATGATTACCGATGATCTAGATTTATACCACAGCCGTAGCCACCGTGCGGTCTGGGTATCAGTCAGTGACGGACAGAATTGATGCCTCAAGTCATTGGGCTTGTTGGGAGGGGATTGACGCCAGGACTTCTCTCGCAAAAGGGTATGCATACAAGTGTAAATGGTGGCTGCACCTAGAAACCAGAAAATCTAAATGTGAAAGTTGCGTGGTGTGTTAAATTACGAAAGCGTAGATCAGGACGCTGGAACACAACGGATGAGAAGTTCGGAGTTGCACAGCCATGAAAACCTAGCTCATGAATGGAAGACACACTGGGAAGCTCGAGTGTTTGAAGGCTCGGAGGTCCTGAGCTAGGGACGATACTTTCACAGCAGAACAGCCTGACGTACCTAGGGAACAGAACACCATAAATACATTCTGGAAACCCCGATATGGGTACGATTAAGGAAAGAACGAAGACCCCTGAAATCGAACCTTCATTGTTGCTAAAATATAATAAAATGGTAGCACCTGATGAAATAGCCTGACAGTCTAAATAGCAAGATAGTTCCGAAAGCTCGCTCATCAGCCTGACCACACCCGACTATCATGACACCACTGCAAAGCAGTTCATGATGGCCTGGACGTCAGGCCCTCTGACCTCCTCATATCTTGGATACAATTGTAAATACCAAGTCTGATGATCTCCGTGAAATAGAGAGTGCCTGCTGGAACATTGAGTATCTCGTTCTTATTACCTTTACAAATTTACCATTGTCCAACTCAAACCAGCAATATCTTTACATCAACTCTTACTACCAGCGCAGCAACAGCATTTAATACCGAGCGCGTTCGAAAATAGGCACCCCGCTAGTCTTAGACCTGTTCTACCCGACAACGCCGCTGATGCCACGTCAGCTCTTGCTTAAGGAACGTCAACCCATGATGGTGCCCATGCACTCGCGGCCGTGGCCAAAACGAACCACGACGTTCGGGGACAAACTGACGCTTCCAAGCCCGAACTAGACCCAAACATGCAACGGTTGGATCCCCACGAGCCAGACTACGAGACCAAAGGAGACAAAGGCAGGGTGGTTGTGCAGCGACCAGGCGTCGGACGCGGCTTGCCAGATGGGAGCTATTTGACTACATAGGGACTAGGCTACTCTCCCGACGGCCTGTATGGCTGGACGATGGTAGCAATGTCACTGCGGCCGTGTCTGGACCCACGGCCGTTGAGGACTGGCAACCCTATTTGTCGTGCGTCCCACTGCTGTACGTTGGTCGGTTGAAAAAAAGAATACGGAGCTCCTTGGGCTCCTGCCAAGGCCCTCTCGTTGGGTTTGGTGACTTCTTAGGCCCAGAGAGGACTACCCATCCAGCTAGTTTTTCTTTGTGATTCTGGCGGTATCCTTGCTTCTCCAGGCGGTGAGAGACACGAGCAAACGGCGTCGGATTCTGTGGCTGGCTTCTTGTTGGCCGTCTAGCTGATAGCTGAGGCGCGAGAATAAAGGTGCTGGATAGTAAGACCTGGTCGTTTATTTACGACGTGTCACAGTGGAAATTACATAAAATTATAGGTGATTGAGACTCAAGAAAGGCAGCAAGCTGCCATCAGCATAGAAATTGAAACTCATGCGACTGCTTAACCCAAGCCGTTGTCGAGATGTCTTGAAAGATGCGCCCACCCATATCCGGAGGCTTCAGGAGTTAGACTTCGTCGCATCGGTTGCTGTTCAAGTATCGTAATTTCGCGTTGGTCGAAAAGGATATATTACTATAGAAACGCCAATTCCGTGCAAGTTTGAGTTTGTGGTGAGTGGCATTTATGGCAATCACGTCCCCCTCAGATCTTGAAGAGCCAGAAAGGCGACACTGATTTACGCCGGGCTTGCCTCATGGCTGGTTCATGTTATCTCGACTCAGTTGTTTGTCGACGGCGTCCCCAGGGCCACGGCTAGCCGACGCAGAGTTCCGCGTCAACTCATGAAGTCGAGCTCGCATTCTCGACTTCGACTTGGAGAAGGCCAGTCGAACGTGCAAGAGCCTCGCGCTAGTCTGCCAATCCATGCCAATATGTTTCAAACTTTTTGACTCGTGTGCCTTTCATCCAACCACGTGCATGGCATCACCACCGCCCTCCGCTCCGTCCGCGCCGAGATCATCTTCCTCCTCTTCCTCATCCAGATCGTCCTCCACGACGTCGTCCTTGAAACCGCTCTCGACCTCGAGTTTCCGCAACCGCCGTAGCATGTCCGCCCTGTTGCCGTTCTGCCATCGGATCAGCGCCGCTGAGGCGTGCACTTTGAAGCCGTAGACCCGCGGTATGTATCGCTCCGCGCTCTTGGGTGGAACAAGCGCCGGGTAGACCTGAAACATGATGTTGTGGAAGGACGTGCCGAAGTACGCGCCGTCGATGGCGGCGTGGCGGCTTGACTTGGGGTTGTAGACATCCTCGCACCGCACGCAGTAGAGCTTGACGGCCTTTTGGCTGGGAACGTCGGTCTGGCCCATGGGCAGGAGTGGATGGGAGTGACAGAAGACTCGCGGGCATTTGCCAAAGTCTGCTTTCTTGTACTTGTCAAGCTGGAACAAGTGTCTCCATGTTAACACACCTGGGTCTTGCCTTGGGGAAAGAGATGCCACCATGTCCGCGTGACGAGTGTTGAGCGGACCAAATTTGCGTTTCTTACCATTTTAGCCAGTCCTCGTGTTGTTACTACATAACGAGCGTGGATGAGACCGTAAAGATGCCGAGCCGACTTTTCTATTGTTTCCCGCATCTCATCGTCGCAGTCGAGATCGAAAACATCGGTGATAAGGTCGAGGGCATACTGGTAGTACTGAACTTCCGTGTTAAGTCCGGTCAGGTTGAAACGGTCTGTCAAGTAGTCCTCGTCGATCTCGCAAAAGTATTCATTGCCCCGGGATGAGATGAACTGCGAACACGAGGTAGAGTCAGTTGGCCGTGTCAACGTTCCTGCCACAGTGTCTGCCGGTTGCAAGACGACGGGAGGGCCCCAGAAGACAGCCGCAAAGGGCCAGCTGCCCTTTCTGCCCACACCGATGAAGAGCACACGGGCAGACAGGAGCCACGGTGGTGTGGGATTGAAGAAACTGACCCAGTCGCGCCAGTAGCTCGTGTAGTCGCTGTCCGATTCCGAGGCGAACTCGTCCATCATGATGGGCACTGAGAGAGAGAGAGGGCCGCCGGGCGCCTCAGGTATCCTTATCGTCGTCTGTTCTAGGCTTGCGTGTCGGGGCAGGCAGCGGGGTGCATGCGGACCGAGCCTGTCGATAGGCGTGCACCGAGAGCGCGTGGGTGCGCAGAAGAGTCGGCGTCGTCGCTATGGTCGCCGCCGAGGGGAGTTTGAAGGTGCAGAGCCGTGCAGTGTACGCAATGGTATTGCTGGGAGGCGCGTCGTCGTTGCGGAGTGCGTCAGTGGGCGAGCCGAGTTGTGGTTGAAAAGATGCAGCAGCAGCTCCGGGTCGTGGTGATCGCCAGGCCCGCCTGCAAAGACTCGTGCCGCTGTGCCTGCACCGGGAGGGTCCTCATTGTCGTCGGGTTGGTGGGCTGCTTGGAGGGGCTCGCTGCACCTTGACCTTGCAGACCCCAGTGTCTACGCCTAACAGGGGAGCACCACCCCAGTGCCTGTTTGCTGTTAGTGAAGCACTTCATATGACAGAGCAAGCAGAGAACCCCCACCGGGTCCCCTATCGCAGGCACACCTAAGTATGATATCACCCAACCACTTATGACTTTCACGGTACATCAGGTTTCGACGCCAGATCGTCTCAGGCTCAATCAGTGGTTTGGATACGTGACCAGGGGAGGACACGACACGGACGTCCTCTGCCCCAATCTCGCAATGCCTGCAAGTCCTTCCCCTTATCTGTCCCCAGTAGCTAGCATCAGTAATTATGTTGGCGTGATTGCGTCTATTTAAGCTGTTCGTGTCCCAGATCCGACGGCTCACAGAGGACTAGCAGTACCGAAGCTACTGCCTTCGCTTGTCACAGACTGCCCATCTGAGCCTGTATCCGAGTTTCGTCGTCGGCGATGATGCTGCCGCCTCGATGACCCGTTGGCATGATAAGATGGCACCTCAAGCCTGCTCATCATGGCTGGCAGCACCTCGTCGGCGTCCTTCTTCACCCTCATATTGACCAACTCCATCGCCTCCTTCAACGTCTCACCCGTCTCGTCCATTGCAGCCAAGAAGCGAGCCAGCTCTTTGCACAATTCCCAGTTCTCCTCCCTGATCGCACGTGCGAATAGCCGTACTGACTGCTCCGAGGCTGCTTCCAACTCTTCAAACGTGTGGAGAATCAAGAGGTAACCTCCCGCCGTCTTCAGCGTACCACGTAGCAGAGATTCCTCAAATAGCTCCTGCGGTGGTGGCAGATATGCAAACAGCGTTCTCCAGGACCGGACCTCGGTCTTCCGCGTGCACTGCACAACGATATCATGGTACTGCCTGAACGAGGATAGCAAAGAGAGTACTCGTGGCAGCAGTGCGTCTTCTGGCTTCGGTGACGAGTCGACCTCCTCGTCAAGCACTTTGTGCAGCAATATCTCGAGCCCGTGTGCAAAGTATTCCAGTCCTTGATACTGCTGAGCAATCTGGAGGGCAGCTGCCGAGTTGTTGCTCTGCAAGTGGAAGCGCAGCAATTCTGGAACGAACAGGTGGGTCTATCCCGATTAGCATTTACAATGAAGCGAAGGGCAGATGTGTACCTACTCGTATTGCGAACCGGAAGAATGAGAAGTTGACATCTCTCCGCTGCACTAGATCCGGCTCAACACCGAGTACGATGCCCTTACCAAGAAGGACCGAAAGAGGATAGAAATCTAGCGGCATGGGAACGGCGGCAGGCAGGTCTTTAGTGCTATCGTCAGAAGCAGCTCTGAGAACATCATGTACGTCTGGCCACATCTTGAGCTCATGGCCTTCGAAAACCCAGAGAGAATTTCGCAGGCTGCCCTCTTCTGCCTCGAACGAGTAATTGTGGCTGGACTCTGCGCGAATGTTGACAGAGGATTGATCCTTCAGACTCGTGTAGTACTCGACAGAGTGGGATACGACACGCATATCATACTTGAGCTGGCCATCGTTGTTGACTGATGGCTGGAGAAGTACGAGCTTTCCGTCCACCAGGAAGAGAACGGAGGCAAAGGTTACATCTTGTGAAGGGTCGCCATTTACCATCTGGCTTTCAGGAAGGATCCAGCTGAGTCCCCTTACACGAGCCGGAGACCTCACAATACCGTGGAAGGCGATCTGGCCAACCTGGATAGGACGAACCGTGCCGTTGACAGGTGCGAGGATGAAGTGGTACAAGAGGTTGTCGTACGTATAGACCAGTAGCGAATCCTCGCCCGACGGGGTGATCAATACGATAGGAGCAGGCATTTCGTGTGTGAACATCACCGTCGAGCTGTCCAGGTTGGCCTCGCGGGAGTACAGACGCAGCTCGTATGAGCGATTGGCTTCTACGGCTGCGACTAATATATGCTGATACCAGCACATACCTCCCCTGACTTGAAACTCGTTTTCGGCGATCTCGTTGCTGAATGTTTTCCACCTTCCGCTGTTGATGCTGTAGTGCGCCAGGCCTCGTCTTCCGGCCACGGCCACGTATCGGCCGTCAGCCGAGACGACGGTACACTTGATCGGCCACTGATTCAGTAGATAATTTGACGGGACCCGCGCGGTATGCCAGAGGAAAGGCTCCGCAGAGATGCTGGTCAGATCGGGAAGGTCATAGCCTCTGTAGATCATGACACTCGTGGAGCTCTGCAGGACTGTCCGAAAAAGGTTGGGCGGACAATAGCAGCCGGTGACAGCGCTTCGAGCCATCTCGAGGGACCATATCGCACTGTCCTGGCTGCCAAGCAGAAGGAGTTCGCAGGAACCGCCAATCCAAGAAGCATCGGTAACGCCAGCTAGCCATTCTTCCTTGTTAGACGTTGTAATTGTAGGATCGGCACCAAAGCTTTGGCTCGCAGCTTTGCCAAACACGCTCCAAGTTGCCCACCCCTTGCTGTATCCGGCAAATAGGCAATAGCCGTCAGGCGAGTAGATCAAGGTTGTTATTGGGCCAGAAGCATTGGTCGAGACCTGGATCTCGTGTTTGTGAGAATGCGGGACGTTGCCTGAATAATCGCGGACTGAGTACACATGAATATTGCCATCGGCACAGCCTACAGCGATCAGGGAGAAACGCGCATTGATGACAGCTGTAACAGCTCGGTCATTTTCAGTCCGCGGCGTATGGATGCAATGCCCCTTGAACAGTTTCTTGGGGTCAGTCTCGGCACTTTTTGCGATTCGCTGCACAGCATATGCCTTGCCATCGCTCGTAACCCACGTGGATAGGTTCATCGGTCGATCATGGGTCATTTCTTTGATGGTGAGACGCTTCTTCTCATCCAACCATTCCATCTTGCTCACAAGCTCAGTACTGGTCTGGTTACCTGTGCTGTCTGGTGACCATCGAATACATTGTATGGCAGCGGGCTTGTGGGTGGCCACAATCAGCTCCTCATCGAGCGCAAGGACGCATTCTATGCCAGCATCGACCTTGATGACTCGTTTGAAGCGAATACTGATATCCTTGACACCAGGACCCTCGCCGGGGCCTAACAGGATCTGGTCAGGGGCCGTGTTTCCTGCCGCGCCGAAATGACTTTGTCTCCGCCGCTGGATGTTTGTGTGGTCCGAGAAGTGAGGCTTATACAGACGAGAGTCGGGATCTGTGGCTATTGAGTATGTGATGAGATAGCCGAGGCTTGTCTGGACAACAAGAATAGCCGAGTCAGGTCTCAGAAGAAGGTCGACATTGGTGCCATATGCTTTGAGCGATGGCTGTGATCGAATGACGATTGCTTGGACGACCGTAGGCTAAGACAACGCACACAGCAATCAGTTACATGTCTAGGGATCATGCGCCGTTCTCGGATGACTACCTTTGTTTGCCAGACAGCGATACTGGTCGCTGTAATGACGGCGAAAAGAGTACCACTGCGGGAGACCCTCAGAGCCAGCAATGGCTCAGATGGGTGGGCTAGCCCGTGACTGTAGGCTGCGAGGTCCTGGTGCGAACCGCCGAACTCCGAACCCAGATACCCATCGTGTTCAACCGACTTGATGCCCGGGGTGAAAGGGGTCCTCGGTCCTGGAGTGATCGGCGTGGGCAGCTCCGCATGGCCGGATTCCTGGGGTGCTGCCGTCGAAGATATGCTTGTGTTCCGCTCGCGATCTCTCTGGTTCGCTTCAACATCGGATTGCTCGTCGAGGCCATCGTGGGCAGTCAAAGCGCCGGGGTTGTTGGCGGTGGCTGCCGTTGTTGCCGTAACATAGATCCTGGGCGTCCCAACGGGCCAGTACATGACGACGTGACCGTGGTCCACAAGGACCTTTCATGCGCGGTCGGTCGCTCTTTTGCCGCACGCGACGATGTTCAGCTCATTGCATCGATTGGGTGTGCAGCGAGGGGGTCACGGGTGCTCGGGAGTCGTGACTTGGATTGTGCTGGAGAGCGAGCCAGGAACTCAGGAGCGGGTGAGGAGCTCCACGAGGCCGAGCTCCAAATGCAGGGCCGCCAGGGCAGTTGCACGTCACGGCCTCCTGGGACGACTCGACTCCACAGACACAACGCCAGGCCACCCCCACTCCGACCACAACCACCGACATTGTCTCCTTTGATAGGCTCCTGAATGCGCGTCAACGGCAAGCACGACACCAACCATACTGGCTTACACCGCTCTGAAGGGCGGGATTGTACATCGGCTTGGCTTCTTCTCAATATTTCAGGGCCGCCCGAGAGTAAAGTCCTGCTCCACGCTTTGACGTGCCGATGCACCAATTCTGCAAGCTGAGAAAGAACGAGAATCCTTGTTAAAGACGATTGGTTGCCTGTGGCTTGACGTTCAACACAGCTGACGAGCCAGCGAGCCACCTTGGCTACGTACATTACTCAAAAAGCGAACAGCGCGCTCCTCAACTCACCTGTGGAAAGTCATGGCTCGTCTGCAGGCGCGCATGTCTGTGGCGCCCGAGCGGATAAAGGCCCAGTTTCCTGGCCTCAAGCCAACCGTTTACGACGATCCTGCTGCCAGGAAGATCCCAAACAAGTAAGTATCTCCTGATCATTCTTGCGCCGAGAGTCTAAGGGCTCTTTACTTATCGCCTGAAATCAACCATGGTCTCCTCTTGCGAGCCTTGCACTTGCCTCTATGCCGCAATTAAGTATTGACACACGTTGCCTCCGCAGCATCCGAACGCTTGCTTGGAACCCATTGGGAACATGGATTGCGACTGGTTGTTCTGACAAGACACTCAGAGTCTGTAAGTCTGCATTGTTCTCACAGTCAACTCCGACGCCTTCAGCTAAAGCCTTTCAGGGAACGTTGACAAGCCCAATGTGCGACAAAGCACGGATTTGAAGGGACACACAACTCCAATCGAGAAGGTCGCCTTCAATCCTGTCAAGGAGCTCGAGTTATGCAGCGTAAGCGCCGATGGAACGGTCAGATTCTGGGACGTAAAGACCAAGGCTGTCCTGAACGAGATCAAGGGCCTGGGCGAGACGTTTACGCTGGCATGGGCTCCAAACGGCGAGCATGTAGTAGTGGGAAATAAGGTAAATGCCGGATCTTCAGATTCAGCGCGGACCTCTTTGTCACTGACCAGTCTGTGTAGGAAGACAAGCTTTTCGTGCTCTCCCCGTCACAGAATACACCGGTGTCAGAACACCCTCAATCAGTGCCAACCAACAATATAGCATTCTGCTGGAGTGGCCAGAGGATATTCGCGGCTACAGGAGATGGCAAGACGAGGATATTGTCATTCCCGGGCTTCGAGCCTGCCTACCAGTTTGACTACAAGGAAGGGCCGGAGGCGGAGTTCATGCTGCGAGGCCACACATCTTCATGCACAGTCGCTGAACTGCATCCGTACAACCGATTCCTCGCCACAGGTGGTACAGATTCCCTGATATCGTTATGGGATACAACCGAGTGGAATTGTCATCGCACGATCACGAAGATGGTTGGTCCAATACGGAGCATAAGTGCGCAACCTCATGACAACACTTTGACTGACAGCTCTGCTAACTCTTGGGATGAAGGCTTTTCTTGGGATGGTTTGTTCCTTGTGGGTGGGAGCGACGAGGGTATGTTCTTTCGTTGTTGGTCCGAGCTCAGTCGATTCGTAACTAATACTCATGGGCCTTAGGGAACGGTCTCGAAATCAGCTTATCAGAGACTGGCGAGCACCTTTGCACCTACAAGACGGCATCGCCGTCACCAACGGTGGCCTGGGCGCCAAACCGCTATGCCTTGGCGTACACTGATATGGGCAGCCTTCGGATCATTGGAGCAAGTGCGGGCAGCAAATAGGGAGGCATGCCCGCACTCACAGTGCCATACCAAGGCTCAGATTATCACGACCATTAGCTTGGTTCCGAAAAGTTTCCCAGCTGCTTGAGCGAGCGTCCGCAAAGACGCGTGTGGTAGGTTCACTCGAGTCGCGGCTTCTGTTCGAGTCTGGTGCTCAGATACTACGAACATCTCGGATGAATCATGTCCGAGCTGAGCCCTCAGCATGCTGTGGTTGGTCCTAGTGAGCAAGGGCTACCCACCCCGGCCGAATGAACATGCAATGCTTCAGGGGTCCTTTGAGTGGGCGGGTTCGGGCACTTCACCCTTGGGGCAAGTACATAGGACGTGATGCAGCACAATGTCCTTTCGCCGAGTATAAGTCTGCGTCGAGGACCGCATACAACGTTGAACTTGTGTCATCTTAGATTGTCAGAGGGTACTCCAGAGGAAGCCGAGGAATCAAATATTGTATGTGCTTCCAGGAAAATGTGTGTGATGAGACCAGAGCTACAGTAGGAGCTGTTACAGCTGGACCCCTTTGAGTACCTAGGTCCTTACATAAGCACACACGAAGACAGGCAGCCATCATCCGTACGTAAGACCGTTGCGACTGGGCAGCGTCCTTTATCTGCACAGCCCCAGCACGCTGGCTCATCAGAAGTAAACCTCTACGAAGGTTGTGATCAAAGGCGACGTGGCGTCAACGGCCCCCAATAAGAACCAGGACGGGCGTGCACCACAACGGGGGAGATGGTGATTCATGCAGTCTAGGCTAGCCAGGCAAGCACAAAGATCCTGCTCCGTAGGGTCGAGAGGAAGCAGGTCTCGGGCTCGTGATCGACATCAAAGACAAGGCATCATTGTTCTCTGACTCTGACTTTTGTTGAAGCCGCGGTGGGTGACCAAGTCTCGACTGTCTGGCCTATTATTAAGCAACAACGACCGCTCCAGAATCAGCCCTGTAAGAGGGCACATTCCGCAGCTGTTCGCCTGGGGGCTGGCAGCACTAATGCCCCGGCCTCCGTGCCGGAACCCCAGTGGTCAGGCTTGCCTGACGAATATGATTTGGGCGATCCTGCCGTCCTGCCCCACCCGGAAGCTGCACCCTGGACTCTGATATGAAGTGCCAACACTGGCACCTCATTAGCTTTAGCGACCAACCCGCTGACAGGCAACCCCCTTGCGCAACTTGTGCTGTCCTCCACCTGCGCTCTCCTCCGAAGGCTCCAGATCCCGAGACAGTCATCACGCCTGCCTGACACAATGTCCCTCTCGAGCTTTGCCTGCAACAGACTCCTGCGATAGCGACCTCACGAACGTGCACCTTCTCTCGCCAGGTCAGCCGAGCTTTTCGAGCCTGCAGTGCAACACCTCGGGAAGTCGACGTCTGCGCCGTTCGATTGCCGCACCCAAGGCCGCCATCCTAGAATCGAGAATCGAATGAACTAACGCCGCTATTGCACCAACGCCGCTATTGTACCCAGGCTTCTTACCAACGTCGTGGCTGGTCCTTTGACGACAAATATTGTTCCAACAAACCCGTCGGGGGCGGGACGCCGCCTCCTCTGAACGACTCTGGACACGACTTGCCTATAATTACCATATAACGACTGACTGATAGTAAACATCCGCCATGTCTCCCAACGATATCGAAGTTATCGATTTGTCGCCAGAAGACTCGGGCTCTCAGGCCGGGGACGACAGTCCTGTCGCCGGAAGCAATACGAAAGCTGGCGAGGACGCCCACGGGAATGCAAATGTACCAAAGCCAAAGCGACTGGCTTGTATGATTTGTCGCAAAAGAAAGCTCAGATGCGACGGTGTGCGACCGAGCTGTAGTACCTGTACTAGACTTGGCCATCAGTGCGCCTATGATGAAGTACGCAGGAAAAGCGGTCCGAAGAGGGGCTATGTGAAGGCCCTGGAGGAACGATTGAGTGAGTACAGTGATCGAGTACCAACACGGCCCAGCTCTGGTCTTCACGTATGGCTAACGTGTCTTTGGGTTTCAGAGCAAGTAGAGCAGCTTTTGTCGACCAAGGGCCAGGAGACGCCACCGGCAAACGCCGGCTCAGACAGAACTAATCGGCCCCGGGTCGCTTTCGACCAGACTCCGGCACAAGCAAACACATCCGCAACAGCCTTCCCCAGCATCAACCCTCCAAACAGTCATTCCGACCAGGCAGGAGTTTCTGGAGACTGGCACTTCAGCCAAGATCCTGCCCAAAATGCCGCAGCGGACGACTTCAATTTCGCCGCCAGCATGGGCATGGATTTGAACGGCATGGGAAACAACTTCACGTGGGAGATGATCGGATTGGGTCTGGACGAGCCTCTACCACCGCAAGAGACCATCGACGAGCTGTGTGTTTGCCAAACTCCGACCCTGTATTCTGCCCTATGCTAATGCCTTCCCGTCTAGTCATCAAGTGTATTTCGAGAAGATACATCCCTCTATGCCAATGATACACAAATACCGGTATCTGGCAGCGATGAACTTGTAAGTGTTTCTCAACTCGTACTGAGCCCGCTCCATGCCGCTAATCCACGCCGCTTATCCGCGGAAAAGGAGTCCCAACCAGCGCCCCCCCGTGTGCCTACGTTACGCTATGTGGACCTTGGCCTCTTCTGTCATGGACAAGTACCAAGGTCACAAGGATCTCTTCTACCAGCGAGCTCGGAAGTACGTTGAGATGGACTTCATGAAAGGATACGGAGAGCACATGATCTCGGTCGCACACGCTCAGACACACATTTTACTCAGCTCCTACGAGTTCAAAATGATGTACTTCCCTCGAGCTTGGCAAAGCACTGGTCAAGCTATACGGTTGTGTCAAATGTAGGTGCGGATTGAAGAGGCAGGCAAGGACTTGTTTGCTAACAACTCTGTAGGACCGGTCTCCATCGCTTGGATGGTGCAGGCCTTGAGGTCAAGGAGTGTCTCGCGCCGCCTCGCGACTGGACAGAGAGAGAAGAGAGACGACGCACATTCTGGATGGCGTTCTGTAACGATCGCTATGCTAGCATTGGCACTGGATGGCCCATGAGCATTGACGAGCGAGACATTCGATCCAATCTGCCTTCTTCCGAGGAGGCTTTCGAAATGAGTCGGCCGGAGCAGACGCAGCCTCTTACAGATTGTATGAATCCGACAGGGGCGACTAAGCTTTCCCCCTTCGGAGGCATTGTCCTAATGGCCTGTCTGTTTGGCCGAAACCTCGTCCACCTTCATCGCCCGGATACCGACGAAAAAGATCACGATTTGAATGGAGAGTTTTGGAAGCGGCACCGAAATCTTGACAACATTTTGCTGAATACCTCATTGTGCTTGCCTTCAAATCTCAAACTCCCAGCTGGACTAGGCAACCCCAATATTGTGTTCACAAACATGAACATCCACACATCGACAATATGCCTGCACCAGGCGGCAATCTTCAAAGCGGATAAGAATAGGCTCCCAGCGGCTGTCAGTGCTGAAAGCAAAGTTCGGTGCATTACCGCGGCCAATGAGATTGCCAGTATAATGAGGATGGTGTCTCACATGGATTTGTCTGCAGTAAGTCAACGCCTTGCAATTTGATCCACGCCAAGTCTATGACAGCTGACCATGAGCAACATCTATCAGATGAATCCCTTCATATCCTTTTGTCTCTATGTGTCGGCTCGCGTCTTCGTCCAGTATCTCAAGAGTCGGCCCGAGGACAGTCAAACCGCTGATTCGCTGCGGTTCTTACTGGCAGCAATGAATGCCCTGAAGCGCAAGAACCCGTTGACAGAGTCATTTCTGGTTCAACTTGACGTTGATCTTGAGGCGTTAGGATTGAAGATCCCGAAGCTGAAGTCTGCTTTCCCACGAAGCGAAGAAAGCGTAAGTCGTACCTTTTCCAATCGCGCACACATCACCAGAGCGGAGTGTAGCCTGATATTCGCTCTGGTCATATGGCTAACATGAAACAGGCTGTGTACAAGGAAATGAGGCTCCGCACGAATCCCGAAAACGTCAAGGGGCGTGCTGAGGGCGGCACCTTCAAGCATACCAATGAGTGCCAATTTTTGAAAATCGCAGAAGACGGAGGAAACCCCGTCGAGACTCCTGACCTGGTTGAACCTGAACCAGGTCCCTCGCAATCCGTGCACACGCAAGTCTGGGGCCGGTTCACACGAGGCGAGCAGTCTTTTCCTCCAGGGGAGGAGAGTGCTGGGGGAAATGGAGGCAACCTCGGCATGCCACCTTCGGCCTTTGGTCCAGGCTCGGGAAATGTGTTACTAGAACAACCTGGAGGCGACAACAGCTCGATTTCCATGACGACGAATCCAGATGGGTCATCGAACCGACCGACTCCGAACTCTAGTGGTACCTCGGACGTTCGCCGAAATGCCAGTAGGGATGCCGGGAGCAGAGACTCGTATGACGCAAGTCCAAGCACCACAAACGAAAATAGCTTAGCGGAAATGGAGGCAGCTGCAACCAGATTCTTGCAGCAGGCAATGAGCAACGGGTTTCACGCGCCTGGCGAGGGTGGCGGAGTTTCGTCTGATCAGCCTTTTCACGCAATCGGGACTTCAACAACAGTCGACTACACCATTGCAAGCGATTGGGATCCGATGGGAGGTCAGACCGGCGTAACGCCAGTTGCTGAGGGCGTGCTTCGAAGTCTGATGAACAACGGCGGTCCTATCGACTCGATGGACTTCGGGTGGGACACTGGACCATGAGGTCACATGCGTCCAGAGCATTGAAGCAGAGCATCGACGCATGGCAGTCATTGGCTCCGAACTAGTTGCATTCGGACAATTTCCGCCAGAAGCAGATGTGGGAATTGAAGCCCGGCATTGACAGGGCAGACACCGTGGAGAGAAGAGAGGGGTCACTTGCCCTGATGCTGTCAGCAGCGTTGCGAACGAGATGCCATGAACATTGCCGTTTCGGCAGGCACGTATCTGACACGACTGCACCAGCCGAGGACCCCCTGCATACAACAGGCGAGCTTCCCTCGCGCTGGCATGTGCATTTGAGGCATATGAGATGCTCGTAGGGCTAAGCAGGTTTCGGGAAGGTCAGTCCGGGAGGACAAGGTGTGGCACCGGGCACAGCGTCATTCACATGGCACGCCCGAGGGGCGAGCTGACCCCGATCTTGATGGTCCTAGCCTGACCCGCCTGCCTGCCTGGATGCTTGCCTGCATGCACGAGCATGTGCAGGCACACGAGGCCCCTCCCCCAGCTTTCGTGGATGCGGGCGCAGGCGGGTCGCACGGTCCCCACCGTTACCTCGGCACCGAGGTCGGCCGGGGCTGTTGGCCAGGGTTGGGATGGTGGCGCCAGGGGTCGCTGGACCATTCAAGACGACGTTGTGTAAGACGCAACGCAACGCCTCGGAGGTCGAGGCGGCGCAGGGCCTAATCGTAGAGGGCATGGCTCTCCTCAAGTCGGCCTGTCGAAGCAATTCTCATGAGTAATTCCCCCTGCAGCTGGGCGGCCGCGAGCAAGCTTCCCCGGATTTCCACTCCACGCTGCTTTCCGAATGCCAGATCTGTCAGGAAGCTGGCTCCGCAAGAGGCACTCGCAATTTCGCCATTGTCCATTTGTCACAGGCTGCAGCCACTGGCGGGGATCCTGCCCAGGGTTGCAGAGGCCTGTACCCCGTTGCTACAAAGGAGCAGGAATCCCGAGAGCCTCACTCGGCCGGGAATGTGGTGGTGTCCAGGCGCCCCACGTGCCCAGTTTGTACAGCATTTCGCCTGGTCCCCCCCTCCCTGTCACCCAGTGCCTTTTCAAGTAATTCTTTTGGTCGCCTGTAGTTTAATATCTTAGGCACTCTGTGTGCACATTTAGAGAGCGCTCTTATAATCTCTACCCTCTACCCAGTCATCAAACCTTACTCTCTTTGGCGAACTGCAGCTTTGGCCCCGGATCAACCGAGCGATTACCTTCACAACAGAAAAGGTACTGCTGGTAACCAAGTCCTTTCCGAGCCAGATTCAACCAACCCAAGGAACGGCAACTTGCTGCAAACCACCTGGTTAAATTTTGTTGTGGATGGCTCTGCGCGCCTTTGGTGACCAACTACGGCTTGAGCGAAGAGATCGCCTTGGAGCGGGTACCTCTTCTACCATCCAGCTCGCAAACAAACATTGTAAGTTTTGTTTGACTTGCTCGTTACATTACGTTTGCCTCAAACTCGTTCTGTTCTTTTGAGAGACTGCGTTGCGCCATGAGGATCACAACGGCGCCGAACTGGACGGAACCCCTGATGCATGCAGCATGCCACCTTGAACAGACCAAGGGCTGGGCGAAGATGGACGACACCTTGTCACTCGAGAAGCTCAAAGTCTCTCGCATTCACCAGTGCAATACTGAGGAGATGACTGCCATGCACGACCGTCGTATCTTCGCGGAAGGCCAGCAGGCAAAAGAACTGCTGGATGTATCTCGCCCGACAGGCCGCGCCAAATCTCGAAGGAAGGGTTCTGCTGTAGCGTTTGAGGCCTAAATGACGAGTGTCTCGGGCAAAGCAGGCGATTGTAAACGTTGTTTCGGAGATCCTTGTCTGCTTCTTGCGGCTCTCGAGAGAACAGCGACTTCACTTTTGCCAGGACCGCAGATGAACAAAAGCCAGCGATTCGGGACTAACACGGTGCTCAGTCACAATCCACGAGGGGGCCTCCTGACTGCGCGCCCTACCGTCCAGCCTATGACTGCCACAGTCATCACACCATGCTATTCGATCCAGCGGAGTGGCCTTAGCGAAACAGACCCGTTCCGGACCACGGCCCCACCCCGGACAGCGCCGCACCTGGCCCGGCTCCCCTCGACGGCTCCGGCGCCGGGCATGGACCCGGCGGCAGCAGCTGCCCCGCCGTTCACGGCCGCCCCTGCTGAGCCCAGCCTGCAACACTACTCGCACCTGCGAGACACAGCTCCTGGGCACCACCTTCTTACTCAGCAGCGTCTGGCTAGACAGCAGCAGCAGCAGCAGCAGCAGCGCCGGCACTCTCAGCACCACCACCAACAGGGCCACAGACCAAATGTTTACGGGCTACCAGACTTTACCGAGCCTCTGCACGCCGTCCCTTCGTCTCCCGCTTTTGATCCTCACCTGCCCGACTTGCAGCGCCTCGACACCTCTGCGAGCTTGTCGCTGGGCCGCGATGGCGCATACTCACAAGTCAAGCCGTGCCGAGACTATGAGCGCGACCAAGCCTCGCAGTTAACTCAGATCCACATCAATGCCCATCAGCACCAGGTTCATGGCAACCTCTCCGGCTCTCCGCACCACCAGCATGTCGCTCACGCTCAGCATCATGTGGCACCCTCGCCATTGACGCCGTCGCCACACCCGGCTCCTCAAACCATGGCACCGTTCTTGCCTTCTGTTCTTGGTCCCCACACCATCAGCACTCCCACCATCCAGGCCACCCAGCTTCACCAGGACGATGACCTCTTCAAGTCACCCCTCCATCCAGGGAGTCTGATGGGGCACTCCAGCACAGACGCGATCGAAGCGAGACCACACGGCCAGCTTGTGAGCAGGATTGTACTTGACCCTCCGGATCTAGATGCCTGGCGTGAGAGGCTATTCAATGTGGACGATACAATCATCTTGACCAACGAGCAATTCGAGACCTACTTCCCCCATATAGACAACGTGTACTCCCACCGGTCAACCCAGCGGTACAAACGCAAGCCATTCATCTCACACTATTGGGACTGCCGCATGAAAGGTCGGCCGCCGGGAACTCCAAAATCCGACGACCCCGCCAAGAAGAAACGAAAGCGGAACGCGCGCGAGCGAGACTTGTGTGATGTCAAGATCAAGATCACCGAGTACTTCCCTGGTGCCACGATTCAGTCGGACCACGACGAGCAGCACACTTTTGTCGCAGATGGCCTTGCCGGTGGTCAACCAGGCATGGACGGCGAGAAGTTCTGGACGATACAGCGGGTGAATGGAAACGGCGGAAATGGCAAGGGCGACGGGGTTGCTGGTCCTCACAAGCATTCGCTCGACAAGAGCGACCAGATCAAAAAGTCGACAGTGCAGCGGTATCTGACGACCCAGGAAAAGGAAGCCAGGAAGGCGCAGAAGCCGTTTCAGCGAAGGCCCTCCGGGCAGGCCGTGCAGACGATCAAGAAACACAACAAGGAGCACGATCTGAAGCTCTACGCAGCCTGCTTCTGGTAAGACGTCGACGCTCCCTCGAAGTGACTCGGGCAAGGCTGATGGGGCGTTATTAGTCCCTTTTCACAAAGAGTGTGGATAGCATTGGAAGCCAAGGGCATGGCCTATCAGTATTGCGAGACGGATCCGTACAGGAAGCCCACGCAATTGCTCGAGGCCAACCCTCGGGGTCTGGTGCCTGCGATCCGTGAAGGAGACTGGGCCAGCGGCGAGAGCTCTGTGATTCTGGAATATGTGAGTAGTGTCTTGCTTGAACCACGTGGGTGCGAGAAGCTGACCAACAAATGGACAGCTTGAAGACAGGCACAGCGGAGTGCCCCTCCTCCCGACGGATGCCAGGCTGAAAGCCAACTGCCGGCTCTGGATCGATCATGTTTGTGGCGAGACGGCTAGCCTCTAACAGGCCTAGAATATAGTACTGACTCAACAGTCCAGATCAATGTCAAGATTGTGCCCGGCTTCTACGCTCTGGCTCGAGCGTACGACTCCACGAAGCAGTTTGAACGCACCGAGCGGCTCCAGGCAGAGATCACTGCGCTTGTTCAAGCTGCGGACGAGAGGGTGCGTAGCTTTGCCTCATAGAATTGCTCGATATGAAGTGCCATGTCACTGACTGCATGGCTTTCACAGGGGCCCTACTTTCTGGGGACTGACATGTGCCTTGTCGACATACACTTCGCGCCGTTTGCAATCCGCCTGTCGCGGCTATTCCGCGACCGGACGATGTGGCTTGATCCCATGCCAGGCACAAGGTGGCACCAGTGGGCTAATGCTCTCGAGCACAACCCACACGTCCAAGCCACTTTAAGCAACAACGAGCTCTACACGGAGACATTTGACCTGTACACGATGCCCGGTCCTCAGCACTCTGACCAGCTTCTCGATTTATGACACAGATAACGAGCCACGGACTCATTCGACAACAAAACCATTTCACGATCTTTACGACGACGCTCTCATATTTGTCCGACACCCATTTTGCAAACAGGGTTCTGCGCGCAGAGGGCGGCTTCCCAGTTCAACACCAACTGAGCTCTGATGGGGCAAGTCGACCGGAGCGGCTGAGCCCAGGGAGGCATGACACGCATGTTGGATGCAGGGGAGGACGACCAGGGTTGATCAGAGATCGCCTGAACTTTAACAACTTGTTAGAACCAAGCAAGGTGTTTTCCTGGACTTTCACAAGCCTCCGACGAGGGTAGTCACATGTCGTCCGCCCTAGGGAAATTCGACCCCTGAGGGCTGCTAATCGTGTGGGGAAGATCGAGGGGAGGATCAAAGTTGGCACAAGAGAGGCCCTTGCATCATCGCCAACACCACCACCGCCAATACCAACTTTGCCAATTGCATGTACGAACTATAGCGGGTATGCTGTGGGCCGGAAGCGTAAATCATAGTCACGCGTTTGCCGCTGCTGCGGGGTCGTCCCGAGGATTGCGACGGCACATGGGAAAAAGTCTACGACGAGGGCCTTCCTCGACTCTTGGTTTGTGATTTGGTCCCTTGTGAGTGTGATGACCACGACGTGCGTGCGTGTGTGCAGGAGGCCCTGCCTCGATCCGGAAAGCACCTCGTCGGCCGAGACGACAGGACAGGGGGGGGGGCGTTGGGGTCTGTAGTGTAAGTTGCTGTGCCTGTCCTATGCAGGTTGAGAGCATGCATCTCTCACCCATCATCTGTAAACCATCTTTTCATGCGCAGCATCCCGGGAATACTATACCCTCCTTCTTCTTGTGCCTAGTCTACGACCAGGCATGAAGGGCAATGGCAGGTCGGCGGCATGTTCAGTAGCCTATGTCCCCGTAGAATACGACTGTCAGCATTACCCAACCCCCCAACTTGACGAGCCTCCTTGAAGGCTAGACTCGGTGGGACATGTATGTGCATACGTGTATAGGTGGCGACGCGGCACTGCACTGCACGGCACTGCATGAAATGAAATGACGTGCAGCATCGCGTACATGGAGAGAGGGCGGAGAGAAAAGGGGAACCGGGACGAGAGGCCAGCAGTAGTAGTATCAGCCGCGGGGGAGGAGGAGGAGGAGGAGGAGGAGGAAGATCTGACTGACACAATGGCCCTCCCGAAAAGGTTGAGCACAACGGTATGACTTTGAAAGCCAAACCACACGCGCAACCTGTAACCTGTACACCTTGCTATCGTTTCTTCTTCACATTCTTATTTATTCTTCTCCTTCTTCTTCTTTTTCCAGTGTTTCCCTCTGTCGCGGTAGCCGCAGCAGCCGCGGGCACGAGCGCTTGCGGCGGCAGACCGTCAGGACTGTTGGGCTGCTGCTTGACAGGTTGCTGGCTGTATAGCCCACAGTACGGATATAACGATCCAGACAATAGGGATAGAGAGAGAGAGAGAGAGAGAAGAGCCAGAAAGAACAATGGACTCACAAAAGAGAGATTTACAAACTCTGTATGGAGAGAAGGGCGTGAAACTGGCCGGGGGGATGTGCAGGAACAATAACTAATATGGCAAAGGCGCAGAACGCAAAAAGTGCGATGTAAACAACATGCAATGTTGGCAGTGCGATTCACACCAGCACTTCATGTCTTCTTTCGTTCGTAGCGTACCACTTCTTAGGCGTCATTGGCCTTTTTGGTTGTACTTCTCCCAAAGGTTGGAGCGAGTCCATTTCATTCATTCTTTAATCTACTTCTTGTGGCCGCTCTGACAACTAACTGCCCAACGCTTTCCCCAACCTGTAGATTCCCTGGGCTGTGTGTGTACGCTCTTTCATCCTGCGTCCGAGTAGTCTATCAATCGCATCTCGGCGTGCTACAGGCTGCGCTCAACGACGCAATAAATTCCAAACTCGAAGTATCCAGGTATCTCTGCACTGCGTTTCAAATGGACGATATCGTCGACGCACTGCTCAAATTCGTCCCGCTCGTGCCCATTGCTTCCTGAGCTCCAAAGCTGCCTAGCCCCGGCGATGTTTGCCGTGAAGCGGAAGCCGATGTCGTCGTTGATGACGGAATGACCGTCGTCATCGTCGCACGCAGCGCCAGGATGCGGACGGCCTCGGCGCGCTTCTGCTCGAATAGCCGTCCCCGTTCCTGCTCCCGTGCCATGTGGCGCATCCTCATGTCCTGGTCGGCGTGCGCGTCAGCTTTGATCCTGTCGTAGTTGAGCGTCTCGAGGGCCTTCGGCCACAGCCGGTCCAGCTTGCGCGCCGTCGCCTCAGGAACGCAGGTTGGCGGCTCATCAGCCGGCCGGGGAGCCGAAGAACCGCCCCAGTGGCAGTCGAATCTGAGCTTGGCTTGTCGGGTGACATCGTCTGAGCCCCAAAACACAATAATGTCGCCATGATGCAGCTTCATCCAGTAGCGGCTCGGGGCGAGCGGCTCCTTCGGCTCGTTGGGCTGCAGCGGATTGTTGTTGATGCGCAAACCGTTCGTGGCTTTGGTCGAGATGTAAAACGCAAACGTGTCTGGTTCTGGGGACGCACGCATCGTCCTGCTTGACGTGGAGCGGGCAGCATCCCACGGCCGAAAGTCACTTGTGCTTCCTGTATAGCCTTCGCGCCACAGCAGAATCCGGAAGGCGTTCTTTGGGATCTTGGACTCGGTCGCAGGTTGATAGACCGTAGTGTTACTTCGTTCTCGACCCCAGGAGATGACTGGATCTTGCAAATTGAACGAAATGTTGGGGACGAGCGAACCTTGGGCGGAACGAAACGTCGCTACTGTAGTCCTCGGCGTGCGTAGCGTCTGCACGACCGCAGGTATTGGATGGTCGATGGACAGAGTATCCGGTATGGAAACCTCATCGTCACTGCGGGAAGGTACAGGTGCAGTGGGCGGGATGTCCCAGTCTTCGTCAACAGTCCGGCTGTCCCTCTTCAACAAAGCAGGACGTGTTGCATCGGGAACTACCAGCTTGTCGGTCTCAGCATGATGCGTTGTCGGCGGGAAATGCCGCATGGCCAGCTCCCAGAGAGGCGATCGACCAGGCCCGAACTCTTCCTTCCTTCGCTCTGCAGCGAGCTCAAACGCGTTGTATTGCAAATGTGTCATCTCTGGGTAGTTAAGATGCCAGGTATCCTTATTCGAGCTGTCCCAGAATGTTGTCTTGTGGAGCGGATAGTCAATCTGCCTGCCAGATTCGTTCTTCGCAATCGGTGGGACGCTCGCGAAGAGAGCAAGCTCGTCATCGTCACTCACCCGCGACTCGGTGTCGCCTTGTGACTTGAGCCTCTTCATAGAAGGCTTGACGTATGACCCGGACGACTCAAATTCATCACTTGTATCATATGCGGGCTTCCTTTTGCTCGTAGTGAACTCGCTGATGCCCGAAACATTGGCGCGTGACGCCATGTTGAGGTCGCCAAATATTGATGAAGCCCCGCCAAGGCTTTGAGAGGGCATCCCTAGAAGCACACTTCTGGTGTTTCCATTTGCAGACGTCTCGACAATGGCAGAGACGCTCCGCGACAGCGGGCCCTTTTGCCGTGGCGTCGACAGACCTCCCGAGTCCTCAAAGCTGTCGAGGATTTCCGACTCTTGGGCGTCCGTCCCATCGTCAAAGCTTGACTTTGACACCGGCAAGTTCAGACGATCCTCTGATATTGCGCCTGAGCTCCCAAGCGCAGAATTGTTTACTTCTCCAAACAAACGGTTGCCGCCTCCTTGATTCTGTGTGTAGTTCTCTTTCTCCGACTCGTATTCCATGGAGAAGTCGGGTTCGGGCTCTTGGAGCGAGTCGGCACCGTCCAACGAATCGTAACGCGCAGGGCGGTCGTCCAAGCTCAGCTGTGAGGCACCGTGTCCCAATAGATGATCTTCGTCCTCGTCGGATATCTCGTCAAAAGACTCAGTGCCGCTGGTCAGCCAGGCGTGGTTGCGCAGCTCGCTGATAGTTGCTCGAGTCTCTGGCCGCACGTGGATCATTCGTGAAAGAAAGTGGATACCGGTCTTGGATATTGACGCCTTCTCCAACGGTATGGTGTTGAGAGGGTGCTTGACGATGTGGTCGAGCAATTCTGTGTAAGTAATGCCGTTTTTCACGGGAAATGGCGGGCTTCCTGTGAGTGCATAGAACAGGACTCCTCCAAGAGACCACACGTCTACAGCGTGATCATATCTCTCACGTTCCGCCCGCGGTATTTTGCGGTGTGTTCGCCGGCCATGGTCGTCATAAGAGGCGAATTCGTTGTAGACCTCCGGAGCACAGTACAACAATGTCCCGCAAAACGTCTTGAGAAATGTCTGCTCCGTGTCAATCATCTTTGACAATCCAAAGTCGGTAAGCTTCACCTCCAGTGGGCTAATCGAATGCACAAGGATGTTGTCTGGCTTGACATCGCGATGCGTAATCTTGTTGTCGTGCAGGTAACCGAGAGCGTCTGTTAGCTGGTCGGCGAGGATCTTGCCGGCATTCTCGACGACAGACCCGTTGTCCAGGATGAGCTTGCCCAAATCTCCGCCTGCCACATACTCCATTATGATGATCATCTGGTGCGCCTCCCAGTCAAAGTGCTCAATGTACTGGACAATGTGTGGCTATGAGATTGTAAGCAAGATCCGTTTCCAGTCTCACAGGGGTATACTGTACTCACGTGCTGCACCGCTTGCATGATTTTCATCTCGTTTTCCACCTTTTGATCAAGAACGCCATTCTTCATGAATTTCCGCTTGTCAAGCTCTTTTGCAGCATACGGGGATCCGTCGTATTTCGATGTGACCTTGTAGACTGTGGCAAAGGCGCCTTTGCCAACAACTCCCACACGCGCATATTTCTCGCCTCCCCTCCATTCTCGAGGGATATGCGGCATTGTTTCTGCCGGTGTATGCTCAATCTCTTTTGTCTTGGCTCTATTGAATGGTGGGGGGAACAGATTGACCTGCGAGGACGAGAGAGATGTGAGTCACAGAGCCAGGGATTGTAGGCAGCAACGCGTGTGGGTAGCATCAGGGACAAAGCTTACATGACCGCTTGGCCCAGGACCAATAGTCCGATTGGGATCTTCCTCACTGATTCCCTTGACCCGTCGCAGGTACGCATTCAGGTTCCGCAGGTATGCTGCCTCAGTGTCGCCGTCGCGGCGTGGTATTCTCACAAGAAACATCAGGTCACTATCTGTATTCACCATGATGATTTTGATCTGCGAGCCGCTCTCGAGGATCCGCTTGTACGCTGAAGACTGGCGCTTCGGGTCTGGCTTGCGCAGGAGCTTGTTGTCGACGACGGTGCCATTGGTGGACTGATCCTCGAGCATCACGCTCCCGTGCTGGTTGACGTAGATGCGGAAGTGGACGTTGCTAACGCGCTTGCCCGGATCATTCGCGAAGCAGATGTCGCAGCGGCCGGGATTCCGACCAAAGGCGAAGCCCATGCGAGGATCCTTGACGGCAGCTGAGAGCCGGAGCACGATGGCATGGTCGCCCAGCCCGCGGGTCCTACCGAAATCCTGCGCATCATCCTCGAGGTAGAGGTCGGAGTCGATCGCGTCGGCAGTGTAGCGTCCTACGGTGTGGCGGCTGTATTCGGAGGAATTGGCGAAGCGCAGGACTTCGCGGCTGGCGTTCTCGCTATTCGGATAAAGCAGGCATACTATGTCGGAGATGTCCTCGTCGGTGAAGCCAGAGTTCTGCTTGCCAAATCGTCGCGGGTCCAGGGCATTTTGGGTAGCTGCACGGGTCAGAATTAGCAGGTGTCGGTCAAGGAAACGCGCACACGGGCGAAGGCAATGACCAACCTTGTTGTGTAGCTTGGGAATCGTCAGTTGAGTCCATTGGGACAGCAAAGCGATGCGATGCCGGGCACGGCCAGCGCGGCCAAGCTACGCGGTGAGATGGCGCAGGGCGAAAAGGTTTGGGTGGATGTACCGACTGCAAGAAGCAGGTTCAGGCAGCCGGCAGGCAGCAGAGGAGGCGGACAGGGTATGGCGAGATCGTGAAGACGGAGTCGCTCACTGAAGAGGTAATAACGGCATGCTATGGTGTCTGTTGAAGCCAAGGTTATAGTGGTGTCGGCTGTGCGAGTCGTGGGACGGGCTGAACAGAGGGTGGGAAAGTCGCGGATAGCTTGCCGGTGGGGTGTTTTTGGTGGTTGCGCCGGCGACGAGCGGGATGGCAGGCCAGTGGGAGCGGAAACGGGTAGACTTAAGGTTACGGGAGAAACGTCGCACCAGGGTCCTCGTCCAGAAGGGCTCGGCGGGTTAATAGCAGCACTAAAGGAGAGGCAACGCCGGGTGGGCCAGGCGAGGCAGACACGGTCAGGTGTGCACAGTCGAGGCTCCCGGGACTGGGTGTCGTGATGCAAGAGTGACTGCCAGCAGGGAAGCGGGATCTGGGACGACGGGAAAAAGCAACAATCACAAGACTTTGACGTCGTCGCTGCAGAGCTTCGAGAAGCACGCTCTTTCCGCCTCGACTGCCCAGGTGGCTACGGCAGGGGCCTCCTATCCAGCGGGCCAGGCCCCCAAGGCAGTCCATTGGCTCACCCTTGCTCTCCACGCCAGGCGCCCGACGCCCCGCCCGCGGCGCGCGCCCCAGCCCTGCGCGCTGCTGGCCACACGATCACGGGCTGGGCCACCTGACTGACGTCGGCTGATTGGTCTTGATTGTTCAGCACCTCAGCACACTCATAAGGAACTCGCCCGTCAGCAAGTCAATGTGGCAACGGACGAGCAAGAAGGCACAAATGTGGGGTTTCCCATTTCCATGGACGAAACGAGATCCTGTCATTGAATGCTTCCAAAAAAATTATGAGATTATATCCTTCTTCCCCAGCGGCTCCTTAACCAAACGCCTGGACTGTGCCATGTCCCATTTTTTCAAAGCACATAATCTACAATCTACACAAGCTTATCTGTGCGTGTTAAGAGCCGTTCATTCCTAAAAGAACGACTTCTTTTTCTTTGGCTGCTCAATGTCCTTGAGAATGTCGTCAAATGTGCTGCCACCCATGGATCCCTGCCGCGAGCCACTACCGACAGAGTCCGCTGGGCTGAAGATCGGCGGTGTTCCGCTGTGAAGAGCTGGCAAGTTGCCGGAGGAGCGGTTGCGTATCGCCAGCCCGCCGGCAGGTGACCATTGACCAGACGAAGGAGGTCTCGCCATGGTGGGATTTGGTGCCGAGTCGCCACTTGGCGGAGGCATGACTGGCTCGAGTCCAAGAGCCACGCTCTTCCTGTAGGCCTGGTTCCTGTCGTGCGGTGAACCGGACCTCGCTCGCAATGCTCCGCCAGGGGGCGGGCCTGGAGGTGTCTCGCTCCGACCGCCAGCTCCAGGGTCCATATCGGTAAACACAGCCTGCGGAGCCGTGAGAGGTGACAGGGGTTCTTCAGTAGGTGGCGCAAGCGCATTCGGCCCTCGCAGCTCCCACTCCTTAGCAGCAAGCCAGCAGTGACTGCGGTGATAGATGCCTTCAATGCCGAACTCGACAGCGTCAGATGATAGCTCTACCAGTCCGCCACCGCCTGCCACCTCGTACCAACGTTTGCGGACCATAGGTGCATCCTCGATCCAGGGAGGGTGACCTCGTGGGGGCTCGCAGAGGAAGTACTCAACGCCCTCGGTGAATTGCAGGCCGGGGGCGTCAATTACCAGCATGGGCAGAGACTGGATGACGACATACAGAAACAGCCAGTATCCAATGCGCTGCTCCGCCATTTCTGCCACAGTCTTGCCCTTGGTCTCTTTGTCCTCGAGCTCCTTGAACTCTTCCAACAACGGAATGCGCAGCTTGAACGTCTCGAAGTCATACGACTTGCTCAGAATCAGGACGCGCTGGTATTCCTGCAGGTTCTTCTCCAAGCGCTGTTGCTCTTTGGGAGGTAGTGTTGCAAAATTCGCCTGGATGGTGCTCATATCCGGGAGCAGAGGAACATCAAAGGGAATCGGCGGAAGGACAGGAGGCGAAGACTGGTCGAACTCGGTGAGAATCCTTCTCAGGGCAGATATATGAGGGTTGCCGATGTCGTCATCAGTGTCCTCAGCCGTTTGGTCAATGGCGCGGGTCGTGACGTTCTGGCGGTCAACCATAAGATCATACAACGCGCAGCAATCGGAGTACAAAATCTTGAGGACTTGTCTGTTGAGACCACTCTCGCTGAATGTGTTCTTCTTGCTGCGAGCCTTGGGAGGCCAATTACCGAATTTCGTCTTGTAGTGCCCGAGAACTAGCTGCCTCATGCGATTGAACGACTTGCGCCAGGTGGCATACTTGACATCGCGGTATTCGGTATGAGCTGTGGAGTTTGCAATGCCCGAAAACAGTGCTGGGAACTCGAAAGACTCCAGCCGGTTATTGACATTGTTCTGCCGGCTGACGAGGTCAATATGGGCGCGTTCGAGTCGTTGTTTAGTGTCGGGTAGCAGCAGGTCCCACAATGGCGACTTTAAGTCGCGAAGGGCCGTGTATTTGCCGGCCGCGTGAGCAAATCCCTCCTTGTAGAGATTCATGGAACGCATGCGCTCGCCCAAGATGAGAGCCTCCAGGGTCTTCTCACGACTATGTCTGACATCAGCCAGAGCATACTGATCCATCAGGTAACTGAAACTCATGTCGACAGCATCACCAAAGCTGGTTCCATCGGCACTGGTGAACTCGTATTCCTTTAGAAGATCCGAAATCTCCAGCAGCACTTTGAACAAGGTCGGTTTCGCTGATGTTGCAACCAAAGGCTGACCCGTGAGGAAGGCGAAGAGATTTCGTATCGAGACAAGTCTTTCGAACTCGCCTGGTCCTCCGGCATGTGTTGGAGGCATAAGAAGATAGAGATCTTGCTCGGATCCATTTTGGGGTACTGGAATCGGTGGCGGGCCCATGTTTCTTTCGGCATCTGCGGCTGTGAGGCTATTTTGCCCACTGAAGCTCTGAATTCCGCTTCGACCCTGGTGTGCGGGGCTGCTGGCCTCAGCAGCAATGAGATTGTTGAAAGCTACCGATGTGCTGATCGCAAATGTTGGTACCTTGAAGGACGGGCCCGAGCCCATCCCGCGTGGGTGCAAGTGTATGCAAACATCGCCTTGCTCATTCCAGAGCTCTGGCACTCTTTCGCCAGCAACGAGGAAGTCGGTATTGTAGTCGACATTCTGGCCCAGAACCCATGCCTTATTACCCTTCCCGTTCTTGAGGTCTTTGGACTGCGATCTTGATCGTGAGCCCGGCAGCCAGCTTCTCCGCAACCGGCCACGCTTCTCACCGTCCTTGGCACCAGCATCCGAGTTGTCGTGGCTCGACGGAGGGCGGGAGGTAGGGATTGCGGGCGGTCCAGAGATGATGCGGATCTCGTTCCCATGTTGCTGACGCTGGCTGGGAGGTTGCGCAGAAGAGCTCCTGCCACGGGCTTCGGGTGGCACGATGCTTTGCACGGCCAGGCTGTTTTGTGGCGCGGGAGAAGCAGCAGCATAGCCCGCAGAGTTGCTTCGATGTCGTTGTGTCTTGGACAGCCGCTTGGTGTTGACTTCGTTCAGCTCGGGCTCGTGTAACGGCGGGATCAAGGACCTGACCGGCTGTATCACGGGCTGTGCAGGAGGGGCAGCGACAGGTTTGCGAAGCTTGCCGTTTGCGCCGGATGGCTGTCTGGAATGGGTTTGGGGGGCGTCATTGAAGTATGAGGTGGTACCGCCGATGCCGCCAATGGGCGGCAGGACTGGCGGCGAGCTTGTGACTGCGCTGTAGACATAGCTGTTGCTGTCTGCTTCGTGATGGGTTCGTGGGGGCAAGTCGGGAGCGGCAGCCTGGTGAGGAGGATAGACCTGCTGCTGCTGCTGCTGCTGCTGCTGCTGCTGCTGCTGCTGCTGCTGCTGGTTGTCGTGGTTTTCTAATGGTGGTGGGGAGCTGGTCAGCGAATAGTCGGAAAGGAAGGACGACAGGCGGTTGAATGTCGACCGCCGCTTGGGCGCAGCTTGTGCTTGAGACATGGCGGGAACTCCTTCCGCAGTGGACGCCGGAGTGTTTAGAGTGGTCGTGTAAGTGGGCAGCAGATGTCTCAGGCCCTGCTTGAGGTGTGCAGAGGCGGACCTTGAAGAGGGACTAAGGTGTCTGAATCACACAAAAGGGGAGGAAACGCATGGAGAATAATGAAGCAGGTTGACATACTCGAAGGCATCTCTGCACACGGCCGAGCACGGCCCTACCAACGCGGGTTTCGTCCACGGGGAGGTTCCCTGACGCAACTCGGGGCGCAGGATGAGGCGGTGGATCTTTCTGTTTGGCTAGCGAGCCTGCGTGCGCGGCGGTCCACCGGGACAAGGGGGACAATGGGGAAAACGTTGCACTGGTCTAGCCTCGTCGGCACTTGGCGAAGAGTCCAAGGACAAACAATTGCCCACGTCAATGCGCCGCGTAATGGGTTGACAATCGTGGGGTTCGAGCTCGAAGGGTTCCGTGGGCGGGCAGGCAAGCAGTAAAGAGACGCGTGACGGGACTGGAGGAGGTGTGACTGACGGCAGAAGACGACGTAACGTGTAGACCAAGGGGCATGTGGCCTGGTCTTGTTCTTAAGGCATTAACGACTGAGAAGCGGCCCTTAGTGTAGCCCAGCCCAGCCCAGCCCAGCCAGCCAGCGAGAATAGAACACGGCCGACGTGTGACTCCGCATCTGCATCCTCGCCTCGCAGATCTGTCGTGTTCCCCTCACGGGTTCCTGCTCAGCTCGTACAGGCAGCCTGGTCCTTGTGGCGTCTCCACCCCTGCCGGCCTTCTTGGACAATGCACAGTGGCCAGCACAAACACAACCACCTGGAAACACAGACACCCAATGTACTTCCTACCTACCTTAGGTATGCTGAGAGTCACACGGCTGAAGCATGGCGGGCAGCACTTATGGGTACTTCTTAGCCAGGCACCGGCAAAGAGGTTCAAGGTGACGAGGCGGGCTCGGCGGGTACCTAGGTAGCCGTTGGGGCCGTCGCGCTGGAGCAGTCGTGGCCATGACGCAATGCCCTGGTGGCATGCACGCTGGTGTTCGCTGGCGGGGACCCAAACCTGCCGTCTCCAAAAAAAGGCCCCCCTGCAGCAAAGACTGTCCAGTGAATCGCCCCTGTCGTAGGCGGCCTGGCTTCGTGGTTGCACAAACTCGGCACACACAAAGCATTGCCGGGACACGCGCTCACCAAGTGGGCCAAGGCGCCAGCCAGTTGGTGGAGGCCAGCATCCATCTATGGATCGCCTCCTGCTGCGCCTCGCTGCACGCCAGCTCGCTGCGCTTGTGGACACGAGTACATATTCGTAGGTGGAACACATCCGCACAGACAGACAGGTACCTAGATCGAAAAGGATCCAGGCATCCGGAACTAGGTACTGCCAAAATCAATCAGACGACACATGGTGAGTGGTAGCACAGTAGACGCTGTCTCGTCGTCTCCTGTCTTCTCAACACACATCGCATACCAGCACCGCAATGCCATGACTCTGGAACCGCCATAGCGTATGTAATGAATGTGACTTGTATTGCAATACTTCAAAGTCCTCAATCGTCGAAGCCCAAACCAGGTGCCTGGACTACGGCCGCGCCTGGCCCGATGCATCGCCTTAGCACGATAAGATAAGCTAGTCCGCCCAAAAATGTTTTGTCGGCGGCGGCCGCCGAAGCGCGGAAGGGGTCCAGCCCGCCGCGGCCGGCTGGTACCTAATAGAGCTGGAGTCAACTTTTCTGGCTGGCCGGCCCCTCCGTCGCCTCGCTTTGGGACCCCTCCCGCCCGTCCTTCACATCGGCCTCTGGCACTTCTTGCCATGTCACATCTCGTTCGTGCGATACGCGGTGCCATGGCTTCCGAGCTCAAGAAGGTCCCCATCCCCCGCAAGGGCGTCGACTACCGTGGCAAGGTTGTCCTTGCCCCGATGGTCCGCTCGGGCGAGCTGCCCTCCCGACTTCTAGCTCTGCACTATGGCGCCGACCTCGTCTGGGGTGAGTCATGTTGCTTGACACCGCTCGATGCGTTCGAGGCTTCTTCAAGATTGCGTCAACTGCTAACAGGGCCCATCATTGTGCCTGCGCAGGCCCGGAAACCGTCGACAGATCCATGATCGGAACCACAAGGCGGTACAACGAAGTCACAAAGACAATCGAGTGGACAAGGAAACCGTCGCAAGGCTCCAAGGCACCCCCGGACGACGTCAAGGACAGCATCATCTACCGCGTGCACCCGGAGCTCGAGGGCAGCAAGCACATCTTCCAGATCGGCACCTCCAACCCAGAACTCGCCGTGCAAGCTGCACGCGTCGTTGCGGGAGACGTCAAGGGCATCGACGTCAATGCGGGCTGCCCAAAGCCTTTCAGCACGCACGACGGCATGGGCGCGGCCCTGCTGCGCACCCCGGACAAGCTCTGCGCCATCCTCGAGGCGCTCGTCAAGAACATCACCCCCGAGTACGAGATCGGCATCAGCGTCAAGATCCGCATCCTCGAGACGGCGGCAGAGACGGAGGCGCTTGTGCGCCGCCTCGTGGCGACGGGCATCACCGCGCTCACCGTGCACTGCCGGACGACGCCCATGCGGCCCCGCGAGCGCGCCATCCGCGGCCAGCTGCGCATGATACGCGACATCTGCCATGAGGCCGGCGTGGCGTGCCTGATGAACGGCGACGTCGAGTCGCGCGACCACGCGGCTGGCCTTGTCGAGGAGTACGGAGTTGACGGCGCCATGATTGCCACCTGCGCCGAGAAGAACTCGAGCTGCTTTCGCGCTGGGGCTGACGGGGGTGTCGCTCCCTGGGAGCAGGTTGTCGAGAAGTACGTCGAGTTGGCCATGGACGTGCACAACAAGTTTGGCAACACAAAATACCTCCTGTGCCAGCTCGTCCCCGGCAAGTCACCCATGTACAAGCTGCTGCAGCCTTGCAAGTCCTACCTGGCCGTGTGCGAGACGCTCGGCGCCACACATCTTCTGGAGCGTGCCAGAGCCGTCGACGTCGCAATCGGCATCGACCCGGAGAGCAAGGCGCAGCTCGCGGCGGACAAGTCTGCGGCAAAAGCAGGCCAGAAGGCCGCGCGGAAGAGGCAGGAGCAGGAGCAGCAGCGTCAAACGCAGCAGCAGCAGAATCAGCAGCAGTGGAAGAACAATCCCAGCGCGCTGGCCGCTGGCGGCAACCCCGCCCAGGACCGCGCGAACAACAAGAAGCCCCTTTCCGAGCGTGGCGTCCAACAAAGGAAGAGGTCGCAGTCACCAAACAACATGCCGCAACAGCAGGAGGTGACAAATGGCATCCACCCCGCGGCGGCGCCGGCGTTGTCCAGGGAGCAGTTCTTGGACAATCTGATCTCGTAGACGAAAGACGCATCTGGTTGCGGAAGACAGGGACGACATCATCCCTGGGTGGCGTGAATATTGGGGGACATGCATCGACCGGGCACGAGAACGGCGGAGAGGGTTTAGAACGCATTCTTGGAGTTTTATAGATACCAAGGGCTCGGTATCGTCATTTTTGGAGCATTTCCAAGGAACAAGCAGGGGCGGAGAAGGCGCCTGAAATTTTCGGGTCTAGATTATTGGTGAGCGTTTGAGATCTATCATCTGGCTGCCATGCGTTCAAGAGAGGCGCCTATGCGAGTGTCGATTACTCTGCTCTATGTACCAGATATCACAATACAGTACAAAAACACTTATAAGAGGACACCTGGAACATCCAACAGCGCAAAAGGGACAGCCAAGTAGGCAGAGAAGGTCATGCATTACATTCAAACGGCGCAGACGGCCGGAAGATCACTTCCCTTGGGCCGTAAATTACGTTGTGAGCCATTTGTCTATCAACTTACTTTTCACTCGCCATGCCACTGCTTCCGCATTCGCCCTGGCGCACCCCCCGGTACGAACACTCTTGGCTACACCTTTTTCCCTTGCCTCAGCAGATCCGACACCTTTGGCGGGAGCACGAGCGCACTCCGGTCGTTGCGGCGGTGGAAGTCGGCGAGCGCCACGGCCGTCTTTTCCGGGAGGTCCTCGTGGATAAAGTGGCCTGCCTCGGGGAAGACCTGGAGGGCGTATTTGCCTGGGTAACCGCAGCAATGTCTTTCGTTAGCCTCAGGGAACGATCAAGGAAGGAAGGGGTAATAAAGATTAACAATGCTCGCTCCAGTTCCTGGTCAATGTTCAAGGGGGGGGGGATGATGACAAGCACTGCAGAAGTCCCGTCTAGTATAGAGAGGAGAAGATGACAAGACTAAGGAGATGCTCAAGGTGCGCCTGCCGAGAGGCGGTCAAACGAGTCACACACAGAGTATACACACCTTGCATCTGCCCGATAGTGAGCTCCGTGTCCAGCCTGTCCGTGCCAGCGAGCAGCAGGAGCTTGCCGCCCCGCGCGGACAAGAACTTCTTGCTCAGCCCGACGAACCAGTTCTCCCAGAAGGGCTGCGTGGCAGCCAGGTCTGTTACCCACTTCCACGGTCTCGCATCGTCGATGTCGCTCGGTTGCACCTGCGCATTGCTGTGGCTGGCCGCAGCGCTGCTCGGCGGAGTGGCCTCTCCGTCCTCCTCGTCGATTGCTCCAGATACTCCTGGCTGCTGCTGCTGCTGCTGTGGGTTTGCGGCTGGCCCACCTGTTGTTCTTGTCGACCGCGACCGGTCCGTCAGAAGACCCGGCACGCTGGCCCGCGCGGATGCCGAGTTGCGCACCGTCCTAGACCGGACGTGCCACTCGATGCCGGACTCCAAGGACGTGAACCCCGTCGGCCGCGTGGAGAGGTACGTCTGCATCGACTGCAGGGCGTCCATGGCGGAGCCCTCGACCACGTCGAGCACGGCATATCCGAGCAGCGAGTTGCCCAGCTTGCCTGTGCTGGCGAGCTCGGTGACCACGGCGCCGCCGAGCGAGTGGCCCACGAGGATGATCGGCGGCAGCTCCGCCCACTTCATCTCGGCTTTGGTCTGGGCGATGGCTGAAAGCAGATCTGCAGCAAGCGTCGAGAGGCTCAGGTCCATGGCCGGTAGTACCGCTGGTGGTGATTGTGCCGGGCCATCACCCGTCTTTTGGGACGAGGACGAGGACGCTGCCGTGATTGTCGTGAGTCCATGGCCGCGAGCATCTATGGAGAGTATGCCTGCCGAGGGGATCCGTTTCCTGATCTCAGACCCGACGACCGAGAATGAGAGGCCAGACGAGCCTGCTCCGTGGTGCATCACGAACAACGGTCCTTTGTCCACCGGGGAGTTGAGGTAGACATGTTGTACCAGCCTGTCATTAGTGGAGTCGCCTCTGTCTGATCTTTTCAGAAAGAGCTCTCGCTCAAAGTATGTCGTCCAAGGAACGGGCTTGTATGCATTTCCTCGCGGGATTCTGCACACGAGTTGTTAGCCGCTGCGGGGAGCCATCCTCTCCTTTGGATCAACAACTCACCCCTGCGGTCGCGCAAACAGGTTCTGACTCGGCGAGGGAATGATTGTGCCAGTTGATGAAGCCGACGAGGCAGAAGAAGAGTCGTCGTCAAAGGCATGTTCTGGCAGGTCGGCAACGTGGTTGTTGCTCTCCTCGGCGACCTCCTCCTCGAGCTCGTCAAACGGCTCGATAGGCACGCCACTGAGCCGATTGCGCGCCCAAGCCTTCTGTAGATCACTCATGGCGGTCCCAGCAGTGTCATTTGGCGGCGCTGGGATCCGCGTATCCTCATGTCCAGCTTGACAGTTGGACAGGTTGTTCCCTTTTGCTCAAACGCGGCGACTGGTGTGGTATAGTGGGGTGTGGGGTGTGGTGCGGGTAAGCTGCAACATCACAGAGGCGAAAACACGTTCGTGGCAGTCATCCTGATGCGATGCTCGTGGCACTGGGGTTGTTTGACAATGGTCATGTTCAAAGGAGATGGGCCGGGACAATACGTTTTTGAGGAGCGTTTCCAAGCTGTGCATGCGGCTTGGCCGAGGGGGCACTTAGAAGTTGAGGCAGTGAGCCCATTACAAGCAAACTGTCGAAGTTCTGAGCTTAACAAACACGGCACCCTCAATCCACCACTTTGCCCAAGCAGAGAATTTATGCTAAGCCTATCTAATCGAGCCTTTCGACGACAAAGAGTCTCTGGAATTCGATCCACCAGTCCTGCATCCTCTTCGTCAGGTGCCTCAGCCTGTGCTGCCACAGTCACAAGACCAATGTAGTGGGTGCGCGCTGGGCTGTCATGTGCTGTCCACAGTCAGACGAGCCCACCAAGCTCTGTACAATTGCAAAGTCCCACCATTGCAGCACGAGCTGTTCGACAACAGCGTCCATCTTTGAGATGCAACTGCTGAGTCGGGCATTGGCAGTTTTGGCTCGTGCCATCGTTTGCTGGGATCTATGCCTCCGTGTTTAAGACACGGCCTGAATCCACGCATGAGCGGGTAACTTTTGCATGAAGTACGCAATTATTCAGCTGTTTCGCTGAAAAATCTGGCTCCAGCCCATCGCAGGTCGATATTTTCGAGATGGCAGCCCTCGACATGGGAAGATTTAGCTTCTCGGGCATGCTGCTTCGCTCGTCATCTTGCCACATTGTAGTCACCAGACCACAGCTAGAGGTTCCATCCTGTAGCTGTGAGTGACTCAGACCCCCCCGAGTGCAGGCGACGGTATGAGAGACCTGATGCAACGAGTCCCCGGGCCAGAATAGCCCTAAGCGAGCAGATAAAGTCCCAACATGTCTGAAGGTTATCGAGCACACTCATTTTCAAACAGCGCCGTAACTCATCAGCGATGTGTTGCGCTCATGTAGTGAAGAGCCAGAACCAGACGATGAGCACGTGCCTGTTGTGACAGCAATGTGCAATCCGGCCAGCACGGCTGAGAGACCTATGGCGCCGATTGTCTTCCGGAAATAGCATCGTCCGAGGCAGAAGGCGCAATTCATCGTCGAGGCCAGATGACCACGAAGAGCTCGGACTCATACGAGCTCCGCAGAGCCAGCTTGAATGAGTGGTTTCGCATCCGACCATCTCAATATGGCGATATCACCGATTTTGCCGTTCATGCCGCCATCTTCGTCTGTGCCACGACCCTCGACAATGGCGTCCTTGAGGATGCGAATGAATACGGCAGTATCGAGGTCCGGGGTATCGATCATGCTGATATTTCCAGAGGTATCATTCAAATTCTGGAGGGCCGGCGGGAAGGACGCCAGAAACGACGATAAGTAGTGGTTGTGTAGCAATGCCTGGTGCCGAGTCGCGTACGCTAGCTCTGTCTGAGAGAGGCGTGCTCGTAATTCAGGCGTAGAGAGATAGTGCAAGGTGTGTTTGTCGATCTGCATCATCTGTCAGTTGATATTGCAAGAAAGGCACATCTCCTCAACATGGATGCTTCATCTATGGGCGTCAACGTCCACACTGCGAAAGGCTACACGGATTTACCTTGGCAATCCTCGCTCGCAGGTAGCTGCGAATCAGGTACTTGAAGCGCTCAAGTTCCGTCTGGATGACAATCAGGGCGAAATTTGTCTTTGGGTCCATGTCGCCAGTCATCTCCTCGACCTTGTCGATCTGCGCCTTCACGCGAGCATTGATCCGTTCCAAGGAGCCGTCGGATGGCCAACTAAGGACTAATTAGCACTGAATATACATGGAAGCCCAGAACAGGGCCATGCGAACTGTGCAACAAGGCAAGAATGGGAGCCATACTCGAGGAGCTCTGGCGCGGATCGTTCCGCAACCCAGGCGCGCGTCAAGCTCTGTAGATCGCGCGTCTCCTGAGGAATCGAGTCGAGCGAGGGGTCGACCTCGCGAAGAATGTCGTCGATGTCCATCCCGGTGGTCCGTTTGTGTCTGCAGCGAACGTGATTGTGTCGTCAAGTCTCCAAATCTGCCCGCCCGTGTGTATACAGCATCACAGTCCTGATCTGCAATTCTGTGATTGGGTGCTTTGGTTGACTTGCAGGCGTGGATGACCCTCGGGAACACTTAACGCGCCACGAGTGGTGTCCTTGGTGGGGTGGTTTCTTGCAAAAGACGGTGCAACTCCACTCCACTCAGCGTGCAGCCAGAGCACACTGCTAGCCTGTGTCCTCCAACTGTCCCTCGATGCAATCTATTTCCCTTCAATCTTCTACGCTCAATTCGTCGCCTCACAAATCACCAGTACGAGCGGCTCAATCACGATGAGCACTCAAATATCTTGCTTGACATTGGTAGAATTATTTTTTTTCGGGGCCTGATTCTGTCCTCTTTTCTACACCTTATTCCCGGGACCTGCTAGCCGGTTTACCATCCTCCACAATGATCGTGGTGATCGTCTCCATCTGGATTCCGCCTTGTGGTTGAGCGGAGTTGTGTCGCAAGGACATCTGGCTGCTACTCCGCTGCATCCGTCCCCGCCCTGTCTCGTCGCGCCCGTCGTCTCCCAGCACAGACGCCATCCTCACGAAACCTCGGTGTGACCTCTTTGACTGCGAGAGATCGCGCGGCTCGTCCGCCCTGCTGCCGCCCTGGATGTACACGATGTTGCCAAAGACGCGGTCGTCGGGGGGCCTCATGAAGTGGTCGAGGCCGATCTTCTCAATCTCTTCCCTGGATAGGAACAATATCGTCGTCGTCCACAGCAGGCAGTTCAGAAAGCCCTGTGCCGCAATTATCGATGCGCCGACGAAGTAATAGACGGGATCGAGTTCTCTCCCAGCCATGATCAGCAGTCGGCAGATTCCCAGTGGCCCCATCGTGAAGAGGTAGATCAAGGGGTATACAAAAAAGGCCGGGTGGTGGCCAGAAAGCTCACGGCGGCTGTCCGACGTGACGCTCGGCGTCGGCAGGTGGCGTCCTGAGCATTTGTTGCGAAACATGGATAGACCGATCCAGCAATACAGCACAATGGTTGTTATCAAGCAGATGATGACGGGCATGAATTCAACCCAGAACCGGAGCCTCTCGTACAGGCTGTTCGCGGAGCACTAGCCAAAAGAAAATGTTACTGTCAGCTGAGAAACACGGAGAGAGCGCGCAGGGTTGGAGACCAAGTTTCAATGGCCTGATTCTGTGTACGACTTACCCAGGTATCTCCTCGAACGTACCAGCCCCCGTGATCCTCCCCGTTGCGTGATATTGCCAGCCCAAGCAAGGGTATCACGATGATGAGGCCCCAGGCGATACAAAGACAACATCTCAGTGCCGTCTTCTGGATCTTGTATCCCCAAACAATGACAAGATATGTGTGCAAGGCAATCACCGCCAGCAGCATTGACGGGGCGAAGGCGCCGGCGCTCCCCGCCACGGCCTGCAGCGTACAGGCTGTGGATGGCGCAAAGACCCCATCCTCCGAGACCCATACCAAGTTCAGCATGAACTCGAATGCCGAGATGGCGTCCGCTATCAGCAGGTTGTAGATGAGCACCAGGAAGGGGTTGGTAGGCGCTACGGGTACAGCTTCTGTCGATAGCTCGGCTTCGTCCGTCTGGATGTTCTGTGGCGAAATCGGCCGAGCTTTTGCGGCATCCTCCGAGAAGAGCTGGTCGACATTTGTGTTCGAGCCTGCTCTGCTGCTCCCGTGTGACGACACAAGGTACTTGACATCCAGACCCAGGCTGAGATCAGGAGAGTTCTGCTTGGTGACGACCTCCTGGCTCGACCGCCGCCGCGTCTTTCGTGGGTCGCGATAGTAGCCGATCCAGGCGTAGGTCATGTATATGAAGAGAGTTGTCGTCGAAGCGAAGGACAAAGCGCCAACAATGCCGACGCCTAGCATCCCTGGCACCCAGCCATCAGGAAGAGGCGACAACGTGAACTCCGACGTCCCGTCATGGTTGAAGCTCAGATGTCCCATGCTTTATGTTCGACAATCATGCATTGTCGACGTCGTTTGCTTTGCGAGCAGTGCAGAAGCGGTTTGGCGGTCGAGAGACCCCAAGGGATGGATGTACAACTCCAAGCACAAGACAGAACGGGACATGCCCAGCACATAAGGAGTAGCCGAACCGAACTGGAGGAGGTACTGCGTAGGGGCAGGGTCGGTCGTGGAGCCACAGTCAGATCCCCCAGGCTTGTGGGTCTTCATGCTATGGGAAGCATGGGAAGCGGCCAGTCCAGTCCGGAAGAAGACAAGATGAGCAGGCCATCCCGGCTGGAGGATCAGCTCTGCCCCCAGTTCATCACAATTGCAAGTGATGGCTCACTCAGGCGTGATCTATCATGCGCAAGGGAGAAGTTACCAGACTTTCAGCATACATAACGGGAAATCTAATCTGATTCGTGGCGTCGCTAGTATTGAGATCGCCGTCCAAATCATATGGTGGTCATCTTTGTGAGCAATGTCGTGTGTGAGGCCACATGCAGCGCAAAAGCCTGGGTTGCAATTCTGCATACACCAACAAAAAGTCTTGGGTCTGGCTCCCTGTCAGCGGAAGAGGCGAAATAGGTCAGGCGGCCCGCTGGCGAGGCGCACGGAGCAGCGGAGGTTCCCCTGATCTGACTTGACAAGACAGGGGGCTTGTCGCTTGGGGGGGCTCGAGCTGCAGCGCTCTTCAGTAACCAGATATCGTAAATCCTTGCAAGCGGCCATTTGCCGGAGGAGGCGAGTCAAATCAGACCTTGCGAAACGTTGGGGATCCCTGTCCAATAAATCCTCAGCTCTTCCACCCACCGATAACACGGAACCCAGAACACTTCAGATCAAAGAAAAAGCCCCTGGTCTGGGCTCTCCTATCGCCGGCCTGACTCGTTGTGGCTGCACGGCTGGAACGATCAAACGTGCTGCCCCTGTCTTGTCTCAGGCTCTTTCGCGCATGCATCTTCCCCCCAAGGGGAGCCCTGCCCACATTGGTGGGGGCTGATAAATAGCAAACACATCTCTTCGCCTAATAAGATGTCGACCGCCAACGATAGGTCGTACATTAAGCTCTACCGGGCCGATAGCGTGGGCATAGATGGGGGGATGGTGCCTTCTGACGCGGAAGCTATTCTGTCCACGTCCTTCAGCCTCAAATGTGGGGAGTGTGATGCACGGGAGATACAGAAAGTTTAAATCAGTTCACGACTCTCCATACCTTCTAGATGAGAGTGTGCACGATCGTGTGGCATGTATGATGAAGGCGAGAACCACGTAGATCATGTGCACCCAATCGCTAGCACAGCACAGGCATTCCGAGCAATCCGACAGTTGGACGCAACGAGAGCGTGTCTTGTCTCCCAATTGCGATCATGAAGCAATTAGGTATTTCCAGCACATGAGGTCCGGTTGGGCACAGATTTTCCTGGACGAGCAAGCCCACACCTTCAAGGGCCAAAATATTTCGTCGCCAGTGGTGTCTATCCAAGAAATTCGGTGCTGACAAGTGTCTCCCATGGCTTCTGCGTGCGCCAGACCTCCTGCATCAGCCGCCGAGCGCTGTGCACCTGGGACACAAACGAGTCAGTAAAGCCCCCCGTGCCATCGCAAAGGGCTATTCGAGCGAAATATCAGGGGCAGTCGGTGAGATGGAATGACTCGGCTCCCCGCATTCTCCTTCACTCGTGGTGAATGCTTTAAGGGTCGCTCACGTCGATCATGCAAGACAATCTGTGACTTCACATACCTTCACTATCCCAACCTTTTCTGCGACCAAGAACCTGTCAAGGATCTGTGAGCGGTCCGCCTCGCTCCGTGCCTCACACCCAGCTGTGAACATTGGCAGGAGCAGCCCGGACTCGGCGGCGCTGCCGACCTCAATAAGATCAAGGCAAGCGAAGATCTTGCGCACAGCATACTGCACGTCGCTATCATCCTCCGCGGCCCGCCCCAGGATGCGGCGGTATAAATGGACCATGGCGGCCCAGTGGGTAGCCTCGTTGGTGGCGGTGAGGCTCTTGCGATCCCATTTAGCTACGTCACCGTGGTTGTGAATGTGCTTGCACGGAACCGGCGGACAGCGCAGGCTGTTGAGCAGGCCCTCACGCAGGTCCGCGGCCTGGCTCACAATTTCCTCGCTTGGCCGCCAGTCTGCCCGAACCTCGTGGTCGTCCCCGATGCGCTCGGCGTCGCACCGACTCGCAAGGCTGGCGATCTTGGCTAGCAGGTAGATGCAGCGCGTTGTGAAGCCCATGACACAGTCGATTTCGTCGTAACCGTCGACAATATCGTCGAGTTCATAGTCGAAGATCCACTGCGTCTGTGACGAGGAAGTATTGCCACGACCACCACTTAGGCTGCCAAGCACGTCGAGAAAGGCTGCCCAGCTCCACAGGAACGACGAAACCTGGTCATCACGAAAGTTGGTCTGTCCGCCGTGCAGGCCGGTTGGGCGGCTGGTGATGAGCTCGCGCGCTAGGCTGAGATGTTTCTGCCACGATATGTGATGGCCAAAAACTGTGGGTGAGATGATTTCCAGTGAAGCAATCATGATGGCAGTCGCAAGATTTGCATTTGAAAAGTTTCTGTCTTTATCCTCAAGCGCTTTGCGAAGCTCGGGAAAGACGTCTTCCAGCCACAAGGATATTCGGAGCGTCGGCTCGGGCTGGTTAAGTATTCGTGCGCGATGACAAGCTGGGTGACGGAATATGTCAGTACCCGGCACACCAGCTCATCGCGCATGCATCATGGGCGTATCTTACCAGAGTAAGCAAGTAATAAAGCAAGGAGACTGTCGTTCTTCACAGCTATCTGTGGTAGAATTGTTCGGAACGGGTTCGCGTGCTTGTCATCAAAAGGCACAAGGACTGCTCGAAGGTTAGCACAAAACCCGAATAACAACATTGGGGAGAACATTACCTCTTGCTGTATGTGTCAAGAAGTGATGCTTTGTAGTGTTAGTCCCAACAATGACAACCTGGCGCATATCAACTCACGAAATACTAGAATGACGTTAGCAGAGATCCAATAGGCATCGGAAACAGCGTTTTGTTTAGTACGCAGGACTGACCAAGAGGTTCATGGGATTTTCCAGCAGCCTAACCGGTGCAAGAAGCGTCAGTCATGTTCGGGTGCGGTCGTTCTAGTGAGTTCGCTCACCTCTGTGGCAACGGCTCCAACTCTCGAGCAATGTATATAGGTACTGGGGCCGAATAATAGTTGTTCGCTTCATTAGTCGGGGAGTTCTGCTGCATCCCGAATCCAAACTCGTTCGGAAATAAATCGTGTTCGAACTCAGAAGGGGTATCGAGCGCATCGCGTTGCGATAGCGGGGAGTGGCCAGAGATTGCATTTTGATCGTCATTTCGGCCGATGTCGCGATCGACAAAGCCTCTGTCTAGACCATAATATGTCTGATGTGATTGGGAGTGCAAGGGTGGAAGACGTGCACTTGAAGGGCTTTGTGAACCTTCCTGTACTTGGCTTCGAGCTGGCGAGCCTGCCAGGAGAGCATTGAGTGAGAACCGTGGCAGGCTTGGAGAAGCAGCCACAGGGATACCATACTCCGCCTGTGGTAAGTCCTCATTCGTTGTCGACGGTGTCAATGGTGTAGATGGTGATGTCCCAGCCCAAAGTGGCGCTTCTATTGCTTCATTGACCTTGGATAGTGTGGTACTAGAGTCAATAGTTGAAGACGAAGCTGCGCGCTCCCGCCGCTTCGATACAACAGCCGTTTGGCCTGCCGCCGTGATTTTCACTCTTTTCGCCGGACGCTGGAAGATATCTGTATCGTTTTTTGTTGGCGTCTGCTTCAAGTCTGGCGTCCCAGAAGCCACAGGGGCCGCATCCGCCGTACTCTGCTTTGCACTAGATGACGGTGCACTGAGCGGTTCAACGCGACGTGTAGCGGGTGCATCAGCCGTAGGGAAAGTGTGTACTAGCTTGAATCCCTTAGCAGGCACCGACGAAGCTGTGGGCGCTTCAGTGGGCGGCGAGAACTGAATCAGACCCTCGTTGCCCTTTCCTCGTCGGCCGTCCCAGTTGAGACGAATACTGTAGTCGCATTCCTCGCCAGCCTTCTCACAGCTGCATTAACATCTGTGTTAGTGTGTTGGACACTTTCTGGGTCATCTATGGCGGAAGTCTTGTGCTGAGAGGAGGGATCGCGTCCATGTCTCCTTTCCAGCTTCGCTTGGGCTTACTTTGTGCAGTTCGGGCGCTCCTCGCCGCATTTTATCTTGCGATTCTTGCATGGCCTATGTCAAAGAGTGAGCCCGGGATTTTTCGGCGGGTTTCGTGAGCCAGAACACTTACCAGCAGCCATGGCGACTCCTTCGCTTAGGTTCCGGGGCATCGGCTTTCCTTGGTCGGGGCATTTCAGAGGTGCGGCTTTTGTTTTACAGGTATGTTGACAGCGCCTCCCATCCGAAGATCACGAGACCGTGGGTGCAAACGCTGGATGTTCCATGCATGACCGCATCAGCGAAGACTGCCGGATGAATGTGATCGAGGCACGACTATGTGCGAGTCTTGGGGGCCCAGGGATGGCGGCCGGGACGACAAATCGCTTGAGAAGACAGCCGGGAATATGATCAGAGGTCGAAAATTCGACATGAGGTGCGAGTATGAGGCTGTAGGAGGTGTCATAGGGCTGGGCGCATGGTGACAGCTCGCGAGGTAGGTACATGAGGGCAAGGGGGGTTGCCGCGAATGAAGGCAGATAAGGCTATCACCAGCGTCGGATCGGAGGCTCCAGTGTGGAGTGCGCTTGCAGTCGCCGGGCTTCTCTAAAGTGGATGCAGCGCCCCGAGGGCATGGGGAAAGGGGGATAGGCCCGCAGTCCTGGCCCCCGGGTTCACGCCGAAATTTTGGCTCCTGCCGGCGCTAACGAGTCGCATGGCCGCCCAGGGCTGGCCGTCGGTCCCGCTGGACTGGCTCTCTCACACCCTTCACGTCAGCACGGAGTTGGTAGTGATTATCCTGGGTGTAGGCGGCTTTCAACAATGGGTGATGCTGCAATGATACGCTAGCGTGCTCCTGTGCCAAGAACCCGGTGTATCCAAGGGTTGTCCCGCACACGTCATGCGACAAGTTTGGTGTATGTATTGGACGAGGTAAAACTCGAGTATATAAATTCGAACAGGCCGTGTGTCTCGTGTGGCCCGTTCGGTGCATACGATGTTGAGAGCCTTTTACTCCGGCGCACTGTCGTCTAATGAAACATCATCCATAGTCAACAGTAAGATGTGAGCCTTGTTTTTGTTCATGTTTCATGCCGAGACTGAACCTATTGCGTGGCGTTTACGCGCATCGGCTCTCTGACAGCCTCGTTCTTCATCTGCTCGACACCATTGACTTGGCCATAGACCCATTTCAGTGCAGCGCTGCTGCCAGTCATGATGAGAGCTGCAAAAGCGAACAGCAGGGCCCGCTGTGGTATCGACAAAATGTCAAAAATTGGGTAAGGGTACCTGCACAGAAAGAGTCAGTGTCCTAACGTTTGATTGGAGAAGCCATCCAACGTACCATCCGTTCTTCGAGAAGCAGTGTTCGACCCAGTACCAGTACAAGAATGCCCAAATCTGGCTGAGAGCCATTGCCGTGTAGCCGCGTATAGTCCACGGAGGACTGAGCAGAAGCATGTCGATGGCGAGGAAAATGGCGGGCGCAGCGTGAAATCCAAAGTCGGGCAAGAAGTCAAGCGAGAACTCCGGCGGCATGACCAAAGACTTGTCAATGGCGCAGAGCCCCCAGTAGAGGATACTGATCAGCACCTCCAGAGGGGTGGAAAATGAGGACAGCGCGTTCTTCACAGCAAACAGCTGCGGAGATAGGGTCAAATCCGCCATCGCTCCAAGCACGAACGTGGCCATCGCGAGAGAGAGGCCAAGAATGGTCAGGAACTGATAGTGACCGCCATAAGCCTTGCCCATAGGCGTATCCCAGGTCTCAAGGAAACGGAACGAGGCGGCAAAAGAGGCAATGCCGGCGAGATGCAGCAAGAGAGAGAATTGGCGCGACGGCGCGGCAAGCCGCTGAAGAGGATGGTGAGCCATGGTCGAGCCTTGTGATCAAGTGGGCGTGTGATGCGGATTGCAAGGCACGAGACAAGCGGTAGACGATGCTGTGCCAAGGTGAAGAACAGCAATGAGAGCGAGTGCGGCCGAGAAAACAGACGTGGACAAGCGAAACGTGGTGGTAATGACGTTCATCGAAGCTTCCATGTGGACCTCGGCCTGTATCCTCCACCGAGCAATGTGATCCCTGGTGGTGGGGCACCTGATTCTCAGCACACGTTGCCCGGTGCTAAGGGCAGAGCCATCAATCTATCCGCCGTGGATTACCCGCCAGTTTACAGGTATCGTTCCCTCTTGATGTCTGCGTCTCGAGACATTGAGTCTGTTCAGAAAAGCCTCGCAGGAGCGCAGTTGCTAAGGTCGCTGCAGCAAGTGTTCCGTGTGGCCGAGAACAAAGGGATTGGCCAATCAGTCGGCGCGTGGGAGCTCCGCAGTGGCCGAAAGCTCAAAGCACGCCAAGACTCCAAGCTGCACTTTCCAGGGTCCCATTTCAAACGCGTCGAGGAATCGTCTGATGCCTCTGGGTAGTCGCAACCACCATACAGGCGACAAACACACCAGCCTTGTGTTGTGTACTTGCTCATCAGTCACTTGCAGACCGTCGGCTTGCAACGAAGACAATCCCCCGTCACCATGGCCGCTGTCCACGAGGCAGACGAGGACGACAGGTCAAACAAGAGAAGCCATGCGGACTTTGCTGGCCAAGATGCAACAGGTACGGGACTGTCTTTTGAAGCTGTCAATCCTGCTCAGTGACCTGCTGCTGACCCTCCAACACAGACAGCTCCTCGGACGACGATGACATGGGGCCCCAGCTCCCCTCGGCGGCCCCGAAGAAGAAGCGCCGCGTGCTTCCCTACGAGAAATTGTACATCGCTGCCTTGCCCAAGTCGACCCGATACTCCAAGTCGCTGATGCACAAGGAGCAGTTATCCTTCGTGACCGTCACACCTTTGACCGACTTTCTCATCACGAGCTCCGTGGACGGCGTCGTCAAGTTCTGGAAAAAGGTCGCGCAGGGCATCGAGTTTGTCAAGGAATTCAAGGCGCATCAAGGCGAAATACGATCCGTGTCCGTCAGCCGAGATGGCCGCAGCTTCGCGACAGCTGGTGCTGATAAGACGGTCAAGATATTCGACGTCATTTCTTTCGACTTGCTTTCCATGCTCACTCTCGACTTCGATCCACGGTGCATATGCTGGGTCCACAAGCGCGGTGCTTCCCTGCCCCTGCTGGCCATTTCGGACGACTCGAAACCTCTGATACATATTTATGATGGCCGGGGAGAGAGCCAGCAGCCGATACATACAATCAAGGGCCTTCATCGCAGTGTGGTTTCGCTGATGGCATTCAACGACGCTTTCGACTGCGTCGTGTCGGGTGACGACAACGGCATGGTTGAATACTGGTCGCCAAACTCGAACTACGAGAAGCCAGACAATGTCTTCCAATACAAGAGCTCGACCAATCTCTTCGATTTCAAGAAGGCAAAGTCCGTTCCCACAAGCATATCAATTTCGCCGTCAGGGCATCAGTTTGTGACATTTTCGCTGCCGGATCGAAAGATTCGTGTCTTCGAATTCGGCACAGCGAAGCTCTACCGAACATATGATGAGTCTCTGCAAGTCATCGAGGAGATGCAGCAAGCTGGCACGGCTATGCTTAAGCTGGATGATGTCGACTTTGGCCGCAGGTTGGCTGCGGAGCGAGAGATCGAATCGCCATTATACAGGAACAAAGCCACCGTAATATTTGACGAGTCTGGCAATTTTCTATTATACGGCTCCATGCTTGGCATCAAGGTTCTCAACACACTGACGAATCAGGTCGTCAAGGTGTACGGAAAAGACGAGCATATCAGACCCCTGAGTCTTGCCATTTACCAGGGCCAGCCGCAGAAGAAAGGCGTAACTACCATCGAAATGGCTGCCTCGAGCAATCCGCTGCTACAAGAGTCCGAAACACGTGATCCGATTCTTGTTGCGACAGCGATTGGCAAGGTGCGGTTCTACATGTTCACAAACGAGGAGGACGTGTCGAAATCGACTAGAGATGTACAGAACGAGCGACCAACCATACTTGGCTCAAGAAAACCGGCCGAGGAGAAGAAGGCGCAGACTGGCACAGGTGCAGTCATCCATACGACGTATGGAGACATCCATATTCGCTTATTCCCTGATGCCGCGCCCAAGGCCGTCGAGAACTTTGTGACCCACTCACGGAATGGCTATTACAACAGCACCATTTTCCACCGGGTCATTCGCAAGTTCATGATCCAGTGCGGAGACCCCCTGGGCGATGGGACTGGTGGAGAGAGTATCTGGGGCAAGGACTTTGAGGATGAATTCAGCACGTTGAAGCACGACAAGCCATACACGGTCAGCATGGCGAATGCAGGACCGAACACGAATGCCAGCCAGTTCTTCATCACGACGGAGAAGACGCAATGGCTTGACGGCAAGCACACCATCTTTGGGCGGGCCGTGCAGGGCTTGGATGTGATACACAAGATTGAGAACGCCCGGACACACAAGGAAAAACCCGAGGAGGACATTAGAATTGTAAACATCGACATCGTCTGAATTTGGGTGCCAGTTAGTTGAATATCTCGCCGGGCCCAGCAGGGGCAAGGCAATGTACCAATCGGAGCTTGCAAAGCCACCATGTGTCACAGGCGTAACGTGTGCTACGAGCCCAGCTGGTATGATTTCTGGCTGCAGAGATTGTTTGGGCCCCGATTGGAAATGCTCACACGGGCGGACGGAATATGAACCGGGTTCGGCATCAACGCAGGTCTCAGCAGCGAGCCTGATTAGGAAAAAGGCCGGCGGCGTCCGAATCGGCGTCGCAACAACTGGACAGACACGGGTGACTCAGGGGTGGGCCGGACATGCAGCCAGCCGCAACACACTTGAGCACTCGCAGGCGGCCTGCTCCGCGAATCGGACGGCTCTGATCGACCCCGCCATCCGCCAGCCCGCGGCGGCAGAGAGGTGTGGCCACTTCCAAGCCAGCCTGGCGTCGCAATGGGTCCAGATGTTGTCATGGTTGATCCTACAGCGCACTAGGGTGGCGCGACCCTGGCCTGAAAAGTCCCAGAGCGACCACGAACTCAAAAAATTGAGCTACAACCAGCGCGCATGGCCAACTTGATAAACTCCTCCTCGCTTCGCAACCCCGTTGTGTGATATTCCTCGGCCCGCGAGACCTCACTCCAGACACAAGCTCAGAACAAGCCAGCAGACAACATGTCGGTCAGTGCAAATCAGCAACGTCAACAGAACAATTCCTCTGCCCCACCTTCGATACATCACCGCGTCTGTGACTAACAGCAGAGCTTGCCACTTTCCAGAGCTTCTACATTGAGAACAAAGACGTCGGCCAGAAAGGCGCAAGCGAAGACTGGAGAAGTATGTTCCCGTGCGGGATGTCCTGGATACGAACCGGCCTGGTCTCGCATGCTAACCTCTTCATACAGTCCGTGGTTACAACCCTCTGACCCCACCGGATCTGCTCCAGCACGAAATCGCCCAGACCCCAAACTCCAAGAAGACCGTTCTCGAGAGCAGAGATGAGGTTGTTGCCGTGGTCAATGGCACAGATCCCAAGGGTCGCCTGCTCGTCATCATCGGCCCTTGCTCGATTCACGACCCAAAAGCCGCCCTCGAGTACTGTGACATGCTGCTGAAGGAGAAGGAGAAGTACAAGGACGAGCTACTGATCGTCATGCGTGCCTACCTTGAGAAGCCGCGGACCACAGTCGGCTGGAAGGGTCTGATTAACGATCCGGATATCGACAACAGCTTCAAGATCAACAAGGGCTTGCGGATGTCAAGACAGCTCTTTGTCGACCTTACCGACAAGGGAATGCCAATTGCCAGCGAGATGCTCGATACCATCTCCCCGCAGTTCACGGCCGACTTGCTGTCCGCCGGCGCTGTTGGTGCCCGCACCACTGAGAGCCAGCTGCACCGCGAGCTCGCCAGCGGTCTGTCCTTCCCCGTGGGCTTCAAGAACGGCACAGACGGCACGCTGGGTGTGGCGATTGATGCTATCGGCGCGGTCCGGCACCCACACCACTTCCTGTCCGTTACCAAGCCGGGTGTTGTTGCCATTGTAGGCACGGTCGGCAACGAGGACTGCTACGTCATCTTGCGCGGCGGCACAAAGGGTGTCAACTACGACGCCAAGAGCATCGCTGAGGCCAAGGCCGCGCTCGAAAAGGCCGGCGTCAACTCACGCCTCATGGTCGACTGCAGTCACGGCAACTCTTTGAAGGACCACAAGAATCAGCCCAAGGTAGCCGCCGACCTAGCCTCGCAGATCGCCAAGGGCGAGACTGGAATCATGGGCCTTATGATTGAGAGCAACATCAATGAGGGTATGTTTAGAGGAGTCCTTCCATTTCGGCATCTTGACTTGTTTCGCTGACCGGAGTGCTGGATGTAGGCAACCAAAAGGTGCCCAAGGAGGGCCCCGCAGGTCTCAAGTACGGCGTGAGCATCACAGATGCTTGCATTGGCTGGCAAGACACAGAGTCGGTACTGGCTACGCTCGCCGATGCCGTCAAGGAGCGGAGGAAACTTCAGGGCACGAATGGCCAGTAGATTGCGTTGTCACTCTCAAGGAGCACAGACCGTTCTGTGCTTGTATCAAAACACGGAGGGAAAAAGTTCAGTACACAATTAAGATATCCGGGAGTCTCTGATTCTCACATGTACTGGTAGGGAGCGAACTGGAATCAAAAGAAAACGGTGATTGACCATGAGTCAGGCGCGGCAGCGGCTACGAAGCCCGCACCGATTTGGTCACAAGCCATGATATGTTCCGAATCACGTCCCCTAAACATGCCTGGTTGCTGTTCCTCGGCGCCTCAACTTAACTCATCTGAACCGGACAGCTTGAGAACCCTTCGCTCTTTGCGCCAGCATCAGACTCCTGCGCTCACCGGCAGTCAAAATCTGATCAAGTCAGCGCTCTCCCGAGTCGCAAGCTCGCGCCCATCAACACAGAGCTTCAACCTAGGCGAATAACCCTGACCACGTCCCCACTCGAGGCGTATGCCAAAGGGTCCTTCCTCGCTGCCATGATCAGGCCCCTGCGTGTTCACCATTGCCTTGGCCTTGTCGTAGATATAGCCCATGCGGAGGTTTGGCTCGTGCGTGATGAAGTCCGTGTAGCTCAGCTCCATCCAGCGAGCGTCGTCGTTTCGGGACTGGCCGACCGAGCCCGAGTCGGCCACGACGGCACGACTCCTTCTCGCGGGTGTGCTGAAGTCGGGTTGGCACGCGAGCATCTATAACGAGAGGCACACAGTCAGTTTCTTCCATCGCTTCCAAGAGTGCGGCTTGTCACACGCCCCCCCCCCCCCCCGAGCCGCGCGAACAAGCCATTACTCGCAGAAATACTGCCCCCCTGGGCAAGACCTTCGTGACGTACCCTCCGCCAGCTCGCCTCTGGCCGCGAGAAGCGCTCCTCCATCAGCCATACGGGCTTCTCCCCGCTGACAACCCGGGAATACCACTGCAGACCGGCCTCGCGGAGGGAGCGCGCCCTCAGCCGGAAGGGACCGCCGTGGTAGTGGGCTGGTCTCGTTGCCGACGTTGACGACAGGTCGGCCTGATACGACGCTCTTGTTGGCGGCCAGATGCGGTGTCGTTCCACCCGAACAGGAAAAATGGACTGGAGGAGCTGGTTCTCATGGAGTCGTGACCACTGGGGCTCCTCGACCGCACCAGCACTGTTGTAAATGCCGGTGACGGGCCTGGGAGAGCGGACGGGCAGGAAGAAGAGGTGTTCTTGGATCGCTCGGTGAGAGGTGATCACCGCCGACCATGTCTTGCACACGCGAAGAGCAGAAACCAGAGTATCTGCCGGGGATAGGACTGTGAGGTGGTACAAGATTTGTTCTAAGAGCTCTGGGATTTCGACAAGGACGCGTGTTGCTGGTGGTGACGAGGGCATCGTTGCTTGGAGATGGACCTTTTCGGCAGAGACAGCGGCCATGATTTAAATGGCTTGGTATGAAGCACGCCCAGTGTCAGTGTGAGGCAAGTGACGAGGAGGCTTGCAACTATTGACTGTATATAAATCGAACATTGGGAGAGTATGCCCTTCATGTTCACCAAGCGCATCTGCCTCTCAGTATCGGGCGTGCGTGCCGCGCAATCCGTTGCTTCAGCTGAGGCAACAGTTTAAGGGCATTTAGGCAGGCATGCATCGGCCACTTGAGCCCACATGGCGGAGAGACCAGTTCCAGACGCGTGTGTCGATGCAACAAGGCATTTTGCAGAAAGCCCTCTCAATCATCAAAAACTAACTCCCTTTCTGGAGACCTGGTAGCTGGTCACGAAAGACAGGCTGCCGTGTGTCAAGAGCCTGCTCGTCCCGACCTGCTCGTTATTGAAGATGCCTACTTTGAGTACAGACTTCTATAATCCCTCAGGCCAAAGTCGGTGCGCATCATTCCAGAAGCTCTCGATCGTGCCGATCGTCATGTATTGTATGTGAGACGAGCTCTCCACGACATATGCAATTGTAAAGGTGGAGGACGGTCACGTCAACGTGGTTGCTGCACAGGAGCCGTGGAAGCTGGAACCCGATTTCTTCCTGGAGGTACATGTTGTTACATGTGGTTGCCCGCGACACGTAAGTACCCTCTGCAGCCCCGATCGTGGTGCAGCCGGACCGGAGTCACGTGCAAGGTGGAGTCTAGCAGCTCGAACAAGGCCCGGCCCAATGGGAGGCTGCCGTTTCCCAATTGCTAACCCTTGGGAAGGCTTGAGCCAATTTTCATCCCCCAGTGCGCTGCTTGCTGCTCGACCAGACACCCGACGACCTAGGCTCAACCTCCCCCGACGACGAAAGACGAGAGAGCGCCCTCGACGGTCCGCCTCGCTTCAATTGCTCCGTCGCCTGCTGCACACCTGCATTCTCCCCGGACTCCCGCGGTCGCTCGCAGCAGCTTCGCCCGACATGTTCGCCAGAACCACCATGCGCTCGGCGCGCATCCTCAGCAGTGCCAGAAATGGCGCCACCGCCTTCACAAAGGTACGGCGACGAATGCATCCGGAACCTGCCACCATCGCCCTCTGCATCTCCAGTATCGCCCCAGCCCGCAACTCCGAGTCGAGCTTCTGTACCGAATACCTGCACAATACGCACATGTCCGTCACTACAGTCGGAGGCTCGGCCCGCGGGGGGTACTGTTGGAATGAGGATGTTGCGGATTGGACACCAGAGACTTGGATCAGGACGACATAGCTGACTCTGTGTCCTGGATTTTAGCGGACCATCTCATCGAACGCCGGTGCCGGCGAGTCGCCTGCCAGACTCAACATGGCTGCCGCCGCCTCGACCGCTGTTGCCATCGGCTCCGTCGCTTGGTACTACCACCTTTACGGCACCACTGCCCACGCCATGACGCCCGCTGAGGAAGGGTACGTTTCTCTCCATCCCGGCAGCCCACGCATCAAAGACGGATATCCAGTTCGAGCACAGGAGGACCTGATACCAAATTCTCTTGGGCTGCCAAAGTCTCGCAATGGTAGCATCACTAACCTTACTACTTATAGTCTGCACCCCACTGCCTACCCTTGGGTTCACCAGCAGTGGCTCAAGACCTTCGACCACCAGGCGTAAGCTCGTCCGCATTCCACGATGTTTCCAAGCAATGGTCACTGACGCCTCAGTAGTCTCCGCCGTGGTTTCCAGGTCTACCAGGAGGTCTGCGCCGCGTGCCACTCCCTCAGCCGTGTCCCCTACCGATCCCTTGTCGGTACCATCCTCACTGTGGACGAGGCCAAGGCTCTTGCCGAGGCGAACGAGTACGACAGCGAGCCCAACGACCAGGGTGACATTGAGAAGCGCCCCGGCAAGCTTTCCGACTACATCCCCGCTCCCTACAAGAACGACGAGGCTGCCCGGGCCGCCAACAACGGCGCCCTCCCTCCGGATTTGAGCTTGATCGTCAAGGCCCGTCACGGCGGTTGCGACTACCTCTTCAGCTTGCTTACCGGCTATCCTGAAGAGCCCCCGGCGGGTGCCCAGGTCGGTGCTGGCCTCAACTTCAACCCTTACTTCCCCGGTACCGGTATCGCCATGGCCCGTGTGCTGTACGACGGACTCGTCGAGTACGAGGACGAGACCCCCGCCACGACCTCCCAGATGGCCAAGGATGTTGTCGAGTTCCTCAACTGGGCTGCCGAGCCTGAGATGGACGACCGCAAGCGCATGGGTATGAAGGTTCTCACTGTCACGACTGTGCTCTTCGCGCTCAGCGTGTGGATCAAGCGCTACAAGTGGGCCGCCGTCAAGACGAGGAAGATTGTCTACGACCCGCCCCAGGTCTCCAACAAGGTCCGCTCGTAAAAAGATATCCGACACCGAATGTAATACTAGTCTGTCTTGTAAGCTCCTTCTGTGGTGGAAACGGGGCGAGGCTATAAGGTCGCAGACTGCGGAGCAGCCCTGGAGCTCTACTCTAGAGTGTATATCAAGTTGATCATTTTAGAAGCCAACAAACAAACGATTCCCTATGTGATGTCGGTCGACTGCAGTGCGCCCTCGGTGACACTTGCTTGCTAGGAAATGAGCTGACCAAGATGAGCAAACTCGGCGGGGCTGATCAGAAGAAGTCACCAGCAGCTCGAACAAAAGGCGTGGAGAGCCGTGTATCTGTCAGAGAACGGGACATTCACGCAACAATTGTCTTGGTACCAGGCTCGCAGGCGCTCATGGCCGTCACCTAATAGCGCGAACGGCTCCACTTATTTTCCTCGACTGGATTCACAAGAGACCGCCACCTGAGACTGAGAGAACGTGAATAGATTCTGTTGTCCGTGACTCGAACAACAATTCTCCGACTTTCTCCCTTCAAACATTGGCCATTATGAGCCATAGTATTGGCACCTCACACGACCATGGATGAGATACTTCCACCACAGCTGGACTCTCTTCATCGTTCTGGACTAATGACTCAAAGACTTCGCACTTGCGCCTAAAGAACTTATCCACGAAGCTATTCACGGCAACATCACCAGCACAAGACTGAGTGGCTGCGTCATAGTCACGGCCCATCGCGCGACCTCAGAAAGCCGGCCCCGTCGCATCGCTTAGGGGATCCTGACAATGGGCAGCACATCATGGCCGGCAAGAAACGCCGACGCGCCGGCTCAGTAGCAGCCGGGCTGGACACAACAACTCCTCTAGAAGACGAGCTTCAGCTCCGGCAACAACACCAGAAGCAGCAGCTGGGCGATGCCATCATGTGCAACTTTGCCGTCCGGGATCGCGACGAGCGTGATTTCTTTGCGGACTGTATGATTCACGGGCGTGCGCCACGCGAGGATATCATGCAGATGTGGCGGGACAGTCTTATGCACGGGGTCAACGCATGGGATCAGCTCTTTTCCTGTGCGCAAAGTCTGCAGCAGCAATACCACCGCCGCCACCACCACCATCACGCGGCTACGGGTGGCCTCTTCGCTGGCTGTGATGGCTCGCTGGAAGGCACCGATCTGCTTGGGTTCATTGCGAGTGTGCTTGCTATGAGACGTGGGATGAAGAAGGAGCGTGGTCGTCGTCGTCGACATGGACAGGTACAGACATCGCCGGATGAAGGTCAGCATGGCGAGGGGGGAAAGACAGGACAGCCTGCCAGCCTGGAACCTAAAGAGTCCAAAGTTACAGAGCTGGGCTTGAAAAAGCGCGTTGCAAAAAAGAGATCGAAGAAAGCGGCGGAGTCGCCGTACTGGTCGGCCACTCCTGCGAGCGGCGATGAGAGAACACCAGACGTGGATTCAGATCTGCGAAAACAACTCAATGAGAAGCAGAGCCCAAGGAAGGTCGAGCGGCGCCGTTCTCGTCGACAAAGCATAGCCGACATCAGTAACACCAGTAACATTGGCGGCCTGCTCGTCGACCGCGCCGCAGCTTTACCTAAAGACCTTGAAGCCACAGCCACGGCTGAACACTCACCACTTTTGGCGGCCGTCCCTTCGCAACCCAACACGACCCAAGTTCTCAACCTTAGCCGGAAAGTCAAAATCTCGAGACAGCCCGAAACACCCAAACGAGTGACATGCTCCTCCTTCTTCACCACACCGACGCCAACAAAAGCAGCACCCATTGCTGCGACGACGCTCTCAGCATTAAAGACCAAAACCCCCCGCCCGCCTCGCGGTACCGTGAGCTGCCTGCCTTTCCCGCGCCTCGACGCGCCGTCTTTCGGACTCGCCCAGGAGCGATACACGCACGACCCCTTCCGGCTGCTGATTGCAGTCACGTTCTTGATCCGCACGGCGGGGCGGACCTCGATGCCCGTGTTCCGCGAGCTGATGGACAAGTACCCCACGCCGCGGGCCCTGGCGGACGCCGAGCCGGCCGAGATTGAGCTCATGATCCGCCATCTGGGACTCTCGAACAACCGCACTGCCACGATCCAAAAGTACGCGAGGCTGTGGGGGGAGAACCCCCGCAGCCTGGGGTGCGGTATGGGGTCAAGAATTATCCCAAGCAGGGAGACGGCCGAGATGTCCGTGCCGGGGAGCGGCTGGAGGCTAGTGACCCGCGAGAGTCTGCTTGGGAGATTGGCCACCTAACTCAGGGCCGCTACGCGATCGATAGCTGGCGGATTTTTTGCCGGGATGTATTCTTGGGCAGGGCGAGTAATGATGATCCCAATGGCGGTGATACGGGAGACGACAAAGATGATGAAGGAAGTATCCCGAAGAAGACAAAGAAGAAGAAACCAGTCAAGCGGAGGAGGGCGGTGAATAAGACCCAGAGCAACTTCCAGCCTGAGTGGATGCGGGTACTACCAGAGGACAAGGAACTACGAGCTTATCTACGGTGGATGTGGATGCGGGAAGGGTGGGAGTGGGATCCTCACACCGGCGAGCGGACTGTTCTATCCGCGGAGATGGCTGATGCCGTACAAGATGGGAGAGTAGTCTGGGATAACACAGGCAAGCTGGTAATTGTGCCTCAGGAGAGTGAAGAGCTTGAGGTAGAGAGTCTGTCCCGATGATGGCGGCGGTATGGTGCCGGGTTCATGTCGAGGATGAGGCCTATGATGGTTGAGAGGTATTTTGGACAACTGAAATATACCTCCATGGTCTTTGAGCATCGACAAGACATCATCGGTCACTATGAGGAGACTGAAAATCAATATGTGGGTGTCTCTTGCTGACCGTTGTTGCAATATGTGGGCTCCCTGGCGCAAAGTGTGTACAGCACAACTGCGAAACGCAAAATCAATGGCAGAATGAGGTTGCATTTCTACAACTTCAGAACAGGACATAATGGCCCCCGAGAGTCTCGTCTTGACTAATGTGACTTGGTTGATAAAAGGTATCTTAGTGACTGGTTGTCCGTACTATCCGGGGAGGCAACAATGCGGCTTCCCCACAGATCTAGCCCGACAGTGGCCAGAACGGCCGGCCGCGGGGAGGATCCCCGGGCCGATCGATCCCAATCACAACCCCCGCACACAGCCCGCCGCAGTCCAGGGACTAGATTACCTGACACCAGCAACGGCTGCGCAGCCCAAACTCTAAAAGTCCAAAGCACAACCCTTGCCCGCACTCAGCAGCTGGTCCGCCGCCGCACCTCTGCAAGTTCTTTTCGTCCTGTCTGGGCGCTGTGCAGGCACAGGGATCAGATCTGGCAACCCTGCCCTCTCGCGAAGAAGACATTCACTTCGCCGATATCCGGTTGCCGCAGGAGTCACGAGTGGGCTTTTCAGCGCGGATTCGACTACAGGAGGGTTCACGTGGGGAGTCCAAAACGACGACGACTGCTGGGATCGCTGATCATGGGCTCGATTGACCCAACACCTGAGGAGGTCACCATCCTTGTGACCGGCTTCGCGGTAAGCCCTTTGTCATACTCATCTCCCCCGTCTATCTCCCAGATCCGCCGGACGCTGCCGCCTCCCCTCTGCGGATCCTCGAGAGGGGGAGCAATTCTTCGCCACTCGTGAAACCAGTTACAGTCACTGACCTCACCTGTTCTACTGCCTTCCTTTCAGCCCTTCAAGGAGCAGTACCCCAAGAACCCGTCTTGGGAGATCGCATCGTCTCTGCCAGACTACCTCCCCGCCGAGCGTGTCAAGGACCCAAATGCCTCAGGGAGGGGGGTTGGCGGCCATTCAGCCGTGCCGCTGCCGCGGGTGCGCATCGTGACGCCCAACGAGGCGATCCGTGTCAACTACGAAGTGGTGCGGGACATGGTACCCTCGTTCTGGGACGATGTGAGAGACACCAAGACGGGAAACCCTCAAGATACCACTGAAGGGCAGATCTTCGAGGACGGACCGGTCGATCCCGCGAGCAGCAGCGGCAGCGGCAGCGGCAACGGCCCAGCTGGTGATGGACGACCAAAGACAAAGAACAAGTACGACTTTGTCCTGCACATTGGCATGGCCGGCCCGCAGCCCATGTATCAGCTCGAGCGGCGGGCACACCGGGACGGGTACCGGCTGCGAGACGTCGATGGCAACCTGCTCGGCGACGACGAGCGGCATAGTGCCGAGGGCGAGCGATGGATCTGGCACGGCCTGCCGCATGAGATATTGACGGATCTCGATATCGAGCGCGTGTATAAGCGATGGGTGGAGAGGAGCCCGGTCAGTAGTACCTCTCGTGTCTTTATCTCAGTCTGTCCCTCCAGTCGTGTTTTGGGGCTGGTCTCAGCCATTCCACTTCTTCGTCTTCTTCTTCTTCTTCTGCGCCCTCATGGACTGACGTGGACCTGTATCCGAACAGAAGCGCGAAAGCACGATCCTGCGCATCTCCGACGACCCGGGCCGCTACCTGTGCGACTTTATCTACTTCTCGAGCCTGGCACACCTGTGGAAGCAAGGAAAGCCCCGGGAGGTGCTGTTCCTGCACGTGCCCGCCGTTGCGGACGAGGACGTGCTCGAATACGGCCGGGAGCTCGTGCTGCAACTTCTGCGGTCGATTGTCGAGGTTCACTTTGCCGAGTATCGCGCGTAGTCAGCCGGTGACCTGGCGCTCGGGTTTCCGGTGAAGGAAATTCCCTGTCAATATTCTTTTCGTTCTTCTACGACGACATAACTTTTTATTGATAACTTTTTATTGATTTGCCGTGTGAGAAGGGCCTATCATTTCCGCACGACTTCCGAGCACCAGTTTGGGGTTACGTGTTCCTCGGGGTTTCTTGCCTGTCTCGATGTGTTCTGGCGACTGCTCACACGCAATTAGTTCTTCGTGATGGGAAATATTCTGAAATATGGCAGTCGTGCATCAGGTCGGATATGCATGACTTTGTGCAGCCAGGATTCCAGGGATGACTCTATGTTTACGTAGTTTGTCCAAACATAGTTTGTCCAATCTGCATACGTCAGCCATTCCTTGCTTACAGCACGCCTTGGGTCTTTAGTCAAGACGCCGGCTCCAGTGAATACAAGCAAACCACAGAGACTTTATTGGCATACCCAGGGTACAGTACATCACATTGGCCGTGCAGAGCGGGCAATGATTGCCAGTGGGAAAAGCATCTGACAAAAACCACTTGTGCCAGCACATGCCACCACCCTCCACGCTATAATGATTCCAGGCCCCAATTCCCCGAGGTCGCCGACTACTTTCTCCACCACCGCAGGGAGAGAGGCGCCCGCAAACCCCGACTTCCGGGCCGCCCGCCGCCGCCGATCGGGGAAGGAGGGAAGCAGCCCCTCCATACAAAAAGGCCACAGGCTCATCATGATTACGATATCCTTTGAACCTCGAATGCCTATCGACACCCTTGAATCCCAATCTCGATATTTTGGCGCTCACCTACGACCACACGGACCTCGTATAGATTGTCTGCGGAGACCCCAAAAAAGAGATTCTGCCAGATCGACAAAAAAACAAAGCATAATGTGCATGAAGGCATCCTGCAGCGTCTGTGGTACGTCTTGTCGTTTTTTTTTTCCGCCATTGCGGCCTCATCCCTCCTCGTTTCCTGGCACTGCCGTCACATCGCGCACACACACACACACGCACACACACAGATCCCTCCCTATCGTCCCTTTCGTTTATGTCATCCCTTCCATTTCTCTCACAAAGATTCTTCTTTGCACAAGGGATGCCCCGGCGACGAGGAGCATGATTATGAGAAGGAAAAAAAAAAAAAAAAAAGGCCATGAATGTTCTGACCGGCTCTAGGCAAAACCTCCTGGTTCGGCTGCGGCGCCCACATCCCGGGAGTCCTCGACGCCATCCCCAACGACCAGTGGTGCACGTGCACCCCGAAAGTCGAGGTCGGGGCCAAGGAGTACCCGCCCAAGGCTGGCACGGGGACCGCCACTTCTTCTACGGCGGCGTCTTGAGCTTGAGCTTGAGCTTGGCTTTCCAGCTCAAGCCCGGTTTCTGCACTAGACCGTCACGAGTTGTAGAACTGCTCCATGAGAAGGTCGGCGGGAAGGAAAGAAGAAAGGAAGGAAGATGGTCTTGCGCAGTAGGGCCCCAGGGGCTGGGGTCGGGGCAGAGGTAGGGCGTTTGGTGTAGGAAGGTTCTCTGGTGGGGGTGAAGCATGGAGTGTATCGATCGTGGGATACACAAAGAGTGTGATTGCGCTAGAACGTGTGGCTTCGCCGTTAGAATAAAGGCTCATCTGCGGATTGTTTCATTAATCATATCCGCTGTGTGTGCATGCCTGCGTCGTCGAGTCATGATTGCGAGTCTGCCAGATCTGGTTGGGTTTGCTCTGTCGCCAGCTTTTCACAACGTTCACATCCCAACGCGAATCTCTTATGAAATTGATATCGTCTCTATTTGTATTGATGTCTAAGGTCTGTTACTGCAACTATTGCGTGAACGCTGCACTTGTGCGCCTTTGCCTTCTACTTCCCCGATATCGCAGTGACACGCGCTGCATCCTCCCTCCTCTCTCTACAACTGCTGCTCCCTCCGCCAGCCAGCGCGCATGTACTGCTTTGGCCACACGACCGGCACGCCCAGCTTGTGCGCGACACGCAGTGGGAACTCGGGCTCCCGCAAGAGCTGCCTACCAATCAAGACGACGTCGGCCTGCGTCGTGGCTCCAGACTCCTCCTCAACCTCAACCGTGCCGTTCGATGCCTCTGCGGGCTTGCCGCTGCCGCTGCCAGTCTCCTGCACGATGGATCGTGCCATCTCGGCCTCGGTAATCATGCCGACTGCACCAATCAGGAGGTCCAGCCCAGCCTCCTTGATGGCCTGCCGAATCTTGCCCGCAAGGTCGATCTGGTAGTATGTGTGCATGCTGATCTTGGCTGCAGCGTTGTTGCCGCCGGAGCTGACGTCGAGTAGGTCGACGCCCGCGGCTGGCAGTAGCTTGGCGAGCTTGATGGTGTCTTCGATGGTCCAGCTGGGCTCGCCCGTGTACTCCATCCACCCGGTGGCCGAGATGCGGACCCACAGCGGCATTGTCTCCGGGATCACCTCGCGCACTCCGGCAATGACCTCGAGCAGCAGGCGCGTGCGGTTCTCGAAACTACCGCCGTAATGGTCGGTGCGCTTGTTGCTCGTTGGTGAAAGGAACTCGGTGAGCAGGTAGCCATGGGCGCTGTGGATCTCGATCACGTCGATGCCCGCCGCCACGGCGCGCCGGGCAGCGTCTTTGAAGGCCTGCAGTAGTGTCCGGATGTCGTCGAGCGTCATCTCCTTGGGTGAAGGGTACTGATGGTCGAAGGGGATTGCCGAGGGGGCCCAGACGTTGTCAGGCCAGCCGCCGTGCTCTGGGCCGGCCGTGATGCGGCCGACATCGCGGGGTGGCTGCCAGGGAGAGGCAGTGCTCGCTTTGCGACCAGCATGAGCGAGCTGTATGCCGAACTTCTGGCCTTGGGAGTGGGCAAAGTTGGCGAGGCGGCGAAGGGGCTCGATCTGGCTGTCCTGCCAGAGGCCAGAGTCCTCTGGGCTGATGCGGCCGTTGGGGGTGACGGAGGTGGCCTCGACAATGGTGAGGGCGTTCCCACGGATCATGTACTGCGAGAGGTGGGCAAAGTGCCAATCGGTGAGGTGGCCGTCGAACGCCGAGTACTGGCACATGGGCGCCACGGCGAAGCGGTTGTGCAGCGTGACGCCGCGCATCTTGAGCGGCTTAAAGAGGGTCGGGGCATTTTCCGGGTCGAGGGCGGCGCCGATGGGGCTTGCGGGGACGGGCGTGAAGGACAGGACAGCCGCGCCGGACTTTGTTACGTGGTCTGCTTTGACGACAGTCATTGTGAGGTTGTGACGAGTGGTGATGAGGCTGCTTGGCATCAACAAAGTCGACAGGATCGCGCTTCAAGGGCGGTCTTTATACGATCCAGAAAGGTGGTGGAAGCTGGAGCGGGGCAGGGCGATGGGGGGGGGAAGGCACATTCGGCATGGGAGTTGCGATACACGCATCAAATTGCGTCACCGTTGTGCTGCAGCGGTTGTCTCTACAGCAATGTCGAAGGCAAGACTTCCAAGGTCGTACAGACACTTGCGTGACCTGACCACGCCGCGTGCTCACAGGCTTTGTCCCAGCGAGGCAACTTCGCCGTTCGCAGTTCGCCGTTCGCTGTTCGGCATGTTTTCCCGGGCAAGACTTGCAGAGCAGCCCCAACACGAGATCTCGGCCTCAACAGCGTCATCCAGCCGCGTACGCCGCATGCAACGCAAACTCGGGCAGCACGACGGGGCGAGGTGCGCTGTGCTGAATAATCCCCAGTCTGGCCTGGCCAATTAACCGATTTAAGCTGCGGCACCTGATTGGCTGCACTGGAGGACCCCTCTGCCCGATCTGGCAGGTGCGGGCCGAGTGGCTGCTCCAGAGGCACAGGCGGACGGCTTCTGTGAAAACTGTGCTTGGTTGCATAGTCCAGCGAAAGGGCTTCAGTGATAACAGTTTGGCCCTTCGTCGAGTTCTGCCTGGTGTTTTTCAGAGTTGTTCAGCACGAGCCATGGTTGATGCCGGTCCGTCACCTCACAGTCGATCAGGGGTTGCCCACGATCCGGTCGAAATGGCATGCGACGATGGTGCAGCAATGGTCATCCACCACGAGTCAACCAGATCGCGGAGAATGCCACTTTGTATGTGTGCCGTCTCCCGGCCGGGTGCGGGTGAGCCACTTGAAAGTTGAAACAAGCCGGGGCGGTCGGGAGACGGTGGGCACTCAAGGTCAAACAACACGACAAGAACCAGAGAAGACACGGAAACACGTGGACCTGGTTTCGTTTCCTGCGTGCCCAGAGAAGAGAAGAGAAGAGCGGGCACGACGACGGGAAACAAAAGTGTGTGTCTGCCGTACCTGCAGCACGGAGGCGGCGCCCTTGTATGTTTGAGGTCGTCCCATGTGTGAAGCGTCGCAGGATGGGCCGGGGTGTGTGGGCTGCGCTGCGGGCACAGACAGCGGGGCCGCCGGTGGCCTGTGCGCTCCTCGCCTGCCTCTGGCCGCTGGGGACCGCTGCCTTCTCCGCCTCGACTGACACACTCGGCGGATTGCAACTGCACTCCTGGATCACACTTGCTGCATGCTCCAGCGTTCTCCAAATCCCCAGCTCTGCACCACGTCGACGATCAGGAACATGCTGTGTAGCGTGTTGGCCACGAGCCACTGGGGCTCGCCTCACCTCGAATCGAGTCGAGTCGAGTTGAGTCGCAACAGCAAACACAGCCAAGTCGCCCTCATGTCTCCTCCTGGAAGAGCCGCATCGTGAAGCACCAAAAGCAAACGAAACAAAACAAAACATCATGAAAAGGACTCGGCCATCGTCACGATGGCAGAAGCTTGGGCCACAAGTTCCGTAGCGAGATGCCAGCCGGCGTGCCTGCGAGCCTGGCTTGACCTGGGCGAGGCTGCCAGGGCAGGACCCTCTGCCCCATCACGTCCCATCCGCTATCCAGCATCCGGTTTCACCTCTGCCAGGGGCTTACACAGAGCAGCATGACCACACACGGCACTAATCAATCACACACTCACTACGACCCCCGTGCCTGTGAATGCCAACCTGACCATCTCACTGTCAGCCTGCTCTGGATATCACGCGAACAACCCTGCTGCATATCCTGCCATAGCTCCCGTTGCGGGGCCCCCAAGCCTGTTCTCGTGTCTCAGGCTTCTGCCTCTGCCTGCTCAGGAGCTCTAGAAGCCGCGATAACGCTGCTGCTTACCATCCGGCCGGGATGGCTTCTAGGCCCCCCTGCCCCCGGCGATGGCCTCAGCTGCGGGTTAGGGGTCGCAGGAATCATGTTTGTAATGAGCTGTTATTACATCTCGCCACTCCCACGCCCATGACTCTGCCTGCCTGCTCTTTCTATCCGCAACTTCTCTCTTGATTCCGGCAATCAACCGCTTTCCATTCTCTCGGCTGGTCCATCTTCGCTTTGACCCATACACTATTCAGCACCGGCTCTGGCAGCCGGCATCTAATGACAATGACGATGACGATGATCATGACACCAATGGCCATGTCCCATAAGCGCAACAACTCCATCGGCAAGCGGGCGCCAGTGGGCTCCCCCAGTGAGTAAGTCATACGCGTGATCAAGGTCATCGTGACTTACAAGCATACATTATCAAGGAGAGACTTGTTAACCCGGCTTGTCCTTTAGGCTTCCCGGCCCTCAACGGATAAAGATCTTGGTTGGCGAGGAACAGCACGACTTTTCCGTCGACCGTCGGTTGCTCTCTGCCACGGGCTACTTCTTCAAAGACCTCATCGACAACTACTCGAGGATAGAGTTCGAGGATGGCGAGGGTTTCCTCGTCATTGCCCTTCCTGACGCATGTCCTCTCATGTTTGAACTCTTTGTCGACTGGCTTCTAGACGAGAACCTCCTGACCGAGATTCTCAACGACGTGGATGCGTCTAACGAGGACGAGTGTCGCGATCTCCTGCAGGACCTCGTTGAGCTGCACCTTTTCGCCGCCCACATCGACGTTCCTCTCCTCCAAGACTTGGCCATGGATGCCATTCAGGACCTCCATCTCCGCTGCAACTGGGACGTTAGTCCCTCGCTCATTGCCTACGTCTACACAGAGTGCGACCCTAGTGAGAGCTGCCGGCTTCGCAAGTGGATCGTGGCCATGGTCGCGTGGAACGTGGGTGGCACGGACAAGACCATGGACATGGAAGCGCTCAAGGCCCTGTTCATGATGTGCCCAGACTTCTTGGAGGAATACAACATCCATCTTCGAAAGACCTCCCGGAACAGGCTCAAGGTGCAGCTCAAGAACCCTCAGCTGAGACTCCCGTCCAACAACCTCCGGAACGAAGAGCGTCAATTTGGCTTCAGGCAATGCTCCTTCCACACCCATCGATCCACTGTGGAGCAGAGCACCTGCCCTCATTTGTACACCAAAGCTCCATCTCACTGGTACTCTGTTTGGGACTCGTCGGATGACAGCATGTCTGACTCCTCCTCCGGCTCTCCACGGGGTTGGTCAGTCATCGGAGATATCAATTGAGGTGCCGTGCATTGATTGCGGCGGGACCGCGGGCAAGTCCCATAGATTTCTCAACCATGGAACAGAACTCGAGGGCGGCAACCGGGTTGGTGAGCTTTGGGAACAACGCAGCCTCACAACTACGTTCTCAGGCCATCAAGATATCTCCGATGGCCTGCAAAGTCCCACGAAACGCCATAAAATTGCGCCGTCGATGCGGCAAGTTGGAGCAACGCATTATGCAAGCACAGCATCGCAGCAGTCGACAGGCAACCCCAGCCCCAAGCACGAACCCGACAACGGAACCAGACATCTCCTCGAGATCAACATCCAGACAACATTGGGCACGCACTTCTGCCTCGAAGCCCTTTCTGAAACTCCAGTCATTCTATCAGCCACCATGTTGGAACCAATCTCTCCCCAGCCGAAACCCAGTCAGCCAATTCAGTCATTGGACACTCGCGCTCCTCACCAACAGCCACAGGACATCTCTGATGCACAGCCGTCGCGCGTATCCTCCACGCAGACAGATGAGATCAACCTTGCACACCTTATAGATCGAATCACTCCAGAGGAGCTCGAACGCTTCAAGACCTATGGTCTCGAGTACCTGGACCTCCGCGCCACCATCAGTCAACTTTCCCGACGCAGAGCACAACTCAAGGCCGACCTTGCTGAAGTGCGCCGCCTCCGCATGAGCTACGCCCATGACTGCATAGAACGTGGTACCGGCCGTCTTTGCATGCGCTGCATGCTGCGTAACCTGCGCGTCTCCATTGAGATGTACTACATCGGGTTTCGCGCAGGTCAGCGAATAGGGCACCATGTCTTTGACTACGAAGAGCGCAGGGCACTATTCTGGCGCCGCCTGGACGACGAAACCAACGTGCTCTTTGACTACCTTCGCCAGTGTCTCCCAATGGTCTTGTGGGCCGACGCTGCCGCCAGCATGATCCACGGCGGCAGGCCACCTGCCTGGTCTCCCTGCCAGGTATCGGAGACGGAGCCTCTGCCACCTTACGAGGAGTACAGGCTTCCTGCATACAACAGAAACTAAGCACTCGCGGAGCTATTGACAGCAGCTGGCCCTGGCTGCGTCACGACCCGACAAGACACAGTCGGATCCCGCTCCGCTACGTGGGACGCCATGGCTGGGACAATTTCCACCCCATTTTCCTTTGTCAACAACGCACTCCACCAATCACACCACGGAAGCGACACATCGACTTAATTCATACGGCCGCTGCAGCACAGCGAATTTGTTTCATCTCTCAAATCACACACACATACTCTAATACACAAGACCTGCGTGCAAACAATGGCAGACAAGAAGTCGAGAGAGGTGGACGGGTGGACGGAAGGGGAGATGTGTAGACGAGGTTGAATGGCTTTCTCCTTTTGTGTCGCGAGTCGAAACACAAAAGAAAAAGGAGTTTTTAATGCCTCAACCACAGGATATCACATTACAGAATGCTAAGTTCAAGCCGAGATAGGTTACTGTGTGTATATACATATAGAACCACTCCACACACAATGGATAATCAAGTGTCAACTCACATTTACATTTTGAAATGTCGTAACGTGAAGCGCGTGCATGGCATCGACCGCTTGTCAACTTGCATTCACACAGACACATACTGTTCGAACGTCAATGACTGTCCTTGTCGATTGACAATTGCCATGTTAACTCTAGTGCACCCATTCATTCACAAACATATTCGCTGTTGTTCACATGCAAGACCAAGACATCGCCTTTGACGACACACAGATATATAATAATCCTTCAAAGACTCGTGCTAGAATCTATAAGAGGTAGATATGAAAAAAATGCGAGGACCTGGCCAAAGAAGGGCGAGACCGGACAAACGTGAGAACCAGTGTGGGAGGAAAGTAGCATGGGATAGACAGATGCTCGATTCGATCTAACAGTGCTCGTCGTGTAAGGACTTGGCGTGGCGATCCAAGCCTCTCAAAACTAAAACAACAAACGTCTGGTTCTGTCGGGTAGATCCGGCCATGTATGTATATGAGAGAAGAAAAGAACGAGAGTTAAAAAGATGAAACAGGTGCGCCGAAGACCATCTTCAAACTAGTGATCGCCGGCGCAAGCTGAGTCTGAGGGCCAACAAATCCAGAGCCGGGAGGCCAGAAAGCCGCATGCTGTGACTGCGTGCTTCCGCCTGATATAGCCGAGGTGCTCGCCAACAAATGCCGCGCATAAGATTGCATAGCAGCAGAGATGAGGAGCATCCTCCGCATCCGCGGCCAGAAGGTAGACATATCGTCAAAAACAAAAAACAAAAAACTCTGCTTTCCAAGATTGATCGTTCAGTCATTTCGTATCTGTCGTAATATTCATCATGAAAAAGGAAAAAGGAGGCGAGGAAATACGTCGGAAGGAGAGGGCACCAGTTATCTGACTGATGATGTAGTAGTTGGGTCTCGTGAGATGAGGGCACCGCAGCATGGGGCAGTGAGTGCCTCGCAGTTCTTGTAGTTTGAAAGTTCGCGGTGTCCCTCTTCGAAATGGTTGTAATGAAATGTGCCGACAAGAACGGCAGAATGGTGCGCAAGGCATCGCAAGTGATGTTGATTATCGACAAGGTCGGCCGCGATAAAGCGGCCTGTATTATATGTACCCATCCATACATCATGTAGGTGGCATCAAATATCGTGAAGAGCGTGACAGATGGACATCATGAAGGGGTATTATACACCATGAAGGCGGTTTGGAAATGCAACAGTGGCATGCATGTGTTTATGCGACGATGTGCTCAACGTCCGCATTAAGGGGGAGACTGGGATCTCCGCGGTTCCGTGCTACGATGACGGAAGTCGCGCAGCCGTTGGTCTAGATGACTGAGCCGAGACATCAGACTGGCTCTCCTCGATGGCGTGCCAGGTTCAGGTTGAATTGGCTGGTGAACCGTAGCAAATGGCCTCCGAAACACCCCCATATCGAAGTGCACCGGTGCCGAGAGCCGGTGAGGGAACGTCTGACTGTTGGCGGATGCCGAGAAAGGCGAGCCCAGACGCGCGGGCTGCTGCGTCAGGTCGATGCCTGGGCGCGAAATAATGAACGGGTCCGGCAGCACAGCGCTGGAGCTGGATATAACCTCCGGAGATTGTGGAGTGGTGCGAAGAGCCGTCGGCACGGGAGGTGGTGGGCTGGCGTTGGACCGTGAGATGCCCAGAGCTTCCGAAAGCTCTCGGCCGAATGCGGTAGCAAGACTCGGTCGCTTGCGATGAAGATGATCATCGGCGGCTCGAGTCGACCTTCTCTTCTGCGTGCCGGATCGCGATCTCGTCAAGCGAACGGGCGACTTCAGCAGTTTGCGCGCCCCAACAGTGCTTGAACGCGCCCGTGGGTTGATCTGAGCTGCTAAGGATGAGGACGAACTCGGCCCATAAGTGAATGGCGAACCCAGGCGCAGACGTTCATCTTCACCCGTGATCGGCGACGGCAAGGAAGCCATGGGGCTAGGATCATGCATGGGGGATAGGTCTGGGAACGGCTCAGTAGGCTCGTCGACGGGAGTCTTTCTCTCGAGAGGGGGAAGGAATTCAGGCTCGGACATTGTGAGCTGGGCGAGTGGCCCCTGGGGCTGCATGGCATCTGACGTGCTTACAACCAAGGAGACGGCCATGTCGTGCGCCGCGAACACAGATGAAGATCTGGCTGAGATGGATCGTTGGTGGCGGCGTTCTGCTGCTGGGCGATGCATGTGGAAGGGCGTAGGGCTCCTCGACATATACCTGTTGCGGCCGAACTTGGCTGCCGCGTTGCGCTTGCATAGTTCGCGCAAGTGAGAACGCGTGGCAGCAGACGAATGGGGCCATTGTACAAATGGTTTGGGCTCGTTCGCTGTTGGTGTGAGATCCCGGCTCTTGACGCCTCCGCTTAGCGAGTTCGTGCCTCGCCAGCTTCGTTTGGCTTCTCTGGCAACGCGCAAGCAGACTCCATGCGGAGGGATATTGCTCTTTCCGAGACGGATCGGGGTTACCCGGGGATCCTGCAGGTAGAGCGTGTACACCGACCACAGATGTTGGCTCATGGCTGGCGTCCATGGCAGTCTCCGTTGCTGACGAGTCTGGCGCTTTACAGTTTGTTCGTGGGCGGCGGGTTTGGCGTAGCTTAGATCGAAATGATCATCCTCGGGGCTCAACAAGTCATCATCGTCAGAGAGCTGCGAGATGTGGCTAAAAAGGGAAGTGCTGGTTTGTGTTGAAAATGCGGTTGATGGCCGGCTAGACTCGTAGTCCGGGCTCGACTCGAGGTCAGAACTGCTCCATGTCGACTCAAGCGACCAGTTGGGAAATCGCAAAGCTGGTAACAACGCTGGCGCGATCTCGGCAGGTGCAGGCGTCTTTGGTGGCGACAGTCTTGGTATTTGGAATCGGCTGTAGATGTCCCCAGCGTCCAAGTCCTGAACGCGTACTTTGGGGATGTCAACCTTCATGTCCTGGTCGCGTTCGAAATTCTCCGGCTCCTCGATGCTTGGAATCGGGACGTCCGCAGCCGCGACTGACGCGAGGAACTGCTCTGTTGGCGCGGTCAATTGCGATACATGGCGCCTCTTCAAGCGTAGCCGCGGACGCGGCGCGGTCGGGAACATGACTTCGTCAGCCATGGCCATGGGCTCAGGAGTTCGCGGCGACATGCCGTCGGCGTTGTAGTGGAATCCACGCGGCATGGTGGCCGAGCCGGAGAGCGACTGCTGGTTTCCAGACATCGTGGAGATAATCAACAACAAATGGAGGGGATCCACAAGCGCGATCGCGGGGCCGTAGGGCGCCTCAGTTCTGAGTGACAGGTCTGAGTGACAGGCGAGTCCTTCCGTCGCTGTCTCGGTGCAAGGACCTCCACTTCGTGCGCGTGTTGTAAACACGCTGCGGCACGCAGAATCGGGTAAGGTCAGGCGCGGATGTCTTGGACGCTCATGGTCCGATTGACGACACGGCAGCTCGTTGCAGTGGCGCGCGCGCCTTGACGGTCGACCCAAGTTGATCGCACGGTGACGGTGTGGGTTGCTTTGTGGGTGAAAGTCGGGGGGGGCTGGGCACGGCGCACGTCGCGGTCGTTGTAGGCACTGTTTCAGGCACTTAAGACAGTGCGCACGGCAAGCAGGAGGGTCGCAGTATCGCCGCCGATGGTTCTGTACACATTTGAAGAAGAAGGGAATTCTTTCGCGGTCAGGCGAGCGCGGAAAGACGGGTGCGACCAAGGAAAGATGGTGTTGTCGTCAGGAAACAGGGCGACAGGTGTGTGTGGTGATGGACGGGAGTAAGTAGGTTGGAGCTGGCGCGGGCGCGGGCGGTGTCACTTGCAGGCTGTCCTGGGGCTCTCGAGGCTAGCGAGGTGGCTATGGGCGCACCTGGGCAGGCGTAGCTGGTCGGCCGAGGAAAAGTCTTTACAGGGTAGGCGGTTTTGTCTCGAAATGAAGCTCCACGGGACAGGCCGTAGCGGCTGCGGCACAGGCCCACCCTGGCAATCGACAAGGCCGGGATTGATATGTACTCGACCACAGGCAGGCAAGCAGTTAGGAGGAAGGAGAGAAAGAAGGAAATGCGGCAATTGTCATCTGGATACTAGTCAACCGAGTATAGCATGCGTGATGCGCGGACGACAGGAGATGAAGAGGACAGAGAGGGGATGGAGGGAGTAGAAGTGGGAGAGGAGACGATGGATGGCCATGGGCAGGCAGGTGCAGGGCCCAGCTGCTGAATCCTGTGGAGTGCTCACCACTCAGTCTGACAGGGCACTGGCGCTCCACGATGCCCAGGTGCAGGGGAGGTCCACCCACGGCCGCCCGAGGCGTGCCACGCCGCTCACTCGACGGTTTGGGCACACGTTGGCGCTCCCACGTATGCCGTTCTGGGGCTGGACTGCCAGCGCCAGGGGCCCCTGGCTCGTGCTATCACACACCCTGCAGGCGACACTGTCAAGTCCTCGTTGGCCACTGGGCTCGGCCTCAACCCTCGAAACCACGTCCAAGCGGATCAGCATCGTGCAGGCGGTGGAGGTCCTGGATCAATGGGTGAGGGGGCTGACCCCAGAGAGTGCCTTGGACCAGGGCGACGATATCAACATCGACTAGGAGCGAGGCGAGCTTTGACTCAAAGGGAAGAGAGGCGGTGGACGATCACCACGGCTCAAGCTCTGGCTGACTTTCGAACCACGACTAATCATCAGACACTAGCAACACGTTAGTCGCAGGCACCTGTACCGAGATCAATGTGAACAGGCATCTCAAGAGCCGAGCGAGCACTAGGTGAACAATGCTAACACACATCCAGTCCGGGCCAGACTCTACGTAGTATGCGTGGCTCCGAGTCGACCTCTGCGTGGTTAATGCCTCGATGCCTTTCATGTCGAGTAGACTTGGCATAACGCTTGCTGGGATCAAGACAGCCAGGCCTGTCACCAGCCCAATGCAGGGGATCATCACTGGCGCAATCCGTGGCCAGGCCCCACGGTCTCTGACATGGATTATTGCTCAAGATGCTTGGGCGGACATGCAGGCTAGAGGCACCTAGAAGTTGCGGTGTCGCGCTCGGCGAAGTTAGGTCACGACGCTCGAGCAGCAAGGATAGGCTCACGTATCGCCAGTCAGCCAGCGCCGCCTCCACCTAGGGGCACTTCTGGCTCGCAAGCACCAGGCCATCCTGCATGCATCTGCGCGGTCGGGAAGCGTTCGAGGCCAACAGGGTACGACACGACTAGACTGCATATGCAACGATCTTCGCCGGCACGCTTTGTGGCCCGTACCGGAGATCGTGTGATAGGTCCCCATCGGACCCTTTTACCTCTACCTCCTTTACGTGGCCTGGGGTCGGTATGGCGCAGTCTTAGCCAGCCATTTTGATTCTCGTATTGAGAGTCATGAGAAATGCTCAAACGGTCTTTCATGGACCTGGGCGAGACGCGATTGAACTCTGTGTCCATCTCATTGAACATGAGCCATCGGTCGGTTCTTTTTGTCGATACAGCCTCGAAAAGGTTGTGAGGTTGTCAGCAAAGCCCAGAGACGAGGACGTCCGTGGGGGTCGTCGCATCGGAGAGCGCAGGGATTCGGTGATCAGCTAACGCTCCCACAACGACGCAACTCGGCCCCAGAGGACGCTCCGAAGGCTAGTCTGACACGAATCTCGACAGGTTGTTGACTAGGCTTGCCTCGAGCAAGCCAACCTGTTGAAGGACAGAATTAAGCGCTGGGTCTCAGGTGTCTGGGTTCGCTCTGCGGCCTTGCGGCTTTGCGCCGACCATTTGAGTGGCCCGTGGCGTCTCCTGTACGTTACTTGACCAAGGTCACAGAAAACGGCCGCAGGACGATACCACAGCTCTGGCAATTAGCCGCCAGAGAAGATGTCAAATGACGATGGTCACGACCATCCCAGGTTTGCTACCAAGCCCCAAAGCAGAGTAACATACGGAAAGCAACTTGGTGCAATGGGAACCGACCCATTTGATCCCATTTCTTGAACAGCTGCCGCTCTGCAATGAAGCCATGGCGTTTCGGCAAACTCGAGTTTTCAGGCTTTCGTCGAGGTGGGATGTCGAGGAACCCCAAAGTGAGGGGAAGCGCGTCTCCTCCGCAGGCTAGACGCGAAAGGCGCGCGTTCTGGACCCTCGACGCGTCCAGCCAATCAGACGGAAGTAACCCCACTCAAAGGTCCTTGAAGTATCACAGGGTTACATGCAGCAGCTGCATGCTGCAGTGCTGCAGTGCCAGGACGAGCTACCACGGGGTGGCCCTCAACGACGGACGGCGGGGAGATCCCGTCCAAGTGCTACGCTGCTTGACGGAAATGCACACAGAGCGGCAGAAGCCGTGCTAGCGTAACGCCGACGATCATCCCAGCGACAAGCCGGTCATTTACGGGATGTTCGCAAGGTGCTGTCGTCACGCTTTCAGATATTGGCTACAGACATTGGAGAGTGCGTCTTTCTGACTGCACGTGGTACGGCCGTTGGATCGGTGCCGGCTCCGGTCTGGGCTGACCAACCCTCCCGGCCGTTGAGCGCTTTCTTTCATGAACAGAGAGCAGCTCCTGCACTGCATTTTGATGGATGGGCAGTTGTTCGATCTTCTGCCGTTCAGAGTATCCATGGAGGGGCTTCGCATGCTTGCAAAAGCGGCATAAAGGGCATATGCGGCGCGATTTCGCCGGAGCTCAAAAGGCTGCTTCACCAATTCGGCTTCCGAAGAACTTGTGACTCCCAATGATGAGACTTGGGGTGCCTGATATGGGTTGGTGGGCAGCCATATGGCCTGACACCTTAAAAAGTCGTGTAAGGGATATCTGCTTTGAGACGCTGTCCTCAGTAGCACTGCATTTCGCTCCGTCACATCAAGCGGGATCGGTTTGGTCTGCCTTCCTGTGACCAGACAGATGCCTCAACCTCCCAAGGCCTTCTTAGCCTGGCTGGAGAGAACCTGAGCGAGGGGGAGCAAAATTAAGGTTGCGAGCCGTCCCATTGAGCCGAGGAATGCAGCGGACACAGGCCAAGAAGTGTAGCTGGATACAATCACTTCCTGCCAATTTCACACTCGCCGGATGATTGCAGTGCCAGCCTACTGACGTACATGAGGTACATGTCATCGAATGAAGCAGGTATTCTCCATGCTTAGGAGAGTCTTAGAATCCCAGATGAAGACTGGTATCAGTTGCGGACACTGATGTTCCACACCTCCAAAGCCCGATCTCACACGCCTCACTGTTCAGGATCGCGCACTGTATTGCGGGGAGCTTGGGGCACCAGAGCTACGAAGGGATCAAGCTTTCCCCGGATCCGCCACAATCTTGAACAAGCGAGACAAGGTCCAGGGTGCAAAAGCTGGGCTACAACCATGCCGACAACAGACAATCATTACAAGTACGACGGCCAACTGATCACGACGATGCGCGCCTCGGGAACGGCTGGGCAAGCGGAAACACATGGGCCATGTACTACCAAGGAAAGCAGCTGTACCCCTGAATCTTCTGCGTGACGGCACTCAAGGCTGTGTGCATCTTGGTTCCTGCAAGACGGCAAGACGGCATGACCGCAGGATCAGAAAGGCCCACGGCTCATACATTGAGCATGAGCGATGTCGCGCTCGGGAGGTTGTGGGAGCCTGTGAATGACTTCACTTGGCCGCCGCGACGGTGTGGAGCATGATGCAATTCTCAACTTTGGGCCCGGTCGTCGCTGCCACCACATCTGGTACCCGAACCCCACCTGCACCTTCCATCGCCTCAAATGTTCACGACGAACAGCCCCGTTGTCAGTCCCGACATGCGACAACATTCAGCCAAGACGGCCAGAGCTGAAGCGCTCTGAAATCAGCACCTGCGTCACACATGTGCGTGCAACGTCTCGCCATGGAGCTCATCACCCTCGACAACTTCGCAGCCATCATGCCGGCTTGGCACCCAGGCCTCAGCAATCACTTGTATGCCCTGGTTGATATGGGCAGGTTCGTACTCAAGCACTGCAACTGAGCCCTCGTCGTGTGGAGCGTTCCCTGCCTTGTTCATGCGCTGATAGGCTTCAAGCAATGGCATCCGCTTTACCATATCTGATCTCACGCCGCCAAGGTCGCGATTACTACGATGTATATATCGCGAGAGGGCTGACATTTCGCTCTTCGATGCCCTAAGCACAACGCCTCCCGGAGAGCCTCTCCGATTCCCTGAAGAGGTCATTTTCCGGGTGCCAAAGGTCTTGTCCCGGTTCAAGGGAATTGCTTTAGCTTACGGCGTTCCTCTTGAGCACATATCCATCTTCGCCACAGAAGCCATGCGCAAGGCCAGCAACGCTGCCGCGATGTTGGAGGCCATATACGCTGCGTCAGGGCTACAAGTCCAGGTCATCGCACCAGAGGTCGAGACACTGTTCGGTGCCATGGGTGCGAGGAGTGCCTATGGACACGTCAAGGGCTTGTTTCTTGATCTCGGCGGTGGGTCTGTTCAGATGAGTTACATCGATACGCGCCTCGACAACTACGAGCTTCAAGCTGCCCGCTACGGCAAGAGTCTACCTTTTGGAGCAGCTAGATTAAGTAACATATTGAGAAATCAGAATACAGACACCCAAGCACTAGCCCGCAACGAACTCCAAGATGGCGTCTTGCGATCTTTCACCGATCTCCGTCAGCAGTATCAGAGTCTCGCGGACACACAAGCAGAAGGTGGCGATGGCATCGATCTTTATCTTTGTGGCGGCGGCTTCCGTGGCTATGGAAGCATGCTCATGCACAGCGATCCGATACAGCCATATCCCATCCCAACGATAGGCGGCTACACTGTAGATGGCCAAAGATTCCGCAACGTAGTTGCCCTCAGAGAAATCAATGCAACACATGACGGAAAGATCTCGGGAATGTCGAAGAGAAGGCGTCTACAGTTCCCTGCAGTTGCAGAAGTCGTGGAAGCCCTAGCAGCTGCGATACCCAGGATCCGTTCTGCCACATTTTGCAGTGGTGGCAATCGGGAGGGGGCCTTGCTCATGAGACTTCCGGGGTCGATCCGCGAATCTAATCCTCTCTCTACTCTGACGCAAGCGCAGGACGAGACCAGAGGGGAAGTGGCAAAGGCTGTTCTGGAAATCCTGGAGGCTGCTGTGCCAGCAGTTGTCCGCCAATGGATCCCTACCATATTCTCTCTCCGAGTAGCGCCTCTATTCATCGACAGGATATGGTCCCGCCAGGGAGACCCTGAAGAGTCCAACGCCGCACTTGAGCTCCGCCACAGCCTCACCTTTGACCCGAATTGTCCGGGTTTGACAAATATTGCCAGAACGGTGCTCGCCTTGACAACCAGTGCCCGGTGGAGCACAAAGCAAGCCCCTGCTGACGAAGTTCTCCATCAGAACTTGCGAGCGCTTGCAAGTTCGGCGCACCCAGAGGCTGTCTTTTGGGCAGAGTACATTGGCACTGTTGCCGCCACGCTATGCAAAATCGTGCCAGTGGCCCCCGTGGCACCTGGTTCCTTGAGAGCCGCCCTTGGGTGAGTCTGAGCACGCTAATGTAAGGGAACGTGACTAACGATAGGCAGTATTGATGCAAATTTATCCGAACCCGTATCGGAGGGCCTACCTAAAGTCCTCAAGTTGCAGCTGACGGTCCCCGAGACCACCCGTCAGGCTCTCGGATATGATACTCTGGTCGAATCGCTGAAGCAATTGGGAAAGCAAAAAATTGGGTTATCTACCATCAGCCTGAAAGTCGAGGTGGAAGTCAGTGCTTCCTAGCTTCAGACATTTTGACGGACGCCTCAGCTTGCACCTTCGCAATACTAAAGATGCCGGAAAATTTCCGCACGGCGCGTGCGAAAGGACATGACCCGCGACTATTGCGTTACGTTGCACAGCAGCCCTCACGCGCCCAATGAATAGCTCCAAAGACAAGACGATTGAGCTTGACAAGTATTTCGTCATATTAATCTGTGACACCTACAGACAGTGACAGAACATCTAACACCAAACGCTTGCTTATTTCCAAACGGAAGCCAAATTTCATTGTTGAATCATTCAATCATCACGCGTACAAGACACACCAGGCACTGAGCACTCGGATATAGCTCCAATCACCTTGAGTGCTTGGCCCGCTTGTTCTTTGCCCTTACGAGCAGTGCGAACAAGATTTGGTCGGAAGAATCTGGGGAGAGGTCCAGATCTTGTTGATCTGTGCCACAAAAGTCAGTCATGGTACAGAAAACCTGATCAACTCGGAAGTCCAAAGACTCACAGAAAAAGCTTCGCTGTTGGAGGACAAGGCTCACGTCCATGCTGATATCCTGCATGGTTCTGTCCGAGTTGGCCTCTATCTTGGAACATCTCTCAAGAAGCTTGTCGATCTTGGCAAAGTACGCGTCACACATGACAACGAGTCCTGTGTATATGCTCATCGTGGCCCTGCAGAAACGGCCATAATGCGAGAAAGTATCGTCATCTGTACACAGCTCATTAGCCTTGGAGGGTCCAGATTATTCCGGGGACCTGACACATACATAAGTCTTGTCCAAAGCCCGAGCCATTGACCGACGGCATCGCCAACAATTCGCGATACAGGAGAATACACTCCATGAGGCATGCCCAGACGGTGATTTTTTGCAGGTCCAACAGCGACTTGACCTCCTTCGGTTCGAGCAGCTTGTCAAGCGAGGCGAGGATGTCAAGCTCCAGAGACCTCATCCGAGATGTCGCGATCCTCTTCAACTCCGCCTGGACCAACCAAGGGAGCTCCTGAGGCACGGAATCCCCTGCGCGGTAGCAGAAGAAGCTGTTTGTCGACCAGATCTTGAACATACAGCGCATCTCGCGGACACGGTCAAGGAGCACCTTCCACTCGGGCTACAAAGCCGTCAGTCAGATTGCAAGGCATCCAAACGTGATGCGCAAACATACCTTCCGGCCGGAGGGCACCTTCTGCCCGTACAGTGACTGCAAGAGAACGTCCAAAGAATGCTGGAAGCTGATTGGACCCTCAAACTGCATCTGACTTGACACCCATCCCTGCAACTCCAGGAGTCCGGGCACCTGGCCACGATTGAGCAAGTAATCGGCAGGTGCAGTCTGATACACGTCGGCGTGGTCGTGTGCCAAGGCATGCTCCACAACCGAGATTGGCAGGATTGGTCCTCCGGGAACGAACACGACATCCCAGATCATCGACTGCGACGCACTCCTTGAGTCTCTCGCAAGCTTGCTTGCAGCTGTCGATGGTTGACACTCTGTGGCAAGTCAGCACTGGCCGAAATGGATCACCAAGACCATGCTTCTACCAACCTTGGATCTTCTCAAAAGCTCGGCCACACTGGGCAAACGAACGACGAATGCAGATTTGCTGGGACAAGGGCACGGAGGAGTCGTAGCAACCACTCCTGCTCTCGGCATGCTTGACGCACTTCTCACAATCAAGCTCACGGTCGCACTGCCTCGACTCTTTAGCTTTCGTGGTGAGGTATCGCTGTTTCTGCAAAGGATCGACTTACGCTAACTTTTGTGATCTTGCAGCGAAAGCAAGCACCGAGTGCCCGCACTTCTGCGACCTCATCCTTGTTGCAGAGGGGTCCGGAACGGCGACCCCTTTGCACCGTCCTCTTGGAGGGGACTTCAGTGGCTCCGTGGGGCCGCTTGGAGGCAGAGCCCTTGGAGCTCTTCTTGGTGGGCGAGTTGTGGTAGTCCTCGTGTGTCAGTGCCAATGGAGAGCGCAATTGGCCGTACACTTGCACTTCTGAGTTGTACTGCAGGAGCTGCTCATCGAGCTCTGGTTGGGGAGGGATGGAGAATAGGTCATTGTGCTGCTTGGCATGACCGAGATGTGCCGTGTAGGAGTAGTCACCAAGGTCTGCAGATGGGGAGCTGGGAGAGCCAGGGTGACCAGAGTCGGACGGGGTACCAGAGGCACCATAGACCAGGTCTGGGATGGACCGGCTGTCCGACCGGGGCCCGCCGTCGATGCTCATAGCGTCCTGGTCGTCAGTGAGACCGGACCAACTCAGGTTAGACTCAGAGCGGGAGGAGCCGTGTTCAACCTGGTCGGCTTCCCAGCGATCCCAGTCGAAGAAAGAGCAAGATGGGTCAGACGACGGGTAGTTATGGGCCCCGGGGAAGACATTGGACATTCCCTGGAGCGGCATGGTGAAAGCTGGCTTCCTCGTGTAAGTCTATAAATACCCGGGGTGGACAGCAGCTGAGACAACGGATCAGGCGCTGCTCCAAGATGCAGTGCGTGGTCAGAGCGGGTCTTTGCCTGGTTCTGAGTGGGGGATACTTGTCGAGAGAGTCTTCGTACAGCAAAATGAGGCACAAAAGTTATGAGAGTGTCTCGGAATCCTTCAAGGCCTCACTGAGTCTCGACGACTTGCACCCACGAGCTCACCGGACGCGGGCACCACAGCACTGCAGTGCGAGGCAGTTGACGATCATTGGCCAATGCGCCCCACTCCATTGGCCAATCAAGGCGTCGCTTCTCACCGAAACTGGCTGCCCTGGCGGCTGATTGGTCCATGTGGGGAGGGGACTGCCGTATTGGGACCCTGCCTGTCTCTGTGCCTGCCGTCTGCAACGACAACCTCCTGTAAGGCTGACGCCGCGCAGCCCATACACACATTGCGGATGAGGGCGGCGCGACGTGGTGGCCAACGTCGCGACAAGGAACGGGTTCCCGCCGGTAAGATGAGCATGCTCTTTCTTGTGTGTCCCCCCCTCCCTCTTCCCGCCGAGAGAGGCTAGATCCACTTGGTCCCCCTCCCTTCCCGTGAGATTACGCCAACGCTAATCTGGCAAACTGGGATTTCCCCCATCCCCAAAGCCCGGCCTGGCCTCATTTTATGGCCGCCCAGATTGCTGGGTCCCGCCGGGATGGACGGGCGGCCAGCCTGCTATGAATGGGGCAAGGCGTGCGTGGCAATGGAACAGAGATCAGCAACAGGGCTGTTTATGTGTCCCACGGCGGCTCCCGATCCGCGCTTGTCCCGTTCCTGAACACCAGCCATCACAAGACCTCTTATGCAACTTTTGCTGCAGATAATACGGGACGTGTGTGTGTGTGTCTTAAGTCAGGCAGTTGCCGACAAACCCATGCCTACTCTGTCACGCAACGCTCGTCGGTAACCTTGCGGACCAATCCGCGGCAATCCCTCGACCGACGGATAGCCCTCGTGCATCAGGTGGTCCTGTTTGACTTGCATGTTCCGTTCCTGGACATGTACATGCATCCGAACTCCCGCTCACACATGGACACACACACACACACACACCTTTACTCACAACCCCAGCCTCATGCAGCGTCACGCTCACTTGCACATGCGCATGGGACAACACGCGCCACATGCGCGGAGACGCTGCACACCTGAAATTCTCATCTGCGGATTTACATACAGATGGGACACTGGCACTTACAGCAGCTTGCCACCGGGGTCCGGCATATTATGCGCTTGCCGTCGTCAGGAGACGCAAAGTTCTCTCTAGTGGCTGCCGGTCATGGGATCCTTGCAGAGCGGGCCGTCCTTTTTTTGGCGAACAAGTCACTGATACTTTCAAAGCAGCTATCGATGGGCTCGGCCAGGGTATTGTGTAAAATCGCGTCGTGATACATCTCTGTCGCCGGGATTGGGGACCTAACCACATGACTTTCCGGCCAGGGCCGCATATTGTCTTTTGTGCTCTATTAACTGCTGTATTCAGGCCGCTGTATTTCTAGTGATGAGATGCAGATCCTTGTCCTTCCTCTCTCTATGAGTGCATGAGGTTAATGCTTTTTTAACGTTTTCATTATTTTAAGGGCAGGCGGGCAGGGTCACTGTGGTTCACGCATGGGCCGCTGTAAGTCTCATGCACGAACTTTATGCTTGAAGCTGGCGGTGGTGGGAATAATAGTGGGCATCTATGCCGACATGTCGTCGAGGTCCTTGCCCTCGATACGAAGGACCGAGAGATTGTGCGTGCTGCTACCAGTTGCTGTCTGAATCATGCGAGGGTCAGCGGCAGATGCAGTGGACAACGCCTATGCAGGTGGTGTGCCGACTCCTTTTTATGGGGAGGGGGGGGCAGTTCGAACAGATGCTGCTGGAAGTTACGAACTGCAGAAATGGCCGCATGCGCTCAGAGAAACTCCAAAGCCCAGAGGCGGTGGCTGCAGAGTGAACCACAGGACCAAGAGACAAGGATAATACCCGGGTCAGAAGTGTTTGTGCAAGGGGATAGATACACCGTCGTGCTTTTGCGCCAGGTGGATGCTAGCGAGCAGATGAGATGGAGTGGTTTTGGGGGCGACGTTGGTCCAAGAAAAGGCTACATGGTCTTTCACATGCACGCCGACCTCTAGGGAAGAACGGACTCAATAATGGTGGTGATGAGCAATCTTACTACAAACAACACAAGAGGAACGGGGGCTGCAAGACAACCAAACAGGCCCTGCTTTTAGCTCAGGGTTTCAGAGCTAAAGTTAATAGGCCCGAGAGATGGGGAATCAAGCGCGCTGTGGCTTGCGTGCGTGCTCGGGCCAGCATGCACGCAAGCCACAGCCGAGGCAGCGGGTTCTCCAACTCGAGCAGACTCTGCGCCTCCTCCAAGAACCAGCACGAACCTTGGAAGGACGACAGGAAAAGCGGCACCCAAGCAGAGAGAAGTCCAGCCGAGCATGTGAGCGCGTGCCACGGGTAGCACAGGAACCAAAAGTGCCGAAGCCGCCTGGCCGTCTCTCCCCGACCCACTTCTGTCTTGCAGCGTCCGGGCCTCTGCAGACGACAGCCCCGTCCCGGTTCCGGTGTTGCTGGCTCGCGGGCTGGCTTTTTTGAGCATTTGGCTCTGGCTCTGGCTCTTTCCCCCTCTCCATTGCGCCCCGGCTAGACGGAGAAACCCACGCCTCTCTTCTCCTTGACGTAGAGAGCCCAGATGCTGCTGCTGCCCACTCGCGCCGCCGCTGCCGCTGCCTGTCCACCACGGCACCTCTTGCACCGCGGCCTCGCTCTGCCGGCGCTGCTGTTCGGCTCCGCTGCCGGGCCCTCGCACCACCGGGACCATTCCACTCTGAGGAGCAGCAGGCATCTTGGCACGTCATTGCCGGTGCTGACTGTGACGGCCCAACCCTCCCAGAGCCCTGCACCTGTTTGGGGCGAGTACCCGGGCGGGCGGAGAGGCTTTGGGCATAATAGCAGCCAGGCCAGCCCACGCCCAGTGTCAGCAGTGGCCGGCCAGTGGACGGTGTCGCCGCTGCCGCCTAAGCAGTGCCTGCCCTTGCAGCAGCAGCAGCTCCAGCAGCAGTCTCTACCTGTACAACCAGCACCTGCACCACTGGGCTCCAGCTTACCACAGCAATTGCATCAGCAGCAGGATCGTTCCCCACGGGCCAATCACACCGCTGCAGCCGCCCTGCGAGCGGGCACCCGCCAGATTGCCATGGCCCCTCCCCCACCCCGCCGCTCGTCCTCGCCGCCGCCAGCCAGCTCAACCAATTTTCGTGCCTCCGGCTCCTTTTCTTCGCCTCTTAAGCTTGCCTCCAGCCGCTCTGCACTGCTCGCGAGGCACTTCTCGAGCACAACCACCACCGCTTCCCATCCCTCCAGCATGGCTTCTTCCCAGTTCTCGGTCCGCAAGGTCGCGGCCGCAAACACCCTCGAGCACCGCGTCTACATTGAGAAGGACGGCGTCCCCGTCTCCCCCTTCCACGATGTGCCCCTCTACGCCGACCAGGAGAAGGGCATCCTCAACATGATTGTCGAGATCCCCCGCTGGACCAACGCAAAGCTCGAGATCTCCAAGGACGAGCTCCTCAACCCCATCAAGCAGGACATCAAGAAGGGCAAGCTCCGCTTCGTCCGCAACTGCTTCCCCCACAAGGGCTACCTCTGGAACTACGGTGCCTTCCCCCAGGTTCGTGCGAGCAGCCGCCTCTTTGCACTCCCTGGTGCTCAATTGACTCGCCAGAGACCCATTGCTGACCCGTGATCCGCTTCCTGCTAGACATGGGAGGACCCCAACGCCATTCACCCCGAGACCAAGGCCAAGGGTGACAACGACCCGCTCGACGTCTGCGAGATCGGTGAGCTCGTCGGCTACACCGGCCAGATCAAGCAGGTCAAGGTCCTCGGTGTCATGGCCCTGCTCGACGAGGAGGAGACCGACTGGAAGGTCATTGTCGTCGACATCAACGACCCTCTCGCCTCCAAGCTCAACGACGTCGAGGACGTCGAGCGCCACCTGCCCGGCCTCCTCCGCGCCACCAACGAGTGGTTCCGTATCTACAAGATCCCCGACGGAAAGCCCGAGAACCAGTTCGCCTTCACCGGCGAGTGCAAGAACCGGGCGTGAGTGTGCTCCTTGCTCTACATGATTGGTTTCCCGTACTGACTCGTCATCTTCACAGCTACGCCATGGACGTCATCCGTGAGTGCGCCGAGGCATGGGAGAAGCTCATCACCGGCAAGACCCAGCCCGGTGGCATCTCCACGTAAGTTGATTGAATCAATTCATAACACCACATATGACACAAACTAACAATCTCTGCAGTACCAACTTGACCGTCTCCCACTCGCCCAGCCGCGTTGGTGCCGACCAGCTCCCCCCTCTGCCCGCCAACGAGGAGCTCACCCCCGCCAAGATCGACAGCTCGATCGACAAGTGGTTCTTCATCAGCGGTGCCGCCGCTTAGATCTGACATGCCATGCCAAAAGTCGGACGATAGATCAATGGAAAAAAGTCAAACAGCAGTCATCATAGTGGCGTGAGATGAATGATGTGATGAACATACGGCCTCAATTGACGTAAAAAAGATCATTGGCATGCCAGGGTTGATGCTCTGTGCGGTTTCCCGCTTTCAGCATGAATATCAGCCGTGATGATGCCCATGATCCGCACAGATTTGCTAGTGATACAATTGTTGTACAATTCGAGTTCGTCATGTCTCAAGTGCTCTCGTGCCAAATGCCCAAGTATTCCAAACAAACGCCAACAGAATGCTTCCCCAATAATGACCCTCCCTAACCACGTCGCTCGTTCGCTCTGTTTCCCGTTGCCAAAAGAGAACACCCAACCCACTCATTCGTTCAAGCTTGCCTGCTTCTGCAGGGAGCGCGAATGCCGCTCGACCTCCTCTATGATGTCCTTGATGCCGAGCTTCTCGCTGTCGAGCTTGAGTTCCTTGCCGTCCTCTGTTATTGGAGCCACGTCAGTAAAGGGCTGTCCGCATTGCGAATGCAGACATGTTTCGTCCACCCTCTCTCTCTGTCTCTCTCCAGCTCGAGCAGGTACCCATCATCCTCCTCGTTACACCCGGCGCACCTGAGCCAGGTGGCCAGCTCGGTGCCTTGCGTCGTCTCGTCACGCACGAGCGCGGAGGGATGGGTAAGGGGGGCCGGGGGGGGGGGGGGGCAACACATACTGAACTTGACACTCAGCGAGGCCGGGTCAGTGGCGCCTCTGGGCAGGAGCGTGGTGTTGATGACCATGCCCTGGGCGCGGGCCTGGGGCGGGAGGGCGGACAGGAAGAGCCGGGTCGCGCGCGAGGCCGCGGAGAAGGGGTTGAACTTTGTGTTCACCTCTGTTATGAATCGCGTGATCATCTTGGGCGGCTGGGTGTTGGTCTCTTTGCTGGGTGTCGGCGGATAATCGTCTACACAACACACGCGCGCGTATGTGTGGGATGTCGACTTTGGTTCTGGGATGACGTTTTGACGTTTTGCGGCGGAGGGGATATTCAAAGTCCGGCGTGAGGACGGGCGGTCGCGGTGGTGGTGCGGTGGTCCGCTGGCGTGGCCAATTCGTCTCAAGGGTAGGGTCTGGTCCTGCCAAAGTGAGGCTCGGTGGAATGTCGTTTGGGGTCTGTTGAGCTAGCTTCCTGGAAGTTTTCGGGCGCTGCATTTCTGGTTTGGCAGGGGATCGATTGGTGCAGCTACTTAGAGCCATGGTGAGGGGGGACCCACTATATACCTGTGGCATGGCGGCAAACAATTGGAAAGTAAAGGCAAAGAATGTATACCGCCGCACTTTCCATGGTTAAAGTGCATATTGTAAGCCTAGTACCGCTTGGTCATATTCCACGCCTTGTTCAGCTCCTCTGCCCGGTCTCCCAGTGGTATAGCATGAAGCCATTGATCAAAATCGGGACAATGCCGTGGTTGGTATTGCAATCTTCAGCACAGCGCCGTGGGACTCGGCGTGCTAGCCCCGATTTGGACTAGCTTGGTTTTGGTTTATCGAACAGGCACGCACTGCAGATGGGCAAGTGTGGCGGTGCGCCTGCACCCATAGCCGCGCCGGGGAAGTCGAGGTGGGTGGCTTGGGAGCTCAAGGCCGCTGGCCGGGGGAAAGTGCAACGTCACTCGGACCAAGCTCTCCCACGGCGAATTGCATGTGAGGTGGTGCGGGACAGTCCATTTCGGGGATCATAATTGTCCACTTCTCAGACCTGCATTCTCCCGATATACATCGTGGCCACTACGTCACCGTCACACATTCTATCCTGCGACGCCCCAGAGTGCGGTTCTCCATCACAACTACAGCAACATCAGCATTAAAGCAAGGGGTTCGACACTTTCGACACTGAATCCAGTGGTACACAGCGAACCTCTTCTTCAAGCGAAACTCGCGGCAGCCCAGCTCTCCATAATGTCGGCCGAGGCCCTGGAGAAGCGCTACACGGACCTCCAGGCCCGCCTCGCCTCGCTGCAGGACGCAACCGCGCAGCTCCAGGAACTCATCGACCGCCTCGCAAACTTCAACTTCCAGCCCGGCTCGGTGCCCCTGGCCGCGGCCGACGACGACAATGTCGGCGCCGAACTGAGCGGCGAGATCAACCAGATCCTCCAGGAGCAGGAGGAGGACCTGGAGCTGCTGCAGGAGGAGATCATCGACCTCCGGCCCGGGAAGCTGGGCGGTGGTGGTGGTCGACAGCACGACAAGGAGAGGCTGCAGGACGGTGCCAAGAGGCTTTCCGTGGAACTGCAGAGGTACGTGGCTGCCAGAACCCCCCCCTACAGTATAAGCAGTCGGCAAGCTAACGTGTCCCGTCTCTCAAGCTGCCGTAAATACTTCAGAAAGGCACAAATAGCAGCAAAGCAGAACCTCGAGCTCGCACGACGCCAAGAGCGCGAGCTCCTCTGGTCCTCTTTTAGCCGGCCGAGATCAGGCGCAACATCACCAGGAGGCGGCGGCAGCGGGATGGGCGACTCACAGACCCTCCAGCAGCCCCAGCAACAACAACAACAGCAGCTGCGCTTCAAGCCCAAGAAGCGCTCCGAGATGTCCAAGGACGAACAGACCATCAGCGCGAGCAACGACGTGACCCAGACCTTGCGGCAAACATATGATCTGATGGCCTCGGAGCTATCCCGCAGCGAATTCGCGCACAAGACCCTGCAGGAATCCACCGCGGCGCTCGCACAGCTGAACGAGTCGTACGCGAACCTCGACACGCTCCTCGCCACGTCCAAGGACCTGCTGGGCACGTTGTGGAAGTCGCAGAAGACGGACACGTGGTACCTGGAGACGTCGTTCTACGCCCTGGGCGTCACGATCGCGTGGTTGGTGTTCCGGAGGTGGCTGTACGGCCCGATGTGGTGGCTCGTGTGGCTTCCGCTCAAGCTGATCTTTCGTACCGGGATGGGTGTCACGAGCGCGGTGTCGAGAAGTGGGAAGAGTGCCGGTGCCGGAGACGACCTCTCAACTGCTGCTGCCACTGACCAGCAGCTGCCCCCTGGAGTGGTCATGAACAATCACGATGTGCCTACGATCCGTGTAGGAGGGGATGTTGTCGATGGACAGCCCAGCGAGGTGGATGACGAGAGCATGATTGGGAAAGTGGAACAAATCATTGCCGAGTCTGAGAGGAATGGTGGGAGGCTGTATGGGGACGGTCTGGAGGGGGATGATGGCCCGGAGATCGTCTTGGATGCTGGGGAAGGTCTGCCATCATCGGAGGGCGTTGTGCATGATGAGCGTGTGCGTGATGAATTATAGCGGAGGTAGCACTGGGCTCCCCTGGTGCTGGACAAGCCCAAGAACGTATCGTTGAAGTCTGGCCGTCCAAGCAGTGATCCATATGCCTTGTGAATTGCCAGGTGTTAGGTGAACGTGTGATCCCTAGTGGACTGGCAAGTGTGTGATCTTCATGATTCTAGCAAGGCAGGCATTTCGTTTGAAAGTTTATTCTTCCCGGGGAGCCCGAAGCTCCAATGTCATATGCTACGCCGGAGGCCTTGGGCATGCTGATGCAACAACTCCAGGCCCATGGATGCTAATGCTGTTCGACAAAAGGGAGGTTAAGGGGGGAGACAACGTGAAATGCTGAGCTCCCGACCTGTGCACGCCGCAACTCGCCCCGTGGTAAATGCATGGCAAACCAAACTCCGAATGAATGCTCCTAACAGTGCAGATAGTCTTCCCACTTGATATCGTCAACTAGCCCGTAGTCTCCAAGATGCGTCCCGAATTCTCCCCCCGTCAACCCGTCAAACTGCTGTGCTATCAAAGGAAATGTCCCTTGCATGTATGGGTGGGTTCCAGACATACTGCTGAGAGAGCCCGAGCCGAGAATGGTAGCTGCATTCTCATCCAAGAGTGAAGACTCGCTCTTGACGCCCATCGCCATGAATTCGTTAATGAAGGTGCTATCGAAGGGTAGCTGAGGATAGCCGAGGCCCACTCCAGGGGTAGATAGACTGTTTGAGAGTCCAGTGCTCTGAATATAGTAATTGTCCATGGTCGGTGGCCTTCGGTTTGCCGTTCCCAACTGCGCCATTGGAGGCCTCCAATACGTAACGTCCATGGTTTTCGGCGCTGCATGATGCAATTTCCCGATACTCTGTCCGTACGGCGGCCTGTGGGCAAGTTGATTGAAATGCCGTGCAGTGATGGGCTGACGCTGGAGCTGTCGGATCGTGGTGGCAGATAAGTTGGCCGTGAGTCCAACGCCGTGACCTTGTTCCTTCTTGACTCGTCCCGTCATCTTTCCTTTTTCTTCATTCTTCATCGGTTGGAATACATAGTCTGGGAAGGCTTCGTACAGCGCAATGTGCTCAAAAACGGCCAGGGCGCTGAATGTAGCCCTAACTTCGACCGGCTCGAGGCTCCAAGCCAGACCACACAGCTGGCTGATCTTCTGATGGTGGTGGTTGCGGAAATAGGCGCAGGCCGCGTCCTGATATGTCTTTCGATAGAGCATGAAACTGTTCATAGATCGCTTGGGTTTTGACTCTTCCCTTCCGCCCTTCCCAATCTTGGAGCATTCCTGCCTGCGGATTTTTGATGAACGAAACACGAGCTGCCAAATCCTGTGCTGCAGCTCTGCCGCCTCTTCTCTCCCGTGGAAGAGTTTCGACCACGGCCCAATTTCCCGGGCCTCTTTTTGCATTTCGGCAGCTTCGATGCGCCCCGCGAGGGATCTGTCATCCTTCTTTGGCTTGACTCTGGACTTCTGGACGCCATTTGCTGGTCCTTTGGGCCTCGTTCCTTTCTGAGAAGCGGAATTCGAACCAGAGCACTCTTTGGGCTCTTGTTTTTGCTCGGTGGCAGTAGGCGGTTTGACACGGGTGTTAAGCTGTGATTCATGCGGCTGTGTATCTTGAGTCAGCTGCAAATTTCCTGAAAGCTTGTGAACAGCAACAGCGAAGTCCTTGACCCACCGTGGAGATTATTTCAAAGATCGCAGACGAGCTTGGTAAGGTCTGGAGAACGACTTTGGGAAGAGGGAGCGGCATGTAAGGCCTTTTCTTTTCTTTCTTTTGGTACTGCGGGTTGATGTCCTCCTTGAAGTTCAAGACACACATCAGCTCATACGCAGCATCATGCATCGTCTTGAAATCCATTTTCCCCGAGAAGCCGGGACGGTAGCACCGAGCGGACGATCCAAGCTACAGTGGCTTGGGGCCCGATGGTCCACGACCCAAGCGAGTACCTGCTGGTAGTTTGTGTTAGTACGGTTCGAACTTGGCATAAAGCGAGACCTTCTCCCTAGAGTGAGGAGGAAAACGGTTGTTTGTGTGCTAGTCTTCGGAGGAATGAAGAAGCTTTTCTTCAAAGTCCAGCAGTGCCAGGTCCGAAGAAGAATGAAGAACGAACGTGGGAAAGGGACTGTGTAGGAGGTAGCCAGCTCCCAAGCCATGAGCTTGGTATAGGAGTACCAAACACAAGGACAAAGACCTTATAAAAGCGATTAGATACAAAGACGAACCTGTGGTTAGAGTCGGCTGTCACTGAAAGCCCCTGCAAGTAGCATGGAAGACCACGGGGCCTTGGTGAAGTGACTGGTCGTGGCTGATGGATGGCTTCTTGGAGCCTACAGCGAGTAGGATCCTGTGGTGGAGTGATGTTGTTGGCTGTTGGCGTACAAAATCCTTTGTCACCCAGATTCCGGTGTAATGCAAGAAATGCTGAGAACGAGGCATCCGGTAAAGGGAGCGCGCCAGTGGCTATAAGTAGTGTGGTCCATTTGCTTTGTCTCGATGTAAGCCTCTGATAACACCATTGCTGTTGCGCTTGCGAGCCTTTCGATGGACGAAGATTTCCCCAGACGCTCTGACTCGAAACTGCCGGTCCCGAAGTGGAAGTCGCGAGTGTTCGTTTCCAAACCTTCTGGAAGCACTGGCACTTATTTCACACATTGCCGTGGCCGTGATGGGTGGCGGCGCGAGCACAGGCATGGCCCTGGCTCTGGCGTAGGCATGACATGACTTGCATTCCCAGGATGCCCACGGGAGATGCTCTTCGGCTCCCGTTGCAGATATGCAAACGCCACACCCGCGCTTCTCGACTGGCCCACTGGGCTTGTAGGCATAGCACTGGTCTGCAGTGACCAAACCACGGCTCCATATGGTCAGGATTTGCCGGTCAACCTCGATGCCTGCCCCCAGCCAGTAGGCGAGTCCTCTGGTTCAGACAAAGTGGTGGCACACCGGAGCCCTCGACAAAGACGGCATGACAAAGCCGCATGCGGATGTTGCTGGGCATGGCGGTGCTTGTCGGACGGCGGCGCGCAACCAACAACAACCGCCGCCGCCGCCGAGTTGTTTGTGTGCAAGCACATGGCGTGCTTGCCGGCTCCTCAGCCCCGGGCCTCGCTACTTCCAACGTTGCTCACGCCCGCAGACCAGGGAAGGCGCTTGCTGCAAACAGCTCGAGACACGCTCCTGCCCCAGCACAAAGACGGCCTCGGCCCTCGTTTCAGTCATCCTCCAGACATCAAGACTTCCTTCTTGACAACCAGAAATCTCGGTCTTTGCCGAGCACATCGCCACACTCTCTCCCTTTGCCGTCAACCTCTGGTGTACTGTCTGCCGTCCTGAGAGCCTCTGCTTGGTAATCACTTGGATCTCGTCCAGAGCCATCATCCAGCGCTTCTGCAGAGGACACTCTGTTGGGTCAGAATACCCATGGGCGGTTGATGCCGCCGCTGAGGCCCTCCTCTGATCGGTAGCATTATCCACCCGTCGATATCGACATCTCCGGATCACGTGTGATCTATATATCCGCTTGTGCCGGATCCAAGAGTTCCGTTGGAGGACTTGAAGAAGCTAGCGCTTGCTTACAACGGTCCCGAGGAATGCGCAATCAGGTTGGTTGACTTCTCGCTCCCCCCGACACACATGCCTGGCACAAACTAGCCCCGCCAAATGTTGGTCGTTGTGGCAGTTGGGCTGAAAATTCCAAGAAATAATTGCCTTTGCTCTGGGAAAGACGCGACACCACGCCAAATTCTCATCGTGGAGCCTTCGTCGCAGCGATTCTTTTCAGGGCCACCTGTTTCATTTGTGAACAAACCTGCTCATGCCGAACACCTTGGGCGCTCGGTCCGCCCGAGAGGGGGGGGGCAATTATTGCACAGGCAAATCAGCCAATACCCCATCCATTCATATCTTGCAGCAATTAAATTGTCTTGACAAATGCGTGGCTGAGATACGGGCTCCCAGTCTTCTAGCATGACTTGGACTCTCTTGCCTGCTGAAACATGCCCGGTTGTCTCCGTTCAGCACAGCCAGTTTTCAGCCTGCCCCGGGAAGGCATACCGCTACAAGCAAGTTTCCGGTCCGTGGCGAATCGCCAGAATCAACTAGAGGTGGCTGCGCGCCACCCGCACACACTCCCCTCAGCGTCGACCAGTCGACGGTTGGACTTTGTCGTCGTCACCACAGGCGAAAAAGCCGATGCAACAAGAGCAGGCCTCCGTTATGCAATGGTGAACACACCAAAAGCCCTTGAGCGCGGTTCATTCTAGCGATTCTCTGCGTATGCACAGCTTGCACGGCATCTTCAAAGTCTAGACTAGCTTTAGCGTCGATTCCCATACCAATAACAGAGTATGAAAAGGCACAAGGCACGGAGTTGATCCAGCACCTACTCGTCTGACAAACAAGCTCGGGAAATGGACTCAAATCAAGTCGGGTACCATGCGGATTTCTGGCGAGGATTTGGTGAATTCCAACGTCCCATACCGGATCTTGATGAAGCAGGTCCCAGCAATGAAATGCAGCACTGCATCAGCAGTAGCCTTGCAACGTTCATGGCCGGTATATCCGACCAACACCTTTGTATATGGCGTCATCATGAAGGCATTTACTCAGGCAAAAAGATTTCATCTGCCGCAATATGACCTTGAAAAATGCATTCTCTGGCGCCGTGATCCGCCCTTCTATGCCTATCCAGAGCACATTAAGAAATATCTATGTCTCCACGGTACCACCAACAAGACTCGATTTTGTATGTTGTGCGCAAAATCCCTATAAACCCCAAACCATGCGTATACCTAATGCCCTGCTGTAACGCCTACACTGATGCCAGGATAACACATATTCGAACCGGACAAGAAAAACATTAACAGTCTTTATGCTGCGTAGTGGGGGGTAAACGAAATGAAGAAGTGGCAAATGGGGACTCTTCGAAGCAGAGACCCCCCAGACCTGCGTCACTGTTCACAGTTTGTCAAACGAGGATCCGATAGACTGCTGCGAAGCGGGTCGCACCGGATCCGCTGGCTTGACTGGTGGTGTCAGGATTGTCTGAGCTGGCGACGGAGAGAGAGCTGTGCTCGGCGGCAGAATAGACGTAGCTGGTGTAGAGTGGAAGCTGCCAGCAGATGTCTTCTGAGCCGAGATAGGCGCCGGTGGCGGCGGCGATCGCTTTAATGGTGATATGCCATTCTGAGCATGTGACATCTTTGGAGTCAACACTGGGCTTGGCACACTTCCCTGGCTGGTCTTGAGCTGTGGTGTGGAAAAGCTCGCCGACGGCGACACGACTGTGGTTGTGGCGGACGAGAATGACGCAGCTTGGGGAGTCAAGACTGGTGCTACACTCGAGAAGCTCTCGGTTGACTTCTTGACCGGTGACTCTTTACCGCTGGTCAAACTTTCTTTGGGCAGCTTAGGACTGCTTCCGAGAAAAGGTACGCTGATGCCGTTGGGCTTGGGGGATAGGTGGAAGATACCCTTGACAGGTGCCTTGACCTCCTTGGGCTTCTGATCAGCTGGTCCAGGGGATGACGAGTTGTTATAGACACGAGAGTAAACCCGTGCCTTATTTGGTGACTGATCTGGGGGAGACAGCGCCGGGTGAGGGGATGAGAATGCGTGATGACCATCGCCATTGATATGAGGCGAAGGTGGTGGCGGGAGGCTGGGAGGGGCTGCAGCTTTGACGGGGATAGTCGTCTGGCTTGCTGGCTGGTTTGAAGCTGCGATTTGGGGATTGGTGGTGGCTGTGGCTGCCTGGGAGGACGGCGCGAGATCGGGCTTGCTGTGTAACTTTGACGAGATCTCGACCTGGAGCTTGCTCCTTTGGGGCTCTGGTGCCAACTCTTGGTTGGCCGCAGTTTCTGGGCCTTTGACTTTGAGCTTGATAGTTGTTGGCTTCACGTCCTTGGCCGGCGACTTCGAGACACGTTGACATGTGCTGCAGATGAAGTGGAAGTCGTCCCGCTCGGCATCCTCTTCCTTGATGCCAAGACAGCTGCTGTGCTGCCAGACATTGCATCGCTCGCAAGCAACACTATGCGTGCCGTCATCGATTTGACCATAGACACCACAGGCGCAGTCAAAGATCCAATCCTCCTCCTCCTCATCGAGCTCCTGTAGGGCTTTGCGGTTCTTGTCGATCTCGGCCTTGAGACGCCGTTCCGACAGGCGTGCATTGTCGCCTGAGAGCGACTTGCTGTCTTCAGAAAGCTGAGCGAGCTCCTTCTCGTGCTGCAGTCGCCGCTCCTCGCGCTCCTGGAGACGTCGCTCTCGCGACATGAGTCTGTTGTCGCGTTCCTTCTCCATCTTGATGCGAGCCAGCTCCTCCTTGCGCTGTTTCTCTTCCTCGACTTTCCTCTTCTCTTCCTCCTCCTTGCGCTGTGACTCCATGCGTTGCTGCTCGACCTTACCAGCCAGCCGACTCGACCGCTTCGCGTGTGCCATCTTCTCCAAGGCAAGAAGCTCTCTCTCTTTCGCGAGAATCTTACGTTTTCGGGACTCCTCTTGCTTCTCGAGTATAGGGAGAAGGTGATCTTCGATAGACTTTCTCAAGACCTTTTCATTCTCGTCGCGGCTCTTGCGAATGCTGTCCAGAAAGCTCCGAACCTCGTCGAGATTCGCGGCTACACACTCCCACTTGGCACCACCGAGACCGTCGTCCTGTGGCTCGACAGCTGCGTCCGTGGGAGCATCGGACATTGGCGCGTCATCATCGACATCGTCATCGTCTTGCGCAGCGGCTGACCTTGATGTACGACGCCGTTTCGCAGCTCTGGCCGCAGCCTTGGCCTTCTGTGTGTTCTTCTTAGGCTTCCACGTTGCCGAAGACGGTGGCGGTGCATCGGTCATACGGTAAAGTCTGTTATCGTCGAGGATAAAATACGTGCGGTCGTCGCTATCCCAGCCTGTAGGCTCAATTCGCTACTAATGTGTCAGTCCGTTTTGAATTTGACTTGTGGGCAAGTAGCACCTACCCATTCCGTCTGGTCACTAGGACGTTGCTCGTCCATCTTCTCGCGTACGCGCTCTGGATGCAGCATGACCCATCTCGTAAGTTGTTGGAGGACTCGAAGCTGTATTATTGCCCGTTAGATCATGCTTCTGTATCCTGTAGAAACACCTGTATGCCGTACCTTGGTGAACGCATCGAAGTCGTGGAAGTGCGCAGGCTCTTCCTCGACACCAAAGGGGTTAAGCTCGGGTGCTTTTGCTACATATTGCCGCCGCGTATACTCGTCAAAGAGCTCGGGTCTGTTGCAGAGCGCCTGTCAGTGGAATGCCGGAAGTAGTTTCGTCCATCAAATCGCACTCACCCCAGGCCACGGTGGGACGAGACCCATTTTAACAACGCGACGCCAATGTCTACGAGAACCCCAGAGCGGTGTTTCAGCAGCTCAGCTTCCAGGTCCTGAGCAGATTCTTGTCAGCCAGAGTGCAACGGAAAGAGTCCGGACGCGATACGGTGCATATGAAACTTACGTCAACATCAAGGCTGTCATCAATCTTGACCACCTTGCCAAACAAGCAGATCCATTGGTACAGGTTGGCAAAGTGCCAGGTATTCCGAATCTTTTGGAGCATGGATGGCTCCTCCTTGACGGCTGGGGCTTTGGTAGCCGGCTCTGCATCTAGCTCGGCATCTCGCCGGGTCCGTTTGCGGGAGATCACCATGTTGCCGACTAGCAGAGCTATGCCTGGCAGGACAGGACAACTCGCTCTGGGCGGGTGTATCGAGCCGCCGGGCCTACAGGGCTAAAAATTGAGCTGGGCGGGTTTCGTGAGGTGAGTACTGAGGAACTCGATACGCGGTGGCGACGGGTGCAGTTGAAGAAACGCTCCTGGTTGTTTCGCGCGGGTATGTCGGACAATGGTAGTGCAAGGATAAAGGCAATGGTGATGTTGGCGATGATCGGGGTCCAGTGTCGACGCAGTGATGTGGTTGCGAGGCCTAGAGGTGGGCAGTCGTTGAAGGTGGGCGCCAGGCGATGATGTTGGATTTGTTCTGGCGGCGCGCGACTTTGGAAAGCTTGCATTACGCGACGAGACCCGCGCCGACGGCGGCTACCACTTAAGGCTGCAGGTGCGGGGTGGTCAGTGCTCACAGACAGCTATCTTGCTAGCGCTGCCAACGTGCAGGTAGCTTCCAAGTGCCCTGGCTCAAAAGGTGCCTGCACGGCGAGACAGGCAATCACCCACCGAGAGCACATGAACTCGACCAGCCCCAGACGCACTCACTGCCTTGGCACCTTTCAGAATCATCACGACGTGCGGAATGCTCTCGTGAAGCGATAGCCGTGAGAAGTCTGGGGTTGAGTTCTGCGGACGTGCAGTCTGCCAGTTGGTTTTGGTTGGTCCTTTCTTCATCGACGTCCTGCCCGCTCCCACACACACCACATCCCCCCACGCAAGTTTGGCCACGAATATGAAACGCGAGGCAACGCACACGCCAGAAACGCCAGTGGGACATTACTCCGTAGTCTCACGGCCCTTGCTTGCCCGGCCTGCCAACAGTGATTGTATGAAGATCGATCCCACCGCGACTAGAGTCTTTGATCCGATCCGTTATGACTAGTCTTGAAAGAGATTGACCCAGCAGGACGCTCTCTTGCCCTCGCTCTCATACTTGACTGATTGGCTTATATCAACGCTGTCAGGTGTCAGCGACCGAGGGAGCAGCTCCTCCAACATGCGCGCAGCCTTGAGGGACAAACTTTGCCGGTGGACATGTTGAGCTCAGCATTAACGACATGACAATTTCCCAGCGCAAAAATGTGCGGTTGAAGGCTGGAAGGCCCGTCGTCAGCATCCATCTATGTCTATTGCCAGCGAAAACATGTGCTCTCCATTAACAACATGTCCATGGGCTGGCTGAAGTCCTCGACATGGCGCAAGACAAATGAGTCCACAGCCGCGCTACACCATGCTGGCGCAGCAATGAGTTGAGGTGGAAGCGCACCAACATGCTTCTGGGCTGCATGGGGCCATGGAAGCTGCAACACCAGAAAGAGACCCTTGGGCTGGTTCCTGCCGCAGCTGACAAGCGCAGCCAATGGAGCGGGACACGCAAGATGTCTGGCGCGGCCCTGGCCGGGAGGCCCCTGCCTGCTGCACCCTGTCGGGGCATTGGCGAAGTGCGCGCCGCTGGGCTGGACCCTCTCTCCTCTCCGACCCTCCCTCCGCGGTCCACTCCGCCCCCCGGCCAGGGCTGTGCTACCTACCTCCAGGACTGTCGACACTCACATGGCTGACGAGCATGATACGAATTCCCCAGTCGCCCATGGTCCACGTCTGCGCATCACATCGCTCTCTGTCCTCCGAAACACATCTACACTCTCTCTGCACAACCGCCCGCTTCCCACGACTCCCCGCCCACGGCGACAACCACCACCACTGCCCATCAGCTCTGTCGCCCGCCCTCTGCTCAGCCGTCCTCAACAGCGCATTCCCCGACCCTGGTCGTTTCAGTCGAGCCACGGACGGCTCAATCACGCCTCAACCACACGTCCCGCCTCTTTGATCCGACGACAGCCCACTTGCTGGCGCTGACGACACGCGCGGCAGCCCGCAGACGACCATATCCTCTCGGCCTCCGCGCCGCTACGCAACGCAACGCAACGCCGCACCCCAAAAGAACAGCCACCTGGAGACGGCCTCGGACATGGTCGCGACGACTCCTGTAATGCATTAACCAGTCCGCTTAACAAAACCCAACCGCCAGTGCGCTTGTCGCATTGCGCATCGCTACCGTACATCGTTCCTCATAGCCATTCGGCTCGACCATCCTCGGTGGGAATATCAGTATCACAATGAGCAGGACCCCGCGCACATCCGATACACCACAGAATCTCACGGTGCCTTCGTCCCCAGCAATTCCGCTGCAAGATCTCGAACACCACGAATACGACGAGAATGGCAGGCCAGTGCGGACAGGCGGGCCAGCTGCCCGCCAGACTCACACTGGCCTCCCGCCCGTCACGACATATTGGGACGCCTCAAACACACCACCAAGGGCGGGACAGGGACAAGCAGATGTCTCGCCCGTCTCGCCACTGGACGTCGCGGGGCTACAGTTTGCACTGCCCCCAGACATACGACCTCCGGGTGCAGACTTTCTGCACGGCGGCACATCTGGCCCAAGTCCATATACCAGAGCATCGTCGTACTACGATGACACTGCCCACGTTGACCTCGATGAGTCTGACTCAGCGCCATTGACGAGGACAGCCCAGCCTATATCTGGATCTCTGGCCGCACCGGACACGGACACACACCCAAGGAACAGCTTCCAGACCGTGTCGGATCTTGGCAACAGCCCGGGGAGACCACGCTCCAGCAACATGTTGGGCTTCGACCTCGAACCTGGTTCCGAGTCGAGGCACCGCAGTTTCCTCTCCCCGGGCGACAACCGCGCTTCGCGTGCCGCTGTGACTGCGGATGCCATTTTCAGGGCTGGGTCCATAGTTAGGGCAATGTCCCAGCGAGTTGTCAACATCAGTGGAGAGCAAGAGACGTTTGAGGAGCGTGATCGTAGAGCGCGGTCACGAAGCCCGAGTGCCGATGGCCGCCGTCCCTCTGCAACGTCGGTCCAAATGGAGACCGATACATCCTATCAATCGCAATACCCTCCGAAATCTCCAATCGAGAAGCGAAAACCGAGTTGGGTGTCAGAGGAGGCCCCTCTGCCGCCTCCCCGACGAGGCCCAATGGCAAACCCTTTAAAAGGCCAATCTTTGGGTGTATTCGGGCCCGAGAATCCCATCCGCAAGAAGCTTTGTGATTTGCTCGTCAACCCCCTGACAGAACCTCTCATCCTGGTACTCATCGTCGTCCAGGCAGTTTTGCTTGCAGTGGAGTCGGCGAATAATGTCTTTTTGCCTGGTAATGAGCGCCCGCCACGATGGGATCCGACATCAGGATTCAACTGGGCTATATTGGCACTCTTCATCATTTTCACACTTGAGATCATTGCGCGGATCATTGTCTCGGGATTCATCCTGAACGCAGCCGAGTACAGTTCAATTGACCGGCAGAAGGGCGTGCGCGCGATCATCGCAGATTACTATAATGCGTACTTCCGCCCTGACAAACAGAAGCCGGTCAAAGCTCCCGTGCAGCAAGACAATTTCGGCCCTTCAACCTTCGCGCGCTCTTTCACCATGATGCATGGACGTGAGATCCCGGAAACGCTTGAGGAGGCTCAGAGAATGCAGCTTGCTCGCCGAGCTTTCTTGCGGCATGGGTTCAACAGACTCGACTTTATTGCAGTCGTCTCGTATTGGATTACATTCGTGTTGAGCATTACCGGGCTTGAAGTGGCACACCATATTTTCATCTTCCGCATGCTCAGCTGTTTGCGCATTGTGCGACTCCTGGCGCTGACCAGCGGAACCTTGGTAAGTCTCTGCAAGTGCTACACTGATATCGTACTAACCGTACTGTGCAGATCATCCTCCAAAGTCTCAAGAAAGCAGCTCCACTGCTGGTGCGAGTAGCCTTCCTCATTGGGTTCTTCTGGTTGCTCTTTGCTATCGTGGGTGTACAGAGCTTTAAATCCAGTCTTCGGCGTACTTGCGTCTGGGTAGATCCATCAAACCCTAACGACGTCGCATCATCATACACAAACGGAGAAGGGTTCTGCGGCGGTTACTTGAACAATGTCACCCTCGAGCCCATGCCTTGGGTGAAGAGCAATAGTCCTCTACCCTTGCAAACATTCGACAATCTTGTGGCAGGCACCAACAAGGGCAAAGGCTTCCTGTGTCCACGAGGATCCATATGCTTGGAACAAGAGAGCCCCCACAACAACACCGTCAGCTTCGACGACATTCTCCACTCAATCGAACTGGTTTTCGTCGTCAATAGTGCGAATACTTGGTCAGATCTGATGTACATGGTCATTGCCTCTGATTTTCCTCCAGCAGCACTTTTCTTTGGCGCCGGTATCCTCATTATGATGCTGTGGCTTACCAACTTGATGATTGCCGTTATCACTTCATCTTTCCAAGTCATCAGAGAAGAGAACAAGACCAGTGCTTTCACGGCTACGGAGGAACCCCTGATTCCCATGCCTCAAGAGTTGCCGGATGAGAAGATGTCAGCCTTGAAGAAGGTATACGAGAAGACCTCAATATTCTGGGTCATAATTATCGTCGTTGACCTTCTTGCGCAAGCATTTCGATCGGCTCGCATGGATGGAGCTCGGGCCGCTGCCATTGATAACATCGAGATCGTGGCTACCATTCTGCTGGACATAGAGATTATCATCAGATTTGTCGCAGACTGGCGAGGATTTCACCGATACAAAGCAAACTTGTTCGACCTGCTCCTGGCTGTCGTCACGACCGTCATCCTGCTCCCTCCAATCCGGAATTCAGGTGTTCCTTATGAGTGGCTCACCGTCTTTCAGGTTCTCCGAATCTACCGGGTGGTTTTGGCGGTTCCGATCACTCGCAACATGATTTTGCAGGTGCTTGGAAACGCATCTGGTATCGCCAACCTTATCCTTTTTGTCTGTCTGATATGTTTCATCATGTCAGTCTTCGCGTCGCAGCTCTTCCGCGGCGAGATACCCTTGTTTGACGACGACGGAGAACTTATTCGGATATCATTCTACAACATTTTCAACAGTTTTCTCGGGATCTATCAGATCCTGTCGAGCGAGAACTGGACCGACATCCTCTATTCGGTGACGGCACAGACAACGGTGCTGGGCACGGCTTGGTATAGTGCCATCTTCTTCATTGGCTGGTTCATCTTCTCCTGGTTCATTATCATCAACATGTTCATTGCTGTCATTCAGGAAAACTTTGACGTGTCGGAAGACGAGAAACGACTTGAGCAGGTCAAGGCATTCTTGCAGCGTAAGGAGCTCGGTAGCAGCAGCAATCTCGCCTTGTCCGAGATATTTTCCTTCAAAAAGAGACGCCAGAAACGCGACCCCCTCGACTATGGCCCGGCCACGATGGAAATGCTGCTGAACAACTCTATTGTGCGCGAATTTCTCGACGAGCAAATGGGTCCGGCGCAAGGCGACGATGATGCTCACCACGACACGCAATCGCCTGGCACACCAGGGCGGGCTGGTGGAAGCAACTTCTTCTCAGTACAGTGGAACAAGCTTAAGAAGAAAATCTCCAACCGCGAGCCAAATCCCTTCTACACAAATCTCCGCTTCGACACGTCAAAGGATGGGGTTGATCCTCGGGAAATGGCGCGTCAAGTCATGAATGCAGCGCAAACGCGCAGGAAGACACAGAGAGAGTATCTGCGGAAGTACCCGACATACAACACCACACTCTACCTCTTCAAGCCGTCAAATCCTATCCGCCGAGCTTGCCAACGCTTGGTTGGAATTGGAAGGGGAAGCGAAAGATTCGATGGTGTCGAGCCGAACAAGATTGCTTGGTACACTTTCTCGGCTTTCATATACGCCGCGATCGTCGCCATGGTTGTTCTAGCCTGTGTTACAACTCCCCTGTACCAGAAGATCTACTGGCAGACCCATCCTTTCGAGCCTAGCAACTGGTTTGTATGGATCGACACAGCCTTTGCCGTTCTCTTTACGGTCGAGGCAATCATCAAGATGATCGCTGATGGTGTGCTCTTCACGCCCAATGCGTACTATCGGAGCTCTTGGGGCATTATTGACGGCATTGTGCTCATCACTCTGTGGGTCAATGTCATCACATTATTCACAAACAACGGGACGTCTACGCGCGTGGTTGGTGCTGTCAAGGCCCTCCGAGCTCTGCGACTGCTCAACATCAGCAATACTGCTCGAGACACATTCCATTCTCTGATCATAGTAGCGGGTTGGAAGATCATTAGTGTAAGTCTGCACTCCAGCGCCCCACCATCAGCAGTCCTGACTGTCTGACCATGTACTGATATAACCCGATTCACTTCAACAGGCTGCGCTTGTCTCGATGGCCCTGTTGATTCCATTTGCAATCTATGCCGTCACACTGTTCCGAGGGCAGCTCGTCAGCTGCAACGATGGAAGCGTCGACGTGCTCAACGCCTGCTTTGGGGAATTCGAAAGCACGCCCTTCAGCTCAGATTGGCCATTTCCAGCACCTCGAGTGGCTGCCAACCCGTTCTTTGACTTTGACGACTTTGGATCTGCTCTCTTCATATTGTTCCAGATTGTCTCCCAAGAAGGCTGGGTCGATGTCTCCTTCGCGGTGCAGTCCATCACTGGGCGCAACCTGCAGCCTCAAGACATGTCTGTGCCGGGAAATGCAGTCTTTTTCGTCGTATTCAACCTCATGTCAACGGTCTTCATTCTGACTCTGTTCATATCGGTCTTTATGCGCAACTACACAGAGCAGACTGGAGTTGCGTTCCTCACAGCAGACCAACGATCATGGCTTGAGCTCAGGAAGCAGCTGAAGCAGATCTCACCTTCCAAGAGCTCGTATGACGACTCGAAGCGCAAGTGGAAGAAATGGTGCCATAAGCGGGCCATAGAGAAGCGCGGCAAGTGGTACACCACTGTCACTGTGGTTCTTGTGCTGCACTTGATCCTTCTCATGCTTGAGTATTACCCAGAGCCGGACTGGTGGACCTTGACGAGGGATGGCATCTTTCTGGTCTTCACCTGCATCTACATTGGCAACATTTCCGTCCGCATCATCGGCTTGGGCTGGGCTCGTTTCCGGAAGAGCTCGTGGGATATTTTCTCGTTGCTCGCTGTTGGTGGCGCGTTTGTGACAACCTCACTGCTGGTTCTTAGGAACCAAGTCCAGGCTGTCGATCAGCTGCACAAATTCTTTCTTGTGTCGGTTGTTCTCTTGCTCATCCCCCGCAACGACGCTCTTGATCAGCTGTTCAAGACGGCCGCAGCCAGTCTGACCACTATTGTCAATCTGTTGGCGACTTGGCTGGTTATCTTTCTGGTGTTTGCCATCGCCCTGACTCAGAGCTTTAGTCTTACACGTTTCGCCGGGGAAGAAAGCTTCTATGTCAACTTCAGGACAGTGCCCAACGCCCTGCTTCTGCTCTTCCGCATGTCGGTCGGAGAGGGATGGAATCAGGTCATGGAAGACTATGCTTCTCTCGAGCCACCGTTCTGCGTCGATAGCTCCGTCTTTGCCGACACGGATTGTGGCAGTATTGGCTGGGCTCGGACTCTCTTCATCGCATGGAACTTGATCAGCATGTACATCTTCGTCAACCTGTTCATCTCGCTGATCTACGAGAGTTTCAGCTATGTGTACCAGCGCTCCAATACCCTGGTCCACCTGAGCCGCGACGACATTCGACGATTCAAAGAGGCGTGGCGCAGCGTTGACCCCGCAGGAAGTGGCTATATCAGCAAAGAAGCCTTCCCGAGGTTGCTGAGTGAGCTCTCGGGCGTATTTGAGATGCGTGTCTATGATCCTGATGATTCAGTTGGAAGGATCCTCGACGATGTCCGAGATGAGCGTCCAATTTCGAGACACTCTTCCATCGTGACTACGAGTGCATTGACAGGTGTCAATCTGGAAAAGCTCAACGACCGTCTGAATCAGATTGACAGACGGCAGGTGCAGGAGCGCCGGCGACGATTCCGCATGTTCTATGAGGAGGTGATGGTCTCCGCTGACATTGACAACGGCATCTCGTTTTCGGATGTGCTCATGATTCTCGCGCATTACAACCTCATCAACGAGTCCAAGAGTCTGAGGTACGTTGCTTTGATATCGTCCAGCCGACCGTTTAGGCTTATTTACTGATACTCGATTTCGCAGACTCGAGGAGTTCCTCCGACGTCGAGCACGGATGCAACGTGTTGAGGAAGAGTTGCGTCGACGGACTGTCCAGGGCTTCTTTCACACAGTGTAAGTCTCCGCCACAATGTCCGGTTCTGGCATAAAAGTCACAGTCGTTAACAAACATCACTCAGGTACTGGTCTCGTCAATTCAAGAAGCACATTGAGAAGAAGCGCGCTGCTCGCATGACGGCAATTCCTCAACTTGATGTGCCCGACATCCTGGTTGATGATGAAGAGGACAGAAAGAGGGGGCCAACACAAGCACAGCGAGCCACAATGGGGGGCCCGCTCACTGCAAGCGACATGCCGCCGGCCTTCCTCGCCGCGGCCGATGCACTGCGCGGACCGCATCAGAGCTGGGCGCCAGGGACCGACATGTCTTCGGTTCCGAGCTCTTCTTCTCATCCTTTGAGCCTTCCACGCTCCCCACCGTCGATGCCACGACACCAGTCACAAAACTCGGCATTCAGTTTTGAGATACAGGATTCGACCTCGACCACCGGCGCAGCCGGCGGCGGTGGCGGATCTGCTCCAGGCAGCGCAAGCGGGTCTGCGCATAACAGCAGACACAACAGTAGACACAACAGCACAGCGGATGCTTCGCAGGTCCCCCAGCTGCTTGACGACTCTATCTGGGTCGAGAGTATTCGTCGCGGTGCGACAGTGCGCAAATCGCAGCGGCGGTCAGACTGGGGTGCTTTCAGATGAAAGGACAAATGAAGCGCGAAGACTGGACATACAGTGCTGTCGCGCATGCACGACAAGCACGACCCTACGAATTCACGGGTGACGTTTCTTAAAGATTTTATGGGGGGGTTGACAGGCCCACAACGCCGTCACGCAGGTTTCCAATACAGCGTATCCAAATAAGCTGGCGGTAGGGGATATCAATCACGAGCAGGCGGAATGGAAGGATCGGGGCCTGGATGGGAGAAGGCGTGGTATGTTTGTTTGATTTCGCATTTGATCGACGGTACTTCTTCGCCTCCCTGTTTGTTTTCTGCACGCTTGGTAGGAGTTATTTTCTAGAGAAGCATCTTGTGCGGCGTTTATAGAGGAGTTTGTGGTCATTTGTCCTTGCAAGTTTTGCCTGCTCCTCGCTCCTCTCGTGGCTGGGGTCAGGTATAAAAGCGGGATTGGCGAGAGATGGACTCGGCGGCGGCTTGTATCTGTTTAAAAGTAGCATAGAGGGCGGACCTGGATGAGGAGGGGAGACTGGAGGAGAGAGTATTCTACCGTCATGAATCCAAGGCCTGTGCTTCGATGACCTTTATGAAGCGTGATAGGCCTTGGTCTGCAACGAAGAAAAGGGGAAGCGACGTGATAGAAGCATGGTCCAGGATTTGTTCTAATTGATACTGCTGCCTGGAAAGCTTCGCAGGTTGCTGGAAAGGAAAAGGCATAATGCTCCCGCCGTCCACCAGTGAGAAGCCAAGGGTGTGTTGTAAAGAGTGGGGCTGACCTGTTGGAGCCCAGGTGAGCTTCGGGGGTTTAGAAAGCCGGTACTTGGTCATCCGGCTGGCGTGATCCGTACAAGTACGTACGCACTAGAGCACGGCCGGGGTAACTTCTCAAGATAATACCAAAAGCAGGCCTGCCGGGGGTTTCTTTCGCAAAACCTAGCAAGCCAGGTCCCCCATCGAGACGTGTCTGGGTTTTCTACTTTTTTTTTGGCAGGCCCTTGCCCATTCTCAAAGAAGGCGGTACAACAACCACAATTTCCCATGTGGGAACCAGGTAGAGAAAGAGCCTCGTGAGTGTACAATATCACACCTGAGGCTTAATTTGGGCCTCATACCCAGATACTCGCACCATCATGGACGACTATAACGGTCACGACGACGATGTCGACGACGGAGAGATGCACGACGCGAGCGCCGTGCCGGAGCAGGGCCAGGCTCGGAGAGCGGTAGGTGCTACCTTCTAAGACAACTCTTTCCTTTGAACGAGCTCACTCTTGCCTGTCGTCGATGATGAAATCAAGGAGTCTTTAAAACAAGATTCTGGGCTGACTCTTTTTCTTTTGGGTGTCACTGAAGTGTGACCTGTGCCGGTTGAGAAAGGTATGTGCTTCGTCCGAGTGCGCGCATTCCGTTTGGTCCTTTCATGCCCAGCTTCCGCAGGGGCTGGCAGATATTTCCAAACACGAGTCCAGACATTGATATGAAGAATCCTCGAGTATTCTCATGCCCTCTTTCCTCTATCTATTTAGGTCGCCTGTGATCGCGAGGAGCCGTGCTCGACCTGCATCCGGGGGTCGGCCCAGTGCACGTACACGGTACACCAGGCGTTTCGTCCCAAGAGACAGAGGGTCCTCATCTCTGCGCAGTACGAGAAGAAGATCGACCGGATCGAGGACCGCCTGAACCAGGTCATCGATCTGCTGCAGGGTCTAACGACCGTCTCGGCCGGCCCGGAGCCCACGACGGCGCAGCAGGACGTCCTGGTGGTCGAGAGGCCCCGTGCCACAGTACAACAGCGAAAGTCGGCTGCCTCGCTGAAGGATGGGCCGAAACCAGGACAGAGCTGGTTTGAGCAGCAGCAGCAGCAGCGCGAATCGACATCATCGCAGCCATCCCATAATGAGCCACGAAAACCCACGGAGCACGCAACGACAAAGCCACCAGTCTCGACCACACCAACAACCAGCTCTGGATACGGTGCCAGGTCCGCCTCCCGAGGCGCAACAGCGGCCGCCGACAGCCCGGGGGAGCCGCCGGACCCAACATTCGAGGGCGAGTCGTCCCTGTCAGCACAGGCCGGGTTCGCGAGCCGGTTCATCGAGGAGGCGGTGTCGAGTACGCCCGACAAGGCGTTTGGAGGCGAAATTGACGAGACGCTGAGCGCACTGCGCCAGCTAGTCGGCGCGCAGGCGCAGTCTTCCTTTGGAACCGCCGATTACCCCAACGCGCGGCCCAGCAGCGGCAGCAGCAGCAGGAAGGACCGGCCCATGCCGTCGGTCCAGCTGGTCATGTCCTGTCTGTCCATTGCACGACGTGAGTGTCCCATACCGTGGTCTTTCTATTCACATGGGCAGCTCGTCCGGCTAATGGAGTTCTCAGATCGTGTCGATGTCCAAGCATTCTGGATGTCGGGCTTCATGACCTTTGAGATGTTCATGCAGACCACCGTCGAGGTCTACTTCGCCCCCAGCGTGACTGACGCCCAGTATCTCATTGTCAATATCGGTGTGTACTGGCTCTTCATGTCGCTCATAGCGCTGTCGCACGACGAGCCCTGGCCCGGCATCTCCGAGGACGAGCTCGACGAGGCCTCCGTGCTCTGCCGCGAAAACACCGAGACCTGCCTGGCGGCCCTGCCGTATCACTTGCCGAATACTCTGGACTATGTCAATGCCCTTAGCTTCGCGGTAGGTCGCTCTTTTCAGTTGTGCGCCGTCTTTGTTCAGGAGCCCAGCACTGACACATACACATCTCGCCTCACGCAGGGCGGCTACGCCCTTGAAATGTCAAAGGCATCTCTGGCCTGGTCACTGCTCACCAGCGCCATACACATCTGCCAGAACCTAGGCTTCCACCGTGCCAGCGTTCTCGAAAAGGACAAGCCGGCGGTTAGGGATCAGAAGTACCGCCTCTTCTGGGGCCTTTACGTACTCGAAAAGAGCCTGGCCCTACGGCTAGGTCGTGCTTCGGTGTTGCAAGACTGTGATATCAGTCTGCCCAGACCAGATAAGCGGGCAGACGGCAACGAGCTATGGGACAAGGACGACCCGTGGGATGTCTGCATGGCGTATTGCTGTGGGATGGCTAACAGTGAGTTACTTTGCGCGCCTCGGCAAGGAATCGTATCTAGTAGTGGTTAACATCGCTTCCTTTGTCGCTGCTCTGTAGTACAAGGCCGCATCTACACACAACTGTTCAGCCCGGGAGCTCTCCTCGAGGAGGATAGCGTGCGCGCTGTCCGCGCACAAGCATTGGCAGACGAAATTGCCCAGCTATCTGGTTCCCAGCCGCATGACCGCGTGCGTGAGGTTGTGCAGAGACACGTCTCGACAGAGGTGCTGGGCGAAAACGGGAAGTTCAACTTCCGCGACAGCCCTTTTGGCGCAGTCGAAGAGGCGATTGCCTCGACAAACTTGTCGCTGGAGTACTTGCTCAAGTGTCTCCAAATACAGCAGCTCTGCCTCCTGACCCTGGTGTACCGCGCCGTGCCCGTGCCCCAGGGGTCCCCGTCGGTGTTTACGCAGGATTGCATAGATGTGGCTCGTCAATCGCTCGCGCTGCATCAAAATATCGTTGCGTCGATCCCCGCAACCAATACTAACCTGATAGATATGTACTTCAGCTGGTAAGCCTATATATTTCACTCCATGTCATAAAATCAAAGGCTCAAACGGGCCATTGCTGATGTCTCCAGGACGATTCTTGCGGTCCCATTCGCGCCTTTCATCGTCATCTTTTGCCACATCATCGAGTCCGCAACACGCAATCACGGCACATACCAGGAGGACCTTCAGCGGCTCGAGAACTTTACGATCTCACTTGACCCGGGCGTTGGGCGGCTCTCGGGCGCGACGGGCCGCCTGCAGAAGCTCTGCCAGGTTCTGTACAACGTCGCCCGCAAGTATGCGGACCTCAAGGCGAGCGCGGCGATGATGAGCCAGGAGCACCCCTCGCAGTCGCAACAACGCGAGTTCAACTCGTATATTCATGCGCTGGGCTTGTTTGGCAACATGCCCATGACAATGGATCCGGGCGTTGGTGCTGGCGGTGGCGGGTTGCCGTCTGTGAGCGATGCTGGCGCAGGTGGTCTGCATAGTCAGTCTCTCCCGACAATGCCTGGTCTGTCACAACAACAGCAACAGCACCATCACGGACATGCGGACAGTATATACGCAATGCCAGCGCAAATGCCGTCGCATCAGCATTTCCAGCAGGAGCAGGGCGCTATGCTAGGGGAGTGGTTTTATGGTGGGCAGCAGATGCTCGGGCTCCTAGAACAGCCGACATTCGACTTTGACGAGCTCTGATCGACGTTGTTGTCTGCATAGTCAGGGAGGGAAGCTTGTTGTCTTGAGACAAACTCGACTTCAACCATTGTACAACATCGTTATCATCGAAGACGCCAATGCGCTTCGCTGAACCAGAATTGACAAAATATCCACTCACGACACCTTGGTGATGATGGGCAAATCTCATCACTCCATGTATCAGGTTATTAGTCCCGTAAGTGGCAGAGAGAGAGAGAGAGAGAGAGAGGATAGGCACGGCTCGTTCTGCGCAGATTGGCGACCAAAGAAGCAACCAAGTTGGTAAACGACGATTGCATTTACCTTGAACAGACACAAAAATACCCTTTGTCGAGTTCTTGGCGATCCGCGATCCCAGCAAAAGTAAGTCGGGTTGAGCGCCAAGACTATTGCTGGGAGCTGAAAGAGCGATTGTGCAGTCACACCGTACCCACCAAGGCCAGGTCCTGTATGGAGTGACCTGCATGCTCACGTCTCATGCATACGAGTCTGTTGGCGACCTGAGCATGGGAGGTTGGTAATGAAGTGTCTCGGCAGTTTGTGGGGAACGGGTGATGCCTGTGGCTTGTCCATGCAGGTCATCAGTTTCTTTTGCGCTGGGCTGTTTTCTTTTCTTTTTGGCCGCGAGGTGATGCCATTTGATATTGGAGAAGGTCTGGCTGTTCCCACTCGGCGTGGCTGCCCGTTCCCACCAGCCATCTCCATGGTGGGTTCGCGGATATGCCGAAGATGGATGGACATTGCAAGACCAAGAAAAGTGAAAAGAAGATCATTTCAGCCTGCTCGTGTTCGTGGGCTCTGGTGTTTCTTTTTGTCTGTGCCATTGCGACCGGGGTCACATTTTAGGTGCCACGACCTGCCCGTGGGACTGTGTGGTTGCAGCTCAACCGACCCAGGTGGTCTGTTTGACAGCCCCCGCCCTGTGGGAAGAGGAGACTGGACGATCCGAGTTGCTGACTCGAGTGCCTGGCTGGGCGATGGGACAATCATCATGGCCGCATCGTGATGCCCTTTTTCATGAACTGTGTCAACTTGGCGACTGGTTGCCCTGCCTACTGTGGGCATTGTCGCTGGTGCTCCGAGACATTGGCTGCAGCCGGCAGGGACGAGGAAGGTTAATACACTGCATAGCGTCCATGCATGCATGCATGCATACATGCACGCAGCCACGTCGCCGCGCCCACTCTAAGCTGGTTATTCTTGGACACATCATAATCGCCTCTTGGAGAAAATGCTCACGAGGCCGCTGATGAAACTCGAGCCATCATCTACCCGAGTGTGCACAGCCAGGGCGTGCCCGGGCGGGCGGCGATATTAGCAGCAGCTACTAAGACCTGGCGGTGCCAGGGTTGAGGGATGGGCAGTGTGTGAAACGCGCCTGTGGGAGCAGCAGGCTTCGCTCTTTCCCGATCCTGCCAGCAGCTGAAACTGCCGCACTGGGGGGCAGGACCCCTGGCACGGACAGGGCACCGCCGTCAGCACCTGCATATCGCCTCTTGTTTTTTTTGTTGTTGTGTGCCTCTTTCAACCTCGTCGTTGCTTCTCAGACGCGGCAGAGCAGCCCCAGCACGCATTGTCCTCTTTGTTTCGTCACATCGGCTCGCAATCATGCGATGGAGGAATTCTGTGGCACCCACTGCCAGCCAGCCAGCCCGCAAGCGAGAGACAATGGCAGCCCATCGTCGAATTCATCATGCGGGTCTCGCAGCCCCGGCCGATTCCTCCGCTGCCTCCCCGGCTTATCGCGTCCTGTCTCACACATCCTGTGCTCGCTCGCCCTCGCAACCACTAGACAACTGTAGATCGCCTGCCCTCGCAGCATGCTGACGTGGTGTCGGCAATAGTCGACACCAGGGACGCCCCTTGGTCAGTATTGCTCTGCCTCTGTTGCGTGCGTGCGTGTGTGCGTGGGCACTGGGACTCGGACAAGTGAATCTCAGTCTCATGTAAGTGGCAGTAAAGACGACAGATCCCTGCCTGGTCAAGGGGCGCGGTGCACCACCGAACCCCTGCGGCTCAAGTGTTTCCTGACTGCTCCAGGTGCAACAAGAGCCGTGTGGGCATGCCATGGGTTTTGGCCTTCCCTTCCCCCATGCGTTCGTCCTACCTGACAGACGGCCAACAAATGCGTTGCGGCATACCACTCTCCGGCGAGAACCACTGTCAACAGGACGGCCATCATGCCCATTATCGGGCGATGCTTCACAGGCAGATCTGTTCCAGGGATGCAGGAGAGCGTCCGTGCCCGCCGTCACCGGGCCTTGCCCCTGACAGTGGCTTGGCCCTCTCTCCCTCTCTCTGCACACTAGGCTGGTCCACACTACACAGAGGCTCGGCAGGCCGCACCAGACTACCAGCTATGCCTGGACTGACGTGCATGTTCCATGTCTGGGCTCCCGTGTCAGTGGTCTCACCTCAATGCGAGGCCCGCAAGGGTATCACCCGCCTCAGACACTCCGTCCAAACAACTGGGGGGGGGGTCCTTTCATACGGACGGCCTCAGATGCCTGGCCGCCCGTCCGTGCAACAGAGCCAGGCCAATATATGTCTCCGGGCCCCGGGCTTACAAGTCGTGATTGCTACGATCCTTCTTCTCTCCCATCCAGCCAGCAAGTTTCCACACAGTCACTCGATTAGGTCTTCCTACATCTCACTTTCCAACCCGGAACCAACCATCACTCCTACCAGTGTCACTCACTTACACAACACAACTTGACTGCACCGCAGAGCACAGGCTGAGCCGTCTCTCGCACCAACAACAACAAACCAACTACGCAAATCTTATTTTTAATAATCATCATCCTGCCCTTCTCCTCCTACTCCCAGTCTCCAAACCGCAAACATGCAGACCTCGCGCTTCCAGACCATCCGCGCCCACTTCTCCACGGCCGGAGTCCGCTCCTCGTTCCGCCGCCACTCTTCGTCGTCCTCGCGCAGCTCCAGAACCTCGTTCGTCTCCTCCGCGTCGTCGAACAAGACGGCCGTCAACTCGGTCCTCTTCCGCCAGCCATCGATAGTAGACCTCGAGATGGAGAGGCAGAGCAGCGGTGCTGTCCTCGACATGCTTGAGCCTCGTCCCATCGTCTACTGGGGCGGTGTCGAGGAGCGCATGGGCCGTCTCTAAATCATGACAGTACGCCAGCTGCGTGCTGCTGAGAATGCAGCCCTGACCAGCAAGTCATGGGAGCCGCTTCCCAAACTTCTTTCGAGCAAGTGGCCCTGTGCAATCGCGCAGCCATGAGCTTATTATTTACAAATTTCTACTTTCCACATTTTTGACACACACTTTCTGGGTGGAGGTGAGGGGACTTGATCTCGAGTCCTCTTGTTTCTGCTCGTTTCACTCTGGGCTGCAGGACGACCGAGTAGAACATTTTTCTGGGAGATCTTTCTCTCTATATTACGAGCGTTGGGATATCTGGAACGGCGGAGTATAATCGGGTTACGGTGCAGGCGTGCACTGGGATGACTTTTTACACGAATTGGGAAAAACCAGGTCTGACGGAGACCTTGTCGCCCACTCATGCGATCATGGATGGGACGATAGACAGCTCGCCAACGCGGCGCAAGGACTAAATAGTTTCTTGGGACGGTTCTGGGAGGGAAAGACATCTCTCTCCCGACCGTAGTGGAGGCACAACAGGAATTTTTGAAAATAAAAGAACATGACCTGTCTCTGCTGAATTTTGTTCCTCTGTCCCCATGCCTCACGCGTGAACTTTGACGACGCCCGTCGAGGCTCCATGGATGGGTTTAGGGTCGGCCGCCACACCGATTTGACCCGCACGCCCGCATGTTCTCACAAGGACAGCCGCTGGGACGACACTGCCATTTAATCACCCAACCACTGTCGTGGCGAGAAGAGAAGTGTTGTGCAATGCAGGCATATGGCATTATGCAGTGAATTGTTGAGCAGTGCAAGCAGCATCGTGGTGCTGCGAATCGCAAGGTACCTTCCATGTATGTTAGTTAGGGACGGCGTAGCTGGTTTAGTTGCAGCCGGCGTGACTCAGGGATTTTGGAGATCTGCGGGTGCCGGGCACATCACGCCTTACATACAGCTCCACCCGGCCGGCCGGGTTTGACTCCGACCGCGCTTGCGCTGGGTGTAAATAGTTGCAAAACTGTATCCCCCAAGGCTTGGATGCGTGATATGGGCACCAGGTGTATTGGCTCTCAGCTCCCCGGCCTTTGCGCATTGAATTACTCCTGCGGTATCGTTGAAGGGAGAGTATATCCCAGTCTCGCCGATTTTCGGAGCGCAGGACGCGGAATATCTGCCCGCGCATAGGTTTAGCGGTGACAGCAAAGATCCTCACCACAGAAGCGGTACTTTGTAACGTATGTTTACAACCTACTAGACATCAAACTCCGTCGTCTATTGGAAGAGGCACAATCACGGCCTCATTGTTCCCGTGCCAGCAAAGCCTTCTGTCAGCCAGCCTTCCTGGTGCCGTCGAGACCAGATCGGCCCGATGGATAACCCGGCCAGCGCATCACGACCCGTGCAGCCTTATAGCATCCCGTCATCGTCACCTGGGAACTCGTTAACTGAGCACGGCAACGACCGCGGCGGGGCTGCGGTATCCGATATCGACTCCAGCTCCGACGATGGAGGCGACACTCGAGACGATCGAGCATTGCTACCCCAAGAGGTACTGGGCAACAGCCACCACCACCACGACGCAAGGGACATGGCGCGTGGGCTTCAGCCAACAGAACCCCCAGGGAGCCCGCGCGCCGTGGATCGGACGTCGGGCTTGACTCGGCCGCAGGCGTGGAATCTGTATCTCAGCCATGCTCTATCGACGTGGAATGCCCGGGGCTATGAGTTTGCTGCTGTAAGTTGTCCGAGCTCTTTGTCCGACCTCTACTGGCCGTTCCCTCCTTCTGGGCGGGCATTAGTTGAGTGTGGTGGCCATTGCATATCATCGTATTTTGGGTAGACTGAATGTTTCGACACTGACCCTCTTCGTCCTTTCCAATTCAGGTTCTCTTCACAGCGGCAGCGTATCCGGGTACTCTTGTAGCAGCCTCAGCTCGGCAAGCCAACTGCCCGCCTGCCTGCGTACTCAGAGGAAGATGTACCACTGACCGCAGACGATATCTTGTTTGAAACAGCATGATCATCATTTACTTTGCCATGATCATGTTTTCGAGCTCCATTGGCAGCTGGGTCGACCAGTCGCCGTCCAGGCTGCGCACGCTGCTCACCACCATCGTGTGCAACCGCGGCTCCGTCATTGTCGGATCCCTCTTCTGGCTGGCCATCCTGAGCCAGCGCGATCTGCTGCTGAACGAGCTGCCTCGGGGTATGGACGAGTCTGCCATGTTCTTTGTACTGCCGACCAACAAGACTCTGAAGGGGGTTGGCTTCGGACTCGCCATATGCTGCGGCATCGCCGAGCGCCTCAGTGCGTCTGGCAACTTGTTATCGATGGAGCGCGACTGGGTTCCGACTGTTGCGGCGAGGCCTACTCTAGATCGTGCCGCTGGGAGCAAGGCGAGTCCTTACGACCTGACCCATCTCAACGCCGTTATGCGCCGGATCGACCTCGTCTGCAAGTTGTTCTCGCCCATTGTCCTGTCCCTGGTCATCTCCTTCTCTGGGTCGACCCGGGCTGGCGTGCTCTTTACCGGGCTGACCAGCTCTATATGCATCCCCATCGAGATGATATCTGCCAGGTCAGTCTGGCGAGCAAACCCGGCCCTGCAGCAACCGAAGCAACGACGCCAGACGGCAGCGCCCAACACCACCACCATCACCACCACGGCGGCGGCGTCTGGCACAACCGCCGCGAGCCCGCCCCTCGCCCGGCGCATCTTGTCCCAGATGCGCTCCTACCCGCGCGACTTTGCCATGTACTTCACCACGCCGTCCTCGGTCTGGATCCCCTCGCTCGCCCTGGCCATGCTGCACTTCAACATGCTCACCTGGCGCGCCACGTTCATCACGTATCTCATCACGGTCGGGTACTCGCTCAACGTCATCACGGCGGCTCGCACGGTCGGGTCCTTGTTCGAGATCACGAGCACCGTCATCACGCCGCGGTTGATTGTGACGCTGGGGAGGACAAGCAATCTCGGTGCGCCGGAAGAGAGGAGGGGGACGGGGAGGGGAAGTGATACTGAAGCGGGCTCTGACGCTGGTCGAGCGCTGCTGTCATCTGCCGCAGAAGAAGATGAAGACGAGGAAGAGGAGGCAGCATCGTCACCTAGACACAACCAGTCGCGGTTCGAGAGGGAAAGTGAGAGCGAGGAGCTTGCGGACCGGCAGACGTTGACGGGACTACAGCGGGTTGGGCTGTGGGGGATCACATGGCAGATTGCCAACACGGTAAGTCATTCTCGCCTGCTTCGATCGGCGGGCTGAAGACGGAAAAAGTCCCCGGGCCAGCTATAGGTAGCAACTAACACGGACTGCCACATCAAAATATAGATTCCCGTCGTCCTCGCAATCTGGATCATCACCGCCGACGCAAAGCCATCGACACCCTCCTCATCTTCCACCACCCTCACCGCCACCACCATCACCACCAGCGACACCAGCGACACCATGCTCAACATCTCCAACTCCATCATCCTCTTCTCTTTCCTCTCCCTCTCCCGCCTAGGCGTCTGGGTCTTCGACCTCACCACCCAGCAGCTCACCCAGACCCTAGTGCCCCCGCAATCCCGCTCCTCCTTTGCCGGCGTCGAGAACAGCATCACCAACGTCTTTGAGCTCGCGGGCGCCATGGCGAGCATCGCCTTCCCGGACCCCAGGCAGTACCCTTACCTCGCGAGCGCGAGCCTGGCCGCCTGCGTGCTGAGCTGGGCCCTGTACGCGGGCTGGGTACGCCGCCGGAGGGGCCACCTCGTGCACTGCGATAAGATGGAGGACATCATTGTCGGCGCTGGCGGCGGGCGGTGCCTGAAGGGGCGGCGGCGATAGCGGTGGAGAGGCGGAGGGGCAGCAATATGGAGGGGGAAGCCAATTTGTGAAAGAGTGAAGAGCTATGGTCTTGCCGTCGTGTGTAAAAGCTTCATCGTGGGGCTGCACTTGAGGGTTTCTTCAAGTCGGTCGAGTTTGGGGGGGCTGCATCTTGTTGTGGACGCAGAGACTAAAGTATGGATAGTGAAAGATGTTCGGGGGGGTAGTGGGTGAAAAGTAGCCGCTGGTAAAGGGCGCCTGCTACAGCACATACAAGTGCGCACGGTTGCCGAAACCATACCACGTTCACGCTTGGCCAGATACCCTGACACTGGTCCATCATATGTCGTTCCCGACCGTCAGGGCTTGCACGATGGCTACGTGTGTCTCATGTGTGCATATATCGTGGTGTTATTGGTACATTTTCTAGCATAGCCCGTGACCGGCCGTAACACGATCCCACGTGTCGTGGTTGTGTGTACAGCGTTTTGATACAATATACATGATACCTGGCGCGCAATACCGAGCGAGTCGCACTCCACGGCGGGCGGCGCCCGACACACAAACGGCATCGACTTGCAGGACCCCCCTTGATTGTGTCCTTCCAAAACCCTCTTACTGGGACTTGTTCCTGCGCTTGCCGTGGTTGCGGGGGCGGGCAATGACGACCCATTTGTTGATGTTGCTCTTCTTGCGCGTCTTGTAACCGCCCTTGGCCTGTGGTTTTGGTACATTTCGTCAGCAAGGGTTCAAGAGGCTCAAGGCTCAATAGTATACCGGGAGTGCTTGTGCTTACCGGTGTCCGACCCCACGGACTTGTGGGGTGTCTGTTACCCTTGGATTTACCACGACCACCTCCGTGAGGATGATCAACTGATTGGACGAGTAGTTAGTAAATTGTTTTGTTTGAAGACAAGAAGGCGACTGTCGCGTCCTCATATAAAAAAACGTACCCTTGTTCATGGCCACACCACGGACGGTAGGCCGGATGTTGAGCCACCTGCTGCGACCTGCCTTTCCGAGCTGCCGGTAGTGGTGGTGGGTGTTGCTGGCAACACCAATCGTGGCGCAGGCGTCCTTGCTGACCTTGCGCACCTCGCCAGTGGGCAACCTGATTGTGACGTACTTGCCCGTCATGACCTTGGTGCCGTCGGCCTTGGTCTCCTCGTCCTTGCTCTCCACAATCGCAAAGGTGCCGGCGCTCCTGCAGAAGACGGCGCCGCCCTTGGGGTGCGAGCCGACGTTGAAGACGGGCGTACCGAGCGGCACGAGGTGCAGAGGCAGGCAGTTGCCGCGGTGCGCCGTCTTGGCGGCGAGCACACCGGGATCGACCACACCGCCCATGCTCTGGAGCATGTCCTGGGGGATTCCGGCACGGTAGCTGTACAGCACGTCTCCGGCCCGAGTGCCCTCAGGAGCGACAATGTATGACTTCCGGCCCGTCGCCTCCTCGGTGAGGAGGGCAATGTGTGCGCTGCGGCCGGGGTCGTGCTCGATGCGCTCGACGAGGTGAGGCCCGCCGGTCATGCGGTGGAAATCAACCATTCGTATCCTGGTCTTGACACCACCGCCGCGATGCCGCACCGTGATCCTGCCAGTGCTGTTCCTGCCACCTTTGCCGTGGCCGCGCTTGGGGAAAGTGAGCGGCAGGAACGCCCGGCCTTTGTAGAGGTGGTCGTTGATCGGGCGCCGCAGATGTCGCACACCGGGCGTCCGGGGCTTGAACGTGCGCAGGGCTACCGACACGCTGCGGTCCTTCTCGGGGATGCCGTTCATCTGGTTGTGGTTTATCGGTGCCTGCGTGAGCTCCGGCTCCGGGTCGGGCGGCGGGGGAGCGTCATATCGTGAGGCGATGCTGGAGCGGAATAAGAGCCTCGAGGCTGTGGAAAACTGGCAGGCGGCGGCGGCGGCGGCCAGTAACCTCCCCGAGGCGGGCGGGAGGATGCGCGACCGCATCATGTTGGCTGAGTCGCAACCAGGCGGGCTACGACTGTGCCGATTGATGCAGGGGCGACGGTGGTGAGGTGGTCGGGGTTGCTGAGGAGGCTCAGCCCGGACGATGCCTTTGGCTTGGTCTGTCGATTGACGTCGAGCCGATCACCAAATTTCATGAATGAAGCTCTGCGGCGGGTGTGTGGAGTGGTTCCGCCCGCCAATGAACCCCTTGTCCGGGACTTTGATGCTAGGCCGTATTGGGGGGCTGCTAATTTGGGACAGTTTGGAGGGTCATCTGGCAGTGTCCGATCTTGCATGGCGGGCATGCCGGGTAGTCTAGCGCCTCTCGACGCGACTGCCTTTGATGCAGAACAGGAAGCATGGACTTTAATCTGGTTTGGGGCTGGTTGCTGGACCCTGCCACGCGCGCGTGCGTGCTTCGCAATTTAGCAAGGTTGAGGTTGCAGAATGGCTTCATCATAGCACCTGGCCAAGCAGGCATGTTGAATCCCATACTTTCAAGGTACATCACGGCGGCTGGCTGTACAAGGCATTGAGCCTACCGACTGATTGCACATGTTTGGCTCATCTACGGCAAAGAACATGTCCGCCCCCTCTGACGCCCAGGCCTCACCCTCGAGGAACAAATCTTGAGAGCTGTTGATGATGGCATGCGGCTGAGTAACAAGCACGTCACCACCAGCCACAGTCCCGTCCAGCCGAGACCAGGGCACGCGACTTGAGACGAGGTCGAGGTTTGCAGGAGCGGACAGGGCAGGGCACGGCTGTCTGCCCACAGTGAGAGGACGCTGGGCTGGCCGCAAAGGCACGTCGGCCATTGGCCGGAGGGCAGGCGAGGGCAGCTGCAGCAAGAGACCGCGCCGGCCCAATCAAGGCGGCGTTGCTGGGCGGTTGTCAGTGTTGACAGCGGGCTTTGGTGGGGCAGCCTGGGTGACGATGTTCCACCACGGCCCCGGAGACGCTGGCACAGGCAGCGCTCGCAGTGGGGGAGCAGCGTCGAGGCCGCTGACGAAAGGGCCCTTGCGAGCACTGTCCGCGTCGGATGCAGGAGAGGCTGGGCTCACACGCTGCAGGGCACGCAGGCATCACGACCGCGTCGGTGGAGGAGCTGCCCGTGTCGTCGTGCCCATGCTTGAAATACTAGCGGTACGCCGCCTGACCTGCTCTCCATCCGTGCTTGTTTGTCCTCTCTCTGCCTTTCCTGCTGCCATCTTATTTGCTCTCGGTTCTTCTGGACAGACCAGTCTGGAACGAAACATCACATTCGCCCATTGCCAACGAGAATCACCTACTTTGCAGATTGGTGCATATACACGCTTCACGGCCTACTCACATCACTCGCCAGACGACAGCCGGCCACCAGAGACACAATCCAATACAGTACAGTACCAGAAACCACGGCTGCTGGCTTGTCTGACAGCAAGCAACGGGAGAGCAACCACGTCTGCTGCAGCAGAAAAAAAAGAGGAGAACCCACGGGCGTTCCTCTGGAGACAGGGATTCGCCAGAAACCCTGCCGCGAGCAAGAGCTACAGTGGCGCTGCTTACAGCGCCCTCTCTCTCACTCTCTGTGCGGCTACACGCCTCGCGCTGCGCTAGCAACCGCTCCCTCACGTCAAGGTACGTCCAGCAACCAAGGCCACCCGCAGAGCTCCACCCACCGCCCGGCGCCGTGTCCCACTGCCAAACATTGCACCTCCATCTGCAAAACATCACCTCTTCCCATGTTGTTCCTCTTGCTCCCGCCCAGCTCAACCTTCACCTTTCCTCGTCCTCTTCCCCATCTTTCTCCAGCATCAGTCTTGCACTGCCTGCGCGTCGCCTCCCATTCCTCCTCGACGTCCTTGTCCTGCCTCACCGTCCGCATCGCCGTCGCGTCTGCTACCGCCTCCCTGCGCCGCTACACGCCTCATCAGTCACTGACGCTCCGGGACGCAGCTTGTTGATATTGCAAGCCCTACCTGCCAATTCGATCTCTAGAGGTATGCACATGCCCTCTGACGCGCCATATCACCGTCCTGCTCGTCCCCGGCGTCTCGTACACGCTTACCACACGCTCCGTCGCCCTGCCTGCGCGTCTACACGTCGGGCAAAGCTCGAGCCCTAGCACGTGGAGCTGGTAGCACAAGCCCAATGAACACCACGCAACACAACACAAGACACCTCAAGAGCCTGATCACAAGAGCCATCTTACTGACACGTCTTGACACAGCAGTATCTCGAATTAATTAGTCAAAACCTATCCGGCCCACACGACTTAACAACAACACAGCCATGCCTCCTGTCGTGAGTTGTTTACCAGCCCCACTTGGAGCTCTTGCTGCTTGCCGCTGCTTGGTCCAGCTTGAGGTTCACACTAACATAACCTCCCATAGGCACGTCCCGCTCGCCAGCGGCTCGTCACCAACGAGAACGATGAGAACAGCAACTCGACGCGTATGACGCGGGCCAAGGCTGCCGCGCTTGAAACCGATGTCGCGTCTCAACCTTTGAAGCAGGGCTTCCAGTCCAAGAAGGCCCCTCTCACAACTGCCACCGGAAGACGTGCCGCCCTTGGTGATGTCAGCAATGTTGGCAAGACTGCTGTCGTCGAGGGAAAGAAGCCTCTAAAGAGCTCCGGGCTCGCCTCCAAAGCCGGCCCCACTGGCGTCCAGAAGGCCACTCACGCTCGCACAGTCTCCAGAACGACAGCACTCAGCAGCAAGGAGACCAAGAAGACCGAAGTCAAGAGAACCGGATCCGGCGCAGTCACCATCGGTACTTCCTCAGGGAAGCGCAAGATCCCTACAACGTCATCTGTCAAGCAAGAGGAGCAATTGGTCGAGGAGGATGAGCCCGTCCGCAAGAAGATCATCATGAGCGAGAACGAGAAGCCTACCAAGCTGGAGCACATTGACGAGAAGACCGACTTCGTCGTCGAAGACCCTAAGCCCATCTACCCTCCCGGCGTGAACAACTTGGATGAGGAGGATCTTGATGACCCTCTCATGGCTGCCGAGTACGCCACTGAGATCTTCGAGTACCTTCGCGACCTCGAGTGCAACTCGATCCCGAACCCCAACTACATGGAGCACCAGGACGATCTGGAGTGGAAGACACGCGGCATCCTCATTGACTGGCTCATCGAGGTCCACACCAGATTCCACTTGCTACCTGAGACTCTCTTCCTTGCTGTCAACATCATCGACCGATTCCTCTCTGAAAAGGTTGTCCAGCTCGAACGTCTGCAGCTCGTCGGCATCACTGCAATGTTCATTGCGTCCAAGTACGAGGAGGTCCTGTCGCCTCACGTTGCCAACTTCAGCCACGTTGCCGATGACGGGTTCACAGTTTCGGAAATCCTTAGCGCGGAACGCTTCATCCTGTCCACCCTCAACTATGATCTGAGCTATCCCAACCCCATGAACTTCCTCCGCCGTATTTCCAAGGCGGACAACTATGATATCCAGTCGCGGACAATCGGCAAATATCTCATGGAGATCAGCCTGCTGGACCATCGCTTCATGCAGTACCGACCCAGCCACGTCGCTGCTGCTGCCATGTACCTCTCCCGCATGATCCTTGACAGGGGCGAATGGGTAAGTTGTACATCGTGATGACACACCAATGACGCGTGCTAACAAGGCATCAGGACGCCACCATTGCCTACTATGCCGGCTACACCGAGGAAGAGATCGAGCCCGTTTTCGAGCTCATGGTCGACTACCTCGCCCGGCCTGTAATCCACGAGGCTTTCTACAAGAAGTATGCCAGCAAGAAGTTCCTCAAGGGTAAGCACATCACATCATCCACTCACCAAGCCCGTCTACCGAATACTAACATGGACATAGCTTCCCTGTTGACTCGCCAATGGGCGAAGAAGAACGCTCCCCTCTTTGGCATCACCGACGTCCGGCTATCTCTCGATGAGCTTGATGAGCTATCTGTATAGAAGGCTCACAAGTACGGCGTCGCACGCCTTCCAAACTCCGCCTTCTCTCAGGTGTACATAACTCCTTGCATTGCGATGTACCTGGATACATCCGCGAAAATCCTGGGATGTCTTACCCATACCATAATACCTCGATCAACACTCTTGAAGGGTTTCGACCTTGGCAAACATTACATACCACGCAGCAACACATCGCTGTTGAGATCGGATGGATTCCATCTCAACCTCTCTGCGGACGCCTCACCTCCACAAAAGCATATGGCTGCGGGAGCCACGTCATATCCATCCTTCTGTTTCATAGTAGCCAGCGGCTGCGTCGTTTGATGCATATTTATTCCCTCTAAATGCGTTTCTGGCACATGGCGTCATGGCGAAGGTTTGCTTTCGGATGTCTTTCTGGTTGGCGGCGTCTTGGTTTGGTCATTACCCTCTCTGCGCACAACTGCGACGATGCCGGGTGGCCAGCGACCCGAGCGGGGGTTGCAGCACGACAAAAGATGACTTGGGTGCCGTTGCCGTGGCAGCGACCACGGCTGGTGGCGGGATGGTTACGAACGTGTACATATTATGCTTTGAAGTTGGATTGATTGGGTTTCTTGATGATTGCTAGGAACAGAGCTGCATATGCATTTGATTTCCATGACTCGAAGTCTCTTTTGGCTTCCGTCCTCGGCCTGCGAGTGAACCTAGTGATGCATGCAGTGGTTGTGTCTGTCTATCGCCTAGGCTCTTTGTTGGGTCTCTGCCTAACATGCACATCATCAAGTGTCTCTCGGGGTTGGCCTTTTGTACTTGTTCAAAGAATTGCTTCCCAGTTGTGTATTCCTCTATATCTTTACAAGCTTGATCATGACTTCATGCGGTCGTGACATCACCGCCACCACCGTCTTTCCCACTGCTGTCCTTCTTGGTCTTCCTGCGGCGCCGGGCCTCCCCAGCCTTCTTCCGCGCGGCGACCATGCGCCAAAACTTGTCCCGCCTGGGCGGCGTGCCAGTGCCACCAACCATTAGCCAGTGAAGCCGTGATATCCGTGGCACCTCGTTCTTGTTCTTGTGTGAGAGCGCGGCGCGTGACGCCGAGGGTGAGGATGAGGAGGATGAGGCCGGAATCGGGTCTTGTTCTTGTTCCGATGGTGGTGGTGGTGATGATAGCAAGGATGAGGATGTTGGTTCTGGCCGTGATTCTGGTGCTGGCGACCCAGGGGCCGATACTGGAGGAGTTGGGACTTGCGTTGAACCCTTTTGCTCAGATATGCCTCCGTTTTTGAGGCCTCCTTTAGCGGTAGTGCCGTCTTCGCCGTCTGGCGTTACTGAGCTCATGATTGTTGGACTAAGGGGGAATATTTGGGGGGGGAGGGATGGGACGGGGCAGCAAAGTAGGCTGGATAGTTCTGTGGCACTTTGTTGACAGGTACTACTGCTGTTCGTGTACTGAAACGATATGCTCTTTTTGTTCTGCTTCGGGGGGGCAAATAATGGGTGCGTGTCACTATGCTCACTGGCAGGGGAAAAGAATGAGCGTTTGAGTACCTTTAGGTAGACGATGAAGCTTCGACATGCGCGCAGGGACTTCTGGGCAGTATATAAGTATTCTATTACACAACGTGTGTACATATGAATAAAGTAGGCGGGCTACACGTCAGGTGTATTCGGGCTTATGCGGCTCCTCCTGCTCCTGGTTGACTTATCCATCACTCATTCGTATTACTGACGACGGCAGCGGTGCCTTCAACTCGGGGAAACTAGTGCGCGAAAATGGGAGGGTGGTCGGTTTGTACGCCCGGAGTTTGATCATGGGGATTTGGCACGGCGTGGCATGGCATGGCATGGCATGGCTGGGCGCGAGTTCTTGTCATGTATGATGAGTACGTCGTGCTACTACTACTTGGTGTGGGTGGGAATGACTGCACAACGCTCGTTTGAATCGAGCCGATGAGTCCTGCTTACGCACCGTGAAAGTAAGCCCTCCGGAGTCCTTGATGCTCCTAGCTTTATCTGCAAAAAAAGGTGCTGCATGGATCGCCGGTTCTCTCCCCCCAACACGTCGTGGAGTGAGGAGTTGGAGTAAGCACGCTGCGTCTCCAAACATCACTTTGTATCTCTGGTTGTCACGAACACACCGGTGCTTGTCAGATCAAAAAGGTTTCAGTGTTGAACTGGCTTTTGTCCTAGCTGTTTTATTGGACCCTTCTTTCATTTCTTATTATTTATTTATTTATATTTTTAGCTGCATGGGGCAGGTTCGTCACAGCATGCCCTGCGTTCATATGCATCATACGACCCGGGAATTCTAAAATAATTGGCAAAACAGCACTGGTCAGGGTTTGCGTTTATTACTGCGCTACATGGCCCTGCCACGGAGACTGCAGGCGGGCATTTGCGGCGTGGGTTAGGAAAAGTTTGGCATGCTGGAGGTGTGTTGCACTGTAAACAAGTACAGGGAACATACCAGTCCTGTATCCTGCTGCTTTCCTGGTCTACCCGCTGCGGTTTCCGCACCGCACCGTACCCTTCGCCTGGGCAGACATGCAGCTATTCCGGGCACATGGATCTCGGACTTGAGAGGTGGGGGGGGGGGGGGGGCGGGGGGCGCTGACTCCAAGATGGAATTGGTCGTCAGAACAAGAGTCACATTGTCTGGCGAATGTTTACTTAACTAGGTTCCTATGCGGTTGAGGATGGGTCAAGTGCCCTCAACACAAGCTGAATATGGGCCGAGACACGCGTCCTCATGACGACAAGCATTTATGCAATCCAGAGATGTTGCTGAAGTCTTGCCGAGTACTTGGATTGACTTCATCACAACCTATACAATCACCCAAAAATAAATGAGAGGTAACCTGTGAGCGCGGGAGTGCATTTTGTTGCAAAAAGATTGGCAAAAAACAAGCTAGTTGCCCACTACTGGAGTCGAACCAATTGCCTCCTCATTACTAGTGAGGCGCTCTACCGATGAGCCAAGCGGGCTTCTATGATGAACTTTGTTCTTATCACAGTATATAGCCATGATACACAATGCGTGGTTCTGCACAATCTACGGAACGTATGTAGCCCAAGGTGTCTCACTCGTTGACGGCCACCACCAGGCCTTCCAGGTTGCGTTTGTTAACTGGTATCATATGTCGTCAAGATCACTTGGCAAACTGAGACTCGTCATCGCACGTGTCTTGCGATCTAATTGCTATCTGTGTGGGCTTAGGTGACCGTCAAAGACATCGGCCGCTGGTTTTGCCCATGCTCGGGTCACTCTTCATCATAGCCTATGAGTCCACCTCCATCGACTCGCCCCCCGCCTCCAACTCCTGCACGCTCACGTACTTGCCAATCTCGTCCTTTGTGATGATCTTCTCATTGAGGACCGCCGTCGTGCCTCTGGCAAACTTGTAGTTCTTCAACTTTTGAGTTCTCTCATTGGGCTTGACAAAGCCGCGGTGCAGCGTGGTCTTGTCGGCAGTGATGACAGCGAGGTCGACGTTGGAGCCGGAGCCCAGATCGTTAAAGATACCAGCCTGGATGGCTTGCGAGCAAAGCTCCATGGCCTCCTCTTTGGTCACTGTCGGCTTCCATTGCGTCTCGAACACAGACATGGCGGCCAAAGAGCCGGAGCCCATGGTGACGTAGGGCAGCTTGTCTGTGCTGCCGTGGGCATGAACTGTAAAGAGGTGTGTTCCCGTAGGGTCGACGCCGGCGACGACGAGGTAGGCGCCAATGTGGCCCTGGTATTGGAACAGGTGCTGCTTGAGCAGGGTCATGCAGGTGACGACTCTGGGCTTGCGACCTGTCGATAGCGAGTGGAGCTCGAGCTGGGACGAGATGAGGGCAGTCGTGAACTCTGTGTCGGCAGCGGTACCAGCACCAGCACACCAGATCTGAGGGGAGATGTAGTGAAGCTTCTCGCAGTTCTTGTCGGCAACAATCGGCCCACTTGTAGCTCGTGTATCGGCGGCAATCTGGATGCAATCACACGGTCAGTTGAATGTCAACGGAACAAACTAGAGATGTCATCCTAAGCACAAAAAGGATCGGGAAGGACTTACCACCACACCCCCATCATATATGCAACCGACGATTGTGGTGCCTGTGCTGGTGGCTTTGGGCAAGGGAACACCCCGCGCGTGGAGCGCCGCATTGCGGTTGTAGTTTGAGAAATCGAAGCCCGGCATCTTGTGTACTCTCGTGCCCGCGGAGAGCACGGCTCTGCTCTACTAAGCTTGGCTGATGGGCTGTCGGTTTGAATCTGAAGTCGAACGGTTTCGGGTCAGCGTCGGTTGCCTTGAAGGTGTTTGCGTGCGTGCTTGGTTGTCGAGAGCGAGGACGGGCGTGGAGATGTGCTGCTCCGGAAGGCTGCGTTTCCCAAGTCTATCGCCGCTACGTAGAGGGGCCCGCCCACCAGGCAGGGTGCTGACGACCAGCTGGAGCTGCCTTCGAGAGCTTGCGCCACAACAGCACCTTCCAAGACGCGGGTGGGGAGGTACCAAGGTACCCCCAGCCACAGCGGACCGAGCAAACAGCCACAGAGGTGCGGAGTACGTACCTGGGGGACCTGAGCTGAGGTCATGCTGGTTGCCAAGTGAGCTGCTGCTGCCGCCCGTGCAGGGATCAGTCTAGCAGGCCGGGGATGCTGGGTGAGCTGCAAGCTGCAAGGCCCGCCAAAAACTTCCAAGCCGCTCTTGGTCGACGCGTGCCTGGCGTTCCGTGAGAGCAGCGCTTGGGCGACAAACAACCACCAGCTTTTCCCAGAAGCACCCCAGTCTCTATCCCCCGACGACTTCGACCAGACTTTCGAGGCGCACCGAGCCTGTCCCATTCGCACATGATCGAGGGCTCAAGACAACTAGAAGCTGCGCAGCGCGCGTAAGAATTACCCGTTTGCCCGTCACCTCAGCCAGCTCCTGCAGGCTACCATTCGTCGGCTCTCACCTGGCGACTGCGATCGAATCACGCAAACCTCCCTGTTCGCCCACGTCCACCTCACGGACCATTGCCTTTCACCGACCCGATCCACATATTGAAAGCTGCGCTGCGAAAGACGATAAATAAAGCCTTGATTACAGCCGACCTCTCTTCTTTGGTGAAGGTGCCGCCCTCATCGCCATGTCCTTTGGCTTTGGCAGCTTCGGCGGCGCCAGCGCCGCATCAAACACCAATGGCGCGTCCGCAGGGCCGGAGCTTGAGACGATACAGACGGAAGGCCTCGGCTTCCTAGCGATTGCCGGCTCGGCCAAGTTGCGTCTTGTCTCCCAATGGTCACCCGCCCCTGCACCGACAGCCTCGCTTCTGTCGATCGCCTCCCGGGCAGGCCTCGTCGCCGCCGCAAGCCCGGATGCAGTCGTCATCGCCTCGACCGAAGATGTGCGGAAAGCCTTCGAGGCTCCTGCCGACGGCGACAGCGATGTCCGACCCTTCCAACCTCAGCTCAGCCTCAAGTTGCCCACCCGGATATGTCAGCTTGCTTTCACTGCTGATGAGAACTACCTGGTTCTCTCGGCCGAGCAGGGTGGAGGACTGGCAGCTTATGAGGTACGCAGTCTCAAACAGGGCTCTACCCAGCCATCCTTCCAGATCCCGACAAACAACGAGGCCTTGCGAGCTCTTGTACCAAACCCACAGGCTGCAACAGGCGAGCTCTGTGCTGTAGTTACAAGTCAGGGGAAGCTCCTTGTCGCAAATATGAACGACAAGAAGTTTGCTCAAGGCAGCAACGGCCAGGTACTAAAGGAGCAAGTCAGCTGCGTTGCCTGGAGCACCAAGGGTAAACAGCTCGTCGCTGGGTTGGGCGATGGCACAATGGTCCAGATGACCCCCTCGGGCGATGTCAAGGCAGAGATTCCAAGGCCTTCAGAGCTCGACTCGTCGAACTATGGTAAGTCCGAGAAACACTCTGCTCATCCCATTGATGATTGTGAAAATACTGACACGTACCATAGTTTCGGCGGTCAGCTGGCTTGAGAACCATGTCTTCCTTGCTTTCTACGTCTCCACATCGGAACAACCGCCGACGGAAAGCTGTTACCTTATTCTGCGACAGGGACAGAACTTCACCTTTCAGAAATTTAACGACCCTATCGCACCTTTTGGCAGCGAGAAAGCTCCACACCAGACCGTCACCAGGCTGCAAGACTTCCCTCCCAACTTGACCGACGTCTTGATCTTGGGCTCTACCGCTACTGAGGAAACAGGTCTTATCACCCGTGCCAAGAAGTCTCTAGCATCAAATGCGCCTGCTGAGAAGATGGATCAGATAGTAGACGTCTTTACTACAACGGAGCTTGCGGACGATTCTCGGCGAGCGACCTTGCCAATGGGTGATGGTATGGACTCGCCATCCCCGATTGGTGTGGCACTCGATCTATCAAGCAAGCATAAGGTCTTCAAGCCGATTCCTGCTGACGAGATTGATGAGTCGCCTGGGCCGCTCCCCGGCTACTGGGTCCTGAACGACGAAGGTGTGCTTTCAATCTGGTGGCTGGTCTACAATGACTCCATTCGTGAAGGCGCCATGTACTCGGGTTTGGTGGCTGCAGATAGCAACGGTAATGCGACTTCAGTAACTGCGACGACTGCTCCTCAACAAGCCACGAGCGCTGCGCCTGCGTTTGGGACGTCCGGATTTTCTGCTGCGAAGCCAGCAACACCGGCACAAGCTTCTGCTTTTGGGAGCCCGGCTGCTCTAGGGGCGAAGGCATCACCCTGGGGTGCGCAGAACTCTAGCTCATCTGGCACTACCGCTGGTGCTACGTTCGGATCCAGCACTTTTGGCAGCGCAACAGCATCCTCAGCACCGAAGTTCGGCGCACCAAGTTTCGGGACTGCTGGCGGCTTGGGCTTTGGCCAGGCAGGGAGCCTTGGAGGGAAGGTGTCGCCGTGGGCCACTGCAACAACGGCATCGAAGACACCCGCGTTCGGTCAGTCCAGTTTCGGGGCCGCGCCTGGTGCGCCTGCTACTGCTACTAGTGCTAGCCCATTCAGCTCTGCAGGCGGCAATGCCTTCTCAAGCTTCGCCAGCAAAGGTGGCTTTTCTAGTATCGCCAACAACGACTCAACGCCGAAGGCAAACCCCTTCGGCTCTGCCACGACTGACAATGCATCGTCGACAGCAGCGACGCAAGGAAGCAGTGCCGGCGGCTTTGGAGCCAAACCAGCGACAACCTTGGCAAACCCATTTGGTTCACTCGGCTCAAAACCCGCCAACTCTGCGTCAAGCCCGAACCCGTTCGGAGCACCCTTCAAATTGCAGTCTAGCTTTAAGCCCGATCCTGCAGCGAAGGATGATGACAAGGAACCCGACGATTCGTCAGAAACCAAGAAAATTTCTATGTTTGACTCAGGCTTCAAGTCTACACTTGGTGAGGCAAGTAAAACTCCGGCTGTGAATCCCTTCGGAAAACCTCCAGCTGGACAATCACCGTTTGGCCAGCTGCCGACGGTGGAATCGACAACACCAACATCGACGCCGGCTCCATCAAAGTTCCTATCCCCAGCGCCCACCCCGAGCGGTCTTTTTGGGCAGTCAACCCTTGGTAGTGGCAATACGTACGGGAGTCTTTTTGGCTCTCAAACGCCAAAGGCGCCAGTTCCCGGTATCACGGTCGAGGCTGAGACCCCAAAAGCTACGAACACTGCGCTGAACGCTCCTCTGCCTCCAGAGTCTACAAGTAAGGACACCTATCCACTCGGTGACTCATCATCGTCCTCCTCAGCGACCTCTGCTGATCTCTCGGATTTTCCAGAAGCACCAGCCGCGGAGACAGCGCCGTTACCTCCCAGCTTTGGCAATGTCCCCTCAAAAACTAGTCAGGCTCCTCCATCTCTGGCAGACACGGCACCATTGCCACCGGATCCTGTCAAGAACGAGAAGTTGTACAAAGTGGAGATCCCTCCACTGCCCAGCAGCTCGAGCAAGAATAATGCGCCCGACGATGCTCCGCTCCCGCCAGACCCAGTGCGAAACGCGAAGGCTTATAACGTTGTTATTCCTCCTCTGCCAGACACCAAACCGGCACAGAAGCCAGTGAGCGATGCGCCGTTGCCACCTGATCCTGTCAAACAAGCTCAGGCCTACGACTACAAATTTCCTCCTGTGCCTGGGACGAAATCATTTCAAGCAAGCACGAGCATCTTGCCTCAGGCGCCCTCAACCCAGAATTATGTCTTCAAACTGGATCCAAATGCCCCGCCTGTGTCAGACAGCGAGGACAATTTATCCGAGGAAGATGACGGCGAGGATGAAGGTACTGCTCCGGCTAGCGAGGGAAGTGGTGTTGACGTCGCCAAAGAACTGAGCCCAGAGTCCCACGGCGCAAGCAAGACCCCTGGATATACTCCCACGAGCTCGTTCGATGGCGGCCTGGGGGGAAGCTTCTCAAACATCGCTCGGCCTCAAACCCTGTTTGGAGAGGTTGTGCCTCGTCTGCCAAAGCCGAACCCTGTCAGCCCAAGATCTCCCAGTCCTGTGCGCAGTGCAGTACCACCGCGCATCATTGGCCACGACGGACACCGATCTGTCAGCACACCAGCTATGGCCTCGCAGATTCTTGGCGGCGCGAGGCAGCACCAACAGTCCCGGCTTGGACAGTCCATTGTTGGCAAGGCTGCGCCGATGGAAGATGCGATCATGGAGCATCAACGAAAGGCAAAGGCGAAGAAGGAGGCCGACGAAAACCGGTTGCTTGTCGATGAAGAGGATGCAGCCATTCAGCAACTGCTTGCGAGCGAGATAGAGCCGACGCTTGAAGTCAGCGAGTTCATCGCGCACGCGGGCGTGGCTCCTCCTGCTGCTGACAGCATCCCAGCCCAAGTGGAAGCCGTCTACCGTGACATCAACTCTATGATTGACACTCTTGGCCTGAATGCCCGATCTCTATCTGGGTTTATCCAGGGTCAATTGGACTTTGGAGCCGAAGACCGCACAAAGGACGATTTGAGTGGCCCTGAAACATGGACTTTGGATGAGATCCCAGGTCTCGACTATATAATAGAGTCGGATCTTGGTGACGCTCTCGAGCACGCCCGCGTCAAGGATGTGGAGAACAAACTTGTCCGGGTTGCAGAGCTAAAGAGAGAGCTTGTGCGCGATTTCAACAAACAGGCCGACCTGAAGAAAGCCATCGCGGCACGCATCGACCCTGACCAGACGGTTGCCAACCGCGCGCTGCCACTGAGCTCCGAGCAAGCGGCCCAGCAGAACGACCTTCGCAGAGAATACGCAAGGTTTACACGCGTCCTAGCTGAAGCGGAGGAAGGACTCACGCTACTCAAGGCCAAAGTAGTCAGTGCCAATAGTGCAAGCGGGAAGGGTGGCCCTACGCCCACCATCGAAGCTGTCGTCCGCACCATCACCAAGATGACGAGCATGGTTGAGAAGCGCAGCGGAGATATCGATGTGCTCGAGAGCCAGATGCGCAAGATGCGCTTGGGTTCAGCCGGACCCGCCAGCCGCGAGGGTTCGCCTTTCGCTCTTTCAACACCGAAGAAATCGAACCTCTCTTCGTCCCTGATGTTCTCGCCAGAGCGCTCATTCCGCGAAAGCACCCCAGTTCGTGGCGGCAGCATCGTGCGGCATTCCCTGTCCGGATCCATCAGCGGTGCAGCCGGCTTCAAGACGCCACCGCGGAAGAAGCTTAGTGGATTCGGGGACTCAGAAAAGAAGGCGCTCGCGGAGAAACGTGAGCGCCGTAGCGCAGTGCTTGGGAAGCTTCGCGTCAGCATTGAGAAGAGGGGCAGCCAGGTTATCCCGATGGACCACATGGCTTAACTATGAGCGAGTGTAGCACTTTGGAGGTTTTTGTACCATAATGAGCAATCGATAGCACGAAAGGATGATAGTGTACATGTTGTGATTAGGCCCAGTAATGTATCACTGGCCTTCAAGGTCTAAGGAAAGAACAAAAGGGATGATAGAAGAAAGAAACTAAGCAACAGACAGACACGCAGTAGCCACCTTTGCAGGCTTTATTCCATGCTTCACACAGCATGTTGGAACACGAGCGATCGGTCTTGGTGTTGTTAGATAGCATAACGTGTTGCGACATTACCTCTCTCCGATGCTGATGTCCTCCTGCCTACTTCGTGTTGACCTCAGGTCGGACGCAAGTGACAGACAGGTTCGGCTCGATCATAGTCCGAACTTGGGGCCCGACGAGATTACCGTGGTACTTTGTCAGTGGCATTGTACACCTGATATTCCGCAGAGACTCACACAAAGAGTCTTGGCAAACGGTGTGGTCGGTTCACGGATCCGTGTAAAACAGCTTTACTTTGTATGCTACTTGATATTTTGAGGATTGCTGTACATGTTTCTAGCGCGTCTCGTACGCGCCTTGCTCTTTCGTGCCTAACACTTCGTGCGGTCAACATGACCAGGCCCGACTTTCTCAAAAGACTCGGTCGATCCATGGTCACTGCCTGTTGCGCACAACTGACCGGTGGAACAACGTCAAGGCATCATGACTTTCCCCCGACTCCTTCAATCCACTCTAAGGACTCTAGGGCCCCGCTTTTTGGCGGCCTTCTTCTTCTTGTTGCCCTTGTCAAAAGAAACGGCAGCGGCGTGGTCGCGGCCGAGGTTGTCCAGGTCCTTCACCTTGTAGATGCGGATGATCCAGTTCTCGCTCGTGTATGCCTCCTCGAGGTGTGTCAGGGTAGGACCCTGCTCGGGCAACCTGACGCCGCGAACACGATCTGTGGCCTGTCCAGGCGGGAACATCGATGCGTAGTTGTAGTAGGACAGTTTGTACCTAAGAGGTTGTTAGCCACATTGTCAGAAGACCCCGCGGGAATGCCTGGAAGGCTTACATCAAACTGTTCTTCATCGTCTCGGTCGCATCGTGATCGACCTTGTACTCGCCTCTCGCCGTGAAGAAGTCACGCTCCTTGACCTCATCGGGCCAAATGCCTTCAGCAATCCTGACCATCCACAAGAACTTGTTAATGTCATCGCCGGAGTAGCCGAGAAGTCCGCCAAAGACCACAAGAACGTAATCAACCTCGTGCTGGCGCATGATTTCATAGCTGACCTCCTCTCGAGAGCTCATGGCTTTGCCAACAGTGGCAATGTGGGTATTGTTCCACGTGTTGTTGTCAACGAGAGTGGGCCTATCAGCCATGCCACCAATCTGGTAACCATAATCCCACCACGACATGATCTTGGCGTCCTCCTTGGTGTTTTGCCGGAGCCACTGATACGCCTCGCGGTAATCATCAATAATGTGCTGACTGCCATCGGGCAATCTACTAGCAAGAACCACGGATGGAGAAGAGTACGCGTTTGATGTGACCCAGGTGCAGTGCTGGACGAAGAGGAGAAGGAACAGGGTCATGCATCCAGCCAGAGTCAACTTGGAGATGAGGTTGTAGATTCCGACCCAAGGATCCGAGGTGGAGCGCAGACCTCCTTGCTTGCCAGCCTTCTTGGAGCTGCTGTCAGTCTCGTCCTCGGTGGACTCTTCGACCTCCGGGGAAGAGGCGATCAGATAAGTATCGAGAAGCTGGGACATGGCAATGGCAGCCGCCACACAGACGATGGGGGTGAGCGTGAGCATCAGTCGCACCATCACGCCGGCGAAGTAGCTTCCGAAAACGGCGTAGACGATGACAAAGACGTGCTGGTCCTCGAGCTTCTGGAAGCAAAGATACACACCAGCTGGGAACAGCCAGATAAGCATGTTCAAATCGAAAAAGAAGGCCGGCCATGCTGTCGGCTGGTGCTCTGATACCGATGCGATAATGGGAATGTGGATCTTAGCATAGCCGGTATCCCACAAGGAGTAGAATCGTCCAGACCATGGGGCGATGTAGCCGGCCCAGGTGAGACCGAAGAGACCCAGAAGAGCAACGCCAAAGACGAGGCCAAGCCCTGCGACCATGAAGGTCTGAAATTGCCGGCTCGGGACGGCACCACGGACGTACTCGAGGAAGCCAATCAATTGAAGGAAGCCGAAAATACCTGATTGCTTATCAGTATGCCAAAACCTGTCTGTTAAGGAGCCACAGATACTTACCGAGTGCAGGCATGTGTTCGCTAGTGCGAACGGGGAGGAAGCCCACAAAAGGAATCTGCATGCTGGCCAACGTGCCGAGGGCATACCAAGTGGTGTAGGCGACATAGAGGCGCATGCTGAAACGGCCCATGCATACCAGAACGAATGCGTGCAATGGGAGCAGACAGGTGATGAAGGCGTAACCACCCCACGAGGCCACCATGTAACCGTAAAATAGAGCACAAAGTCCTCCCCAAAGCATGGAACCAAGCTTGAGTGCTTTGATCCAGAGGTAGAATGTGTATACGAGCAGGAAAATCGAGATGGCCTCGTTATCGTAAGAGCCCGCCACGGAACGTGAGATGTAGCCGGGAGCAATGCCCATGAAGACGGCAGCCAACAGGCCAGCTGAAGGAGACGTCGTCATCTCGTTTGTGAGGAGGTAGGTTGCGATTGCGGTGAGTCCGGAAAAGGCCGGGGCCAGGAGAACACAGATGTTTCTGATGTCAACCGGGACTGTCAGGAACCGTAGGAGGTGGTAAATGGCTCCGCTCGTCACCATCAAGCCGGGGTACAGAGTACCGCCGGTGACACGACCCAGAGGATGCCATGTCCGGTCATCGAACCAGTCCCAGAACGACGTGAAGCCGTTTGCGACAAGGTATTTGGTCGCGCGAAAGTTGAACCACGGATCGACTGGAGAGGGTGATTAGTTGTGTGACAATGGCATGAGCCCGCGATAGGAATGGAGTGGCACGTCGTGTGTCGATGTACGTACATTCGTGGATGATACTTTCGAAACCTGAAGAGAGCGAGAGCAAGGATTAGCGAATGTGTCCATAATGACGCCGAATACAAATGCCAGATGCTGAGTAGCAACGTGAAGCTGGAGGACCGACAATGGGGATGGCGGCTCCTTGTGACTGACGTCCATCCACAAGAGGGACAACTTACGAATGACGGAGAAGAGACGACTGGCAATGGCAGCACCAGCGATCAGGGCCAAGATTATGACTCGCAGGACCGTCTTGGTGCTCTCCTTGCCGCCAAAGGCAGCGAGGCTCTGGAGGGGGCTGGCGCTCGTTGCGACCGCCATGGCTGCGCGAGGTAGGCGTGGACGGAGGCAGAGGCTTAAGCGACGGGGAGGATGGGGCGGCAGCAAGTAGCCGACCACATCTATTGGCGCGGGAACGACGAATCAACGGCTGCCCGATTGTTGTTGCAGAAGACGGCGGTCGTTGTCGAATGCCGTTGTCGGTGCTGCAGTGGTGTTGAGAAGGTCGTCTCTCAATCAGACTCGATGTCTTGATCCTTGCTGGCCGAGATGCTGATGCTGGACAATTAATTCGGCCACCCGCACCCAGAGGACAGCTGGCTGGAGCTCCGTGCAACGCGCGGCGCCATTGGCTCAATTGGTGGCCCCTCCACGTAATCCAGCCCCCAAGGAGCCAGAGCTTCCAGGGTCCGACGCAGTAGCCTGTACTGTACCTGCCCTCCGAGCAAGCAGCCCACTTGGGCAGTGCGGCGAGAGCTCCAGATAGGTGCGCAATGCGTCATTCGGGTGCCATCGGGCGCAGCAGCGAGGTAGTGCACATGGAGAGTTGGAGCTTCACAACAATAAGAGGCAAGTCGTCGCTTGTGATTCTTTTTTTTTTTTTTTTTTTTCAATTCTGGTGGTATCCTGGAGGCTGCCAGACAATCCTTGTCTGAGCCTCCTCCAAATCCCGTTACACATAGCACCGGAGCTGAATCGGCCACGCAATCTACAACGATCTCGTGCTGAAACATGACGAAGCAATGATGCCCACTTCAGACTAAACACTGATGCTTGTTGCTGTCTAGGCCGCAAAAGCATCTGCAGCTTGGTATCCAAGTTCCGCATCTGATTTGTCCTAGTTTGGGAAATGCATAAGACTCTTGGCCGTTTGTTGTTGATAGAACTCACAGTCTCGAGAGGTTAGCTCAAGAATGGTCGAACAATGATTGGGAACCGGCCAAACAAATGACAAGTTGCCAATCGCGTGCCGACTACAAAGTACCCATCGGCAACTGCGTCACTTCACACATCAGGTCAACTGAGATAATACGATGTAGGCCAAAATAGATGGACCTCGGTCGCCATCAGCTCAAGGCTGGCGACCGCGGTGAGTAATTGGACAGCGTCATTCTTCCTTGCCGTAAAATAGAAATGTACCATGGAGTAGAGGTACAGCTCAGAGTGTGGTAAGGGTTGCAGATCAGGGTGGGGTTGGATATGTTCTCCAGCCTATTGAGCTCAAACAAGGAGGCTGCGATGAAGGGCCATTAGATATATCAATGACATGCGCCAGGTTAGCCGATCTTTTTTTGTCTAGATTGCTGTTCGTTGATATTGTACAGATGTGTACACGGTAGAGGCAAACAGAAAGGAAATTGCTGGTGATAAGACAGCAGGCCGTGTTGCCTGGCCTCCATGGTCCTCCTCGTGCTTTTCGCATGGAGAACACAATTGTGACGTAACCTCGTTCTGTCGCTTGTGTGCTTCGTCGTCGTTGGCGTGATATGTTGATGTCCCAGTGGCGCGATTAGGCTCGAGTAAATGTTCGAACTTGTCCACTTTGCTCCTTTGCATTCTTCCGTGCTGCTCTACTTCATCTCCATAAGCGCACCCAGGTAGGCCTCGAGGTCGAACTTGGGGTCCATCGGATCTTGGTTCACTGCACGGAGCGTTAGCCGTTGACCACCACCGCCAATCGCCCCTCGCTTCGCCAGCGAGCCGCGAAATCAACATGGGTTGGTGAGGCTCTACTTACGTCCGCTCTTCTCTGACGTGGAGGCAGTTGGGTTCTTCTTCTTGGCGTACTCGGCCTTGGCCTGCTCTATTAATTGCTTCTTGTGGTCGTAAACTTTCTGGTCAGCGGCGGCCTTGTTGGCAGCAGTGATGGCGCGCTGATGGGTGAAGCCGTAGAAGACGCCAAAAGCGAGGGCGGACCACCGCAGGACCTAGATTATGGAATCTCAGTGTTAACAGGTATCCCATGGAAGACGTCCTTGTTTGGGCCCCCGCTTCTCATGTGTGTCGGACGAAGAAGACCGGCGTGAAGGGCGACATGGCTGAGCTTGCGACACGTACGTTGACTCCGGAGGCGGACATGTTGGATGATATGTCGCGCAAAGACGAGCGAGGGAGTACTGGCGGAGAATGACAGGAATGGCGGACGAAGAGACAGGCAGCGACAGCGGCGACAAGGCGAAGTCCGGCCAATTGACTTTGTTGCGCGGTTGTGGGAGGGGCTGGAGCTGGCCGATGGCTGGGACGAGCTGGCGATGCGTGAAATGAACGGGTAGAGTTGGGACGAGGTCGGATTCGGCTGCTCGGGAAATTTCGCGCTGTGTTTTTTCGCCCAGCAAGCCAGCAGCCAGCTCGCCGTAAGTACCTCGCCATGCTAAGTCAGCAGCAGTCCCATGCCTGACATGCGTACAGTACTCACAATTTGACACTGTACAGATCGCACAGTCAATAAGCAACCTTTACGCCAGCCATACACGCCTGGGCCTGCTCCGCAATAATAAGTTGTTGGCGTTCCAGGGGTCGCGACTCCCTGTGGTAGATTGCGCTGCCACGCAGCTTAGAGACGCGCACCACGCAGCGTCAAGAGTCGGCTGGTCAAGACACCCTCCTCGACCACTCTGGAACAGTTCAACAGCGTCCGGTCGGATGCCCCGGCAACCTTCGTTTCTCTCGACCTGCTCCTGATTTCTATCCAGCCAAGTTCTCACCGACCCGCCATATCACAACTTCCTGAGTCGATCGCAAGCTTGTCAGAGCTCACAAGTCCCGGAAAACCCCCCTATTGCGATTTTCGAGACCCGGGATGGTTGTCTGGCGGAAATGATGCAACAACAACGACGCGATGAGATCCTAGCCAAGAAGGCGAAGCTTGCAGAGCTCAAGAGGCAAAGGGAACTTCGAGCCAACCAAGCCGCTGCGGGTAGAACAAGCATCGGAGGGCCTGGCGACATCCTTTCCCCAACGCCAAGCAGGGCAGACAGTCGCAAGGAGATTGAGCGCATCCTCAATGATCTGGTCCCAGAGGGCAGACCAGTCTCTTCTTCTCCTGGAGTTGCGTCCCCAGGCCGTGGCAGCAGCAGACCCCTCAGCATCTTGAGCGCTGGGGAGCTCAGTGCCGAGAACTCAGAGTCCGCCTCACAAATTAATGGTGGCCAATCCGAGCAAACTGCTCCTCCCCGGCCACTGCCCGAGCTTTCGACGGCACCCGTCTTCACCCTCTTCGAATGTCCGCCATCACCAGTAAAGGAGGTCTTCTCCTACAGCAAGGGTGTTCAGACCACCGATGAGTGGACGCCACCGACTCCGCGAAACCGGGCAATCTCAGAACTGCCAGATGAGGACCTACCCGCCAACACCTCCACGCCCAGCAAGCGGATGAGCCGGAGGGACCAGCGAAGAGAGGAAGAACTGCGACAAAACCTGAGAAAAGAAATCGAGGAAGAGCTCCGGGAAGCCCGCGATCTTGTAGCTGACGGGCCCCTGCAGAAAGGCACTATTTCTACCACCAATTTTCCTGCAAGAGCTCTAACCGATGAAGAGCTCGTGGCGGTCACGGCTTCGGACGATTTCGTCGAATTTGTCGAGCGCTCCACAAAGGTCATCGAGCGAGCGCTGGACATAAGCAACGAGTACGACATTCTCACCAACTATTCGCTGCAGGCGCTGGATATCGAAGACGAAGATGAGCAAGCTGGTAACACTGGCGGCAAAGGGCGGCGGCGTGTAAAGGAGGTCATCCAGTTCTACGACGAGCGGTGGTCTAAAAAACGAATGGTCAGCAGCTTGGACTTCTCGCCCAAGTTTCCGGAACTATTGTTGGCATCATATACCAAAAATCCGTCCGCACCTCACGACCCTGATGGAGTTGTTCAACTGTGGAACCAGCACCTCCAGGATCGGCCAGAATTCCTCTTTCACGCCCAGTCCGACGTTTTGACCGCCAAGTTTTCACCATTCCACCCGAATCTCATCATTGGCGGCACCTACTCCGGTCAAGTCTTGCTATGGGACACACGAGCCAAGTCCGCGCCGGTGCAGAAGACACCTCTGACGGGCTCTGGACACTCACACCCGGTGTACTCCATCGATATTGTAGGCACCCAAAACGCCAACAACATTATATCTGTGTCTGCAGATGGCGCGCTCTGCGTCTGGAGTGTCGACATGCTCTCGCAGCCGCAGGAGTCGTTGACCTTGACGGCACCACCACCACACAAGTTCGAGGACTTGGCGCCGACGTGTATGGCTTTCCCACAGTCTGATCCAACGTATTTCTTGGTTGGGTCAGAAGAAGGGTCAATCTATCCATGCCACAGATATGATCGCGCCGGAGCCAAGGCTGGTGTAGATCGCCGTATCTCATACAAGGGCCACGCTGCGCCTGTCATGAGTGTTAATTTCCACCCAGCTCGTGGTCCTGTTGACCTCGGGGACCTTGTGCTATCATCCTCACTGGACTGGTCCGTCAAGATGTGGAAGGTCCGAGCCCCCGCAGCGACATCCACCATCGTTGAAAGTCTTTCGGGGGCCAGCGTGTCACCACTGTGTGAGTTTGTTCGCGAAGACGTAGTCTACGATGCAGCTTGGTCACCTGTCCGTCCTGGTGTCTTCGCGTTGGTGGACGGTGCAGGGGCCCTGGAGATCTGGGACGTCACGGTCGAAAACGAGATACCTGTGGCCAAGATCACACCTTCTCCTGGTAAAGGCGCGCAGCGTTATGGCAACTACCTCCGCAGTCTCAACAAGGTCGCCTGGGACCAGGCCGAAGGGAAGCGGCTAGCCACGGGTGGCATTGAGGGTGTTGTCAGCGTCTTTGAGGTTGGCCCGGACCTTGGAGGCAAGGAAGGCGCTCGGTCTGAGGAGTGGACCAACGTGAAGAAGTTTGTAGCTCGCCTGGAAGCTCTTAACGCCGGAACGAGCGGTGTTGTCTAAGCATATATTATTTCAAAGACGAAGGACGAGGCTGTCGCGTGTTTTGGCTGCGGGTCGAGGAGCGCTTAGTTTAGACCGCAAAGCTGTGCCTGGTTTGTTGTAACTATACCCCTGAAATATCCGGAAAACCCGGAAAACCCAACTCGCGTAGGTTGTTCTAGCGGATAGCCTACACATTGGAACGTGATAGACCTTAATGTTATGGTGATGGCCAGGTGAAGCTTTAGTGATCACAGTCCCAGAGTGCTCCTGTCACTCGGTCTCCCCTTCAAGCTCCTGCAAGTCTGGTGCAGTGGAAGTGTTTGGCCTGCTTAGCATTCTTGCACCTTTGTTCCTGCGTAGTGCACTCGCGAACATCACCCTTGGCCCAACTTCGACCTCAGGAATACCCGAGCTGTCGAGCCTTTCGCACAACCTCTGCACCAGCAGCACTGCACCTTTTCACACGACGACATCCTGCCTTTCGAGACATTGCACTCTACAACCCTTGTTTGTTTCCTCTGCTTGCCAACTTTGCCAGTGATACACACGATCGAGTGCAGATAAGCATACACTCCTCAATCTCGCACCTTCCTTCTCATTGCACCTGCCTCCCAGATCATGGCATTGCACCAAGACAGCTAGCAAGAAGCATGGCACAAACGAGCTCGGAAACAAAGTCAGTCCTAACAACATTATCTTTTGCCGCTCCCATCCCCAACGGCGATCTTGACACAGATCTGAAAATGCGGTTGCGCGTATATATAACTGACGACGGAGCAAGCGGGTCTCGCGCTCGCAAAGATGCTATGTCGCCTACACGTGAGAATCAGCCTCCTTTTGGTCGCAAGGATCTTTTCATCACCGCTTCTCAGAATGGCAGACCTGCATTCGGGCGCAAAAAGTCAAAGTCACGCAAGAATTCGGACTTGAACATTCTGGGCGAGATCTTCGGCATTTCACAGCCCGCTACACCAGGGAAGATGTCCCATCGGCCCCGTCGTCTGAACAGTACCAAAGACGCAGATCCAGATGTCTTGACGAATGAAGACAGTGAGACTTGTTTCGAGGGAAATGCTCCAGGGGTCGAGCAGCCACCGCCAACAGCACCCGGTGCTAACACGCTGCGTCAGAAGAGCAAGAGGCAGCACCAAAATGCTAATGGGAAGGCGAGCCAGCGGCCTTACATTGTGAGAGAGCATGTGTCGCGACCGCCCACGCCGTTCCTCTCACACGCCCGGCACTCTACGACACATCAACTTCAGCACGAGGATAGTCTCTTCAACATTTCCGTAACACCTGCTTTGCATCCCTCCCTGGGCAAGCCCATCCCGCCTTTCACGGCCCCCACAAATGGTCTGCCACTCGGCCCTGTTCCTACTGCTTCACAGCTCCCTTTCATTGCCGAGAGCCGTCCGCGGAATATCAGCGCGGCACCTCTACAAAAAGGCCCCATTCAGTATCCAGCCCACACCAGTCAGCCATTTCCTCCGGCGCTGGTAACACCCGTGGTACCTCCCACGTCTCCGTACTGGATAGGCAGCATCCACCAGCAACCTGTTCCTTTCAACGCTCCCACGTCGATGCCATCCCAACCCTTTGTCTTTCTGGGAAATGGAGAGACAGACACCAACAATACACCTGAGTCCAGGCTACCGCATGGCCCGTCGCATAAACCGTCGGAGGAGTCTCACAATCATTGTGAAAAACATGAACGGGTGGAATGCCCTATCCCAGACCTTTCTGGACGCATTCAGCATATGCATATTTGTGCAGGTTGTGGTAAAAAGCGCTCTCGCGAGTACCAGAAAGCACATCCTCTGAAAAGGGGTATGGTTCCTCCGCAATCTTACTGCCTGAGATGTATTCGGGAAGCTGAGGACTCTAGTCCGACTGCTTGCACAAGCAGGTCTCAGAGAGAGTACACAGGAGCACAGCATCAGCGACAGAGACAGCGGAAGCTACACCAAGCACGCGAAACGATACCCGATTTCCCCAAGACCTCATTCGGAGTGCTAGGCGAAATGATATTGAATGTCCTACGTCATCGGTCAAGCACACGACGCAAGTCACTCTCGTCGGCAGAGGAATCGAGTTCGAGGTTGTCCTCCCACGACGAGAGCGTACTCGCCAGACGGATCAGACGTCGCCATGGTCGAAGTGGTGGCAGGCAATCGGATTGCAGACCTCGCGGTCAGTTCGAGGTCCATATAACATCTGGGAGCGAAGCGACTCAGTCTCCGTCACCTTCGTCATGCCATCCCAACACGTCTGAACCAGGATTAGATTCAGTAACTTGTCGGCATCTGAGCAAGACGCAGAGTCAGCAGAGCGAGAACTTGCACGGAAGAACCCATCATCATGGGTTTGAAAATACCACAGCATCAGAATGTGCCCAAAGCAGGGTGGTAGCTTCAGGAACTGAGAAAGAGCAACGACGACATGCGCCGCTTAAGACTGTGCAACTTACCCAGGGAGCTGTTCGTCCTACTGAGAACGGAATTGCTCGACAACTGATTGCACCGGAGCCACCTGTGGACACCGGCACGGAAGGTACCAGGGCCATGACTGTTGCCTCTGAGTCCCCAGTTGCTCACGAATGCGGTAGTCCAGACGAAAGCATACACATCCGGGGAACATCACAACGGGAGTTCACACATCGCGTCGACAACAATGACCAAGTGGTTATTGACAATGATGTTTTTGGCAAAAGATGTCATAATCACACAAGCGGTGCGAAACAAGTTGCTCCAGCTGACACTGTGACAACTCCCGGTGCCAGTTTGCAGCCAGCAGGAGACATCCCTCGTTTCGACATACCAAACCCGACTTCTACCATTCTACAAACTGAATTGAACGGACAAGCAGTGAGTGTGTGACATCTCTAAGTTGCGAGGGGCTTTGACCATTGACAATTTGTCCAGCAGGCAACCGACGATAATAAATACTTCACTTCCCACCATGACGGATCAAGCTCAGTCGGCAGGATTGTGGAACATCAGAATCCTTTGATAGAGCATGAGCCTTGCGCCCCTGGCTCACACACGGAGCCCTTTCCCCTGCATAACAACATCTCCATCCCTTGCAGTCGTCAGGAATACCCACACGAATGCATCCCTCAGCAGGGAAAGGACAGCGATCGAAGCGTCAGGCTTGAGCATGCGGCAAACCTGAGTGTCGATCTTCTCAGCTCTCTATATAGTTGCAAAACAGGATCCGCCGCCTCTTCGGTTCAGCAGCTTTTCCGTGACGACGAAGCCTTCGAGGAGTCCACAGATGACCTCAAGTCGATTCTCGAGCATCAAGCCGAAGACGAAGTTGAGGAAGACCTAGCACATGCTGGTAGGAATTTTGATGAGCAGCATTCTTGGGCAGGCTCGCCGACATCTTCCAGTGCTCTATCAAGCATTCTAACCGCGAGCGTTGTCTCAATAGAGTCGTTCACTTCCGACGAAGACACGAGTAGCCAGTGCTACAGCCCCAATGAGGGATACGAGTATATTGACGATTCTGGTGACGAAGACTCGGAACCATCAGGAAGCGCCGCCCAGTCCCGTCCGTACCAGGACTCAGGTATGTTGACGTGAACCCTATTACCGACAGAACCATGATTAACCATGAGCATGAGCTCAATAGGTCGGGAGCGTAGGGCAGATGGTGCTATGCACCAAGCTAATCGATTGTTCCTCCGTGGTACACGAGCAGCGGGTGTCTCACTAGCAAGCCAGCATCGCGGACACAACCTGCAACTTCTCAACAAGTCCTCGGACGATTTCTACCCGCCGTGCTCATCGTCTCTCGTGGCACACATGGGCCATTCATCGGAGAGTTTCGGCATCAACATGGATCGCCTGCGGGAGCGCCTGGGGGGACGATTCCATCGCCGAAGTGCCTCCTCGCGCATGGATTGAAAGCACCACCTACCAAATGATTCATGCACCTCTTAGCAGACCACGGAAGAGCTCGTAAGATTGCATGGCATGGGTCGCCTGACCCCACAACACTATGCAGAACTGGCACATTCCTTGCACCCCAATCTTGCGGACACTTTTGGGGCTTTTGTGTCGCTGTCTGACTACTTGACATTGTTAGGTCTATTGTTTTTGCCGCTTCGACGGGCAACCTCTGTATGATGTGGGGAGAGAGAGAGAGAAGAGAAGACGAAGGCATGAGTCGAGCTGTAGGTTGATGGCGATGGGTGCCGGTCGCGTGACTGAGGAGACTTCAAATTTGACAGTCGTTGTAGATACCAATCCTATGCAGCCTGACCGACTAGCCATATTACCTATTCCCGTGGGTGGACACCACGGAGATACTCGGTACTCTCGAGCAGGAATGCCAGCCAGCCGGCAGCCGAGCAAAGCCTTGAATTGTTGCCATCCTTGGTGCTGCCAAGCAGCCATTTCGAGGACTCCTCCTCACGATGACGACAATGTGGGGATGTGTCCCGGCGCCCCCCTCGTGGAGTGCATGCGCCATGCCCACCTTGAGGCACGCATGGCCCCTGTTTCCCCAAACTTGTTCCCCGCTCGCTGTGGCTGCATCCGCGTCTTGCTTCCAGCGGTCAAGACTGGCCGGCCATACGAGGAGCGAAGCGAGATGTGTGCCCAGACGGGATGGCCGGGCCTCCCCTGCCCTGCCTGCACACATGTACAGTAATTAGGCAAAGTAAGTGCTTTACCTACTTCAGTACCTAGTAAGTAGCCATGACGCACGGCCAAGACGGGCAAGCTCCAGCTTTTCCCCAAAGGTGGGGAAGCTTGTTCCCCAGTGCAGCCATCGTCGTCACGCTCAGCGCCCCCATGCGGAAATCCTCCACCATGCTTACACGACTTCGCAGCCGCGGAACAAGAACCGGGCGGCCAACCGAGAGCGGAAGCAGCAGCAGGCCCGACCAAACTCGGCACTAAGAAGAGCCCAGGTTGAACAGCCGGGACTTGCCAGGCGGTCCCCCTTAACACCACCCCCGCACTGTCCTGCCATGCCAGGCATGTTCAGGCATGTCCTGGACCAGCTGCCGCCCATTCGGGCCGATGAAGTCATCGCGTGATTCCCATCCAGCTTAGGCGAGCTACGGCTCCAGATTACTCGGACACGCCGGCCACCGACGATCCCTCCAGCTCGCTTCCTCAGCCGCAAGTCCAGGTAGACGACACCCCAGATTCCGGCCTGAGCTCTCATCCTACTGGCTGGGGCCTCGCCGGCACCGGCAGATGCCCCTCCCCAACTACCTGGTGCCTGATTAGTCCTGCAATGCATGTCAAGGTTTCTCGTGGTTTTCTTTACGTCAGACTGCCTTGGAAATACGGCATTTTCGACAAGGACGGAGAGAGCGGAAATGCTGTGTAGGCTCGTGGTGCACACCTTTATGAAGCGTCGCACCTCCCCTGCCCCGGTCGTGGTGTTGTTCTTCTTCATGCTTTTTGGTCGTGGTTGCTGTCGGTTGTCCATGAGCAAGTACAATTTCTCCTGCCTGCCTACTGATTGGCCAAGAAGAAACGATCTCGTGAAGGCTTCACATCTGCATCCGCGCCAATGGCTGTCGTGAAAAAAGTCGCAGCTGTTGCTGCTGCCGCTGTGTTTTCTGCGACCCAGGTGGCACACGGCTTATACACCAACGGCTCCGTCACTGCGCCATGCGACTCACCCATCTACTGCTACGGCGACTTGCTCAAGGAGGTTGAGCTTGCGCAGCCATTCTCCGACTCGAAGACCTTTGTCGACCTGTGAGTGGCGACCTCTGAGCCCATGCCTGGAGACAAGCGTGACTGACCCTCGCGGCAGACCAACCAAGCGCCCACTGGACGAGGTCCTTGCCGCGTTTGCCAACCTCACCAAGCCTCTGAGTAACAACACGGAGCTCAACAACTTTCTCTCCGAGTACTTTGGCGAGGCGGGCTCCGAGCTGCAGGCCGTCGACGCCGACAGCTTGCAGACGGATCCCGTCTTTCTCGACAAGGTCGACGACGTGGTTATCAAGGAGTTTGTGGAGAAGGTCATTGACATCTGGCCCGATCTCACCCGGACCTACGTCGGCGCCGGCAACTGCACTGGCTGTGTCAACAGCTTCATCCCGCTGAACCGCACGTTTGTGGTGGCTGGTGGTCGCTTCCGTGAGCCGTACTACTGGGACTCGTTTTGGATCCTGGAGGGCCTGCTGCGGACTGGTGGCAACTTTACCGAGATTTCCAAGTGAGCTTCTTCCTTTGCCAGCATGGACGCAAGGTCTACAAGATCCTGACACGGGGTGTTCTCCAGGAACGTCATTGAGAACTTCCTCGATATTGTCGATCTCTACGGCTTCATGCCTAACGGTGCTCGCGTTTACTATTTGAATCGCTCCCAGCCGCCGCTCTTGACCCAGATGGTCAAGACGTACGTCGACTACACCAACGACACAAGTATTCTAGAGCGGGCGCTGCCTTTACTACTGAAGGAGCACAGCTTCTTTGTGAACAACCGAACGGTCGAAATAACGAAGGGAGATCAGACCTACACTCTGAGCCGGTGAGTCATGCCTGTGTTCATATTTGCCTATAGGCTTGAATCATGTACTGAACATTTCTGGCCGCTCTAGTTACGACGTATCCAACACCCAGCCGCGGCCCGAGTCATATCGCGAAGACTATATCACGGCCAATAACAAATCATACTATGCCACGTCCGGCATCATCTATCCCGAGACGGTCGCTCTCAACGACTCCGAGAAAGCTACTTTGTATGCGAACCTGGCCACGGGTGCAGAGTCAGGCTGGGACTACAGCTCCAGATGGCTTGCCAATCCGGCTGATGCCCAGAATGATGTTTACTTCCCGCTGCGGTCGCTCAATACACGCAACATCATCCCTGTTGAACTCAACTCGATCCTCTACGCCAACGAGATCACATTGGCTCAGTATTTCCAGGCTGCCGGCAATGAGACTGTGGCACAGGAGCTGCGAGACACGGCCGGAAACCGATCTGTAGCCATGTACGAGCTCATGTGGAACGAGACCTACAACAGCTATTTCGATTACAACCTGACCTCGTCGTCTCAGAGATTGTACGTGCCAATCGATGCAGACAGCACAGCCGCGCAGGAGCAAGGGGCCCCCGAGGGTTACCAGGTACTTTTCGACGTGGCCCAGTACTACCCATTCTGGCTCGGTGCGGCGCCCGACTACCTGAAGAACAACCCTCTAGCCATCAACATCGCCTTCCAGCGCGTCAAAAAGCTGTTCGATGCCAAGGCTGGTGGGATACCTGCGACGAACTACAACACGGGCCAGCAGTGGGACCAGCCGAACGTGTGGCCGCCGTTGATGTACGTCCTCACCAAGGCTCTGACGTTGACCCCGGCGCCATTTGGTGACAACGACCCGGCGTACGTGGAGAACCAGGAGTTCGCCGTCAGTCTCGCGCAGCGCTACCTGGACAGCACCTTCTGCACGTGGCTCGCGACCGGCGGCTCCACGAGCGAGACGCCCAAGCTCCAAGGCCTCCCCGACAACGAAAACGGCATCATGTTTGAGAAGTACGCGGACAATGCGACCAACGTGGCTGGTGGTGGCGGCGAGTACGAGGTCGTCGAGGGGTTTGGATGGTCCAACGGCGTGCTCATCTGGGCCGTAGACACGTTCGGCAATAACCTCACCCGTCCCGAATGTGGCAACATCGTTGCCGCGCCGCCGTCGGGCGGCGAGCGCAAGAAGAGGGCGGTGCAGCTGAGTGCCAGCGACGCGAGGTTCATCAAGAAGTTTGCTCGAAGGTCGCAGAAATAGGGCCCGCCCGTGTTGACTTTGTTTCAATCTACTGGTTCATTATTATAACGTGTACATGACAGTGCTGTACAGTAGTTGAAGATTGATAATGTATCCTCGTTAGCCTGTTGAAATTATGCTCAGCTCGAAAAGGAGCTGTGGCATGTGCTTGATGGAATGAGTGTGGCACCCAAGCCGGTGTGGTCCTGCACTTCGAGCCGTACGCCATGCCTATCAGCCGCCTCAGGATGAGAAAGAACACATTTGACGCATGCACCCTGTACACGATATATTCTCTTTGATTTCAAAGGGCGACTTTCACAGTTCGGCGGTATCGAGATCTGTATATAGACAGGAGCACAGAAGAAGCCAAAAGAAACCAAAACCAAGATTGACAAAACAAAACTCAAACTCCATGACCCAATGCAGTTATTTTCAAACAGAGCGAAAAGCTCAGCACACAACACGCGAACCCCCCCCCCCCCTCCTCCTCTTTCCCGGCACATTGAGACGCTCAGTTCGGCCATGTGAAAGATCGGCTTTCCCGTTCCCTTCTTCATAAGCCTCCCCCGCACCCGCCCCTCCTTCTGTCTCTCTCATCATCTAGCAGCAGCAAGAGGCTGGCACCCAGCCAGTCGCAAGATCGATCGCAAAGCCCTTAGAGGTCCTTGGACCGGATCTTCTTGAGCCGCGTGGCGCCTTCGTACACGCCGCGATCCACCGCGGCGGCGACGGTCAGGGTGCCGCCGACGACGGCGCAGATGCCGGCGAGGAAGCCGGCGAAGGTCTTGGCGCGCTCTTCCCGGTTGATGACCTTCATGGGCGAGATATCCTAGAAATTTTGTCTCGTGTTAGTGGATGTCCATCGTCGAATGGATTGGTTGTAGAGGTCATCATCATCAGGGTAGGGGTCAACAACACATACATAGGAGAAGAAGACGCCCGGGATGCCACCCTTGGCGTGGGTACGCTCCTCGTGGCCCTCGGCCTTGTCGTTGCCACCCTCGAGACTGCGCTTGTGGCTGGTCGCCGAGTACTGGTGCGTCTCCATGCTGCCATCGTAAATGTTGCCAAGGTTGCCAAGCCAGGTCATGTCCTGACGCTTGGTGGCATAGTCCTTCGGGGGCTTCCAGCTCAGGGGCAGGTAGGCAGTGGGCACGACCTTGACGAAGTACATGAAGTTGTAGTTGGGGTCGCTGGTGCGCTGCTGCGTGTCATCAAGCGGGTTCAGGTGATGGTTGGTCCAGGGGTTGTTCTTGCTGTTCCTCTCGGTGACGTCGTCGGGCAGCTGGGGACCGAACCGCAGCTGGTGGATCTCGTGCTCGAATGAGTGCTGGACAGGGCTGGTGAGGTAGTTTTGCAGGTCGTGGACGTGGACCATTCCGTTGCTGAAGCTGCGGCCGGGCGCAAAGTGGAAGTTGCCGACAACCTTGTTGACGCGGATTGCGCCCACCACGCGGCAGCCCTCGTGGCGCTGCCCATCGAGCTTCTCTGAGTAGTGCTCGCGCTCGCACTGCTCGACGTTCTCGCCACGGCCGAAGGCCCAGCCCTTGTCCGCGTACGCCTCGCGAACCTCGTCACAGGTGTTGCAGCATCCGGGCTTCTCAGCCTTGGCAGGAGGTGTGGCGCCGTAGCAAGGGCCGCAGTACGCAGGGTCGAGGTGATGCGCTTGTTCGGCCTTGTTGTGCCTGCCATTTGCGTCAGCCGGTTATCTTGCTTAGTACCCGAGAAGGTTCTCGAGAGAGAGTCGCCAACTTACACAGCCAGGGCCATTGTGTCAATGACACTACCACCCTTGGACTGGGCCTCGAGGCGCAACTTCTGGACGCCTGCCAGAACGCCGTGCTGCTGCTCGCCGGAGACGTCCATGACGTCGAGCGTGAGCAGCTCACAGGGAATCTTGGGGAACGTGATGTTCATGTGGATCTCCATGCGCTCGCCTGTGCAATTGTGAATGACGATGGTCAGCATGATGACTGTGGGTTCATCCCTTAGCCTGGTTGTAGCTGTGCGCCGTGCATACCTCGGCCTTTGTCTACGATGAGCTCTGGGTGGATGACGATCCTCCGGTAGTCGCTCCACTCGCCCCAGGAGAGGTAGAGGACGACGAGAAGGGAGATGATTGTGACGATGCCGCCCGAGGTTGTGCGTATCCGGGCATCCTCGACGGTCTTTGTGAAGGCATCGAGCCTGGTGAATCTCGACTTGGGAGCCATGGCTGTGGATCGAGCCGCGCAGTGCAGCAATTCGTGATTCTAGACGTCCAATCCGTGGCTTGCGTGCGCAAGCGTGGTGTCGAGACTCTTGCAGACTGGCTCGCGAGTCGAATTGGTCGGAATTGGCGGCTGTGTCGTTGCTCGTGGCTCTCGACTTGATGTCGCCGGGTGGCAAGTGAGGGGCGAAGAGGAAGCTCTCAGGGGCGCGATTGCGAGACGGAAGCAACCAGATGCGCTTCTCGGTTGCCTGGGAAAAAGGCAGAGACTGGCGATCTGTCCGTCGTGGAGAGAGAGAGAGACAAGACAGCCCAGCAATGTTGAGGTCGGGGTTTCGAGTGCTGGTCAGCTCGGCTATGGTGTCGCGGGACTGGCGACGGTACAGCAGCAGCAGGCGTGCCAAAAAGGCCACCGTCGCTCCTTCAGCATTCAGGGACCAGCTTGCGCTCCCCAAACCTCCAGAGGCAGGGGTCCTGCCGCCATGTGGGGCCGCCCCGGAGCATCGAGCGCGCGTCTGGGCGGCCGGCCGGCGCATGCGGAGGCTCATCCTCCATGTCCCGACAGTGACTCGAGACGCAGGCCTATTTCGCATCTAGACGTGTGTCATGGATGTCACAAGCCTGAGTCAGGGAGAAACGCTGCTCTCACTGCCCTAGTAGCCCAAATAAGCTCTCGCAAGGGCTCTAGTTGGAAGACCCAGTCGGCACTGCGGCGTTGCTGCATCAAGTTCCTGCCAACTCTGCACCTAACTGCAAGTCATCTTTGCGATCATAGATCCAAGCTCGTAATTCTCAAGTCGACAAAAACATGTGTCCAAGTATCATTTTGGCACCGGGGAGTTTGCATCTCGCGATATGCACTGGACGCACATAATGAGTGGCCCCCACTTTACCGTCGCCGGAGTCGAACCCTGGCGGCCCCCGCAGCCTTGCTTCGTCTGACGTGCTCTCCAACACAATGCGATTGTGACTCGAATGGACTGACTCATCTCAGGGCCCATTCATGAGAATAATCAGAGTCGAGAAGAAACTCAAGGAGAATAAGATTAAGCATATAAGCACCGCTAGGCTCGAAGCTTGATTCCTCTCTTTTTCGTGCCCTTTTTGACATCGGGTTCCCGACATCAACAGGAAATGGTCAATCCAGGCGTTATTGTCAACTAACCGAAACCACACAACACTCAAAAGACACCAGCAGCGGGTCGACAAGTCTTTCCAAGAGCCTGACAAACATCTCGACTTGCACCTCGAGCCCCGTAGAAGCCATGGCAGACTCACAGCCACAATCCCATCAGCAGCCGTCATGGCTGACCTCCCCTCCCCCACCACCAATCATCATCACGCCTACCTTCTACTTGCGGGCATACACCCTCGCCGACGCAGCTCAGCTCGCTAAGACGGCAAACTCGTCCGAGATCGCGCACCGCATGGGCGACCGGTTCCCCTCGCCATATACACACGCGGACGGCATCGGTTTCATCACCAGGTTCGGCCGGCCGAATCCGGAGGCGGGCGTGCGGGATCATAACTTTGGCATCTTCACGCGGAGCCTGGCAACTATTACTGGTGCCACCGAGCGGGACACCGCGGATGGAAAGGACAAGGCCGGAGGAGTAGGAGAAGAAGAGACACTGATCGGCGGGATAGGCTTCATGCCACAGCCAGCCGAGCAGCGGTTTACCAGCGAGATCGGCTACTGGCTGCATCCGTCGGTTTGGGGCAAGGGCTTGGCCACAAAGGTGGTGCGAGAGTTTGTCCGGTGGGCGTTTACCAACTTTGGCGACGACACGCTGGTCAAGCTGCAGGCCAGACACCACGCCGGGAACGAGCGCAGCGGGAGGGTCCTCGAGAAGAACGGGTTCCAGAGGGAGGGCATCTTGCGCAAGGCTTGGGCCTGCAGGGACGATGGGGATACTGTCCGAGCTGGGCAGGTCGCGGAGGCGGCGAGGAGGGAGGGACAGCTGGATGCGGCTGGATCAGAGCAGGACGCGAGTGCGAAGCCCAAGCATTACGTTCTCGACTTGTACATCTATGGCCTGCTGCGAGAGGACTTCGAGGCAGGTCAGAGCGAGAAGCAATGACTGTTTGAGGGTGCGGCGGAATGGGAGAAATCGGCGGCGAGCATGCGAAGCGTTTTGCAGCCGGCGTTTGCGTACGCTTATATGGAGTATTTCCATATATGTTTGGTTTTGCGCGACTCTCAAGGTCATTCTCATGATGAGTGGTGCCGTTGCCATCATAAATGTACACGGATTTTTGCACATGGACCTGCTCGTGCCAGTCTCTCACTAGGGTGTAAAACCCCGAGGCATCGTTTTTCTGCACCCTTGCACGAGGTCATCCAAAACCTGTGATTGTTGTCGTTGACAGCGGCAAGACCCGCTCTCATCCTTTCCCAAAGTCCAGTTTTGTGCCACAAGGTGCCCGCCAGACCGTTGGATAAATATCCGTAGATCTGCATTGGGACTGTCTGAAGGGGAAGTCCCCAAATGAGGCGTGGACCCGGCCGCGTTGCATTCCTGTCACCAAGGGTGGAGATCGGCATAGCAGGCGGCTTCGGCTCTTCTTGCCTAGATGTAGGAGAGGGCGCCTTGGAGAGGGCCGAATGGCAATGGTCAGAGGCTTGCAGTATGCGCCTCGCAGTTATACTATCTCGACCTCAGTTGGGTAAGTATGGTTGAAACTGTAGATGGTGTTGCGGCTGTTTCCTGTGCAGAAGTCGGGGAGGCTTTCAAGATGCGCAGATGAAACTGATTGATGAAACGGGGTCGATTGTTGCCAGGGGAGCCGATCCATATTTTGTCCCCTGTAGACGAGTACTCACTCAGCACTGTGGAAACCAGCACCGAATAGTACTGCACAACGGGGTGACTAGAGGACGATCATGGGCCTGTCCCAGGCCTGCCAGGCTCGGCAACGGTTGTGGGCACTTGCGTGGGCTTCTCCGTTGCCGGGCCCGTGACCGTGCGTGGGCATCAATTACCAGACTTCCCCGACTCCCTTGTGCCTCGGCAGGCCCCATGGCCGCAAGACCGTGTATACATGCGCGATCCGTCTCGTCATGTATAGCACTAGGACTCTGCATCCCATTTCTTTGGAGCAGAGTGTGGTCATGCGCGCCCTGGGGGCTTTGAGATGCTGTCAACAGTGTCATGCATCACTGTTCCGTGCCTGAGCTAGCGTGCGACTAGCCTGGTCTTTTTTCGTCCCTGAATGGGTGGCCCTGGCAGACAGGGTGACATTTGACTGAGCCGTCTAATGAATCGGCTGGGGCTGGCGCCAGCTCGTGAACACTGCGCATCCAGATCCGGAACTGCATAAGGGTACGCGGAGAGGCACCAGCTTGTCTCCCAGAGGCCGGCAAACCAGGGCACCACGTCGTAGACCAGGACTGCGAGACTGCCGCGGATGCAGCTGACGAACAAGCATCACAGAGTTCTGATGATCGGGCTCGAGTGATCCACGACAAGGAACTTTGCGAGCAGGGGATTGTGGTGCTTGGTCATCGAGCCCCGGCTGGCTTACAGGAGATTTATGCTTCTTGCCGGGCTCACTGGTTAGCTTTACGGTTGATGCCCATGCTTACTGGCTCCTCCTGTTTGTCGGAGATAGCCCTCGAACCTTAAGCGGCGAAGCCAATTGCCTCAAGCCTGTCGGAAGGCTGCCGACCAGTAGTTAATCGTTCAGAGGCACATCAAAGCCGGGCGTGGCGTGCCTGACGCACCGCCGGCCCAGGTGTCCTTGGCGACCTTGGAAAGAACTGCGCGCACAGAACGGCGTGCTGGACTTGCGGCACTAGCCTGCGCCGGCGCGCAGCGGAAAGCGCCTGGGCGACACGCGAATAGGCGGGCGGATGGAGATGGGACTTGGAGTCGCATTGGGCTCATTCGAATGTGTGGGGAGAAAGAGATCAGCGGGCGCGCGAACGAGGCTCTCGAGCTCTAGCGCTGTGCGAGCACTTCGTGTTGCACAAAATACGCTTACTCGGCCTGGAGCAGCAGCGGCCGTTGATGGCATTGGGGAACCACCCTGCCCACGCGCGCACAGATGGGCCGTCCCCCACTGAGCAGACTAATGTAAAGGGACCGGACCAGTTTCAGCTGCCTAACCAGGTCTGGTATGCCAATGTTTGAACGTGGGATCTCGAGGCAATCAATGCTGGGCCACTCGGGTCTTTGCAGAATGTCCTTCGGCAACTCCTGGCTAGATCGTGAAAGTTGGTGCTCAAACAGAGTCGGCCAGCGTGGTTGTCATGCCATGGTCGTCTCCTGGCCCGCAAGACCTTGACGAGGCTTTCCCTGGCCATGCACTGATGCCACGCCGCCCAGACCCTTTCTTCAATCCAGGGGACCCCTGGTCCAGGCTCTCAGCCGACCATTCTCGTGTTGCGTCCGCAGTGCTTGCCCAACGTCGTGCTGCTACCCCTAAGAAGCATCGCAGAAGCCGGCTTCCTTGAACAGAGGGGTACCTGGACGGGCTTCCAAGATATTGGCCCAAAGGTCTGCTCTCAGCCTCTGGAGAGCTATGGTGCTGACACTGAGAAGGATGTAAAGATACGTAGTGGTACCTTTTCGTGACTAAGACCATTGTTGCGAGGCGACGACTTCAGGAGCCGTCCCCGCCCGCCCAGGTACCCCTGGAGCCCCGGGCAACCTTGGAACCCTTCCAAGGTTCCTGCCGCGACACACCCTCTGCGCCTGCTGGGCCTGCTCCTTCCCAGTACCACCTGAATCCCTTTGCCATCTGCCATCATTCGCCCTCCCTTTTCCAACTTCCCATGTGTGCCTCGCCAGGTTTTGGTTGTCGATTCGCCTCCCCTTTCAACGCAGCTACAACGTATCGGCCTCGCCACTATCTTCGTTTCTTGCATTCCATCGCTGTCGACCAACGTCCCAGGTGCCAGCCCACCTATCCCAAACCACTTCGTATTCACCCCCGGTCGCTCTAGACGCAACCGCCCATTCCAGCTACCAGCCTATCCTTCTGCGCAGGAAGCCTCCCGACCTCGAGTCTCATGCGATCTACATTTCCACAGAGGCACGCACAACAGCCTTCAATTCATTCGCGCATGGAAATCGTCGACTGCAAGGCTTGTTCCTGACAGTGGCCTCTCGCAAAGCTGCAACCTCCGTACCACGCATTGACGACGAACGAATCCGTCCCAAATTACCCAGCACACGACGCTCATTTCCTGCTTTCTCCCTGGCGCCTCATTTGCGAGAACTCTCTGAGAGAAAGTCAGTGCCTCGCAATCGACTACGATCGAGCTATAACAGATTCTACGATCTCCATTAAATCACCACCTCTACAACCAAAGCAGGGCTCTCAGTAAGAGGTCTCGATCTTGCAGACGGCATAGCAATCACTCCTGCATGCGCGATAGACGACAGTGGTTCCGGGTTGCCGAATCTCTCGAATTAGAAAGCTCCTTGCTGCCACAGCCAGCCCCGGGCACGGCTGCATAATATCACCATGGCGCAGAGACCAAATTTCATTGATCTGCGCATGGACTCCTCCAATTCAGTCAATTCTACAGTGTCCCGGCCACTGCGGTCGCCTCGACTGCATGTTGCTGGCGAGGTCCCGCCGACTCTATCGCCCCTCGATGCATTTGTCCAGCAGAGTCGCAACCTGCAAAGACAGCTTGAGGAGAGCACGAAGGAGGGAAATCGCGTGAGCCGCCTACCTCCGCTGACCACCGACAGCCCTCTTGTTGTGCAAGCTCGTTCGGAGTACTTCCGCTCATTTTCTTATGACTCTTCCGAAGATCGCGATGAGACCATCGCTCCTCCGAACCACGGTGGGCTCAGTTTTCAAACAGAGGTCGAATCGCCCTCTGAGAGGCCAAGGTCGATGCATCCGCGCATGAGCCGCATTCCACCGACGCCCGACGACTCGATCCCGTTGCCGACGAATCCGTGGCTCGAACAAGCGCGAGGTCGCACTCTTGCAAGAGTCGACGAGACTGACGGCGTCTTTGGGGCTCGGAGAGAACAGTCTCCCAGTGATCTTGACAGTCTCGTAGATAAGCAGGCCGCACTCGATATTGCGGGTGACCGAAGCACTCGGGACATATCACCCATCTTTGGACGTTCCCCGCAGTCTCCCGATAAATTGACCAAGACAACTTCACATGATTCCGCCGGGCTCGTGCCACCCCGCGCCCTCTTCCCGAAGCGATCTTCGAGTATCATGTCTGCACCACCGGAATCAGTCAGCGAGGAAGCATTGAGCAACTCCTTCCACTCGCAGCCAGGCCGGAAAATGTCAAACAGCAGCGCATTCTCTGCACAGCCGACTACCTCATCACTCGCACATTTTCAGCGATCCTCTTCTATAAGCTCGGACATCTCTGCTGCACTGCCTCGCCCGTCTTTTAATTTCTCAAGGCCGTTAAGCCGAGCCGGGACACCAGGCTTGGAAGGTCCGCCGCGCCTCGACGTACCATCTCGACAGGCTTCTTCGGATAGCCAACCATCTTTTGTGCTGGCGGATGAGACAGCTCACACACCCGTGAGCATGCACAGCGAAGCATTCCTGGCAGAGGAGGATGGGAGGTTCGGCAGCCCTCATGGAACCGCTCGTTATAACTTGCCCCGAGGCAAGTCCATACAGCGTAATTCAGCCATCTTCCAAGATGTCGACGTCACTTCGACCGGCTGGGACCAAGCTCTGGACTCGCCAGCGCGGACACAGCCTTTTGCCAAGAATGGTCAGGCCCCACCATCGCCGCCGACGAGACCATCTACCAGCTCATCACGTTATGAGGACAGTTCAATGACGAGCAGCTCTCTGCTAGCACGACCCTCTGGTGAACGTAGCAAACTTTCAAATGAGATGTCCGCCGACGACGGCCAGCGATCAGCTGATCCAAGTCGGCCATCCACATCGAGTGGTGTACCAGAGGACGGGCCTCGTGGGCGTTCAATGTCGTCGGGTGCCAAAGACCAAGCCCGAGGCCGCACTCCCGCATCTGTTGCAACTAATGATTCTGCCAGCACCATAAAGGGCCCTAAGTCCTCGTCAGGACAGCCTCTAGCTGCTGCCGACATTTCTGCGGAGGAACATCGCGAGAAGGGCATCAAGTGCCACGAGGAAGGCTCCGTCAAAGAATCAACATATCACTTGCGACTCGCAGCACGCGGTGGAGACCCCACAGGAATGCTTCTGTATGCCCTTGCCTGTCGCCACGGATGGGGAATGCGGCCAAATCAAAGAGAAGGCGTCGAGTGGCTTCGCAAGGCGGCCGACGTTGCAAGCGCCGAAATAGCCGACGACGAAGGCCAAGCTAAGGACGGCAAGGTTGTGGATGTTCAAGGTAGCAAAGCGCGCAAAGCCCAATTTGCACTGAGCATCTACGAGCTCGGCGTGAGCCACATGAACGGGTGGGGCATTGAGCAGGACAAGGCTCTTGCCCTGCGCTGCTTTGAAATTGCTGGCAGTACGTTGTCACACTTCCCACTATCGTGACGACTTGCACTGACTTATATTTTCCTAGACTGGGGTGATGTGGACGCCCTGACAGAGGCTGGCTTCTGTTATGCAAAGGGGGTTGGCTGCAAGAAGGACTTGAAGAAGAGCGCTAAGTTTTATCGCATGGCCGAGGCTAAAGGCGTCGTCATGCCTGGAAACAGCTGGTAAGACACGGTCGTCACATCATGAACGTCCAGCAGCCATGCTAATGTGCGACGCAGGATCCACAAGGACAAGTACTCCGATGATGCGAGCAGCATCAAATCGAGAGCACGCAGCAAGTCGAAGAGCCGCGGCATTTGGGGCAAGAAGTCCAAGGACGTCTCTGCCTGAGTCTGCCACATTCATACAACCATCACCCACAATGATTACGAAAAGCGTGAAATTAAAGAGATCCCCACAGGCGTTCGGGCGAATCGCATATTTGGATCCTGAGGTACCGGACTCCGTCAAAGATTATTTCGAGCATCGCGGTGCAACAATGGCTTCGAGGATATTTGGAGCGACAAAGCTGGCCATATTGTGCTTTTGGTTCACACATGGCGAACATGCATGCAGATACCATTTTGGACAATATATTTGTTTGTGCCCAAGCATAAGTGGGCTGTTTGAGCAGGGAGGGACAGCTTAGGGGCACATCCGCAACTGACAGACCGACCACGGCATATTGGACATGGCGTTTCGGCATTCACACGAGTTTTGGAGTCGACCTTTACTCAGTTCCATTTGAGCTTATTTTATGAATACTTTTCTTACTGATGCCCATTGGTGCCGTCGCCATACGGCTCACTGCTCTTCGCTGCCACACTCGACTTCCGCACGTGGTCTTTTTCTTGCGCAATCCGGGCAAATACTTGTGCCAGCCGTGACAATGCCTCCTCGCCGATCTGGTAATGTGTGATGATGCGGTTGCCCATCAACTTGAGCCCGACCTCTCTGCCGAGCTCAGTAACTCTGGCGCCGTTGGTGTTCATCGAGCCCAGGTCCAGCCAGCACATGTTGGTCTCGACAGGCTGGGCCATGACACCACCAAGGTCGGTCCACATCTTCTCGACACGCTTGGCCGTGTCATGCGTCTTGCGTAGCAAACCGCCTTCCCCGTTGGGCCCCTTGCCAAACGTCGTGTCAAGCGCGACCCGTGCCGCCGCGGTGATGAAGCCGGGCTGCCTGACGCCACCACCGATCGCCTTCCTCGTCCAGCGCGCATGCCTGATGACCTTGGTGTCGCCGACCAAGATGGAGCCCACGGGGGCGCCGAGACCCTTTGAGAAGCACATGGTCATGGTGTCGAAGCACTCGCCAAAGTCGACCAGGGAGCCTTCGCGGCCGGCGGCGACGACCTCCCACAGCCGCGCGCCGTCGAGGTGCATCTTGATGCCGTGCTGCCGGGTAAACTGCGCGATCCGGCGCGTCTCGGCGAGGGGCATGACGACACCGCCGAGGGTGTTCTCGAGGCTGATGACGCGGGTCGGGCAGCTGTGCACGTCGCCGCCGCCCTCGTGGTCCTCGCCGAGCACCACGCGGGCCTTGATGTCCTCGAGCGTGAGGTACCGCCCGTTTCTGGGCACGAGGGGCACCGTCATGGCGCCCGTGAGGCTCGACACGCCGCCGGCCTCATAGCAGACGATGTGGGCGCGGTGGTCACACAGCACGCTGTAGGGCGGCTGCACGAGCAGGGCGCGCAGGGCGAGCTGGTTGCCCATGGTGCCGGACAGGGCGAACAGGCCGGCCTGCTTGCCCGTCAGGGCGGCGACGTGGGCCTCCAGAGAGGACGTGGTGGTGTCCTCCTGCATGACGTCGTCGAGGAGCGTGGCGGACTGGATGGCTGCGAGCATGGCTGGCGTTGGGGTTGTCATTGTGTCGCCTTTTGCGTGTGCGTGTGAGAGATTCTTTGGTTAGCTCGTTTTGGGCAACCTCGTCGTGGGGTTTTTTTCTATATACAACACCCAAAGGGTTGTTCTTCTTTTGGAGAAATGGGCGGCGTGCCCCGACACATACTTCTCAGGTCAAACGCCCCCGCGCCCTCGTGGCCGAGCCATGTTGGCGCAGGTGCCGCGGCAGTGGTGCCGTTGGGCTTAGTGCTGTCGGCGGCCACGGCGGCGGCGGCGGACGCTGATTCGGTGGTGATGTTCCTCGTCATGGCAAACCTGTTGTTCCCGCAAGTGCTGTTGTGGAATGGGGGGTCGGTGGGCTTCCTGGTAGAGGTGTAAGTGCTTGGGAGGTTGGTGAAGTGGCGGCGATGTTTTTGATGGCAGTGGTCTGGGCCAGGCGATGGGTAATGTACGGCACTAGCCGGGCGAGGGTAGCACCGGGCCAAGCGGACGGATAGAAACGGCGGCGCAGAGGTTGATATCGCTGCTGCTGCTGCTGCTGCGGCGGCGGCGGAGGAGGGTGTGGAGGAGGGCCGATGCCGCCCGGGATGGCTGCAAGGGCGTGGGTTTGACAAGCGGCACCGCGGCGGCGCAACGCATGTGGCGAGCCGTGCCGCAGAACAAAGACGCATGCCTGACTAGGTGGTGATGATAAGGACTGCAAAGCCCTCTTTTCCCATCGGTCCGTCAAGTCAATCAATCAATCAAACAGCACGCGTCCCGTGGGCCAGATAGTTGCTCGGGTTGTTGGAGGGTTGGCATAACAATATCATAACAAGCAAAGTCCCAGCAGGTCCTTGATTTGCTGGCACGCGGGACAAACCCCCGGCGCTGCCCCTCCGCACTCGGACCCGCGCGCCCCCGCGTCCGGACGGCAAGGTCGCGCCGCCTGCATGATAACGTTCGCTCTATCGGCGGCCGGGTCCTTTGGGTGCTTCCGGGCCCCGCCCTTTTAACGTTCCCATTACCCTAGAAATAGCTTCATATTACCCTACAAGTACGCGTCCCGGGGCACGTGGCCTCCCAATGATCGGGGGCACAACGTCTGTCAACTGCTTCATCGGGGATAGCTTCCCTGCTACGTCTGACAGGCTGGCGCGTCCCGAGTGAGACGCCCTCATCCTGTCCATATCGCACAGAGTCTACATCGCGCAACTCGACAATATCATGTGACAGACTCGGCGGTAGTACGTCCTGAGCATGAACCTCCAATTTACAAACAATGTCATGGGATGTCCTTGATTTCAACGACACGAAACACCGTGCGCAATCTTTCCTTGTTCCCTGGTCGTATTCACGTTGGGCGATTGCTTCAGATCTGACCAGTACACTATGTCCTGTCTGTAAATCAACCAAGTACATACGGCGAACAAGGTTGTCATCATGCAATGCCATGAATAATCCAGCCGCAGCCACAAACCAAAGAGCGTACCTCGTGGCACTCTACCCGAAGGCCTCTCCATGAAAAGCGCATCCAGGCCCCAGTCCACAAAACGTACATCTCTTTCCCCTCGAGATATCTCTGGAGCTGTCAAGTCTCGCCAGTGAACGGACCTCATAGGAAAGGGCCAGTGGGATGATATGCAAAGGACGCTTATGTAACACACGGGGTAGACTGGACAAGGGTTCTGTCTACGCTAATCCCAGCTTGGAACAGACCCAGAAGCCACCCCTAACGTGTTCTAATATTACGACGCTGGCGCAGGGTCCACGCTGCATATCCCGTCTTCAAGAACAGGTGCATCAGGGGTTCTCCAGATTGAATCGCAGAATAGGACATCAGATGCTTGATCGGTTCTAAAGAGAATACCCTGCACATCATTCGACCAGCTCTTGGACAGTGTCTAATGCCGATATGATGACTCCACTCCGCCTGGACCGGCGACGGTCCTCGCGCCTTGTGGGCGCCCTCATCTTCACGTGCCTGGTCCTGCTATGGCTAAATCCAAACTGGACGGACCGGTCCTTCCATCAGGTTCTCAACTTCGACCCTGGTGTCGACATCACCAACGCGGCCGCCCAGAGCCAGCTGTGCAAGAGCCACGGCTGGACGCCATACAAAGATGTTGCCAAGCGCAAGGTGTACGACTTGATCATGGTCAACACGGAGCTCGACTGGCTCGAGATCCGTCTCAACTCGACCTACGAATATGTCGACTACTTTGTCATTGTCGAGTCCGCCAAGACCTTTACCAACCGCGACAAGCCGTTTGTCATCAAGGACAACATGGAGCGCTTTGCCCCCTACCACGACAAGATCATCTACCACCAGCTCGAGATACCGCCCGGCTTCCACTCGGACCGCGCGAACCCGTCCTGGGCGTGGGAGGATCTCCAGCGGGACGCCATGTACAAGCAGGTGCTTCCGCGGCTCACGGGCGCCAGGGCACCAAACCACGGCGACGTCCTGATTGTGGCGGACGTGGACGAGCTCATCCGCCCGCAGACCATGGTCGTCCTGCGCGCTTGCAACTTCCCGCGCCGGCTCACGCTGCGCAGCGACTTCTTCTACTACAGCTTTCAGTTCCGCCACGTCGGCCCGCAGTGGGCGCACCCCGAGGCCACCTATTACCAGGGCTGGCGGACTATCCTCCCCGTCAACCTGCGCAACTCGGACGGCGGGATCCAGCCTCTGATCAAGCTGGAGAAGGGGGAGCTGTGGAGCGCCGGCTGGCACTGCTCGACGTGCTTCTCGACCATTGAGGAGGTGCTGACAAAGCTCTCGTCCTTCTCGCACGTGGACCTGAATCACGAGCGGTATCGCAACCGTGACCGCATCGCTGACAGGGTGAGGAGCGGCAAGGATCTCTGGGACCGCGAGACGGAGCAGTATGAGAGGATAGACAACAACCAGGACCTGCCGCCGATATTGCTCGATCAGAAGGAGAGGTTCAGGTACCTGCTGGACAGGGACGGCCCAACTGCTGGATTCAAGGACTATCCATGACAGTAAATGAAGACGGCCTGGGAAAGCAGCCACCCAGTAGGCATATAGATGTATCCCTTAAGTAGGATAGGAGTACGGAATACTATTCTTTAGAGATTTGCGCAGATGTGCCTCTTGGGGCATGGGAAACCACCTGAAGCCTGGTGTTTCAGAGCTGAATTTGTCGGGTCGTTCTTGCCTTGATTGCCGTGTTTGGCCCGATGCAAGCGACATGGAACAATCGCAAACAGAATCAGATTTAGCTCACAAAACACTCACCTTTCGTGCTTGCTTGTGTCCTCCGTACTGGCGATCCATGCTCATCTTGCAGGAAACCGTGGCAACGCCGACATCCCTGAGGACTCGCATGACTTCAGCACGGTATCCTAGGACGAACACCTCTTCTCTATACAGAACCCATCGGTACCACATGCGCCACGTCAAGACACATTCTCCCATTTGTTAGGAACCACAGCCAGATTTCGTATCCTACAAGCAAACCTTGAGAAATCCACAACAACCATACATATTCGGACGATCCTTTCGACGGCAAATCAATACCGAGCAGTCACAACTACACCGCCAACCACCACTCTGGCCCACCATGCTGCTTGCACTCATCGCGTCTCTCGCAGTCCCGGCCTTCGTTGCGGCGCAAGGCAGCGGCGGCTTCATGACCAACTGCACTTGGCAGGGCGCCCAGTTCGACACACAGCGAGGTCTCCTCGCGATGTACTGCAACAACGACGACTGGGCAGCGTATGACTATGACTGGGCCACGTCAGTTCCCTCCTCTTCCAAAACATCCAACCGTTTCATTCGGAGCTGTGCCGGGATATGCACAGCCCCCAATCACATGTCAACAGACCACAGCAATCAATTGACACATCAACAGGTTGGACACCAACTTGTGCTTCATCAACAACGGCGGCAAGCTCAGTGCTGTTGAAGAGTACGTTCTCCCCCCCCCCCCCCCCCCTAGACCAATTTCACAGACTATCGCCACATCCCAGCTTGCTCAACCGAGACTGACACCATGCCCGTGACAACATAGAGGCGGCTACTTCGACACCTGCGACCTCTGTGATGTGGACAAGGGCGTGACCAAGACCGAGTTCATGCTCACATGCCACTGCTGGAGCTCTGATGGCGTGTTCAAGGAGTCGTCTGTGGATCTGAGTAAGTTGACCACACGCCGCTCGTGGCCGGAGATCTCTTGCATTCCTTTGTTGTTCTGCCCTTTCCTGGAATTAGAGTGGAATAAGGGCAGGTTGAACCGCATGTGAGCAGGCTACTAATGGTCCAAACATGCAGATGACACAATTTGGAACCACGACGGCACCCTTGGCTGCTTCTCTCATACTGGTGAAAAGCAGCACGAGGGACCATTGCGGCGTTGATAGGAACTTTGAAGGCTACAGACTTAATGAGCAACCACGTAGGACAGCTGGAACCATGGCACGGCCAGGAATTCGACCAGACTTGTTCACTGCCAGCGAACGCAAGATTATGGATCTGATCAAGATCATGGTGGAGGGTGGCAGAGGAACTCAAAGAGGCGAGAAGTCCAAGCTCGTCGTCTTCAGAGGTTTCTTGGAAGTTACAAAATCTGCAAACAACGGCTCACGAGTACATTATCATTGTGTGTTCCTCAACAAAGAAAATCGTGCCAAGCCTATGGCTGGGTGCTGTCCGCACAGACCCGAATGGGCACCACACTATCCCCAATACTGACTGCGACGAAGTTCTTGCTTACATGAGGGTTCCTGCAGTCCTTGAATATCTGCGTGGTGACCTCGGCATTCGCCCGAACTAAATTAACCGGCTCGAGGAGCATTTGTACGGTCCGTGCCGGAGTTCGCTCGCAAACAAAGATTTTGACATCCAGAGTAGCGAGCTCCTTCAGCTGAGCCAGTCTCTGACACACCGGCTCCCAGTCCCCGAAGTCGTATCTTGTCGGGGTCAAGGATTCGTGCCGGAGTATCCCGTCCCACTGCAGCGTGATGTGGCGGATGCGGTCGAGATATTCCCGATTTGTCACCTCTCGGAAGAAGTAGCGTACGGGTTTGAGACCGATAAAGGTCATGGAGGCATAGAGCACATCAGCTGTCTCATCGTGAAGTCTACGACAGCTGAGCAAGAGCGGGACGGGAGAACAAAGAGCGTTCTCGGCACCTGGATAATCCGGTCCGTCGGGTCCTGCATTGGCAGCAGCAGCTGTCATAAACTGTAAGGCATGGGGTGCGCCACCACTGCTGCCAGCTGGAGCCTCCGAGCCTTCTGTGGGCAGTGGAGAAAATGACCACGTTCCTGATGACAGCGAGACGCTCTGCCTGGGTGGCGGACAGGTAGAAGGAGAAGGATATAGTACAGCGGCAGCGGCGGCCGACTTGGCAGCGAGACGACGCTTAAGTCGCCGCCAAGTGGAGTGACGGGTTGACAGGCGCCCGCAATGCCAGTGTCCATCACGCCAGGGACTCTTGACCATGTTGCGATGTTCAGCAACGTGCTTGAATGAGTCTGGCTGTTGTACACATCGTGAGCGGACAAACCCATCGGCGTAGCGGGTGCTTCCATCATAAAAGTGCGCAATGTGTTGCGTTGGGCTGCCCTCATAAAGCAGCATAGATAGAATAGCTGTTCGGATCTCGGGTGGAAGCACTGCAAAAAACAGTGACTGGAGCTGATTGTCGTATTGAGCTATGTTTTCCCTGCTCTTCTGATTCGACTGTGTGGCGCTAACAGGCGCCGAGAGTTGTGGTGCTTCGGCCACACCCCCTCTGGGGTGACCACGATTCGGTATAACAAAGGACATTGTCGTAGGCATAGAGGGGACTTATCAGGGTCTGATCGATGTACCATCAGCCTTTTGCTGGTTGGTGCTCCATGGCATTGCCTGGGCAGGGGTGCCTTTTGGATCAGATGCTTTGCTGGTGTCGTGTATGCTTCAGGTTGGATATTGTCCTGAGCTGTTGCGCCGAAAGGGAAGGCAGAACGAGATCTTTGGCTGACGAGCGGCTGATTCAATGATCACATAACAACGCAGCTGCTGTAGTTTCTCCAGATTCATGAATGCAAGTATGGATCTTGCATGATCAGATCAAACTAAACTCCTTGCGCCAACTGAATGGTTACCCGGTGGAGGGTTGATCAGGACCTTTGGATGATCTCCGCCTTGGGGACTGGAGGGAGGCTTGGACAAGTGGAGTACGCGGTTGAGCTGAAGTTTGAAGCTGAGCCAAGAAGCAAGGATATCTTTTCGCCTTTCCGGGGAGGGGTTGGCATCGTCCGCCAGGGCTGACTCGGTGGTCCTTGCGTGCGAGCTTCACGGCGTCCTTGTTTGCTATGGTTGGGAGAATGCCGTGATCGGCGTGCGAGCCAAGACAGAGGCCCAGGCTGATGTCCAAGGCAGCAAGAGGGTCCCCGCGCGCCGACGAGTGCCCGATGTGAATCTATTCAGAACGTACTGCTGAGAGCAGAGGGCACGAGGAGTGATGAGGCATGATGCAAGTGCCGGCAGCAAGCGAGACAGTGGGGCCGATTAGGCAGAATAGGGGGTTCCCCTGCACTAGCTAAGGCTGCCGAGCAGGGGGTCGCGCCTTCCCAAGGGCTTCCAGCAGTCTCGCGGGGCCTGTCAATCACCGCCATCTTGTAGTGGCTGGTGATGGCCCGTGAATTGCCTTTTACAGGCTGCAACCGCCCGTTTCCGGCTCCTCTTGGCCTTCAGCTCCTCCCGCCGCGCGACAGGCTAACGCCTCGCTCCCAATGGACCCCCGCATCGTGCGAGAGCATCCTCTATGCAGTCCCAAGCCATGGCGCAAACGCCAGACAGGACCGCTGACAACATATAAGTCGTGGCATGCGCCGTCGTGCTTTTCCTTGGATTCTCTGTCCAGCGTGCCAGTGACGACCTCAATTATACCATCTCCTCCTCGTTGGCCACCCTGATATATGAGCTGCCCTTGCAAACCCCCCCTTCCCACATAGTAGTCCAAACGTCCCGTAGTCCTTTTCGACTGTCGCGGAACTATCCCTCCAACCTCATCCGCAAGACTTCGGACAACCAATCTCATTGAATCTATTCACCATGGCGACTACTGAGCTTCCCAAGCTCCCAGCTGCTCACAATGAGCTGGCCAACTACATCGCCAGCAACCCAGACACGCCATTGACCAAGCTCATGGCCCCGTATCGCGAGTTCGAGGCACACCTCCGCGAGGTGTACGCCCAGGATCGCAGCAACCCGCTCCTGACCGATCCCTATCTCAACGTGCTGCCTCTTTTTACCAAGGACACTCCCAACATCAAGACGCGTGCTCGCAACCTTGACGCGGAGTCTGAGGAAGAAAAGGGCAGATATATCATGGTCAGCACAAACTCTCTCATGGCTGTCGAGGGTTTTCTATGTGGTTCTCGTACTGATCTGTGTCACGTCGAGGCATCAGGCTCTTCCCGAGGACAAGAGACGAGCCCATGGCTCACCAGCGGTGGTGGAGAACCTCAAAGAGTTCAGAAACAACTTCAGCATATTTTCGGAATCGTCGCTGGCCGACATGAACTGGGACAACGTAGTTGCCGCCGGCTCTTCGGTGGTCAACTGCATCCTGCCAGTGCCTGCCGAGTACAAGAAGTCAAAGCGTGCTCTCCGCCAGTACTACCACGAGAAGTTCTGCCCTGCCTCTGACGTTGACCTGTTTCTTTATGGCTTGAACGAAGAGGAGGCAATTGAAAAGATCAAGGACATTGAAGCTCGCATCAAGGATGCCATCCTTTCCGAGACGACTGTGGTTCGGACGAAGAATGCCATCACAATCTGTAAGAGGACTTGCCTGGTAATCATGAAACTTCACCGTCATACTTATCTCCATGTGTCTCTATAGGCAGCCAGTATCCAACAAGGCACATCCAAGTAAGTCGCAGGATTCAGCGAAATATTTCGAGCCAGTTCTCTGCTGACAAGTCTATAGATCGTTCTGCGCGTGTATAAGTCGGTAGGTTATGCTTGCGTGGTCAAGCAGGTGTCATTCAAGCCATCAAGTAGTGTTGCTAACCATATGCTATTAGATCTCCGAAATCCTGACCGGATTTGACATTGACTGCGCCTGTGCCGCCTATGATGGCAGCCAAGTGTATTGCGTTCCGCGTGCTCTGGCTTCGTATATCACCCAGATCAACCCAATCGATCTGAGCCGCCGAAGCCCGTCTTATGAGAACAGACTCTCGAAATATAGCCACCGCAACTTTGAGGTCTACTGGCCCGAACTCGATAGGAGTCGCGTAGACCCCACCATCTACGAGCGGAGCTTCCAGCGCACGCTAGGTCTCGCGCGCCTGCTTGTTCTCGAGCGACTCCCAACCACTAATGCTCGGGAGCAATATCAACGAAAGCGCAGAGAAGAAAGAGGGCGCCCAGAACTCGGTGCGCGTTTCCAGCACCGCCTTTTTGGCAACATCAAGGACAACCACGAGGATGAAGTTGCAGACTGGGTTGGGGAAGACGAAGTCTCCAACTACCATACCTTCACCGTGCCGTACGGTGCAAGGTTCAATGCCAAGAAGATCGAGAAGCTCTGCTACACTAAGGATCTCCTCCTCAACGCCGAATGGAATCAGCAAAAGGACCGAAAGGTCTATCTCCACCGCCACCCTGCCTTTTTTGGTCGCGTCATTGATGTGATAGGAGACTGTTGTGGCACTTGCCCGTCCCCAGTCACCACCGAAGAAAAGGAGATTGCGGAGAAAGAGAGCGAGATATATTGTTCTGGCAACGTTAGCTTCCGGATCGATGATCCAGGACGACAGCAGATTGGGTCCTTCAATCCTCTCACAGAGGACGACTGGACTGAGATGGCCTACGTCGGCAATACGGCTCGTCTTTGTCAGGCCATTGTGGATGGCGACCTCGAACATGTCGAGGATTGGCTCGCCCAGGAAGGCGCTGATCCCAACACAAGAGACTATACTGGTCGCACGCCGCTGCACTTGGCTGTCACTAGCTCAACTGTCGAGATTGTCAAGTGCCTTGTCGATCATGGCGCTCGTCTCGTGGCCCGGCTCGCCGACGGCCAGACTGCTCTCCATTTGGCAGCCGCCAGGGGTAATGTTGAGATGGTCAAGTTACTCCTTGAGAAGAGCAATGCCAATGAGGAAGAGGAGGAAGACAAGCTTGACCAGAGACGCAAAGCCCGGGATGTGTCAACTCAGGAGCCAGAAGAGTCCTCAATCGCCAAGGAGGAGGAGACCGACTCTGACGCAGGTGATGAGGACGGTTCGGATGGCGAGCTCATCGGCGAGGACGATATCTCCGATGATGGTGTCCAATCAGCTGTGACGGGCTCCTTCGTCAAGCTCGCCAAAGACGATGATGCCGCGAAGAAGGACGAAGCGGCTAGGCTCGACGACGACTCAAACGATCCTGACTTCTATAAGATTGACGTCGTTGCGTGGGATTCAAAGTGCAGCCCGCTGCATCTCGCCATTCTGGGCGGCCACTGCGACGTCGTCAAGGTGCTCTGCCAGGAGTTTGGAGCGGACGTGCTCTTACCAGTCAAGATTGGCGACGGCTCTTACAGCGATCCTCACAACGCGATCCTTACTCTTGTCCTTGCACTGTCTCTGCCACTAGATCGTGCCACAGAGATGGCCAAGACTCTCCTGTCTCTTGGTGCCACGTCCAGTCAGGCGGATGCGCAGGGCGTGACAGCGTTCCACCGTTTCGTCAAAAGCGGTGGTCCTGCGCTAGTGGATATCTTGTACGAAAACGACGCGAATGGTCTCAAGACGGCCGTTGGCCATATCGCCATGTCTGGCAGTAGTGTGAGTCAATACCCGAGTGATGTGAAACCTGCAGGAGGACAGATATTGGCTGACTCTGAAGGGCGAGTAGTGGAACCCGAAAGCAACCGCCCCCTTGAACACAGCAATCGCCCAGGGCAATTCTGTCCTCGTCCTCAAGCTTCTCGAGGCGGGTGCGAAGCCTCAGATCGATTTCGACACGTGGCTGAAGAGTGCAAAATTCTCCTTCGACAAGCATCTCGGCAATTTCGAATCAAACCAGGAGCACTTCCGGAATGGCACTGACCAGCCACTCATCACGGCTATCCGTTCTGAGAATCCCGCAATCGCCTTGGAGCTTCTGGAGCGAGGTGCCGATCCCAACGTACTCACAAAGTCTTCGTGGGAGGTTGTGAACAAGGATTGGGCACGGAGATACAACAAGGGCCGTGCAGCGATAGACGTCGCCAAGGACTCATTGGAGAAGCTACGCAGATACAGGGGGGAGAAGCTCGACTTCAACAAGCTCAACAACAAATCGACACGGGTAAAGGAATCAGCAAGTGTTGTAGAGGCGCCAAAGGGTCCAATTGAGACCGACTCGTTCCTTTCCAGGTTTGACAAAGACACTTACCAACACTGGGCTGTGTCGTCAGACATCCAATATCGCGTCAGATACCACGAGAAGGAGCTCGAGCGCTTCGAGAAGGACCGCGCCGCAAAGGCGAACGCGGCTGGCCTGAAAGAGAAACAGGAAGCCATTGATGATCTGATCGCACAGCTGGAACGAGTTGTGAGCGCTTTGGAAGCCAAGGGCGCCAAGTCGTTCAAAGAGCAGTACCCAGAAATCCAAGACAAGACCGACTCGATCAAATCTGCCAAAGATGAGAGTCAGACGCCGTACCAATTTGAGTTCAACTTCAACGGCGTTAAAGACCTGACAGAAGCACGCAAGGCTGCCTATATTGAGCTGTGAGTCTCAAATGACGCAATCCCTCACTTAATTGCGCAGTACTAACCACCAAGGTATAGGTTCGAGGCATGCTGGAGGGGCGACATTGAAGGAATCAAGAAGTATACTCTCACGTCCTGGGATGGCGAGGACAAGGAGTCACCACTTCAAATTGCGGTCAGCGACAACAAGAGCAACAATCCATTCTCGTTGGCCTTCCTGCGTGGCCATTGGGACGCAGCCAAGGCTGTCCTCGAGATTGCTCAAGCCCAGTGGACACCGAAGGAAGCGGAGAATGCCCGATACAAGATGACACGCGACGACGATGAGGAAGATTCGTGCGAAGACTCTGATGCGGAAAGTGGCGATGAACCAGAGGTTTATAAGGAGGTCGTCATTGACCAGGTCACGATCGACAACATCGGACAGATTTCGATGCAAGTCAACAGCCATGTCCTTCCCACCACCATGCTCGAATGGGCAGTGCCGGTCATGACGGGTGTGGACGGCCAGCCCCACGACCAGAGCAGCTCGTACTACTTGCTCCATTATGCCATCGCCAAGGGAGACCTGCAGCAGTTCAAATTCCTGGTTGACTTGTATGCGCATTACACGACCCAGCAGCCTGCAGATGATGATGACGGATCCGACGGCGCACGGAAAGTCTTTGTTTTCCCGGTCGATCGTTTCAACGATGTCATCAAATATGGGCGTACTGATATGCTCACGGAGATCATCAAAACGACGGGAGCTGGCCTACCTTTTGACGAACTTGTCAAGAAAAGTGGCACTGAGATGAAGACCAAGCCACGTTATTATCAGGGGCTTTCTGTCTATGGCAAGAAGCGTGCTGACTGGGCCAACGCCGGACGCAATCTGGTGGTGAAACCAACCGGACCGAAAGCCTCGCCGCTCCTCACTGCCGCGATGCAAGGATCTCTAACCTCCCTTGAGTGGTTTGCCAGTGACACGCCATTGCGTTATTACACCGAATTCGGGAGCTCAAAGGCTGCCCAAGGCCACCCAAGTGTGAAGCATCTCAGAGCTGTGGAAGGCCGGTTCGACCGGGCAATTGCCAAATGGCTGGGGATGCAAAGTAAGTGAAACTAGATGGACATTATGTGGCTCTCTTTCTAACAGTCGATCATCGTGTAGGCGATCTTGTCCTCCACTGTGCCGTCATGGGTCCCCTCAAGGATGAGCAGAACCGACTCATAGAGTACTTGACCAAGACTTATCCATCGTCCTTGGAGACCAAGTCGAACGAAGGCTACACGCCCCTTTTCTTGGCGTTTCTGCTTGGCAGAGTAGAGTACGCGAAGATTCTCATTGATGCCCAGGCCGATATCTCTGTCAAGGACAAGAAGTTCAACAATTTGATTCATGCCGCCCTTACAAACAAGCCTGAGAAGGCGGATAGGCTCCGCAAGCTCTTGGAACTTCTTGAGCCGGACATGAGGAGCCACCTCTTCATGCAGCGAAATGGCCTAGCGCATGGTGGTGATACTCCACTCCATTTCTGGCTGCAGAATGCGAACCAATTGTCCTACAGGTGGCAATACAACGACCACTATGGCAGTTATCGCAGCGAGCTTGGTGCGGAGGACAAGACGAATGTCCAAATTCTCAAAGCGCTCCTGGACATATCCAAGGGGCAAGAACTTGAGATTTTGAACAGTGCTGGCAACACCATACTTCACACGGCAGTGCTGCGCCAGATCCCTGTCCAGATGGCCCTCATCATCGACGCCAACCCCAAGTTGCTTTTCCGCGAGAACGCAGTCGGCCGGACACCCCCAGAAATCGCGTATGATCGATACATCCACGAGAAGGTGTCTAGTGTCACCCCCATCGAGGACAACGTGGTCGACTTGACAGACCTTCCCAGCAAGGAACCGTCTTACTTCCTTCACAAGGTCGCGGACAAGCACAAGAAGTTTAGAACCCGCAAGGAGCTTACCTGGGAAGTTTGCGCTCAGCACCTAGACAAACACAAGGACGGTGCGAAGCGCCGCCTTGTGAGTCTCAATGAGGCCAACGATGTCGCCATCCGCATCGGCGAGAGTTACACGGGACAACGCTACTTTCAAAAGACGCCAGTCGAGCCCGCTGACGCCGACGAGGGAGAGGACGAGGAGGCCAAGAAGAAGCGGGAGGAGGAGGAAGCCAAGAGGGAGGCCGATATCAGCACGATCAAGTACGGAGAAACCAAGCACTCGGCCTGGGCCACACTCGAGGAGAGCAAGGATATCGACGACGAAGCCGGAGATCCGGTGGTCTGCCCTGATTGCGGGACGGCGCACGACTGACTGCGCCACGAGCGGCGTTTGATCAGCGTTGGGGGAAAAGGGCATGGGCACTTGGGGCTCTTCGCGGATGGCGGCTTTGCTAAACAGCTGCTTGTGCAGAGTATCACGTCTGTCCTGATGACGGCCATTATTTGCTTGTGGAGGTACGTCAACTATCGCAGGGGCCAGGATGATGAATTTGGGGCCTGGTTCGCATGGGCGAAAGCGCGCCTCTCCTGAACCATGTTTTGTTTATTTGCTCATAGATCCGGGACGAGGTTCAGTCTTGAGGAATTCGTTTTCTAAGCAAGTATATGAACAGTCTATATTTGCTGCTGTGCGCCGGTTTACTCCATGCCAATGTATCTAAAGATTTTTTGAGGGTATCATTTTTTGTGTTTTCAACTTGGTTGTGTATGTCTCTCTCTGGGAACATGAAGATCCCTCTTTTCCTTTTCTTTGACCTCAACATTTTGATATCGAATCACTGCAGTGCACCGACAGACTTGTCTGGCCCAGCGCCGTGGCGTTCCGCTGAAAGTATCTGTGCTATTTCTAGCAGCAACATCTTCGGCTTTCAGTACCTATGTTGCACAAGTTTTGTGGTGGCGGTCTTGCAGGGGTTGGCGATACTGTAGACTTTTTTTTCGTCTCTTCAACCGTCGAGGAAAGCGTCGCTCTTGGCCTTGGCGGTAGAGTCGTCGGTAGTGCCGTCCGCTTTCGTGGATGGACGGTTGGCGATGAGGCGCTGTAAAAAAAAAAGTGAAAGAGCACGTCAGTACTTAATGGTCCTATGGACGGCACCCACGAGGCCCGTATCGCCCGGAAGAACTGGGATAAAATCTTACCACAAGGTTACGCAGCAGCACGGCGATGGTGACCTTGCCGACCGAGGGGACGTAGATGGAGGCCTTCTCCTTGACGGCCGGGCCGTCAAAGTTGCGGAACGACGAGAAGTTGATGCACACGGCGCCGTCGCGGATGAGCTCCGTGGGCACCTTGTACTTCTCGGTGGGCACGCCGCCGATGATGACGTCGCTGATGGGGATGCAGTCCTTGAGCCCCCAGCCTTCCTTCTCCTCGGTCTTGTGGCGGGGCTGCTTGATGCCCTGCCCGCGGGTGAAGAGCTGGACGCCGGTGATGTCGACCGAGTAGACGGTCGCGCCGTCGTTGGCGAGCAGGGCGGCCAGGGGCCGGCCGTTGACCTCGGAGCGGTTGATGACGGTGATGGTCTTGCCGTAGAGCCGGTTGCCGTAGGGGAGGATGGCGTTGTAGATCTGCAGGTACTCGAGGATCTTGACGACTGCGAGCGGCGTACAGGGGAGGATGGACTTCTTGAGGTTGTGCGGCGCGTCTAGGAAACGCGTGTTGTGGTACATGTTGTAGATGTGCTTGTGGCACAGGCCCTCCACGTCCTTCTCGAGGGCAACCGTCTCCTGGATGTACTTGTCGTGCGCCGGGTTGCCGGGGAAGATGGGGTAGTAGACGATGATGCCGTCGACCTTGGCTTCGTCGTTGGCGGCCATGATGTCCTCCTCGAGGGTGTCCTTGTCGACCTGGCGGAGGTCAAAGTTGAAGCCACTGTGAGGAGGCGTCAGTTATTCGTGAGCCAGATTGGGAGTACTGTCTGTAGGTGATTGGCCGGACTCACTTCTCCTCGCAAGTCTTCTTGGACCACTCGGCGTACTTGATGGCGGCTGGATCGTCGTTGGCGAGGAAGGCGACCAAGGTGGGCTTGCCCTCGTTGTCGAGCTGGATCGTCTTGAGGGTGTCCTTGACCTCGGCCAGCAGGTTCTTGGCAATGGTGTCGGCCAGGATGACCTTGCACGTCTTGAAATTGTCTGGAGCAGCCATTGCGACTGTTCTCTGGAGGGCAGGCTATGTGGACAAAATTAGCATGGCTTGCTATCGTCACGAGCCAATTGCTCCGGTAGGCTGGACCACAAGACCGTTCATGACAGCGTGTGAAGCTTAGAGAGGGGCCGCACAGCGTTACTCACAGGGAACACGATCTGTCGACTTGACGAGGGGGGAAAGATAGGGCAATCGTTCACCAGCGACGACAGGCTTGGATGAGGTGAGGTCAAGTGACGTGACGAGAGCACAAGGGACGATATGCAAGAGAGGCGCGCGGCGAACCAGCACCGGGACAACCGCGAAGAGAAGAAAGAAGCAGCAAATCTACAGCGATCTACGGAAGCAGGGCCACCAGGTGGGAGGAGAGGGGATTCCATTGGCCACAAGGCTTAGGCAAGACAGGCAAGACAGGGTCCCGGACCCGTCTTCCGGGCTGAAACGGCGCCGTCAACCAAGGGAAGAAAAAAAAAAAAGGCCCACGACTCGGTCACGCGTGCACCGATGAGCGGGACGGCGGAAAGACATGCCAAAGTGCCAGCCCTGGAGAAAGGCAGAAAAAATATTCTGGGAGCCCCTCCATTGTGAGCGCGCGGCTGCTGCCCCGCTTGCCGATTTCGGCATGGTGGCAGGGGGGACCCTCCAATGCGACGGAGCGACGTCACTGGTTGCAGGTGTTGGATACGCTCCTTTCGTTGCTCTTTGTCGTGATCATCAAGCCCGTACCTAAATCTCGCTCGCGAGGATTTTTGCATATAGAAAAGGGTTCCCGCGATACTCTGTCATCTACTAGGCGGCTCTGGCTGCATGCACGAAGCCTGGGTGAATTTGGCCGTAACTGCCTGACTGCCTGACTGCCCTGTAGCGCTGGGTAAGTACCCACCAATCGGCGTGCCCCTCCTCCTGGAGGACCAACACCTCCAGCGCCGCCGGATCGGAGCTCTTGACGCTGCCGGGCCTCTGCCGGCATTCTCGTCCACCATCTCCAAGACCACCGTGCAGCCGATATCAGATTAAATCAAGGCATTTTTGACAGCCATACTCTACACCTGGGCCGGAATCCCTTCGTCGCAAGCATCTCAAGCAGCCTACGCAGTCAACAGCATTCCTGAGAGCCCCCCAGCCAACCCGTCCGGCAGAGGAAGAGCGGCCGGTCTGCTCGGGTGCGCCGCCATGGCCGGCTCCAGGTTTGACGAGCTGGCCCTTCAGTATGTCTTGGCTGTAGACAAGTCGGCCGAGGCGACTGCGGCGTCCGACGCAGCTTCTCTGATCCAGAGCTCGACAAACAACCGCATCCTGGTAGGGCAGTGGGTGTCTTCCATAAATCGTTGGATCTCGCCAGCCGCTGGCTCGGGCGACCGCATGGATGACGGCACAGGCCTCGACCAGGATCTCATCTCTAGGGCCAAAGGTGAGGACCTCTGCTCGTGACATGGCTCACACAACATCCCACTGATCAATGATTCAGCCCTCGACTTCCTCGCCAGCACCCTCGAGGTCCTCAGCCGAGACACTCTCAGGGCGGACCAGGTCAAGCTGCTCGCCACCTTTTTCGGCTCGCTCTTCTCCAGCGACCACCGGGCCGGCGTAGCTGCTTCAGCAAAGGCACTGAGGCAGCTCACACAGATGAAGGCCTTCCACCCCGCGCTTGCGAGCGACATCATCCTCAGTGTAAGCAAGCTCGGAGACGACTTCAAATTGCAGACGCCTACCACTCGTCTGGAACTTTTTGAGCTCTTCAACGGCTTCTTCACAGATGAGACAGTTGTCGGCGATCTCACTACACGCCATGGCGAGGGTTCTGGTTTTATGACCGGACTACTGGACCTTTGCAGGAGCGAACGAGATCCAAAAAATCTCATGATCTGGTTCTCCATCCTCAAAACGTTCATCCAATCATTCTCGCCGTCCACAGAGATGCTAGAGGCAACATTCAAGGCCTTCTCGGCATATTTTCCGATCTCCCTGCGAGCCTCAACCACCCCTTCTGGCATCACGGCTGATGATCTTAAGCGTGCCGTCCGCGCCTGCTTTTCTGCCAACCACCGTCTGGCTAGCCTGACGATTCCCTTCCTTCTCGGAAAGCTCGACCAAGGAGATGCGGTCACTGTTGCGGTCAAAGTGGACATCTTGCAGACATTGGAGGCGTGTTTGGCACAGTACACACAGCCCCAGCAGAGTGTGGTGCCTTATGTGGATAGCATATGGAGCTCGCTCAAGTATGAAGTACGCAATGGAGAGGTCGCCGACATAGTGGAAGCCACCCTGAAGACTATCGCTGCCTTGACACGCAGACTTGACGGCAATGATCTCTCTTCCTTCTTCGCCACAGCATGGCAAGATCTCTCGGATGACCTGACGAACCCGACGTACGCCACTCAAGCTGGTCGTTTGCTTGTCTCCATTTCTGGTGCCAGCATGGCTTCGTTCGACCTTGCCGTTTCACAGTCAATGTCCCTCCTGCAGAGTACACTTAGGGACCCCAAGTCGTCAAGTCATCAGCAGGACCTTCTGACAGTCGTGAACTCGTTGCTTCTGGTTCGGACACACCTTGAGTATCCCGAGAGCAGTCGCACGTCTTCATCAACGGACGACGTTTTTGGAGACAGTCTATTTTCTGGTGTATACCAACGCTTATGGGAGGAGAACCTCAGCAGCGATGCCCAAATCAACGAAAAGAATGCTCTGTTCAAGAAGTTGATGGACGGCATGGCTAGCCTGGTTGCCCAGCGGACATCGAGCGACCCGACGAAGCGTTTGTGTACCGATAGCACATGTATTCTGATTCTCGAATATCTATCACGGCCCGCGATCGTCTGTCCACTGACGGACGTGCCATTCTTCCAAGCAGATTCGTCAGATCCAATGCAAGATGCCCTGCAAGAATCGGCGGCGGCGGCTTTGACAAAGGCCGTCCCACAATTTCCAGAGGGATTCCAACAAGTTCTGTTGATATTCCTGACGACAGTCGAGTCAACACTGGCTACGGGCGAGGCGCCGCCAAAACTTGCCCCGGATATCCAAATTGCTGCTTCGACACTTTCAGATATCGTATGCTCAGAATCTGCTTCCGACTCCATCATTCTTACAACTGCTCGAGCATGTACATACACCCTCTTGCAGGGATTATCGACAGCCTTGAAGGATTCCAAGCAGCCTGGGCCAGTCAAACAAGAGCTGGTCTCTGCATTCATCTCTTCTATTCACCTGAATGTGACAAAATCATTACAAGTCCTGGCAAAGACAGGCATTGCGCAGCCTCAGAAACAGACCATCACTCGGGAATGGTTCAGCCAGTTTGAGACAGCCATGGCTGCCTTGGTGTCCTCGCCAGATCTGAGAGCGCCAAACTCACTGCAATGGCCAGAGTCGCTTGTCGAACCAGCCAGTACATATACCCAATTATTGGCCTTCTATCTGGTGGTCGTGCGGCAACTATACCTCAGCTTCACGCGAATAGAGCAGCAGACGAATGATGATGGCTCGGGTAGGCTGCTTGTCGGGCTAGCGCCCGAGACTCAGAGCTACACGGCAAAGAATCAGGACATGTATCTGCATCACCTCGGTCTGCTAGCTTGCACTGTGGTACGAGACTTGTCACAAGACGAGCAGATTGCCTTATCCTTGGACGAAAAGGCCTTCACCTTATTCCATGATGTGCCAGCAACAGATGCCGGCACCATGACATTTAGCCCGCTCAATGAGTTTAGAACAGTACCCTTAGCTATGGGAATTCTTCAAGGCCTGTATCCTGGCGCAATCAACGAGCAGGTAGGTAATATTTCTCTTTGTATTAATTGCACTCGCGCAGCCGAGACTGACATAGATTTAGCGTCATAACGCTGCGTTGGAGAACCTCTTCCGACACCTCACTCAACCTCTGACCAAGATGACGCTCACGACGCGGGGAGCCATGGACAACACGTTTGCTTTGCTCTCGAATAAGTACCAGCCCAAGGGCCAGGAGCGGAGTGCAGAGCGACTGCGGTTACAGCGGGCGATCTTGCGAAGCTATCACGACATCATCGCCAGCGAGGTTGACGTATACGGAGATCCATGGTGGCAAGTACGGGCATTCTGCAGCATCCTCCACTACCTTGCCGGCGACACGGCCCGATTCCAAGGAAATCCGGCAGAGAACGAGCTTCTGCAAGTCGTCTGCAAAGAAGCCATACGAAACGAACTCTACGGCCACTACTTGGCGCCCTACTTTGCGCTGCTCGTGAGCCCGAAGCAGTGCCTGGCAGCCGAGAATCACGCCGTGCGTAAGCGGCTCAGTGAGCAGTGGATCTACCACCAGGCAGTACAGCCGTACTACCCCGAGTGCTTCCCTGCGCGCGAGGTCGTGGAGAAGGACCCGAGAGTGGAGGATATCGGCATCGCCAGATCCGTCTCGATCTTGTGCATTCTGCAGCATCTGCAATATGAACACTACGCAGCCGACGCTGTGCAGGTCGTGAGGATTCTCGTCAGCAAGATGCCGACGCTCACTCACGATGGGATCGCGGCCGCCTTGGGCGTGCTCCTGACCATCCTGGAGAAAGATCCATCTGTGCTCAAGGAGCACCTTGGCGGCCTGGTCAAGAATGCTACCCTTCTACAGGCGAGATACTTCAAGGAGGCGCAGTCTCTGGGGCGGCACGGAAAACGGGACCCTAAACGAGGTATGTACAACTTTCCCTTTCGTCTTTTGCTAGTTCACACTGGTGGACCATTGGAGCCCCAAAGCCTACCATGTTTGGTTACCTTCGAGTGGCTACTAACACAGACCTCCTCATTGTGACAGATAACTGCCGGAGACTCAACCTCCTCATCCTCTGCAAGCTGCCGGCCACGTTTGAGGCTTCGCTGTGCCTGCCGCACAGACAACAACTCCTGCGGCCCTTGTCGCACGCATGCGGGGACCCCGTCCGCGAGATACGGCGTCTGGCGCTTGCGGCCAGGCAGGTCTGGGAGGCGCTGAACTAGTTCCATATGAGAAATGCGGCAGGGATGAAAGCGCCGTGGTAAAGGGAACGGCTGTGGTGGTACGAGATTTGGTGGTGGACACTCTTGCGGATAGTGAAGATGTGTGTTGGATTGTGCGTATATACAGTGTAGAAGTAAACAAGTCTCGTGCACACGACATCCTCCCACAGCGCAACTTCCCATCATATGGACGCTTTTGTGTGAGGCTGTCTTTACTGGCGCGGCATGACCTCGCTCGTGGAACGACCACTTCTCTGCTATTGACTTGGTACTAAGGTCTCATAAGTTCTCGTGTTCCGTGCCTATTTTGCACAGCATGAGTTAAAGGTCCAACGAGATTTGCCCAATCTTGTCTCCAGCATGACTGCGCACAATGTTGCCTGCAGTATCAAATCCCCCAACATTGCTTCTACGCCTTCTTCCTGCCCTTGGCCTTCTTTGCCCCCGCCGCGACGTCTGAGCCTGACGCAGAAGTCTGCTGAGAAGCCAGCAGGGCGTCGAGAACTGCCGGGTCCGCGGCGCTGAGGAGGTCCTCGGAGACACCGTTCGTGTTGTCGGTTGCAGCAGCAGAAGTAGCAGAGGCCACGCGCTTGGGATCGGCCTGGCCAATGACGGGCACGGCGGTGGCGAGTATGGTCTGGAAGGGCAGCGCTATGAAGTGGCCTGCCGAGTCGAACCACTCGGTGAAGGAGCGCTTGATTTCTATCTTGGACGACGAGGCGGATTTGCTGCCCTTGGGGGTCACGGTGATGGTCATGTTGTAGATTGGTACATTCTTCGTCGTGGAGGTGCTTATTGTGATCTGTGAGAAATGTTAGCGGCCTGACTCTTGGACCATTCTGGCAAGCACTGTCTGTCACTTCCGACAGTGGGCATGCGGAGGCAGAAAACGTACCTTGCCGCCATCCGGCGTCGTGGCCTGGTATACGATGCCTTTCTCAACCATGGTGATCCAGTACGTCAGCACGGCATTAAGCAGAGCGTACACGCCCACTGCGACGGCCGTGTAGAGCTTCGTGTTCTCGAACCCAAACTTGTAGTCCCAGCCGAAGCATGCCGCCGCGAGGACGAAGGCGCCGTAGCCCAGGGCCAGGCGCGTATCCGTCAGGGTGTGGTCCTGCTTGAACTTGAGGGAGTTGAGGTAGTTTGGTATGGCATCGTCCGAGGTGTTCTTGAGATCTAGGCGTAGGCGGTAGAATGTCAGTACAAATGAAGCTTGGCGGGTACGTAGGGAATTGGGGCGTACCGGCGAGGTTGTGCACCGATATCCGTTCTTGCGACGCCATTGTGTTGTGAGGTTGCCAATTAGGCTGGATTTCAAGTATGCTGTACAGGAGTGGAAAAGATCCCGTGGAATTGCAGTGCAGGAAGGCAGCCAAAATGAGAGAGATGCAACTGCGTAATGCTCAGTGTCTGGTGTTGATCAAGCCTCATGACATTTAGCAACGCCCGTCAGGGACAACGAGCTTCAGAGTGTGGGGTCAGCAAGTGCGCGTGCGCAAGGTGGCTTCAAGGTCCTGGTAGTGCATGATTACATAAGTGGGAGCTCACCATCAGCAGCAACTGGACGGCCCCGACCAACCTCACATCGTCCTTGCACTTGAATGCTCCCCCGCTCAATCAACGACTGCAGCTAATACTGCGCCTCAACAGCACGACAACATTGCCCACGCCGTGCACAAGCTGGCAGCAAAGCCTATCAACATGGCAGAACTTCCGGCGCAGACGATCAATCGTGATCCGCAGCTCTTGTAAGCTTCACTTCTACACTGGTAGCTGTAGCAGTGCCTGATTCGTCGCAGGCCATTTCGCTGACCAACACGCGCCTCGAAACCACAGCTACTGGATTCTCCTGCCCATTACGGTGGTCATGATCCTGACCGGCATCCTGCGGCACTACGTCACGGTGATGCTGGCCTCGGCCCCAAAGAAACCTGACGTCAAGACGATGAAAGAGCAACGGGCGCTGCTGCACGGCATCGCTGCGCGGTCCAACTTCCACGCGCTCTCAGCACCCTCGTTCCGCGCTCGCCGCGACTACCTCACCACCGCCTACGAAAACGGTGCCTTCCTCAAGAACCCGGACCAGGCCGGCCAGCCGCCTCCCAACCCCATGTCGGACCCTAACGCGATGGAGGGCATGATGGGCCCTATGAAGAACCAAATGGCCATGATGATTCCCAACACGCTCATCATGAGCTGGATCAATGCCTTTTTCAGCGGCTTTGTAGTCCTTAAGCTGCCCTTCCCCTTGACCGTCAAGTTCAAGAGCATGCTCCAGGCCGGTGTTGCGACCAAGGAGATGGACCCGCGGTGGATGAGCAGTATCAGCTGGTACTTTCTGTGCTACTTTGGTCTGCAGAGTGTATTCAACTTTCTTCTCGGAAGTGAGGCTGGTGAGTTTACAACAGTGCAATAATAAAAAGCGGCAACAGCATACTAATACTTCTCTCTATCAGCCGCTAGCCAGATGGCCCAGCAAATGCAGATGCAGGGAGGGGGTGTGAACCCTGCCATGTTTGGTCCGGGCAATGACCCCGACAAGCAGTTCAAGGGCGAGGCCGAGAACTTGGCTGTGATCGCCCACTACTCCGTCCTCGACGACGTTGAGGATCGCCTGCTCGCAGGCATTTAGTCAAGTCTGAATGTAGCAGCACAAGCCAAGTATATGAGTGCTGCGCGAAACGTCAATAGAAGTATATTCCAGGGAAGCCTTGTGCGAATATGTGGCTACTCCTTAACCGTGAACGCCATATCATGCATATGTTTCTAAAGTTTCCCACACAACCAAACACCTTGTCGTCAATATCTCTCTCATTCCCACCAAAGACACACGCCGAGACCTTCTTTGAGCATGCTGCCCGTAACGCTGTAGGGAGAGACCTTCTTGGCTTTGTCGACGGCCTCCTGCTCAGCACTATCAGGGATCTGGTCGTTCCACGCCTCGTCAATCACCTGTAACCGCACCATTTCGTTCTTGTCATAGTACATGCGCTCCTCGTCAACGATCCATGTCCACGCCTGCTCATTGTGATCACTTTTTGGGATTGGGTTAGTCCACATGCAAGGTTTCTTCCTGAAGTTTGGGGCATACTCACAACTCCGTGTTCTCCGGCAACTCCTTGTATGGCACGAATATCTCTTCAAAGAACTCCGTGCGGACTACAAGGTTTCGCTCGTTAGCCTTGTCACCACAGTCATCACTATCGCGCGCAAGCCAACATACCATGAATGCCCTCTGGCGTGGCGCTGCTGATCTTGCCGAGCAGCGTCTCGCCCTTGAAGGGTCTGAAGACCATGAGACGGAACTCAACTACAACACGAACCCAGTCAGCTTGCATGAGATCCATAAGAGCCTGTGACCGAGTCCCCCGTCAGATCGAAATACCCACCATTGACGTTGACCATGCCCGTGCCGTGGCCGATAAGCCCCTCCGAGGCCCAGAGCAGGTCGTACATACATATACAGAGGCCAATCTTCTGGATGACCCTGTTGGCGTACTTTGCGTTGATGTTGTCCTCGATGGCGACGCGGCTGGCCTTTGAGAACTCGGAGGGCTTGATCTGCACCAAGTCGGCGATCTTGGTCTAGTTTGATGCTCTTGTGAGTATGCTGTGTTGGGGTGCACATAAGCCGATTGGTGTAGGGTAATTTTGCCTACTAATATGAACATTACGGCGTCCTGGTGACGTCTGCGCCTCTAGAGCCACCCTGTGTGCTTGTGTGAAAGTTGATCCTGGGTAGCCTGCCGCTTGGAGTCAGTTGCAGCTTCGAGTAGGCCCGCAGCCTCAGTCTGCCGCTGGGGAATCGATGCACTGACGATGCGTTTCCACCGCGCAACTGCCGATAGACTAGGAGTATCTCAAGTGGCCGGTGACCAGACGAGTTCAAAAAGGCACATGTGCTCTGGTCGTTTCTGAAGTCCCGGTACCGTACTCGGCGTCTGCGATGTGATTTGGTGTTGCACGCCGTCGTCGTCGTTTGAAAAAGATTTAGTGGGGCTCCTCTAGATTGGTACTAGCGCACAGTGACGAGATCTTGGGAGCATCGCACTGCAAGGCGCCATGTCGAGGTCGTATGGAAGGTGCAGCTGCCAGGGTCTGTCTCAATGCTAGACCCCACTCCTGCGCTCTTGCCGTGTCGCAGCTTCCCGACTCGCGCGAGCTAGGACCAATCAGGGCGCGCCGGCGGTCGGCGCTTGGCATGTCAAAGCCCTGGCTGAGAGCGAGGCTAGGGGCCTCTACACACGGCCGACCCTGTTTTGAAGCGCCTCGAGGCTCGAGCTAGCCGTCCATCCATGCCTCCGCCTGCTTTCGTTCTCTTGCAATCAGCCGTTCCAAGCCAAACCACTGCGTGACGGAGCCAGCTGTGTGGAGCGGCAACAATCATTGGATCCAGGCACAAAGCTATTGGTCCACGCGCATAGGTAGATACATCCGGTCCCGGCTTGATCTGCAGCAGAACGGAGGTCCCAGCTTCGGCCGCGTCCTGTGGACGTGCGCACGCCTTCATAAGAGTCAGCATCCTTGCCCTCCGTCGGTCAGCAGGCGACTCCCTGTCTGCTTCAAAGTTTATTTCGAATCCTCCCGTGTGCTCCTGGTCGAGCTTGCCCTTCGTCAACCTCGGTGCTGCGCCTTCTCCAAGCCTCTATTTCCCATCCTTTGACGCCGACACTTATGGCTGCGTAGCCATCTCGACATAGTGCAAACAATCTTGGCCAACAAGCCGCCTCACGTCAAGATGAGCAACTACCCATACGGGCCGCCTCCGCCCCCGCCACCCCCAAGCGCAGCTCCCTCGACGACGTACCCTGCGTACGGCCAGAGCCAGGGCTACCAAGGGCATCACCAACAACGCGGTGGTCATGGGGGATCTGGACACGGCAGGGGCCGTGGCGGAGGATACCACCACAATCAGGGCCGCCGCGATTATGGACAAGCATACCACGATACGTCGAGCTATGCCCAGACAGCAAACCCGTCACCGGCTTACGGGGCACAACCGCCAAATGGATACTGGTCAGGCGCGCCGCAAGGAGGTCCTGCGATACCACATCATGCGAGTCCTCCGCTTCCTGCATCCAACTATCATCCAAACTACGCGCCGCAGCCGTACAATGCAGTCCCCCAACCCTATCAACCACCATACCCGAGCCAGCCCGCTGCTTCCCCATATGGTCAAGGTTATCCATCAAACCCGCATGAATACTCGTCTCAGCAACCATGGAGTGGAGGGGCGCAGCCATACCCTTCCCAGTCGGCTAGAGGGGGCCGCGACGGGCATCACGGTGGTCGTGGAGTGCCCAAACCTGAGTTCAACTCAATGGGACCTCCAATACGTATGGGATTTGACAAGCCGACTGATCCACCGAGGCCCGGAAACAGCTACGCACCTCCTTTCCCGCCTTCGACATTCCAGCAGTCCTCGCTACCAAATCTTCCGGCACCGGTGCATCAGTCCTATGGCGGCAGACCGCAGTCTCAACACGGGCACAACAATCGAGGTCGCGGGGGCCACAAGCACAACAATAACAACAGGGACAACAACAAGAATCGGCCCTCAAACAATTCCAACGACAAGGCTCGCCCGAACGGGCAACGCCAACAAGGAGACCGCGCCCAGCACCAGAAAGCAGATCATACGAACACGAAAAAGAAGAAGAGGAAGACGAACACGCTCGGCTTGACACCTGGTGATGGCAATCAGTCGGACGAAGGACCTGAGGATGATGAGGCCTACATGCAGGACTATCTAGGCCAGGAAGTGCCAAAGTACGTATCCCTATTCCTGCACCATCCTCTTCAGATATTGACCATGTCACAGTATCCCCGACATGACCGCCTGGATTGCCGCCCGCAAGGCCAATTATCCGACAAAAGCTCGTGTTGCCGAGAAGAAGGCTAGCGAAGACGCGAAGAAGGCCGAGCAGGCCGCTGCGGCCAAAACTGCTGCTCCAAAGGTCGATCCAATGGTGGAGAAGGCGGAAAAGCTCCGCAGACAACTTGAGCGTGTTGAGCGGAAGCTGGAGAAGCGTAAGCGCGAGGCCAACGACGAAGGCGATGATATGCGCATCGACGACGACGAGGATTCTGATACAGACGACGAAGCCCCCGAGTCTATGTCAATCAGAAAGACCCCCAACGCCCCTGCTGGGGGAAATCCCGCCAGTCGTGCAGATCCTACCACACATTGCAAGTACTACGCGACTGGAGGGAATTGCGGCAAAAAGGATAAGTGCCGATTTGTCCACGACCCGGCGGTTCGCGCGAGTGCCCTTGAGGAACGCAACATGAACAAGGGTCGTATGACGCTCAAGCAGAGACTGATCCTCAACGATAAAGACCATGAAGATATGCAAGTTGTCAAGGCAATTGTGCAACTGCGCGCTGATGGACGAATGTAGGCGGCACACTTATTTGCGTTTTGACTGTGTCCCGCTTGCTAACGATGTTTTGGGTATAGCTAATCAACCACTGTCGACGGCTTCGACTGCCCGGGTTCTCCAGGGTATTTCAAACCAACGACCTGGAGCGTGGGCATGAGCATGGCTAGTGCCAGTAATTCTGTTCTGCCTACCAGCAGGAACCATGAGCCTGGACAGCGGCGTACACCTTGAGGTCCAACTTGACAAGCTGTTGCATTGATCACCGACAGGCCACAAAGCAGAGTCTGCGAAACAGACGAAAGGCTATAGCCGAGTATTTGCTTGCGGTCAAGCATGCGGAAGTCCGCGACCCAGGTCAAGAGTCGACCTCGTCACGCGAGCGTTTGAGTTTGTGGGGTTTGTTACCGCGATGGTGAGCAACACGGCGATCGACTGCTTCAGTGCGAAGTCCCGTCCAGCCTTTCCTGAAGCATACCCACCCTTCCCTGCGGCTTCCGAGAATGACTCTTCTCGCCAATAAGCTACGAATCCCACACCGACTGGCGCCAGTCTAGCAACCGTTTCGAGCTGCAATCACGCCCCCAAGTCCCTTTTACGAGTTGTACTCGGGATTGCAATTGTGTTTTCCGCACCTCTGATGGAGAACTCTGGCCAGCCTTGCCGAGTTCGGTCATAAGTTTATAGATCGGGCACTTCGGAGAAGCGGACATGTGTCCGCGTCTTGCGTGCTCGGGGCATAGGCAGCTTGAATGAGCGCCGCCTCATTTTGTACTTGTCAAGCAGTATCACGAATTTCATTACTGCGTCGCCTCTTGGCTCGTTTCCGCAACCAGCATCCCGCATTTCTCCTGCTTCCTCGGCTCCCCCTTGACGAGCCCCTGGACCAATCCCTCCACAACCCAAATGACATGATTATTTCCACGCCACTCAAGCACGGCTCATACAGAGTTCGCACCGTCTTCACACCCTTCCCATTGAGCCCCAGCCTTGAAGTCACACGCTTATGCACCCGATCACCCCGATCTTCACCTCACTGCATGCGTCTGACTAACAGACTGGCCAGCCTTCGTTTTTCTAGTCATATTTGTGCACGTATTGCTATCGCGCATGAGACTGACATGTTCAACGTTATTTTTCGAGCCGACACAGACGTAGGCACGGCCCGCAGTCCGGGACCGGGTCAATCTGCCCCGACCACACACATGTCTCCAGAACGAGGTCGACGTGCTAAGGTGGCGTGTGGTCAGAGCGAAGCAACCCAAGGACGACTCCCTTACATTGCTCAACATGCCCGAGAGTTTTTCGAAGCCATGTGGTGACTGAATCTGCCAGAGGTAGTGGACCAGAAGTCTGTCTCTCAACCCTGAGTCATATGTGCCATGCTTCCTTGATTGATAATGCCCCTGTCCATTTGAGGTCGCTAACAAAGCTGTTTTCGGGATGGTTTCAAGCCAACCACTTGAGAAGCATTTCCGCAACACAACCTCTTGGCTTGCCCCCTGTGTTGTCATTAAACGCTACACCAGCACTGTTGCTCCCTGAGTCCTGGGTCAAATCCATGCTGGTCACGCAAATAGCACAGCGCACTTGTTTGCTTTTTCAATTACTATCTAGCTCCCACGGCGTCATTCTGACTGTTTCCTCATAGGGGGTTTGTCAATTGCTGATTTCATTGCTCTTGAAACCCTTTTCATTATATTCTTCCTTTCCATAATTGGGAAAGTATACTGTGTACACCTTGCTTGCACACTGACTTGAGTTCACTTTTCTCAATCTCAGTCGGGTTAAGGGCGAGGGTGTCCGCTGAAGAAGAAAGGGGTCTTTGTTGTCCTTACCACTTGGGCTCCTACTAGCAGTGGCACTGACCGGCATGCGCAACCGCCTGATTATGCTCATGTCAGCCCGCTACTCGCCGGCTTTCCAGACTGATGCTCACTGGACCGCTCCCCGAGCTGCGTTGCCTCATAAGTAAGCGTAGGTGCAGCCTAACACTGAGCAGCGTGATCACAGGGGAATGAGGTGAGTTTTAGGATGGGATCAAAGCGCTTACAGCCACGATGTCTGCCATCTGATATGGCGGCTTCCAGCCAAGATTGGTGTTGACGCCTCTAGCCTACACTGAAGATCTATGCAGCTGGGTCGAAGATTCAAGTGTAGAATTATCCGGTATATCATTTCCAAGGAAAAAAGAAAAGAAGTATGATTTGAAAGCAAGAAAAAAAAAGCGCTTCTACTCAATGAATGAGTTTGCTGGCCCAATGCGATGTACTCATTGATAAAGCTGAGGGCTTCCTGGACAGTGATGATGTCTAAACCGGTGGAGTGTGGTCGAGATGTACACCGTCTGCTTGGGCTTTCTGACACCCTGCTGTTTTTTCTACTGAATTTTGATAGTTCGGGGGTTTCTGGCCTTCTTTTTGCCTGTTTCCTTTTTTCTTCTTTCTTTTTTCAACCTTCTTGCTTTTTTCCTGGCAGGATAATTTCGAAGGGCCATAACGTCAATGTTCACTGCGCCCGCGAAGCGAAGGCGCGGCGATGGAGGATCGATCGCAGCACCACCGGAGACGAGCTCAACCCGATCAACATGAAGCTCTCAGTCCTATACTGGAATACCGCAGCAAGCAGAGAGAACGCAGCGCTCGCGCTAGAAAGCCGCGCCGAGTACGACGTCATCGCGATACAGGAGCCCTGGACCAACAGGGACACAGGGGGGGTCTACTGCCCCAGCCGCTGCCGCTACATAGCGGTCTACGAGGGAGGCAGGGCGGCGCTATATGTGCATAAACGACACGACCCAGCTACGTGGGCGCAGCGCGGGGGCACCGACTGGTGCGTCGTTACCTTCGGAGCCGAGAACGCGGCGATACATATATGGTCCATCTACTCCCCGAACCAGACGGACCCGGAGAGCTGGGACAGCCCACTACGCGACCTCCCCGAGATGGCGCCGCGTGGGCGGCACGTACTCGTAGGGGACTTCAACACCCACCACCCGCTCTGGGACTTGCACGGCCGGACCTCTATCCACAGCGCCGCGCTCCTCGAGTTCGCGCAGCGCTGGCGCCTCGAGCTAGCCACGCCCTACGGGGAAATCACACGACAACGCCACGGTCATAGGGATTCAACGATTGACCATACGTGGGCCTCCAGGGACATCAGGGTCGCCTTCGAGGGGGATGCAGGGCTTGAAGGGTCCGACCACCGTTCGCAGCTTATACGCATCGCGGAAGCCGCGGTCCCGCAGGGCCCGGAGCCGGAAGGATGGAACTGGAAGATGCTCGACAAGAAGATGGCCCAACTCGAGGCGAAGCGACGATTCGAGGGCATGCCGCCCCCGCTGCTCACGCCCGCCCAACTCGATAGCAGGGTGGACTGGCTAATCCTACAACTTGAACAAGTCGCGAACGCGGCGGTACCGAAGCGCACACGATCTAAAGGCGGGGGGCGGACTGGTGGTCACCCGAGGTGGAGGATGCATGCGACAAGGCCAAGGCGGCCAGGAGAGAGTATACAGCACGACCCGGCCCCTATACTTGGCAGAGGTGGCAAGACGCGACACGGAACCAGAAGACCACGATCGGCGACGCGCAGGCGAGGCGGTGGCGCCACTGGCTCGCTGTCGCATCGGAAAGGGACCGCGATATATGGGCTCTCGAGAAGTGGGCGCGGCTCCGAAGCTCCGCCCCGGCAGACTCTGGGAGAATCCCCGACCTACAGCGCAGCGCAGACGATACGCAACTAGCGCGCACGCACGAGGAGAAGGCTGGGGTTCTTGCGGCCCGATTCTTTCCAGCACCTATTATCACACACGGAGCTAATGAGCCGGGACCTACCCCGGAGAAATCCATCGAGATCGAGAGGCGGGTGAGCACCGAGGACGTAGCGCAGAAGCTCCAAAAGACGTCGCAGTGGAAGGCCCCTGGGGTTGACCTTATCCCGTCAGGCCTACTCCTACACTGCGGACCACCGCTGCACCAAGAACTCGCATACATCGCGGACGCCTCCTTCGCACTAAGCTATTTCCCGCAGCGCTTCCGATGCGCCCGCGTAGTAGTTATACCTAAGCCTGGAAAGACGAAGGCGCAAAAGGGAACGGTAGCAGCCTGGCGGCCCATCTCGCTTACTAGCACAATTGGAAAGCTCCTTGAAGCGATACTAACTGAGCGAGTCGCACTCGCTGCGGAAACGCACCTTCTGCTCCCACAAGGCCAGATGGGCAACCGCGAGGGCCGCTCCACTGAGCTCGCGGTCAAGCTCGTCCACGACGTAGCGCATACGACGTGGGCACGAGGCGGCCTCGTCTCGCTACTTCAGCTCGACATTAAGGGGGCCTTCGATACGGTGGACCATATAAGGCTTCTCCAGGTGCTCCGACGAAAGGGATTCCCCCAGTGGGTAGTCGGATGGGTGCGCAGCTTCCTCGACTCGCGAACGGCGCAACTCTGCTTCGACGGTGCTACATCAGATCCCCTCCCTGTTCGGGCCGGGGTACCCCAGGGCTCACCGTTATCCCCGGTCCTCTTCCTGCTCTATATCTCCTCGCTATATGATGCACTAGCCGCGCACTCGCAGCTAGTAATCGTCGGCTACGCCGACGACACAAACCTAATGGCCGTCGGCACGGACCCGGCCGATACCGTTCGCGCCCTCGAACGGGCCTGGACTACCTGCAAGGTCTGGGCGGAGGAAATGGGGATGGCGTTTGAGCCAGCGAAGAGCGAACTCATGCACATGACACGCGCACACGCGGCGCCTTCGACGAGCGTTCGCCTTGACGGCGTGGAGGTACAACCGGTCGACGAGGCCAGGTTCCTTGGCGTCTGGCTGGACAGGAAACTCCGGTGGACGGGCCATATAAAAAGGACGAAGGCGAAGATGAAGTCCCAGACCCTCGCGCTCACGAGGCTAGCAGCGACTACGTGGGGATGTAGCCTCGCACGCGCGCGGCAGATATACCTTATGGTAATACGTAGCGCCCTGTCATACGGCGCCAGCGTCTGGCACACCCCCACACCAAGGACCGGCAAGAAAGCGACGGGCCCGAGCAGCGAACTCGCATCGATACAGTCGGAGTGCCTCCGCGTTGTCTGTGGGGCGCCGCGATCAACCCCTATAAAGTACCTTGAGGCTGAAGCCTGCGTCCCCCCCTGGACCTACACCTAAACTATATCGCCGCAAGCTTCCAGGAACGGATCGAGCGGAAGGATAAAGAGAAGCTTATACGCATCGCGTGCGCGCGAGCGGCGGGTATCGTAAACCGCGCGCTCTGGGCACGCCGGAAACGGAACTCAACGGCGATCAACCTACTGCCGAAACCTGACGAGGTCCTGACGCACCGAGCGGATGCACTCCGCGCGTGGACCCGAGGGTCCTCACCCAAAATCGCACTCGCTGAGGGGTGGGAGGACCGCTGGAGCGCTGCGCGAGCGCAGGGCGCCGGACCATGCGCAGAAGACCGCGCGGCGACTATCAAAAGGCACAAGGGCCTCCTGAAATTCGAGTCCTCCATTCTCATCCAACTACGCACCGGACGACTAAGCACCCGCGCGCTCCTCTACAAGATAGGCGCCCCCGGCGTGACGTCGCCGCTCTGTCGGTGCGAGGAAGCCCTTGAGACTGGGGAACACATCCTCCTCCACTGCGACGCACTTAGAGCGAGCCGGGAAAAGATGTGGCACGACGCCGGTAAGTGCCCGCCGCGCGGGAGCCGCGAGTTAGCAGCGCTACTAGACCAGCCGCAGCTTAGCAAGAAGGTGGCCCGGTGGCTCATCGCGGAGAACCTACTCCCCCACTTCGCTAGAGCGGGCGAGGAGGCCGCGGCACAGGAACAGGGGACGCGGGAAGCACGGGAGGACGAAGCACAAGCGAGAATGCAGCGAACACGAAGCGCAGGCGATGCGGGCACAGGGGCCCCGGGCTGGTTGCCCCGGATACTGAAGCCGACTTACACGACGACCTCCGCGAGAGGGAGCGTCGCTGACGATGCGCCCGCGCAGCGCTGACGGGGCGCACGCGCCCCTAGAAATCACACATACCCAGGAGCTGCACCGGCTTAGAGGCGTGGAGGGAGGCGACCAATCTCGCCCAAAGAACGTCTGGCTGGTGAGAGCCATTCGTGATACGCGACGGAACCACGCAGCGAAGACGCCGCTTAGGCGTACCGAATACGTAGCGTATATTTTTTATCCGGCTTCGGTACGGTTTATTATACGATAGATTTGTAGGCTCGCGAAACCTAACTAGGTAGCGCGTACTAATAATAATAATATAATAATTTCGAAGACAATGGCATCCAGGGTAATGGAGCAGCGCATTATTCTTTCTGTGCATTTTTTCAACTTGATTCCCCCCACCCTATATTTCACTTTTTAACTTGGACGATCGAGGGATCGCGAAAACGGAATACTACAAAAAGGAAAACAGTCGACTTAACGCAGAATGCAGATATCCCATAAACGAACGAGACGAGAAAATCACAGACAGGACGTTGGTAGGCAGTTGTAGTGAAGAGTTGTTGTTGTCCTCTCAGGTAGAAGAATCCACACTACTGCCAGTCTCTCAGGCGCGAGAATAGAGAAGTCGATCCGCAGACATGTCAGGCATTGCTGCTATGGGGATTGTCGGGATGGGAATATGGGTGGTATGCAAGCAATCTTCTAATTGGCCCTGTGCTGACTGACGGATATTTGAAGTTGTGCACTGTGCGCCGATTTGTATATAAGGCGGATTGCATTTAAGGCAGAAATGGGAGTTGGCTAAAAGGATTCGGGTCAAACACTGGCGGCTGCTGGGGACGAGGAGCGACGGTGTGGTCGGACCATCGTGTGTGTAAAGATACAGAGGGCTTTAGCGATTGCACTTCTAAAGGGGGGAGTTGATTGTATTACAATAGCTCGCCATCACGGACGGGCAATTCTTGGCAAGAATTATGAATACCACTCAACGCTGCTGTCTGAGTTCGATCATCTCCTCAAGAACACTTTTGTCGATACATGCTTCACAGATCGGGTTGTATTTTCGAAACGCGCCTATTTCGTGATACTGCATGAGTCCTACTCTGCTGCCTTTTTGTCCCCCTTCGCTATCCTATTCTCAACTTGTTTCAGACTTGCAACGATTTTTATGACGCAGATTCTGCAGGACAATACAATAACGCCATACTCCAGGTGGATGCTAATGCAGGGCACATTATGCGCTGACAACCAAAAACCCCCATTTGATATACTTTCTATACGCTCATGGTATCGGACAGCAGCGCTTAGACCAGCAAAACAGCGTTGACGCAACCGTCGTCTGGACAAAATGAGTTAGCTTGGGTACAACTTTCCCAGGGAGCCAGCCGAAACACGGCGAACGAGACGGAAGACTTACTCTCTGGCGTATTTGTGACTTGGGCATAGCGACCCCACGCAACCTTTCCGCTGGCAGTGACGAGACCGAGCTCGCTGACGTTGACCTCGAGGATGGTACCCTTTGTGAGGACACCGAGCTGGGTGTAGAGCGGGTTCGAAGGGTTCTTCTTGACGCTGAGGATCGGCAGCTGGACGGTGACGCCGAGCTCCGGGTGGGTGACGTTTGCCTTTTTGTAGCGCAGACCCATGGGCCGGATGAAGCGCTCGTACTTGACGGGGCGGCGGGTGAAGTCGGGGCCGACAAAGGTGGGCTTTGTGACCATGCGCTTCCAGCCCTTCTGCTTCATCTTCTTGCCCGTGTTGATGACCTTGAACATCTCCTCCTCGCTGATGCCGCGGACCTTTGGCAGGGGCACCTGGAACTTGGCGGCCTTTTCGGCACGCTTGTTCTTGATGGCGCTCGAGAGCTGCTTGGCCTGCGTGGGGTTGCTGCGGTCGAGCAGGTAGTTTGGCAGGGGCGTCGTGGGGTCCTTGTCCGAGGCCGACTTGACGTTGCGCTCCTCGTGCGCCTTGATCTGCTTCTTCATCTGGATCTTCTCCTTGTGGCGGCGCTGCTGCATCAGCTTGGCCCGCAGGCCGCGCAGGTTCTGCGCATCCTCGGATGCCTTGTGGCCCTCACGTGCCGTCTTCTTGCGCTGGCGCTCGTCGTGGTCGAGCCGGCGGCCGTGCAGCTTCCGCCACCGCTCCATGTACTCGTTCTGAGGCATCGCAGGTGCTGGTGCCCTCGAGAGGGACTCGGGTCGTCGCTAGAGGCGGTCGTCGGGGAGTGTTCTGGATCAGGCTCTGCCTATGCCTTGCTATCGGGCGTGTACGAAGGGGCTGAGTTGCTGAATGGGGGTGGTGGTGGTCTGAAGGCGAGCTGGAGTGATCCGGCTGGCGTATCACGGATTGGAAGCTGCTCTGGCGAGACCCGCGTCCATGGGAAAAAAAGTAGAGTGGCGGCAGGCTGGGGTTGCCGTATCGTTATCGCTGAGCGGAGAAAACGTCGAGAGTGGGGGCAGGGTCCATGCACAAGTCCAGTGCTGTGCACAACCTGTGCATCCAAGTGCACAACAGCCGGGACGGACCCACCCAAATTTCTCAACGTCGCATGCTCTCGATTTGCAGCATCGTCGTCCACGGTACTTGGTTGCCCTTGGCCGCATCTGTCGACACAACTTGCCACCTCGGTCGACTTCAGCACCTTCAATTCCTCACAAGGGCCTGGCTTGTCACAGTCCCGCAAGTCAGCAGCCGTCATGAGCAGGTCAATCCTCCGCTCCGTCCTGGAGCTGCGGACGCCCATCACCCGCCTCCCGCCCTCGTACCTGCTGCCCACCTATGCCCGCAGCATCTCCAGCACAGCAAAGGCCGCAACGCCAGCCGCCGCGACTGCTCCGGCCTCCAGCTCGTCATTACCGCCCGCCAACCCCCCAGCAGTGCGGCACCCGCCCTCCCTCCAGACCAGCCCGGCGCCGACGCCCTCCTCGGCAAAGCAGAGCATAACAGAGCTCCTCCCGCTCCTGCGCGCCCAGCCGAACCACTACATCACCGCCCACATCCACGGCTTCCCCTACCTCGTCACCGAGGGCGACCAGGTCCGCCTGCCATTCCGCATGCCGGGCGTGCTCCCCGGCGACGTCCTGCGCCTCAACCGCGCCAGCGTGCTCGGCTCCCGCGACTACACCCTCAAGGGCGAGCCGTACATTGACGAGGGCCTGTTCGAGTGCCGCGCCACCGTCCTGGGCACCGAGTCCGAGCCCCTGCGCGTCAAGATCAAGACGAAGCGCCGCAACCGCCGCTCCCAGCGCGTCACGAGCAAGCACAAGTACACCATCCTGCGCATCTCGGAGCTCAAGGTCGTATAATGGGAACATGGCAGAGGCAGGAATGTCAAGAGTAAAGCGCCTTCTCCCTCCGGGCGGGATGCAACCAAGCCTGCGCTCGATGTATTACTAGCACATAGCACGGGAGCCAGCATGAGAAGAATTTGAAGGCGAGGGGCTTATAGACTGGGTGGAAGGTATTAAGGCTTGAAGCAAGTCCTCGAGAAGGTCGAGGTACGGTGGAAGCTCACAAGCGCTATACCGGCAGGCTGTTGCGAGAGACACTGCTGTAGTTCTTGACCGGCCGCTATTGTGAAAACCACTACCAGCGGGAGAACCTGGAGTACAGGCATTGTAAAAACACATTGGAAATCATATGTACACAAATCAACTATGACGCCAGCCCTACGGCCTGGCAAGCCTCTATGGTCCTTCTTGAAATGCATTCTCGCCCATGATTGATGGTCGTAGAGAACTCTCTCAATCAGGCTTGGAAATCTTTTCAATCATGATCCGGACAATGCACCTCAGCACAACTTGATAAACGGTGGAAATGTGATAGTCATAATTATGGGCATCAAAACGAATGTCAAGAAGAGGCGCTAGAAACATGCTATAGATACAAGAACTCCCAACGTTGGCCAAGCGCGTCCAGGTGGTAGGTGACGGGTTGCATAGCCTTTGTGAAGAAAGACTCCTGCAGGATAATATCCAAGAATTTGAAAACAACGCGAACGGACTCCACATCGGAGTACAGGTATCAATCGCAGGAAATGAAGCCAAACTCCATAGCTATGAGGCTAGAATGAATAAAACGACCTTTTTCGGCGTCAAATGATGCCATTAAAATCATCCCCAAGGGCATTGGGAAGCGAGACTGGCATCTTCTCCCCTTGTAAGTATTGATTATGACGTGCTGGCTCTGAGTGACCGCGGGTCCTTCCCGGACGCTTTCGCGACGCTGTTCCAATAGGCTTGAGGCCAGACACTCATGGCTTCGGCATCAGTCGGCATCCGCTCTCTGCACCTAGCAACGACACTTTGGACAATGCGGCCGAGCAGATCTTCTGAGATTGGCAGCGACCCTTGCGGAGTCTCGACTGGGTAGAGAAAAGGATCCGAGAAGGACAAAAGCTCCTGGCACGTGGGCCGGACATGCTGATCGCGGTTGAGGCAGCGTTTCATGGTTCGCAGCAGGCTGAGCGGGACGGGAACGTCACCGATACCGCGGTCACGGAACTCGATGGGATATTGCCAATTGATGATTGCGTGGCAGCGGGCCATCTGGTTCGGGATGTGACCAAAGGGCGACTGACCGTAGACCATCTGAAACAGGATGCAGCCAAGACTCCATATGTCGCTAGGCTTGCCCAACTTTACAAGTTTGGGCCGAACGCCGTTTGTGCCAACTCTACGGGAAGCATTCGGGTCGGCTGTGTTCGAGTCAATGAGGCTCTCCGGGCTCATGTAGCTCGGGGTGCCAACTTGCGTCTCGCGATGCACATTGACGGTCTCTTCGGTTTGAATGGCGTTGGCGATGCCAAAGTCAATCAGCTTCAGACGACCCTGCACCAACACGAAGTTGGCGGGTTTCAGATCCGAGTGCACGATGTCATGCGCATGAACAGCGGACAGGCATTCGAGCATTTCCTGCCAATAATAACGAACGAAGACGGGATCAAACTTCGCTTCCTCTGGTGAGAGGCGGATGCGAAGGAGCGTGTTAAAGTCCATTTCGCCCATCTCCATGAGCTGCATTATGATTGTCAGTCTTGTGGTTCTGCATCCGGGGCACGCCTGCTAGGGAGTAACTTACCAAGCTCAGAACCTGTTTCTCTTCGTTCATGTCGTAATCGAAGAGTGTGACAACTCGGTCGACCGAGGTGAGCTTCTTGAGGAGATCGATCTCGCCCTTGAGGCCCCGAACAGTATTCTCATCCGCCCCTTCAACCGACACACGCTTCAGCGCAAACATCTTTCCGTTGTCAGCCGCTACGCGGTAGACCTTGCCGCTACCTCCACGACCAAGACAATCCAATCGCGTGTAGCATTTGCCGTTGACTTTCATGTAGTTGCGTCTCTTGGCGGCGTTGGCGGTTGTGGCAGTCGTGGCAGCTCCAGCGGTAGAAGTGGCAGCATCCAGGATGGACATCTTGGGAGGTGGCGCCGGAGCCGCCCGGCGCGGTGTGTTCTCACTCAGCGCGTGTAGAGCTCTGCGGGCAGGAGACGCGGGGCGCAAGCCGTTGCCAAGTTCTGCATTCTGTAGACGACTTGGGATTTTGACGATTGGGTCCTTGTCGAACAGATCGCTTGCAGAAGCAGCGGGCCTCTTGAAACTCGGCGGCGCTTCATTTTCTTGATCATGTTGAGACGGCAGTTCGACCTTGCGAACTGGCAGCTGGTGGTTTGGGATCTGGATCTCGACGAGTCGCTCAGGCGAAGCACTCTTGATCTGGAAGTCCACCCTCTCTGCGAGAAGTGAGCTCCGCAACTGCGCGGCCTGCTGTGCCGCTCTTGAGCTGACAGGACTGCCCGAAGCAACCCGATCCGGAGCATAGTATGAGGATGCAAAGTTGTCGAGAGGCTCGAGGTCAATGAGATCCTGCTCCTGGGCCTCGGCATCCTGACTATTCTGCAGGACATCGCCCTCGATCGGGCCTTCTTCGCTCTGTCTCGCGCGCCCGCGACGTGCGGGGCCGCTCATGAAGCTTCCGGGGACTTTGGCGATTCTCTTCACTCGCACAGCACTCTGTGCGACCTGACTCTCGTCGACTCGGTTGCGTGAACTGTTGGAGCCTGGACGAGAAATGCTTCCTTGATTCGCCTGAGGCTGTTGTCTAGAGACTGTGGATGGTGCCGGGAAGTCAATCTCCTCTTCGTTCGAGTGTTGCGAGCGGAACGACGAGGCTTCGGGACGAGTGGACGAGGAGACTGCTGAGCCGGATCCCGAGCCGACGGAACGACCGCGACCACCAGACGACCCGACGGCGATTCTGACTATTCTGTTCTGTTGTGATGGCGTGTTGACCTCTCTCTCTCTGACTTCTGAGACATTCGCTCTGTCTTCGACGACGGAGCTATCTGCGTTTGCCGAACGATCATGGGATTGTGACGCGGACAGCGATGCATTCCGCCGCTTGGAGGGCTCAATAGGGCCCCCGACCGCTGATGCGGTGCTGCCCCGTCCGGAGGTGGCACTGAGCCTCACGATACGTTTCCGGTTTCTGATTGGGCTGTTGTCTCTGCTCGCACTTCCCTGGTCACCAGCATTGCGTACTGGCGAGTTGGGTTGAGATGACAATTGTGCACTACTAGCGCGTGTGCTGCGGCGCACTTCCCCTGAGGAAGTGGCAGATGAACCCAGAACACTCCGTCTCTTGACTGGCTTGTCCTGGTCTGGTACCGCGGGTGACGAAGCTCGATAAGCTTGCGCACGCGTGCGAGTCATCCGGCCGTGGCCGACATCAGATTCAGGACCATTGTCGTTGAGCAGAGCCTTGGTGATTGCGCTCAGCTTCATGGGTACAGGGATCTCGTCGTCTGAACTCTCATGGTGCTCGTAGGACGACTTGGACGCGTACGTCGGGGCTGCGGAATATGATTCTGCACGCGTCGGCTGGGCGCGCGACGGCGCTCTCCTCAATCCACTTCGCAATGACGGCTTCCTGCTTGGCGCTGGTCCAGCAGGAGTCGGGGAGGCGGTTGTCGCCATGAAGATCGACTTGGCTGATTTCCCGCTTGAGCAATGTACGGGTTTGTTGTGATGGTTGTGGTGTCCAAAAGTTGCGTGTCAAGGAACGCCTCGTGTGCGCGTGCTGTGAGCGAAGGCCAATGTTTAAAGTATGCTGGACGTGTTGCAGATTCCCATCGCCACCAGAACGTTGGGTTGAGATGTCGTGAGTCTGCTTGTGCAAAATTTGGGGGGTCCCAAGATTGTTAGTCGCGTCACTCCTCATCCGGCGAGGGAGCCGTTGACGAACATCCCTGGCCCTGGCTTGTTGCTTATGCGGGCTCTCGGTTGCTCAGGGCAACCACGCCAACCTTGAGCCTTGCACACCACTGCCCCACATGTGCAGTTGGCCCCGCCCGTAGTTGCATGACCACCTTGCAGGTTAGTGCATCTGTGCACAAATTGATCATGGCTTCTTGTGCATGTACTTGTGGTCATGCACAACCTTTGTCAGAATTATGTTCGTATTTATACCCACGCATCGAAGATTATCGTCTTTGTCCAAGACGCTGATTCCAGCTGTTTGTATTCATTGGAATTTTCAGCTTCTGTGAAGCCCACGAAGAAGATCTTAGACTAGCCGCAAGCAATGGCCGGCCCGACCATGAAAAGCCGGCTGCATTTGCGCGTCACACGCAACCCACAGCCAGCTATCACGGTGCTGCCTGCCAGCCTGTAGGAGCCCTTGCGTGGAAGAATTACATGCACGGTAGCAATTACACCACGATCGGTAAAGTTGCAGGTGGTGTTCAAGTGCGCGTAGTAGTGTGAAGAAGAAGGTCTGATTTGTGATAATCCGGGTATCTAGATTCGTAGCCGAAAACCATGCCTGAGTACTCCGGGTAACCAGTTGCGCCCGGTGTCAGGGCCGAAAATTGCAGACCATTTGCCCAAGACTCCTTCAGCACCCATGAACTTTTTGTTTGTTTGATTGAGTTCAGGAAAGCGCTTAGTCGAAGAGACCGAAGCCCATGTCGTCGTCGGACTCCTCCTTCTCCTCCTCCTTCTCCTCCGCGGCGGGAGCGTCGGCAGCACCGGCGGCGGCGCCACCGGCAGCAGGGGCACCAGCACCGCTGCCGCCGCTGGGGACGGAGGCGAGCTTGGCAGAACCCTCGGAGATGAGCTGCAACACACGTTAGTTTTTTGCTGATCACGATCTGGGAGCAGGTTTCGAGGCACATACCTCGTTGATGTCCTTGCCCTTGAGCTCGGAGATCAGGGTCTCGAGGCGCTCCTCATCAGCCTCAATGCCGACAGACTCGAGGACGGCAGTGACATCGGCGGCAGAGGGCGAGGTGTTGCCACCGAGGCCGAGGAGAAGGTAAGCTGCGAGGTGCTTCATTTTGTTGGTTTTACTATAGCCGGGAACAATTTCTCTGGTCAGCCAAATCCGCCTCGAATTTTGAGATTGGTCGTGCGCCGAATATGCCACGGTATCGAGCGGCGTGGAGGGGTTGACGTGTGTTGTTCTCGGGAATACTCACGGAGAGTTTTGTTTGCTGAACACGAGAAAGCAATCGATTTAACCGCAAGCCTGGGCGGAGACTGAATCTTCGATGTTCTACGGTCGGTGGGATGGTGGAATGGGGACAGAAAAGTTGCTGTCACTGACAAGCTGCGCCGTACAAAAAGTTCACACAATTTGGCACAGCCGCCCGCGCAGAACGCCCTTCCTGTGGGCGGGGCTAGGCTCATTAGGGCTGTTCGTGGAGAGGTCCGTGCACTCCGACCTTCTCAGCCACACCTCTCCCGCCTCCCAACTTCACCTTGGGCCGACGGCAGCCCAGCATTGAAGTGGATCCCAACAGCTGTGGCTGGTGCCTCTCTGAGAGGGCCAGGCCAACCACCTGGGCAGTCTCAGAACAGCAGGCAAGCGGACTTGCTGTTCGCTGGCATACATAAGTCGATGCCTGACCTGAACTAATCAAAATGTCACATTGGTAGCATGTCATATGCATGTTGTTGAAGGGGCACCTGGGAGCCAAACGCATCAAAATGCTACGTCCTTCTGTGGCGTGTGACCGTATAGACAAATCATACAAATAGGAAAAGACGAGGTTCATCTGCTTCACCCTCGTGTCCTGACATGCGTGAAACGTGAATTGGAACGTATTTGACCGAGCTAGCTGGACATCGTCGTAGGAGTTAAAGTTGTGACGAGGAAGTTGTGACGAGGTGCCTTGGATGCCGGATCGGACAGGCGTCCTGCGTCTCACACGGACGGTGACTAATCCGGTGGGTCCCCCTCGTGCAAACGTTTGCTCTAGGCCTGGCCACTGGCTTCTCGCTGCGCCGCGCTGCCCACCTGCCCGTGGACGCCTTCGATGCCCGTGGACCCGGCACGCTGTCGCACGGCTACCAAACAGCCTGCCTGGCCTCTTTGTCAACATCATCCTGCCACGCCATCGATCGTATCGAGCACCGGCTCGCCAGCCTCGACACCCCTCTGCCAGAGGCAACTCCTCATCGCTACCATCGCCAGGCATCAGCGGCCACAGTCACCGGCCTCTTGCTTTCGTTTGGCGTAGCTCTGACGTTATCAGCAGAGAGTTGGGCGCACCAGTCTCAATCTCTCGTCTTTCCACAGTCGATCCTGGACATGCATCGGTTGGCCAACTCATGATCTTGGTCCGATCGTGTGCTCGCCTGCAACGGCCTGTATCCTCAGCAAAGCCATAACTGTTTGCGGCACGCCGTCGGGCTTCGCACCGCCATCATGCCGGTCCGTTGTAGACATCTACCTTCTCAGTCCGTGTGCATGTGTCATCTCTAACCACAGAATCATTCCAGATCGGTGACCTCTTGGCCGAAATCTCTGGCAAGCCGTCCTCGCCGAGCACAGGCACCTCCGCTCCTCCAGCACCAGCAGGTCTCAAGCGAAAGATCTCTGCATCAAGTTCGCTCACATCGAATATCGCCAAGAAGCCCGCGACAGAGTCGAGCGCAGCACTGGTCAGACCGAAGGCGCCGAGTTCTGGAGGCCCTTCGACTTCTTCCAGCGTCCGCAGAACAGATAGCGAAGTGACAGCCTCTCAACGCCCGAATGGATCAGCCTCTGGACCGCCAACGATATCAAGGAATGGAGACCTCGGCCATGCGCAGGTCCGTAGGCATGGTCCTGACACATCGCGTCCTCGACCAATATCAACAAACAGACCTGCGCCAAGTGTTGCACCGAGGCCATCTCCGACCGCAGCGAGACCAGCACCGACGACATCAGCAGCTCCAAAGAAGGGATCATTTGCAGAGATCATGGCCCGTGGTGCCAAAGCTCAACAGACCATGGGCAAAGTCGGCGTCATACAGCATAAACCGATATCCAAGCCCATGAATAAAAAGGACAGGGACCTCGCCAAGTTGGAGGACAAGAGCACTGCCAAGCGGCCCTCTGGTAAATTCCCTGGAGTTGCTGGCAAGGTTCCGCCCACAGCGGCGCAAAATGGCTCTCGCATGTCCAGTGGCACAAAAGCCACCGTCAAAGGTGGTGCTGCTCTGGGTGAGAAGCCTGGGCCTGGGAAGAAAGGCTCCAAATCTTCCAGTGCAGAGAGCTCGGAGAAGAAGGTCAAGAAAAGCACATCAGCAACCACTGGGTACACCGGAACCGCGCGTCCAGTACCTGGTGCGACCAGAGGCGGTGCAGCAGGCCGGGCAGGCGGACCATCACGCCCTGGCCAGCGTGATCGAGGCTTGCTCGCACCACCAAAGGCTTCTCGGCGAGGTCAGGCCGACGACGACTACGACGAAGACATGGATGATTTCATCGACTATGATGATGAAGAGGCCGAAGCCGATCCGTACGGGCGACCTGGACGTTACGTCGAGTACGATTCGGATGGCTCCAGCGACATGGAGGCTGGTCTCTCTGACATTGACTCGGAGGAACGTGCTGCGGAGCGGTTTGCCCGCAATGAGGACAAGCGCGAGCAGATGCTTGAGGAGAAATTGAGGCGCGAGAAAGAAGAGCGCAAGAAGAGACTGGCTCAAGGCTATCGTTAACCAGGACGTCTACAACATTACTCGACTTCATGCGGTCGACTATTTCATAATTCTTCATCCAGGAGGGATCAGACTTTGGAAACAACCATGCGGAAGCGGATCGCAGCAACGCGATCAGGTTTGGCGAGGGCAGAGAGTGGTTCTATACTTATTTTGCATGGCATTTGGCGTTTTCAGGAACACACGGGTCACTCAGTGTCCACCTGACATGGCATGGCACGGCATTGGCAAGCATTTCCCCAACTTGATTAGGCATTTTTCAGCAGGGCCAAGTTAGACGTTCGCCCTCCTATGTATGTAGAACAGGGACCTAAGAGAGCATAGTTAATCGTTCAACCCCTACCTCCCTTTGTGATTATGCATATTCTGCTACTTATCGTTGCGAATGAAGGTAGCAAATCCACAGTAGTCGATGCTAGCAGAGAACCTACTTAAGTAGGTAACCACTCAACGTGATGTCCCCTTGCTGCCAGGCGGGCTGAAAGTGGACGCATGCCTGAGGAGAGCTTGGGAGGCCATTTGCAGGCATTACGTCGCCTCACCAATTTTCTGATACCAGGTTCGCTGGTTGAGGCGCAACAACTTGTCATTGCTGGTCCATACATTCGACGACGACCATGGTTCTCCTGCTGCGGCCTGGGTCATTCAAGGCAGTATACAGGGCAGCAGAGTTGTCAAAGTCGAATGTCTCCAGCGGGAGTTTCCCCAATGAGTAGTGTAGTGCCTTTGCTCGTGATAAAGCACGGAGGACGGCTGAGTGGGCCAGTTCCCCCTTGCCTGCAGCCCGTAGGGCTGATTGATCGGCGGCGTAGAGAATCAAGGTGACTTTGGACTTTGTGTCTTGATCACTGGCTTTTCACAAGAAAATCACTGCTGAGCATTGAATGCAGACTCGTTCTGGGCGACTCTCTCAACAAACAGACCTCGGGACGATTTATGAAGCAATTTCCGTGACAAACGCACAGTTTGTTGGTTGCTGTTGGCGCCTTCGATCCCTAGGCTAAGCGTTCAGCTGTGTGGGGCTGCGCTGTGCTGCCTGGACGTGCCTGCCTAACTTGTGGGCTGTTCTTGCCTCTGGCGGCCGGAGCCCCTGCTCGCCCTCTCGGCCTGTGTTCTCCGACCTGCCCCTGGATCCTGTGGTTGCCTATCCAGCTGGTGTCAATATTTAGATGCTCACGCGAACCAACATTTCTGTGAAGCTTTCTCATCAACTCGTCCGCTCATCAGCAGCCATTGACAGACGTGCATTTTCTCATCTCGCACCTGAAAAGCTTCAATTGATTCTTCCATAAGCAGAGTCCATCTTGGACAGTTCTCTTTGCACTTTCAAGCCATCATCATGCCACCAAGAAAGAGAGGCGCAGCAGTACCTGCTGCAGCTTCACAACCGCCAGCTGCACCTCCATTGGATGGCTGTGTCATCTCACTGAGCGGTTCGCTCCCCGGCGGCACACAAGCAGCGATAGAGAGCAAGTTCCTCAAGCCCTTGGGAGCTGCCCTGGCAAAGTCCATCACGGCTGCCACGACTCATCTCGTCACGACCGAGGACGACTACAAAAAACCATCCACCAAAGTCTCAGCTGCCAAGGGAAAGGGCTTGCCCATTGTCACATTTCAGTGGCTCGAGGACACCCTTGACAAGATGTCAAAGCTGGATGTCGATGACTACAGCCTTGATAAGCCATCAGCAGCAAGCCAGCCTGCCGCCACCTCACCTGCGCCAACAGCTGCTCCTGCCTCAACGGGTGCGAAGAAGCGCGGCGCAGCGAAGGCTGTTGATAATGACTCGCAATCACAACCTCAGAAGAAGAAGAAGGGCTCAGAGGTGAAGGATGAGCCAGCAGACGATGTCATGGAGGATGCCGAGGAGAAAGAGGCCAAGGTGGCGGAAGGCCAGATTGCGAAGTCGCTCGATGTCAAGATTCCCTTGGACGAAGGCGCCAGTCGAAACTACTTCAACTACACCGTCTACATCAATGACGACGGTGTGATCTATGATGCATCGCTGAACCAGACCAATGCTTCAAACAACAACAATAAGTTTTACCGGGTCCAGGTGAGTGATGATGGTCAGGATTTCGAGAATGGGACTATCCCTGTACTAATCCTATCCTTAGATCCTACGCAATGCTGCTGGTGACCACCGTACCTGGACACGATGGGGACGGGTAGGCGAGTATGGCACAGATAAGGCTCTGGGTGATGGCACCTTGAAAGATGCTCTTGTCCAATTCGACAAGAAATTCAAAGACAAGTCTGGCTATGCGTGGGCGGACCGAGCAAAGCCCCCGAAGTCTGGCAAGTATGCCTTCATTGAGAAGAGCTACGAGCCTGATTCGGACGACGAGGACGACGAGGCCAGCACTGACAACATCAAGGCCGAAGCCGAGGCCGATGAGGAGGAGGTTGCATCCAAGTTGCCCAAAGCTGTCCAAGATCTGATGGAGCTCATCTTTAACCAAGATTACTTCAACAAGACTATGCAGGATCTCAACTACGACGCGAAGAAGCTTCCGCTTGGCAAGTTGAGCAAATCGACTATTCTCAAGGGCTTCCAGGCTCTCAAAGATCTCTCTGCACTCCTCGATACGCCGAGCTTGGCATCTTCCCAATACAATACCTCAATGCCAGCAGCTACAGAGCAACTCTCGAACCTCTACTACACCCTGATTCCACACTCGTTTGGTAGAAACCGGCCGCCAATCATCCGAGATCAGACCATGCTGAAGAAGGAAATAGAACTTCTCGAAAGCTTGGGCGATATGAAGGATGCTGCCGCGCTAATGAAGGCTGATAGAAAGGACGTGGAGAAGATCAACCAGCTTGATCGTCAATTCCAGGGTCTCGGCATGGAGGAGATGACACCTCTCGAAAAAACAAGCACAGAGTTCAACGAGCTGAAGAACTACCTTGTGGAAACACGTGGCTTCACGCACAACGCCAATTATGACGTCCAGGAGATTTTCCGCATTGAGCGGCAAGGCGAGACTGACCGTTTCGACAAGAGCCCATTTTCTGGACCGCCTCGCGACAGAAGACTCCTATGGCATGGATCTCGCGCCACGAATTTTGGTGGTATTCTGAGCCAAGGTCTTCGCATTGCGCCACCAGAAGCACCCGTCTCAGGCTACATGTTTGGCAAGGGTATCTACCTTGCCGATATGTCCAGCAAGTCGGCGAACTACTGCTGCTCATATATCTCTGGCGGACACGCCTTGCTTTTGCTGTGCGAGGCCGAGCTTGGCGATCCCATGCAGGAGTTGACTGCTTCGTCATACAATGCCGGAGAGACTGCTAAGGCAAATGACATGATCTCGACATGGGGCAAGGGCATGACGGCTCCAAGCAAGTGGAAGGACGCCGGCTGTGTGCACCCGTCTCTTCAGGGCGTGAAAATGGTTTGTGCTCGCTGCTCGCGACATCACTGATTATATTGCTAACACTCTCCTCATAGCCCGACACGGTGGCAGCAAAACCGGGACCGACGAACGTGCCTCATGCCTATCTTCAGTACAACGAATTCATCTGCTACGACGTGGCGCAAATTCGACTTCGATATCTGCTACGGGTGAAGATGTAATACCTGCAAGGATACCTGGTCTACTGAGCACGACTGTAACAAAACATGAGGCCGAATGAGGGGCGCAAGGTTGCACAATCCTTCGTGAAAACACTTACGCTTCTGCACCGACGCGATCACATGTCGTGACCGGGCACACTGGTAACGGAGTCTGGCTCGAAATTCGCTTTCAAGCCGCGCTATTGGCACTTTTTGTAATTACTATCCATTCCACGTATGAATATCCAGGGGGGGGGGGACATAAGCAGTCACTTCGGTACTAACAAGAAGACGTCGACGAGGAAGCCGTTGCTCTCCCAAGAGAGAATGGCGAAGTGACCATGATTGAGCGAGGCATCGCGACTGCTGTGCAATCCATAGGCATGATAGCTGATGAAATAATGAGCATTAATTAATCTTGATCATGGATTGTCATCGAGGCATTAATCTCGTGTTTAGTACACAGGACAAGGCAAGCACTAGAATATCCTGTTGTTACTTGCGCGCAGCAGCTTCCAGATCTCAGGCCAAGGCTTGGGACCACAGAGAGCTTTTCAGCCGAGGACGTTGGTCGCCACACTGCTCACAAGTCTGCCCCAATATCGGTAATTGTCACCCTCACACGCCGCTTCGCATCTGCACCACTCGAGCGTCCCCCCCCCCCCCCCCTCCCCGTTCACCGATGGTGACACCAAGTCATGCTCAAGGACGTGCAACACAATAAACATGACTGTTTTCAACCTGGAAATCAGGCGACGCGTTGGCAATCCTGAGACCCCGCTGGACGGGGTAGTCTCGATGGCTGTCGAGGGAACACCTGTGCCCTTCACGCCGCTGCGCCCAGCATTTCAGATTACAATCATGGCCCAATGATACCTGAGCACGCTCCGTCCATCTCACAGCAAGCAAACCAAGATAGGATTTTCAGTTCGCCCATGCATCTGCATACGTACGCGTATATAGGGTGGTCAACTTGGGCCTTTCCAGGGTACACACCACTTGGCCCCTCCCTCGATGACGGGACCAGCTACGCTGCAGCGACAATCGTGATCTTGGCAGAGGAGAAGAAGGCTCTCTCTCCCTCTGTCTCTTGTCTCTTTGCCTTTCTCTCCCTTCAGACATGTTCCGCGTGAATGCATGCACGTGTAAAGTAAGTAACTCATGCAGCGGAAGGCTTATCAGAAGGTGCGGCTGGAGAGAAGATCCCAGCTGGCCGGTCGGGCTAGCCTTCCTTCCTTACCCAATGGCAGGCGAGCAGATATCATGGATGCGCCCTGGGTGCTTGGCTGTTTTGAGGAAAAACTGATTGCGCGGCCCGAGGAGAAGAAGAAAACGGATGCTTCTCCTCACGGAGCCCGGCACTGGCCTAGCCTGGGCTATGGTGATGGTGGTTTGGTTTGTGTCTAGTGTTCAAATGTGGATGTGTTATTGAGTGCAGGCTACTACTATCGGCCAGCTGAAAAGATTGCATGGGCTAAGCCTAGATCCGGCTTCGGAACTTTGTGCATTGCATGAAGGCGTGCATCTCTTGGGACACAAGCGCAGCTGTGATCGAGCGCGCGCGCCTATCAGATTCTTCGAACACGGACGAGAGAGCCTGCCTGGCTGACTTGACATGTGCTTTCCCTTCTGGCTATCGATGTGCGAGAAAGTGTTACGAACGCGCGCCGGCGCAAGTCTGCCGCCACGACAAGCCGACCCGAAGGCCCGGCAAGCAAATCAAAAGCTGGGTTGCGGCACGCAGAGAGAAGTGAGACCCGGTTTTTAGAGTTGCGAGGCCAGCCTTCGACGAGATTGTGCTTTCCCCAGGTTCGCCCTGGTCTGCTAGTCATTGCTATCTGTCTCTGTTCTGGATTCACCGAGCAGCTCGTTTGCGCGCTGTGGGGGAGACCGGCCGCCAGGGGACAGGATTGGGCAGGGCGTTGCCAAGAGGATTTGCATGGGACATCCTGGAAGACCGGCAGATAATAGCCTGAGCGGAGGATAAGGGTCGGCAGATGGCAGGAAGCGACGGGAACGGCTGCAACGCGGCGGCGGGACAGACGCGGCTGACTACGGAGTTCCATGAAAATGAGTCTGTTGGACTCGATTGCACGTCTGGCTCCAACGTGCATGTTGGACATTGTTCCAGCCAGTCAGCCTTGGTCACAACCCAACAATGACTGATATGCCGCCTGCGGCGGACGGGAGATACCGGATGGTGGCAGCATGTCGGCGGTATGTACGGAGAGGCCGATAGAGGACGAGGACAAGGCGGTGGTGTTGTTGGCGTTGTCGTCGTTGCTGATGCCGGCACTCTGGGGTGGATGGCAGCGAGTGGTGATGATATGCATGTGCAGGGCCGGCAAGCGTTGACTCGATTTGATCGAGTAAGACGGGCGTGCAGATTGGGGCAGATAACAGAACCCGGAGAGATCCCTGCGGGAAGCCTGGTGGGGCCGGGGTCCAGTGGGTCTGCCAGAGCGGGGGCCGCACGCCAGTCTGACGTCGAGTCGAGGTCGCCGCCGCGACGGATCTGGTCACGCATGGCAGGGCAGGACATGGTAGCCGAACAGTCTTTGGGGTGACGGAGTGGCCGAGCGGGATGGGCTGCAAATCTCGATACGCGTGGTACTGCTGCAGCAATGCAGGACCCATGTGATGTTACCTCCCTGCGAGCTCCTCATGGGAATCGCAATGAATCAACGCCTCGCGTGCCTTCAGAGTATGTACCTAGGCGCCAAGCCGCAGGTATGTGGGGGAGATACTTTTTTTTCCTCGTCCTTATCGCGCCCGGCAACCGTGCATGGCTGGATGGATCCCATTCCTCCTCTTACGGCCAGGCCTGTCTCGACGCCTGCTAGCCGCGCCTGGGCTGGTCGAGCTGTGTACCTATGGCACCGAGTATTACCAAGGGTGATTTCCATCATGGTATGTAGTCGTGGAGGCCCAGAGATAAGGCCACCCAGTCGGGGACCGATCACCGGCTAGCTGCGACAGGGGCTTGCGCCATCCGGCCCGGGGCAGCTGCAGCTCTGGTGGTGCATCTGCGCAACGATCACCACTACAATCGGGATGGACGGGCCCAAACCTTGCGCAGTGCGACTGGTGTACATAAAGTCGCGTGCTCCTTGACTCGGTCGACACCTCTGGCCATGTGCTCAGAGCCTCAGCCCTCGTGCCCTCTGAGCTGTCAACGCCAGTCCCGTGTTTGTAGATCCAGACCAGGCTGAACCTGCTCGCCTCTCGTCCCGGCCCCGCAGCATCTACAACCTCGGACACGCAGGCACCCCCAATACTGCTCGCCCGTCATGTCGCGCCGACTGCACAGCGGCAAGCTCAGCGCCCTGGCGCACAAGGTCGAGGTCGACCATGAAGAAGGCCTCACTTCGGCTCAGCTACTGGTAGGCACTGCTTTATATATTGTCCACGCTTGAACAGAAGGGCTCTCTTACTGATCCACTTCGCCTTAGCTGACGAACCATGACTTGAAACCCGTCGAGCCCGCGCGGCGGCTCTGGGGTCCATGGAACTTTGTCGGCTTCTGGGTTGCCGACTCGTTCAACATCAACACATGGATGATCAGCTCGTCCATGGTTGTCGCCGGCCTGTCCTGGTGGCAGTCGTGGATCTGTGTCTGGGTTGGCTACTTCATTGCTGGTTTCTTCATCTGCCTGACTGGTCGCATTGGTGCCATGTACCACATTGGCTTCCCCGTCGTCGCTAGGTCCTCGTTCGGTATCTGGGGCAGTCTGTGGCCCGTCTTCAACCGTGCTGCCATGGCCTGTGTCTGGTATGGTGTGCAGTCGTACATCGGCGGCCACTGCGTCTACATCATGATCCGCTCCATCTGGCTTAGCTGGGACCGGGAGACCATGCCAAACACCTTTTCCGAGACCTCAGGCACGACGTCGGTCGACTATGCGTCCTTCTTCATCTTCTGGTTCTGCTCTCTGCCGGCCATCTGGTTTCCCGTCCACCAGATTCGCCACCTCTTCACCGTCAAGGCCTACTTTGTTCCGGCGGCAGGCCTTTCCCTGTTTATCTGGGCTCTCGTGCGTGCTGGTGGCCCCGGTCCCATCATCAGACAGTCCAACACGATCCACGGCAGCGACTTGGCGTGGGAGATGGTGAAGGGCATCATGAGCTCCATCGCCAACTTTGCGACCCTCATTGTCAACGATCCGGATTTCTCTCGTTTCGCTGCCAAGCCAAAGGATGCTCTGTGGTCGCAGTTCTTCACCATCCCCACGGGCTTCGCCGTCACCTCCTTCATTGGCATTTTTGTGTCGTCCAGCTCCGTCATCATCTATCCTGGCTCCGAGCCCATCTGGGATCCCCTCAACCTGTTGGAGAGCTTCATCAACGACGGAGGCTCGGGTGCGCGCTTCGGTGTGTTTGTCATTGCCGCCGCTTTTGCTCTCGCTCAGCTGGGTACCAACATTGCCGCCAACTCGATTTCTGCTGGTACTGACATGACGGCACTGCTCCCCCGTTACATCAACATCCGCCGTGGTGGCTACATTTGTGCTGCTGTTGGCCTCGCCATGTGCCCGTACAGCCTCCTCACGTCTGCCAACCAGTTCACGACGTACCTGTCAGCATACTCGGTCTTCCTCAGCTCGATCGCCGGTGTCCTCATCTCCGACTACTACTTTGTCCGCAGGGGCTACTTGGAGGTCAAGGAGCTGTACGACGCCCGCAAGACTGGTCCTTACTTTTTCAGCTTTGGTGTCAACTGGAGGGCTTATGCTGCATACATTGCCGGCATCCTGATCAACGTCGTCGGGTTCGCGGATGCGGTCGGCACTCCCGGTGTGCCAATCGGTGCGAGATATATCTACAACGTCAACTTCTTTGGCGGCTTTATCGTGTCGTCTGGCGTGTACTACCTGCTCAGCAGGTTCTTCCCCGTTCCTGCGTGCTCGGACAAGTGGCTCGAGGTCGGCGATGAGATTACCGATGTCAGCCTTGTGTACGACCACAGCAGCGGAAGCCAGCGCGAGTTTGACGAGGAGGCTGTCGTTGGATCCAAGAAGTATGATGATGAGCCGGCGAAGATGTGATTGGGCGTGGCTGTGAAAAACAAGTTCAGTTTCTAAAAGTACCTTGTGTGGAATCGGATGATGAGGCTCAGGCCTTGGTAGTGATTCGGGCCACGGCCAGATGCCCAGAGGGGTAATTGACTATTCGTTCGTATGCAATGAGTATCATGGACATGCCTCTCCCCGTGATGTCAAGCGCTGGCCAATGAAGAGGGCAAGGGCAGCTGCGCCTGAATGAGTTTGAACACGTTTAAGAGCATTGCTGGGTACCTGCTCCTGCCACAGTGATTCATTCCTATTCGCTCAAGCCCCAAAGTCGCTCCTGCTTGATTGCCACGGCACGAGCATTCAATTGACTTGCCGCCGTCACACCACTTGCATTTTGAAATATTCCCCCGATATTGCTCCCAACCAAGTCCTCAAACGCAAGCAACTTGAATTTGAGCTCCCAGGTCACGACCGTCCTTTACTACAATAGGACAACGACGAGATCCACGGGTGGCGGTGGACAATCATCTGCGCCCCACCCAGTTCAGCTCAACCTATTGTGGTCGCCCTGTCACCACCAGCGCAGCGCGCGCCTGCCTTACGAGCCTGGTTGTCTCCACTGAAGTGCTCGACCCACCGAGCTTGCCAGGGGCTGTGTTGCCTGGACTTCAGTGTTGACCTCTCATGCACGCAGCATCTCGGCACATCACAAACAGCTCAGATCAGTCACGGCCTTCCAGGCAGGAGTGCTGCCTGATCCAGACGAATCTGCTGTGGATTCACTTTGATTTCACGCGGTTGACCGTCATATAAAGCCAGCAGGCACATGAAGCTGCGTTGGCTCGTCTTCGTTCGAGGCGCAAGTCCGCAAGTCTAATCACAAGCGGCCACTCCACCACACCTGGTGCTGACACGACGCATCCTCACCATGTCTCCTTCTCCATCACCGTCAAGCTGCCTTCTCAGAACGCCGGTCGAGGTGCTTGCTCAGATTGCCTCGTACCTACCGACCACTGAATATTGCGCGCTGCGCCGGAGCTGCAAGCATGTCGAGGCCGCCCTGTTTCACCCGTTTGCCACAGAGTTCTTCAAGCGCCGCCAGTTCATGCTGACCGAATTCAGCTTGGAAGCACTCATTGATATCTCGAAGTCGCGTCTGGCCCCAAGCGTCGAGTACGTCACTCTCAGCACAGACAAACCGCGATGGGACGTGTTTCGAAACAACTTGTTTCGCCATCAACGGCTGGACGAATACGAGCAGGCACTCCATTTAAACAGGTTCAGTGAGGAGTATGATAGCCACACAGCCCTGATAACCTCGGGCCGGGATTACGAGATGCTTCTGGAGGGCCTCACAGGTCTCCCAAACTTGCAAGCCATCGGCGTGCGCGACTTCCACTCAATGGGTCGCTACAGAGACGGCGGCCATACCAAGTGGCGCCCTTACGGATCCACGACATTTCAGAAGCAGACCTCGATACCTACCGAGTCGGATACCTCATTATACCGTTATCATGCTGGCTTCGGCATATCACACACCTCTAGTCCCTCCGAGGAAGCCGAGATGGTGTATCTCAAACGCGTGTTGACCACGCTCCTGCGCGTTCTTGGAGCAATGGCATCAGCAACACCAATCTCGCGATTCGAAGTCATCCTAAGAAGACTTGCGCTCAATGACCACTCATTCTCAATGTCTCCTGCCCTACAATCAGCAATATTCCCAGCACTGGGTCATCTCAAAGCTCTGTTCTTGGATCTTTGCACAATGGCGCCGGCAACCAAGATAGAAAACGAACAACATTCTATCCAGTCAAGCTACCAATACCATCTGCTACAATTGTTGACGAATGCCACAAGCCTCGAGCATCTACGACTGAACTGCAAGAACCCGCAGAGCCCGCTCGCCGTTGCTGAACTCTTTTCGTGGCTGGCCAGACCAGCTGCTGACCAACACCCCAGTCTCGATTCTCAGGTGTATCCTGGTCTTCCGCTACTTCCACCCTCAAGAGACTTCCCTAACCTCCAGACTGTCGAGATTGGCTTTGCCTTTATCGAGCCGCAGGCGCTTATCGGCCTGTGCACGAAGCTGAAGAGCAGTCTCCGGGCGATCAATCTGCACAAGATCAACCTTTGCGCCTCCACAAATCAACAAACGGACAAGGTCAACCTCTGGACGCGGCTGCTGCACCAGCTTTCTGGCCTTGATCTTGCACTAAACTCGATTGTTCTAGAGGAGGTCGGGCAGGGCCTCGCGATGTACAATCTGGTTCCGGTGAAGTTCCACGGACAAAAGAAGATGAGGTGGTCTGGCAAGGCCACTGCGTATGGACTGAAGGATCTCATTGATGCTTTGGAAATAGAGTGGCCAACGGAAGCCCCTATGGACCATAGAGACTTGGACGAATATGACGAGGACGAAGACGAAGATGACGAAGATGACGCGGACATTGATGATGATGCAATGGGCGGGATGGCGGACGATGCCGAAGCTGAAGAGGATGCCTAATCCAGGCGGAGCTGTTTCCGAGCTGTTCGCCGAACCGCTTGCTCTTCAATAGGCTGCGTAGCCAGCTCGAGCACAGCGCGGGCGGCATAAGACAGGTGATCATGATTACACAAGGGCCCGAGGCGGAGCGTTGTTTTCCCACTTTCAAGACCAGTGCCATTGCAAGGGCGATTGGTCCGCTTCACTACGAAGTACTTATCCTTTGGCCAGTATATCTGTGATAGTCAATTACCACAAGAGACTTTGGCATGATACGCCAAGTAGAGAGCCAATTTCGTGAGAAGATTTGTAGGGGGAACGGTCTGCCGGATGACTCCACACATGACCATAGAGCCGGCAAGAACTCGTATTGCAAACTAGGTCCAGGGGTCTGATTGCAGCACGTAGGTGCTGTTGCATGCATGTCTTAGACAGAGAGGCAGGCACTGCGGTCTCGCCCTCCTAGTCCACGTCCCGTGTGGGCTAGCCCTCCTTTGGGCCATGAGCTAGGCTGTTCATGTGCAGATGGAAACGCTGGTATGTGTGGAAGAAGCAAGTCTGGGATGGTTTTTCCCATGACAAGTTGCTAGTGATCATGACGGAGGGAAACCCAGAACAGGCGGTGAGGTGGTGGTGGTTCAGGTCCACTGTGGTGTTCCTTGGCTTGCTGCTGCCATCATTGCAAGAAAGGCTTTCCGCGGAATGGAGAATGCATGTATCTTCCTCGTTTGTGGTCACACGGGCGTCGCGTCGCTGCACGTGTGGAAAGGACGCCATTGGGAGAGTGAGACTTTGAATATGTGACGGTAGCCACGAAGATGATTTTGTAGTAGGAGGGGGGGGGGGACGTTCCCGTCGGAGCTCTTGCCAGGACACAAGACAGGCTGAGAGAAGCGAGTGGTGACACAAGTCACAACCACTCATGAAGCGGGTCCTTATTGTTGCATTGTGTGTCCTTGTGATGGACACACTGTCGTCGCGTGTATGTGAGACATGTGTGTTTCTGGCCCTCGAGACGGCTTCCTTGTTTTCGTGCGCCGCGGGCCGGAGCCGCCTGGTTGGGTTTCGATGCGTTTGCGCCATGCTCGAATTCGTTCGGGGTCTTCTGTTCGCCGCCAGCAACAGAAGTAGAAGCCAGAGTGTGTCTCGATTGCTCTTGTTCAACTCATGCCTCATGCATCCAACATTCCACGACTACTAACAGTATGGCCCTGTTTGGGGAAAATCACAAACGACGGACCAAAAGATCTGGGATGAAGGTAAATGGCGGTGCAATGTGAACCTGGCTCTCATGACGACAGCCATCAGCGTAGCTACAGCACATCAGTCATGCGATATGTCTTGGCTGCACCCTCGTCACATCACCAGCCTTGCAGATTGACATGCAGCCACTCTTCGCTGGCTCTCTCGCTGGACGAGTGGCGGACCTGCGGGGGGGCCCTATAATCAAGAAGAGACAGCGCTCGCCTGGACTTCTAATTAGTCAATGGCCCTCTATACATATTGTGCCGCGAGGGAGACGGACAGGATGCAATTCAGAGGGATGCAGAGGATCGTGGGGGCTTGGCAGCCGAGTATACGCCACGACGGACCGTTCCCATGCCACCACGCACTACCAGATGCATGTGCCTGACTGAGCATGCCGTGGCGAGAAAAGTAAACTTTGGCTAATACGACGGACAAGCGGCATTGTGCGCGAACGTTAGCTGCTGCGTCCTCTGCGCGAGCTCCCCGCACCACCTTCAATGACCACCAGACCAGAAATTTGGAATCGACTTTTGCAGGGGGGGGGAGGACTCCGAGGCCCATCGATGTCATCGAGATGAGGGATTGCCGTTCTGGGACAGGCCGGCGATGCAGGAATGAACCCTACTGGCTCTCGGGGCCTCGCGCGAGAGGCGGAGTGGGGCCGTCGTCTCCGGAGCGGCGGCAGCAACCTGTCGGCTTTTTTGATGCTTACGCTTACTTTAGCGTGTGTACGTTGTCATGGACGGGCCTTGCCTCTTATTCCAAATACTGTGGGACTTGTGCCGAAGCTAATTATTCCAGGCAATCTAGCATGGGCTCTTCCCCCAGGACGGGCATCCGAGAATAGCATCATCCGTCTCGACCAAGACGGCCACTGCCGGCTCGCCCCGCCCATGGCGTGCGTCATGTGCTTGCTTCTGCTCGGCTGGCCTGGATCATTCACCCTCATGCGTGACGACCCGAACACAGCGGCAGCAGAGACATTGGAAAAGGGCGGTGTTGTGCCTGTTTGGGGCCGGGATCCGGGGTCGATGCATCTCGGCTCGTGTCTTTCAAGCCAGCTGTCCAGCTGTTCAGCACTAAGGTATGTACATGGTCGGTTCGGCTCTTGCACAGACGGCTGCCGGCATCTGACTCCCGCTCTGCGCCATGCAGCGCGGGATGCGGGTACTTTTTCCTTTCTTTCTTTGGGTTTCCTCGGTGACGTCGACCCGCACGGCGGACGGCTACCGGAGATACACATACTCTTGACACAATGCCCAGCCCTCCAAAGGTTATTCTCTGCTACTAACCAACTTGCTGCTACCTACCGCCACTCGAGCCACGCGGTGATGGGGCCTTTGGGCTCAAGGTCGGCACACGCTAGCAAGGCGCCATCACTTATGGAGCACATGCATCGCGCAACAGGGATTTGTCACATATGCAGCCGCTCATGTTGTCATGATCTTGGTTAGACAAGCTGCGGCATGGGCCATGAGTAACGTAAGTTACTAGCCAAGACCCTGCCGGCTGGTATAAGAGCGGGCATGTCGCCATGGCGGTAGTCACCGATCATGGGCTTGGATTCCGGGTCATCTCAAAAACTGCTGGTCGTCCTATACCAGACCTATCGCCAACACGAACGTCGTGACGGATCAACGCAACACAGACACATCCTTCCACAATGGCCCGCCTCAGTCTTGCGCTCGTGACCGCCGTCGTCTCAGCCGCGGCCGTCTCGGCGAAGTGCTGCACAAACCTGACGGTTCCGGTGACCGTCTCTGCCCGCAACGGCAGGTTCAACCTGCAGCCGCCGGAAAACAACATTGACGTGACCGACTTCATCCTCAGGCTCGGGAAGCGCGGGGCTAATTACACCCAACAAGTGCTCGAGGAGGCATGTGCCTTTTCCTTGTCTTCCCGCCCCCGACTCATTGCTTCCGCCTGCCCCCTTCTCTTTCTCAGGACTTAATCGCAACTGTCCTTTGCTCTGAACCTCGCTAACGAGACATCACACAGATATACACAGTCAGTGGCACATACAACATCGCGGCGACCTACTGCGAGCCGGCGGCGAACGAGCCCGGCTCTGTGCTCCAGGTCCTCACGCACGGCGTCGGCTTCGACCGGTCGTACTGGGACTTCCCCTACGCCAACTACAACTACAGCTACGTCAACCAGGCCCTCGCCAAGGGTTACAGCACCTTCAGCTACGACCGGTTCGGCATTGGCGAGAGCTACCCCGGGTGTGACGCCGGCGCCGACCCGATCAACGAGGTCCAGTCCTGGCTCGAGATTGCCATCCTCGAGCAGCTCACCACGCAGCTCCGCGAGGGCGGCCTGCCAGGGGTGTCGGCCCGGTTCGCAAAGACGGTCCACGTGGGCCATAGCTTCGGCTCGATCCAGAGCTACGCCCTCGGAGCCGCGCGGCCGGACCTCTCGGACGGCCTGGTGCTCACCGGCTTCACCCAGGTGCCCGACTACGTCGCCTACTTCCTGTACGGAGCCAACTTTGTGGGCGTCGACACCATCCCCGGGCTCGCGGACAAGTATGCCGCCGGGTACCTGGCGCCGCAGAACCTGACGGGCGTGCAGCAGAACTTTTTCGCCTCTGAGAACTTTGACCCCGCGGTGCTCGAGGCCGCGTACAAGGTCGGCCAGCCCGTCACGTATGGCGAGCTGCTCACGCTGGGGGCTCCCGCGGGGGTTCCTTCTGCGTTTGAGGGACCGGTGCTGATTATCACTGGAGGTGAGTCGAAAATGTTTTTTGTCCATTTCTTTTGGTCTATGGACCCCCGCGGAATTGTCTGGTTTTTTCTTCATTTTCTATTGTTGATTGGTTGTCCCGTGGATGCCGTCCGGACTGCCTGCCTGCCCCCATTGATACTGAATGACGTTTTGAGCTGACAATGGCTAACGTTTTTCTTCTTCTTTGGCTGGGGCAGATTACGACATCCCCTTCTGCGGCGGCAACTGCACGACCCCAGACTCGACGTTCCTCGACGTGTCGGCCTCGCTGCTCAAGAACTCGTCGCACTTTGAGACCTTTGTGGTGCCAGAGTCGGGCCACGGCCTGAACCTCGAGTATACCTGGCCGACGACGTACGGCAAGATTCTCGACTTTCTGCAGGCCCAGGTCTAGAAAAAAAAAGAGAATGGGCGGCGGGGGCGATGAGAGGACGAGGGATTGCGGATGTGCAGAATGTGTAGATGGAGGAACGAGGGAGTGGAGAGAGGGGGCAGGCACATAGGTTTGCGGTGGGCCTGGGTTGAGGATGTGCACAATTTTGGGCAAGTCGCTTGTTGTACATTATCAAATTTGTCAGGCTTGGCTTTGTTCTTTATTCGAATGGCCGACCATGGTCCACGACACGGGATCCATCGACAAGGTGAATGCTGGCACAATCAAGAAATGCGTAGGTGAGAGACATTGGTGTTGATGAGAGCAATCTGCACCACACAGTCAGCACAATGAATCACCAACGGGAAAGATACCCCAAAAACAAGGACACATGGGAATCCGAGACAATAGGATGGGCGACACAGTGACCTCCTCACGGCACTTCCCAGGCAGGGTCCAGCGGGGAGTTGCCCTCGTCCAGTCCACTTGTGACACCTGGACAGGCCCCGTTTAGGCAAGTGCCGGGGGGCTCCATCCAGGGTGCCGGGTGCAAGCGGAGAATGGCGGCTTATTAGTGGAGGGGTTCGGCAAAGAGCAGAGAAGGCAAAGTTTTGTAATTGTGAGACGCCTTGCAGAGAGTAAGGAGGACGGGTAAGCAAGATGATGATGACACGGTTGTTGGGGTGCCTGAGGACACTTTCCCCCTGATGGCAGCATCGCGGCCTGCGCTGACGTGCTCGCACCAAGGAAGGAGGGTGTGCATGTGACACGGCGGGCATTGGCTGGGAGCGCGAGAGCCGCGACGGATGCGACGCGAGGCCGGCCGGCCCATGCAGGCTGACCGCAATTCGAAAATCTTAATTTTCCAGAAGGGCCATCGAAGCGGCGGCCATGGCGGTCCTTGGGTGATGACGCCATGGGCATCTCACGACGCCGAGCCAGCGACACCATGTCTCACAGAAAGCTCGAGGCAAGGAAATGGCTTACCAAGCCAAGCTGCGTGTCCTGTCATTAGGACCAGGGCAGATCTTCTTACCGTAACGTCCGCGCAGCGCAAGAAAAGAAGGAAGCAAAGAATTAGTCAGGAGCCCCTGCGCCCTACGGAATGCACGGCACCCCACCACCTTCTTGATGGAGCGCTCCTTCTAGAAAGGCGTCGCAGGGACCCGGCCCGCATGGCCAAACATTTACATAACACTCGGCCAGTCAAAGTATTTTTTTTGCACCTTGCCCGGACCTCTCCAGCGGATCCATTCCAGGGCCGTGGCAGAGTTGGCACTCACTTATCTTGCAACATCTGCCTGTCTCAATACGACATCAACAACAGCCCTTGCGTCCGCCAGCTACATAAAGACCAAGGCACCCCGCATCACACCGATCCGGCCCGGCTTGCTCCTTTCCCTCGAGTCAAGCCTCTTCACTCCAAATACTCCTAGTCGCTCAACCGGCTCTTCGACAGGTCAATCGCCCTGTCCCTCGACAGAACAAACCATCACCAGTGTTATAGCCACAGACACACACACATCCAACAGCAGACAATGTCTCCCGCTGCCATTGCCGACTCGGGGTCCGTCGTGACCCCGCCCCGTGCCCCCTCGCCCGTCCACGGCTTTGGCACCCTCGCCGTCCACGCCGGCGCCCCTCACGACCCCGTCACCGGTGCCGTCATTGAGCCAATCTCCCTGTCGACCACCTTCAAGCAGTCGAACGTCGGCCAGCCCGTCGGCGAGTACGAGTACTCACGCTCGTCCAACCCCAACCGCGACAACTTCCAGGCTGCCGTGGCCGCCCTCGAGCACGCCAAGCACGCCCTCGCCTTTGCCAGCGGCAGTGCCGCCACGGCCACCATTCTCCAGAGTCTTGCCAGCGGCTCCCACGTCATCAGCGTCAGCGACGTCTACGGCGGCACCCACCGCTACTTCACCCAGGTCGCCAAGGCCCACGGCGTCAATGTCACCTTCACCCCGCAGATCGAAATTGATATTGCCGAGCACATCCGCGAAAACACCCGCCTCATCTGGATCGAGTCTCCCAGCAACCCGACCCTGCGCCTCGTCGACATCCGCGCCGTCGCCACCGCTGCCCACGCCCGCGGCGTCCTTGTCGTTGTCGACAACACCTTCCTCAGCCCCTACGTCCAGAACCCTCTCGACCATGGCGCCGACATTGTCGTCCACTCGGTCACAAAGTACATCAATGGCCACAGCGACGTCGTCATGGGCCTCGCCGCCTGCAACTCGGATGAGCTTCGCAACCGCCTCGCCTTCCTTCAGAACGCCGGCGGTGCTGTCCCCTCGGCCTTTGACTCGTGGCTCGCCCACCGCGGCGTCAAGACGCTGCACCTGCGCGTCAGGCAGTCCACCATCAACGCTACCGCCGTCGCCAAGGCCCTCGAGGCCAGCCCGCACGTCATCAGCGTCAATTACCCCGGTCTCGACTCGCACCCGCAGCGCCACATCGCGCTCAAGCAGCACCGCGACGGCATGGGTGGCGGCATGCTGTCCTTCCGCATCAAGGGGGGTCGGGAGGCTGCCGAGCGCTTCTGCCGGTCCACCAAGATCTACACTCTCGCCGAATCTCTTGGCGGTATCGAGTCTCTTGTCGAGCTCCCCAGTGCCATGACCCACGCTGGTATCCCCCAGGCTGATCGTGAGGCTGTTGGTGTCTTTGACGACCTTGTCCGGATAAGCAGCGGTATCGAGGAGCCCGAGGATCTCGTCCGCGATGTTGAGCAGGCTCTGCTCGCGGCCGTCACCGGCGCCAAGGAGAACGGCACAAACGGCACCCACTAAGTTTTTGGTGTCGAGATTTAATACAGGACGAAAAGCAACGGGTGGGTGATTATAGAAAGTAGCGGGAAAAGCATCATCGAGCGAGATATCTATAGACATGGTTCAAACATATCCATGTTGGCGTTATGGGTTTTGCTTTCTGAGGGGTATTATGGCAGGGACGTTGAGAGGCAAATCATGCAGTCACGGCCTACGATATATATGCCTGCGATTCTGATTTCTCTGGGGGGTATGGCCAAAGGATAGAACGAATTTTATGACACCACTACCACGCGCCAGTGGATGGCGCATGCACACAACACGTACCCTATTTGCGAATTTAAAAGTGACTGATAAGTGAGGCTTGTTGGTGCGCGCCCTGGATCTGGTGCCGTGCATGATGTGTCCCGGATACGTGTAAGTTGTAAATGTGCAACCTCGCGGCCAGGGAATCGTCACTGCTAAGCTTGAATTATGCCGAGATTTGTGGTTATTAAAAGAGTTGCAGGCTATTTGGGTCTATCTGAGCAACATCACGTTACTGTAATGACATGTTACGATGCCGTCTCCTCAGCCAAACAACGACGTCGATGACGACGCAATCAATCTTGCTTCACCACCTCGCCGCCATCTGCCTTGACACCGCCCAAGCCCGGCGCGGCAGCAGGACCAGCAACAGCAGCGACAGGCACAGGGACGCCCTCGTACGCCTGGAGGACATATCTCCTCACATGGCCGCCGTCCTCTCCCATCTCAGAGTCCCAGTCCCCGCCCAGGCTGTCGCTCAGATACTTGAAGTCCAGCCCGCGGATCTCCTCCTCCTCGGTGGCGCGCAAGTGCAGGCCGGGGATCTTGTTGATGACGAAGAGCAGGGCGCAGGACACGACGAAGCTCCAGCTCGCGCACGTGAGCGCCGCGGCGAGCTGGTAGCCCATCTGGATGTAGTTGCCCTCCCACCAGCCGCCAGCATAGGTTGCGCCGCTGGCGCCGTCGAGGGCCGGGACAAAAGTGGCGGCGAAGAAGCCGGTGAGGATGTCGCCGACGACGCCGCCGACGCCGTGGATGGCAAAGATGTCGAGCCCGTCGTCGAGGACGTGGCCGAAGAGGACAAGCCGGTGCTTGTGCCGGACCACGTAGAAGGAAGCCGTCGCCGTCACAGCCCCGATCAGTGACGCCACGTACACGGGTACGAAACCCGCCGCGGGCGTAATGCCGACCAGCCCGGCAATAATACCACTGCAGAAGCCGACGATGCTGAACTTGCCCCCTCCCCCAAGTGCTGCTGTGGTGACGGGGCCGAGCTCGACGCTATCATCCGTTTTCTTGTTGCTGCCGTGGCTGTGCCGACGGAAGTCGAAATGCTCATGTAGGTACTCGAGCCCAGCCCAGGCCAGGCCACCTCCGCAGGCGGCGAGGTTGGTGTTGACGACGACGTAGATGGAGCGGATGGACAGATTAGCCGTCGACGCGCCGTTGAACGCGAACCAGCCGAACCAGATGAGAACCGTGCCAAGGCCGACGAGGAAAGGGTTGTGCGGGCGAGTGTGGTGTCGGTTCTCGTGCTTGCGGACTTCAGTGGCGGCGGCGGCGGCCTCAGCCGCGGCAGTCGGGGTCGTGGCTGTGGCGGCGGTTTTCTCCCGGGCCGATGGGTCCTGGCCGTTGGTGCTCCCACTCGAGCTGGCCGTTGCGGGTTGTGCTTCGGCCGTGGAAGTGGCTGGGTCATGCTTGGTGCTGTCGAAGACGGAATCAGAACGGACTCGGGGCCCGAGCATCAGGGACCAAGCGAGCGCGCCGAAGCCGGACGCGATGTGGACTGGACCGGAGCCGGCAAAGTCATACACGCCGAGCTGATAAAGCCATCCAGACGGGTTCCATTCCCAATACGCGAGGCTATTGTCGAATAAGAGAAGATGGGCAGGGTCAGCGCAGCTCTCAGATTGTCCCTCGCGGGTAATAATGCGGCACCCGGGGTCGGAAGGGGACAAGAACTTACACGTAGTAGACAAAGGTTGTCCAGCACAGCAAGAAGACCATACTTGGGAAGAGGCGACCCCTCTCGAGCATCGCACCGGCCAAGATCATGGCCGTGGCGGTGACGAAGGTCATGCCAAAGGCAGCATACAGGATGTCCGGGATGCCGGTGTTGGCCTGGGACGGGAAGGCCATGACGTTGTGCAGGCCGGCGAGGGAGAGGTCGCCCCAGACGGCAGACTCGGTGTGCGACATGTAGAGCGAGTAGCCGTAGACCCAGAACTGGATGCCGCACGCACACGCGCAGAAGAGCGACTGGAAGACCATGGTCAGGGCAGCCTTGCGGCGGTGCATGCCCGCGTAGAGGAAGCCGATGGCCTGAGCAGGGCGGAGGCGAGAAGGACGCCAACATGTCAGCCCGGTCTCCAGACTGATGGGGGAGTATATGGCAGCGGAAGCCAGGAAACACGTACCGGAGTAATCTGCCAGCATATCACGGTGCTGACGAGCAGCCAGCAGAGGTCGCCCTTGTCGTACGGCGCATTGAGGTCCTGGGTGATGGGGTCGCCGCCGTTTGGGTTGACCTCGTACGCCGGCCACTCGAGGACGGGGAGGATCTCGTCACTCATGGTGGGCGTTTGCCTTGAGCGTGCCGCTTCAGATGGTCTGCGTGTGCTGTTCAACTCGAGATGCAGCTGTGATTATCCAAGTTGGTTGAGCAAGTGCCTGGATGGACCAGTCCCGCCCTGTGATGGAGACGTGCGCGCGACAACATTGGCGACTCGGCAACGGGGATCACGGCCCCGTTCTTATAATGGCATTCCAGGAGACAGGACCCAGGCGGAACGGAGCTGGGCACATTGCCGTGCCGTTATCTGCTGCCAAGAGATGCAGTCATCTCCAGGTCTTGGGTGTATGTAGTAGAGGTCGCCAGCGCTCGTGACGGACGGTGGCACGCACACGCACACGCGTCTGCTTCGCCGTGGATCGGGGGCCGGGGGTACGTCAGTGTGTGCAGTGCAGCAGGCACGGCCGAGGAGGGAGGTACCTGCAGACCTGCCTGGTGTAGTCATGGTGGTGGTGGTGGTAGTGGTGGATACTGGACGGCAGCGCAGAGCCGGGACTCCTCGCCGCTTCCGCCTGGCCTAGCCAAATACTTCCTGGTCTGGTAACACGGCGCTGCTGCTGTGTGTGAGGCTCAAGCCAGTCCGGAAGCTCTCGGGGCGCCCAGCTTATCGGCTGTGTGTGACCAGGTACAATACGCAAGATGGTGTTTGAGTCAGTAGACGGGCATCCCTGCTTGTCTTGGACGGAAGCCGCGGTCCTCTTGCAGGCCTGGTTTTCCTCTGAGCTGGTGCCAAGAGATAAGCAGCCAGCCAATATTCCGGAGCCATGACTGAAAGCGGGTTCTGGAGGGAACATGTCGTCTCTTGCATCCAAACCACGAGAGTTCGACAGCAATGACTTGCTCTGGGGGATCAGGTCAAGCCACTACCTTTCGTGCTGTGTGTTTTTGGTGGTCGATGAGAACCCTCCCACTGTTCACCAGCACGGATGGACAGTCCTCCCAATGAGACAGACCCCATCCAAAGAGATCGACGACGACTGCAAATCCATGTAACAATCCCAAATACCCCAACCTTGGCCCGTCGTCCCATCCTCCCCACGATTTTCCTTATCAGGCCAGCCGCCCAATCAGCTCCCCTTTTTTTAAGGTCGCCAGAGCCGAAACCTGGACGCCCCATTTCTCGGCAGTGGCCGTGTGGCGCCTGCTGGTTTGTCGAGCGCCACTGGCCTACGGCGTGAGTACCTGCAGGGGCCCGCCCGCGGGCTCATCAGAGCTGTGCGAGCCAGACTGTTGCAGACAGATAAAGCTCCCCCTGCAAAGTGGCATGGACTTGCCGGGCTTTTCACGTTTATCTTTGAGCTACGACAACCCCCCGGCAAAATCTGGGGATAGCGTTTCCCAATTAGGTCATGCTTTCCTGTGCATTGTGCGAAGCCCTCAAGGTCGTGTCGATGCACTGGTCACTTGCATGGAAGCAGAACATAGACCACAGGGCCTCCCCAAACGGCCGAACCGAGCACGACGCCAACGCAATGAGAAAGGATGACGTTGAAATGCGAGACAACAAGACTAGAGCCTCTCGCGATCATGTTGCAACATAAGACTAAAGTCTCTCAACCAATCACAAGGGCTTGTGGTTTAGTGGTATAATACTCCCTTAGCATCTCTGGATCTCCATCTAGAATAATCTGGGAGTGGTCCGGGGTTCGATTCCCCGCGAGTCCATCGCAAGGAGGTTAGATTCCTCCATTGTACCTTTCCTTTTGTCAACTTTTTACTGTTTGGCGTTTCTGTGTTTCTGCGCGCATCGTGAGCTTTGTTTGCGATGTCCAGAGAGGCATTACCTGCGTTTGGCAATAGCGCAGCTGTGGATTGGCTGTTTGTTTGTCGTGCCTGCTCAGCTTCGCATGCACCATTGCAGTGCGGAAATTCCGTATTTGCAGTGGCTGTGGCCCCTCGTTGATTTTGACCCCTTGTTTGGAAGGGGGGTCCTCTCTAAAGTCCCTGGTCAAGCTTTGCCGCGGCTCTTGAGCATGAGACCTGACGCTGAGTGTCTCGAGTTCTTTGCACACGACATGGGATGCGGGCAGAGACAGAGTCCAGGCCGTGTTCAAGGATGATGCCTGCTGAGAGATTGTTCAGGTATGGAGGACACACTATTGCTCGATGGCTTTGCAAGCTTAGTTATATTGTCCAATATTGGTGTTACAGGCATCATAAACACGAAGGACAAGCTGTCCATAAAATGCAATGTACCATAAGCAGTTCGTGTACCACAGGTTTGTTGACGATTTAAATGAAGAGATCATCCGTGACCCTAGGAAGTCGATCCACGCGAATCACTAGACTGGCAGAAGCCAATAACTGCTTCATGCACAACTCCAAGGTCTAAAGGATTCGCGACAAGCTGCGCGTCTAGACGCGAGTTGGTAATGATATCTACAGAAACTCTCATGAATGCTATCTGTGCCACATGACTCGTGCGAGAATGTAGTGACAACACCAAGCGTTGCCACCCTCGAATATGCCACTCCGACGCAGCCACCGTCCGCGTGCTGTGGTGCATCGCTGTTCCCGGATGCGATGTAATCCTCCAACATGGGAGACATTGCCGAGTGAAGCGCTCAATGTTGTATTTGTCTTCACATTCCAGCTGGTACACTACAGCCTTCTTTTTTCCCTCTCTTTGGCCGCTGCCCCTGCTGTTGTAAAAGTTCAATGGGACCAAGGCTCAACCTCCTGCTGCTAAGCTTATCACGCAGCCACCGCAGTGCCATTCGCACTGCCCTCCTCCGCCGCCGCTGCAGCAGCCTGCTCTTTCTGCGTGGCCGCCTCCAGGAACCCAGGCCGCCACCGCTGCAGGTACTTGGCGGCAATCGGCCGCGCGTCCTCGTAGTCGTTCCAGACCCCCTCGACCGCGTCGAGCGCAATGTCGCGCACCGGCGGGCGCATCATGACGAGGTAGTACAGGCTCGTGAGCGCGAGGTTGACCAGACTCGGGTCGCGGCAGAGCTCCTTGACCCGCGAGAGGATCTGCGGGCTGAGCTCGGGCAGCTCGCTGAGGAACCGCGTCAGCACCTTGTCCTGCGCGTGCAGGTAGGGGAAGATGCCGTCGAGCAGCCGCAGCGCCCACTTGTCGTAGTGCGCGGGGGGATCCCACGGCTCCGGCGCCGATGCCGCGGCTCGCTGCTGTAGCCGGTCGTTGTACCACTCCTCGGTGAGCCACGACACCGCCGCCTCGATGCGTTTTCGGAAATCCTCGAGAATGTACGCATAGAGCAGATCTCGTATGGAGTTGCTGATGTTGACCTGTGGTAAGGATACCTTGCTGTCTTCATCGTCCTTGATGGTGCTTTCGTCTAGTCCTGCGCCGGCACGTGTCGCCAGTCGTGCCAGGACCGTGATCCAAGAGTCGCGGTCGTATGAGCTCGCGGCGAGGCGGTTGATGCCAGCCTTTGTTCTCTTCACCGCGGGGTCTTCAAGCGTTCGCATGGCTCCAAACACCCGCGCGACAGAACTCTGGCCAACCTTGGCCGCCTGCTCGGGATTGAGCGTCGGCGGAGGCGGGAGCTTGAATGTCGGCAAAGCTAGGGACGTCAGCGCGATTGGCTTTTGCCTGTCGCCGCCCTCGTCAGCGCCGGATGAGTCAAGCTTGTTTAGGATCTGCTCCGTGTCCTCTGCCGCAAAGTAGTCAGGCTCATAATCGTCGTCATCTTCATCCAAATCCAGCTTCGCTGTCTCAGGATTGACAACAGCCGGTGAAGCCTCGTGTAAAACAGCCAATCGTTCCCGGATTGCCTATGTGGAGATGAGCAGATGTTCCCGTGACGTGAATAGTATCAAGTACTCACATTGAGAGCTTTATCCAGGAGGCCGGCATCAAGACCGGATATCGTGCGGATGCTTATCCGAGCTGCTAGAGATGCGGCGACTAAGTCGGGTACGTGCACACTCTTGATAGCCGTATCTTGTGTCAGGGCGAACACATCAGCGAGACTATGTGTGACTGCAGGATCCAGCGGCGCGATGTTTAGAACAGGTTCGGCGGACATGTTTGCTGTCCTCTGCCTCTTGGAATCACCATCCTCAGCTGGCACAGGCACCATACGTTTTCGTCCGGCATTGTCAAAGATGTCGGCACGAGCGCGCATGAGCCGCTCGACATGTTGTTGTATGCGCCCGGCAAGAGGATTGTTGGGGTCACTGCCTCCTATTAGTACACAGCCGGCTATGTCAATGCTCGTTTCGCGGCTTACCGTCTCGCCAGGTGCATGCACAGCATCCTCGTTGTCTTCTCCATGGACTTTATCAAGACCTTGTTCTTGGGGGTCATGGGCGAGTTGGCAAGCTTCAAAGGGTTAAAGTTGAGCACGACATTGATAATACGAGTTGAAGTGCTTGGCCTGGCTCTGATGAGAACAGAGAGTGTATTGAGTGTGCCATCGATGAGAAGAGCATCACTACATGATACGCGGAAGTGTCAGCGATAACGCTTCGGCATGGGGGCCAAGACACCGTTCTTACCTGCTGTTCTCCTGGAGGACTGCTAGCATCCTGTCCAAGACTCCGAACGCCTCAGCCTCGAGGGATTGGGGATCTAATAATGGGTGATCTGGAGTGACCATCCGCAGGGATATGTCCAAAGGATCGCTACGCTGTAGTGGGCGTCAGTACGCTGGGAAGTTGAATGGCAGCCCTCCGGAATGCTAGGAACACGAGACATACTCGAGGCTCTGAATGTATGCTTGCAGTCTGGGCCAGCACCACGCGCTGAGCAAATTTGATGCAGCATATCCGGACTGTCGAAGGAGACGAGTCCCAGATCTGGAAGATCCTCGCCTTGATGGCCACTAATCGTTCCCACGACGACGTGTCGTACGCATTGCCAATGCTATCGGGAAGACACACGGTCAGCGAAATTCACGTAGACATAGCAGCGAGCCGGAAAAGGTTGTTGCGTAGCTTCGCCACAGAGCACCTCACGCCTCTTGGCTTGTGGCCCCCAGGCAGGTAACAAACGCAATGCAAGAGTCTGACAAGCTCAGCAATGATGCGAGGCTTGTACAGCGCAGACAGGAGCACGACTACGAGGAGCAGGTAGAGGGGTCTACGATACGGGCAAAGGGGGATCTGGGACAACCTACATCCACCTAAGAGCAATGGGATATATGCTTGCAGAAGCCTGGATGGCACTCCTGAGCACGATGATGTCCTGCTTTGGGTCTTCAAGAAGCTGCTTGAGGGTCTCCAATACTATTATGCACCAGGTCTCCTTCTGGCTCAGAGGCGCCACCGGCGACGCAAAGGCCTCGCACAGGAACTCTGTGCCCCATCTCCGGAACTCAACTTTGGCGGTAGGCCCGATGATTGGCAGAGTTGCCTGGATGACTTGTGGATAATAGCTCACTTCACCCAGGACAAGCTTGCGCGCATCTTCGAGCTGCCGAATCTGGTCAGGCACTGAGAGCTGTGTCGACGCCATGGTCGGGCACGATCGAAACAGCTCAAAAGAAGTTGAAACAGGAAGCTTTAGGAGAAGGCAGCATCAAAGAAAGCGCTGCGCCCACGGTCGACCACGGCGAATGGCGGGAAGGGTTCCTGCTGATCGTCGTCGAAGCTCTCGTCGTGAGGTCTAATCCTAGTCGAAGTGCTTGGGAGTCGTTTGTAGGACAACCAGCCAGCGCAAAAGCTATGACCTGATAGAAGTATGCCTGCGCAATTCTAGAGCGTGCTTATGAGGGACTGGTCGGCTCGTGTGCTGGTTCAGACTGCGCAACGCGGTCGGCGCGACGAACATGCAAGGTCGACAACCACTGCCGTTCGCATAGTGAATGGACAAAAGCCTGGAGTTGCCGTCACGCGCGCAGCTCGGCAGACGGGTATTCTGGTCGGCCTCCGGAGTATTTGTCTCTGTGGCCTATCGTGTCTCAGCCGCTGCTGGTGAGACGGTCGTTGGCGCAAAAGGTCGCTTGTCGAGGTCGTGTTTGTTGCGAAAGTAGAGGTTCGCAAAGCCTCAATTGGCAAGAAGCGTTGGTGGTTGCGCGTGCAAGGGTCAAGAAACACTGGGTCTGGCGTAGGCAAGCAAGCATGGAGGAGCTTGCTCGACTGTCGCATCATAGCCCACTGGCGCCAATTGCTCGGCGCTACACCACCAGCCAAGGCTCTCTGCACAATTTGTCTTATGCACAGCAAACTTATGCAAAAGCGCTCTTTTGGTGCACAGCCAACAACGGCGCAAACCAAAGGTCCCGCCCGATTCGAGATTCATCCCAAGCCATCAGATCAGCCCACCACAGGTCTTCAAGATCAGTGACCAACGTCGAACGCCTGTTTTCAAACACTGAGAACCACCACAAAACGAAGCTCCATTATGTCTGGGTACGCCTTGGCTATCCCTTGTCCAGCTCTGTTCTTTTCTGTCCAGCGCGCAAAAAGTAGCCGACTAACAAAGTGCGCCTTCTACACAGACAAGGCGGTTTCGGACGTCAGTCGTCCTACTACGACAGCCAGCTGCGGCAGTCGCCAGCTCTGATCCGCGCCCGCCGGCCATATCTTTTCAAGAACGTCATTGTCGGAGCCGTGGCGGCGAGTCTTGCGATCGGAGTCTGTACGTACAAAGCAGAAATAGCAGCGACTGCCCCTTCGGGCGGATACCGAGGCGAATGACACGAGGAGCACGCGTCAGAAGGTCGCCCTCCCCCTAGACGGCATGTGAGGCTAACCTTGTGCAAACCCTCAGATATTTATACCCTCAACGCTGTTGGCCAGGACGACTTTAGCGACGTAAAGGTTCCCGAACCACCGGCGACAACAACGACAGCAGCGAAGAAATGATTGTACAGAGACAGGAGGGCAGCGTAAATGGAAAGGAGGAAAGCTGTACCATTAAGGAGTGTACGAATATCCCCGACAAGAGCAGAGTCCCGCGAGAAAAGGCGGCAATGTGGTGGAAGCGACGGTTCAAGAAATGAAGGAGCATGACAAGGAAGACAAAAATGGACATGGCACACATCCAACGGCGTTCTCGGGGTTTTAGCATACATCATTAAGAACACCTTTCACAATCTCGACTTGGCGTGCAATGATGATTTCGGTGGTGCTTCATGGTCCACAGCAATGGGAATGCTCACGAGTCACAAGCGAACTCCACGCATTAGGCTTGCATTTACCTCCATTCAAAGTTGAATTGGTTTTAAATTAAATGGAACAAGGATGCCAAAGAGCATGTCTAAAGCTGCGTGGTATCGTAACCCTTATTGGGCGTATTTGTCAATCCCCAGAAACGCCGAAAACGCCACTATCTACATTTGAATGTTCCTAAAAGCGGCATGGTCATGATATCGATGATGCAACGTGGGGAAAATATCCTGCAAGAACCCTAGAATCCGGAACTGTCCACGGCGCATGGAAACCGTCTATGCTGGTGCACAGGACATGGGCGTTCACCGAATTCCTCCCTCCTTCATGTCGAGGAAGGCTCTTCGCCCTTGCGTCCTATAGGGTACTTTTGACGGAAACGCTCTTGAAATGATATCAAAACGCCGCCGAAACCCTTGCTTGTGTAAAACTTGACAGCTAGCTACGCCCGCCAATCGCGGGGAGCTGCTCGTTCTTGGGCGGCATTGGTCGGGCTGTGCCGCTCATTGCTCGCATGCTGCGGGCACTCGTTTGCTCCAGCAGGCTGGCCGCTCGTGCGACCTCTGGCGACGTCGATAGATTCCTCGGGGCGCCTTTCGAAGCTTTTGAGACTGACTGGGAAGGTGTTGGCACTACTGGACTGTGGTTCGACGCGTTTGAGATCGTGCCAGCAGACATTGGGACTGGCTTTTGCGAATTGCGCTTTGGTGCCGGAGTAGTGGTTGCAACTGTCGGCTTGCCACCATCGAGTGCCTGAGACTGCTGCCTTTGAGCTAGAGGCGCGCCGTGAGCAGGATGGTTTGGGTTTGCCCATGGAGTCTGCTCCAGGAACTGTTCTCCTGCTGGACCAAGACCCTGCCCGAATGGTAGACCCCCGTATTCGGCGTACGAGGGGCGCACAAGCCGTGGCTGCGGGGCGCGAACACGGCTTCTCTGCAACTGGCACACCTGTTTAGCTCCTGTTCGCGAACGACAAAAGCACTCTGTTTTGACTTACGTTGATTGCTTCGAAATCATCTTCCAGCTCTTGAGACGAAGCACCCCTCATGTCGGGCGCTGCAGGCATGCCCTCGTATTTGGCAATGCCAGAAAGAATGGACACCTCCTTGTTGTACGCTATGGCCTGGCGGACGCGTTGCTGAGAAGTTGGTGGGAAGCGCAAACCGAACTCGGGCACATTATTGGCATTCTTTCGTCGTTCATGTTGGATGTCGTACCAGCGCTGGCCCAGCTCCGCCAATACTCTTTCTCGTGATTCTCGCACTGACTGGAAATATTGTGAGTGAATCTGTGCGCGCCTAGCCACAGCCCAGCGATCTATAGTCTCCATTGTGCGAGTAAAGGTCCTGTCGGCGATGATGGTTCTCTCATTGCGCCTGGCCTCGACGCACTCCATCATCGCAAGGTATTCTGGGTGAGTCGGTTCGTCCGCACGTAGCATGGCTTCCTCCCGATTGAGTTGCTCCATTCGTTCTTCGAAGAGCCTGGCACAGAGTTAGTACTACGAGGGGGAACTGGGTCGAGGGCGAAGGAGAGACATACTTCTCGCGGAAGGAAGCAAAGCGCTTCTCGATCTCTGCTAATTGGTCGTACGCCGCCTTCTTTCTTTCCACTAGCCCAAAAACAAAACCAGTTAGCGACGCGTTTCCAGATTATGACCATGCACAAACTCGGCACTTACGTTCTTCTTCGTTCCTGTGAGCTGCTTCAGCCTCTTCATCGGCTTCATCAGCCATGGGCTCATCATCGCCAGTATGGCCAGCTTCTTCGTCGGGGCCAGTACCGTCAAGAGTGTCTTCTGTAGGGTCGTGCTCATCCGGAACGGCAGCAGCAGCAGCGGCGGCTTCTTGTTCTCGGAGACGCCGAGAGCCGCTTCGGGTATGCTTGCGTGTTTTAGCCGTGTGCGGTCTGTCATGTTCGCTCCCGGTAGCCGTGGCGGTTGGTGTGTCGTCTGCGGAATGGTCACCACTTCGGCTTTGCGGTGTGGGATCGACATCCTCATCCTCGTCGCCGCTGCCAGGTTCGCCTTCTCCTCTGTCGGCATCGGGTGCTTGCACGGAGCCAGTGCGTTTTCGCAGAGGTTGTTCGGTTTCGACGTCGGCGGCTGCGGACGACCGTTTCCGTTTCCTGCTCTCGGCCTCGTGCTTCGCAGCCTCTGCAAGCAAGTCTAGTGAAGGCGAGGGGAGCTTCGCCGGTGGTCTCGAACCATGTGCCGGAGGACTAGAAGCCATGGAGACATCGGCGTCAGACAGAGGCTCATCATCATTGTCGTCTTCGTCGTCGTCGTCGTCGTCGTGGGTATTGGTTCTGTCTTGATGGCGAAGCTTGCTCGGGGTGCGCTCGTACACGCGACCTTCAGCCTTCTCATTCAGGACAACGTCTTTCTGTCGCGTAGGCACTTTCGGCGTGTCGTAGAGACGTTCAGTCTCGGCTTCGGTGTCGTTGGCGTCTGAGAGCTCGTCGTCAGAGCTCTGGGGGGACGCGCCACCGTCAATGGCGGCGGGGGTATGGTCGGGGGGAGCGTCGCTCAATGGACTCGAGCCATCGTCATCAGATAGCGGCTCGATCTGCGGCTGTGGAATGCTCAGTGGCGGCGGCGCCGTCTCTGCAGCAGCCATGGCGAGATTTCGAGCGTCTGGGCTCCGCCAGCAGGATTCGCGGGACTAATTTGGCACGAAGGATATCTGGGAGGACGAGACAAGAAGCCCGTGAGGCGGACGGACGCGGCGGGGGGTTGTGCAAGGGCGCTCTCGCAATCGCAGGGTTTTTCGAGTGAGCCGGAGGGAGACAGCAAAGAGCCGACCAGGGCGAGAGGAGGGGGAAAAAGAGAGTAGGCAAAAGAGCTGCAGCAGTTGGGAGCAGGGCCAATCGAGCCTACATGGCAGACGGTGCGCTCGAACGGAGGAGAGCTGCCGCGGGCGCTGCGGTGCGGGAGGGGTCTGGTGCCGGTGTGTGCTGGGAATGAGGAGTGACGGTGATGGGATGGGGAGGAGGAGGGCAGGCAAGACGGACGAGGGCTCGCCCAGACCCATCGGCAGCGGCGCGCGCGCAGAAGCACCAGCAGAGCGACGGGAACCGGTGCTGCCCAGCCAGTCCCAGCTCCTTGCGCTGCCAGCCAGCGCTGTCTCTGGCCATGTGGGTCACGCTGCTCCATCGGCGCTCACCACCTGACGCGCGCGGGACCAGGGCGGTTTTCCTTATCGATACCCGGCGCCAGAGCTCGTCACCGTGCCGGCAGAGGAGAGGCCAGCCATTGGCGCGCCCGAAGATATCCCACGATAAGATAAGCCAATCCATCTTGGGCATGAGGAGATGGGTCCATCATGCAATCCAGTTGCCCTTTTGGTTTGCGCGCAGCTTACTCGTCGAGACTGGTGGAACTCGAGCAGCCCTTTTTGTCGCCTGCGGCAAGCAGCGGGTTCCTGGCGCGCGCATCCACTCAAAAGTTTTGAAGTGCAACGAGACCCCGTGAAAGTCGCATCCACCTACAAGTCGTGTATCTTGACCAAAAAGTTCAGCCACATTCAACCATGGGGAAGAGGTAAGCCAGCGGCGCTGGAAATAGCATGTTTATTCCCCTTCAATTGACCACCGGACTGACATGTTCCAACTAGCAAAACCACCCTCCAGGCCAAGGCCAAGGCCATTGACCCCACACTAGATGCTCTCTTCTCTGCGAGTGTAAGTTCGATGGCTTTTGGCATATGCGATAACGGCTGTCAAGTCCTGGATTCTAATCGTGCTTTTTCCTGCAGTCTGGCCCTTCCGAAAAACCTTCGGCTACGAGATACCAAGCACTGCTTCCTCCTAAAGAGAGAAAGCCTGCCAAAACATCAATAGCACAGGCTCCCGCCGAGTCAGAGTCCGACAACGAAGAGGAAGATGACGAAGAGCTCAGCGAGATCGATGGAGACTTAGAAGATGTGGACCTCGACGAGCTAAACAGTGACGAGTCTGCGGATGAAGAGTCAGAAGAGGACGGAGAGGAGGAGGCGGAAGAGGATCCGGAGGCCGAGTCAAGCGCGGAGGAAGAGACTGCCCCTGCCAAGAAGGAGCGCAAGCGGAAGAGGCGAGACGAGCATGACGACCTGGAGTCCAAGTACATGCGGAAGTTGGAGGGTGAGGTCGAGGGCGGCACGGACGAGGATGATACGAGTAGCAAGCGGCGCAAGAAGCTAGACGGCGACGAGACTGAGCCCATTGCTGGCGGCGACGACTCGGCGCCCAAGGAAGACGCCGACGGCACAGAGGATGAGGAGGAGGAGCCACGCATCATCCACGAGTCCCTCCTTCCCAAGGAAGAGCAAGAGCATGGCGACATCGAGCTGGACAAGGCCAACCGCACACTCTTCCTCGGCAACGTCTCGATAGACGCGATCTCGTCGTCCTCGGCCAAGAAGACCCTGATGGCTCACCTTGCCTCGCCCCTCGGCGATCTCGACGCGGCGACTGGCCCTCACAAGATCGAGTCGCTGCGGTTCCGCTCCGTCGCCTTTGCTTCGGGCGCTTTGCCCAAGCGCGCCGCATACATTACAAAGTCTCTGATGTCCGCCACCACAAAGTCTGCCAACGCGTACGTCGTCTACTCGACACCGCTGGCCGCGCGCACCGCGCACAAGGCTCTCAACGGCACCGTCGTGCTCGAGCGGCACATCCGCGTCGACAGCGTCGCCCACCCGGCCCCGATCAACCACCGCCGCTGCGTCTTCGTCGGCAACCTGGGCTTCGTCGACGACGAGACCGTCCTCAACACCAACGCGGACGGCGAGACCACCACCAAGAAGCGCAACAAGACCCCCTCCGACATCGAGGAGGGCCTGTGGCGCGTCTTTGGCCAGCACGCCGGCAAGGTCGAGAGCGTGCGCGTGCCGCGCGACCCCAAGACCCGCGTCGGCAAAGGGTTCGCCTACGTGCAGTTTGCGGACGGCAACCACGTCGAGGCGGCCCTGCTGCTCGACGGCAAAAAGTTCCCGCCGATGCTGCCCCGCGCTCTGCGCGTCTCGCGCGCAAAGAACCCACGCAACACGGCGCTCGCCGTGGAGCGCACCGTCAAGGCCAAGCTGGGCGGCGGTGCCGGGGGAGGCCCCTCGGACGCTAAACAATCCGGCAGCACAAAATACCAGCACAAGGCCACCCCCGAGCAGCAGTCCCAAGCCGGCCGCGCCGGCCGCCTGCTCGGGCGCTCGGGCGCCGCCAAGGCCGCCGCCGAGCTCAAGGGCAAGAAGCTCACAAAGTCGATGCCCCGGCACGAGTCGCGCTCCGCCGCCGCCGGAGCCCCCGGCTTCGTCAAGACGGACGGCCTGGTGCGCCCGATCAAGACGCCCGAGCAGATCGTCTTTGAGGGCCGGCGCGCGAGCTCCAAGGACGGCAAGCCCCGGGACCTCAAGATCGGCAAGGCCGGCAAGAAGAAGAGCGGCGCGAACCCCGGCAAGAAGACCGGCGGCGGCGTGACGAAAGCCGCCAAGGGAGGACGGGGTGCCAAGAGGGCTTCAGAATGGCGGCAGCGGTTGACCAATAAATAAAAGAAAGAGATCGGGGGTTTGGGTGTGTTGCTTTGGGCCATGTGCCTGACTGGACGGTGGGTAAGAGGCAGAGCGACGTGCCTGTGGAGTGGTCTGGTATAGCGCAAGCATAAGCATAAAGCATAGGCAAGAAAGAGTCATTAATGGGCGTTCTCGTGTATAGACTGGGCTGCTGCAGGAGGGTTCTGCAGTGGTCCTGTGCTCCGTGCAAACAAGTGGACATGTGCATCGTAGTCTTTCTTGACCGTAGTCGTGCTTAACATACAATCCCACGCGTACTTTGCACGTTTTAAGCCTAGCCATGGTCAAGAACGAAGGATCTGAGGCGTTGCTACTATCACAAAGCAAGCGCAACCAGGAAGTGGCCGCAAGAATTACGTTGGCTGCTTACGAGAATGGAAAAATAAAGCAGGTTGAAGAATTTAATCTCTACAAGGCCGTCTACAACTTGAATTACGCTCATAACAACACCTTGTGCTCGTCCGCAATGCTCGCTTCGCTGCTCTACATCAACATTTATCCTATGCCACCACCACCCCCAAATATGTCTTTGGATATATCCACGAGCACAAGTCGCGATCAGGATACTCCAAGGTACTGCTGCCCAAAGAACACGGCGGCTCCCTGCTCCAGCGTACTTCTGTTTCTCCACACGCAGCAAGAGACGTCTATCCAACGGCAACCTCAAGGGGGAAAAGAATAGGCTGGCTGAAAAGTGCATCCCGTGCAAGGGCTGCAGCGAGCTTGAGTGTGTCCATGAGTGATGCAGCCGATCACGCCGAGCATCCTGCGGGTATAGTATCGCCAGCTGACAAAACGCACCAAATCCAGAAGCTTAGTACTCGGCCTCGGCCTCGTCGTCGGCGAAGCTGTCGGCAGCGACCTCCTCGTAGTCCTTCTCGAGAGCAGCAAGATCCTCACGGGCCTCAGAGAACTCGCCTTCCTCCATACCCTCGCCAACGTACCAGTGGACGAAGGCACGCTTGCTGTACATGAGATCGAACTTGTAGTCGAGACGCGACCAGGCCTCGGCAATGGCAGTGGTGTTGGACAACATGGAGACAGCGCGGTCGACAGAGGCGAGGCCGCCATCGGAGGGGTTAGCCAAGGGCACAGCCATGGGCTTCTGGTAGTTGATGCCGAGCTTGAAGCCAGTGGGGCACCACTCGACCAGGTTGAACGAGTTCTTGGCCTTGAGAGCGGCGATGGCGGCGTTGCAGTCGCGGGGAACCACATCACCGCGGTACAGCAGAGCGACAGCCATGTACTTGCCGTTGCGGGGATCGCAGACGACCATCTGGTTGTTGGGCTCGAAGCCTACACAGGGTTGTCAGTTTCAGGACCAGATCAGAATAACGATATAAGACAATTGACATACACTGGAAGGTCAGGTCGTGAACCTTGAAGCTCTCGTGGGCGCTCTTGGTGGCAGAGACAACAGGAGCGTAGCTGATCAAGGGGTAGTGGATACGAGGATAGGGGACCAAGTTGGTCTGGAACTCGTTCAGGTCGACGTTGAGGGCACCGTCGAAGCGCAGCGACGAGGTGATGGAGCTGACGACCTGAGCAATCAGGCGGTTGAGGTGCTCGTAGCTGGGGCGGGGAATATCCAGGTTACGGCGGCAGATGTCGTAGACAGCCTCGTTGTCAACGAGGAATGTGCAGTCAGAGTTCTCGATGGTGCTGTGGGTGGACAGAACAGCGTTGTAAGGCTCGACGACGGCGGTCGAGACCCGGGGAGCAGGGTAGATGGCAAACTCGAGCTTGCACTTCTTGCCGTACTCTGTGGCGATGCGCTCGAGCAGGAGAGCACCGAAACCGGATCCAGTACCACCGCCAAACGAGTGGAAAATCAGGAAACCCTGCAGGGAGTTGCAGTTGTCTATAAGGGCGCATCAGTTGTCTGCAGGCAGATTGCATTAATCGGGCCGCTTGGGATCGAGTGGGTGAAACGTACCAACAACACGACGGACGCGGTCCATGACATTGTCAACCATCTCCTTGCCAATGGTGTAGTGACCACGGGCGTAGTTGTTGGCAGCATCCTCCTTGCCGCTGATCAGGAGCTCGGGGTGGAACAGCTGGCGGTAGCTGCCGGTGCGGATCTCGTCAATGGGCGAAGGGTCGAGGTCGACAAAGAGCGAACGGGGCACATATTTGCCGCCGCTGGTCTCAGTGAAGAAGGTCTCGTACGAGCCACCGTCGACAATGTCCTTGGCGTTGGGGTCGGGACGACCATCAGGGCCGAGGCCATGCTCGAGGAGGTACCTGGCGAGCCATACTTGTTAGCGGATCCGCGGTGTGCTCAGGATGTCGTGTTGCTGAAGGGCCATGCCTTCTGGACGACGGCAAAGCGGGGCGGTGAAGGTCGACTTACAGCTCCCAGGCGCTGTTACCGAGCTGGGTACCAGCCTGACCTAGGTGGAGGTGAAGAATCTGTGAAGTAATCGGTGTCAATGCATTGGCCTCGACTAAGTTGGGTGACGGTATCGTGTTTGCTCGGGCAAAGGTGTTTGTGTGTTGGTGCTAGCAAGGGCGCGTAGAGGTCATGGCGGGAGCGTGGCAAAAGCGATCCTCCACGAGCTCCCAGCCGTATGCTTCATGATCCGCGGATCAATGCGCCAGAGGAGACAGGGTGATGGCTTACCTCTCCCTTCATGGTGAAATGAGTCGAATTGGATATCCGGGTTTGGGGAGATGGTCGGGCAAGAGCTCTCACTGCGCGCAGCGCTGGTGGTCGTGGGAGGTAAAAGGGGAGAAGCGCGGTGCGACGGCGTGGTGCTGCGATTTTGGTGTGGGGGCGGCACAGCTGGCTGCCAGGTTCGCCTGCGAGTGGACGGTGCCAATATCAAGCAAGGGCAGGCAGGCAGGGTCTGCCCCAGGCCAGCATCACCAAGCAGATAACGAGCAGCACTGGATCAGGGCGGCCATGGGGGACGAACAATGAGTTGTTCAGAGCAGCAGGCTCGCTGGACTTCTTCCCAGGCATTCTCTTGAGGCAACTACAATACTGCCTCCATCACTGCAAATCACTCGAATGCCGCCGCGAAAGATACGCCGTGAACCCATACTCTCTCTTTCCGCAGCGTACAGTGGCATCCCGAGGAAGCACGCCTGTGCCGGTGGGGCAAAGGAGGGGACAGGACAGGTCAAGAGCATGAACGATGTCAAGCCTGAAGGCGCGGTGGGAGGCGGCGTGGGGACGTGGGTTGGCGGCGTCCTATTGTTCTTCAGCCAGTAGTGTCGACGCGTGCTAGCCCCGAAGGGGGTTGGTTCAGGGGGTGGAAACCACCTGGGCACTCCCGTGTTAGTGAGCAGAGTGCCGGGCCGACGAGCTTTGGTGCATGTTTTCTATGGAAACAGGGCTGAGAGACTTCGTGTCCTAACGAATGCGCCCGCCCGCGGCGACCCGCGACCCTTCACCGCCCCGTCGGTTACCAAGCCTGGCCCCCTGCCCGACCACCTGTCACGACCCCTGCCTGGTGTTGTTGTTCCTGGGTGGACCCTGCCTGCAAACGCCAACGCTTGTGACGGTTCGACCCGTGCTTTCGCTCCAGTCTGTCACTATTATTATGTTCAGTCATGAGGAGCGGCAGGCCGCGACTGACCGCCACCGAAACATTTGGCAAGGTCCTGGCCTCTGGGTATGATGGCTTAGCGTGCGGCTTTTCAGGCAGTCGGAGACAAAGGCCATGTCGATCGGAACCAGCAAACTCTACTCTGGCTAAGCACCTTCTGAGTTATAGTCTTCAGCCTGTCCTGTGAACCAGCCAAGCCCTTCATCCTCATGCCGCAGCTTATTCACTTCGTTCATGCCCTCGCAGGCCGTGTCTGCCATGTGATGCAGCTCGTCCAGCGTGAATTGATTGCAGTTGGGAAAGTTGCAGTCAATCGCCTTTTGCCAGATCGACGTCGGGTTGTGGTGGGCAAGATATTCCACTGCATCCCAGGACGCCCGCTGCATCTCTGCCGGTCTTTCATCTTCTGCCACTGCCCAGGCCTGTGTCTCTTCCTCGGGTAGGTATGCCACCGGCTCGTCCGTCACTGCATGCGGCGGCTGTTTCACGCCCATGGCAACCTCGACAAAGCGTTGCTCAAAGGTCCGATACAGCCCGCACGGGTCATCGAAGTCGTAGTAGGCAGGATTTTGGCGGCCTTGTCCCATCGTGTACTGATCGTACCCCAAGCTTGATGCCCGGCAGACGCGGAGTTGGCTGCGCATCTGACGTATTTGCACGGCAATCCACCGGTGATTCTGCGGGGGCCGGACATTTGGCAGTCCTATCCATAGGGTGCTGTCGGGCTCCGGTGGTGGCTCGGGGTGGTGTATTGTCTTCAAGTACACCTGGTCTAGATAGAGCTCCTTAAGTGACCCACTGAAACATCGAAGCATGGACAGCAAGCCAAAACCCATGACCTCCACACGCCGGAGCTCGAGGTAGGCCAGATGGGGTAGGGCTGACTTTGGAGGTTTCCGTATGGTAGGTATGGACCGGAACTGCCACTCCTCGAGAGAAAGGCTCGATTGTGATGATGTCTTGACGACCTCGAACGGCCTGTCGTCGAGATCCAGGCCAATGAGGCACAGGCTTTCGAGGCTTGGTGCTTTCCCTATCATTTCCCACAGCCTGTTACGGAAGGCGATCGTGTGCACGTGGCCTTCTTCGTGCCTCCGAACTGATAGCAATAGATGCTTCAGGTGTCTGAAGACATCGATAATGTTTTTCACGTCGCGCGGGTTATGCCACAGTTTGACGACGGTCGTGTCGGTCAGGTTTTCGATCACCAGAGTCTCGAGCGGCTTCGCCACCTCCCAGTCCCGTTGCGCTAGAGCCTCAAAGGTGTTGCCCATGATCATAGTGGCCGCATGGCAGTGCCGGGAAATGAGTTGGAATGGGAGATTAAGACGAGTGGCGGTCATGTTCGTCGTATGTCGCAAAAGCGTGCCCAGATGCTCACGATATTCAACCTCGGTGAATGAGCTGTCATTCATACAGTAACGAGTGCGCAACTTGGTCACAAAGGGTTCCATGGCAGGCACCTTGTGAAATATCCTGCCCAAGAATCGAACCTCGCCTGCCAGAACTAATGGTCAATATTGGCCATGTTCACCTGCGCCCGGCGGCCTGGGAGGGGATTCTGCATACCATCATCTCGAATCACCATCATGTCGAGATAAAGGGCCCGACAGAGATGGCCTATACGCTCCAAGGCACGCTCGTCTGGAGGACGACGGCTCCTGCCGAGCTTGTCCAGCCGGGTAAACTCGAGCTGTAGCGTCATGAGCGTGGAGGTGCGCAAGACGTCGTCAAACAGCTTGCAGACCCGCCGCATGCCAAGCAACGAGTTCTTGTCGCCATAGTGGTTGGCGATACAGTACTGCAGTATGGAGAGGATGATCTCAGCTGGAAGTCTGTCCATGGTGAAGCAGCACGAGACTACTTGGCGTACCCTAAGTAGGCAGGTAGTTTGCGACAGTGTAAAAGGTGCGACCAGGGCGCTGGCAAGACCGCCTAGACACACGCACTAGAGCCAAGCGCCGTGGGAGTCAAGGGATTCGCGATGGTGACATGCTGTAAACACGAACTCTCGAGACCCTCGCCAGAGAATGAGAGGCAGGTTGTGGCAAGGCCGTGTATTGCGCTGGTTCTGGAGGTGTTTTGGCGAGTTGGCAGCCTGGAAGCTTGTGTGGTACTTGTACGTTAGTCAACGTCGGAGGATGACCACGCCAACGCCGGTGCCCCTGAGCATGTACAGTACGGACCCTCGGGGAGCCCCACAAAAGCGGCGGCCCCATGGAGTGGAAACACCAGGCGGCACTCGCTTGCTTCCATCAGCCCCATGGTGGTGGTGCTTACAACAACAACAACATATTGACGTTCAGTAAGTCTCCCGATCGGCCACCGACATGTCTGCGCAACTTGCATCGAGCCGCCATCCACAAGCGGGACAGACTTGGGGTGAGCGGCCGCAGCTGCGCCAGCTCGCTCGATCAGGCATTACATTGTGGCAGTAAGGCTTGTCTGCTGTGGATCGGCTCAAAACCGTCAGCCACGGTTGCATCAGCACGACCATTCGAATGACTAGAGCAGCTCTACCACAGTTCGCGTCCATGCCAGCCCACAGACACTCCATTGTGCATCTGGACCGTCTTGCACAACCGCAGTGGCATGCAAGTCTGCACCTGACATTCGACTCTCCAAGTTGCGAGGCCTGCTCGGACTATCCCAGATCCGGCAACCCCATCTGAGACACTTGTCTCCGTCACAATCGAGCATGCCTTGCCATGGACTAGCCGGAGGTTCGAATCAGCTGTCGATTCTGCGTGCAGTCTGGCTGTACGTGCCGTTTTGGACGCTGGTCCCGGACACTTGGGTCAAGGACGTGACGTGTGTGTGCAAATGCTTCTGGTTGTGCCTCGGTCCCCGATGTCCCAGCACCATCTTTTCTTCATTTTTGCTGCCTGACTGTGTCCCCACGTCCTTGGGTCGTAGCCCAAAGTCATGATGCCTATCGGAAGATCAAGCCTGATGGTGGGCACCATCACTGGTGCTTTTGTTGTTTCCCTGCTGATTCTCGTCACCCGATCCTTCACGGGGGTCAGGCCGTTCGGCCTTACTACCGACGACTGCCTTGACCTGCCGGGAGGACCATCAGGCGACTACCATTCCGACACCAGGACGAAAGACCGGCCTCTGATCCTCTATGCCTACAGCGAGTCCGAGCACGCCCGCATCAACCTCGGGTTCTTTGTGAACCAGGGCCTGCATGATGCCGCCGACTTCATCTTCATCTTCAACGGCGAGACGGACATGGTCTCTATCGTGCCGCCTGAGCCTAACATCAAAGTGGTCGAGCGCCCCAACACGTGCTTCGACCTCGGTGCTTTCGGAGAGGTCCTGCAGGAAGACAACTTGTGGAAAAAGTACAAGCGCTTCATCACCCTCAACGCGAGCATCCGTGGCCCCTTTGTCCCGTTCTGGAGCGACCAGTGCTGGAGCGATGCATACCTGGGAAGGCTGACCAACGAGACTAAGGTGTGTTTCCCCATGGGCCAAAAGACAAAGCAGAGGCCTTGCTGGTTTCTGACGATGACGTTCCCTGTCACCACAGCTCGTCGGCATGACGGCCAGTTGTGGCCCGCCATCCTTTATTCATTCCAGTATTTGGGCCACAGATGATGTGGGCATGGAGATACTCCTTCATCCGCCGCCCAAACCTCGCGAGGACGGAAGCTCGAGCGGACACCCCTGGACAGTCGGCTATTCGACCTGCTATGCGACAATGTGGGACGCCATCGACGCCGAGGCAGGGACGACCTCGATGATGGAGCACGCCGGCTACCATGTCAAGGCCCTCATGTCGACGTGGAGTGCAACGCCAGGCGACATGTACTGGGAAGAGTGTGCCTACCACCCGGGGGACCCTAGTGTGCCGGGTGCTTATCAAGGCACCAATATTCACCCGTACGAGACGTTCTTCCACAAGTCGAACCGGGGGATCGACCCGGCGATGCTTACATTGATGACGACTCTGCACTCCAAGGGATATAATGCCGGCCGAAGCTACCAGCTGTGTAAATGAGCAGCACGTGGGCCGGTATTGGCAAGCCCGAGTGAGAAGTCTCTTTTCTAGTGGCGGCCACGATAAGGAGAAAGCTGCGGTTGTGGTGGTGAGATCTAGAACAGTTCGAACAAAATGTTGAACACAAAGAGACTAGCGGCGTAGTCCCAGATTTGCTTTCGTGACCGCGTTGATTGCTGAGTCCCATGTACCTTCTGAGCCGCTGCAAGCCGTCACGGAGCCATCTGGGCAAGCTAATGCAAGCCGCCCGTCCGCCCCGCCCGCGCCCGCCGACGAGCCCCGCTGGCGACACCAGATCCCCCGGGCCTCGCTCGCCGACTCCGGAGGCCCGACGTGCTCAAGTGGGGACTGAGAAGCCGGTTGGACCATCACCATATCTCTTGTCTTGAAGACTGTGTTCCTGGCAGCACGTTGTACTTGCCATTCCCTCCACAACTCAGGACTCAACCGAATCAATCACTTTGTTAGCTCGCCAACGGTCTCTCCCTCCCCCCCCCCAATAAAGCCACAATGTCATCACCGCCACCATCGCTCCCCTCCGACGCCGAGCGGCGGGCAGCCCGTGACGCAAAGCCCATCCCACCACCAGTACCGGCATACCTAGCGGCTGCCGGGGAGGACAACCCGTCGCCGCTCGCTGTGGACAGGAAGTTGTACGACACGATCCAGGCGGCGCCGCGGGTGCTGGTGGAGGACTTCTTGATCCCGATCCGCTCGGGAAAGGCGTGGAAGGCGCCTGCAGGTGCAATTGTGCGGATCAGCACGCCTGAGGGAGCCCAGGTCGGTGAGTGACCTTTTTTTTCTTCCTTTTTTTCTTTTCCTGCTTCCTTACTTTGTCTTAATACAAACCTCCTCACTTCCCATTCTTCCCCCACTACTACAACCACGCCTTCATGTGAGACTGACTTGTGACGGTGGGGGAAAACAATAAAGGCGACCTTAACCTCTGGTCCGCTCACAACCCGCGCGAACGCTTCTGGGCCTCGCGCACGCGGCAGCTGCACAGCACGCACGTCTCCGTGTACGACCGGCTGTGGTCCTGCCTGCCCTACATGCGGCCCCTGGTCACCATCATCCGGGACACGCTCTCCTGGTACGGCACCGACTCGACGGGGGGGCGGGTCCACGACCTGCTTGGCACGGGGTGCGACCCTTACATCAAGGCGGTGCTGTCCGAGGACGGGCGGGCCCGGTATGACTACCACTGCAAGAGCAACCTCGCCCGCGCGGTCGCGGGCTCGGGCGAGTTCCCCGGCTGGACCGAGGCGGATGTTCACGACGTCATCAATATCTTCCAGGTCACGGGGCTCGACAGCAAGGGACGGTATTTCATGAACCCTTGTCCTGCTGTCAAGGGGGACTGCCTGGAGTTTTTGGCGGAGCAGGATGTGCTGTTCGCGTTGAGTGAGTTTATTCTCCCGAGTTTCCCCTGGTGATGCGTTTCGCCGTCTTGGGTGTCCAGGTCGCCTGCTGGGCCTGGCAGGTGCTTGGCTTCGGGCTTTTTGTCGCTGGAGCCCAACCTCGCCGACAAATCTATCATGCACTAATTCAATGACACAAAAATACAGGCACTTGTCCTGGTGGCGACCTTTCTCAATGGGGTCTGGGCTCAGACAGCGACGAGGTCATGCTCAAGTGCTGCCGCCCTCTCCGGGTCGAGGTGTTTCGGCTCGAAGACGAGGCTCTGCTGCAACGTAGCGGCTGGAAACCTGCTGAGGTCTCCAGATACAGAGGGCGGCATGGCATGACTGTCCCACTCGGTGAGAATCAGGGCGAGCTGTGACGGGCCCAATTTTACCTAGACATCGAAGTTTACTCCTTATTTCTGATCACTACAAAGCTATTCGGAATGTCCCTTGTGCTGTTCGAAAGGAATATCAGCCAAGACCAGTTCTCAGCTTTCCATTGCTCTCCTTGGAAACACAAAACATCAGCAGAGTGTATAACGCAGTGTCCTCTCATACAACGGCACTCATAGTTCATGCTCGGCCATTATAAGCCAACAGATTGTTCTTCGACAGAGCCAGGCTGATAGAGTTCATATTGGCCACGGACTGCAAGTGCTCACACAAAGTCGTGGGCGTATAGTCGCCTCCGAGACCAATCATGTAGGCCGCGAGCCCGGCGACGTGAGGGGCAGCCATGGAGGTTCCTGAAGCCGTGTTCGTGTTGCCATCGTTCCATGTGGATATAATATCAACGCCAGGGGCAAATATATCGACTGAATCACCAAAATTCGAAAACGAGGCTCGGACGTCTTTGCGATCAGTAGCACCGACGGTGCACACGGTGGGCTCAGAGGCTGGTGAAACGAGCTCTGCCGGCAGACCCCAATTCCCAGCAGCGACAGAGAGGAAAAGTCCAGCCTCGACAGCTGCTGCGGCGGCTTTGTTCAATGCATGACCCAGAAAACGCAACCCACCGATGGAAATATTGGCAACACTCTTCTCCATCCCTGTAGAAGTCGAGGTGTCAGAAGTGAAGAACAGAGGAACATGCCATCCGCAGCAAATGTCAAAACTTACATCCATTCTGATTAGCATGGTTGACTGCCCACTCAAGACCAGAGATGACCCCAGCAGTGCTGCCGGTGCCGTTTGCCCCGAGGACCTTGACGCCAATGAGTGAGACCTTCTTGGACACGCCGTATGTCTTGGAGCCAACAGTGCCGGCCACATGGGTTCCATGACCGTTGCCGTCTGTCATGTCTTCTCCTTCGACAAAGGCGGCACCCATGGAGGCACGACCCTCGAACTCCGGGTGCTCTGTGAAAATGCCAGTGTCGATAATGTAGGCATGAACACCCTCCCCTGCTGAATCATCATAAACGTACTTTGTTGTTCCGGGCTGACGACTAGAAACACGCGCCAGACCCTAGGTGGCATTCGCCTGGGTCGTCAGGGCGGCGATCGATATCTTCTCATTTGGAGCAACGTATGCGACCTGCGATAAACATAAGCCACGTGAGTCGCACATTGGCGAGCCATGAATGTCGTTGGTGGGCACGCACCTCTGTCAAGCTGGCCACGAGATCGATGACATGCTGGGGCGAGTCAATAAAAAGACCCTTGAACGAGCCGATGGCGAATGATTTGTTTGGAGCATGGCCGAGGAGATTAGCGATTCTGGTTGTGGCAGAAGCGACTGTGATATCGTCTCTGAGAACGACGATCCAAGAGTCTGGAATGGATGCAGCACGAGACTCGAGAACAGGGGCAGCCAGGACCAAAGGAGCGGCCAGCAAAACCCCGAGGAGCTTCATGATGAATGTTGCGGCTTGGTGTCTGACGTAGTATATGCTTGATAACGGGATGGCTAGTAGCTGGATCAAGAAGTTGATGGCAGAAAGCTATAAAGTGACGAGAACAGTGAGAGTACCCGCGAGGGCCTTATGAACCGCGAGTCGGTTCTGGAGGTCAGAAGAAATCTCTGTTCGAGCTCGAAGCTTGTGGATACTGTACATCAAAGCAAGTGGCAGGTGGGGGAGGCCGGGGCCCTCGATGCCGTCACTCCCACTTGCGTGCAGGTGATAGCCATGTCGAGCACTCTGCCCGTGGTCGCAAATGCCGTTCGGGGCAAGGCTCGTGGGCGGGTGCAGATGACATTGGAGAGCAATGCCAGGACGAAAACGCAGGAGCGACAATGGCGAGGAACGGATGCTTGCCCATGGCATCTGCAGGTGTTGTTGTGGGGAGGCAAGGCCAGAAGATGCTGCGAGGGCTGCCAGTGCATCGTCGCCAGATGGGGAAGGCACGTTCCTTGTGGTGCTCTTCTCTTTCGCCGGCAACCACCAGGAATGGATTGCCTGCCAGCCCTTTCCTCCTCACCTTGCAAGCACCAACAACATCCTGGCATTGCTCGCCGGGTTAGTCTGCGTCGTGGCCTCTGCCTCTGTCCGGCGCTTGTCTCTTGCTGGACATTGGACCAGGCAATGGGAAGTAAGTGACAAGTTTGCTTCGCCAGGAATACCGGCATGCCAGCTAGGAGGACAACAATCAACACGAGCAATCCCGAGCAACACATACTCGGACCTCCAGTGCAGGACCAATCATGGACCACAACCAACATGAATGACTGGCCAAGCAACTTGGAGGCAAACTTCCTTCTCTTTGTACCTTCTCTTTGTATCTGAACCTTGCACAAGGGTTCTTCCAGCCAAGTTCCCTTGTCGTGCATCTGATGTGCCCTTTCTACTCGGGACAAATGCAACAAAGAAGGTGGTTCATTTTCTTTCAAGATAAATGGAGGCTCTCCGACAGCAGACCGCTTGGCAGTCTCCCATCCGAACATCGTCCCGAACCTTCCATATCACCCGGATACAGGATCGAAGCACGCTATCTTAGCACCAATACAACACCTGGAGGCTGTCGCCACGTAACGCAAGGCCTCGTGTCTGCAGCCAGATCGACTCTGGATGCGTTAGGAATCTGGTTGTTACGAGGTTGCGCGTTTTCACTCTTACGAGAGTATACGGTGCCACGATGGCGCTATTGGATCTCCCCGTCGAGATTCTTCTCTTGCTGCCGGCTCATCTTCACGACCTTCGAGCTTTAATCAGCTTGAAATCGACATGCAGAGCTTTGCACGTCGCTCTTGAACAGACCTTACCCAACACTATTTTGCGACTTGCCGTCCAATCCGATCCAAGACTGCTGAAAGCCAAGCGAACGCGGCCGTCGACACATACTCTCGCACTCGCAGTTGCGGGCCAGGTATCCGATTGGGCCATCGGAAATATTTCGCGCACGGAAAGACTTCAGCGTGCCTTTCTACAAGGCTCTCGCGGCATCTTGATGCTTGGGCTGGAAATGGCAGGACTATCCCTGGCTGAGCTCCGAGTGCTCTGTGGTGACGGCAGGCGTAGCAGGAACATGTCGTCTACACTGGACCGCGTCGTGGCTTGCATTGCACAATGCCATGGCGATCGGGAGGACCGGGTGATGTTGCGCAGTACAGGCATGGCAGCCGACATGGTCTACCACATGGCAATCTATGGCGAACTCTTCAAGTCCACCAGGCTGGCATGCTTGAACCCTGAAGCCAAACATGCACGCTTCTCGGCTGATGTACGGCAGGCGTACCTGATGAAGTGGCCTGCACTGTCAGAAGCAACACCAACCCTGGCGCCGTTTCTGAAGCTGTTGAGTCTTCCCGAAATTGATGCTGGGCCGCGTTCAGACATGACCGCAGAGGACGCGACGTCGGAAACATTGGGGAAGATCTTCCGGCGCGAGTTGGTTAGTCTGGCGAGCAACCAAGCATGGCAGATGAAGTGGCGGACCGCATTGCATGGCGCCGGAATTCTCTCGAAGCAGAGCACCCCCGAGGAAGACTTGTTCTGGATCACGACGATGCAAAGCTGTGGCCTTGCGGGCCTGGACGCCTGGTCGACAATGCAATCTTCGAGAGCGGTCCGCTGCGACAACCTAGAAGCAGGGAAGTGGATAGAGGAGAGGCGCATCATGGTCGAAGGGATCCGACGCAGTTCACGACAAGTTCGAGACCGAGCGCTGCTCACAAGCAACGAGGACGACTGGCCTGACATCTTTGAGGATCTACGTCTGGTGCAGGCCATGCAGCGTTCAGATTCGGGGTAGGAGTGCCTGCAGCCCAAAAAGTCAGATATTGGGAGGGTGACTCGTCACCTTCGACGTGGACATGACAGCTGCATCTAATTTAATGACGCTTTGCAAACAACCACATGGCACGCGTGCGTCGGCTACCGGCCCAAGGAAACGCGACGCCTTGCCAGGGTTGCGCATAAACGCCATTTCCGTAGGACCCCTGGGCTGATCGCGAGATCGGCAGCCTATAAGAGGTGGATGGGAGCAGGAATAAGCAAAGGTGGTCTTGACGCATGAAGTGCATGGCGAGGGCTGTCGATTGCGGCGCTGCAGGATGGGAATAAGAAACACGTCGGGGACAGTCGCAGGCTGCTTGTGGAGGAAGACGAGACGAAAGGGGTGGGGCCCGTGTGATTTGCATTGTTTCTCTCGAGACAAGACAATGCCAAAGTCAAACTATCCTGCCGCGCCGAGCCCCGTCATGGCCCAGCTGGAGGCGTCCCGGGCTAGCCTCAGGGGTCTTAGGGACCCGGAACAGTGGCCATGCGTGCGTGTTGTCTGTCGTGTGGAAGCCGCCAGGAATGTCGTGGGAAGTGAAGTGTCGCCGGGTGGCCCCCTTTGTGGAAACCCTCCAAGGTCGGGATAACTACCGGGCGTGACCTGACGTGTACACGTGCCTGATCCGCTGGTTGCGACTCCTGGCTACCGGCAGAGTATACTCTTGAGGTAGAGGCCAGGTCGCGGAGAATGACTGAGTGCTGAACTGATGCAGGGGCGTTGGTGGTGCTGCAGAGTAATGCAACAGAAGAGCGGGTGTGCGTGGGCGGGCCCTGATTGGCGCTGGCCCGGGGTAACACCCCCAGGCCAGGGTTTGACATGGAGCGGTGCCTGAAGTGGCTGCTTTCCAAACCCACTCCCACTTTGTTTGGGTGCAACGCTCTTCTCCCATCAGCCCTTCCGAGACCAATGCCACCCTCCACAAACAACACCACAACAATAAACAGCAAGCTCTCCGCTGCCAGGATCCCCATTCTGTTTCCTGGCCCCCGTCCTGCTTCCACGCACACTCCAACCACCACCGCCACCACAACAACCACAACCACAAAAACAACAAACCTCCATCGCCAACGTCTGGCATCACCACCAGCCTCCACAGCCCGCTATTGCCCCCAGCCGTGTAGCCTGCCTCGGCCAATCTCAACCCGGTCCACCACACTGTTGCCTCCGCCAGACCCGCCGTTGGCCAATGCTTGCAAACCATCCTCTGCCGCACTGACGTCCTCCTCCTGATCCCACTAGGACCGCCCTAGCTCCATCTCCTAGCAATTAGTCCACCAGGAGGCACCCCGTCAGCCGTCTGGCCATTCCTCGTGGCGGCCCACGACACAGTCTCCTCCGTAGAACCTTTTGAGCTGCAGCCGGGCCTCTGCACGCGCCCTATCTGCGAACGTTGCCGCACCACCTCAGCGGGCGAGCGACGGCAACACGAGCACAACGAACGCCTTCATCCAGCCTCGGAAATGCCCAGCATACTGCATAGATACAGACACAGCCGCGAGAAGAGCCGCGAGGGCACTCCTCGGCCTCCTGCCGTTGACCGTAAGCCCTTGTCCCAGCCTGCCATCCACGCTGTGGGGTCCATCCCGCTGGCGGCTCCAATTCAATCTCGTTCCGGGGATTGATCCCGAAGCCAAGCCTCGAGGCATCTTTCACTACCCTTTGCAGATGACTGACTGTTTTCTGAGCAACTCCAGCTGCGACGAAGAGCACACCAATATTCGATGCTTCCCAGACTTCAAACCCATCCCAGACAACAGCCGTATCCCATCCTTTGAGCAGCATCTCGCGCTCAGACAGCACCAGTGCATCCTATCCTTCAAAACAGGCGCCGACGTCGGATCCAGCCAACCTGGCGCCCCCGACACAATCCAGAGGGAACGCAACCATCAGGACGGTTGCCAGTTTTGAGACACCCTCGGAACTATCGACAAGCGGCACGCGGTCAGCTAGAAGCAGCGGCTTCTCTGCATCCGCGGCCAGTGATGCGAGCGGCGCCTCCGACATCGACATCTCGAATCACCACAACGTTCAGCCAGACCTGCAAAGGCAGCCGTACAACATGTCCCGCTTCAAGTCGCCATCTCCGGGGCCGGAGAGCCGATTCGGCAGGTCACCCACAACACCAGAGTTCTCAACCAACGGCGATGGTCTGGATGAGAAGACAATGTCATTACAGGTTCCAGAAAGCAATTCAGGCGACCTCTCCGGGTTTACCAGGGAAGGCTCTCCGGGCTGGGATGGAGCAGTCGGCAAAGCAGGTCTTGGAAAGACGGGACGTGTCATCAACAAGCTGGTGGCGGACAACGACAGCCTCAAGCGCGAGATCAAGATCGAGCGGCTGAAGGCGGACGAGGCGAAACAGTCTGCGAGGCTGATCGAAGACAAGATGGACAAGTTGGTGGCCGACTATGAATCACGGCTCCTCGAAGCCAGCGTCACCAAGACATTGTTGGCCAGGAAAGAGCGCCAAGTCGAGACTTTGCAAGCGGCTGTCGAGCTGGAGAAGAAGCGCACGTCTGACGCGCAGGAGAGGGAGAGGACTTGGAAGCACGAGATGGAACAGAGCCGGCGGGAAACCAAAGTGCAAGTACAAGAAGCAGTCGCGCAGGCTGCGCTAAGTGACGGACGATACAATGCGATAGCCTCGCACTGGAGGGATCAAGGGCTGGACGTGAAGCGCGCGGCTGCCAAGCTCGACAGCAGGATAAAGTCCCTCGTGGAGGAACGGCAGGAGGATGACGAGCGTATCAACACTCTGCGTGACTTGTGCGACCAGCAGGACGGCAACATCCGAGAACTCAGGGAGCAGAAGGAGGAGATCAGCCGCCAGTTTGAGGCGTACAAGAGGCAACAGGAAGAGGCCCTGCAGGAGATCAAGCGGTCGGCCAGGGAGAGGGAAGAGACACAGCGCAAGACACTGGAGGAGGCCAAGGAGGTGCTTGACAAGCTGAAGTGGGCTCTTAATGTCAAGCAGACCGTTGCGGGCGCGCAGTAAGGGTCGACTGCATCGCAAACACAGAGCCTAAGGGGAGCACTCACTCGACCATCCACCACAAGTTCAGCCTTTCCGCGCCGCCCGACTCTTGATCCCAAGTCACCATCAGCTAGCTCATGGTGGCTGTGGGCACGACGCCCATGACAAATTTTCACTTCACTCATTCATTTTTGGTTCTACTTGTCGCAGGATACCACCAAACCACGATTCGAAAAGCAAGAATGGCGTTCAGGTCCAAAACTTTTATTACATTCGACAACACTTCGTTTTAACAGCTCCGGATTGGGCACTCTTAGATTGGGGGTCGACTACTTATTGGCAAGATATACAAATCGGTTCATTGGGTTCTTCACGGGAGGGTCTTCTTTATTCGTCACTTGCTCTCTCGGTACTGGGCCCCTCTCCATATATATACAATGCCTATGCGTGAGGATGCGCCACCCTCAATCTTTTTTTTGGTTTTCTTTCGCTCTTCTTTCCCTTTGTGAAAGACTTCACGTCTAGCGCTCCTTGTGTGATTGATGTTGCTGTATGAACCGTGCCTCATGTCGCTTGGTATTTGGTGCCCTTTTCTGTCGCAGGATGTCTTGATGTTGGGAGCGTACCGGCTGCGACCCCGGAAAGGACGCAGGCTACTAGGGAAGGAGGTTGAAGTCTCCCAACCATGTTTTTCCATAACAACACGAAATGCTCGTCTTTTCATGGGAGTACGTACCATCAGAGTTTTGGTCCGCAACCGACCGCACTCTTCTTCAGCCAGCATGAACAGACAGACTTGGCTACTTTGTGATCTTCGTGATTTCATCTAAGAAAAACCTCGCTACTTTGTCCGTACACCGGAGCTACAGAAATCATCGAGTAAGTGGGCGAACGATAATTTGGCCACCCGCAGAACGAAGTGTAATGCTCACTCCAGATTGCGGCCAGGCATTCGTTGCATGGCAACGAAAAGGCTGCACCGAGGCTGTACCATAGTAACTCTCTCTCTCTCTCTCTAAGTAGTAAATGAAGAACCATAACTTGCCCCCATCTTGGCTCAATCTCTTAATCGTCGTATGTCTCCTCGTACGCCTCCTCATACTCGCGCTGTGCCTCCTCGAGCTCCTTGCGGCGCTCCTCGAGACTCTCGCGGTCGCTACTTGACACGGACGAGCCAGACCTGGTCTCCTCGGGCAGCTCCTCGGCGTACGCCGGGTGGGTCGGGGGCGGCGCGTAGGTGCCGGCGGGCTGGTAGCTGGTGCTGTCGCCCGAGGCTACGTAGACGGGCTGGGCTGCTTTGTTGTCGTCTTCGGCTGTTCAGAGGGGGAAGAGAGGGAGAGAAGGACAACTTGTTAGCTATTGCATGATACCGCCACCGCCAAAGTATCTTCCTATTCAAGTGGGAACAGTTGGAATGGGAGGACTTACTCAACTCGTGCGCAATAATGGCGCCACCGATGGCACCGACCGCGGCACCACCAACACCAGCAGCGACGAGCTTGCCGGTGCCAGAGCTCTCCTTCTTGTGCTCGCCGTGGCCGCTGTCTCCGCCGTAGCCGCTGTGGCTGCCATGGCCGAACTCGCCGTGCTGGGGAGGCGGAGGCATGGGGCTCTGGCCGCTGTAGTAGTTGTCGCTCTCACCGCGGTTGAGCGCGTATGGAGGCTGTCCAGGGGGAGCACCAGGAGGGGGGCATAGGGACCCTGCGGAGGATGGCTGCCGATCACGGCGGGAGGATCCCACTGGGAGCGTCCAGTGGCCTGCTCGACGTAGTACCAGCGGTTCTGGTTCTGGTCCCATCTAGAAAGGAAGAGAAGAGTAGCGAGTTAGCTAACGGCCTTGTTGTGATGTGATGCCCAGCACCCTTCTCTACAAGACTGCCATATAAGATACAGCGGCATGGACAAGTGACTCGTCCATTAGGCGATGCCAGATGTGCGTGAGTCGTCAGGGATTCAGACGTACTGGGCGTGCCAGCCAGGAGGCATCGGGGGTGGAGCTCCATATGGCGCGGGAGGGCCCTGGGGCGGCGGGTAGTGCTGTTGAGGCGGGTATTGGTGTTGTTGCGGCGGGTACTGACCCTGGGGCGGGTACTGTTGATAGGGAGGCTGCTGGTGCTGGTCGCCGCCAAAGTTGCGATTCCCGGTCTGGTCTGTGTTGTTTGAGATGTTCTGTCAGTATATGTGTCACAAAGGCCATTTTGAGATCGTGATGGTGAGATCATTGTGAGACCCTCGTGACTGGTTGATTAGGAGAATGCCGACTTACCAGGAGGAGGAGGAGCCGATCCGTGGTTGTCAGCGGGCTTCTCGTTCTTCTTGTCCTTGTCCTTGTCGTCCTCAAACAGGTCTTCGACCTTGTCAACGAGCTTCTTGAAGAACGACATGGTGATGACGGCCGTTTGTCGACGGCTCTCGTTCAGGGCAATGTGTTGATACGGAGGGAGTGGATGAGGATGTGCTTGCTCAGCAATAACACAAGATGGACAGATCTCGCAGAGACCACGTGGTAGAGAAGACCTAGTCAAGCTGTTGCTGTGGCCAACGCGAAGGGAGTATTTATGAAGTACTTGAGGGAAGACGGAGGAATGTCAGGGCTGTGCCACGGTTTGAGGCGCGGGGGATATTGATATATTAGACGGAACCCCACCATCCAGGCGCGTGTGCTGTGCCTGAGAGCAGTTGCTTCATCGAGAGCTGTAAGTGTCAGGTGCTGCCAAGCCAGCGAGGAGCGACCCCTGGGGGAACAGTGGAAAGGGTCCGGTCCATGGCTTCCTGCCCATCCATGCTCGCTCACATGCGCAATTATTCCTCTGGAGGACACCCGGCTGCTGAGCGGCCTCCGGGCATTGTCCAGAATCGCTTGTCGCAGCCGCGGGGCACGCCCTGCAGTGTGCAACGACGTTGCTCGCGCGTGTGCCACCGAGATGATCTTGGCACCAGCCCGGGGGACCCTGAAAGGGCTCTGGCGCCGGAGCATTGCTGTGGTACTGTGCGGTAAGCTCACGTTCCCTGGCATGCTTGTCCATCGTCAGGTCGGGGCACCGCTGGGGAGTCCCTCCACGTCACCTGTCGCATCGCGGGCTTGGCATCAGATTGCACCACAAGACTGTGTGGATCGTCCAGGCATGGATGGCTGGCTTGGCTTGGGTCACACCCCTCGATCTCCGCCTCGATAATTATCAGTCAGTCTCCATACTCCAGCAGCGCCGGTGGACATGTCCGGAGTGGTCGAGCATCGATGTTCTCCTCGGCCAGATACCGGCCTGGTGCTCGCAAGGTTTCTCTTCTGCGAGTAGTAAAGTAGTCTCACGCATAGACCAGGGCACGACCGCCAGAACAATACCTACAAGAGACGCCAACGCCGAAGCCAGCGCGCCGTGTAACAACTGAGGAGGAAATAGGTAGACTCGCAGACGATCGAAGCATCATCGTTAGCAACTGTATGGCGTACGGTATCAACACGACTATGCAGCGGCCATGATGTCTGGTAGTCCTTCTTGCCCGAAATAGCAAGTCTCAGTGTATCTGACTGGACGCCACGGAGCTCCACTCACTCGGAGGAGAGACAGACGTTTTGGCTGCGCAAAGCATAGCGCCCGAGAGTGTGTAATTGCCAGATCGACTCCCCATGACCGCGCTGCGCACATCAGGCGGCAATGAGTCCAACCGTCGTGCCTGCAGAAGGTCGGACTGGCTTGGACGATTGCTTTTCTCTCGCATCAAACGGCCCAGAGAGTGCTTAGGATCCTGACGTGCCACACGGGTTGCGATGGGCACAGCCTGTGCGAGATGAGTGCTCGTGGCTGTTGATGCTATATTGCCGAGGTGCCAGGCACATCTCTGACACTGTGGATGGACCCCGAAATGCCTTAGCCCTAACATCGCAGATGACTCCGTCTCGTGTTGCTTGCCCAGGTCGCAGGTTGTTACTACTATGGTATGATACCCTGAGCGTCAAAGGTGCATGTCCCGGCACGGTCTGCCGTTGTCGCAGATACACATGGAGCTTGTCGGCCCACCATTTGCCGCTTTGGTGTCTGTCTTTCAGCTGAACAAGGATCTTGCTGTGCATCCACCCGCAGGGCTGCGTCTTGGCTCGACAAGGGGCTACGCGGCGGCGTCCGACATCTTCGTAAAGCCTCCCGAGGTCGTCAATCCCTATCACTGCTCAACATTTGGTGCATTCCTCTCAGATACTCCAGGGCATTACTAAGCTTGCGGCCGTGATATTTGGGCAATGAATCGGGGCGCTGCCCAGCGATGGACTCAAAAGTGGTCGTCAGAGAGAGAGAGCAGACACCAATCATTATTCGACTCGGGACTGCCATTCCTAAAGCGTAATGCTTGGCTACTTGACGGACAACAATCGCACGGCCCCTGCACGATCTCCATCACTGTGCAGCAGGCCAGGCAAAATATCAGCAGGCATGGGCAACCAGGACAAGGATGGCGTGTTCTCGAATCGACACTGTACATACGATTCGTCGGACCAATGCTCAACGTCGTTCATTTGCCCATGCGGACTGACGTCCTATCAAAGGTCCGTCCCAGTGAGCGGTAGTGTGGTGCTTGTGTCATGTCCTGCCTCTGGCGAAGTTCCGGGGTTGTTTTAAGCTTGCTTTAAGCTTCCCCAAAACTTTGTAGTCTCTTGTTGCTAGTCACTCGGGCCGACCCGCTTTACATCATGTCAGTTGATGGTGCACACGACGAAAACGAGCTCTCCGGGTGTCGACATCTTTGAAGAGCTGTCGACCAATCGCTACACACTGCATCGCAGTGGACAATGTCAGCCAGTGACAATTTTGATAATTTGCTGGATTGAAAACGCGTGCTTCGTATAAACATACAATTTGGATCAACGCGTGCCTCATCATCATCAGCCGCCAAGCCTGAGGATGGAGACGAAGACGAAGCAACTACACTAGATGCCAACCAGCATTCTCCCGGGCAAGAAGCAAGTCGAACATAGACCCAATGGATTATCAGCCTAGTCTCCGAATGGCGGTATCTGTTATGCTCCCTAAGCACTAACACCAATAGATCTCAGAATCAAGACCATGTTTTTCTGTATATCGAGAAGCCTTGTCGACGAGGGCCTGTCTTGGAGTTCCAATCATAGCCACTTTTCAACATCCGGCACAACATCTGCAGCTGCCAGGTCTGAGCCATGACGGCCAGATTTTTGTCTTCACCAGAAGGAAAAGTCGTTGCCTTCCTCCCCATCGGAGGCGGATTCGAATTGTGGAGTATCCTGTGAGGGAGTATCGCCATGGGCGGAGATCTCGTTGTCGATAATCTTCTGGAAGAGATTGGTGATCTGTTCGACGTCCGACTCTTTGTGCCGCACAAGTATGCATGAAGTGGTGGGATCGAAGATAGCTTGGCAGTCCTGCTCAGTTTTAATCGCTGTTCGTTATAATCCTTGGATGTATAAGATACTTACCAGAGCCAGACGCTGCGAGATTTGAGTGAACAATATGGCGTCGGTGGGCGAGCACGGCTGGGGTGCCACAAGCAGGAGGTCACTCCACAGGTCTGGGCTCGTGTCGGTGCGATGCTTGACTGGTGCATCCTCAAGTCCCGCGTCGACGGTTTGCACATTGTCGGCTGCCCATGCTGGATACTTCTGCTGCAGGGTTTTGGCGACCATGTCTCGCGCAGCCACGCGCTCCTTGTTCTTCTTCCTTCTTGCGGCTGACGGCATTTCTCATGTCCGAGATGACGGAGCAGAGCCAATTGCTTGGGACTTTGCGCCGGAAAGCTGCAGTGAGCTGTGGGACTGCGGGATTGTGCGTGGATTTGCTTGTAGACTGACCTGCAGCAAAGTGGGAGATGAACATGTTGCGAAGATGCTCTGCAGCAGAAATCAGCCAGGAGGCCATAAGGACCTTCCAGGAGGATCATTTGACAGAAGCCCCAGCACGGTATCACGTTTGCACGCCAAGGCTAGCGCCCGAGCTGCCCAGGCGAACAAACAGCAAGCGCCGCCTTTGCCTCAGACGGCACCTGCCTCGAGGCTCTGCCAGTATTGACACCCATGGATGACCATGCCGGTCGGCTTCTAGCTCAGTCAGAGGGCTGCTCATCATTTTTTCACAACAGACTCAGATACCTCGAGTCCATGCCGAGATACTGCATGCAATCGTGCTGTATCATAGCTTCCGACTGAAACGTCAGTTGCACAGGTGAATACGCAAGCCCATGACAGTGGCCCAGTGCCAGCAGCTCAATGTCGGGCAACGAGTGAGGCGTCATCTTTCGACGACACGGAATTTGAGATGGTGAGCCATCTGCTAACAACATGTATCCGAGCATACTTGCACGAAGATAATTATGCAGCTACTTTTGGCACTCATATTTCGATCGCACAAGATTTGGAATGGTGTGCCAGACTTCTGTTTTTCTGCGATCCCGCAAGAAGCAACTACGACTGTTGTACGAGCCGTCCAGCATTGTGCAGGCTGGAGTCGATCTGCGTCAAGGATCTCGGGCCAGCCTTGACAGCCCCAGCTGCAGATGAGAAAGCCGAGACATTGACCAAATCAACAGAGACATGCTCATCACCAACAAAGCACCGATCAATTCCGTCAATCTTCAACAGCCAGGCGTCAAGTCGGCAACTACAGAAGCATTCATGAGGAGTCCACAAGTGCTGCTGGCGTGCGGACAAACAGCTCCAGGCCAGGCCCCCGCTTGCGGGTACCCCACCCACTAGGGGTCGCCCGTCTCAAGTGCTCACACTGCCCGGAAGGTGGTATCCATCCATTCAAGCTGACCCGGCAAGGGCGGCGACCCCTACGAGCTTCACAAGCCAACAAGCATTCGCGGGTCCTGAGACCACACATTCTCCCACCACTTGCCACATGTCGGCGTCCAGTCCCATACGCCGCGACTCTCACGCGGCTCTCAGACAGACAAACGACTGACCAGCTTTCGTACGCCTCGCTCGGCCGCCCTGCTCCAGCAACGCCACACTCCACCACCAACCGCGCCTGGGGTGCTTCGCCGACACATCCGGGCCATGAGCTGACTAGGGAGGTTGGAGCCCTCCTGTCGCCATCGGGCGCCCGTCCTGCACTGCCAACGTCATGCCGCCGCGACGCTCTCACAAAAAGTCCCGGGCCGGGTGCAAGCGGTGCAAGTCCCGCAAAATCAAGGTGCGTACCATGCCGTGCGCATGCGACTGGGAGGCCCATCGGCTACAAGAGCATCACGCACTAACACGCGACGTCCTCATGAGTAGTGCGACGAGAACCACCCGAGATGCGGGAATTGCACCAAGCACGGCGTTCCCTGCGACTTTGAATATCCAGAGCTCGCCAGTAGCTTCGCCGCCGCCGAGACGCCCCGTGTCCCTCCTTCCGAATATGCCGGCAGCCCTGCTTCCAGTGGCTTTCCGCCAACACCGGCGATGGCCCCGCGCACGCCGATGCCTCTCTACCGCAGCCCGAATCATACTACTATCACCACGACTTCTACTGACCGGATGATGGAACTTCGCCTTCTCCATCATTGGACCACAATCACCTGCAAGACGCTCGCTATTCGCGACCCATCCAGCGAATACATCTGGGCGGAGAAGGTGCCCAATCTCGCCTTCTCGGGCGCCCACTTTCTCGCCGATGCCGTACTCGCCGTGTCTGCGCTACACCTTCGATCTGCCACTCCACACGACCAACAACTGGTCAGGGCTAGCCATAGCTACATGGCGGCTACGCTTTCAGAGTATGCCGCAAGTCTCAGCAAGGGCATTACCAAGTCCAATGCAGAAGCCTTATTCCTGACAGCCGCTCTCATTGCCTTTCAGTCAACTGCATCTCGTGTCTTTGTGCGCGACGAAGGCGTCATTGGAAGCAAGGACGAGCCCTCACGCTACCAGATTCCCTTGTCGTGGTTCCACTCATTCCAAGGTGTCAAGGCTGTGGTTGCTTCAAGTTGGCAGTTCCTCCGTGATAGTGGGATCGTGCTAACAATCATTGAGGCCCAGCCGGCGCTCAATCTTCACTTCGGAGAGCATACGAGTACCCATTTCGGACACTTACTAGAAGGACTCGACAAGGAAATTCTGGAGTCTGGCGAGAGTCCAGAAGACCAGGCCCTAACGGCGCAGGCATACCAGCATGCTGTAGCAGTCATGAACTGGGTGCATAGGATCCCAAAGACAGCGGCGCCTCTCGTGTTCCTCGCCACCGTTTCCAAGCGCTTCATCGATCTCCTCGAAGCCAAGCGGCCCCGCGCCTTAGCTATCCTTGCCAACTATTTTGGCTTGCTCAAGCTACTAGACCGCCTTTGGTGGCTCAAGGGTGTCTCCAGGCGCGAGATCATTGGCATCATCTCTCTTTTCGACCCCGACGATGAGTTCTGGTGGCCCAAACTACAGTGGCCGTTACGAATCGCCGTCTACGATGGCGACGTTATCCCCACGGAATTGTGGGGCTTGAGCATGGATACGGCGGCTCCTTCAAAGGAGGAGGAAAGAGCGCAGAGTGGCTCTTTTGTCAGCCATATCGATCTCCTCAGTGAGATGTTTGACGCATTACAGAATGGCTCTGGTGCTGTTATGGATATGGTCGCCCACAGCAATGATGTTGCCCGAAAGCGCACAGAGTCACCTGCAGGTTTCCCAATTGCCTCCCCGGGGACGGAAAGTAGTCCAGGGGCTGACGCATCCCCTTCAATGCATCAACAACAACCCACTTGAGTACGGAGACCACGACAAAAGATGCACTTAACCAACACAAATTATTCTGCTGGCCGGTTCACAGCTGGGTCGTCTGCACCCCTGGCGCTGATACAGTTCTGTGGCCCTGTACCTCTGAGTTACCCTTCGCGCAACCAATGACGATCGAATTGAGATAGACACTGGTTGACGGAACACCCTACACGAGCTCCTTGTGCATCAAATGTACAGGCGTCGAACATGGTCGTCAACATGACGGAATTGGGTTGACGGAGCTTTTTTCTGAGAGCTCACGCTGCGTGAGCAGTCGTCTCATCCTTCTATTGCCCCAGTGATAGTGTGCGCTCTGCCCGGCACGAGCTCAGGGGGATGGCTGCACTTTTGCTTGGATTTGACACAAGTCCTCTGTTGGGACGAAAATCTCAATACCGAATTTTCAGAGCTCTACATTACGATCCCAAATCTGGACGACGATGGCAATTCACTACTTCACATCTAGGCCTTCGAACCTTCACGGTGTCCACAGAGATACACATCAGCTGAGAAGCAGAGCCATCGGCAGTTCCTAAAGCAATTCTTCATCAGCCAAATGCTTGAGGAGGACTGCACGCGGCTGTATTCGATGCACGTTACAATGTATCACCACTCGTGGCGATAGACCACCGGGACAATCTACCGCTGGGACCCCATTCTCTAGCTTGGACTATGCTACATAACCACCAGATAGCTATCGAGCATAATACACGGTCAAAATACAGAGTGCCGTTGCTCCCAGTCTGCGTATGTGATGGATCTCACTTCAGCACCGTCAATTCCGAGCGTTGAGAGATGCCACGTGATTGCTGGAGTCTAAAATCCATCTTGCCTAATCTGATCCTGCCTCCCAGTCTAACAGTTCATGTACAACGGCTTGCTGCAGCGGAAGATCTTTAGCCACGTACAGGTACCTAGGTTGGTACGTAGCTAGATCGCCCAGACGGCCCCACAGCATCATCAAGCCACTCCCGCCTTCGGATGCGGGGAAACAGGGGAGTAAGCACCGAGCTTCGAAAAGTCCAGCTGCAAAAGGACTCTCTCTCTCTCTCTGCCTTTTCCCCCCATCTGAGCTGGCAGTACCGGGCTCCATCTTTCAGTCTCATATGTGAATATAGAGGCGGAGTTTTATGTTCCGCTAGTCCCTCTGGTCGAGAAAACACCGGCCATCCAACAATGATCAACCTAGCTGCCACTGCCACTGAACAAGCCCGGGTGTTGTTGCTGAGGCCGGCTGCCCGGAGCTTGCTTTGCCGTCAGCAGCAGCCGCCGCCGCCGTCGGCGCGGAGAAGCGTTGCGACTACCCCACTGCCGTCATCGGCGTTGCTGTCTCACGGGCTACCCTCCGTTTCCGGGAGGAGGAGGAGTTCCGGCCACTACTGCCTTTCTTCTTCCTCTGCAAGTCGTGCTGGTACACCGTCTCGGCAATTCTCCGCCTTGTCACAACGGCCACCTCGGCACACTCTAGCACTACAGCCAGCCTCTTCTGCTCAGCGTCGGGTCCTGTCTTCTGCTCCTTCTGCTTCTTCTCCTTTTTCTTCTTCAGCCACTGCCAAAATGCCGCCGCCGGCGCTACTGCAAGGGTGCAAGCTCCGCGAGGCGTTTGCGAGGGACCAAGGAGCGAGCCTGGGTCTGTGGCAGTGTCTTCCCGGCGCGAATGTCTCGAGGACACTGGCGAGGGCCGAGGGAGTCGACTGGGTCCTGGTCGATTGCGAACATGGGAATATCGACGGTCAGTTATATATGCCCCCCTTCGAGTTATCCTAGAAGCTGCCGTATTCGGGAGGATGGTCACCGACTCTGTCTGGGCTTCAAAATGAGGTGGCACGCACGGCAAGAGATGATGATGTGGGCGACTGATGATATATTCGAGAACAGACGCGGCAATGCACGATGCCGTGCCAGCCATTGCGGCTTGCGGACCGAGTCCCATCGTGAGAATCCCGGACATGCAAGGGTGGATGATCAAGCGTGAGTTCGCTATCCTACTACACTTTCAAGCCCATCCGGGTGGCATATGAAATTTGGCTATTGACATTGGCTTATCATGTGATAGGTGCGCTTGACGCCGGTGCCCATGGGGTAGGCCATTTCGTGTTTTGCGTTTCTCATCTATGGGCAACATGAGCTGACCATGCCACCATGGACCAGGTCCTTGTTCCGCTTCTAAGAACAGTAGACGAAGCCAAGAGCGTTGTCGCAGCAGCCAAGTTTCCGCCCCAGGGCCGTCGAGGGCTGGGATCCCCATTCTCCATGGAGCGCTTCACCCCAGTGCCGACGATGACAGAGTACCTGCAGCGGGCAAACGACTCGCTACTGACCATGGTGCAGATCGAGACGGCAGAGGCTCTCGAGGCTGTGGATGAAATTGCCGCCGTGCCGGGTATCGATGTGCTCTTCATCGGACCGTTCGATCTGGGCAACAACATTGGCTTTCCAATCTTGGATGGGGTCATGCAGCCGCAGCTGGATAATGCTATTGAAAGGGTATTTGAGGCGGCGAAGAAGGCCGGGAAAAAGTGTGGCGTCTTCACGACCAGCACGGAGCAGGCGAGGGTGTATGCCGAGAAAGGTTACCATATGATTAGCATCGGGCTCGATGTGAGCATTTTGCAGGCAGCACTGCCAGGGAGGGTCGAGGCGGTGCGAGGGACAACTGCATCTGGCGGGAAGGGGGGGTATTATGGTTGACCTGTACAGCCGAGTAGATTTGCTCCCGACAACTTGAAGGTACAAAGCTTTATACACTTGTTTCAAGTGAAGAAATTGAGTCTGCGTGAAAGTTTGAGACCCTCATGTAAGGCTACGATTGCTCTGCAGCATCCATCTTGGCCTTGACTTCTTCCTCGGTGAACCGGTGCATGAGCTTGAGTGCCTGCGACGCCATCCCTGGATGTTCCTTGGGAGCACTGGCCTTCGCTACGTGAATCTGTCGCTCCACCGTCAGTCAGATCCATTTCCTGTCCCGTCGTGAACTGACACTATACAGAAGCAGGATACGCCAGAAAGGGAGGGTACATGACATACTACAGGCGTGTCAAACTCGTACAAGTCCCGCCATCTGTGCTTCGACTCTGACTTGATGATGTCAATCTCGGTGTACTCGAAATGCCGGACGTCCCAGACGTTGGAGAGCACGTCGCGGGCTTGTGTACAGAGGCCACAGTTTTCTCGCGTGAAAAGTGTGATTCTACACGCGTGTTGGAGGAGCCTCGTGGCGGGACGCATTGTGACTATCGTGGAGCTGCGAGTGGTTTGCTGTAATATCGCACAAGGCGCGAATGGTGTCGCTGTTCTGCCTTCGCAACTGGGGTCATGCGGCGTGCTTGGGCGGCCTCAGGTTACTCTTATTGCACAAGAGACTGTGTGCTTGAAGGGCAAGCTTCAAGGTGAGATTTTTTGAATTTTTCCAGAACTTGCGACCAGTGTCCTGAATATTGTTGCATTCTTTACGACTTCCACTGTACTTCGTGGTGTTCGCGACTGGGGTTCGAGACCAGAAATCGAGTGTCCGAAATTGGCTGCAGTCCCCTGCAGCAGGAGCTTGTGGGGGGTTCATTAGGAATAGAAGGCGGTGAAGTCGGCAAACAGGGGAGCTCCTGCATTCGAGAGTCTTCGATGGCAGCAGTCGTTGCTGAGCTCCCCCGCAAAACAAATACTGCCCGATCCCATCCCACCTTCCCGGCAAGCTCAATCAACATTGCTGTGCAGCAACATTCACCAGCGCGATCGCGGAAGACATCGACTCCAATCCAGACATACACCAAGCCAAGCCGGTCACAAACTCTCCACCATGGCGCAAAAATGTGTCCATCAAGGTTGTGGGAAGATGTACACCGACCAGGACGAGGTCTGCAGGTACCATCCAGGTCCTCCAATCTTCCATGAGGGGCAGAAAGGTAAGTTTCGTGGCGCAAGTCTTCTTCCACTTGATGCTATTCCTACTTTTTGCAAACATGGATCTCTTTGTTGCTTCCTGAATCGTCCAGGTAGCCTGGGTCATCCGGAGTCGAGGATGAGATAGTGCCATGGCTCTATGGAGCCTTGAATCATCCTAAACTCCGCGACGCCCTGTGGCGGCTACCAGCTGCACATCAGACAGAGAGCTTTGGCCCCAACCTTCGAATTGCCTTGACGAAGGGGCCGACGGTTTCGACTATGATGCCGAGCTTGCAGTCAATTGGGTCTGTCGCTAACACGAACCCAACCAAACAGGCTGGAAGTGCTGCAAGCCTCGCGTGCTCACGTTCGACGAATTTCTTGAGATCGAACCCTGCACAGAAGGCAAGCACAGCACGACCGACCTACCTCCCCAGATCGAGAAAAAAACAGGCGACGCTTCAGATACGAGCGGCAGCATCAACGCGACACAAGCCATCGCTTCGAAGATCGACGGGCTTGCTTCGCCGCCTCCACGAGCGCCAGTTGCCCAAGCCACTACTACTCCCGCCCCAGCTCCTCCGCCCGAGTCCGAAGACGACGAGCCATCACTTGAGATTCCAGACGGCAAGGCTTGCCGAAGACGAACGTGCAATGCTACGTACAAGAAAGGGCAGGTGAGGTCGGATAGCGAGAACTGCGTACACCACCCTGGTGCTCCGATCTTCCACGAAGGAAGTAAAGGCTACACGTGTTGCAAGCGGCGTGTGCTTGAGTTCGACCAGTTCATGAAAATTGAGGGCTGCAAGACGTCCCCAAGACATCTCTTCATCGGCTCGGGCCAGGACAAGAAGTCGACAGCGGCGGGATCAGCCGAAGAGATTTTGGACACTGTCCGCCACGACTTCTACCAGACGCCGTCAAGCGTAATAGCGTCTTTTTTCCTGAAGAAGATTGACAAAGACAAGGCGACTGTCAAGTTTGAGACGCAAGGCCTTGATCTCGACCTTCCGACCACTGACGCTCAGCCAAAGCGGTACAAGACCGTAGTCCCTCTGTTCGGGAGCATTGACACTGAAAAGTCAACGTTCAAGATTCTGGGCACCAAATTGGAAGTCAACCTGTACAAAGCTGATGGAGCAAGCTGGCCTGTATTACGGAGCGATGAGCGGCTTACTGGTGAGATTCTGCAGGTTGGCCGGGCTGGTCGTGTCTGATATTAGGGATGGTGTGCCGACGACTTCTACATGTTTCACGTTGGAGTTTTCAGATGTCGCGGTTGTCGGAAAGACTGTCCTGGGTCGCCCAGGTGATATGAAGCAAAGAGGAAGCCGAGCCTAGAGTATGCATGAAACGAGTCAGCCACACGATGCGTCCAGCTGGTACCCCCCACCGCATAGATCCTGGTTACCAACATCTGCAGTGTCACCCTGCCATCCCCCTACCACCATGTGCCGATCATGTCAGATAAGCAACTGTGGTATCATGTAAAGTCTGTAGCAACGCTGCCGATGGATTTGTTACTGCCTGGTGAAGCAACTATTACCCTTACCCTTGGGGCTTGCGTCTACGCCATTGTCTTGACTGAGCCCCTGCACCTGAGCGGGCTGACTTGGGCAATGGTCGGTGCCTGATACTGGGGTTGGTGATGATGCCTGCCCGTCTGCCTCACCTGCCAGGCCAGAGCGAAGAGGCATGACGCCGGGGGTTGATCCGCGAAATGAAACGACGAGATAAGAAAAGCCACTCCGTGGTACTTGCTCGGCCGTGCCAAGGGGAGTGGTGGTTCTTGGCTTATGAGCCAACATGATCCCTGTCGGTGGAAGCCGCCTATGGGCTGACTAACGGACAAGTGCCGCGTGGAAAGAGGCTCAAGCCGTGGGGGTTGTGGTGTGGGACGGGACCTTTGGTAGCTCAGCCCAAGACCATCTTGGCAAGGCGCCAGACAGGGTCAGTGGATATCTAGCAGTGTAGGTCCGCCTTGGTGCAGCACGCAACCACGTCGTCGTCAGTGCTGGCCACCGAAACCCACAAAAACACCAAGCACCGCCCTGCCAAGCAGTCAAGACATGTCAACTGCTTGGCGTCACTAGCAAAGGACAATGATTGCTGCCATCCTACCCGCTGAGCCCCTCTTCTCTCAAGGCCCCCCCTAACACGCAATTGGGAACTTCTGATCAGCGATGCTGCGGGTCAGTCCGGGTGTGCTACACGCAAGCGTTTATACTTCGTGTCGTGGTAGAGGCACTCGGACATTGTCCGAAGAACCAAAGAACCAAAGAGGCGATGTCAAGCGCCTGCTGCGGACTCGAGAGATCGATCGGGCCTCGGCAACCATCCGTCGATTAACAAGGTCTAGCACTAAGCTCAGAAGTGTCTCCGGGCACGTTGATCACCTCAGAAAGGCGGCCGCGGCCTAGTGATCGATCAGCACGACATCGCTGCCGAGAAATAGAGATGGGGAGCCTCGACACCCATGGAAACAAGTGTCAGACTCGACAACCGTGCGTACATGGTGCCAACGACAGTATCACCGTCTCCGCCTCCGCCCCCCCGCCTGACGCTCTGACAGGAGCCACCGCCCCGTCCGGACGACCCGGTAATAATTCCTGGGGTTCTCACTCCACCACCGCGGCTCCTGGTTTCCACGGTACTCTACCATGTTCTCGAAACTACGGAAGTCCCTGCCTCTATCCACAACACCGCTATTGCGATGGTCATGGCAGTGCTCGAGATGAGATGCGTTGTGCTCCACGCGGTCCGCAGGTCTCCCTTTTCCCGCGGGAGGACACATTCCACCTCCACGGGTCGGCGAGATGTGCTAAATCACAACTTGTGCGGCATGCGGTGACCTCGCTGCTGCTTGTGGGTCCTCCAACTGCTTCGCCACGACACGCCAGTCCGTTTCACGATATCAATCGAGAGAGATCTTCCACTGACACCACCTACAACCAAAATGAATCCCCTACCGCGGAGTAATCATTGATCACGTGCGTTGTGTTCTCCTCTGCTGTGACGTGCACTTTTTGCAGATCCGGCCTAGCCCAGCCGTCCTTGAGACTATTTTCATGGCTCCGGAAACGCGCCACCCTTATCTGGGACGTCGTGACTGACGGGTGGCGGATAATGAGTTTCTTGTCATCGCCAAGCGCCGGGAAAAGATAACCTTGCAAGCTAAGGGGGACGGCACACATTGCTAGCGTGTCTCAACTCGAGCAAAGGCAACAAACAAAAAAGCCCGACTGGGCACGCCGCTTGGGCTGTTGACGATCTCCATGAGCTTTTAGCTTCTCAACAAGGACTTGCACTCCATGGCCAGCCAATATTGCACGTGGGAGGCAGCCGCACGCACGCACGCACGTATGCTCTGCGAGGTTATCATCAGGCCATGCTTAAGGTTCTCACATGCTTATGCTGCGCGCAAAAAATCAACCCCCCAAAAAGAAAAAAGAAGAAAAGAAAAAGAACAAGAAAAAAGTGTTGCCTGCCTCTGCCTATTGGGATGTTTTGGGAAAGTAAAAGCTTATGTCACGTGTGTCCGTGCAAGGAAAGAGACGACATGCTGGAAAGTAATCAAGACTTTCTCTTTTAACTTTCACCACAGCTTATGCCTCTTCTTCTTAGAGACATGATGCAAACCCCAGGCACAAAATTGTATGAGAGAGCTCGCTGCGTGAAACATATCCCCCCCCCCCCCTGTCCACGAAACAGAACCCACGGCCCCCGTACTTGAGAGGAAGAGCAGCTTTCAAGAGCCCGCTGATCTGACTCTCCGGAAACTCGAGTGCTTGCGTGCGTCTGCCTGTCCTCGAAGCCGGAAACATTCGGGCTCCTCCCGAGGAATGGGGCTGGGGAAGGGGTGGCAGGGGGAGGGGGGGGGAGGAAGGGCAAAACTCGTCAGGATTTCAAACCCGCTATTCTTTTCTTCTCCCCGCAGAGACCGGGGAAAGTCGGCTGGTTTCAAAGAAAGATCTGCGCGTATGGGGAGAGGGAACGGGGGCGGGGAGGGACCCAAAGAGCCCTGCTGTATAAACGTTGTACGTGTGCCGAGTATACGCATGTGCGTGGGGAATTCGGCAGGCGGGCGGGTGGACACGCGGTTGAGGAAGCACAGCCCCCTCTCAACGGTGTGTATGTGGGTGTGGGTGTGACACAATGGCTCGCTCGGGGAAAGTTCCTGCAGGAAGAAGAAGAAGAAGAAGAAAGGCGGACTTGACGGGAAGACACGGGAAAGGAACGGGGGAAGAAGGGCAAATTCGAATTTCCGGGAAAAACCTTGACGGCGCATCAAAATGTCATCACGGCCTCTGGAATGTGCGATGCGATGCGATGTGTGATGTGATCTACAGAAGGATGGAGACGATGTGTTCCTAGAGAGAGGCGCAGTGCAGGTGGTTACGCGTTGTGTTGTTATGCGGGAGGGAAGGTGCGTGAGCAGATGGGGACGGGAGATCACACTACGCTGCCTGATGTCATCAATACATACGCTACACACACACACAGTCGAGGGGGCAGGTAGTTCGCAGTAGTGAATTTTGCTCACCCAATAGGAGGGAGGACTTCTGGCACAGGTCTGACTCGAGATGGCTATCTGGTTCTAAGAGGACGTTGCCCTTTGATTCTCTAATCTGTGGATGTTGTCTAGCGAAAACAAACAAAAAACTCTAGTAGTCTAGCAATAAATGTGTCTAGTTGAAGCAGCGAGAACCAGGGCAACTGATTAGGCTCTGCAGGAAAACATGAAAAAGAAGAAAAAGAAAAAAGGATGCGGCATGCTCAACGCATGGTACTTGATGATATAACAATGACTATTTCGATACGGGCCAGGCTACAAGTCAGGTTGGAACCCATCAAACCTTCTGGACATTGAAGAGACAGAAGATCGAGTAGCAAAGGTTATGCCTCAGGGGCCGGCTCGGCGTTGACTGTGTCCCTCACGGGCACTTTCTGTGCGCGAGGCTGCAAGAGCCCTGTATCGGTCGTGGTGGATGATGGCCAGGCTCTCATGGAGCTGCCTGCTCCTCGAGCCATCCCACGCGGATTATTACCACAGCATTTGTAAAAATGGTGCGCGGAGTAGGCGGTTCGCCGAGTCTTCTGCTGTTGCGACAGCTGAGCGCCATCCCGCAAGGACACGGAATTGTCATACGACTAGCAAGTCGTCACGCCCCTGTGATATTGTTGTCTAGCATGGACTGCAAGACATCTCAACCCTTGCCGGGGCTGGCCCGGCCAGCTGTCGGAGCCGGGCTTGGAACAAATGATGGAAGAGCTGTGAGACGGAGCACAGACTTGCCATCCTCGGACAGGCCCATGAAAGCCGGCCAGGTCTGAATGCGCTCATCGCCACCAGCATCGAGGGCGAAGTAAGCGACTGCACCCGGAGCCGATGTCATAGGGCTGCGAATACTGGTCTGACGTCCAGCTTCGAGGCGTGAGAGCGACAGCACGGGAGAAGAAGCTGATGGCGACGGTGCCAGCGAGGTAGATGCTGTCGCTTGCTCGTCGGTGTTGTTCGGTGCTTGCTCGCGGCGGATACTAGGCCTGTGGGGTTCCACGGATGTCAGTTGGCTGGTTGGGTACGGACAGACACGGACTAGGGACATGTTACTCACGCCGACGACGAGTAGCCACCATCCTTTTCCACGATCGGTCTGACAGTGGTACTGCGTGACAGGGTCGTGCTGCGGGAGAAGCGGCGCTCACTGCGCTTCTCCGAGATCTTCTTGATCCGCTTCTCGGCCATGTGCGTGAAGACGTGCCCAAAGCCAGCAACGACCAGGACAGGCGTGCCAAGAGCCAGGGCCCATTTGCTACGACGAGGTCAGTGAGTTGTTTCGGGAACGGTGAAGCATGTCATGCATGCATGCGTGGTCTGGTACTCACGGATGGTCAATGCCACGCAGGTGAAGCCACATGGCCAGCACAATGCCAAGAATGGCCACCTCTGAGCCGAGCTGGAGCATCATCCACGAAGACCAGTACAAGGAGATGAGAGGCTCTCCCTCGCAGAATTGAAGAGCCATGAGCGTGAAAACCTCCATGATGCAGAACACTGCGGTGATCATGAAGATGGACAACGAGATGAGCATGGCGGTGACCCAGCGCCGCCGGAAGTACTTGTCGTCTAGTTCGCCATTTTCGTGCTCCTCCCTACGAGCCATGGCCCTGTCCAAGTCATCAATCTGTCAGTCAGGGCTCGTTGCGTCCTGGTGACCCAGGCGTGACCGGGAGTGACATACCATTGGAAGATTGCGGCGGTGGTGAATAGCATGAAAATGACTAGGAAGAAGAGTGACCAGTACAGGGCGGCAAACTGCTGCCCCTCGAGATGAGCCATGAAGCCCGCATAGTGCTGGCAGTTGGCGTCATTCTGGAAGCTTGGGACTGGTCCCGAAGACATCGTATGATTCCGGTGAGAGGAAATTGTATGGCGAAGGGTATACGGGCCTTGGATTCAAGCCACCACACGTGTTGGTTTCGATAGTGTTGTCGACCTTGTTGGCTGTCAGGAGCGACTATCGACGTAGATGCACTGATACACTCGGACACCCCTTGACTTTGGCTGGTTCTAGAAGGAAGAGACAAGACCACAGGGACCGGGGCAAAGAGCGTTCGATATATGCTTGGGCCGGAGAATGCTAAAAAGAAACCCTGCGGCGTACGTGGCCTGCCAATAAATATTCCAGAGTTGAGCACGGCCATTGAGTGTAGGCTAGCGGTGCCCAATATGACTGAGCACAGGGTGATTTGGCGGCACAGGCTCCGGGGGACCGGGGCCCCCCGATTCCGCCAAGCAGCTGGTACAGGGACGACGGCCTTTGACAGGCGCCGTGCTGAGGGACCGACAGACTTTGCTCAAGGTTGGGATTGACGTGATTCTGGGTACCAGCACGCAGGCTTGCGCAGGCGGCTGGATCGCACACACACAGCACGTCGAGTGGGTGGGCCTGCCCAGACTGATGGCTTGGTTGTTTCCAAGCCGGCCGCTCGAGCATTGCTGACACTGATTCAGGCGGCGGGCTTGTCCCGAGCACAGAATGATGCCCAAGACGGCAAGGGATGGCCGTGCTCGCCTTCAATTTCCCAGCGTTGTCGTCGGCGGCCGGGACTGGGATGGCCATGTGCATGCCGGGGCGGATGCAGTGCCAGGGCCGGGCGCCCACGGGCCAGGGGGTGCTCTCACTCTGGGACCACAGGCCTGTCGTTGCTTGGCACGACGCGGCGGTGCACGACCATTGACGTTGATCAGTCCTTGGCGGCGACGAGGCCCGGATGCCTGCGCCGTGGGATGTCGCGTCAGGGATCTGTCAACCAGGGGCATCCAGATCTATAGATCCGGTGGGGGGACCCCCCCTAGTCCAGCCAAGCACCGCCTGCGCCTGCAACTGCCGGGCAATAAGGTGCGGTCCCCTTACTAGGCGCTACTGCTTAAGCTCAGCCTCCAAGCCGCCCCCGTCGACGTTGGCTGGCGTGGCGTGAGTGACACCTATCCGTCTCATCGCCATTCCTTCTCACAGCCAGCCAGCGCCAGTGATAAGGCCCTTCTGCCAAGCCGGCGTGGGGAAGTCCCGCACCACCACAGGCCCAACATCGAGCACTCGTCATCGCGCCCCATCTGCATCTGAGACCGCCGAGAATCTCCGGCCCGCTGATCGCTGGAGCCCAGTGCCCGTCTCGCGGTCAGTCACTTCTCACAGGACACTACTGTAGTCACCTTATCTCTTGGCGCGCCCGTCGTACATTGCCAGTGACGTGACTGACACTGGCCAAGGGTCGCCAACCCCAAGGTTTCAACACGTTGAGACATGGCAGCTCGAGGTGTTAGACGTTGGATTCTTGCCACTGGGCCAGAAGCCACAGCATCATATCGCGAGGTCGCCATTCTATGAGTACAATCATCATGCATGTGCTTGCTGCACATGAAGCCGCTACAATTGTTGATACAGGTGCGCCTCTGGCTGCCGGGCCATCACGGTGGATTCGATCAGATCTCTTATCCGAGTCCGTCCGGCGCCAAGAGTCACCGCGGGATCTTGCTGAGTGAGCCCGGACATCGTTCAAGGTTGGCGGGCGCGTTCTAGTCGAAACCCTCCATCAGATCTGTGCGATCTAGGAGCATGCCCTTGGTTCCCAGGAACTGCTGAAGCGCCCTCCATTGCGGGCCCTCTTCCTCACCCTGACGCCATGTCTCTTGAAACCCCCAAGCACAGGCAATCTTGTCCATGGCGGCTCTCTGGTCCTCCCTTGCCCACCTCTTGCGCAAGGGCACACCAGGAGTCCATGTGACCCGTTTCATTTGGTCATTTGCTGTGGTCAGCGCCACGATGCCGATCGAGGCCGTGAAGCCGACATACGCCAGGATCCCAGCAAATGCCACGTTCGTCGCGCTCGCGGCATCCATGGCGCTCTGCAGCCCCGACAAGTTCGATGCCAGAGCGTATGCGGCCACTGGCGTGGCAGCAAAGGCAGCTCCGGGCGGCAGCGCTTGGCGGGCAATTTTTGCGCGGACATAGGCCTTGGTAGCATATCCGTTCTCGACTATGCCGACAGCCGCGTCAAGGTTCTTGGCCGCAATGGCGACGTCGAGAGCCTGGTCGATGACCTTTGGCTCAATGGCGTTCTTGATGCTGTGAGGGTCTTGCGCTGTGTACTGGATGGATGACCCATTCTCAGATGCCATGGGCTTGCTCGCGTACATGTGAAACACATTCGGCAGAGTCTCTGGCTTGCCGAGGCGAGCTTGCACACCGACATAGTCCTCCAGGAGGCTTGGCGTGATGAACACAGGGGCGTGTGCAACGACGGCGTATGCGGCGTTCGAAATCCTGTCGACCATCTCCCGCACCTGTGCTGAGATCTGTTCACGCGCAACCTCCGCAGGTGTTGGTGGGAGCATGTTCGTCCTCCCAGAGCCGGCCTTGGCAGCTGTCATACGTTGCGGTCTCGGCGGCGCTGCTGGCGTTGTTTGGTCCAAGGACAATAGGCCCGACGCAGCCGAGTCGCTCTCTACAATCATGTGCGCTATCTGAGGCTGTACTGTCTCGTCCATAATGAAGTCGGCCACAACGCGGCAGGCCTGGAGTGCGGCAGCAACATCCTTCTCGGAAGGCACGCCACTGCTCTTCAGCACTTTCGCGGTGCTATTTCGTAGGTATGTCATCATGTCTGTCATCGATGACAGCTCGCGCTCAGGCGCACTATCTGTAGGGGAAGTTGGCCGTTCCGCTGCTGGCGATTCTGCAAGACTCGACCTGCTGAAGTGTATGCCGGCAGATGCCGCAGGGCTCCTCCATTTCTTCGAAGCCCAGAATCTCGGATAGGGCTGTGTCAGACTATCGGAGGCGGTTGCACTTGTGTGGAACTCGGTGTTGCTTGTTGTTGGTCTCGATCGGAGCGTGTGAGAAGTTTGGTTTGCGTGGCGCTCACAGATCTGGCAAAGCGGGCGCAGTGGTCGTGCCGAGGACAAGACTCGACGTCCCGAGGCAGAGACCGCCGCCGACCTCGCCGCTGTCACCATCTCGCAGGCAGGATCAAGTCGTGGCGTAACAGCCCTGGTCGAAACTACACCTCGTGCAGCGTGGGCGTGAGTCGGTGCGAAATCTCGACTGTCGTGGTTTGGGAGGTGGTGGCAGGTGCGGAATTGTCCTATCAAGATCCATCAGCGGGTGCTGTTTCCCCACAGGCGTTTGCAGGGGTCGAAAATAGCGTTTAAATGCATGCTACTACAGCATGCACTTATCCCGTATCAAATCGAGTTCACTCCTCTTCATGGCACGTCCTTGTGCGGTTCCAGAACCATGAGATATCAGGTGCTCGTAGGGAGAAAAAATGTCAAATTGAATGACACGACTGCATTTTCTCTGAACTTCAAATTTGGGCACGCATGCGAAACTGAGACGTTCTCCCCACCTTATATGAACGGAGCTGCTTGGCGACCTTTGAGGAGGACAGTAGATTCTGCAATTGAGGTGGGGATTTTCCAGTACAATCTCAGGCCAGGGCAACAGGTTCCAAATGCATGTAGCAACCTTTTTCTTGCAAAGAGATCGAGGCGGCAATCGTCGTGCGCTGAATCCACTCGAAATTCTGCCTGTTGTGGTGATGGCGCGCCTCTAACGGGCCATGTTGTCTTGCAAGAATTCACGTCGTCTGGTCAAACTGAGCCGGATCTCGAAATGTCGCCCTATCTTCCCATATAACTTCCCTTTTGAACGAAATAGTAGAGCTTCGACGAGCTGGCTGTAACATACACCTTGAGACCATTGAGTTAGAGGTTTTGTGGTCTACCACAGACCCCTGGCAAGCAGAAAGCCTTCGCTGGTTGGCACGCGATGGGCCGTTACGCTCCTCCCCTCATAAATCACAAGGTCCAAGCCGCGCATCGCAACTGCACAGTACATAGCACTGATGCCCGACATACGGCAGTGGTTTTGGTGTCGTTGGGATTATTTCAACCAAATTCGGCTCGATCGTTCTAACCCATCCTGTCCACGAGACAGAAGTCGTGGCATCTCTCAAGTGTGGGCTATGGTGACCACACCAAGTAGCGACAGCGAAGTTGACTTCGGACAAGTTTTGTCACTCTCTCTACGCCCTAGACGATCAAGAACGACGATTTAGCTAGTTCTACAGTGGATGTCATGTTCCGCCCACGACTGATCCTGCGCTGGAGTTAGCATTCCCGAACCAGCTGCACAAGCCGGAAGAAGGATCCTCTGCTCGGGTCAGCGTCACAATCTGCATCATCTCAGTAATCGTGCCGACTCTCAAAAGTATAGAAAAACATCGCATTGAGTTTGTCGTCACCTGAGCGTGTACTGCACAAAGCTGCACACAGGCTGGCCCCACTCTTCCCCGTGCCAGCTCCCGGCCTGTCGGGCCACGGGGTTGCTTGCCCCACATGCCAATTCGGGTAGCACGGTCGGTCAGGCTGCGCGAATGCCACCATGGAATCGGACTCATGTATCACCACCAGCCCAGATATGCCTGCAAGCATATCATCGGGATCTAACAGTTAGCCATGTAGTTTTGAGATAACCCTTGCTTCGATAGTTGCGGTCGATGACGTGGATGGTGTCTCCGTACAGCGAAACGTGTACTGGGCTCGAAAGCCTGGAGTCAAGTGAGATATCGCGACGAGCTTCTGGCATATTCTTTGGAGATCTTGAGTCGAACACAGCTGGAATCTCATCATAATAACGTTGAGAAGGACTGAAGAAGTAGAAGCGCTATGTGGGTATTTCTTCTCAGAGAGTTTATAGAGCATGGTCACACATTACGACCTCACAGCGATCTGGCCATGTCTTTTCAAGCATTTAGGAATTCGAGTAAGTTATTGCTAATATAAAGCTCTATAATCCTCTTTGTTAGTACATACGACCATAGGATCGAGAAAATTGAGGGTCCCGTCCGCTCCCCTGTACACAAGCTCGATACTGGAAGCTTGTGTATAAGTGAGCGGATGTGTGGCCAAAGATCGTGGCGTCAGGCTGACATATGCACAAAGGACCACGCATGGCGATACGTTGTGACGGAGCGAAACGGGCAAGCTCCGTTTATGACAAGACTCCGTTTACTACTGCACTTGTGTTGGCCGCTTCCTAGTGAGTGGTGCTGTGGAGCTGAAGCCTTCGCGTGATGGGCGCAACGGATCGAGTCAGGGATGAGCGGACGGTTGTGACGCTGCTCTCATTGGCTGTGTCCTGCTCGAAGTTGGCCGTCACACATGCGACCATGATGTGATCTGGCGTAATTTGCCACGTTCCAGCCCATGGCTGTGCCACGTCTCTCTTGGAATTGTCGAAGAGGAAGTGGAATTGGCTCCAAGATCGAGACGAAGTATTCTATCCTCCGGCACGATCATCCTCGCGACACTATAGCCCGGTACTCTACTCAGTAAAATTACAAGATCCTGCTCCGTGACGTGTAAGTTTCACACAAGTTTTTCATAGTGGTATAGAACCTTTGCACACGGTTTGATGAATCACAACATGTTGATAGCCGTTGCACCCGCTTCAGATTCCCGGCCTCCGCTTAGGGCATCCGAAGCCTCCTAGTGCAAGAAAGCTGCCATGGACACAACCCAAGCACTACACAGACCATACCCAGTTGTACATTACTAAAACAAGCTTCTCGTAGTCTGAATAATTACGCTCTGACCTACTGCCCGTTGAGATCTCAGGTCCAGTCCGCCCACTCTGTCAGGCTTGAATCATTCGGAGACCGAGCATCAGAAGGCCCCCGACGTCAAACTGACACAGGACACGGTCAAATCGTACATGTCCGAGTCACGAAGCATCATCCTGACAGTCGTGTCACGTGCAAAAGGTCCACAGTGACTGTGTCCCGACAGACAGCTATGGTTTCATAGTTCTATATATGCGTCAAAACATTCTGATCCGGAGGTGTCGAAAGTTTGATCGTACACGAGCACCGTGGTAACGTTCCACAGAGGAGAGAAAACACACAACCTTGATATCATGTACCTCACCAGAGAGTGAGAGACCTTCCACCTCCCAAACCCGACGCCCCCCAAATACCACCTATCTCTCAGCAAATCATTCATGCCCCAGCGCCTCCCGCGCAGTGATCCTCCTAGACGGGTTCAGATCAGTCATGAGTCCCACAAGATCGCGCAGCCCAGGCTCGACCATAGGGAACATCCTGAATAAAGGTCTCAGCCTCCCTTCGGCACTCAGCTTCTCGGTCACCATCTCATCCAGCTCGGCTGCGAACTCCGGACGAGTGCCGCCGATGTGCTTCAGATAGCCCGTGTACAACTCCCTGTCGTCGAAAATGAGCCACGTGCTGCCAGACGATGCCATGCGTCGTCGGGTTTTCTGGAAGGTCGACTAGGTCATGGAACACCATGACGTCTTTCATGATGTAGATCATCTCCAGCCAGCCACGTGACAGTTCGTTTCGTCATGAAATATATTGGTAATTGTACTTTTCGGGCGCTTTGTAAACCTGGGAGGAAATATCACCACGATGGCAAAGGAGAAGATGTCAGAGGCCTGATTCTGCTTCCCCCGCGCCCAAGGATTCTGGGCTGCGCCAGATCTGGTTCCCGCACAGAGGGCCCCTGATGCACTTGCCCGACGGCGCGACGACAGCTTCCTCCAGGTTGGTGATCTGCACGCTCCTTATAGTAGTGGTTTCGAGAGTGGCATCCTGCTCGTAGCCGACTAGGATGTCGTTTGGCTTGATGTCTACACAGGCCAGTCCCACCAACTCCCCCAGCATTAAATGCAAGGTTACTGTACCGTTGTGCACCAAGTGTTTGGCATGCATATCCGCGACTTCCATGAGCGTGTGCCTACGGATACCCCTGCGCACGTCTCTCGGGAGCCTGGCCGTGGCCATCTGCAGGAGATCACCATTTCAATTGCAGCAGCACAAAGGCCCTCTCGCCAGAGATGGTGTAGACCTTTGTCCGCGCGTAAAGCGAGTCGCTCACAAAGGTCGTGCACGTTGGCGCGGTAGGCCATCTCGTAGTCCGTGCCCATCTGGTACTCGATCACGTACGTGAATCCAGCGCTTCTGTGATTTTCTGCGTGGGTGATTAAAGCGCAGGAGAAATATTGAGCAAGGATGTTGTTGGAACGACCTACTTCGCCAGGTATACGCTTGAGATTAGTCTGTTGTGTGCAGAAAGAGAATGCTTCGAATATGGTATAGGTCCGCCAAGTCTTCCACAGCAAGGTGACTCCGGGGTTCAAGACACTGGATGTCTTGGATGCAGACGCCAAATCTGAGAAGAGGCACTGCGAACGTGGTTTGGTTGTGTGAGTCGAGTGAACATGGTGAGCAGGACGCACAAGAGCTGCTCGAATCGAGGAGCATGCTGATGGGTGAAGCGCTGATCGAAACATGCTGATGTGTACGCATGCGATACCCTCTTGTGGTACAGTCGCTATACTCGGACTGTTCTAGCGTAGTGTTGGTGTTGTGTTTGTCGGCGTCCGGATTTTGGGAGCGATGCGGTTTATCGAATTTAGGTGTCCAAGTAAGTAGGCCTGCCAGGGTAGTACTCGAAATCGAGCCACTCTTGGTGACCGAGATCCTCGAAGAGCTGCATGACAGCCTGACTGGGCTTCCAACTGCCAACTTGCCACTCGACTGTAGGCCCTGAACCCCCCTCGGAGCCTGAGGCAGCAAGGTAACGAACTCCCCACCGGTGAGTATTCTTTCTTGGTTGATAGGGCAACTCGTCCTCGTATTGTTCTTGTCGACTCTCGGAAGGGCGCCACGACAAAAACGCAAACAAGTAAGCGTCTTCCAGCTTGTCTGTATTTTCCAGAGCTGTAGCAAATGCGGAGAGAAGTGGCTCAATTCTCTCGCGGCAAGGTGCCGTCCGGAAATGGTCGGGAAGGTAATCGACCTCGACGTCTTCATCCGGGTTCTGCGCATACGCTTGATCGAGCAGCTTGTCTTCTGGCCTGTCTGCCAGTGGAGGGTAGTGATCCGCATCAGAGATGATGAAACCTCCTTCCGAGTGCGGATCCTCACCGCGGGGTCCAATGAAATACCAAAGCCCATCCGGACGCAGAGGGTGGAACTCGATACGGAGCCGGCGCATATTGGACCACTGCTGCGTTCCAGCGACAGGAAACAGGTCCGGAGTGAGGAGCGCACGTAGGTCGAATTCTTCTAGCTGGACGGCCAGCTCGCAGAGCGATACAGAGACAGGGTCCTTTGGCGCTGGATGAATCAGATTTGGCCTTTGTGCTGCCTGGTCTTCTTTTAGGACGCTGAGAGGTTCCCAGAAGTGCATGCGGGCTTTCTCCAAGCTTGCGGGGATAGAATTACCGAGCTCCTCCTCGGGACGCATCAGCACGGCGGCGAAGTCGTGACGCTGATCTCGCCATGGTCCTTCCCAGCATCTTGTATACTCGCGAAAGGCCCGACGCGAGTATGCAATGGGGAGCCGTTCCCACATCCACGGTAAGTCGAGCTCTCTGATCGAGGGGAGGCGGACAAAGCATTGAAAAGGCAGACGGAGAGACAGCGGGCGAACACGTTCATGGTCTGGAGTCGTGCCGCCCGAAGATATGCCAAGCTTCTTGACAAACGGCAAGTTCGGAAGCAGGCCAGTGTCAGACAACCACAGACGATGCGAATGCCAGATGCGATGTTTGCAGAAGTCGGGGTAAATGTCGAACGATTGTGCTGCTATTGTGAGCTGTAGGAGGAAGTCGCTTTCCAAATCAATGCTCGGGAGCTGAATCTTTGTCAGTGACTCCGGTGTTCTGCTTCGATAGGCGAGCAGTTGCTCGTACACGGCGTGAACTTGTGCCGAGACCTGGGAACTGATAGCTGCATTCTCTTGCACGCTCTCGCGACACGACATGGGGTCGTCTCGGGGATTCGTAATCAGTGGTATTGTCACATTGTGTCTCACCCCCTTAAAAGGGAGGCTCTTTGCAGCCCAGCTCCTGGCATCCTTTTCGATCGCAGCTAGGGCTACGCTCTTGAAGTCTGTTTCCAAGGGGCGAATTGCCATGGCAGGTGTTGTTCAGTGGAGGAAGAAGAAAAGGGGGTAATCTAGAACGAGGAGTATGTGCGATAAGAGATGCCGGTGACTGTGATTCAAGAAGAAGGCAGCAAGAAATAAAGGAAGGGGGAGAAGAGAGGGCCATTTTCTTCAGGATGGAGCGAAGGGGGGTATTTCGTCCTTTCGGGCCTCACGGAGAATCTCCTGCATGGAGGAATACAACCCGCGGACTTCTTTCTTCCATCTTCCCCCTCCGGGGAACACCGCTCTTCGTAACCGACCGACAGTAGGGATCAAGGCCTTGAAGTAGTCGGTGAAAAATTCCATCGTGATCTTCCCAAAGATATCATCGTCAGACACTACTCCCAACTTCATCCCTGCGAGTTCCTCCGTATCTACATAGTTCCTCTTCTCAAATCGCGGCACCACTCTACTTTCTTCAGGTCCGGTGTGGTGAATGCATATCCAAAACAGGACCCAGAAGAAGGACTCGAGATCATGCATGAACGAATGCTGCTCGCCCAGAAGGGCACCGATCGCCATGAAGGCTCTTGTCCCGGTTTTCCCATATGCTCCTGAGGCCTCCTCGCGTTGCTCCGCGACGGCAAGGTCAAGGTCAATTAAAAAACCCTTCTCTCCACGAATCATCAGGTTGTTTACAGAGATGTCTCTATTGAGGAGGCCGGCTTTTTGTCGTAATGATTTGTGACCTTCAATGCAGTCGCTCAGAATTGAGAGCAGCACCGAAGGGGACTTGGCTTTGTAGATCGGCGTCCCACAATCCTGAACAACGACGCGACGATGCACCCGGTTCGGCAGTGCAGGACTTGAGAACGTGCATAGCTGAGACAGCCGACACGGGTTTCTCCTCCGGTCCGCATTGTTCCAGCTTTCTCAGATCCCCACATTCTAGGGCTGATCACTTACCTAAAGTATGCTTAAGTCTGTCTCGATTCTCGGGCACCCCGGCTCGGCATGGCATGGCATGGCAATACGCAAACCTGATAGAGAAGTGCACATTGCCGTCCCTTACCCCTTCTGACTCGATTTCCTTCACAGTATCTTACGGATTTCGTTCGAGCGGGCCCATACGCCCAACTGTCAAAGTCAGAGCTCGAATTCCCCGACCCTCTTCCGCCTTAGTGCCATCAGGACGGCATACTGCCAGGGCAGTGCTACAGCAGCAAACAGTATGCATCAATGCCTTTTGGCCCCTGCAGTATCCGGGGTCACCTTCTGCAGCCCTTAGCCCCAAGTCCGTGCAAACAATTCAGCCTTGGGCAACAGATTTGCCCTCTGGGGTTACTGCCACACTTGCTGACCAGTTTGTGGCTGAGCACAACCAACAGGTCAATGAGCAAGGCTTTTCGTTGGGCTATGCAGGGTGCTGCATCTCTCGCCCGTGGGGGCTGAGCATCAAGGCCAGTTGGGAGGGGTAAGCAATACTGCACTATCCTTGCATGTCGCTAGCCTTGTCGTCTTTGTGGGGATGGACGTTTTCGCGCTGACTCTCTCATGGCCTTTGGCGTTCTCCTCCCTCTTGATACTAGAGTCTGTCAAGACACCGGCGTGCGCACGAGGCGCCTGGCTCGAGTTCTAACCTGTCGCACTAGACTGTTGCCTAGTCGGGGCCGACAGAATGGATATCGAGGAGATGCTCGAGCCCTCGAGTTACACGGTCGGCTGGATCTGCGCGCTTCCCACCGAATTCAACGCGGCCAAGGCATTTCTCGACGTCACACACCTGGGCGTCCCGTACACATCGCAGCACGATAACAACAGCTACGCGCTCGGGCGCATAGGCCCGCACAATGTGGTCATCGCGGTGCTGCCGGACGGCGAGTACGGCACGACGACGGCCGCGACGGTCGCCCAGGATCTGCTGAGGAGCTTCCCCAACGTGCGCATAGGGTTGATGGTCGGGATCGGGGGCGGTGCGCCGAGCTCGCGGCACGATGTCCGCCTCGGGGATATTGTTGTGAGCAGTGCCGGTGGTGGGAAGGGGGGCGTCTTCCAGTACGACTACGGCAAGGTCATCCAGGGGCTCGACTTTCAGCATAACGACTTTCTAAATCGGCCGCCGGTGCTGCTGCGGACGGCTGTCAGCGCGTTGCGAAGCCAGCACGAGATGGAAGGGAGCCAGCTTGATAACAAGGTAAAGGCGGCACTACAGCGATGGCCCCGGCTCAAGAAGAAATATTCCCATCCGCCAGCGGACAGCGACCGACTCTACCTGCCGGACGTGTTGCACCGCGACTCCGACACGGCAAGTGATGACTGCGCGAAGACCTGCGGTAGTGATCCGGCGCGGCTTAAGACCCGAGCTGCCAGAGAGGAAGACGAAGACGATCCGCAAGTGCACTATGGTCTCATTGCGAGCGGCAACTCGTTGATGAAGGATGCCACGATCCGTGATAAGATGGCCGAGGAGAAGGGAGTGCTTTGTTTCGAGATGGAAGCAGCCGGGCTCATGAATCATTTTCCTTGCCTCGTCATCCGAGGGATTTGCGACTACTCAGACACGCACAAGAACAAACAGTGGCAAGGCTATGCTGCAATGGTTGCTGCAGCGGTGGCTGTGGACTTGCTACGCCTCGTCTCGGCGACCAAAGTGGAACACGAGACCCGCCTCAAGGATACTATGGAGAGCAGTTAGTGGTGGTACAAAGTCTGTAATGTCAATCGAACTGCTAGGGCTGACTTTTATTAATGTAGTCGAGTCAAAACTGAACGATATAAGCTTGGACGTGACGGAGACGAGAGCCGCTGTGAAAGCTGCTAGTACCGACCAACATCTCGGAAAGCTTCGCCGGTGGCTATCGCCGCCAGACCCCTCCACTAATGCAGCCGCGGCGAGGGAGCGGAGGCATGCCGGAAGCGGCAGCTGGCTGCTCCAAAGCGACGCATTTCGGCAATGGCAATCTGGCCGGCTGCGGTATCTGTGGCTCCATGGCCAGGCAGGCTCCGGCAAGACGATCCTCAGCACGACTATATACGACCACCTCGAGCTGGCGGACGAATTCACTCTGCTCTTCTTCTATTTCGACTTCAGAGACGCAGGCAAGCAGTCGCTCGAAAGCCTTCTTCGGTCACTAGCGTATCAAATGCACCAGATGGGCCATGAGCCATCGCTGATCGTTAATCAGGCTTTCGAGTCGCATGGGTCGGGTAGACGAGAGCCTGACTTGACTGCCCTGTCTCAAATCGTTCTGGCGGCCATCAAAGCTACGCCCAAGGCCGTGCTCGTCCTTGATGCTCTGGATGAGTGCACGACGCGGCGGGAGCTGCTGCATTGGTTGAGAAGTATTGTTCAGAGCCTCGGGGAAGGTGATTTCAAGCTCGTCGTGACCGCGAGACCGGAGCCCGAGTTTGAGCGAGAAGCGCCCCGAGTCTTTGGTCCCGATAATTGGGTTGCCCTAGATAAGACCGCGGTGGACGCCGATATTCGCTCCTACGTGATGGCTGAGCTCCAGGAACCCTGCTTCTCTGAGAAGGGCATTCCCCAGAGTATTCTGGACAGCATCGCAAACAGGGTTGGTGACGGAGCGGACGGCATGTGAGTTTTTCGTTCACTTCTGAATTTGCTTCTCACAAGGATCTTCTTTGGTCCACGGCACTACTCAGTATCTTTTTCGCGCCATGGCGCACTGCAGCTGACATAAGGGTCTCGTACTTCTAGGTTTAGGTGGGCGTTCTGCCAAATGGGTGTCCTGGCAAGGTGCCATCATGCTGAAGCCCTTGAGGCAGCCTTGGCGAGTCTGCCGAGAAGTCTCACCGAGACGTATGACCGTATGCTGGCGACTATTCCAGCGGAGCTCAAGGACGATGCGGCTAGACTCCTGTCATTCATCTTGTCCACAGACCGGCCTTTGCCCGTTAAGGCTGCGATTGATGTCATCGCCACACGCATAGACGGAGAGCAGAACAAGCGGGGCTTCAACCAAAAGCGCAGGCTGTTTCGAGAGGATGACTTGCTTGAGTACTGTCCAGGGTTGATATCATTTGGGAAAACCTGGGACTGCGACCGAGTTGTTCACCTTGCCCATTTCTCCGTCAAGGAGTATCTTCTTAAGCAGGATCGATTCCAGCAAATTCTCATCAGCCAAGATGTAGCCCTAGTCTGCCTTAACTACATGCTGCCACCCACAAAAGGAGCCATAGCATGGTTGCCACATACTTACTGGACCGATGGTCTATGGGGCTATCACGCGAGGATGGCCCAGAGTTCGGTGGCCGTGGTGGAAGGGGTGTGCCTTTTCCTACAAAACGAAGGAATGATCCGACAATGGCTTCATTGCCACGAGCAATTCAAAGACATGCCAGCTCCAAAGGGGCTCTACTATGCTTGCTGGCATGGTCTGCTACCGGTCGTGAGGAGTTTTATCGCGGCCGGGATGGACGTCAATGCCCAAGGGGGGGATTTTGGATCGCCACTTCAAGCTGCTGCTAAGGCCGGCCACGAGGATGTCGTGGCACTTCTGCTGAAGAGCGGTGCAGACGTCGACTTGCGTAGTGGACAGTGCGGATCAGCCCTTCAGGCAGCGTCCAGAGAAGGCCATCTGTCCATTGTGCGCCTGCTTCTCGACAGCAAGGCCGATGTTGTTTCGAGTGGTGGCCGCTATGGCAGTGCGCTGCAGGCGGCGTGCTGGGGAGGGCATGAAGATGTTGTGCGCCTGCTGCTGGGTCGAGGAGCAACGGTTGAACCGGGAGCAGGGGAGGGTTGGCCGGTGGACTTTGGTCGGCTGACGTTCGGGGCCAGTCTTCTGATCGAGTACAGGGGATGCAGGTTTCCCCCAATCGAGGCGAATGGGGAGGTCATGTACATGTACCTGAGTGCGCTCGAGGTGGCTGCCGGGGTTGGGGACTGCGGGCTGGTGCAGTTGCTGTTGGACCACGGTGCCAAGGTAAGCTGGACGAGCGAACGGGCCGGAGGCGCTCTGAAGGTCGCCGCGGAAGGAGGGTGCAGCGACATTGTCAAGCTCTTGCTCGGCAGGATCACTCCCGAAACCACTGACGCTTGTGGCGGCCATGCCGCCGTCTCGGCTGCCTGCTGGCGTGGGTGTTGGGACGTTGTCGAGCTGCTGGTGGCCAGCGACATGATGGTCCTCACTAGATTCGAACTCTTCGAGGCACTTGAGGGAGCCTGCCGCGACGGAAACCTTGCACTGGCCAAGCTTGTGTTTGACCGAGGTGCAGTGGCAGACACAAAACAAAGTCGCGGTGGCCTGAACCCTCGGGAGGTTCTGATGATAGCCGTGTACTCTGGCTCGCTCGAGATTGTGCAGTACGCGGTGTGCAACGGTGTAGACATCAACAACCGATCGGGGGACGACTGTTGGGCGAAGAGCCCTCTGACTGCAGCATCACGCAACGGCCACCTTGACATTGTCCAGTTCCTGCTCGCGGAAGGCGCCGAAGTCGAGCCCAAGCCTGGACAGCCAACATTGCACGCCCCTCTGGCTGCATGTCTCGACAACGACAGCGGCACCTTCGATTTTGCCATTGTGCAGCTGCTCATTGCCCACGGGGCCAATCCAGACGGACGAGGCACCCGAGATCCGGACAGCCCACTTGCTCTAGCGGTGGAAAACAACCATGGAGCCCACGTGGTAAAGTACTTGCTCGACCACGGGGCAGACGTCAATCGCTTGTCGGGCAAGCCAGAGCGCACGCCCCTCGAAGTCAGCTTGGACGCTGGTGATGCTGACTGCACCCAACTCCTGCTGCAGTACGGCGCCGACGCTTCTTCTCTTGACAGCTCTCAAAGACAACAGATGAAGGAGCTACTCTCGCCGAAAACCGGCACACAAATCGGACAGTCCAAGGCACTAAAAGAGCTTCGAGGAGAGCTCGCGACAGATTCTAGCACTGAGGAAGATGATGAACCGCCAAGACGCAGCAGTCGTTTGGGTCAAAAGCATAAGGGTTAGCAGTCCAGATCAGCCTCTCTATCTAAGGTTTCCCTCAGTTAAAGGTTCAACTCTTGCTCGCATTGTCCAGCTCGGTATCCGTGATAATATTGCTAGATATGATGAGGGGTCACCTTGCCCAGCAATAAATCCCACATGAACGAGAGTGAAACAGCACAGGAGAGTGTCTGGACTTCTTCGTACTCCTTATCGCTAAGCATAGGGCGCTCGGAGATAGAATTCTCAACATAACTCTTGAAAAAGGCGCGGATATAGTCGGTTACGTCAATGTTTTGGTAAAGGTCTAGCCAGATACGTTCTGGATCGATCTTAGGATGGACCTTCGAGAAATAACTAGAGGCGAGTTAGTGATATAGCAGTGATGAGCACTAGAGCCCTGTACATACGCGGTCCAAGCCTCCCAAACACGGGTTCGCTCTTCTACAGTCTTTCGAGCGACCGATGGTGTGGCGCTTAACAATATCGTGGCATATTGTTCGCGGGCGCTACGAGCCGCAGCTCTTTCCCTCTCAATGTTCTTCGTCAATGAACGCTCAAAACGAGAGCCTGCCGCTTGACCTGTAGATCCGTAGATAGCTATGACTGGGGGTTCTGGGAACACGATGCCGAAGCTTGAACGTGATGGAGCTGAAGGGGGAGTTCTCTGGAAAGACGATGCCGAAGCTTGAATGTGATGGAGCGGAAGGGGCAGTGGTGAAGAAGAGACCACTGGGGCCCCAGGGCAGAGATCCCGGTTTGTGCCCCCATGTTACGGACACAGAGCGCTTTGCCGCTCATCAGCGCCTGTGTTTTGTGACAGTTTCGATGCGTTTGTTGGTTGACACAATTCGGAAAACGGTCGTAATGTACGATGAAGGTCAAGCTTATATAAGCTGTACAGTTGTGGCTGTGCCTAGCCAGATGTGGCGTGGCGGAATGGTGGGGTCAGTAACTGGGGGCCGTGGAAGCGCGAAACCGATAGCCGGCGCTCCTGTACACGAGTTAATATACCGCCGGACTAGTAGTTAGGTCGGTGACGACCAGCGAATCCCCGGTGTTGTATGTTTTTGTTGTTTTGTTTTTTGGCCCTCCATTATTCATGAGCTTCACACAAGTCCGGCATTGTATGTTTGTCTACTGTTCGATCACTGTAGATTAAGTAAGTGAGGTCGTATCTATGTCATATTTGACCAGAATCTGTGTCGTACAGAATCATTTTTGTTCTTCGTCATCATTACATTGGCTACCAAGCAACATTTGAGAGTCATGCGCTTCCGGCGACTCTATTACTTCGTGAACCCCACTCCGTCTACTCCAAGGCGAGAGAGTGATTGCACATTAGCATTCTCATTATTCGCAGCCCACACGGTATGGACAGAAAGGAAAATAGAGACTGGCGTGAGAGGGCGAGGAGCTGGCGAACCGCAACCGGGAAGCTCAGACATCCTTTGGGCTGGAGTGTGGCTACACTTACCTTGTGAAGCGTCAAACTAGTGTAGACACGAACAAAAGGGTAGAGAAAGTTGAACAGGTATTGAGCGAAGAACAGCTTGGTAGAGTCGTCGCCCATGCAGAGCTTCTGTATGAGCAACAGCGCCCGAGCACTCATCAGCGCAACGCCAAACATCTCGTTTGACAGGTCTAACCGAGGGCGTGCATTCTCCAGGCCGGGTTCGTTCTGAAACTCGCTGCAAACCCACGTGTACCAACAGCTGGCGAGCATGGCCAGCTCCATTAGCTTGAGGATAGGGTTGACAAGGGCCAAAGCCATCTCCAAGAGTAACAAAGGATGAGTCCTGGCAACAATGTTAAGGTCCGGGACTTTGGAGTTTGTTTTTTCTCGAAGTGCTGGTGAGAGAACATACCGCCACAGGATTGGGATGCAGAAAATACATCTGAGATACGAGCGCGTCGCGTTGCGCGACCACCGAAGGACCTGCAACATGAAGCGCGATGAAGGCTCAAGCGTTGTGGCAATGACTGCGTCTGGATGTGTCTGAATTTTGATCTTCCACCCTTCCCGCAACAAATGACGAGTGAGAAACGTATCATCCCCGGAGTCCAAGAGGTATTTTCCCATCCAGTAGTCATTTGTGAAGGCCTCAAGGAATCTGCTTTGCTTTATTGCCGAAGCACGATACGCGGCGGTCCTGCCCGAGAGACAGGTCACGGACGCGTCGAGGTAATTCATGGCTGCTATTTGGTGGGCTCTTCGCTGGAGCCTGCAGTCTGCAAGGTGCTCCCAGACTGTGGAGAAACCAATTGCCTTTGGGCCGCCCGGGCGCCTGCCTTCATGGATCGTGCCGACTCCAGCGACTTGCTCGTCTTCGAAACAGGCCAGCATCAGCCTCAACGTGGATGGCTGCCAAAACACATCGTCATCAGCGAGGACTAGGATACCGCCCTCGGCCTCGCGGATCCCCCGGGCGAGCTGTCGACGCTTTCCCGGTGACGGAACAAAGAGCGCCCGGATTCTGGTGCACACAGTCGGCGAGGAGTCCGCAATGCGGCTGATCAATGGCAGAAGCGATGCCTTCATGGAGACTGTCGACACAATGATTATCTCGAGTGGTTCGTTATCCAGGAAAGTCCTGATAGAGTGTTCGAACTCAACTCCCGCCCCGAACGTCGGGATAATGACTGATACATCAGAGGCCGGCGTGTATGCGGGCTCGAGGGGCAGCTCGACGGGTGTCAATCTGGACGCAGCCCACCGTTTTGCATGTCCTAAAATCTGACGGGAAAGCCTACGTACAGGAGAGTGTGTCAATGTAATGTTGCGCCAAACACATGCGAACTTGACGTCTTAGGAGATGTGGAAAGGCCTACCATGAGTACCACAACCAAACGCTCCCTTGAGTCATTCCGATGCTTGTAATATTTGGGGCTTTCTTGTTTTCAAAGCGAGCGAGCGGAGCGGTCAGACAAATCCGAAGATTTTTGATGGGACTGTGCGTCGTTCAGATTTGCCGCGGCGACACTTTGGTAAAACAAGGAAAAGGAAATAAAAATTAAAGCGAATTGGCCAAGCTGGGGCTGATATATCTCATGTACACCAATTGGACTATTTGGTGTGCGGCCGAGTTGGGACTGATACATCTCGCCTGCACCAATTACGCTATCTGGTGACCCGGCGGGGCCTTGCCACTTCCTGCTCACCCCTGTGAGTGTGAGATTGCCTCACGCCTGATTCAGACGCGGGGCACTGTTTCCACCTGCATGTGTGCTTTGCGACTAGGCAACCTCGAAGAATGTTGAGAAAAGACTCGTGGATCTTGACGCAGGTTGGTGCGAGCGACCTTTGCATCCGTGCTTCCATTGTACCAGAGCCATATTTCTGGACCACAAGAAAGCTGTAATTTGGTGACAGCCGAACTACAATCATGACGAGGACCATGATATACCCGCACGTACAACAGTCAAGGGGCGAGATCCGGATCATCAGGCTGCATGCTGAGGACGGGTCATACGACAGCCCCCTTCGCTGTGATCTGGAAGTCGCTCAGATTGAATCCCGGCAAGCAAACCCACAAAGCGCTGCTGCAGAAACTTCACCAAGTCCAAACGCAAAAAAGACAGCATCCACGACAAGGGCCGGATATGTTGCTCTTTCTTACGAATGGGGCACAGAGGATGGTCAGCAATTCATACAAATGGGGGAATCCTCCGTGAAGATCAGAGCGAACCTTGCGGAGGCGCTGCGGACCATTCGCCAGAGATATGGCGCTGCGGTCCGCGGAATGAGGATCTGGGCAGACTCTCTGTGCGTTGATCAGCAGGACCCGACTGACAGAAGCGCCCATGTTCTACTGATGGGCGCCATATACTCCCAGGCTGACGAGGTGCTCGTGTGGCTTGGCCCTGAAAGGGACCAGAGCGACCTTGCTATCACTCTTCTGCACGACCTAGCGAGCACAGAAAGCTCATCCGAGAAGGACGTTTTGCAGCTGGTCAAGCAAAAGCCTGCTTCATGGCTCGCATTAGACGATCTCATGAGGCGCACATACTGGGAGCGGGTTTGGATCATCCAGGAGTTATGCCTGGGCAGTCGCGCGACACTGCTGCTTTGCGGGGAGCAATCCGTGAGCTGGGATGTCTTATACAAGGCTGTGTGGACCACAATCACCCCGTATCTTGATCCGATCGTGGCTTGCATCGCGACTGAGATGGAGCGACATAGAGGCCAATCCTACACCGAGGGCGACCTCCTCAGACGGAGCTTTTTTTTCCACATCAATCTCGAAAAGACACTACAGAGCGGATCTGTAGAGGGTTTGAGCCGGCGGAACCGCGAAAACACTAAAGAAGGCTGGCACATCATGCCCATATTCGATCGTGCCAGAGCATCTCGCTGCTCACTGGACCACGATAGGGCATATGGTCTGGCCAGTCTTCTTCCAAAATCGATGAAAGCGCTCCTTGCCCCCGACTACACCATGTCGGTGAACGATTCGTACAAGTCCTTGGCTCGAGCCTGGATCCAAGCCCGGGCGGACCTGGAGATATTGACACAGTCTTCAATTTTGCGTGACCGCGACCTGCCAAGCTGGGTACCGGACTGGAGAGTCTCGGAACACATCCGTCTTTTCTCGGGAGCAAATTGCCCGTATGATGCATGTCGAAGCACGAAAGGTTCTTTTGCCTTTATCAATGGAGGCAACACGCTTGTGGTATCTGGTCTCCTTGTTGACAAAATCGATGGACTCGGCAGAGAATCAGGCCTGGTGCGAGACTGTCAGCGCGGTGTCGTACAACCTGAGCAAAGACTCAATGCTTACGAGACCACCCACGCGTTGTTTGATTCGCTATGGCGAACGATGCTTGGAAACATCACGACAGCCGGCCATCAGCTATCAGTATCAAACAGTCATGTGTTAGCACTCGTACTTCCACTCCAAGAAGAAGCCCCGGGGCATACTGGTGAGCAGCGAAGCGCCCCTGCGTCTACACGACTTGAACAATTGAAGCGCAGAGTGTTCGACAATCGAGAACTCCATGTTGGCGGCATACCCCTAGGGGATCTGATTGCTTCGCAGAGAGACATTCAGCTCCAGCAAGGCACTCCTGTGGGTGGAGGCAAGGATCTTGACGTTGCTCTCGAGCAGTCGTATCGCTTCTCTCGGCTCAAACGACTCGCAACAACGACGAGTGGTAGGCTTGCCATGGTGCCCGACTGGACACTGCCTGGAGACTATATCGGTGTGCTTATGGGAAGCGACGTTCCATTAGTGCTTCGCAAGATTGAACCAGGTGGTGGCGCAACCAACGAGCTGTCGTTCCACGTTGTTGGGGGGTGTTACGTTCATGGGCTCATGCACGGCGAGGCCCTCGAAAGTGAAACACCGAATCTCCAAGAAATTCAACTGCATTGAGAACCTGGCTTAGGGAGATAGCTGAAGAACGATTTGACCTGCTTCCAACAGGTCCACGTATGGAAGCACGTCCCTTAGACGAGACGTGATTTCAATAGATTGGGAAGAGCTTCAAGTGCAGGACGACGTCGCGGATCTCTGTGCACCATGTCTGCCACCACGTCCAGGACGGGCCCATTTACGAGGCAGGAAACCCGACTGTGCAACGCGAGGTCGTCTATATCTGTGAAATCTAGCCACGGCACGAGTCGCAGGCTTCGGAGCCACAAAACTATGCGGTCGATCGTGTGGGCGTAACCCGGCTGTCGATACCACGGTTGGCGGATGTGTTCCTGGAGTCGGAACACGTGGTATTCTTCAAGTGAGTGCAATGCGACGAGCGAAAGCATCTCGGTGAAGACGACACCGAGAGAGAAGATGTCGCACTGCTTTGTATGTGCCGAAATCTGGTCGAGAACTTCGGGTGCCGCATACTTCTTGGCGAAGCCACGGGCGTGGCGGATAGATTCATACGGCGGCCATGTGGCCAGTTCAGATGCCTGACGAGCACTGCCAAAATCGGCGAGGAGCATGGATCCAGTACTTTTAACCAGAATGTTCTCGGGCTTGATGTCTCTGTGGCAAAGGCCGTGATCATGTACCCACTGTAGCGCACTACAGAGGCATGGAAGAGACGACAGGAGGGACAGAATACGTCTATCAAACTGCCACCGTGAAGCGGTAGGGACGTGGGACTCTATTGGCTGCTGAGGGGCAGTCGCCGAAAGTTGCAACAGTGTTGTCGGGCCAAAGCTTAAAGAGATGGCAGCCATAAAGTCTGCAAGATCGGCTGCCGCGGCTGGAAAGATTGCGATGAAGGTCCTACCATTGCTATCAATGCTTTCCGCAAAGGCAGATACTAGATGTTGGTGGCGGCCGAGACGCTTGAATGCCAGAACTTCCTGTCGTGCGTCATCCTGTCCATGCGCTTCGACAATTTTGACCACAAATTCAGGTCGCTCACAGGGTGTCCATTTCTCCATGGCTGAACTGGTGTCGGCTTTCCCTCGTTTCAGCCGGCATCGCACGACAGTAGCTTTGCGGCTCTTCTTCTTTTGTTCCCATTCTTTGGGACCAACGAGCTCTTCCAGTATTTCCAGCTGCGGCGATAGTTGCCACTCTCGCCTAGCACTCTGACTGGCAGTGTGCTCTTCTGTAAAATCATCAGTTGCATGGAGTTGCGGGCCGTCGAGCAAAGATGCAGTCGGACGCATATCGGAGCTTCTAATCACACAACACTCAAGCTGTCGTGGTGTGATGCTCGATGAACTGGACGTCATGGAGACATTGCTTGGAGTTTATATGGTTGCAGAGCGGGATCGTGGTCAAAGAATGCTAGAGAGCTGGTGATGAGCAGCAGACGAGAAGTCTCGGCCCGGCCACCTCTCTCAAGTGGAAGGTGGGCGAGCGTCGACAAGGTACAGGGGTGATATCATTCGTCCGCGCACATATAGTAGAGACTTTCCACCCTGGCTTTGCCCAGTATTCAACGCTTAGCTTTGGGTCAAATCGACTCGACACGAGATTTTGTACTTCCTGCATGCCCCTGTGGTCAGTCAACTCGTCGGGGTTTCGACCGACTCCGCTCCGCGTCCTCGGCGGCCACCTTAGCCTCGTACGCCGCTATGTAGACCTCCCAGACTTGACCTCCACCGCCGCCGTCCGGTCCTGGCTCTACGAACCCTCCGCAGCCCTCCACCACTACTGCTGCTGCTGCTGCCGCTGCTGATTTGGCTGCCCGTAGCTGGCCGCCCTTGAGCTGGTGCTTCTGTCGGTAGTGGGTAACTAGACCGCTTACGGCCGCTGGGATGCCTGCCTTAATAGCGTGCAGATTAGTACGCGGCTCTCCCTGTGTACGTAGACATACATCTGGCGTCGCTGTGCGCTCTAGCTCTGTCGTTGTCCCCACTTTACTTTGGTCTTAGCATGTCACTTTCGGAGGCTTGACCCTTAGCGCCACATCTGCGCAAACATCCAGGGCGTGCAAGCGCCGATGCCACCCCGGTGTCAAAAATCCGAGTTTCCAACCTGGCCGAGGAACATCGTCTCGGCCGAGTCATCGCCCAGGCTGCCAATCACTCTCCTCTCCGCACAAAACGCGACGCCATGGGGGCCGACATCTATTGTGCCATCTGCTGCGGGCCTTTCGCGAGGGCCACGGTCGGGGTAGAACAGAGGTCATCCGTCTGGCGTCAGCACCATTTCCGACCGAACGTGGACCTCGACGTGGTGGACCAGAACCTCCCCGGTTCCGCTGGTGCAAGAGACCAACCGGGCGAGGGCTCAAACGTGGCCAGTGCTCCAGAGGATAATGTGATGGATTACGTTTACAGCCCGGACGTCATTCTTGACGAGGTCGAAAACGGCCAGGTCCGTTGGGTCCGCGATGTCTATTTGATTGGGTTCGATGGGAGCCGGTGAGAATATAGTGCCTCTAGAATGCCTCTCAAAACTATGCGGCCGTGACTAACTACGTCAAGGGCGGCGATATTTGGCCCTGGTTCTCATGACGATTTCAGCTATGTGAACATGGAAGTCGATCTCGATCCATTTGGGAATGAGCAGGAGTGCTGGGAGTGCTACACCGATACTATCCAGCAACATCCAAGCTATCCATTCCACAAGCCATGCTACGACGTTCTTGCCAGATTGCTCTCCAGGGACAAAGAAATGAGCGCGGGAGAGACAGAGCGTCTGTACCAAGCCATGCGGACATTGGGTGAAGATTGCGGAGTCGCGCTGGACCTCGACTATAGGTTGGAGGGCCAGGAATACGAGCAGTTCTGGGTTGTTCAGCGTGGCAAGGAATACACCGTAACCTCGCCCGCTGAATCCCCAGCCGTTTTGATGCATTTGCAAAGCGTGCTTCAGAAGAACTGTTTCCGTCAAAGCTCAGTGGATGATGCATCGACAGGTTCTTTGCGGGAGGGCCAGGACTTGTTCCGAAATCTGCCGCGAGAAATCCTGCACAGCATTGTGGCTTATCTAGAGAATGACCAGCTTCCTCAACTGTTGATGGCATCACGGCAGGTGAGGGCAGCACTCCGCCATGACAATGGGTTCTGGAGGTTGCGGATCCAGAACACCATGGCCTGGTTTTTCGAACTCTTGGGCTACCTCGACCATCACGAGTCGGGTGTTGTTCGCGAGCTAGACCTAAAACGTGTCTTCGAATGGGCAAACACCAGCTCCAAGGGATGCATGGGAATGAAGGGGCCGTTGATGGTTGTGGCCAACCGGCGCCGTATCTGGGAAACGGCCTGCACAGCGATTCAAAAAGTATACCACGCCAAAGCGTAGTGTATTTAGCGTACGTTACACAAGCTAGATTTCGGTCGGGTATTAGCATATACTGTCAGTCATGGGATTAAAGACTCAACAAGCTGGCAGGACTGATGATGCAGTGCTCCTCCCAAGTCTCAATGCGGAACATCCGCGAATGTATGCCATCGTACTAGCAAAGTCGATTCGCAAGCGAGGCAAGGATTGTCATCCGGGTAACCTCTTCAGCTCATGCAGGTACGTAATAAGGGCGATGAACCCCATGGGGAATGCGGCACGAAGGGCTCAATGTTTCCGTCCCGACTTTGCTTGTCCAAACAGACGGAGCACGAAATACGTAAAATCGAGATCAAGACCCGCAGTGCCTCACGGAGCGGCAGCCAAGAGGTGCTTGCCATCCAATTAGCAATGCTTGTTGTAAGCTCACTGTCATGTCATCCCCCCGATACGGGATGGCTCGCTCAGCGCAGGCGTTTCAAAATTTGGCATGCTGGCCCAGGCTAGACTGCATTGCTTGACCGAGCCCGGTCTCGGCTCGACAATGCAACGCGGATGATGCCTAAATCGTAGTAGGTGTGGGAGGGCAAGGTGGCAGCTATTGGTCTCTGCTTATGCCCAGTGGCAATTGGCCAACCAGGAATCTTAGACAGGTGGGGGTCCAGGCGGCTCTGCCGGCTAGAGACGTTACTTTGTACCTGCAGGCACGTCACGGCGGGAAGAAAAAAAAGTCTAAAGGCGGACAAGGGGGCAAAGAGTGGAAAAGGGAACGCTAGGAATTGACACCGCAGTGCCGAGAAGGGCCGCAAGGGGCGGGTCCGGCCCCAGCTTTTACGTACCGAGATCCACAGCGCAGGCAGTTTGACAAAAAGGATTAGACAGCGTCCCGGCCTTCAATCCTTGAAATCCCTGGCTTTATTCTGTCCGCTTACATGGCACGGGCCCGGCTCGTCATGCCGCCCCACATGCTCCGCCCGCCGCCGCCGTGACGGAGCCGCCCTCTCCACGAACAACCGTGGACACGGATCGCGACTAGAGAGTCGCCTGGCCCGTCCGTCATCGAGCGCCGGACCTGGCCACTCGTCCCCGCGGACCGGCACACGCTACGATGCAGGGCACTGTGTCGCAATCATGTCGGGTGCCACATTGCACCCTTTATTGCGAGCGCCGGACCACCACTCCCAGCCGGGAGGCGGCCGAGACCGGATCGCAGGTTTTCAATGTCCAAGCTCGCCACGGTAGCTTACATCAGGGCCGTCCCCGTCTTTTTCGTGGGATGGTTAAAAGACCACAGGGTCCATCCACTGCCCCTTGCCTCCATCCCCAGATCCCTTCGAGCTCCTGACTTTCTCTTGTTGGCTGGATCGAGTCGAGTCGAGCCTGTCCTGCCTGCGGTCGTTCACTACGTCACAGAGCCCTCATCCTCCAGGACACAACTTCACCACCACCGCCACCGCCCACCATGGCCACCGGCAACACCACCACCGCCACGGCGGATGCCATCACCAAGGCGCCCCCTCGCTTTCCCGATGCCGCCTCGGACCCGGAGCATGGCGTTTCGCAGCACCAGCTGGCCACCGACTACGAGAAACAGAAGGCGCTCGCCGGCGATGCGCACTTCCACCGCATGGGCTGGCGCGGGCTTGCCCTCATCCTCATCGTCGAGGCTGTCGCCCTCGGCGCCCTGTCCCTCCCGCAGTGCTTTGCCGTGCTCGGCATCGTGGCGGGCACCATCGTCTCCGTCGTCTTTGGCCTGCTCGCCATCGTCGCCGGCCACAACGTCGGCGCCCTCAAGTGCAAGTTCCCACACGTGCGCAGCTACGCCGACGCCGGCGCCGTGCTCTTTGGCAAGATGGGCTTCGCCAAGGCGGGCTACGAGTTTGTCTATGCCGTCTTCCTCCTCGAGCTCATCTTCGTCTCCGGCTCGCACTGCCTCACGGGCACCATTGCCTTCAACGACCTCACCAACAAGGGCGCCTGCGGTATCGTGTTCGGCGTCGTCTCCGCGATCATCCTCTTCGCCGTCTCCGCGCCCGCCAGCTTTGCCGACATGGCATTCCTCTCCTTTGTCGACTTCGCGTCCATCATCGCCGCCATCGGCATTACAATCATCGCCACAGGCATCCAGGCCAACCAGGCCCAGGGCGGACTCTCGGCGGTCAACTGGTCGTGGGCGCCCAAGGAGAATGTCTCGCCCCATGAGGTCTTTGTCGCCGTGGTCAACATCATCCTCGCGTACACGTTCACGCTCTGCCAGTTCTCCTTCATGGACGAGATGCATACCCCCGAGACATACGGCAAGGCTGTCTGGACTGCGGGCCTTGCCGAGATTGTCATCTACACTCTCACCGGCACTCTCGTGTACGCGTTTGTCGGTGCCGATGTCGAGTCCCCTGCTCTGCTCTCTGGCGGCCCGACAATCAGCAAGATTGCGTTTGGTGTGGCTCTGCCCGTCATCTTTATCAGGTATGTTCAACCTCCCCCTTACTGGCTGAGGCGTTTTGGATGGAGACGCTGACTTTTCTTCTTCTTTTCCTTTCCCACAAAAACAGCGGCGCCGTCATCACCCAAACAGCAGCGCGCCTCGTCCACGGCCGCATCTTCGCGAACCGGGTCGAGCGCTACGTCAACACCCCTCGCGGCTGGATCACCTGGCTCCTGACCGTCTTCGTCATCGTCGCCGTCGGCTGGGTCATCGCCGAGGCCATCCCGTTCTTCAGCAACCTCGTCGCCCTCATCTCGAGCCTGTTCAACTCGGGCTTCGCGCTGTACCTGCCCGCGCTCATGTGGTTCACCGTGCTGCGCGAGGGGCCCTGGACGAGCAGGGAGAACTTGATGAAGGGGTTCGTCAACGGGCTGATGCTCGTCAGCGGTGTCGTTGTGCTCGTGGGTGGTACCTGGGCTTCCATTCAGAGCATCGTAAGTATTTTTAATTCTTGATTGTGTTCTTCTCGTCCTCCCTGACGTTTCTGTCGGGAGACCTCTCAGCCGCGCCTTGCGAGCCTTGCATTTCGTCGGAAGATTAATTGCTGACCACTTTTGCTTTGCTTTGCTTTGCTGCAGATTGACGACTACAGGGAAGGCGCCGTTGGAGGCTCGTTTACATGCTCGTAGTCTAGCACATGACGAAGCAGAGATACAAAGAGTTCTGTTTGGGTATGAACTTCGGCTGTGTTAGTGACGGGCATGAGTGATACCCAGCATGATAGTCGTAATACAGATCATGATTAGCCATGGTAATCAAAAGGGATAAAATCTTAAGAAATCCGCATTCACAAAAGCAACCTTTCCGCAATCCTTGCAATTACTGTCGTTATGGGGTTTTGCGAGTTGCCGGATATCTTGCTATCTCCAGAGACAGGGGCTGTGCAGCGGAACCTACAAAAGGAAGACCCAGAAGCCTGCTTGCGATCTTTGCGTGAAGTTCTTGTGCCTGCAACGTCACAGCAGAGGTGGTTGTGAAATTGATGGATGAGCTCAGATGCAAGCCGTCCATGTGCATTTGCCGAGACCAGCAAGCAAAACAATAACTAGTGCAATGCCTCATTCAAAAAGAAAGCGTCTGAATAGTGCTAGTTTGTGCGTCACGCAGCTTGGTTGCACTGGTCAACTGGGCTTCACAGGGGTCGGCGAGGTTTTGTTCGGGCTGGCCATTCTTTTCTTGCGGATCAGTGTCTATGTAGTTTCTGCTCCAGGCTCGGTCTTGAGGGACAATTCTGCCTCGGTCTCCCCACTGGGATTTTTAGTCAGGACAAGTTTATACTTGCCCCCTTCTCCCAGATCCTTCAACGTGACTTCCCTCGTCCTCTGCAAGGATTCAATCTCGTCCAGCCTGTCCAAGGTCTCCTGGAGATGCTCCTGGAACCCGGGCATCTTGCAAATATCCCGCATGGCCGCCTGCATGCTGACGGAGTCTGCTTGGACCATACCGTCCGGGTTGATCGTGAAGATGTTGTGGTGGTCGTGGTTCTTGATCCACGCGGCATTCGTCATGATCTGCCTGGCCTCGTGCAGGGGGATCTGGGGCAGGCTCCCGTCGTAGTTGCCCTCGCGCTTCATGGCCTCCTCCTTGTCGACGAGCGCCTTCGCAAGCAGCATCGCTGCCGACGACAGATCCTGCTGGTCCTCGCCGCCAGGGTCCAGATCCTTGCCCAGGATCCAGTACTTGTTCAGCAGCCAGCGCCGCTCCCTGTCGCAGATGGCATTGCTGGCCTGGATCATGTCGGGGCTCTTGGCCACGCGGGAGAGGAAGCTCAGCCGACCCCCGATCTTGGCGTACACCTCGGCGAGGATGTTGTCGGGCACGTCCTCGCCATACGCTTTGTGGCGGAACTTGCGGACGGCCTGCATCGCCGCGTCCCGTGGGATGTCGCGGATCGAAGTCACGCGTAGCCGCGTGGCTTGCCACATGAGGCGCTCCATGGTCCAGTAGTCGTCGCTGCCAAACACGACCGTCACCAGCCCGCTCGCAGCCCAGAGCTCGGCACGCTGCTGGATGAGCTCGAGGAGGTCCTGGCCGTCCTCGTCGTCGCGGACAAAGTGCACGCCCGTGATGATGAGCACGAGAGGCTTGCCGACCTGCTCTTTGCGCTTGAGCGCCACCTTCTCCATCTTGTTGAACGCGCGCTCGATGTCCAGCAGCGCAGTGGTATCGCGAGGGCCCTTGAAGCTGAACAGGCTGCCGATATAGTCCTCGTGGAACTCGAAGTCCAGCGCCTTGCCGAGACGGATGCGGAAGATCTCCGGGTCGCCGTGGGCCTCCATCATGGCGACGCCCTCGCCGCCAATCTTGCGCATGGCCTTGAGCAGCATGGACGTCTTGCCGGTGCCCTTCTCCCCGCTGATCAGGTGGTAGAAGCCCTTCGTGGAGCCGTCCACGATGCTGTCGATGATGGGCTGCTCGTCGCGCATGACCCACCCGTTGTCCTCGTCGTCGGCGTCGGCGTCGGACGCGTCGAGCACCGCGGCCAGCGCGCTCGCGTGCGAGCTGTTGGGGTCAATGTGCCGGCTCAGCGCGGCGAGCTCGACGCTCGAGTACCCCACCGCAAAGGCGTTTTCCATCTTGCGCAGCACGTGCTCCTTGTAGTACGCGTGGTACGAGTAGCCCGCGATGCCGAGGATCAGGATCGAGCCGACCGCCGTGGCGCAGCCCTCGATGAACTTTTGCAGGCCGCCTGCCCAGCCGGTGGGTTCCTGGCCATCGCGTGACGAGGACGAGGACGACGATGACCATGGCTCGCGCCCACGGTCAGACCTGGGGCGTCTTGGGGCGTCAGCACTGCCATCTTGGTGGTGGGGGGGCTGGCGGTGAGCATCAGCTTGATATGATGGCGATGGCAGGCGACTGAGCCGGGCTGGGTTCTGGATGATGACCCTGGCCTGAATCTGGTTGCGATACCGCGTGCATTAGTACAGTGAGCGGGTGTGGTATCACTCCTGGAAAACTAATGCGTTCAGCTATGCATACAATGCGGGACCGGAGGAGTCTACTGGATAGCCTGCTCATCGCGGAGCCTGAGCCTGTCGTGGCTGTTGCTCAACCGAAGACAAGACAGGTTTCAATGGTGATGTTGGTGGAACATGCCGGGCCCAGGAAACACTGCAGCAGTTGAATACGATGCCCTAATTCTGGACAGGGTTACCGCAGGATAGCAGAGACGACTGGTCCTGGCGATTGTGGGATGTCACGGGCCAGTACTGAGGATGTTGAAGATGGAGGAAATCAAGCACCCAAACGCAGGGTCTAACCACCGCAAGGGTAATCAACATGGACGCTTGGCACGCAGGCATGAGCGGATACACGGCACGGTCACAGGGGACTGACTGTGCATGCTGACGGGCAATTCCCCGCGTCTTTAATCAATAAACGAAAGAGGTCCCGACGTCGTGAGGCATGCAAAAGCAAAGACGCCGGAGCCGGGCCCGGCATGTACCGGCCGCATCCTCCGGTCTCTGTTCCGTGCCGCATGGTCAATTTGTGGCACATGGAGGAAACCTACTTACTCGACGAATTGAGCTGAATAACGGCCTCTTCCTGAGAACTACGACAGTAAACATGGGAAAAGGTCACGCGAGGGGCCGCAGGGACAGTAGTTCAGCTAAAACGGCTTTTTCTTCTTTAGATGCTGAGGTCCTTCTCCAAGCTTGAGGACTTGGGGGATGTAGTGGTGTCGTCTGCTGGAAAGTGCCAAAGGGCCTGCCTGCACATTGGGACACTCTGAATCCACCACGTTGCGGGGTCCCACGGCGGCCAAAATTTATGGCACGCCGCCATGATTACAGGGGTTGGCGGCGAGCATGAGAGCCAGGAACCATACAAGCACAACATCAAAATCAGCAGACTGGCGACTTGAAGCTCGCACAAGTTTGACCCTGGTAACTTTCCACCATCATTCTGAGCAGCTTTCGTTCTCAGAGCAGTCATGGCCTCAGGCGGCGGCGAGACCAGTAAGGCCACCCCTGCCCCACCATCACAAAGCCTCAGTCATGATGTGTCTCTGGTCCTCGTTCTCGTCCTCAGGAATGCTGACCATGCGTGGGAACAGTAAATCTCGACACGCTCAGCGTTCAGCAGCTGAGCCAGGTCAAGAAGCAGCTGGACGAGGAGATTGAACATCTCACCTCGTCCTTCACACAGCTGCACGCCGCGCAGGCCAAGTTTCGCGAGTGTCTCCGATGCGTGGGTGCCCCTAAGCAGGGGGCCTCACCGGCACTGCAGAACGACAAGTCGGTCTTGGTGCCGTTGACAAACTCTCTCTATGTGCGAGGCACCCTGACAAATGCCGACCACGTCCTTGTCGATGTCGGGACCGGCTTCTACATAGAAAAGGTGCGTTTAATGGTTCCTTTGGGGGGGGATCTTTTGTCCCGTGCGCAACTGCTCGCAAGATACTGACAATCATGACTCAGAGCATCGCGTCTGCTGCTCAGTTCTACGAGGGCAAGGTTAGCCAGGTGGGAGCGAGCCTCAAGGAGCTTGAAGCTATTGTTCAGGGCAAGACAAACAATGTCCGCTTAATAGAAGACGGTATGTCCTCACGCATGCATTCAGGGTTGGGGTCATCATGCTAACATTCCTTTCCCCAATACAGTCCTGCGACAGAAGATGGCTGCAAGCCCTCCGCAAGCATCTGGGCAGTCATAAAGAGGTTAAATAGATACATGGTTGACTCAGCAATGTCGAAGACTGTGTGCACTGTGCCTTCGCCTATTGCCGGGAAGATTATGGTCGATCTTGTGTACTTTGAACAATGAATGAATGCAGCATAAATCGTCAAAAATGGTGTTGAAAATTGCAACACAACAGAGTTGGGCCCGCTCGATAATTGGGCGCCGGTATGAGAAGACCCAGCAGCATATAGATGCGTGTTGGCGGCCTTTCGTGGACTTTCACATGGCAAGAATATGGCGCACATTGTGTGATGATCGTTGTTCAATGTCACGACCGTGCTGACTACAAGTCATGTATACCTAGGTACATTGTGGTGGGTGACGAAAAGCTGCCATTGGGAAGCAGCGACCATGCAAACGGCCTTCCAAGTTTGCGAGTGTTTGCCGCTCAATAGACCTGGGCAGTGCTCATTGGCAGCACCACAAGGCTCCATGTCAGATTTCCCTCATTTTCAGGAGATGCCTGAGGATTCCTCGATGCAGCAGCGCAGTATCAATGGTCCATTGTGGGTAAACCCACCCGACGTCTCTTCTCTGTGGACTATTTATCTGACGCTTCCTCTGCACTCTGCTTCCTTCACAAGTGAAACGAGCCGACATGCATCAAAAGCCAAGTACAATCACAATTCTTGTCGCCATAAGCACCGTTCGTACACGGCTATTCAACGAATCATTGCTTTATATCGTCTCCTCCCGTTTCAGGCGTATACCTTTCAGCGATCAATGCTAGAGTCTCTCTTTCTGAGATCGCATCACAGTTGGCTCACAATACTCGATCAAATCTAGCCTGTCATGCCAAACTTTCTCGATGAATCGTACGTTGCACATCCAGAATGGTTCTCCTGGATGCAGCAGCTCACTCGCATCCAACAGATTTCTCTCAATTCCTGTCCAGGCTGAGGATGACGTCGCCGCGCCTTCCCCATTCGCGCATCTTTACCAAACCAAGCAACGGCCTCCTTCAGAGATATATGCATCAGAAGTGCGGACGACAGAAACTCTAAATGACGCTCGCACTCCTGAAAATGGAAAACAGGACGATTTTGCTGAAGACGGTGTCTCACCACAGAACCTCAATGAACAAGCTGGTGGCCAGGTGGCGGACTCCCAACTCCAAGGTCAAACATGTCCAGTAGCTCCTTTAGAGTGCTGTCGCAAGGTGAGTTCATTGAAACGAGGCGGGAGAAGTGGTTAGCTACTGAAATGCGCCACAGGCCATCTTCACGTTACCCTCCAACGCGGGCAGCCAGGCTCGGAAACTCTCGATTCTGAAGTCGATCCTAGATCAAATGGCTCACAAACAACCCGGATGCACGATCGACCTGCAGAAGAACGGCATCATCCCTGGGCTTTTGATTACAACCAAATCCACAAGTCACCTGATCGCGTGCATCAATATATGCAGGGACGCTGCCTGTTTGGAGCTCAGCCGAAGACGTCCTTCGGGCAAGACCTCTCGCAAGATACTGTTGAAGCCACTTCGATTCGACCCAAGGCAGGCTAGAGTTTCTCTACAGCAACTGACGACTGAACATGGCCAACGTCACACTCGACCTCGGCTCCTGAAGCATCCTGTGAAACCAATAGCTCTGCGGGAAGCTTTAGAGTATTCGCAAGCTCGAGAGGCCTTCAGGGATACGCTTGAACAGATGTTAGTTGACCACATGGACGCGATAAACAGCCAGGATGCAAATTTCTCCGTGGTCGCTCGCTTCGGGCACCTTCGTCTGCAAGAATGGAAGGGTGGTGCGTCAAGTCTGGAGGAATTTGCCCTGATGATGAAGCAGCCGAGAACCAGGGCTACTATCGCAGACAAGTAGGTCGAAACTCTCGTTGAAGGTGCTTAACGACCAACTGCCTGTGCTAAATCGGGTTTCAGGTTCGGTGATGCAAGAATGGCTGCAACTTTGTTGTCAGTCATCCGATCACCTGATCAAGACCTCTTTGTGGCGACCGACTATCCTCCCTCAGCATCTGAGCTTGTCGCTAAGCACAGTGTGGAGGCATACCTGGACGGCCAGAAGCTTGTGGCTGATCTTGAACGCGCCGCAAAAGGTCACAAGTACGACTTCTCGACGACACGCGAAGCAATTGAGGTCTCACGACAAGCGGCAGCGTTTCAGATCCAAGTCCTTCGGCTTGGAAAGTGAGTTCCTGCTCCTGTGCCAAGAACTTGACCGGTTCGTCTTATTTACGGTATGCCATTTAGGAATATCGACTGGATGATCGAAGCAACACCAGACTGCAAACTTGCACCTGTGTCACGTCCAGTTCTGGGACGAGCAATGATAGTCAAGACACATGACAGTGTCGGTGAATTTCCTCGGTTCCGTAAGTGCCCTCTGGTGGAAAACTTAACCGTCATATCGGCCTACGAGTTTCAGTGGGCCAACGACAAGACCCCTTATCTTGTCGAGCTCACAGTTTTGCGCTGGTGGGCCACCTCTGCGTCTTGCGAGCAGGGCGACGTGCCCGTGACGAGTTTGGGCATAGCAATGCGTGATGACGAGCGGGGTCTGGAGGTTGACAAGGAGACTGTGGCTCAGCTGATCGAGCACATCGGTTTGCTCGCAAAAATCATCGACGAAATGGTGGAGTAGTGACAACGACCAACGCTCTCTGGCAGGGTGCGAAGAGAGTTGTGGCCATTTAAGAGGACCGGTCACACTGTGTTAGTGCTCATGTCACTTATGAGGTCCAGAAGGTTCCAGGAATCATCTCCGTTCTTGGAGGTCTATTCTCGGAGAACATCATGTTGAGATGTTGCAAAAGGTAGGCAGTGATGCTAGCGGAAGACGCCTATGTTCAGTCTTCCCGGCCTAGCATTGCAGGAGATGACACGACAAGTTTCGAGGCAGGCGTTTTGATATCTCTAGTGGACTTTGGTGAATACACAACAGGTCATGGCAAATACTTTTCATTTTCCCTAGAATGGGTAATTCTGACAAGGCTAATGGGGTATATCCAACAATAAAGCACCAAACCCTAATTCCGAAGAATGATATTTCGAAAGAAATCCACGTCGCTCAACATCCTCCATCATAGAAGTACCCAGAACTTTAAAACCCATCTAGGAGCGACGCAACCTTGTTTCTCTCCAGGACGTCCAGATCCTGCACAAAGTCGTCCTCTTCGCCATCAGCGTCATGATCTCGAGCATTCCTCATCCTTACATCTGCCCCTGACCTATCCGCCCTCGACGGCGGAAGCTGGGCGAGCCGTCCCGACACACGCACGAGCAACATGCGCATCCTCTCGAGTTCCTTCTCTACATCACCATTGCGGGTGATCAGGTTTTCTTGCACGCTGCTACCGCTCACCCCACCGGCGCCGGAGCTCTCTGCCTGCTCGTTCTGTGCAACGGTACTGAACGGCTGCAAGAGAGCTTTCATCTTGCGCAGACGCTCGACGCGCTGGCTGGCTTGTGTTCTGCGTGCAGACAGAGATGTAAGCGACGCAGCGAGATCCTGGTAGCGCTGTGCTTCTGCAGGATGGGCCTCTGCTTGCGCTGGATAAGCGGCGAACCAGTTCTCCGGGAGGGAGGATATCATCGCGTGGGTTGCTGACGCGCGGTGAAGGTTAGCCGATTGCCAGCCCATTTGCAACGTTTTGTGTCAGCAGGAAGCTGGGACATACTCAGATCTGCGCCTATCCGCAGCGCATCGTCACCAATGTCGGCACCATCCTTGTCCCCTCCGTCTTCTCCCTCTTGCCGCCTGCCAGCGATATAGCGATCCGCCGAGTCGAGCAGCAACCGCTCGATCTGCTCTGCGACATGCCTCGATGCTTGCGGGGCGTACACACGGCGCGAGTGCTGCTGGAGCAGGTGATTGAGGCGGGTCAGGGCGTCTTCGAGGGTCTTCTGTGACAATGATGCAGCATCCGAGTCTGCGTTGCTGCGCTGCCAGTGTTGTGAAGGCGCCAGGGGCTGTGAGAGCTGTAGCGTCTGAGCGGTCAGGAAGGCCGTCTTGTGGGCGAGGACGGTTGGTGGTGGTGGCTCGGCCATGGCGCCGGTCAATCGCGTGCGTAAGAGATGCCCAGATACTTCGACTTGGCGAGAAATGACGATCGGGATCAGATTGTGGGTGGAATCTGAGCTGGGCTATATAAGGTCCGGCCGGTGATAGCTTCAACCTCGGTCGTCTCTGGAGACGCGTCAAGCGCGTCTGCTGCGCGTAAGGTGGCGGGGTGAAGCGCAGACCGTGCTAAGACACAGTCTCGGCCTGTCGCAAACACTGTTTTGCGCCAAGCAAACTGCCGTGATGACATAATGAAACCAGCTTGGAGGAAGCTCCCTGCGCAATGACGACGACCGCGGGGCTGAGCGCGCTTGGGTTCTGGGAGCCCGAGCACATGCGCTGCGCAATCATCCACGACATCCGAGACTCCCTAACCTGCCTGGCCGGCTCCAGCTCATTGCGACTCTGCCAATCTGCTAGGCAAGCAGGCAGACGTTTTCCTTGGCGGCCTGTACCTCCTCCTGATCCTGTCTGGCCTGGTCACAATGAGGAATGCAACGGTCTTGGCTTTCTCGCGACCACTACGAAATCATCATCTCGACTGAGCAGGACTAAGCGCCAAAGGCGTATCCGACGCCGGCCTCGCCCAATTTTCAACGCCATAGACGACATTCCCTGAAGTGTCTGCCTCACGGCCCCCGCGAGCCGTCATGTCGATCCGAATCGCCCTCGATAAGCCACAAGAGTTCTACACGAACCTCGACGAAATCAGCGGGCAAGTCATCCTAGGCCTGAACCGTGTCGAGACGATTGGCAATGTCGTCGTCAAGCTCGAAGGCGACTCCCGCACCGCCCTTAAGACTCCGGACCTCGACGGCCGCGTCAACAAATATGACTCGAACGGCGTCGTCACCGAGAGCCACAAGCTGCTGTACCGGCTGCAGCAGGTCTTTCCGACCCCGAACACCCCGATGAACGGGCCTGGCGGCTCCAGCGTATTCAACCCGGGGCAGCACGCCTTCCGCTTCAACTTCAAGATGCCACTCAACAACATCTGCCACGATCCGAAAGCAATGTCCTCGCTGATAGGCGTGGGCGGCATGCTTGCGCCAGGACAGTCGGGCATGCTTGGCCTTGGCGGCTTCCGCACCATGGACGGCACTCGCCAGCTTATGCTGCAGCATGTCAAGTCGACTCTGCCTCCCAGCCTGACGGGGTTCCACGCGCAGGCCGAAATAAGATACTATATCAAGGTCACGATTCAGCGGCCAGGCTTCTTCAAGGAGAACTGGCGATTCCAAATCGGCTTCAAGTTCCTGCCGCTCGAGCCTCCGCGGCCAGCGCTCACGGCCCAGGAGGCCTTTGCCAGAAGACCATTTGCATTCACACCACGCACACCGCACCCAGCGAAACGGCATTCCTTCTTCGGTATCGGCGGCAAGTCCAAGAACAAAGACCCCGCAGAGCCGGGCCCGGTAGAGGGCGAGAAACAGGAGCCGCCCACCATAGAAGTCTCCGCACGCCTGCCGCACCCTGCCATCCTCACCTGCAACGAGAACATACCACTCAGGATCCTTGCCAAGAAGGCCGCTCCGGTCAACGAGCAGGTCTACCTTGTGGGCTTGGAGGTGGTGCTGCTCGGCTACACCAATGTGCGCGTGTCGACCCTGTACCACACCGAGACGTCGAAGTGGACAGTCGTCACGCAGCAGAACCTCAAGGTGCCCCTGGGGAAGCCGGAAGACGAGGTAGGTTCCGAGTTCGAGGTGCCAAACAATCTCTGGGCTGGCCAGGCACTGCCCAACACGGTCGCGCCGTCCTTTAAGGCTTGCAACATCGAGCGCCGCTACGAGCTGGAAGTACACCTGGCGCTGTCATGGGGTCTCCCGGGCGTCAAAGGCGCCACGGCGTTTCCGCAGCTGCTGCGCCTGCCATTGAAGCTTTCAAACGTGGCAGTGTTTTCCGGCATCAAGCCACCACCGGAACTTCTCCAAGCCGCGACTGCCGCCGCCGCCGCCACCACCACCACCGGCAAGCCAAAGCCACCAGCGCTCCCGCCACGAGCCTCACAGGTCGGCCTCAACTCGCAGTTCCAGTCCTCGCAGCAGAGACCGGGCAGGCCCACGCACACAAACACATTCCCAGCCGCCGACGGCAGGCCACCACCCTTGCCCACGGCGGCCGGCCGGCCAACACAGGTCCACGACCCTCTGTACCCGCCGCAGCTCGGGCCGGGCAACGTGCTCCCCGCGGACGACGCGCCGCCCAGCTACGACGAGGCCATGGCGGCGACGGCCAGCGCGCCGAGCACCGAAGACCGCCCGGCGTACAGCGGCGTCACGGACCCGAATGCGCCTAGCTCGATCCCCGAGAATGACGGCACCGAGAAGAGAGGGTGGCACTGAAAGCGCACGCGCGATATTTTCCCACACCGCACATGGCGGTTTTGGTTTTAAAGAGAAGCAGCTTCCTGTCGAACGAACAGGTCCCTCTGGAACAAGCCATCCACGAGGAGCAAACAGATGTTGCACGGACCAGAATGGCGGCGGAGGCCGGGCCTCTAGTCGGGATCAACGGAGAGAGAAACTTCGACCCGCAACACCCTAGGGACAGACACACTGCGCCTCGACCGCCGCAGCGAGACCGCAAGCCGGTGAGGATAGCTAGCCTTCATCTGAGACAAGCCACGCAAGGCAAGGCAGGGCAAGGCAAGTCACAATTGAGTGATGGTGAACGGGGTTTGCCGTGGTGGCGCTACAAGAAACGCTTGATTGCACGTGCATATATCATTTCACCCTGCCACAGTTTGTTCGGGGAGATGCGGGACTCGGCTCAGTGCATCGCGGCGCCGCGGGATGGCGGCTTGGGAGCAGGGTCCGACGTGATGTTGGGAGGGAGTTGGTTTTATGAACATGATGACGGCAGCAGACACTAGTGACAGTAGAGATACCCGAACACGCAACTCATGACTTTATCCGAAGCAGACATGTGATGCCAGAAAGACCTGTGGAACAGGCACACAGAGAGAGAGAGGTGTTGGTGGTGACAATTGTGGAAGAGCGACGCCTATGTCCATGGTTCTTTCTACAGGTCTACAAGGGACGCATACGCTAAAGTCCTATGTACATTTTCCTCCCACCCAAAAAAACACGACATGCATGTTCGTCATGAACGACCATCGCTATGCAGGCCGGCAATGTGCCGTTGCGGAGATGCTCTTCGCCCCAGACCCCATGTGGGTGGGTTGTTGGTGTTGTGGAGTAGCGGGGGAAGGTGGTTGGCAATGGTACCGTCCAGCCACATCGACGGACTGAACCATATGCATGCCCTACCCGAGACTTCCCGGGAGCTAACCGGTATCCAAAAGTCGGGGTAGGCTGGATATGGGCTGATTCTCGGCACGTATACGGCTTCACGACCCAGGACCTCGGCCTACGGAGCAGCGGAGCGCCTACGTAAAGCTAGCTCATAAGCCCACTTTACAGCTTGTTCTTAAGGATGGACTTCATCCGTCTCTCAACCGCGTTCATGTACTCGGTGGTGGTGACATAGTCCTCGCGAGCAGTCTTACCGCAAGCCAGAGCCAGATCCTTGGTCATGATGCCGTCAACATCAACAGTGTCAATGCAGGCCTGCTCCAGGCTCTCGGCAAACGCAACCAGCTCGGGGGTCTCGTCGAGCTTGCCACGCTGGACAAGGCCACGGGTCCAGGCGAAGATGCTGGCAATAGGGTTGGTCGAGGTCTCGCGACCCTTCTGGTGCTCACGGTAGTGGCGGGTGACGGTACCGTGGGCGGCCTCGGACTCGAAGGTCTTTCCATCAGGGGTGATGAGGACGGAGGTCATGAGGCCAAGAGAGCCAAAGCCCTGGGCGACAATATCGGACTGGACGTCACCGTCGTAGTCTGCACAGAGGTATGTATGTTAGCACCTGGGCGTTCCTTGTTTTCTCAACAGTTGTATGACACAAACTTACTCTTCAGGGCCATGATGTAGCCACCGGAGCTCTTGATCATCTGAGCGACCATGTCGTCGATAAGGCGGTGCTCATACCAGATCTTCTTGGCCTCGAAAGCTTCCTTGTACTCGGTGTCGTACAGCTCCTGGAAGATGTCCTTGAAGCGACCGTCGTACTTTTTGAGGATGGTGTTCTTGGTGCTCATGTACAGGGGCAGCTCCTTCTCCAAGGCCAGCTTGAAGGAAGCATGGGCAAAGCCAGTTATGCTCTCGTCGGTGTTGTACTGGGTCTGGGCAACACCACCACCGTTCTTGAAGTTGAAGACCTCAATCTCCTCGGGCTCGCCACCCTCGGGGGTGAAGACCATGGAGAGCTTGCCGGGGCCCGGGAGGACAGCGTCCTTGGCACGGTACTGGTCACCAAAGGCGTGGCGGCCGATGATGATGGGCTTCTTCCAGCCCTGCACGAGGCGGGGCACGCGAGGAATGACGATAGGCTCACGGAAAACGGTGCCACCGAGCGCGTTGCGGATAGTACCGTTGGGCGACAGCCACACTGCAGAGAGGACGAGATACCATTAGTTCGCCTAGCGACGCCAAACTCGACGATGGAGTGGAAGGCCACTGGGGACTTACTCTTCTTGAGCTTGAACTCCTCGACACGGGCCTCGTCGGGAGTGATGGTGGCGCACTTGACGCCGACCGAGTACTTCTTGATGGCCTCGGCGGCATCGATGGTGACCTGGTCATCGGTCTGGTCACGGTACTCGAGGCCGAGGTCGTAGTACTTGAGGTCGATGTCGAGGTAAGGGGTGATGAACTTGTCCTTGATGTCCTGCCAGATGACACGGGTCATCTCGTCGCCGTCGAGCTCGACGACGGGGTTCTTGACCTTGATCTTCTGGAACGCCATGATGCTGGTGCGGTGGAAGGCGGCGGTGGAGGCAATGGAGGGAGCAAAGGGCTTGACAACAAAGGGACGTGCAGATCGTGAGAGAAGAGACGACCGAAGAGGACGGACGGAGGAGGAGAGAAGACAGTTCATTTTGGAGGAGGAGGGGCGGCCGGAGACACTCGGGCAAGGGACGAAAACCGAGTAGGTGATCCCGGAGGGCAGAGGAGCGGCGGCGGGCGGGACGAGGCGCAGGCTGGGCGACAAAGCCGAGGAAGAGAGGGCCGGATAGCTAGTTCCGTCCGGGTCGGGGCTTGCGGGCGAGGGACCACGATAAGGGTCACGATAACACACCGCGGTGGAGTTGTCGAGGCCAAAAAAGGTTGCGGCTATACGTTGGCCACAGAGTTGGACGGGATCGCAAGGCTACTACTGTATACTAGGGCAGGTCAGCCAGCCGGTCCGCGGGAGGGTTTGGCGCAACTTTGACCCTGGACCACCAAGCCGATGGGGTCGCAAGGAGGGGTTCTCGGCCCTGGAGTTTCTCCATGGGCGAGGCTCGGGTCAAAAGGGGGGGTAAGGGTTGCTTGGCCGGCGCAGCCAATGAGGGGCCGGCGCTGCCTGCACAGGTGACCGGTTCGCAGCGGCTCGCGCGCAGCAAATTCTGGGGAAGACTGACCTGCGCGGCAGACTTCCGAGCACTTGCCGTTTTGGTGTGCCGAGGCGGCGGTGATGCAAGCAGGACAGGGAGGAGGCGATGCGCTCTCGTGTTTCGCTATCTGCCACCGGTGGTGCAGAGAGATGTGGTCCGTCTGCGCTATGAGCTGAGCGTGCGGTTTGGCTGATGGTCCAGAGGAAAGGCAGAGGGAGAGAATGTGTGCATCATCATGGACCGCACAGCAATTTTCGGATCCATCGGCGCCTGGATCGGAGTCGCGCACTGCGAAAAGTCGTGGTCGTGGGGCCTGCGAAGCCCTGGCCTGGAGGGGCCACCGTGCCGATTTGCGGAAGGCAGGAGCAGCTCTTTGCTGCTGCGTCAAGTGTGCCCAGCTGTCCATGTCGACCTACACTAGCCTTGTGCGAGAGTCGTTGCACTCGACTCGACTGAACTGAATTGGTCACAATCGTGTGTCGCGGCCCCGGCTCGTTCGTGCTGCATATGCTCGGGCGATAATTCCCGATCAAACATTGTCGTCTACGGCGGCAACTTGGATCCCTTCTCGAGGGACGTCAGTCGGAATCGGGTGGCCGCGCAGCACTGCGGGGCCCCGGCCCGGGGTTTGGGCTGCTCGATGGGTGGGCGTGTCATGGAGCGTGTCATGATCTGGCCCGGAAGTCTCCCGAGATGGCCGAGTCTGGGGCAGGTCGAGTGACCATGACTGCCTTCTGCCTCGGAAGTTGGCCGAAGGGGTCGGGAGGAGCAGCGCTGCGTGGTGAGAGACGGAAGGTGAGGATGAAGATGGTGAAGTTGGGAAATCGGCCAGAAGGACCAGAGTGCGCACGGCGTCGTCGACTTTGTCGGCTGGGCTGGCAGGAGCGGCACGGCACGCTCTCCTCAAACCCCACGGAAAAAGCAACTACCCAGCGCTCTGCAGTCCTTGAGCTAATGCTGCAGTCATGCCGTCCTCACCGTGCCTCTCTGCCACTTGCAAAGTCGCATTTTGGGCGAGATGTGGACGCCACAGGGCAAAGGCACTTCAGCCTCGACACCGCAGAGTGTCTCGGCTGCGTCTCTAGCCAAAGCTTGTGGCATGTCTCCGACAGCCGTCATCTATGCCTTGATCTTGTATCTCATTTCGATGGTCATCATTTATTGACCTGCCTTGTTGTTGACCAAACTTCTTCCCTCAATCATATTCTAGCTCGTTCAACTCCATCTACACTCCTGATCTTGCCATGCCTCCGTTGGCGAAATGTCCTTGTCTTGTCCCATGGAGCAGGTCCCTCACACCATGACTCTTCACTCTTCATATGGCTGAGGCATGAGACCATAAAACCAAAGATTGAGGTGCCGGCACGAAGCATTTCTGCGACTCCACGCAGCCGCTCTTACACGCAGCAAACCTCAGTCAGCCTTCTGTCCTTCTTAACATGTTACTCCTCCCTCTCCTCCCTTTCCGCGACGCGGGAGCTGCTTATGCTCCCCTCGCCTGATCAATTCATGACAGGATTGCAATATTGAAAAGGGTTAGCAAACGAGTCTTTCTTTCCCCATACAGTATTCTCGTGGCTTGGCCTTGCAGCTTCACCACGCCATGCACTTGGACTTTGGAACGAAAGAAACGCCGGTACGAAACAAACAGTGATGTGCAAGACAGGAAAGACAAGGCAGAGACACAGCGGTGATGATGGCGCAATTTAAGAAATGAGCCAAGGCAGCATGAACAAGAGCTGACCACGACATTGCGAGAAAGAGTCTTTCAACAGTTTGGCCATATTTCCTTGCCCAGTCGGTCACGGAAACCCGCGCCGCGCGCGCCGGTCGGAGTCGCAGTCCTCCTTACACCGAGGGCACTGCCATTCGTTTTGGGCAATGACGACTCGATCAAGGCATTTCCTACATCGCCACCACTTTTTACTAACACTTGGTTCCTGTGCCATGCCATCGCCGCCACGCCGTTCAATGTCTTCTTTATGGAAGGTCCGGTAATGGTCTCGGTAGTGGTCCCTTCGTGTGAACGGGTCCTTGTGTCGGGTGCATCTCTTGTAGTCACAGACCAGTCGTTCAGGGGGTGAATCTGCATGAGTATGCTGCGTGTGCCGGTTCAAATCTGCGATGCGCTTGAATGGCCTGGCCTTACAACCAGGGGTAACGCACTGATATCTCGGCCTTTCCGTGCCATTAGTTTCATAGCCTGCTGGCTGCCCGTGTGTGCTAGTTGCGCGATCGTGAGCATTCACCTTGTGCTGTGTTGTGTCGTATTGTATTGTGTGAATTACACTTACAGAAACTCTGCATCGACGCCGTGTCCTTGTGGAAGAAGCTGCAGTGGCTCTGCCGTGGTATCTTGATCATCTTGCCACTGTGGATGTGGATGATGCTGTTCACTCCCGTGTGCTGTCATGTGGTAGCTCCATGTTGCGGCATGCTCGTCAAAATGGTCAACAGGACCCGACGCATAATCGGGCAGGCGAGGCCCTCCAGTTTGCCACACAACACCATGTGCGAGTGGATGCTCAGAGTACCGTTCGCCCGCGTAGTCACCGTATATCATGTCAGTGCTACTGTTGCTGTTGTTGCTGTAGTTGCTTATATCGTTGGCCCCATGGTAAGGGATTGTCGCCAAGGCGTGTGAAGTCCCTGAAGATCCAGACGGATAATAGGGAGAGTGCGTCGAAGAATCTGGTACACCATGATTGGCATCCAGGTGAGAATCATCATCATCGGCATACTCGTCCTCTGAAAAGGTCCAGTGTGGTGACTGCTTCATCGTAGAATCGGGGTCCATGGTGGCCGGGCACGTTTCTCAGTCCTCTAATAATTGTGCGGATCCCTAGGTTGCTGCAGAGCTCGATGGACTCGGCTGTCGAGCTTTGCTGTGACGATATGTGTAAGTCACCACTAAATTACTGATGAAGAGTGATTGCGGTCTTGGAGCTGGCAAATGCTTGTAGCAAGACTTTGTCGGAGACGAAGGGCACGACAAGCACTCCAGCAGCACGGGGCTATGTTATAAGCATGGCATGGCGACCAGGCTCAGTGATGAAAGACAAGGTCCGGCTTGCAAAGATGGCATATGTCGATGTGCCCTTCATGCAAGCCTTCAGCTGCAGGCAAGTACGGCAACCGCACGCTGGCAACATTAGGCTATGCTACTTGTCCATTTTCAGGCTGACCGACCCCATGCGTATGAGAGCCCAATCTGGGAAACACATGAAAACGACCTCCGAGTGGACATGAACGGATGGCATCTGGTTTCCAAACAGCGGTCGGGAGTGACACGCGACTGGTGAGGCTGTTCCACACCACTTGCGGCACCGCAACTTCCCTTGGATGAGGCTGAGGCTACATAGCAGTACCATATGGTCCATGGCTGCGCTGCTAAACTTAGAGATGCAAAGTCTTGTTGAATCCTAAAGCCTGGGAAGATAACTCTCGGTTGCACCATGCAACAAGTCCTCGACAGTGCGTACTCGTATGTGAAATGAATACCACTTCTGGGGTGTCTTCTGTATCTCTAATATCCACATGGAGAGGCACAAGTCTCAGCTGCGACCTGCGCTTGATCCTTCCGGGTTTTTCGGCTTGGATTTCAGCCGTGGTGCACGAAGATGTGGCGACCGATCAGGCACCGCGAGCACACCGCAACATAATTCCATTGGGAGCGATATGCCCTGCCCGATGATGTCGTTTGGTCGATCTGGTCGAAACGAGAGCTATTGAACAATGGCCAGGTCAATACCGCAAATCAGGCTCAGCCCGCAGCGATAAGAGAGTGTTGCAAGCCCTCGCAGCGTGAACAACGAGGCTGACCGTCATGGTCAGATCTTGATCGCTCATTGGGCTCCTGCAAACCCAGCTCGCACCAGCAATCTGCCTTGATGCGGCTGCCGAAGACAGACCGCGAGCCATTTTCGGTTCGCGGTCTAATGCTGACCAGGCGCGCGTGAATGCAAGTGAGCCATGTGGCGAGGCGTCCAGACGATCTCTCGAGGCTCGGCCAATGAAGGCTGCCGCACACGTTGGCATAAGGCTGCGGTCTGTCCAGATTGTGGCTGGCTGGTTCGCCTTACAGGTTGCCTTGCAAGCCTGGCTGGCCCGAGGCAGACCAGGCCATCGTAGCCTGCTGCAGGTCTTTCACAAGGCTTCGTAGGCTTTACGTGGCTAGCAACGACTGGAGAAGCTCCGAGCAAGGACAGTTCTGCGTCCGGACTGATTGCCTGCGACCAGCCATGGCGTGACGGCTCGATATGGAAGCGAGCATGGCGACACCAAAGATAAAACATAAAAATAAAAGAAAAAATCAGAAACGTGCTTGTACTGACGAGTCTCGACCATGGTATTTTGAGAGGCACAGCCTTTGCTGGGTAGTCTGATATCGTGGAAGCACCCTTGTTAAAGGTTGCTGGGCGAAATGGTAGTGTGCACGACGCACACGGTGTGATTTCTCGTGAGAAACGAAGATTGCCTTTCAAGTATCTGTTTGTAGTCGGCTGTCCTTCGGCTGCCAGCAGGACCAAGGTGCGGCAGGGACGACCGCCTGCCTGCAACCCCGCGGCTGCTGTAGGAGCTGAGCTTGCTGAGGTGACAACTTTGCCCCTTCAAAGACCAGAACAAGCATCGCCAAAGTCCTACACGTCGTCACGACTCTAATTCGACGAGACAACCTTGGAAGGCAGCCAGCAATCGGAAACGGACCCTTATCTACGGCTGCGACAGGGTTGCTGTGGACTACCTACATGTGTAGAGTAGCGAACGTATGGGTTGGGCTTCATGTGGTCGATCACTATGCCCGTCCACTCGCAACTCATTAGTGCTCTTGTGTGGGTGACATGGCACTACCCACATCTGTAACGAGCCTTATTCACCTCGAAGTCCAAAGTCAAAGGCTGCCTCGACACGCTAGCCTGCATGAGCATGCAGGATCTGATGCAAGTCACCGATGCTGCACGCCGTGGCCAGTCAGGCTGCCAAAGGCATGTTGTGCGACGAATTGAAGCAGGCCTCTCTCTCATATAAGCCGTTTCTAAGCGTGATTGGAAAAGCCTTGCGGACAACCCGACAACAGTACACATCCTCCTTTCCTACCACCGTTTAGCTGATGCGCACATCGAACATCACCTAGTGCATCAGCGATAACCGCACTTGGCAAGCATATGCGCGGATAGTTTCGGGCCAGGGATTCTTGGACGGATCTACTCTCTCAGCAGCCCTACTCTCATCATGCCTCGGCCTCCGCGGTTTGCTCGGAGATAGTAAGGCAAGAATACCAGGGTAACAGCCTCTTCGTTGTCCGCCTCCTTTTCTGCAGCATATGCCTGCCGTATCGACTTTTGTCCTCGCCCTCGTCCCCTTGTATCACTGCCCTTTTCGTGTTTCCGTGTCCAACCTTTGGCCTGTAACTCAATATAATGACACTGCTTCTCAGCCTGATCGCCTGAGCCCAGAGGCATAGGCATGCTTCGAGACCTCTCTTGGATCTCTCCATGGCGAGCAAGACCAGTATCCCGGAAGTGGTCCTTCTCCCAGGGATTGTCGGTGTCCTCTACACAGTAGACCACTGGGCCGCGAGCCAGAGCCACCACATGCTGGTTTGTGTACGGATGCGGATATACCTGTCGTGGAGCGAAACCGTCAAAGTCCACCGTGAACTCGGAATGCTTAGATGTATATGAGCTCGGGATCACGATGTAACCGCCCACACACTCAAACTCCTCAGCAGTGGAGGGCGTGATCTGTAGATGCATGTTAGCCACAGCCAGTCGCCTCAAACCTAGTGAGAAACGTCTCGCAATACCTTGTAATCTGGGGACCACGATGGCCACCTCAGTCTGATGGTCGTTTTGAGGGTCGACGGCGCCTTGATTTGGAACGACACCTTACCATCTTGTGGCCAGTCTGAGAGTTGCGCAAAGCTGACTTTCGCGCCACCTCCTGTCTCGAAGGATACTTCAGCCGTGGTGTACAGGTGCACATTGACAAACACCTCGTCCGCAGCTGGACTGCCGTAGTCCCAGAGGTAACCGCCGATGCTGCCGAACAGCCGCATCAGATTTGGGGGGCAGCACGACGTCTCAAACCACGACTCGCGGCGATCGTTGTCCTTTTCCGAGCTTGCAAGCTGGTTCACGTAGGTGAAAGACCTGCCGTCGAGACCCATAGCGCCCATGACGGTGTTGTAAAGACACAACTCCATCACATCGGCATAGCGCGAGTCCAGGTCGAGATGCAGCAGTCGCTCGGCGAGCATCATCACGCCGATGGACGCACACGTCTCGTTGTAGCACCCGCCGTCGTCGGTGCCCTGAGGTAGGAAATAGTCGATCCCGAATCCTTCCCAGTTGAGCATCGCACCAATGCCACCGGTGAGGTACATCTTCCTGTCCACCATGTTGTCCCACAATCTGCGTAGGGTGTCCAGGTATGCCTGCTTCTGAGGATGCGGCTGAACTCCCGCCTCGTCCAGGCAGAGCATATCCGCCACCCAGTATACAAATACATGGCCCGAACGGCGTGGCCCTCGACAGTATCCTGCTCGAGGATGGGCTTGTGGGACTGGTTGTAAAAGTGGTCGTACGCATGGACATATGAGTTCGGGCGCTTCCAGGGGCTGTCGCCGCGCTCCTCCGCCTCCCAATCGTAGTAATGCTGGCCGTGCTGACCTGTTGGGTTCCCGCGCTCCTCGATAAAGTACCGTCCCAACTCGTAGGCGTCCTGATTACCCGTGACTGCGTGTAGACGCAGCAGCGCCAGCTCCGTCTCCGGGTGGCCCGGGTATCCGTGCCTGCGACCTTCCTCGGGCCCAAAGACGGACCGGATGAGCTTGACGTACCTGATGATGGGCTCGAGAAGGAGGTCGTTCTTGTAATACTTGCTATGTGCGAGGGCCGCTTCGACAAGATGGCCGGCATTGTATCTGAGGGAGGGCATGTAAGCCAGTCTGTGCTTGACAAGCTCACAACGAAGGCAGCACGCCAAGAAAGACTCACAGCTCATGTTGATCCCTCAGATTACTCCAGCGCTTCTCCGGCTCAATGACCGTGAAGTAGAGATTCAGATACCCGTCGTCCCCCTGCGCACTTCTCATCATGTCCACAATCGCCCGCACCGCGGCGTCGACCTCGGCATCATACCGGTCCAGCAGGAGGTAGCACGCTCCCTCGATCCACTTGGCGACGTCGCTATCCCAGTATACCGGCGGCGGACACGGCCAGCGCGACAGGTCATCGTACACCCCGGGCTGCCACTTGAGGTCGAAGCACGTGTACCGTCCCGTCTTGCGGAGCTGGGCCAGCTGCGCCTTGACGCCGACGGCGTGGAAGATTTCCCGGCGAGACTGGAGGAGGGACGGGGACGGGAGGGTGGTTTCATGGAAGATTGTTTGTGGGTGTTGAGCCATTGTTACCGAAGTCCTTCCGGATGTCTTTGGATGCTGGCTGGTTCAATAAGTGCAAAGTCGTCCGCAATAGTTTTATGACATTGCCTGATCGGCGAAATTGCGCCTTGTGCCGAGAAAGTGTGAGCTCTTGGTATCTACAAGGCCCAGTCAGCTTAGGTCTCAAGGAGCTAGTCGTTGGTTCAATCGTGTCGAGAGAGAGGGGTGCTCTACAAGCTAATCCAGCGGACTTGTGGCAAAATAACATGAATATCTGCTCTTCGCCGTCGCCGCCAACGTCGTCTTCATCAATTTCTCGGGAGCAGATCAAAGACTCACCGATAAACCACAGGCGGAAAGCGAACATCAAAGTCTCAAAAGAAAGCCAAAAGAGCCTGCCGTGGTGGTGTCAGCTCAAAGCACTGTTTGTAGCTAGCCCAATGCAGTTGAATGCTAGCTCCAAAGAGACAGAGAGAGGGAGTGAGAGAAAGAAATAGTAACAACGTTACGAGGTCATCCCAATGTGCACGCAGGGGCGAACCCCTCGTTTTCTCCGCACGGCAGGCAGGCACGCATGCATACCTTATACATGCAGGCACGCCGATCGACGGCCCGAGCCCAAACCTCGCGAAAGCGCACACAACAAGGTTCCAGAGCGCATGGGGAGCTTGACAGAAACGACTGGATGGCATCGTACCCGGCCAGGCCCTGGGCTGCATCCTCCCATGATTATGACGGGTTGACACTGACAGCTCCGACTACCGGCTTGTTTTGTCCCTTCCCCATCGTGGCGGTGTGACTATGCAGTCAGTCGTGCTGGCTAAAGATCTGGATAATGTCAAGAGACCTGTGTAGTCAAAGTTTGGGCTGCTTGGGAAGAAGCGACTAGCTTTCAAAAGCCCAACCCAAAAGATGGCGGCTTGTCTACTAAGACAAATGCAAACACTAGGCAATCACTCCTCCTCCGCGACAATCAGCTGGGACGCCGGCCGAAAGTATACAAGACAAGTTGGTCGAATGATTCATTATTACCAGCAAAGATCGCTCACTGCCAGTGACAGGCACGCGGAGACATACTGAGCTGAGCTGCGATCTGCAGACAGCCCCAAATACCACATCATGCCGTTTGTCAGAAAACACCTTGATTCGTCGACGTGCGCCACCCGGGCTGGTGACAACTCGATTCGAGTATACCCTCATGGGCAGCGCTAAGCGACTACACTATCGCAACTGCAGAAATGCATCAAGCATCTGCAGATAGGCTTGTTACTAAGATCACAGAGCCTTCGGACCAGACATGTCCGCATGTCTGACGCACACTCTTCTTGGCCATCCACTCCTTTCCAGAGCTAGCCCCAGCCTGCAATCAAACATCATCCTCGAGGAACCGGTAGGCAAACTTGAAGTCCGCTTTGCGGCGGTTCATCCTGTAATTCAATTAGTCTTGGTGTGAATCCAGACGATATGTAGCATGGAATTGACCTACCAAGTGGATTCGTAATCGAAGAACCGGTATGTGCCTTGCTCGAATTCCTCGGTAATGTTCTTTGGCTCCTCATGCCGCTGGAACCATGTCTGGTACTGCTTGTGGAAGCGCCAGCTCTGGTCCTTGAGCGCCTTGGCGGCCAGGTACTGCTGCGAGGTGCCCTGCTTGTAGTAGAAGACGTAGAACAGCGTATCGGGCTCTATCCGTGAGTACAGCCGCGGGTCGTCGAAAATCTGTAACGGTTCCTGTGGATATCCTGAAGAGGGAACGCGCACTTCAGGCTTGTATGTCCGCGGAGGTTCTGTGTCGTAGTTGTCGATGCCATTGACGTTCTGTTGCGAAGCAGCCAGCATGCGGAGTTGTGACCGCGAGTTGGCCGGTAAAGGCCGGTTCTTGGTCACTTCGTACGACTCGAGGAGATCTGAGAGCGAGGAAGGGAGGTAGTAAATTGGCTCCTCGTCCTCTTCCTCGCTGCCACGCGTACCATTTCCATGTCCATTGATCTGCGATGCTGTGGTGTAATCTTTGTTAGCGCACAAGTCGAATTTCCGGGCAAGAGAAGAATAGTACGAACCCTTTGATGACTCCGCTGCGGCAGCACCCTTCTTGCCCTTCTCCTTTTTGGAGGACAGAACAGCAGGCGGGGGTGTGGGCGCTTTGGGCTCGGCAGCCTTTCCCTCGGCTGGCGTGGGTTGGCGGGCTTCTGTAGGCACGGGCTGTGCAGGCGCCAAGGCGGGGGAATTTACAGCACTCGCCTTTCCCTGAGATAATACTGGCAGAGGCGAGATGCCTGTCGAGGAGGAAGCAGGCTGCGATCCTGGCGGCGGTGGCAGGGGGGCGATGCCAACGTTGTTCTTGTCGGCAGCGGCGGCCGCAGCTGACGCGTACTTGAGGGTCTCTCCAGCAGGCCGAGCAGGTAATGCTGCCGGCTTCATCCCTGTGCTCGCACCACCGTTGGCCGTGTTCAACAAACTTGCTGGTGTACTGCTCAGCTGAGCAAGCTGTGGTAATGGAGACTTGACCTGAGCTTGTGCAGATGGCCGACGACCGACCGCGGCTGTCGCTTCCACGGCCGTCCTTGTTTTGCCCGGTATACTACTCGCCCGCTCTGGTTCGACGCTATCTTCGTGGACCGACTGGTTGTCTTGTGAAGAGCTCTTGTCATTGTCATGGGGCATGCCGTAAACCTCCTCGTCTTCCTGAAGGTTGAGCTCGTCGTAGAGCTCGTCGTCGTCGACGTAGTCGTCGTTCGTGCCGTCGCTCACGTAGTATCGTATGCTCTCCTCGAGCTCGGTCACTTGTTCGGGTTCGACGCCGCCGTTCTCGAGGGACCGCCGGATGAGCTCGAGTTTGCCCTGGTGCCACTTGTGCCGCTCGATGATACCCTCGATGGTCGCCATGCGATCCGCCTTGGCGCCTTGATTCTTGCCCTTCTTCATGGTGACCTGTATTGACTCGTTCTCGGCCTCGAGCGACTCGAGCTGCTGTTCGAGCTCGTCAACCATTGTGCTAAGGAACTCGCTCGCCTCCAGCTTGGCCTGCTCTTTGGGATCGAGTTTCGCTGCCGCCGACAAGCCTTCTTTCGAGTACGCCTTTGTCTTCATGGCCTTTTCCACAGCCTTGAACTTTTCCATTTGCTGCACAACAGATCACCTGTTAGTTCAATTGCCACAACGACAAGTATCTGGCCCCGGTTTGGACGACGAGCCGTGTGGCTGGGGTGAAGGGGGGGCGGCCGTACCGTCTCGATGAGCTTCCGCTTCTCCAACAGCGGCGCCTTGTCCTTGATGTCGTTGCTGGCCGCCCATGTCTTGATTTGGTCGCGTAAGCGCTGGAGCTTCTTGATCTCACGCTTTAGATTGTCCTCGAGCTTCTCCTTTTGAGGTTGATTATTCGACTGCTCAATCTTCTCGTAGATGCTCTCGAACTCCGCGACTCCCTCTTCGACCTTCTTGAAGCACTTGTCGACTTCTTGTTGCAGTTTCCTGGCTGCCATGGCTGCAATGTGTTATTGCCGGTCGCGCTGCGACGGGCTGGAGTGTGGTGGTGGTGTTGGATCGGCTGCTGTGTCCGGGCTGCTTGGGCGATTCAGGCCACGAGGCCCCTAATGGTAATGGTGGCGCGGGCGACGATGCTGCGTGAGCACAAAGGGATGTCGCAGGTGCTCAGTGCGAGGGGTGTCGCGCGGGTCCTGGTAGCTCGAGCCCTCCTCTGGTGTGAAGGTGGGATGCGAGCTGGCGATGCGCCTGGGCTGATGTGTGAGCCCAGCTCGTTACGAGTCGGTGGCTTCGAGAGAGGTGTGTGTGTGTGTGTGTGTATGTGCGCGCGCAGGATGGCACTCTGTGTGGTGTGACAGCGGCAGGATGTTGTTGAGCGAGGCCCTTGGGGAAGATCTAGATTCGATTGGCTGCAGTGGGCAGTGGCAGGTCCAAAGCTCCAGCTGTGCTGGAAAGCAGACGGGCGGGCGCTGTATCCGCCCGCATCCAGCGAATACGTAGCACGTGTGTTCTGGCGTTGGGCGCCCGCAAAAGGCGCAATCGATAAGCACGTTTAGTGGAAGGGCGATCGCCGCCAGCATGTTGCCGTGGCTTGGGTCGCAGGAGGAGTGTGCTCCTGCTGTCTCCTGGGTTGTCGTCGACCTTGAGGGACAGGTTGCCTGGCGAGGCGCCTGCAGTTCTTAGCCATAGTGCAAGACCAGTGCCGGCGGCAGCAACGAAATTGCTGAGCCGGGTTGCCCAAGAGACACGAGTGCTTTTGGGTCACTTTGTGATGCTCCTCGATCCTGCAGTTTGGAGACTGTCGTGCTTGGATGTCATGAGGATTGCTACAGTATGATGTGACCACGAACAAATCCAGCATATGGATCTAGTTTTGCGGGCTGGTACTATGACGGAACAGGGTCTTGTCATAAGCAACTGGCATTCTCTACCTTAAGGTATCTAGTTCAGCTCCTTTAACACCTTAGAGCAGGAGGCTATCATTGCAGGGCATGCAAAGTAGTGCCCACTCTCGTGCTGCCGAGTGGACCTGACACTCCGATCTAGGAGTGCCTTACATGTGCCCAAACATCCTCTGCATGTGCAACATCGAGCTTCGACAAATTGGGATGTCATTGCAAAGGCAAAGTAAAGAACTCGATCCTGCACGACTTTGGCGTTCCCCAGACTTCGGAGCTTTGGCCGCTCCCTGAATGCGCATCACGCTCTGCGCGGCACCCATCTCCTGCTTGAGTCGCACAAGTCCTCCATCATGAAAGGTAACAAACTCACACAGGATTAAACATCCAAAGATCCAAACACCTTATACGCAAACCACCTTACGTACCCAGAGTTTGTGATGATCCGACACCTGCAGTCACGTTATACCCCCTGCGGCTTCAGCAGCTGACATTCTTCCCGTCCAGCAATCTTGCAGCGCGTCCTCTCCGCCTCGGTGACGGTAGACAAGGAAGTCGTCTCCTCCATCGGGAAGGGCGTGCTCGTCTTCGCCGCGGTGGCCCCCGGGGACACGGAGAAGGAGGCCGACTCGCTCGCGGCCAAAGTTCTCAAGATGAAGCTGTGGGATGATGAGAGTGGTGGACGGGTATGTGCTCCTTTCTTTCTCGCCCATCTACTCAAAATCCCGTGGAGTGGTACCGCCACATGTAGCAACAAAAGGGGGAAACGTGTTGCTATAGGACAGCCGCCGCATCATGACTCCGAGGTTATCGCTGACGAAACCACTTCTTCCCCGGTGTAACAGTGGAAACACAGCGTCACAGATATCAACGCCGAAGTTCTCTGCGGTAAGTCCTCCCAGCCGCGAGCGTCGCCCTCGCTCGTGTCACTCGCGTGCAATACCGGATCCCGAACGCCTCCCTGACAACCAAATAAAATTAGTATCCCAATTCACGCTCCTGGCCTCCACCAAAAAGGGCAGCAAGCCCGACTTCCACGGCGCCATGGGTGGTGACGACGCCCGGCGGCTGTACGAGTACTTCTTTTCCAAGGTGCAGCAAGGCTACACCGCTGAGAGGGTCAAGAACGGAGTGTTCCAGGCCATGATGGAGGTCGCGCTCGTCAATGACGGCCCAGTAAGTTGTTCATGTTTGCCCTCAACCTGTGCCGTCGCCCCTCGTGCTATTTGCCAGACGTTTTCGGGGGCATTTTCGGTTGTGCTTTCTTTTTCTTTCTTTTCGTGGTTCATATATGACTTTCAACCGTCCAAATTGCCATCTTGGCCACATTGTAGCACCGTGATGTCGAGCACTATCAGAGAAGAAGTGGGAGGACTTGGTTCAGCTGACATGCCGGCGGGATAGGTTACACTAGAAATCACGGCGAGTCCTCCGCCGCCGCCGCCTAATGGCGGAGAGAAAAAGGACAAGAAGTCGAAGAAGGATGTGAACGGGGAGAAGTCCTCATCAAGCACGCAACATTCTGGATTATAGACAACTTTTCAAGAAGAGAGCAAGGTGATCGGTTTCACATTGAAGATAGAGAGAGCGTTACTTTGTTTGAAGCTTTGCTAGAGTAGAGAAGGGGGCAGGCAGAAATACTGCTGCTGCTGCTGCTGCTGCTGCTGCTGCTAAAATTGAATAGAGACCGTGCCAAAGGGGGTATCAATAGAAAGATTGTGTTGTGGGTGCCGTCTACGCAAACATTGAAAGCAAAAACGCCCGTCTGACCAGGTATGTCATCAAAATCACATATGCGCAATGCAAATCCTGGTCCTCGTCATGGTCATACCCGCGACAAAGCAGTCGCCTACTTCCCAAACGCCCAGATGCAGGAATGCAAGAAAGGAAAAAAAGAAATCAACTCCAGAGACAGTCAAGAAATGGCGTCGATCACGCAGCACTCGCCTTGCCGCGCTGGTTCACCCTGCGAGCACGTCTCCTGGCAGCAACCGCGGGGTCCCAGGACCCTGCGAATAAGTCGTCACAGTCGTCTTCATCTTCAGAGTCAAACACGACGATGTCCTCGTGGGAATCGCCAGCTCCGCCTTTCTGGTCGCCTGGCCAGCGAGACTTGCTACCTGTAGCGTCGTTGGTGACGGGGCCGAAATCTGCAACCAGCTCGACCTCGGACTCCGGTACGTCTTCCCAGCTTCGATAATCAACAGTCCGCTGAGTCTCGAGGATGAACTTGCCAACCTTGTACTTCTGGGACTCCTCCTTGGCATCGACGTACTTCCACCCAACGCGAGCCTGGCACACAGCGCAGGTTATGTCGGCGACAATGTGGGAGCCCGTGACAAGCAGGCGGGTTTCCGACTTGCCAATCTTGATGTTGAGCAGGCTGCCACCCTGGTTCGGCACCGGGGCGATGAGGTAGGCGCGGCCATAGCGACCAGTGAAGCCCTTGCTGACGACCTGGGAACAGTATGCAAAGTCGGTGGAGCAGGTGGAGCACCGGATGGTGTTTGGCTGTGTGCGTGAGAGGCGCCGCGGGTGTGACGCGATGGGCGGTGTCGTCGAGTATGACGATGTCGCAGCTGAGATGGAGGATCGAGCCGAGGCCCGGCGCCCTGCTGCGATGCTAGCACTGGGGGCCGGGGTTGTGAAGCGGGACGTGAAGAACGATGGCGAAGTGGGACTGTCCCCCGGGCTTGATGGAGAAGAGTCGCTGGGCGACGAGCTGAGTGGCGGAACAGCTGCCTCGGACGGCGGTGATGTGCCGATGCTGCTGGTTGCCTCTGTTGCAAAACCACTCTGCCTCCGCCCGCGAAAGGGCATTGAAAAGCTGGGGAGGAGGAAGACGGGGAATTTGGGGCCGGCAGCCTGCGTGGGCGTCGATGACGTAGCGGACGTGTCGCCCGCAGCGGCACGGAGGGCCGCGAACATGTTGGGTAGTGGTGGGTGCGGCAACGGTGTGTCGCCGCGAGATGATGATCGGCTCTCTGTGTGTCAAACAGAAGCGGAGGTTTGCTTGTAACAGGGTAGAGGACAAAGACAGGGACGGCTCGACTTATTGTCGCCGGCGAAGCGGACTGTCTCGGGCGGCTGCTTGTGATTCGGGGTTGTTTCACGTTCCAGTAACATGCGAGACAAGCGCGGAAGTCCCGGTAACGGACAGGGTGTCGGCCTGAGTCTGGGGAAGGCGGGCGGAAGGGTCGGCTGGCCAGAGAAGTGAGATGTGTCGAACTCAAAACGCACGGCAGTGGCATGGAGGGTGGGCGTCAAGAGACATGGAGGAAAGCTTGTGGGCGCCGCGAGGCCGAGGACTCAGTCGTGTGTCCCCAGGTTCTGATGTCGGGTCAGGCGAGATCGACAGAGTCACGGGTGCATGTTTGTGCTTGTCAGGATGGGATGGTGCAGAGTCCTGCAGCTCCGACTGGACTAGCCGGACCTTATCGCGCCTGTTTTCCTGCGCGAGCATTTGCAGTGGCAGACACAGTCAGTCGATCACAAATCCAATCAGCACTGGTGGTTGGTAGCGCAGTCTATTCCAGTGTTGCTGCCCAACAGGAGGAGCAAAGGGCGGCGACTGTGAATCAACCAACCAACCATCGTAGCCGAGAGGCTCAGCCTGGCGAGGCAGATGGTGTCAGCGTTGTTGAAAACACTTGTGGGCGCCGTCCTGGGTTGACCTGGCAGAAGATCCAAAGCCTGCCTCGCTCTGCCCCGGAGCTTCTCGCACGGGGATGCTGGAAGCTTGCTTGTCCAGCAGCAGCACTGACTGGGAAGCCTGTTAATGCGTGATTGCTACTGTACCAGAAAGAGCCAGGAGGATGCGCTCCCTCAAGATTGGAGTATCCCTGCCCGACCTAATGCAACGTCCCTGCTCCTGGGCAGCCTGTGGGTGCTGCAAGGGCGCCACCAGCGCGGCCCACGTGATGGGAGTATGGCATTTGCTCTTCTCTTCTGCAAATCTGATTCATCCGTGCGCTCAAGGCGCGCTTCAGGTCAAACCACAACCTGTCTACCCTAGGGTAGGATGTCTGCGCATTATAGTAGACACACAGGGGCGCCTGCAGAACTTCTCTCTGAATAGCGCCTAAGTACAGATCAAATATGAAAACGGGCGGTTCTGAGCAATTGCGTGCCTCTGCATGCCTGGCGACCGCGGTGGCTGGACGCCGCTCTGGGCATTCTGGACAGCGCTGGGAGGTTCCAGGCTCTTGTGCAGCACACCTTCTGCAGCACTGCACCACTCTCGGCGCCCCAGTGGCACACCCACGCCGCCTCCTCCAGGGCTTGCCATTGGGTGCCACCACTGCCCCCCTCGCCCTAGAGTGGCCACTTTGGACGCTTGCAGACCCCAGCGCAACCGCACGGAGGCTCCACCCCGACTCCATCCTGCGACGACTCTCTGAAAAGCCCGCCCGCGCGGCGCCTTCTGCCGTTTTCTCTTCTCCGCCCTCTGTCCACTCCGTCCCAAACAGCCCGTCTCCCGACAACCTCCAACGTCTCGCACGTCGTCAAGCAACTGCCTGCTCGCCCTTGATCCCCAGCCTCAGCGCTCCAGCAAGCTCGAGAAAAGAAAAATCTTCCTTCTTCTCATCTCAACTCAGCAGCAGCAGCCTCCTGCCCGCTCGCCACCGCCGGCCCGCAGCTTCGACACGAGTCATCTTGACATCCTCAATCACCCTCTCACCTTCCCCCGATCGTCACGCTGGGTTCTTACAATGGCGCCAATGAAAAACAATTCCAATTCGAGTAGTAGTAATTACGGCGAGGTCCCGGCCGCCCAGGTCAATGTCCTCGCCAGCTGCTACGTCGTCGACCCTCAGGCCTCCCTCAAGGGCCTGCACTACTGCACTACCGGGGCTGCAGGGGCCGAGTGGTATTCCTGAGGTCCCTATCTCAGGAATGCCCTCGCCCCCCTCAAGCCCCCCTCTCGCCGCCCTCACGGCCTCTAACGAGCTGGCCCTCCAGCCAAAGCCGTCCAAGAGCAACCGTGCCAACAGCGCCAGCCATGCCAGCCGCAGCCGCCGACGAGGGGGGGCAACACTCCAGATCAGGGAAGAATGTGAGAGATTCTTTTGCGAGACCATGAAAGCCGTGTTCCAAGGTGAGCGGGACATGGCCGGTAGTGTCTCCGGCCTGACTGGTGTGTACAGCAGCGTGCTGACACCACCGCCCGACGACTATCCTACACCTCCGTCATCCTTCTCCAGCACCTACAGCGGACGTTACGTAGCTCCGCCTGTAGCCGCCATGGGATGGATGGAGTTCTGGGATTATGCCGGAGGCACCAGCTTCCGCGCTTTCGTCGCCGAGGAGGACAATGGAGACAAGTCCCTATTCGCATTCTTTGACAGCGGGCTTGTCAACGATAGGCGTGACCTCAAGCAAGCGTAAGTGCAAGGCTGAAACATGGTTCATCCAAATTGACCGCTAACCGTCTCTCTAGACTCATCGCGCTAATTGAGCTTGCTGACGTCCCTATGGGATGCTCACGCCTGGTAGTCTGTCTGGACCGGGTCATCCCCGAGCAAGACAATAAGACCTTGATGAGAAATCTTCAATGGGCAGGGTTCGAGTTGACTACACTTGACCATTGGGCCAAGGCCATCGACGTGACTAGCGACAAATGGCTGTTCATGGAGATGGAAATCTGAGACACTGTCAGGATCCGCAGACTCTGCAATCTTCTGAAGGTTGCCCAAGCTCTTTCACTTCTTGCCTTCAAAATTCGGCGCCATCCTTTACAGTTCGCCACTTTGTGGCTCAAAATTTTGTCTCCTTCGTCCGCCTGCGCTCGTTGTTCGCATGGAGTTTGCCGGTTGATCGTCTCATGCTCAGTTTGTTGTTGAACGTGCTCGGAGTTCACAACCAGTCATCAGCGTTTTCCTCTCTTGTTCTCTTGAGCAGCTCATGACACTTGACATTTTTCGAGAGCACTGCTTCTCTTTTGATTTTCGTTCCCTGTTCGACTACGCGAAGCTCAAGTTCAACATCTGTCTTGACATTTTTCCAGTCTTTGTGCGATGACTGAGCATTTTCCTGGCCGTCTGATCGGTATTTGCCAGCTTGTACATAGTCAAAAATCAATATTTGCCCTATTAAATAGTTGCTTAACGCTGCGGTCTCAAAGCGTGAACAGCTTCGGCACATGATTCACTCCTGTTAATATGCTTGGCTCAGCACCACCATAGATGTGTACCTATACACCCGGCCTGAGATTGATCCGTTTACCCACGGGCATATTATTGTGTTTCGATTTTTGTTGTTGTCCCAGCTCTATTTGCAATGTCTATAAATCTCCCTCAAACAATCTCACCTCGAGCCCCTTGTCCGCCAAGTGATCCTTGACCTGCTTGACCGTGTACTCCTCGCGGTGGAAGATGCCCGCACCGAGCGCGGCATCAGTGGTCGTCTTGTCGAAGACCTCCTCAAAGTGGCCCGGGTTGCCCGCGCCACTGGACGCGATGACGGGGATCTTGACGCTCGCCTTGACCTGCCTGATCAATTCGAGGTCGAAGCCCGAGTTGGTCCCGTCCTTGTCGATGCAGTTGAGCAGGATCTCGCCGGCGCCCATGGCCTCGACGGCCTGCACCAGCTCTACCACGTCCAGGTCCCGCGTCTCCCGGCCGCCCTTGATCGTGCACGCGTACCAGCAGTACTCGTCTCCGCTGGAGGGGGAGGGGAACTCGGTCTTGATGATGTTGTGCCGTGTCGCATCTGGCTTGGGCACGTAGATGCGCTTCGGGTCCACGCTGACCACAACGGCCTGGTTGCCGTACGCGCGGCTGATCTGCTCGATGGCCGTGTTGCCAAACAGCTTGCGCCCGGAGGCGTAGTACTCCTCGGCGGCGACGACGGCGTCGGAGCCGATCGAGACCTTGTCGGCGCCGCTCTTGAAGTACATGGTGGCGATCTCGAGCGCCGAGACCTTGGTCCCGTCCGTGTCGACCGTGTCGCGGATGCCGCCGCCGATCGTGAGCGGCACAAAGACGGTCTCGCTCGTGCGCCGCAGGATCTCGAGCATCGGCACGTCCGCGACCGGCAGGTCCCGGAAGCTCGTGATGTTGAGGAACGTCACCTCGTCCGCGCCCTGCTCGTAGTACTTCTTGGCCAGCTCCACGGGCTTGCCCAGGTTGCGCACGTCGTTGCCCTCGCCCTTCTCCCGCACGTCGTACTGGTCCCCCTTGGTGACGACCAGGTCGCCCTGGTCGTTTGTCCGCACGTCCAGGCACGCGATGATGCGCCGTGTCAGCCCGCCCGTCGGCGCCGGGCCCGTGACTGTCTGGCCCAGCGTCCGCGCGCCTTCGCCGTTGAGGAATGCCCGGATGACGCGCAGCCCGGCGACGCCGCTCTTTTCCGGGTGGAATTGTGTCGCAAAGATGTTGCCCTTGGCCACCGCGCCGACAAACACCTCCCCGCCATATGTCCCCGTGGCCACCGTCCATCCTTGGCCTTCGAGCTCCCCGGCGATGTAGGGGTATTTGTACGAGTGGACATAGTAGTACTTGCTCTCTGGCCGGAGGTCGTAGAGCGACTTGGAGCTCGCGTTGGCCGAGTTCCACCCAATGTGCGGCACCGCCTTGTTCGTGTCGTCGAACCGGTTCAGCTTGCCCTTGATGCAGCTCAGCCCTGGCACCTCCGGGTCTTCTACGGAGCCTTCGAAGATGGCCTGCAGGCCGACGCAGATGCCCATGAATGGCTTGCCCGCGTCAATGTGTGCCTGGATCGCGGGAAGGTAGCCCGCCGAGGAGAGCTGGGAGAGGCAGTGGCCAAAGTGGCCGACGCCGGGCAGGATGAGCTTGTCGGCCTTTGCGACTTCCTCGGGCGTGCGCACCCATTCTACTGTGTAGCCCACTTTCTCAATCGCGTTGACCAGGCTGCGGACGTTGCCGGCGACATAGTCGAGGAGATGGACGGTCGGCATCTTGGGCAAGAGGGTCGCACCCAGTGGGTGGAAGAATTGAGTCGGAAGGGGGTTTTGGGTTGGTATATTTCAGTTCGAGATTGCTCGCTTGTTGCAGAGACGTGGCCGAGGTCGGGAGGTTGTCTATGCGGGCATGGCACCAGGACTTGTGTGCGCCCTTGGATTGCACAGATGCTGTGATATATACCTGGGTATTGTTGAAGGGTGACTGGGCGGACAGTCAATGTCCCGGGCCGACTTTCGCGATTGGACTTTTTCGAGCGCGAGCTGCCCCTCCCAGTGCCCCTCTGTCTGCGTCTGTCGCTGTGTCACTCGGCGGCGCCGCCGGCGCCGGCAGCGGCCGAGCTAGTAGTGACCGGCCAGGGATCCACACTGCGCCGTGCCATCCCCTGCAACAAAGTGTCCCAATTTCTTCACGCTGGCTCCGTCACCGCGGGCTCTTTTTAACCCCAGGCCTTTTCATCTTCACGATGCGCCCTCGAGATCCAGCGGCGCCACGCAGCGTTTGAGTGCTGCACGACCAGCTTGTCTAGCATTAGCGGCAGGCTCGCTAGCGAAGGGGGCTTCTTCTCACCCGACTTTTGCCGTCCCGATGCATGCCTCGCGGATCTGCCATGGAAACGTCACCTGCCCCAGCTCGTACGGGTAGCGCCCAGCTGAGCGGCATCGACCCTGCGCTGTCTGCCGCGAAGCCTCCCAATGGAGCCAACTCCTTGCCTCTCGTGGACGACGATGAGTCCGAGTGGGAATACGAGTACTCGACGACCGAGACAGAGGTTTGTGCTTTTTCCGTAACCCGCGTTCTTGCGCGCACAGCAGCAGGAGCCCATCACCTAACCACAACATACAGACATATTACATTACCCTGGACCTCTCGACCCAGGATTTCACAGACAAGCGCACAAAGACAATCCACCACGGCCGTGGCGGATATCACAGCGAGAAGCAGGCAAACATATTCCAGGGCCGCCAGCAGAGCCCCGATGCGTCCCCCCAGCCAGGCACGCGACACAACAGCACCGCCGTGGCTTCCGATGATGATGGAGAGGAAGGCACGCCTCCAGCGCCCGGCTCTGGTGGCAATCGCGCCGCCGCCGCCGCCGCCGTCCTGCCAGGCCTCGAAGCTCGAGGCTGGTCATCTCGGCGTGATAGCGAGGGCGGCGACGATGAGGTTGACGAGGATGACGATGGCAACCAGTCAGGACGCCGCGGCCTCGACGAGGTGCAGATCATGGAGCTGCACTCGCCCAATCCGGTGATAGCGTACCAGGGCCGCGTCTACGCGGGCCAGTGGCATGAGAACATTGGCACCGAGTTCCTCATCACACGGCACAACGAGGACAGCCACTTGCCCGTGCTCCGCCACCTGGACGACGGCGTTGACCTGTTGGCGGCCAGCAGCACGCGGATCAGCGTGACGCAGAAGGAGCTCAAGCGCAAGGACCCTGCAGCAAAGCAGAAGCATGAGGGGATGAGGCTCGCCGGCGATGGTGTACAGCGGCACCCGTCTGACCGTGCAGATTTGGGTGTCGAGGGCCGTCGCGATCACCATGGTGTTGAAGTCGAGGAAGACGACGTGGAAGCACAAGCGCTGCTAGTCCCACCGCCCGACGCGGGCGCATCGCAGGCGAGGATCGACCAGGGCAACTTTCTGCGTGAGTTCATCGCGCTCAAGCGGGCCCGTGGCGAGACGGATGCGGTCCCTGTGCTCACCAACGCGGACCATCTCCCCAAGAGAGCGCCCTCGAAGCGGACTAAGACTCCAGGTCGAGGACAGGGTGCTGGCGGCGGGAGACCACGCGGCGTCCGCGCCGCGCGAGGCACTACCCGTGTTCGTCGTTCTCGTGGTGGAAGACCGCGTGGTCGGGGCCGGGGCAGGGCCAGAAGGTCGTTGTTGAGCATCGCGGCGAACACGGAAGGGGAGGGTGATGATAGTGGTGAAGGCATGGCTATTCCTACAACAGCAGTCAATCATGACGACGTCGTTGCGAATATGGATCCGGCTCTGTCGGCGCCGACTCCGGATCGGTGGGATGAGACCAAAACCGGACTGGCGGCAAGCCATGGTGGTGAGGATGTCGTTATGGGAGAAGTCACGGGGGATAAATGAAGGTCAACGGTATGACTTAGTCGGTCAAGCCATTAATCAATAAGCCCGTAGGCATCAAGAAGGGTAATACACCTTCTGTTCCTAAGCTCGTCCTCTGCATTTTCGCATTGACTATTGTCAACGTCCAAAGTGCTTCCAAACACAGTCGTGAAAGGAAACAGTGAAGGCGGTTTCTGTTGACACCATAGCCTTGGCTGGGGAACTTCCTCGACCTGCATTGCTGCCTGCCCTTCTCGGGGTACCGCCATACGAGCACGATGAGAAAGGAGCATGTTTGCCTATTATAGCCTCTTGGCCCGGCCAGGGTCCGACTCCACTCCGCCAGGCACGGAGGTGCGGTGTGAATGAGATTGACAACAGCTTCACCGGCGACATCGAGATGCAAAGGTCTCTTCTGCTCTTTTACACGTTTCTCTTCCATTTGTGCTTCGGAAAGAAAGAACATTCGGTTGTAGTTTATAGCAGTGTGGCCGCACCCGTAGGGACTTGCTTCAACCTATTGCGCAATTTATCGAAACCTTTAGCTTTGTTTCTCCCAGCTGGGCCTCGCCTACTGGAAGACTATATATTATGGGTAAGTCGTCCGTTGTCACATTGATTTCTTGGTGGGTTTTGTTGAGCTTGCATGATTGACCACTCTCCCCATACAACAGGTCACGATGTAAGCTCAGCCTCGCTGGCGTCACCGCATTTATCTCCAATTTTCTCCGGGGAGAGGGCCTCTTTCAAAACATGAGGGACATATTAACAGGTGACTGTGTGAGCTTTAGGTCCTTTGCCAATTCTGCGGCGTCAGCTTCGGCGTGGGCCGCATACGCACCGCCACGGAGCCCCGCGGCGCTGCATGGCACAGCGGCGGCATTTGGCGGCGTGACACGCGCGGGTGGCTGCCCGGATACGAAGACCCGAAGAGAGAAAGGTGCTTTCGCAAGAGAAAACGGGACAGGAAACGAAAAGTGAGAGATGGCGAAGGTGGCGGCGAGGAGCGGCAGCGCGTAAAGAAGGACAGAGAGTACTATGTCAGAAAAGCCGAGGAGTCGGGCTGCCGCCTGCTCAAGCGGGAGAGACCGCCGAGCCGGGATCGCGGCCGGTCCATCACGGACGAGGAACTCCAGCGTTTATATGCCGGGGCTGAGACTGGGCCAGCCGAGGACACATCTGGCAGTGTGCATCCAGACAACCACATCGAGGAGGACAAGGCAGCTGCGACAATGGGGCAGAGTGGGTTGGAAGTTGGCCACGACGACAATGACAGCGCTTCGGGTGAGGCTTACGTTCCGACTGAAGGTTCTGATGACAGCGACGGCGAACCCCTGGAATATGCATCCGACGCTGAAAGTGATGTCCTGGATCCGCATGGCTCCGACGACGACGACGACGACCTCTTACCCGCGGAAGATGAATCCACTTGGACATTCTCTGTTAATGGGCCAGACCCCTTGGCTATGACAGACAGCGCATTCGAACCACTTTCCGCAAGCTGGGCGCCGGAGAAGGCGAGCCGGGGATGTCTCGATGAGGAGGAGGAGGACGACATCGTATCCTATTCGAAGTCCACTGAGCACTTCATGTACGAACACATTGCTGGCCCAGACTGTGCTCATGATGAGGGCTACCATGGAGATCGAATCTCGGTCGACGAAATGCTGCATAGCCGGACAGCTCAGTTCCTGGCTGCCAAGCAGCTCGTCGACACCTATGGGTCGACTTGGGAACCTGCAGATGACGATCTCGACTTTGAGAAAGGCTCGAATTGCTTCCTGACCGGTTTTGCCACGAGACCGCCCACGACGTACGACGGCACCTGGTTGCTGCCGATCCGGCATGGGGTGGACTATATCAATGGGGACAACTATGCCGATTTCGAAGTGGGTTACCCCAGCTCGAGTGAAGGACACCCATACGCTTTTATTGATCCCGGAAGAATGCCCTGATCAGTGACATGCCGAGGATCGCTGACCTCATGATCAATCCAGATGCAACTTCCGGAATTCGGCCTCCCTTTTCATCCTGCATGCTTCGAGCTGTATCGACAAGCTAGCCGAAACACACTTGACGGCCGGGTCGAGCTCGACGGCCTGCTGGACTTCTACGCGAGGGCCAGCTCAGAGCCGCAGTCATTCCCGCTCGTCTGGAACGAGGACGCCAGGAACTCCTTTTGGCAGGGCTGGACGTGCCATGTGGGCACAGAGTATCTCGTCGCCAACCCGGTCTATGTGCCCCAGCTGGCATCAATCATCACGGCGGCTACTGTTGTGGCCAGTGAGCGACCTGACTTTAGCATCAGGGACAGCCCTTTCGCGTATAGAGCTGGTAATGAAGCAGTCACTGCCGCGGGTGATCTGTTTCTAAAGCTTCCTGCCGAGATAGTGCAAGGCATTGTCGACTTGCTGGGATCCAAGGATATTGCAAGCCTGCGGCTCGCCTCCCAGGCATTCCAGCAGCTGCCTATATCGCTGTGGTATCGACTTGTCAGAGAAGAACTGCCGTTCTTGTACGAGGCTTGGTCAGATGACGTACAGCCATATCCTTGGGCATCTCGCCTTGCTCTGGACCACCAGGCGTTTGCAGAGGCCAAGGCAGAGCGCTTAGCTGATCGCGACCACCGAAGGCGCGTCATTCAGGAAGACATGCCCGAGATCATGGATGAGTTGCTTCGGAACGAGCCCGGCATCGATGATGCCGAGCTGGAGCTGGAGACAATGTGTGCTGATAGCAGAAGGATTCTTGACCACACACCCATGAGGCTCCATCGGGAGACGACGGACTGGTACCAGCTCTACCGAGACATTGTCGTCAACTGGGACCAGCTCAAAGGCTTGCGCAACAGAGAAAGAATATGGCAGCACGTCACTACGATCGTGGAGGCCATCAAAGCACGAGCGATAGTCAGGGATGGGGATATAGAGATGTCCATGTAGCCAAGTCAAAATGGAACATGGGCATGACGGTGCTTCCAAGCATGAGCTCCAGCAAGAGACATGCAGTTTCAATGCAAGGAGAGGCCATCCCGTGCACTTGAAGTAATTTGACTGCTCACCCGTTCAAACCATTCAAGCTTATGGTAATGGCCGAAACAATGTGGGACTGCTCCAGCCGATTTAGAGTTTCGACTGGCTTCACCTCGTGCGCTTGGAGATGCTATGTCTTGGAGCTAGACGGCACTCGCCAATCAGAGTACTGGGTGCCACGAAGGGAAGAATCTCCCGATAGGATAGAGGGAGAACTCGTTGGTAGTGCTTCGGCAGAGTGGTGGCCACGATGGTATGTGCATGACTCGATGTGGTTCAGCCCATGAACCGAAGTAGGAGCAGGGCCCCAATAGCTAGGTCGCCTTGCGAGCGACTTTGGAATGTCGTTCCGCCTGGAAGCTCTCAAGAGGGAACCGGGTTTTCGTTCATTTGTCCTCTGCGGGTGGCGAGGACAACAAGGGAAGCAGGCAGGCAGGGTCCTGTAAACAAGAGCGGAGCTGTGACTCAGGCACCATCGCGGACTGGGGCGACCCCTGGACTCGGACGGCGGCAGTGACGTGGGAAGCCACTCCATGCCCAATGCAGGGATGTTTTCGGAAGGACGTCGTCAAGTCAGCAGGAAGTGGCCCGCTCACAACACTCAGGTCTTGCACTTGTTTGTGGCAACATTCAACGTGACGAGGAGCTTGGGTAAGTATTGTTGCTCCGGAGTAGCAACCTCGACAAGTCAGACTTCCATCATGTGTGGTGTCGAGAGTGCAGGCATATATTCCGCCCTTACAATTGAGCCCTCGCAATTGAGCGATTGGATCATGATGCTCATCAGTGAGACAGCAGGAGGGCGGGTGGAGCAGGTAAACAGGTGACCAGGCGGGAGCTGATCGCGCAAGCCCACTCCAACTTTAGAGTCTACTGTGACGACGGCGGTGCTGTTTTCGAATGGGGGATGTACCTTTTAGCGGGAGTTCCGGCTGAAAGATACCTGGGTTCATGCATGCGTGCATGGCCCCGCTGCTGAGCGCTGAGCTACAGCTGCCACTTGCGCCTATGAGCACCACCTTTGAAGCCCAAGCCAAGCTACCATCTCCAAGTCACCTGTTTGAGACCCAGCAGCTCTTCCGCCTCCATCTTTTAGTCAAGAAGGGGGCTCTTCATCCGCTGCCTTCTTTCGTCTGCTTCTATCGCTCGACTGTCAACATCGCAGTTCTGTACTCTACGCAACAATCGACGCCGGCCGGTCATCACCACACCACCCCTCACGCGTCTCTGCCCCTCCTTTACAACCACAACCTCCAGCAGCGCAGCTGTACCCATCGCCATCATGAACCCCCACCAGAAGAACAAGGTCGACATCAAGGTCAGTTGGGCTCTACAACTCCTCCTGCCGCGTGCCTGCGTCTGGTCTTCGCTACACGAGAAGGTCTTTCCAGGCTGACTGTGTCGATACAATCATAATCTAGTCCCTCTCTCCCGAGGAGCAGCGCCTCTTCCGGCTCTACGGCAAGCTCCCCTCCAAGAGTGACCACTTTGCCAAGCATCTCAAGGAGCGCAAGTACTTTGACAGCGGCGACTATGCCATGTCCAAGGCCGGCAAGGGCGACAGCGTCGACGCCGCCACCGTCGGTTCCCAGCACCCCGTTCCCGAGAACATCCCCCACGCCTCCTCCCCGCAGCAAGGCGGCCAGCACAACGGCGCCGGCAGCACCCCGAACCTGCACCACCCATCTCTGCACGGCGGGCCCGGCGCGGGTCAGATCAACAGCGGCAGCCCTGTCAAAGAGAGCAGCTTCCTTCAGCGCGAGACGAGCGTCGACGATGACAACTCCACGGGAGACGACGCTGCCAATGCACAGGCTGTTGGTGCAAATGCGTCAGCAGTAGTCGACGCCCAGTCGGGCCTGCCGATTCGTAGCTAAGCGACGGGTCCGGGGTACTCCTGCAGCTGCGCATGGTAACGTGTGTATATGTCAGATTCACGCTTTCAGCAAACGCAAATACATGCCGAGGAGTGGGAGGACGAATATGCAATGATGTATTGAGGGCGGATTCGCGATGAAGGCTGGCCGTCATACGAACACGGCCCTTGTTGCAAGGCTCCCCGACCGGATGTCCAGCTACTGGCTTTAGTCCTCGTGCCACCCGAACAAAGACTACCACGGGCTAAAAGCCAGCCACGGTGCACGAGGTCGGGCGTGCAGTGTCTTCAGGGCTTGTTGCTGCGCTCCTATTTACTGACGACTGTTATGATGATTGCTGGTTTTCTGATATCCTTCTTGTTCCATCTTTCTCAACGACTCAAGTAACGGAGTTGTGCTTATCTACGGCGTTCACCAGGCAGACTGGAAGTTTAGTGTTCCTGCGCCCTGATACGATGGACTATATCGCAACAAGGCAAAATAGTCAAATGAATGATAGGACATGCACGTTCGAAATATCGCAAGTCCCAGTCCAGCTACACCGTGTTGTTCTACCACAGGCGTCCGGCCTCAAAACTGATGACTGGTACACCTATGCGTGAGCTGCCAATCACATGTTCGACACCATGACGTTGACGTGAGCACTCGTGCCAATCCTCTCGATCGTGTTCATGCATCTATATCCACTTTAGTGGATTGTATCGTTATTTTCCGTAACGCCAGTAAGAAGATCTCGCTGAGATCTATGCATATTCCCAAAACCCACTTCCGTTTCCGCCCATCAATTGGATATGATATCCTCCTTTTCTCCCTCCCGTCACAGTCGAATCTCTCCAACCGGTTTAGAAGTCGCAAGCCTTGGCAGCGAGTGCCTTGACGCCGTCAAACGTCTTGTTGCCACCAATGAAGCCGCTGGCATGGATGAAGACGCCGCCGGGCACGCCCGAGACCTCGTCGAGCTGCTCGTCGCGGGCGCCGCGCCAGGGCTCAGGCAAGGGCTTGCGGCTCTGGAACGAGTCCTTGGTCACGGGGACGGCCTGGATGCGCCACTTGGACTCGGGGACCGGCTTCTCCGGGTACAGGACGTAGAGGATCTTGCCGGACGTGCCGTCGGCCTCCTCGAGGGTGTAGAGGTGGTCCTTCCACGGCACCGACTGGCCCTCGAGGACCATGATGCGGCCCTCCGGGTCGTACTCGAGACGCTTGGCGTAGGCCTGCTGGACGATCGAGCGCGCGGGGAGCCACGCCTTGGCGTAGTAGTCGAGGTCGCGGCTGAACTCCTCGCCGATGCGGCCGCTGGCGGTCAGGAACCGGTCGTCCTCGGCGGCCTGGGCCTCGGCCGGGTCCGAGGGGATCGGGTCGTTCCAGTTGGGGTTCAGGCGGCCGACAATGGCGCCCAGGGTGAAGCCGCCCTCGCTGAACTTCTTGGTCAGGCCCGCGGCCTCGACGGCGGCGGGGTCGTAGACGGAGATGCCGTTGTCGTGGGCGTCGAGGGCCTCGATGAAGGACTCGTAGAGCTTGGGGTAGAGGATCGAGACCTGCTCGTCGTCCTCGGAGACGCCCAGGCGCTGGGCAATGATGGCCTTGCCAAAGTGCATGTAGACCAGGCCGGCGGAGGAGAGCTTGGTGGCCCGGCCGGGAAAGGTGGTGGTGAAGGACCGCTGGTGGTGGTCGTAGCGGTTGGCGGCGGCATCGTATTCGCCGCCGACGTCGACGACGGTGTGGCAGTCGGCTAGGAGGGCCGGGTCGCGTGTCCGGACAAGGCCCGAGTCCTTGTATGTCGGCAGGAGGCGGAGCATGTAGACTGCAAGGGCCTCGTCGGCGTGGAAGTGGCCATTGTGGGTGCCGATCTTGAGGACGCCGTCGGTCTTGAGGCGTTTCGATGCGCTTTCGGCCATTCTTGCGGATGTGGTGAATACACGGCGGAACATACAAAAGGTTGGATTGGGGTTGTAGTGGTGTTGTGGTTTGCGCAAGAGTGCTTCGGGTTCGAAGAAGGGTCTTCGAGGCGGTGGTGGGGCACAGCGGGCTCAGCGAGTGTTCGAGGTGGACCTGAAATTCTTCGAGAGCATTGACTTTGTAGACGCTCGCATTGGTTGCAGGCGCCTCTGGATCGGCTCCTCCACGTCCCCCCATCTCCACGCAGTGTTGCTATTGTATGCAAGCTGGAGATTGCCAAGTTTCTGAATCTGGCCAGTCAGTACCTGATGCTCTATACAAGGTGTATTCAAAGTGAATCTCGGTATGATATGCTCAGTACCCGCATGCGTGCTGAATGCCAGCATCTCAAACAATTGTTGCTCGTGCTTCCTTCTATCATCGAGTAGCTTGAAAGTGGCTGCCCACCAAGGCCAGCCTCAGCTGGGGTACATTGGTACACGGGTAATTGGCACTAGAGACATCCACCTGCACGGCTCCATCGCGACAACGCGCGCACCGGGGCAGGCCTGCGCACCACCAACGGGCGACCCAGGCCAGGTTGAGTGAGAGTCTGGAGACACAGCGCCAGCCGTCCCTGCCTCGCCGGCCACCATCAACTTCAATTGCGCGCACAGCCGTTCCACACGTCAGCTTCTTCCCACTTCCATCCATCGTCACCCGTCTGTCATTAGTGTGCACCGCCATCATTGCCAACACGGCGCTTCTGAAGCTTTAACACGTCCACCTCCGTCGTCCTTGCGACCCTCCCGTCGTCCCTCTACTCTGACGACAAAGCCGTGCCAAAGTCGCGCACAAAACCATCGCCGCCATGGACTCGCAGTCCATCAAAGAAGACCCGGACTCCCGTCACGGCAGCGGGAACGCGTCTGATGATGCCGGCATGGCCGATGCGCGTCCATCCTACAAGTCCTGGAAAAAGAAGTACCGGAAGATGCGCATCCAATTCGATGTCCATCTGGAGCAGAGTGAGGAGTTGCACAAGCTTGAGCAGAAGGCCATCCGCACCATGAAGCGTCTGGCTGTTGAAAATGAGTATGTCCAACACCATTCAATCAACTGTAGACTCTTTGAAGCTGACCAGGCATCCGTGTGCAGCCGTCTCATGGACATGTTACTCGACATCAACGACTCCCCACAAATACCCTTTGAGCGTCGCATCGACATCAGCGCGCACGAGCCTGCCTCCGAAAACGAAGCCGATGATACTCAGAAGCCTGCCAAATCCCTCCGGAAACTCCAGCAGACGGTACCACACAGATCATTTGCGGCTACCGTGCAGGTCTTCCCGAGCGTTCAGGAGGAATTGGCACCAAAGAACCGCGACACAGAGCCAACAGCGTTCCTGACAGCCGACGACATCGACAACTATCTCTACGAGATTGATCTGCGACTTGGCTTGAAACCACAGCCGTCGCTCGCGCCGAACGCACACGGTGCTGCGGGTAGTACAGCTGCACACAACTACGCGCTGCGCAACCCTACAAGTGTCTACAACTGGCTCAGAAAGCATGCACCTAAGACGTTCTTGCAAGACATGGAGAAGGATGACAATGAAAAGGGGGAGAAGGTGGACGGCAGGAAACGCAAGAACGCCGCAGGCGAGGGCAAGCGGCGCTCCACAATGTCCAAGAAGGACAAGGAGCGACTACGTGCTGCTGAGGGAGGATGGGATGAAGATGGCTCCCACGACGGTCAGAGCACGAAGGGCAAGCGGAAGCGTGATGATGACCCTGGGTACCGGCCTAAAGGTGGAAACAGTCGGCCGGTCAAGAAGCGCAAAAGCGGTAGTGTCGGTGGCCGAAAGTCGATGGGGGACCGGTGATCGTCGTGTGCATGGCAGGGACCGCGATGGCCCATCATACTTGATGGTGTGTATTCTAGGCGTTGGCTGGCGTTCATCCGAGCAGAGGAGCAGGACATTTACAAGTCTGTAGCCTGAGGACTCTCACACAAAGTGGGCGTGACGCGGCTGGCTGCAAGCACACGAGGGCGTGTTTTGATTCATAGACGGAGAGCGACTGGCTTCGATATTTGTTATTAATTCCCCATGTTTCGATGCATTCTGATTAATATGTATGAGGCGACCTCTTGACATGATTTTGAGGCTCAAGGCAGCTACGCGGTGTCCTTGGTGCTGCTTGGTGCTGCAGCGCAGCGGATCGCCCACTTGGGCACCTCTCTAGTGCAAAATTTCTCGGACCGCAGCCTCAAAAATGACGTCGGACTTTGCACGCCCAAGACTTTCGCCGGCAGTACCTAGCAATTACACCTGACCAGGCCTGCAGTCTTGCCTGCCGCACGATTTGGTGAGTGCTCGCCCTGCTTTCAGCTTGATTTTCGCGTGCTAGCGAGACTTCATGGTTGATTTGCAATTTAAACACCGCCTCTCCATACCTTCCAAAAACTGCACTGCACTCTACTAGCATAGCAGACCCTCCCCCAGACCCTCTTGCCGCATACTACGTTCTGTGATTCTGACCTTGGCTGCACAGTTCGGTCATTGTGTCGACGTACAACAAAGCAATGGCGTCTAGCAACGACGGCAAGACCTACATCGTGGAGCACCTCGACCCGGAGCTCGGGCCCTGGTCAGAGCTCGAGTACATCTGCATCGGCCAGGACTCGCAGAAGGCCGGCAGCCGGTTCTTGCTCTCATCTCTGCCCGACGAGTTCCGCGTCCCCGAGAGGCTCGGCAAGCTCGAGGCCTTCACGCCGGAGAAGCGGAGCGTCGAGGAGATGTACCCTCCCCCCAGGCTGGCGGGGCCAACAGTGCTGGTGATGTGAAGAACCAGGTCTGTTTGCTGGATCCCGCGGCCAAGCAGGACTTGTCGCCCGAGGATGGGAAAAAGTTTGGCGTGTTCCTCTTTGGTGGAATCCTGGGTGAGTGTGGCTCAATCTCATCGGTTGTCCGTGTTGTGTCAGCCTGCCGGCAATGCCTTCGGGTTGCTGTGACTTTGGCATTCTGTACCCCTTGCACTTCTATGTCCGATTTTGACTGCTGACATCGTCGTAGGTGATGACCCGCCCCGTGGTATGTAGTATCCATTGAGAGAGATGCTTAAGTGACTGCGAGTTGACATCGACGAGACCGTACCTCTGAGCTACGGAAGAAGGGATACGAGGGTAGGCGACTCGGCCCTGTACAGATGACGACCGATACAGCAGTGCGAGTGACCCGAATGGTTGTTCAAGAAGGATGTAAGCTCACCCTTCACTCTTGATAGTGGCGTGCACTGCAGTCGTAGGCAGCTGTGTTGTTAACCACATTCCACACAACCCACCATGCAGATACATTGGAGACCGTGCCGTACTTGGACCACCCAGACATCAAGTTCAATGAGCACGAGAGCACACAGATGCCATTCCGCTATGTCGCCGATGCTAATGGAAAACCGATCATGCCAGAGGTATGGAAGCTTCGGGCAAGCTGTTTCATATCATTGAGCTGCCCGATATTACTATCCCCAATAGAGCATATAGCTGACTAGAACGTCATTAGGGCATGGTTGAACTCATTGGAAAAGACGCCGACAAGACGATCGACGACATGTTCTGAAAATTTCCTTCCAAGCCATCATTGGAACATGACTAGCTGAATAGATTAGATATCGGAGTAGCGACGTCCAGCTGTTTGGCTTACGTGCGGAAACCTGTTCATCTAGTCGCCGACCTGGTCAACTTTTCGTGCTGTTGTCCGACCCATCTAATAACAACACCATGATTCGGGCCCATGATCTTATCTGAGGCTAATAGTGCTTGTTTTATGCGGATCGTCCAATCTTTCGCAAGACGACGTACACCAACACGAACATGACAGCCATGCCACCCGACATTCGCAAATATGGACATTCAGGCGGCATTTCGAACACATTAGATCGTCTCATGTTATAGACGCCCAATCACACTTGGTCTTAGCTTGATCCGCGCGAAGCGGAGGTTCGTATGCAAGCCTAGGCAAACTTTTCACAGTCTGCAGATGCGTCACGAAATCGGTGCTTCGTCTCAGCCGCTCTATACAAGTGTCATCGCTTGAGGATCGACGCCCCGCAACCTAGTCAGAAGGTTGCATCAGATCTTGGGTCCCTCGTTCAATCTGTGGTTCGATCGAGGCTAAAAATCCAGGACCATGGTCACCAAACACCCTCCACGTGAAGTGATGCGCAGCATCGCTTATGCACGTCTCGCCGTCCGGCCCACTTGTCATGGCTTTTCCAAAGTCGGATGTGGCACCAAGAAACTGGACTGCACGAACCGGCGAAATTAAGCTTCGCAAGGTCCGACTTGCGACGCTCACCCCCCGAACGATGGAGCTCTAGTGTGCTGGAACCTGGAAAAGGCAGAATGATACAGGAGCGGGTCTGCTGCCCTCCTCTTCTAAGAAACCTCCTCGTCAGTTCTCTGCCAAACCACTAAAAATCTCAAGAGTCGATACCGGCGGTTTCTGGCCATAATGTCTGGGGCTCTCTGTAGACGTGCGAGAGCCAACTTGTTTCCCAGGATCACAAGCCAAACCCTTCCCAACTTTGCATGGGTGGCTCGATCTGAACCAACCCCTGCTGTTGAGAACCAATGGAGTGAAACGCGTGAGCAGTCGCATCCTGTTTGCGTAGCATTGCGTGTGCCGGGCGCCAGGAAGAGCGTGCAGAGAGAGCTCGGATGGACATCACACCGCCGAGTGACGATGCGAGACATCTGCCTCTTTGTGTGAACAATGCGGTCGACGCCCAGGACCTCGGCTCCGCACTCGATTCGCAGCCGCCCATGCCACGCCACGGCTCCGACAGTCGACAACGCGCCAGGTATAGACCACTATCGGGCGTTGTCCACGTTGGTGCTGGCAAGCCACAAGCAAGCCGGACACTGATCCAAGCGGGACCCGCGACATTTCATAGGCACGCTTCCTGCATCTCCAGGGGCTGCCGTGGGCATGTGAGGGCACCAACAGCGGGGGTAAACCATGGAGAGTCAAGGGACAATCTGGGGCTCCGCGCGAGGGGAAGTTGGGGTCAAGGCCTGACGACAGAAAAGCGGAGGCAGAAGGACGCCTGCTCGAGGAGCTTCCCCGAGCACACCCTGGCCGACGGCGCTCTACCCCGGCCTCTACCCCGGATTCGGTACAACTCAAAGGCTCTGCCGACGCTGGTGATTGGTGCGCATCGGCTCGTGGCCTCGCCTCGGGACACCTGCCGTGCTGCCTCCACGTCCCGCCTCCCGATTCGCGAACAAGCACGATCCTGGCTGCGAGCACATGGGCCGAGATGGACTTTTTGCTCGGTATATAAGAAGCGTGGGCACGACGCGCTCTGCCACGTTTTCGAAGCTGCCAAAGCGACGTGATTGCCAAGTCAAGCGTAGTCCTCTCTATCCTCGCCACCCGTTGCACTTGAGCACTGAACACAGCATGGAGCCCAAAACCTACCAGTTTCTCGTGGGCATCTTCGCCTCGCTCGGATCGGCCCTGTTCGGCTACGATCTGGGTGTAATTGCCGGTGTCATTGGAAGTGACAGCTACATAAACCAGTTTCAGCCTGAAGCCCCTCAAAAGTAAGCCGAAAAGCCCCCTTTTACACTACGTCTCCCGAGGAATTGGGTGGTAGCTGACCTGGCGGACATAGTGGCGGCGTCGTCGCAACCTTTACTGCTGGTGCCTTTGTTGGTGCCGGTCTCGCCGGCCCCTCCGGTGATAAGTTCGGTCGTCGCCTAACCATCATGGCCGGTGCCATCATCTTCCTCGTCGGAGGCGCTCTCCAGACAGCTGCTCAAACCCTCAACTACCTCTACGCCGGCCGTCTCATTGCTGGTGTCGGTGTCGGTTTCCTGACCATGATTATCCGGTAAGTTGTCGCTCATCGTCGAAGTCCGTGAGTGATGACGCTAACAAGTGACCCTCCGTTCAGTAAGCCAATTTTCCGCCCACTGAGAGCATCACAGACACACATGACACAACCTAACGAAAGCCTATCCTCACAGCCGTCTACCAGTCTGAGATCGTGCACCCGAGCATCCGCGGACGCGTCACTGGTCTGCAACAGTTCATGCTTGGTATTGGTGCCTTGATTGCTGGCTGGACCACCTATGGCACCCACATCGGCCTGAGTGACAGTGCCCAGTGGCGCGTTCCCCTGGGTATCCAGATGCTCCCTGCCGCTATCCTCGCTCCTCTGATCCTGCTCTTCCCCGAATCCCCTCGCTGGCTCCTCGACCACGACCGCGCCGAGGAGGGTCTCAGGGCATTGGCCAGACTTCATGCTCGTGGCGACACCTCCGATGCTTGGGTCCAGGCCGAGTACGCCCAGATCCAGGAGGCCATCACCTTCGAGCATGACCACGAGGCCAAGAGCTACAAGGAGCTGTTTGTCAACAAGTAAGTTTCGTCGATACGTCTCGCGTATACCGCGGCCATCAAAGATGCAGCCTCACTAATAGCCACAGGTCCTCCTTCCGCCGTCTATTGATCGCCTGTGCGCTCCAAGCCGCCACACAGATGACTGGTGTTTCAGCCATCCAGTACTTCTCCCCAACCATCTTCAAGCAGATTGGCATCAACACCGACGACACCCTCAAGTACCAGGCCATCAGCAGTGTGCTCGCCCTTATTGCTCAGGCCACCTGCATGGCCACCATTGACAAGTTCGGGCGTCGCTGGGTCGTTATCAACGGCATGCTGTTCAACGGCCTCATGTTCCTCATTGCCACCATCCTCCTGGCCAAGTTTCCTCCCGAGACCAATTCTGCCGGCACTGCCGGCTGGGGTTTCATCATTGTGTAAGCATCGTCCCCCCTCCTTCCCCCGGGCCAGACCTGGTGGTCCTATTACCCATCGGTTTCTGACTTTTGTTTCTCTCTCCCAATAACAGTACCTGGCTCTACAACATCTCGTTCTCGTATGCGACCGGCCCGCTGTCCTGGATCGTACCCGCCGAGATTTTCGACACGCACACCCGGTCCAAGGGCGTCTCGATCGCGACCATGACCTCGTTCGCCTTCAACACCATGATCGGCCAGGTCACCGACATTGCCATGAAGGCCGTCGGCTGGCGCTTCTTCATCCTCTTCATCGTGTGCAACTTCACCAACGCCCTCTTCTTCTTCCTCGTCCTCCCCGAGACCAAGAAGCTGCCCCTCGAGGAGATGAACTACCTCTTCACAAACGCCCCCTGGCTCGTCCCGGGCACCGACAAGGCCAGCTACTCGGCCGGCCTGGCCGCCGACATTGAGAGGCGCGCCGCCGAGGTCCGCGAGAAGCGCGAGCCCACTGCCGACGTGTCGCACATCAATTAAGGTGTCTTTCTCTCTGCTGAAGTTGTTTTCGCGTCCGGCTTTTGGTAATTTTTCCGGGGTCTACTGCAAGCACATGTCGCCGGAGGTGGGTCAATACGCAAGAGAAGAGTCCGTCTGGCGCGGTTTGTCGTTCCAGTGTGGAGAGACGGGCGTGTGTGTGTGTGTGTGTGTGTGTGTGTGTGTGTGTGTGTATACACAGCGACGCTCTGTGCTCGCCGTGGAGGCTCTCTTGTGGAAGCCACCTCACTGCTACATTACCCCGGGTGGATGAGAACGAGAGCAAAGACAAATCCAGCCACACACATCGCTGCTGTTGTTGTTATACCTCGGCGCTGCCATAGCATAGCTTTAGATGAAACAATATCAGTGTAATAGAAGCAATCCTACACGTCGCAAAGTCCGTGACTTTTGACTTTTCTTTCTTCGTCTGATGACTGAGTTGGTGGATCTTAAGTGGAGTACACCTCCAGTGTGTTTCTGTTTGGCCGAGCACAATCGCTTCTGACAAGGTGTTCACTTTGCCCGGAATCATGCCCCGTGTTCTCATGGCCGACACTGTATTGATGATCTATGCTATACTAGGTCATCTATGTGTCCTCCCACGTCAGATATGCCCGCAGATCCTAGTTTATCCCAATTACCATGCCGCTCTCTCTCTCTCTCTCTCTCACTCCCGGTGTTCAAGAATGCCAGCTGCGCCTCCGCCCCTCCTCGAGGCTGTATATCATCCTACACGGCCTCGGCCGCCCGCTCGCGTCGTTGCTGCCGCTGGACTGGCACACCTTTGACCGGCCCAGGTTCTTGGCCTTGGGCCCCTGCGGCCCCGCGACGTAGTGGTACTGCCCAAACAAGCGGTACTGCCTCTCGTCGCCGAGCCTGAGGGTATCGTCCCCCCACTGGCCCTCGTAGTGGAACCAGCTCGTCGGGGCGTCGGGATTCTCGGCCGTCGGGACGAGGCCACGATCACCACCACCAACACTACTACCAGTGGAAGTACTGCCGAGCTCGACGTTTGTCCCATCTTTGGAGGGCGGGACGGCCTGGTCCGCGGAAAGGGGAGCGTCAGCGGCAGCGGTATAGGTATAGTCGTACCAGTACGAGCGAAAGTTCTGCGCCGGATCCCATAGCGGGCCGCGGTCCGTGACGTCGCGCAGCATCTTGAACGGCAGCACGTACGGATGGTCCCCCGGCGTGGCGTACATTGCGTGGCTGCCCACGGCGCTGTATATCACTGGTCTTGCAGGTCCTCTGAATTTTGCCCCGGACTGGACCATTGGGACTAATGACGACGGTGAAGATTCGTCTCCTTCAACTCCACTGCGTTCGTGGCTGTGTGTGGCGTTGCTTCTGCCATGAGCCTCGTACTTTTTCTCCACGGCCGCCCATGCGTACGCCTGCCCGCCCTCGTGCTCGCTCAGGTACACGGCACGCGGGACGCCGCTCTCGAAGCGCACCATGGCGTGCTCCCAGTCGCCCACATGGTTGCCGTAGCGCACGCCCAGCACCGTCTGGCCCAGGTTGTAAGAATAATGGAAGAACCAGTATGCGTCGAGCACCCCATGCCCTTTGTCCACGAGTATCAGCGTCGCAGGGGCGCGGGAGTAGCCCGTGCCGTTGTCGGGCTTGTTGTGCGGTTGCTGGAGGATGCCCAGTGGCGGATCTGTGAGGCCATCGGAACCTGGTGCCAGAGTTACTAGAGGAGTGTAGTCTGGTCGAAAAACCCTGGAACGTTTCCGTCTCGACGGCATGAGATCCCTAGCCTGTCTCTTTGCCACGTGCAGACCGTCCTTGCCGCCGCCGAGGCGGCCTTCAGGTTTCTGACGAGGGTCGGATATCCGGTTCAACGGATGGGCCTTGTCGACGTCGAACCACGTCGTACTCTCGGCGGGATAGCCTATACCGTCGTCTTCGATCAATGGGTCATTCTCACCAACAAATCGTTGCCGCTCTGCTTTTTCCAAGTCACCACTCCAAGAACCGACAGGTACATTGTCCCTGCTGTGTAGCCAGCCGGGCCGGTCCTCGACATCTACCTCACTTGACAAGAACACGCCTCCGCCAAGTCCATCGCGCAGATACGGATTCAGTTGTTCGGCCAGACGGTCCAGACTCGGCGGTTCAGGCAGGTCGATGGGCTCATCCGATCCCGAGCCACCGCCTCTGCGCGGGATCATATGCCGCAGGTGCTCGGCAATGTCGGATGGCCAGAACTGCTCGCCCGAGTAAAGATGCACGAGGGGCGCGTGGTCCAGAACATACTGCGGTATGGCACGCATCGGGACGGAGCTGTGGTTCCTCGTCGGCGGCGGTGACGATGCCGACGATGCTGACGTTCCCGGCTCGTTGGCTCGCAACCAGGTGCCGTCCTCCTCCTCCTCCCTGTCTTGTTCTACACTCGCTCGCCCTGGTGCCTGGTCCTGCACTCCCTCCCGTCGTCGCAACTCTACCCGATCATCATCCCACCCGCTCCAGACACGCGGACTCTCGGTGCTGCCGCTGCCGCTGCCGAAAGCAACCTTGCGTCGCCCCTCAGGGGGATCGCTCCGCACGTGCGCGATGCCACACAGGGCGAGCCAGCGGCACGCCTGCCGGTCCAGCCAGGACGGCGAGGTGTCCACCCACCGCCGGTCGGCCTCCTGCCTCTCGCGGCTCGGCTTGACGGGGTTGAGCGCCCGCGGGAGGAACCACAGCAGGAACACCAGGGTGCTGAGGACCGCGAGTAGCGTGAGCAGGCGGCGGCGGAGGTGGTACATTGCTGGACAGTCTCGGTCTGTAGGTCGACCTTGGAGTCCTGCTGAAAAAGCAGTATAGTGAGCGAGCTGGTAGAAGTATTCTCCGTGGCGTAAAGGTTCGCCGTTGCCCGAATACTATCAACGCTCCGAGTGAAGTCCTTGTGATTGACCGGTCCAGTAACCTGTCGTCCTGCTGCTGGATCTGACGGTTCGACTCAAGCACCGCGTTGAGATAACTGGGTTCTCCAGCCTAGGAATTGCAACAAGTCAGGCGACTGCCATTGGGTAACAACGAGCATGTTGCCGAATCACCAGCATGAGTAAGAGAAATCATAGGAAGACAGGACCTAGCAGGCGTCGACAGTCGTGACACAGCCCCCCTTCAGACTTCTCGACAACTCGGGACTGGCTAGCCTGGGAGGCTCTGTGTTCAATGCCGTCCCCGATGGCTGACGGGCGTGTCAGTTGCGCAGCCACGTGAGGATGATAGCCAGCCAATCCAATGCGCTGTCGCAGGGAGGTGTGGTTAACCGGGGCCCTGCTTCAGTGGGGAAGCTGCAAGCAGGCTTCAAGGCTGTGTGCCTACCGATCGATCCACTGGCGGCCTCTACATTACCCACGACTCTCCAGCTGGTGCTGCTATTGCTCAGATGCCATGCGCTAAAGAGTGGGAAGAACATAAAGCACCTGGTATCATGACTTTGGAAGGGTTGGGCCCAGTATCTACCAGTCTGTGGCGGCGACAGCTACGGCAGACCTTGGAAGTCGTAAACGCAATCGCGTAATGATTAAAAATACCGAATAGTCTACTTTGGTTCCAAAAATGGTTTCTTTATGTACAAAGGGTGTTGACCGCCGCTTGCAAAACAGGGCGACGTAAATGCAGGCGAACCTGCATTCCAGAGAATTTTCCTTCTTTCCAATGATTTGGTAATGGCGCTCGTATCTGTAACCTGTGACTCTTGGCTAGCGTTGAAATCACGGTCATCAGGTTGGTTGTTAATCGCAACAAAGACGCGCGTACCACCAATACAGGTCTCCAGCACTCTTTCTTGCCGTTATATGGAAGGCTACCGCCCAGCAAGTGCTTTGCTGTCATCCATGCAATTCAAAGCAGTAACGCCCAGTTCCCAACTGTGATAAAAATCTCCCATCATGCACGGAAGCAGGTCAAACGGCCGACCTCACACGAAACTCCGCTGCTCAGGCTTGACTCTCGCCTAGTGGTCATAGCCGGCGCCGCGTTGCCAGGGGCTTCATCAAAGTTAGCATGATATTGATCCGAGATCAAGGCAAAGCTGTGTGGCTTACCTGGCATTGTTCTGTGGCCGATAGCCGGCAGGGCTGTCGTTGTTCTGCTGGCGGAACGCGGGTCCATTCTGCGGAGCTCCGTATGGGCTCGGCGTACGGTTAGGGCCGTTGGCCGCCGGGAGCATTGGCACCGAGGGGCTGATGGGTGACCGGGGCGGCTGAATACTATGTCCTTGGCTGAAGGATGAGTTGGAGTGGTTGTAGGCACTAGGCATCGGGCGGGCCCCCAGGTTTGAGTCGGCAGTGCGACGACGGAGCGAAGCCGAGGAGAGCGACTCGTTGTCATCGTCGAGATCCAAGCCAGGCTTGTAGCCAGCCTTGTCACCACGGGCTGTTGCCGCAAGGGCATCGAGCTCAGTGGTTCCAGTGAGCTGGGACTGCGACTTCATGAACGAGGCACGGTCGTCCGCCATGAACTGGTAACGGCTGTCTGGGTTCTTGCGGTAGAAGACCATGACGGTTGTGACGATGACCATGATGAGGAGCACGGTAGCAAAGATGGCGTTCATGAAGAAGAGAATCAGTCCGATGGCTCCGTTCACCAGCTTCGGCTGGTCAAAGACGTCCGAGAAGATGAGCAGGAAGATTGAGTTGACAAAGTTGATGGCGTAGATGGCAATATTGAAAGAGTTGGTCGGCTTGTCCATCCAGGGACGCATGACACTGGCAGTGACCAACGCTGCTGCTTCGATGAGGAGGAACCCAATCGCCTGAGCGGTCCCGTTGTTCTGAGCAAACGCGATAAAGGCACTCTTGATGAATGTGTATCCAAGGACCGGAAGGATGAAGTAGTATGCCGAGGCTCTGAACTGGATGTAGAGGAAACCCCACTTGTTGAGGGCCTGCGGGTCGGAGAAGAGGATGTAGGCCGGGTTGCGGTGCATGGCGACGGAGCGGCGAGCAATACGGATGACCTTCCACGCAGCCCAGCTCAAAGTCGCAGTCATGCCGACAAAGAAGAAAACAGCCAGTACAACCTCGGCTGGCGAGTCGAGCTGGGTAAACTCCCACAAGCAGAGGGTGGTCATCTGAGGGTACCCGATGAGGGTCAGGCGGAAGAGAATACCCTTGAGCACGGTGAGCCATCCATTGCGGAACTCCAAGAAGGTATCAGGCTTCATCCACTTCTGCTTGACCGCCATCTCGCAGTACCCCTTGAATGCAGCGACGCCTCCGGCCGTGAAGACAACAAGGAGACAGAAGAAGGTCAAGCCTGTCATGAACAAGTTTGTCGTCTCAATACCAGCCCTGAATGATACTCGCTGGATACCGTAGACGAGGAAACTGCCGGAACCAGTCGTGATGTTGGCGCGCTTCAGCATGTTGACGACAGCCCTGGGCATCATAGAAGAGCTGCGACGCAGAAGACCGACAGCCAATCCGGCAAGATCGCGCTTCTCAACCTGGACAGACTTGGTGGTCAAGGTGTTGAACAAAGTGGCCGGTGTGCCGCCGGTAGCGCGCTGGTACCAAGTGAAGATGATCTGCATAAAGTCGACGTTGATGATACCCAAAGACCACTGGAAGTCCTGGGTCCAGGACTGGACAATCGGCGGCAAGTGGATGCTGCTCATGCCCAGCATGGCCTGAGCCTGGAAGAAGCCGAAAAGCGACAGAGCACCAGACGCGATGTGGGCAGCGGCATTGGCGTAGCCAAGACCGTTGAGCAAGGCAGACGCGCAGAGGACCAGACCAGCGATGATGGCGAGAACCCACTTGACGGCCAATAGATTGACAGTCTTGCCGTTGGAGATGTCGGCCTCGACGCAGGCCACGCTCTCACCAGTGCTCGTCAAGTTGACAAAGACCTTTACCGTGGCGTCAAGGTCGGGGAAGGTGAAGGCAATACCGGGAATCATGTCAAGTGCACTATCAGGGACGGGCAAGTTGAAGTCGAAAGTAAGCTTGCCGGCAGTCATGGGGCAAAGACCGGCCAAACCACTATCGACAGCGCCAGGATCTACCTTGCAAGGGTCGATTGTCTGGTTCAGGAACTTGAATCCGTATGCAGAAAGGGAAAAGTCGAAGACGACCTTGCCTTCGACGGAAGAGGTCGCGACCATGTTGACGAAGGCGCTGTTGTTGCCCGGGGTGTACACGACCTCGAAGAGACTGGCGGAGAACATGGAGTCGGGCTGGCATGTATTGAGCGACTTGGAACTGAGTATCCTATCATCGGCAGCCATGGTGGTGCTCGGCATTGCTGCCAAAATTGAGGAAATGAGCCATAACGGCTTCGAGAAGAGGCTGCTAGACCTCATCGTCGCTGAGTGCTATTAATGTTGATAAGAAGCCAAGCAGTCTGTAATTGATGCGAGCTGTGCTGGCTCTGGCGTCAAGATGTCGTGGCGCGAGAAAATGTCGCTCAGGCTTGTTCAGTGATGACAGAAGCTGGGCGTGGCAGACGGAAAGGGAAAGACTCGTTTTGTGAGTGAGGGTGGGAGCGGAGCTGAACTCTGTTCGTCGACAGGCCTGAACGCGGAGAAGGACCGGCTGGACGAGAAGAATTGAGCGTTACCCGTTACCAGAAGGGGCGTCGCGAGTCTGTACTGTCGTGGGTTGTGCGAATGGGCGGCGCTTGGAGGAAGAAGGCGATCAGGCTGGTTTCTGGCTGAGTCGCGACAGATCAACGTGCGTCTGGCGAGGAGAAGATGTGAGAGAGTGGCGTTCGGCAGCCCCGGCGGAATGGGAGGGGCGGCTCGAGAGGAGGGAGAGAGCGGACGAAGCAAGCGCAGCCTGCATTCAATAGGGCGGACGATGGTTGTGGTTGTGGTCGACGGGACGAAGCAGGTGGCCGATTGCGAGACAAGAGACAAGACAGACAGACAGGACAGGACAGGACGCTACCGACACGGGCAGCAAGCCAGAAGATAGGATGGCAGACAGCCCCGGAGGGCAAGCAAGCAACCCCTGGAGCGGGACCCTGGGCAGAGGCAGTGAGTGGGTGGAAAGGGGGCCGGTCGGCAGATGCAGGCACAGGCTAAGGTTCTCACTGGGCAAAGCTGGGCAAGCTGGGCGCGCGCTGGGCGGCGAGACCGGGTAGGGGCAGGACCCTCTGCAGATCAGGGGGGTGGGAAGAGCAGCAGCCAATGAGCAGCGCGATCGGCGGGTACCTGCCTTAGGCGGCCCCAGCGCGCCGTCGCACGCGCCCACCACCACGAGGAGGGCAGGCCCCACCCGTCTCCCTCCTGTTGGCTCCTCACCCTGGCTAGCCCCCTTTTTGCAGCTCGGAAGCAACGACGCCTGCCCAGGTGTGGCACTGGGCTGGCTCGGGTCTGGCCACGCCGTCCAGTCCAGTCAATTGCTGCATAATGAGGCGTCTTCAGTTCAGGATATCCAAATGGCTGTCCGCGCAGAAGCAGGATGCAGTAGCGCTGGGCCGATGAGGAGGCCTGGTGCTGGGCCTGTAACGTGTGGCCCTCTGCTCAGGCACTCCTGGAATGGCCTGGTCTCCTGGGCAGCAGCCAAGGGCAGCAGCAACTATTTGCAGCGTGCACGCCGGCGTATTTTTGCATTCCTGCACCTGCGACACTTTGGGTTTGGGTGTCCCGGGAGCGGCCAGCACCCGCGCAGCACCGCCACCGCCCAGGTGGTTGGCACAATCTCTGCCCATGACAAAGTACCTTTGCCAGGCCGCCTGGGCACGTCTTAGGGCCTTGGGTATCGTCTTGGGTGCACTGCTGGCTGCAACCGTCCTGTCCCCGTCGTCATCAGCGTTTCGCACAGACGAGATACATCGCGCTCCACGGGTTAATCGAGTATCGTTGGCGGGTTCATGCATAACGCAAGAGCGGGGCGGGATGGGCATGAACGACCGCCCGCCTCGTGTTGTCATGACAGGACTGACAAGTGAGTGACACTGACTGCCTCAAGTTGAGCACGTGATGCATCATTTGCATGCCTCCCGTCCCTTCATTCTGTCACGTCTGTTGTCAAGGCGGTGGTTGGCATTTCACCTGCCGTCGATCTGCTGCAGTTCTCAATCGGCTGAAACTGAGGGAAAGATCTCAGCGAGTGGCCGACCGACGTCGACGTCATCTTCTGCAATCACCGAATCTGCATTTTCGCAACGCAGGGAGAGCTGGACGGGCACGATCTTGAGCAGCACTGCGCGTTTCAGAATCAGGGACGGCCCTGATCCACCTGGACTCGTTGCTCCCTGCCGGCTGATTCGTCATCTCCAACCACCCTCTGGCTTGCTCTCCAGTCCTCCTCCTGGCTTGGCGTCGATCCCCGTTGATGCTGGCGAGGACTGGCAGGCACTGTGTCACTTGTCTGCAATGTCAAAGTGTGGCAGTGCCTGACGGACGGAGGATCAGAGGCGGAGGCGGCCGATCACACAGACGATCTCACATTCACGCTCCGGCAATTGTGGCAGAAGCGACCCGCTGTCGTCTGCTTGTCCCTAAACTTTAGAATCATACACGGCATCCGGAATCAAAACATGTTTCTGAGCTCTTTGCTGCCAACGGTCCCTCCCGCAGAGTGAACCTAGCCGGCCGTCCGTGGCACAGTCCTGACAGTCGCATCATCTGGGCCCCATTGTTCCCATCCAGCGTAGATCGGCGCAAACGATTGCCCCGTCCACTAGCATCGCAACTGCTATTTCAGAACCACTTTTCTATTTCAAAACACAAAACCGTCCTCGTTGCGGCCAAAGGAACCTTGGAATGGGCAATGAGACGGGCATATGGAGAGAAACTCCTGCATTTCTCAGCAAAGCAGACCTGTGACCTTCCCCTTCCTTCATCCCTCTCTGATCGACCACCACTACGATGTCGCCCATGACATCCTTTAATGCAAAGACTCGCCGCAGAACCCCCCCCCCCAAATACGTCACACAGCTTTGGGAGCACCAAGCACTCCCTTCGTGGTGTGCCGAGATTGAGATCGCTCCCCCGCAGGTATGTAGACAAGTCCGTACGAAACCCACCACCACACAGCACAGCCCCTCTCGACCCCGAGGATTCGCATGAACATGCACAGAACCACACACGGTATCGATGGCAGAAGGAGCTCTAGAGTGCGCTAAGGCAGGTACTCGCACCGCACCGCTCCCCAACGCACGGCACGCACCCACTGTCGTCCATGCCTGGGTAATGAAGCGGATAGCGTGAAGAGCGGGGCACTCCTCGCGCGGCCCTGTACGTTAAACGCAAAAGTGGTGAACGATCATGGCATTCGCTCGCTGTGGCTCTGACTTGGGCCAGATGGGGTCGTGGACACGCGTCGACCCTGCCGGGCGGAGCGAAAACGCCAGTCGAGCCGCCCAGTAAGGCACGAAAGTGGGAACCCTGTCTCGCTCTGCTGCCCCGTCTACGGTTGCGGGTCTGTAGAAGTAAGTAAGCGTTTCAGGCTGTTATTGTTCTCGTTGAAGGTTCGTTGAGAGTTGCAATTGGGAAAGGGAATAACGTACCTAAGGGAGTTATGCTCTGTTTTATTAGGGTGACCCTGGTCTTCGTGGACGGTGTCGTATAAAGTTTTGGACAGCCATGGAGCAGGTCACGCCGTAATTTACGACACCCGTCCACGAAGACAATCTCACACCCATAAAAATGAACCCAGAGCATGGACAAGCCGTGCGTGCCATGGCGATGGCGTCGAGACAGTAACTGCTTTTTAAATGTACCTGCGAACTAAACACTTGCCCGGGAGGGCCACTCCACTCCACAGGTTCGACTGCGTCCAGGTCATGGAGGTCTCACGGCAACGACTTCTGTGATGGAACCCCCCCACCCCCGGGAGCTCGTGCCATGGCAGGAATAGAAATGACATGTATTCATTACTTGCAAACACGCTCGCTCACATACAGGGCTCATGCCAGAGAGTATCTACCTCCCTAGGTACTTCGTGTAGGTACTTTCGACGACGATCACGACGTACACCACGCTTTCACCGTGCCGTTGTTATCTGGTCTTTTAGAAAAGCTGCCACTCCGTCAACCACGGCTTGTTCCCGTCCGCGAAATTGATACCGTGCTTGTAGTTCCCCGTGAGCTCCTCCTCGTCGACGCCGCAGTGTGTCTGCCCGTCGCGGCCGTCGAACCAGCCCAGCCCGTACGTCTTGCCCAGGCTCTCCAGCTTGCGCAGCATGCCCTTGTTGCTGAGCTTCGCGGTCCCGACAAAGTCGTACAGCATCTTGCTCTGATGCATGAATGCAAGGACCGACGCAATGGTGTTTGGCTGGCGCGGCAGGAACGGGTGGCGGCGGCGGACGAAAACAACCGTGGCTACGATGGACATGTACAGCAGGATGAAAAAGGTGCAGCCCAGTGTGATGAGGAACGACATGACGGTTTCTTGGCCCGACAGACCTTCGTGGATGAAGCCGCCCTTGTCAGAGTCGAGCGAGTCACCCTGTTCACTGGCACTGGCGAGCCGCAGGAAAGCCTGGCCGTCGATAGTTGCCAGGCTCGTGGCGAAGATAGTCAACCCTTCCGTCATGACCGTTCCCCACCCGACGAGGAACACGATCCAGTGCCTGTTGAACAGCGCACGGAACGCCACCACGGCGAAAGGCATGGCGGTATAGTCGAGCGTCAGTGTGCGCGCGGGAGCGTGCCGCTTAGACAAGATGTAGTATGGCTCCATCATGCGCAACGATGAGTCAAAGCTGCCCCAGCTGAGCTTGACGCAGACCGCGAACGCCGTGACTAGCCAGGGCGCTTTGTCGGTGATGATGCTCGCCGGTGTAAAGAGGACGACCGGGATGAATGCAGTGAACATGACAATGCCAAGCATAAGGGGTATATAGCCTTCTTTGCGCATCATCATGGGATGGGGATTGTCGGGCAGATGGGATTCCCTGAACCGGTCTTGTTCCTGCAGCGTCGCCGTCGAGGACTCGTCAGGTGCCAAGGATGAGTTCAGCAGCACATATCGCCGATCCTTGAGTTTGTGGTGGATGTCCTTTGGACTGGCCGTGTCCATGTCCTTGAAGTCCATCATGATGTGACTGACTGTAGCCATGGCCGCAAGCCCCGCTATACCCTTAACGTCTCCCATCAACCCGGACTTCCTCGAACTAATCTGATAAAGCAGGACAAGTCCCAGCACGGCGATGACGACAAATAGAGATGTCAGCAGTCGTGACAGCGTCATGTCAATGACAACAGTCTTCTCGACTGTGGGGTTCGTCAGTCTGACTTGACGGTCTGGCCGGAGCACGATCGCCGCGGCAGTCAGCGTCGGAACCAACGAGATGGCCAGTAACGACGCGATGGAAGAAATTGCTACCACGTAGTGTCGCCGCTGCAGGGCGCGGAAGGGTCGCATGATGTTGTACACAGTCTCATAGTCCACATTGATAGACTCGGCAGCCAGAGCACCTCCTTCTTTTGACAGCTGATAGAAGGCCTCGAGACGCCGCACTTCAAAGTCTGTGTTCTGCCACAAAACGCCGTAAGTCACGGCGATGATTGTCGGTATGAATCGCAGGATGAAGTAATCGAGAGGCGATATCTCGGTCGCGTCCTTAAACTTCATCAGCGGCTTGCGTAATGACGCTTGATACAAGATCTCCTGGCACCCTCCGAGCACAACGGACAGCATAATTAGGAACAGCAGGTAATACCACTGCATGAAGACGGGCCGCCAGTTGGGCTGTGGGTAGAATAACTCCGTCTTCGTCTTTGAGACGGGGATTGTCGTTGCTCGGGGCATCCCCGAGTGCGAGTGGTTGTCATTTCCAAAACCCGCAGGTCCGGCCATGGAGCTCAGGTCCACATCTGACGGCTCCTCAACAATGACCTCGATGACTTCGCCGCGCCTATTGGCTTCGTCCTGGCCGGCATTCCTGAGTATCTGGGCCTTTGGGGCCAGCGAAGGCTTCCTGTGGATGGATCCGAAGCGCGAAGAAAAGCTTCGTTTGATGGAGCCCGGAGTGCGTGCGAGCAGCTCGCCTTGCGAGAGCACGGTCCCGGCTGCCATACCCTGACCTATACCGCCCGTGAGATGCCCGCTGGCCTCCCGTTGCTGCAAGCTGCGCATGAACTCTTGGTCTTGAACGCTCATGGGGCCCGAAAAGGACGTCATGTCGAAGACTGGCTCGTCTGGGATGCCGGCTTCTGGAGCAAGTGGTGGATCGTACAGCTTTGGTGTCGTGGACGTCTCTGCGGGCGGCGCGGCCGCGCGCAGGAGCGACATGTCGATGCTCTCGTCCTCGTGGATTGTCTCTTGAGCTCGGGCTCTGAAGCTTTTCAACGGGCGTTGCGAGCTTGATGATGAGGGGGCCGCACTGTAACCTCCCAGAGGAGCGTATCCTCTAGCCGACGGCCTCCTGAACGGCGTTGACCATGACGAGCCATCGGGATTCATCTGTGCCCCTCCTTCCTCCGGTATACCCGGCGGTGGCGAGCCGTAGCGGGACTGCAAAGAGACGAGAGACTCGCGGCCTCTTATGCCTTGGTAGCCATTGTCTGAGAGGTTCGAGACCTGGTGGCGCAGGTCGGGCTGTTGCGCGGGCGGCGTGTAGCCCGTCTGCGAGTACCGGTGATCCATGGGTTGCTTATAAATACATGCTTGACACGCAGCGTGGCCAACGTCAGGGCTGGCCTGTAGAGAGAGGGCAGGCACACGAGGCTGCAGTGGTTACGAGTTGTAATTAGGTTTCACACGTTATGTGAGCTTTGGTTGACGAGAGACTAGGCGCCGGGTCTGTGACTAGCCTGTACCTCCCTCGCTGCCGTAAGAAAGAAGAGGTTGTGAGCAGCGGTGCAGCCCAAGCTGGCCGTCGTCGACTTCGTCGTGACGAGGGACGGGACTTCAGCTGGCCCCACTGTGGGTGCACCTTGGGGTCGGGGTAGTTGATGGTAGTGCCAAAGAGGCCAGCCCGGGAGGTGCAGAGACTGGGTGGCAAACAAGCGCGGAGATCTGAAGGAAGGAAGGAGAACGTCTCAGATCAGAGAAATCAGGGAGAGAAGTGAACGAGCGGTGGGCTACCGGGAGAAGTTGTTGTCGAAGTGGAAGTTGAAGTTGATGATGGCATCAGGTGGGCAGCCCATGCTAGACAAGGACATGCAGCATGCAGGCGGGGCTCTCAGGACCCCAAAATGGACAGCGAGACCAGGCTCGGTGACGAACAAGAGCACCGGATGGGGTGGCGGGAAGCAAGGCACAGACGCAGGCATGCAAAGGCAGACGACCAGATGGGCGGTGTTACAGAGAGGGTGCTGGAGGCAGGAGGCCAGGCAACTGGGCGACTGGGCAGGCTGCCTCACTGGCATCCCAGCCGCATGCTGCAAGGATCCCAGCTCGACACCACGACACGACACGGCTTGGCCCCCAAGAGGCGCAAGAGGCCAGCTGCTGGTGGATGTACTGTATGCCACATACAGCGTGCAGTGGCATCGCAGACGCTCAACTCGCAGCTCGCAAGCGCACGAGGGCCTGGGGAACCTGGAGACGACCAGTACCAGAGTCGAGGTCCTAGCTGTCTGGACCGACAGGAACACAAGCGACGCCAGCGCGGTTTAGACTCGAGGCAAGCGCGGAGCCAAGCCTTTTCGTTGTGCATTCAGGGGTGTCAGATGTCAGCATTGCATCCGCTGTCGCGCCCACCAACCAATCCGCTGTCTGGGACGGACGGATGCGATACCCGTTCCGCGCGCCACGACTGGCAACCACCCACTTGTTCCCTCAGCCCGAGCATGCACTCGCCAACCTTGGACCTTCAGCTGGGCACCACTTCACCGCCGAGCATACGCATGCGCGTCTGTTTTCAGCAACTATAGTCCCATAAGGCCTGAGCCAGCCGAGCCTGGCTGGCCTACTGGGATCACTCGCTTGCTAATCCACAGCCTGGAATCCAAGCTGGATGTGTCGGCTGGGCAGACACCTGCCACCACATGCACAACGAGGTAGACGGTTCCTGATACAGAAAAGACTTGTGGGATATTGTTCTGGGGAGCTCGGTAAAACCCGGCTTCCCTGTCATATACTCGAATACTTTCCAAACCTGCGACAAGAACGCAATCCTTGTCGACGACAGCGCGACACAAACCTCCGCCCGACAAGGCACACAAATAACAGCACCTGCGACTATTCGACTCAGTGGAACTGGTCCTCGGTTACACCTTTACCCATGGCTGCGGTACTCGAGATGCCGCCAGTCACCATCTTCTGTAGCTCGTCGACATATGTCGCACCACTCCACTTCTGGTGCTTGACAACGTCGACCCCGCCGTCCATCTCGGGCTCCTGCACCAGCTCGCCGTACGCGCGCATTCCGTTCTTGGCATAGGCCTTTGCGAACTGGTCGCTGATCAGCGCCGTCGTGTGCAAGCCCGCGAGCGTGATGAACTGCCAGCAGTACCCCAGCTTCGCCAGGCGCCGGATGTACGTCTCCTGCTCCTCGCGCGGCATTGCCGTCTTCCAGTTGAACGAGGGCGATAGGTTGTAGGCAAGTCTGTGAGGGTGGTTGGGAGACAACAGTCAGTGAAATGGTCTCAACAGGTGTGCTTTCATTTTCTTTGTAGAGGTCAGTACTCACTTTTGCTCGGGCCAGACCGAGTGCACGCCGTCGGCAAAATCCTTGGCCTGGGCGAAGTCAGGCAGCTTGCTCTCCATCCAGATGGCGTCGCAGTACGGCGCGTAAGCGATGGCGCGGTTGATGGCACAGTCGCAGCCGCCCTTGAGGCGGTAGTATCCCTCGCGGGTCCGCGGCGCGTCCCAGTCGAAGAAGATGTCGTGCTGGGTGATGCCCTTGGCGATGGCGCGGCACTCGTTGAGGCTCTTGCCCTTGGCCTGCTTGGTGTACTGCTGGATCAGCTCCTTCTTGTTGCCCTGCGAGCTCGATTCGATCGTCTTGATGACGGCCTCGTCAAAGCGCATCAGCCCGGCCTCCTTGAGCCACGAGTCCTCGATGGCCTGCAACTCATCGCCAAGCTTGCCAGCCTGCTCCGCAGCAACCATGAGGTCGTTGAGCGGTTGAAGCTTGGGGTTTGTTGAGCCGAGGATGAAAGCGTGGTCACGGGGGTCGATGGTCGTGGAGATGAGTGTGGCCGCCTCGGCATCTGTGCGGGCAATGGCAACCAGGTCGGTGCCCATGATGTCGGCCTGCGCACGGATAGCAACCAGGCGGTTGATGTGCTCACTGATGGGCACGAGGACCTTGCCGGCCATGTGACCGCACTTCTTGGTTCCAGGAGCCTGGTCCTCAATGTGAATGCCGGCCGCACCCTGCTCGATGAAGAGCTTGGTGAGCTTCATGACAGCTGTGAGACCGCCATGGCCGGTATCGGCATCGGCGATGATGGGACGCAGGTAGTCAATATTGGCCACGTTGGCGCGGTTGGCCTTGGGTGTGCTCAGGCGCTCCTGGCGTTGTTTCCGGTCGTGGAACAGCTGGGCCATGAAGAGGTGCTTGACCTTGTTGGGCACGGTAGTCTTGTTGCTGCCGTGTTAGCATTGTTTGAATGTGCAGTCGTCGTCATCGTCGTCGTCAACGGTGCTCGACTTACATATGGGTAATCTGCCAAGTCTGGGCCAGGCTCGTCTGAGGATGAGGCGGTCGATGATGATTGCCACCCGGAAACGTAGACTGTGTCGAGGTACTTGGCCATTTGCGTGACCATGGTTGGTTCCAAGCAGCCATATGTGTAGCTGGCGTCTCTATTCTACAGCCAGGCAAAGTCCCCGAGATGGTCAGCAAGTGCATTGCAGGACACAGAGACTCATCTTTCATATTCGTGATGCTCACATACCTTGAATCGTCCTTCTAGGATCTTCCACAGCTTTTTGGACTGGGCGTTGCTGGGATACTCAATCTTGAGGTGGCCGCGTTTCGAGACGATCTGCTCGGCTGTGAAGGCACGCTTGGTGTGTTTCCACCTCGGGTCGCTCCACCACTTCTTGACGGCCTCGACCTCCTTGGCAAAGAGGTCATCCTCGAGGCTGGGGTCGATCGCCGTGCTGAGCATGTTGTTGGACGCCATGGTGTTGCGTGATGTGACGTATGGCTTGTCTTGTTGGTGACGAGAAGCTACAAAGTGATTTTGGGGGGATAATGTGGGCGAGAGAGGCACAAGAGCAATAACGAGGCAACGAAGCTCGCGTGATGTCTCAATGGCAGTAGTGTAGATGTAGCATACAAAGAGTCAAAGAGTGACCTAGTCTGGGTCGTATTGGAATGTAATGACCAAGTCCTCGCCAGAGAGAAGCAAGCTTTTAGGGAAGCATCAAGGCACTACAGCGGGAAGAAGAAGTAGCACGTGCAAAAGCCGAGGCGAGATGGAGCGGGGGCTCACGGAGCTTAAAATACATGAAGCACGAGAGAGACAACTCTCGGCCCCAAGCACGAGACGGGTGGCACTACGAGACTAGCGGGATGGAAGCTTTCCCCAGAAGGCGTGTCAGCTGCTTTGCCGGTGCGTGTGGTTGCGCGCTCTGGGGAAAGGACGGAGCGGACGCGCATCGGGAGTAGTCGGTCGAGCGGCAATGGCATGGGCCATGTACCGCCGCAGCCATGGGCGGGCCGGGCGGTACAACGCAGGTCGTCATCATCGTTATCAAGATGGGAGCAAAGCCGCCGCCGCCAAGGGTAGAGCGAACGCTGGCCTGGCTTACCGGCCGGCTGGCTGACTAGAGGGGACTGGCTGACTGGGCTCGGCCTCGGGAGTAGCAGGCTGGATGAGGACGACAAGTCACAGCTGCTGGCATCTGAACGAGTGGCGGTACCGGCAAGTTAGCACGAGGCCCGGCTGTGGAAGCTCGGCTATGCGTGGACGATGTGAGTGGCCAGGGGAACAGGATCGCCTTGTGATGGACGAGGCCAGAGTCTGGGGAGATGGATGCGGCATTGGCATGGGGGATTTTTTGGGGAAGGGGCGATGGGTGCAGCCAATGAGGAGCCCAGCTGGCCCTCACTTAGCCGTGGCTGCGGCCGAGGGGCCGAATCAGAGTGCCCCGCCCCGCAGCGAGCCTCTCTGGGGCCAGAGCAGCGCAGGGCACCCACCACCCCCGGCTTCTGACAATGACGCAACCCGACGTTGCACTCGACTGCCGGGGCACCGGCTCGCTCTGGACCTGGGTCTGTCTGGATCCGGGAGACGGCAGATGCTAACGTGTGCTCTGGACGTATTCTTGTACAGCACGCACCCAACGGCACAAACACAGGGTGGGAAACAGCATGTTAAAAAAAAATAAAAAAATTCACACATCACAATCACGAGCACATGACGATCCAGAGAAGAAAAGGACGACGACTCATGCACGCCTGCTCTCGACGACTAGCACGTCCTTTCTGACACGAGCTAGGTCAGCACCAGCAAAGCGTTTCTGGGGAAGCGGCGAGCGAGAAGTGCCCGCCGAGAAGCATGTGATTCTGCTCCATCTCTCCTTCATGCTCAGCTTAGCGAAACCACAACATGGCCTAGACCCAGCACCTGACACCCGTCCAACCCTGGCCTGGCAGCACCTGACAAGCCGCCGCCCCCAAAGCAGACAGACAATCATAAGCCTGTCAATTGAGCCCACTGCCAGTGTGATTCCGCACATCGCAACAACCCTTGCCCCATGGTACGTGATGGGCAGGCGAACAGGGAGCGGACGATTCCGCCCTCTCTCCACCCTGGCTGCTATGTGCCTGTCTTGCACGCCAATGGTTGCGAGGGGCCAGCGAACTTATTCCTGTCTGCCGCCCAAGCTCCGTCAGCCCGACAGAAGAACCAGTCGGCCGTTGCCCGAGAGGGATCCGCCGACTCTGCCCGCGAATTGCCCGACCTTACTACTTGCCGTGGCGCTAGGCACGACCCCGTTGACCTTTGTGCCTCGGCACTCTCACGCGTCCTTCAACAGCCTGCTGTGACGCATGCACAGCTCCGCGGTCGGACCCTGCCAAGCGCAACGGAGTGAGTCAATGCAAAAGACTGCTTGGGACAGCGGTCGGGCTGGTGCGTTGGGCAGACCGCGTGCAAGCAAACGGCCGGGTGCGCATCACGGTTGGTTTTGACTCCTCGCTGCTGACAACTGGACTAGGAAGTGATGCGCATTCTAGCTATTCTGTCTCTTTCTGTTTACTATACAGTACCCACGGGTCATCGATCTTTGTCGGAAGCAATTCTGTCGACCAAATGCAGGACTGCCAACGCCAACTGGTTCCGAAAACTGACACCAAAACAATACACCATACCTTCAAATCAATTCAGACTCGATCCGAGCCTCTCGGTCCTGCTGCACCCTCTCGTACGTCTCATACGGGGTCAGTGTGCCCAGCGCTCTCTTCATCTCTGTGTTGATGAAGCCTAACCCATAGACGTAACTGGCGTTCACCCAGCCGAATCTGCACAGCGATGAAAGCCCAACAGTTAGCAACACTAATCAGCTAATTAACAGCCACAACAACAGGTTGACTTACCCTTCCTTTGCTACGCCTTTGAAGTCCAGGCCTTGATTGCCATACTCTGCGTCCACTCGATGAGGATCGACCGGTCGCGTCACGTCGTACTTTTCCACCACAACACCATTGAAGTCGAAGAAGGCCTTGGTCACCATGAACAACCACTTATAAGCCAGCTTCTGTGCCAACTCGGCATAGCCGTAGCGGGCCAGGCCGGTCCAGGCCAGCATCTGCTGCGGTGCCCAGCCGTAGGGATAATCCCACTGTCGGTTAGGCCGCTCCAGAGTAATCTCGCCCCGAGACTCTTCGGTGCCTGACAAGAGCCCACCATATGCCTCGAACTTTGGCACTGCCGTCTTCACCACTCGTGCCGCCTTTTCGGGATCAGGCACGCCGGCCCAGAGCGGCCAGAATGTGGTGCAGCTCTCGTATGTGCACTGCTTCTGCTTGACCGTGTCGTAGTCAAAGTACATGCCCTTCTCCTCGTTCCAGAGGTATTTGTGCATGGCAGCCCGTCGTCTCTTCCAGCGTCGATCCCAGACAGTCGACGTCTCGATCTGTCCAGGCGTCATGCCTTCGCCACACCATTCCGCAGGCATGGTGAAGTTGTCGCCAAAGAGGTTGCGGATGATCCGAGAAATGTCCATCTCGTACTTGTACACCAAGGAGTTGAGGTCGACTGTGGCGAGATTGGCGCAAACCCGCTCAAGACGGTACGACGTGTCGTGACCAGACTCTCGGACAGCACGGTCATGGAGGAAGTACTCGTCCAGCTCGGGCTCGACCACCTCTCCATAGTTGTACGCGCGGACAAACTGTTCAAAGGTCATGCCGTGCTTCTTGGCATAAGGTTCGAGCACGTGGACGAAATGGGACGCTTCCGTCTCAGGAGGCACACCCAGACCACCTGGCCGGTACCGAGACAGGCCAGTGGCGCGGTCGAGTCGAGGCTCTGCCATCCACACGCAGTAGTACTCCTTGATCGCCGCCATCAGGGCTGTGCGGAGGAAGTCCATCGCGCCGGGCTCGTGCTTGATCTTCTCATACACGCGAAGTGCCATGTCTGTCAGGAAAGGTGGCTGCGAGCGACACAGGTAGTATGATCTTGTGGCGTTGAGGATCTTTCCATAGTGTCTGATGCAGAAGCAGAAGTTCAGGACCATGGACTGAGCTAGGTCGACTCTGTCATTGACGAGCAGGCCGAGAGACGTCATGTAGCTGTCCCATCCGTAGAATTCGTTGAAGCGACCTCCGGGAACGACAAAGGGGAGTCCACGAAGAGTCTTCTCGCCAGTCTTTGGATCGATGTACTCCTCCATCTCCACCGCCAGCAAGCCGGGCTTGTCGTTCATGTCTCGCACGAGCTCAGGTGTGATGGGCTCGGGGAGCACCTGCACATCCAGCCGGAGTTCGGGCCTATCTCGAGCCACTTTACGGTAGAACTCGACCTGCTCAGGAGCACCAGGGGGAACGTAGATACGCGGTCGCGGGTCATCTGTCCAATCCTTGGGATCGCGTGCAGCAATCTCGATGGACGAGGCATCAATGCGGCGGGTAAGACCCTCCCAGAACTGATCCTTGATGAGACGTGACAACCGGTTGACCGGGTTCTCGTTCAGTCTGCCAATGTCGAGAATGATGCGCTTCCGGCCATACTCCTTGGCCAGGTACAGCTCCTGTAGCAAATTGGACAGCATGTAGGTTCCGCGGATGTCGAAGCGGTTGTACCCGTCCGAAGCGGCGGTTGGCAGGGAAAGCACTTTGGGGCCGGCGTCCTCGATGGTGATCTGCATGTTGCCGTCCGTGTCCTCCTGCGCCTGCAGGCTCTCGAGCGTGGTGTCGACGTCGACGAGGAATTGGCGAGAATGGGGCCTGCTAGACTCGTCGTGGCTGCCCCGTCTGTGTGGCTCGTTGAGCTCGAGGGCACGCTCCATCTTGCGGGCCAGCGCGCTCTGCGAGTACGTCCGGTTTCGCTTGTGGTGCAGATGCCGGTTGTCGGAGGTGTAGTATGTCTTTGCATCGTCGAACACGTTCTCGTCCAGCGAGCCTAGGCTGCCGTCCCGACCGTGGCCGCGTGCCATTGTTGCGGATAAGAGCTCGGGCATTGTTGCTGTCGTTGTTGTTAATGTGTGGGTTGCGATTGTGATGACCGACTTCGCCGGGCCGTGGCGGTCACGATGCCCTTGGGGCGAATGTCTCAGGTGTGGGCGACCGCCGCTTTTCGGATGTAGTGGACACGAGCCTGCTCTGCAGCAACGGGTTCTTTTGTGCCTTGTGCCTTGTTGCGCGGTGGAAGTTGCGCGGTGGAAGCTCTGCACTTAGGGGCAGGCAGGCGTGCGGAGGACAAAGGATTGAGTCCTCACAAAGGGGTGTGGTGGCGGTGAAAGCTGAAGAGCCGTGCTTCGATTTGAGTTGGCGTTAGGTCTGCCACGGGCGATGCTCTCGTGACTAGCTCTCGGCGTGGGGGGGCGGCGGCGATACGTAAAACCAGTCAGCACCGACGACAGTCGCCACCTTGTACGCTGCTCTTGCAGTGGTCTTGGCTGTTCAATTGGCCTGCTTTGCGTGAAAGCACACAAAAACCAAACAATGAGTCTCGAGGCCGATGGGATTTATTCCATGAGCTGTGATGCAAGGGCTCTAGGGGTAGACGAGATGGAGGGGTGGAAGAGCCTCATGGGCTGGGATTTGTGAGTGCCGTTTGCTTGGTGTTGGACAAAAGGTGGAGGCATTACATCATGCCCTGCGGCGTGCGATAAGCCCGTGACTCGGTGTCCACATCACTCTGCAAAATCGACAGTTCCAGAAAACACCAATGCAGCAATCTTTTCATGGACATGAGCCAGTTTTAATTTTTCTTTCTCCTTTCTGTGTATAGATTGTCTGGTGGGTTTATAGAATCATTTGACCTTTCAAGGTTCCCACCTACTGTGGCGTGGTCCCTGTGTGTTACGAGTTCTCCTTGCTTTCAAGATATTCGCCCCCGCGCAAGGAGAGAGCACCGTGAAGCTTGTCCCCATAGAAAGCACGACCAGCTGATGTCAACTTTTCCGAATGAATAGTCTAGTATGAGAGGACCTGCCAGGAGTCATCCAATGACGGCCCGGCGTTGTCGGGAGTAATGCCTGTTGCATGCAGGCGCTGGAGCTAGCCGCTGCACGTGTTGTCGTGATGCCAGCCTGTTGGGGACCCAACCAGCTATTGCATCATGCCGGAGCCCAGGCTCGTGTTGAGTCGCGGATGAATTACCAAGCGGGGACTATGCAAGGCATCGTGTCTGGCCAGTGGCGAGCGTTGAATCATGCTCAGCGATGAGCTCCTGGTAAATGCATCGAGAGGGCAGCTCAAACACTCTCACTTACTCGAAATCTTTGCCAGTCACGACGTATTTAGCTTGTGTACCACAAGCGAGCTCGGATTTCAAATATCCCTTGCCGAGAAGACTGCAGGCATGCTAACATGGAAAATCTTTTCTGTCTGTCGTTCCAAGACGAGGGGTTATATATGTCTGCTGGACGTCGTCACTTGCAGAGGTTCAGTTCGCGCAAGCGAGCCCCGATGGATCTGCCCGAGGCCGAGAAAAGATGACTACGCACAATTTCAGTCCCAAGAAACTTCTTCTCCCAGATCAGGCTTTAAATCTTAGTGTCGAGGCCCCTGCTTACGATGCAGGTGCAAAGTATATGCATCCTGCAATTCTCGTGGTCACATGGCAGCTGGGCTCCGACTCCTGTGAAGCCCTCTCTGGCATGGATATTAGGACCTTCCCACGTGTTTTCCATGCCCGCTTGTGCAGATCTAGGTCTTGTAGCCATGGACATTGCAGTTTCCAGTCCCAGAGTGATCAGAAATCTCATACCTCGCCAGAGAAGGGATCAGCTTCTGTGTCTAGAGCCTAACTATCACGACAGCACAATTATATGTACATCCCCTCCAGGTATCAAATGGTGCCAGACCACGATATCCTTGGAGGACGTTCGGAAGCGTTCCGTGAACTATGGCAGACTTGACTTGATGTTATACGACATGACAACGACGAGGACGAGGACAAGCCTTATGTTGAAAGAAAGAAGCTTGTTGCGAGGCTGAAGCTCAAAAGGGTTATTCTATAGGAACACCCCCGTGACAGACCAGAATTGGGCAAAACCTCAGCCCGCAGATCTGGCTTACGGGTGCACACTAGAGTTTGAGTATCGATTTATACTTTCACAAAGATCGAAAGACCAGTAGGCGTATCGAGCTAAGATATCCACGATATCCAGCGTGTGCTGCATTCTAGGCTTCCGTGAGCACGGCCAGAGTTACCGCGAAGTGTTAGGATGCGAGCCAAGCACGTTGCAAAAGGCACCCTAGGTCACCCATTTCAAAGCTTCAGTTCCAGCCTCATTAATACAGATTCACCGTCATCGCTATTGTTCAAAAGCTTCGATCTTGTGTTGAGGTGGGACGGAATCCAGCCGCTGCGGAGAGAGCACTTCTTCACCCAACCTCAGCTTTCCCACTAGCGTAGCCGCACCTCGCCAGCCTCTCGGGACACCACATCAAGGCCAAGACCGTTATACAGCCGCTTCTCCCCACGCCGAGATGAGGCAAATCATGTGTGGGTTTGCAGTGGCGGCTTCGTTGAGGAAGGTCGCGGAAGACCACTTGGAGCGGAAGTTGATGGCACTGAACCAAGGCGGTCCACCGGGAACATGCGAGACTACGCAACGTAGCGTACCTTAAGGTAAGCTCGCCATCGCCCCCAGGCGTCCGGCACTTTGCAAGACCTGAGCCTAGCGTGCTCATGGATTCGTGCTCACAGGTCGGTTAACGGCTGTCTCAGCAGCACTTCTGCCTTGTGCGACATGTACATGACCCTAGTTTGCACATATGTAGGGCACAGTTCTCGGACGGGGTTGCAGCTATTCGCGCAGATTCTTGTCGGCGGGACTGGCACCGGCGTTGCCAGCTCCAAGAGGGTGCCTACTCGTCTGTGCCTGCATCCCCGCGAGTCTGGTTTGAGTCCTTGCTCAAACAATTGAGTTTAATTACTTCCCTAGATGCCCAGGGACGCATGCACAGCACAGATGTTGGCATGCCAGCACGAGCGTTGGCCATGCAGTCAAGTGGAGTTGCGGCATCTTGACAGCCAAGGGCGGCCAGCACATGTTTCGCGCTATTCCGGACAGGCAGATACGAGAGAGGCGGCATGCCGAGATGCTGCCACCGACAAGTGTGTGGATATGCACGAGGAATTAGCCAGGCAGAAGATGATGGGGCCTTTTTTAGCTTCGGGTCGATGGGGCGGATCGACGACCAGGATCGAGCCCGAGCCCCCGGTTGATTGTGGACAACTTCCTCAGGGTTGCAAGGTCGGTCCTGCAATCTGGAGTTGTTCTCCAGCACGACACAAGAGCGTGAGGGCACACAGCTCGAGAGCTGGAAGCTCTGGGCGACACACGGCTGGCCCAACAGTGGCGTGCAGGAGGATGTCGACCAGCACCTGCAGTCCCGACGCCCACCGTATCTGGGCATGCAGAAAGCGGCACGCTAGGCTCCCGTACCTGAGCCAGGCTAGCGCTCCCACAAGGCTGGTGCTGTGGACCCCCACCGTAGCCGGCCGCCAGGGCTTCCACCTGGGCAACCCCAAAGGTTATCTGTCACCTGCGCCAGCGAGTCGGGACCCTCCATACCAACCACACCACACACCACACACCAAAGCCCAATGGCCAGCCGCCTCTGCATCGAGTGACGGCCCTCCTAGTCCGCCGCCGCCGCTGCCGGCTAGCTTCTGGCCACCCGCGGAGCAAAGTCAGAGGGGTCCCAGAACGGTGCAGTCCAGGGCCTGGATCCACCTCGAGCTCTCTGCCGGCCGCCTCTCAACCAGCAGACAGACAGCCCCGGAGCGCTGCTGTGACACTGGATCTGCCTGGCTGTCAGGCTGGGAAGCTGGACGACCAATCCGATCAAGTGCATCAGGTCGTCTGCAGGTTCCATGGCACAACATGCGGCTGATGCATGGGCGTCAGCAATCAATATCTGCGGGCAGGCTGCGCGTATCGAGTCTAAATGTCAACGACAGTGCTCCTACAGTAGTGCCAGGTCGATCTGCATTCAGGCCGCAAAGGCCCACCACCACCACCAACGCAAGCCACCATCAGGGGGGCCCTTGTTCCTGGCAACGGCAGAGGGGCGCCAAGTGGGGGTCTCTGCCGATGCATCTTCCCTCCTGCATAGTCAAATTCCATGTTTGGCAACCCACGCTGGACCGCCAGATACCAACCGCAGAGAGCTCCATGTGTCTGCTGCTCTCGTGGGCCATGGCCAGGCCTGACACAGACACGGGCCGACAAGTCCTGGCGCACGCCCGTCTATGACGACCTCGAGTCACAGTTTTGCTCCCGCCGCTCCACAGCGCCGCTACTCACCCTGATCTCGAGCAATGCGGCTGTGGCGACACGGAGCCCGGCCGCTGCCGCCGCCACAGCCATGTTTTGCAGCTTGTTATGATCAAGCCGCTACGGACCGGTGGTGCGGGCACATGCCGTAGCGGCCGATACGACATGCTGTGCTGGCGTACTTGCGCCATCCCTGCCGCTACTGCGGCGGCAGCCCATGGATGGCAGCAGCATCTGGATCCAGTCCTTCACGGCCTCCTCTCGAGCTCAACACACCAGCCGGCCAGGACCTGCATGTGGCTTTTCGTTACCGCCCTAGATGTTCCCCTACGTGGCTCTAGCTTGGATTCTCCCGAGGAAGCCGGCGTTGCTATGTGGCTGTCCGTCCGGAGAGGGCGTTTTTGGTTCAGCACCTCGCGTCCATGTTGTGGGTGGGTCGATCCAGAAAGAGTTCTGCTCTGTCCACGCTCGTCATCCTTAGACGGTCCATCATCGGCCGATCCAGACTTATCAGTCGGTGGCTAGCTGCTTCTCGGTGCAGTCCTAGATTATCTCGACGGTTCTCAACAACTTGAGTCCTTTCTCTTCATCATCATCTTCACTCCCTGCCTCTTGTTCCTCCATCGGTCACTGTCCAGAACCCACACACAAGCCAAGGCAACCATCAGACACCATCAGGTATCGCTTGTCGACCCCAATCAAGCACTGCGACAAGTCTCTCCTGCCTTCGTCACGATGGGGATGTTCAAGTCCTACTTCACCCCTGGCAGGGCTGCTGCCCAGGAGAATGGAAAGGAGCAGAACGAAAAGAAGGACACCAAAACCAAGAAGAACAAGAAGAGCAAATCTTCTGACGCCAAGACCAAAGGAAGCTCCGGCAATGATGATCCTTCAGATGGTCACCTTGGCACGACCGTCTCATACACTCCAGGCACATCTACACCAAGAAGTCACCCTGGCTCGCGCCGGGCCTCGTTCTTAGCTGGCGATGCCGACAGCCAGATGGACGTACGAGCGGACATCATGTGCAACTGGCTCTACCAACAGCAACTGGAGAAGCAATACGCAACCGGCATGATCCCCGGCGAGGGTGTCGTCGTCAAGAAGAGCAGAGATAGCTATGCTTGCTATCCGCCTCAGCTGGCCGACATGCCTGGTAGTCTGTACGACATGTCGATGGCCCTCAACGTCCGCGTAAGTCTCTCCCGCCTACTGCGTCACTGGCACATTGTTGCAATATTCTAACAAGAAACCCAAGTGCGCCATGACCGTGAACACTCGCGTCATTAGTGTCATCATGAGCTCCAGACGCCTCACACAGGACCACATCCCTCTCACGAACGGACTACGCCTCCAAGTGCTTCACAGCCTGCGTGATCTCCCAAATTGCAAGAAGCACCACTTCGCCGCCTTCATCGAAGACACACAGATCCTTGTCGTCTGGGACGACCAGCCCAAAAGCTTGCTGCAACGTGTTGCCGACATTGAAAAACAGCTGATGAAGATCATATGGGGCAGCACCGGCGACGAGGACGAGGACGAAGAGGACGACGAGAAGGACGATGCTGACGTCACCGTCGAGCCAGTCGACCTGGAGAGTGGCGCCGGCATCGAGAAACGTCGCATTATGCTCACGAGCCCCATCATTGTAGCGCTGACCCTCGCCCTCTGCATAGTGTGCGCGGGCCTCGGTGTTCGTTACCTGGCTCTTGAAGTTGCGACTGACGGACAATATCTGCGCCTCGCTCTCGTGCTTGTCATCCCGATTCAGATCTGGGTCGCCATCTTCTTCTTCCAATCCATTGTCGGAAACTTGTTCCAGTGCGCCGGTCCCGTTGCCTCGGTGCTGCAGAACTCCAAGTTCTACAGCGGTGAAGCACCCCGTCGCCTGGACCGCGATTACCACAACCTTCCTCATGTCACGGTTCAGATGCCTGTGTACAAGGAAGGGTTGAAAGGCGTCATTGTTCCCACAATCCGTTCTTTGAAGCAGTGTATCTCTACGTACGAGATGCAAGGTGGCACCGCCAATATCTTCGTCAATGACGACGGCATGCAGCTGATTCCACCACACGAGGCGCAAGCACGCCGCGAATTCTACGAGGAGAACAACATCGGCTGGGTCGCTCGTCCCGAGCACGATCCGGAAGGCAAGAAGGGCGCCACCTTTTTGCGTCGCGGAAAGTTCAAGAAGGCTTCCAACATGAACTACGCCATGATGGTCAGCAACCGCGTCGAAGATATCCTCAAGTCGCATGAGCGTCACGAGCACTGGGACCAGGATGACGAGGAGAAGGCGTACAACGAGGCATTCCAGCAGGTCCTTGCCGAGGACCAGGGCCGTACCTGGGCTGAAGGCAACATTCGCATCGGTGACTACATTCTCATCATTGACTCGGACACTCGTGTTCCCAAGGATTGCTTGTTGGACGCCGTTAGCGAGATGGAGCAATGCCCCGAGGTCGCCATCCTACAATACACCGCTGGTGTGCTCCGCGTCTCTACCTCGTTCTTTGAGGGAGGGTAAGTTCCATTCCAGTATCATTCTTCAGCCACGTTCGCACTGACATTTTTTGGCTTTAGTGTCAAATGGTTCACCGATCTCATCTACTCCGCCATCTCATTCGCCGTTGCCAATGGTGACGCTCCTCCGTTCGTTGGCCACAATGCGATTCTGCGCTGGACTGCCATCCAAGATGCTGCTTCGTACCAAGACGAGGATGGCTATGAGAAGTTCTGGTCAGAGTCACACGTATCGGAAGATTTCGACATGTCCCTGCGCGTCCAGGTGGCAGGCTACATCACTCGTTTCGCTGCCTACACTGGTGAGGGTTTCAAGGAGGGCGTCTCGCTCACAGTCTATGACGAGCTGGCTCGCTGGGAGAAGTATGCGTTTGGCTGCAACGAGCTCATGTTCCATCCTCTCAAGAAATGGCCTACACGCGGCCCCATCACCCCGCTCTTCCGCGAATTCATCTGCTCCGGTATCGACTTCCCCAAGAAGGTCAGTGTGTGCGCCTACATTGGAACGTACTACGCCATCGCTGCGGCCTGGCCGCTCACTGTCGCCAACTATTTCATCACTGGTTGGTTCTTTGGCCTGTATGACAAGTACTACCTGGACTCGTTCGCCATCTACATCTCGGTTATTGTTGTCTTCACGGCTTTCGGAAACATTGCCCTGGCTGCTCTTCGCTACCGGTTGACAAAGCAGAACATTATTGGTCTTTGTAAGTCCGAACCGGAATCACCAATCATTGACAGTGCACAAGCTAACGCGCACCTTGCCACACTTTTCTAGACCTCGAGAATCTCAAGTGGGTTCCAATGTTCACCATCTTCCTCGGCGGCCTGTCTCTGCACGTCTCTCAGGCCATCCTGTGCCACTTTGTCGGCATCGACATGACCTGGGGTGCCACTGCAAAGGAAATCGAGGACGTCAACTTCCTCGAGGAGATCCCCCGCCTGGTCCGCCGCTTCAAGGGCACATTTTCCTTCTGTGCGCTCATGACGGCGCTCATGATCTGCGGCAAGTGGGCGTTCCCGATGGAGTGGCAGATCACGTACTTTGCCTCCATCTTCCCGCTGGCCAACCTGGTCGTCAGCCATTTCCTCCTGCCCATTGCGCTCAACCCTGCCCTGATGGTCTTTGCGTGGTAGAGATAATTTCGGGTGCCGAGCGCACTCTTTTTGGGGCCAACGACTGCAGCACAGGGGGCGGCAATAATGGGCCTTTTGTACGTGCCCACATACACGCACGTACACGACTGGCGCTGGTGTTGGCTTGGCTACCTCTTCTCGTGGTAGATTTCATATTTCTTGTTTGTTTGGCCGGCTCATGCAAGGCCCCTCACAACTTTCTTGTAATCACACGCTTTGTCCCTCCTAGTCATTGACGCATTAGACTATTGTTATTGTTTTTTAGCCGATACGAAGAACATTGATACCAAAATATGGATATCTGGATTTCCATTGTAGTCAATCGTGAAATGTACTTGTCCTAGTGGTTGTGCTCACGCCAAGTATTGATTCGTAATTGCTGAAGTGAGGCGATATTACGAGAAATTGCACATTAAAATTGTCTTCATCAGGAACCTATAGCCTTTTCTCTGTTCTTTTCCACTCGACCATAATGGAGAAGGCACATCAAAGTTGGGACGTTTGTCAAAGATATTTTTGATTAACGTAATCCACGGGTGAGTGAGCCACACGGGTCAGTGAGCCACCTTTCAAGTACTCGTACGACAATGTATAAGACAATTCAACCACAACGCCTTAAATCAATTGAAACTATTCAGAATCCTCTTCTTCAGAGGCAGATACAACTTTCTGATACGTACGAGCATTATGACCGGGCTCGCCGCAGACGCCACATCGCCGCGCGCGCGTTTCGGGCCTCCTCGTACGACCACTATTCTGACTCGTTTCCGCTATTAACTGCTGCGTCGTATCGATTTGAGCCTTCAAATCCTTTGCCTGATTAATCGTGAGGGACCCTCCTTTCTGTAGCTGCTTTCTTTTCGTACGACGACGGCGGCTGAGGCGGTCGTTTGCATCTCGAAGTTTGGCGAGCTCTTGGCGCATAAGGTCCTGCTCGTGTACCATCATTATGACTCCTTTTCTTAGCTGCCGTAGGCTCTCAATAATGGACGACGGTGAGCTATTCTGGTGTTGTACGATGCGATTTTCAATATACTCCGTCTGCGATTCGGTCTCAATTGGGTTGTTCGGCGTCTTTGAAACCCATGGGGGTGGTAGTCCAGCAGAGGAACCTGGCGGTGTTGGCGTATGAAACTTCATATCTAGCTGCGAAATCACATAGTCCGGGTCGTACGGTACTAGGCCTGTCGCTCGAAAGCCTGCCTGGATGTTTGACTTAGTTATCGTAGCGTCGTACGCCTTATAAAAGGCTGGGAGGAAGTCCTCCTTTGAAATATGGGTTACGTGTGCCCGCATAAGACCTTCGATTTCTTTACCGTACGCCCGTTTCAGAGGTCCAAAGCACCCAACGTCGAGAGGCTGGAGCTTATATGACGAATGAGCAGGCATACAGAGCGTGACAATATTCTGTTCCTTATAGTAGAGCTCGAAATCGACGGAATGGTGGCTCTCGTGGCCGTCGAGGATGAGGAGGCGGTAGGTGCCCTTCGTACGACTCTTTGTATGGAAATCGAAGTGTTTTACCCACTCTAGGCCTCTCTCGTTCGTCGTCCAACCGTTCTCTGAAAGCGCGATTACCCAGTTAGCCGGTAGAGGGCTATTCGCGGTCCAGGAGTCGAGGTGGACCTTCCCGGCGAAGATGATATACGGCGGGATTAAATAGCCGTACGACGCGATGCCCTAGATTACTATAACCCATTCCTGATTCCCTTGTTGTACGGCTCTTGGCCTCCCGCGTCGATCGGAGGTTGTAACGACGGTTTCGGTGGAGATTTTACCTATCGCGAAGCCCGTTTCGTCGAAGTTATAGATATCGTCATTGTGGATCCCGTATTTCGCGATTATGTTTCGTACGAGCTCAAACTACGCGCGATACGCGTCCGGATCTTCGCAAAGGACCCTCTGGTAATCGATTCTTCAATTAAAACGCGTACGGAGCTCAGGTCGTCGTCGTACGAAGGTTGAGGCCCAGTTCGTTCCAACGCGTAGCGCGTCGCGTACGTGGAGGAGTCGATCCGCCATTTCTCGAACACCACTTAGGCGCGGCGGAAATGATCGCGAGTCTAGGTCGATTACGTATCGTATAATACTCTCCTCTTCGTACGAGGTTAATTTCTGGCAGGGTGGTCGGGTATTGTATTTCGTAGCTCGGCCGTCTCGTCGTCGTTGGAGGGTTGCGCGGGATACATTATAGAGTAATGCAGCCTTTCGTACACTTAATTTTGGGTCAGATTTAAGCGCAGCTAGCGCTAGAACCAAATCGCATTCATTTGATTGTCGTACCATGATTGTTGGTGGAGAAATAAGGAAATGAAGGTTATCTATTCAAAATGGGGGAAAAGTGGCTCACTGACCCGTGTGGCTCACTCACCCGTGGATTACGTTATTACAAATTTATAAGCAAAAAAGAGACAGGAAGGCTAGCGATTCTAAACCTATGATGTATGCTGTACGCCATGCGCCATGACTAATTGATAGAATTCCAACTCCACCCCTCGCAGCTTGAAAGTCCAGCACCACACCAGCGCAGCAAGTCGTGTGTCAGTCAATGACAAGGGCAACGAGAATACTTCCGTTTCCCGGGCAAAGATTGGAGAGAGAGAGAGAGAGAGAGAGGTAAATAAGAAAGAACAGGGATATGCAATGAGACTTTGCCCCGCCCCCATTTTCAAGCCTTCTCCTCTACAACAACAAGCTCCTGCACGGCGATGACGGGGGCCTTGCCCTTGCCCTTGCGGTCGACTGCTGTGAGAGTGGCGGCGGCGGCGGCGGCGTGGTGGTGGTGGTGGCGGTCCAGCTCGAGCCCTTGCTGCTGCGCGGCGACGAGGGCGCACAGCTCAACGGGGCGGCCCCAGACGTCGCAGGGCAGGAAGCGCCAGGCACCCTTGTGCGTGCGGCTGAGGCGGTCGGCGATTGCGTGGACCTGCGGCACGGGAAGGCCCGGCCAGTCGTGGCCCGCGTCCTCGTACGTGACGTCGCGGCAGCGGACCATCATGGGCGGGATGACGAAGCGGTCCATGCTCTGGCTGCTCTGTGAGTCGCAGGCCTGCCAGCACTGCATGAGGCGCTCGCCCGTGACATGCGCCGAGACGCTGCCCGGCGTGCCGCAGAAGCCGCGGATCGTCTCGAGGAAGACCTCGTTCACCTGCCTGGCCAGGTGTGCCTGCATGTGCGGGCCGAGCTCGACGAGGAGGGATACGAGCTCGCTGCTGCTGTACGTCTCGGGCTGGAGGTGGGCCTTCTCGGCGAGCTCGAGGACTCTGTGCAGGCACGGGACAAAGGCGGAGTGCTCGTGGAGGAGGTCGGACACGAGGTGCAGTTGAGCGCCTGCAGAGGCGTCGGTCGTGCTCTGCTGCTGCAGCACCTGCTCGTGGCGATAGCCCGGGACCGGCTTGAGGAGAGCCGCCTCGAGGCTTGGGAAGAGGCTGCTGCCGCGCAGGTCCATGTGGTGAATGACCCACGCGGCCCAGCTGTGGACGAGAAAATTGAAGTCGGCCACGTCTGCGCTGGTCTGGACGTAGGGCGCCTGCTGGTAAATGGCATTGAGGCCGCGCAGCATGGCATTGAAGAGGTGTGCAGACTCGTTTGCCATGTGGGCGGCAGGATGATGGACCTGTGTGCGGACACGATTAGTATCATCTAGCATCCAAACGGCCGGTCTCGTGCAAGGAAGACGCGATCCATGGCGACTCACATTGCCTCCCAGCTTTGTTAGTGGGGTTTGAATGAGGGCAAAGGGCACATCCGCCCAGGCAAGATTGCTGTCGCCACTGGAGTTGCTCATGGCTGGTGTTGAGCTGTGCTTGTAGGCATCTGGCATCCGCCAGGAGCTGATGGATGCTTGGTCGCTCATGACGGCGGCGAGACGTAACTGCTCGCGCGAAGAGTGCTTCCCCAAGGCTGCCACTATGGGCTTATAGGTCGTAATTGAGGAACCCTGTGTCGATCGTGGAGCTGGCAGGTATGAGAACCCTGCTGACGATCGGCTCAGACGAGCAGGGGCGCAATGCCAGAGACCGGATTTCGAGAATCGCCCTAGACGGCGGAGGCCAGTGAATGACTGATTGTTTTGAGTCTTGGTAGCGATGAGCAGGGAGAGAGAGAGAGAGAGAGAGAGAGAGAGGAATGCTATGAAAGGAGCAAGAGGATCGAGCAGGACGCGGCTGGCAGACAAGCCTGGAGGACAGAATCTCGACACCCAACCACACAAGCATTCTGTCTCTGCAGATCCGCCGGAACACAGCACTTACAAGGTTGGCGCATGCGCCCAAGACGGGATCCGTCCCACTGCCCACCTTAGGGTGGGAGTCGTACCTGAAGAGCGGAGCCAAGCCACCAAACGGTGCCTCATCTAGTGCCCAATCCTAAGCCTTCTACGGTGCCGCCCACTCCCCGGCCACGGCAGCTACGGCAGCACGGCGGGCGTTTCCCACCGGTCAGTCCCAAATTAGCGTGGGCCATGTTTCCCGCTCGAGATGGCGTGCGGCAGCCCGGCCGCCCTGCACCAGATGGGTGGGAACTGCACATGTCTTCCTTGATGAGCGAACAGAGGAAGAAACCAGACCGGGATTAATACAAGCTCAGTGTGCGAGATCTGTGCAACCCCTGGGCAAAGTATCCCTTTCCGAGGTTGGTTATCCACCGAATGAGTGTGGCCATTCGTGATTCTTCGAACCTCGCAAACGGTAATGCTTCTGTAGAATTGATTGACTCCCGGGCTGTGTAAACAGTATGCCATCGTGGATATATACATTATGATTTAAGGGAGGCGACGTTGAACCCATCATGGTGGTGCGAGATCCCTAGTCCTAGGTGCCCCCGATGGTGTGTTGCTGTGGTAAAAGGTTGTAACCCCACTGTATGAATTGATAGGGCCCAAAGACGCTGAGATGGAATACTCAATATATGCCCTCTGATGCCTCGAATCTCATTCCAGGTTGGAAGTCTGGACTCGTCTTCGACCACAGCCTATCCCTCCCGGCTCTCCTTTGCGACTGTCTTCGTAGTGGGCAGCTCTTCGTTCCGGCTGCCGATAGGGCCGCTGTTGTCAAGGCCGACCCAACCCTGTTTCCACCCTTTACCGCTTTCTACCGCACCACTAGATTGTCCATTCTCCGCCATGGTTTTGATATCGCTCCAGTACTCCAGCTTTCGAACCTCCTCGTCTGCATGCTTGATCGCGTCTGCCAGGTTGGATTTCTTCCGTCTGACCTCGTCGTCTGCGGCGACTTTGGGCTCGTCACCCTCGCCAGCTTTGTCTTTGCCTTTCCTCTCGGTGAGATCATCATAGACCTGCATGAGCCGCGTGAGGAGCAATTTTCGCGAGGCTTGGAAAACGAACACAGACATGATTTCGTGCATGTGCTGATCCAGCTGAAGGTCGTCCTCAGAGTGCTTTATATAATTCTCAACTGCCTCCAACTTCTCACGGTCAATTCTGGACAACCGCAGCACAACCATCAGATCTTCGACCAGCAAGATGTCCGGCTTCTCCTCCGGGATCTCAGTGTCGCCGAGAAAAGCTGATCTTCTGGACCCTTTGGTCGACGGGCTTCGGCTACGATCGATGGACGCACGAGAAAGAGTCGCCAAGCTCAGTTTGTCGCCCACGCTGCTCGTCCTGCTAAGACTGTGGGCGCGCCCAAGAACATCGGGCTTCTGCTTGGGTGTGACCTGGAAATAATCCTCGTTCATCAGGTGCGGGTCGTTGGCCTGATAACCAACGCCTTTCCTGACACGCCGACGAATCCAAGCTCGACGACGCACGAATGAGTTGTACCACTTTGGCCCATGCCATGAAAACTTCTTGGAGAACATGAAAGAGTACTCCCAGCCCTCAGCATCCGTGTCGATGGTCTCGTCGCGGTTGATCCTCCATTCAGGCCATGCCCACTGCCAACTTGGGTCTGGCACCTGAGCAGTATGGATATCCGTGGGGCTGGGCTTGTGAGCAAAGTTGGTCCACGCTGGGGGGTCCAGATTGCCAAGGGCGGCTGCTGAGAACAAGGGCACGCCGCAAAGGATGCCACCTCTTTCATTCTGGTAAAGGATATCGATTGCCGTGTCTGGCTCGTGCGGCTGGATGTGTTGGGATTGGGAGGCAGGCCTTGCTGCAGCGCCACGTTCGTTTGGGGTTGGCTGGTTAATGACAATGGAAGGGCCCTCGTCTTTTGAGGCATGTTCGTGGTCAGAGGCTGTGACGCCGTTGCTGGCATCGCCTTGGTCGTCCGGCCGTTCGGGGGCCGCCTTGGTCGAGCTCGTGTTGTTCGTTGACGAAGCTGTCAGTGGAGCAGAGCTGTGGGACTGCATGAGCGGCTGGTTCGACATGGACATGTCGTGATCTGCGCTGGCGAACGAGGCGGCACTGGGCCGTGAGGCCTGTGGCTCCGGGTCTGCGGTCTGGACGTCATGGTCGATGATGAGGATTTCGTGGTCAATGTCTGCGTCCTGGAGGGTTTCGACGCGTCGAGAGGAGCGCAGGCTTAACCTGGTCTTTGGCATTATGACGCAGGGCTGGTGCCAGCATAGCCGTTGTGGAGAGTCGTCACTCAGTCATTGAGGCGAATGCGTCCGCGCGAGGCACAGAGAGCGCGTATGTAGACAAAGACGGCAAGCAGAAGAGCAAAGAGGAGCACGAGGGAGCTGTGTTGGAGCTGCAACGGATGAACTTGACGACACGAGACCCCACGACGATCTCTGGCAGGCAGGGTGGCAGTGCTCAGGGGCCTAGTGGCACAGAAATGATGATGGCCAGCGTGCGTGTGGGAGGGCACAAGCCGTGGTGGCTGGCTAGAGCTAGCCGGCGCCTGCCTTGCAATGAATGGGCAGGCAGGCAGGCAGGCAGGCAGGCAAGATCGCAAGTGCGCTAGGGCTGGACCGAATGACGAAGGAGGCTAGACAAGCCAAGCTGGGGCAGGGATGGATGGATGGATTCTGGGCGCAGGCCCCGGCGCGACACCAGACACAACCGGATCCCCTCCAGTGCGCTGTCTCATCAATGCTGTCTGTCTCGCATTGTGTGCTCAGTCCCGACATGGCCAGGCCTGGCGGAAAGGACTTGGACTGGCGTTTGCTGTAATTGCACACAACAAGCACTCGAGGCAATTGGATTATGTCCGTGTGCGCACTGGGTCGAAGCAGATTGCAACATGGCGATCCCAAGGATTAGCCCGGAGAGAGCTCTAGCCCACTCCCCACAACCCGGAGCACTCCCCAGCTGACGTCATGAGGCTACCTTGCTTGCTCACTGCGTACCTCGAAACACGACACGCCAGAATGACATTTCCATCCAGTGCCCTGCCGCATGTGACGGCCCAGTGACACGCTCTGCCGCCGACCGGCCATGGAACATTCCGGCCGCGGCCCCTCCTCCTCCACTGTGGTGGTAGGTAATTGTGACTGTAACGTGCGCATGCCCAACTACCACTAACAGGCACTGGAGCTTCCCGTCCAGGCGTGCTGCTCCAAACCATCCTCCAATGACGTCGACGTTCCAGAGGCGGGCACTCTCTGCCTGCTCAGCTGCTCCTCCTTCTCTTCCTCCTGCCTTATAATACCCCAATCCGCACTCATCCCCCGCATCTTCTGCAGAGCTACTTCACTCCCAGCAACTCCAGTCGCAACTCGGCAGCATCGCAATCCCGCACCCCTCGCAAAAGATAATAATAAAAACACATCAGATCGCCATGTCTCGGTCCAAGGCTCCTCTCGTAATCGGCACTACCCTTGCCGGTGGCATCGGTTACTACCTCTACACCGCAGGCGGAGATCCAAAGGCCGCCCAGAAGCAGGCTGAAGGTGAGTTTGCCCCGCGCCTAGAGGTCACCCTCTCTCTCTCTCTCTCTCCCGTCTCTCTCTTTCGAGCCTCTGGAGGACAAGCTCCCAAAGCCTTCCTCCCACCTGCTAACCTCACACCACCGCATGTAGCCGACGCGCATAGGGCATCTGCAAGAATCAAGAGCGAGCTCCCCGGCAGGGGCGACGAGTACAAGAAGGAGGCCGAGGCCACATTGGCTCAGGCTGGCGCCAAGATTGACAGCTATGTAAGTGTGCCTGCCGCTGCCACCTGTGTCGCCAACCTTTTGTGTTATGATAGCTCGCAAACTAGAGTCGCTGGAGCTCAGGCTCCCAGGCTTGAAGCACGAGCTATACCGAAAGAACACCAAATGCCTTCCACTGTATTGATATCAACGACTGACATGCCCCTTGTCAATACAGAGCAACAAGGCTCACTCTGAGCTGCAAAAGGCTACTGGCCAAGCCGAGGCCTACGCCAAGGACGCCAAGGCCACTGCCCTCAAGAAGGTCGACCAGTTCGATGCGACAGTCGAGAAGAAGGCTGCAGAGGCCAAGAGCGGCATCTCGAGCTGGTTCGGCTTTGGTGGCAAGTAGGGGTAGCGCATCTGAACTGGAGATTGGTGGTGTTCTTAATACATGTAATATTGTAGCAGCAGTGGCTTGGAATGGCTCTGTTCTGCGCTCCCGAAATAACTCCATGAATTCACACGATTAATGAGATCCTTGTTCAATACTTGCTTCGGAATATTGGTCAGAATTGATTTGAACATGATGATCTGTCTCGGTGAGCCTTCTAACTTTTCCGTGCCTTCTGAACGCCCCCAACTCCAATCCAGGTGTATTATCAGAATGGACGGTCAAAAGTGACCATCCGCCAAAAAGGAAAACGCCCGCTACATGATGTTCGTGATGAGAAAATGCAGAACCACAAGGGTCCCCGTCTGATGCAGTCTAGGAGAAGTGGATGCCCTCCTCGTTGAAGGCGAACAGTAGGCGAAGGAAGTCGTTCTCATCACACTTTCCAGACCGCTGATCAGCCAGCTGCGTCACATCCTCGAGTACCTTGCGGACCTTCTCCTTGACAAGCAGAGCGACCTTGGTCTTTTTGTACTTCGACTTGGTCTTGGGCACATCACTACCCGCCGCCTTGCTCTCCTTGAAGAATGATGGCGTATCGTCGTCGTCGTCGTCCACATCCATCGAGCCGCCGCCACCACCAACCCAATCCTGACCTTCGTCGCCGGCGCTGGGCGGCGCATTCTCATCCATGTCCTCGTCCTCATTATCGTCTTCGGCGATGGTGTCGTCAATAGGGATGTCGTTTGTCGCACACCACGTCCGGTAGTTTTTCTCGATCATGCTCAGCACCTCCTTGTTGCCGAGCCAGCTCGCGCGCAGCGTCTTGTTGCGGCGGTTGAAGCACACGCGCAGCAGGCCGTCCCACTCCACAAAGCTAATGTTCGGCTTCTCCGACCCTATCTTGGGCTCTATCCGCACGACGGACGACTCGACCTGCGGCGGGGGGCGAAAGTTGTTCTTGCCGACCTTCATGATGTGTGTGCACTTGGCCCAGAACTGCGCATTGACGGAGAGTCGGCAGTAGAGGGCGTCGCCGGGCCGGGCCGTCAGACGCAGCGCAAACTCGCGTTGGAACATGAGCACGCATGTGCGCGGGGGGTTCGGCATCGAGAGGAGCTTGAAGACGAGGGGCGACGAGATCTGGTAAGGTGTGTTGGAGATGCAGACATCGAACGGAGGGAGGGTCGTCTTGATGACATCTCCGAGCAGGACCTCGAGCCTGCGCTGCTCGGGCTTGCCCTGGACACGCTTCGTCACTTCGGCGGCCATGCGGGGGTCCATCTCCACGGCGATGACCTTCTTGGCGTGCTCGAGGATCTTGACCGTCAAGTTGCCGGTACCGGGGCCGACTTCGAGGACGGTGTCGGTCGGCTTGAGGAATGACTTCTGGACAATCTGCTCCGCGATACCGGGGTTCTTCAGGATGTGCTGGCCAAAGTCCTTGCTGAACTTGAAGACATTGGCAGCAGCGGTGGCGGCCTGCTGTTTCGAGGCCCGGTCGTATGGCCCGCTCGCGCCGCCACCATTGCGCTTTTGTGTCTTGGCTTTCCCCATAATTTCGTGTATCCAGTTGTCTGAAAGCCAAAAAGGTGTCGTGCGCAGCGTCGTGGGCGACAAGAACGTCGACGACGGATTATCCGGTGAAATCGTGGAGGGGCACAGGCTAAAAGAAGTCGGAGGGTCCAGGGCGGCCACTGAACTTTTTTTTGGCTGACCCTGGTCGACTGGGGCTTATCGCTCTCTTATCGCAGGACGCTATCGTCCCAAGTCCTGGGAGAGCTCCTGGTCGCATTTGCGTGCGCCAACCATCCCTTCTGCTGAGCTCTAGCCTCCAGGCAGGCACGTTTCAGCAAACCCTCGTTTTCTCACCATTTTCTTCTGCAGCGCCTGATCCCTTTTTGTTGTACTTGAAGGCGACTGTGGAAGACATTTCCCGGAGTCCAGCTTTTTACACAAGTCATTCACGCGCGAAGTTGAACGGCCTCAGCGTCTGTCGACACTGCAGCCATGTCTGGCCGACGCGACTTCCTGAACCAGCCTGCGCCGGAGAACTACGTCGCTGGTCTTGGTCGTGGTGCTACTGGTTTCACGACAAGATCCGACTTAGGACCGGCCCGAGAAGGTCCATCAGAGGACCAGATCAAAGAAGCGCTTGCGAAGCGCGCGGCACAGCTTGGTTTCGGTGACGCGATAAAAAAGGACGACAAGAACGACGACAATGACGAGCGGTATCAAGATCCCGACAACGAGGTCGGTCTCTTTGCCGGCGGTATCTACGACAAAGACGACGATGAGGCGGATCGCATATATCGAGAGATAGACGAGAAGATGGATCGGCGGCGGAAGGCCAGAAGGTTAGTGCTCGCACCCTCGTTCGATCCCATATCCTCTGAGTTCTACGTTCATACTGGATGTAGCGATGGGCCAGGTTACCGACCATATTTTTTGTACGAACAGGGAAGCCCGTGAACAAGCGGAACGCGAAGAATACGAACGCCAGAACCCCAAGATTGCCCACCAATTCGCCGATCTCAAGCGCGGACTTGAAGGCATCACCGAGGATGAATGGGCAGCGATTCCCGAAGTCGGCGATCTCACCGGCAAGAACAGGCGAAACAAGCAGGCCCGGCAACAACGCTTTTATGCTGTGCCCGATAGCGTGCTTGCTGCCGCTGGGAGCGCGGGAGAACTCGGCACCACGATTGCCGACGACGGCGCGGCGACAAACGGGAGCTCCGAAGCTAGCGATGGGACGATGACCAACTTCGCCAAGATTGGAGAGGCCAGAGACAAAGTGCTTCAAGTCAGGCTGGACCAAGCCTCGCAAAGCGGCACGAGCACAGTGTCGGGAAGTGCTACCAGTGTCGACCCCAAAGGCTATCTGACCAGCCTTACCAGCTCGAGTCTTCCACAGAGTGCCGCGCAGGTCGGAGATATCAACCGTGCTAGAGAACTGCTCGAATCAGTCATCAAGACCAACCCAAATAATGCGCCGGGCTGGATCGCGGCTGCTCGCCTTGAAGAACTGGCTGGGAAGACTGTGGCTGCACGGAACGTTATTGCGCGTGGATGCGAAAAGTGTCCTCGGAACGAGGATGTCTGGTTGGAAAACATTCGCCTCAATGATGCACGAAACGCCAAGATCATTGCGGCCAACGCCATCAGCAAAAACAATCGCTCTGTAAGGTTGTGGGTACAAGCCATGAGTTTGGAGACCGAGCCGAGATCCAAAAAGCGCGTCATACGACAAGCACTCGATCATATCCCGGAATCTGAAGCACTGTGGAAGGAAGCTGTCAACTTGGAGGAAGACCCAGCCGATGCCCGCTTGTTGCTAGCCAAGGCCACTGAGCTCATTCCGCTCTCTGTGGACCTATGGCTTGCACTGGCGCACCTGGAAACGCCAGAAAAGGCACAAGTTGTGCTCAACAAAGCTCGCAAGCACTGCCCTACGTCACACGAGATCTGGATCGCCGCCGCAAGACTCCAGGAGCAGCTCGCCGACGAAAGCAAAGTCAATTTGCTCATGAAGCGTGCAATCACGATGCTGGCAAAGGAGTCTGCCATGCCAAAACGAGAGAACTGGATTGGAGAGGCCGAAAAGTGCGAGGCCGAAGGTGCCATCATGACGTGCAACGCCATTGTTCGCGAAACACTAGGATGGGGACTTGACGAAGACGATGACCGGAAAGACATATGGCTCGAGGATGCTCGTGGGAGTATCAACCGGGGCAATTACCAGACAGCCAGAGCGATCTATGCTTATGCCCTCCGGGTGTTCGCAACCAGTCGAACAGTGTGGCTCGCGGCTATTGACCTGGAGCGCGCACACGGCTCGATGGAAGAATTGTGTCAGGCCTTGGAAAAGGCTGTGAATGCCTGCCCACGCAGTGAGGAGATGTGGATGATGCTGGCAAAGGAGAAATGGATGGCTGGTGAGGTCGACAGCGCCCGTCTGGTTCTGGCGCGTGCCTTCCAGCAGAACCCCAACAGCGAGGATCTCTGGCTTGCGGCCGTCAAGCTTGAGGCGGAGAACGACCAACAAGACCACGCGCGCAAGCTGCTCGCCGATGCGCGGCAGGAGGCCCCTACAGATCGGGTCTGGATGAAGAGTGCTGCTTTCGAGCGGCAACTGGGCAATTTGGACACAGCATTGGACCTTGTGCAACAAGCACTGAACCTCTTCCCCAGTGCTGCCAAGCTCTGGATGATGAAGGGTCAGATCTACGAAGACATCGGCAAGCCCTTACAGGCTCGCGAGGCGTACGGCACTGGTGTGAAAGCGGTGCCGTCATCAGTACCTCTATGGCTGCTGTACTCACGGTTGGAAGAGAAGCTCGGACAGCTGCCGAAAGCACGCTCTGTCCTCGACCGAGCGCGACTGGCTGTTCCAAAGTCTGCAGAGCTGTGGTGCGAATCTGTGCGGGTTGAGCGGCGAGCACAGAACATGAAGCAGGCCGAGACCCTGATGGAGCGGGCTCTGCGTGATGTTCCCAAGCCAAACCAGGGCATTCTGTGGAGTGAGAAGATCTGGCATCTGACACCCCGGCCGCAACGCAAGAATAAGGCGCTCGAGGGCATCAAGGAGGTTGACAGTGACCCTGCGCTGCTCACCGCCGTCGGACGGATCTTTTGGGGCGAGCGAAGGCTGGAGAAGGCACTGACATGGTTTGAGAAGGCACTTGTGAGGGACGCGGACCTCGGCGACACGTGGGCGTGGTATTACAAGTTCCTTCTTGAGCACGGCACAGAAGAGAAGAGGGCCGAGGTTATCAGCAAGTGTGTGAGTGTCGAGCCTCGTCATGGCGAGACATGGCAGGCCGTGGCCAAGGATCCCAAGAATGCACGCAAAGGGCCCGAGGAGCTGCTCAAGCTTGTCGCTGCCGAGCTCAGGTAGTCTAGTCGTTCAGCTACAACGTTGCTGGAGCGACGTGCATTCTTTGAGATATTGCACGTAGCATGCAACGAGGGGCCATCTAGCTACCATATTGTAAATAATGAGAAGACAACATACCTGCGAGACAGCAGTATTCCTGGGTCTTGAAGACGAGACGCTCTGGCTCTTTGAGGGCGAGCCGAGATGAATGACACGTATAAAGCACAGAACAGGCATTTGCGAAGTCTTGGGATTGGACAATTGGCGTTGGCAGGAACGGGTAGGCAGGGGTTCGTTCCCGCGCCCCACCTCGATGTCGTGCCTGCCCCGCGCTCCCTAGAAGCTTCCATGCGCCGACCCGATCGGAGCTCTAGCTCTTACACGAGCCAACCAACGTTTCTGACCACCTGGGCAGACAAGTCGAGCAATCCTGCCCTGTTTTTATTTGATTCTAGTTCGCATCACTTCGCTCGCAGCCTCTTCTCCCCCAGCGCCAATCCCAACACGAACACCAGCAACATGGCTTCCGACGGCCAGAAGCGCAGCCGCGTCTTCTTCGACATCCAGATCGGCAAGCAAGCTGCCGGCCGGGTCACCTTTGAGCTCTACAACGATGTCGTCCCCAAGACGGCCGAAAACTTCCGCGCCCTCTGCACGGGTGAGAAGGGCATTGGCAAGGCTGGCAAGCCCCTCCACTACAAGGGCAGCACCTTCCACAGGGTCATCAAGCAGTTCATGATCCAGGGCGGCGACTTCACTGCCGGCGACGGCACCGGCGGCGAGAGCATCTACGGCGCAAAGTTCGAGGACGAGAATTTTGAGCTCAAGCACGAGAAGCCCTTTCTCCTCAGTATGGCCAATGCTGGTCCAGGTGAGTCCCAGACCAACCCTTCCTCTTTGGAAAGTGCAGACACCAGAACGTCCAGCCAGTCACTGACAGACACAACTTTGTCTTTTAAATCAAACAGGCACCAACGGCTCACAATTCTTCGTCACGACCGTCGCCACACCACACCTGGATGGCAAGCACGTCGTCTTTGGCGAGGTCAAGAGCGGCAAGTCCATCATCCGACAGATCGAGAACGTTCCGACCCAAAGTGGCGACAAGCCCGCACCGCACAAGGAATGCGTCATCGTCGACTGCGGCGAGCTTACCGGGGCCGATGCCGACGCCGCCGACGTCAAGGCGCCAGACGCCTACGGCGACCCGTACGAGGACTACCCGGAGGACGAGGCCGATGCGGAGCTCACTGCGACGAAAGTGGTCGAGATCGCCACCAAGTGCAAGGAGTACGGCAACGCAGCTTTCAAGAAGGGCGACCTCGCTGGTGGGCTGGCCAAGTACCAGAAGGGCATACGGTACCTGAACGAGGAGCCCGAGCTCAAGAACGCGCCTGAGGGCACTGACACCAAGCTCAACGGCCTGCGCTTCACGCTCAACAGCAACAGCGCACTGCTTTCCATCAAGCTCGAGCAGTGGGATGACGCCGAGCGGAGCGCCGCCTCGGCCCTCGCAGTGCCAGGCATCACCGACGCAGAGAAGGCCAAGGCTCTGTACCGGAGAGGCGTCGCCTACGTCAAGCTCAAAGATGAGGACTCGGCGCTGGCCGCCTTGCAGGAGGCCAACAAGCTTGTTCCTGGCGACGCGGCTATTGTCAAGGAGCTCGAGACTGTGAAGAAGCAAGCTACAGCACGGGCAGCGAAGGAGAAGGCCGCGTACAAGAAGTTCTTTAGCTAAATCTGTGGCGCAGCATAGCATAATTGAATCACTAGACACACCTCGACCCAAAACAGCGGCCCTATTGACGACAATCATGGCGGCCAATCCCGTGCATTTACTCTCTCGAAGCTCACAGTGCTCTTGCCTTACGCTACGTGACCAATGAGATTGCCAAAGGGTGGATGTGTGATCATAAGAAATATATGTATGGTGGTATATGAGTATGGAATGTCCTCTCTTTTCCTCAGCCCTGCAGCAAAGGTTCTTAAGTATGTATGTACATGTATTTTTCGCGTGATCCAGACGTGTTGCTCAAGAGGTCTGGCAAACTCATCAATTCCGTCAAAAGGGGGAGGGAGCCCACGCAGCTGTGCATCATCGATGCCAGTCGTTGCGAAACTCCGGAACGCCGAGAAAACGGCAGCATGCTCGTCACCGTGCTCATGCAGACTATTCTCAGCAGATTGCGACAGCCGATCAATGCTTAGAGCTCGAGTCGCTGTGCCAGGCTTCCGACAGCCCCAAGAGTCCTCCCCTCTCCCGTGACTTCTCCTTGTCCTTTTCCTTGTCACGGAATTTGGCGCGCATCAACGCCGGGGAAGTGCTCCTCTTTTTGCCGAGCAGCCCGCTGATGAAGTTTCGCGGATGCCGACCATGTCTGTCCTTTAGCCTGATCGTGCCTGTCGAACCAGTCGGGTAACCAGCGTCCAATGCACTGGGCGATGATAGCTTGGAGACGTTGATGTCCCTGCCAAACAGCGTGAACACTGACGGCCCTTGACTTTCCGTATCGCTCCCCGACGAGCCTGGCGGCCGGTAGGGGTCGCTGTCGTACCATGGTGGATAGCCATATGACAGAGAGACAGCGTCTAAGCCTTCGACCAGCTCATCCATGACAGAGTTTGCATCCTCCGACTCCCGAATGGAGTCGATCTGGGTCAGACAAGCATCTGTACGCTGCTGGATGGCCTTGCATTGTTCATCAAACTCGGCGAGCTCTCCATCAAAGTCTTGCGGAGCCACAGCAGAGGAAGTAGGGCTAAGCTCGAGCCATAGCTTGACAAGAGTGGCATAATTTCGCGCATCATCGATCAAGTAGGGCAACGATGGGATGCCTCCACGGGCCATCGGTGGCAAGCGTCCGACAATGGTGTTTGGCGTTGAGTACGAAGCGTTGATATGGAGAGCAGTGCGTTCTGACGGAATTGAGCAGACCTGGTCGATGAAGTTTTTGAATGGCTGGCGATGTCCATATAGGAATTGGTTCATGGGCTCCATCCAGCTCTCTTTTTTGCCAAACGTGGCCAGATTGGTGAGTGCTTGGAGTCCTTTGGCCACGAGGGTAAGTGTACGCTGCGCGTCTGGGCGTGGATTGTCCCTCAGAAGTCCTGACAGCTTCGGGTTGAGGATCGCGGGACAAATGAAGCGCAGAAAGAGGAACCCTGAAACGCTGGTGTAGCTGACAGTCCGCAAGAAGTCGCCATAGCGGTCCTCGGCCACGCCGCGGACATACTTCAGGATCTGGCGTAGTTCACCAGGGAGTTTCTGCACAGAGTCTTCTATGCACTTCCACACCTTACTTGTGTGAATAATAAGCTGCGCCCAATGCCGATCCATGTCTTCGTGGTTCCGGATCCTACTCGGATCGACCTCGCAGTCCGGGTTCAGCTCATTGATCTCGAAAATGCGTTCACTAAGCACAATCTCAAGATATTCCTTGCCCAGCCGCCGCATATGGCATTCGAGGGCCTGCGTGAGTAAGCTGTTTCCTCGGAACAAGAGGTTCGCCTCTCCCGCAAGAGACTTGCTCATGTCGCGTACCAGCGCCTCGCGCTCGCTTGCCGAAGTGCCCGAATCATTGGACTTCAAGCGTCGGCTGAAGCGCAACTTCTTGGTCGTGTTTTGGTTCCCAAGGCCATCAATCTCCTCTTCGACCAAAGCTTGCAGCCATTCACTGGCCATACCCGCCACCTGGAAGATGTTGAGAAAGATCTCTGCCAGACGTCGCAAGGCAGACGGAATAACGATGGCGATCTGATTCGTCAAGTTGAAGTTGGCCTGCTGCAACAGGTCTGCGAGGGGCTTGTAGTCGTCTATCGAGAGCACCAGGGTCTCGTCGTGCTGGATTCTGAGAAACATGCTGGCCATCGGCTCTTTTCTCTCATCGAGCACATTGAACCATTGTTCGTGGGTCTTGGAGCGTTCGAGATGGCCCAGTGGAATGTCCACAGCACCGCAAAGCACTTCTGTCAGATTGCCGGTCTTCGGGAGACCTAGCGACGCCTGAAGTTGATGGCTTGATGTGTCGAGATTGCCGTCGACTCGTTTCAGCACAACAGACAGCAGTGGAAGCGCTGCGGGCAGGTCGGTGAAATGGGTCTCCTCTCGCCAGAATGGAGTCTTGGTGTCTGTCTGCGTCATGGTGCGAGCGCGCACTTCGCCGTCCAAGATGACCTCAGCAAGATAGTTACCAACACGTGGGTCTCGTTCTTTGCTGTGCCGCGCATGCTGCTCGGAGAAAGGTCCAGCTTTGACGAGCTTGGCTTCAGTGATCTTCACCTGTATTGTCTTCTCCAGCCGGAACAACTGCCCAGGAAAAGTGCGCTCGAGATCCCTCACTTCGACTAAACTGTTGCTAGCCGCATCGAGCCCGTATAACTCGGGCTCTGCAAACGTGCGCAGCAGAGTGAACCACACCTCGAAGAGCACTCTTGACTCTAACGACAAATATACAGGTCGAAAAATTGAGAGCTGCCGCGCATTAAGAGAATACATCGGAAAGATTGCGATGCAATATTCTTCGTCGAGGACTGACTTGTCGAGCTGTTGAATTGCAGATCTGGACAATTGCGATAGCTCAATGACGGACAGGATTGCGACATCGTTCTCGGTCATGAGTTTGAATTCTCCGTTATCCTGCAGAATGCAGGACACTCTTCTCCAAGTCGTAGAGCCGGACTGCAAGTCGCGCGTGGACGAGCGTTTGACGACGGCGCGAGGCGACGTTGCGACCCCTTTGTCCCACAACAAGACCTTGCCCACCTTTATGATGGCGCCGTCCTTTGTGGCAGTGAATCCGTTGGCAGAAGACGTTCTCCTGGCTGTTGGCCGTGTTGGAGGTGTCGGGTTGTTACCTCTGCTCGTTCCGCTCCGAGTACCATGGGGGCGAACTTGCTGCCAGCACAGCAGACTGGCGAGCCAAAGATCGAGCTCCTCAGCAACGCGAGGCCTCAATATTACCTCGACATTGGCCATGTGGTTGATGATCTGGAGGCATCTCGAGGCGGACCCTTCGTGCTGAACAGGATAGATGCGACACCCGCGCAAATCGCCAATCAGAGGTATTGGCTGGTTGGCGTCTTGTGCCGAGTCAAATAGTAGACTACCCCGATCATCATCAATGTAGCACATCCCTGGGCCCATCCACACCTGCCCTGCTTCGACCTGATAGTCGACTTCTCCCTTCATTCTACCGCATAGATTCCGCATGAGCGCCAGGGTTCTGTTTGGATCCTCCGTAGGTATGGAGACTGACAGCGAATCCACGGACGGAGGCGAAAGCGACGGAGAGTTTGGACGGGGAGCACCACGTTTGATCAGCCGCTTATTGTTGGACTTCTTGTCTTTCGACGATGAGGACGAGGTCGTGGGTATATCGGCCGATCGGGGTGAAACCACGGAAGTGAACTGTCCAGAGTGAAGGCTCGCAGATGGCGAGCGAGCATCCACGTCACCAAAAGGCTGGGATCCGGCGGAAGAAAAAGACCCCACGCGCGCGCGACTGTCGATCGAGGGTATTGGGTTAGGTCCCTGTTGTTGCCGCAAGGCAAACGCACCATCCAATGTGTGCGTGCGTGGCCTCAGTGAAGCCCCGCGCTGGCCCTGTGGTGGACTCGAAGATGCGCTGTCGAAAGATTCGCTAAAGGCATCATGGAAGACGACGCCTTGCCGCCGGGCTTCGCCACCAGGTATTGATCTAGGTGATGTGTGCGGCGAGGCACCAAAGCCGCGCGCTTGCGCCACGTTTGGGTCTCGCGCAACACGCCCTTCCTCCCCGGGTTCTGGTGTCACCGTGCGGATAGTGTTTTGTACGCCGATGTTGGTTCGAAGTGGCTGCCGTTCACTGCTGTCCAAGTCATTGCCAGGCTGTGGCGCTGCCCGAGATGACGGAGCCACGTTTGAGGCAGGCCATTCAGGATGGCGATCGCTCTGGGGCCCCTCCTTCCTGTTGATGTCCATGTTGGTAACTGAGCATTGGTGAGTTCCGACCTGGCCTGCATTGACGCCTTCTAGGAGCGATCATAGGTGCGCATTGGCTGAAGCTGTGCTCAAGTTGTGGCTCATATACCTCGGAGCCCGTTGTGACCTGAAGTGATATGCCTCTATACCCTGCAGTAAAGGATAGGGTTTGATGAGAGGGCAGTTTGGAACGATATCGTCGCGACAGGTCCTTTTGCTGTCTTGAGCCGGGATGGGAGACGAGTAGCTCGTTTTGAAGCAAATGTTGGCTGAATCCAAGCAGCAGTCGAAGTCTTAGGAGCAAAAGAACCAGTGTTTCTGCCCGGCCGTCAAGACTTAACAGACGGCAGCTTGTCGGCAGCAACGGTCTAGGCCCCTCAAGCCCTCACGCACGCCGATCGTGCGGAAAGAGGGGGAGAGTCTGGCGAAGGCGGGAGGGACATGCGTGGGCGGCGGGAAACAGTATATAGTCGCAATCGTCGAGGAACACGCGAGGCTCGGACGCTGTTTTCGTTTGTGTCGGGGAGGTCCAGTCGACGGACCTCGGCAAGGACCAGGCAAGTGAAGCTCAAGCAGTTGCTATTCGTCTCGTTGTGAGCTCGCGCGCAGACGCATTGAGGACATGCGCAACATCCCAGGGTGCAAACGATGGCGGCGGCGGCGGTCGACGAATGTGAAGAGGCAGGCGGGGACGGCGGGACTGCCGGCGACGACGAAAAGGACAGGCGAGGAGGCAAGAAGAGGCCGGAGGTGGATCTGTAGCTGGTCGGGCGAGGCGGCGAGGGGAGCGAATAGGGAGGAGGCCGGCCGGGCCCAAAGGGCAAAGGGCGCCGGGAAGGCAGGAGGCGGGCACGGCGGGCGCGGCAAGAGGCCAATGGGGCGAGATGCCAGGTTGATGCTTGCAGTGTTTGGAAGCAGCAGCAAGCTGCTGGGCCGGGAGGAGCGAGCTGTGGAGTGGAGGTGAGTTGCATGGAAGGGCCTCCCACCCGTCCAATCCCACGCCGCGCTGCAGCAGCAGGACAGGGCCCGACGCAGGGCTCGACGCACGCCAGCGGCGGGGGGTTGAGCGTCAACCAAGTATTACGTTAAACGTGACTTGCATGCACCGTGGCCAACAACCACCAACAGAAACCACCACTGAGTGAGTGACTTGAGTGCACCATCTGACGCGCCAGAAAGATAAGGCCGCCCGAACAGATGGGGCAAGACCCTCTCGCCAAGAGAGCAGAGGGGCAGACAGGCACGCTTTACGAGTGGTGTTTTTTTTGTTCTTCTCTCCTCGCCTCCTCGAGGCCCCCGAGTCGTACTGGCCGTAATTGGAGCTGTCGATGATTCCATGTCATCACGAGCACCGCCAGGGAAGACAGGCAGGTTTGACTCCAAGTAGCTTAGTGTAGGCAGGCCGGCGGGGACCAGAGCTCTGGGCTCGGAAACAAATCTCCACCCCAGGGCTTCCCAACCTGACGGAGGGGCAGCCGTCCCGTCCAGGCTGCAAATCGCCATCCTCCGCGAGCGTGCTCGCCTCCAGCCGCGACACTCTCTCCAGGCGAGGCTCTGCACAGGAATAGCTCCGGCGGGCCTGTCTGTGCCTCTCTGCAGTGGCCAATGCGGTTCCCAGCAGCCTCCAGATTGCGATAAGTACCTGGGGCCCTGTCCTGTCCTGTCCTGTCCTGCCCTGGTCGATGTCCGTCCGGCATGCTGCACAGGGGAGCGCTGGGCCTTCCTTCCCAGGTTTCCTTCTCGTCAGGGCATCCGCATGGCACACACACACACACACACACACACACACACACACACACACACACACACACACACACACCCAGAACAGAACATGGCCACATCGTCCCAGGTTCTCCGGGGCGCCGCCGCACGACACAGGCACACAAGAGGGCCGTTCTGCTGCTGGACGCCATGGCCAGCTTGCACACCTTAAAAGGTATGTACATGCCGTCGCCGTCGCTATGGTGTGGCTGCCCACAGCTGGGGCTCGCAAGCTGGCGGCCTAACATCATCATGATATTCTCATCATCTGCAGGGCACCCTTCGTCGCAGCCCATAGCTGATACTGATCTCCCAACCCAACTGGGGTAGCGTGACTGGACCTAGGCGAAGCTGCCATGGGCCATGTAAGACGGGCCGGAGGAACCCACAATGCCCGAGAAAGCAACAACCGTGCGCAGCAAGCAGCTCGTCTTCACGATGCAACGCACAACAACAGTCGTGCCACGAGGGGCACTTGTGACAAGGCGCGAGCCGCAACCGGGTTGGCCAAAGCCTGCCCTCTCATCTCACGGCTCCGCGCAGATCGCTTCACGTTTCGTACATGTGGCTGTAAGGGCAGGTCGTAAGATCCCTCCCGATTGTGTGCATGGTTCCCACACCACCCTGGCCTGGAAACAATGCAGATTCGCCCATCAGCAGGTGGCTGATGCTGGGGGGGCACCTTCAGGGCCCCGTGGGCATCCGTTTCCAAAGCCACCAGACCAGACCAGGCCAGGGGTGCTGAGCGATGTGTGGATGTTTGGGTCAGGCAGAACTGGCTCACCCCACGAACCCCCTGTGCGAGAAGCCGTCTAACCCTGTGGGAACAGACAGGGCCTTCCCTATTCGTGAAGCCGATTGGCGCGGCGTCGCGTACCGTAGTGGATGTACATATGTCTGGATCAATACGATCAACTGGCGAGCTGTGTTGAGGAACATGGAGAGCGCCGGGTTGGTAACCTCGTCATTGTCCATATATGGTCAACATAGCCGGGAAACGCCCCATGGACGGGCCGCCGCGCCCCCCCCCCTCCCCGCGCGAGAGGACGACCTGCATATTAGCAGCCCGTCGTTAGCCAAGATTTGTTTGTTCAGACAATACGATCAGCTACAGCCAGCCAACTACAGCCACACTTGCTGGGGGTGGGGCCAGGTTGCCGGATTTCATGAGACGATTTTCCAGACAAGAAAATAGTATGGGAGAAAACTGACCATTTACGCACCTGTAGGCACGGTCCGTCGACATTCTTCAGCGTCAGACCGACATATCATACACCTGCCGGTTCTTCAGCCCAGGTGAGACCCGAGTCCCTGGGCCGATCTGGAAGAACCCGCTCGCACGCAGGCGCAGAGATAAGGAAAGATATTACTTGGCCCTTCCTTGCTCTCGTCCGAAAACCACCATTCTACCAGCCGTCCGCTCATTTCAAATCCACTCATCTAAACGACACTAGCTTCTCGTCCTGAACCAATGCCTTTCTGATCATGGTCCCACAAGAATTCGAGCAAACCCTGTAAATATCCAGACAGACATGCAACGTGAAACACCACGCGAAGTCGCAACACGCACGAGAGACAGGATAGGAGAGAAAAAAAGCAAAAAAATAATCGGGCATGCTACGTTAGGTATCACCTTATGACCGAGAACCCCCGCGCATGCGTGGGAGATAAAATCCCGCTGGCGTGGGACACGGAGCCGTGCTGCATTGAACATGGAGCAAAATCAACCACCCCCTTTGGAAAAAGAAAAAGAAAAACCAGATCAAAGACAGAAAAAATGTAACAAAGGCAACAGTGGAAAATTCCAGCCTGCCGGGCTGGCTCTCCCACCCTCCCTCTTCTCCACCTTTCCGCATCGTGTCAAAGAAAGCCATGCGCCCATGCGGCGAAACCAGAGCTAATTTATCATCAAGAGAGCGCGCAAAAGAAACAACCACCCCCCCCCCCCCCCAAGAAGTTGCCGGGCCCGCCTTTTGCCTGCTCTCTGGGGGTCTTTTGTGTCCGACGAAACCGAGCGACATCCGGCGACGTTGCGAAAGACGGCAAATATGCCTACAGGACAATCAAGGTAATTCCATGGTTTCAGTGGTGCTTGACTCTGGTCAAATGGCGTCCTTGGGCCACGCCATGCAGACATTGGACGTTTGTAGCCCTTGCATACGGGTATTCACAAGAGAGGCACTTCGGCCTACTATGACCCACGAAAACCAAGGTCGGCCAGCCCGTGTTGCACCACGACCGTCGTCCTCGCGTAAGTGACTGTCAACATTTTGATTGCCACAGTTCTCGGCGTCATTCTACAACGAGAAGCTCAGTGTATTCAAAGCCATGGCTGCTTGCTGGCGCCGACAGTTTTCCGGCTGATGCCGACTCACGTTACGTATACGGTCAGGTCAGAGGCTTCACTCATGCATGTATGCACATCCTTCCATCATCATCATCATCATTTGGGCCGTAGAACGTGCGCCGTGCCAAGAAAAGAAATATATTGAGATTTTAATGAAAGGGGCTTTCTACAGCTCCAAATAAACGTTCGTACCTCTGGATATCATCATATAACCTTGCAAGCGCTAAAGAAAATACAAAATTGACAGGTCTCTCGACTTGATCGAGATGACCCTACGACCGAGCGTTAACTTGCATGCAAGATGTGCGGATAAGCGAACGCCAAAGGGAGGTTGCGTGGCCAGGAGGAGTGCTCTATGTATCGCTCAGACGCATATCCGTTGCGGCCCTCCCCGACGGAGTAGTGGTTATGGTACCCAACAGGCAACTAAACACTCTCCAGAGCCACTCAAGTAGTCAAAACTCCAACTGCCTATAGTTGAATTGGCAAACAACGGGTTCTTCTTCAGGAGGATCACGTACTAGCCACGCTCGTTCTTCCCTAGCGCGAAGGACTTTCTAGAGGGCTAACTGGTATGCTGCCCCGAGCCTGGCTCAGATCCGTGCTACCCGTGCGCCGCAGGGCTTGTGACATGGTCTCAATGTTCAGGTCTCCCCCACCAATGCTGTGCTCAGGAGAGATGGGGCTTCCCAAAGGTTGTCGCATTGGCGACATGTTGAACCCCTTGATTGACCCGGTCTTGCTGTTTGGGGGGGACGTCTCGGGCCCCTGCGAAGACACGGGTGAGCGTATCGGCGAAGGAGACCGGTTTGCCCCAAGAGAAGCCAGCGATGTCAAACCCCCCAAGTGTACGGACTCTCTGTTGCCAGGCATGCCTCCCAGGCCACCGTGCTCGGCTTGGACAACGTCGGCAAAGGAGATGAAGCTCAAGCGACGAACATCGCTCGAATCCAACGAGCCGTAATTGGACGCAAGTTCTTCCTTGTCCGAAGAGAATGCGGCAAGGTCTTCTGCCCATGGCTGGGCGAGACTGTCTTGGGATGGTGGCATGCTTGCGCCAGTCACCGCGGCTGCTGCAGGCTGGTGGTGCGTGTGCGTCACGATCTCAACAGTATCGGGATTGAGATGGTCGTCAGTGATCGCTTCAGACGAGGCATCAAGTACGGGCGGGATGTGATTCTCGGTCTGGATGTGGGCTGGGATCGCAGCCAAGCTAGGAAGAACGGCGCTATCTTGTACGTTGCGCTCGAAGATCTGGGAGCCAGCCGGTGAGCTTAAGCGCGGGGACGAGGGGTGGCCAACACGGCCGGGAGACGATGGTGTCATTTGTGAGGCACTCCCAACGTTGACGGGCGCGGGTGCAGGCTGTCGACCAGAGAAGCCAGGCAGTTCCTGCGGAGTTGACGTTGGCCCAGCGCTTGTGTTGTCTTGAGTCGTCGTCTGAGACTGGTCGTTGTCGAACTTCTTTTTGCCCAAACCAAACAGGCCACGCTTCTTAGTCTTGCCGTCAGCGTCCATGGTTGTTATATTCGACGTCTCGCTGCCAGGCTGGGCTGGCACAGAAGGCGATGAAGTCCGGTCCCCAACGGCGGGCGCTGTGGAGGTTGGAGCGCTCATTGCGAAGAGATAGCTCGAGGATCGGTCTAAAGTCGAGTGTGGAGCCCCAAGGTTTAGCTTGTGCGATGGAATGTGGGATGCGGACAAGCGGGGAAACTCTGGGGCACAGAGGCGGGCAGAGTGGCAGCGAGCAATGCCGGTTCCGTCAATTGTTCAGTTTGCGGCAGTTGTCCGAGTTGTGAGACACAATTGCTAGGAGAGAGCCTGCCTGTGTGGCGCGGCTGGCAGCAGGATTGCTAGCAATTGGTGGAGAGTGCAGCAATCACCGACTTTCGTTTCAGGTTCGGCGAAGCGAGATTGGAGCACAGGACAAACTGGGTTGCTGCAATGCTTGTCGCGAAGCGCCTTGCACTGCCCTGGGCTCAGCGGTGGGACGAGGTCGAGGGCGACAGGTAGAGAGGCCGAATGTTGGAAATCGTGCGGCGGTTGGGAAGCCGAGTGCAGTATATGTCTGTTCTGCGTGGTCTGGTGTGGAAGGGAAAGCGTGCAGAGCAGTGAGAGGAAGGAAGACGGAAGGATTCGAGAGGGTGGCAACCACTAGCCGGGCGGGCGTGACTGGGCTTTGCTTATTTGAACTAACGGCAAGCGACGACCCCGAGAGCAAAGCAGGGAAATCAAGTGACACCTCGACAACCCCTGCGATGTGACAATGGGCATGGAAGGCGATCCCGTCCAGCTTGTTGGCCATCGAGCAACAGCCGGCTCGCCTTTTTTGTTGCACCCAGGACGCCCCGGCCCACAGCTGTCACTTTAACTCGGGGCCATGTGGGGGAATAAGCCGAGGAGACTTTGAACGCTCACGCCGTCGCCTGGTCATGGCCGTTCAGGACCTCGTCACGCGCGTCTCTGCAGCCGGCCCGTGATCAAAGGTGCCTACTAAAATAAAATAGTTCTGCCAATACAGCTCTGCTGTTCTCAACGCTCAACAACAGAGGAATGTGGCCGCTGGCGACATGCAAGGACTGGACCTACGCTTGAGAAGAGGGGCAGCCGCACCCAGAGGCAAGCAGGGTCGGCCAACGACGTCACCCGCCCACTCGAGACACCCGACTGAGCAGGGACGGGCGGCGGGCAGGGCTGCCAATGGCACGTCGGCCCCTGCGGCCACTTGACCAGCACAGACTTTTCCCTCCTTGTCGAAACCTCGTCCTCCTGCCAGGCCCTGTCCTGTCTGCGCCTCGTCAGCCCTCACCCACATCACGCTCTCGTCACGCAGCAAGCACTTGACAGCAGCAGCCTCCAATTCGGGCTTGGCTGGCGAGCAGGCGGGAGCGCAGCCCGGCAGTACTACACCACTGCCCATGCGCAGGGTCCAAATAGACATGACGGAACATCCGCCACCCCCTGAGGCCAGTCTCCCAGTCACAGAGGACCCTGACCCGAGTACATACCCTAATATCGTATGCATGCGCATGGGCGGCCGCCGGCTCATGCTCAACATCAAACATGACCACCCCTCCTTTCGATCTGCTTGCTGTTTCAAAAGGCGCCCAATCGAGACCCTGTGGGCGGCCAGAGCTTTTATGCGCAGTCAAGTTCCAGTGTCATTTCGCTAGCAGATGCAATCCCCGTGTAGTTTGAGGGAGTGAACAGGATTCAACAGCAGTGTCGAATTGATAGCATGATCACCCCTGTGCAATACAAACAGTGCTCCGGGTCTAGAAAGGGGACGCGACGTGCCAAAGCCGCCGACCTCTCATTTCAGCAACCAAGCACAAACAATTCCATATAGCACCGTGGTCTCAGATTGGAAGCGACAACCAAATGTGAGGATGCTCAGCAACATACGATTATTGCTTCAACGGCCAACCCAATGAGGAGCCCCACTCGTGAGCTGAGCCGACTCGTGGATGTTCGTACGTCGTGTGGGAGACACTCCCGACATTACTCGACACGCTCGGCAAAAGCTGGCAGCTGGCAGCGTGGTGGAGTCGGCCCGCTCACCTCCTGCTCCGTAGAAATTTCTCTGGATCCCAAAGACCTCCAGCGGCTCGAGAGGTGTGTCAAGCTACCAGAGGACAATTCACATCCAATCACCGCCCCGTCCACCCGACCAGCGAGCTCGACGGCCATTCTGGCAATTTTTCGCCAACGATCCGGCGCCCTGCAATAGCGGGACGACTGGCGACCGGCACCCATTCGCAACACCAGAACCACGGGCACGTGGGTTGGCAACTCGGCTGTACTCAACTGCCAGCCTCTGCTCGCATCACCACCGCCGCCGACTCCAGCACGATGGAGACACGCACAATGCTGCGGCCGCTGGCCACGACAGCGACAAGCCTCTCGAGGCAAGCGACATCCACAACGCCACGCAGAACCCAGGCAACCCTCGCCCGCACGAAGCGGGCGCTCAAGATCCCGCCGCACCCGTCCTTTCTCACGCCCGACTCGGCCTCGACACACATCATCTACAACCCTCCCGCGGCGGCGCCTTCGGTCTTCCACACCCCCTTCAAGTTTCTCCCCAAATCCGACCCGAGACGGCAGGCCAACCTGACCCATCTCGTCCGCACAAACGAGGACGTCTTCTCGTCGGCGGGGAGCACGTCTGTGCTGCCCCCGCCTGTGACTCGCGCAGATGAGAACCGGTTCACGCCACGGCGCAATGTCACGCGAGAGCAGGTCGAGGAGATGCGTGCCCTGCGTGCCCAGGACCCAATGAAGTGGTCCGTCCTCAAGCTCGCGGCCAAGTACGAGTGCACACCCATTTTCGTCATGATGTGCTGCAAGGCCAGCGCCGAGCATCAGGCCAACGAGAAGGCCCGCAAGGAGGCCATCCGCGCCCGGTGGGGCCCGATCAGGACACAAGCCCGGGAGGAGCGCACCAAGCGCAAGGCTCTTCTTCTCAAAGGCTTGTTATGATGAGATGGTGTCGCCTTGCCTTTCCTGCTCTCGGCGGGGAGGACATATTGGTGGCTGAGGGAATTCAGCATCGGGCGCATGCGCAAACAGCTAGTGCTCTTGTGGTCCCAATCTAGGACGAGCAAACAAAGTGTCCAACGCCTTTTGACCCTGAGGGCCAATATTCTGTACTACTAAGCCCACGCACATATACGACGAAGCCCTCGGCACTCACACACACCTACACAATAACAATGAGCGCCTTGTAAGAATAACGACGATTGGCTCCCAACCCGAGAGAGTGCGGCATCTGCACGCAGGGAATGTTAAGGACGGGCGACGTGTCCAGGGTGGAACACGTCGCCGCCTGGCGGAGGAAATGGTACTGAGGCGAAGAGGCAGAAGCGTTTGCTTTGCAGCTCACAAAGGGGTCAGCAGCACGCAGACGCATTAGACCGCACTGCAGAAAAGTTGGCGATGAGTCTCTGGCGACGTCTGCGAGACGGACGAAGATGAGCGATGCATATCACAATAACTGTACAATTAAGAGCACTGTGCGAATATATATTTGCATGTCATATCCAGGCAGCCCTTTCTCTAAAGGCAAATAAGCCCGTCTTCTATGGTGCTATATCTCCGTCGCAGTGCAGGCGATCGTTCCTGTTAGATATGTTGACGAGTTCCGTGTACTCGGGTTGTGGACGCACGAAGCCCCGTCCGGGATGGTGCTTTCTCAGTAGCCAACATGTCTCATCGTGGAGATCATGTCTTCGTAGATCTTGCCTTCAGGTTCCAGGGATTCCGGGTCCTGAGCTTTCTCAATTTTCCGACTGCGCTATTCCCTGGCATTTTGCCCTTCAAGCACCCGATCCTGATTCCGTGGTATCACCCGCCAGCACCACCCGCACCAGCTGCGACTACGTCCGCTGACCTCGCGGCCGAGAACGATACCGCGGTGCTTCTCGTCCTCCCACTCAGGTACGCAAGCGCCGACGCGGACGAGTCTGACGCCGACGGATTTCACCACACCGCCGATCCCCTCGACCTCGTGCCGTGCATAACCAGGCCGGAAGTGCGGCGACGGCGTCCGGTGGTCGACACTGTCGGCATATGGAGGAGTGGCGGCGCTGGCGGGGGACAACGCGGATGTTGTTGTTGTTGATGTCGTGGATGGGATGGCCCATGGACTACTCACGGCATGGCTCTGAGTATGGCCGGGTCGGTGGGCGAGCGTGGATGACCACGAAGACGACGACAAAGGGGAGCTGCCGAAATAGCTGCTGCCATTGCTATGATGTAGTCTGATGTCATGGGACGAGCCAGCGCGGCCGTCCTCGGCGTCGCAGTCCGTCTCCTGCTCGCGCTCTTTGGAGCTGCAGCATTTGGACTCACGCCCGCACGGCACGCCGCGGTCCCCTTCGCCGATTCCGGTGCCCACGCCGCCGAGCACTTCGCCATATTGGTTGCGCCATTTCCATATTCTATAGCGGGGTTGGTTGGCTAGGTTCGTGCAGAACTCGAGAAATTCACCCTTACGGGCAACACGAGCAGGCGCCGTCTGTAAGCAATGGGGATAACTCACGACCTATAATCGTTGTCTGAGCCTCGGATACTCCTGCCGCAGGGCTGACAAAGCCACACGCCGTCGGTCTCGCAGCGACACACCGCAGTGCGAAGGGGGTCCGAGGACAGCGGCGTATCTGCACGGAGAGGAGGATTCACCAGCAGCGGCAGGGGTGCCCTCGTGCATGGAATACATAGCCGCCGATGCCTCTCTTTCAGCACGATCGGAGCTGGTGGTTTTATGGCGCAGTTCTATAACAAAAAGGGAAGCACAGTTATCCAAGTGATTAGCAAGTAGACACAATGAATATGGCAAGGGCGCCCATAGTCACACACCCGGCATATGGCGGTCGAGCATCGACGGCACTCAGCAACCATGTCACGCGCACAGCTGCCCGACTTGGCGACGTCGGCGCCGGGAGCGGCGCGCATCTGGGCATCATCCTGCATATAGTACCAGTTGCCCGCGCGCGCCCGATATCGGAACGTGCTCTCGCGATCGATTGGGAGGTCCTCATTGACACAGTGCAATGTATGGGTGAGGGCAGAGCTGCGATACTCGAGGAGGGAGTCATGGACAGCGCGGCAGGTGCGTGAGAGGTTGTCGATGGCGTTAAGGTCGAGGCAGCGGGCGATGGCCATGACGACACTGTGAAAGCCGGCACGGCGATTTGGCCATGAGTCAGTTTGCGTGTTGCCAAGATGAAGCTGTGCTTTCCCAAGACGTTGTGCTCATGATCCTGCCGTTGCCTGGGCAGGGGCTGTGTAATGCGAATGGCTGATGGCGAGGGCACGAGCAAGCAATGGCGGTACCGTAGCGATAAGAAGGATGCCACAAGAGCTGGGCGCGCAGAAGCGCAGGTAGGGGAGAGCCAAGCCAAGGGAAATGCTTACGGGTAGCAACCAAGTGCGTCTGTCACTTTGCTCCTGGTGTTGGTGAGGCTCGTAGCCGATCGGACCGACGAGGCATCAGAGCTGTCTGAGTTGTGCATCTTGATGTCTGCATCGCTGGCGGAGCCATTGCTCGATGGCACCGGGGGCCCACCGCTCGCCGCCGGTAGATGTTGTGATTCTGGTGTTGAGGTGGTGTCCCGGCCATGGGTCCAGAGCGTCCACTCGGGCTTCACCGGGTGGTGAGCATATGCATGGTGCTCTAGAGGCTCGGCGTCGTCCTCGAGGTCCATGAAGACGGCCATGACGTTTGTCCCGGCGGTGACCCGGACCTAGATAGAGAGCTCAGATGCGATACCGGCACGGGCCTGGGCGCAACATGGAGGCTCCAAGCAACGCAGTCAGAGGCGAGAGGAGTTCACGGACAGTCGCAATTCCAGAACGGGAGAGACACGAGAGTAGGTGCCAAGTGTGCCTCTTATCAGAAGTCAAACATCAGAGTGGTGACGATCTTGTTGTGGTGGCAGGCACCCCGTTAGGCTAGACTGTAGCTGTAATTAGCTGTGACTGCACCTGATGCTTGGCCGGACCCATCCCTCCCCGCACATCACCCCCTTGCTCTGACGCTAATGGGCGTGGCTTGAAGCCCTCGAAGCAACTGCTGTCTTCCAGAGCAAGCCCCGATTTTGACTTGTAGCTTCTCGATTGTCCAAATGGCGACTCAAAGCCGAAGACCGTTTCTCGAACATGCCCATCAGGATGCCATCGTCGCGAGCAAAAACCGCTGTTTTCAGACCATAGGGCCTGTGACGCATAGCCATCAATCACAGCTGACCCATCGTATCCCGACCCCGACATGCATGCGCCAGGTATCTCAAATGAGCAAACCCTTACCAAATCGCTCACTGTGTCTCCATACTCTGGACCCTCAATTTCCATTTTTGTCATGACATGGCGTGTGCTCGGTCCGTGATCGGTTGCCAAGTTCGACGCTAGTAGTCTGGAGCTCACCAGTAGGAAGCGTGGGCAGATTGATAAGATTAGATCTTTCCCCTTTGCTCCGGTGGCACACCGCACATCGGTGCCTCGGCCGAAAGGACCAAGTGCCTGCCTGACACGGACCACGCTTGAGTCACTAATGTTTAGCCCACCAAATGCCGTCAACTGACCACTTCGTCATGTTCACTGTGTTTGTGATAAACTAAAGCTTGTTGTGCTAGGCCCCAAACTATGATTGCTCCTCCTCGGCAACGTAGTGCAAGTAGGCACCGAGTAGCTTGATACCCTCAATGTAGTTGCGCTTGTCCAGCTTCTCGTTGATCGAGTGGGCGCCGTCTGTCGAGCTGCCCATCGGCAACAGCAAGACGTTCTTCCCAGTAGCCTGCTCAAAGGTGAGAGTGACGGGAATGCTGCAGGAACACCAAAGTTAGTAAAGTGCTGACCACATACGCGCAAGGCGAGCGAGTTTTACATACCTGCCACCCTCTCTGGTGTAATCGGGTTTGACGCCCCATACGCGCTCGACGGCCTTGTCCGCGGCCCGGAAGTTCCAGTGGTTCGGGCTGGCGACCCACCACTTGCCGGTGTGCTGGGCGTATACTTTGAGAGTGTTCTTGCTGCCCAGCTTGGCAAAGACGTCCTTGACATACGAGTACACAGCCTCGTTGGTCTTCTCGATCTCCATGTCGGGGACAGTGCGGATTGAGAACTTGCCAATGACCTTGGCAGGGATAACAGTCTTGGCACCTGGGGCAGAGTAGGCGCCCTCGATGCCGTGGACAGATAGCGAAGGGTATCTCCACCGAGCCATCAGTGTCGATTTCTTGTCCTCAAAGATGGTGGTCTTGGAGCCGAGGGACTCGTGCAGAGTCTCCATGGTGAAGCTGATGCCGTCGTAGAGAGTAGCCTCCTCCTCGGACAAAGCAGCGACCTGCTCCATAATGCCAGGGATCTGGATCTTGCCGTCAGTGTCAACAAGGCTGCCAAGGACGCGGACCAGATCGGTCATGGGCTCCTGGGTGGTGCCACCAAATACACCAGAGTGCAGGTCGGCTCCGGGGCCCGAGACTTCGATGCTATAGTAGTTGCAGCCACGGAGACCATAGGTGAGGCAGGGCTTCTCGGTGCCGAGCCAGTAGTTGTCGCTGATGCAGACTGCCTCGGCGTCGGCAAAGTATCCCTTGCCCTCCTTCTCGATAAGTTCGTCAAGGCCCTCAGAGCCATACTCCTCCATGCCCTCGAAGCACATGAGCAAATTGACAGGAAAATCGACGCCAGCCTTTTGGTGAGCCTCGATGGCGTTGAGCCAGCCAAGGACCGGGCCCTTGTCGTCGGTGCTTCCACGACCGAACATGCGTCCGTCCTCACCAACCGTAAGCTTGAAAGGCTCAGTCGACCATCCGTCGCTAAGCTCGGCAGGCTGAACGTCATAGTGGCCGTAGACCAGGATGGTACGCTTTGACTTGTCCTCGCCGTAGCGGGCGAGCACAACCGGAGGCAGGTCGAGCTCGGGCTTATCGGGCTGCTTGCCGAGAGGGCGAAGCTCTACGGAGGCACCAAGAGCACGGAGCTCGTCGGCAAGAAACTCACCCATACGGACGACATCGGGGCGGCGCTCAGGGTCGGCGGAGACGGAGGGGATCGCGACGGCCTTGGCAAGGCGATCGATGAAATGGTCCGAGAGCTTGTCGACTTCGGCAAAGTAGCCATCGAGTTGAGGCGCCATCTTGCGAGCTTGGTGGTCCTTGACGGCAGCCGTCAAGTAGCTTCTGCGGGAGGAGGGGATGCGCTGCGGGGTGGTGTCCGGGGAGCGAGGGGTAGCTCTTGAAGTTGTCTTATACAGGCTGGCAGGTTGTCTCGAACCTGGTTCTGCGCGACAAGTGTGCAAACACGGCTGGTGAGACGATGTATGAAGAGAATAAGCAGGGGAGGCAGAAGCAGAAGGAGGAAAGGCCGTCGCAAAGAGCGTGGCGCGCAAGCGTCCGAGGTGGCCGTGGTGGAGAAGGCGCAACGAGGACACCCCCGCGGGCAGGGAGCGGGGCATTGGGCTAGCTACCCTCTTTTGGGAAGGCACATGCAAAACAACGTCGGAGCGAACCACCAACGAGACAACCTTTTGAAGGAATCCGGATCGTTCAGAACCCTGCGCGTGCAGTGGAGCTGCAGCTGGCTCCGAAAAGACAGTATCGAAGCGCTTCTCCCTGCTCCAAGGTGGCGGATGGGCTCGGCGGTGGGGCCTCCCCGGCGTGCGTGGGAGGGCAAGCTCACGCAAGCAGCGTTTTTGCGAGAGCGTGGCGGACGATCGTCGCTTGCTTCATCAGAGCCAGTCTACAGATCCTGTCGATGGGTGTATGCACGGGGCCTGCAGGTGCAGCGCTCGTTGTGTGGCTGGTCGTTTCCAACAAGCCGGCCAGTGAGTGACTTCAGGAATCACTCGCACGGTTATCAGCGGCTCTCTAATATGGCCAAGAAATTTTGCTGACCGGCGCGCCGCCGCGACAACTAAAACCATCCCCGAGGACATTGTCTCCGCTGCGGGGTCCGGCTGCCCCTTCTGGAAGGACGCAGTCCCAGTGCCTTCCCACTCACTGACACGAAGCACTTTGACAGCGCCAGCACAACGTGTCATAGCACGAGCAAATTGTGCATCGCGAGGCGGCTGACGTTCGTGGTGCTGGTTGCATCAGGGTCATGCCCCTGCAGACTTGCCACAGATGTTGCAGTCTATATCTGCCGGGCAACCAGAGCATTCGGCAACAATTTCAAAGCCCCTTCCTGGATCGTTCATCACATATACGAAGAGTAGATCTATATAGTACAGTCCGTGAAGGATATGTCGCTCCCCAACTATGGTACAAACCCAAACTCCGCACAATGCCAGTTCGTTCTTGATACAATCGTGAATTCCAATGTGTTGATGCTCGCTTACGCAATGCAGAGCTTGTCCCGTAAATGGTGCAAGCAAACCCCTCGTTCATCCCAGTGCTTCATACTTTCCGAACCAGTGGTGCTGCCTCCATGAGTATCTCGACGCTCAGCTCCTTCATTTCTTGCGTCGTCACTTCGCCCTTCTCCTTCCGGAGCTTGTACAAGGCAATGTCGTTCTCGTATGCCTCACGCAACTTCTGGGCGAAGTTTGCGGCTGGTGTCTTGTTCCTGGTGGCCTCTTGGTAGTTCGCGGCTACATCATAAAAACTGACAGGCTTCCCGACAGAGTTGGCTGCAGAGGTGGCGTCTTCAAGCTCCTTGCTCCCAAACAGTATTGGCGACCAGATACGTCGATGCTCCAGTCCAGCTGACCCAGGATCGGAGTGCTCGCGAACAAGTATTTTGTTGAGCCTGCTCCGCATTTTAGATGGTGCGAGCTGTGCTATCGTCGCGTACTTCCAAATGACCGCCATCATGTTGGGCCTGTTCAGGCTCCAGGCAATGGAGAAGAGTGTGTGGAATGTGATTTTGTCAGGCCTCAGCCACGAGTATCGCGACAGCATCGTCTCCATCATGGAAATCCATTCCGGGATGCCCCGGGTGTGTGTGAGCATAGTGTTGAGCGTGACCACGTCTGGTGCCGCACGCTCCTCTTTCTGTGCAATCGCCAGTAGATGCTTGCATGCTTCAAGCTCAAGGGTACTACCAAGAACATCCAGCATCTTGTTCAGCGTCACTGTGTTAAGCCATGCCAATCCGTGACGCCGATCCTGCTCCTGGATAAATGCGCCGATGTGGTAGCTCTCCGCTTCTTCTGTATGTGTGGGTTTCGTCCGCTTCGCAATTTGTGACTCAAGCTCTATCAAAACCTGGTGTCGGGCCATCTCATTGTAGATTGACCGATTCCGGTCTAAGCCTTTCCGCTGCATAGCCGTGAGTATTCTTCGTTTGTGAGCGCGGTCCTGAGTCATCTCCAGAAAAGCCAGCCATGCCCTCGCCTGTGGCCGAAAGCCTTTTCGTATCATGGTCTTTAGAACGCTGGTATACGATCTCAGATCTCCAACCTTGGACGCACCGACCAGCAAGATACTGTACGTCTCCGCATCAGCCGGAAGATCCTGGAGCTCAATTTGAGCAAAGATCTTTTCATTCGCAGGCCTGAGCCCCGGCCCTCTTTTCTGAAGATATACCAGTGCCAGCTTGACAGCAGATAGCGATATTGCCGGTTTGGTGTCTGCTGATGTGAACGCTCGCACCAGAAGTGATGCAACGACTTCTTGATGACTGGGGCCACTGCCGTAAAACTCGCTGGCTCGCTGCGGAGGAACCTCGCCATACGTCAATGCGGCAACGTATTCTTCGAATGAACGCTTCGTCCACAAAGCCGGTGGCTCTATCTTACTCGCTGGGCGCTCTAGCATATAATATTTGTGTTTCGTTGTTGATGTTGTGAAAATGTCGTCGAGCAATGTGGAAGAACTGTCCGCCTGACCTTTGAAAGGCTCTGCCTCTGTTGCCTGCATTTCGTCCCGAAGAGTGAGTGTCACATCTTCAGTTGCGACATCGCCAATGTCCAACAGCTTCACCCGCGCAGTGGTGGCATCTCTCCTTTCCCAGTCTTTCGCCAGTGCCGCCCGAAGCTCACTATTGTGTACACGCAAAGCCGTCACCTGGCCCACGACACGCAGTACCTCGAGAAGCGACAGGCGGACCGCCGTTTCGGACCCGGAGAGATTCAAGGCGAGGCTTCCATCATTGTCCCCCTCCTCAACATGTATCACGCTCTGATATCTCCGACTGATCTGCCATACATTGGAGTCTAGGCCGCTGAGGAGCCGAGCCCGCGCCTCAGTAGCAGCGCCCTTGCCGATGGTGACTCGAAAGTTGAGTACTTCCCTCGAGTCTGGAGTGTGCTGTGCCAGTAAGGCGAGGGTCTCACGCCATTCGTGGTCGGGCTTGCCGCTGACCAGGCTCTTGATTCCGTGGAGACTCTGAGTCCGTATGCTGTTGACATGCTTTCGGTGGCTGCGCCTATTCTCCGCTTTGCTTGGGATGTTTTGTGCAGGTCTCACCAGGGCCGATGGTGGCGGATATTCTTTCGAGTATTGTTTCAGCGCCGAGCGCAAGTGGGCTCGCGGATGCCGCTTTTTCGAAAGCTTCTGTCCATCATTTGCAGTCGAACTGCCTTCGTTGAACTGGTCAGCTGAAAACCTCCGTTGGGAAGTCGCTACAGTCGTTTGTGCGGTGGGAGCCTTGTGTGCAAGGGGTTCGGCCGGCCATCGCATTAGGCTCGCATCGTGAAGCTGGCGACATGTCTGTCGGGTTGTGTATCTGGAAGTAGCACAGAACCCCAAGCTCCGGCGACTGCCAAACCTATGTGCAAGCTGGCGGAAGCATGCTACGGACGCCGTCATGCTAGACTCAGCGTACGCACATCGAGGCTGTTCGAGGTCGAGAACCTGCTAGTTCAACTTTGTCGCGCAACAAAACATCTTCGCATGCAACTGCCATTGATGTGTCGCGGTCTGCCCCCAGATTGCGAAGTTGGGAGTGTTATCGATAGGCCTGTGACGACCCACCATGCCCCACCATGCTTCGGATACGGAGTCCCGTCCCCGTCTGACGGAAGTGCTCGTGATGCGTTCAACCAGAAAGTATCAGAGACAAAGCAAAATCAGAATTAGGCCAGGGTTGTCAACGCCTTGCTAGTCGTGTTCATATTACCCGTCAGCCAAGGATCCTTCTTAGATTGTCACACGCAGAGTGTCGGCCCTGATCAATTTGGGGACATGGCTCATTTTCACAGAATCAAGCTGAATACGCCTTCAGCTCCGTACTCCTTTGTGTGATGCGTCCAAATTTCAAATCATACTGAACTCATATGCTTTGCCGTTTCCATCTCGACTGTAAGAGAAAAAGGGGAAGAAAATCTTGGTTTCGCAGCTGAAACCATGTCCCTCAATCGCTGTACTGGAGACGGATATTCATGACTAGATGCCCTCTTGCATGAAGCCAAAAAACGCCCGTTGAAATAATTTACTCCTTCTTAGTCTCACCGCCCGCAACATCCGTCTTCGTCTCTGCTGGGGTATCTTTCGTGACGGACTCTTTCGCCTCAGTCTTAGTCGCCGTCTCGTCTTCCTTTCTAGTCCCCCGGGGAGGCGGGGAAGGGGCTCGGGGTGGAGGGCCATCCCCATCCTCTCCAGAAGAGTTGGTCTTGGACACCTGACTAGCCAGATCCTTGTCTTCCTCCGAGTTGTCGAACATCTCCGTGTCGTCTGAGTCGGTAAGCACCTCGGTGCCATCTCCAAGGAAGATGATGCGGCCCTTGTTGTTGCCAATGCCAAACGGCTTCGATCTGCTCTCAGAGTCCAAGTCATAGCCGCTGTCACTGTCATCAAAATTGTGGTGAACGCCTGGGCCTCGGAACTCGGCTGGTGGTAATGAGAAAGCAAGGAGTCAGTTCGGTTCGATCCATCGCTTTGGGCTTCAAGACGGCATACCGTATTCGGGCGGGGCGCAAGGTCCGTCACCCTTTGCGACACGGCTAGCAACCTCCTCGTACCACTGCTCCTTGGTCTTGCCCCTCAAGAAGCCAATGACAATCATCGTCATGTTGTCGCAGCCAACACCCCCAGTCTCCGAGTTTGAGGCCAAGCAGTTATCCATCATGTTCTCGCAAATCTTGTCCAAGTCTTGCTTGGCAGCGATGCCCCTTCTGACAAACTCAACAACGGCTTGCGAGGATTGGCAGTCCCAGATACCTGAAGCGAGTGTTAGCGCGAGCTCTCTAGGTTTTCGTGCTGACCCAGTGGTGGTGGTTTCAAGGCATACCGTCGCAAGCAATGACCAAGAATTCATCGTCGTCGCTCAGTTCATGCATCACCACATCAGGGTAGGCCGTAACGATTTGTTGCTCGGGGGCCAGTTCTGCGCTCTTCTTGAACTCGAAGTCGCCGATCGCCCTGGAGAGGGCGAGGTTTCCGTTGACACGTCCGAAATCGACAAATCCACCAGCAGCAGTGATTCGTGCCTTTTCACCTACACATTGCAAGCGGGTTGTTAGGCTCAGAGCACACGCCGATCCAGGCTGGAAATGCTACATACCCTCATTCTGCGGCTTGTGGTCGAACGACAATGGCTTCGCGCGTCCCTTCACACCCAGAACACTTCTCGAATCGCCGGCATTGGCCTATGTATAGAGATCAGCCTTGACTCTCGCCGTTGACTCTCGCTGTCATTGGCATCAAATGGACAGAACGGGCGGCACGACGTACAATAAAGATCTTCTCGTCATTCATGAGGCCAACGCAGGCAGTGCAGCCAGAGACTTCCTCCTCATATTTGGGGTCTGAATCACGATGATCAGTTGCTCGTCGCATGGCTGGAGTGCGGCATGCCTAGCGTGCGACAATCACGTACCGCTAAGGATAGCTCGGTCGGTCGCAAGGAAGCAGTCCTTCAGGGACTGCTCGTAGTTGCCGGTTTTGAAGGTGTCTTGCTTCTTGAGGATCTCGAATATGTTTGCACCAGAGAACTGGGCCACCTTGTCGCCACCGTGGCCATCGTACACGCCGAAAAAGGATAATCGCGAGGGGTGTGTCTTCTTTTCAGCATCGGTCCGCGGGGTCAGAAGATCGAGCACGGCAGTGTGCGCATCCTCCATGCTGATGCGCCATCCCTGCATGGCAGAGAGGCCATAGATAAGCCGGTCATCCTCGCCTTTCTCAGACGCCTGTCGGGTAAGAAAATGGGCACGCGTCAGCGCTGTCAAACACGAAAACAAATCCGAGGCATGTGCGTAAAGTCCATCCAACGTGATGCAGTCAAATGACTGTGGCCAGGTCGGGCCCGCGTGTCAAGCAGGGCGGCGCACGAGTCGTCGAGGTCTGTCGCATGGGATAGCGTAGGCATCGTGGGGCCGCACGAGCACGAGAACGAGCCGAGCAGGCTCGGGCGGGCAGGCGGGGTTGGCGGGACAGTAGTCACGTACCTTGTCGACGACAGGCTCGGAGAGCGTTTGGCCCATGGCGAAAAGGGGAGTAGAGACTGGGAGAGGAGCGGCGTGCAGTCGTGTGAGAGGATGCGGGTGCAAAGGAGAGGAGAGAGGAGAGAGGGGCAGATGATGCTGGGCGCGGCAGGCAAAGGAGGAGCGGGAAGGCGTGGTTGTGGTGGTGATGTGGTGGCGTGCGAGGGTGCGGCGGTGGTGGGCAATATCGCGAAGAATCAGCGGCGGGTAAGAGTGCGGGGCCTGGCAATCGCAGCCCCGGGGGCCTGGCTTCCCAATTTTTCATTCGCTGCCTGGTGGTGCCTGCTCCCTACAGTAATGCTTATTAGTGGTCGCTTGCGCCCAGCCAACGTATCGTATCGCTGCCAGCAGATGACAGGCCAGGGCAGGGGCAATTCCAAGCCTAGACTCGACGCCACCAAGACCTACCTATCCCGCCGGCGCCATAACACGGTGGTTGAACCACAGCTGACCATCACGTCACAGCCAGCCATCGACCAGGTGCGAGAGCACCTGCCTTCCTTTGGAGCCGCGAGGTCAAGAACTGGAATGGCACGACGCGGCGTGTAGCTTTTGTGATTGCAGCCACGGCCACGGCCAACCGCCTGCTGCTGCGGGACAGGTTGAAACAGCAATACGGTCGAGGAGAGATGACGACACGATCGAGCCCTCCGCAACAAGTACAGGATCCATGGCAGGATCCCCGGCACTGCAACAACACAATGTGGCGACCCAACCGTGAAATCTGACATGACGCAGCATGCGCAACCTCCGAAGGTCGAATTCTTCCCAATTCTCTGCATCTCCCTCGAAGGTTGGCGTTATCCCCTGAAGGTACGCGCTTGCCTAGCGACCCGACCCTGTGGTGCCTGCCCCTTGACAAGTGAAGGGATATTATTGATGTCTCTGCGACAGTCAGGCTGTCGCCATTTGGGCATCTCTCGGGACAGAACACACTTGTTGCAGGAGCAACGTCAACTATATTCCTGACGCCGCGCGGATGCGAGCTTCCACAGGCGTCCCAAACTTGTAAAAACGATGCACTGCAAACAGTTGGGTATCGTATATCTGCAGTTCTAGAAGCATAGTTCAAGCCATGTGCACAGTCTGCTTCTACACCATGTGCGCCTCTCTAGATATAAACGAGGAAACTACCATTACTGTCACCTCCATCATTACCCCATGCTCCACTCTTCAGAGAGCCTGGTGGTCGGATGTCCTCCCAGGCATCGTCGCCGTCGTCATCGTCGTCATCATCGTCCACGTCTTCCCACTGGCCCTCACTCCCGACAGTCTTCTGACTTGGCTTCGATATCATGCCTTGCCAGTTCCTGGTCAAGTTGGGTTCATGCTTATCGCCATGGGATCTTGCGGGGAATCCTTGATTAGTTGACATTTGGGGCTGGTATAGGAGATCGGTAGGCGCTTGTGTATGTGTCGGGTAGTTCGTGCTGTCCATTTCCCGTGGGCGCACGTTCCGGCCTGTAGAGCCTGCCAAGGAGCTGGCAGGAATAGTTGTTGGTACTGGCTCTGCATTGCTTGTCGTCCTCGTCATGGTGGTTGATCGGCTCGATGGGGCAGCTATGGATCCCGTGCTCCTGGATTTCCTGTGTCCGGAGACCGCGATCAGTTGTCCAACCCCGGGCCTCCCAATTTGGTGAGGTCCAAAGCCTTGATGATTGACTTGTTTGCGCGTGAGAGGTAACGGCTCCTGGGCAGCCTTGGGCCATCCCGAGCCTGCGGAGAGGGCCATTCCAATGGAGGATGTATCTAAGGGGCTTGGGGCCTGGCCGTTGTTTGGATATTGCTCCATCATGGCAGTCTCTGAGATTGACTGGAGTGAAGGAGGCCGAGGCGGCGGGCTCTTGGGCCTCCCGACAGACTGTCGAGACCGCAGAGGTGGAACTACTATCCCCATTGCGTTTTTCGGCTCGTCGCGTGTGTGGTTGAGAATTATGTCTTTGTGTGCAACCCCTACGGCATCTCTTGCGAAGCGGTCCCATGACGAATCACTCGGCCGCGGCTCTGACGCATCATAGCCATTGAAGACATATGTAGGCGGACCCACGAGCCCAGCGTCGCCCTGGTGAGTTTGAGCTGCCCCGTCAGGAGAAGGACCAGCTGCATTTGGCTGTGGCGGTGATTCCTTTGGCGAGCGTCTCGACTTTGCCACGTTCAGTGAGGCGCCGCTGAAAAGCGGTGCAACCTCGGCTGCCTGAGAATGCTGCTGCTTACGTGGATTCGGCGAACGACTTGGGATGTTGACCATGACTGGGCTTGCCATATTTGTGGCCGTCGTTGCTGTGTGCTCCGCCATCGCGGTTGTGAGGACGCTAGTTTGAGTCTGAACTGAGGATGCAGCGTCGCTGCCTTTCTTCTGGTGATGCTGTCCATAGGATTTCCTACCACTCCGTCGCCAGGCATTCGACAGCCGCTGGCCGATGGCGGAACGCATGGAAGCCCCTCTTCCAAACGCGCCGCCAGTCTGGGCAACACCTGGGGGTCCTCTCCGCTCATATCTGATCGTCGGGTGCTCTGCACCCTGATCTTCCTCGTCAGAGTTGAAGTCGTACCTACCAGCTGCCGCAGGACCAGGGAGTTCGTAAGCCATCTCAGGAGTCGGCTGGATACTGAACGGCCTATCCTCGGATTGCTTATCTTGGCTGTATTGAGAATGGGCATGGTGCGCAGGCGGCACTTCTAGCAAGTTTGCGACCCTGTTTCCGTCTGGCACTTGTCCAGGTGCTGCTGGTTCCGACAGAACCGCGACGCCCCCAGAGGTAGCCGAGCGGTCCTTGAGAGCCTGCATATCAGCTTCACCGATAGTCGTGTCAGACAAGAGGCTCACGTCGTCAAGACCGGGCCTTGGCCCGGCGGTGGCCCGAATTTTGGCATTGTTACCTTGGCTTGCGGGACTGGCGTGCCAGATGTCCTCACTGCCCTCGAGTGCGCTGTCACTTCCAGACCGTGGCTGTCCGTCACTTCCAAGTGACGGAGGCAAGGTTCTTTGGGCCGTTGTCTGCGGATCGGCCGCTGGTTGTGGTCTTGGCGCTGCTCTCAGGTTGCGCATAGCTGACAGTGGAGGCGGGTGGATGGGAGAATGCTCATGTGGTTGTGACGGCGAAGGTCGCTGTGTCCAGGCATGCCGCGTCTTCGAGGGAGATGTCGGCGACATAGCCTTCTCGCGACTTCCAGTGATCCTCCGCGTTTCTGACCCAGACTCTTCACCGCCGCCGAAGTTGTTGCCACCCGCGCCGTGGTGCATCCATGTCCCGGGCAATGGCGCCGAGACCTCGCTCTTTAGGATTCGATGGTGTTTCCGAAGATGGCGGCGCCGGAACCAATAGAAGAGAATTATGGCCCCGAAAAAGATGATCAGAAGAATTGGTAGCAAGAGCCAGAGATATGTCTTTGGTTGCTCGGTCGGAGATGAGGCTGGAGCCGGTGTTCCTGTCTGTTGCCCAGGCGAGGATGGACTCGGCAAACTGGACCCTGTGGATGTGATGCTACTCGGGCTCCCCGTCCCCAAATCCTCTACACTCACAGCGAGGTCCTGCGATTGGCTGGCCTGGGTGCGTTTTGAGGTTGCGACTATCGATACTTCCAGTGGCCCACCTACTCGTGCATTCACCGAGGAAGGCGCTGTTCCGGAAATCGACAAGGCTTCCTGGTCCACTCTGATCCACGATATGTCCGAGTTGCTCTGAATTGACAGCTCTGTGTCGGCAGGGTCAGCCAGATATGGCCTCAGTTGATAGTCGAAGTCCGCCCCGGCTGTCAATTTGAGCGGTGGGAGTTCAGAATTAAACATCGTATCGCCAACTCGGAGCTGGAAAGTGACATTGAGAGTATCCGTGTACGTATCGACAACAGTGATAGAGAAGTTTGTCGCCGTTGCATTGGGGCTAGGCGTGCCGCTCAATCTCCATGTCAGATTGTCGAAAGTGAGCCACTTCGGCAGACCCGTGGGAGTCACAGATTTGACCTCTGCCAAATCCAGAGTTCTGTCATCCAGTTTAAGCTGACTTAGAAAGTCATTGTATTCGAACAGCTTTCCCCTTGTGGCATTGAGTTGAAATATAGGATGCTCGCTCGTCAGACGGTGGTTGCTGACTACAATCGAGAAAGGTATCGAGAGTGCTGAGAAGCCTACGACATCGGAGGCTATGAGCTTGAAGTTGAACCTCTGCGGTGGTTGCGTCGGCAGGCTGAAGGTTGGGGCCTTCCCAGAGAACGTCAACGTTTTTGAGTCGAATCGCACCCAGGAGGGCAGTGGTGTGTTGTCTCCGTTCACGGCATAATAAGTCAAGTCCCATTGTCCTGTGTTGCGGAAAGTTTGGTTGCTGAAGCTGAACGAGAAGTCCTTCTGCTCATACAAAAGTAGCGTGTCCGGAGCAGAGAACGGGCCGAGATCCTCAATCTGTTCCGATAGTGGGATGCTGATCATCGGCGCAGGTATCCGTGCTACCACGAGCGTGGCATTCATTTGCACTACCCCGGTGGCGTCTGTTGCCTTTATGGTGATCGGGATACCGACCACAAGCCCCGGCGGGACGAGGTCACTTGGCGGTGTACCAGACAAGAGGCGCTTGTCGCTTGTCAGAGAGACCCATGGCGGTGCTCTCACAATAGCATAATTGACCGGCACCCGTGCTTTTACTGTCTGGGGCGAAAAGACGAATGAGAAAGGCTCGCTGATGCGTGCGACTGGGGGCAGTTGCGAGTTGATCGGGTAGGTAATTGTTGGTGTTGACAGGACGAAGGTGCTGAAGTACGACAGTATGGTGAGCGTGCCTGCAAAGAAGTTCACTGATGTTGGCAGTCGATGCCAACAACATGCCACCATTGTGTCCTTTGGCCTGCTGTCGGTGGTGCATGTGGCCGCCTGCTCTCGTTCCAGAACGATGATGTGATAAGGATGAAGTTCCAACGAAACGGTAAGACGGCTCAGAATTCAAGGCATGGCGGGCAAGCAATAGACAAAGGAGGCTAGGGAAAGATGCCAGATCCTGAGGCGAGAAGTCCAAGATGGGGCCTTGCGATGACTTCAACAGGGCCGAATCATGCTGGGCGTTGGTGGGCGACTCAACCCGGCTGTCCAGCCATCCCTAAACTTTTGGCTCTGCCCCCTTTCGATGCTTCCAATCCACTTTACGCGTGCAGCTTTCGGGAGGGCGAGGGGCTGGTAGACAGTCTCTCAAGTGGAGGGCGTCAGTATGGAAGCTCTCCAGGAATGGCATGTCTCACATCTACCCGCCCCCTTGTCCGAAGGGGTTGACCAGAGAGCCAGAGGCCTCGAGACCACCAATGAAAGGCGGATAATATGCTGGGCCAATCCAATACAGGAAAGGAGGACAAGACCATCATTGCTGTAAACGGCAATGCCAGAGGCCATGTCCACTTAGCAGGCAATGGCCAGCTGTGACATAGAGTCGTCTGCACTGCGCAAGGGCAGAGGTGGAGTTGCTGGCACATGGCGGGATTGAGCAGGGGCGGCATAGTAAGGGAGTTCGTCGCCCTCAGTCTAGTACCGAGGGATGCTCTATACAAATTGACCCCTTTCCAGACCTTTGAGCGCTGACCAGACGTTCGGATGGCACCAGATGTCGTATGTCCGATGGTACTGGATGAATACAGGGACCGCTTCGAGGGTGCCACTCCGTAGGTCTTTGGTCGCATCATCGCCTGCACCGACATGACACTTGCAAACTTCCCTTGCTTGGGTCAGCAGAAGTTCTAGAATCGCCTAGGGGCAGCCCGAAGATGAGTATGTTCATCCTGGAGTGGTCACATCTTCCACAAGGTCGTCAGCCCTGCTGCGGTGGCCGACGAGTGGACTAGGCGAAAGGGCGACATCGACTGGCGAGTGACGACTCGACATTGCATAACACTGCTGCTCTAGGTATATGGTTGACGATGCACAGCTAGACCTCACTCATGAACGACGGCGACGCTGAGTTCACTCAAACATACACGCGGGCGCATCAGCTCCTCGTTGAAGGAGCTGTCGACATCGCGCTTACTTGCCTCGCCTGCCAGGCTGCTCGCTGTATGCCCCTTGAACAGATATTGTGACGATTGGGAATCAGGGACCCAGAAACCAGTCAGAGATGGAGTGGGGCCGTCCGGGTTGAGTCGAGTCTAGAACTGCTACTGAGTGTTGGTACTGCAGTGGGACCTCTGGTTTGGCAAGAACAACTACGAACAGAACCAGCAGGAGCTGCGGCGGCCCGATCAAAATCCTCACTCTCTTGCCACCAAACTCCCGGACCTGTGTCGCGTGTGTTGCCCGTATACCAACTGTGACTGTGCTTCACGAGCCCAAGTCGACGCCTCCCAGCACAGGGTCCAGCCAGCGCGACCTAGAATCAACCATCTGTCGAGTCTCACCACCACCGCCACCACCGCCATGCTAGCCGAAGACGCGGCACCGCCCTTTGAGGCACTCGACATCGACCTTGATCTTGCCCCTCTGCCGGCAATGAAGGCGGCGGGCACGGCCAACTTCGACTTCTCAGGGTTGCTCTCACAACCTTTGCGGCTTCACGAAGACCTGGCCAACGGGTGCGGCGGGCAGACGTGGCCTGCAGGGTTTGTGCTCGGGAAGCACATGCTGCGGTATCACCACAGTGATCTCCAAGACGCCAGAATGTGAGTCTGCCCGGTCAATCGCTTCCCCGCCCCCTCTCTCCTGCACACACTCTGTCTCGGCCCACCTCTCTGGAGACTCGACTGTTCTCGTTGGAGCGAGTCGCCCGTGCCGTTGAGGCAGTTTCGGCAGTACCATGAGTTGTCCTTGCAGTAGCTCGCCGGCAGGGTTCCGATGGGTTTCAGCGTCACCAGCGCGCGCCACACGAGTAATGCCGATCTCTGCAGGCGCATTCCCGCTTACTCAAAACTTTTCTGGACAGACTCGAGCTCGGCGCTGGTGGTGGCCTAGTGGGGTTGGCTGTAGCCCGCGGATGCACCATTGGCCACCCCCTCTACGTGACAGACCAAATCGAGATGTTCGACCTCATGGGTAAGAATATTGGCCTAAATGGTCTCGAAGCCAAGGTCAAAGCCGCCATTCTCAACTGGTACGTTCTGCTCGCACGTCTTGCTTTAGGTCTTTTTGCGGCCTCGAACGCTTCGTTTTTCCCCCCAAATTGAGCGACGAATGCTGACGTGCTCATTGCATCTGCAGGGGTGATGCTCTCTCCCAGGAGATCATCGATTTCAAGCCCAACGTGATCCTTGCTGCGGACTGCGTGTACTTTGAGCCCGCATTTCCTTTGCTCTTGGCGACGATGACCGACTTGTTGGCTTTGTGTCCCTCAGCCACAATCTACTTTTGTTTCAAGAAAAGGCGGAGGGCCGACATGCATTTTCTCAAAAAGGCACAAAAGAAGTTCAACGTCGTTGAACTCGTGGACGAGGACCGCCCAGTCTTCAGCCGCGAGGGCCTTTTTCTATTCGGCATTACCGCCAAAGCACAGGCCAGCCAGAGTCAAAAAGTGACCCCTTGATTCCCCAGCAACAATCACGAACTGATGTGACTTACGAATGGAAAAAAGACCATCTCGCATGTCTCCTACCTTGAGGGTACTTCACCTCGGCCTCAGGTTGCAGGCATCTTGTCTGTAGTGCAGGAATATTCTGCTCCACCCAAACAAGCGATACAAGGGAACAAATGACTTCTGCGGATTTGCGCCGTTCGCCTGGATTTGCTTGGACACGCCTTCGTGGTATCTCGCAAGAAAGGATGTGCTGAGCGGTTGTTGGGACAAGCTCACTCGGTCGCAATGTGGGACACTCGACTCGTTCGCAAAGCAACAAGCTCCACCCCATGACTTCTTCAAGGTGTAGTTTCAATCGCTCCAGTGGCCAATACAGTTGCTGGCTCAGCGTAGCTTTTTGGCTCGCGACCTTGTCGCCACAAGCGTGTTTTGGCTGCAGCACTACCAATGGAAGCCGCAAGAACTTTTCTTTGCTCGTCTCTGGTGAGCAAAAGTTGGCTCGAAGCACAGCATGACGCACTGCAGCGACTGCATGAGGACAACGACCAAACACTGCTGCAGGCACGACGGAACCAGGGCGTTTATGCGACCACAACCTGATCAGTCTAGTCCGATATTGCACCATAGGACCACCCTCACATACAGAATGATCCCGACTAGGACTATCTTCCTTGGACCATGTCAAGATCTTGGTGTGCCCTGCAGTGGACACATGGCAAATGCCGTCCTCACTGTCGTTGTCAGAATGCAAAGACTCGACATGTCCATACCTGTGTATATATTCACGCTCGCGTACTGATCGCCAGCCCACATCGAGAACGAGCTGAGGAGCGAGAATGGCAGGTTCTGCCACACTAGCCATATTAGCTGCACCAATCCATCCATCCTTCATCATCAATCCCTGCCAGCCTGTCGGCGCTGCCAGGATCGGACTTCCGATTATGTGGGAGGGACCTAAAAGCTGTGAATGCGCGGCTTTGGGAAACAACGGGTTGTCTGTAAGGACTCGCTCACCATAAAGGCAAGGCCAGGGGTGCTGCGCAGGTGTCGCTCCTGCAGTGCTACGGGACGCACCCAGGCAGCTCTCGAACCAGCAACTGGATCACGCAGTGTCAAGCACCATTACTGACTAGGAAGCACCAGTGCAAAAGCCCAAGCCTGGTGGGGTTGTCCGGTTGAACTCTGGCAGGGCGCCGCGACGGGGAGCGGCCCAGCGAGCGCAGAGCGACAAGGAACAACTGAGGGTGAGCGGTGCCAACACTAACGACAGTCTGCGCAAGAAAACTCTTTCGGCGGATCCAGTGTGATAGTGGAGGGGACTAATGCAGGGCCTCGGGAGGCTCGCAGCGGCCCATGGGCCAGCGAGTACCTCATCACGAGGGGCGCTATGGACAGGTACTTGCCACGACGAGTTGTGGGGCAGAGGAAACTTGGAATCCTGGTGCAACTGAGGTGGCCTAAGCGCAAGGCACAACGACGTCGGGGCTGGGTGCGAAGCTTACCTACCTGAGGTAGTGCTGGTACCTCGCGCGGAGACCGGATCGTCAGGAACGGAGCCAACGGGCAGGGCGGCGGCACCAGAGCGGGGCGGCCAGGGGCGCGTGATTGGGTGGTGCCTTGCAGGTGTGGGCGCCATGCCGTGGCCGCCCCTGCGCCTACCACGTTTGCCAACTCTGCAACCTCCCGCGCGCTGAGTGGTCCTCTGGGGCGGCGACGAGGCTCCACGCGGCCGACCAGGTTCCCTCTTCTCTTGTTTCCACCTGGGCCAGCTTGTTTGTCTGTTTGTCAAGGCTCCGCCCATGTTTTTGGTGCCCAGCGGTCCTTAAAGAGTCGGGTCTCCCCTGCCGCTCTCCCGCCCTGCTTCAGAGCCAATTCCAGACTCCCAGGAGGCATCCCAACAACACATTCATTTCCACTGAGCAGCGCTCACGGTACCCCGTCAACAGTACACATTCCCTCGTGGCCATCCGCCCATCGCAACCTGCACTCTTGCAACAGCCACCTCGGCCATCATCGCCATCGCCCGTCTTTTCGATATCTTGACGATATCAGGCTGGTCCTTTCGCAGACAACACATACAGACAGCATCGCAAAACACCTTTGCTCTCGCCCTCTTTCCCAGCAACCATGAAGTCTTTCGCCTTCGCCGCTGCCCTCCTGGCGTCTGCCGCCGTTGCCCAGCCTCACGGCCACAAGCACCACGAGCGCCTCGCCAAGCAGCATGCCCATGAGCACGACAAGCGCGAGCTCATCGTCGAGATCGCCACCGAGTGGGTGACTGCCACCGTCATCATTGGCGACGACAGCACTCAGACCATCCCCCCCTCTGCTCTCCCGTCCAACACAGGCGGCGAGTTCTTCGAGCCCTCTACCACCACACCCGCGCCTGTCGTTGCGCCCACCACTCTGATCCCTCAGGTCGCCCCTCCGCCTCCCCCTACCACTGAGGCCGCCGCCGCTCCTCCCCCGCAGAGCCTACAACTCCCGCGCCTGTCGTTGCGCCCACCACCGCTGCTCCTGTGGTTCAGCCTACTGTCGTCCAAGAGGCTCCTGTTGTCGCTTCGACCTCTGTCGCTGCCGCCCCTCAGGAAGCCCCTGCCTCTTCTGGAGGTGGTAGCAACAGCCACACTGCCACCGGTGACATCACCTACTACGATGTCGGTCCGGGCGCTTGCGGCTATGACGACTCTGCGGACAACGACACTGGCATGATCGCTGCCATCTCTGCCGACTTCTGGAATAGCATCAGCACGCTTACCAATGCTGGTGTCAATATGCCAAGCAACCCCCTCTGCGATAAGCCCGTCAAGCTTACTGCAAATGGCAACTCTGTCACTGTCATCGTCCGCGACAAGTGCCCTGGCTGCAAGATGACCTCCATCGACGTCAGCAAGGCTGCCTTCAAGAAGCTTTTCGGCGACCTTGGTGTTGGTCGGAGTGAGGTCACCTGGAGTCTCAGCTGGTAAACCCAGCATGATCCCAGCCTGGTTCAGCGCAATTGTACAGAACATCTTTTTACCAAAATGCTTATAGACGGGATATACTTCGACACTGCGCCGCGGCTCGCCGGCGGTGTGTGGACAAGGAGATGCTTGGGGACACAGCGACACCTTTGCTAGATCAGCCAAGATGCTGCCTACCAAGGTGGCTTCTTCGTTTGCCCCCCACTGGAATTTCTACGTTTTGTTTCTGGCAACCTCATTATACCCCATTTGCTCGATAGGACGCGGTCTTCATACGCAAACAAGACCCTGATGACAACACGAAACCAGATTTCGACCAACATGTTTCTTACCTCTGGCACATGGTCCATGAGCACTTCAAGAGGAGACAATAAGGACCACAACCCCCGCATGGTGTGGCGTCCAGAGGATACCACACAATGAGGCCTGCTTGCTTCCCTCACCTCTCTCCTAGATTTGTCTCGACCACCGTCTTGGTCTTCTCGGCAAGGCAAGAAGTCGAGGTTATTGTGGAGAGCTTCTATTCTGCTTGTATATATTATTAGGACATTTTAACAGTTGATGGTCACTGTTGAATAGAGACCCATCTGTATTGTATTCATCCCCAGCTCGCTCTGCAGTGTACTTGTTGGCCCCTTGCATGAGAATATGGGTGGTACGCCGACCCGCAGCTCGCTTTGAGCATTGAACAACAAGGTCCATTGCATATCGTGCTGGTGCCTGGCGGCGTTTGGGAGAATGTGACTGGAAAGGCAACGATACGACAACCTGGTTTCGAGAGCAAGTGAATCCCAGAAAGACCTGTCTGCCTAGAAGCCACTGCTGCTCTGTCAATTGTGTGGAGTCCCTGATATGAGACACACTCGCCACTGGCGGCGGGGGTGACTTACTTGGGCGCGCTCGCCTGCATTGGGTTGCGTTGTGTCCCTTTCCTGGGGGAGCTAGGGGGGAGGGTTCTATTTATTCCCTCCTCCACATGGCTCATTGCGCGGACCCCACTAGGTCCCCTTGCTTGAAACTATTCACAATAGCCCTTCGGGCTTTCCTATTTTTGACATTTTTCTTCAATTCCCCTTGCTACTGAGGCGGGTAACGAGAAGAGCCATGTCCCGGGGATTCGTAAGCATAGACTAGGCGGGCAGTTCAGATCGTTGATCTGCCAGACAGGGAGCAATGACGACTGATTGTATCGATGCACAAATAAGTAGATTGTTTCTAGCCTCTGTGCGAGTATCTACATACACTGGGATCAGAAGGCCTGTGGCCGGCATCTAGGATTATGGTGTATTCCAAGGCTGTGTGACCCTTTGTGGCGCTAACAAAAAAAGACAAGAAGGAAAACCCTCCTTATCCCGTCAAATGATGAAACGCCGTCATGCTGTGCTTTGCTATCCGAACCTGAACTTTTCTTGTCTCTCCATGTGGTGGGAAAACCGACACACACTCGACGTGCAACTCTAACGAGCGGGCCTCTTCGCTATTGTCTTCCCCACTGTTACTGACCTCGTCGGCGCCCTCGCCCGCCCGGTATTGCTCCGTGGGCTGTTCAATGCTGAAGGCTGAGCAGATGTTCAACGTACTGTCTCGCGTCGACGCCTATGCCGTGTGCTAGCCGCGCTGCTCCCTCGCCCCAGCCACCATCTTCAGAGTATGAGGATGTTAATCCCCGCAGGCCCCCGTTCTCGCCAGCGCGTCGCAGCAGGAAGATTTCCTTGTGGACCTTGGGCTTCGGTCGCTTGAATTCGCTGTGCACCACTGATTTCGAGCTCTCCTCAGATTCCTGAGAGTCTTCCTTGCGGAGTTGCCGGTGAGCCGAAGCCTTGGGCACCTGGACCGACTCTGCATCGATCGGTTTTGGCCGTGGTGTAAAGAGATGCGACCCCGAAGATGCCGGGTCGCCTTCGGCATCTTTGCTCGGAATTCGCATCCACACTACCCACCAGCCACGATTCGTCTTACATGTTCGTTCAACTTCGGAATAGTCGGTCAGCGTCGAGTTGAAAATGTTGAGGATCTGGTTGTGCATGCTGATCGCTTCTGCCCTCGTCCAATGATTCTGGGCAGGATCTTGAGCACCACGTGACGGATCGGGAATGTTGGGGATCGTAGAGTGGATGGCTGTCGTCTTTGGGTCCCAGACGAGGTCATAGATGTTGGAAGTCGTTTTGCCTATGTCCGGCCTCTCGGGTCGGTAAGTGGTTGATGCTACTAGCTGTTTTCTCAGAGGTTCCAACTGGTAGTGTAGCGAACGGTATAGACCATCCCAAGCCAGCGAATCCGTCCTGTTCTGGAACAGGAATGTGTACACGAAAGGCTTGCTGACATAAACCACCACACGCATCTTTTGTGTTCGGTTTCGGTCCTGGCTGTTAAAGTGGGAGTTGGGATCCATCGAGTCCTTGTGACCAGACTTGGTCAAAAGCAACTCTTTGTCCTGGCTACCGAAGTCTTGTGTCATCTTTGATGGTGGCAATTTGGACTCGTTCATCTCAACTACCACTGTGCGTAGTAGTACTCGAGAGTTGTAATCGACATCGTCCGAATCGCCGCCGGACCCCTCTTTGCTGTCTTCCTCACTGCCACCAGACTCCTCAACGTCCCCCATCAGGCCGATCAAGTAATGACCCATATTGTCGCTTAGGGTCCTTGTTGCCATGGCAGGTCGCTCTGGAGCTAGCTGCACGGTTTCTTGACCGGTAGTGGCTGGTGATTCAGTATTCGGCTCTGGATTTGAAGAGCCCCCAACGGACCAGTGGGTGCCATAACCCATTTTCAGGTAGCTCATCAGCTTGTTGACTCCGCCTTCTTCCGTGTCGCCCAAGCTGTCCGTCGCAGGCAATGCTACGTTCTGAGCTTGGTTGTCCTTTAAAGTGTCTGGCGCAGTTTGCGTATCCTGAGGCACACCTTTAGAGGTTCGGCGAGCTTTTCTGGCTTGTCGGACTGACGACGGCCGGTCCTTGACACCATACGCATCCTCACCCCATGTATACAAGTCTTCCATCCACTGCGTGATGTCGCAGATTGATCTCTTGGAGATGGCTCCGACACCCAGGAAGATGGCTCCGTCTTCGCCAGAGGGCTCCTCGCCTGTGCCGAGCCATTTCTGGGTCACGTTGGCGGACTCGGAGGCGTTGCTGTCTGCCAAGCCGAATTTGGAGACGATCAGGTCTGTCAGACCTTCCACTCTCCCCACGAAACCCTCGAGTACCTCACGTTCACCACTGCCGCGATGTTCTTCGCCAACGCCAATGCCGAGCTCGCCACAGGCAGCAATCTTTATGCCCCCGAAGACGTTGACAGCAGGGTTGCCATGAAGCATGACGTTCCAGGTGGAAAGGAACAAATCCCAGAACCGGCTCAGGACGGAGACAAATTTTGCCCGCTTGAGCCTCACGAACATGGCGCTGAGCGAGGTCGTGTGGTGGAGGAGGAACGTCGAGTGCGCGCGCAGAAGGTCCTGTAGCAGAAGCGTGGCCGGCTTCATCTCACGGGACGAGTATTCGACATTTGCGGCGGGATCATTGGTTTCGGGGGATGTTGAGCCAAGCCTCGGAGGGAGCGGTATCTTTGTCAGATCGACTGACTGTGCATCGTTGGGTTTCTTGGTTAGCTCATCGTGCGCCTCCGGGCGGTGATCACCGTCAACGGTAGCAGCAACGAAACAAAACGTACAGCGAGAATCCACCATCCGGGCTCGAGCTCGTGAAGCACATAGCGAGACTTGTCGGTATCTATTGTGTCGAGGACCTGGCCGCCGGCGAAACCCCTGCTGAATTCGACCATGCCTTGTGCGAGGCCGATCTGGCGGAGGCGCTCGTTGCGCTCAGCCTGCGAGACATTGGCAATGGGCTTGCCACGGGAGCGGTGGCGGCGGCCGCCGGCCTGGGTGTTGACCGAGGCATAGTAGACAATTTGGTCATCCAAGGTCTCGTCGCTAATGCCTAGAGAGGGATTGAAGATTGTGAGGAAGCCAAGCTGCGCCGGCACGATAGATGCGGGTGCGGGAGAGGCAAGAGCAGCCATGGGACCGGGAACAGGCAATGCGTCAGTGGAGGGCGGGGCCCGAGGACGGGAGACGGCAACGTTTCTATGCCTTGGTCTGAAGAGACGATGACGGGGCGCGTGGCAGTGACGTGTGTGTGCGCAATCAGGAGGGAACGCGGCAAATGCCGTTGAGGATGGGTTGAAGCTGTCGTGGGAGCGAGCCCGGCCTTAAGAGATGCGGCGGCGGCGGTTGCTTTGGGGATGCGGGAGGGGCAGCAGCGGTAAGTCAAGCATGCACGGCATGGGAAAGCCTCATCGTGATCGTGTCTTGCCCGGCCTGGCGTCCAATGCGTCGAGGTACAGCACGCCGCGCCACATGCGCAATGGACCTGCACCTTGTGCGACGGAGGCGTGGGCACCCCCGGCCCTCATCACATCACAGCGGGCTGTCGTGTCTATTCTTCCCTGGGCATCCTCGTTCTCGGGACTATCGGCTTGCAAGGGACCATGGAGCATCAGTACTTAGCATAATACCATCCATGTCCGTAGCATGCTGTACTTTCCCTATCTCTGGATCACCCCTCCTGGCCCGCACCCAATTGTTTCCAGCCCGCTCTGGAGCAGTGCAGTGAGCCTCACAGGTCCCGGAACAGGCGCCGGACAAATTGCCCCGCGGGCGCACCAGGATCGTAGCGTCACCGTAGCAATTGCCATGCCAGTTCGGAGCATTACATTTGCAAAGCTGCATCAGGGGTGGCCCCTGTGATGGCTGGCTGGTTGGCCTGGCCAGCCGATCTCGAGCTAGATTGCTCGAGGCGCCGCCTCGCTCATGCACCATCCCGAATGCCCTGCATCGGGCTGTGTCGCGGCCAGCGAGAGGCGGCCCGCCCTGTTCCGCGTCGGTCGCAGCCTCGTGGCTGGTGGAGGCCAGGGCGAGGGGCCGGCACGCAGCATCGAGATTGTCTCCCAAGCCATGGCACCTCTTCATCACGATCTCGCTCTCCGGGTCCTGGCAATCACCAAAACGCTCCACCCCTCTGCCTGCACCTGCGCTGTTCGTGTTTAGCAGTCCAGACCCTCCAAGACTTCAGACTGCAGATCCATCTGGTCTCCTCGACACCGCGAGGCCGGACAATGGGACTGGACCCTGGGACAGCAGGCGCAGCAAACGATGGGTTGTTCTAGGCCAGGGCACCTGTGCTCTCGAAACTCGCCCAACTCACAACATCACGTGGCGGGCCGAGACAATGCAATGGGGCTGCATATTCAGGTGTCGTGTTGCATGGTATGGTGCCCAGAGCTAGCTAACCTCCTTGCCCCCCCCCCCCCCAAAACGCTGAAGCACATGCCGGTTTCGACAACTGGAGGCGACGCGCCGTCGTTGTCTCCGGTAGTGGCAGCATATCCTTGGGTTTCCACGATATCGTAGCTGGCCTCTTCCATGGTCCAGCAATCGCAACCACTGTCGGCATCAGAACGGGTAAGCCCTGGCCTCGTCCTCACCTTCCACGTCCAGCCCTCGGGCCAGCTGCTCCTCGTGCTTGGAGTCCAGATACTCGAGCAGGACCGCGCCGTACTTGTCCTTGCCCTTGTACCGGCTCACGTCATCGCCCCAGCTACGCACCGCGCTCGCGAGGCGGCCAGGCACATAGTCCTCCTCGGCAATCTCGGTCATGGGGTGGAAGTACGTGCGGATCGTGAAGACGACGCCGCCGCTCCTCGGCAGCCGCCGCAGCGTCTGCCGCTCGGAGCGGAAGTGGTGGTGCTGAATCGCCCGGTTCTTCTCGGCCGTGCTCCAGCTCACGAGCGCAGCGTCCTCGTCCCCGATGCTCCACGACCACGCCAGCTCGTCGTCCACCTGCACAAAGTAGTTGTTGCGCGCAACCATCTCCTCGGGCTTCAGGCGCCGAAAGAAGTTCATCATGCCCTTCTCCAGCTTCTCCTTGTACTGCGGCACCGACCCGGACGTGTGGATCTCGGATAGCGGCATCCCAAGCTTGTCTGTCAACCGCCAGAATCCGGCCAGCAGGATGGCACCCGCGAGCAGGTAGTACTGGCCGTCTTCCTTCTCAATCATGATGGCCAGGTCGTCCTGCACGAGCCGCGCACACATCTGCATGGGATCCTCCGCCAGGGGGCGGGCGGTGATGTCGAACGTCTCGCCTGACCACAAGTTGTCCAGGCCTCTTTGCGTGCGGCGGTAAAGGCTTGGATATCGTGCTGGCAGGTATTCCGTAAGTTCCTCGAGCAGCTCCATTGCCGCAGGGTACGCCTCTGGGGCGGTATGGCAGCATTTGGACCCCCGCTCCTCGATGCGCTGCTTCTTGTCGGCGTGAAAGCGCGGGAAGTCGTTGTCCAGCTCGATCCAGTCCTCGTGCTTGACTGTCCTCAAGCCCATGGTGACATTGTACTTTGGCCCGTACCGGAACGGTCGATATGGTAAAGGTTTCGTGTGCTCCAACGACCAGGCGGGATAAGGCTCGGGCCTGGGCATGACAAAGTCTGAGCGCTCCCAGCGACCCCAGGTTCGGGTCTGGGGTCTCGCTGCATCACGGTGCGTGCCTTTTTCTAGTATGGGAGTCGATGGACTCGAGTTATTCTGCGCTCGGGTTTGCCGTTTCCAAAGGTGAACGCCTAACGCGGTGACGACTAGGACGCTCAGGACGAGCGCTCCTGCGTAGTGTCGCACATGGCTATCTTGGAGCACGCCCGAAGGAGTGAATCCGCGAAGTCTTTCCATCGTGTAAAGTGCGCTGCAGATGCAGGTCTCTTGGTGACGCAGCCTCGATAAAGATCCAGCAGCGGCGCCTCCAAGTACCTATAAGTAGGCGTGCGGGGATCGTGATAAGCTCGTTCAGACGTGGAAGGATCTCTCGAGGTGTTCAACTGTCCCGCAATGCTACCACTTCGGCTGCCAAAACGGCAAATGGTCTCAAAGATGCCTGATCAGGAGCGAGCTCGCGCGCTTTGGATCTCTAATCTGCAACGAGCAAGTCGTGCGCATCGCCGTCATGCCATCCCATCTCGCCAACAGTTACCATTCATTGGGGAAGCGGAGGGTCCCGGAGGGGTGGTTGAGATTGCCCCATCGGGGTAGCGCAACCGGGCACCCGGGATTGCTGGACAACCGCTCCAATGGCGGCACCACGCCCATCCTTTCCCTTTCAATGTGTGTTGTGTGTGTTTGCGACTGTTTGACACTATCTTGCAGATGGATGAGATGCTTCGGAATACTTTGAGACCTTTGTATGGTTGCCGAACGGCCGCGCCGGTTGGCGTCCTGGGTGCTTTTTAGCATCACTTACAGCTTGCAGATACCGTAGCACAACATCAACTCGCGGAGTCTTAAGGAAGGGGAACATTTTGAATGGAAGCTAGTTGTAAGCCCTGCTGTATCAAAGTGTCCCCAAGACTTCGAGGGACTGGTACTTTGTGACACCGAAAACAGACTGTATGTGCGCAGCAAGTGGGTGAGACCTCCGCTTGACAGCGCTTCTTTGCCGCCGTGGACCTTCGCCTTGAGAATACAATCGAACGATGCTCAAGACGAGGCATTAGTAGTAACTCACTTCGTCTTCCATCACCGCGTTGCTTGACGTTTCCTATGGACCCGCCTATGTCATATGACAGTCTGGTGCCGCTTGGACATCAGCAGCGCCAACGGGGAACCTTCCACCATGCTACTTCGCTTATTCCACGGTCCCGCGCGGGACGTCGAGCCTCATTCTGCTACTCCTGTTCATGCACTGCTACGCTCAATTATTTCACTGCGGTGGAGCGTTGTCACTCAGCTAGGCTGGCATCCTCCTCACTGCGCGCAAGCATGACCTCGTGCCGTCACGTGGCGGCTGCTGCCGTCATAACATGTCACGGCTACCACCACAATCAAGCGACGTTTAATGCCAGACAATGAATGTGGAGCATGTATTTGAGAACCGCGCTGGCTTGTTGCGAGTTCTGGGAACCCTGAAACCGCCCAATCGTGTGGTATGCGTCTAATTAAAGCTAGGGGTATCTGATGATGATGTTCGGGAAAAGACAGAACGTGGCTCGACAACGACAAGCCTTGCAAAGACAGAAGTCCCTTTCCCCCTTTCCAACCCCGCGTAAGCAAAACTGGAAAGTCGCCAAGGACAACTTGCGAGGGCAACAGGTGGTTTTCTAACCGCAGTACTCGAAGGCAGGGCAGCCGACAGCACTGCCCTTGTCACCACCGACACCGGCGACAGTGAGGATGGCGTTGAAAACACCCCCAATACCCTCACCCGCACTCAAACCAGCAGCCAGACTGTACGCGTACATCTCCCAGGTGTGGGGGCTCTTCTTGAGCCAGATGTGACTGGCGATGGCACCAACAGCCATGGCCGTGGAGTAGTGGGTCTGGTAAAGGGTGAAAGCCAGGCCGACGGCGTTCATGTTGGGGACGTAGACGTGGTACTTCTCGGGAATCCAGAGGTACTTGGCAGCAATGAGGACGATGGAGAAGAGACCGAAGACAAGGGCGGTGATAGCAGCCGAGTTGGGGACCGGGAAGTCGACCGCAGTGACGGCGGTGGCAATGGCCGTCCACGCGGCGACGGAAGGCAGACCGAACTAGATGAACGAAGTCAGTCACACGGCGTGGAACCAAATGAAAAGGGTTGGCCAAAGACTTACAGCACACTCGCCGGCATCATAAAGTGCCTTATCGGTGATACAAGGGTACGCCTTGCCGAAGAGAAGGAACAGACCAGCGCAGAGGAATACGGAGGCCAGGGCACCAACGGCCTGGGCAATGAATTGGGCGTAGGGAGATGTGCTCATGAGGAAACCGGTACGGAGATCACCCAACATGTCAACAGAGGCAGAAGCGGCACCGGCAGCAACGATACCACCAGTCATGTTGATGTTGAGGGCGTCCGGGCCATGGACACCCTGGCCCTGAGTGATACCACCGAAGACCAATTGCGAGCTCTTGCCGCAAGTCGAGACAGGGTTAATGTCAGTGGCTCCGGAAGACTGAGCAGCAATGAAGCTGAAGATGAAGGCAAGGATAACGGCCAGCAGAGTCAGGCCCGGGCTGACGTTGTACTGCAAAGCGAGGACAATCATCGAAACAGCGATGGAGAGGAGGACACCACCAGACCAAAGCCAGGTGGGGACATGCTCAGCCTTGGGCGCCGGATCCTCGATTTCACGCTCAGCAGTCGTGAGGTGCTTCTCGGCAAAGGCCCGAGTCGCAGGGATCCTCTCCGCAGTCTCGAAGAAAGCCCTCTTCATGCCGCGGTACATGATGGGACCGTTCATGGCGACTTCGGCGAAAGAGGCGCAGAGCATAACCATGACACCAACCCACAAGTTCCAGTATCTGGGCGAGGGCGCGGTAAGAGCCTTTGAGGGGCTGAGCGAAATGTAGTTCATGTAGCCAGGGAAGTTTTCCTCGTCCACAGGCGATCCGAAGGTAGTGCCGGTCGCGACGGTGACGGGGCCGATGATGGCCCAGGCGAGGACACTGCCACCGAAGAAGGACAGCGAAGCGTTCATACCACTGAGGATACCAGCGCCCAAAAAGGCGGGGGTGTACTCAAAGAACCAGTTCCAGCTCTCAGCGGCGATGATACCCTGCCAGCCCCAGGTGTAGAGCCACCAGAAAACGTGGTGGTCCCAAAGGATGCCGGGCGCGTATACGGACACAATGCGGAGAAGCATGGCACCAACGAAAGCAAGAGCAAGGCAGATGGACTTCTTCTTCGCACTCTTGGCAGCATCGCCACCAACGGCGTGGAGGGCGCGGATGGTGTAGGCGACAGCGGTGGGCGACGGGAAGATGAGCTTCAGCTTGAGAATGTAGAACTTGCGGAGGGCGATGGCGAAGAAAAGCCCGTAGTAGGCAGTGCACAGGCCGAATGTAATCAGCTTGCCAATATCTACACAAAACGAGTTAGAGCATGTAAGGGAGAAAGAAAATTTCGGCATGGAAGCGCTGACCGTCCTGGGGGTTCTTCGAGAGCAGGCCCAAGTGGTACATGGCGGGGATAGGACCGATGAACAGGATTCCGAGGCCACCAGCAGCCGTCGCGGCAGTCTGCGAGATGGTGTTTTCTGCGTGGACACATTTGATCAGTATGAGGGAAACAAAGCCAGGATCAGACTACAGTGATGTTGCTTACCCTTGGGACCAAAGTAACCACCGCCCAGGTAGCGAGGGCCATACTTGGAAATGGGCTTGAGGATGGCGAAACCCAGGATGGAGCCAAAGAGAGAGGCACCAAAGGTCCAGCTAGTCTTGAGACCGAGGTAGATGTTGGAGGCGGAGACGACAGCACCGAGCGCAACACCGACGAGGAGGGCGCGGAAGGTGAGCTGTCTCTCCTCCTCGGGAGCACCCTTGATGGGAGGGAAAGGGACGAAGGTGTCCAGGACCTCCTCATCGTCGTCGGAGGGCGCCTTGTCAACATCGACATAGGTGTCCGCCTTCTCGTCAATGGAGGGCACCTGCTCCGGCACCTGCACGGGCGCGGTGGTCTTGTCGTGAGCCTCAATGATCTCGGCCGCCATTGTTCAGAACTGCACGGGCTGGTCTGAAGAGAAGGGATGGGGTTGTCCGTCCAAGGATTGCCCGGAGGGAGGGGGGGACAGCCTGCTCTTATATCACAACTGTCACCCTGCGCCATTGTTGCAATTCCAGATCCCTCTGACTCTCGCCCCTTCCGTCTAATCGACAGCTTGACAGACAGGACCAGGACCAGGACCAGGGACAACAAACATTCCCCACGGCTGGCGTTGAGCCCCCGGAAGCTCGTGTGAGCGGTGGTGGGCTGCTCACTTGCCTGTTCCGGGTCGAATTTCGGGCATCCTGGTGGTGGCCCATAGCTCCATTGCTGGATGGAGCCGCATCCTGCCGGCGCCGGTGGCCATGTTTTTTGCACGACGGCCGTGGCAAAACACCATGTTGGCACCAGGAGGGTCGTCGATTCGCTGCACCGTTGTGCACTTGTGCGATGATCATGCTGCAGGCAGGACACCCCTGGCACCACGCCCACAGGCTCCACCCGGGGCCATGCAGGTCTATCAGCGGTGCCGCCCTCCGAGTGGCATGGCATGCGCAGGCAGGCAGGAAGAGGGACATGGTCTCATCTCGGGCTGCGTATCAACGGGGAGGCGCTGGCGGGGATCTGGACAACCAAAAAGGGGTGGGGCCCGCCGAAAGAGGCAGGTCGGACGGCTTATTCCTCCGCCACCAGCGTGTCAATGCTGGCTGGCATGCTTCTTGGCAGGCGCCGAGAAAGTGCTTCTTGCGCGCCGAGCACACGGAAGCCCTCCAGAACAACGCCCGCGCACCAATGGCGCCCGCCCTCGGCCGCTGATGCCAAGATAAAGCTCCCACCCCTGCTCCTCCTGCAGCCGGTGCGCGCCCACCGGATCCCGGCTGCCAATGCCTGTCGCCTGCCTCTGGTGGTCTCGGAGGCGATTCTGCCAAGACCCTCTGATAGCAGGCAGCGCCATCATCGTTGCAGATGCCCAGTCAGTACAGCACAGTACCACACCCACGCCGCCGCCCGCCAGCGCCATGCCCGAGCTTGGCTGCGGTTAAGCTCTGCCCGCAGGCAAAGCTTGGAAGGCTTGATCCCGCCGCCGCCGATCACCAGCCTTGCCAGCAAGAACAATCCTCTGCTGGGGCCGGCCGGCGCATCACAAAGGCCTTCGTCGCCGGCGACCGGATGTCTCCCGTCGCGAAACGTAACAGCTTCGTCGAGGATGACAGTACAAGGACGCCCCGGTGGATCACTCGGCCGGCACCAGACAGGACCTCGTCGGAAAGGGTGGTCAGGACTGTGGTCCAGGCGTCGGAGGGGCCTTCCCATTGCGGACGTCCCTCGGCTGCAGAGAACATGATCGCGCACGCAACAAACAGCATGGCTTGACAGATGTTGCTGACATGCTGCACGACGGCGACAAATGGCACTGCGTGGATGTACACCGGCCCGGCCATTCAGCAACGCCTGCTGGCATCGAGTGTTTAGACGTCACAGCTTCAACCGGGCGATTCCAAGTGGTTGTCAAGGGACGTACGAGGCGTAGGGCAGGTTTGCACGCATGTGACACACCACACCACGATGCAGCTCCAGCGAGTGGTCTTCGCCATATCTGACCTTCTTTCGTGTCACGAAATTGGCATCGTAAAACTTTCCTCGTGCCTCTGGCACGCTCCTTTGTCAAGCGTGAGTGGAGATTCGTCTTCTGACCAGACTACTGGAGGCAGGCGGCAGGCAGGCTATCCCTGGTCGCGTGCCAAGACAGAGATCATTGTCGTCTTGGCGCAATCAAAATCTGCCATTGCCATTGTAATGATAAGATGAAGGACACGCTCGTACAGTGACCAACATGACAAGGATTGGAATCAACCAGTGATCGTGCTCGGGAGTCCGCCAACTTTCATGTATGTACGTGGTCAGTCAAGTAACCTAGAGATACGACCGCACCTGGTGTAGATAAGTGCTACGGGGAAAGACTCTCGTCTCTGAACATCCATGTATGCCATACGCCAGATGTAGTTGTCTGACATGCGATACTCTTGTTGATAAAATCAAGCCTGGGGCCTTTCTGAGCTCTGGGACATAAGCGCAAATGCTCCGGTCTTGTCTGATTGCCTGGTTAGACCCATCATGCTGTGTCCGGCGAAAGCCAGGCTGCGATCTCTCGTGCACGACAAGCCGCCATGAACCAGACGGGGCTAGAAAGCGACAAGCACAAATACGTCCTGCGGAGCACGGGGAAATGGTCCAGGTGCAGTAGGCGCCCAAAGTTGAACCCCTTCACATGCACACGCACAACTGCGGCCACAAACAACCTTGAAAGTCTTGCATTTGTTCAAGCGGGCCTTCAGAAAGTGGAGCCGAGCAACTTAGAATCCATCTCTCCCTCGACCTCCAGGAAGCATAGAAGTCGTGAGGCTGATACACGAAGCCACACCGAACCGCATCAGCCACACAGCCACGACGACCATTACGTAAGCTACGGAGTGACGACACCGCAACTGAAGACTCTCTAGGCTCCATCGTAACCCCTAGCGGGTGTATGTTGCCGCCGATCAGGCTTCCAAAGTCAAACTACCTAGGTACCTTCCAACCTCAAGAAGCTTCCTCACACTCGCGACTCGAAAATTTCGACGACCATCTCCTTGAAGACCGAGCAAGCAGGACAGCTTTACATCATCAGCAGACCCGACACTCACCGAACCTATCCATATCGTCTAGTCAGCCTGCGCAAAGGTCTCGGAGGCAGCTGCCCCTCATTCGGGCCCGGGTCACGAGCACCACGATCGCTCAATTCGAACAAAGGCACAAAAGCGTGCGGCGATCCCACGGTCTGGACGGCGATTAAAGGTCACAATCAAAATGCCGCCCCCTCCTCCACCACCACCACCGCCGCCGCCGGGCATGGGAGGACCTCCCCCTCCACCACCACCTCCACCTGGCGGCCTACCCACGAGACCACCAGCAGGTGCCGGCAGAGTACGTCTCGTCCTCGGCACTTAGTAGCTACTATCAGTCTGACCAGCTATAGGGTGCACTTCTTGGCGACATTACAAAGGGCAGGGCGTTGAGGAAGGCAGTCACAAATGACAGATCTGCGCCCGTCGTAGGCAAGCCAGCCGGCGGCGGAGGCCCTCCCATGGGTGGTGCGCCGCCTGTTCCGGGTATGGGCGCACCAGCTGTACCCGGAGGACTCGCGCCGCCAGTACCAGGGAACCGTGCAAGAAGCAATAGTGATCAAGGCGCCGGCGGCGCCAGCGGCGCTGCGCCAACAATGGATGCCGCGCCTCAGCTTGGGGGGTTGTTTGCTGGTGGCATGCCAAAATTGAAAAAGAGGGGAGGCGGTGTCGATACTGGAGGTAAGGCGAAGAGTGGCAGAAGAACTTTGTGATATGCTTGGCTGACATTGATGGCAGCCACGGGAGAAGCCTCATATAAGTCGGACTCGGAGGCGCCGAGAGCACCATCACTTCCTTCGGTACCAAGGCCACCAGCTGGAGGTGCCCCAGCCGTGCCGGGACGTGCTGTTCCTCCTGCACCTGCCGCCGTCGCCCATCTTCGTAGTGTTGCTAGCGATAGCCCTCGTCCACTTTCGAGCGCATCTTTGAAAGGGCCACCGCCACCTATTGGAAAGAAGCCGCCTCCTCCCCCGGGCTCACGAAAACCCTCATCAAATTTGTTGCCTCCGCCAGGTGCGCCGGCGCCTCCTCTGCCACCACCACCGCCGCCTTCTTCCGCACCGGCACCTCCGCCCCCTCCGCCGCCACCCTCGGCAGCACCAGCAGCTCCCTCAAGAAGCCCACTGCCACCACCGCCTCCAGCCGCACCGCCATCCGCACCGCCATCCGTCCCCGCGAGCGATGGGTTCTCCTCGAGCATTGCGGCTCAGGCAGCAGCGCTGCGCGGGGCGTCATCGCCATCAGCGGCTCCTCCAGCTCCTCCGCCTCCTCCTCCTGCTGCTGCGCCTCTTCCACCGACATCTGCACCCCCGCCGCCAGCTTCGGTTGCAAGAGAATCTGCTGTCGCAGGTAATCGTGCCCGCGCCGGATCGAATTTGCGCTCGCAGATGCTCGACCCTAGTGCCTACACTTTGGCGCCAACCAATGGAAACGCGGCAAAATCACATAGTCCATCGCCATTGCACACCAGCGCGCCAAGTCCTCAAGAGCGATATATTGTGCAGGATTCGAGATGGAGGTTTACTGTTGATTCCATGCTACCCAAACCTCGACCCTTTGTGGGAGGTCCCAAAAACTACCGTGCTGGCCGCGGAAGCAGTGTGCCGCTCGACCTGAGCACGCTATAAGGACGCGACAACCAGGCACGACTAATGCCGGCTTGACAGCCCGTTTTGTCAGCAGCACAACTTGCGTGCCTTGTGGAAAGAGAAAGGGCTTTGCTTCGGTAGGGCGACCGGATGTGCATATAGCGTAGGCTTCTTTATTCAATGACTTCTAAGCCGCGTCCCCAATATATACTACAGTCAGCATGTGTTACTTGCCAGCTCATTGGGTGCCGATGGAGTGTATGCGACTTATTGATATGATATGGCGGCCGCCTTGGTCCGTCGCAATCCGCTCAAAGTCGCGTGCGCTATGGCGGCTTTGCGGTGCGGGTCGGTTGCCGGAGTCCGAGACCGCACTGGGCGGTGCGGGCTGGGCGGCTTAATCCGCGGGCGGCGGATTCGGAGCGGGACCCGGCACAAATCCCCTCACCAGCCAGTGCCATGCCTACCTGCTCATGTGCGTGCTGCTGCAGCAGCAAACCCTGCGTCTTGGTTCATTTTCTTCTTCCTGTATTCTGAGATCACGCTGCCAAGTTGGCCTCCAGGACATTGCCGTCTCGTCCTCCAGCGCTTTGTGAATTGACGCGCTAAATTCCGGCTGGTCGGTAGCCGATGACGTAGGAGGTGTGGCAGAAAGCGAGCCTGTGTTTCCGAGACACCAAGACCACGACCAGAAGACAAGGACTGCACGCCATGAGTGCCGTCCTGGCACCGCTGCGGTGGTTTTACCACGAGTTCGGAGTCGACAGTCTGCACGGAGCCGGCCGAAATGCGTACCTGGTTATCACCGCGCGCTCGTGCCGCATGTTTGCGTACGGCACCAACGCCCTCATCCTCGCCCTCTTCTTCGCCGAGCTCAAGTTCTCCGACTTCCGCATTGGCTTGTTCATGAGCCTGACGCTCCTCGGCGATGTGTTTCTGGGCATGTGGCTCACCCTCATCGCCGACAAAGTCGGCCGCCGCCGTGTCATGTTCCTCGGCTCGTTTCTAATGGTCATGAGCGGCTTTGTGTTCGCCGTCTTTGAAAACTTCTGGATCCTCTTGCTCGCCGCCATCGTCGGCGTCGTCAGTGCCACAGGTGGTGACTTTGGGCCGTTCCGTGCGATCGAGGAGTCAATTCTGTCTGAGCTGACGAGTCCCACGACCCGCTCTGATGTTTTCACGTGGTACGTCACCACGTCAACTTTGGGCTCTTCGATTGGCAGTGAGGCGTCAGGCCGCATCATACACTATCTACACGACGGGCCCGAGGGTTGGTCGCTCAAAGATGCCTATCATACCATCTTCTGGGTGTACACAGCCATGGGCGTGGTAAATGCCCTGCTCGTGTTGCTTCTGACGGATGCTTGTGAGCTCAAACGCAAAGACGACGCAGGAGGGTACTCCCAAGTTGCGACCCAGGACGTCATCGAAGACGAGTACGAGACCAACAGTGATACTGGCGCGGCGCCTCCAAAGGACGACCACGATCTATCGAGGTCCCTTTTTGGCCGCCTTCAAAGTCAGCTGTCGTCCATTTCCGCACCCACCCGGCGCGTCATGTACAAGCTCTGGGTGCTGCTCGCGCTCGACTCTGTCGCTGACGGCATGGTCCCATACTCGCTTACGAACTACTACGTCGACAACAAGTTCCACCCCGCAAAGTCCACTCTTGGCGATGTGACTTCTGTCGCGTACTTCCTCGGCTCAATCTCGTCCATCTTCGCGGGCCCCCTGGCACGCAAGATCGGCCTCGTGAGCACAATGGTCTTCACCCACACCCCGTCCTCCGCGGCGGTCCTGCTCTTTCCTGCGCCAAGCACCTTCTGGATGACCGCTTTCCTTCTCTTCGTCCGCGCGGGACTCAACAATATGGACCAGGCGCCGCGCTCGGCCTTCATTGCAGCCGTCACCAAGGCGGACGAGCGGACCGCGGTCATGGGGATCACCAACATGCTGCGTACTCTGGCGGCCATGCTTGGTCCCTCGGTCACTGGCGCGCTTGCGGGAAACGAGCGGTTCTGGGTCGCGTTTGTGGTCGCGGGGAGTTGTAGGCTGCTATACGATTTTGGCTTGTTCATCATGTTCAAGAACATGCCGCTCCACCAGCATGAGGACGGAGCCACAGGGCAGCGTTCCGATGCCGGGGGCCGAGGCCGAGATGAGGAGGAGATGGATGGCGATGAGATGGACGATCTGCCGTCGCCGAGCGAGTTCAGTAGCGGCCGCTCAACACCGAGCACGCGATGAGAAGACGAGGATTAAGCCTGGCTTATAAATCCGCCTTCTGGATACCGGCTTTTGTTATTTGAGCGATAGAGAAGTGTACAAGACAAGACTGATCTAGGTATACAGTGATTCCATATATAATTCGATCCGTTCGATCTCAGCTTTGAACAGTTCTGCAGACACGTTTTCTTTCGTGCTTCGTGTGCCTTCTCACCCCCTCAAAACGATGTCTAAGATGCCATGGTATGTATAGTCGTATCCTCCAACAATACTGGAGGCATATACATGACCTTGAGCCCGTGCCTGACATGACGACCGACTCGCAACAAATAATCAAGTCCTGCGGCCAACAGCAAGCAAATCTTCCAGTGTAACTTCCACCATGGCTGGGTTGAAGCCGTATTGGTGGTGGTGGTGCTCGCGCGTCTGTGAGTCCTCCCCGAGTTCGTCGTTCCCGAGAGTGTCTTGTTCTCCCGGGCTGGTTGGACTGAAGCGCGGAGATGTAGGGCTATACGAGCGGCTTCTGTGAGGGATAGGCGGCGGTACAGTCGCGGAGTACTCAGCCGAATCTTCCAGGGTCCAAGGAATAGCGGCATGGCCCGGCCGGGACAAGTCGTAGTGCACAGCTGGTCTCGATCCGGCTCCCGTCGTCTCGCTTTCGCGGCCCTTTGGCTCGTTCCGGATGACTCCTGGGTATAGTATCTCCGTACGCTTTGTCACCTCGAGCCCCGCCTTGAGTCGTGAAGCCTCTCTCAGCAAGCGCCGTTCTTGCTCAATCTCTTGCCGTGCAATCTTCCGGATCTCGGCTTCTCTTCTAGCTGCTTCCTTCTTAAGCCTCTCGATTGCCCTCAAGCGGCCTTCGCCGTACCGGCGCGACATCTCGAAACCAAGGATCCCCTGCAGGCAGTACGCCCAGTCCTCCTCGTATGTCGTCTGTCGACCTTTCATCCATGAGAGCTTCTCCTCAATGGTGAAATGCGCGAGTGGTAGCGTTCCGAGCAGGGCCTCCCTACTAATCCGCGTGATGGCATGTATCACATGCTGCAGTGACTCCTTATCTCCGAGCGGTACGCCCTCGCTGGAAAAGAAGACGACCCGCGACGGCGCGAGAAGCTCCTGCAGCGTCCAGCCCCGCGTCCACCACCGGCTCCCGACCAGGTCGTCGAGAGCCAGCACGTCGTGAAGGTAGACGTAGCATACGCGTGCGCTCTGATACCACGCAAACATGGCATTGAATGCGCCGTGCTTCTCATCCGGGTGCGCTTTGTTGATACAACAGCTGTCGATCCAGCAGTGCCGGAGCCCGTCCCGCTGGATCTGGGCCAAGCAGAAGTCGACCTTGCGCCATCCTGCAGCGTTTTGGTGTCGCCGCTGCCGCTGCGGCGATGTCCTTGACGATCGCTTGCCGCGCACGAGGTCCTCGTACGTCACTTCTTGCCCGTGGATCCACGTATGCGAAAGGATAGCGTATGGCGGGACTTTGTTGTGGTCGAGGTCACGAGTCAAAGTACACTTGCCGCCTGGCGTGAGCTCGAGCAGGCGCATCTTGGGCCAGGCGGCTCGTGCTGATTATAGGCTTGTGTGCCGGTCTGCTAATATCTCAACATGTGTTGATGGAGCTTCGGAAAAGACAGGGGATTTGGCTGTTCAGGTGTGAGATCTCCCAATGCGGGTCTTCGAAAGCGGGGAAACGGTCTCTCCTCATTCGCTGACATCCCAAGGATGTATTCTTTCGATCTGCGCAGGTCGTTCGTGGGTCTTGATACTACACAATCAAAAGCACATGGTAGTGCTGGGCTTGGAGGTCATCTGGTCTCTGTTTCCCAGTACCTCGTTCGTACCCTCTGCGGAGCGCAGCAGGATAGGGCTTTGGCCCAATTTACACTACTTTAGTGTGCCTCGCCGGAAAGCTACAGCTTTGGGCATGTCATTCCAGATAGAAGAACATCCAGACGCCCAACAATTTCCCATCATATTACATCGTGCCCTTCTCCTCACTACCATCAATCAAATCGGGTTCCGCGAGCCCCATTACCACCGGTGCTACCTTTCATGATAGATTCCATGTCCACGCCGACCCATCGCATCTCCCGAGCAGGTGGCGACACGGACTGAGGGGGCGATGCTTGCTGTTTGAGACTCTGCCTGACACCCAGGCGCTCAACAACCTCGGCCGAGATGATATCGAAGCTTTGCTTGAGAGCCACCGAGTTCTCCCAACGTTGACCATATTTCGCAAGAGTTAAGCCTGTCCGTTGAAGACACCGCAGGCTTCGCTGAATGCTCTCGCCCGAGGTGGTTGCCGCCCCAGGCGGCAGGGACGGTGGCGGAGGCTTGCCATACTCGCTCGGTGGGGACGGAAGAGGATTTCCGGACAGGAGCAAATCCTCTGCGTCGCGGAGGACAGCAATAAATTGACTCGCAATGAAGAAAACACGCAGGGCGTCATGGTACGTGTAGAAGGCGCCGCTGGCACTATTATGAGAGACGTCGTAGATTTTGTCGAGATAGGCCATAGAATACTCGAAAATCAGCAGCCGACTATAGTCCGTCATGTACGGGGTTCTTTCTGAGGGCGCGAGAAGGAAGACGAAGCTGTAGTGTAATTCAAGATCAAACCATGCTCTGAATCCAGTGGGAAGTGAGCTTGGAAGGGTTTCGCCCCATTCTTTCATGTCCCGACACATGGTCCATACGAAATTCGTTGGGTCTTTGAGCGGGACAGAACCAGACTGGTAGAGTTCTTGGTACCAGTGTGATTGTGCCCTTCGAAGTTGGAAAAGAAGAAAACCAGGCTCGGTACCCGTATGTGGTTGGCCAGTTATCGACTGCCTCCGAGCAAAAGAAGAAGCCCTCGGCCAAGCGACGTTGATCGAGCCATGTGTAAAGGAGAATGCCCTTGCGAAACTCATGCTTATGGTTCTAATTTTTCGTTAGCCTCGCCCGATCAAGCAATCCTCAAAGAAGAACACTGAGAATTTACCTGTCAAGAGCATAGACACAGTAGAATGTCTTGCGTCTGAGATCAAGGGCTGCCTTATCTGTCACCTGGTCACTCGGAGGGTCTTGGTGGTAGCCGAGGTCGATGACAGCTCGGCACGTAAAACCAATGAGGTGCCAACTGTCGAAGTGCGCTGGATCCAGCATGGAATACTGAGTAAGCAAGATCAGCGACTGGATCTGTGATGTGTAGCCGGGCATCAGAGCGCGATCGGCATATCCCATAGCCTTCGAGGCGAAGTGACTGCCACTTTTGAAGAAGTCGTCGTCTTTCACCTGGCTCTGGGCCATGGAGCCGACAGCGAGCACCATGTAGACGAGCCAAAAGTCACAGTCCCGTGGCGATCGTTCTTTTTGGGAGTATACGTGATCCAATGCGGCGTACAGTACTGATTCAGGAAATGAAGGGAAGAGCGAATAGATGTTAGTCATGTAATACTGGATTGTGGCCATGATAGTGTGGCGAGGAGGCAATCCCCAGTTCTGAGAATCTGGTAGCGGGTCGTTGGATGCAGCAGCAAGAACAAGACGAGCAAAAGTCATGTTGCTGCTCATCGACGGCTCGAAATCCCTGGTGGTTGCGTTGACTGATCTTGAAGAATGTGAGTACGGATCTCTCAATGTCGTGGGTGAGCTATGGTGCTTACAGAAAGCCGAACTCGGCCATGAGAGAGTTGACGTCGGAGTCTTCTCGCCGTCGAGCTGCTTTGCGATGTATCGCATCACGGATTTTCGCGAGGGAATCTTTGCGGTTGGACTCGGTCATAGCCATGGGTCCCGCTTCGGAGTCGTGCCGAGCCACAGATGCCTTTCTCAGTCGAGCAAAAGCCAGTCGCCGCTCCAATTTCTCTATGCGGAGTTCTAAGGCCGCAACATAGCTATTCCGAGCCAGTCTTAGCGGGAGTATTCGGTCCCGGTGTCACTGATGAAGATTCACATACCTTCGCTCCTTTCCACGAGCGAACTGGTCGTTGGCTGCCGAGCATTCACTTTCACGTCCGGCCTTCTCGCACGCGGTACATGCTGGAAGTTTCCCGTCACACTGGAACGTGGTTAGGATCAGACGAGTTCGCCAGAAAATCCAGGCTGGAGCGTACCTTGACCTTCGCAGCGCGACCTGATAGCACGGTAGTCAGCCCCATGGTCTCATTTCAGTAAATGGAGAGCTTATGCTGCCGAGAGAACGCCTCACATCTTGAGCAAGCAGAAACTGGACGAGACACCCGCAATAGGGGGTTATCGGAGAAGCTAGATCGAGGCATCCCGGAGAAACGACGATAGCCGCTTTGGCTGGACCGGAAGAGTACACCGTGGGCACTGCGCAGCCGGCTGTCTGGCAAAGCAAGTCGAGGGTGGCCTAAATCTGTGGGTGGGCTGGGGTTGTACGTTCTCGCCAGGTCCGAGCCAGAGGAGAGGCAGGCAGGCGTGGATGCTTTCAGGCAGGGCCGAGGTGCTTTCGTCTCAGATGAGAAGTCATACACGCTGCACAAGCGAGAGTGCGGGCCTTTCACCGCAGAAGCAGCGATTGACGGTGGTTTGCTCGAGGGTCTGGTCGTTCTCATGGGTGTGGGTAAGGCATAACATGGTGCAGGGCCGGAGTGTGTGGTAAGGTGGGGGGGCCTGTGGCTGTGGGGAGAAGAGATGACAGCAATCTATCGAAGAGCAGCATTTGCCGCGATAGCGGCGGGGGCCAGCCGTAGGCTCACTCCACCAACAAAACCACTGGCAAGCAGTACCAGACACACACACATCCGCACGCAAACCCTGGGTGAGGGACTCGACTCTGTGTTCTCATCCTCGGCCGTAGAACGCCACGCCTTGCTTGGCAACTTTCACCACAGCCCAGGCTCGATTTTCATCCAGAGATCACCCGGGCGAAGCTTTCGTGCGCGCATCTCTGCTCTGCTGCCCCTACGACGCGGGGCAGGCGATAAAGGAGGTGCTAGGACCGAGCCGGAAATCAGGGTCCTGGCTCCATCAGCAGGCGATCTGAGCACCGGACCAGAGGCTTGTGCAGAGGGCTCCATGACGAGTGGATGCTGTTCGTTCAAAGATGGCGCTGGCTGCAAAACATGAGACGGCCTAGTCTCGCCGTTGCACTGCAGAGGCACGACCCAGAAGCGCGCCAGAAACGCGACCTTCGACAGCCCCAGCCCAGTCGCCAGCTTGGCCCTTGCATCGTCGTCAACGCCCCTGCGCAAATCCCTGCACTCGGCTGGTGGCTTGTTAGGTCCCCACGACCATGATTTCATCAACAGGATGCGGGTACTTGATTGGCATGAGCGGGGCAGGCAAGCGGACAAGCAGGCAAGCAAAGCAGAGTCAAAGCCGGATCTTGCGCCAAGTCACTTGACGGTATGAGGACCGAACCCGGCTGGCAAGCAAGTGTGCTTGTGCCCACGGACCGAGACCAAGCCGCAATGGATTGCATTGGCCGCCTGCGGTTCATTATTGTCTAGGCCCACCGGGGGGGGGGGTGGACTTCCTCCCCCCTTTGCCGCACAGCGCTCATAGCTCGGGTCGCAAGCGTGTTTTCCGAAGCAAAGGACGAGCTTTTTTGACACGAGGTGTTCAGTAACACTGTCCAGTAACACATGACTGCCACTGTGAGGCTACCGTCGTTGGTTTGTGTGGACTCGCGAGGAAGCAACCCTGGAGGCCCACGTCTGCTCGATCCCAACAAGGGAAGTGTCCGAGGGCCCGACATGCAGGCGGAGAACCGCGATTGCGCTTCGCATGGCCTACAAGTTACGGAGTATATCTTGCCAGAGACGCGGTGGGACGGAGAACTAGGAGCGCTTGGCCTCCTGTGTACACACCCGTAGCTTGGAGTTGCGTTGGTCGCCGGGCAAGACGGTCAAGCTACCAGCCAGTACTTGGCTTCTGTGCCAAATCAGGAACCCCCTGCCGGACCCCATGCCGCGCTTCGTGACCACCCACTAATACCAACATCCCCTCCCCCTCATCCTCCGTGTGCCTCTCCCCAGTCCCAAGCAGTCAGCACGTCAACCTCCAGCAGCAGTCGCGCGTCGTTGCAGTGAGCGACCAAATCGTCGCCACGCCGCGCATGCGACGGTTTCTCAATCTTCCCATACCGGTGCCATCCCCGCGAGCCGCGTCCCGCATGCTCGTAGGCGGTAAGCACAGCCGACCAGATGGACGCCTCCAGCGTCTTCCGCCAGGTCGAAGGCTTCGGCATCTTCCCTCCCAGAGGGCTCCCGCATCAGTCTCACCATCTTCCGCAACCTCACCAACGCTTCAACGTCCACGCATCTGACCGCCCGCCATATGCCGACGATCACGATCACGATGACGCAGAAAGTCCGAATCGTATTGCGCATACTCTGACAGCCTGTTGCCGGTGTCGTCAGGTAGGCAAGTCCCTTGAGTTCACTCCCGCAGGCACCAAGCTGACGGCCACCCTTTGTGGTGCTGTCGCGTGTCGGTCGAGACCCCAGACGTGACATGGAAAGCGCATAAGCTGATTATGTGGGTAAATCCCAAATCTTGACAGCGGAAAACACGATGCGACCCAAATCTGCCTCGCTGTTTACCTTGCGAAAGGTCTGGTTCCGTCTGCGAGTATTTCGACACAACCAAGGGCAAGAAGATTAGTCGCTATTACGTCGTGCGACTTCAGGAGAAAGTACGAGCACTTGAGGCTGAGCTCGGCCAGTACGTGGATGAGGAAGAGCTGCCAAGGAGTCAGGAAGACTTTGTTGGCCCTGGTGGGCTCGTGCGGCTCAATGATTCCGACGAGACCCCACGATATCTTGGCCCGTCGAGCGGAATCGCCATGGTACGCATTCTTATGGAGGAGGCGAAGCGGTATACCGACTCGAAAAGGATCTCGGAATTGATCCCAGAAGTCAAGAACAAGCGGCGTCCAGAGGACCGCATGGTAGAATCTGTGGCGCCGCGATCCCGGTCGTTCGGCACGGCGCAACAAGCACAGCGTAGGAAGAGTTACCCCATGATCAGCGCAGTACCTGCGAGCAGTCTTCCCAGTCGACCAATCGCGGATCGGCTTGTAGAGGTTTTCCAACAAAGAGGTATGGGGGTCCGATCCTGATCATGTGTCATTCGTGATTGCCGGCAACTGACTTGAACATGGTCCAGCACAAATCTTCACGCCAACGCTACATGAAGCCAGTCTGATCGAAATGACAGAGAACGTCTATGCTGGAAGTACAGATCCATTTCAGAACTTTGTTGTGCGACTGGTCATGGCCATCAGCATGCAGAAACTCGATACACAGTATGCAGGCCTTGCGGATAGTTACTACCTTGCTGCCATTGGCTACTTCGAAAATGTCGTGCGCCCAAAAGACCTCAAAACGCTCCAATGTCTGGTATTAGTCGGACAGCACTCCCTCCTGACTCCCACGCGGACCGCGGTATACTACGTTATTGGACTGGCCACCAGAATCTGCCAGCAGCTTGGCTTCGCCGATGAAAAGACAATAGCGCTGGGCGCCGACGACCCTTTGACTCTGGACATGCGGCGGCGTGTTAGCTGGAGTGTGAGGACAATGGAATACGGGCTTTCCCAGAGCATGGGTCGACCGTGCGGCTTTGCCAAGACAGATGACGACGTGGATGTCAAGTATTTTGACGTTGCCCGAGATGTCAACATCACAAAAGACGGCATTCTGCAGGGTCCACCGGATGTCAAAAAGCTCGTAGCCATTCACTTCTGCAAGATGAGAGAGCTCCAAGCCGAGATCCGAAGAGTGCTATACAAGAAACAGCCTAATGGCCCGAAGGATGACGGACACCCGTGGTTTTTGGAGTTCGAAGCCCGAATGAACAGGTGGCTTGAAGCATCGCCCACTGATCCTGCGTGGTGCAAGCCCTGGTAAGTATGCACAGCCAGGCCAGTATTTCCGTCCTCTAACGTTTTCGCAGGTTCACTGGGAGAATGCACACGATGGTGGTGACCATGCACCGCCCTACGCCTCAATGTCCGAGACCATCAGTGCGGTCAGCTACGAAATGCTTCGATTCATCGGCCTATGTTATCGACATTTCCAGCAAGCAGATGATGGGCGCAGCCGTGGACATTACATGGGTGTTCTTGCTCACGCTCTATATGGCATTAAACGCGCTTTTGTGGAGTGTTACATACCCAGATGTGAGGCGAAATCACGACAGGGATGAAGTCCAAAATCTCGTCAACATTGCTCTCGATATCATCGACCAGTGCGCAGACAGATGGCCAGGAACCGCGGCAGCTTCGCAGTTATACTCCACCCTGGCCAAAGCGACATTAGAAAGTTACAATTCACAAGAGACGCCCACCATGTCGCCGTACAGTGCATTTGGGACGCCTCCGACCCAAGGCGATCCCTATTCGCCACCTTCTGGGGACTCTGCGCACACTTCCGCAACCACTACGGGTCAACAGCTCTTCAACCCGCCACAATTCGGCCAGGTTTTCAATACCATGCCTGAACAGATTACAGACTTTGGCTTCAACGGAAACGGCTTTGCTCAGCAGCAACAGCATCCTACCTTCAGGTCAAACTCCATATTCCAAAATCCAGCGTCTAACGACAGCGGCGGCCGGCGCTTCAGCTACTTCCCCCCAGACTACAACCAAATGACGGTCGAGGGCCCCGGTGACGACAGACTATCGCCCATATCCGACACGACGATATCGCCACCACTTCAATCTCCGCCACAACATCTGCCGAGTCCACCAGAGTCAATGGCCGCCGGTGGCTCCGGCAACATGCCCACGTCTATGCTGAGCAGCCGTATGATGGCTGGTTCAAATTTGACGCAATCTCCTATGTCCGCGTTGACCAGTAGCACAATGCCACCACCACAACAACAACAACGACGGCCGCAACCGAACTTTACAATTCCGCCAGCGCCCGGGCATCACCGGCCACAGGGACAACAGCCTTTGCCACAAGCTGCCACCGTTACGGATTGGTTCAATCCACCGCCCCCATTCATTACGCCGTATACTGCTTTTGGAGGTGTATCGGCCGGCTTCTGGGGAGGTGGAGGTGGCAACCCTCAATCCGGGCTTCAGGGGCCACAATTTGCAGGACTGCCACCGGAGAGGCAAGGTAGCTTGAGCCAAGAACAACAGGCTGAGCTCATGGATGTACTTGAGAGCGAGGGACTCACAGATATAGATGCGTATCTGAACCTAGGGTTGGATGGGTTTGCCAGGAATGGCAATGCCACTGGCGCTCCACAGAACATGAGCTGGACATCGTAGTCTCGATTGACTGCTATGGCCCTTCACGATATCGTTGGATTACACGGCGTAGATAATTGGCTTGATTGTAGACTATCCGTGCATTGCAGGCCTAAAGAAACTACAATAGACAGCCCAATGTAATATCTGTATGGCACATGAATCAAGGCCACTTCCTCCAGGCCAGCCTCTAGCGTGGTTTGCTTTTATGATAAGTTGCTGGCCAGTGAATCAGGAAATAATCTATAACTTCTCAGCTGGAACCAAACGAGAACGCTCGCTGGGGAGGAATCCTCAAGGCATGTTGTCACACAGTATGCCGTCTGCCCCATCCAGGCCTTTCCACTTGGGCTTGCTGTCTGGGATGTCTACCAACCGTTGGCTGTAAAAGATATGACAACTATGAAGAAAAAGTATTTGTCAGCCACTTGTTCCAGGAGAACTCTCAGAAGCAACGAAGCATCTTAGACCAAGGGGTATAATAATATGCCCAAACTTGATGCTGGGACAACTATAAGGGCCTGACAACCCGCAAGAAAACGAAGAGGATCAAGTACATACTCCGGATAGAACCCGTCTTTGAGTCTCTTTGCGTCCTCCTCACTGCGCTCCTGCTTGCCCGGATGCTGAACGCTTGGACCCAGGCCATCGCCAGCATCCGCGGGTACTCGTGCAAAGTCGATCAGCGTTGGGAATAACAGCACCATTCTGCGGCCCTCGTCCATAATGGGCGCCCTGCAGTATTGACAGCTTAGCTTGCAGGGCAGGTCGTGTGCTGCGTTGCGATTCCCGGAGTTGTAAAACTCGATACCCTGCGCGCCGTGCTCGAAGAGAATGTCGGACTTGTGGAAGATGGCGGCCCACTGGAAAGGGGCACCTTTTGTTTGCAGGCGTGGAGGTCCACAGTCAGCTGCTCTTCCTCATTATTCTTCCACTTGGACCGTGGTTCACGAAATCGTCATGGTATCCGTTCGCCTAGATTGCGGGCCGTGTACTCACCATGGAGCTTCTGGCAACCGTGGCAATGGCAGAACTTGGCGACCAGCGGCTTGTCGCGGCTGATCCAGTATCTCACGCGGCCACAGTGACACTGGGCCTCGAGCTTCTTCTCAAACTTCTCGCGCCCTGTACGATGGGATGTTTTCAGCTAGCTGGTCGCATGGAAAGGAAATATCTTCAGAAACGATTGGCCTACGTCCTGTTGTATCGGCCCCTGCATCGGCCGCCTTCTGCACCGTCAGCTTATAAGGAGGCTCGTCCTGCCACCTGTCATTGCTGCCGCTGTGATGATCAAGCGTGCTGGAGGCGGCCAATGATCTGCTGTTGCTACTACATTCGGCCATTATAGCCCGAGGCTGTGCTGGTGCTCTTGAAGATCGCCAATCTTGGTGGGATGCTGAGAGTGTCCAGAGCAGCTTGTGGTGAGGTGGCCCGCGAGGACGTGAATGCTTCTCATTCGTGGTGTTGCCTTTCAGATAGCCTGTATCTAGCTGGAACCCGCCATATCACAGTGTTATTCATGAATATGGTAATAAGGGAGCAGAGGGAAAACAAATGAGAGCCTACAGAATATGCCGAATTAGGTTGTCTTACGCAACGCTTGTGAACTATGTTGACCAGGGCAGTTCGCGTGGCAGCTGTCATGCACATTGCAGGTAGGCTGTCGTGAACGGCTGGAAATCCAGAGTTACGACCGAGTTTTGTCGCGCTCCCTGGGGAGAAAGGCCACCACGAGGCACAATCTGCGCTGGGCCGGGCTCTTGGCTCCGGTCTGTTGTCATCAGCGGCTGGAGTCCATGCCGTTCCGCAATGACGTTGTGTAGCTGTCACGGCCATGGGTATTGCCCCACAGTGGTCCTGCAAGCTGACCACTCAGAGCGGGCTATGCTTGACCAATACGGAAAGCCATCTCCTGCACCAGAGCCTGCGAAACAAGAACAGTTCGTCACAGAATTTCCGTGATTGTTACGGAGCGTGGCAGCTTTGCGCAGTCGCAGCACCAGGAAGGCCTGGCTGGCTTCATCTTGTATTTAGTGCGTCGGCCAAACTGGACCCTGTCTACGACGGGCTTGCCTCCGCCAGGGCGCATTTGGCGTACACTATAACCAGAAGTTCCTCACTTCCCCATCTGCCAGTGAACGACGCTCCCGATATGAGGAGGTCCTTGCGCTTCCCTGGATCATTCTCTTACTGCACTTGTCCTTCTTCTGACAATGCCTATGTGTGGTAGACCGACTCAGTGAAACAATACAAAATACCCCAAAACGCCGAACATATGTTGTACCTTGGTTTCTGTGGGCCGGGGTGGAAATGCAAGAATGGCCCGATGGCTCGACCCAAAATGTAAAAGTCATGAAGAAAATGCGCCGACAAAGCACCCAGGAAACAGGAAATGATCTTAAACTCCCAACACCACATCATGCCTCAATCACCCCTAATTTCAGAGAGCTGCAAAAGCAAAGGATATAGACGAATGCGTGAGGCTGGCGTCGGCATGCAATGGAGCTTAGAGCCGTGGTGATGGCAGACGTCGGCCGAGAAAACAAGACGTCGGTGCTGGAGAATATTTTCCCACATCTCAGTGCTTGCGAAAGCCTTCGACACCCAACGTTGGTACCTCGATCTCGCTGAGACCCATGACACCTTCATCACGTCGTCTGTCCACGAAGCCATTGTACTCGCCTACCACAAGACCCCACTCTGCAAGAGCCCGACCAGCATATTTGACGCCGAGCGCGAAATGACCTGATGGTTGCATAGGCTCGGTCTTTGGCTCAACCATCATGTACGAGTTTTGTGTGATGGTATTGCGAGCCTCATTGCGCGCCATGTCGACGGCGACTGTACTGTCCGCGTTGACCGGCGGCTCCATAGTATCAGAGGGACGGCGAGGAGTAGCCTCTTCGTCAATGGGCAAGGCGTTTCTCGCTGCCTCAATGAGCCCCGCACTCACACTGCCGGAGACAGCTCGGTGTGCTGCTGGGCGGCTCGCTGCAGGAAGTTGCCCCTGAGCTCCGCTACGATCGCGGGAATTGACTACGGCCTGTGCAGGACCAGGGAGCCGCGGCCGTCCTAGTAATCGGGGTAGAGGGTGAGGCGTGCCGGGGGCATTCCAAGACAAAGTGAACTTGAATATGTACTGCACCGCTTCGTAAGTCGGAGAAGAGCCCATGCTGTCGGCATCGGAGGCGGTGATCTGGTAAGGCTCTGACGAAATCGGCGCCTTTGGTGGGGGAAGGGGTCTCATGCGCGCATTGGCAGTCTCGCGACGGAGTGACTCGAGGTCTTCTGGTGCAGGGTTGCTACCTGAGAGAGACATTACTTTGCCAAATAGCCCCCATTTCTTCTTGTACTGCGGTGGCGCCTCGGCTTCGGGGATATGTATTGCATCGAATGATGTGGCAGGGCCGCTCGGAACATCGGCGTGCGAGCTCTGGGGCGAGAATTGATCAAACCCGACAAGCAGACCGTTCTGAGGAGCAGGTACTTCATGCCTGATGATCATGAAGCGCTTTCCAGGAGTTGGATATGACGGTGCGGTCGAAGGGGGGAACTTCCCTTCGTTCTCTGCTGACTGACGAAGCCACAAGTAATGAGACCAGACCATTTTCAATCGAGCCCATACAGCCAGGAAGATTCTCCTAGACAGATCTAGGATGTCAGCAAACTGTGAGTGTGTACCAAGCACACTTGATGTTAAAACTTACGCATTAGCCTCATTCGCAGCACCAGTGTCCCTACAGATTCTCCAACATAATAGTCGCATGTAGTATGCTCGTACCATTGGACACCAATTGTTGAAGAACGTGCTAAACACTTCCTCCGATATAAGCCAGTCGTGACACACGGTATCCTTGCGAGATGGGTCGCTGACGACCGTGTCCCAGATGGAGAACAGTAGAGACAAAACTCTGATCTCGGACATGGTATTGTTCGACTCCAAGATCTTGCGAAGGACATCAAGCCAGAAATTCCAATCACAGTAAATGACCCCGGTATCGTCAAATCTTGCGAACTCTGCGTATATGGGTAGCGCTTCCTCGAGGAAGTCGCATATCGTGAAACATGCGTTATGATTGAATTGCGACGTGCGCTTCGCAGTGGATTTCATGATTGACATGAAAGCTTCCGCGAAAGTGTGTCGGGCTTCTGAAATGCTCTGTGTGGGGATATGAAGAAAATCGCGGAGCAGAACGATGAGGCGGTTCTCGCTCATGCCCTTGAATGCATTGTTGTTTGGTGACGGCAATATGGACAGCAGAGACGTGTCAGCGCCCTGATCAGCATCCATGAGTCCTGGGCCGGGAAGAACACCGACAGCAGCTTGTCGATGAATCGTCGAGTCAAGAACGGACAGGATCTGGCTGTTGACAAGCACAAAGGCAGGAGCACGAGCTTTTTCGACGAGAGGTAACCCGGGGGGGATGAATTCTTCGGCAAGGATGAAAAAGTACTTGCAGAAGACGAAGAACAGGTCGCTGTCTCTTCCTTTCCACCGGGAGACCCAAGGGCCGTGCCATTGGGTTTTGGTCGTTCCAAGTGGCAGAGGCGCAGGTCGTTTGAGCGAGTCAACGCTTGATTTGACAGACGACCAGCCAAGATCCTCCAAATTGGGAGGGAAAAGCGCCACAATGTCATCGCTCTCGTTTTTACTTCTTCGTGGAAGTCCAAACTCGTCTACCACGCGGCGAATCATATCTGGCGTGAGGCCCCAAAGCCTAACGAGCACGGCTGCAACGTCCGGACAGAAGAAGAATGCATAAGCGCAGGCTTTTCCAGCAAAGTTCACAAGGCTGAGCGGCGCATGTCTGTGGGACAGTTTGTCGATAATCAGGACAAGTTGGGCGACAAGCTTCGTCGTGAACATGGTCCGCACGTTGTGGTCTGCTGAGTCGGCCACGAATGACGCCTCACTAGATTCGAGTGATTCGGATGAGGAGCCACTTGGGGGCGACCGCACCCGTTTGCGAAGCCTTTCCTTCGGGCTACGGTCGGTCAGAGCACAAAAGCTTGAGGTGCTGAAACGCCATTCCGGGCGGATCATGAGTAAAGTGGCGGCTTCGTAGAGACAAGGCTTGTCAACGCCTGGTACGGTATGCTGATCGCTCCCTTGAAGCATGTCGAGAATACCGGTCCACCACTTGTTGAGTATGACGGCTCGCTTTTCAAGCTCGGTAGGGCGCAACTGTTTGTTGGAAGGATGCAAGCGGAACTTGCGGAGGAATGGCAGCAGTGTACCGCGCACGACGGTCGCTTTGGCGCTGACGGGCTTTGCCTGGAACTTGGCAAAATCAGTATCCAGACTTTTGAAAAGTGACCATAAAGGGTCACGGAGTGCAGCCGGTGTGCTAGCGATTGTAAAGTCGTCTGGCGCGGTGCTATTGCTGGTTTCCGAGGCATGAGAAGGACGAGCTTCGATAGAAGGCGGGGCCAGGCTCGTGGTGGACGAGCCGGCGCTTTCCTGATTCAGGGTCAGGGGCACTTTTGACGGTATAATTTGTTGTTTCTTCCTCGAAAAGTAGCCTCCAAGCTTGCCCATTGATTCGGTCGACTTGCTGCCTTCGTTTCCGCTACCAAGACCGCCAGAACCGCGGCGTGCTGACTTTTTGAGCTTTTGGAGCGACGTCTCCGTGGCTGACCGTGTGAGTGCCTTGGGACTTTCTTGTACGGAACCTAGTGCCACATGAGGTGGCGCAGAAAGATCGGGTTGTAAAGCGCCATCATCCTGTTTGTTTGGAGACGGACTCCTTGCGGAGCTGCCCAGCCATGAACGCCGCGCAAATGCGGCTGTGAGCGAACCGGAGACGGCTCTAGGCTTGTCCTGCAAGTCCCGGGGGTCGAGTCGGCTCGAAGCAGTTGATTTGGTAGCATTTGACGACGAGTGATCAGCCTCACTGGGAGCGCCGGGGAGGTCGGACTCGTCCCACTCCGGAGAGGATCTTGATACGGGCATCCAGGAGACCGGCCGAGCAAGGATGGAGCGCCGCTTGCTCATGCTGCCCATTGTATGCAAGCTGGGCGCCAGGCCCGATGCTGAGATGCTGGGTCGGGAGCGGGCGTGGATATCATCGGAGGACTGCGCGATGTCTGCGTAGGAGAGAGAGAAGGAGGTGTCGATGTCTGCGTGGAAGTCGAGGGAGACGCCGTCGCCAAAGAGGGGGAGGCTCGGGAGGCTCTTGACACTGAAGGAGCGGTCGCGCGGGGCCTTTGCAGGCGCAGTGAAACTGGGGAGCGGGTGTGCGAGGCCGGCGAAAAGATCGGGGGCGAATGCACTGGAATGCGGCAGCAGGGAGGAGGATTGAGGGTGGTTGCCGGAGGAGCGAGCCGGGTCGGGCACGGCGGGCGAGGCCGTGAGGGCGAGGACGGGGCCGCTCATCTCCTGCCGCCACTGTGTGCAAACAGCCGACGACGCAACACTTGTGCAAGCACGCAAGCAGGACGGGCGGGCCTAACGAGGGTGACGATGTCGTTGACGACAGGGACGGGGCGGCGAGCGAACGGAGGCAGGCAAGCAGGTAGGCAGGCTGGACGGACGTGCAGGCCCGGCTCCAGCGGGCCTTAATAACCAAGGATACGCTATCCTACCTTGAACCTTGGTGAGCTGCAGGCTCTGCTGCGAGCTGGGGCGCAGCGGTGCTTGCACCACCTCATGACGCGACCCGGCGCGGCGCTAGAAGGGCTGCTGTTGTCGACACCGCCATCCATTTCCACCGCCTCGCACGGGGTGGTTGGGCCGCCCCGGTCTCGGGTGGCCCGGTCGTCTGTTACCAAGTTTGGTGGGGCACCTCAAAGAGGGCATGACAGTATAAGGAGGTTATTTGCTTTGCTACTTGATACTTGATCTGGCTGCAAGACACGTCGCTGGCACGGGTCAGCGGGTGCACCTGGGACGGCCGCGAGATTGCAGCTTTGCACCACGCGGACGCAAGCACGCAGTTCGAGAACGCACGCTCCAGCAGTCGTGGGCTCGCAGTCTCAGCAGCACCCTCAGCCGCCCCGCATCTCATCTCCGGCTTCTCGACTTCCTCTCGTCTTCCCGTGGTGGTTGACGTCCGCAGTCTCATCAGCTCAGCCCCGTCGGCCGCTGGCCCAGTAGCTTGGTGCAGCTGTCAACTCATTAGTCCCGTTGTCAGTCGGCAGAAATTGCAATCGGCGCCTGTCAAGCGCATAATGACGACAGCCCACGTCTTCTCGGCTGTCGCAGCATCCGCCCGGGGTCTCGCCACCATGGGTGCTGGCCGCTTGGCCAACACCCCTTCAAACATCAGCTGCTTGTCCTGAATCTGATTGCCCTCGTTGGTGGCCCCAGCTGTTTGTCGTCCCCAAGCCATGCGAATACCATCCATAGGAGTTAGTGAACCCACAAGCCAGCGTGTCGACATCCATCCGTCAGTGGACGCTCTAGCGGCCGCCTAGCGTGGGACGCACCATGTCTGTGCCTCGCCGCCAAGCACGCCCGAGTCGGGCGGGAGCCTGGCCGCCCCCGTCTCTGGCGTCTTTTCTGTCATCCTGGCAGCGACCATTCTCGTGGTGAAATTGTTTCCATAGTTCGACAGTCTAGCTATTTGCAGGCTAGCCCATTCTCAACGAGCAGGGCGTTCGATGAAGCCCTCGCCACCACCGCCCAGAGTTCCGCGGCCAGGGAGAGCTGAAACAGAGCCAATCCTGACGCGTGCTGACCAATGCAGCAGAGGACGCGTATCAGAAAGTCGGAGCCCGTCACGAGGATCCCTACGATGTTGCGGTGGCAGCGCTTGACTGGCGGCACCTTGGCCATGGCCAAGTCCTATCCAACTTTCCCTGGCACTTGCCGCAATTGCCATTCCACGCTTGTCGCATTCTGCTCCCACGATCGGCCTCATCGGAGCTACCAGCGTTGCATTGCAGACTCGGCCCCTGCCTAGCCTCGTCTTGGCTGAGGTGGCCCCGTCGGTCGATCCCCTGGGCGTACTTGGATTCAGATGGCCGCACTGGGCTCAAGGCCCAATTCTGATATTTGCTCATGTTGATTCGCCTCAAAACGTCTATCTCCAATGGCTAGAGACTCGCTCGCACTTCGCTCCGTGGCCACTAGTAGGCTTAGCTTCCACGACGGTCCAATTGCCACTAAATTGTGGGGGTCTTTTAGATGATTCCCCCTTTAGCCACAGAAGCAGTCAGCCCAAATGTCGTGCTGTGCGACCAACAGGAGCAAACCCACGACATGGCCACGTCGAAAGTGTCGATCTTGGTTTTCTCGACCTCCCAGTGCACGGGGTAGCTCGGCGTCCATTCATTACTTCTGACCACGCCGAAATGGATGACCTTTGAGTTATTGCCGGCTGGGTGAACCAGGACTCTCAGCTAGGCACCATGCGCTACCCTCTATACCACGTGTGCAGGGTGTACACTTGTTGAGGGTGAGCTAACAAACACAGGAACGGATAGCATGTGCAGCAGCTCAGTGTTGCAGTAAATATCCTCGTTCTGGACTCTTTCCCGCTCAGCCCGCTTGAGCGGCTACAACAGCAGGGTTCAGGGTTTCACGTAGCACCACACGATATTTTGGAGTCCGTGCCTCGGGCGGCCGAAGATTCGTCTGTTCATTCTTCTGGTCTGGCATGACCCTTGCACATTCACTGGTAAATCTTCATATGTGTGCGCGATCCAGTCGCAATGCATAAGGCAAAGGCGATGACCCTTCACCACTAGTATGCCAGCTTCGGTCTCTTGTCGATGCTTGCATCGTCCAGTCTTGGTTTGTTAACTGCATCTCCACTAGTGAAGGTGGGTGCAACAACACAGTTGCCCTGTTCCGGCCATTTGAGGTATATGCGAGCTTGCGCGGCACTACTGCTGGGAGGCATTCCACTGCACTCATCATCTTCTAAAGAACAAACCTCTAGAGCACTACACATTATCGGAAAGCGCCATGTTCCTTTCATGCTGCCTCTCTACAATATACAAAAGGACTTTCACCGCGCATGAGGATATCTCATATAGGTGCCAGTGGTCACACACGTACGGACCGACCGTCCGCTCCTGCTAGAGGGGGAGGGGCCATCCTTCCGAATCCATGAGCAGTGAACATGCCCACGAATGGTCTTGGTGGAACTCGGGCATCAACAAATGGCGGCCGTGAGTGGTGCAAACAAGTCTGGTGATGCAAGCAATTGAGGGACCCCTGGTCGTCCCTGGAATATGGCGCACTGCAGATGTAGCACCATTCGTGGCCGCAGATGCCTGAAGACACAATTTAGTTCTCATCTCTATAGGATGACGCCGAGCCGACTCGCAGCTGCATGGAAGGGAGACTTACAGGTGATATGATCGCAGCCACTGTATTTGTGTATATGCCGCTTACACTTGGGGCACGGCCTCGTCGTTTCCTTGACCTTCTTCCGAGACGCCTTGTTACCTCTGTGCTGCAGCTTGGTTCGCTGGTCGTACTCGCGGCACGTCTCGCCCTTGTGCCAGGGGATATCGTGGCTCACGCACATGGATCGCTGGCAGGAGTGGCACTTGGCTCGGGAGCAATTCGCGGGGTAGACCTGGCCGACGTTACACTGAGTATTCATGCACCATCGGAAGTTTGGGACTGCCGTTAGAGCTGCCCTTGTGACAAGATCATCGTACCTGTTGATAGATGTCAGACTGAGCTCACCATGCTGAAAGCAGCTGTTGCAGATGAAATAACATATGATGGACACGCTCACCTCCTGAAAGTGGATGGTTTGGCCAAGCGGGCCACGTCATCAAATCGCAACAACGCCGGACACTCCGGACATCTCAGCCTGTTCCAAGTCGTTGTCTCTATACACGCAGAGATCCACCGTGCAACGCAATCTCTGCAGGTCAAGGATCTGTGCTTACATGCCGATGTGACTTTGCCCGGTGTTTCTGCCGGTCGCTTGTCCTCGTGGCAGACGACGCATGTCCGAGAGGCAAACACCAGACTTGTTTCGGCTTTCACAAAGAGGTCTTCCGTGCTGCGGGCGAAAGTAAGGCGGACGATCGAGCCGCCAGGTATTCTTGATCGGTTTCCAAGCTTCTTGCCTTTCTCATCGTAGCTGGTGGGCTCGTGCCATATCATCTCTGACTCTTGTAATCTGGTGTCTCCCAAGGTCGACAACACTCTTTGGAGAAACCATTTCTTGATCGTGCGGGCGCTGATAGTGCCATCAGCCGCGAAGCGCGGCCTCGAATAGACGAATTCTTGTCCAAATGCATGGACAAGGATACTTTGACCAGGCGGCAGAACATGAATAGAGAGCTGCTGGCAGAACCGTTTGTTCATCAAGTTTTGCAGCTGCCACTCGCTCCCTGGTACCGGACCAGCCTGTAACCCTCCGACCATGCACACCTCAACCTGAGTGTGGTACACTGGGACCGCATCTGCACGTCCAATCATCATATCGGCGATGATTTGACGTAAGTCTCTGGTCGTTTTCCCGCTTCGAATGTGTTCCTTGAGTTGGCAGAGCTGGGCTGGGCTGATCATATGTCGCTTGTGGTGCAGGTGGATGTGCAGATCTCCATCTGGACCGCTAGGAGCCATGACCTGGTAGTGTAGTCTTTGAAGCTCTCTGATATCGATCTGCTCGTCCGCGATTTCCCCGTTGTTGATTATACGTATCTGGGAAGCATACAGCGGCGTCTCTTCCACATGTGACAGCGTCGCGGCGACATGTTGTCGCAAGCTACTCAACGTATGTAAATCCGTATTCTTCACTAGCATGGGCGCTCTTTGCGTCAATACCGTGTCGAGGTCGACCAGTTCGAGTACGTCTTTTCGAGAAGGCTTGGATCTGCGCAAATTTGGGTTCGCTCCGAGCTCAGCAGCACCAGTAGACTTCACTGTCTTTCTGGGAACTCTGCCACCACGAATCCAGTCAATGACAGAAGGTGTGTGAAGCTTTCCGAAGGCCATATCTCAATCCTTGTATGTTCTGGCTTCATACAGTACACCTTGCGAGGTGCCCTTACCTACGTGGAGATTGATAAGGCAAGGCTATATAGACCGGGCGGGGAACAGCGATGAAATGGCCTGACTGCAGGGCTACTTTATTGGCAAAGAGTTCGCATCAGAGTCCATCCTCGGCATATGCGCGAACTGCGGCGGAAGTGCCTGCGCGGCGGCATAGATCATGGTGGTAAGCATCCCCAATGTGGCTTGCATTGGCGCAGCACCCAACACCGAGGTAGTGTTCGGTGTTGCATAACAGAATGCAACCACCACCAATCATAGCGGATGCCGCGCCCTGCAGACCGCGCTGTTGAGTCGGTCATTAGCATGCAGCATGATGGCTGCCGTCAGGCGTTTCACGCAGCTGATAAAGGCTTGATAGCTTACAGCTCACTCTCCATTAAGCTTCGCCGCCATATCCGTTTGCCTGATGACAACTATGCGCATCTTGTATTGAGTCCCATAAAGACTCGTTTCCAGTCATTTCCAGAACCATGTTCAAGATCTCGCAGCTTAAAAGCCTCAGCTATGCTAGGTCACTTTGACACACATCGAAGACATTGGTGGAAGCGAATCGGACCCTTGGCCTTGCTCGGCAGTCGATCGAGTGACATCTAGTTCCCGAAAGTGAACAGACACAAATTTTAGCACTTCAAGCTTTATCCTTTGCATGCCATGGACCCCGTACAGATTAGGTGCCACGACCACACACGCACAAAACCAGCGATACATGATTCAATTTCAAGAGCCGCCTGAAGTACTGCAAAGCAATTCAGTATTGGTGGTGTATCTAATGCATGAAACCGCAACTTTGAGATATCATTCTGACACAAGGAAGACCCCCTTAATCGTTGGCCCTTGCATGAAGAACTGTTGAGCAAAGACCGATAAATGTGCTGGACGCGTATCTTTCAGACAAAGTCAGCTCAACTTTGATTCCAATTCGGCCATCAAGTATTGACTGGAGTGTCCCGACTCGCACGGAGCGCCTCCCATTCTTCCTCAAGCATGGAGAATAGCAGCAAATCCCACCATCTACGCTCGTGGAAATGGCACTTTCTGAATCTGCCTTCCAGCACGAAACCGAGCCCCTCGTACAGGTGGCGGCCCTTTTCGTTGTATTCCACGCAGCCAAGACTGATTGAGTGGATGTTGGCCCTTAGAAATGCCCAGTCGACCGCCCAGTTGATCGCCTCGCGGCCATAGCCCTGGTTCTGGTGTTCCGTGGCGATTGACAACGATAAGCAGGCTAATCGGTGATGGTGGCGATAGTTGTCGCTCGCCTCATCGTCAAGGACAAGCACACCAATCGGCGTAGGCTGCACAGTCTCTGACTGCGGCTTGAGGCAGATGACCACGCCGAGCAGCGACTTTGAAATGCCGCTCAGGTGGTCATCACTCTTGGTCTTTGTTTGCGGACGCACAAGATTGGAGTCGCCGAGGCCGAAAGTAACTGGATCGCTCCGGATGTGCTCGTGGTACCATGTCTTCTCGGCTTCGGTGTCCTCCACTGCCCGGTATGAGAGCCTCGCGGAGGTGAAGGCTCCAGCCAACATGGCGTGATGGTGCTTGTGTGAGACGACTGAACCAGGAGGGGTTGCAGGTATTCTGTGCATATGCTCTTGCCAGGCGAGGCTATATGTATATCGGTGGTCGCCTTTCAGAAGGAGTGACGACATGTATCTTTATGGTCATTTCCGCAAAGCCGTCATGGCATACATATGCTCCCGCATGGCGAAATCGATTTGGACATTCCAGCCAGGGCATCAAAAGATGCATGTTGCCAAGACCACCCAGCTTCAGCTTATGGGAACCTGCATTGAGGCTGAGCCACCACTAACTCGAAACGTCAGAATGATTCATAATGAGGTCTACCTGGGAGGCATTTCAAATCGTTGTAGCCGACTTCGATGCTACATCTAGCGAAACTCGTTTGGCCCAATCTGTGCTTGGTCATCAGCCATCTCCGAGTCGATGCTGATGTCGCAACATCGTACTACTGGCCATGCAAACGCGTTGAGATTCATGACACAACGATGGCATAGTGGGACTTCCGTGGTGCCCAAGGCCATTGCAAAAAGACATGATGCGTCAAATAGGCGACAACGATGTTATAAGGTGTTGCAAATGGCAAAAGAAATAGTCAATGCCCACTACTGGAGTCGAACCAATTGCCTCCTCATTACTAGTGAGGCGCTCTACCGATGAGCCAAGCGGGCTGTTTATCCATTTGATGGGAGCTGGAGCCAAATAACACGATTCAAGTAGACAGAAACCAGGGTGGAGGAAAAAGGGGGAAATGGGTCCACAAGTTGCAGGCCAGGGATTCCAGGGTCTGGGCGAGGCATGTCCATGTGGGACCCGCCCCTGTCAATATCTGCGCTCTGTAAGCCATTCAATGTTAGGTTTTGCACACCGCAGCACACTCAGAAATAGCACCACCAGTCAATGGAGATGGGCTTTCAATTGCACACGTGCTATGCAGGGGGGGCTTTTCATTTATTTGTTCGACTCATGAAAACTGTAAGTGTTGCTATTGCCTAATAGCAAGGTCATTAACCGAACGTTGGTTGATACGGCCTCCGGCTCGTCCAACTGAATGCCTTGAATCCAGCTCCCAATCCGTCTGCTCGTCCAATGGTGTATCATAAACTCAATAGAGATCAAAATCAAAGCACAACGATAAACCACAAGATTTACGCATGAAGCCTCAAATGTGTCCTGGCCGCGCCTCTCTGGGGTCCCGCTTATTTGAAGACATTTTTGAGGCGCTGGCCCACAGACTTCTTCTTGCTCTCATCCGAGCTGGGCTCGCAGCTAACATATTTGTCGTATGAGTAGGTTGTGTAGTCTGAGTAGGCGGAAGCTGCAGATGAAGCTGGCAACGCGGCGTCCTGGGCCTTGGCAGCCTTGGCGGCGGCCTTCATGCGAGCCTCGCGAGCCTTCTTCTCTTCGGCTTTAGCCCAGATGACCTCGGGCGGAACCGTCGACATGGTTGTGTTGTAGTGGTAGTTCTTGCAGGTCCGAGGTGCATATTGCGATTGCGGGCTGCGGAAATCGCTCCCAGGGGAAAGGGCCGAGAAGGTAGTGATGTAACAGCTTCGGCACATTTTGATTCGACTTGTTGGATAGAATGCCGGTTTGTTTCGATGTTGAGGGAAGCGTACGAGACAACCTTGCAAGTGTGTGTGTGTAAAGGGTCGCAGAGTGTATGTGTGATGTTCAACAAATTATGAATGTGAGGCGGTCCAGAGTGATCTGTAATAGAGAAGGCGATGATGATTATGGCGATCAAGTGTCTGATGATGATGATGATGATGATTGATTGATGGAGAGGAGTGGTTCTGGCCTGGAAACAGAGGCAGCAGCCACATCTATATATGCCGAGAATAGCAGACAGCCTCGAGTGAGGTCGGCATCGTTGTTCAATAAGCGCTATGGCAAGCGCAGAACCATTGGCTGGGTGCTAGACGCAGCCTCAGCCGAGTCACGCCCACCTTCGCCGAAGCCGAGAAAGTGTCAGTCTTGCATGCTGGAACCCGGCGGCCGGTGCCCGGTGCCCCACTCCGTCGTCCCATGGGGCTGGTTCATGCCCCGGGCACGCAATTGCGGTGCTGGCTCAGCTGTCAGGGTTTCTGCCATGCAAAGACATCTCCAGGTTCCCACCCAAAGGGCGCAGGCGTCGAATTGGTCAGCACTGCTGGCTCGGCAGCTTGACTTCATATGTGGTGCACAACAGTCGCCTGATTACACACCTGGCGGCGTGAATACCCTTCGCGGCTGGTAGGAAAGCCCCCTCACCATGGTTGGCCAAGGCGTGGTTGCCTGGCGACCTGGACGAACCTTGATCGGTGAACATGGCGGGGGAAACACATGCTTCTAGCTCTGGATCCAACGGATCGCCCATCACGTACATCCAGAGTTGGGGTTCATCAGGGTGCCTGGTCAGCTAGTATGCCTGGTGCTAGTATGCATGGTGTTAGTATGTGTGGTGTTGGCATGCCTGGTGTTAGTATGCTCAGCCCACGCAGAATGAGTCATCGGCCAGTATGGTGTGACACCTGCTGCACTGCTGACACGGGGATGGGCGTTAAGCTCCATCACAACTGAAGGCTGGGGTGGTGGATGCCCTGAATCTTCGTCCAGTGCCGCTCCGAGCCCATAGGGCGCGCCCATCGGCCTCGGCCTCGGCTTCGGCGGGATCCCACAGCCAACAGTGGCCTGCGCATCCTGGCACAACCACCTCGGAACGGACTTTGAAATGGTTTCGTCATTCGCGCATGGCTTGACCAAGACACACAATCACCCTCGAACCAGGCACCAGAATCTATTGCGATGAAAGCCCGGACCAGCCCGCAGAGGTACAGTGTGCGGTAAGGAATATATTCTTGCCCGGTAGGCTTGTCCATAAGAACTCCCGGAAACCACCAGCTTCTGCTCCATTGGCACCTCGATAACCCTGGGCATTTGACCCCCCTAAATGGAGAATGCACTTACACACACCTCATATCCACCTTGAGGTATCCATTGCCGAACATACGCAGCGTAATGTCCAAACTTCGTTCCGCATACTTTGATAATGCTTGCCCAAGTCTACTTCTTCATATCCTTGTGCACAAGCCGGCGAACAATCTCAAACATGTGCATCGTAGTTCCGTGCTGCGTGTGCGAATCCGCGACACCACTGTTCTTTCTCGCAAGCTGGCGGAATCGGTCAAGTACTGACATTTTGAGGCCTGGTAGCACCCTATCCTTCCCAGTCTCCCAATCAGTCAATTCTTTCAGCCCCGCCGCCATCAAGCCGCGTTTCAGCTTCTCCAAACGCCCGCCAGGAACAGCGCTGGCTGCGATATGTGCCCAGAGGTACCAGGAACCGTGCCGCAGTATGCCCTCCTCAAAGACTGTCACTATTTCCCAGTCGATAGGGTTATCAGGCGGGATGGGAATACTACCGTTCGGGCCTTGTCCTTGCTGAATGTACCCAATCGAGAGTATTATGAGCAGGTATAGAAGACAGCTTACACCTTCGAGAGTCAGTCCCTGAATGTAGGCTACCTGTTTCGACCTGACAGATGGGCACGGACGCGAGGTTCCCGTCGTGCTAGTAGCCGCAATATCGGCGATGTCATCGCAGTATCCAAGTGCTTGTTTCAGCAGCGGAACGAGGTGCCACAACTGTTGGCCGCATGTCAATGGTCGTAAGCCAGGGGGTGCTGAGAGGTCCAAAAAGCCGCTGCGGACAAGCATGTAGTCGATCCTGGCATGTCGCAATTCGAGCTCACGGATAAACCCATAGGTGTCGGCTGGAATGATGCTACGGTCCACCTTGTTCGAAGAAAGGATGGCCAATTTCGATTGCTTGGGTTCCAGCGCAGCGGTGCGGCGTTTACATATTGATCGTTCGAATTGGCTTGTTAGGCTCGCCACTGTCTGCGATTCACGACACGTTAGGTCGGATGAACATCAGAATTCCGATGTTATGGACAACATGCCGCGTACCTTGCTGCACGAAGAGAATTGCATCATTGAAGCGGCATCGAGATGTTCGTAAATTTCTAGCCATAGCTCCGATGGCAGTCGTGTCTGCGAATGTGCCTGAGTCACACCAACTTGCGTGTCGAGAGAACGGGACGTTGTAGCCATGTACGCTCCGGGGCCAGAGGCTACGGATTCCTCAAAACAGTGACGGGATCAAGCTTTCGTCGGCTAAGCTGGTCAAAGTTAGCGATAATAACTGGATTGCTGAATAAAACACGTCCGCAGTGGTGGAAGGTCGGGTTTGCTACAAACTACTTGATGGATGCGGCAGGAGCACTTTATGTACACTACCTTCCGACAATTCAGACAGAGACACCTTGAGGGAAGGCAACGGCGGATGCTTCATTGTGGTGTCAGTCCCTCTGCCTCGCCGAATGATACTACGAGAAGCATTCAGAGGTGATATGGCACATGACGAAGGAGCCATCAAGGTTGTTATTGTGCCATCATGCATGGTGGGGCCCTCCAGCGCCTTATGGCTCATGGCTCGGTGCCTTCATTGTCACAGTGCCGGGGCATGGTCCCCCTGCCCTGTGACGGGACACGAAAATATCGCAGAACCGGATCGTGCCAACCAGAGATCCAATACATACCAACAAAGAGACGAGTTCGTTGGATGACTGTGCGTGACGCAAGTATCATCGCTGGCGGCTTTGCCGACGTGGCAGGTGACAGGATCCACTGCCTGAGTTCTCAAGATGCATTTTAACAGAAGGATCAGTGGCACTTCAATTGTCCGACGGTCCAGTATCTCAGATTTGAATATGAATAGATAAATGCGCAAGATCTTGTCACGACGTATGCCTTGACAAACACAGGCTAGTTTGGTTCCCGAATCGGGACAACCAATTCCAATTAAGAGTTGAAAAAAGGAAAAGAGAGAAAAAAAGCTGCATTGTTCTTCCGGAACTCTGCAATACTTATTACCCGAGTCTCTGATGAGCCCGAAACCCACCATGTCCTTTCACAACCTGTATCACCTGTTCAAATGATGTTAATTGTGCCCGGCTCGGCTTCGGGCAAGAGGCGTGGATCGACTGGGATCCACTCCCCCACACGTTGGCTGGGTGGGGACGCGACAGGCCCACTCACTCGTCCTGCCAAACGAATGTACCTATATCCCTTGTGACGCTTCTTACGTTGACAATTGAGCCCTCTGTCGGACGTCCAATCGAGTAGCATCTATTGCGCATATGTGAAAGATTTAGCACTCAGCCTGTTGCACCCACGCGCACCGCGACCCTCCGACACTCTCATCACGCCGTCATCTCGATAACTACGTGTCCACCACTACTGCGCGCTGTCGCAGCGCATGCGAGGTACAGCCGTCCCTTGCTGGCCCTGGCTGCGGGTCTCAACCTTTACTTGTCATCGTGGCCTCCGCCGTCTGGCTCTGTCTCATCTTATCGTTCACAGAACTGAGCTCACCTGCTTCCAAACCACTGTCGATAACATTGCCACCTTCTGGCCTAGCCTCCTCATTTCGAACACCACAAGGCCTCGATAAGCGCGAAGTCGAAAACCCCTGGCAGTCACGACCTTGGCGACGCAAAGCACCTGCAAGGTCAAAGTGTGGACACCGGCGCCCCCGAACTCACCTGGTCTACACCTGCGGCCCGATATTCCTCGAGGCACCGGCGGCGATGCCTTCGGCAAGGAGGCTCCGCCTCCTTTTGGTGGCCGTCATGGCCGTTGTAATTACCACACTGTTCTTCACGTCGAAAATGCGCCAGAACACAGTCCAGGACACCAGGACGATACAAGACTTCTACCACAAGACCATGAATGCAATCGACCATCACCCTGTCGGGCAAAAAGCCGCCGACAGTCCAGACACAGTCATCGAGCCACATATCAAGGACAAGGATGGCGACGGCACAGTTGATGAAGATGACATTCAGCTCGCCAGGGAAATGTCGGAGCGCCTGCGCGCCGCCGAGCAAAAGGCCAAAGACTTAGCAAACAAGAAAGCTCCTCTCAAGCCAGATCACCCGGACGAGGTCGTCGGTGTTGGCTCCTCAGCTGACGGCCAGCACCCGAAGAGTCCAGAGGCGCTCCAAAATAAGGAGAATGACGAATCTCGCTCGGAGGGGTCGGTCGTTGACACCGAGGTTGACGAGGCCATGGATAGAATACTCAAGAAATCGCCCAGTAAGATTTCTCCCTCCCACAATCTCGACACGAATGTGTCTGTCGCTGACTATGCATAGTCATCATTTTCTCCAAGTCGTATTGTCCATACTCGAAGCGCGCGAAAGCGATTCTCCTCACGAAATACACAATCGATCCACCCCCATACGTCGTCGAGCTCGACGAGCATCCACTCGGGGCAAAGCTTCAGGCTAAGCTCGGACGGATGACAGGACGCAAGACCGTGCCCAACATCATGGTCAATTACAAGAGTGTTGGCGGTAGCGATGAGGTTGCGGATCTGCATCAACGGAAAACGCTTGTAGACAAGTTCAAGAGCCTGACCAGTAATCGTGTTGTTATGAAGGAACGATTCGATTCAGCCAGCGACGACTCCTAAGTAATGGCTGGGTTCAGAGCTGTTGGCAACGCGTGTCACTCAAGCGGTTCCAACCTCTGCGGCAATGCTATTTACTACCTAACCAAGCTTTACCTTCATACTGCGCGATCGAGCAAATACCAATAATAGTAATAACGTGGAAAATCGATATTCATCGCAGCGACAGAGTTCGAGTAGGCGCGACCCCCTGTACAGAGCATACCGGAGGACCAGAGGCACAGTGGCAGCACATGTCTCTGGTGCCTCCAAAGCCACTGCGGCATCGTCGTGTATTGAGACTTGAGTACCAGTATGGCTTCATGTCTTTTCGCTATCAGCCACGGTGATGAGTACACTCTCTGGGCGACTGTCATCAGCTGGTGGCGTTGTCAGACTCCTGGCTGGCCATGTACTCTTTCCACTTCTCGATTACAGGTTTCTGCCACTCGCGAATCTCAGGCAACAGCGCATTCCATCTTTCCAGTGCGTCCGCCCGCCACACCTCGTTACGGTCGTAGAATTCTTCAAACACAGGCTTGCCATCCTGAAAAGGTCCTTGAAAGTCCCGCCGCGACCTGGTGAAGATGTGCACATCCGGGCCAATCAACCATGCCTTGTCGAGGGTACCTCCACGCACATATTTGACGAACGGCCCACTGGCATACTCGGAGTATACAGCCACAAAGCAACGAGGACAACGGGCAATCCACTGGTAGAGTCCAGATTGGGACGGTGTCTCGACGACGAGTGGTTTGAAGATGCCATCTGCGTCGGGGTAGAGGCCGAGACTGGCTGGTTTTGGCAGCTCGGGAAGGCAACGTGAGGCGGCTTTACCAGCTTCCTCGTCGGCTCGGCTTAGGGGTACCGTGTTGTGCTTGGCTGGCGGGAGGCGACGGAACTTGGCCTGCTCTATGATTATGTTGATGGCTTGCGTGCCGCCACCCTCGCGGGCACACACAGTGCAGTGGCAGTCGTGTACCATTAGAGGGGCAGCCAGGATGGCGTAGCGGATTAGACCGCACGAGCAACCGCCCTCGAGCGGAAAGCGAGACGGGTCCTGATCGTAGTGCAGAGGACGAGGCTGAGGGGACGGGGTGGTGTCTGAAGCCATAGTGGCGAAGTAGGAAAGGGCTGGAGGATTGCGATGCGTTGTGGTTCGCGGACAGATTCGGGCCCTAAAAACACTGGAAGGGGACGCAAAGCTTAGAACGAGAAGGAAGTAAAGGAATAGAGGAATTTACGACAACCGAACAGAAGGGCAATAAATAGGCTGACACCCCCCCCCTTCCACCTTCTTCTTGTGCATGGCCGATATCACCAGACCGGGTTAGGCCGGGGAGCACCATTGCCGAATTTGGACAGCAGCTTCGCAACGACTGGGCCAGCCGTGGCCATCCTGCGCAAATAGCACCACGAAGACAATCGAAGAACGGAACGTCCACGGTAAAAATCACGCACGGATTCGAGATGAGTCTTGGGCTCTAGCAATCAATAAAAACCCAGCAGGTTGATGATCAAGGTCAGTCGGGACCCGTCGGCTTGTAAGGTCCTTATGGAAGGCTCAATTATCTACGGCGGAGCAAGACCACAGACCCGTGCCTGAGACCCACTGCCATCCTCCATTATTTGAGGGGCAAGCACACGGAGCTGACGTCCGGTTTGTCTGGATTCTGTACTCAAGCGTACCTTACGCAGCCCGGTGCAAAGGCTTCGGCCGAGTTCAGCTCACCAGCCGCAATCCGCAATCCGCTCCGTGAGCATGAGCGCACTTGAGAGTAAAGAGGACTCTGCCGTGGACAGACAGCAATTATGAAGAGAAACAAGCATACGGTAGGGTGCAAATCGAGGGCATGCGTCGAGCTAGGATTTGCGTCGGACACAATCGCTGTGCGACACAGAGCATAGCGAGAGGTCGCGGAGAAATACGGGGCCCTCCCGGGTGGGCAATGGAGAGGCGCCGTATTGGGTCTTAGTCAGGGGTTGTGGGCAAGAGTCCGGACATGGGCAGCAGCCACTTTTTGCCAGGCATTGATTGCATTTCCAACTCGGTCGTTCTTCACCAAAGGCTGCTGCACCTCCAGCATCCAGCAGCATCACCGACAAAGACAGACATTGCCAGGTGACCGCATCTGCCTGCTAGCGTTGAAGCCTCTCGCAGGCTTCCCCATGCCACGCATCACCCCTCTGCGCGTGGTCAGCCTGCTCCCCCTCGCCTGGCTGAGCCTCATCACCACCTGGCTGGTCCTCCCATCTCCCGGGTTCTCTCAGGTCGCCCGCTCCACCTATGTCGACTCCGCACTCCGCCGTGGCCAGACGGTGACTGCCGCCATTCCGTCCCGGAAACATGGCAAAGGCTTGCTGATAGACTGGCGGCTCGAGGCCGACGCAGAGACTGACAGCGTCTTGCTTCACATCGGCAGACGTAACCCCGTCAACCTTACTGATGCTGCTCTTCGTGGTGCGCAGCATTTCAGCAATGCCGATGGTCCTTCGCAAAACGACGCAGCTGATGGCCAGAACGTCTCTGTGCCCTTTGTCAGCGAGCTAACCCGTGCCGACGTTCGTCACGGGGAGGAGGACGATTTCTATATCATGCCGTGGTTTGCCTGGACAGACAAACTACTTATCAACTACCAATTCCGCCATGGCACCGACACGTTGGAACTCAGAATGGTTGTACCTGAGCCACGCGTAGTGCAGATATGGAGAGATGTTACCGTGTTGCACAATCTGACCAGCCTCGCCGACATTAAGGAATTCGACCGGGAGACGGGTCTTCTTGCGACGTTTTGTAACGTCCCCGTCGCAGGCTTTGCCGGAGCCCATATACGAGCTGCCATCTCGAACATTCGCACCACGAACCTGGTTGGCCAGCTCCCATCGCGCACATGGCCTATTCGCTACATTATTGCCCAGCCTCTCTACGTCCCAGTCTTCTTCCCTTTGAACATCTTGCGCTTATTCGTCATCGGGCCAGTGTCGCTTAGTGTGTTCTTTGCGGCATGTCTACTCGCCATATTTTTCAAGTGGCAGCAAGCAAAACGTCCACCATTCAGGGAATGGATTGCGCAGTTTGCCTCCTCCGTCCTCTGCTGCAGAGCACAGGCGAGAAAGGCTCGTAGACGTGGCATATGGGGTCCCAGCGGTCCTGTAGCGGACGAGGAGAGCGGCCTGCTAGGCAAGCATCCAATCACGACCTTTACGACGCCGCTAAATGCGGTGTTCAAGCCTACAAAGTCGCGCCCGAGGATATTCGAGAAGGCATGAACACTTCAATTACCATGGCGCATCTAGTCAGCTCTTCTGCATAGTCACGCATGTCTTTCCTGGCGAAACTGAAACTCATGGCTACACACAATATAGAATACAGAGATATTCAGAAGGTCAAAATGTATCCGATTGACAAGAAACGCCAAAACGCCAGGCTGGATAGCAATGCAGAGGATAATTGCTAAGCCGTATGCCAGACCCAGACTAGCTCTATATGTGTAACTCGCCCAGCCTTGCAGAATACTCGTTTCGCTGATTCTACTTTTGTTTCTTTGATGACTCGCCGGCCTCTTCGACGTCCATATCCCGCGAGCGCTTGAGACCCTTCATCTTCCTTGTCTGCAACTCGCTGAGATCCTGCCTGCCAAGGTGGATCCTGCCGAGCTTGTCTCCCATCGTGTCGGTCGAGATGTTCTTCTTTGTCTTCTCCTCGTTCGTCTTGGGCTTCTTCATAGCCTCCTTGAGCACGGCCTCGTCGGGCTGCTGCGAGCGGCCGACACGGAAGTCCATACGCGGACCCATCTCTTCGACCTCGACGCGGGGCATCTTCTGGCCGCTGCGCTTGGTCGAGATGAGATAGAGGCGCATGTGAATTTGCGGCTTGGTGTCGTCATTGCCAATCGGCTCTTCTGCTGAGATGGACACAATGTACTGGAGGCCCTCCACGTCGATCTTGTCACTAACCTCCCCCTTGAAGAAGTCGATCAACATGCTCTTTGCCATGGTGTACTCGTTGGCGACCGGACTCTCGAAGACGGTGCCAGTAAAGGAGATCATGGGGCGAAGGCCGATGGCAAATTTGCGGCCCTTGAATTGTGAGACGGCGCGGTAACTTTCGGGGTCGAGGTGGAGCTCGAGCATATCGAGGACTTTGTGCGCAAACATACGGACGAAGGTCAATGTGTGTGGGCGCTTCTTGGAGGATGAGCCAACTGTCATGCGAAAGACGAGGCAGAGGTTAGCTATCGAGACTCGCCCTCACAGATTCAAGTGATGTGGACGCCAGGTGAAGAGGGACTCACAAACGAATAGAGAAGTATCGTTCTTCTCGGAGAAGAACTCGAGCGATGCAGCATTGTCAAATGGATGGACTATTGGCGAGTTAGCAGCTGACTCTCTTTGCGCGAACTCTGCCCCGTCCGAGGCTCTGGGAACGACATACTGTCGTTCTTCTTGGTGAATTTCTTGGCTAAAGGCTGCCTCAAGGAGAACAGGTCGGTCATTGCATCTTGGACGAGCTGCGAGCAGGTTGTCCCGCGGAGGAAGAGGCAAGTCTTGGGGTTCTCGATGGTCTTGGGTGCCTTTTTCTCGAGGGCGCGCTTCGAGCGGGCATTGCGGGGTTTTCTGTGCTGACAAGTTAGCAGCTGTTGAGTACGAGGTTCAGACGGGGAGCAAGACGTGCATCTGTCGGAGCATCGTGTGGGCAGCGTCGTTGCGCGTGTTGTTGTCAATGTGTGTAGACGGTAGGTGTGGCAGAGTTGCGATCCGCAGCAGGCGTTGGACTGAAGTCGAGCTGCGCAGGTGTAGAACATTTTTGTCTTATCAGTGTCTTATCGCTGTTATCGGTCGGGCGGGACCAGATCTGGGGCCAGGTCACGGCTTGGCACTAGTCTGGCACCATCCCAGGTCGTGCTGGCAGGACCCTGCAGCGCCGGGCCAGCACAGTCGTGCCCCGAGCCGTGGACCTTCTCGGCCGTCATTGCACCGGGGCAAGTGCCGGCTTCGGCAGCCGCGCTACCCCGCGCCGCCAGCCGTGTTGTACAACTGGGCATGCATGCACGAGCAAACCTTGGGGAAAGCACGGTTGTGCGACATTGCATCTTGTTGTTGCAGATCACCCGTCGCCTCACCACATTCGGCATTCAGGCTGCATTCCCCGCCGTTGCCAGGCCTGGGGACGCCGCACTGGTTTCGATCCCGAGGCCGCCCATTCGCCGGGAATGAGGTCATTTCTCTTGACGCTGTCCACTCTGACGGATCGGAACCATACCTTGCACCACCTGGCGCTCCAAAAGTACTTGCGCTGGCCCTGGCGTTGCGAGTTGCAGAGGTATAGATAGTTGCTGTGCAGCACCCCTTGGCAGCCATGGCCAAACCTCGTGGGAAACAAGTCCCCCAAGCGGCCCCCAAGAGCAGCCAGCAAGACACGTCTCTCGACAAAGGCCGCCTCTCCAGCAACACCATGCTCTTCGGCTTCCTAGCTATCGCCGTGCTCGGCGCCGCCGTATATGTGAATGCCTCGCCCAAGCTTGGGGTTGCCTTTGCTGGCACCCGCGCCTGCGACGAGTTGCCTGCACAGGCGCAGCGCATCAATCAGAAAGCCTTCAACGTGTTGCCTGCAGTGCTGCCATTGACAGAATCTAACGCAACCACGGTGAGAGCCCCCCCCCCCCCTCATCTCGGTGGGCACCATTCCGTAGAACGTACGGCTGATGGGCACGGCCAGTTTTTCCACCCCCCAGGCACGGACACGGAGTCTTTAAAAGCCAGGCCATTCCATGTTTATGATGACGAGTTCCTCAATGTCATTGGATCAAATCCAAAACTGTCCCTCATTGCGCACGAGGCGTCTGGCAACCCCATCTTTCATGAAGCGGTTGTCTGGTATCCGCCCACCGAAGAAGTCTTTTTCGTGCAGAATGCAGGAGCGCCTGCCGCCGGGACAGGTCTCAACAAGTCAAGCCTCATCTACAAGATCTCGCTCGCGCAGGCCGAAGCCGTCATTGACAAGGTCAATGCTTCGGGACTCGTTGATGTTGTCGAGGCTCCGTCTAACCCAACTGTGGTTAATCCCAATGGTATAGGTGTACCTCTTCACAGTTGTGACCACCAAAGCTGATATGAAGCACAGGAGGAACCAACTACAAGGGCCAGATCCTCTTCGCTGCCGAGGGCCAGGGCGCAAACATTCCGTCAGAGCTCGTTATCATGAACCCAGTCGAGCCTTACAATACCACAGGTGGGCATGCCAAACCCCATGATTGACCGTGGCAGCCAGACTTTGAGGCCAGATACTAAGAGCGATAGTTCTTCTCAACAACTATTTTGGCCGACAGTTTAGCTCCTTGAACGACTTGGCAGTCAATCCGAAGAATAACGACGTCTACTTCACCGATACCCTTTACGGTTATCTGCAGAACTTCAGACCGCCTCCCGGTTTGCGAAATCAGGTCTACCGGTACAATGACGTCACAGGTGCCGTGACAGTTGTCGCTGACGGCTTTGTGCTGCCTAATGGTAGGATTCTGTATTCTCGACTCGTGGCGCTAACTGTAAGACCTGACTGACGGGTTACTCGTGTCGCGCTGTACCTCTAGGCGTGACCTTCTCCCCCGATGGTACGAAAGCTTACGTTGCCGATACTGGCGCCAACCAAGGTTTCTGGGGCTGGAACCAGTCCGAACCGTCAACTATGTGGGTTTACCATCAGATCCCAGCTTTCAATGGACCCAAAGTCCTTTGGTATTGGACAGAAACTGATCTGTGCTGCAGTTACTCTTATGACGTGCTAGCTGATGGAACTTGGGACAATCGCAAAACATTTTCATATATCGACTCTGGCGTTCCTGACGGTAAGCTTACCACACGTTTTCAAATACGACCATACTTGTCCAACAATATCCCTGACATATTTTACGTTCCGACCTATAGGCGTTCACTGCGACACGAATGGCAACGTTTACGCCGGTTGTGGCGATGGTATTCATGTATGGAATCCGTCGGGCAAGTTGCTTGGCAAGATCTATTTAGGTGAGACGTCTGCCAACTTCAACTTTGCTGGCAATGGCCGGATGGTCATCTGCGCAGAGACCAACTTGTACTTTGCCGAGTTTGCTGCTGTCGGTGGCACATATATCTATTGATCACACTCCTCACACGTTGGTGGAAGATCGCGCGAGGCGAAGCGGGAGGCAGCCACGTATGAAGAAGTAGGATACTCGGCATTGAGGAGTTCTGCGGACGAGGATGGCCCGGAGCTTATGTGCCTGGGTACGCAATTAGGCTACGCGTTCCAGGACCCGGTCAGAGCACCGCAGCCTCATACCAAAGCTTCACTTGACCCAGCATTCAGGTACACGGAACAAAAATAAAATGGTATCGAATTCGCGCAAAACTATCTAATAATGAAATATGTATGTCAATTCTCCGTGGCAGTTGAGACGCAATGGTTTGGTCTAGCCTCCCGCCCCATCAGGTTTTCTGCATTCTCTTACACTCGTAGATGTCCAACCCACTCACGATGCCCTGTTACAGTTGAGAGAATCGATGTACTCCTTGACAAGGTCTTCCGCTCTCTCATCCTTGACGAGACCCAGCTTTTGCACTGGTGTTGTCGAGTCAAAATCTATCGGCCAGCTCCGAAGGATCCGCTCGAGCTCCGGCTTCGTCTCCTCGCGGAGGAGCTTGAGCTTGTCCTCGCCGGCATACTTGGCGAGAGCATCCATCAGCTCCTGGGTTGAGCCGGCGACACCGGGGATGTTGATGTGGCGGATGTGCGGGGGCAGCTTATCGGAAGGCATGTTGAGGACGCGGACAAGGTTTTCCTGAAGGCTGCTTGGGGAGCAGAGGTAGGAGCGGTAGGAGCGGTCGGTGAGCGGGATGACGCATTCCTCGCCCTTCATCGGCTCGCGAATCATGCCCGAAAGGAAGCTTGGAGCGGCATTGCTGGGAAGGCCAGGACGAACAACGACTGTGGGAAAGCGCAGAATGAAGGCATCAATGAAACCCTTGCGGTGCATGTCGTTGATGAAGATCTCGTTGAGAAGCTTATGGGAACCGTAGGTACCCTCGGGCGTAGGTGTCACGTCGTCGGTGATTACCTTGGGCAGCGGCTGGCCATAGACAGCCTGAGAACTCGAGTAGATGACACGAACGCCTGGGTTGGTGCGGCGCAGGGCGAGCAAGAGGCCGTGGACGCTTTGCACATTAACCTTGTATGAAAGATCGAAATTGGCCTCGCTCCCAGCCGACATGATGCCGTGAAAAATGAAAATGGCCGACAGTGGCGACGCAATCTCCAGCAATTCATCGACCGCGGCCGGGTCGCTCAGGTCGCACTTGACTGGCACAGCGTGCTCTGGGTACTTGACATTCTTCGGGATGATGGGCTCGACAACGTCGGTGAGGATGAGGCGGTTTCGGGGGTCATTGAGGAGTCGTTCTGCGAGCAGAGGACCGACAAGGCCGCCCGCGCCCGTGATAATGATGTTCCTTTGCGCCATTGAGCCCATGGTTGAGAGATATTATGTGTTCTGTTACAGGCGGAGGTCAGGCTCGGACAGAAGTCTACGAAAACGGGGCAGCACTTTGACGTTTAAAGTGGTGAGTGTGCGCATTTGGCCAGCAACGAGAGAGGATGTGTGGAATCGAGACAAAGTCGCAATTGGCAGGTCGTACCTTTATGTACTGGTCGGGCCACACTTGCCATTGCCACCTTGCTGCCGAGGGTTGGCGTAAAATCACCAGAAGCGGCGGCAACGCTTGGGTGGTAGTACCAACTGCCGCGCGACTCTGTTGCCAGAGCGAACGGACAGACGTGGGAATCAGAGACATCTCGAGATGAGCAACCACTGGGGGCTTGCATGTGGAGGCCCCCATATGCGGGGATCCAATGTGGGGGATATGCAAGGCCGCGTCTCGAGGCCTGCAGCGGAAATCTACTTCTGTTGCCTCGTCTCGAGGCTGGCGATTCGCTTCAAACTCATGCTTCGACAACCTCTCGAAGCTCTAAGTTCGATGGGGTGCGGGGGGTATCTCAGAATAAGTCAAGAAACAAGGATCCTCTGCTCAGCCAGCTGTAGGGCCCGCGTCTCGCGTCCTCTCACTTCTCCAACTGGACTACTCCGCACTCTCACCCACCATCTCCTCACCTACGCTGGGGCTCCGATCCTGTTGCTCTTGTCATCATCTGTCGTCGTCTCCCCCTCGACGCCGAGCAGTCCGGGCTCAGCTCCGAACCCCGCCGGGCTCTCAGCCATTTCGCCCTCTTCCACGCCTTCGTCGCGCAGAATCCGTCGCAGCCCTGCTCGTACTGCCGGGTCCATCTCTAGCTCTTGCCAGATCTCAAGATCCCACTTCTCACAACTGCTCTCGTTTACGGCCATACCCGCTTCGCCTCGCATATCGCGACTCGTGCTGTGCTGCTTCCAAGGCGGGAACGTCCACCACCCGGCGATGACCATACTTCGCTTGATTGTCTTATACGCCATCTCGACGCATATGAGCACGACACAAATGGCTATCCCTGTTGCCCACCAAATGGGATCCTTTCCAAAGGTCTCAAAAAGCCCCTGCCGGCCCGCATACGGACTAGGTTGCAGAGGGTAGATACCAGCCAGGAACGCGCACCATGCAAACCACCCGGCAACCGTTATCCCGAAGCAACCCATGACCACTGTGGTTTTGTGGTGAATCTCGATAATACTATTGCGAAGATCGAGCCAAGGAGTCAGCCTTGCCAATTTGATATTGAAGGGGGAAGGTGAGGAACGAGAGTGCACGCGCGCCAAACAAGGCGCAGCTACCGGCCTGGCAACCGAGATCCATCTTGACAGTGTGTACGTGAAAAGGAGGCAGACAGAGTACTCACAATAGCTTCCAGTTGACCCAGACGACTCCAATAGTGAATGCAAGACTGCCGAAGGCAAAGAGCCCATCGTCGCGGGGTTGCTGGCCGAAGGCGTTGTAGGCTGCCCACATCCCCAGGTACACGAAAATTCCCTCGATCGCTGCGGCAAACATCCACCCGAGGAATCTAGGGATGTTGAGCTCGCGATTTCGCTGTCCATGCACATAGAGCTCCGGAATGGCGAGAAGCGTTTCGGCGCTCAAGTCTTGCTCCCATATGCCCATGCAAATGGTACACAAGGATGTGAACAGCGTGTTGAAGACCGTCAGACTCCAGCTCTCGTATAGGCTTGTACCAGAGTAGCCATTGAAGTACTGATACATGGCCGTTGGCAGATAGAAGAACATTTCCTTCCAGAATGTGGCCAAGATGAACTTGCCTGTTCGGACGTAGTTCCAGCGGCCATGGACAAGGAGAAGTCGCTGCAAGAATCGAAACCGAGCAATCGCATAGTCTGCGACTCGGGCTGCCTGGAGACCCTCTTTTCCCGAAATGCCAACGCCCACATGAGAAGCCGAGATCATGGCCAGGTCGTTGGCACCGTCCCCGATCGCCAGCGTCAGGGCTTTCGGCACTCTTTGTCTGATGGCCTGGACGATGAGAGATTTTTGGGCTGGCGAAGCTCGGCAGCAGATCACCGAATCGATTGTTGGAATCAGTGCGTAGAACAGATCTGTCAGAGCCGGTGATTTCTCTACAACAGAAAGGGTGTGGCCGTCGATCACAACAACGCTATGAAGACAGCCGGACTGGATGTCTTCCGCAATGCCTTGAATCTGGCTGTCCAAGGCGCCTTTGGTGACATCGAGAACAAATATGTCGGAGCTTGGACGACATAGTCGAGCAGAATGTGCAATGTTGATCGCCGTCTCACGCTTGTCGCCTGTAAGCATCCAGATCTTGATGTTGGCTCGCCTCAGTTTGTCAATCGTCTCGGGGACGCCACTCTGCAACTTGTCCTCAATTGCAGTGGCTCCAACCAGGTTGAACGACTGCTCCAAAAGCTCTCCTGCAGTTTCAATTTTCTCCTGGCGATCCACGAGGCTCGTTTCCGCGTCGCTGTACACCTTCTTCCATGCAACATAATCTGCTTCGGAAATAAACTTCTTCGCATAGAGAAGCGTGCGCAATCCCTCTGACGCGAAGTCATCAAGATGTCGGAAGCACTTGCTAAACACAGTTGATTCGTCCATGACCGAATATTCATCCAGGAAGGCGAATTTGTCTGTGTTGATTTCGTGGCGCTTGTGATATCCGGGATTTGGTATTGAAGTCGACTGCGGCACTTCCAGAGAAAACGTTCGGGTGCCCAGCCGGGACTGTAGTTTATCCATGGATTTACGAGGCCTGTCAGTAGATGCGCTCCTCTGAATGGCGCCGTCCGTAACGTCGATATCCGACAGTGGGAGAGCCAGGCTGTTCCTTCCTGATGTATAAACGGCACTAGCGCTGAGTCCGGACTTTGTGCGCAGCATTGTCAAGCTGGGACGGCCACCGAAGCTATTACGTATCTCCTGCTGCTCGCTTCGACGCATAAGCTCATGCTCCATGTCCACACTCTTGCGCACCTCTGATGCCTTCTGCTTGGCCACGTCAGCGAGCGTGAGACGCGGAAGAATTGCCGAATCGGCGCCTTTGCAGATGATGCAGATCCGCCCATCGGGGAAGCGAACAACGACCGACATTCGCTTGCGCTTGCTGCTGAACTCGATAACATCGAGGATCTGGTATGTCTCCTCTGCTTGCGAGCCATCGGCTTGAGCAACTTGAAGAGTGATTGATTGGGATGTTCTACGAATGACAACGTAGCCCAGGTCCTTCGCAGCTCTAACAAGTGCCAATTCATCCGGTGACGACGCCTGATAGTCCAGCTTGCCATTCACGACCTCAGGAAGACATGTATGACATAGGGCCATACACAGCACGTAGTCCTGTGCTCTCTTGGCAAAAGCCGACGCAGGTTTTGCCCGCACAAAATCAAGCAAGTCGGTAGTGGTGACCTCTGGTTGGATGTGGTCAGGACGCCCCGTCGATCGCCACTGAGATGAGGACCTCCGGAGTGGCTGTGGTGGCCCAGCAGAGAGTGGTGACGGCAAAGGTCCCATTTCCACATCCTCCACGATAACCTCGTCTCTGCCAACTGCGAAGCTCGGCCGATGCTCGCCTCTGGGGTCAAGCGGTGGCTCTGCGGCCTGCGACGGTGGGACCACCAGGGTATCCTTTTCAGGCTCAAGGTCCATTTCATGAAGCCAGGACGTTCCAGCAACGCTCATTTTGCGAAACTTCATGATGTTGTCGGTGAGAGTCCCAGTCTTGTCAGAAAAGATGTAGCTTACTTGACCCAAATTCTCCAGGATCGTGTTCGTGTTGCATTGAGCCGGAGTGTCGCTTGCCTTATCGTACATCATGATATCGCCATTGAGCATCAGCAGCTGGCCAATCTTGATGATTTCCAGCGTGACATATAGGGACAGAGGGATGTTGTTGTTGAACATGATAGCGTATCCCAAAAAGGTCTGGTGATACTCGACCGGGGCTCCTGCAATGTACCACGAGTTCTGCTCTGTCGACCTCTGCCACATCCGGTACCCTTCAGAACAGCCGACCGTCAAGATGATGACATACACAGCCAGAAGCAGGACAATCTTGTTGGCTGTGTATTCAAGAGCCGGCTTTTTGGCCTCGGGATGCTGGTTAGCGTTCATACGGATCTTACATTCCTCCCCCGTGTTGATAACCATGCCGACTGCCCGAGACGTGTTTCGAAGGGTGCTGCCACGATATATAACGTGATTTGAGGTAAGCGGGAGTGTCTGATCACGGACTTGTATCCGTCCATCGAAACGGTAGAGATCGGCATTTGGATCTTCGACGATGAATTCTGCGCTACAGTTGCGGATGCCGGCGATGGTATCGCACTCTTGAAGGTCCGGCATAGTTTCCCGTGTTTTGAGGTTCGTTTCGCCGTCTAGATCCATGGTATCTATGAAAGCCAGACCGTTCTCTCCTGTTGCATGGAGCAGCACAAGGTCAGCGGGAACCTGCTGATCTCGCGAGACAGAAACTATGTCGCCGACTTGGACATCCTGCCAAAAGGCATTGCGCCATGCAAATTCATTGTCGTGGTCATCGTGCGTTTCAACGATGTGTGCTGTCGCACGCTGCTCCGATTTGCGTTTGCGTAATAGATCCCAGTGTGTGGCGGGCTTGTCCTCCACATCTCTGACGGACAAGGGCCGCAAGACCTTGACCAGGGTCGTGTTCTCGACATTATCGAGCTTGTGCCGCTTGAAGTCGTCATAGCCCTCCTTCGCAATGGTCAAGAGGACGAAGAATAGGAGCGGCAGGATAGTGGTATAGTTGCCCGTTGTGCTGATGCCCGGGATGGTCTGGGGAATGCCGACGCACAAGAAGTAAAAATTGGCGAGCCTGGTGAACTGGAAGATAAGCTGCTTGGGCAGGAAGTCCCACAGCGTGTAGCGCGACGTCCGGATGGTGTTGGATATGTAGGGACGAGCTCTCCGCTCGTCGATGAGCTGCCTGCCATGGGCAACACGTAGCGGGATCCTGCGGCCGTCTTTAGACGGGCCGAGCGGCTTCTGGCGCAGGAGAAGCTCACAGATGAGGACCTTGTACCAGAGCAAGACAAAGTTGTGGAGCGCCCCTACGGCCATGTTCCAGTGCGCGCGTGCTGCCTGTAAAGGCGTGGGTTTCGGGCGGATGGAAGCATCACGAGCCACTGCTGCATCAGTGTCGGCGAAGGTGAAGGAAGGTGGCATGCTGGAGCGACTTTAAGCGAGTGTACGGCTGCGCATCGAAACCAATAGCTCCAAGCTCCTCATCAAGGAAAAGCGAGCGTGACCGCGAGAGCGCGGGCAGGATAGAATGCGTGACCTTGCGGCATTGGTAACCAGAAAGCGAGTGGACGCGCCGCGAGAGTTGGACAGCCAACCATGCGCAGAGCAAATGTGAAGCGATATGTCGAATATGTACACAGCTTTAGGGCGAATGTGCAACGGAACTGGAGGGCTGGGATTCGCGGCGGATTGAGGCGCAGCCAACAACGGGCTGCGCGATACCAAGAAACCAGGGGGCCTTAATGACGAGGAAGCGCGCCTGTGGGGTGTCGACTGGGACGATACATGCAACAGCGCTCTCTTGCAAAGACCCAGCAAATCACCGATTCCAAGCCAGCCCAAGCCTTCCTATAGTCTCATAATGTCTCTGCACATGTCCATTCTTCTGACACGCTGATCTGAAGGGTCGAGTAGGCGGTTTCAAATGACATGAGCACTATTGTGTCCGGCCAGCCCTCTGCTCACACCAGGCTCAAGGTGCACTTGACGCACAATATCCGTCCACGTGGGCCTAGTGGCAACCGCCAGTCCCTGATACGTTCAGCGCGAGCCAGCTGATATCCATCCACATACACTGTCCGAGCGTGGCCTCACAAATGCCAGAGACAGCACTGGCTCTTTTTGCTCAATCTGAGGTTGCGTGTCCGGATGAGCCCGTTCAAGTCCCCAAGCTACCAGCGCCCAAGGTTCATGATGGCCAGATCGGCTCGGACCGCTGTCTGGCAGGTCGGACAAGTGAGATTCTAAACACAAGAGCAGTAGCACGCAAACTCGACAAGTACCGTGATGCCGCCTCCTTAAGGTGGGGCTTCGAGTTGGCCCTGCCTGCACCTCAATCGTGCGGGTGGAGTTCCATGGTTACTACTGCAAGGATGGCAGGAGGCTCCCGCCATGTCCTAGCTCCGAGCCTCCAGTGCCGTCCAGTCTCGCTCAACTCCATGTCCTTCAGTACGTGCAGTGTAGCGTGGATCACAAACGACACGCCATCACCATTGCATGACAAGCTGCCCTTTTGCGCATACCGATTTCTCGCAGCCACGACCGCTGTGGGCTCGACCGCCATAGCAGCTCAACCAGATACCCTTTGCCAGCGCCAACCCGTCGCCTCTGCACATGCCTTCGCCTTGTGATGGCCCTTCTTCGCCCACCATCGAGGCTGCGCTGACCAGCGACGCCAGCGTCAGCCATGCCCTCGACCGCGTACAGCCATCCGATCACGACAAGCCCGATGGCTCGCCAGACCCCATGGAGTCTTCCGTCGCCACTCTCAAGCCTGCCAAACCTCAGCTTCTCTCCATAGACACAACAACTTATGTCGACCCGACCCCTCCGACCCCGTCCGGCTCGCAGCCTCAGTCCCGAAGCAGCTCTGTTCACAGACCACGCGATACAGTCACAGGCACCTCGCCGGTTCCTTCAGATTCTGGCTACGATGACAAGCGCGACGTTAGTGAAGATGAGCAGGAGGGCAGCTCTCGGTCCGAAATCCAGTCCATCATGCTGCAGTTCCCGGAAGGCGGTGGGGGTCCAGGCGCTGAGGAGGTCATGAGTCCCCGTCTAGAGCTGACGTCGCCCATCCTTGGCGGCGCTCCGGTGCAACACCCTCCACGAAAATCGAGCCTTGAGCCCCTTTCTTCGACCATTGTGCAGCAACTGCAGGAATTGAGAGTCGCAAATGACTCGTCGACAAGCGTGCGGACCTCGGATAAATCATTGCCTCCGGTGAACGATCATGGCCCGCCGGTGCCTCCAAAGGACGGCCCTGCAGACGAAGGGGTACCTCGGTCTGACTCTACCAGTACCTTACACCGGCCTCCCCCCCCAGAGCCCGAGCCCGAGCCAGTTCTGCCGTTTGACTTCCACCGCTTCCTGGATCAGCTCAAAAACAAGAAAGCAGATCCAGTGGCACGGTATCTCAAATCGTTCCTGTCTGAGTTTGGGAAGCGGCAGTGGATGGTGCATGAGCAGGTCAAGATCATTGGGGACTTTCTGGCTTTCATCGCCAACAAGATGGCCCAATGTGAGGTGTGGCGGGATGTGTCCGATGCCGAGTTTGACAACGCCCGCGAAGGCATGGAAAAGCTTGTCATGAATCGACTGTATAGCCAGACCTTTTCGCCGGCTATCCCACCCCCGCAGCCAATCCCTGGCGCAAAAACTAGACGAAGGCAGGACAAGCCCATGGGACCTGGGCGTAGAGGACAGCATCAGGAAGACGTGGAGCGCGATGGCGTCCTGGCCCAGAAGATCAGCATTTACAGCTGGGTCAGCGAGGAGCACCTCGACATTCCCAAAGTCAGTGACAGTGGTCGCCGGTTCCTCAACCTTGCACAACAGGGTAAGCTCGATGGAAAGCTCTATTCTGTTGACCTCGCTGACGAACCACAGAGCTGCTTAAGATTCGATCCTACAGAGCACCAAGGGACAAAATCATATGTGTGCTTAACTGCTGCAAGGTGATATTCGGTGAGCGTGCTATTACCCGATAATATGTTTCGGGGTGCGGCGGCGAGGCTAACAATTCAGGGCTTCTCAAACATGCGAAATCGGACTCATCGGCAGATTCCTTCATGCCCCTGCTCATCTATGTAGTTCTGCGGGCGAATCCGGAGCACTTCGTCTCGAATGTTCAATATATCCTACGGTTCCGCAATCAAGAAAAACTGGGCGGCGAAGCTGGTTATTACCTGTCCTCCTTGGTTCGTCGCTTTGTGGTCACCTTGAACATTCCTGACTCATGCTAACTCTACGGCCACTGAAAGATGGGCGCAGTACAATTTATTGAGAATATGGACCGCACGACGCTGACGATTTCGGATGAGGACTTCGAAAGGAACGTGGAGGCGGCAGTGTCCGCAATAGCTGAGAAGCACCGCACAGAAGAGTCGCCTGTGCGTACCGAGCAGCCGCCTCTGAGGTCCGAGAAGGTTGTGCCATCCCAACCCTCGTCGTCGCGACCGTCACTTGACATTGATGCTTCAGGCACTCCGCGTCGCTATTTGTCGTCTATGGAGGCTAGCAATGATTCGGGTGACGAGGGCGCCATTCCTGGGCTTCTGCGTGCTGTCCAGAGACCTCTTTCGTCCATTGGACGCATGTTCTCGGACGAATCTGATGTCGCTGGCCCATCAGTGGCCATGCGCCAGCCACAGCAGACGACGTATGCTCCGTCTCGGTTAGGTCCACATGGGAGCAGTGTGCGTGGACCTTCTGATGATATCAGTAGGGACTCTCAACTTTCTGCGCAGGAGGCTGCCGCCAGGCAAGTTAGCGCGGAAGTTGCGGAAGCACAGCGCGTGAGCCGAGCCGAGCACCACAATGTCGTAGAGACTTTGGCAGGCATGTTTCCCGACCTGGACCGCGAAATCATTAGTGACGTCGTCTACGAGAAAGAGGGAAGGTGTGTCGTATCTCTCCCCCTGCATTAACTTCCTGGAGACTGACGATGGCAGGGTTGGTCTTGCGGTCGATGCCTGCCTGGCGTTGAGTTCTTAGGCATTGGATGCGTCAGTTACAAGACTGAAGGCGTGACACAATTTCTGGTTGACACTCGATGATCAAGACGGTCCAGTGCGACATGTATGGGGACCAAGGGTTTGACTCGAAGGGGGCCACGCAGCAGCATTGAAGGTGGTCTCTGTGCATATTAGCGGTCGGTCATGCTGGGGAGTTCCAAATACCCAATTTTGGTTTAGCGAAATGTTCATTGAGCCACTTCGTGGTTTGTGCATGGTAACTGCTGCAGGTAGCATTTAGGCGTGCCAAATTAGAGTCAGGTGAAGCTGCATGTGACCAGAGCAATAGTAGGATTTGTTTCCATGAACATGGAGATGAAAGGTAACTGAGGAACCCAGCAAAGGTGAAATATGCAGGTGCAGAGTCTTATGGCTTGGATTAATGGTTCTCCTTTGAGCCCTGGCACCACTCGCCCGAACCTCTTCTGGGAAGGTCACATACATTCATGTATCGAAACACTCATGCGAGCTTGGCTCGCCAACGACAGCCCTGTATTGGGTCTGTTATATGTCCTTCTCATTGGTGCACTCCAACCTGAGCAGCCGCAACACTTTCAATGCCTCCCTTCTCCCTGTGACCCCGGGCCCGTTTTCATGGCACGGAGGCTGGACCTCCGCGCCTTACCCGCACCAGGCAAATCACATGTAACGACAGACACCGGGTTAGGTAGTCCTAGAGAGCCTCAAGTGATGAGATCTTTCTATTTCATGACTTCGGCCGCCCTGATTCAACTTCAAGCCACCACGATCGATGGGACCCCGCCAATAACAATCGACGCAAATCGTGGAGGTTTTGCATGTTTCTTCCTCGGCAAAGCGAGCGTGACCAAGCATGTGGTGTATTCAATACAGCTATGGGCTTGGTGTGATGTGCGCCCTTGCATCACGGATAGCTGGCACATTTGCGCAAAGCACGACGTTGAAGTTTGAAGCGGAGAATGGCGTCCTTTCGGGCACCACCGTTGACTCGGTCCAGTCAGGATACTCCGGTGAGCTTGATAATTCTGTCACGAACTCTACTGGCACAGTTCGGTGGGCTGATGCTTTCTTAGGCTCGGGATACGTGACTGGTTTCGACACGGCCGGCGATAAGATTACCTTCAACGTAGCGATTGATGCGACAGCTTTGTACGACATCGGTATCCACTACGCGGGAATTTATGGCGAAAAGAAGACTACTTTGGTTCTAAATTCTGGCTCTTCGAACGAAATCTCGTTGCCGGCGACCAGTACCTGGGCGACCGCGTCTGGCGGCCAGTTGCTGCTGACAGCTGGTGACAACGTGCTCGAAATTATCTCGAATTGGGGTTGGTGAGTATGAGCGCCAGAGGAGCCAGACAAATTCTGATCTCAGATCTCCGCGAATCAGAATATATCTCTGACCACAGAAATTCCCCAGGTATCTCGTTGACTACATCACACTCACCCCAGCAGAGGGCCGACCGCCCCACCAGATCACCACGGAGCTCGTTAACGACGAGTCAGGCCCGACTGCCTACAAGCTCTACAATTACCTTATTTCCCTGTATGGAAAGAAGATATTGTCTGGGCAGCAAGACCTCAAGTGGGCGAACTGGATAAACGACACTATTGGCAAGACCCCTGCCCTTCTTTCAGTTGATTTGATGGACTACAGCCCGTCCCGCGTAGAGCGTCAAGGGGATATCTCAACTGCCGTTGAGGACGCCATCGCCCATCACGAGAAGGGGGGTATTGTCTCCGTTTTGTGGCATTGGAACGCGCCCATTGGTCTGTACGACACGAGCGAGAATCCTTGGTGGTCTGGCTTTTACACGCGGGCAACCGACTTCGATGTTGCCGAAGCCCTCGCAAACCCGAGCAGTGCAAACTACACACTTCTCCTTCGGGACATTGATGCTATCGCCATTCAGCTGAAACGTCTCGAGGCCGCTGGTGTGTCGGTTCTCTTTCGGCCTCTGCACGAAGCAGAAGGTGGCTGGTTTTGGTGGGGAGCCGAAGGGCCCGACGCCGCAAAGGCGCTCTGGGGTCTCGTATTCGACCGACTTGGCGAGTATCATGGCCTGAGCAACCTGATCTGGGTGTGGAACTCAATCGCTGAGGACTGGTATCCGGGTGACGACTTGGTTGACATTGTGAGCGCAGATGTGTACGCTCAGGGACATGGCGTAAGTCTCACGTGCCGGTAAACCCCGTTTGGCTCAATCCTAATGAAGCGGCGTCAATACAGGTGATGTCAACCCAGTACCAACAGCTCCTGAAACTCGGCAACGACACAAAGCTCATCGCAGCTGCCGAGGTAGGATCCGCTCCGATGCCAGACATGCTGCAAGCATATGGCGCCGACTGGTTGTGGTTTTGTGTCTGGGGCGATTCCTACATCAACAACGATGATTGGAACTCAATTGAAGTGCTTAAAGAGGTAAACCCCCTTCCTCCCCACCTGTCATTCTACATGAACTCTGCACCTCGACTCACAGCAAATCGCCTGTACGATGCCGTGTGTAAACAAGATCTCGTGCGCTGATATTCCGCCCTCAAATGCAGATATACAACAGTGAATACGTCCTCACGCTCGATGAAATTCAAGGATGGGCTACGTCATGAGCTTAAGTGAGGTTCAGCCTATGCACAAGGAAGACGCTATTGCGCGGGAGATGAAGTATATGCCTTTCCTAGAACGGAGTACGTCCAGCTGATGACTGATTATCAGAAATCATTCAACGCGCCGTGAAGCAAAAGCCGTGACCCTGAACCTGTGATTCAGCCAATGCGCGTGTGATCTGTAGTACATCCCTGCGCTGTGGACCGACCGACTGTGGAGGTGAGCTTTAAACGTTCTACGCTCGTCTGAACTTGGTTGAGCAATGAGGGGTTCAGTGCAATTCCATGCCACCGCCCACTTAGGTGACATGCATGAAAAAGCCGTTCATCTCCCACATTGCCGGGTGCACGGTCTCGATAGTGGCCATCATACTATGCATGGCAAACTCAAGAATAGCGCTCCGGCCGAATTCCATGACGCATACCGAAAACCAGCAACTTGACCTCGGAGCTTAAGTAGTCGGTGGTGCTGTCGGTCGCCAGTGGTACATGAACACAGCTTTGCTTGGGACAAGGACAGGGACTTGGACCCACGATCACCTTGTTCATGAAATTCCTACTCTGTTGAATATATGATATCATCGCTACATTTGGCCATTCTCCTATCGTGTTTGATAAGAGGCTGGTTTGATGGCAGGATGACACTCGTGTAGTTTGCCTCCATACCACATGACGAAGGCCTCCGTGTTGATATCTACAGAGCATAGCGGAACATAACCTTTTCGCCTTGTCAGCAGTGTACCCAATTGAGAGACCAAATAAAGACTTACATTCTCGTGATCCGTGATATCTTCGAAACCTTGCTGCTCGCTCAGTTTGCGCAATTCAACGAGTTCCTCCTCCGTCTTGCTTTGCAAGAACGCGTCAAGCTTGCGGTTCTCGAGGACATATAAAATACGCAAGACCTGGTTAAGCACCAAGTTGAGGATGAAGCCGCACAACATGGCAACTATACCACCGTGATACGAAGGTGCCTCTGTGCTCTTGAAGAACTGAGGGCCAGCGATTTGACCAATGCAATAGCAGACAAAAACCCAGCCTGAAGCGACAGACCGCTTTGTGCTACCGGCGATGTTTGTTGAGAGCAAGCCAAGGATGACCATAAAGCCCACAGGATAGGAACCCAGCAACCAAACACCGGCCAAGCGACCCCATTTGTTGGAAGGGTCCAGCTGGTTGATCAAACACGTCCCTATGATCTACTCGCGAGTTTGTTGGTTAGAAGCACGCGCAAACAGAGGATTGCGACAGCTGACAATCGAGCAGTGGTCACTTACGGGGGGGATCATCGCAGCGGTGGCTACATGCAGACGGGAGTTGGTGACTTTGCTGGCCAAGAAACCGCAGAATAGCTGCGAGACAACCTGGACCGAAGAAAGCGGGAGGTTCATCAATGTTGTCGTCAGAGGGTCGAAGCCAAAGCCAGCAATGATCAAAGAGCCAAAAGCCAGTCCGCCAGACGCGATAGCATTGACAAAGGAGATAAGGCCGAGAACGATGATCTTCGGATCGGTCACGGCCTCGACAACCTGGGCCTTGACAAAGCGCCGAGATTTCGTTCCTGTCTTGTTCTCGACAACACGCTGGATGGCGACCACCTTTTCATTCTCGTTGAGCCAGGAGACGTGAGCTGGAGAATCAGGAACGAATAGCGTGAATATGACACCCCACACGACCGTCATTGCACCGAGAATGAGGAAAATGTACTTCCTATCGCCACCTCTTCGCATTAGTGGGACTGAGAGTCATCTGTCACAGGGAGTCGAATGGAGACGCCACCTACCAAGTCGAAAGGCCGCCGCGGATGTGCCCGATTCCATAGGCCAACAAGGTACCAACGAAGCTACCCACGCCGAGAAAAGAGATCCAAAGCGCCGATCGCCCTGCTTGTTCTTGACGTGTCCACCAAATACCCGTGACGGCAACGAAGCCTGGGGAAATGGTAGCTTCGGTCATGCCTAGAATAAAGCGCACGCTCGCGAGTCCCGCAAACGAAGAGCACGCAGCAGTTGTGAGCAGCACAGCACCCCAGAGGATGATGTTTACACCCAGGAATTTGGCCACAGGGAAGCGCTGGAGAATAGCGACACCGGGATATTCGGCAATCAGGTATCCTAGGAGCTGCGTTTGAGCTTCAGATGCGCCACAGCGAACGGTTGGGGTGCTACACACCAAAGTAAAAGATGGAGCTCGCCCAAGAATACTGCTGGCCTACCAGCCCGTTGTCGGGAATGATGCCGTAGACCGACGAGTAGCCGAGAGACGTCTTGTCGATGAACTGGAGTGCATAAGTGATGCCTGTTCTCGGTTAATACGGCAGCAGCAAAGACCACGCTGTGCATGGGAGTAGGGGAAGCCGTACAGAGGAAGGGCAGGATGCGCATGTCAATCTTGCGGCGCACTTTGCGTGCGCTCTCCTGGTCGAGCTCGCCCATCATCAGAGCCTGAGCCGCAAGCTCGCCGGCCTCATCCTGGATCTTCATGTTGACCATCTGGATGTCCTTGGGGTGGGCGTCATCGGCTGCAGCCACCCCGTGACCAATCTGCTTCTCTGAAGGCATGTCGAAAGGCTGGTGAAAGCGAGGCAAAGAGGTCTCACGCCTGGGTGAGCCAAACTACTTAAGAGGCAGCGGATCTGCAGCCACGGTCCGTTCGAGGAGAACTCGATAAGTGGAGGACACGGTCAGGTCCTGAAGACAGGGTTGCAGCCATTATTAAGTCCCGGTCAAGTCTGGAGAGGCTCTGCTTGTCGGTTGTGTGCCTGTCTGCGTTATCTCCTCGCTCACTCCCAGGCACCGGAACTCCGTCCGATCTAGATTGAGCTGAGTTGCCTATTCCCAGAGGACGCCGATATGAGGGCGTGTGGGCCAATGAGCGGACTTGCTCGGTTGCCACAACGGCGACGGCGACCCGGCTAGGATCAAGGGTTATCTTTGCACTGTCGGGACTTGGTGTGTTAGCGGCCGAGGAGCCATCCAAGCGTTGTGCGCGCCGGAAGCTGGCGGACGGCAGCGGGCTAGTCACTGATCCGAACTACTGGTTTTGGCATGTAGCGGAGCTGGCCGACCATGGCGGCCAATCAGGACCCGTCAGGACTCGGCCGCAGGCTGCCGACAACGGCGTGGGGTGGGGCGGGCGTTGCCAGTGTCGTATTGCTGCGAATCGGGGCTCGGCCGACCCTTGGCTTGAACAATGTCCTGAAGGTTGCTCCTCCAGGCTTAACTTTGAACAACGCAGCAGCGACCATTCTGGCTCGCAGGTGTTTTGTCCAGTCAAGATGCAGCTCACCGACGATGACTTCGTCCTCGTGGCGCTCAGTGATGCCCAGGACCAAGGCCAGCCAGCATCTTTGCAGTCTGATTATCTCGCCGAGGTCACTCGGGCCGTTGAGGAGGCTGCAGAGGGGTTGTGGACGGTCAACAAGGCCATCCACGACAACCCGGAGCTTGGCTACCACGAGTTCAAGGCGCACAGAGTCCTCACAGACTACATGCAACAGCAGGGAGGATGGACAGTTACTCGCTCAGCATATGGCTTAGCCACGGCGTGGACAGCTGTCTATGACAGTGGGCGTCCAGGGCCTGCCGTATCCTTCAACGCTGAATACGGTCAGTCTCATGGGGAGGGTCACAACTGGCTCTGCCTCGTTCTAGCTGACAGAGAAGGCCCACAGACGCCCTCGAGGGTATCGGCAATGCCTGTGGGCACAACTTGATTGCCACCGCGTCTCTTGCTGGCGGGCTGGCGACAGCAGAAGTCATGAAGCGCCACGACCTTAGCGGCAAAGTCGTCATCTTCGGGACGCCAGCGGAAGAAGGTAAGCCCCGATCATCCAGTCCTGCCGTGAGGCCGTTTATCTCTGTATATGTCTGATACCTGTTCTCAGGTGGCGGCGGTAAGATCAAGCTCCTGGAGGCTGGGGCGTATCGGGACCAAAAGGTCGACATCAACCTCATCTCGCATCCCGGGATTGTCGTGGACAGCGCCATAATGCGCACCGCGGCGTATACGGCATTCCGCGTCGAGTACTTCGGACGCGAGGCGCATGCTGCCGCCAGCCCATGGCTTGGGATCAATGCGCTTGACGCGCTCATCACAGCCTATTCGGCGCTGTCGGTGCTCCGGCAACAGACGATGCCCGGCGATGTCATTCAGGGCAACATTACGCACGGGGGAGTGCGACCAAACATCATACATGCCTATGCTGCGGGCGACTTTGTTGTGCGCGCCGACACCCGGGCGAGGTTGGAAGAGCTGAAGAGAAAGGTTGATGCCTGTTTCGAGGCTGGGGCCCTGGCTGCGGGTGCGAGGCTCAAGATGACGACGAGTATGAGCTATGCAGACCACGTACCGAATCGCGTGCTGGCTCATTCGTACCGGCGCCACTTCAACTCGCTAGAGCCGCCGGTGCAAATACCCGACGACGACGAGGTCGACGACATGCGGGGCAAGACGAACGCAAGCAGTGACCAGGGCGACATCAGCTACGCGATGCCCAGTCTCAATGCGGGCTTCTCGATCCCCGCTGGACCTGAGGGCAATGGCCCCCACAGCCCAGACTTTGCGGACGCAGCGGGCACGCGGGTAGCCTTCGAGAGAGCGCTGAGGACCGGCAAGGCACTGGCAGGAACTGCCCTGGACGTGCTGGTCACCAAGGGACTCCTCGAAGAGGTGAAGAAGGCATGGGCAGATGACATGAGGCGTGCTTCCCAAGCATCTTCAGTGATCTTGCCAGTTGAGGCGTGACAGGAGTGTGCGGTGATTAAAGTAGCGCCGACATCAGGGCACGCGCCCACCCCGGCCTGGGGACCTTGTACCTTGCGTGGCTACAGGGATGTCCGCCACGGCCCACACCGTGCAATATACCTGTAATTGACAAGTATGCCCCTTGACCCATGGGGTACATGTTTGAGCGTCGACGAGAATCCCAGGTCATCTACACATGAATGCTGAGGTACAAGCGAAGCCTACACTTCAAGGACCTGGCTCAGACCGAGCTTCACGAGACCGCACGCAGAGCGCGCAAACAGGTAGTCACTACATGCTGTGTGGCAGTCTACCTGACATTGCTTAACGGCCGGCAAAATGCGCAGCACCAGTGTATCGCCCTATGCGGCGCTCGTGCTTGCACTTATCAGTGGCCGCCTCTCCCTTACATCCTTGACTTTCACCACCTCTGCCCGAGTCACAAGTCGACTTATGGCAACAGACACCAGAGGGAGCGAGTTGAGCACAAGGCAGTCTCTATGGATGAGCAAGTGTTGCTTGGCCCGTGCCGCCTGTCCTCACGGCTTCGCCTGCGCCTACCCATGCCATTCTCAGTAGGAGAGGAGTCACTCTTCGGTAAGATGCCCATTGTCATCTATTGCCCAATGCTGAAATCTCCTGCCGTCGTCGTCCTAACCGGCCGCTTTTGACACTTGTTTAATGCGTGGCACTGGCTGCATTCTCTGGCGGATGCCTCAGTGGGTATGATTTTATGCCATGCCTTTCCCGTCGCCAACTCATGCTCCTGTCGTCTACATTCCTCTTAAGATCCGCAAGCTGTGAGCAGCCATTGCTGACTTGGCAGTGGGGGTCGCCCATGGCATGGTCACTGCCCCCAGCTTAAGGCCGCGGTCGCGGGGACATGCTGTCCTCCGATGCAAGTTTGCCGGGTTCAGGATCTGGGCCGTCTCGATGGTGCTAGGCTCCGCTCTCAGCACGGATAACAGATGATGAAGCATAGAGACCGCAGGAGCTGTTCGTCCGAAAGGGATTGCCTTGGATATGGCCACTTTGTACTCGGTTCGGACACATCATGGCCTTGTGCTGAATCGGCGAACTTTTCATGAGGACGTCAACTTCATCCATGATTACTTGCAGGCAAGCTACCCGGGCGAAGCATTGTAAGCGGGTTGTATCAGCCGGACGGCATGTCTTATCGAAGCACAGTCTACACCGCTGGCGGTCATCAAGCAGCCCACGATGTCCCGGGAGTAGTGGGAACATCTCATAGCGGAACGGCACTGCCCGCGGGTTATAGCTTCGCTGCTACAAGACCATCAACTTCCAATAGTGCTCATTTCCCCCAAAACTGGGCGAGACATGACATCGATGGTCATTGCGTGCTATACTCTACAGGAGAGAGGCCATATATTCACTTGGCATGTCGGATTTTGTTATCCCCAAGGATAATATGCTCGCCATGCTTGCATTGACTTCCATGAGTACGTTTGGCTAGCTCAGTGCAGCACGAACGATGTTGTTTCAAAAGCGCCAGACGCCATTGCCTCACCATGCATGTACCCATCAACATAACAATCGCCAACGAGCCTGTATTCGCCATGACCACCTTCTGCGCGAAGCAAGACAGGTGTGTTGCAGCCCAGCGGAACACAAACGACATCGCCAGAATCCATAAAGCCGGTTCCGAGGCCCAGCATGCCGCTCTGTGTGATGAAGAAGCACCTGCCCATCATGCGCGAGCCACAGTTTACCTGGAGTATGCCACGTCTCTCGTCGGGTTCCACTCCAAGGTTGGTCATGGAGGCATACTCAGACAGCTGGCGATCGAGGGCGATGTAGGGCAACCGATCTCGGAGCAAGGAGGCATAGATGTGATAGCAGATGCTCGTCCAGTCGCCTTTTTCCCTAGAACTCTTGCTCGCCTGATCGGACTGGCCAAGCCGCAAGGTACGGCAGAAGGCGTCGTGGATGCGGTCGTCTCCGTAGCGATCCCGCACCTTGGCATTGCCGAGCATCTTGGCTCGCCAATGAAGGAAAGCCATGAGGTAGTCATCGAGGGTACACAGGGTGCCGACAGCGATTCCATGCACGGCGACTGTGTCAAGCTGCAGGGCCGTCAGCTTGAGCCTCGACCGCTGCTGGAGCAGCTCGAACTCTGGCTTGCTGTCGCCTGCAGCGGAAAAGTCATAAGACAGGCCAAGGGCACCGGTCTGGGGGATGTGGGACCAGTCGGGAACCCAAGTGGGAAGGGCAGCGTTGCCGGAATGGAGAGGGAAGTAGATGGCCTCGCAGATGACATCAAGACGGTCCGAGTGCAAGAGGAAGTCGACGACATTGGTATAGACCTCGCGGACAGACGCACTGTAGTCGATGGGGAAGTCGGCGCCAACATGTTCAGGGAGAATGCCGAGGATGGCAAACACCTTGTCGCGGGGGTCGGCCGAGAGCTTTGTGCGGCAGGTGTGGAGGACATCAAGGAGGGTTCGTGGTCCGCCGTCCTGAATGGATTGGAGGGCGTGGAAGCTCGCAGGGCCACGCGAGCCAAGGACGCGAGCGTATGAGTGCAGCGGTTGGGAGAGCTGGTGACGGGCTGAGGAGCTCAGACCGGACGGATAGAAGTAGTTGAGATCGGCGGCGTGCTTCGCGAAGGCCTCTGATGCAGTGATGAGGTCCGCCCAGGAGACCTCGTCGCGGCCGCAATAGACCGTCTTGGCCGTGGCGCTGAGCACCTCCTGCACCACCCACAGCCGCTTCCAGTACGCCCGCTCAAACAATGCTACCAGGGCCGCAAAGTGTGCCCGCAGCTCCCGCATTGATATCAGTTCCCGCATGGCTGCCGCCGAGCCCGCCGCTCGGACCGTCCGCCGCACCAGGCTGATCGCCAGGTTGCTGTCGTCTGCTTCCGGGCCTAGCCAGATGGCCACTGACTCAGCCTGCAAGAAGATGCTCGTCATGTATCGCACCTGCTGCGACAGCTCTGCCTTGTCCTGCTGGTTGATGCACACCGCATCTGCCCACACATATACAGACTCTCGGGGCCGCCTCAGCCGCCGCAGCGCTCCGTATAGGCTCGTCGTGATTTTGTGCCGGTGGCCGTCGACCCGGATCTCAGCCGTGTCGTCCCCGTTACCCCATGCGTACGATAGCGCCATGTATTTGGGCGGGTCGTCCAGAGTTGTGTTGATGAGCTGGCACTTGATAGCCGACATGCTCTCCGGCAAGAGCCGTAGCAGTCGGAACTCAGCCCCCTGGAGTCCCCGGTACACGTACGGTGTGCCCGGAGCTACGGTCGGCACCGAGCCCGACGAGCCTCTCGAAGGCAACGAAGGGCTCAAGGAACCGGCGACGACGCGAGGGCCTACGAGCCCACGGTCCCGCTCGTCTGGAGTGTCGCGAAGACTTGCCATTTCCTGGCGCGGGTCTTTGCTCGGCTGCACCTCAATGATGGGAACTGGCAACTTGTACAGTACAGGCCGGTCCACAGCTACCCTCTCGCTTCCACGCTGGGGCTCATTGTTCTGCTGAACCTCAGCGTCAGCATCAGTCCAGCCATCGTGCTGGGGTCGTCGTTCCGAAGACTGGAAAGAGTCTGCCGACTCTGCAAGCTGTCTTGAGTGACTGCCAGAGCGGCCATCTGTCGCTCTAGAGCCCCTTGCCTCGTGAGGCTGTCTTCGAGCATTCCGTTGACCTGCAGGCCTGGCAGGACCATCAGTAGTGTCGGTAGACGGGTAGCGCCGACTGGCGGCCCGCGCCGACTGCGATCGCCGGAGAATGTCTTCGGGCTCGGCTGCAAATGCCGTTGAACCTGGTTCATCGACTGCAACTCGTTGGCTTTGGAAGTCTGAGAAATTGGCATCGGCCCTGTCACTTTCTGGGGACAGGCTGACTCTTCGCCTATGCTGTCGCACGGAAGCCCGCTCCGCTGCGCGAAGGATGCCTTCCCGCTCTGCTGCGTGTGTAGCAGATGCTCTGTCCTCATTCCGCCTTCGCCGGCTCGGAGACGACTCCGCCGGCACTTCGAATCGGACCTGTGGCGGCGCAAAGCGAAATCCCCCCTCCAGACCCGAGCCATCGGGAGGATCTAAACTGTGGCCCAGCGGAGGGGCGTACACAGGAGTCGGTTCGTTTGGATTAGAAAAAGCCCGCGCCCTCGGGGCGCCTTGGTAGCTCCTTCGTCTTTCCGTAGATGGTCCCCTTTCGTAGTCACCGCGTGCCGAAGATGGAGGCTGACGGACATCCCGTGTCGTATCAGCATAGTATCGATAAGGATAGTCATCATAGTACCTCAATGGGACCTCATTATCCAGTCTTGACCCATCAGGTCTCCTGTGGCGACGTTGGCCGTCCATTCTTCGTGTAATTATGTGCGTTCTGTTTCCTGCCGAGGGTGGCTAAACACAACCCGTGTAAACCATCTCCGTCAAGGAGCACTTCAGAAGCACGGTTCTCAGCAACGTCTTCAGACAGGGTGTCGGTAAATCTCGAGCTTGCCGTATGGAGGGAGTGAAGTCGGGTCACGTCAGATCGGCCAGCGGGCAAGGCTGGCTGGCGACTGAGGGGCTATCACAGCCTGGCAGGGCCAGCGAGCCTTCCGAATATGCCTTATGCAAGTACAGGGGTGTTGATGGTGCTATTTATTGGCTCCAAAACCTGCGTCGTGCTCACTTTCGTGGACTAAGCATACACGAAGACGACTGAAGGAGGACTTCAACAACCCATCACGCTTGCATTTGCTTGCGTATGACGATACGGTAGTAGACATTCCTTTCTTCCGAGGCACCCCCTGAAGGTGTCATCATGCCAAGGGTGGGTCTGTCTAGACAACTTACGCCCTTAGCCCCAACAACAATCATGGGCAGGCAGTCTGCCTGCTTCGCACTGCAAGAAAAAGCACTCAACACCTTATGCGTGCTGGTGCAGGGCAGTGAAAGTTGTTTGTCTCTCTTCGCTGGGCTGTCATCTCTCTTTAGGTTTGCATAGACAGTCAACAGAGCCACGCGTGCTTTCGTTGCCTTCATCTCGCGCGGTTCTCACTGCACCCCTATTTCAAGTTTGTGATGATACAACAACGATTTCATGCATGTTTGCAGGCATTTTTCGTCATCGGAGAGAGGAAATTTCCAAAATCACCTCACTGTAACAGTAATTGCAGCGAACGTGTAGGTCAGATAGTCATACTTAACGTCAAAGGCACAATGGTACTCAGGGGGCCGCATAAAGGCCCTCGTCTGGCGCTTCGCATAATCTCCAACCATAGGCCGGGGTTTAGCGTGAATTGATCCTCACTATTCCGCTGAGCTAGCCAGCCACTCTTGTCAATGCTGGTGCGCTTCATTCGGCCATTTGGTGAGAATAACCCTCTTGGTGCAATCAATAAACTGGGGCTCTCTCCGTTCATGCAGGACATCGATTGGGGATACGAACGAAGATGCCTCCTCTCGACAGCCGCGAATCAGGTGTTAAAATTTCCTCGACACAGGTCCAGATTCGTATTCCTTCATTGGCCGAAGAGTGTGATGTATCTAAGTGGCGTACAACCTCACGTGTGATTGTCCAAAACACGCAAACCATGACTTGCAATATGCTCGAAGAAAACATCTTAGCTGCAAACAATCATTGCGTCCAGTAATACTATTATTGTATATCAAAATATATGAGGTCATGAATGAAGGAGGCTTCACCACATCTCATATTGCAAGAAGCTGCGCAACGAATAGTAGTATTTGTCAATTGCTGCAACAATTCTCAACAAAAGCCCGATGCTGCAAAATCGATATACAAGCTATTATTGCTAATCACCAGGGAGGGGGGCAAGCTTTTGCTTCTGAGGCAAAGGTTTGTATATTTTAAGCTGGACGTGCTAACCTGGATATTCTAATGCTTGCATTTCTTCAACCGGCCTACTTCTTCCCCCTCCTTGGGCCCATTTGTCCCACGCCAGTTAACCGAGTCTGCCAGTCCGCTTTTCTGTAATCAAACCCTGGATGTTCAACAGGGCATTGCGATTCGTAGGTTAGTAGGGTTATTTGGGGTCGTTGTGTTTATGGGTTGTGGTTCTAGGCAGAGGGGCTTCTGTCTAACGCGCATTTCTTGTGGCTTCTGGCCCCATGTCTTCTCAAATTCGGGGGGAAGGGGGGGGGCATGTGTTTTCGTCCGATAGTTAGGTGTTAGGGAAAGCGTTTGCTTCTGAGACAGCATGATGACCATGATCTCTTTGAGAGTACGCAGATATGAGGGCGTCATCCATGGCAGTTTTCGTTGATAGCAGCCAAGATTTAAAGACTAGCGATTTATATTGTGTGGTCGATGTCACGCGTCCGGAGTGTCTATTCCATACGTGCATCATCCTGGTGCAATACTGTTGCGATACTGATCATCATCAAGATAGTCAAATGTCGATTTAATAAGTGCTTCAGTATATTCATCCATTGGCCGCAATCACAAACAGCACGTAGACATTGGAAGGTGGCTGAAGACCTAGTCTTATGTCACCGATGGCTGGACGATAGAGCATTGTAGGAGTCTGCAATAGATTTGAAAGCGCTATCCATCAATTTACTGGCCGATGTCAGTACTGCTATCTACTCCTTTCATCTCTAGCTTCAACAACTCAGACTGCCAGTAAATACAGCTTGGAGTATAACTAGTTACAGGGGGTTTCATCTGACATAACGTGAAGTTCCTCCTTCGTACAACAATAAATTGGAGCAGGAAAGCCCAATTGCGGAGTATTGACAGTTGAAGAGAAGAATAGATCATTCAACGAGAAGAAAAATAGGTCTGTCGACACCGTCAGGTAGGCACTTACTGAGGTGATGGTGGGCTTCGCAGGGAAGGAAACGAACAAGCGATGAACATAGTAGAGATGCCGACATATGGTTAAGTGCTGCACCGAATCCGTCAGCTGAGGACAACAAAGATGAGAATACCTCACGAAAGTCTCACGAATAATGTATCGACGTAGCATTAGCCATCCCTCCCCTGAAGATGCACTCAACATCTCTACTCTTTCACACAGATATGACCTGAAGCAGAGATGGATGGTTTAACTTGCTTGGACTTGGCCGGACGTTCGTACTTGTCTAAACTAGATTTTGCCCTTCGTAGTGGATTTAGTCCATTAAGAACAGAACTCCCAATTCCGAGACTTGTTGAATTCATTGACTGTGTCTGCAGTAACTTGGACTCTGTACAATGTTTGAAGGGCGGTAGAAGTAGAATCGATTATACTGCAATACACTCGTGACGTGTAATACGTTTGAGAGGGGCCACTACTGTTCATTGCTTGGGCGTTATAGCTCCAGGATATATCCTATGAACGATGGTGAGTGTAACGTGTCGGCTTTGAGCCCGCATCTGGAGGATCTGGAATGATATCTCCAGTTCTCTTTCAACGACAAACCAGCGTGGCGCCTAAAATGCTACAAAGGCGTACTGCGACGAAATGATACTCTATGAACCATTTTCTGACCGCGTTGAGGAACTAGCTCTTAATTGAATTACCGAAACGAAACAGGCCGTCCGCCTTCCTTCCAATGAACGAGGAGCCAAAAGTGGAAGGATCTTAGATCCAGACCGAAACTTCTCTGCCTGCAACTGGGTCTACGATACCGCTCAAAAGAACTACTGCCCTACCTTCTTGAAGCATGCCAATAAACGTTCTAGAATGCATTCACAGTAGTGGCGAGACGGTGTATTGGGAGAATACATTTGGCGGGATCAGGAGGCGTGGGTCTCAAACACTTTTGAATAGCTCAACTATAGTGACACGTTCAGCGCAAAGCAAACAATGTCTTGCCTCAAACTCATATGATTCGTAGATACGCCCCCAAACTTATCCAGATATGTGTGGACTGATAATCAACCACTGAAATAGGCGCAGTAGAGGGAGAATCTCAAACATAAAAGGGGCACAAAAGAATTGATTTTTGGTACATGGCCGGTTGTTAATGTTCATAAGACGCCAAGTTTGAGGTTCAACCCAACTATGCTGCGGCGGCGCATCCTGGCTGTATTAATGAATGGCATCATGAAGCTTGCAGAACACATTGAGGTAGGCGTGATATTTATCTTATCATTAACGTAGACTTATCTTTCGTTCGCAAGAGTAGCTGACCTTGGCATAAGGTTGGGTACCGAGCCCCGCAACCTCCGCTCGCGCATCGCTAATAGTCTTGAAATGGAGTGGCTAGCCTCGTCACGCAGGAGGTGTAGAGTAATAGAAACAAAATGCTGCCCTTTCTTGGTCTATAGGGAACGTCAGCGATAGATCGAAGCCAGGCGATCAAGTAACCCTCAGACATGTCGGGCTTAACTGAGCCCAGAAAAGGAGGCTGTGGGAGTTACCGCTATTATAAGTACTAGTGTGAGTATAGAACGTCTCGGCAGCACCGGCCCGTTCGTGTACTGCTCGATTGTTACCATCATCACGCCAGCCGGAGTCGGGCCGTTCACGGGTATTAAAAGTTTTCCTTGTATGGCGTTCACGAGAGCGAGACGAATTGAAATAACAAACTACTCATCTATTGTTATTACTACTACTCCTGCGGCACTTCGTAAAGGTTAGCTGGACAAAGCAACCTGCAAGCTCCGGCCGCCCGACCATAATAGCTTTTAACTGTACCATTGGAAAGGCACTCACGAGAATACAATGGGCTTCTGAACTGAGGTGAAGATAAACGAAGAACTTAATGCCGGCCTGTAACTAGGTGAGCACAATATAATCTATCTAGCTGCCCCGGACACCGAACTAGGGAAAATGTATCTTGGGCGTACCATATAACTAACGCTGGAGGTGCAATTACATGCTGTTAACGTTATACCTACAACTTATGTACCTAGTACTTTCCAGGAAGGAGATATGACCGCTAGACACCTCAACCTTCTTTCGATAGTATAGCTTAATTACTGAAGAGGCTAGCTATCCCTCCACACGCAACGAGAACCTCGCTACTTTGTGGCCATTGTTCTCCGAACTTGACGAGCCGAGATCCAACTTTCAAGCTTACTTATCGTCGTACTATCTGTCCTTCGTAGACATGCTTGCACCTACTAGCAGTTATTGCAAATGAACAAGCCTAGCTGCTCTGTACGTACTCCTTGTTTTGAGCTATATGTGAGTGCTCCGTGAACTGAAATTTTGAATATATGTCTCTTCATTTACAAGGCGCAAAGCTTGTACTTTCACTTTGAATACAATTTTACCCTTAGAGAGAGATACAGTGTGGGTAAATTGAAGATATGCTAATGTAGATATGCTAATGTTTAGTGCGGCTTCTGATGGATTATATGCTTACAAGACTCATTGTACTGCAAGAACGGAAGGAAAAGCAAGATGCAGTTAAGAACTGCGTCCTTCAACACGCTAATCACCTGATATAGTCATAGTCAGACGACTGCATCAAAGGGGCATGAAGCTGGAAACCCTGTTCCTTTCAACCTGCTTTCCCCCATCTTTGACTAATTTTATCGAAGCATCGATGTTCATATGAAGTGCTCCAATGATGTTCGGCGAGATCTTTCAGATTCTTAATAGCTGAATATCTAGTGTTATGAGACTGATCACCCTTCAATCGGGATAATGCGCGTAACCTGACTCTGATAGTTTTGGACAACTTATTAAGGTGTAGAAACAAACTTCATATATCGTGATGCTGTACTCTTTGTATGTAACAAGTATCTACTACCAGTGTTGCAGTATCGTAAAGTATATATAACGTGAGTAATCGTGTGAATTTCTTTAATTCTCTGTTTGCGCTGGTTCTTGAGCATTTATTCCTTACTGTCTTCGACAATGGCAGATTCGTCCCAGCTTTCAAATTGCTGGATAAGGCTAGAAAGTGTGCGTGGTGCAGCAAACAAGCAGTGATGCTCTATATAAGTTGAAGTTGTAGTTGACATATCTCTGCAGTTCCATGATATCAAAACCTCACTACCTGCTAAATTTGCCATAGCCAGACGAAAAGAGACTACGGTGCCCCGTACATCTATATCTCTACCATGCGGCTACATGGTGAAAAGAAATGAAGAAAAGAAATACTGAAAAAGTAAGTAAGAACGGCACTGCGATTGTTGTCACGCCTCATCTCTATTCACAACTTAATTGATTGACATACTCCAGAGCATCATCTTTGTACGACATATATTCTATTTCTATTGAGTCAGTGCTATCAAGTAAGAATAGTAGGACCGATTGTCTGTTTTGATATATGAGGTGTCCCGAAATTCCGCCTCTCTCTCTGTTGATCTAAATCCCCTAATCTTCTGATCACCAACTCAAATTCAAGAACCTATTTCAAATCCCATCTCACAAGCGCTCCGAATAGTCCATCTAGTTATGTCTCCGATATTGAAAACTCCTAATAATACCGACTTGATTACCATATTATAATCCACGACTCTCAATTGCGATACAGGTTCACCAAAGACATGACCATTGGATATGTTGAATGCGTACGAGATCTTTTTGCTATCTAGCGTCGTTTGTCGGGACGTTAGTCTCAGAAAGAAAACTCAAATGAAGAAATTGGACTGGATGAAGTAAATATATGATAGCAGTGGAGGGATAGACTGAGTGGATTTGTGCGCCTGGAGTTTGGCCTGGAAAGAAAAGCGGCATATTCCATACGCCCACGAGTTGGTTATATGATGCTTAACGTTATTTTCTCGTCTGGTGTTGTCCTTGTTCTTCTCAGTATCAGCTTGGGGATGACGACAAGCATAATTTTATTTGCTATTAAAGTAGCCAAAACAATACTAAAATCATGCCATAACCGGCAAGCGATAAATAATCATATCATGTCGCTTTGGCTTTAGAGTCTTATCACTTATTGGTAATAGTGCACCTGGACCCAATAAAGGAGATAGCTGTGAAGTCGCTGAAAGTCTATCACGTATTTCAAATTCTATTAGGCTGGGGCAAAACATGTGCTGCATGTTATTGTCGCCTATAATGAAAATGGCTTTCACCATTCAAGCCGTATTGAGCAGAGAGGGCATTGGGGGTGCCGGACTGCCCTACCTAATGGTCGGGAAGGGCTCATTATGTGGAAAGTGTACCTCATTTTTGGCCCTGCGCGCGCTCTATACCTGAGTTCCATTATGCCTTAACCTGGTAGCGGGGCAATTAATGCAGCATATGATGCTTACCTAGAAAGTAGCCTTATATCATGCGCATGCACATTATACATATCACACATAGTTAAATAATGTTGACTTCGACCCATTCACTGCCTCCCGTCTCTGCCAGCTTTTTTTGCATAAACGTCCACATAGTCGTGTTCATATTGCATAGAGGAAGACCATAGCGATCCTTTCAGAAGGCTCACCTCGCATAAAAGAGCATTCGTTGGGTGCGACAGTAGTAGAGTACCAACTCAGTCGGAAGCTATGGACGTGTAGTAATTACTCTCGGAATAAAATGCTAGCATTAACGACTTAAGTCGTTTCAGAAGGAATGCATGCAGTGAAGCTATGGATGTCATGTGATGCCTACCTGTCGGTCGTGTATGGTTCTTACTCTGGTACCATAAGGTTCCGATGGACTTAGAACGTCTGAAGAGCATGCAACATGTTTGTCACAAGGTTCTCTAGACAACAGCTTCGGGATATATGAATCCCACCGCCTTCCCACTTTTCGATCTGAAAAGCGAGTTAGCACTCCACAGCTATCCGCTGTACAGCTATTCTCCTAGATAAGTGCCATCTTCTTCTACCCACTATGCACCATCGTAAACTTGGGATTAATAAGAACTGCACAGTTACAATAATAGCCCTCTACTTTCGATTAAACAGAGCTGGACAGTAACAAACCATGGAGGCAATTGACTCTCGTTCCAGAAGGATTTAACAACATTCTCCTCGTAGCATCAGGCATGTACTCCTATTTCGAAATTGGATCGTAGAGTTCGGATATATGTGCATGTCGGTGCGTGAGCTTTGTCATTTATTGTACCGCTGAGAATGCGCTATGGAACGTAGCATCTTGATGATCCAGCATCATATAGATGTAAACGATGTCGCAAGCGAGAAAGAAACTGAGTCGAGTACGAAGTTCTCAGCAACGAAAAAAGTCTATTTTTTAATGACCCTGTTTCGAGATGTATGGGATTAGACAATTGGATTGGTGGCTGAGCGATTTGTCTTCATAGAGCTGATTTCATCAGCTTTACTTGCTAAGCTGCCAAGCTACTTCTAAGATGCTTGTGCCCGTGCCCGTGTCCGTGCCTGAGATGATATCATGGGCTTTCCATTGTTCAATCCTAGTTTGAAACGCGTGGGTGGATTCGATGTTACAAAATTCAATTGCAGAAGTCGGAGAAACGGTGATTAGTCTATTGGACTCAATGCTGGTAACTAAGTTCTGCATTGTCCTTCCAAGCACAACCGAAAGAAAGGAATGTCAAAAGACCGACTCGGGATGCCAGGAAGAACATGCGCTGTTAGTCAATCGCCGCTGTTTTGTAGTATTCTGGGATTAAGCATTGCGATCAGCCAAGAGAAAGTATAGCTCGTTCTTATCTTAAGCATCATGACTCCTGTCTGGTGAGATCAAGCAATCAGGGACTAAGGCTGAATTCAGCACTATGGGCGAGAAATAATATATGCCTTTGAGTGGACGTCACATCCATACATAGCCTCCCAAATTCCAGAGACTGGCATATTATTAGAGCAGGACTTACATGATTTACTCTTTTAGCACACGAGTCAAATGAAGCACCGGATCGGTTGCGTTTGGTCCATCTCCAAAAACAAACGTTACACTTTGCTTTGAACATCATTTAAATTCAGTACACATTATCAACTGCTATATTCTAACATGACAGACGTAACGCTGGACAAGGATACATATATTAATATCTTCCACGTCGTCGTGTCAAGCAGCAAAATGCACGAAGTATAGCAGGCAGTTCTTGCGACTAAGTAGTAGGCCAGTTTGACCAAGATCATTCAGACAATGCCGAAACTGCTTTGAGCTGTTGATAGCGCTGCTCACTCCGGAGTGTGCCAGACCTATTGGAGATGTGACCCATTACATCTTCTGCTCGAACACTGCCTGCCCTACAACGTAGAGAACTCAGAAGCAGCAGTATTAAGCTCTGTCAGAGAGATGCAGCAGGGATAATAAGCAAGGTGGTGTAGGAGCAGAAATTCTCTCTACCAACCGACAACCAGAGTATGATTGCCAAATGCAGTCGAGTTAAGTTCAGAAAGTCGAATATCTGGGAGCAGGAAGCAATCTAGAATCAACTATGAGCAAGCCAAGGAGAACAAGTTTGGCCATACTCAGTCAGAATTGCAGAACGTTTCAAGTGTATGGTCACTGGATTGATGATACTTGATTGAGAGTGAATTTTTCTGACCACCAACTGAAGTGGAAAATAGTAAGAGTTCATACCTAGGGTTTCCAAAGGGCAGTTCATGCAAGGTTTAAAATATTAAGGTTATGGTGATCGCTCAAAATCATCATCCCTGATATCGCTGATACTAGCAGGTTGAGTAGAGAAGGGATTCCTCCAGATCTAAGAAGAGAAAGCTCCATAAGTTGTTGAAGAACACCAGCCCTTCTTCAACTGTGCACTGAGCCGCCGTGTGATTGCTCCGATAATATGTATGATATGTGAGATAGATCTTCAGCTCGCATGCCACTTCTTGTTACTAAGTGCCGGTACCTGCGTAGCCATGCTCACGGTGCGCTGTAGCAAACGTGAGCAATCATTGCAACATCCAAGGTAGCAAAATACCATCAGCGTGTCGCATTAAAGATAGTTAGGAAGAACTGTTACCATCGCTCGCACCTGGATTTGCATGGAAGTCTATTGTGCATATTCGCAGTGTTGTTACCTACCAGAATATGGCATTTCGAATGTGTTTGTTCACTATTTCTATAAGAGACAACACGCATGAAAGTATCCTGGTAGTGCTTAGTGGCCGACTATGATGCACCAACAAGTCCTGAGTTGGTGACCATTCTCAGAAATAGTGTATGCCGGCTGGAAATGGGGCCGTCGGTCGGAGCACAGGAGTGTCCTCATTCGCGACTTGCACTTTGCAATGAACACTGAGTGTTCGTTGTGTAGTTAAAAGCCTGTCAGAACGGTGACCAGTATTCCTCCCAGCAGGGAACATTGTCTTATGCCGACAGCCAAGGACAGTGCTCGTTGTTGCGCTGTGCTCGTTGAAAGACCGTGGGCCGAGGAGTACTTAGTTCCCTTCTACAGCTGTATCTCAATATTTGTGGTTTTCCCGAAGGCCATGTCTGCCTGGATAAGTCGATGGCTACAAGAGGGCTGGGACGATGTAATTGGCGAGTATTCTCCTGCTTTAAGCGACTGGCTGAATCCAGTAGTAAGTATATGGACAATGAGCAGGGAAGGAGCATTTACAGCAGCCCGGCAGCTTTTGTGGTGGGTGAGTGCTACCTGAGGCTGTTGACATCAATTTGAGACTATGTGGAACGTGAAGCAACATTCTCGAGCAAAGATGGATCTGGAACCTCTGGTTGGAAACTGGCCAGCAACCTAGTTAACAGGTCAACCTTGGGCTTTCAAGGTTACCCCGAATAGGCCGTCCCAGCCCCGGCGTAATGTGGAGACCCGGGGAAGCTTAACCCCAAAGCTGATATGGGTTGCGGGCCGGTGGGAGCCGGGGTCTCCGGGCGGGGTTGGCACTCTCTACACTTCCGAGGTAGGGTGGCGCCGTCTCTATCTGTGCGGCCGAGCAGACCCGGTGACTTGTGGGAGATCGTCTTTCATCACAAACTTGAACCGCATTTGTGGTCGGAATCATGACACGGAAGATAGGCACATGCTTGCGTCAGAGCTTCCGCTGGCAGCAGGCTCGGGGTCTCTCGTTTACCCCCAGGATCCGAGCATCGAATCCATTGCTTGCACCATCGGGCATCTCCATCAATGCCGGCCGGCTAATGGAAACACTGCACGAGTCCTGCGCGTGGGGTGCTGCGTACTTCGCCGATGAACCCCAGGATGAGAGCAGGGCGAGGTCTGGCATGGCGCGACTGGCGCTGTCAGACGAGGACGCGGCCGTGCGGGCCTGGCTCGCTCGGCAAGTCGAGGCGGTCGGGTGCACGCTGGTGACGGACAAGATGGGCAACATGTTTGCACGCATGGCTGGGTCACGAGGGTCGCCGGCGCCGATGACGGCGATGGGCAGCCACCTCGACACGCAGCCTCACGGCGGCCGCTACGACGGCATCCTGGGCATCGTGGCGGCGCTCGAAGTTCTCCGTAGCCTGCGCGAGCACGGCCGCCGGCCCGAGTTCGACATCGGCCTCGTGAACTGGACAAACGAGGAAGGCGCCCGCTTCCCCAGGTCAATGGTCTCGTCGGCTGTCTGGGCAGGCGACATCTCTCTTGACGACGCCTGGGCGCTTCCCGACATTGCCAATCCGGCCGCCACCCTTGGTAGCGAGCTAGCCCGCCATGGCCTTATTGGTTCCCTCGAATGCTCCCACGATCCCTTGCGAGGATTCCCGCTAGCTGCCCACTTTGAGCTGCACATAGAACAGGGCCCGGTCCTCGAGGCAGCCGGCCGTAGAGTCGGTGTCGTCAAGGGCTCGCAGGCCTATCGCTGGTTCACAGTGCAGGTCACCGGCCGCGCTGCCCACACGGGCACGACTCCGTTCGAGATGCGTTCCGATCCCGTCCTTGCTGCTGCTAACATGATTGCCGCCTCACATGAGGTCGCTCGCTGCCATGGCGCCCTCGCCTCCACCGGCGTCCTCAAACTACCGGCTGCCTCATCCACCAACACCATCGCCACTGCAGTCACCTTTACACTCGACATCCGTCATCCTGACGATGATGTTCTCGACTTGGTCCAGGCCGAGTGCTTTGAAGCCTTCGACAAGGCCTGTACAAGCCCGGGGGGGAAGTCCGTCGATCTCAACTATACCCTAGACACAAACTCACCCGCCGCCCACTTCGATATGACCTGCATCCGAGCCATCGAGATGGCCGCCGAGAATCTTGTGGGGTCCGATGGGTGGCAGCACATCACAAGTGGCGCCGGCCATGATACAGTCTGTACCAGCAAGGTATGCCCTTCGGCTATGATATTTGTCCCCTGCAGGGACGGCGTAAGCCACCATCCCGAGGAATTTTGCACACCGCAGGACTGGTAAGTCCCTTGCTTCTTTGCTAAGCCGTCCCGAGCGACTCGGCCAGGGCTTTAATTAGGCACTCTGCTGACATTTGCCGTATCAATAGTGCTCTAGGCGCTCAAGCCCTTCTCGAGGCAGTTCTTCACTATGACCAGATGAGAGTGCATGGTATTTAAAGTTTTGCGCTGCAAAGTTGCAAAGTCCCCCATTCGACTGGATTCGAGAAGGTACTTGGTGAGTAACCCGTGGACAAGCACACAATAATTCAAACGAAGACAAACCACAATTCTTGCCTCGGGCCGATGCCCAAACAGATCACAAGTCTGTCTAGACCAATTCCTTCCTCTTTCTTCTTACGAGCCCATTGCCCTCGTCCGAGCAAGTGGTCTATACGCGTAAATTTGTATGGATCTGACAAATCCGGAAAGTCAACATTATCAAATAAGCCCTAAACCACACCCATCAGTAGACACCGGCGAAACCCGATGTTTAATGTTGTGACAACGTACATGCATTTAGGCAAAGACGACCTTTTCTTCTGCTATATGCTGCCAGTACTCCAGGTGTGACATTTTACCAGTAAGGCAAAATGGAACATGCTCCTCTTTCTAGCGGGCTTTACATCGGTCATATCTAGTGCGACACCAGGAATATCCGCCACGACGACGAGAGAATACCTCCAAACATAGAAGAGCCGCAGTATATTATACAAGCCTTTGTGCCGATCAAATTGTACCACGCTAGCCATTGAGGGCAGCGTATCCTCATATTTGCTCGAGAAGCTGCCTCACGTGCACAGCCAGCTCGTCAAGAGATACATCGCGGACCGAGCCAAGACGACGGCACTGTACAGAGCACGTACGGTTCTCTTGCCACGTCCGTCCAAGCACGACTACGACGGGATAGCCCACAGCATCAGCGTCCTTGACCTTCCAGGGCAGGGACAGCGGCCTGTCATCTAGTAAGACGTCCAAGGCAACGTCGGTAGTGCTCCTCGTTTCAGACAAGCGTGTAGCAACAGTGGCAGCATCTTCTGCATACTCTGGGAAGGGCACCACGACAACCTCGAATGGAGCGATATGTCGAGGCCAGTTTAGACCCTTGTCATCGCTAAGATGGTCTGCGACAGCCCCAATGATCCTAGACACGCCAATACCGTGGCATCCCATCTGCACAAATGTCCGCTGAGAGACGGCTCGATCCGCCTCACCAGGAATCTGAACCTGAGCGGAGAGCGCCTTGGAGTATTTAGTACCGAGATGAAAAGTGTGTCCCAGCTCGATCGCCTTCTGCACCCTCAGCGACGGCATTGAGCATTTGGGACACGAGTCCCCATCGTGCATTCTAAGTACGTCGATTTCATGAAAGCCATCGGCACAAGACTCTGCCTCCATCTTCGGCATTGCAGCATGCTCCAGTGACTTTCTCATCGCCGAGTCGGAGAAAGCGGTCGCTACTCTAGGATCGACAATGTGTACTGCCCGCAGTGGAGGCTGCGATGCTGCCTTGGAGGCTGCCGCCATCCCGGCATGCAGTTTGATGCCGGAATCCAAGGGCACAACAGTCTTGATGATGTGCATATTGATGTCCAGGGCTGTGAGCAATCTGGGCTGACCCGTATGCTTGTCCTCGACGCTGGCAGGAAACCACACATGGACCAATTGCTTTCGGTCTTTCGTGATGCCACGGAACAACATCATTTCTGCGCTTTGAACAACCGCTGTCGGGGCCATAGTAGCAGGGACTGCCATCTCTTCATTGGCCACGTAGTCACATTCGGTACAGCTGATTACGTGGTCTTCACCGATAGACGTTGGTAGATGGTACTCGTGGCTCAAGTCTCCGCCGATGTCGCCCGAGCTGGCTTCCGCCACAAGGTATGGCAACTTTAGTGTGTCGAATAGCTGGGAGTAGGCTTTGCGAACCTGCTGATAGGTAGCCAAGGCAGCTTCAGTTGATACGTCAAACGTGTAGAGGTCCTTCATTGTGAATTCGCGAGAACGCAAAAGTCCCTGACGAGGTCGCAGCTCATCTCTATATTTGCGTCCTACGTGCGTGTTAGTGCTTGGGACGATGCAGGATGGCTGCTGCGTGGAATGGATGCATGGTGATTACCTATTTGATATAACCTCAGCGGCAGGTCCTTGTACGAGTGCACGACACCAGCGACAAGTAGCGTGATCTCTTCTTCATGTGTTGGCGCTAGGAGTAATTTGGTAGCTTTCCTATCCTCAAGACGGAGCAGCTGAAGAAGACAGGTTAGCGTAATGGATGAATAGATCGATCAATGGCAACGTTCGTAATAGCCACAGCGACCACGAACCTCTGGACCATAGGCTTCCAAACGACCTGTCTTCTGCCACAAGGCTTGCGACGACAGAGATGACAGAGAAACTTTAGAGGCACCTATCCACAAACACGTCAGTGGGCACTCGTCATAATTTGGGGGGTAAGAAGATGGCGCCAAGAGTAGGAAGACGACAAAAGATACCCACCGAGTAATGCCATATGGTAGTCGATCAATTGTTCCAGTTTATTCTGAACCCGCTGAGCCAGAGGCAGCAGATGGAATATTCCTGGCTGGCTCTGTATATGGCCAGCTCATGTTAATTGCACAAACCCTCGGTCAAAGGTTGACGTGTGTCGAGGAGGAGTAATCGTGAGTAAAACCCGTGGACTAGAGCTCCAAGGTTGAATACATACCTGTCGAAGAAAACCAGCTCTAATGAGCTTGTCGAAAGCATCTACCAACCTAGGTATAAGACTACAGCCAACAGGTATAAGTGTTCCAATAACGTACTAACCTTCCTGCTTGGCTTTTGCGTGTAGGCCGCCAGTCGGAATCCAGAAGCGTGAAAGGCGCGTATACCGCTCGGGAGGAGAGAAATACGTTTGCGTGAAAACGCGCGTGCGGATCAAGTTGCGAGCTGCAGTAATTCCATGCTGCTGCGGTCGGCATCCGGCCAAACTACCGCCCACGGAGGCAATACTCGGCATTTGAATGGCACAACCGCGTGAGCGGCGAAATCACGGCCGAACCTGGTCGTGCGCCGTGAATGTACCTACAAAAGCAGGCGCTGTGCGTTGTCACGGAGTGCTTGGCGCAGGGGCCAATAGAGCTGCTATGCTACTCTGCTTGCTTAGTTGTAGCTTAGAGCGAATGAACCTCTGAAAGCCAGTGGGCTGTGAGAACAGTCGGAGGAAGGTTTACCAGGGCCAGGGCGGGCTGATTGCTTGACCCAAAGCTGCTTTAAGTACTACGGAGGTTTACACTTCTACAACATGCCTCTTGTGCAGAGCCCACATGCGCTACAGGGCGGGCGCCCGCCCATAAAGTAGTGGTGGATCCCTGTGATTCCTGCACACCTGGCAGCCCGTGGCTGCTATCGATAAGCAGACCCTGGAGCGCATCGCCCAACTTTTTTTTGGGACGAAGCGCTTTCTGGCGTGCACCTCGTTGCAACTCTGGTTCGTGAATGACTTAACCAAGATTCTGTCCACCATTTGCTCGCGATTTGACTCAGCACTTCGTGCGCGATGGCTTCGTCCAGCTTCAACGATGCCGCTCTGGCCAAGTTGACGGCCAAGATTGACAGCAAGCTCTCGAATGGAAGCGCCAAGTCGCAGCAGGACAAGCGACAACCCGCCTCGCCAAGCAGTAAGCCCGTCACAAACGGAGCCCGCTCGATCGACAAGAAACGGAAGCAGTCCACGGACCATAATTCAGACCGAAAATTTTCCTCCAGCAAGCGATCCCGTCGTGTCAGCCAGTCTGATCAGAGAGCCCCCATTGGGGCTCAAAATGACCGTCCTGGCCCGGCTTCCTCGAGACGCCAGAAACACCATGGCGCACCTGCTTCAGACAAGCCTGCTCCCGGCGACAAGAATGTGCTCCTCGAGGAGATCATAGCTCTCGGAGGAAACGAGGAAGATCTAGATTTGGTCGGAGACGCCGACTCTGACGACGAAGGCGCATTGGTTTCTGTGAGCAATGCCGACAAAGATCTTCGTGCTGAATTGGCACAATTTGCCGCGGCGCTCGGATTTGATAAAATCGCGCCTACCAATGACGAAGATGAGGACGAGGAATTTGTGGAGGGGGGAAAGGAGACTGAGACCACAAATCCGGAACAAGACCAATACTCCGACGAATCGAGCAATGGGGCTGACGACGTTGAGGATAAAAGCCAAGTGGACTCTAGCGATGAAGATGAAGACCACGTAGTCGGCGGAGCACCTGTGGTGACAGGTCAATCGACGGCGGAGGCAACCCGTACCATCCAGCCAGCCAAGGCGCCCAAGGGCAAGACGGTGAGCTTTCTACCATGTCCCGTTCCTCGCGGCCGATTGCCAGTTGGCAATGGGTTTCACTAACGCGCTCTGTTAAGATCTTTGAACAACGCCCAGACTGGCACTCTGCTCCGCTTCCGGCACTACCCTCCGCCACAAGCTCGGATGTCACAGCTTATGCTGCTACAATCGCCAACCTGAAGACCTATGCTGTCAGCCTCTTGCAGCAAGACACAGCCACTTACAACAAGAGTCAATCGGCGTCATCGAATCACAAATTCATGTCGACAATCATGACATCTGGTACCATGTCAGACAAGGTTTCTGCTCTGACGCTTGCAGCCCAAGAATCACCTCTTCACAACATCAAAACCCTGGAAAACTTGCTTGCTTTGGCCTGTAAGCGCAATCGTGGTCAGGCTCTTGCTGCTCTGGCAGCTATGGTCGATCTACTCGGCCCAGGAATGATGCTGCCATCGGACCGACGTCTGTATGCCTTCTCATCACAGCCGGGCCTCTTGGGCGTTCTTCACAAGAAGCAGTTGAAGATTTGGTCTGCAGGTCAGCCTCTACCTGGCAACATTACCCAACAGCATCTGATATCCTGGGCATTCGAGGATTGGCTGAAGGAGTCATACTTCAAGTTGATTCAGGCACTGGAGGTCTGGTGTGACGACGAGATAGACTACTCTCGTACAAAGGCCGTAGACATGGTTTACGCTCTTCTCAAGGACAAGCCTGAGCAGGAATCCAACTTGCTCAGACTGCTGGTCAACAAGCTAGGTGATCGTGAACGAAAGATATCGTCCCGGGCTTCCTACCTGCTGTTGCAATTGCTCAACATCCACCCAGCAATGAAAGCTATTGTCATTCGCTCCATCGAGCAGGACATAATCTTCCGCCAGGGACAGGATATGCGAGCGAAATACACGGCCATCAATACTCTGAACCAGACAATCCTGAGCAGCAAAGAACCTGGAATAGCGGACTCTCTGCTAAAGATCTATTTTGGTCTGTTCGTGTCCTTGCTCAAGACGGGAGCTTTGAGTCAGCTAGATGGTGAGGCTCAGGCCACCCCGAAAGCCAAGTCCAATAAACGTCGCCGTGGGCCTCCACCACCCAAGCGGGATAAGCAAGTTGATGCCCAAACAGCTGCTGCTCAAGATGCCGCCTCGAAACTCGTTTCCGCGATATTGACAGGCGTGAACCGCGCCGTTCCGTTCTCAGAGGCCGACTCATCCACGTAAGCGAATCACGTTTTCTTTTGGAAGCTTTACTCCCAACTTCCCTGGCCTGTAACTATAGAAACTAACTTGAAATGTGTTAGTCTTGAGTCTCACCTTGATACTCTCTTCCGCATTACCCATTCCTCCAACTTCAACACCAGCATCCAGGCTCTAATGCTTGTACAACAACTGTCGGCGAGTCGGCACCTTGCCACGGAACGGTTCTACAGAACCTTGTACGAGTCGCTCTTGGATCCTCGCCTCATTTCGTCTTCGAAACAGGCCTTGTTTCTCAATCTGCTGTATCGCAGTCTTAAGGCCGATGTTGACGTTCGCCGTGTCAAGGCCTTTGTCAAAAGGATGCTGCAGGTTCTCAACCTGCATCAGCCGTCGTTCGTTTGTGGCGTACTGTACCTCATAATCGAGCTCTGCGTCAGCTTCCCTGACCTGAAGACTCTTCTAAACGAGCCAGAGGAGCACGATCTTGGCTTAGCGTCAGACGAAACCACAATATCAAGCGGTCCCGTTGTGGACGATGGTTTGGATGAGATGAGAGTCAGACCAGAGACCATGTATGACGGACGCAAACGGGACCCGGAATACAGCAATGCGCACCGCAGCTGCTTGTGGGAGTTGGTATGTTCCAAGCCCTGCCCGTATGCCCCATTTTCGCCAAGTCTTTCAGCGTTGCAGCTAACGTCAAAATTGTCATTTGTATAGTTACCATTTCTTCGGCATTTCCATCCCTCGGTTGATGTGTATGCGACAGACTTACTCCAGGGCCAACAGACGACACGAAAGCCCGAGTTGGCAAGTCACAGCCTCATCGCATTTCTGGACAAGTTTGTTTATCGCAATGCAAAGGCAGGGGACAATGCCAGGGGCGCCTCTATCATGCAGCCTATCCACATGGGCTCAAGCAAGGCGCAGGCTGGAGCAGGCACCTCTCTCAATACAGCTGCTTTCTGGAACAAACGTACTGAGGATGTTGCCGTGGAGGACGTATTCTTCCACGAATATTTTACCAAGGTGGGTAAGGCAGGTCAGGACGGCGACAAAAAGAAGAAGAGAAAGGCCACAGAAGCAGATGGTGCATCTGTGGACGACGAGGGCTCGGAAGCTGGCGAAGATGAGATCTGGCAAGCTCTTGTCAACTCTCGGCCAGACGTGGAGGGTGACGATGATTCCGAAGCCGAGAGTGATGCTGAGTTCAATGATCTCATGGGGCTTGACGATTCGGATGAGGATATGGGCGACGCAGCGGAAGCTGAAGACATGTCAGATGTCGAAGCTGGTGAATCCGACGGGCTCGAAGGTCTTCTGGACGACGAAGACGGGGACGAAGATGAGGACGATGCTGGGTCTGACGAGGACGAAGAAGACGATGCTCGGAGAGTCTCGGAGCCAGAAGCTGGCCAGTCAAAGAAGCCAGAGTCGGCACACAAAGCCCGCCGGCGGGCACTCAAGAACCTGCCCATGTTTGCATCTGTCGATGACTACGCAGACATGCTGGCCCAGGAGGAGGACGGGCTCTAGAGGACACACCAATCACAGGCAGTTTGGCCGCGAGAGCACTCAACCGCTATATGTCCCTAGCACAGGTAGCTGTTTTTACGTGCATTGTCTGTCCACCATATTAAATAGCCTCCGTGGAGATTGTAGACTCTTTCTGACGTCGTGCGACTCCCAAAGTTATGTTTTATGCAAAGTGCGTGCGCTAAAACTGCTCTTAATCAAGGATTCCAGACAGGGTGGTGTGGGAGGCGCAAGAGCCTCGGCAACTGCCTCTCTGGGCGACATGTCGGTTTCCTTGACCACGTGTCATGGCGGAACGTAGTCCGCGTTCCATGCTGCGGGCGTTGCTTAGCGCGCGGCGGAATTGAGATTTTTTCCCGCTCTCCCCTTATAGAGTCTGGCCACTCGCGCCTCGGGTTTGTTGAGGACGTGCTCCATGACTGGATACCAGCGTCTTGGCCAACCCACTCGAAGTTTTTCCTACGTTGCCGCTCGATCCTAACGCGAGCGCCCGAAGAGGAAGTCTGGCCGGCAACACAGCAGACCCGCAAGTTGGTGACACTGGGTGTCTCGTCACTAGAGAACATCGGCGCGGATAATGCCCGCCGCCTTGCCCACCGCCCGTGTCCTGGCCCGGAGGCCCCTCGCCCGTGCCGCCGCTCCACGGCCGAGCCTGGTGTGCAATCGCAACCCTGTGAGGATATATGTGGACGCTGGTCCGCCGCCGTTGCCCCTCGTCGGTCGCCGCCGCCTTGCATCCTCATCTCCCGCCGCCCTGCACACCGCCGCCTCGATACCAACAACTCCTTCGCTACCGCCACCGTCGCTCTTCCGCCGTGCCCTCTCTGCCGCCAGCTTCGCGATTGTGTTGACCGCTCTGGGGTTCGCCATGGCTGCTGCTCCTGCTGTTCCTACCGTCAACGGTATCTGGAATCCGCCGTCAGATGCCGAGACACTGACCATGTATACGCCCGCCACGGACGAGGAGCGCGAAGTTGAGGCATACATCGATTCGCACCCTGTCGTAGCTGAGCTGCGCACCCGTCCTGATTTTACGGCATCGCGACCGCATCTTAAGATGCCCGAGGCTCTGCGCAGCCACACCCTGACGGCGGGTCTGCTGCTTGGGCCTGGCCGTGTCGTCGTGCCGCCGCTCGTATTTGCCGAGGACGGCGGCAAGTCGCTCGTCAGTATCTCGTACCTGGGCACTGATCTGTGCGGACATCCCGGCATTGTCCATGGCGGCCTGCTGGCGACCATGCTCGACGAGGGTCTCGCTCGATGCTGCTTTCCGGCACTGCCGCACAAGGTCGGCATGACGGCCAATCTCAACATCAACTATCGCGCCCCAGCCCCGGCGGGCGCCTACGTGGCACTACGCGCCACCACTACAAAGGTCGAAGGTCGCAAGGCTTGGGTCGAGGGTCGCATCGAGACATTGGTCGCTGAAGGCGAGAAACCCGTCATTCTGGCTGAGGCAACTGCTCTCTTTGTGTCGCCCAAACAGGCAGCGGTATGTGCACAGTCTGGACACTCCTCATAATCATTCCGAGCTGACCCGAAACGCCGGCGCAGATGATGGCCGGCGTATCCCCCGCTTCATAAGGGATGGGACTAGGAACATGCATAGTGCACAGACAGGTACATTTCGCGTTGGTTGTGCTTTACAAAGTACAATGATGGCCTTCAAGCAACCAAAATCTGCCCACTACGCACAACCGCTTGTGCTGCAAGAACGAGCGAGGTTTCGGAAACGCGCCGGAGCCTTGGTCGCCGGTTTCAGCATGAGTTGTTGGCACAGATATAGGAACCGGGCAGAGAGTTACGACAGCTTCGCTCTTCTCAGAATAGACCGAGATCATGCGAGACCCTGACTCGTGTGGGTGATGGCAATCATGACTCAGTTGGCAGCTCATTGGGACATACATGCGCACCGGGCCGGCGATGCAGTTCGGAAGAGACAAGTTTAGACCAGTATAGAGGGATCGCTCATATACGCTGCTGGGCGGATCTGAGCAGGCTTGCACGCAGCTGATGGCAGATATTCAATGAAGGCTGCAAGCAAGACATAGACACGGCGGCTGACACCAGTAAGCCATTGGGTAATAAATAGAAACATACAAGGACTGCACGTGCAGTATGTACTCGCCCCAACGTGGTCTTGGTGAGGTCACGGCAGTAGTTTTGACACAGGATGTCGAGGCACATCGGCTGGCACTCATTGTGTGGACGCTAGAAGGTAAACTTGGAAGGTAGGTACGCTAACGTAGTGTACTTACTTTGCCTGAAGCAGCAGGCAGTCGGCAGCACGCCATCGGAGCTCACAGCCTGCCCCACAATAAACTATACCGGAGACCCTCGACGTCTTAGTAAAGTAGATGCACTCGCTGGCTGCCAAAGGCACGTTCGGTCTGGGTCCAATTGCGGGATCCCGGCTGTAGTAGTAATGCAACGCCGTGCTCGCTGGCAGAGGTTGACCCGCGCAAGCTGCCGTTCAACACTGCCAGATCAGTGTGTAGTGTGATGAGAGTGGCCTTTGAATTGGAACATGGGGAACTCGCAAATGGCCGGCCCACATGGTCTCACAATGCACACCCTGGTTTCACTGACGTCTTGCCCGAGAGCCGCAGTCGGACCAGCGTTGTACATAGCTTCTTGACTCCCGCTGCCCCTCGATTTTGTTTTTCGACTCAGCCCGACCTGAATATCTGCTTCTCCTCCCGCGACACCTACTTTGATCGGCTCGATCCTTGTCTTCATATCTCCAGCACCAAATCACGACAATGGCCACGTAAGAATCCTCACGCGTACTCCTTAGCCGCGATTGCCCCGCCCCCACCCGCACATTGCGTCTGGACGGTCATGTACAAACGCGCTGACTTTCAACAACCACGGCACAGCAACATCGTCTGGCACCCGTCCCTCTCGCGCCAGGAGCGCGCCGAGCACCGCAAGCAAAAGGGCTTCACTCTCTGGTTTACTGGCCTTTCCGCCTCAGGCAAGTCGACCGTCGCTACGGCTCTCGAGCAGCATCTCCTCCACAAGGGCCTTGCCGCCTATCGCCTGGATGGCGACAACGTCCGTTTCGGCCTCAACAAGGACCTCGGCTTCAGCGACAAGGATCGCGTCGAGAACATCCGCCGCATTGGCGAAGTTGCTAAGCTCTTTGCCGACTCGTCCTGCATCGCCCTTACCTCCTTCATCTCGCCCTTCAAGGCCGACCGCCAGATCGCCCGCGATGTCCACGCTGCTGTGGCCCCCAGCTCTAAAGACGAGCCCATCCCCTTCATCGAGGTCTTTGTCGACATTCCGATCGAGGTCGCCGAGCAGCGCGATCCCAAAGGCCTTTACAAGAAAGCTCGTGCTGGCGAGATCCCGCATTTCACTGGCATTAGTTCTCCCTACGAGGCCCCCGAGAACCCCGACATTGTCCTCAAGACTCACGAGAACTCGGTAGAAGAGTGTGTTCAGCAGCTGGTCGACTGGCTCCAGGCCAAGGGCCTGATCTCCATATAGATTTTTGGATGCGCATAGCTGTCATCTGGACAGCACAGTCAGCGATGGAAAACCTTGAGATGGACTCCTAAAGGAGCGGATTCACAGAGCTGGTTTAGCTATATTTTTGCCTCTTTTGGACTGTACAATGCACGAGCTGGCGCCAAGCCGCAATGGGTAGCATGACATTTTATAGAGACTAAAATCTAGATGGCTTCGTTCCTTGACTGCGAGCGGAGCGAACACTGCAGCCTTTTCTGGGCTTTCTTGTCCCATCGCCACCAGCTCAATATGTTCCTTCACAATAGCGAGCCATCAGATTGCGCCGCACCCAACGTTGATGTTTCGGACTATATCCTGTTGGGCCGAGCTCGTCACATTACTCTTGGCCACGATTGACACTGAACAAGCTCTGTTCCAGCAGGTCGTACTGTGCGCCATCGACAACGTGCAGAAAGACTCAATCGGATTCCTACCCAAGCAGGCTGTCCTGCACAACATACGCTATGCTGATGATTCGCCAGGTCGGGCCAGGGTTCGTCTATGTGTGAGAAAAAGAATGAAGAGCTATGTCGTCTGTCCTTGCAAAAGACACCATCGTCTCATGGCAGTTCAAACTCGTAATACACATATCCTGTGTATTCGGAACCCTCACCACCGCCCAGGCCGGCAGCCGCCATGTCTGAAGAAAGTGCAGCATCGTCCTTAGTGATTCGACCCTTCTTATCGCGACCGAATGCGTTACCACCAAGATAAGAGAAAGCAGAGTCGAGTGCTGTCTTGACCTTCTTGACAAGCTTAGTGTTGGTCTGTTGGGTAGGATGCTATTAGCTGAGAATGCACAAGACCAGAAAGAAATGCTCGAGCTTACCAGGACCATAGCTGACACGAATTCGGCGGGTAGGCCGTAGCGGAGGACACTCTCTACAAAAACTCGCAACGCCATGACGTGCGCCCAGATCATGACACTCTCGCTCCAGCCTGTCCGGCTCAGACGCAGGGCCTCACCCCAAACCTTTCGTTCTTCCTCAGAGACCTTCTGCAGTTCCTTTTGTTCCTCCTCTTTGCCGCCTTGGACATGCTTGTACTGACGTGGTGTCCATTTATTTTCGCGACACTTTTGCTGAAATTCAGAGCTGTGCTTTTTGAACGTGGTTACAGCGAACAACACGAACTCGTCATCTTGAGCAACCTCGTAAGCCGAGCGAGGTACGACCATCGGCGCTAGAGACTCGTAAGTCTTCAGGAAGTCCTTTTTCAAGGTGTTTGGCACGGCAATCAGGTGTGTCTCGAGGTATTCCGAGTTCTGAACAAGTATCGAGGGGTTGACCACAGGGGTGAGGGATTTGGTTGCGAGGTTGCCACTAGAAAGAGACGGACGGGGTTTGTCAGTAATAGATTTTCGCAAACTCGGGGTTGAGAAATCATCATGACTTACTTCTGCTTTCTTTGCAAATTGGTCAGATTCGATTTGACCGAGTTGTATTGGTTGAACTTGGACTTGACATCATTGTCGATGGTGGCAAGCTCCTTTTGCAATACGTCGACCAACTCGCCAATGGGCCGCTCTGCACGATAACGGACTTTGTTCCACGAGAAGTTGCGCAGGTACTGGTCAGTGGGCTCTAAAGAGAGAACCGATGGGTCAGTATAGCAAAGAACGATGGAGCACACGAGGCGTGGTGAACGGCGGCATACTGTCATTCACGGTCTGCTGTTGAGCGACCTTGTCTGGGTTGTCTGGGAATAGGGACCGCAGAGAATCGGCTGACTTCTGAACCATGGCACGACAAGCGCTGTCGAGCTTTGCAAGGTCGTCGGCATGCTGGACGAGGGCGTCGAGGGTGCCGATGCGAAAGGCGGGCACGGGATATGGGACGAGCGTGGCATCGGAAGCGGTCGCACGTAGCGATGACAGGGCCTCGACTTCGTCGCTAGATGCAAAGCCCTGAAGCGGGAGCGAGACAAGAGCGTATGTCGCAGACATGGTAAGAGGCGCAGAAGAAGGCTGGCTAGTCTTGGACGGTGTAGCGCGGGGGCCGGCGGCAGTGAAGTCGCCAGCGGCCTGAGTCGCCGGTAGGACAGGGATGGGCGCAGGCAGGCAAGGCGATGGGGAGTCACGGGTCTGTGGTGGTGATGGCGGGGATGATTGCCGTCGTTGACGTTTGAGGAGGTGTTTTGGAGGTTGATGTCACCCAAGGGAGCTTGGACAGCTTGGACAGCGACTGAGTACTTAGCGTACCTTAAGGTACGCTATCCAATCCAGCGCACCATGCCACCAGAGTGGGCACTTAAGCAGGCAGGAGAGACCAGGACCACGCTAGCGTACCATGTAGCAAGTTAGCCTGGCCTGCAGCACTCCGGTAGCTCTCCAAGGTGCCAAAGTTGGGGTTCCAGTGAGTGAGGGGGCAGTGCATCTGAGCCTTCAGCCGCCTAGACCTCGAGCTTTTATGTGCACCATAGGAAGGCATGAGTGCAAGTGGTTGAAGCCCTGGTGTAACCCACGAGGTTATGCTGACGAGCAACAATGCACGACGCGAGCGCCATCACCACCCACACTTTTGCGCCCTTCTGCTGCGAATGACGACGCGACACGGGGCTTCGGCTCGAGCGACTTGCTTCTCGTCCTCGCGACATGATTGTCGCTCTTATAACGCCTTGAGCTGCGGACTGATAGTCGCGCTCCATACCACGTAGACAACCGCGACAATGGCAGCGCTGCCTGGTAAGCACGCCTCTATGCTCTGCCGCTCAACGGCGTGCTGACTAGTACCTCCTAGCCTCTCGCGCTGTCGTTCTGCCAGATATCTCAGCTGGCGATGGGCACGCGAACAGTGTCCAGACTCCGCCCTCGCGCCGCTCCTCGTCCAGCGTCGCAACTCCGACGACATCCCCTGCTCTTGCAGTCACCCGCCAGCTCGCCTCGCCTGAAGCGACCGCATCTCTGTCGGGCGAACCGTCCAGCACTCCTCATAGCATGGGCAGGTCCACGGTCATCACAACTGCCGCACGTATCGCCTCTCCCGCCACTTTCCTTAACTCGGATGCTCGTCTATACCCACGCGATGGCCGAGTTCGCGATCCAGTTCCAAGCAAGCTCAAGGGCGTCTCTGGGGATCTCAGCGGCAACTTCTCCGTGATGCACATGGACGTCAACAGTCACCCCAAGAGCAAGGGACGTGACGCTGCAGCCAAACGGACGAGCGAAGGCACGGCCTTGCAGGCCAAGCTTGCTTCAACATCTTCCTATGTTTCCCACCACCGCCGAGCCAATTATCCCAAGCCCACGGGGCTCAAGCAGTATGCCAGCTCAACCCCGTCACAGGTTCAGCAGCTACCTGCAGCAGCAGCACATCCGATTATCCCAGCCCCGACTGCCTGGCTGCCGAGCAGCGACCAAGAACTGATAATGCTACCCCTAACGCCACGAGAAGTCAAATCCGAACAGGCTCGGTTACTCACATTGCTTCGTACCCTGCCACCAGCTACCGTTGTTGACCAACTCTGTAAAGCTCTTGCTTTCTTTGGAGGCATACCGGAAGCGCCACCACCTGCTGACGGTTGTTTTCCAGACAGCGGTGAAGCAAATGGTCCGGGATCACTTTTTGTAGGCTGGGTTTCCGAGATTTTCCCAAACCTGGAGCAGCCTCGAAGGCCAGTGCTCAGAGCCCCAGAGCCCAGTGCCCCGGAGGCGCCCGCCGCTCGGCCAGTCACAGCACCACTCGTGGAGCAGGTAACACCTCCTGTGAAGCGGCCCAGGGGCCGACCAAAAGGAAGCAAAGCATCCAAGGTACGCTGCGATAAAGGCATAAAAAAGGGCCCCCTCAAGTCTGCACATAAGCACGCCATTGCTCCTACGAGCTCGCGTGTTGGTCCAGCGGAGAGACCAGACAATTCACAGGACCGTGAAGCTTCTGCGGATTATCCTACAGGCACAAACGCCGAGGCCCAAATAACGACAAATGAAAGTCAGGTATCTCGTGCCATAGAAGCCGCACATGCTACGACACAATCAGATCAGATAGTTCCAACGGCGCCCAGGAAGCGTGGTAGGCCGAAGGGGTCAAAAAATAAACCCAAGGAGAACCTCCATGACGTTATTCCGGCACAAACTCAGCACAACCCAAGCATCGCGTCGGCTCAATTTGAGTCTCGGAACATGGTAGAGCCGCAGCTAGCATCAACTGACCTGCCACGCACTGCACTACCTGCAACGGCAGCGAAGGACCAAAGTATACAGCCACCTCATGCAGCTAGAGGCGTACACAAGAGCGCGACGGACAGTACGCCACAAGACAGCCGCACTCATGAACATGCGCTTGGTGCGACTCAAGTGCCCGGCAGCCACGACATTACTTTGGAGAGCACCCGTTCTACCCCAATCACAGGCTCTGGAGTATCTGCTGACAAGAGCAATTATATCCTGACTGAGAATTCTCTCTCGCACACACCAAATGGAAGGAAGAGGAAACGACAAGTAGCGCAAGAAGCACATCCGCCTTCTGCAAACGTTGCCGTAGTGCCAGCAGGAATCAGCAGACTTCAAGAACCGCTTTCATCAGCACCAATATCACAAAGTCCTTATAGCGAAGGGCATTTAGATGCTCATGTAGTCGCGGACGTACCCGCTGTTCCCAAGACGAAGCGACCTCGCAGCACCAAGACAGTTTCCCATCGAACGGGTTCTACTGTTGAGGCACAGATCCATAGTGAGCTCGAAGAATCGACCAACTCTATAAACATCGCCGGCCAGAGTACGAATATTGGTCCCAGCACGCAGACGGCCCAGTTGGTTCAGGGTTCTGGGCATGGGCAGCAGGCCCGGCAAGCCATCCCACGTTACCTCTCGAGGTCGAGTGTGAATAATCCTGCAAATACGACACGAATCCGTGAGGATCGCGGGGACCAGAGCCGTCGGTTGATGGAAAGTCTTCCGCGTGAGCAATCAGCCTCTGTTGCAGGCCAACAGACGGTCGCCCCCCCTCGACCAAAGAACACAGCGGCACAAGTGGCAGCTGGCTTGTCTCAGTCTCGCACTTCCCAGTCAAAGAAACAACGACATAACCTGCCACAGAGCCAGAATAATGACAAAGCTTCAACGACTCCTTCAGGAGCCAGACCAACGCATCCTGTCTCTCTCGGGCAGCAAGCCCAGCAAAAGAACCAGCAGCAGCACCGTCTCCACAGCAGGTCTTCGGGCAGTTCGATCACAAATCATCAAGGTGCCGGTTCACCACGTTTTGGGACAGGCCCGCACGGAAGTCCTCCCATGTTGTCTGCGCACACCGACACCTACGATGATCGATCCACATTATCACACGGTGGCGCTTCCGGCCCACCACAAGGAACTCCTTTGGCACCGGCAATCGAAACAGATCTCTATCGGCCAAACGGGGCAGAAGTTTCTTCTGGTCATGAACCTAACGCGCTTCAAAATCTGGCTCACTCTTTCGGGGATTTCTCCGACTCGCACCTGTTTGACCTGCAGGGTTTAGGCCACACGAACGGACATAACGGATTGCAGATCAATAGCTCGACATATGACCTCCATTTGGGAGACGAGGCGACATTGCAAAGAACTGGGAGAAATTCTGGACATTCTAGCTATTCCGCCCCCTCGGATATGAATAGTTTCATGGCGCATGCCAGTCTTGCGCCAGGTAACCACCAAAATAGGTGGCACGCGTAACGATCACGAGTTCTACGACGTAATGAAATATCCAATATACAACAGAGGTCAACAATTGCATATGAGTGGATCTATTTATTGCGATCAAATATCCACGATCGAACGTGATTGCTGAACTACGTCAATTAAGTCTTGCGAGACTTGGAAGGATCCGTCCGTCGGTGGAACTCCCGCGCTCTCTGGTATTTTTCCATCAACAGCTTGACGATTTTGCCTTTGGTGACTGTTGAAACAACCCCGGCAGCATTGGCCTCCATGCCTTATGCCTTATACGTGATGGCGTGACTCTATGAGATGAGTGAGAGCATGGATGTCCAGGGGACGGAGCCAATGATTATTGACGGAGCACACGAGCAGAGAGCGCGAGAAGGAATGTAGCAGTGTGGACTGTGCTTTTGTTTTTCACCACTGCTAGGAAGTCCTCGAGCTCAGTCCACACGCCCCGACGATAGACACGCATGAACCAAGGCGGAACAATTCAGTGTTTGGCAACTATGGGTGGGAAGTATCGCTACTGCGATAATGTTTATTGGCTGAAGAAAGGGATATCTCTGATGACAAGTTCGTTGTGCTTGTGATATGAAATCAGTCCACCGGCCGCATCCTTTCCGGCCATATGTAAATGCATACAGGAGGTGCGCCTATACAATGGCGCATCTGACAAAAGAAACCTGCTGCGAGCGCATGTGATAGCCGCCCAGACAAAGAATAACAGGAAGAACGCTTTCATGGGTAAGCCAAAGAGCGGCTCAAAAATGTAACGAGATTGCTCCAAACCCCTTGAACTCCGACCAACTCGCTGAAAATGTGGCCATGACAGAAAACTAGTCCCCAACAGAAGTGTGCCGTGAGGAACGCCGGATAGGTTTGCCTGTGCCGACAGATCTATATTGCGCTCTGGTCTTTCTTTTTCGAATTCGATAGTAGAATGCCGACACATGGCAAGAAAAAGGGGCAGTAGAAGCACCTGGCTTGCCTTACTCAATTGGATCCTCCTCGATGGCCTCCAGTGGGGGTCGCACAGAGTCCGGTGCTGCTTGCCCGTACCACCAAGCGTCCTCCTCGGCGGCGCCGTCTTCGCGAATGAGCTCAAGAAGAACTTGCGCGTTGCGCTTGATATCTTCTGGTCGCGAGACAATCTGTCGTTGCGCAATCAAGGCTTCCGCAGTTGGAAGCCAGATTTGTTGCAAAAGTGGAAGCTCGGGAAGAAGTAGTCGCAGCTGATCGCGCGACAATGGACCCATGGGCATTCCGGCTAGTAAGCTGGAATCGAATATGGTGCTGTCCCACACACTAGAAGCCGATGCATCACTGTTGCGGCGAGCCGCATCCGATCCTCGGCGGAACCTGCCAGAGGTCGGTATCTCTGATCCTTCTCGAATGTCTCCGATATGCATGTTGGAGAATTTGCGACCAAGAGACATGAATCGCCGTGGCTTAGTGGCTGGCTCGGCTGGCTCGCGCATAATGGAGGTGAACCAGTTGTCTATCGCCCCACGCCGCGAATTGTAGCCCTTGATTTCCCAGAACTTTTCGACTTGTCGCATGCCTCCAACACACATGGCTGCCACGTACACGTTATCTGAGGGAGGGTCCTTCAGGTAACCACGAATAGACCGCTCTAGCCGGCCAGCGTATGAAGGCGGGCGCAGCCGGCGGCAAAAGGATGATACGACAAGCGGAAAAACCTGGTGAACACGTAATAGTGTTTGGTCGTCGTACATGTTCATGATTCTAACCTCAATTGGGTTCATTGTATACGGCTCATGGGCAAGTCCGTGACCGTGCTCTTTGATGTAGTCCAGGTGTAGGGTGCGGTAGGTTTCGAAGAAGTGGAACATTGTGAATAGAAGAGGGATCAACCTTCGCCGCATGCGCTCGTTCTGTGGCGCAAATTCAAGGCGTTGTGCCTCTGTCTCCCTGAGGAATATCTCCTTCGTCACACGCTCGGATATGAGGAAGGCCAATTTTGCGGCCACGTGTAAACGATGCCATATGCCGCAGAGGTAGTGCAGCCGGATCTCACTGGGCTGAGTGACGGGGTATAAGCGCTTGGCGTATGCTGGTACGTGATGTTCGAGGTGATAGCGAGCGATGGGCAGCTCATTCGTGGTGATCATGGTATGCCACGCCCTTGAAGCGGTGCGCAGGCTCAAAACATCTGATAACGGAAGGGCGGCGATGACTTGTATCTGCAGCTCGTTTGGTAGCGCAAGAAATAGTTGGTCGAAGGTTCTGAAGCGGCGAAAAGGGTTAGCATATGACAACATGCACCTGCACCCAGATTGATCGTTTGAGGAATAGGACGAACCTCTGGGGTTTGAGGATGGACTCGGTCGACAGCCGTCGGATATCATGCTCGACAGACGAACGTGACGGTAATATCGAGCGGAAGCTGAAATTGTTGCGGCGTTTTTCGGCCTTGTGAGAATCATGACCGGCATGCTCTGGAGACCGAGAGCGTGCCTGGATGGGAAGGATAAATGTGGACGACGACTGGGCTGAGGCATCGAGGGAGTGATGAGCCACATTTTCGTGGGCGCCATCCTTGACCTCGCTGAGCCTCTTGAGCTTATCAAAATAGCGCTCCGAGGCGAACTCGGGCGCATGTTGGGTATCCATGGTGGTGACTGCGAATCACGCGAGCCGGCCGCACCAGCAAGGACGGTCGTGATGCCAGTTCACGGGAAAATGGCAGTGCTGATGGAGCTCGACGACGGGAGGCGTACGTCGGACTACGCAGAGGCGGAGGCGACGGAAATGGCAACGCGGGAGCGCAGCGGCAGCATTATTGGAACATGAGGGCGACGCGGTGTGGGTTGCTGCTGAGTTGCTGCTGCTGTCTGTTGTGGTGCAGGTATGATGAGCAAGGAGCCGGAGAATAGACAACGAGTGACCGGGGTGAGCGTTTCGAGCGTGAGGCAGCTGTGTTTGCGGCGTCGATGGCGGAGGGAATGTCGTCGCGGGAGGTCAGGGCGCTAGGTGGCGCGGTGATGGTGCTGTAAGTTGTGTGGTATGAGGGTGGCGGTGGTGGTGGTGAAGGGAACAGTGGGCAAGGAGGCAGTGAGAGCGCGGAGCGCTGGGCGGACAGGCGGCGGAGGTGGACGAGTGCTCAGAGCAGAGTGCCCGGGACGGGCGTGAGAGCGCACTTTGACACGGGCGGGCAGAGTGGGGGCGCTTACCTGGGAGAGCAAGACTGGCAAATCGGGCCTTGATTCCTTGCGAGGGCGCCGCAGAGGGGCCGAGGGAACCCAATTGGCCCGAGCATCAGCCGTCGGGAGGTGCCCCCGCGTCGAGCAGTCGAGACGCTGTGGCCTGGGGACAGTGCGTGCGGCCTGGCCAGGACGGCCCAGCCGGCTCGGATGGCCGCGGGAGCGGCGTACAGTGCGGATGACGACGGCCTGGCTGCTGATTGGCTCTGCCCAGGCAAGCCCCGCTGCGGCCCTTGGCGCACCCCGGCCTTACTACGGCGCGGGCTGCACACTCCGCCTCCAGCGTTGCAGCACTCCGACACCACCTTACAAAAGCAGGCAAGCTGGGGCCGCTGGTGCGCTCTCCTCCACGGCCGCCCACAAAGGGTCCTTCTCCTCTGCCGAGCCTGCCACGCCATGCCACGCCTCGCCTGGGGCCGCCGGCCGTCCCTCGGCGGCGCTATGCGCACTCTCGCAGGCTCTGCACCGCGACATGACATGATGGCCACCATTTCCCTCCTCACGGGCACGTGGAGCCACATCACCACGGCCCGGCTCCTTCCTCTGCCTCGTCATCCACGCTCACAAATCATGGTCGGCGAAAGCATGTAATTATCGATAATTAGGCACAGCTCGGCGATGGAGGCCCTGGTCGCCAAGCCGTGCCCTGCCTGACTCATGCCCGTAGCTAAATCAAACCCCAGACTGTGGTGGACGGCATCACGGCTTGGTACACTGTGGTCTGCTGTCTAGTCAGGTCTGGTCAAGTCTGGCTCGAACCAAAAGGTCTTCGCGCGCCTTATCTATGGCGACATATCACATGTGACGTGATGCACGAGAGAGTCTCAGTGGGCGCAACAACATGCACCTGTGCAGCACAGAACTGTCTTCGTTCAGCGTGCCTTGCGCTAGGACAATCCACCCTGCGGCATGACCTCCGGCCGTGACAAGTGGCAAGTCCAGCAGAACTCATTCACAGCGAGGAAACTCCATGGCCACGACTCTGCTGGCAAGATCGGCAGTAGTGCAGGCCCCGAGATCCGAGCTTGGAGTAGTTTGCTCTCCCTCCCCACTATCCTTCATAGCCGCACACTCACCCTGTTTCCTGCGACGAGTGTTGCGACATCAAACTAGGATAGCACATGTAGCTATCAACGGTAAGCTATGGCCGGTACTTTTGGAAAGTACAGTACTTCAAGTCAGCAGATGATGCGCCAGCGAGAGGCCTGGCCGTATCTATGTCGGCGCGAAGACAAGTCGGCCCGAATGGATCGGCGGCTCTTTGAGCTACGGCCAGATGAGCTTTCTTTTGGCTGTCTCCATGATAACACATCATCCTTTGAAACATAATCATGCCATCAAAATCATGTTTCTCATGCCTCTCGTATGATAGCACCTACATGCGTGCTTGCAATAATCGGATGTAGACAATGTCACAAGGCAAAGCCGTTGAGAGGACTTGGGTCAGGTTTACAATCGTTGGCCAGGGATACGCCTTCGTCACGTCATGCGATTAGGTTTACAGCTGACGAACACACCGGCACTGCTTCGTATCATCGGTCAACGACCGACATGCCTATGGTGGGATGTTTCCTCCTGTTTGGTCCATCTCTAACTTGGAAACGGCCACCATGCGGGCGTCATGCGGGACGGCCTCGCAGACCAGCACCGTGACAAGACCTCAGCTCAACCAGGCTCCCTCCAGCTTCTGCCCCGATTCAACCATTGCCATGACCGAACGTGGCCGAGATCGCAAGGACGGATGTGGGCAGCCGAAGTTCGGGAGCGAATGCATCCTGGTGTACCCACGAACTGATGAAAGTTCCGTCTATGAGGACCTGGGCAACAGCGCCACGACAAGGTAGAAAAAAAGTAAGTTGAACGATCAGATAGGCGCGGATGATTGTCTCAAGCCGCAAAGCTCTGTTGACCGGCAATGGCGCGCAGCATATGTCCCTTGCAAATGCGGTCGTATGCCTTACGAGGCCAACGAGCGAGTTGATGGTTGACCTGCCACTTTGTCTTTCCTTGTAATGACCCTCCCTGAACGAGTGTCGCCTGTTTGGACTATTTGTCGCATGCCAAGGGTTGCTAAAGGATGCCACAATGATGCCGTGAGAGGGAAGGGCGAGAATGTCCACCTGCAGTAAAGTGCTCGTGGCCCGCTATCGCTTGATCTCACCGCCACCCGCCGACGCGCCGTTCATTCCATCTCTCCTTGCGCTCCTGCCGCAGGTAGTAAAGCTTCTTGGCCTCGCGGTACTTGCGGACCCAATCGAGCGTCTCCCGCTCTGTCGCCAGGCCGCTGCCATCACCTTCCAGAAAGCTCTCCTCCATGGCCTGGCAGATCATTTCCTGCTCCTGGAGGCTTTGCATGAGCTGCTGGTAGAGAGATGGTGCAGCAAAGGGCTCTAGTGCATGGTCCATCTCCGCCTGCTTCTGGCGCCACTGCCTCTCAAGCGCGTGTGTAGACAGTAGCTGTGCCTGTGTTGATGACCTTTGGTGCGTCAAACGAGTTTCCAGCTCGAGCAGATGGTTCGCTAACCCAATGTTCTCGTCCAGTGCGGCCAAGAGAGCTTCGTCAGTAGCCGCCAGGGACGGATGGACTGCAGACGATGCGCGCGTGAGAGTCTGCAGCAGGTTTGGATTCCCAAGGATCTCAGCAAGGTCTTGCTTACTGTTTCCAACGTTAGCCAATGGGTTCTCATAAGCGCCCAAGCAAGTTGATATGCCTTCCGATTGGGACTTACGACTTATCTTCAAGCACCTTGGGCAGCCACTTGTCACCAGGGTCAGGAACAACAGTTTGAACGGCGGGGCCGGCTCTTGAAGGCGCCGGGATGAGTCCAGATGCATCTCCATGGCTGTACCGGCCACCATCCACAGAGCTCAGAATCCCTTCGGGGATGGGCGAAGGTCGTGGTGGTGTGCCTGAGGCAGGTGTGCTTAGCCTGGACACATCATGGCTGGTGGGCTTGGGAGGCAGGACAGGTGGCGGCGGTGTGGGCGTGTACATGGCCATCAAAGATTGGAAACCGGAATGCGTGGGATGATATTGGCCTCGTCTTCGATGAGAGGTGTGATCTGGCAGGCTCGACGAATTCCCCTACCATTCACTGATTGATGGTGGTCTGGAACGAGTTCAAAGTCCTGGCCGTTCCCTGGAAGCCTAACACCCCACAATGCCGATAGCTGATCCCCACACATGCCAAGGGAGATAGCCTTCGCGGCACTTGCGCTACGTCACAGTATTGTCCCGGTCATCATCAATTTATTATATCGTTGTTCACAATATAGACTCGCTCCGCTGCCCTTGCAAAATACGTGTTATACTCGGGACAATCATTCTTCGTTCTTCAAGCGATCCGCCATGCCATGTCGTAGTGCCAAGCTTCCCGACCTCGTGGCTTTTCCATGCTCTCCTTTGCCGGCCGACAAACCGAAGGGAGCCACAACTTCAATTGCGCAAGTCTAGTATTAATGCACGCAACTTGACCAGGACGTGCAGCTTCTAGTAGATCTTCTTCCCACCAAGGACGAGTTCGCTATCTCTTCACCGTCTTACTGTCCACAGCTCCCGAGTCCAACCCATCTCACGCATCCTCTTACTACCGCCTCCAGATCCCTTCTTGTCGCCACCGCTGATAGCAAGGGCCTTGCTGCAGTTCGCGAAGCCTTCAACAATTTCTTTCATGCGACCGCATTTCATGAGCACGTCCTGCACATCCGCGTCCTTTCTTGCTATCGTTGCCGCAAGCTCCATGCACTCTAGGAGGTTGTCGCGAGATAGGCTTGTGCCTGCGAAGTGCAGCACGCTCACGTAGCCAATGACTACTTCAGGGATGTATGCCTCGCGAAGACCAGAGTAGTCCTCGTCCACTGTCAAAGAGGGTCAGTGCCTTACGAATTGACAGCAATCCAGGCTGGAGACGTGAGATCTTACCTTCAATGCTCTCCATCAGCCACTGGTTCAATACAGGTTGAATGAAGCTCTTGACTTGTTTCACAGATTCGCCCACCTGGGCCCAGAATTCTCGATTGAGCTTCATTTCCTCGGTCGATCTGTAAAAAAGGGCTCTCGGTTAGTGTCTGACTCTGGATTCGAGGAGAAGGGTTATAGACATACTCTCGCGCCAAACCTTCGCTGGAGGCGACGGTTTCCATCGCATCCAGTGTCCTTACAAGACACTCCATTTCGAAGAAGTTACGTGCGGTGACGATGTCATCATCATTAAGTTCGCTATCTTCCAAGACACCGTTCGAGGCGCTCAGGCGAATCTCCTCGAACCATGAAATGTCTTTGTCGTCGGACACGTTGACGCCAGCCTTCCTCTGGAAGATGGCAGAACAGGGCACACGATCAGCCAGTGCACGAGCGGCATGAAGGTTAAAGCTCCCTGTACACAGGTTAGACTCTCAGACTAGGTGATGGGGGTTTGCTATCGAAAGGACAAAGTGAGGGTGAGAGCGCGGAGTATGAACTTACTAAGAAACCGCTTGTAAATGGCAGTTCCGAAATGGAAAATCTCGTCCCATAAGCCGTCAACAAGCAGGAACCACTCCAGTGACTGGATGAGTTGTTCATCAACGTCGTTCAGTTGATCAGGGAGCTCGCCAAAGAAGTCCGGCTTCAGCGGCCGGCCATATTTCAGTGACGGAGGCTCAGACAGGAAGATAGACAGTCTACCCAGCGCCGGTCCTTGGGTTTCAACATCTAGAGGGTGCTGTTGCAAGAGAGACGAGGGCTGGAACACGACAAACTTGGCGATGTCCATGCCCAGCTTCTCCATGATTCTGAGCAGCATCTGCCGTTCGTTGGTGTCGTCCACCTTGCTGATGTTCCTGCTGAGTGTGAAGAACGCTCGTTCACCCTGCAGTTTCGCACAATACAGGGGAATGAGCTCGACCAGCTTGTTCAGCCGCAGGGCGCTTACGTATGCTGATAGGACATTCTCCTGGGCCTTCCGCCGATCTGTTGACTGTGTCAACCTGGTGCCTTGCAGTTCTTCCAAACTGGACACTATGAGGAAGACGTGAGCGAGCAGTCGCAGCCCATCGTGATTGTCAAGAGATAAGGAGGTAGCGGCACCATGTGTACTCGGGGCGCCAAAGCTTGGAATGAGGGCCGAGGGACCATGTTCGTTGGCTTGTTGGCCCAGCGCCAAGCCAAGCTCAAAGATGTGTTGGTCTAACTTGTGGGAGATTATGGCGCCCTGGAGGGCCTTTATCGGGCTCCCAGCTTCTGCAGAGGTCTTGGGATTGGTCTGCAGAGCTGAAACAAGACGTTCTGCTGCCGAAGCAGCATCGCCGTGGAACTGAACGGCATTGAAGGAAGGGAGAGATTGTGTGATGGATGCCGTGGCATCTGTGGCGCAGCGATTCATCATGAATGCGTCAAATTGTGCTCGAAGGAGCGCGTTATAGTGGGCGAAGACGTGGTCGTCCCAGTCGTCACATATCTTCTCAACACTCGGAATGTCACCGGACAAGATACCGTATACTGCGCGTTCATGATCGTCTGTGCCACCTTGCCGCGCCAGCGCGAAGCATGTGCGGCGCCACAGTAGAGCTGACAGCGGATCTTGCGCGGAAGTTCGTTCGCTCCCTGCCCTCGCCAGTGGCATAGCCGACATACTGACGGCTCTCCAGACCTCGGTTCGCTCGACACACCAGTCTCGAATCTCGTCCATGCTGCGCCCACGCCGTAGCAAGTGATAGCAGCCCAGCCAGATTGCCCGCTCGAAATAGGCGTCTTGTGGCTCAAGTTTTCGACCCTGCCTTGTGGCAACGTCTGGGTCTAGTTGGGTAACCAGAGGGTCGGCCCCATTGGAATCAAGCAATTGACTCCCTTCGCTCGCGTGAGGATCCAAGGGTCCGGCGTACCCGGTTGCGCTTTTGTGTAACTTGATAGCAGATCGGGTATGCAACCACCCAAAGGCAATAATATCGCCACGATCGGCTCTTTGCTGGTACTCTTTGACAAGCTCGTCAATGTCCAATTTTGTCGTGTCCGCGTGGCTTTGGAGGGATTCGAGTACGGCCTTGCGCTCTTGTGCCAGCGTGTCAGTTTCGATGAATTCTTGCCATAAATCGGCGGTGCTGCGGAACCGCGAAGAGTCGCGACGAAATGACTTGTTCACTTCGCTGCGGTGAGCGAAGCGAAGCGGCAGCAGGCGCCTAAGCATGTCCCATGTCTGCGCCTCGAGCTCCCAGTGTTTGAGCTTTTGCTGCCTTTGGGCCATGTCTTGGGCATCGGCACCCTGCTCCATTTCGTCGAGATCCATCGAGTCTTGGCTGGAGGCGTCGTCCAAGCGATGACGGGCATGCTCGGAGGAGCTGCGCAAGGACTGGCGCAGCATGTGAACCCTCTCGGCGGCATACTGGTAGTAAGTGTCGACGAGGAGCAGGATCTCGGTGCGCTTCTCTGTCGGCGAGCGTCTCGAAACCGACAGCAGATCCAGTGCTTTGGCAAAGCGTTCGGCGTCATGGGCAAAGTCGTCGCCAGAGTCACTCTCGATCGAATCTGGTTAGCAGCAATGATAACAGTTAGCATGACTACGTGGAGCCGGACAACACAAGAAATAGCTAGAAATCAATCACCAATGGCGCTGGTGGCAGCAGCACTAGCCTTGCGGCTGCGAGTGCGAGGAGGCGCCATCCTGCTTCTTTGTGTTGCTCGCGTTTGAATCAGGCCGGTGAGCTTGTGAGCTGCATCGTCAGGCAAGGCTGGCGGGCCTGGATCGGGTCTCGGTCTCGGCCCTGTCGGGCAAGATGTCTGAGCGCGAAGTTTCTGGCTCGTCGGGGTGTGATGTTTGTTGTTTGATGGACCGCAGTGAGTTTGTGTCGTGACAAGGTCGGCTGCTGTTGTTAGGCGGCGCCGGCCACAATGCAGAGAAGCGGACAAACGCGGTCGTTGGCTAGGCGCGCAAAGTTACAATGGAGACAACATGGAAGAGGCAGAGGCTCCTGCGACAGGGCGAGCTGCAGCGGGTCTGCAAGCTGGAGCTCGGGCGACGCCCTTTGATTGGTGGTCAGGCTCCATGCTGCGAGTGCGTGTACCTGCACGCCCGTGGCTGGCGTTCTCAGTACAGCGCATGGGCCCGGGTGGGGACTGCGCTGTTCTGGCATAAAAACTCTGCCCGCATGCACATGGTTTGGGCTTTTGTTTCTCTTTCCTCCTCATCATTGAATCGGCATTCATATTAGAGTCTCGGGACGAACCACATCTTTCCATGTTTGTCCAGATCCATCGAGGTCTCCTGCGTGCTCAATGATCGCCAAGATCGATTCTGCTCTCCATCAATGTGACCTGTCTCTCCCTGTAGAGGTCTACGCGATCACGGATGAGTGGTACATGCTTATGCTCCGTGGTGTCTTGTAGAACGCGGCTACACGCTTGCCATTTCCTCTTGTTAATCCTTCTGCCTTTGTGCCAGCTTCAGCCTGAGGAGGCTCGGCTTTGGACAGCTGACGGTGCGCGCTTCATCCCCGTTCTTCTTGTAGAACGCTTCGCAGCAGTCGTACAGCGCATCGATCAGATGTTGGCATCGCGACTCGTTGTAGGAGTTCTTGGTCAGGCAGTCTATGTGTCCTCACAGCATGAGTAACTTGATGTGGTTTCAGGCAGGCTGGACCCAAGTCTTTGCACTCACCCTGGATTGCGCACTTCGTGATCAAAGTCAGAGAATATAAGATGAGCATAAATACGGATCGCCGGGAGTTGCGCTCGACTTACAGCGCGAGGATGACACGGCGGCTTCGCCTGAATATCGTCTTCTGCGCCCTACAGATGAGCGCGTTAGAGCCGTTCTGATGCTTGTGGACGGATCATATGCAGTCCAGAGGCGCGTCGTGGAGGGTATATCTGACCATTGTCTTGAATTCAAATGGGCAGCCCTTTCAATGCAACGGAGCAAGGCAACACGCGGGGGTCGAGCAGGTGAGTCGCCGGTGGTTTGTATGTGAGAGAGCCTGTTGAGCAGACGTGATTTTCAGCACCCTGGCGAAGCAGGGAAGAATGCACCCAGAGGGCGCGATGACCCGCTCGATACTGGCTGGCCACCTGTGATTGTGATGTAATGCACCAGCGAAGCGATTTACTACCACGAGAGCCTAAAGTCACCACGACACTACGTTGCAGATTTAGCTTGCCGTGTCGGGCTAAGAGAGGGTTCACTCATTCTCTTGTCCTGGATCGGTTTCTCTGTGTCTATACTTCCAGATCCAGATGATGACCGGCTCTAGCTATCCATGCCGTGGTCTTTCCTACCCCGAGATGTGTTTTGCACTTCTGAATTCGAGGATGCTCCAAGCGAGAGACTGACGCTGGGCCGCAGGTTCCCAACCTGGTGCATGGGGTTGTGGGTCTCGAGGGTGGCCTAGCACTTGAGCGCCTGGGCAACGAGCGACCCTCGGGAAGGCAGCCCCACCACCGCCACTCGATGTCGCCGTTGTGAAGGCTTTCGTGACGACGGCAAAGGCCAGCACCGCCAAGCTGTGTTTGTCCACCACGCCAACCTTGCATCTCAAGCCCTCGCGCCTGTCGCCATCTATACGATCCCACAACGCAACGCAGATTGGTAAGTCTCCTACCCGTGGTCGCCACATACGTGGTCGCTCTTCGCCAGCCTACACGATGCCGCAGCGTGCGTCTTCGTCCCGTCACAGCGGGCCCTTCTCTTGCTCATTCTCCCACATCACCCCGCCCACGCTGACCATTCCCGTCGCGCTTGCCACAGACACTTCACGATTTCATCAGCGCCCTATATAACGCTATGGCCGACGACGGTACTCCTCAGGGCGACCAGGGCGCTGCCCCGTCGACCGAGCACCTGAACATCAAGGTTACGGACAACAATAACGAGGTCTTCTTCAAGATCAAACGCTCAACAAAGCTCGAGAAACTCATGACAGCCTTCTGCGAGCGGCAGGGCAAGAACCTCCAGTCCGTCCGATTTCTCTTCGACGGCCAGCGTGTCCAGCCCACAGACACTCCCGATGCAGTGAGTTTCCCGCTTGCAGTCTCATGCAGGATCATGCCAAGTCGTGAATCAGGCACGCGTCGCTACTTTTCCTGGATCCTCGCTAATACATACGTCTCTTTCCAGCTCGAAATGCAAGACGGTGATACCCTCGAGGTGCATCAAGAACAGGTCGGCGGGTCGTGCTGAAGTTAGGCTACTGCTGCTATCGCACGGCGCGAGCACATCCGAACACTAGGCCGCACCAGCCGAGGGAAACACGCCAATTTGTTGAATGCGCAGCGTTGTATTTGAGAGTTCGCGTACCCAATTAGGGGCGGACGCATGGGAAACCAGCACGAAGTCATGCGTTGGGAACAAGTCTTTGATACAGGCATCAGCCGAAATATTTCCCAAGCCTTGGCAACTGCAGGTAGCGCAAAGTACGACGGGGCGAGGCACACCCTTTGTTTCTTCGGGCGCATATTGGGATGGGGTTTTTTTTTCCTCCACGAGGCCAGGCGAACCGTTCAGTAGTTTTGGGCAACATGCATGGGCAGACAAGAGTCAAGACTTTGATAGACATGCAAATGCTAGTCCATCGTCGCGCACAGATTCCACCCACCCCATCTTGCAGGCTCTCGTCTAGATCATATACAGTTTCAGAAGCACTTGGACAGCTCACGCGCGGCCAGGCCGTCGCGAGACCATCGCGCAGAGCCCATGTATCGCGCAACACGCCAAGCAAGTTTTGTGACCTGCCTCCAGTACTTCCCACTATCACGCGTGCGAGGCATGCTCGTTCAGTAAAGTCGTGGCTACTTCCGTACTGCCGTGGGCTCCTCACGTCAATTTCATATGGCGATGGTCGTATTGATGCAGGCAGAGGAACTGAGAAAAGGCATAAAATTCAAAACACTCAATCAAGAAGCAAGGCACGCGTGCTAAAATCCTCAAGCCTTCCCAATACTCCTTGCTCCCACGTTCATGTCGTCACAATCGTTCCCACATGTATGCCAAGGACACACCTCAGTCCAAATCCTGGCCGTTCGACACAATCCCACGACTGACCTTTACTACATCTTGAGCTCGCTTGCGCGGCACATTGTGCACAACACGATGTTTTCGCCGCCACGCGACACTGGGAAAATCTGCCCGTCATCAAAGCCGCCATGGCACGTGGCGCACCGGAAACACTCGTCGTGCCACTCCCCCCCGAGTGCCTGGATGTACTGACCGATAACTGCCTTTTTGCAGTTGCGGCACTTCGGCGCGCGCCGCTCCGTCCGCTTGGTTTGGCAATTCACGCACCATGCGTAGCCGTCCTTTTCGATGTGTGTCATGCCCTGCTTAAAAGGATCCCCGCACTCGGCACAGAAAAAGTGACCGTAATGCCAGTGTGCCCCAAGCGCAACAATGTGCTCCCCGAGAATGGACGTTTTGCAGTGCTTGCAGCGGGGTGCGAAGTGTTCATGCCAGTCAAGATGACAGAAGAAGCGGAGACGCTCGTCTCCATCCTCACCCATGGTCTGGCCAGGGGTCTCATCAAGGAGCTCACCGGCTGCCCTCCGCCGAATACGATCAAGACGTTCGGCACGGAAATTGTCGGGTTCCGGACTAATCTCAAGGGCTTCAAGCCGCGTGCCGCATGTATGGCAACGGAAGCACTGAGGGTGGAAACGCTCTTGCGAACCGCCTAGAGCTACGACCTTGCCCTCGATGGGCAGCTGACATTCGTGGCATAAGGCAGTCACCCTAGCAGTGGCGTTCGGCGCCGGCGACCAATGGCTCCTTCTTCGATCGTCCCAACTGTGTGTCTGCTGACTTGGTCCGGTGCGCCTGGTCGGCGTTGGCAGCGGCCTCGCGGAACCCTTTGGTGCTGCCATGCTGACGTGGACGTCACGCGAGCCGTTATTGGTACCGTTGTCATCGTCGGGCGTGACAATGATAGGAATGGTTGGGTTCTTATCAAGTGTCTGGTCGGTACCAAAGCTCTCATCTCCTGGCAACACGATTGTGGGAACCGGTGGAGAGGTATCGCCCACTATGATGGCTGGAATAGAAGACTTAGGGTTGGCTTCTATGCGAATACTTGGGATGGGAGATGAGATGGCCGACTGCTTTTGCGGGGTCGGCAGAGCATCAATGTGCGGTGTAGTCGTGATAGTAGGGACGGTCGGCTGTGACTGCGGCCCCTGCGTTTTCGGTCCGAGCTCGACAGGGACGGGCACGGCGACTTCTGGCCTCGAATCAGTACCCTGCTCTGGGGCCTTCCAGTTCTTGTCAAAGCTTACGATGGGGCGTCCGGGACTATCGCTGACCGCAGACGGCGTCGGAAGTTTGGCACTCCGATCCTGTAGACGCATGGTGGTGGCCTGTCGGATGTCGTCGCCACGGATCTCAATTCCATTTTTCTTGGGAACCTCATCCGTGACCTGCTTATTGCGACGGTCGAATGGGCTGTTGGTCGTGTATCCCGCATTGCGCGACTGGGAGGGGGGGTTCTTGTGTATCTCCCTTCTCGACCACAGCTTGAAAGCTGAGGGCGGGGCTGTCGTGGCCCGTGTTGGGGCGACAGCGGCTTTTATGGCGGTGGGAGCAGCGGTAGTGGCATTACCCTGGTTTGGTTTCAGAGGATCCTCAGACGCGAGGACTCCCCGTGATTGGTCTTTTTCGTAGGTGTTACTCTCGGGCTCTTCCCAAATCTGGTCTCCGGAGAACGGTTTCTGGATCTCCCCACTAATATTACGCTTGAGGCTACTGCGACGGCGCTGGCTCGATGTGCGTCGTCCTGTCCTTTCCAGAGCACCGTAAGATTTGGAGCTGGAGTGTTCGTCGGCTGTATCGCGAGAATGCTCTAAGCTGCCCCGGCTGTTGTCGGGGCTCGCTCTGCCATCGCTTCCGGATGAACTGCCTGAGACTGAGCGGGTGCGATCTCTCGCCAAGCCGGTCGCCACGATATCTGTACCGTATCGGCCGGCACTAGCGGCTCGAGCATGGGCATAGCTGTTCTGGCGCAGGTGAGACTTGTAGGCATAAGGAGCACCTGGCTGTGGGGGCTTCACCCCATTCTGGTGTCGCCAGACGAGCTCGGCAGCTTCGTCGAGGGCTGCAGTATAAAGCCGAGTCTCGTCCGTGGCATCTTCTGAGGGCTTCTGGTCCTTCAGGTCCATGTCGACCATGGCTTGGCGCAGAGAGACGGCTTCCTCCTTCTCCATCCACCGCTGGCCGCGCTCGATGTATGTGGCACTCGGAACCACTTGGCCTGGTTTGAGAGGGGCGACAGATTTGTCGGGGTAGTAGTCGCGCGTAGAGGTCGACATGGCCGAATAGCGCGAGGCCATGGACCCAGATAGGCTAGGCCGGCCGGAGGGAACTCTGGGCTCGGCAGGCATTGTCTTTGGTAGAATGGGCAGCGATTTCTGCGAGGCAATTGAAGCAGCACCGATAGATGGTCGGCTAGGAGCTGGGCGCTCGGATTCGTGGCGCGGAAGTGAAGTTGAAGAGGGCGGCGGGCGGGCACCGGCGGGCCTGGCCTGGCGAGAATCGCGCAGGCTGGCAAGGTATGCCGCTGCAGGATGAAGGAGATGAGCCACAGCTGGACACCAAAGCACTGAGGCGGGACTGGGACTCACCGAACTGGTCGCTAGTCATGTATGAAGGCGAGGGCGGTGTCACCTTCCTGGCGGAGGACCGCTCCTTTGAGCGACCGCGGGAAAGCATGATTTGGATGGAAGCAACCGGGCGATGGTTCTATGTTGTTTGGCACAGGGACGATGACAATGTTGACGTTGTGGCGGAGGGTATGGAGGTGCGGCATTGGTTGGGACAAAGGCATTCTGTTTAAGAAAGACGAGGGTGAGGGAAGGCGGCTTGGAGGCGACGGCCATCAACAAAAGCGCAGCGTGAATTGAGTCAACACTTAATGATGGAGGTGGAGACGGCGACCTTGTCGTCTAGGTCTTGTTGTCTTGGCCGGGGTCAAGAGCGCCGGGGCCAGGGCGCGATGTCATTGGCCATGAGCCCCAACGTACCTGTTGACCAGGCAATGAGGCGGCCTAGCCTGCTCTCCCCAAGGTCCACCCCTTCTTCACATGCCCGTGCATTACACTTCGCAGTCCGCTCAACACGGAGATGGGGTAGGGATTGAGGCACCAGGCGATCAGTGCATGCAATCTACGATTATGGAGATAAAGCATGGCCCGACAGCAGCACGGTGACTCACGCGTGGCGCAGTCGAGTATGCTGTCACCTTGTGCAGAATCATGCGTTATGCTATCATTGTAGGATTGCGCTGTCTCTTGTACCTCTCAGGCATTCGATGTGTTGCGACGCAACTCCCACTTGCCATTTCGAGGCCTTCTAGGCTCAATGTCAGATCCAATCACGTCGTGGCTTAATTAACTCGGCCCGCCGGCTACTTCCTTAATCGTCGACGCGTGTTCTCAGCCGATCTTTCAGGCACCATCGGTTCGAGATTGTTCTCTTCTCACTCTCCTGCCACCCTGACCATTCTGGGCGTCGCTTGCCACGAAGTTGGAGGCGAGCTGTTGCATGGCGTGGAGGATACGAAGACATCGCAGCCGGCACTTGTACTGCCCGGTCCGGAAATGTGGCTGTGACGCGGCAAATGTCCACAGGACATGGCGAGGCAAATGGACTTCCACTGCGTTTGCATGCCTCGGTGGGCAGCGCATTCAGGCTCAGCTTCAACGCTCAAGTCCGCTACCTACTTCTTTGCTACTCTTCAGACTGGTGCACAATCATGGTCATTGGGTCAAGGACGGCAATTGGAGTGATTGGCGAGGAGTAGTGAACCGCTGGCACAGGCAGGTCGAGACGATTAAAATGAGGATTTCCGCGCAATCTCGAGCAGTCATGTCAAGACGCTCGCAGCGGCATGTTCCTCGCAGTATTTGTGAGACAGCTGTTGCACGTTTTTCTCCAATCATCAGCATGTCTCATCTCGAGAAGGTTCCGCTTCGTGCTCAATGCCGTCAGGCGTCTCTCGTGACCAACTTCTTCCGGCTTCGTGGGACATGTGTACTACCTTTTTGTGACTGCGTATGTATAATTGAGATCACGTCACCTGCACAGCCTGAGTCGCATCTCGTCCGTCTACGTCAAGTACAGATCAAATTGTGAGCAGTCCCGTACTGATCTGCGCCGTAAACTGAGTTGTGCGTGGCCTTGGAGCAGACGTCTTGCCTACCATCGCAAGAGATAGAGGCCCACTATACCAAAGTGCTTGCGAAATAAGTCAATCTAGGCCAGCCGGTGTCGGCACCCAGGTCGTTCCGAGTTTGTGCTCTTACGTACATGGACCCCGACCTTGGCGGTCATGGCCTTGGCGCCGGGGCTTCATACCCCTGGGGCAGCACCCGGCTTTCCGGTCCGGGCCCGCCTCCGTTGTTGAAGTGTTATTCCCGGACACACCATCAGGGACTCGGCGCGCTTTTACCGAGGCAGGCGTCATGACATTCTACCCAGTTTGTAGCTCGACTGCTTGCTAATTTGTTGGCACCTCTTTGGTCTGCTCCTCTGCGATCCCGACGCTGGTTGCCCATCCATCCCAATTCCAGCGCGCATCCATGAGAAAATCGGGCACACGACACTGGCCTCACCGCATCACTCCCGCCAGCATCGCCGGTGCTGGTTGTGTTATGCTCTGAAGCACAGCGCCCAAGATCTGCGCAAGTCGCCGACAGCATGGCCAGCTCCGAGAAAGACATCGGAGGTGCAGATGCCCCCGGAAACACCAGCGAGGCACGCAGCGTCTCACGGCACGGTCCAGGTGCGCCGGGTTACACAGAGCCTGCGCCACCGGCCTTCAAAGAAGGCGGCTATGGCTGGTGCGTTGTCGCCGCTGTCTTTGTGATCAACATGCACACCTGGGGTCTCAATTCGGTACGTACCTCCCCCTCTAAGACAACCGTGTGACCTTTCAGTACACTATTGTATACTTTCTATGCGGCGTGTGGGTGTTGTGGAATAGACTCGACTGATAATTAGAATGCAACCCAATTCCAGAGCTTTGCTGTTTTTCTGGCCTATTACCTCCGAAACAATTTCTTCCCTGGCGTGACAGCGCTTCAATATGCCTTCGTCGGTGGTCTCTCCATTTCCATCAGTGAGCTCGTCAAAACTGCGGTCCCTCCTCTTATTGATTGCATGCTGACAATCGGCCCAGGCATGCTTTGCTCCCCACTGGCGACAATGCTGATCCGGTGGGAGCGCTGTGGCACAAGCATGACCATCTTCATCGGCGTCATCTTCGAGTCGTGAGTCGCACCGAGAAAGGCTGTGTGTGTTTGAAACATCTGGCATCGCCGGCTAATGCTTGGTCAGAATCGGGTTCCTCGGCGCTTCCTTCGCCACAGAGCTGTGGCACCTGCTTCTCAGCCAGGGCATATCTTTCGGCGTCGGCATGGGTCTCTGCTTTGTGGCTTCTGCGCCTGTGCCTGCGCAGTGTGAGTATATTACTGGAGGCCATGTCTCTCGACAGGCATATTTGGAAAGGCCATGGACGAGACTGACACCGTGGCAGGGTTTGAGAAGAGGCGCTCTCTCGCGAGCAGCATCGCCGCGGCAGGGTCGGGCTTTGGCGGCCTGTGCTACTCGATCGCCACCAGTGCCATGATACAGTCGATCGGACTTGCTTGGACCTTCCGCATCCTCGCCATCATATGCCTTGTGGTCAACACAGTCGCTGCGTTTGTCGTCAAGGACAGAAACGCTGCCACGGGCTCCGTACACGTTCTGTTCAACTCTGCTCTGCTTCGTAGGCCCGAATTCCTCCTCTACGAGTGTTGGCTCATCTTGTCCATGCTCGCCTACGTCGCGCTGGTCTTTTCACTCGTAGACTACTGCCAATCAATCGGGCTGTCGGCTGCTAATGCGTCATTGGTCGGTGCGCTGTTCAACCGTACGTTCGCACCTCAACAATCTTGTTCTAAATTCGATCTCGCTGATGCCAATTACTAACGTGCTATCTTGACATGACCAGTCGGTCAAGGCCTTGGCCGACCCATTATTGGAGTGGCCAGCGACCACTATGGTCGGCTCAATGTCGCGCAGATATCAACGGCGCTCTCTGGAGTGCTGTGCCTGGTTTTCTGGCTGCCAGGGACAAGGACGCTTGCGGCATGCATCGTGTTCGCCCTCCTATGTGGCCCCGTGGCTGGTGTCATGTGGGCATCATGCACGCCTGTATGCGCCGAGGTTGTCGGTATCTCACTCACTCCTTCAGGTGCGTCCCCTGACATTAAACACCGGGCCGTCCATTGCGCCTGTCCTGTCCATGTTGTGGCATGGCATGGATGGTTCCAAGCCAATTCTCAGGTGTTGCTTTGACTGCCAGGCAAGGTCCAGAAACTGATATTTGGCAAACAGCATTGTCCATGAGCTGGCTCGCCTTGGTCCTGCCTGCCATGTTCTCCGAGGCCATAGCTCTGGAACTGAAAAGACCGGGTTCTTGGGGATACACCAACATTCAAGTGTTTATCGGCTGCATGTATTTAGGAAGTTCTGCGTTCGGTAAGTCCCAATGTTGCTCCCAGGTCTTCCAGCGATTTTTGTTTTGAATGACTCCTGATTTGATCTTCATCCAGGTTGGGCGCTCCGGGCTTGGAAGTTGCAGGAGATTGAGCACGCAAGACTTGCCAAGGATGAGCGCGAGATGGCTATCCGTAACGACGCAGTCCTCGATCGCGATGAACATCACCATGCCGATTTAGACACGAAATCGAGATTCATATCGATGAGGGGATTGTGGGCGTTTGCCAAGGTGTAGAGCTCGGGATCAAGGCTTTGGTTGGTGCCCTCCAGTGAACACAGTCTGCATCCTAACACGTAGGCCATGGCCACTTGCGAGAGCTCGTGCCATTGAACCCTGGATCTTTTGGTGTCAAAATGAGCTTCAAATACCATTCATATCATAGGAAAAAATTGGCTTGTCTGACTTGTCATAACCCATCCTTTTCTGGTACTGTCGCCAAAGCGTACTCTTCTGTCCCATCAATGCGACCGCCTCTGCGCTGACGGTTGGCAATATCCCGACGACCCTTTCTCAGCTCGCACTTGACAAAGAACTGACAGAGAAAGTAATTATTCTCTGCCCTGCACGGGGCCCCGGTTTATTCAACTATGTCCCCGATCGGTAGATCTAGCTGGCACGGGGTACTCCATCGACGCCACCAGCGAGGGAACTTCAAAAACAATGGATGATGATCCTGCAACTCTCGCTTGTCCTTTGATGCAATGCCGCTCGTGAAATACTGGTCGTATCAGGTGGTCGTCGATGGCCGCATGGCTACGATTTACGCGAGCATTTGACATCAGCGACTGCTGCCAGTCCCTGCGCCTTCTGAACGCCAGAGTTCGCTCCGAGGCTGCCAAGGTCCCTCGAGCTCGTCTCTTACTTTTGCGCCGCCAGCTCGATGACTTTCGCAGCGGCCTCGTCAAAGTCATCAAATGCGAACAGCGGAAGCCCGCTCTCTTTGATGATCTTCTGGCCCTCCTTTTCGTTGGTTCCTCTAATGCGCACCACCACAGGTACCGACATCTGCAGGTCCTTGAAAGCCAGAACGACGCCTTCTGCGATCATATCACCGCGTGTCAGACCACCAAAGATGTTGACAAAGATGGACTATCACTTTTGTGTCAGCGGCCAGGCCCCAGCACTCACTTGCCTCATAGCAGCCGGCGCCGGCTTTTGAGGTGGTGTGAGCAAACAAACTCACCTTAACCCGTTGGTCTTGGAGGATCATCTCAAAACTCCTCTTGACTGTTTCACTTGTAGCCTTGCCGCCCGTGTCCAGGAAGTTCGCGGCCTTGCCACCAGCATCAGCAAGCGCGTCGACGGTGTTCATGGCCAGCCCTGCGCCATTCACCAAGGTTCCGATCGTGCCGTCTTCCAGCTTGATGTAGACTATGCCGTCTCTCTCAGCTTCGAGCTCCACAGGGTCCGCCGAGTCCGTGTTTCGCAGACTCTGGATATCCCCTTGCCGCTTGCAGCTCCGGAATGCCGCATCGTCGAAGCCAAGCTTCGCAGAAACAATTTCCACCCTCGAATCCCCCGAACCGTCGCGGTTCTCTACAACGCGCGTCTCCACCAAGTAGGCTTCCTTCTCTGTGAAAAGGCTCACTAACTCATCAACCGTTCTCCTTAGTGATGCAACTGAGTCCTTACTGAATCCAAGCTCGCGAGCGACATCGTCCATAGAGATACTACTCGTCCCTTGACGGTAGTCAAAATCAAATTTCGCAGCCTCGGTGGGTTGCTTGTGATCCGCAATGACAAAGACACTTGGGCTACTGGTAGATCGGTTGATGGTGATTGCCAATGTCCGCGGTGCGTCGGCATTTGCGGACGAGAAGTTCGTCGCGACGTTTCTTCCCTTCAGCAGGTTCAGGGCGGTTTGAGGCGCGAGTATGATGCTTCGTTGCTGCTGTCGAATTGGATGCACAGGTGGCGAGAACAACTTCGTTCTACAATCAGCTGTTCGGGAGCTTGGGCAAGATCTGCCCAAGGTGTGCAGACCCCGAGTTTGTTGCTGATTGGCGGCGCCACCGCCATGAGGACCTGTTTTGTTGTCGACACCATGAACAGACGAGACCAGCCTTCCGGCGAGTAAATTACTGATAACGGGCCCGAATCTTGAGGGGTGGTTGACGATAGCGACTCCGGCGTTCTCCAAGGCCTTGACTTTGTCGAGCGCCGATGGCTCCCCAGGAAGTAAAAAAGCTCCGGCATGACCCATGATGCGGTCAGGCGGTGCTGTGAGACCGCCGATGATTGCTACAATGGGTCTTGCGCGTTACCGTTAGCAGGATATTCTCGGCAGGGGGCTTCAACTTGCTCGCCACTCACTTTGGATTGTCGGTTCTTTCACGGTACAGTCGGATCCAATCCGCAGCCTCAAGCTCCGCATGGCCACCGATTTCACCTACAAGCGCAATAGCTTCCGTGTCCGGGTCATCTGCCAAAACTTTGAGGCCATCGACAATGGTCGTGCCTGGCAGAATGTCTCCGCCAACTCCTATACACATGCTCTGACCCAAACCGCTGCGAAGGGTTGAGGCAGCCGCTTGGGATATATTAGCTCGTTGCTCGGCGCTTTTGTGGCATTAGACAATACTCACTTTCATAGCTTAGCGTACCCGACCGGGCCACTATACCGACACGGCCAGGCGAGAAGCATGACAACGGCTGAAAGCCAATCCTGCATTTCCCGACCGAGGAGATGATACCTGGTGAGTTTGCTCCAACAAGCCGCGAGGCAGTCTGCGTCTTCAATATGGAATGTATCTATAGTCAATCAAGCCAAATGCGTCAGTGGCATTACACCCAGTATAATCCAGATCAAATCTGTCCTTGGGGCAAGTAATGGTTTATGCCACTGGGCCAAAACGCTTCGTTCGGACGTACTCGGAGGATATCGTGGAGCGGTATGTGTTCGGCGACAGCAACAATCAACGGTACTTCTGCATCAATCGCTTCCTCTATCGCAGCAGCGGCCTGGTGAGCAGCAACATAGATACCGGTGGCATCCGGTTTGAGGGTCTCGACCGCCTGTCCTCTACCACGGCATGGTCAGCATTCACACGACACCACCGTAGCCACGGCTTGTGAGGGAGCGAGGCGTCTGTATTGTCTTGACCTTTTTGACAGACGGGAGTACAGGCAGTCCAAGATGTTCACCTCCGCCTCCAGGCTTCACACCTCCGACAATGTTAGTCCCCCAGGCAAGGGACTCACGAGCATTGGCCGTGGCCTGCCGTCCTAAACGCAAGGGCTTGGATCAGTACTATTTCACTTTTCTGGCACATCATGGAAAACATGGCAAGCCATACCAGTAAAGCCCTGGAAGATGACACGAGTGTGCTTTCCAATCGTGAGATTGGAGAGAGTGCCGCTACTCTCATTTTGACGTGGGCCAAGACAGCTGAATGTGCGGATATTGAGAGAGGCTAGGCCGGCGCCGAGCCTCGGTACGCAAGCCGGAAAGGCTGGAGCACGAACCAATTGCGACATTCGTGCTCAACTCCTCTCCATATATGGAATGTGCTTGATGCTCGATGACGGTCTATGCCTGTAATATTCCGGAAATAATGCAGGGGAAATGACTCCAAAAAGAGGCCAAGGACCAAGAGCCATCATTTAAATCGAGCTCTCAGATGACAGGTAGCTGGGCGGACGGCCTGCCCTCGGTCCGGGCCCTGGCGAGCCCACCACGGAAGCCCCCGCTCTTTGGACTCCGCATCCCCGCACGCTCCGCACCGCTTCCGTAATCTTGACAACGGCCTGTTGCCAGGCAAGCAGTTTGATGCATCGCATTTGTGGGTTCAGAAATGAACAGGTTTGACTTTCTTATTTGGATGAGTCTTACTTGCGTGATACTTGAGCTCCGCAGGTAACATGGCGCCATACGCCAGCGCCGAAGAACAATGTTCCGTCGTGCAGCTGCGATCTAGTGTACAACTAATTTACAAAGCAGACAAGCGAGTCTTCGCGGAACCCTGCAACGCCTAGCCGATGTCGGGCCACATTGTACGAGATTGAGCAGGCTGGCTGGCAGTTGATCGGCCATATGAACCCTGGGTGGGCCTTGACGGCCGTCCGTGGGTGGTTGGAGCCTGGAAAGACTTGGCTGCCCTAGGCGGCATTCATACGGCTGTGGATTGATTGCTGTGGACAAACGTCTCGTTGGACGAGCCATGTGCATAATTGTATAGCCTGACATGATGAGGCCGTATCTATCCAAGGTCACGAGGGTGCGATGATGCGCGCCACACATGAACTTGTCGGTATCAAGGGCTGTGAGCAGAACCTGGCCGCGCAACTCTTACCACATGAGCTCGCCCTTCTTGCCCTTCTCGGGTGGTTGGTTTTGTGGTGGGCTCAGAGGCTTCTTGGCCTCGTCCTGAAAACCGAGATTTTTGAACTCGTCTCGCGCCATGAGGTTTCTGTACCAAGTCCGCGCAGGTCAGTCTCGGGGACAGGTCGACGACACATTGAGATGGAGTTTGCCTGCTTACTTGTCCATGCGGCATGAGAGATATGCCTTTGCGATGTTGCGGCATTGGTCTTCGTTGACGCCTTTGACCTTTTTGATGCATGCTAGATATTGCTTCATGACATCCTTGCACTCGCCTGCCGCCCCAACGATATTGCACGCATGGGTCAGAAACAACACAAGAGGGACGGACTGCGGATCTGGGTGCCATGGCGGACAACAAAGAGCTCTTGGGGTGACATACCATCGTGATCAAGCGGGAAGCTGCCTCTCTCTGGCCTGGGACATATGGTATCGTATTAGTAGGGCTGCCACAATGTCCATGAGAAGTGGGCCATACGGGATGGGTTTGCCAGAGTAGGTGCTGCCTCCAGGACTGCCAAAGGTGCTCATGGTGCTGGCTAGGAGGGCGGTGCCAGGGTTGTATTGCAGTGAGCCCAGCCAAACAAGCGTTCCTTGGAAGCAGGAAGCCAAGCTGGATCGTCTCAAGGGTGATAGATTTCCCGAGTTCGACGCTGCTGCGGAAGAGAATACACTTTGAGGGCGTTGCAAGGTCGGAGGCGATTGATGCGGTCCCCACATCTCTCTGCTCGAGTTTGGCACAAGCTACCCGGGAAGAGGACCGCAATCCACCCCCCCCCCTGCTCGCCATGTGCCTCTCTGGTTGCTGTGCTGTTGCTGCAGGACGACGACATACGGTCGCAGCAAGGTGCGGACAGGTCTGACCGTGAGCATTGCGATGCGTGTTGTACGAGCCTTGGCAGCGCTTGCTGGGGCCGTCGATGCAACCACTCAAAAGTCGACGATCCAGCTGCAGGCCCCCTTCGCCCGTTCTGGAACTGGCACTCAACCCTGATTCTCCGTCGCATCAATCGCCAGTCACCTCGTTGTTCCTTTCTAGGTCTCACCCCAGCCGACAGGAGCAGCAACAGCCCGACTGCGAAACGCGGCTTTGATGCAAACAACTCCCAGCAGGATGCACCGCCGAACTGCAGCAGCCGCTGCCATTGCTGCTTGGGCTGCTGCGACGCCCGCCATGGCCACGGCGACAACACCGCCGCCTGCTCAGGCTCTCGCGGACCCGCAGCCAACTCTGGCATTCACCAACTTTGTCGAGTTTGCGCCGCTGCAAAGGGCCGTCAGCTGCCCAGGCGGCTACTTCAGCTGTGAGGATCGGGGCTCTGCTTTCCTGGGTGTTTGCTGCCGGAACGGCCAACTCTGCGCGCTCGACGGCAACAACCAGGCTGCATGCTGTCCACAGGGGTAAGTGACGCGACCTCCTCGAGCGTCGAAAAGGCGACTGACTAGAACTGTCGCGGCAGCAATGTATGTACGGGCGTAGCACCGTCAGGCACTGGGGCACCCGCGGTGTCGTACGTGCCTAATACGTATTTCCCGTTCCCCTATGTCGCCACCTCGTTTTCCAACTCTGGAGCCTGCTCGGCAGCAGTCAGCCAGTGTAATGCCAACTACCAGGCTTGCACTGCTGATCTGGCGGGTGCCAACAATGGGTACGGTGTTACCATCGTTGTCCCCGGCGGAGGCGGCACAACTGTTGCGCCAACGCGGCCGGCTGTCGCCCTGCCCACCGCCACGTCGGTGTGCCAGAGCCTCTCTCGCGAGGCGTGCCATGGCCTTCAGGGCTCCCAATGCACGCAGACAGGCACGAACAACGGCTTCATCATTGGCACAGGCAATGCAGCGCGGCCAACAGCAGCGTGCATGGCTGGCGTGCTTGCCGGTGTTGGCTTTGGCTTAGTCGGCGCTCAACTATGAGAGCTCTCGAGCAGCTCAGTCATTTGGAGGTCTCGTCGATGGACTGCGCAAGAGGCGGCATAAGGTCAGCCAGCCTCCAGAATTGGGGAGGAGGCGAAGAGGGAGGAACGCTGTAATGACCGACATGATTGAAGACTACGACCACCCACTGCACAATTGTTACGAATTTAGCTGTACATATATAGAAACAAGACACAGAAGCATTAATTACCGTGCAGGCGCACCCTGAGCAGATTTTGAATTACTGAGAAACATGACCAAGCCCAGATGGCATGGCCGTCACTCCACTCCAGGGGTAGCTTGTTACCAGGCATTCACTCAGCCGATCTTCTGGGCTGCCCCACTTATGCACATTGACATCGACTGCCTCTCCAGTGACGCTCCTTCAGCTTCACACCAGTCTCTCGATCTTGGTTGATCCAAGGCTCGATCAATCTTCGCCCGTGTGTCTCTTGGGAACAGACATCTGGTCGCCTCACCACAACAGCTCATAGCCGATCGATGGATGCACCCTCTTGTGAATCCCTGAGTCATCATTGAGGCTGGTAAATAGTAGAGTTTCGTGTACGGTGTCCCCAGCCACACCGGCACTCTTGCTGTCAAGGTAGCGACCCCAGGAGGCTGCAGTACTCGCGCCGACGGGCTATACAGCATGGCAGCTGCGGTCCTGCCCGACTCGTCCAACTTTCTAGGGATTGCCCTCGTGGTCAATCGCTCACGGGACGGACCCCGTTTCGTATTCCACTATCCACCTGACATCACGCCCTCGCGAGACAGATCGCATGGTGCTGCCAAATCAGCTGCCATTGCCGGGTCGGCGATCGCGGCCGACGAGCTGGACGACGAGGATGACGTGCTCCTCGAACACTTCACGCGCCCAGCCAGTGGCACAGTTCCCGGAGCAGTGCCAGGCAGCGAGCGCATGGGTGCGACCAGCAGCTCTTCTGCTGTGCCCTGGGAACATGTCGCCGGCTACCCTACAAAGGACCTGGAGAGCCTGTTGACGCCGTCGCGCGCGTTTCACAAGAAGCTCTTCCAAGTCTCACTGGAACGGCTCTACTTTGTCTCATATCCTGTCTACGTGCCCGAGAGCGGCATCTGGAAGTCCAAGAAGCGGAGAAGGAGGAAGGCTACACGGTCCCAGACTCAAGCATCCCATTTCACCGATAACGGCACGCATCCCCGGGAACAAAGCCCACGACCGCTTGACAAGGCTACGACTTGGGAATCGCAGCATCTCAGTGCCGCAGAAGGATCGCAGGATGAAGCTGACAGGGCGACGGATGCCGTCCTTTCCGACAACGAAGGGCTGGATAAGGAGGAAAAGAAGAGCGGAATGACCATGTTCAACGTCGTCTTCATTCTGAACCCGAAGAAGCATGAGGCTGGTGAGCTTATCGACACCTTGTACTCGCACATTATCAAGAAGATCAACAAAGCATACAAGTACAGCCAGGAGAAAAGTGATTTCATGTGGAAAGAGTCCAAGGGGATCCTTGCGCTCAAGGATAAAGGCCGTGAGAGGAGTAAGTCGGCTCAGTCACTGGTCCCCCCCGCCACTCAAAGCAAGACTAGCTGACGACGTACCTGCAGAAACGAAAGTCGAGGTTCTCTGGAAAGAAATCCTCCAAACTTCATCGCTCGCAGCGTCCATTCAAGACGTGTACGAGGCCATATCGCACAACCGAATCGCGGCACTCCAGTTGGAGACTGCCGAAGGACCAGTCACACACTCGGTACAGATTCCGGTCCCATTTTACGTGACGGACTTGCCTTCGGAAGACCATGTGCGTCCGCAGGGGCTGTGGATCACCACCGCAAATAGCTTCGTCGAGGATAGCCTAGACGATCCAGGCTTCTTGGACAGAAATTTTGCACTGCTCCTCATCAGCGACGAGAAAAAAGTAATAGCAGAGTTACAAGCGGACTCGGATGAGACAACTGCAGCGATGGTTGAGTTTGTTCGGCTCACGAAGCCCACAATGTCGTAAGTGCTGCCAAGCTCCTTTGTGACTGACCGGGACTGACTTCATGTCCCAATACTCAGCATACATCAGATTGGACATGGAAATACGCTTTCGCCAGCCCAGGTGCGCAAGTACGCGCAGCACTTCATATTCTGGCGCCGGGCGATCGCCATTCCCCCTCTTCACGCCCGTGATGTCTATATCATGTCACCCAATAGCAACGCGAGCGCTTTACCTCAGGCGTCTCGAGCATGGACACGGGCATTCCCACTGGCGCCACCGTTGCCGAACTTCCTGGCAGACCTATCTGTTGCACCTCGCTCCTACAAGTCATTCGCACCCAGCAAGAGCCACCGGCCAACGTATCTGCAAATGCTGGCTTGGCTCATGCGTGGCGGGTGGGTCACGCAGCTCTGCACTTTTGCCTATGTTGTCGTTTGGCCTGAGATTCTGTACGAGGTCGAATACCAACTCGAAGCCGACGAGCTCAAAGCAGTTGCCGCGCAAAGTGCGCAAATGTCACCAGCATCGCCCTCGGGAAGGAAGGGGTCAAGTCCTAGTGGTGGTAATATGGCCGCTACGAACTCTCTGGACGACCTGGTCTCTCCGACTGGATCTGTATCGGATACTTCCGAGTACATGCAGTACCCTCAGAACCTGCAGCACCAGCGGCATATGTCTACATCATCGGTAGACTCGGTGTCCATGGAGGCCTCACAGATCTCTACAGTCAGCGCCAGCAGCGAGAGAACTGCATTCGCATCACCGACATCAGCTACCGGTCCATCAATGCCCGATTCTTCCATGAGGCAATCTACCACCCTGATGATGACGACGACGACGACGACAGGCGAGCTGGCCGCCGAGAAAGCCCGACTCTCACGCATCGCGGAGAAGAGCCAGCGCGAAGCAGCCGAAAAGGCCGCTGCGCACGCTCGGAAGCCTGTGCCGACAGGAACCCCGGCGCCGTCCAAGAACTCGGCGTCACATCTCTCCCATTTGCAGCCATACATCATTGTTGACGCGAAAAAGGCCACTGGCCACGACTCCCTGTATCTGTCTGCCATTGGGCGGCGGTTCAAAGATCCGAAAGTCCAGAGAGCATGGCCCGTGTTCTGGAAATACTTTAATGGTCGCACGGCACTGGAGCGCATAGCTCTGCAAGAGGACAATATGAAGAGGAAGGAAGCCTGGGCACTCTTAACCGCAATGAGCGAGCACCTGGTCACCGTGAGGCATTGGTAGGCACTGTCTACGGTATGGCTCATTCAATCTTAGAATGTGGCTTGGCACACACCTGCCACTAGGGATAGAACCTGTACCGTCTCAGATTGTGGGATAAGAAGAGCTTGATAATGTCAGATACATGTGATTATGATGCCGTGGCTTTGAGATCGGCTACAAAGAGTAAGGATAATGATGTGCTATGAACCGTGTAAACGCTGCCCACCTTTCGAGGGGGGGAAAAACCGAAAAAACCAGCCTATCCGGCAGAGCGCCGTTGACATGATGAACCAGGGTTTGAGTCCCGGGGTACAGCTGTGTGCCAAATGCCAGAAATTCATGTGTGAAACAAAACGCGGTGACCGAGTTCGGGAGTTTCAACTCCACGAGATGCAGGTCAGGTATCATTGAAACAGTGAAAGACTAAAATGACTGATGATGCAGAGAGGACAGAAAATACCCTGGCGCATGACCTAGTGAGAGAAACAGCAGAGTCGACTGTTGAGCGACTGCGATCCAGTTACCAGCAGCGCTCCCAAAAAGAACCTCCTTGTGTGAAACCGACGCCAGAGAGAGCATGAAATGCTATTGGAAAGGTGGAAATGCAACTGGGAGAGTAAAGCGATCAGACAGGGCAACGCCCGCGAGACGAAGCGAGACGAAGCGAGAGAATGGCGCGAGACAATTTGCGACGACGATGGGTAGGGTATGATCGATTCCTGCCTTAGGCTCGCCAGCTGCGTGACAGTAGCGAGAGATTGGGAACAGTGGTGCCTCAAGCCATGTCCATGTCGTTGCTGAGGTTGTACTCATCTTCCTCCTTGAAGACGTTGTTGTTGTCGTCATTCCACATCAAATTGTCATGGACGAGATCGGATCCAACGTCGTAAGCGTCATTGTCATCGGGGCTGACAGATATACCCTCAATGCCATTCGTGACAGCCGTAAGCGGGTCTCCACGATAATCTGTGTGGTCAGGAACGCGCAGCCCACTGCCCTGACGACGAGAATATGAGAATGAGTGTACGTCATTCTTGGCCATGGTCTCCATGAGCTCGGTTTGCATGCGTTTCTCGTCCTCGGTGAACTCGAACGGTACATTACCACCCAGGTCGATGATCATCTCGATGAGCTCTTGCTGCTGTTGAAGCTTGAGGTTCAGCATCCACATGAGATCGCGTGTCCAGCTGACAGAACCATTAAGGATGTCGCCTTTGTTTGGGCCTTTGTCCTTATCTTCGAGAGGCAAGCCAGTCGTGATGTTGCCGACACCAGTCGCCCGCTTGGCACCAGGAGCCGCAAGGCCAGATGTTGCCGGTCCAGAGTTCACTGCAGTGAGGCTTGGGGAGAGAGGTGTGCCGTTCTGGATAAGCTTGCGAATCTTGTCGTCTTCAAGGCGATGTGTTGGGACCAATTTACTGAGATCCTGGATTCGTTCGTTGATGTTGTCCCTCCGACGGCGCTCGACAAGGTTGTGAGACTCCCGCCGCCGCTTCCTCTTCATCTCCTGCGTAGAGACGCCCGCCTGGCCGCCATTGGCGCCAAGCTTTGCAGGCATAGAAGTGCCACCCTTGAGCAAAACATCGGTGATTTGTGTGTTTTGCATAGCATGCTGCATGGGTGACGAGAAACCGGAGCCCGGGAAAGAACCAAGGCTGTTGGGCGTAGGCATCCACTGATTGGATGGGGACTTCTCATGGTGGCCATTGGCAGTCCGGATAGGCTGTGCACCAAATGCCTGCCCGTCCATGGTGGGCATGGCCGAGGCCGCTTTTGGAGTAAGAGGGCTCCTCTGGTTGCTGGGTTTGCGCTGCATGCTCTGAGAGAGTCTAGCTCGAGACTTGGCATTGAGGTAATTTGAATCTCCGTTGTCGTTGTTGGGGTCAGAGCCCGTGAGCGGAGAGCCGGAATACGAGACGGGAGACTGAAGGGAGGAGCCGAAGTTCTGCATCTGCCTGAATTGTGGACCGCCAAAGCTGTGAACAAATGGACTCTGAATCGGGTCGCCGTCTGGTGTATTCGAGTAACCGTTGATGTGGTTCTGATCAATCTGCAGACTACCAGAATTGTGATGTGAGGCATAAACGCCTGACGAATAACCCATGTTCATTTCGTTGACATTCCCCATCTCGTGATTCTGGTTGTGGCCATGGTTGTTGTACATGCCATCCGTGGGGCTACCCAGGCTATCAAGGAGATCGTCTTCTGTGAAGATGTTGTTTGAGGAGCTGTTGCCTGAGAAGTTGTTCGAATAGGACGAGCCATAGCCGCCGCCCATGAGGTCGTTGGGGTTAATGCTACCGCCAGCATTGTGGCTCCCACCAAAGTGGTTGAAGCCAGCCTGAGCCATCGTGGCGTTCGTGGTTGCGCTCGAGCACGCGATTCTTTTCTGGAAATGTGCTGACAAGCAAGTAGCAACGCCGTGGCGATGGGAAGGCCACGGACTGGAATCGTGGTGGATGATACTGCTTGCACTTAAGCGCGATCTGGAGGGCGAGGAGCCGGTCAGTTGAGGGGTTGCTCAGAAGAAAGACGAGGACCTCCGTGGCCCCGCTCTGAAAGGAGACGCAGGGTATTTCTGCTGTGACGGGATCCGGGAGTGTGGGGGGGCGGGCGAGTGTTTCCCAAAGACGATGCGCACAGGCAGGGGGTTGGGGGGGCCAGTTGCGATCTGCGACACCGGCTTTAGGGCAACAAGCGGTAAATGAGTCAAGGCCCAAGGGACGTTGCGCAGACGAGGAAAGCTGGAACCAACCTTGATTCGCAGGGCGACGCGATGGCAATGTGCGAAATAGGGGACGAGAGAACTGTGCTATCTGGAGAGCGAAGGGCAACGTCAGAATGGAATCATGGAGGGAGCGGAAGGGCCATGTGTCACGACTGGGCCGAGGCGATTGCGGGCGACCGCCTCTGGCTAGCTAAGGTGGCCGAGCCAGAGAGGGCGGAGGAGCCCAGCGTGTGGCGCCAGATGGTTGGCAGTGGCCTCACTTACACACGGGACACCCGGATGCTCAGATGGCTCAGCGTCGGAGAGTTGCAGAGGCTGGGGAGGATGCGCTCGCGATACCGTTGGGAATGATTGAATAGTGGAGAGAATTGGATGGTTCGATGCGTTTGGAGCAATGGGTGTTTGCTGCACAGGTGATGGTTGCTGCGCTGCGAAGAGACGGTGAGACAGGCAGAGAGAGGCGTGCGAGGCTGTCCGTCCTGGTTCAGGCGCTGTGAGTGAGCCCACAGTCCTGGCGGAGGACTCGGGAGGGGCAAGGCGCAGGCGGCGGAGTCAGTGGTGAATGAGGATAGCGTGGCGCGCTAGCTGCTTGCGGCAGTGCTCTATAATTGGCTGCAAAACCAGGGCCGACAGCTCGGTGTTAGCGGCTGTGCGTCATGGAGAACAAGAAGCAAGGAGGGCTGAGGAGAGAGCAAGAGCAAGAGCGCGATCACGATGTGCCATCGACACCGGACGGGAGACAGGGCGAGGGAGACGGGGCTATCCTGTCGAGCAAAGGGAGCAAGCAGAGCGGAGACGAAATCCTGGCTTACCTGGGTGAGCCAGTTGCGGCGGGAGGCGCGTCGAGGAGCAGCGGTGAGGTTCCGACTAGTGGTGGGGGGCTAGTGATGCAGGGAATGTCAGTTCCCAGCTGCACGATGCCACATGGGGAAACGGCGTGGAACACGAAGAGATGGAGTGAACGCACCAACTCCAGTCCTGGGCTGCCTGGCGGTCGTGGGCTCGGAGACGACTTGATGGCGTAAAAGGCGGCCTGCTGGCAAAGTCGACTGGTTGCTCGTGAGGATGGATGTGGCTGGCACTAGACAGGGACGCGGGCGGTCAGGTCAGTCATCTTGTCGGCTGCTCGGGGGCGTCCGCTCGTGAGGAATTCCATGATGGGCGACATGCAGCCGTATGAGGTGAGACCCCGGCTGGGAGGAATGGATGCTGACTCTGACCCGACTCAGAGGGGTGATTGTGCTGATGACGGCACCGCGGCCACCCCACTAGGGGTCCAGCGTCGCGGTGAGGGCGGGCAAGTAAGCAAGCACTGTCGATCCCAGCCCGCAGGGTCCCGGTCTGGCATGCTTCCCTCTTTGGCACCGAGCTCTCGTGATTTGGCAACCACGATTAGAGAGAGCGGCTCGTGTTGTCGTGCTGCCCTCAGCTTGGATCTTCTCACGACCCGGGAGTTCTCTGCCAATGTTCGTCTGCGGGGAATGCTGCCGTGCAGCATTGCGCTTCTATCCAGCGGGCCGCTGTGTCTGGTCCTCTTCGGCCGCTGGGACGAGAGGTTGGCGGAGGTGATGTTGGTCTCTCTTTGACGGGTCCGACATCGTCCAGCCAACTGGTGCAGTTGCTGTGTTCATGGTGAAGCCAAAGTGTCAGGCGCTCGGGTGCCGGACCTTTCTGAGCCAGAATTTGGACATTCTGGTGCCGCGTCTTGAAGTCGATGTGCTTTCCTTTTCGCACAAGCCAAGCTCTCCAGCCCCCTGCAGACGCTTCCGACTTTGTTCATCCGTGCATGGCCGTATTCCTCGGTAGTGAAGCTGCAAGCCGGATAGCCTCCGCCACTCCGGAGGAGGCGACAGGTTCGCAGACATCCGTCGATATGCCGGGAAGTTCTGACAGGAAAAAAATACGCGACCAGAGAAAAATGGCGACTTACAGGAATTGTGTATGAGCTTCGCGGTGCATATCAGCTTTGGAGGTCCCGATCAGCAGTGTGGATTTGTTGTAGGATCTGGCAGAGACCTGGAAGTGGCTGACAATAAGGTACACTGCATTCACCAGGCGCCGGCGCGTGCTCGCCAGGACCTGGGCCCCCGACTTATATAACATCTACCAAGATCCACAAAGCCGACGCGTCCGTGAGTCCTGGATCCGCACATGTCGTCAGAGGCACCATCGCCAACACGTCTTCTGACTTATCTCGCGAGTCCAGCATGTAGGCACTAGGCGACATGGTGGTGTGCACGCACGCCCCGATTACAGATAAGAACCCTCGTACTCAAGGCACTGGTGGCTGGCTAGTTGCAGGTGTGCCTTGGAAGCAATGTCAAGCTCGCTCATTCTCTCCCCCGTCAGGATGGAGGGCAGGAAGTGAACCCGTGACACCTTGGGCATTCAGTCAGCCAACCCACCCTGGATGTCCATGCTAAGACAAACATCCCAACCCGCAACCCTCACGCTCCAGAACGGGCACGCCCACAGATCGCCACCCAAATCATGGCGTTCCGACCTGGTCTCCCTGGCTGCCCTCATCTTCCGTCTGCGCCCGAGAGCCCAGTCAGGACCCGCCCACCTGCTCCAGAATAGGTTTGGCAGGCGAGCTAGCAAGGGTTAGACCATGGAATTGTCTGCCCTGCCGGCATGGCATTCTTGTTTTTGTCCATCGGCCACCTTGTCCACGGAGGTTTTGCTCAGAGTCATGTCCAGAGCCAGCCTCATCTGACCCTGCCCCCAACAGGCAGCCCTGTCTCCTGAGTTCTGACTCGAGGCAGCACAGCTGCTGCCAGCTCTGTGCAGACGTAACGCACAAGTGGAAGAAAGAGTAAGGCTACGAACGACCCGCGGATACCAAGATAACCATGGTACTCCTCTCGGGCGCGGAACCATATGGTTTTAATGGGCCAAAATACAAGACGAGGCGTTGTCCTGTGCCATGTGAACCAGGCAAACGGGATCGCCCAGTGGGGAGGCTTGTCTGCGCACCCCCGGCTGCTGTTCTGTGCGCTGTAGCGTTATCTAGACTCTATCTCTACTATCCTTGACAAGGGCAAGTGGTCTCTTGGACTCCGGCCTTTGAGCTTCGCGGTAAACAGCCCAGCAGCCGCTCGTCCTCCCTTGGAGTTGACGACGCTGGCACCGTAGGTTTTTGCACCTGCATAAAGACGGCGGCAAAAGCGCCTATCAGGAAGATGCGGGAGTCCTGCAGCTGTGCCCTGCAGCTGTCTACTTCGAACGTGCTAATGGACCCTGATCACCATCGCCGATTCGCGCGATGCTCTCTGATGGGGGTCGGCAAGGTTGTCTCTGGCGAAAGTGGCATGCAGGCGAGATGCATCGGATCTGCGGTTGGGGGTTCGCGAGCCTCCTCCTCACCCACGGGTGCCTCCCCCCCTTGTCTGCCGACGCGCAGCGATCGACATGAATCACGGCAGTCAGTGTCCGTCTCCAACAGTGGCACTCCACCTTGAGTACGCTACCCATGCTGGTGACCTCCCATGGCCATCTCCAACTGCTGTACACAATACCGATGTTGGGCTCAGTTGCGACAGCTTTATCTTCTTGTCACTTTTGAATACACAAACTTGAGCTGATGCCCAACGCTCCTGCTCCAGGAAACCCACTCTTTGCTCCGCCGACAGCCTTGGTAAAGCGTGCCCCCCTACTTCGGCAAACAAGACTTGCTGCCGTGTGGCTGCAGAGGCGATCTCTCTCGGCTTCGCACCATGCCCATGCAGTATGGAGGGTTGCAACGGCGATAGACCATACATTTAGCCATATGCCGGCACTCCCCTGGCCAGCTTCCGTTCGCTGCATAAGCGGATTCCGGTATGTCCGCCAGTACGGGGTCGATACTCTGGGCAACATCATGACTCCCGGGTGACAACCTACGACACACCTTCACACGGTAGCGGGTGGGAACCACCATGGCCAAGACCTGGCAGCGTTGCGCCTGAACGTCCCGAGGCCATTCCCAACGGGGTAGCATCCAGAGTGCGCACCAATCACAGGCTACTGACCTGTGCATGATGCGTCTGTGGGTTGTGTCGCTAGGCGTTTTTGGCCCATGCGTTCGAACAAGGTTGTGAGGATAGCGCCCGTTACGGGACGCCCCGTGATCACGGCTGCCGTTATCCTCAAGCTCCCGCCCTGTCACTCCATTGTTCTCGTTGGAGAGTGCCCCAGGTCCGTCCGCATTGTCCGCCATCTTGCGCTCGTACTCCTCTGTTTTCCCTCGGAATAGCTGAACTTTGTCCCCAGCAAATCAGGGCAGCAGACGGGGTAGTACACACATCCGCTGATAATGTACATGACTGGCTGGACACGAGACTGGACGAGATCACGCCCCCTTCTGCTCAGCCTCGCACCACCCATTTTGGCGGGGGGGAGCCTGCGGAAAGGGCATGGCCCTCTGCTCTATGCTGGTCATCTGCATGCCTAGCTCGGGAGCTGCAACAAGGATCAGATCCCATGCTCCGGGCATGAAGCGTGCGCAAAGATGTAGTGTTACTCGGCTTGATGTCGTCGGAATAGTCTCTGGCACTTTTGCACAAGAGCCGCCTCTGGAGCCATAGACGGCAAACCTTGAAGTACCTCAACGCTGGGCTTGTACTCACCGTAGCCGTTCCAGGATGGTCGGCATTTTGATGGTGATCATGTCCAGTACTAGCACGCAGAAGCAACCCCGAAACACCATTTGGAACGAGCTGTATTGCTATGTAGATTCGGATGGCTGAATCAGTCAGACCCCGTGGATCTTTATCGGCTGCTTCTCCCAACCCTGACGCTATGGCTAAGGAACGAGCATGGACAACCTCCAGGCTCACCATTATGGCGCACCAGACTTACTCGCGTTTCGTGGTGTCGTAAGAAGCGGATGACAGGACACCGCTCCCATCCACGGGAGCAAGACGACATTCGTAGGGACAGATTTATTGATGGAGGCCACGCCGCGCGTCCTTGCTCCAACCGTCTACATGTAGGCTCGAGTTTGCTCTGAATGGCTGTTGCCTGGTCTCTGCTTGACATAAAGCTGCGTCGGGCAGCCTGCCATCAGCACGTAAGCGGGCGCTCAGCCAACAAGGCGCACGTCCTGCAGACCTTGACAGAATCCGGGAAGAAGCTGACAAACTGGACATTTGGTGTGTCACAACTCGCCTTTCGCACGGTCCTCCGAGACGGGCTCTTACAGAAACACGGACAGCCTTGGGAAGCAGAGTTCGCTGGATCTTTGCTCTGTGCGGAACCTGAGGTGAGTTGCATTCCTTGATGCTGCAAGAGAACAAGGAGGCCTGCTGCCAGATGGAGGTGCGGGCGTGGCGCGTGGCCCACGCCACTACTTTCTGCTACGATTGGTCAGCTGAGCATCTACCTACTAGGCTCCACTCACACGACTGACGAGCAGCGACCGACCTCCGACGACACCTCCCTGGCCCGACCCTGATACTCACCACCGCTCAACGGCACGACGACACCAACTCTCCTCGCCCAGCCTTGGGAAGACTCGTCTTCAATCGACACCCCACCGAAAGAGCTTCATTGTCTGGGCACTCCGACCCTCCCGACTACCTTTCGCTGCTCGTCCGCTCGTACGCGGCTACCTATCTGCGCGCCCATCAACTTCTCCACCTTGACCACCACCACCCACCACCCTCACATCCGACACGAGTTTACTTCGAACCATTCCCCGGTGCGACGTTTGCTGCCTCGCACGCCGCGCGGACACACACCTCTATCTATCCCGCGAACCCCAAAGCCCAAGTTGCCGCACTTCTGCCTTGAGGACCAAGCGCGACACACTCCCTCTGTCCGCATAGCTGTGGCTAGCCTGCTCACGATCATGGCTTCCAACTCGTTTCGAGAGTCTATGAACTCCCTTGGGTGGTCGCGCCGAGATGCAGATATCCCCGTCAATACGTCACGGCAATCTGGGCTGCTTTCCTCGATCCAGTCGCTGAACCCCTTTGGTGGCGGCGGTTACGTTCGACTGCCGACGACTGAGGGTACTGGTGCACCTCTCCCGGCTCCCACTCGCCGCGAAGAAGAAGAAGGATGGTTTGCATGTAAGTCTCATCCCTTTTGCAGCCGAGAGCTACATGCACGCGTGTCATTTGTGTACATGTGTCTGCATCCGCGTGCTCGGTGTGGCTGACCATGAATCTCGATCGCGGTAACTAGTGAGCCGGTGGGACCGCATGCTCGTCTTTTTCGGCTGCAACTTGGGCGCTCTCGCCTGTTTTGTCCTGTGCTTTGCCTTATGGCCCATTCTCATGGCGAAGCCACGCAAGTTTGTCATACTGTAAGGCTGATTTCCGTTACTCCCGATATCTCCCTTTCAAAACGAGCCCCCAGGAAGTTTATCTGCCTTGACTGGCGACAGCCCCCTGGGGCCTTGCATCACCCGTATCATGCAGCCAGCGGCCCGTTTCGGATCAGATAGCCATGCATAGGGTATGCACGTGCGCATGGTAGCCTGACTTTGGCCTTGTTCGTCTACCACCCGATTGGGTCGGCTGACCTACATGCTCCCTGGCGCTTTGCTCACCCCTTGGCTGTTTCGATAGGGCGCTCAGCATCATGACCTGCCTTGAGTCTAGCTGGTAGTTTGCTAACTGTGACTCATGATATCAGATGGACTTTCGGCTCGCTTCTATTCTTGTCCTCTTTTGCTGCCATAATGGGCCCCATGGCATACGTCCAACACCTGCTCTCGGGCCCGAGACTTCCATTCTCTGCCGCTTATTTTGGATCACTGGTCATGTCCATCTACTTTTCCATTGGCGTAGGTCATGTCTGCAAAAACTCACGGACCGATAAAACGCCATCGTACTGACAATGCTGTACTCACAGCTGCAAAGCACCATCTTGACCTTGATCGCCGCCATCATACAGATAGCCTGCCTTATATGGTATCTCGTCAGTTATTTTCCAATGGGCTCGAGCAGCTTGAGAATGGCGACAACGTTCGGCGCGCGCAGAGCAGCCGCCTGGATGACTGGGTAAATGCAGACGAGCAAACACTGTTCGTGCCATGTAAACTTCTGTGTAATGTATCTCGAAGACATCGGTTGGGAGAAAACTAGCTGCTGCACTGTATGGTCTACTTCGCCGGGTGCGAACAGGCAACAGTCTCTGTTTCAGCATCACATTTCACATTTTCTGGAAGCTGTTATCTAGGGAACACTTCGATCACTGTATATCGGCATTTTTCTTTAGAGGCCAACCTCGCCACATGGCACATTCCACTGGTGTTTCCGTGCTCAAGCCTATTCCGGCCAGGTCTTAGTCCAGTATGTAAGGTAAAAGAGGGAAAGTTCAGGATCGTCTTGCCGAAGTCTTCATGAATACGCTCTCACACCACTGAGGGCAATCATGAAACACGTGCCACGATTACGCTCAAATGGCAGTTGGGATGAAGAGTCAGAATTACCCACGTTGAATATGAGGTACCGCCCCACCAACTTACGAGCTCTCCAAGATACACCAAGTATGTCTTCTTTTTCGTGCAGCTCCCGCAATTTTGGACACGTGCAGCTTGGTGGTACCGTAACACTCCTGACGGTATGGATATGACTGCGTGGTGGTCGCAGTATTGCCAGCTTCAATGACGCGCCGTGGCAGATACGTAGCGTGCTAGATGCCTCCAACGTCACTGTCGCACGATTGGAGCAAGCAGCCATGTCATGTACAGGGAAATTGATCACTTGGAAACGGGATCTAGGCGAAGAAGAGGCATACTTCAACGACAGTATTCATCTTTGGAGGGTGCACATATCCTTGAAACATGACGGCCAAGGACAAATCCTGGTGTTGCTGAGACGAAACCTGCTGATTGTTGACAGCCTGAGCCTCTACCATTGGGAGAGTTTTGCCTGGTGGTGCATGCTTGTCATGGCTGCCTCCGCTGGAGCCTGATCACCGCAGAGATCTTAGGCAGCACGTTCTCGGCCATAACGCGAGGGTGAGATGACGCAAGTTTATCGGGCACGGCAATGAGACAGGCAATGTGCTAAGCAGACTGCCATGTGCGGCTGGGCTGTCTTCGTGGCGAGACAGACAGTTGGCCATCCAGATGGCGTGCTGAAGTAAATCTACGCTGTTGTGGTGCTCGCACTTGCACGTGTGGTAGTAGGCCCGGGTGGGTTTACGGTCGGAGAGGTCGGCGGAGGAGCGCCCCTCTTATCACAAATCGAACCAGGCGGCTGCCCAAAATTTCCAATGGCAGAAAATTCTGGTTTCGCTCGCACAACAAAGTGCGACATTCTTTTATTCACTCGCTGCACCACGTCCACTCCTCTCCCCACGAGGAAAAGCAACCACGGCGACAACCCCTCGTGCTGGCATCTTCGACCACCTCGGCCGTCACATTTCTGAGCTCCGTCCGCGGGTAAGAGAGCACCAGCAGCTACGCAAGCGCTTGTGTGTGTGAGTGCGTGCACCTCTTACCTACAGTCCCCTCGTCTGTCTGTAGTGCAGCCTCCCGCCCACCCTTCTGCACCTCGCTTGCTGCTCCACGTCCAGCTGCCGGCTGCTCTTCGGCCATCCGCACCCAAACGTCGTCCCTCGGTTGTCTAGGTCCAGGTCGCCTCCGAAGTCCTCGTCCGACATTGTTGTGTCAGCCCCTTTCGCGCCTGTCGCGGGCAACACACACCTCGACCGTTCTGCGTTCTGTGCTCTCGCCGCGGCCCAGTGCCTTTCTCCGCTGTCGTGGACGCAAACAATTCCATAAGGACACAGCCGTACTAGGCAGCCTCGTCAGTCCGCTTGCCGTCTGACTGGGAGCTTACTGCTTTCCCACCATCATTACACAGACCTACGACACTTTCTCCACACGATCTCGACTCGCCTCTGCACCTGTGCACATTCTCAAATATCTACTACCACGTGTTGCGTCGGCACTGAAAATCCTCAGATCTCCGCGTCGATTCAGGTTCACGGCAACCGCGCAGAACATCAGGACACCGCTGTCCTCAACTTCAACTCAACCTGCAAGACATCGAGCCTAGTTGATTCGCGGCACGCAATTCTTTCACGAACCCATCAAATTGGTCGATTGTCCCGCTGGCACATCGCTACTGAGACGCTTGCCCCGGCGAAGGTCGACAGGCCCTGTCACGCTGCAAACAGAACCACTGTATTCTCGAAGAATTATCCACATCATGTCGAACCCAACGACATTCTCTTATGCCCAAGCGGCCAAGGGGAAATCTGCCACTCCCACCCCAACGATCCAAGGGAGCCCAGCGAATAGCCAAGTGGTGATCACAAGTAGCCAGGCGCGTGACAGCGCGACAGCTGGTGCCACCATCGAGACATCACAGCCTGCCACCTCGACGGCAAACGATCCGAGCTCGTCCGAGGCCAAGAATGCCACCGTACAAGCGACGCCCTCGGCGACTTCTGAGCAAAAGTCGGAGCCCAGTGGGTCTGTGATGAGTGATGAGATCAAGACAAGCGCGTCTCAGAGTGTGGACAAGATCGAGTCGGAGACAACAGAACAAACAGCGGAGCGACAGAGTAGAGCGAACGCCTCGGGCACGCGCTCGCAGGAAAGTAACGACAGCAGAAAGTCGAAGAAGGGCAAGAAGGGCAAAGCTGCCGACAAGGACTCGGAGGCCGATCAAGAGAAGAAGGATGAACCACAGCCTAAGATAGAGCTGTCTGAGGCTCCGATACCGTCTGTCAATATCTGGCAACAGAGACTTGGTGAGCAGGCCACCAAGAATAAGACTACAGCACCTCTCCGCCCTGCGAGCATTACAAATGTTCCGAATGAGAGCGGGTCGACCAGAACCAAAACTGCCACCAACGGCGAAGGCGAAGGCTCAGCAGGGAATGCGCGCCACGCGTCAAGCGGAAACAAAGCACACCGGAAAGGCGGCGACTCGTTACGAAGCAACGATGAGAGTGCTCCGAGGCGGGGAGCTCCTCGTGGGGCTAGAACGACCGATAGAGAAGAGAGATCGCCCTTGCCCGCCATCTCCAACGCAGCTTCATGGCCTACGCCCGAGACTGCCGCAAGCTCCGAAATCAAGACATCGACATCATCTGAGAAGGACGACAAGGAAGATGGTAGCGTAGGCAAGGGTGAGAAGAAGAAATGGATCGCAGTCCCCTTCGTTCCTACGGCCAAGTTCAATACGCCGATACCAGGCAGAGGAACTCCTCGCACTGGTGGCCGTGGGGGAAGTCGCGCGGGCCGTGACGGCCCGACAAGAGGTGCTGCAGGCAGCATTTCGTCTGGCACAAATGGTATGTTTTTGCTCACAGGAATTGCTCTCTTTGCCGCGCCACTGATAAGTGATTAGGGCGATCACATGAGACTGGCTTGGGCTCTCGCGCACCCAGCGAAACGATCAAAGCTCCCCAAACCGAGGCCTCGACGACCCATGAAGCTCGCAAGTCCAATGCTTCAGTTCCTGCCGAACCCGTCAAAGCATCGGGTGATGCTTTGATTCCCACACTCCCAGATGGTGTGAAGCCCACTCCGGGCGTCTCTGAGACCGCGGCTACAGATCGGATCAACGCATCACGCCCGGTTGACGGCCAGAAGTCTGCAGAGAACACCAAAGAGCACGCCCCTCACTCCCGCGAAGGTCACCAAGGATCGAATGGAGCAACGCACCGATCCAGTGACCGCCCACGGGGCGGCCGTGGCGGTCGCGGTGGGCACGGCACCAACGGCACCACGCATCAGAACCAGCCTTCTTATGGACATGGCAGCAACGGATACCCGTTCCACCCGAACTCTCGGCAGGCATCACAGCAGGGTGGCCCCAGCTATTCTCAGGTTCCCTACGCGACAAATTACTCGGCCGCATCTTCGGGCACGAATCATCGCGGTCGGCCAAACTCGGTTTCATTGGGTCGGTCCCAGCCTAACAGCCACACCCGGCACAACAACCCAAGGCTGCCGCACATTCAGCCTCCGCAGGCCATGCCCTATGACACCCAGATATACCCTCAGACCGCCATCCCCTATGATTACTTCAGTGCGAACGTGCTCGCCCTGGTTCAGACTCAAGTTGAATACTACTTCTCAGTCGACAATCTGTGCAAGGACTACTTCCTGCGGAGGAATATGGACTCGCAAGGCTACGTTTTGCTTTCTGTCGTCGCAAACTTCAAGCGCATGAAAGAGATGACCACGGACTACGACATGATTCGTGCAGCGTGCGAGGAGTCCCGCGAGGTGGAGCTCGTCTATGGCGAAGATGGACTGGACCGGGTCCGTCGTGTGTCTGGGTGGGATTCCTGGGTGATCCAAGACGTCAGTGACCGGGAGTATCCTGCACAAAACGATGGCCCTCAGGCTGTGTATCGACACAACAGGCCTTTTTACCCTCAGTACCAACCTCAGATGATGCACGCAGGCTTCATGCCTGGTGGCCCGGCGATGTTCTCACCTAATGGATCCAATCTTGGGTTTATGCCTTACATGAACGGCAATCACATGGGCTATTCGATGGCGAACGGAAATGGTGGTCACTCTTCTGCGCACAACGATTCCCAGCTATCTGCCACAGTTCCCGAGTTCGCGCCGTCAGGCTTCCCAGCGGGGCATGACCAGGCAGTTGCAGAAGGCTCGAAGAGAGGAGCACCGCTTCCTAGAAACGCGAACCAACCTACGAACGAGACTGGCTATGCCGAGGCTATAGCTGTGAACGGAGATACGCCCACATCTTTGCAAGATCACTGAGCCGCCTCCTGCTCTCGCGTTGATTGCGCGTGTCGACTCCTTCCCGAAGTTGTTGGCCTGTGTCTATCAAGTTCGAGATACTGGCGTATGAAGTACCCAAAGCTCAAGCCAGGTGTACAAAACTTTTCCTTATAAATACCCAGCCCCTGCACAGGAGCAGTCTATCTAGTCCGCACAAGGACCGTCCGTTGTTTCCCCACATTCTTGTGCAACGATCTGCAGACGTTGGCACACGACTCCGCTCTTGGTCTAAGGGCTGCTCCGCGTCTTTGACGGCTCACAGACATGCTCAGGACTGAGTTTTAGAACCGCATGCGAAACCTATCGCTGCGGCATATCAACATTCGCTCATGCAATTTGGTTGATGGAGGAGTTTTTTTTGTTTTTTTCCCCCTTTCACAGAAATTTCCCGAGCATCGTGCAGGCCTGCACACCAATCCCTGCGATCCCTGCTATGATTGGACCAGCCTGAGCACCCGAGGCTGGAAGATACAGATGGGCAGGGCTCTCGCGGTGTTCATCCTCTGATGTCGACTCCTTGACTTGTGCTTCCGCGCAGAGCAAGTTTCCCATGTCTTCGCTTGGGAGGGATCTAGGACCAGGTTCGATGTCCCTGCATGAGTTGGGAATCCGCGACTTTGATCGGCTTGGTCACGCTGAAGCATGCCACTAGCCAGAGCAAGCGCAAATTCGACCAGCAAAAGAAAGAAGACGTAATGGGAGGGATATAGTTCATGATTCGATGTTGTTTACCCCCACATGCCACTACATTCTGGCTCTCACAGACCACGGCCCACGATATGGAACAAAGCAAGGACGACGTCTCAGCCGCGCAGGTCTCGGAGACAATTTTGCATGTTTGCCGGCGCTGGAGTACAAGTTGCATTATTTGCGGGAAATCGAGGAAGCGGCAAGGACGGAGAAACTTGGCCATAGATTGCCCTCTGGCGTTTCTCGTCCATTATGTTTTTCTGCATTGCGGAAGGTGCGGCCTAGCTTGACCGACCAGAGTCAATGTTTTGTAGATGGGCACTCTAGCAAGGACGGAGAAGGGCGCAAAAAAGTGTTTACTGCATTGAGAAGCATTACGCAGCATCTACAAGATTTTACCAGCCGTGTACATTTGGCATATCGCCATGGGTTTTGATGATTTTTTTTCCGCCTGCAGGATTGTGCAAGCACTGTCGTGGAAGTGTCCCACAATATCGACTGAAATTGGGCCCCGAGAGGAATTGGCTGCTCTGATGTCATGTGGGGAGCCCGACTGCGCGGTGGAGTGGCAGGCAAGTCAGGCAGGTTGTCACTCGGCGTGTCAGTCTCGTACGAGATGCTGGGCCACCGAGGGAAGAGGCGAAGTTGAGTTTCGCCCAGAGGACAGTAGCGCAAAGGACGGTTTTCGATGAAGTGCTTGTGGGCTTTCTAGTTGCCACCGGACAATGGCTTTGTCGCAAGCGTGCCGAGCCGCAAGGGCTTGGCGAGAGCACGGCGTGGCTCCAGAGGTGGCACCATGGTGCTGTCCACTGGACGGATGCCATGTTGACAGGTTTGGGTGCCGACACCCGGCTGCAGGCTGAATGGGCAACCGACTTGTGGCTCCTCCGTGAATGAAGACTGTCACGACTGTGGCTGGCAGCTTCGGTGTGGCCGACGGGTGATGGTGGAAGAACCGGAAGCTGCCAGGGATCCCCGCCAAAGCACCGCCACGATGGCGAGGGGCAGGACACCAGTCCTGCGAGGCAGGCGGGCTCATGCGAGTTCGGTGGGCGCGCTGCCCGGCCGGTGGTGGTGCGTGCCTTCAGAGGCAGACAATGACTTTCTTTGAACCGGGGTGGCTGCTCGTCATGGCGAAGGGGTTGGTTGGTCTCGGGGTGGATTGGTTGGTGCCCAGCGAGCCAGCCTGTTCCCAGTCTAGTGGTGAGAGGTTGACGTCAGACGAGCAGGCGAGGCAGGCGGGCGGGCTCGCAACGGCGGGGCGGGGCAGCTGCCGTGCTCATGCGCGGGTGCACTTGGCTTGTTCTCATTCCAGGCATTGTCCCTCAGGACGCCGTCTGCTGACTGCCACAGCCGTGTGCCCCAGGTGGCCAGTCCGTCCCTCGCCCACGTACTATTATTGACGTGCCCGCCCCCCTCCCGCCCTCTGGCCCTGTCCCTCGGGGTCCTGCTGACATCTCGCTATATCATCACCGCAGCTTTCCCCAGTTCATCTCGATCGCTACAACCACACTGATCGCGACACGCAAGCAAACCTACTGTCCGCGAACACTGCTTGGCATCAGATAACAAGACTACCTCGACAACTACGGCATCAACCGCCACCAGCCATGTCGGCTTACAACTACGAGGCCCCTCAGCGGCGATCCTACCGTGAGGAGGCACGCCTGCGCCCAGATCCCCGCTATGAGCCACAAGACGCCTACTATCGCCAGAAACCCTCCTCCCGACACGAGCTTGTGCCTCGCCCCCGTGAGGATAGCGACCTCTCTGTCGAGGAGATCCGTCGCGACTTTCCGCCACCGGGCTACCGCGACATCCGCCGGGCTCGCTCAGCTGAGCCTGGCTACGACGACTACTACGCACCTGGGCGCGACTTGCGCACCCGTCAGAAGCCAGGCAGCGTTTACTACGAAGAGGAAGAGCGCACTCGCAAGCGCGTCCTGACCAAGCAGCAGAAGATCCTGGCGGCTGTGGTTGGAGGTGTCATTGCCGCCGGTGCTAAGGAGGCATGGGATCGCAAGGAGGCCAAAGACGAAGGCTCAGGCAGGATCGAGCGCAACCCGCTGGCCTCGGCTGCTCTTGCGGCGGGAGGTGCCTTTGCTGGCTACTCTGGCGCCGAGTACTACAACAAGCACAACGACAAGGAGGACAAGAAGTCCACCTATATTGTGCACAAGGGCCGCGATGGCCGTGTTTCCGAGTATTACTCTGACGACGAGGAGGACCCAAGAGGCCGCAAGGGCAACAAGTCCTTCCTGGAGAATGCTCTCTCTGCTGCCGGACTTGGAGGTGCCATCAAAGCCCTGACTGGCGGAGGTTCTGATGACCGACGTTCTGAAGGGAGAAGCCGACGCGGAAGTGTCGAGTCGAGGAGCTCTCGTCGATCTCGCTCTGAAGACACTCCCGCCAATCGCATGCAGAAAGCTGCCAAAGCCTCCTTGGTGGCTGGCGCTGCCGAGGCTTTCCGTGTCTCCAAGGAACCTGGTGGTTGGAAGGGCGAAAAGATGAAGCGCGTCCTCACCGCCGCCGCGGGTGCTGCTACTATTGATGCCGCCCATGACCCCAGCAAGGGCGACAGTAAACGCCACATGCTGGAGGCCGTCATTGGTGGCCTTGTTGGCAACCGCATGCTCAACGGCTCCCGCAAGGACATCGAAGAGGACAGGCGCACTGGCAGGAGCAGGTCTCGTTCTCGGTCCGCTGGGGATTCAGGCAAGACTGGCCTTGCTGCCCTTGCCACTGCTGGCCTTGGAGCGCTAGGTGCCAAGAAAATCCTGGACAACAAGGATCGGTCTCGCTCGCGGTCGCGGCGCCGTAGCCGTGGCTCCTATGGCAGTCGGTCTCCATCGCCCCGCCGTCGCAGCCGGAGCCGGAGCATTGTTGATGGTGCTCGAAGAAGCCTGGCCAAAATTGGTCTGGGTGGCGGTCCCGAGGACCGGCATGATGACGGCCGGTCCTCTTCCCGCAGAAGCAGAGGATATGATGATCGGTATGACGACAACCACTCTGCTCGTGGTGGCTACATGAGAGGCGGGAGAGGCGACGACTACTACGACGACCGCCGCCGCAGCCGCTCTCGCAGCCGCAAGGGTGGCCGATCTGGTTCTGTATCAAGCAGTGATTTGGGAAACTCGGAGGACGACGAGAGACAAGCTAAGAAAATGAAAGGTAAGCAGATCCTTAAAGCAGGCTTGGCGACAGTTGCCACCATCCACGCAGCCAATGAAGTCTACGGCTCCATGCATGCCCGCAATGCGAGACACAAAGCCGTCAAGAACGGGCGCCTGAATCCAACGGAAGCCAAGAAGCTCAAGACCAAGGCTATCCTTCAAGACACGGCCTCTGTTGGCATTGCTCTTATGAGCATCAAGGGTGTCTTGGGAGAGATGAAAGAAGCTAGAGAGAAGACCCACGAGGTCAGAGAATGGCAGTCAGAGAAGCAACGTCGCCACGAGAGACGCATGGAGCGGCTCCGGAAAGCGAACCAAAATCGTGAACCGAGATCGAGGGCTGACGACTGGTCTTCATCAGCTCCTCCGCGGGCCGACCGGTACGATGATGGGCCACGTTACACCGATGGAAATCCCTACTCAGCCTCTATTCCTGCGCCGCCAGTCGGTCACGACAGGCGGTAGACCATCAGCAAGTTCAACATGGCGCCTTTGTCATGTCGGTCTCGGGCACTCTCTGATCGTCGTCATGCCCTTCTGAGGCTGCGTCCATCTCTCCTGCTCTCCTTCACGCGCATCTCTCTCTCTCTCTTTCTCTCTCATTCGCAGCCGATTTACGACCCTCACGAATCATGTAAACACTTCACGACACAGATGTTTTGAAAAGAGAAAGCGTGTTTCTGCACAATGAATACCGGGTTACTAGGCTATCTATGGTAGCCCAAGTGGTCTCCATTGTCTCGCCACGGCTGTTTTTCTTGGACTAGACTTCAGCGCCAGCCAGCCTCATGAACTTCTTTCTTCTTTCTGCAAGTATATCTCACCTTACTGATCATAATAATCCGCGTGCTAGACCGCCGGCGGCGTCATCGTGATGATGACCGCTACTAAGGCTGAACGAGCTAGGGCAACTGCCTCGCGCCCGGCTCTCCGCCTGTCGGATCCCTGTGTGGCACGACATTCCGATTGGCTCAGCTCTCTTCCCGACACGATCGGGGCATGCCACGATCTATTGAGGGATGCGGGAATTTTTAGTACGTGGTAGATCCAGGATGGTGTGGCCCGGGTCCCTAGCACATCCACGTGGTTCCTGGGGATGCCCACCAGCAGCCTCCCCAAACCCCGGTACCTCACTCTTCGAAGTCTATACTAGGTGGGGGCGGCGCGGACTACTTGAGACAAGCTTTGTAGCACAGCAGGTACTATAGAGATGTGGGATGACGTGGCATCTAGCTGCATGTCTCGCCTATCCTCCAAACCAGGGAGGCAGGAAATGGAAGTGGATTTTTCTTTTTTTTAAAGACTTTGAGGATCTGGCTCAGAATGAGAGGGCTCGTGGTGCTTACGACTTTTGGCGACCATATATAGTTTTCCGCTTGAAGACAATATAGGGCACTCGGGATTACTTCGCATGACAGTTGTGCTTGCACGAGTGAGAAAGGAATTGAGAGGAAATGGCGCCCGTGGATGGATTCCTGCAGCGAATGCCTCGAATACTGTTTGCCCGAGACGATCTCACAAGGGTAGGTAGTCTCAGTGGAAAACCAGCTACATGAGATCCGCGAGCAAGGGGCCAAAAGGGGGGGGAGGGAATGGAGTCCATAACATGGTGACAGGCTTGTCGATGCGGTCATTGTGCATGATGCGGCACCCCTTGGCTGTCAGCCAAAAGGGCCTCCGAGCTGGGTCCAAACTGGCACGGAACAACAGACACATGTCGAGAGGCCTGGTCTGGGCAGGGGAAACCAAAGATCCAATCCGCGCCGCGTCACCCTCCCACCACCAATCCGGCGTTAGCATGCGACTGGCCCCTTCTGGTTCGTCTCTAAGGCCTAGAACCTGAATTGTCGTGGCACTAGTCCAGCAGCTAAGCTACACGCTCTACGACACTTCCGTATTGGCGGGACGAGGGACGAAGACACAAACAAGCACTTTTGGCTGTCCCACCATTGCAGACCAAGTGAGGAAGGGGGGGGACGTGCGGGTCGTCGATCGAGAGACTGTATTCTGAGCAGCGAGATGCAGAGGATCGGTTGGGCACCCCCCTTGCTCATACAACCTGAAAGCCCACTCACAAGCAAGCGGCATTTGCTTCGTATGGTGGTCCTGCAAGGGAGGACGAGCCCATGTCGCTGCACACGGCATGCGCTGGCATGCTGGGACCCTGTCGATTCGCTATGCCCAAGAAGTGGGACCAGGGGCGATGACGTCAGTGACCTGGCCAGATATGAAACAACGAGATCGCCTAGAAATAATTAAGTCCAACTCGGCGGTGTGCTTATGCATTGTTGACTGAGCTATAATATCATATGGAACACTGTCAACACTGTGGACAAGATGACCAGTTGTTGGGAAGGCGTTCCAGCCAGAGCTGCATTCTGTGTAGGCTCCTGCAAGGTGAACTCAGTCCTGACCCATAATGCATGGTTATTGGGCAACTCGCCCATATGCATTAAGTATTCCTGCTATAATGACACCGCTCCAACCGAGCTCAAAGAGTGGAAGACGGCTGAGATGGGGAGGCCGTCAAGTCGCGCCCCGACTCCATTCACTCGCTTTTGCCACACTTTGGTATTAGAGGTAGGTGTGCATGTCGAGTATTGCTATCCGTGGCATCACCCACCCGTCAAGGTGCAAAGCCTAGTGCGCCGAATCGCGTGCAACGCTTTCAACCACTGCTCCCAAGGCCACCAGCCGCATTCTGCTTCCACGCAGCAGCCATGGCCATCATCTGCGACAAATTCTGCTTCTGCTCGTCGTCCGCGGGGAAGACGTAGTCGATGTACTCCTCCATTGTGCCGTCCTCCAGCGCCCGCCGCTTCTTGATCTTGCGCGGCATCTGCTTCTGCACCTTGTCCACATCGTCGGCTGATCCATGCGTGCGCTCAAAGGACAGCCAGGCGTTGAGAAGCGACACCCGCTCCTCCTTGAGCTCCTTCTCCCGCATGCTCTTGTGTGCGCGGTTGAAAATCTGGCGCGCACGGTCCTTTGCTTCCTCGGACACTGGCTGCTCGTCGTCTTCCGTTTCCACCTCTTCCTCCTCGGGAATGTTGATTTCGAAGTGAGCAAAGCTGATCCACACCTTGACATGGTCCGTCTTCTCGAGAAGCCTCTCGTACAGCGCCCGTGTCCTCTCGTACTCCCCTTCCTCTTCCTCAAAGTCAATGTAAGCTTTCCATACGAGCTCTGGCATATCCAGATCTTGTTGGATCGCCAGCTCGAAGATTGCGCGAGCGCGCTCAAGGTCGCCCAGGCCGCGTTCCAGCTCGGAGAATTTGATCCATGTTTGACCATTCGCGGGGTTCCATTCGACATGCTTTTCATAGAGGGTCCGGCATCGCACAAACTCAAAAAGCTTGAGCTCGAGGTCGATATATCCTTTGAAGAGGCGGTCTTTGGGGCACATCCCAATCGCCTGGCCCATGGTCTTGCGCATCGCCGAAAGATCGCCTTGCCGCACTTCGAACTGAGCTTTGAGTAGCCATATCTTGGCGAACGTGAACTTCTTGTGCGGTACAAGGTTGAGACAGAGCTTATAGATCTGGCGTGCTCGGTCAATGTCTTTGGCTTCCGTCTCTTCCCATATAGCATAGAAGAGCCACAAATAGATATACCGCCGCCAATGCCGCTTTTCTTGCGTTGGAGGCACCTGCGCCACAGCACGTTCATATACGTCCCGAACCCGATCCACGTCTCCCGAAGTCTCCTCCAGCCTGGCGTAGTCAATCCAGGTGTCGTAGTTTTTGGGGTTTTCTTTGATCTGGTCCTCGTATAACCTCCGGCGCTTGGAGAGAACGACGTCCTCCACACCCTCTCTGTCTCCAAACTGCTTCTCAAATGACGTATACGCCTTGTGTAGCGCCATGGATTTCGATCGAGGTAGCCTGTCCAGTGCATACTTGTAGATGGCTCTTGATCGTTCGTATTCTTTGAGTTTCGTCTCAAAGCGAGAATACGCAATGAAAAGCCGCTCATCGACAAATTCATCTCCGAGCGACTCGATGGCCGCACCGAACACCTGCCTGACAAGGTCGCTGGTGCCCACCTCCTCCTCGAATTTCGCCCACTTGATCCAATTGCGAGGTTCCGGATGGACAATCGTGAAACGCTCAAAGATTTCACGGGCACGTTGAAACTCGCCATACCGCTTCTCCAACTTGATGTAGGCACTCCAAGCCTGCTCATCAGGTTCCCATGTCATCCACCTCTCAAAGACGTGCCGCGTGCCTGGGATGTTTCCAAGCATTTCCTCCATGTAGACGTATTTGTACCATAGCTTGTCGATGCGTGGTAGGATTGTAACAGCCCGATCCAGCAGATTTCTGGCGTGGTTGATGTTACGGTTCTTCATTTCGGCCTCGATGTAGCGAATCCAAAGGATGACTGAGGACGGATCGACGTCGAGAGCGCGCTCAAAGACGGAGCGCGCTCGCTTAAACTCCTTCTGTTCGAGTTCCCATGCGGCATAGCGCATCCAGTTGTTCATGTTCACGCGATTCCGTCGAACATAGTCCTCAAACTCCTTGCGCTTGCGACCCTGGAACTCGTGTAGCTCTTCGAGGTCCTCGAAGCGTTGCGTCGGCGCCTGAACGCCGGTCTCCTGCCGGTCGACTGCCTCTCGTAACAGCTGTTCGGCAGAGATCTGAACAGGGGCCGCGCCCTTGTTCTTGACCCTCGGGGGCCCTCGTGAAGACTCCATGGTGAGATGTAAGTGTGGTTTGTTGAGATAGCTCTATCTTCGACTCGATCGCACGCGTGGTTGGAGAGCGCCGGCCCGGGCTCGCGCGTCGCCCACTAGACACCGCGATGTCGTAGCTGGATTCGAGATGGAGAAACGATGAAACCCCTCTGAATCGGTTACGCGCGGTGCAAGAAGCCACGGGGCCGCGAGAAGCGTTGTCCTTCGAGGCACGGCGGTGGCAATCGAGCACTTGAAAGTAGCGTGCGTTACGTCTCTAATGATTGCTGAAGATTGCAAGGCGCGTGAATCGCAGTCCCGGACACGAGTTGGTTGCCATGTGGAGAGAAAATCGGAACGATTGCAAGGCTGGATAGCTTGTTGGTTTCTTGTCGCGCGGAGTGTGCCAGCCTTACTTCGCACTGTTAAAAGAACTTTGCAAGGGTGGTTTTGCTATCTGGTACCATCGAGGGCCGAACCGGAATGGAGGTCGCCTCTGTTCAGGCTGTTCCAATAGATGCGAGAGAAAATGCTCGTATGGATGACCTGACCCAATCGATCTGATGCCGTACGGCTGATAGGACTGATTCAACAGGCAGAAGTTGCTCGTAACGTGATTCTCAGTGATCGAGCCACAGTGAGTACGTTAGTTAGACAGTACTCAGCTTGCCCTATACATACAGTACTAAGCTCTCTTTGGCCCACCCTTTTTTTGATGACAGGCACCCTTGCTGGGTTCAGCAGTGATGTGCTTCGATAAAGCTTCCACCACCAAGCATCAAACAACAAACCACGCAAGACAGCGTGACCTCGAACCTCGCAAGCTGCGATCATCAGAACCGCGTGCGACCATCTACCAAGTGTTTCTCGATTCACTTAAGCGCGTCCGTCTGTGTCGATAGCCCTCAGCCAGCGCGCGCCGCGCTGCGCTCTCCAGCGCATCCCAGTCGACAAACTCTTGACCTGCCGCGCCTGTGCTATTCATCGCCGCCAACATGTCTACACTCGCGGATGAGCTCCTGCAGGACTTCGAGGACTCTGGGTCAGACCGTGAGGATGTGCAGAGCGATGGCGGCCTTGACGGCGTGACTGGGCCGTCCCTGCGCGCCGAAGTGGACGACGATGAGGACATGCAGCTCGATGGTGACGAGGAACCGTTCGAAGATGGTGGAGATGATCATCAAATGGGAGGACTTGACGGCGTCGTCGCCGAGGTCCCAGAGGATGATGATGAAGCCAAAGCAGCTGTCGAGAAGATGCAACTCGGGGCCGTGAAGGATGTGCGCAAGGTTTCTACAATCATGGACAGGCTTCAGCCTCTGTTAAAGGTCAGTGATCTCGAATTCCATCCCCCTAGTCTCAGTCGATTATCTTCAACTTGAAACGATAATATTTACATCGTTCTCCATGGAGCAACAGCCCTGACGGTAATGGTTTCCGCCTACAGGACATTGCACGGTTCCAAGAAAAGCCTCTCGCACCTGGCACAATCAACGTCGGTAATATCGAAGACAACCCCGAGTACAAAGTGTTGACCCAGTCCAACACTCTCTCGACTCAGATCAACGGCGAAATCATGAAAGTGCACAAGTTCATTCGCGACCACTACTCTTCGCGGTTTCCCGAACTTGAGACGCTTATACAGAACCCTGTCGAGTATGCCAAAGTTGTCGCCATCCTTGGGAACGGGCCGATGGACTCTGAGAATATGAGGACGCTCCAAACCTCTACAGATAACATTCTTGGCCAGTCACTGAAGGCCGTCCTGGATGGTCCGTCCCTCATGGTCGTGACCGTGGAGGCCACGACCACCAAGGGGGAAGAGCTGTCCCCCGAAGAACTGGACCGTGTGATTCGTGCATGCGAGATGATGATAGCTATGGACAAAGCCAAGGCTACATTAACCGACTATGTTCAGTCGCGTATGAACGTCTTTGCGCCGAACCTCACAGCCATCGTGGGATCTTTGACAGCAGCGCAGCTGATCAACACTGCTGGTGGACTCACTCCGCTTTCAAGAACACCAGCCTGCAATCTGCCCTCGTGGGGATCCAAGAAGCCGCGACTAGCCTTCGCCAGCAACACGAGTGTGAAGTCTCAAGGTTACATTTATGAGTCCCCTCTGATTCGAGGCATCCCCACGGATCTCAAGAAGAAAGCCATGAAGGCTGTGGCTGCCAAACTCGTACTGGCCGCGAGAGCGGATACAGGTCATAGCAGTCCGGACGGCTCATACGGCGAGGAACTTAGGAGCCAGTGTCTTGAACGCCTAGACAAGATGACAGAACCGCCGCCAAACAAAGGACAACGAGCCCTACCAGCTCCGGATGACAAACCATCCAGGAAGCGCGGTGGACGTAGAGCACGCAAGGCCAAAGAGGCGACGGCCATGACGGATCTGCGCAAGGCTCAGAATCGTATGGCATTCAATAAAGAGGAGAAAGAGACTGGGTATGGTACTGGCGATTCTACGGCAGGCATGGGCATGATCGGAGCAAGCAACGACGGCAGGATACGTGGAATTCAGATCGACAACCGGACACGTGCCAAGCTCAGTCAAAAGCACAAGGGGTGGGGAGGAGCCTCGACCATTGGCGGCGCGGCATCGTCCCTCCGTGGCTTTGGTCAAACACCAGGTCAGATAGACCTTCGCGGCAAGGGCTTGCGAACTTCTGGTGTGGGCTCAACCATTGGAGGGGGTGCAGGAACGGCTTCATCGTTAGCATTCACTCCAGTGCAGGGACTAGAGCTCGTTGACCCCAGTATACAGGCCGAACTCAATCGCAAAAGGAAGGCGGAAGAAGACCGGTGGTTTTCTGGCGGCACCTTTACGCAGGTTGGCGGTGGCGGTTCCGCGACCAATGGCGGCTTCAAGGTACCCGGGTTGCCCGCCAGCAAGAAGGTTGACACTGGTCAGGGCAAGATGCTGCCTCCAGCGCTACCTGCCAAGAAGTAAAGCTGGATGAAGTGTAGGATTTCATGTTGGGGTCTTCCTGACCAAGCGCTTACACGTACATAATAGAAACTGAAGATACCCGTGACCTACACCAACTAGTCCCTCACTTCATTCAGCCTTTTAAGGTTTTGGTCTAACAGCCGGTGATCGGGCCAACTGGGACACAACCGTGCTGGGTGCTTAACTCATTTGGCTGTCTTGGTGCGAGGCTGGCGTGCCACTGCCAAAAAGTCTAATGCTTGGGGATAGGCGCAACTCTTGGCAGAACGGATCTGCCGAGTTAGCGTGCCAGAGCGGGCAGTGCCGCGATAGGTCTGTCCGTCGCTAGAGCACGCCACGAGCACGGCATCAGGAATCAAGTTGGTGTGCCCCAGCCTCGCCGAACCGCAAGCCGATGAGGTGGGGTGTTGAAGGGACTCGAACCCGGCTTCATGTAACTCAAAAGGAACCTGCCGATGATGGCTGGGGACCCCGTGGGCTCCATAAACTCTAGTTCCGTATCGGGGAGGAGGTTCGGATCCCGATCTGGCGGGCAGGTGGATACAACGGCGATTTTCTGAAAAGTGTGGCTGACGCCGAGGAGATGGATGTGGTGCTCGTGGCTACCGGCTGGAACGTTTGTGAGGATCTGGAATATGTCCAGGGTGCCTTTTCATCGGATCGTGCGGGCATCAAGCGGACGAGATCGGGAGGACGTTGGGGAAGCGGCCGCGGCTGAGGCGTTGAGGTGGCGCTTCTTGACCCACGACACGCGGTAGGTAACGTTTGCAACACGGGACCGAGATGTGCCTCCCCTCCCGCCTTAGAGGATTACGGTCCAGAGAAATCTGCAGCTTCTCGTGACCGTTGCCGCCTTTCTGGTTTTCGTGGAGACCAGCGCCCCAAACTGCGCCAGTACCGGCTTTTGTGGCTTTGGTATTAGTCGTCGAGCTGTTGCGAGTTTCTGGACAGAAGACGAGTACGTGGACTGGCAGACGAAAACCGACATCACGCAGCATGCAGCATGCACTTCGAACTGTATATCCGGCTAGCAATTTGCACGATGACGCGCGGCGAGGCCATCTCATGCATGCTGTAAGTGCTTGCTTTCTCCCTGCAACCCTAACCCTGCCCCTTGTTGCGTACTTCTCCCTCTCCCTGCGTGTCTCGTGTAGCAAGTTTCTCCCATCGTACCCTACGTTGAATCCTCTTGTCCTGTCCTGTCTTGGTTTCAATCTATTTTATCTCTTTTCGTCTCTTTCTCTTTTTCACATCTTCGTGAGCTGTGATGAGCTCCTCCTATTGCCACACTCCTTTTATCCGTTTCTCCTTTCTACTAGGCCGTCTTTGTGAACTTACTGTGAATCTGCCTGGGATCTTTCGGATACTCGTGTATTTCATCCCACATCCCCCTCCCCTAGAGGAGCCAAACTTTGCAGGTCTAGGGGCCCGCCACATGCTCAGATGGCTAGCTTTTTAGAAGTGCAAAAGGCTATAACCTCACTAGTATGAAAGATGAAAACCTGGTGCTTAGCTAGGCATCGCAATCAAGCGGCATCTCCTTTGTACATCCACGTAGCTTCGAAGCTGATGATTTAGCCTGACGTGTCTTGCAGGATTGGCAGGAGCCTTCCGCGTGGAGGATGACGTGACAGGGGCACAAGCTTCGCAGCCGCATGGGCTGGCATTCTTCCATGGATCAAACGCCGATCACTTGCATATGCCGAGTACGCCGGGGGGGCTTTTGAGCATCAGCATACGAAAAGTATGGTCGATGCCGACCTTTTGGCGTCCTTGAGCACCGAGAAACAAAGCTTGACTAGAGACAGAACATTCTGCAAGGTCGTCGTCTCAGATGCAAATGCGTGGACTCTATCTGACACCAGCAGCAAGCTGACCAAATAAGTTGTTGAGGCATCAACGCGGGTATCCTTGGCGAAAAAGATGACATGGGCCAACATGCGCGCCTTCACCGAAGGCAGATTATTGCCAATGCATATTTTCCAACGCATGCGGCCGACGGCTGCTAGGCTCGCCGTTCCCCTCCCATGGTGATATGGCAGCCTCGAAGCTTTTCTAGCCCAGAGTAACGGCGCTCAGGCAAGCCACACGCCAATGAATAAGAAGCCAGTACGGATATGGGGTTTGTTGCATCTCGCTTGATCCATCATATTGACCATAACGATCTCCAGACTTACAGGCTAACATCCCCCATCCTGTTGTGCCCGCGGTGCTACTTTCTGTAAATTATTGCCAACAATATCGGCGGTCTCTTTTCCATTCAGAAACATGAACGGTCTAACGTTGACATGCCTTACAAATAATCGCTGTAGCCAGCTGTCAAGCTGGAAATATCAGGCATGTAACGTCGATTGTGCATAATATCCGTCATCATTGAGCCAACACAAAAAAGGTTTACCTCAAAATGATGTGTACTTCCGGGCATTATTAACGGATATATAAATACAGTTCCAATATTGTTTTTCCCCTCGACGAAATTGGGAGCGTCGTACTACACGGGACTCGTTGCTGTTACTTGATGCACCGAGACTTTTCTGATCATGGTGCCAAACGCATAAGAGATGACACGTCAAACGCGACTGTCGAGACGCTGGGAAGATCCAATTAAGAAACCGCGGCTTACTTCGATATTTCCCGATGTCACACGGGCAGCATCATCAGTTTCGTGAAACCCCGCCCACCCGCGTGACGCACTTTCGCACAATCCCATTCATCCCACCTGGGAAAACGGCATGTAGCCAGCTTCCCCCTGCTCTTGTCGCGGCCACACCCACCCGTGCCGCGAGGCACGGACACGGGGGGCACGACCTACGACGAGGCAAGTGGGCATGCATGACACCCACCCATGGTCTTCTTTGTGTGGGTGAGTGTGTGCAAGATCTCGCGCTACGATCTGGACGAGAGGCGTCCCCGGCCATTCTGAGACGCGCGCTTGGGGTTTTGCTCATTTCGAGATGTACGAGATATCGGTGCTCATTTGCTAGATTCCCGTATCCGACGTCTCGTGCTCAGAAGCGCGAGAAGGGTACCACAGAACCTTGGAAGGCCTTAGGGTACATGCCCCGTTGTACATCGTACCAATGCCACAATCCTGAGTGCAGGGCACATCCTGCTAGGCTCGGAGTAACCTTGCCCGACTGTGACCACTCGCTTCAGGCATCGTAGTTCGTGGCCGGTCGAGCTCCCGATTCGGAGAAGTGGCACTTGACCTACAGGAGGCAGTAAACCCAATTGCAGCCTTTCCACGAAGCGAAAAAAAAAAAAAAAAAAGCAACAAATACACCACCTGCACGGTGGTGGCCTCGACGACAAGGGAAATGCTTACGGAAACAGCCGACGCACCTCCGCTCAACAGTGAGCCACAGAAAAGGAAACTGCCAGGGGACCAGTTCGCAGACCTTCGAGAAGGAAAACCCATGTCCGAATCAAATGTCTGGCCGCTGCGCCACTGTCTTCAGCACGGAGTGTAGGTATTAACCCACTTGAGTTCCCTTAAAGGCTGTTGAAAAGACGAAGGAGTGGCGTCCACGTTCAGGACGGACCGTGTCTTGGTTGTTGGTGGCGGGCGAATCGACAGAGCGAGGGGCTGACCTGAGTCTGTTCTCCAAAAACAAGGAGAGACACTGCCCATTCACATGCAAGCATACAACTCACACCACTCTCGATTGAGAAACATTGCATCGAGATCCCCACCTCGCTGATTTCTCCTGAAGTGCCTCATGCACTGTTACGAGCCCCATTGTAACCGTGATCAGACGTATCGGCTCGTGCACCTTTGAAGCCTCGCGCCCTCTCAACACAATATGAGAAGCTGAAACAATTCAACCTCCCCATCCACAACGAATCAGAGACATTGTCTATATTCATATTCATAAGAGAAGACGAAGAAGAAGAGCTCGACCGGGCACGCTTTGAGGCAAGTCGCCGGAGTGACAAAATACGGGTTCGACTTGCTCGCATCAAATCGGGCACGGATAAAGCCCAGAGAGCTAGCTAGCTTTTCATATCATACGGCCACCCATGTCGCGAAGGCCGGCATGGAATCAGCCGGTGGCATATCGCCGGAAATGTGATGCAGAAGTTGCCTAACCTGCAAGACAGCAGGGTGGGCGTCATGGGAATTCCAAAGGAAAATCCTCCAAAGCAACCCAGCACGTGTGCGATTTCGCCATTCGTACACACACAAGCAAGACACACATGTGACACAGATACAACCCACCACCTTGCCGAGCTTGTCGGGCTCGACTGCAGATTCTACATGATCATCTCGGAAAAAAAACAGAACAGGTTTTTGGCCTGTGGATCGAGATCTCCGATGACCAGACACAGGTTGCGAGCAGCCCCGGTGACTGGTTCCGTTCAATCACATTTTTCGCCGTGCGAATCTGCATGAAATGAAGCTTCAGCAAAACCCCGTACTGCGGTCTTGGGTTTTGTGGATTTATTTCTATTGCCATGCACCAGGCAACACCATGACCTCCAGCACGGACATAAAATGATGCCCGATGCACATCACACCCAAGAGCTTCCAATGCCAGCATATTGTGACCAAAAGATGGCGGCGCATGACCGCATCCCAACCATGTCGAGCTGGCCAGAGTGCCACAATGCCGAGGAAAACACCAGCTCATGCACGATCAGGCAGCCTCGTTTACCTCTAACACGCGACAGCTCAAGTATTGTTTGTTCGTATCCAGTGAATCAGGCCAACCTCAGTTGTATTAGTCTGCTGCCAAGGGCGATGGGATGCTGTGATGAGAAGATAGAGTGGCTATTAGGAACGATAACTGTGTAACTGGAAATTATGTAAGCACTCGCCATTGATGTGGGATTGACCTGGGCGGTCACGTCTCTTCACGATGCTGGATCGCGAGCCCTTATGATGTCAGAGGCGCAACCAGAGGGCTGATGCGCCAGGGAGAAAAGTCCCAAAGGGGGGCGTGTGCGTGCCGAGGTATGGATTGGTGACAAGGGCCTCGATCCAGGACGATTCTGCTGCCAGATGGAGACACAGACGGGGCTGAAAGGGGGGGGGGGGTGGGCGTGTGGGCAGGCATCGTGGCATTCCCGGGAGAAGCAGCAGCGCATGACTGTGTAACCTTGGAAGGACGACGGGACCCCTTTTCCCACTAGTTTTGTGTACTCTCCGACCCCTACGGCGGCATAGGAGAGTGAGGCATGGTTACCACGGGGATACGTTTTGATACCATGCAACTACTATGTGACGCGAAGTGCCTGGCACTAAGCTGCTGGAGGTCTCTGGTGGCCACGAGCTCGAGCCCTGTCGACGGAGATGAGCGCGAGATGGACGTGCATCAAGGCCTAGCGAGTTGCTTTGTTGAGACTTGCCCTAACTAGCAACCGCGCACGAGGATGAAAAAAAAGGGGATTGAGATACAAGATGTCTGGGTTGTAAATCGGCGATGCTGGCGATGGGCACTAAGTGTTCGTGATCGACATTTTGGTGGTCTGTCCACGGTTGGCGAAGGATTCTGGCAGGCGGCGGGAGTATCCCTGCTGGGGTCAAGCGCTGCATCTACCGATCTGTTGCGGATGCTGACGAGACGGAGGATCAGGCGCTGCGGGAGTGCTCGCCGTGCCTTGTGCTGTCCTGGTCTTGGCCTGGCGCCTCGCGGGCGTTTCTGCAATAGCACCAGTATGGCCAAGCGCAGCGAATGTGTACCTTGGGAGCTTCTGCTGGCGGTTGTCATGTTGTGTTGCTGATGCAGGCACCCAGCACAGTCGCTGTCACCGGTACTTCGACACTTGACCCTGGCAGGGCGAACCGAGGCAGCCGTGGGGCAGGCAGGTGAGCCGGGAGCAGCCACTCGACAGGTCATGATGAAGGTGACGGTGCCTGCTAGGGAACCTTGGGAAGGGACGGATGGCCAATGGGAACCCGGCAGGAGCGACCCCGGTGGAAGCATGGGCTCAGGGGCAGTGGGGCCCAAACTAGCCTAGCGGTACTGCCCATCGGCGATGCTTGGTGAAAATCCCGATCGCGGCGCCCGTTGCCGACCCCGCCCAGCCACGACACCCGACCCGTGCAACATGCCTCGTAACCATCACCGGCGCTGCCGTGCGATCGGCGCCTGCTGCTTGAGCTCGGATGCGGCCCTCAGCGGTGCTGAGCCAGGCACTGCGCGGTCTTGCTCCTGCCCCGTGCCACTTCCAAGGCGCGCGCTGCCCTTCCGAGTCCTGGCTGGCCGAAGTCAGGGCGGGAGCCTCCGGCGCTGGACCCTGGAGGACATTTACTGGTGCCCAGGCCCCGTCCACCGTGGGTCTGCTAGTATTCCGCACCGGTTCAGGGACCTTCGGGGCAGACGGAGCTCAGCCAGTCTGGTGGGCTCCGCTCACGTTAGAGTGGGTGGGGACTGTCAAGCAGCACAGACATGGCGCCGCTTGCACCCCCATGCCATGCCATGCAATGCCATGGCACACCCCCCCTCGCCCTACTATGTACATATGACAACAGTTGTGCCTGGTTCAGACTTTGTGCGCGACCCTTGGGCGGGGCCGTGAAGTCAACATCTGCGCATTATGACGACACTGCCTCTGGTGAACCCTGGATCCCTTCCCCATCACTCACCCGCGGCGCCCTCACCCTGCGACCATGAACATCCACATAGGGGCTCCGTCTCCAGGGACAGCCATTGCGTCGTCCCCATTCGTCGCCTGGCACGAGTCAATGGCAGCGCCTGCGAACGTCCTCGGGCCTGGTGCGCATACTCGCCCAGTCCACACGGACGGTGGCCGTCTCCCGGCCCGGCATCCTTGCTGGTGACGGACATTGCGGCTCATGCCTGGGCTGAACACGACTCGCCAGCACGAATGTGCCTGTCGTTCCGTGCCTCGGACCGTGCAGCTCTCCAGGACATGCCACATGATTTCTCGCAGCTGTGGGACGAGCTTGGATTGGGACGGCTGCCATGTTGCAAGCCTTATTTCAGATAGTGAACACGCGAGTCCTACCCCCCCCGTCGTGAGATGAAGCCAGGCCCAGCCCGTTATATTGTGTTCCAAGCTATTCGCATGGCCTTGCTTCGGCAAAGGCAGCATCGCTCGGTGAGGCATGCCAGGAGATGAGGACCCATTCTGTATTCTGCTACACCACTATAGCATGCCATTACTCCGTAGAGGCGACCGTGTGCCCACCAAGCAAGGCTGGGAGTTCCGGGCTGGTTTGAGAGCAGTTTCTGGCGGTGAAGCTATTCCTGCTCGTACTGCCAGAGTATCCTGGTCGCAGGTCGCTAGGGTGTCACCTTCTGGAATGGCATTCGACTCCACACTTGACGTCATGCTGGGACCGAGAGGGAGCAGAGGCTCCGTCGCTCCAGCTTCATATGCTTCATTTAAAGAAATTGCCCAAGCGACCTGGCGGAATGCCCTGTGATGAATGTGCTGGTGCTTACATGTCACGAGGCTGGCAGGCCTCGATGTTTCTCGGCCTGTGGCTGGCGAACGAAATAGCCACTTCACGTGGCGATATGGTCGTCCCGAGCAGGTTGCCCTCGACGAGGCGAACCAAGGCTTGGTCAGGAGGATAAGCACTTCTGGAAGCGGCTGCAATCGGACCAGGCACCAAGTAACAGGCCCAGCAGCTCTGATACCAAACTCCTACGGGAGATTAGACTGATAGCGGGGTGTAATAAAATGAGATGCTGGGTGATGGGCGGCAGGGACGGATCCGGTGCGTTGGGACTGGCGCAGAGGCGATCTCGGGAGACAAGGAACGACCCTGCGCTAAGTCCCGTGAGTGGCATGCAATGAAGAGAGAGTCATGAACCCGGGCAGCACTCGGGGTGCAGCTAGGGTGGCTGGCGGGGTGTTGTCATGGGATGGCTGGCACAGCGGGCTCAGAGGCGGACTTGCCCCGACTTGCATGCTGTTGCTGGAACGATGCCGTCGTTGTCGTTTGCGCCTTGGTTTGGGGGAGACGGGCTGAATGCTCGTGCGTCTACCATAGTAAAGACTCCCGGCCCGGGTGGTCAACATATTGCTACCTGGCAATACAACAGTCGAGTGTCGAGGTGATGGGCACGTTACGCACCGACAGTCTAGCAGGATCCAGCTGCCGCCGAACAACAATGCACATGCAAAGAGGGCATGATTTGCTGCTCCGGTCGTGATTCAGCCTGCTGACATGGAACCGGACACAGCAAGTCCAGGACGAGGCCAAAGTGTGGTGGGCGCCAGTTGACGACTGCCCAGGACGGCAGGGTCCTCGGGCGTCGGTTGAGGAAGGCGCCTCCCGGGGCTGCGGCGGGGGTTCAGCCTGCCGCCCACGCGCGCTCCACCATTGCTTGTCAAGAGCCCGCTTCCACACAGACAGGACCCTGGCCAGCTAGCTCCCTTTGTGGTTTCGCATCGGCCGGCGGCTTCCTGATGCGTGCGCACAATCTCGATCCCAAGAACCCCTCTGATCCAACCCCAACCTCGAGATCGGGTTCACGACGCCAGATCGACTGCAAAAACACAAAAGCCGCCCAGCGCCGCTGACCCAGATTTCCCAGTCCTACTCCTGCTCCTGCTCCTTCTCTCCTTCGGGACCCCTGATCTTTTGCCTTTCACGCCTCCCGCATGCGCGCGCCGTGCCCCCTACCTGGCCCAAATGACATCATCAGCATGTTTCCCTTATAGCGCCTCCCGTAGCATATGTTCCGGAGGCATCACGATGCGCCAGGGCGAGCGCCCCACCCTCTCGAGATCGCGATGCCCTCTTGGACTTTTTGCCCTGGCGTAGCCAACCAAGCTCGCACCCACGCACGTACCCAAGCCGACCAGCCAAGTTTCTTCACTTTTCGACGGCACGGCCGAGCAGCGCCTGCAGACTTGACAGCAAACGGGTTTTTTCCCTCCTCCCTCGCCCTGCAGCCCTCACCCTGGCGCAATCACGCCGTCACACACGAGGCTTGTGACAAATGCAGGGTCTCGCAACTCATCCTCCGAGCAGCGCGCTCGGGCACAGGACGTCTCCGGCTGGAGCCGCGTTCAACGTGCACGGTAAGGGTTGGCCGCGTGGGGTGCCTGGTGCCGGCGAGCAAGCGATGTGGAGGGCGCTGCGTAGTGTTTTGTTCCAACTTAAAAAACTCTGTTGCGACAGAGCACAGGCCCGCCAGCGGCAGAGTGCGGGTGCAGCACGGCCCCGGGATCCACCCACGCAGGCAGGGTCCACCGACCAAGAGAGCACCCAGCACCACACCCCTCGCAGAGAAGGCAGGCTACTCGTCGACGAACGGCACGCCATGGCAGGATGTTGACGCACGGGTGTGATGACTGGATGGAGTGGGGCAGCGCGCCCAAGGGGGTGAACCACCAGTCGGGGGCGCCACCCCAAAGCGGCAAAGACTTGCTTGGGATCGAGATTCATGCCAGAATCGGTCATCGAATTCTGAAAAACCAGCATGTGCAGCACAGAATGCCATCCTCGTCCCATGCGCCACAAGGTCCCCAGCCGGTACCTCACCTCCCAGCAGCAGGGTTTCTGCAGCCCGCCAACAGAATAGACACACAGTGGGCCAGCACCATCTTGCACGGCCAGGATCGACCGATCATCGTCCAAATCAACCCGCAAGACCCTGCTTTTCCCACTAAGGTCCTCGCGATCATCAGTCACCAGGGCGTCTGGCGTCGCGCTGGGGCGGAACGAGGGATTGGCAAAAGGGTTCAGAGACCAACATTTCCCAACAGCCCTGGGTGCCAGCAGAACGGCTGTTCGATGGCTACCCATCGGTGCTTATCTCGAGCATGTGGCAGCCCACGAGACACTAATAAACCCTGACAGAGCTGATCACAGCCACGGGCAAGGGCAGACGACAGGCCGATTGACTCGGATTTGCCGGGGTTTCCCACGCGTGGTGCATCACGATAACGTAGCCCAGCTTCGGCCTGCATGGTTCCACCAAGGGGGTCAAGCGACACAATAGTTCCAGCAAGTGCGGGGAGACTCTTGGGCCTGCGCTACTCGATCGATGAGTTTGCATCATCGCGATGGATTGACCCCGACACATCGCAGCTCAGGAGCCAGTCAGAAGGGACACGCGGCATGTGCCGCTGGTTGCCCTGGCTAGCTGACTCCATCGGGTTGTGCAATGCTGATGTCCCATTGCCATCACGAAGCGCATTGCTTGCTGCGTAGTCCTGAGGAGTCAGGGTTTTGAGGGACCTCGCCTATCACGAATGACCAATTAGCACCAAGTGATCTACAGGCACCCATGGCCTCAGGCTACTGATGATGTCCATGACGAGGCGACACGGTTTCGCAGCCGCTGCATACAGAGTAGTTTTGGCCGGATGGCTTGCCGTCTCTGCGTCGGATCTGACGGTGCCGGCTAGGGAAAGGCATCGGATCCCTTGTCTGATGATCCAACTTCTGCGCAAGACAGATCCTGTTTTCTGAATCAAGGAACCCCTACCAGCGAACGGCATCGCGATTCAACATGTAAACTCTATTTGAGCCAGGGTCGGACAGCTCAACCAGGACCGGCGCTCTGTACTGATCCCCCGTGCACGTGACCAGTCACAGCCAAGGAAGAGAACCTCCGCTTTGACGCCAGCATGCGATGCCAGCCTGGACCCATGGGATGGGGGGAAGTCGGAGAGTGCAGCGGTCACCACAATCGGACGTGGGGATGACTAGTGAGTGGGACATCGTGATGAGGCCCATGACGCAATTACAATGTGCGCGACGACGGGCTGGCCTGAAGGGAGGCGGGGGCAAACCATTGCCTCGCTAGCTCTGCAAAGCCTGCCCTCATCAGCTGCAGCGTCGTCGACGACGACGACGACGACGAATTGGCATCACTGCAGACGGGGTAAGCGGGTCGAGCTCAGCTCCGCCAACGAGTCCAGCAACACGCTGCAGCTTGGCGTGGCCCCGATGATTTTGCCTGATCTAGTCATGGTGTTGTCAAGGTGAACGAAAGCTGCGGACGAGGCCATGGAAGTGGCACGCTGCTGGCGACGGATTGCGTGTGGCGCGGGAGCAGAGCGAGGGTACTGGCGAGGCCGCACACGGTGCGGAGCAGGCAGTGGAGGGTACATTGCGAGTACGTCGCAGGGGAGGGCGCGCCAGGCAGAGTGGCGGTCGTGGCTGGCACAGGCGGGCCCGCGCTGGAGGCACATCTGGGAGCTGCGCCGGTGGGCACTAGGCAAGGTGCCCAGGTGCGCACAGAGAGCGTGCAGAGACCCTGTCCCGGGAAGCCCCTGTCGAGTACCGGGGTGCACACCCACGCGCTCTGGGAAGCCCACACCCCCCATTCTCCGCTTGGGCCCACGCCCAGGGCACGCAACATCCCCCCCAAGGCAGGGTCGTCTGTCGAGGGGTTCCAAGGTTTCCAGTGCGCGTCGTGAAGGGGGGGTGTAGGGTGCGCCCAGCGAGCTGCTCGATGGGATTCCTACTCCCTCTGCCCTTTGCCATGTTTCCCTTAAAACTTCGCTGCTGCTCGCTCCTGCATCCGACACACACCTCTCCCCGTCCTGCTCCTGCCCATGTATAACTGAACCGCATGCCGCACCACTCTCCTCCCTCTCTCTCCTCTGCCCTGACCTGGTTACCCTTCGCCAAAACATCTTCCATCACACCCGCAGACCATCAGCACGCCGTCTGACGTCCACATCGTCGTTGCCGCTAACACCAAATCACCCTCCGCACCACCACGACGCCGTCTCCGCAGCAGGACTACTACCACCACCACCACCAACGTCGCTCCCCCAGCTAGCCTCACTCGCTCTGCCACCCGCCGACCTACCTGCAAGGCCCACAACCAGCACCACTAGGATTTGGACCCTTCACTCGCCCTGCTGTACTGCTTGCTCAACTCGCTGCGAGTCGTCCTGACAATTCGGCAATCAACTGTTGCACATAGTCGACCCTCGCCAGTATCTATTCCGAGGGCTCTTTTAATCCAGCTGGTCACTCGTGCATACCAATTGTCAATACGAGTCTCGTTTTCTCAACGTGACAAAACGAATCCGCGCGTATGCAAATTGTGCCTGTTGCACATTTCTAGCATCGCCCCTGTTCGGCCGTCTCCACCATCCGGTCCAGCCGTGTGCTCAAAGCTCCCTCGCTGGAGGTCCAAGCACTACCACCACAAAGGTTCTCTTTTCTTCTTCCTGTGACGACACACAGTCACCTTCACTCTCACCGACTCGCACTCTGATTCCTACCACCTGAGGAATCAGTCTGCCAACATGCAAGCCCGTGACGCTACCGGCCGCCAAGTGTCGCTGCTCAATGATGACAGCTTCGCTCAGCGCCCGTCCTACACCAGCCGCTATCTCTCCGTCGCTGACAGGTCTCCCCTTCTGCGCACTCCTGAACTTCTCCGTTCAGACTCGTACGATTCTACCACCAGCGGCTACGACGCAATCTCGCCACTAACTCCCGGACTCTACGACTACACTCCCAGGCCCCTTTACGACGATTACATGGCCGAGAAGACGGCCGGCCTGAAGCGTCCGGCGTACGTCGAGAGCAGCCGTTCCAACTCGTACGACGAGGAAGCCACCCACACCGGTCCTGCGCCAGAGCGTGCTGGCAAGCGCTACCCGTGCCGTTACCGCGACAGCCATGGCTGCGAGAAGACTTTCACCACCTCTGGCCATGCTTCGCGGCATTCCAAGATCCACACTGCCGAGAAAGCTGTGCAGTGCACCTTTGCTGGGTGCAACAAGAAATTCACTCGCGCCGATAACATGAAGCAGCATCTCGAGACACACTTCAAGGACAAGTCGCGATCATCTGGCTCTTCCAAGTCCTCCTCTAAAACCTCATCTGCAAAACGCGCCTCTATCTCATCGAAATCCACGTCCTCTTCCCACAGCTCCTCCTCCAAGGACTCTCACGACGTCCACATGTGGGATGTGGAGGAGTACGGCCACGAGCAACAGCCACTCCCCCCCTTTGGCTCCACCTGGGACATGCGCGTTTCCCACGGCCCTCTTTCCAGCCGTCCCCATACAATGAGGACAAGCAGCGGCCTGGATGCCTTGGCTGCCATTGCGTGCCAAGAGGGCGCCTGAAGAGCTTCATGCTACGAAGCTGTCTTTCAAATCGTTCTCGTCCATTCTTGATTTCTCTCTTTCCGAGTATGGCGTTTCTGGAGTTTTACTGGCATGATGCATCGAGACGGACGCATATACACGAGGCGTCTTGGGGACCATGGCTTTCTCCAATTCAGGGGATGTTCCCCGCTGGACGACGCTCTCCATTCACGTGGCACATGAAACCATTCAGGCACTTGTGGGGTGTGCATTACTGTTGCTTGTTTGGAATGGCGCTGGGCACGGAAAACGATACCACTGCATATGATGATTTTCACTTCTGAAAAAGACCCTGGCGGCCAGAGTCATGGAACAGTGGGACCTGGCGCGCAGGGGAAGCTTGTTTTGTTTGGCAACGATGTAGTGTTAGAGATACCATTCACCTGCTTCTACACAGATAGGCAGGCGGCATTGCAAGAATCAGAAATTTTATTGTTATTATACAACTTTGCGACCACGACATCGTTGCGGTTCCTGGCATTGTGTGTGACGTCGACTACTCTTCGCTGGTGTTGTGCCGGCAACTCTAAACCTGTGTTTCATTGCGTATTTCACTTGATGCGGGATTGACGACATTCACACATCATCCACTGTACATGGATGGTGCGCCGCGCCCCGTTAGACGAATTAGTGGGACGATGAGCAAAAGATTGCTGGTCACCGACCGACACGGGCTCCCTCCCTCGCTGCATTCCAAGCCGAGTCCGGCCAGCCCCCCCTCCCCACCCATCCCCAACTCTGCGAACGGCAGGGAAGGAGGGGGGGAGGGGGACCCGGAAAAGAGGTGGAGAACAGAGTGAAGGGAAAGAGGGAGGGAGAGCGGGCCCTAAAAATTAATAGGCTCCATGACTCGAGCGGTTCCTGTCGGTGTCTCGGTCGAGTCGGTAGTTGAAAATGGGGAAACCGAAGGGGGGAGAGAGAGAGAGAGAGAGAGAGAGAGAGGGAGGGGCAGGCGCTGGGTGGAGAGGCCGTGATCCGTGGTTACCTTATGGTTACCATTTGTTACGTGGGTGGTGAGTAAGGTCAGTAAGTATTTCTTTTGTGGAGACCCTGCGAGGAGCCCATCAGCACGACCAGCACCACCACCAGCAAAAGCTAGCGATAGCGAGGTGTGGATGGGAAAAGCTTTTCAATAGTGCGACGACCCCTCTTTCGGGGGGAGCTTTGCACAGGCTCAGCTCATTCAGAATAGGAGGGAAAATTGGGGGAGCAAAGGAAATGCTACCACATCACGGGTCGAAAGGGAATCCTGACGTGGGTGGAGAGAGCATTGCTGGTTCGAAAGGGTTCCAGCACACAAAGTAATCACTAAAAATGTCTTGCCCTGAGTCCCTGGGGTATGTGCGTTCCGGTGTTCCTAATGTCTCTGGCGAGTGGTCTGGACCCTGTGGTGTCCGTGCAAGGGTCTGTGAGGGGGTCCGCCGTCGGCCGTCCAAATTTGATGACTCGGATCGGACAGAGGAATGACGATGGACATCGCAACGGGCCAAGCCGGTGAGGTACCATTTCCTCATCTCGTCATCGTGTTGCGCCTGGGACTTTGGAAGTGTAGAAAGCGTATATGCGCATTGCGGGTGCGATGCCGGATGGTGCGGAAGTAGTTGGGTCCATCTCACGACGGGCGACATCCGTTCTTGGGCGCGATGACGGCGTTCCCCGAGCGAAGCCACCTGCGACCGCAGAATGGAGTGGTGTTAGCTACCTTTGTGTGTAGCGCTGTCTCATCAGTTGCGGGCATCGGGGCATCTTTCGAGCTGCATCCCCAAGATGGTCGTGCTCGGAACGGATGAGAAGGCACGTGTAGACCTGTTGACAAGTCGGAATAGATTGCCATGGGACACGACGGGCGAGGCCATCTCATTTCGTGCCGCCTCTGCTGGCTCAAAACGAACGAGCTGTGAGCACTTGCCATGTGGTGCGGGACCCTGCGATGCAGGGTCCCTCCCTCCCGGCTGCACAGCCACCACGCCCAGAGCTTCAAGAGCTTGGAGCACCCGGGAGCTTTGGAGACCCTGAGCTGGAGCAGAGAGGGTCGGCGCCACGGAGCCGCCCGTCCCTGGCTGCTCACAAGACTGTCCTCAGCTCGGGTAGCACGACAGGAAAGACCAGACGCAACAGAACAGGGTCTGCATGGGCGCTAGCGATGTGCAAGTACTGACGCGGGACGAGACCAGGGAAAACCCGCAGGTTGTACGCCCCACGGAGCAGAAGGAGCGGAAAAGTGTGTGTGCTGGGTGAATGCGACGCGCCTGTTTGTGTGTGCATCATCTGTGTGCGATAGTCATGGCACGCGTGATTTGACACGCCCAGCGCACCCCTTTGTTGGTGTAGCCAGGCTCTCCAGTCGCATAGTAATCTGTCGAAACCAGTCGAAGCTCTCGTTGCTGCCTGGCCCCTGGCACACCGAGCCGGCCGGCCCATGCGGCAGCCTGTGCGCGGTGTTTTGTTTCCCACCGAAGCAACGCAAACTTGGGTGTGGTGGTCTCCCAGGCCCGTTGTCCGTGGATGGGTGGGACGGGGTGTGATGGCTGGCGTGTTGCTGACTGCGCTGCGGAATGCCACGACATGACTGCTGTTCTCTTGGTGCCTTGCGCTAGGGAGCCGTCTGAACTCTCTTGCGAGGGACCAACAGGGACGAGGCTGCCGAGGCTTTGCAGTTTCCCAAGGTCGGTCCCTGACGATCACCGGGGTCTCTGACTGGTCCGTGACAGCGGGGGCCGGGAGGTGGGGCTGCCCTTGCGCAGGCAGGTGGGGTCCGACTGTCGGGCGTGCAGGCTTTGCATTGGCTGCCTGAGGACCCTTCTTCGCCAGCCTGTGTCAGTCAGCACTTGTCGGCGTCGTCGTGTTTCGAGCGCTGCCGAAGGCGCTCCTGATCTGCACTGCGCTTGTGCACAAAGACATCCATCATCACCTGACCCTGCCTGCTCCAACTCGGCTCATGCCATGTCCTGTTGCTTTCGAGGGACATGCGCACTACGTAGGTGCAGTAGCGCCTGGGAGGGGCCCTGCCTGGGGGTCTCAGAGCCTGCCTGCCATGCGCCATGCATCACGCCCATCGTAATGTTGCACAAGGATCCGCCCTTTCGTGGCCTCGTCTCGTCTCGTCCTGGTCTTGCCTGGGGGCTTGGTCAGTCCAGCCACGCGGTGGCCCGGGCGAGCTGCCGTCGGCTGGTTTCTTTTCCTGGCCTGGCCTGCTCTGTGCCTGCAAACCACGTCATTGCCCACCGAGGACCCCGATCTCGATCGACAGCCAGGGTTGGCGAGCCTGGAGGATTGCCCGTGCAGCCGACAGGCATGGGTTGATGGACCCAGGTGGTGTATATACAACAACGACAACAACTTGACATGGTCAGACACATTACGCAGTAGAGTGGCTTGCAGGAGCAGAACCCGCCCTGCCAGCCCAGACCCTGGACCAGCTGTCGTGTTGCAAACCTGTTACCTAACGCACAGGCGCCTCAGACTCTGAAGCTGCTGCATAGCATCGCGCTTGGCCAAACTCAAATCTCCAAACGACAAGCACAGCACGTCAGCACAAACCACCACCACCAGCGACCTCAACCTCAACCAGTCGTCTCCCCGCCAAATCCGCAACGTTGCCTGGACCCTGGACACGCACGCCCTGCCATGGCGCCGCCAAAAAAAAAAAAAAAACACAAAACACCAGCCACAGTGCCAGCATCGTCTTCCCGCCCAACATGCCATCATTCGCTCCCCATCCTCCTCAGCCCCAGGTCCACTCCCCTTAGCCAGCACGCCTTGCGCTTCAGCCACCCCTCCATCGCCGGCGCCAGCCGTCCATCCTCGAACCCGCCCTCGAGCACCCCGACTGGCACAACCACCTTGTCCCGCATTGAACTGGACCCGGCCGGGCAGAACAGCAGCAGCCTCGTCCCGCATGTCCGGCAGAACTGCATCCGGCCTTCGACATCATCTCCATACGTGCTGAGCTGGTCTTCCAGTGGAACACCCTTCTGCTTCCCCCCGATTTCGGAACCGGAGCCGGCCCCAGTGTCATCATTGCCATCGCCGTCCTGTTGTACCGCTGCTCCCTCCGGCCCGGCCGCCACCTCCACCGTCAGGTCCGCGACCCGGAACGTCGCGTTGTGCGCAAACGCAGACCCCGAGAAGCGCTGGCAGTCGAGGCAGTGGCACAGGTACGCCGCCAGCGGCGCCCCCTCGGCAGGGTCGATGGTGAATGTGAGTGCGCCGCAGATGCACCGGCCCTTGAAAGGCCCATTCATCACGGTGGTGGCTGTGGCGGCAGCGGCAGCGGCGGACGGGTCTTGTGCTGCTGTTGCTGCTTCCTTTTCGCGGGCGGCGTTGCTGGCCATGATGGCTGGGGTTTTGTGCTGCTGTGCGCTTCTACCACCTGTGATGATGTTGGCAAGGAGGCCGACACGGATGGTGTCGCTGGTTGTGTCACTCTCCCGTGGACCGATCAAGATGTATAGCTTATCTCGAGCCGTGATGGATCGCCCTGTTGGCCAGGTGCACGATCACGGGCGACTTCTGATATCTGTCTGTCTGTCTGCAGAGCAGTTACGACTTCAGCGAGTTCGGGAGAGTACAAGCCTGCGACTCATCTACACCTCTGGCGGCAGCACAACCTAGCCTCCAGTTTTTATATCCCTCGTCAGCCCACCCTATTCTCCCCCAAACCCCCTCCTCCTTGCACCCCGCTCCGCCAGCCAGAAGGAAAGAGTCGTCGTCGTGACCAGCACAGCGAGGAACAGGCGTAGTTATTCACGACTCTCCGCGTGCATGCACGTCGTGAACCCACCCTTTTGGAAGCCAACTCCTGCCCTTGATGATCAAGTGCGGTGTATATTTGCATTGCGTGTGGCTTCCCGCATCGCAGATCACCAGGCAGCAACATAAGGCAGCAGCACCAACCAGCGACTGGACAACCTTATTTCCTTTTCGGGCATGTGTCGACCATTCACAGGTGTCCACCTGTGAGCGGGGATCCACACGCCTCCACAAGACATCTAGAGCTTATCGGCAAGCCTGCGTTGGAGAGCTTACGATGCTGGAAGCGCTATTCACTGACAGTGTGACTCTCGTAAGCATTGCTATATTACTGATTGTTGTTGGTGGTGGTGAGGCCGTAATGACTCGCAAGTCATCAGAACCCACCAGTCCCTTGCACTCGCTTGATCGCCCCCGTGAAGCCCTTCAACCAACTGAACTTGCCCGGGTCGACCCCCATCACGCCGTCAGCCTGCTTGCCCTCGGCGTCCCTCCATATGCCGTCCTCCTGGCTCAGCGCGCCATACCTATGCGTGTTCTGGTTCCGTCTCAGCCCGTCGATCCATGCCGCGCACACAGACTCGCTCTCGAGCATGATGTTGACCTCCTGGCTGTGATACCAGCTCTGCGTGTCCTGGTTGCCCGAGCCGACAATGGCAATCGACTCGTCCACAATCATGAGCTTGATGTGGCACGAGCGCTTCTTCTTTTCCGCGGGGATCGGCGCGACCTGGTCCTTGGCCGTGTACCAGTGGTAGTGCAGTCGCTTGCGCGCCTCGGGCGTGGACAAACGCCCATACAGATGTGCGGCCACCATCTCGTTGTGTCCTCCTTGCATGGGGAGGAGCTCGCCCTTGAGGTGAAGAGGTGTCTAATTAGCCGATACGCTCTCTACACAGCCGGCCTCGACAGAACAAGTCGGCTCCAGGCAGATAGATCAAAGGGTCCAAAAACTTACAGCATCATTATACCCCAAGCAAATGTAAGCATACACGTCGATGCCCCTCTCGCACGCCTCAATAATTGCGGGCACTAGAGGTTCCGCGTTGAGTGTGGGGCTCTGGATGAAGACGTTCTTCTTCGCATTGCGCAGCGCAGATAGCCAAGCTGCATTCTGTGGGTTCGACACCGAGTCGTGGTTCGGCGGGCCGTAGGGTGCCCGGTTCACCAGGGCAATCGGGAAGGGCTGTGAAGCAGGGTGCAATATATATGGTGTCATTGCGCCATCATCGTCAATGCTGTCCGTGTTGCCATGGTTGCCAGTCGTGGCGCCCGAAGTTGGAGGAGGAGTGCCCTTGAAGCCTTTATTTACCGTGTGGTTCAGATGCCGCGTCACGGCCTCCAGCTGGCTCTCTCCGGGCTTTGCACTTACGGCGGCTTGTACCCGAGCTACCTCTCCCGCGATATCGTCGTCATAGTGCGGATCCTCATGGGTGTGCTCGGCTAGGCGAGTGGCATCTCTGGCACCGGGAGTCGTGATTTGCAGCTGTGCCACGGCGAGATTATCTGCATCGGGATGCTGCTGCAATCCCTGCTGGTGAGAGGATGCGTTTCTTGAGTTTGCTGGCGTTGTTGTTGCGCCAGTGGAAGATGATATTTCTGCCTCGCCAGTGGTGGCTCTCCGGGCACCAACTACAGGGTTCTTCCCGGTGTGCTCGTCGACCAGCTCGGCTGGGCTGACGATATTGTCGGCGCCGATCCCATATGGCGCTTCCCGCTTCGGAAATCTTAATGGACCAGCATGCCTGAATTCATCAGGACTGGGTTCGGCTGCCAGGCCATTGGGTGTCGAGAGTGCCGCCTGGCACGATCCGGCGCTCAGCATGGGCAATGTCGGGCTCAGCTTCTTGTGCCACGAGAGCAGAGCCATGTCATACAAGCCGTCCACGATAGGACCCTCGACATGGACCATCATCTCGAGATTGTCGTTGTCCTGGATATTGTTACTCTGCACGATGCCAATCTTCCGGTCCACGACCATGAACTTCGAATGGAACGTGCCCAGCGGGATCAGATGTATATTGCGGATTTCGAGGTCGACATGGGGGATCTCGTGCGCCGCAGGCAAGTCGACGGCTTTGCCTGTATACTCCTTTTCCTGGACAACATAATGCGAGTCGAGCAGCTGTTTGGGGCTGCCGCGGTCATAAATGATCTTCATGGTCAGCCTCGTGCCGCGCTGACCTGCTCTGCGGGAAGCCTCTCTGATCGCGTCTGTGATGAATCGAGAGGCCGTACTCGCTTGCCAGAAATTCGTGGCCAAAATGACTTCCTTCTCGGCCCGCACGATCAGGTTCGACATGTGTCTAACGATATCTGGGATGCTGTTGATCAAGTCAATAAACAAGACACCACGATCAGAGAGATTCTAACCTTTACCGGGCTGGCTTACACCGAGACTACGACGAGAGGCACCGTGCCGCTGGTGCCCAGAAGCGATGGGCTCGCCATGCCTGCTGCAGGATCATGGTTCAGAGAACACAGTGCGTCGTGGTACATCTATGAAGCAAGAAGTGAGCAGTCGGTTCATCTTAGAAACCCTAGGCGATCTCGTTAAAAGGGAATTCCCGGCTTACCCTCAAGAAGAGATCACTTGGCCTAGTCTCACCCCATTGACCACATTTGAATGCCACGTCGAGCTGATCCTGTGACAATCTCTCCTCGTTATCGCTGGCCTTGTCATGTGTTGCGGCAGAAGCATGAGATGCCTGCTGCGTCTGCGGAATGTGGCTGGACTTGCTCTTCGCAAGCAATATTTTCCATGCCTCGCCCGGGGTCAGACTAGGGTCCTCGGCGAGCAGATCCGATACGCTCTCTCCGGACTGGCACAAGGCAGCGAGGCTGTCACTGATTGCTAGTCCCTTGGTGACACGTTCGGGCCCAGCATAACCGGAGTCTTTGCGAACGTGTGGCATGTCTGCAGCGGTGGAAGGATCTGCTGTGGTAGTCGATGTCTCTGGAGCTGTTGGTCCTGATGGACTGGTTGTATTCGTGCCACTTTCAGTCGTGGCAGCAGCGGCAGCAACAGCTGCAGAGTGCTGGTCAGGAACCCGCTTTATGGCGTAGGCGTTGTAAGGGAACTCGACGGCGGCCTGGTACAAGATACTTCCGAGTTTGGGTAGGCCGGTTTGGTCTGCGGGATGTTCTGGCTGTGCTGGAGGTGCCGGTGGTGTTGGCATTTTGGGTCACCTCTGCTTTCTATGCTTAACTGGGTATCTTGCTGACAAAAGAGCACTTCAGGATATCTTGGTGGTAAAGCTCAAGGTTTGAGCTGGTGCTGATCAACCCAGGCTGAGCTGATTGCTTTGACAGTGACGTTGAACACTGGATGTTCCGTGGCCAAGGCTCTGACCGTGAGCAAACAGGAAGAATGAACAAGACGGTGCGAGAGGGCAATTTCGGCAGACGGCACGACCAGAAGCAGGAGCAAGAAGAGCCAGAAGGGCGCGAGCAGGAGGCCGCGCCAGCACCGCCGTCATGGCCGAGGTCTATGTCTGTGCCCAGCCGGCTGCTGGGCATTCCTGGCGGTTCCGTGACAGCCGCTTGGGCCCGCCTTGTGGCGTATGCATGGCTCTCAAGGTGTGAGGTCTGGAAGGCCGGCGAGGTCCTCGCACAACGGCATCCCAGTAGTAATCACGACTTGGCTCTGCCTTTTGGAGCGTCAAGTAGGGGATGGTGCCGTGTAGCCGAACCCAGGCACACGGCGAGGCCCCTGGTGTCTGCTGGACGAAAGAGGCAGCCTATGCCTACCTTAGGTATGCCTGTGGCTAGCCGGGACAGGGACCAGAGCCAGAAAGCTTGGCCGTGCCTTTGACGTCAGGCAGGACAGCCAGTCATGGGAGGAGCGACGTTGGCCGGGTCGAAGTGGAAAGCTTGTTTGGCCCGCTAGCGGGGAGGGGCGGCGCTGGAGAACGCGTGGCTTCCTGCACAAAACCTGCATCACCACCACTAATTACCACCTTGGCACGCATCCATGTCGTGGACACTCAAAGGTCCGGACCATTGTTGCCGGGGACATGGCCACTCTTGTTTTTATTGCGGGCAAGCATGGGGCGAGGGGAGATGTGTAGTATCGTGACAGACAAACGCTCTGGTCGACATGGCATACGCTGACGAACACCAAGAACACCTCGCCTCCTCTGAGCAAGCCTCGTTTCCCCAGACACGTCGCTGCTGCTGAGAGGTCACCGCCAAAGCTCCTCCATTGCAGCACACTGCTTGGCCATCTGCAGCTGCTCGTCCGTCATGCAAATCAGCGTCCTGTGCGTCCTCCCCTCACCACGCCCAATCTCCACAACCACGTCCTTGCCGTCCACCTCGGCCTCGTTCCTCTTGCCGTCGATCCTGAATCCCAGGCACGCCGCCCTCTCCACGACTTCCCTCCTCAGCCTCGCGCTCTTCTCCCCAATCCCTCCCGCAAACACCAGCGCGTCCACCTCGCCGCGCAGCGCCACATAGTACGAGCCCACGAACCCACAGACCCGGTCCACAAACAGGTCAAACGCGAGCCGGTGCCGCGGGTCCTCGCTCGACGCAATCTCCCCAAAGTTGGTCGTCCCCGTCAGGGCCTTCCACCCGCTCTCCTTGTTCAGGATCTCCTCGGCCCGCGAGATGTGCAGTTCCCCGGTCGACGAAGGCGACATCTTGCCAACGTCACTGGCATAGTGGAAGACGAGGCTGTGCAGATTTCCCCAGTCAGCGTTGAACAGCGCTCAGTGCATGTTAATTGTTGTTGACCACATGAACAAGGCCAAAAATGAGTAAATGCGCAAGGTACCACGGCAGAACATACCTAGGATCAACACTCCCACTCCTCGTAGCGCCCGGCAGTCCCGCCAGCGGCGTCAACCCCATCGAGGTGTCAAGGCTCTTGCCCTTGCGTACCGCACACGCGCTCGCGCCACTGCCCAGGTGCAGCGCAATGATGCTCGTCTCGCCCACCGGCTTGCCAAGAAACTCGGCCACGGACTCGGTGATGAACTGGTAGCTGATCCCGTGGAACCCGTACTTCCGAAGCCCGTTGTTCTTCGCAATCTCCGGCTTAATCGGGTAGGTGCTGATGTGCGTGGGGATGGTCGCGTGGAACTGCGAGTCAAAGCACGCAACGTTGGTCGCACGCGGGAGCAGCAGCCGTTGCTGGCTCTTCCCCTCCTCATCCTTCTCATCGCTATTCCCAACCTTGCTCCCCTGGTCGCCCGTCCCGCTCATGCACAGCTTGACAATGGCCAGGGCGCTGCTGTTGTGCAGGGGCGCCAGGTCCGTGAGCTCCTCGAGGTGGTGGTACGTGTCGGCCGTGATGGTCTGCGGGGCCGTGTAGTCGCCGCCGTGCACCACTCGGTGGCAGGCAATGTCAATGTCCGCGGCCGAGCCAATCTCGGCGAGCTGCTCGTCCTGCACCAGCGTGTCCAGCAGGTACCTGAAGGCATCTTGCTGGTTCTGGATGCCCTTGCCGGTACTGTCCTTGCTGTTGCCACCATTGCTCACTTCTTTATCCTTGAAGACGTTTGTGGCGCCCCGTGTATACTTGACGGCGCATGGCGGCGAGGTGAGCCCGCTGAGCTGGATCTCGGCTAGTTGTGTTGGGACGCTGGTCGTGCCTTGTGCTGCCGAAAACACGGAGACCTTGACGGAGCTCGAGCCCGCATTGATGGAGAGAATGACCTTTTTGGCCATGGCTAGGAGTCGAAAAGGTGGAATATGGGACTGGAGATTCTTCAATGCCCCAGGCTGAGTATGACGGGCCCAGGACTGACAGCCGATTTCTCTGCCAAGTGTAAGGAAAAAGTGCACCTTGGACTCCAATGCTCAGTACGGGGTGTGCAGTGCAGCAAACAAACTTTTAGTTCGGTCATTGATTATAATCGGATCACCCGGTGGTCTGGGTGACCCCACCCGAGCATGTTTGGCTCATCGGCCGACAATGACGTTGATGCAAGAGCTGCGTCAAGTAACTTGGAGGAGCTCGCCGAGCTCGCTAAGCCTTGCGGCAAGTGGGCCGATCGGAAAGCGCCGAGCGGCCCCACATTAGAGCTTCCCGGCCGGTCCAAAATCGACCCATTTGAGCCCGGTCTCTGCTACCATCTGCTGCCTGCTTTCTACAATGGCATCGTGTGCGTGTAAACGCAGAAGCTATCCCAAATGACCTGCTCTCAGTACCATGGAGTGCGTCACCCTTGGCTGAGCACGAGATCCGGCCTCGTACCGCGGAGACGACTTTGGTCGTAATGCCCAGGGTTCTTCTTTGTCTCACTATGCTGAACGATTCCTCTCGGTGTGTTCCCTTGTTTGGTCCTTCTCCGCGGTATTCTTAGTGAGTGTCGCTCAAATTACCCACTGTAAGTCAAGCCCGTAAACTCACTTCATTACTGAAGGCAGTATTGATCGGCCCGGAGACAAGCACCAGGGTCAGCCTGCGATTGAGCAACAGCGAAAGATGAACCTGATACGCGGGTGTTGAGACGGTACACAAGCTCGGATACTCGATATAGCGAGGGCTTACTTCAGCTAATCACTGCCATGATATAGAACCGCAGCCAATCGTTTGAAGAGAGCGCTCTGATCTGGTCGGGCCGATTACCAGCAATTCCGCCCTTTTCATGGTAGCAGTCATGTGTGCTGTACGAAGGCTGTACTTTTGACCACAGTGATTCTGCCACCGATGGCTGTCTCTGGTTGGATTTGGTTGATATTGCTCGTGCAGCGCCGTCAAGGTGGGATCTGATCGTCGTCGACCTCTGGCACCGGGAGCATTTGCGAATAGTACAGCTCGCTGCTGCCCAGATCGTACGGTATGTTGGAGGGCATCTCGGGCGACGGCAGCTCGAAGCGGTTCTGGGGATACGCGACGCCTCGAAACTCGCTGTCCGTGCTGTGGGCTATGATCCAAGCCTCGATAAATCTTCGATAATCTAAACGGGCAATTATCCGTCAGTGCTTTCATAACTTGAGAGAGAGGACAAGAGGAGGCGATCCCGCCCGCACCTTCCGACCGGCTGAACTGTATCCCCAGATACCGGATGTCGGGCCCGCCGCTCGTGGGCGATGTCACTGATCCTACAGACCGTTGCCGAGCCCTGATCAGGCCGCCTAGGGATCGACTCGAGCCTTCTGGAGCACTCCCGCGCCGCCCACGCACAGCCAGACGCAGCGACCGGCGTCGGTCATCGCGGGACTTGACTTCGCCCTCGAAGTGCTCGACAAAATATTCCTTGTAGCGCCGGTCCCTGTCTACGCGGTTCGCGAATACGGTGAGCGAGTGGGCCGAGCTGTACTGGTCGGCCCAGAGCTTGAGGCGTTGCACTGTTCCAATTCCCTTGACGCTACCAAAAGAATCTGTCCGGCCGTGGGTGTCTGTCCAGACAACATCAACGTCGAAGCAGTCGACCAAGTCCTTCCTCCTCAGATCTCCCTGGAACTGAAAAGATGCCTCGACCGAGGTAAACTCGTACTTGACTTCGATCGGCTGGTCGAGTAACACCTCGCCGTCCTCGTTGGTATATCGAACACGCTGCCTGGTGCGGAAGGTGACAAACTGTTCCAGCTCGAAGGGATTGGCAAATTGCCGGTGCCTGGCATGAAGAGTGTGGGGTATGGTGTCGGCCGGCAATGGAGGTACTTTTCGTTTTTGTGTGCGCGTTAGAGAGAAATCGTCCTGAGCCAAGTCGCTTGCGGCTTCCTTCCGAACAGGGTCGTGTACTCACGAAAGTGCTCGAGCCGTTCCATCTGGTAACTGCACTGCCATAAGACGCGACGCTCCTCGTTGCCCACCACTTCCCACGGGCCGAGATAGATGGTCTTCTCCTCGGCCGTGCCCTCGAACAAGACTCTGTGGTGATCATCGTGTGAGCGGACCATCCCGTAACGGTACAAGGTGAACCTAAGAACCACAGGGTGCGGCTTACATTGTTGCTTGGTAGCCTGGTGGTCCCAGATCAAGGGGCCGCAACGCCTCGACGAGCTGATCATAGTCGCTGGAGAGTGCCGAAACGGAGTCCGGGGTGGTGTATTGGGATTCGTGCGAGGAGAACGTGGGAGGATATGTCCCGTACGAGGGCGGGCGCGTGATTGAGGTAGAAGCATACGACGATGCCGAGGACGAGGATGCGGCCATGGCCGCGGGGCTCACAGAGGAGCAGCTGCTAGGTAGTCCCCGCGTCAACTCGGAAGGCCAGACGGGCCTTGACTGGCTGCACTAGCACGAAATCAGCAGCAGTTGTGGATGACGTGTCGCGATGCAGACTCTCAGTGCTGTGGCGAGGTCTGGCATGGCCGACGCGAGGGCACAAACTCTCGGGAACTTGTCGTCGAAGCTGGTGAAAGGCGATGGTGGTTTGGTAACCACGGCGGGTTCGCCCGTGGTCCTGCAGAAAGGTGATGGGGGAGCCGTGTGGTCTAGATCTTGGGTGAGCCTTGCGAAGAGGGTTATGAGCCCATGAAGTGTGCCTCGGGAGAAGGACGAGGCAGCTCTGATGTCAGTTACCACGAAGAGGAAATCGGAAAGGCGTGGGGGGTGGTCAATGGACGGCCCGGCCCCCGTTGGCGACGAGAATGCCAGCCCGCAATACCGCACAGTGAAGCGAGACGTATGGCGGGGAACCTGGGATGCATGCAGGCCAGACCGGGTCCCAAATCACCAACACAACAAGCCTGGCTGGCTGTCCTGTGTGAAGGAACGGACCGGATGGCTGCGCTGCGCTTTCAGGGCTCCGTTCAGCCCGGTCGGGGGTCGTCGTCCCCGGAACGGCGACAATTCGATGCACCTGTCCAAATGCACGCTATTGTTGGCGGTTTGATTACCTAGACCCGACCCCTCTACACAGTCTGCCGCTTATCATAGTCCACACAGTAAGTATGTCATTGTCACTTGCGCGAGCTCGCACGACTTCACCACGCCTGGCTTCACAGCCTCCACAGAAGATATACTCTCTTTTCATCCGACACTGCGGCAATCAGGACAAATAACACCAGCCGGAGGTGGCGGCTCCAGAGAACGTGCCCCGTCGACGAGGCGTGCTGGAGATGACGGGCATGCAGGAGTGCCCAGGCTGGCCGGTTGGAGTCCGCAGACCGTAGGGCAGCAGGAGCCAGCACGGAGGGCACATGGAGTCAACGGCGGACTGTCACAGGGCCGTTGAGGACGAGGCCAAGCTGCGGTGGCGCCGTCAGCCCTTCCAAGGTTGAGCCGATGGATTGGCGCTTGGTCGTAGGCCGCGGAGGGACAGTGCGGCGCATACTGTACGGGCAAGCCCTGCTCAAAGCTAGGCTTCGACAGCTGTGGTTTCAGGGACCAGTGCCCAATCAGGGCCCTGCATCTGCCCACGTTGTCGGGCCCTTTGCTGCGGATCGCTCCCGGCCTGCTGGGGTCCTCGAGAATTAACACATGGGGTCCCGCCTTTTTATCGTCTGGAACCCTGCCAACCAACACTGGCACCACGATGGCCTCGTGCTCTGCATACTTTGTTCTTGCGATACTCACTCGGCGTTCTGAGGCCGCGATGTCGCCTGCGCGGTGCACATGGGGACCAGTGCGATCCCGCCTGCCTGCCTGCTGCGTGCAACATTGTCACACTCGAACGACTTGTAACTGGCGAGATCCTGACAGTGCCCCCACCCCCACATCATATCTGAGTGGATGCTCGTCCCAGCTGGATGGGTGAGGCGAGAGTTGTCGATGGCGAGCAGTTGCCATTCGCCTATGCGGCAGGTCGCCCGGAGCTCACCTGTGGCTCATCGCGTTGATGCCTGTGGTTTCTGTTCCGCAATGGGTCTGGATGACGATAAGCCGTGGCGCCCGCGTCCTGCCTGGCCAAAGTATTCCCTTGATCTGCCGGGCTTGCAAGAGCTCATGCTCGTCGTATCTTTGCCGCGACAGCTCACTGGTCTACGTAACTCGAGCACAGCTGGTGATCTTTTGCCATGGGACGCGCCTATCCACCTTGAGACGTGTGTCGGCGCCGGGGGACCCAGCTGCCAACCCTCCCTGGCACCTTGGCCTCAATATTGCAGGTTTGGAGCCCATCCCACCGGCCTGATTCATTACAGCACCCGAAAGCGATCTCTCTGCCTGCCGTGACCGAGCTGAACAAGTCTGGACGGTGGCCAAGCCCTTGCACAGTGGCGCAAGTGTGCCTGCCCAGACAAACCCACTTTGGCCGCTGCTCAGGTATTAGTTGGCGGACGTGCCCGTCCGCGCCTGCCCCGACCAGATTGTCCCCGTGGTCTGCTATTTCCAAGCAACAATTCTCGCCCTCCTCACAACTCCCGACTATTCGCAAGAGACGCACTCCTAGAAAGGGCGGTCTTGAAAACGGACAGCATCCAAAGCCACGCCGGCTCAACGTCAACGGCCCCAAGGTTCTCGTCTTGCAGATCCAATGCCCCAGACAGACAGCACGGCCAAGCGGGGACCACCAGCACAGCAGCAGCAAAGAAAGTGACGCTCTGTTGCGCTCCACCTGACCTTGAAGACTGCGAGAACAGCGGGTGACCGAGCCCGAAGCAGCATAATCAATCCCTTTGCTTGTTTTGTAGAAACTTCCCAACGCGGCTGCAATCAACCATCCATCGGGTCGTCATCTGCTCTCGCAGAACTCACGCACGTTCTGTGCAAGGTGAACCTCTCGGCCGGGTGCATGTTCGACAGGGACCTGGTCTCCATTTCCCAGCGTCGCATTCCCTGCTCCACCACTTACAGCGCTGACAGCGTAGCCTCGAAAGCCGTCTTTGGTCAGCCTCTCCGCTGCACAACACTGCACAGAGCACACTGCACAGAGCACGCCTCCTCGAGCAACGCCCGTCCCCCTCTCGCCACTCGCGTGCGCTGCCGCATGCCCCGTGAGCACTGCGGCCGTCATGGATGATGGCGTCTTCGAGGCAGAGAAACGTCGCAACCGTGGCTTTCTCGGCTTCGACAGCGCAGCTCTCTCTGCCAGGGACGCTCAGGTGCGTCTTCTTCGTTCCAGATTTCTGTTGCCCTCCCGAATTCGGACGCAGCGCAGACCCTTGCAGTTGCTGACACGGGACCTCTCCTCCGCCATAGGATCGTCGCCAGCTTCGCTACGAGCTCGATCTGAACTCCTGGAACCTTCGCATCTGGGGCGTAGCTGCGTCGGGGTTCCTGACCGACTCGTAAGTCCTCTGGCTGCTCTTGTGCACATTCTCGAGCTCATCCTTTGGGCCCGGCGCTTGTCTTCGAGACTGACCCACTCCACAGGTACAACCTATTCTCTACCAATGTCATCTTGGCATCCATCACATTTGTCTACTTTCCGGATCAGAGGTGGCCGGGACTCTTGATCAACCTCTTCACCCTTCTCGGCTCTGTTGTCGGCCAGCTTCTCTTTGGCTTTCTCGCCGATTTCTACGGCCGCACCAAACTGTACGGCATTGAGCTCATCCTTGTCATTGTCTCCACCATTGGTGTAGCCACCAGCAGTCATGGCGTTGGCGACCTCTCGTTCCTCGGACTTTTCATCTGGGTTAGTCGCGCTGTCTGCTCTTACTGCGTGGATCTCATGTGCTGATAATCTTGAACTCCAGTGGCGCTTCGTTATGGGCATAGGTACGTAGTGACCCACCAATCCACGCAGCGGCAGGATGCTTTGCGCCGTCAAGTATTCCTGACTGACACCTGAATTCACTTGCACAGGAATCGGAGCAGAATACCCATTGTCGGCAGTCATCACATCCGAATGGTCAAGCTCGCAATCACGGGCGACGATGCTGTCATCCGTCTTCCTCATGCAACCATGTGGCCAGGCACTCGCACAGCTGGTGGGGCTCTGGGTTCTCCTGGGGCGTAACAGCACTCACAAAATCTACGACATGCAATGTGGTCTCAATGATCTGTACGAGGATGAATGCAGGCAAGTCGTTGACGGGATCTGGCGCATCGTCATCGGATCTGGTGCGATTCCCGCTCTGCTGGCCATCATCTTTCGCTTCTTCCTCTACGACTGCGGCCTGTACAGTCTCGAGGTCAAGAACAAGCCCAGTCGGGCCTTGAGAGACACTCAGAGAGTGTATGGCTCTCTTCCCAGCAACTCCATCGGTCTCTCGTCACCCACGGGGACCAATCAGCAGCGATCGCCCATGCCGATGCCTGTCCAGTTCTCGCGGGAGGATTTGTACAACTTTCTCATCCGCGACGGCAATTGGCTTTATCTGCTTGGTACCAGCATGACGTGGTTCATGTGAGTGGAGGAGGCCTGACCCCGGGACTCGTGTCTCTCCTGGCGCTGACCCTTTTCTCCCAGTCTTGATGTCGGCTTCTATGGCTTTTCCCTGGACAACCGCGGCACCTTGGCGGATATGTGGGCCACGACGAAAGCCGTTCCAATTACAGACGCCTTGTCCTGCTGGGAATCATCGCTTCCAGGAGGCAACTCGACGGTGCCAGGATGGGCTCTGACCGGCCTGCCTGCATGGGCGACTGATGCGACGAAGCCATGCCAGACCATCTACGATGTCTTGCTCGAGCAGGCACAGCAGTACTTACTGACAGTCTCGATCCCCTCGATCGCCGGGAGCGCCTGCTTCGTCTTCTTTGCCAACCGCATCCCCCGCAAGCAATGGCTCACGGGATCCTTCTTCGTCCTGGCCGCCCTCTTCGTCATCACGGGTGGTGTCTACTACGGCGTGGCGCACACGCCCGGCGCGCCGGCGACCATAGTCTTTGTCTGCGTCTGCCACTTTGCCTTCAACTTTGGCGCCAACACGCTCACCTTTATCATCCCGGCCGAGATCTTCCCGACTGCCTACCGGTGCACATGCCACGGCATCTCGGCCGCGGCCGGCAAGATTGGCAGCCTGGTTGCCGTGCTCGTCGTGTACGGCATCAACACGGGATACAAGAGCGACACCAGGCAAGGGTTGGTGTTTGTGCTGTTCGGTTCCGTGCTGCTCCTCGGAGCGTTGTACTCGTGGGCGTACCTCCCAAACATTGAGCGCAGGGTCGATACGGGCAACGGGCACAGCTACCTCGAGACCAAGACGCTCGAGGAGCTCGGTGGAGGCCGGGAGCAGGCCCGGCTCGAGGGGGACATCATTACCGTCAAGGACAAAGTCCGCGAGCTGCGACGGCGCCGACGAGAGCGCAAGAACCATGAGCGCTCCAGTCGTGATGGCGAGGAGCACGGACACGGACACGGACATGATGATCAGGATATTACGGCTGGCCCAGCCGGCGATGGTGGTCAACGCCGCTTCCGTGAGCCGCAGTCAAGAACAATACCATTGTCCGAGCTGCCGGTGCCAGAATCCACATACGACCCTCCAGGGAGGTAGTGGTCGCCAGCGTATACGTAGATAAATGGCCCCTTTCAAGTCTCAATCTGACTACCATGCAAGAATGTTTAGATCCCATAACCCGAGCCAAGACCGGCATTAAACCTCTTTTCTCCATCCCCATCCCGTCTAGATGCTCCGAGAAAATTCAAACCCTTGCCTTGAGCGGAGCCTTCCTGAACAAGCACCATCCCAGGACGTACAGACCCGCCCCGAGCGCGAGCAGGGCCGCGTACGTCGCGAACCCCTTGACGTACTGCGGCGCGTCGGCGGCGGGCCAGAGATAGCTGCTGTAGATCTGGGCGAGGTTGCCGAGGCCGGACATGACGGCGAGCGCGACGGCGCGGGTGGCAGGCTCGACGGCGCCGAGCTCGGTAGTCGCAAAGGACAACGCGAGCGGGACGGCCGAGTACATGGCGCAGTTGAGCAGGCACATGAGGACGTAGCGCGCGACCAGGGAGCCGACAACGGCGGCGGCGGCGGCGGCCACGGCGCTCAGGAGCGCGCCCGCGAGGAGCGTCGCGGAGAGGTATGCTCCGCGCCAGTGCGGGCGCCGGTCGGCCAGGTAGCTCAGCGCCACTGCGAAGGGGACCGCCACGACGTACAAGGGTGCGGTCATGAACTGGGCCGTGACGGAGTCGTAGCCGAGCCCTTCGACGAGCGTGGGGTAGAACTACCCGATGGTGAAGGAGCCGTCGACCATCATGAAGGCAATGAAGATGATCCAGAAGGCCGGCGTGGTGAGCGCCGCCCACAGGGCTTTGGGCAGGGTTACTACTTTGCGGCGAGGCTCGTCGCGGCCGGGACTCGTGCCCGTGTCGAAGCCGTCCGCGTCGAGGCGCCTGACGGCCAGGGCGCGCTCCTCGGCCGTGAACTTGTTGCACTGCTCGGGCTGGTCGAGGAGGACCAAGGGGCTGAGGAACGCAACGCCAACGGTTATGACACCCTCGACGAGGAAAAGCCACCTGTGGGGGGAGGGATGGGATGATTCATGTTAGTAGCGAGGTCATGAGCAACACTGAAATGGAATACTGAGAGCGCATATAAATAAAAGAGACATGCGCGGATGGAATCATCATCATCAGCATGGAGAGCAAGATACGCACCTCCACCCAGCAAGACCGTGAGCACCGTCAAGCCCACTAGCGATCAGTCCCGCGAGGATGCCGGCAAATGCCCCGGACAATATGCCCGCAGACCAAAACACCATGAAGCGCCTGCTCTGCTCGTGCCGGCGGTACCACACCGAGTACACGTAAAACACTGCCGGGCTGAAGCCAGCCTCGAGGGTGCCCAGGGCAAACCTCAAGCCCCAGAGCTGCGCAGGGGTCCTGGCTGCCGCCATGGCCGCCACGACGATGCCCCAGAGACCCATGATGGCGCTCATGTAGTAGCTCGCCTTGGTGCGCGCGAGAATCATGTTGGACGGCACGCTAAAGACGACGTAGCTGACCTGGAACAGGTTGATGGCCAGGCTGTAGTCGGTGTCTGAGAGTCCCAGATCGCGGCTCATGCCGGCGACCCTGGCGTTTCCAATGTTGCTGCGGTCCATGTACTGTTATTTCGAAGTCAGCTGCCCGTGCTAGACTGACAGTCTAGCCTATGGGGGTGGAGACATACCGCAAGCAGATAGAGGAACCAGATGCTGGGCATCAGGTACAAGTCGATCTTGCGCACGAGCTTCTTCTCAGCAGTTGTGTTCTCTTCGAAACGTGCTGCGGAGTCGCCACTTTTGAGACCAGTGTGGTCTTCTTGGATGGCCGTGTCCTCGAGGCCATTCTCAAGGCGATACGTAGGGGTCGTCATTGTTCGGGGTTGGCCTTTGTCGGGCGTGCGCCGTCAAGTATATTGTGGACGTTTGAGACGGACCTTGAAGGAGGGCAAAAGCACCAGCAAGACGATGATGGACAGAGCGGAAGGCAGGGCTCGGTCATCTCTCCTGAAAAGGGCCCTCGGCGAGGGGTACAATATTGGCTTGGTCCTACAGGAAGAAGCTAATATCGGAAAGGATCTTCACGCCGGCGGGATGAAGCAGTAGCGTGAGTAATTCCCATGACTATTTCCCTAGTTGCCAAGCTCAGCTCAAGCATGCTCGGATGTGGCGCAACCATGGCTGCTGTGGGCAAAAGCCTCCGATCCCCGGGGATGGTGAAGCTTGGCGGGCAGCAAGTGTTCTTGGCCACGGGCCGTCGACCAATGTATGGTCCGGGGGCGGGACCGGTGCTGGGGAAGATGGAGCCGACACCCTGGCCGGGGCGGCACCCCGGAGTGGGGTTCCGGAGGTCGGATGCGGGGGATCCGCGGTATGTTACATGACTGAGCAAATTGGCCATGACTGCGCAGACCATTGGGAGTGAACCATGGCAGCGTTTTTCAAAAAGTGAAATTGAACTTAGAGACAGGCTGCCCTTGTGCAATGACCTGCGGCACAGCTCCAGGGCCAAAAGTTGCACGGCATCACCGAGCCCTCCACTTCGCCAGTACCACCCGCCCACCAGAACACCCGCATCCCACCCTCTTTTCTTCCCGGCAAACCACAGCACTCGGACTCTATGCCGATGGCCCAGAGTTTCAAACCAGTGGCCAGACCCCTTAGCGAGACTTGGCAAGGTATTCCTCGTGTCGAGCTTGCTTAGACAGAACGGTGCCTGCCATGGCACGCGTCAGCAGAGACTCTGGCAGCATCGCCGCGATGCCATCCTGCAGCTCGTGGGTCCAGTCCGGGTGCATCCTCAGCATGCCTCGAGATATTGCGGCGTCCATCTTCCGAACAGCGTTGCGAGCGTACTCCTGGGCCGTCGGGGTCAGAGCAGGAAAGGGACCAAAATGATTGGCCTGGCTGATGACGTCCCCGGGCGCAATACTGATGCTCCGAATGTTGTGGCCCATGATGCGCGCCTCTCTGTCGATACAGTGGCTGAGCGTGTCGACGTATGCCTTGGCAGAGCTGTACAAGGGCAGGAGTGGCAAGCCCAGCCGAGCGCCAGAGCTGAGGTTGATGACCACGGCCCGCGGCTGGCTCAGCAGCACGGGCATCAGCAGCTGGGTGACGTGTGTCGTGAAGCGGACGTTGAGATCGAGCATCATGTCCATGTCGTGCGCTGTGTATGCGGCTATCTCTTGGAAGCGCGGCGTCAGCCCGCCGACGTTGTTGACCAGGATCGAGATGGGAAGCTTCGAGGGCCTCTGCATGGATCTGGCCAGTTCTTCTGCATCAAAGCCCATGGCATCGAGGTGGATGATCTCGACCTTGGCACCTGGTCGTAGTGCCTTGAGCGATTCCGCAGCACTTTGGAGTTCATCGAGGCGGTGCGAGTGGATTATGACATTGAAGCCGGCAAGGATCAAGGCATGAGCGAAGCCGTATCCAATGCCTGCCGAGGACCCGGTAATGAAAGCCCAGGAGGACTCCTTACTTGGGTCCTGGTATTGCTTGAGAGGGCGTTTCGAGGTCCACAAGTGGAACGAGAGGAAGCGCAGACTGCGATAGATGAAAGCGACGATGACTGCGAACCCCACAGCACATGGCAGAGCGAGTATAGCCGACATGGTTCAGCGAGGATACGTCCTTGCCTTGTAGTTGTCTCCACTTAGTTAATCTTGGTCGTCCTGGGGATAAGAACGAGGTGTACTCGGGCGAATCTTGCTCTTGGAGGCGGACCCTGTGTGGGCTCTCTCTGAACATGGGCTGAAGAGTTGCGCCCACGGTAATCCACAGTAACGCCATCTTGCGGGCTTTAGATAAGCGGTCGTATGCAGTGGCTGGGTCGAGCCGGGTTATGTACCCGTCTGCGTTTCATTGCATCCTAGGCCTGTGAGGGGAAGCCGTCACACGACAAGACCACTCTGGCAAGAACGCAGCAAGAAAACAATGTGATGGTCGCAGCTAGAAGAGGTTCAACGGAGACGTCGCTTGGAAACAAGTGAATTGCCCACGATGTCAAATGACAAGAGAAAGTCGGAGCAAACAGATGAGATTACTTGCGTTAGTCAGTTATAAGGACAACCAAGTACGGCAAAGTTGGGTACCTTAAGGCACGCTACGCTGTCAGCAAGCACCAGTGCCCCGCACCGAGCAGGAGCTCCAGCTACCCTTACCCCACGGGCGCGCCGCCTTGCAGGGCACTGGGATAGGGCTTATCGCGGCCTTCTGCCTGGAGACAGGGTGCTGATTAGCGGTCCGCTGACGCAACTAGCGCTGCCGGCAACCCACTTGAGCACTTGCGTCGCTCACTCACTCACAAGACCACGCGGTTCCAGTGGTCACCAGCTACAGCCAGGAACCATCTCTCTGCGGCACCCCCTGTCCTCCCAAGCAAGCTCCATGACACAGCACGGTGAGCTCTTGTAGCCTGAGGCCCCATTCCCTCCCAGCGGCAACGACTTTCTGCACCTTGGCTCTTTTCTCTCTCCCGCCTCTCCCTTCCTCAAGGTTGATTGTCCGCGGACGACGTCGAGTCCAACCCCCGCCTTAGCCCGTCATAAGAACCCGGGGCTTCCTGGTCCGACGCCCGAGCCCACACGAGCCCCCAAGCATCGCCGACTGTGTGCTAGGTACGATCCGCCCGTCACAAAGAAGATACTCCGTGCCAGCAGATCCCCATGGGGTCCCTCAGGTCGCAGGGCCAGAGGCACACCTCGATGGCCCCGCCGCCTGCTGCGAGCTCTGCCTCGGCCAAGCGAACCCCTCTGCGAATCCTCTGCTTCGGCGACAGCCTCACGTCAGGGTTCCCGACCGGCATGCCCTATGCGGTCCAGCTGCGCCTCAAGCTGGCCGCCGCGTTCCCACACCACGAGATATACTGCGAGGTAGAGGGCGTGCCCGGGGACCAGGTCGCAAAGGGCAAGTTCATCGAGCGGATGAACCTGTCCTGGAAGCTCGCGGAGCGGGACAAGGAGCCCTACGACTGGACGATAGTCCTGGGCGGGACAAAGTACGTAATTTTTGCAGACACTGTCCGTCGGCAGTCCCCTTTCCCCCCGGTCTTGACATGGTCGCAGTCTTCTCGGAGAGATAGAGAGAGAGCTAACCACATGTGTCCCTGCTGCTACTAGTGATCTCGGCTGGGGCACCCCCATATCTGACATCAAGCAGGCTCTCGAAAAGTGTTGGGACATCGCCCTCGCCAAGGGCTCCAAGGTGCTCGCCCTGACCGTGCCCGAGACCAAGTATAACCGCGACAAGCTCATCAGCCAGAGGGAAGAGCTGAACGCCTTTATCAAGGACACCAAGAAACGCGGCTTGTAAGTAAACAGAACGTTCCCCTCTACTCTCTTCTCTCCCCCATGCGGCTTTGAATGCCACTTTTGGTAGCAGCAGCAGCAGCAGCAGAGTTCGAGTCCCACAAAATCAAGCATATATATAAGGTATATCTAAAAGCTGACGGGGGGTGGGGACCATTTCATAGCTTCTACCACGACCTCCACAGCTCTTTCCCCTACCACTCATTACCGCCATCGAGGAAGCCCGAGCTGTGGAACCCGGACGGGCTGCACCTGACGAGCGAGGGCTACGCCGAGGTCGGGTCCAAGGTCGCCGACGAGCTCATCCGGCTGATACGCCTGCAGGAAGCCACCGAGACCGAGATCAGCTCCATCTTCACCGACGCCCGGCAGCGCCGTGCTGTGGAAGACCTCATACAAGAGGAGGAGAGGGGGGACCCGAAGCTCCTGAGCCAGGGCTACATTTATGTGCGGCGGCATGATCTCGACTGAACTAGGCGTTGCCTTCTGGGTTAAACAAACAACCTGGATTTTTCTATATTCCGGCTTTGGAAATTGTGGCGTTAATTCTGGGGCATCACTCACACGCACGCACGCACATAACATGTCCCATATTCCCCCATGATGCTTGCACAATCTCAAGATTACTGGCGTTTTTGGTGTTCCCATCTTTTCAAATATTCTCTTTTGTTTCTTTTAGATATATTTGCCGCGAGTGTCCGGTCACATGAAATAGAGGAACCGACCATGCTATCATTTCCATACCCTTTAACGCCTGCCAACTAAATGCTCATGCAATAACGACTTGGTCTAATTGCTGCTTTCATACGACGAGATTCGCAGCAACAAAGTCCTAAACCGGCATCAGGTCAGCTTCATGGGTCTGGCACTCTCAGGATCATTCTTCGTTCCACAAGGAGGGAAAAAAGAGATGACAAAAAAGAAAGGGAGAACCTCAACATACCGGAAACTCGCGCTGCAGGGCGTTGGTGATATTCTCAACCTCCTCAGCCAGGCTCTGCACATTGGCATCCCAGCGCCGCATCTCCTTGCCGATCGTGACCTCTGCCCTGCCGCTGCCCTTCTCGCCACTCGCCTCGCGGTTTTCAAAGTAGATGACCTGCTCGATCTGGTCTATGCTGCCCACCAGCCGGCCCTGCTCGATCATGCGCGCCGTCGTGTCCTCGGCCTTGTCCGCATCGAGCCCGAGCAGCGTGCCGAGCGCCTCGAAGCCGATGCTGCTGTAGAGCCGCGACGCGCCGAGGAGGTTGTGCTCGACGACGGCCTTTGCGAGGACGGTGGACCCGTCGCTCGTGGTGGCGAGCTGGTGCGGCGACAGGCCCTGGGCGAACTTGTCGACCTCTGCGGGGGCGAGGAGGCGGTCGAAGAACATCTTCTCGAGCATGCCAAACTCGTCGAGGTTGACGCTCCGCTCGTCCTTGTACAGGCGGCCGAGCGTGCGGCTGCGCAGGGGGCCCGCGGGGGCGAGGATGGCGCACTTGACGGCCATGCTGAGCGTGTGCAGGCGCTCCTCGTCGCTGATGGCCGGGGACAGGCTGATGTCGTGGTAGGCCTGGGCGCTGGCGAGGAACTCGCGCTTGGCGTCCTGGATGCGGGCGGTGCTGAGCTTGAAGTGCAGGTTCAGCGCCGGGTCGGACACGGTGTAGATGATGTTGCGCAGCTTGTTGAGGTACGTCTCGGCCGTGGTCGTGTCGTCAATCTCGAGGTAGTTGCGCACGATGCGCACCCATATCTTGACGCGGTCCTCGTTGGTCACCTTGCGCTGCGAGCTGTCGAGCGGGATCTCGGCCAGCAGCTTCGCCGCCTCGAGGTTGTCCTCGTTGCTCTCGTGCGCGTCCGCCATGAGCTCCCGCACCGTGGCGCCCTGGTCGACAAACGAGTGTGACTGTGACGAGAGGTGGTTCAGCACGTGCTGGCCGACCTCGATTGTGAGGTCTGCATTGTCGAAGCTGCCGAGGGCGGTGATGTAGGCGGCGAGGATGGCGCGCTGGGCGACGATGCCAAAGTTTGGGCTCGCGAGGAAGGCGTCGGCAATGTCTCTGAAGTCGGCCGCCACTGACTGCGGTGTTGATATGGTCTTGAGATTTGAAAGGAGCGACTCGAAGAACGCCGTCTGATCAGATGCTGACGCAGCCTGGTCCAGCGCCTCTTGGACCTTGGGGCTAGCCATGGCCGGTGGAGGTGCTCGGTGGCGGGGGCCGGGTACGTATGTTGTGCTTGCGGTGTCTGATGTTAGGATCTGAACCAGAAAGGGATGTCGGCAAATTAGACGCTTGCTCAACGTGCACCTCTAGTGCTGGTCGTTTGAATGTGTTGTGTGATGGTCGGTTGACGATGCTGGCTGCCTTGACGTGGGGTTCACCACCATCGGAGAGCTGTTGGAGTGGGGTAGCTTCAGGGTACTCAAGTGGGTCCCGTCCCCGTCCTCGTTGTGAGGCGTTCCTGATATTTCGTGGCAACACGATTCGACATGCTTGATTTCTGTGCAAATCTCGTGAGAGCTTTATTTCATGATGAACGAGAAAGGCTTGGGTATGTCACGCGTTGGGGCATTCTGCACACTGTAGTCGACGCAGAGAAGTAGATGCAGTCACTGGTTACTGAATTTAGACCCTCCCTTGGGAGTCGTACCTGTTGCAAAGTACGTGCGCGTCTTGCACAGAACTCGCCAATGTTTTATTTTGTTTTTTGACATTTGGTACACTTTGTATACAAGATATATACACAATCGGACAAGATTCGTCCTTGGAGCAATTATCGGAGCTCTCGAGGTATCGCAAAGATGCTGAGATGAGAGTCGCGGCCTCTATATTATACACTCCCGTCTTATCTTCGCAGAGGAGTTTATTCAGCTGACAAAATTTCAGGGTTTTCGTCTTGTGCCGGACGAGCCGACACAAGGTCAGACAGCCCAGATCTTCAATTCAGTGCTGAAGGACCACAGGCTTGCCCTTCTCCCAGTGATGCAGCGTGTCCCCAATGTTCACCCAGTACCTCAGCCTGACGCACTCGTGCTTGGCACTCTCCAGGTCGTCCGCGGCGAAGAACTCGCCCAGGCTCGCCTCACTTTCGCGCACCCTCTCGTCGTTCTCGGCCCGCAGACCCACGAGCTCCGACTCGTCCTCGGCGTCCTCGATGACCTCGCGCGCCTCGAGCACCTGCATCAGCAGCTCTGGGTCCTCGACCTTGGCGGCCTCGTCGCTCGAGGGGTGCGCGTTGGGGCCCAGGCGGGTGTCGAGGAGGTACTGTGCGCGCAGCAGCGGGGAGGACAAGGTCTTGTATGCCTCGTTTATCCGCGCGGATGTAGCTTCTGCGCGGGCTTTGAGGTGCGGCGGGTGCAGGTCGGGATGGGCTTTGGCTTGGAGCCGGAGAAACTCGCGGCGGAGGGCGCGCTGGTCGATGGCGAAGGGGCCGGCGGGCGGGGGGCCCTGGGGCAGAGTTTGTGGGAAGAAGTCGTAGTGAGACGATGGCGGCGGGGGGAGTGTTGTTGACGAAGATGCTTCATCATCGGCGGCGGCGGCGGGGTCTTCTTTGGAGACGGCCGCTGCAGAGGAGGCGGCCTGTGATTGTGACACTGTCGTAGAGAGGAGTCGCTGCTGGTGCTTGGTGACCATCAGCGACGAGGAAGAGGTGACTGGCGAAGGTCCTGCAGAGGACTGCGCCTGGCGCGGCGCTGTCGGCCACGATCTTGTCGAGATGGCGCGCTCATGCCTGCAGTGCTCGCAGATGCGGGCAAGCGGGCGGCCGCGAGGGACCAGTGCAGAGCGCATCATTGATTCCAAGGGGAACAGGTCGTTTCAGACTTGTGTTGTAAAGGTGTTAGGCTGTCCGTGTAGGTTATGGTATATCGCAGAACGGCGCTGCAGAGAAGCGCGATTGTGAGCTGTGGAGGGAAGGGGACGGGCTACGGATAATGACGTTTGTAGCAGTGATTGATTGATAAGGCGGCCTGAAATTTCCAGCGCAGGGGCGGGATCGGGGCGGAGCTAACGGGGCCGACGTCGGGGCCCGCTAGTGCCTTCCCCTAGTGTTGTGGTCTACTGCCGAGCTCCGATCGCCCGACCCTTGTTTGGACTTTTCCATGTCACTTGACGCGCAATTGTCAGTCAGTGGACGACGGGGGTTTGGACGTGGACCCCGAATCTCTCAAGAGACATTTGCGCCTTGGCCGGCTCTGGTGGCAATGCTGGTTGGCACCACCTTGTTGGTGCCGGCGATGGCTGCATGCAGCCTGCGGCCCTTGAGGCATGCAAATGGCTGTCTCTATCCGGCCAGGATATGCTCCTCCCACACCAAGTGACCCCGGCCCGACTGTGTAGCGTCGGTCCGCACCACCGCCAGCGAACGACATGGACCAGGCAATCTGACAGCATCGAGTGCGTCAAATCTGAATCGATCAACCACCTCGACTGCCATGATTGGGGTCATGTCTGAGCCAGATCTTTTACTGGAGCCTCAGCCCGCTCGGCGGGGTCGAGTGCTAGTTAGATGGGGGTAAGGAGGAGGTGCCAGCAGCCCTGGAGCAGTCGCGTTGCATGCCAAATACTGGTACCAGTACAATGCAATGCAGTGCAGTGCAGTGCAGTTGCAGTGCTGCCTAAGGTATCATGCGCGGCCGGGCCCTTCCTCCGGGTCCGCCGCAGTGGGGCCGGCCTGCGGAGCCGTCGTCCTGTCCCTCCCTGGTCCAGCCTTGGAACCTTTTCCCCGCATAAAACTCGCATTGCGGAACACAAATCCCCTTATCAGAGCCAAGCCCATCTCTCACTTTTTGCGTGTGTGCATTGCGTTGTGCGTGTGCGTGCATGTTTGCTACCTCTTCCCTCCCGCAGCAGTGCCGCTGTGTGTTCCTTCTTTCTCTCTCTCTACTCTCATGTCGCCATTAGTATCTTTGGGTTGACGTTACGACCCAGTCCAACCCCCATATGCGCATTTAATCTTGCTACGGAAGACAATTCGGCCAGCAAAGAGACTGGACTGGCCAGTGTCGACCCGACGTTCCAACTCGACGGCACGGCCATCAGGCCATTGTACAACGTCCCTACATCATGAGCAACATGGCGCAGCCCAGCAGCCGACGCGGCTCTCTGGCAGAGACGGCACCGCTGCTCCACGGCCAGGATACTCCCCCTCCCGCCCAGACCGCACCGCCCGACCTGCCCATCACCGAGGTCGAGCTCAAGGAAGCAGACAACAGCTGGAAGGCCGAGCTCTGGCTGCTGACGAGCTATTCGGTGCCCCTCATCGGGACGTACCTCCTGCAGTACTCGTTCTTTGTCGTGACCATCTTTGTGGCCGGCCACCTGGGCTCCGACGAGCTGGCCTCGGCCGCGCTCGGGCTCACGACCATGAACATTGTCGGCTTCGCGACGTACGAGGGCATGGCCACCGCCCTCGACACCTTCTGCGCCCAGGCCTACGGCTCCGGCAACCACAAGGGCGTCGGCCTGCACGTCCAGCGCATGCTCTTCCTCATGGGCCTCGCCCTGGTCCCCATCAGCGCCGTCTGGGCGTTATCCCCCTGGCTCCTGGCGCCGTTTGTCAAGCAGGAGCACCTCGCCCTCCAGGCGGGCGCCTTCCTGCGCATCAGCATCATCGGCCTCCCCGGCTACGCCTCGTTCGAGGCCCTCAAGCGCTTCCTCCAGGCCCAGGGCAGCTTCCACGCCGCCCTCGTCGTCCTGCTCGTCTGCGCGCCCCTCAACGCCGTCCTGAGCTGGCTGCTCGCCTTCCACGCGGGGCTCGGGCTCGAGGGCGCCGCCCTCGGTCAGGCCCTCACCAACTGCCTCCGCTCCTTGTTCCTCGTCGCCTACATCGTGTCCCCCTGGGGCGCGTGGTCCCACGGCTGCTGGGGCGGCTTCTCGCGCGACGCCCTCACCAACCTGGGGCCCATGATCCGCCTGTCGGTCGCGGGCTCGCTCGTCAACGTCGGCGAGTGGGCCGCCTTTGAGATTGTCAACATCAGCGCCTCGTACCTGTCCACCGACCACCTCGCCGCGCAGTCCATCCTGTGCACAATCTCCATCATCAGCTGGCACGTCCCGTTCAGCGTCAGCGTCGCCGTGAGCACCCGCATAGGCCACGCCATCGGCGCCGGGCTCGTGGGGGTGGCCCGCCGCGCCTCGGTCCTCTACGCGGCCGTGTTCGTCGCGCTGGGCCTCGCCAACGGCCTCGTCATCTTCTCCCTCCGGCGGCCCCTCGCTGAGTTCTTCTCGGACGACCCCCACGTCCGCGACATTGCCAGCCGCACCATGCTCTCCGTCGCCGCCTTCCAGCTCATCGACGCCGTCATCAACTGCACAAACGGCCTGCTCCGGGGTCTCGGCAGGCAGCAGTTCGCCGCGGGCGTCGTCTTCGCCGTCAACTACCTCGGCGCCGTGCCCTTGGCCCTGTGGCTCGAGCTCGGCAGCGGAAACACCACTATCGGCCCCCGCCTCGAGCTCAGCGGCGCCTGGATCGGGCTCGGCTGCGGCATGTGCCTGACCGCCGTCGTCGAGACCGTCTACTTGAAGACCATGAACTGGCAGGCTTGCGTCGAGAGTGCGAAGCGGAGAGAAGGTGTCGAGGGCTGGTGATTGGTTTTGCCTTTTCCTTTTTTTGTGGTTGTCATAAGGTCCCTGCTTCTTTGGATATAAAAGGTGGGAAGAGAGAAAGAGAGAGCGCGGCAAATGATAAGATGAGTTACTGAAGCTGCCGCATTCTAGACGAGTAGCCGTACGAGGCTCCAATCGTACTTAGACAATAGGAAACCCTCCAGACACGCCGCTCCGCCAACGTGACTGCAAGCTTTCTGTGTGACGTGCAGGTTTCGTCTTTACGAGGCCCCCCCCCGCCGCCATCGGATCTTGCTCTCGATGAGCTGGTTACGTCATGTTCGCTTGTGGAGAGAGGTAGGACACTGGCCGTCTTCACCAAACACAAACACTCATCAGAACGCCGCTTGCTACATGCACACATTCGCGCCAGCGGCGCCAGTTGGAAAGTTATAATCCACGTACTCCGTTCGTATTCAATGCTAATTAATGACTTGAACCCGCCGACCTTGACCCAAAGAATATAATTAACAAAATATACGTGTATGCCGCAATGTGCCTGTAAGCTCGAAACCTGCGTAGGGGTATTTCCAACTGTGTGCAAAACCAACCAAGAGAAATGATTCCTTATCATGATGATTAGATGTTCCCAAATGTCATAAGAAAGCCAGGCCGCCGCCAGTGCCAAAACTTGGCCGGAGTAGATTGCCCAAAAACGCCAAAGCAAATGCAGATCCCGAAAGCGCAAAGTTTGATGTGTTAGGACATCTGCAGCTCTTGCCACCGACCTCTTTCAGTGTGCCACCACCGCTCTCGCTCCTTCTTGTCGGCCGTCATGCCCTCCGCCCATGAGAGCCACCGGCCTGTACAACCTTCACGGTCCTTGAGCTCCTCACCCCCGTCCCTGAGCAGATCTGTGATGACTGTCAAGCCGCCGTTCTCGTCGGTGGCGCCGGGGTCTGGTTTGACGACGTATTGGGTCTTGGACTCAACCTGCCCGATGAATCCGGCAAGGCCAAATTTCTCCAGAACTGTCCCGTCCTCGTCAATCACATTGACCTGGAATCGTGGCACATTTTTCGCCGCCTCGATCCTCCCCTGTGCTGCGAGCCGAGATTGCGCCAGATGGCTCGATTCTGACGCGGGAGCCTCGACTGGTGTAGGTGGGTCGTTGGTGAGCTTCATGTTGGAGAACGGCTTGCCAAAGCCACGGGGTGACGTGGGAGAAATAGGCGTCACCGGTGGGCTTGGTTCGGGAGCCTTGACCCTGTCAGGGATCCTCGCAATGAGACCACGGTATTTGTCGCTCGCCATATCGATTCTTTCGAGTGGACTGCAGAGGCCCTGGAAGACGGCATCAGGGTCGTGCGGCGTCCGCAGGGCTCTCAGCGCCGGGTATCCCTGTGATGCAATGCTCTTCGCCAGAATCCGGTCTGCCTCACTGGCTCCCCCAGAATACGTAGGAACATCCCAGTGCAGCTTCTGAAGCGAATTCGAAGCCAGGTACGGATACAGCCAGATGACCTCGTCAGCAGGCATCTCGGGCGCTTCAAACTGCACAAATGTGAACGACTCAAGGGCCGTCAGGTAAGAGAACAGCCGGCCTAGCGCAGGCAGCGAGTCGATCCCGAGGTGTCGCAGTGTCAGCCTTCGGATGCTATGGCTGCTCGGACGCCTGGCGAAAGCCGCCAACCCTGCACTTGTCACACCTTGTAGGTTGGACAGTGATAGCGTCTGCAGCGGTGGCAGGGAAAGTAGTGTGGCATCGTTGAAAACCGTCACTGGCAGGTTCGAGAGGTACAGGTTTTGGAGGGCAGGCATATTCGCCAAGGTCATGCCGAACATCGAGATGCCATCGAGCGCTGCGTCGGGTCCGCAATGTATCGACAGTGTCGTCAGGCGTGCCCAATTCATGTGTAGGTCAAAAAAGGTCGTGCTCCTCTCCATATCGAGATCTGCGCCGTGGCTATCGCCTGCACCAGGGGCAGGCTGTGCTTTAGAGCGGTTTTTGCTTTGCACTGCAGGGGCCGCCTCGAGGAACCAGTTCATCTCCTTGAGATTCTCACGAGTCGACAGAGCGTGGAATAGTCTGCTGAACGAGTGGTCATATGGCTGGTGGAAGCCAAGCAAGCGCTCGAAGTTGGGGCATGCCATGATAACTGACGCAACCTTGTCCTGGTACTTTTCCGCAACAGCGTCAACAGGGGTCGCTGGAACTTTCAAAGTTCGCACCAAGCCTGCCAGCTCAGGATTGGCCCGCAGCGTGCGTCGCAATAGTGTGAGTCGTGTGCCAGTGGTGCCCTTGAAGCGCTTCTTGTGTGCGGCCGAGTCCGCGCCGATGATTTGAATGTCCTCATAGCTGAAAGGACAGTGATCAGTAAATTGTCATGAACCTTTGTTGGTGTACCACAAGGGGGGCCTGCTTACAGTGTATTCTGCGCAGCCTTTGACAGCCGGCGACAGGTTTGTGCCACAGAGCACAGGTCTCTCATCATGCATGTTGCACAGCTTTCGCTGTTTGGGCGCAGATGGATCTTCCTGAGCTCGGTGAGGATGAGCTGCAGCACCTCGGACGGGAGGATAGCAAAGAGCTCGCCGGGCTCTCTGCGCCGCCGAGTCTGCTTGATGGGCATCGGCCGTTGCCATGTGCCGTGATCGGGCCTCGAGGAGTCGTAGCTGCTGAAACTGGATCGGCTCGATACGGGGCTGTGCATCATGCTGTAGCTGACATTGGACATGTTGCTCCGGACGCTGGAGCTGCTGCTTGGCGGACGAGGCCACTGATCATAAGAGGAATGTCGCTGGTCCACCTGGCTGAAAGAGTTCATGGGCGGGCGTGCGGGCCGTCGCATCTGGGCATACGCGTTCTGGTTCGAGTTCTGCATCGTGACATATCGTTCACCCATCGTGGCGGAAGGGGGGCCACTCAGTGGCCTGTTTTGAGGGCGCCTGGCTCGTGATCTTTGCGACTGCCTGACGGGGGGCAGTGGCATCAAGAAGTTTGGGTCGTAAGTCTTGGGAGTGGCGACAGGCCGAGAGGAGCGGGCGCGGTGCTTGTAAGGTCTGCAGACGGATGAGAGAAAGAGTCAATAGGCGGAGCCCCCGTACAGTAGACAAGAAGCGGCCAAGCGCAAATGATCAGCATAGGATGAGCGGGCTAGGACGAATGAAGAGAGGCGAATCCCTGACGATCGCGAGCGCCCAGGGGAACGGTGCGTGGCTTGCGGCTAACGGGAGATTTGTTCTCCATCATGCAGGTACGGGGCGCTGGTGCCTCTGCAGCAACTGATACCCAGGCGACTAATCTGGGGTCGCGCTGTTGGAGGCAGCTTGTGCCAAAAGTGGCCATGGCATGCGTTGCTGGCCGCACTGCAACCACTATCTAGCGCCTCTCCGTAGCGCTGCCCGTATTGAAGATTGGGGCCAGAGTGGAAATTGCGAGACCCTGCCAGGGCGGCAGTTACACACACGACTCGGCCGCCCGTGGCGCCAGCGTATGACACCGCCGGGGCACTACTACCAGGGCCAGTGCCTCCACCAGCCAAAGCTGACATTGACAGCCCGGTGCGAAAGCCGCAGCGACTTGCCACGGACACACACTGCATGCACAACTTGTGCTGCTAGGTGGCGAGGGACAGGCGAATTGTGTCGAATGGGCAGGGAATTTTGTGCCGTGTCTGCTGGGATCAGGCTTTGGGGATGGGATAGAATGCTCCGAGTTACCACGAGGCTTTGCCCTTCCGGTGGAGTAGGCAGAGAGCACTGGCTGGCTACAGGTAGGGGCTGGTGCTGTGCCTGATGATCGTGCCAAGCAGCCCTGTCCTGTGTGACCCGTGCGTCTCCATCTTCCTCCAGGGTTGCTTGCCGGGAACGGGGGAGGCACCTGATAGGACATAGAAATAGAGGGACTTACTGCACCTGGATAGGAACTTTGGGGGGTTCAATGTCACTCTCCTCTTTCCGGCCTGGAACTTCTGCCGCGATCTCCGCCGTTGTTACCATTGGAGTAGACTTGGTGTCGCTTGGCCGCGTTGGTGCCCACCCCCACGGAAGCACATTGCTGCCATACCGGGCTTGTGCATGTGCCTTGGACTCGAGTGGCGCGTGCGGGACTGTGTTGAAAGACGGCTCGCCTGTCGAGTTCAAAACCGCGACTTCCGACGCGGTCAGCTCAACGTCTGCTAGCTCGTGGGAATGGGGCCCGACAACTTGCACCTCCTCCGAGACTCGCCTCTTCTTCAGAGTGTTGCGGCGTGTTGGTCGGGGCTCGAATAGATGGCCATATGCGAGAAGGCTGTTTCGATTCGCACGATGGACAGTCGTCATTTCGAGAGGATTGACCGTCAAGCCGAATCGAGTGGTCCTTGACCAAGCGGGTCCTCCTTGACTGGCTGATCCGTGCTTCGACTTGTTGGCAAGCTAATATGGCAATACAGCTTCGAGAGATGCTCAGTACACGTGCGATCCTTGAGAGCAGATGTTGGGGGTTTTCGTTCCGCAATGATGCGTGCTTGCAGGCATAAGGACTGTAAAGACTCTGAGAACCACAGATGCCGGCTGAGGAGCATCTTATGAGAGGTCCTTGGTTGGAGGGTTCCTGGACGGGCTTGGTGCCTAGCTGCCTGTTCCTTGCAAGGTGTGAGCGGCCAAGCCAGCGATTCGACCCACGACCGCAATATACCTCGCACACCAAAGGGCTTAGACGCGGGTTGCCAGGTTTAAACAAGGCACGCGTGCTGTAGCTCTGTTCCACACCCGCATATGATCATCGATGATGTCGATACTCCGGCCCCTCCTTTGACAGCTCCGCATGAATTTGCAATTCCCGTACGTGCCACTGCACGAAGTCGTCTCTCGGGCCGCAAAATCCTCCATTGTTTGTTGGGCCGCCCTGTAGAGTTGAGAGGGCCGCAGATTGTCTTCACGGCCTCGACGAGGATTGGTAGGCCGCCAGACCAACCGACAACCAACACCCTTGAGTGCGAGCTGGACCTCGTTCGTTAGAGCAGCCGCGCTGTCGAGACTTGCGACCGGCAGCCGTCTCAGATCAGCTCACTGCGCAAGGGCTGACTTGCGGTCCCACGATGCAAGCCCCGAAACTGTAACGCGCCGCTCTGGCCGCCGAGGAGTGGCAGCCAACCAATGCTGCTGCAGCCAAGATGCCTGGACGAGAACGGGCGGCAGGGTGTGGGTGGTGGCAGTGCGTGGCAGGACCACCCTCAGCCCCAAGTCTCCCTCCATTGCGATACCTACCATAGGTATGGGTTGCGCGTACGTCGTCCTGCTTTGTGCGCGGAGGATCCACCCCGGGACTTGCTTGGTGCTGAGTGAGCGGGAAACTGGCATTTGCCTGGCGGAGTCGATCGCGAACCGCCCAACCAAGCACTGGCGTCGGTCTTGTCCTACAAACCGATGCAGCAGCGCCTGCGCGCGCTAACTCTAGTGTTGAGGCTGTGGGGTTCGTGAGGTTGACGCCGCTAAGTACGTATGTACGTCGTCGAGGCAGGACTTCATCTCCATCTTGCTGCTCGCTTGTTGGCGATTCAGAGAGCAGATCGAGCTGGCACGTGTGGGGATGGTCGCAGATGGGTGCGAGTTGCATCGTGCTCGTGGCGGTAAGCGGACTGCCCGGCTGATTGATGTACGGCTGGGCGACCAGCAACAAGATGTGTCCGTGAACGAGACCTCACCAGGGTGTCCCATGGAAACAATATGCAAGCAAATGCCATGGTGTACAAGGTGGAAGACGGATTGAAGCGGGACCAGGCAAATGCGTGGTTGTGGAACATGCATCGCAAAACGTCGGTGCATTCCAGGCAAGGGCACGCCTGCCATGTCAGAGGCATCGTGCTGCTTCCCTACGAGTCGCCAGTCATTGTCTGCCCCGACTTAGCAGATCCCAGGCACTATCTAGAAAGACATCTCCTTGGCAAATTGCAACCACTGGCCGGTGTATCTCGCGGAGCAATGCCCGTCGAGGACGGCGACAGCACGCTGCAACATGTCCCAGCCTTGGAAGAACATCATCGCCAGCCCGCCGACCCAACCCGCTGTCGGCTATGCAGTACCCGCCCCTCCACAGGCTGTAGCCAAGATAGTAGTTGCGCCCCGCCCACCGGCTGAGTCACGTCTTGCACACATTGCCCTTGTTCTCCTGGCCTGCCTTGAATGTCTTGCGCTGCCACTCTAACTCCATCTCTATCGCTGTGGCCTCGATGAAGCAGAGCACACTGACAATGGTGTTAAGAAGTGGCTCGACACCCCCTAGTGCCAGGTAAAAGTAGACTCGTGGAGGCCGGTACCAGAAGCAACAGTACATTGGCACTATTGCCAACCGAGTTGTAGAAAGACACTGATGCCGCGGCCTGCACGCCAAACTGCACTGCACACAAGATATGCCAGCCAGAGGATCTGCCGGATGGTCGAGCCGCCGCTCAACGCAAGCAGGATCGTGCCTCTGCCGAGTGCACCGAGCTCCAGCGACACGACACGACTTGAGGCATTCAGCAGTACTAGCTAGAGCTCGCTCAATGAATGGCCTGCACTCCTGATTAGCTGGTCCAGCAGTGCGACAGCCAAGCCCACAGCTCAGCTCAAGATGGCGTACTGCAAGGGCACCAGCCTCGAGGCTTTGCAGCAGCGCGGAAGTGCAGGTGCCTAATGGTGCTGGCCTTCCTTGGTGCCGCGCTCCACGAGATCGAACTGCTTCTTTGACCGCCCAATTGTCATGTCGTCGTCCTTGTCTGACAGATCCTTGCTCGATGACATGGTTCCTCTCCGGGAACTTTTTGCGTTGACGTCGGAGCCAATAATACACGACGATATTAATTGTAGTGAGGGGCGCCGCGTTGGCAACGAGCAAGTAGGATGTGGATGCCATCCTATGTTGTGAAACACTAGGAGCATCCAGGATGGAGATTCGATCGTCATCATCATGCGATGCTTTGAACAAGAATATCCATCCAGTTGTCACTGCAAACCCCCCCCCCCTTTAGCCTATCGAGAAGCCGCCGATGATGTTGATGACAGGCCTCGGCGATGAGACAAGCCCCAACCCCCTGCCGCAGTTTCTTGATCCCAAGGCCGATCCGTGCAGGTGCCGGCGACGCACGCAAGCAGGAATCTATTGATCTCAAGCCACAATGGCCTACAAATCAATTGAGCGCAGCATGCCTCGCAGAGTGTATTGCTGGGGACGCCCTTACACCACAAGCAGTCTCTCGGTGCGTCGACGTGTTCACCGCCAACGCACTATCCTTTCCTCGACAGTTGTTTCCACTGAGACAGGGGCAAGAAAGACAACATACTCCCATTCGGCAAGGAGCACTTGTTACTTTCCTGTGCCACAGCCCTTGGCATTTCAAAGCAATAATAATAATAAAAACGCCAGTTTCTTCAACAGCACAAGCCGACGACCGTTGTCGGTGGTCCGGGGCTCAACAGAAAACCCGCCCTGATATCTACAAAGCTGAAAAAAATCAGTGCCCCTACCCGTTCCCTCGCTTTTCCATCTCTCTTCTCGCATTGATTACACGGAAAAATCCCTCAAGCATGTAAGCTTATAGACCGTGAGAGCTTATTCGTGCACACCGCCCACTTCCCCTCTTTGGAAAAAATCACAAACTCCGTCTTGAAGTTGCGACTGCTGCCGCCGAAGCCAGCAGCCTCGTCGGGACGGGCGACTCCGCTCAGCCAGCTCTATTATGCGATGCTGCGAGCCACCACATCCACCAGGCCGGCGGCGGCTCATTGTCGCGGCCACCACCTCCATGCCCATCTCCGCCGCCATTCCCACCACTACGATCGCCCTCCTAGAATGATCGCATGTCCTGCAGGTGCAAGTTCTTGGTAAAGCGCGGCAGTTTCTTGGTCTGCTCGTACACGCGGCCGCAGTTGGCGCATAGTGACTGTACATGGTGAGAAAAGCAAAACGTTAGCCAGGCCAAAGGAGTAAGCGTGAAGAGGGAAGCATTTCCTGTGCATGAACAGATAGATGGAGGAAGACTCACCCGTTGACCATACGGCCCGTCGCGCACCGCCCAAACACTTGTGCCCCAGATCCTGCAGTGCGTGCACCGCCAGCTGAGCCGCTCCTGGTCTGTCAGAGAGCCCGCGATGCCCCCGTAGCCGAGAACATCCGGAGTGCCGCGCCCGCCGGGTGTGCCGGAGCGGTTGAGCGGGCTGAGACTGCGGAAGCGCCGCTTCTTCTTGGACCGCTCGCCGCGACCCATGCGCTCCTCCTCGAGCTCAATGGGCGGCATTGGCACGGGGTTGAATGCGCCCGGCGTGCCGCCCAGCATGCCCGTGTTGCTGCTGAACCGTGCCGTCTCCCTGCGCAGGCGGCGCAGCTGCCGTTCTCGGTCGCCCTCCCGCTTCTCAATCTCCTCTTTCGAGATGTACTCTATCTTTGGCTCCCACACGTCTGCCAAGTGTTCCGGGTCGTACCGCCAGCCCGCGTCCTCGCCATGCGCGGCGTCGTTGGGCAGCTCATTGCCGATACCGCCCCAGCCAGCAACGAGACCGCCTGACTCGCAAGCCTCCTTTTTCAGTCGCAGCACTGCTTCGTAGATGGCGTGGGTCAACGCTGGTACCCACTCGCCGGCTAGTCCCAGATCTGCGCAGGTCACTTTGGCGAAGGCCTCGGCTGTGCCTGGCGGATGTAAAAGCGACCACTCGAACTTGTCTGTGTAGAGCGAAGAAGCCAAGTTGACGTTCAGGTTGACTATACATCTGTATGTGTCGTCTGGGTTGAAGTCATCAGAGTCGGCGGTTATGTGCGTCGCTGTCGCCGTGACTGCTGGCACTTGTGACGAAGGGCCCTTTGCTGGCGTTGCAAATCCACTAAGCGCAGGCGTGTCGGTGCCGCGCGCATACGCAGGGATAGGCGTTGCCGGCGTCGCCGGTGTATCTTGTGTGGGCATGACGGCGTGCCCTGTCGTACCGTTTGCAGGTGTCCTATCTGTGTGGAAGAGTGGGTGAAGCGCAACACCGGCATACTCCTCCAGCTGCGTTCTTATCTGCCTGCTGATTTCTGAGATGATGACAGCCTGGTTGGGCAGGTCAAGGTCCTGTACTAGTGTCGCGGCGAATTGATCTGTCGTGATGAGGGTCTCGTGGAGGTTCCACAGGAAGATGTCGCGAAGCTTGTATGGCACCGTCATCTCTCCACTTCGGTACAGCGAAGGGTCGACTTGGCCCTGCGGTACCATTCCTCTTGGAAGAGGATATGGCGCTGGCGGCATGAACGCTGGGATGTCAACGTCGATCCGGATGGGGATCAAGGTTAGAGGCATGGCTGCTTGCGCCTGGTTATTGAGATCTGAGCGTGTTCTGCTCTTGAGCATCCATTCCCTCCATATACCCTGTACCTCTACTGGCTGGATTGTGTCCTTGCCGACCTTGTCGCTGGGCTCCAGTTTGGCGGTGCTGTCCTCACGGCGTACGCTGCGCAGGCCCGTGGGCCGCCTCCTGTCGTCGTCATCGTCATCATCGTAGTCGTATCCGTCTTCTGCATAGTTGACAAAGGTGGTGCCGCGCTTGGTTGTCCGAGAGAGCGGATTGCCCGGCGCACTGGATTGGAGGACTGGTGTGAGAAGGGAGTTGTTGTACATGCGCAGTCGCGGCGCGTATGAGGACAGGAAGGCCTGCGGAGCAGGCTCCGCACGAGGCTTGTCCATGTTGTTCATCCTTTTCTGGCGCTAATCGATGCTCGTCTGCGACTATGGCCGCATGGCCGACAGTTGCGATCGCCTGTGATTGCGAAGACGCGCGTGCGAACCGCGACTCCAGGGGCGACTGAGCGATGCTTGCTGGCGCAGAGGTGGCAAGTGGCAGAGGGCCTCCTTGACCCTCGTTGCGGCAGTCGTGACCGAAATGGCGCAAATGAGTCGCGTGGGATGTATCAGAAGGCTTCGGTGCCGCCGGGTGGTGATGCAGGCCGCGCAGTCGTGGATAGGGGTGGTAGGGGATGGGGTGGTCTAGTCGTGTGCAGCGCACCTTTGGCACAAGTGAAGCTCGCGATGGGTGGAATTCGTGGTTGGCGTTGCGGCGCGTCTCGAAAGCGTTGCCAGGTACAAAGGTACATGCAGCAGACAGCCGCAAAATTTCGGCAGGACGAATGACAGGCCGTGCCGGGTAGTCTAGGACCCACCCGGCGAATCAGGGACGGCTTGCGGCTCATAATAGGCGTGGGCCTGCCGCGCGACTTGGGCTTCCTCAGGCACTCCCGAGGGCTCCTCCCTTGAAAGGCTGTGCGATGTCGACAGCAGCGGGGACTCGGTTATCTCGTCTGCTCATATCTCACCTCAGCCTCGAACGGATAACCGTCCAACCTCGTACCCGCCGTTCGCAGCGACGAGAATACCTGGTTGAGCTGCCACTAGCTTGCTTGACCACGGGACAAGACGGAGCAGATGCCTGCGAGCCTGATCTCGTCGTGCCCGGTATTGCCATGCTTGACTTAACCAGCCTCTTGGCGAGGGGTCCCAGCTTCGTGGTCTCAGCTCGCTGTTGAGGTATAAGCCGAGGGATAGTCCCTCATTGACTTCCCTATTGGGCAGTCAATGTTTTATGGAGTCCCGTACGGGTCAGATGCTTGCCAGGCTAAGGCGGGCAAGGGTGCGAGTGCGAATGCGACACGCCCGTGGGAGTCACCCACCTCCACCTCGCGCCGCCAAGTTGGTAGTCACAGAGCCGTGGACAACTCGGACATGATGACTGCCTTACGAGCACAATAGGCTAACACAAAGGACCCTCGCTGTCCCCCGCAGCGGAACCGAAGCGGCTCGGATATGCTGACATGATGACAACCAGCCGCGGCAGGGGGGACTTCCCGACGTCAAGCTGTATATATTATAACATCGGCCATCTCCGTCGAGGGTTCCAGAGGCTCTCATCTTGTTCATCTGGCCACACGCTGCCGCCGCCGTGATATCCCACATCGACAGTTCTCACTCAGACAAGATGGCCGACGTTCCTGTGGTGCAGATCCTCGACAAGAACAAGAATTGGTCGCAGGCCATTGTCTCCCTACCTGGCGAGCTTCCTCTGCCACCCCTGGCCGACTCGTCGCTCCGTGTCCGCACAGAGATCTTCTCTCTCACCTCGAACAACTTCACTTACGCCAAGCTCGGCTCCCTGCTCGGCTGGTGGAACTTCCATCCGCTGCCCAAGTCCACGCCCGAGCCGTACAATAACCCGGCCCTCTACGGCCGCACCAACTGCTGGGGCTATGGCCGCGTGCTCGAGTCCACGTTCCCTTCAGTGCCCAAGGACAGCTATGTCTTTGGTTACCTGCCCATCGGGACCTTGCCCATAGACTTGCAAGTCACCTCGGGGCGGATAAAGGGGTGGGTCGTCGAGAACAGCCCGCACCGGGTCGACCTGATGCGTGTATACAACGACTACCGCGTCTACCCAGCCACTCCATCGTCATCATCACCATCTGCCTCGCCCATGTCCGCTTCGTCAATCGCCCGGCGTATCGGTGAGAAGGATGACGATCTCGCTCTTGATGCCCTGCTCGGCATCGTCCACGGCATAGGCTATCTCATGAACAACTACATCTTCCCGCAGGACCCAGCCAAGCTGTGCCACCCGAGCCGGGGGCCGGCAGAGGCGAACCCGCCCTGGGCCTTCCCGGAGCAGGCAGACCTCACCGACGCCACGGCGCTCAGCTTCGCCCCCGGCGCAAAGACGGCAGTGCTCTTTGCGCACCTGCTCAAGTATCAGCGCCGCGAGGGCACGCGGCCGCGCCAGGTCATAGGCGTGACGTCCGAGTCGTCCCGCCCGTTTGTCGTGACGACGGGACTGTACGACGACGTCGCGCTGACGGGCGAGAACCCGGTGGACGTGGTCACCAAGCGTCTCGGCGTCGACCCGGCATCAAGCAGCAACAAGGTCGTCGTCGTCGACTTTGGCGGCCGCCGCAACGTCGCCGCGGACTGGGTCGCCGCCCTGCGGCCCGTCCTGCCGAACCTGGTCTTCTTCGTCGTTGGCGGTGCAATCCCCGAGCCCACCACCGCCGGCGCCGGTGGCGACGACGGCAAGGACTTCAATGTCACCGCCTCCTTCATGGAGACGGCCCAGCGGAACGCCATGCTGGGCGCCGTGATGACCAACACGGACGACGTGATGCCGCGCGCCATGGCCCTGCTCGGCGGCGGCGCGGAAGGCGAGGAGAAGTACCTCGCCGAGTCGCGGCAGAGCTGGGAGCAGGTCCGCGAGCGCGGGATCCGCGGCTTCAGCGTGAAATGGGGCCAGGGCATGGACAGCGCGCGCGAGGGCTGGGATGCTCTTGCTCGCGGAGACGTCCTGCCCGAGGTCGGGCTGGCTTTCAAGCTCTGAGGTCGAACTTTCGTTGGGCTGGCATATCAGATGAATGGGGAGGAGTTGGCATGCAGACTCGTATCCTTTGGGCCGGTCCCTCACTCACTTGCCGTGGGTTTACTGAAACTTGGAAGGCGCGTTTTCAATCGCTTCGTGATACGATAGTTACTTACACTTTACTTACTGCCTTAGGGCGTTGATCCCCAATGAAACTTGCTTGAAATCCGATGTCGCGAATTCGCGCGCATGAAGTCCCGAGACGCGACTCTTAAAATGTTCTTCAGAACACACAACTGTGTGAATATGCGTACATGAATGCCTGCGCTGCATCTCGTGGTAATGATTAATGTGTAATGTGTAATTGTGTAATTTGTATGTTGTATAACAGGAAAACGCCACCCCAAGATGTAATAAGTCGAGCAAACCAACGGAAGCCAACCACACTGCACACACGCGCCTTAGCCAAACTCCACACATGTCATCGTCAGGCCGCACTCCCAGGTACGCCAGCTCATGCAAAGGTCATTTCAATCTCCTTCTCCTTTCCGAAGTCTGGGTCGTCGTCATCCGCCCATGGATCTGCGACTGGCAGGCTTGCCGGTGCTGTCTTAGTCGTCTTGTAGTCGGGTCTCTTCTCCATGGCGGTGTCCGGGCCTGCTGACCTTTCCGTCCCCCATGGCTGGCTGTTCGTGTTGCCGACACTGGTGCTCTTATTGTCTGGCACACGGTAGTCCGTGTCGAACGACATTTGCACCTCGTCGTCTGCCGGATGCCCTCGGTCGTCGTACCCCCACCGTGCATACCCATTACTTCCACCCATAGTGGTTGTAGCATCAGAGCTCTTCGTCTCCCTCAATGGTGGCGGCTTAGGACTTGTTGCATCAACGTCGAGCTTCATCGGCGGAAGCGTGCTCTTGAGCTCCTTGATCTGCAGCTCGCCGTCATTGTAGTCGGCAGTTGATTTGTCCCTGCCCCGCGCCATCTCTTCGGTGGCTGTCTCCGAGTCGAAAAGCACACCGTGATTATTGCCGCTGTCTTTGCCACCATGCCTGCTGCTGGAACCCCCGGCATCGTCCCCGCCTTTGCCATCTTCATACACCTCCCAGCTCTCTCGTTTCGTCTTCTTTCGCCCAAATATGCCCCAACCACTCTTCTTCGTGCTGTTGTTCTTCTTCTCCATCTCCTTGCGGGCCTCCTCGATCTCGTTGATGATCTCTCTCTGGCGCTCGCGGTGTCCGTCTGGATCCGGATCCTCAATCTCGTCGAACTCATCGCTTTCGATAAGCCACTCGCACTCCCGCAGTAATCTTGGCATCGACGTACGATATGCCATGTGGCCAGGGACAAACTCCGTGCAGTCGAGGTTCTCGATGCCGGGTATACCCTGGATGGCAGCCAGCCCAGCGACGCGGCGAATGCCGCCGTTCGTTAGCCGGAATAGATAGCCGAGAATCCAATCGGTCCGGTTGTAGCCATTGATGAATTTGCCGCTGCACACGGAGCGGACCTTGTAATATTCTTCGGACTTGACGACCACGGGGGAGCCAAACATGTACACGTTCTGGACAAGGCCATAGGCACCTTTCTTCTCCAGCTCAAGAAGACAGGAGAAGATAACACGAGCACCCAAAGAGTAACCGACCAGAGTGACGGGGCGTGTGCCCAGGTTCCGGTCGATGAGGGAGTCGGCCAGAATCTGACCAGCTGACCACGCGCGATCCAGTGAGACGGCCCAAGGGTTGTCAATCAGATATGTGATCTTGGCCATGACGATAGGCAGCTGAAGGCCGCTCATTAGAGCGGCAAGACCAACTGCACCAAGAATTTGTTGAAGGGTGGAGGTGACCGCCTGCTGCATGTTAGTGAATTTGTTCCGTAGCCATACAATATGGCATCAGGGACATACCTCTGTCGCTAGAATGTTGATGGTATCACCAACACTCTGCAGCATTTCTGGCTCCCAAAGCACCGAGTAGAGATCACCCATGGCTGGGTCAACTGTGCTAAATGGCAGACGGATATCATCGTGTTTGTTCGTCATCCATCCCGAAACCGTCACAATCAGGTTGACCCGCTTATTGTTATGCAAGGGTCGGTACTCAAAGGTCTTGACCGAACCCAAGCGACGATTCGCCGCTTTGCCTCCCATGAAGCTTCCGGCTGCCGCGGATCCGGACGTGATTACGGCCATACCACCCACTCCAGCCAGGAACGAGCCTGTGCCAGATACTCCGATGGCTGTGAAGCCAGCAGCCAGACCAGCTCCAATCACAGGTGCCATCAGGCCCGCTGACAGGCCAATGACCAAGCCACCACCGACGGTGGCGATGCCCATCATGGCATATCTTCGCTTGAGCCCCATCTTTCTGCGAGACTCGACGTGTTCTTCCTCGTTCCAGTTCTCCTTCTCGGCTTGCTGTTGCATCTCCAAGGCTTCCGTGACCCTCTTCTCGAATCGGCATATATCTACCCATGACACCTCCAAGTCGGCTCCGACCCGCTCAAGCAGATACCGCGACCGCGCGTCGTAGACAGAATCGGCGACGAGCACCAAGAACAGATCACAGACGACCGTCCACCGGAGATCAATATCGATCTTGGCAGTGTCTGGTAGTTGCGATGGAGTCCTGCTTTCGGGGAGCTCCTCGCCAGTATGCGACTCGTATGGGGGCGGTACTGGTGTCGCAGGCTCGTGCTCCGGATCCTGCTCAGGTGATGAAGACCGAGTTGTGCTGGTGCCGGTCGCCACAGATGACCTCTGTTGTGATCCTGTTTCTGACTCGCCCTCCTCGGCAGGCTTCGGGTTCTTGACGCGGGCATTCTGCATCAAGACAGGCGTCAGATCTTTGGGCTGGACGCCATGCTCTACGAGCTGCTCGATCATCACTTGTTCTGCAGGGCTAATGTCCATATGGGCATAGAGCCGGATCATGATCTTCTGTGCCCACATTCTCATCGAGTCTGCCGCAACCTTGATCTCCTTCTTGCCCTTCTTCATTTGTTCCACCTTCTCGACCTCTTTCACCATGTTGAACATCTCAAGACGAGTGACGCCGACATAGGCGATTCTCTGGCCTTCGGTAAGTAGATCCTTGGTGGCCTGTAGTTGCGACACCGTGTCTCGCTGTTCCTCTTCGAGCTCAGTCAGACTGGTGCTCTTTGCATTGTTGAATAGGTAGCGCGTGTTGTCGTCCATGCTCGTCTCAGATTCGGCATCGTCGTCAGCGATGACTTTGGTGTATCCCTTTCCAGCGCCTCCGAGGCCGCCGTACTCGTATGACTCGTCTACTTCCGGGTTATGCTCCTTGGCTATCAGCTTATTGTCGTCATCGTATATGTCGTAAGGTGCATATGCAGGCATCGTCTGCCATCCTCCATCGTCGTCTTTGACGTCGTCATCAGCTTTTGGTGCCGTGAGCTGCTGATGCGAGAACTCGGATATGCTTGGGACTGTGCTTGCTGTGCTCTCATTCCGGTTGTGGCCCTTGGCTGCAAATTGGGACTTGTACGCTTCTGCATGGTGACGAGTGGCCTCGACCTCTTCCACCGATGGCCCAGATATACCCTCGATCGTGTTCTTCCTCTTCGTATTCGCGGCTGGGATCTGGGGCAGGTCGGTGGCGGTGTCGCCAGCTTCGGCGTTTGCTGCACCGTTCGGCGGAGCAGCAACGGCACCTTCAGGCTTTTCTGCTGGTCTCTCAGGAGGCGGCATAGGTGTCTTGGGCTCTTCTTCCACTTCTTGTACTTCGAACTTGGTCGAGTCTTCAGGGGGCGGCCGAGGCGTTGGTGGTGTAGAGTCGACTTTTGGAGACTGATCCTCAACCTTGGCGGGTGCAGCTGCAGGTGCAGCTGCGTCCTCTTCCTTCGCTCTCGTCATTCCTTCAATTGTTGGGGCAGACGCTTCCGGGGTCTCCGGGATCTCGTCCGGCTTCGCTGTGCTCGAGGTGTCTCGGGCCTTGGACGGCTCGTCCTGCGGTATCACCTCCGCTTGGGCGGTCGGCACCCCTTCGGAAGGCGCATCTTCGGGAGGGACGTAGGTGCGGATCGGCAGACCGAAGTCGTCCACCGCTGGTGTGTGTTTTGGGGCCGCCATCAGGCTGGGCTGCTGCGTCATTGAGACCGCATGGAGTCGTGGGTTGTTTGGTGCAACTTCGCTCGTTGCAGGCGGCGGGAGCCTTGGTGCAGTGCTTCGGCTGCCGTGAGCACTAGGGGAAGGTTTCGGAAATGTCGCAGGGATTCAGCGGTATGCAGGACCGCGCAACACCCAGCGACGGCAGATTACAGTCAGATCGGGGGCCGTTGCTGCGGGGGAAGAGAGGGAGGGCAAGTGATCCCTGAGGCAGGCGAGGCGGCTCGCCAGGTCTCCTACGGGCGCCGAAGCGTGGTGGGGGAGACGGTGCTCAAGTGACAGAAACGGACGATCCAAGGGCGCCCCACTCAGATTTGGGAATAGGGGTCTCACAATACACTTGAGCTGGCACAGGAAGAGTGTGTACTCGGCCTGAGTCAAGGGTGAACATGAGCTTTCCTCAATTGGCTGGAGGATGATCAGGCGTTTGCATCTTTACATGTAGTTTGACAGGAGATCTGAGCCTGAATCACCAAAGTTGAAGTCTTCATTCTGCGATCCAGAACCTGATACACAGACAACGATGTGGTTTCACTTACAGGCTTTGCTCGGGCCTGGGTATAAATTCAAGTAGGCGGCTGTGCACACTTTCAGAAACATTCGGTCTGGAAGTATGCCATATCAGACCAAGCAAAGGATCAATCTACGTCACCTGTTCACAGCTCTGACCATCGTAGGTCTGAACAAACGAGGAGCCTTGAAGTATAAGTCGATTTTGAGCTCCATAACCAATGCAAATGGCCCCCAGAAACGCCGTTGACAATGCTGTACATCGCTGATCCTCCTCCTCCTCCGCTCAATATGTCACCCAAATCGCCAGCTGCTCAAGCGGCCGGGGCCTCAACCTGAACAGCCCTCTCGGGCGCGGAGCCTTCTGCACCGCCGTCTGTGGCGCTCTTGTTCTTCGGCTTCCTCTTGCGCTTCTTCTTTTCGGCTTCTCCTTCGCCCCCCTCTTGCTGAGGCTTCTGCGGTCCATCCCTTGGTCTGCTCTTTGTCGCACTCCCTGGCGCAGCAGAGCCGTTGCTTGGCTGAGGCTTCTTCTTCTTGATGCTCAGCGGGTTGGGCAGCTTCTGACCATACGTCTTCTTGCGCTTCTTCGCCTCGGGATTGGCACTCTTGCTGCCCTGCTTCTCGTCCTCACTGTCCTCGTCATCATCCTCTGTGCGTTTCCGCTTGTCCCCAACAACCTTTTTGATCTCTGCCCGGAACTTGCTGCGCTCCTCGCGACTCCTCGCCTTCGCCGAGACCTCGGCCATGGGCTCGAGCGTCATGACTGATCGGCGGATGTACAGCAGCGGGACGCCCGCGACCTCCCTGAGCGACGCGCGCAGCTCGTCGTCGTTGACGGCGCAGATGTAGTGGTGCTTGTTGACCCCGGAGTCCTTGGGGTCCACGACGGAGCGGACGCACTCGAACGCGCTCAGCGGCTCCGGGTACTGGTCTGGGTGGTGCCCGCAGCGCCGCCGCTCGTAGTTGTTCTTGGCCTCCTCGATCGCCGCGTCGACGCCCGGCTCGGTTTTGCGCGCGTACAGGTGTCGCATTGAGCATTGTGTAATCACTATGCGCCAGTTCGTCATCGTCAGTCCTTGCCATCTCGAAATATTGCCATCTGCTGCGATTCACACCTCGAGACAGGCGGGGGGTTTGAGAAGTGCTGCAACATACTTGGCTTGACATCCCCGCGGGCATGCAGGTTGTCCTCGAGTCTCTTGACAATCTCCATCTTGCAGCGCGTGCCCTCGATGACAAAGTCCGCGTCCATCAGCACCTGGTACGGCTTCCGAAAGCCAAAGTTCATGGAGAACTTCTCCATGAGCTTCCGGTTGTCCTTTGATCGCTTCGCGCGTGGCATCTTGGGTCTTGTCGTCGAGCTTTTCGATGTCTGGGATACGCGAAGGCTTTCCCGAGGTGTGCTTGCGACAGTTGTGCCTACGTCGCGCGGAGCTGGCTGGGTGTCCTTGTGTCGCGGGGAGCTGAGAAAAAAAAGCTGGCGAGCTGGATTTGACGTCTCGATGGCATTCGCAAAAGACTAAACTTCGCGCCTGCGATGCTACCCGCATCCATAAATTTTAGAGCTTGTTGCGCCGATAGCGCCTTATCAGCGCCCAGCAATCGCCGGGGTCCACTTGCTGAGCGGCCGCCCCACGCAGCCTTCTTCGATGGAGCACGGCATCACTAGAAAGCAAGTCATTGGGATTTGGTCATTTCCTTCAAGCGAGGACAACGTTGTGCCTAGCATGCTGCAATACGCCTGGACAGTCCATATTATGTATCTCATCATGCACCGCCTATAGCTTGATCCCTCTGTGGTGTGTATCATACTAAGTATAAAGTAATGTCTCGTTGCGCCAAACACCATGCCAATCAGGAACCCAAACCCGCTATTTGAAAATGGACCAGATACTCCGGACTGATTATCCCTGTACTTTGCTGGCCGGAGACACATGCTGCTCCTCACTTCGCGTTCCGTCGACAGATAGCAGCCACCACACTAATATCGTCGAGCTTGCCTGTAAGGCCTGTCGTCAGCGTCACGGCTATGTGCACTTTGTGAATATAAGGGACACTCACCTCCTTCGCTCGCCAGCCCTTCCTCGATGGCATGCTCCATGAACGGACTCTCCGCGAATGGATCCAGAGCAATCTGCTTGGCAGCATTGACGAGCTCCTCGGCCACGAACGCCATGCCGCCGTTCTCGTCCTCGTCTAGCCGGGGCCCAACACTACCCGCCTGCCACCTCTCCATGCTTTTGCAGACGTTCTCGACAATCTCGTGCGACCAGAGATTGTCAATCACGCCGTCCGACATGGCCAGCACAATGTCGCCTTCCTGTGCCTCCACGGCATCCACCACTGCATTCTGCAAAGGCGTGTCGGGGCTGTTGGTGCCCAGTTGCCGCGGGCAGTCGAACCAATGCCACTGCTCAGTAGACTTGTAGATCATCTTCCTTGACGACGGGCGCAAAACCATGACCTGCGAGTCGCCGAGATTTGTGACGAACACCAAAGGTTGTGAAGGCGAGGACGGGTCGCTCGGGTCGTCCCTGTAGAACAACTGCGCGCCTGCCGCCGTCGTTGTGCCCTGACACTCGTTCGGCCCGGATGTCGCCTGGACCGTTCGCTCGTAGGCTGTCTGCAGGTATTGCACCGGCTCGGGGTGGTATGGCTGATCTGGCGGCCTAGGGCGCATGAAATCCTCCTGCATGGCGGACACCCAGAAGTGCAATATTAACCTCGACCACAGCCTGCTCGCAACAAATTGTCATCAGTGATGTGCCCCAAACGATGAAGCCGACAAAGGGAGTTTTGCACAGCAGCGGCATACCCGGCATGTCCTCTTGGCCGCGCCGACCAGGCCCCTACCCCGTCGTTTGCGCATATAAAGTTCTCGCTGGCATACACCGCGTCGTCGCCGTTGGTCCAGCCGCGGATCAACTCGCCGTCGACAAAGGCGGACCGCTTGTCACGACTGCGGTGATGCGTGCTGAGTGGGTCTGTGAATGACGTCGATGGCGGGGAGAGGAATGGCGGCGGGAAGGGCCGCGGCGGGCGTTTGGCGAAGAGGGAGAAGCCCGTGTCGAAGCGGAAGGGCAACTTGGGGCAGGCGAGCGGCAGCGGCGGCGTGACTCCGCCTGTCGCGGCATCGTGGTCATATCGGGCCTGGAGATGATTCCATCGTGTGGTGGAGGAGTGTGGGTGCTGGCGGGAGATGGAGCGAGTCGCCAGCTGTGCCTGCCGCGATGCGTGCCGCATCCCCGCGACACCGATAAGAGACGAGATTTGGGAAAGTGTGGGTGTTGATGAAGTCGGATATCGTGCTCTTCCAGATATTCTTGAACCGCCTGCTAAGTGTGCAAAGACAAGCTCGCGGCAGATCTCCCATCCAGAGGGATGGACTCTGTTGAGACCTGTAGCGCCGATAAGATTGGCGGGCAAGTTGACGCTGCTTTTGGCAGCCAGGGCATGCATGGGCTATTAGAGCTGGGGACGGTCCCTCTGTTCGAGGCTAGCACGTGCAAACGGGGCGCAGTGCGGCCCGAATAGCTGCCCCAAGTGTGTCTGAGACCAATGAGCAGGCCTGGCCACAGCCAGGGGGGCCACCTGGAGACAGTCAGTCTCCGGGTCCCTGAAATCCCATTCTCCCTGATCGGATCGGCACTCCAGCGTCCAACTGGTGAGGCCGGCGCGGAGGTCCGTGTTGGACAAAAGTGCGGTAAGCACGGCGGCCTCAACAACTTCCTGCTGCCGGCGGTAATCAGTATGAAGCTAGGCGCCAATACCTTATCTAGACCGCTTCTTCTGTGACCATTGTTTGGTTGCCACGATTGAATGAATAAAGCAAGCAATCGTCAACAGATGCTGTGGACGGGGCTGGCATTTTCTGTCCCTTGTTCACGGCGCAAAGAGGGGTCGTCCGAGTCGGCATCCGTTAGCATGCCCACGCTACACTGATGGATCCGCTCCACATGCGGATCTCACCGAGCTACACTTGGAGAAACATGTCGCGTGGTGATTGATTCCCATGCCACATTCAATTTTAGCCGCCAGCCAGGCTCATGTTCACATTGCAAAGTTGCATACGTCTCCAAAGGGCCAGGCGTTCACCATTTTGTCTCATCACCTACGGGGCAGCTCCAATGTTATCCGATTCATTGGTCGTTACGGGTTATGAGCCAATGCAAACTGCCTGGTGCAGGCCACAAACCCGCCGCGATGAGACTCCATCAAGCCAGGCCGCACGCGAGACTCCACTCAGGTGCAACCCTAGCAGGGTTGCGAAATCGATGTTCTGAGTTCGCCGCTCTAAGGCTGGCGGCCCTGAGAAATGCATATTGCCTGTTCTGGCAGGCTCGCGGAGCATTTCCTGGGGTTTGATGCATGATGGGTTGCTTGGATCCTCGCCTCCAGTACGCGTACGAAGATGCCATTTGCCAGTTGCGAGTAGTTCCAGCTGCGATGTGCAAAAATGGATATCTAAAGACCTCTGGCGTTAATACGCGCCTGTCTATTGATGCGTGGCCCCTACATCATTTTTATATCTAAGTCGGACACTCGTGCACTAGCTAGTGGAGGATGGTATTGGTGTCGTCCAACGCAGTGGAAAGGTGCAGGTGCCATTGCTGTGCGCGGGGTCTGAGCATGTAACAAATCTACTCGACAATGCTTGCTCTCTAGCGAGCAAAGGCTGGTTGATGTCCTTTGTCATAGCGCGTGCTCCGCTGCTGTGTCCTGCAAGTCGTTGGGACGGATCCGGCTTTCCTGTCGTTTCACCTCCGATGACAGTTGTTCTGTGCTTGCTCTCGGACAATCGTCGTGCCATGTTATGCTGCAGTCCTTGACCAGCTGCGTCCACATTCAGGCTTCACAATCAATAAACAAGAGTCAACCAACAAGACCCCCCCCCCTTTCGCTTTTCACCCCCTTTCTTTGCTGCCCAGAGCTACACAGTCTGGAGATTGGTGACAGGTTGCGTGCGTTCGAATCCGAAGCATAAGTGGCTCCTCAAATCAGACGACAGTTGGCCATATGCAGACAGACCCCAAACTCTGTTTCGAGACCGGCTCTGTGCGCCGATCAGTCACTGCGTGCGGCGGACTTGGCAATTGTGCGTTCTAGTCAGACCACATCAGCATCCCGTCAATATGTGAATGTCATCGTCATGAGCTGTGTGGCTGGGTACGCGCTAGGCAGCCGGCTATTTGGAAGGCTCTACATCCGTACCATATGGATGGGCTCTCCGAGTCGGCCGCTTAACCCTTTTCATGAGTTGTGACGGCTGCCAGGCTAGTCGTCGACTAGTGGATTTCTAATGACCTAGTGTCGCAATGCTTTGAGTGCATGGCAAAGCCGAATTTCCGTGTTTGCTTTCCGGTGGTTGGGCATGAATAGGACAAGGCGAGGCTTGAGCAGTGAAGCGCCAAGGTGGACCGGCCAGGTGCATCGCAGTTTTGAACAAATACGTCACCTTAAAACCTTGGAGCCCCGTCTTCAGCATTGGCACCTTGGCGCCCGTGCACCTAGTCAACAGGCGCGTCTCCAGTTTGGGCCCTTGTTCCAGAATCCGGAGCCGTGCCTGTGGAGGGCGCTTCGGTGTCAATCTGGCTGGCTTTCTCTGCACCGCTCAGAGTCCGGTTCGAGCTGGCACAGTTGGAGAGTCAAGTTCTGACTCCTCCATGTCGTTCTTGAATTCATTGGGCCAGGTCATATTGGCATCGGTGGACATCAGCCTCAGGAGTCCGTACTTGGAACGGGATGTGACCTTGCGGGCTGCCACCTAATTAATTCGTCTCAAGTACGGACGACCATTGTCAGCTTGCCTTGCGGACTGCCAACGGAGCCCGCACACACCTGCATGCCGCACCAAAACAGCTGCCTAGAAAGCTGACGGGGAAATGTAGCTGTATGTTGCTGCCAGGGCGCACGATCACCATCCTGGCAGCTTGGCGAAGGGAAACAACGGCAACCGGGATGTATAGCGATGCTGAGCCTCGAAGAAAACGTCTCGCTTACTTGGCACCCTACCGTGCGCTTCTGGGCCGAGAATTGAGCATGCCCCCCAAGTGATCGTCACCGTGGGTACGCGTCTCATGGGAAAGCTGGTTGTTGGCGCGAACAGGGTGAGGCAAAGCAGGAGGCCGTGGAAAGTCGCTATTTCATGACGGCCGAGAATCCTGCCCTGCTCTTCTGGGATATGGACCTCTGCGGTCTTCTGTGGCCGCGCGGCTCGCTGCTTGCAAACTGCCGCTGTGATTGTTCTTTCCAGCCGACAAGCACCTGGATCGATGAGAGGACAAGCACCTTTTCCACAGTGCACCAGACGTGGGTTCGTTCTGCACTCTGAAAAAAAATAAAGGGAGGTCGGGTCGGGTCCTGGCAACGGGTCCATGACGCTGGCGCCAGCCCATGCTGTTAGTGGCTGCCTCAGTAAGAGCCCACCCGAATAGCCGGGGCAGGCACCGCTCCTTTCGACACGCTGAACGCTCGTCTCGTATCGTCTCGTCTTGTCGTGTCGCCGCCCGGACCTGGCTAAGGCCCACGACACGCCGGCGCCCACCTCGAGACGGCTGGGCCGGTCGTTCCGCCGCACCCGCCCGACGATTGCCACGACGCTGCCTTGTTTCGCACCTCGAATGGAATAAGCTCCTTGCTGCGGTGATTTCTCGACGGCCTCCTCGTCCCACTGCATCTCTCCCTTCCCCTTGTACCTCCCATGCTCCAACTTGCGACTGCATCCGTCACTCTCTCCCTCTCTCTCTCTCGCGTCGCTCGCCACGAGCTTCACCACCGCCGCCGCCATTATTACGTGACATCGACCCGGCAGATCGCCCCTCCAGCGTGGGAACGCCGCGCCGTGCGAAGCTAGCTCTCGGCAAGCCCAAAGACACTGGGCTCGCGGCTGCCCGTTAGCTGTCTGGGCGACGCGGACCAACCACTTGCGCAGTCCAGGTCGTGCTGCGGAGTGTCGATAATAGCGATCATCCAGATCGCGCAAGTGAGCGGTGCCTGCCGCCCACAGGCACGATCGGCGACGGCGGCGTTTTCCATTCACTTGCTGTCTCAGAACAGGACTGTACGACACCGGCATCGACAACGCCGTTCGCCGGTGACAGACGGTCACCATGGTTCGCAAAAGAGGTCAGTAGTGGTCTGGCATATTGTCTTTCTCAAGCCCACACTGGCAAGATCGGTCCCGGCCCGCCCAGTCGCAGAGCAGCGTGCCTGTCAACGTTCCATGTTTCGTCAACGCACCATACCCGTCCAAGTGGACGGACGCGGATGGCTGCCGCTTCTCGATTCAACACCCCTGTGGAGCTACCCCCCTTGGCGCCAGTCTGGGTGCTCGTCCTCATTTCCTCAAGCATGTCTTCCGCCAGGCCCCCAGAGCTGGTGGTGGCTTGACACACGGAAGCCCTGCGCGCCAGGTTACCGGAGCGCAGATCTGCCTCTTTGACAGCGCGCCTGCCCTTGGGCCTGCATCCCAGAGCTGGTCAGGCGAGGCTTGTCTGGACCCTGGCATACGCGCAACGGGAGGCCATTGCATCACCTCGCGTCCCGCCACTGCCCACGCCCGTCAGTGCTCGCAGCCCTGCTACGTACAGCTGTGTGGCCGTAAAGCACGTTCCCGCCGCGCAGCCACACCACGCTCCCTCAGTCATCGTCACACGGACTCCGGACAGGAGTAGCCGGGCTCCAATTCGTCCTGGCGTACGGTCGCTCCCTTTGCAGTCCGACCTTGCCATTGTTCCCATCTCCTCCCGTCTCAACCTCTCCTCGTCTGCGTATCCCGAGCACTTACGTATCAAAGTCACAATACATTACCCTGCACACTTGGCACTGGCTCTGCAGCCCCCTTGCTAGGCTCCGGTCTTGTCGAGCCTTGGAGTGATCCCTTGGCACCTGTGCGCAGCGATGCTAATGACGCCCGTCTAACCCAAAGTGCTCTCGTTCATGTCCCACTTCTCGAGCGACAACAACCGCAACAGCTACGCTTCCACCACAACAGCCGCCCCCGCAACCTCGTCACCTGCGAGTGCTCTTCCTTCAACCAAACCCTCCTTTCCTCCATACCCGCCGCCCGCCAAGTCAGACAGACACAGCTACGGCGAGCTGCAGCCATCGCAGCCACAGCCCGCCTCGACCGCCTCTTCGCCGCCTGTCCCGTCATCACCAGCATGGGACAGCCGTGAGCAGTCTCCCGCGGCCGCCGACCCTTTCCCCACCAGCGCCTTCACGCCCCGGACAACCCGAGGTCGCAGCAACTCTCGCCCGCTATCCATGGTCATGAGCTACCAGCCGCCCATCATGGACATCAACGAGGACACAATTCCCGAGCTCCAGCCGATTTTTAGCTTCCTCAACAGCCACGGCAACAAGCTCTACCAGGAGGGCTACTTCCTCAAGCTCGACGACCAAAACACTCGTACGTCCTGGTGACCGAGGTGGCACTACTGCAGCATACTAACCAATGCACACAGAGGGCAAGCCCAACCCGGATCGGACTTGGACAGAATGCTTCGCGCAGCTCGTGGGCACAGTTCTTTCGCTATGGGATGCCGCCGAGCTTGACGCCGCCGGAGAAGATGGCGAGGTACTCCCGAAGTTTATCAATCTCACGGATGCGTCTATAAAAATGGTATGGCATACTTGCAGCGTCGGCAGTGCTAGGTCCCGACCTGAGGGCAATTTGCTGCTCACTTTCCGCATGACTGACACTTCCTCACAGATTGAGTCACTACCGACAAGCTCAGCTGGAGAACAGCCTCTACAGAACATACTCAGCATCTCGACAGCAGGGAAGAACCGCTATCTGCTCCACTTCAACTCGCGGCATTCTCTGATACAGTGGACCGCGGGCATACGCCTGGCCATGTTCGAACATGCCACTCTCCAAGAAGCATATACTGGGGCTCTGCTTGCTGGCAAGGGCAAGCTTCTCAACAACATTGGCGTCATCATGGAACGTGCGCGTTTTCCGGTCGAGCAATGGGTTCGCGTCCGTTTCGGTGCCGGCATGCCTTGGAGGCGATGCTGGTGTGTCATCACGCCACCAGACGAGAAGGAATACCAGAAGATGCAAAAGGACGTCAAGAAGAAGGGACCTTACGATCGAACACGAGCTCCGCTCCTCAAAGGCGACATCAGGTTCTACGACCAGCGCAAGGAGGGCAAGAAGCAGAAGAAGATGCAACCGATTGCCACGATAACTGATGCCTACTCGGCGTATTCACTGTATCCACAGGCCAAGTCGCTCATCGATGCCTCGACATTGATCAAGCTAGAAGGAAGCATAACGATCCACGCGGACCCGCCCTCCTCTAGCGAAGGCTTCGTCTTCGTCATGCCTGAGGTGAACCCTGCCATCTCTGGATTCGAGATGATGATGAGGTTCCTATTCCCGACTTGGGACACTTTTGGTCTTTATGGCCGCCCAGGAAGATTGGTCACCAGCGTCCTGGACCAGAGATCCCTCATGTTCGCCATGCCAAAACACAAGCGATACGGGTACCTCGAGCTACTGGATGTATCAAGCCTGATCCTCACTGACGGAAGCTCCGGGTGGATTGAGAAGGAATGGCGCAAGAAACTCAAAGAGCTCACTAGTACACGGATGAACGTGGTCGGTGAAGAGCGAGATACGGACAGTGGGCCGAGCAGTCGTTCCAACAGCAGAACTGGCTCTCGACTGAGTGGCGGCACGCCGCAGCCTGGCCAGCGGCAGCGCGTTGGATTTGCGGATGCGGCGGAGCAGCCACCATCAATGACGAGGGCTTCCCGTTCGATGTCTCTGACCAATCGGCCAATGGATCTCTCTGTTAACACAGGGGAACGGGCGCCGTCGGCAATGGCTGGTTCGCATTCACGGCACTCTAGAAATGCGTCGGATCCCTCACTGATGGGCCCTCTACCGCACCACCCGGGTCTCCACCAGCCCAGCCCCTTGTCAGGTAGGACACCGACAAGCGCCCAGGGCTACCCTCGGGACCTTGCTTCCACTCCGGAGCGTATGAGCTCAGAAGACGAGATCACATTCCAGCCTCCGGCTGTACAGAACACCCACAACATGAGCACGCCGGAGCCAGTCATCCGTCCGCCCAGGTTCTCTCACCTGCCAGGGGAGAAGCCATCCACCCGGCCATACCATTCCCCGGAGCTTCGACGTGCCAACAGTCGGCTCTCAAGCACGACACTTGCCCAGCTCGCCCAGAATGGCGGCGTTGCCTTTGACGGAGAAGCACCTACTGGACATCCTGGCGACGAACAGGGCCCAATGCCACCACCACACCGTGACCAAGCTGGTCCGCCACCGGTACTGCCTCACACCAACCATCCTGGGATGCCTGCTAATACCGGTCCTGAAGCAATGAACCAACCTTACCCACGATCCCCTGGTCTTCCTCCTCCGGGCGTTGGATTCCAGGAAAATCGATCTCAATCGCCCATGAACCCAAACCGAGGACCGCCGATTCCTAATCCCAACTACAGACGACCCAGCCCAGGACCTGGTCCCGACTTCCGAAGTCGCTCAGACTCTCGGCCTGGCACGGCAGGCAGCCAGCATCGACCCATGACTCCGGGAGGAGGCCCACCCGGTGGACGAGGTGGACCACCCCCTGGACGTGGTGGAGGGCCACCTTATGGTCGCGGCGGTGGGCCGCCTCCAGGTCATCCAGCGTACAGAGGTCGTGGCGGTCCAGGACCCGGACCTGGCCGAGGCCGTGGCATGCCACCTCCGCATATGGCTCAACAAGCAGGGCCTAATTCGTACCGCCAACCTGGGGCTCCTGGTCAGGAAGAACCGTTCAATGTCAATACCGTCATCGCAAGGAAACCTGTTGTTAATGGGTCTCTCCCTGCGCGTGGGGATAGTCTACGGTCGCCCGTTGAGGCCTTCCCACCTCTGGCACAGTCAAGCACGAGCAGTTTCACCTCTGCCAGTATTGACTCAGGCATCATGAACAAGATCCAGGGACCACCCCCAGGCGAGCGTGCAGCGATGCGACGACACGACACGATGACCAGCCAAGTCAGTAGCAATTACGGCGACAATGTGTCAACTGCAAGCCCGGACTATGCCAGCACGCGGCCATCCATTGAATCGCAAGCATCGATGGAGCGACCTCGTGCTGGCGTGCTCAAGACTATTGGCAATGCTGATGCCACGGCAAGCGGGCCGCCCCGCCGTGAGTTTGACATGCCTGAGATTGATTTTGGCCCGACTGTGAACTATGCCGCACAACAGAGGAGCAAGACCCCGACTGGACTACCACCAAATCAACCCAATGGGCCACAAGCTGCACAGCCAGCGCCTTTGTCGGCTGGTCTGCAGAGCTTCGCACCCGCACTTGGTCCGCAGCGTCGCTCACCTGCGCCCCAGGCTGCTCATGACCGCCAGCCGTCCAACGAGGGCACGCGAAGGAGCATGATCTGGCAGCCGCCTTCGGCATCATCGCATCAGGGTGGCTCTGGAGGAAGCGGGATGTCTGCAGAGCAATTTGTGCAGCATCGGGCTGTCGCAGCAACACCCCAATATGCGCATCACAGGCAATCATCAAGTGTCACCCTGAGCGGTCACCGTGCTGGCACGACACCCCCTCCCGGGAATAGACCTGGTTCTCAGGACTACATTGGCATCGCCCATTCCAGGAATAACTCACAGGAGTTATTGCAGCGCCCGAGCTCGCGGTCCGCTGGGGATGTGCTGCAGCGTCCATCGTCCCGAGAGCTCCTCCAGCGACCCAGCTCTCGCGGTGCCGGTGAGCTTCTTCAGCGTCCTGGTTCTCGTGGCGCTGGTGCTGTGCTAGGTGGGCAAGGAGAGTCCCACTTGTCCGCACGGGAACAGGAGCAGATCGCTCGGGCTACTGGCTCGCCACTCATCCAGATGGCTGGCAACAAGAACGGACCCCCGGCCAGTGGGGGACTTGTCGGTGCGATCCAGACTCGTGAGCGCGAGCGTGAGCAAGCAAAGCAGGGCTGGTCGAACGCCTCAACCCAACAGGCTATTCAACAGAGACAGCTAGCACAACAACAACAGCAGCAGCAGCAGCAGCAGCAGGCCTACCAACAGCAATATGCTCAGGTGCCTGGGACTCCGGGTACTCCTCGGGGGCCTCCTCCTCTCAATGGGTACTCGAACATGGGGCGTGGCGTGGGCTATGGGGTTCCACAGTCACCCATGCAGCAGAACTTTGGGATGCAGCAGGGATATTTCCCCGCCTCGCCAGGAGGCTTCGAGCAGCCGGGCAGTTGGGGTGGTGGCGGTGGTCTAGGAGCCATGTCGCCTCAGTTGCAGCATCCTCCACAGGGTTATGGTGCCATACAGCAGCCCGTGATGCAGGTGAACCAGCAACAGGCGCAGTTTGTGCCTGGACCACAGCAGGGGCAATATCCGGCGCAAGGACAGGGCAGTTATGGATACCACGGTCAGGCCTTCTAGCGATAGAGTGTAGGCATGCGTGAGCTGGCTGGAGTTCATGATTTCTTCCCTTTTTTGTTTTTTGTTTATCTCTCCCCTCTTCTCTTGGTTATTCTGTACCAAAAGGAGATTACTTGCATACTGGCATTTTTTTCTTTTCCCTTTGTGTTTATTATCCTCTCATCCACTGGAAGTGGGCTGCATAGCATTTGGGTATTTCGTAGCGTTAAAAAAAAAGACGGTTCATCTCATGGAAAAGTTATGTCCCAGTCCCAGTCTCGGCTTGAAAGATCCTAGCATGTGTGTGAGCCGTCTAGGACTGGATGATTTTGAGAATGAAGCAACGGAAAAATGTCAAATTTGACTTGCTCATCTGCGTACATTTGGTTTTACTTGGCCATGTTTTATGTGCTTGCTTGCTTGCTCGCTTGCTAGCCGCCGTACTCTGACTGACAATTCATAAAAGCACGGCTCTCTAGGGATATCGTGACTAGTATACTCGCGGCGGGCGGGCGTCACTCTCTCGAGACACCTTCTTTCCACTTTGAACAACTGGGGTCTGCCGCCAATTTTGCCAAAAGCACCACCAAAAATGGGACGGGGCCTTTAAGTAACCCCAACCAGTTCAAACGACAATATCGTATATGATATGATATTGACAAGTATGCTTGGTGTGTGTGTGTGTGTGTGAGACACCAAGCGACATACCATTGGCCGGGGAAAAATAAAAACATCGAATTTTCCAAGAGTTTCCCATTTGCCCATGACGGAACCTGAACAACAGTAACCAAACGAAGTAACAAATGCATGCTCCTTGCATGAACTGCAAAGGCGTACCAGCCGTGACACCGTGCCTCCCCTAGCTTTTCAATTCGTGAAATCATCAGAGGCTCCTCTTCACACTTTCTTCCTTTAGCGAGGGGCACGATTCGAGCCCGCAGCCTCGATAGCCTGGTCCAGAGCACGCTCCTCCTCCTCCAGCCGCCTAATCTCGTCGGGTGTCATGCCTTCCTCAACCAAGTGGGCATACTGTGTCGTGGCGGGTGGCACCGGCGAGCTTGTGCCGTACGGCAGGTGTGTCTGGCTGGACGTCATCGCGTTCGCGACGGCAGGGCTGGCATGGGCGGATGGTGCCTGGTCACTATACGGTGCATAATGCGAGTCCATAGCAGTACTGCCACGGTCATGCAACCGGCCGCCGTCGTCGCCGTATGCCGAGTGCGGCGACGACTCCGAGACACCAGGCACTTCCTTGTCGATAATCATGGCGTGTGTGCCGGCGTCGTGCCCATACTCTGCTCCGCGAGCTGGGCCTTGCTGCTTCCGGCGTCGGAAGCAGAAGAACCATACGAGCACGCCCACAATGGCGAGCGCCGCGGCACCGCCAACAGCAATGCCCGCAATGGCGCCGTTGCTGAGTCCATTCGGAGGAGCTTGTGCGGTTGGGTTGCTGCCGCCAGCGGCCGAGCCAGTTGGGGCCGTAGTAGTGACCCCCCCTGTAGAGGCTGGCACACCGGTATTTATGACTGTGGCCGTGATGCTGGCAACTGGCGTTGTAGGGAGTGCCGTGTCTGAGGCCAGCGCTGCGGACAGCGATGCCGAGGCTTGTTGGCTGGCAACAAGACCTGGCTCACGAGCAACAGCGAAAGCCCCAGTCGCGGAAAATCCAAGCCGGTCTTTGCCCGACCAGGAAATGTTGACGAAAAGGGGTTTCTCAAAATTGCCCTGCCAATAATACTGCTGGTCCGGGTCGCGGCTGATGTCAAAGTCGAGGCGGCCTCCGGTCTGGTTCAGGGTCACTGTAGGCACCAGTTAGTCCTTTCATGCCCAATCTTGCAAATCCTGCGTGGAGGCTATCTACCTTGTAGATTGTTGAGCTTGTTGCCCTCGTTTAGCCATTGTGCAATGGCAGCGCTTGCATTGAACAGCTCAACCCTGTCGATGGTGAAACCGTCCTTAACTGTCCATGATTGCTGCTGGCCTTGTTTGCCTGCAACAAGGATTGGGAATGCCTCTGGTGCGCCACTTGAGCCGATGAGGGAATCGAACTGGACAACCGTTGACGGATCGAACTGGATGATCGCTTCGACGACGTCCACCTTCTGCGCCGCCACGCTGTTCATGCCCAATGCAAGCACCACCCTCGTCCATGGTGTTGGCCGCATTGCTGCGTGGGAGGAAGTGCCAACTCGGTGCGCTAGCCGCCGAATTCTGGGGGATCGTTACGAATGGCTCTTGATTTGTCGCTGTTGTTGCGTCACTGGGACAATCTGTTGAGATGGCTACTTGTGTCGAGCTCGGCCCATGTCCCACCACTGCTCAGCTGCTGTTTTGGGAGGCGTCGACGGAGCGTGAAGAGCGCCGTGCCGGTATCTTCTGGTGTTAGACGAACACGGCCGCTTCCGGAGACGGGCGAAGGGGATCGCAACCGCGGGGGCGTTGCTGGCGATAGTGAGGTTTGAGAGAGCAGCGCGGAACGATGGAGAATTGGAAACCGACGAGGAGGAGGCGGAAGGGAAACGGCAGGCCGGGCAAAGGCTGACTGACGGCGTCAGCACAGCAGGGATGAGGATGACAGGTGATAGGCTGGGCGGGTGCTGGGGCTGAGCGTTCGCGCAGTGAGATGGTGGATGGATGGACCGCCGAGGAAGGAGCCGGGCCGCAGGGGTCCTGTCCTCCGCCCGCGCGCATTGTAAGTACGTACCTTCAGGTATGAAGAAGACGAGACGGAGCCTCGTCACCAACCGAACCAAGCCTAAGTCCCCGTCGATCGTCGCTCTGCTGCTGCTGCTGCTTCTCACTCACACGTTGCTGCGCCCTTCGGCCGTTGTGCTCCACGAAGCCGAGCCCGTCAGCATCTTGTTGAAGCGGAGAGTTATGGCGTGGGCAGGCTGGCGTTCAGCTGGGCTGCACTAGTATGGGACGGGGTGGGCTGGGCTCTTGCAGGGCTGGAACTCTGTCTGCTCATCGTCCTCTTCTGTTTTTTTGTCTTGTGCCTCGTCCCTCCGGTCCAAGCTGTTGTTGTTGGTGGTTGCTTGCCTGCCTGCCTGCTCATCCCCTTGGCGGATCTCACTCATATCTTGCTTGCACTCCGCAACTCGACCAACTCCGCCGTCGTCAGCACTTGGGCACGCACCCGCCAGGGGCCCCCTCGAGCCAGGCCAGGGCCGTCGCACTGCGCGAGGCCGTGATTGGTGTTGCCGCACCCTGTCTGCGCCCCTTTGGCAGGGCTGGCTGCTGACAGAAGCCGGGCCCAACTTTAGAATGCGCTCCACTCACACTCACACCCTCACACACACACCCGACCAGACTCTCTCGCCTTTGCGGACTGTCTCTGCGATGGAAGCCAGCAACGGCCTGCTTCCTTCCGGAGAAACTTGTGTCTTGAGTTTAAAGCCGCCCGCTGGTTCTCGCTCATGCCTGTGTGGCGCAGTGGCCGCAGATCTAGAACGGCAAGGTTGCATCAAGAGGGTTACGTGTTGTCCTCAGCCTCGGCCGCACGAGGCTCGCGGCAAGTGTCTGGCAACCAACGGCAGCCTCACGCCCATGGGATCGACAACTCGAGAATGCACGTATATCTGGCTCGCAAGTGGCATTCATGCCGGCTCATGCTGCAAAAGCTTGAGCCGGCGTCGCCACGCTCACAGGATTCAAAGGTCCAAAAACCGCAGGCAGGGAGGTACAGTATTGTACATGCAGTAGAGCTAGTGAGTGTCTTCCCCACAGGACCCCTGCTGTTGCAATTTATAGCATCAGCGCTACAGCACCCATTACCTAGTCCTGTCGGTACGTCGCCGCCGCGGGGGTGCCCCGCTGCGGGTCTCATCCCAATCATCATCCGGGCAAGACACTCACTTTTGTGGTACCATGGAAATGTACGTCTCCCTCTGGGGTGCCGTGCTCTGCAATCTCAGTCAGTCATTAAGAAGCTGCAGACCAGGCGCATTCTGGTCAACTAAAAGCACATCATCTTGAAAGAGTCGTACATCGACACCCCATGGGCCAACTGAACCCGTGGAGGCGTGAAGCTGCTGCAGCCTTGCCACACTGCTCGTTCACACAAACACCACCCCAGGCACAGGCCTGCATGTGCTGCGCGCACCGTAACCGCCAGCAAATCAGCGACGAAACGTTGCCCTCACACCTTTCCGTCGAAGAGCGGGGTTTCACCTCGGGTTTTGTGTCTGGGGAACAATTGCCGCTGGCTTCTCAGTCGTCTTTGAAACATTCCCGCATGCTTCAGTAACAGCACTAGGGGCTTTGGAAGCATGCCGGCCCGTCAAATCAATGGTCAACGAGCACAATGATATCATCACAATCCTTCCCGTCCTTCCCGCAATCGTCGTGCAACCCCCCGGTACATTTTGCAGCCAGCGCGCGGGGCGCCAGCTTTCTGCTACGGAAGAACCCGTGCAGATCCTTCTCTGAAAAGTAAAGGGAGCAATTAGTCTTCTTCCGTTGGAGAGAGAGCATATGTCTTTTGGCAAGTGTCGTTCTTGGAATGTTAGGTAAAGTGTGTCATCCATTGCAACCGGTTGCCGATCAAGGATTCCATCGCGACTAGAGGTTGACATTACCGTGTGTGTGTGACATCCTCTGTCAAGATTCCCCTCCTCGTTTATGCTACCAAAATACAAGCCAGCTTCAGTGTCACAAAAGCAATCCCCAAGCTCGTCCCCTACGAGCCGAATGCTCCAATGGGGGTGCTTTGTTCGTTGTTGGTTACCAAGCCCGCCCTCGCATGAGATGTCCCCTTTTCCACCCGCTGAAAACCCCCCTTGCAATGCAGGCAGGCGTCTCGCCGGGCTCTTTACCTTTGGTCAAGGCCCGGCCGGGTATGTCAGGCTCGCTGCAGGTGCCTGAAATAGCATTTCTTTTTTGGTAAAGTGCTTCATGGTTCCTTTTCTGGCGGCTTGATTCTTGTGATTCTGGAAGTGTCGAGGGTTCCTGTGACCAATGACTGTGATGGAGCGGAATGTATCGTCCCTCGATGACGTGCCGCCTAGAAAAAGGGATATTGACGCACAACCTCCTATGGGGTAGTGTTCGTGCCTCGAAGCGCTGCATATCAAGCCAATATATGCCCAGCTATGGGTTTGGTTATGTTTTCTTTTTCTCTTTTTGAAAAACTCGATGAGCCACGATCAGAGAGGTGGCCATGTCTCTGGTGAGCGCGGTATGTAACGTTGTGATCCGAGTACCGTGCTATATAAAGTGTGATGACAATGAAAGGGGCCCGAGCCACAGTGGACCGCCCGTCCCGTCTGTTGACAGCCGTTCATAAGAGCTGCGGCCTTGTGCTCATCCTCGTCGTCTTCGTCGTCATCGTTAGTATCGTCTTAAGTCCTCTAGTTTTTGGTCACCATGAAAGTGCTGTTGTCGGCATCGTCATGGGGCGTTTGCTTGAATGTCACCGAGGCGAATCTATATACGCAGCGCAACGATACTACGTCCGTTGAAGCTGGGCATTAGATAGGTCGGAAAGAACTGCTGGCCAGACCTCCCATAACGCTGTGCTAAAAGTTGCTCAGTCCTTTTCTACTTTGCCCTTCTTGATGGGGGCCAGCTCGAGTCCCCGTCGTGTTTAGCTTTTGGTTCAGTCAGATCTCTTTTCGGTGGACGCTTCTCAGCTGTGCACTGGCGTGGATTCTGGGATGTTGGAAATGTCCAACTGCAAGAGGTGTGCTATATCATTGTCCGATGATTGGCTTCGTCGCAGGAATCATCACTAGCATAGTACGTATGTAAGCTGCTACTTTGGTAGGTGGAATGCAGCTCGAGCATGGAAACTTGCCGTGTCATCAAAGGGGTCGAGCCAACCGCGCACAAGACTTCAAGTGTTAGCCCCCATGAACATTCGAGTTTGCGGACGATACTCGTTTCACTCTTGTACACTACATATTAGCGACCATGGCGAACACCGCTCAAAGATGGTGTTTCACGACTCCTCGCTTCAAACGAACGGAGGGCGCAGCCCGGTACTGTGTGGCATCAAGCAAAGCTATCGAATTCGTTATGGCGCTATATATCTCAGTTCTGTGCCCACGTCAAATGCTCGCTTCTCAGAGACGAAGTTGCTTCAGCACACTGTCATGCATTTGACGTCCCCCGAAGGACAGAAATATCACGAGTGATAAAACCTCATCGACTGGTGCTCATCTTGTCTGAATCTTCCAGAAGCACTTGCCATCAACCGCGGCCAAACGTGAACAAGCGACTGGCCATATTACTCGCCAGTGCACCGGCGATGTTGCCCGATGACAAAGCGCTGCCAGCGAGGTTGGAAGCCTGGCTGAACTTGTCGCACCGCGAGAACGCAAGACTGTTTGTGATTGTCAAAGTAAGGGCGATGGCTGCTCCGAGTCAAAGGGCAACAGGTCAGCAATCTTGTCCAAACGAGTGCGCATACGACGAGAAAATGATTTCGGCAGTCCCGCAACTCACCAACCAAAGGCAGCCACATGAGCTTGAATCTTATGATGGCCAGGATGGCCAGTGCGATCCAAAGCAGAGGCTGCGAGTACATTGCAAGCCAAAAGAAGCGGCTGTCGGTAGCGTTGATGGTCCGCGTGCCGGGCTCGCTGCTCTCAAAGACCCATTGGCTGTCGCCTGTCGTCGGATCGACCTCGTTCCACCAGCGCAGGCCCACGAGACGCCGCCCGGCAATATTCTTGAGGTAGTAGAAGTCGGCCGCGAGGAGCAGCATCGTGACGATGAAAATCATGACCATATTCTCGGTAAAGATGACCCCGAAGAGGTACACCAGGAGGGACGCTGTTTGGCGGGAAGAGGGGCCAACCGTCAGCATCAAAGCTCTGTAAATTGCCCCCGAAAGGGAAAGGCGCTCAAAGGACTAGAAACAACTCACAAGCCCGGAAGGCGAGGAACGTTAACAGAGTGATAGGGTGCGAGCTGAGCCGCCAGCTCAGGGAGCCAGATGGGTTTTGTGTGGATTCCATCATAGCTAGCTAGCTGTCCAAGTCGGCGCGTGGCTCGTGGCTGGTACGAATCTCCGGGTGCGGAAGTTCGTCGTCGTCGTCGGGGTGGCTCTGGGGTGATGGCAGGTGAAGCTCTGTCGTCAGGGTTGCTTGGTGGGTGTGATGGTCCCCAAGGTTGGAGCCTGGCGGTTGTGCAATTGGATCAAGCTCCTCGTGTCAACTTGACGCGCGCCCCAATGAGGAGAGCCGCTAGCGGGCTGTCTGGGCAGGGGTCCTCCACAGCAGTCTAAGTCTGGTGCACTTCATACTCATCAAGTATGCAGATGCATAACAGTTGTCTCACGACATGGGATATCCGAATGGATTATGGCCCTATACCGTTGTATCTGCTTTGCGTTGGTCTAAAATTCACTCGCGGTGTCGCATACTCACATAATCCGTGGTCCACGGTCATGACCTGCTTCCTCGAAGCAAACGGCCCTGGAAGGCATGCACTCCACATTGCGTGAGCTGGATTGGCCACTAACCAATTGTTCACAAAGGAGGAACGATTACCAGCGCTTGCTAGAGCAGACCAGAAGCACAAAAGGAATGCCCGTTGAGCAATCTTGTTAGTCACAGCAATTCTTCCACTATTCGCGAAGCAACAACAGACAACCAAGCCCGGGCCTCTCGGTCGCGTTACCCGGCAGCATGTATATAAAGTGGGGCGGCCTTCGCGGCCGATGACATCGAAGTGACCGGAAACTACCCGCGCGCGCGCCTTCCCATTTTTTCATGCGACGGCCTGGGCAGCCTACGTAGCTGCACCCAAGGCGAACCCACTTTGCCGCCAACCTTCGACCGGAGCTCAATCTTCTTCATCCGACACCACCTCGTCGCGACCTCATCCACTCTTGCGCCATCTTTCCCATTTTGACCAGGTTCTGATCCCATATTCCCCTTGTTTCACATCTATCTCGACAGCGTATCCAACATGTCTCGAGGCGGCACCACGCTCTACGTGACCGGCTTCAGCCACGGCACGCGTGCTCGCGACCTCGCATACGAATTCGAACGGTATGTCAGCCATCGTCGTCGTCGGTGATCTCGATCGACCGCTCCCCTCCTCGCGAACGGCATCTCGGCTGCACCCATCCCTTACCGCCTCGCGCCCTCCCACCGCCGCCAATATCCTTCGAGCCTGCGATCCGTCCGCCGTCCGCGCCCTCGTCACCTCCTTCCAGACCCCTCGTCCACCTGCCATTCCCGCCCCTCCGAGCACTCGAGCGGTCTTGCGCGACCATCGCGGCCGCCCTTTCGCGAGCTGTCCGCCCGTCGTGGCGGCGGCAGAATACCATCCTGGCCGCGTTTCGTGCGCGCGCTAGGTCACTTCATTTTCAAGCTGCGTATCCCTTTTGAATGTACTAACTCCATCCCCATAGCTATGGCCGCCTTGTCCGTTGTGACATTCCGGCACCTCGCTCTGCGAGCAGCAGACTGTGAGTATTTTATACCCCGGGCCCAGTGCCTGCGTCTTGTGAAAATCCTCTCAGCCCCAGCTGACCGAGACAGCAGCTTCGCGTTCGTCGAATACGAGGATCGCCGTGATGCTGACGATGCCTATTACGAGATGCATAACAAGCGTCTCGGCCGTGATGACATCCTAAAGATTGAGGTCAGTCTTGGCTCCAACACCTTAACGAAAACCCACGTCTAACTAGGCTTTGTAGTGGGCACGTACTCCCCCGTCCGCTTCGTGGCGGTTCGATTCTGGCAGGGACCGCGACCGCCGCAGATCCCCCGCGTCCGGCAGCGGACGTCGTCGCTCGCCATCGCCCCGTCGGAGCACGCGCGACTATTCCCCTCGCAAGGATGACCGTAGCGACCGCTACGATGATCGGGACCGTGACCGTCGGGAGCGCCGCGGCACACGCGACCGGTCTCGCAGCCCTGATCGTTACAAGGGCTCTGTGTCTCCCGATGGGAAGCGTGACAAGCGCGAGCTCACTCCTCGTGCCCACAGCGACCGTGATTCCAAGGAGGAGCGGGACGACCGTGACCGCGACCGCGACCGTCACGAAAACGGTACCGATGCCGACGACCGCAAGCGTAAGTCCATACGTACCATCAGTTCTGGCGGTGTGAGATGATACTGACCGTTTCTTCCAGCCGCTGACAGCCCGCCTCCTCAAAACGAAGACCTTGACGTTACGGAGTGAACGCAATGAAACCAGCCGGTGCTTCGTTTGGAGGTTAGCCAAAAAAGTATTCCCATTTCACGGCCCAGCTTGGGTACATATGATTATGCCTGTCATTGGTTCCGCGTTCACTATTTTAGTTCCTCTACTTGTACGACTTCCCTAGTTCCACATTTCGACAACAGATTGCGCAGGCCACCGGTGGCACGGGTGAGGTAGAAGCTGTTTCTGGTTGCGAAACTGGCTGCTTTTATGGCGCACTTTTATGGTGCTTGTACAAAACTGTTTTTGCACAAGACTCGTAGCTCAATATAGAAGAATTATTTCGACGATGCTGTCCGGTTCTGTGCTCTTCTTGATGAGAAATTTGGCAATGGGGACGCGGTTGAAATGCCTCGTGTTGTTTCACGGTGTCTGGGCAAGAGAGGAGGCATTGGGGCTCACTCTGACCTGCTCCAATATCGCAATCTGATGCGGACGTAGATGCAGAGAGGGGGGTGCTTCCCTGCTTGATGCGCTTCGACCTTGTACTCTTCCCCAGCTTGGCCCGCGTCACAAGTGCGGAGTCGCTTGACCACGTGCAGTATGGTGCGGAGACGTGGCAGCAGACATGGGCATCTTTTGAGGGGGATCCCGAGATTCTGGAAATGCAGGGCGGCTTGTCGTTGACCACGAAGCCCATCAGGTAGGATGGATTCTTCCGACGTGCCACATCCTGACCATGCTGACTCTCGGAGCTTGTCCAAGCGCTTGCTGTGGATGACACAGCCCTGCATAATTACTCACTACTTGAAGATGATGGCCCCATGCTTCGGGTCAAGGCGCCCTACTCTTTACCATCAATTCTTTACCAATTTTCTCTGACGGACGCCTGCATGACCAATATCCGAGGTGAAGCTCGCGGATGTGCGCACGAGATCTACAGGGACCGCACCTGTGGGACTAACTCTAAGCGGTTGGGATAGGGAAGGCTGCGGCGCCGTGGCTTGGGATGGAGGCAGCATCTCCGAAAGGACGGGGCTCGCCTGGCAGCAGCCGCGGACCGGGAGAAGTCGGTTCGCCTGAGCTCGAGAGGTCCATCTCCGATGCGCGCCACTTCACACCACCGCGGGGCCCCTCTGGAGACTGATACGGTACACTTGAGCATGAATTCTGCTCAAAATACAGCCTGGAGCATGGCGAGTCCTACAAGGAGAGATCATCAAGGGACCGAATAGCGTAGTGCTCTCAGATGACCAAGTAACAAAGGTAAGCCCTACATTTCTCTAGGCTGGTAGTAGAATGTGACCCCGTCCCGTGGCTTGCATCACTGGACAGTGCGTGTCGATCCAGAAGACGTCAATGCGGAGCGAAGCGGCCAGTGACGGCACGTCCTTGGGCGTGGGTGATTGCCGCCCCAGCTTTCGCCCTCCCCTAGCGCAGCGCAACGCAACGCAGCCCTACAGGTTATCGATTTCGTCTGATCCTCGAGCTCTCTTCCTCGTGGCACCTTGTCGTCTCGTCGTAGCCACATCGTCGCCCTCCGCCGCAGCTGCTTGCCTTCTTCTTCTTCTTTGCTTGGCTGTCGCCATTGCTCAGATTCCGCTCTTTTTCACACCTCCCCTCGTCTGCTTCGTTGCGTGTTTCCTTGCTGACCTCGACGCCAACATCCGTCATCAGCGCCCACCCCTGCTCCTGACCCTCCGCGCAGGCTCATCTTCAACATTCTTCCGACCATCGAGAACCAGGCGCTCCAGCACAGCCACCGACTCTTTGCGATTCCACCATCATCAGCACAGGTCAGGCTTTAGACAGCATCGGCATTGATCCTGAATATTACGTCCTTGAGCTCCAGTCTCGACTCGCTTTCGCTACGACTGTCGAACAAAATTGTCACCATATCCCTCCGTGGGTCGCAAAAACGAACCCCGAAGCATCTGGCGGAATTCTCGAGCGCCCTACCGGACGTAGACCAGGCAACCAACCGACAAGTCACCGAGAGATAGGTCGTTCTCGCCTCGACTTGCCATCCTTCGCCTCGAACGATCCATTATACTTGCGTCATTTGCGGACTCTACTTCCTTTCACCGTGCAGCAGGAGGGCCAGGGCCGATATTGCCAGAGTGTTGTTCGGATTTGAGAGCCGGCGCGCAGTCCCAAGACGCAGGATATTCTTACAATGGCCACAGTCAGTCTTCCCGTTCTTCCAACCTCAAACATGTACTGGGTCTCCAAACACATGTGTTGGCTCGACCAGAGCGCTGACCAGTCTGATTCATGAGTAGCAACCCCCCGAAAGCTCCGCCGAGCAGAAATATGTGCCGCAGGACGCGCCCCCGACACCCAGCTTCCCCCAGCTTCGCGACTTTGTATCACAACCAGTTGTCGCATCGTTCTGCGCTGGCGGTGTTGCGGGTGCCGTCTCGCGGACTGTAGTCTCACCACTCGAGAGAGTCAAGATTTTGTTTCAGGTCCAAAGTCCTGGGCACAGTGAATACAAGATGTCGGTTGGCAAGGCGCTCGCCAAGATGTGGAGGGAAGAGGGCTGGAGGGGGTTCATGGCAGGCAACGGCACGAACTGCATCCGCATCGTTCCGTACTCCGCTGTTCAGTTTGGCAGCTACAACTTATACAAAAGGGTAAGTGAGCAATCCGTGAACCCAGAAGCGGGCGCATGATCGACCCTATTCTGTGCATGGGCCCGGCCTTTAGCTGACATTGAGGAACTTTCTGCAGCATTTCTTCGAATCGTACCCGGACGCTCCTCTGAACTCCCTTCAACGGCTTATCTGTGGCGGTATCGCTGGTATCACATCAGTCGTGTTCACATATCCGCTTGATATTGTTCGGACGCGGTTATCAATTCAATCAGCGTCGTTCGCTGCGTTAGGCAAAAAGGAGGGTACTAAGCTTCCGGGCATGTTCCCGACTCTTGTCGCCATGTACAAGACGGAAGGGGGCCTTGCGGCGTTGTATCGGGGGATAATACCAACAGTGGCGGGCGTGGCGCCTTACGTGAGTTTTCCTGGGATGCCAAACATCAAAGCACCACTGTGTGTTGCTAACACAATCCCGACAGGTTGGGCTGAACTTTATGGTCTACGAGGTTGCCCGCAAGAGACTTACTCCCGACGGTGACAAGAACCCAAGCGCTGTGCGCAAACTCCTCGCCGGTGCGATTGCTGGTGGCGTTGCGCAGACGTGCACATACCCCTTGTGAGTATCAGTTGTTCCGCACCAGCGAAAGTGAAGGCCTTCGATCAGCAGCTAACGCGCACATGCAGCGACGTTCTTCGACGACGATTTCAAATCAACACCATGTCAGGGATGGGCTACCAGTATAAATCGATAGGCGATGCCATCAAGACGATAGTGGCGCAGGAGGGCCTCAAGGGTCTTTACAAGGGTCTGTTGCCCAACCTATTGAAAGTGGCTCCCAGCATGGCTGCCAATTGGCTCAGCTTCGAGATGACACGGGACTTCCTCGTCGCACTGAGAGCTCCGGAACCGATAGTCCTATGAAAGAAATGAACAGAAACGGGAACGGGAACCTTCACTGGTTGGAAAATTACGGATGCAGGACGTAGACGATAAACCTGGTCAGGTGCGAGAAGCCGTACAAGCTCACCTTGCTTTTATTCTACACATATATTTAGCATCGATTCGGCGCTGCGTACTTTTGGATTGCTTCACGTAAAACCCTATACAATACAGCTTGCCTGCTTCTCTGTCATGTCGCTATGTGCAGTGAGGCCTGCGACTTGTTGAACTCAGATCCCCGTTCTTGGGCGCCTTGCTCGTTATGACAGGATGAAGTCAAAGACAATAGCATCGTGATTTCAGTGCAATTCTCCGACGATATTGCGCGTGCACTACTCGCCCAGTCCTTGTCCGGGATTTTGAGAGACGGCCGAGTGTGATCATCTCGCCGAGTCCCTTGCACCTTAAGCCTCCCGTCGTTCTGGACCCGAAGCCTGGGGTTGTGTTAATCAGCAAGCTCCATAAAGCTCTCCTGATATCGATAACCCAGATGACTGTGACGGACCAATCAGCGGGTCCTTGCCCTCTCGCTTGCCTGGACCGCTGGAACTTGACAGCCCCACCGCGCGCGCACTGACCACCACAAATCTGCAATTCATTCGGTGCGGGTTGCGAATTGCAACTTTTGGCAGCGCCCTGGTAGATTGGCCCACCTCGTGATCTTTTTCTGCCCTCTTCTCTCACTACTAACCATTCCACGACAGCAGCCAGCACCCCATCGACTCTCACGACAGCCGACAGAGTCTCCGTCAAGATGGGTACGTTTCCAATTTGGAGTCTTCGTATGCAAGTAGGGACTTGAGGGAGATCTGGACGCATGACAGGCCGAGTCGGAAGCAGTCTCGGGTGGTTTTCTATCTTCCTCTTTTGACTCTTCCTATCCTTCTTTCCTGAATCAGGGAAGGATGGGGAAGCAATCGAGATGGGACATGAACAACCCTGAGCGACTCGAGCCTGGCATGCGGACGGTCTCTCGCACAGTCTTCTGCGCAAAGGGCAGATACACGCGCTCTTGGACCTCGAAAGAGGGCAGAGCGCCGTGGACACCCGTAGAGCATGCTTGAACAAAAAAGCTGACGACGGCTTTTCCGCTCTTCATAGGTATCGATCTCGACCGCCACCACGTGCGCAGCACCCACCGCAAGGCGCCCAAGAGCGACAATGTCTACTTGAAGCTCCTGGTCAAGCTTTACCGCTTCCTGGCCCGTAAGTTTTGCATACTTTCAGCCCAACTGACCGATAATGAGCATCATCAAAGTGCTGACCTCACCGTGCCAGGCCGTACCGACTCGAACTTCAACAAGGTCGTCCTCCGCCGCCTGTTCATGTCGCGCATCAACCGCCCCCCTGTCTCGATCTCCCGCATCACCGGCCAGATCAAGGGCCAGGAGGACAAGACCGTCGTTGTTGTCGGCACCATCACCGATGACAACCGTCTCCTCGAGGTCCCCAAGGTGACTGTCGCCGCCCTGCGCTTCACCGCCACCGCCCGTGCCCGCATCCAGGCTGCCGGCGGCGAGGCCATCACCCTCGACCAGCTCGCCCTCCGCGCCCCCACCGGCAGCAACACCCTGCTGCTCCGTGGCCCCAAGAACGCCCGTGAGGCCGTCAAGCACTTCGGCTTCGGCCCCCACAAGCACAAGGTACGGACCGGCCACACGACCTACTATATCACTCCGCAGAACCTCCGATGCACTAACAAGTTCTACAGAAGCCTTACGTCCAGTCCAAGGGCCGCAAGTTCGAGCGTGCCCGTGGCCGCAGACGGTCGCGTGGTTTCAAGGTCTAAGCGTTGGGCAGCGGATGAAAAAAGGCGGCTTCTTTCGGGGTTGGTCAAGCGTTTTACTACGGACCGGTCCGGCAAGACGGACGGCGGCGGCGATGATGTTCACGATCGCGATGGGAGCAGTCGTGGTCATCGTGCCTCTCTGGTAGCGAGAGGGGCGTCGTCTAGACACGGGAGTCATTTGTGCATGGTTTGGCGTGTAACGGGTCTTCAAAATTACTCCATATATGGAAACGAGGAATGCAATACCACTTCTTTTGACGCCCTGTCGAGTTTTTGCTGCACTATGAATGAGTGGGAGGACATTGCTTCTGGAGCGAGTTATCAACGACAAGGCTGAGGTAGGTAATGCTGGCATGGAGGGGAACCTCCGGCGGCCCTGTCTGCTGAGTGTGGAGTAGGGCCCCCAGAGATCGTCAAACAACAAACCAAAAGACTTGGTGGGGTTGTACGAGCCAACACAAGCAATTTGGTAACATGGCAGAGTAATAAGACGACGAAAGATGAAGATTTATCTCATAGTGCTGCTTTGACACCCAGGTGTGTGTTGGTGTCGAACTCGATGGTGAAACCAAAATCCCCATGGTCACCTGACATCGCGTTCAGCTCGCACCTGGGCTAAGACGTCATCCCACCTCACCTCCGCTGAGACTCGGCACTGCTGCCGCACCGTCAATTGCATGTAGTTCCGTGCAGCGTGCTCGGGAATCTCCAATCACTTATAAACCGGGCGTCTCATTTCGCCGAGCTTGATGCTTCCACTCTCACGAATCGGCGAGAACGCACAACGCACGGTTTGTTACTTGATGCACTGACGTGCCTTGGTGACGACACCCCGCGGATGTGAATCAAGGGACACGACACGTCGGACAGCGATGTGCGGACGGTATGCCCTGGCTTTGGTAAGTCTTCTTTTTATTTGATTTATCTGAGCATGATTCTTTCCCTCGGCAAGAGTAAGAGGGCTGGCGAGCTTCCTGTGAAGCGCATGCCAGGTTTCACACAGAATGTGTGCTTTTTCGCGGATGGTGGATGAACCATGACCCGGATGCTGTACAGCACACAGACTCTTTGGGTGTATATCGACCGCGCATGGCCAGAGACTTCTGCTGTTATGCACCACGGCGAACCTTGGCCTCGATGAGCCAACCGGCTGTCATTTCCCGCACGCTATGATTGGTGGCCATTTTGTCTTTCAAATGGCAGATTTACCAGCGAAACAATCTTACTTTGGTTTTTCTGAACTTCATTGGCGCCAGAACTTGACGGTTGCTGACCATGGCCCCCTTCGAATCTAAACACAGAGACCGGGCCAGATCCGACAGCGCCTTGAGGACGACAACATGCCCGTGTATCAGGGCATTGACGACGACAACGACAGTACTGATGCGCCCGGGGCGCCGCGGCAGAGCTACAACTTCGCTCCCGGGTACCACGGGGTCGTATATCGCGCCGAGGTGCCCGACTGGGGCGCTGGACCGCAGCGCCGTGGTGGACGAGGAGGTCGTGATGGTGGTGGTGAAGACGGCCACGACGATGATGGTGAGCCCCGTGACAGCGAGCACCAGCAGCACGACCCCTCGGCTGTCAACGAAGACAACAGCAGCCACGACGGCGGCGGCGACAAGGAGGTCAGGTACAAGATGCAGTCGATGAAATGGGGCCTCGTGCCGTTCTGGACGAAGCGCAACCCGGACTACGGGTCGATGCTCAAGACGATCAACTGCCGCGACGACTCGCTCGCGCAGGCCGGCGGCATGTGGGCGACCATGAAGGCGCGGAAGCGGTGCATCGTCATCGCCCAGGGTTTCTACGAGTGGCTCAAGAAGGAAGGCGTCAAGGACAAGATCCCGCACTACATTCGGCGCAAGGACGGCAAGCTGATGTGCATGGCAGGGTTGTGGGATATGGTCCAGTATGAAGGTGTGTTGCTCCCCTTCCCCCCCATCACGTGTATCAAAACTCCAAGAGATTTTCCCAAGAACAGAAAAAATCCTCGCACTACACGATCTGCCTCCTCGGTTGTTGGATTAACATTGCCCGGATTCGAGAAAAAGACGACGACTACAAGCACTACACCTACACCATCATCACGACCGACTCCAACAAGCAGCTGGGCTTCCTGCACGACCGGATGCCCGTGATCCTCGAGAACGGGTCCGACGAGGTGCGCACGTGGCTCGACCCGGCGCGGCACGAGTGGTCGGCGGAGCTGCAGTCGCTGCTGCGCCCCTGGAAGGGCGAGCTCGAAATCTACCCCGTGAGCAAGGACGTGGGCAAGGTGGGCAACAACTCGCCGACCTTCATAATCCCGATTGACAGCAAGGAGAACAAGAACAACATTGCCAACTTCTTCACGAGCAAAGCTGCTGCTGCTGCTGCTGGGGGTGGGGGCCAGAAGCAGAAGCAGAAGCAGGCGATGGAGAATAATAAGGAATCGGACACTGCTAGAGGCAAGGAGAAGATGGCCAAAGCCGAGGAGGGCAGGCAGGGCGGTGTGGCTCCTGGAAAGTCTAAGCCGGGCGAGGAGAGACAGCCAGAGATAGAAATGACGCAGGACAAGGGCTTCATTGCCAAGGATGAGGATGAGGACGAGGACAACGACTCCCAGGCAGCAGCAGCAGCAACGCCCATCAAACAGGAGGCATCGTCACAGTCCAACATCCCCCCCACAACAACAACAACGGCAACATCACTGAAACGACCAGCACCAAACGACGAACACGATGAGCCGCCGCCGCCGGCACTGAAGAAGGAGAAACTCGAGCTCGAAGAAACATCTCCCTCCCGCATGATGACGATGATGACGACGAGAAGCAGCGGCGGCAGTAAGAAGCCCATGCCCTCGCCCTCGCCGCGCAAACACACCACCACCACCACCGCCTCGGCCCCAGGAAAGAGCGCCGCAGGGAGACCCAAGATCAGCGCGACGAGCAACGGGACCAAGGCCCCGCCCGTGAAGGGAAAGAATGGGAAGAACCAGGGGGCGCAGAAGATAACAAAGTTCTTTGGGAATAGTGCTTAGTGTCGAGACCCCCCATGTCTTTGGCGTCTTGCGTGTTGGAAAGGATGGCATTTGTAGAAATAGGTGCCCCGAATAGCACGTGCAGAATTTTTTTAATTTTTTCAAGTAAAAAAAGAAAAAAAAAGAAGAAGGGACAAGGGACAACGAAAGTGGACGGAGAGTCAAGATGACCAAGAGACATTAAATCTGGCTAATGAGATATCTCATGCACTGTGAAGGGTATCTGCCGCCCGGTCTGGTCTGGTCTGGTCAGGTCAGGCGTGCACTTTGACCTCAGGACACATTCAAGAAACAGATCCCAGTGGATGCCTTGTTCTCGACGGTGAAGTTGTGATCGAAACATTTGCTTGTTCAGTGTCATGAGCCATCACGTCTTGTTTGAGTTCACGGCACCGCCACTTCTAGCGAGGCAGACATAGCACATTTACAAGTTACAAAACAAAAATCTCTTAAAGATGCCGGAGCGGGGAGACAGCTTGTATCTGCTCATGTATCTTACTATTACAGGCTGTGAACAAGTTTCGTACTCCAAAGTATAGACATTTCCCATTCAGTCAGACTATCCCGCCAGAGTAGCGTATCCCGGTATCGGTCCCTGGTGCCCGGGGGGCTGCTGCAGGCCGCCCATAAAGTTCTCGAAGAACGCTGCGTCGACACCCTGGAACGTCCACTGCTCCATCTCGGCCGAGAAGTCTGGCAGCGCATCGTAGCCTCCGTCCGCAATGAACTGCAGCATGGGGTCGTCGCTCGGTGCTTCCGACGGGGTGAGGAAGTTCCACGTGGAGGAGGAGGCGGCGCTCGCTTCGTCGACGACCGAGCCAGCGCACGAGCTCGCCTGGGGGATCTGCTGATGCACCAGTTCTGTTTGTGGCGGTGTGCATAACTGAAGAGGTGCTGCTGGTGCTGGTGTCACTGGGACCAGCCGATTCTTATTGCCACGGCTACTAGGTTGCTGGTTCCCCGATGGCCGGAGCACCGGTTTGATGTTGATCGTGCCGAGATATGGGATGTCGAGGGTGACCGGCTCCATGTCTGACTCTGCCGTGCCGGCCTGGTCTATCTCAGCCAGCGGCACAAGGCGGCCAATCACCTTGTAGGCCTCGAGCGCCAGCTTGTCGCCTCGGTGTTCTGCCATTCGGAAGAAGACGGCTCTAATGTCGCGGATCAGCTGTCTGTCCGCATCGCGGGTCTTCGAAATGCTCCAGTCATTCGATCTCATTCTGGGGTCGAGGTAACCCAGCAAGAGGGTCAGAGACGCTGTCAGTGCCGTGTAGTCGGTATGTCTGCAGATTGCGGCGCCCTCATACTCTACACGGAACAGCTTGAACAGTGAGAGCAGTTCCCGGCAGGATCTCAAGCAGACTGCCTTGCTGTGCTCGTGTTGCCCCTCCTTGACGTTCTTGATCATGTACGGCAGGTGGAGGAGGATCAGCAAGTGGTGATGATTCACCTGCATCATGCCTTGGCGAACGACGTTCATCTGTTCGAACGGATCGGTCGACGGGGGAGCCCGGTCGTGTTGGCGCCACCAATCGACGCCCATCCCCCGTGCTGCCTCGTCAAGGTCGGCCTCGATTGCTCGGATCTCTTCTGCCGTCATGATGGTCCTGTTGTGGTTGCGCTTGGTGATCTTGCCTGACACCACACACTGCACCCTCTCAAGATGTGCTGTTGGAGATGAGCTGTCGCCAGACATCGATCCTGAGAACCACGAATCGTCGTTTGCAGAAGGCATCCCTAGCAATAACGAGTTGTATCTGTCGGAGAAGTTGAGCTGGAACCATGTGTCTTGAGCCGTGGGTATATCGGACGGATCCATATTGCTGTCGATGCAGTAGATTGGTGTGTCCCTGGGCCGATCGAGGCCCATTAGCTGCGCTATGGTAATGGCTCTACGGAAGCCGAGCCAGCCTTTCCGCAGATTGCCGAAGTTTGTGTGATAGAGAGCAATGAGGCAGATTGTCTCTAGACCCTCGAGTGAGCCCACGAGGTCGTCGTTGGAAGTGACGAGCTGCGTCACAGCACCCACCATCTCGGCTGCATGTGCTGCCAGAGCATGGTCTTTGGGCAGAGCATCATGGCGGTTCACCATTGCCTGCTGGTATAATTGGGCCAACTGCGCAAGTTGCCTTGCCAGTAAGACCGGGTGGCTGCTCGGGCCGAGAATATTGGAGGGCTTGAACAACGACTCGAGGCTTTGATCCTCTCGGCCGTCGTAGGGAACGAAGAAGCGATATATGGCCGGTGACCCGCCGTGAGCCTTCATGACTGACTCTAATTCAGCAGCTGGCGGGTACACGCTGGCAAGCCGCTTGGAGATGTCACGATACTTGGAGGGCCCGGATCCGTCCCCCGCCGAATGTATCTGGGGTACCGAGGCCACTGCATCGTCTGCGCTCTGGGTCAGGCCGTGCAGGAGCGAGGTGCAGGTCAGCTCTTGTGCCTCTACCGAGGGTTCCCTTGGGCCAGCCGTCGAGGGCGACGAGGCGGCCGAGGTGGCCGTGCTGCGACCGCTACCAGCACCACCATCATCGCGACCACCACCACCACCGCCACTAACAACAACACCACGCTTCCGGCCGCCTCCGCCGCCTACGCTTCCTCCAGCCAAGACCTGGTCGGCAAGCCGCTCAAGCAGGTCCTCGACGCGGCTGAGCCGCTGCGCGAGGGGCGAGTCGGCCGACTCCGGAGAGCCGGCCTCGTCAAACTGCTGGCTCACACAGCTGGTGTTGCGGGCGCGGCAGCCATCGCAGAGGGAACCATCGCCACCGTTGTAGGTACAGCGGATCTTGCGCCTGCGGCCTGCAGCGAGGAGACAAGATGATCAGGTCAGTTACGGGCTGAAGACGACGAGGAGCACACCACGAGAGGGAGGAGGGAGGCACTGACATTCCCAGCAGCTGCGGGTCCCCTTCCGGACCTTCCTCCGCTTCGCCGCCCGCGCGTCGGCGTCGTCGTCGTAGTTGCCAGTCCGCCCCATGACGGGATATTCCAGGATGACACCAGCGTGGTTCGTGTGACAGCAAAACACGTTTTTCCGCTAGGCGCGCACAATTGATGATGGTGTTTTTTTTTCTTTGAGGGGTGATGTTTGAAGCTATCCAAGAATGATGCCGCACTGGGCTTATTACCAATATGGCAGACCGCGGCGATAAAGGCTCGGTCCGTTCGGCCGAATTACGGACGAATTCGCCGTGTGCTGGCCGCACGCCTTAGGCAGCAGTCACGAATGGCCCTCCGCTAGCCTACCGCCGTCCGTCATCACGCAGTGAGATCAGCTCCCCCAAGTTATGTTGACGACCTCCACAGAACAGACCTGGGGTCGAGAGATAATTGCAACTCTCCCAGAAAAAAACATGACAGCACCGTGTTCAAGGCAGCCCCCCGCAGCTTCGAGCAGTTTCCACGCACGCAGAAGAGACGCATGCATGCGGGCATGGCCATGAGTGAGCACACCAACCAGAGACTGCTGCGACTGCTCACCCGGCTTACGCCCTTTCACCCCGGGATTCCCAACAGCGCCTGAACGATGCCTGCAGGCTCATCATCGTCAAGTGGACTCGGACCAAAACAGGTGCATTCTGGGCTGTCCAACAGACTCGGCACAACGTTGGATGTCCTGTACGAAGCCTACGCAGGACCGCGTCCTCCTTGCAGCACGCCAGACTTTCCTCACCTGTGCGTGCGTGCGTGCGTCTCGGGCCACGTCTTACAAAAGGATGACTTGGCTGCGTACCAACCAACGGCGTCGTCGTGCCTGATCCCAGTCTCGTGTACAGAGTAGGACCAGGCATCAATTCACCCCTTTGAGACGCACACAACAACGTGGGCAGCGCAGGTGTGTACGCTGGAGGGGGCGCACGCGACTTTGATAGGCACACCAGAGCCAGGCCGACCGCACGCATGATGTCGTGCTACCATTCGGAGAAAAACCGACGAGGCAACGAGTCGTCGCCTCCGATGCTGTGCTTGCTGCCACGGAGAATTACTTCCCGTGGCCAAAGGTTGTATGTGGCACGACGGCTTGCGCGGCTTGCCCTTCGAGAAACGCCAGTGGACTATTATTACCTAGTCCCTTTCCAGCGGCATTGTACGACCGCGTGTCCGGCGAGCCGTCGCGTAGGTGTCTTTGCATGTTTTCTTTCCGTCTCGCAGCACAGAAGCTGCATCGTCTCGTGCAAAGGCTCGCAGTCAGCAAAAGCGCCGTCCGCGGTGTAGCTCGCCACTACCTAGCCGTGTGTGTACTTACGGACCTTGGAAGTGACCAGCTCTGGTGCATCTTGTCGTGGTGGCACGCCTGATTAGCACGAGTCTAGCACGAATTTACACTGCGACTCACTGAGTGCATCGCAAGCCGCCTTGGAGGCCTGTTGAGTACAGCAGGGCACGATGTTGACGACGCATGTGCCAACTGTGCTGTGCGGTGACGCTTCCGCACACAGCCGGCGGACCGGATCCGCACACCCCCATCCATGTTGAGGACCGCAACTAAGTGTCAAAACCAACCCTTTTGCTTCACGCCCCTCAGAATTCTCTCTCTCGAAACCGGCAAGGGCGTTGGGAATTCGCCCGCGAGATGAGCCACAAAGGTCTGCAACTGCACCTCTTTGTGGAATGCACTGCGCACACACACACAAGAACTGCTGCTGCTGCAGCGCGGGGGGAGGAGGCGCTGGCGTCGCACCTTCTGAAACTCTCTGAGCCCTTCACCTCCTGACTGCACAGCCGCGTTTGAGAATGGACCCCTCCCTCCCGCCACAACCGTGTATCACATCACAACTTCGTCGTGGGTTCGTCTTCCCTCTGCTATTGACACCGGGGCCCGGCACGGGATGGACACCTCTCCCACCCACCGCCTTGCGTGCCGTCTGGACCGGCGAGTCACTGTCCAGAAGCAGCCACGAACTCGTTGTGTCAGGTCTCGATGATTGCAACAGCCACCGCCCCCCCCCCCCCCCCCCCAATTCCCAGGAGCACTCCTCCAGGAGAACTCCTCAAGATCCGTGGGGCTGTGCAAAACAATGGCATCGAGATTTCATGCGCCTGGCAGAAGAAACCCGTGTGTCATTGTCATCGTGGATGGCGCTCTCTGATTCACATCCGACTCCTCCCCCGGGGGGCTCACCGCACCAGGTTGTCGCATCGCACGTGAAACAGATACAGCTGCTAAATGAATGAATGAATCCTGTCTCCAGTTGGGGGTTTTCTTGCGAATATTAGTATTGCCCATTCCTGACCGCGGGTTACAGATATTGATCCAATTTAAGAATAAATTTAAATAAAGGTAAAAATAAAAACAAAGCAAGTCTGACAGAATGGGGAATGAACAAGCAGCATGCTTTTGCGCACGGAACGCCACTGTTTTAAAACACAGGCGACTTTTGACTGTTTCTCTGACCTGTCAGTTGCGGAGATGTGTTTATTGCATTCCTCAGAATGCAATAGCATTGCTGCTATCAGGAGCAATCCAGCTCCGTTTCACATGCAGCATAGTTGGCCATTCTCGTTTGCTATACCCTACTCGAGGACATTGCGGGCTCTCTCAATGGCCGGATAGGGCAATTCACTGCAACTTAGGGGACACACTGTCGGAGCCTCTTGTGCCATGTGCCAGAATCGGGTTAGCAGCACGCCACAGCTAACAACTTGTGGCCGTTGTTCAACCAGCGAAACACCATCCTTGCTGGTGTATTCGCGTAGGCCCGCTGGCCGGCGAGGCGCCCGGCTCGGAGGCAAGCTGTTCCGTGCCAGGGTGCGGTGTTTTGCGAGCGTGCCACACGACTCCCGGCGCACGTGGGGATGGGGTGCGTTTTGTGTCTCGATGACGGCAAAGACCGCGCCAAGCACTGAGGCCGTCACGATGGCGAGTTCCAAAGAACAGAGGCGCGGTGTGTGACAGTGAAACAGATTTCTACCCGTCGAAACGTCCAGCGCGCTGTTCTACAACAGCTCCGGGAGGCTGAGTAAACTGGCAAACTTTATACTTGAAGCCGGACAACCATGATGCTGATGACAAAGTCGACATGTGCCTTCTCAACATCTTCACGGCCATCGCGACAGTCAACAGGTTCAGGCGTGCTAAGAAGCATGGCTTTTGTCGAAATCATTGCCGCATAGCCACAATTGGCTCGCCAAGGTTTCGTTTCGACGCCGAGCCGGGTTCTCGAGGGAAGTCTTTCTTAGTGCGGCATAGACAACATACTGAGACCATGGTACAGGCCGGGACCAGTCTTCTGTCGACAGGTCAGTTTTCTCTGGCTTGTCCATCATAGAGCCTGACAAAATGCTCATTATGAAACGGATAGGGCTTGGCTCTCCAGCATTGTTGGACGAGTCCTGTCCAGCTTGATTCTAGGAGTGCCGCGCTGCTGGCAACTGTACGTTGCAGGGAAGCGTGGGGCGATCGTGGATGTTACGGCTCAAAAATTGCACGCTGATGCTAAAGTCGTTCAACTGCCGAGCAACTGTGACGGGCAGGCATGGCTGCATACATGCGTGCATGCATGCATGCATGCTTGCTTGCACAGGTGATCAGCCCGAGTCTTGACTCGCCTGACATGGCAAGCCGAGCCGAGGACAGTCGTTGAAGATCCTCTGATCATGGTTGGCCAAACGCCGAGACGTGGACGAAGCGATGTAACCTGGGCCTCACAATCAGCGAAGAACTGCCTACCAAACCCCCGGTCTTTCACCAATTGCAACCATGAAACCCTGCACACAAAAATCTCCGGTAGAGATGAACAAGGGTCCTTTTGCACTGAAGCAACGGGCGCGGTGGAAACAGGTAGCGATCAGTCGGGATGGCTACGGTGAGTGGAGCGGTGCATCCTTTATCTAAATCCTGATCAAGGCTACTTCTTCAAGGATCAGGTATGCTTGACCTGATCGGACGACGTCGTATGTCACCTTGAGGCATATGGAACTCTTATTCGGAGCTCGGGATCAGCGCCAATCGTCGTTCGGAAACGAAGCTGGACCAAAGAGCTCCAACATGGCTGCTGTGCTAGGCAAGGCGGCCAGCATAAGTGAGCGTCATCATCAATGGCAGTGATCTGATTACAGAGAGAAGTGGCTCGCTGCCAGGGTCGTCAAATAAGTCGCCACGCCGGCTTGACACCTTGACGCGTCGTGTGTGCTGATGCGCACGTCACTCAGGCGCTGCACCGGACCCGTATGCACGTCCAACCTGCCCAGGCCTGTGCCAGTGTCTGATGCGAGGGTCAACGAGACGTCAGTGTATCATGTACATAGTGGCACCACCATGCACCATCCGAAAGCTGTCTTTGACAGTTGCTCGAGACCCAAGTGAAAAGGTCTGAGCACCGTCGCGTATAAATGCCGTAGTGGGGATAGATCATCGGGCACCGTCCCAAGAAATGTGAAGCAATTTAAAGAGACATTCGATGATCTGTGGCCGTTGGAGCTTGCTCGTCTGAGCCAGATCGTAGTGCCTGAAGAGTCGTGGTCCCATGTACAGCACCCATACCCATGCGCTTATATTTGCAGAAAAGAGGGAGAAGTGGTCAGCGTCGGGAATCGTTAGGTAAAGTTTAGACAACGGAACTTTGTCCTGGAGGATTGGAGGTGGAAAGGGACCCACATGCAAGAAGCCGATCTGTTGCCTCGATGGTGGCTTCAGACGAACTCGAGGGATTTCATGTGCAAGGCTGCAGATGTGGCGTGACAAGCATGGGTCTTCTGCTTACCCCCTGTTCGTGCTCCATGACGTGAAACCACAGCATGGGCCACATAGCTTGTGTCTGCCGTCCTTGGGAATGGAATGCACCAAGAAAAGTAAACCAGGAGAAAGACGGCGGTGCCAAAAGAGACAGTCCCGTCAACTTGTGCGGAAGTCATGGCGAAGAAAAGCTGTAGATTTACGAACATGCTGTGCTGCGCGACTTGCCGTGTGCGCGCAGTAATCTGGTTAGACTTCAAGTCATTTTCAGGACAGTCAGTGGCACCGTTCCAGCCAGCCGCGCCGCACACAGGGGACTTCTGCACAGCAGCGAGAGGTGTCGCCAGGCGAGTTACAGAGAACACCACAGTGCTGCCATCAAAAAGACCTGGGAGCATTCAGTCAGCGTTACATCCAAGTGTTCGCAGAGCGTTCCATAGTCATTCTATTGCTGGGGCTGGTCAGGCATTTGAGATGCCGAGTTGCGTGATGTGCTGTGCGCAGGAGGGCGGAATGGTCCGAGCACCAGCGATTCCGGTTAAGCGAGGGACTGCTTGGTCCCGCACACAGTCCTACGCTGCTCATTGTTGCTAATTGTGGAACATCATGCTCATGTCCGGTCTCTTTTTGAACATTGAAAGGGCTCTAGCCAGGGGCAGATGCTGTCGAACATGAGCCGGGCCGCGCTTGGCGCAAGACCGATCCTCGACGGTGCTACGTAGCGCAGAACTAGAGGGGCCTATGCGGGTGATTCTGCGCTCGCACAGACAGGCTCGAGCAGCAGCCGCTACAGTCGCGCTTGCCGCAATATCCCACGCGCATTGAGACGACTTCCGTGGTCTGGATGCGAGTGTGCGGAGGCGGTGACGGAAGGCGGGCTCTGATCTGCGGAGTCACGGTGGTGTTGTCATGCCGCCATCGGCGAGCAGGCCGGGAGAGGCTCGAATGCATGTTGTTTCCGGCTCCGGGCGTGGTCGCGGGTGCGGCAGACTTGGCTTCGCTTCCACAGGTGTTCCTCTGGCCTTCTGTGAGTTGTCGGGGGCTCTGCCCCATGGGCAGAGAGCATCAAATGTCACATGGGGAAGCACCTGGGCAGCTTGAGTGGGAGGAGCATGACGCGGCTGTCGCCGGGCGGTTTTGAAATAGAACCTGAAACCCCAGTGCGTGCCGAAGTGGGGCACCTGTCAAGCCCAGGAAGGCGCGAGCCCCCCCCATCCGAATGCACACGACCCGGTCTTTCCTGGTCGGGGATCTAGCACGATCAATCTTTTGATGTGCCCGCCAGTGTCCAAGCGAGACCAGACGACCATGGATGGCACAATGGGAGTGCAACAGTCTCCGTGTCTGGGGACCTTCAGGCGTGAAGATGAGATAACGTGCGTGTTCGGACTGCCTGCGGGGCTCTCTCAAACATGGGCACCTCTATTGATATTGTGGAGTAGTGTCTGCACTAATTCACCTTATGAGGGTTCATTTGCACATCCGGTGGTTCCAGGCGCCACACGCAAGAAAGCAGGAGGTGGTGCTGGGACTCTTCTGTGCGTCCTTAGTCCTGGGTTGTGCCTATGCCGCACGCAAGCATGGCACTGATGCTGAAAAAGCCAATGGCATATTCCTTCTGGTGGTGTCATGTCGTGCCCGGGCCAGATTGCATAAACCTTCCATGGCTGGCCGTCATTTTGAAACACGCTTTTCTGCAAGAGAGCAAAACCCTAATCCCTTGAGCTTCAACGCCTCCTGCCTCCCGGTGCTGATGATATCTTCTAGATGACTTCGGCCTTGAAACATCCCGGGGGGAGAGGGACTGTGTTGCTGCTGCTGCTGCTGCTGCTTTCGACAGGTCGCAAGATGGCATTCTCTCCTAGCAAGAGCGAGCCTCAGATTGATGCACTTTGGTCCTTGTCAGGACCGGGTAGCGTTCGTTCAGGGCTCGCGCAAATCCTGAGATCCCTGCCGTCGCTGGCACCCTGGTCATGGTTGTTGTCTGTCCTGATCACTCTAATCCAGGGGGTGTCCGGCAGTTGAGCTTTCTGCGACGATCCAGTCCAGGCTGGACTTGCTAGGTATCGCAACATTCGCCAGGTTCGGGCTGGCGACGCCAAGCTCCCAGACAGTGCGGGAATGTGCCGGCAACACGATCTTTTGTCAAGGTTGTTGTCCTGCTGGGATGTCGAACGAGGCTCGAGGGGTCGTAGGGCAACAGGGCTGTTCTAAACTTGGTTCAACGCGTGCAGGGACCACTTTGAGTCTGGTGCTTGTCTGAAGTCGGAGGTCTGAAGTCGGAGGCCTGAAGTCTTGAGGTCTGAAGTCTGTGGTCCAAAGTCTGGTCATGTTGGAGAGAGGCAGGCAGCGTAGCACCCGCACCCGCGCCCGGGCAACTGCCGCAACTCGAGGTGGCATCGCCTGCAGCCTTTCTCTCTCCTCCATATGCACAGCAAGCCAGCACAAATTTGACAAGGCCACGCGCCAGCCAGCAACGCTGGTCTAATCACCACAGCACCATCAACAGAGAAGGACAGCCCAGACTGCAAGCAGTATCCGGCATCCCTGCCCCGGCAGCTGCCAAATGGATGCAATTAGCTACAGCACCTGCTTCAGCCACGTCCCGCCTGCAGCTCTGTCGCACCGGCTCCGCCTGAAGCTCAGTCTTCTTCCACCAGTCGCAAATTGCCATGGTTCCCCGAGCCCATCATGGTACAATCAGGGACGCCCCGGGCTGCTCCGTGTCCGCTGTCAGTTGTGGCTCCTGATCTGGCCGCAGTGGGCTCACACTAGCCGGCTCCCACAAAGGTCTACACGCTAGCGATCATGAGAAATCCTGACGGAGGGCGGCGCCAGCACGGCAGCTTCAGGGGGCACCCCTGGCTGCAACGGCCGAGGTCGCGTCTGGGACACAACATGACAGGCTGCAGAGGCCCCTTGCTGGCCCGTTCCCTGCGAAGATCGATATGCGGAGGCCTGGGCGAGGTCAAGGCAAAGGGCAAGCCACGACATCTCTGCATGCAGCCAGCCCCATGATCTACAACGGGCCACTGTGACGCGCAAGGGTCGTCAAAATCCAAAACAGCCGGGGACTCATCCGTCCGCGGGATCTCGAGCACTAACTGCACGCCTTCACACCAGAGGCGGCTGGATCGCATTTCAGGCCTCGCGCGAATCGGACCACCCCTGGGCTTGAATGGGGTCACTCTGCCGCCCCCGGCCCTGTTCGCCTTCCTGCTCGACGCATCCTGGACGCGGCTCCCAGCTTGTTGAGATCCACGATGTCACACAGCCCAGACTTCAGAGGTACCCGGTGGCCCATTGCCTGTTCTGGCCTACTGCGTGCCGGGGCCCACGTCCCATGGCCTTCCCTCAATGTGTTCCCGTCGAGCCTCCTCGAGCCACATTGTCCATTCTGGCCGTCGCCACCATCAAGTGCAGTCACAGATAGCGGTGCACCTCTGGATGAAGCTGCTTTGCAAAATAGAGTGCGTGGCCAAAATCAACCCAGCATCACTGGGCAGGTTGTCTGTAGCCCGGGGTTCATCGTAAGTCTCAGTCATACAGCACTAAGCGAGAGGGCTGAGGTGGAATTGTTCTCCGTGGCCTGGGTATATCAACCTTGTCAAAACCTACTAATTCATGCGTCCAAAGCACAGCCATCGTCACAGTCGTCTGAGAACTGCCAACCTGCTGGGACGGCCAGGATCATACTTGGCCAGGGTCGAGGGGCTGCCTTTCCGCGTAGCATCGTCCCCCCAACTCCCCCACGGCATCTTCCACTCCTTACCCACCAAGTCCCTCCTAACGGTGGACACTTGGCTTCAGTCCATTACAACGGCACGACGGTGGGACGAGAGTTCTTGCGTCGACAGCATATTGACCGCTCGAGCCCTCTGATAAGCGACCCGACCGCACCACGCTTCGTTGCGCAGTTTCGTCTGAACGACCTTCAAGTCTCACCATTCTCTCAACCGGACGTTGTCAAGGCGCTCCCCTGAGGACTAGCGCAGTTCGGATTTCCCTAAAACAGTGACCTGATTCCTTGTCCACGGAGCAGGAATCCAAGGCTGGCCTAGTGGTCACTCTGTTTTCTGGCTTTGTTTCAACGCTCGGATCGTGCCAGCCCCAGCTCGGCGGGCGGCTCTCACAAATATCCGTTCCCCATCCTTGCTAGTCTCACGCTGGTTCCCCTCCTACCCACTTCGAATTTGGCATATGGTCTTGGTCTAAGCCTCCCACATAACAGGCGACGCTTGTGGTTTATATGATAGGCCCCGTGGTCGACCCGGCACCACTCACACCCAGGCGCTTCACTTCCGCTACACATCTCCTTCGAACCCATCGTCGGACGAGTAGACACCGGCTGTCCTCCTAGCAGACCACCATTCTGCCTTCGTCCTGGATGACGAGCACGACTAGACGGCAGGACCCCGAATGAACTTTTATGTTTCCGCTCAATCACGACCTACTTCATTGCCTTGAACACCAGCGACCAAGCCACTGAAGACGTCCAGTAACTGATGAAGGAACAAGACTACGGCACTATACCATCTCAACCAACCTAACGCACCATGGACGTCACATCACTCCTGAACACTACGGCGAGTGCGAGGCACCTCCCACAGAATGGGGTGACACATCGCGCAGCCACCCCTCCACCAGAAGAGAGCACCATCGTATACGACAACTCAGACACAACGCCATCGCCGCGAACCACAGCGTCAAAACGAGTTCCTGCTACCACCCCTCCCCATGGGAGCAGGATTCCATGGGACGCGGGGGGTTACTCGCTCGCTCTCGCACTGGAATCGAAATGCTCCAGCATGACGGGAAAACCCAATCTCCCGTCCGAGTCCTTAGGAGAGGGCGGCAGCCCTCGTTCGCCTTGGCACAAGATGTCAGAAAGCCACAGCAGCCGGTCATCTCATGCGTCATCTTCGAGTTTCTGGTCGCAGACACATTCACGACTCTCATCCATTTCTACTGTGAATGGCCTTCAGACCATCCCTGACGTTTCCACACTTGAGATCGGAACCAAACCAGATCTCGAGCAACCAGGGAATTGCCGACCTAGGGACTTGCGACCTACACCACTCTCAGATCTACCTTTTATCAACGCACAAACACAACATGAAAGCCCAATATCACCATCGGATGCAGTCATGATGATTCGCAGTCACGTTGGTGCTCCCACCAATCCGACACAGTAAGTACTTTATCTCAGCATTGGGAGCAAGACTTCCGAGTGCAGCTTCAGCATACACAGACGCCGCTTTAATGTGACCACGAGCCAATCTCGCTCGTCACTGCCATCGTAGTCGAGACACAAGCACGAGCCACCGCTAACACAGAATCAACAACAGCTCCAGTCGCCATTTGCTCCATGTTCAGGACCTTTCTAAACACAAGAGAACGATTTCAGCACCTGACTTTGCGCCAGCGGAGGCGAACCGCGGGCCTGATGCTCTGAGGACATCCATGCGACCTGGTACACCTTGTTCCGATTCAAACGACTCTGCCCCTACGGACAGCCTCGTTGTCTCAGCTAATTGCAGCGGTACAGAGGGCAAAGCCGCTTCTGAGTCTGCAGATGAGGAGATCAAATGCATGTATGTTGAGAACTGCGACACCAACTCGTCCCTCCGTAAAGCAATCTCGCACATTTTTGGCCGGAACAAACTGTGCACTCGCATGATTCCTGCACACGTCTGGGTGCATTATTGCCGAAAGCACTACCAACGAAGCCGATACCGCAATGCTCAAGAATATGCCAAGCTGCAAGCGGAGCTTGTGCAGCGACAAGTCATGCGGATTCAGGCCTGGAGCGACTGCAACAAAGCCTCAGGGCAAGGCAGCGTCGTTTCGAACTGGTCAATCTCGATGCGCAAGCGGGAGCAGAATCGAGTGCAAGAGAAGTCAAAGAAGAGATCCTTGACCGGCGAGAGCGAGGAAGATGACGACTGCGCCGACCGCGCTGTTGCCAATGGTACAGCAGTGCCTGACTGGCTCCGTGAGAAGTGCGGCGAGGGCTATAGCACTTCGGAGATTGAGGCCATCACTTCTCGCCTCAAGGAGAACGTTGACAATGGCACATTGGCGCAGATTCCCGATATCGAGATCCTGCCAAACATAAGTGCAGATTCGGCCGAAGATGGACGCTCTCGCAGCATGTCGAAGCGTAAGCCTAGCACTCTTGTTGCCCATCGCCGAGCGCAGTCGGTCACCATCCGAGTGTGCCCTCCTGTCAATGACTACCCGGATCGATCCGCCATCCATGCGATTCCATTTGTCCGGACTAGCGAAGCAGGCGAGATGTTTCCCGCTCGCAAGAGGCACAGGGCCGGCACGGCTTCTTACAACGGATTCTGTTATACGACTCAAGACCTGGTGCCGCCTGGACAAGTGCATCGACCAGCCCCGGTTACGCCTTTGTCATACGGGCTACCTCACCGGCCTGCCGTGACTAGCGTACTTGACAACTACTGCACTTCACCTTATGACGAGAACTCGCCTAGACATTCTGGCGGCTATACTCCTCAGCGGCCAGCGCTTGCTGTACAACAAGCTCGTCTTCCGTTTGCTCGCCCTCTCTCACCACCAGCAGGAATGGACAGATCGCGACGCATGTCTCACGGTCGCTCGCACTCGGAGCTGTCGGGGTTCACCTACCACAGCAACGAATTCACTTTCCGCAGCCCGCCACCCTCCCACGCGAGTCCATTCACGGACAGACACCGACTTGCAAGCTCGTATGGCTACGACGCCACTCACTTGAGTCCTCTAGAGGCTCACCACCAGGCCCCGAGAAGTGCCTGCGAGCAGGGTCAAGGCATACACAGACTGCCTCCTTGGACATCCCAGTCTTCGGGCGGCCAGGTGGCCTCGGACCCGGCATTCTTCACCTTGCATCGCCACGCGCGTAATCTGAGCACGCCCGTGGCGTTCAGGGAGAGCCCGCCACTGGGTGGCTCACCGTACGAACAACATGCCTGCTACCAACACGCATGAGCGTCGTCGCCTTGACAGCTATCTCCCTGCCCGGTTGTTGAGGCCGGCACAGATAGCCGACAGGCTGGCAATTCCCACTCCCCCCCGTTGCACTCTAAGACCATGAGCTGCAAGCACCTCGGCAGGCCCGGAAAACGGAGGAAGTTGGCGGCATCGACGGCCACTCGACAACCACAACACACCAATCAACCGGCAACCTCCTCTATTTCGTTCGTTATTATTGGCATACAATGCACACAGGAGCTTGGACTTTCATTTCTTTTTCTTCGTTTTTTGATACCATGGGAAACATCTCCCGCACATGTTTAGACTATATTGATCTTGGGAACGGGCTATCTGCACATGGACAGATGGTTCCTATCAACGATTGACTCCAGCAAGGGGAGCCTTTCTGATTTTCTTTTCCTACTTTAATGTCACCCTTCGATAATGTCCAGCCCTCGAGGACTTCTCTGGTTGTATTGGGGGTTAATCAGCGCGGGAATGGGGGGAAAACACGGGAAAGGACATGGGAACTTGGGCCAAAGGATGGTATGCCAAGATAATCTTCCCCCCTTCCGACGACCGGCCAAGGACAGGTTTCCTTCAACTCGGCGACGGCACGGGGGGAACGACTTGTGCATTTAAAGGAAAAGTACAGAAAATACCAAATACTTCATGGACCATGCTGCGGCAACTTGCCCTTAATTGTTTTTTTGACACGGTGGGGGATGAGAGTGGTACTACATGCTGATGCCCAGGGAGGAAGCCTGTGGATGTTTTCGTGGCCTTCTCATTATTCCGATCATCAGCTTCTGACATCAGAACACTCTGTCCTCCTGAAAAGCACATTTCCTCGTACCGTCGTGGCAGTGGTCGAGATTCATGATTTTCAACCGTGCAAGAGTGCCCTGCGCTCGTGGAAGATGGGATACCCTCCAAAGAGCAAAGCAACAGAAGGAGAAGATTTGGGAGCTTACCCAGATCGGGGGGAAGCAGGGAGACTTGACTTTGTTTGAGGTTGTGATGGTCGACCTCGATTGAAAAGGTGCTCTTCTGTGTGTGTGTGTGTGTGTGTGTGTGTGTGTGTGTGTGTGTGTGTGTGTGCCTGGACTTCACGAAACATCTTCGGCATTGCCAGAACTTGCGGGCACCCTTCGGAGAGGTATGGAAACTTGGTTCAAGATGATAACGCCGAGCGGGGGAGTCTATGTTAGCCGGGGCAGAGCCGTGAACCATTTTCCCAGTCGGGGTGTAAGTCCAGTATCATTCCCGCTTCTCCGCTCAATCTGAAGGAGGGAAGAAAGACAGAGCCAGAGAGAGAGAGAAAACCACGTGTTGGTGGAATCAACAGTTCTACAAGATCTCGCTCGCTGTTCTTGAGGATCACGCTGTGGATCATGGACTTCACGACGTGGGTTGAACAGTCACCGCATGCTGGAAGCGGAATGTCAGCAGCCATCTGGGAGTTGCACTCGAAGCGACATCGGTGACGGGTAAGCGTAACTCCGGAAGCTGGTCTTTCATCTGCCATCACGTGCGCGCCACACCTGCGCTTTGCTCAGCTCAGGGAGGTTTCAAGCACGCTTCAATCTCACGGATGCCCTGAAAAGGTGGTTCTTTTGGGCTGGGGTCGCGCAATAATCGGTCACGGTGTGGACCTCAAGGGTTCCGAGTAAACCGATAGGCATTAGTGTCTCTTTGATGCTTGTGTGTGTACCGGTAGATATGGCACCACACGACCAGGGGGGCCCTGTCATGACCTCACTGGGTCCTCCGGCTCTCCAAGGCGACGCAATCGAGAAATGCTACAGGACGTCGCGCGCGCACTTTTCAAGCCTTTGGTTGCTTGTAACTTGGACCCAAGGCGTGCGCATTGGTCCAGACGTCTGTGGTAAGCCATCTATAGTGTTTCGATCTACGTGGACCTGCTTACAGCATCTCTGCTGATCATGACGGAGGGGCGATTCTCTGACCCAAGGGATGCTGGTATCAGGCGATGACTGCAAGCCACTGTCAGAAACGACCTGCACTTTGAGAGGCAGCCAAGTGCCGCATCACCAGGCGCTGTATAGTCACTCCGTCGGGAGACTGACGCAGGAGTACCGCGCGGCTATGTGAAATGCTCCAGAGTTCCCACCTGGCAGGGGTCTAGGAAGTCGGACGAAACCCATGGAAGTTGGGGGCTGGATGCGGGAAATTACGCGCTGTGGTGGTTTCTGGGGCGTGCTTGCCTCTGGTCTGGGGTGAAGTAGCAGCAGCGCAGACAATAGGTAAAGCAGCGGCGAAAGATGGTCTCTGCCTCGCCGTAAAAAGCAGTGGCCGGGAGTCAAGTGTTTGGAGATGGAGCCGGCGTGCGTCTCGGAGACGCCGCCTGGGCGAGTGGGGCACCGGCCGAGAATGGATATCGACGGACAGCCTATCCGCCCCGGACGAGCTAGCGTGCCGCCGGAGCATGTAAGCCACCACAACGGACCGCCGGCGATGCCTCTGGGAGCGCGGAACATACACGACGCTGTCGAAGAGCGTCGACCAGACAGACAGCTAGGGTCGCGTGCAGGGCTGGAGCTGCGATATCCGGCCAGATGGCCGCCCGGCTGGCAACTCTGCGCGCGGATGATTCGTGGCACGTCCAGGTGATTGATGGCCCAAGGTGGACTTGGTAGCTGCCGCCATGGACCTAGCTCTCGCAGATGCCGCGAGGATATGGATTTGGCGGGCGTGCATGACGTGGAACACTCGCGATGCATGCGAGACAATATGGATGTCGGTTCAGCGAGGCACGTGAAGCCACGCTGGAGTTGAGGCTGCTTGGCACCCAAGACAATGGTTCCTGGAGACAGGGACCAGGCCTGTGATTGGCTGGCGCCCGAATGGTGCTGTTCCTCGATGGCGGAGCAGACAATGACTGCAGCGGGATGGTCGAGCTCCGATGGAAGCTAATGCAGGTAACACGGGCGGATCCCACACAAGGCTGAATCCGCAAACACTGGGACGCTCCACTGCCATGCGTAACGAGGCAGACTCGACGATTGCTGGGTGCTGCGTCGTGCCGCCGTCCATCGAGACAAGCCCGTTCAATAATAGCAACAAGCCGTCTCTTTTGGCTGGGCTGGGCTTGCGATCCGACCAAAGCGATGCAGACAAAGCCCGACACAGCTGGGTGCGCGCAATGTCCCTCCCAAACGTGGCTGGCGGCGTCGTTGTTCTTGGTCAACACCCTCTCCCGGACATGAATTGACCCTTTGGACGGGCGTGCATCTGGCCTGCCCCCGGCTGTCCAACGGTGGACACACCTGCCGTGCCTCGATTGCTGTGTGCGCGACGGCAAGATCGTGCTTCAGTGTGCCGCATGGGTCAGCCCTGGGACGGTTCCGGCCAGCTGGGTCCCGAGTGTCAGCATTGAGGGTCAGGGACAGGACTATTGCTGCGCATGGGTGTCATGGCCCGGATGCCCACTGTCTTGACGCCGGCTTGGCTCTGCATGTCTGAGATTAAAGTCACTTGGTGAACAAATGCTGTGGAGGGCAGGCAAGCACAACCCTGATCGTGTGAGGCAGGCGGGGTGTTTTGGTGCCTGGCAGCCTGCGCACTGGGGGTCAGCTTCCAAGGCTACAAGGTTTGATCAAAGCGGCGTCCAAGTCTCCGTACTTTGTCTCTGCGACGGATCGAGGCCGTAGGCATGCACGGCTGCACTGGGTCGTTTTACCCACAAGCGTCGAGGTCATTGAATTTGACTCTAGGTTGGCCGCCGGCGGGAGACCTACATCGTCAGAGACCCCGGCCGGCCGCCTGCGGCCCATCAGCCGGCCACCCAGTGGGAGGCAACATGCAGCCCTACGCAAAGTGCCGCGTCTTCGCCCACCAGCAGCAACATGAGATGAAGCACGCTCCCCTCACAACATCACAAAAAGTTTTTTGTCACCTAGCCCCGGCAAATCAAACATCATGTCACAGTCCCGGAACGCCAAGCTCGCCCGTTCACCCAAAGCTTGGGGCCACGCCTAGGTTGGTTTGTGCCCTTGGCTTCAACGTGGCGCCTCCGAAGCTCTCACGTACGGAAGCCAATCAACCTTGCTGCTGATGCGCCAAGGCTTCGGCCGCTTCTCAGGGCACAACACAAACCCACCTCCTGCTTTCAGCCTTCGAAGCAATGCTGGCCCTTGTCCTGCACGATGGCACTTGATGGGACGAACAACCCCGCCGTCTTCGTCCAACGCGCCGCAGCCCTGCAGAGGTGCCAGTCGCACGTCCTGGGATCCCTGCCGACCTGATTGACTCCCACCCCAGGGGCAGGCTTCGTTCGAGGCGGCCTCTCGTCACAACCCTGACTGCCATGATCTCCACGTGTAGATGCAGGTGCGCGCGCCAGCCGAGTTCGCAAGCGGGGACCGTCGGGTCGTCGACATCGTGGCTAGGTGACAATGCTGTCAGTCGTCATGGGCACTCGGCAAGCATAGTATTCCATGCGAGACAGCCTTACAGGATTCTAGACGGGCCGGCTTTCGACAGCTACGGAAACCCCTGTCGTCCCTTGTAAACCCTCCTTCTCTTGGACCATAGTGAACTTCGCAGTAACGAGCCACATGGACTAGGACATGGAATCCGAAACGACTTTCCGGGTGGCAAACAGCCTTGCTCACTGCCGCTTCATCGAACTCTCTGAGGATTTGGTGTCCTTGCACATGCTGCTTTTCAGAGCCCTCCTGAAGCTGCTGGCCACGTCACTTCTCGCAGAGTGCCTCTATTAGTCGGCGGCAACGTCAAAGTAGCTTACTTTACATGTGTCACAACTCAAGGAACGATCTCCAGATACTGCCCAGTCTCGGGCGATCTCAGTATGGTTCGGTCTCTCAACGGTCGCATGTGGGGGCCGGAAACGGCCCCCACTGGTGTCTGCCTCAACGCCGCCGCCCCTTCTGACAGTCAGCTACTGCACATCTCTCTGCTGGTCAGCACGGTGGAGGCCGCCTAGGGGTTTTGCACCGCTTTCTCGTAGCTGACGCTGCGATCATTGCCCGGGCGATTTCGACGACCATTTCGTCGAGGAAGCGATGAGCATGACGTTCAAGCCACAAGAGTTCGGTCGCTCGCCAACCGCCGCGTGCAGATGGTTCAGATGCGACTACCGTGCATGCATGCTTCCACCCTTGGGGCTCGGCGATCCAGCCAGATCAGGACAGGTCATGGCCGTTTATGCATCCGATCGCAATCCAGGATTGGCCGGTTTCCGCGCAGGCAATGGAAGCCCCGCAAGCGCCATTCGCATGATTGTGTCGATCACGGCTACTCTACAATTTTCTCAGCCAGCGAGAGACACGGAATGCTAGATGCTCGTAGGAGCCACCCAGCCGAACAAGCTTGCGGGTTCATCGCAATGACTGCTGGTCGCTATTTCAGGCAACTATACCGGTAGCCTGACATCATGCAACTGGGACCCAGGGATTTCGACGTCGGCCGCTGGGTGGCAGGGGTGGACTGGGCGTGCAATCCTCACTGATGACAGCATACGGTGTGACTCTTTGGCTGCAGACCGGGCCACCGTCAGTCGGGGAGACACGCTGATCACGCGGAAACACCAGGAGGGCGACGCTACGGTCGCTTCAGTGCGCTCGTAGGGTTGGAGGTCTCTCTTGATGGTGTGCACGCTGCTGTACAAGTGCCTGCGCGCCAGAGGTGCCGTCACGAGTCCTGCGCTTGATCTGCCTGGCTAAGACCTGCCGTGGGGGCCGGAGGACATGGAGACAGTCAACGGAGGCTAGGCAGACATGGCCTATGACTCTACTTGGGAGAGGACTACTGCAGCTTGGAATGCAGAGGAACCAGAGGGCTCCGGAGTGTCTTGACCTGGGACTATTTCTGGCCTGTGGCACTCGGCGGCAGGAGATGGTGAGCACAGAGGCTGGCCGGCCGTGCTGCGCCGGCCATGCCATGCCATGCGACGGCGACGGCAGGGACAGGCACGAGGTTCTGGCGCCCGGCACTTGGCAGCTCCGGAAGAAATTGCGCAGTGCATGTCAGTAAGCAGGGGGAACCCGGAGAGGAAAGGGTCGAAGTCAAAAGGCATGGGACGTAATCGCAGGTGGTGAGATGGGTTGAAGGCAAAAGGGTGCCGTGCTGGCGCGCTGATGGGCAGGGCTGGATAGAGTCAGTCAGTCACTGTAGCTGCAGCCAGCGCGGGTTGCTCGCAATTGCTGGCTGGCTGTGGGGGGGACCCGAAGGACCAGCACGAGACAGGCCTGGCAACCGCGCCCCGCTGGCGTGGATGCTGCTGCTATTTTCTGTCATTGAGGGCAGGCGGCGCCCGTGGCAGGCCCCACCTGGGCCGCCTGGGGGGGTGGCTGCTGCGCAGCACTCCTGCGCCATCATGGCATGGCATGGCCATCCCGTTTCCCATCCCATCCCACCACGACTTGCCCTTCGCTCTCCTTCGAACCAGACGACGGCTGCTCGACGGCGCGGTAAGACGGTGTCGTCACCTGTGCCTGTCCCTGCCAGGTCCGGCCCCCCGGGACCCGCTCCCTCCCGCCATGGGTGGGTGATGGCTCCCGTCCCGGGCCCTGCCCTCTGGGTGCTAGCTAAGCGCACCTTCCCAAGCTCCCTGCCTGCCTCTGCCTGCCCGCCTGCCTGGACACCCCAGGCTGCACAGCTATAAGGCTGCAACATCGCCGCCTCGAAACACACACCACACTTCCGGCACATGCTCCTTCGACTCATCGCAGCAGACCACGCATGCACCTTTCCTTGAGTGCCACGTCCTTTTCTTTGAATGCCCTCGTTGCCTCCCTCTTCCCCGCTGCTGCCTTTCTGGCTATAATATAGGCTGCCCTGTTTCGCCACTCGACGTCTCCCTCCTGTTCCACTCTCTGGACACAACTCTCGAGAGCACTTACACGCGGCTTTAGCCCCCCATCGCGGCACCAACCAACCAACACCCGCCCGCACGCACGCACACATAAAACATCTATAAACCAACACATGACCCACTGTCCAACATCGGGTCCTCAGGCTGCTACCAAGACTCACTTCATCAACGCCCACCATGTGCTACCAACTCGTCGAGCTGTTCTCGGCCTGCAAGTGCCTGTACTACCAGCACGCAGTTGACCGCTGTGCCTCGTATGGCCGCCCTGGCCATGGCATCACCGAGCGCACGATATTAGTCGGCTATGCCTGCCAACTACACTCACACGGCAGCCACTCGTCCCACGGCGGCCACAACTCCTACTCGGACTCGGGCTACTACAGCGGCTCCTCCTCACATCACCACAAGAGCTCCCGCCGCCACCACCGGTGAAACATACTGTCTTTGGTAATGGGTCGGCCTGCCTGGGCCTATTCCTCCCTCGCCGAGTTCGATTTCATGGACTGGGTCAACTTCTTGTATTCGTTCCGGGCGCGAGCCCCCCTCTCCCCAACGCGGCGACCCTCACAGCTGTCCTTGCTCTTTGCGGGCCACGACCGCACCAATCTGTCAACGTCGGCTCCTCCGGTCCTTCAGGGCTAGGCTGAGCCAGTGGCTCGACTGGGCTTTCTTTCCTCTCTCTTCCATCACGAGATACAGCTACGAAGCACATGACCCGATACGGCAGCGACTGGTTATCAAAGACACAACGACAAGACCACGAGATACCTGACCACGAGAGAATCATGCTTGGTCGGGCAGCTTGTGTTAGCCACCACGGTCGGTCGAGAAAGGCCGAATTCCTCCAACTTCACTCCACTCATACAATTTCGGCAACGACTTGCCTTCTGCATAGCGACAGCGGTGTTTCAGCTCTCCATTTGCAAGACCAAGCTCTCCAGGCTGCATCATTCTGGCACCTGGACAGTATTGCGCCTTGGCATACTTCTCTTTTTAGGATCGTCGCATTTTTCATGTTCACATCATGGGTCGGGGCCACATCATTGGGTATGGACATATATACCAGGCGTTCAAGGGGGATTCTTCAGTCATTTTCGGGCGCTTGTAACGGGTATCGTATTTCTGTTTCATTGTCATTTTTCTGTTGTTGTTTTCCACTGCATTTTTCTTTATCAGCGGCATTCGTTTCGTCCTCTCAATTCTCTACGAGTCTCTTTTCTCGCTCTCTATTCTGTGCTCTATGAGCATTAGTGCACCATGGCCACCTTTACTTGAGATTCTGAGCACTGCAAGCAGTGGCTCGGCTGGGACGCTAGACAAGGAAAGCTGAGCTCTCGTCTACACGATAATTGTTTTTCAGACGTCTTGTCATCCAGGAGATGGGCAGGCGCTGGCAGACTACACGTCGTCTCGAGCGGGTGGTGGCCCACGCACATACACATGGAAGAAGGGAATATTTGTCAGGTTACAAAGAGAGGACATGTCCCACGACATTGATACCCCACGGCAAAAGATCTAGTCGCCAGAAGTCAAGGCCATGATGAGCTCTGCGAGAATGGTTCATGGTCATTGCAGAGGAGAACTACGATCGGCCTGGCACTGCCGAGCTGGCTACGGCAGATTTTGGTTCGAGCCCAAACATAGCAAACAAATAGAAGCAATCTGAATATGTTTCAACCCCAAAGATAGGATGGCCCTGCCACTGCGAGCGCGACGACTGTTGCCAGACGACGTTTCGCCCGGGAGCTATGACCCCGGTGTCGGGGGAGGTTTTGGTGGTGACGAAAGTGGGAATGTTATTACATGATGGACAGGGGTGCCTGCCTGCCCTGCACGGTCAAAGATGCCTGCACCCATGCAGGCAAAGGTCTGTGTAAGCCCTGAAAGTGGGGGCGGTCAGGGTCAGGGTCAGGGTAGCGCAGCGCGGCGCCCGCACACACGTGCACCACCGTGATGCTGCTGCCGCAGAGCCACCTTACTCTCCCTGTCTCTCTCCACATTATGATGGAAGTCAGCAAAGAGGGCCCTCGATGCGACGTGGATCTAGGGTGTGAAGAGGGTCCCCACCTTGAAACGAATACCGGGCTCGGGCGCAAAGTGTGGAAACGATTCATCAGATGCCCAAGGACTTTTGGAGAAAGGGGGGGGGGGGTGGGGGCTATATTTAGAGAGAAATAGTGTAAAGCGGTACTATGAGTAGTAGTAGTAGCGGTTGCAATTGAACCCCCTGTACTGGTATTGATGATGGTGGTGGTGGTGATGCATTTGATCGTGGAACATTTGGGCGGGCGGGCGGCCGGTGTGTTTGGGGGGTGGGAAAGAGAGAGAGAAAAAAAAAATTTGGGTGTGATGGGTGGGTGGGTTTGCGTAACGTTGTGCTGTTGCTGTTGCTGATACTGTCATCATCATGGGTGCTGCTGGTGCTGCTTCTCTCGTCGCTTTGGTCGTCGGATTTTTGTGTGCCAGGGAGAGGGGAGTGGGGGAAGGGGGGTGGTTTCTCCAAAGTACGTACGCTTGAAGTTTGTCTATTGCCGGCTGGGTAAACTGTTTGACGATGTTGGACAGGCCATACTGTGCCTTTGTCGAGACAGGCCTGCATTGCACACATGGGCAAAGTGTAAATTATCATAAGCGTACCTTAAACGCGGTAGCGGACAGTGGCACGCTTTCTTGGCAGAAGGACAGTAGGACACGCGCCCCCCGTAGGGCAGCAGCTGCACAAGGAGAGACCAGGGGGGGGCATGTGGGGAACAGATCTGTGGGACGAGAAAATGGCTGTTTGGGGAAGTTGATAATTAAATGTTGCCTGCAAATGCAATGGTTTACAGTACACATGCTTGCGTAAATGCAGGGCCCGTCCGTGGTGGTTGGTCAGTTGGTAGAGTACGTAGGTTGGGGGCTCCGGGCTGCGGCCGGGCGGGGGGTCCCGGGCGAGGCGGGAATGGTAGCCGGACGGCTGGGAAAGCCCTCGGGACATTGATGGGCGACGGGGCCGGGATTGATGGATGAGAAGGGTAGGTGGTTTGGTTTTTCCGCCTTCGTTTTTGCCAGGGTGGTGGTGGGTTACTATGTAGCATCGCGCAAGATACATGATTTTATCACGAGTGACTGACTGGGGTGGCTTGCTCTCTTCCCTTATTTTTTTTCCCCTCCTTGTCCTTTTTTCTTTCTATTGACCCGGCTATAAGTTCATTGGGGCCACGGACTATTGTGGCTGACATGACGGGCGTGATCCCGGGCGACAATGTTTTGGGGGAACATCTATAAACACACCAGGCTGGGCCTTGGGTGTTTCGAAACAAGGAAACACACGGTTGGAATCTGCCTTGCCGCATTTGCCAGGGATCAAGATCGCATTGTCCGTGCTCCTCCTCCTCCTCCAAGCCCCAATCTATGGAATCAATCAAGAAGAGTGTAGCATTCCCAGCCCCAGAACACTAGCTGCGCAGGCTGCTAGCGGCCGTTGCTCAGTGTCAGCTCAGGTCATTGCCGCGCAAAAGACGGCCCTTAGCAACGTTTCTATAATTAGGACCCACGCGCGGCAGCCGCCGCGTACATATTTGAAAGGAGACCGGGGTGTGGGTGTGGGCGTGGGTGTGTGGGCCAGGGCGCCGGGAAGATGGGTGATGGGTGGGGCTCCATCCTCTTTTGTGGGGGCCAGATTTGATTGCGAAGGGGTGTCAAATGGCCTGTTTTTTGCTCTTGTTTCTTGTTTCCCCCCCCGGGTGTTGTCTCTGCGAGCTCGATGAGGCTGATCAACAGTGGTACTGCTGGAGACCAAGCTCTTTTCCTTTTCAATGGGGAAATTGTCGGAGGATCTTTGGAGATTGCTTGACAGCAAGGGAAACATGAGCATGTCCCGGCCTCTCGGTGCATCGGGCCGCCAGCATATCACCCACCGGACTAGGATCGCCTGAGTGGGTAGTGGTGCCGGCTACTCGAAGTCATTGCGGCGTGCGAGACGAGCATAGATGGATGGTCCTCCTGCCGGAGCAAGGCATCCAGATACGAACGCAAATAACCATTGTTCTGGGATGATTAGAAAACACACCTAAGCGCCGTGGCGCGCGCGCGCGGGCGCGGGAACAGCCGTTCTGCATGAGCGCCCCCAGTGGCGAGCAGGTTCCACGCAGCTGGATCGATCGTCGGCGGTCGCTCGGCAGGCACTCGTTGCAATTGGCCCATGGATATCTTTATGGGTGGCTGTGACAGCTGCATTACATTACTCATCTACATAGCTCCTGGCGGTCCTGCGGGGGCTTGGGAAGGTCTGTCAAGGAGGGCGGCCCGTCAGCAGGGCCGGGCAAAGTCGACCGGCGCCGCGGCGATCCGGGCGAGACCTGGAATGAATGGGGGCCGTGGAGGGATGATGGATGCATGGATGGATGCATGGCGACGATGCGCAGGAACGGTGCAGCGCAGTGCAGTGCAGTGCCTGCCGAGCAGAATAGACGAGGCGGAGGTGGAGGCTGGAGAATCGTCAGCAGGGCGCATGCATGCCTCCACGTTGTGGGATGTAAGGCACCTGTGCCGTGCCATTGGCTGTCGACGTTGTGCTGGCCGCAAAGTCCTACAGTACGAGGTGTGCGGTAGACCCCGACGTCTTGATCCGTGTGGTCGGCTGGAGCCTGTCATCCTGACAAAGAGGTGCGTGTGGGGGCAGATCGCCTGGTCTCAAAATAGCAACCGGCGACTTGGCTTGGCTGCACGGTCATGATAAGTCAGCGGTCCTTTCGCACCAGCCTCTACCCAAGCCGAGGACGCTGCACGCTATCTATGGATCCTGTCGTGCCTCTCGCATTTCGTGCCTCGAGAATGATTTGCTGCAGTTCCTTAGAGTCCTAGGCTATTTTCTTCACACCAATCGTTGTCGCCCGAACCTACCGCGCAAGAATGCGGCATGTGGCCATCGACAGGCACCTCAAGAGCCAGCCAGGACTCTGGCCAAGCAGCCCGGAAGATTTGCCGACGGAGAGGCAGCCGTGCAAGCCTAAATTGTTTCTATCTTGGCCTGGTGTCGATATCAGCGCCTGAGCGTAGGCGAGTGGTGGATCCATCTGTCATCAGGAATGTGAGCGACTAATGATCCAATGGGGGATTTGACCAAAGGCCCTTGGATTCGGTCCGTTGGTACGGAACTCCGGTGGCTTTCCGTTCTTTCTTGCTGTTGAAAGTATAGCCAGAGGGCAATTTGGGTTTGCGGATTTTGGCGTGGGCAACCTTGATGCGGACGGCCTCGCGGACATGCCATTCCTGCAGTCGAAATGTCAAACACAAGCTTCTCCCCGATTAATGAGGATAAGCCAACTTTTGAACCAACTCGACTGCGTCAACAATGTGACTTGGGAACATAGCCGTAGATACTACAATTGGACTTGGGTATGAAAACAACCATTAGACATTGGAGCACGAATGCTTATGTCATCACGCACTTGTACTTGGCCAACCTGTGCCCCACCACTTAACGCGTGATGCGACGCGTCTCCCCAAGAAGGGCGGTTTGCACTCCAGAGCCGACAACACTCGACCACAAACCGACGACAAGAACCATTTTGGAAGTCAGCTGAGATCGAGGCGGGTTGAAGGCAGTCGGCACTTCGGTCTTTCATTCTCCTCTGTAAGAAATGGAGCGCGGCAAGGAGCTCTACGCACAAAAGCACTACCCGGAGGCAGCGAAGCATTTTATCAGGGCCATCGACTCGTGTCCATGTGGCGTCGCCTACCGAGAGACATCATGTCTCTGCAAGTCCATTCTCGGTGCAATCGAGAAGAAAGCCCTCAAGGACGAGCTCAAGAGGCCCTGCATCTGCTCCGCCAAGTCAGGGCGGCGCTGTGAACGCAAACCTCACATTGATGCCTTTGACTCGCTTGCAGCGGCACGGGAAAAGCAGGGCTTGCTGGACGAGAGCATCTCTTGCACGGAGCAGTTGATCAATCTGTCACCTCGTGATCCAAAGGGCTATCTTCGTCTTGGCAAGGCCCTGCGTCTCCAGGGTAAGCCTACGGTTGCCTATGAGGCGTATGTGGCTGGGTCGCAACTCGTGGCTGCCAAGCATCCAGATCATCCTCTTCTGCCTGTAGGTGCTTGATGTGGGCCACCATATAGTTCTTTGCGCTGACGACGTGCAGATGTTGAATGCTCAAGCTGCCAAGGTCAAGGGGATGACTAGGACAGATCCCCTCGCGAAACTTCCCTATGAACTTATAAGGATGATCCTGCAAGATGTCGGCTTCCGCACGTTATGGTACGTCTTCTGCGCGCCGACATATACTCTCCAGAAATTACTAACAGGCTAAACAGTCTCTGTCTGCGAGTATCAAAGACGTGGAAGGCGGTGCTGACTTCCGCGATGGCACAAGATCTATGGCGAACGCAACAGTATTTCTACACAAATCACAAGCCGCGAGGTTTTGCTGGACCCCGGACAGCCCTCAGGTACGCCTCATTTGGAGGCGGCCAGCTCACAGACCTGACGATCGATAACTGCAAGCAGTTTGGACTGAAATTTGCACACCTGACCTTGATAATGTCTCGATGCGGGAAACATCTGCGACATTTGAAGCTCCGTGGGCCAATGGTTGGTGACATGCCACAGGGCAGCGTTTCCAGTTTCAAGCTGCCAGCACTCGAGTCGCTATATCTCGGGCTTGGCCTCAAGCTGCCGCACAAGTGGCTCCTCCAGCTCCTTCGAGACACATCGAGAACTCTGCGGGAGCTCTCAGTATTTGATGTTCTGCCGGACCCTGCTGATCGCCCTCGTTTGTTCCCTCTGACAGGTCCGCCAGTCTTCCGGATCAAGGAGGACCAATCTTGGCCAGAACTGCCGCGATTGAAATCCTTGGCGCTGTCCTCCACTGGCCAGCTTCAAATCTATCTTGTAAGCTGCACGCGCCAGTGAAACTCTGATCGAGGCTAACGGTGAAGTACAACATAGGCTTACATGCGTGATATCACGCCCAATTTGGAAAATCTGTGGTTGGATGATGTCGATGTCGTCTTGGAAGCAGACGATGGCATTGTCGACTGGCCTAAACTGAAGTCCGTCTTCATCGGCGGCTGTGTGAAGAGAGATGAGCGACTGGGGAACGGGCACGCGATCAAGCTCTGTACGGGCATGGAAGAACTCCATCTGGAAGAGGCTGGTCTGAGCCTCGTGCCGTATCTGGACCAGCCGTCCTGGCCAGAGTTATCGGTCCTGCGTAAATTCTCAATCCGCTCTTTCTCGGAGGCTATTCTTGAGTCCCAGTTGGAGCTCCTGCTTCGGCCGGGACTCGAGTCGGGCACGATCGATCAGATAAGCATACACCCATTCCCGCTTGGACGCTATCTAGGAGTCGACGTGACGTCCTCCATAGAATGGTTCAGGTCGGAGAGCGTGACACACCTCGCGCTCTCGGGATTCGTAGCCGAGGGCTACCGCTCGAGCGGGACAGTCGACGACGCGCTCGTCACCATCACCTCCAGGTTCCCGAACCTCAAGACCCTCGACATTGACAAGGAGCAGATCCAGGACGCGACCCTGGGCAAGATCTTTGCGCGGGGCGTCAAGACGATATACTACGCCGGGGACCTTCGGGAGGACCTGCGCGTGTGGGCCGCCAGGACGCATAATGCTAGGCTCGTGTACGGGCCGTACCGGGGGAGCCCGGCGGAGCTGCCAGATCGGCCAGTTGTGAGCAGGCGGCTTGCGCAGAGCGCAAAACGGGTTCGCGAGCGCGCTGTGTGACAAGAGATGGCATTGGCATTGCACGTGGGAAGGGGTTCGAAATGCACTTTTGTTCTCATGGGCCAGTCTTGCCACAGTTCGCTGAGGTGTCCGTTGTTGAGATATAGATATCGTCTGGCGGGCTGTCGTATTGCCATCCCGTAGAGAATAGCAGGGCCGTGCCGCGCGGTTGTCAATTTGAACCAGAGACACATGGTGGCTTACATGTCGCGGTTGCCTCCCTCGGTGAAATAGGGAAATGAAAAGATCGAAATGGGATCGATGCCATTGTGTGGAGACATCTCGGATTTGGTGTCCAGGTTAAAACAACGAGCTTACACGGCTTGGGGATGCAGCACTTGGTGGGATCGATTTTATAAGATATCCTCAGCATTTACACTGATGAAATGGTACTTTCTCCCTTTTCCCCTTAGCTCTTGGTGCCGAGCTGTGTGTGAGACGACCGCAGTGGTATTGCTGCAAGCATACTTATTCTGGAATTAAGGCGGGAAACCCATAAATGGCCTACAAGGTCACCTGATGCTCGTCAAGAAGGTCTTTGAGAGTTTTTCCTCGTTGGTTGCTTGAGGCATAGCGACACTGATTGAGGGCCGCCACCGACGCGTGGGTGGTTACCTTCGCGCGTCACGTTTCTTGGTCAGATTTTGCTTCCCTGCTAGGAGCCAATCCTACCAAATAACGACACGGACCATGGTCACGACATTCCGAGATAACTACGGCTCGCGCTCCAGCTGACAGGACAATTTATCACAACGTTGGCCTAGACGGCTTGGTGAGCCCTAGCACATGATTTTCTGCTTATTGCCCGCGCGATTCCATCTTCTGGTGTATGATGGCGTGGTGGTCGAGTCGCTTCTCAAGCTTCATCGTCTGTACTGATCGTTGCCAACCACCCGGTTCATGTGCGGATTCCCGACCTGGAGCTCTCACGACACTTCCAGTACGATTCGGTCTGCGAATACCAGGTTATGGATACACACTTTCAGATACTGGTGTCCGTACGCACTGACATAATCTCATCCTGGGCTCCCGCACAACCGTCCGGGCAAGCACACTTGCAGGGAAGTCGCAACCCGCGGGACGTTCCGAACCATACAACAGACAATAGACATTGTCCTCGATTGTCTCGCGCCCCACAGCAGGACCCTGACCCACACAAACAAGGGGGAGGTCCCACAAAATCCACCACAACTCCCATTCGGGACACAAATCCTTCACGATGGATGCAAAGGTGCCCACCACCACGACGAGCCTGCCCTCCAAAAAAACCCACTTTGCGTTATTTTTCCCGGCCCTTCTCTGTGGATATATTCGCAAAGAAGACATTGTATTCTCCATCGAATTACGTAATACGGCCTTGTGGCGCAACGGTAGCGCGTCTGACTCCAGTTTAACTTGGAATCAAGTCGTCGAACAACGACGGCCACGATGGCTTCAGTCCCCAACGTGGGAACGAGCTGATCAGAAGGTTATCCGTTCAAATCGGGTCAGGGTCATAGCGTGGGTGTTCTTTTTGCCGTGTTGCGTGATGTCTCGGGCTTCTGGGTGTTCCTTTTGGCTGGGTTTTGGGACCAGTGTGTTGTCCGGGTTGAGGAGTGACAGTCGGTGTTCTCGATTTCTATGGTATTGCCTGTGGGTTTCTTTTTTGAGCATGGCTCTGCTCATCGAGAAGGCGAGCAGGCGGCACGCGGCCGTAATGTGTTTTTTTGCGGCTTGACTTCGTCGGGTTGAGGTAATATGGCGTTATCTAACATCGGAAGCCAAGGTTGGCACTACTCTACTTGTCCATGACTCTATGCTCTCAAGAACAAGCCCAGTTCCCAGTCATCAAGTGGCAAGACTCGAAGACACGGGAAGAATTGCAGGCCCAGGCAAGCAGCTGGCACACATGCGCATATCCGCCGAGTCCGGACTACTAGCCAGCCTTTAGAGACGAGCAACGCAGACAGCACAGGCCTCGCAGCAAGTGAGCCTATCTGTATAGTCCTACAGAGACATTCTGGCAGGGTGTACCAAGTAAGCAGGATTGACAGAAAAAAGACGTGCTGAGGTGGCTTTTGCAGTGCAGAGCGGCCTCATGGTTCGCCAATCCATGTGCCAATTTTTTTTTCTCTCTCTGCAATGTGGGCTCTCCTGTCATCAATCTGAAACACAGTGCAACGTTCTTGCAGGGGTCCCGGAGGCATATTGCCCGTGATGGGAGTTGAGCGGGGGTTGGGTTGTTTTGTGGTATTGGTTGCATTCTGAACAGAGATGAACAACAAAATCTGAGAGCACAGGTGCTATTTTCGTTCTGATTTGTCGCCAGCAAAACTCCCCTCACGCCTCTGATTCTTGGTATGTTTGTCAAAGCTATTTGCAACGTGCTCTTTTAGGAGTTGTCGTGCAACCAGTGGAGTGCCCATCTGACAGATAGGCAACGTGTCCAACCAGGATCAGTTGTGCAGGAGGGACAGCTTACCTGCATGCAAGGATCACCAATTGGAAATCGCACACACACAAGCACACACACATCTCTCAGACTGGGGAGCCTCAATCATTGACAGTGCTGCATCACTTTGCGAATCAGAGAAACGAATTGCGAGCTGCGCGGACGGTAAGCTAAAAATTTCCAGAAGAGTAATTGTAGACCATGGGTCGTCTTGGTAAACAACTACTTCCAATGCCAGGATACAAGATACTAACAAACCCGAAAAAAAATGTCGAAAGATAATCCCGCTGCATGTAAGAAGAACCCTCCCCTCCTTCCTGTCCAGGTAGGACCGAAATGCACGAATAGCAAACGTCGCAGGCGACATGCGCTTCCTCCTTACCTATTCCCCCCTTTGTATCCATCGTTCTAGACCTGTAGCGGCAGAGGCGCATCGCATCGTGCATGCAGGACGACACAATGATACCTTATCGTTGCCACCATACACACAGACACACACACACAGACACACACAGGCAGAAATCTGCGGAACTTATCGCCCGCATCTTACCTCGGGTCCTTTACTCGGCCATGCATTTTGCGCGTTGTAAGCCAAATAAGCCCGGGCAACGTTGCCTGCAAGAAACACCCCACCCCCTGCTTGCATGGATGAGTGGGAGGATGGATGAATGACTGGCTACATAGATACCAACACATATAAGATACTCCATCCGGAGCAGTTTTTGTCAGATCACATCATGGCCCAGTCACGTCCATACAAGATTGATGCCTGGCCCTCAATACTTCAGGTGTTGTTTTGTCCACCGCGTCTGATCAGTGCCTAGTCGGTCGTGCTGTCCTTGTCTTGTTGATCTTTCTCATGCTTGGCAAGGTTTGACCAAATGTGATGAGCACCAGGCGGCGACTGTAGACCACCTATATTCTGGGCAACAAGAAGAAACATTTGAAGCGTAAAGAGTCAGCAACCACAACGTCTTCGACAATGCCGTCGACAAAGGCAGGCGCTGTACGCATCCTCGTGTCTTGTCTTCTCGCCCACATCACCATCATCACCCCCCTCGCGGCTGCCATAGACATCAACGTCGACGACAAGACCTCCGTCAAGGCTGCAGCCTCCAAGATCGCTAAGGGTCTCTTCACAACGTACCACAATGTGGCATCGACAGCGGGCGACTTCAATCAGCCCGAGCCATGGTTCTGGTGGCTCTCGGGCTCCGGCTGGACTGGACTGCTCGACTACATGATCTACACCGGGGACAGGGCGTACAAGGCCGACCTCTTCGCCGCCTACAAGGAGAACATTGGGCCCGGCAACGACTTTGCGCCTCTGGAGCAGAAGAACTGGGAGGCCAATGACGACCAGATGTACTGGCTTTACGGGGCACTGACGGCCATGGAGTACGGGTTTGACGCGCTGCCGTGCGAAAAGCCCGTCACCACCACCACCACCACCACCACCTCTTCTGGCATCAGGAGCGACGATAGCGCTGCTGGTGATGCTGGTGATGCTGGGGGAAACGGCCCAGAGTGCACCAACTCGTGGCTCGCCATCAGCATCAACGCCGTCAACGCCTTCGCCCGGCGCTGGCGCGCAGACGAGTCGACCTGCGGCGGCGGGCTCAAGTGGCAGTACCGCCCTTCGGAGCCCGGGTACACGTACAAGAACGCCGTCACGAACGGCGGGTTCTTCCAGTCCACGGCGCGGCTGGCACGGTTCACGGGCAACGAGACGTACGCGGTCTGGGCGGACATCATCTACGACTGGTCGGAGCGCGTGCGCCTCGTGACGCCCGACTACCACGTGGTGGACGGGACGTCGGACCACGAGGGGCAGAACTGCTCGAGCGTCAACCGAGACGAGTGGTCATACAACATTGCGACGTACATGCACGGCGCGGCCAACATGTACGCGTACTATGCGCTGCGGAGGCCGGGCGACAAGCAGGCGCTGGCCAAGTGGAAGGCCCGGACGGAGGGGTTTGTCGCGACGGCGGGCAAGACCTTCTTCTCGCAGGGCGGCGCCGTCATGTATGAGCAAAAGTGCGAGCGGGCGAACATGGCGTGCTCGACGGACCAGACGAGCTTCAAGTCGAGCCTGGGCCGGTGGATGGGCAAGACGGCCGTCCTGGTGCCGAGTGTCAGGGCGACGGCGTCGAGGTTGCTCAAGAGCAGTGCAAGAGCCGCGGCAGGAAGCTGCCAGGACTCTAGTGGCAAGGTTGTGTGCGGACAGCGCTGGACGACGGGCATGTTTGACGGCCAGGCTGATTTCGGTACATATCTCAGTGCTCTCGAGGTAGTTCAGAGTGTTTTGACTGTCGACGCTCCGCCATTGCTGGTGCAAGCGAAGCCCCGACAGGGTGCTTGATGACAGACCGGCAAGTAGGTTAGCCAGCACCGCCGTCGCTGCGAAAGGGAAACCTGCTCAATTTCGATGAACCGGCATGTCGATAAATTACCATTTGTATGACGATAGATTTTGGCCTTTCATTTGGTCCAAGACCTAGAAGATTTTAGGTCAAGACCTAACAAGGCACTGTCCCAGACGCAAGACGTTCAAGAGTGAAGATCGCCTATTCGCTCCATGAAACACATAATAGCGTCGTGTTCTCCCTGCCACTATCAGTAGTGTTGTACAGGCGACGAATCATGCTGGCAATGTTCATCATTACATTTCCGATCTCAATCTGAAAAGACAATACCAAAACCAAATGTACAGTCGTCCCATTGGAGTCAGGTCATTCCCAAGGATAGCTCCTTTTCGACTAAAATGACATCGCTTCTGTCGTCACTGGATCGTGGTGAGGGTTGCGGGTATTCTGGGTTCCATAGCATAGGACTTCCTCTCGAGATCGTCATTAGACCATGACTGGTAACCAGAACAGTCATCGACATCTGCATGCATGCTTCATGATCGTGCTTTGAAGTATGAAGATTAATACTTGTTCCTGGGCATCCTAATACACCAAGTTCGGCTCCAGGCATCAGGCTGGCATGGGAAAAGGCTTCATGGTCATGGAACTGACAGCTGGTGAGACGGATGAGTTGAATGACGCCGATCGATCGACTGGGAAGGCCGCAGGCGGTGCAGTTCCCGCCTGTACAGAGACTGCTTGTGCCCTAGCTGGACAGTATTGTGCAATAGTTGTGCCGTGACGATGCTGACCAGGGTTGCACCAAGCCAACTATCCATCTCGGTGCAGTACAAATCGCATGATTGTACTATGCAGCCGCAAAGTACAGGTCTTCACGATCGATGCCGAAAGCTTGTTCCTCGCCTGTAGTCTTATGAACAATCGGCCCGGCAAGGAATGTTCGGGAGGGGATCTGCATTGCACGCCGCATCTCTTCTAAGGTCCCGTGTATGACAGGCGGCTTCGAATACCATTGATTGAAATGTTGTCGATCCCGCGAAATGCCTTTTTGAGCACTGGTACGACATGCCCTCGTATCGCCCCAACGGTTAGTATGAGGCATGGGGCTGTTAAATGACGCAGATCTGGGGCATTTCAATGCGACAGCCATGCCCTCGCAACGCAGGACGGCGCCCTTGCAGGAGCGGGACGGACGAGAGGACGCTAAGGATGCAATCTCGCATGCTGAACTCCGTGGGGGTGGTGCAAAGTTCCCAATGGCCATGGCCGGGCTGCGACCAGCAAATCGGTGCGCCACGTCCGGATGGTGCTTTTGGCGGCACCCAAGGTTGTAGCCGCAGCGGAGCCGACAGCATCTCTGCCCCTTTCTGCGGGCCAGGCACGAACGACTCCTCGAGCCTCGAGCCTCGAGCGGACCTGGACCCTGCGGCGTCCATTGCCAAGGCATCGTGGACTCGTTCCTCCACAGCCAGGGTGAGCCTCACAATCCAGGAACCCCGGCCCCAACGCGATCAGGCGCAAACAGAGAAATGAGAGATCAGGAGCAAAATACGCCGCAGCCAACAGATTAGAGGGCGATAAGCTCCAACGGGGTCAATGAGAGCCATAGCTGTGTTGAGGCATCGAGCAACAGGGCCGCATTCTCAGTATTGCATAAACCTGCGCCGGATCACGTGCGGCCTGACGCTCCATTGCTGTTAGGAATACGTACTATGTATTAATGTGCTGACGGGGATCTTATGCAGGTCGCGGCTCCTGCATATATTCGCGCCGCCGCCGTCCTCGGCGATGACCTGATTGTGAGTTTCTAGGTCAAAATTGCGGCCGCGACAATGACGGGACTGATGTTTCAAGCTGGAAACTGGGAAAGGCGGCACCGTGGCAGATTGGGTCATTGAGACCGAGTACAGGTTTGTTGTTATTGTTGTTTGATTGATGCCTGGAGAGATATTGCATTACGCTACAGTGCCGTCTTGGCTGCACCCTTGCACAGAGCATCTCATCCTCGACGATTGCCGCCAGATCTAGACACGAGACGACCTCCCCTGTGCTGGGAGGTTTGTAGCTGGTGCGGGCGAACTATTGGCCAGTCTGGCCTCCACGGCCGATTCCGACTCGGGCGAGAGTGTGCAAATGGCAGTGGCACAGAAGGAAAAGGCGTTGGCAAACCGTCGGTGAACCCGTAGGCGAGCCAAGTTAGGGGCTGCCTGTTGCGGTTAACCAGCGGGGCGCGCTGGCCGGATCCCCAGGCATTGACTGCACAGTGTCGAGGAGGACTCGAGCGGCTCTGGGCACGACCAGACTCGACCTTGGAGCCCCGGGCGGCAGTCCGTCCTGCACACCCCTTCCTGGGCGACAGTGTGGCCCACGGCCCTCTCAGGTGATGGCATCCAGGCCTCGGGGCGAGTGTGGTTGGTCCGTTGGCCAGTGAACTTCCGCGCTGCAGCCCACCGAGTCGTGGCAGGGTGGTGGTGTCGAGGTTCAAGCCGCGGGACCAGGTGCCGGTGCGTGGCTGATTAGCATGTGCGCACGCGCCAAAGCCGACGACGAGGCCCGGGGCTGGGAGATGGAACAACAACGCTGGCTCGAGGCGTAGAGGGATCGAGGAGAGCCCTGGGTCTGGTTGAGGCTTCTCATGGCGAGCGAGGCTGGTGGTGACACGGGCGGGCTGGGAGACGGAGCCAAAGGAGAGACAGGCATGGGCCGAGCAGACAGACCGCCTCGGGCACCGCCCGTCCACTCCACTAGAAGGCTCAACAGCTCCGGGGCGGCTGCCACTGGCTGCAGTGGCGGGCACCTGGTGCAGCCTCCATGGCCCGCCCGCCCGCCAGCCCAGGCAGGACAGGGCAGGGCTGGTTCGATGCCCCCCAGTCGCCGTCCCCAGTCCGCGCTGCCCAGGTGCTCGCTCTCTCCCTTTCCGCCCTGGTGCCCCCGACCCCATGAGAGCCCCGTGCCTGGCTCCTGCTGCTGCTCCTGCTGTGTGCCTGCCTGCCTGCCTGCCTGCCTGCCTGCCGCCCGGCCCCGACCTTTCTCTCTTCCTGTCTACTGCACCATCACCGGTCCTCCTGTCCGACCGCCATTCCATCCCGTCCGCCCCTTCGTTCGGCTTCCCATCGCCAGACGACGACGACGACGTCGATAATCACCGTTGGATCCGGAGCTGCCCGCTCCCGTCGCGCCCCCGGCCCTCTGTGCTGCGTCCTCACCCCGAGCACGCGCCCTCGCCTCGCATGAGCCTGCCTTTGAGTCTCCCCGACCCGACTTCTCGCCCGCGTCGCTAGCAGCCTCCAAGGCCACCCGATTGTTCCCAGTCCTTGCCAGCAGCCAACTCGTCAACACCACACAAAGTCTCCTGTCCCGTCCTCTGCGTCAAGATGGCGTCCTCCTCCTCCAACGTCGTCGGTGTCCACTACCGGGTCGGCAAGAAGATCGGCGAGGGTTCCTTTGGTGTCATTTTCGAGGGCACCAATCTGCTCAACAACCAGCAGGTTGCCATCAAGTTTGTAAGTCATTACTGCATTCTCGTGTCCATGGTTTGCCAAAGCCTTGCCTCGTCTGCCTCAATTCAATTGCCTCCATCATCGCGTGAATTCACACAACAACCCAATTGCCGCTGCTAATCAGTCGCTGTTCCCTCAACATAGGAGCCCCGGAAGAGTGATGCACCTCAACTCCGTGATGAGTACCGCACGTACAAGATCCTCGTCGGCTGCCGTAAGTTCACAATGCCCCTTTTCGCGCCCGAAGATTATAGTTCAAGCTTGCTGACTTGGTGGTGCAGCTGGCATTCCCAATGTCTACTACTTTGGCCAGGAGGGACTTCACAACATCCTCGTAATTGACCTGTTGGGCCCGTCTCTGGAGGACTTGTTTGACCACTGCAACCGGCGATTCTCTATCAAGACTGTCGTCATGGTCGCCAAACAAATGGTAAGCTATCCACTGTGGGCCCTGGCCGGGCTGAGTCCTGGACTGATTTTGAATGTCTAGTTGTCCCGCGTCCAAACAATTCACGAGAAGAACTTGATCTACCGTGATATCAAGCCCGACAACTTCCTCATCGGCCGTCCCGGGACCAAGGCGGCGAACATCATCCATGTCGTCGATTTTGGCATGGCCAAGCAGTACCGCGACCCAAAGACCAAGCAACACATCCCGTACCGTGAGCGCAAGTCCCTCTCCGGTACCGCGCGTTACATGAGTATCAACACCCACCTGGGACGCGAGCAGTCTCGTCGTGATGATCTCGAGGCCCTTGGCCACGTATTCATGTACTTCCTCCGGGGTGGGCTGCCTTGGCAAGGTCTCAAGGCTGCTACCAACAAGCAGAAGTACGAGAAGATTGGCGAGAAGAAGCAGACGACCGCCATCAAGGACCTGTGTGAAGGCTTCCCCGAGGAATTCAGCAAGTACCTGACTTACGTCCGCAACCTTGGCTTCGAGGATACTCCCGACTACGACTACCTGCGGGAGCTATTCACCCAGGCCCTCAAGAACACTGGTGAGGTGGAGGATGGCGAGTACGACTGGATGAAGGTCGGCAAGGACCCCAGCAAGGGCTGGGATGGCATGCACGGCAAGCATGGCGCCTACCACAACCCCAACGCCAGACCCGGTGCTTCCCAGATGGAACTTCACGGTCAATCACGCGCCGGTGCCAGCACTCCTCATCTGACACGCGACCGTTTAAACGCCGCGCAGCCCCCACCTCCGTCTCCAGCGAAGGCGACGGACAAGCGCCGACCAAACGGGCCCGCCATGGCCGGCCAGCGTGGCAGCGGGGTGGGGGGTCTCCGGGACATGGCGACTCCGACAGGGTCAACTCAGGCTCAGTTCCAAAACAGCACCCAGAACCTGCCGCCCCGAATGGCGCCTCAGACGAGCGCGGCAACCCCTCAAGCCGCTGCCAGTAACGGCCGTCCTGTGGACGCTCAGCCGACAGGCTTCCAGAAGTTCATGAAGACTATCTGCTGTGGTATGTTTGACTCGTCACTTTTTTTTTTTTTTTTTTTTTGGATGCTGGCAAGCTAACAATCAATTCACCGGGCAGGTTGATTTCTGCATAGTCGCCGTGGATAAAGAGACGCCAGAGTGACGTAGCATTTGCTTCCCAGCATCACATGCAATCACAATCTACCAAACAATTTGTGGGACATCGTTCAGGACAACACCAAGTATGACTTAGGTCGTGTCGTTCCCATCCCGGCCTTGCCCGCCTTTCTTTTGTCGTTGAAAGAATGTGGCAGCCTGGGCCGTTCCTCTATCGATCATATTTCCAATCCCGAAGCCGCTCCGCGACTAGGGCCAGGCTTTCTGGGTCAACGGGTGGATCGATCTCCGTCCATCGAGGCAACTACGCATGAACCGCATTTCTGGGGAAGGATTACACTGTCTTGTGCTTGGTGGTCCAGACCAATTGGAGCATAGGCACGAGCGGAAGTCGACTCTTGATTTTTTTTCATTGACGCTCGCTTTGACGAAGAAGTATAGAGAAAGAAGCAAGCGGAAAGAGCTGTTAATAGTCAGAACTGCAGCGCAGCACGGCGCAAAGGGTCAGCATTGGGCATTGGGTCATTTTAACATATTTTAATTTTCCTTGTCATTCGCCACTGTACTTTGAGGATCATCCAATGCTTCTTGAGCTCGGCCACAGTCAATGAGTGGCCTGTTTTTGGTTATGCTCCTTCAAATCCCGGGCATTTCCGCCTCGCTCACGCTCCGCTAGCTACTCCGAAGTACGAGATGTTGGGGGACTCAATTAAGCTGCTGAGGAGGACAGAACGAGACAAGACGGCAAGCCTCGAGCACAGATAGACACAGTAAACATGAAATAAAAAAGGGGGTTGGATACATAATACATATCAAAGCCTGCACACAAATTATGATGCGTGATTGGCTGAGTAGAAGTCGTTGACCCTGAAATGTTGGATGAACGCGGGTTTGGCTATGAGGACATCCATAGATCTCGTACAGGTGTCGTTGTGGCTAGTACTAGCACGATACTTTCGGAAGCGTTTGCGAGGGGCTTCCGGTGAGAGTTTTTGGAAACAATAGCTTTCACTGTCTTGCCTGTCGGCCAATTGGTTGTTCTGCTTTAGAGTTCAAAGATTAAAGTATCCTGCGGACCAAGATTACAGCAACATCCCGTGGGTGCAAAGGGCATCCGACATTGGAGCGAACCGAGTGGTTCACTTTCTCTCAAAAAGCCTCGTCTCCCACACAGTCATTTGATTTCAGTATTCGCTGCGTTTGTCTCCGAGTGGCGTGGCTCATGCTTATGACGTATTCCAATGATATATTCTTTGACCCTCTTTGCGCCCCATATGTTCATAGCAGTTTTACATGCATGTGTGTCGCTTGAAACCCCCCCCCCCTCTTCCTACTTTCGTTGTCGGGCGAGAGACAATCGATGTGGAGATCTTCTTCATCATAAGAGCACAAGATGACAGTCCCTGTGTTTTGCGCCTCAAGAATTTGGCCTTCATAATCGGACTGAGCAGTTTAAAGGGGGTTGGTGGTTCATATACTCTTGCAAGGACCCCCGCTGACCGATCTCCGGAACGGAATTGCTCCGTCCAGACTCTTTTTTTTCCCCCTTTCTTTACGTGAGCTTCTGCTTGATGAAGAAGGACCGCAGGTGAGACAACTGCCAAGCGCACGTGCCACCGAGCACGATGAGCTGTATAATCATCCACCGGATGACGCGAGAGTTTGTGCTTTCGGACTGGTCGCGGAACTCGGCCTCGCGCTCCTGTTATACAATGCGAAAGTCAGTAACGCGGTTCTCGAGAGGCAAAGTTCTGGGGATGGTCAAGCGTACCGACTCCAGGCCGATGCCTTGGGTCTGGTTTGGTTTGGGGGGTCGGAGTGCTTGCACTTACACGCTGGAAGATCTGCTCCCTCCGGATGTCGTTGAGCCGCGCGTTGAGGTCCTTGACCCGCTGGGACAGGTCGTCCATCTTGCCCTTGTCGCTGCTCTCGATCTGGCTCGACTCGCCGATGGCGAGGTCGATGTTGAACTTGATGCCGCCGTTGTGGTTGCTCGCCGACAGCCAGCCCTGGCGGCCGCTGGTGCTCGACGGGGTGAAGCAGATCTTGTGGTCGCCCGACTCGGCCGCGTTGAAGGTGAAGCGCCCGCTCGAGCTGCCCCGCTGGGAGACTACGCGGTGGTTGGCATCGAACAGCTCCTGTTAATGCCGAATTGCAAGAGATTCGCAGTCAGTTAGCGTTTCTTTGTCTTTGCTTGGACGTGGGAGGTGGGTGGGCCATGGTGTCGAGTTGGGCATGATGAGGACATGCGACACCACCCCCGGACGTGCACTTACATCTACAGAGATATAGATGCTGATGCCGTCGTGCTTCGACCATGACGACAAGTTGTCGTCCCATTCCTCGGCGTGGTAGTGGCCGACGACGAGGGTGTCCTTGGGCAGCTCCTCGAAGAAGCACTTGGGCGCGGTGCCGTCGATGAAGAAGTAGAGCGCCTGGGCGACGGTGCCCAGGGACAGGAGGGGAAGGATCGCCCTCATGTTGGAAACAATGGCACGGTGTGGCAGTGAAGGTCGTCACCGAGGGGTTCTGAAGAAATGGGTTATGTCGCCTCGGTTCGATTGGTGGTCGTGGTTGTCGTGGTGGCCAAAGACGGGCTTGCGAACTGCTCGTCGTGTCGGACGCTGTGCTGTGTCTAGACGGCAATGATATCGTGCTGGCCGCAGCTGTCCCCTTGTCAGTGGATGCGTGGGCGTTCACAAGCTCAAAGTGCCACGTTCGAGGTAAGAGATCAATGCCTACCCGGCACGCCCCCAGGGGGTCAGGGATGGTCTGTACAAGGCTTTATGCAGGTGGCCTAGCCAGTGTTGTGCAGGCCCCACACAATTTGTGCACGACCATTTCAACGCCAGCGAAAGTACGCGCCTTGGTCGTCGTCTTGATGTCAATCAATCAAGCGACTTGGAGAAAAGTTGCCCGCCGTTGCTGACCCAGGCCATCCGAAATCAAAACGTGCACATCATCAACTCCCCGAGCTACAGTCACCACCTCGATTTCTCGCATATAGAACTGTCACACCCCTCGGTCGCATGTAAACCACAGTCCGTGACTTTCCCACAGCGCCGCGCGCAGCTTGGGGCTCAGTAATCTCACACCATCTCGCGGAACACGGACACCGAGGCACGGAAAGATGGCCGCTCACGATATACGCGACGTGCTCAACCTCCCGGCAGACGGCGCCGCGCCTCGGCCATCAAAGAAGCAGAAGACTGGCGCGGCACGCCCCAACCTCAAAGGCTTGGCTAGAGAAGTGCAGAGCCTCGGCGGCGACAACCCGATAGCGATCGTGCCCGAGATCTCGACTTTCAAGAAGAGGCGATTCGGCAGCCGAAAGCCTGCGGCGAAATGGGTCCTCTCGCCATTCCAGAACTCGGCGCGAAATGACGACCAGGCGCTGCTCCTGCGACACTGGAGGAAACAGACCGAGGACCTTTCGAGAGCGCCCTCCCAGCCAGAACAGCCACAGCCAGCGCCTGATGGAGAGTCTGAAGAGCCCAGCTCTGCGCTTGTCGCTCGGCCAGTGGAGACGGAGGACTCGGCATTCGCGAAGTTCAATGTACATGTGGACGTTCCCCAGTACAGCGATGATCTGTACGAGTCGACCTTGACTAGTGCGGAGTGGACGAAAGAGGAGACGGATTACCTGTTTGATCTTGTGCGCGACTTTGATCTGCGTTGGCCGCTCATCTGGGATCGGTACGAATACGCGCCTGGAGACGCGGGCAGGAATGCGGACGGCGAAGAAGTCGACATGGCACAGGCTATTGTCCCGGCCGCGAAAGTGCGCACGATGGAGGACCTGAAGCATCGATACTACGACGTGGCAGCCAAGATCATGGCCGCCCAGAAGAAACCGGAGCACATGTCATCGCCAGAGTTTGATCTCTACCAAAAGATGACGAGCTTCAACCCACATAGCGAACTCCAGCGCAAGCGTTTCGCCGAGTCTTCGATGAGCCGCTCTAAGGAAGAGGCACGCGAGGAGGAGAACCTGCTTGTTGAAGTGCGGCGCATCCTGGCTCGCACCGAGAAGTTCAACCAAGAGCGCCGCGAACTCTACGACCGCCTCGACTACCCACAAGCCGAGAACGACATCAATGCTTTCAAGACCAGTGCCGGCCTACAGAACCTGCTGCAGACACTGATGAATGTCGACAAATCCAAGAAACGCAAGTCCATCATGGAAGCCAACGCCAGCAATGCACAGACACCCGCGTCGGCAGTACCACCGTCAGCTCAGGCGGCTTCCACACCGGCCTCAGAGGGCCGTCGTGAGAGTACTGTGGCGCCACCGACTGCTGGCGGACACCGAGACTCAGTCGGCAATGCCGATCGGCCGGAGCGACCTGCCAAGAAAGGTGCGCCAGCGGCGCCTCCGGCCGAGCGCAAGAAGCTCACAGAAGAAGAGGAGCGCATTTACGGTGTATCACATCACGACCGCCTGCACACAGGCCCAACTTTCCGATACGAGAAGATCAACAAAATCCTCACAACCAAGAGCCACGCTCAGCACCAGCGCATCATCAACACGCTGCTGGAGCTTGACATACCCAGCAGGCTGAACATGCCAACACGGCCAGTGGTTGAGGAAATGGAGAAACTCCTGAACTCGATCGGAGTCTTGCTCGACTTGCGCAAGGTAAACGACAAGGTGGACGGCGAGCTCAAGATCGAGCTTGCCAAGAAGGCGGAGCGGGACAAAGCCAACGGCATCACCACGACAGAGGACCCTGCAGCTGCATCTACCGAGGACAAGAAGGATGCCGAACCAGCTGCAAGCACTGATGATGCGGCCAAGCCAGACGGTGCAAACAAGGCCAATGCCACTGAAGGCGACAATGACCAGGATGAGCAATCACCATTGGCCGACAAAGCGAGCACCAGTGTCACTGGAAAGCCTGATGCTGGACAAAACGGGGATGGCGTCAAAGAGGAGGCGGCGGAAGAGAAGGCCGCGCGGCCGAGCAGCAGCGGCGGCGGTCACAAGCGTAGCGCCAGCGAAATGAGCACAGTGAGCGACAAGAGCGCGAAGCGACAGAAAAAGTAGCACTTGGAGGCAGATGTATCAAGAACCCTGGCCAATGTTATACCCATCAGGCTTGTAGTCCAACGAGAACACTCTGTACATTGAAAGTGCTTCATAGATGTTAAGCTCGGGGCCTCTAGAGACAATTGGACTCAATGCGCTCCGACAAGTCAGGCAGAATTCCTGTTTGGGCTTTCAACAAGGGCTGGCCCACCAAGCAATTCCCGAGACTAATGATGGCCTGTCCAGTTGCGTCGTGAGGTGAGGTAAGATGTGTGTCTGACTTAGCCGCCAGGTTACAGCGCGGGTCCACACGCCAGGAGAGTCGGCGGCTGGCGCAGGCACTGATTGGATCGCCACTTGGTGGAACAACCACCTTGGCTGTCAACTGGACCCTTGTCGCGCGGACCAGTCGTCTCGACCATTCCGGGGAAGCGTTCGATTTGTTCCAGGTCGTGGCGTGGGCAGTAAGCCCTTGAGGTCTTTCGCGTGGAAAAGGCGAGCATTCTTGTCGACATCAATCGACTTCTTCGCCCAGTGAGAAGAGCAACACTGGAAGCCCTCGAGATACAACTTGCTCCTTTCTGCAGATCCTAAGCACCTTCTACGCACGCTACGTACTTCGCAACCGTAGTTCGCGACAGAGACAGCCAGCAGGGCAGACAGGCAGACAGCCTTGTGAGGTGGGGGGGACCCTTGTCCACTGCCGTCAGCTCGCCTGTTCCCCTGCGTCTGAGCTACCTTGACAGCTCCTGCTCGAGCTTCTTCCTCTTCCTTCGGATCTCTCTCCTGCTTCAATTCTCTCCCTGAGCCCTCAGCAGCGCCTTGAGACACCTTGCCAGCCGTCGAATACAAGCAGCCGTCATGTCAGGCCAGTACTATCCTCGTAAGTCACAAGTCCCGCTTGATCAACAGCTCACCACTCCTCCCCGGTCTGCCCCGCGCTCCCAAGGCTGACGATCATAACAACGACAGCTCCGCCTGCGTCGGCAGGACCGGTCAACAATTATCCGCCGCCGCCAACTTCACCTCCCGCCGGCCAGCCTCAGTCGTACCCTTCGCCTCCTGGCGCTGGGCCAGGCTATGCGTCGCCGCCTCCTCACCTCCAGCAGCAGCAGCAGCCGCAGCACTACCCTTCTCCCCCGCCACAACAGCACCACCAGCCAAGCTACCCGCTGCCGCCGCAACAGCAACAGCAACAATTCCAGGCGCCGCCCCAACATCAGCCGACTCCGCAGAACTACCCGCCTCCTCCCCAGGTCCAGCACCAGCAGAGCTATCCTCCGCCGCCACAGCCACAGCAGCAGAGCACATCCCCGCCGCCGCCGCAGAGTGCGGGCACGCCTGTCTCGTTCCACGCCCCGCCTGCGCCGGGACAGCACCAACAGCTGCCATTGCGCAGCAGCATCGCAAGCACAGCGACGCCTCCACCTCCAGCACCAGCAGCAGCAGCACCTTCGTACGAGGCGTCCACCCCAAATGCCCCCAGTGGTTACCCGCAGGAGAAGGGCCCCGGGGGCCCTGGAGCTGCCCTGAGCTCGCCGATGGCATCGCCCGGTCCTGGCGCTGGAGCGGCTGGTGGCGGCCCCTCTTCCGGGCCGCACCCGGGTCCCGCGCACGTTCCCAACACGGCGACCACGGTCGACGACGTCGGCACTTTTAATGGCGGCTCGTACCGCATCAGCCACCGCGATTGCAACACGATTGTCACGATCCAGCTCGCCATGGGCTGTCCGCTCGCCGCAAAGCCCGGCGTGCTGATTGCCATGAGTCCGACCGTCACGCTGAAGGGCGAGTACAAGATGTCGCTCAAGAAGATTGTCGCGGGCGGCGAGATCGGCCACTCGACATTCATCGGTCCTGGTGAGGTCCTTCTTGCGCCGAGTGCGCTCGGCGACATCACAACCATTCGGCTCAATGGCAACGAGTCGTGGAGCGTCGGCAAGGACTCGTACGTGGCGAGCACGCAGGGCGTGATCCGCGACTACAAGCGCCAGGGCCTGGGCAAGGCCATGTTCAGCGGCGAGGGGCTTTGGGTCAACAAGATCTCGGGCGTGGGACTCATGTGGATTGCCAGCTTCGGCGCCATCATCCGCAAAGACCTGATGCCGGACGAGAAGTACATTGTCGACAACGGCCACCTTGTCGCGTGGAACACAAAGTATGTCATGGAGCGTGTCGCGAGTGGTGGCATCATTGCTGGGTTCGCCAGCGGTGAGGGCCTGGTGTGCAAATTCACCGGGCCCGGCACTGTGTTTTTGCAGACGAGGAACCCGGTAAGTTCTTACAGTCCTCCTCTCTCGCGAGACATCTTTGCCGTCATTGCTAACATGGTGCTTTCAGCGAGCATTCGCTGCCTTCATGGCGGGCAACGCGGCACCCCCGTAATGGGCAACCCGTCCCTGTTCAGCAATCCACCGTGTTGGAAATTGCTTCGCACGTCTGTCTTGTGACTCTGTCGAATTCTATTGCTTTCAACAGCGTGTTTCTACTTTTTCCCTTTTCTGGTCAACTCGCCATATTAGTCAAAAATCTAGCTTGAAGTGTTGCGATTGGCCCAGACCATGAACACCCGTCGATGTGGCTACGTGTGCAGTGTGGATAGTTACTCCTATAAATCCCCTGGGGAAAGGATAAAGTATCTGCCTCCCTCCGAGGCTGCATGTTCTGAGCAACGCCACGGATTATGCCACTTGACACTGGTGAGGACAAGCCATGCATTGCAGGTAGTCGGAAATGTGTGGTGTTTGCCGCAAGTGTGAGCGTAGAATTGAGACTTGCGCATCGACACCATTCTGGATCTTCCCTCGCGATCATGATATAGCCGCCACGATCGAAACACATGCTTGCAACGACCAGAAAAGGCACTTCGTCCCCAGGCTAAGTAAGGACTGTGCACATCTCAAGGTCAGACAGTCGGGATCCCACCCACGTCAGGGGCTCGCTTAGTCATGTTCTTGACGGCGAAAGCCCAAGTAAGTGACAGGAAGTGGCGGCCGGACGCTTCGATAGGTTCTCTTGAGCCTGCCAACACCACCTCATTGGGGGCTAAGCCACGCTGCACGCGCTGACACTCAAATCTCACGTCCCTCGCCCGGCAATGAGCCAACAGCACCGGCCGATTCGCCCTCTATTGTACACCATGTCACCATGCCTGATTTCTTGACCCCTCAACGGAACTCTGGGGCTTGCATATGTTTTTTTCAACATCTCTCGCCGCAAGGGCCTACCCTTGCCAGCAACGAGCTCTGGCATCCTGCACATTTGACTGGCTGCCCGTGGTGGCAGCAGCGAGGGTACTACTACACCCACGGCGAATTGACCTTGTCGAGCTTTCAGGGTGCGATATCAAGGACACATTAACTATACTTTGGGGCAAGCATTGAACGGGCGGGCCGGCAAGTTATCATTTGCGCGGCAGGTAAGTGGCTCCTTCCCTAACGGCTCTGTGACCAATCAGGACCCCGGTCCAGCTCAGCACAGCCCTGTTGTAGGTGCATGTCGGCTGCATGATCGCCTGAGATGACCTCGGGACCCTGTCAGACACACGGACATCCATGTACACATGGACAGCAACGGCCCATCCAGGCATCCTCGATTTTGCAGCCATCCACCGGCGTGCAGTCGGATTAAAGCAGTGTCTGGAGCCCCCCTAGGATCGAGGCTTCTCCCCTCGCCGTCGTCACCATCATCAGACTATCCGTCATCCGTTTGCCTTGTTGTCAACGCTGACTAACCCACGCCCCTGTGCGCAACCCTCAAAGCATCTCAACATCTCAACATCTCGAGCGCATTTGCCATTTCAGAACCGAGGATTACTGGCAAAAAGCGCCCCTTGTGTAGGAAATATCGCACCACGCATCCGAGCAGCAGAACGGCAAAGCAGCAGTTATGGGTCGAGGCCGGTCCCGGTGAATCCGCAGCCGCCGCCATAACCAGAATTTCCGTCCCCAGCAACCATTGCGAAGAGCTTCTGCCTTGTGCCCTCTTGCATCATGACTTCCCCAGGACCTAAACCCCGTCGACGCCGTGCCCACAAGAGGTCCCGCAATGGTTGCCTGATGTGCAAGGAGAAGCACATGCGTTGTGATGAGAGGAAGCCGCTGTGGTGAGTGGAACGATGTTCCCCGAGCAAGAGCACATCATCCATCTATATATGATATGCATGCAGCCTGTTCTCCCTTCCGTTTGGAAACGGCCCTGTACTTGGGCTTTCCGTGTCCGTTTACGCTTTCCGTGACTAATAGGAGAGTCGCAGCTCTTTATGCTTGGTCAAAGGCTTCACTTGCGAATATGGCACCAAGAATGACCAGAACGCCTGTGGCGCACAGGTATTCACACTGGTGCAGGACTCACTTCCCAAGCATCATTTCGTCGGCTACCCGGTCCCCATGAACGACAGCTCTCGATTCTTATTCCATATAGGTAAGTCAATCGGGCCATCCGTGATGCGGGAACGTGCATGGACAGGATGAAGCGAGGATGCCAGCTTACATCTTACTTCTTCAATGCTTAGCGACCCGATGTGGCGGTCCACAGGCCAACGCTCCTCATGACTTCATGTCAGTGCGGACCATCCCCTTGACCGCTCGTCCCGTATTTTGACTGACATTGACTCCACGTCACCATCACACAGCCTCAAGAGAGCCGTCTCGCAACCTGCGCTGCTACATGGAGCCCTGCTATTATCGTCTGTGCTCTGGACCTGGAACACAGGGCCGTTTGCCATGATCGAGAGGCCTTTCATCCACCACAAGCTCAGCACAATCCAGTTCGTGAACCAGCAGCTGCAGAATCACCGCACGAGAACAGACTCGAGGACCGTCCTCGCGATAGTCTGTCTTGTCCTGGCAGAGAGTGGCCTCGGGTCCCGCGAGATCGCAGGCGCGCACCTGCGAGGCCTTGCCAAGCTCATGCAGGTCAGGGACGGGCCGAGGGCCCGAAAAGAAAGGAATGCCCTGCAGAGCGTTATACAGATGTAAGTCTCGCCTGGTTTTTTGTCTTGTTCCTGTCTGTTTCAACCGCGTTCGCCTCTGGCTGTCAGTCTTGTGTGGGGTGGCACTTGTGTCTGACCTAGATTCTCAACAGGATGAGAACCAACACAATTTCGGTAGACGGCCTCCACAGCATGATCGGGTCTGTCGACGTCGGGAACTCGTTGGGTTTGTGCGCGTTCACGCTCATGCTGAAGCAAGCACGGAGGGTCCTGCAGAAACAGGGAAACCCTGCCCTCGGTCGACTCAACATCGGTACTGTCCTGACTGCTGGGCGCGAGGGTGGTGTCCTCCCCAACAACATGGCCCCCCTGGGAGGAGTTCTGGGAGGGCTGGGTTTCCTGGACGACGGCGGGCAGTCACCCACTTCTGCCATACCGGATAAGCCGTCTCCTCTCTCTTCGCTTCCAAGCAACGTAGAAAGCCGAGGGCGATGGATCACGTGCTTCATCGCCATCTTCGCAACCCTGGGCCCCGAGGACACGGATGTGTTCATGCTAAGCTGGTTCGTCGAGGGTCTCTTGAGGAACCTGAGGCAGAAACAGGACGGCCTCTTCAACGGCAGCTACCCGCTGCCGATGTTCCTCGCCGCTGCCGTCTTCGCGTCCGCGGCCGCCAAGACCGTGCAGGTCCCCGCCGACATGCTCGGCACGGGGTGGGCGAGGGAGGCCCAGGCGCAGATAGACCTGTGGAGAGCAGAGGCCGCGCAGAAGCTGCAGATGATCAGCGGGATCCTGGGCATCACTGAGTGGACGAGCTTCAGGAGGTTCCTCCACACGTGGAAGTGGGACGAGAACCCGCGGGAAGAGAGCGTCGTGCGGGAGCTCTGGGAGGAGTACGGTGTCGTTCATGCTCAGCCGGCTGCAGTAGTACAACGAGGCTCTCCACAGCAGCAGCAGCAGCAACACGCGCGCGCGCATGACCCGGGCGCCATGTTATGTGCATCCGGCCTCGCGGCAGATCTCTGCGATACCGTCACTGCTGCTGGTGGTGGTGGTGGAGCAGGAGGTGCTGTCGTCAGCAGTGCTGTTCCATGGCCTATGCAGCAACCCCCCTACGGAAAGATGCTCCAAGACCACCACGAGCCACAACTCCAGGACATAACGAACCAAGCTAACCCCCCGGTCTGGCTCGAGGTATTCCTCGCCGCCATGGAGGCCGCCACCGAGAACGCCACTCCGTTGGCCAAGCAGTCTGCCATGGCGGCGTGATTATGGCCGGGGTGGGTTGCCCTAGATCGCGGCGGATAGGCAGCAGGACCAGCTGTGCTGGCTCCAGGGCCATGGAAAACGAGCCCTTTCGAATGGAGAATTCCTACTTTTGGGGGGTTCTAGCAGACCACTGAGCGTTTCTCATCACGGTGGTAGATGGCATAATTCCCAACAGCGTTTCACAAGACGAGAAGCAAGCTCCGAGGAACATCAAGACAAGTTGGTATTCCTACAGCGCGTATTCTAAACCAAGAAAATACTTTTTTGTGTCTTTGATCCTCCCGACGACGGGATGCGATGAGACCGGTTACACGATCAAAGATGCCCTATTGACTTTCCTCGAGAATTTTCGCCGTACTCCTCGCCTCATAAAATATAAAAGAAACCCTGGATCCTGGATCAAAGTCCACAAACATGCCACCCATGTGTCGCCGAATTCCTCTAGGACAGACTGATGGACAAGTTTCGTCCTTTCCACCATCCTTTCTTCCTTTCATGAATCTTCCAGCGCCTCTCCTCTCTCTCTCTCTCTCTCTCTCTCTCTCTCTCTCTCTCTCTCTGTATGCGTGTGTGTGTGTGTGAGTGTGTGAGGGTGAGTGTGTGTGACAAAGCACACTGTCTCAAACCGGGCCGAACCTTTGTGATTTCCATACCTCTCCTCCTCCCCTAGGTATGTCCCTGTCGAGCATCGCCCTGATTACGTCCTGACTTTATCGCACCCCCTCCCCGCCCGATAATTTCAGATCGACTAGTGGTCACACAGTCTTGCGCGTAAGAATTGCTGGAATGCCTCCACTGCGCCGCCATCTCAACTTTACTGCAGAGCCCTGAATCCGCCCTCCGGGTTATCGAGCAGGATCTGATCAATGAATGCCTGATTTTCAAAACAATTCGTGGTTAGCGAAGAGACCTTGAGAGGATAAAAGGGGATAACCCGACAGAGACAAAAGTCCACAGGGAAATTGTGCAGAAACATAAGGATCGAGGCTGAGCTTTTAAGAAAGGAAATCGGAAGAAACTCACCCAGTCCACCAAGCTCGGGTTACTCAGCACATCGTCCAGCGGCAACAGCCCAGGGTCGCCAAAGTCCACGTGCGATAGGTCCATGATCGCGGGATAACTGCCATGCAGGAAGAAGGCGCTGCCGTTGCCTGGTCCGGTGCCCGTTGCGGTGCCTGATCCCGCGGGCCGCTGGTCGTATGTGCCGCTGCCGCTGGTCGCGGTGGGATACGGTGTGCTGTTGTTCCCGTGGGCCATGATTGCAGGGGACGTGCTGAGCGGTGGTGTTATAAGCGCGGATTGCTGTGTTGTGGTAGTCGTGTCGTTGTTGAGGAGGCTCGCTAGTGAGCCGTCACGCGGTATTGCGTGCGAGGAGGATGAAGGCGATCCTGTCGTGGTAGCCGCTGTGGTGGGGTGTGATAGTGGTGAGGATGTCCTGTTGTCGACAGTTGTGGCGGACGGGCGCGAGAGGTTGACTAGTGGCCCGCTCATCGCGGGCGAACCGTTCGTTGTTGACGATTGTTGTGGTCCTTGTGGTTGTGGTGCGGAAATATCCTGCATGCTGAGCTTACGCAAGATCGCACCGACCACGCGCGTGGCGTGCGCAGCTTCCTTGGAGGCCGCTTTGCGCTCCGACCACATCTTGTATGATGTGCTCAAAGCTGTCATGATTCTTGATCTCTCAGAAGGTCTGCAAGGCTCGGGAGTCAGTCGATCTGTGCCCGCGGGCTTCGAGGGGGCCTCAATAGGAATATAACTCACGTTATTGGCAGCTTCTCTGTCAGGTCGAGACACAAGATCATGCTGGCCATCAAGAAATCGTGACCGCCCAAATTGTTCAGGATATACTTTTCATCACTGAGCCGTCCACCAGGCCGGGACTCGGCCTCATACTCGGCGTGTAGGTCCAGCATCCGCAGCGCCGCCTCGCGACAGGTGGTCCGGGAGACTTCGTACCGCGGGCTGCCCTTTTCTCGGCTCAGATACGGTCGATGCAGCACACACAGGCTGCGCAAGTACATCATCTCCAGTAGTAGCCGGTGCACGATATCGGCGGACTGATCAGTGAAACTGTACGATTTCACGGGGCGGATTTGCAAAGGAGGCGGAATCTGCGCGCGGTAACTGTGGATACTGTCCCCTAGCGCGAGGACCTGATCGTACGTCGGACCACGGATGCACGAGTTGATCCGGATCACCTCGCGGAGCAGGCGGCACAGCTTGAACTTGCAGGAGAGGTAGAGCGTGGCCGTAGGCTCGGTAGCTGGCCTGGGCGGCGGCAGGACGGCTGTGTGCTCGTCGAAATCAGAGTCGTAGAGGTTACTAGGTGCTTCCGTGTCGCACTCATCGCTGTGGATGATGGGCGGCAGACCCAGCTGGAACGAGAAGATGACGTCAAACACCTCGATGAAGAACCAAACGCGCCGGCGCATCTCACCCTCGAAAGCCGTCACGTTGGCAATATATTTCGGGTCGCGATGGTAGCCCATGCGCTGCGCCAGGCGCGCGAGCACACCAAACTTGGCCCACAGGCTCAGGTCGATCTCGTTGGTGCGCGCCTTTTCCGTCATGCCGTGCAGCATCAGCGCCTCGATAGCATACGGCCGGCCAGAGAGGTAGTTGCCCGCCACGAGGCAGTTCTTCCCCAGTACGGCCAGTTTGGCCGGGTGAGCTGGGTCGGATTCACTAACGGCATTGCCATTTCCCACGGAGATGGAAGACGCCGTGCACAGCATTGACGCCAAGCAGCTGATCCACAGCAGGCTTGCCGAGGCCGGGCGCTCCCAGAAGGCGTCGTACTCGCGCTGGAACTTTGTCGTGTGGATGTAGCTCGCCGCGGCCAGCTTGGAGCGGAAGTAGAGCAGTATGAGCTGGTCGGTGCGGTGCTTGGGTGGTAGCTGCGAGACGGCCTGCTCCAGAGTGATGGACGAGCTGCTAAATAGGATGTCTGATGTGCTGGAGACATGGTGCTGCGGAGGCGGCGACGGGCTGCGGAGGGTGTCGTCTGACTCTGCGGCGATGATGCCCCGGATGTCCTGGATCGATTCGAGGATGGACGCCCAGTGCGACGGACCCACAAAGGTGTTCTCGCCAAAGCGGGTGGCATTCTGGCCAGCGCCGTACGGTCCAGGGATGTGCGAGCTCGGCGGCGAGCCATAGTCGGAGGAGCGGCTCTCCGAGTCTGTGGGCTGGTGGTCGAGGCTGCGTGGCGTGTTCATGGCAACCGGCAGACCAGCGCCAGGTCCGCCCGCCGTACCACTGCCAGACCCGGCATGAGGCAGGCCTGTGGCCGGCGCCGGCGGCGGTGGAGGTGCCTGGACGAGCCCGTGGACAAGATCCTCAAGTTTCTGGAGACGCATCTGCAGCAGTGGCCGCGCTGCTGCGTCGGTGCCCACCACATTGCCACCTCCACCACTGCCTCCACGATAATGGCCAGTGCCTACACCACTACCAGCACCACTGCCGGGCGCATGGCCGTGGTCCGGAGCCGAGGCGGAACTGGACAAAGGGCGGCCAGCCGGGTCGTGAGAAGACGGTTTTGGCTTGCGCGGGGCGCGGGGCGCATACTCGCAGAAGGAGGCCTCGCCGCTCTTGACGCAACGCTCGCAGGGCTGCTGGCGGTCGCACTTGACCTTGCGGGTGCGGCAGAGGAGGCACGAGACGGGCGGACGGTTGCGCTTCTGGATCTTGCGCGGCGCGGTATCGGATGGCAGCGCGCGGAAGACACCTGTAGCGAAGCTGCCAGGCCGGCCATCCATCACGGCGGCCGGAGGAGGAGGAGGAGGAGGAGGAGGAAGAGGAGGGGGACGAAGGTGGCGTCCAGAGGTCGAGCGGCTGTAGCTCTCTCTACCTTGGCCCGAGTTCCCCTGCGCGCGAGGTCGTAATCCACAAGGCTTCCCGCGGTCCACGAAAGCAGCAGCAGCACAACCGGCGATGGGCGTGGAGGTGGTGGTGTTGTTGGTGGTGGCCGGCGACACAAGAGGGGCCGGCGTTGTGTCTTGGGGCGTGTAAGTCGGGCCTGGGACGGGCTTGGGGCGAAGCTGGACTTAAGCGGTCCCCGATCGGGGCTTGGGAAGAGCGAGCAAGGAGATTACCGGGAGAAGGCGACCTTGGGAGGGCGTGCCCAGGCAGGCGGGGCGGACAAGGAACCGGGCAATTCAGTCGGGGGCCACCAAAGCGGAGTTAACGCCAGACACGAGCGGGCGTGCTACTTGCGTTAGTCAAGATCCTTGCCCTACGTACTTACCTTACGGTACGGGGCTTGCTTTACTGAGCTTGGGGTAGGTCGAGCGAGGCAGGTGGGTCCTGCTTACTAACCCCGTGATGGCGTTTGGCTGGCCGAGGGGAAGGAACGCGCGGAGTGCTGTGCTGCTCTCCTGTCATGGCTGTCATCCACGACCTCGGCACCGCGGGAAGCGGGCATGTAGGTGTAAAGGAGTGTACTAGGTAAAAGTAAAGATCCCTCTCCTCTCCAATGGGGAAACAAGCAGTTGCAATGACAAGAAGCAGCTCCCGGACAAGGTTCAGCTCTGGCCGACCCGATCCTCCCGCGCCAACCCTGGCCCCGGCCCTGGCCCTGCACTGCGCTGCGCCTTTGGGGGCCTCCGAGCGAGTCACATCTCCTCCTCCTCCTCATCAAGGTCCTCGGCAGCTAACATCGGGAAATGGCAGGCTAGACGAGGCGAACCGACGGGCTCTTCTGGCTGGGCTGGGCTGACCTGGCCTGGCCCTGACTGACTGACTGACCGACCACACCCCAGAGAGTGCGACAAAAGTCCGGACTTAGCGGGACCCGGTCAGCTCCCGAGCCCGCGTCCTTGACGTAAGCATGCATACTCTAATTATAGGCCAACCTTATAAGTGGAAAGATGTCTGTCTCTCTCTCTGCATGCACATGTGTATGCATGTTGCACACCGGGCTTCTTCAGCCCAGCCCTTTTGCAGCGGAGCACCGGATTCCAGGGCGCATACGTATGGGCAGGCCAGGGCCAGGCCGTCAGGTCTTTAGGGCCCAATACATAAAGTATGCACCTCCCGAGACGCACGTCACACACAGCTCGCACAGATGCAGCCCACAACGCCTTGGCTTCTGACTAAGTCCGCGGAACGTCAGATCGGGTGGCGTCACACAAGTAAGCACGTCACATTGCCCTATGCCGGTATCTGAATCAAGGCAGCGTCAGAGTGCATTCCATTGAAAACCATCTGGGGCCCGCGCATCGATCGACCTCTGAGCTCCGGAGGCGGAATATTGGACCTGGCGTCGCGTTTTGGAGGCAGTGAGTTCCAAGCCGACATACTCCCGTGTCTCAACTCGTTGTCTCGCATTTATCCAGGTCGTACTGCCTGCTCACGGCCGAAGCGAACTCGGTAGGTGGTACAAGCTCAAAGGGGGGATGTTGACTGTCAGTCCCGCACCACTCTGATGATGGTGTGGCAAGCAGGCCCTTCCTCAAAGCGTGGTAGGCAATACTACAACATAAGGTTGCAACACGAAGTAGCTGAGTCTGAATGAGGACCCTCGGCACTTGTGTCTGCAGTGTTCATGTTTTGGGTGGTGCGAGGCACTCGCAACCTTGTGCACCAACGAGAACGACAAACTCGTTGAGAAGTACCGGGCATTCGGACTGCATCTCGGTCACAGCTTCGCTCGCTTTTCGAGTACTCGAGGTAACCCGACGATTTTGGACTCTCTTCCAGGCATGTTTGCATGTTATTTTTTCATTTTCTCCCGGCAAAGCTGCAGCTGCCTTGTTTCAGGACCATATTTCGCTCGGGACAAATATCTCAACTTACAAGTGTCTGTCCCCCTGGGAAACTTAAATGGCAGCAGCAACTACTCACGAATTTGCATCTTTCGGCCGCCCCGTGTCAGCCTTTCGAGCCGCGAGATATTGACAGCCGTGCCGCACAAGAATACGCACTGTCACATTTCCTGTTGGCCATTGCATACAGGCCATGGAAATTGATAATGTGAACTTCAACGATAACGATCTCTAGTAACTATGATGCAAGGATGCTATGAGAACTCGGTTTACCCGTACGGTCAAAGGATGCAAGGGTCCGGGAGCATACTATTCCCAAGACGAAGTTGTCCCTGTCGTGCTCTTATCTCCCGACTTTGAGAAGCACCTCCTCTCTTTTACAACGTGCTTGCCTCCATAGCAAGTACTCCATTGTGGCTGGCCTGATATCGTCAGCTCTGATCGTGTGTCATGGTTAAAAGGGGGATTCCTAGCTTGTCATATTCTACAAGGATACCAAATATCGCAACTTTGACCACAGACGCTTTGATGCTGAGCTAGTCTCCTGTCCCGTTCTATTCCGTGATTCGAGAACCACGAGGAAACATCACTGGCATGGCAAAGTTCTCCGCCTCTCGAAACCTAGAGGAGCACCGCGGAAGCACGGGGCCTTGTGCAATCGTGGTTCCTGTGCCTTGCGAGGCCATTTTCGGGCCTGCAATACTTGAGTCTCCCGCTCATCATCACTTCTGTACTGTATCAGAGACGGTGGCGCGTACTAAATAGTAGCGGGATAAGCGATGGGTATACCTCCCAGGCCAGTCGCCCGGTCGATTCACATGACAAGCCCACTCCTTTTCCTCATAATGATTTGCCTCATGATGAAGTCACAAATCACACTCATTGTGGCAGGGACTGGTGAGCTGTACAACCTGACCATCCCGAATCTTCCTTCAGTATCCAGTGACACGACCGGCAACCTCGGCCCGCACTGGCATCTCGTTTGTTGTCCGAACTGCGAGATAAGCCACCAGGAGCATCAAGTGCCGGAACTCACTCCGGAAAGAAGCATGGTAGACGATTCATACGTTGGCGCAACGATACACCTAGGCAACAGATTTGAGACGGTCCTTTGTCCGAGACAACCCCATCACAGATGACGCCCATACCGCGATATATCGCGCCCTACGGTCTTTGGGTGGAAATATAAGAAGCGAGCCATATCCCTAATCCATCGTGAGCCTCTTCCCTAGCTTAGACAGCCTCCTTTTCCCACCCCTATGAAATGGAGTCGAGCACTCCGGTTGCTTGCTCGAAGCGTGGCACATCCCTACTTCTACTTCGGCTTCACGACCAAAGCGCGCACGGGTTCAGACTTGGATTTCTCGAGCAGGCGATTCTTTACCATCACTACCGTACTTGAAGAATGAACTAGATGTGGCAAACTCGCCTTTGTCCAACTCGCCTCCGGCTCCAGAATGGGAATGATACCATGGGCCATTTTTCAGTAGGCCTATCGCTGCCCCGATAAATTTTTTCCGGTTCTTCAAACCGAAAGGGTATATTGAGCAAGCCGGTCTTTTTTTTCTTCCTTTTTTCTCCCTCCTCTCTCTCTTTCCCCAACTGCAAAACTACAATCTGCAATCAGAGATCTGGAGTCTGGAGCCTGGGAGGGCAGTGGTTCTGCAGATAGAGGTCACTGCCCGGCAGTGAGGTCAGATCCGTCATCTCTCTCCTCTATGGATGACTGATTGGCATTTCCCACCACAAATTTCAAAGTCCTATGCTTTGTCGTTCTTTGACATGTGTAGGAAATACAGTCGCGAAGATTCTCCAGAGCCGCCAAATCCACGTCCTCGTCATTATTTGAATCTTCTGGCTCAAACGGACGAATGCTGCCGCGTAGATGGCTAATGGATCACAATTCAAATCGCCACGGCATAAAGTGCACGGAAGGCCTACTATCACAAGACATTTCTGGCGCCAGAACTTGCAGCCGAGGATAATACGATTATACGACCCTCGTTTCTAAAGCCAGCGGATCTGACAAGCAGTCCGGAATGCAGGGCGGTCTGCCTGTGGGAGACGAGTGGGAGTCATGGAATTGTCACTTGCCCACCTTCCTACCGGGGCTGAAGTCCAGGACCTCGCTCACAGCTTGACACCTCAAAATAGCCACAGTCTGCTACGTGCATAGAATTGACGCACTTAACCTCGCAGGGTGGCCTCCTTTCCCACATGCTGATTGTCCGTGGTCAGCATGGCGCGAGCCAGATGCTGGCCAACTTGGGGCGGTGGCAGTCTCCTTTTCTCCGCACTGCCGGCCCCCAAACGCCAACGGTGTGACGTTTGATTAAGCGTTTCTGCATGGATACCCACCTGGCCTACTCCTGCATATCATACCCTGCCGGGCTTCTCCCACGGGGCAGGCGCTTCCACTGAAGAAAACCGTCTAGTCGTTTGTACTGGTACATCAGAGACGGCGGCGGCAGGCAGGCTGTCGCTCTACACGGCCATGTCCCCGGTACTTTACCGCCCAAGCTGGCTGGGCAAGGGACCGTGGGCGCTACGGCTGCCTTGATGTCATCTGGCATGGCGTGAACGTTGGCTCAGGTCCCCTTTCCGAGCCGCCGGGACACACGTGTGCCAGGGCCAATGGGGGCTATGTGACGACGAGGGAACCACGTGCAGCAAGCATGGACGGCGGCAACGGTGCCTAGGCGACAGGGCATCTGGCATCTGTCGTGCATGAGGTCGCCCTCAGATGCAGGTACGGATCTAAGAATGGCTCAAGACGAGCCGGCGGCAAGGATCTGACTGGCAACGATGCTTGCTGCTGCTCCGGACGAAACGCCCATGACGAGAACATCCGTACAAGGGCACCGCATGAACCTGATCTCTCGGCGCATAACGACCTGACTGGCTCGTTGACGTCGCCTCGGACAAGGGTCTCGACATTTGTCGAGAGGGCGTCACGCCGGGGTCAGGATATAGACCCAGGCAGATGGCACGGGACGAGACCGGACGAGCCTCAGAACGTTCTGCTTCAGCAGATGTCCGCAGACGTGATTGGGTGGCCAGGCTTGCCGCGGAGTTGCCGCCGTGAAATCTGTATCTGTCTTGCAGGTGCGTCAGCGGACCGATGATTGCTGGCAATTCTATAATAAGAGGCCGGCGCGTATGCAGAGCAGCTGGGAAGGAAGTTTTCTAGAATCTGTACAGCGATATTGCCACGAGTTCTTGACGTCGTCGAGTGCCAATCGTAGCGTTTGTCGTGCTGAGGGCGGTTGCAAGCTGTGCTGATTGGCTCCCCACGTTAAGTGGGCGTGGACCCTGGGCCAGCCTGGCGTCTACGGCGGCGGTTAGCAAAAATGACTGGACACGGCGAGAGGAGAGGATGGGAGAGGGAGGGCCAGCACCCACTTGCTGTCTGTGATTTATGAAACAAAAGCCATATCAACGGCGACCATCGTCAAAGGGCATATTTCGAAGGATATGCAGCCGTGAAGACCATGAGCCGCATTGTCCTGATGGCTTCATCACTTACCGGCACCCAAGTAATGAGCAGGGTTGTTAGTAAGCTGCACACATGCACCGTGATTTCTTTCCAATCATGCCCTGGCATTCAGTTAGATGCGTGGCTCTCGGCGATGGCGATGTGCCGGTCCACGTTCGTCTCGCGGTACTGTTGGGATATGCGTGGTCTGGGGGCAGCGGATGGTGATGTCATGAATGTGATGCAGGTTCGGTCTGCCTTGTCACCATCTGTTGAGTGGGTGCTCATGCCTCTTCGAGGTCGTGTCTCGAGCTGAGTATGGCGCACAACAACACCAAAATGTCGCGCGTGCTGATGCAGTAATGAGGGGCAACGGGGCTTCCGCGCACAAACAGAGCACATGCCGTCTTGGAGTGGTGCTGGCCTGGAGTGAAGCTCTCCCCCAACACGTTGGCTGCAGCCAGCTCGCTTCCCTGAGCAGCAAGGGTCCTGGCGCCACCTCGGTGCGCGGCGCTCGATTGGTATCCTAGTGGCGAGGCACCAGTCCGTTGCTGCACGGCCGAGCAAACCATCGAGCCAAGCACGGCGCCCCAAAGGTCGGCTGGGCGGCTCACATCCGGCGCGATGGGCCTGGCGTCTGCAACTGTGGGTGCGGCGGCAGTCGGAGGACGCGGGCTGTGGTTGCTTGACCGTAGGGCGAGCGACTGGTGCTGGAGCGGTAGAGATCCAAGCTAATTAGGTGGAACGCAGCCGACGGCAGTGGCCTGCGAGGCTCTAAATTATGAGCTCATCTCACCCAAGCAGTTCTCGCCGTCGCGCCGTCGTCCATGCCGGCAGCGCCGCGGTGCTGGCTGTTTGGAAGTCGCAGCTGGCGATTGCCACCACGATCGCAGCGCCGAACAAACATGTTGGTCAAGCCGACCCAGACGCAAGGCGCAGCCCACGTGCAGTGGCCACCACACCAACAGGCGAGCAGAGAACACGCGGGCAACCTGCGTGGCTTCGGCACACAAACAGTCGGCGGCGCTGTGCTAGCCCACGGAGTGCTGGAGCGTAAGCGTGGCGAGACGTGCTGACTTGGGGCATCATGGCCAGCGAAAACGACAGGGTCCTGAGCATAGCAGCACCAACATCATGCGAGATCCAAGATGCGGTCGGCCGTCTGCCAGTTGGGGGGATGGACTATAGATAGATAGATGCATGCTGATGCGTCGTGTGAAGCCTGCAGTTGCTTCAAAGAGGGGGGAGCGCTCCTAGAATAGCTCAATCAACCGTGGGGAAGGCGGCACCAGATGCACGACACGACAAGACGGGCGGGCTGCCTTGGTGTTGTCACGAGGGGCCTCGGGGTGCGATGCGACCGTGATGATTCGGCACTAGCCTGGCCGCTGTGATAGCCTATTGCATCGTGATCTGCCGTCTTTGCCTGGCTGGTGCCCGGCAGCAGCACGGCCTGCAGCAGCCTGCGCAACCAGTCGACACAAGCGACTTTCGGGGAACCCGTACCGTGCCACGAGGCACCCCGGTCTGGTGGTGCTCGGAATAGCCCTCGAGCGAGCCGAGTCAGTCAGGCACACAATGCACCAATGGCCGACTGACCTGGGCGCGGCCTGGGAGAGACGCAGCACCGGCGGGCGCTGCATCATCATGAGCCCGCTTGCTCTGCATGCTTGCTCTGTATGTAGAGCCGATGCAGGCACTTGTCGTCGTGCTTGACACCATCACCAAGCAGCGCCAGACTGCTACCATGGTATTAACTAGCAGCTGGGCCGGGTCGATTCATCCGAGCTGGGCCAGCGGTCGCGGGCGCCAGAGTTTGGCGGCGCCCGGTCCGGTGCTTGCCAGACTGCCGAGTGGGGCTCGTCGGGTGTCACAGACAGCCCTCACTGGCTGCGCCCGGGCCAATCACGAGTCGTCCGGCCAGACGCCGCTCATCCGCGGCGCCCAAACGAGCCTGGGGCCCCACATCCCTTTGGCGTTGGCCAGGAACAAGGCGCTTAGCGGCGAGTCTTTCCACCTGTGGAGGCAGTTTATTGTTTTCTCAAAGCGAAACACCAGAGCACCAGCCAGCCCAGTGCAGTGCAGGGCTGCTGCCTCATGCGGCCCAGCATCACCAAGACCGACAGCCTCCATCTTGGCCACCAGTAGCGCGGCCCCGACCGTCTGGCACACTAGCCCTCGCTCCCCGCCGCCTCAGTTGATATGCCGCGAGCACGCGGGCTCATGGCCTGATCGCCCGTCCAGGGCCACTCCCTCCATGGTCGCGTCTCCGGCGTCAGTCCATCCACACTCTGGTGCCACCGAGGCAGCCCACATTCCGTGACTCCAGCCCATGCGCCAGCGGCACGCTGCCACCCTCCCGACCGTCCCCATCATCTTACCACGCCCTCGGTCCTGCGCTAATTTCATGGACCCGCTGATCATGATGCCACAAGCCCCGTGCAGCCAAGGTCTCGGAGGTTCTTCCGGCGGACACCAAAAAGAAGAGGAAAATATTCACAATACGGGCCATGAAAACTATCGAGCAGACGATATCGGGGCGGCTCAATTCTGCGGCTCATGGTGCCCGTCGGCGCGTCTTGTCTAGAACGCCGACCCTTCTAATTGATTATCACCACCGGCCCCTCTTTTGCGACAGCCCCCAGTGCACAACATCTGCAAGCTGCAATTGGTTCGACGCTCACGACAACAGAATCGAACCTGCATGTAATATTGCTTGGTTTGACCTCCAGTCTCCAAGATATCATGCAGGATTGTGCTTTGGGTCGAGCGCACCGAGCTCCGAGTGCATTGGAGGCCTGCTGCGCGGCAGCAACGACAAGCACGTCACCGGGAGGGTCGTTTCAAGCCAACAGGCTTTGACGCCAACCTTCGCCAGGCCATATTACATCACTGGTGTTGGCGTTTCTATTTACGACTCGGAACTTTGGGAACTGGCTCCAATGCTGTGGTTAGACCTATCGGAGCAAGTGTCCTTCTAGGCATTGCAGAGCCAGCAACGACCAGTCATGCATGGTTCCAGCTTCTCCAACCCGAAGCTGGCAGGGTTGTCAGAATTTCCTGTGGCAGCAGTGGTGCACCCCTGTCTACACACTCTTATTCGCTGCACCAGCACAAGGCCCCTGGCACGCCCGCCTGCCTCATATGGTCAGGAGCCAGAGCACGTACAACGCACATAGGATCAGGCCTGGCAGAGCTCGATTTTTGGTGCATGTGACCCAGTTGCCCCCAGCCTTTCATGGCTGCGGGCCCTACGAGTCGCATGATGTGCGGTTCAACTTACACAACCCCAAAGGTGCAGTAGCGTCGCTCCGTTATCCCAGGGTTTTCGCCGTCAAAGCCACGCCGGTTCCATGGCCCACTCGAACACAATGGCAGCTTTCCACAATCACGACGAGACAGGACATGCTGTTCGTCCCAGGCGGCAGCGGGCCCGGACTCGTATCGCGCGCCTATCTGGCATGGGCGCATTCGACCATACCCGCCTGGATGTTTCACGAATCAGAGCCATGAGCGAATCATAATCCCGGAGAAGTCAATCCTTCTGGACCACAATCTAGGGTGCAAACCGAAGCGCCATGTAAGTATGCAAGCTGACGTCCTCCAGGTCTTACCATCAGTCGCCTATATGCGTTATGTGAGACTCATCACGCTTGTCAAGAGGGCGTCAACGACACGCACACTTACATACACATACGCGCACCCCAGAGGAGCATATACGTGACGAAACATTATGCATCGGCTCCAAGCTCGCAGCCAGGAAACGCCCATTTTTTGTTGAGTTTCGGACCGCGTGATTCGAGTGCCAAGCCCTTTACCGGGACGAAAAATAAGCCGCTTACACCGGGACTCCAGCCAGGTCTAGACAATGTAGATCGTCATAGCCATGACTGATCGAGTTGGCGTGCCTTTTCAGGTGACACCCACCATGGCGAAAACTCCGGCTCGCCTGGCGGGCGCTTGTCGCATTTAGTGAGATGAGCTCATGGGGCAGGGTTTTTTTTTCCTTTGGGAGGGGGGACCGGACTAGCGAGCCAACACTGACAGCTCCATGCTTGCGGCATCGGCACCTGTGTGTTCCACATCCTCGCAAGCGCGGGCCAAAGCTCCTTGGGAACAAGGCACCCTCGAACCACATGGTGGCAGTCGCGGCCTTGAATGGGGCCTCGAGGCATTGCAGGCGTCCCACACTCGACGCACAGTCACGCAGGCTTGCATGCATGATTCAACGTCTTGTTGCGGAGATGCTGCCGAGACGGGGGAAGCAGTGGGTGACCGCCAGTTACTCTGGCACGTCAAGCATGGGCTTCGCAAAGTGACTACCACACAGGTGGTTCTCGCGCGGTAACAGTAAGACCCCTGCTCGTCGTTTTGGGCCGAGCGGGCCTGGGATGGCTGGGAAGAAACACAGAAAGGATAATGGTACGTATACATGGCGCGACATGAGGGTGGGTCTCGGGCAAGGTACCGGAGGGTACACAAGCGCGCTCACGAGGCGGATGCCGCGGAGGAGGGCAGCGGCCGGCCTAGCCGCGACAGCGTGGGTGCGACATGTGGCCCCTGCAATGCCCAGGGCCGTTACCGAGGCCGGCGCTGGAGCACAATGCCCATGTGGGGCATGCCAACGCTGTCTCCAGCCGTTTCCCAGGGTCCTGAGCAAGTCGTCGATACTTCGCCGGGCGGCAGCTCACAAGTACCAGTACCAGCACCGTACTGCTGAGACCCTCGCCTGCCGCCGCTGGCCACTTGATGCCCCCTGCCCCTGCCCATCCAGTTGGCACGGGTGCCACCCTCGCAATCCCCTGGCTCGGTCGTGCTTGAGCGCGCAGGGGTGGCCTGGGCGGGAAGGATCCATGGAAAGATACCCTCGCGTCTCGTCTGCTGGATGCCCTCTTCCGCCTGCCTGTCCTGCGCCGTGCCTCGCTAGCGCGGGGCCATGCCGGCGTCTTGGGTGCGGGTGCGTGCCATCCTGCTCCTGCTCTTGCTGCCGCTGCCGCCCTTGCTGCGACTTTTGCGTGCATGTGCTCACTCGCCCGCTTCGCTGCTCGCTCGGCCAGCCAGCCAGCCAGCCAGCCAACCAGCCTGCCTGCCATGCTAATATGGCCCTACCCATGTGCGTGGCCGGGACGGCATTGCCCATTATTCACCGTCTCGTCGCGAATCGTCTTAGCCCCTCACCTTCCGGCTGTCGTCTTCTTGCCATTGCCCTCCCCGTCGCCTCTCTCACATCCTCTCAATAACCAGCCAGCCCTGCTCGTCGTCCAAGTCGCCTCGCCACCATCCGCCGCCAAAGACTCGTCTCTCTTTCCCTCGTCCAGTTCTATCCGTCTGGCTTGACGAGGCACGTCTTTCCACAGTGAGCAACTGGCTGCGCTAGTTCGTCAAAGCACCGAGCTCTCCCTCCGCACACACACTGTGGGAACGGGTCAACTGGAAGAATCCCGCAAGTCACGTCGTGTATCGCGGACAGTAGAGGCTGCAGAAACCTTGCCGAAGGACAGCAGAGAGCCTGCGTGCGATCTACATCTCGTCAGGCCCAGCAGGAGCGAAACCAAACCAGGACCACTGCAGCGCAGACGTCTGCGTTGTGGAATCTACTGCCAGCGAGTAGCAGGAAGCATTGGGGATTGGAAGCTCTGGGAGGCTTTGGGAGAATTGATTACTGTTCGGAGAGGCGGTAGTGTCGAATCGGTTTCCCAGTGCTCTGGGACTTCGCGGGACACGGACGGATCCACCCGCTACCGCAAGCCGCGCGCTCGCCAGATTAGAGGGACTGGCCCATTGTTCGCTTTCAATTACCGGCCCAAGTCGTCACGCCAGACAATCTAGCCCGGCTTGTGGCGCAAATATCCTACGATCGCCCGCCCATGGGTCACAGCTCAAGCTGGACAAGGAACTTCATTACCCAACTCTCACCAGTGCTCAGGCGACTCCATCAGCTTTGAGGCCGGCAATAGCCAGGACGTTGAGCTCTACCGTGCAGTCAACGGTCTCCAATTCATGATCAGCCGCCACCACATCTCTGTACTGAACAAAGTCGCCTAACCACCAAGCCACTCTCGCCTCGGCCGGTGTTCTGGCCAAGGCTACGTCACAGAAATATCTCAGTCGCTGGTCCTTTCGTCTACAAATCTGAACCCGCTCAAGTCACCGGATTACACTCGTGGTGCCCAGCATCGGCCTTTACCGTCGCTCTAGGGTGACAGCAAATACCGGTCCTTTGACAAACGCGCCCAAACGACGGTCTGTCTTGGTCGGTTTTTGACCCTTCTAGACTTATCAGCGCAGCTGTGGGAGCTTAATGCAGCACGCTACACCCGCCCAGCACTTTGCACATTCTGTCTTACCTTTTCACGCCTCTGAGGGAGCAACAGCGCATGCACCTGTCAAGAGAAACACGTGGTGGGGATAGCACCAAATCGATCATGACAGCTTTCACAGCGCTCAACGGCGGCGACTCCAGAAGTTCTGCCACGCACAAGGGCTCCCCGCCGCATCATCCGGAAAATGACGAACAGCGATCTGGTGCTCGGATGGACAGCTCCTATCTGAGACACAACCAGGGCTCCCCTGATGGCAGGCATAACCAGTACATTCATAACCGAGATTCTGGGTTTGACTCTCCAGTGAAGCGGAAGCGCTCCACTTCTCCCGAGCCCGCCAGGCATGCAGACAACTACCGCAGGTCTGACGGACGGGCAGAAGCACGAACTGTTCACTTTGCGTCTGCTGAGAGGCAGGAAGAGGCAAGAGAAGATGATCGAGGAAGATATCAAAAGTCTTGGAGCTCTAGAGAAGCCGAGGATCAGCGGATACAAAACGAAAGAGACGTGGAGCCGACATCCGCTGGAGCAGCCAGGCACGACGACCGAGACAGGGATCCGACGCAGGAGGGAGACACAATCCACGTAGAGGATCCAGATGACCCGGTCTCGAGTCCAGAAGATGATGACAGTATGATGCCATTCGGCGACAAGAACGAGCAACAGAGAAACGACGCAACAGGCCAATCAAACCCCAGCAAGAGAAAACGGAACTTTAGCCACAGAACAAAAACAGGCTGCTTCACGTGTAGGCGCAGGAAGAAGAAGTGTGACGAGCAGAAGCCGGAATGTATGAACTCACACAAAGCTCTCGATTTTCGTGTTTCTATTCTCGCTAACATGACGCAGGCAACAACTGCTTCCGCGGAGGCTTTATCTGTACGGGTTATCACCCGAATGGAAACCGGGATTTCAAGGCGGAGGTCAAGACTGCGACAGTTCCGCTGGAGTCGAAGGATCCTTCCTATGTGCCACCAGGAGCTTATGGCATGCCACAACAGCAGCAGCCGACTTACACGCCGCACCAACCCGCCAAGCGCAACTCTTTGCCTGGATATCGCGGCCCAACAATTCAGACTGACTTCCCCTCTAACCGCCCAGCTCCCGTCCTTGACGAGCGCCCACCTGCGACCATCCCTACCACGTCCGTAACCAGCCCTAACGGGAAGATGTCGACACTGTCGGCGTTCGCACAGGCAGCTAACGCATATGCCACCCCCACCAGCGCGATCAGCACCTCGAGCACCCTCAAGACCCCATCGAGTGCCGTGGCGCCAAGTCCAAGCAGCGAGTTTCCGAGGGTCACAGGGCTACAGGATGTGGCCCGGTCAGGCCCCAAGACGCCGCATCCTGACACGCCACGTCCCGATGCTCCTTTTTCAAGCACGTTACCGCGGCTAAACGCTCTCAGCCCCAATGGCCATCTCGCCGCGACATCAAATGCCTATGTTCCTTCGCCGTTAGCCATGACGCACACGATGCAGGCCAGGCCGCGGACTCAAAAGGAGGAGATGCTTGCCGGGCTGAGATACTCTCCCATGGATGAGGAGTTGCGACTTGAGCGTCAGCGGTGTGGCACTGCATGTTGGCGGTTCAACAACTCGATCAATCCACTTGCGGGCGTGTCGAATCTTGAACGCATGCGCCTGTTTGGAGACATCTTGGACCCCAAGGAGAATATCAATCTTGCTGTACATCAAGTATCGCCAGTAACCAGCCGCGGCCGCATGGGTGTTGATGTTGTCGTCGAAGGGCCCTTTACGTGCGACTATGGCTACAATATCAGGCTGGGCAACAACGTCTTCATTGGCCGCAACTGCACGATCCTTGACCCGTGCGAGGTCAGCATTGGCAACAATTGCTACCTTGGGCCCAATGTCAGCATCTACGGAGCCACTTTGTCTACCGATCCTTCGCAACGACATGGCAGCAGGAGTACCCAGACCGGAAAGAGAATCTTCATAGATGATGATGTCTGGATTGGTGGCGGGGTGACCATTCTGCCTGGTCGGAGAATCGGCCGGGGCGCCACGGTCGGCGCGGGCTCGGTGGTAACCAAGGTACGTTCTTCTCGTGCTTAGATGACAAGAAGGGAGCCATTCCTGACGATGCTTTGCAGGACATACCCCCGTTCACGGTAGCAGCCGGGAATCCGGCCCGAATTATCAGAAATGCCAGCACTTGAGATGGTGGCAGAATATCTTGTTTGGGAGGGACATCTTCCCATCAAGGTTGCCACGGGTCACCTGCAGTCTTTGGCATCGGTGCTGTAGGGCAATCTCGAGACGAGATCCGGCCTCTGCACTGGAGACCTGCTTCCAAGTTGGTTGCACACTACGGAGATGAGGGCACTCTGGCAGTGTCCCGTGCGATATTGCTAGAATTATTCCTGACGAAAGCGATGATTTCATGTAAAGAGAGGAAAAGGAGGTTTTGTGTCCGGGTTTTTTTCTTTTCCGGGTAGCTAGCGATGCTTGTTCTCTGTCAAAACAAATGGGGAGGGGCAAATATTCGGCATTTGACGGTGGAGTGTGGGTGGGTGGGAGGCCGGGAAAGATGACTTCCACGAGCGGGCTGCTGGCGATCACGTCGTGATATTGCCTCTATTATAATACAACTCTCGAATCATGTACATGCAGTTCTAAAAACCCATACAAGCGCGCTGGGCGGGGAAAGCTTCTCGTCGATCCTTGCCTAGCACCGCCATTTCTTCTGGACTTCTGTGTCTTATTTTTCCCTCGTGCGCGCGCGAAACCTGGAAAATGTGCGAGAACAACTCTGAGTGTCTGACTGTCCGACCAGGTTTCAACAGTCCAGCACAGCCACTTTGAACTTTCATGTACCCCTGACCAGAGTTCCTCCTTCTCCTTTTCTATCTGCCCCCCGTACAAGCGAGTGGTTTCCTTCTTCTTCTTCTTCTTCTTCTTCTTCTTCTTCTTCTTCTTCTTCTTCTTCTGGAAATGGTCTCAGGGCTTCCACCTCCGCGCTAGGGAGGTTGGAAATGGGCGGCGCAGAGAGAGGAGGAGAGAAGAGAGAAGAGAGAAGAGGAAAGAACAAGTGAGACCTCCCCCCCTTATGAGCGCTTGACTGTAGTGGCCTTGGCCTTGGACGTGCCGCGGAGCATCTTACGACGCTGGGCAAACATATGTGTACCGAGGATGTACGAGGCTGGATGGGAGCGGATGGTGTGTGTCAGTTCAAGCCCGGGGGCCTTGTCACTAGGTAGAGAAGGGAAGAACAACGAGGGTCTTTTTTTTTTGTGTGTGTGTGTGTGTGTGTGTGGACTTATACCTAAGTAGGTAGGTATACTTATGAAGATAAGATAGACATGAGAACGTACCGGGAATGTAGATGAGCAGGCCGAACCAGAGGAGGTACTGGTAGTATGCCTGGCGGTGCCTCGAGGGCGCGATGACGTGGTAGATGAGCCAGCACTCGGAGAGGATGCCGGCCGGGTAGAGCGGGATGAACATTGTGTATCTTGTGTTTGCGTTTGTGGGGTTAGCAGTCTCATCAAATAATGGCTCAGTTTTGTGTGTGTGTGCCTGTGTGTGTGTGTGTGTGTGGAAATGGGGAAGGGGGAAGGGGGAAGACTGGAAGCGTTGGGTGAAATGTCGTCTCTGCCGACAACACCATCATCTATGGCGCAAGTATTCCGCCGCCCTCCTCGTGTCAGGAGAAGAAGAAGAGGAAGGAGTTGACAAGGAGAACCATGCACATTGGCCGCACGGGAGCCATGTGCAAGACGACCACGGATTCCCCTCACACACACGCACACACGCAGAAAGAAGTCCCATTATCGCGAGGAGAAGAAGAAGAAAATAAAAGAAGAGAAAGAAGTAAACCACTCACCTAATCCAGACCAACCACGGCGGCACGGCATGCCCTGCGGCCTCGCCACCCTGGACCTTGCCGAGCAGGGCGACGACAAAGTAGCTGTAGCGGACGACCTCTGCGGCGCTCCACGCGAGGAGGAGGGCCGCGTAGCCGCAGCCGACGCCCCGCGCCATGACGTCCGGGTAGTTCCTGGCGACGGCCCAGAGCACCGTGTTGCGCCCGGCGACCTGCAGGGCCGTGGTGAGCGGGCTGGCGCGGACGAGGCCGAGCGCCGCGTGCAGGACCTCGAGGGCCGCGAGGGACTCGGTCGTCAGCGCGAAGCCGTGCAGCAGCTCCCATGTCGCCGCGTTGCCGGCGGTGAGGTCCGGCCAGTGCTCGACCAGCAGCAGCTGGGACGTGGTGTAGAGGATGTACGCCCACAGCAGCAGCGAGAGCGAGTTGTACAGGATCAGGTACGAGTCTGCCGCTGACGCTGCTGGTGCTGGTGCTGCTGGCTGTTTGGCTGCGACCGCGGCATCGGGCTTGGGCACCGGCTGCTGCTGCTTCGCCCGGGCCGCCATTGTTTGTTGTTTCCCTGCCACTGCGCTGGACAGTAGAAGAAAAGAGTTGATGAGCGGCGTGTATGACGAAAAGGTTCCAGGCAGTGGTGGTGCTGACAGGAGAGAGCAGAGTGAGTGTGCGCAGGTACTCCCGGGGGAACAAGGTTCGGATGCAAGGTCTTTCCGCTGGATTGTGAATTCGCCCTGGAAATGGGATGAGAATTGTCAAGCGTAATACGCTGGACTGTGCATCGCATTCCATGAGAACAGCAGTCCGAGTAAAAGTCCGTGATTGCGATGCGGCCCACACACAACACTCGACGTCCCCGTCCTTGCCGACAAGGCGCGCCCCTCCCCTCCCAATGAGCGGACTTTGACAGCGGAGATATTGCCGTTTATAGCAGCAGCAGCAGCCGCAGCAGCAACACCATGATTTACTCGAGCATCCGAGCTTGGGTATCCGCATGTCTTTGCTTTTCGTATCTCGTAACTAAGTATGTATGTATATATGTACAGCCCGCTCGCTGGACGCCACATGTATGTAAATACCGCCCGGCCCAAGGGCATGCATGCATGCATGCTAAATACATAGTCTCTGCCTGCTCTCAAGCAAGACCTCTCATCCTCTTCCCTTACTCGTTACAATATCGTTACAGGCCAAGCTTTTTCTAAAAAACCCCCTTTGCCGACTTTGCCACACGCACAAAGCTCGTCAGAAGCGTTCCGTACGCTTTGCTGCTTGCCGCTGACGCCACAAGGCATTGGCATGCTTGTAGTCCATCTTCCCGCTCGGCCGGCGCGCCGCCCCGAGCGCCTTCCACCGCTTCTTCATCCGCTCAAAAGTCATTGTGGCGAGTTCTAGGTCGGTGCTTCCCCGAGTATGCGAAGCACGACCGGTGCTCTCGGCCAGCTCGTACCGCCCGAGGACGCGCGCAATGAGGTTCTGGATGCGCCGTTTCCGCTCGGGCTCCGAGAGCCGCCCGTCGGACGGCTCTTTCCTGTCAAAGCTCTGCACTGCCGCAGTGGCCGCAAGCTCCGTCCTCCGCGCGTCCAGCAGCTCGACGATGCGGCCTCGGTCCTGCGGTCTCAGGAACCGGAACGACTCGAATGTTCTCTCGCTAGATCCGTCGTGTCCAGCTGCCTCGAGGCAGCTTACAATGTCGACGATAGTCGCGAGACTGCCCTGCTTTGCATAGGCGGCGAGCAAGATGTTCCACGTGGCGGAGCTCGGCTGGACGCCGCCAATGCGGGTCATCAGGTCGAGGATCCTCATGGCGTCTGTGGCTTCCCGATGGTTCTTGAAGCCGTTCATGAGAATGGTCCAGGTGTGGACAGAGGGTGGCTGGTATTTCCACCTGCGCTTCTCATCTTTCAGTGCAAAGCTACCACGCCGAACCATCTTCAAGACGATGTCGAGAGCGTAGGGTATGCTCGCGCGGAATTGCATCAATGCCTGCACAAACACGTCGTGTACGCGAGTGCCGTGGTCTTGGAGCAGACGCACAAAGAGTGACGGGGGGTGCTCCTGTTCCTGCAGCCGCTGGAACAGTCGGTAGTAGCGCCGCAGCGCAATCGGATTGCGGATCGAGCGCATGTGGGCAGTAAACATGAGCATCAGAGTGTTGGTGTCGGGCTGCATAAGCTCAGAATCTCGCAGGGGCTTGATCGACGCCGCCATGTCTGTGAGCTCGGTGTCGTGGCCCCGTAGCGCTCCGCGCGAGACCACGATGTTTTCGAGCGGAAACATGGTGAGTTGCTGCAATGGCGCCAGGTCGAAGAATTTCGAGTAGAGCTGAACCATGGGGCGCCACGCACTGTTGGACTTTCGCTGCCGGCCCCCTAGAATCTGGTCTTCGTTGGCGTAAAAAAGAGTGCCTAAGAAGTTGTTTATAAGTCCCGGCGACCAGGTATTGCTGGCCATGGCCACGCGCAAGACGTTGCGCGCCGACGGGATGTTGCGATCAAGCTTGGACCTGTGCATCAATATCGCCAGCGCTGTTGCGTCAGGCTGCACGCCTCGCTGGCACATCATGTCAAACACCTTCCAGCCTGTGTCGAGATGTCCCCGCGCACAGAAATTATGCATAAGGGCCGACCAGCCGATGAGGTTCGGGTTGAGCCCCATGTCTAGCAGAGATTTGAAGAGGTGATCTGGCTCAGCCTGGCCCTCTGGAAGCGGGCCGTCCTTCTGTATGGTGAGCAATGTCGTGCATACGCTTGCTGGCTCTGGCGCGTTGATATCGAAACCTGGCAGAGTCTTGAGATGTCGAAATACCTCAAGAACGCGCGCTTTCTGTGTGGGCGATTTTGCGAGTCGACTTGCCACGTGCAGCAGCGTATGCTGCGTGTAGTGCTGGCCGAGCTCCTTCGACTTCTCATAATACTCCCATACCCGATTTGGGTTTCTTTCGTGGGACTGGCGCTGCATGACCTGGAGCAGCGAATTCTGGCTCAACTGTATGTATCGGTAAGGCGCGTGGCGGAGCAGAAACTCGGCGGCTTTGGTGGCGTCGTTTCTGGAATCGGCCATGGCTGGCGTGTCCCATACTCTGCTGTACTGGTCTAGGAAATGGACAATATCTTCGAGAATATAGTTCGGACAGGAGTCAGGGGTGAAGGTCGCGCGAACGAGAGCCAAGAGAGGCGCAGGACGCATGGACATGGCACAACCAACCATTCGAGGCCAGAGCAGTTTTCGCTTGGTATGGTCGAGCCGATGCCAGAAAGCTTCAAATAATGTGTAGTTCTCTGCCAGCAAGTCTACCATCTCCTTGATATTCGGATCGTGAAAGTCAACGGACGGGTTCGCATCGCCAATCTGCGACATGTAATGTGCAAAGTCCAACTTCCATATGTGGAACTGGTCGATCTTGGCCGCCGCGCCTTCCGTTGATTCTCCCCATAACAGCCTGCCAAGCTGCGATAGCGTCTGGCGCAGTTCGGCGTCCGATAGCTTGTACCATCTCTGGATGTCGTCGCTGATTCTGTCGAAGCGACCATTGGCAGTGAACAGCTTGGCTTTCAGGTCCCGCAGGTTCTGTGCTGGACCCTGTAGTCCCACCGAGTGAGCGCGAACTGCAGGTACGAACTTTTTCAATTCGCCCTTCCATGAGTTTGAGGCGGTCGGCTTTGTGAGATCTCCGTAGTGGCTCGCTGTTCTCCCCAGATCCGGCTCTTGGCCTCGCCGGTTCTCAGCCGAATCCGTGGTCCCTGAGCCATTTTGTGTCCGTCCGCTGTATGATGCTGGCTGAGGATATTCGAGGTCTTCGGAGAAGATATTGGTCGTCGTGGGTGCGGCTGTCGCCAATTGTGTATGCAAGCGTGCTCTCACTTGGGACTGGGCTTGTGGGCCAGGTCGAAATCCATGATGGCGGGGAAGACGGCCGAGGCACTGCCGGCAGAAGAGGGAGGCTGGCATCGTCGGATCGCCTGGTCGGGTGCCTCCGTACGGCTATGCGCAGAGCAGTGCTCGAGACTACGATGCGTCTTGATATTGCGGCATGGCGAAGGACTCGTGCCCGCAGCCAGCCTGCTTCGAAGAAGGGCAGGATGGTGAGATTCGGCAGGGATGGTGGTTTTCTCGTGAGTGTTTTCGAGGCCTGCGAAGGGCGGCCAAGTCGGGGATTGTGGGAGCACCTCGTGTAAAAAGCGCTTGGAAGTTGTCGCTAATGCGTCCTCTGAAATGCAAGAAGTTCAACACGGGGGGTCCTAGTTGTAAGTGTTCTGGCAGGGATCCTCCAAGCTGGAGGTTTTATCACGCTTGGGCGGGCTTATCGGCCGACTTTTTTGCAGCGGGCGCAAGCGCGGGCGGCGCGTCACAGCTGGAGTTCTGGCGGCTGGAAAGCAGCCTCCACTATTCACAACTGCCACTTTTGATGACCATCACACAAGACGCCATTCACTTCCAGACAGCTCAGATCGATTGCCGGAACACCATAATCCACCAGAGACCTCGGCCAGGGAATAACACATAGAAAAACCCTTGTCAGCAGCCACAATGTCGTCCCTCGCGTCCCTCAGCGCCGCGACCGACGATCGCAAGGCCCGCCTCGCCAAGCTCAAGAACCTGAAGCGCAAACAGCCAGCAGACGAGCACGTCGCGCCAGAATCCGACCGCGAGGCATCTGCGCCAGCACAGGCCAAAGTACAATCAGACGATGGCGAGCAGCCGCAAGACGAGACCATGGCAGATAGCAATGGCAACGGCCCGTCACAAGACGACGAGTCCAACCTCGCGCTCCGACACATCAGCGGGCGCAACTACGACCCGGAAACACGCGGCGCGAAGCTGGGCTTCGAGGCGCCGCCCACGCTGGGCATGGAGGGCCCCACGCTCGAGGAGCAGGCCGCGGCGGTCGAGAGGGATCTCAGAGCGAAGGCTGCAGAGGATGCCAAGGACGCGGACAAGGGCATCGATCTATTCAAGCTGCAGCCCAAGAAGCCCAATTGGGATCTCAAGCGCGATCTAGACAAGAAGCTCGAGATCCTCAATGTGCGAACCGACAATGCCATTGCGAAGCTGGTGAGGGAGAGGATTGCCAGTTCCGCGAAAGCAGGCTCGGCACCGGGCACAAGTGCGGGTGCAGTCTTAGGTGATGGCGCGAATGTTGACGGTGATGCGCTCGTGGAAGGGCTGAGGCAGCGGGAGCGAGAGGAGCAGGAGGAGGGTCAAAGGGAGTCCCAGGACGAGGATCTGGTTTGATGGCCGCTTTGCGGGATTCCCCCCTACAATCCAGCGAGGGCCCTTGTTGCGTTACACAGTTACTCTTTTGCATGGCATGGCGTTGGGCTGGAAAAGGTTTTGTTATATGGATCACGCAGAACACAATTAGACGCACGACATGTGGTCAACACTACAATATATATACATTATAAGATCATAGGCTGTCCTTTGGATGGGAAATTTCCGCACCGCGAGCTCCAATAGTGAGGTCGTGGGGGCACTTCAACGTGACGTGTTCATCGACTGGGTAAGGGCCAGCCTTCTTGAGAAGGGACTCAGGCTTCGCTCTCGTGGTGCTTGTCGTTGAAGCGGCTCTCGAGCTCCAGTCACGGCTGCCTGATCCTGGCCGCGATGCCTGGGGCTCGAGCTCGAGCGCCTCCCACGTTGCCGCGGGATGTCACTGTCGCGTCTCCCGCGCTGCTCAGGTGACCTTGATCGCAATCTGCGCCGGTTTTGTGGAGGCGGTGACCTGCTTGTGCTGGGCGAGCGTCTGCGACGTCGTGTGCCTATGTGATAGGCAGGCTCCCTGCCAGGGGACGCGTCTCGGGAATAGTATTGGTCATGATCAGGGCTCTGATCGCGGCCACGCACGCCACCGGTTCCGATGTGTCGTTGGGGCGAGAAGCTCCGATCCCGAGCAGACCTGTCGGCGCTTAAAGAACGGTCTCGAATATAGCTTCGCCCTGACACATACGATGCTGATCTTGCTGTGATCTCTTGCCCTGCTGGCGACCGGCTGCGAGATGCTCGCGATGCAGCATGGCCACGTCCCGGAGAGGGCGATCTGGAAGATCTCTGCCGCGCATTCCTGGAGGACGGACCTGCGTTGGTCGAGACTGTCGAGACTGTCGAGACAGAGCTGAAAGAGGCTGACCTCTGCCTCTTTGGCGTCTCGTCTGCGTCCAGCTCACCTTCGAAGTGCCGCTTCCTAGCACGCTCACTTTCCCGCTGTGCTAGAATCTGCCCAGCAAGGCCCTCTCTATGGCAACTCGTGATTAGCATTACGTGACCAAGCAGACTCCAGCCAGGGCAAAGACACGCACTTCTTCTCCAAGGGCGGCGGCGCCTCGTTAGTCAGCTTCGGAGCGAGCTTGGGGTTGAAGAGCTGCTGGGTCCGGGAAGGCCGGGGCACATAAGGTCGTTCCTGAGCCGAGGCCTTGCATTCATAGGTGTAGTGACGTTCTGGGGAGGTCAGCGATGATACTCATGCACAGGTGCAGATGACGAAGTGACTTATCTCGTTTAAGACATTTCTGGCATTGCACACTGGCAGGCGTGGACTTTTTGGGACCTCTTCGATACATGGCCGGGCTGCTGCTGCTGTTGCGATCTTGCGAGTCTATGGCTCTCGTGGCTGCCCAAGATGGCGAGGCTGTGTCCAGCTATGCGTGGCGCTGACAAGCCGTGCGTGTTGACCAGCTCAAGTGATGCAGTTGTTGATTTGCTCTGAGCGAGGTGTGAGAAGGGTATGCACGCCAGAAGTCGTGGCTGTGCCCAACCGGGACGCAGAAGAGCGGAAGCCAAGCGGTCTTCCTGGTCAAACAAAGGCAGGAAGGCCACGGCTGTGCTCTATGCTTACACACGTCGGCGGAAATGGGGGCGTCGCACGAGACGGAAGCGAGGCTGCCGCAGAATGAGCCGTCCAAGGTTGTTTGCCCGACTGTCGTTGCTTCTGGCCTGGCCTGGGCATGGAAGCTCCAGGATTCCACAGTTGCCTAAGTGCCGTCAGCAGCGCATCGGTCGGCTGGGGGCCCTCTGAGGAATGGACTTGCGAGGTACGAGCAGCACGCTGGTTGCCATAGCTGCTGGGCAGGTGCAAGGCAAGTACCCGCCAAGGGGACAGGACGAAGCGCCTGCCGTTCCAAGGTTCCCACCCACCACCCACTGCCCACCTGCTCAGCCAAGCGCTGGAGCCACTGGGCGGCCAGGCGCTCGACTGATTTTCTGCCAGCCCCAAAGCAAGAGAGGCACACATCGCGGGCACTACGCTCCATCGATACTTCAACGCAACCACTTTCCCACATGCCACCATCGTGAGCCGTCTCTGCCTTCACGCCGCCACCCGCTCGGCACCCACCAGCAACCTCGCCCTGGCCGCCTCCACCCTCGAGGCAAGTTGGCAACGGAGCGAACCAAAAGCCCCGCCCGCGCCATTGCCTGCTCGTTGCAGCTGGCTCTCCTGCTTCTCCCTACCCTCGCTGCCTTGCCCGTGCAAACCAGAGAAGGGAACAGGAATACCCCCGTCGGCATCAATCGCTCTTACGACTACACGAACCGGACGTTTCACGATTTCTCTTTTATACTGTCGCCCGCACACACTCCAGAAGCTGTCTCTCCAACGTTCGCCAGCTCCTGCTTACGTTCGGTCCCACCACCCAACTACTACACTGGATACACTGCTCTTCGACAATATCCAACCCATAAGAGCTGTCGCGACCGTACAGTTCAAGCAGCGCTACGTCTAGAGACAATCAGCGCAGTGTAGGGGTCTCAATACCGAAATCAAAGGTTCAAGCCAGTCTTGACGAACAACCTTCCTAAACAACCAACCAGCGACCTCTGGAGCTAAACGTCTTGCGCTTGGCGGTTCAAACACGGTTTCACGGTCTATCCGCCACGCACCCACCTTTCAATGGCAAGACAACAATGGTCAAACCCATCCAGAACTCCCTGAGGGCCTCTTCGATCTGATACTCTTCAAAAGAAAAGCGAAACACTTGTACGCACTGAGTTATTCTTGTGCGGATCTTCAGCAAGCCTTTTGTAGGTCAACACGCCACGGTCCTGATCGACCGTGACACACTGCACAAACGTCTCATTCCAGACGCGGAGCCCGGTTTTCACTCAGGTCAGCACCATGGCCGCAGTTCCGAAGAAGATGTCTTTCGCAAAGGTAAGTACAGATAGACTGTAACTATACTATCTACAAGCTCAGGACCTGGCGCTTGCTCGCGGATATCTAACAGGTTTTCAGGTGCTTGCGACGAGCACCAAAGACAGCCGCCTTCAAGGAGGCCCTGCCGCTCGTGTTGCTGTGCCTAGCCTCGACCGCCGAGGCCCGATTCCTTCGCAAGCAGGCGGCAAATCTGTGACTTCGGCACCGGCGCAACACTTTCAAACTAGCGCAGATCCCTTACCAGTGTTGGATGACAACAAAGCCAACGTGGTCGACCGACTCAGTCAAGGCATCGCTGGGGTGGCTTTGGGGCCAGCTGAAGTAGCGCACACTTCTGCGCCTAATCTTGTAGTTAATGGCTCATCAGCTACTCCGAGCGAACAACAGACACGACCCGATGTTGCAACACCTTCATCAGATGAGACGTCACAGAAAGCTGATTCCGCCTCCGAGATGGGCACTAAACCGCCAAGTCTTGATGGAAAAAGCATTGCCTCTGGAACCACCTTCGCTCTAGACGAGAAGGAGTCTTTAAGGCCTGACGACAGTGCCAGTGTTCAGGCAGCTGCTGATGACGATGAGGCCTTTTCTGTTCGTGGCTCCCTTTTGGCGACCTCGCGCGGGGGTTCCGAGGTCGCGAGGATACACCGACTTCGCATCGGGGATATGCCGGAACGCCGTATTGTCCAGCTCTTGCCTGAGACACATGATCAGGGGCTGTCGACTCCTCAAAGTGGTGTCTCCAGCCAGCAGCCTCCTACAGACCCCTCACAAATATTGGGTCCGGGCAATGGCGCCGATCCAATGAACTCGGTATACGGCCAGAATCCGGATGAGAAGCTCATCGAAGCCATGAAGTCGCCAAAGGACCGAATCTTCCTGTTACGGCTTGAGCAGGATGTCATCAACTTTGTACAGTCATCCAAGTCAGTCTACCCTTTTCACGGTTGCCTAAGTACATGTACTAACTTGGATGACAGAGAGCCGTACATGGATCTGCCACCGAACAATTCATTTTGCAGAATGCTGACTCACAAACTCGCCGATTATTATCACATGACGCACTCTTTCGAGGCCGTCCAAGGCGCAGTACGCATCTACCGGACCCCGTTTTGTCGGGTGCCACCCTCACTAGCCAGCATCATGGAGAATAGCGTGCCGCCGGAGCCCGAGGTTCCAGCCCAACCCGTGATGCTACCACGCAAGATCATGAGGCGTGGCGAGGATGACGGTTCGGGAAATGCGAGTAACAGTGCCTCAAAGGCGACCTCGGAAGTAGGCAGTGACGGCAAGGGAAAGCCCAAGACAAAAGAAAAGTACGCAGCGTTATACCAAGAGAATGCTGATCCTGGCTAACGCGAGATAGGCTCACGAGGGAAGAGCGCGAAGAGGCATACAAGCAAGCCCGAGAAAGAATCTTTGGCAAGGAGGACAAGGCCAGCGAGTCAAATGGTAAGTCGCCCTTATATGATCTATTCATTGAGATTCTCATATTCACATCATCTTAAGACGGCGAAGATATGTCTCGCGCAAGCTCCATGTCTGGAAAGGATAGGTCGACGCTTGGCAAGCGCGGCAAGACCAGCAAGCAGCGCAGAGACGACTCTGAAAGCTTTGATTCGCGCTCGCAGTACACAGCGTACTACGGACATCCTCACCAGCCCACGTGGACACCGCAGTATGTTGCTGTTGGCAATCAGCAATATGCAGCACCGCCGCATGCACCTTTTCAGCAAACAATGCCATCAATGTATCAGAACTCTACACAGCCATATTCTCAGGGCATGCCGATGAATGGTTATGGTCAATATGGCAACACACATAGTGTAAGTTAAGAGTGAAAGTTTCCATCTTGTTCAGCATCTGACAGCGTTGTTCAGTATCCCCAACAGCCACAAGCACAGTTGCAGACCGCGAGGTATCCTGCACCTCAAGGTATGATGGCTCCTTTTGGCCCGCCTATGCAACCTGGCCCGCAACAGAACTGGGTACAGCCACAGCAGAGCTTCAGCAACCAGACACCACCTTCTCCGTACCAGCACCGATCATCTCCGGCGCCGATGGGCCCTGCAGTCCCATACGCTTTTGGCCAACTACCGGCCCACGTCAATCCTCACGACCCGAAGAGTCAACATCCGATTCCTGGAAGCTATAATCGACACGCGTTCAACCCTAAGACGCAGTCTTTCGTGCCTGGTAGTGGCATGAGCCCTGTCCAGTCAGCCATTGCTCCATACAACACAGGGCCCATGCACGGAAGCCCGCAGATTGGCACGTCTCATCTCGCATACGGCAGCTATGCACCCTCTTCTCAACAGCCGTACATCGGCGCCTCGAGTTACGGCATGAGCCGGCAGAGTTCAAGCAATTCACTGCCGCCGTATCATCAGAACCAGCATATCTCCCAGCCCACTTCTGCACCCATGGCTCAACTAGGGCAGCAAACCATGCCTATGAAGCCTGGAATGCCGCCTCATGGCTACGCAGTGGGTCCGAACACGCAGGCTTACGGTCACTTGCCAAACTACGGCAACCCGGCAACATTGCCTCAGAAGCCTTCATCAGGCATCTAGGCCGTCTTGCCACCTGCATAATCTCATAAGCGATGCATTGCAAGGAAGGTCGCATTTGCACCATGTCTACGATCTAGCGGGGAAACACCAAAACAGGCACAGCATTATGGCGTAGTGTCCACATTGTGGCACTCGCATCACTCGGAAACACTCATCAACAGGCGTTTGGGCGCAAGAAGCAGGCGTTGGCACGAATCAGGAGCATAACAGTTGTATTCAAGACTTTTGGGAAGAGAAGTTGTCGGTAGAATTGGGAGAAGACAAGCACGAGGACAAAATAGTCTCTGGCATTGCACGCGGCATGGTTGGTAGACTCATGATAGAACGAGGAGAATGCATAACACTTCGCTCTGAAGCAGTTGTAAGCAATGTGAAATGCCGGCACGCTACGAGTCCGCTTCATTCTGTAACCATGTCACAGTTGTTTATGGCTGGGCGAACAATGCTTTTCACCAAACGAGGGGCAACATATGAATCATTTTACTTCATTTTTTTTGGTTCTGCTTTTGTTCGCCTCTCTTGCCTCTTTTCATCTCAGTTTCTATGAACCCCCGCCAAGGGGCAGACAGACAGCCCACATACTCCAAAGGACAGGCTCCCCGTCGCTGTATTGCGTAGTCTATGCATGTACAAGACTCGGACTTTTTGGTGGTGGTCGTGGGAAGAGAGAATAAGAAATTCATCATGGAGAACCCGTTGTGAAGAAAAAAAGAAGTTTGGGGAAGGGAGGTGGGTAATAAGATTGCAAAATGAATTTCTTTTCTCTTTTCCCGAAAGAATTGACTCCAATTGTGTGTGTGTGTGTTATTTCCCATTTTGCAGCTGCTGGTCATATCCTCATGCGAAGTTTACTCGGTAGGTTCCCGGGGCTCGCGAGGCTCGCGTTGTTCCCGGCCACCACGACCGCCTCCGCGACCGCCGCGCTTGCCTCCACGGCCTCCCCGCTCACCACGCTCGCCCCTCTCGCCGCCCTTCTCGCCGTCCTTGTCTGTGGCCTCGCCGGTGGCCAGGACAGCGGTCGCTAGCCTCTGGCTGAGGTCGATCTGGGTGCGGATGCTGTTGGCCAGGTAGCTGACCATGAGGACGTCCTGGATGTGGTTGTTGAAGTCGGCCTCGATGCTGAGGGGGTCGACCTTTGGCGCGAGCGAGAGAGCGCCCATGAGGTACTGGCCAAGGGCGTTGTTTCCGTCCTCCTCCTCGTCGACAATGTCAGAGACGTAGGTGGAGACGCGCTCGAGGAGGTCGAGCGTGCTCTCCATGCTGCGGGTGAGGCTCTCGACATCGGTGATGATGGGCGCGGAGCGGTCCTCGGCGTCCTTGGCGGACGACAGCAGGTCGAGGGCGTTCCTCTCGGCGTCGTTGTAGGCGACCTTGTGAGGGACCTGGATGAACAAGCAGCTCTCAGCAGCGCGCTCGGCGTTGACGGCGACAGGGGCGCTGATGTAGGCCTTGAGCTGGACGTCGGCACCGGGGTCGGTGGACACGGTCAGGTGGACCGCCGGGTGCGGGTAGGTGCCGGTCTCTGGGGACGCGAAGAAGTTCTGGATGAGAGCGCTGAAGCTGTTGAGCTCGTGCGAGGTTGTGTACCAGCCGAGCAGGGCGTCGCGGGGGTTGGCCTTGAGGTGGAGGGCGAGCATGTTCTTCTGGTACTCGACGTCGACCTCGACCTGGTCCTCGTTCTCGGTGTGGGGGATGGCAAAGGCCGACGTGACGGAGACATCGCTGCCATCCTCGGAGCGGCTGCCCACGAGGGCGCCTATTACGCGGGACGACGTCGAGGGTGTGGCGGGCTGGTCGCGGCGGACGGCATGGTCGAGGATGGAGAGGATGGCCTGGGGCTGGACATTGACGGCGAGAGGGGCAATGGTGCTCTGGTAGTTGAGGGCGGTGGGCGCAAGAGGCCTCGAGAGGTGGAGGAACGACTCTGTGTCGGCGGCAGCCATGATTGCGGTGCTGGAGAGGAGACTGTGAACAGTCGCTTGAATCTCGTAGTGGGGAAGACGGTGGTCCGTGGTGGTGAGGAAAAGTGCCGGGATGGTCCACGAGGATGTCGAGGTCGTCGAGGTCGTCGAGGGGCACAGGCCAAAGCTTGATCGGGCGAAGCAGTGGCGCCGGAGGGGATGCTGGGCAGGGTGGGTTGTCTGCTCGTCGAGAACCGCGATCGCTGGTCCAAAGTGTGTCGTCGTTGAGAACTGGGACGACCTGCTGCTGCGTGGAGGGGCGGGCGGCGGACACGGCAGGCAGGCAGGCAGGCGCCCTGGCAGCGGCACACTGTGAGTCTGCCCGCTGCTGCGAGTCCCCACGCCCGTGAAATTTTGCAATTATTCTTGCCCGCTGCACGCGACGGAGCTCGTTTTGGTGCGCAGCAGCGAGGGGCAGCGGCATGTACCCAGGTATCTTTTTTACGCCGGGGCCAGGTGGGGCCTGCTGTGGCTGCCACTGCCGATAAGCAGGGGACGGCCTTGCCGATAAGGAACCGTTCAAGGGTCCAACTGTGGCTGGAGCTGCCGCCGCAGAAAAAAGTTATGGGCGGCGAGCGCATGCTAATAGGGAGGGAGCCCAGACTCACTTACAGGCGACTTGCCAGCTTAAGGTCAACAGCCAGTTAACCACGTCGAACTCGATACTTTCACTTCTTTTCGCCGTCCTCGACTTTCTTTTGGACGCTAACAGCATTGGGGCCCCTGAGATCTCGGGAACGAGTACAGACTTGTCCCATCTAGTGACCCTATATACGGATTTGCAGCCACCTCATGCGCATAGCGTCCGGATCAGGTCTTGCCGGAAATTGATATTGACGGTGTGCTCTGAAGAGAGCTCTCACCTGACAACGCAACGCAGCACGTTCCTAAGCAAGGCCTTTAGCGAAACGAACCTGCATCTTTTGTGAACCTCTCGTTGACAAAGTCAACATGCCCGGTCGTGGCAACAGAGGTGGCCCACGCGGCGGGAGCAGGGGCGGCAGTAGGGGCGGCAGAGGAGGACGAGGCGGGAGCAGAGGTGGTCGTGGCAGAGGCGGAACCATGAAACGGTCATACGGGCCCAAATTTGACAGCCAGCGAGTTGCAGAGATCGAGTGAGTTCCGGCCATCTTCGAATGAATGACACAGAAGCTGACCTGTCCTGCAGGGAATCTGAGAGCGAGGTCTCTTCTGAAGAGCAGAGCCAGTCGGAAGCATTCTCTTCCGAAGGCGAGGACTCCGAGATGGAGGATGAACCGCAAGCTTATACCAAGCCGTACCTTGCACTCATGCAGAGTCTTGCACAGGAGAAGGAGGCAGCTCCGAGAGCCAAAAGGAGAAAGCTTGACCACCAGCCAGCCGCTGAGACTGAGACACAAGCAGCTGACGGATCTGAAGACGAATCTGGGGCCGAAGATCAGGATGTGGACTTTGTAGAGGAGCCAGAAGAGGGTCCGGAAACCGAGGTTGTTCTGGAGGACGACAGTGACGACGAGGACCTTACGGATCCTTTTGAGACACACATCGTCAACCCTGACCAAGTGGCAGTCGGGCAGCGATTGAAAGCAGTCAAGAGCAAGGACTACGCAACAACACAGGCAGAAGTGAACGGGTGGAGGCTGACAACGAGTATTCCTGGTGACAAGTCAAAGCCCTCACAGCCTCAGACCATGACCGGTCCTTCCAGCCTGAAACTGAAGAAGAAGCTGGTCGACACCTCTGCCAAGATCCGGCCAAACTTTGACAAACTAGAGCAAGTTCTCTACCCGACGACTTTTGGTTACCAAGATCTGCTGTTCTGTGGACGAACTCCGCGGAACGCGCAGAGCTTAAGGCGCATGTACTGCTTGCATGCAGTCAATCATGTATTCAAGTAAGTGGAGAATCTCTTGATCATTGCCCTTGGTCGTATGACGACCTGCTCACCTGCGCAATTGACAGAACTCGAGACCGTGTCATCAAGAACAACGCCAAGCTGGCAAAAGAGGGAGAGGAGACCACCTTTGAGCCCCGAGACCAAGGATTTACGAGACCAAAGATTCTGATGATATTGCCAACGCGGCAGTCTGCTGTGCACGTCGTCAACACAATCTGCTCCTTGACAGAGCCTGACCAGCAAGAACACCGGAAAAGATTTGACGACTCGTACATTGACAAAGAGGTCAAGTTCGGTGCCGAGAGACCCGAAGATTTCCGCGACCTTTTCGAAGGCAACGACGATGACATGTTTCGAGTTGGTGTCAAGTTCACGCGCAAAACCATTAAGTATTTTGCGCAGTTCTACAACTCTGACATCCTGTTGGCCAGCCCGCTCGGCCTGCGGATGGCCATTGGCTCAGAGGACAATCACGACAAAAAGAGCAAGCAGAAAGGCGTGGACTCGGACTTTTTGTCCTCGATCGAGATGGTGATCGTGGATCAGGCCGATGCTCTGCTCATGCAGAACTGGGAACACATCGAGTACATCTTCTCCTACCTCAACCTGCAACCACGCGAGGCTCACGGTTGCGAGTTCAACCGCGTGAGGGAGTGGTATCTCAACAATCAAGCCGCCCATTACCGCCAGACCTTGATATTCAGCGCCTTCAACACGCCCGAGCTGGCGGAGCTCCAGCGCAGCTGCGCGAACTGGGCCGGCCGCGTGCGCGTGCAGCCAGAGTACAACGGCGCCATCCAGGAGCTCGGCGTGAAGGCGAAGCAGACCTTTTCGCGGTTCGAGGCCCCAAGCATCGCCGCCGAGCCCGACGCGCGGTTCGAGTACTTTACCAGCGCGGTGGTGCCGACGCTGGTCAAGCGCCAGCGCGACATGAGCGGCACGCTCATCTTCGTGCCGAGCTACCTCGACTTTGTGCGCGTGCGCAACTACTTTGCGACCAACGCCGCCGTCGCGAGCCTCACCTTTGGCGTCATCTCCGAATACGCCGACGTCCCCGAGGCCTCGCGCGCGCGCTCCCACTTCCTCAACGGCCGGCACAAGGTCCTGCTGTACACGGAGCGCGCGCACCACTTCCGCCGGTACGCCCTCGCGGGTGTGCAGCGCATCATCATGTACGGCCTGCCAGACAACCCCATCTTCTACCGCGAGATTGCCGGCGGGTATCTGGCCAAGAGCGAGCAGGACTCAAAGATCGAGCCTGGGTCCGGGAGTGTCAGGGTGCTCTTTAGCCGCTATGATCTGCTCAAGCTTGAGCGTGTCGTGGGCAGCAAGCGGGTCGGCAAGATGATCCGGGAGAAGGGGGATACTTTTGACTTTGTATAATTCAGTGTGCATCAACAGCAGCATATGGTGCAATTCATCTAAGCATCTGGCATGTATGATACATCTACGTCGATCTTGTTTGGTACATAATACACATCCCAGAGTGACTAATTGATCATCTGAGGAGCTACTGGGTCAATCTCGTATCTGATTCGCGGCTCAGAGCCTTGATAGCGACGGGGATGGCTATTGTAGCAACTTCCAAATCAGTGAAGACAACACTGCGTCAAATTTGTATATGTACATAAGGTAGTCATACAAAGGCTGGGTACCATCTAGTCCTCCGTCTCTCGAGAAACTTGGCATATCCACTATCCTTTTTTGGTGTCGTCCGTGTACGTCTCTTCTCGTCCTTACGGGCTCCCCAAAGTGCTGTCTGTCATCAAGACATCTCCCATGCCATGTCGGCTTCCCATCATATCATGAGATTGTCCCCCTAGACTCCCACATCACCTCAGCACCGACGGCTCAGAACCACTCTGACTCGGCGCAGCCTTGTCCGAAGGTACAGCAGAGCGAGTACCCTTCTGCTTCTTCTTCTTCTTCGCAGGCACAGCATCAGCAGGCGTGACCGTGTCCTTTTTCTCCGCCGCCGGCTGTCCGCCAGCACTCGTTCTCCTCATCTTAGGAGCGGCGTCTTTACTCGCAAGGGGTTCCTGGGGGCGGCGGTGGGGGTGCCGAGGTTGATGCCGGCCATGCGCTCGACCATCTTGTCAAACTTTGCCTCGCCGTCCTTGCGGAACCGCGTGACTTTCTGCTGGTTGAGCAGCGTGAGGGGCTTGCTCTCGCGGCCGAGGCTCCTGTCCCGCGCGACGGCGGCCGCCGTGAAGGCGAAGCGCAGGTCCCGCGGCCCGTCGACGAGCTGCAGGATGGCAGAGTCGCCCTGGTCGTACGCGTTCTTGGGCATCGTGCGCAGCACGCGCGTGTAGCCGCCCGGCCGGTCGGCATAGCGGGCGGCAAGTTGAATGAAGACTTTGGGGAGGTGCTTGTGCGGGGTCTGTTGGCCATGAGATATATGGTCGGTTAGCATTTGTTTTTCAAAGAGGTAATGTATGCAGGATACGACATAAATCTTGAATGGGCAGGGGTTTTGCATGTGTGTGTGTGTGTGTGTGTGTGTGTGTGTGTGTGTGTGTGTGTGTGTGTGATCTAGAGGCGTAATACGCACGTAGAGGATTCCCATGGCCTTGCGGAGCGTTTCCTCGTTGTTGCGTTTGGCGAGGGTAATGAGCCTCTCGGCCAGCCTCTGGGCCTCCTTGGCCTTGGCAAAGGAAGTCTGGATGGACTCGTGCTTGACCAGGGACGTGACCAGGTTGCGGAGGAGCGCATGCCGGTGCGCCGCGTTGCGGCTCAGATGCCGGAATTTGACGATGCCACCCGCCATGGCTGCTGCGGTGTCGTGGTAGTAGTGTGCGCTTCTGTGCTGGTGTCGTTGTCGTCGTTGTCGTCGTCGATGATGGGATATGTATGACCCGGTCACACACGCTCTATCGCATTGGGTGTCAAGAGGTACGGGCCAGCTAAGCTGGGTCGTTGATTCGCTTCGTGGTCTGTCGTGAGGCCAATCGCGATGTCGTTAAAGGCCGTGAAGTTTTTGGGCGTGCAATTGCTGGCGGCTGCCAGGGGTCTGGGGCCAGGCAATTCGAGGTACATTGTTTTTGCAGCACGGTATGTGGCACCCAAGGTACCCGACTCTACCCAGCCTAAGAAGATGCCTTAGGTAGACACCCCTCCAGCAGGGATAGCGCACCCGGCAGGAGCGACCAGCTCCAAGGAACCACCGAGCGATTTCGTCACTTTTGGCAATCCCACCTGGATGACCCAACACCACACTTGACACGACTTGACGAGGCTGCAAGCCGGTGCCACGTCTCCTGCGCTGCCGACCACCATCCACCAGAAAGTCTCACGGTGCCGTCGCCAATTGGTGCATCCGCACTCCTGTATCGCGCTGTGAGCGCAATTCATACGTCTCCTCCAAGGCCGCCCTCATCGTCGGTTGTGGCATTCGACGCACACCCTCACCATGGGCTTCACCACTGGCTTCGTGAGTGCTCGCCCACCGTCTCTCCCTCTCGAGATTGACGACGCCAACAGAGGCTCCTGCTGACCAATGTCTTTCTTGCGCAAACGCAGACCGGAGGCGTCACCCTCACCCTCGGCCTCGCCTACCTGACCGTCGTCACACACCAGCGCAACCGGGAACAGCAAGCCGCCCTCCTGCGGCAGCAGACCATCCTACTCCGGGGTGCCATCGACCCGCAGCCGCCTGTGCTGCCCCCGACGCGCACCGAGGTCGCGGCCATCGAGCGCGCCAACTTTGTCGAGTCCGCCAAGGACCGGTGGAACGCCGAGATCGAGGGCGCCGTGCGCTGGGCCCAGACCAAGGACTGGGACGAGGTGCGCGAGGGCGTCGAGACGGCCCTCGGCCGCCTGTGGAACCGCGCCACGGGCGGGCAAAACGTCGGGGAGGTCATCGATGCCAGGGCACAGCAGGCCGCCGGGATCGTGAGGAACGACGCCGCGGGCGTCGCGGCAGCCGCGAAGAGCGCATACGCCGACGCAAAGGCCAAGACAGAGGACAAGGCCGATGCTGCCAAGGGCTCCATCTTCAGCGCCATCGGCAAGAGTGTGCAGCGCGCCAAGCAGGCTGTCGTCGGCGCGGAACAAAAGGTCGAGCAGGAGCTCAGCAGCTCGTCGCCACTGTCATCAAGCGCGACCGCGCCCGATGCCGTGGAGAAGGCGCTCAGGCAGCGGTTCGAGAAGCCTAGTGGCGAAGAGGTCACCAAGACTGTCGAGGAGGCGCTTGCGGAGCGGTACAGGCCGGTCGACCAGCGGGACAACACCAAGCTGAGGGCGTTATGAAGAACGTTCTGTGTAAATTTGGGGTGTGTGACGATAATGCTGAGGTTGTCCAAGCTAGGGCAGAGCGACAGGGATAAACAAACATAACATTTTTAGAAAGGGGCTGCTATCTCTTCTGTATCATAACAAATACCAGCGACTAGATCCTGTTGAGTTCTGTAATATGTTTGTGTTGTACTCTATAGTGCAAGCTCGTACCAGGCCAGGCACTAAGCTCACATACTGACTCTTCAGAGTCCTTCTGTTAACATGAATGCAATGAGCTCCGTTTCAGAGGGTACCCGTTGTGCAGACATATCTCTTGCCTTAAGCCCAATGACACCATGGCGAACCAGGGGCGTCATCGTAATTCAAGGGCTACATACACTATCAGATTATATACCAGCGTTTACCTCTCACCTCTCCCCGTCTCTCCAACCCGGTCTGCTTGCCTTGCCCATCACTGCGCCAAGGGCTTCTCCGAAGAGCCCTTTTCTTCGTGCTCAGCCTTGAACTGTGCGGGGTCAACCTCGGCTTCGTTCTTTTCACGCTCAGCCTCCTCCTTCTCCTGCTCCTTGCGGCCCTGGAAGATCTGCGCCTCCACCGCGTCGTGGTCGACATCCTCGAGCCCGACCTTTTGCAATATGGACCCGATGAGGAACCGGTACTGCGTGTGGCCTTCGACGAGCTCCGAAACATCGACGTTTTCGATTCCGGGGACGTCGCGGATGCTCTGCAGCCCGGATACGCCGTACTGCAGACTGCTCGTGCGGTACAGCAGGCCCAGAAGGTAGTCCTTGGTCGAGTACACGTTGATCACGCGGCCCGCAACGACGGAGCGCATGCGCCGCCAGGTGATGGTGTCTGAAGGCACGGGGGCGCCAACCAGGCACACGGACTCGACCAGCCCGAAGGCCTTGCGGTTCGCGAGCTCCGTGAGGCAGGAGTAGATTACGCGCGACCCGAGCGAGTACCCGATCAGCGTGACCGGCCGCTCACCCTGGACTTTGTTGATCAGGGCGTCCGCGAGAACCATGCCGGCCTTCTCGCTGCGCGAGCGCGCGACGCTGAACGGGTTGTCGACCACGCGGGCCGCCTTGGCAAGTCCATAGGGAAGAGTCAGCGCGGAGAAGAGCGTCGCAAAGATCGTGCGCTTGATGATCTCCGACTTGGCCCAGCTCCAGGCGTAGCTCGTGATGTATGTGTACATTGCGTCGCCGAGGTTGAGCAAGGCCTTGAGCTCCCATCGCAAGGCGAATACCTCCGTGCCTTCGCAGGTCAGGACGTTCCAAGGCTCCACGACTTCATTCTTCTTGTTGAGCCAGCCAGATATCGCGATCGCGACACGGAGCTGTCTGGGTGCTTTGTGTCCCTTTTTGCCATGAATCGGGATGAAGCCGAAATCTTCGACCTACAGCATCGCAAAAGGGTTAGTTATACTCGCCCACCAGGTCTTGTGTTGAATGCAGAACATGACTGACCTGTTTGGCGTATTCGTCCACCACCTGTCCTGTCATCCTCCCACCATACGCCCCGAACAGGACACCAACTAGAGGCGCAGAGCCAGCAAGGGCACCCAGATACCCTGCTGTGGCCGTGGCACCCAATCCCAGCCCTCCCATGACGCTGCCTACCCCGGCGGCAAGCAAAGGCGCAGCCAGTCCTCCCGTCACGCCGATGAGCACCGCACCTGCGGCTGCGCCAAGGCCCACCTTCCACTTTCTGGCCATCGAGTTCTCCTCTGCTTTCTTCTTCGTTTCCTCGTCGGCGTTCATATCCTGCTTCGCGGCCTCCAAGAGCCCCTTGGCGACGGAGGTCTCATCCTGAGCCAATATGTTCAATGGAAGTGACAGAGCCGTGGCGATGTGAAGCATCAGGATCCTCGAGTAGGAGGTGTATGTCTCCAGGCTCAGGAGGAGGAGGAGCAAGGAGTGGAGGATCAAGAGTCGCTTGGCCTCGCCAAGAGATTCCAGAGGAGTCTTTTGCACCGCAAACACCTTGCGGATATCGAGTGAGTCGACCCCGGGTCGCTCTTGGTTTCTCAGTCCCAGAGATGAAGATGGCTGGCTTCCCTCGTTGAAATCCGGGCTTGAATCCGCTTGCGCACTGGCGTCGTCGTCATGCGCATTGACCGCCTCGCCGATGCGCTGTATGACCTTGTCCCGCCACGAGTCGAAAGCCTCTAGAGCTGCCGCCATGAGTTCTACATTCTTCTGCTCGCTGAGCTGCTTGGTCCGCCTCTCCAACGCCTTCTTGGCGTCTTCAGCGCCATCATCCTTCTGCTGAGCGCCCTCTACGTTCTGGGCTGCTGCAGTACTGCCTTCGGGTTTCTCCGCGGCCTGCTCGTCCTTGATGGCAATCTCGGTATCCTGTCTCGTCGGGCCACCAGGCTTGCCGAGCTTCGTGGTGGGGATAAGGCACTCCTTGGTGGGATCGAATGAGTCGAGGATCTGAGCGCGCATCGAGTCTGTAGACTCTGCCACGAGCATGAGCAGCTCTGTCCGGTGTTCATGTGTGTGCAGGACCGTCGAGAGGGACTGCTCCTGCCGATGCTGAGCTCCCTGGCCCTCGTCGTCGCCCTGGCCAGCGAGGCCCTTGAGCTTTGCGAACATGATCCTTCAAAGGAATGTCTATTGGCGGGGCGGTGTGGCTTGATTCCGTGATTGAGATCGGCTCGAATATGCCGTGTGCCCGGTTGCGAGTATCGGGATTTGATGAGGATCAACGACATAAACTGGTATCACGATTGGCTGTCGGTGACATCTACGCTGCCCAGATGAGAGATTGGTGAGGGTGTGGTTGCTGATGACGTCATCGCGATGTCGTCCATGAGCTCTCTAGCGGCTACTGCTTGCAGGAGCCTTAGCAGGCAGCGTTTCAAGTGAACACCAAGATCGCCAGGATGTACCTGGCAACAAGGAAAAACAAATTGGAGAAGTCTCTGTGCTTGGGCCTAGCTCGATTCGACAGGTCATATAAAGTATGCAATACTTGCTCGTCTGCCAGGGGCTTCAGCCACGGTCCCAGTTAGACGCTACTGTGAGTTGTCGGAGAACCATGACGAAAGTAGCCAAATGACATTACGTAGAGTCGACAGACACGTCACAAGCCTGCCTTAGACATACAGTACCGGAGGCTAGGATCTGACAGCCACGCCGGCTAGATCTCCAGATCTGGCGTTGCGCTTGCCCCTGTCAGCCCTGCAGGGCTGGCGGAGGGTTTCGTCCCTTGCCGTCCCGCGGCTGCGGCACGGTAACAAAAGACACGCGCATCCCATGTTGCCGTTGTTTGTTCTGTACCACGTTCAAATTGCATCGCTTGCAAGACACAACACCCGTGACACCTCCTTTCTCCCCATTAGCTCACATGAGTTCCGTGGCCCGGTTGTGGAGGCCAAGATTGTCCTGCCGGTGTTAATAAACGACCGGTCCAAATGTCAGCACTGTCCAAAACCACGCCATGGAACCACCGCCAAAACGCGTAAAGGCCGATGGCCCTCACCACACGAGCGACAACAATGTCGGCGACAACCACGACATTCCCCAGGGCCCAGCCAAGCGCGGCGGCCGGCCCCGGGGCAACTGGGACGTCTCGGGGCGGTACTCGCTTAAGTGTACCAGCCGCTACCAGCCCGTCGACGCCACCGACTACACACTCGACCTGTACTATGAGCACGACAGCCCGCACACATGCATGCTCTTTGGCTTCTTCGAGTTCCCCAACCTGGGCCTGTCCCGAGGTGTCATGAGGCTGTGTCCGCGCCACGTCCTCGACGACACAGCCCAGCAAGAGGGTGCTTGGCCCAGGCTGTACACGACCGACTTTGATGCCGCGTGTGTCCTCGCGGAGGGCGTGCGGCCTAGTTCGAAGAGCAAGGAGTGGTTCATGCGGTGGCGGGCCGAGCATGTTGCAGACGGCGCCACTCGGGTCGTGGGAGGCTACGAGCGAGCCCAGAGCCAGTTCATATTCAAGCGGGACACCGCCACGGGGCTGATACACGTCACCTTTGCCATTGTGCACGAGTCGAAACATCTTCTCTACGAGGGCTCACAACTGCCCAACAACCCCGAGGCAGCCCAATCCGCTCAGGATGGCGGCGGCCCAAGCCGGCCAGCGAGCAATCAACCCGGTGCGGTCGCCAGGGTCCAGGCAGATTGGCAGCGCCTCTTCGACCCAGGCTGGGAGGTCCGGATGCTCTCCGACACGGATATCGAAGAGGAGCGCCTGGGCGACTACGTGGCCAGCAAGGGCCACAACCACTGGGAGCGTCCCAAGACGGGAGCCATGATCTACGCCCGGAACAAGCCCGGCCCGAACCCGGGGTTCCGAGCCGGCGAGGACATGTCGTCCAAGCTGATCGAGGAGCGTCCCGCTTGGGCCTGGGATGTCACGGGCAAGTACCACGTCACGAGCCCCGAGTTTGACGCCATCGTCAACGGCCCTGACTTCAGCTCCCCCGGCGGGCCCGGGGAGCATCAGCATACGCCGCCCGCAGATTTCCAGATGACTATCTGGCTCGAGAACAATCGCTGGCACAGCAAAGTAGGGCGCCAGCTGTGGGCCGAGTTTACCTTTGGCGAGTCAAAGGGTGCCATGAGGTTCTGTCCGGGGTCAGTGGCCAAGGAGCTCGCACGCTCGGACAAGCTCGACATGCAGTCCTTTGAGGACGCATGTATCCTGGAGTCCGGGGTCTGGCCGGGTGCTGCGCAGGATGAAAAGGGAGAAATCGAGTGGGGGATGAGGTGGCGAGGATACAACCCGGTATGTCCATTCATTTCTGTGCGCCTCAGTATTTTGTTTAGGGGCGAGCCATGTGAACCACAGGTGCTGAATCACTAACACAATTGCTGGCGGCAACAAAAAGTGCATGGGCCTACTAGACGGAGACTCTGGCAAAATGACGACCATTAAATTTACCTGCAGCCCAGACGGCCAGCTTAGCTTCAGCGGCACCCTGATGTACGGCGTTGAAAAGATCATGCTCATCGGGCAAAAGCACGGCCCGGACGGCGCAGAGAGGTCCGGGCAGGCAGTCACTGTCACCAAGGCGTGGCGGCAGTACCTGCCCAGGGCAATTTCCTTGCTGGACTACATGGACTTCGAAGAGCCGGAGTGAGATTGAATCCTTTGTTACTGTTGCACGGATATCACTAGCACGGTGTTCAGAGCCGGGCAGTGCAAAGTTTTAGGATGCCACGAGAATTGAGTTGACGATGCGTTCTAAATGTCTATTTCAGGGTATCTGGTCTGGAAACACACAGGCAAGCTACGATCCTTCTGTTCTAATCTACTCCTCCCGCTCTCACGCGAAACGCTATGCAATGCAATGCAAAAATACCCAGATTCGACCCGGGAACCAAGACCCGGTAGCTTCAGGTGATGTGTTCCCGTCACGTCGCCAGTCCAGACGTGATACACACGCCCCAACCGCTGCAGAAGTGGCGAGGCGTGCGTCAACTCTCTGCCCGATAACTCAAATCCAACTCTTCTTCTGCTGCTGCTGCTGCTGCTGCTGCTGCTGCTGCTGCTGCTGCTCTCAACCTTTACCTCTTCTGACCATCCTGTTCCTCTTGCGCCCGCGAATGGGCCCTCTCAAGCTCGGCATGCTGCCTCTCCTCCTCGAGCGCCTGCGCCATCTTCTCGTCGGCCGTCAGCTCGGCGGCGGCCTGCCCGATATCCACGCTCAGGAAGAGCAGCGTGGCGAGGCCGCCGAGCGCCACGCCGATCCAGAAGCCGATCTGGTACTGCTCCCTGAGGGGCATCTCCGCGCCGCCGCCGCCCTGGCGGCTGGCGTACGCGCTGTTCGACAGGGCGACCGCGAGCTCCGCGACGCCCAGCCACAGCGCGATGCCCAGGTACAGGAGCGAGTTGATGACGGCCCCCGCGGTGGCCTGGAGCTTCCACGGCACGGCGGTCGTGATGAAGACGTTGGTCACGTTGAACGTGATGTCGACGCCGATGGTGCCCGTCACCATGGCCGAGAAAATGTACGCCCAGTAGATGAAGTCGACCGAGGGCTGCAGCTCGCCGTCGCTCCCACTTCCGCCGGGCCCGGACGGGGTGCGCTCGGGGATCAGCGCGAAGAGCAGACACGAGACTGTAAAGCCCAGGCCGGAGATAATGAGTAGGATCCGTCCCGAAAGCAAGTGCATGACGAAACCACCGCTGATGGCGAGGATCATGCCGCCGACGGCGAGCGGCGTGAACCATGCCGCTGTTTGGAGGGGAGTGGCCTGGAGGACTGTTTCGATGCTATTCAAGGTCAATGAGGTCAGTCACGACTGCTCGGTTGTGTGTATGGAATGGATCCATCTCGTTGGACTGGCTGCGGCTGGCGAAGGAAGGAAAACGAAAGAACAAGACTTACTAAAAGCTGGCATAGAAGAGGAACAAGCCAAACACTCCATACGCGAGCAACAGCGCCAGGCACAGTCGCTTCATGTACTTTGGCTTGAACAGTTCCGGCGGAATGAGGGGTTGCTTGGCCACCCAACCCTCAATGTACACCGACACGATGAGGAGCAGGGCCCCGATAACAAAGGTGATGTACACATACGGCGTGGCCCAGCCCTGCGGCGCGTGCCCGCCATCCGTCAGCGCGAAAACGACCAGTACCAGGCCTGGCACGATGGTGGCCGTGCCGAGCCAGTCCATCGTCACGCCAGGAGTCCCCAGTGACAGTGCCCTGGGGATTGTGGTGATGCCCAGTATGAAGACAATGGCGACAAAGATGGCACCGATCCAGAAATACCAGCCCCATGTGAGCAGCTGGCCGCCAATGCCGCCGATGATGATGCCAAAGTAGAAGCCAAAACAGGCACAGGCGCCGTAGATGGCAAAGACGAAGTTCTTGCGGGGCCCCGGCCGGTACGTCTGACCCAGAAGGGCAATACCGGCCGGCATGAAGGCCGCGGCGCCGAGGCCCTGGAGTGCCCGGCACGCAATCATCATGTCCGGGCTTACACTGAAGCCGGCAACGATGGACCACACCAGCAGCCAGGCGTGGCCCGCGAGGAACACGACGCGGGCGCCGTACTGGTCGCTGAGGCGGGCACAGGGTAAGAGGAAGGCGGCCGTCGTCAGGTTCGGCACCCCGGCCGGCCAGGTCCGGATGGACTCGGGGATGTGGAGCGCCTCCGAGATGGCCGGGAGGACAATGTTGAAGCCGCTCACGAAATACTCGCACATCATCATGCTGAGCACAATGGCCGAGACAAAGCCGATCTCGGCAAAGGCGTTCTTGAGCAGCTCGGGTCGCTGCCGACCGAGTCGCTCGATGGCGTCTTTGTCCATCGCCGGCGTCGCCCCGGTTTCGAGATCCGAGTCAGAAGTCGGAGAACCACGTGGTTCATAGTCGTCTTGTGTCGCATCGGGCGGAGCAAGGACGGCCAGGGCCCTTCCGCCAGTGTCGAAAGCCGCAGTCATGATGCCCCGTGTCTTGACGTGTCTCTCGAGGGGCTTGGGATGGAGTGCCTCAAGGAAGCTTGAAAGGAAGCTTGAGATTAATGGAAAAATCGAAGTTCGATGACGACAGAAAAGGTCCTTGTGCGGTGGAAATCACGATCTCGGGACACTGCGACCAAGCAGACAACCAGCGCCCAGTCACTTATTTATCATCTTGGTACAGGCATAGAAAAGTTGTGAACAAGCAGGACGGTCAGGTAAGCAGCGGCAGGCTCGATCCGAGAGCGGTCGTGGGGATGGACCAAACTCTACAGCAAAGTGGATGACAAAGAGCGGCTTGCTGCCCTGAGGAGAATCTTGAACCTCGATTATGCGCCTGTTGCGTCTTGGCTGCCGAGCTAGGAAAAGCTCAGCGGGCGATAGAGGCGGATCGTGGGTCCCAGGCCCACTGGGACTGCCCCCCCATCGCCCAGGGCATGACAGGGCCGGGTATCGTGGTGTCGAGGGGGGCGAAAAGGCATCGACTCCTGCTGTGCCAGCCGTACTGGACGAGAGTCGCGCCTGGGAACCTCCCACATGAACCCCGCATTGCATCATTCCAGCGGCAAGAGACGGGGGTCCCTGAAGTGGCCAAGCAGCGCAAAGGCTATCATCAGCTGAGTAGCTGAGATGGTTGCTCAGCGGGTGGGTGGAGGAGGGTGAAGAAGGGTTGGCGTCATGGAGCACTGGCAGGGCAGGGGATCCGGCGATGACTAAGAGGCGCCTCGGCTGCAAGTGGCTCAAGTCCGCACTTACCATGCACCACTTGCGTCTTGGCTGCCCAAAGGGGACTAGCCCCTAGACCCCGGTCTTCCGGCCTTTCAACGACGGCGACGACATCGGATGACGGCAGTCGAAACGTGGAGGTTGCTACGGGGGACGAGCCCGTGGAGGTTTGTCCCATCACCAGGCTACAGTTTCCTCGACCACATCTCACAGACGGACACAAACCATCGGCAAGGGCTTAGCAGTATTCGATGAGTCAAGGCAGCTGCCAGCACAAGCACCGAGCACGCTGCAGTCCCATTCATTCCCGGGGCCCGATGATGGTGTACCACATCCGCCTGGACCGACACAGCACTTTTGTGGATGCGGTACTCTAGCCTGGCTGGGCCCTGTTACCACGGAATAATCATCCCATCCTCTGCGGGCTGGGAACCTGCGCAGGGTTTCGCCTCGTGCCCCCGGGCTCTCTGCTAGCAAACCACAACGGCTACACACTGCGCTCGGCACCAAGGGACATGGAGCCTCGGAAACCGTGTCACAACTGCCGTCGGAACCGGCGTCGCTGTGACCGCTCCGTTCCGTCCTGCAACAAGTGTCACTCACTGGGGCAGGATTGTCTTGGCTACGGCCAGCTGTTCCGGTGGACCAACTCGGTTACCTCACGAGGCCGTTTGAAGGGCAGGACAACCTTTCCAAAGTCGCAAGTGGTAAATACACAACTAAACAAGCAATGGAGCGGTACCGACTCTTCCACATGGACTCTATCGAAGCCTCTCATCACGAGCTCTCTAGTAGATCCGGTCTTCCAGGATCTGGATGCCCAGTCCAAGTTCTACCTGCACTACTGTATGCATCTCACCTGGCCCACACTTCGCATGGCCAAAAGACCGAGAACCCCCGGCTAACATAATCCATAGACTCTTCGCGGGTTTCGATGGAGCTTGTCGCCCACGACTATGTTGGAATCAATCCGTTCAGAGATCTCGTGCCCATGTCCTCCAGATATACATTCCTGCGGCCGATCGTCATCGCCGTTTCTGCACTCCACTACTCTAATCTGGTCCGCCGTGCTGCTCCGGGGGACAAAGAGGAGTCCCCAGCGTCCATAAGCGCTCTCATTCATGCGCTTGATGCCCGCCACGCTGCCATCAGGACTCTTCAAGCCCTTCTCGAACACTGGCAACACGAAAAGTCTCAAGGCGCCCCCAAGGTTAGCCAGAGAAGTGGACCAGAAGTCGACGCTTTCCTCGCAACCATTGTCTTCTTCATCAACTTTGCCCTGATCGATTCCAGCGGTGGTGGCTGGCAGGCTCACCTGGGCGCTGCTGGAAGGTTGTTGATACCACAAGCTCCTAATTTCGCTGTGGACGAGTCTTCGCAAGCTTTGACGAAGCAGGCACGCCCGGCGACCGGTTTCGAAGCCTGCCTGGCTGCCCTGTTTTCCGACCTGAGCACAGAAAAGGCCTCCCTGGTATCGACGCCTGCCCTCTGGCATTCTCACCAGCTGACCGTGAGGGACTTTGTGGCCTCCGACGCCGTAGCCTACTACGTATGGAACAGCACGCTAGCTTCCCTGATCAGGCCGCCTTCTTTTCCAGAAGGGAGAAACCCCTCGCCCGATCAGGCTGAGAACTCTTGGGAACTTGATCCTGAAAGCCTCCTGCCTATCCTCCTACGCACGGAGACGAACTGCTACCACAGCTGCCCAGCTGCGTTGCTCTGTTTGATGCTCCGCACGTCCCGGCTTGTTCGGCGATTCCGGAACTCTCCAAATCCGGCGCAGCACGCCTCACAAGACGAAAGGCTGTCGGTGTTCACGGAGCTGTTGCAGGAAGCACAAAGCTTCGACGTCGAGCAGTGGGCCGCCGACATGAGCGCGCGCAACGCGGCCAACCTCGTCTCCCAGATCCCTCCCGAGATCGAGATGGCACTGCGGGTGCATGTCGGCGCAGTGTACCGCGCCACGGCATGCTTGTACATCCTGCTCGCTGCCCCGGGACTGTACCGCTACGTCGAGCACCGGCGGAGTTATTCCGACAATCCGCAGGCACTGCCGACCCTCCCGCTCACCTCTGAGCTTGCGGAGCTCATCCACCACCACCTCTCCAAGTTTGAGCCGGATAGCCCCTTCTTCAAGTACACCACCTGGCCCGTCTTTATGACTGGAGTGGAAGCAGGGCCGTCAGGCGAACGCCGCGCGTGGGTCATCGCACGGCTGCAGCGGATGTACGATCTTTGTCCGTGGGGCATGCTCAAGTCAGCAGAAGACGTGCTGTTACAGATTTGGGCGGCCCGCGACCGGGCAGCCGTGCCCATGGCCGAGAAAATGGAAGCTGCAGAAGTAGATGGCGGGGAGCTGCTGGTTGGTGGTGCAGAACGACGGTCGGATCGTCAGGTATTATTGGCGGACGATGACGAGCACGACTGGCTGAGCAGGCTCCGCGGTCTGAAAATCGACTGTCTAATTGTGTAGCTCGAGGTATCGTTACCGACCGCAAAGGGATGGATGGTATGAGGTATCAGAGCACGCAAAGGAGTCGTCATTCTGTAACAAGTCGATACATGTCGCAATCAGTATCGGACTGACACGTCCCTGGACATCCTGGCGAACCATATCTAAGGAAGCTTATACGAAGCGTGTCAGACATTACGTAGTGTGGGCAAGTACGGGAGCATTCTGATGCATTGATCATGTATGAGCGCAGACGCTACTCTGACAAGATGCCAAAAAGAAAAGATCCGGACCCCACGGCATCTCGTGTAGCCTCGACATCGAACGATAAGGTCTCATAGATGCAAGTGATCGCGGAAGCCCCCAAGTCGCAAGCGCAAACCGGCCTGTGCATCTCTGACCCAGCGGTGTCAGACACGCATGACACTATAGACGTAGCCTTAGACCACGTCGGATCTCGCAGGTGCGGCCCCAGCCCTTCTATGCAATGCATGTCTCAGATATTGGCTGCACTACGCCCATGCCGCTTGACCAGGGCTATCCATCCCGTTGGGTTCTCTGCTCGTGCCGGGTCCCCCCCCCTTCCGGGTTCATCAAATATGGTCCGTCAATACTTTGATGCATACATCACGATAAATAGCTGGAAAACATCTGTCACGTTTCCCTCCGTGACGGCTGCGCAGGGATCAATGAAGCGGGCAACCCGAGACCCTCCTCGGCAGATTCGACGTCCGATAATGGCCCATCCCAATTAATGTGGAAGGCAACACCGGGCTGAGCTCAGACACGAATAGCCTGGTGATGCCGAAAGTGAAAGATACGCCTCATTGTGTGCGCATATCTCAACGCCGTGCTCTAGCTCTGTGTCTCCAGATCGCACCACTGCTGCTCATTTGGGTGCACCTAAGCAAAGAGAGCAAATGTCTCACCATGGATGCAGAGTTCCGCCCGCACCGCTCCGGGCGTCTGGCAGGAGATCCCAGCACACGACTTGCCTCTGTGCTCAGCGATCAAACACGCAGAGCAATTGCATCTGATCTGAGGTAACGGGAACGGTGATGTCAGAGCAGTCGAAAAGAGCCACCTGCGGCGGTAGAAGCGAGCGTATCGGAATATAGAGTTGTTAGACCGGGGCCGCAGCTGGCCGCATTTAGGGTTTACCTGAGCAAGCCGTTGGCAACCCAAAATGCCATTCTTGGCGGGCCAGAACACCTGAAGGTCCAGCCCAAGCTCGGGTTTGTCTCGTTTTCCAGCTTGTGATCAGTGTCACATCAGGCAAGGTGCAGGTATTTACGATCGTGTCCCCAAACCCCTCGTTTCAGCGCGGCTCAAGTTGAGCGGGACTATCCACAAGCCCATGTGTGGCTCGATTCCAGTTCTGACCTGTTCTTGCGCGTAAGAATACACGAATTGTACTGTCATGAATTGCGAACGACTGTCACCATTTGCAGTGGCCAGTCCTTAGCTCACTGCCAAAGCTAGGTCGCCCACTAGCGCTGTGGATGGAGTCCGTGCTCAAATTGCCATGTGGCCGAGATCGACCGGCCCCGTTCTCCTCCCGGGCTCGATGTGGACCGGCCATTGAATCCTCCTAGTGCTGAGACACGATGAGCCTGTCGGCTCGCCGCACACTCTCGAAATATCCCCGAAGAGGCTGCGATGGGTGCCAAGTTTGATGTCCATCTTTGGAGCAGTCTGTATCTGCTTCAGTTGCTGTGCTCCAAGGCCCAAAGACTGGGCTCGCCTTGTGACGAAGAGCGGGTGCCGGAAGATCCATGGAGAGGTTCCGCTGTGGAACGAGCCATGCCTTGCTAGTCGCCGCCACTGCTCACTGGTGGTGCACTTTCTTTGAGGCTGGCCATGTTAGCGCGGTATGGGGGCAGCGGCCCACGACTCGGAATCGACACACGCCGCCCAGCTGAGGTGGAAGCTAAGCATTTGCCGGCAGGTCTTTTTGGCCTTTGAGATGAGCTGCGGCGACTTCTGACTCGCCAGATCAAGTGATTCAGTGCGTTACGTGCAAGCCGCGCAATAAGGTTGGAGTCGTGACGACAGCTGTAAGATCGATCCCAGATAGGGAGCACCCCACGAAAGCGAGCCTGGCTTGAAGGAGCCCCCATGCCAGGATGCACCCATCGGCCGCCCGGCAACCTTGTCCAGATTCGACTGCGTAGACTTGCTCACGGCTTGCCCCTCGAATCGCAAGTTGCTCCACCGATCAAAGCCCAGAAGGCCGCCTCATCGCAGCGCCGAAGGCACAGTGGGGGTGGGAGTGGTTGACAGTCGACTGCCAGAAGAATAGCAGATCGAATCCCGCTACAGTACACTCCTTACCGTGCAGAGGAGCTTGTCGTCTTGGTGGCCACACGAGAGCAGAGAGTGATGCAGGCGACTGGACACCTTGAGGCATGTAATGCCAAGATAGCGCTGCATTAGCCTGGCAGTTGCTGGAGCGAGCGTGCCTGCGCCCATGGGCAGGCTCCTTTCCTTGTGCAGCAAGCAAGCAAGCACTTCGGGCGCGCGGTCGGTCGTACCTGCATGATGAAGCGGAGCCGGGCTTTGATGTTGGATGTTCTTCAGGTTTCAAGCCACGCACCAACACCGACGCACCATCACGGTGCAGATTCGTCATCCTTGTCACGGCCAGCCCCAGCCGAAGAACTTTTCCCCCTCCGCCTTGGAGGCAAGGTAATTGCAACACGGAACACGACTCCTCAAGCGAAGGGACCCTTCCATTTCGGAGGAACACAACGTGGCCATCGGCTCGGACGCCGTAGAGCCAGCCATGGACCCCTGCTGTCAACCAGGGATCGTATGCTTCTTCATCTTGCCTGTCTATCCCTGCCGGCGGCCCTGGCACAGCATGGGTGTTCCCACAGGCCCACTGGATCCGCAGGTCACGATGGGCGGGTTTTCTTGCCCATAGGAGCCATGTTATGTACGGAGTACCGAGGATGGAGCAATAAAGGCACGACAGAGATGAGGCATGGCACCCTTGCCGGGCCCATCTTGGGCGGTAGATCATCCTTTCGTTCCTGGGTCGCCATGCAGGTCATGATGGATCACGGAGTCAAGCTCCCCGACTGCGCCCCCGATTGACCAGCGCAATGTGTGCGGCGCCCTCTCTTACCCTCTCTTACCCCTTTTCCATCGTTGTGGCCAGGTCAGCAAGTGTGGCAGATGCGGCTCAAAATCCGCGATTCCCCACGCTAATAACGTACGCGACTCCGCAGGATCATTATCATCCACGCGAGTATGGGACTGCACCGGCTCGTGCCCTGGTGGCCCCTGCCAGCCTACCCGGGCCAGACCTCTTCGTTCCCTGCCCCTTCTGGAAGCAACGAATGCATGCTGTTGGCGGTCTCATCGTCGTGCCCCCCGCGACTTGTTTACCGCAAAGCGCGCTTCCTACGACAACCCACCCGACGGGAAATGCTGGCTGTCCACAAGCCGCATCACAACTGTTTGTATCCAAGTGAACAACGATACATCCTCCAAGAGGCCAAGCCCGCAGCTGTCGAGGGTGTGGGGAACATGCCGATGGGCCCTGAGGCACCCGATGGCGCGCCCGTGCGTCACGGCACAGGCCCCCGCCACCGCGTAAACCTAGCTCGTGGGAAATAGGGGACGTTGAGAGCTGCTCTGTAGGTTCAGGTACTCTCGGCTCTGGAATCATTGCCGACCGGACACGGCTGGCCTAGAGAACATATGCTGCGAGGCAGCGCTCCGTTCGCGATTCTCATGCTGGTGCGCATATCAACGACAAGACTCGCTTTGGGACCCTATCCAGACGGACAGTGGAATGCATTGCTGGGATCAGGTGTTTGTGTTGCCCCTGCTTGCCTCTTGATTGCTGGCCTAGGAGTGAAGTGCGCTTTGGCGTTGCTGTGGCCCAGACGATAGGGCCTGGTGGCTCAAAGCCTGAGCCCGATAACAGCCTCATTGATTGCTTCGATTCAGTCTAGAATCAAATCTAGGTGTCTGGAGTGGCGGGATTGGGGGTCTAGCATCACTATGCTTGACTCCTGTCGTCGCTCCTTTCCTCTCCGTCTCTCTAACGACTCCATGCCACCATTCTTGCGGACCTCCATTCTAGCTGTCGACCCGCGCGCAAGTACAGGCAGTGAGGAATGCTGGAACCTATCCAGTGTCACGCTGTTTCCTCGACACTGACCCGACGCAATTGCTGCTCGTCCGCACTTGTCAGTTCCGGTCTGGCCTTCAGAGCCTGCTCCCACTAACCCTTGCGTGGAGAGCGACGACACTGTGCTCATTTGTCCCGACGAAAAGTTCGACCTGGGACGTTGCTCGCTGCACGACAGTCGGCTTACTACATATTGCAACACAGCTTCATGCCAACGACGACGAGAGATCCTCAGCATCTGAGCCACAGGATAGGTACGCTTCTTCGACTTCTTCGTCTCTCTACCCCTCGAGGTTGCGCAGGAGCCAGAATTGCTTCTGCGTTGTGGAGATCGCGCCGTCCATACACCCGCCCGAGCACTAGGCAGAGTCAAGCTAGCTTGGTGCTTGCTAACATCGCTCAGCTCCTTGTGGTTAACCACACCCGCCCCCCTTTCGTCTGGAAACGCCGGGCTCCCAATCCTCCCGCGAAACTGTCCCTTGCGACTGCTTGCTTGCTTTTTCATACCGACCTGCAGCCTCCCGACCGGTGCATTTTCGCTTCCTCTTCATTCCTCAAATCCGGCATTCCTGCTCTCCAATTCGGCAGGCCGTCTTCGCCCGCAGGCACCACAGCCACGCACGACCCTACCGAGAAGACCGACAGGACAGGCAGTCCGCGGCCCCCTGCAACACCGGACCCGCTGCCACGAGCAATCCTGTGCTGCACAGCAGACTGTACGCAGGCGCAATTCCACACCGTTCGCGCTCTCCAGCCAGGGCTGTCTTGCCCCGTGCCAGGCCGGGCTATCCCTCCTGACCAGGCCGGCCCAGCAGGCCTTCTTCTAATCATGGCCGCCTTCAACCCCGATGCGCCTGCCATGGCGAGTCCTTCGACATCTGGTCCCGTCGCTCCTCTTAGACATTCCCGCTCGAGGACGCAGAGCGTGTCCAGCGACCGACCCTCGACGATCGCCCACAGCCTCATGTCCGCGCCCCTTTCTGTCTCCCCAGAGGCGGCCTTTGTGGCGGCCTCTGCAGCGTCGCAAATTGTCACGAACGACCACGACGCCCACTCGGAAACCTGGTATGATCAGGTCGGCATCGAACCCTCGGGCGAGACCGCTCTCGTGTCGACGGGTGCCCTTCAGCTCGCCAACAATTTCATCGACCACATTCTCTTCAACATCATCGCCACCGCAAAATCAACAAGGCTGTCCGACTTGCGCAATGCCGTTGGCGAGGTCCTGAAACCCAAATTGGCTCAAGATGCCATTAACAATGCCGACGAGGAGCTGAGAGAGTACCTAGGCGGAGGCGACATTGAGGATCTCGAGCCCCCGGCACCTTCGGCCTCGCCTCGTGACTGGGATCTCGAGCTCGCATGGAAGCGGACACGGCTGCGATGCATGGTTTATTCGTCGCTAGGTGACATGGAGGAGGAAGATGAGGACTACTACATGGAACAGGAACATCTCCGTGCGGATGGCGATGATATTTTGTCAGAAACAGTCTCGCCAGCCGTTGCGATTTTCCTCACGTCCATATTGGAATTCATGGGCGAGCAGGTGCTCGTAGTCTCGGGGCAAGCCGCTTTCAATCGCCTACGCCTCAAGTATGAGAAAGAGCTGCGGGACGGCTCTCGCTCGCCCGGCGAGGTTGCCGACCGTATCATTGTTGACGAGCTCGACATGGAGCGTGTCGCATTGGATCGCACCTTCGGTAGGCTCTGGCGCGCCTGGAAGAAGAGAATAAGGTCGCCCACCGATCAGAACTTTTCGCGGCCGTTCTCCCGCAGTTCTTTTGGGATGTCGCATGCCAGACAAGACAGCAGTGCAACAGACAACTTGACGTCTGCAGCACTTGCGAGTGCCGAGGCAGCTCTGGTCTCCGCAGAGGTGGACAAGACCACTACAGGAGGTGCTGATGAAGCCACACATGACGTAGTCGAGCCTACCGACATTGCTCTTCCGCTTTCTCCCCGGGACGTCGACGAAATTGAGGTGCCTGGACTCGTCTGCTACAGTGACGATGACCTGAGCGATGATGAAGAATACGAATTCATCCAGACTCCACGACCTGCCAGCATGATCATCTGGCCAGCAAGACACCGGGAATACCAGAATGAGGACCAAGCGACAAGCAACGATATTCCACCAAAAGTCAACAAGAAGCCGCAGTCTGAACTGGACGAGCCTGAAAGTGGCGAAGTTTCTTCAAGGGCGAAGCTTGCGCACTCCACGATTCCCGACGACACTGAGGAGACTGAAAGGGACCCTAGCGAATCCAAAGATGTCGCAGACGGCTCCGAATCAATTTTGGACAATGCGACGCTCGAGGGCGAGGCGACCGACCAGCCGGCCCTGCTTGTCCCCACCGTCGACAAATCGGAAAGGTCCCCTCAAAGCCGGCCACGGGCAAGGTCGCAGCCGGGGGCTTCACGTCGTCGTCGCATCTCGCCGGTCAGAGTCCCTGCTGCAAGTACTTTGGAGTCGCAAGAGCGCGAGGTGCATGCTAGCAGCGAAGACCATCAGGAACCAGCTGTGGTGGAAGATTCTGCTGCCGCCAGCGTTGTGACAGGAGATGGCCCAAGCGACAGCCACGTGTCTGCCGGCAAAGCCCTTGAGGCCGCCTCCGTGGGAGCTGCTATCGGAGGTGCTGTTGCCGCCGGCAATGCGGTAAATTCTAGCACTGCCGAATCCACGCGCTCTGGCACGGAACTGGCCGATGAACTCGACGAAGAGCCGCAAATCATGACATCGTCGCGCATTTCAGTCTATGGCGCCCCTGAGGGCGTCATGCCCTCACCTGGTATCCCAGTGCGAAGCAATAGTATTCGTTCCGCGCGTATTATTGATGTCCCGTCGCGGAGCCCGACTACTAGGTCGCGAAACAGCTCCGTCGACACGGTGGAGAGGAGCGCCTCGCGCGGCCCGCCTGTTACCGCCGCAGCAGCTTCAATCAGAAGCCCACGTATGCCCACGCCACCGATCGCAGAGGAGCCCACAACGAGATACGAGAACGGGACTTCTGCTGTGGCTGATAGTCACGATGTTACTCTACTGGCAGCGCCGCCCAAGAGAAGCCGACCGCCCATGAGCTCAGGCCCACAGTCGTCCGGATCGCACCCCCCGCCGATCAAGTCAACAATGTCCAGTCCACTGGCTGCGGACCAAGATGCTAGGTCGGCAAACTCGCCGCACATGAGGAAATCACCGCTGCCAACGCTTCCAGAGCGGAACGCGAGCCGACCAAACTACCAAGCGCAAACAGCAAAGGGGTCACCCGAGTCGCCGAAGGTGCCTCGCCAGGTCACGACCGAGTCTCCCCCATCGGCCTCTTCCAAATTTCGTGCGGTCCGGAGCGCAGAGGAGAGCAGTGCCAGCAACAACGCTGCGCCTGCGCGGGCGCAAGATGTGGCACGTAACTTTGAGGAGCTCATCCACAGCGACCAGACGCTACAATACACCCTGACACCTGAGAATATGCGGGACATTAGTGTAAGTCGACAATCCGAGGTGAGAATATCTGGTGGTTGCGTGCTAACCACCGCACAGGCCTCAAGCACAGAGAACAGTATCGGCGTGGGTTCCAAAGGACGCCGCAGCGACGAAGCCAAGCTTGTTGAGCGGTCCAGGTCCTCCTCCATCCAGAGGTCGATGTCTGTGACAAAGCCCAGCGGTCTGAATTCGCACCCTGTGACCGAGCCTGGCTCTGCAGGGAAGCTTAATGGTCCGGTGCCAAGATCTGGGCAGTACTCGCCTACGAAAACTCGATCGAGCGCATCTGCTCAGCAAGCCCGTGACGCTAGGGTTCCGCGGGAATCGCTGCAGGACTTTGCTGCTTTCATTCGATCTACTGGCCCCCCCGGCGAGCCCGCGGCTCCCCAACGTGTTGGCACGGGAGGCAGTGGTAATGGCTACCGTCAATCCAGTGGGCCTGTAACGACATCGAGGGAGGCCAGCCATGGCCGCACTGAGTCCGCGAACCGCATTCGGCAAACAGCACGAGATGCTACAGTATCCGAGGGCGACAGCGCCGAGCTTGCCGATTTCCTTCGCAGGGGACCACCAGGTGCTACTGGAAGCGGCGCTCGGGTACAACGACAAGGCGTCACACCGCGATCTGCGCCTGATTATGATAATCACTCGAACGCACCTGTCCGCAACAGCCAAGCATCCACCACCATCACTGAGGCATCTGCGCCGTCATCGCTCAACTCGTCCACGGCCCTACTAGGGAGGAACAAGCCTGCCCAGTATTCCAACAACTTTGACGATGGCGACATGATGCCACAAAGGAAGCAGCGGCGTGTGCGGGATCCGTATGCAATCGATTTCAGCGATGAGGAGGATGATGACGAACTCTTCGACGAGACCCCGAAGCCCAAGGCTAAGCCCAAGCAAGAGGAGAGCCTGATTGATTTCCTCAAGAACTACGAGCCACCACCAGAGCCTGTCTCGGCTCCAGTGGTTCCTCCCACGCTTCCCAAGAAGCGGTCTGCTAGCAACCTGATGGCGCGCCTGAGGTCCAATGGACACTCTAGCTCGAACTCCATTTCGAGCAAGCAGTCTGGCAAGCCTTCGACAGAGCCGCGGGCTACCAATACTGCCGCTCCGACCGTGAACAGGGGCTACACGCCAATCACGGTCAACATCCCGCCGGACTCTGACAAGCTCGGCAGCTTCTTTGACACACCAGCGCCGCGGGCCCCCCAGTCTTCGGGCCGCGTGCCGATGAAGAGGTTTGAGCCCCGCGATGCGGTTTCTGCGAGCTCGAGGACCAGCGATCTCGCTGCCTTCCTGCGCGACTCGGAGCCGCCCCCGGCCAATCTGGCCATGCAGAGACCGGGGCCGCCTGAACCGCAGCAGAGCAGCAGCAGTGGCCTATCGCGCGTGTTCGACAGGCGGAAGAAGACGTCGGGCTTCTGATTACCACCTCAGCCCTGTAGTGTTTGGTTTTTTTGATTTTTTTTCATTTTCATGCATTGGGACGCACGCTAGACCTGCAATCTGGATCCGAAAATACCCTGGATGAAGACATTGTTGACGCTTGCCGCTGCGCTGGACGTCCATTCATTGACGAACGAATCATTCTATTGGCGACTTGGCGGCCTGGCCCGTTTTTTTCCCCCTTCCTTTTTGGCCACGGCTTCTTCTTTTCTTCTTCTGCTTTGCTTCTGTCTGCAGTCTCTGCTACCAGTAGAGGAATGACTCTCCCGTTTGTACTGTACTTCAAGCAGAGTAGGTAGCAAAAATCTGGAGTGGCTGATGAAGAATGATGCACTATAATTCTTGTTGGGTAAATTTGGCCCACTCGCCCGAGTCTTTGCCCAGGGTTGTTGGAACAAGGTACTAAGTGACGCGGCAAGCCAAAAGTCAAAATGATGGGCGCTGTTGGGCTGGCCCACCTGTGCCGCGGGCCCCGGACCAGGACCCCCCTCCCCTCATTCTCGCCAGCGCTGCAGGCCTACCTTAGTAGTTTTAGTCACGGCGGGGTTTGGCGAGAGCAAAGAGTGAGAGAAAACTTGTAGCACCAAGACATGGGGGTTGCTCGTCCCAAACCGGTTCAGCCCACGGCAGCTGCCGAATGATTGTGCAGATCGATTAGCTAACAGGATGATGTGAGGGGACAGCGTGGTGGAATTTTGCACCGAGAGGGGCCGGGCCAATGGCAGGTTCCGAGGCTATCATCGGTGTTTTGCTCGGTGCCAGTCATCATGGACAAAAGCCTCAGCTGGAAGGAGTATTCTGCGACTTTATATCTTCGTGACTGAGCACTTCTCTCGTCTCGTCCTGTCCCCCTTCCTTGTCTTGTCTTGTCTCCCTGCTCTGCCGTCCAGACGCAGCTTCACGTGGGCTTTCTCCTTGGCGCTCTTTCCTTGTCTTGTCGGTCTCCTGGTTTCTAGTCTCGGTCCTGGTTGGCAGCTGTACTGGTTTCCTACGCTCCCATCTCGTCCACCTTTGACTGGGCACCGCTTGATTGAGTCAGTCGCTCCTGCTCACACCACCTTGACGGCAGCTGGACAGCGGGCAAGATGGCCTCCATCGACTCCCGGGACGATGGCAAGATGGCCGCCACCATTGCCGAGTCTCGGCACGCGGCAGGTCTCCAGACAGATGTTGTCGCCGACACAGAGGCTGGCGCCACCGGAACGGCGACCCGGCCAGAGGGGGATGCGGCGGCGGCGGTCGAGTACGATGTTGCGCGGGTCGAAAAGGTGTACCGCAAGATCGACATGCGCATCATCCCTGCGTTCTGGGTGCTGTACTTTCTGTGCTCGGCGATCCGGTCCAACATTGGGCTGGCGCAGACGATGAACGCCAACGTGGGCCACGATCTCATGTCGGTCATGCACCTAAGCGCGCAGGACGTCTCGACCGCGCTCGCCCTCTTCTATGTCGCCTACGTCCTCTTCGACCTACCCTCGAACCTCGTCATGGCCAAGCTCAGCCCTCGCGCCTGGATGGCCCGCATCGTCTTCGCCGTCGGCGTCGTCGGCGCCTGCTTCGCCGCCGTCAAGGACCCCTGGAGCGTCAAGCTCCTCCGCTTCATCCTCGGCGTCGTCATTGCCGGCATGTGGCCTGGCATGTCGTACTATCTAACCCTCTTCTACCCGCCCTCGCGTACCGGGAAGCGCATCGGCTACTACTTCACTGCCGCCCAGGTCTCGGCGGCGGCCGTCGGTCTCGTCTCGGCGGGGTTCCAGCTCATGGACGGCCTGGGCGGGCTCGTCGGGTTCCAGTGGATGTTCCTGCTGTACGGCCTAGTCGCCATCGTTCTCGGTGTCGTCTTGCTGTGGTGGCTCCCGGACAGACCGCTTCCGCCGGGCGAGAAGAGAGTGCGGACGGGCCTGTTCAAGTTCCTCCCACCAACACCCGAGGTCCTCACGGGCGAGGACGCCGCCATCCACTACGCCGACCTGAGGCGCGTATATCACCCGAGACCCTGGAACATGCGCGATCTGGGCCGCGTACTCGCAGACTGGCGGCTGTGGCCCCTGACGCTCATGTACTTTGGCGTTGTCGGCGTCGGCATCGGAACCCAGCTCTATGGCACCGTCATCATCTCGTCCATCAATCCCAATTTCACCGGCGTCCAGCTCAGCCTTCTCTTCGCTCCGATCTGGATCATGGACCTGATTGCCATCCTCCTCGTCACTCCGATCGCCGACCGCTTCCACCAGTACCGGCCTTTCTTCTTCTCGGCTGCCGTCTGCATCCAGATTGCTGGTCTTTTGGTGGTGACCTTCGCCCCGACCTCGAACCCTTGGGCCAGATATGGCGGCCTTCTCATGGTCGGCTTTGGCCTGGGCCCAACGGTCCCTACCTGCATGGTCTGGTCCAACGAGATCTTCCAGCGGCGCCACGGCGAGGTGGGCGTGGCTGCCGCCTCTGCTCTGGTATCTGGCCTGGGCAACCTTGGGAGCATCACGACTACTTATGCTCTGTATCGGGGATGGCCCGCGGACTCTGCCCCTGGTCCGTACCAGTATCGCAAGAGCAACTATGTCATGATCGGGATCCTGGCCGTCAGCATCTTGAGTAGCTTCGTCATGTGGATTGCGCTCCGCATCTTCGGGAACGAGCCGAGCCGCAAGACTGCCACCAATAACAACGACGGATTCGACAGCGACGAGTTCCAGGACGGCGCGGCTCGCCGTGAGCGTGAGCAGCGTGGGTTCAGTGGGATGTGGTGGAACAAGCGGTCGTAAGGCTGTCCACTGTCCACAATCACACCATCAGCGACTTTGAACGCCGCCCACGATTCCAACAATTCGGCCGCTCCAGGGAAGCTCACCTCGATATTATCTTTCGCAATCTTGGCGCATGCCTTGACGAGCAGTTCAACCTGCTATTATCAAGCCGGTCTCATTCCCGGTGCTTTTAATTCTTTCTTCGACTGTGCGCGCTAAAGCAGCGCGCATGTTGTATACACGACAATCTTACCACTTCGCTTCTCCACCACAAGACATAATCAATACCACCAACAACAACAACAATAGCCCTCAGTCCATCCAGCCCGTCAGGAAAGCGCCACAATACATTGATGCAAAATCTTGGCACTTTACCCCTCCCTTGAAACAGGGAGACAGGGGAAAGCAGCAAAGGTTTTCATTGAGACCAGCGACAGTGCTTCTACGCCATTGCTGGGCGTGCCGCTTTTTTTCCTGTCGAGGGTCGGCTTGGATAGAGGGAGGAGAGAGACGAGTCTATATGCACGCATGTACTTTTTGGGAGTCCACGACGACAACGCTGGAACGCTATCGCTTCGCTTGGACTCTGTCTTGTCTCTCTGTTCCCTCGTTGAGGGCACGACATGATGATGACCAAAAAAAACAAGAACGATGTTGATGACGGGCTGCAGGTGGAAAGCATTGACTGTCTAAGACGGCGACGGAGGATCTCTGCCGCACTGTCGTGAAGTCGATGGGTTTCCCCCTTCTCGACCCCAGTTAACGTTGTGGCTTTTTTTAATTCTACACTGCGTGTTCTTTTTCCTTTCAGGCGCACGATATGATACCCCCCCTTTCTCACACAATCCACCAAAATACCCCAGATCTTATTGTTTCGGACACGCCTCATCGTTTCGGGTCGGGGTGCAGGGAAGTCGTGGAGGGCTAGGCCAAGGGGGGACCAACCCACCACAAGTCAAGTCCTTCTGTCTCCCCCGTTAGACCGGTCCTCCTCTGGAAGGCCAACGCCCCCCGATCCGACCATTGCGAAAGTGCTGCTACGCCATCGCCATGGAGATGCAGGTTTTTATATAGTTGGTGTCCCAACCCTGTTTAATTCCGTCTGACAACCGGGGGTGGGCCTTTTCTCCTCCCGCCCCGGGGTTGTCCTTTGACACACAACCACTTTACTCTCTCTCTGTCCAAAAGTATTTGAAGAGGGAGAGTATTGAAGAAGAAGAAAAGAAGAAGAGAAGAAGAAAACGGCACAAGAAGAGGAGCGCGGGACCTCGCGACAATGCCCTGCGCTATCGCGCCTAGGGGAGCTCGGCTCGGTTATTTATCCAGATTGGGGGGAAGAGGGAGATTTATATCATTAAAAACATTCTTTTTTTACTCATACGTATTATTGCGTCGAAAACATGCCCGTGTACCCCGGAAGGGAGTGTATTTGTGTGTATGTGTGTGTATCTGTATCTTTGAGATTGCTTCAAGTCACGATTTGAGAACGCAATGGACGAGAAGAGGTGAACAAGCAGTCATGGTATGTGAGTGTGGCATATCTTTATTATTGTGTGTTCATATCGAAGAGCTGGGTACATATCAGTGACCTGCTGCTGCGCATCCTACTTACTTGGCAGTCATGTCGGCCATAGGCCGTTGGGTATTGCTCTTCAACGTCGTCCACCCCTTCCGCGACCACCACCACCACCGCCGCCGCCACCTCGCCCACGGTTCTGGCTCCTCTGTCCGCCTCCCCCGCGTGGTCTGGATGGCGGTGCGCCGCCGCCATGTGCCCTACTGCCTCCTCCTCCACCACCGCCATTACCACCACCGCGATGGCTACTACGCGCATTCGGCCGTGGCGGCAGGCTGGCGTATCCTGAGGGCATAGGTGGAGGAGGCCCAGACGGCAATGGAGGCTGCCAGTTCCCGCCATTATTCCCACCAGCACCAGCACCAGCACCAGCATCAGCACCAGCAGCACGGTTGTTTCCGCCGTTCCGACTGCTCAGCGCAGAGAACCCTCCTCCTCCTCCTCCTCCTCCGGGGGGTAAAGGGGGTGGCGGGCTGAACTCGCGCTCGTCCCGCCGGCGCTGGGACTGGGCTGCGTTGCGCGGCGGGCCGCCCGAGGCAATGTTGCTCGATATGCGAATGCTTCCGGCGCCAGACCGGCCCTGGGTTCGCTGCTGGGACCTCGCGTTGTTGGTGTTCCGGATCGGTTCCTGAATGAAGCCGTCGTCTGAGTCGTCACTAGAGACAAAGTGCGTGTGTGTCCGGCGTGGCCCGGCGTGGCCGCGGATATGGAAAGCTGACGGCACTGCGCTTGCCGAGGCGGAGTCGACATTTGCCCACCCGATGGCGACGGCATCGCTGGCCGGGTCGATGTACAAGTCCCGGTTGGCCTGCGACCATGTCGTCGGCCCTGCAATCTTTGGACCGCGACCTGGCAGCCCGCATTCGGGCCCGTAGTGGCCCTGGCGGCCGCAGGTGAAGCAGAAGGTCGGAATGGTCTTTACTGTCCTGCGCGTGACAGCCCCCGGGTTATAGCTACGCCATATCTCGGAGCACTCGGCCTCGAGGTGTGGCGCACCGCAGAATGCACATGGATCCCGCTCCTCTGCTGTGAGTGCCAGCTTCTCCGTACACGATTTCGAGCTGTGACCAAGCGCGTAGCACCGACTACATCTCCGCTTGGTTGGGCAGCCGTAGCTCGTGTGCTTGAAGCTGGAGCAGAAGCGGCATGATCGCTGCGGGCACTCCTTCGCTTTATGGCCAATCCCCGAACAGGACAGACAGTACTGAGACGGGTCTGCTGCGCCAGGATAGTAGAGCTGTTGCTGCGTAAGCTCCTCGTCCGTGTCAAGGTCAAACACCTCGCCGTCTTCTTGGTCCGCCTCGTTGTCACTGTCGCCTCCAGACTCGCTTGACGAGCTGCCCTCCTCGTCGAGCTCACGCTGCGCATCCTGCTTGCACTCTGCAACGAGCTTGTCTAGGGCCTTTTGGTCGATGCCTGCCCACATCTTGGTCACGGCTGACCTCGCCTTGGTGACGGAGTTCTTGGCTCCCTTCTGCTTGCCAACATTTGTGTTGATATAAGAGTTGAGACCGAGGACAAGAACTTGCTTGTTCACACCTTCCGCATACTCCATATTCTCCTTCAGGAATGCAGTAATCCAGATATCCAGGACCGAACGCCAGCCAGCTGGCTTCCGCAGAGCCGAGTTCTTCGGTATGGAGAATGGCGCGGTAGCGGGGACTGTCCAGGTGATTGCCCCCGACTTGAACGTCGCCGGCGCCGCAGCCGATGCGGCACCAGCGGGCGACTTGGCCTGATTAGAGGCTGGTGTTGAGATCGTCCCCTCTGATGCTCCAGCGCTTGGTCCCTCCTGATCGCCATCGTCGGCTTCTTCACCCTCTTCTGCTTCGCCCTCCTCAGACTGTTCAGAGGCTTCTGGTGAAGCAGAGCGCGAGCGAGCGCTTGCGAAGAGCGGCGTGCTCTTGGCAGGTGCTGTGTTTGCTGCCGTTCTGCCGGCAAAAGATGTCCGCACTCCTAGGCTGATACCAGGGTTGTAGCCATTCGTAGTGACGGGCGCGGGTGTCCCTGAAGGCTTTTCAGCGTTCCTGGGAGACATCTTGCGCGGGCGCGAGCTCCTGGACGCTTCCGAGTGTCTGGAAGAGGCACCATCGTCATCGTCATCAGACTCTGATATCTCACCATCGTCGTCGTCATTAGACTCTGACACCTCGCCATCGTCAACACTTTGCGCCTCATCGTCGCTGTCCCCTTGCCCTACGCGCTGCTTCTTAGTTCGCGGCGAAGAGTCAATATGGCCTCCATCTCCCTCGTCGCCGGACGGCGTCAAGCCTTTGAGATCTGCGGCGAAGTCGCGCGGCCTTTTACGCGACGGCGATGGCGTCTTGCTTTCTGCAGCCGGGGTCTCTACCTGTGGGCCTGTTTCTGGTGCCGCGCCAGGCTCAGTCGTGTCCATGAGGGATGGCTGGATTGGGTCTATGACCTGTGACGCGCCCAAACAGGTGGCTTCTTAAGCTTGGCGATAGCTAATTGCACGACTGCACAGCTTTGGGTGTTGTGTTGCGATCTTGGACTGCGACTTTCTATGGGGAGGAACATCGAATACGACTGGATGCGGTTTAGCTTCTTGAGAATTTGATATTGCCGCGCGCAGGCGTACAGTGAGGCTGCACGTCCAGGCACGGCCCTCATATGGGCGCGCGCCTTCCAACTTTTCCACGTGCGCAGCACAGTGCTCAGTGGGCATCTCCGCTAGTGCCTAGCTCGACCTCAAGTGACATATGTGATGCAACAGGAAGGGTTGCCATTTTTCATGATGGCTGAGAGAACCCTTCCACTAAAAACCAGTCAAATGGGCCCTCACGTGTACGAGCAGCGGACAGTCTCTCGGTCTCAATAGGGCAGCTTCAGTTGCAACAGCACCTCGTGATCTAGCGTCACTTATGCATTTCGGGCAGTTCCCAATGCCAAGGGCTAAGGAGACAACAGATGATGACGTGTGAGGGATGAAAGCCACACGCGTATGACCATCAGTGGCACCACCATCGTGGCCTCCAAAATGGGATGAGGCTGGCTGACAGGACTCCAGCCAGAAGCCATGGCTCGAGATGAGCAACGCCATTTACGGCCAGCACGCGCTGGGCACGCGACACGGGCCTCTACGAAGTTCCTATTCCGTGCTGAGCAGGCATACCGTAAGTAACCAGTAGCTGCGCGACGCAGGGTCAATGAATAAACATAGCAGGAGCCGGAGATTTCCCCCTGTTCCCGTCCACGCGGAAATGTACGTAGGGTCGTAGGGAAGCCCAAAGCATGCAGAAAGGGGCGTCCCGGCCGGCCGCGAGTCCGCGGAATCCGGCCATGGGTCCGGGGACATGTGCTCCGAGAGATCGTAGCGGGAGGTGGAGCAGGCCGCGCCTCCGGGCCCTCAACAAGCAGAGCCAGACGGGCCTCTGCCCAGTCCCTAGTAATTTAGCGACGGCCACCGTGTCCCATCTGTCGGGTGGCCGAGGGCAGAGCCACGTTGCTGCTGCTCTGGCTCCAGGTGGTGCTGGCTGACAACGCAGGACTTGTCATGTGGTTGCGGATAACAATAGCAATACTCTGCCAGGGTGATACGAGTGAATTGATTGACTGGAGTGCGTCGCTGTGCAGTGTTGACGATGCGGGTGAGACCCAGAGTGCCTGGCATGCGTTTATGCATGGCAGGGTCCAGGCCGCCGAGCGTGGCACTCACCCAGGCTCGTGATCCTTGCTAGCCCCGACCGGCCAGAGTGGGGAGGGCCTGCGGGCGCACGTAATATCCAGGAGTCGTGTCAAGAGCTGCCTCTGTCTTTGCTCTACATCATCATCACCACCCAACCATTCTTCTTCACAACAACGCCCGCAACCACTCTCCAGCCAGCTTCCCCGTAAACGGCGCAACTTTCCAGCTTCTTCTAGTCTCTCGTTCCCTTGGGTCGTTCATCTATTAACCCACTTTCACGTTACTCCGGACCAGAAACGTCGTGCCAGCTATTCAAAGCGACCAAGGCAAACGTCCCATTCACCAGCAGCGATTACCCCTTGCCAGTCCGAACATCAAGGCCTTTCCGTCGTCGAATCATAGTCACGAGCCCTTGTAAAGGCTCCTTGGGCTCGTCCACAGTCACGATCATATACCAAACGAACCTTCACACTTTCGCTAGCCCGAGCGTTGCCTGTCCGTGTCAACCAGGAACCCACCACATTTCTCAGTCGGAAAGCCCGATCACGGGTAAATCTAGTCGCTTCAGTTGCCACTCGCTTCAATAGCGGCACCAAAGGCACAGGCTTGACTTTTCCCGTCGTCCGACGATCGGCAGTCTTCTAAGCCAGCACGCCTACCGACTCGGCCAGCGGCACTACTCCTCGTCGTTCTACCACGGTCCCTTCAATACCGCCAAACTGTCTTCCCCACTCCTCCTCCCCCGCACCGTCTCCTACGACGTCGGCACGAACCCTCCCAGAGGCGGCAGTGTCTATTCCAACATGAGCGACCCCAGCCGGACAAGCAGGAGAAGGAGATCTAGTAGTATCCTCCAGATCTACCAAGAACCGCAGGAGCCACTCGAGCAGCTGAATGACCGTTCAGCGCTGCCCAATCTCAATGCGCAGTGGGTTAATGCCAAGGGTACGTTGTTGTGGCTCCTGCCAAAATGTACCAGATCACAACCCACTGACTTGTTTCTGCAGGAGCGTGGACCATCCACTTTGTGCTTATCGCACTCCTGAAAATTATCTGGGATGTGATCCCCGGCGTGTCCCAGGAGACATCATGGACCATGACCAACATCTCGTACATGTTCGGCTCGTATTTGATGTTCCACTACGTCCGGGGTGTTCCGTTTGACTTCAATAGCGGTGCCTACGACAACCTCAATATGTGGGAGCAGATTGATGACGGCGCCCAATACACGCCGGCTAAAAAGTTTCTTCTCAGCGTGCCCATTGTTCTCTTTTTGCTCAGCACGCATTACACTCACTACGACCTGACATATTTTACCATCAACTTTCTTGCTGTGCTTGCAGTCGTCATCCCCAAGCTACCCTTCGTAAGTCTCCACATCGTCTTTTTTGGTGTGCCACAGACATTGTGCCTGCGGTACCACCCCTCCTCGTTTGGGTCGGACAACTTGCTAATGTCTCCACAGAGCCACCGGATGCGATTCGGCCTATTTTCCGGAGTTCCGGAGGAGTAGCGAGAATGTTCGTTCAGCACGCCATTGGATGGACCGCGAACAATGAAGGATCAAGTCCGTGTAAAAAATTATCACAAAAAAGCGGATGCAGAGAGATGCAAGACGCAGCGTATGGCGATAAGAATAATACCAATTGCATTTTTTCAATGGCCAGTACTGTGACATTGCAAAGTGCTTTTGGCCATTCCGAGACGAGGTTCGTGCTAAAACCAAGGTACTCAATCTGGTGAGTTTCGAGAACTTTAGTTGGTCTCTAGTACTGAGTTGGCTGGCGATCAGCATCAGCTACCTAGACCTTCCTGCCGTGCGAGATGACATACTGTGCTATAGTCTAGCGCGCGCTTTTCGGACAACAAGGCCCGCGATCTGCCAAGGCCAGCATATCATACGATGGCCTATCTAGCCACTCAGTCTAGTGGTGATAACAACTCCGCTGACTGACATGGCAGGTTCTGAAGCATGTGTCCGGGACACCAGTGGTATTGGCGGCACTCAGTCCGGCACTCGGGCACGGGGGAGCATGCCGTGATCGAGAAACACTAACTGCCCTCCCTCGTGCTTGAGATTGGGAGCGAAGCCCTATAAAAACAACCATGACGGCGCTTCCACATCATGTATAATCATCCTCGCATCATCTCACGCTCGTTTTCATACCAACCCATTTCGGCCAACTGTCAATATGAAGTTTACCACTGCCACCACCATTGCCAGCGTGCTGGCCGGAGTTCAGGCTATTAATTCCTCCTGGGCAAGCTACAGCGCGGCCCCATCCAAGCTCCATGACATGCAAGCTCGGGGTGGCGCCCACCACGGCTGGGAGACCAGCAGCTTCGTTCACGCCAACACCACTTCGAGCCACCATCACCACCACTCATCGTCGACTTCGACCACGAGCTCGTACCACCACCACCATCACTACAACCACAGCTCCTACTCGACACCTATCTACTACCCCGTCAACACCACTACCACCACCGCCCCTACCATTGTGACCTCTCTTACCACCGCACCCACTCCTCCGGCTCCCAAGACCACGGCATACACTGCTTCAGCAGTCGCTCCCCCCGCTCCGGCTCCCGTGGCACCTGCTCCTACGCCTGCGGCCGTGGCCCCCATTCCTGCGCCTCCGCTCTCGGCCAACCCTGCTCCCACGCCAAAGCCGGTCACTCCGGCCCCTGTCATTCCCATCGCTGCCGGTGGCGGCCGTACTGCCGCCCACGATATCCCCCGCGAGGTCCTCGCGATCGTGGCCGGACTTGTTTTCTGGCAGTTCATGAACTGAGTTTGGGACACTCTACTTTTGACGGCGAGGGGAGTCCGAGTCACATCATGTCTGCGCATGACTGCCTCGCCGAATCTACCTTTTGGGGACAAGAGGAGTCACTTGGAATCGGGTTTTCACTCATTTCCGATCTCGCACACGGAGGGGATTCCGCAAGGATCAAGTGTGCTGGTGGTGGAGGTAATCGTAATATCTGACGGGGAAGGTTAGAAGTCCGATCATTTAGTTCTGTATCTGGGGAAAGAGGAGTATAAGAGGGATTCATTCTGGGTTGACAGGTTCTGTAATATGAGATTCATTGTCAATCGATTTTGTTTTCTTGGAAGGTTTCGTGGTAAACTGATGTATGAGGTTGCCGCAGGATCGTGTGGCTGTGGGTGCTCCAGCTGGGAACGTGGCTGGTTGTGGCTGTTGCACTCGGGCTGAACCGCTGACAAGGAGCGGGCAGACCCTTGAAGCTGTCTGTGAGGGGGGAAAATTGGGGACGATCCGGCCACGGAGCTAGACTGGATGCTGCTTAGCACTTGAAGCTCCCCCGATGCCGTTCCAGGCTGGCCCAGCTCGGTGCTCCCTGGTTGCACAGAGAGACAAAAAGGAGACGGGGAAAAAGGCAGTAGAGCAAAGGTCGGACAATACTGGAAAGTAATCAAGCAGACCACTGCTGCGACATTGACTGCTGCGAATGCTCGGCTCGAGATACTCGTGGCCGGGCAAACTGATCTCGCTCCAACCGTAGCGTGCCGGTGCCGTGGGAGAAAAAAAACGGCAACCAGCTAGGCGTGCACTTACGGGACGTTGAGAGGCAAGGGCGGCCACTGGCCGCTGGTTGACGTTCCGCTTGCTGCTGCCCACTCGAGCTGCGGCTGCTGTCATCACCACCACCAACATCACTTTTTTAACCCCATCGGCCCCGACACGGCTGTTCTGCTTTCCTTCGCCACATTCCCTTCCCCCCTCGTGCCCTTTTACTCTGCACATCGAGCCCGTCTCGCTGCGCACTTTCTTGTCCCGCTACCGGTCGACGCGGGCGCGATATTATTGGCCTCGCCACATCCCAGGGAACTCGGCGCCTGTCTTCTTCATCTTCTCGCCGCTGCAGCCTCTGCTCTTCATCGCCAAGCTGCGACATTTCCCCAAAAGTCGGCGGTGCGTCACGCGAAGCACGGCAGTCTAGGACACAACCAGGCTCTCGTCACGGACAGCCCCGTTGCGACACGAAGCGACAACGGCGCGCGCAGAGGCAACAGGAAAACGCAGCCACGCGCCTGGCGACGACGCACGACAGACTTCCACCGAGCTATATATATATCTACCTCCTTTCGGCTGCTGCACCACCCTGATCCATCGACAGCGATTGCTTCTCCCAGGAGGAACCTAGCCGACTCCTGTACCGCGGCAGTCGCCGTAGCAGAAGCAGTGGTCGACCACTGCTTCAAGCCACAACCGCCGGCACGATGAACGGTTCTCATCTGCCGGCTGGACAGTCCATGCCGGGAGCTGCTGGACCGGCACCAGGCCACCATCATGGCGGGCCTCATGCTCACACACACAATGGCGGCTCTGGTCGGAGGAGGCCGCCGCAGCAGCAGTACCCTTCGCATCACCACCAGCAGCCTCACTACCAGTACCAGCACCAGCAGCCGCACATGAGTCCCATGTACGCTCAGCAGAACTACATGAACCCGTATGCTGCCGCATACTACCCTCAGATGCCGCCGCAAGGGTACTACAACAATGCCATGCCCGCCGCCCACATGCCGTACAACCCATATCCCCAGCGATCGCCGGTGCTTCACCAGCATCAACTTCAGCACCACCAGCCTCAGATGCCGCACCATCAGCAGCAACAATACCCTCCGGTCGTTTCGTCGTCAATGCACCAGCAGCCCATCCCACATTACCAGAGGCCGCCCCCGCCGCAGATGTCTCCCTCTCCCGCTCTTTCGACTCCTCCCCCATACCATGCGCCCGCCCAGCACCAACCTCCTCCGATTCCGCAAACGCCATCTTCCACCCACTCCTCGCAGGTCGTTCCTGCCCAGTCGACGCCACCCACTCCCCACACTGGCAAGATTGCTCCGAGCCCCCCCGAGGCCGAGGCGCGGCCATCACCAACGCCATTCAAGTTCCCTGTGAGTGCAATTCCCCAGTCCATCCGCACTTTTTCTGCTCGCGTGCTGACATCATCTATGCCCAGCTGCCCTGGCTGTCACATCCCAACGAACCTTTCCCAGCTCGGCCCGCGAAGGTCAGAAGAAGGAGGCGCGCCCCCATTGCGAACAATGCTCGGGTAGAGCTGCCAATGAACCAGCAAGTCGCTGCTGAGTCCCTTGACGATGAGCCTCCGGTGGAAGAGCCTACTGCTTCAGAGGCTACACCGAAGACGAGCACAGTCTCTGCCGTCACACAGAGCTCGCAAAAGCCTGCTGCTGCGCAACCCGAAGCATCTGCTCCGGCCAAGTCTGCTCCATCACCAACCAGCCCGACACAGGCCACGAAGCCGGCGGCCAGAGCTGCTATCCCTGCTGTCCCTGCCGTACCTGTTCTACCCAAATCTGGATCCAAGGAAGCCAAGACCGTGGCTTTGTCTGCCGACAAGCTTGAAATTGCCGAGTCCACGCAGGCAGCACCAGCGGCTAGCACGACTACCGACGCGTCGGCTGAGGCGCAGCCTTCCACTGCCCCGGTGTCGAACGAGCCCGCCCCTGCTCCAGCATGGTCAGCTCCAAGGCTCTGGGCTGGACTATTCAACCCAGGAGCCTCATCAGGTGCTAGCTCTGCTGTCAGCCATGCCAACAGCGGTGCCGCCACTGCTGCAAACGGTGATGGGCACGCTGAAGCTCCCGGTGCGGCAGGTGATGCATCTAGCACTGGTGCCTTCACACGCTCAAATGCCACCTCGTTAGCCGAGGCGTTGCGTGGCTATCGTGTCAATGGTGGCGACAAGATCGCCTTTCTGGAGCCGCGTGGTCTCATCAACACCGGCAACATGTGTTATATGAATTCTGTAAGTGGTAGCGGGCGGCCTGACGCTAGAGCGAACTGTTAGACTAATACAGGTGGACGTAGGTTTTGCAAGCGCTCATCTTTTGCCTTCCATTTTACGCCTTCCTGGATGAAGTCAGCAAAAAAGCAGCATACAGTTTCAAGAGCGAGACTCCTCTAATTGACGCCATGTAGGTGCTCCCTGAAAGTCATTCTGCTTGCATCACAAGCTCAATCTGACTCTATGAAATAGGATCATGTTCATGCGCGAGTACAAAGTCATCGACTCGGCTGTATCAGTTGAGCAGCTCCGCCGCAGGCTCAAAAATGAGGAACTCGAGCAGTATGGAGAGTCTTTTACTCCTGAGTTCGTCTACGATGCCATCAGAAAGCTGCCGAGATTCGCGAGCATGCGAGTAAGTCTGCCTGTATCATCTGGACCCTACCCAACCCACTAACGGCTACTTGCAGCGTGGTCATCAGCAAGATGCTGAAGAGTTCCTTGGGTTCCTCCTGGAGTCTCTCAACGAAGAGTGCAATGCTGTGATGCGCCACCTTCCGGAGCCAAATGCTGCCTCGAATGCGCCATCCTCGACGGGCACGCCCCAGACGTCGAGCCCAACCAGCACAACGGGGGGCAGTGATTGGCTCGAGGTTGGTCGCAAGCAGCGTGCAGCTGTCACGCGGTCATCGGGTCAGACGGCCATGTCTTCACCTATTACCAAGATATTCAGTGGACAGCTCCGCTCAGAACTGCGAGTACCAGGACTCAAGGACTCTGTCACCATGGAGCCTTTCCAGCCATTACAACTGGATATCGGCTCGCCACAAGTCCACAACATTGTGGACGCCTTGAAGAATCTGACGAAGGCGGAGACTCTGCACGGGGACTTCAACTCACCCAGAGGACGTGATGCTGTGGCCACCAAGCAAGTCTTCATCGAGTCACTACCATCGGTCCTTATTCTGCACCTCAAACGCTTCCAGTTTGACGCGGAGGGCACAGGTACAATCAAGATCTGGAAAAAGGTCGGCTACCCTCTTGAGCTGGATCTGCCCAAGGAGGTACTTTCGCGTCAGAAGAGGAACGCAATCCTCGCAGAAGGAGCCGGCTTCCCCAAGTACAGGCTCATCGCTGCCGTCTACCACCACGGCAAGAATGCCAGCGGTGGCCACTACACTGTGGACCTCCGCCGTCAAGAAGGCCGTGAGTGGATTCGCCTTGACGACACTGTCATCAGACGTGTCAGAAGTGAAGACGTTGCGGAGGGCGGTTCTGAGGAGGATTCGGCCTCGTCCGGCACCACGGATAAGAAGGATGCCGCGACGGGCGGGTCTAGCAACCGCTTCGAGACTATCAACGACGAGGATACCGGCGACGAGGGTGGCTGGAGTGCTCCTGTCAACGGGGCCAAGAAATGGGCCAACGTTGCCAACGGAGCTGCCAAGCCGGCTGCCACGACCACGCCAAAGGCGAAGCAGTTCAAGGAGAACATCAAGGACAACAAGGTTGCTTACCTTTTGTTCTACCAGCGCGTTTAAGGGACCAGCCACCCCCCTCGCAGCTATTTTTCGGTGCACAAAAGCTTGAGCACTGTCGGCCGAGAGTCGACACGCAGGCTTGCTGTAAACAACACGAGCCCAGGATATAGATGTATGTATGAAACAGCCTGGGCATCCGATACGATTCCCCGATATATACGACCTTTCTCATGGAGCACATGGTCTCATGTCATTCGGCAAACAAAAGTAATGCTTGCTGCACTTTGCGCTATCCCACATTACGAAGGCGCTACGATGTCTGACTGCATTTTGGAGGGACAATCACTAAAAGGAGACGGACACCAGATGAGGTGAAATATTAGGGGGCGAGGAGGGCGGCACATATTTGCGAAGCGGAACGTTCGGTTCCGCACATGTATGAACATGTGTCTATCAAAAGAAGAGGTGTGGTATAGCCTGGGCCTAGACAACAGACGTCTGTGAATAGCCAGGCATCATCAGGTGGTTACTTGTCATGGGTTGGAACCCTCGAGGCCTTGCGGCAATCCCTGCAAGAACACCCGGCGGAGTTGCCCCATGCTGGGTGGGACATGATCGCGAGATCGCGCATGCCGCGAGGGAACACTCGACTGGGGAAATTCATTGGTGCCCGTGGTTGGCAAACTGTGGTACATAGTTCGCCTGTTGCGCCATGCTTAGCTCCTAGGTCTCCCTCTTGGAACCCCTGAACTGTTGTTCCCAATGACTGCTCTCTTCTCGTGTCGCGTTTCCAAGGTTGTACTTTGCTTTTTGACGTCATCTACCTGATCCGAGATGTGTGCTCAAGTGTTTATAGGCCATCTCGCATCTGCCTCAACACTGGGGGCCGTGCGAGAGGGTTGCCTTGCACTCAGACCAAGACAGGCAGATCTTAGATTGATATGTCCGTGCCAGTTGCTGGCGATCAAAGTTATTTCACTTGGTTTGCAGACACCGAATGAATTCGATTTCGAGAGTTGGGCAAACTGCAACGCGACTTTGCGTGAGCCTGAACACTATGTACGGATATATACGGCCTTATTTGGGCGACGAGGGAATGAATGCTTCGGCTCCAGCCCCGTGCCCTGTATAGATGGGTAGGATAGATCAAGCCTCATTCGTCCCTGAACAACCACGTCCCGCCAGGACGCATGGCCTCCCGATAGCGTTCCGCCACTGTCTGGCGGTCCCTCGCGCGTGCCTCCTCCCTATACTGTTCCTCCTCTTGTGTGCTCGGGAAGTCTGTCCGCCATGCGCCCGGCGGCGTACGCTGCCGCTGGAACCTGTGCTTGACGCGCCCACACATCTTGGCAAGTTCTGCCGTTTTGGCGTCTTCCCATATCCTCTCCTTCTCGGCCGCCGAAATCTCTGCCAGTTTATACGAGTTGTCGCCAAGCCAACTCTCTAAAAGCGAGGTGAATGCAAGATTACTGGTACTGTGGCGCTGAGCCCTAGCCTGTGCTCGAAACTCGTCCGCATAGACCGAAAGATCGCCTGGGAGCTTTGATCTCTCGTCCCGGCCGCGCACAATATCCGTGTATGCAAAGTCGACGCCATCGTTTGTCGCAGGGTTGACCTTGAAATCCGTAAGTTTCAGCTCGGAAAGCGGTCGCTCACGTAACGACGGTCCCTTTCGAGGCCCTTCGGAGCTGGGTTTGTTCTTCGAGCTGACGGGCACACCCCTTTTCCTAGGGGTTGTATGCTCCGCGTTTTGTGGTTTTGGGGGGCAAGATTGCGCAATTTTTGAGGCTCTACTGCCAAAAGGAAGAGGCCTTTTCTCTGGGACCGGAAACTGATACATCATGGGGCTTGCGGTGCGAGCGAGAGGGGTCGGTGTCGAGCTTCCCGTCTGGATTGCGCCAGGGTGCACGATGGACTCCCTATCTGGGGTATGCGAATGGAGAAGATCGTGCAACACACCAATTGACGATTTGTCACGACTCGTAGTGCTGTGGCCTTGCGCATTATCATATAATTCGCCGTCTTCAGCCAGGCTAGCGAGTCCATTTGTTGACCGACGCTTGCGAAATCGCATTCCGCTCACGTCAAGTGGCAGCGTTCTTTTCCGCAGGACGTTGACACTGAGCGGATGAAGGGCAGAAGAATGGTCTGCCAGAGTGTCTCTGACTGGTTTTGCAACCGAAAGATCTGCAGCTTCGTATTGGCCGTCGGAATCCCCCGCGTGCGACTGATTCTCCTTGGAATCCGAAACGTCCATTAGAGGTGCCCCTTGCTGCTGGTGCCGATGCTTCTTGGGCGTTCTTATCAACTGTCCATCAGCATCCAGATCCATGCTCTCATGCGCAGCAAACTTATCACTGTCATCAATGGTCAGGGGATCTGAATTTGGCTCATTTTTGATCCTCGGTCCAGCCGGACTGGAACGATCCGTATCACCAAGCACCTTACGTTTGCGGACAACCTTCTCCGATATCACGACAGGGTCCGACGACGGCTCGCTCTTCACCTGTGTAGCTTGCCCTGATTTGTTTGTCGGCTCGGTAGGCATCGGAGGAAGAGCTGGGTAGTCATCCACCTGGTCATCGGCAGTCTTTGCAGCATTAGTTGGCGGGTGCTGAGTAACGTCCATCGTCGGCCGTGAACCTCGGGTACTCCCGGTGCTGGAAGAGTTCGTATCATCGGCGCTGTTATCGGTGCGGGCGAGTCCCGGCTTATTGTCGGCTCTGATGGCATGGCCTTCCTCACCGATGCCAGGTGCGAGGCTAGCATCGCGGCTTGACTCTGGCTGGGGGCTGTCGGAAATCATAGCAAGCTTTGCTTTGAGCAGCTTGATCTTGTGGAGACGCTCGTCACTCTGTTTGGTCAGAGAATTCCACTGCGTCTGCCACTCCGCAAGTGCCTTGACCTTGCTCCTTAAGGTCTGTTCCAGTTTCGCACGGGCATTCTGCGCGCCTGTATACTTTGCGTACAAGCTTTGATAGTCATCTTGAAGCTTGCTAAACTCGACCCGAAGTTCTGGTAACGCTAAGTGGGACGTGTCGATTGTGGAAGGCTTGGGAGGCGGACGCTTCGCGCTGGGCCCGTGGGTGCTCAGTGCCTCGTTGGTCGACTTGCTTGCGAGCGGCGTCCGCATGAGGGGAGTATGGGGTATCGCAGAGCCATGTCGTGTGTCCTGAGCGAGGCTTTTGGTTGGGGACATGAGCCGTGAAGCCGTCGGAGTTCCTAGTTCTTGGATTTGGCCGCGAAGAGCGGTATTCTCCTGCTGCAGCTTGTCGACCTGGGCAGCCTTGGCCCGGAGAGCTTCGAGCTCGGCCGCGACATCGCTGTTGTTAGCCTGTGGCGCGGCTGCAAGAGCTAGCACGTGGGCGTCAGTCAAAGGAGGAACCCAGCGAAGAACGACCAGCAGTCGACATACCGGCGTTGAGTTTGTGGTCGATTTCGCCACAGGCAGCCGCCAGGGCTTCGAAGAGAGTTGGTTTGGCTACATCATTGAACCACTGGTCCATGGGGCCGGACTAGCACGAAGCTGCCAGGCGACAGCTCTTGTGCACGGCAGAGCCTCGTCAGTGGGTGTATTGTTGGAGCTGGTTGCCGTTTGGAGATGGTCGCCGTCGACATGAGGGCCCCTGGGCCGCTACACCATCGTCGATGGTTGCCCCTTGAGCTCTCTGTATGATTGAGCAGCTGTCCGCGGCGCGTCAAGTTGTCGTCATGGATGAGGCCTCTGCTTGATGGCTGCTGGGCCCAGCGCGCAATGAGCTTGAGCGTCTCGGGTGCTTGGCGCGGGGCGTCGCGCAGGCTCTGGGCGCGTGTCTGGCTCTAGCGCGTCATGCGGCGCTGCAGGGTACTGGACTTAGTGGGCTCCGGGCCAGGCCCGAAACGCACTCGAGGGCACCTGAGCAGGCAGGCAAGGCAGGCAGGCGCGGGGGGCAAAAGCGGAGCCCTGGCTGCCCCTCCAGCCAGCAAGATCGACATGGGGATGCCGCCCCGCCACCAGCAGGCACAGGCCGGTGCTGATTGGGCAATGCCTGCACTTTTTCGGCAATCCTCGCACAACAAGTCTAAAATCTGTAGAGGCTTCAGAATTGCTTGCATCTGGAGCATCCATGTGCCTCAGAACAACGGCCAGCATTGTCAAGGCAGAGACGCTTGCAGTATCAGATGGCAATGTAGCGAATGTCCATCTCGGTGTGTCTCCGATCAGCATAGTCATTTGTCGTGTCCTGTGACAGGCACAGACAGACCGTTGTGGCTCCCGCGGGATGTCTTTGGACATTCCGTCAGCAAATTGCAACATTTGCCAATCATAACTGAGGACTTAGGCTTGACAAGGTAACAGAATGCTACACGATGACCCTTTGACGCAGTTCGAGAGCGCACCTTTACCATGGTACTTTGAAGTACGCACTCTACACCTAGATAGGCCAGTGGCCCGCTCCTGGCCTACCTGCCTCACTGCTGAAGTAACCGAATGATTAACTCTGCCAACTCTGCCAGCTGGTGGGACACCTAGTAGAAGAAAATGTGTGCAGGCAGGGTCTGCAGATCTGAGTCGCTGTGGTCGGGCAATAGATACCTTGATACCTGATGGATACCTCTCGCCACAATCACACAGCGGCGGGTGGCACTCACTTGTAGCGTGCTGGGCGACACGCCCACATGATTGATACCGGGACCCTTATGCAGGCGTGCCCGCCCGCTCGTCGCCTCCCCTTGAGCCGCCGTCTGAAATTTTCCCTGGCACGAGTTCAAGCCTGGCCCGCCCCTCCCACCTTCTGCGCTCCCGGCACAAACACACACATCGACTGCAGTCTCCTCGGGCCTGCCTCATTCCTCTCTCACATCCACAACTACCTTTGTCCGTATCTCAATCCACGGTAAGCCCTCTCGCGTGCCCAGTCTCCTCGTCTCGCCCCCGGCCACACCGTCTTGCCCTCTCAGCACGCACGCCTCTCCATCACAGAACCAGCTCCAGGACCATCTCGACGGCAGGCGCCTTGACTCGTGCCCAGAACCCCAGCTCCGTCACCTGGCTCGTGGCCCATTCTGCGTCCTGACCCACTATCGCCATCGACGTCTCGTTTGATGCCTCACCCAAATCTGTCTCTTCCGCAGCCTTGTCTAGGGCCTCTCACCATTCAGTCCATTCAGTGATCCATTGTGACCGCGTTTCCAAGACACGACGCTATTCTGAGAACTTCTCGTTCACAATCTCGGTCGTGGCTTGAGTCAGTGCATCTCAACGTTCTAACCTGCTGACCACGTGCCTCCTGCGTCCAGACTCATCACAAACATGGACTTCAACAACGCAGCTACTGGCGGCCGTGCCTGCTTCACCTGTGAGTAGTTGATACATCGCCCCTTGCATTCCGGCAGTATGAACTAACAGTCTGTTCTAGGCGGCCAGACCACTCACCAGGTATGCCATCGCCATGTGGCTCCCAATGATATTGGGTGTCCAGATCACTTCTGGCATTATACTGCACCCCTGGATGCTAACTTCGTCGTCACAGGCCCGTGACTGCCCCAACCGTGGCGCCCCTAAGTGGTGAGTTCATTGGACTCTAGGCACGGGATTGCCTTCCTCGCTCGCATTGCACTCCTTGCTAATCAATATCCAACGCATAGCTACAACTGCGGCAACGAGGGCCACATGTCTCGTAAGCCAGGTATCCTCTCCACAGGATGTACCATTTGCTAAACAAAGACCTCACAGGCGACTGCCCCGACGGCCCCAAGGACACCAAGACCTGCTACCGTTGCGGTCAGGCTGGTCACATCTCTCGTGACTGCCCTCAGGGCGGTTCCGGCCCTGCCGGCGGTCACGGTGGCGGCTCCCAGGACTGCTACAAGGTTCGTTATCAGCACCCCAACCCATACGACCATCGGTGCATCATGACTAACCATGACGGCGATGCAGTGCGGCAAGTACGGCCACGTTGCCCGTAACTGCCCCGAGAACAGCTACGGCGGTGGCGGCTACGGCGGCGGTGGTGGTGGTGGCTTCGGCGGCGGCTACGGCGGTGGCGCGCAGGGCAAGACTTGCTACTCTTGCGGCGGCTTCGGCCACATGTCGCGTAAGTGAATGAACCCCGGCATGACTCTCGGCGGCTTGCTAACATGGAAACTGTCCGACAGGCGAGTGCGTTAACGGCAGCAAGTGCTACAACTGCGGCGGCAGCGGTCACTTCTCCCGGGATTGCCCCAAGGAGAACTCGGGTGGCGAGAAGATCTGCTACAAGTGCCAGCAGCCCGGACACGTCCAGTCTGCGTGCCCCAACAACTAAGGTTGGCATGCACTCGGCGATCCACAGATGTCGACCGGCTTGATGAGGAAACACTTGTCCAAACCAAGGATGAGGCGAAGAGAGTTGAGCAGGAGCAGTGGGGAACTACGTGGCGGCTGCTGAGCATGGGACCCGAAATGCCTTGATTATCTCATTCTTGGTCTGGCCTTTCCCCTTTTTACGACAGTGAACAACCGGGATTCAAAGATACCCTGACGATTTTTCCTCTTCTTTCTACTTTGGCCACCAGCCCTCCCCCGGAGGGAACGACGAGGTTTGGGACGAAAAGGATTGGGACATAAAAAGAACGTTCAATGACGGGGTCATCTAAAGGAGATGTGGCAACTGGCGTCATGGATCTGCTTTTCTATTTGCAAGTACAATTCAACACAAAATTCTTTCCGAGAGAGAAGAAATGGACCCGTATCACCAGACTGCAGATCATCGCTGTTGCATTTCGCTTGTGTATAGGGCTGTGACATGTCTATCCCTCTATGATAATATTGACCAAACAACGCGGGAACTGGGATTAAACGATGGTGCACGGTTGCAGACTGGTTCCAGATCTGACAATATCCAAACGGTGGATGCTTCCATGGTACTGCAGCTGGAAGCCATCAGTGCTGCCCAAAGTTGAACTTCAGAGGCTCGTCCGTCACCTTGGCCATAGACCGGTTCGACAGCATCTGCGAGAGCATGAAGTGACTGACATCCTCGTCTTGCCAGTAGCACATGTGCGAGGCGATTGTGTTTATGGGGTTGAAGTCGAGCGCAGACCTGGAATTTACGCACGGTCAGCAATGTTGTGTGCACTGCCACCATCACCTTTGGAGTCGAAACTTGGAAGAATGTGATAACATCAAGACCTGGGACCGGGGGGGGGGAAGCAAACTCACTCTTGGATAGCGTAATCGACGCGACCGTTCCTGTTAAGCGCCCTAACCTTGAGCTCTTCGCGGCGGAGCTTCTGGGCCTTGCGCTCCTCGGCGGCCCATGCCTCACCGAGCTCCTGACCCTCGTCGGCGCGGCTGATGCTGTCCTTGTGCTCCTCGACGCGCTTCTTCTGGAATCGTGCGTACAGCGTCTCGAGCTCATCGTCAATGAGAATGGGGTTGCTCTCTGTGCCCTCTTCGGCTCCTGACTGCTGATTTGCCCCGCCGCCAGTGGCCCGGCGGCTGAGGCTGGGAGACATGCTGCCATGTCTGGCGAGTGCCCTTTTGCGCATGTCGGCCTTCTGAGAGGCGCTCTCCATCGCTGCCTTCTCGGTCGAGACAACACCAGCCGCGTCGCCGATGTTGGTGCCAGCGGCTAGGGGAGGAGATGAGTTGCTGGACGCCGCTGCTGCCGCTGCCGCCGTCGCAGCTTGTGTTTGTTGTGCTTGACCTGACGCGTTGAAGGCCGCGACATCCTCATTTGTGAAGCCGAGACCGCGAGTGAGGAGACTGCTTGCTATCCCCGAGGTAATGCCTGACCACAGTCCAGACACGCTCTGTCCGACTTTGACTCCTATGCCAGACAAGCCTTGGGGGGCGACCGCGCCGAGGAAGCCTCTTTTGGTGTATGGCAGTATTTGCGGTTTCAATGACGACATGGCCGGCGAGATCAGGGGCTCTAGCCTGTATGCGATGGGGTCGGAGGGATGGAAGATGTTGAACAGCTGTGCAGCCTTGGGAGACGATACCGAGAAAGAGAGGCCTGTGATTGGAGAGACACGCTCCATGCGCTGCTCAGCTAGCAGGAAAGGGTCGTCGTCCTCGGGAACTAGAGGACTCTCAGACGGGGCCGCGTTTGGCTGTTTTCGAGCCGCAATTGTCCGTCCTTTGAGCATTTGGAACAGACCAACAGGTGATCCTAAACAGTAAAAGTCGTCCACCTCAAAGTCAAACGACAACTCTTTCGAGTGGCTCTGGCTAGGAGCAGCGCGCTTTGGATTGCGCAGGACTTGTTGCTCTTGGCTTTTCTCCTTCTGCCGGCAAAGAATGTCGAACATGATGGCAGAGCCAAGACTGTGCCCAGCAATATGAACCTTCCCCTTGAAGCCGGGGTTTCTTTGTTTGAACAAATGATATATCCGATTGCACTCTTTCAGCACAATCTCCGTGATCTGCTCCCGGTACGCGCTTTGGTATAACAAGACGTCCAGCGCGAGATCCGAGATGAGGGAACGTGCGAAAGCGAGGCCCTCGATAGTGATATCTTCCAAGGACGGATCTGGAGATGTGTCAGCAAGACAGGACCGGACAGAGCCATCATAGAAAACCTACATTCATCCTCATCGGCGAACGCATCAGTAAGGTCATGCTCGCCCTTCTTCTCCTTGCGTTTGGGAAAGTCAAGCATATGTCTCCAGCAGACCGGCAGGACCTGCACTCTGCAGTTGCCTGGTCCGTTCTCGGGCTCACCGTTGAGCGCCTTGAGATCTGCCGAGTATGTATAGACAGACTTGGTTGTCTTTCGCAACAAGTTGACATCATGCACGAAATTGACACTCTCCATCCTGTGAATTGGTGTTGGTCAGTTGCTGATGAGCCACGACGAATGGCGAGCAAGATAGTGCAGCATACCTCATGGACAACATCTGACCGATCCCGTGGGTGACCAGAACGAGGTGCTCGATTTCGCGCCCCTGTTTCTCACCATCCTGGCCTGTGTAGTCATCGCGGATCTCTTGCTCCTCGAGTTGACGAACTTCTTCATCCTGCGTTGCTGTACTTTGCGAGGTGTCAAGAACAGACGAGAGCTTGTCCTTGAGCTGAGAACCAGCAGTACTTTTCACCTGATCCGGCCTGTCCTCGACCCGCACCAGTCCGGCCTCACTCTGCGCCGAGGCCGGTGCGGATCTTCGTTTGAGCGCTTTTGGGGTGCCGTCGCCTTCAGCCTTGGCGGCACCTTCGGGGAATGTCGCTGTTGTAGGTGTTGTGGTCTTTTTCTCATCTTTTGCCTTCCCAGGGTCCGTATAACCCCGAACAAGCTTGACACCATTCATGTAGCCCCCACCTGCAAAACGCTGATACACGCTGGAGGTCACCCACGAGAAGACGCCCTCAGATGAGAGCCACGCCGTGTTTGCGTCCTGATACGTGGCCACGCTGTTCATATAAGTGCCAAACAGTCTGTGAGCTTGAGGCTGTTGCTGTTCCGCAGTCGCTGTTGTAGTCGTGTTCTTTGGCACTGCGTCGCTCTGAGCTTTGGCTGCCGACTTGAGATTCTCGACAGACGCTTTAGGGGTGACGTCTTGCGGGGCGCCAGAGTTGCTCCGGCCGCGACCGGCGTAGGCCCACGGCTTCACCTTCAGATAGCCCTCTTCGAGCTGCGCCGCGAGGTTCTCATCGCATGGCCGCAAAGTGGAGGCTTCCTGATAGAACCAAGTACCACGTCGCACTTCATAGATAGGGCCAAGCCAGTACACTGGAGCCAGCTCTCGTGTATCAATATCAACCTCGAACAGGTAGTCTTCGTTGACAGGAACTTTGGCGTTGGGCCTCGACCCGCCTCCCGATGTGGGATCAGACCCTCCCGATTTGGTCGTACTGTTCTGTGTCTGGGACCGAGAACGAAAATGGCCACTTCTCGATGCCATACGATCAGCTTCCGCTTCCTCAAGCAGCCTCTGGTAAGAAGCTTCGATAGACCGTGCGTCATCATTCGAGAAGGCTAAGAATTTCTTGGCTGGATTCGGCTTCACCTCCTCAGCCTCCTTCTTGGACTTGAGAAACTGTGGTTTCCTCTTCGGTATCTACAGCAGAAAAGGAAAGCGTGAGCAGCCACGTATGCGTGCGTATCGTCTACGAAAAAGATGGGGCCTTACGTCAATGGCATGAAACCACATCACCTTCAACGGAGGACAATCCGGTGGGTAGCTCTTGAAGCTGCGTCCGTAAAGACTGTTGATGCTATGGTCATCGGCCTTTTTGGGGGCCGTCCCACCTGCGGCCGGTTTCGAAGGCGGAGGCGCTGTCCCATCCTTTGGTGTTGGAGTGCTGCTTCTACTAGCACCCCACGGGTTTATCGACTCAACGGCGGATGCGAAATATGACTTCTCCGGCTTTTTGTCTGTCGTCCCAGCTGGCTGGGCGGACGCATCATTGGCGCCGGGGGACGGCTTTTGTGGTGGCGTCATGTTGTTTGACCCAGACCGGCTGAGAGGGCCAGGCTTGGAGGGGAAGGGTCCCCAGAAGCGCTGGCGGAATAGACGAGGTAGCCTGACCCCAGGATTGTGACACCGGGGACGAGCAGCTCGGAAGAACTGAAGAGGCGCCAATTTGACTGCCGTGGTGGTGATGCGTCCTGTCCTGCTGTCAATTACGAGTGTCGACAATGCGGTAGGCAGCAGTCTCGCTCGGCCTAGGATTGCTGGTCTACCTGTTGTGTGAGCTCAGGATGCTGTCCAGGTAAAGTGTTGCTCAGCTTGAACGTGGCATTTGGCAGGGGGAAGTGAGCAAGCAGGGTGCGTTGGGTCTTGTGTCGTGTCGAAAGAGGCAGACACAAACGATGCACAGGTGAAAAGAACAGCGCAGCAGCTTAACTGGAGGTCACTTGTATTGAGAGATGCCTGAGCAAGCTTGGGTCTCACATGCTGCCGCTGGGATGCGCAGGCAAACGTCAGCGGGATGGAGGAGGAGCTGGAGCTGCTGGAGCTCCTCGCAGCAGCGGCAGCCGATGACGCGGGCCGCTCTGTGGCATGTCCGCGGGCCGCCGCCTGCACCTGGACCTGCCACGTGCCTGTTCTGCACCGCGACTCACCTTGGTGCAGCCAAGCAAACGATGTGCCTCAAGGTGGCCAAACGAGAGAAATCGCATCCAACCCCACGAGCGCATTCACAAGATCTGCAAACTCCCTTCTAGAGACTGCGCCCTGGGAAATGGCCCCCCTGTGCTGGCACGGCAATCCCATATTAGTGTTGGGAGTAGGCACTGCAATCCAGGGCTCGGCTAAGGCTGGAAAGCCCATGTATTGCTGGATCATGGGTCAAGTGCTTGTGCGCTGCTCGAACCGAGTGCATTCCATGTTGAAGTTGACAAGATGCGCTATCCATGGTCGAATGCCAATGCGCAGAGCTCATGCACACACTGCACTGCACTGGTGTCGAGCTGCCCCGTTAGCCAGTGACGGGTCACTAAAAGGCATCGAGGACCCCGCCCGGGCCGGCGGGCCTTGCAGGGCTCCTGTGAGGTTTCGCGGAATGGTGGGGCACGACCTTCTGCGCCGGCCGATGACTCGACTCCGCATCCGCCCCATCGCAGTCAAAATATTTCTCCAAGCTTTGCTACACGCCTCAACCACCAGTCCTCACGAATCTCCAGTCCGAGGTTACGCGACAACCACACACACCACTCGGCCCCCGACCGCGATTCTATCAAGTCCTCGGCCACAATCATGAATGTGCTTGTGCTCCTGAGGTAGCCCGTCATCCCGCCGCTTCAGCAACAGCCATGCAACAACAGTTGTCGCATGTCTAGCGCAGTCGTCACGATCAACGAGAACCCCGTCGCAAGAGGAGCCCTGCCACGATCACGCACAACATCCTGCCGACACAGCTCCTCTAGAATCTAGCGTCGCTCCTTGAGCCTCGGGTCGCCAATACCGACATCATGGCAACCATGACAGAAGTCAAAGGTCCATCGGCCGTCGCGCCGATCAAGCACCAAGTCTCCGACAAGCTTCCCAAGCGCTTCAAGGCGATCAAGTTTGGCATTCAGTCCAACCAGGATGTAGTCAACCAGGGTGTCATCGAGGTCTCGGATCGGAGCATGTACGACATTGAGCGCGGCCGCGAACCGACCCAGAATGGTGTTCTTGACAAACGCCTGGGTATCTCGGGCAAGACGGCACACTGCCTGACCTGCGGGCTTCGTCTCCAGGACTGCACGGGGCATTTCGGTCACATTCGCCTGCCTCTTCCGGCCTTCCACATCGGCTACATCAAGTTCACCATCTCGATTCTGCAAGAGATCTGCAAAGACTGCTCCCGAGTATTGCTCGTCGAGTCGGATCGCCGCATGTACCTCAGAGAGCTTCGGCGGCCATACATTGACAATATGAAGCGCACCGCCATCTGCAAAAAGATCAATGAACAGTGCAGAAAGGCCAAGACATGTCCGTACTGTGGTGCCATCAACGGTCAGATTCGCAAAGTCGGAGCACTCAAAATCGTCCACGACAAGTTTGTCGCCTTCAACAAGTCTACTTCGCAAAAGAAGGTCACACCCGACAGCAAGATTGAGTTTGACAACTCGTTCAACACCGCTCGCAAGACCATCGGCGATCTCGAGAAACACTTGCGGAAAGCATTCGAGGATCTCAACCCTCTCAGAGTGCTCAATCTTTTCAAGCAGATCAGCCCAACGGACTGCGAACTACTCGGGCTGAATCCTACCGAGGGGCGACCGGAGATGTTCCTGTGGCAATACCTTCCCGCGCCGCCAGTATGCATTCGTCCTTCAGTCGCGCAGGAAGGTGCAAGCAATGAGGATGACCTGACCACTCGTTTAAGTGATATTGTCTTCGCTTGTGGCCTGATTCGTGCCGCGCTGCAGAAGGGCCAGCAGCTTGCTACAATCATGGAGCAATGGGAGTACCTGCAACTTCAAATTGCCGTTTACGTCAACAGTGATGTACCCGGTCTTCAGAATGCTGGTGTTTCGAAAGCCATGAGGGGCTTCTGCCAGCGCCTTAAAGGCAAACAAGGCCGTTTCCGTGGAAATCTCTCTGGAAAGCGTGTCGACTTTTCTGGACGAACCGTCATCTCGCCAGACCCAAATCTAGGTATCGACCAAGTCGCTGTGCCGGAACTAGTCGCGAAGAATCTGACCTATCCCGAGAGAGTCCACCGAGACAATATCGCCAAGCTTCGAGAATGCATTCGCAGAGGTCCTAATGTGCACCCTGGTGCTCAAGCTGTTCTCAAAGACGATGGAGATGACCATCCTCCCTTCAGAATCTCGCTCAAGTTTGGTGACCGAGAAGCTGCAGCAAATGAGCTGCGCTACGGCGATGTGGTAGAGCGCCACCTGGAAGATGGTGATATTGTTCTCTTTAACCGTCAACCGTCGCTTCACAAGCTGAGTATCATGAGTCACAAGGCCAAGATCCGGCCATGGAGGACGTTCCGCCTGAACGAATGTGTCTGCGGTCCCTACAACGCCGATTTCGACGGTGACGAGATGAATCTTCACGTCCCCCAAACAGAAGAGGCCAGAGCTGAGGCCATCAACCTCATGGGCGTCATGCACAATCTGGCCACGCCCAAGAACGGAGAGCCCATCATTGCCGCCACGCAAGATTTCATCACTGCGGCTTACCTGCTCAGTGGCAAGGACGTGTTCTTCGACCGCAAGACATTTACCTATGTGTGCATGATGATGATGGTTGATGGCCAGACGCACCTCGACCTGCCACCACCCGCCATCTGGAAGCCGCAGCGGCTCTGGACTGGCAAACAAGTCTTCAGTGTTCTCATGCGGCCGAACCACGACTCACCGGTCAAGGTCAACCTGGACGCAAAGTGCAGAGAATATGTCCCTCCCAAGGATCCCGGCCCCGGCCAGCTCAAGCGGACTCCCGACATGTGTCCCAAGGACGGTTGGCTTGTTGTGCGAAACTCGGTCGTCATGTGCGGTCGTATGGACAAGTCGACTGTTGGTTCCGGCAAGAAAGATTCGATCTTCTACGTCATCCTCAGAGATTTCGGACCTGAGGCCGCCGTCGTAGCGATGAACCGGCTTGCTAAGCTCTGCGCACGCATGCTCACCAATCGTGGATTCTCGATCGGTATTGGAGATGTCTTCCCGTCGGCTGCATTGACCGCTAGGAAACACGAGCTTGTCACTGAAGCATACGAGAAGTCCGACGAGTTCATAGAGCAGTTCAACTCTCGCAAGCTGCAAAAGGCTGCTGGTTGTAGCATGGAAGAGACGCTCGAGAACAAGATCTCTGGAACTTTGAGCAAAGTTCGACAAGAGGCCGGAGAGTACTGTATCCAGACACTTAGCCACAACAACGCGCCTTGGGTGATGGCTTCGTCCGGTTCCAAAGGTTCAAACATCAACGTGGCACAAATGGTTGCTGTCGTCGGTCAGCAGATTATCGGAGGATCCCGTGTCGCGGATGGTTTCCAGGACCGCACACTCCCTCATTTCCACAAGAACACCAGGCAAGCTCCGGCAAAGGGTTTCGTCAGGAACAGTTTCTACACTGGTCTATTGCCCACCGAATTCCTTTTCCACGCCATTTCAGGACGTGAAGGTCTGGTCGATACAGCTGTCAAGACTGCCGAGACTGGATACATGTCTCGGCGTCTGATGAAGTCGCTCGAGGATTTATCAACACAGTACGACGACACTGTCAGGACTTCTGCCGGTGGTGTTGTGCAGTTCCAGTTTGGTGCAGATAACCTCGATCCCGTGGATATGGAGGGCACAGCAGTCCCTGTAAACTTTGGAAGAACATGGTCTCATGCAGAAAACTTGACCTGGAGCAACACTGACAGGGCTCTGCTTCCCTTTGAGATCCTGGAGCTGTGTGACAGCATCCTGGCGAAGGAGAGAAAACGGTACGAGCGCAAGGGTCTGCTGAAGGGTGAGCTCCTTGGCTACGATGATCAGAGCGACTATGCCGTCGACGAGCATGAGAGCGGGCGTGATTTCTTGCGGACGATCGACGCCCACGTCATGGGCTTGGCGAATAAGATGGCCAAGTTTCGCATAGCGGCAGGCCTCGATGGGCTACTTAGCAAGCCGTCGGGCTCGCTAAAGGCAATTCTGAAGAAAGAAGAGGCCTCCCTGGGCAAGCACGCTTCCGAGAGAGTTGCCAAGGTTTCGGCGAAGACGTTGACTCGATTCATCGAGATGTGTCTTGAGAAGTACAGTCGAGCTCGGACCGAGCCTGGGCACGCTGTTGGTGCTGTCGGCGCGCAATCCATCGGTGAGCCTGGTACGCAGATGACGCTGAAGACTTTCCATTTTGCTGGTGTCGCAGGCATGAGTATCACTCAGGGTGTGCCCCGTATCAAGGAAATCATCAATGCCTCCAAGTCTATCAGCACCCCCGTCATCACCTGTCCACTCGAGAACAACAGACAGATAGAGGCTGCCCACGTGGTTCGTGCGCGGATTGAGAAGACTTTCATCGAGGACGTCCTCCGCTACATCGATGATGAGTGGTCGCCTCATCGCTCGTTCCTCACGTTGCACATCAATACCGAAACACTCGAAGGCATGCACCTGGGAGTCAGCATCTACGACATCAAGGAGTCCATTCTTAAGCAGAAGAAGCTCAAGCTAGCCGCCGAGGATATTGAAGTCTTTGAGCAGGATGCCACCATTGAGATCACGGTCAAGGACCCGAGCATTGAGGCCTTGGCCAGCAAGCGTGTGCCTCGAAGCAAGGCAGCGATTGCCGAGCAGATGTCCGACATGCTTGTCCGTGCTGGACACCTCAAGCGGGTGCTCCCTCATGTTCCCATCTCAGGATACCCGGAAGCCACACGTGCCATCATCCAGACCACCGAGGAGAAGGGCAAGGGCCCCGACAGCAAGATGTCATATGTTCACGCCGTGCTGGTCGAAGGATACGGTCTACGCTCTTGCATGAACACAGAAGGCGTGGTTGGCACCAAGGTCCGGTCCAACAGCGTCATGGAGTGCCGCGACGTTCTAGGCATCGAGGCTGCGCGTACCACTATTGCGGACGAGATCGGCGCCGTCATGGGCGAAATGGGCATTGATCCCCGACACATGCAGCTGCTGGCCGACGTCATGACGTTCAAGGGCGAGGTCCTCGGCATTACGCGGTTCGGTTTGTCCAAGATGCGCGACAGCGTCCTGCAGCTCGCGTCGTTCGAGAAGACGCCCGATCACCTCTTTGACGCCGCCGCCGGCATGAAGGCCGACAAGATCGAGGGTGTCTCGGAGAAGATCATCATGGGTCAAACCATGACCGTCGGTACTGGCGCGTTCCAGGTGGTGCGCCGGCTCGGCCTCAAGGACGAGGACGTCGAGAAGCGCTCGACTCCGTTTGAGGATGCCTGGGCCGAGGAGGCCGAATTGCTCAAGGCTGCGAGGAAGGCACGCAACAAGGCAGCACAGTAGGCACAGAGCCTTGGCTGCAGGCGTCTCTTCTAAAGAAGTACAAAGACTCATGTTGTGACCAGGAACATCTCTTGAGCTGTAATGTGCTGAAATTCATGGGTGGTGGCGGCGGCGCCTTCTCTTTTGCATGTACGGATTCTTTCTTGCGTGGCGTTTTTCGTTTGGGACCTGTGCAAATATATATACCTAGCATACAACCATGAAAACAAGCATTCATCAAGATCACCATCGTCTCGCCCCGGAGGTGGGGAACGCGTCCTCGTATGAATTTTCTGTGGGCCAATGCCGCAGGCTCTGCCCTTTGAAAACTGGCGATGGAGGTCTGGACAACCGTTTTCATCACAATCCTGCGAGGACCGTGAGGTTTCCATACAAATCTGAGCTCTCACACGGGTCGAGTGCCAGTGCTTTAGGAATCAAACGTGCCCCGTGTGCTGAAAGGCCTTTTATGAGGCAGCCAAGATTTCACGCTGAGTCTGAATTTTGCTCACTTTGTCTTTTTGTGGTGCCGAGACGTATACGTGGTAGCGGACATGAAGACGTTTCCACCAATTGGCCTTGAAATGTCACATAACGAAACCACACTCCCTCAAAAAGATCTTGTGGCAGGATGGGTCTTTCCTATTGGGACCGCTATGATCAAGATAGTTCTTTTGCTGGTTCATGGGCTGAGGCTAAGAGGAGAACAAACGACGCCCCTGGGCTTTTTCAGCAGCTTGCGTTTCGCGTTATGGCACTGCCTACGTGCTTGGAGTAGAAGCCTTTTTCCTTCTTCTCCTCCTTAAAATATAGTGAAAACCCTCTAATCTCAAGAATATCATCTCTAAAATGTGTTGTGTTACAGGCCCATCGCTGCCTTGTGTCCTTGCAACAACGAGTCCTTAGACGACGAAGCACAAAAGGATTACCTATCTTCAATCCAGCCTCATCCTGCATGGACGCCAGCACAACACGACTTCCTGTATGGCCCAAGTATCAGGCTGAGACAAGACGGATTTGTGCGGCTATAGGATGCATGTGATTCACATCGTGATGGACTGTTTTGATGTAGCGATTGGGCGGGGAGGTTTTCTTTTCTCTTTCTCTTTCTTTTTTTTGTCCCTTTTTCCAACATTGGCAAGCCTGGTCCACTCCCGACATCAACTGGGATATAATAGCCTAATTTAGCTCAGGGGCTGTCCCCATCCCTGTGTAGGCCGGTATACCTGATCGTTCTGTCTGATCGCAGCCAACCAGGAACGGGATATTGAGTCTTTGATAGGCAACTCGTTCTGTGGGCCGCAAGAACAGGGTATGAAGTCTTTGATAGGCAACTCGTTGCCCACAAGAATGGGTTAGGTAGTCAGTCTTTGATAGGTAACTCGTTCTGTGGATCACTATACCACACTGCAGGTCGGGCGAACATGAGGAAAAAAGAAAACTCAATGATTGGCATTTTTGACTCGCTAATTTCCTATTTCAGGATCCGGGGCAGATCAGACAGTTCCGAATTTGGACAGTCCCGCGTCCCCCAGATCTTCATCCTCGATGCCTAATGGCGACGCCTGATGTGGCTTGTCATATTCGCTGCATTTGCTCACTACCACCACTCGGCAATACTCGTGGTTGCGTCCTGCTATTTCTTTGCCCACTACTTGATCGCCTTGGGAGTCCTGGGGGGAAAAGGACAGCAATGACTAAGCGGCACCTCTTATTGCCGTCGCTTTGCCTGTAGTCGTAGGGCTGATCCGCAATATAATCACCCAAGAACCACTTGGGCAAAGAAATGAGCACTTTGCTTGCTTACCGCCAAGCTTCCGACTGAATAATTCGTGCCGAGTAACGTGGCTGCGGGAAACCCCCGCGGCCCCGCGGCCCCCCATTCCCCAGCATACCAGCATACCAGCATACCAGCATACCAGCATACCAGCATACCAGCATACCAGCATACCAGCATACCAGCATGCTACCATGTTGCAAAATATGGAGTCGTCTAGTTGCCTATCCTCTCGTCAGCAGATTTCAGGCAGGGCTCGGCAAGTGGGCACAATCAGAAAGCGAAAGCGAACGAGATTCATGCTGAGCACGTATGACCTGACAACCCCGCTTAGGTACAAAGACACCACGTCGTAGTCCTAGCTGTCCTATAGAGGCGGGACTCTCTCACCATGGGAGTCGCATGCCGTCTTACTTTCTGCAAGCGCGATGCGGTCCGCAGCCTGCATCGATGCGAGCGGCTTGCTAGATCGGGCAATGGATGATGACCTCTCTTGTGGAGAGAAGTAAGCCGCGCCAGCCACTCCCGGCTTACTCCCTGTTAAATCGAGTGGAGGACATCGACGGCACCAACAGAAGACGTTATGTCGAAGGTCGTTACCATGATTCCAAAGCTGGTTTGGGGGCGTGGCGCTCCAACAACAACTTGGGGGCTGGACAACGCCCGTGAAGTATGGGCCAAAACCGTCCGAGGTCCTGGGTCCGAAACCCTGGACGTTGATTATCCCCCCACCCAGTCCGTGTCATCTCATGCCCACGCGAAACGAGCTGATCGTGATCCGCGGGCTGCTTTCCATTCTATGGTGCGATGTAGAGAGGAGTCATAGAGAGATACTCAGACCCCGGTCTAGCACTGCTCACACTTGCCAGCAACCCATGTCCGTTCATCAGTCAGCAGCGTGCCCCTCACCCACTGTAACTCGGAACTCGATCCCGTCATTGTCTCGTTGAAGTAAATGACAATGCGGAGATGGGACGATCGCCACTCCCGCATCTTTTGGGGTCCAGGCCAAATGGCCCGAAATCCACGACGTGATCTGGTTCGCGTGGCTGCCTGGTTGCACGTATCTGGCAGAAATCGTTGCCACTCTGACAAATAAGCGAAGACGTCAAACATAGTTGTATCCGGCGAGGCGCTCCTGCATACATGCAGCGGCAAGCATGCATCCATATCATGCAGGGCGGCCCCAGATCCCCACCAATTCCTACCACCCTCAAGGTGCCGAGCTGAGATTTGCCCGCAGCCTTACGGACCACATGAAGCATATCGAATTTCGATATCACCGTCGTCTTCAACGAATGAGCACAACGAGGTGGGTCTTGTCCCTTGTCAGCTGTGGAGGCGCACACTATTGCTTCATCTATGCTGATCCGTGAAATGTTGCACGGTCACCGCTTGTCACCACCTCCTTGATGGTATCAGAGTGCCACAACCCAAACAGCGTCGCAGACTGCTCGCTGCATGTACCGGGGTCGAGGTGATGATGACTGATGAAGGAGTTCGGATCTGCATTTGGCTTCCGCCTCGTATATGGTGGGGAATCGGGGTCGTTCCGCCCGCCACCAGGGGTGTGCTGTGCCTTATTTACGAAATCATACAGGGCCAGGGAACGTCTCATGAAGAATTGGGCTAGCAGCCTGCAAGAAGGTGATGTTCTTATCATTCACAACCTACCCGGTGGCGAGAAGCGCTGCCTATTGTTGCTAAATGTAGAACGAGCCGCGCAGGGTACGATCAGTAACGTGTGCGATCACTGCATTACTCGGTCTCCGCTTGCGAAGATCGATGCGAGACCGAGGCCAGGCTGCACGGATGGTACAGAGCCCGCCAACGGTCAGAATGTTGGCAGTATGCTGGCGGTGTGTTGGCGGCGTGTTGGCGGTATGTTGGCGGTATGTTGGCGGTATGTTGGGCACCACGCGGCATGTCCAGTACAACAAAGGGCTCAAGATGAAAGCGGCGCAATCAAAACAGACAGTTGTGCGAGTTGGTGCACTCGTACATGGTATGGTCTCCAGCTCACGAAGCTTCAGAAAAAGCCAGGTTTCACCAATGCTGAGGGGGGGATGGTGTGTATGCGTACGTAGGTACTTGTATCAGTACTGGTAGAAAGGCTGAGCGGAAGCAATCCAGCTCTCAACGCAAAGTTTGTATTCTGGTAGTTTCGAAGAGCGCCTTGAAGACCCTGTGCGAGGATGGCGTATTGCTCGCAGAACTAAAACAATCGCACATGCCGGATTGGAAGATTGCCACCGGGAAACAAGGAGCCCTATCGGACTCCACGATGCTGTGCGTCTACCCTTGACGCTCTGGACGGTCGTCCGTGGTCTTGAAGAAAATGTGATTCGCAAAATGTGACGGTCGGGTCAAGAAGCGAATCATGCCCATCCGAGACCGAGGTGGCGCCTAGCGTCACGATGGGTATATGAGCAACGGCGGGATCCGATGAGGGCCCGGACGCTCTGTGAAGGTGGTCAGCATCACCCCTGAAGAAACGAAGTCGTCACTTATCTCTGAAGACGTCGAGGTCAAGCGAGGCCTCTGAACGTGGAGATGAGTTTCTGTGCGGGACCAGGGAGAGCCAATTTGGGAACAGCGACCAGGGTTGAGAGCCAATGAGAAGGGCAGACACTACAAGCCTCCCAGCCTGGTCGTGGCAGCGGTTCTTGAGCCGGGGACAGGTTGCACGGCGGGACTTTTGATCTACAAGTCAGGACAGACAACCTTGGAAGATTGTCACTGCACATGGGGAGCATCATGGCATGTCATGTTGGGTCGAGCACGGGCAGGCAAGGCAATGGCATGTGAAACGTCGCGTTGGTCGTGCCTCCCTTCCGCAGCGCGCAAGACAAGGGCGGCCGTGCCTGCCTGCCTGCCTGCCTGCCCAGAACAGGCAACCAGGACTCGAGCACCCGCTTGCTGCGACTAATTATTGTTAGGACAGCACCGCGTCGAGGCAGTCTTCTGGCCTTCCAACCACCCCCCCAACCACGTATTACCCGCACTGACCTGTTGTCGCCTGAGTGAATCGTTGCGAACTCTGTCTGCTTCGGGCAGACAGCCTGTTGCACAGCAGATGCTGCTGGCAAGATGGCGGGCCGGTTTGGGACGAGCTGGCTCACCACGCGGCTCCCTGGTCGCCCTCGAGGCTCCTCCATCGAGATGGATGGAGCGAGTACGCAACCGGCATCGGCCGTGGTGCAGACTGCGACGGGCATAACATGCAGTCCCCGGTGCTCATGACCACGCCCTCATTCGCCGAGCAGGCACCGCGCGCATGCACGTCTCGGCGGTTCAGGGCCGCGGGTCATGCCACACGGAAATGGTGCAAGTGAGCGGAGCACCACCACCACCCAGAGGTTGCGCCATGACGAGTTGGGACGCTGCCTGCAACCAACGACCCGCGTGCTCGAGTGCATGGCCCGGCAAAGTCCCCAGGCTAGGCTTCGGCGCCTGGGCTCAGCAGTCAACCTTGTGTATCGCACCATGCCCAGGCAGATCCCCGGCTTCCCAAATGGTGTCAGTAGGCAAAGAGTCCATCGTGTCACTCTCGACAAGCGTCGGCGCGAACCAAGGGCACTATTCTCAAAGGGTTCGCCGCTACACTGCGTAAGGTACGTTATGCACCAGCCAGCCGCCTGGCGATGTGCGCTGGCCGGCGGAACCAGAACCGCATCCCCCATCGTCATCTTGTCCTGCCAGAATCTGCGCAATTGATGCTGATGGACGACGGAGGGAGCCGGCAGAGGGAGGAGTCGCTCTTGACATCAGGCTCGGGTCCTGGCTGGTCCAGCTCGAGCTTTGTGAGCTGCCGAGTATCGCCATGCATCGTGGATCCGTGCACAGTCGCCAAAAAGAATCATAGCATTCTACCCATCTGCACTATCGCACGACAGTAGAAAGTTTCTCCTTTTAACAATCGAGGCAGCAAGTCTTGGTTGCTCGTCGTCTGCTCCTGTCAAGCACGATAAGCATCTACTATTGAACCATCCATGACATTTAACCGCAATTGCCAGGGTCTACCACAGGACCAAGGATCGGTGGCGAAAGGACCGTCGCTGGACGTGGCCACTAGCACGGCCGCCAGATCTGACCAGGGAAACCAAAGCAGTTGTCAAAGAACGACGTGACTGTCCCATGACGATCAAAAGGTATGGATGCAAGGTCCCCCGCGGTCGCAGAGGCTACGCTAAACCGCCAAGAACCACCCCCGGGAGCTAGTCCCAGGAGCCCCAGCCCGCCCCAGGGGTATGTTGCTGCGACCAGCCTGAGAGCCCCAGCGTGCGGGTTGCTGGGGGCTATGTAAAGTCACATCCCGGCTGGCCAGGGTCATTCATACCCTCGTTGCACGCTTGCATCCCCAAATCCTGCCTTACCCATGCTCGACACCACCTGGAAGTGTCCCATATGGTCAACATGCTCTACGAGTTACGGGCTGCCCAGTCTCTCTGATTAGACAGGAGGGCTCTCACGTCGAAACCACGCCGTACTTGACACCTCTCACCAGCATGCCCGTTCGCCACGTCTCGGAAGCCCCATGAGATCAGAGCAACCTGCCGAGCATTGCATGGTTTTTCCCCCTTCATAATTTTGTCTTCATTCTGTATTTCAAACACACCGACTCGAAAGGTGCCCACGATCTCGCCCACCATGGTGTTCTGTGCATACTGTGGCAAGAGCTTTACAAGGAAAGAGCACCTGGAGAGGCATATTCCAAGTCGTAAGTCTGGCACCAGGCCGTGGCCCTGAGCCCCGTCCTCTGCTCTAACAGAGTTCCTCGGACAGACACGAACGTAAAACCACACAGATGCAGCGCGTGCCAGCTGTCCTTTGCAAGAAGGTATGGCACTCTTGGATTTGCTCCTTCGCGGCCGTCGAAGTCATGCTAAAATTGAGAACAAAACCTCAGGGATCTTTTGCAACGTCACCATTCGACATACCATGAGGCACGAGACCCAATGGAGCCTTCGCCTGGTGGCGTCCCAACCATCGCTGGCAAGACTCCCATCGCTTGCCTTAACTGCGCCCAAGCCAAGACGGGTTGTGATAAGAGAGTGCCCTGCTCACGATGTGCGGAAAAGAACCTCGACTGCGCGGCACGCTTTGCGAGACGATCTTCAAAGGCTGCTCTGAGAGCTGCTCAAGCCGCAGCCGCTACAAAAGTTGATCAACCAGCAGTCTCGTCATCCGTCCCGACCTCCACGGCCCTTGGCGTCAATGTGCCTAGTCCAACTCATCCCACAGAGGTCGACCATGAGTCACATCCTTCTGGTTCGGCGACTATCGACCCAGCATGCATGGGGATGAATCATACCCACCAAAGACACGGACCTCAGAACAAGATTGTTGGCACGGAAACAGACAATGCCATCATGATCGACCCACTGCTACAGTCGCACGGGAGAACATCGTCACAGAGCTCCCCAGACGTGTCACATCTGAGCTCTGAGGCGGTCTCGCCAGCTCAATTGCATGCACACATCCCAGATGAGGTTATAAGCTCGGAGGGTGATTTCATGCTCCAGGATGGGAATTTCCAGGACATGCTGTTGTGGCAAGACATACATATGGACTTTGACATGTATGGTGGTAACCCCCAGTTTGGTCGGCAAGACATGTCCGTCTCAGCCATACCCGAACTCAATGACATAGCCTCGTGCTCAAGTTCCGAGAAGATGATATCTTCACGCGGATCGGTTTCGACACATACGCGAAGCACAAGCATCGCATCCCATCGTGATGCCGACACTGGCGGACTCACGAAGGAGCCATTATTTGATCTCGTCAACGAAGAGTCAATACCAGAATTCGAAGCTGTGATAGCAGCTGAAGCGGGGTGGTCCTTGGCCAGGTGTAATACGCCCATCTACTCAAGCACCTGTCCGCGTACTGGTATTGTCCATTTGGAGTGTCTCGAGCAGAAATCGAAGCAGGAGGGCACCTGGGATGCTCTAGATCAATATCTCAACAGCACCAAACGCAGCACCACCGATCATGCCCCCGTCATTCCCATGTCTTCCAGGTCACGAGATCGCATGCTTGCGATCACGCAGACTTTCCTACACAAAGCCCTTGAGATCCACCGAGGCGGCCTTCACAGGCAACACAACACCCAATATTCCAATGCGAGCCAGCCCACCTTCCTGGTTTTGCCCCCCTCCAACGTCGTAGAGTATTTTCTGCGAAGCTACGTTGGGAGCACCTCGTTCTTCTACTCTCTGGTATCGACAGGTTGTGTTGATCCGAACGATCTTCTGTCTCATAGCACAGCCTCGATACTCTTGCTCCTGTTGATGATCGCTCAGGGAGCATCAACCGTGCCTACCGCCGAAGCTCGAGCCTTATCGGCTGGGCTGATCGAGACTTGCCGGATATCTCTCTTTGATATCATTGAAAAAGATATTGAGATGTCTGCAGACCTGACAGCTCTCCAGTGCGCTGCCCTGTTCACCATGGCGGGTGCCTGGAGCGGGGACAAATGGCTAATGGATATTGCTATGGGACAGCGAGGAATGTATTTGTCGGTAAGTTCGGACGGATATAGCGACGCTCTCAGTAAGCAAGACCCGCAAGGCTAACTATGAGAATATAGATGCTGAAGCATGCTGGCATGTTCGATGCGCAACCTTCGATGATCCCAGCTTTGAACCAACCCCCAACCAACGTCGAGCTGCAATGGCGATCTTGGCTGCAGCGAGAAACTCAGAACAGGCAAGTTGTCGGCCCCAGTCAGGAAAACGTGCAGCTCTGGACTAACAAGAAACGCCCGCACAGACTCACCTATAACTGGGTCATGATTGACCAAGAACTGAGCCTTTTCCACGACATAGCACCGATGCTGTCTGTCAGCGATCTGCTAGCTCCTTTGCCTGGGCCGGAGCTTCTGTGGATGTCGGCAAATGCGGACCAGTGGTTTGCAGCAATGCAGTCAATGTACGGCTGCACTGCGAACGTGAACCCGCAGCTACTTACTTCACAGTCACTGTCCCCGTCGCTTTTTGACCTCTTTCAAGATTTTCTCCACGACTCTATGAAGAGCCGGCCCACCCGGACCACTCCCCAGCAACTGCGCCTTTTACTGCACCCTTTGCAGTCCCTGCTTTGCCACCTTCGACAAATGTTGTCCTGCTTCTCGGACGTACTTGGCACAAGGCACATCAGCACTCGAACTGTCACAAAGGCCTCAACACAGCTCCGGCTTGAAGAGGTGCAAGCGCTGTTGCAGAGGTGGTATGAGCTAAGCATTGAGCACCAGAATGCCGATCAAAACTGCTGCGTGACGAAGACAAACCTAGTCCTATATCACTTGATCTCACTCAACGCGGTGACAAATTTTCCCGAGGTCGAGCGTCTTGCTCGCCGGGACTGCTTTGACGGCTCCTACTGGGAGCTCAGTCTGCGCCACAAGCGATGCATTTTCCAGCGCGAAGAGGCAATTTTCCACTGTGGTCAAGTGCTCCGCCTCTTGCGTGCTCTGCCAAGCGAGAAGAGGCCAAGCTGGTGGTCAGTAGCCCTGTATCGTGCGACACTCATTCTGTGGGCCGACAGCATTTCACGACTGGATCCAAGTTTCCAAGTACAACAGAAAGGAACTGCCGCGCAGGAACATGCTGCCAGAGGTGAAGATTCGAGAGAAAGTCATCCCGATTACAACCCGGTCGCAGTCGCAGTCGATCAAGTCACGCCCGAGGATCCCCTCGTTGCCGCATACCTGTGGAATGGCAGTGGTTTCCCTGTGCTCACAAACCCAGATGGCGGCGTTCTCAGTATCGAGAACCCCGGTAACATCCTTGGGTATGCTATTCGCACGGTACAGACATCGCCAGCTTCGCGACTCGGCGATGGGATTCGGCGTAAGCTTCTTACTCTGGGAAGGAACTGGCAAACGGACGGGTTGACGGATGGTCACAACATGCCCACAACGACGATCGGGAGCAAACCCACAGTGGTCTTGCCCCCATCGCAAGCCCCAATGATGTTTCCCTTCCATTACCCACAGACAGGACATGCTCACGGGGTGGCGACTGCTCATACTGGCCAGGATGGGATCCTCTGATCCCATAAACATCGGCTAAGAGGAAGACCATATTGCAAGAAGTGCGGTTTAGGAGGATCTGTGGAATTTTTGGAAATGTTGCAAGACCAGGCGCTGAGGAGCATCGGCTTGGCTAACGAGATGGCGTATATTTGCATATGGGTCCATGATTTCCATACACGAGATTACCGAGTGCTCTTTACTAGAGCACTTCATCCGGAATGATCAACCTCAGAGTTATATGTGTGGAGGGGATATTGTCCATTCAGGTTATGTTATGAGGCCAGTCGCTGCACTCGGAAACTCATACATGTCAATTACCCAACAGTTCACAGTCTGTCCAGTTTATGTCGAGTGTCTCACCTCCATGTCTACCGAGACGGATGTGCACTGCGGGTGCGCTTGCACCTGGACGCGCTCAACTGCAGCCAACTCAGTGCTTACTTAGTGGGTTATAGCTGGAGCAGCTTAGGAATGCCAAAGTGATGTGCCCAAGTAGTCTTCATTTCCGTCAGGGGGGCCTGATGCCCACAACGACCTGCCTCCCTTTTCGGTGACTTTCCCTGAACTTCTCAGCGGCGGCGTCTGGCAGCTCATGTTGCCGAGTATCACGCTGGTGCGCAACCATCTCGGTGGTCCTTTTGCAAATGGAAATCGGACAACTGCTGCGGTGTGTAAGTCGGTTTGAAGGTCAGCAAGGCCCGTCACGGGGTGGGTTTAGTGTGAGCGCGCAGACAAGGACGCCACCGGAGACCGGCTTCGACGCAGCCACGCTCTTGATAAAGCACTCAGCCGGGCTTGGACCGAGTCTGCCGGACTCTGCAGATCGTCATGGTGCATATGAGACAGCAAGAGAGAGAGAGAGAGAGAGAGGGAAAGAAAGGGAGGAGTGACTAATGGCTAGGACGTGGCTCCATGTAAGTGTCGACTTGTGATTTGACTAGACACAAACGCGGTTGCACACCGAAAAAGGGGGGAGGGCAATTTTTGCTCGGAGCGAGTTCTTGATAGACAATGCCGGTGCCAAGACGGACTAGGCTCTACCGCGGACTGTGTCACTCAGACTTCCGTTCGCCGCTGCCACCGGCTTTTTGATGGTCTTTGGGACTTTGCTTGTTCGTGGTGGAGCGTGACACAGGTTTGATAGGTTTGTGGTGGAACAAAGGACCTTGTCCAAGCCAGTGCCTCAAAACTGAGGCCTGACAGTCTCTGCAACAAGCTTAGGCCCGGTTTCACAAAACGTGAAGAGTTGCACGGAAAGAGGAAACGCCAGTCGACAAAAAGGTCAACCGGGGTATTTTGGTTCGAGCATGTACGTCATCCGTCCCTCAACACCTCCGCCACCACCACCACGACCCTCGGAAGGATCATCAAGGCCTTGGGGCCCCCACTGTACGACACGGCGGGTTAGGCCGCAGGAGAAATGTGCACCGGCTCCGACTGAAGCTTTCAGGCAAGAAACCTACTAAGGGTGGGGGGAAGGATGCGTGCCTGTTTGGGACTATGGAACAAGAGCCGGCACTTGGGAATGGGCGACGGGACAGGGACGGCGGCCACTAGAGAGGGGTGACAAGCTCAAGGCCGGGCTGAAGCCGTTGCTGCGTTAGCTCAGGGCGGCGTAACGGTAACTGTGAGTGGTTGGTCACAAGACTCACAACCAGCAGCTGGGCGACGCGTTGCGGTTGCGTACACGTTGACGCAGGTGGGCAGCGATGGAGAAGGACATGCAAGAAGTCAAGATGGAAGGTTTACAGGACGCTTTGCGTTTATCGGAAACCAGCGGTCACGAAATATGTTGGCTAGCTGTATGCGGTCGCGGAGAGACGAGAGGAACGATGGGAAGGAGCTACGGGCACAGTGCCAGATCCGCACGGTCAGCTGATGTGCACCGTGTTCCGTTTGCTGCACGGGAGAAAATGCAGCATTCGGAGACCGACAGAGGCATCACCACCACACGCTATTACACGATTCCCCAGAAATAAAGACGCAATGCGGCGAGAAAGTCCAAGCAATCCGTCTGCATCAGTCATAATCGCCCATGCCGGCCCGGGCTCGCTGCACTGCGCCACGCACGTTGCGACAGTCCCCTGGCGTGGTCTTGCCTGCCTGCTTGCCTGTCTGCCGTGCCGTTCCGGACGTCCGTGGGGAATAACTGCCAATGTCCGCCACGTCGACGCCTTTGCCGTGGCTGATAGGACTCATACCGGTGAACTGCTAAACCAGGGCGTCGGGCGTCGCTGCTGACAGGAGCCAAAGATGCTGGACCCCGAATATTCTCGGGCCAGCATAGGGGCACAACTCGACGACCGCTGCCCGCTTCACGCCCATTCCGGCCCGGCGCTTATGCTTGTTGTCTCTACAGGGATTCTGTGTCCGGACATTGTCTTTGTGGTTTGCTCAGGGATGCCCAGCTCGCCGTGGACGGTACAATAAGTCCAAATGTCCAGGCAGACCACGCAACTTTCCACAGTCCCCTTCATCATTCTCGCTTAGACTGCACCAGTCGATCATAGACTTTGTGCTTCGACACGCCCGTCAATTCCCACAGTTGATCAATCATTCAAATTATTTTCCCACGTGACAGCCATGGCGCCGTCCGCGACCACACATTCGACCCAGGTCACCGCTTCACACCAGGATCAGCATCCCATGAGCAACCTTGTCAACCCTCTCGCGGGCAAGGTCGCCCTCATTACTGGTGCTGGGCGCGGCATCGGTAGGGGCATCGCGCTGGAATTGGGCAAGCGCGGTGCTTCCATTGTTGTCAACTATGGGCGCAGCTCCAAGAGCGCCGAGGAGGTAGTCGCCGAGCTGGCCAAGCTTGGGTCAAAGTCAATCGCCATGCAGGCCGACATTTCCCGGCCTGAAGAGGTGGCCGTGCTCTTCGAAAAGGCCATGGCGCACTTTGGCCACATTGACTACATCATCTCCAACTCGGGCATGGAGGTCTGGTGTGAGGAGACCGAGGTCACCCCTGAGCTCTTCAACAAGGTCTTCGACCTCAACTGCCGCGGCCAGTTCTTTGTTGCCCAGCAGGGCCTCAAGTACGGCAGCGAGGGCGGTCGGATTGTCCTGACGTCGTCTATTGCGGCCCAGATGGCAGGTATCCCCAACCACGCCCTCTACGCCGGATCAAAGGCTGCGGTCGAGGGCTTCACCCGCGCCTTTGCCGTCGACTGCGGCCGCAAGAGGATGACGTGCAACGCCATCGCCCCGGGCGGCATTCAGACCGACATGTTTGACGAGAACAGCTGGCATTACGTACCGGGCGGCTACAAGGGCATGCCGATTGACACCATCAAGAACGGCCTGCGCAAAATGTGCCCGCTCGACAGAGTCGGCGAGCCTGCCGACATTGGCAAGGCGGTGTACTGCCTTCTCAGCGACGAAGGCGAATGGATAAACGGTATGTATCCTGTTCCCCGCCCACGCCGGGTTCTAACCATTCCCGAGTCGGCCACCTCGTTGCTAACCGCTTCGTGCATCGCACAGGCCAGGTCATTCGTTGCTCGGGAGGTGGCGTCTGAGTTCAGGGGAGAGAGATGCTGGAGGTTGAGGGAAGGGTGTTTGGGGTCCGCGCGAGTTATTCTTGCCTTGAAAATTCGGTTTGTCGTTCACAGGGATCACTTGGGAATAATAGCACAGCGCTGCGCCGAGATATTGTTCAGATTTCAGTGAGGTTCTGCTTCGTGACACACGTATGGTGTCGAATTGAATCACCGTGGTCCAACACGTTATGGCAGCCACACTCATGAAAACAACCTTTGTGGATGTTTTCTTGACCAGCCGATAGTAACGGAGCCACTCGAGGATGATTTGTGCCGATCATTCTGTGACCCCTGGAAGTCCAGCACGCGGCAGGTCACAGTTGCGTTATGGCCAGCCGTCTTGTTTATGTATGGTCGCGGACCTCGCTAAAGAAAAGAGATCCATGGGTGGTGTAGGAAAGTACGTGTCCACGGAACCATCCTCGGCTTCAGAACAACGTTTAAGAATGCCGTCAGAGGGCGTCGAACCACGGCAACATCTCGGGCAACAGCTTCATGTTGGTGGGAGTAGACTGGGCGGATTCCCCTTGGTGTGAAGGGAGTTAGGTATGTAAGATAACCATGATACATATCAGCGTGCAACATGACCGAGGTGCCCCCAAGGTGGAACCTTTGCGGAGTAGTGGTGTGCTCTTCTTGATCGTGGCGCAGAGATTGATGGCTGTCTAGTGTCTAGCGCGGCGGACGTAAGATCTGCAGTGAGGCTTCCCCACGGACGGACGGCCTCGCAGAGCTATGACAACGACCTGCAGATACGACGTTGCGGCTGAGAATAGCAGGAGCTTGTGAAGCTTTCCCTCCCAGCCGCCACGCCAAGGCGGCGCAGCTACGCCCCCTATGCGTGTGGTGGTGCGCTATGTGGCTACGCTAAGTCTGGCGGAATTTTCTGGTCCGCCATTGTCACCTCGGCCATCTCGCTTTTACCCCTCACCCTGCCCGTCAGTTCAAGCTAGACAGCTGCGTGCCTCGTCCTTATCAAGCCACCGCCTGCGCCCTTTTTAGCTTGTCCTTCTTTACAGTCTGCCTCGCGGTGATCACTTTCCCTATCTTCCCTCCGTGATGCACGGTTGGCGTCGTTGCCGTGTCGTTTGCTTGGAGTCGCTCTCCGTCGCTTCCAGCATCTTGTCTATCAGTACGCTTGAGCCCTGGTTGCAGGTCGGCAATCGGGTTTAAAGCTGGTACATATCTTTTGATCTAATGCATTTCCTATCTGGGGCGCATGACTCCCGGTTCTGATCTCGTTTTCGACCGGTGGGCGATGATCATGGCTCTTTACGAGGAGCCAGTTCGGCGCCGAAGAGCTCTGTTCGGTCCCGATCTGCGCTGTTCGTCCTCCTCACGATGATATTGTTGGCTTTCGTGTCCGACGGATCTCGGTTCCGAGCCAGAATGCCCTAGTTCAGCGCTTTGACGAGCTCTGCTTGTCAACCAGCCACAAGAGGTTAGGTTTGAGGATAGTTGCGGATTCACTGCATGAGCCAAGATTCGCGAACACCCGCAGTACGGCAGAGGACGTTGTCCGACAATGCCGGAAAGAGGCGAGTATAAGCATTGTCGCCGATGAGCACAAGGAACATTTGCCGGTCATCTTTCCTGACTGGGGACAAGGCGATAATGTCACCCGTCTCAAAAGGTTTGTGGTACGGCCGTGCTCGCGGAACTTCAAGACGGCACTCTGGTCACGAGGCCCCTCAGCCACCGAATCACGTCTCGGTGGCTTAAGCATCCGAGCATTGGCGCGAATCCGGAAATAGTCCTACGTCGCGGGCTTGCGCTTCAGCACGTGATCGTCTTCGCCTGAGACGGCTTTCAATCAAGATTATACCCTGATTCTTCCGCTCATTCTGGTGTCAGTGCCAGGAGGGCTGCATCGTATCTTGGCGCCGAATGTCTTAGCATGCATTAGCGAACGTGCTGTCGAGTACTAGCAGCGGCATTTAGGAACTACGCTATACCCGTTGTTGACGTGCCCGAAACGGCTGGGCCGAGAGCAGTTTATCTATCTGCTTCGGGTGGAGACCCTGCTCCTGAGGGTAGTTGCCAGCCTTGGCCGTTTTCTTCAACGGAGGTTCGTGGGGCTAACTTCTGCATTGTCCGTGTGGCGTGCACCCCTAATCCCGGAGTTGCTTGGCAGCCTGTGGTTCAGCCGCCGGAACAGACTTCTCGTGTCTCTGTTCGGCGCGATACATCATCTCCATTTAGGCTTCTTTACAGTTAGAATGGCTTGCAGGAAGAGCGGCCATCCATCAGATAACCGTGCAGGCCGAAAGAAGACAACCCTGCATGTTCTCGGCTTCGAACAGGGGTCCATTTGTAGGCTAGGTTGACTTGTGCTTTCCTCGCTTCTGTCTTCTCCGTCGGGGGGAAATGCGATGTATGAAGACCGCGACTACTACTACCACAAGAACTTCGGCATACAACAAGGCGGGAAACCCCACAGAAGCCGCTAGACGGGGCTGTCAACGTGTACATTGCACTCCTGACGGAGACTCGAGGGGGCCACTCTCCTAGAGGTTGCATTTCGTGATGTCGATCGCCGAGGGTGTGTGAGGATGTGGATATGCGCATGTCTTTTGGACTCGCGCCGGTGCTGCTTCAGGACGCGCTCTCCCGGCGCTCCCTGCTCGGAGCCGACCCATCGGTGCGTCACTTGACTGTTATTGCACCAGGCGATACTTGTTAGTGGTGTACGGATAACACTGGCACACACTGACTCTGGTCGTGATGTCGTACATGTGATGACGAGTGTTCGATTGCGTGAGTTACGCCTATTTGTTCATAGCTGGCTCAGTGTCCCAGTTAGTCCATGCAACCGCGGGAGAATCTTCCTTCTACCAGGCCGCCGGGCCGGAGCACCCTCCCCTAGACGCCGACTCCGAACCCACAAGTGATCAAAACCCCGCGATGGCTATTATTCCCGAATCCCAGGGCTTGCTGGCCGCTGCCAGATTGGGATGGGACTGACTCGGCCGGGGGTTCCACTTTTGGGACCCGCACCCTGGCAATCCAGATCAGCCAATGAACGAGCCCTGATGAACCCAATTAGGCACCCCAAAGCATATCGGCCAGGGCCAGGGGGTTTTGATTGGCTACCATCCCACTGGCTCAGCTCCCACCTGTGGTTCCTCATTGCCGCATCGGGACACGTGCAGCGAAGACCCTGCCAAGCAACGTCACCCATGGCCTATTTGAGTTTCTTTGAGCTCAGCCGCCGCCGCCTCCCATGACCCCTTTGGGCTCGAGAGAGTCCAGCTAGGCGACAGCTCTGAAGGAGGTTTGAGACGCTACTTGCCTGGCGTGGCATGACACTGACGGAAGTGCCTTCGCTTCACGCCAGTTTGCCCTCGCCTGTGGGATCGACACCTGGATAACACGGCAAGCGGATTGCATTCCGCGTTTACCACGTCGCCCCTGTGTCACGACGATCCCCTTCCTTTTCTCGAGTAGGGGAAGCCTATGGCCGTTGAGGCCGAAGCCTAGGGAGTCAGTCGACACTCAAAAGCGGATTGGTTCATTAGAGAACGTGGCTGTTCTTGGCATGGCCCATGCAGGATTTGGCCGGGACTGGCGACCATCTGGAGGATCGACGACCCTAACCTGCTTTCTACTACGTCTCGACGGCACGGGCTGGGGCTCTGCTGGTGTGGCCAGAATAGCGTGCCAAACCTTGCCGCCCATGAAATCATGTCCGAAACACCACAGGCATGTCGAAGACGATTGTTTTCTGTCATGGCATTTTAACACATTGCGGCTTCGCATTATCCACTCGGACCAGGAGCCTTGTAATGGCGAATCGGCATTTACTACACCTGCACCCTCAAGATCAACACATACTCCGGGGTAGATGCACCCCTCGCTGAATACTCATCAAGTCCGACTCACGTGACGACTCGGTGCCGTTGTCTGGCTCCGTATCTTCAAAACGGCGCGACCATTGACACTGATTCCCACTCAGGCTTACCGTGAGATGCGCCCACGCTCGCAGATCATCGGCCATGGGATAGCCCGTGTACACGCCTGTTGTGGCTGTTTTCTCCTGGTGTGACCGCCTTTTTCGGGCCAACCCATTTAGACCCTAGACTTGTGCAAAATCGGACGTCTTTGCAACTTAACCACCAAACAGTAGACGCTACCTACAGCCACAGCGCTCCCCTTCGGCCAATCAGCTCCTTCCAGGTCTTTCCCCGCGTTCCGGACGAGCAGCGTGTTATCATTTCTTTTGTGGCAGACAAGTTCCTGTTAGATAAGAAACCCCGAAACTTCAGGAGACGCATTTTTGGCAATGCCTTTACATGCGCTCTGCGGATTAGCCTTTCCCTTGCCCATGGCTGCAATCTGCCCATAAATTCACAGCACGTCAAGGGGGGGAATTCTGGCGGGTAAGTGATCTGCACATGCTTGTTCCCTCGCCGGATAGGCGGAACAGTCTGCAGACGCGATGCATTACATGCATCTGCGCACCATGCAGCTCTGCAACCAGAAACCTTGATGCAAGATGTCAAAACTTCTCATACGCCAGAGGGAAGCAATACACAAGATCTCTCCTGCGAGCTCAATCTCAGAATCATGCACACCATCGCCATACTTGAGTCTATTCAGGACAGCTAGCCACCCTCCTGCCCTCGTTCCCCCCCCCGCCCCCCCTCTCGAGTTTGCCTCCACCGACGACATGCCGACGCCATCAACCTCGCCGTCGACTTTGGAAGCTCTCACGATGCAGCAAGTGGTTTCGAAAAGACAATAGCCATTATGACAACCTCTGCACACGCATGCGTTCGCCACAGTCTTTTGCAGCACAAGCGTGCGGATCTGATGCGCGTGCAAATGCAAGGCAATGCAACGGCAACGGCGGGTGCTATATCCCCGGATCTTCTCACGAGTTGCCACGCCAGCAAAAGCCCAGCCCACATCTGTCTTTTGTCAACCACCCGTTCGGCCCTGCACGCAAGCAACATGCCATATCATGCCTAGGCCTGCCGATCCGGGCGAAGGAAACGCACGTTTTTCTTTTCCCTCCCCGCAACTTCTACCAACGAAAGCCGCAGATCTTGGGTGGCAACCCGCACCCGCCCACCGGTGAATATCTGACGGGCATGAGGAGGCAGCATGTAGTAGTAGCAGTAGCAGCAGCAGTAGCAGCAGCAGCAGCAGCAGCAGCAGAAGCAGAAGCAGAAGCAGCGGCCCCCTCTTGAAAAGAATCCACAATGCACACATGAGATAACAAACTCCGCCGGTATCTGCAGAAGAGGGAACTCCTTCTGTGTGCAGCATCCTGCGTGTGCAAACGAAAAAGGGTTTCCAAATAGGATCAGGAGTCAATTTCTGTTGAGAAGGGTAATGGATAGGGACGACCGGCAACGCAGGTAAGAAGCAGAGCCTCAAGGGGTGCAAGCCAAACCGCCCCCAAGGACAGCGTTGAGCACGTAGTCTGTTGTTCTTCCTCAACACTGTATCTCCTGGTCCTGTTCCCCATGGATGAGCTGCAGTGTTGTCAGTTGTCAGGATTACATCATCATCACCATCATCATAATCGGACACAGAGCTAAAAAAAAAAAGGGCACACACCACGAAACAACCATGGAACCGACCGTGAGTTTCCTTTCACTGCGCCTCCCCCCCCACCCACACACAGTCTTGCCATGTCTTTTCTCCGCCCGGTCGTCGGACTTTTCAACCATCAAAGCTGAAAAGAGAAGTGCCACTGACCTGTCCCACACACGACCCGCTCGCGCGCGCGCGCGCGCGCGTAACAACGACAACAAAGTTGCCGCATGCCGGCACGGGTGAACTGGCCCACGCGCAGGTCAGCCCATCAAGAGGTCCGCTAGTCAGCAAATAAGTTTTCACCTTTGGACAGGCCCGAGGCGTATGCATTACAGGTGCAGTAGCGCGGGTCACGCAATCCCTTTTCTTACACACTGCTTCGTGAGTAGTGGTGGTGGTGGTTGGTGGAGAGGCGAGTGATAAAGTCCAGTGCGGGTTGCTGCTGATCGGGGGATTAGAACACACAAAGACTGAGAGGCATGCGTTGAATCAAGCTTCTGACGGGCGAGGTGTGCCAGCACCGAATGTGACGATGGTCGCATTAGCAGATGAAGTTTAGAGACGCTTGTGATCAAAAGTAGCGACACTGGTAAAGGCGGGTGGTTGTAAGTAGTAAGCTTTCCGAATTTCTTCTTGAATTACTAGCATTTGCTATCGGTATGTCCATCCTTGGACGCGCTAAAACGGGCAACAAATTATTCCACCTATCAACCTACTTCATGACATGCACGATACAGCGACGGAGGGTATCATTGTGAAAATGATTGAGTATCTTAATGCCACGCCATAAAGACCAATATACATGGAGTCGTGCGGGGCTGGTGCGATCTTGAATCAGCAACCGAAAGCTGAGACGTGGCTGGTGCGGCGATTGTTGACCACCTCGAAGGTAGTGGCCAAGTCCTGGCCGAGGTAGCCAATCATGGCTTTGTTGACCTCGAGGTCTTCGCTGAAATCCGAGCAGACCTCACGAAATTTGGCGTACACCTCGTCGAGCTTGCGCAGTTCCCTCGACAAGATCTCCAGCTCGAACCACTTGCCGTCCTCTCCATTGAGCCGGTAGACGCCATAGCTGACACTATGACTCCCAGAGCCTTGGTCTGGTAGAGAGATGCCGCTCTCAAAATAAGTAGTAGAAGCGCTTTTGTAGAATGAGGCGATCTTGCCGATGATTGTGGCAAGCAACATGGCCGATGTCTGCATACCCGAGCGGCTCATGCATCTGGAGCAGCCGAGCATGGCCGCACAGCCTTCGACCGCCTTGCCATTCAGGGACAGCACTTGATCAAACGATGGCATGTCCGGGGAGGAGGCATTGTGTAGAGCTTGAAGAGACTGCAGGCATGCCGTAAAGCATGTACAAGAGGCGTGGCTGTTGACTGGGGACGGCGGCTTCCGAGCCGGAAAGCATTGCTGGGTAGCAGAAGGCGGTGGGGTAGACATGTACCCTGGAAGATTGGCAGAGGCTGGCAGTGTGCTGTCAAAGCTCATTGTGTCTGGCGAAATAGCCTCTGCCCAGGATGGGCTTGCGATGATAGAACCATCGAGAGAGAGTGAGCGACCACCAGTCGCCGAAATTGGTGAGGCAGACATTGGCATGTCAGCCAGCTGGTAGGACAAATCATTTGGTGGCGTCCAGGGCATGGAGCCGGAAAAGGACTCGATGCTGGTGGTAGACACAAGGTCACCACCCGTGATCAGAGCTGCATCCGTGCCAAAACGAGAGAGATCCGAGGACAAAGACGGATTCCTGCTCATATTGCCATCGATACTGCTGGGGGGAGTGATCCAACCATGGCTGTTCTGGAAAATGTGCTCGGGGGGGATCTGAGTTACCGACGGATAGCTGAGATATGTCGATGAATCGTGAAGACTACGGCTCTGGGGAAAGCTTTGACGCCGGGCAGCTTGGTGATCAGCCTTGGGTTTACCCGCCCTGCTCGAGGGAGAGTATCGGCAGTCAAGACCGCAAGCTAAACACCTCGAGCATAGAGGTCGAGCCTTGGAGCACTTGACTTTGGCCAAGAAGCAGCCATCACAGGATGCTCTCAAGCGTGGCTGACGAGGCTTTGAGGCAGCCGCCATTGTGGTAGCCGTGGAATGAGAATAGCTACGATGATGTATGAATGCTGTGTGTGTATGAGAGAGAGAGTGAGTAAATATGTGTTCCAATGCGCGGAGACGGGTGGTGTTTCTGATAACTGATTTGATTGTGATATGCGTGGAATGGTGATTTCTCGATCGCCGTATTCAAGATTCGGATTCGGGCAGGGGGGATAAGAGCCTTGATATATTCGGGGATCGGCAAAGAAAATGCTTGTGATGGCGATTCTCCCTGCCACTGAGAAATCCGGTAATGGACTAGTCTGGATGCACGTAACAAGCGCGCAGCTTCGCACCTACGATTGTACAGGCCATGGCTGGAGTACACCCCTAGCGTTAGAGGCGATGACCGCATCTGAGCTCCGCAACCCTCGACAAAGTAGGCCAAGCGTGGCTTACGTCGAGGCCAATAAGCTCGCAGGGGAGGGACGAAGACAAGGGGCGACATACAAGAGGTACCGCTGCAACGGTAGGTTGAGCGTTCAACGGGAACGAACCGGATCACTGGCTTTCTGCCGTGGACCACGGCCCAAGCCGAATACTTGGTGGGGATGGAGGCAGAGCGCCGTTACACCCTGAGGATGACTTCCAGCCGTGCGTAAGCGGCGTCCTGAAGCTCGAAAAGGCATTCCATCATGGACAGTGGCCAGAGGAGTCCTACCCAAGCCGTTAGCAATTGGCTTGTTCTGGGCCAGCTGGGGCCATTAAGTTCCCGTGGTGCTCCATACGGACCAAATCGAGCCAAGCGCAAACGGTGACCTGGCGAGCTTCCACAGGCTCGGAAGCACGAGCTAAGCAGGAGGGGGTGTGGCCCTTGGACTTACCTTGGGCAGACGCCATCCCGAGGACCCTTGAATACTCGTCATGCCTGCCTGTTAGTGGCTCACAGCGGTTTGGGACTAGAAGCAGCCGAAAGTGTGCCAAGGTAGGAGCTAGGGGCTTGGATTAGGACCACATGTGCCGTTTGGAGGAAGGCCGGCACTGTGAGGTGACGGGGGACGGCGTGGAGACCGTGGACAAAAGAAGGTATCGTAGAGCGACCGTGGCAACGATAGCGGCCACGGCGGAATGCTTGTGGGAGGTGCTGTCTGCGCCGAGTGACGGAGTTTCGGAGGACGGCGTGTGCTCGAATTGGACGTGTGACAAGAAGGCGTGCGCTGTCTAACCCCAAGAGCGCGGGCTCGTGGGCCCTGATTGAGCTGGTGATGTGTTGGCGCTGCAAATTTAGATTTGCCCAAGGACGCCCCGTCGGCGGCTGGCTCGAGCTTATCATAGACCCGGTGTTCCTCAGAAGGGGGACGCACGAAGTAGAGGGCGGCTTGTGATGTCAAAAAAAAAAAAAAAAAAAAAACACGGTCGACCCGTACTTGCCGGCTTTGCTTGGAGCATTTGGTTGATGATGGTGTGGTACGCACCACAGGACCTTCTGCCATCATGTCTCGCCCAAGGATCCCGTCAGGATGTCGTTGTGCTGGCTGAGAATCGCGGGCGGCTTCCAGAAGACAGAGTTCACAGGCAGAGAGGCGCTGCGACTGCCCGCACACGTGGCCAGCCAGCTACTGGGGGGGGGGAGGGTTCACGGCACAGACACGGCTGCACCGACGACGACGACGACGACGACGACTACTGCGACGACGACAGGACAGCCTGCATTTGGCACGGGCAGCCGGCACAGATCGTCGCCGCCGATGGAGAAAGGTGAGCTGAGCTGCAAAAGCAGGTCGGAACAGGGCGTCGTCTTTGCCGATCGCTGAGGCATGCCGTGCATGCTCGTGTCGCGCATGAACCACCACCATCTGGTGGTGTGCGAGGGCGCGCCATCACAGAGACTCGGTTGGTCCGGGCGATTTTGTCCGTGGCAGAGCAAGTGGACAAGTTGGGACTAGGCCGTGGTGACACACATCCTGCCGCTGTGTCAGGTGAAGCAATGTCACGTCTTGTCTGTCAGTGACGCGATCCTCGAAGAGACCCTTGCCGATGTCAAGGCAATGCACGCGTCCCCCCCAGCAGCCGGGACGTGGTGGCATGACTGTGCGCCCTGGTGGGCGAGCGTTTGCCGGAACGGGGAGAGGGGGGCGGGGGAGGCGCCATGCCTTGGACCCTGCCGTGCCGTTGGTAGAAGCCACTGACGGCTCGGTAGTTGCCTGGTGAACTCTGGAAGAAACTGGGGGGACCTCCCGGTGTTGTTGCAACCTGGTTCCTAAAGCACACAGGGGGTCGTGATTCCGTGCCATGAGCCGCAAACACTCGCAGCCTGGGTGCCTCAGGTCAGCAGGGGTCAGCCAACCGGATGCCCTTTCCGTGGGAGGCACCCCGCAGGCCAGCCCCAGGCAGTGCCCTCGTCCAGCCCCCCCCGCGTCCCCTTAGCCCACGAGCTGCACCACCAAAAGTCCCAACCACACACACCTTTACGCCCTGCAACCCGTCGGGACCGGCTTCTGGCGTTCCTGTCCGCCCACCCCAGCACTGCACTTGCGCAGGTACACAGCGTAGTGTGTCTGAGAGTGCCGAATCCAGCGGCCTACCCCCCTGCTCACCAATGGCTGCTCAGAGCCTAGCCTCTCTCGCATCAGTCTCAACTGGGACCAACTGTCATCCAGCACAACTCGATCTTGCGCAACCCTCAACCTTGATTCGCACCCTAGCGGTGTCAGCAAACCGTCGCCGCTGCCGTGCCAGGCCAGTTTTGATCATGATCAGCATGGGAGACGACGCTGGAGTCTATGCCGTTTGTGCCTGGAGGGGACAAGTTGCAACGCCTCACTGCCGAGCCGCGAGACTTAGCTCAAGCTTCGACGCTCAAGGGCCCTGGTATCGTGAATCGCGTCCTGTCCCCTCTGGGATGATCGACAATCGATCGACAATTGGTTTCCCTCCCGGGGGGCCCTGTCTTGAGCTTCCAGGACAGCGGTAATTCAAACAGACGCCATTGTCAGCCACGTCCAGTGTGAGATGGTATGGCCATGACATCCTGCCTCGCCATCCCGCTTGGTGCCGGCTGGTCGTCATTCTCGAATATGGAAAATTTTAGCATTTCTCGCCAACCCACAGCTTGCTTTTCACCCGCCTCACCGGACTTCCCCCAGGCAAAAGATCCATCGTACGACACGGTGGGGCCGGAAATCGGCTGCGCCTTGTACGATTGGGCTTACCATGCAGCGGATTCGTCAAAGGCATGAATGAGCCGTCTAAGCAACTGCCCTAAGGAGCGCCTTGGGGTTTGGACCACAGCTCAACGTTTGCTCGTACTTTGCCAAAAGAACAATTCAAGCACTCAACGATTACTATCGGTTTAGTTTGTAATTTGGTAGAACACGTGGGTTAGACACTTCGGGAGCAAGGGCTCAGGACGACAGGGAAGGGCTCGCGTCACGATTATGGCCGCCTGCAGCATAGGCCAACTGCTTGCCGATGCGTGTTCGGCAGCTACCCGTCCTGATACACATGCGGGCCTAGAGCTTCGATGGCGACTACTGCTCAATCTCTGGATGCCCAAGTTGGTCCATTTGATCAGACCAAAGCCATCGGTTCCTCGTCGTCAACATTACAAAGCAAACAACCCTGGCGCCGCTTAGTGTTTTGCTTGGGCACGGGAGAGAAGTCACCGACAGGATTTTCTCTTCGCAAATTCGCAGCTCAAATGGCGATACCTCTTGAAAGTTGTATGTTTGCAAAATTTCCGATTTGCCCATGCGGCGCTTGCTGTAGAGGCGTCGTGTAGGCTGTCGTTTAACGTTCTGCGGTTGAGTGAGCCGTTTGTTGATACTGCGTATCTCAGCCAATTCTGCGTTGGCTCAAGGGCTTATCATTGTTCAAACATCGGCTGGTAATCGACCTGCAAGGTCTCTGCACCTCATGTTACTTATTAGCGCAGTGCTCGTTGTGCAACGCGAGCACTTCACATGCAAAAGAACACGAGCTCAGCTGCGGCTACATCCTGACGATACCCTTGTGCCAATGCAACGGCTTGTCTAGCGCCTGGAAAAAGAAAAAAGCCCCCGATGGTTCTCGGATCCCTCGGGGATGATGAAGCCGGACTGCATGCTTGCACAGCTAAGGCAGCCTCTTCCGGGCAAGACCTGAACTTGATGAACCTTGACAAGTCCAAAGTCTCGAGGTAACCAGGACAATGCAACGAGAATGAGGCTGCCCGGAGACCCGTACTCCCATGTGCTTTTTTTGGCCAGGAAAGCTTGGCCGACATGTCTCGCTGCAAGTCCTCGGTTCATGGCACTGGAATCTCGGAATGGGCGAGCCGTCAGGCTGCTCTCGTTGACATCTCAGCCGAGCCCGCCTGATTGCCTCTCCTGCTGTGCTTGATTAGTAGCTCTGGACTGCATCGCAGTATAAACCCCTTGGCGTTGACCTAACTCGCTGCTGTTATCCGTAGCTGACACCACCATGATGGGATCTAGTCATCGTCCTCGGGTTCCGGCGTTCGCCTGCGAGATGCTGACCAGGCAGCCTGCCGGGTTGCTTTTGAATACGCGATTGATGTGGAATCCAGGCTGAGCCGGGAATCTAAGCAGCTCCGCTGCGCGTGGTAGAGCACACTCAACCCAGCTCACACTAGGATGAGATGCTGGTCGCACAAAGAGGGCTGCCTGTTTGAGTCATCACTCGCCGTCCCCAGGTTGTGCTTGATGTTGTCTGGTAAGCAGCGCTGGTAACACGGGTCGCTGTAGCCATGGCGCGGCAGCCTCAAGCCGTCCCGGGTCTCGACCCGCTGGAGGCTGACGGTTTCCAGTCAGCATCAGTGGATCGAGAACTCAGGCAAGTCAGTCCATGATCCCAGAGACACGGCAAGAAAAACTTGCTTCTGAGAACCGAATTCATGAGACGAACCTGACAGGTCTGTTTGGCAGAATGTGTAGCAGCACTGAGTTTCACCTGAGCCCACTTGCCTAAGCAGGGGTCCTTTGCTAAGGCTGTTTTCTCAAGTAACGCGGACTCGTCCTTCAAGGTTGTTGTCATTAAGCCTGATCGTGTTTGAGAGATCTATTGTTTGCTAAGAGCCCATTCTTCCACATACGACCATAGGATCAAGAAAATTGAGGGTCCCGTCCGCTCCCCTATACACAAGCTTGATACCGCCGGACTAGTAGTTGGGTCGGTGACGACCAGCGAATCCCCGGTGTTGTATGTTTTTGCCACTCGAATTCCTCTGATTAAAATGTTTTTGAATGGTCAAAGGAGCCGCGGGCTCTCATGTTCGTTCCTTCGTTATATCGCGTTGGCCGATTTACAAAATGCTCGCCTGGCCATTGCGGACGTGGCAGATCAGGCGTGTTCTTGTTTTTTTATTATCTTACCTCTCTGTGTCCTTGGGGAGGTTACATGCTGAGGCGCACACTCAGATCATGCCTTTCTGCTGGGGATCCTTGGAATCGAGATGTCGCTGACGTATGGCGATGGATACGAGAAGGTATTTTCTGGATTAAAGTAATCACTCGACGCATCTGATAGATTTCCTTGCGCTCTCCCATTTTCTCGGAACGGCTACTACTACTTGTCAGGAGGCCGGCCACGCTTATAGACATTTAACAGTTTATTTGGAAAGGACAAGTTCGACATACCAACTATTACAGTCCGGCTCGGGGAACTCTATCCTGGCAATCAAAATCTGCCATCGGACGGGGGATGGGCGACATCAGTGCTCAGCGCTTTAGGTAGACGCCAGCAGTCTAGGCACCTTTTAGCAGTCACGTAGCGACATTGCACGCAAGCTGCAAAATATTACAGGATCTGGATGAGTTTGAGTGGACTATCGCAGGGTTGTTTCGATACCTCCAAAGCGAAACTGACGTGTGGCTATTGATGCAAAAACCCATCTAGATAGCATTTTCAGTAGGCATGTTAAGCTACCATTAATGTGTCATCTATGGTACATATATACAACCGTAGCCTTGGCGTGGTTCTCGACCGCCACGTAATGATCAAACAAGGTGCGCCAACAGGTTTTTGGTGGTGCCCTTCAGGCTCGTGATCCTCCCTGACAGCGCATTGGCCACAAGGTACTCGCACGCCGCGGACGGGGTAGTGGCGTCCAGAGCGAGGTAGTAAGCCATGAGCCCAGCGACGTGTGGCGTGGCCATAGAGGTGCCCGTGCTGAGTGCGGTGCGGCCGTCGGGAATAGTGCTGAGGATGTTGACGCCGGGCGCGTGGATGTCGACGGAGGTGCCGTAGTTGGAGGAGCTGCCGGCCTGGTCGTTGACATCGGTTGAGCCGACGGTGCACACGCTCGGAACGCGGGCGGGCGATATAGCGCTGGCGTCGCGGGCGCCGTTGCCAGCGGCCACGGCGACGGCGAGCCCTGCGTTGACAAGGGCGGTGGCGGCATCGTCCATCGCCGGCGAAGTAGGACCGCCGAGGGACATGTTGACGATGATGCCCTTGGGGCACAGGGAGGCCTTGGACGGGAAGTCGCCCAGGACAAAATCCATCGCGGCGACGAGGATAGAGCTTGGTAGAGGAGTCATGTCAGTCCATGGCTGAATATTGGGCTTTGATCGCAGGCTGCCTCCCTCCACTTACGTGTTGCTTGAACCAGTAGGGCCGAAGGCCTTGACGCCAAAGACGGTGCTCTTCTTTGCAACACCGTACGTCTTGGAGGCAATAGTCCCGGCGACGTGGGTGCCGTGGCCGTTGCGATCGAGAGGGTCACTATCGATTGTGTTGGCTACAAGGGACGCGCGACCCTCGAATTCCTATGCCGTAGGTTAGATCGTATCTGTAGACACGGGGAATCAACTTCGACCTACTGGATGTGTACCATCGACACCCGTGTCAATGACATAGGCGCAGGCACCCTCGCCCGCCACGTCGTCGTAGGTGTAAGTGGCCGCGCCGCTGCTGGTGCTCGAGAGCCGGGCAATGCCCCATGTGGCGTTCGTCTGCGTCACGGACGCAAAGATGGACAGCTCCTGCTCCTTCTCGACAAACTCAACCTGGGGGTTCAGCCGGAGCTGCTCCAAGTCCTCGTCGTCCAGGGTCGCAGAAAAGGCGCTCAGGTTGGTGAATTCCTGGTCGGCATCGGGCTTGATGGCCTGGATGCCAATCTCGTTGGGGGCTCCGGCCTTCATCTTGACAATGTAGCTATCGCCAGTCGTCGCACCCCGGGGCACATGGAGAGGGGCACGCCTGTCCTCGAACGGGGCGGCCAAGGCCAGCGGCAGGAGGCCGAAGAGGGCGGTGGAACGCATCTTACACTTGGGCACGAATAGCAGAACAATCCGAGTCGAGCGACGTGTGAAGACATGAGGGGGCTAATACCCGAGGGCCCTGACCTTGTTTATAGACATTGTACAGATAGCCAACATGATCATAGGCATCCTATAACAGAGCGTTAATGATGCACATCTGGTCATCAATGCTGATCCTTGCAGGCGCCACGACTCACGCTCTCAGTCGCTTCTCTAATCTGGTGCACAGCTTCCCCTGCCCTGCCAAGACCGTGAGGTTACATCGGCCCGCCTGCGAAAATTGCTACAAAATGCTGAGTACCGGCCGCTAGTTATCTAAAGGTAGGATCCCAGCTGTCGACCATTGCCGCGACCTGGAGCTTCGACAGCTTCCTGATTTGTGCTGGTGCAGCGCGCAAGTCGCAGCGTCAAGACCTCCCTATGTAAAGGGACCACACCTATTGAGGCAGGACCCCACGATAGAGCATGTGCCAATCGTGGAAATACGAGACTGTGACAGCCAGACGGGAACAAGGGTTGAGCTCAGGGCACCATAGCAGGGCCGGGAGTTCAGTCAGTCGTGTGTTGGAAAGTTGTGACTTTCTCGGCCGATACCAAAAGAGCGCCTGACAATATTTCGACCCACGAAGAAATGATATTGCAATCGTGCCCCTCGCGTTGCTTGTGCTCCCAGCGGCATGTGACCCTCCAGGATCACCATGAACGACGAACGCCAACTGGGGTCTTCTGTTTACCCCTGGTGAGCCCCTGCAATAAAGATGATCCCCCCTCATAGGGCCGGCAGTGCTGACAGCCTCATGAAAGACAGCTGCCGCATTTTCTGTGCCGTACCTGCACTGAGTTGAATATGTGCCCTGTACAGGGTACATCCATTTGCAGGAATCCTGGGCCTTGAGGCGCAGTTTCGAGGAACAGCGCGCGGAAGGAATAGCTGTATCAATACCTAGCGCTATTCATAGTCTCCAGAACAACCCATGCGAGCAATGTGCCACTGCATTGCAGGGCAGGCGGGCCCCGATTCGCCGGTAAATATTTCGTAACCTCCTTAGCTTAGCGTCTGATGTGCTTCTTCTCTCATACCGATTGCGTGGTTACTGTCATAAAAGTAATGATTCATGCGCATGCTGATGAAGGGAGTGTTGCTAGATGCAGCTGATCTGGAGTAAAAACAAGCGAATTCTCTCTGGGGCCAGCATCATGGAATGGCTCGTGGGGACCAAGTACGATTGGATAGAAGCAACAGCCTAGGCTTGGCACAGCTCGCGCAGGAGGCGGTCCTACTGGCAGGCAACGAAGTAAAGACCCCGGCATAAATGACCTCCTTAGAGTCGCTTGTCTCTCCCGAGGTGGTAAAGAGTCTCGGGAAGATATCCTGGCTGGCCATTTGGGAAGATGGATATATTCGTTGGGGCTTTTGTGTGAATGACGGTTTGGTAGGGAAATGTTCGGATGAGAACGAAAGTAACTTACCCGTCTTTCATCATCTTTGAAGGTTCTGACAGGCCTCGTTAGATGAGCGGGGTCTACCTTTACCCTTTGTTCACTTGTTATCCGGCGCAGAGTTCTTGCCCAGTGTGACAGCTGTGCGCGTGATACATGACTGAGCCAATGGGTAAGTTGAGAATTATGAGCGACATCACCAAGAACCAAGTGGAAAAAGGCGCCAGCGCCAGCATCATCCTGGGTGATCACTTTTCTTTTTAGTTAGTAATGTATTTCCTGGATTGCGCACTGTAAGCATCGCACTCAGTGTTGGCGGCTCTGAATAAACGACGGCAGTCCCAAGGTTTCTCTCATGAGCACGAACGGCCTGTCTATAATTCCCTATCGTTTCTTGATCTGCATAAGCTCCAAGTACACTGACCTCTCCCGCAAGGCGGTGGTGGCCACAGCGTAGAGGAAGTAGAACAGCCATGTAAAAGCAAAATGTTTCAGGATGACCGGCATCGGCGCCCGCGAGCGACCTCGTCTTTGCCTATCCTTGACCAAGAGCATGAACATTGCGAAGTTGACAACCACGCATAGAACGACAAAGCTCAGGCGGGTCTGGCGGGAGGGCTGCAGACGGGACTGGTCATCGTAGCCACAATAGAGCTGAAGCCCAATCGTTGCTAAGAGACCCAAGACGGCAGGGTAGAGTAGCAGGATCGTCCAAGCCATCCCTGTCTTTGTCAGCGAGTATTGCAGCAGACTCACCCGATCTTAATCCTCACGACCTCCCCATAACAAGTCATTGAACACAACCGTTAGCAGAGCGTGGACTGACACTGCCCGCCAGAACACCGCACCGGAGACGAGACATGCCAGCAACCACGCCGCCTCGGCTGAATGGCCGTCATCAGTGATGGCTTGTAGACGACTGAATGCATGGCGTAACTTGCTAGAGCCAGTATGTTCAGCATGTAGAGAGTCCAGGGTCGCTACAGGGTCGGCGTCCAGGGTTATTGAGGAGTGGGAAATAGGAACAGCAGCTGGCTGATCTTGTTGTGAGCTTACAAAGAAGACTTGATTCATCCTTGGACCAGGGTTCTGTCTCGACTTCGCCGCTTGCTGTCGGACTTCTGACGTCTCGATCCGATTCTGCCCGTGGCTTGAAGAGCAGCTTGCGCAGGACGGCGACAATGGGCGAGGCAAGGAGTGCCGCCACTGCTATCTGGCCGAAGGACCACGTATCGAATGTCGCCTCGCCATTTTGAGCTATTTCAAGGCTGTTGCTTGAGCACGCGCAGGGCAATGAGTCTGATCGGACCCCAAGCAAAGACGAGATACAGCCAGATGATCCAAAAGAGCGAGGTGAAGTCAGCCAACGAGGACCAATTCGAAGTGTTCGAAACCACGCAATCTGCTTTTAGTGACAACGTAACTCGGCAAACACTGAGCTGTGGAAAATCGCTGTCCACTCGCATGCCAACGAGATTCCAAAGGCTGGCATGACGACAAGATCCAGCCCGAGGTGATAGATCAGGTTGCTTTCGTAGCCACGATACTTCTCCATGCTTTGGGTCGTGTCGTCTATCGCTCGTAGAATCATAGAGCCTGCATACCGCACGGGCCGCAAGCAGGAGACCGAGACGCTCTCGGCTAGGGACGGGAACAACTTGATCGAATGAACTGTGAGCGCGTAGATGAGGACACAGAAACCCAATACCATGCCATGCATGCCTCCGGATTCCCATACCCTCGTACAAAGGGCGTGTAATTTCCGAGGCCTTTCATAGCAAGTTCCTCTGCGGCTCCACCAGTCACTAAGTCGGGAGTATCAGCAAACGCGGATTGGACCGAGTTTTATGTTGAAGATCTTACAGGTGACAGCGAGACCCCCAAAGTCACTGAGCGGTGGGAATGCTGAAGTAACACCAGGTCGGATGGGTCGTCGCCTGAGGCGCGGGAGCGCCGTGGGGTCTATCCCGAGATCTCCTCGGAAGTGGACGGGCTCGACATCTCGCTACCGTATTAGTCATTATGAACCGTGACAAGCATCTAGCTTAGCACGTACGACCATAGGATCAAGAGAATTGAGGGTCCCGTCCGCTCCCCTGTACACAAGCTTGATACCGCCGGACTAGTAGTTGGGTCGGTGACGACCAGCGAATCCCCGGTGTTGTACGTTTTGTTTTTCTTTTTTCTTTTTGGACTTTGTCCTTGTTTTGTCGTGCTCTTGGTCGAGTCATTTAGTTCTCTGCGCTTGTAGAAGAGTGATAGGCAGTGCACGTGGTTATGTGTGTGAAGAGATCGTGTATGGTGACATCCCGTACTCCAACGTATTCTCGGTATATGATCCTATTGGTTGGGCCAGTTCATCGTGACCGAAGAACCTCTCCGGGACCCCTCGAGTTGTGATGGACACGTTTGTGAGATTTGACCGTGTGGTTGTTCTTATGCACGAGGTGGCTCGCACCACGTCTAGTCAGCAGACACCCCCTCTCATGTCTGTACCGCAGTTGGTTCTTGTTTGCTACGCGGGACGAAGGTTCATTGTTACGCCAATTGAGATGGTGGGAGTCCTCAAATCTAGCCTCGTGATATTATTCAATTTGGATGATGTCTCTATGGTCAACTTACAGTCTTTCCACAAAATCCATAGACAAACCTCGATGAATGCACACACAAAAAAAAAAAAACAAAAAAAAAAGGAATCATTACCGCGCCTGCCTCTGCTCGTGTATGCCTTCGTTCGAGTAAGGATATTGCGCCCAAAAACCCCTGCTGTTGACATTTTACCTTGCTTTTTGCTAGCCTGGGCCATGCCAAAGCCGCCGTTGGTCAGGCGGCGTTACATCCGGAGTTATGGGCCGTAACCAACAACTCAGCAGCAGGGATAACCAGTAGCAGCGATTGGCCGATCAACTGAGAGTAGAGCGACTTCTTGTTACTGCCGGCCAGTAACCGCATCCGCCGCCAGTAGTCTGAGTTCAGACGATCAACAACCTGACATTAGTCGCTTGCGGAAAGCAACACCTGCCGATCTTTCTGCTTGGCTAGTGGTTCGGATTGGCTCAATACCATGCCATGGTACAAGTAGCAGTCAAGGTATGTCCAACCTAACCATGTCAGCACCATCCAGCGCGCGGACCCTTGCCCCGGTCACGCCCGAAGTCCTCAAAGAGCTCAAGCCTGGATTTATTTCTATATTCAGGTCACCATCTGCCGGGGCCGGGCCAGTTCCAAAGAGCAGTTACAGCGCGATCTCTACAAGCGAAGGGGCGGGCTGCTCGTACTGGAGGCTTGTGTCAGCCAATGACTTGAGCCGTTTAGGACTCAACTCGACTAGCGATCGCGCAGACAAGCGGACTTGTGGTTCGGCGAGACTAGTAACGAGCTGTTCACTGTTTTTCTTTGGCGCATTGGAGCTGCAGATAAGTCTCCAAGGATAGGATGTTGCTTGGACGGCACCTCCGCGATACCGTTTCAAGCGCTTCCGCAATTCCGAGAATGAGAGTGGGCCGCAAGTACTTGACGACACTGCTGCAATAAGATATCATTGACTGCGTGGCTATTAGGGAAGCAGAGGCGCTGGGTTGAAGGGTCCCACGTGGTCGTGACGCCAGGAGAAGATGGAGATCCAAATATGCTTCTAGGTAATGAGGTACGCACACCGTCAGCATAGCCTTGTATTGAAATCCTGTCTTATGGTGCCGGAAAACAACTCGAACCAGAAAGGAAACTAATAGGTTCACGTTTTACCACTCATGAACCAAACACACCGTGATTCAGAGCATCTAGTGCGTCGATTGTATCCGATACCATAGCCCCTATGTGTGGTCATTTCTGTTGAGTTCAAACGACACAAGCAAAATCATAACCCGTCGCCACCTTTGAACAACAGTTTTCTTCACCATGGGGGATGATGGCATCTCATTTGCACTAGTCGCCGCTACCTACAATGTGGCTCATGCCGCATAATGATAAGTCTATGACAAACCAGGAAGCACTATCAGAATCCTCAGACTGCAGGTTCTCGTGGTGTCTCGGCGCTCTTCATGAAAATGCTCGGTTGAACAGCCTCAATGAGGTTGAGCTGTTTGGTAAATGAGGTACCGGCTCCTGGGCGCTCCAGATGTATCGAATTTCGCGAATATAGCTGAACAGCATCTTCTTTGGCAGGGCGGACATCGCCGACGAGAGCACGTAATACTTCACGAACTCGTAGCTACTCAAGACATTGTGGACGCAAATGATTGATTAGTCACACCGCGTGATCTCAACCAGATGTTGCATCACTGAGCAAAGACGATTTTCAACCGACCGCCGGCACACACCATCCCTGCTCAGTCACGAGGCACGGGAACCTATCAATTACCATGGAATGGTCTGGACCTATGGCGCGATTCGGTCCGTCACTAGGCAGTCGTCTTGCAGTCGGACTGCTGCCTTTTTGTCTTTTGACACGAGACGAATGACTTCATCGGCTGCTTTTGTGGACACGTGAAGCAAAGGCTCGGAATGCTGTTTGATGCTATCCTTACTCTGCCTTGCACGCATAAGCTCAGAAGCCATCTTCCAGTGTCGCTGGCTTGGTGATGGCAAAAACAGTCGGCGTGCTTCGCCATGGAGACCGGAGTTTCTGCTTGGAGGTACTCAGGTGTGGCTGTCCACTTCTTTTCGAGGATGTTTTCCAAGCACGTTAGCAGTACTGAGAATGGGAGCCATTTGGCGTTTCATGGAGGCGCGATTTGAGACTGGCCCCATAGATCAAGCCTGTACACATTTACATACCGCCACAATCTCTACCCGTGTCCCTCATCTGGCAACCTTTATATAATCTGAGATTCTGGTGGTCGCCATGACGGGCCCTTGCATCTCTGTGGACACTGTTGGTGCAGACGCTGATAACACTACTCCTGCGGGATTGGCCAGCGACCTGCTGCGCCTAATCTGAGGTGGCAAGAGCGAGATCCTGGTCCAGGGTACTGCACCCAGGCAAGGCTGAATCCTCGACTTCCCCTCCATCAAGACGAGCGGGGTTCTCGCTGACCCTCCAACCTCCAGCTTCGATTGCTCATATGATACAGCCCCGTCAGAGTCGCAGCGCGAGAGCCGTGGAAAGGGCGGAAACCCTTGCGAGGCTCCAACGAAGCAGCCCTTACCTCTCGGCTGGGCACGAATTGCGTGAGCCAGGTCAGCCGGCATATATTCCAGGGCTAGGAGACAACGTAATTCGTTTCCTCTACGATTCCAGGCGCTGAGCTGCGTATGAGCCATTCCCAACCTATGAACGCCAGATGCGTTTCAGCTTCCCCGTCCTTGCTTTCCTGATTCCGCGGCTAGGAATCGCCACTGCTTCTCCAGAGTCACCACCGAGTCAGTGGTGTTCTAGCTTTACCATAACTCAGCCAAGATGGCAAAGTCCTGGGACACATATAGAAATATCATCGTCGATCTCTATGCAGATCGTACGCTGGCCGAGGTCAGGCAGATCATGCAGCGGGACTACGGCTTTGATGCTTCCACACGGGCGTATCGGGGCAGGTTGATCCGATGGGGCGTCCGCAAGTACAACACGCGGCGGGCAGACGGGTCCGTGAGTGGCGATGAGGACGGCGGCGGTGCCTCGAGCTTGTCGGATGCCGACTCCCCTCTGTCGGCGCGGCAGCATCGGGGGCGAGAGCATGGGTTTCATAGCCCTCCGCAGCAACAGCAACAGCAGCAGCAGTATCACCACCGTAGTCAGAGCGATAGCCATGCCCGTAGTAGGGATAGCCTCCAGAACAGCACCCTTTACAGCTTGGGTTACAACGATGATAATAACATACAACCACCTTATTTGTACCGATACGTCAACCTGGACGGAGACACGAAGACCGGTGGATCGGGACGCCCGCCAAACATTGCTAATCAGCAACCACACACAAAGGTAAGTTTCACCCTGATCAGCCAGCGCCATAACCATATGCACACCGTCATCTAATTTCAACCCCAGGCTTCGGATTTGAGGAGTCAACTGGACATCGAGGATGACCTACATGGCCCAGGCAGCCCGCTTCGAGAGCTTCAGCAGCCAGCCGACAATCAGGATTATCTGATACCCTGGCACCTACCAAATGAAACCGATCAAGACGACATATATGCGCACTCTCCGCATGCATCCTTCCAGGCTCCGAGCACCGTCGTTGTCGAGGACAGAGGAGAGTCTGATCACTCAGCCAGAAAGCAAGGTCAAAGCAGCACTCTTAGTCACACTATCAGTGATCCGGACAACTCTTCGGTTGATGCTGCGCTTACTGACATGCTCATCTCAGCCATGGCCCTCTCAGCAATGCAACCGCATGGATTATTTCTTCCGCTCGAAAAACTTGATAGAATCGTGACTTATGACCGAGTTCGCCTTAAATTGGAGCGGGTTCTCAATAGGCCGTCTTCTGGGCTCGCACATCAGATATGCGACATCACAATTCTCTCGAAAACCAGGCTGACCAGCAGGAAAAAGCTATTTGCAATCATGGCCATAATTGGTGAAGTTAATGGCATGCCTGAGATTATTGAGGAGGGCTTGTTCGACAATGATTTGCCCTTTGAACTGGATACCTCGTATGGGGGGCCACCAGTTCTCGCTGTCCGCAGGGGTGAACAGCTGCACCACTTGACCTTCTGTAGAGATTGGTCGGTCAGCAGTCACAAGCATTTCCACGATAGACAGTGGGCGCTCCATGCTCCATTCCTGAAGCTCCAGCAAAGCCCCATAAACCACACCAAGAGAAGAGGGGTACGACACCTAGTCCTCAAGCAACGCGATGTGCTTCCCATCATCTCATGTCAAACCTTGAGCCATTCGGATTTCGGTGACGTGTACAAAGTCCAATTTCACCAAGATCATCACATTTTCATCAAGTCAGACGTAAGTTCCTGAAACCAAATCTCGGTCACTCTCTTAGTGTAGCCGGAACAAGGAACTGATAATGTATGATTGTTCAGGGATCAAGTGACAGCCGTCAAAGGTTCTTTGCCTTGAAGAATGTCCGTGGCGCCGATATCTTTCAGGCCAAGAGGAAGTCGCTACAGATACTTGCAGATAAAGTGTCCCCACACCTTGTCAAGCTTTTAGGCAGCATTGAGCATGGCTCCGAGAACTACTTGATTCTCCCATGTGCTCACGGCAACTTGCACAAATTATGGGAGGAATTCCCTCATGTCCCTCAAGCAGGTAGAGATGTCGCGACGGGCAGATGTATGGCATCTCAGATCCTTGGTCTCTCAAAGAGCTTGAGGGACATTCACGCCTGCAAGCTCGACCAGCGGCCACAAAGCACGAAATCATCAGAGGCAGCCCTCAAATACGGGACTCATGGAGACATCAAGCCGTCCAACATCCTGTGGTTCCTTCCCTCCGACCCGGATACGCCCAGCCATGGGTTTGGACTGCTCCAACTCAGCGATTTCGGATTAAGCAATTTCTCAGATACTCCTGAGGCGATCCCTGCGAAAGGTGTCACACCTCAATATCGACCCCCTGAATATGAGGAACAAGTCTCTCTAGTGTCACAGAAGTCTGATGTCTGGGCCTTTGCTTGCGTACTCGTCGAAATCTTGACATGGTATCTCCGCGGCCTTTCTGGTTTGACACAGTTCGAAGAGTCGAGAAGAAGACAAAGTTATCACAGAATTATGGACAACGCTTACTTCGAATTGGAAGTGTACCAAGAACTGCCAGTGAAAGCGACAACCCACAGTGCCGTAGAAGATGTAGGTTGTGCCATATTCGGTCTTCGGAAAGCCTGAGCATCCTATTTGCTAACGATTGCTTCCTTGCCAGCATCTTCAATCACTATCTGAGCTTTCATACTGCCCAGAATTTGCACTTGACCTCATACAGTATATCAAAGCCCACCTACTGCGAATCAAACCCCACAACCGGATGTCTATGAGACACTTCGTGCCCATTTTGGAGAACTGGAGCAAGCGATGCTCAGATGATGTGGCTTACGTCACGGGACGTGAGCAAGCCATGATTAAGTATAGGAAACGAACATTGACGATGGAGAGCGACAAGTCGACTTACTCCTATGGCGTGAACTCGGCAATCGCCAGTCACCTAGGACGCCAGGGCATGGTGGACGGCTCAACGCCATCACAACCCTCACGTTTACTACCGGAGTCTACGCCCACAGTCTCGATCCCTCAGGCTTTGTCTCAGGCACATGTCATTCTGCAGGAAATTGACGCGGGTGAACAGGGAAGTTCAATGTCTCTGCAGTTTCGTATGGTAGCATTCCAATCGTCGCTGACGACGACCCTCTCCCATATCGCTCAGCCTTGAACGAGAAAACCGCGCCCAGCTCCAGGCCAGCTCTGCAAGACTGGTGGAAGGAGGAAGACAATGCCGGAGTTGGCCATAACATGGGCTAGTCACAAGGTGCGGCCCCTGCTTACAGATTCAGCTCAACTGAGATCAATGACCTGACTGAAATGTATGGAAACTTCAGGAGGATTTCCTGCAAATTCTCAAGATCAACAATCCATTGGAGAGGCAAAACCACCCAGCGTGGCAGATTTGCATGCTGCTTCCCCAGGAACATTGCGATACAGCCCATCATCGGGCCAGGAACCTTTTGCTCCCATCCCGGGTCATGGCGCAGAATCCCAAAACCCTTTTGGCCAACCAATCAGAATCGGTGAGGATAGTGACGACGAGGATGATGATGGTAACAAAGATGATGATCATTTGGATGACCTCTCCGGAAAAGAGATCCTCCCTATCACTAGGAGTGATCACCAAGGGTTTGTAGAGCATATACTGAGACTGAGTCCAGCACTCAAGGATGGAGTCGAAGGAACCAATCCGAATGCTTTTCTGGTAGAACGTGTTGCTCATGCACTCTCCGAAAGTTACGAGCGCCTGCGCGGGCTCAGGACCAAGCATGCCTTTATGGCTGCCACAGGAGATTGCCCGAATGGGAGAATGTGCACGTCACAGAAGAGATCTGCGCCGACGGCATCATCCCTTGCTAGGCACGAAGACTTTGGATCAGACGACGACAGCCCGGACGATATCACGGCACTCATCCCTGACGGCTACCCGCCGCTTTCTATCGACGAGCTGCCTGCCGAATTGGAATGCCAAATCTGTTTTGAGTCCAAGAAGATTGTGAAGCCATCGGACTGGACGAAACATGTTCAACAAGATCTTGCATTATTCACATGCACCTGGCCATCATGTACTGCGAATCCGTTCAGGCGTAAGGCAGACTGGGTTCGGCACGAAAACGAAAGACACCGTCACCTTGAAAGGTGGATGTGTGACGTGGACGGCTGCGGCCACAGATGTTACCGCCGAGATCACATGTTACAGCACCTTATCAAAAAGCCCAAGTTTCCCGAGCCCCGAGTCATGACTCGGGCAGCTTCCAAGAAGTCCGACGACCCTACCTGGAGCACACTCGACGAATTTCACCGGGAAACCGAGTCGCGACCAGATGAAGAACCATGTCGATTCTGTGGCGAAACCTTCCCGACATGGAAGAAACTTGCCGTGCACGTGGCTAAACATATGGAATACATCGGTCTGCCCTTGATTAGATTATTGGATGCGACCACGGCTGGAAGTGTGCCCGAACCTGATATGGGACCCATCAATGCGTCTTTGATGGGGGACTTGAGCCCGACCATGGCTGGGCGTGCGGACGAACCCGAAAAGAACGACACGTCCCACGAATCATCCAACCAGGCACCCTGGAAAACTGTCCAAAACATGCCGCCACCTTTCACGCAGCCTCCCATGGGTGGCTCACTGCATAACCCTACTCACAGGGACGGGAATCTCGAGCAGCAATCCGATTCTGGTTATGGAACGTTTCACACAGGCAGAAGCCTAATTCACAGTGGACTGGACAAGTTTTCCGTCCTCAGCGAGGAGGACTTAGATCAAGCCATGGAGGTGCTGGCGTGCACCGATTCGATCGAAAATGACACGCTCGACACCATGACCGAGTTCTCTGACGCGGGGAGCCTGGCAATGCGGGAGGACTTCCTAGCCCACAAACTTATCGAAAAGATGATCGACGACCTCAATATTCGGGAAGTCGATGACATCACGGCCGGGCACCTCAAGGAGATCCTTCCGGGACTGTTCAAAGACCTCGCCGTGGAAATCGCGCAGCACACCGGCAGTCAACCTGGCCGAGACATCATGTTCCACGTTTACAAGAATAAAGAGTAGGTTGGGCCGGGCAGTCACGGAACTTACAATTGAGGGTAGACATACTGCCACCTTTGGAATTTTAGGCTCATCACAAGCTCGTTCTTCGAAGGGCTCCGTGGCGATGAGCAGGTTAACGACCCCGCTGAAGCGCAACCCAATCCTGAGTTGCAACCAGATCATGACTTGCTGCGTGAGCGACTCCACCGGGCGAGGGCCTGGGCGACGGAGACGTCAGCCATGCGGGATGAACCCAACACCGAAGATCCAGCAGATGAGCACACTTCAGAAACAAATGATGATGATGATGATGTAAGGCCCGTCCGCTCCGAGCATGATTTTATCGCATTTTCCAATGTGCTTGATGGCGCACGTCCATATCATTGGCTACTTGCGATGATGAGATGCGAGATGTCATTGGCGCCAACTGAGCCCGATTGTCGGTCGTTGATCCGGAAGAGGATCTCGGAAAGAATTCCCAGCTGCAAAATCAGTCGCCACCGGCAGCCACAGACTTACGAGATTACCATCGAGACTCATTGGAACCCTTGGGATTTCTTTGAGCGCCAACAGTACAGCTCATCTCCTGAAGAGACGGCCGAGAATGTTATCGTCGTCGTTGGTTCCGAAACGAATGCGCAAGCAACAACGTGTCTGGAATACATGGTTCAGACGTGGCCTATGACCGGAGAGCACACCCTGAATTGCTTTCTCGGCCTGCTAAAGGACGGTAGTTCATTCTCACAATCTGGTCAGTCTTGAGCGACATCACGTTTCTTGTACCTGCGCCCTGGCTGACGCATGCTTTTAGTTGGGACTGATGGGATTTCGACAATATCCATGTCATTCCAGAGTGGCAGACTTACTAGCATTAGTCGAGGGACGCGAGCGTTTGTGACAGAGATCAGTGAGCAACTTGTTTGGCTCGAAAGCGCCATGCAGAATCACGGCGAAGCGGACAATGTTTGGCCCGTGCTATCAGGCTTTGAGTATTTGCCCAAACAAAGTACGGAGGAAGACGTGGGGTCTGTAACACCTTCGGCTTCGAGGCTGAGCTATATCACGGCAGTCAGCTGTGGTCCGTTCAGAGTCGTGGCAACAGAGCCTGGCGAGGGCCAATGCTGGCACGCTCTTTTCCGCAGCGTGCCAATCGTCCAAGGCTTTCCTATTCCCAAGAGACTCGAACATGAAAGCGGCCTTGAGCTGTCGCTCGATCTTATGGCGAGCTGGGCTCAGGCTCGTTATTTCAATGTGTTTCGGCAAACACCCATGATCAAGGGCTTCTCGAGCTTGCTGTATCCCACGAAGCAATCCGCCGGCTCGACAACTTGGCATCTACGCTTCAACGAGGACGGCAGCCACATTTCGTTCATGGAAGGCATCTCCTGCTATGCGCCAACACTGGACATCCCTGCTGTGTCTCAAGGTCGCCATATACTCGGCTGGTGCAAGAAGGCAGAGTTCTACGCAGGTAAGTGGAGGGCATCATTCTCCAATTCGCACTCTTCGGAGCTGATCTGCTTTACTTTGCTTGAAGGAGCCCCGGATGCTATGTATGCTGTCGACGATTCCATGCTGCCAGCAGCGGACGCCAACTGCGTGTTAGGGGGAGCGAACATCCACCAAGGCACGCTCTTGAAACAAGGCAATTTCCAGCTTGGCGTCAAAGATGTTCCGACCCGCCTAGGCCGCTTTGGTTCAGATCCGTACTCGAGATGTCTGCAGTGGCTCCACGCCCAGAGGGTCGTTCTCTGGGATGAAGCTGACAAGCGCGGCTGGCTTATCAACGGAGTCAGTGCCCTGCTGCACCTCCTACGTGCTTATATCGCATTCACAAGCGAAAGCGACTTCGGGGCTGAGTTCCTGCTGAATGGCCACAGCCTCGCGGAATCGGCTGATCCCCACTCGGCCAGAGCCGCCGTCGAGGTTTTGATGAACGAACATAACAGAAACCTCAAGCTGTTTCCGCACGAGCCGGAGCAGCTGAAAGACCAGGTTGAGCATCTCTTCAACATATTGGAACAAATGATTGCGCACCAGGGAGCCATCCACGAACAGTGTCTTGTGATGCCTGGAAGCGAGCTATCACGGAAGCGTGTCGAAGGTTGGGACTTTTCCGAGTTTGCACAAGGAAGAGACCCGATCGACGCTTGGTCTGCAGAGATACCTGTTGTAGGAAGGAGCTGGATAGACTTGGTGCGATCTATCGGTGCAGTAGTACTGTTTGGCCGAGGCTTTGGGGATCTCATCCGACCCGTACATTCAACAGTGCCCTGTCTCTGGGACCAGGTTCCGCATGGGTCATACTATCTCACATCCCTTGTGCGCGATATACAGGGCCTAGGCCAGGTACGTTGCCCACGCAGTGGGAACCTCACAACACGGATCGGGGCGAGGTTTGACTTGCACATCCCAAGCAAGATTTTCAAACCATGCCGTTGTACTACACCCCAGGCAGAAGATCACGATAGCTATGTTCAGGTCGTGCTTCCCAGTGGCAGTTCTGAGCTCCTTCGCCTCAGTGAGCCATTAGATCGGCCGCTCACTCATGGCGGGGCAATCATATTTGGTCACAACCCAGCTTTTAGCTGGGTCTGGAAGGACTTCGGACCTCCTGAGCTGGGCAACCCTCTGCTGTTTCGCGATCCAGAACCTCGAGCAACGCCGTCATCGGACAGCGGCTACTCTTCTCAGGCAGCAAGCTCGAACGCGGCCGTTCCATCAGAACCAGAGATTGGCATCATCTGCGCACTATCCAAGGAGCTCAAGGCTGTCTGGGCCCTTCTGGACTGCGCAGACCAGCGAGGCACGGATGCGAACCCGTACCTGTTTGGACATCTCGGCGGCTACAGCGTCGTCGCAGCCTGCCTGCCACAGGGCGAGTACGGCACAAGTGCCGCCGCCGCGGCTGCGGCACACCTTGCACGAAGCTTCCCGCAGCTCGAGTTCACGCTGCTGGTTGGTATCGGCGGCGGCATCCCGTCGAGCACACACGACATCAGGCTGGGCGATGTTGTCGTCGGCCTACCCGCGAATCCACAGGAGCCCGGCGTGGTTCAGTACGACGCCGGCAAGATCCGCCAGGACGGGTTCGAGCTGAAGAGGTCGTCTCTGCAGCCACCGCCACTGCACGTCAAGAAGGTTGTTGCGACGATGGAGGCAGACCCGAATCCTCCGAGCCAGCCCCTCGACGGCTACCTCCGGCACATTGCGCACAAGAGCCCCAAGTACGCCTACCCGGGCGCCGACAAGGACATACTGTACGAGCCCAACGATCTCCCTGTGCTCCTCTGCGAGACATGGGGGGCATCGGGCTGCATGTGCACACCGCAGGACCGGCCGCCGAGGCCCTCGACACACCCCCAGGTCCACTACGGCCCGATCGCGTCTGGGAACTCGGTGGTCAAGGACGCCGCGACCCGGGACGAGCTGGCAAGGGTGTACGGCGCCATCTGCGTCGAGATGGAGGCCGCGGGCATCGCCAACGAGCTGCAGTGTGTCGTCATCCGGGGCATCTGCGACTATGCCGACAGCCACAAGACCAAGCTCTGGCAGGAGTACGCCGCAGCCACGGCCGCCGCGTACGCAAAGCATCTCCTCACCCAGATGAGGAGGTCATACCCCCAGCGGCGCAAGCGCAAGCGCGCCGGCTCGGGCGGGTCGTCGCCAGAGGCGCGGGAGCGCCGTGGGGTCTATCCCGAGATCTCCTCGGAAGTGGACGGGCACGACATCTCGCTACCGCATTAGCCATCATATCTATCTTGACAAACGTCCAATCTAGCACATACGACCATAGGATCGAGAAAATTGAGGGTCCCGTCCGCTCCCCTGTACACAAGCTCGATACCGCCGGACTAGTAGTTGGGTCGGTGACGACCAGCGAATCCCCGGTGTTGTATGTCTTTTGCTGTCTGGTTGATCAAGTTTTGCCATTTTGAATTCAGGTGTGGGTTGCGTGTGGAGATTTGTGGCGGAGCTCCTACAGTGCCCTCACCTCCTTGTATAGATCTTCAGCTGCCACAGATTGCCCTTGACCACATCCTTCTCCGCCTCAACAAGCGGAAAGTCCTGAACGTCATACTCCTTCCACATCTCCCTTGACCTCGGCGACTCTGGGTTACCACATGGTCTTCTGCGGTTATAGAACACAGGTATTAGTACGACTATTGACTACACCTCGAATTCAATAGTCCAATAAGCACTAGACATAACGTAATCCACAAGTGGGTGAACCACACAAGTGGATGAATCAGTCCCCCGCCACTTTCGTACAGGCTGTCTTCTTTCCCCCTTTTCTCCACCGATAATTATAGTACGACAATCAAATGAAAGCGATTTAGTTCTCGCGCTAAATGCGCTTCAATCGAACCCAGAATTGAGCGTACGAAAGGCTGCACAGATCTATAATGTATCCTTCTCAACCCTCCAACGACGACAACACGGCCGACCTGCGCAACAAGATATCCGACCACCTTGCCAGAAATTGACCTCGTACGAAGAGGACAGTATCGTACGATATATAATCGACCTAGATTCGCGATCGTTTCCACCGCGGTTAGGTGGTGTTCGAGAAATGGCGGATCGACTCCTCCGCGTGCGCGACGCGCCACGCGTCGGAACGAACTGGGCCTCAAACTTCGTACGACGACGACCAGAGCTCCGTACGCGTTTTAATCGAAGAATCGACTACCAGAGAGTCCTCTGCGAAGATCCAGACGCGTATCGCGCGTGGTTTAAGCTCGTACAAAACATAATCGCGAAATACGGGATCCACGATGACGACATCTATAACTTCGACGAAACGGGCTTCGCGATAGGTAAAATCTCCGCCGAAACTGTCGTTACAACCTCCGATCGACGTGGGAAGCCAAGAGCTGTACAACAAGGGAATCAGGAATGGGTTACAGTAATCTAGGGTATCGCGTCGTACGGCTATTTAATCCCGCCGTATATCATCTTCGCCGGGAAGGTCCACCTCGACTCCTGGACCGCAAATAGCCCCCTACCGCCCGACTAGGTAATCGCGCTTTCAGAGAACGGTTGGACGACGAACGAGAGAGGCCTAGAGTGGGTAAAACACTTCGATTTCCATACGAAGAGTCGTACGAAGGGTACCTACCGCCTCCTTATCCTCGACGGCTACGAGAGCTACTATTCGGTCGATTTCGAGCTCTACTGTAAGGAATAGAACATTGTGACGCTCTGTATGCCTGCTCACTCGTCGCATAAGCTCCAGCCTCTCGATGTTAGGTGCTTTGGACCTCTGAAACGGGCGTACGGTAAAGAAATCGAAGGTCTAATGCGGGCGTACGTAACCCACGTTTCAAAGGAGGACTTCCTCCCAGCCTTTTATAAGGTGTACAACGCTGCAATGACTAAATCAAACATCCAGGCAGGCTTTAGAGCGACAGGCCTAGTACCGTACGACCCGAATTATGTGATTTCGCAGCTAGATATGAAGTTTCATACGCCGACACCACCTGGTTCCTCTGCTGGACTACCACCCCCATGGGTTTCAAAGACGCCGAACAACCCAATTGAGACCGAATCGCAGACGAAGTATATTAAAAATCGCATCATACGACACCAGAATAGCTCACCGTCGTCCATTGTTGAGAGCCTACGGCAGCTGGAAAAAGGAGTTATAATGATGGTACACGAGCAGGACCTTATACGCCAAGAGCTCGCCGAACTTCGAGATGCAAATGACCGCCTTAGCCGCCGTCGTCGTACGAAAAGAAAGCAGCTACAGAAAGGAGGGTCCCTCACGATTGATCAGGTAAAGGATTTGAAGGCTCAAATCGATGCGACGCAGCAGTTAATAGCGGAAACGAGTCAGAAGAGTGGTCGTACGAGGAGGCCCGAAACGCGCGCGCGACGATGTGGCGTCTGCGGCGAGCCCGGGCATAATGCTCGTACATGTCAGAAAGTTATATCTGCCTCTGAAGAAGAGGATTCCGAATAGTTTGAATTGATTTGAGGCGTTATGGTTGAATTGACTTATATATTGTCGTACGAGTACCCGATAACTGATTCATCCACTTGTGTGATTCACCCACTTGTGGATTACGTTAAATGGAAATCATATGTGCTAAGGGGAAACATACCCTCTCTGATCAAAAATAATATCCTTTCCAAACGCCGGCGTGATGATCGCCAGCGGCCTCGCCAGATCCGCTATGATCTGATTGAGTGGCGCATTCACGAAAGGTGCAAAGACAATACACCCATGATCCAGCTCCGCAAACCCTGATGCTCCTCGGGAGCCGACAACTTCAAATTCCGGCGCCGCACGCGCAAGCAGGGATATCGTTTCGGGTGTATATTGCGGGTCCTGCGTTAGCAACCTAGTGTCGGGCTGACGTTGAATGATGGCCTGGTTGCTGGTCATGACATCTTGGACGGTTTCCCTGATGGTCAGAGCAATGGCGTGGTGTACCAGCGGGTTCTCGATGACGCTGATATCCGTCTCTTGCTCGTCGATGGGCCGCTGCCTGTTTTGTATGTACCACCAGTTGGGACCTTTAAAGTTGAGGTCGCCCAGGCCGAAGCAGAGAATCTTAATCGGGTTGATCATACCTTCGAATTTCGCCGGTGGCAACAATGACGAGACAGCAAGATTCGTGATGCATCCTCGCAGTGCCGCGCAGGTTGCGCTGGTGTTCCATTTATCTCGCCACGAGTGAAAGAGTGCCTCGCTGCCTTGGTGCGGTCCTCTGTATAACCTTTCGCTTGCGTTTCGCCATTCGATCACGTATGAACAGTTATACGTCTCTGCCGGCTCCTTGGGCCGGCAGTCGACCAGGGCCCAATATTCGCGATAACGCACGATGGGTTCCCTTTTATAGATGGTTAGCGAAGGTGAATTTTTATTGGAATTCGTGCCGCTAATAACGAGACAGGCGTACCAGATTGGATTCTCAACCCCAAACATAGGGTTCTTGACTTTCAGGGTAGTTCCGTCGATACGGCGCAGTGTAAAGGCCGAGACAGCAGAGGCATCTTCCAGCTGCCTTTCGATGTCGGCAAGATCTTCCTTTCGCCATACCTTGTCTCCAGACTGGTACAGGTCGAAAGCCTTCTGGCTACTGGTTATCCATTCTGAACAACAGTAGTCAGATACTTGTGCTTGGTTGCCTTCCATCTCGTATTTTCGTGTTCAAAGGCCCCCCCGACTGACAGAAACTATGAATACCCTGAAGAGAACCAAGTCGTGCTTTCCTCATTCTAGCGCTGGCAATCCAAAACCCCTCCCTCATCGACCCCGCGGGATCCCTGCTTGCTGTTGGCTGTCATGCATGACAGTTGGTAGCGATGCATATTGATGTGGGGTGGCCCTGCATCTTGTTCAAAGTCCACGTTCTGCTGATGTAGCACACGTGGGTGGATGTTGACATGGTCAAAAGCTTCATAGGATATCGACTATACCGCGCGACACGAAGTCGGGACCAATGGTAAGAGTCTATGGCAATCTCCCCGGAATGAAGGACGCTCTTGCAGCTTCTACACCTGGGTACCACCGCCACGGCATGTCAAGGATGATACGTGATGAAAGTGTTAAGTGCATTATTTTACATAACCAGCTAGGTGTTTATTGATAGAAAAAGTGCAATTTCCAATGTGAAAGCTCCGATGCAATATCTCGAGGTAGGGAAAGTGCCTTGAGACAAGCAAGCAGGTAGACGGAGAGGTGCAAGTCCCTGAGGACATATTGATAGCGGGAGTCGAGCGGGCTGTTCACTTCTTTTTGTACCTGTCTGCCCTGATCATCTTGGATGGGTTTGTTCTTGGTTGGCAATTCTCGGTTTCATAATTAATTCTTTTTCTTTTTGCTTCGAGGAGTTTTTTAAGAGTTCCTGGCTCGCTTTTTCTCTCCCTGGTCAAGCAAGCGAATGTTGCTGCCATATTCCTGGGAGCATTGTAGGATTTGCATGGACAATATTTGACGCACGCTTCGATGTGTAACGATAATGAAATGATGAGTAGACAACGCTCTCACAACGCTTCTATGCTTTCTAGCTGTAGTGGTCAAGTTGTAAAACCACACTTGATTTACATTTGCTGCTTGAACGCGCCGACCCATTCAATCCAGACTCTCTGTCTTGTAAAGCCCGTACGACGGCTCTTCGTAAGGATGAGCGCTGTCCCTGCAGTTAGCCAGATTCCTACTAACTGAAATCTACTTGTGTAGACGAAACGACAGCACATAAGCACATGCCAAATATTCGTATCCTATCGGGTTATCATCATCATCATCATCATCATCATCATCGATGAAGGAAGAAAAAGAAGAACATTAAAAAAAAACCTACGTCTTCAAAGCCTCCACGGCCTTCCTCGCAACCTCCTTGCCCAAGCACGGAGTCTCGACCCTGACCTCCCGGACATGCTCGAGCTGCCCGACGGCGCCGAGGTGCGGGTTCGCCGCCGCGCCCGGGCGGAACTGGCCCGTGCCGTCCGTGGTCCAGCAGCACTCGGTGTAGTTGCTGTCCGGGTACCGGCCGGCGCCGGCGGCGAAGACGGCCGTCTTGCACGCGGCGAGGTGGCTCTCGGGGACGAAGAAGACGAGCCGGTAGAGTGTCATCGCTGCTGCGCTGGATGCCATTGTTGTCGGAGGCTTTTTTCTTATTGCGTGTTCTGATCGTGTAATGTCACTGCTGGATATGTCGTGTACGCGTCGAGAGAAATGGAGTCAACTCGGCGGGGCTAATTGTACTTGTCACGTCCGATGATTTTGAGACTACCCGTGGTGGTTCTGGTCCGGCCTGCCAATGTAACACAAAGCTGCTGTTGGGTCGGACCTTTTTTGCTTGGGCAGCAGAGGCGATTGATTACCCCCGTTCAGCGTGCGGGGTTCGGTTATTGGATGTACGGATGACGTCCCTCCTGTGTTGGCTGATTGACTTTGATATCTGCAATTTTGCCCCCTTCTTTCTTGCGACGGCCTTTATACTCACTGCAGGTGCTTTGGGACTTTATCCCACCACTGAATGATTTGTATTTTGCCAATGTAGGCTCGGCGGCTGGCCGTATTTAGGTCAGAGCGCTTCGTGGGAGATTGTTGGAACAGGAGCATTGAGAGAACGGGAATCTCAATGCCAAGTGCGTAGCATATTCATCCCAGAACACTTCGCTTTCATCCTGACTTCCAAGCTTAACGTCCGTGATTCCTTCTGAATATGTCTCACCGAGGACGCACCCATCGTTCCACGCTGATCCCCTAGTCCACCACTAACTACAAGCACACGTCAACCTCCCCATGAACGAGCTGTCTCCTCTATGCAATGAAAGTTCACGTCTTCAAATCCCGCCCAATCACTCTACACTACCAACCACTCTGAATCATACCTGGGATGTGTTGAGTTCATTTGGTACTGCAGGCTGTCTCAGCCGTCTCAGCCGCCGATTTTTAATGCTCGCCGGACTTGATCCGACAAATACGCGAAAGAGCCTCTAATGTGGGTGGCGAAGGAGGTCGATCCACGGAAACTATCGAAAACAGACCGATCAAGAACGAAGAACGAATGAACGTGGCACCTCGAAAAGAATTCCCGAAGCAAGAGGGCATGTCAAGGATAAGATTTTAAGTATTGTTTCCATTTCTTTAATATCAAGCATTGCAGTAAGTACATGTAAGATGATATGAGATTATCATTGAGTACGAAATGATCAGCATCAAGGCTGGCTAAGGAACGTGGAAAGGAAAAATCATTATACCCAAACGCTCTGACAAGACCCAAAATAAACCCGTGGACTGCTGAAACTTTTCTGCGATTCGGGGGGCAGAAGTGGACAATCTGGCAAAAGAAAAACGGAAAGCCAATAGGATACAAAGACCCGTCATCGTCTTGTGCGCGGCAAGGGTGCTCTTTCCACTCAGAATCCCTCCTTGAGGAACTCATTCAGCTTCTTGGCGGGCTTGCCGTGCATCATGGAGAAATGGTTGCCTGGCATGTGCCGGAAAGTCATCTTTTTGAGGTCGAGATACTCGTCCCAGCGATTCGGACCAAAGTCAGTTCTGTTGTCAAGGAGGAAGAGAGCATGGCCAGTCGGGTAAGGATCCGGACGAGGATCCGTGGGCTCCTTGCACACGCCGTCTTCGCACCAGATGGAGAGAACCTGGGGGCACTTGTCCTTGGCGATGGGCTCGGCGGTGTAATTGGACAGCGCAGTCACCGAAGCGGCAAAGTGCGGCAGCAGCCACTCGGGTATTTTCTTCGCGGTCGGGGAGTCGCCCTCACCCAGCAGTCCGATGGAGGCGAACCAGGCATGCAAGCCAGCAGGGAGAGGCTCAATAGTGTTGGGGGAGGGGGCGTCGATGATGATGAGGTGCGACACCTCCTCGTTGGCCTTGGTGAGCTGATTGACCATTTCAAAGGCAATGACCCCTCCAGCAGACCAGCCGGCGACGGCGTAGGGACCTTGGGGCTGGCGACGCTTCATCTCCTCAATGAACTTGGTGGCCATGCCGTACACACCACACTTGTACTCGTGCGGCGTCCGCATGAAAGGTGAGAACATTCCCCAGACAGCAACGTCCGGCCCAAGGTCGGCGATTTCAGTGTACGAGGTGGCGCTGCCACTTCCGTCTGGAACCATGAATAACTGCTTCTTGGCAGTGCGATGGTTCCCAGACATGAGAACGGACGATGCTTTGCGCAGCTCGTATGCATCACCCCACGAGCTGGCGTCCTTGGCGGGGGGGATCGTTGCGACAATCTTCACTGTCGACTGCGACTGGACCTTGACCTGCACCTTGCTGAGGCCAGCAGCAGGAGCAGGAGCAGCGCGGCGGGGGGGCTTGTCCTCGATGCCGAGCGTCCGCTCGATATCTTTCAAGGACGGATTGTGCCCAAGCAAGTCACTGGGGATGCTCAGACCAGTCTTCTCTCGGAGGATGCCGAGAATAGACAAACTCATCAGCGAGTCCATGCCGAGTGCCGCCAGATCAGGAGCAGCAACGATCTCCTCAACGTCGACACCCATCTCAGCGCAGATCGTCTCGCGTACGATTTGGCGGAGCTCGCTGTTGCCAGCGATGGCGTCAACCGGGTCGCACTTGACAGAGCCTTCATCGCTGTCCTCGAGTGGAGTGGTGATGTTCGAGTCACACTCCTCTATGTCTTCCTCTTCGTCGCTATCCGACTGGCCGCTCGCCCCGCTAGACATGGGAGACGAGGAAATGGTCGAGTCGAACTGAGCAAGGAACTTTTTGAACAAGCCAATGGTAGCGTGCTCCAGGAAGGCATGCGAGTCAATGTTGAGCTCAAGTTCTTCGCGGAGACGGCCGCTGATGGTGAGGCCCATCAGAGAGTCGACGCCAAGATCGGCAAACGCGATGTTGTCATCAAGTTCGTCGTGGCCGACACCAGTTTCCTTCGATATGATCTCCATGACTTGTTCCACCACAGATGACTTGACCAAGGTCTTGTTGACAGCCTTGAGGTTGGAGGACGTGACCTGTTTCTTCTCCTTTGCAGACTCCCGACGTTGCTGAACTGGCTTGGTTGCCAACTGGGCTGCACGGGTAGGAGCAGAGGTAACAGCCCCGACCGCTGCCGAACCTTGAGGAGGCAGGACAATGTTTAGTACTTTCCGGGGGATGGCCTGGAAGCGGATGTCGCCAGTCATGCCAACCAGTCGGTCGCCGTCAAAGATATAGGCGTCGCCCGACATCATCTTGGAATCCTTGACAGGTTGCATGCGAATGTAGGTGCGGTACGTCTTGGACACGCTGAAGTCTTCCGCAAAGCGCATGCTGCCCCAGCCATGAGAAATGAAAACCTGCTCACGTGAGTCGACAGCGTCAGTGCCATTGAGAATGAAGCCTGAGATGTGGCACAGAGAATCGATCCAGTATGGTGCACAACGGAACGACCCGTCTTCAGGAGACGTCTGGAAAACGACCTTGGCTGTGGCCTCGCAAGTGTCACTCAAGAGAATGACGGACTCCATGCCCCTGTAGCGGCGATCGTAGTCGACAAGCGCCGAGAACAGCTTGTACGCGAGCCCGCGCCCAACCTTGGACGCTTCGCCACGATCCTCGGCTGCGTGAAGAGCGTCAATGCGAGACTTGATCAAGTAGCCAACACGCTCAAACTCGCTCAGCCAATCTTGTCTCTTGCCAATGGAGACCTTGCAGAGGGCATGTTCCACAAGCTTCGCGCCCTCACCAGTTGTCCAGGTAATTTCGGCGCTGGAGCTAGCAGCATTAACCTTTGCGCGCATGCGCAGGATCTGGCTGTCTGCTTTGGGGTTGAAGATGAGGCTCTTCGGACACTCCATGTGGGCGACATTGACACCGACATCGCCGGCATCCGGACGCAAAAGCTTGTAGGCGTACTCGGAGATCGTCATGGCCATATCGCCATATAAGGAGGACGGGGTCAAGGCAGTACCGTTGACCATGTGGCCGGAGCAGACCTTGCGCAGATTCTCTTCAGTCATCTCAGACTCCGTCTCAAGTATAGCGATGTCTCCATTGATCTCTTCCTTGACGATCCTCTGCACGCTTGTCGTTGAGAGCTTGGGCTTAGCCGGCTCAATCGCCTTGAGATTTGTGGCCGGAAGCGCGCCACGGTTCTTGGTCAAACACCAGTCACCTGTGTACTGGAGCCAATAGTTCTTGAGGTCAAAAGCGTAGGCAGGCAGATCCAAAAGGCGAACCGAAGCTGCAAAGTCCCGGTGGAACTCATTCCAGTCGAAGTTGACTCCAGCCGAGTGGAGAGTGCAGAGTGTGTTTGATAACGTCTTGTAAGCAGCCTCGTTGCGACGCAACGTGGGGATAGCCAAAGTCGTGGCTCCAAAGGCAGCCTTGACCATGTTGGCACACACAGGATGAGGCCCGACCTCGAGCCACACAGTCCGATCGTCGATGACGCTGGCTTGCTGAGCAGAGACGAGTCCACCAAGGAAGTTGACCGCGTCACGGGCATGACGCCGCAGATATGATGCGTCAATCAATTCCTCCTCGACAAGTTTACCGAGCAAGGGTGAAATGATAGGAACCTGCGCGGGTTGGAAGTGAACGGAACGGGCGAGACTCTCGAAATCGTCCAAGATGGCTTCGACCTGAGCAGAATGGAAGGCGAATGGTACCCTGAGCTGCGTGCACTTGAAGCCCGCTCCCGAGAGAAGGCTTGAGATTTCTGCTACCTCGTCGGCGGTGCCGCTCAGTACAGTCTCACGTGGACCGTTGATGCAGGCGATGTTTGTGTTCTCAGCTCGTGCACCGAGAGCCTCGGTGACTGTGTCCACGGAGCCTTGCACAGCTAGCATGGCGTGCGTACCAGCAGTGCACTTCTCGACGAGAAGTTGGGCGCGAGCGCCAACAAGGTAGATAGTGTCGCTCGCAGACAATACGCCAGCAACATGCAGCGCAGCGTACTCCCCAAGACTGTGACCAAGAACGACGCTTGGCTTGATGCCCCATGAGGCCCACAGCTTTGCCATGGCCATCTCGAAAGACGCAAGCCCTAGCTGCACGATGACTGGCGACAACTTCTGGATGTCCTGCTCGCTGCCATCAATTAGGGGCAGGAACGAGGAGAAACCATGTATCTGGGCGAGGTGATCAAAGTCGTCAATCGCTGTGCGGAAAACTGAATGATGGGAGTATAGATCCTTCCCGAGGCCCGCGTAATGTGAACCCTGGCCAGTGAACATGAAGGCGATTTGGGGCTGCTCTGGAGGTACTGGCACGAAAGCAGATTTGAGTCGCTCCTGGATAGCCTCCTTGGCCTCCATCAAGCTTGTGGCGGAAACACTCATGCGCCAATAGTGCTGGATTCTGCGCGCAGTCGTGGTATAGGCCAAGTTTGAGACCGAAGTATGAGGGTTCTCGTCGATGTATCGAAGCAAGTTCTCTGCGTTACGAATCATCGCGCCCTTGGACTTTGCGGTCACAGTGACAACATGATGAGTTCGTGGATCGATCGATGCAGCCCGCGACTTGGGCCCGTCCTCCAAGAGAAGACCGGTATTGCCACCGGCAGCACTGAAGTTGTTGACGAAAACGCGGCGAGCCTTGCCGTCCTTTCTGGCGAAAGGGGTCTTGTGGAATGCAATGTTCACTCCACGTGCACCAAGATCCGTTGGGAACGTTTTGTTGATTTCCTTCTTGATACCAATGTGAGGGGGGATGGCGTTCTTCTTCAGCATCATCAACACTTTGACGAGAGCAGTGATTCCAGAGGCAGCCTCGCCATGGCCTATGTTGGATTTGACTGCACCCAGATAAAGAGGGCGGTCGGCGGGTCGGAGGCGATCGCGAGGCGCAAAGACATCGGTGACAGACTTCATCTCAGTCCCATCGCCGGCTTGCGTACCAGTGCCGTGCATTTCAACGTAGTCGACATCGAGTGGGTCAACACCAGCCTCATCCAAGATCGACGAGGAGAGGATGGATTGAGTAGGCCCATGGGGATGTGTTATCGAGACAGCATCAGCAGAGTGGTTGGTCTGAGTGCCGAGGACAACGGCGAGAATGTTGTCCTGGTCTGCCAGTGCGTCGTCGAGGCGCTTGACAATGATCGAGGCGCAGGCATCTGCACGACAGTAGCCATCCGCGTCATTGTCAAATGTGTTGCAGTTGTGCGATTTTGAGAGGAATTGGCCCCGACTGAGACCGCTGAAGATGTCCGAGTTGGTCATGCAAGACAACCCACCGACGATGGCAGTGTCGCAGTCCTTGTTCCACAGGGACGAGCATGCGATGTTCATCGCGGCTGCACTCGATGAGCAAGCAGTGTCCACACTGAAGCTTGGGCCACTGAAGCCGAAGTGGTAGTTGATGCGACCAGGACCAAATGCTCTGACACCACCTGTGATGAAGTAGGTGTCCACCTCTTGCGCGGCATTGATCTCTCTCCAGTCATCCGAGGTCTGCCCGTAGAACGTGCCGATCCGGTCAAGTCTTGTTGACGGCGTCCGGTTCGGCACGTACCCAGACATCTCCAATGCTTCATAAGCGGTAGTCAATGCCATGCGCTGCATGGGGTCTGTCTGGTATGCCTCGCGAGGAGACATGTTGAAAAACCTGGGATCAAAGTGACCAGGGTTTTTAATCCAGTTGCCGTAAGGGGTGTGGCTTGTGTTGATGGACTTTCCTGTCGGGTCGACATGGGTCTCATGGGGAAATCGATCAGCGGGAACGACCCGGTGAGCGTCAATGCCCTTTTCAAGCAGGTCCCAGAGAGCCTCGTGGCTCTCAGAGTCTGGGAAGCGCCCAGCCATGCCCACAATCGCGAGCTTGCACCGACCTAGCGATCCGTGATTGCCTATGCTGGCAGCGCCAGTGTGTCTTGCAACTTGTGGTGGCTCTCGCAGCTCAACCTTCAGACTAGTCTGGGAGGCTAGAGCTTTCGCAAACGTGCTGGCAGCTTGCGTAGGGCCGCATGGGATGATCACTGCTCTCTTCCCACCGAAGCCCTTCGCCGACTCGATACATCCGTTTAGAGCTTGCTGAAAGTGCAATGGTGCATTCAGGATCTCGCCAACGACGGCCGCGATGAGCTGAGCGGTTTCTCTCTGGGCAAAAGGGATGCCTGTGACGCAAGACACGACCTTGCTCTGGGGCCTGGAGCCCGCGAGAGCCGCCTCCGTAGCCTTATCGTCCAAGCGAAGTAGCCTGCGGATGTCTGTTGATTTGTGCAAATGCGGTGCATGGTACGGGCCATAAACTGGGATGGCCGTTGGCCTTGACTCGAACAAATCTTTGCTGAAGAGAAGCTTGAGCGTTGCGGGCGGCCCAGACAGAGCGACATTACTGCCAGAGATGGCACTGATGTAGACTTGTGTGGCAGAAGTGATACCCTGTCTTCGAAGTTAGACTAGTGTGCAGTCGCACGGAATGCATTAGAAAACTGACCTCGTCCTTGTGGAACTCGTCCAGTGAGGACCGTGCTTCAGATTCCTTGACACCGGGAAGAACATAAGTCCAGCTCTCCATTGACTTGGTGGCGGGACTCAGCCTCTCAGCCATGGACGCAACGTGGTTGCCAGTTCTGAACGCCATCAGGACTACCTGAACTGCCACTGGCAAAAGGGTCGAAAGGGAAGGACTTGAAGCAATGGCTGATGCAGCAAAGAGGCCTGTACAGAGCCCTGAGAGAATCCTGTTCTCGGCTGTCGTGGCATCCTCATGTTGCTTCTCGGAAAGGCTGTACGAAGACGTGACCAGTCAGTTTGCTGTGAATGGAGTCAAACTTCACGTATATGAACGTACTCAATGTAATGCGCGAGCTGTGCTACACACAGAAGAGCACTGTCTACACCAGGCACCTTGGATGACTGCGCGTGGTACTTTTCATTGAGCTGTTGCAACGTCCTGAAGACCGGGATTGAAGCTCGCTCGATCGGTGGCAGAGCATCTATTTCGTCTCTGAGAGCATCTCCGACCTGTCTCAAGAATTCTCGCGCCAGGACTCCCGGATGGCCAGCACGGAAGAAGTCGGCAAGGAAGCCATGAGTGTCGAGCGACTGGTCTCCAAAAAGGAGGAATGACATGTGGTCCGCCATGGTGTGCTTGGCTGGGCGGTATAGGGCTGTGATGGATGGTAGGGTGGGGAAGCGGCTGGAGCAAGACGCGGCCTCGAGATACTATATATCTAGTCAAAGAGTTGGCAAGGCAGCTGAGGCATCATGGAGTAGGACCATACTCACGCGATGATTCTGTCAGACATGCGCGCCGCAGGGTGTGGCTCTCACTCACGGTGACGAGAGGTGGCACTGAGCCAGGGCAGAGTTCGGACGATGATACTGCAAATAGACCTTGCCAGCCGACAAGCGTCCGAGCTAACCGAGTCTACGGCTCGGGCAGAGGCGGGCAGTGTGGTCGGTCGCCGAGAAGGTGAGTCGAGGAGGCATCCACATACGGCGGCTAAGGGAGACGACGAAGGGCTAATGCATGCGGTAGATGGCTCGTCCTTTTGCGCGGTGACCGGTCCGGGTCTGTAGAGGCGGGAGAGGAAGATGTTACCTGCATGGAGAGAGAGACACGAGGCGAGGCGAGGCGAGGCGAGGCAAGGCAAGGCAATGCCATGAAGCGAGGCCTGTAAGTGTGTGGTTTTCTAGGACTAGCCCGTGCGCCACCCGCGGGAGAGCGGTTCCTGACCAAACGAATGGCCGATAGCCAGGCTCGTAAATGGCAAGGCCCGTTGCTGTGCCCTCTCGCCAACAGGCCTGCTGTGGTCCCGACTGTGCCATGGCCATGATTGTGGTTGAGGCTGTGGTTGTCGTTGTGGTGGTTGTGGAGCCGGGGGGCAGGGCGTATTACCGTTGGGGATGTCCGGCGCCAGGGTCCGGAGCAGGGCAGCGTCTAAAAGTGATAGGTGTGGCAACCACTTTGCCCAACACCCCCGGCGCCCTCGTGTCTTGAGCGGCGCGTATGCAGGGCAGTGCAGTGCCGTGCCGTGCCGTGTTCATGTCGGGCGGGCAGCATCAGCCATGTGGAGCGGCGGCGCGTGTAAGCCGCACCTCGAATGCTGCTCCCATCGTCTGGTCCCGCCAAGCGGCGGACGTCTTGTTTGCTGCTGAAACAAAGCGGACTTCAGGCCAAGTACCTGCCAATCAGCCTGCAAAGACCCTAGCTCTAGTCTGGTGGTGGTGCCAGTGCAGTCTTTGGTGCTTTGTCGCAGCAGTGAGATATGGCCGGTGGAGCGCAACATCTAAGTCGTCACTATGTGCAGGATACCGTGGCTCTTGCCTGTGGTACCTGGGAATCTCGCGGGCGGGTCGGGTCCTGAATGAGGTCCAAAGAAGGGCACTGAATACCGGCCGGGAATGCAACCGCGGTTGTACAGATTGGCGGCGCCAGTCGATTGTCGTCGCCCTGGCTGAGCAAGCGTGGAGGGAGGTCGTGTCGTGGTCGCGGAACAAAGGTTGGATGGAGGTGGAGCTCCCGGCGACGGCGCCGAAAGTGGGACTGCGGACGTTACGTAAGCTGGCGGGTGTGGAGCAAGCAGAGCCCTGGGCTGGGTGGTGCGGAGCAGGACCTCCTCCCGTGCACCTTCCAAAGGTTGTTTTCCTCGTCCCCCCAGTGACAGCCGCGCCGTCTGAGATGCCTTATTCTGTCCCCTGGTGTACGAGCTCGCGAGCCTCCCGTCATTGTCTACCCGTGCCTTGGCTGCGTCACAAAGAAGCTCACCTCTGCCCATCCAGCATCGGCGGCAATCATTTGCAGCACCACCAGTCAAGTGCGACCGGTGCCGAGCCGTTCAGATCTGTCGCAAGCTTTGCTCTCGCCGGAGCCGAACTCGTTCCAGGCACCGGGATTGTCCATCCTGTCCATGGCGTCAACAAGCCCGCCTGATGTCGTTGTTGACTCCTGCCACCCACCAGCCACAACATACTCCAGGTACGGCCAACCATGGTCAGAACCCTGGGTCCTACGCCAAGGACCCTGTGGCGTTCCGTACCAGGAAAGCCATGCCAGCATCAAGCCATGTCCCGGGCTAAGAACGCATTATCACGATTAGGTCGCCTGACTTGCTTGACGCGCCGTGTACGTACCTGCTCTGCTAACCAAAAGTCGTTGCCGAAGGATGCTGAATAGGTGACGCGTGATACGTAACCATACACCTAATTTGGTGGGGTGTGTGATCGCACCTCCTCTGGAGATTAAGGTTTGGCCCTTTCGAAGACGACCACAAAATACCGGAAACGAACTGCTCAAGCGCCGTCATTGGCTGCGAGGGCTGCAGCCACGATCGTCACCGGCGGCGCCCGAGCGTCATTCGTCCCCGGTTTCCCATCATGGCCTAGGCACGAATGCTTGAGGAACACTTGGCGCCTGCGTCGCTCTCGGATTCTTGGCCGTTCCACGCAGCCGCTGACATGCAGCTCCGAATGCCTCGCCGTCGGCATATGCTTCCTTGGACCCGCCGCAGTAGGCTTGCTCAGTTCGCATACTGGTGGCAACACAGAGCGCCCGGCGGTCATGGGCCAAGCCGTGAAGGGACTCGAGCGCCACTTAGACCAGCATGATACTCATGGCCGTCATGAATGTCATCCAGTATGCCATGAGACGGACTTTGCCCCTGCAAACAGGTCGCTCGTGCCCATCTGGAATATCAAAGTCCATCCTCGGAGGAATCGGCAAGCACGAGCTGTAATGGCAAAAGTCTTTGAGCTAACTTACAGTTCTATGCAACATAAGCACCTGGCATAAGCGAGTGAATCACATTAGAATCTGAAATGTGGGAGCATCTTCCTCTTTCGACTTTCCGGAGTGGTTCTTCTCGGCTTGTGTCTTTTTGACCTGCATCCTCTGAAGACGACTCTCACTGCAGCGCAGCTCTGACTGATGCGATTTCACGTGCCATTTTCGATGCGCCGAGACCAATCAACCTTGGGAGGACAGGGGCCAGGGCAACATTCTAGATACAGAACCCAACTGACTGGTTCCGGGCACGCATATCATGCAGGTCTGACGAGCTGTCCTCAGCCACGAGGAGCATGAGCTAGATCCGACCCCCCGGGTCCGGACAAGAGCTGACCAGCGTCTAATCCACTTATCGGCTGCCCGGCCTGCGCAACGTGCTTTACTCCGTACAATGCCGAAAGCTACAGGAGCTGCAGTCAAGGCAGCAGGTAGGGCAAGTGCATATTCCTCCCGGGGCTGAGCAAATCGAGATCTATACGCCCACGGCTGCTTTGACATTTCTTGGCATCGCCGCTTCAGTCCTTGCCAGTTCTGCTTCGATTCCAAGGCCCGGCCGATCTTGTGTACGGGCATTCATGAAATCCACCATCATCATAACGCCAGACAAGTTTTGGGAGACAAAGAGTTCCGCAACGCAAATGATCAGGTACCACGAGGCATATTTCGTTTTACAGTTCTCAGTCAATCGTCACTTCGTTGGGACATGTGTCCATATGCTATTGCGATTGACGAAAAACACTCGGAGTAGCTGGAAGCGACCAAAGGACAACTCGCGCCTAGGCCAGCACGGTTTCAGCCGATGGTCATGACAAAGAGGGATGTGGCTGAGTATCCTGAAGCAGGTGTAATTTGTCATCGGGAAAGAGAACTCTGCTGCAATGGGTGTCTGCCCTTGCTCGGCCATGGCCGCCGAGCTGACAGATGCTGTGCAGATGTCGATCGATAAGCCCCGAGCGCTTTGATGTCTTTCTATTTGTGGCAACGTAAAAGCAGGCTTGATCCGGGCCTTTGCTCACCGAGGCCTGCATGATGAGCCTGCAAGATAATGACAGCACGGATACGTTTAGTGGGTGTTTGAACCTCGCATAATGTGTAAGAGAAGTCCTCTGCCAAATCCCCCCAACTCGCCAGCACATTGCCGCCCCAAGCACTAGCAGGAGGAGGTTGAACCAGTCTCAAACGTGATGTCTGCACGCCACCGCCGCCGAACTCTGAAAACACGTGATCTCGACTGCCTAAATGGGAAATACTCCAGGACGAGCCAACGGCGTTTGGGTGATGACTGACCCGGAGCCCAGACCCAAAATGGTCGTTGGGAGAGCTCAGGCTTGAGCAATGCGAAGTTTCGGGCAGCGGCGGGGCACCCGCAAGCAGGCAAGCAAGCAAGCAAACGAACAAAGAGGAGGATCGACGACGCATTTCCACGTGCTAAGAAGCGGCTTGACAAAGGAGGAGAAGGTTACCTCTAGCAATGCAAACCACCCCGTTCTTGACCATTCTCCTCCCCCCCAAAGCGACAAACAAACACGACGAGACATTTCTTGTCACTAAGCTCCTGGGCCCCCCCACTTGCGTGATCTGTAACTGTGTTTGACCCTCCGGGATGATGCGGTCTTGCACCTTGTTTGCCGTAGCCGCTGTGCGTGCGTGTGAGTGTGTGTTTGCATTGTCAGATGTTGGCGGCGAGGAGTCAGGGAGCTGCAATCGGGACCCCATATCGTGTGTTTCAAACCACAAACGGCGCGTCTTCGTTTCTCTCAGACGTGCTGACCCGAGACGGGCAGGCCGAGAATCAATGGTTACAAAGTCGCCGCATTGGCGGGGTTGTTTCACGATCTCGACCTGATGCTTTCACATGTCTATCTATGGATCTTTGGAGAGAGAGAAAAGGAGTTCCTGCAGAACATTGTGCAAGGGAAAGAGGATCGTGTTAGGCCAGGAATATGTGCGCTGGTAGCTTGGTGTTCTGCGTCGGCATGTGTAAATTGTCAAACCTCCGGACTTTGAGGTGGAGATGGCCGGGGGCTCCACCACCTTCACCAACACTGTTCTCTGTCTTTCTGTCTGCCTGCTAGCTCGGACGGACACTTTCCGCTCAGCTGTGAGAGAATTCGTGTGTGCGGGCAATGGTCACATCTTGGTCTGTTACTGGCAAGCCTTCCACGCAGCACAGGCAATGCGTGTGCGAGTGGGAAAACAGTGGGCGCTGGTGTTATAAGTCAAATGTGTGGCTTGGTGGCTTGGGGGAAGTCGTGAATGCAGGTGCCATCCATGTCAAGTATCCTCTGGAGGTTGTCAAAGTGGAGGAGGGAGAGCCGTAGTTGGGCGGCGTAACAGTGGCTGAAGTCGCCCATCCTTTGGTGGATCATGTGGCTCAGCGCAGAGTACGGGGGGTTCCAAGGCACATGAAGTGTGGCTGACAGCTCGCAGGGCCGGGGTCGGATGACGACACACAGCACAGCAACACGGGCAGGCAGGCAGGCACACAGCTCAACCACATCTCGAGATCATCCATTCCGTGGGTCTTGAAGGTCGCATGCCATATTGCTGTTCTCGACCTGGCGACTGTGCACAACTGCATTCCCCTCATCAATAATTCGAGTTGGGTGGGATCCTTCCCTATCTTGAAAGGGGAATCTGATACTCATCGTGGCCCAAGGTTGCTGAGAACACGCTTACTCTCTCTGCCCCCCACCAGCACCAGTTAGTCAGTACCTTGGTCCTGGTATCTTCGTCCAACAACAACCCAGCTTACCAACTCGACGACTACGCCACAAAGCGAACATCGGGCCGAGCCCAAGCATGAAACCCATCATCGCCGTCCCGGCGACCCTCGCCCTGGTCTACCGGGCCTGGTCCCACAAGTCGCTCACGCCGCTCGGCATCGTCGTCGCCGCGGGCACCGCCGTCGCCCACGCCGTGCACCCCTGGAACCTCCCCTTTGCCCTGCTCGTCGTCTTCTTCCTCGCCGGCACCCGCGCGACAAAGGTCAAGAAGGACATCAAGGCCACCCTGACCATCAGCGCCCAGGGCAGCAGCGGCGGCGAGGGGCCCCGCACCCACGTCCAGGTCCTCGCCAACTCGGCCGTCGCCACGGCCCTCGCGCTCCTGCACGCATATCACCTCCGCCAGGCCGCCCCCAGCAGCACGGACAGCTCCCAGTGCTTCTCCGCGGGCCGCAGCAGCAGTACCGCCAGCGCCGACGTCCTGGCCATCGGCATCATCGCCAACTACGCCGCCGTCGCGGCAGACACCTTCTCGTCGGAGCTCGGGATCCTGTCGCGCACCCAGCCGCGGCTCATCACCTCGTGGTCCCTGCGCAAGGTGCCCCGGGGAACCAACGGCGGCGTCACGCTCTGGGGCCTGGCAGCCGGCCTGCTGGGCTCCGTCATCGTCGTCACCGCGTCGATGCTCTTCCTCCCCATCTGTGACAGCAGCAGCTTCACCGTCGGCGAGAAGGCGGCGCTGTTTGGCGGTCTCGCCGTCTGGGGCGCCCTGGGCAGCGTGCTGGACAGTTTCCTCGGGGGCTGGTTCCAGCGCAGCGTGCGCGACGCGAGGACGGGCAAGATTGTCGAGGGCGAGGGCGGCGTCAGGGTCCTCGTCGCGCCGCCCCGGCCGTCGTCGTCGTCCTCCTCTTCTTCTTCAAAGGGTGGACTCTCTGCTTCCCAGGATGGCCTGACGGACCACCAGAACCAGATCCCCGGCGTTACCTCGGCCTCTGGCAGCAGCACAACAGCAGCAGTAATCAAGGACAAGCACACCGCGGACCTCAAGGCCCGGATCGTCAAGGGCGAGGGCACGGACGCGGTCGAGAAGGTTCCTCTGGGGGAGGGAGGAGGAGGAGTCGGGGCGGCGGGACCCACGCGCGTCGTCGAGACGGGACACGACTTCCTCGACAACAACCAGGTCAACTTCCTCATGGCCCTCATCATGAGCGTCGGCGGGATGGCGATCGCCGCCCGGCTGTGGGGTGTTCCGCTCGGAGACGTCTTCTCGCTTCGCTCGTGAAAGGATTTATGCAGGAGGTCGGTGGCCCGCCCTGGGGGAGGGAGGACGTCTGGAGTCAAGATTGTGGCCGGGAAGGCTTGTTGAAGGAGAAGTTCCGGTCAGGGCTGGGGTACAGCGACCAGCACGCCCACGCGGGAGCTGGGCCGGAGTGACTTCACTGAACCACATGTTGCTTTGGGATCTGCCATAAATGCTGGGCGTGTTCCCTTAGGGACCGCGAAATGACTGTACGAAGACAATGACTGTGGCGGCGCCTTATGCTTTGAGCAACAGCGATATCAAGACTAGAGACGTGCATGCAAGCCAGAAGAAATATCTCGATCAGTTTTATGAATGATGTTACTCAAGAGGAGAACCATCTCTGTAAGGCTTTTCGTGTCTCTAGTTCATTATCTATGCATTTCTGCGTGATTAGCTGCCGGCGATGCGTATTGGTCGCTTCTGCCTTGTGCTCATCATATAGCATCCTGCAGCGTGCATCAATGGCAAGTACAGAAAAGTTGCTGGGCCGGGTAGAAAGTCTATATTTATCAATGATAACGCCTGCTGTATCTGTTTTGATATCTTGGGTGGGTGAAATGGACCCCGTGTTCCCTGGCTACAAAATTGAAATCGGAGGCGAATACGACACGTCTTTCTCGTCGAGGCTTTTCTCCATGGTCTTCATGTGCTCTTCGCCATGAAATCACACGTTGAAAATCTCATCGACGCCCTTCCAGTCCCCAGCAGCGCGGTGCTCCCAGTAGCTGTCCTTGCCACTCTTGAAGCGCCAGACCTCCTCGCATTCGCCACCGGCACCACTGCTGCTAGCAGCTTCATCGCCGACCTTGACGAACCACTTGGGCTGGTAAACCTCACCGCGCTCCTCCAGATCGCGCCTCCTGATGCGCTGTGCCTCCTCGAGCTTCACCTTCCAGGCCTCTGCGTCATCGAGTTTGCCTTGCTCCGCGAATCGTTGGTCAGGGCGCAAGCGTGAATCCGTCGGCGGCAGGCGGTCCTTCTCAATCGCCGTGATCTCATTGAGGCTTGCTGCGAACGTCGTCATTCCGTAAGTGCTCGTGGCTTTTGGCACGAGATCGCCAGCCTTCCAGACATCGGCGCCGGCCTTGCCGTTCTCAACCACGCGTAATGAAGTTGTCCATGTTCCTGCTAGGCTCAACCCGGCGTGGCTGCCATCTGCCTCGTAGATATCCGCCTTGACTTCCTCGCTACGGCCACCGAACACACCCTTGGATGGAAAGTCGACCGTCGCCCTAGCACCAGAGGACTCATTGTTGATTGTCATGTTGTTGACGGGCTCAATATACTTCTCGCCCATGACAACATTACGCAGATACATTGTCGCAATATTCCACGAGTAGAACTCGTCGGTGCCGTCAGCAAGCCTGAGGGCGATGCGAGCGCGTCCCTCGCTGGTCAGCTCTGCGCTCTTACCCCAGAACTTCTGCGCCGGCGCTGGGCTCTGCGTGAATGACCACAGCGCGGCATCCGCGTGCATGGCCAACCGCACTGGCCGGTGGACAACCTTCTCCACTAGCAAGCGGAAGCCTCCTGGCACTTCGTTGTCCGTCCTAAGCAGCTCAAAGGTCTCGCCAAGTAGCGGATTGAATGGCTTTCGATTGGCACGCTCCTTTGACCTGTTTACACTGATTTGCGACACAGCAAACGCCGTCACATACATCAGGCGCTCTCGGGGTGTCTGCGCCTTGGCCGCCTTATCCAGCAACGGGGCATACTCGAGCTGTTCGCAGACACGCTGCAGCATAGACGTGGGTTCGTTGGCAGAAACGGGCATGCTGATGGCACTGAGATCTTTTCCGACATTTTTGCGGACAAACCCAATGAGGCTGGGTGGCGGTATTGTGGCCGGAGGGATGGTCACCCGGCGCTCAACGGCGATATCGATCGGGAGAGGAGAGAGCGACTTTGGCTTGGCTGGAAACAAAGCTAGAGCACCACTGCGATCACTTGGCTCGACCTTCGATTCCACGGACGATATCGACGACGAGTCATGGATGGACGCGTCGTCAGCGTCAGATCCCTCCGACTCCTCCTCGCTCGCCCGATGCTCAATCCGTACCACTTGCGAAACGTCGTCGGCGTCGCCAGCTTCCGCGTCAAAGAACTCGTCCGCCGAGGCTGTCGACTCCATGCTACGTCTTGCCGAGGCGGACCTAGGAATACCGATACGCCTCCGCTTGCTGTTCGCAATGACGTTGCTGAACTCGGCGACGACAGTTTCGAGATCGTTCAATATCGCGGCGCAATGCTCCTGGGTGTTCACTTCCTCCTGAGACTTGCCGTTCTGCCGTCTGGCAGCATGCACGCTAGCTGCCCCAGCAGCTGTGCCTGGTGACGGAACAGCGAGCGCCGATGAAGCGGCAGAGCCAAGAGCAGCGGAAGTGGCATGCTGCGCACTGGACCTTCGCCGCCAGAATGGTCTCTTCTCTGGCGCCGGGGCGCCAAAGTAGTTCTCCTCTTCTTCTACAACCACGGGCGTCCCGCCTGGGGACAAGTACGAGCTCGTCGGTCGCTGGTGCTGCGTTTGGGTCTGCTTTTGCACAGCCATGTCCTTGACGAGGCGGCGCAGAGCGTCTCGGGTGCCGACCACGCGACTCACGAGCGTCTCCATCTGCTGCCACTCGCGCTCGTCCTCCTGGCTCGGCGGCGCAGGTAAGCCACCAGTCGTGAGCACGGTGAGCTTCTGTGTCAGCGGAGCTAACGGGTCTGAGCCGTTTTCGAGCCCACGTGCGATTCTGCTTGCCCGCTCCAAGGCCTTGGCCCATTCCGCAAACTCCTCCGCATTGGCGGCCTTGAGATGCCAGATCTCAGCGCCCGAGTCGATGCTTATCTCCCTCCTACGCTCGTCGGCTGCGATTGCGGCCAGGCTAAGTGGTATGGCACCGCGCAGCGCCGAGGACTTGCGGTTGTAGTAATAGGACAGCGTGCAGGTCGTAAAATCGAGCGAGAAGAACCTGCGGGCGAAGCCCTGGCCTTTCTTCCTCCGACGCTTCAGCAGGTTACCGGTGTGGTATGTCGACGTCGAAGTCATTGCAACCTCGCTCCGGCCGGCCGATGAGCCTTTTCGATTTCTCCTGTCATTGCTCTGATGGCTGTGAAGACTGTCTGTGGACTCGTTGGGCCCCGAGTCCAGCATCTTGGGCTTGCCCAGGCTGGTCCGACTCGCTGCCGCATGGGGTCCGGCTTGCAGGTTAGGCAGATGCGTCGCGCCTTGTGGGGGAAGGCCGGTCGGATACGTGAGGAGGACGAATGTCGCGGTCTTGGAGGTCTGCTTGGAGAACGTGTTGTCGAAGACGAGGCCAAACATGCCGCCCTTGTCCTTGGCCACGTCGTAGGTGCCTATCGAGACCTTGTCGGCTTCGCACTTGCCGATCCACTTCATGAGCATGAAGCCCTTGCTTGAGAGCTGTTCCTGGGCGCTGCTCCCATCCTTCTTGAAGAGACCCCCCTTGACATTGTTCTGCACGCCATCTGCATGGTCTTCGTCGCCGCTGATCGAGGTGAGGTTGGTCGCGCCGGTGCCTGGGTGTTTGACAATGCCAAAGTTACTGTTCAATGCCACGGGTCAATCGTGTTAGCAGCTGTCCCAGCCCGCGGGCTCTTGAGAGGATATGAAGGGTCGGAATATCTAGTGTAGGACGGGCAAGTTTGCGTACATGGACTTCTTGTGAGGTTGTATGCTCCACGAGATGGTGTGGCCCTCGTCGACCTTGACCCATCTTATGATGTAGGACTGCAAGCGAGTAGACGCGTCAGTGCTCTCATGATTCCAACGGCTAGACCCAGCTTTGCTTGCGGGTGAGCATGCGCTGCTGGGCTTTGGTATTCGCTGACCTTGCTGTGTATCTCGAGCTGTTCTATGCCGGCCATTGCTGCTGAGAAGGGGGCCGGGCGACCGCTGACCACCAATGAGCCAAAACTATGCAGCCTGTGCTAATTTTTGGTGAAGAGCCCAGGCAGGCTGGCGTGGTGAGGAGGGTGCAGAGTATGCCGCCGTGGGGATTGTTGGGAGGGAGAAAGGTGACCACGATGCGGTTTCGAGGTGTTGAGTCTCCCTTTGCTGCTGCCTTCGCACGTCTGAGCCAAGGGGGGCTTGGTTCCGTCGCACGTTTAGTAGCGTATCCGGGCCACGCGGGGGAGAATCAAGCGAGGAGAGAACACGAGCAGAGAAAGCCAGAGCGTCAGCTGCTGTAGCTAGTGCGAGTGCTAATAAGTTATCCGGAGGGCGCGGTTGCATTGGAGTGAGGGCACTTGCAGTGGTGGTGCTTTAGCGACCTGCCACTGACAAGGAGCGCGCCAGCCAGCCCAGCCCAGCCAGCCACGCTAACGAGGCTGGCACCATGCCAGCTCGGATTACGTCGTACCAGCCAAACAACCCCTGGCAGCCCACTGGACAAGACGCCATGTGCTGTATTCGAGAAGAGCTCTGGTGGGGCAGGCACGATGGTTTCCTTCTAGCTCGCCGCCCTAAACAATGACTTTGACACTTTGACACTCACCATTTCGGCGTGGTGCCTTCCACGATGCCGTGAAGTGGGAGCTGGCGTGTTCCCGCAGCGCCCGGCTCCCGGCAAGCGCGGCCACCCGTGGCTCGTAGACCTGTCGTTCGCACTCGTGTCCCAGACTACTTCTCATGAGCAGCAGCGCCTCGCGAATCCTCGTTCCAAGCCGCTTTCCCGCGGATCCAGCCAGCGAAACCCCCCCCCCCCGGTCCCCGTGGACCCCGCGGGCCATTGGCAGCGTCATCGTTGCTCCGGGCCAAGGACACCACGAATTCCTTGCTTTCCGATCCAACATGTCTGGTGCCATCACGGATCCCAAGGCATAACCCACACAGAGTGACTTCTTAAGCTTCCGACACAGCCGACAATCAGTCGTTTGAGGACAATCTTGACGCCAGAGAGAGAAATATTACACCACATGATTTCTCCCCCGATCCGCGATGTCCGCCAAGTCCCCTCATGAGGGGCCACCGCGCACTGGAAAGGACGGTAGCGAACTTTGACATGTACAGTAACCCTCCACGCCAGGCACCAGCATTTCCATGCCTAGCGGGTGCGCAACTCGCAGCGGCGATCCCCCCCCCCCCCACCACGACGACAAACGCCATCCGCAACAGCTGCAACTCGCAAAACCCCCCCTGCCACATCGGGTGTTTTTTTCGAACCGTTCCAGAGAGTTCTCCTTACCAAGCTTGTGCTCTTGACTCAGCTTACACTTCGCATTTGATCGATGCCTCCGCGGATGTGACCTGCTCGCTCGGGATGCAGTGGCTGCTTATCCTCCCGAATATCCCGCAACTCCCTCTGTCAACTTTTTGCGACAAAGGAATTGATTGCATGACTGCATAAGCCGCCTAGCCGTATTACCACTCGTCCCCCAAAACCGCCCCGGGGACAAGCACTCTTGGCTGTAACTCACAATACCTGTGCAGGAGTGCGAGCACTGCCCCCGTCTCATCCACTGGGATGATACCATGCCATACCATAGACGATTAGGCCCCATAGACAGACAAACGCTGCTGAGAGGGTGGGCAGTGCATCACGATTGCCCGCGCTTACTCTTGCAAAAGTGCACGATGCAATCTTGGCTGTGACAGAGCAAAGCGTACCGGCCTGGAGGCCTCGCTGTCCGGGACGGATCATGTTCCCTGGGACCAACGGGTTTCACTCCAGACCATGGGTAAGCCTGTAGACAGAAGTCGCTTGACGGAACAAAACTATCTTGGTGGTGTACAGCGGCCTTTGTAGTTGCCAGTTTCAATTAGTTATCCTTGAGTTAGTTCTAATTTTGCATCTTTTGTTCTGGACTTGGCTCTCCTGTCATGTTCACCCGTCCCGAGTACAATTATCATACTAGCTGATTGCCCCAAAGCACAAGTCTGCTTTTGTTCCGGCTGCACCATCATCTCATCTTCACCGCCTTCCCTGCTGCATCTTTGACAGCTCGTTATTCAGCCTGAGCTTGAAGCCATTGCATAACGCACGCATGTCAGGGTACTGGCTGCCCATCATCTCAAATGCCTGCGGCACCACCTTGACATGCCACTTCATAATGGGTGACGCCTTGCTGACCTTGAAGCACAGGCTGAAGTATCCTGGGTGCTTGGGATTGATCCCGAACAGGTAGATCGAGCGGTTCGGGTTCGCATCCGAGTACGAAGTCAACCATTTTTCTGTGAAAATCATTATTAGCACCTCGTCTGCAACAGTCGTCGTCGATGGTGGGTGGGACTAGCATACCTAGATCTGCCAAGCTGCCCTTCTTGAACTTCTCGTGGTTCATCAGCTCGTTGACCTTTCTAGCCATGGCCTTGACATGCGCCTCAATCAGCTCGTCGAGATCGGTGTAGGTGTATTTGCCACCAATCCGCAGCTGCTTGCCCAATGCAAACTCGCTCTCCTTCTGCAACTCGAGGACATCAATGTGCTGGAAGACACCATCGGCGACCTTCCACGTGATGGTGAGATGGTCGTTACCCTTTGATGATGGTCGCACAACCACATCACCCTGAGCACGTGAGCCAAGGTACTCTTCGGCCTGGGCCGAGTTGAAAGTCTTGAAGTACGGGTGCTTGATGACTCTTTGCGCCCGGCCAGTCGTCTTGTCTTTCTCACGGAGAGCCTCCTGGTCGTCTGCTTCCTGGCGGAAATCCCATGTGTCGCGGTCGTGGTCGTTGTACTTCCGGTACGGTTTCCGCAGCTCGTCTTCACGTAATGAAAGCTTCGTCAAGAAGTCTTTGCGGTTCAGCTCCAAGATCTTTGCCTGGACAGTCTGGCCCATGTGAATGACATCCTTCATCGACATGCCAGGTCGGTACGAAACCTCTTGAGAATCGATTCGCCCCTCGATGCCGCAATCAAGCTTGGCAATTGCGAAATCGTCCTTGACCACTCTGATGTTGATCGAGATGATCATGCCTTCGGCAAGGGAGTCCTTCGTTTCACCAGTGAACATCGTGAAGATCTGGTCGGGCTGCAGAATGGCGAACGGCCGGCGAATCTCTTCGTATGGAGCCTGGAGTTCTGCGCGTATCGTCTCCAGTGTCGCTCGCTTCCTCTGGCTGTAGTTCTTCTCCAGCTGTTCAGCGTATTCTTCAAGAATGAGCTCATTGACCTTCTCTTGCTCGTCCTCCCGGAACAGCTTCCGCACAATGGCACCTGCACCATTCTCGTCTGTCTCGGCCTTGACATCTTCCTCGTCGAGTTCCAGTGCGTCGGCAGCCATCTTGCGACCAAGCTCGTAGTCCTCAGGGTGTACACGAGTGTTATCAAGTGGCTCCGAAGCCGGGTTTGTTGCATCGTACTCGATGAAGAGGAAACTGGCGCAGTTGTTCCATACGCGCGGTCCGACGACGGGCAGCTTGTTGTTATCAGGGTCGCCGACAAGTTCATCACGCGAGTTGACAATACCACCGTTCGTGTTGATTGCCTTGATAACGCTTGTAGCCTTGCGGGGACCAAGACCGGCAACATAGGGCAGCAGGTTGGCTGTGTACGAATCGTTCACAGCCTCGTTGATGTCGACACCGTAGAGATTGACCATGTCGACCATCGCAGTCTCCAGGTGCTTGAGGAACTTCTCCGGTGGTAGCAAATGTTGGCTAGGGTGGAAAAGGAGAGATGCAACATCCTTGCCGAGTGCGGCGTATTCCTTCATGGGGTTTTGCAGGTACTTCGCAAGGCCCACGCAATATCTCGCAATCTGGTTGAGAGTTGGGTTCTCCGCTTGAGCGCGGGGGCTGTCCTTGTACAATCTTGCCACCTCATCGTTCACAACAACAACCTCGAGCAGGTCGCTCCGGTAGTCGTCTGAGTCGGGGTCAGTGTACTCTGCCCCCTCCAGCTTCTTCTCGCTCACGAGCGCCTCGATATCGCGGACGAGCTTTTGGGTATCCGCTGAGAAGCCGCTAACGCCGATGACGTCAGGTTTCCTACGCTCGACGATGTCAACAAACAGTTCTCGCTGCGCTTCATCACGAGACAAGTTGCCCAGCTGGCCTTGTTCTGCAATGCGTCCATCTTCGTCAACCCAGACCCAGAAGACAGGGTCTCTGGCAGGGTCGCCCATGCCGTTAGACAAAGCAAGCACCCGAGGCGCTGTGCCCAGAACCATCCCCTTTGGCTTGTAGGGCGCCTGGTCGAGACGCTTCGAGTACTCCTCACGGCAAATCTTGAGGAGCTCATCTTGACAAGCAGTCCGCAATGAGTCCTTGACTCCCTTCGCGATCAGCCTCTCCAGCCTCGGGAATGCAAGATCCAGGACCTGGCGCCGCTCCTCGTTCCACGCATCGGCGAGCTCGCTATAGTTGTCGGATTTGAACTCAGCCAGGAGCTGACGCTTGAACTCTCTTTCGTTCATCAGACGAAGCCTGACCTCGATCAGGCCCTCTTCTTCCGCCTTCATCATCTTCAAAAACCGCTCTGGGTGCCGCGCAAGATCGCTGATGGTCTGGTTGACTAGGTACTTGATCTCGTAAAATGGATGCGCTTCATCTATCCGGCGGAGACCCTTCTCGGTGCGGTGGCAACTGACTTCGCCCATCTGGTAGAAATGGATTCTGAAATGCTTCCGCATGCGGGGACTCATGAACATCTCCTCAGCATACATCTGTCTGGCCTGCTTCAGGACCGATTCTCCAGTCTGGAAATCGCTGTCGGTCAGGCTGTCGGCCAAGTCGATCGGAAGCATCTGCTCATCATCAGCCAGCACCTTTTTGCCTTCACGAAGTGCATTGCGAGCCAGCTGGTCCGGAGAGATGCCGTACGCCTTGACAAATCTGTATGCTTTGCTTTTCCGCACACGCTCGAACAACGACGCTTTTGTGCCAGGTCGCTTCGTCTCCTTGCCCGTACCGTTCATGCTCGCGATATCCTTCAGCTGTGGTCCGTACTGGAACTGGACGAAATCCTGGATGTCTTGAAGCTCGCCAATCGTCGCTGCCTGCGGAATCATTTCCGGAATCATCTCATCGATGTCTTCGGTGACTGCGCGCAAATTATCGTACGTCTTCTCCAATGCATTGCGCTTCTCAATCAGGGATCGGAATTGTATGTCGAGATCGAGGATTCGCCACAGGTCATCCTGCGTCAAGAGCTTCTCGGCGGTAATGATGAATGGTGGCGCGTCTGGGTCGTTTTGGTGGTCAGGATTCCGATTCTTGCGAGCATGAATCAAGTAGTCTTTGCGGTGTTGGAAGACGTATGGCACTTCAAGCTCCTCCACGACAAAGTACTCAAGGACTTTGCCAATGGCCTTGTGGAACGGGCCGTGTAAGTCGCTTGAGAGCTGCTTCTGCGGCCACATCAAATTCATGATCCACTCCGCCTCCTCTCTGAACTGATCCGCCGAGATTTGCAGGTGCTTGAAAGGCTTGCGGTCTAACTGGAAGCGCTCTGGCTCGTCAGTGAAGCGGATTTCGTTGTCGGCCTCGGTGAGGAGCTTCTCCGCCAGCTGTGAAGGCTCAAAGACGTCCTTGAGCTCGAGTGTCTGTTCACCCTTCTGCCGCTCTTCCTCTTCCTCCTCCATGTCAAGTGCCCACGCATATTCCTCTCCGTTGCCAAAGATGGCCGCCATATCTTCGAGCGCATCCTTATCGAGTCCGGCAGTGTCGAGCACGCCACCAGCAATCTGTCTTTCCCGTGGTCTGGCGACCTCGAGATCTTCCATCTGGCGCATCCGTTCGTCCTCGTCTTCTGGGAAATCTTCTTCGATGAAGTCATCGAACTCGTCGACGGCGGCGCGGTGGCTAGGTCGTCCGTACGGCCGTTCGTCGGCTTCTTCTTCCTCGTCATCGAACATGTCGTCGAGTCCGCGGCGCTCGTTCCCTCGCGCCTTCTCCTCTTGATGGCCGCGCTTGAGACGCTTGTAGTTCTTCTGTGGCAGGCGGTAAGAAAGAATAAGTCAGCCACACTGCGTGCAGTCACACCCTTTTCCAGAGGAAGTCCTTACCTGATTTTGCTGGTTGCGGTCCGCGTCAGGGATGGTTTCGCCGATGAGGTCGAGATCCTCCTCATCCAGCTGGGCATCCTCCTCGCGCTCCTGCCGCCTCTTCCGCTTGCGCCGCCGCCGCCGCTCCTCGGGGTCTTCATCTTCTTCCTCTTCTTCGTCCTCGTCTACGATGAAGCCTTCGCGGATCTGGAAGTGTGTTTGAGTCCTGTTAGCGAGCCCGTCATCTGCAAGCCACGTTCATGAGGCGTGCAATAGCATCGCGTCGCTCCTACCTTAGCTGCCTCTTCCTCATCATCGTCCTCATCCTCATCGTCGCTAGAATCGTCCATCTCGCCGTTCCGTTTGCGTTCGCGCACGCGGGCTTCACCCGTCTCCTCATCAAAGGACTCGTCATCCTCGTCGTCGTCGAGCTCGGCCTCGCCGATGACGAGATCCCGCATTGAGTTGCTCATGTTGGATGGCGTCGTCTGGGAAAAGATTGCGGGCAGAGTATGTGTCGGCGTGGTTGCCTACGTGCGGCAGAGCAAGGAGTGTGGTCGAATTCGGGGGGCCGACCAGTTGCAAGGTCAAGCGAGATGGCGGCTGTCCGTCGTTCTCGACACGGTGGAGAGACTAGGAGGAATTCGTTCACTGCCACCTGTCTACAATGATACCAAAGACAGATGATGAGGTGAAGAAAGGAAAAGAAACCGGGCTCAGGGAAAGGCCGGTTTGAGCTCCATTGACAAGCAACTGCGCAAGCTGAGTTGGAAAATTGGTCGCGTTTTCCGAGCATGCAGGCTGCTGAGCGCGCGCACCATCAATTGGCCGTTGCCCCCCAAGCTAGTATTTTGGGGAAACGTGGCGCAGACGTCACTGAGCATGGGCGCCACACATCCACTTGCCTGTGGCTGAGGCCTGCACTGGAGACTCGCTTTATCTGAACATCATGGATTGCAAGTAGTTGGTTGACTAGGTCGGCAACTAATGACGACTTGGTTTTCCGAGCCGACTTGCATAAGATGAGAACCCTTGTTCAAGATTGCAAACAACTCTCAATAAGCGTCGAAGCAATGTATCCCGCGGTGCTACAAGTCACAACACGGAGCTGGAAACCACCTAGGCAGTCTCAACAGTCAGAACCCGATGGCCGCAGATGTGTTCGGCAGGTGCAGTAGACTTGGTTGTCGTGTTCTTCGTGTGTTGGTTGTCTCGGCAGTGCACTGTAGCCCGGTATATTTGTCGCCAGCGCGCGAACCGCACCAGAGGAGGTTGTCTAGCAGGTGGACGGATACTTATTGCTCACAATCTTTATCCAATGCCATGGTGGAATCACCAAAGCCGACTGAATGACACCCTTGGGACTGCGATCGTGCAGATCTGGAGGCTGCAGTCAAATCACCAATAGTGATGCTCACTAGGCCAGGCTCATCAGACACTCTGCACGTCACAACTCGCGTACTTGCCGTTTCGAGTCAGCAACTATCCACGACCAGCACAGCAAAGAAAGACCCTGGATAATCCCGCTTGTAAGACTCTGGGACCCTCAGCATGAGGAAGCGCGTGCGCCCTGGCCGGGTTTGTTAGAGATCTGCGAACATGACTACAACTCCCGTTCGAGCGAGCCCCTCGCCTCAACGGAGACTATTGGAAGCCCCGTAGATGGGGCCAGTGCCTTGGGCGACGTTTCGAATAAATGTCAGCGGACATGGTCTCCAAACACGTGGTCTTCTACGGACCATCCCATCATGACGCCGCGGGCTCTAGCGAGGCGCACGGCGGTCTCATTGAGCGCAGGCTGTTGGTAAACTAGAAGCCGAGAATGCTGGGGTGTGTTCCTGAGGGTGTCCCTTCTGGGACTTGAGATGGCGTGCGTACAGGAGGCTTGCCGTCAACCCCCTGTCGCGCGCCCCCGTTGGCTGTATCAGTGATCAATTAGAGCTCGTAGCCGCGCCCCTTCACCTACCAGCGGCAGACTGGGCCATGGTAGCAGTCGAATAGAACCTCACACATATGTGCCCCGTACCGATATGCTCTATTTGACACGAGCCAGATACTGCGTCCTTGGATGCCAAGTCTGGAGCTTGCTTGGAGGTATCTGAAGCTATTTCGGGAGCTCGGCGCATCGCACGATTGCTACCTTGCGGGAGCTGCGGTTGCTGTGAGTCTTCTGCAAGACGGCCACACGCCAGTTCTCCCCATTGGGCACTGCGCATGCAAGGTCGACGAGAAGGATGGCCGGCCTCGGATAGTGGCCGCATCATGCGTTTGTACCTTGCGTGCGCAAGGTACAAGTCATCGGCTCCGTCCAGTTGCACCTAATGATGTCGCTCTCCTTGCCTTGGGTCGGCACCGGACTGCTCGTCCCGACGAATGCATGGGCACCTGGGCAGGCGGTAGTTGAAACCACCTCCAGGTATCGACACGGGCAGCGACCAGGCTCGAGCGGACCCGGATAGTAGCATGATCAGGTAGACGCACGGATGTATCCGCGCCTGCACAAGTCGGTCGTCCCGTAGACCTCATGGCAACAGAAGAAGCACGTCGTGGGCAGAGGGGCGAGCTAGGCTGACGAGGATGGGTTGATCAGGGCAGTGATGCCCGAGCCAGCGTGGCGCGGCCAAGGGGTCCATCGGGCGAGTACAGGACAGCCATTGTGCAGGATTAATGCAGCTGCGTGTCTTTGTCGCGTCGAGTGAGTCCAGGCCGCTGTGCCAACGTCGTCATCAGCGTCACTTCAGGTGCCGTTGCAGGGTGAGTTGTGGTCGGTTCATTGTGGCTGGCGGTTGTACTCAGCAGCCCCTGAGCACGCACCCTTGGCCCTGGGCACGCACAGCTGCCGGGTCGTCGCACGGCGTCCCCTCCCACGTCTCGGCCAGGCCAGCCATGCCTGCAGCTCCTCGCGCCCTGCACCCTGCGGCCCCCTCTGCCCAAAGACAAAAGCCCGCCTTCACCCCGCGGTCCTGTTTCCTCCATCGCCATCTCGCCGACTCGTCACGCCCGACGCCTTGTTGCTTCGCCAGTCCTTCAACCCGTGTGCGTGTCCGCCATCGCGCAAGCGTCCAGGCAGTTCCTGCGATCGAGCCTCACAGGCACCCACCCGACCACCCGCCAGCTGTGCGGCCCGCTCGACCCTCCCGTCTAGCCGCCCATCGCCACGAAGCACCTCCCAGGGTCGTGAGGGGCAGTCCACATTGCTCGACAAGACAACTCCCGCCGTGCAAGGAGCCCCTTCGCCTTCTCATTGCCAGAATCCCGTGATAGGGGTCGCTGCTTGCATCGGGCCACCATCCACTTCGGGGTTTTCTCTTCGCGGTACACTCAGTCTAGCTCTGCGCAATCATCCCACGTACAGGCCGGCAACTCGACATCTCAGGTCATACGTCGAGCCACCACCGCTGACCCCTAGTCCACCACCTCTGCTCGACTCCGCTGTCACACTGCATACATACAAAATGGCTGAACCAGGTTTCGCACCGCGCTCGATGAAGCGCAAGAATGTCAAGGGCTTGGCTCTAACACCAGCAGCCCCCAAGGCCGCCCCTGGACCTGCTGGAGGAAAGGTACAATCAGGCTGGGGTGCTGGCGGCTCCCGAGCAGCCGAGGAAGGGGCAGATGCACAGCTCGAGATCGGCATCGAGTTCAACCTCGACCTCAGACAAGATGATCTCGAGATCATGAAAGAGCTGGGCTCCGGAAACGGCGGTACTGTCAGCAAAGTCAAGCATAAGCCAACAGGAACGACAATGGCTCGCAAGGTACGTCACGCTCGCTTGTCTTGCAAACTCACACGACACAGATCAACTAATCTTCTTGGCTCCCGTTCTCTGTAGGTTATCCATGTCGAGGCCAAGAAGGAAATGCGGAGGCGTATCGTGCGCGAACTTCAGATCATGCACGGCTGCCACTCGGATTACATCGTCACATTCTACGGTGCATTTCTCAATGAGCACAATGACGTTATCATGTGCATGGAATACATGGACGTTGGGTATGTCCTTTGCCTGATTAAAAGACCATCCTTCTTGCAACAACATGCCTTCTGACAAGCATATTCTAGCTCGCTCGACCGTGTATCCCGCGATTTTGGCCCTATCCGGGTTGACGTGCTGGGCAAGATTGCCGAGGCCACGCTCGGAGGACTGACCTACCTCTACTCGAGTCTGCATATCATGCATCGCGACATCAAGCCGTCGAACATTCTTACAAACTCCAAAGGCCAGATCAAATTGTGCGACTTCGGCGTGTCTGGCGAGCTTGTCAACTCGATCGCCGACACTTTCGTAGGCACCTCGACTTATATGGCTCCCGAACGTATCCAAGGCGAGAAGTACACGGTCAAGTCAGACGTGTGGAGTTTCGGTCTGAGTATCATGGAGCTCGCAATCGGCCGATTCCCATTCGGCAGTGAGCACCCATCTGAGGATGATGGCGCACCTGCTGGTATCTTGGACCTGTTGCAGCAAATTGTCCACGAGCCTGCGCCTAAGCTCCCAAAGAGTGACGCATTCCCGTCCATTCTGGAGGACATGTGCCAGAAATGTTTGCATAAAGTTCCGGACGAGCGGCCAACGCCACAAGAGCTCTACGTAAGTTTAGACCTTTCCCGCAAACATCACTCCGAAAGCTATCAGGACTGACAAAATAACACCTAGGACCGCGATCCGTTCGTGCAAGCTGCAAAGAGGACGCCTGTGGACTTGCGGGCTTGGGCCGTCAGCTTGATGGAGAGGGACAACCGCAAATCTCACCTTGCGCCGCAACTCTCGCCCGCAACCCAAGAGCTTCTCCGCTCAGGCGAATCCCCCAATACGCACCAGGCGGACGGCCATACAGATTACACGCCAACTTCGGGTGAGATCCCCATTGTTGGGGCGATTGCCTCGCCTCGCGACTACCACACATCGAGCGCGTCGAGGTCACCAACCCGGAACGGCCGCAGTGCGCCGGTCCACCCTGGCATGGGCCAGCGATCTGCCACTTCTGGTTCCATATCTAGAGTTCATGAGACACAATTGTCGTCTGGTGCCGGCGGCGGAAGCACTTTCAGCCTGCCTGTCCGGCCAGCACCATCTTCCGCGGGCGGCCCACCGCCTTTGCCCAGGAAAGAGACGCCAGACGAGCTGCGAAGAGACGGCAGACGTGCTGCGTATCACCCGCCTTCGAATGGCAGCTATGGTTATCCATCAAGATAAAATGGTTGGAGCTGGGAAAGTTGTCTGCTGATTTGGTCACATCATTGCCAGGCGATTCAGCTTTTTGTTCTTCTCCATCATGTCCCTGAGCGAATAGTTGAGATGCAAACGAAATATCTAGCATCAGCATTTCAACTATTTGTGTGTGTGCGTGTGTGTAAGAGGTGTTGCAAATTCTGTTGTGACTAAGACATGTGGTCGCCGCTATTCTTTCTCAACCGCTGTATTCGACATCCAGCATCATCGAGGCCCGATGCAAAGATGGACTCGGTAAGTGCATGGAGACAACCGCGGGCCAGGTGTATTGACTCAGTCTGATTTTGAAATGCCAGAACTCCGGCCTCGGATCTAGACACACATTGGCGGAGACTGAGGACTTGGTGGGCCTAACATACCAACTTCTGAGCAATGATCTCTCTCCTTTCCACATGCGCGCTCAATACTCCTATATGTACCCTTAGGAGCCTCAGGACCACTACATCCCTTCCTCTACTGGCGTCTGCCAGTTCTCTTGGGGCGGCGGGGCCCACAGCTATGAGATTGTTCTGCCTGTGAAACCGTGCTCAAGAATCTCGACAAGCTCGTCGAGCTGCTCAACCACCAGGTCCGTGTGTTCGTGCTCGGCGAGGTGCCTGTTGACATCGTTGACGAGCAGAACAGTAGCCGCACCGGCCCTGCGGCCGGCAGTCATGTCGTCGATGCTGTCGCCGACCATGATGAGCTGCGAGGCATCACCGACTCGGGTGACGACGTTGCCGGACGCCGCGTCGGTGTCCCTGGCGCCGGCCTTTTCCGCGCGCTCGACCGGCCCGTCCTGCGCCTTGTCCTCGACGGCGGCGGCGGCGGGAGCGGGAGCGGCGGCATCACCGGCTCCACCAACAGCAGCAGCAGAGAAGGGATCAAGAAGCTCAGCAGGATCTCGCACGAGGCCCCACGCCTTGGCGATGAACAGGATCCCCGCGGGGTCCGGCTTGGGCGGCCTAAAGTCCCGCGTGACCACGGGCTGGATGACGCTGCCCTTGAGGAACTTGCCGAGCAGGTGCTCGACGGGGGCGCTGAAGTTGCGCGTGCAGATGCCCTTGCGCACGCCCCGCGCGTCGAGGTACTCCATGAGCTCGACCAGCCCGGGCTGCGCGACCTGCTCGACCATCATGGCCCTCTCGATCGCGCGGATGGACTCCATGGCCTCGTCCTGGCCGCCTTTGCCCGGGCCGGGGGGGAGGGAGTAGACGTGCTCGAGGATGTCGACGGACTTGGGGATGCCGAGGACTTGGCGCATCTGGCCGAACATGTGGTTTTGAGGTTTGCTATCAGTCGAGGGAGGGCTAATGTTAGTGACGGATACGAGAATAGTATTGTCTTTTGTCAAAGGGATTTTTTTCGATTTTTACGTGTGAATGTCGAACAGAGGAGCTATAATCGATATGGCGAGAATGAAGTAAGTTTGCACCACGAACGAGATTTTGAACATTGTTCATCGAGGAAACATCAATGGCACCATGAACATAAGTGTACTATGGCCTTTATCTCTCAGATCACTTACCACAATGTCCCATCCACGTCAAAGACGATGCCCTGGAGTGTGGGGAGGTCGTTGCTGCTGCTGCTGCTGCTGCTGCTGCTGCTGCTGCTGCTGCCAGCAGCAGCGGCTCCCGCTCGGAGGGGCGCGAAGCGCCGAGGGTATTTCTGGGCCATGGTCGACATGAACCGACGCATAGAAGCGTACTGAGCACAGCCTGATATGGGTTCGGCTTATGGCTCCGGTAATGTGGTGGATGGATGGGTCTGTGTGTTGAGATTAGTCTATTGTCAGGTTTGTCGATTGATCTCAGTGATTGTCGTGGGGTGGAAAGAGAGGAAAGACGAAACTCACATATGACTGTAGGGAGAGGAATACCGGAATGCCTGAGGTGTTGCTTGTCAAGCCATGCTCGTCAAAGTGAAGCCAAGTGGGATGCATGTCATTGACTCCGGTCCGGTGGGAATTATGGGGCGGTTGCTGCGATAGCCTCGTGGATCCCGCATTGTGCGGGGACAGCAGAACCAGCTCGTTTTAGGGGTTCGGACTGCAATGCGAGCGATACATCTGTACGCTGACTGAAGAGGAACAGGTCCAAGTTCAATGCGCAAATCTTAGCGATTTCTCGGAAGCAGGAAGAAAAAACCGTCTGGATTGTCAAGACACAAGCTCAGCCATGGACTGTCCACGGGGTTTCACCAAGATGGTACCTGAGCCCACTAACACTGACAACAGGGAGGGGCATGCCAGGCGACCAATCCCATCACGCGCTTCCGTTAGAGACAGCAAGGCTATTCGTCGCCCCAACGAGACAAGCTGTCTTCCTGGGCTCAAACCTCGCCAACAACAATCACGCCAAACTATCTCTGCGGACTCCCACTAGCGCAATCGATTCTACCAGAAGTCATCTCCCGTGCCCGACCAAGACCGGCTGTCATTCACAAAGCGTCGTCCCGATTGCCTGCGCCTGCGAGACTTGAGCTGTCCCGTCAGACTCCTCTCTAGCCAAGATGGCTGACGACGAGAAGGCCCAGAAACTGGCGGCGGCCAAGAAGCGGGTGCGCATCCCTCACGAATGCATTGCGGCCGCTTGAGAATGCGACCTGGCTGACATGAATCATCCCGTTCAGGTCGAGCAAATGAAGAAGAAAAACGCCAAGAAGAGCGGCGCAAAGAGCTCGACAAAGGACAAAGAACAACCCAAGGAAGAGCCGCCGCGAAAAGAGAACCCCAAGCCTGCAAAGGACGATGAGGATTCGGAGAAAGAGGAAGAAGAAGAAGAAGAAGAAGCAAACACCGCCGCCGCAACGGGCAAGCCTCCGGCCGACGCCGTCAGCGACCTCCCCAAGCCCACAGACGAGCCGCCAATGTCCCCCACCACAGTACAGCAGTCGAAGCTGCGGTCGTCCTCGTTCCGCCATGGCCCGCTTTCGCCAACCATTGGGTCGGCGGGCGAGGGCGAGACGGCGCCCGACATCTACCGCAAGCAAGTCGCCCGCATCGAGGATCTGGAGAAGGAGAACAAGCGGCTGGCCAAGGAAGCAGCGGACAATGAGAAGCGGTGGCAGAAGGCCGAAGACGAGCTCGAGGACCTGCGCGAGGGCGAGGACAAGGCGACGGATGCAGAGGTTGAGAAGTTGGTGAGTTGCTTCCCACCCACGTGCCCGTCGAAAAAGAGCGTTTGGCAGCGACTGACAACCGGTTCTCATCGTTCTCCCAGAAATCCGAGCTTGCTGCCCTGCAACGGCAACACGCACAGCTCCAGAGCGCCGCCCAGAGACGACACAGCTCGCAGGCGTCGATAAGCATGTCTGCCTCTCCACCCAGCGAGCTGCAAGCCCAGCTCGACTCCAAGTCTGCCACGATTGAGTCTATGGAGCTGGAGATCTCGCGACTCCGTGCCCAGGTGGAGCGGCAGAACACTGAAGGGGGTTCCGAGCGCGAGCAGGTTGCCGCGCTGGAGGAGAAGCTCGCGCGGGCAGAGCAAGCCGCGACAAAGGCGCAGCGTGAGCTCGTCGACGCCAAAAAGAACCTGGAGCGCACCGCGGAGCGAGCTGTCAAGGAAGGCAGCGAGAGGACCAGCGCCGAGACCAAGATCCGGACGCTGGAGCAGGACTACAAGAAGCTGCAGGAGGAGAAGGACGAGCTGGACAAGAAGGTTGAAGCGCTGGAGAAGAAGGTTGCCGCGCTGGGCAGTCTACACAAGGAAAATGACAGTCGGTCACAATCGCTGCGCAAGGAGAAGGAGAAGGCGGAGAAGGAGGCCAAGGAGGCTCTGGCCAAGGTTGAGAAGCTTGAGGCTGAAAACGCACGGCTGCGGAAGAAGGATGCTGCGGAGGGTGGAGGCGACGACGATGGCGTGGAAGAGTTGGAGAACGAGGAGAGGCAGCGCATGGAGAAGAAGATTCGTGACCTCGAAAGCGAAGTGTACGACCTTCAGAGGGGCATCTGGCACCAGCGTCGCAAGGAATTGGAGCCTGGCATGATGGACGATGTCGCAAGCCCTGGCGCCGGCGGGTTCACCAACGTCGACCTCAACAGCGGGCTGGCATCGCCCACATCGGCGAGAAAGGGCAGCGGCAAGGGCTTTGGTGACTTTTTCACAAGCGGCCTAAATGCGTTGACAGGTGCCGGTCACGAAGAGCACGACGGTCTCCTGGAGGACGACGACTTTGAGTTTGACGAAGACGCCTTCCGCAAAGCGCAGGAAGAGGACGCCAAGAACCGCCTCGAGCGCATCAAAGAGATCAAGCGCGGCCTTAAGAACTGGGAAGGCTGGAGGCTTGATCTGGTCGATGGCCGACGAGGTGGGGGTGGTTATGGTGGAGGCGAGATCTTTGAGATTTAGAACGAGATAATGCCTGCTATAGACCACATGCGTTGATCCGCGAAGACCATGGCTGCCAAGAGGCTTGCATTCATCGTGTCACGTTTGAGCGTGGTCCTGCATGCCATGCCTGCGTAGTTTCCAGACACTGAGATTTGCAAATCGGAATAAACGCATTAACAAGTTATGATGCCGTGACCTGGGGGCAAAGGGTCTTTCTGAGCACAGGTCCTCCCAAGCCATGATGAATCAGCTTTTTTCATCGATGAACTAATCGAGGTCTTGCTCATATTCGATTGTGTGTTTCGCTGGCAACTGTTCTGTGCTCGCTCTTGTCTGGTACCTCCAAATGAAGTGCATACCGTCTCCCTGCCACTAACCCCAAATCACACCTCAGGGAGTGTGCGAGTGCTCCATGTCGGCCGAAAGCTAAATGCATCTCATGTCAAGGGTCTGACTGAGCTGCCCCTCACCCCGCGCCTGCTCTCCACAGCTCGATTCAGCTGCTGATCTCATGGTCTCGAGCTGTCGCGCCTCGCGAGTTCGCGTCTTCTCTCCGTTTCTGTGTATGGTACAGCCGCCAGGAGTAAAAGTTCTCGATACATGCAGCTCGACACCGGCTCCTGGTCTCTCAAAACAAAATTGTACTTTGGGAGGCGGCAGATATCCTTGAGTTCGGAGAGTGCCACCACCCGACACCACAGACATCGCCCACTTTCGGCCAACTCCGCCACCGTCACAGTCTCTCAGCCCTCACTCGCCAATTGATTTATCTGCCGGTTGGTCTGCAGTGGTTTCAGACTTACTTGCCTTCCTACGAGATTGTATCCAGATCCCAAAGGAAGGAAAAAATCACAGCATCCCCCAAGCAGCAAGAAGAACACAACATTACAAGGCCCTCCTTAACCCCACCATCTTCACTCAAGACCACACACAAAACACTCTCCCCCCATCTTCACCACCATCATCATGGCTGCCGAAGGACCGCCACCCACCAAGGACGCCATAACATGCCACATTCTCGACACGAGCCTGGGCCGCCCGGCGCGGGGCGTCCGCGTGAAGCTCGAGGGCGGCGGCCACGCGGCGGCGGGGGCCGCGACGGGGGCACTCAAGACGTTTGAGTCGCAGACCGACGACGACGGGCGCATCAAGGCGTGGCTCGCGTCCTCGGACGCCACCACGGCCGGGGACGTGCCGACGTACACGCTGGCCGACGTGCTCGGCGAGCTCGACCAGGAGGGCGCCGAGTCGTCGACGTGGACGCTGCGGTTCTTCACCGAGGAGTACTTTGGCGGCAGGGACAAGACCTTCTTCCCCGAGGTGGTCGTCACGTTCACCGTGCTCAGGGGCCAGACGTATCATGTCCCCCTGCTGCTGGCGCCCTACAGCTACTCGACCTACCGTGGTAGCTAGTTGCGTCGGTCTGATCACAAGGAACCTAGGCGACACATTTTTGAAAATAGTATACCCTTGGGGTGTTTATACAGCGTTGGAGGGAATGAGGACAGGTTCACGCAGCGGGGGTTATCAGGAGCATCAGCTACGAGAGTTCAAGCCCCAAGAAACAATGACCTTGTGGAAATGTGAAGCATTGGCAGTGTCGTGTGCTCTGGCGAATCTCGTGTGCCTCAACGTGACATCACACACCAGGTTGAACAGCCTAGGGGGAAAGACAACCACTTTCTCGTTTCACTTTGCAGCCAGACAACTTTGCTTACTCTCAATCACTGTCAGGTATTCATTGCAACTTGATCAACTTTGTCTCATTAGAAAAACCAGCCAAACAAGTCCGTAACAAATTTTCCCAACCCCGTGAACTCCACATGCATATGCCCAGGATGGTGGTTCGGATGGCACACGAATCAACACCATTGCCTTTTTTGTTTTTTTGTCCTCTCTTGGAATGAAGCAGACCTAGTTGTGTCCTTGTGTCCCAATGTGATTGAAACTCCCAACTTCACTTTCGGTAAACCCCGTCCACGCACGTCATGCTAGAAAAGATTGCTTTGGGGGATTTTTTTTTTCATCTTCTCATTCGAGTTCCAGCGTCTCCCATTTACTGGGCACGGAGCTCGGCAATCTTCTCGCGGACGGTCTCCTCACGCTCGGCCTTGGTCTTCTTGACCTGGCGGAACTTCTTGGACTCGGCCTTCCACTCGTCCTTGGACTTCTTGGGGGCGTCGGACTCGTACTTCTTGAAGGGGTCCTCACGGATGGCAGCGTGGGCCTCGGTGTACATGTCCTCGAGACCGTCGGCCTCGAGGTCGTCGTCGAGGTACTTCTGGAACTGGGACTTGTAGCGCTCCTCGTCGTCGTCGGCGAGGGTCTCCATGTACTCGGCGACGTGGCCACCGACAATGTACTTCTTGAGGGTCTCGGCGTCGAGCTCCTCGGTCTCCATGTCGTAACCGGGGAAGCGGTTCTCGGAGTGGGGCACGAGGATGCCGCCGTCAGAGGCACCCTTCATGGCACCAAAGACACGGGCACCGGTGGAGGTGCGGGCAAGACCGACGTCGAGGTGGGCCTTGAAGGGGCGGCGGGTCTCGCCATCCTCCTCGGCGGCCTCGGTGAGGGTGTACTCGCCGTCAGCCTCCTCGACACCAGTGAAGGTCTCGTTGAGGCCGAGCTTGTGGAGGGCACGGCGGGCGATGAGCAGACCGGTGGCGTAGGCGGCGGACCAGTTGGTCAGGCCGTGCTCGATGCCGTAGGCGCGGAGCTCGTGGGAGTAGGCAGCGACGAAGACCTTGTCGCCGCCAATCTCGGAGGTGACGATCTGCATGATGATGTCGCGGTTGGTGAAGCGGACGACCAGGCGGTACTTGGGCGCATTGTACTTGTTCTTGGCCTGGGTGATGAGGCGCTTGCGGGCGTAGTAGTCGGTCTTACCCGCTCTTCTGCGCTTGTACTTGGTTTGGAAGCGGCTGGAGAGAGAGAAAAACTTGTCAGCAGGTCTGTTCGTGCGCCATGGAAGAATTGAGCGCGAGAGAAAACTCACCTGTAGTAAGCGCTGTTCTTGACCAACTTGGTGAAAGCCTGGTTTCAAGATCATCCTCGAGTCAGCAATTGTCGCTTCAGAACTTATTTGTTCTCTCCCGAGTGGGAGGCATCCGAAGCATCTTGCATTGACTCTGCAGACAGGAAATGAGAGAGCTACACGCAGAGAGCTACGCTCAAGACAAAGCAAGAACGGTTCTCATTGTGCGCCGGGATGCAGCTTGCAGTTCTCGTGCCGCCATTTCTGGCACTGCATCCCGGGGTGAAGATAGGCCATTGTTTGTAGAAAGTCTGCCCTCATTCTTCGTCCTCCTCGCTCGTGTCTCGTCGTCGAATACGCGGTGCCTGTGGCGGCGGTGGAACTCTCTCTCTCAACTCACCATCTTGACTGATTTGTGCCCGGCGGGTGATGCACTGAGATCTGGGTTGTCGTGGTAGAGTCGGGGATGGAAACCTCTTGTCGCGGCGATGCGCCTAGCTAGAGTGGTGTGCCGCACCCCGGGAAAATTAAAGTGGCTCGAAATTCTTGTGTGCAAAAATTCGCTTAGCGCCCCTCTACGAAACTGCCGCGGTGGGCGACGACAGAGTGGAATTGTGGTGGGCGACGAGCTGGCTTAGCTAAGCTGGGATAGGAAGTCTATCGTTATCTTATCGCCTTGCGACAGACCCACCCACGCGGGTGGATGACGGCTCCCGTCCCCAGGCGGGTGCCGAGGTCCAGCGGGCAATCGGTGCACGTCGCGAGGTGGGTATCGTCACCTCCGTTGTCTACCCCGGATTCTGCGTTGCCGTGCGTGATAGTTTTGTTGTGTAATATCCGCTCCCCTTCCCTACACGCGAGTCTACCTTCAATCTCTGGGACGAACCAGGGCATAGAATAAGCGTGCTATTCCTCACTTGATACCACGGCACGATGTCTTCACAAGCTCGGCCGAAAGTGCTCCTCTTTGATATCGGAGGCGTTGTTGTAAGTGTCCCGGGAGTGAGATACCATGTCAAGTGTTGGTTCTCAATCCGCAACAGCTTGACGATAAGTCTCACTGTCCTCAAAACAATGCTAACCTCCTGCCCAGGTTGTCTCTCCTTTCCAAGCCATCCTCGACTACGAGCTGAGTCTAGGAATCCCCCCAGGATGGGTGAACTACTCCATCTCCAAGACGGCGCCAAACGGATTCTGGCACAAGCTCGAGCGGGGCGAGATCCCCATGGACGAGGCCTACTTTGCGGGCTTCAACGCCGACCTGAGCGACCAGGGCCGGTGGCACGACTTCTACAAGCTCCAGCAGGCCAAGGACTCTTCCTTGCCGCGCCAGGTGCCCGACCTACCGCCCATCGACGGCCGGTGGCTGTTCTACGAGATGATGACCAAGTCCAAGGCGCACGACCCCTGGATGTGGCCGGCCCTGCACAGGCTGAGGCAAAGCGGGCAGTTCATCCTCGCGGCCATGAGCAACACGGTCATATTCCCAGAGGGAGATCCTCTGCATGAAAAGGACTTCTTTGAGAACCCCGTCCGCAAGATGTTTGACGTGTTCGTCTCATCCGCGCACGTGGGGTTGCGGAAGCCCAAGCCCGAGATCTATCAGTACACGCTCAGGGAAATCCAGAAGTTCGCAAAGGAGAATGCCGACACGGAAAAAGGGCGGGCGTTGGGGTGGGCTGAGGGCATCAGGCCAGAGGACATTTTGTTCTTGGACGATATTGGTGAGAACCTCAAGGGCGGGAAGAAGGCTGGGTTTCGCACGTTAAAGGTTCCCTTGGGAAGGACATATGAGGCGGTGGACGGGCTCGAGTCTGCGACGGGCCTGAAACTGGCTGGCGATCACCCAAGAGTTCCGGTCAAGCCGACCATCACAAAGACCAAGTCCAAATTATAGCGCGCTGTTGGCAATAGGCCGGATCCAAATCCAAATCCAAAAGGCTTAGGCCATGCCCAGCCTATATCGAGACTGTCTGCACGGGTATCCGTCCGTCAGGTTCTCCTTGGGCCAGTATGCAAAGGTTTCCATGGATGGTAACTGTAGCGGTGGCATTGCAGCCAGAAGACGCTGCAGGGGAAGGGTTTCTGCCATTCCTGCTCGTCGTCCGTGAAGGGCACTGGATGGAATTCTCCCTCATGATGTCCAAATGTCTGCACGTGCGACGGCCACACTCCCTGTCTGCAAGTTAACGGGTTTTGGAGGCTCTTCGTAACGCATGACAGAAAAGCCATCCTTGTCTGGAAGCGTGGCCTCCCGGTAAATTACAGCCAGCATTGGTGGCGGTCTACGTAGACAAAGAGATGCAGAGAGGCTTGACAGAAGTTCGTTTGGTGGCATGTGTGGCGTCCGGATCAGGCAATACATGGTCCGGTATTCCCGTCCGCTATGGAAAGGGCCGAATAACCCAAGGAGGGCTGAACACAGCGGCCGGAAGGAGAGGCGATAAGGGCATATTGCTCACCGCAGAAGTCGGGAGGCTGGTGGTCATTGTCGGAATAGTCCCTGATGCTGCCCCGGAAGAGCAGACTTCTCGCAGCCATGAGAGTTCTCTGGGGTGGTTTTGCGGCTATGCATCATGGCGATACCCCCGAGCCGACACGCCGGAGTGCAGACAGGGGTTGGTGACGTTTAGGCTAAAGACTTTGGAGGGAGGCGAGGAGCAGCCACCGACGGCGAGGGCGCAAGCGAGCATGTCAGCCAAGCGATCCAAGCAGCGGCTGGCAAGCCCCGCCAGAGCTTGTTCAGCACACAAGCACTGTCTAAACGAGCTGAGCCGGGGCGGACTGCCGTCCCTGCCCTTCCCCCGCAAATCTCCACACTCCACACTCAAACAAGAAGAAGAAGAAGAGGGCCGAATGCGCGGAGCACCGCTTCCCCGCCAATCAGCAGATCCGCAGTGGACTCCTGAGGTCCCTAACTGGTCTTCTCCACGGTTGATCAACGTCATGGCGGTGGTGGTTCCGCCCTCGTCGCTGGCTCTGGCTCCAAAACTCCGCCCGTGGCTCACGCTGCCGATGGCGGGCTTGTCGCTAGTCATGCACAAAGCGTCCGATTTGGAGATGGCAAATCTCTGTTGTCATAGCGCTTCCATGTAGGAGTTCCATGTGGGAGCAGGTTGCGGCCTGGCTGTACCTTTGGGACGGGCCAGCCAGGTCAAGGAATGGTTGGGGTGTGTGTGTGTGTGTGACACACTGAGCAGCTCCCCTTACGATGAGGGCGGCGGAGGAGAGGAACAGCGGAACAAAGGAACAGAGAAGGAGCACTCTGGTGGCCCCTCCCTCCACAAAGCAGCCACAAATGCTTCCCCATGTCCAGAGCTTCAGATTACCCCAGATCGTGCGTTGCGCCAAGAGTCCCCAACCCGGTCACCGTCTCGAGCACCGCCGTTCTCGGGCACACCTGCACACCCTCAATGTCCACTCTGATGACGATCCTCTTCCTCCTCCTCCTCTTATACGGGGCCTGGTGCCTCTCTGTGCTGCCACGCATGGCATAATTATTACCCCCTCCCCTCCCTCTTCCTCTCCCCATCCAGGCACTCCCTCCTGCAGTGCTACCTCCGTTGTCGCAACTTGCCAGCTCCAGGTACACATTGCTGTTGCCAGTTCGTTGCAAGGAACACCTTTGTCGCAAATACGTACTTTGGCCAGTCCTCCATCGTCTGAACACAGCCAACATCGACTCCAACCCAGCCCTTATCCTCAACCATGTCAGGCTCTCCAGACGCCAAGGACAGCGACCCTGAGCGCCTCTCGAACGAGGATGGCCACAAGAACACGGTCGGCGCGGGCGTCGTCCACCAGGAGTCGGCCGCACGCAGGGGCCTCCAGATGCCAGCCATCCTCGCCGCCATGACCCCCGAGCAGCGCGCAGACCTCGAGGTGCGTCTCCGCCGGAGGATCGACTTGCGCCTCATGCCCATGATCATCCTTATGTACATCCTCAACTACATCGACAGGTACGAAAACTCTCGCCGTGCACGGCCGCCCAAGTGGCGCTTCCCCAGAGAAGGAGTCCTTGACTAATATGGTTTTTGTCTTCGCATCGCTTCAGAAACAACATCGCAGCTGCAAAGCTAGCGGGTCTTCCACAGGATCTACACCTCAGCCCAACCTCGAGCGAGTTCCAGGTAAGCCATATCACGGCTGTACTATTTTCCCGCGAAACGGGGCTGATTTATTGTCACGATTTGAACAGACGGCCGTCAGCATTCTATTCGTTGGGTAAGTCTGATCAAGCGCGCGCACACTCCCTTCCGGCACTAAAGCAAGAGGCTCATCTTCAATAAGTTATCTTCTCATGCAAATCCCGTCAAACTTGTTCTTGAACAAGATCGGTAAACCGGCTATTTACCTGCCTGTCTGCGTAAGTCCATGTCTATCTCACAATCTCCAGGGAGAAAACAACATTCGGACAGACCCATGCTGACTTGTCATATAATTCCCAGATGATCATCTGGGGCATGATCTCTGCGGCGACTGCGGGTGTCAAGAACTTTGGCGGCCTCATCGCCATCAGATTCTTCCTGGGTTTCGTCGAAGCAGCCTACTTTGTGAGCAAGCCCTAGCCATCCATGTCTCCCTAGCACCAGCTGACCCAAGAACACAGCCGGGATGTCTATACTACCTAAGCTGCTGGTACACCAGAAAAGAGCTTGGTCTTCGCACAGCATTCCGTATGTAAAACTGTTCCCAAAACAATAACGCAGAGCAAGCCTAACAAGATCCTCTCGACATCCAGTCTACTCTGGCGCCCTCATCTCCGGCGCCTTCTCAGGCCTAATCTCCGCCGGCATCACAGGCAACATGAACGGCACTCTAGGTTATAGCGCATGGCACTGGCTCTTCATCATCGAGGGCGTCGTGACCATTGTCATCGCCTTTGCCGCATTCTTCATTCTGCCCAACTTCCCGCGCACCACCTCCTGGCTAAGCGAGGAGGAAAAGGCCCTGGCCATCTGGCGTCTCGAGGAGGACATTGGCGAGGACGACTGGGTCGGCACCAAGGAGCAGACCTTCTGGGACGGCGCCAAGCTCGCCTTCACCGACGTCAAGACCTACGTGCTCATGGTCCTGCTCTTCTGCATCGTCGCCTCGGGGACCGTCACCAACTTCTTCCCCGCCGTCGTCGAGACCCTCGGCTACAACAACGTCACCTCCCTCCTCCTCACCTCACCCCCCTACGTCGTCGCCGTCATCACCACGTTCCTCAACGCGTGGCACGCCGACAAGACGGGCGAGCGCTACTGGCACATCACGCTACCCCTGTACGTCGCCGTCGCCGCGTACATTCTTGCTGCGACGACTACGGGCCTTGGTCCGCGGTACGCCGCGATGGTGCTCATGGTGCGTACAAATCCCTTGAAAACTTCCAACTGTTCCTTTCTCATCCTCTGATATTTAACATGCTTTTTGCTCCGGTTGCGGAACCAAGTGACTTTGCTAACTCGGACACACATGATTTTAACAGGTCCCCGGAGTGTACACTGGCTACGTCGTCGCCCTCGCCTGGATCAGCAACACCCTGCCCCGCCCACCGGCGAAGCGTGCCGCGGCCCTGGCCTTCATCAACGCAATCTCCAACACGTCCAGCATTTATGCAAGTTATATGTACGGCGACTGGATGAAACCTCGCTACGTCATCGCCATGTCCGTCAACTGCGCCACGGCCGTCATCGCCATCATTGCTGCCACTGTTCTGCGTTTCATGCTCGCGAGGCTCAATAAGAAACTCGACCAGGGCATCTTTGTCGAAGGCGCAATCAACACGCTACCTGGCGAGGCTGCAATTCACGGGTTCCGATTCAAGCTGTAGGCGATGCTTGTGGTTCTGGTTCAGTAGAAGAGCCGTCCTACAGGATGCAAGAGTCTATGGATTTTATTCCCAAGTGTTAATGCAGACTCGGCTTTATTTCTAAGATGCAATACACGAGACATTGGATAATTAGATATAACGTTGCGGCTGAGTGCGAGGGCGAAATTTATAAAATGAACAACCCAAATAAAGTGACTCCCAGCTTCACACGAACAATGGCCTTTGAGCCGGCTTCGTGCTTTGCCTTGGTGATGTGGAAAATCTGCTATAGAGATGCCAGGTCAGGCCAATGGCGGCTCCGTTTTCCGGAATCATGTCATAACAACCGGTTTACTGCATGCGGAACTCTCCTTAGAGTGTAGACTGAACACCTCAACCGACCGAACGGAATATGCTGTGGGCGAAAGGCTTCGCACCACAATTGTGCCTTCAAGGCTGATCCTTGTAAGGCTGGAAGCCCTTCGTGAGCATTTGGTGGGTCATGGCCTGTCGGCTCGCTACCGGGAAACGTCTTCTACCAGGATGTGATCGGTTGGCAGGATCCGAGATGTCGTTGAAGTACCGTGCAGGATCACCGGCTTTCTCGGTGCTCCGCTCGCGCTTTCGCGTTCCACAATCCTCACAAACGACCCAGACGACGGGTGCATGGTTACGTGGGACCATGGTTTTGACAGAGCTGTTGTCCGTTTTGGGAGTAATAATACTCTTCTGGCTTGAGACAAGGGACATGGTCAAAGAAGGGGCACGCCGAGGATTATCGCTTAAAAAGGAAGAGGTTGCCGAAATGGTCTCGCCTATTGACCATCGCTTGCTTGGCCTGAAAGAGTTGTTCTGGATTGGTGCACCTCCGACGAAAGTCGTCGAGTCGGGCTTGACACTTTCAGTGTCACTCTCGATTTCCTCGCGTTGGTCGCTGCCCAATCGTCCAATCCGCATGAAAGGAGCAATCAGGAGGCAAACGCCAGCCAGGCTCGCTGTGGCAATAAAGGTGTTGGAATATGCAACCAGAAGGCGGTCTTCGTGACCTCTTCCATCGTAAGACGACCAAATCGCTGTTGTGGTTGCTATCCCGAAAGGAATACCCATTCTGGCAGCGGCCTGTAGGAGAGATGCTCCTGCAGAATGATGGTATAGGGGTAGCCGTGAGAGTGCATGAAGCTGTGACAGAGTAAGCCAAGAAAGTCCTCGGCCATGACTGGTTTTTGTGACTCACAGAGCCAATATTCAGAGTCCAGTCCATCCCTATCGTACTCATCACAAGCGAAGGAAACACCCAGGCGAAGTAGTTGCTGCCTTGTCGAAGGAAAATCAAAGGGATGTTGCTGAGAGCGAGGCAGGACACCGCCGCCAACAACAACGTACTCCCAGCCATGCGATGTAGAACAAGTCCTACCAGGGGACTCAAAAGGAGACCCACAAAAGCTTGTGGTAGAAGACGAAGAGCAACATCGAATGGAGCCAGGTGATCAAGCTGTTGCAGGAACATGGAGATCCAAAACAGCTGCGAGTAATATGTCATTGACGCAAACAGTGTGCAGGTGGTGACCTGTGAGTCAGACATGCTGAAATTCTGGTTTAGCACGGGGCCAACTTACTAACACTACGCAGAGGTCAGCCCACACGGATTGTGGAATCATTGGTGTTTCGGTGATAGTCTCCTAGATCACGAAACAGCCAAGCAGGATCACTCCAAAGGCGAGCAGGCAGATGACTGTCGGTGTCTTCCACGGCTCTGGACCCTCAGGTCCGATTGTAAGTGCCACTGTGAACAAAAGTACACCTGATGTTAGCAAGCACACACCAAGCCAGTCAAATCGGGTCCGTTGGCTTCTCGAGAGTTTGGTTTCCATATCGACGAAGGAGGCGGAGGAGTTTGAGTCCGTGGGGTGGGGGTCGGCCTGCCGGTAGGTCCGATCTGCCTTGTTATCCTTCGGCACGCAGAACCAGGCCAGGACCGTGATCGCAGCGTACAGAACAGCCAAGCAGACGAATGGTGCTTTCCAGCTCAACTTTTGTGCCAGACCTCCTGATCCGAGACCACCAATGATCGTGGCGGCCGGCGTCCCCGTGAGGAATGAGGAGAAGGCCATGTTCTTACGTCGCGATGGGACAGAATATGCGAGACTGAGAATGCCGACGGCGATCGGGATATTGGCTGCGCAAGCAACTCCGGCGAGACCAGACAGGATGTCGAGTGTGATGCCATTCGTCGCGAATGATGTGGCTCCAGCCAGGAGACTGAATGCCAGAAGGCTGATCATCAGAAGCGACTTTCGTGAGATGGCAGAGCACCTGTCAGAGATATGACCAAACGGAAGAAGGAAAGCTCCAGTGGTAAGGCTAATGACAACGAGTTAGTTATCCAGGGCTGCTTCACTAGTCGCCGTGTTGTCTTATCATACCCTGATCCTGCTGTGGCCCATGCGAGTTCAGCGGGGCTCATGCGCAACTCGTTGGCGATGGAAGCGGTAACAACGACGGTCGAGCGCTGCAGGAAGACCGGCGATGCAGCTGTCAATGCTAGGCAAGCAACAAAAAAGATCTCGTGTATTGTGTTCTTGAGACATTGTGGGCGGTCGCTTCGCGACTGTTTAGGGCAAGGCAGTTGTTGAGCATTGTCAAGCAACGAAATCTCTTGAAGATCCTCGGACGCCCCAGGATGGCCCGTCCACGAGCCATCTCGAGCGAGCCGCATGGTTTGTGATCGATAAAATAGGTGAGCTGAGTATCGGCGTATCGACGGCCAAGAAATCACCAAAAACCTGAAAGCCAGGCTGTTCTCAGGAAGTGGTTGAGAACCGGGCCTTCACGATGATTATGGCTCAGTGTTCATGGAGAGGGACGAAGGTGAAGTGCTGCATCGCTGCTGAGTGCGTCATGTGCACGGCATGAGGCCTAAGGCAAGCACGCCGAGGAATGGTGAAAACGGCCAGCTGGAAACAGCGAGCCTCGCCGCTCCTTCCCCGTTCACTTTCCGTTCCTGTTTTGCGCAGGCACCACTGGTCTCGATTTTGATTGACTTGTGAATGTGAAGAAATGGCATGGCCAAACCGAAGCACAAACAATAAGCCGTAATGCGCAATTGGTTCTGCTCCCGTTTTCAATACAACTTGAAGCTTAAGCACATGTCTGGAGCGGACATTCCAAGGTTTTACCATGCCTTTGTTCATTGGTAGACCGTTACAGCTTTACTGACTGTGTACAATACCTCACATTCAGGTAATGATTCAAAGCTGGGTTCTATCGTTCAGGAAAAAGTGATTTGCTTTCCCATCAAGCTCTTGAAGACATCATCCAATGCCTTGCGCTTCTTGGCCCTGTCCTCTCCTTTTTGATCGGGATCTTCGTCATCGTCATCGTCCAGATCCAGACTATCGCCTTCATGCTTCGATCCGAAGCGCTCACTCTTCCGGGACAATGCCGGCACCCAAGCTCGTATTTGCCCGTCAAGATGCGCGCTGTAGATAGCCGCAGAAGTGTTAGACCCACCAGTAACCACACCAGAACTTGAACCACCTCCCCCGGATCCCCTCCACACGAGGCTGGTGATGCGATTCCTGACCGTGCGCTCACCACCTCGCGCACCACTGGCAGAGCGTACGCCGGCCGTCGAGGGCCCCACGGAGCGCAGCCTTGTGATTATCGTTCCTTCGTGGAGGTCCATGACAAGTACTTCCGACTCGTTCGGCCAGAACAGGAGTTCTTTCCCAGGCGGTGTGACGCCTTGAGGGGATGTGAACATGGTGACACCAGAGAGCTGATTGTTCTGTATACTTGGTCCGAAACTGGCCAGAGTATTGCGGCCCGTGGCTGCATCCCACACTCGGATGCGTCGATCATGGCCTGCAGAGACAATATAGTTGCCATCGTCTGTCCAGGTGAGCCCGTTGACAGGAGCCGAGTGAGCCTTGGCGGAAAGCCGTGACCTTCTCACCATAGGCCTTCCAGTGCCATCGACCCCTAAAAGACCATTATAGTAAAGTCCAAGGCTGTCTTCGAGGTCTAACAAGCCGATAGCACCACCGGCTCTCCGGATGTCCCACAGTCTGACTGTACCATCTACACTTCCTGTGGCTAAGACGTGCTCGTGTCTGGGCGACCACGAAGCAGAGAGAACAGCTCCACCATGACCAGACAAGGACTGCACGTTCGCGCCAGAACGAAGGTCTACTAGCCGGACAGCAGGATGCTGGGTACCGCATGCAACCAGGAGATGAGACGCAATTGGCGAAACTGCGTGTGTGTACACTTTTGAGCCGAGCTGAAAGGATCCAGAGACCTTTGCAGCATCTGTCGACCACAACTTGAGGGTCTGATCAAAAGACGTGGACAAGAAAGCCGCAGAATCGAACGGATAGAAGGACAAATGGGTGACGCCGAATCTGTGACCATTTCCTCCTGATGGGGATGAGCAGCGGGGTATTGTGCCTGTGGGTTTGAATGTATTTATTGAGACTTGGTCGGGGCTTTGGTACTGCTCGAGATCCCATATCTTGATGGAAGCGTCTGAACCCCCTGATACCAGTCTTTGGATGTGGTTAGTAAGGCATGGGCTGGCAGATGCTGGTTGGCTCTACTCACATTCTTCCCTCGAAGCGCTCCAATGCTAGAGCATTAACACCAGATTGATGAGCCCAGATATGATTACCAGGGCTCAACTCGCCATCATGGACAGCAGCGCCTCGCTCTCCGCCATCGAAGCGGTACTCGGGTGCCGCCCAAAGCGAGGTCACCAGGGAGGCCGCGTGCAGCCGCGCAAAGGCGTTGGGCCCGACGTTGCCAGTGGACCTCTCAAACAAAAGTCGATTCATGCACTCATGGAAGACTCTCGTCGGGATCACGATAATGTGTTTATGACTTGCTCACGTCTGCACTGGGATTCAACCTTCAAGACAACGAGAGGAATGATGTCAATCCTGGCCCACAAAACCGTCGCGCCTGCTTACATAAGCCATCAAACAGAGTCCGCTTTCACGATGCCTTTCACCAGGATGGCGATGAGCGTCATTGCGCGTCTGTCCCAACCAGCAATCTCACGATCATGAACAAAGCAAGTCATTTCCCTGACGCTTAGCTGTCTGGCCTCACATCTTCTCGTTCCGTGAGCGGGGCAATCATAGTTTCTTGATGGATGCATTCGCCGAGACCACCGACGTCGGGGACAGCGAAGCTGATGTTCCCAGCAGGGACAAGCGTCGTGAGGCAACAGTATATGATGCTGTCGCAGGTACGTGTCTTCATACAGCTAAGGCCGCCCGGACAGCCCGCACCCTCTGACCGCCCCTGGCAGGAAGAGTTACCAGCACCCATGCCTTGGAGGACAGCCAAAGGCAGCCCTCCAGACGCCCGGCGAAACGCGCGCGACATCAGGCTCAGAGGCAGTCTCGCTTGAGAAGCGGACAGACTTCTCGGAACGCCGTCCTCGCCCCCGAAGAAGTCCTGTTCCGTCGCGCTAACGCGCCAACTCGTTATGCTGAACGGGACATTTACTTCGCAAACGAGCGCTTGCCTGATGGGGGCCGCGACATTCTGCCCGACAGCGATATGCTGAAGGCGTTGCATGTCTACGCGAGCCACTTCTACACTGAAAAGTACGGTGTGAGCAGAGACGCCCACACCAGCCAGCCAACGCACAAGCCTAGCAGCGGGGACGAGGACGATCTTGCGGACAATAAGTCCCGCACTCCTCGCCACAGGAAGGCACCCCTCGACGAATGCAGCATGGACGAAACAGCCATGTTGGCATTTGGAATCATTCTCGAAGAAGCAAGTCGGGAGTTGCTTGGGTCCAGTGGGGATCTGGTATTTACCGAAGGCATGGAGCTGTCAGAAGCACTGGATTGATGACAAGACATCGCCAATTACAGGGACAGATTTACCAGAGGTTGTGAGGCAGAGGGCGAAATAAGCCTCAACAGAGCTCGGCAAAGATCCCGCCAAACGGTTCGTCTGTGTCGTCAACTCTGTCGTTTGTCCCAACCTCCACCGGCAACCGCTCAGCTGGGGTGGCTTAAGCAAGCCCATACATGACTCAGGTCTATCAATGTGGCTTGGGGTTGGGCCTAAGGAGAAGCTGTCAGAGACCACCTGCATGGCAACCACATGTGACTCGGTGTGGCACTCTACGAACATCTCCACAGCTGTCTTGCTCGGTTGCTTTAGCCGAAGTGGCGCAGTCATTGAAAAGATGCGCTCACTTTCGGAGCACAAGATCTTGATTGTGGTCGCACTAAGAGCAACATTGGTGTCCACATGCAACGGACGAGCTCGGACGTGCGGAAGATTCCGCCTCCGTCCCTTCGCAAGACGAGGCTCGGAAAGGCAAGGATTTTGATCATCAACAAACGCAAAAACTCGAGACACCAGAAACGGTCTTGTCCACCACATCCAGCTACGATTTGAGTGATTGCAGAATTGGCATAGGAGGCCAATTTGTGACTGGCCAAACATCAAGCTTGGCGTACGGATGGTATGGAGTCACAGCTTCCCTTGGAAAGGGCCAGGTGGAACTAATTGACAATGCTGGACTGCAACGGACAACACTCGGAGCTTCTCAAGAGGGGCTTTGGCTTTTGATATAGATGCTCACGATGAACACGAGACGACTTTTTCCATGTGCCAAACAACCTGCATAGCGGACAGGGGTGTTGTTATTGCTTTTTATCGTCCTCTGTGCTACAGTCTTTGTTGCTTCCCATTTTTGCTTTTCCAACGCTTAAAATCCGGAGAAGGTTGAGACAAGCAGGGATGATCCAGGTAGGTCTCTGTCAGATTCTTTCCCAGCAACTGCATGCGCTGAAAATTTCTTCATTCATTTTTGCTTTTTCTTTCCCACACTTTGGTGTCGTCCATCAGCTCTGACAGGGAGGTTTCGGAGCTGGGGGAGTGGAGATCGGCACCAACCCCTGCCTGCTGACTGTTGATATACGGTACCAGACGCACATTGCTTTTCTCGACACTCGGTGTCATCAATCCTTTCATCTCTCCGAAGCGACCTCCGCGACTAAAGTCCTCTCAGATGGCATTTTTTCCCTGAATCTCGAGTACAGGATCTTTTCGGGGCTGATCGATCTTCCCGCGAGATCGCACCTGATACGTTGCAGGGGCAGGGACTGCACCGTTCGTTCGTCCACCTGCCTCCCCTCGCTTCGCCAATCTCACCTGTCATGCGCGCATGGATGAGAATTGCATAAGGCTGCCCTTATCATTAGGGCACGAGCACGGCTGCCTGACTCAAGGGATGTTTTTGATCATGCAGCCACACATGCGATAGTCTCGTCAGGTATTGGACAAAGTGGAGGGCAGGCGGCGAGGTATTCAACACGGGGCCATGCCCGTGTAGGAAGGTTCTGGCCGTTGAGGAAACGGATACTGCGGCCAGAATTCGCATCTGTGGCGGCTTCCACCTCGAGCATGTATTGCCACGCCCGGTGCAGTGAAGAAAAAGTGCAAGCTGGGATTGGGTGACTTATCTGAGTTTGTGGTTGTGAATGTACATAATGTGGTCATGGTGACGATATCCGTCCGAGGCGGCAGGCTTACAGAGGAAGCATGGTTTATCTACATCACATCACAAGAGCCAAACCATGCCAGGTCGCACGACGCCTTCGACCCCCCTTTTTTCTCCGGCGACCAGCAAGCCACTTCGATGCGCTAAAGACATGAGATATCTCCGATATCAAATGTCTCCGTGTCTTACCGGGTTTCTTCCTCGGCCCTGAGACAAGTCTATTCAGCTTCAATCACAGTGATACACCCAGGTCGCAGCCAGCGCCTGGGAACTTTTGTAACACCGAGCTGCTTGGGAAACTCCGACGATAAACCATCATGCTTGTTGCACTACGCGTTTCCTCCTCACCGTGGCAGGCCTTCCGCTGGTCTTGGCGTGAGGCTGACTCTCCCATCTCACTGCAGCTTTTCTTCGACCACCCCTCCTGTTCCAGCAGATGGCGGGGGGGAGCACCAGATTTGAAGAAGCGGAAAACAAAGTCCGACGGTTCACCGGGCCTCAGATGGGACGCTCGGAGGGAGCCATTAAGATCTCGTAGCATTTTAAGGTCCCGTGATATTGCATGAGCTGCAAGTGTTCGGTGCCAAGCTGCCGTCTTAACGCAAAGTGGCTGACCTCCCAAGCATTCACCGGACTATCACAACTTTGACGCAGCCTTGCTTGCATTATACGGAACTTCCCAGCATTTCGTTTGGATCAGCCTTGCTCCATGAGGCTCATGTCGGTTGCTTTTCGGATGAGTGCAGTGCCGAGTTCGCTGTAGTGTATTGAAGATGGGGATGACAACCAAAAAGGATCTCTGTCGTCGAAGTTGCCAAGCAGAAGTCATTTACGGGGAACTCAGATCACAGATTGGCCTTGACTCTCGGCACGAGTTCCACATTGACAAAAACACCGAGTACTGCTGCAGTGTCTGGCCGCTTCGGCCATCTGTGAGTCACTATATAAACTTGCTTGTGATTTGGCACAGTAATACGCTCCCACTAAAGATGGAAAGCATACCAGCAGATGTAAATATAGCCATATGCCTACTGAGTGTACCTAGGAAGGCGCCAATGCAAAGCAACAACAACTGCTCTTTACCTCCTGCAACCGCCATATTAGTCTCAGTCAGCCTGGGAGGTGCCGTCCTAGGACAAGCCATCGCCACAGCGACGACGGCACATGCAGTGTGCTTATGTGGCTGCTCCTCCGCTAATTCCCAGTCCGCCGCCCTAGCAGCTCACGTGCCCGCACCAGGCGGCCAGTCTGTACGAGCCTCCTCCTGGCATTTTTCCTTTGTTGACCGCCATGTGTGCATGCAAGACCAAGCGCCTTATCTGTGACCGGTTCGTATTCGCGTGGCTGGATTTTTTTTTTGAGGCCGTGCGTACAACACGGCGGTGTGATTTGCTAGTGCCGTCGGGGTCAGCTCCGGTTGGTGATCTATCTCCCTGGGAGGAGGGGTTTTGGGACAAGGCATGTCTGACAAGTGGCTGAAATAAAGGAGCCAGACATTTCTCGGAAGCGTTTTGCGCCTCCTCCCACACACGTGACAGAAACATGACAGTTTTAAGGACAAAGGAAAGTAGACCTGATGTCCCACTTATCGGGAGGAGTGCGATCTTGGGGAAACACGGCGAGGTCGTGATTTGTATGTAAGTTTCTGCTCTTGGCTGTCAGACGTGACCCCGGCTTTTGTCGTGACCCCTGCCCTCAACGGTGGACACATCTACCACGACAGTTGAGCTTCAACAACCACAAACTCAAAACAGCTCAGCCACTCTCGCCATTGTCGGTGGTGATTACGAGCTCGTGCTCTGAACCGAGAAGACTATACGACAAGGTGAGGAGGACTAACAGTAGCACAGTCTGTCGCGCAGCCGTAGGTAATCCCAAAACACCGACTCCAGCATAGAATACGGTGATATAGCTTCGCCAGGTCCCATCGTGCGCTGCGTGGCCGTCCTGTGCTTATGGCAGAACAGACTCGTGCTAAGAAACCACGGTATCATTCTCTTGGTCAGTGGTTGGGACATTCGGTGACCTGGGGAACTAGAAGGTGAAAGGTGTAATCAGTAATTTTCCTTGCCCACGCGAGAGATGCCCGCCGACCGTGGAAACGCTGTCAAACAAATGCCATGTATGATGTTTCATTGCAAGGCTTTGTTTTAAGAACCAAAAAAAAGAAGAGAAGAAAAGGAACATAATTCTGACCTCGAGGAATTCACTCCGCACAGGGATTATCAAGTCCCATTTTGTTTTTCTTTTTTCTGCACCCGAGTGATTCTTGCAGGGTTCCAAAAATCGGGTTGTTGGCACATCAGCCAGCAGCATTTCGACGCTACAAGTTTGGCGCGAGGGGGGGATCCCCTCCAAGGCACAGATCACAGGAAACCAAACGAGACAAAAACAAAAAGAAGTCTTTCCCGAAAGATCGTCAACCACTTTTGAAACCCTACAGCTGTACACACACACACACACACGTTTCCATAGCAGGGTGTGTACCCATTGACTGACCACGGTTGCTCACGAGCTAGACACACATCCCGAGAAGGTAAAGAGTACTTCCTGGGTACCTACCTCTCTGCCCAACCATTTTCCCACTCGAGATCACGCCACCCCTCTCTTCGAAGAGGAAATGGGCCCCCCCTTGGCTTTTCTGCAAGTGATCTTCGACTGGTAACCGTTTTGCCGACCCAGCTGGGCGGAAACTCAACAGGAGGTTTCGAGGGCAACGGCCGGTGTGCGGGGGGGCGTGCACCCCCATGCATCATTCATCGTGGTAGTCATTGTTCCGGCCCGTCGTGGTTGGCACGTTCTCGCGATGCTCCGAAACTCTGTTTTTCGTCGTCTTCTGGCTCGGCTCTGGCCTTCCTGATTCGGCAATATGATGCAGGACTTTTGAGATTGCAAGGCTGTGGAAAAAGCCGTCGAGATCAAAAACGGTTCAAACGCCCAGCCAGAAACGATACGTCCTGCACGAGCCCCATGGACGGCATCCAAAGGAAAGGAAGTCTTTCCGTAACGCGGCCCCGCCTCCTCTTTTCCCTTGCCGGGGTGGCCGAGGTGCTTCGCCTCAGCCCAGGCGGGTGATTTGACTCGTGTGGTCCACCAAAGCGGCAAAAAAGGCAGCAAGTTAGTTAACCGTACCCTTGGAAATTGATCGGGCACAGCAATGTCCCACACAGGCACGGCCACCGCTCATCACTGATGTAGGCACGTTCCTTCACCGGACCCGACAGCTCGGAACCCAATCTCGAACGAGCCCAGGACAAAGGCACGGCCCACTAGAGCCTGGTCTAGAGATCGCGGCGAGTCGGTCTTAGTTAGCCGCTACCGGCCTGTCCGACGACGTTGCTCCGTGGATGGCAAGATCGCTTTGGTCACGAGTCCACCCGCCCTCAAACCGTCTGTGAGAGCACAGATCATGCATGGGGACGTTGCCAAGTTCTGGCGGCGGAGGGGGAAACCTCGAACACAAAACCGTGCCCTGCTCGCGGCTCGCCTTGCGTCGTTGAAGGGGCGTACGAATAGATACTTGAGGAGTCCTACCTTACCTGCCGTTGCTCGCCTCTCCACTAGTTCATCAATCCTCCTACCACCATCTCTGGCAGGGGGAGCCTCCTTCTCTGCCTTCCTAATATAAGTGGTATCATGGTCCAAATCCATGTTTGGAGGATTGCCGACACGGCTGCTATCAAGATGAGCAGCTAGAGTTCCATTCAGGGACGGACCCCTTCGTGTCGTTTATGGCAAGAGGGTCGCTAGCTGCCCAAGCGGGGTTGCATTCCTGCTTTGCGACTCAGCTGGACCTGGCTTGCAGCGGCTATTTGAGGAGAAGGACAGAGGCCAGACAATTTTAGGTTACGGGCCTTCCCTCGGGGCCGCCCACTTGTTTCCAGAAAAAGACTTGGTCGAACAATGAGCAAGAAAGTGAGAGCTCACACAAAGGTGCATTGATGGTCGTCGCAATTTGGTCTAAGACCCTGCAGATCGGCCCTGGCGCAAGCGCGTGGTGGAGGAGCGCTGCTCCCCATCCACCCCGGCTCAGCCACGCCAGCCCCAGAGGAGAGCACAATGGTGCTTGTCAGAAACAGAGTTTGGGGCCTTTCCTCGCATGACTTGCCCACAAAGGTGCTATCTAGCCGGCATTTCGTTGATTTTAGTGGGACGTTGATGCCCAACGCCGTTGATCCAGAGCGTTGAAACAAGATGCACAAATCTCGAAGCGCGATTTTCTAGGCCGCCGCAGCAGGGGCATCTTTTAAGATCTGGGCTCAACGCGAGCAGGGACTCCGATGGATGGACCCCGAACGTAATACTTGAGCCTTGAGAAAGTAGGGAGTTCGGGGCCGTTCAAGACGGCGGCTGCTAGTCGCACACTCCTCCATTGCGACGGGGACTGGTGAACGAGACACATGAACATGATAGGGCGATGCTGGCCGATAGTGCCGAGACGCGACGGTTGTCGATTATGAACGCGGGCCTTGTTGAGATTGGCCCTTGGAGCAATAGAGTTCAGCTTTTAAAATGTCAGGAGATCAATTCAAAACAGCTCCGTGCCGCTCGGCGCATCGCCGAACCGACAGCGCCGAGCCGCGCCCTGGGGGAGCCGAGTTACCACTGCCAGCTGCAGAGTGTCCAAGATATTCAATCGGCCACTTTGGCAAGGCGGTGCGTGCCTCTTGGTCGTTCCAAGGAAACCCAATCGATCGACAGGCCACGCAAGCAAACATCACACCCAATGACGGCGTAGTTCCATTGTGCAGAAGACGAGTTAGGGCGGATGGGATATCCTTCGAGGGGCAAACAAGCCGCCGATTGTTCGTTCGTCTTGATGATTGTTGCCGGATGTGGGAGGTGCTTGTCGTTGTCACTTGTCGTCGTCGAATTCGCGTCTGGCGTACTCTGTACTGAGTGAGCTATGCGACCACGCTTCAGGCCCTAACGTAACATGAGCGTGCGGGAGACCTTGACTCGAGTTGTGGCAAGGGCCCTGGGCGGTCCTGGTGGGCTGCAGGGGTTGTCATGGAGAGAAACCTGGAGAGGAGCACATCAGGTGATGCGAGCCTGCTGCGCGTGAAAACCGGGGCCGTCTGCAAGACGGGCGAGCGTCCACACGGGCTCAATCGCTAATGTCGTGTGGCGCCCATCTGCTGCCGTTCTGGCTCGATGCTTCCTGCTTGGGTGGCACAGCGAAAGCATGGGGACCAAGAATGGACTCTGCACGCTGCGTAGAGAGATGCTGTAGGCACGATGCACGAGTGAGGTATCGCAACCTTGGCGGTCGAGAAGAGACTGGGGCTTACTCCGCGCCCCTCGACCACTCCAGGTTGGTTGGCGACATGGCCGGAGCCAATCCATCAGCATGCAACTCTAGCCCATGCCCTGCAGTCAAGTACCGGCATATCACTGCTGCAAGGCTTGCTTCAAGCAGATGCCCGTAGCCAGCCGTAGGTTCAGCCAGTGGAGGCACAAGGAAGCAATGGCCGCAATCCCCAACCAATGGCGTTCCTCATCAAGTTTGATACCTCCAGGATGCGCACCTCCGCGGCTGAGGGGACAATCAGCACGCCACCCAGAACGAACAAACTGAATGAATGTACCGTCATGCCCGGGCCGCACCTAATGATAGCACTGTTGTGCTGCGGGGGGCGATGACTGCATCTCACTGACGGAACAACGCCTGAATTGAAGGCCTCAAGGCTCCTTGCCTTCTGACTCGCACCCACGTCTCGAAGACGACCAGAGAAGGTTTGGTAGCCTGCCAAAATTGGGGCAGTTCGAAACCCCGGCCGACGACGCAACCTGGTGAATGGATTCGCTTGACCCTGCCAGCCGCTGTAACTCAGCCACTACGTAACCAGTGGGAGGCTGGGAGGCTGGCTGGTACCAGCACACCGGAAAGTTTGCGCCTCCGCGATACCGGACGAGCTAAGTGCCTGGGCAAGGGGACCCTTGCTCGCGAGAAAAGTTGGGCTTGAGTGTGCTGGGCCCTCAGCAAAGCAAATTGATCAAATGACCGCCCTTGCGGCTGGACCTTGGAATTGAGAGCATGTAGCTTCAGCAGTGCGCAACTGCGATTTAGAGCCTGTCCTAGCCGGCCAGTTGATGACGCGCACATCGGCGCACCTTTGTTGACTGGATCGGAGACGAAGAACACGGGACCAAGCGGCTGGCTACAATTGGTGAAATGCTCTCCAGCTGTGGCAGTTGATGCAGCCGACCTTGGACTGGTGGCATTGCCGAGATACAGTCCCGATTCTGTTCCTGAACAGCACGGCTACTTTCTGGCGTGTTTAGTGAAGCCCGTACGATTTTCTCCAATAGGTCACATTGTGCCGAAGCATGGTGTGATGTTGTCGAGTCGGAGCCGACAAAGCGATCCTGGTCGGCGAGGCTGCTCCTTCGGCAGTATCAGCCGAGAGGCCAACAGGCGCGCTATGCGACCCATTAGATGGACAGACACTTTCAATAGGCACGTCGTGGCTTGTGTTGGGAAGACAGTGTACTGCGTACGCTCTCGGCTGGCTGGCGGGCGCAGAATGGCCCGGCAATTGCGAAGAGGTGCTTCTTGTGAGACAGACTGGGCGCCACCGATCAGTGTGGCACGTTTTGCCATTGTGACACTTGACCCGTGATCTGGCTGCCTGCTTGGACTGCACATTCCAGGGTGGTGCGCATCGGCCTGCTGAATCGGTGCAGACCAACGAACGCCCAATGCCTGTCAATTGGGACCAGTCATATTCCGACGCGAGAGGAGGATCTGACGTGCGAATGCCAGCAGAGAGTTAGGCAAGGGGGTTTCCGAGCGAATGGGATTCACCCGACAGCCACTGCAAAGACTGTACTTGCTTGCGGATGATGTTTCGGCTAGCTGGGTCCTGAAGCATGGAGATGGAAGCTCCCGGGAAGTGTCAACTCAGCGTCACAACAAAGTGCTTACTCCTCGCCCAAGCTGTTTGCGTGGTGGAGAACTCAGAAGGTAGAGAGCACCCGGCTCTCGGTGTCTGTGCACCGAGAGCTGTCAGTATTACGCTCGAGAGAATGACAGGGAGTGATTGGGCCTGACAAGAGAGTGTGACGTGGACTGGACAAGGCGGCGAGCACGGTTGCAAAAGTCTTGGCCAAGGCGAAGCTGGCCTCCGGCCATGGCCGTTGCAAATCCGAACGGGCTGGACGATCCGTTCTTTCGTAGCTTCGCTGCATGTCCGCCTCGGTCCCTGTAAGCCTGTCGCCACCCGCACCCATCTGAGCACATCTGGGTGACACAACGGTGTTTGAATGGTTGACTAGGTAATGACCAGTCATGCCGTGTTGTAGCCTTGGGATCTTCGCCACATACCAAGTCCTCACCAGAACTCATGGCCTTTTTGCATCGGGGTGTAGCCATGGGGCGCGCAGAAGCAGCGACAAGCCAAGACAGAGCAGCAAACGGTGCTGCATAATCGTGCTGCCAGGCTGTTATCTCGAGGCCTGTCGGCCAAGATGCACGGCCGTGTCTTGAGTGCTGTGACCAGCTGTGGGAAGCAATAGCGGAACTACTGAGTCCGCCTCATCCCCAACTTTTGCTCTGTCCTTAGCAAGGCCTTTCCGCCGGGCACACTGACCTGAGCGAACCCGCGACAATTCGACACGGCGGCAATGGCGATGCTCTCCAAATCTGAGCAGGAGCAAACATCAGGGATTGCAGGATCGAGTCTGCGAAGCGGAGTTGGCCATCGTCTGAACTTCCGTACAGGCTGGCATGCATTGACTTTATAGTTACCAACTCCGTCGGAACTCTTCCAAGGTCAACAGATTATTGTACTGCAGGTGGGGCTTTCTTGCCTTGGCTGTGATTGATGACGGCGCAGCGAGACGTGCATGCAGTGAGCCGCATACCGGCGCTCGCGCTGGGTTGGGTGTCCCGGTACGGGAAGCAGCGGTGCAGGCAGCGTATCGGTGAAGAAGCCAGCTCACATGACAACGCGAGCGGTCTCGTCCGAGCCTCCAGGCTGGTCGACATCCGCGCGTTGCTCTGGCCATGATGCGAGAGACTGTGTGGAGAAGGGCCACTCGGATGGTAGAGACCACCACGCATTCACTCGGCGTGTGGAGGAGCAGGTCATGGAGGTGGGGTTCATGTCGTCGCGCAGTGTCCTTTTGAGTTTACGCGAGAGCGCGCGAGCGGGATGTGACAAGGCCCGCGACGGGAACGGGCAATGATGGACCCCCTCTAGCTCCCGTGACGAGGTTGAACCCTAATGCGACAGCAAAAGACATCGTTTTGTCTCCCGTTGATCCGGTGATTCTGTCCAAATGTTGCCTGGGCGATGCACGAAATGACGCCCAGCACGAGAGATCCACACGACGTCCTGTCTCCTCGTACTCGACGCGCGCTGCCTGGCCTGGGTCCTTAGTAATGAGGTGTCATCCTCCACATTGGCTGGTGGTGCGTGATCGCTCATGTGGGGCCGGAAACAGCCGCAAGCTCGGCAAGCTGCTCCAGGAGGTCAACTGACTTTCATATGCAGCCGTCGCAGACAAGGCTACTCCAGTTGTCTCCATGACCAGATCTCTCCCATCACTGCCAGATAAGCACACAGCTTTTCTGCGGTGGTTTCGTGGACGAGTGCGCGGCCAGAAAATAGGATTCGCACGCCTTTGCAAGCGCCGCTGCTGGTCACCAACTGCTATGCTTGTACTGGGAACGACAACGCAGGTATTTGGTGCCCACTCTACTATTCTGACGATGGTTGCGAGCGAACCGCAATGTGAACTGGCCGGATAGCTTCATGTTTGCGGAGCACGTGATCGATCGGCAGCGTGTGTTGCGACAGCATCTCTGGTACACTTCCCACAACTATTGGTCGCATCGTCATAGAGGGGTTGGGTATCACGATGTAGTATCAAGTGCACTGACCAGCGGCTGATCACGAATCTGAAGAATGAGGATCGACTCGCAAGGCAGTCGCAGGCCTTGTCCGAGTTGTTCTCGTGGCGGTCGACGACTGAGACGACTGAGACGCCTGACACACCACGACCACGTTCCCGGGACCGTTCATTGAGGGTTGTGATTGTGGGTATATCGTTCCACCCGATATAGCCGTGCCGCGACGTGACGACGACAGTAGACGGGCCAGGATCGAGACTGCAGAGTTTGGCGTGGCATCTCAGGCGTCCAGAGAACCTTAGGTGGCTCAACCGCCGCCTTTGACCGAACATTAGGGCTATTTTGGTGCTGCGCCGAATGGCAGGTAGTCCCGTCTGTATTGGCAATGATTGCGAAGCCGTGCAGAGTTGCTTCCTGGGGCGGGCCATGATATTTTGCACCTACAGCTGAGCGCCAAGGCACGCATGTGTCTGCCGGTCTGCGACATGGGGGGGCCATGAGAGAAGAGCTGAACGGCGCGACAGAGATCTCTGACGAAGGGGACCAGAATGGCAGCGGCCCTTCTGTCTCACCGCCCAGCAGTGGCTCCGCCAAGCCGAAGCGCTAAAATGGCCCGTCGTCCCTTTTGGTGTGCAGCTTGACTCAGTGGGGTTGTTAGTGGGAGAGGCTTGCCCTGATGTCCCCTCTGTCTCGCATCTGACGACCGGGTTGTGGCGGCAATTGCTGTCGCTTGGCATGGCTTGACTCTTGCTGCGAGTTTGCGCGACGGCTCTGCGCTGCCGCCGAGAGGGTTGGCCTCCTGTGGTTGACAGCCCTTGGCCTTGGACGGTCTGAACTCAGTGGGAGGACGAAGGACGAGCAAGGTTTGCCCATGCGTGGACGTGGCCCCAGGGTGGTCCATGACAATGGCAGACTAGATCGAGCTTGGGTGGAGAAGCGGGAGGCGTGGAAGCAGGGAACAATGCAGTCGAGAACTGCCTTCCGGGTTGGCGGCTCTCGCGCTGTGCATTGTGACATGTGGTGGAGCCGCAACCACGACCGACCGCCAGAGCTTGTGCCGGGTGCTGCCCACGCCACGATCTCTGCCTGGCTTGCAGCGGCAGATGGTCACGACCAAGTGGCACGACGACAATCGGATCTGATTGCTCGAGGTGTTGAAGGCCATGCAAGGCGCACGATGAAGCCACCCAGTACCCATCCTGCAGCCACGATGCTTGACTGCCCTGAGAATGATGAAACAAAAGACTCGCCAAGTAGGTACCGTGTAATTTGCAGTCCAGCCGCCCCTCCGCCCGCGCAAGTGGTAAATGGCGCCAGTGGCTGGCGCGGTGGTGCCCGCCGTGCCCGTCTTTTCCCTTCCTGGCGGGCCACGAGACACCACAGGGTCCTGCAAGGCGCGCTGCGCGCACCGGCCGGTCTGGAGAAGAAGAGACAATAGAAGAGGAAGAAGAAAAGGAACAAGGCCGCGCGAGTGGCCCTTGCACGCACGTACCGGTGGTACGGGCCCGCCCAGCACGCTGCAAAGAGGCCCCTGCTGCGGCGAGGCTCCACCGGCGGCGCCCACGAGGGCCCATGAGGCCCCGCCCCAGGGGCTGATTGGTGCCTGCAATGAAAAGAAATCACCACAACGGGCGGAGGGGGCGCCGCCCTGCTCGGCCGCCTGCCCATGTCTGGACATCGTCATCCGCCCTGCACGAGCGCGCGCGCGCGGGCTCTGCTCTGCTCTGCTCTGCTCCTCCTCGCTCTCTCTCACTGTGCCTCTGGTCGTTTTTCTCTTGTCTCTCACTTGCCGTCGGCCCAGCCTGCCGGTCCGCTCAGCGCCACTGGACGGTGCGCCTGCCACGGCTCTGAGAGTGCGGAACGTGCCAGAGCCCGCTAGCAAGCAGCTTCGCAACCATTCCCAACCCCATTCCCACATCCCCTGGGCTAACTAAGAGCTCTAGCGCTCCCGAGCGTCCCCTTTTTTCGCCTATCCGGCCTCTCTCGTCAGACCAGATTCGCTTGCCGCGTGCCGCCAGGGCCGCTTGATGCTCCTCTGCCATTTCCACATTGCCTGCCCGCAACCGTCTGGCTGCCGGCTGCTCCCACACCGTCCGTTGTTGCTGTTTCTTCCATCATCGAGCCCCTCTCCCCGTCGGCCAATCTTTGGGAAGCACAGACGCCTGCGACACCCGGCGTCGTCGTTCGCCCTCACCCACCTGTCACTCCAGCCCACCACCGTCTCTGCCCAACTGCAGATCGCAGGCCGGCTCGGGCACGGGCTCCATCCAGACTCCCAGTGCCAAGTACCCAGGTACCAGCCTAGGTCGGTATCCAGCTTTCCGGGAATCTCGCGCGCCCAGACCACCGACGTAGTCGAAACGGCACCAGTCGACGCCCGCCAGAGCATCCCCATCTTGCTCCTCTCGCCTTCGGTCTTCTGTCGAAGCCCCAGCAGGCAGGACGCGCCGTATGTCATCGCGCGCCAATTAGAGCTCAGGATCTGCCTCCCCATTCTTTCTCGGCCACCCCCCCCCGGCTGGACCTCGCACAGGCGTCTGGTCTTGTGTACCTCTGGCCTACCTGCCTTGCTTCCTCCTACCTACACCTCCCAGACAGACCCTGCCTGAGCTCCGAAACGGCGAGCTTCTCGACCGGGAACGTCCACCGATAATCGTTCTGGTTTCCTCCATGGCCAGGTCGCCCCGTTAGAGCCCAGCCGCCACTGCTCCCTGATCTGTGCTGTGCTCGAATGTCAAGCCGCATGACTTGCACTGCTACACATATATCACTGCGAGCATGGAACCCGCCGCGCCCGAGTCCAAACGCCCTCGCCTGACGAGCACCTCGTCGTCGTCATGGTCGACGCTGCCGCAGCCAAACCCTCCGCCTCATCACCCTTCTCATGCCTCACATCCTCCCCCATACCACGCGCCGCACCCCTTCACGCGTCCGGCAGAGCCCCCGGCGCCTCTAGCTCACCACGACGAACGTCGCCATCATGAGCCCGAAGCCTACCCGCCAATGCAGGATCACCAGCGGCACCATCCTCCGCCTTCGCCAGCGCAGCAGGCGCACTACCACTATCCCATGCGCGAGCCCATGGTGAAGCGAGATCCAAACGAAGAAGCTCCGCTGCCCCAGCTGCGACGTCCCAACTCGACGGGCCACCCCATCGACAGCCACCCTCCGACACCTCATGCGCCTCATCATCGACCTGTGCAGCCGCCGCCCGAACCACCTCGCCAGATGAGTTATGACAACGGCCAGTCCATGGCGCAATCGCCAACGACCTTCAGACCTCCCCCAGCTCCATATTCGGTCCCCCAGACACCAGTGCCTCATCACAACCCGTACGATGGGGGTCCATACGGCCATGGGGGTCACCCAAGCCATGCACCGCCGCCGATGACATACCACACGCCACTCGAGATTGCCCAAGCCGCAAGTACCAAACGGAAGGCGACGAGAGCATCTCAGGTATGGAGCCTTCCTACGCGCCGTGCAGCTAAGAACAATACTGACCTCGTTTTCATAGGCTTGTGACTCGTGTCGTCAGCTCAAGGCCAAGTGTGATGAGTCGAAACCTTGCAAGACTTGCAGGGAACGTAACATCCCATGCGTGTTCCGCGATCCACAACCCAAGCAGTAAGTTATGCAGAGGAATAAGGCGCCCATGTGCAGAATACTAATCTATGGTGTCGCAGATCCGATAAAGCCAGTGCTGACATACTGGATGTCCTGAATGGCTTGAGAGATGATCTTATGCAGAGATTCGGCAAGATTGATAACCGCCTGGGTCGACTGGAGAGTGCCATCCACGCAGGCCACCAGAATGGCGCTGCGGACTTCAAGATGGAGTCGATTGAGGTTGAAGATTATCAAGATGATGCAGGCCCGCACGACCACCCGTCACCCGATGACCAAGGTGCCGAGGACGAATATGCGGCAAAGAATGGTGTCATGGATCCGGACACGGCAGAGAAAACGATCCGGATCTGGGAACACAATGACAGCGACGAAAAGCCGGGGCCTCCGGTCGCGGGCAAGACGAAGCTGCCCGCAAACCACACTACCTCGGCAGGACTGCTGTTGAAGTGGAAGTCGATACACCGGCTGGTCGCTCCCCATCTCGCTGCAGAACACATTGGCTATGTCGAAGAGTTCCCGATTCGACAGGAAAAGGCTCGCGGCTTGCTGCGCGTGTGTGGGGCGGGAGAAGGCTCTGGGGGGGAACATGCCCCAGCAGATCACACGGACCCACGAGCAGACAACATCATGACCGATTTCCAGGATGATAGCTCGGAGGCACAGTCGCCAGCACCCAACTCAGAAGTCTGGGGCCAGACTGGAGGGCTTTCCCCGGCCCCAGGCATGACGTTCAGAGGCGGCGTCATTGGCACGGACGGGAACCCGGACTTTTCGCATTCGACTGTGTGGAAATATGTCAACAGCTTCAAGGAGAACATCCTGAACATGCACCCAGTCATGATCCTGGAGGAGCTGGATGCGCTGGTTGTGCTTTTTCTCAAGGAGATCCCCCAGCATTCGCAGCAGTCAAGCGTGCGATCCAGCAGCAACCCCAAATTCGTAAGCCAGCCAACATCTGCCGCAGCATCACTGCCCGAGGCTGTCGGTGCCAAGAGGAAACGCTCACCTGGCGGCGATGATCCGCTACCATCCTTCAACATCTTTAAACCCGGCCATCCTTTCCGTAGCATAACAAGCGCCATCGTTCTGCTTGTTTGTGCGCTTGGCAAGATTTGCCTCCACAAGCAAAGGATTCCTGACATTGTCACGGAGCAAGGTGAGGCCCAGCCACATCGGTCGCCCTCCATGCGAAATGGTGGCGCCATGTCTCCGATCCACGGCTCTCCGCCTGGGTTCGTCTCGCACTCTCAGTCTTCTGGATTGCCTTCGCCACAAGACCCATACGACCGTGGCATGCCCAGTCGCCGTACTTCTATGCAGGGCACCGGGACAGGGGTGCGTCCGACACCCATCAAGCGAAACTACGACGTTATTCCTGGACTCGAGTACTTCGCACTAGCGACGGACATTCTGGGCAGCCATCTAGGCGGGATCAGTCTCAAGCATGTTTATGCTTGGGTCCTTGCTGGTCTGTATCATGGGCAACTCGCGAGGGCTGTGGAAAGCTGGGCATACATAAAACAGGGCTGCACTGTTCTGCAGGAGGTCATGAGGACGTAAGTCAAAACTACCATAGCTGGCACTGAGCAGCGCTAACTTCGAGGCAGGAGCATATACCGTTTCCATGAGATTAAGATGAGCGATGGATATGTGCCTCAGGAGTCCAAGAGGGACAACCAGGTACTCCTGGCGTACTGGACCTGCTTGCAGCTAGAAAGGTAAGAGACATAGGTCCAACTCGCTCACGTTGGCCGCCTGCTGACTTCTTTGTGCTCAGTGACATCCTTGCGGAGCTGCCACTGTCCCAGAGTCCCATTCTGCAGCACGAAGACAACATGCCTTATCCGAACACGACCTTTGTGACAACCCATGGCTACAATCCCGAAGTTTGCGGTAGCTATTTCGCCCAGCTTCATCTCCGGCGTCAGCTCAATGAGATCCACAGCCACTTGTATAATCCGGACAAGATACATCGACCCTCGTCCCCGGAGACGATCGACGAAGGCATTCATGGTCTCCAAACCCAACTGAAGACATCCCGCGATATCTGGGTTCCTGCAGCTTTCAGATGGAATGATAATGAGCCGCCTGCTAGCGATATCCTCTCTGCTCGCCTGCGTGCAAAGTACTGGGGATCGCAGGTCATTATCTACCGCCCCTTCGTACGACATCTGCTCGAGAAGGAGCCTATCCCATATGGCGCTTATAAGGATCCTCGACTTCCCCCCCCAGAAAGCTTCCATGACTTGGCAATCAATATTGGCGACAAGTCGGTTCCTGAGGGGGTCGACCCCCGCACGCTTAACTATGCCCGGCTCGGCATCGAGGCGTTGATTCAGAGCACCAGTGCATTCCATGGCATGCCGCGCAAGCAGCGCATTATTGTAACCAACATTTTTGGTACTGCCCACGCGTAAGTCACACTGCCGGTCTCTCTTTAACACTTGTATCGATATCTGACTCCTTGGGCTTTCCAGTCAATGGGGCAACCTCCTCACCCTAGCCGCCTGCTACACCGACCCACTTCTTACGAGATTTGTTGATTCCGAAGTGCTGTCTGGGCTGTTCAGGCGGACAATTGAGTTCTTTGACGTCATCGCGCACCGTTCAAGCCCCTTGAGGTCGGAGCGCAACATCCTATACGGGCTGGCGAGTGATCTAAGGCTGCTGCGCGAGGATCCACACACCGGCTCAAGTTTTTCCAGTATGACTAGCGGCACGACGCCGGTGGCTACCTCGGCGGCGAGCCATCCTCCTACAAGTCATCCTGGAGACATGTACCCACCCACGGGATCATCAATCTTTGCGTCCCATCACGCACACTCTTCTCGGCCGTGAGAAGTCACGGCGCCGCCCTCAGCGGTCACGTTCTCCTTGCGCTTGTCCCAAACCTATCGGCATTATGATTCTGGGGCTCTGATCCCATGAGCCCTGCATTGGAGAGGTTACGATGCTCCTTTCTCGTACTCATTTTCTTCCCACTCTTGCATAGCTCGGTGTTCTCCTTTACAACAATTTCTAAAGTCCCTTCTGAGGGCTCTGCAACGCATTACACATCACGGCGGATATACCCCCAAAAACTCAGTTGTTCAGCATATCCCAACAAACTCGAGGGGTCAACTCTTTTGATTTATTTTAAGGCGATGGATGTGGAGGATCATATTAGTGGGCCGAGCCTCTGCCTGGCGGACTGGGCTGGCTGGAAAGATTCACTCGGTGGAGACGGCAGAGGCGGAAGCTGGAAGTTTTAAGGAAGCTGTGGATATGGCCTGTACATTCTTGAAATCTTTTGTCTATTCATGGCACGGACCTGTTTGGATCTCGTGCGATTTTTTTTATTGACTAGACGGTCTGCCCGCGCATTTACTAGAATGGCATTGGGGCATTATGCGGGTTGTAGAAATATACATCAGCGGCGGCACTGGCGCCCCGCGGTACGACTCCATCGAAAGCAGATGTCTCTTGCGATGCGCGGCACTGGTGATTGTCTAACGGACAGGAAGTGGCCGTTTCCTGGGCCCCTATCGTGTCTCGGGTGCGTCGTGATATACGCCTGCTGCTGGTGCCTCCCGTTGATGTAAAAGGCAGACTGGGAAATATCCCACCCCTCAGCGGAGAGCTTTTTGCAAAGCAGAGAGAGAGAGAGAGAGAGAGAGAGGGAGGGAGAGAGGGACCCCAACGCGGAACAAAAAACTCAAACGTCAAGCGGGACAACCACCAGCGCCAACCAGCCGTCCGGATAGGCGGCCTCGCGCATGAGGTCGTCGACCGGGGCGGAGAAGGGGACGGGCGAGCCGTGCAGGATGACCTGGGCGAGGACGGGGTCGCGCGAGCTGGGGAAGAGCCGGGGCAGGAGGGTGCGCAAGGCTGTTCCTAGGGTCTGGGCCGACCCTGTTATTTCCAAAAGGAAAAAGATATGTGAGCGTGTGATGATGATGATGATGATGATGATATATAGTTGTTGAGGGTACACCGAGAGGTGTCTTGGTCATGGTGGGATGGAAACGGGCTTGTATGAAATAACCACTTGTTGGGAGGGAAGGGGGGGGGGGGCGCGGTTCTCGGAAACTTACGATCTGACGATGATGCTCGGACTGGGACGAGGCTCTGCACAACCCTAAAGGCACCGCCGCCGCCACCACCACCGACGCCGCCGCCGCCGGGAGATGATGATGTGTCGGCCGGAGACTGCGGGATGTAGACGCGCAGTGGGATGTGCTTGAGTCCGCGGGATGTGTTGAGGAGGCGCGTGTTTATGGCGCTGAAGCTTGGGTAGTCGTCTGACCACCGATTGGGCAAACACGGGCCTCTTGTTAGCATCACGGTAGTGGCGGGTGGTGGTGGTGGTGGTGAAGAAGGTGAGGGACAAGAAAGGAAGCACGTACTATCTTGTACAGCATTCCACAGCGCTGTCGTGTGCTCTTTGGACAGGGACATGATACGCTGGGCGTTGCCGTTGCGGATGAAGTCTGCCTAAGACGCCCCCTCCCCGGGAGCCGTGCAAGTCAACATCATCACCACCCAGCCAACCTGTCTTTCTGCAAAACCTCTGGCACATACACCTAGACACACACTTCAAGAAGACAAAAATAAAACGCACCTCCTTGGCACTGTTGAGAAACGTGTCCCCAATATCCCAGCCCACGCCATCACTGACGGTCAAGCGCCACGGCAGGCTGGGCTGGTACAAGTCGGCCAGCAAGCCGACGGCGAGGTTGCGCAGGAGGACGTCCTCGTGGTGGAAGCTGGAGCAGGCGAGCTCGGGGCCAAAGTAGGCGCTGAGACGGGGCAGGAGCAGGGCGAGATAGCTGAAGCGCGAGACGGAGGCTACGAATGGGGCGCTCTTGTGAGGGGCGGCGGCATGCGTAATGATAAGCGGGATCTGCATATCCCACAGCGTCTGCGGGATGGACGAGGATGGTGGTGGCGGCGTCGAGGGGGGCCGCGCCGAGGACGGCGACGGGCCGGCCATGCTAGGAGTGTGGGCGGTGGTGATGTGAGTAGTGAGAGGGGTGATGTTGATCGAGCAGGCAGTCGCGGAGTTGTGCCCCGGACAGCGGGGTGGCATGTGGGGCCGTGCCCGGCTCCGAGAATCAGTGCGGGGCCACTTCCCTTGGCTTGTCCCGGCCCGATCACGGGACTTTGCACGGTCGGGCCTGCTTGTCTCCGAATGCAAATCAAGCTTCCCTTTGCATTGCATCCTTAGGCGCATAGTCGTAAGAGGCAGTCCCAGTGTCTCCCTGGAGACCTTCTGAGACAGGGAGCAGCAAGTGGTCCATCTGGGATTCAACGGAGTACCTGAGTAAGCACTCAGAACTTCCCTGGGAGCATCTAGATAGATGGCGGAGCCTGCATCATCCATTGTTGTTCTCTTTGTACGTACGCTAGGCAATAATATAAGGAGCATGCTGCATCCTCAATCTGCAGCCCTGCGAGCATCGTTTCCCCGCTCGCGACGTCTTTCTTCTCCGACCTCCGTTATGGCACCGTTCGTTGCCATCTGCGCGCAGACGGTCGGGGTCTGAGCCGCTGAAGAGGTGACAGGCAATATGGCCTCAACAGAGAAAGACGGCACGACACGGCTGCGCGGCTTGCGGATGCAACCCTCGGCGTGCACCCGAGGCATTAGTTGGGCATTCTTAAGGTCGGGCCATCAACACCAAAACTCAATGTCTGACGCAAAAGTGCCTGCTAGGCGCGCACACACACACACTCTCGAGAGGCTCGATAGAGTGAGAGAGGCCTTTGCAACAATAATTGCCTCGTCACCACGGAGTACTAGGTACATACGTAGGTAGGTTGTTGGACCCCCCTCCCTCCCTGACTGCTCCCCTGCCGGGCTGGTCGCGACTGTGCGACTCATGCAACCAACCCTGCAAACCCTAATTCCAAATCCATCCCCGGCTCCCCTTGGCCTTGGGCTTGGGACGGCCTCGCAGATAGGCTTTCTTTTCCTTTCTCAGGCCGTTGCAACCTCCAGGAATTGCCAGACGCCTGACTGCCCTGCCTGCCTGCCTGGCTTTGTTGGTTGGCTCTGTTGGTTGACTTTCCCTCCCCCGCCCTCCGCAACGATATCTCATTTAGCCGCCGCCCAGCAGGACCGGGATTCCACCACCAGGCCATGGGGTCACATTGATGGGCCCCTGATTCGTGCAGCAGCGTGCCATCACAAGAGGTGGGACCCCCCGGGTGACAATTGCTGTCTGTGGTGTTGCCCGATTGTGTTGCACAGGTAGGCACCGGGGCCCTGCCCGCTTCCGCCGGCACTCGCGGAGGATTGAACCCCTCTCCTCTCTGCGTGGTAGCAGCCGTGCAACGCCAGCCTGGGGATGGGATTTTGGGCCAGGGATGGGAGGGGCGTTTCCTTTCCCCTCCTCCCCCTGCTTGCTTGATAGCTTGCCTGATCTGGCCGCGTTTCGTGCACTGCATTGGGGTCTCTGGCAGGGCAGGCAGGCAGGCCCGCGAGTCAGTCGTTGCGGGCAGACCCCCTGGGCCCAGAGTTCGTGTTCGTCCCAGAGCAAGAAAATTGGCGTTGCACCGGATGCAAAACTCCGTGTCTGAGGAGAGGAGATGTTGTAAATCTGCAGGATCGGGCTCTCGGTGCTCGGGCACTTTCCGGCCAAGCAAGGGTGTTAGTCCTGCTTACCTCGATGGTCTTGGGACCCCGAGACGGGGAAGGCGGGCAGTGCTATGCGTCCGTGAACCCTGTGACGAAGAGAGTTTCTCTATCGGGAGAGGTGGTATAATGACCCTGCATAAGCCGATGGCAGCCGGCTCTGAAGCTTGTGGGAGTCTTGCCAGGCAAACGGAAGCTAATGACACTTGCAACTGAAGCTTCTTTTCGGAACACGACTTACGGACATTGTCCGGTTTGGGGGTCTGATTGAGCTCAAATTCATCGCTTCTAGTCATCTCATGAGATAGCTACGTCCCAGCTCAACTGCTTGCCCATGAGCACCCATCGTAGCCGCCCCTGACGGCTAACTGAGATCACTAGTCAAATGCGACCATGTTTCGCACCTAGATGCATCACTGTCGTCGTCGTAGAAGCCAAAGCCTCGTAACCTGCATCAAGCAAATTTCGCCAGCTCTCATCTGTAAAAGCATCGTCAGACGGACAATGCAACCAAATGCCCATTGTTCTCCCTCCTACCCCTCAGTCAAGTATGATGGCGTCCTCGATGCTTGAACCACTGGCATCAGGCTTTCCCACGCCCTTGTTGAATGCTTCGACCGCAGCAAGATCAGCATGATCATTCTCAGCGGTCTCCTGCTTGATTTGAGCCTCGTCCTTAGCCTCGGCCTCGTGCTTCGTCTCCTGGCTGACCTTCACCTTCTTTAGGGGTCGAGCGTCCTGTTTGGCCTGAGTTTCCTTCTTCACCTGAACCTCTTTCTTGACCGAGTGAGGACGCTTTTTGCAGTCAGGTCTGCGTGCTGTTGCCTGTCCACGCGTACCCATTTTGCCATCATCTTCGTCATCGGAAGTCTCCGAGTCAGACATGCTGTCGAAATCATCTTCTTCTTCAGAGTCATCCGACTTGACACTCTCTTCATCTTCATCGTTGATGAAGCTGGCCATGCTAGCATCATCCTTTCCGTTGCTTTCTCCTTGGTCCGAGTCGTCGTCGGAGCCATGCAGTTCTTCGCTACCGATCTCCTGTACGTCCAGTTCGTCGTCGCCGTCGGGTTCAAGATGCATGATCGCGTCAAGTTCATTGGCGAGTCGCTCCAGATCTTCCTGATCAACATGAGGAAAATGGATCTGCGGCAGAGGCAGCATTGCTAGTTGAGTCGTCCCTAGCTGGATCCGAATTTGAAGCTCGAGGGCGCGAATCAGTATATGTCTTTCAGACAAGCTGGATTCGCGATGCTTGATATCGTCTTTCCTCCTCCCGTCGACTGAACTGTGGACAAGAAGCCGGCGTAGAGAGTTCTTATCGTGGTCAAAATAAAGCTTTTCAGTTCGTTTAAGGCGTGTATACTCATCGTAGTATTCCCGCCGTGTATGGGGCTCAAGGAAGACCAGGTCCTGCTGCTTGACGCTGTCGCCCCAGAAAGGCCATCCGTAATCTCTTTCCGGCTGGGCACCTTGGAGTTCCTCGTCTTGGTCGGGTGATTGACGTTGAAGGTAGATATCGGAGAGAAGCTGCTTAGTTTTCATAAGCTGCTTAGCCCCCTGCGTATCCCATGCCGAGGATGACTCTTCTTGCATCAGGTTCAACAGCTGGACCAGGTCTTTGTTTGTGCTCTGCTGGGCACGACTGCTAAGTTCCGGGAGTAATTTGTCGACCTGTCGGCTCTCTTGGAAAGCATGGAAGCTATTTTTCACCTGAATGCGACAGACCTCGACGTCTTCCTTCTGCCCGAACTAGCCGACAGTTAGTAAGTAATCTCACTAGCCGACCGCACTACAAGAAACTCACCCGAATAACCCGATGTACCGCCTGTCCTTGCATACGAAGGCTATGCGCCTGGGTTGCTACGAGTACTCGCGAGCAGCTATGATGTAGATTCGTTCCAGCCGCACCGACCTTGTGAAAAAGGTGCTATTAGTCCTAAGTCGCTTCCAGAGATATGCTAGGTTCTACTTACCTTATACATCTGTATCAAAATCTGGCAGGAATCTTCAGACGTGGAGTTGAAGCTCTCCACCAAGGTGTGGCGTTGATCATGTGAAAGGTCGGAATGCATTACACGACAACGCAAGCCTAGAAACTGCAGCACGAGTTCATAGTAGAAAGCAAGCGCTGGAATGTCCTCAGTAATCAGGAGCTTTTTGATCTGCTGTCCGCTCTCGCGATTGAGAATGTTCTCCTTGATGTACGCCAGAATATGTCGGAGTACTGGGGACATGCGGACTGCCATTGCGACATGCTCAGCTGCTGTCTTTGGTCGTTTCGTGGCCTTCTTTCTGCGGCGTGAGTCTTGTAGAAACGGAGCCAGGTCCATCAATGTGACACCGTTCTGTCGCATCAGGGCAAGGTTCTCGGCCCCTGTGCTGAAGTCGTTCTTTGCAAATAACCGTTGTAAGCGGAAGACGTCAAGCGACGCGGCAGCTACTGAGAAGTTTCTGTAGACAATTTGAAGGTGAGTATCCTTGTCGTTCACCTCTTCGTGTAGAAATTCGTCGTCCTCGGCTTCGTCATACGGAATTACATCGTCCTCAAAGTCTTGACAAACTGAGCAGAGAAGCTCGTCAAGGATTATACCAACCTGCAGGTCAGCATCAGAGTAAGCAGTGTTCGATGACTGCTCCTTCGCCTTCGCTTCTTTTTTTGCGCGCTGTTCTCTGTACTTGGATACCATCGCATGGTACTTCTTACGATTATCTGTAGTCGCAAAAAGCAGGGCTAAAGCCTTGAGGTAGTCCATGAGTAGTCTATAGTGGACGCGCTGGTACTTCCGTGCGAAGCGGAGCTCAGGCTCAATGAAAGCCGTATAACTGTCGACCTTTGGAAACAAGCCCTTCAGCAGGAGCGTCTTATCTCCTGTGAAATTCAGGCGCAACCTCGACGTAGGTGCTCTTTGGAGGATGGCAAGACTTTCGAAGTAAGGCAAGTACGTTCTCAGAGTTTTTATATCAACTCTGAACCCCAGAGTATTGCCGTAATTGGTGAGCTCCCCAATCAGGCAAGGGTGGCCTGCGATCAATCGCAGAGGGTCTGATGGTTCGGTGTGTTCAAGGTTCTCGAGACTTTCCAAACCACGTTGGACTGTGCTTGGATTATTCTCCGCGTACTCTTCAGGTACGCTCGCAAGTAACGCAGCTAGGCCGTAGAGGTCAACGATGGTATTCAAAGTCGGAGTCGCGGTTATTAACAATGTGAATTTCCTTGTTAGAAGATCTACGGAGCTCCAAAGTCTGGTAGCCTTGTTCTTGACTCTATGAGCCTCATCCACGGCAACTACGGAGAATCGCTGCGCTGATGCTGCTAGGCAAGACTTGTAGACCTTCGGTGCAGCCTTCCTGGCTGGCGCCTCCGGGATGCAGGTTCGCGTTGCCCAGGTGTCTATCGGCATTATGAGGATTGTACGGGCAGCTTCCGGATTCCTCTCGTCCCATACTTCGTCTCTGCCTTGTGATAGCTCTCGGAACTCTAGAGAAGTCAGCACTGTCAACCGTGAAGCACCGGATGCTACTTCTGAGCTAAATGCCTTCGTAAGTCCATTACCGGAAGTAATTATACGGCAGAAAATGGTCTTGTCAGTGCTCTGTAGGGTCTCTGAGATCCACTGGATTGCCACTTGAGCTCCAGGTGCTAGTAGGAGCATTGGGCGATAGATACGTTTACCTTTATCGCTGATGATAACGTTGAGCTTCTGGGTTGCCAGAATGGAAAGGAACGCTATGGTCGTGACTGTCTTGCCTAGACCCATCGAGTCTGCAAGAATGCCGCCCCTATACTCAGGCCCTGCGAGTTTGGCGAACATCGCTTCATCTGCCTTATTGACAGGCACACCTTGTGGCCATCTTGGTGAAGTAAGAACAGGCAGCTTTCCGAAGAACCGCGATAAGAGCCACACGATACCGGTGACTTGGTTGTCAAGTAGCGCTTTTCTCTTCCCCTTGCCATCAAGGCAAGGCAGGAACGGACTTCTCCATTCACTCAGTCCTTGCCCTCGATCTCTGACTTTTGTCAGTCGTAGATATTTAATGCAAGGACGAAGGGGCGGGCCTGTGCAGTTTGGGGACGCTGCTAGCAATGTTTGCGCAAATGCAAGACTTTGGTCAGTTCCCCTTTTGCGAGTGGGTGCATCGTTTTCACGATCCTGCTGTACGCACGGGTTTTAGCAAAAATATGCTATCACATCGAACCTGGTAGCACTTACCGTGTCAGCCTGTGCGTCGTCCTTCATGGCCCCCAGCTGCACATCACTGAAGATCTCGACTTCTGTCTTCGTGGCGCCCGCATGCGTGCCGCCTTCAAAGGATTGAAAGGCGCTGGTGACTTTTACATTCTCCGTGGCACTGAGACCACTCTGTACCTGTTCGATGATCTCTTTGGCTGTGCGCTCTCTCGAGTCCTGGCATTTTCCATAATACATACAGCGGCTGTGATTGTCCCGGTAGAATTTGGCCACTATAGTCGTGATTAGTTCGAAGCTTCTTCGCGAGATCTTGCAGGAAGCTCACCTTCTTTGTCGCTCAGGAGTCTTTCGGGATTCCAGTACTCAAATGATGGCTGTCTTTGGGGAGTTTTGAGCTTTTTGGTGATCTCCTTTTTCCAAAATGCAGACTTTCCGCTATCTGCCCTGGGCTTCTTCTGTGCAGCGCGCTTCTGCCGGCGCCGCTCCGGCTTGTCTTTTGGTCGCTTGTGGCCAGATTGTGTAGGAGCCATTTCCCCATGCAGCAGCGACACTGCCGATCAAAAATTGAAAGCAAGTATGATAGGGTGAAAGCCTGTGTGTGGATTGGTTCGGAGCCTAGATGGCTAGATTGAGAACAGCTGCGTGAAGTGGTTGTTTGACGTTGTTTGCAAGAGCGGAAAGAGCGATGTTCCTTTGGCAATATGAGGGGATTGTGAAGAAAGGTGGTAGCTTGACTTGGTGAGAAGTCGAACAGGTTTTGTAGTTTGCTGGACTGGAGTGAAAGGCACGATATAGTCGCTGCCAAGCCGTTTGTAAGGTGTGGGTTGGCAAGGAATGTGTGCTCGAAAGGCTCAGGGAAAGAGCCAAGTTACGAGACGGTGAACGTGATTTGGAAGACGGGGTCTTCTTGTGGTAGGCACTACTGAGTGTAGTGCGTCGTCATGAAGTTGTTGCTCACAAAAGCTCCTTCCTTTTGTCAGTGCGCTTCGTTTGCTGTGATGGAATAAGCTGCTTATATGGCAGGTGTGCTTGGTGGGTTTGACGAACGGAAGTGCGCGGGCGGAGGAACGGATAGAGGTGTTGAGTTCACACAAAAGCATGTGCAAGTGGAGCAGGCGGTGATGGACCAGCTGTGCCCGACGGGGTGAGAGTGAAGCCCTTGATAGACGTGGGTTTTTATTCTTATGTCTGTGGAATGCCTTGTTGAGATAGCAAGGTAGATTTTAGGGTGACGAGAAAGTCGAGATGGTTGAGGTCTGCTGATGAGACTGAAGAAGTTAGGCAGGCTAGCCACAAGACACTTTTCCCGCTACCCGTAAAGCAAGTGACAGTTGCAGGTTGAGTGTTGTCAGTCGTATTGGTTGCTGCCGTTGAGAGATTGTTCCGTGAGGCAGACTGTGCCAGACATCCAAGGCAGGAGCGGATCTAGGTCTGTGGAGGAGTTTGTATACTTATATGGTAAGTAGAGTGTGATCGATAGTCAGGCACTTGACTGGATGATAGGAGGTGTTGGAGAGGGAGCTCAGCGACAGCGCGGAAGGAGTGGTCTCTTGTAGCATGGATCGCAAATTGAGGACAGTGTGCTACGCGAGGGAATCGCAAAGAACGAGTATGCGACGCCACGGCTTTTGCCAGTATCTTGAGGCACGAGCGAAATATTCACTTGTGGAGAGAACTGCGGCGGTTGGACTGAAAGTGAGGGTTGCAAGAGATGTGAGGTTGTCGTAAAGTCAGCTCAACAGCTCTTACGGCAGGAGCGTCCGTTTGCAGGGTCGTCCGCAGCTGCGAGCAAGGGCGTTTAGTGTGTATGGGAAGAGGGTGGCAGAGCACGAGGTTGTCAGGATCGAGTTTACGAGCCCTTGTAGAGGAAGTCTTCGTATTGATAGCGAAGAGTTTGTCGACTCGAATCAGGGTTGTAGAAGTTCAACTAGTGTGTAGTTGTGCGGACAGAATCACTGAATCGAGAAGGGGGATATGACCTTGAACCAATTCTCACATGCAGGAGGAAGTCCAAGTCGGAGTGGCTTTCGGAACTGTTCGGAAGCTCGCCTGCTGCGAGTAATGGTTACCCAAGAAGCAACTAAGGCTTCATGAGGCGAATGTGATGTAGATATCCGCAATGCAGCTGCGAGTTGTCCTTTTCGAAGCGGGTAACGTGTGTGCTTATTGGTCATGCTTGGGCAAGTCAAGTGCGGTCGTCACTTCGGAAGAATTCATAATTTGAAAGATAGGCGTTTTGAAGACGACTCCTGCTGCTCGCTATTATTATATACACTGTCGGCGAACAGCATGCTTGACTGCTCATCGTGACATCTACCTAGAGCTTGGCACCCTTGGGCATCTTTGCCATGGCTTGTCTCACACCGAGATCCGCCAAGACCTCTTCTGATCCACCGAGAATGGCATCGAACTTGTATGTCCTGTTGAACATCTCAATGTTCTTGCCCATGCCGGTCTGGGTTAGGCCACGGCCTCCCCAGATCTGGATCGACTCGTCCGCAATCTCGTGGGCGGCACGGGTGACGCTCATCTTGAGTAAGGCAATGGGACCGCCGAGATGCTTCGACTGCTCCGAGTAGGGCATCTGGCACATGGAGTTTGTCTGGTGACACGTTAGTTAGGCTCAACGAGTGCCTGGTAAGGTTACGTACAATCTGCTCGAGCCAGGCCTGGTGACTTTCCACAAGTGCGATCATCTTGGCCAGCCTGAAGTTAAGTAGATGGTCAGTTAACTGCACAAATCTGCGAGAGGTGGGGGCCAACCTACTTGAATCTGATGACGGGTTGGTCAATCAACCGCTTGCCAAAGACAATCCGCTGATGCGCCCACTTCAGGCACTCCTCCACGATGTATCTGCTTTGTCGAACACTTGCTGCACACATCGTCCACCTCTCTTTTTAAGCCGTTAGCCATGTATTTCACGTGTGTGGAGTTGGGAGTGGTGGAAAAGTACCGTGGTTGAAGTTGGACAGGATGACATAAATGCCCTTATTCTCCTCACCCAGGAGGTTCTCCACAGGCACCTTGACATTGTCATAGGTAATGTAGGTCGTTCCTGCCGACGGAGAGTAAGAGGTCTTAATCGGCTTGGTCTCGACTCCCTCGCCGCGCTCAATGAGGAGCACGCTCAGACCCTTGTCGGTCTTGACACCAGTCACGAAGTAGTCGCAGAATACTCCGTTTGTAATCCATTTCTTTGTGCCGTTCACAATGTAGTGCTTCCCATCAGGTGTCTTTGTCGCGGTGCAGCGAATGCCGGCGACATCTGAGCCAGCGAAGGCCTCGGTGATTGCCAAGCAAATCTTCTTCTTGCCACTGAAGCAATCGTCCATGATAGTCTTCCTGCGCTTCTCGTCCTTCATGAAGTTCATGATGCAAGGCAGACCGATGACCATGCCGGCCAGAGTGCCGTCCTGGAAGCCGCGGGCGTTGGCGCGTACACCCTCCTGCGCCATGATCAGATCGTGGAAGTAGTCAAACTCCTCGCCCTTGACGGCGCCGTCGAGCAAGTCAACGCCGTGGAGATGCTTGCCGGGGCCCAGGCGCATGTGGAGGATGCCCTTCTTGGAGAGCGTCTCAATGAAATGCTGCTCGATATACTTGCCATCAGCCTCTCTTTCCTGTGCGTAGGGCGTCATGATCTCATCGTTGAAGATGCGCGCAGCCTTTTGCAGCCGGCGGTGACTCTCGTTGTAGTAAGGGGACTTGAAGACAGGCGTGAGCCACAGAGGCTCGGCGTAGGGCACCGTGGACAGGTCGCCGGGCTGGGGGGTGATGACTGAGGGCTTCTCGCCCTTGATGGTGCCGATCTGGAGGTCGTCGTACTTTGAGAGCACCTCGTGCCTGTGGAGGTTGTAGAAGGCCGAGGTCGCGTCCTGGCCGGCGACCTGCCTCAAGACGGCCTCGCCACCAGGATGTGCGTCGAGAAAATCCTATCATGGTCAGCACGGGAAGGTCGTGGGGGGAGCGGACCAGCTCACCGTCACATCGTAGACCTTGGCATCGACGATGAACCAGACCGAGTCCTCGGTGTTGTGCTTGGCGACCTCGTCGCGGGTGTATGTCTCGGTCATGGCGGCGGAGGCTGGGTTGTAATGTGGTGTTGAGATAAAGAAGGGAGTTGAGCTGTGCAGCAGCCGCCCGGACGCGGTCGCCATCCATATTTAAAGCGGTTCCATGTTGTCTCAGGCTCCCCACAGATTCCCCAATGTCTGTGGGGCCCCAACCCCACAACCGAGGCTCGACCGGCGGCTCTGCCGAGCTGTGTAGCGTAAGCCCGCTTTTGTCGAGCTTCCATTGGCGGGACTTTATCTCCTGATCCGCTCTAGCGCACAATCACAAGCGGAACAAGGCCGCCCTTGGTCATACAGTGCTGCGAGCCCCTTTGCCCACCTAGGCCCTTGAAGTCCGGCTTTGTGCAGCACGCTTGCTTCTCTCGTGAAGACTTGATTCATGTACCTGGACCATCGCAGCTGACAACCTCTGATACCTCTGATACCTCTGATACCTCTGATACCTCTGATACCTCTGATACCTCTGATACCTCTGATACCTCTGATACCTCTGATACCTCTGATACCTCTGATACCTCTGATACCTCTGATACCTCTGATACCTCTGATACCTCTGATACCTCGACCTGAAGAACAAACATGTCACTGAAAATTGGTCTTGTTCAAAGGGAGAGGTATGCTTTAAAAGCTCAGGCTTTGATAATTACTAAGATGCTAGACGTCCAGAGGGATAATCAGAAAGTCGGTCCACTGCAATAGATACCACTCAGAGATGATCACTTCACCCTCGATACTAAATGCGTACGGCACGGCCAGGCGACCATACTTCACACCTGGTGGTCGGGAGCTCCTCCAATCTATGAAATCCTTGCTGGTCTTCTTGTGGCTACTCTGCGTCGTTTGCTGTCACTTGTCATTCATCTGAGAATTCGATGAGTATTGGGCATCGTTATTGAGCCCAGAAGTTGCAGCAGCGGACTCGTCCTCAAACTCATCCCGGACACACAGTTTCTTCGGCGGATCTGCATCGGTGGATGCACACTCAATTTCCTCATTCTTTCAATCAGTAGAGCTTCTTCAGCACACGAGGGGAATCTGGTCGTACCCCATCCGCGTACGACATGAACTCGACACATCGATTCCGTCTTCCTGTAATCAGGCTGTGAATGTGACAGCAAGGAAAGAAACACCCGGATGACACACTCAATCCGATGTCTACGAAGATTCTGAGCGGAGTGAAGGTGGTGAAATTCTTGACTCCTTCCTTTTTGGCTAATTCGCCTTCTGAAAACTCTAGATGTTACCGATGCAGTGATCTAAACGCGATTTTGGCGGCATTACAGAGCAGGACTAGGGGTCCGTGTTGACCGGGGTTTTCAAGCATGGTTGCGTCTCTCTTTTGTTTGGAAATAACCATTTGCCACGAAGGTCGGGTACCACACTCAAGTCTACCACCATTCGGGCCCGTAGCTTGTTGATATCGCTATTTCTCGACAGTCCTAATTCGAGAATACATTTCCCTTGGTTGGTGCTAAGCATTTAAGATAGCGAAGTCGAAGCTGCATCATGGGCAGCTGCCCTAACCGTGATACAGTGTGTATTCACTATGCACTGTCCAGCACTGTCGGCTGGTTGCGGGCTTGCGTCCAGTCCCAGAAACGTAATCGACGTCGTCTTTAGCACCTGAAAGTCATACCATTCCCAGATTGTGCCATGCGCCTGGAAACCATCGCGATCCAGGGACGAAAGCACTTTGATGTCCTTTCCTTCGCGAAACGTCTTACGGTAAGCGCTTGAGCTCCCCTTCCCCGCGTTATCTGCATGGGCGTATCTGGCACGGCGTTGCTGGTGCTGGCCAATGGCAAGGTCTCCTCATCTCGCGTGGTCGTGGCACATGGCCAACCATCGCCTTTTCTTCAGGCTGGGTGGATGCCATGCCCAGGGCCCACGGCGGTCCAGATGTCGAAGCACCCTTGAGACGAACAGCATCTGGCTCTCTTCACCTCACCTATCGCATACCGTTGGAATCATACTAGATCTCGGTCGGGTGCTGGAAGTACGGAACACTCCGAAGTGTCCCAAGCTAGAGCCAGCCCCTCCAGCCCAGCTGAAGCTGTTGTTGTCATTGAGGGCCAAGCCTGAATAGCTCCCCACTCCCAGGGGTATCACATGAGCCCCTATGCACCAACGTCTAAGATCCAAGTATACCGTCCCTTGCCATTTTTACTGTCGCTAGAGGTTGTTGATTGTTGAAAAAGCAGATTGTTGTATGCTGCATATCACTCTTCCAATTTTGCATTATCGGGCCTCAGCAATCATGGATGCTCACTCTGTCTCCTTCACCAGCGTAGCACAAAGAAGCACATCCCGCATCTGGCAAGATCTCAAAACCTGCCGCCCGCATATCAGTCTGACAGGCCTGCAGTCACGACCACTCATGTCTGGCAGACAGTCTCCGAGACTGTCATTATGCAAGGTATGATCTTCAACTTCGATAGGGAGTGCTGTTTGTCATGCAGCGCAACACGCACGCCATTTCGTGCCGCTTACCCCAACTTCTCGCACTGACTGACGTTGTTGCACAGCGTCGAGCTGCAATTGCGGATCGCAAACCGCACATTGGCATCATAGGTGCAGGCCTCGCCGGCCTCCGCTGTGCGGACGTCCTACTGCAACAGGGGTTCCATGTCACCATCATTGAGGGCCGGAATCGGCTGGGCGGGAGAGTCCACCAAGTGAGGATGCCGGCAGGCTACCTCGTCGATGCAGGCCCGAATTGGATCCACGGCACGAGCGACAACCCCATACTCGACATTGCGAAACAGACAGCCACGCCTGTGGGCACGTGGGACTCAAACACGTACCTGTTCGATGACAAAGGCGATGCCGTGCCTCTTGCCGAGGCCGAGATTTACTCTACAATGATGTGGGATATCATCGAGGCTGCGTTCCTCCACAGCAATAAGAACTGCGCGAACATAACCCCCGACGAGAGTCTCTGGGACTTCTTCCAACTTGAAGTGGCGAGAAGGCTGCCGGAGTCCGAGGCGGACTCTCTTAGGAAGAGAGACCTGGTCTTTCAGATTGCGGAATCTTGGGGCGCCTTTGTGGGCAGTCACATCTTCGGGCAAAGTCTAAAGTACTTCTGGCTCGAGGAATGCATTGAGGGCGGTAAGGGATGAAACTTGTCCAGTGAGAGTGGTTGAGCGCGTATTGACACAAAGCAGAAAACTTGTTCTGCGCTGGCACTTACGAGAAAATCCTGGCAGCGATAGCCGCACCGGCTCAGGCTCAAGCAGATATGAGGCTCAACACGGTTCTCACAAAGGTGCATTGCACAGGCGATACTAGCGGCTCTGTCGTGGTCGAAACGGACAAAGGCAGCTTCGAGTTCGACGAAGTCGTATGCACGATGCCTCTTGGGTGGCTCAAGAGAAACGCAGTTCATGCCTTCCACCCACCACTACCACAGAGCATCATTCATGGTATCGAAAACATTGGTTATGGTTGTTTGGAGAAAGTCTACATCAGTTTCCGCTCGGCATTCTGGACCAAGTCAGACGACACGCAAAACACTGTGAAGGGATTTTGCCAGTGGTTGCGACCAGACTACGCACCGGGCACGAATCCAAAGCGCTGGAACCAAGAGACTGTCGAGCTTGCCTGCCTGGCACCGGAAGCATCACATCCGACGTTGCTGTTCTACATCTATGGCGACCAGTCCAGATATCTGACAAGCGAAGTCGCGAAATTTTCCACGGAGGACAAGAAGGCGGCATTCCTGTACGAGTGGTTCCGGCCATATTACTCACGGCTTCCGCAGTACAGTTCAGAGTCAGCCGACTGTGATCCAACGGGCTACTTTGCGACAAACTGGCTCGCAGACGACTTGGCAGGCAACGGAAGCTATAGCAATTTCCAAGTGGGGCTGGAGCATGGAGATAGAGACATCGAAGCGATGCGGAAGGGATGCCCCGAAAGGGGTCTGTGGCTCGCAGGCGAGCACACGGCGCCGTTCGTTGCCCTCGGAACAGCCACAGGCGCATACTGGAGCGGAGAGTCTGTCGGCAAGCGGATCGCAGATGCGTACGGTCGCGGCGTCGGAGTCCATGGACAGGCTGCCGCTCCAGCTTAATGTTTGGAGCTAGGTGAGGTAACAGATGACAGTGAATGACGATGACAGTGCGTTGCAAACCATGCTTGTTGATTCACCGCGAGCAGTGACACTTGTCAGCCCTCACGGATGTCTACAGGTTTGCTGCCAAGTGGTCGTGTGAGGTGCAAATCACCAAAGCCCATGCCGTAGCCCAGCCTAGTGATTAGTAGGCGATCGGGTGACCTGGACGTCAATCACCGCCTGCCCAGGGCTGGCGCTCTGACGGTTCTGCAGTACGCGCTATCAAACCCACTGCGAGGTACCGCTGCGGTTGACACAGGTGGTGCTGTACCTGCTCTCTCCCCAACCGGCGAGTACCCCGGGCGACAGGGGCTCAGGGGGACCCCGCAGGGCCCCCCAGGCGCACGCAAGCGTCAGGTCACGCTGATAGCAACGGCCGATGCCTGAGGCGGGCGTACTCAAGCCCGGCACCAGTAACTGTCGCCACTCCTTCACCTTTACAACTTTCCAAAGCTTTCAGTCCATGCGTGTGTTCCTGTTGGCGAAAGCATAACGATAATCGCCGTGTGCTTCAGGCGCCCACCGATTCCGGATCAGTTCTTTGACCTGTTCGCCACACCAGCAGTCCAGCGATGATGCACTGCGGCCCCGCAGACGTCTCCCTGGGGTAGGCATCGTGAACCCCCAACCTGATCGACGTCGACGACAACCTCGCCGACAACCTTCATGGCGAAGGACACACGAAGCTACCGATATACCACGCTTCTTTGCCACATAGGCACGCAGCCTACAACAAGAGAGGCTCCAGCCAACATTTCCGGCCGCGTGCCGTGATAGCCTCTGCCCAACATGCCCGACTTCCTGAGCTCCTTCTGGGGCTCGGACCTCCCGAAGCGCATCCTCCGGTACGCCCTCATGCGGCTGGACCTCCTCGACACGGATGCTCTGGACATGGACAAGCTCGATTTCACGCTTGGTAGGAACACCGTCGTCACATTTCAGGATGTCGGCATCAAACTCCAGGTAAGCCGCTCCCGGGCACTAGGCTGCCGCATGCACCCTCGTGCTGTTAGTTCTGGCAGGATTTCTGACTGACCCCGCCGTCTTGTGCTGCGTTCAGAAACTAGAGAAACTCCTCAGCTTGCCGCCGACGTTCCGACTGCAGAGGGCTCGTGTGCTATCACTGCGAATAACGATCCCCGCCGCGATCTACTCCAGTCCCATCGTTGTCGAAGTAGACGGCGTGCAAATAAAGCTTCGCGTCGGTAGTGCAGATACCGATAAAGACCCCCGCAGTACAGACAGGACAAAAACGGGACGAGATGCGGCGGGCGGCGACCACGAGGACGAGCTAATGCCACATGCTATTGACTTGGCACAGTCGTTCCTTGAAGCCCAGCCTGTCACCGAGAAGGCGGAGCTCCAGGCAGCACTGAACGCGGAAGCACAAGATCTGGCCGCTTCGATAGCAAGCAGTGAAGATGGGAGCGATGAGGACTCCGCGCTGGGAACTGGCCAGGCGCTCTCGCTGCCGGCGTTCTTGGCCAACTTCCTCCAGGGCATCGCAGATCGCACCCAGGTGTCGATCAAGGGCATCGTTTTTGAGATGGATGTCCACATACCGCTCGAACAGAATTCCAATATTCCAGAGCTCGTCACATTCCAGCTCGGCATTGACGACATAGATATTGAGGGAGTCACAAACGAAATCCAAGCAACCCCAGCCGAATCAGATTCGCCAAGGATACCGCCAAAAGAAGGGAAAAGGCTGATCGTGCTCAACAAAATCAGGGCGTGTCTTATTTCAGAGGCCAACGTCTTCTCAACTCTTGCACGGACACCTTCGATGCAATCGTCTGCCGCGGCGACATCTCCAACCACCACCCGAAGACAATCCTTGTCGCCAGAGACAGAGAGCGCTGCCGCCTCAGTTTCAAGCCTTCCAGGTGGGCACCTCGAAGAAACCACACAGTTAGATCAGACGCAGTATTACGCCATGATGGACAGCGAAGACGCCTTCAACATACCGTACGAGCTGGATGAGTCTAGCCAGGGCGCGGAACCCCCTGAGTCAAGATCCCCGCCACTGACTCCACGAGCGAATGCGACAGAATTACCTGCAAGCCCGGTGGCCGATAGATTACTCCTGCGCCCATCGCGGTCAAGCCTCGAGCCCGCTCCTGAGATGTGGGCTTCTGTACAGTCACATAGCCGGACTGAACCTCTTAGCTATGGTTCGGCAGGCTTTGGATCTCAGTTGCACGAGCTACCGGAAAGGACTCTCAACCGCAAGTCAAGCATGACGGATAGTGTGACTTCGAGCGAGCCTGGCGACAACGATCTGGAGCGCTCGCAAGTGTTCAGTCACGAAGATGCCGAGAGCATGTACATGAGCGCATTCTCCAATGCACCTGAAGTTCAGACACAGTCAAGGATACATGAATTGGAGGCCAGTTCTTCTTCAGATGCCGAACAACCAAGACAAGCGATGCCAAGCGACGCACCAGTGTTGGACGCACTTGGCTTGACAAGTGCAGACAGAATATCTCCACCGCCAGCAGTCGACCGCAGCACGCAGGAATACGCAGAGCTCAGCTCACGCCCTGCTGTGGGATTCAGCCAAGCAGCAGCTTCTTCTGACACCCAAGAGGCTACTGCGTCGGCGACAGCTCGGGCTCAAAGTTCAGACGAAGTCATGACACCTAGAGGGCCAACGAGGCTCGTCAAGGAACTGGTCTCGCTCGCCAATATTGCCATTCACATGCCCTCCAAGCATCAGTCGATCCAATTGCCTCCAGGAGCTGAACCGTTTCCCATGTCACAATCAGCGCGCCACAGTCTGGACCAGTCCATAGCTGCAAATATGCCTGGTGCATTCTCCGTGTATTCACCCGGCCCGGTGCGAGACAGATCGCCACACCAGGAGAGGAAAGAACTTCCAACAGCCCCGACGTGGGATGATAAGATCGAGGTTAAGCTGGCTCCGCTCGTCATAAGATTTGATCTGTCGACTGGGTTCCTCTTGGCCATGGTTGTGTCGCAGCTCCTGTCCGCCTTAAATTCCAGTCAGCCAAGTCAAGGCAAGGTCAAGAGTGAGGACAACAGCCCACGTACAACTACCCCAAGCATGGCCATTGTTATGGAGCAGATATGCATACATTTTATGGAGAATTTGTCTGGAGTGGCAGATACGGCAGAACGAGCCCTCAAACCAGCTCCGGCCCTGGATACTGACGCGCTGCTAAGTCTCAATCTTCGGGATCTGGCTGTTGATATTGCCAGTGCTGAAGGGACGACCGTGACCTCAGTCGATCTCACCAAATTCAGATTCGGGTACGGCAACGACGACATAATATCGCTGGATCAACGGCTTCAGATGCGCGCCTCCGTACGCGATGCGTTCCCTTCTGCAGGCTCCGACATCTCGCTCAAGATCATCCAAACCCAGGACTCGACTCGCTGTGAGGTGAAAACGCTGCCTGTTCATGTCAAGCTCGATTTGCAACGACTCGATGAGACATTCAGCTGGTTTGGAGGTCTGAGTAGTTTCCTCAACATGAGCTCGTCGATGACATCAAGCCACAGCACCCAAACGACTCCTCGAAGTCCGACCAAAGCACCGAAGAAGACAACCCGTGGCGTGCGGTTTGATGCACCGATAAGAGTAGACGACGCATCGGCTACGTCCGAGAATAAGGTCAATATTCGAGTTGGCGGATTACACTTGGATTTGATCGGAAAAGAGTGCAGCATGTCCCTCGACACGAGTGCAGTGAAAGTGGTGAGCCGCGAGGAGGGCGTCGGCGTGGGCATAACCAAGATTGAGGTGGCGGGGCCATTACTTCGTGGCTCCATGGCAACACCTCCCATTCAGATCTCGGTCAACAACGCCAGGATAGAGTACCTCATGACGCCAAAAGACGTTGATCTGGAGCGGCTTCTCGAGCTAATCACCCCATCGAAGTACAAATTCGACCAGAAAGACGACGAGATCATGGTAGACACTCTACTCCGGCAAAGAAGAAAAGGCGCTGTCTTGCGGGTCAATGTCGATGACGTGCAGGCGGAAGTTACAAACTTACCACTCCTCCATGTCTTACCTGGGCTAGGAGAGGAAGTTGCGCGACTTTCGACTGTCGCTAAGTATCTGCCAGAGGACGATAGGCCAGGCATCCTTACACTCGGTCTGATCCGCAACATTGACATGAGTGTCGACGTTGGGGGCAAGCTCGGCTCGATTCAGTCCTCGCTCAAGGACCTGGAGGTGGGCCACATTTCGGTCCCGTCACTGGTAGCACTCGGCATCAGTTCCGTTTCGATTCGTCGCAACCACAAGGAGGAGCTGGTCGGCAATGCAGTCTCATCTCAATCAAGCTACGGCCCTGTCATTACCATGCGCATCATAGCCGACGAAATGGAGCCCGTCATCAGGTTGCGTATGCGACACATCAACGTTGAATACCGCGTGCCGACCGTGATGGATATGCTTGGGCTTGGGGACGAGACGACGCCACAGGAGTTCGAGGCTTCCCTAGCATCATCTGTGGCGAACCTGGGCGAGCACGCGCATGCCACCATTGCCGGCAAAAAGCCCGCAACCAAGAACAAATCTGACAAAGGCAAGAAGAAGGACGCCAAGCCCACTGTGGTGGACATAGCCTTCCGCGACTGTCTGATCGGCCTGAACCCGCTGAACAAATCTTCAAAGCTTGTTGTGGCGCTCACAGATGCGCAGCTCCACGTGTCGCTATCAAATGGCGATGATGCCGAGGTTCTGGCTACGCTAAACAAGTCTTCACTGCTTCTAATTGATGACGTTGCCTTGTTGGACGGCCCACAAAGCTCGAGTTCAAGACGGAGATCGTCCAGCTCATCAACGCCTCAGATTGTGGAGCTGTGTCGCAAGGGCTTTGTGGACATATGCTACTTGTCATCGGCGAAGGTGACTGTACAGGTGGGCACAAACCGCAGCGATGGTAACAAGTTTATCGACATCGAGGTCCGCGACGACCTGCTAGTCCTGGAGACATGCGCAGATTCAACACAGACACTGATCGCCTTGGCGAATGCTTTAGCACCACCAACGCCACCCAGTAAGGAGACCAAATATAGGACAAAGGTGGTGCCCGTGCAGGATCTCCTGGCCTCAATCTCGGCAGATGCGTTTGGACAGGCTGAGGGCGAGTATGACTTTGATGATGACTTTGGCCTGGCCCAGGAGCTTGGCGGACAGTCAGACGACGCAATCGACTCCGAGTTTTCCAGCCAGTCGAGTCCGCTGGACGTCAATTCGCAATATTACGAAGACCCAGGCCTCGATTCTTCTCTCCCAGGGCTGGACCAATCATACATGTCTGACAAGACTACCTCTCGCGACACCCAGGATGGAGTGCTGCTCACAAACTTCAGCAGCCAGCCGGACGACACGATTGACGATGACGACGATCTCGTCATCCACGAGAACTACTTCGGTCAAGGCTCGGTAATACAAGGTACTGCTCATCGGTGGAACTCGGCCAAAAATGAGTACGACGAGGCGAACAACGAGAAGGCCGGGCGAAGCCCTGTTGCGGTTCGTGTTCGTGATGTACATATCATCTGGAACCTCTTTGACGGATACGACTGGAGTCATACCCGAGACGTCATCTCGGAAGCGGTAGCGGGCATCGAAGCCAAAGCCTACGAACGCGAGGCGGGGCGAGATCGATCACGACTAGGCGGCGAACCTGAGATTGCAGAAGAGGAGACCGTCATTGGCGACTTCTTGTTCAACTCTATATATATCGGGATTCCCGCCAACCGCGATCCCAGAGAGCTTGCTGCAGCAATCAACCAGGAGCTCAACGACAATGCAACCGAGACAGAGTCAATCGCAACAACAGCGATGACCGCGACTCCAAGCCGGCAAGGGCATGCGCAAAGGAGGAAGAGACTCAAGTTGAACCGCAGCAAACGACACAAGATCACCTTTGAGCTACAAGGCATCGACGTGGACCTTCTCACTTTTCCTCCCGGGTCTGGAGAGACACAGAGCTCCATCGACGTGCGTATTCGAGACATCAACGTGTTCGACCATGTACCTACGTCGACATGGAAGAAGTTCCTGACCTACGACCAGGATGCCGGCGAGCGGGAGATGGGGACGAGCATGGCGCATCTTGAGATCTTGACCGTTAAGCCCTTACCAGAGCTCGGTGCATCAGAGTTTGTGCTCAAAGTGACTCTTCTGCCGTTACGGCTGCACGTTGATCAGGACGCCCTTGACTTCATTACCCGATTCTTCGAGTTCAAAGACGAGTCTGTGCCAATTCATTCATCCCCAAGTGATATTCCGTTCGTGCAGCGAGCCGAAGTCAACTCGATCCCTGTCAATCTCGACTTTAAGCCAAAACGCGTGGACTACACCGGCCTCCGTTCGGGCAGGACCACTGAGTTCATGAACTTTATCGTTCTTGATGAAGCCCACATGGTGCTCAGACATACTATTATCTATGGAGTCCGCGGGTTTGATCGGCTCGGGCAGACACTCAACGATATCTGGATGCCGGATGTTAGACGAAACCAGCTTCCAGGGATCTTGGCCGGCCTTGCCCCCATCCGCTCAATTGTCAACGTTGGCAGCGGGTTCAAGAACCTCATCGAGGTTCCCATCAGAGAATACCAGAAGGACGGCCGCCTCGTGCGAAGCATAGGCAAGGGTGCCGCGGCCTTCGCCAAGACTACTGGCACCGAGATTGTGAAACTCGGTGCCAAACTCGCCGTCGGTACGCAGTACGCGCTCCAAGGCGCCGAGGGAATCCTGGCCAAGCAACCCGAGTCTTCAAGGAGCGATCAGCAGACGGGCTGGGACGATCTCTACAATGCCGACGACTACGACGCCAACGACGAAGAGGCCACTAAGCAGATCAGCCTGTACGCCGACCAGCCCACTGGTGTTGTGCAGGGCTTGCGTGGGGCATACTCGAGCCTGCGCCGCGATCTGAATGTCGCCAGGGACGCCATCATTGCTGTGCCTGGAGAGGTCATGGACAGTCAGAATGCGCAGGGGGCAGCCAGGGCCGTTCTACGCAGGGCGCCGACAATCATATTCCGCCCTCTGATTGGATCGACCAAGGCTATTGGGCAGACGCTCATGGGTGCGACGAACTCTCTGGATCCGCAGAACAGGAGGCGTGCTGACGAGGTATGTCACTGTCGTTCATCCATTCTTCCCTGGACATTCCACTTGAATCCGTTTCCCCCGTCTACCATCGATGTATTCTGTGGAATTCATGCTGACGACATATACTACTTGCACAGAAATACAAGAGGCATTGATTGCCTGCATAGTTGGAGATCGAGGTCGACAAGGGAGAGGCGCCGTATACGTTGGCGGTAATCTGAAACCGTGCTTCACGAGAGATCTGGGGTGCGCAGGTAGAGAACACACGAGAAGGACGTGAAGGGGGAGGAGAAGCATGGAGCTAGGAGGGGCTCAACTCACAAAACCCCAGCCCCCCAGCTCGTAGCCATTCGGACACACATTTTGTTTTCTCCTTTTCTGCTTTACTTGATGTTTTGCCTCTATTTCCCACCAAGCATCGCCCCGTCGCACTACATATAGAACACACACGGGGCGGGCGACATGACACAACCCCCCTGCATGACTCACGAACCACCATTCTAGCACTGGCAAGCGAGCACATTCTCGTGTTTTGTAGTTCAATTTTCAATCATCTCAATCTCTCTGCTCTCTCGCGCGCGCTCTCTCTGATTAAGTCCCATTCCGCGTTTTCAGTCTGGTGAATTGACTGCTGGGTGCTTTCCTCTTTGTTCGCTACTGATGACTGTTCACAATTGTTTCGTGTGGATGGCTAATTGCATCATTGCGGGCGCGGACTCCCCAACTGTGGTCTTTCAGCTGGGTCCGTGTTACATTTTGACGTCTCTTGCAACGTCCACATGCGGGTCGTTGCGATTCTACGCTATGACATGTAAACTGAGTTAAGCATTTGTCGATTTTGCGTGTTGCGACACGCCCATTAATCAAGTGACAGATGCGAGGCGGTTGCACGCCTCCACTATAACGGCTTCATACACAGTCCGACGAGCACTTGTTCCCAGACATCAATCAAAGAGAAGACCAATGCTCGGAATACGTGATTGAAGTGCAGATCCAATAGATGAAAGCGCAAATTGATCATGTTATTATCGGGAAATACACACTCCTGCCTGCTGTTCAAGCTTTCAAGCTCGTAATTTTTCATTGCGTCCACAAGCCAACATGCGAACAAATGGGGGTATATATGTATGGCTTGGCGCTGATTCTCAAACGCCACATTTACTCGATCACCATCTTATCCAAAATCTTGTGTATGTTAGCATGTTTGCCCCGGCCGCCGTCAAGCTCGTCAGCGAGTTTCCGCGAGCGCTCAATCAAGACAGCCAGGACCTGCTTGGTATACTCGAAGCTGCCGGTGCTGTGCATGTACTTGACTGCGTAGCGCTTGACCTCCTCGTCGGTTGTCTTTTGCTTCAGGATGTTGAGCAGCTGCAGGTTCGATGGGTCGGACCGGATGCTGTGGATGATTGGGAAGGAGAACTTGCCCTCTGTCAGATCTTCGCACATGCCCTTGTTCTTGGTGTATGTCACGTCAAACAGGTTCTTATAGTCGTCGGCAATCTGGAAGACGAGCCCCATGAGGTGCACTAACGGCACGCAGTCCATCTCCACCTGGGACTCTGCCTGCATCAGCTTGATGGCCATGCGGAAGAGGCCACCGGTCTTGTTGCCAACCATCTCCAAGTAGTCCTCCTCGTTGGGGCAGGTGAGCGTGTCTCTCCAGAAGAGGTCCATGCCCTGACCGCGGTGGAGGTTGAGCAGCTCTTCGGTGTATATGTCGTTGGCCGATGGATTCTTCAGGTTCTGCAGCTCGCGAAGGGCCAAGAAGTAGACGTAGTTGGCCGAGTTTATCGTCTGCGCGGTGCCGAAGATGCTGTGGGTCACAGGAAGACCTCTGCGGAGCAGCGAGTTGTCCTCCACGTCGTCTACGAGCAGGGACGCAGTGTGCAGCATGCCGATGACCTTTGTGATGACGTCGAGGCTTTCCGCGGGCACATTGAGCCACTCGTTGAAGGCGTTGAGCATAAAAGTGCGGAAATCCTTGCCCGGGTGAGAGTAGAGGTAGTCAAAGGGGCCCATGAGGACCTTCTCCTTGCGGGTGGTCCATGTCGTGGACGCAAAGGTGAGATCCGCGGTCGCGTAGCGGCTGGCGTCGGGCGGCGGGGGCGGAGGGGGAGGCGAGCTGCTGGTGGGCATTGTGCTAAAGGGAGTCGTGATGGAAGAGCTCTTGCGGTGCCGGGACTGGGTCGGGGCGAGCCAGTCTGCTTCTGGGAGGGGGCGGAGGGCGGATTTTGAGGGCGGGTAAGGGCTGGCGTAGCCGGTCGAGGAGGTTCTGGGAGGAATGGCGTTTGGCGACTGGAGGCCCGTGGAGTTTGGGAGGGCGGCAGGCGGCAGCGAGGCAGCAATGGGCTCCATGGCGGGAGCGAGCAGGTCTGCTGGAGAGGGAGCTAGGCAGAGGGCCAAGTTGGCAACAACGAGCAGAGGCGGAAGTGGCTGCCTGCCGGGACGAGCTGCGCAAGATATCTGGAGAGGTGGCCGAGACAGCACGAATGTCTCGGGTATGGAACTCTGGCAGGCGCCTGTCCTGTCTTGTCCTCTGTCTTGTCGTGCCGTGCCCTTTCGAGGCTACGATGGCGAGCAGGACACGCGGCTACAAGGATCCGGCCGCAGTCACCGCCTCTGCAGGATTGCAGGCAAGTGTTGGGCGTTGAATTGGACCGGGCGGTGTCGAGTCCAGCAAGATGCGAAACGCAGGGCGACGCGAGGCGACGCAAGGCTGTGCGGGTATGGCGGGGCCCGAAGAATGCCTGTGACAGCAACGGTAAGAGGCGGCTAAGGATAGTCGTCGTGATCCTTGCAAGGCGCAGAGCGAGGTTCGACGGAGAGCACAGGAGAGCGAGCAGTTGGGGGTGGAGGAATGGCCAAGGCCAGCAGGCAGACAAGAGTGGCGGGAAGCTCACGATGTAGGTACGCATGCGAGAGGGGGAGAGGTGGTGGATGCTAGGCAGTTATTATGTATGTACTTTTTCCCTGTGGCACGTCACGACAGGCACATGTGAAAAGGACCAGACTCTGGGCGCATCCCGGCTAAGACGGGGCCGTTTTGGCTCTGAGCTGCCCCTGCTCGGGACGCCGCCGGATCCGAATCGCCCGCGCCATTGGCCTCGTCGCCGCCAGTCGCAAGCCACTCGAGGGCGTCTTGTCGTCAACGACCGGTCACAAAAGGGACAATGGCTGCTGCCGCGAGGCACACCAGAGACAGACCAGCGCCTGCCAGCCCAGGCACCAGCCAATGCGAGTCCGACAAAGGCAACGGTTCCGCCCTTGCCGGGGCACGCACGGCAAACGCAATGGAGGGATGCCCCGCCGGCAGGACATGGTCAAGTCGGCGATCGGGCGGCGGCATCGATGCGCTGCGGCGGTTTGTGGTGCAGGAGCGTGATGCCAAAGTGGAATGGCAGACGTCATTGACTTTTCCTCCTCCCTGGCCTGCTGCTAAAAACGGGCAGCCTGCCCCGTTCTAAATTGCCAGCTCGGCCAGCTCGTGCCTCAAATGCGGGGAGCTCTCCAACAGGGCATCATCATTGGCTTCAGGCTTCAGGCTTCTCTCACCAACACACAGTAGCGTAGCCCAACCTTGGCCGAGTCTGGTCGGGCCTCGGTGCCCAGCATGTCCGACACCAGACGAGCGCACGCAGGCAGAGCAACAAGCCACGGCCCGTAGGCTGATGGATTCGGCCGAGGGCGCTGGCAAAAGTGATAAGCAAACTCGCAGGCGCACAGTTGGCTGCTGGCCATGTCGTGGCAACTACCAGCCAAATTTACAGGCCAGCAAGCAAACCAGCGGCCTGGTCATGTGTCGCACGACTAAAAGCCACCTCGATCGTTCTGGAAAGCCGTGTCGCATGCTCCGTCTCACCTACATGCCTTCGATGACTCGTGCACATCCCCTCGGCTCCAACCTGGCAGTCATGCGCTGCGTGGCATCATAGTAAACAACATAATCATCACGGGCAGGCGGACTTGCAGACGCGAAATGAGCAGTCCCAGTGTCTTTCCTCCATCGTCCATTGAGATGCAACAAGAGGGCAAAAGAACAAGGCGATATCAAGGCAACAGTCAGGGATCAGGTTAGAGTGCCTGCATGGGGGTCTCTGCCCAAGTGGTCGTCCAGCCCACTGGCCGAGGCGCGCACTGCGATTGTTGCCCTGCCAACCCTCCGCCATCGCCCAAACCCGCACCAAGAGCATCACAAGGGTCCCGGTCACAATCACACGCTGCGCATCCACTCCGAGTCGAGACGGCCTGTCTCGCTATCTCGTGCCCACTTGGGCACAGCACGGCATGCACCTCACAAGACGGCCAAGTACACAACAAAACCACCTGCGCTTCCCGCCTCGCTAGCGCTGCCGCCCTTCTTGTCCCTCTTCTCTTCTTCGAGGTCACCCCAAACCTTCCGTGATACCCCATGTCTTTATTCTTTCATTTGTGTTGACCGTTCTTTCGTCTCTTGCCCTTGCGGCGTCATCTTTCGTCCTGCTTTGCCAAACCCCCACTTACTCGATTCCTCGACTTGCATTCGCAAAGCGCGCCCTGCGACATTCGACATATCATAGCAAACAGTGCTTGGGCGATCCGTGCCTTCGAGCCGTGCCGAGAAGCAAGCAAGCTAGCAAACACCTGCAAGCACCAGAAGATAAACACCTACATACACACAGACGCCGCCAGTAGCCCACAGCTGCAATGGAGAACCTCTTGTCCCTTGCCTTCGACAATCTGTCGTCGTACGATGGTCCCAAGATACGCAAGGGCCTGCGCCAAATCGAGGGCCTGCTCGCCAACATCTGCCTTTCGAGGGGCGGTGGGAAGCGCTCCAAGGAACGCCGCGACTCCGTCATGACAGACTCGATCAGAGAGGACTCGCCAACACCGCCGAGCACGCTGCTCGACCTGACAGATGACCCTGCATTCTACGAGTTCTTCAAGCTGCAGGAGGGCTTTGAGTGGAATGTCGCTCTCCGGCTCGTCAACACCCTCGACCGGCTCCTCGCCCGTGGCGCTGACGGGTCCAACGATCTGTTGATCATGAACGCTCTCGACTTGACGCAGGGCATACTGTTGTTACATCCGCCGAGCAAGGCCATTTTTGGCAGGGAGATGTACATGAACGTGAGTCATGTCTAGGTCCAATGTACTTTGCCAAGTTGAGTCAAGCTGACATTCCTTCCTAGCTGCTCCTGGACCTTCTTGAGCCCGACTTTTGCCCGGCAATCCAGTCTGCGACCCTGCTCACAATCGTCACCGCCCTGATTGACATGCCACAAAACACACGCACGTTCGAGAACCTCGACGGACTACTGACCGTTACCTCGCTCTTCCGCTCACGGGGCACCAGCCGTGAGGTCAAGCTCAAGCTCGTCGAGTTCCTGTACTTCTACCTCATGCCCGAAGTTCCCTCAATCCCGAGCGCCGCCGCCCGGGACTCGATGCCGGGGCTGCTGCAGCGCAGCCCGAGCAAGCTTGCCAAGGCGTTTGTGGGCGGCGGGTCGCGCGAGAATGGAGGTCGGCCCCGCGCCGATAGCGACGCCTGCGAGATCCGCAGCCAGGAGGAGAAGCAGGCGCTCCTTGGTCGGCACCTGAATAGTGTCGAGGAGCTCGTCAAGGATCTGCAACAGAGCACGCCATTTGGAGGTGCTGTCTGCTAAAGGTGGTGCACGTGCTTGCCACCACTCATGTTGGGCGAATTGGGTGCAGGTGTGTTAAGATTGACATACCTCGCGCTCGATCAGTGTCTTATTTCGCGTTCCCGCTCGTCTCTCGAGCTGGAGTACACTTTTCATTTCCGGCGTTCTTTTTTCCAGCATGGGATAAAAAGTTGTTGATGATTTCTCACGTCACGGCGCTTGGAGTTATTACGCGCATTCATTTGGATTTTACAGCATGGCATGGCTCGGGGCTGGGGTTTTGTCCATTCCGGCTCAGCGTGGTGCTTTGTCTTTCCTGTATTTAGTTCAGCGATATGCAAATACGTTATAATATGCAATGGAATGAAGTTCACTGGACCGAGGCTCTGCGTTCGAAAGAAGCGACTTTTCAGTATGTGGCACCTGGAGCTGGCTGCACCAGACAGGCGCAGCTTCGCATTTAGTGAAGTATACCATAGTATGCCAAACCAGCTGCATCTCAACCAGGACTGCATTCAATGCTGCAGAAGAAAAGCATATGCAGAGCATCTCAGGAGCCAAATAATCAAGCTTAGCCTGCCCCGTCTGGATCTAGGGTCTTTCGTTTAGGCCCTGGTCCAGAGTTGCGCCTTGCGCTGAGTGGTCGAAAGATCCGATGGGTGGGCTGCCTCCCAGAGGAGCAAAGGGGGCACGACTAATCGGCTGCCGCACCCGGCGGTGTCTGATGTTTTGCGGCAGCATGCTGACACTGGCGCTAGCGTGGATGCTACAGACGCTAAAGTAATTACTCCGTACGCTGGATTGCAATCTGCATTACGACCACCCTTTCTCTATTCAATTTTGTAGAACGCGTGATGTGTCGAGTCAGGATTTCTAGGTGTTGGCTGTGGAAATGGCGGTCGCCCTTGCTTTCCACGTGGTCTGGCTGGCTGGTGGACCTCCCTCTCCTGCGGTTAGCGCGTCGACCCAACAATCACTTTGTCCAGCCATCTAATCACCAGCGGCAACCCTTTGCAACATTATGGCAGGAGAGTGGCGCGCAGACCCGGGCCCGAGATCACCTTTCTACCCAAGTCAGATCCGCTTTCGTCGCTGATGTCAGGAACAGACTCATCTTCAATGCTGCTCCCAAAAACCAGCTACACCTCACCATGCGCAGCACGCCTTTACATACCACCACGACCATGTAAGGACAGGAGAGAAGAAGACCGACTCCCCCCCTGGTCATCTAACTACAGGCTACCCCTGCCCACCTTGCAGGCATGGCTGCTGCGAGAATGTATTTTTGGGGGGAGCCGGGCCAGCCCCTCCTCCCTCGATCGGACATATGCGCGCGACGGCACCCCCGGAGACCACACCTCTTTCTCAAGGGCACCTGCGCAAAACGGAACGTTGCAGCCAACACTGGCCGCCGGGCCAGCTGGGCAGTATTTGTCCGAACAGCCTGATCAGGCCCGTCCAGGGGTCCCCTCCCCCACGTCGGACTGCGGGCGAATGCTGCGAGCGGAGAGGCGTCAGACCGAATGTGGCAGCGCCCAAGACCCCTTGGCGATGGATGGGGTCTCCGTTGCTGATGCTGACGGGGGACCCCCATTTTCGGCTGCTGCTGCTCCTGGTGCTGCTGATAGGGCTTGCCAGCTGGAAGCACGCTTGGGTCCCGGCCACATGGGCGAGATTGCGACTGGACGAGGCGAGTCGTGAGAGCTGTTCTGACATGGCTGACCCTGGATGTCGTGATCTTTGCGACTTCCAACCAGTCTCCCAAAGAGCAAGCAAGCAGCACAGCAGGTCGATTCACGGACGCCGCTGCCTTGTCTGACTTCTTGCGGTCCCTTGCGCCTTTCCACCAGGACGACTGCTGCCACAAGGCCGGCCTCGACAGCAACGACGCGCGGGGTGTGCGCTGCTCGTGGTCACCATGGCGCGAGCGGGACGACCACCACACTCGTCATTCACGACAAGATCGGCTCTCGAGATCATTGCCGTGCTCGGCTTCCTGGCCTCGACTCTACACCTGTCCAATGCCCAGTTCGGCGCCGTCGACCGGCGGGCTCTCCTGCAAGGAGCCGGGCGGGATGCTGGCGGCGGCCTCTCGGAGCGGCAGTACCTCCTCGAGGACAACATGTCACCGCCGTGGCCTCCGCTGAACTACGACCGGCGAAGGCAGAGCCAGACTCCAAACCAGTGCGGCACCGAGATGCACAGCTGCCTCGACGTCGGGTTTCCCACCGGCTGCTGCCTCAACAACCAGTACTGCTTCGTCATGACCAACTGGACCCTCGGGTGCTGCCGCATCGGCAACAACTGCCTCGATGTCACTCCGTGCTCAGAGGGCTTATACCTCCAGAACGGCACCATCAGCGTCACCAAGCTCGTCACCCAGATCACTACCGTCGGGCCCCTCGACGACCCAACCACCAGCACCAGAGTAAACCAGCTTATCACGGCGAGCGTGTCCCCCGGCTGCGGGTCCAACCCGTGCTCGAGATCCTCGTTCCTCTGCCAGGCGGCCTTTGGCGGCCAGTGCTGTGGCTACGGCTCCATCTGCGCGTCCAACAGCCTGTGCATCGCTCCCGTCACGCCTACGCCCTCGGCTATCGTGCCGCTGACCCCACCCGAGTGCAAGGCAGCGACCGAGTACGCCTGCATTCCGGGCAACAAGACGGCTGGGTGCTGTGCCACGGGTCAGACCTGTGTCGGGGACAGATTCTGCAGCGGCATCCCCGCCCTGCCGACGGGCAGCAACGCGACGATCGAGACCAGCTCGGAGCTCTCGTCTCAGGCCAGGGCGGGCATCGGGGCGGGCGTGGCTGTGGGAGCGGCGATAGTCATCGGCCTGCTGACATGGTTCTGCGTGCGGCGCCGGCGTGAGGCAAAAGCGGCTGCTTCGAGGCGCCAGTCCACGGCCACGGGGTCACATTTACCACCCACAAGCGGGCACCCCAACCACAACACTGCCAGCGGAGGTCGCAGAGCCGCTGGGAGCGGGACGATGAGCCCGGACCTGCACGCGGGCCGGCGGGAACACACAATGTCCGAAATCAGTGGCCCCACGTCCGGCGGCATGTCGGGCAATCGCCCGCCCTTGCACCAGAGCGGGCTCGTGTACGACTACTTTGGGCCGGACGCCGTTCCGGGGCCGTACACGGACGACGCGGTCACCACGCCGTACTTCTATGACGACGAAGGCAGGGCTGTTGGGGCCACGGGGCTGGACCGCACGCCGAGCCGCGGTGTTCCGGCCATCCCGCGGGGGCCGGGGGATATCTCGCGGCCCGTGGAGATTGGCGAGTCGGCCAGCAATACGATGCGCCGCGGGGTCCGGAGGATCGAGGGCGAGCCGAACAGCTACAGCACCACGCCTGAAGCGGTCGAGGGGGTCGGGCATTACGCGACGCCAGCTAAGGCCACTCCTGTTTTCATCGGGTCAGGACCAGGAGCGGGAGCAGCAGCTGGAGCTGGAGCTAGTCCAGGAGCTTTAGCAGGACCAAGGCTGGAGGAGCCGGCGATCGGCGGGACAACAATCATCACGCACACTGGCACGAGTCCTGCCCCCCTCCGGCCATGGGTACGCTGTATGATCCGCACCATGTCGAGATTTATGAAATGGATCCGCAGCGCGTAGGGCCGTTTGAACTCGCGAGCCCTCACGGGACCACGGCCGCGGGGGCGCCGGCGACTACTACGCAGGGCACAGCGGGTGTTGGTAGCGGAGTTGACGGCGCTGGTGCTGGTGCTGGTGCTGGTGTTGGAGCGACGGGCGGCCCGCTGAGGAGTTACGAGGATGAGGAGGCTGCCGCTGCCACCGCCGCCGCCGCTGCCGTTGCCGAGGGACAGCGAGGGCGGAGTCCATGGCGTGGACAGTGATGTTTGTTGAAGGAGGAGAAGGAATGCCATCATTTATATACATTTCCCGAGGGGTTTTACATGATGAAAGAAAGACATGACATGAAAACTCTCTAGTCTCTACTACTATTCGAGTACATTTTTTGCTGAATCGTGAACCCGGCGAGATATGTCTCAATAGACGTCGAGAGAGTTGGGGCCGTGAATCAACTCACATCTTTGTTATGTGCGAAGCCACTCCCGTGTTTTCAGACTTTGGTGTAAGTAGGTTCTTTCATTCCGCTTTGTTAGTTGGTTCGACTTGAGGACGTTTATGGATCAAGAAACTGGTCAACACAATACGACACAAATGTAGAGAGCGGGCAACGACTGACACCGTCCACGTATGGGTGGCACCCGGTATCCGGCACGAGGCATCGGAATGGATTGAGTTTTTATTTATTCATTGTTTCTATGTTTCTTGCAAAAGGCCTATATTTGACATGCCACCCACCACACTGTTGGCGTCACGACTGAAGAACCGGCCGTATATCGTTTGGTCTTCAACATCTTTGTCGTCCCCTTGCCGCTGCCCGCCCGCCCCCAACCCAAAGAACTCCATGCTCCCCTATCGCCAAACCCAAAAACAACAACAAGAGGCGCCCCCCCCCAGCCCGCATTCTTAATAACTTACTGGGGCGGCACAAAAGGGTGGATGAGCATCTCGCTGAACTTCTCGAGCCTGTCCCTGCCGCGGACCTCCTCGACGAGCAGGGGCATCCTGACGACGTTGAACTCGTCGTACAGCTCCTCGATCTGGTCGAGGTACTTTTTCTGCATCTTCCTGCGGGCGCCGCACTGCTCGCAGTTGCTGCCTTCCTTGGGGAAGAGGAGCTGGTTGACGACGATGCAGTGCGTGTCGATGCTGTACGACGCGAGCTCCTGGATCATGCGCTCCGTCTCGTACAGCGAGAGGAACTCTGCGATGCACACGCACACAAAGGTCGTCAGGTTCTCGTCCTTGAACTGCGCGTTGACCTCGGAGATGGTGGCGCGCAGCTCCTCGAGCTTGGCCATCATGTCGTTGAGGTTCTGCCCGTTGGGCAGCTGCCCGCTCGAGCCGAGGAAGCCGTTGAGCAGGGGGCCGTACTGGGACGAGAGCTGCGAGACTTTTGCGAGGGCCTTTTCCAGCACCGAGGGGAACTGCAGGAAGCGCAGCGTGTGGCCCGTCGGCGCCGTGTCGAACACAATGACCTCGTACGAGAGCGACTTGACCTGCTTGAGCACCTCGGCGAACGACATGGCCTCGTCGATGCCCGGGATCGCAAACGCCAGGTCCTGCATCATCCCGCCCATGCCCCCCGCCGGGCCGTCGCCGCCAGGGGAGCCGTCGTCGCCGCCGCCCTGGCCCGCGAGCAGGTCCTGGATCGAGCCGTTCGGGTCAATCTCCATGGCGCTAAGGTTCGTGTAGCCGTCGATGAGCCGCGCGTCCTTGCCAAACTTCTGCGAGAAGGCGTCCGACAGGTTGTGCGCCGGGTCGGTCGAGATGAGGAGCACCGAGCGGCGCACCTTGGCCAGCTGGATCGCCAGGGAGCACGACGTCGTCGTCTTGCCCACGCCACCCTTGCCGCCGACAAAGATCCAGCGCAGCGACTTCTGGTCCAGGATGGACTGCAGGCTCGGCTCGAGCGCGTCGTCGGCGGACACGACTGCGGTCGACATTGTGGCGTCGGTCTCTCTCGCTTGGGGTGGTTGTCGTTGGGTGGTTTTAGAGATGGATCGCGCGCGAGGGAGGACTCGGGTCGGAGAGAGGGGAGGTAAGAAGGAGGATTAGGTGGCGATCAGTCTCTCCTGTGTCTCTTTGAAAAAGTTGATATTGTTGTTGTTGTCGCCGAGCAGAGCAAGGGGGAGAGGTCCAGAATGTACTAGAAGCGTGAGTGGTGAGTGAAGGGCTATCCTTGGTTCTACTGCGTACGAGACTTGGATGTTTTTGGCGGGGTAGGCAGGGGCGTCGTCCACGTCCGAGGATGCACGTCAGACTTGCACGATGACGATCACAAGCACCACACAACTCGACGTGAGAGAACATTACGTGATTACAAAAGTATTTTGGAATTTCCACGCTCAGTACATCTCAAGCTGAACTATGTGAATGGCTAGGACAGCTGGATGTGCTAGATTAATCTCTTGGAAAGTACAAAGCAAGCTAGGCAGGCGCTCATGCCGCTTGACATTGTTTCCCCACATGCGTCATCGGCCGCTCCCCTACATTTCGCCGCCCGCGATTCCCATCACCGCGCACTTGACTGTTGACTACTAGTACTAATTCACCTGCGCGTTCGCTATTCCTTGCGGTGTGTCAAGAGTGTATATATTTTTCGTTCTGTCTGGGCTAAATGCTGAGACGATACGTGTCTCTGATGCTAGTGAATAAATGATCAACACTGCCGCCGTCCACCAGCGCTTCCCTTCCCCAGCGCGTGTCAAAAAGAAAAGGCCACCGTTCAAAAACGCCTAATGCTCCGTTCCAATATGGTTTGGTATGATTTGATTATTTCGTCCAATAGTCCACGTCGTGATGAACATATCGCGTCTTCGTCCTAGTTCGCCCGGCGTCCCCTGGCTAGTCTTATCGTGCGTGCCCGTGGAATCATAACTGCTTGTAATCGCTCGGCCGCACCCTCCGCTGCCGGCTCTGGTGCCGCCCAGGGTTGACAGGTTGCCGGAAGTATGCGCCGTCGTCGCCAACGCCACCGGCCTGGTTGCCAAAATTGTTGTTCATGCCGTATCCCGCGCCATTGTTGTACTGCTGGTTGTAAAATCCGCCGTTCTGGTGGTGGTGGTTGTTGTTGTTGTTATTGTAACCACCCCTCATGCCGTTCATGCCGCCACCTCCAAAGTTGTTGTAGCCGCCGCGCCCACCTCCGTTCATCATTCCATTCTGGAATCCGCCGTTCCCGCCCTGATTATTGAACATGCCGTTCATCATCATGGGGTTCATCCCTCCCATGCCGCCCCCAGGGCCATTCATGCCCATCATCATCGACATGTCCATCCCGTTCATTCCCATCATGCCGGGCATACCGCCGGGGCCGAAGCCATTCATGCCGCCCATGGGGAACATCATGTTGGGCATTCCCGGCATACCTGGCATACCTGGCATCATCCCGGGCATTCCTGGCATGCTCGGCATCTGGTTTTGTTGCTGTTGTTGCATGGCCTTGGGTCCCTTGGGGATCTTGGGGTTCTCGAGGACATCCTCGGCAGGACGCTTCTTGGACTGCTGCTCGCCGTTTTGGGATGTGGAGGCAGACCCTTCCCTTTCACCCTGTGTCTTGGTTGCTGTCGTTGTAGTCGATGCTACTGAGCCCTTGCGAACGGCTTCTGGTGACGGTGACTTGATGGCGTTTAGTGATGGTGTGGCGTCAGGCTCGGATTTTGTTGTAGCTTGTGTAGATTCTTCAGCCGCAGTTACCGCGGAAGAGTCTTCCTTCTTAACCTCGCTGTCAGTCGCCGACTTGTCGTCGACAGCATCAGCAGCGGGCGACTTGGGTGCCACCGCCTCCGCAGGACTCTTCGACCGCTCCTTTGTTTTAGCGGCCTCCTTCTCCGCCAGATACTCCTTGATTTTGGTGACAGCCTCATCGTCCGGCTTAAGGTCGTCAAAGAGCACACCGTCAGTCTGGCATGCTGGGCAGACGAGATCGCTATACGTAAGCGCATTGGTAATGCACTCGCTGCAGTACGTCTTTCCACAGCAGGGTGTCTTCATTGGGTCTACAAACATCCTCTTGTCGATGGAGCACAGCAGGCCCCTTTCCTCGAGTTCCTTGTCCCCTTCTGTCGCCGCCTTGGCGGCCGCGGCTGACGACTTGGTCTTGGCCTGGAACTGCTCCCATGACGCCTTGTCAGGCTCTGCTATCACAAAGTCTCCATCCGCATTGACCATGACTCCTGATGGAGGTTTGATCTCCTCACCATCGGCACCAGTCTGCTGAAGCGCGGCCTTGTCTACTGTTTTCAGAAAAGACCGCGGAATACCCGTGGTACGTTTGACTCTTGGCCTATTGTCATACTCAGGGTTGTCGTTCGTTGGGCATACTTGGATCCAGTGACCCTTCTGCCCGCAGCGGTAGCAGATGTATCCGTTGGGCGGCTCGTGGTCTGGTACGTTGGCGGGCTTTTTCGCACCGGGTTTGTAGACTGCTTGTTGACTAGCATGCATGTTAGTAATAAGTTCTCGTCAAGACTCGAATGTGCGAGCAAATAAACTTACTGGGACATCTCTTCTTGCTGGGCATTCCACTGATCGGACTGGGCCTGGAACATGGCCATCATTTTCTCCTCTTCCGTCATGGCGGCGCTCATCTGCGACAACCCGGTTGTGGCAGGCTTGACTGGTTTCGCGGTGGCTTCTTTTCGGGCCGAATTCTTTGCACTTGCCGGCATCTTGCCCGTCACATAGCGCGCAGCTCGGCCAGCGCCAGGCTTGATCGGCGGTAGCCTCCGCGCGATGACTGTTGTCGATCGCGGGATGACGGTTGTGTCATCGTCATATTCTGTGGGATTCCTGTCAGTCACTGGGCGGCTTGTGGTCTTGGCTTATCATTAACTCACCTTCCGAGTTGTCTTCCGTGTATATAGCGAGGTCGAAGTCAGTCCCGTTGCCAAGGCCACTCTTGATTATGATGTCGCGCTTGAGCTCAAAGACTGAGATGCCGGTGCCGTCAAACTCGATCCGTGTCGGCTCCTTCTGCGACTTGAACTTGTAGAATACTGAGGATGTCATTGTGAAGTTGTGATAAGAGGGGTAGGGAATATGGTTCGTGGGCGGCTAGATGTCGGAGAGAGGAAGATTGCAAGGCGATACACCAGAAAACCGCTGGTGTTGAGGTGACGGGTGATATATTGCTAGATGGTTAGATCGGACTCGGCAAGACGCCGCTTGCTGTGCCTTCACCGACACACCAGTGTCGCGCGCTTCTGTTGGGAGGTGTAGACAAGTCTCGATTCCTCTTGTGGTTCTGCGATTGGTATCTCCTCTTTGCTTTCTTCTTTTGTCTTCTTTTTAGATCGCCGATTAGGCACGTCAGGAGGGCGGAGGGAACGTCAATATTTTGATTGTAATTGGATGAGTCCACGCAAAATTCCCCAGACAGAAGTAGCAGAAAAACACAAGTGTCTTCGCCTTTTGAAAATGTGCAGAAGAGAAAAGCAGGCAATGATTGTACAAGAGTTGAGGTGAGGCGCAAGGCCCTTGGCTGACAACACAAAGTCTGTATTGTTCACGGGTGAAGATAACACAGAGTGATATTGCCAGATGCAGATCCTCTTTTCTTCTTTCTTCTGAACGCCTTTTTCGCGCGCAACTACCGTTCTCGAGAACGAGTACTATTGATCACCAGAGATCAGAGGGTACCTGTGTCAAGCCGTGGCCGCCCCGTGCAAGCCAACTACACCCTTCCTAATGAAACTGCACTTCTAGAGCCCTCGAAGCTGTATCAAGATGATGGTTTGATCATCACCAGGCGTGGAAGCCGTCAAGTCCGTGAGTCACTGGGAATGCCGAGGCAGGAAGGTACTCGGCAGAAGCGTCGCGTTTGCACGTTGGTCGGAGTGCTGTCAAATGCGATGAGCTCGAAAATAATGCAACCGCGCTTTCAAGATCGATGCGCTCGCAAATGGTGCTCGCGGTTGCGTGCGAAGTATTGCGTGGCGATCGTTCGCAGTTGAGCTGACTAGATGGTGAAGGAAAGTGAGTTGGAGAGGAAGAAGATTGGGGCAGCCTGGACTGGTCTCGGTGGAGCCAGATAATCACATCAGCTGGCCCGCCCCACAAGCGCAACGTTCTCCGCGCTTCGCCGTGGATTAGTCACCAGCCACGTGACTCTGGTTGTCTCATGGTCCCCAGGAATCTGTTCCACATCAAACAGTGGCTCATGCAATGAACCACTTATTATGTAAAGGTTGCTCTACGCACAAACACGATGGTGCCAGCAGATTAAGGCGATCTGCGTGTTGATGTTACCAATGGAGACGGCATCTTGACTTATGCCAGTCACGCAAAAGGTGCGAAATGCTATTGATAACAGTGATCATGCAGGCATACCTTTTCATGTGCAGTGAAGAGTGGTCATACACATATTAACATTCTATGTTTTGTTCGCTAAATCATACGCTCTTCTTTCTATTTCTGGTTGTTACACGTAGAAACCAACACATGTCCAAGTGGCCGTCAACAAATTTTCTCGTTGCCTCGGGCCAGGCCTTTAGAATGCCTACAACAAGCAGACTCCAGCAATTACGGCAGCCACACAGGCAGCAATGCTACTCACCCTCGTGACCACTGCCGATGCGCCGCTCTTCACGTCAGGCCCACAGCACGGCCGGTTGTACGTGACGTTGTTCATCCTAGCCGCAACCTCAAACACCGACCCTGGCGGCGTGCCATAATTATAGTAATCGACGTTCAGGAAGTTGGGCGGCCGTCCCCACAGGTCAATGCAGCCATCCACACTGCCACCAAGGCTGCCAACGCCCTCTGCGCTGTTGGTCACGTTGAGCTCTCCTCGGGCGGGAACAGGCATGCTGGTTCCGAGCAGGCTCAGCTCTATGTTGAGATTGTGGTTCATCAGGTACAGCCTATTCTGGACGTCGTGCGTGGGCAGGTCTGGAGGACGCTGGATATTGCAGGGGAAGCTCTGATTCGTGGGGTCGAATGGTGTCTCGGACATCTGCGGGAACTCATCAAACAGCCACGGATATGTGCCCTGGTTGGCCTCGTAGTCCATCCACATGACCACGCGCTTGCCCTGGAGGATCATCTCCCCCAGAGTCGGCCAATCGTCCAAGTACATCGGCGCATGTGGCGGTGTATAGACGTATTTCAGAATACCGGACTGTTCAATGTACGGCACATACTTCGAAGCGGGTGAGCTGGCAGAGATGTGTCAGCGACTTTGTCTCGTGTGGCCAGCAGAAAGGAGGGGAATGTGTTGCTTACTAGTTGCCGTTTCCTAGCAGAATCGTCACGACATCGTACGGATGAGCAGCGACCCACGCAGTGACTGTAGATAGCCAGTCTGTGATTGGGCCAGCATCTAGAATGCTACAGCTTGTATGACAGAAATGAGGAACGTCGCTTCCATCTGGGAACTGCATCTGTGCCTGAAGCAGTCGGACACCATCATTGAGCTGATACGTCACGTCGAATTGCTGATTGGCTGCCACATTGTTTGGCGTGATGAAAGGCGAATTGTGACAGGCGACCTCAGTGATGTTGCTGTACTTCCGGCTGCAGAACTCGGGGTAGTTGTTGCATGGCTGAGTATTTGTGACTGTTGCCGTTGGTGATGTCGACGTGGATGTTGAGAAGTTGCCCGAAAGCGTTGTCGTTGTCTGTGCCGTACCGGTGAGGAAGGTGACCGTGTTTGTTGTTTGGGTTGCCGTGCCGGTGCCGTTGCCTGACGAGATGGTAGCATTGCTGACGGCCATAGACGACTCGAGGTCTGGGATCTCGCCGAGTCCCGTGCCGAGGGTGAAGCCGGACGGGAAGGATTGGGCCGCGGTGCGCGTTGGCAACTGGCTGATAGAAATGGTCGAGCCTGTGAGTGTCGTCCTGGGATCGTCAACTGTTTGCGCCAGAGCACTGGCGGCCAGAAGCGACAGGCCGGTTGCCAGCCTGAACGCCATTGTTGTGTTGCTCGTTGAGATGCTGGAAACGGTAGGGCACTGCTGAAGTCCTGCTTGGAAGTTAAGGTGAGCCCTGAGCTCTCGGGTGATCCTAAGGAGATCGCCGAGTCGGAAAACAGGCAGAAGAAGCTGGAAGAAACCACCAAACAAGAGTGGCTTGGCCTCGGTTCAGACGATGGAGGTGAAAATGCTGTGAAGGAAAGACACACACTGAGCCCCAAGCTTGTAAGGATCCAAATGATGTGGTTGCCAGAGGCACTGGTCTGGCTAGCGCGGCCTGGGCGATCCGCGACCCACGGAGCAATGCCAGCAGCGCGCGAACCGCATTGCTGGTGCTCTCAGGGAGTCGCGGGCTCCGCATGGAGGAAGCGGTACGCACGAGTACTTCAGAGGCCGCGCAAGAGAGCCCCATCTGGGATGACGGGATGGCCTGGTCGAGCGGCTCCAGGGGCTGCACTGCCCGGCGTCACAGGCACGCACGCCGGGGGCCGCGCTGAGGCCAGTGAGGCGGGCCAAGCCGGCACCGCAGCGCCCTAGAGCGCCCCTAGCGGGCCCGCCATGCTCGGCACGCGCCACGTCAAGCGCGCCATGACGTAGGGGCCCGTGAAAATTTACTGCTGGGCAGCGGTGGTGATAGGAGACCCTCCAATAGTCCCGCGTTGTTCTGACAGGTTGCGTGAGAATGATGACCACACTCGATGGCGCGCTCGCATCGCTCCAATGCCCAGAGATTCGTCCGCCGTGAATACGAGCATCTACAGCCTACCTTGATTAGCACGGCCACATGTCGCCGGGGTGAGACGGCAGCCAGGCAGCAGAATAATTGGGCACATAGTAGTGGTGGCCTTGAAAGCGGAGCAGGAGGAAGAAGGGGTCTTTGTTTCTGAGGCAGGGATGTGAGTCCAGAACAGGGCCCTGCAGATCCGCAGTCACTGTGATTCAAGAACCCTGTACGGGACTTGCGCGTACAGCAGGATCATCGAGTGCGATAAGCACCGAATGACAACAATGACTGGGCCATGCTGCGTCCTCGAGGCTCGAGGAGGAGCAACAAGGCCCAGTTCTCAAGCTTGTTGAGTGCAAAGAGTGGAAACGATTGTCCAAGATGCTCCGCCCATCCGTCCACCCTTTCGTGCACGAGTGGCCCACCAGGCCGGTACTTGCAGGTACGGCCAGGCCCCTTGTTGCCGTCATTGCCTGAGCCGCTCGGCTCGAGCTTGTCGTCTCCTAAAGCCCAAACAAGCCCGCCCAGCACAGTGGAGGCCCTGAGCGTCGTCAACATGTGTCGATCTGGAAACCCTCCACAAACACTCCTGCATCTTCTCTTGTCCGGGTACCGCATGTCGAATCTGGGCTTGACTTGCCCGCCAACTCGCTCTCACGGCCAGAACGAGCCCATGCTCTATTGAGCTCAACCCCAGCATCTGTATCCCGTCGGCACCGACTCAATTGCCTGGTTCAACGAAGTTCTTCGTCACGATAGACCGCGTTGATACCCAGCACAAACTACAAACCCACGACAGCCATGGCGGGCTTCCGCTTCCGCAGGCGAGGAGCGGGTCCTCAGGACCATCACGATAGTGACAGTTCCGTCACCCAGACTGACACCCAGTACACCGAGCACGGCCAGAACTACAGCAAAGTTGCCGTGAAGCAGGCGACCAAGACGAGGCGCAACGCCATCATATTTGCCTGCTTCTGCTATCTCATGACTCTCGTCTTCCTCATTGTGGTCAGTATTCGTCTCACGTCGAAGGCTACGGTCAGCTTACTAACATTGGGGTCTACATCACAGGTCGAGGTCGGCAACACGCCTGGCAGCGGTCCGCGGCAAAATATCTACTTCTTCAAGCTCGATCTCGCCGACATCATTGCTCAGTCTCTACCTCAGGGCTTGATCCTGACGAACTCTATCGCTCGCACACTGGGCTTGCACGACTTCTACCAGGTTGGCCTGTGGAACTTCTGCGAAGGCTATCTCGATGAGTGCGTCTCCTGGTGCTATGCTTTCTCCCGCAACACAAGTTGACTGACCTCGTGTCCCAAAACAGAGGCATAACATATTGTTCCCAGCCACAGGCAATGTACTGGTTCAACCCTGTCCAGATCCTCCTGTCGGAGCTCTTCGCGGGCGCTTCCATCGCCCTACCCAGCGAGGTCAACAACATCCTCGACATCCTGCAGATCGCCTCGCACGTCATGTTCGGCTGTTTCCTGGCGGCACTATGCTTGTCATTCGTGCTCATCATCGCCAGTCCCATCGTGCTGCGCTCGCGCCTTTGGTCCGGCGTGCTCTCTGTCTTCGCCTTTCTCAACAGCCTGCTCATCATCGTTGGGTCCGCGGTCGGCACAGCGATGGGACTTATCGCGCAATATGCGCTCTCCTCCCAGCCAGAACTTAACGTCAAGTGTGAGCTCGGCATCACAATGTACGTCCTGATGTGGATCGCGGCCGGCTTCTCCGTGCTTGCATTCTTCGTGCACGCGGGCATGTGCTGCTGCTGCACCTCCCGTCGGGACATCCGTACGGGCCGGCGCAACATTGTTGGTGCTGGCAGGAAAGAGGGTGCAGCTGGTGGCGGCGGCGTGGCACACGATTATACCGAGCGTGGCGGCGCCACCAATGGACGTAGCGAAGGCGTGGTCGACGAAGAGAAGACGCACGGATACAGCCTGCCCAAGTTCACCAAGATGAGGCGCAAGCCGACGGTGCGCAGCTGAGTTAGACGAGGCAGTAGCCATGCCTGGCGAGAGTAGAGGGATAGAACACTTTTATTTCGCCTCACACATCCTTCCTGTCATCTGAAAATCAGTGCCAGGACCATACGAAGATCATGACCAGGCTTAGGTGCACATATCTAGGAGAAAAGAGGGACCAAAGAATAGACTATTGAAACATAGATAGCGCTTCGTTAGACACGCTAATTTGAGCGATACTGCTCTTGGAAATACCTGTGAATCGTCACATTGAGATATGGCACCAACACTCCGCCCTACAGCGTCGCATATTGTAGCGTAACCCTGAGCCATAATAAAGCCAGGATCTGTGGTGTAGAATCTTCCCCAATCCGACAATGGTATCATTGAATACGCGTTCCCTATCTTCAGGTCATTCGTCACGCCGGACACATTGAGTGGTGTGCCAGTGTGCCCCTACACGACCGTATGGTGCGCCCACGCTCGCCATTCTGCACTCATTTTGACTCGATTCCGTACGCCTTCAACGCCGTAGCGCCCCAAATGTTCCGCTGTGCCTCATCATCGAGCGTGGCCATCCAGCACAGCCTCGCAACAACCTTCTGCCACTTTGCCCACGCCTCGGACGCGCCAACACCCACGGTGCAGACGGGCCAGTCGCTGCCAAACATGATTCTGTCGCTGCCGAACGCCGCCAGGATGACGGAAAGCCATGGCATCAGGGCCTCGAAGATGTCCTCGGCGGGACGCTCCTTGAGAGAGTCTGGCATCTCGGAGAAGCCGCCCGAGATCTTCATGTATGTCTGCTCGCACTTGCCGAGGGTAAACATAGCTGTGCGCCAGGCGAGGAAAGACGGCGAGGACATGGTGTTGTACACGCCGAGGTCGGGCTTGCACATGTGGTCTATGATCAAAAATCATGGTCAGCAGGGTTGAGCAATGCCACCGAGTATCTGTGAAAGTGCACAGGATTCCACAACAAAGGGATAGAAGAGGAGAGGCAAGACTCACTAAGGATGAAAACAACCTTGTCCTCCTCAGGCACACCCTCGTGAGCACGATCAATCATCTCAACCGCCTCCTCGAGCTGCACCCTGCCACGACGGTGCTGGTCGATGCCCAGATCGAACACGAGCTTCTTGCGGCCCAGCAGCTTCAAGCTCTCAATGAACTCGTCGGTCAAGCAGGTCCCATTCGGCTTGTCCTGCAGCAAGTACCGGAACCCGCGCACTTTGCTCCAGCTCTCGCCCGCGACCTCCTGCGCCTTGGCAATGTACTTTTCGAGCACGGCCGCGCCGCTCGGCATCGGCGCCCAGGGGATGTACGCGACGCACAGCTCGGAGTCCTCCTTGGTGTGGCCCTGCCCTTCGCGGGGGTTGCCCGTCACGATGCGCTTCAGCCAGTCGATCTCGGCGAGCGGGTGCTCCCAGCCCTTGCTGCCGCCAGCCTCGTCAGCACCGGAGGCGAGGTCATGCTTGCGGTCGGTCTCGAGGAAGATGAAGCCCTTTGCCGCGCCGCCGGTCGCCGCCTTGTAGTCCTCCACCGAGTGCTGCTTGCCCAGCGGGTTCTCGGGCGTGTACCAGGACAGAGTGTCGAGCTCTGCCTCTGGGTACAGGTGGATGTGTGAGTCGATTATGGGGAAGGATGTCGCCATGGTTGCTGTGAGGCGCCGGGGACAAAACTATTTTTGTTTGATACTGCCCTGGAATCTAGCTGGTCAAATGGAACGGCCAGAGGGAACTGTTGTCAGGCGACTGTACACAGGACGGGCTGGCGCAAATACTGGGCGACTCAGAGTCTTGCTTTCTTTCCTAGCAGTTGACAGAAGTAAAGTCAAGTTGGCCTGGGAAAACAATCGGAGAAGAAGTTTCGGTGAGTAACGCGTACATGCCCAGGCTTGTGTTGTCAACTTTTGGACCCTTTGATCCCAGCAGGCGGCTCGGGGCAGAGCTACCCCGCCACGCCACGGCGTTGTGGCCCCAATCTCAGGGGGGAGGTGCGGGTGGAGTTTCCCCACCTGCCTGCTCTCTATCGCCCTATTGCCCTACAGCTTAGGGGTAAGATAGGTCGCTGTGAGCCGGTACTTGCCGTGGTCAGTCTCCACGGGTCAATCAGATACTTGCCAGTTCCAGTCATGTCGAGATCACTGTGATAACTTCCGCAAGTCAGCGTGGAAAAGGCGACACTCGCAGGACGAGTTCTAAGAATGCCCTTGTGTCACCGAGACGAACAAAGTCAACTTTGAAGATGGAATGTACTTTGGACATGTCCTTCTCCAAAATACCCGTCGGCATTTTAAGCATGATCCCTGGGTGATGGACCACCGGATGACAGCGGCCGAAAGAAACGGGCTCACCATTACAATTTCTCTCCGCCAGGTTGGTAGCATTTATGATGGGAAGTTCGACAGGTTACAAGCGAGCATTGGGGACATGTCACAAGATGCACCGGACATTGTGGATGTATAAGATTCATATCGTCATCTCATAAAAAAAGGCAGATCATGACTTGCATCACTCTCTGTAACTATTTACATGGAAGTTTTTCTTGCGTGACAAGCAATGTTTTTGGTGAGCTTTCTGGCTCTTTGTCTTTTTCCTGCCGACCTATTCTCAAACACTTCCCTTTTTTTTGGTTTTTCTTCACCATTTTAGTTCGAAAAGGTCAGGCAAAAGTGGCTGGCTTGTGGGGGGAAAAACAAGACCACGTGGTTCTCGGACGGGTGCGGAGCTGGTCGGTGACGGCGTGTCCATCATCTTGACTGTACTGAAGGACAACAGGGCGAAGGTGATGGACAAGACAGGTCCCGTGCTCGTGACGCTGAAGATCGGGCACAAGGCTCTCCTGTTTCTTCAGGGGACAATTTCTTATGAACAATTGCCATGATTGGGTTTGCAAGAGGACAAAGAGAGCCTGTGGAGTCGGACGAACAACTACTCGATCCCAGAGGAATTCGAGCATCGTTCGGCCCGGGGGGTTTGCGCACAGCACAAGGAAGCGGACGAGTGGAGGTCCCAGGTACTGCTTTGCAAGAACCAGCTTGCAAAGAGACCGGACGGGCGGGACAAGCTCCATCGTAGTCAGGATGCTCTCAAAGTAAGAGTAGCATTCTTTTCGCCTTCCTGGCGTGCTGCGCTGGAGGTAGAGTCTGGTGTTGTGGTTCTAATGCAAAGGGAACAACAAGACGAGAGACGCGCAGCGCGGTCGAGCATGCCATACCCAGAAGTCAACCGGGCATTAGTGGCAGCGACGCGGGGTCAATCTCGTAAATGAGTGACGACCATATTCTCTTCTTCTTCTGTGTATTACTTCTTCCATTACCGATGGTTTCCCCGAGGCAGCAGCTGACTGGGCATCATGAAGCATGGCCGCTGCAGTAGATTGAGGACAGCAACAACTCGTATGAATAATGAATCCCACCCGGGACGGGGGCTGGGCCATTTAGTCGCGGACGACGATGCCGTGGCGGCGGGAGCTGGTGGAGACGTACTCGTCCTCGGAGGAGGAGCAGTCAGAGTCGTCGTCGGAGTAGCCGCAGCGGGAGCCACCGCAGTCGATCTTGACGCGGTCACCCTTGCGGGTGATGCCGTAGCGCTCGCAGGTGCAAGAGCTGCAGTCAGAGGCGGGGGTGCTGTAGCCGGACATGGACGAGTTGGGCGAGGAGCTGTCGGAGCGGTAGGAGACGCTGGAGCCGGTGGAGGAGGCGGGCGAGGTGCAGAAGTCGGTGATGATGTCCTCCTCGTCGAAGCCGGCAGCGTTGAAGCGGGCGGTCAGCTCCTCAATGGTCTCCTCGTCGCAGTAGTCGGCATCGAGGATGTGGCGGGTGGCGTGGGGAGCCATGGGCTTGGGAGCAACAATCTGCGAGGTCGACAGAGGGCGGCCCTTGGGGATGTCGCTGGAGCGCTTGGAGGAGCGGTGGCTCTTGTCCTTGGAGGAAGACTTGGACGAGGACTTGCTGGAGGACGACTTGGAAGACTTGGAGGACTTGTCCTTGGGGACGTCGAGGATGTTGAGCTCGCGGCCAGTGGTGGGCTCGACGGTGGAGGCCTCGCTGGGGTTGTGGGAGACGTGGTAGCCGTCAATGATGTAGTAGTACCAGTAGCGCTTGCCAGCCTCAAGGTTGCCGGAGAAGCGGAAGGTACCCTTCCACGAGCCAGACTTGGACGAAGACTTGTCCTTGGACAGGGGGATCTGGCCAGCGTAGTTGTCCCACGAGCCGAGGAGGTGGACGGACTTGACGCCGGAAGAGACGCGAAGAGAGAAAGACAGCTGGATGGACGCCATTTTGATTGTAGTTGGGGCTTTGCAAAAAAGATTGTGTTGTGTAGTTGGTGTTTCAAGTGTCTTTGATGAGCAAGAAAAGCTAGGCTTTCGTTTGATTAAGTTGACCGGCAACTATGATTTGGTTTTTTTGAGTTTTGAGAGTGAGAGTAGATTATTGCGAGTAGAGCACAGCTCGTACAAGCGTAGAGAGAAAAAGGACAGGGAAAGGGGGAAAACGAAAAGACTAGCTTTTGTTGATTAGATGCTTGCTGAAGAGGAAAAGAGAAGACAAGAGGAAGAAACGGGTGGCGGATGTTGCTCGTATTATACAAAGTGCCGGCCGGCCTCGAGAACGGCCACGAGGAGGGAGGGGGGGCCGCGTCTAGGGCCGCCTTGGCCATGGATGGTGTGCAAGTCGTCGATCCCATCCTGGCAAACATTAACAGACAGCAGTCCAGCTGGTGGGCCCGCAGGCTGGGTGCTCGTCGCCCATGGGTGGTCGTGGGGCGCTCTGCCAAGCCATCAAGCCGATATCACCCAAGGACAAGCATGAACCTGGCCGCAAGAAGAATCGAGCTGGACTTGCAGCCAGCTGCATGCAGAAGCACTGCATGACTGGCGGCTAAGCAAGCTCGTGGGGAGTTGCTGGACGGGCCAGAGGGCAATAATAGCACAATAAGCTTATTGGCTGCACCCGGAAGGACTAGTCGAAAAGGGCCATGCAGCGTCTAAACTTGAGTCCCCATTGGCTGACATTGAGACCCTGTCAACCCATGGCCCGCTGGTCGTCACACCTGGCCACGCCAGGGTGTTGACCAATGGCGCGCTCGAGGACGAGGACGGTGGCTGCAGCTGCTGGGCTAGCACGTCGTAACCATGCCGGCGGGGCGTTGTGTTCTTCATTGTGGATGGCTCGGGGCTGACATTGGCGGACATTTGCAATGTGACGGTCTCGTGCCCTGCAAGCCTGGTCAGAAAAGTGCCATGAGCTTTGACCAGGGAGCTGGCGATTGACGACGAGATTGGCCATGTTTTGATCCTTTCGCAAAGTCATGCATGCAGCATATGCGATGCATCATGCTCGTTCATGAAAGGATGGCAGCTCAACGCCATGGGCAGAAAGACACGGACCGTAGCAATGTTGACGGGCAGGGTCTGGAGTTTTCAAGTACTATGGTGACGAGCTGGAGTAGCGACATAACTTATTGGCAGGCCAGCTACACAAGACAGATCCAGCTGCACCGGTTTTCCTCACTGCCATTGGCGATAGTTGGTATTTCAAACACTCCTGGACATGAGGATATTGTCAACTGCCCCATCCAGCAAAGCAGCAGGCCAGTTCACAAAATGTCGGACGACGTGCGGGATGGGCACGACATGGAAATCATGAGCGTGGTGGAGGCCCAGAGACATTTAAGCCAGGCAGGAATCCATGTCCTATGCATGCACGCGTTAGCTCCGGCGGGTAATGGCAACGATGCCATACAGTGGAAGGCGAGCAGTGCAGTGCAGGCGGACTCCGCATGTCTTACTCCGTACTCCATGGCCGACGGGCTCGACTGGTGGGGCCCCTTTTATTCGCAAGCTGTTGATGATGGCGCCGAGCGAGGACTGGGATGCATGGTGTGTTGCTGGCCGGCATTGGCCTCTGGGAGACTGAGACAGTATTGCGGATCAATTGTCGTGATGCGCAAGGAAGCCACTTGCAGCTGCTGAAGCTGAGTGGAGGACCACAGTTAGTTACCCTGCCTGGGAGCTTGGGAGCCTTAGGCCAAGCACGGTGAGCAACGGGGCAAATCACTTGAGCAATCACCTGACGAGAGGGGCTGCCCAGGTGGCTGGTGCTGCCGCGGCCACAAGTGCAGCCGCATTTGTCATTCGCCAGCTTCGGCCGCCAACCCGCATAGATCAACCTGCTCAACCGCGCTGTGGCTGCTGATCCCCAGAGCCGGCTGGACTCGAGTCGCCCGCCTGACCGGTCACAATCCGGCAGCTGCAAAAAGCCAAGAGACCGTTGCTGTCGGGGCAACTTCTGCATCGCGCGCTGCGGCTTCCAAGGCAGCTGCAGTGTAACCACATCGACCACTCCCTGGCGACGACTTAGCCGCCCAGACAGGCCTGCCGATCAGCACGGTAAGTCCGGTGAAGCATGGGCATGGCATGGCCTCCGCTGGTACCGTCAATCAGCTTTGTTCGGTAACCGACGACATGGAGGTGGGATGGCAGCAACGGTCTGGCCTCTGGGCGCACCTGTTGCTGGCTGTATGGGTGGGACCTCTGGCGTACCTGGCACCGCGTCTAAACCCCTCCAACACTTCCATGCAACCACTTACACGCCTGGGGGCACATCACATCTTGAAAACCACCAACGCTCCAGTCCCATTCGTCGCCAACGCCGTGATGGCGTGCATGAGCTCGCGTGCTCAAAAGCCCCGACAACATCACAAACATACAGCTGGCTGACATGGATCGTAGCCTATAGCATCGACCCGTGCCCCTGGATTCCCCGGTCTGGTCTTGATTCCGGCAGGCAAATCCACCCACCCTGCTGGGCTGCTGAAGATAACATGGACGCAGTGCCCACTACCACCAATGGGCCGAGGGCAATCCCGGCCGCCGCCCTCGTCAGCTCCGTCACGGACTACGTCAAGGAGTACATGGCCAAGTATGACGGCTCCCATGACTACCACCACATCGAGCGAGTAGTCGGTCTCGCCAGGCACATCCAAGCCAGCTCGGCCCCTGACAGCCCTGCCGGCAAGAGCGACCTCCACGTCGTCACCCTAAGCGCCCTGCTCCACGATGTCGGCGACAAGAAGTATCTCAAGGCCGGCGAGGACCACACCACCATGGTCGCACACCTCCTCGTCTCCCTCGGCGCAGACGAGACCCTCGCAGACCGTGTGCAGACCATCTGCCTCGGCGTCAGCTACTCCAGCGAGATCAAGGACCCGGAGCGGGTGAGGAAGCTCGTCCTGGAGCATCCCGAGCTCGCCATCGTCCAGGACGCCGACCGCCTCGACGCCATTGGCGCCATTGGCATTGGCAGGACATTCACCTTTGGCGGCGCCAAGAGTGCCGGGTCGGCCACAGTCGGCGGCGGCCGGTCCATGTATGACACGATCGAGCACTTCCACGACAAATTGCTCAAGCTTGAAAACATGATGAAGACGGATGTCGGTCGCCAGCTGGCCAGGGAGAGGACAGTTCGCATGGAGAAGTTCTTGGACTGGTGGGCCGATGAGAAGGCCTTTGCGAGCGCCTCCGGTCTGGACGGATGAAGATGACGACGGCATTAGAGTCACGTCTTGGGACCAGCAATGGGTCTGAGTAGGACGAACGATTACATCCTTGCGAATTGAAAAGCTAGGCTAGAGATCGTCGGGAGATAGACTTGCCATTTCGTAGAGATGACCCAGTATAGACAAAGCCCGTAGAATCAGACGGTTCAATTTTACGCATACGAGACATCCTACATCCATGACGACGTGTTTCCCTCTTGATGAACGACTAAGGAACATGACGACGCAGGTAGAGTGTCCCACCGGGCTATTTATCCCCTGATACATCGCAATATCTCTCGCCGGAAAGCGAGGGTGCAGTCGAAAAAAGAGCGTAAGAGGAATGAAAAAATAAAGGAAAATAAACCCAACGTCTGAGTGGGTTCGGCCAGATGGGTACCGTGGGCTCGAGTACCTGATTGTTGTTGCGCATCGCAATTCCTTTCGCCCTTTGTTGTTATCGTCTTTGTCGTCATCGCTGTCGTAAAAAGGTCGCCAATTAAAACTGCAATATTACCCCCAGGTCTTGAAGGACCCTCCCCGCCCACGTCGTCGGCAGCGACTTGGTCCGCCGCAGCAGCTAAAAAGTACAAAAGCTCTCTCTGCTCCTGTTAAGACATGAGAGACTGGAGGAACAGGGTAAGTCTATCCCCCCCCCCCCGGCAGCACGAATGTGCTCTCTTGGACAGTGACAACACAAACCGCAGCACAATATGACGAGCAACAACAAAAAGGCAAGATAACCACCCAATATGATTATCAGCGTCCTTCAAAGTTTCTTGGCAAGTGCTTCGTTCGGGGATGGTGAAGGACATTGAACGTGGAGTTCTCACTGGGTCCTGATCGGGACGGCAAATTCGTCGGTGGGCACTCTGTACCTGCATACCTAGGTAATCTGCCATTAGATCTCGCGCAGCAGTATTTCGGATAGAATGCTTCATTCATTTTGGGGGGTTGTGCCATGATACTGCCCCATCAGGTCCGTTCCCATGGCGGGACGTCTCGAACGATCTCGATTCGGTATCGAGTGTCTCATCGTAAAGCATTGCAAATGTGGAAGTGAAAAGAGCCTCGGCGGAACTGTAATCTCCTCTTAAGACCTCAAGTATGTCTCCACGTAAAGTTATGTGTTGGAAAATGGTTCCCTTTACCGTGATATAGGTTTGGCCTGACACTTAGCCGGATCTCACATTCATGTTCGTTCACAAGTGGTCATTGTGTTATGGTCATTGTGTTGCTTGGTAATTCTTTTTTCATTCCACATCACTCGATGGACCTATTTCTTTTGTGCAGGCCCTCTCGATGTCCACTATCCGCCCAGATAAAGGCAAGTCGTTTTCTATGTAAGCAAGGCTTGATTCCAAAAGCAACAAAGGTTTAAAACTCCCAATAAGCCGTATTGGAGAAGTCGAAGCAGAGGCGGGGTATCCTAGGTAATTTATTTGGCGGCACCGAAGATGGTCTCCATCATGATACCAGTGATCTGGTACGGGTCGGCGTTGGAGGCGGGCCGGCGGTCCTCGAAGTAACCGTAGCCCTTGGCAGCGGTCTCTCTGGGGATACGGATGGAGGCACCACGGTTGGCAACACCGTACGAGAACTGGTCAATGGCACCAGTCTCGTGTCTGCCGGTGAGACGGGCCTCGTTGCCCTCTCCGTAGACAAGGATGTGCTCCTTGTGGCGACCCTCAAGCTTCTTGATGGCAGCCTCAATGTGCTTCATGCCACCCTCGACACGCATCTCCTTGCTGGAGAAGTTGCTGTGAAGACCGGCACCGTTCCAGTCTGTGACGTCATTTGTTAGCATGGTTGCGGCAGCCTAGGGCGCGCAATTAGGAAAGTGACTTACCACCAGGGATAGGCTTGGGGTGGACGGAAACCTTGGCGCCAAACTCCTCGGCGACGCGGTGGAGCAGGAAGCGGGCCATCCAGAGGTGGTCACCCATCTCGATGCCGAGGCAAGGGCCGACCTGGAACTCCCACTGGGCAGGCATGACCTCGGCGTTGGTGCCGGAGATCTTGATGCCGGCGTACAGGCAGGCCTTGTAGTGAGCCTCGACGATGTCACGGCACACAACCTTGCCGGCACCAACACCGCAGTAGTAAGGACCCTGGGGGGCAGGGAAGCCGTTCTTGGGCCAGCCGTAGGGCCTGTCGCTCATGTCGAAGAGAGTGTACTCCTGCTCGAGACCGAACCAAGGCTCGTGCTCGGCGTGGGTCTCCATGAGCTTGGCGGCCTCATGGCGGTGGTTGAACTTGTTGGGGGTGCCATCAGACATCCAGCACTCAGAGAGAACCAGGATGTTGGGGACGCCACGGAACGGGTCAGGAAAGACGGCAACCGGACGCAGGTAGACGTCAGAGTTGTCGCCGGGGGCCTGCTCGGTGGACGAGCCGTCGAAGTTCCATACGGGAAGGTCCTCAGGCTTGAAACCGCCCTCAGGAACGGAAGTCAGAGTCTAGAGAGTGGAGACTAGTCAGTACGGCTTGGCTCGATACCATGACAGCAACAGAGAGTGGCGATGACGCGGAACACCGAGAGGCGAAATGGGGTCTGTGTCACTTGGCGTGCCGTTCCAGAAGCCGGCTTAGGCGACTCGGGAAACCTTCGCTGCATGACACGGGGCCACTAGGGCACCTTTGGTGGGGAGCAAGAGGGTGTAAAGGTGGAATCCCGGAGCGCTACCAGGCGCAAAGACGGGGACCATGCCTGAGCGAAATCGTAGGCGCCTGGGGCGTGCGACTCCCCCATGGCCCTGCGGCGGTGCAGCAGTGTCGCTGGGCTGTCACGGCTGAAGCCGGAGGACAAGGGAACCCGCGGCCGGCCTTGAGCCGAACACGACACTGTCGCGGACAGCCCGAGGCCAACAAAGCCACACGACTCGCCCGGCAGCTTCACGAGGACGCTTGGGGACGCCCCGAGATAGGGAAATCGCGGGCAGTGGGGCAGGAAGGAAACAGTGCGTGTATGTGTGTGCGGAGGACAGCTGCTTCCATGACCATGATGGATCGAGTAATGGCGAGGGCTGCGATTCGGTGTAGATAGTGGCAGTTGGGAGGCTATTACGTACTCTGCTCTTGGAGCGAACACCGCCGTGGGCATCGATCCAGACGTACTCGGCCATAGCCGAGCCCTTCTGGTCGAGCTTCATGTACTTCATGAGCTAGTGACACATGTTTGTTAGCAAATGGCGTGTCTTCTCCGTGGGCATTGCCGGCCGCGAGCGTCATGGGCCTCGGCCTGCTCGCCAGGACCCCTTTGCGCGCGGACCAGCGAAATGTGCGCATGCGCATGCGCACGCGCAAAGGGAGGGCGGGCGAGGCAAGAGCGCATGGGCGGGCGTGGCAGGCGGAGGCTCGAGTGCCGACATACGTTCTCAGTGTACGAGACAGTTGTGCTTTCGGCCTGTGGGAGGAGCAATCTGTTAGCAAATCATCTCGTGATGGCTTTGGCTGATTGGTTGCGGGAGCGTGTCCAGGTGGGGAATGCGCTGGGCGCGCAGGGCTGGAGACGAGGCAACTGACCATGGCTGCGGTTGTGACGGTTTGACGACCGGGAAGATGTGTTGGAGGTGAGATTTGTGGTTGGAGATTTCGACTCTAGAGCTGCGGGACAGGCGTGGCTCTTGGATTTCTTGCTGCAAGGGGCACAAGAAGACGTTGAGATTCGGATTGAGAAGCTCAATACTGGAGAGGAGAAGCAGACGAGAGGAGGAGGGGTCTGAGAAGGCGCGGGGTCCCTGAGGGCTTTTATGCGGATAAGGAATGCTTCGCGACCAGCCGGGGCAGTGCGCTTTATCTCTCGCAGCTTGAGGCCATGACGCCCCCCCGGCTGTGTTGAGGCCCGGTATTGCTTCGCGGCTAGCCAGGCCCCAGAGATAAGGAACTCTTGCCCAAGCTGCGGTCGTGTGCTCCGCGTGCTGTCACGGGCAGTGCGTTGCCTGGATTAGCACGCCGTGATACGTAAACCATCCCGATCTGCCTCGTTCCGGGCGCCCTACTGGCTGCGACAGCCCAGGGCTGCAGCAACGGCGGGGAGGGGGGGTGCGTCCCTGGAAAGTGGGCGCGGCCATGCCCGCCCACTCCCATGGTGGGGTTGGTGCAGGTGGGGTTTGCCCCCCCCCCCTCCCTCTCAGATCCCAGGCCAAACATGACCCGGCTGTTGGCAAGCAGATGTTGTTCCTCTAGCTTTTCGGCGGGCGGCCCAGAGCCCGGAGACAGCCGAGCCCAGCCTCGAGGCGAGGCTTGCCACTTTGATGGCATCCTCGTGTTATACGGTAAGCAGGCATCGCCTTCGACGCTCATTACGTTGGTCGCGCTCGGGTGGATTTCGAGCGTTGCTGTCCAGTTGTTGACTGACTGACTGGCGACAGAAGGTTCCGCCTCACGAGAGCTTGCCAAACGACGGTTTCCACTTTGATGTGGCTGCCCGGGCCAAGGGGACCAGCGACCGCTTCAAAGGAAGACACTACACAGCACACTACACAGGAAGCGCAGCCGCCACGCTTCGCTCAGCTGGGGACTCGCCTTGGGGGTCTGTGCCTTGCGACCTGGACTCGAACAGGATAGCATCCACCACTTATGAGCTGGGGTCGAGACTCTTTGAAGACATAAAATTGTTCGATTTGTTCTGCACGCCTGTTCCATACAGTATTCCCATGCCGTCCAAGGACTCACCTTGTAGCCAACTAGTGGCTCCAGCTGGACTTCAATATGCCTGCAGAGCATGGTGTGAAGATAGACAACCGACGGTGTGGCCGAAGGACTAGTCAGCGAGATCATTTAGCTCAGAGATGCTAACGCCGACCTCGAAGCCATCTGGCTGGCGCTCGTGTCATTTGAGTGCAGGTCGACTTTGGACGCCCTCAGGAAACTGTCGAGTTGTGGGAGGAACTGGGAGCTTCCGCCTTGGGGCGATATCGGAACTCCATGGGTGGGAAATTGTCGGATCTATTTCCACCGGCGTAGTGGAACCATCCATCTGGCAGCCGAGTTTCCGGGGCACTGGCAGGGCGCTGCTAGAGACACGGATCATCAATGCCCGGAAGGAGAAACCACCATACGCCGCACTTCCGGATACAAGCCCCTTAGACATACAGAAAGCGATGTAGCTCGCAGGCCGTGCAGCTGGTGCCTGGCATGATGCAGTCACCTTTCACAAGACGTTGTACCTGGCCTTGATGCAACGCTGACTCGTCAAATTCCGAGGCTCACTGGGGCCACGGCTGCTGTCGAATTGGACGTACGATACAGTATTAGTGTTGCCATGTTCAACGGTGCCTGCGGCGGACAAAAGCCCGTAAATTGTGCCGCGTACTGAGACATGTTGACTCTCGAGCCACGAGACCACATTTTATCCATCTGACTTGTCATTGAGACAAGGGACCTCGCTTCCTCTACCTTCTCAATTCTTCTTCAGACCCCTAACCCTGACATCCGTCGGGTAGAGTGTGCTCTGTCCCGCAAGTCAGAGCAGGCACTTATCAAGTGAACTATGCCTACAAGCCTTGGACTGTGGCCAGCGAGACTAGCGATCACGGAAGGCCTCAGCATAGCCTGGGGGCAAGCACGCTCCTCCGCTAGGCTTCTGTGAAAGTGGCCAGACATGACTTGGGGTGCCCCCAAGCCCTGCCCGGAACGTGGGGCTTACCAAGGGCAACGATCTTGCTCGCAACGACCAGAGGGAAGGGCTGGCGATCGCCAAAGTGGCCAACGAGACGGCAGCCATTACGACGGCAGATTTTGAACACATATGGAGGAGGGATGTGGTCGAGAGGTGCGCGACATCCATCCAAATCTGTTTTGCGTGTCCGAACTTCGGCGCGGAGGGGGCCGTTCATTGCAACACAGACGGTCATTGGTGCGCACAGCTAATCTAGACCCTGAAGGCATTAGCCGATCATGGGCCGCGCTCGAGTGTGGGGGCATCCTGGTCGATATCTCGAAGACCCCAAGCCAGGTAGGCACACCGAAAAAGCAGGAGCGTGGGCGCGCGGGTGACTGCTGGCCAGACAAAGAAAGTAACTCAGATCCGTGGGGGATACTGTCGTCTCTTGTGCATCCTTCCAACGACACTAGGTGGCTAGGAATTAATTGTTGTCAAAATCTGACTCCAGAGGATGATTCGAGCACGGGTATGCAGGACTACGGGACTGCCCCACTAGTTAGCCGTACACCCCTTGGATCTTGCCTAAGCTCGCCGCAATGTTCCGAGGAGTTGTCGAGTGTCAGATGCGCCGTCAGGTGTATCGTCAGCCAGGACAAGGCAAAGTTCGGCATAGCTCGCCGCTCTGCTCGTCTCACGCTGCTCGCTCGTAAAAGTCTTCTCCGTACATTTCACGTAGGGCAACTCTGGCAGGCCTTGCCTTGTTCCCAGCCTGAAGATTATCTGGAGCGCCCTGCCAACATTATCTCGCAATGCTCAGCTGCGCCAATGGCGCCCCGGACTGCCACCAGACGTACAGCACCAGAACTCTAAACCTTCTTTGCATTCGGGTCTGATCTCCGATCTACAGGGCACAGCCAGGTCGACGACTTTGACTCGCTTGGGCGTCGAGGTGGTTTGCCAGGCATGATACATCCGCAAAGGCGTTGCCAAAGTCCCATAGTAGCTGCTGTATGGATCCGCTAGCCTTTCACTCTGTTTGTCACTCCCTGGGGAAATTCTGATGACACTTGTCTGCGTGGTAACTCGGGCTGAGACCGATAGGTTGGTGGCTGCTTGAGAGCGCCCGTCGTGGTGGTGCCGCGGGGGCCCCGCTTGGTTGGCTTGGGGACCGCCGATGTGCGCCCGCGCAAGCGTCCGGGGTGGAAGCCTTGCTGTCGTGATATCGTCGTACGCTGATTCGCCAGCCGCCCGCTATTTCGTCACCAAGTTTGTCGTTGGTTTAGTAACGGTTAAACATTGTCCACCCCGGGCGGCTGCACTGTTCCTGTTGTAAAGGCACTTTGTGTTGGATTGCGTTGGAGACGGCGCTAATCGGGACCCCATCAACGTCCCCCGAGTGGCTGGAATCATCAGTCCTTGCGCTTGATGCTCGATGTTGGCGAGGGAATCTGGGGGTCTCTGCTGCAATGGCTAGTGAGGAGGGCTTCCATGCACGTAGGATTATTCACTGTACCTTCAACTGCCAAGAGCTACCACAACCGGCAGGAGAACAAAGGTCAAAGCCGACCAAGAGATGTGTCCCCAATAAGTGTGCTCTTGTGTTTGTCTGAATCAGAGTTGCGGTCTGTCTCGACTAAAACCTTGCTAGTACAGAACACTGCTCCTGCACTTAGAGCAGACCCGGTCAGCCCAAGCGGCTGGCACGATGTTGTATTTGTCTTCCTGGGACCCGCATTGAAAAGAACGCTTGGCTCGGCTCGTGTATGAAGGCGTCGCTTGCCCTCTAAGCTCTGAAGACGCTCCTCATGGTTACGCATCCTCGCGATGTCGCCTTAATAGTCAAGCCGAAGGTTGGAACATCGTCAGCCCAGGGGATAATGCAAGTGGGCTGAATGGGACAGTAGTGGTGGCTATTGATGATTCTGATACGTCCGAGTTCCTGCAGTCCGGATGCGCCTTAATCGATAATATGAACAGTAAGATGGCGCGAGGCCTACTCCCACAGACGGCATGAATTGCGTGCAAGGGAAAGGGTGGCTTCCGCAATAGTTCGATTCTTAGAGCAAGGTTGCGCCATTTGAAATGTCTTCATTGTTCTACGTTATATTGACCAGGCTGCTCAATTTTGGTGGCGACTTTCTGAGTCGCTCGCTTTCGAGGAAGGCGCGATCCATGGTGCTGGGCGTTTCCTTCCCTGCACTGGCAGCGAGATCTGCCACAATCGCTGCATCATGACATTCCAGGTGTCGCCATGTGGCTCGCAACAATCTCACGCCGGCTGTTCGTATACAGGCCAGAAACGACAATCCACGAACCATGAACTGGACGGAAGGCAACCTCGCCCGCCACTCTCGCCGTCCTGGAAAGAACGCAGAGCTGCTTGCAAGGCAGAAGAAGTATTTCGCGAAAGCTCGGAGCGGCTTCTTCCAGCCTTCGGTATCGAGAGCAAAACCACCCAGTATCTCGTTTCTTCCCTCACCGAAGTCGAAGTGTCGCAATGAGAAGGACCTTGGCCATGAGCGTCGCGCGACAAATGGTTCTTATATATCTCATAGCCATAATCTCGGCAGTGGTGATGGTCGCCCTAACTTGATCAAAGGTTCGTAGTGCTCAGGTCGCACATGTGCTCAGTTTTCTCCGGCCCTGACAAATATGCAGATGCTGCAGAGCACAGCGATTGGCATGCTAGCTTGACCTCGAAGCGAGCCCTAAAAAAGGAAGGTTATGAATCAGAAGATCTGCTGTATATCCACGAAAAGCGACGACGGCTCTTGCAGACGGGAGACTGGACAGGTGTCAACAGACAAATACCCGTCGCGGTTGATTTTGAACGCAGTCCCGCGAGAAACCGAATTCCCGGATGGAACAAAAAGGTCAGCTCGCCACAAGCTGTTGGTATTTTGAGGGCCAGCGATGGTTTGAACGCAGCAACCAGATATCGTGGATTTCCCCAAAGTGGCCTGCATCCTCCAAGCGAATCTTCCTACAGAATACACATTGGAAGTCATCAAGCACAACGGCAGTACGCGCCTGTGCTTGAAAATGATACCCAGCAACTCCAGGCTCCGTCATGTTCTTCAACGAGTGGTGCCTCGCGGCGGAGCTCCAGCTGCGTCAGCTCCTTATATGGTTGTCGTCAGCATCGACTGCCAGGAGCCGAGAAGCCCGAACAGACGACGGCCTCCGCCAGACGCCAGCCACAAGAAGCAGATCTTGGACAACAAGGCGGCTCTTGTCGCTACTCGGCAAGCACACGACAGTCACGCGACTCCAGTTTGGAAGGTCATCTGCCTCACATTACTTACTCTTCCTCGGTCATCCACGTCCCGGTCCCTCATCGCCATGCAAGAAGATTCGATGCCGTCCTAGATTGGTCTCCCACAAAGTCAGATAACGCTCCAAGTAGCGTGGAGGTAGAGATCGGCGACCACGGCAGACGGATGGTGACTCATAAGCAGCAGGCAAATGAAGCGAGTTGGAGGAGCTGGCTTGATCCCTCGAGTTGTTCCCCTTCCTCGGCATCGCCGTCACTGCCACCGCACATCTCAATTAGCCCCGGAATTAGTGAGCTACCTTCACTCATGGCACTTGAATTGCCCGAATTCGATTCCTTCTGCGTTGAGAAATCCAGGAATCGGGAGACATTTGCGCAGCCAAAGAATGACAGGCGCGTCCCTGACCAACGGATGCCCGAGACAATCCCAACAAATGCTAGTATCACAGCCGTTGCAAACAATGATGCAACAGTTCTCCTCGACTTTGCAATCGAGCAACGGAGATTGACGAAAGGACAAGAACAGAAAGTAAAGGCCCTCACCAAGCAGGAAAGAGACGATTTAGACAATCGCAAGTGGATGGGCTTCTTATTCGATGGCGATGAAAACAGCAGTGACATTGTGAACAACGCGCTCGACGAAGCCACTTTCCGAGCCGCCCAAGTGGCTAGCCGGAGGGACCAAGTCTCTCCAAAGACTCCTGCGAAGGCGCCGGTCAACAACCCATTCCACGAAACGAGCTCACTCGCGACGTGTGGAACAAAGAAGAGGCAGACTGTTCCGGTGATGAAATGGGAGAGTGAAGCCTGTGACGCTTTGAGCCCTCAACTCCATCATTCTTCTCTTGCCGCGATGCCTCATAGTCTGCCATCATCGCCTGAGCCTGACCAATCGAGTCATGAGAATGTGAGCATGGCGGAAAACGCCACTTCCACCGAGGACAAACTAACGCCGAAGCCATTGTTCACAATGCCGTCGACTTTTGTGGGCAAGCTCGCAGTATCAGGATGCGGACCGGGGCCGGCTTTGCACAAATCGTGCCTACCGCTCTTGTCATCTACGTGCGGAGCCAAAAGAGGACGCCGCAAGAGAAAGGCCCTGGACGGCAGGCCCGAGATCCGCAATCTTCCCGACTTTGACGGTGATCCGATTGAAGAATCGTGAACTTTAGAAGGTGTGAACATTGACACCATGGGCATGCAAATGTGGTTTTCTCGGTATTTGCAAAGGCCTGCAACTTTTGCAGAGCAAATATTCGCTTGATTTCTGTTTTAAACACAACATGTCCTTGGTACTCTTGCCAACTTGTGTTTATTCTTCAATCGAACATACACGTACTGCCAGTTGCTAAGAATGTATGCAGCCATCTGCATAGAACTGTATAAGAACCAAGGGAGCAGGCGTTCCTGCTCTGTTCTAAAGGTACTTTTCTCTTTCCTTGCCAGGCCGTGGAGGTGTTACGTATGCCTGCAAATACTGGAATCGCATAGCGTTCATGCTGACGCCTAGTCATAAAGCAGCAGTAGTAGTCTGCTCTTCAGGCCACTATGGTGTGGCCGCAGTCTCATGAGTTTCGCGGCTCAGTCAAAGAGCTGTACAGGGCCTCTATACTTCTCGTCCTAGAAGAAGGGGGGGAGCCTGAATGGATAGCCGCCGTTCTTCATCCGGAAGATGGACAGCAAAAAGCTGTAGACGCAGAAAAGTAGCACGCCCCAGCCAATGATCATGAGTTGCTGGAGCTTGCGGTCCTTGAGGCGGGGGGCTCTGACGGCCAAGTAGATGGTGGCGAACGACATGAGGCCGTCTGAAGCGTTGACTATGTCAGCACGAGCAAAACAATGTGTCCTGTTTGGAATAAAGCTCAATTGGGAGGGACGAGCGTCAAGGGAGAGTGCAGAATGACTTACACAGGAAGGCAATGATCTGGGTCTCGAGGCCGTACTGGCTCTGGAAGCCGCCAGCAAAGTACGAGACGCCACCCTTACCGTTGCCGGCGACGTATGGGACCTTGCGGATCTGGTTGAACATGTGACCACTGGTGAAGAGCAGGATGGCGAGGAGGCTGATGGTGGCCCAGAGGTTGCGGTTCTGTGCTATGGGCAGCAGATACGGGCCGATCTTTGCGATGGCGCCAACAACGCCCAGTGCAGACACAATGGTAACAATGATCTTGACGTAGTTGACAGGGCGCCTGATGGGTGGGTGAGGCCTGCCCTCGAGCTGTCGTGCGATCCAGGCGTGGACGGCCTCTGCCTTCTGATTGCCACTAGCGAAATCATATCTAAGGGGTTCGGCGGATGCAACGGCGTGGGGGCCAGTCGTGGGCTGGAAGAGGAGGAGGACGGGAGCGGTTTGGAGGCCGAGCTGTGGCTTGAACGTTAGCAGTCTGAGCTTGAAGTCGCGGCAAGCTAGGCGGGCTCGGGATAAGCTGGCTGGAAGGTACTAACCGACATAAAGGTCTCACGTCCGTCGGTGAAGTCGAGGGTGCCAAAGACGGTGCGCGACTCGGCCTTCTTGTCACCCTTGACCCAGCTGGACGATAGAATGTCCCACTCCGGCTGGAAGTCGTGGCAGAGCTGGCAGGCGAAGCGGGGGTCGAGGGCCGTGAGGAGGATTGCGGCAGCGTAGTCGCGAGGCGCTGCCGTGAGCTTCTTGTACGACGAGTCCGTGATCTTGACGGGCACCGAGGAGTGTTGCTTGGCGTTATACTCGGCGAATACGTCCTTCTTGGCCGCCGCTGCCGTCGCAGACAGCGACAGCGCCGCGGTCAAAAGGGTCGAGAACCAGCGCATCGTGACGGGGGGGTGGTCGCTAAGTTGATGTCCCGGATGGGATGATGGCGATGCTGGACCAGAGTGACGGGGGGGGCCGCTTGCTCAATTACTGACCGGCCAGAATGAGCAAGGAGGAATTGGTCGTGGCGGAGAGGCCGTGGGTGCCGGATAGGGATTGGAAAGCCGGCAATGGACTGGTGATGGCCTTGGGTGCGAGAGTTGTCGACGGGACAGCTCTGGATTAGTAGCCCTGCAGCACTGCAACTTGGCCTCAAGCCATGCGTGTCCCGGTGTTGCGTAAGTCGAAGCTCAGGTGGGGCGGCAGCAACAACTGGACCAATGAGGCGCCACTGCCGGTACAGCGTTCTGTTAAGTCCAACGTGCCTCCGGAGGTGCTTCTCCTTCAAAGACGCTCCTCATTGGGGATCAATTTGCGATTCCTTCTGGCTCCCGCGCATTGTTTTGACGCGTGAACCGTGGACTCGTCTAGATCTCGACAGGACACAGTTGCGTTCAAGGTGCAGTTGAGTACAGAGGTTCTTGGGGCCAGGTCCCCAGGAGTGGAGGCTTGCGTCCCCGCGGTATCCACTCTAACCGCTAGTGCCATTTTGGGCAGACTGTTGACAATGGCCATTCCCCGTACCCCTGTTAGACGATATCCCACCTCTCCAGCCTCTGCCTCGCAAACCCGAAGATCGCGCCGCAAACAGATTGCTCGCTGTCGCAGTTTACTTTCGCTCGATCTCGCCAGCCTAGTCGTCGCATTCATGCCTACATAAACGTGCCGGGTTACCACGGCCCGCCCCTCTGATCCCCAGTCTTCATCTGCCAGATGCACAGCGCGCGGCGCGTCGCGCTGCCTTCGAGATGACCTACACCACAACAAAGACAAGCGCCAGGCCAGCGCGGCAGCTCGCGCAAGGCAGCCCGGATGTATGTGACAATACCACCTTCGTGTAGCTTAGTGTTATGAGAGCAGACGCTAATGGAGACCCTTTTGTAGCAGCGGCTACACAATCTCGAGCTGAAATATCAACAGCATGTCAACACCCTCGAAATACTCAACAAAGACGAGGACATTCGTCGCCTGCGGGTCCAGAACACTCTGCTTGAGGATGACAACACGGCCCTTGAGGATCAGCTTGCGCTGAACGAAGCGGCCAGTGCCGAGAGCGCTGCGGAGAAGGAGTCTCTCGTTGCGGAGCTTGAAGAACACCTGGAGACGATCCAGTCGCAGGAGGCCCAGATCAGACGGCACGAGCGCGACTATGCTCAGCTCAGCGTGAGTCCGCCTTGCGAGGGCGCATTCTTCCTTCCCATACTGATACAAGGTCGCAGGCCGAGTTACAATCTATGAGCAGCGTTACGCAAGACTCTGCCAACCTCCTTGCCGAGAAGCTTGCGCTGAGCCGCGAAGTCGCCATCCTCAAGCCCGAGATTGAGCACCTACGGTCGCAGGTCAACCACCAACAATCGACACTGGCGGAGAAACTTTCGCTCGAGCGCCAGGTCAACACCCTCGAAGTGGAGCTCGCAAACGAGAAGAAGGCCACGAAACGGATACTAGAAAAGAGAGACAGCATCGACCGTGTCGAGGACGAGCTTCGGAAGAAGCTGCGGGATGTCGAGAAGAAGCTGGCAGCAGAGAAGACCGAACGTGAAAGGATCGAGGACCAGCTCGACAACGAACGTAGACACCATCAATATGCGCTCGACAACCAGGATACATCCCGCGTATCCGAGTCGGACCTGCGCAAGAAACTGCAGGATACCCAAAAGCAGTTGCGTCTGGCCAAGGAGGAGACTGAGCGGGTGAAGGACGAGATGGAGGCCCAACAGAACGCTTCCAAGAAAGCTACCAAGAAGGCTGCTGCGGGGACGGCCGCGGAAGACGAGCTCCGCACAGAGCTGGCCGCCGCCCAAGCCAAGCTCGAGTCCGCCCTGAAGGACAAGAAGGCCTATCGCGAGGAGTGCGACAAGGCAGTGGCGGAGGCGGAGTCGAGGGCAGAAGCCCACGAGAGGAAATTTGAAAAATTGAAGACGAAATTCCGGGAACTTCAGGAACAAATGAAGCAGTCCAAAGCAGATCTCCAAGCGGTGGAGAAGGCGCACGCGTCTCTGGTGGACGATCTCAAGCAGCAAGCCTCGACAAAGACACAGACAGTCCGGACGAAGAAGGGCCATGAGGCCGCCGTCCCGGACTTTTCCCAGATCACGATACAAACCCCCGGAGCTAATGATTCGTCGAATTTGCGTCGTGGCAGAAAGCCCCAGTTTCAGACAACTCGCCCTGGAGACAAGTCAGACTTCACAATCACGCCTTTCCTCAACCGCAGCAAAGACCTTGAAGACTCGCATGAAGATGAGGATCTGGATGGCGCCAGGGCAATCCCAGATGGTCATGAGGATGTTGCCACGACTCGGCCGCAAGCCTCCTCTCCACCGCCGGAAGAAGGACCTGTGGATTCTGCGGGCGTCAACGATGAAAAGCAGGACGATGCGGACGTGCCGGCACCGGAGGAGCCAAAGCCAGCAGCAGCAAAAGGCCGGGGTAGGCCAAAGAACGTTGTCACGGAAACAGCGTCCGGCCCAAAGGAAGTTGAGTCGGCGCCCAAACCCAGAACCAAGAAGAGGAAGAGCTTGGAGCAGACCCGCGCGGAGGCGACGCCATTCGATCCAGACAGCATGCCGGTGCCTAAGAAGCCAAAGGTGAAGCTTGCTAAGAGCAAGCTCGCAGCGACGGCCGTGGGCGGAGGGGTAGGCAAGGAGGCGGCCGAGCCAATCGAGGCTGCTGCGCCTGCCCCTCCCGCTGAGCAGAAGAAGCGGAAACGAAACCTTGGCACGGCGAAGACGCTCTTTGACGATGACGATGGTGAGATACCCGCTACCGAGCCGGCCGCGGCTGCGCGGGTGCCCATGAGCACCACGAAGCGTGGCAAGACACACTTGACGGGCATACAGAACGCGTTCGCGGGCGGCTCGACGTTCTCGCCGCTGAAGAGACAACGCAGGGGCGTAGGGGCGAGCTTTCTTGCTTGAGGGGCGCGTGTGGTGGGCCTAGTAGTATTATGACATTTTCGCGGGAACTAGGAGAGAGTTCTGTCTGGGAAAAGACGGACGGACAGGTGGAGGCCGTTTGACGATGGTGGATCACATGCATTGCGAAGGAGTTGGGGGTCTTCTTGGGTAGTGATATCCCAATTTTCATGATTTTGGTATTTTTGTTCTTTTGACCCGGGAGTCTGGAATACGACGATGATTGTTTATATGCGAAAGAGATCGCGAAAGACCGTCTTTCCATTCTTGATGCCTGGTGTGTATGCAGATCTAGGCTCCCAGTTGAGGTGGTTAGGACGCTTAGTCCGTGCATTACGACACTCCCGAGGCCGCGGAAAGCACCTCAGAAGTACACTTGTTCCTTTCACGTGGCATTGACAGAAAGTCTTTTTTGTTTCTCTAGCACCGAGCTGTTGCTCCTAATTTATGTAATTGCCTGTCCTGAATGTCTCCCTATGTGTGGGTCGGGTGCCCCTGACCATACAAGTAATATACGGTGCACTATATAAAACTAACAACACCATGACTTCTTTTTCCTCACGTCTTCGTGTGCACTTCGCACCAACGACTACTACGTAATCTTCTTTGTCTCGCGCCCGGCCTCCCGCGCCGCGAGCTCGACGAGCTTATTCTCGCGCCAATACCAGACGGCCATGAGGGCGGCGCCGGGGCCGATCACGACGTTGGCCACGGTGATGAGCAGCACGGTCTTGACAACCTCGCCGCCGCTCTGGCCAGGGGTGACGCGCAGGACGTCCCACGCCTTGACGCACGACCAGGTCCAGGACGTGCCGAAGATGCCGATCGCGTCCCACTGGAAAATGTAGTGCAGGCCCGCGTGCACCGAGTCCTTCCAGGCGGCCTGCGAGGGGACGAACACGCTGCCCCAGGTGACGTGGCTGCCCGTGTCGGTCGCGAGATAGCCGTCGGTGTGGATCTGGTAGAGCACGTAGGCGTGCACGACGAAGCACAGCATGCCGACCATGAGGTAGTATGTCTTGAGGTAGAAGACATCGTCCGGCGGAGTGGCGTCGCCCTCGGGGAGGTTCTCCCTGGGCGGGACGTCGCGGCCGTTGGGGAACCCACCCGCGTGCGCGGTGGTCCTCGCGGACGTGGTCACGGCCAGGGACTTTGCTGCTCCCGCGAAGAGGACGAGGAACAGGCTCACAAACATCGGGGCGGGCTGCCAGAGCGCCGCGAGGAGCTGGTTCACCTCGTGGGACCAGCCCCAGGGGACGTAGAGCAGGGCTGTGGGCAGGAGATAGCCCAGGATGGTGGCCGGGAGGATGAACTGCGCGTAGGGCAGCGGGACGTCGCGCTTGGTGGAGGCGGCAGTAGCAGAAGGGGTGAAGAGACCGTTGGCGTCGTTGCTCGTCATGAGGTCGACGGCGAACCAGAGGGGCACAATCAGGTTGCCGCCGACGGTCTGGTAAAAGACGGCCCAGAGGGCGATCCAAGTGATGAGACGGGAGGCGTTGGCGCGGCGGCGGGACTCGACGACGAGGACGGCGAGGATGCCAGCAAAGTTGTAGAGAAAGTGCATCTGCTGAAGCCGCACGTTTGTGTCCCAGCCGGCAGGGCCGGCGACAAAGGCGACGACGAGGAAGGGGAAGATGTTGTCAATGGCGGGCACGCCCAAGTAGCGTGTCTTGAGGGGCAGGCCATTGGGGAAGACGGCCGAGTCGACAACGTCCTGGAAGCCGTCTGGAACACCATTGAGGGTAGTCTCGACGCGCAGCTTGTAGCCGCCAGCAAAGGCGAGGAGGAGGTGGACGGCCACGAGGAGGCCCTGGTACGGCCGCGATGGAGCAGCGGTCGGGGGCGCCATGACTGGTGACCAGCTGGCTGTGTCGATAGAATGTTTGAAGATGAAGTGGTGAGGGTTTCTGCTGACAACAACAACAGAAGCAGTAGCAACAAGAACAACAACAGCTAATGTTTCCCACTCCGACCTCGTCCTCCAAGCTGTCAGCCCGCCCAGTGCCGATAATACAATCCAGAGTTTCTGTCAGACAAAAGCGGGCCCGGGTATTTGGATGACGGGCGGGCGTCTGTGCTTGCTGCTGAAAACACCCGTAGGCGTCAGGGCGACCACGGCCAAGCGAGGGTCGAGCCGGACGATCCAGACAGTGATGCCCCTTACGGTAGGCGTCTGGGGGTCCATTCCATCCATGAGTTCCGCCACTGCGGCCTATCCGTCTGACAACACCTCTCACCTCCGATAGGCAAAGCGGACAGAGTACCCGATATAAGACCTGAGAGAACCAATGGCCGCGGATGGAAACATGGATATCTTCAGAACGTCCGTGTTGCTGGACGTCAAGCGAAGCCGGTGGTGTTGCTCGAGGCAGGCAAGCAAGCAAGGGTTGGCAGGGGGGACACTTACTTACACTCGGGATTTGATGCTGCAGCAATGTGGACCTCTCTCTACGTCAGGCTACCCGGTACCTGCAGCTGTGGATGCACAAACGCACGCCAGCCATGGCAGTTGCAGCGCAGTGCAGCGCAGTGCCTGGTTCCAGCGTGACATGCATGAGCCATGGCAGGACTCGTGGTGATATTGCAACAACGAGAAAAGACTTCGCTTCGCTCATGACTCTCCTTGCTCTCATGGTCATGGAAACACTGCTTTCGAGGCATCCATAATCCCAAAAACCCAAGCCCGCAATGCGGTCCATCGCCAGCCATGCACTGCACGCCGCCAGCCACGCATCCCCGACGAGGCCTGCAGCAGCCGTCCTGGGCCAGCCATGCTGTTCCTTGCTGGTAGCAGGCCGTTCGAGCACCTCTGCTCCCAGTCATACAGCACTGCCGAGAGCACCGGAAGCACAGGCCCGCTGGTCTTCGTCAAACTCGAGATGGAAGCAGAGGCAAGGCAGCGACTTTTATGCTCGTGAGGCTCGCGTCCAGGGCCTGAAGAGCCGGGCTGCATTCAAGCTGCTCGAAGTGAGTCCACTTGGCGGCACAACCCAACTGGTGACTCGTCGTTGGCCATTGACACTCTTTGCTCTTTCTACAGATGGATGCCAGGTACAGGCTTTTCAGACGCGGCCAAACCGTCGTAGATCTAGTACGTCTTTGTGTCCTATCCTTATAAAATACGTGTATCCACAGGACCCTTGGCTCACTCATCCTTCGCCTTCGCTGCAGGGTTATGCTCCAGGGAGTTGGTCTCAGGTAAAACTTCAGAGCGCACACAATATGCTGTGAGGTCTTATACAAGGACATGCTGACTCCTCCAGGTTGCCCTCGAGCGCACAAAACCTACGGGGAAGGTCGTAGGCATAGACATCATCCCGGCCCAGCCGCCGCGCGGTGTCTCAACCATCCAGGGCAACTTCTTGTCCCCTGGCGTCCAGATGCTCGTCAAGGACTATCTCCTCGAGGTCTCGAAACGTGAAGAACTCGACGGTAGGCGTCGATCACCTTCGCCATGGTCACCATCACCATCACCGTCGGCATCGTTGTCCTCTGAAGTCCACTCAGCAGGAACCACTTCTGCAGACGAGGCCCCATCTGACCATGCCACCACTATCGTCGACACACCCAGCTATATTGACACGGAGCGCTCCGAGTCGGTCGACAGTGAAAGCTCCGACTCGGCTTCCTCAGAAGAGCAAGGCCGCCTGGTAGATGTATGGAGTGTTCATCCCCCCCCCCCCCCCCCCAAAAAAAAAGAAAATGAAAAAAAAATGAAAATTAAAACCCTGTCTTTCTTGTTCTTTTAGCTTCACAAGTTTGCCCTCGCCCCTGAAGACAGATTTATATATGCTGACGCCTGTGGTTGACATCTAGGTGGTTCTCAGCGACATGTCAGAACCCTGGTTGCAAACAGCGGGCTTTTCAAGTAGGACATTGAGTAACCCGTATGACAGGATGATGAACACGTCGGGCATGAGCTTCCGCGACCACGCCGGCAGCATGGTACGTTTCGAATGCCACGGCCCATTCTGCTCCCTTTTTGTTTCAAGCACTACAAACACCAGTCGCCATCTTTCTCCGTTCTCACCGAGTCCTCATCTGCCCACCGCTGCCATGACAGCAAGATCCAGGAAATTGAAAGGCTAACACCGGATCTGCATTCGCGTGTCCCGCCATAACAACAGGACCTCTGCCACGCCGCACTCACTTTCGCCAGCGACACCCTCCGCACCGGCGGGCACTTTGTGTGCAAGTTCTACCAGGGCTCCGAGGACAAGCAGCTCGAGACCAAGCTCAGGAAGATGTTCGCCAAGGTCCATCGCGAAAAGCCAGACTCGTCTAGGAATGTAAGTCCGTCTCTTGGCAAACCATGTTTAGAAGAAGAAGAAGAAGAAGAGCCGAGAGAGCCGAGAGAGGTTCTTGGAAGCTTTTTACCCCTATCCCGGACACGAGCCAGGGGCCAACTCTTTTTTTTATTCCTTGATCATTCATGGCTGACCTTGCATATGCTTGGAAAAGGAATCTCGAGAGGCGTTCTTCGTGGCCCTCAGGCGCAAGGGCGACGTGACTCTGTCGTCGATCGAATGAACTGCCCCCGTCCTGGATACATACATACATATATATATATATCAAGGATGATGGAATCTTCGCTGGTGCTTTGCCCTCAGCGCGTATGCGCGTGGGGGGCAACCAATCCCCAGCACTGTACCGCGCGCTCTGCCCTTAAACACACCTTGTACACTAAACACACCATTGTTCAAATACTGTATCATGCACCATTGGCGCAAATATGTCTTTGATATGTCCCGCATTTTTGGGTCGGGTTTCAAGTCCCACGACTAGAAATGGCATAGATGAATAGGAAAATGACAACCTCTGCTGCGCTGCTGGAAGCAAAGAAATTGTGATGTCAACATGTCTTGTTTTTTTCACAGTCGCCCGCCCATTGTTCTGCATTCATGTAGACCATCATCGCGGGCAGGGAGGAATGCATCAGAAAGTCCATGCCGGACGAAAGTGTCGTTGTGGTATAAAGTAGGCATACATGGAGGGTAGAAACGGTCCAGACTGACTGCCGGAGTGGGACTTTTAAGTTATGATTTCGTATTTCAGTTGCACTTATCAGCCGACGCGCGAGGCTGCTCTCGCTCTAGCACATATGCTCAAAAGAGGGCGAGCACGAAAGAAAAAGAAAAGCGATAGAAACCCAAGACAACTAGCTATCGCGCGAGGATGCGGGTCGGCCTTTCGCCTGCTTTGTCCTTCTAGTTCAGCGGGCCATTCTGTCTGCGCTCCACGCGGGCAGGTATGTGTATGGTATCAATGTATTTCAATGTCTCGTCTAGATCAGGCTTTCTCGAGCTCTTCGTTCCTGATAGTGTTGAGCCCCCAGTACCACCCTTCACTCTTATGATAGCTATGTCCCATTGTTTTTTTTTACCTCCTTTTCGATCCGACCTGAATCCTGCTGTAAGTGCAGTGCGGAGATTTTTTTCCCCCAAACAATTGAGCCGCCTTATTCTACCAACGCCATGGGGCCACCTCGAAAGGCGAATGCATTCCATTTTGCTGCTACCCTTAGGGTTGCGCCATACCCCTTCTATGCAAGCAGCTGTCCAACCTCGAGAACTCCCACGAATTTATCCTTGACCGTGACCGCGAGGATTGTCGTCTCGTCATACTGACCGTAATTGTCGCGGCAGCTGTCCAACCCCCCAATAGACTGATTGCCTGGGAGATCGGCGTGTCCGCCGGGATGGACACCCATTTTGCCTTCTCGACGACGAGCTCTAGCACATCTGAGAGAGGCGAAGCCAGCTTCGCCGTTTCGAGCTTCCTTATCCGACTCGGAGATGCCAGGAAATTCCCAACTCGCACCCATCCGGAAGGCGAAATGTAGCCTGCCCGCAGGATGTCTACGGCCCGAACAATGTCGAAATCTTCTTCGATAGAAGTGATATCGTGGAACGGTACCATGTGGTCTCGGACCGATGGAATCTTGTCGAATGACGCGCCAATGGCACCACCGGGGTGGTTCCTTGCAAACACAGACGACACGCTCGGGTGCAGCTCCTGTGATGCCACAATGGCTAGAGCATCTCCAATCGCCAGCGCAACAGTGGTAGAAGTCGTGGGTGCGGACACACCGAAAGACGACGTCTCGGACTCGTGAATCGGTGCCGGCAAGAGGATCATGCCTGGTCGCTGCTGTATAATCTTGCACTCCAAAGGGTCACGGTGAGATGTGAGTATCAGTGTCGGAAGGTCAGGAGCGATATGTGGAAGTAGAGAGAGCAGCTCCCCAGTCTTGCCGGAGAACGTGATGAACAGGACCACGTCGAGTGGTCCGATCTTGCCCAGATCGCCATGGAGTGCCTCTGTTGGGTGAAGAAATGTCGCATGTACCCCGAGACTGTTGAATGTAGCCACCAGCTTCTTGGAAATATGTCCAGACTTGCCGACGCCAATGATGACTAATTTACCCCTCGCTCTGATCTGCGTCGTGATTGCGGTGATCGCAGCAGTGAAGCCTGTCCTGGCAACGGTGTCGGTCTCATAAAGATGGGCGATTCGCCGAAGGGCGGTCGCTTCCGTGCTCAGGACGTGGACCGCACCATCCACAAACTTTTCATTCCACTGGTGGGCTGGTTCCGCGCCAGGGGCGCACAACTCGTCGTCATCCAGGCATAGCTCTTCGATCGACTCGCTCTGCTCACTCGGAGTCGGAAGAAGAGGCGAGGGCGGCGAAGGAGGAGGGATCGAAGGCCGCGAGGGTATCCCTAACAGGTAGACCTCGCTGTTGTGAACCGGGTGATGCTCAACCATGGTATTGCAGTGGGCCTTGACTGGTTCGCAGACCGAGCCACTACGCAGCTGAGCGTCACGCTACCAATAGGCTCGAGGCGTCAGGCTTCTCTGTATCGTTGCTGATCCGCAGCACTCTTTGTAAGGCTAGAAGCCAAGACCCATGACGCACTTCCGAGTGAACCCCTAAAGGTGCAAGATCGATGATGTCGCAAGGGGTTTGGAGGAATGGCAGTCTCGAATGCCAAGAGGGGCAATGGTCAAAATCCAGGATAGAGACAACCAACAACGCCTGGGCAGAACAAGCACAGCGTCGGCCGAGTCAGAGCTACTCTGATTAGAGGGAGGACCCTGAACGAGCAAGAGACAAGAATCACTGGAGGACATGGGCTGCAGGAACTGGGCGACGGCAAGGGATCTTGTACCCTTATCACTCTGGCGCAAGCTTTCCTCTCAAGCAAGGTACGCGCATCGCTGACGGGGTCCGACTACAGCCACAGAGGGTTTAGGGCGATCCATAATCCACATGGGTCCAGCCGCTGGCGCAATTTGATGAATCATGTAGTGAATCTTCTCGGCCTTAAGCTCGACATCAAGCCGCGTATTGCCAGGGTTTCTCGATGATGCCATACTTAGGCGCGTTTCGCGGGGTTCTGGTGAGACCCGATAAGGGGCCGGAAGGTGATCTTGAGAGCTCAAAGGTTGCATTTGTCAGGTCTGCCCCGTTAGGAGCTTGCGCAGCCACTCCGATCACAGTGCCCCGGCTCCCCGAGATGACCCGCATACTCCTTCGCATGCTGTAGCAACATTCGGTCCGGCACACGGCACCTGCGCTTCGTCCTCGATCGACCCTGCCATCACAACTTCGAGCTTGGTGACCAGCGAGGCAGCCCACGCCGGCATCCGGATGGCTCGTTTCTGGATGAAGCATAGTAATTGCAAGCCGCAATTTGTTCTTGATCTCGCTCGGTCGGAATCGTGGGAGAACGCCCTTGCCGTTGAGAGCAGTCGGGTCCTCGCCTTCTGTCGAAGTGGACGGCCCTTCGTGCTCGGTTCGGCTTCCTGCTGGCAGGTGCAAATGCACACCGTTCCGATTGCGCCATGACCCTGACAGGCCTAGCTCGGAGATGCCTGCCTGGCATGTGGGCCACGTTCATCCCTGGCCGACACGATTGGTGCAGAGCCATGGCTATGCTGAGGATCGGATATCTCCATGGTCGAAGATGTCCCGCTCGTGCCGGTCGGTATTTCTGAACCTGGCTAAGGTTTAGAGTTTAAATCAAAGAGCAGACAGACAACGGAGGGCTGGTGTCGCAACGGCGAGAAGATAAGCGGGGGGAAAGCGGCAGACTCCGGCACCTTGACAGAGCCAGTAATGATTGCGATCCAAGAGCCATCGAGGTATTTGCAAAAGCAATTGCAGGAGAATGGGGATGTGAGCTCGTGCATTTTCGGCACGGAGCTGACTATGCACGCCGCAGTGTTCGGCCGTGCAGGGGCCGGCGACGTCTGAACTCGACTGCTGAACACAAGATCTTTGCCGTCCCAAGTGGTCTTGACGCCAAACAAAAAGGATGGATGTAGAAAAGGAGTTGTGTAACGTGGTAGTGATCTTTGATGGTCGACTGTGTCTGGCCCAGGGTCGGACATGAGATTAGAGGTGCTGTACGTCACGAACGATATAGATTGCAGGTCATTCTAGCTTGCGTGACAGCCCAGCCGGTTCAGGTGCTTCAGTTGGTGGTTGCCGAAGCTGTGAGTACGACCAAGGATGCGTCACTCTCGCATGGCCGTCTCGTTTAGCCTCTCCGCACGTGTCGACGAGGCGTTCTGGAGGGGGGGCCGTGGCAGCATGCAATATAAGCTCTGGCACGGCTCTTTCTGGCAAAGGCCGTTGCGGGGTGGCTGGCATTCTCTGGCTGTCAAAAGGCGGCTGTGGTGAGAAGTCGAGCGTGGGGTTGCGATAAGGCGCATATCGAAAGGCGGGTGGGCATCTCCCTAGACGCACAGCACCCGCCGGCACTAGCAAGAGCTGGAGGCTTCCCACCAGCCACAGGACAAATGACCGGCATGGTATGGCTTGCCTGTCAGCAGTACTGGGCGTCTTCCCTCATGGCAGGCCCATGGGGGAAAACAATGAGGCGTGCAAAGCCATGCTGCGTTTGGTGGGAGGACATCGAGTGGTGCTGGTGAGAGATAATGGCGGGTGATGGGAAGCCGTGGGGGGTTTCAGGAAAGGCAGGCCGGGGCGCAGATCGTCACTGCCTGCCACCTTGGCAGCCTGCTGCATTTCCCACGCCATCTCGAGCGCATCTCGATGGAACCTCTGCATCTCCCTCCAATCCGTCTCATCACCGCCATCCCCGTCCCTGCTGGGCTCTCCGGTGTGCATCATCGCAGCTTGCGACAACAGCGCAAACCACACAAACCATCACCGCATCTTTTTTGCCCGGCGAGGCATTCGCATAGCCGCAATGACGCGGCCCATCGTCTACAACATCGCCCTGGGCGTGTTCCTCTGCAGTACGTCATAGCCTTCCTTAGCCGCGCCCCATCCTACCCGCTGCCCGCCCATATCGCAACCGCCTTCCAGCACCACAAGACCACAGCGCCACGAACCCTGATGGGCACTGCATATGCTGCACACCGAGACATTCTCTGGATATCCGATACCCCGAGATATACTTGGTCGTGGCACAGTGACGGTGTTTGCGCGTGCTGGCATGCTCGTGTGCGCTGTATGCCACATATCCGTGGCGTTGGGGTTGTAGCCATTGATTGAAAAATGAGAATGCCTACGCTGACCATGAACTCTGTACACCACTGCAGCGACCGTCATGACCATCACTTCGATCGTGACGCCGAACTGGATCACGTACCAGGTCACTGCCGACAACACGGGCAAGACCTTCACCAAGAGCCTAGGCTTGCACCAGAGCTGCTCGTCCATGGACGACCCTTCGTGTCGTTCATTCCCCGATGACGATGACTGCCGAGACGACCAGTTCTTCTGCTCCATGTGGCGCAGCAGCGGCTTCCTGCTCTCGTTTGCAACCATTGTCGAGCTCGCCACCCTCATCACCTTCCTCGTCGTCATGCTTGGTGGCAAGTACAAGCGCGAGACAGGCTGGAAACTCATCGGTAGCTTCCTCGTAGCTGATGCTGTCATCGAGTTCGCCGGCATGGGCATTGTGGTAAGTATCTGGATCGTGTGTGGTTGTGAGCTGCGATCCCGCAGAGTGCCAAGGTAGCTTAGGCTAACCACATGACTACATGATTAGGCCTACCTGTTCGATACGGACGATCAGTTTGCGATTCCGGGTTGGCAGCTGAGCTGGTCCTGGATTCTATGTGTAGTCAGTGCCAGTGCTTCAGTGCTGTTGGCCGGCACCCTCGCTCTATCCGCCTACCTCCTTCCGTCTGAAGACGACTACGAATATCTCGAGGACCCGCTGGACTGTTAGACTCACTGCGTCAGAGAGCCTTGTAGCAGTGGGGCAGTGTCCAACATGTCCGTTTCCTTGGGTTGATGAGACACAAATGGCAACACCTGCTGTCGACAACATAATATACGTTTTTTTTTTGGACAAGGATCTTGATGGTAATAGCACGGAGAGTATTGGGTGAACAAGGAAATGGGCAGCATTTTGCTACTGCGTTGCTTTCGTTGGAAGTCGCGATGTCTTCAAGCAAGCATAGCCAAGGCCGGGAGTTGCACTGTTTTGATTTAGCCTGGCCCTAGTATCAGGCTTCTCGATAATGATGAAATGCGCTTGCGATGACCGCTGGGTTTACACAGGTGTTCCAAATGTCGGCGATTGTGGCTCGAATCAAGCATGTGCATTATATATGTCGCTGATCTATATGCATAATGGTAGACATTGAACAGGCGCGGCACGCTGCCCTCTCAATCACTATCGGATTCCGAGTCTGAATCGGAGGAATCGTCCGAAGACGAATCCGAGGACGAAGAGTCGTCCTTCGACTTCTTCGCAACGGCTTTCTGCGGTTTGCTCTTCGTGGCAGCACCCCCCTCGCCCTCATCGTCGTCGGAAGAGTCGTCTGAAGAACTGTCGTCCGAGCTACTGCTGTCATACTCGTCCACGACAGCCGTCCGCGTCTTCCTCTTGCGCTTGATACGCTGCTTCGACCCATCGTTCAGGCTCGTCCGCTGGCCCACGTCCTCGTCCTCTCCGGCAGAAGACTTGGCGTTCGGGGCCGAGGAACTCTCATCGTTGGACGCGGTCGAACCAGCGCCGCCCTCCTCGTCAGCCAGCTCGTCCAACACGACCTGCGCGCGCATCCGCTTGACCACTCTCCGCTGCATTTCCATATCTGCCGTCCTCAGCACATAATCGACCTCCTGAAATCTGGGCTTCGAGCCAGGCGTGGGACGCTCCTTGGCCATGAACGACGCGATGACCTTCTCATACTCGTCTTGCTTCTTGGCGGCTTCCTTCTTGTTGCTCGCGGTCGAGGGGAACGCCTGGGCGCCTTGCTCGGCGTCACGGGTCTTTACGCCATTCGCCAGCTCCCGCAGGCGCTGCCGCACGTGTCCCTTGAGCGGGCGAATGTACTCGTAGAAGATGTCAATGTCGGCAGCCGGGATTGTCGTCTCGTCAGCAAACACCTGCTCCAGCAGCTTGGTCTGATGGTTCTTGTTGAACTTCCATGTGTCCCGAGAACTGTGCCACTTGCGAAGGTACTCTAGCGACGGGCCCAGGTTGATGGGCGGAGCTGGCCCGGAATTCTTCTTGGTGCCGGCGGGTGTGGGTGGCTTTGACTGCTTAGATGGGGGCTGCTGTTGCTGCTTCTGCTTGGGCTTGTTCCGGATAATGTCCTTGCCGGCCGGGCCCTGCTCTGCCGATGGAGGGACAGCGGCCGGCGCCGATGATGATGATGACGCCTCTGCAGCGAAGGAGACAGACTTGACTTTCTTGGACGGCGTCGTCGTAGAGTCGTCCTTCTTGGATTTCTTGGCACTCTGCTGGTCTGGGGTTGGCGCGCCGGAGGAGGAGGCTTTCCGCTTCACAGCCGAGCCGTTGGTGCTTGACACCGCCGCCGGCGTGGAAGAAGCGGGTTGGTCGCCGCCCGCAGAGTTGTTGAGCTTGAGACCTAGACGTTTCCAGGCGGGCACGCGCGCCGCGGCTCCTGGTGTCGACATGCTAACGGTGGTGTTGCTGGACAAAACGCGATATGGAGCTCGTCGGGGGAGGTGGTGTCACTGGCGGCCCCAGGTATGCAATGCTCAAAGTATGACCGCGATGTGCTCCGGCAAGTCTCTATCGAGCGTCGTCGTGGCCCAATTGCTGTCCTAGCTCTTTGAACAGCAATGCGGGATGTTCAGTGAGCCGGGGCACGAGAAGGCTTTGGGGTTGCGACGCGGCCTCGGGAAGCTGGAGTTCTGCTTGGGATTCCAGGATATCACTAAGCTTAAGCTCCCAAAGACGACCGGGTGGCTGCTTTCTGGCCGAGATCAAGAGCAAAGCACAGTGACGAAGTGAAGTGGTATGCAGGTACTGGCACAAGGGCGCTCGTGAGAATCGTCCATGAAAGTGAGAAGTCGTTTTGCATTTTTTAGTGGAGACGCCCGATGGTCTGGAGTGGAGACCGCCTGGAGATCCCTGTTGTCCCTTTCCAGACTTCTGATACCCATTGGAGACCGTACGGGAGCTAAAGATTATGTCAGCTGGTGCCTCAGGTGGCTCAGTCCCAGAGTCCTCAGCACCAGCCACAGGATCGCCCAGGCTGCGAGCAAGCACGCGTCAATGGATGAGCTACCGCCTGTGGGGCTTTACTGGTCCAAGCTCCGTGGTTGCTGCTGGACCCAAACAGCTGCGACAGCTCATCAGCTCCCAGCCTGGTGCAGCTCCACATAGAAGGTGAAGGTGGGCTTTACGTAGCCGTGCCTGCCTTAACCTGTCGATTGCTCAACCCAGACAGCTCCAGGCCCGGCACTACACAAGCCCTTCGACCGTCACGATCCCAACCCACCACTGGACGCTCACTCCGGCCAGCCAACTCATCCTCGTATCATATACAGCCCGGTCTATCACAGCTTGAGGTTTTCGCAGGAGCACCTCTGTCAATATGTCGGGTTCGTCTTCACCCCATGAACCCCGCAGCCCGCCACTTCCAGAACGCTTGGTGATTGACGTAGCTAACTCACAATGCAGGCAGCGCAGGTTTCGACCGACACATTACGATCTTCTCCGAGCAGGGACGGCTGTACCAAGTTGGTATGTGTCTTCCCCATCATCATATATGAACGCCGCCACCACCGGCGAGTTCCGTTGTCAGCAGCTTAACCTCAACCTGGACTTTTCCATCTCGTCTCCTCGAATCCTCCCCTCGCGGATCGACCCCCTGGCTAACGGTGGTCTGAACGGCAGAATATGCATTCAAGGCGATCACGGCGGCGAATATCATGTCGATAGGTGTCAGGGGCAAAGATTGTGCCGTCATTCTGTCTCAGAAGAAAGTACCAGTATGTCCGACTGCGCGCCATTCTGAGGCTTGCCATGCCATGCTGACTCCAGAGTGTAGGACAAGCTCATCGACCCTTCCTCCGTGTCGCACATCTTCCAGATCTCACCATCGGTCGGCTGCGTCATGACCGGCTCCATCGCGGACGCGCGTGCGTTTGCTCAGCGTGCTCAGGGTGAGGCTGCCGAGTTCCGCTACAAGTTCGGATACGAGATGCCATGTGACGTTCTGGCCAAAAGACTGGCCAACATCAGCCAGGTCTACACGCAACGGGTGAGTTGTTGGAAATGGATCTCGACGTCACGACCCGGCTGACAAAAGTTGTATCAAGGCTTACATGAGACCCTACGGCGTTGCGACAACGCTCATCTCATTGGACTCTGAGTTTGGCCCGCAGCTGTACAAGTGTGATCCGGCGGGTTATTATGTTGGTGCCAAGGGCACGGCTGCTGGACCCAAGCAGCAGGAGGCCATGAACCACCTCGAGAAGAAGCTGAAGAACAAGGATTATGCCGAGGGTGGCTGGGAAGAGGTTGTCGAGCTTGCTATCACAACCCTCAGCACAGTTCTGAGCATGGATTTCAAGAAGGGCGAGATTGAGATTGGTATCGTCGGCGGCCCGTCATTGGACGATGAGGACGAGACAGTGCCTACGTTCCGGACATTGACAGAGGACGAGATCGATGACCGGTTACAGGCGATCGCGGAGAAGGATTGAGGCGTTCCCGATGACAGCTGAGGTAGTTCATAAGGGAGCAAGCAGTGAGTGACAATCGGAGTGTCCGGTATGCATCAGACGTATCGTGAGGTGGAGCCTCCTCTTTAGACAAGTCTTTCGTGATGGCCAAGCAGGCGCAATGCTTCAGCACGGAAAGTACGAGCAATCGAGAGCGCTGTATCCTGGATCGGCGAAACCGCGCGTCCTGGGGTGTTTCTTGTGACGGCGCTTCCCCGGCGGATCTTGGTAGTCTGACAGGTATGGGTAGACAGGTGTTCATTGCGACGGACATCTATTCGCTCTGATTGGAGCTGAGAACATAGGGTTAAGGGTCGGCACCGTTGGAGCCCTCCGACAAACGTCTTATATCGCGAAGAGCCATGTTTCACGCAGGTGCGCAGCAGGGAGATTATGCGGCTGAACACGTAGGGCTGCCCCAGGGCGGGAGCAGATCCCTGCCGAACCACCGCCATCAAAGCATGATATCAGCCCTCTGACGTGCAAGGTATGCTGCAAGAAGAGAGAGAGAGAGACAGGGATGACCACAAGAGCCGTGAAACACTGCGATTATAGAGCGGCCACTAAGGAATGGGCATCTCCGGGTGGCTTGAAGGAGGCGTGCTGCGGCGGGTGTGGCATATGTGCGTGTGTGTGTGAGTGAGAGTGAGAGTGAGAGTGGGTTTTTGTGTTACCCTGCCTTTTCTGAACAAGCTCACCACCCGCTTACACGAGGGGTGGCTGTCAAACCTTCCCACGTATGTTTTGTGAGCCGGGACGCTTCCGTGCTCCATGTTTCGCGTGGGATGGGAGTTCGTCAAAAGGCGACCTGCTGCATGTCTTTGGACGTCCCAAATGACGCCGGCGTGCCGTGGAGGGTCGGGTGGTCCACCACGCGTGTGTGGCAATGGTGCGGAAACTTTGGCAAAGAAAAAACATGCCACTTTGTGAACAGGAAGCTAGAGCCGGCTCGAGGTGGACCTGCTCCAGGGAACCTCGCCATGTCGGAACTTTTGTGCCACGGGTATGCGGCGGTGCATGATGCGTTCCAATGTGATCACAAAGGGCGCTCCCGATGGGTCGTAGGCACGGAAGGTAATGCGCGCTACAGGGCCTCTCCAGACGACGGCCAGCGATGGCTTTGGCCAATGACATTCTCGAGGCGCAATAGTCAATTTGGTGCATCTGCCAGGGTGAGATGGGACGGGACGTGCCAAGGCGTCAGGTTGGCAGCTGGGCCCCATGTGCATAAGTTCTGGGACAGCACGGGACAGCATCCCGTCGTAGGGCTGGAGGCAAATCTGATTGACTGAGGTGGAGGTGTGCCGGGCCATACGCGGGCGCGCGGACCCGGGTGCTTGGGACAGGCAGCGCAGGGCAAGGTACACACACTCAGGAAGCGGTTCCGGCGGCCTCAGATTGAGCTCACGGCACGCACCAAGAACCAGGCGCGGGATGACGAGATGGTGGCTGCCACGCAGCGCGCGCCAGCATGACCCTGGCCGCATGGGCGGGACCAGAATAGGATCATGGCGTGCCCCGTTTGGGGGAGACAGCCCTGCCAGAGCGAGCTGGTTAGGCAGACTCGGGTCTCTAGAGACGCGGTGATGCAGGCGGGAGCATGGGGATGGGTTCAGATGGTTATGGGGGATGATGAATGGATGGTGCAGTAGACAACTGGGAGGTAGGCAAAAGCAGGCCACATTCAGCTGGCATGGCCCGGGCAAGGCAGGCCTAAGGGGCCAGTTCTGGCGAATGAGCGGCGGTTACGCGCCTGCCCGGGTATGCAGAGGCGCAGAATGGCGCCGTGGCCGCGGGCGCAGGTACCTGGAGCGCCTGAAGCGCTAGCCGGATGGGGTGCTAGCGTCATCGAAGTGGCGTGCTGAAATGGCACACTCTGGCTTTGCTCACTGCTGGGTCTGACTGCAGCTCTGGTGCCCCCGTGCACCACGCAGGCCAGTAGTGATATCATCATCACCATTGACAGGCACGGGGGAGCGCAGCTGTCGAGGTCGTATCCGGCGAGGGGCAGGGCCTGTCTCGCGCCTGCCCGCGTAGGGCTGGAACACTCCTGGTCGTGCTGTGTTTGTGGCTGGCGGATGCATGACTGAGTGACTGACCGACGGACGGACTGACTGACTGCGGCTCTGCTCTGTGGTGCTTCACCCGTGGGCCCCGTCCATGTTGCTGCCGGCGGTCCATCGAGCGTGCATGGCTTGGCCCGCCCGATCCGTCCCACTCCATCCAGATGTCTGTCTTTGACTCTCGACGTCAAACCCTGGACGTGCCGCAGGCCTTGCTCGCAAGCCACGAACGCCAGAGCCCACCGGCGGGGACCAATAGCTCCAGCTTGCTTGGGGTCGTTCAGGTTTGAGCTTGCAACTCGCCGTGATGGTTGCCCGGCATGACAACACCTCCGATTCGACCTGTGCTCGACTCGCCCGGTTCTGGGGTCCCGTGGCGGGCGGCCGGAATGGCGCTTGCTCGTTTTCTTCGACCAGGCCGTGGGGCTAGCATGTCTCGAGAGGCCCGCCGCGTGCTCATGCCTCCAGGCCGGTGTTGTAGTGCAGGCTTGTAGACCTGTCTTGTCCATCCTACCATGCCAGCTTGGCACCTGCCAACGGTTTCGACTCCCTCTCCATCGTGACCTCCTCGATGTTGGCCTTTCCTCATAGACCCTCTCCTCCCCATGAACCACCATATCCTCCCTGCCAGCCTGCAATCCATACAAAAGCAACCCGGCGCCGCCTCTTCTCCATGAACCATGATGAGGTTGACACTTCGCCATCATCCAGAGCAGTCCCGCAACACACTGCCGTCCAGTCGCTCCCCGCCCCTTTCGTTCCGATACGTTGCTGGACATCTGGATCCTCTGCGCTCTCGATCAAGAGAACGATAGGCTGTGTTGCCAATATTTCTGTTTTACAACTGTTTCTTCAAGCAAGCCGCCATTGTCCGTTCGACCGGAACTGCCTCGTCAGTCCTCGCGTGTTCTAAATCATACTTTACGACCCTTTTGATTCTTGCCGAACCAATTTGAAATGGACGGACGTAAGTGACCATCCAATTATTGGAAACCATCTCAGTATCTCTGCCTGTCGCCGTCAGGCATTCCTGGCCCAGGCCAGCGCGCGAAACATGGCTGACACTTCACAGTCAACGACTACAGGGCAGCCCGGGTGGCAGAGATCCTGTCTGATTTTCGAAGTTTACAATACTACATCGCCGCAGCTCCAGTTGATCCGGTAGATGCGACGGAGTATTGGACAGAAGGGTGGGCTGCACTCCGGCAATGCGCCCTCGATGGGCAACACATTCTAAACTGCGCAGCCGACGTGTCAGTCCCCCAGACTACAGGTGGGGAGGCCGAGCAGGATCTTGCAGAGCTTAGACAGTACGTAGGCATTTCATCTCCTTGCTGCAGCCAACAAATGTCGAAGATGCGCTGTTCTAGCCCCCCAGAGTACTTCCAACACACTAACATTGGCCTTGCCCTCTAGGATTTTGCTTGACGCCTTCGCGCGCAGGCATGTTGGCCAAAAAATCTATCTCCGGCAGGCTGCGGCGCAACGATGGATACAGTACCGGGAGCAGGTTCTCCAAACCGAGCAGTCCTCGTCAGCTCGGCGGCGTGGGCTCAAAGCCTGCGATGACCAGTTACGCCTAGTAAGTTCGCATCAAGGACCATGCTTGCCGCAGCAGCTGACCATGTATGTTTCAGGAGTTGCAACAAATCACCGACGAAATAATCTATACCGAGCTACGAGCGTCGGACACCCAAATGGGCCGCTGGACGGACGAAGACCCTAGCCTAAGAGCTGTGCAGCGCTGGGTGCGAGCTCGCCCTTCGACAACTTGATCATATCCCTCACCCCGTAACAAATGTTTAATGTTTTTTCGGCTTGCTTTTCGTACAACCAGCTTTCGACCCCATTGGGTCCGACTTTCGACTGCGACAGCCTCTTCCAGGAGCGACAAAGCTGAGCAGCATTAATCGGCAAGAGGCGCATGGGCGCGGGCAGCCCCGTCGACCGAACAGTCTCGATGCCTCCCATAACGACTACACCAATGTTCACTCGAGCGCGGCCTCGTGATAGTAGCGACCACGAGACAATTGGGGCATGAGAGATCAGCCTTGCACTGCCCTGGCCATCTATCGTTCTTGTGGCAGTAGAGTTCACACGCTCATGCCCCAAGGCGGAGCATGAATTACCGCTGCGGAAAATCCGGAGGCGCAGCTCCTATGATAGCACCATTGGCTAAGGCAGAACCGCAACCAGAAACCACGCGGACTGAGTCTACAAACGACGCCACAAAGGACCGGGCCACGGGGCTCGTGCCATTGGGACGGTCATGGCCATGGAACGTGTCACGATGTAACGACATGATGGATACGTAACTAGGCAGGGCTGGCTAGACATGAAGTTTTGCATTCAAATCGAATCACGATGCTCGACAGAGCACCACACTGTGTTGATTGGCCAGCTGCATATTTGGGACTGATGACCTGCTTTCACCATGGATGAAACGGAGCTGCGGAGCCGGGCCGAAGGCATTAGTAGCAGCTGACATGATTTTGAGATGGGCCATCACTTCCGCTACCCAGAGCAAGTGCCTACGAAAAGATCGAGGCGTATCATCAAGCTCACGTCCTCCAAGCCTTAGCTCATGAGCCATGCCTTTTACAGCTCTGTAGCAAGCCACATTAGCCTGGCCCATGCGCGCTTTGCTTTCTGCAATGGGACAACCAGTCCGAAGGTGCGGTATCAATCTTCCGTTGGTTCTTTTTTTTCTCCGCGGGATGGGTTCCTACCCTGGCAGCCACGTTGCGCGTCCGATTGAGGTTGACGATAGTCCGGTGGTGTTGGGAGGTTTGGCGCCAATGTACGTGGGACCCCACTCCGGCGCTCCGGTTCCCAGGTCCCCGCTTCGGGGTCGCCGTTAGCTCCGGCCTTGACCGTTAGACTTTTGTTTCCCTGCAAATGGGCGAATCACGAGGCCGGGGCCCAAACTTCTAGTGTCCAATGCAATTGACCGTGGAAAGTGGTGCCGGGAATCATGGTGCAATATCACGTTGCGCGTGGGTGAGGCCGGGCTACCAAGCGCGAGATTGCCACTTGTGTCCGAGCTTGTGTGAGGGTAGCCCGGTGTACCACGATATGTTCTTGGGAGTTCTGAAGGGGGCGGCTCACATTGAAGGCATGACACGGAGATGTGTAAGCGGACTGGCAAAATAGAGTTGGCAAAAGTTCCGTGTTATTCGGCTTGTGAGACGAGCCTATGAGTGATCCTGGGTGGATGGCTGGCCACTCCATGACGACGTGCAGGTTTCGTAAGGTTCCCTGGGCTGGGACGAACGTGCTCGCCCGCACTGACGAAGCGAGAAAGTGGTTGATGTTTCGTGCATTAGTCTCTTTGCGGAAAACGGACGGGGACTAGTCGAGGTGAGTCTCGGAAGTTTTGCGCTTTGAGGGTTGGCTCATGAGCATCAGGCCACCCGCCAAAGCGCTGGGTAAGTGCCGACTCGGCTGTGTTGTGGCTGGTTGGTGCGGACTCGAGGCGAAGTCTGCTGCAGGCCTTTCCTCAGATGAGAAACCAAGAACACAAACAGGCATTCGACTACCAGGGTGCTGGTGTGGAGGTGACGGGGTGCGAATGCTCCATACCCATTGTGGCACCAGTTAGTGATCCGTGGCTGGAACGACGATACAGATCGCAAGCTAACAGCCCTGTGTGAACTATATCGTTCTTGGCATTTGCTAATGGAGGGCGCGAGATGTAAAGATTACTTTACTGTGATCAGTCGATCCTACCTTTTCACAAAGAGGCCATATCCCCAGAGCTCACGTGCGTGATGCAGTATACCAAAAACTGCAAGATGGCAACTGTGGCCATGGTACGGCGGATTGCCCTCTGGCAGCTTACGCCAATGGAACGCCTAGCAAGGCCGCTTTTCGTCACAAACGTGCCATCCAACAGCTGGAGGACCAAACGAGTTGGCTGGCCTTAGTCAGTAGATGCCACTGCAAAGGGTTGTGATCGTCAGGAACATTGCATACTGCCTTTGCTTGTTAGGTCGTCAGCAGCGGGATGGTGGGTCGGCTCGGGACGGGCCCGCTCCAGCTGTGTGGGGCTCCGAGTGCACATGTTCTTGTGTGCCGTGGAAAGTAAAACCCAGCGCACATGACGCATGCGACAGAACAGAGTTTCTCTTCGAGAGGTACGTATGTTTTGCGGTAAAGTACATATCTTGACCTCAAACACGCGCTCGCTCGAGGGCTGGCTACTGTGTAGGTGGTGGGGGCGCCTTGGAGCATACACCCTTTGCTCAGGTGACGTGTGCTGTGCCGCAAAGAACGGAGTAACCATCGATCGTTAAAGACGGCAGACACAACAGGCACTCCGGCTTTGATGTGCAGCACAGATCGATGTGGGAGCACAAACGGACTCGAGCATGGTCTGTAGCTGGGCAGACCAGAGTGCAGACTAGTGCACCCAAGGCTGCTAGCGTCAAGCCGGCTGCGATGTTTCCACTAGAAAGGCGGTTTCGAAGCTGACGGCTTTCTTTGCGAGCCATATCGAACCAGCCCAGGTGGCGTCATGGTGTGAACCATTGTCTTCGACGTGGACGCCACAGCGCGACCGCCAAGCCTCAACTTTTGCAGCACAGGCTTCCATCCAGCAAGCATGTGCTACTATACGTATTCAGTCAGAACGCCGGACCTCTGCTGTGCGATGGCTCCCGCAGCCCAGCTGGAAAGCAGTCACGCGTGTCTGTACTTGTCGAGTTGCAAGCTCTACGGCATCTCGACGCTGTTGTCTGGGGTACACGCCAGGGCTGGTGGCTGGCCAGTTCGAGGACGCGTGGCAAAGGGTGTTTACTGTCGAAGGCACACGCGAATTGATGGCGCCGGAAATCATGAGTCGACATCCAACGACACTTCGTCCTTGCAAAACGCCTGCACCGAGAGCCGTGCAATTTGACGTCAAATGTGTGTGACGCCATTTCGGATCATTGGGTGTTTGCTGCGCTCCCAGGTAGGCGCGATGTCGCGTGCCAGGATGGGAGGCCCGTGGTTGTGCCGGCCCCACATTGTTTTCTGCCTCCCGCCTGCCTACCCAAAATAGGACGCCAAAATTTTGACGCCGTCCCAACAACCTGCAACCACTCGCCACGCATCCGCGCGTGAGATCATCTTCTTGACCTCGCATCGTCAGGTCCGCCACCATTCATCGTGACTCTTTCACAGTCTGACAAGGTCCCGGCCAACCTATCAAGAATACCTAGAGCCACCCTCTCCTCCTAGCCTGCGTTGTCGCGACAGGTTGTGCGTGGCGATTGTCCTCAAGACCGTACAGTAAGTAACAGTGAACGTGACCATGTGCACCGCCTTCTTCTTTGCATCCAGCAGCTTTATGCACCATAGCGCGATGGATTCACTCGGATGGCGAAGACAGAATGTCTTGTCCCCTAGCCGATTTTCCTCTGGACCATCTCTCACCAATGGTGGACAGACTCCCGGCTCGGACCACATCTCTTTTTTCCTGGTGCAACTTTGTCACAACTGCACTGCGATCGATTGTGGCTGTGTGTTCTCGTCGCCAGATCCTATCTTTTTCGCAGTCGCACTTTCATAAGCAACCATGTCTGCCTGCCAAGCCTGCAACGAGCCACTCTTGCTCGAGGTGGAAGCCGAGGATGGCTCCGAAGCAACACAGCAGGTGCCCGACGATCTCGAGCTGCCTTGCAAATGCCACTTTCACTGGCAGTGTTTTCTCGACGAGTCGCCTGAAGTTGCCTTGAGTCTTAAGTGTCCGTCCTGCGGTGCCCAACTTGCCGCCAACGCCGCTGGGCCTTCAGTTACCAACCAGTTCCTGTCCGCGAATGTTGGTGCCAAGATTTTGACACGCTATGTCAACGAGGGCGGTGTGCAAGAAGACCTCGATATTCTGCCGTCCGTCACAGAAGAGGCCTATCTGGCCGCCAATCCTGCTGCGGCTCCAGCTCGCGCCTACCATGTCATGTGCGGTGAAGGTGATGTCGGTGGTATCATCGATTTGCTGCGGGAAGCGGATCAGGCTACTGGCGAGGAAGGCAGCTTGACTGCCGCTCAACTCATTCGATACCAGGATCCACTGAATGACAACCAATCTGGACTCCACGTTGCTGTACAAAAAGGCCAAGACGAGGTCGTCTGGGCGCTACTTTGGCTGGCCTCCAGTCTCTCGGCCCATGCGATCCCAGAGGTCGTGTCACAGTCCGCACAAGCTATGGGTCTCGAGCGGCCTCAGGTGTCACATGCAGAGGACATTCGTGCCCTTGAGGACAACCAAGGCCGGACAGCCGAGGCCATTGCGGCGCAGATGGGAGGGATCTGGACAACCTTGGTCGAGTCTCGGGTGCTTCACCCTGGCACTCAGTAGCGTTTCTAAAGGGCCGTTCTGACATGCCGAAGCTACGATGCTCGCGTGCACAGACTCGTTACTTCGAGCCGTGGTCCATGTGGTTTCTGGAGACGGAAGTACTGACACTTGCACGATCACACCACTTGATAGACCCGAAAGAATAAGAATGTCCTGATCAGGAAAACTGCATTGTCTCGAAGGGGCATGGTGGCCGATGCATGTACAGCTGCACGTGGACAATTCTCCGTGCGTTTTGGAGCACCGTTTCAAGATGAAAAGACCAGGTGCATGAAGTGCCCGCCCCGAACTTGAAGGCTGCATGTAGAGTTTGTATTGACCAGGCGGTCTCGCCACACACCGACTCTCTCAATATGTGGAGGTCCCATGGAAGATGAGACGAGCCCCCTGGCGGCACTTACAGCTCCAACAACATCAAGTCTGTGGCGGGAGATACGTGCATGGTGGAGTCGGCAGAAGCATGAAGCACACTCAGCCATGTGACAACGAGATGCATGGCGGTCAAAGCCTCAAGCAACAGCGATGTGGGGAAGGGGGAAAGAGTCATCTCCGAAGAGGCAGTTTTTCAGCTGCGTTGTTAGTCCAGACTTGCATTTCTGAGACTGGGTGGCCCGATGCCGGACAAGGACGGAGCCGTGCCACGATTGAAATTTCTGATTATCACAGGACAGGACTGGACCCAAGACTACGATTATGGCGGTGGTGGGGAGCAGATTCTGACAGGAACCCATGTTCGTCCTGGCAAAACAAACAAAAGCAAAGTTCTGCAGTGGAGGCAACGGTATCAGAAGGGCTTCAAAGCTCGCCCAGCCAGGTTAGGACCCTGACTTCGCCTTGCGACTGAGCTTCAAGTGGCTTGCCCCCATCTGACAGAGCTTCCAGCCGCTCTCAAGGTACCCTCGCTCCATCCGAAATAAGGGTCCTATCGAGATTCCAAATGCGTCGAGACAGCCGGATAGACTTTTCGGTTCATGTTTGCAAAACGAGGTGGAGTATGGGGAAGAGCTAACAGGAAGGCCTGCTAGGCTATTCCTGGTACTCTGGGGGTTGTCGGAGCCGTCATCTCATGGCCTGGCGTCATCTTTGACACGCGAGGCTGGCGTGGCTGCTTAGCATTTTCTTGCTAATGAATTGCCCATGTCCTCAGCTCTTTAATCTGCAACCAGGAAGAGGAAGAGGGGGCAGACGAGGTGGGCAAAGTGCCGGGGAGTGACGACGGGGAAGATGGCAGTGGGCGGCGCTGCGCATTCCGAAACTGTCATCCTGGGCAGTGGCTTCCCCACCTCGTTCTGGCAAGCCCCCGATGGCTGATTGGCCGCAGCTGCCATCGACGCTTGACCTGCCAGTGCCAGGTACCCCTGGCTTTTATTTTTCTGCACGCACTGGCGGGTGACTTGCAGGGGCAGTCTGGCAACCTCTCGCCGGTTTTGGCACCTCGACGGAGACATTCACCCAGGTTGGGGGTCCAGAGGCTCCGCACGTGGCCAGGCAGGCATCCCCATCACCATCGCCTGCCTTCTCACGACCATCAGCCCCGTCCGTCTACGCAGTATTATGCCACAGCCCCCGGCCGGGCGTGCGTCTTCCCCATGGCATGGCGGCATGAGCAAGGACGGATCCATGCTGTAGCTGTCTGTGTGAGACACCAGATGAGTAGACGACAACTGCCCGGGCTCCCCCCCCCCCCCCGACAGGGAACCCACACAGATCGGACAAGGCCGGAACTGTCGTTCTTCCCCAAAGTCTCACGCGGCACGCTGGTCTACGGGATGGTGACGCCAGAGGCAGGGCTCGACAAGGGTCTATTTCCAGAACCTCTTGCTTCAGAGCCACAGCCATGACAGCACCCAGACGGACGGTTCCAAGGCCACTGACGACGGCCAACACGCCAGGAACAACAACATGCTAAATATCTGTCCATTCTCGGGGACCACGGCATGCCATGTTGCGGCACAGCAGCAATGCCGATCCCGGCCCTTTGGCACCTATCTCGAAAGCCTAGCGAGTCATTGACGGCGTGACGCTGTCTTGACAAACAATGGGGGTCTGCTAGATCTTGCATGACACGGAACTTTTGGCTGGCAACGGCATTGCGAAGACCAATCACTCAAGATCGTGTCGCTACGATATGGCGGAACCGGCGCCTGTACCTAGATTCACGGGAACAAGGGCCCTCGTCAGTAGACAGCCTCCTCGAAGATCCGCCGAATTGACAGCAGTCCTGCCGGCAATTAGGCCATCAGAGACCGGGATTTGGCCCACATCAACCTCTCATCTTGTGCGGATAGTTGTCACCTTGCTCAACCAGCCGGCTTCTTGCCAACAAGGGAGAGAGATCCCAACTTAAGACGCACAAGCGCGAGGGGCGTGCCTGTATGTGCCCTACCTACTCAACCCCCCCTTCTATTCCACTTATAATGTCATTTCGCCTCGTTGATCGTGGGGGGTCTGCAAAGCGTGCCCGAAGAGTGGATATGAGAGGAGAGCAGGCAGAGAAAGAGGCAGGGGAAACACGTTTCCGCCGACGCCCGTCATCGTCCACCCCTTCTCCCACTCCACTGTTTCTGACTGAGCCGTTGTCTCCGCCATTCCCGCCCGTTGTCAAACCGTTGAGTTTTCCCTTTTCGTGCCACTCAGCCCCTGCCTGGGCCACGATATCTTTGACGTCCCGACATCCCCGTAAGTGCTTAAGAACAGAGGAGTGGCCCGGTGGAGATGCTCTATGCAACAGGGTGTTTTTGGAGCCCCATATCAAAGTTCCTCCCCCACTGCTCAGAGGGACCAACAGTGGGTGTTCTTTGTTCTTCGCCACTCGCCGCTTATCCCGGCTGTGTCTGGTGGCTGACATGTCAATCTCCACGAAGCGCAGCAAGCCAACCTGCCCCTTGGCCCGTTTTCCAGCCACAATAGCAAGGGGAAACACCTGCTGTCACGGAAAGTTCCTGAACCCCATGTCGAAGATGACAGTCCTCGTCGGAGGTCCCGCCGAGGGCTGAGTGAGGCGATGCCCTCCTCACTCATCGTATCATGGCAAATGACAATATGCTGGACCCGGTCGCGCCCGAGAAAGGACAGCCTCTAGATGGCCATCACGATCCACGTGCTGTTTCGACGACTTGTTTTCCAAAGTCATGCATTCATTATACATCAAACTTGCGTGGGGGAGGGGGCTTGGGATGTGGGAATGGACATGGCCTGCTGTATTGAACGTGGACGTACGTCGTGCTGTGTGCATACATACTACTTACTCACTGACACATCCATGCCTGGACACACAGACCCTCTGTTCACGACCAACCTTGTGCTTTTGCACCCACCAATTCCCCGCAATCGAGCATCAGTCGCCAGGGCAGGCAGTCAGGCAGACATAATGATTGGTGAAGATGCAGGCAGGCAGGCAGGGTACTGGACCCCCCCCCCAAACTGCCCCCCGCCCATGCCCATTACCTTGAGATAATGTTGATGGAAAGTTGGCAGTCCCGCATGTACATGCATGCAGCAAAGAAAAACTCATGTACGTACAGTACAAGCCTGGGCCTGGCATGCAGGGGGGGGGGGCTTCTGATGGGTGGCAGGCGGTCCGTGTGCTGCTTGTCCACTTGCCCAAGCAGGCCAGGCTACATGCGCCCGCCCATGCAGGACGCACGCAGCCTAGTCAAGGAGCGAGACGCATATTCTACTTGCGGAAAGAGCATCACTCAGCATGTCACATAGGGAGCGTACCATAGTAGTGGTCGGTCGCAGCATCGAATAGGATCACAAGGGACAAAACTCACTCGGGATCAAGAAAAGACAGGATGCATATGCGTGAATGTGGGCTATATTCAATCTTGCCTATCAAGAATAATATGCGAGCAGATGTGCTGCGCAGTGGGTGCCTCACTAGGCCGCTAATCTGAGTTCCTTCCAAAGCTCCTTCTGAGTGTGATATGAAGTAGAAGGGAAAAGAAGAAGAAAAATAAGTCAAGGTACGCATGTTGCGACGCTGTGCTGATGCTGAGGCCGTTGATGGGTTTCCGAGCTGAGAGAGGAGTTTTCGAACCGGGTATCTTTGGACGGCCGTGATGTCATACATGCGTTAAAAGATGCAGCAGGATGGGTGGAAAAGCACAAAAGAGAGCCTTGCGATTTGCAGATGCGAGAGATTTGCAGATGCGAGAGAAAGAACACAACGCAGGAACAATTTAACCAGAGACAGCTAAACAAGACAAAAACTCCATGACATGGAAGGAGAAGCCTCTCAAGAGAGAGGATGCAGTCAGCATTAATGGGCCTGGGCTTTGACACGCGGATAGCCGCCGTGTCTTTAGAGGGAGAAGGCTCGAGAAGAGAAAGACGATGGGACGCTTCAGAAATTCGGCGTTTGTGAACGCTGTGGTTGAAAGACGGCTGACGAAAGAATAATGCAACTATCATCGGCGGCAGAAGTGGCGTTGTACAGGGGTTTGATGGTGGGAGAAGTCGATGTGGCAGGTAATTTCGAGGATCCGTTCAGTAACTCGTGACTCCGAGCGCGGTGGAGCTCTTTCCTCTTGGCGTCAAATTGAGGACTCTGCACTGCTTGTGGAGTGACGGCTTGAGTGCCATTGAGCTTGGTGAACTCGCTCTCCACGTCGGCGAGAAGTTCATAAACATCGCTGTCAGCATAGATGCGGATGCTTTCCATACGCTCCAATGTGTTCTGTGCAATGGTCGCGGCCGAGAGCCGGCAGTTGATAATGCTGTCAGCCTCTTCGGGAATTACGGATGGCACGCGAGCGACGACACGCTGTGGGGATGGAGAAGGCGAGGCCTCGATCTTTAGGAAAGTCTCCTTGTTGGGGCTTCGGGGAGGAGTCGACAGATCCGTGGCGCTCATGGGCAGGACGTTGGCGCCGTGGACTGTGCGGGGGGCCTCGTGTGTTCTGGCGTCCTGTCGAGGTGCCGGCCCGAGGGTGACAGCAGCAGCGACGTGCTCCAGGAGCTTCTGTCTGACACGAGTGCGGCGGTTCTCGGCATGCTCAAGCTTGGAGACCCAATCGTCGATGGATGCGTCGAGCTCCGCCAGAGCCTCCTCTTGTTTAAGTAACGCCTCCTGGCTGAAAGCCGAACCCCGGGAGGAACGTAGATACTGGCAGATGCGCGAGTGCAGGTTGCGGCGGCCAGCACGGAGGGATGTGTACGTGCGACGCAGGTAGTCTGTTCGCTCGTCGAGGCGGCGAAGCTCCTGGGATAACCGATCAACGTCGTCCTTCCTGAGCACATCAAAGCGGACCGCCTGGTCCTCAGCCTGCCTCTGCAGCTGGTCGAGCTCCACAGCATCAACGAGGTGTCGTGCATCGCTAGGCTTCCATCCCAGAGGTAACTCCTCAAAAGCACGCCTCTCCGCACTCCTGCTCTGCCGGGAGGAGCTGCGTTTATGAGCCTTCCCGGAGATGAGAGTGCCATCAGCCCTTTTGCGAGGTCTTCCACGTTCCATGATGCTGCCGGTGTCAGACTGATTCCTCCGGTGACCAGCGGCCGATCCCGTGCGGTTCTGGAAGGGAAGGACAGATGCGGAGCCACTTCGGCCGTGAGACGAGAGGGCAGATGCGCTACCTTGTTGCAAGGTCTCGATAGACGGCATTCTGGCCATGTTGAGGGTCTCGAAGGATGGCTTAGCAACCACGGCGACCGTGGCTGTGCTTTGCTTGTCTCCCCATGGCTCAGGTGAGGATCGGGCATCGGCGGGTGCTGAGATTGGCGTAGGCATGGTTGATGTTGTCATTGCCGATCGTGGAGTGTAACCAATCGTTGACGCAGTCATGGGTGTAAATGGCGTTGTGACCGTCCGCATCGATTGGTCTTGAGGAGTTGTCCCAGCTCGAGAGCGTGCAGGGGGCGAGACGATCTGCCTGGAAGTGGGAAGCGTGGCGCCCTGCAAAGGAATGACCAAAGGGGCCAGGTCCTTGGGGGACAACGCTGCCCTTGGAATGGTGGTGTCGAGGACAGGGACAGAACGTGGGATGGCGCCAGAGGTTCCCTGAGCCTCTTCGGTTGACTGGTAACGTCCGGCACCAACTGGGGAGCTCATAGATCGTTCATGAAGGGCAGGACGGCCCGGTATCGTAGCTGCAACGAGCAGTCAGCATTGACGGGTTCATGCCCGCAAAGGGACAGTGTGCTAGCTTAGACACTACTTACGAGAGTCCATGGCCACTTCTTGAACCGTCGTCATAGGTCCAAGTTCTGGCACGCTGACTTTGCGTCTTCTGTTGAGGTTGTGTTCCTTGATTCGCGAACGCAGGCCACTAGTCAAGGAAGTTTTTTCCGTCTTGTCGGGGACGGCCACTTGAGCGGCCGACTGGAGCTGCTCTACATCGAGGGGTTTGCCGGCAGCCAGCGTTGGGAGCTGCTTCTGCGTCGGAAAGAGCTGGTACTTTCGAATCTCTGGTTGCTGCATCCTCCAGACAAAGGACTTTCGCTCCTCGCCAGATGAGACTGACGCAAGCTGTGTGGCGTTGGGTGGTGTAAGAATTGGAGGTTTGTGAATATCCACCAGGGACGGTCTGCAACGACTTACCGAGTCCGTCGACATCTGGGCTGCAATGTGTGTAACTATATATTCTCTGGGCGGGCTGTGGTCGGCACTGATGTTGGCCATGCAGGAAACAATATGGGCCATTGAGCGTCGTACTGGCGGTTCGGAATGGTTGTCAGAGATAAATGAGCAATGCGTTGCACGATATCCAGACGAATTAAGGTTAGGCGGGGAAGCCTCTGGTTGATATATGAGCAGCAACAGCAAAGAGAGAGGCGGCTTGGCCGATGAGGTAGCCCCCCAGCAGATGAACGGTCAGAAAGTACCTGCGCCGGCCCTGGCCAGGAGAAGCGACCTGGAGCTCATGCAGCAGCATGTCCTCTCCCACGATCGCGAGCTGCGGGTGAGACAGCAGGCAGGCCCAGTGTCATAGCGGGCGTGGTATGGAAACCGGACGCAGGGGGGTGGCCTCGATCTGCCGGGGGGTTGGACAAGAGGTACTGTAGCTGTACACCTGGGCAGAGCCCGGGCAGAGGGCACACCCAGTGACCTGGTGGCCCTGGTCCAAAACGAAGCCACGAGGGCGCTGCAGGCTAAGAAAGACCCTCGACAGGGTTGCGGCGGGCTGGGACAGAGGAGAGGAGAGGGCCCTCCCCTGGCGATAGGCATCCTGGCGAGGTTCTGCCCTGCCCGCGAGGATCCACGCCATGGGCTGGGGTGCTAGGCTCGGAGCACGGGACGAAACGAGACGGGCGTGCTGCAGGCAGGACGAGGATCCAAAAGTGCCTGCGTCGACGACCAGGGTTCGCTGCGGTGCGGGTCGGGTGTTGTTGCTGTGGTGGTGCCGGTGGTGGGGAGGCGAAGGGGAGGGGAGCGAGGTGAAACAACAAGGGTCCAGCCAGCCCTTGCTCTTCTTGCCAGCTCGCACCGCCCAACGTCGCCCAGTCACGCCCGCCGTCTGTCTGTCCTTGCTGATGCGAGCACAAGTCATGCACCTTCACAACTCGCACGCAATTTCGGCTCTGCCTCAGAACCTCAGCCCTCGACGCAGCGCCTTTCCCTGCTGCTCATGGCCAGCTCGTCGGCGACTTTCGGGCAGGCAGGCAGATTCCTCAAGGCACTAACTAATAACCTTGCCGGCGCAATGGCCTTCACGCCCAGCATCAGCCGCACACCTGCTGAAGCTCCGCCTCCAGGCTCCCGCTGCTCTCAAGGATGTCATCTCACGCGGTCCGGCAAGTGATTAGACCAGAGAGACAGACATTCAGCGCAGGCCTTGGCTGCGAATCGTGACTTGGCCAGTTACTCCCCAAGGAGCGTATGAAATATTGCCACCAAGAGTACCAGTGTGGTTGACTCGCCACGGTGTTTCAACAATGGAGCTGCCGAGTTTCATGCAACTCGTCTCGCTGCAACAGAAAATCTGCATGCGGATCAAAGAGCCCGGCTGGCGCATGGCGACCTGCGCTCTGCTCTAGCTTGGGCGGCGCGACGGACATTTCGAACCCTGGCAGATCGTCGGCATTGGTGGCAGGATGTGAAACCCAGGACTCTCTGCTACGCTGTTGTCGACAGAATGTCCAATGACGTCGTGAACTTGTCACGCCAAGATGAGGTCAACATAGTACAGAACCGTGACCAACGATTGAGCCCGACTGGTCATCTGCGAGGCGTACCAAGGGAAAGGCCACCCATCAAGGAACGCTTGCCCGCCTTACACTGCATCACGAGCGATGACCAAGGCACTATGACTGAGAACTCGGGGGCAGGCACTAGCTTACTTACGGCATAGTCTCCTCCAGCTGAGTTCTCCGCAGATCTATGCCCGCCACTACGTTTCCAGCCCACATGGGCGTGATAGCCCACAACAAACGGTATTGGTCGAACAGTAGGGGCGGCGTTATGCGCAAGCCGCGTCGTTTAGTCTCCGACAATGCTTGAGTAGCTGGTTGTACGCGAGAAACACCACGTGGGCTAGTCCCCCCAGGTGGTCCGCTGTGGGTGCTGTAGTATCTTCTCCAAGCTCTACTGGTTCAACATGGAAGACAAACGACGTTTGAGCATGGCAACGCCACCACGTTATCGTAAACCACCCTCAATGTCTATCTCAACGCAACGACAAGTCCGAGGATTCACTTGCATCATCAACATTTGACGGCGGATTCGAAGCCAACCTCGGCAAGATGTTAATCTCAACCAATCGCACAGGCGGGCGGTGTGCGGCTAGTCTCGAGCCGTTCTCAACGCACGTCCTAGACTCGGCAGAGCTACAAGACCGTCGATCTTCCTCAGGTCCGAGGAACTTCTTGAATGACTGGAGCCTGGTTGGTAGCCATCCGAGATAACAGACCTTGTGTGATCTCCTTATCACACAGATGGCATCAGCCCGAGAACTCACAAAAGAACTTGGTATGCTGCCATTGGGTCACTGCGTATGATTTGGTGGTTGCAAATGTACCCTGACTGTCCCCTCAGCAGCATTGTGCGCCAGTGGGTGTGAACGGCTAGCACGGGTGTCCGTCGCCTTGATGGAAACGACTAAAATATGGGCCACAAGTGCCTAGTGTCTTCCATAACCTCCGTGTTTCTTAACGTGAAACCTCATTCAATTTGTACTGTATTGCGTCGAACATGTATTCGATCCGACTGCCAAATTCCAAGGCTCACAAGCACAATTCGGCATTTGGAACGCGGTGGGGCTCAAATCGAGTACCGAGAAACACCACATTCAAGGCCCAAGGTTTCAGCAAGAGTGTTCAGATCCCGATCGCAGCTAAGCTAGTGATCACGCAAGGCACACGCGAAGTCGAGAGGCTCAATACCATAAGGGAAGGCAGAGACATCACCAGCACCACGTTCTTTGTCATGCCGTCATCCGGTTTCGGTAAAACATGCCGTGCCAAGAAGCGACCACAAAGAGAGCGTCTGATAGAGCTTCCCGTGGACTCAAGAACGGCGCCGTCGGCTGGCTGGCTGCATGGGGTTTTCAGAGCCACATTGTGTATTTGATTGAACACAAGCATGCTTGGTCCGACGCAATGATCAACAATAGTATCGCTATCTTCGGTAACACGCTAGGCACGAACTCCCGATAATCGATTCCTCCGGCCGATGCGTCGGACAGCATGGGGGTGAACTGGAACTTTTCAATCCAAGTGTGAAGCCGCCTTCTGCTACGGAGACCTGTTGAGAAACCCCTGTTCCTTTTTCCAGGTTGCCCCCACAATGGCTGAATGCTTGCAATCTGGAAGCTGGGAGGGGGGGAAAAGTTCTCTGCCAGTGCCCATAACCTCAACCCCCCCAGTTCCCGCTCGCGGGCGGGAGAGACCCCTGCAAATCCTGGCCTATCGGTGATCGACCCGGCCCATCCTGAGGTCCCAGCACAGTTCCCATGCTTCAAAAGGCTTGCCGTACCTGAATGTTGTTGCCGACTCGTTGTGTGCTGCAGGCCGGTCAGATCTAATCCTGGAGTGGCTTGGACGAACACGGCTTGCTCACGGCTGGGAAGCACCATCATGTCATCGCGAGTCTGCTTCGAGCATGACTTTTGCCCACACACCCGCTGGGCGCTGCATCGCCTCAGCGCATATCAACTTTGGAACAGTCAATAGCAATTGTTCATATGAACAATGCGTGATTTGGCGCTGCCAAATGTTGAACATTCCGATCAAGGCGTAGGCATTGTGGGTTGATGGGAACTGGCTGGCGGGCGACAGAATCACATCGTTGCCGTCCACAAGGAAGCGCACGTAGTGGTCTTCGAAGCAGCCACTAATAGTGCACCAAGACGTCAGAAATTGTGACAGCCGTCAAAGATGACTCGTTAAGTACGCGACCCTGCAGCCATGGCACGGCAATGATAGGTCCTCTCTTTGTGAGTCGTCAGTACACCGAATCCATTGTCACGGTAGCATTCTGCCCCTAGATTTGCTGCCATTCATGTCACCATGGGGTACAAGCCGCCGATGGGCACACTGCGTGTGGAGCCAAATCTCTCATCACCTCGCCTTCAATGCTACGCTTTCCTCATCACACCCGGTTGCGGGCCATCAACGTGGACTGGGGCCGGTCGTGGTGCTTCTATTAGCAGTGACTGAATCGACCATGGACTTCTCTGCCCGCCCTGCAGTAGGGAACAACTCGTGTGGTTGGTTTCACCGAGCCGTTGTGCAGTCAGGTAGTTCGCCCACCGTCAACATCTTTGTGCAAGGTATGCCCCTGCCACGTGCTGATTCGTTTCTTTCTGCAGGAGACCAGTCTGTGCCCATTCTCTACCCCTGGGCGCCGTTTCGGTGCGGACTGGGTCATCGTCCCGGTCCCCTCGCCTGGGCCAGCCCGACACACCCTGGGCACAACTCCGTACTGCGTAGTGCTGAAATGCCCTGAGAGAGTCCCGCCGCCGGGGCCGGCCGCCAGGGCCCTGGTGGCATCGAACTGCCCCCCGGCACGCCATGTAACCCAACGATCTCCACAGGGGGGTGGGTTAGCCGTTTTGGATGTCGTACCGGCCGTTCGTCCCTCGACAAGGCGGCTCCATCACTCGCCCACGGGGGCACAAGCTGCCATCGAGGACCGGCCGTTCTAGGAACATTTTCCCAGCTTCGTGGCTTCTTCTTTACGGGCCCCAGGACTATATTTAACTCTGGCCTGCGGAGGAACAGCCGGACTGTGAGGATGGCTTCCGGATCAAGCCGATACGTTTTTGCTTACGCCATCACGACAGCAGTTGTTTGGAGTGGGAACGAAGTTGTAAATAAAAATAAAAATTGAAAAATTGAAAACTGGGCTACATTCAGTCTGAGCGTTCACCAAAGCAGGGCCCCCCGAGTGTAAACGTGATGGACAGCAGCGCTAACCGCCAGTGCCAGAGATGTTTGCGTCACATCCAGGGCTCGCTCTATGCAGCCACCGACCATCCGCCAATCGCACAGACTGCGGGGAAGGCAAAGTCAACAACAACAGCAAGCAGGCATCCTGGGCTTGCGCGCAGCCTCACTCAATCAATCCCTCGAGGTACTCCCTCCCTCTCTCGTGAATCGGGGGCACTTTGCTTCTTCAATCGTGACTTGCATGACACAACCCCAGATCCTGCAGCACGACATGAACAACAAACTACAACCACAGCACCAGCCAAGCGGGTGCAGTGCTGCTGTTGCCCAACCACGGCAGCTAAACCGCACTGAAGGTATAGAAGAAATAATTGCATGCATTGCCCCGAAAAGGCGGCCTGGAACGGTGTGTGGCCACCACTAACATCGCCTGAGACCACAAGGCAGAGGTGACATACATACAAGACGTCACGATCGCAAATACATATCTCCTTCCAGGAACAAGCCCCCCCCGCCACTACTCACTCACCTTGCTCCCGCAGCCCCCTCTGGTTTTGTTTCCCCCCACCTTCGCATCTCCCCGCGCGCGCTTTGCGCGGAAACTTGTTTTATTCTACATGTAGATGAAGTGCTTTCTTACCCATGCGGAAGCATGTTTGGACTTCTCACCACGCTTTTAGTGTTTGGCACTTGCAGTACTTTGTTCGTGATACTCCCTCTCTCTCTCTCATTGAGCTACTTTGGGAAAATTGGCCCCATATGGAAAGCCCCCTTTGGCTCCTGCAACCACGCCGGGGGACTCAACGGCTGACACGCTCCGGGCTTTGCAGGCACTGGCGCAGGCTCGGTCCGAATGCATACGCCTGTGACGAGTTCTCGGGTCGCCAAGGAGCCTTGAGGAGGGAGGGAGGGAGGGAGGATCGCGATAGCTAGACGCCGCCTTCGACGCCGCCGCCGCCGCCGCCACCACCACCACTCTCGCCCTGCTGAGGTGGTGCAAAACGGAAATGTTTCGTTTCACGGAAATGTTGCACTAGTGTGTGCGGCACGCTCAGACTCGAATGCATGTAGTAAATAGACTCTGCCCTTCCAATACAAACTGCCGGGTCAGCTGACCCCTCACTCACTCTCTATATCCTTGATACCACCAAGAACCCTGGCCTAACTCAATATGAGACGCCCCGTTCATGCCCGTAGTAGATTGCACTCTCCATTTCTGTGTGATTGAGCAGCGGAGACAAGGAGAGAGAAAGATAACAACACACTTGGGAAATAACCCACGGCAGCCTCATGCCGGCGCACGGACGATTTACCCCGTGCTGCCGGTCTTCCCCCTCCCCTCCCGTCCGCTAACTTGGATGCAAGCGTATCCATAAACCGTTAGGATGCTCCGGCACATCACTAGCTTTCCTTGCTTCCGGCACGGGTTGGCTGTTAGTGCCTTGAAAAAGAGCCCTTCAACTGCACCACATCACAAGGCACACACGTGCCGGCCTATCTACACAGAAAGAGAGAGGGACGGCAGGGTGGAGATAAAACACCAAAAGAGAACCGCTCGGACAATGGCGGAGAGGGGCAAATGGCGGGCCGCGAGAAGATCACCCGGCTTTGCTTCCGTGAGTGACTCCTTCTACTTAATTGAGTTTGGAGCTAGTAAGGAATCGAGTACTGCACGTGGTTGTTTTCTTGGGTGCGTGTGACAGTGACAGTGACAGACCGCTATCCGAGGGTCAACACTTTTAGTGTCCGACCTGAAAGCGACACTTACTGATGAGGCTGCACTTGTCAAAAAGAAAACATACACTAGTTAGACTTATCGCCCGATGCCCAGCCGCAGTTAATTTCTCCGCCATCCTGGGTTCCTTTGTTGTGGAGGGTCCGTGTCCCCATCGTCAACCATAACTATTATCATCATCACCATCATCATCTTCTTCGTTATCACGTGCTTGCTTTCCATCGCACCACGCGCACGCGCGCGGACGGCCAACGTAAACGAGGCCGCCCCATCGTTCGGGGTTTGGAACAATAGAACAACGCCTCTCCTCCGCCCCGGCACGCACGTACGATAACAACTGGGAGCAGTCGGAACGGGCCCCCTCGGAGGTTTGATGACTGATAATCAGCTATGCTATTGCGTGCGTGCGGCGCGGGGCTGGCTGGGGTTGTTGCGGCGGTTCCCTTTTCCGCGGATCATCATCACTTTTGGGCGGGTGTCACATGGTGACCAAACCAGGTGCTTTTGAAGGCGAGTCTCTCGAGGTGCGTACATGTGGTCGCCTCAATTGAGTAGGAGATGCGCCGCACGATGTGCGCCCCGTACGGGACGACGAAAGTTACCAAAGCGCAGCAAGAGAGGACCCCCCCCCCCCGATGTGAAGAAGATGAACCGCAACGAGAGCAACAACAAACATGCGTCAGGATTGCAAGGGTTGCTGTTCTCCGGTGAGGATGAGATTTGCCCGAGCCGCCAGAGATCCATGATCATGCATGCATACATGCATGCTCACATAGACAGACAGATAGACAGACAGACAGGCGTGCATGCGCTCGCGGCCCCGCGTGTGGCGTTCGTCAATCCTGTGTGATAGGAGTGCATTGCGTCGCATCGCCTATGTCGAGGCTTGCTTTGCCTATTCCCAGCCGCCAGGACCTCGTCTCGTGCTTGGCGAGCAGGCAGGCAGGGGGCCTAGACTCCCACTGCACTGCTTAGCGTGTCGCTGTCAATGTCCATACCGCCCGCGACATCGGCATCGGCATCAGCATTGGGCAATTGCGCTTGTCCCATTTTTGTGCAGCGTTGTGGTGTGCCCGCAAGTCGTGATCACGAACGCACCACACATTGCAGATCGTCCTGGCCGGCATCTGGAGCGTCGTCTCAGCCAGGGTAGGGTGGGCCAAGGGGCATAGTTCGCAAAGAGAGCTCGGCCATGGTTGTGAGTTTACCAAAAAAAAAATGACCAAAAACGACAAACAGTGGAGCAGCAAGCACTCAGACCGTGGCGAGATTGTGACGGCAGGCATGCATGCTCGCTCGTGCTTCCCCGTGTGGCTTGCATCGCCAACGGCGACGAGGGCATCGAGCACATGCAGAGAGTGTGTACCTGCAGACGGTCAGCGGAGTCGTGGCATGGGCGCCCTCCACTTCCCCATGCCCGTTGTCCAGCGAGACGGTACCTGGCTCAACCCGGGAGACCTCGCATACAACACGTACCTGAGGGAAAGTACCGAGCGACGAGTCGGTTCGAACTAACTTCAAACGTAGCTATAACCTGTGATGTTATAGGGCCAAGGGTCAAGGGGTGCCGGTATCAGAGATAAAAGGGGGTTTTTGTCTTTCGCCCCGGTCTTACGTCGTACTGTACCTGCCAAAAGTCTCTTGTCATCACCTAAGTCGATACGTCAAGTCCACAGCTTAAAACATTACCCGCTTGTCTAGTTCGCATGGCCAATACTGTGACTCTATTGCTGCTGGTGGATGTGGAAAGTCGTTAAGAAGGTGTCAGGTGCTGACAAGCTTGGCAGTCCAGGGAGAGCGAGTCAGCTATTCACAACTTGAATAAGGTTTGGGCGCATTGCCCTTGTCTCAGGCCAGTCTGTCTGTTTGCGAGGCTCCTGACTGCACGAGTTCCGAGAATGCGAGGAGACATCGGAACCCGCTGGCCGTGCCCAGCGATGGCCGTTGAAAGCGAGAAGAGCTTCAACGAAGACGGCGATCACAAGCCAGACAAGGCCATGTTTGAACATCATTTCGGTCAGTCTCTCCACAGGTGATAAAGTTCCTCGCGAGCCCTCACCTCACAAGCCTTGGCCGTGGGTCTGACGGGCCTGTCGGCCACGAGGCATCCCGGGCCCCTTGAAGATGATCTTCACGGTGATGCTCGTGGGTCAAATCTTGAGGACCACTCAGCACAGGCCTCAATCATGGCATCCAGGACAGCCGTTTGATCATTTCTTGCGCAAGACGAATAGTGGGAAACCCGGCGGCCGGATCGAAGTCTTGTTCACAAGATCGTGGTTATCCATTAGGTCAGAGCCGAGGAGTGGCAGTACACAGGGCCGACTCTAATTCCATCTCGAAGCCAGGATAGAACGCCAGAACTGCAAGGCATTTGTTTGTCCTCCAATAACCAATGAATTGGCCCCAGGTAGGCCGGCTCGTTTTCACGTCCATCTGATTATCGGAGGCATTCATTGCTAGCGGCCGGCCCGTGGTGTATGCATGTCATTCGGATCAATCGCGAATGATGGACCGCTTGCCGCTATGCAAGTATTATAACTGATGCAAAGGAGGATTGAGATGCATGGTGCCCGTGAAACGCTCTTCCGGGACACATCTTGGAACTTTTTTTGATCCTTGAAGCTATAATGCCGCCTGTTAAGGGTGGACCACGACTGGGCTTCTAGTGCTGTGTTCTAGAGCCTTCATAATACCCATATGTTATATGTGCTAATATCCGAAGCTTGGGCGTCTTGCTCCGGGATGGCGAGCTTGAAATGTTGGTTGGAAAACTTTTTGCTCAATCTTGATATCTAGCCATGTTTTCAGGTGAAGCACCAAAATGCAGGCATTGCGCGTGCGATCGTCCCCGGGATGGTGTTTGCTGTGGAAATCCGTGCAGGCTCCTGTGTGGTCGACCGTTGACCAGGTCGTCGGCTCGTGGTCCGTGATGGGCCTGCCAGGTCCATTCCTCTGCATTGATCCAAGGCTTCCTTGATCCTAGCAGCAAGACCGCAGGCGTGATTAATCACACTGCCCGGCAGTGTGAAAAGGCCAAGTGACGTGCACGTGTTGACCAGCAATCTGGCTGCACAGTAACAGAGTAGCAACGGCGGTCGCAAGAGGGTCGTTTCATCTCACCAGAGACTTCGATCCCGACTCGGTCGCGAGCCACTGTTGAGGGTCTGCCTGGCCCATTGCACATTGCACTGCGTGCGCGGCCAGCCAGCACACATTTGCTCATCGACATAAAGACTTCTGTGACTCGCATTCCGACATGGACTGTGCACGCAGTACTCCGTAAGTGCGTGGCTTGAGAGAAGGGACGGCGACGCGGCGCGATGTTTCAAGTCAGATCAGGGAATGGGTGGTGTGGCGTCACGCTAAGACTTGGCACAGGAGCCGACGACCGTCAAGTCGAAACGAGCCATACGCACGCAGCACATGGCAAACTCGCGATGCGACAGGCCGGCGGCGCCTGTCGCGCTCAAGAGTGCGGCCGAACGCCCTCCGCGCGATAGGCAGCGTTTCTTCTGCCTTTGCGTCTCGCGGGCAACGGCCGTTGCCGGATCCACGTTGCAGCACAGTTGTGACCGATCTGAAATGACAGCTCCGTCCGTCCTGCTGGTCCGACAGCCCGGTGTCAGCTTCCGTCTCGCTCAGAGGCCAGGGGCGCCGGTGTGGCGCCGACTAGGACGGTGAATTTGACGAGGGCGACGATCTGGTGGGCCGCGTCTTGTGATGCAGGAGGTCCCAAGCTGCAACACGATGATGCAGGGTGTCGATGGATGGCGCAAAGAGGGATGCCCGCTTGTGGCAGGTCGCCGTGGAGCGAACAACGCCGTCTGCTGCAGACCCACGATGGACGTGACAGACGTCACTTGAGCAGCCGCGTCGCTTTGGCAGGGCGTTTTGGGCAGCGCAGAGAACGTTGCAGGAAATGCTTGGTGTGCTGGACGCGAGATACGGCTATGTGCGGCTGGAGGTGGAGGTGGAGGTTTCCATCGTAGCCCTGGGGCCTGGCCTAGGCTGTATCAGGCAGGCAGCTCCAGCTCCCACGCCGGAGGAGTGGTGATGGTGCCTTGGAAAACTTGGCTCTTTTGTGCCTAATTGGCACCAAGCACCGAGCCACCTGCAAGTGCCTCTGACACCGTGGCAGATTGCAGCTTGATTCGCTCTTGCCGCCTATTAACGACCCTGATCACGAACGGCTGGCCGTTGGGGCACGGAACCGTTGCCGCACCACCACGATGGGTCTGCTGCGGGGTGCTGCTGGCACAACCACCACCACCACCACCACAAGCTTCGCCACGAGGGGCAGCCTCGCAGTTCGCAGCCTCCAAATCACCATCCGCAGCCCGTCTTTTGCAACGGCTGCCCAATCTCGCGCTTTGGCCTCCGCTTCAGCTTCAGCCTCACCACTAGCTGCAGTCCCCCTCTCGCCGCGCCGCCTCTACAGCACCTCCAGCATGGCCACCCGTGATCCCAACACCCTCGCCAACTATGGCCACTGGCGGGTTCGCCACACCTCAGTCGACTTTGCCGTCAACTTTGACAAGCAGCGGCTCGAGGGCTCCGTCCTTCTCGAGCTCGAGTCCCTGACGGACCGCCAGAGCAACGAGATCATCCTCGACACCAATGCTCTGGACATTGCCTCGGTCAAGCTGGATGCTGCAAGCTCCAAGTGGGAGGTCAAGTCTCGCGTCGAGCCATATGGCGAGCCACTCCACATTGCCGTGCCTGAAGGCGCTGCGCAGGGCCAGCTCGTCAAGCTCGACATTGCCCTCCAGACCACGTCCAAGTGCGTCGGTCTCCAATGGATGACCCCAGCCCAGACCGGCAACAAGAAGCACCCTTACGTCTACTCCCAGTGCCAGGCGATCCTCGCCCGGTCCATCTTTCCTTGCCAGGACACGCCAGACGTCAAGTCAACCTTTAGCTTCAAGATAACTTCGCCCCTGCAGGTTGTGGCAAGCGGTGTCCCTGTCAAGGAGGCAGCAGGCAGCGAATCCAACGTGTATCGTTTCGAGCAGAAGGTGCCGATCCCCTCATACCTCTTCGCGCTAGCATCTGGTGACCTCGCTACTGCCCCTATTGGCAAGCGCTCCGTGGTCTCATGCGGCCCCGAGGCGCTCGAAGGGGCCAAGTGGGAGCTCGAGGACGACATGGACAAGTTCTTGGATGTTGCAGAGAAGTTGGTTTTCGATTATCAGTGGGGAGAGTACAATGTGCTTGTACTGCCTCCCAGCTTTGCTTACGGAGGTGAGTCCTCATGTCATAAGCACGGAACTTGAGCACGAGCTAATCGTCTTATTGCAGGCATGGAGAACCCCATCTTCACGTTTGCGACCCCTACCATTATCAGCGGCGACCGCCAGAATGTTGATGTCATTGCCCACGAGCTGAGTCACAGTAAGTACGCGCGAGCTAGGGGCAGTGGTTGTGCAAGCTTGAGACGTCTATTTCGGAACGCCTGATATTTGTGGTGGCTCCTTCACTGACAACGATTCTCTCACGAATAGGCTGGAGTGGCAACTTGGTTGGCTGTGCTAGTTGGGAGCACTTGTAAGTTCTTGCGGCCCAATTTCTTTTCTTGGACACACCAGCTAATGAAAATCTCAGCTGGCTCAACGAGGGCTGGACCACGTACCTCGAACGCCGCATTGGAGCTGCCATCCATGGCGAGCCCCAGTTTGACTTCTCAGCCATTATTGGCTGGAAAGCGCTTGGTACGTCTCAAGCATAACCTCAATAATCCGCTTGTCGCGTTCTAACATCATTCCAGAGGACTCGGTCAAGCTGTTTGGCGAGACGCACGAGTTCACAAAGCTCATCATCAACCACAAGGGTGTCGACCCTGAGGATGCCTTCAGCACAATCCCGTACGAGAAGGGATTCCACTTCCTTTACTACCTGGACCGACTGGTTGGCAGAGAGAACTTCGACAAGTTCATTCCGCACTACTTCCAGACGTGGGCTCGTAAGTCGCTGGACTCTTTCGAGTTCAAGCAGACATTCCTTGACTTCTTCAACAACTACGGCAACGAAGAGATCAAGAGCAAGATTGCTGGCATTCCTTGGGAGGAGCGATTTTATCAGCCTGGCCTGCCGCCCAAGCCCGAATTCAACACTGCCTACGTTGACAGCTGCTTGGCCCTTGCCAAGAAGTGGGAGGACGAGGTATGTCCCACACGATTGAACATTCGCTCGGAATGATGCGCTGACATACATCAACTAGACCTTCAAGCCAGAACCAGAAGATATCAAGTCCTTCACAGCAAACCAGACCCTTGTTTTCCTGCAGGCGGTCCAGAAATTCTCCAAGCCGCTAAGCGCGGAAAGATCCCATCTTCTTGGCACCACCTACAGCATAAGCTCGTCCAAGAACGTCGAGCTCAAGGCTGCTTATTACTTGATTGCACTTGAGGCCGGGGACAAGAGTGAGATTCCTGGCGTCGTCGAGCTTGTGTCGTGTGTAGGTCGGATGAAGTTCGTTCGCCCGTTGTTCAGGAAGCTCAACGAGGTCGACAGAGACCTGGCCGTCAAGACATTCAAGGAGCACAAGGACTTCTATCCCTCTACCACAAAGGGTCAACTCGAGAGAGATCTCGGTTTGAAATAAATTGAATGTAGACTGTGAGCTAATCAAATCTTGTCGGTCTCTTGGTCGACTATGTGCAAACATGATTTTGTTGTGAGACGTCCCGTAGTGCAGGTATATCTCGTAAGAAGAGAAAGAAAAAGAGAAAAAGAAAAATCGACCTATCTGCCTCCTCACTTTGCCTTCCTCGTGTGCTTGTGCTCGTACGTGTTGTTGTTTATCTCCATTTTTCTACGGCATGTCCAGCACGACCTATTCCTGCAGCTCGGCTAACTCTCAGCTGTCGTACTTTGCATTTGCATAGTACGGTTCAAATAAAACCAGGCCAACTACATTTACAGTTTGTCCTTACTCCTCGCTAGATGAAATAGCATCTGAGACCAGAAAATTGTATGTATGTGTAACGTAATCCACAAGTGGGTGAACCACACAAGTGGATGAATCAGTCCCCCGCCACTTTCGTACAGGCTGTCTTCTTTCCCCCTTTTCTCCACCGATAATTATAGTACGACAATCAAATGAAAGCGATTTAGTTCTCGCGCTAAATGCGCTTCAATCGAACCCAGAATTGAGCGTACGAAAGGCTGCACAGATCTATAATGTATCCTTCTCAACCCTCCAACGACGACAACACGGCCGACCTGCGCAACAAGATATCCGACCACCTTGCCAGAAATTGACCTCGTACGAAGAGGACAGTATCGTACGATATATAATCGACCTAGATTCGCGATCGTTTCCACCGCGGTTAGGTGGTGTTCGAGAAATGGCGGATCGACTCCTCCGCGTGCGCGACGCGCCACGCGTCGGAACGAACTGGGCCTCAAACTTCGTACGACGACGACCAGAGCTCCGTACGCGTTTTAATCGAAGAATCGACTACCAGAGAGTCCTCTGCGAAGATCCAGACGCGTATCGCGCGTGGTTTAAGCTCGTACAAAACATAATCGCGAAATACGGGATCCACGATGACGACATCTATAACTTCGACGAAACGGGCTTCGCGATAGGTAAAATCTCCGCCGAAACTGTCGTTACAACCTCCGATCGACGTGGGAAGCCAAGAGCTGTACAACAAGGGAATCAGGAATGGGTTACAGTAATCTAGGGTATCGCGTCGTACGGCTATTTAATCCCGCCGTATATCATCTTCGCCGGGAAGGTCCACCTCGACTCCTGGACCGCAAATAGCCCCCTACCGCCCGACTAGGTAATCGCGCTTTCAGAGAACGGTTGGACGACGAACGAGAGAGGCCTAGAGTGGGTAAAACACTTCGATTTCCATACGAAGAGTCGTACGAAGGGTACCTACCGCCTCCTTATCCTCGACGGCTACGAGAGCTACTATTCGGTCGATTTCGAGCTCTACTGTAAGGAATAGAACATTGTGACGCTCTGTATGCCTGCTCACTCGTCGCATAAGCTCCAGCCTCTCGATGTTAGGTGCTTTGGACCTCTGAAACGGGCGTACGGTAAAGAAATCGAAGGTCTAATGCGGGCGTACGTAACCCACGTTTCAAAGGAGGACTTCCTCCCAGCCTTTTATAAGGTGTACAACGCTGCAATGACTAAATCAAACATCCAGGCAGGCTTTAGAGCGACAGGCCTAGTACCGTACGACCCGAATTATGTGATTTCGCAGCTAGATATGAAGTTTCATACGCCGACACCACCTGGTTCCTCTGCTGGACTACCACCCCCATGGGTTTCAAAGACGCCGAACAACCCAATTGAGACCGAATCGCAGACGAAGTATATTAAAAATCGCATCATACGACACCAGAATAGCTCACCGTCGTCCATTGTTGAGAGCCTACGGCAGCTGGAAAAAGGAGTTATAATGATGGTACACGAGCAGGACCTTATACGCCAAGAGCTCGCCGAACTTCGAGATGCAAATGACCGCCTTAGCCGCCGTCGTCGTACGAAAAGAAAGCAGCTACAGAAAGGAGGGTCCCTCACGATTGATCAGGTAAAGGATTTGAAGGCTCAAATCGATGCGACGCAGCAGTTAATAGCGGAAACGAGTCAGAAGAGTGGTCGTACGAGGAGGCCCGAAACGCGCGCGCGACGATGTGGCGTCTGCGGCGAGCCCGGGCATAATGCTCGTACGTGTCAGAAAGTTATATCTGCCTCTGAAGAAGAGGATTCCGAATAGTTTGAATTGATTTGAGGCGTTATGGTTGAATTGACTTATATATTGTCGTACGAGTACCCGATAACTGATTCATCCACTTGTGTGATTCACCCACTTGTGGATTACGTTATCTAACAACATCGCAATCAGAGAAGCAGCCATTCCCGCCTCGGACTGATGTTTTACCGTCAAGGATAAGGACAAGCAGTCTTTTTTAAAAAACAATTGAAAAATTTTCAAGTTTTCCATTTTCTTTTCGGGTGATTTTACAGCTCAGATTACCGAGCCGGACCCTTTTGTTTAGAAGAAGCCATAGAATAAATATATCGGCAATCCTTCTTATTTATACCAATATTTCGACTCAATCGGCATGTGACGCTACATGTCTAGATGCAGACTTCCCTTCTCATACATGAAGAAACCCCCAATGCTTGTGTAGAACCAAATGTTCAGGAGTGGCCCTCAACACTTTGGGCTTCCAGGCGTACGGGATAATTTGTCACCTCGCATCAATTAAGACGGAAACCTGAGGAATCCACGCGGATCCTAAATGTAAGAAGTAATACTTGCCGAACAACGATCGAGCATGAGAGCGAGCATTTAAGCGGGACGTTGTGGCATGTACCTTTGCCGCGTGTGTAAGTGCAGACGGCCGTTGGCCAGTAGCTCGGCCTGGCTGGGACCCCGTTGAATTGATGAGCGTGGGGAAATTGGCACATGCATGCAAGCAGGCGTGGTTGGTTGGGCGCGACACCCCAAGACCCTTTCCTGACCGCGTCCGGCCGTCAAAGCTGCAGCTGACCGAATCACAAGGCAGCATTCGCTCTCGTTAGCGGCCTGCCAAATTGAACCCCCCCAAAACAGCCCTTTTCAAAGCAGACAGCCCGTGACGTCTTTTTTTTTGGCCGTCCTCTTGTCGCGACAAAAAGAACCAACCACGGACCCGGCACGAGGACTGGCCGGTCACCAACTCAAACCTCGCGCCCGCCTGCACAACTGTCCACGACAAGGCCGAGCTGCGGAGGACCAGCGCCATCCCCGCCAGACACCACCACATCCCCGGCGTGGCCTCCCCCCGACCGCTACTTCGACCGCGAGACCTCTCGCTCGTCTACCACGAAGCGGACGCTGACGGCAACCGAAGGACGGCTTAAACACTCGACAAGGTCTGCGCATCATCGCCGTGGCGCACCAACGAAATAGCCTCGATCGACCAGAGCGCCGAGCACGGCTGGCGACATGCGACGCCAAAACGCCCAGCTCATCTGTATTTAGACGCTTGTCCTCCGACACGACTTGGGGAGGCCGATAAGTTGCGACACCGCCGCACCGCGACCCGGACGGCGAATACGCTGTGATATTGTGTCTGCTAGCTTCTGGCGACACCCGCATGTTCCCACGGGGGCATCGGAGGACAACAATTTGGTAGCGCACAAGTTATCCCGGCGGCCTGGGGCAGCCCACAGACGTTGCCCAGCATGCCGCCCGCTGGTGGAGGAAACATCAAGGTGGTGGTGAGATGTCGGCCTTTCAACAGCAGAGGTAAGCACTGCATGAACCCCTGGCTTGAGGACGTGTTTGGCGGTGGAACAGCTTCTTTGCGGCTCGGCAGCTCAAACGCGGCGCTAGTTCGGCGTGGCTATGAGCAACAGATGGCTGACATGGGATCCTGTACTGTACAGAGAAAGAAAGGGGGGCGAAATGTATTGTCGAAATGAAGAACAACCAGACCGTCTTGACGACACCACCTGACGCCGCTGGCAAGGGCGCGAAAGATGCCGGTCCCAAGGCCTTTGCGTTCGACAGGTCTTACTGGTCCTTCGACAAGGCCGATCCAAGCTATGCGGGGCAAGACAACCTCCACGACGATCTGGGAAAGCCGCTCCTCGAAAATGCATTCGGGGGCTACAACAACTGTATTTTTGCTTACGGCCAGACGGGTTCGGGAAAGTCCTACTCGATGATGGGTTATGGCAAGGAGCACGGCATCATCCCCAAGATTTGCCAGGACATGTTCAAGCAGATCAACGAGCTCGAGAAGGACAAGACGACGAGGTGTACAGTCGAAGTGTCGTATCTCGAAATCTACAACGAGCGCGTCCGAGATCTCTTGAACCCGTCGACTAAGGGCAACCTCAAGGTCCGAGAGCATCCGTCGACCGGCCCTTATGTCGAAGATCTCGCCAAGCTCGTGGTCAGCAGCTTCCAAGAAATCGAGAACCTGATGGACGAGGGAAACAAGGCGAGAACAGTGGCTGCGACCAACATGAACGAAACGTCCAGTCGAAGTCACGCGGTTTTCACACTGATGCTGACGCAGAAGAAGATGGACCTGGAGACAAAGATGGAAATGGAGAAGCAGGCAAAGATCAGTCTGGTCGATTTGGCCGGTTCCGAACGTGCGACCTCGACTGGTGCCACGGGTGCGCGTTTGAAGGAAGGCGCGGAAATCAACAGATCCCTGTCCACCCTCGGTCGTGTCATTGCAGCCCTCGCAGATCTCTCGACGGGCAAGAAGAAAAAGGGCACGGCGGGCGGCCAAGTCCCGTATCGTGACAGTGTGCTCACCTGGCTACTCAAGGACTCACTTGGTGGTAACAGTATGACAGCCATGATAGCGGCCATCAGTCCGGCCGACATCAACTACGACGAGACACTTAGTACGCTTCGATACGCCGACTCGGCAAAGCGAATCAAGAACCACGCCGTGGTCAACGAAGACGCCAACGCCAGAATGATTAGAGAGCTCAAAGAGGAACTGGCGCTCCTGCGGGGCAAGCTTGGCGGTGGCTCGACGGGACCTGGCGGCGTTGCCGTGCCGCCGGAGGAGGTCTATGCGGAAGGCACGCCGCTCGAGAAGCAGATTGTCAGCATCACGCAAGCCGACGGCACCGTCAAGAAAGTCTCCAAAGCAGAAATCGCAGAGCAACTTAGCCAGAGCGAGAAGCTTCTCACGGATCTCAACCAGACTTGGGAGGAGAAACTGCTCAAGACGGAGGAGATCCACAAGGAGCGTGAGGCTGCGCTCGAAGAGCTTGGAATCAGCATCGAAAAGGGCTTCATCGGCATGTCAACACCCAAGAAGATGCCTCATCTTGTCAACTTGTCCGACGATCCACTACTAGCTGAATGCCTGGTGTACAACCTGAAACCGGGCAAGACCACGGTCGGCAACGTCGAGTCGAACTCTGAGCAAACAGCAAATATCCGTTTGAACGGCACGCGGATCCTTCACGACCATTGCTCTTTCGAAAACTCGGCCGATGGCACGGTGATGGTGATTCCCAATGAAGGCGCATCTGTCATGGTCAACGGCCGCAGGACGAGTGAGCCAACCCGCCTGCACTCTGGATACCGGGTCATTCTCGGAGACTTCCACATCTTCCGGTTCAACCATCCCATGGAGGCCAAAGCAGAGCGTGACGAGCAACGGCAGAGCCTTTTACGGCAGTCGCTTACAGCGAGCCAGTTGCAAGGCATTATGGAAGGTACGCCGACACGTCCCGGCCACGAAAGAACAGTCAGCAAGGCGGGCTCCGACTTTGGCGATAGTAGACCAGACTCGCCCATGCCAATGCGCAACGGTCAGGATTCGGATTGGTCATTTGCCCGGAGAGAGGCCGCTGGTGCCATCTTGGGAACCGACAAGAACCTGCAAAGTCTCACGGACGAGGAGCTTAACGCTCTTTTTGAGGACGTGCAGCGTGCGAGAGCTGAGCGTGTCAACGACCGAGATGGCGAGGACGACGATGACTCGAACACATCCTACGCGATCCGGGAAAAGTACATGTCGAATGGTACGATGGACAATATGTCCTTGGACACGGCACTGACCATGCCTTCAACACCGAAGACTGGGGAGATGATGGACCTGAAAGAACCACGCGAGAGTGCTCAGCAGCAGCTGGAGAAGCGAAAGGAAGAGGTTCAGGAGCAGCTCAAGAGTGCCGAGGCCGCCAACATCGAGGTCGAGGAAATCAAAAAAGAGAAGGCCAAGATGGAGGAGACACTGACTCAGCTCAAAGCGGAGCTGCAGAGTCAGCTGGAGGAACAGAAGAAGGAGTACGAGGCCAAGATTGAGCGGATGGATCCCTTCAAGCGACCGAAAGCGAAACCCAAGCTTACGGACGAAGACATCATTCGCGCAAAGCGTGCTGCTGATCACTGGAGAAGCCGACACTCCGTCAGGATGGCTGAGGCTGTGCTGCAACACGCAGCGACTCTGAAAGAGGCACAGATCATGAGCCAAGAATTGGGCGAGAACGTCTCTTTCCAGTTCGCCGTCATCGACCAGGGTCATGCGCGGTGCTCCTCGTACGATATGGTGCTCAATGACGTTGTGAGCGAGGGTGAAGATGTTGCCCTTGACGAAGCACGGAAGCCATGCGTTGGTGTCCGCGTGATTGACTACAAGCACTCGGTTATTCGCTTATGGAGCTTGGACAAGCTTCACGACCGAGTTCGCCAGATGCGCCAGATGCATCAGTATCTCGACCAGCCGGAATACAGCCAGCACTTCAAGCTGGACAACCCTTTTGTTGAGACCTGCATGCCGGCGTACTCTCTTATCGGCGAGGTCGATGTGCCCTTGAAGGCCGTGTTCGAGAGCCGGGTGCAAGACTTTACGTTGGAAGTGCTTTCGCCGCACACTTACCAAGCCATTGGTCTGATCAAGCTCTCCCTGGAGCCATCGACCGCCCGGGCCCCTTCCAGCACGCTCAAGTACAATGTGGTCATGCACGAGTTGATTGGCTTCCCCGAGCGAGAAGGTACAGACGTTCATGCTCAGCTTTACATCCCTGGCGTCTCTGAGGACAGTGTCACCACGACGCAGATGATTCGAGATTTCGACGAAGGTCCCGTCCGCTTCGACAGTGTTCATAGCATGAGCGTGCCGCTATTCGGGCCCGCAGACGTCACCCTCCGAGTTGGCATCTTTGCCAACGTGTCATCGATGCATCTTGATAAGCTCCTGAGCTGGGATGAGATGCGCGACGCTCCCGTGACCTCGAGCAGACCTCAAGTGCCACGCATCAACGAGACCCAGTTCTATACTGCGGAAAAGCACGACCTGCTCTCGAGAGTGCAGATCCTGGAGCTCGACGAGAATGGCGAGTACGTGGCTGTGGAGGTCACCCAGACAAGTGAGCTAGACTCGGGCACATTCCAGCTCCATCAAGGTCTCCAGCGTCGTATTGCCGTCAACATGACTCATAGCTCGGGCGATGCACTTCCGTGGGACGACATTAGCACGATGAAGGTTGGCAACGTTCAGCTGCTTGACCACGCTGGCAAGACTCCAGATATGGGCTCGCCTACTCCAGCGATACCACTACGGTTGAGCGCGAAACCCTCATTCCGTCGCAATGCTAATGGAACCCGGAGCATTACCATTTCTGGGCAATGGGACTCCAGTTTGCACGGCTCGTTGTTGCTCGATCGTGTCACTGCCGACAAGTACAAGGTTCAGATGACATTGTCCTGGGAGATCACGTCTGAAAAGCTCGCCGAGCCAATGCGGTTCTCCACCAAGTTCTGCTGTCAGATCCTTGGCAGATCGTACATCCGGCAGCAGTCGATGCTCTCCTCGCTATGGCAACATGTGAGGATCGTTCATTCCTCGTCGGCAGTATATACCTTGAGCCTGCGTCCTGCGCCCATAAAGAGGGCCGGAGACTTGTGGCGAATGAACAGCCAGCATGACTATGTCAAGGGCGAGGAGAATCTGACGAACTGGCGCCCGAGAGGTGTTTCGGTAGTCAGCGACTACCTCGGCGCAAGAAAGATGAAGCGCAGAGTGGCAGAGATTGGGGCTGCACAGCTCTTCCTCAAGAGAGTTGGATTGCCGCCAACGAAGACGCAGGAGGTGCCAGAAGCTGGTGCAGAAGCGGACGAGCCGGAACAGCCCGACCCAGCTCGAGATGACGATGCCGACTCGATCGATGCGCTACTGGAGGGTGGACCGTCAGCCTCTCGGCCCATGTCACCGAACGAAGGCGAGGCCACGCCAGACGACCAACAGGTTGCAGTGGGAGCAGAGACGGAAGCAGAAGCTGACAAGCCAGAGTACGATGAACATGAAGCTGAGATTCTCAGGAAGTGCATCAAGCTGTGGGTCAGACATCCGGACCCCATCCCTCAAATCTTGAGCCCGTCAAACACGGCTCCTCCTGCGGACGGAATCGCGCCTGAGGACACAGAGCCTCCGAGGCTGATCGCGACCATCTTGCGGGTACCCAAGAATCCCAAGGTTCTCAAGGGTGGCTACCTGCTGGTGCCTAACAACGACCAGTCGAAATGGGTCAAGCGGTTTGTCGAGGTCCGACGGCCATATATGCACATCCACAATGCTACCGATGGCGACGAGGTTGCGATAGTGAGCCTGCGCAACTCGCGCGTCGACAGCCAGCCCGAGATTCTCGCCATGTTCAACGGCCACGATGATGAGCACGGTAGCCAGCAGGGCGACCATCAGAACGAAGACACTGCTTCAGTGGCTGGCTCCACGGCCGGCTCGACCGCTGGTTCCACCTATCGCCCGGGCCATCGCCGTACCGCGTCGGGCCGCCTGATCTCGTCGATCTGGGGCGGTTCCAACACCGGCGGGGGACTTGGGGGGCTTAACGAGCGTCTGCAGGCCGGCGTGTTTGCCATCTATGGGACAGACAACACCTGGCTGTTTGCGGCGCGCAACGAGCGGGACAAGCTCGACTGGATCTTCCGGATTGACCAGAGCTACTTCTCGGGTACTCCTAGCGCGAGTGGCAGCGGTGCCGTGAGCCCACAGCCTTCCAGGGCGTATGCTTTTGGCCACGAATGAGCAGAGCGCACTGGTAGGCTGGTTGTTTGACAATGGAAGTCTGGCTGTCGTCGACACGACGCAATGTTTAAACGACTAGGCTTGCCACGACCAGGAGAGGAGATAGGACATAATTCCACGAGACATACGAAACGACCACATACGAACGAGACAAAGCTGTACATAACTTGGAAACACCCAGAACAAAATCAAACATCCACTTTCTTACAGATTCAAAACATTGGGTCACAATGCGCAGACAGCCATCAGGCAGGCAGGCAGGCAGGCAGGCACGAAGTCAGGAATTACTCCAGAGGTCAAACAGCTCGAATCCCGATGGTTCCTGAACCCTTGCTATTGTTGCTTTCTCGCAATTTTTTGGGGGGCAAGGTTCAGTCCTTTCTCTGGCCGGACTACGGCTCACTTCACGTACAATAAAATACCCCTTCTGAATCCTTACTACATAGACATCCCTCGCCCTGTCCGCTCCCATCTCTGTGCCGGATGAAGTGGCAGCAAACGCTCGAAGTGCGACTGCGAGCGCGCAGAGGGAGGGAGCCCAGGCAGGGAGTAATTTAGATTTATACCCCCGACTACTATATAAAACCTTTTCCTTTTTCTTTTTTTTTCTTCGTTTATTTCACATAGTCTTTATTGAATGAAGCACAGATTTACCTAAAACTTTGTCCCATCGTGGGATCTCGAAAAGGTGTTTTGTGCCAGGGAGCGGGAGTCTAGGCCTCGCATGCCACGGGCGCGCGGGACCGATGAACCAAGGGGATCTACAACCACAGTCGAGCCCCTCGACGGCCGCCGCTGCACCTTGTACATCACTAGCGTGTTGTCGAGAACTTGCGAAAAGCCCCGGAAGGCATACTGCGTGAAGGCGCACGGCATATCAACGCGGTGCGCTGTATACTACACTAGTACCTTGCTGTGTCTCGAAGCACAACTATGCATTATCACTCAGAGGTATCACTGTACCATATTCCGAGATTGGGAGCCCCGGGACTAGTCTTGTCTGGGTTGACATGTCCGTTTTGGTCGAGGCGAAGAAGCAGCCGGGCTTCTTCAGAGACACGCCACGTGGCTGGGTGTGGATACAACCAATCAATCCGCGGGGACGAGTCTTTGCAAGTCGGGATGAGAAATTGGCGGTCACTTTTTCTCGATCGTCTTTGCCTGCCTCGATGGGTGTGTGTGTGGGACAGTGTGATCCTGGTCATTTTTTTGTGGCAGGGCTGGTGGACGTTTGTTATGCGGTTCTTCGTTTTGCCCACGTGGGTGGGTTGTGTCTTGGTTGCTTGGACTAAGGCGCTGTCTGCAGTTTGCGAATCGACAAGGCTACTTGATGTATTTCCCCTTCGACCATACTTGATCCGCCATCATCTAGGGACGGAACGAGAGGGAAGGGAGAAAGCACGGATGAAAGGCTGGTTTCTCCGTCTGCCGGCAGCAACGTGGGTTGCGTATGCGATCTCAGTGGAAGATGGGACGAGGAGACGGAACCCCGGCCCAGCCCATCCCCGATCGGACATGTGCATTTGGGGTAGCGGCCGTTGAAGAGAATTGCCGGCGACCAGTGAAAAGGCACCCAGGCCTGGGTCTCAGGATACCTACCACCTGCTTCATTGTCTGGCCGATGTGACGCTGGACCTGAACTGACGACGACGACGATTGACGACGATTGACGGTTGACGGTTGACAGCAATGCAGATGCGGGTACCTGCCGCATTCTGCCATTCTGTCACAAGCCAGAGCCCGCCCGGCATACATTTCTGGCATACATGATCACTTGGACACCTTTTTGAGGCATGCACACAGCCACCCTATGCAGTGTCGCGCATGGTCGCCACGAGTCACGATCAGTCACCCTTCATTTCAGGGGGGCCGCCCACGACGCTGGCACTTGGGATTCGGATGGGTAGCAGGAGTGCAGGGTTGAAGGGGCACCCTGGCCGCGAGCGCATTGACGGAGATGGGGTGATGGGCCAGGGGTCTGGCCGCGCAGTGCCGGTCTCAAGGGCATGAGCCACGCAGACCCCTGTGTGCCACGCTCTTGGAGTTCTTGATATTGCTGTCGTTGGGGTGTAGATGCCGGTTTTGCAGAGCGCATATGACAGCCTGTTGCTGGGATGACGTTGGGGGGTTGCTTCAGACGAAGGCAGGGGGTTTCCAGGACTGCGCACGCACGCACGCACGCACTTATTTGACATCGCCGCCATGTTGACGATCTGCCCACGAGGTATAAAGGACGATCCGCTCCTTCCCGCGGTGCCCACGACCGTCTTTTGGTCCTCACCCGCGCCCGGCCCCTCATTCGCTTATGCCCAACTTCGTGGTGTTCATTCCTTACCCACGTCCCTTCATTCGCTTCATTATACCCAACGTCGTGGTGTTTAATCCAGATACTCAACAATAACAACAACAAGATGAGAGTCTCAACCGCCTTTGCCCTCGTCGCCGCCGCCATCGGCGTGCACTCCGCCCCCGTCGCCGAGCTTGCCACCCGCGCCGTCATTGACCACGACAAGGTCGTCGGCTTCCCGCAGACCGTCCCCGCCGGCGCCGTCGGCAGCGCGTACCTGCGCTACCAGCCCTATCTCAAGGTCGTCAACGGCTGCGTCCCGTTCCCTGCCGTCGACGCTCAGGGCAACACCAGGTAAGCTTCCCCTCGATTCGAGAAACAAGAGCAGGACGAGCTGACCCGACTTGACAAACCCCAACAGCGGCGGCCTCTCCACCTCCGGCTCGTCCAACGGGGACTGCGCCAAGAACCTCGGCCAGGTGTATGCGCGCGGCACTGCGTACAACGGGCGCTACGCCATCATGTACGGCTGGTACTGGCCCAAGGACTCGCCCTCGCCAGGCTTTGGCCACCGCCACGACTGGGAGTCGGCCATTGTCTGGCTCGACGACGTCAATAAGGCGAGCCCGACGATCCTTGCCATCTCGACCTCGGCACACGGCGGCTTCGACACGGAGACGTCGGGGCTGCAGCTCAGCGGCACCCGCCCCAAGATCCAGTATTACAGCACCTGGCCCGTCAACCACCAGCTCGGCACTACCAGCACCCAGGGCGGCGAGCAGCCCCTCGTCGCGTGGGAGAGCATGACCCAGGCCGCTCGGGACGCGCTGCAGAACACGGACTTCGGCAGCGCCAATGTGCCGTTCAAGGATGGCAACTTCCTGAGCAATCTCGCCGAGGCGTCCTTCTAGGCGAGCGGGAGCTGAGCAACGAGAGTAGAATACATGTAATGTGACATGGTCGATATAACGGAGAGTCCATGAAGACCCGATGTGCGTGACGCTGCGCGAATGTGGAATATCCAGTGAATAAAGTATCCATGCCTGCAACTGTGGCAGCACCCCTGCTGATCCGGCACGCTAGACGGACACAAGCACGCCCTAGCGCCCCTCTCAACCCCACAATGGCCGCCCGGAGCCGTGCACCTGTCCCCGGCGCGAGTCCCTGCATCGGCGCAGCCAAGTGGTGATGTAGCACATTTTCCCTTCCAGAGTCGGGGACGTCTGCTTCCCGGTGTCGGCCCCGGGGACGTGAGATCTCTGATTGATCGACCCAATCTCTCCATCACTCCGCCTTCCTCGTTGCCGCAGTGTCCCCAGAGCCTTCCCCAGACTTTGTCTTGTTTTCAACAGTCCACTGAAGTACTCCATGTGCCCTCACCATCTCTCATGTCCCTGTTAGCGACTCGCAAGTAAGCTGCCCCTCCATCTTGTGAGCTCCGTGCTCTCGCCTACTTCGACCGACCCCCGACACCCGCGGTCTACAATCCGGCGATCACAACACACACCGTGAACACCAAGCACGGGAGAGAACGGGAATGGCAACAGGAATACCCAAGCACCACCCACCGACATCCCCTCCCTCCAAAATGGCGTCGTCGTCGCCCGCACCCACCACCGACAACACCACCACCACCCAGAAACCCGCCACCCCGGCAAACTACAAGGGCTTCGTGGCGGGCGTGTTCTCCGGGATAGCAAAGCTCACGGTCGGCCACCCGTTCGACACAATCAAGGTCCGGCTGCAGACCACCGACAGCACGCGGTTCAGCGGGCCGCTGCAGTGCGTGAGCCAGACGATACGCAATGAGGGCGTGAGGGGCCTGTACAAGGGCGCCACGCCGCCGCTCGTGGGGTGGATGTTTATGGACTCGATCATGATGGGCAGCTTGACGGTCTACCGGCGGCTGCTGGCGGAGCATGTGTTCAGTCCGCCAACCACCACCACCACCAGCCTGGGGAGGATAATGCCGGCGGCGATCACAGAGCACCCACCGTCGTCACGACACCCGCAACCACAAACGCAGCAGCAGCCACCATCAGTAGCAGCGTCACCGACAGCACACCTCCCGGCCTACGGCCACGGGCTGGCGGGCATCCTCGCCGGGTCGACGGTGAGCTTCATCGCCGCGCCGGTCGAGCACATCAAGGCGCGGCTGCAGATCCAGTACTCGGCCGCCAAGTCCGGGCGTCTGTACTCGGGGCCCTTGGACTGCCTGCGCAAGATCTACGCGCACCACGGCGTCCGCGGCGTGTACACGGGCCTGTCGGCCACCTTACTCTTCCGGAGCTTCTTCTTCTTCTGGTGGGGCTCGTACGACATCCTCTCCGGGGTCCTCCGGGACAAGACTAGCCTCAGCACTCCCGCCGTCAACTTCTGGGCTGGGGGGTTATCCGCACAGGTCTTCTGGATCACGAGCTACCCCAGCGACGTGGTCAAGCAGCGCATCATGACGGACCCGCTGGGCGGGGGGCTGGGGGACGGGGAGAGCAGGTTCGGTAAGGGCAGAGGTGCCTGGGCCAGGGCCGCGCGGGCGGTGTATAGGGACGCCGGCGGGTGGAGGGGGTTCTGGAGGGGGTTTGTGCCCTGCTTCCTGAGGGCGTTCCCGGCGAATGCGATGGCGCTGCTCACTTTTGAGGGCATCATGAGGACGTTGCCTTGATTTTGGGAGGGGCGTTTGGGCATGAGGACCCCAATGGGAGACAAAGGAGGTGGCGGATGGTCGGTCCAGGGTGGTGGACAACGGACTATCGCGTGAGCGGGACTTTTTTGAAGAAAGGCGAAAATCAGGATCGCCTGGCATGGCGCCTCGATAGACAGCATGCGGCATTTGCAAATTTTGATAGAGAGACCCCATTTCAGCAGCGTTTCGCGAATCATCACATAACTATCATGATAATCACATTTGCGTGGTAAGAGAAAAGAGGCGGATTGACTTTGAGTCGAAGCAATTAGCTTCATGAGAAGTTGTATTTGTCGCAACCAGCCTCAGCAGACCCGGGGAAAGCCTACTCGGCACTCCCCCAATATCCGCGAAGAGGTCGACGTGTCTTAATACCCATACGTCTAGACGTGGAGACGTATGTTCCCTCTAGACACCCTGCCATTCCTGTCCTTTCGGAAAGGGAATGACAGACCCGACAAAAGAACGCCCTTGAATCCCCATTGCTCCGAAACCATAAACCTCGCCAGTTTTGTTTGTTCGTTCCTTATGCAATCGTCATGCCTCGTGATTGTGGTGTCATGTCTGTGTTGCGATAGAGAGAGAGAGAGAGATTTTGGCGAAGTTTACTCGTCGTCCTCATCAGCCTCGTCGTTAACGACGTTGAAGAACTTGAGCTCGTAGACACCGCGCGAGGTGGAGACGACGCGGAGCCAGTCACGGAGCTGGTTCTTCTTGAGGAACTTCTTGGTCCTGTAGGGAGGGTGAGGGGTGACAAAGGTCAGTCTTTCCGTTTTGGCATTGTATGGGGGAGGTTCCACCTCATGATGAGGCAGCATTTATGTATACTCACAGGTACTTGAGGTATCTGCCGGAGAGCTCGTTCTGGGCGGTGATCTCGACCTTGCCCTCGCCGACCTGCTTGATCTCAATCTGGTCGCCGAGGTTGCCGACGCGGCCATCGACCTTGATCTTGTCCTGGAGGAACTTCTCAAAGGCGGCGGTGTCGAAGATCTTGTCGCTGGCGGGCTGCGAGGCGTTGATCACGAACTTCTTCGTGGTCTTGGCCTGCTTGCCGGTCTTCTTCTGCTGTTCCGGGGGGAAAACAAATCTGACTTAGCCTACTGTTTCACGCCATGATCTCGCCGCCATTGAGCATGGGAGCATGCCTCTGCCTCGCTTCTCTATATTTCCAAGAGAGAGCGCGAAAGAGGCATGCACCCATTTTCCCAGGGGGGAGAGACTGGGCCAACAGCAAAGCGGTAAATGTCAAGACATCAGGTACATACGGTGACGGGAGCCATTGCTTCGGTGGGGAGGTGGTGTTTGATGTTGAGAACGCAAAGAAGTGATTATCCTGCGTATGTGGTCGCGATGCTGCGGTTTGTCTGGTGGAGGGGGGTTTCTCTTGGCTGCGGCTTCAGTGCGAGGACCTGCGGGCTCAGAAAAGTTCGTGCATTTTTGAACATTTCACACTGCAATTCTAGTGGTGTGGGGCGCCCAGCTTACCGGGCGGGCCAGGCTCGCGGGTCTGCACGTCGCCTGGATAACGATAAGCTCTTTTAGGGCTGCCGATAAACCTACCCGGGACCCGAGGCCTATCCCTGCGATCGCGGCTTACATAATACAGATGCTTTCAGTGTCTGGTTTCTCGCGGTCTGGAAAGTGCTGGGGCTTCGCGATGACTTCCTGCTGAGACGCCAAGCGATGCTGCACGTAAAAGCGGCCATTGGATCCTAGCAGCGGACCAGATCTTTCATTGCCCCCGTTGTTTCGACTTTGCATGGTTGTCGATTTACACGCTTGATCTCAAGGAAGAACGTTCGCACCGCACCCATAGGAGCCAGGTTATCTGAGCGGCTGCCGAGATGCCAATACGGAGCCTGACGTTGGTCAGCCTGGTGCACCATGAGATGTGTAGTGGCGGATTTGGTGCGAATGCGAGGACAGCCGTGGAAGAACGAGGTCCTGCACATTGCATTAGCGTCGGGCTTTGCGTGTCAGCCAGATCCAGGGGCCTTTGCTTTGTCCTAACGTTCCGTGTCTCTGCCCCAGTGCTGGCGATGACCTGCGTCCAATCCCAGTGGCGACCCGGGAACCGAGGCTCCCGTAGCGCCTCCGCGAGATATATACTGTACCCTGTCACCTGCACGCCTCCAACGGGCGCGCAGATGCAATCGGCTCCTTGTACAGACAGCGAGAATAGTGACGGGAACGCAAGGCTGGGCTAGCGTAGCCAGTCCCCGCTGCGCGATGCTCTAGACGGTATTGCAGAGAGAACATTGTGTCGGCTTCTGCGATGACTACAGGAGGACGATTCCGATGATCAGAAGGCAAAGAGAAAGACCCTCGCCCCCTCCGCCAGCCATGATACCACCTTCTCAGTGTACGTATCAGGACCGCATGGCAGGGATGGTCCGCCAGCCTTGAGTGGTGGTTGCAGCTGCAGGTCCCTGCGACCTTGGAGCTGCGTGCGGCCTGCGCCGAGGCACTTTACGCATTTGGGCGGGGTGGGGAAGGAGCTCCGCACGGCAGCCCGGGGCCCGGTTGCCCCGATTGCCTCGTCGCTGCTGCTGCTCGTGGCAGTGGAGCGAGCAAGCACATGTCTGATTTCCCCGTCCCCGTGGCGGGCGGTGGTGATGATATGATACTCTCCCCCTGCAAGGGTCCATCAGGTCGAGCGCAGTCCGTCCTGCTGTCGCATTTAGGCACGTCCAATCCCACAGCTTGTCCCTCTTCGCCCTCGCTTCCCTTTCTCCCCGTCTCGTCCCTTCTCCTGCGCCGGTCAGCTTGTCCAACACCTTGGCGCTATCCACACCATAGCTCGCCCTTCGTCACCAGTCGCATTTCCTCGTCACTCGGTCTTCTCTCAACAACTTATCGCACGCCGCAGCGGGATCAGATCCCCCCTCTCAGCCGCCATGGCCGACATCAAGATTGCTCCCTTCGAGCACACTCCCATCGACGACATCGCAAAAGCATACTCGCAGGTCAGCGCCACCTACCGCACAAACAAGACCAAGGATGTCGAGTGGCGCCTCAAGCAGCTGCGCAAGCTCTACTGGGGCCTCAAAGATATCACGGCAAAGACCCAGGCCGCGCTCAAGAAGGATCTCAACAAGCCTCCCATCGACGCCATCATGTCCGAGGTCGGCATGTGCACCACCGACATCATGAACACCATCGCCAACCTCAAGACCTGGGTCAAGGACGACAAGAACCTCGACTACCCGCTCGCCATGACCGCCCTCAAGCCCCGCATCAAGAAGGAGCCCATCGGTACCGTCCTCATCATTGGCCCCTACAACTTCCCGTTCATGCTTTGCGTTGCGCCCCTGATCGGTGCCATCGCGGCCGGATGCACTGCCATCCTCAAGCCTTCGGAGAGTTCTCCGGCCACTGCCATGGTCCTTAGAGAGCTCGTGGAGAATTACCTTGATCCCAGCGCCTTCAAGGTCGTCAACGGCGCCATCCCAGAGACCACTGCCCTCCTTGACCAGAAGTGGGACAAGATCTTCTACACCGGCAACCCAACCGTGGCTCGCATCATCTACAAGAGGGCCGCCGAGAACCTGACCCCTGTGGTACTCGAGCTTGGAGGCAGAAACCCGGCCTTCATCACCAAGGCCTCGGACGTGGCTCTGGCTGCCCGCCGTTTGATGTGGGGCAAGTGCCTGAACGCTGGTCAGGTCTGCATTTCGCACAACTACGTTCAAGTTCACCGGGATCTGGTGCCCTACTTCATCGAGTGCATCAACAAGGTCGTCGCGGAATTCTTCCCCCAGGGGCCCCGCAACAGCCCCGACTACGCCCGCATCGTCAACCACCGCCAGTTCGACAGAATCAAGAAGATGCTCGACAGCACCAAGGGCAAGATTGTCATGGGTGGCGAGACAGACCGTGATAACCTGTTCATTGCGCCCACCGCCGTACTTGTTGACTCCATCGAGGACCCGATGATGGTCGATGAGTCCTTCGGCCCCATCTGGTCCATTCTGCCTTTCGACAATTTGGATGATGCCATCAAGCTTGCTAACCAGGTCGACCCTACCCCTCTGTCTCTAATGACATTTGGGTCCAAGGCCGAGAACGACAAGAGCAAGTATTCCTGAGACACAATCCTTGAGCGAGGACGTCAGCTAACAATCCCGTCTCTTACAGTTCTGAACGGCATTACCTCTGGTGGTGCGAGCATCAACGACTCCTATATGCACGGCTCCATCCCCACTCTGCCCTTTGGTGGCGTTGGAGAGTCTGGCACTGGTGCTTACCATGGCGTCTCCTCGTTTGACACTTTTACACACCGACGCACTGTTGTGGAAACCCCAGGGTGGATGGAGAACCTTCTGCGGGCGCGCTACGTCCCATACGACATGGCGGCCTGGAAGCAGTACCAATGGATCAACAACAAGAGGCCCGACTTTGACCGGAACGGCAACCAGATAAAGGGCCTCAGCTACTGGCTGTGGATGCTTTTTGGGCTGGGTGGCGCGTCCGCCAAAGGTACGTTGCTCAGGTGGATCCTGGTACTCGTTTCGGGTTACACGAGCCTGACCTACGGTGCCTTGTTGAAGAATAAGTACCTGTCCTGAAGCCAGCTCGATTAAGGCTGCCGCGTTCGTTTTAAAACCCTCTCCTTGTACATTAACACGATGTCAATACATTGTAATCGTCGCCAACGTGTCACCTCGACTGTTCCTACCTGCACTTCCAGCTGCCTCATGAGTTGATCGAACGGAACAAGTAAACTCCCTGCCCAGAGTGTGAAACCACAACGCCTCGACTGCTGTCCGTACGTCTTCGCATAATGTCCGACATCGACAGCGCGGCCGTGACGCCGAGCTGCCCTGGGGGCCCACCCACCCAGACTCTGGGCCTGACCTCGAGGATGATTGGACCCCTACTCGTGTTGGCAGTTCGCCGTCAAGTGGAGTCGCTACTGATTTGAGCCCTGGCACGGCGCGCGGATGGGGCAGATACCTCGGACTCGGAGTCGGACTGGGTTCGGTGGGCGTGGCGATCAGGCAGATGCTTTTATGATCGACGACGCGGTGGCGACTCCTTATTAACGGCTGTGCCTTGAGCGAATTTGACATAATGTGGTCAAGTAGCGGAAGACAATGACTATATGGCTTTCTTTTCTTTTTTTTTGCTTCACGGGATCAAGACGTACGAGCTGGTTATGGAAGCGTGGAGATTGTCGGGTCACGCCCTGACCGACCGGTTATCGACGGTTGATTTTCACCTCAACCTAATTGCTTACGAAGGATATCTCGAGATACTGGCAGCGTGTGCGCCACACAGTTCACGTTGGTCTCTTGTCCGTGCATTTGAATTACTCTCATATCTCTCCATCTACCCCCCTAGACTACCGCGCAACAAGCGCAGCGGCGAGAGCGCGACCTCTCTCACCACCGAGGTACAGTGTGTCCTCGCTGTCGCCGTCTGCCCTCGCCATCTCCACAGCCTCCTGGTAACCGCGCACAACCATGTCCTCGTCTACCCGAAGACCATTCTCCACGAGAGCCTCAATGACGCCCCGAATTCGCGCTATCTCCTGCATCATGCTCATGGGTATCGGATCGTTCTGGCTCGAGTAGACATTGAGCCCGACGCTTTCCTCTATCCGCGTGATGCCTGGTCCGCTGCTCTCTGCGGCTGCGCCCTCGCCCTCGATGTGCCTGCTAATCCATATGTATCCGTTGACGCCCAGGATGACGTCCACCTTCTCCGCATCGTCGGCGCCGGCAGACCCGCCGGTGATGTCTATCGTGAAGGCCTGCCGCCGGGCGCGGACCACGCCGCCGCCGCCGCCAGTGCCGCTGACTGCAACAAACACGCCGTTGCGCAGTTTGCCGTATTTGAGGGACCGCGTGTGCAGCACCGCTCCACCATCGCCGTACAGCTGCTGCACCTCGGCGACCAGGAGCTCGCCTTCGGAGAAGAAGGTGCGGATCTGCAGCTCGTCCGTCTCTGTGCGTCGCCGTTGAATGCCGCCGGGCAAGTTGATGGCCGAGAGCGGTAGCTGGGCGAGTAATGAGCCGCCGACGTCCACGCGCCACCGCTTCGCCTGCACCTCGACAATCCGGCCGACGACCAGGTCGCCGATCTCTGGGGTGTAGCGTGCGCGCAGCGGCCGGACGGAGAGGAGCTTGTTGGTCTTTGCGAGCGTGCCGGCGACGGAGGAGACGATTGCAGGTGGTTGTGATGTCGTGTAGGTGCCGTGACCTCTGCGTTTGGGCGGTGGGGTTAGTGATGATGGCACCAGAGGAAAATGCTGCGCGATGAGCACACTGACCTCATCCATTGGGGGTCCTCTGTGATGATCTCGCCGGGAGTGACGATTGCTGCATCCTCTGCTGTTGTCCGTGCTCGCTTGCTGGGCCGGCTGCCGCCTCCCATTGAGATGTCGCCGTCTACGTCCGCACCGCCATCTGAATCCGAATCGGAGGCCGAATCGTTGTGAGCTCTGGCGCTGGCGAGAAATGCCCCCGTTGGGGCCACCGGTGCCGGCTTTAATATTGTGATTGGCATGGTTGTGAGTTGGTTGCACCTCTTGAGCGTCCAGAGTCCGGAGTCCAGCAGTGAGTGCAGCTCCGAGCTGATGTGCTTTGGCAACTGCAGCGTGGAGCGAGCGGGTGGTTGAGATCGATAACAAAATTTCTGGATAAGCTCCAAGCTCGATGGCGATGCAGCACAGCACTAACAGCGCTAAGGGCCCCCACTCCAAGGCCGCCCTGTGCGGGCTGAGGCCTGGGTTGCAGGGAAGGTGCAAGGCACCCCGCCGATGATGTCGGCACAGCGCGGCTCCATTGCGCTTGCCTAGGCTGAAGCCCCACTTGTTTTGATCGGCTGGCATACCATCGCAATGGCAGGTCACTGTGGACATGTGATCTTCACCTCCGGTGGTGCAAACATCGTGCTCTCGACAGTTCTGGCCTGGGGATCATTCACGTTACACAGCTCGACTTTATAGTAGCTGTCAGCCTACGGAACCCCTCAAAGCTTCCGGGCAGCCAGTCACTTGGGACATACACAGAGCTCTCTTGTAACCTGCCTGGCCGCCGACCCGATAACGTCGTCATACGTGTACCGGGGCTCTTTGCCCCCTTCACCACCGCACAGTCTACCACCACACGGAAAGGACCACCATCATGGACAATGGCGGCGTCTCGGACGTCTTCGTCAACCGTGACGACCCAATACCCGTCATCCGTCTGGACAAGGGTCGGTCCCCCTCTCCGTCGCCTTCCCACATGCGCGATTCGGAGGCGTCCGGGGTCGACACGCCGACCAAGGGAAAAGGACTTCGGGGTCGAATATCTGCGCTCAAGGACAAGGCCAACCTCCAGGCGGGCGTACAGGACCGGCTTCTGGAAAAGCTACTCGCCCAGGTGCTAGAAGGGGGCGACGCTGACGATGGCGCCCAGCCGGGGATTCACGCCCGTGCCGAGAAGCCAAACTTCAATCTCCAGACAATGTCAAACAACTTCCGGCGCCTCAACGCTCGCATTGGAGTGGTGTTTTTGTTCCAGGCCAAGGTCGCCCGTCTTCTCTCGTGGCAGACACCAACACACACTATGTCGCTCCTCGCCATATACACATTCCTGTGTCTCGACCCGTTCCTTCTTCCGCTCGTTCCGTTGACCATACTACTATTTGGCATCATGGTGCCCTACTTCGTGGCTCGTCACCCCGCCGCTGACTTCAGCTTGTCTAGCGACCAGGCCATCGGCTACAGTCCTCATGGACCCCCTCTGGCCCCGGCTGTCACAGTCAAACCCGTAAAGGAACTCAGTCTCGACTTCTTCCGCAACATGCGGGATTTGCAAAACAGCATGGAAGACTTCTCACAGGCTCACGACGCCATTGCATCCTTTGTGGTTCCGCGAACAAACTTTAGCGACGAGGCATTGAGCACAGCGCTCTTCGTGGCTGTCACGGGAGCCTGCCTGGTCATGAGCATAGCCGGACGGCTGCTCCCTTATCGATTCATCTTCTTGACAACAGGATGGGTCGCGATATGTGCGGGCCATCCCACAATGCAAAAACACCTCGAAACAGTACACAAGACGCATGTGCATCCCCAGCAAGTCTTGGCTCTCAAGTGGATGGACAAGTGGGTGCAGACCGACGTCATCCTGGACGGTGCACCGGAAACCAGGGAGGTTGAGATCTTTGAGCTCCAGCGTCTCTCCAGCGCGGGGGAATGGGAACCGTGGTTGTTTAGTGCCTATCCGCACGATCCCATGTCGCCCCAGCGAGTGTCTGGTGAGCGCCCGGTAGGTACACGCTTCTTTGAAGACGTCCTCCCGCCCACAGGATGGCAGTGGAGCGAGAAGAAATGGGCCCTGGATCTATGGAGTCGCGAGTGGGTTGAAGAACGCATCATTACTGGAGTAGAGATCGAGACAGAGGGCGAGAGGTGGGTGTACGATATCTACGATGAGAAGTCGAAAGACCTCGTAGGAATTGCTGAAGACACCACCGCGAAGGCAAAGGATAAGCTCAAAGTTGGTCCGTCGTGGGAGGAAGGTGAGGACTATGACGGCAAGAGAGGCGAGTGGCGGCGCCGCCGATGGGTGAGATTGGTGAAGCGGAGGAATATCAACCCTGGGGAAGGTTAGGGAGCGGATGCATTGGTTGTTCTTGAGCTTCAGATAAGTTCCTCCTCCAATTGATACCCACCACCATTTTCATTTGGCAGTCTCCTGTTGCGCACACTGCAAAGGTTGTGATATCCGCAAGGACATTCCAGAGGCGCCCTTGCCACAAAAGTGTCTTAGATCGAAGCTGTCCGATGGAAGCCGAGTGCTTCGTGACACCTCACTTTCCGAAGCCTGATGACAAGCAAGCCGTAAATTACGTACAAGGGCTCTATTGTCCCCGAAACATACCGTCACAGATGTAGGTAGAGTTGCGGAGCACATCTCGCCAAAGCTTATAACGCGCAGCGAACCAATCGCCTTGTCGACCAGACTGCGGGGATCTCCTTTGGGAGTGAGACACTTGCTCAATACCGGCAGCGGTTCAACGCCAATGTTGCACCTGAAAGCAGCGGACTACTGCACTGCACATGCCGGGCAGAGGTATGCTAGCAATTTGCAAACAGAGGGAAGCAGAGAGGCCAGAGGGGTCAGAGGGTGTTTGACCTCTGGACCTGTGGACCTCCGGACCTCTGACCACTAAGCCTCTGACCTCTGAGCCTCTGGACCTCTGCGCGTTCATTTTATCTTTCGAGGTACAAAAGCTCCGCTTGCCTTGGAGAACGTACACAAGAGCTTACGTTTGCTTGACGTCCGCACGGATCGCATGAGAACGCGCCCTTCCGCTTCCGAAAGCCAGACGGCCACCACAACGCGGCAGCAGATCTGTGAAGAACAGAAACGAGATTGCCTCGACTAGCGGTGTTCATTCCCGACCTGGAGAGCTTCCCTGAGCCGCATCGCTAGGCGCTCCGTCCTCTACCACCGAAATCACGACTACGAAAGAGCCAGTTGCGGAAAACAATGCCGGCACGACGACGACAAGGAGCATTCTACGACGACGCCGGGCTGTGGATCGACCTGCCAGCAGCCGCGGGTGTCATTGATGCGGCAAATGGCTTCGCGCATCTTGGGGCGACCCAGCGACATGTTGCCAGTAGCAGTGAGGGCACGCAGACGTTGCAGGAGGTTCTGTGCCATGTGATGCTGGGCACGTCGGCGGCGTTGCTCTTCATTGCACTGCCACTCGCGCTGTGGAATTATGCCAAGGCGAGGAGAAAGAGGCCGATCGAGCTGTAGAAGGGGTTTTCACAGCACTGTCGAGCTTTGTATATGCTTGCCCAAAAACTGCACGAGCAACCAGAGGGTACCAGCCAGGTCTGGCTGATCCATTCGAACCATAGCTTGCTCGTTGGTGGAGCGGACAGCGACTGGCGACCTGCGGCTCGCTTACACGTACCGATTTACGGTAGTCCTTGGATCATGTTAGCGAGATTCACGGCCCGAGAACAGAGTTTTTGCATGACAACAATACCATACCTCGTCCTCTTTAAATGATTTGGATAGATTTGATGGACTTCGGTCTTCTCTCCCTGACACAGCTTTCGGGCAGTGTTTCAGGGGCACTTCCTAGCACCGCAGTTGTCCTTCTTCACCGATGCACTGTCTGGCACCTCACCTAAACACCTCAATACGGACAATGACGCGCCGACTGCAACAAGATCCGCCACCTGCGAGCAAGGACTCCACGCCGCCATCAAGACAGAGACTCTACGATGCACCGGAATGGAAAGAGAATAGTGTTCACGCCGACTTTCAATTCTTCCCACCGATTGTGCTGAGCGAACCACCTCCCGGCTGTTACTGGGAAGGCAATTGGGAAGCACTTTTCCGTCTCCGCACCAGGGACCTACCACGACTTATGCGTGAGGGTTTCTTCTGGTCGGCTGACAATATCCACCGAGAAGCCAGCTATATGCCAAGTACGTTGCCAAAGGGATCTGATTTAGATCGGGGCTGGCCGTATGCCCGGATATACTACTTATCTTCAACACATTCCGAAAAGCAACAGACAGTTGGCTCTGGCGAGATAAAAAGTTCTTCTGTCGAGGAAGAACCACTATGGGTGGCAGAATTGACAGTCTTCTTCGAGGAATGCAGCGATATCAATCTCTTTAGGCCTGCTCGCGAGCTCAAGAAGAATGGCATCTCGTTTGCCTGCGCTTATAGCACCAGGCCAGATTCCGACATCGTGGAAGAATTGTACTATGAGTATGATCATCAGGATCCAGAAGACGCCTTCAACATCCTGTTTGATGATATGCCACTACCTGGGTGGTGGCCGTGGCCGAAGGAAAGGACCTCATGAGGAATCAAACAAGGGTTCAAACGGAGAGGGACGCTGGGAGTTCTTCAGGGGCAAGATCGATGGAACTAGCCATGGTGAATTCCTCGAGCTGCAGCTTATCATGCGCAAGATTGTGGCAGTTGCCGCGCATAGGATCTCTTTATAGCGAAATGGAAGTTGCGTTCAAGCATCACAGGCTGTATGTATGCTGGGATACGTGAAAGCGGATGCTACTCTGGTCTATTCTCTCTTCATCGTCATACGGCCACTCCCTGGTGGGCTACAGCCACAATTGTAGCATACGCAAATGTCTGTTAACAGCCATGGCCGACGACATCAACATGGAAAAGTAAGTGGACGCCTATATTTTAACACGTGAGCCGCAGGCGGACATAGATTTGGACTAACATCTACCTGATATGATAGTCACGAGCGGTATATACTAGAGCGTGTGGATATCGCCATCCTACGCAGCCGTCTGCGTGGTCGGTCGCCGCCTCCGCCACGGCTAAAGAGCAGAAAACTGCGGCCGTCTCGCATCCCGGTCCCGCAAAGGTGGTACACTGGATGAGCAGAGCATGAGCTACATACCCCAGCTGCCACAAGAATATACCGACCGTATCCATTCTGTCGTAGTCTTGTCACTAACTGAGGGACCAGAAGCTCCAAACCACGTCCGTCCGGCGAAGCATCTGGGAAACGGGACATGATTCCGCGCGCGGAATTCAAAACGGTCAACTTGGGGGGCCGACCCCGTCTTGGCCATGGCGATCGGGAGCTGGTCTGGGGCTTATATATCGGAGACAAATGCCTGACGCATTTCAAGCTGAACACGTTCATCTTCCTCTCATTCACTGCATTTTTTGCCGCATTTTTTGCGGTGCTGGCCTCTATCGTGTATTTGACGCGACTATGGATGTTGGGACACTAAGGTATGTGCACTGTACGCCGATTGAATACACACGGTCAGGGCCCCCCCAATTTGGGTGCCTGATCTCGCGCTGAGCACTGTGGCTGTGCATTATTACTACGTACCTTGCTCCCGGTCAGCCCGCGCCCTCACCCTGGTTTCGAGGCTGTCAACGGCGCTGCAGCGCCAGTAATCCATCCTTCCTGCGCCCTCACCCGTCATCACTGCCGACGACCTCCTCCTGCCTGCCAATTTGACAGCGCGCGTCGCTCCCACGAAAACAAAGTCTTGCCAATACCCGTTGCTGACGATCCGCCAGCCCCGACGACAAGCCTTCTCACAGCACCAACCAGCCATCCTGCCCGCCACGCGGTGCACACACAGACGCCATCATGTCGGACAACTCGAGGCCCGGTAGCATCAACGAGACCCAGGAGAAGAAGAAGACCAGGAGACCCGCCAACACCGCGTTCCGCCAGCAGCGCCTCAAGGCATGGCAGCCCATCCTGACCCCAAAGACGGTCATCCCGCTCTTCTTCGTCATCGGCCTCATCTGCGCTCCCATCGGCGGCTTGCTCATCTACGCCAGCTCAACTGTACGTCTCAATCGACCAATCTGGGGACCGTGAGGGTTGTCCAACGGCTGGACCGGCCTTGTGTCAGCGCCCCGCAAAGCATCCCATGATACTAACCGTATTGCATCATGACAGGTCAAAGAGATCCAGATTGACTACACCAACTGCAACGCGGAGGCGAAAGAGGAGCAGGAGCCAATGCCCGCGGGCAGGCTCCAGGCGTACATGTCCAATGCCGACCAGGCTACTGCGCTCTGGTCTCGCGAGACGGGTGTCAGGCACACCTACAATGGCGACTACGAGCTGCAGAACCTCACGAGGTGCACCATCCAGTTTCACCTGCCCGCCGAGATGCACCCGCCCGTCTATTTCTATTACCGCCTCGGCAACTTTTATCAGAACCACCGCCGCTACGTGGCCAGCTTCTTCGACAGGCAGCTCAAGGGAGACGCCGTGTCGGCCGCCGACGTCAAAGGCAGCACCTGCACGCCTCTGACTGGCCCCAATGACAACCAGCAGTACTACCCCTGCGGTTTGATTGCCAACTCGCTGTTCAACGACACATACTCTAATTTCACCCTTCTCAACTCCAACGAAGGCTCGCAGAACGAGACCTACGACATGACCACCAGAGGCATCGCTTGGGCTTCTGACAAGGACCTGTACGGTCCCACGCAGTTGACTGATTACGAGAATGTCCTGCCGCCGCCCAACTGGCAGATCCGGTACAGGGACGGGAAGTATTCCGCCGATGCGCCGCCGCCGAACCTGCAGAACGATGAGCACTTCATGGTGTGGATGCGCACTGCTGGTCTGCCGACATTCAGCAAGCTGTATGCCAAGAACGAGAATGACGTGATGAAGATCGGCGACTACAGCATCGCCATTCTGGACAGTGAGTCTCACTTCCATCTCCCCAGATAGTAGGACCTCAACCTGCAACATGGACTGACTTTGGGCCCTTGTTTCTCTACAGACTTCCGTGCCACCGAGTACGCCGGCACCAAGAGCATTGTCATCACCACGCTGTCACCGATGGGCGGCCGCAATACCTTCCTGGGTATCCTGTGGCTCGTTGTCGGCGGCTTCTGCATCCTGCTTGCCGTAATCTTCCTCATCACCAACCTCATCAAGCCCAGAAAACTCGGCGACCACACCTACCTGTCGTGGAACAACGCACCCGCCTCGGCCGCGGCGAAGGGCAAGGGCAAGGCCGCCTCTGGCCCTTCTACTGCCGTGGCAACTGGACGCGAGATATGAGCAAATCGTGCGATTACCTACTACTGATTTTGCAGCATCAGTCACCAACTGGAGTCGAGGGTGCTGAAGGTCCATGCACCGCCCTGCTGGTTAGGTAGCCTAGTCCCGTGGTTCAAACTGCTTTTGTTTGCCGTTCTCGTCTCGAGCTTCTGCTGTTATTCTTTGGAGGAAGGCGTCGCCGGCGTTATCCAGGGTACATTCTGGCCTCGACTTGTCAATTCACGGAGGGGCTTTTTTCTTGTTTTATATCATAGTTTCCCTCAGGTTCGGTAGGAATCTGAAAAAGAAAATTCATCATACCAGTGTCATCGCCGCCGCAATGCATGAACTAGCCAGAAGCATTGCCCTGGCGACGAGGTCCCTTCCTTGTTGAACATGCTTGAAGGCATAAAAATGCCGTGAGAGAGGACTTGTTCGCCTATTGTGAGCGTACCAAAAACATTCAAATACAGATTTCCGCCTGCATTCCCGTGCGTGACCCAGATCCGCTTCGCCACTTGCCCACTCGATCCATTTTCATACCCTATAGCCCTGCATAAGTCCTTACTCGTCACTTGCGAGTTTTGGTTGAAACAGAGGCACATTTTACTACTCACTCGCGACGCGACACATTCTTGTGAGGTGAGAATCATGACTACGCCGTCGCCGTCGCATCATCGTCATCATCCACCCTCGCCTTCTTGGGCGCCTCGTGATCCGCGGCCGCCGGCTCATCGTCCTCGGCCTTGCGCTTGCTGCCGCTGCCGTTTGTGTCCGCGGGTGGCGTCGCGGGCTCTTCCTTCTTGGCTTTCTTGCGGACGAGCCCGGACAGGTCTGTGGCGTTCTTCTTGGCCTGCTCTACGCGGGCGGCAGTCTCGGAAGATGACTCGCCTAGGGCCGCGCCGAGGATGCCGCTCATCGGGTTGTCTGCGCCGAGCATTGAGTCGACATCCACAGGGGGTTTCCTGAGGTCAATGAGCTGTGATGGCGTTAGGTTCAAAGTCGCGGGTAACGTGAGGCTAAGCTCGGTGGGAGGGTTTGGGGGAGATATTGGTTTTTTATCCTTACCCGTTGCTCCATATCGGCAATCATGTCCTTAACATCGGCAATCGTCTTGCGCGTCTCTTCGTTCTCCTCAGGCACGTGCATCATTGCGAGCTCAACCTCCTTGTTCTTGAGCTTGAGCTTTGTGCTGTCAATGGCTTTCTCAAGCTCCGTGGCGGCTTCGTCCCTCAAGCTCTGGTCGATCTGCTTTGGCCCCGCGGCATCGCCACCACCTTCCTCGTCACTGGAGCTGGTGATAGACGCAAACTCGAGAGCGAGGGAAAGCTTGAAGTGCGCCTCGGCAATGATCTCCGATTCGGTCGGGTATAGCTCTGTTTTGTACTTCAGTGAGGCGCGGGAGTCCTTGATGGCTTCGGGGTATCTGCAGGAGAGTAAGTATATCGGATCTCGAAGGAAGACGCCTCACCGAGGATTCTGGCAAAGAACGGGTTGAGAGCTCACGTACTTCTCGTTTTCGAGTGAGATCTCTGCAAGGAGGTCATGCGTGTCGCCGAGCCTCTCCTTGATGTGTTTGGCTGTCGGGCTGTCGCCCTCGGCCACTTCTTTGCCCTTGCCCTCGGCAGAGTCCTCTTCCAAAGCTTCGAGCCTCTTCTCGAAGAGAACTCGCGCGAGGTCGAGCACCTCGAATGCGACAGCGAGATCGTCTTCCTCCTCCTCATCTTCATCGCCCTCGGCCTCGTCGTCATCTTCGTCGTCTGATCCTTCCCAGTTCTCATCGCCCGTGAACTGAAAGAGCGGCTTCTTAGCATCGGGCAGCTTATCCGCATCCTCCTTGAGGCCGCTGGCTTCCTTGGCGACGATGGCGACGCCCTCCTCAGCGACCCGCTCCTCAGCGACCCGATCACCTTCAGTCTCCTTGGCTGTCGTGGATGGCGCAGCCGCAGCATTCTGGCTCTTGGGCTTGGAGGCCGGCTTGCTCTTCTTGTCCGTGGCGGCCTTGCCACCAAGGACGTCGCTCTTGCTCTGGCCAACACGGAAGAGGCTGCGACCGTAGAGGAAGAGAACGTTGGCGTTCTCGGGGCTCATCTCGCCATTGAACTCGGCCTGCATCTCCGCGGCCTGGGCAAACAGCTCGGTCGCGTCTTCGTATTTCTTCTGCGCGTAGAAGGCATTTGCCTTTGCGGTGAGGTCGGCAAGAGAGACCATGATGGACTTTGTGCGACCTTCGTCGTCGAGGGGTGGGAGAGAAACGGGGGTGGCAGCACCCGAGGCGAGGCGCGAGGGCACAGCCGAGAGTGTGTGAGTCGGCGTATCAGCCATGATGGCGGGTTCGGTCAATGATTGGGAAACGTGTGTGTCGGGAGAAGGCGGGGAAGTGCTGAAGCTATCACGAGCTCGAGCTCTGTCTGGGTGGCTGTTTGTTGGACGAAGCTGATGCTCGTGGCTGTTCGCCCTGGAGATCCGGGAGGTCCGATTTCCGGTTGGAGAGGTATCAGCTTCGCTCAATTGGAAGCGTGACAGTCACAGCTCCAGAGACTGACGTGGTGGTGACTCAGGTTGAGCTGTGCACGTGGAGCTTGGGGTTTGCGACGAGTCGAGGACGAAGCTTTGCGACAGGCGGCTGCCCTCCAGCTTAAGGTACTTAGCGTAGTTAACCCCGACCGAGCTGGAGCAGCTCAAGCACGCTTCGCTGCACGGCAGTGACGAAATGCGGGTCGCGACCGCGCGACGCGCCCCACCAGCACACATGCACCACATGCACCCCAACCGCGCTCCCCAAGTCAGTCAATCAATATTTCTATCAACGCTGGAACGGCGTCCCGAGAGACCTGAACAGCTTCGTCGTCTTGCCACAACAGCCATTCTTTGGAAAGCGCAGCAAATCGAATGCCCCGGCAATGACATCAAGATGACAGTGGCTTCGTCCATACACAACATTTACGTGGTCGTCTTCCCCCCGCCCCTTCTTGTGCTTCAACCCCAGCCCCAGCTAATCAAGACGGCTCCAAGAATATGGAGGGCAACTTGATGTGATGGTGTCAAGATGCAAGGAGCACTTTTCCAGAATCACACACCAGCATGGAACCAGAAATTTGGTTCGGGGCGACCTCGGGTATTGCCGGTTGGCGCATCTGCATGGTGCAAAACAGATATGGCGCTTTCTACTCTTGCCTACAACTAACTGTGTATATGGGGTCATGCTGGAGCGCCCTGTGCCCGCCCCTCCGAGTGTCCCGTCATACTTGCAGCACGCCGGCGTCGGGCAAAACGAGCTGCTAGGCTGCGGCGTCAATAGCGAATACCATCGACTGCAGGAAAATGCCATCGCGTGCCAGACCCCTGGCGGGCTTTGACAGCCTCGACTCCACTGCTGCAGGGGCCCTGTCCCCCAAGAGTATCCATTGGCGACAGGGGAGGCGACTCATAAGTCGAGACGGACTGGAGGCTCACCATCGTAACCCAGGCATGTAGTGCTGACAGTCGAGAATACGCTGTGCCATTTGTCGGCGCAAAGACTTGTCATGTGGCCCAGCACTGCTTGATGAAACAGCTGGCCAGAGACACATCTATGGGGGTTGGGGATGTCTTGCGAAATGTTTCGAAACACAGTCAGGCAGACTGCGGCAACGTTCCGCGGCGGACCGAGACAAATTACGTATGTTCCCGTTGGTGGATAGTACGGCTGGGCTCAGGACAGAAAGTCCCTTGAACTGCATTTCTCACAGGCTAAGTGGTTCGAGCTGCCCCTGGTCATGGCGGAGGCTGGCCGAAAAGAAGGAATCTGCTCGCAGCCCATTGGCGACAGACAGCCTTGTGGGCTGAGCGTGCGCAGCTTTAGAGTTTGCGGCTGCACAGCCGGATGGCCGCCGAATGATGACTGCCACCACCTTTGTCGAACCGGTCGAGACCAAATCGATACTTTCAGGGTTCTCAATACACGCAAGCCACGTCGAGTACAAACCTTTGGAAGGCTTGACTACTGCGCGTACTACCTGTTGGTGGGGCGGTTCAGGGGCACGTCTTTGTTGATGGGAAATCACTGCCCTTGCAGCCTGCATCCCTCTAAGGAAGACCGTTGTATGGCCCTAGTAGTGACCAGACCTTCAAACCTTTGGGACCAGCCTCGAGAGGCAGAGAGTCAGTCAAGAAGACCAGGCCTCGTCACGCGCAGTGACTGTAAAGTGTCTCGTTGATGATGGGGGTTAAAACGTACTGTACATGTGTGTATACTGTGGCTTACCGGGATCATCACGAGAAAAAGCCAGGAAGGCGACCCGGCCCATCCGATCTCTGATAGCGCCAGTCATGGGGCGGGCCACCGAGCCTCAATCCTCGTATCCAGTTAAAGGACCCCCCTGCATCTCGGGGTCCCTGAGCGGCCGGGTTCAAGACTCCCAGTCCTCAGCAGCAGCCCAGGTCCCTGTCAACTCCTCCTGCCAGCTTGCCTTCTCCCGCGCTTCCATGTCTTAGCCCTTTCCACGTCGCCAGGCAGCCTCACGACTCTGGTGTTGCCCAGTACCACATGTGTGACGCTCTCCTTTCCCCTCGCCATTCCCTGCCGCGCCCGCGCGACGCTCACAACCTCTCCTTCTTACGGTACATCTAATACTATTCAGCCTCCGCACCATCTTTGGAGCCATACTAGAACCGACATCCTCCCTGCGACTCGGCCCCCAAGCACCCCGCAAACACTTGGCGCCGAAGGTCCATATCCGCCGCCGTTGTCCATCGCATGGCAATGTTCTGAGCCAAGTCACCGACCATCGTGAGCGCCGCTGCTCTCTCAGGTCCCGCCGGGAACCACCACCGCCGTCCTTCTTCACAGTACGAGCGCATACAGCACCATGCTCTCCTCGCCATACTCGCGACGGTTGCGCATTGCCGCAGCCATCACCATCTTCACCCTCCTAGCCGCATACATACACGCCAGCCCAGCATGGTCAGACACATCAATGGGCAAGGCCCGGGACTACTACCAGTCCGTCTCGTCGTACCTGGGCACCAACGGCCAATCCGTCGTCAACAATACAATATACAGCGAGGGCATCGATGAGCTCATACAGCCCTTCTTCAACACCACCAGTCCGTGCGCCAACTTTCCAAACACCGAGAACATCCTGCTCGTCATGAAGACTGGAGCGACCGAGGCTTTCGACAAGGTCCCCACCCAGCTCTTGACTGCCATGCAATGTCTGCCCGACTTCCTCATCTTCTCTGATATGGTTCGTCCCCCAATCTTGTTTTTTCGCACTTTGAACCGCGTGTTTCTCGAGGGGCCCGCAGCTTACCTCGACGACAGGAGCAACAAATCGGCTCGTATCATATCTACGACGCACTTGCGGACTTTGACAAGACCACTCTTGAGAAACACTCCGATTTCGAACTCTACCGCCAACAACAAGATTGCCCAGTGTCCCAAAAGTCGTGCAACAGTGTCCACGAGGATAGACAAAAGGCTTGGAACCTCGACCGTTACAAATTCATCCCCATGATGGAGAAGACCTGGAAGATGCGCCCTGGCAGGGACTGGTATGTCTTTGCCGAGGCTGACACATACGTCTTCTGGTCAAACCTTGTCTATTGGCTCAGGCACAAATCTCCCATCAGCCATCATGACAAGGTCTATCTTGGTAGCCGCAGCTTCATCGGTGGGACCCCCTTCGCTCACGGCGGATCTGGCTACGTGCTCAGCGGTGCCCTGCTGGAGCATCTCATCGAGCACCACCCGGTCGTGGTGGAGCATTACAACAAGAAGGGCATGCATGAGTGCTGCGGCGATCTCATGCTTGCTCAGGCACTCGACGAATATGAGCATGTCAAGATCCGCCAGACGTGGCCCATGTTCAACGGCGAGAAGCCGAGCACGCTCCCATATGGCCCAGGACACTGGTGCGAACCAATCTTCACAATGCACCATGTCAACGCCGAGGAGATTAGCACGACCTGGCTGTACGAAAAGACACGTATTTCCAATGTAAGTGCATCAGGTTCTGTTCCCGGCTGCGCGAATCTCCACAGGTCATGAATACATTGCTGACAGAAAAAAAATATCAGGAACCGATTCTCATTAGAGATCTCTACGAAGGCTTGGTTGCGCCCAAGATGGTTGAGATGAGACAGGACTGGGACAACCTCTCTGACGACGTCTGCTATGTTAATCCCGACCCCGAGGCCCAAAAGGCAGCCGAGGGTTATCAGAGAGACCGCCAGAAGAAGCCGGGGGAGCTGAACTCAGTGGAGAAGGAGGCCTGGAAGTCGTGGGAGAACTGTGCCAAGGTCTGCGCCCACGGCGACAATGAGAAGAGCAACGATCTGAGCGAGGTGAGCCTGGCCAAGAAGCGCAACAGGGAGTGCTTCCAGTATCGCTGGAACAAGGAAGTATGCTGCGTATCGAAGAGCTTCAAGCTGGGTGAACCCAAGGAGAAGTCCGACAAGACGAAGGACCGGTGGATGAGCGGCTGGTACCTGAAGGGCATCAATGACTGGATCCAGGCTACTGGCGAGTGCAAGGAGCCTCGTTGGGTCACGCCAGAGCAGCCATAGGACGGAGCGCCATGGTTGGCAGTCGGGCAAGAAGAGGCCGCTCGCCCTAACACCTGACCTACTCGCGCTTCTCGTCCAAAATTCGATCCGTCACTACCGCCTTTGTAACCAGCTCATGGCCACGAGCACAGTCGCACAGTCGCGGCTCCATCCCGCACACGCAAACAAGGCTTGGAAGAAATTCACGGCCTTTTAGCACCACGGCTTGAGGAATCCTATACGTGCCCATGCGTATGACATGTGCGGCTTTGAGCATGGGTGACAACGACCTCTACGTCTACCTGCCTCGCCTACATGAGGAGCCAGACGCTACACCCACCCAAGACCCACGAAGCTCAAATTCGCACAACCCAGATCAGGCAGCCCTGGGGTCTCCGCGGACGGACTCTGACATTCCAGAAGGGAGGCACCGCTTTTTTGCACACCATTCCACAAGCACAACAGATGTACACGACGGGCAGACTATGATCACAACATGGGCGGAGAAACGGCGTTTAGGTGCATCGTTCAAGGGGTGGTAGGATGGGGGATTTTCGGCTCCGTGTCAATCATCTTCAGTTTTCATAGAACAGCGTTGCTTTCCACTAGATATCTTATAATCATGCTTCCAACCCTCCATATTCTGAAATGATGTATGCTCTTCCGTGGGTTTCCTTACTTTGGCGGCCCCTGAGGCATCATCGTCACCCAATGGTGTGGTAAACTTGAGCGATATTCTTGCCTAGCCGTTGTGGCTCTCCACATCTCACTTGTGCAAAGAATATCTTTGTGTCGAGAAAGGAAAACCCCCATTTTGGCGTGCCACGTGCAGACGCGATCTCGGGAGGGAGGCGGTACGTCCAGATTGACATCCATCACGTTTCGAAGGGGCACATCACACGGCATGAGTTGGCTGGATCGGGCTGTTCGTAGTGGGCAATACGTTCATAAGTCATATTTGTCTCTAAAGCTTTTCTTCCCGGGCCCTTTCCTACACCTCCCCTCCTCGACCCCACCAACTTCGACCTGCCTTGCTGGCTTGGAGATAGCTTTCCTGTTCCGTTGTCCCCGGCACCTCATCTCAACATCGAGCATGATTGCCTCCAATGGATGAAGTGGGGGACTTTGTGGCCCAATAACCACTCCCACAAGTAAGTGAGCTGTGGTTCAGAGTACGCGCGATGCAGACAGACTCCTCCGGACGCCAGTTTGATCGCTTTGGGCACGACAAGCGCAGTTCAATCCTCGGAAACGCCACAAAGAACTATCAGTGCCCTATCACAGACACGTCCTGTTAAGTGCAATGGCACCATCACCCGCGACCCTCACTCATGACAGCCCTCTTGCTCACCAAGGCGGAAGCCCGCCGAGGACGTGCAATTGACAACGTCGAAACCCAAACAACAAGCTCGCTTTAGCCAAGGAGAATCACACAGCTTGTTGGAAATGCCACAAGAGGTGCCTGCTCATATGGGTAGGTAGAGCATCCGATGGTGTGAAATGTCGTAGCGCAGGATATCATGTCTCCGAGAGGATACTCGCCTGTCCTCGATGCCACCACAGGCGAGCCGCTCAGCTTCCGGAAGGATGTTGTAATGCCAACCGACTTCGTGCCCAAGGCCGGTCCGTATTGACATCGGCCAGGGGGACCGGAACAATACACTAGGAGTAGTACACAGTCCCTGAAGGCGGGTAATAGAAGGCATCCGGGCTTGGTGTCACCATCCCATTCATGCCATGACCACCGGGCACGGGATAGTTAGGCGGAGGCGCAGGGTAAGGGTTGTATGAGGGCATTGGCGGGATCTGGGCGGCATCATAGTAGTAAACCATGCCATTGACTTCTTGTGCAACAAGATTCGGCCCCCCTTGTCCAGGGTTGCCATCAACTTGAGGCTGAGACGGCGGCATGGCAGATGCATAGTTGACCCCTGGGATGCTTGCATTGCCTGGCCCGGGGTACTGGCCATGGGGGTAGTACTGCCCGTATTGGGGTTGCATCATCTGGTAAGGAGGATTGTAGTAGTTCTGCTGTGAAAAGTGCGTCGGGTGGAAAGGCGCCGCGTGGATCGCACGTTCAGGAATCTGCGACAACGGTGTCCCGGTAGAATGCTGCGAAGGATATGAGGCATGCCGGGAGTGCTCGAGTGTGTTGGAAACCTGTACGGGCACTTGTTGGTGAAACGCCTGCTCGTACGGCTGACTCGGTGGGTGCTGCTGGGCGGGTGGCTCAATGTCAGCAACAGACAGGTGCTTCTGCGGCCGCGGCTGGTGCATGGGAAGCTGAACCATGCGATTGTCCGGAAAAGTCGGTTTCTGAGGCAGAGGATGAGTACGAGGCTGCGCGGGATCCACGCTCCCAAAGGGCGCGGCTCCTGGATAAGGTCGTGTGGTAGCATCCTCTGGCCGTACGGCGGGCGCATCTGGACGGTTGGGTGGCGGCAGGCGCACAACAGGGCGGGCCGAGTCGTGGGCCATCGGAGCTCGGGAGATCGCAGAGCCAGTCGGCGAAGCAATCATGGCCCGGCCCATGTCCATGACAACCGAGGACCGTCGGCTCATGCCGACACTCGGGGAGTAGGCGCTGCCCGCATAGTAGCTGCCTCCCACTATGCTTGTCCTCCTGGAATACCCACCGACCGAACCAAGACCAGATCTCGGCTTGCCCCTTAGGCGCTGCTGGTTGGGGCGGAGCGCACGAGGTATGAAGATGAAGGAGCGGTCTGTAGCGGGGAAGACATAGCGCGGTGGCAGGTCTGGAAGCGATATCCGGACGGGTTTGTCGCGTCGCAATGGTGGTCTATGGTCGGGCAATTTGGTGTACTGCTTGACCGGTATGCCTTGGAAGACTTTCGGCTCCTTTAGAGGAGCAAAGAAGACTCTGATCTGGACATTGCCGAGAAGCCTCTCGTGAGACATGTTGCGGTTGATCGGTTCCGAGCTCGTGGGGCAGGTGGGGATGAAGCCATCGCCATGGACTGGAGTGTCGTTGGCGAGGGAATGCCTTGGCGGTCGCATCGACGGCGGTTGAACAACAATGTCATGCATGTCATGAGCCCAAGGAGCGCTCACAATAGGGTCTGCTGGGTGGTGTATATGCTGGCTACAGTGCAAAATGTCATTAACATTGCACTCCGGTCAACTTAGGATGCTCTGAATCTCGCACTTACCTCATCGGAGCAAAGGGGCCTCCAATGCCGCCTCGACCACGGCCACGGCCACCTCTTCCGAAAGGACGAAAACCATTCGCAGATGGGCCAGCGTGCCGGTGGTCGTGCATGAAGAAGGCCCCCCTGTTGGGCACGAAGGCCGGATCCTCGTCCCGCTTCCGACGGTACTCATCATGTTCCCTCCTCGGCCGGTCACGAGAAACGGACTGGTCTCGGCTACCTGGCGCAGCACTCGAGGAGACCACAATAGGCGCATTGGCGTGGTTTGTCGTCTGTTCTGTGGTGCCTCCTTCTGGTGCTTGCGACTGGTCCGCGTGTTTCGAGTCGTCCAGCCCATTGACCACATGTTGCTGGTCCGCTTTGCTTTGGTCCCGTGCCGTCTTCCCCTGGCCCGACCGCTTCTTCCCGTTTGCGTGAGTTTTGCGGCCATGGGCCTTGTCGCCATGGATTTCGGCAGTGGATCCGTCGTCAACGTTGCTAGTATCGCTGTCGTCCCCTGCATCGATGTCGTCTGACCCAAATGAGCCTTCGCTCAGGGAGTCATCATCAAGTTCGAGATGATCGAGACCTGCATCCTCATCTCCTTCATCTTCTACACGACGCCGGCGTCCGATCAACTTCTTTCGGCGCTGGGGAGCAGCCATAGTCTCGAGACGAGTTTCTTGGGATGGTCGAAGTCGTAGTCCAAGACCAAGAACGCGCTAGCTACGTGGCAAGCGTTCAGGACAGTTCCGCTTCGACGTTGAGCAATGCTATTGTGGATGTTGCCAAAAAGGGTACCGGGATTTTGTCGATGAACAACCGAGGACAGACAGTACAGCCGCTTGGGGCTCTAATAAGTCACCGGTGCGGAGAATGACGCAGAACTTGGGATCGAGAGGCTGTGGGAAGAGTGGCACCACACGTATCGAAATCAACGAGCAGTATTCGAAGAGATTGAATTATGAGAGCGCTCGAAATTGCTGGATTATCGACGAAAGGGACGCTTGTTCATCCGGCCGGCGATGGCAAGATGCGGCTGTTCGTGCAGGAAGCGGTCCGAGACGGTGGAGGAGTCGTGGAGCTGCGGAGCTGGCCACGATCGAGCTTGGCGAGCAGCGGAGCGATGCCAGTCGGCAGGACAGACCAGACAGGAGCCGGTGATGCGGTCTGCGGGCTGCTGGGAAGCTTAGCTGACGAGCACGCGGGACGGGCGGGCGAGACGGGATGGCGAGGCGGGAAGAGGAGCAACACCACCTTGGCAACACTGGACAGTGGACAAAAATTAAGGTAGGTCGGGTTGACATAATAAGCTCCCCCAGCAGAGGTTTTGGGGCGTGGAGACTGGGTGAGACTAGGCCCCGGCAGTGCCAGCACGAGATGGGATCGCCTGGGCCAGCCTTGGGTCCCGACCAGGGGGCCTCTGCTGCCATTCGAGCTCGCCCTGTGCCCATTCACTTTACAATTGCATTGACAACGTGACCATGTCCTCCTTACCCGTGGGCCCCATGACCGACAAGTGCTGATCATTGTTATAGCGAGCGTGTTTGGCAATGATGGCGCCCCTGCCCAGTCGGGTTTGCCCCAGTCTCGAGACTGCTTTGCATAGTAGTCTGCACGATTGACTCTGCGGTGCGCGTTGACAGAAGCAAATAGTCCAACCTGGTCGCACCTGACGACATCCTGCTTGCTTCTGCCAAACATGGCAGGGGCTCAGAGAGCCATAGACGCCCATAGAATCGGCGGGGACACAGGCCATGCGCGAAGCCACAGCACTCAGCTACACCCACTCCAATAGCATGAGCACACCCATAACACCGTCAAGTCTGCACTACGTTTCTCGCGCAATTAGCACGTTGTAGCTTCTCGCTTGGGTTGAGCAGAGGATATCAGGGGGCTTAGGGAGAGAGACTCTTGGGGTCGCAACAGACCGCTGCATGTGCCACTGCTGATTCTTACCGATCATGCATGCCCACGACTTTTGATCTGATGTACATCTAATCAGCTGCTTTATTAGGAACCTTGATCATGAGCTCTGAGGCGATGGTATATCTTTATACCATCTGGCCGCCCTCGTAATGTGGGAGAGAATAGGATAGAAGAAAGTCGAACGACCACCGTCTCAGTTCATGACAGCAGTGGGACACGGCGACGTGGATGCAGCCCGACAACCGCCACTGCACAGTGGTCCTGTACGCGAGACTTTTAAGCCTGTGCCAACGCGGCTGCAACATTCTGGCGCGCCGAAGATCGTTTGGACATGCATAGTGTATCTATTTCAAGCACGTTCCCCGGCAGTCTTAGCGTGATGGCAGCACACTCGCGTCATCGCCTTGAGCCACGCTTGGGGCGGGGACCCCGCAAGCCAGGTTGGGGCAGATGACAGTAACGTTCTGCGTCGACGGCCCTGCTAATCGTCAAGGGTGATACAGCCCGCCCGTAAGGCGATTTTGATCGATTCGCGAGTGTGAGAACATGAAAAATGCCTGGCCGGCAGTGACAGTGTCAAGCTCGAGAAGGCTGATTGATTGCGCTGCTTGGCCTGACTCACGCCTCTGTCCCACTTTTGAGCCTTCGAGTATCTCATAGCTGGAGCACGCTTTGATATCGGTCGCTTTGACGGCGTTTTTTACCTTCTCAGTACCAGAGTGCGTGATGCCAATAGCGCATTTCTGTCACCATATCCGGCGTGTGGGCGGTAACAATCTCTTGAAACAGTATGTGGACGAAGTCACCTTCTGCCCCCAAGGCTAAGACGGTCCGGGTACTGGTGGTGAGTGGTTGGGTTGAGATGGCCCTGCGAGAGAAGTCTGTTCGCTCTCTCGAGGCCGCTAGGGAGCCAGGAGGCTCCACGGCGAAGGCCAGTCAAGCAAGGATAGTCCATGAGGCTATCATGATCGCTGGTGTCGGCTTCCCAGCAGCACGAGGTCGACGACGCTATGTCCAACGGCTATTGAGTACACCAGGCACATGTCAATGTTGCCAGGCGTTGTGTCGCGAGGCTCTATGTCGGACATCGACCGAGCATTCAGATCTGGAGATCAACCCGCCTTGACGTGCAGCTCTTGTGATAGATCGGGGCCAGCACGTAGTCGCCGTAAATACTCTATCCAAATTCGTTGTGCCAGGGCCAGGCTACGCCGCCACCCGTGCTGTTTCGTACGCCTGTTTCTGCCTGGGGATGGGCTGTCTCGCCTCCTGGCCAGCGGCACGGGCTTTAGAATCAAGCTGAGGCCCAAGAGTGCAGGCGTGCCTCAGGCCGTGACCGAGGCAACCTTGACCCGAGTCAGCTGGTGCAGGACCTCCATCGTTTGTATCTACTAGTGTCAAAATCACCAAGGTTTGCTTGTCCCAATGCGCCCTTTGCCACGGAGTCCTGCACAGTGAGTGAGCCGTACTCAGACATCTCGCGTGCTCAGAGCCTGTCCTACCGCCACCTGCATCGGCATCACCGCTCTTCGAGGTGCAGCACTCCGCTCCCCTGCTTTGTGCGCCGTGCCTGGCCAAGAGAGCCTCGCGACTCTCGTCACGTTGTTCTTGATCATACAAGTCCTCAACGCGGTGGTGAGCTGTGGCCACGGCCCAAAAGCCTACAACTTCCAAAGTAGAAGGTGAGTTTGCGACACCAGCCTCGCGAGGCAGATCCTCCCCAGTCCTAGACAGTTCGCCGCAGCGAGGAGAGCTTCGGGTTGCCGACCAGTCGGGGGCTCGAGATGAGCTCTTTGGCATCCAATCACACAACAGCCCTGCGCTCTGATACAGTCCGTCCTTGGGCGGACGGCGCCGGGTCACAGTCTCGAGCTCCGTTTCCCAGACTGGCGGTGGCCAGAGCAGCTAGATAGCCAGCTCCATCCAGCAGGCACCCCCGCTGGCCCCGTCATCCCCACTGGGTAGGCAGTCACTCGCTGCACGAGCGTCTCCACCTCCCCCATCCATCGACTTGGACCCGTCGCCCACCTCACATCCTAGGCCTCGGGGCTATCAGCGCCATCATCATCTCTGCCTTCCTCCACTCCATCTCTTATCATCCATCCTTCACATCATCCTTCCCCCTTCCTGCATCGCCAGTCCCGTGTTGCAGAGCACAGCCGGCTGACTAGACGTCGCTGGCAGCACCCGCCTGTCGCCATCATGGCCGCCGCACCAACCACAACCTCCCTCGACACTCTCATCACCTTGAAGGTCAACCACAATGGGTCCGCCAAGCGCTTCAAGCTCCCTCTGCGTGACCTGACCATGGTCTCCCTCGAGGACAAGGTCAGTACCTCTTCTCTCCCACCCGAGTCTTTTGCCATTTCTGCATGTTGGCAACATCACATCTCCATCACTGGAGGATTTGCGTTTGCCATGACGCTCGTCCACAGGGATCCGCGAGTCAGTCCCTCCGACCGATCACGAGACTGACATCATCTTGCCAGATTCGCGACTTCCTCCAAATCGCCCCGGACACCAGCGCTTTGATCGAGCGATACTCCGACTCGGCCGCCGCATTTGTGACGGTAGAAAGAGACAACATCCAGGTCTACAAGCAGCTCTTCCGTGCTGCCAAGGCCAAGCACAAGCTCAAGCTGCGTGTAACCACTCCGCAGTCGAGCCCTTCGTCCGTCATCCCGCAGCCCGCGACAGTTGAGGACGACGTCGATGGTGAGCACTCAGCTCATAGCGAGCCACAACTGGTGAGTTCGGCCGATTTCTTTCACAGTCCATCATTTCTGCTCTTGTATCAGTTCCGACATAATCCAGCGCCTTGTGAAGGACTTCGCATTCCAAGCTTCAGCATGCTAATTTCTGTGACAGGTCTCTCCATCGACCTCGACGCTCGCCATGGCCGAGCCAGCCGCGCTTGTTCTTACTACCGAGGCGCCTTCGCAGGTTTCCTTGACCTCTGAAGCCTCACAGGAAACCCTGCAGGAGACGGCCGTGCCCTATCTCCCCGCCTTTACCTTCTCCAAGCGCCCTTTCACTGTCTGCTGCAACAAATGCGACAAGGCAGTGCCTGATGCCCACTTCCACTGCTCGAAGTGCGATGATGGTGACTTCGATCTTTGCCAAGAATGTGTCAACTCTGGCATTACATGCAACGATGACAGCCACTGGTTGATTAAGAGAACAATCAAGGATGGCGAGATCACGCAAAGCACTACTGCTCGCATCCTGACAACCAAGAAGGTCCCCGTGGCTGCCCCAGCTGCCGTGCCCACCGCCGCGGTTCCCTCCATCATGGACCTTCCGATTCGGCCACTCGAGGCGGCCACCTGCCGTGTGAGCTCAGCTCCCACCTGGAGCACCGCCTACAATGCTCGCACGTGCAATAGCTGTGTGCAAGAGTTCCCCGAGCAAAACTTCGTCCACTGCAACACGTGCGACGACTTTGATCTTTGCAAGGCTTGCTTTGTGACAGATCAGCACGGCCATCATCCCAAGCACACCTTCAGCGCCGCTGTTAAGGGCACTGCCTTTGATCAGGCCGTCTCGACTCGCCTCGCTGCCGGCCGCAACGTGCTCCACAACGCGATTTGCGATGGCTGTGAGCGCTATGTGCGTGGTGTTCGTCACAAGTGCCTCGACTGCCCAGACTGGGACTACTGCTCTGAATGTGTACAGAGCGCTGCTCTCATTCACCCAAACCACCGCTTCGTTCCACTCTACGAAGCACTGATCCACCCTGCCACTCGCCAAAGCCAGAGTGCAACTCATTATGGAATCCGATGCGATGGGCCTCTTTGCACAGCCAATGGTGGTACCACGCATTACATTGTCGGTGACCGATACAAGTGTGCTGTCTGCCACGACACTGACTTCTGCGCCAACTGTGAGGCCAGCCCTGCCAACGAACACAATAAGACTCACCCCCTCATCAAGTTCCGCACTCCGGTTCGTCACGTGAGTGTGACTACGCTTGGCGAGCACGAGGACGGTCAGCGCCTTCCCCCTATGGGTGACCGCCGCAGCAGACGTCAACCAATGGTCCCAGCGGCGGCTCCTGCAACATCAACCCGCGACAGCATCGCCGCCTCTCCAGTGCAAACTGTGGTCGATGTGAAGCCGACAGAGTCGGCCCCTGTCGAGGCTCCCAAGGTTGAGCAGCTCATCGCATCGACTGCCAAGGACGAGCCAGCCGGTGACGCCTCTTTGGTTGCCACCTTCCAAAGGGATACCGTGGCTGATGGCACCACTTTCCCACCCAACCACATCTTTGAGCAGACCTGGACCCTTCGGAACGAGGGCTCCACGGCATGGCCCGCTGGCTGTGCTGTCAAGTTTGTTGGTGGTGATTACATGGGTGCAATCGATCCCCACCACCCTGCGGGACTCAACGAGCTTGTGTCGGCCTCCGAGTCCAACGTGGTCCCGACGACTGTCGCACCTGGCCAGGAGATCTCGTTTTCCGTGATGCTGCGCACACCTGATAGAGAGGGCAAGGTTATATCTTACTGGCGCCTTACAACCAGCGACGGCCACAAGTTCGGCCACAAGCTTTGGTGCGATGTTGTCGTGAAGAAGCCTGCGGAGGTGCAGGCAGACGAGGCCGTCAGGAGCCAAATGATCATTCCCAAGCTCGAGCACGAGTCTCCATCTGCGAGCATCATCCAGGACAACAGAGCCGAGACTGAGACGCAGACAGAGACTGCTACGGAGACCGCCAGCCTCCCCGCCTTGGACCGTGCCGAGGAAGACTTTGAGGATTGTGCCGATGCTGATAACTGGGCCAACGACTCTGACGACGGTTTCATGACTGACGAGGAGTACGACATTCTGGATGCGTCGGACGAGGAATACCTCACTGAGCAGCACAGATCGGCGTCGAGCCGTAAGTGATCGCGGCGCCACGTCCGGGAATGGAGGCATTGATGTGAGCTTACGTGTACTATGGCGTGCCCATCCGTGCACTCGATGCAAGTGGGTTTGGATTTTCACAAAGTTTGTCGTCATTTGGGGCTCATGCTTCGTTTGATTTTTCTTTGGGCTGTCTACGAGTAACACTTGCCTTTCCCAGACTGATATGCAGCTGACTCCCAAAACCGCCACACTCATTATCTTGATACTAGCATGGAATTCAAATTTGTGCCAGAATATTAGATGGCGTCGAGCCGTGTTGTGTGCCAGAGCACCTCCCAGCTTGTGCGACCCGGTGCCGATCTAGTGGCATCGGTGCGTGACTCGGTTGTGAACGACGGCTTGTCTTGACTTGCAATTACAGTGACTTTGTGATCAGCCCTGCGGTTCCAGCGCTGGGGCATGGCCTATTAATTAGTTGTTGGACGGATGGAGGGGCCCACAGCCATGGCGGCTGCATGTGCCTTAGAGACACGCGCCGAGATGGCGCGGCGGAGCAGCGGCCCCCGCAGCCCGGAGCGGAGCAGCAGCGAGACCCTGACTTTGTCGCAGGCGTTGGTGCAAGTTGTCCTCTTATCCTTTAGAGTGTACCTGCCTTAGCTACGGCCGTGTACCGCATCACCAGGGAAGCCTCGACCACGAACAAACACCACCAGCGCGGCGAGACAACACGCTCAATTCGCTCCCTGCCCAACATTTCACTCCTCGCTACATCACGGCGGAATAGCCTGGTCTGCTGTTCACTCGGCAAACAGGCATAGCGCTGCGCGCACAGGACGCCGAATCCATACGCTTATCCAGCCTCGTGCTTCCTGCCCGAGCCCATCGACAGATCCCACATAACACAACGAGCTCTGCGGTTCCACCAACATACGGCGGTGATGGTTGCTTGAGTCGACGGAAGCGCAATATACGTCCTGCCGCACTGGGCGCACAGGCCGAGCATTTTCCGGGAGCCAGAGCTCGGCACGAGCCACGACTTCGCCATGATGAACGGTTACGACGAGAAGCGCAGCTACGGCGACGAGCCCGAGGTGGGCGGCTTCGTGCGCGCTTTTGATGCTTTTCGTATGTCCTCCATTGTCTGCGGATGCAGCTGCGCTCCTCGCCAGACTCGATACACTCGATCAGCGAATGCGCCCATGCTAACAGTCTCGTTCCTCTCTCGCAGCCAAATCAAAACCTCAATATGTCACGCGGACATCGGACGGTGGCAAGTGGACGGTCGTCATGAGTGTGATATCGCTGGTCCTCCTGTGGACGGAGCTCGGACGCTGGTGGCAGGGCGAGGAAAACCACACTTTCGCTGTAGAGAAGGGCGTCGGGCACGAGATGCAGATCAACCTCGACATTGTGGTGCACATGCAATGTAAGGACCTCGACGTCAATGTACAGGATGCCGCGGGCGATCGCATCTTTGCCGATACCAAGCTGCGCGAGGACGCGACCCTCTGGACCCAGTGGGCAGACCACACAGGCATTCACAAACTGTCCGCCGATGCCAATGGCCGTGCCGTCACCGGCGCTGGCTGGCACGACGAGGGCTTTGGCGAGGAGCACGTCCACGACATCGTCCACCAGGGGAAAAAGAGGGCCAAGTGGGCCAAGACGCCGAAGCTCAAGGGCGGCCAGGGCGACTCGTGCCGTATCTACGGAAGCCTCGACCTCAACAAAGTCCAGGGAGACTTTCACATCACTGCTCGTGGTCACGGGTATTTTGAGTTTGGAGAGCATTTGGACCACAAGAGTATGTCTGCCCGGGGGAGCGAGCGCTCGCTTCTTACCTTTCAGTCCGTTTGAAGCCTGAGAAACTGACACCAGCAAACTTCAGACTTCAACTTCTCCCACATTGTCAACGAGCTGTCCTTCGGCCCCTTCTACCCCTCGCTCGTCAACCCTCTCGACCGCACTGTCAACGTCGCCGCCGCACACTTCCACAAGTTCCAGTACTTCATGTCTGTCGTCCCCACGGTATACAGCATGGGCACCTCGAAGCGCAACACAATCTTCACCAACCAGTACGCCGTGACCGAGCAATCCCATGAGGTCGGCGAGCGCACCGTGCCGGGCCTTTTCTTCAAGTACGACATTGAGCCGATCCTCCTGACCATTGAGGAGCGCCGTGCGGGGTTCTTCGGGTTCGTCATCAAGGTGATCAATCTCATCAGCGGTGTCCTTGTCGCCGGCCATTGGTGCTTCACCTTCAGCCAGTGGGCAGGCGAGGTTGCGGGCCGGAGGAGGCGCACTGGACAGAGCGCGGGCATGATTGGCGTCAAGGGGGACTACACTGATTAGACGTAGTGAAGAGGAGAATCGAGGCACCAGGGCGCGGGAACTGTACCCAGCGCTCTGGAGGTACAACTGCTGATTCGTGGTTGATATTGCCAGAGAAGTGGTTTGTGTTTTGTTGAGTGTGTTCTCTACATATATATAACTCTCTGTTCTTGACATAGCGGGAATGTTCCAAATCATTTGACTTTGACAGATATGCAATGCTCTCCGGCGACCCAATCAGTACGCAGGACAGAACTTTTTTCTTCTGGCTTTCTAATACTTCTAGTCGCTGGTCTGGTCTGGAGGAATAGCTGATCTGCTTGTACGGCCATCTTTGAGGCCAGCAACAGCACCTTCAAGCTCACTCAAACATATCATGACCAGCGACAGTATCCTTGGTCGTCACCATCCTTGCAAGCGAACATGTGTATCTCGTCCAGGTTGCACGAGCGCAATTTGGGGGTTTCAAGGACATGTTGCTCTCTCTCTCTCTCTCTCTCTCTCTCTCTCTCTCTCTCTCTCTCTCTCTCTCTCTCTCGCGACTTTTTGTCGGTAGGATCAGCCACGAAATTCTGCTTGCTTGCTTGCTGCTTCTCTTGCTGCATGCTTGTCTGAACGAGCGTTCTCCAAGTGAACCTGCTCGTGTTTCCGGCATGCATTGATCGCAAGGACGTTCATTCACTGGTCCGTGAACGGCGTACCGCGACGGCGAGAGCGCCTACCCGCCAGCCGGGAAGCCTGCAGCATATCTGTCTGTATACCTGGGCTGTTGCGATCTGCGCGATACATGGGGAATCAGCCACCATGTCATGCGGGCGGTAGTGTCTCACTTGCCATGCAGCAGTGTGTTTCCTACATGTCGTCCGGGACGAATCAGCACCTGCCTCATGTACACATTCCAAGACCTTCCGAGGGTCCGGATTCAGAGTCAACGCTCGCGCGACCAACCATGCCTCACTCAACGCGCAGTTCGAGGGAAATGAGTCAACTTGGAATTGCAAGCCTAAAGTACAGCCCTCCCCAACCCTGATAGTCTATCATGAGGAAGTCGTCTTGAAGCAGAAACAGTTATGATGCAGCAGCACTAGTACACATGAGATTTTTGCCAATCATTAGACACGAAACATCCAATCCCAGGATGCATTCTTGTACTCCGCATGGGACAGTCTGCCAGCCACCCATGCCTGTGGGAATCCATCGTTTAGTCGAGCCCCCAAATCAGCTAGGTGGACCTAGTAGCTTCGCAGGCTCGACTCGTCGTGTTCGAAGCACGCAAGCTCTCGTACCGGTCAACAACGCGTTGCTTGTCAAGTCGTCGTTAGCCGTGTAGATGGTACGAGTTACTCCGTCGCTTCGAGATTGCCAAGCAGATCGCTTAGCAGCTGGTGTCAGAGGTCGCCTTCGAGTTCATGAGCAGGGCGACAATCAGACCGTAGAGACCCAGGACTTCAGCGAAAATGAGAATAAGAATCATGCCGACGAAGAGTCTGGGCTGTTGCGCAGTGCCTCTGACACCAGCGTCACCGACAATGCCGATGGCGAAACCAGCGGCCATACCGGCAAGGCCGACGGCAAGACCGGCACCGAGTTGAATGAAACCAGTGTAGAGAGGGAGGCGCTGCTTGAGACCGTCCGAGATCAGGACGGAAACGACGAGACCGTAAATGCCGATGATACCAGCCATAATGACGGGAACAATGTCTATCAAGGTCGTCAGTTTGATAGCTCAGAATGAAGGATCATGGGTGTAGGCATACTCTTGACAATGAGATCAGGTCTCAGGACACCCATGGCGGCGATACCAACGCCGGACTTGGCAGTACCGTACGAGGCGCCGAGGCAGGTGAAGACGATGGCGGCTGTGCAGCCCATGGCACCGAAGAACGGCTATGGCGAGAGTCAGCTATGATTCGAGGAGAAACGTGACATCGAGGACGCGGCGATAGTATCATTGGCCAACGGCCACTCTAGATCGGCGGCGACCGATGCAATGAGACTGATTCGCGTATCTCAGATGTCGTGATCTTGACGGAGTTTGGGAGGGAGACTAACCGCGTAGACCGGGCTGTACGGGGAGAGAAGAGGTCAGCACATTGTCATTAAGAAAGGAGGGGATGCCTTATCCCAGCCAGCCGTCGTGAAAGATACATGGCGAAGATCGAGCCTCAGCTTGAGACGAAGGCTGAAGCTCGGCAAAGGCAGATGACGACGGCGCAGAAGTAGGGCAGGTTGATTACGTACCAGGCCTCTGTGAAAGCAGAGTCAGACATGGTGAGGGTGAGGAGCTTGAAAGCGCGACGTGGAGGGTCGATGAAGATGGAGGACTGGAAGTCGGCGGACAGCGCGGATGAGGCGGATGTCGAGAATGGAAGTTTGCGCGGAATGCGGTCGTGGTGGTGATGAATGACTGGGAGGTGTCAGTGGCAGGTTAGAGGTCGAGCAAGGTGTCGCTACGAGGCGCTGCAGGTTTGCGAGCTAAATGCCCTCTGATTGGGGGCGTGGCTGGCTACCCAGGAGGCGGCCTGTGCTTGGAGCTGTACGCTGCAGCTGCACATTAGGTCATTGCTTCCCACTCGCGCCACGACCGCGGTAGTCTCCACCAGTGTTGGCACAGTGTTGCTTTCACAGTGCAGGCTGCAGGCCGTGTCAGCTACGCACTGTCCAGATAACTTCCCCTGGCCTGCTGCCAACCTGCAAGGTTGTCGGTCCTGGCGGCTGATGCCCGGCTGACAGCTGCTGGTGACCGTCAAGGCTAGAATGAGGCTCAGACTGCTCGATGAATGCGCATCTGTCACCGCCTGAAATACTCGAGACTTCAACACCTTGATCATGGCAGCTATATAAAACTTATGAAGCTCAGTACTCATGCCAACGATAGTTGTGACTGGACCATTTCGCAAATCAGGAACTCGTCCTCCAGAGTGCACTGCTTTAGCCGTCGCGATTGGCAAGCGCCGTTATCGTGCTAGCTGCGACCACCGCTGATTGGCTGTTGTTGCGACCAAAATTATCGAAGTGGGTCATGCCCATCCATCTACGGCCGGGCAGAAAAAAGTTTGGGAGCTCCGATCTCAGAATCTCCTGTGCTACTTTTCACAACCAAGCATATCCGACCTTTGCGACCAGCAGTACTGCCCAGGGCGAGCCAACGCAAGGAACCCTGTGTTATTCGTTCATCTTCGCTCACGATCAAACATCCCGTCCGGCATCCTCAGACTCCTATCACCATCACAATGGCCGACCAGAACCAGAGCGCCGCGTGGCCCCTCGCGGATGCCCAGCTTTCCCAGGAGATCCTCGACCTTGTCCAGCAGGCTAGCCGTAAGTCCCGTCTCTTGCGCAAATTGCAGGTCCTGGAGTAATTGCCAAGCTAACATGCACGCTCACTCTGCAGACTACCGCCAGCTCAAGAAGGGCGCCAACGAGTGCACCAAGACCCTCAACCGTGGTATCTCGGAGGTCATCGTCCTCGCTGCCGACACTCAGCCTCTCGCTATTCTTCTCCACCTTCCCCTGCTCTCCGAGGACAAGAACGTCCCTTACGTCTACGTTCCCTCCAAGATCGCCCTCGGCCGTGCCTGCGGTGTCTCTCGCGCCGTCATCGCCGCCTCCATCACCACCAACGAGGCCTCGGACCTTATGAACCAGATCCGCAGCCTCAAGGACAAGGTCGAGCGCCTCATGATCTAAGCAGACGTCCACATGCTCGGGATCGTCGCCTGGAACACCGGCAACGACCTGCACACAATGGATTTGCGCTTGGTAGAAAGTGACGGGCCATCTTGGAATGGTTTAGAATGTCTAATTCAACGATAGGAAATACGATCAGAATTTGAATGACCCTTCTGAGTCTCTCCTTTGTGACTTGCTGTGAAATTGAGTGTCTTTGTGCCTAGTTTTGCTGTCATTAGTTCCGCAGCCGCTCGGGACAAAAAGAAAATTGCTTTGGTTCTCCAGCCACCTGAAGATTACAATAAATAAGCGTAGGTCGCTAACTCTGATGTCTGAAAGTAGCGACCAGGAAGAAAAGTTCGACAGACCTACTCACAGTACGTAGAACCACATGCACAATCAGCTGCGCCGTAGAAAACAACAGCTTCAGTGTTGTGTAAGGCATCGGGTCCTATCTTCCGCAAGCATTCCAATCAACAGGCAGGGCGTTGCCATCGCGTGTTAGCCATACCTTGGAGACCTGTTTTGTTCCAGAGCGGTCCTCCCCCGGGCGTACATATTGTCGAGACATCGGGAGCTCCACAGAGGATGGCCACCACGAGGTTTAGTGTTCAATCAGGCTATATTTGGTGGCTATTTGAATGAGGGTGGTGTGGTTCCTCGAATCGCATGCAAGGAGTGGCCCGCCCTTGTCCTGCATGCAGCTTCTGCCCGAGGGTCCTGTGACGACATCACCCTGGACCCCACCATGTCACCGTCACACAGAGCTTCACCAACAGACGGAGCTGTGACTGTCACAAGCCCAACTCATCCTCCACGTCAAAGACACCAGCCATTGTCGCAATTTCTAGTTTGACACAAAGTACTCCCAATCTCGAAAGATCTACAACCTTGGGTGGTGTGGGGCCCTGCCGCGGTCTTGACTTGCTGCTCTCGTAACTAGAGCGCGCCGGAGAAACTGGTCGACACGGCCCGGTATTCTACAGCGCTCGGAGCAACAATGCCAGCTCTCACCCGCAAGCTTCTCATATTCGCTGCTGTCGATGGTCTGGTGATACAGCCGCTGACTGGCAAAGGCCAGCGTGCAACCAAGATCAAGTACGGTGATGCGACGGTATCCTCTGGAGGCAGGGACTTGATCCCGGATACGACCCGGCCAAACTCCTCGTTCGAGGCCTTTGGCGTTATAGGTGAGAGCTTGGCTTGGTCGTGACAATCTCGATTTCGAGGCAGGGTTTTTCGAGCCTCCGCTCACTCGCTGACTACTGGTGGCATCTAGGCTTGTTCACCGTCTCCCGCCTCAGCTATCTGATCACAATCACTGGTCGCGAGGAAATTGCCAACGTCAGGGGCTTTCCAATCTATGTCGTCACTGACGTCGCCCTCACACCTTGCACCAGCCAAAACGAGGCGAGCGACGCCATCAGACATACTGCATCACAGCTTCGTCGTGCGGCAGCTGACAAGGCCTCTACCGGCGCTGACAGCGACACGGATAGCGAGGTCGATGCCGCGTCTGCACGTGGACGTGACGATGTATCCGATGATCCTGGGGTATTCAGCGACACTGAAGATGCCGGCAAGAGTGATGATCGGCACATCAGGACCAGCAGTGTGGCCGAGGATGTATTCCAGAGGAAAGGGAGCTACGGTCGATTTGCCCAGAAGTGGTTTAGCAACAAAGGCTGGATGATGGGCCAGCAGCGCAACCCCGGCGTAACAAGAACCGAACAAGTGAGGAACGAAGATAGCACCGACGCAAAACGCACCGCAACCCAGCCAGACACAGTTGACGACAAGGTGCTTGGAAAGGCTGTCGTATCTGAGGACGTCGAGAAGCCTCCTGCGCCTACGGCCGGAGAGTCGCTCATGCCGAAGCTTCTCCGCATGGCGCACATTTGGTTTGGCACCTCGAGAAGTTTCTATTTTTCATACGACCTAGACATCACACATAGCCTCGCGAGCGCTCATACTCCTGGTACTCCTCCCGGCCCATTGCACAAGACTGCTGATCCAACCGTCTTTTGGAATCGACACCTCCTACAGCCGTTCGCGAGCAACGACGATCATCTTATGCTCCCAGTCATGCAGGGCTTTGTGGGCCAACGAACGTTTGTTGTTGACAAGCAGCCGCCACAGCAGGACTCTCAGGAAGAATCTCTGGAACTGAACGATTATGCTACACCGACAACTGAGACGCCGCAAGATCTCGCAACCCCTGGACGTAGGGCGTCCGAGAAGGAATTCCTAATCACGGTGATCTCCAGACGTGCGGTCAAGCGAGCTGGTCTTCGGTACCTGCGGCGTGGTATCGACGACGAAGGGTACACTGCTAACTCGGTCGAGACCGAGCAGATCTTGTCCACGCCCGCGTGGGATAAGACCTCGAGAATCCACTCGTTCGTTCAGATCCGGGGCAGCATTCCCCTATTCTTCACACAGTCGCCGTACTCCCTAAAGCCCACGCCCGTACTTCAGCATTCACCGGAGGTCAATTTCAAGGCTTTCACAACGCACTTCGATCGATTGGGTAAGGCCTACGGCTCTCTGGTACTGGTGAATCTGGTCGAGAAGCACGGGGTTGAGTCGATTGTTGGCAGCAAATACGAAGAGAATGCTGAGCAGTATAATAAAGAAAAAGGAGGGTCTTTGCATTTTGAGTGGTTCGATTTTCATTCCGCGTGCCGCGGCATGAAGTTTGAGAATGTCAGCCTTCTGATCGACAAGCTAGGCGCCAAGATTGAAGAAATGGGCAGCACGAGCGAGGAAAACGGTGTGGTCTCGTCAAAGCAGAAAGGCGTGCTAAGAACGAACTGCATGGACTGCCTAGATCGCACGAACGTATGCCAAAGCTCATTTGCCAAATATATGCTCGATCTGCAGCTAAAGGAGGAGGGCTTCGACATGTCTAGTCAGACGGACCAGGTGAATTCTTGGTTCAACACACTGTGGGCTGACAATGGTGACGCCATCTCGAAGCAGTATGCATCAACTGCTGCGATGAAGGGAGACTATACTCGGACTCGAAAGCGTGACTATCGGGGCATGGTCAATGATCTGGGTTTGTCCTTGACGCGGTTCTACAATGGGTACGTGGCGCTATCTCCTTGAACGCAGAGGTTATGTGGGCAGCCGAGCTAACAGACCTATACAGCATGGTCAACGACTATTTCAGTCAAGCTGCCATCGACTTCTTGCTTGGGTATGCTAGCTCGCTGGTGTTCGATGAGTTCGAGGCCAACATGATGACCAAAGACCCTGGCGTATCCATGACCAAGATGAGGGAACACGCTATCGAGACATCGCAAAAGATTGCTATTGAGAATCCTCACCAGGAGGACTTTATTGGTGGTTGGACAGTTCTCACCCCGCACGAGCCTGACACCATCAAGACGCTGCCCTTTGAAGAGGTCGTCATTCTCTTGACCGATGTTGCCCTGTATCTTTGTCGCTTTGACTGGAAGCTGGACAAGGTCTCAAGCTTTGAACGAGTCGATCTGGACCACGTGCTGAACGTCAAGGTCGGCACCTACATCACGAACACGATCAGCCCGACACAAGCGGACGAGGATAAAAACTTTGGCCTGGTCGTTACTTACCAGCCCGGCTCGCGAGATGTCGTTCGGACCAATACGAGATCGTTGTCCAATGTACAGCAGCAGCCTGGTACGGGTAATGAGAACGCGTCGTCATCTGCTGTCGATCAAGCTGCCGAGGGGACCAGCACCTCAACCTCGGCTTCCGGTATACTCAACCAGGGCATCCTTTCTGCACTTGCCGGCGGCTCGAAGCAGCAGGATAAGCCTCCTCCCCGCAAGCTTGCGCTGAAGGCTCTCTATGCACAGACCAGTCTCAACGACAACGCGACCGGCTCCGGCGGGAAGATCCTATCCGAGAAAGAGACTGTCGACCTAATCGCAAACGAGCTTCAGCGGCAGGTCTTCCTCAGCCAGCCCATGTACAAACAGTCTCGTGGAACGGAAACCACTTCGACGACGGACAGTGACCAAGCAGCAGCTGGCCACGCCACGGAGAGAGTATCTGACGCCGATAGACCGAGCATCATCGAGCGTGGAGACATCATTTCATTGGCCGAAGCTAAGCGGAGCACCGGCATTCTCGAGCAGTGGGGACATTCAATCAAGAAGTTAGTTTGGGCGTCTTAAAGTGGAGGGCTAGAGTTTCTCAGCTCTTATACGGCGGATTGCGCCTCAGTCACTCGTTCTTTCCCAGCGACGCGGAGAAAGTAGACGATAGCTCTGACGGTACGGTTCATACACGCATGGAATAATACAATGATTGCCGGAACGATGGCAAGGGGTCTATAGACGGCGATGAGGAAGTGTGGCGCCTCATCAACGGCAGTCCGATTCGTGAGTATCAGTTCGTGCACTTTCTGACAATATATGCATGGTCATATTTTCAGTAGATCATGCCTTGTGATTCATGGACCTGAGAGCACCGTCTTGACTGTTTGCCAAAGATATTGCGTTATCCTAGACCGCTCGATACATATGCATCTGGTACCGCATGTTCTCAAGGGGAATCGGGTACCGCAGTCCTTCTGGCATACGGAACCAGACAGAATCATGCGAATGCTCTTCAATCTTCTCCCAAGTGATACCCACTTTCTTGGCCTCGTCTGCTTCTCTTCTCTCTTCCCTGGCAGGCCCGCCGCCAGCGTCTTCGTTTGTCTCGTCCGCGGCTGGCCCTTCAGACGACGGTATACTCTGCGGCTCCTGTGGCTTCTCCTCCTCACCGCCGACACCTCGCGTCTTTTGTTGCTGCAACGGTGTCGTCTCCACCCCGACCTCCTTTTCCTTGTCCTTGACCGTGCGCCGACTGCGCTCTTGCGAGGAGTGCAGTAGCGTGTGATCCAGGAGCCACTGCATGGGATACTTCTTCTTGGCGCCCTCCTTGCCGACGCTGGCCTCCGAGTACGAGCCGGGGCTGTCCACCACGAGGAGCAGCGTGCCGGGTACCACGACGGCGGTGAGATTGCGCAGGAACTTGGTCGTCTTGCCGATGCCGGAGGTTGTGTACAACTCGTTGAGGGTGAAGAGAAGCGTGATCAGGAGAGGCTGGGCAGTGGTCTTGACTGGAGTCGAGGTGGGAAGAGGAGCAACAGATTGGGGAGTCTGCTCCGCGACCTCGGCAGCCGGAGAATGCGGCCCCTGGATGTCGGGACCAACGTTGTGGGCGAGCAGTTGCTGCAGGTCCGCCGCCGAACTGGCCACGTCGAGGACATCCTTGTGGACAAAGGAGGAAGAGAAGCGCTCCGCAGGTGTTATCAGGGCTGCATTGGCAGCCTTTGCCGCCGCATTGGCATATTTGGACAGAACTGGCGGTGTCGTCACCTGCTTGTGAAGTGTCTGGACGACTTCACCCCACGGGCCTACATCTAGTAATGTGGCGTGCCCGGACTGGTCTGCCGGGAGGCGGGATACGTGCGAGGCAAACGCGACGAGCTCGGCTGCTCCACCACCTATAGCGAGAAGTCGCAGCGGCAGGCTTCCGGGTGCCGTTGAGTTTTCGTCTCCTTCGTCGACCTGGCCGTCGTTCGTGATATCTAGATTTTGAGCTTGGGCAGCAAGTCCTGCGTCGGCGGTGTCATCGTCGTACGCTGTGTTGTTCTTTTGGTCCTCCTCGGCTGCAGCGTCATCTTCCGCCTCATCAGAAGACTCGTGTGGTTCGCCCAATGTGCCCTGCAACATCCCTTCGAGTTCATCCCGGATCTCGTCAAATATGCGAGCATAGCACAAGGCCCTCGTAGGACTCCACCGAGCAGCATAGACTTCGAGATTACGCGGCTCGGCGAACGCGCGCTCAAACTCCCGCTCGTAAAGCGCCTGTTTGATCTCCTGGAGGACTGTGGTGAAGCCGTCATCTTCGAGGTTGGCCCTGAAAGAGTCCCGGAAGATGTCCAGGAGCCGCTGCTGGTGCCGCTGCTCATCCTGGACGGCGGCGCTGTCGACAGCATCGTCATCACCACCTTCAGTGTCGGTCCCGGAGCCGCCATCGTCGTTGCCAACGGCCGCTTTCTCCTGGCGCTGCCGACGTGACCGGTTGCGAATCTGCTTCGAGGCGGTTATCTTGATCCGCCTCTGCGTCGACGACGCTTGTTTTGGCGGCATGCTCTCTGTCCAGGTTTTCCCAGAAGTGCCGAGCAATTTGAGCGCTTTGCCGGGGTGGTCTTTCACAGATAATTGTATGCTCTTGGTAGTTGATGATACAGCCCAGCAAAATCGTCGTCGGAAGTGCCCCTCCACAAATCCTGTCATTGTTTTCTGCGGGTGCATGCAAAACCGTCGTAGTGGATCAGCTCCGAACGGGCAAACCTTCAAGCATAAAACGAGAAACTTGCCAAAAACCTTTTCCCTTTTTAATTGGGAACATCGATGCCTTAAATCTTTGGAGATTATCACATGGATGTCAATGATTGATTGAAGTCGTTGCATTGTATGATTGCCAGTTCCCGATCGCGTTGATTCCATCCTCGTTTGGTACTCTGATGACACCAAGGTAGTCTCATAACTCTAGGCAGGGTCAGTACAACTGGAAATCGAGGCTCCAACTCGGTATGTTGCTTTGACAATTTATAGACTGCTCAACCAGGAAATATAGAACGGTCAACTCCATGGCGGAATATCAAGATTTACGAATCCTGTTTCGAACAAAGTGACCAAACGCATCGCAGCATGTCGATTAGGACCCGGCCCCATCGAGCAGAAGCCTCAATGCGATGCGATGAAGATATTTGGTACTCGGATCTAGCGGGTCAGACGAGATGCTAGTCTAAGTATGGCCAAGCCATGCCACAAGCCATGCCATGGCCTCAAAGAGAAAAAGACTTATATACATTTTCGCCTCGCGGCATTCAGGGACTTCGATCTGGTTCAAGCAGGGATTGTGCTTGGCAGTGCCAGCTTGTTGAGGACACCCAGCATGCACTAAAACGGAGCGAAGGACAAGCGCGCCAGCACTGCGGTGCAATGCAGGCGAAGTCGGAGGTGCGCCACTGCTGCTTCCCACGATAGTTTTGGCGACCCAATCAGAGGCGCCCCAGAGACCAACGTTGTTGCGGCGGAAGCCCTTGATTGACTAGGGCCTCTCTGTCGGGCGATCCCTGCAGGCCGACCAGATAGTCCCGCCAGCGAGCCAGCCGGGGGTCACGGTCCGTGACTGGTGGAAGGACCTTATAAGCGTCTCGGCAATCGCACCAGGGAACCAAAAGGGAGCTGAGGTGGGTGGGCGCTCGTCCTGCCTGGCGCTGACTGAGACCTCCTCTCGGTCTCCATACTCATCGTGTTGGTGTGGGTAGACGCTATCGCTGGCGTCCAAGGAACTCTGCGCGCTCTGTTCGAATCTGCTCTGCCCCCGGCTGCGTGCTTATGGAGACAGGCGGCGTTCGCTGAGTGATCAATGATGTCGGCGGGGCACGCTGCCGGCTAAATTGCCATGTGCCAGCCATCGTGAACTTGTTACGACCTGGGTGTGCCGCACCCCCACGCACTCTGCCTGGCCTGCCAGGCCTGGTATATGGTGAACTGCACGAAACCAACGCTGACCAGAGCAGAGCAGAAGATGACAAAGCGCCCGAGTGACAATGGGCCGAATGGTCTCGCGGTCGTGGATACGGGCCGGCTGCTCTGACATCAGAATGCGGCAGAATCTGAGCAGGGAACAGCGCAGACTGACGTTATGCAGTGGCGAGCTCAGCGCTTTTGATGGGGCCGTGAGCTTTGTTTGGACCGGCTTGGTGGGGTTGAGGTGGATGCTTCGGCCACGCACGAGCGCCGGGCCCGCGACTGCCGTCGTTTCGAGTCACCTGGGCAGTCTGGAGCTTCAGGCCACCTCGAATTTCTCCAGGATAGCCCTCGGAAGCCTTTGTGCAGCCAAGCTCGAGGACATGGGAGGAGGCATCGTGTGGATTCACAAGTTCAGAAGATTGAAAAGATCGTGATGTTGGCAGCCAATCTCCAGTGGTCGGAAGCACCGGCAGGGAGATATCTGCTCCGCTTCGTCCAGCACGAGGCTCCATGGACAGACAGCCGGGAGTTCTTGATATACTGACGAAACTCTGACTCGGGAGGACTTTTTCACGGGGAGTATACAGCGGGAACAGACATGCTGCCTGTAGACCTTAGGGTAGATCGCCCAGCGAGCTGGCGACGGCCTGTTGAGATGTGGTATATAGAAACTTCCGGTGCACTGGTGATGCACTTGTCCCCGTAGCCAAGAAGGTGGACTAGAGTGAATGTTATCGCAACCACGAGGCCGCGACCATGAAACATGACGAGGCACCTCAGCACCAACGTATGCAGGGTCTCCGCAGCCAAGACTGAACTGAATGGACTACGAGGCAAAGTTCTGGCGTTAGGAGCCCGCCGCGGAAGCAGTGGGAAGGAAGAAGCGGGACTCGACCTCCTCTGGACCCGGTGCCGGATGTACCTGGCGGGAAATTTCCACCGCCTTAACTCACCACTTCCTCCCGTTGCTGAGCTACCCTCCTTCCTCCTCCGAACTCTCTCCCTCCCTCCTCAACCACTCCTCGCTTCTACCACTCATTCTCCCAGCAGTCTACTCCAGATCAACCGCAATCATGGGCTACACTGACTTGGACACCCGCGCGATCAACTCGATCCGCATCCTTGCTGTACGTCTTCTCCCCAACTTGCAGCCCCTCCTGCTACTTGCTTGTTGAGTCGCACAGCTCCCCCCTCCCCCGCCCCGTCAATCTACCCCGCCGCCATCGCGCTTTCACGTCGCGAGCTGGCCACGATGGGAGTTTCTGGGAGCAATTGCTCTTCAAGACTTGGCGTCCACAAACCAAAGCCGTAGATTTCACATTATTGATGCTAATCCAATGAGTTCTAGGCCGATGGCACCTTCAACTCCAACTCTGGCCACCCTGGTGCGCCCATGTACGTCTAGCCTGCTACTCGAGCTTCATTGTTCCACCTCGGTACTAATGTCATTCTTAGGGGTATGGCTCCTGTCGCTCACGTCCTCTTCAACAAGTTCATGAAGTTCAACCCCAAGAACCCTTCATGGCTCAACCGTGACCGTTTCGTCCTTTCGTAAGTTCCCCCAGCTCAGATCTGGCGCGTCGTTAGCTTAGAGAGCATAGACACTGATTTGGGTGACGCACCGTAGGAACGGCCACGGCTGCATGCTCCAGTATGCTCTCCTCCACATGTTCGGTTACGACCTGTCGATCGATGATCTCAAGAAGTTCCGCGTAAGTCCCAACAGTTCCTCAGCCAGGCATTCTTCCTTGCTAAACCACCGCCACAGACTGTCGACAGCATCACTCCTGGACACCCCGAGGCCCACGACACCCCTGGCATTGAGGTTACCACTGGTCCTCTCGGCCAGGGTATCTGCAATGCTGTCGGTCTTGCCATTGCTCAGGCCCACACTGCCGCTACCTTCAACAAGGATGGCTTCAACCTCATCGACAACTACACATACTGCTTCCTCGGCGATGGCTGCTTGATGGAGGGTGTATCCAGTGAGGCCTGCTCTCTCGCGGGCCACCTCCAGCTTGGCAACCTCATTGCTGTCTGGGACGACAACAAGATCACTATTGACGGTGACACTGCTTGCGCCTTCACCGAGGATGTCGCTAAGCGGTATGAGGCCTACGGCTGGCAGGTTCTGCACGTCGGCGACGGCGACAATGACCTCGAGTCGATCGAGAAGGCTCTCAAGGCTGGTCAGGAGACCAAGGACAAGCCCACCCTGATTGCCCTCCGCACCACCATTGGCTACGGCTCTCTCCAGCAGGGCACCCACGGTGTCCACGGCTCTCCTCTCAAGGCCGACGACATCAAGCAGCTCAAGCAGAAGTGGGGCTTCAACCCCGAGGAGAGCTTCGTCGTTCCCCAGGAGGTCTATGACCTCTACAGCAAGCACGCCGCCGAGGGTGCCGCCGCTGAGGAGGAGTGGAACAAGCTCTTCGCCAAGTACGGCGAGAAGTACCCCAAGGAGCACGCCGACCTCCAGCGCAGACTCAAGGGCGACCTGCCTGAGGGCTGGGAGAAGAGCCTCCCCACTTACACTCCTGCCGACCCCGCCGTCGCTTCTCGCAAGCTGTCCGAAACTGTTCTCTCCAAGATCGAGGCCGCTATTCCTGAGCTGATTGGTGGATCTGCTGATCTGACGGGATCTAACCTCACTCGCTGGAAGGGTGCCACCGACTTCCAGCCCGAGTCCACTGGCCTTGGTACCTACGCTGGTCGCTACATCCGCTACGGTGTCCGTGAGCACGCCATGGGTGCCATCATGAACGGTCTTGCTGCGTACGGCACCCTGATTCCTTACTCGGGTACTTTCCTCAACTTCGTCTCCTACGCTGCCGGAGCCGTCCGTCTTTCGGCTTTGTCCCAGGTCCGCCTCATCTGGGTCGCCACCCACGACTCTATTGGTCTTGGCGAGGACGGCCCTACTCACCAGCCTATCGAGACTCTGGCGCACTTCCGTGCTCTTCCCAACTGCATGGTCTGGCGTCCGGCCGACGGCAACGAGACCAGTGCCGCCTACTATGTCGCCCTGACTTCCAAGCACACCCCCAGCATCATTGCTCTGTCTCGCCAGAACCTGCCCCAGCTGGAAGGTTCGACCATCGACAAGGTCATCAAGGGTGGTTACGTCCTCCATGAGGTCGAGGGTGCTCAGATCACCCTTGTCTCCACTGGTTCCGAGGTGTGCATCTGCGTGGACGCTGCCAAGGAGCTCGCCGAGAAGCACAACATCAAGGCTCGTATCGTTTCGATGCCCTGCTTCGAGGTCTTCGACACTCAGAGCAAGGAGTACAGACTCAGCGTCCTGCCCGACGGCATCCCCTCGCTGTCGGTTGAGGTCATGAGCACCATGGGCTGGGAGCGTTACACCCACGAGCAGTTCGGACTGAACCGCTTCGGTGCCTCTGGTGCCTACAAGGACGTCTACAAGGCAAGTTATCGCGAAATCCCCGCTATGCTAGATTGTCATGCAACTAACACCCACTGCAGAAGTTCGAGTTCACCCCCGAGGGCATCTCCAAGCGCGCCATCGCCACCGTCGACTTCTGGAAGGATGTCCCCAACGTTCGCTCCCCTATCAACCGCGCTTTCCAGCAGCTGATCTAAGGCCAACGAGAAAAGAAGTAAAATGAAAGTCACAGTAGAGGAACAGATTTTGAGCGATATATCCTTGGGTCAAGGAACCCTTCTCACGGTTACGGGGCTTGATAGACACGTAGCTTTCCGAAATTGATGTCATGACTTGCATTCATGTAGTGAGGACTGCGAAAAGCCGCTCATATGGGTCTTTATATTTTACAATGCCACCACTGGATATCCGGGGTAGTGGACCAACCGTACTTCCAGTCCATACCCGGTATCCTGGATGTCTTCAATGCCTCTACTTGATTCAGCTGACATTAATTACTCAGCAATTAGCCAGTACCATTCTCCCGGAAGTGATGTGCAAGTTTCGTGCCTGCATATGGTCGTTCAGGTCGCGTAGAGCTTCATACGCGGTTCATACGATTGAGTGCACTTGCTTCGTCTAGGTCGCTGGGCATACAGGCCACCAACGGGGGGCCTCCCAGCCATGGACAAGGCTTTCGACCTTTTGGTCCCGATGGGCCGATGCTCAAGACGCGCGGATTTCCACAGCCAGGACAGCGCCGCACGTGGCGTAGTGCCGCATGGTGTAGCGCAATGCTGTACAGTTCAGCAGGTCAAAGTGATTGTAACGCCGAGGTCAGCCTTCTGTCCACTGCGCCTGCACAATTCTGGCGACACGCTCGAGTCCGGCTGCGGCACGTCTGGCATTCGATGTTGATTCGGCTGAGCTCGCCACCACGATACCTAGCAGCATTGGCGGTGAGTTTGCGTCTTCCTCCTCGTCAAGATCGTCATCGTCATCGATAGAAATGAGACCAGGCATCGAGAGGGTGAGCTCGTGATGTATTGGCATGGTGCCCGCGTCTCCCTCTCCAGGCTGAATGTAATCCCCCAGACCCCCAGCTGTTGCAATCCGGTGTGTTTGCCGCGGCGAAATGCCACTGCCAGGAGAGTCGAATGGAACAACAGCGCCATTGGTCGATGTGCCTGCTACTGGGGTCGAAGTGCCGCGCGAGCTTGGGGTTGTGGTGTGGGTATTTGGCGAGCGGCCACCAGCTGGTCCGCCGTGCTGCGGTGTGATCAGGCCAGAGGCGGCAGTGGAATTGTGTGCTGACGGCGAGGCAGGGAGAGGCAGCTGCCTGACAGGCTCGGCGGCTACGAACGTCTGCAGGACCAGCGGGCCATTGTTGGCGTGCTCGACAATGATGCGTTTTGGCTTGCCGAAGCCGAGACGCTGGGCAGTCTGGTGGGCATGGAAAGCAGCGTGGGAGAGCGAGGCGAGGGCATCGTGTTGCTGCTGGTCGCGGGCTGATGTGACGAGGGGCGTCAGGGTGCGGTCGCTGAGGTGCAGTGCGAGGTCAGGGTGCCGGTTTATGAGGTTGGCCATGGTGTCGTCTTTGGCGTGGGGGCCTGCTTGAAGAGATGGCGACGGGTGGGTGGTGGACAAGCAGGAGTCAGATGCTGCGCCGTCCAGGAGTTGCTGAGCCGCAGACGAATGTCGCACCAGGAGCGATGCCGACAGACGAAGTGCAACTCGGCCGCAAAGGACATTTGGAGTTGTTGAGGACAGCACAGCGGGATGAGGGAGGCTGGTGGTGTTGGTTGCTCATAGATGGAGCTAGGTACAAGCAGGTACTTTACGCTAGATATGCATATCGCCCGCCGGCAACTTGCAGGCCCAGCACCGCCCCTGCCGCGCCGTGACGTCTTTTTCAGCAGCGTTACCCCACAGCTGGAGAGTGCTCCAAATGCTGCAAGGTAGTCCGCGCCTGCTGCCGTGTTCGCATGTGTCGTCAGGAACGTTTGTGGAACAACATGAGGTGTCCTGTACAGGACAACAGAAGCGTTGCCTCACCATATGACTCGGATCCGCCAAGCACGCATGTGAGTCAGCCTCAAGCTTGCTGACAGCCAGAGAGATGGACCTTTGGACGGTTGTGCCGAAGGAGCAACAGCGCAGACGAGCAGCCGGCCCCACACAAGCTCTTTGGGCGTGCTGCAGGAGCGGCCGGCCTACTTGGCCCGCGGACTCTCCTCCCCTCTCCCCCTTGCGGATTAAGGTGAAGACCCCTGCGGGTTGTCCCTTCCTTGCCCACCAACCTTGGGAACCCTACTAGCTCCTCTATGTGTACCTTCGGTGCGCCTACCCTTTTCCTTGCGCGCGCGCGGGCAGCACCTACTTGTAGGTACCGCTTGAATTGCCCAGGGTGACCTGGGCATGTCCCAGGCGGCGTACAGGACCTGCCATCTTGCACCGCTACTTCTGCAGCGCCGTGCCTCCCAGCAGTATCCGGCTTGTCGCACACCTCATAATTACTGCAAAACCATTGCGCACGACGTGCCACCCGAGAGGCTGTCGCGCTTTGACATACATCATTACGTACCTACTGCGTAGGTACCTCCAAGTCCATTTCACGCCTCAAAGCTCTGGCGGCGCGCCCCACTGGGTGCCCTGTGTCCCATGGCGACCAGTGCGCCTGAAGGCTCCAATGACGACGTTAGCGCCAGCCAGGGCGCCTTGGGCTCGGCTTGGCTGCCGCGTTTTTCGAGGCTTCCCACCCGCAAGGTAATATCCAGCTGCCCTTTTCCCTTTTGGCCTCGAGACTTCACCCGTGTTGTCTCCTAATGGCATCGCCGAGTTGCCTGTCATTACGTTTGCTGCCCCTCGAGCTGAGCTGACACCATGTCTCGGCCTCGACAGAAGCTTCGTAATGGCACCTGGATCATCCCCGGCACCGGCCAGCGCTCGCGCCGCCAGTTTACGCTCCGGCACCCCGACCTCGACGGCTCTAACGACGACGAAGACGCCCAACCCAGGCCCCTGAGCGAAGGCGAGTCCTTCTCCGACAAGTTTAGCAACGTCTCCCACAATGTCAGGCTCGCCGCACGGAATACCTGGCTGTGGGCCCAGTCGCCCAAGGGACGAGGCACCATCAAGTGCTCGATCGCGTACCTCATAGCCAGCATGGGCACTTTCTGGCATCCCGCTGCCTCCTGGCTCGGCCATCTCGACGGCAAACACATCGTAGCCACTATTTCTGTCTACTTCCACCCCGCTAGGACGGCCGGTTCCCAGATGGAGGCTGTAGCCATTGCTGTCGTGGCTGTTTGCTACTCTATGCTGATTGGCATCTTGTCCATGGCTACCTCGGTCTTGGTCGGCTCGGTCTGGGACCAGACCGCACTTTCCTACGTCATAATTCTTCTCGTCTTTATTGGCGGCGGTCTTGGTTTTGTCGGATGGGTCAAACAGAAGCTCAACAGCCCTTTGGTTAGTGTGGGTGCTAGCATCGCTTCTATCGGCATCATCACAATCGTTACCAAGGAGAACTCGGTCCATTCCGGCGTCTTCGCGAACCAGAAAATCATACAATCGCTCAGAATTCTCTTCATGGCCACCACCATCTCGACTTTGGTCAACTTGCTGCTCTTCCCGGTATCAGCCAGATACGGGCTGCGTGCCACCATGCGCAAAGCTTCCACCTCTCTCCACGACATGCTCACAATGATATCCCATGGCTTCATATATGGCTCAGAGGAGGAGTTCAACACAAAGGCATTCAGCGACGCTCTTGCCGCGTACAACAGCAATCTTACACTCATGAACAAGAACGCGAGAGAGGCCAAATATGAGTACTATCTGCTCGGCCAAGAACAGATCTACAAGCACGACAGAGCTGTAGTCAAGGCGATGGAATCACTCGCGCAATCGATTGGCGGACTGAGAAGTGCAGCTGACACACAATTTGAGCTGCTCAAAGAGGTCGCACAAGGCTCGACGGTTAACAGCTTAGCTGTCGGCGGAGCCATGACTCCGAGAGGAACGAGCTTCTCTCTGTCATCTTCGCCTCAATCTGTGGCTTACTTTGGCAGCCCGAAGTTTGGAAATCTCTCGGCTATTAGCGAAGCCACAGAGGAGCGGAGTGATCGCGGAAGCGGGCTGTCGACTCCCGGCCAGACGTTCTCACCAGCCAACATCTCCACTCCGGGTGTACAGACGTTCCGTACGCCGGCAGATATCTTCGAGTTGTTCATTGCGAGATTGGGCCCGTCCATGAAGTCCTTGTCATACACAATGGCAGAGATCCTCAAAGAACCCCCATTCGGCGAGCCTGGCCACCCTATAGCTGCACAAGACCAATTCAAAGACAGTCTCGCGGACGCTATAAGTCTTTTCAACGAGGCCAGGGCCAACGCTTTGGAGGAGCTGTACAGAACTGTCGAGTTCGGTAGACAGCGACCTGAGAATGTGCAGGCTGACTTCGAGGAGGTCGCCGCCGCGTGTGGGCACTTTTCGTTCACTCTCGTGAGCTTCGGTGACGAAATGCTGAGATATCTGGACGCTGTCGACGATCTCAAGTTTGTTTCAAGCCAACCGAGGAGAACGTGGAAGTGGCTGATGTTTTGGAAGAACATCGACTTCGCATACAAAGCAAAAACCACGCCCAACGACCCCGAAGCGGCCAATCTCGTCGAGACGGTGAAAAAGCTGCGACAGTCCAAGCTTCCTTCTGGAATACCAGCCTCGATGACTAAACGCAGAGATAATTTTGCATGGCAAGCCGAGTCGAAGGAGGAGAGCTTTTACGACAAAGTGGTCAGGGTGTGCTCCCAGCGGACGCTCAAAATCTTTCGGTTCTTGAGCCGGGATGACAGTAAGGGAAAGCCCACACGGAACGCCTGCTTCACAATGCTAACGGAGTCTGATAGTTCGCTTCGGTGTCAAAGTTGGCCTTGGTGCTACGATCTATGCCATGTTTGCCTTCATCCCGGACACTCGTCCTATCTATGCGCACTGGCGCGGCGAATGGGGCTTACTTTCATTCATGATTGTCTGCTCCATGACTGTGGGTGCATCGAACGCCACCGGATTTGCCCGTTTCATCGGTACACTCATCGGGGCCATCTTCGTCATCATAAACTGGTGGATCTCCGACGGCGAGGCTGTCCTGCTGGCCTTCCTGGGCTGGCTGGTATCCCTTGGAGCCTTCTATATCATGGTCGACCGTGGCAACGGGCCTTTCGGCCGTTTTATACTCCTGAGTTATAACGTCTCATCCTTATATGCATACTCGCTCTCACAAAAAGTGGACGATGACGATGACGACGAAGGTGGCGTCAATCCAATTATTACGGAAATTGCGTACCACAGAGTCGTTGCCGTCTCAATAGGAATTCTTTGGGGCCTCATTGTCTGTCGCGTGTTTTGGCCAATGCCCGCGCGACGAAAGTTCAAAGAAGGACTGGCGGTGCTATACCTCCAGATGGGCCTGATCTGGAAACGTGGACCGCTCTCGGTCCTTTTACACGAGGAGAACCACCCAAAGAGCTACATGAAGACTGGCGAGCAAGCCGCGATGCAGCGCTATGCTACACAGCTCCAAACACTGCGTGTTGCTGCTAAGTCGGAGTATGGACTACGAGGGCCGTTTCCCTTTGAGACCTACGGCCGAATCATGTCTTCGACACAACGGCTACTTGATGCATTCCACGCCATGAGCCTTGTGTCAGAGAAGCACGGCAAATTGAGGCCAGGTGAAAGGGCACTCCTGTATGGAACATCTGCAGAGCGCATCGAGCTTTGCGCACGTATTTGCCACGTCTTTCAAGTGCTTGCGAGCAGTATCATGCTTGAGTACCCACTGACAGATGCGATCCCTAGCGTGGTGAGTATGAGGGATAAGCTACTTGGCAAGATCTTCCGCTTTCGCAAGGAGCACAATGCGACACTGCTCAATGCAAACCTGGGAGGTGTCGTCAATGCAGACGATGTCGCAGCCGAGGGCGCGTCAGCTCCGAGTGACGATGCCATGGCCGATGTTCAAGCTGAGGCAGTCCCGGAGAGGGTCAAGGAGTCAACCATGCTTGGAGCTGTGGGCAGCGTCCCCGATGTTGGTGACGTGAATTTGGAAGAGTCGGACTATGCGCTCCTATATGCATATGCATTGGTTACGAGCCATGTCGCAAAGGAGCTGCGGGTTGTGGAGAAGGAGATTGAGAATCTCTTCGGCCGTCTCGATGATCAGACCGTCCTCTTGCAATAGGCGCCGTGCGCAAACGGCCTGGGGTGACTCAGTATAGATGTTCAGCACAAGACGAATACAACTCTCGACATTCTTTAGATTCATGAAAGGGCTTTGGTCGACGCGGGTTTGTGTACCTGGGTGAGCCATGGCCGACTGTCCGGCTAACCTGTCATGCTATGTTCTGAGCATGATCTTGCCGGCGAAAAAGCCTCGCACCCCATTGCTGAGCCAACAGTCCTCGCCATCGACAAGCGAATCAGCAGGGATGACTTCTTCAACCGCCAGGCCTCTGCATGACCCTTGCACAGTTAGACCTTGTTTTGACCATTTCACCACGCTCGCGATTGACCGTGGAACAGCATGATGGGGGAGGGGCCAATCATCCCGAATAAGAATCGCGTAGGGGAAAACGTACCTCTCAAGTGCCCAGCGCCTTGAAACTGCGTCGTGACCACCGGTCCAGTGCTGTGGAGCGGCACCAGCATGAAGAGAGCCAAGGTCGGTGCTGTTGTGCCATTTCAGCTCCGTGATGGGCGGTGTGACCCAGCGCCCGTCGCGCCAGAAGTACGGCGTCGTGAAGCTGCCCTCCATGATGGAGCCGTCGGCGTCGTTGACAAGGAGGACCTCTGCTGCAGTCGCAGCGAGCAAGGATGTCTTCATGCGCTCCCTGGCGGCGTCATAGTGTGCGCGGCTGGTTGTCTTGAAGTGCGTGTATGCCGACGGCTGGGTTCTGCCGGGGTCTACGAGGACTCTCACTCCCGGCTGCAGAGGGGACGGGTCTCTAGGGGCTATGATATGAACGTTGTTATTGTTGTTGATGGGCATGCTCTCATCTCCGGGCAGCCGAGTCGCGAATAAGCCCTCCAGCGGTCGAGGAGGAGTGTCGGAAATGTCGTGTGTTATGGAGCCGTCTTGGTCCACGCAGATCCGCAGCTTGCGTGCTCTGCCTGTGGCATGGTCCTCCTGGAACTGGGCCGCAATATCCTCGGGCAAGCCTGAGATAAGGAAGGCCAGGCCGGGCTCGCCGGAGAGCTTCTGCACGGCGGCGGTCCAGCCAAAATGCGCAGCCGCGCGGAGGAGGCGATCACGATGGAGGTCCAGATGGAGGAAAGGAGAGCGGTGGTCCCGGTTCCAGAAAGTGAGAAGCGTTGTTTCTGGGAAGTGGCTGGTCTGTTGGTGGAGCTGGTTTGTGCTGGCGATGCCGGTGATATCTGGACGATCTGGGACTGTGAGGAGAGCTGGGTCGTGGCGGAGGGAGGTGAAGATCTTGAAATCTGGGGTAGACGACATTTTGAAGCTCAAGGGGGGAGAAGCAAAGAGAAATTAAACTTGATTCGCACGTGACGAAGAATAGTCGGACGCAAGATGCTGCTTTGGCGACCTCAGTTAAGGTTGCCTTCGCAAGGGTGGCCCAGGAGACTGAGTTTCGGTACTTGGTTATAGATCGGACGAGGTACGGGCACCTGCGAACACGATCAATTGACTTTGGCACCAGATCCTTGCCCTGTTGGGTCAGTAGTTGCGGCAATCAGGACGCAGTCATCACGCCTTGGCGATTGTCCGGTACCTGGACCTGAAGCTATCGCCAAGTCTGGAAAATCCGTCCAATGGCGAGCTGTGCGGGTAGGAGCGTGCGTGCTGTTGCTAGGGACAATGACGCACTAACAGCTGCAGCGCAGTGGATGCCGCAAAGTCTGATAGCACCCACCATGTGCCGCCATGCCCCCGGAGCCAACGTGTTGCCCATGACGAAAAAGTGGGCTGCCTATTGCGCTGGATGTCTACCTAGGTACACTAGTATGCGGCGATGCTCATCGTAGTTGATAGAAGAACCAGGGCCAGGCCAACCAATACACCTCGACAGGCTCAAGAAGGTCCATGCAGCCATTGATGATTGGAAAGAACCGCCACCCCGATCTGTATCCCAGATCAATGTCCAACTGCTAATTCTCGTTTCGATTTTTCGGATCTGTCTAACTACTCCCGTGGCTGCGAGGCGGCCAGGAGCGACTGGACCGGGGGAAGTGCTTTGCTGTGGTAACTGTGCTGGAGCTTCCCCACCCCCTGCTGCCGCCCCATTGGTGCGTTGCTGTGTGTATCATACATTTTTCAATCTTTGCTCCCCCCCGGGCCTGCCTTGGTTGTCCCAACCACGCCGTCCTAATATCTCGTCCTTATTGGCACTGCGCCACTCCTCGGCCTCACCCTCACAACTCCCACGCCGCTGCCGCCTCCGTGCTGCTTCTTCAGTCACCGTCGCCATTCTTGGTCGATTGATTGCCTGCCCGTCTGCGCCGCTCCCCACAGCCGCCGCACCGCCCTCTCCCATTGTCGCCGACGTCACAACTGTCCCGGCGCCCAACCTCGTAGCCTAGGCCCGGCCATCGTCACCCTCGCCCACCCGCCTCTGCCGACAACAACCTCCATTATGTTCAAGTCCTTCGGTGCCTCAGCGGCCCCTGTGCCGCCGTCGCCAAACTCCGTCGCCGTCCCTGTCGAGGGCTCCGTCTGGGACCGCATCACCAACTGGGCCTCGGAGAACAAGACCCTGGTCTACACGGTTGCCGGAGTCGCTGTCGTTGTCACTGGCGCCGGTGTCGTCTACTACCTCAAATCTGATTCCGTATGTAGCCCCGCCGTGCTTGGGCCTTGCTGTCTTTATGCTGTGTTGGCCAGCATGCCCTGTCCTGTCGTGGGCGGTGTCTCTCACCGCACGCCAGCCAGGCAGATTATCACGGTTCATGTTGAGCACAAGCTAACCTCACCGCGCCTACCCTCTACAGTCAGCACCCCCGTCTGAACCCAAGCTCAGCAAGAAGGAGCGCCGGAAACGGAAAGAAGCCGAGCGCCAGGCCGAGACGGACAAGACCACGGCTCCCACAACTCCAGAGAAGAAGGCCCCCGCCGCGGCGTCAGTAGAGAGCGCCGATGAGCTGCCCGAGATAACCGCAAAGACCGTCAAGACCTTCACTCCGGAGCAGCTCCAGCAGTATGCTCTCCAGCTCAAGACAGCTGGCAACAAGGCCTACGGCAGCAAAGACTACAACAAGGCTATTGACCTTTACTCCAAGGCCATCCTGTGCAAGCCCGACCCCATCTTCTTCTCCAACCGCGCCGCTTGCTACAACGCGCTCGGCGACTGGGAAAAGGTTGTCGAGGACACCACTGCCGCCCTCAACCTCGACTCTACCTATGTCAAGGCGCTGAACCGCCGTGCCAACGCCTACGAGCATCTCGACCAGTTCAGCGAGGCCCTACTCGACTTCACCGCCAGCTGCATCATTGACGAGTTTAAGAACGAGTCCAGCGCCAATGCGGTGGAACGCCTGCTGAAGAAGGTTGCCGAGCAGAAGGCCGAGGACATCCTCAAGAACAAGAACCCCGAAAAGCTGCCTAGCCCAACCTTTGTCGCCAACTACATCCAGAGCTTCCGCGTCAAGCCTCGTCCTGCTGGGCTCGAAGACTCGGTCGAGCTCAGTGAGCGCACCGGCAAGGGCAAGCTGCAGCGCGGCCTGCAGGCGATGGAGAAGCAGACGCACGCTGCGTACGAGGAGGCTGCCATTGCATTCGAGGACGCGCTCAAGTACGGCGACCTCGGCGAGAACGAGGCGCTTGCCTACAACCTTCGTGGTACATTCCGCTGCCTCAAGGGCAACCAGGAGGCCGCGCTGCAAGACATGGACAAGAGTATCGAGCTTGATCCCGCGTTGACGCAGAGCTACGTCAAGCGTGCCAGCATGCACCTCGAGATGGGTAAGTGAATTCTTGATGTTGCTCATGTGTTGAGAGAGTACTAATTGTGAAGAAGGTGCTCGCGACAAGGCTGCCGAGGATCTCGAGAAGGCAATCCAGATGAACGACAAGGATCCCGACATCTACTACCACCGTGCCCAGCTCCACTTCATCCACGCCGAGTTCCAGGACGCTGCCAAGGACTACCAGAAGTCGATCGACCTCGACACCAAGTTCATCTTCTCCCACATCCAGCTCGGTGTCACTCAGTACAAGATGGGTTCGATAGCCTCGTCTATGGCCACCTTCCGCCGATGCATCAAGAACTTTGACAAGGTCCCTGACGTCTACAACTACTACGGCGAGCTCCTGCTTGACCAGGGCAAGTTCGAGGAGGCCATCCAGAAGTTCGACACCGCGATGGAGATGGAGAAGCAGACCAAGCCCATGGCCATGAACGTCTTGCCTCTGATCAACAAGGCACTTGCCTTGTTCCAGCAGCGCAACGAGTTTAGCGAGGCCGAGAAGCTGTGCGAGGCTGCTCTGATCAGTAAGCTGGCACCAGTTCTTTTGATGATATTCTACGAACGTCTTATACTAACGCCGTTTGCAGTCGATCCCGAATGTGATATTGCCGTCGCCACCATGGCCCAGCTCCTTCTACAGCAGGGCAAGGTTGTTGATGCGCTCACGTACTTTGAGCGTGCCGCCGAGCTCGCCAGAACCCCTGGCGAGATCGTAAACGCTCTCTCTTACGCCGAGGCGACCCGCACGCAGCTGCAGGTGCAGGAGAAGTACCCTCAGCTTGCCGCCAAGCTCCAGGGGATGGGCGCCGCGTCTGGCGGATTCCCCCGGTAAAGCAGACATGATCGCAATGTTGACCTGAATGGTGTGAGGAGCAGCTGCGGGGGCTGACCTGCGGCTGGTCCTCGGATGATGTAAGCTGGTGTATGTGATGAGGAGGAGGATGTATAAGAGCCCTGCAATCTGGATTGGGGCTTTGCTACGTCGGTTGGATTCGCTTTCTGGCATCGGTTGTTTTGATCTGGTTCCGGGATGGCTTATGAGGAGGGAAAGTTTTTGTTATCACCCCCGGGCGCACGCATTTGCAAGAAAAGAAAAACTCTGATGATGACCACCCCCCCTATTTTACACACACACGCACAACACAAAACAACCTTTGTAGCACTTGGTTGCTGTTGGAACTATGGCAAGGCATGATGGCCTGGCCTAGCCTCAGCTGGCTGGCCCTGCTCTGTACCTAGTATTGTAAATACATAAATGACCTTCCCCCCTCCTTGTGGGCGGCGCGTGAACTGAGCACATCTTGGACTGTTATCTTTGGATTTCATTTGCATTGTTGAATCATGAATATGTGTGCATTGCGTCTTTAGGCTGCTGACCACCACCATGTCGGCGCGACATAGAGAGAGGTGCTATGACCCGCCCCGCGGGCTTGCAGATATTTCTGTCCCGTCATGAAAACCTACATACATACCTGCTTGGGTACATACGAGACAGGTATCCCTACCGCGTGGGAACACAGCTCGGCTCGTCCTCGGGGAGCACGCCGCGAGGGAAGAAGGCGGGATAGACGCCCTGCGCGGCCCGCTCGCGTATGAGCTGCGCGTAGCTAGTTGTTGTTGTTGCGGCTGCCGTTGTCGTTCTTTTCCTCTTGGTGCCGGCGGAGCTGGCGTTATTGTTATTGTTGTCGTCGTCGATTTCTTCGCCCGGTCCCCGCTGGTCTGCAGCCTTGGCTGCAGTAGTGGGAGTAGTTGTCGTTGTAGTGGCAGCTAGGCAGAGGATTTTGGTGGCGCCGTCCGAGTAGGGGACTTGTTCGCATGGGGTTGCCAGGCCTTTGATGTTCTCGGCACCGAAGTGGGAAAGGGGAGAAGAAGGCGACGAAGAAGGAACCGAGGATGCTACTAGATCCTGTAGGCTCGGGTCGATGACCAGGGGTATCCCACCGCGCAGGATGAGCTGCATGTCTGCAGGCTCGGCATAGATTGCTGCAGCGAAGTAGCTATCCTTGTCTTGATGGCCACTACACACACTATCACTACAACCACATTGATCCGAGGCCACGTGGGTCTGGGCGCCGTCGTCGCCAGTTTTCAGGGCGCATGTTTGCAAAGGGGAAGAAGAGGGGTAAGGTCTTGACACGACGATGATATCTGCCGCGGCGCCGACTTGGATGGCACCAAGCTTGCCGCTCACGCCGGCGACCTGCGCGGCATTGGTCGTCATCATCTCCCAGATCGTACGGGCTGACAATGGACCCTGCCCACGGCCCCCTGATCCGGGCGTCATGGCTGCAGCAGCAGCAGCAGCAGCTGTGACATCGCGAGCGCAAGCCGCTTCCCTCGACATGCTCGCCGACCCCGAGGGCAGCCAGTCCGTGCCCAGCGCGACGTTGACCCCGGCGTCGAGAAGCGCGTGTATGTCGAGTGTCTTGCCGTACAGGAACACGTTGCTGCGCGGGGACCAGACCACGGACGCGCCTCTTGCTGCGAGGAGGGGGTACTCGGAGACTGGCACGCCCAGGGCGTGGACGAGCCCGATGTTTGGGCCCAGGATGTCGGTGGATAGCCCTGGCACAGGAGCCACGGGCCGCGGGGGCTTCAGGTGGCCGGGGAGCTGGACGGTGCTCTCGTTGAGTTTGGCCATGTCGGCGGGGAGGGCTCTGCTCTGGTTCGTGGCGAGAGGAGGAGGAGGAGGAGGAGGAGGGTTGTCCGGAGACAATGGGGTGGTGTCATAGCCTTCTTCCGAAAGGCAGCGGAACTCGTTGAGGGCAGCGTCGTCGACACCCTCGGCCACGTGCGCGAGGTACCGGTGCATCCTGGCCACAGACGGACCGTCAATCATGCCCACTCCATAGTCACAGTCGCCCGCCCGGATAATGCCCTTGGCATCTCCGAGTGGAAAGACGTCCCAGGTGGCAACCTGCTCTGCCAAAGCCAGGTCCTCGGCGGCGGCGTTGACCCGGCTGGCATCCGGCTGGCCGCTCTCGCCGCTGCCGCGCAGCCATGACCAGAGCGGCTCCTCGAGGCCGTCGGCATAATCGAGGTTGCGGACGAGGCCGGGGACCATCTGGCCTCCGACGATGCTGGTGGTGCCGGAGAGCAGGTGCCGCAGCTCGCCCCAGCGCGTGGCGTCCTCTGCGGTGCCAGCCGTCTCGTTGACGGGGGCCGGGCGGGCGGTGTGGCCGCGCAGGCCGACGCGCCAGTCGTGGCGGTGGTCAACGCGCTCGCCAATGTCTGCGAGGGGCCGGACGGTACTGAACTCGATGTGCTCGTGGGTGTTGATGAAGCCCGGGCTGATGACGGCGTCGGGCCCGCAGCGGATTACGGCCAGGGCGTCGTCCTGCTCGAGGTCCCAGAGGTCCATATGCTCGTGCGGCGGCCGAATGGAGGTAATGGTCCCGTTAACGACGAGGATCTGGGCATCTTGCAGCACGCCTTGTGGGGTCAGCGCTGTGCCCTGCAGCAGTAGCATCAGCTGGCCGTGCTGGGCCGTGGCCGGGCGGACGACGGAGCAGCCGGAGCCGGCCGGAGGGGCAGTCCCGGATGCGGAGCTGGTTAGGCCGGCAGCGGCCAGGACGGGCACGCTGAAGTTGAACATGGCGGAGGCTCAGGGCGCGATCGGTATGGTGTGGTGTACTCGAGGACGGACGGTGGCGTCCATGGCCGGACGGCTCGGTGACAGGGAGCGGCGCGGAGCGAGGTGGACTCAGTCGCCCGGAGCCGATCGCGGGCGGACCCGGCGGTTGCCCTTGGGCTCGGTGCGTCTATGCGCGCTCCATAGAAAATGTAAAGATTGCGTGCGAGACATGGGGATGTTAGGTAAGCGGTCGCGGATACCAGACGTTGCGCAACACGTCAATCCGACCCAAGCACGTGCCATCAAGGCTGCCAGAAACAATCCGAGGGCAAGGCGGCGTTGCATCTCTCGTCTCCGGGGAACCGAGCAGGGCAATGACCTCATACCCACGCCAAGTGAGCTCCAAGGAAGGACCCCGTGCCACTGCCCCAAGTTAGCTCTGGCGTTGACGCAGATATGGGCCGTGGTGGCGTCCAGTGGAGGACAGGGGTTGGCTGGCTGGCTGGCTGGCTCAGGGAGGCTGGCTGAGGCCGCCGAGAGAATGAGAAGGGAACAAGTCAGATCAGCTGAAGGCAGTTGACTGTCTGGCGCCGATCATGGCTCTGGGCGGGTGGGCTTGAGGGGCACCAAGCTTTTCAGGGTGACAGTGGCAGCCGACGATCCTCTCCTCTGCAGAGTGCCTCCGCCAGCGCGGAACGCCAGTCATCCGGCGCCGGACAGGGGATGCGCAGCGGCCCCAGGCTCACCAGCATCCAGCCCTCTTGTTGCACGCAGCCAGGCCCTGCCCATCCTGGCCGCCCGCTTCCCTGTTTTCACTTCCTCGAAACCGCCACGGCCGCTGCGCCCTGCTTGCTCCTGCCCCTCCCACGATACCCTCACCCGTGCTCCCCTCTGCCTGCCTTGTCAACCAAGGACCTGCCCAGCAGAACCCCTCGGAGCACTCAGCCCAGCACCTCGCGAAGGGCAAGTAGCTACCACCATCACGACAAATACAACAACAAAGGACAAACACACCTGGAGCACACGACAACGCACTTGGCCAGCAATCATGGCCACGCCGGCCGAGTCCGCCCCTGGCCCTGCCGAGCACAACGACGCCCCAAAGACTGGCCCGCAAATGCCCGCTCAAGCAGAACCACAAGCCCCCACCACAGCTCCCGCCCCTGCGACGCAGCCAAATAGCAACAACAACAACCAGCTTGCGCCTCCGCCGCCGACGACAGAAGCAACTGCAACTGCAACTGCAACTGCAACCGCGACGGCAAACGCAAAGCCCACCACAGCACCAGCCCAGGACGACGTCAACCCTCCAGACTTCCAGGGCGAGGTCGCTACAAACAACGACCTGCCCTCCCAGGATGTCATTCGTCAGATCCAGGACTACACCGTCCTCGACCGCAATGGCAAGACACGCCCCTTCAAGAGTCTCTATTCGGGCCACAACGTGCCCCGTCGCGTGCTCATCATCTTCATTCGCCACTTCTTCTGCGGTGTAAGTCCACCCACCCTCTCCCCGACAAACGGGCCCCTCCCCCTGCCTTCTGGACTTGATGGGGATCAAAAGCACCTCGGAAAACTAACAAGCGTCCGTTTTTCCCGTTCAGAACTGCCAAGAGTACATTCGCTCCCTCTCGCCCTCCATAACTCCCGAGACCCTCCTCGCCCTCCCCGTCAGCACCTTTGTCGTCGTCGTCGGGTGCGGCACGCACGAGCTCATCGACACGTACATCAAGGAGACGGGCTGCCAGTTCGACGTCTACGCGGACCCGACCCGCCGGCTGTACGACAAGCTCGGCATGATCCGCACCCTCAACATGGGCTCCAGGCCGGCGTACCTCCAGAACAAGAACGTCGCCCAGACGGTCGTGTCCGGCGTCATGCAGGGGTTGAAGCACCTCAAGTCCGGCCTCGCGCTCAAGATGGGCGACCAGCGCCAGGTCGGCGGCGAGTTCCTCTTCGAGCCGGCGTCCCTCTCGCTCGACACGCCAGTCACCACCCCGCAGAGCGACATGGGGAGGAATCCCCTGGACGCCGAGGTGGGGGCACCTCGCGAAGAGGGCAAGGCAGAAGAATATCTAATGGGCAACGGCAACAAGGCTACAACCAGCACTGCCAACGGCGGCGGCGGCGGCCGGCCAGGCCTCCACGACGAGTCACAGCACGGCATCGAGGAGAAGCGTGTGACGTGGTGCCACCGGATGAAGACGACGCGCGACCACGCCGAGATCCCCGAGCTCATGGAGGTCCTGGGCCTCACGTCGGGCGGCGAGCCGATATTGCTCAAGGAGAAGGACGAGGCCCGCTTCGGCAAGGCTCTGCGCTCCCGCAAAGGCACGGGGCTCAGCCTGGCGAGCCAGATGAGCCGGATGAGCATGGATGCGCACAGGCCCGTGCCGGAGACGCAAGCAGCAACCACCCCGATCACCAACGGCAACGCGAATGGGAATGGCGTCAACGATGTCAAGGTCTGAGGCCAGCAGTCGAGAGCTGGCCCGGCTGGGAAGTAGTCGCGCATCTAGATATCGATGCTACAGGTGAAGAGCAGAATGTCGGCAAAAGAGGCGCAGGCGTGGAAGCCGTCTCACGGGTTTCTTCGTTTTCTTCTTATTGTTTTCACATGGCTTTGCGAGGAGTGCGAGATTTATGCTTTGAGCGAGTTCATCTTGTTTGTGGCTTGGCAATGCCGCGTGCGTCCTGTACTTACTTATGATCCTCAATTACCAACACTGGCTACTTCTTTTACGGCTTTTTTTTTTTTTTTTTCACTTCATCTCCACGCTCGTGATCACGGGAATCTCCATGCACCTGTGACCAGATGGGTCTGCTTCAAAAGGTTGTGGTCAAATGAGTGTGATTTAATGAACGACATTCGAGTCGAGACTGACTGCGAAACTAAGTACACACAATGGTCTAGAAGGGGAGAACGCAACTACAAGAGGTCGTGCGATCATGAAACAACAAAGCCGTACCGACATATTCGCGCCTGGACGGACTGTGTAGAGTTCGAGGCGTTGCTGACGTTGGTAGGAGGAGGTGTCGACGTAAGACAACCCATGATGGCAATTTGTGGCCGACCAAGTACTGTCATGGAGCACTCTCGGTCGCCTTTGATGGCTTTATGGTCTCAGGGATCACCCTTGGCAGTTGGTTGGCAAGAATGTAATGATGAGCCGCGGGTAAGTGCGGACGGGGTTTGGCTTCCAATGATTTCGTGGGCAGAAATTCTGATCCACTCCAAAGGTTGTCCCCAGAGTTCTTTGCATCAGAAGCGTGCACCAAACGTGGTTCCCGCAGGTGGAAGACCCAGTTCCAATCGAAGGGCACAGCTACTGGTGGATGGTGAGCAGATGCAGAACCGATCCGTAAAGGATTGCACTCGCTGCTTCGGGAGCAACGAGAAGTTAAAGCTGACGTCTAGGCCGGGAAGGTTGTACGCTTCCGGTCTCTCCTATACGGCCAGTGCGGCTCACAATGGTTCGAGCCCTGGGGACCCGGGGGTTGGGGGCACACCGAAGTGGTCGTGCACAAGACGAGATGTCCTGGAGGCAAGAGTGCAGCCTGGCTGCAGGTCCATGGCCCGTTTGTGCGGCGTTGTTGTCGCTCGAGGCATGGGTCGCGACAGCGCGAATTGAGTTTTGCTGGTACCGTCTCGAGGATCAATCAAAACCACCTCCAATTTGGCTGGCAAACGCGGTGCTAACGCTCTTCTCGTCATCGTCGTATCTGCGGCCGTATCCGCCGTTGGAGTAGCCGGTGCGGCCACTATTCTCGACATACTGCTTCAAACGATCGCTCTGGGTGTACGAGGTAGGTCGGGACCGGAGAGCGTCTTGCAGCCCAGCACCGAGGCTGGCGCCGCCCTGTCCCACACCCTTGGCACCGATGACACTGGACGTGCCATCAGTGTATTCGGAAGTTGCCACGCTCTCGCCAGCAATGCTCTCTGCCCCTCTCGCACGCCCTTTCCCGCTTGCACGACCGCCAGAGCTAGGATTGAACCCAGGCAGGCCCGGCCAATTCTCAGCGCCGAAGCTGGAGAACATGGGTGGGAAAACAGTGTTGCCAAGCCCTGCACCACCAAGAGCACTATGAAGGCTGGACACGTCATCAGGGATGTATGACATGATGGAGCCCGAATCGCCAAAGTCGGTAGAAGAATGACCGGCGTAGCCGCCAGATCGGAAACCGGAATTGCTTGCAGCGTAGGAATTCTGCTGGGCCCGTTGACGGAAGTGGTTCTTGGGCCGACTGAATTGAAGCAGGGATGTCTGCAGGTTGTTAAGCGGTCCTTCGACCAAGCACTTGCGCTCCTTGAAGTGGACCAGGAGGTGGTGCCACAGATCGTGCTTGGACAGCACCTTGGGGTTGCCAACAATGACCACGCCAAACTTGGCACGTGTCAGGGCAACATTGAGCCGACGAGGATCCGACAAGAAACCGATGCCCTGGTTGTCGTTGCTCCGAACGCAGGACAGAACAATGAAATCCTTTTCACGTCCTTGGAAAGCGTCCACGGATGCGACTTCGACTTCCTTGTACTGTTCCTTCTTAAAAGTGCCCGTGTTCTGCATCGTGTTGACAATGTAGCTGCGCTGTCCTTCGTATGGCGTGATAACACCGATGTCTCCAGGGCGGACACCTGCTTTGAAGAACCGAGTGACTATCTTTTCGACGTTGGACGCCTCGGTTCTGTTGAGATACGATGTTCCCGATGCTGAAATTTCCTCGTTGCCAAGGTTGGTCCAGAACATCATGGGCATCTCAGCAACCGGCCAAGGAAAATCGACGTCCTTACGGATCCTGTTCGGTGCAGATACACCGTTCTGAAGAGAGCCTTCGTAGAACATGTTGGAGGGAAACTCCGAGAGGCAAGGGTGCATACGGTATTGGATGTTCAATCGGATCGGGGTGAGGTTGAGCCGAACAAGACGCTCGAAAAGTGACTGGTTGAGACCTGCCTTGGCCGCTTTCTTGTTCATAATGACTGGTCCCAGCTGCTTATGATCACCCACGAGAACAACTTGCTTGCAACCCAAAACCAGGGGGATCATGCATTCTGGCTCGGCAGACTGCGTCGACTCGTCAATCAATACGTTGCGGAACTTCATCTTGGCGAGCCTGGGGTCTCCTGCACCGACACATGTGCAACAGACGACGTCGGCATTGCTCAAAATTTCGCGCTCGGCAGCTCGGGTAAGCTGTTTGTACTTCTTCTCGTCCTGGCTAGACAGTTCGCCAACTTGAGTCTTGAGCTCCTGGAGCTTCACCAGTTCAGGATTGCTGTCAAGCATGCGAACCTGCTCGTGCAAGGCGAGGAAGCTGACAGAGCTCTCAACGTCCTCTCGAGACTTGGCGGTGAGTCGAACCACCTTGAGACCGGTAAGGTTGATGCGCTCGCATAGCTGATCAACAGCAACGTTTGAAGGCGCACAAACGAGGACTTGGCTGTTGTTCATCTTGGCAAGGTGGTAGATAATGGTGGCCGAAGTGACAGTCTTGCCGGTTCCAGGAGGGCCCTGGATGAGACTGAGCGGCGTGGAGAGCACATTCTTGATGGCGTTGATCTGACTGCTGTTCAATTCAGGAAGACCAGGAACACTGAACTTCTTAGGAAGGTTCGTCTTCATAGGCGCAACAGCCACCTCGTGACCAAGCAGCTTGTGGAAGATGTAGCCAGAAACACTCATCTCGTCGACCGCGAACGTCTTCATGGCCGCCTGCATGCGATCATACGAGGTCGCTTTCCAGACATAGTCGGCTGAAAAGTTGTGGGTGCACTCGGTCGGGACGGACTTGTCGTTGCCAGTCTTGCGCAGCTCGAGAGTGACCTCCTCAGAAGTATTGTTGGGAATCTTAACCACGTAGCCAACGCCTTCCCATGCCGGGCGTAGCTCTCCCTTGTATTTCAGGCGCATCTCGTCTCCTACTGCGAGCTTGACATCTCCGGACTCTAGCTTGGGAAAAGCAAAGGAGGCGAGGTGTTTGTTGTTGAGACCAAAATCCCATCTCACAACTAGGCCGTCCTCGGACTGGGCCTCCTTGAGCTTCTTGTCGTAATCGGACTCCATCTTGACCAGCGGGCCAAAGATATTTTGATACTGGAAGGGGTCGTCGTACTTGAGAATCACAGGGTGCGGTTCGTCGTCGATGCTGGCAGTCTTCTCGAGATCGGCAGCGGTCGCGTTTGCGTTCTCTTTCCACATCTCTTCCAGTCGGGCAATCATGGGTGGCGTCAAGTGGCGGGCGCGGAGCTGCTCATTGTCCGAGGGCGGGGAAACAAGCCATGGCAGAAAAGTGCGATCCTCAATGAGTGGTTGCCATCTCGAAATGTCCCAGCTCATGTCCTTCGACGAGGGCGCAGCGGCACAGGGTTGACGACAGAGAAGTACAACGACGGTGTCGGACTTGGCGGGAATGAAGCCGAGCAGAAAAACGTTCTTGGTGCCACAGCTGTAGCACTCGAGGGTGGTGTCGCCAAGAGCTGACTGGGGGTGAAGCTGAACCTCCTTGTGCCTGGCTCTGACAAGATGGTTCACAATGTGCGAAGAGCTCGCACTGCCCTTCGCGCTACAGAACCACTTACTACAGCCAAGACACTTTACCACTGAGCCGGGCGAGTGGATGCCACAGTAACTATGTGTTGTCAGTACGTCGTACTTCTCAGGTGATGTTATAGTCGCAGGACCTACGCGCAGGCGTGCGGCGGAAGCTTCTTTTCTTCCTCCACGTTCTTCAAGCTCAGGCCGCCCATGGCGCCAACTGGCATGCTTGCCAGACTCTCCGTATCGTCCTCATCGTAGGCTTCCGTCTCGTTGTCGTCGTCATCATTGCGGCGGCGGCCATTCCCGAGACCTGCTCGGCCGCCAAGCTTGCCTCTGAACAACAGGCTCTCATCGGTATCGAGCGTCGAAAGATCGTCATCTCCGGCATTTATGGCAGCTGCCGAGTCGGATACGAGATGGTTGCCGAGATGTGTGAAAGCGTCCATCTTGACGTGAAAGTGAAGGTAGGGGCTGGCTTAAACCCGTTCTTGTCGAAGCGCAAAGAGCGCAGAAGGAGGGCGGAGGAGCTAGGTGTCTTGAAGCGTCAGTATTGGAAGCAGGATGTGAGTATGAAAGCCGGCGTTGGTGGCAAAGGATCCTGACTCCTGCTGCCACTTAAGGTCACTAGGTGGTACCGAAAAACATACCTCAGACGCGCAGGCGCTGCACTAAGATTCTCAGTGGGTGTATCTTCCCTCCGTGGAGTGAGAAATGGAGGTGGTTTATTGTTGTTTGCCGACTGCTTGGTCTTCGTCACATCCTCGAAAGTTTTGGCAGCCGATCTTCAAGAGGCCTTGGATCCGCTTCCGAACACGCGCGCAACCGACAGTGGCGAGGCCGCGCAAACCTCCAACCGAGGTACGTCGCTATCGTCGGCTGGGTCGCCGATTCCTGGTGGCGGATTCTAAGGGCTGTGGTAGCGTTTGTTGACGTTTGCGTGGAGCTGCTCTGGTTGAACGTTGGATCGCCTATCTTGAGCACTGAGTCGACAAGAATTGTGGTGGGCTGGCGCGAGGCTGCATAGCCTGGCTTAGTCACTGGGAATGGTGGGCTGTTGCCCGCCAGGGCACTTTTTTGGCGGATGGAGGGGCCTCCTGCCACGCGATAACTTTCAGTTGATGGCAGGGGCCGCCAGTGGCGGACGCGCGCCAGCATAGTGCCGACGTCTTATCGATTGATGCACCACGACGCTCATGCAGGGCCCACTGTAAAGTCCAGTGGACTCAGAAACTTTACGATCTGGGGATTGGATGGAGGCGCATGGCATGTTTGGCGACGAACGCAACTTCATCCACCAGGAACACACGTCTTCGCCCGACCCCCTCAGCCAAGTGTTGCGCCTATTGAAGTTAGGGTCTTTTGAATCCTGGACAAGCATAACTTACGTCGCCTCACCGATCCAGCTGTCGTCGAACACATCCGCGTCAGCATTTTCGGATTGATCACGGCCGAAGTCGAAGCCCCAACCACGAAAGACGTCAAGAGGAGCCGCCTCGCAGGCGTGTTGCGCAGCCATGATTGTGTGTCGCCATTCTGTATTCCGCACCCGGATCCATTGAGAGCGAACGCTAATCAGTGTGCTTCCCAAAAGCGCAAGCAAGCTCGCCAGAGGCGCGACTATCTCTACCGGAAAGCCCTGCTCCTCCGCGAAGCCGAGATCAGCGAAAAGCGAGCCAAGCTGCGATCATCGCTTGCGACCGGACGGCCACTAGATCCTTCGATTGCGAATGACAAAGACTTGAGGAGGGACTACGCCTACGACGAGTCTCGCGCCGACCGCAGCGCCGCTGAAGAGCTTGACCTCGACGACGAGTATTCACAACTTTCGGGCATTGTGGACCCGCGTGTGCTCGTCACAACGTCGCGAGACCCTTCCACCCGGCTCGCGGCGTTCGCCAAAGAAATTCGTCTTCTCTTGCCGACCGGCATTCGGTTAAATCGAGGCAACCTCATCTTGCCGGATCTCACGCGGTCAGCCCAAGCCAGTGGTCTCAGCGATATTGTGCTCCTCCACGAGCACAGAGGCACGCCCACTGCGCTCACAGTCTCTCACTTTCCTCATGGCCCAACAGCGTCCTTTTCTTTGCACAACGTGGTGCTGCGGCACGATATCCCCAACTCGATTCGAGGGACAGTCAGCGAGTCATATCCGCATTTGATCTTCGACGGTAAGTGTTGTCGATCAAGTTTTCTTTCCAGCCAGTTATTGACGTGGCCTGCACATCTAGGATTTACTTCTCGTTTGGGTCAAAGGGTTGTCAAGATTCTGAAGCACATGTTTCCGCCCCGTGACCCCCTGACAACCAAGAACAAGTTGGGCAGCCGTGTGGTCACCTTCAAGAACATTGACGATGCGATAGAAGTACGGCACCACGTCTTTGTGCGGACCGGCTACGATAGCGTCGAGCTGTCCGAGGTTGGACCCCGCATGACAATGAAACTTTTTGAGATCCGGGGCGGCACGCTGGAGAACAAGGACGGAGATGTAGAGTGGCACTTGACGCAATACACCCGGACGGGCCGGAAGAAGGATTATCTGTAGAGGATCAGTATTACAGTTTCATTCACATAGCGAGATACCGTGTTGATTACTAACCTGAGCCTACTACCTCGTGCATTGTAGTGTTTACATTTTTCACGATTTGTTGAAGCATTGCCCCCAAGCCGCATGGTCCTCCACACAACTAACTGTTCAGCTCCATTAGAGTTGGCACTCGTGGCGCATCGTCGACTGCTGAACAACAAAGGCACCTGCGGTCCTCGATCTCCCTTGAGCTAGGCAGCACTTTTTGAGTTTCCCCGGATTTCTTCTATCGCTGGAAAGCTTGCCTGCACCACCGCTATTTGCTCCTGTTCCTCGTCGAGGGGCGACAGGGGCTTTCCTCCTTCACTTGTAGTGATTGTCATCCATGAAGCGACTGCCTGCATGTCAGTGGCTATGGAGGTGGAGCGCCGAGCTGTGGCCAAAAACATGACCGCTCGAGGACTAACCCACAGCCCCCTTCGCACCCCTGCCATGCAGAAGTGCCAAAAATAGGCCCGAGTTGGTGTCGGCTCTTGACGTTTGCGAGATCTGCAGGCTGGCGGGATGTACTGCCATCTCTGGAGCCATTACAACCAGGACCAAGACGGACATTCAGAAGCCATTCTCGTTCGTGCTGTGTCCCCTCCCCCGCTATGTCAACCCGGGATAAACGCCAGGCAAAGAACTGTCGCAACCCAAGAGGGTCTGGAGAGGCCTGGCAGGGTCTGGGCCCCATAACGACTCTAAGCTCAGTGCCGTCGCAGGAGCTGCAGCGTGATAGATTGGAAAAGGACTGGAGAATGCACAGCTGCGCGGTGGGGAATGGCTAACTCGATGCGGTATTCAGCTTGCGACTTGGGCTGGTCCCTGGTGCTGATGCGGCACTGGGAACTGCGCAATCGAGCTCAGCCTTGGAGATCCCCCCCCCCCCAACCAGTGCATATGGCTGGGAAAGGCGCGCAGGTGTGGTTGCGTACTAGATACTCTTGAAATGTATCATGTGGATATGACGACCGGCCCTCTTCGTTGAGCTTGCCACGCGGTGAAGAACACGACTTGCAATCAGCTCTGCTAGAAATGTCAAGCCCGATCCTCGCGATCCAACAAGGGGAAACAAGAAACAAGAAACGAAACGAAACAAACCAAGCCTGACACGCTCTGGCAACCTGGGAGAATCCGGTCCGAAAGCAGTTGGCCGCAATTCAGCAACCACCGATCCACCACTACGCTGGTTCCTGGGCGTCAACGGTCTGGGTGTGTACCTTGATCTGCACCAAGCCTCACTCGGCGGCAAACCTGATCCATAATCGAACCGAGGAGGGCAAGGCACCAGCTTTTGAAGGAGAGTGGGACACACCCCTGGCCTGTATGTCCGTCCTCTGTTTTCTGCTTCTGCAGGGTTGCCTCTGAAGACAGGGATCAAGCAGGCGCTGACGGGCCATCATTTCGTCAGCGGGCATCAGTCGACGGTACCTCGACACCCGCGCACGCCGTAGTCCACACCCGCACCCCAGTAATTCTTTGCTAGCCCGCTGTACCTTATTTACCTGAGATCCGCCTTTGCACCTGCTACCCACTCCGCTCGCCTTGTCTTGTTTGCTTGCCCTCCCTCTCTTTTGCAACGTGCCAGCCGACATTTGCAACACCCCAACCACAACAACAACAACAACATCACCCAGTTCTTGGACCATCCCGCATTGCCCCGCCAGTTCTTTACGCCCCGAATCAAGTTCCTGCTAGGCGACGTGTGTACGATTGCCCTCCATGTCGTACAACCAGTACCAGAGCAATCCGTACCAGCAGGCCCCAGCGGCCGAGCAGGGCGGATACGATTACAACCAGGGCGCCTACAGCAGCTACGATCAGGTCAGTATTAGAAGGTGTTCAACTCCCACATGGTGGCCGCGCGCCTCGGTCAATTGACCCGGCTTGCGCTCATTGCGCCGGCAGGTCGACGAGCAGTGGCGCAGCAGGTTGTTGGACAGTGGAAGCCGCGCGTTCGCTGACACCCAAGACCATTGTCACAGAACCAAGGCCATGAGATGCAGAACTATGGCGCTCCTCAGCAACCACAGCCGCAAGCACCGCACGTCCTCTCCCAGCAAGACTTTCTCGGCCGCATCGGCTTCCTCCGCAACGAGATTGGCTCGGTGACGCGCAACATCGAGGCCATTGCCTCGCTGCACCAGCGCTCCCTCGCCGAGTCTGACGGTGGCCTTTCCTCACAGCAGCTCGAGCGCATCGTCACTGAGACCCGAAATCTGAACGCCAGCATTCGTGACCAGCTCAAGTTTCTCGCCAACGACGCTGCCAAGACCCAGGACTCGAGCCGCTCCCTCAAGGAGAGGCAGGTTAACACCATCAAGAACGAGTTTGAGCGCGAGCTCCACAGCTACCAGAATGAGGAGAGCACCTTTCGTCAGCGCTACCGCGATCAGATTGCCCGCCAGTATCGCATCGTCAACCCGGACGCTAGCGAGGACGAGGTCCGCCAGGCCGCCGAGGCTGACTGGGGAAATGAGGGTGTATTCCAGACCGCTGTATGTGGCAAGCTCACCCATCTACCTCTCCCCCCTTGTTACTATTCTGTGCCGAATGCTGACTGCCATGTCTCTCGAACAGCTCCGCTCCAATCGCGCCGGCCAAGCCGCATCTGTGCTTGGGAACGTGCGCGCGCGTCACAATGAGCTGCAGCGCATTGAGCAGACCCTGATGGAGCTGGCGTCCATGTTCCAGGATCTGGCGATGCTCGTGGAGCAGCAAGACGTCGCCGTCGTTGCGGCCGAGCAGAATGCGGAGAACACGACCAAGCACCTCGAGGAGGGCAACCAGCACGTCAAGAAGGGCATCATCAGCGCCCAGAACGCCCGCAAGTACAAGTGGTGGTGCCTTCTCGTCGTGGTGCTCATCATCATTGTCGTCATCCTCGCTGTCGTCCTCACTCTCAGGCCTTGGGAGAAGAAGTAGATGCTTCATTCTCTACCGCACTCAGAGACTTCGGGGACTGGTCTCGCCTTTTTTTTTCATGGCGGGTGTCTGTCTGTCCCCCTACCTAACGCCATGTCAGAAAGCGTCAACCTGAGCCGAAGATGCCAAGACCCAGTTGATTATACCAAACGACCTGAATGTACATAACTCGGAGACTCGAAAAAGAGGGGGAGGCGCCTTAAATCGTCGCGCGAGCATAATTATCAAGATGCCCCTCTTTTCAATGAGGAGCCGCAAGAGCGCCGGGAGGCTGTCTCATGAGAAAGGGGGAAACGCAGAAGGGATTGAAGAAAGTGATGACCAGGGCTTTTTTAGGATTTTCTAGCACGACCGCATTTATCTCACGTACGCAAGGATTCTTACTTTTAATACAACTTTTTTCAAGATACAAAGGCAGCCACTCCGTCTCCTGACCTCGGCCCGCCACTCACCTGGGCCGTGCGCGTCTTCAGCGTTTCGGTGATGCATTGCACAAGGACTCGAGGGCGCATGAGCGTAGCACAACAACTCCAGGACGAAGGAAGTCTAGTGACAAAAGCCATGATGATCAACCCAAACCGGCTTTTGATCGAGCGGATTTTATTCACCCCATTATGGAATCGCGAAAAAAAAGCCTGTGGGCCCTTTCTCTCTCCTCTCTCTCCTCTCTCTCATTCATCTGCTTCTGTCGGTCTCCAAAATGCTATAGCTTTCAACAAGAAGTAGAGGAATATACTGCGCCGGAGCGAGGCATGGCTTAGAACATCCCTTTCTGCGCGTCCTCCGGCGCGTCTATCGATGCGCGCTCCGTCCCAACATCCGATTACGTCCTCCGCGTCCCAATGGCACGCCCGGCCAGATGGCGGCCATGGATCCAAGTGAAGAGCTCGTTTCAACGGAAAGGCTCGTGGCTAATGCGACGTCCATCTCTGAGGTGAGGTCGGTTTCTAGCCAAGTCTCACGTAGTTGCCTGAAACGCAAGTGATTAGCGTGTAATCCCTATGGGTTTTTTGTTCGGGCCATGTGCAAGCATACCTGGGAACTGTCCCGCCTTGCCATTGAGCTTGCCTGTCCACCACTCATTGTCGTTTTGCGTCCGGGAGACAATCTCGATGACATCGCCCGCTCTGAAGCTCAGATCGCCTTCCGCCTGCGCAGAGTAGTCGTACAGGGCTGTGACGGTCTCGGCCGTGGTCTTGCCTGCCAAAGCCTTGGGCTTCGGCTTGGGCGGCGGAGGCTTCGCTTTCGCGGCGGCAGCGACCGCCATGCCTGGAGACGCAGCACCATTACCGTAGCTGGGTGATGAGGGGAACTTTGACGGCACTGCACCAGCTGAATAAGGTGGAGGTGCGTGTTCATCCTCCTCAGCCGTGACCTGTGGCGAGCCAAATCTGGGTGCGGTGTCTGATTGGGATGTTGACGGCCCGGCGGTCAAGAGACTCGCAGGTTTCGAGCCCCCTTCCAGAGCCAACTGAGGCTTGTTGCCATACTTTGGTGGCCGCTGTCGGCCACTAGTCTTGAAACGCACAATCGTGAGCTTCTCGACTTGCTCTTGGATATCCCCGCGCTTCTCGTGGAAAGCTTCCTCAATGTCCTTCGTGAGATCGAAGTAGCCAATGTCACAACCCTGCATCTTCTCATGCAGGGTGTAGAAGATGTTGAGCTGCATGTAGTAGAATGACTGGAACAAAGGCTGAATGAACTCTTGTTCGAGGACGAAGAGCTTGGGCAGCTCCTCCTTGAGAAGGTCATTAAAGTAGTTGAATTCTTGTGTCGAGACTTCCACGTCGTTCTCCGCCTTCCACATCGCCTTCTCATCCTTTGGTGTCTTCTCTTTCTTGTCCTTGAGCTTCTTGAGTGTTGCGTTGTGTCGATCGAAGTCGAGCTTTTTGTGCTCGCGTTTGGTGGCGGTCTTCCTGATAGCTTTGAGGACATCGAGCAGCTCATTCGCGGGGCCAATAACTCTTTGGTCAATCATCTCGAGCTCCGGCGCTAATGTTTCCTGGAGGTCCTTGACCACGGCCTCGTATTCCTCACAGGCTTGGATGCCCTCGGGATTACCGTGGACAACCAAGCTGTTTGGGTCAGACATGCGCCCAGAGATTGGCTTGTAGATTTCCGTCATCGCTCTGCTGAACTCGATCTGGTGGTTGAGCATGCCATTAATGGAGTCAAAGTATTTCTTGCTCTCGTCGTGGAGGCGCTTCGTCTCGGTTTCGAGCTCCTGGAAGCGGCGCTCGGAATCTGTAAAGACGGCATCTTTGTGGACTTCGCCAATGTTGAACTTGGCCTTGAATTGTTGCGGCGCCTACAGCACGATGGGTGGTGGTTAGCAAAGTCGGCCGTGTTGGGGGTTGCGCGGCGCTGAACTGGACATCACGTAGGAACAAGCAGGCGAGGGGCAGCCATATGCGGCACATACTCTGACCACGCTCTTCTGGAAGCCGCGGAAGCTCATCTCTGCGCAGGTGGTGGGTGTGCGCAAACTGGCGGCAGATGGGTATGACGACGATGGCGGGGTAGGCTGAAAGCGGCGAAAAGGATATGGAGGTGCTTTGGAGGTGCTGCGAAGGGCACAACAGATGTATCGTGGAGGTTGGCTTGTAGTCTAGAGCCGACAGGCGTTAATGACTGAAGGGATAACGTGCTGGATGTGTTGTAACGGGAGAAGAAAGTGGGTAGAGTTGGGAATAGAGGCAAGCGTGCGCTCGTTTGTGGTTGGGGTTCGCCCAGGAGCGTCGCAGGATGACGGCACTGCACTGCCAGGGGCTGGGTTAGCTGGGGCCTCCGGCGCTGTGAGCTAGTGGCCTTCCGGAGTATGGCTTGTGCGCTCAGTCTTTGTGCTGGATGGGCATACAGACCCTCTCACCACACCACCCTCTCCGGGCGCGCGAATTGCACTGCGCTGGCTGCTCAAGTGACCTCCAGCCAAGCAAGCTTGAACTGCTGCCTCGTGCTAGCTTACTCGGCCGGGGCACGGTTGCTGCGCAGCGGCTCTCTGGTGACGAAGTTCCCCGTGGCAGTGCTGGCGCTGGGCCGCGAGCCATGACGCTGCTGGCCCAACAGCTCCACCAGACTGCCGGCAACCCGGTCATGGCTGCGACAGCTCGGGGCGAGTCAGCAAGTCCGCAGCTGCCGTGCCGTCAGCTTCGCTCCCCAGGCAGCACGCAGGACAGCCTTTGTGTGTTCGCATCATGTGTCAGACCCGAGTACTTATATCCAGCCCTCGCCGTTGACAACGTCTTGAAATGCCAGTCATGTAACGGAATCTAGGGACATCTTCAACGAGGCGGAAGACTGCTGGAAAGTGGTGGCGCCACGCTTGACAGCTGCGAAACTACGTCATCCTCCACAGGCCTTGAAAGATCGTGAGCAGAAATGCAGAAATCTCTCCTTATCCGTCAGAAATATTGATGCGCAAGAAGAATTGCATGGTGATGAGAGCCTGGAGACAGCTTCTATCCTTCGATCACCACCCGAATCATGTGACCTCCCGAGGTCTTCTTGAAGGAGCCCGAAAGATTGTTCCTTAGCTCACCCAGTGCGCTTCGAAAGAACTTTGCAACTGTCCCTTGGTTCACCAAGAATTATCATAAGCAGCCACGCTAGGAACCGTTGTCGACACTTAATGATTGTGATGGCAATTCGCAGCATGTTCGCACTGTCTGGGGCACGGACAATTGCTAATCCGACAGTCTCAATCCGCCACCTCTCGTTATCCCCGAGTCCGACGACTCGGTGCGGCGCACGCTGGACCCCGACCCCGACCCGCTGGGGAGTGCGCAGCTCAGGTGCAGCTTTGCAGTTGTCATGAGTTATTGCCGTGGCCTGCATATTTTCACCGCCCGCCCCTGCGCAACAACCTCCACCCGCTCCCCATCGTCTACTTTTTCTTATCTTCTTACAACCTCTCGACAAGATGGTTCACGTGGCATCATCCGCGCTGAGGCAGGCCTCGCGCCTTGGCCTCAAGCAGACACTTTCCGGTGCGCCTGCGAGAGCAGTCGTTTCCGCCGCTCCCAGAGCTCTCGCATCCGCCACGCGGACGACGAGGCGGCAGTATGTCTCCGAGTCGAAGCGCGACCATGCCCAAGTCAACGTCGAGACCGCCATCAAGCTGGACAAGAGCAACTTCATGAACGAAAAGGGTGAGCTCGTCATGCCTGGTTCCGGTGCTTCCGCTACTGCCATCGATGGATCCAGCCCCGTGGCTGCTGTCCTCAAGGAGGCGACGGTACTGGATGAGGGACAACGACCAATCTACCTCGACATGCAGGCCACGACGCCGGTCGATCCCAGAGTCTTAGACGCCATGTTACCTTACTTCGTTGGCGTGTACGGCAACCCCCACTCGCGGACGCACGCATACGGCTGGGAAAGCGAGAAGGCTGTCGAAACTGCGCGTGAGCACGTCGCGAGTCTCATCGGTGCGGATCCCAAGGAGATCATCTTTACAAGCGGCGCGACCGAAAGCAACAACATGAGCTTGAAAGGTGTCGCCAGGTTCTTCGGCCGGTCAGGCAAGAAGAGGCATATCATCACGAGCCAGACTGAGCACAAGTGTGTCCTTGACAGCTGCCGTCACCTCCAAGACGAAGGCTTCGAGGTCACATACCTGCCCGTCCAGAATAACGGCCTGATTAACATGGCGGAGCTCGAGGCTGCGATGCGTCCTGAAACGGCCATCGTCAGTATCATGGCCGTCAACAATGAGATTGGTGTTGTGCAGCCCCTGGAAGAGATTGGCAAACTCTGCCGGTCCAAGAAGGTCTTCTTCCACACAGACGCCGCTCAGGCTTTCGGCAAGATCCCGATGGATGTCAACGCCATGAACATCGATCTCATGTCCATCTCGGCACACAAGATCTACGGCCCCATGGGGATCGGTGCCTGCTACGTCCGGCGACGACCAAGAGTTCGCTTGGACCCCATCATCAGTGGTGGTGGCCAAGAGAGAGGTCTCAGGAGTGGCACCCTCGCCCCTCCCTTGGTCGTCGGTTTTGGCGAGGCTGCCCGCATCGCCAAACAAGAGCTCGAGGTATGTCACTCGCCCATCCCGGACCTCTCTGCATTTACCTTCTCCCTTTTTGCAAAGTGATGATTCGCTCCTACATGCATGGCTTTCTGAATTCCTTGACCGGAACCAGTGTGTTGAGACAAAGCACATATGTCTGATTTGCATCATTCTCTACTCCTCTTGCGATCATGGTCAAAAATAGCACGAAACAGTAGCTAACTCGCGAGGCTAGTATGACTCGAAACGGATCAAGGCTCTTTCGGACCGGTTACTCAAAGGTCTCCTCTCCCTCGAACACACGACACAGAACGGAGATCCGGAGCGTTTCTACCCTGGCTGCGTGAATGTTTCATTTGCTTATGTTGAGGGTGAATCTCTCCTGATGGCTCTCAAGGACATCGCCTTGTCGTCAGGCAGTGCCTGCACATCAGCCTCCCTGGAGCCGAGCTACGTCCTGCGAGCTCTTGGCAACAGCGACGAGAGTGCCCATAGCAGTATCCGCTTTGGCATTGGCCGTTTCACCACCGAGGCCGAGATTGACTACGTCCTCAAGGCTGTCCAGGAACGTGTCACTTTCCTCCGCGAACTGTCGCCCCTGTGGGAGCTCGTCCAGGAGGGTATCGATCTCAACACAATCGAATGGAGCCAGCATTAGGATTGGAATATTTCCCGGACACTTTCATTCTTATCGCTCAGCTCGCTGACGCCGTCGCCGACATGAATAGTCTGGGACTGGTGGGCGTACGAGCTTCTGTAATTTTGCACGGCCCATTTGGTCGTTGTACAACAGCACATCCACGTTCTTTGTCAGGGTCTTACCCGATGTGAGATCGAACACGAGGGTCACTCGCTCATCATGTGCACGAAAGGCAATCCGGTAGCATGCCAGGTCAGAGTGGGCGGGATATCTGACGAACAGTAGCGCATCTTGATACCAGAATATGAAGAATGGAAATGATGATGAATACACTGGACAGGCCACAGGCCGCGTGCTCAAGACCACAATAGGCCGGATGAATACTTATCGCCTTCCAAGGTAACTGCTCAGTGCCACGCCGCTCGCTTCTAGAATTATGGCACGTTGTCTGCTGCACTTCTGTTTGACCCTGGCGGGAGGCATGTTGTGCACAAACAAACGCCAGTGGTATGTCTAGCACCAGAGCGTGAGTGCACGCACCTCCCCTATGACATCATCCATGTCATACTCCCCCTCAATCACTCCAGCCACTGTCACACGAGAAGGAGAGTGTGGCTGCCTTGGGCCACTGCAACCTTGGCTTGACGGCCGCGGGAGGCACGACCTCGGGAGCTTGTCAACCTCGCTGTTTGGCTTGAGGCTCGGCCTGGCAAGGCGGGGTCACCTGAGCGGGACAAGTGCATGACATCATCGCTTTTCCTGATGCGAATTTAGAGCAGTTCGCGACGGCACCCTTTGGGACCACAGAGCAGCCATGCACGATCGAGATTCCCACAATGACACAAGAGGACTTGGCTGCATGTGTCACTTGCCTTCGGACCGCTACGTACTGGCCAGTCAGCTCATGAGTTGAGGCCCACGGCCCAGAGCCCTGATGCACGGGGCCCTTCCCTGCCTTGACGCGCCTGTGAGGGCCACTGAGTTACGCAATGCTCATCGTGGCTGCCAAGTTCGTCAGCCATGTGCTCTGCCTGCCTCAAGTCCTGCACGTTTCTAGAGATATAAAATTCCAGCAGTCCCCTCTCTGTCTTCCTGGCAATGTAACACCACCATCTCAAACCAAACAAACATCCAAACTCTCGTGTTTATCCACACTCACACAGCCTACGTGATTTCAACTATATCCACCTACCACCTCGCCAGACTTACACATCCCTCACCATGTCTGCCAACGACAACACTTCCACTCTCAAGTCGGTCACCGATGCCATCACTGGCACCGCCCAAAACGTCCTCGGCAGTATCACTGGCAGCACCGGTGACCAGGTAAGCCATACCCTGCGAATGTGGCGGTCATTCTAGGAGCCTCGCTGACCTCATCCTTCCATCTCCAGGTTCAGGGCCAGGCCAAGAAGGATAAGGCTGATGCCGAGTACAACGCCTCGCAAGCTACTGCCAAGGGCCCCGGCTTCACTGCTTCGTCCTCTGGTGCCGTCACCGCAGACGACCCTGACCGCGCCAAGGGTTCCTACAACCAGACTATGGGCGCCGCCAAGGAGACTGTTGGCGGACTTCTCGGTGCCGAGGGCCTCAAGCAATCCGGACGTCAACAGAACCTCGAAGGCCAGCAGCAAGAGGCCAAGGGTCAGGTCAACGACTACACGAGCGGCATTGGCGACCGCATCAGCGGCACTGTCGGTGGAGCCGTCGCTGGTCTGACCGGTAACAAGGCTGCCCAGGCCGAGTACCAGGCTCAGCACGATCAGGGCAAGACTCAGCAGCGTGGTGCTGAACACGACATCCTCAAGCAGGCGGAGGCTGACCGCCAGTAATTGGTGCACGCTCCATCTTGATACGGAAGCATGACAATTTCGCAGCCGGAAAATAATGATACCCTAGAGAATAGCCAATCGAGTCGTTGAATTTGCCTTTTGCTGATTGACTACTGAATTGTCGATAATTTGTATCTCATTTATCAGCTGCGGTTGATGCTGTTCTGATCGTGATCATGCTGCCAGCATAAGCAAGCCCCACCACTTACGCCCACGTGTAAATGCCTACCTTGGACATGCAGTTGATCCAGACGAAGTAAAGAAATGATGCGGTCTCGAGAGACCATACATATACCTGCCCAGTGGGCAACGAGCAAGCTCCTGCCGTGAAAGAACGTACACTAAGTACGCTATGTCCGCCGTACCTCTTCAGCGAGGCGCCGCTTTTTTGTGGGGGCAGGCACCTCCTTCCAGGTTGGGTGGCTGCCATGATCGTGACTGGCGAGGTCAATAGACCCATCGCTGAAGCATGCAACAGCTGCACGTCAGCCCTTCTCCAGATCCTCGACGCCATTGACATCCGCCGCATTTGGCCCCCAATCAGACTCTGACTGGATGGCATGCTATCCAGGTCCATCGCCCGTGCAGAAGACAAGCTTTTCGGCGCGCCAATCAGTGGTTGCGGCACCGCCGTCTGATCGATCTAACACTTCTCTGCGGCTCCCGACAGGCCAGAACAGCAAGTCCTACGTCAATCCCCCTGTTAGAATGCCACAGCATGGTGCTGTCTCCAGGTCCTTGCATCCACAACTGCCATTGTCTCATCTCCGAATGAGGCCCACCATGCTGTCAAGCCCGCCAGAACTGCCGACGGGTCTAGAATGTCTCCCATCTCCCATATTGCCGCCCTGGGCAAGACCAGCCGAGCAGAAGACTGATATGGCTGCTTGAGTCGCGGCGAAGAACCAGGGACGCGGAGCAAGACCCCGAGGGTGTGGCCAAGGACCCAGCATGAATCATACGAGCAGGCCGCAGAACTCGATGCTTATTATCCGCGGGTACTGCAGACAGCCCTTTCAGCCTATGGATGCGGCCTTCGCCCGCAATTGGCAATTTGTTCATTGCGAACAAGCCCGGCGAGGACCCTTGTCCACCTGTAGAATGGCAGCGCGACATTCGGCTCCTTTCGGCGGCGTGCCGTCAGCGTCACTCGAGCATCCTGGACGCCCGTACGAAGTACCAGCACACAGATAGCAAACCTGCGGCTTCCACGGCCCCGAGCGGGGAGAGTAAGGGGCTTGATTTCATCCGCAGCAGGGTTCAGCTTTCAAGCCCGCACATGCATAACCACGTGTGGAGTTGCAGGGCAGGAGGACGGGCCGGTGAAAGGAGTCGTAGCCACTTGCACTTTGGCACGTTTGCCATCAGGCCTCTGCAGCCAAGAAGTCCTCCCTGCGAGCTTCCGCTTCAGGGTGGCAGCGTGCGGGCCCACGTCGTGCGAGACGGGAAAAACTCGAGTGAAGGGCCGGGAGCAGAAACCCAGCCAGCCTACAGCATTTGCGTGCCTCGCTGCGATAACCTTCTTACCACCCCGCCTTCATCGGAAGATGGGCAAAGAGGTCGGCACTGGGCCTGGGCCCTGTCGCACGGCAGCCACGAGATGGTGGCCACCAATATGCACCTCGAAGTTAATGCTCCAACTACGGACTGTGCTGCGTGGGTGCTACCGGGTCAGGTAACCGGGCTTCACGGACACCTATTGCAGGCAAAGCACAATATCTCTGCATGATGTTACGTCGCCAAACTCGAGGGGTTGCAGGGCAAGTCGTACTCGGCAAGGCCCACACCTGGCGACATGTTCCGTGGCATAGGCATGCTTTTAGATGAGTTTCTGCTCCGAGTCTTGATACACACTTTCCAGACTGGCTAGCCCGCCCACCCACCACTCACTTGATACTTTCGCAGAGGCTGCTGGTCAGACAGATATTCAAGTGTCTGGTCTGGATGAGGGCCTGACGCTGCTCACTCATCAACCCGGGTCAGGATTGTTCCAACAAGGGCGGATTTCAAAGCACGCCTAGCACGATTGAATCACCCAGCAGCCACACTCAAAGGCAGCCCAGAAGGTGACGCCTCATACGCCTGGCGCCGTACGCAATTCCCGGCACCGCGCTTTGGGCACCACTTCGTGCCCGAGGATAGTACCACTCAGGACATCTCGCCAGCCGTCCAGAGCTCTCTGCGGATGGCGCTACACCATCTGGCTACACTCGCGACACTGTTCCGTGGTACAAGGAATGAGTTGAGATTTAGAGCGCGATGCGAATAGTGGTTGCTGGCGGCGGTGGCTTTGCCAGTATTCTTATCCACGAATTGTCACAGACTTCGCATGCCTTACTGGTGCTATCACGAACGGTAATTTTACGACCCGGTTTCAATGCGTTCGGATCAGACACAACTAACCAAGGATCCCCAGGTACATCCTGAACTCGAAGAACTGTATGGCTGCCAGGTTGCTGTAGTTGACTATCATGATACAGATGGACTACGGTTTCTATTGCAAGGTGTCAACCTGGTCATCTCAACAATTCCGAGCCTCGAGCAACTCAGTCTGATTGAAGCTTCCAGGGCAGCTGGTGTTGATCGCTTCGTTCCAGCAGAGTTTGAGGGTCTCACATCTCAGAGACCGCCCCCAGAAGTTTTTGATCCCTACGTCGGCAAAGGGTCGTCGGATGCACGTGCGCTGCTGCGACGCTGCTCACGGTCAAAGTCGAATCCGCTGAAGTACACTATTTTCTCCTGCGGCATGTTTTACGAGCGTTTTGGGCCAGGTGGCCTCCAGGCAAATGGCATGGGGGCGTCCTTTGAAATATATGGCCATCGGGATTATATGATCGACATTGATCGCGGCGTTGCACAATTGCCAGCAACAGGTCCCAATGGACGTCCTGTCGGTATCGCGCTTACATCGGCTTATGACGTCGCTCGCATAGTCGTGGCGGCACTTGAACTGGGCATCAATAACTGGCCACATGAGTTCAAAATGTGTGGCGACCGAATGTCGAGCATGCAACTCTCGCGACTGTGCAGCGAGGTCATGGGAAGTAAGTGCAATCTTCCTGATCCATTGTCTTGTACGTAGTGCTAAGAACAACTTAGTGCCCTTCGACGTGCGTGCAATGTCGTACGATGAGATTACGCTGGGGTTGCAGGAGTGCAGTGAGCCGGATCGCGTAGCCGAGTGGTGTTTCCTCCAGCACCTTCTGCAGACGGCGAACGGCCGATATCACATGACCGGCGACAACCTCCTCAACAACCGCCTGTCGATGCCTCCAATGTCATTTAGAGACTGGTTGCAGCAAGTATGGGCCGTGCAATGAAGCGCAGATTGGGTTGTGACGTCACCATAAAAGCTCGCAACGGATTCGGGGAGTGATCGAGGGCCCTGAAGAGTTCAGATGGCGGTGCTTCGACCACTAAAGGAGAAAAGAGCATGTGCGCAACAAGTTATCGGAGGAAAAAATTCAGGCGATATGCTGGAACCGTGGTTGGTAACCAAGGGTTTGGGGACACTGCGTTGGAGCACGTGTCTGCTGGAGATACCTTGAAACGTCATTAAAAGCGGTATATTCATGCTTTTGAGTAGAGGGTGCTTCTGTTCGTCTACCCGTCTACTGTGTAATGTCCAAGCCCAATGCTCAAAAGCAATCTGTGCGTTTGGGATTCAGATGCCCCACGATGGCCAGTAGTGCCGAATCCTAGACGACCAAACTCATCATTCATCCTCGCCACCATATTCCGTGACCACCCAGAGACAGAACTTTTCCCACTCGACCTGCCACTCCCTGAGCCTCTGTGCCTTGAGGGTGTCTCCCAAGCTCGCCTCGCGTAGATCCTTTGCCCACTCGTCGGGCGTCTGATCCTCGAATGCGGCCCAGCGGATGCTGTTCTCGGCCAGGCTTCCCAACCCGGCGAGACCGAGATTCTCCCATCCCTGGAGGGCCTGCCAGAAGTCGTGCGTCGAGCCGGCAGTGTCCTGGCCCAGCATGGCCGGGTCATCGTTGCACAGACAGCACGCGACACCTCTTGCGAGCAGGGCCGGCAGGGGGTGGGACATGACCGAGCCGCACAGCCGGAGGACTTCGTTGGAGATGGGGCACGACTCGACGAGGATCTTCTTCTCCTTGACGAGATCGATGAGCAGCGGGTGCTTGTACAGGCTGAATGCGTGCCCGATGCGGCGCGTGCCGAGCAGGATCGCGTCAAAGAGGTTGTGGTCCGTGTCGCTGCCGCTGCCCAGCGTCTCGCCTGCGTGGAAGAAGAAGGGGATGTTGACGCCTTCCTCGGCGCACTGCTTCCGGAACCAGAAGATCTCGGGGAGCAGGTCACGGAGCGGCCTGCCCGTGTCCTCCTGGCCGACGAGGTCGTAGCCAGCGATGAGCTCGGGATGTGTGATCTTGGTGGTGATGCAGTTGTCCATGTCCTGGACGATGGAGCGGTCGGGGAAGAAGCGCAGTGACGTCCAAATCGTGCGGATGCCCCAGAACCCTTTGCCCTCTTCCGTGGCCTTGAACTTGGCGATCTCGTCGGCCAGGTGGTCCATCATGGCGGTGAAGTCGGATTCTGGTTCCTCGTGCCCTTCCCTGCAGTAGTCTAGCGCCCAGGCGAAGCGCAGCTCGATGTAGTTGATCCCGTCGGCCTTGAGCTGGGACATGAGTCTGCGGAGAAAGGCGCGGAAGATGGGCTCGTAGTGGATCATCGAGTTGCACACGCGGAAACACATGGCAAACTTGCGCCAGATGTCGTCGATGCCGTGGTGCTGCGCGACAGCATCGGTCTGGGAGAGTGTACACCGGCCGTACAGCCACTTGCGGAAGCCCTGCTTGCCGCCGTTGGGGAAGGACTCGGCGGCCTGCGCAAGGACGATGGGCGTCTCGGGGGTGTAGTCGTCCTTGTCCCAGACATTGCCCTGGGTCCGGGGCTCTTTAAAATAGCGGAAGAGCAGCTGCGCCTCGCGGAGGTCTTCGTCGGAGACGAGGGGCCGGTCCGACATCATGTGGATGCCAGGGGTGTCAAAGAGGACATCAAAGAGGAAGTGGAAGTCGACCATGGCGTCGAGGTGGGAGTGGAGGAGTGTGCCCTTGGGCATCTTGCGGACAATGTGCCACAGCTTGGTCTGCTCCATGCGCTCCTTGGAAAGAGAAAACATCATGCCCGGGTGGACAGTTACGTCTGACTGCTGGGCGATTGAGTCCTCGAGGGCGGGTGTCCATATTGTCCTGCTCTCCTCATCGCGGATACGGCTGACAATATCGCAGGCCTTTCTAGCAATGGGAGACAGGTTCTTGCGGAAAGAGGCGTCTGCGAGGGAAGTGTCAGTGTTACCATGTTCCATCCACGTGCTTGACGGATGGAGAAACACGTACCGCTGCGCTGGGAGTTTTCCTGGGCGATCAGAGCATCACGGCCCTCGAGGTACTTCTGGAGGAAGGGGTCTGTCTCCTTGGGGACCTGCTGGGCAATGTCCTGCCACTCCTGGTCGGACCAGGCAGCGGGCCCGAAATACCTCGTGTCCATGGTGATCGGGCTCTTTGCGAGTGTTGCGAAATGACGCCGTGTTTCCAATATGAAAGCAATGGGAAGACAATGGATGGCCGGGGCTTTCCAGTGGCAGCAAGACGTGGGTACGTGAAGTAAGGACCTAGGTAGGTCGAAGGTAGGCTACCACGGTGTCGAGGCGGAGCTAGGCAGAACACGGCGGGGAAGGAGCGGCGGGCGATCAGAAGGGACCAGACTGAGGTAAGACTTTCATCCAGGTTGGTAAGTATCTTACGCTTGGCGCATGTCCGCTTTCTCCTCTGGCTCGTTGCTGTCAGACATGATCACCATCCTCAATCCTGCGCAGCCCGGCTGAGTCACTCGCCGGCTTTATAACCAGCGACACTTGTCCGCCGCCCGGGGATCCTGCATCTGCATCTGCATCTCGACGCCGCCGGCCTGCCCCGCGCCCCGGCGTGCGCCGGCAGCACCTCCGGGGGCGCCTGGCCTGGTCACCCCGGCGCCCTACGACAACGTCCGCAACACCCAAAGGACACACACGGATTCCTTTCATTCGCCGCACGGCCGCGAGTTGGTTGGTCACTTTTGTTTTACTGAGTCGAATTCTCTGCTTGGTCCCCAGACAAGGGAGTCACGCCACACAATGGCTCCGCCGGTCATCGCCGGACACTACTGGCTGTCGACCAACTAACTCTACCACCGCCTGCGGACATCCTTCACCTAAAGTCGAGATCCAGCTTGGCCACCTGCAGATCCTTGCAGTTCCTACTCGGCTTGTGTGTCCCTGTTCCCTTGGCCACGACGAGGTTCAGGTCCAGATAGTTAAACTGGCTCGAGACGTACGGCCCGCAGAGCAGGTCCATCTCGTATACGGCCCGCTCGACGTGCCGCAGGTCGTAAGTCAGGTCCGCCCGCGTCGTGCACACGAAGCCTTCAATCTCGCCATGCTGGAAGTGCTGCTCTCCGTGCTTGATCCGGTATGCCCAGCTGCGCAGGTCCTGAATCGTGAGGTCTGTATCGCCCTCGTCCATGAGTCTGGCCTCGGGAAAGCACTGTGTCGACGAGGATAGGCGGCCGATCTCACGGTAGAAGTCGTCGACACCGTCGACGTCACGGGCTTGTGGGGAAGCTAGTTGGGTCTCAGAGTCGAGGTGGCTCGACATTGTCGTCATGGTCGTCGTGCGCTTCGGTGTGATTGAAAGCCCTCGCTTACTGCCATCATGGTGCTTGCTCTGCTGTTCCATCGATACGACTGCAGCAGCTACATGGCTCGTTGACCCGGCCAGGATGGTGGCAATGATTAAGACAAGGTTGTGGAGCTGCATGATACCAATCGGTCTTGTCGGTGTGGCTTTGTGAGTCGTGATAAGAGTCCAGGTTAGCGGTGTTGCGTGCAATTTCACCTCGCTGTCGGTGAAATGCCTCGTTGTTCTTGTATAAGTGTCTTCGCCCGGTGGATCAGCAGTATAGGTAAATGGTTTCCGCGCAATGATCCAAGGCCGCCGTCACATTGATATATACAGATGCTCGCAATGCAAGCCAGTGGCAAAAGATCAATGTCTCATGGGGAGGGGAGCACGCACAGGACTTGTTTGCCATGGTAGAAAGAACTCGTGGCAGGCGGTTAGTGACGGTTTTCCCTTCTCTTTTTCCTTCTCCATAATACGAGACAACAACACCATCAACAACAAATGCGCCTGCAAACCACATGCAACGGTCCTTTGCTGTTTATGCTACAACGGTCAAATATATCTTACCATGCGTGATCACGATGATTTGGGACAACAACCACAGTAACAGGGTAACAAAAAGCAGACTTGGACTTTCGACCGCCTCGTCTTGTCTCTGTCTTGGGCAACCTAACTCCTCGCAAATGCAGATTCGGCTACCCCGGAGCATCACGCAAGACGCCGCGCCGGTGCCTTCATTCGGCCCCAGGTCGTCTGTCAAAGCAATAAAGGTGTGGAATCCACCATTGCACGAAACCACATTCCATTTGCGTATTTGCTATTGCCCTTCTCCATGCTACGGAAACTCAGTCTGACAGGTCACCCAGAGCACAATCAACACATCCTGTCCCACCCTAACTTTACGCCTGCAGCGCAGTGTCCTCGCGGTTTGTATGGCTGCCCTTGCGCCAGGAGTCAGTATGGTCCCTCTGCCCGAATCTCTTGTCGCGCTTCGCCTCGCCAGCCTTGCCCCAGCCTCCGCCACCGGGCGTGTTGATGATGATGCGGTCCCCGGGGTTCATGGGCGCGCTGTTCTTCGAGCCCATGTTGATGTGCCGCACGTCGTACTCGTCGTCGTCGTCGCCCCCATTCTCCGACGTCTCGTTTTCCTTGCGCACCCTCCGCACCCACACATTCAGCCCACATTGCGCGTCCTCGCCACCAGCAAGACCATACGGCCTATACACTCTGCGCTCGCTGAGGATAGACACCTGCACGGGGATGCGGAACTCGATGTCCCTCACCACGCCGTCGCCGCCGCTGTGCTGGCCTTTGCCACCTGACCCAGCACGGATGCTGAACTCGCGCAGCAGCACTGGGTACCGCCGCTCAAAGACCTCCGAGTCCGTGATCCGCGTGTTGGTCATGTGCGTGTGCACGCCGCTGGTCCCTTCCCAGTCCGGCCCCGCGCCAGAGCCGCCAGCAATGGTCTCGTAGTAGCCGAACCCCTTGACTTCCTTCTCGCCCGTGACGTTGCCGCCAAAGCCAAAGGTGAGGTTGTTGCAGTCGCCCTGGGACGCCGCGCAGGCCTCGAAGGCGCGGAAGATGACGTCCGTCACGCGCTGGGAGGTGAGCACGTTGCCGCCGACCACGGCGGCGCCCGTGGACGGGGACAGCAGCGACCGCGGCGGGATCTTGACGTGGATCGGCTTCAGGCAGCCCTGGTTCAGCGGGATGTCCTCCGAGATGAGGCACCGCAGGCAGTAGATGATGGCGCTGTACGTCACGGCCTCGGGGGCGTTGATGTTGCCATACACCTCGGGCCCGGTGCCGGCAAAGTCGAACACGGCCTCGCCCTTGTCCGGGTCAATCGTCACCTTGAGCCGGATCGGGCTGCCGTCGTCCATGTAGTCCACCGCCGACAAGTCCTTGCCTTCAAACTTTTTGTACACCTGCTTGAGCAGCGTCCGCACGCACGACTCGGCATTGTGCTGGATGTGCTCCATGTAGAACTGCACCGTGTCCTCTCCGTACTCGCCGATGAGGCCCTCGATGAGCGAGATGCCCTTCTGGTTCGCCGACACCTGCGCCCTCAAGTCGTTGATGTTGTCTGCCAGGCAGCGGGTGCCACTGCACCCGGGATATTGCGCAGGCTCCTTGTACAGTAGCTCGGTGATGCGCTCTTCGCTGAACTTGCCCTCGCTAACGATCTTCTCGCTCTTGATCGCCGCGCCCTCCTGATACAGCTCGCGCGAGTGTGGCGGCATGCTTCCGGCCGTGATGCCGCCAATGTCTGCGTGATGGGCCCGCGAGGCAGCATAGAACAAGATTTTGTCGCCAGCTTCGTTGAAAGCTGGCATCAGGAGCGTGATGTCGGGAAGATGTGTACCTCCGTACGACGGGTGGTTCGAGATGATGACGTCGCCCTTCTTCAGCTTGCCCTCCCAGATCTTGGCCTGAGTCCGAACACATGTTGACATGGAGCCCAGGTGTACCGGCAGGTGAGGGGCGTTGGCTACGAGACCACCCGTGGCGTCAAAAATGGCACAGGAAAAGTCCAGACGCTCTTTGACGTTGGTGCTGACACTGGTCTTCTGCAACGCCCGCCCCATCTGCTCGGCAATAGCCATGAAGCGGTGCCCAAAGATGCTCAGCATAATGGGGTCGACTTCCCGGTCTGCAGCGCCTTGCTTTTGAGAGCTACCGGTCCGCGTCAGTAGTTTCTCTTGTCTTGAACATATGGAGGGTTAATGAAAGACTCACTCATCCTTGCCTGCTTTCTCGAGGTCAATCACGACATGTGTCTCCAGAATCATGGCCTTGGCCTTGGGCGTCACGACAATCGTCTGAGTGCCATCGGCCAACATGGCAGGGCCCTCTATCTCATCGCCGACAGCCAAGTCCTCGAGCTTATACACCGGCGTGTCCAGGCGGCCTCCCTCAAAATATACCTGCGACGTGCTATGACGCTTGCCATCATCGACAGATTGCCGCTTCACCTGCTTGAGCTGCTGATCGACCGTCTTGTCCTTGTACGTGAAGCTCTTGCCGATACCGCGCACGCGAACATCGTCGATGATGATGTCCCGCTCATCCAGCGTGAAGCCAAACTCGTATCGATGGTGCCGGACAAAGGCTCTGCCAAAGGCCCACTCCTGTCCGTCAAAGTTCTTGTCCGCGTCCTCCTTGCTGGGCTTGACAATCATCAGCGCAGACTCGGTACCGCGGTATCGCATGTTGAGGTACTCCTCAAAGACGATCTCGTTGTCGGCGAAGCCCTGGTCCTTGAGCGCCTTGCGTGATTTCTCCTTGAGCTTGTCCATCTTGGTCCTCAGGTCGTCCACCACGGATCCCTCGTCCTTCCACACCGTCGAGTCGGGCTCCTGCCTCTCATCCACGACATCTGCTAGCGCCATGCCATATGCCGACAGCACGGAGGAGTACCTGTGGATCAAGATTTGGCGGATGCCCAGGGACTCGGCGATGGCTACCGCATGCTGGCCGCCGGCCCCGCCGAACGTCGCGAGGCGGTGCTTGGAGGAGTCGTGCCCTTTTGCCTCGGTGATAGAACGGATTGGTCGCGTCATGGCCTCGTTGGCCACTGTGAGGAAGCCGTACGCAACCTCATCTAGGCTCATGTTCTTGCCCGTCTCTTGGTTGATCTGGTCGGCGAGCTCCTGGATCTTCTTCTTGCTCGCCTCAAGGTCCAGGCCCTCGTCCTCGTTCTTTCCAAAGATCTTGGGGAAGAACTCCGGAAGCAGGCGACCCAGGAACAAGTTGGCATCGGTGACCGCCGCCGGTCCTCCCTTCCGGTAGCACGCAGGACCGGGATGCGCACCCGCAGACTCCGGCCCGACCACGAACAACCCGTTTCTGAAAAACAGCATGCTGCCACCACCGGCGGCGACGGTGTTGATGTCGAGCTGCGGCGACTGAATGGTCACACCTGCGGTCGTTGTCTCAAAGACATGCTCGTATCGGCCCTGGCCATAGCGCGACACATCCGTGCTCGTGCCGCCCATGTCGAAGCCGATGACGGGCACCTTGGTTTCCTCGTCGTAGCTCGTGATGGCGTAGCCCACCACGCCGCCCGCAGGGCCGGACAGGATGGCCTTTAGGCCCGTGAACTTCTCGACGTCGACGAGCCCGCCGTCGCTCTGCATGAACTCGCACCGCGCGCCCTTGCTACCCGCCTCCTCGAGCACGCTGCGCGTACCCAGGCCGCCCGCGAAGCCCTTCTGGAAACCCGAGATGTACTTCTTGATGGCGGGCGTCAGGTACGCGTCCGCACACACGCTCGTGGCGCGGGAGACGAGCTTGATCATCGGCATGAGCTCGTGGCTCAGCGAGATGTGCTCGAATCCAATATCACGGGCGACTTTGCCGATGAGAGCCTCGTGGTCCGGGAACGTGTAGCCGTGCATCAGGCACACGGCTATGCTGCGTATACCTTTGTCGTAGACCTCCTGCAGCTGGTCCTTGATCCTCTGCTCTTCAGGTCGCTGCAGGATCCGCACTGCCTCGCCGGACAAGCCCATGACGAGGTCTGCTGTTTTGGCCTCGTCGGTGCTGGCCTTTACGTCCGACTTGGAAAGATTGCGCTCGGGGTCTTCTGCATAGTCCTCGAGTGTGACGCGCTCGTCTATCTCAACGACTTCCTCGTAGAGCACATCTGGTTTTCGGATCGCCAGATCAAAAATCTTGGGCCGGCTCTGGTTACCAATCGTCAGGCAGTCCTTGAATCCTTGAGTGACCACAAGAGCAATCTTCTCGCCCTTGCGCTCTAGCAAGGCATTAGTGGCGACCGTGGTTCCCATGCGGATGCTCTCTATTTGTTTTGTGTCGAGAGCCTCCCCACGGGGGATGTCCCTGTCCAGGAAATGGCTCATTATGCGCCGGATACCTTCAAGCGGAGCATCGTCGTAGTTTGCCGGGTCCTCGGAGAGAAGCTTGATAACGACGTCTTTGCCGTTGAGCGTACCCACGCAGTCTGTGAATGTGCCGCCGCGGTCGATGGCTATCCTGATACCACGATCCTGGCCGGCACTACCGGCGGACGCTTCGGTTGGGGCCATGACGGACTAAAGGCAAGTTGACCCGATGCAAAATGCGACAGAAATAAGTAAAGGGGGTGGCACAGAGGCTACTAATCCCACTTCATCAGTGTTGGCGTCTTTTGTGGTGCCAATTTGTCAGGTGGAGGAAGCCCCAATGATTTCCAAGGTTGCAATTCGCATGTGCCCGCTGGGAAGGTATCTGCTGAGTGATCAGGGACTGAAAATGTGACACAACTATAGTTGAGGAGTATTTTGAGTTCCGGTGGTAAACAATATGGATGAATAGAGGATCTTTACTCTCGTGAGTTGACCACGTGTAACGAGAGTACACATCTCGAGATCTGCCGCCGATGTCGTCGTTGTTGAACCGCATAAACGGGGGCGCATCCGTAGAGCTCCGTCATTTTAGTGGGTCACGGGCTCCGACTTGCGTCTAGTACCCCGCCAGGCTAGGAGCTGCTTATCGGACTGTGGTTGCTGCTTGCTGTGAGGATCTCCGCATCCAGTCCCAGGGCGTTCCCGGACAACCCGCATCGCCCAGAGAGCATTGTCCCTACTTTGAAGAGGCTTTGGAATACACGAGCTTCATCGAGAACGGTAACAGGGCTATATTATTGCACATATGCTAGTCGTACGCAGAGCCTCTGTGGTCTCCAGGCGTCATTCATTATTTTTCTATCAGTCGTTTTAGCATCGCTGCCTGCTGGACCTGCCAGCACTCTTCTGTACTCATTAGTGTGTAATGACACGAACAGCTTGCAGCATCAAGCCAAAGAACAGGCCACGTGCAACCTCTTCGATCTGCAGGCAATCGAACACACGCCCAAGAGCGGCGCTCGTCGCTGATTGGCCCATGATGCCCATCAGCGCACCAGGTACACTGCTCTGAATGAAAAGTCTTCTGGCCTTGACTCGGAGTTCTTCCTTCTCCTCAGCCGTCATCTCGGCTGGCCATGCTGCGCGCTCTTCCTCTGTTGGCAAGGTGTTTTCGCGAAGCTTGCGTATGTGTGCCGCGATGCCATCATCCGTGGTGTTTGTGTCAATCAGAGAGTGCTGAATGAGCGTTTGGATGGAATTCATCGATGGGTTGCCTGGTCGTAACAGAAAAGACTTGGCGGCCGTCAGCAGCGTCCGGCGGATGTTCCATGCCGATGAGAGTGTGTAGAGCTCGTTAATGACGGCGAAAAGCAGCTCGACCGCCACGCGGGTTTCAGCTTCTGTGAGTGGGACGTGCTGCTTGGGAATGCGCTTCTGCGTCCTTGAAGGTAGCGGCGGCTTATCTTCCTGCACAGAAGCCGACACGCGGTGGAGCGAAGTATGGCTCGGACTGTTGCTCAGCGTCCTTGGAGATAACAGCCGTGAGCCATCCAAGCTATGGCGCATTGTGATCGGCGAATCATAATCGTCGGACATTTCTGTCGGCAGAGGCGGTAGCCTAAGGTTCGCAAGACTGGTCTCAGATGGAGACCTCAATGGCGACCTCCGCGCGGCCATACTGGAGGCACGGCTGTGGACTCTGCTGCTGCTCGTGCTGGGTGACTTCATGTCCCAGCGATCCGCCCGCATATGTTGAGTGACGTCGGTGTCCAAATCGACCTGAGTGCTCGGGCGCCTCTCCATGGGAGCCATCTTGCCCGGCTGTACTGATATGACCGAATGCTGGCTGTCGATGCTGTCTCGCGCCCTGACCGTTCCGTTCGCTGCAGGAGGCCCGCTCTCCATCCGTGGGAGGACCGGCAACGAAAGTGGACGTGGACTGACACTTCGTGGTGGGCTTGGTGCGACTGGTTCTTGAAGTGTCTTGTTAGACGAGTTGGTGGACCGTCGCGGCCCGAGACCGATGTTGCCGAAGACACCTGTGACTCCCCCAACCACGACTTTGCCTGAATCAAGAGCACCTTTGGGTGCGTTCTGGAGGACGTCGAGCATCCCCTTGCCCACTGATTCAAAAGAGAAGCCCCTGTTAGCTGGCATCCGACCAGTCTGGCCCTTTTCGAGAAAGCGCTTGAGAGCTTCTGACTCGGCTAAGGGCTTCTCGACACATGCCATGCTGAGATAGCGCTCAATCTCTCCGCGAAGGGACGATCTGGTGTGTACCTTCCAACTTGGCAACGTGCTATGCGCCTCCAGAAAGGCTGCAGACCCGGAGATTGCGGCAATCCGTCGCAGGCTCTCATGCAGGGCCTCAAACTGTGCATATGTCTTCATGATCATCCACCCAGAATGCTGATTTGAGGCAGGCTCGATCTGAATGAGATACTCCCAAGTCGGCTTTGACCGAAGTTGACCCTTCTCGTTGCCAATATCGTCGTGAATAGTGATGCTGGCATTGTGCAAGGTGAGCGGCGCAATCGGCTTCCGGGCCTCGCCCTCCATTGGCTCCTCTTGAGCAGGTGGGACGAATTGGTCAAAACTCGTGAACGCCTGGTGTGGTGGAGGAGGGCTTTCTGCCATTTCCATTTCTTGAGATTGCTGGCTCGGCAGACTTGCTGCATCGTTGAAGCCTTGACTATGGCCAATCGTACTGATGCCACTGTTCCTTGACGACACTGAATGATCTTGCGATTCTCGGGGCGAAATCATCCCTCCTTCAACCGAAGGGCGCGGAGGCATGAGTGGCGGCACATCATCCATGGCCGAAGGTGCTTCGCTACTCGACTTTGGCGTGTCGCCATTTTTGGTCTGGTCGGCATCGGCGATCATCTGGTTTAATCGCTTCATCTCCTCCATGGCTCGCTCCATCTCCTCGTCTGCTTTGGACAGTTTCTTCTTGTGTGTCTGTTCTTTCCGACGTGCTCGATCCATATCATAAGAATTGCGGTTGCCCTTGGACAACCCAATATTGCCAACGTTGCCATCGATATCGCCAAAGGCTTTCTGCTCGATAGCTTCGTCGATCGCCTGAGACAGATCAGTCTCACCGGACTCCAAGAGGTAGACGATCCAGGCGTTGATCCACTCGGCTTTTGAGCAAGTCTGGAGAGTCCCTTCTAGCGCAATGGTCGCCATGATCTCCCGCATGAACACGCGTACCATTTCGCAATCGTACGACTGTTTGTCAAGGAAAGTCAACAGATCTTCTGCCACCATCTTGAATTTCGCAGCTTGCTGTTTCTGGTTCAGGAGGTTGGACAACGGCGAATCTGTGTTGGTAGACAGGTAATTGTAGATAGCATCAGTCGCACTTGCATTGCTGTCGACTGAGAGCTCGTTGTAGGCATTGGCCATCTCCGAAAAAAAGACGATTATAATTGAGCACGAGTGTGTGAGGAAGTCGACAAAGGAGTCGGCGGGTCGCTTTCGACCCAGCTGGTTCGACATGGCGAGGATATACGAAGTCATCGTCTTTCGGCACGAAAGCGCGAAGGACTTATCCGAGGGCACTATGGGGTGGTACCACCAGTTGACATAGTCGCGGACGGTGGCGTCCACAAACTCGTTGAGCGCGTCTCGTGTTTCGGGCTGGAAGTCATCGAAGGAGCGGAGTGTCGAGCTGTCGTCGTTTGCTTCTTCAGCAACACTGTCCTTGGACACTTTTGCCTTGGCTGTCTCAAGCAACGTCTCCAAAAAGTCGTGTCCCTTTTGTCCCCGGACGGCTCGTGATAGTTCCGGATTGTTTCGCTCTAATGTTGCAAACGCCGCTATCCCACCAAAAGCCCCTACCAACAGCAGCCCGACTTGGCCGAGTACTAGATACGTCAAGGCAGCGCATCCGACTGCGACGCCGCCGAGCATTTCCGGTGTCGCGGTTGCCAGAAAGTCCAGCAATTTTGTGGTGAGATCGTCGGGTTGGCTGCCGGCGGCTGCGCCCTTGGTCGCAACATGACTGTCGCCGTCGAGTTCGAGCGGAGCTGCTGCATTGGCGGAATCTGAACTGGTCTTGTCGGAAACGTCGTGCGAAGCGTTTAAAGTAACGGGCTGTTGGGTTGCTTGCTCTGCATCGCTGGGCAGGACCCCCTGCGTCGCAGCACAAGAGGCATGTTCAGCAGACTGGCTCATTTCGAAATGGTCCGAGTGATGTCGCTGGCGTTGAGGACTGCGTCGCGTGTCTAGAGCACATCCCTAGAAAGATTGGCGTGGCCAAGTGATCCAGTGGTAAGGATTACAGGATTGGCCGGGCGCTAAGTGTTGTTGATGTTGTTGCTCTTGGATCTTTTGCTGGGAGTGCTTGTGGAAGTCAAATGCGGAGGGGGCAGATGGATATGTGTCTGGAGCCGAGTTACGCTGCGCTGGGGTGGAACAAATGGCCCAAGGAGGTACTCCCTAACCCCTGGCGCCAGGGGATGGTTGACAGCACTCTACCTTTCGTGCCCAGTCGGCACAACCATGAAGGCATGGATCATCGCCTGCTGCGGCACGGGAGTCAATCCACATTGACGCGCAACTGCTAGGACGATTCCTGAGAACGGACCGCCTTCATGTTCTGGGCACGCATTGCTTGTCCCACATCCAGCGTTGTCCATTCTCACAGATTAATTAGTTGTACCCAGGAGACAGGGTCCCCGCCATGGTGGCACTCTACATGCAGGGGACAATGAGCTGCAACCTCGAGCTCGGTACAGTACGGCTGGCGCCAACAGTGTTGCGCTCACGAAGCGACGGCGTGGTAAACGCCTCTTGAGGGTCTAGCAACGGCCACTAACGCCCAGCTTTATCTGATCTGCAGCCGCGCTGGATGCCTTTTCTCGAGGGTCTCCGCGCTGACGAGGCGATGCGAGGTGACTGTGGCAGGAGGACCTGAAGACTAAGATTAGACCTGCGGGTAAGCCGTCGTTCCAGGGGTCCCTGGAAGGGCAATTAGCTTCCAGCAGGTCTAGAAGCCACGACGCCCCCGGGCCGACCCCCGCCGGAAACATCTGTGCTACCACCATCGCCTTAACATCTTGGCTCTCATGGTTTCGAAGATGCTCTCCTTTTGAGAAATTTGATTCACAGCCATCATCTGCGGTGTCGCCATCAAGGTTGAGGCAGCACCTGGAGTGTAGCCAGCTTGGAATTCTGTCGCGGGATTGGGGCTCTGCGTGCTCACCCGGAGATCCCAATTCCCCACGCAGTACCTAGGTAGCTGCTTTGGTTCAGCACCTGATGGGGGAATCCCGCAGAACGCGTAGTTGTTGCGTCTACGAGCTCCGAATGATTGATGGTGTCTGAGAGGATGCCCAAGTGATACAATCATTTTGCAAAGGCCAAAGCGAGACTGGCTAGTCATTCAAGTCCAGGGTGCGGGCAGTTCCAGCTAGAGCGCGGAGTAGCACGTGCGCATGCCTCTTACTTTGTAGGGGCACGGCTTAACGCGTCCAAGCAGCCGCAAACGCGCCTTCCATTCCCCCCCACGTCATCCCTAGGCGGGTGGTTCCTGCCAGCTCGACGCCGTCCTGCACCCCGACTCCGACAACAGCTGCGACTGGATTGCCTTGCACACCTGTGGTTTTAGTTACGATTCACTTCACCTGGATGGTTTCTGCTTTCCCTCCCACCTGCCTCCCTGATACACGTCGCAAGACATGGCAGGTTTCAAGAAAGCCAAGAGCCTCAAACGGGCCCGCTTCGACGAGGCCGACGACGACACTGGCAACGATGTGGCGGCTGAGCGCGCTGTGAAGCCGGCGAAGAAGGCAAAGACTGCATCCGCAACTTCTGGCAAGGACGATGAAGGCAACTCATTCTGGACAGTACGTTGCGTCTCGCCCTTGATCAGTCACGGGCATGAACTGACAACAAGACCAGCTCTCCGCCAATCGACGGATCGGCATATCCAACTTCAAGGGCAAGACCCTCATCAACATCCGCGAGTACTACACTGATGCATCTGGCGACCTAAAACCTGGCAAAAAGGTAATGCTGTGCCCTCCAGAGGCAGCTAGTTGGACATACAACTGACGCGAATGGTCTTTCGACAGGGCATTTCCCTCTCCCTCGAGCAGTATGCCAGCCTGGTCAAGGCAATCCCCAGTCTCAATGCCGAGCTCATTGAGCAAGGCCATGAAATGCCTGAGGCGGAAGCAGCATCTGCACCGCAAGACACTGCACATTCTTCTGACGAGGCAGAGGGTGCTGCACCTCTCGTGAAGAAACCGGCCAAAAAGGTGAAGAAGGCCAACATCGAGGCGACAAGCGATGAGGACGATGACACCGATTGATTTCGTTTCCATCTTTCCACAAAGCAGAATTGTGTTTCCCCAGACCGCGGCGGCCTCAACCAAGTCGAAGTTTGTCAAACAGAACAACCGCGGTCATGAGAACTAAAGACACCCGCTCCATCGCTGTACAATCACACTAGCCCACAGTACAGCACAGGGCTTGATCCTGGAAGTGTGCTGGACTGTACCATGCTGAAGCAGCGGAGAGTTTTGTCCGAGGAAATGGAGTCCGCACGAGAACGTTCCTGACTACGCACGAAAGACTCCTCAAAGTACTTGCTAGGGCTTGTGGAAAGTGACGATGTATTGAAGATGTGAGCCAACTATGTAGTGCTGAAGGAAGACGTTCTTGGGAGCTATTTCCAGCATCTGGTGGCGATAGTCACGTTTTTATGTAACCCTCAGTGGTCTCCCCAGACGGAGAATACCACTCGATGTAATGATCATACCCAATTTCGATGATGGCAACAAATCACACGACCCTAACTAAATTCCCATTATCAAGACAACAGGTACATGCGGGTGAAGTCAACTCCACCCGCCTGTTGGCACAATGTCATCAAGCTGGTGTGCTGGTACTTTACTTCGAATAAACCTTAGTGGCCCACTTTTTGGTGCATAGTCCCAAGGCGGTCACTTCTCAAGAACCATCCTCCCTAAGCTTTGCTGTCAGAGCTTAATTCCAACGGATCCGACCTCACAATAGTTGTGTCGAGATCAGATACTGGGCCGAATGCTTTGCTGCAGCTTGTGATGCCTCCTCGCACCCCTGGTGATGCATTGCCACGAAAAGGCACTCGCCGCGTCCCACTAGCCTGCGACACATGTCGGACACGACGCTCAAAATGCTCACTGACGGAGCCATGTGCTCCGTGTGTAAGTATGTGCACCCCCAAGCCACGAGAAACCAAGGACGACATTTCAGTATGCTCATCAATTCATAGCACATGGATTCGACTGCACTTACCATCAACGTGATGCGGCCTTGGCCAGGCAATCCCAGCGTGCGTCTCTGTAGGTTTGCTTTTCACGGTAGGGCTATTCGTTGTTCCTCGCTTACATTTATTCCAAAGTCCACGTGAACTGCCTCAGCACGAGGGCCGACCTTCACCAATCGCGACTGCGCCAAGCATAAGAACGCTGGACAGCGGCAACATCAGCATTGCAGCCCGGCCATTGCGTGCTGCAAGTACAGAGGCCAAGGCTTCCCTTGAGGACGACATCCAGCCGAAGGACACTTCAAACGGGCTCAGCGATACCAACCGCCATACAAAAGGAACAGAGTATTATGGGCCAGCAGGCACTTTCTACTTCCTGTCATTGCTGCGCGGCAAGGCAAGCGCCCGAAGTCGCCAGGACTCTATCGGCCCTGGGCAGGACGATGCCAGTCCTCGCGGGGACGATGGTGCTTCTGTGGTGAATCTTCTTCACAGCTACGACTACTGCGCCGCCTCAGATGCTGAGGCACGTTCAGGTCCCCCACGACTGCTGCCAGCGACAGCGTCGGCTCGATCCAATGCTGGAGGATCATCGTCTGCGGCTGTGACAAAAAGCTCGACGGTAGAAGTGGGTTTGCAGAAAGAGTGCGTCAGGCTCTACTTTCAGAGCTTGCACTGTATACACCCCTTTTTGGACCAGTCGACCTTCCTCCAGCGGTGCCACGAAGAGGTATGGGACATTCAGCAGGGCGAGACTCGACGCCGTAGACACGGTTTTCTTGCCTTGTTCTATGTTGTTCTTGCGCTGGGGGCCATGCCCGCTGGGGACGCATCCTCCCTGGGCTGGACGCAAAACGTAGAGTTTCTCAACCAGGTCGATGCGCGCGGTGCCCATCAAGCATCTTCATATGTTCCCATAAGAATAGCGCGCCTGTATTTTGACAAGGCTCAGTCCTGCTTGGGTAACGTGTTTGAAATCTCATCCATTGAGATCGCAGAGGCATTGTTCCTTATGGTGAGTGGATCCTACCATAAGAATTCTCTGGGAGCTTTCGCCCCTTGTCCTAACGTGTCGTTGGTTTCTCCTTCAGTCTGTATTTTGTCAAAATGCTTTCAAGCCCCATAGCTCGTATATGTATAGCGGGATGGCTGTCCGTGCTGCACTTGCAATCGGTGTGCCAAATAGCTCAAGCTCTGGTGAAGAAAGCAGGCTCTGGTGGTTAGTCTCCAACTCCTGTAGAGGAAACTGTTCCTCGTGCTAACGATCGACTAGGGCTTTGTATTACCATGAGATGTGAGACAGCAAACGTTACCGCCATCCAAGTCATCTCGTTCAAGCTAACCATCATGAATCAGTGAGATGTGTGCGGCCACGGGGCGGCTTCCATCGTTACGAGAGTCGCGATCTTATCGTGTACCGTTGCCAACAATAGTGGTTAGTTATACTCGACTGTCGGTGACTTGACGATCACTGACCTTGCAGGCGGGTGATGCGCCGACCACACAAGTTCTCAATGCAATGGTCGGCTTGGCAGACATCTTGCTTCACATATCTCACGAGCTAGTCGACTACGCTGGCGAGCCGTGCGGCATCGAAAAGAGTGCCAAAGCACTGGAGTACGACAGGCAAATATCTGTCTGGACAGGCAACCTACCGCAGAGACTGAGCCTTACTGGCGTCTCTTTGCTCGAATCGGAATTGATCACCAAGCAGAAAATCGTTCTCAAGCTTAGTAAGTCGTCGTCCCGAAACATTACTCCAATAGAGAGGCAAAGGCTGATGCGCGTACCGACTGTACAGGGCTGTTTAGTGTGCGGCTACTGCTTCACCGTCCGTTCTTGATCTCCGCCGCCACTGAGGCAAATCACGAAAAATACGCTGTGCACATTCGAGCCTGTGTGGATGTCTCCAAAGACACGATAGAGCTCCTGTATGACACGTATGCAAGTAGACCATGGTTCCGGTCATGGTACGTATAATTATTCAAAGGTATTGCCTGTGTGGCCAACACAGCTGATGGTTCTGAGTAGGTGGTACAACTCTACCTACACACTAGATGCGAGCATGGTTCTTCTTTACGTCGTACTCTCTAATATGCAGCCGGAACCAGCAGAAATGCTGCTGGCATCGGTGGAGAAGTCAATTGAGATCTTTAGAGCCATGGACAGAGTCGCCGTGACCCGAAAATGCGCAGAGATCACATCCGAGGTGCTCAGCATCGCCAGGGATATTGCTCGAGGCAATCGGGAGCAAGCACTCCAACAGTTCCATCACGCAGAACAACATCAGGCCCTCGGCCCGGATCATGCAGGTGCCATGAATGGCACTCTCGGACTGCAGCACCATGGCGGCCCGGCGCCGGAACTCATGTTTCCACCAAACTTGACGCAAGAAGACATGAACGCCAGTCTGCTGGAGACGAACCTGATTTCCAATTTTCTGGACCCAGATGGCCTCTTCTTCTACTAGTTGCCAGAAAAGACAAAATATCAATTTTGCCGTTGACGGACCCACATGTGGTCCCCTCTCGACACATTCTGACGCTTATGTATGAACGCAAAGACTGTGCATTCCACCACGAAATGCCGATGTTCAGATGCACGCCTGAAGCAGGGCTGAATTATTAATGGGTGGGTGATGTAAGCGGAGCTCGGAGTGGGTGGGAGGAAAGCATTTGGAGTGCAGGCTGGCCAATCACGGACTTTCTCTCGGCTCACCTTAAAGACTGGTCCAATATCACAGCCAATCATGATTGTCACAGCGGCGAAGTCGGATAAGCCCTTTGATGAATGCGTGCTGAATGCCACCGCGTCTCCCAATAGGAACAAACAGGCCGGACTTGAGCTGCTTCGTCATGGTTGTTTCAGACGTGGTATTAAACACCACGCCGTCCCAGCTCCAAGGAATGGATCGGGTTGGGTAGTATGGATTTCTGCTTCAGTCAACAACCGTACATTGACTATGGTATTCGACGACATGAACGGCATCCGCACCGCTGCGTCATCGGCGGAGAATGTCTCGGACCACACCCAACCAAGCAACAGCAGTAGCGATGTAGAGAAGGACCCGCTGCCATCCGACGGGCTCGAGCCGACGAGGAGCGGCAGCTTATACTTCTCCTCAACCATTTCGCTTCCTCGCGAGATCTTGCTCGTCACTGTCGTCTGCTGCGCCCAGCTGACAACACAAGCCGGTCTTGGTCAAGTTTTGGGCATTCTCAAAATCATCGCTGATGACTTCGATATCCACTCGCCAGGCGAGGAGTCATGGCTGATAGCGGCCTACAGTCTGACTGTTGGCTCCTTCATCCTGATCTCAGGGCGTCTCGGTGATGTCTTTGGCTACAAGAAGATGCTGATCATTGGCTACCTCTGGTACTCTCTGTGGTCTTTGGTCTGCGGCCTGTCCGTCTACCGCGGCTCATTCATGTTCACCTTTGCCCGTAAGTCATGCCCGTTCCGCAGAGAGTGCTGAGCGAAAGCGCGGGTGCTGACAACAGTCGACTACAGGAGCGCTGCAGGGCATTGGTCCTTCGATCCTGCTGCCCAACGGTCTTGCTGTCCTCGGCGCCTCTTATCCCTCGGGCCACCGCAAAAACATGGTCTTCTCCTTGTTTGGTGCCTGCGCACCGGGCGGCTGTATCCTGGGCGCGGCCCTCGCTGGCGTCTTTGCCGAGTTTGCCTGGTGGCCATGGACGTTCTTTGTCTTCTCTATTGGCCTGCTAATCCTCGCCATCCTCGCGATCTACGTGGTGCCTGCGATCCCGCCGTACAAGGATCCCAAGACGCTCACCTTCAAGGAACTCATCGTTGAGACGGACATTATTGCGGGCATGGCCGGGGTCACCGGGCTGATTCTTATCAACGTCGCATGGAACCAAGCGCCGATCGCGGGCTGGACCACGCCCTATGTCTACGTCTTACTTATCCTTGGCTTTCTGGTCTTGTCGGCGTTCTTATACGTCGAGTTCTACCAGTCCAAGCACCCGCTGCTCCCCCTCCACGTCCTCAACTCCAACGTCGGCTTCGTCCTGACCTGCATGGCCTTTGGCTGGGGCTGCTTCGGCATCTGGTCCTACTACGTGTGGATCTTCTGCTCGCGCGTGCTCGAGCTGTCGCCGCTCCTCGTCATTGCGTGGTTCAGCCCCGTCGTCGTGGCCGGTGCCGTCGCCGCCGTCTGCACGGGTCTTGTCCTCGGCCGGATCGGCCCGGCATGGACGATGCTGGTCGCCATGAGTGCCTTCCTGACCGGCTCGGCGCTCTTCGCCTTCCGCCCAACCGAGCAGATCTACTGGGCCCAGATGTTCCTCTGCACCATCATCACCCCCTGGGGCATGGACATGAGCTTCCCTGCGGCGACCCTCATCCTGAGCGACTCGGTCCCGCGGCAGCACCAGGGTGTCGCCGCCAGTCTCGTCAACACCGTCGTCAACTACAGCATCTCCCTCGCGCTCGGCTTCGCGGGCACTGCGGAGGTGTACCTGAGCCGCGGCACCTCGACCAAGGAGGACCTCGAGCACGGATACCGCGTCGCGCTGTATTTGGGCGTCGGACTCGCGGGGCTTGGGTGGCTGACCAGCATAACATTTCTGGCCAAGACCTCTATGAGTAGGAGGAGGACAAAAGATTAGATTAGATTAGAAGATACCCCATAGAAGCTTTCTTTTTGCAGTAATAAAGAGGCCATCATGAGTGATTCACGTTGAGAAGCGCCGTACACAATGATCACTGTGAGGGGGAAAGCAGAAAAGATTGTGTGATGACACGTGTGTGGCCAATGATGATGATTTAATACGTATCCCCTACAAGACATTTCGCCCGTGCAGCCTCCTCTCCGCTCACCGCTTCACGAGGAGATGGTGCAGATGATCTTGCCCCTGCTCTTGTTCTCCTCCATGAGCTTGTGCGCCTTGATCACGTCCTCCCAGTCAAACACCGAGTCGACCAGCACCTTGAGCTTGCCCCCCTCGTCAAAGTGCGGGATGTACTCGGCAAGCTTGTCCCGCAGCCTGCCCTGGTACTCTGGCTCGCGGCTCCTGAGCGTGGTCCCCTCGATGCGGATCCTCTTGAAGAGCAAGGGCCCAATGTTGACGCCGTCGAGGACGCTGCCGCCCATCATGCCCAGGCAGACCCAGTGCGCGTCGCGCGCGGCGACGTTGAGGTTCTGCTGGAAGTACGAGGCGCCGATGAAGTCGATGATGAGGTCTACCCCTTTGCCGCCCGTGGCCTCCAGGATCTGCTTGTCCCAGTCCGACTTGCCCTCGGAGTCCTGGTGCTTGTAGTTGAACGCCTTGGTCGCGCCGAGCTCCTGCTCGATGAAGGCGCACTTCTCGTCGCTCCCGGCCGTCGCGTACACGGCCGCCGCCCCCGCGTCGAGCGCGAGCTGGATCCCCGCGATGCTCACGCCGCTCGCGCCCGCGTGCCACAGCACCGTCTTGCCCTTGGAGAACTCGCCGACCAGGAACAGCGCCTGGGTCGCCGTGATCCACGTCTCCGGGACGCCCGCGGCCTGCTCCCACGACAGGAAGGCCGGCTTGTGCAGAAGCATCTTTGTGCTCACCGCGATGTACTCGGCGTAGGCGCCGCCGTAGGCCAGGCCAAAGACCTCGTCCCCAGGCTTGAAGTCTGATGACGACGACGAGCCGAGGGACTCGATGGTGCCGCTGAACTCGACGCCCAGGGTCTTGGGGTAGTGCGGCGGCAGCGGGTACTTGCCCTCGCGCTGGAGCAGGTCCATCCGGTTCAGGCCAAAGGCCTTGACCCGGACGAGCGCCTCGCATTCCTTGGGCTCCGGGACAGGCGTGTCGGCGTTGATGAAGAGGGCGTCGGCGTCGCCAGTGCCGCCCTTGATGTCTGTGACGTACGTGTGTATCAGTCATGTGGCCTCATCGCTGGATAGGTGAGTAATGCTAGAGAGATCGTTGTGCTCGGGGTGGAGGGCGTGGACGGGCGAGCTCAAGAACATCTCGTTCATGGCCATGTTTTTTTGGTATTCATGACTGAGCATCTGGTCATGAGCTCTGGTGACGGGGTGGACAATTGACGTACCAACAGCTTTCATTTTCGAAGGCATTTTATTTTTGTTTTTTATGTTGATAATAGTAATGGAATGGAAATGATAGATTGGGGTTCGTTCCAGACGTTTGTTGTATACCTAAAAATTGATTACAACTCAGCCTGGTACGTAACAAACTTCGGTCTGTAATTCTCGGATCGCATTTGTAATAATCCCCCAATGACGCAAGCACGCGAGAGAACAGCTATCTCGGCATGACCCCACGTCCGGCAGGTGCGGAGATGGCCGGAAAGGCTTGTGCCCACGATGACGACGACCCCGCTCCGTACCACCACAGGGACGGACTTGGGAGACAAATGCATTCCAGCTCGCCCCAAGGTCTCCATTTCATGCCTCCGAACACAGCTCCGGCCGTGCCGGGCGTACCTCATCACACGACGTCCCGCGTGCTGAAGAGGGAAGGGGGGGGGCGGTTCCTTAGTCAAATGGAGAAATATCGCCCATATGTGCTCGACTTCACCCGACCTGCCCACATACGATAACCAGTGCATATTCCTGAGTTCCTGAGGCGGACCCAGGTTCGAGCACCCGGCCTCTAATTAGATGTAACCACCGGGCCAACTGTCGCATTGGCGAAAGGCACTACTCATGGAGAGGACGGAGGTTGGACTACTCAATCCGCTTGCTTGCTGGGCCGAAGGACTGCGAGAAGGCTCAGCCGACTGAGATGCCAGGCACGATCTTTACACGAGGTCTGGTAGAGCTCGGCTGGCAGTGCTTGGAGCTGGGGAGCAGTCGTCGCTGGCATTCTCAAACCCAAGTCTCCGGGAACACGTACGTACGTACTGAGTGTAGACACACACACACACGCACACACACATATAGCCTAAAGAAACTGGGCCAAGGACAGAGCCGGGTGCTCCGCGAACAGAGAGCCCCGACCGGCTCCGTGTTCTGCACGGAACGTGGCACGGCCGAGCTCACTGCCGAAGATGACAACTCCGGACACCTTGCTTGGCCTTCACGAATTCTCGACTCATGGCGCCGGGCGGGCTTCCCGGATTTGCGTGTCGGGCCGGGCGCTTTCACCCGCAAGCTTCCCCAAAATAGCGTCACACAGAACCAACACTAGCATTAGGATCATGTTGTGTAGTTAGACATGCAATGTCACCGACATCTACGGATTCACACAAAGGCGCTATTGTCAGTTTTGTGCTTATGGCGGGTTGAGGTTGGTCCTTGGGAGACTCAAGCAGTCCCCCCCTCCCTGCCGCGTGGATCGCACTGGCGCCACGGCCACCTCCCCGATGAGGGAGTCGACGATGGCGGTCAAGCCGTATTGAGAGGCCAGAGAGGAGCGGTGAACGAGGTGCCATGTCACTTTGGCTTTACATGGCTGCCCTCACCGACCATCAACTGTGGATGCCAAAGCGCGAGGCTGGATGACCACTGCGTGCAGTAGCTTGCTTTCAAAGTGTCAAGGATCTGGGGCGAACGTCGTGGTTGACGCCGTGCATATGACATGACCAGCAAGTCCCGCGCTGTGGCAGTATTTGCGCAGCGACCGACACCTGGAGCCTCTAGCTGATCGTGCCGAGGAGTTTATTGATCCCGTTGTAAGGATGCTTGCCTCACTGTCTGGTGAAGCTCGACGGTGGCGGAAGACCGGTTGAGGATGAAAGCTCTGACCACGTTGGGGTTGCCTGGAGACGGGACATGAACGGGCCAAAAGACACGCAAAAATGCACACGACGCCAAGTTCGTGCACCGAACATCGCCAGACAGACGCGACAATGACACGCTCCAAGACGCAGTGCGTTATCTTGCCTGCATCGGTTGTGATGCGTTGCGTGTGGCGCATCGGGGCGTGTTACGCAGTACTTGCGTCGTCCAGGGCAGGCGGGCTGCCAGTGGGCGACAGCGGGCAACCAGCATGGTGTACAGCGATCCAGCAAGCATGCGATCCCCATCAGGGGGGCCCTTGCCTCGTGTGAGCAGATGTTCTGGCCCTCTGGGAGATTGACGATCACAATTCGCCAGGCTGGAGAAACCCGCGCCCGGAGGCAGGAGGGCCGCGTATGCAATCCCCGGTCGCCTGGTGGTCAGTCAGTCAGTCAGTCAGTCAGTCAGTCAGTCCTGTTGGTGTGTGGTGCGACCGAACGCATTACCCTAGCACAGTCTATTTTGGCTGGCCTTGGAACCCCCTGCGCACAACACTGTGGCCCCCCTGAACCGTCCAAGTCTATTTGCACGCTGACAACGCCGGTGGAAATTAGCTCCTGCTGTTGGCGAAGCGAGGGTGGGCTGGGCTGACCGTTCACATGCATGGCCGCCGCCCATTAGCTGTCCAGATAATTATCATGTATATATTGCCAGCACATACGTTGATACGGTGGCCGCATATGCGGCACAATTGTCTTCGCGATAATAGGCAGTCGGTCAGTCAATGCGGCACCTCAGTGGTGAGCACATTGAAATTAAAAGTGTTGGGTGTGGTCAAGGCTGCTGGCTCGACTGCCACCGTAAATACTGGAGTTGTTACTCATCGGCAGACTGGGCGGCGTCGAGGCTCAACCTACCTCGAGATGCACGTATTTACGAGAGACAACGGCGTGGAGCCGTTCATCTCAATGTGCATGTGAATTATGGGGCCCAAAGCAACAGCATGCACAGTTGCCAGCCGGTGGACAGGATTCCCTCGACCAGAGCAAGCTTGCCACAGGTTTGGCTCCTTGGTGGGCCCTGTTCGTCGCACAATGGAACGCCCAGCGTCGTCGCAGGCACAGCATGGGCCACTCTCAGTTCTAGAACGTCGTCCAGTTCTTCGACAAGTCGACAACCACGGCCGTGGACGGGCCACTTGTTTGCCCCCTTACATTGACTGCCACCTGGACCGCCAGAGTGTTCATCAAAAGATACGAGGGTCATTACCAGTTGCAGGGAGGAGATTGGGTGTCTCGATGCGGACTCTGAACGTGCCGGGTCACTCGAATTAAGCACGTCTATCAGTTGCCGCGGCCCTGCCGATGGATCCCATCATCAGCTTGTTCCAATCCCTGCAGCAGGCTGAGAGGCTTGAGTGAGTCTGAGTCGCGTATCTATCCTGGCAGGAGAGCTGGTAACGGCCGACGCTGCTCGCACAGTCCGGTTCTCTTGGGTTCTTGCACAGCGGCCCTGATATCTGCACTTTGCCCCCCCTGGAGTCATGAAAGGGCTGGCTGGGGGGAAATTAAGCAGCTGGACCAGGCAATTCGCAACATGGCTCAGTTTTTGGTGCTCCCCACGATGGAATCGTCCCGTGCAGCGTGGTTTTCAGCAGGCCCCCGGTTTGCGGGGACGAGTTCTGACGGCGGTTGTGACTTGATATGCCCTGGCGCCCGACCCGGATGGAGCACGGCGGCACGGATTCCCTGTCCTCGAGCGGGTGAAGCTGGGGTCCGACATCTCGTGTCGCGTGGGCACTGGCTGGGCCTCCAGACTGTGGTTCAGGACCCCAGACTGGGCTCGGGTAACCGTGGTAAGACGTGGTTGGTAGCTGATGGCTAATCTTGGGCGAGTTTGGCCACAATCAGCGCAGGCGGGCCGTTGTGTGCCAGAGCCCGTGAGGCTAGTGACGAAGATTGATAGGATTTGGATGGTTCGTCCGCCCTGCGTGCCTGCCTACGTGCCTGACAGGTATGCGTGCCTTCCCCATGCAGGGCAGCTTGCGCTTCATGCGTGGTGACGAGATCTCGAGGTGACAGGTAGGGCCAAGCGGGCCACTCGTTCTGTGCGTCAATCCTAAACATCAACGACGACAACAATAACAACAAAAACAGCATCCCGCAAAACAAACAGTGCCGCCCATCACCGAGGCAGCACGCCTGGCCGTCGACCGCCTCGAGACTACTGCCGCCAGGTGGGCTCATTGCCTCGATAATGCCATGGCGCCGACCAATTGCCAAGCTTCCGATGTGGTCGGTGGCGCCCCAATTTCCGCAATCGACCCTGGCAGCACCCCAGTCGTCTTCTGTTCCTTGCAGTAGCCTGCTTTAGCCCCTGTCAGACTGGCGCCTTTGACGACACGTCCGGCGCTGTGATTCAACCGCCAGCAAGCCGCTTGGACAGGTGCGCTGCAGTGGCGGGTCACATCCTGCATGGCACACAGTGAACGCGCGAGCCCTCGGCTTTGCCGCACAGTCATCGCTGGCAACCATTACTCGTACCCTCCTTGCGCCGAGCCCGCCGCTAGGTACGTGGATCTCGGCGAGCATGCGCAATTGGGTGTTGTGCGCCCTCACACTATGGCACTCAGTCACGGACGGCCCCTAGCCCCTTTTCAGACGTATCCAGGAACGGGGAGCATTGCACCAATCTCTGCTTCGTATCCCGCAGTGGCATCCCAGAACCAGAGCCCACTCACACTGGGACTGGGTGCCGGCGCGGTTTCGCTGGCGGATCGTTCCAGGAAGGGGCCGCAATCGCTGCAACTGTGCTGACTGCGCTTGGCCCCTGAGCCGGCAAGGCGGCCTCGACCAGTGGGCAGGATTGCTGCGCTCGACGCAGCCGGCCCCACGGCTGATTGTTCCAGGCTAGCGAAATGAGATGAAGGAGTGCGCAGAGACCAGCAAAGTAGACGAGGACAGTGGCGCATGGGCTTCCCACGCATCGGGGGCTCGTTGGCGCATGGAAACGTTGCGGGCGGCATCCACCACACCACCATCAGGGGGCTGAATGGCCAGGGGGCCCATGCCATGCTCCTCGAGCAGTAGACCTGGCCAAGCCGGCTGCAGGAACAGAGACAACGCAACGACTCGCAACCACGCATTGTGCAGAAGCCTCGCCCCCCTGCCCCGTATCTGAGATTTGCTCGACGGGCGCCAGGAGATGGGCCGGCCAGCCCGCTTCCCACCCCATGCACCGCTCCTAACAGCCTTGCCGCCTGCCTCAAGGCGCGGGCACAGCGACGTTACTCCAGGACTCTGTCTGTATATAAGTCGACCCATCCAAGCCTCATCTTTGCTCCTCCCTCTCTCTTCCTTCCTCACCCACACTCTCTCGCTATCTAATAAACCCTGACTTTCAGTCACATTCATTCGTTTCACGAACCAACCAACAACCTAATCCTCAACCTAATACCCGACAACTCAGTCAAAATGCAGTTCGCCGTCGCTGTTCTTGCCCTCGCCGCTGGCGTCTCCGCCAACTACCCGGTCCCGGCCAACACCACCTCGTACACCACCTCAGTCATCACCTCGACCGAGATCTACTGCCCTGGTTCCACCACCCTGACCTACGGCACCCAGACCTACGAGGTCACTGAGGTATGCCGACTCTCACCAGCATCTTCTGAGCTCGCATGATCAAACAGCTAACAAACTCGATAGCCCACCACCCTGACCATCACTGACTGCCCCGTCACTGTTGTCACCCCCGTCTACAGCACCTCGTCAGTCATCTGCCACTCCTGGTAAGCCACCAGAAAACAATTTGGGATCACCAACGACTAACATGCATGTCAGCACCAGTGCTCCTCCCGCCCCGGTCTACCCTACCATCGCCCCCAACAGCACCTATGCTACCACCACCTACCACCCCGTCGGCACTGGCAGCATCCCCCCTGTTGCCTACCCGACCATCCCCACTGCCGGCTCCGGCAAGGTGGTCGTCGGCCTTGCTGGTGTCCTCGCCGCTGTTGCCGCCGCTCTCTAAGCAGCTTATCCAGCCTCGCTATCACGTCTATGACCTACGATTCTCTTTATGTTCGTTATAATACTTAATCATGACGGGAAAGCCAGCCGGAGTTGCTTAAAGGGTTGGGTTTTGCACGGTATAGACCTTGGGAGGATTACAGACGGCACACGGCATCTTGCATTGCAAGCTATGGAGTCTTGACCATTGCATTGCAGGATTTCATTTTGATTCTTGTACTTTCTTGTCGCGGTGCTACGGACGATATCAAAGCGCGCCAAAAGAGGAACACCGACAGTTTTTGTGTGCGGTCCCACACTTCGAGTTACCAGGATGGACCATTAGGAAAAGGACGAGCCTCTGTGCGCGCTCTGGCGATGCCCTCGTTCTTTCTTGACAATTCAACAGAAACCATTCTCAACCCGACGTCTCGTCACCCAAGAAGCCTTGTTTCACTGTGCACAAATGCTACAATTTCCTGTAGATCCTTCCGAGGGAACCAAACCTCCTGTACAGACCAGCACATACTGCACAAAGACCACCCCCTTGGTACAAAGAAGATTAGTGGATATATATAACGGGCGGCGCTGTTGGATGTTTTATTGGCACTTCTGGACAAGCCGCCACAATGTCAGGATAGGACCGAATATTCAAGACATTGCTCAGAGGCCAAGTTTTGGTCCAGCAGCTCCCCCACAGACAATGGTGCTTTGAATTATCTGGTGAGATGCCTAAAAACCGTGAATCAAGCTATCGTTCCGTAGATGTCTGGTACGACTTGATCAGTGATGCTTCCTCTTTGCGCTCGCCTGTGTAGTTGCCTGGACCATTGTGCGAGAGCGGGCTGAATACTTTGTCGAACGCTAATGTTATCGCGTGAACGAGTTGGGAAATGAAAGCAAGAGGAAGTCCGGGTTTCCCGAGAGATCAAGCTCCGGCTCGTTTTGATTATGGAGTTCAACAGTTGAAGCTCTGGTGCCCAGACGAGCAAAACAACCACCACCACAACAACAACAACGACTCTGTTCGGCCTGGGAGTTCTGCGCCACTCTTCAACTATCGCGCTCGGATTCTTGCCTGCTCGCTTTTGCTAGTTCCCTACGCACCGAGTAGTCTGTTTCATGTGCCGCTGCTGCTTTCCTTTTGCCATTAACTCTCATTGTGTTTGGACAACGGGATACCAGTCAACATGCCAGCCAGTCCAAGTCTGATAGTGAAGTAATGCCTGGCCGTGCCCGCCATTGTTTATGCACGTGTTACACACACGCTGGGCCGCGCGTGGTGTTCCCAGATTGTTCCTGCCGCGTCTCCGCGTGGGGTTTTCCGAGAGACACCTCACGGAGATTCAAAAGCCGCGTTGTCATCTTGGGGAGGAAAAGAAAAAGCAACAAGCCCTCGCTCTCGGTGTGCGAGAATGCAGGTACCAACAGTCAAGCAGCCAGCCACCCAGCCATGTCTCCCACGAGCCATGTCGTTGTCTTGCGGGTGTGGTGGACTCCAAAAAAATGCATCGGTGGATAGACATCAACACTGGGCAATGGGGCATTCTAGTCTTGTTCGTCTGTCGACATGTAGTTGGAACTGGGCTGGTTGTGGCATTTTGTTAGTGTGAGACATTACTGCTCGGGGCGAGCAACCGACTGGTTTGAAACAGATGAAAGGGTGGGCTCTCGAAGGATGTGCCGTGCCGTGTATGTGCTGGGTGGCGGCGGAGGCGGCAAGAGACTGCCTTAGCCTTGGGGGCCTCCGGGCTAGCATGTCTCGGAACAATGTGGGATCAACGTTATGGTGATGCCCTCTTATGACGTTTATTCCTGGGCACTCTGTGGGTTTTACCTTTTGTTGGTCTGGGCCTTCCCGTCTCTCTTTTCACCAAGCCTCGTATTATGTAGCGGGACTAGCCAGCCTATTGACAGATGCCATAGAAGTATCACTTGAGACACAATCAGTCATATCAATGCTCCATCAATAACCGGTTCTGGCAACTGTGAGGCTGTCATGTCATCATAGCGTGGAAAATCAGGGCCAGAATCAGGGATTTCTTGGACGCCACAGTTCTTCACTACACCGAGAACGCACTTGATCCCATTGTCATTGTTTGTGTTTCACTGCCCCGTGGTGGTGGTGGCGGCGGTGGCGGATAAAACCCTGGTGGAAAGCCTGTCGTCTTAAACTCTCTCCCTTGCAGGATAGAAGAACCCTCAAGACATGTGGCTTTGTCTCGGCTAATCTTGTCTGCCTCCTGGGCGCCCCCATGGTGCTTTCAACCTCCTGCGAGCTTAACCGACTACCCCCAGGCGTGTGTGGCGGCGCTGGGATCTCGAAAGAAGCTCTGAGACATTCTCTTAATCAGTACACCCCCCCGCTCATTCATCCTTTCGAGACCGAGACTTACTTCCAACATCACAATAAGCCACATTGTTCCTAGAGCGAGAGAGAGACCGAGAGACACGCGACCTAGCGCGGAAGCTTGTTTCCTTGACCCTGCCACACACTCACACTCACACACACACACGCACACACGTCTGCCATGCACATTGTTTGCTTGATCCCGCCTTGTTTCGTATCTATGGTGTATGTATTTGTGTGGCTTGGAGTCTCCGGAACAAGCCCCCCCTCCCCCAAAAAGTCCGAGACATTTCTTTCCCAGCCAAACAAAAGAACGTCCAAAAAAGACAAAGGCAAGCCACCCCGCGCGAGACGCACGAGGTCGGCGACAGTCGGCGCGAAGTTTACTCTTCTTAGCAGTGTCTCAAGTCTCTCTCTCTCTCTCGCTCACGTGTCTTGCTAGTCTGTCTGCATTGACTGGTGCGGGAATAGCGTCGAACGTGAAAGAGCATTGGTGTGTGTGTGTGTGTGTGTGTGTGTGTGTGTGTGCCGGAAGCGTTCCGACTTGTTCACTGGCAACGGCTGCAAAGTCGGCTGTGTAACGCCCTCTTCGCATCTCGGCAACCACTGACGACAACAGCAACAATAACAACGACGACGACGACGACAACAACGATCACGAAACGCCATCGTGGCCCGAACTGGTTCGACGGGGTCTGCGATGGGGCGTGACGTGTCATATCACGCGTCGGCATTGTGTTGCTTCTGCTGCTTGACGTTGGGAAGGGGTTTGTTCGGAAATATGTACAACAGGGCCAGTGGCTGGGGGGCAGGACAAAGTTGAGCTCGATACACCGGCGGTGCGGTCAAGGTTTATTAGTTGACGTCCCTACCTTCCGCCTTCGGATGTTGACTCAGAAGCTGACTTCGAGGTTGCCAAGTCTTGCAATGTAGCTTAGGTCTAGGCAAGGTTCCTTTTTATACCAGCGATGTCAAGGTATCATGAGCCTGTAACATTAATATACTACAGGTAAGACTTAGAGTCATTGTCCTTAGATAATACCCACTAGCGGTATAGAATCGTGAAAGGGAAACGTGATATCAAACTGAGAAAAAGACCCTACTCGGGCAAGACAAGTTCGCTTTCCAAATCCAAGATGTCAGGGTTCAAACAAAAAGCCAGCTGGTGAGCGACAGATCAATAGACAAACCCAGCAACACCCTCTGTCCTCGTGACGACTACAACTTCGCCCGTACCTCGATAGCCCCGTGCTTGTCCCCCTTCTCCTTGAAGTACTCTCTGATCTGCCTCCTCGCGACGTCGACGACGGCCTTGTCCTCGACCGTCGCCGGGACGGCAATCTCCTTGTCAAAGTCCCCGTGCACCGCGTTCTCCACGAGCTCGCGCAGCACGCGGCGCAGGGTCTTGCCGGAGCGCGTCTTGGGGATCATCCCCTTGCCCTGGACGATGCCGCCGAGCGTGGCGATGCCGCCAATCTGCTTCCGCACGCGCTTCTGGATGGCGTCTGCGAGCTCAGAGTCCGGCAGGGCGCCCTCCGGGTGCTCGGGCAGGGAGAGGGTGACAAAGGCAAAGGGCAGCTGTCCCTTGAGAGAGTCCGGGATGCCGACCACGCAGGCCTCGGCCACGGACGGGTGGCTTGTTATGGCCTGCTCGATGGAGCCTGAGGGAAGGGGAGAGAGAGGTTTGTGTCAGCGTCATTCTCATTTTCACAGTCGCGAGAGATCTGCTCTCTGGACATGGGATCAATAATGCACCACCCACCTGTTGATAATCGATGGCCAGCAGTGTTGATCAAGTCGTCACTGCGGCTCATGATGGAGATGTAGCCATCTTGGTCGATCATGCCGGCATCTACACGCCCATCGATCAGTTCGCCATTCCATACATAGTCTGACAGTCCACACAAAAGTCTACGCACAACCGGTTACAACCAAGGGGGGGGAGGGAGTTACTTACCACCGGTGTCGATCCATTTGCCCTCAAACCTCTTGAGGTACGACTTGTAGAACCTCTGGTCATCGTCCCACAACGAGCGAAACCCCGTCGGCGCGAGCGGCAAGCCCAGCACAATGTTGCCCATCTTGCCCCTCTTGACTTCGTTGCCTTCGTCATCGACGCACCGCACGTCGAACCCGGGCGCCGCCTTGCCCGCACTCCCGGGCTTGATGCACAGCGGCTCAGGCTTCTTCCTCTTCTCCTTCTTCTTCATCTCGTCTCTTCCTCCTTTGTGGCGCTCGTGCGCGGCGTGCGCGGCAAGGCTGATCCCCGAGATGGGCGACCCGGACTCGGACGACCACCAGTTGTCCACGACCATGGCCCCGTCGGCGGCGTACTTTTTGAGCAGGTCCTGGTACATGGTCACGATGGACGGCTCCGACCGCTCGCCCGCGAGGAACAGGGCCCGCAGGCTCTTGAGGCCACCCTTCTCGCCGTAGTGCTTGAGCTTGGTGTTTTCTGGGTCGTCGCGCTTGATCGCACGGAGGGCGGCTGCACGTGTGTGTGTGGATGGTGGTCAGTACTACTGCATCGTGGAAAAAGAGTTGCTGGCCCGTTGCGAGTTGGCTGGGGCCTTGAAGCTCAGAAAGTCGAGCGTGCCGCTATTTATGGGCGAACTTACTAGGCGCTGTGGACAGGGTGGTGACCTTGTAGTCATTGACAATCCGCCAGAAGGTCGAGCTGTCGGGCGTACCGACAGGTTTGCCCTCGAAAAGAACAGTGGCGGCACCGGCCAGGAGTGGTGCGTAGAGGATGTACGAGTGTCCCACCACCCATCCGATATCACTGTTGCCACAAATTGCACGGGTCAGTGTCCATAGTTATTATCATGGCCACAGCTCCAGAAGCCGGCAAACTGCCAAAGGGGACACCCCCGGCCCCAAAATTGCAAACTCACCTCGCACAGAACATGACGTCCCCAGGCCCATGGACATCAAACTTGTACCGGATGGACAAGTCCAGCCCGACAGCATGGCCGCCAGCATCTCTCACCACGCCCTTTGGGTTCCCCGTCGTACCGCTCGTGTAGATGATGTACAGCCCGTCGTTCGCGTCCACGGGCACCGCGGCCGCCCGGATCCCCCTCGCCCGACAGCTGCGGACCTTTTTGAACCAGTTGACCTCGCCCCTGCTGGTGTCGATTGGGTCCCACCGGAGCTGGTCGCGCTGCCAGACAAACACCTTGCGCGGCTTGTGCGAGGATATGTCGATGGCGTCGCGGATGAAAGGGGTGTAGCTCATTGGCGGCTTGCCGCCGTCGATGCCGCACGACGCCGTGAGGATGGCAGAGGCCCGCGACGCCTCGATGCGCTGGGCGAGCGACTCGGCGCCGAAGCCGCCGAACACGACGGCGTGGATGGCGCCCAGGCGCGAGACGGCAAGGATGCCGATCAGGGCTTGTGGGATCATGGGCACTTGATGAGGGGGGAGAAAGAGTCTAATCAGTCGACGAGCTACCAGACGGAGAGAGAGAGAGAGAGGGAGAGAGATGTGATTGGTGGGACTGGTTGTGTATTATTCGTTTCGGGAAGAAGCGAGTACTCACTGTATACGAGCACGACATCGCCCTTCTGGACGCCCTCCTCGCGCAGCGCGCCAGCGGTGACCTCGACCTCGTCGAGCAGCTGCGCGTAGGTAAAAGTCTGCTTGCTTCCCGTGACGGGGCTGTCCCAGATGATGGCTGTCTGGTCGCCATTGCCGGCGAGCACGTGGCGGTCGACGCAGTTGTAGCAGGTCGAGATCTGGCCGCCCGAGAACCACTCCCAGTGCGGGTGCGTCTGCTCGCCCGAGGACGAGCCTCGCACGGTCTTTGTTGTGCGCTTCAAGACCGAGTCGGGCTTCTTGTGCCAGTGTAGATGCTCGGCCTGCCGGGCCCAGAAGGTCTCTGGGTCCGAGATGGACTCCTTGTGGGCGGCGTCTTGTGGGTGCGCCATGGCTCGAGTGTCCCAGATGTGACACCTGTTGTCCTTGTTGTTATGGCTGTTGTCCTTTGACGATCTGAAGTTGCGTATTGTGCTTGAAACGGCTGATTGTCGTGTACGCCGCAGCTTGGGGGAGTTTTCTGGTGTCGATGAGACAACCTCGTCTTCCTGCAATGGATTCGCTGTACGCCGAGAGTATGTCGGAGGCCCTCACACTGCACCAATGCCAATGACTAAATACGCAAGTATGCTCGGGGCTAGCCGCCGGATGGATTGAGTGTCCCCGGCAGATATAAGTAAACCGACACAAGCAGCGCTCACCACGTCTGGTCTCGGCCACGAGCCCGGCGCAGCGGCGGGCAATGATGCAAGCCCAGCGCGGTCCGGCACATGCCGAGGAAGACGGCCTTTGGAGAGCTAGAACGGCGCGTGTGCTGCAAGCTAGCGCCCCTTTGCCGGCTGGTCGCTGCGTGGGGGACGGCCCAATGGGGCAGACTGTCGACGCCGCCAACGTCAAGGACCAGCGGAAGCAGCAGCACCTCTCTCGCCTCTTGAGGTGTAAGTTGCCGGCAGTCGGCCGCTCTGCTCCAATGAGGTGGTGCCCGTTGTCCCGGCTCAGTGACATGCCCCTTCTGGCTGGATGGTGCTGTGCTCTTGGCGGCCCTTTGGGGGATGCTTTGCTGCTGCTGCTGCTCCATCACTCTCCTCCCTACGCGTAAGAAGGTACGCTATCCCCTCTGCTCCTTCTCTGGGGTTTGCCTCCTTCCCTCCTCCAACTCCCAGCCAAGGGACCCTCGCCCCATTCCCCCGCCCCGCTCGCACATGGGCTCCGTTACCCCGGCCGGCCGCACGGGGTCTCCGCCCCGGCCCAACCCAAACAAAGTCCCCCATCACAACCCCAGACTTTGCGGGCTGGGCTGGGCTGGGGCCGGGCCACAGCACCCACGCGCACACACACACTGCCGCCGCCAAGTTTCAGCCTGTTGGAGGAGTGGTGGTGGCCGCACACACACGCAGCCACCTCTCTGTCTCTCTCGACCAGCATCCTCGGCAACCATTCTCCCATCGCACAAAGCTGTGGCAATTCCTTGGTCTTGTCCCAATCACAAAGCACTAATATTGCTTGCCGGCCCGGCCCGTTTTCCCCAGCTGCGCAGGCTTGGACTACACAGACTACTGGGAATGGCTCAGGGGGCATCACAGCCCAGAACAAAACACCCAATCACCAATTTTACATCTAGCTGGAGTCCTGCCACTTGCTGGCGGATCTGGTACAAACTCACGCAAAGACGAGGAGCCCATCTCCCCGGAGCTCACTTGACCACAGACTTGAGTCACTCGGGCTCGGGCAGGCACGATTTCATTCACCCAGGCAAAGCAAAATGCGAATTCCATATCGTCAAGACCAGCGTCAGGCATGAATTTATGTAGAGCTGCTAGCTGATCTAAAATACGCTGTGTATCAAGCACCTGCTTTTAGTCCCGCTGGCAACACAACTGGGGCCCACCCAGCAGCAGGAGCTCTGGTGCCAATCCCACGCGCGCGCATGCCACACAGGCCGCCTGGGGCCTTCGTGTCTGCGCTTGCGATTAGGCCTCCCGCACATCTGGTCAGGCACCGCTTGAATAGTCGAAGAGCAACAAGGAAATTTGGTGGTAAACATTTGAAATGGTTTGGTCGTCATCATGTCGTAAGCTAGGAAAGTAAAATAAAAGGAGTGGCCGGCTGGTGCGCCGGCCAAGAATGTGGGTTTTTCGTCAAGGTGAAGCACAGGCTGAACCATGGCAGCAAAGGAAAAGGATGCAGTGCCGCGGGTTTGATCGTAAACATTAAACCTCGCCTAGAGTCGTGGCAGGCGAGGTCATTTCTGCGTCGCTCAAAGTCTTCTTTCGTGCTTTGCGTGATGGGAAACAAATCTCGACAATGGTCGGACTTCCTCGTAGCTGAAAACAGGAAAACAGGTGGGGTGGAGGATGCCGGGCTCAGACCCTCCTTCCGCGCGCCGCGTCAAGTCGTCGTTAGACATTTACACAAAACATCTATACGGCGCCCGGTAAAACATCCAAGAAAGTAAATCGTAAGATTCGTCATCGTATCTGAGCGCGGCCGGGGTGGTCGAAAGAAGATCAATGAGGAATTTGTTGCATGGCGAATACAAGCAGGGAATATGAAATCTGCAGGCAGGGCGGGGGGAGAGAAGTCGGGTCTCTCGGCGCATCATCGCCGAGCAGACACCGACGCCGGTCGGTTCATGTCGTAGCTTGGCGTGGGCATCGTGGGGCCATCCATGGTCAAGGTCTTGCGGCGCTTCAGATCCATCCCGGGACCATCGTCGTCCCGCCCTCGCTTCAGGCCGCCCGCACCACCAAGGACCTGAGGAGCGTACCCGTTCTGCATCGGGGGCCCCAGATCACCCTGCGAGCCGTAGACATCTGTAGGCGCCCCATTCGCCGGCCCTCGATCGTTTGTCATTACATTGTACAAGCTGCTCGATGTCGAGGGCATGCGGGGCGGCGTGTTGTACCCGGCCTGCTGCGAGTAATACTGCTGAGGAGCAGTAGCAGTGCGAGGTGTTGCTCTGCCAGATCCAGCCTGGTGACCTGGGGAGCCAGTCATTTCGGGGCTGATATGCTGATGATCAGATTGAATAGGGGCAACCTGCGTAGCGTTGTAGTTGTACGAGTTCCGATTCGAGTCGTACGTGGCGCTATCGTGCGTATACTCGGACTCGTGCTCAGCCTCATCATCTCCAGTGGCGTGGTGGACGCCATCAGCGGGGTGCATCATGCCGTTCGCAGGCTTGACGTCGGCGTGCTCAGCACCAGCTGAACCAGCAGGTCGCCCGGTGGGGGGCCCATCTCATTCTTCATGTATGGGTTTTGCTGGCCATAGATGCTCCGGTCCTGAGGGCTATTGTTGGAGGCGTACGGCGACTGCTGCGCCGCAGACCCGTTGTAGACACCTCTTGATGTATCATAGGGTTGCGTGCTCTGGGGATATGACTGCATGCTCTGAAGAGATCCGCCAGGTGGCGTCGTGGCAGGAGTGGCAGGCATGGAACGAGCGGCGGCGCCGTTGCTCAACCCGGTATCAATTGAGATCGGATTTCCGCCCTGCCCGTTACTCATACCTTGCTGGTTCCACTGGAAACTGTCTGATGTGCCCATGGCACCCATCACGCTGGACGCGCTAGTGGGCGGCGTGGGAAAAGTATGCGCACGATCCAGTCCAGGTCTACCACCTTGATGAGAGGCGAGAGCAGGTTGAGGGCCAGGAAGGCTCATGTGGTGATGATGATTTTGCAAAGAAGGCAGCGAGCCGCCAGGAGCCGGCGCGGCGTTAGAACCGCTGCGCATCTGGTTCTGTTCCTGCTTGCGACGCTCGGCCGCCGCCATTACCTGGTTCGTCCTGTTCTGGTTTGTTGGGTGGTAGAGCAGAGCCCCAATGTTGTGGACAAACAATGGGTACAGAAGCTCCGTAATCTTTTCCTTGTTGGCAAACTCAAGAGCGCGCTCAAAGGGGATCCTGCAAGGGAGGTGATTAGTCTTTCGGATGGCGAGCGATACTAGCACGATCATGCTCATGCTTACCAGACGCCCTTGAGATGCATAGGCCCAATCTTGACGACGTGTCGGACTTTCTCGCTTTTCAGGATGCCATCGCGACGTCCGCGAGTCATTCCGGCAACGTTCAAGAGCTTAGTGCCGTTAATCATGTGGTTGTCTGGAAACCGTTATTAGCCTCATTAGCCAAAACCTAAATCCACGAAGAGGTGACGCATTGTCCGTACCTTCACGTCGCGCGACGCAGATCCCTCGGGCCTCGACTTGGAAACAGAGACTGCCCTCGTCTTCCCAAAGAGTGGCAGTCACCCTCGGCTTCATGCCTGGCGGAGCGACCTGCCCAGTTGTGTCCAGGCCCTGGAATTGGTTGGGAATGCCTGCCTGGTTGGGCAGAGGAAGCACGTGCTGGCTAGGCCCCATAGGGTTCGAGACTGCTGGCGGAGCAGTCTGAGGCGATGCCAGACCATTTGCGTATCCATATTGTTGGTACGGAGGCGCAGAATACTGAGCAGGCCCAGGCTGAAGTAATGTGGGCTGCTGATGTCCATAGTGCGGCATCGCATTCGACGTAACGGTCTGCGGCTGTGGGGCAGAGCCTGCCGACATATGCTGCGTCGAGTAGTACATATCTGCAGGTCCTTGATTCATTGCTGGGTACTGATCGTGACCACCGACAAGAACAGACGGGGTGACGGGCAGATGGGGTGGGGGGGTTTTGGGCCCGTTGGAAGGAGGAGCCGACGAATATGACGATCGTGAGTCGCCAACAGAATTCGTCAAGGATCCGACAGAGCTGGCTCGCGGCGAGGATCCCACCGAGTGTCCTGGCACTAGATGCGGCAAAGGTAGCGCGGGCAGTCTTTCTCCCGCATAAAACGCACGGGGTAGAGATGGTCCTCCAGGACAAGTGGGATAGTCACGGCCTAAGCCTTGTGATAACGAAATCGGCGGCAGATCCAGCTTTACGGCGTGGCTGTTGACGAACTGTGACAAGCTGCGGGTGGTTGCGTCGGGCAGCTACAATCGTGTAAGCAGTGGGGGGATTGTCGACGGGCTCGAGTGTTCGGAGCTGAGCTGCTGATATCGAATTCAACAATGATGGATGTGTTCAGATCCGGTGCATATACAGTGACCAAGTAGAGAACGAAGTCTCCAGTATTGGGGCCGAATGCCGAGCAGCTTCTACGGCCGTGTTTATGAGGAGAGAAGAACTTGGCTCGCTGGCCTGAGAAGAAACAAAGATACAAAAGTCAGCGGAAAGTCGTCCACGTCGTCAAGAGAGGCAAGGCGGGAAGTAAATGGTAATCAATAGTGTTGACAATTGACGTTGAGACGAGACGAGACCCAGGTCAGAGACATGGGGCTGTTATGCGAGAGACACGTACAATCGCTGGATGGCGAACAATAGGCTGACTGACCTGTTGCTGAAACCAATGATCACCACGGCAGACTCTCTCTTGCCCGGGAATTGAGGAGGTCGGAATGGGAAGCACGCACGGGAGAGTGAGAAGAGAAATGGAACAAGAAGGAAGAGGGGGGCGGGGGCCGTGGAAGAGGTTATTTTCCCACGGGAGGTGGTGGGAGGCAACGGCGGTGGTGGTGAGGAGAAGAAGCGAGGACAAGGACGGATGAGCGACCAGGGCCAGGCCGGTGCGGTGCGGTGCGTAGCACGTTGGATGGCAGTGAGCGCGCCGGAGCGGCAGGGTTTAGTTCCAGTCGAGATAGCGGCGAAAGGCCACTAGTGAGCTGATTGATGGGCCCCCAGAGCCGTCGTGCGGGCCCGGCTCGTTGTCTGTGTGCTTGGGGGGGCGTGTGGTTTGCAATGTTGGTTCCAACAACGGAGCCGGGGGGGCGAACCTCTTTGTCTTTTTTTCGTCGTTGTTGGCGAGGTTGGGAATCGTCAGGGCTACTTCGGCCTGCGCTTGGGGTCCGTGCCAAACGCTGGCATCGACAAAGCCCGGCAAGGTCAGGTCTTGCTGACAGACCCTAGTAGACACGGCATTTTCGCTGATGGTCATTGCAGCGCTTGGCAGTACGGAGTATCTATTATCACGTTGAGAGCGCTCGAAAACGACGACTACAACCAGAGAGAGGCCTTGCGAAGCGGCGGGGTGTGTGTGTTGCGACGGAGGACGGGACCGGAGAGGCGCCTTGGGCAAGCACTTGGCGCACGGGTGTGTGTGCCCGCGCGCGTGTGTGTGTGCTGAGCTGGCAACAGGCTTCGCTGGCGGGCTGAGGAGGGGAAACACCTCCCCAGTGACACTTGCGGGAGTCTGTCGAGGGTTCGTGGAGGGACGTGAGCGGTACATTGAAGGACAGTCACAAAGTCGTATGGGGTGGCCCCAGAAGAACGACACGGGCCACGGACGGCCCCCCCTCAGGCCCAGGTGGCGTGCGGCCCAGGGCCCATGCAGCGGCGAGGGGGGGTGTCGTGAGAAGAGGACAGGGCAGGCAGGGCAGGCCAGGGCCTCTGTGGAAAAAGCCCCAGTCGAGTGCCGAGCCGGGGTCAGCTCGCAGAGGTCGACGAGCAGAACGGACGGCCATGGTGGGAGCGAGCAGAGCAGAGAGTGTGCGGGCGTGGTCAAGTTGTGTCAGGCAAGCCGAAAAAGAAAGGGCCCAAGACGGGCAATGAATGGCGTTGGCCTCCGGACAGCCGGCCCCAGTTGGTCGGTCGGTCGGTCCAGCCATCAATCAGGCGGCAGAGTCTACGTAGGTACTAGCTAGGCCAGGCCATGGTGCAAATCGATCTTGCCTCTATTCCCAGTCGCTCGCAAGCGCTGCTGGCTGTCAAGGCGGGTGTCAAACGTGCTGTGCCGTGCGTGCGTGCGTGCCCTGCACGGAAACAGGCGCAAATCGTCGTCCCAGATGCAGGCAGGTGGGTTGCGCGGGGTGGCTGCTGCCCCCAAGGAAGGGCCCAGCCCAGAGCAGGTGCTTGCGGGCAAAGTGCATCACAGCGTGGGCGCATCGTGCTTCTCCTCCACACAAAGCAGCCCCAACCCCCGTCCTGGGGCCCTCCGTGCGTCGACGATGCTTGCCTGTGCACCCGCCGTCTGCGAGGTACAGACCGCACCTCGCGATTGCACCTCGAATCAGCCTGCTGGGCCTCGATCATCCACTGCTCACTGCCTGCTGCCACAATCACGATGGCCTTTGGCTCATGTCGAGCCACCCACCCAACCAGCACGGTGGCCGCAGCACGGCTTCAGTGCGGCTGAGTGATCTCCAGTGAGATCAAGACAGTGTCAATAAGCTCGACGTTCCGCAAATAATCCCACGGAGCCCAGTCCAGCCAGACCATCCGGAGATGGCTGGTGTGATCCCCGGAGCTCAATATGAGCCCATGGTGTCCGAGAACTAGGTGTCGACTAAACCATGTGTCCGGACAACAAAGCATCATCATATCGATCATACAATGACGGCAGTGCCCTTTTCTGTGCCGGGCCAGTGCGTCCATCATCATCATCATCTAGTAATCAACCGCTTGTGGCGAGCTGGGGCATCAGCCGACGACCCATGATACTCGAAGCTACTAGCGACAAATGCAGCGACTAGCATGGATTGAACCCATTGCTCCTGGCGTTGCAGAAAAGATAGGTAAAACATTAGGATGGGAACCTGAGCAACTGGCCTGCAGCGCCGTCACACAATGCCATGGGGAGATGCCACGACCTCATCGTCAAGACGAGGCAGCCATGGCGTTTTCTCCTCAGACCCTGGCCTCCACCCCACCTAAACCTGGTCGCCTTGCTGGTTGGTGCGACTACGGGGCGCTTAATCCCGTGGTCTGCCCGCTCGCCGGTTGATCCTGTCCTGACGCCCCACCCAGCACCGCCTGGCGCTGCTCACCACAGTACGAGCACAATGCTGATTTCCATCGAATCAAGAGGTTGGGCGTCGGCGTCCCACTCGCGCACTATCTGATTTTCCGGAGGGAGCCGCTTGGGTGGAGATCCGTGATCACATAGTCGGCAGTGTGGGACGAGCCTGTCAACGACCGTTTCGCCTGCCTTTCGTCATTCGCTGCGTGCCCTCGTTCTCACTCATGGCCATGCTAATCGTCCGTACCTACGTGTCGATCACAACCCAGGCCAGATCTGCCCGCGGCAGACAACCTCGTCTCAATGCTTGCCTACATCCAAAAAACTGTTTGCTCATCAGAGCCTTGGCCACTCATCCTGTTGAGGCAAGAGACCCGATCGGATCCGGCCCAAGGACCAACTCGGTGTCATAAGGGCAACCAAGAATGACGACAGGCGACCAGAGCGTGTCTGCTTGTGCACCCTCGCTGAAGTCAGCCCATACTTAAGGCGCCCCGTCATTGCAGGGGACTGCAGGTAGGGTGCCGGGCGGGAATGCACACAAACAAACCCGGGCGAGACGCGCCTGAATTAACGTTTCCGCCTCCAACGCCCTTGCAGCACCAGTGATCAACAGAGCTGTCGGCCGGCTACGCTGACTCCTGAAGGCCAGCCCGCCCAAGCTCGCCAGCTCGCAATAGGCCGGTCAGTCCAGAGCTTAGAACCTTCGGCTCTCCACTTACACAACGCCGGCCCCAATGGGTCCTTCTCTGGCACGCCGCCTCTTCAGGGCCAGCTTGAACTCTATTACCATGGGGCGCGCCCATGTGAAGGCATTAGGCGGTTTTGAAACGATCGACATGAACAATGCGGTGCGGCGTAAAAATTAGTGTAGGGGATGGGGATCAAAGAAACGGTTTTTTCAGGAGGCTCGACGAGGAGGACCCTTTGTGATGCTGTTCCAAGTCTCAACTCTAATTAGCACGCGTGAGAAACGGCTAGGCGAGCCCAGCCGTCGGGAGTCCTGCCCACACCGAGGAGCCTCTCGTCGCACCGGATCACGACGACGCCAAAAATTGAATCATTTGTCGGCCGAGGTCCTTTGAGGTTCCTCTAGTCGCGGCGCATCCGTCCCGTAGCGCGACTCAAATCCCACCGCCCTCAATACAGCCCAGGCTTCCTCAGTGTGTTTTGTGAGACGGGCGGTTTCACGCCACAGATGGCTGGTGGCGGCATGCGAGGAACAACTGAGCGGCCAGCCTCGCGAGACGGTGATTCAGCCCTGCTTAGCCACGTCCAGGTAGTCAGCCAGGTTCATGCGCATCACGGACGTTCAACTGGGCGATTGTGGGAGAACCACGCACGATTGCATCCGGCCGGAAATTGGACAAAGTCTATATCATCGGCAAAATTCTCCTGATGGCCCAGCCCTTCACCCTACAGGAGGCCAGCCGTTCCGAAGCGAACAAAAAGCTTGGTGGAGCCTTGGGGGAGACTTGCAGCACTTCACTTCACAACGGGCGAAGAGCCAGAGACTGTTTTGCACGTGCGTGTCGAGAGGAGCGGCGCCAATGGTGCCTTTTTGAGTTTTGCGCCTCCAAAAAGGGGACCCTTATCGAAGCTGGTCGGTGTTAAGCCAGCCCTGTGGTGTGTGTTTTCGCTGCTCTTCCTAGACGGCCGCCGCCACAGCAAAAGCTGACATTCGTCCAGACTTACCTTCGTGGCTTGTTTCTTTTCGAACGGGTGTCGCTCACACCATGTGCCTCGGCTCGGCACTGCTAGAAGTCGCCTGGCCAGGTGCGAAACGACATGTCGACTTGGAATTAGAGTTCTGCGGCTCTGCTAGAGAGCCGGACCTAGTCCCCTGAA